GCTTCTGACGCTTCCAAGGAAGAGAAGAAGGCTGCTTTAAAGAAAAGGCTTGCTGCCTTGAAACAAAAAATGGCAGCTGAGGCTCCTCAAAAGCCTGTAAAGAAGGAAGCTCATACTCCAGGTGAACCTAATGCACCTAAGGTTCCTGAAGCTCCTCCTTTACCTGCTGACCTTTTCGAAGCAGTCCTTCCACCTCCCGTTGATCTTCCTGCTACTTCTGAACCTCCTGTTGTTCCAAAATCTACAGCCACTGAACCTTCTTCTCCTGTTCCAATTGTCCAGCCTCTGTCTGATGTTTCTACTTCCCAGACTGAGGGCCTTTCTAAAGAAGAGAAGAAGGCTCTGTTGAAGAAGAGACTTGCCGCCTTGAAGAATAAAATGGCCAATGAGGCCCCATCAAAGGGTACTACCAAAAGCAAAGGTGAACCAAAGAAACGCAAGGAAAGCATTCCGGAAGCTCCTCCTTTGCCAAAAGATCTTATGGATGTGAAACCACCGGTGTCTCTGGAGACACTTTGTCCCCCTCCTCCTCCAGCTTCATCGATTCCTCCACCTCCACCTCCACCACCTCCATCTTTGCTTCCTGTTGGTCCTCCACCACCTCCTGCCCTTCCAGCAAGTCTTCTTCCAGCTGCCTCTGAGACTCCAGATGAGCCTGAAGATCCAACGGCTCCTTCTGAGGCTTACCTTGAATTGGAAGCTAAGCTTTCTGCCAAAAAGAAGAAGAGCGTCGATTTATCTACCATCAGCGACCACATTCCTGACTACTCGAAGAAGACGAACTTTTCTTCAAAGATGCTGAAGATGGCTTCCAAACTCGAGGCCTTCCTTCTCGCTGATGGTAGGTTATCTGTGGATGGTCCCGTTACACCTATGAATCTTCCCAAGCCAAAGAAAGCGTCTCTCCTTTCCAAGGACGAGGTGCCTAAGAAGAAACATAACGGCAAGAACACTGCTATCTTGAACAAACTTGAGGGTCTTTTCAAAGACCGCCTTGACGAGAATAATGGTGTTGCGGAACCCAAAACCCCCAAAGTGTCCAAGTTCCATATCGACATGGACCTGACTGAAGTGTTCATTCCTCCTTCCCATCCTAACTTTCCAAAACCAGCTGCTGGCCTGGGCACGGCCCCTCCACCTGGTTTCTTGACTAATGGGAATGGCAATGGTAATGTTCCACCTCCACCACCACCACCTCCTCCAGCCTTCTTGATGGCCAGTGGTGCACCTCCACCGCCACCACCGCCACCACCAGCTTTCCTTACCAATTCAGCAGCACCACCTCCACCTCCACCACCCCCAGGGTTCTTATTAGATGCTGCTGGACCTCCACCTCCTCCAATGAATGTTCCATTGACAAAGAAGGAACTTCCTAGTGTTAAGTGTATTCATGGGTCTTTCGAAGATAAGAGAAAGGCGTTTGGTGCTTTCTTCTCTGCTCATCCTATGAAGAAGACGGCTCCACCTCCACGGATTGAGGCTCCCAAGAGGAAGGTGTTTACTCAGGATGAACTTGACAAGATGACGCCGTTTGAGAGGACCAGGGTTACGATTGAAGGCCATTTACAAGATCTTGTTCGTGAGGGCAAGGCAGTTCCCGGTGCCAAAGCATAAAGAAAAAGAAGAAGATGAAGATGACGAAGAGAAAGAGAAGAAGAGAAAAAGAGAAAAAGAAGAAGAAGAAGAAGAAGAGAAAAAGAGAAAAAGAGAAAAAGAGAAAAAGAGAAAAAGAGAAAAGAGAAAATTAGAAAAAGAAGAAGAAGAAGAAGAAGAAAAAGTCCATGCTAGTCATATGCGACTACCAAAAGTTTATATGTTTTTTTTTATAGGTCTTAATACCTTTTTTTTTTAGTCTCTTGTAGGTTCACACTGGTAGAACTTCCTTTGCACCTTGATCGAAATCTTGTTTCCATAACCAATCATCAAGTCAAAGGGGTTTACAAGAAAACTAATCCTTAATACATATACGTAAAACTTTGCTTTCTTTCCTCTTCTGGACTCTCGAGAGTCTCTTTGGGAATACCATACATCACCACCATTGAAACACCTAAATAGGCAAGACTATTAAACATCAAAACCCATTGAAAACCCTTAATAGGAAAACATATGAGACATACTGGCCAAGCCGAGGGTTTATTTCGTATTCTTGAAGAATATATAAAGCCGGTCTATTCCCCTGTTTCTTCCCCATCATCAAACAAACATGGCCGCTCAAACTACTCAGAACAAGAACAACACTCCAAAGGACAACAACTTGAACAAGCACGCTGGACGTGGTGCTGTTCCTTTCATGTGTACTATTGTTTAGATCAATAAACATTTGTATAACTTACACTGTAGGTGACTTACTTGATGAATGGCTGTGACAGGACCATACGCCTTCTGTGACTGACGAGTACAGATATTCACGTATGGTAATTAGGTTTCTTTCACGCTTCTTGGGGCACTATGTATTCCAGTTGCCTTAAACTTATATTCATCCCGCAACGTTTGTTCCTGAAAGCATGATGCCTTCAACTTTCCCACTAAGTGAGGATATAAAAGAACGACCAGCGCAACATGCCCTTCCAACAAAAGTAGTATAAAAATGTCACAGGAAATAGTTTTCGTTATCGGCAAGAGTTCAAATACAAAGCCGTATCAAACCCAAATAGCTGGATACAAGAACGAATGGGTAAAAAGAGTCTGTTTTGATGGCTTGGACTATTCAGTAGCTCAAATACTGTTTCTCCCTAATACCGATTCAAACAGCGTCTTATCGCTACTTAGGGATAGCCCGCCCAGCAAAACAAAATTGGGGAGAACTTCGATGCCAAAAAGAAAGCCGATCATCTATTATGCGCCCACCCCTTGGATGTTTCATAGCCCTACGGAGCTTTCAGCGGGAAATTGCTGCTTACGTTACAAGTGGCAGGACTCTTACTACAGTGTTCCTATATCACCACTCATGACTGCCCTAACATTGCAGTATCGCAACCAGAACGTTCACAAATCAGAGAAGCAAAGTATGATTTGCTCCCTTAATCTAACTGGAATTAAGCTAACCAAAACTTGTGCAGCTTTAGCTGAGCCGTTTGTGGTTCTTTCCGGCAGCAACTTCTCCCATGCCTTTCAATTAAATGTCAAGATCACCCCGATCGGGAAATCGGAAAACATTGAATCGATAGTTGGGAAGCCAACAGTGAATGAGATCTCAGTGGAGGTTTTGGAGTTAATAACAACCGTGAAGTTTAAAAAGGGCTGTGAAATTAAGCGTGTTAACAAAATCAACAGTGGAGTAGTCTTTTGGGCACGCTCCCCGTTCCAAGTCAACGAAGAGTTATCCAAATCGATACTGAGTAACCTGGGTACTTTCGAGATTCCATCTTCGTCTTACAGTTTCCCAATCCCGCATCTCGAGCCAACATTCTTCACAAGCTCGTTGATGAGGAGTTAAGCAGTCAAAGTGAATGTTAAGCTCCTGGTAAATGGTAGTGAGATAAGCCTTATATCTTTTGCTGACTTAAAAGTGGCTACAACGAGGTACAGAAAGGAAATTTCCATTGATAAGACTTCTTTGATACCAATGACACCCACAGAACGCCGTGCGATAGTCTTATGCATCCAGCATTTCCCAAGGGCTTTGCCCGGACGTTTTAAAATTGATGCCAACAATCAGTCGACCAAAACACGTTATATTATATCAAAGGGCTCTAATGTCATTGCGCAAACGGAAAAAATGGTTCTTGTGGCGTCCTATCATAGGCTAATTGTACCTTTATCTTTACCAGAAACCAATGTGGATTATGAAAAAGTCCGTGATAGATATGGCCTTAAGCGGTTTGGAAGTGAACCCAAAGTGTATCCTGGAGAATGTTACTTGATTTCTGAGGTGGTCAAAGGCTCTGAAATACTGGAATTTCCAGTATGTGGCGAAACGCCACAGGGTGGGCTATTCTTTAAATTCGAAGGTAAGCGAATAGCAACAGGATTTGCCCCACCAATTCCTTGTGTGCTTACCCATCACCAACCCTTTGATTGCTTTCATGCACCGATAGATGGCTATATGTGGAAGTTATGGATTCTGTTTAAGAAGGCTAGCGTTTTTAATGACTATGTTGGAAACACTGTGCTTCCTGGAATGAGACTAGCAGATATTATTGCAATAGGTATGATCACTTCCGACCAAAATTTTGGGGCCGAGAAGATTCACATAGATCCCATAAGCGTCAAGGTTGATCTCTGGGAGATGACACATACCAACGCCGTGTATCCCCGTCCTCTATCACCAAGATTATCAAATTTAATGGAAAAGCAGTTCACTGAGAATAGTCTGGGTTATAATTATGGGTCATTTGGTCACGAATTGCGGCTGTCACTCTACGACTGTGAAATACCACATGTGGGGCCGACATTCTGTACTACTGAGTTTGCAAGGTCATATCAGATTATTCTTTCGTTTCGATTCGTGACATCTTCAGGAAAACAACATGTTGCAGGGGCAACGATACCAATTACTATCGCAAAAGACTATTGTAATTGTTTGGGCAGGGGCCAGAATGTGAAGTAGATTGAATCACCTAGTTGGGTCATAGTCAATGTTGGAATGTGATTGAGTTGAAGTTCCAGGCATATCATGATACAACAGGAACTGCTCACTTGGTGATATCTAAATGGTGTTGGTTTACTGAATTACATCGAGGCTTCTATAATCGACTGGTGTGGAAAGTGAGATGAAGGGCTGCGGAAGAACAGCTCAAGGAGACGTATGAACAGCTCTAAAGGGACTTCTTCTTAGAAGAGTCCTTCTGTTTTAAAGTATAATTAATTCTGTAGCTTAGTGTGGGTTAGTTTGAAGGCATCAGGAGCAAGTAAAATGCAAGTTGATGTAAAGTCTTCCCACAAAGGAAAGAATAGCAGACACAAGGTGTGACCGATTACCCTGAAGGTAGACTTGTCTTCGTAAACGTTTCTTCTTCTTCTTTTTCTCCTTCTTCTTCTTCTTCTTGTCAGTCGTGGGGATGGGTTATACAGAATCGGTTGTCTTGATCGAGGAACAACCAAAGGCTGAAAGACCCACTCTGTGTTCCCCAAATGTTTCAAAAGGAATCTTAGAAAAATTCAACCAGTACATCTCCCACACCACCAGAGCTCATGCTTTGGGGGATAAGGTCTACATTATCACAGAGGTAAAGTTCAAGAGAGAGGAAACCGAAGACATCACAAGTGCTTCTGCTCGTCTTTTGGAAGCCAGACAAGCCGCAGGCGTTCATGAGTTAGGGTCTGGTCCTTCCCAAAAATGCATGCCTGCTCTTCAATATAGGTTGGTTCATAAATCTGAAGGAATTTGCCTTGGTGGCACTGCTAAACCTGTTCATGGCGAGTGTATGTTTCTCCTGGAAGAAGGACAGACCAGGTACACCGGTTTGAGCAGTTGTATTCCAACTTTGAATTATATGAACGATACCATACTGAATTCATATAAACAGGACAACTTGCTGGTAATACTTATTGCTAAGTTTAAGAGTCCTCAATGGTTCACCCAGAGAAAGAACCATAATATTGTTGTTCCAGGAATACCATTCAAAAGCTTCTCACAGCTTCACCTTACACTTAAGGGACCTAACCCTTTAACTATAAATAAATGGGCATCCCGGTTTCGAGTGATCAACGTGAAGGTAGACCTTCAAGAACTTACTACTTGGGGAAGTGAAGAACCGTTTGAATCTTCTTCCAAAGAGCTACGCCATAGGACTTTAAGTGATCTCCCTTGTTCGGAGTGGCTTTGGACTCCAAATTCTAACTCCTTTACTTCCCACGAATCGGTCACTCTTGAAGCACCGGAGAAATTGTTTGATTACGACTTCCCGAACGTTGAACCAACATTTTTTTACAACAACTTGCTTAGACAATATGCTTTAAAGTTCACCCTTACTTTAAAAAATGAAGAAAGCAAGGAGGACTTCAATTTATCTACTTTATTGGAAATAAATGTCGCAAAGCAAGCTACACTTTTCGAATCGCTCACCCAAAAGTTACCTTCAATTGAACCCACCTTTCGTGATACGAGAATGAGATGCTTTACATCCTTTAAAAAATATGTCCCAAACAACTTTGTACCTAAGGATGTCTGCAAAGCTCTATTTGATAGGATTCTTGGTTCACCAACAAATACTTATTGCTTTCATCGGACGGCCATTTTCTCTACAGGCAACTTCAAGTATGCCGTTACGGAACTATTTGTTCGCTTGGAAACGAATTCCGAATTATTAAATGAAATTCTTCCGGTTGTGAATGCGATACCGTTCCGATGGAAAAAGGGTGCTCTGATTGTATGTGAGCTTGCCCCACCTGCCCGCTCATTGGTTCATCAAAGCAAGCGTGTTGCAGGCACTTATTTTCGGTGTGATGGGCATCGATTTAAGTATGATTTTGAACCACTCAGTATCATTTCAGGACCGCAATCGTTTGACAGTGTCATTTGCAAGGTACCGTTCGTGTTCAACTTGGGAACCCGCCGCTCTTTGAGAAATTTGGGGCTCACATTCAAAACCATTTATACTGGTCATACTCGTTTTGAGCACGAAGAAAGCTCTAGAACTGTAGCGGCAGGCATTCCAGTTCCAGATTTTTTAAAACTACTGTTTAGGATTCCTTATGAAAAGGCCACCCGTGCTAAACCATGGAAAAACACAATCGCCCGGTTAACAAAGGTGACTGTGTCCGTTGAATCATTCTGCTATGAGGATGAGGATTACGTCAACCTCAATCGTAAGGAGACAATTGTCTTAAGGAAAGAGCTTGATTTACGGCTCCTCTTTAAGAAATTTGAACAGAAGGATGGCTACATCGAGTATTGTGTTCCACGAAGCAACTATGACTGCGTGATGCCTGGTCTAGCTCCCTCAATAATACAGGAGGGAGTAAATGTAAGCTATAATATCTGTACTCAATTCGATATCGAAGGCGTGGGGTGGAAGGATTGTATCGCCGCTTGCATACCTATCCAGATAGCCACTGAATCGCATGCAATATTGGATGGCCCAGTAGCGTTGGTTGGTTCTTAGGCAATATCTTTTTATTCATCAGCCTTTGGTTTTCATTAGTTTTCATTAGTTTTTGTATTTATATGTAATATTGGTGAAATCACTAAAAATGGGCACAAGTTTTGTATAATACATGCGATTCCTCACACCCACCGAAGAACATGAATATATTCTACACTGACAAAAATCCAAATCAAACGTTTTTTTCACCCAAGTGCTTTAGATAGATTGACAGAGCTGATATACTCAATTTCCAACGTGCTCTTTGCTCTCAAGATGGTTGTCTTTTGAAGATTTCTCATCCTCGGATAGAGAGTCCTTTCACCGACCAGGAACAGCTCCCAATCGCTCCATAGACGAAGATAAGGTAAAACGCAGGTATTTAAGGTAATATGACAAGAAGAAATGGTTCGTTTCTTTGATGGTTCCATAATACGAGAGTTTAAATTGAGATAACTACGTCATCGTGAGCTCTAAGCGGCTCATGGCAGGCATCAATCTGGGCCAATATCATGTAGATTAGCCTAAAACCACTGATTTCTTTGACCAGCCAGAGATCTCCCAAAGGAAAGATCCCAAAGAGTACCATCACATAAACCAATGTGGACTGATCCACATCTCCAACCCCAGCCCACCAAAACCCTCTTTTCTAATAATAGACCCATTTCTACCTTTAAACTACCAACGGTCACACGATCTAAGCCAGTGGCTGCAACAAATCGGCTTAAACCAAGCCGAACATGAGACCTCCCACTACTAGTGTGAGCGAAACCTTATTGCGGACCATAACCAGGGAAGTCACGCTACAAGGCCACGGAATTCACCGACACCGCCATGTATCCATACAATCCCGAGACTAGTCTAGATAATTTTCAAGCAGCCGCCGACAAGTGGTGGGGTTGGTTTGTTGACATCAAACGGCTTCTAAATATAGGCCTTAGAGGCCCAAATACTACCTGCAATGAGGGTCCAGGCTTGGAGTTGGATCGGCATCGAGGCCACACCGGAACAAGGCAAAGTGCCGGTTCCAGTTACTTGAAAGGCACTGGCGAAGGTTTAGGAAGATGCTAAATATAGAAAAAGAAAAGAAGCCCATTCTTTGTTCTCTCGAGCCGTTTGCTCTGTCCTTCGCATTGTTCGGAAAAGAGTGGTTGATTTTCCGGCGCACCGACTATTCCTTTATTCCTTTTCCACTAAATTTTAGCCCTTCCACTTCAGCCTTACCAGTCAGGGTCCTCCAGAGGCAGCCTGAAACGAACAGGCAAAGATTTCACTTTATGACACTTTTTCTCTTCCTTCTGTTTTTTTCCTTGAATGCCAAGGCTCTAGCGAAAAATGACACGGAATTGATCCTCAGTCAGTGCACAACCGAAGGCTTTTCTGACAAATGAGAATAGACTAAATGGAAGGATGCGTATTGCAGAAGGCATAGAGATCGTCATGGGTACTTTTCGGTTTTGGCTGCGAAAAAAAAAAATCAATGATCGACTTCGCCGTGGTGCAACACTGAGACTGCCATGGAAAAGTTGAATATATAAGGAACCGGTTTTCCCAGGGTTTCAACTTTTTTTCATTACAATCAACAACTTTATACTTCATCATGCAACTTACGAATCTCGCTTTAGCTCTTACTGGTGCCTCTGTCGCTGCCGCTGCCGAAGACAAGAACACTTTCATCTTCTCCAAACCTCATAACACTTACACAAAGACACTCTATGGGGAGAAGGCCAAGCACCTCACGACTACCCATATGACTATTGAGAAGCCCCACCACACTCACACAAAGACTTTCTTTACGTGGATGGGCAATGGTGCTGCTCCTACTGATGTGGACTACGATGGTGACTCAGACTCAGACAGCGACTCGGACTCTGACGATGAGTCTACCTCGTCCAAGACTACCAAGTCTGCTGAGACAGGTAAGGGTTTGAAGTCCAAGACGTACATCTTCTCGTACCCACACAACACATACACAAAGACCCTTTATGGCGAGAAGGCTGATCATCTTACCACCACCCATATGACCATCAAGAAGCCACACCACACTCATACCAAGACTTTCTTCACTTGGATGGGTCAGGGCGCCCAACCCACTGATGTCGATGAGTTGAACGAAGACTTTGATGCTTCTGACAGTGCTCTTGCTGCTGCTGTCACAGACGTACCTTCTGGTTCTGCTCTGGGCTCTGCTGCCTCGTCTTCCGGTTCCACAAAGTCGTCTGGCACCTCGAGCGGCTCTTCCGGCTCTTCTGGCTCTTCGGGTACTTCTACTCGTTCCAGTCGTTCTGCCAGCGGCTCCAGCGGCTCTAGTGCTTCTAGTGGCTCTAGTGGTGCGTCTAGTGCTCCTGCTCTGGCCAGAGCCACTGGTGCTTCTTCTTCAGCTGGCTCTTCCTCGTCTGGTCCTTCATCTTTCGACAACGCTGCCGGCTCCTTGGCTTACGGCGCTGGAAGCTTGGCCGCTGGTGTTGCCATTATGCTCTTGTAATTGGCCCTAATTGTTTAGTATGTGAATAAATAAAATACCTTTTTCTTTGGTACTCGTAGCTGATTGGGAAATGAAGTGATTCCGTCATGTAATGCTGGGCACGCCGAGTCCGCTAAGGACAAAATGTCATTTTCAGCTGTTGCGTTTTGGTTTTCTTGGCTGCTGAAAATCTATCATGGCACACTTGATGCACAAGTTTGACACTTTGACAGCGTGGGGGTCCATTGTGTGAGATGGTTTAATTTTCTCACAAAAAAGAGCCAACACGGAAGAGCATTTACTGTCACTTTCTCTAGACTCTATCATTCCCTCTTCTCTTCCATTTCCATTAATAATCAACCCTATGTGACCTCATTGGATGTATAACTCCGTGAATCCTTGGCGGCTATAGCCTGGGATACAGATTTTGGGGGACCTCTTCACGTCAAATGTGTCTTGTCAAAATATGTGCAGATTTGGCTGCATAGATACATCAGATAAAGGAGCAATCAGGAGCATCAGGAACACGAAAGTGGAAAAAATACAAGAAAAACTCTTCTTGGCTGTTTATAGTTATGCCGGATAAACTCAAAGACAGCCGTGCCGCGTGTAAAAAGTTTTTCCGGAATATCAACCACAAAACCACATGGGCGACGAGAAATGTATTTTCTTGTTATTTCCTAAAGACGCCCTGTTGGGTATTCGTGGCTTTTGTGGTCTATCTTGGCATTCAGTTGACACGCAAAGCATATCTTTCCATTTACTCCGAAACTGGTGTATTAAGAAAAATTGGTGTTTTTTATGCACCAACACGGCGCTGGCGACGATGCATAGCGGTTGAATTAGATCTTTCTTGAAGAGGTGAGATGTTTTTCCGGATAAAAGTGCCTCAAAGATCTCGATATCGTGTGATTATGTAGGGTTTATCCGAAAGACGGTGTCAAGTTTTCAGTTTGATTGTGTTTCTCTCCCGTATTCATCTACCTGATTCTTCAACATGTCACTTGCCTGTCAAGGTATATTTCAGTTTCTAGGCACACGAATTTGAGGCACAGACACCAACGCTAAGCCTTTTGGTGAAGGGTCCCCCAAATGACGTGCCATTGTGTCTTTTTCTAGATTGCAGATGATTGGACCTTACTGATTTCATAAAAAGGCTGCCATGCATATCAAAGGAACATCCAACATCAAACCTACATACGATGGCGTAGAGATACATTGAAGGTGTGCCATTGGCAGGTTTCTGGAGCCCGAGGCGGGACGGCTTACTGATCCCTTTCCAGAAGTAGTTACGCTTAAAGAGAGAAGGGAGGTATAAATTATGGTAGATTTCTCTCCTTTATCGTCTCATCAATAAAGCAGATTCCTATCATGTCTGAAAAGATCCAGCCAGTTCCAAGTTCTGGAAGAACTTCTTCCACTAGGAGCATTGAGGAGAAAAGAGATGAAAAGACTTATAGCAAGGGGTCTGCAGAGCTTCTGAGAACCACTAGCTCTTCGTCAGACGCTTCTCTTGACTCCAAGACCATTGAGAAGTCTTTCGGCGTCAGAAAGTCCGAGACTTTGGTTAAACAATACGACACTAACCTTCTTAGAGGTATTTACTTCTTCTCCATCTTCATTGCCATGTTTGTCAATACCATTGAAGGTAATGTGACTGGTGTCTTCATTGGCTTTGCCACAGACTCCTACAAACAACATTCGTTGATGAGTACCATTGATATTATCAAGAAAGTGATTGCCGCCGCATCTTTGCCAGCTTATGCTAGATTGTCCGATATCTTTGGTCGTGTTGAGTTGTTTTGTCTCTCTTTGGTTTTCAGGACTGTCGGCCTTATTATTATGTCCCAGGCTAACGATATCAACCGTTATGCTGGTGGAATGGTATTGTACTCTCTTGGTTCTTCTGGTGGAAGAATGTTGTGGCAGATCAACTTGTCTGACGCTTCCAGTTTGAGATACAGACTTTTGGCTATTGCTATTTTGAACTTGCCTGCTATCATTAACACCTGGGCTTCAGGAGAGATTGTCGACAGTTTGTTGGATAGATACAGTTGGAGTTTTGGTATTGCCTTGTGGGCTTTCACCTTCCCTTTGTCTTGTATTCCATACTTGGCCTGCTCTGTCCATATGAGACTCAAGGCCAGAAAGACTGAAGAGTGGCAGACAATTTGTGCTGAAGAGAAGGCTTCTACTGTCAAGTTGAACGAGAAGATGGCCAGGTACGAAAGGGAGTTGGAGAATGGTGCTTCTCCAGTCTGGAACTACACTAAGAGAACTTATGCTTGTGTCTACTTCTGGACCAAGGAGGCTGCTTGGAGAGTCGACTTCATTGGCTGTATTCTTATTATTGCCATGCTTGGTTGTCTCTTGGTGCCTTTGACTTTGGCTGGTGGTGTCAGCAAGAAATGGGCTGAAGCATCTACTATTGTTCCTTTGGTGATTGGTTTCTGTCTTATTCCATGTTTCGTGTTCTGGGAGATGAAGCTTGCCACCAACCCATTGATTCCTTTCCCATTGTTGAGAGACAGAGGTATCTGGGCAGCCTTTTCCATTGCCATTCTTTACACCTTTATCTCCAACATGCCTAATTCCTATGCTTTCCCAGTGTTGTATGTGGGTATGAATGCCAGTAAGGTTGTGGCCACCAGAACGCCATTGTTGCTTCACTTCGTTTGTGCTTTGACCTTGCCAGCCATTGGTTTCGTCTTGAGTAAGGTGAGAAGAACCAAGGGTTTCATCTTGTTCGGTATCATGGTTTGGTTCATTGCCATGGGTCTTTTCGTCCACTTCAGAGGTGACAACGATGGTCTTCGTGGTAAGTACTTCCGTGATGGTGTTGCTGTGGGTATGTGTTTGCTTGGATTTGGTCAGGGTTTCTTCAACAGACTTGTTTCTGTCTCTGCCCAGACTTGTACAAACCACGAGTACATGGCTTCTGTTACTGCTATGTTCAATGCTATCTACCAGATCGGTGCTTCCTTTGGTAAATGTGTTTCTGGAGCTATCTGGACCCAGACCATGTACGATACAATCAAGAAACACATGGTGGACTTGGGTGCTGACCCTGAGTTGGCTAAGGATGCTTACAAGGCTCCATACACTTTCATTGAAACATACAAGTGGGGCTCTACTCCAAGAATCGCTGTTGTGTTGGCCTACGCTGAGGTCCAGAAGAAGCTCTGTATTGTTGGTCTTTGTCTTTGTGCTCCTCTCTTGTTCTTCGCCCTCTTCTTGAGAGACCACTACTTGAGTGATGCCCAGTCTTTGGAAGAAGTCGATGAAGAGCAGCAGCCAACTAATGCCGACACCAAGATCTCCAAGATGGTCTTTACCAACGATAATGACCCAATCTTTAATATATTAAGAAAGGGCTACAATGCCTTGAAGTTCTGGTGAACTTCTCCACCTAATAGAGTTAATAGAATAGTTTAATTGAGGTTGCGTTTATTAAACGAAGTAGAATTGCCGGAATTCGAAGAAACAAAAAAGCCTATGGTTCTAAAACCTTTTGATTTAAGCTGCAACGATGTTAGAAGCATCGGTGTACTTAGCCTGAGCGATAGAGATCTCCTTCTGAGAAAGGTCGTAGTAGACGTAAGCAGATCTCAAGAAGACATCACCAAAGATAAGAGTGCTGGTACCTGGCTGGACACCCAAGAGACAGTAGCCCTGGGACTTCCACACAAGGTCCTGGTACGAAACGTTGATCTTGTTCTTACCAAAGTCGAACGTCAAGTGCTTGTCGGTAGGCTGGTCACAGTCCACAAAGTAGAAGCCCTGGGTAAGAGTACCACCAAGCTCCTTTCCAACAGCATCAATAAGGTGCTGAGGCCACAAGTTCAAAGAAGTACCGGAGTCCAAGAGGATCTCGGCATCCAAGTCAATAGTCTGGCCAGCGACTTCAGCGCTTTCAACGTTAAGGGCCAAACCTCTAGTGCCAGCAACAGGGTACTTGGTCAAGTCACCTTCGTACTTCTCGGTGTCAATACCACCGAAAATGATGGAACCCTTGCCCTCGGCTTCAGAACCAAGGTACAAAGAGTAAGAAGCCTTTGGAGTAACACCAGACTTCTGCAAAGCCCATGGCAAGTTGTCGTACTGGTTGTCGGTGGCCTCCTGGTTCTTGTCAGCAACACCCAAGATACCCTGGGAGTTGGTCTGGGCTCTGTCGACCACAGCAAACTGGAGATCGTTCAAGAGGTTTCTGCCGTCCTCTAGAGCAAAGTCGTCAGTGACGTACTCACCCAAGGCGTAGGAACCGTCCAAGTAGGAAATGAAGAAATCCTCACCAGTCTTCTTATTGGCAGAAGACTTGGATGGGTCAAAGCTGCCACCCTGAGGGTTCTGGATCTTAGGACCGTAGACCCAAAGATCGGAAGAGCCAGTGTCCAAGAGCACAGTCACAGGCTGCTTGTTGGAACCAAGCTTCAAGTCAAGCAAGTAGGTGATATCTCTGTCGTTGGTAAGACTGGCGGTCTCGTGTCTTTTGGACAAAGAAAGACGCGTAGTGAGCTCCTGAGCCTTAGCGCCAATGTCCACAGCTGGAGTGGATTCGTTAAAGGTCTTCTTCACAGTGAAGTCAAGCTTAAGTGGAGCACCGTTTCTCTTCTGGAGAGAGTCGGCGTGGTTTTCAGGCACCACCAAGGCGCTGGTGAAGGCCAAAGCGAGAGAAAAGATAGTCAAGAAAGGAAGCATGGAGAATGTAATGGATAGTCCATAAACTCTGGGGAGTTTCCCGGTATTTATGCCATTGAGGTGTGGAGACAACAAACCCGGAACGCCGCCAGAAGAGCCGTACGGCAGCACTCCCCGATAATGTACAAAAGGTGTGGTAACCCCAGATGTGGTGGTTATGAGGAATGTGACTCGGGTATGCTTGTACGTTGTGGTTTTGCGCTAACTGCAATGGCTGCAAACGAGTACTGTGGAGCGCAAGGCTTAACACATGAACAAACCGAACCTGGAATTACGCGTGGCACCGGAATTCATGGCCATTTTTCCCCAGACCGGGCTTAGTGTGATTTGGCGTGGCTCCAAATGCCCAGCCTTTTTGGAACCGCTGGTGTCCATATTTTGTCTTGACAGGTGCCAAGATAAGACTTATGCGGATACCCGAGTTTGACAGGTTTGACGTGCTGATCCTGATAAACTGTTTAGGCACTGTTGCTGCAACTACGCAACAGCCAACCAGATAAGAGACTCAGATACCCACAGGGTGTGGGGGAACCGGGCCCCCCTTTTTTACTCCCATTCAAGCAGATCGCTTATTTGGCTTCATTGCTCGAGGTAAGTGTTCCCGTAAACATGGCCTTATGCGAGCAAGCCACGTCAAAGCCACATGCTTATGGTTTAGCTGGCTCCGGATATTGAGAGTTGTTGGAGGTCTCAGAACCACATGGGATGCCTCTGTATTGATTAGACACTTCTTTTTCTTGGCCATGCACTAAAGGGTATTTTTGTGGTATCTGGATAAGAAGTGTTCTTCATATGTCATAGCAAAAAAACCGTTTATTTTGTGTCAAGGCGGTTTTGTGGTTTGTAGCACAAGCTCACAAAGAGCCACGCTTGTTTCAGGTAAACAGAAGGTTCCAATCGTGTGTGGCAGCCGAAGTGGCTCTCCGAGTCCCGGGGCTTTCGGTCGCCTATACTTGAACGTTCGGGATCTAAGGCACCCCTTTACGGCTCCTGATGCAGCACTACTTACGTCGTTTATTTCATCTACTTACCAGTCTGACGGGTTAAATGGTATGAGGTCACTGAGTGGAGATGCCGCTTTAGAGCGTTCTAGGGACGGCAGCGTCGATCTGGTCTTTCTGCTTGATTTTTCCGAACTCTCCTGGTCGCTAGAGGAAGCAACTGACTCGAGAAGCTCGTCCACCATCCGGTGTGGATCATCCCAGGCTGTGTAGCAAGTCAAGTACTCACTAGGATGGCTTCTGGTGGTTGCATATGGTGGGAACCCAATTATGACATGCGGAGAAGGACACGAACAGACCTGGCTTTCTTTAGCTTGCTTTTCCTTTTTGCATCTTTCTATTAAGTCGTAGATCCAGTTGGCTGGTTTATGAGGAACAAGCTCCTGGGCTTCTTCATCAGTGTAGGTTCGTGGAAAGAACGCCAGGGAATGAGCCAATAGTATATGTGGAAGAGGTTTAAACTGGGGCTTGAAGAGGTTTGCTAGGGATGCTGGAATGGTCTTGTTACCCACTCGGCGGTTTGTTTGTGACGTCCTCAGTGGATGGAAGTTGCCTTGGATGGAAGGGTCTTGGTTAGGCCTGTTATTGCTGGTTCCATTAAAAGTATTCTGGTGGGCGTCGTTAGGCCTGTTGTAATACTCTGGATTGGCATCTGGCTGCAAATGTCCTGGGTAGGTATTTCTGTTGAAGTCCTGATCATTCTGAGGAACTTCATAGCCAGCATTAGTTCCATAGACATGGTATTCCCTAACATCCCCTGTTTCAGGGTCATAGAAGCCAAATATCTGAACACCACCATTAAACGTCTGGCCGTTATAAGTATTATGGGTTGGGCCGTACTCATAGTATCCGTTGTTGTAGTACTGTGGCATAAACGGCATGCCTTGAACATAAGACCCGTTATACTGGTACCCATAAGGATTATAATGGTAGTACGGCTGCTGATAATAGCCTTCATTTGGTACAGTTCCATAGTAACCTTGATATGGATATTGGTATTGGTATGGATATTGGTATGGGTACTGGTATGGGTATTGGTATTGGTACTGGTATTGTGGGTTGTCTTGAGGCTGACCACCATTGGCGTTGTAGGGCTGCCCGTAGGGGTACCCATTATTCGTATTCATTAGAGCAAACGAGAAAGTAGAATTTAAAGGGTATTAGCGAATTTAGAAAGCTTTACTCTTAAGCTGCTGGACTAGGAAAGGTGGTTTCCAGCTTTTGAGAAATGGCTGCAAAACACATAGTGTGCGGTGAGTACAAACGAAAGAAGCAGGGGAAGCTAGAGTGCTACGAAGAAGAAGCAGTAGGGTCTGATAAGAGAAGGAAGAGGGCTATTTAAGACGTTTAAGGATCCATTTGGATGTCTTGTAAGGGTCTTTCTGGTGCTTCCCTCACTGAGACATAGTGAAGCTACATGTAATCTACCATAGAGAGGAGCATGTATTGATGTAGTTACCTTACCGAAACTACCAAATATGCTTCGGTTACACAAAGCTGGGCCAACGAAGACCCAATAAAGGCCTAATTACGGCGCCGTCCCATTGTTCGTCAGGTACGCTGGCTAAGTGTGAGTTGCACTTGATGGAGCGTGTAACGCAGCTGGTCACACGATCCCAATCAAGAAGCAGTGGCTCTTAGAACGGCTTTCTGAAATCTAACGGCTTTCTTTACCCGCAGTCAGATAACAAACTTCATGCAATCGTCCAATCATCTCAACTGTGGATTACACAGCCGTTCATCGGTGTACCATAGATCACATAGAATCACTAACCAAGCTACCAAATTGCTGCCACTTATCGGATGCGCTAACAACTGGAACGCTGTTCATGTTGCTATCGACCTATCATCTTACCAGCTGGTTATCGTGATCCAGCGCCGAGAACAGTCGCCGCAATCGGATATCATCAAAGCTGATAACCAAGTTCCACAAACAAGGTGTGGCGACCAATCTCAGCGAACAACCCAGGTATCGTGGAGTCACGTTCATCTCACAAAACTGCAACGGTGCAACGATTGTGGTGTCGAGTATCACGATTTGCGCTTAGTGCCGTTCGAGCAAAAGGCGTTGCGCATATAGATATCCCCGGTAGCGGCAAACTGTGGTTTCGCTACAGCGAATAGAGGCAAGCCGTTGCAGTAGAAGAAGCTAAGTTGCTGCTTTTCAAAAATCAGCACGCCGCATCAACACTTCAACTGACCTGCCATCGATGTCATTGGCCAGCTTGATAAGAGATAGCGATAAGTCTCACAAAACCAGTATCACACACACCTCACGCTCTTATCTCTCTTCTGTTAGTATCGTCTATAAGCATCTCAGCCCATCCAAATATCTCCATAAAATGCGTTAAGGTTCAGTTCGAGTGGATCAAACTCGATAAATTGACCTTTTTGTATGTTGGGGCCATGTTTCGTTGACCCTCCGATCTCACCATTGGCGCAGAGCACCAATCCCAGACATCCCTGGCCTACTTGCCAAGGACTCACTGGATTGCCGTCGTCATTTTTCAAATCAAAGCTTCTAGTATCCTCAAATGGCGGTACGATAGCCACCCTGAGGCTAAACCTACTCTTGTAGTATTCAACCATATCCTCAGGGTCCTCGAACGTCTTCGCCGTGAATGCATTTCCAAAGTCATCACTCACATCTGGGTTTTCAATCGGGCACACGGCAAAGCCTCCCGTCATCCATGCGAGTTGGTTTGTTGACTCTGGGTCCAAGTGTCCAGTGTGGACACTACAGACTTGTGGTGCTTTCTCCTCTTCAGGTGGTTCGTCACCCAAGGCGGCAGGAAGGTACTTGTTGAAATGGAAATCTTCATCTCCAGCAACGATAAACCCTAGCCAGAGTTCCTGAGCAATACTGCCACGGTATGAAGCGGGCCAGTAGGCGCCCAATTGTAGCAATGTACTGAGGGCACCGAAATGACGTGCCTTGTTAATGACTGCCACACCTGAGTCTTGCATCTCTTGAAGGCCTTCAAAGAATGGCAACGAAAGCGAAGTCTCAGTCAAGATCGGAATGTTGAACATCACAGTGTCGACCAACGAGGGCGACATCTTGTTGAAGAAGTCAATGTTCTTCTCCTTACGGTTATGCATAGGTTTGGCTCTGTAGAAGTAAGCTCCAGTGTTTTTGTACTCTTTAAGGTTGAAAAAGTATTCTGGGTTCTTCAAAGGCACAATAGTTGGGTCCATGAGAAGTGCTTCCTCGAAGGAACTTGCAAAAGTCGCCAAGATCGAAAGCGGATAGTCTTCCCATCTGTCTTTAGCTTCAGGAACGAGAACAGACAGAGCATCAACAAACCAGAGCTCTTGCTGCGTGAGTCCCACCTCTTCATTTTCCAACATCAGCTCGCCGATGTGCTCAGCCACCTTGGTGAAACTAGGCGGAAGGTCAACAAAAGGTTCCCTGGCCAGATCGCTCAACTTTTGCTTCTGCGTCTCCTCAAGCTGCCCATAAGACAAGATTTGAATAGGCAATTTGTTCTTCAAGGCACGAAGCACTCTGATAAGCGAGACGGTCTGGTCTATATAGGTAGGGTGGAATGGAATCACAATACCCTTACCATTAAGCTTATTCTTGTAGACATTAAGCCAGCAAGCTCTATTACCCGTAAGCTTAGAACGAACAGGTTTACCGCCCCTTTCCAGCTCACTATCCAGTTCCAGAGCGCCCTTCACGTAGTCAGACATGTGCGGTGGGCTCTTGACGATATTGCCCAGAAACCGTTCATACACTGGAAACTGGTACGAAAGCCATGGATAAACACGAGCTTCCAAATCAGCGCAATCAGGAAACTTATTAGCAGAAAGCTCCCTTTCCTTATCTGTTTCAGTAAAGCGACCACTGGAGAAACGACCCACCAGACGCGCCTGCGAGGCGGCAAACCTATCCAGTCGCAGTTTAGACTTTGGGTCGTCCCTGTTGACGTAACACTTGCTAAAGATACGGCCATACGCAAGCTGCTCTTGCATTTCCTTCTCGTTCTTCTTGGCCTTATCCTTGAGGCCATCATAAACCTTAGCGATGGCCTTGTGAACATCCTTCCCGTCAACCTTATCGGGCTCCTTATTCTGGGCAAGCCCTATTCTCTTCCTGGTGATCTCCTCGTACTTCTTCTTATAGTCGTCCCAGGACATTTCATACTCCATATCCATCTTATACCGGTTAGGAGTATCCATAACCCAGTTTGAGTCACTAGCCACGTACAAATTCTTAAAGAAGGCGTCACAACGATCCGAAAACGAAAGCTGGAGCACCTCTTCAAGCGGATGCTTGGTGAACAAATCATCATAGTTCAGTGAATGGATCTCAATACGTCTTGGATCCGAAACGATCTTGGCCTCATTGAGCCAGAACTTCACTGTAATGCTATCCACGAGTTTCTTAGGAATGGCGTGCCCCTCATAGTTATTAAGCGGATTGAGCTGGTTAAACTTATTGGTCAAGTACGTCAACGCCTTGTGTCTATGGTGAAAAACGAAAAAGTTGATGGCATTTATCCATACAATCACCAAAAGCAAAAGAATGAACCTGCGAGTAGGCAGTTTGAACTTGGTGACGATCAGCAGAGCCAACAGCGACGCCCTAGCTGTAAAGGCCATTTTCACCATTCTTTAAACCAGTAAATAAAAAAGAGTAGGCTCCAATGCTTATGGTTTCCAGGCAAAGTCAATTACGAAGTGCACCTGCCTAACGTGGGCCTATATAGAAGCGATCTTTTGACGTCCAAAACACGAGAGGGCTGCAGGAACAGCTGCGCCACTGGAGCATCGAATCTGGCTTTTTATTCGACCAGCAGGCCAAAAGGGGCGGTTTAAGGGGGGAATGGAGCCAAGGGGGACCGAAGGGGGTGGGTCAAAAGGGATGGGTATATAAAGGGCAGGTTTTCTGGGGGGATTTTACAGGGAGTTTTTTGCTGGAGGGGTGGTCTGACTTACGCCGCGCCAGCTCCAGCTCCAGCTCTGGAAGGCCCCAGGCCTGAAAGAGCCCAAGGTTTTGTGGTACAATTAACAAGGCACCAAAGTAGACAAGGGAATAATAAGGGATATTAATTAGGCCCACGGGGTGTTCCTTATAATTAAGAACCTCTTTTTTATCTACTCAAAACCTCAACCTGTTGTTCTTCTGCCCATCCTCTCCCCTTCTCTTCCTTTCCTAACGCAGGTCTACTAAAGCAGGTTGGGCGGGATCGCTCGTTTGAGCTACAGATCGTGTGCCTACGCTTACGAGGTGAGAAATAAAGTACGTTTTGGGAAACAACAACAGGATATTTTTTTGCCGTTTTTTTTCTCTGTAGTAGATCCATCGTAAAGACAATACACCGGTAGATCTATCGTGATGAAGATGAAGGGCTTGGTGGTGGATTGCGGTGGATGGTGATGGTGGTGGCTCTGGTGAGGCAGTGCTGGTAGGTTGCGTGGGTTAGGGGAATAGGGTGTTGCTTAGATGACTTGATGAACATGGAGGGTGGTTTAGTGGTTTGGAGAGGTCTGGTTGTAGTTAATGTAGGAGCTTCTCTTACTGTTCCATCCTTTCAATCTCAAAGGGATCCAACAGTTTAGGGAAAAGAGCTTCGCCTAGCAATTGTTCACTCTTTGGTGGATTCATACTGGACCTGTTGGACTGTGGTGGCTTGGACCTGGGCGTGTCGTTGAACTTGTACTTGAGAAAAGGCGAACCAAACGAGTTTTCATCAAGCTTAAAGTCAGGAAGCTTCAAATCAGGCGTTGGTCCCCAAAGCCAATTCTTCACCGAATCTCTCGTTGGCGTGTCTCTGAGGAGGATCAACCACTATATCGTCTTTAGTATCACCCTCAGCACCATTCTTGGTACTCAAAGTTGTAGTCAGAATCTTCCACTTCACGAATCGTATTAGCCTCTTTCGTAGGTTCCAAGGTGTTTGTAGCAGGCGTATCAACTTCGCCCATAGAGCCAGGCGTAGCTGATTGCTTTGAAGAGGTCTGGCTGGGTACCTGCTGTGGGAGCAGGTTGAAGCTTGGAAGTAGCTGGAGCTTCCTAGGGCGTTCTTTGGTAGGTATAGTAAGAAGGCAGCTAGTGATGCTGATTATTGACTTGGGGTTCTGACTTGACCTTTTCAGGGAGGTTTAGGGAGTGGTTTTCTTTTGAACTGCTAGGAAGGTGTATTAAGGGATTGGGGTTCCGCTGTAGGTGGTAATGGGGGGATACTGTTAGTCTGAGTGCCATGACCAGAAGTGTAGTACTGGCTCATTTGGCTGAATAAACCAGTACGTTTTCTGGGTACTTCCTCTGCCCTTGAGCTATTCAAATGGCTGAGTAGTTCCTTGGTTTCCTCGAATATCGTGGTATTCTCGGTGATGAGACATCACCACGCTTACTGAAGCGAGTATCTCTGCTAGCAGTGGCTTCGTTATGGCTGGAGCCAAAGATGTCAATTTTCAGTAGTAAAAGATATAAGTACTTAGCTTCAGTAGTACTTTGTGGCTTCTCTTTTGGAGTGATTAGCCTGTACTTTTCTGTATTGACGAAGTAGCCTTATTGGATTTAGTTTGGCCTACCTCGAAATCATTTATCCTCTTTAATGGATTCATCATGACCATTTAGCCTTTAAAACAATTTTCACCATAATTTTTGGCCTCCACAAGCGATAAAGAACAGTTGCTTAGCATCTTCTTAAGGGCCCTATCGTCATCCATACCTTCAAGGTAAGTTAAACCAGTAGCCAACAGAAAGTATTCACATGAAAATGATCATAAAAAACTACCTTTGACGGTGAATCATCCATTTAAATTTTTTTGATTGTTTAGAGGCCCTAGAAACCCACCCACAATAAGCTATTGCAAAGGTTAAACAGCCCTGGAACATAGATACTACCATTTGAAGTAACCGAACACAGAAACCAGGAAAGGATAACCGATATCAATTGATACTAGCACAACAATTATGAAGAACCGCCAAGAGGCAAATTGATTGTTGGGTTAACGAATTGACAGTGGGCCAAAGTAGTGATCTTCTGCAACCAACAAGAAGTCGCTTACCCACGGAAAGATAACAAAGCAGAGCGGTAAACGTAGTAATTTTTTAGAAAAGATTTAAGTGACGTACCAGGTGCTTCAAACAAGTTGTTGGGCTCAAGCGGCGCTCGAAACGGACCCACCATTTTCATAAGACTTGAAACGATGGTTGCTCTTGCATTAGATGACAGAACATGACAAATTTATTTGGATTTAGCCAAAAAGGGCCTGATACTGCCAATGTTTGATATTCAAAAGAGCAAAAATTAAGATACAAAAGGCGTCGTCTCGAAGTATCTAATGCAAGATAGACGGCTCAAAACCTGATGCAAGTATTTCTAGATCTAGCTTTAAGGTTTGACGATAAATAGAAGTCCCAGGGGAATAAACCATGATGGTTTTTCGATCCCTTGAGTTACTCCAACAACTATTAAACATGATGTATAAAAATTATCCAAAAAAATCAAAAAGTAGGGGTATGATCCACGTAAACAAGATCTTCTCTCAACGGCTTCTCGATGCAAATGATCCTTCTCTGGACCAGAGGCCAGAGACATTTTCCAAACCCAAGTATCACTTTCATGTGCATGTCGTTCGTGGGCTCTGAAGACGGCTCGAGTCCCAAGGCGTCTAAATAACGGTAACAATGGGGGCCCAGCCTTGAAGCGTTTGTGTACGGCGTTCGACAATCAGCAACCACGTTGACGTGGCTGGCAGAAGCCAAACGAGTAATTAGGCGCAGAGACAAGAGATAAGGGAGATTATTGGAGGCAAGTATTTTATTGATGATGATTAATTTTTGGAGAACAGAGTTTTCCAAGAAATTTAGACATGTAAACGTTGTTGGTCGGCAGTAATAAGAGCCGACCCAAAAGTGCTTACCCCGTAGGATTACCCCAGAAAACACGCTAATTTCAATTGCAGTCCGAAAACAACCAAAAAAAGAACAGTAAATTGCAGCCAGTAAGCATTGAATATTCCCCGCCGCCCCAGCGACAATGTAGGTTGATCGAAACGTCTTTTAGTTGTTCGCTTCATTCCGTGAGGGCCTATTTTTCACAGACCACATCCAACAAGACAATCCAGAAGAGCTAACAATAGCAGCCATTTTGTTAACAGGGCCAGAGCTATAAATAAGAAGAGATGTAGAATAAAGTAAACAAGTAAGCTTGTCAATTGAGGTGGAAGTAATGTGAACCCTCTGCCTCCTCCACCTCCCTCCATCCCCAACTACCTTTACATATACGCTGCTCCCGATTCCGTTTCTTCTCTATACTATCAACGCAAGGCTTGGTCTTGGCTGCACTGACATTGACGTGTGGAGGAACCCATCTTGGTCAGATTACCATGTGAAGATGGTGCTGTTATTCCACTACACGCTGACGGAGTGCAACGGGCCATTTAGCGGTTTGGAACCGAAACAGGTTCGTTTTTTGGGATCCTGCGCATATACTAATTTTCGATGATCCTGTGAAAATCAATGAAATCCAGGAGTAATGTGGTAGAGGTGAATTAGAGTACACATTGTGGGAGGGCTGGACTGTTCGGACATACTGGCAGCTTAATACCGCGCGTGTTCAGAGGGCGATGTTTGCGTGGGCGAGACAAGTTTGCTGGTTGACGTCGGTGTGTGACGTGGGCCAGGAAAGTGACCAAAAGGCAAAGGGGAGGTTTTTTTTGGTTTGGTAGAGAAGCTTGGAAGGTGGATTCCTTGGAATTGGGTTGTTGTGCTTTTTTTTTTTTTTTTTTTTTCGCAGCCATTCTTCAACTGAACTGCCCCTCATACTTTTGCGTTTCAGGCACTTATTCCATATCCCAGTCCCACAAAACTATCCAATAAGCCATTGCCTGCCGTCTGATCTTCTCCCAGCCCCACCCTCTGGTAAATCCTCCTACTCTCCTTAAACCTTCAATTATTCAACCTTCACTTTAAACGCTTCGCCTTGGGAACCTTAAAGAAGGTTTACTTCTATGGGGATTTACCCCATTCGGCGTTTAACCCGGTGGTTCCGCTGCTTTTGGTGGTAAAGTCCGTAGGAACATCAGCATGTGAAAGGGCTTCCTGGATTATCACGTGACCAGAGCTGCCCACGCCCATCTACATGCCCATACAATATCTCTCCCATGCCACCTCTTCTCCTTCGTCTTCCTTTTGCAACCAACCTCCAGGCGTGACGCGCAATTCATAAAAAAAACAAAGTGTCCTGCATATAGATCCTCGGACTATAACGACTTCCTCTTCCAGACCTGGAGGAAGCCCACTTCTATACACTCCGCGCGTCACCTACCCTCCCTTCTCACCATACTCCGTGGACGATCCCCTCACCCAAACCTGCGTCTCCATGCACGCCTTGCATTACCCTGCTTATCCCAATGGGCCCCCCAATTACCTATCCCATTATCAAAATGTCGCCTACCTATCCACACAAACCGCCCCTCTCAATGTGTGTGTGTATTTGTTTCCCCAGTTGCTGTGGGTGTCTTTCACATGCCTCTTCTCCCACCTGTCACATCTAACGGTTAAATAAATGCCTCCATCTTCCTCCCTAGGTTAAGCTTCTACTTCATCTTTTTTTCTATATGGGATTTGTTCACGATATTTCAGATTCTGTTCAGAGACACCACGCCCAGGTGGCCGAGTACGGCGTTTTAGGGTATGTGGGTGTTTTTCTTGTGTTGGTGTTTTCGTACTGGTTGTACCGTACACTTAAGATCTTCTACTTGAGAAAGAAGTTTGGTGCAGAATTGGCGCCATGGATTCCAGAGTCAGGCTGGTTCAACTCGAGACCAGCGCTTGAGATGTTTGCCAGAAAGAGAGATGGCAATTTGGTGGGCTGGTTGTGGACCATTTGGAATGGTGATAACGAGAACTTCAGAGTGAGAATTGGCGGTGATACATTGTTTGTTACTACTGAACCAGATAACTTGAGAGCCGTGTTGGCTACCCAGTTTAACGACTTTGCCTTAGCCTTGAGACACTCTCACTTTAAGCCCGTTTTGGGTGACGGTGTGTTTACCTTGGACTACTCGGGCTGGAAACACTCGAGAGCTCTTTTGAGACCAAACTTCTCCAGAGAGAAGGTGTCCCACACTCAGGCTTTGGAGAAGCACGTTCAGCATTTGTTCAGACACGTCAGAAAGCATCAGGGTAACAAGTTTGACTTGCAAGAATACTTTTACCGTTTTACCGTTGACACTTCAACTGAGTTTTTGTTTGGCCAGTCTGTGTATGGTCTTTTGGATGAAACCATTGGCGAGTACCGTGACGAGGAGTTTGAAGGTCAGTTTGAGTTTTACGAGGCTTTCAACCGTGCCCAGGAGATTTTGTCTACTCGTGCTTGGATGCAAAAATGGTACATGTTCCATAACCCAATGGACTTCAAGAGGAATACCAGAATTGTTCACAACTTTGCCGACTATTACGTGAAGAAGGCTCTTAATATGAGCGAAGAGGAGCTTGAAAAGGCATCTGACGGTTACATTTTCTTGTATGAACTTGTTAAGGAGACGAGAAACCCTCAAATGTTGCGTGACCAGTTGTTGAATATTATGATTGCCGGTAGAGATACCACTGCTTCCTTGATGACGTTTTCTTTCTTTGAGTTGTCCAGAAACCCAGAAATCTTTGAAAAGTTGAAGGCTGAGATTCGTGAGAAGTTTGGTTCTGGTGAGAGCGGTAACATTGGTGACATTACATTTGAGACCCTTAAAAAGTGTACTTACTTGAAGTATTTCATTAACGAGGTTCTCAGATTGTACCCAGCCGTTCCTATCAACTACAGATTTGCCAACAAGCATACGACGTTACCAAGAGGTGGTGGTCCAAACGGAGACAAGCCTGTGTTCATTGAAAAGGGTACCTGTATTGGTTACTTGGTCTGCTGCACCCACCGTAACGAAAAGTACTACGGTAAGGATTCGCATGTCTTCAGACCAGAGAGATGGGCTGACAGAAACTTGAAGCCCGGTTGGGCCTACTTGCCATTTAACGGTGGACCAAGAATTTGCTTGGGCCAGCAGTTTGCCATTACCGAAGCATCGTACGTGATCTCGAGATTCATGATGGAATTCGACAAGATCCAAGACTTCTACCCTGAGCCTGAAAGATACCCACCACGCCAGGTCTCTCAATTGACCACTACCCTCGCTACCGGCTGCTGGATATCCATGGAATAGAATAATACTTGTATATGGCCTATATTTATGCATCATGACTCCCTTTAATAATATGTACCATAAATCTCGACCCTGGAGGCTTGTAAGGAACTCGATACACAGCCTACATTTACGAGTCGTTTATTGCTGCTCCATCTAGTAATTCCCACATCTCATTGTACTAAAACGACATTTTGATTCCGTTCTTGATGATTTACCTAAAGTAGTTGTTGCACCGAGTCCGAAGTGCCAGGGACCATAACCATCGCTCGAAGCGAACCTTAATCACAACCAGTACTTCAGTATCAGAGTCCAGCTGATGGCGTACCGGTGTTTCCGCCTTGGCACTACAATGTGAACGTGAATGACAATATCCACCAGCCAGCACAATAAGGCGCCAAAGAGCAATATACCACTGACACAATATCGGTACTTCCACCCTTTGCAAAGCGGAATACCAGCTCTGAATCAGCGACTCAGCTTTCTGTGGCGCATATCCTTTCTTCCCAGTTTCTACTTCTACAAAGCATAGCTCATTCATCATAAATTAGGTCTCGGATGGGTCCGAGAATATTAGATAGACAACAGCTGGACACTTACAACTTGGCCTTCTCGGCCTTGGTTCTTGGGTCCACTTCACGCAAGAATGGTTCAATCGACGCAGCCTTCATCAAGTTACCCTTGATCTTCAACTTGCCGCCCATGTACATTCTCTGTGGGTTGGCCTCGTTATTGATCAACTTGACAAAGTCCTTATCTTTCAAGGTCAAGTGAATGTCTGACTTGGGGGCCTTGCCGTCAAGTTTCTTCACAATACCCTCCTTCTTAAAGTCCAACAACCAGGACTTACTCTCGCCCTTTGGGTTTTTCAAGGTAATCACACAAACCGAGTTGACCTTGGCAATGGACTTCTTCTTAAGCTCAGGGTCATCATCCACAATCAGTTTCATAAAGTCAAATAATTCAGAGCCGTAGAAGCCCTCCTCTGCAAGTGATTCGTCTGACATGTTTTGATGTATTTTGGTTTAGACTTTTTTTCTCTTCTGCTGTTAGCTGCACTGGCTGCTATCGGCTCTTTATATCACCGATAACGCGGGGAGACTGCCCCCGCGAAAAATCTCCTTGTGGTGGGTCTCAACAGCCATGTGATTGCAACATCCATACCTTTTTCTTTAAGGTACACTAGAAACCGAGGTTTCTTAGAGGGGCGCTTTGGAACAATGGCTCTTGCATGTTCTATGTGGACGGTCTTAAATATGGCGGCCGAAACTATTACTGTAAACGGCTGGAGAAAACCTCTCGGCCGCGCACTATGCGTAACCCGATCCCCTCCTCCACGCTAGCATGAAGCGAGGTGGTTGCAAATTTGAACATACAAGTGAAGAAAGCAAGGATTGTTGGAGGTTGGAGGCAGGCGGTGATTTTCCGTAGTCGTTCCGTCCCCTCGCCAACGGCCTCGGTAAGAAACTGGATTGTGTTGATATTCTCTGATGTCATTCTCCCCTCATTGCATGAGACGTTATGGGTGCCTCGGTGATGAATGCTATCTGGGTGAAGTAAATCGGCGCCATGTGAAGCAAGTGTAGGTAAGTTTTTGATAATATTCGATTAGGAAGTGTGGAGAATGGTGAACATAGGAGGATCTCCTCAGGAAGATTGGTCTGGGGTGCAGTGAAGTGAGACAACCGAGGCGTAAATCCGCATCTACGTGCCTGAGATCTTCTGGTGTCTTGAAAGGAACGATGAGCATACTGGGACGGTAGGCATTGGTCTTGATGTGTTTATCACTTGATAGTTGCTAGATGGATTGGGAAGGTCGATATTTGAGCCAACGTAAAGCGAATTGCTAGGGTCTGGTTCAACAATTAGGTCATCTATTGTTCTTGAGAGACAACCGGCTCTTCTCTTTGTAAAGCCGACTTATCGTGTGATAATGGGTCCCGTTGTTTGGTAATGGCATCGATAGATGCGTAGTAGAATTAAGCTTTTGTACCAACGAGATACGAGTCATTCACCAATGCAGACCATTTCTCAAGTCTCCCAAACCACCTTGATTATAGCCCTCACGGAGGCTAAGGGGTCTGGAAAAAAGTATCACAAAAGTATATCCATGGCGCAGCCAATAGCCAAGCACAGAATTGACCATTCTGGTGGCCCTAGCTCAATTCGTATCCATTCACGACGACAGCGGTCTAGGTAAATCCTTCATGGCGATATCTTCATGTCTCACCTGGCCAGTCTCTTGTTGGTCCAACATGTTATCAAAGAAGGTAGTCCTGAGCTCCTTCCACCGCGTAGAGTACGTAGAAAGCGTCACCAAAATCACAGCACTAAGGATCTGAAGGCACCACCAGAGCAAAGATGTAGGAAACTTACCCGTGTAAAGCCAAACCACTCCCAAGTTCACCACATGCACAGTCACTGCAAAGTCCCAAGCCAACTTGGACCTTCCCACTATGATCGTAACGAACAACACACAAAGCAATGTGTCGATGAGCCACATGACAAACAAAATGAGTCCCATGGCGTTATCAGGAGCAATGAGTTCCCACGAGAAGATCCAATCAACGCTGAAGTCGTACCCGTTTAGCAGTGCCACCAAGTAGAAGATGATAAGGGCTGTGAGGTAGTAGAAACATTGAAGAACGAGGATTTGGAGGAGAATTTTTCCTGGGTTCTGTGTACTGAGGGAAGTAACGTTTTCGTTGCCCAGAAGTGGCGTATAGCCTGAAAACCACGACATTGTAGGAAGATGGATGGATGTGGATTGGATGGTCTCAAGGGCAGTGTTGATATTTACTGATCTGGGTCACGTGGAGAAATCCAAAACTGGAGATTTAAAGCGATTGAAGGAAGATTTGGGGAATTTGGGGGTTTCTTGGTTTTATTTGGGTTCAAATTATCCAAAATGATACAGAAATAGGTTTTTTGATGGTTTGGGTGGTTCACGATTTTGGACGAGAATGACCAGTGGCTGCGAAAATCACGAATCTTATACGAAAACGATGAAAATCAGCAAAACTATAAATGGACTTTAAAAATAGAAAATGCCTAAAATTTTAAGTAGAAGTTCGAGAGGTGGCTCTTTTAGATGTTTAGTTGCTTTTTCTTGCATTTCCGCCTTCCTGGCCCTGATTTGGGGATGGCCTTGCCTCAATCTCTATTCAACAAAAAAAAAAAAAAAAAATACCTATGAACAGCCTAGTACTACTCCTTAGTTCACTGATCTTTGTAAATGTACAATGCAAATGCTTCCACATAAATTGTGCCTTTTATTAACGAAGTCGATGACTTCTCTTGGTCAGTATGTATCTATAATATGTTTGACGTCGGCTTGAAGTTCACTGTACGGTGAAAACCTTTCTCAAGCCTGGTACTTCCTCTTCTCAGCAGCCCAAAACTGGCAGTTCTGGAAGAAGAGGAAGTCTTTTTAAAATCGTCCTGGTGTGACCCTCATCCTTATCACCATTACTTCTTCTTGCCCTTCTTTCCACCACCGCTGTTTCTGGGTTTACCCTGACCAGCTTGTCTGATGGTCTTGGTCTTCTTCCAGCTGCCTCCATCGGCTCTGCCTTCTTTTTGTTTTCTCTTCTTCGAGTTGATGTTATGCTTGTTTTTCGTGAGCTGTTGCATGGCTTCAGATTGGTGCTTTCTCTTTTCAGCTTCAGTCTCGAACCATGTTCTCTTTGGTCTGGACTGAATTTCCTTACCGTATTTCATGAGGTTATCAGCCTTGGCCAATTCCATCTCGGCGGTTAACAACTCTTTCTGCAGCTTCTCCTCGGCCAAAACCTCTTCAACAACATCCTTCTTTTCTGTGACAATGGTCTGGATCTTTTCAATTTCCTCCCAGTTGACGTTTCTTGAAACAGCCTTACCAGGCTGCTTGTTCTCGCCGCTCTCCAAAGACTTGATAGCAGCCTTGACAATGTTTCTGTCAGCAGCAGCCTCTCCCACGAAAGTAATAGACTTACCTTCTCTACCAGCTCTGGCAGTTCTACCAACTCTATGCAAGTAGATTTCGTGGGTCTTTGGCATGTCATAGTTGAAGACCATCTCGATCTTTGGAATATCCAAACCACGAGCGGCCAAATCGGTACAAATAAGAACAGGAACAGTCAAATTCTTGAAGTCACTGACATTATTAAGACGCTGCTCTTGTGAAAGAGAGCCATGCAATTCGGAAACCTTCATACCAAGCAAACCAAGAATAATTCTAAGCTTATGGGCGGTTTCTTTTCTGGAAACGAACACAACGGTTCTGTTTTGTTGCGATGGGTCCAAGAGTTTAAGCAAGTGGAACAAAAGAGCAGGCTTCATCTCCTCCTTCTTTCTGATACGGACGAACTCCTGGATCAACTTGGTAGCAGCAGCCTTTGGTGGATCGATCATGATTCTAACAGGCTTGTTCAAAGACAACTGAATCAAATCCTGGATCTTAGTGTTCATAGTGGCAGAGAACAACATGGTCTGTCTCTGATGCTTAGGAATAAGGGACAAGATTTCCGTCAACTCGGCCTGGAAACCTTCCTCCAACATTCTATCGGCCTCATCCATAATCAAAATGTCCAACGAGTCCAATGAAAAAGATGCAGAGTTTCTGATATGGTCAATAAGACGACCAGGAGTGGCAACCACAATATCTGGTCTGGTCTTCAACTGCTGCTCTTGTTGACGCAAGTTCAAACCACCCACAGCCAAACCAAGAGACAAGTTGTTGATGAAACGACCAATCTTCTTACCAACATCGCAAACCTGAATGGCCAACTCTCTTGTAGGCGTCAAGACAATGACTCTTGTCAGAGCAACCTTGGAAGGCTTATAAAGAAGACGCTCGATCACCGGGATCATGTAAGCGGCAGTTTTACCAGAACCTGTCACGGCACCGGCAACAATGTCCTTACCCATAAGGGCAATTGGAATAGATGCAGACTGAATTGGCGAAGGCTTGGTGTAGCCCAAGTTGGCAAGACCCTTGAGAACGGGACGGGAAAGGTCAAGAGACTGGAAAGTAGTGTGAGCTTGTGAGCTGTCCGCCTTCTCGTAGAACTGTGCCATGGCCTCTTCAGAGTCTTTATCCTCGTCTTCCTCGTCATCTGAGCCAACACGAGGCACTTCCTCGACATCGTCCTCTTCTTCCTCCTCTTCTTGAACTTCTTCATCTTCTTCTTCCTCGTCGCTTTCTTGAACATTCATACCGAAACCGTCCATAGCCAACTCGTCATCGTCCTCCTCAGGAACCTCGCCAGCTTCTTCCTCTTCCTCTTCTTCCTCATCTTCCTCCTCTTCCTCGTCCTCTTCATCCTCCTCCTTGGCTGCCTCTTCGGATCCTACAAGACCTGTAAGACCACCCTTACTTCTTAAGATATCATCCAAGTTCACATCTTTCTTCTTGTTTTCGGGCTTGTCCTCGGCCACACGGAAATCCCAACCGTCAGCGGTGTTTGTGGTTTCAAAACCATCAAGGGAAAACTGGAAATCTGGGTTTAAATCTTTATGTTCTTTGTTTTCTTCCTCTTCTGCCTTCTCATCTTCCTCATCGTCAGAGGGTTCTGGAGCTGGGCCTTCGTTCTCGGAATCACTGTCTATCGTCATGATAAGATCATCTTTCTTGGCCTTGGGGGCGGCGGCAGCCTTTCCAACTGCCTGCTTACTTTTCTTGCTTTTGGCCATTGTGTACGATTAGTGGGGCCTTGATCTGGAGTTGAAAATGTAGAGGCATCTCATCTCTTCTCAATTTTTGCACGTGCGCGGTCACGTGCAAATTTTCAAAACGTATAAGCAGCTCCCCACCGAGAACACCGAGGCCAATCTGGATCCTTTAGATTGAGTTTTTCCCTCTACAGTACCAAAACACATGTTTTACACTTCATCCCGTAGTCCTTATGTATTAATGTCTGGATGGCCCTAGACATAGTAGAAGCCTTCGGACGCTCTATTCAATTCGGAAAGGTCATAGAACTCGTCGTCACTCTCACCGTCAAACTCCACATTGGCGAAAGCCTTGCCCTCGAGAACCAAAAGTTGAGTATTTTTCCTAATGTCCTTGAGGGATGCCAATTGTGATGTAGTCTCTTTAGAAAGCTCGTTAAAGCCTAAAGATCCCTTCAACATCTTGAGTCCATCTAGCCAGACAGCCTTCTTCATTTCAGAATCTGTGAAGAATGTAAGTAATGGCTTATCGGCTTTGTTAAGAAGCGTGAGTCTTTCGTAGCAGATGGAACCCTTCACAGAAATCAACCGGCCATGCTTAGCTTTATCCTCTTCTCCCAAGGATTGACCAATCTTCACCGACGAGTAATGAGCGATATCCTTCAATTCGACATACAGAGCTTCCATTTCCTCCAACGATGGTTTCAACGTAGGTTTCTCAGCAAAGTACTTGTATAAGATGGCTTTTCTATTCGGACTGAGCATGAGGAAATAGTAGCTGTTGTCGACAGAGGTACTCGTTTTGTTCTTGAGGCGTTCAGCATGGGCCTCTGTAAGCACCCAGGAACCTTTCAAAAGCTGCATGACTCTTTGCTCACAAACAAAATCCATTACTTCTCTTTGCAAAGTGCTATCGAATTCCAGGAAGTATGGAGCCCATTTGGAGTGATGCTGTTTCTTCATTTCTAGGATCTGGTAGTGTCTAATCTGCTCAGACGTACGTTTTGTGAAAACTTCCAAGGCGTCTTCGATGGAGACGTCCTGGCCAAGGCTTTCTTCCAAGTATTTGACGTTTGCTTGAAGGAGCTTGACGATTCCGCTCATATCTTCGGTGTTTTCAAGCTGTGCCTTAGTGTCCTGCCATAAAAGCAAACAATTGTACATGGAAAAATAGATCATGAGCTCCCAGGAAAGAATATGAACATTAAGACGGGGGTATCTCTTTTTGTCATGGAACACATCGATCCAGAGCTTAGTACACTCAGAAATGAAGTGGTACAAAGGGAATGTTCTGTTATGGTCACTCATGATCAATTCTTCGTGGAAGCGCTTCTTAAACGTCATGTTTGGGTCTTTCAAGAAAATCTTCAAGTCCATGGCCAACAAGATACTGAAGTTATCAGCCACAAACTTCTGAGGGTCAGCGGTGAAGCCGGCCTTGACGTACTCGGCAGTCAGCGCAGGAGTGCCAAACTCGTTAAGCGAAACGTCCAAGAACTCAAAAAGGTTTCTCATCATGACATTATGCGATTCAAGCGAAAGATCAAACATGGTGTTCGAAAGGTACTCGTTCAAGTAGAAGTAGTAGTACTCAAGCTGGGCAATGGCTTCCTGAAGGATCTGATCCGAGGACTCGCTCAGGTTAGCCACAGTGGCAAAGAACTTAACATGCTTCAAACGTCCCGTCAAGGTGATAATCTTATCGTACTTGAACTTCAAGGCCCTTTTGATCAAGCCTGTGACCAAATGCACCGAGTAAAGCAACGTCTTCAAGTCAGCAGCGTACAACTTCGCTGTGATCATGTCAATAGCGTCCAAATGCGTGACAAGCGCTTTATAAAGCGGAAGATGAACATCAATAGACGACTCGTTGGCCTGAGCAGGGTAAATAGAGCCAGTGATCGAAGTCAGACAGATGGAAAGAATGGCTCTATACAAGTCAGGCGAGTTCGTCTTCCTGGCAGTCTCGAGGAGCATCAGAAAGAGCTCTTCGTCGAAAATCGACGAAAAGTCCAAAGGCCCAGCGCCCGGCGTACATTGCAAGAGCTTCGCTAGCACCGAGATGGAGTTGACCTTATCCTGATCCTCCGAGTTCAAGATGTTCGGTTTGAGCGCCGCCGCGTACGAAAGAGCCGTGCTGGCGTCAAGTCTGGTTCGGGAACTCGACGGTTTCGTCATAAGCTCATTGAGGATCCGGTTTATCTTCCACAGCTCAGACATTGGACGTGGTATGGCGGTGAAGTAGGCTCTGGGGAAAGATGAAGAATTGGGTGAAAATCGCGGCACTACTACTAAGAAAGAGTCCAGCCGCAGTGGTCGAGAATGTAGACGATAATACAAAGGGAGGGTAATAATGGGCCAAGGAAGCATGGGAAAAAAGTGCAGAAAAAAACCCCCTTCTGAAAGTGGGGTCGGCGGTTACGATGAGCTAATTAGATTTTTTAAACCACCGCCCAATGTGGCTTGAGCTAGGGCTATTACTACCAGCCTGCTGGGGCCCTGGTGCCTTATTTCTGCATCCAGCCACGTCTTCCATGCCCTACCGATCGATCTGGTCCCACAAGGTTCCGACGAAAGTGGGGCCACAGGGAGACGGGGAGGAAGAGGGAGAGGAAGTTAAATGGGAGGAATGTTGATTTTTGGTGGTTTTGGAAAGGGTGGGATTGAGGTTGGGAGAGTTGGAGGACTGGTTGTTTGAGGTTCTGGGTGACGTTGTTTAATGGATATCGGCTGCAGAATGGCTGCGAAGAAGGTGGACGGGGGGAGAGTACAACCAGGGATGGAGAAGGACAGCTTTTGGGCGTAAAAGAAAAGAGCTTTCGTTTCTGAAAACACGTTTTTATTGATCTGCTGGTGGCTTTTTGTAGGCGTCGTGGTTAAGGGTTGGAAATGCTGAGGTGAATGAATGGCTATCAGTACATACCTGTTACGTTGGAGGCTGGGGGAACGGCTAAATTTAGTTCCAGGGGAACGTCATTATTTTTTTCTTGGACTTGCCTTGAGCGATTTTCTGTTATCTGTGTTGGATCTCGTTTGAAAGGACAATGTAAGGTACTCACATTCATGTCTATGACAAGTGCCAGGGATGCGACATGGAATAGAGTTTGGAGGGACAGCGTGGATGAATGAGCCTTTGAAAGGGCAATTAAGACCGTATTTGGCTCGTATATGGGAAGTATAATTGTTTCAGGTTCCCCTACAAAAGCCACGGTTCTTAGGCTTCATTGAAGGCACTCAGCCTACAAGTGATAAGGAACTAAGCCTTTGAAGGGCACTGTTACTAATAGGTACTGAGGTAGACTTAGTTACTTAAAACTTCTTGAGTAGGCATTACGTTTCTTTGTAGCCCGTTCTGGACCACCTGAACCTTGACGACCCCATGATATGAGAGACTACTTAGGTCAGCATAGCCCTCTACTTCAAACATGTAAGTCCAAAGACTTCAAAAGCATTATAATCTTGCAGGATTTTTTTAAGGACCGCTAGGACTGAGCTTACCTAGTTCTCTTTTCTCTCTCCCAACTCTGTCGTACTCTACCTACATTACTTTACAGCCGTGTAAACGGTTAGATATTCAGCCCAGTTTTAAGGGCATCAATTTCAAATTATTCTTTATGCTATTACAGAACAAATGCTTGCTTCGGTGTGCCTTGAAGCTCAATGCCTTCCATTCTTAGTGTAGACATAGGAAAAAGTACCGAATGGCACTATGGGCCTTTGACTCTTCCTGTCCAACAGCAACCTGGCGATGGTAGACCCCTAAGGTACCCTTCAAGAGCCGTTCTTCCGCTCTATCATCCTCCAAGACCTACTTCTTCTGGAGTACTTACCTCAAAAATGCCGTGTGACGGTTGTAGCGGGCCGAAGAAACCCAGTGAAAGTGGAGAATCTCAATTAGACTTACCTTGACTGGATCTTGAGCATTACTCAATCAACTTGTCGTGATGCACTCTCCTCATCGCTGTTATTCGAGTTTCCCCTTTGCTCGCTTTGTATGTTTTCGACCACCAAAAAACCCCAAATTTGCACCCACTAAAACCGGCACTTTTGGGACTTTTTAAATAAAAATTAGTATCAAAATAATCTTAAAATATTGTTTTAGACCAAGGGTTTTAAAAGCCGTTCCTCAAAACCGTTCTTCGTTGAGCTACAGATTTTCAAAGTTTTTCCGGAATCCAGAAGGTATAAGCAGCACCAAGAGACACTCCCTCTACCACTTTCCCTACACTATCAAAACCTTTTCATTCTGGTCATTTATCCCAGAAATTTGAACATAAATAGAGGTGGTTTTTCCCTCCATTCTGATTTTTCTTTACCACTTTTCTTCAGCATCAAAGTTTGTCTACCAAAGCCTATAACACTTCAGTACACAAACACAATACGACATCAACAACTTACAATGCAATTCACTATCAAGCTTCCCCTTAGTAATTTAGGAGGCTTTACTAACAGTAGTCTTTCGGCTGCCCATGAGTTTTTGGAAATCCAATTGGATAACCAAGAACTCCAGGAATTCTTCACCCATTATTCCGAATCAACCTCTAGTCCTCACGCTAGAACCCTTTTCCAGTCTAAAGTCGACGCCAAGTTGCGTGAACTTCTTGCTCAACGTCGTTCTTTGGCTGCTTCAATCCCCGCTACTGACTCTGAGGCTGTCTCTAGCGATGAATTTAATGTCTCAGGTTTAGGCTCTCAGCCTGAATCTTCTTGCACCTCTGGCGCTTCAGACGCTGACAATTCAGCCGACGACAAGACTGTTGTCCCTGAACCAGCTGACAAACTCCTGGAAAAGAAGCATACCAAGGCTTCCAAGAAGAAGCGCCAGAACCGTAAGCAGTTCAAGACCCAAAGGGCTTCTTCTCCTAATTCGCCAGTGAAGACTAACAAGGATGGAGCCCAGAAATCCAAGAGATTGGCGGCACTTGGCCGTGAAGTGGTGCCTCGTGGCACGAAGTCTCCTCAAGTTGAAGTTGTAGAGGAGGTGGATTTAGAATTTGGTCTTGATGAATCCAGGGAATCTTCTCCAAAGACTGAGTTGGCTGTTGTTGCGAAGAAGCCAATCTGCAAGGTTCCCTTTGGTCCTGAAAAGGCCCAGCCTGTGGTTCTTCCACCAATTGGAGCATTTTTTGCTTTGAAGGCAAAGTTCTGGTTCAACCTTTTCTCAGACCAGCCGGTCGACAGACCCTTTAGTTTTAAGGCTCGTACTATCAGATCATGGTTCACCCCATCGGTCTTTGAGCCTTTTAAAAAGCTTGCTTCTGTTCAGAAGGCCATCGAGGCTCCTAAGAACATTACCGTGTATGGTCCTCCAGAGAAGATTGTGGTGAAGAAGTTTGAAGGATCTACTAAGGTACCGCAAGTATTGGCTTTCCAAAAAGCTCAGTACTTCCACTCCAAGAGACTTCTCAGCTTTGAGAATCTTTTCAGCCAGTACAAGGTAAACTGGCCTAAGGCTACCAAGATTCTTGACTTTAAGACTTTGCCTGTTCCTCATACCAACAACAACTTGCAAGTTGGCCAGTTGTCTCAGTATCATGAGTTCATGAGACTCTTGAGACTCTCTGAGCTCTCTAACCCATTCCGTGAATGCTTGCCATTAGCGATTGACAAAGACGATTTGCCATTGAACTCTCCTCTTCCTCCCCCATCAACCCCTAAGATTGTTGAGCTTAAGGATGAACATGTTCCATCCAAGAGAGCTCTTAAGCAGAGAGCTAAGAGACAAGCCAAGAAGGAGAAGAAGAAGGCTAGGGCTGAGAAGGCTGCAAAGAGACCTCCTCGCCAGTTTAAGAGTGTTACTAACTCTATGGCGAGAAGAGAAAGACGTCGGAGGGCTCAGAGAAACAGAGAGTTTGGTATTGCTCCTCCTCCTCGTCCTCAGAAGATTGAGTATACTCCAGTCACTCCAGTGTTTGAAGTTACTTTGACTCTTCCAGCTCCTGTTGTCAAGGAGCCAGTTAATCATTTACAGGTGGGCCAGTTGTCTCAATTCCACCACTTTATGAAGCTCTTTAAGTTCTTCGAGCACTCCAGTGCTCATCAATATACTTCTGAGTTCGAGAAGGTCTTCAGATCAACCGAGTTTCCCTTGAACCAAGTCTCCACTGTGGTGCTTCGTGGAGCTAAGATTAAGTTTATTTCAAAGAAGAAGCCAGCCAAGGAGGTGATTTATCCAATCCAGAATAAGTTGAAGCTTATTGAGTGGGTAAAGGAGGAGCCAGTCAAGGAAGAGCAAATGATCTACCCAATCCAGAGCAAATTGAAGCTTATTGAATGGGTCAAGGAAGAGCAGGTTATTTACCCAATTCAGAGTAAATTAAAGCTCATTGAGTGGGTTAAAGAAGAACCTGCCAAGAAGGAAGAAAGCCTTAAAGTTGAGGTTCCTGTTGTTGAGGAACCAAAGGTTTCTGAGAAGCCTAAGAAGGTGAAGAAGACGCCAGTTTTGAAGCCAAAAATCTCTAAGGCCAAGGAGAGAAGAGAGAGGAAGCAGAAAGCCAAGAGATCTCGCGAATTCACCAATACCACAAGCAAAACTCCAGCTGTTATCTGACCCTTTGCTACGTCTGATAGCATGAGCAAGCCCCAGCCAGTTGATCAATGGAGGAAATAGAAGCATACAATTGGCAGTGCCCTAAGTTAGCATTGTCAGACATATCTTGAGATAGATAAATAAAAATAAATAAAAATAAAATAAATAAAAGAAGAAGTTGTAGAAGATACTCGGGTGCGTTCTGGGGTACATTGAACGAAAGAGTAGAGCAAAGGAGACATACAAATTCAGCTATTGCCACTGATTGAAACCAAAAGAACGATTTATTTCATGTTTCAGTGTCAATCGTCTCTGACCTGATAAACTGGCAAGACTTCTTTCAGCCAACTCTGCTCTTCTAGTAATACGTGAAACCACCAGTTGTACTCACAGAACGGCTACGACCCTTTGACGGTACAAAGTTAAACGAAGCATACTTTGTGGTACCAAGATATATGAATCACCAGAAATACCTATTCAATATAGACAACGGAATCTGAAGTATCGAAAAGATCTATAGGCACATTTCGCTTATCTTACCTATACTATGTATGGCTAGCCTGTACTGGCCTGAGAAAAGCATACTTAAATCCCACAATCCGCAAAACCATCACTACCCAAAAACACGAAAAACACCCAAACCATGCCATTCTTGATTTAAATTCTTCACTTTATCAAAAACCCTCCATGTAAGACATATTACTTATTTGTGGCCCTTATCTGGACCAAAAGGCCTGGCGTTACACCCGTGCCCCACAGTAGTCCACATAAACCTCGAGATTTCCAACCACCTGGTTTGATCCAATCCACAATGTTTCAATCCGTTGCAGTATGTAAACTATCAAACGAACCTTTCTTGCTTATTACTAACAGCCAGTCTTACTTGGACAATCCAAACGTCAACTGGAAGGCCATTGTGACCTCCCTTTTGGTTGGAAAATACGCCTTCGAGACGTATATCAACTATAGACAATACCAGGTGTACCATAATAAGAAAGCTCCAGCATCCATTGAGAAGGAGATTTCGCCAGAGGTGTTTCTTAAATCCCAGGCTTACTCGCGTGCCAAGTCTAGATTTGGGTTCTTTGCTGATGCCATTGACTTGTTGAAGGAGTTGGCTGTGGTGAAGTTTGACGTGTTGCCTCGCCTCTGGTCTGTTGCCGGGTGTATTTCTGCTCGTTTGGGTGGTGTTAAGTACATTGGTGGCTTTTTCGGCGCTAGCGTGATGCTGCAGAGTCTTGTTTTCTTTGCTGTGAACACTGTGCTTTCTACTTTGGAGGAGTTGCCTTTGTCTTACTATAAGACCTTCATTCTTGAACAGCAGTGGGGTTTCAACAAGACAACTGTTGGCACTTTCGTCAAGGACACTTTGAAGTCGCTTATCCTCGGTTTGACCATTTCTTCGCCTTTCATCTACTTGTTTTTGAGAATTATCGACGCTTACGGTACTGCTTTCGTCAAGTATGCCATGGGCTTGACTTTGGCTGCTTCCTTGATTATCATGACCCTTGTTCCAACCTTGATCCTTCCACTCTTCTATAAGATGACTCCATTGGAGGAAGGCGAATTGAGAACTGAGATTGAGGCTTTGGCCAAGAGAAACAACTTCCCACTTACCCACTTGTACGTTATTGACGGTTCCACCAGAAGCTCCCACTCGAACGCTATGTTTGTCGGTTTGCCTTGGAGTAAGAAGATTTTGCTTTACGACACCTTGATTGAACAGAGCACTGTCCCTCAGGTCGTAGCTGTATTGGCCCACGAGATTGGACACTGGAAGTTGAACCACTTGCCTCAGATGTTGGCCGTTTCCCAGGCTACCGTGGCATCTACATTCATCTTGTTCTCCACTTTCCTCACCAACAGGTCGCTTTTCAAGTCGTTTGGCTTCCCAGCTAACGCTCCTCCAATGATTGCATTCATTCTCTTTTCCTATGTCAGCTCGCCATTGAACTGTTTCTTCCAGTTCATCAACAACCTTCTTTCTAGAAAGAACGAGTACCAGGCTGATGGATACGCCCAGCTGCAAGGCTACAAGGACGAATTGTCGACTTCTTTGATCACCATGTCCACCGAAAACTTGAGTTCCATGAACACTGACTGGTTGTTTTCCTCTTACAACCACTCTCACCCAATTTTGGCCGACAGATTGAGTGCTCTTGGTTACAAATCACAGGAGAAGGTGGGTAACATCCAGGTTGACATTGAGAAGAAGGAGTCTGACAAGACAGAAAAATCCGATTAAGTCTGCCCCCCCTCAAAAAAAATAGTATTACCCATATTTCCGTTTCAAATCATTATAAACTGTACGCATCTGCTCGTAGCCCAAGTGGATTTTACCGACAAAGTGATCGGCTAAACGTCTATCGTTATCGAGTCTGGATAAGTATGCTCCACATACCTCACAGACTTGAAGCTTTTGTTGGGCTGACTGGCCGAGATTTTCTGCTATTAGTCTTGCCTGTTCCGCCAATCCTTCTCTCTCTCGTAGGAGCTTTTCCAATTTGATGGTTTGTTTAAGTGCCATGGTGATTTCCTGAGCCTTACCCAAATGCGTGATTTCCAGCGCTGCAAGACCAATCTTCACGTCAAGATCATCAAGCTGCCTTGTGACAGTAGCTACCCTCTGTCTTTCTTCTGGAGTATGATCTAGACGTTTCAATGCTGTAGAAACACTAAAGTCGATCTCTTCAAGCCATTTCCTCAATGTCTTGTAGTATTCATACTCAAATTCAGGAAACTTCTCGCCAAGCTTTTTCGTACGGTACTCATACTCGAGCTTATGCTTTTCCAGATGCAAATTAGGACACTTTCCGATATTTAACTTGGTGGCAGCTAACAAGTCGTATGGACAGCTTCCTACAAGGAAAGACTTGCAGACTTTGCTGGACGTGAGTTCCACTTCTTTTCGACGAGGCTGGGGCGATATAAGAGCATCTTTGCCCATAAGGCGCTCTAGGAGCACACGCTGCTCGTCAGCCATGGTTGTAGTGTTGGTGTTGGTTTGACGATGGAGCTGGAGATGTACTCTTGATATGTTACACCCGTACATCTGTAGATGCCTGGTGGAAGATAGGCCCTACCAGGAAGTCCCATTATTTGATGATATACAATGTCGTTTCAATAAATCTATAAAGGTTTTGAACTAGTGTTCCAAATTTCATGTTGTTTTCGTTATTGAGTTCTTGACTGGCTTGAGGGCCTAGTGACTGTCACAGTGGAGAGTTCAACCAAACAAGCCGATGACGTTACCAGTTAAGAAAAAAGTATTTTAACCGAAGGTTCAATGCTTATTTGAAACACTGAAAGCCACAATAGGAATCCCTATTCAACCGCTATTCTTTGTGGATTTGTGTTGGTGCTTCTTCAGTGTATCACTTTTCGCAGCCATTGGAGCCGGAGCCTACCCTAACTAAAGGCCACAGCTACAACAAACCCAAATCTAATAAAACTCCATTTCCAAAGATTAACAGTAAAATTCTGAAAATAAACATTTAATGAACAAATTCCACCAAATCAAGGCCCGTGTTAACCGAACACGTGGGTCTGAGCTTATCCATCACTTCAACCTGCCAGAACATCTCCAACCACTCAGCCACACCTTCAGTTAAACAAACAGCGTAGCATCCAAAAACCCAAAACCTTTCCAATCCCACCTTTCAACCACTTCCCCCTTCTAAAATCCCTCCTCCCAATGCCCTTGCTGCACCGAACGTTCACTTGCTGTTCCCTCCATTGTTAACTCTCCCCAGCCTCTCAACTACCACCAGGCACCTCCAAGCAACCTCTAAACCAACCACCAAAATCCACCAAAACCCAAAAAGTCCCTCCTCTCTTCCTCTCCAAACTCTCCCCTATTCCACTCTGTCACCCCCGCCTCACCACACCTCATCTCCCTGGAACCTCCCGTATCGGTTTGGCGGCTAATGGCTGCGAAATCGACGCACCGAAGATGGAACACCCAAAAACGGCAGTCTAATGGGCATCAATGAAACGGAAGAAACGATAGTATTCTAAGTACTTTCCAGCTCTTCACTCCCTCAAGTTCACTGAAAACAAAACCCACTTCCAAAACTTCATTCCCTGGGACAAGGGATCTTCAGGGTCTGGCAGAAACCGTGTTTCCTGCAGACTTTACCCTTCACCTGTGGCACCAGCTAAACTGTTATCTACTCTTCGTACTGTCATCTTTTTCCCACCCTTTTTTTTTTCCTAACTGTATGCTTTGGACATGAAAAAGTACCAGCTTATGGGCCGCAGAAAGGTGGCTCATCCTAAGAACGTGCCAAAGTATCCGCTTTTACATCTCCACTCGCTTCCGTATGAGATCTTGATTGCCATTTTCAGTCTCTTACCGTTGGAGACGCTCATCCAGCTTTCGCTACTGTGCTTGAAGTTTCACAATATCGTGTGCAAGAACTTTATTTATCAGGATGTTTACTTTAAGCTGACATCCCATTTCATTCGTTTTGCCGATGCTCACTTGTCGCTGAGGGCTTCTTTGGCTAGACGGTTCGGCCTCAACGAACCGAGCTCCATGATCAACTATATACGGAAGGTCCACTTTGTCAATCCGCCTACGAACGATAAGGAGGCTTCCCTGACACTGATTGCAGGTACTTATAACGTGGAGAATGTCAATAGGGTACTTCCAAGTATGACGCTTGGGTTACCAGCTTTAAGTGCCTTTTGAACGAGGCCTATGGGCTTAAGGAAGTGTCAATTACAGAGATTTCTCCTTTATTTGAGTTCCCGCCAGAGTTTATGGCTGATTCGTTGCTGCTGTTGACGCTGAAGTTTTCATTTAGGAGGCATGCTCCATCAAGAACCTTGGAACGGCTTCTGTTGACAGCTCAATCGGGTTGGACAATCCCCTTCAAGATTGGCCAGATGCTGATTTTCGCTCTGGTCTTTGATCAGATTAACGAGCTCCAACTTAATAAGTTTGTGATTAACGAAACCAAACTTTTGAGCGATAACTGGGATAAGAAACTTCGTGTTGACTCCCTCATTGCCAACGCTTGTATCTACAGTGACTCCAAAAAGGCTGCCAAGCGTCGTTGCACCAATATATTCGGCCACACTTGTCTGCTCCTGCTACTAGACATTCACCATGGCGCAGACTTATCCCTAATAGACTTTGTGAAGCTGAACGGGCGTCTTGGACGCCTTGTCATTGACATTTCTTCAAAGGTATTCTTCACCACAGAAAACTCCGTAACGACGTTCAATTTCACCAAGTTTAACAACTTCTTTAAGCTTGTCTGTTCTGGCCAAGGTGGATACAGCGACTTGCGGGAGATCGTACTTGTCAACTTTGACCTTTTCCATGACTTCTCCCACCAACATAAAAATAGACCTCTTGATGTCATCCAGGAAGATAGTGAGCTGGCCTCGCTTGAAGATGAACCAGAGGTTGACGACTGGGTCGAGCCGTCAAAGAACACTTTTGAGTATTTCCTACGGTACTTGCTGCAAATGCCTAACCTTACGATCGTCATCAAGGAACGCCCTAAAGTCATGCACACTTGTGTCAAGTGTGGTTTCACATTAGAAGAAGAGCATAAGAAGATCTCATCGTTACTACCGCATGAATGGGCAATCATTTTAGCACCTGTTCTTTGCAATCCAAACTGCAATGTCAATATCTACGATCACGCATGGACAGCCTTATATTCCCGTAAGGTACGCATCTAAATAATAAGACGAAGACCCGACAAAATACATAAAAGCATGAAAGAAGGCTTCGCAACAGATGCTAACGTGTTAGTAGATGTCATGTTATGTGACCCCAAACAAGACTGTGTCGACCGCTTGAGGTTCCCGGAAAAAGTCTGAAATACATACCGCCGTTGGGATACTGCTTGGATCTTCGTCCACCACCTGTTTGAGGACCAGATGAGGTGTCTTCCAAAACTTCTACAGTTGGCGTTTCCAAGTACATCTTCCCTGAAGTGCCAAAAACCCTATGAGAAGATTGCAACTGGGAGTTTCTGAGTTTGATGAATTTCCCCTTTTCCACAGGTACTCCGTCGTCAATGAGTTTCTCACCAGGACAGAAAGGAAGGCCTTCTTCAACTGCAAGGTTGACGAATTCACCTTTACAAGCAGGTTGAATCAGTTGTTGCTTCTTCTTGCTAGATCTCAATTGCACCTCATTGGCATAAAGATACCGAGTCATGACGCTGTAACTTGGCTCGGGAAGGTGATCAAGCTGGTATTTGAGGGAAAAGAAGTCATCTAAAAGCTGGACATCGCCATTTTCCAACACCTCCACAAGCCCATAGTTGTTTGGTTCCTGGGTGAACTCATACACGAGACCTCCACTAAACACTCCCACCATATCGTCAGAATAAATAGCCTGAACTTCAGAAAACATACGTGGCGTCACCTCGTTGCATCCATATTCAGAAAGGAACACAGGCCGAGTATAATCTGAATAATCATCAACCAATACATCGTAGCGACTGGAATAGAAGGTCTGGTCGCCACACCACTGGTACGAGTTGACCCCGTAGAAGTCAGCCGAATCGTACGGAGACTCATCCACACATTCCAAGTACTGTGACATGGAGATTCTGTAGTCCAAGTCGTCTGCTGCTGAATAGCCCACGGGGATCTTACGGTCCAAGTTGGCATCAATATACTGCTTGATATCACGAACCATAGCCTTGACGAACCTTGGTGAGTTCTTCGCTGATACCTTATCGTTGACGATTTCGTTACCTGCAAAGAAACCCAAGGTGTTGTTATACCCGCCAAACTGGTCTACCACCTTAAACACATTCTTCAAGTAGTCAGCGTTATACGTAGACCACGGCTCGTACCGGTTAAGGTGACGAGCCGGCTGGGGCGAGTTGACGTCAAGAACAAGGTATATTCCCGCCAGAGCAAGAAGCGTCATACACACATCATGGTTAAGGTCAGGATCAACAGAGTAGATACGAATGGTCTGGGTGTTAGTAGAGAACAAAGGTAAGAGCAGGTGTAAGTCATACGTTGATGCCAAGTTGCTGGAAAAGAGCAATATCTCGAGCACATGTGTTTGGATCTGATAGTGGATCCCAATTTTGGTCTGTAGCTGAAGAACCGCCAGGCTGGTAATCAACTCCTTTGATGAAGAACTGGTGGTTAGTATGGAGAGGTGAAGAAGTCAAGGAAAGTGGAACGTACGGGTTGCTGAGTGATTGAATCAATGAAGTAGCGGCCGTGGACCTCAATAGGGTTTATTATGGAGAAAACAGGCGCCACGAGCCAGAAGGCGGCCATTAGAGGAAGAAACATGGTGGTGGTGGTGGAGGTGATGGAGGTGGTTGTTGCGAAATGGGTGCAAAAAAGATGGATCTGGTGCTTATATAGGGGGAAGGAGGGGGACAAAGAGATGAGTATATATGAAGAGGGGAAGGAGTTGGGAGGGTCAGGGAAGGTAAAGGAGGTTTAATGGATCTTTTTTTTTCCAGTATATATATCATCTTTTGTGTGTTGTTGGTCACTGCCTGCCTTGGCTGATAAGAAGAAGGACACCAAGTCAATGCCTCTATTTTAGGGTTCTGTACATCAATTGGAGCAATTGAGAGTGTAATTATTGACTTCTATTGCTCTACTCCTTTTGACCACTATCTGTGTCCTCTGTGTATATTACTTACTGACAGCTTCAGCTTCTCTGATAAGGCCCTTTCGCAGCCATTCAATCAGCCGTACCATCACCACTAAAGCCATCCAAGGTCAATGCTAGTTATTTTTTAAGTTATCAAACCGCTTGTCACTTATTCAATAATATGAAGCAAAGGTCAAAAGTGGAAAATCTATGGTGCTTCTATTTATGGCCCAGCCACTGATAACATATACATACACTATGTTAAGGCTGTAGATAAGGCCCGGTTGCAGTAGCACCACGTTCGCCCAACCAAAGAGATTTCTAGATAAAAAAGACGAAAAAAAAGCAACCTTTTTACAATATAGAACCATCCTAAATTTCCCACCCCTTATCTTCTTCGCTAGAATTTACTGTGGCTGTACATGGCTCTACCAGATCTGATATCTTCCCTTATGGCCTCATACATTCCTCACGCTAACAAACATACTACCTCTTTCTTACACAAAAAACACATCTACACATAACAAAAACCAAAAAGCATCAAAACAACAACCACACCAAACGATTCCAAACACTGCCCCACTTCACCAAAACACAACCTCTCCTATTACTACCGTTCCCAGTGTTTACCATTCCACCCTAAATAAGCGTGGTGCACGGGTGTCAACACAACCCTCCTCACATCATAAATACTACACCAACCAGCAACCCTTACAATATCCTACTCCATTCTCTGTTGCACCGTCTTCCGATTCAATGGCTTCCTCAATTGCGCTGCCTCGAAATAACGGCACCGACAGCCCCAGGACGCCCCAGCCTCAACTGACCCAAAACAAAAGACATGCTACTCCACAGTACCATGGGGCCAAAAAGCCATCCCAGGCGAACTGGTTTGTGAGGCTGTTCAGGTCGATTTTCCGCTACAGAAAGACGACATTGACGTTTTTGGCGCTTCTAGTTTTACTCGCTACAGTGTTGCTTCTGCACTTTGACAACTCCTTAGAATACTCCGTTTCCTTGCCTACGGATGACCTAGAGAAGAGCATCTTGGACTCGCTGTGGCTCCACCTTCAGGTGATTGCTCGTAAGAAGCATACGTATACTTCCAAGGCAAACGATGAGGTTCACGATTATCTCGAGGATGTCGTTAAGAGCTTCGTTGCCAGAAAGGAATGGGCTGAGCATGATAACGACTTGAATGGAACAAACAAGATCATGTACCTGGCAGAGCAGCAGGGTGGCGACTTGGTAACGTACTACGAGAGCAACAACGTACTTGCACGTATCAACGGTACCAACCCAAACTTGCCTGCCCTCTTGCTTAGTGCTCACTTTGACTCGGTTCCTTCCTCGTATGGTGTCACTGACGATGGTATGGGTATTTCCTCTCTCTTGGGTGTTCTCGACTACTTGACATCCAAGAAGGTCGACCAGCCCGAAAGAACCATCATCTTCAACTTCAACAACAACGAGGAGTTTGGCTTGTATGGTGCTAACGCGTTCTTGTTCCACCCTTGGTCTGAACAAACCAAGTACTTCCTCAACTTAGAAGGAACTGGTGCTGGCGGTAAGGCAATTCTTTTCCGTGGAACGGACTACGGTATCGTCAAGCACTATAATGCCGTTAGATACCCATTTGCTTCTTCCATCTTCCAGGAAGGCTTCAACAACGGCCTCATCCACAGTGACACAGACTATACCGTTTACTTACGTAAGGGTGGTCTTAGAGGTCTTGATGTTGCTTTCTACAAACCTAGAGATCTTTACCACACTGCAAAGGATAGCATCGCCAATGTCAATATCTTGTCTCAATGGCACATGTTGTCTACAGCATTAGACTTCACTAATGAGTTGGCCTTCCGGTCGATTGGCTTGGACTCTGATCCAGAGAGTCAGAAGCAAAATGCAGGCTACACATCGTTTTTCAACACATTCTTCCTTATCTCAATTGATACCGTGGCTGTTCTCAACATCATTCTCTTGGTGTTGGTGCCATTGTTGAGTTTCCCATTGTTGTTCTTTATTTTCAGGTACAAGAAGAGCTGGGATGTGAACTTTGTGAATGTGATTAAGTTACCATTGTCACTTATCGTGTCCGTTGTTCTCTTGAACTTCATCACGGATGTGATTTTCGTTCCGCTTAATCCGTTCTTGATTAACAACTCGAAGGGGGTGTTGATATCTACATTGTTTTCCCTTTTCTTGCTTCTTAACTACGCTGTTTTGAATGGCTTGAACGCAATTCTTAAGCCATTCAAGGGCCATTTCCACGATGAGAAGCTTATCAGTATAATTGAGATTTCTTTCCTTACTTGGATTGGCTTACTCTATTCGACTATCTTGCTTCGCTCCGAGTCCGACCATTCTGGAGAGTTCCACATTGGCTTCCTTTTCTTCCTTCAAGCTTTGGCTGCTGTGATCGGTTTACTCGGCTGGAACTTCAAGAGAGCCCCTAAGTCCGAAAACAACCAGGAAGAGTCTGCACCACTTTTGGGAACATCGAGTGAACATCATGACCAGGAGTATGAGAACACGCATCGCAACTATGGCTCACACGAAGACGAGTCTGTTGAATCCTCTTCCTTGTCGTTAGGCTCAGGCTTCTCAGAGCATTGCGAAGAACACGAGACAAAATCCTTCGGCTACGACTGGCTTATTCAGTTCCTCATTGTTGTTCCATTGTCCTCCTATATCATCTACAATAACGGCTACCTTGTCTTGGATGGAATGGACAAGCTGTTCCAGGAATCTTTGGCAGCACAGAACCTCGTCTATGTATTTGCTCAGGCGTTTGCCGTTTTCTGGGCTGCTCCATTCTTGCCATTTATCTTCAAGCTTAACAGAGTGGTTGTCCTTCTTCTTGCTGTTGCTTTGATCCAAGGTATCTTTGTTATCAACTTCACAAACCCATTTGACCAGGCAAACCCACTCAAATTAAGGTTCTTAGAAACTCTTGACTTGAATGTGACGCCAGCAACCAACTCTGTTCAGGTATACGGTCGTGATGACTCCTTTGTTGAGAACATCTTGCGTGATATCCCCTCCGTTAAACAGCAGGGCGCCAAGGTCAGCATCGAATCCATTGGCGACGGAAATGCTGTCTATGAATATCCATCCCAATGGGAACCAATTATTGCTCCTGGTGTTAAAGATGTGCACGACTATTTGAAGATTGATGTGCTCAAGAACTCGTCGTCCGAGACGAGCTCTCCATTTGGCTTGCTCACAGGAGAGATCCGCCTTCTTGCACCCAAAAACAGAAACTGTAGAATTGACTTCAACGTTTCTGATTCTGTCACCAAAATCTTCGATACCATGTCCAAGCCAAAGCAGTCGCCAGTTAGAACTGCAATTGTCTACAAAGAAGGCGCCGAGAAGAATTCTTCCACACCAGGATACCTCATAAACGGTATTCCAGAAGGCTTCTCTAGAGATTCAGACGGAAACTACTTGTACAAGGATTTCAACGGTATCAAGACCATCCAGTTGAACAAGCTTGACTGGGACAAGGAATACCACTTGGCTTTCCAATGGGTGCCTGATGTCGTTGACTCTAGTGCCGTTGAAGCCTCCAAGGTAACCGTCAAGAAGCTTGGTATCAATGTACAATGCTACTGGAGTGAAACAGGATATGTTGCAGACAAGAAGAGTGAAGTTAAAGAGAGGATTCCCGCATATGATGAGCTTCTTCACTACTCGCCTAACTACGTGAGTTGGGCCAACCGGGAACGTGGCTTGGTTTCTGCGACTAGATATGTTGAGATCTAGATGGGCAAGGCGTTTGGGATATGTAATTTAATAAGTTAATGATAAGTATTGCTTTTTTTGATTAGTTTAAGATGCAAAAAATAGCAAAAAGTATGCGATTTCTGTGGATCGAACACAGGACCTCCAGATCTTCAGTCTGACGCTCTCCCAACTGAGCTAAAACCGCATAGAAAGAACCCATGCCGGGACTCGAACCCGGAATCTTTTGATTAGAAGTCAAATGCGCTAACCATTACGCCACACAGGCAGATTTTGATGGGTTAGAAATGGCGCTTTGCTGGTACATTCAAGATGGAATAACGTTAATATAAGCAAGGTTTTATTATTCTACTAGATTTATTATAGCGTTAGTAATATGCTGTAGAAATTTGAGCCAAAACAAACACCGGTGGAGCGAGAAAAATGGTATTTAGTGTTTAGCGTCTCTGGTAGCCATTTTAAACACTTTAAAAGCATGCCATGGCGTTTAGCATACCCGTCTTTACCTAAAAGACTCCATTAAAAGTATACTTTCCATCTCCATCTCCCCAGAATCGTTCAATCCAGCGTCACAGGCCTCCAACCAACATCTCAACTCAGAGACCACCCAAAGGCTTGGCTGCATTTTAAACCTCCATAGTAACACAACCCACACCCCTTTTCGAAATCCCCATTAATTTTTTTTTTTTTTAATTGTTATTTTCTGTCCAATGGTGGAGCTCAAACTGACTTGCTACTCGTGGTTCGCAATTTGCAACCATTTCGAAGGGCCCATTCAATCTGACCAGAGCAAAGTGGTTTAGACAAACAAAAGAAACAGTCAAATTCCTGGAATATCCAGGACCAACCCAACCAAAATCCAGCCAAATTTACCCAAAAATGACCGATTTGACGGGGGATTGCCAGTCTTATATAGACCGTTGGAGCCCCATGACACCCGTGCACCATTACGACGCATACCCTCTCTGCCTTTAGATTCCCCCAGAACCGTTAAACTACCAGAACACTTCCCCTTCCGCTACCAAAACATGCCTTCGTTTGAACCATTGAAAAACGACTTATTATTAAGAGCCGCCAAAGGCGAAAAGGTCGAAAGACCTCCTATTTGGATCATGGTATGTGCACTCTCCAGAACCCTTCCATATTGCTCCCAGTACTAACTTTTCAGAGACAAGCAGGTCGTTACTTGCCTGAATATCATGAAGTTAAAGGAGGCAGAGACTTCTTTGAGACTTGCAGAGATGCAGAGATTGCTTCTGAGATCACCATCCAGCCAGTAGACCACTTCGACGGTCTTATTGATGCTGCCATTATCTTCTCTGATATCTTGGTGATCCCACAAGCTATGGGCTTTGAAATCAACATGATCGAGGGTAAAGGTCCTGTTTTCGCTGACCCTTTGAGATCTCCAAAGGACATTGAACGTATCAACTTGAAGCCAGACGTGGTGAAGTCTTTGGACTGGGCATACAAGGCCATTACGCTTACAAGAACCAAATTGAAGGGTAGAGTGCCATTGTTGGGTTTCTGTGGTGCTCCATGGACGCTTTTGGTGTACATGACTGAGGGTCAGGGCTCTAAGATGTTCCGTTTCGCCAAGCAGTGGCTTTACGAGTTCACCAAGGAGTCTCACCAGTTGCTCCAGGCTGTGACTGACGCCTGTATTGAGTTCTTGGCCCAACAGGTCGTTGCAGGTGCTCAGATGTTGCAGGTGTTTGAGTCTTGGGCCGGCGAGTTGGGCCCTCACGAGTTTGACGAGTTCTGCTTGCCTTACTTGCGCCAGATCGCTGCTAAATTGCCAAAGAGACTTGAGGAGCTCGGCGTCAAGGAGAAGATCCCACTCACAGTGTTTGCCAAGGGTGCTTGGTACGCTTTGGACGAATTGTGCGAGTCTGGCTACGACACTGTGTCGTTAGACTGGCTCTACAAGCCGGAAGACGCCGTCAAGATCGTCAATGGCAGAAGAATCACATTGCAAGGTAACTTGGACCCAGGTATCATCTACGGTTCCGACGAGGTGATTTCGCAAAAGGTCGAGCAGATGATCAAGGGATTCGGTGGCGGCAAGCAGAACTACATTGTCAACTTTGGCCATGGTACCCACCCATTCATGAAGCCCGAGAAGATCGAGCACTTCCTCAAAGAGTGCCACCGTTTCGGCTCTGCCTAAGACTCATAACGACACCAAAAAACAAAAAAAAATCGCCACCAATGACTCATTCTTGTGTAAATAATGTATCATAGACTCCATGTTGCAGCCATTCGATGGGTGTGCACAGACGCCTCCATACATCACCAGTAGCTATAAAGCCGTGCTTTCCCACTTTTTTCAAGCAACCATGACTTCTTTGGCAAAAGACGATTTGTACATCTTCTCCTTAGGAGAGGAAGTTGTGAAAAGCCTTAGTTTGCTTCAGTTCGATGAATCGGCCGCCGTGGTTGAACCCAATGAGCAACCTTCGTCTGAGTCTGCCAAAGATGATTCATCCAGTGGCGAGAACGTCATTGTTGACCCAAAAGCAGACACTGAAAAGTCCAAAGACTACTACAAATCTGACCTTCATAGACTCAATTTGAAGAGACAAGTCAATGGTTTGCCCCCGTTGACCGAGGAGGAGTTCGAGAACCTACTTGAGACACAGTCGTTGGAGAGTATTTCAGGGTCTGAAGAGAGTGAGAGTGAAGAGGAAGATGAGTCGCTGAAACTTAATACGATCTTTGAACAGCTCTCGACGAAAGATGATGACGATGAACGCAATGTCAGTCACATGAACACGAATTCGCCATACATTCTCTTCCAGTCTCCATTGGTGGATCAGGGTAAGGCATTTGGCATGTACAAGGCATTGTTCTCGAAGGGTGCCTTGGATTCTGGGAATGTGGTTGAGGAGGTGACTCACATGTCTTCGGAACCAAAGAAGCTGGGTACTTCGGTGCTTCTAATGATTGGCGGTGGTCACTTTGCTGGTGCCGTCATCTCACATACCCCCAAGAGCATGAAGGGCCTTGCGCCAAACCACAAGATTTCAAAACAAGAGCAACAGGTGAATGTGCTACAGTCAAAGACTTTCCACAGATACACCACGAGAAGAAAGCAAGGTGGCTCGCAGAGTGCTTCTGATAACTCCAGAGGAAAAGCTAACTCGGCCGGTTCTTCGATCAGAAGGTACAACGAGCAGGCTCTCCAGCACGAGGTGCGTGAGCTACTAGGGTCATGGAAGGAGTACTTGCAGAAAGCTGACTTCATATTTATTAGAGCAAATGCAGTTGCCAATAGGCGTGCTTTGGCAGGTTACGAGGGTGCCCCATTGGCTGCTGACGATAAGAGAATTAGAAACTTTCCTTTCACGACAAAAAGAGCGACCCTTTCGGAATTGAAGAGAGCATGGATCCAACTTACATATGTGCAAGTTGTTGGTCTTCCGAAGGCAAAGAAGGTGCCTTTAAAGAGAGTTGATCTTTCGAAGTCACAGAGAAACACGCCGTCGCCAGCCCCAGAGCTTTCTGAATCTGATAAGCATACGAAGGAGATAATAGCTTTGCTCAAGAAACTGAAGGCCCCAATGATGATCAACTACTTGAAGAAGAATGGCTTGGATGTAAATTTTGAGTTCACTCCTTCAAATCAGCATGCCCACGCGCCCACGCCTCTACACTATGCTAGCTCGCAGGGCCTTCATCACATGGTTCAGGTCTTGTTAGTCAATTTGAAAGCTGATCCTACGATTCTCAATGCAATTGGAAAGACTGCAGCTCAAATGAGCTCGACGCCGACTGTAAAGAAGACGTTTCAGATTGCAAGGCATAATCTCGGTGAAGACTATACAGATTGGAGTGCTGCAAAGGTAGGACCTGCTAGGTCAAAGGAAGAGGTGGCCAAGGAAGAAGAGCTGGAGAAGAAACAGCAAGAGGCCCAAAACCGTCGTTTAATAGAAGAGGAGCTCGCGAAGAAGACAGAGATGGAACATAAGAAGCCTACGTTCTCGTCCGGTGGCACCCTTGGTGGAAACAAGACGATACAGAGCCGTCCTTCTGAGACCAGCGAGTTGACAGAACAGCAAAAGACGAGACTAATGAGGGAGCAGCGTGCTAGAGCAGCAGAAGCAAGAATGAAGATGCTTCTGGGAAAATAAATTAATCTATAAGTAACCTTGGGTGACGTGAGTAAAGACGTAAGTTAATAGCTTCTCACGCTTAAGCTTTTGTAGTAACCTGTTCACGACCTCGTCCTCGACATCAGCATCTGAGGAACACTCTTGTGGATCAAAGTGCTTATAATGAGACAATGCCAATCTGATAGAGTTTTTCTTTGCGCTTTCGTCTGGAGCCATGTTGTGGAGGTCCAGAGCACTCATCCATCCCAGAGACGGTAACTCATCTTCATCAGTTTCAGTTTCTTGGGTGTTTTGCTTTTGTGATGACTCAAGGCTCTCGCCAACGCCCATACATGGACAATCAATCAAATCGTGAGTATTGCAATTGGTATCAGCAACATTGAAGAGGTCTCTTAGATCTTCAAAGTCGAAGATGTTCAGTGATGATTCAGACTTGTCGTCTAGAAACATATCACTGAGGGTTCCCTTCATGAGTTGTCGTTGGAAGATCTTTTCGTCGATACAACCTGTGGTGAATAATCTGTAGATGTAAACAGGCTTCTTCTGCCCATCTCTATGGATTCTGGCCATCGCTTGAAGATCTACCGACGGATTCCAATCATTGTCAAAAAGGACTAGCCTGGAAGCACCGACAAGGTTTAAGCCCACTCCACCTGCTTTGGCCAGAAGAAGAAAGACTGTAAATCCTGGTGACTTGTGGAAATCGACAACCAACTTGTCTCTCATATTGCTTGCACTGGAGCCGTCAAGTCGAACAAACTGGATATTAAGTTTCAGCAAAACATTAGCAAGAAAATCTAAAGTTTGGGTGAAGTTCGAGACAAGGACAGTCTTTTCCTCACGTTTTTGGAACTCAAGCAAAAGAGGTACAAGAACATTGACCTTGCTGCCAGTAGTTCGCGTGGTAAGCGACGAAGGGTCAAGTTCTTTCCTTGCATCTGCGCCTAAAAGCGTGTTAAAGAATGTATCTTTTGCAAGCAAAGATGGAGAATTACAGATCTTTCTGTAGACCATTATAAGTGCTAGCACATCGCGAGGATCAGAGTTCATGAGGGCATTAAAGTTGGAAGACCCAAGCACTAGCTTAAACAATGATTTCTGTAGTTTTGTAGGCGGGCAGAAAAGCAAGACGTCTGTCTTCTTTGTTAAGAAAGTGCTGATCACACTTTGTGTTCTCCGAAGAGTGAACGTCTTTGTTATCTCAATAAGTTCATTGGATATTTTTCTGCCCTCCTTTATCATGTCTCTGCTTCGACAATTAACATCACGAGCACGAAGAATCGGTTTACCGAAACGTTTCTGGAAGTCACTCAGGGAACCGAGGATGCCGGGGTTGATAAAGTTAGCGATTGTGTAAAACTCATTCAAGTCATTCTGGATAGGCGTACCTGTAAGCACCAACCTCATTTGAACGCCGAGTCCATCTAGCAATTTGATCACCTTGCTGCTGTTGTTCTTTAAACGGTGGCCTTCATCGCAAACTATCAAATCAAAGTCAACAGTCGAAAGCTCCAGAGCACACAGCAACAGCTTTTCGTACCCCATAATGAGAACCTGGTATACGTTCGTTCTAGCAAAGCCTGTGATATCTTGCTTATCCTTAGCTGGCGACTGGTTCTTTCCGTTGAGTGCAAGAACGCCAATACGGTTGACATCTAGCCATTTGGCAAACTCTTTTCTCCAATTATCAATAAGCGACACTGGACAGCATACCAAAACTTTCAGTGCATCCAGATTCTTATCAGGCGATACACTTTGTTTAAGCAACATCCAGATAACAGTGATGGTCATGAGGGTCTTTCCTAGACCCATCTCGTCAGCTAGAAGAACACCCCGCTGGCCGTCTACACGGCGACCAAGAAGACCGTCATAGATAAACTGAACGCCTTCTCTTTGATGGGGTCTAAGAAAGCGAGTGAGAGATGGGTCAACGACAACTTTGGAACCTTCTTCTTCGTTTAAGATGAATGCCTCGCTCGAAACAGGTCTTGGACCCTTTGCAACATATGGAGATTTGAAAGCGGTAGGAGCAGCGACGACCGGTTCAGGACGAGGCTCAGAGGGCATAACTGGTTTCAGATCACCTTCATCATCTACTTCAGCCTCATACTGCCCCAAGACCAAGACTCCCGAAGTATTGGTATTTGAAGATCTTCCCAAGATTCGTAGCGTCCCATTACCCTTAGTATCAGCTTTAAGAACAATATCTGAATCCAGGACATAGACAAACCCGTCTCCTTCCCAGGACTTGTTCTTCTTAGTGGATCTCTTTCTCCATTGGACAGACAAACGCCGAGAACCAGACTGGGAGGCCGCAACAGCACTCGCTGGTCTGTTTATATCTAGTTTAAGCCTTTTGAGGCCTGCCCTTTGGCCTGGTTTCTGAGAAGGGTCCTGGGACGAGCGTCGTAGGCCCTGGCTGGGTGCTGTAGAGGCTAAGGGTGCCTTGGATTTGCTCTGAACAGAAGCAGAACGTGAATTCAGCCCCTTGGAGCCGTTCTGAAAAGGCTCAGTGGAGTTCTGGGAGTTCTGGTGCTCAGGGTCACCACCTGGGAGCGAATCACGATCAACACCAGACGCGTCCTGGCTCTTTCCAGAGCCAGCGTCATTATCTGGGCTCTCAGATACATCAACATAATGCTGCTGACTCCCCTTAGCCCTCTCTGACACGAATCCATCCCGTTCTCCCGCTAATCCAGGCTTCTGTCTGGCGTCCCCAGCTTGTTTACCTTTCGCAAGCTTCGCCGTAGCCGAACCAGCAGCACCCATCTTGCTAGATAAACTCCCAGAGGACTCTGCCAGCGAACCAGAGACGCCTCCACCGTCATCCAACCGCCGTGGCGGCTTGAACTTCGAAACTCGGCTGTTTCGATACATGTTACTACAAAGTGCGAACTGAAGCATTATCATATTACATATTAAGCAAGCGAAGATCTCATCTCATCTTCAAAACAAAGTTGCCGAGCGCCTCCTGGGAGCCTGTCAAGTAGTATTTTCCTCTAGAAATCACAAATGGCACGTAGCCAGGCAAACACGAGTAGATGCCCCAGCCGACAAACGAAAAGAACGAAAGGATAAATAGGTGCAACATCATTTGCTCTCTGCTTGTAAGCATATAGAAGGGGAAGAAGTGGTAGTACGAGTCGTACATTTTTCTGCTTGTGGTGATGTGGGTGGTCATGATGGGAATATTAGGTGGGGTTCTAGGGGAAAGAGCGTGGGAAAGAAGGAAAGGATATGGGTGCTTATAAAGGGTTTCGGTTAGGGAAGTTCGTGATACTTGACTTTTTGCGCACCACTAAGGGAATGCAGTTTGCGCCTCTCCCCCAATACATTTCAGGACTTTTCCGTAAGGAAACAGTCAAAAAAAGAAAAAAGGAAGTAAAAGTAACATTAACTCAATGACCAGCGTTTCATTGGTGCAATTTTTTTCCAATTTCCCTGGCTTTTCTACTACATCTCAGTGTCTCAGTACCTCTGCTGGTTCTCATGGGGTAGTGAAAAATTCCGCAACCGGGCTGGTTTTGTGGTACTAATTACCGCTTCCGAGCCACCGTTCTGGATTTACCGAGAGGAGGTCCCCTGAACGGCTCGGCTAAATTCGTAATTATTTTAAATGGTTGTTCGACTGCTGGAGCAGGCCACGGGTCAGCCCAGATGACCGGAGAAATGGCCAGTGCCGGAAGAACTAGCCGAGGGTGGACTGGCTGCAAATGACAAGAACAGAGAAGGCTTTTTTGAACCTGAAACGTTGGAAAGCATTTTATTTCACACCCCTTCCTCTTTTAGTGTAAGGGCAGGGCCCAGGAATAGGTAATACTTGGCTGGTCTGGTTTGCGTTCCGGGACTGGTTGCCGCTTTAGCCCACTCTGTGGCTTCAGTGCGGAATCCACGAGGTTTAGTGGTTCAGGGTGGTTATATCGGCCACGTAGTCGTAGTGGGTGGGCGTATTGGGTTGGAATTTTCGGTTGGAGTGTGATTCCATTGTGAATATCGAATGGCTTGTGATTGGGCAGTGTGGATGGGTGATGGAAGCTGTGGTGAGGTACCAGCATGGAACAGGCCCCAGTGGGGCCAGGCAATCTCATGGATATACATGTCATGACCTTGGAAGGCTTCCAAGATGCTTCTAGGAGCTTCTGGGTTAGTTGTTCTTCCTTGAGGTTCGGTGTTTTTTGAAGTGATGCCTAGTGCCTCATAGTGGGGAGATTAATGACGAAGTATAAGGTTCGGGAGATACCCATCGGCGATAAAGCTCCTAATGATAGGAACCGGCTTTTAAAGTGTCTCTTGATGATGACCTTGTCGTTTCGTGATTCACTGGGAACCCTTAACTCGGGCCTAACATGTTTCATTTAGTAACGCTGTCCAAAGATCTTCTGATGCTGACTGTGGTTTCCAATTTGAATACTTTCTCTTCTAATAGGGTCAGTCTCTTTAATAATCTCCTATGATTAATTATTCACCGGTTCGACACTTAAATCACCAGTCATGTATCCTTGTGGACACATTTTTCAAACAAAATCATTAGAAAAGCCACGTTTTGATTTGAAATCCGAAGAATTAATCCTTAGTTTCCAGTGATAACCATAACCGGCATCAAGGCTTCAATAATTAATTAATTGCTACCATTTGGGCTTTATTGGTCCCCTTGTTCTAAATCATGTCGTAATCAGGAACAAGACTCATGGACTGATTTCCACACCAGCTGCTTCATAGTGGTCAAATTGGAACCCGGAAAATTCACATTCAACCTTTGATTTCGGTGGAAATTTTCAACGGCCCTTCTTTTTTGCTGCTAGCAGTCATCGGTACTCCAGACTCTGGCTTCCCCGGGTGATATCCAGCCACAAAACCATCTTGAAGGAAACTGCTGTCACCCTGGCTGGTTTTGTGCAATTTTATCCTGAGAGCTTATTGGATTCACTGGCACAAGACCAGAAGCTGTTTTGGTGCCGTTCGATGTACGCCAGAGAGCACTTCTGCAGCATCGTAACGCCATCTCTTTTCAGAATGCCTAGCGGCAGAAACGATCGATCAGGCGATTCTCTGAAGTAATGCTACACGTTAGAAGGAAAGAACAGGCATATCTATGTTTTTGTGGACCATTACGCAAGTCCACCCAGGCGCACTACGACTATACCCAAGAACCGTTCATTTTGGCCTAAGCAACTCCTGGTTTAGTGGCTTGAAGTCTATCTAGCTCAACAGACGCCCCGCATATACAGATGGTATCGGCATGGCGCAAATAGGCGACACTTCTAAAGACTAATACTGTTTACCGAGACACAGAAAAAAGAAGCCTCGTTTGTTGAAACAAGGGATGGTGCGTGGGTACCTCGAGGGGCACCAGGACACAGGGAGGTTCGCTGTCATCATATCGATTTCTATTCGCCAGTGGAATGCTGCATCGTCAATGCAGCCTCTTACCTTCTTTTAAAGACATTTTAGGGTCTCCGAACCACGGGATGCTAATTGTGGCATCGCGATGAAGTAGAGCTTCCCAGATTAATCAGAGACAAAGATTAAAGTATTAAGTTACGTGGAAAATAGTTTACCCGAAGAATTGTTCCGGTGACTGTCTTTTTACTTCCAACTGTAGTTGGTCCAGGCAAACAAAAAAATCAGAAAATGAAAGAAAATCGTGGAAATTGGAGTTTCCAGACCAACCAGTATCATGGCGGCACCAGTGATATTACCTTCTTCCATAAACTTCTGGTGCTGTATATTCGTAGTCCGGGATTCCAGCCAGTAGCAAACCGCTGGCTTCCATGGAAAAACTCCCCTTCTACATTGGGCGACATCTTGCAGATTGACAGCGTGAAGCGTATGGCAAAGCGCAAATCGTGGTAAATCAGTAACGTGGAATTCATAGATTGCCTTGGACAAAAGCTTTAGGGTTTATCATGACAGGTGCCAAGACTCTTGTGCCCAACCCAAAAAGAACCACTAAGTAACGCCCAAACGGTGTTTTCTGGAGTTATCCACGGCAACTTGACAGTTCGAGTGAATTTTGCCTGAATTGTACCTGTTTCCGAAAATAATCCTCATGCATGGCTCAAAACCTTGACACTCCCACTTGTGGCATTGCGGCAGTCGAGACTATCCTAGGTTGTGGGACAATGCAAAAGAAAGCAAATTAACTCAACTTCAACAAAGCCACATCCCACGGTGGGGAGCAATTATCTTGGTTTGTCGTTTTTTCCCGGAAAAATCAAACCCTAGCTTGTCAAACTACGCCCTTGGACCAGTCTACGCCGTTTACCGGAGATAGCTGGTGTTCTCGAGATTTGAGGCAACGAACCTGCTTTGACAGGACTTGTCTTGTGTGCTACAAATTTTTTCTTGGTTTTGTTTTCTGCATGTCCATATGGGGCGGTTTGGTGCCGCATCTCCTGAACGCACACAAAACTGGCGAAAACAGGTACTTGACTTTGCTTTGTGGTGCAAACCCGTTTTGTGTAACTTGTAAGGGTTTTTCCATCTTCCGCAGTTTGTCCTAAGATGATCAAGATAAGTCGGTTGGCGAAAAATGGAGCGATGAGATGAACGAAGATTTTTACGCTGGTTAAGAAGAAGTGAAAAATAGGTTGAACTTGGAGTTATTTACCACACAATTGGCCCGCCCAGGAACGTTTGGAGCCGTTCGTTTCTCCGGATTTATACCTCGCGTCTGGTGTGTGTCAAGATGCTGTCAGATATGTCAATTTTTTTCTTGGCCCACTGTAAAATGCCACCTAACCTGAAGACACCACCCACAGTAACTCGTGTATTTTCGAGACTGCCGTACGGGTCCTGCGTTATTTCGAGAAGAAAAAAAAAATAACAAAAAAATAACGAAAAAGAAAAGCGGCACCCGAATGGTTTTACCGATGTTGTTTAAACCTTGTTCGTGCATGGCCATTGGCTGGTTTGTCTAAGCTGGTGAGGCTGGCAAATCTGTGTAGCGCTCAAATGGACGTGTAACTGAAAAATGACACGGCACGGCACCAAACGAGTCGTACAAAGCTTAACAAAAACACAAGTCCCACCTCTCTTGCTCAACCATATCGGCTGGTTTATGAGCCGACCATGTAGCCAGGCGTCATAGGCCACAAAAAAGCCTCTACCACAAGCCAAAACGACACAAGCGTCACAGGGGGCTAAAACCAACATTATCTGATAACGGGGACCATTCCTTCACAACCCGTCGCACATCCTTAAACTTTTTTTTTTCTGGCCACTGGTGGCACTTGTCGGCATGTAAGCGCCCTACAGCACACATGAATTGCGCTCGTGGTGGATAAACCAAGATTGCAATCGAGCATTATCTCATGGCAATACGAGGTGTCAAGTGAAACTGCCAGGAACGAAGGGTTAGGGAACTTCCTGGTAGGCTTTAACTCCGGGGAAAAACCCCAGCGGCGCTGATAACTCCGCGAGTGGTGGCTTGTGAGGCTATTGGTTATTTCTCGCTTAACTACCGGAAAAACGTCTTGACGTTTTATGCTGCGTTCTCGCCCCACCTCACCTGTCACTGGACTGCATATACCCATCAGTTTGCATTTGCCCATGCACTGTCTGCAGCTGATCCCGCTTGGGCTTTCCAGTGCATTGGTGCTGATGCATATTCTTGACTCAAAACCGTTGTTCCTGTTTAACATCACAGTGTGGAAAAGAAACCAAGAAGCTTTACTTTTTCCTTCACCTGCTGCCGTGATTGGCCCCCGGGTTAATTTTGTGCATAACTCCATCCCGCAGACCAACCCTGCAAGTTTTTGATAGGTTGCAGGTGAATGGTGAATAATCTTACGGCACAAATGGCTGCAAAGCCCGAACTCGGTTTGGCGATATTTCTGCCACACTCCATCGGTGGCCTTACTGATCGGATCTGATATTTAAGTTCGTCCATTTCCTCCCTTTCTGATGGTTTTTTGTTTTTTGTTTTTCATCAACAAGCCTATTCCACTATGTCTGCTCCAGTGAACAACCAGTCTGGATCTGGTTCGACTTCTATTGAGCCAAAGGAATCTGCTAACAAGGCCCATTCTCTCTCTTCGGATGAAAAGTTGAACGCCATTCGCTCTCACGATGAGAAGAGCTACCGTGCTCAACACGATACCTCTTCCGATGAGGAGATCGTCAGTGGTTCGACCAAGTCTTTTGGTGTCAGGAAGAATGAGCTCTTGTCTGAGCACTTCAAGACTCCAATTGCTTGTGTCACTCTTTACCTTTGCTTGTTCTGCAGTGCTTATATCTTCACCTTGGATACTCGTATCAGAAAGGTGCTTACAAGTTATGCTACTAACGGTTTCGCCAACCACTCTCTTTTGTCTACTGTTTCCGTTATCAGATCTGTGATGGCCGCTGCTTCTTTGCCATTTTTCGCTAGAATGTCTGATATCTACGGTCGTTGTGAGTTGCTTTTGGTTGCTGTGCTTTTCAAGGCTATTGGTTCTCTTATCGAATCCCAGGCCTACGATGTTCAGAGATACGCTGCTGGTGCTGTCATCGATGCCTTTGGTCAGGCTGGTATCAAGGTCATGTTGCGTTTGGTGATGTCTGACAACTCCAAGATGAACTGGAGACTTTTCGCCATCTCCATCGTCACTTGTCCTTACATTATCAACACCTGGGTTTCTGGTAACATTGTCACCAACTTGACTGACAACTACTCCTGGAACTACTCCATCGGTATGTGGGCTTTCATCTTCCCTATTTCCAACATTCCTCTTTTCATCTGCTTGGTCTGGACCAGACTTAAGTTGCGCAAGCAGGAGGACTGGCAAGAACTTTGCCAGGAGGAGAAAGAATCTTACACTGAGATGAACGAGCACCTTGAGAAGCTTGAGAGAAACAACCAGGCTTCTGGTATCAAGGTGTTTTGTGTCAAGACTTACTACTACTTGAAGGAGTTCTTCTGGATTTCCGACATTGCTGGTATTGTTCTTTTCGTTATTTGTGTTGGTTTACTTTTGGTTCCATTGACTCTTGCTGGTGGTACTACTTCCAAGTGGAAGGAGGGTTACATTATTGCTCCATTGGTTGTTGGTTTCTGTATGCTTCCTTTCTTCGTTTTGTGGGAGCTCAAAGGTGCCAGACACCCAATCGCTCCATTCCCTCTTTTGAAGGACCGTGGTGTTCTCGCTGCCATGACTGTTGGTTTGTTCTACAAGTTCGTCTACTTGATGCCTCACGACTACATGTACCCTGTTTTGGTTGTCGGTATGAACGCTTCTAAGACTGCTGCCACCAGAATCGGTTCTTTGAACTCTTTCATGATTGCTGTTGTTGGTCCAATTCTTGGTTTGATTGTTGTCCGTGTTAGAAGAACCAAGGGTTTCATTCTTGCTGGTATCTCCCTTTGGATCGTCGGTACCGGTATGCTTTACTACTACCGTGGTACTAACGACGGTATTCATTACCAGAGATTTATCGACGGAGTTGTTGGTGCTATGATTGTCTTCGGTTTCGGTTCTGGTTTGTTCGCTCGTACTATCGATGTCTCCATCCAATCTTGTACCGATCACGAGTACATGGCCTCTGTCACTGGTGTCTACATGGCCACTTTCAAGATTGGTTCTGCTTTGGGTGACTGTGTTTCCGGTGCCATGTGGACCCAGAGAATGTACGACGAGATTGTCAAGAAGATGGAAGAGCTCGGCGTTGACACTTCCTTGGCTGACAAGGCCTACAAGAAGCCATATGACTTTATCAAGGTGCACGAATGGGGTACCCCAGCTAGACAGGCTGTTGCTTGGGCTTACGCCGATGTCCAGAGGCTCTTGTGTATCGTTGGTCTTTGCTTGTGTGTTCCTATGTTCATCGCTGGTCTTTGCTTGAGAGACCACAAGTTGGCCAAGGTCCAGTCCATGGATGCTGAGAACTGTGGTGGTGAACTTGGACCAATTGGTGATGCCAGACAAATCAAGGGCAAGAACTACGTCCAGGTGAACTCTTACGATGATGACAAGATCTTCAAGTACTTGAAGATTTGGTACGGTAAGCTTAGAGGTACTAAGGCCTAAGGTTTGCTTATATTTCTCCCCCAACTAATGTTTTAATTTGTATTTAGCGGCACATGCCTTCTTTTTTAATTCGAAGTTTGCCCATTAACGCATTGTAGTAAAAAAAAAAAATACCTTGGCTTTGTCAAATTCATCCAATTCATGGTTCTTCTAAGCTTTCCAGCCTTTCGCAGCCAAATGTGATTTACTTATAAACTGCACTAAAAATCCTTAGAGGTCTGTAAAATCAAAAATAAGCTACCAGCCGATTAAAATGCGCTCTTTAAACGACACGGTACCTTTAAAACATCAAATTTCGCCGCAGATGCCAATTTACCATACTATGTTTCCTACTGCAATTTGGTGATGCCTACACGTGACCTCCATCACATGTCTTTTATCGTAAGGAAGCTCTATACTACTTCAGCCATGGGTAAACGAAGGGGGTCCAAAAGCTCCAGGGCTATAGCCGAACTCAAGAATGAGCTCATTGCGCTTACTCCATCCGAAGAAACCTTAGATCCTCACTTTTTATCCATAAGAAGTCAACTTTTCCACGCCTTACATGGGGGAGCACACGATGCAGTTAAGAGAAACACCCAGGGAGCAGATGCGCTTCTGATTTGGTACTTACGAGCAGTTCAAGCTATCAAGGCAGGAGCGGATGCTTCAGTAATACCCAAGGAAGAAGTGCTAACGGATGAGGTGTTCAATTGGGCGAAAAAGCGCCTTAGCTTCTCACATACTCCCCAAGCAAATGCCGGGTTGGCTCTTCTACGAAGGGTTATCCACCTCTTTAATGTATTGGACGCTAATAGAGGTGCCGAATTGTGTGGCTCATGGGCTTCAAGGATGTTCCAAAGCCAAATGAACAAAAAAGAGCACTTCCAGATCATAGAACTATTGGCCAAGGAAGGCTCTGATGTATCCCAAAGGCTTCGGGTTTCACATCCTCATTTCATTGAAACGCTCCTTTCCAGCCTCGACTCCGGGGCCACCGCCAATGCTGCATCCAAATGTCTTGCGGTTATATTGCAGAACCTTCAACAGTCCTCTTCAGAGACTGATTTCGTTAGTTATTGGGCAGAAAGCGTTATTACAGGCCTCCAGAATCCCAAGCTGGCACCCAACATTACACAGCATCTTCTTCCGTTACTTTTACGGTTGACTCCCGACTCGGTTGATATTCTCATCAAGAACCATATATCAAGTTCACAACCTGTTGTCTTGCTTTCTGTACTTAACGTCAGTCAGAAGCTAGCAAAGTCTAAAGACCCAGTGGATAGCGGACTTTTAACAGAAACTGAATTATATGAACTTCTTGTTTCGGACACTGAAAACATTCGACTTTCTGCTTTACAACTTGTCGTGTCCACAATAAAGACTAGCCGTGAACCCTCCGAACACATTCATAAAATGCTCAGCGATGAACGCGTACTTGATGGATTTGTCGAGGATTCGAGGTCCCCAGAAACAAGGGATGCTTTCTCGTCTACCATAAGAAAAGCTATAATTTCATTGAAAGACTGTTATATTCATAACCTAGCATCTTCTCCTGAAAGAACGAAAAGTACGTTAACTCTTCTCAAGGACAATTTTTTCCTGTGGATTTCTCCAGCTTCAAGCTACATGCTGCTTCTTATAGCTTTTGACTTCTTCGAAGTGCTTGTTGAAGAGGAGTTTGACGGTATAACTCGTAAGGCAAAGAATCAAGGTCTGCGTCAGGCCGTATTCGAGATATACGACGATGAATTCATTTTAAAGCTTCTTCACTTTTCGACCAACAACTATGAAGATATTCGGAGAAAAGCACGCAAGTTGCTTGAGCGATCCCCTCGCAGTCTTCCGTTCGATGTCCAAGATGCGGTGTCTCAGGATCATTTTGACAATGCATTCAAAGCATTAGAATCTGTTCAGGGACGAAAAAGTGATGAGAACGTTAATTTGTTGATGCTCTATGCTTCTTACTATTACCGTGAACCGAAGCTGTTTACCGACTTTCTCAGTCTTGCTCAAGATAAACTTAATAATCTTGGTGCAACTTCTCCTCATGGATATTACTCATTCTTTGCTAACATATTGCGAACCTACCCCGGGTTTATTAACGAACATTTAGACTCTTCAACCGAGTGGATAATTTCACTTCTCTCCTCGTGTCAAAAACTGTGGGACAAATACAAAGCAAACACGACCTTCGAGACACTTGAAGACAGCGAAGGTATGGAAGCTTCCTCATGGAGGGCCGTCCGTGAGTCAGCTTTATTGTTGGATACTATCATTCAGCTCAACTCTCAGTATGACATATTGACTAAGAAGGATCTTTTGAGCGCATGCGAGCTTGCCAGAGACCAGCTTGGTAACATAACACACAGAGGTGTGTTGTCATCTGTGTTTAATACTTATGTTTCCGGATGTGTTGCTTGTCTTAATGACGAAGAGTTAGCAACTTGGCCTGATAGATGGCTCGATGAAAGCTTGGAACTTGTGAAAGGGAAGACACAATTTGTTTCGAGAAGATCAGGCGGACTTCCTTTTTTGATCACTGGAGTGTTAAACGCCTATACAAAGAAATCCAACTACCAAAAATTAAGTTACGTCATGGATGAACTTACTAGCCACACGAAGGCTCCCTTGAAAGAGGAAGAAAGAGCTAAGAGCGGGTTCCCTCAAGTACACGCGTTCAACTGCATCAAACATTTATATCTTGATTCGGTTTTGTTTCCATATGCTCGACGCTATTTGGAAGATGTACTTGAACTTTCTCTTCGGAGCATAAATTCACCAGAATGGTCCATAAAGAATGCCGCGTTGATGCTCTTTAGTGCAATTATAAACAGAGTGTTCGGAACGAATATGGTCAATAATCAGCCATCAAGAATGGATCTTCCAGAGCTCTCCGATATGTTTCCTAGTTTCGAAGGCACAGTCAGAGAATTTCTCATGGATTTTGATGTATCTGTGGAGAGCGCACTCTGTATCTTGACAATCCTCGAAAGAACAGAAATGGACGTTACTGACGAATATGGGCTGCTGTTAGTCAATTTAGTCCAGGATTACTATTTGGAACATAAAAAATGGAAACTCAGAAAAATGGCAGCTCGCGTGGTGCCGAATATGCTAGATCTGATGGAGACTGACGAACTTTTTAATATTTTCCCCGAAGAAGCCCAATGGTATAATGCGAACAATTTTCATGGGTTTCTCCTTCTATTAAAGGATATTTCTAGCAGATCAAACTACGACGATAGAGTTGAAGTATTGAGTCATGCGTTTGACATGCAGTTGAAGGGTCAACGCTGGCAACTTTTCTCAGCTTTTTTGGACTTGATCCCGGTCATTCCTAAATATATGGCTACCCAGTTAGGAAACTTCTTTTGCCATCATATCGTTCAAAGATCAAAGTACCCACATGGTGCAAAACACACAACACTAGCAAAGTTGTTACGTCTGCTCCACGCATATCACGAAAGCGAGGGAGAACTAGGAAATGCAGAAGATGTCATACTTCTTGGTCTTTCAGATGAGGCCTATGAACTCCAGCAACTGGCTATTGAATGTTGCAGGAGCCATCAAAAGCTCAGTCCTGATTTAATTCAAGCCTTGCAAGATGTGATCACCAATCCGCTGACATGGACCCTAGTTCGTGTTGATGCAATGAAGCTCCTAGTAGATAACGGAATATTCACACAAGTTAATGTGCCAGACATCGAATGGTCATATGAGCTTCAAGTGCTTTGTCTTGTATCACAGGAGAAACCTGGCGCCCGTGAGCTCCAGAAGGTTTTGCATCCAAGCCAGGAAGAAGACTCTAGGCTTCTTTGTGTCGACTCAATTTCCAGAGCTATATCGAATGCTGAGAATTCGGTGTATGTTGATGATCTTACGGTTTTATTATTGTTATCTTGTCGTGGAGAATCAAGAGCTGTACGTCGCAGAGCTGCTGATACCTTGTGTCAGATCTTCAACCTCTCAAAGGATTACAGCACTTCTTACATTTTCAAGAAAGCTATTGAAGCCCATGGTCCTTTCGATGTCCTTGAAGGGTCTATCCTTCACGACTTCCTTTATCTGTATAAGGAAGACTTTGAAGAGTTCGCCAAAAAGGAGGAGTTCGATCTCGACAGAGACGACCTATACATGAATGAAGTAAGATTACACCGGGAGTTATCTAGTGTGGTCTCAAAAGACAACTTGCAACACGACACTGATAGCCTACTTCAACTCATTGAGCAAAAGTCATGCCTCAAAGCATGGGAATATGATTACCTGTTTGACACTGGATTGAACAAGTTCATGCATTTGGCAGGAGAGGACGATAAAAAGAGAGTGAAAGCGGCTCTTGACTCGATCAAGTACTCCTACACCGATTCTGTCTAGGCCTGAGCAGTTCATTTGCAGCCATTCATCAAGTATCATGACATTCAAAAAAAGGAATAGAAAAGTAAAAGCTTATAAATAGAACAGCATAATTAACTTAAAATTAACCAAATAATTAAGGACGCCTTAGTTTAGGTCCTCTCTTACTTACACCTCCAACCTTACCACTCAATGCGCATGTAATCCATTCCATATCAACTCATCGCACTACACTATATAAATCATCAACATCCCATAAAAGCCCCAAACATGTCGGAATTTCCCCAGCTATGTTCTGACTGTTTACTACCAGACTCAAAAAACATCAAGATGATTCGTCAGCCAGCTGGCGAAGAGTGCAAACTATGTACTCGTCCCTTTACCGTATACAGATGGCCAGGACCTAAAGGACACAACAGAATGAAGAAGACCATCGTTTGTGGCACTTGTCTGAGAGTGAGGAACTGCTGTCAGAGCTGTATGGTTGATGTTTACTTCAAGATTCCTTTGGAGATCAGAGACGCTGCGTTGAAGATGGCAGATATAGAGAACCCATACTTGATGGAACAGAGCCAGAACCGAGAAGTGAAGGCGCTTATGGCCGAGAAGAAGGAGAATAAGGGCTTCAAGACTGAGGGGCAACGTGAGAAGGCCCAGGAGATTTTGAATACGCTAGCTGAACGTCTTGGGAAACAGAAACCTGCTCCTATATCTTCCCCACATGAACAAGAGACAGCCACTGCTAAGGATCTCAGTAAGATTGTTTCAAAACTACCGTTTGGAGCAAATTTGGAGGTTCCTAAGGATGAGACGGTCAAATCGTTCTTTGTTTTTGGCTTTGACCCACAGATGCCTCAGTATGTGGTGAAAGACTACTGTGAAAAGGTGGTGGGCGGCTCGGTTTCTGTCAAAATGGCACACCGTGCCAGATGTGCATTTGTTACGTTTGGTTCGAGACAAGAAGCTGAGCAGTTTGGTGAAAAGTTGGGGACTGCCAAAATCAGCAAGTCAGACAAGACAGCAGCGCTTGTTATTCTAGATAAGAAGTACCCTGTACGTTTTTGCTGGGGCTCCCCAAAATCGCTAGGAACTACAGGGACCGAACAGGGTAAGATCGGATCGGTTGTTGTGAAGGTCATGAAACAGTTATCTGAGAAGGATGCTAGTGATAGACCTAAAAGGAAGAGAAGGAATGATAACACTGAAGTCGAAGCTGCGCCAAAGAAGGCTGTCAAGAAGACTTTTAACGCAGAGAGGGATATCGAGTTATAAACGTTATCAGGGTATAATTTATAGATAATGGGATACGGATAAGAGATGAATACTGAGTGTACTGAGTAAGAGTGATGAACGATATCCCTAGTTCATTGACCTCTATCACACTTAAAACAAAAGAGCAACAAAGTAACCAGCAATCTAGCGTCTTCATAAAAACAGAGAAAAATAATCTTCATCAGCAGTTCTTCGTACTCATGATAGTCCCTATACCAAGTACACTGAGTAGCAGCATTACACCATTTCGCAGCCATACATCAGGCTGAACCTACCATATAACCACCACACCATCACGACCTCCCAGAGTCTATAAGACCAAATACCTCATTAAGGAACCACTTCGTGGAAAGACACTTCCTTGGTTGCCCCTTTACAGTTCCTTCCAACCCGACATCCCACTACTTCCCTTCCTCATCACGTCACACGCGTAATGCCCTTCGATGGCCGAATACGTGAGTTTCCCTTGTTGGGCGTCGATAAGTTCAATACGAGCTGCTCATCTTTCCTTCTAACACATTGCCATGCCGACCACTTGGTGGGACTTCTTCTGCGGTCGTTTGGTGGCCTAGTGTACTGCTCTGAGGATACGAAGAGATTACTACTGTTGAAGAAGGAGTATCAACGCGTTTTACCGCTTCTAGAGACCAAGAAGTATCATGAACCTTTTGAGGTGGTGCTTGCGCCGTTGGGCTCGTCTCATGATTCAGAATATCATACTGTGACGGTCACAGTGACGTTACTTCCGGCTTATCACTGCTTAGGTGCAACTATGTTCTTGGTTGAATCTGAAACGAAAAGTGTGCTTTGTACGGGCGACGTGAGAGCAGAGGATTGGTGGAGAGCTTCTTTGAATACTTTTCCTGCTTTGTTTCCCTACTTGAATGGGTGCAAGACTTTGGATAATATCTATGCTGACATGACCTTCTCGTACCGTGGAGAGCCATACATTGAGATTCCACCTAACAATGCGGGTATTCACACGGCTATTCGGCTTCTAGAGGAGTTCCCTAGAGATCCAGAAATCGTCTATTCATTTCATGATACCACCTTAGGGTTTGACCAGTCTTGGGCTTTTATTGCCAGCTACTTTAGAGCAGCTCTTCATGTTTGCGACCCTACGCTACGGAATCAAATTGAAATAGTGGCCAAATCAGATACTGTCAATGGCCCTAGTTTGGCGGCAGCTATGGCACGTTATAACCAAAAGAACACTAAAAGAGGCATCTTCCATGTATGTCCTAAAGGATGCTCAGATGTCGATTCACTTTCAGAGGAACCGTACGTTGTGAAGATAAAACAATGCATTAATTTTAATATAATGGACTTGACAGGGGCATGCTTCCCGCTTCTGCTCGAGTCTCTTAGAGTGGATGAAAAGGCAAATTTAAAGATGCTCAGACAAACCAAGCTAGGCACCAGAATCTACAATCTACGGGATCGCGAGTGGGTGCTTCCCAAAGACGGCACTGAACTATTGCCTGCTGATATAAAGCTCATATTTTCGAGACATTCCTCGTTTACTGAAACAGCTAGGCTTGTTTCGATGTTCAGACCTAAACAGGTTTACCCCACAGAAGACCAAGGCTCTTGGCTAAATGGCTTTATGATGAGTCGTCTATTTGGCGAGTTCTGCCTGGGTCAAGAGTTTACCTTTGACAAAGAACAGCAATCGCTTTATGGGAAGCTACCCCCACAAGACATTATAGATAGACCAGTTGCTACCGTTGATCGCTGGAACGTGGATGAATGTAAGGAAGAAGAGAAGTTTGTGGAAGAAGTGAGCAAAGAAGAAAGTGTTGCACTAATCAATATTCGAAAAGTTGTCCAAGCATCTGCATTCATGAACAAGCGTTCTGCCGAAGACCAAGACTTCGTCAATAAGCGCAAAAAGGATTTCAAACTCCAGAAAATTACCGAAGGTCGTCGTGATATTTCATACAGAAAATTCATCGAGGAGCAGCAGCAAAAATACTACAAGAAGCACAATCTTCCTGGCTACAAGAGAGACTACGAGTCAGCAAAATACCAGCGCAAATTCGACTCCACTTTGGGAGGCTCTAGTGATTATGATACAGATAGTTGTTCTAGTCTGTCAGACATATTCCGTATGAAACGTCCAGCTGTGAATGAAAGTCCAGCGAGAAAGGTTTCCCATGATTCAAGCGTCGTGGATGAGACTCAGCCTTCACAACCACCGCAAGCAAGATGGAAAGCCAAACAGGGATCTTTCGTGGCATCTTCTTTCAACACTTATGAGGAGTCCTTGCGGCCCAAGGAAGCTGTCCTGCTTTCACAATCTTGTTCTCAAACAAGCATCCTTTTCCGGTCCGAAGAGGCACCCGACCAGGTCCAAATCGACCACTATTCTCGAAGACTTATCGAGGACCCAATGGCCTGGGGCAGCATGAGCCTCCAGTCGACCACGGGAAAATGCAAATAACAAATGAAACGAAGTAATGCTAATTTTCTCTCCATTGGTGAGAGCATTTGGTACACTTGAGGAAAGTTGTCATAGGCTCATCGGCAGATCTGATCTGTAACTGGAAAAAGTATGCCTTATCGTTGCCACATGAGTCCACTGGACACTGTGCTGTAGTTTGATCAACGTTATCCCAAGCACCGTCTCCACCCAAGACATCGTCAACTTCCTTTCTGGGTAGAACTTTGCGTTCAAACATCTGGAAACCCGAGATCCTGAACTCGTAAGGGCACGTGTTGCATTGGAGTCTGTTTAGCCCATCCTCACCATGCGACATCAAGAGCATGTTGGAGCAGTAGGGACAGAACGAGAGCATTCTGAATGGGGTTTAGTCACAGAGCTTGATGTGGAAATTCAGATCTGTAAGCCCGCAGCGATGAGAAGACGATGAAGTCACGTGGAACGGCACGTGAACGATTTTGATATACAATTTATCTCCACAACAACGATTATAATCAGGTAACTGAATAAGTAAATCGATAGATTTTATACCATTGATTCAGGACACTGATTCACATTGCTAGGGTAAATCTTCTAATTGGCACATTTTTCCAAAATAACAATCGCGCACGTGACTCCATACATTATTTATCAATAGGTATACTGTTTTTGGACTACTAGATCCATCCACAATCTATAACATGGCCGAAGTTCCTGATCTAAGGCATCCGTCCAATCTGCATGAAGATGCCGAATCTACCGGAAATGGTACAAACGGCAATATAGAAGTCAAGCCTGAAGACATTACAGATGGACCAGAGTCTCCAGCCAAAACACCAACGCGTCCAATTGGACTAAAATCCCCAGCTAAACGGTCACTGGAAGACCTTGATAATTCTGCTCGAAAAAGAGCCCATTCAACATATTCAAGATTAATGGAAGATGAAAATAATGAGGAAGATGGAGTGCTCCGACAACAAGAGCTTAAACTAGCCCAGCAAATCATTGAAGACTCGAAAGAACTGGCACCTCCAACTCCAAAAAGAAAAAGAGGTAGGCCAAGAAAAGAAGACCAGGTGAAGAAGCCCCAACCTGCAGTGGAATTGACTCCTCGAAGGCGAGAAAGAAGAGCTGTTGTGCAAAAGAGAGAGGAAGAGAAAGAGGCAGAGAAACTAAGGCTCCAAGAAGTGAAACAGAGGAGGACAAGAAAAAGATCAGCTGCTAAGGAAGAAAGTGATCTGCTGGAAGAGAGTGATGACAGTGAAGACGACTTCACCGAGTCCGAAGAGGAGACTCCAAAACGAACTAGGAAGGTGACAACCCCAAGGAAGCCCAAAGCGTCTCCGCGGGCGGAGCTGCCCACGCCAGTCAAGGCCAAGAAGGAACCTAAACCTAAGAAGGAGCCAAAACCTAAGAAGGAACCAAAACCCAAGAAAGAGCCCATTCAAAGGCGAACGAAGAAGGGAAGGCCTAGTAAGCAGGAAAAGGTAACTGGTACAGTGCACAGTATCTTCCACATGGACGATCTCGAGTTCTTCCAGGACCGTCCAGAAACTCCAAGCACGACATCATCACCTTCAAAGCCTAAACTGTCAATTTCACTTAATTTCGATAACACAGGCGACAGTACATTCTCTTACATTCCCCTGATCAGTGGACTTCAAAAACGACCAAAGAGCAAACCTGAAAGTGCACCTATTCAACAATTTGAGCCACTTCCAGTTCCAGAAGTTGACGAAGAGGGAAACATCAAGGACAAGAATTACGTGAAGAAGTATTTCCCAGACTCTCAAATACTGTCGAACTTTTCTGGAAGACTCACCGACGAAAGAGCCTACTTCTTGGAAGGAAGTGAAGGCTACTTCGAACAGCATAATCTTCGATTCAGGCCATCCTCGAGTGCATTGAGCTCCAATGCACCTGAACTCAATTACGACGAGTTTTTGCCTATGGTTAAGCTAGGCAGTCTCATTCACCACAATGAAAGGAAAGCACTCAACACCCTCCATCGCAAGTTATACCACCAATGGTGCTTTGAATTGAGCCAAGGTTACAACCTCAATTTTTATGGTATTGGTTCAAAGGTTAATCTTATACTTGACTTTGTTAATAATTATTTGCTTGACTGGTACGAGCAAACGCTTCTAGGCGACGACGAGTTTCCCGTGGTAATGGTTGTCAACGGGTATAATCCTGCAACCAAACTTAAGCTGGTTATTCATGACATTGCCTCGGCTATTGTCACGCCAGAGATCAGAAAAGAAAAAGGTATCAAGATGCCGAAACATATCGGTGAGGCGTTCCCGTTTTTGGTCAGTTACATGAAGAGGCATGTGGTTTACCACGCAGAGCATGGGCTCGTCAAACCTAAACTTATACTTGTTGTACATAATATTGACGGTGATGCATTCAGGGATGAAAGGTCGCAGAATATCCTTTCCCAGCTTGCATCACTTCCTGACGTGTGGCTCCTCACCTCCGTGGATAACGTGAATGCCAGTCTTTTATGGGATCTTTACCGCTTCAAGAACTTCAATTTCCTTTGGCACGATGCCACCACCTACGATCCTTACGGAGTGGAGCTTTCTTTCAAAGACGTTCTCAGTATGGGCCGGTCCAAGAGGTTTGTGGGAAGCAAGGGCGCTAAATACGTTTTGACGTCGCTTAGCTCGAACGCACAAGAGCTTTATAGAGTGTTGCTGCAGATGCAATTGAAAGTCTTGGAAGACGCCACGGCGTCAAAATCTGGCAGAACAGGTCTTCGAGGTTCTATCAAGCTTGGCGTGGGGTTCAAAGATCTTTATCAACAGTGCTTAAAGGAGTACGTCACGTCCAACGAAATGAACTTCAGAAGCATCCTCGGCGAATATGTCGAACACAAGATGTGTTCGCTTACTAAAAACGTTTCAGGCAAGGAGGTGGTTTTTATTCCCTATGCCTATGACGAAATAGCGCTTATCTTAAAAGAGCACTACAAGAAATAGAAAATGGTTGCAAAATGGCTGCGAAAAAAAAAAAACCAGGCGCAGCTTGCCCAGACAGCACTCCCCAAACAATTGCCAAACATTCTCTGACACGTTTCCCTTCCCTCTCCAGTTAAACTTTCTTTTGCCACATCCCTCCCTTTCTCCATTCGTTCCTGTCCCACGCCTTTTTCTGATTTACCCAACATGGTCTATTATTGACCCTGGTCGTGCGCCAGCCGGATTCACAGCCCAAGTGCGATACATCATACAGCGTATTGCCTACTTGACCTTATCTAATTTAATTAGGCAGCCCCGGCCACCCTCCAATTGCTTAAAGATCCCTACCCCCAAAACACCGTCGTCGCTACTGCCTGCTATGTCCAACATCGCCGAAGGCACGTCGCTCACTGTCGGGAGCCATAAGGTCAATGTGGTTCGCTTCTTGTCGGAAGGCGGGTTTTCCAAGATCTATGAGGTCACCATGGATCCGCCCCATGACGATACTGAAGTTGGATGTTTGAAGCAGGTTATTGTTCCGGATAAGAGCGGGCTCAATGCATTGAGGAAAGAAGTGGACGTTATGAAGACGTTGCATCTGGCGAAACACATTGTTCGTTATTACGACTCCAACGCCGAGAGATTGGCGGATGGACAGTACCAGGTGCTTGTGTTGATGGAATTGTGTCCCAATAAGTCTTTGCTAGAGTACATGAACGCTAGGATCCGTACCAAGTTGACCGAAAAGGAGATTCTTAAGATCATGGTGGATATCACCTTGGGTCTCTATGAAATGCATAAGATCAAGCTTATCCATAGAGACGTGAAGATCGAGAATGTCTTGATTGACGCTAAACACGTGTTCAAGCTCTGTGACTTTGGCTCTGTGTCCGTACCCATTAGACCTCCTAAAGATCAACGTGAGTTCCAGCTATTGAGCCACGACATCTTATACCAGACAACCCCACAATACCGATCTCCGGAAATGGTCGATTTATACAGAGCCCAGCCGATTGACGAGAAATCAGATATTTGGGCCTTGGGCTGTTTCCTTTACAAGCTTTGCTACTACACCACGCCGTTTGAGGCTAACGGTGACATTGCCATTCTCCATGCATCCTTCCAGTTCTTGCCCCAGCCGGAGTTCTCGGGTGACTTAAAGAACCTTATCATCATCATGCTTCAAGAAAACCCGCTCTATAGACCAAACGTGGTGCAGATCTTGATGCTCCTTTGTCAAATGACAGGAAAGAAAATCGAGGACTACGATGTTGAAGACTTTTACCACGCTGGCGCTTACAACTTCCAGGCCTTGCACGAGATGCAACAGCATAAACAAGAAGAGCTTCGTAAACAGCAGCAGCTTTACTACGAGCAACAGAAACAGCAACAGGAGTACGAAATGCGCAAGATCAAAGCCCAGGCGGCTGCTCAGAAAGATGTGCCCAAGAGGTCAACATCTCTGCGGTCTCAATCACAGCAAGCTTCAGTTGAAAACATGCTGCCTAGCGTACTGAATGTTCCTAGCCCCAGCATCAAGGCGCATGGTTCTTCTGCGTCTCTAGCATCTCCACAGCAACTAGCTACCGCTCCTGTGGCACCTGTCCCTCGTGAGACCGATTACTCCTCAGCCCAAAGCAGCCCCCACTTTGCATCACAGATTCCCAAGTCGGGATCTGTTCCTCCTCAGGTTGCTCAAAATCTAACGTCTCCGTTGGCTGTTGCCTCTTCGCCTGCTACACAAAAGAGTAAGTTGCACCAGGTGACACTGGTGAAGGATGATTCGCAGGCTAACCTCGCCCAATTGAACCACAAGTACGATTCATCGAACAATCCATTCCCTATCCTGAAAGAAACGCCTTATCCTGTTGACCAGAAGCCTATTGAGGATGTGACGGATGGCTCCACTGCCGATTCTGATATCGATTTGGAGGAAATCTCCAAGCTAGCGAATGCCGAGGAGCGCTATCCGTCTCTAGACGCATTGAATGATGAGGCAGATAAGGCCTCTGCGTCTGCATCGGTCCATAGGAAGTCGCTGGAGTTTAGCGTGAATACTTTGCTGGGCCAAAGCGCTTCAGCTAGCCGTAAGGCTCTGCAGGATCCTGAATTGAAGAGGCCATCAGAATTTGAGTCCACTAAAGCATGGGAGAAGCCACAATCTCATATCGATAAAGATGCTGAGAAGTTGGTGGACGACATTTTTGCCACGAAGACCGGCCCAAGTGAAACAGCAGGTACATCTGTTCCATCTACATCATCTAAGGAACCATCACTCTACGCTTCCCAACAGCTGGTACCTCAAGGCAGCCCCGACTACTTCTACCAACAACAGGCACCAGCTCTGGTGACAAGCGAACTCAATTCGAATACCAGTCATGCTCGTGTCGATGCCAAATCAGCAGAGGTGTCTAAACAAGCACAGGTGGCTCCCATGCCGGTGCCAGTTCCAGAAGTCCAAGAGCCTAAGAAGATGGACGGGTTATCAAACGGCTTGAAGAGACCTTCTCCATCACATGGCTCAGTCTCCATGGATGCTTCGGCACAACTTTCCCAGAAACCAGACTTCTCCACATCCTACAGTTTGGGAACTGTCCCCGTCAAGGAGGGAAGGAAAGATGCAAACCCATGGGGTGGTTCCCTTGCGCAGGGCCGCAGTCCAAGACCCATCCCTGTTAATAATGCTTCGGACGATTGAATATGGGCAAGTTATCTTTGAACGAACCAGTGGCTCCGTCACCACAACAGCAACATGCCAACCTAGCTCCTGCTGCTCCACATGCCGCTAGTGGTTCACAACCCGTGGGCAGCAGAGGTCCTTCCATCGAACTCGATCGTAATCTTATTGAACTCGAAGTGGGACTTTCGTCAGGCGAAAGCTCAGAAGCAACACCACCGCCGCTTCCACCACATCCAGCACGCAAGCAGCGCGAGGAAGTCTCTCTAGTTGATTTAGACGGCAAAGAAGAAGCGAAAAAGCCTCCAATCAAAAAGTCCCTCTCGCAAGCTCCATCTCAGCCATTTGAAATGAGAGAAGAGGTTATTGATTTCGCTTCAGACGATGAAAACCAACAGCTGGAGATGAGCCGGTTGTCGATCAGAAACTCGCTCCGCAAGTCCAGAAAACTGAGTGACTACCACAGAAGAAGCGACAGCACTAATAGCGAACTGAAGCGCCGCTCATTCTTTGGCGGTGACTAAAGAAACATCCCCTCCTGAGATTTTTGAAGATATTACTAGAAGATAATAGACAAATGCATACCCCAAGTCACCATCGGTATGCAGTGCTCTGACATTGAATCTATGGTAGTTTTTCGCACAGATGAGCATCGCGAGATTAGTAGACCAACCTTCCAAGTAATCAATCTACACAGCAATGGACGAGTTAGGGGTTCTCCTTTCCGAGCTTCTTTTGCTCGTTCCAGAAGAGAAGCTTCACAAATCAGAAACTCCAGAGTTGGCCTCTGTGTCACGTGCAATCCAAGAGATTGTAGGTGGAAGATCAGCTTCTTGGGTCCATGAACAGTTTGGACAGATCATCCAGCTTCCCGAGGTAAAAGACGTTCTTTCGAGTTTTGGATCTGAGAGCCTTAAGGAGGCTACATTTAAGTTTGTCGATGCCATCTCAGCTAGCCAAAATGAGTCCAATCTGGTTCTCCACCTCCAGCTATTAGCCATTGGTACTCTCCAAACGTTCATCCAGGCAAACTACACTGGTCCAGAAATTGGATTCAATGCTCGTGATGTGTTGTTGCCTCAGCTTGACGAGACCTTGGTTCAGACGGAAGCCGTGAAGTTACTCAGTATTGAAGGTAAGCTGGCTTATGACCTAATGAGTGAGCCCTTCTTGCTTGTACTTGCATTGGTGATCTTTGAGAAACTCATGGGTCTTTCGGAGGCTTCATTGATTGGTAAGAACCCAAATGTGACTTTGGAGACTATTTCTGAGGCTACGGGTGCGGCAGTGAAGGAATTGGGTACTTCTCCTACAGTGTCTTCCTTGGCCTGGTGGAGAGCTCGTGCTTTGCAAGTACAGCTTTCTGTGCTTTCTGAGCCTGCTGATTCTTTGGCTTCTGTTACGTCTATTTTGTTGCAGCAGCCAATCGTGAACTGGCTTGTGCCTAGTGGACAGACAGACTTAGAATTGCAGAAGTTCGTGCAATTGATTTATCTCTTGGAGAGCGCTAGAAACGGTATTCATGCTCAGACTGAACATTTGGCTGAGCCTATATTGAGAAAAGCTGCTCAGGTTTCCCAGTTGCAGTTTGCCTTGACTGGTGCCAAAGCCAAAAGAACAAAATTCCAAACTTTCCACACTGCGCTGTTGATTCTTCTAGCAAAGTCCGCCGAGTCCCAAGTATTTGGTGATCTGGGTAACGAAGCACCTGAGCTGTTTGAACTCAACTCTGACTTGCTTCTTGAAAAGCCCGAGTATGAGTCTCTTGCAGATGTGGACATGAAAGATGAGCAAGCCGCCAAGAAGATCAAGATTGATTTTGATGCTCCTACCGAGGAATCTGCCGATCAAGAACGTCTCTTCCCTATGGCTTTGGCTTCCAAGATTCCAGAACAGCTTAAGGAACTTGACCCTAATAACCAGCCTCCATTGAACGACCTAGATATCGTTCAGCTTTTGCTTCGTCTTACTACCGTTAGACAAACCTCCCCACTGGGTAATATCTTGGTCGATGAAGAGCTTGCCGCTGTGGTGAACAGAATTGTATACTCTTCTTCAACTAACAGCAACTGGCTCGTATTTGGCAGAGCTCTCTGGGAAAGGTCTGTTCTTGAGACCGGAAAGGCTCGTACCGTGGAAAGAGGTATCTTGCAAATGACTTCTTTAGTCGAGGAAATTGGTATTAAGATTAAATCAAGAGTCTTGCCTCAGTCGGAGACTCAAGCACAAAGTTCGGTTGCTTCCAGACTCAGATTCATTCATCAGTTGCCATTGATGGCACAATGGTCGCTTGACGCCAAGCTCGCAGAGAAGTACATGTCTTTGGGAGTTTTGAAGCTGGCCATTGCAATCTACGAACGTCTTGGAATGGTCGTGGAAGCAGCTCTCTGTTATGCTGCTGTGGAAGAGGAGAATGTCGCCGAGAAGATGTTACAAGACCGTGTAGCTTCTAACCCTGATGATGCCAGAGCTATCAGTATCCTTGGTGACCTCAAGCAGGATCCAAGCTACTGGGAGAAGGCTTGGGAAATCGGAAGGTACCCTAAGGCCAAAGCTTCCCTTTCTCGTCATTGTTATGCCCAGAAGGATTACGCTGCTGCTATTGAGCATATGCGCCAGTGTCTCTCTGTGAGCCCACTTTCATACGAAAACTGGTTCTTCTACGGATGCATGGGTCTCGAAACCCAACTGTTCGAATTGGCAGCAGAAGCCTTCACTAGGTGTGTTGCTTTGGACGATACTAACTCACATGCTTGGTCCAACTTGGCCAGTGCTCTTTTGAGGCTTGACAAGACAAAGCAGGCTTTCAGCGCATTAAAGAAAGCTTTACAGCAAGGTGATGGTGCATCCAGATCATGGAGAATTTACGAAAACTACTTGACGGTCGCTGCTAAATTGGGTGAATGGAATGATGTTCTTCATGCTACTAAGGAGCTTATCAAGATGAGAAAGGAGTCTGGTGGTGAAACTGTCGTTGACTTGCCTGTTATTGAAACGCTTGTGCAAATACTCATCGAGGAACCATACCCTAACGAAGATGATCCAAGCGTTAGATTGACACACTTCCAAAAATCATGCATAGATCTCGTCTGCAACGTTTTGCCCAGCGTGATCAACCACTCCGCTAGATGTTGGAGAATCGTCAGCAGAGTTGAGCTCTGGAGAAATAAACCTTGGGCTGCATTGGAATGTCACGAAAAGGCTTTCAGAGCTACATCTCAGCGCCCAGAACTTGAAACAGATGAGAAGGTCTGGAGCGAGGCAATCGAAGCCTGCTCTGACTTGGTCTCAGCTTATGAATCTCTTGGAGAAATGCCAGGAAAGCATGGGGCCGGAGATGTGGTTTGCAAAGACTGGAAGTACAAGGCTAGAACCGCCGTTAGATCACTCATGTCTAAGGGTAAGAGCATGTGGGATGGTTCTGAGGGCTGGGAACAGCTTATTACTATGAGAGACGACCTTAAAAACTAATTTCGATTATACCTATCTATCCACGTCGTTGATGATAGAGAAGGAGTCGAACATGAGCGATTCGACCCGATCTTTGGACGAGAGAGCCAGGTCTGGGATGTCGCCAGGGAACGGACTCTCCTTGGTTGGCAACACCACCGATAGACTTGCCTGGAACTCCTCGATGCTCGGGACAATGAAATTGAACCCCAAAGCCTTCATCAACCTAGTACAGCCAAGCACAAGGCCATGCAAGGATTTCCTGCTCAACTCTGAGATCTCGAGCTTCACAAGCCAAGTCACCATATAGAACACCAACCAGCAAGCCTGTTGCTGCTTGAATAACCATTCATATCCGTACGCCAACATTACCACGTAGTCCCAGTAGCACACATACGACAAGGCTGTCGTTTCCAAGTACCTAAGGAACGGCATCGATGTCTTGGTAAAGGCGCTTGTAGGCAACACATCAAGAATAAGGAAAGACATCAAGTTCATGGTGGCATACGTAGCGAAAGGAAGTAACTTGGTAAGCGACGGTTCCGTGTTGGCCACCAACAACGCCGAAGCAAGTAAAACCGTGTTCTCTCCATGTAACAAGTCAGAAATGGGTGCTCTCAACTTCAGGCTGCTTCCTCTATCATCTCTGAGGATGTATCTGAAGTGACGATGTACAGCCATGGCATACGTGACATTGCAGCCAATAACAGCGGCCCCATAAGCTGAAGGAATCACTGAAGAGGTAAGAAAACCCAAGAGACAGGTAGCGTGGGAGAGAAGCCAGAGGTACATCAAGGTGTTCTTCTGATTTGCAGCCATTTGAAAGAGAGCCATGACTCTCGCCCAAGAGAGGTAAAGGACTCTACCAATAAGAGCATACTCGGGGGCGTTAAAGAAGGATTCGGCAATCATTTTAAAAGTAATGATTTTCAATTTTGCCATGCCTGGGATAAAAGAGGTGTGGTAGGTGGTGGTGAGAGTATACCCTCCGAATGCGCCTATTTATATGTGGAACCCAAGAACCACTATCATCACTAATTTCCTTATATTGAGCCTATTTATCGAGCTGAATCCGTGCAGCTTCCTCGTACCCCTTCATGAACAAAAGAAGAAGCTCCCCAAAATATACCGTGGTCCTTTCCAACTCCTCTACGTACTCTTGGAAGGAGCACAAGATATCCTCTTCATTCATCATGTTCTGCAACGTACAAGTTTCGTCGTAGTCGTTCTTACGAAGAAGAAACTTGGCATCTTCTTCATCTTTAAGTTCGAGAGGTTTCTTGTGTGCTCGGTAGAAAGCTCTGAAAATAGCTCCGAGCTGTTGTTGGATCACCAACGAGTAGCTGTGTCTATCAACAAACTCTTCAACTGCAGTTCCTTTCTTCAACTGCTTAACTCTGTTTTGAAGTTCAAGACGTTTCTTGACAAGGTTCTTCAACTGCTCGGCGTCCAACATGTATGGAGTGTCGTCGTCAACATGGCACTCGAGGATATTGATAAGCGCATTGGTGAGTCTTGTAGCAGTTTCGATTTCCACCCTCAACTCGTGGAACTGGGCATTGATATTGAAAAATTCCCTTGCAACTGGTTCGTTGACTGTAGGACCAGCATTCTGGTAAACGTCACAGAGACGGTTGATCATGGTGTTGATCTCGATATCGTAGTCCTCCTCGTCCATGTACTTCATCTCGAAGTCAACGTTCTCAAGGAGGTCTGAGATATCATCCTCAAGCTCTGCCATTGAAAGTGGAGCAATGATAGATGAGTTAGAAATAGGCTTCCTCTTTTTCTGCTTCTTTGCCTTCTTACGTCTCAAACATGGAAGAGAGATGAAGGAACTGTTTCCAGGACAAGCACCCACGCTCTTGGGAGCCTCTTCCTTGTCGAAATCAACAGAATGAACGTAGACGACCTCTTCTGCATCCTTTTGGTTCTTTTCCTCATTGAAGCGTGCCACAGGCGGCAGCCTTCTAAAGGTTTGGGGCGACTTGAGGTTGATTGCAAGAAGATTCAACCTGTTCAAGTCGTAAAACATTGACAAGCTGTTTTCCCTCTGAAAGTCCTTAATCACTTTAATAAATTCAGGAACTACTTCAACTTCCTCTTCCTTCTTTTTCTTCTCTTCTTCCTTCTTTTCCTCTTCCTCTTCCTCTTCAGAGCTGCTGCTACTGTCGCTATCTTCTTCACTGACTTCCAAAATTGGCTCAAGACATGGCTTGTATCCCTCTTTAGTCCCAAAGAAATCATCTCCAAATAGCTCATTATCGTCCAGCGAGAGGCTATGAGAGAAATGGGACTGTTCGTTTTGTGGTCTAGGCTCGGGCCTATGAGAAGATACTCTGGTCAAGCAGTTGTCGTCGTCTGACTCGTTATCTGGGCTCTCGCATAACCCAGGAAAGTTCTCTTTTATGGGTACGCTTTCCTCTTTATTAGCGTCCTTTTCGGCGACCAATGTTTCATTGGTTTTGGCCTTTTGGGCCTTTTGGGCCTTCGTCATGGCTTGATAGACAGCCATACGAAAGTAGTAGTCTTTGGCGGTGGCCTTCTTGAGCGTAGTATTCTTTGGAACTTCCACAGGCTTTGAAGACTTTTGAGGTGCCAACGAATACGTCTCTTCCTCTGAATCAATGCTACTTGTTGAGTCCTTTTCGCTGGTAAAGTCCCAGGTGGGTTCGAGAATGACAGTCTCAAGAGGAGTAGCTTTTGGTGGTTCAACAGTGATGAACCAAGAGAAGGCCTTAGACATGGCCAGTGTAAAATACCCAAGCAGCGACTTTTCTTCGGTATAATTAATCTTTTGCTGTTCTGGAAAAAGTATCAGCTTTGGTCTGTTGAATATGTTGGGCTCGTTTCGACAGAAGTGACGATACTTCCTTGGGAGCACCGAGTCAAGTAATTCCCCGACACTAGGGTTAAACAGTGGTGGTGGCGGAGTGTTTAAAATATTCATTTTATTAGATGATAACAGAATTGAAAATATATCGTAGTTTGGAGAAGTAATGGTGAATAAAATCCGTGGCTCTACCCCAGGTACAAATAGACAAACCGTGATGCTACGCCTACGTCCGCCCAACAACTCCAGAAACCGAAAGAATAGCATCAGAGAAGACAATCGAAGGCATTTGAATCAAATAAATCTCTCGAATTACCTAAATGGAAAGTCTGTGGAAGTTTTTCCCCACGGTATATTTTGCAACTACAGTAAGTCCAATGTCGGCACTTGTTACGAACAGCGTTTCACGATAATTGCCTATAAATTGCCGTTACCCACTAGTTTTCTAAAAAACTAACCCTCAACTACTACTATATTCACCGCTACAATGTTCAGCTTTACTACGATTATCGCTGCCGTGCTTGTCATCCTTTTCGCCATTAGAAATATCAAGTAACTGGTTGATAGCAGCGAGGAATAACTTGCAACTACAAGGCCAAACTTCGCCCATACCCAGAGGCCACCCTCTTCACGAACATACTCGAGGATGAAGACCACTCAGTCTCTACACCTCCAACCCATCCATAGAACTAAGTACTCAATGCACAAAATGAAATAACATACTCTCATGTAAAGCCCTCGTAGAAACCCGCCCGTTAACGGCTCCTTTTCGGAAAATTACTCTCCAAACCGTCCAGGGCCAATCACCTAAGCCTTCTATTAGCTCACAAGAGACATGTGGGCTTCAAGCGGTACCTTGCAGCCAATAATGACGACTGATCGGTGCATGTCGGCAAAATGGAAAGTGACAAACGAGTAAACAATGGGGTCAAGAAACATGAAGAAAAAGAAGAATTGTAGTTTACTTTGAAAGAAGAATACGCTCATGGTAGTGGGACCTCGGCTTCTCAATAAGCTACATAGTATCAACAAAAACGCACTTTGCCAAAACTCTATTTCTCACAAGAAAACCACGTTTCTTTCAAACTAACCATGCCAAGAAGTGCCCTTGCGTAATCACTTCCGCTTATTTCAGCCTAATATCTACTGTGTAGGCATGGCATCGTCAATTAACCACACAATTACATTCCTTCCAACACGTGTGGTCGATCCATGACTATATAAGATGAGCCAGAGTCCTCCAATGGATGGCTAAGTAGCTCAGAAATGGTTGCCATCTCCCAGATTATCAACAATGGTTTGATTCTTGCGTCGCCTCTGGTCTACAAGAGCCTTGCAACTCCTAACCAGGCTGCCACTGAACAGTACAACTTGGTGAAGTACTTGGGTGGTGCTGGTCCATACATCCAGCATCCAGGCTTTGGTGTTTCCACGGATGTGCCTGAGCAGTGTACTGTTGAGCAGGTTCACTTGTTCTCTAGACACGGTGAAAGGTACCCATCTAAGAAGAAGGGTGGGAAGTTTGAAAAGTTGTTGAAGAAGCTTACCAACCTGTCTGAACCACTCGTTGGTGAATTGGCTTTCATTAACGATTACGAGTTCTTTGTTGAAGATACCGATAACTACGACAAGAGCACTACTCCAGCTAACTCAGAGAGCCCTTATGCTGGTACTACCTCTGCTTTGAGTCATGGTGTTGCTTTCAGAAGCAGGTATAATGAACTCTTTGAGAACGCCCTGGAGCCATTGACTGTGTTCACGTCTAACTCGGGTAGATGTCACGAGACTGCTAGGTACTTCACCAGAGGTCTTTTGGGTGACGACTATGGCGAAGACACTGCTAACTTCGCTGTCATTGCTGAAGAGAAAGAAAACGGTGCCAATTCCTTGACTCCAAAAATTGGCTGCAAGGACTACGACAAGAAATTGCACAATGATTACATTGACGAGTATGACGATAGCTACTTGAAGGCTGCTGCTGAGAGAATCACCAAAGGTAACGATGTCTCGTTGTCTAAGAAGGAAACCGCTCTTTTGTTTGACTGGTGTGCTTACGAGCTTAATGTCAAGGGTTACTCGCCCTTCTGTAACTTGTTCACCAATGATGAATATGTGAAGTACTCTTACGGTGATGACTTGGACCGTTATTATAGCAGTGGACCTGGTAACAACGGTTCAGTAGTCGTTGGGGCTCCATACTGGAAAGCTACCTTGGCTTACTTGAAAGAAGAGAACCCTTCGCAGAAAGCTGTCTTGAGTTTCTCTCACAGTTCTGATCTCGAGCCTGTTCATGCTGCTCTTGGTCTCGTTGCTCCTGAAGAGCCATTACCAGCTGACCGTATTCAGTTCCCAAAGCAGTACGTTTACACTGAGATCATCCCCATGAGTGCCAGATTGTACACCGAAAAGTTGAAGTGTGGTGACGAGAGTTACGTCAGATTCTTGGTCAACGATGCTGTTGTTCCGCTCAAGAACTGTCAAGATGGTCCTGGCTTTTCTTGCAAGCTTTCTGACTTTGAGAGCTATATCAACTCGAGAATTGGAGACATTGACTACAACCAGCAGTGTGGTGTTGAGGGTGTCCCTAGTGAGGTAACCTACTTGTGGGACTACAAGACGACTGACTACTCTGCCCCAGACATCGACTCGTAAGTGTTGGGTCAAGAACTACCTTTTTACTTCTTCATGAACCGTTTCTTTCGTTTATAAGCAGGTCCTTTTGCTTAAAGACCTGCTGATTTAGACCGTCTTTTAGACAAAAGTATAAGCTGCTGAGCAGCATTACCTTGAAATATATGAATAATTGAAACACTTCCGTAAGGCTTCCACAGCTTATTGACAGACAATTGACTTTTTTTCATCGAGAATATGACTTAGTGGGCTTCTTGAGAACACCAAAATGTGCCTTACGAAAACATGTTTTCAGGGGACTAGTCACAAAACCACCCAACCACTCATCATTCACCGCTTATACTTTCTTCATTAATTAACCTAATTAGTCTACTAACCCTACATTACACTAATATTGACATGTGGGCCGTTGGAAGAGCCAATTAGGGCCCATTCGCTAGTGCACCTCGGTAAATCAGGTAAATAAACAATAGCATGAGGAAGGTGAACCAAGAAGTCCAGGAACGCCCAGCAAAAATTCCCCATATCTTTTGATGTATGAACGGCCAGTTTGACACATTCATACATGCTGTCAACGCACATACCAACAGAAAATTAATTTTGCAGCCATTTCTTCACCATATGGCTTATTCTACAAATATGTAGGGAACCAACCCCGGATAATCTCCACTGTTTGGGTGAGCCTCTGCAGCATGTTTTTCCGACAACCACATGGGTACTTTTTATTACGCACCATATCTACACGTGCTCTTCCGATAAACATGGAAAACGTATATAACATGGTTATTTTCTTCCTGGAAGTTTATTAAATTCAGTAATCGAAAATGGTTGCAATCTCTCATATCATTAACAACGGGTTGCTTCTCACGTCCCAGCTGGTCTTCCAGGACGTGGCGACGCCTCACCAAGCTGCTACTGAACAGTATAACTTGGTCAAGTACTTGGCAGGCGCTGGGCCTTATATTCAACATCCAGGCTTTGGAATCTCTAAGGATGTGCCTGAACAGTGTACTGTTGAGCAGGTGCATTTGTTGTCGAGACACGGTGAGAGATACCCTTCTAAGGGTAAGGGTAAGCAGTTTGAGGAGCTCTATGCTAAGTTCAAGGGCTATGATAAGCCATTTGTGGGTGAGTTGGCTTTCCTTAACGACTACGAGTACTTCGTTAGCGACAAGGAGTACTACGAAAAGGAAACCTCTCCTAAGAACTCGCAGGGTCTTTATGCTGGTACTTCTGATGCGTTCAACCATGGAACGACCTTCAGATCTAGATACAGCGAGCTCTTCGAACAAAGCCTGGAACCTTTGACTTTGTTCACTTCTAATTCTGGTAGATGTCATGTCACTGCCAGATACTTCGCTAGAGGTCTCTTTGGCGATGAGTACAGTGATGACACTGCTGATTTCGCTGTTATCGCTGAGGAGGACAAATTTGGTGCCAACTCTTTGACCCCAGTGGTTTCTTGTCAGAACTTCCACTACAGTGCCCTGAAAGACTTTGTCGGTGCTTACAACACTGACTTCTTGAGCGCCACTTCTGCTAGAATCACCGAAGGAAACGACTTCAACTTGACCGAGAAGGAGACTTCCCGTTTGGTCGAATGGTGTGCCTATGAGATCAATGTCAGAGGCTACTCACCATTCTGCAACTTGTTCACCAACGACGAGTTTGTCAAGCTTTCCTACGGTCTGGACTTGTCCTACTATTACGGTAACGGTCCAGGTAACAACCTCACTGGCACTATTGGTGCTCCATACTTGCAGGCCACTTTGGACTACTTGAAGGAAGACAACCCTCCACAGAAGTTCGTCTTGGCCTTCACTCACGACACCAACATTGAGCATTTCCATGCTGCTCTTGGTCTCTTGGCTCCAGAGGACCCATTGCCAAATGACCACATCCCATTCCCAGTTCCTTATGCTCACACTCAGATTGTTCCTATGGGCGCTAGATTGTATACTGAAAAGTATAAGTGTGGAGGTGAGAGCTATGTGAGATTCTTGGTCAATGATGCTGTGGTTCCACTCCAGCACTGCCAGGATGGTCCAGGTTTCTCCTGTAAGCTTTCTGACTACGAGGCGTATGTTCAGTCTAGATTGGAAGGCAAGGACTACGCTTCTCAATGTGGAGCTGAGAATGTCCCAGAGAAGGTGACTTTCTTGTGGGACTACAAGACTCAGAACTATTCTGCCCCAGACATTGACTCGTAAGGGGACGCTTTTTTTAATTTCTTTCGTTTTAATTCTTTCGCTTTTGAGATTTTTTGATTAACCATAAACAGCCCAAGCTTTTCACTAGAATGGCTGCAAAATGATGAGAAAGCAATTATGTGCTTAAATAGACAATTTACAGCTCCGAATTTTATGTTGTAACGCTGTAAGGACTTTCATGGTGGTAAAATAGAGGTTTTTCTCTCCAAAATTGACTTTTTCGGACTCACCTGCATATAGAACACGTGAAGTACTTATACTACCAGAGTTCAATTTTGCTTACTGTCAAGCGCAGTGGCGCAGTGGAAGCGCGCAGGGCTCATAACCCTGATGTCCCAGGATCGAAACCTGGCTGCGCTAGATTTTCTTTTTTGCCATTTTAAACCTTTATCTCTTGAAGCAGAGCTGAAGGAGAAACCCTTTGGTTTAAATACTCGCTCTTTCTTTTTCTGGGACTTTTCATTTTTATTTAGTATTTGTTTATGAACATTTTCTCATTTTCCCTCAGAATCTGGGGTACTTCTCCAACTTTTACCATACTTCGCGTCTTCCTAACAAAACCACCAACTCCCAAACCCACCTCTACAAATCCAATTTTCTTTATTATCTTATTTTTATATACTATCTATCAACGCCGGAGCGTAAACTATAGTAACGACTTGAGCTCTTCGGCGTCTTTCTTCAAAGAGCGCACAAGTCTGGATGTCTTAGATGCTGCCTCCACGGTAGCGAACAAGAGGTCCGTCAGGAACACGTCATCAACATCAGGAGCAACCTTTCTGAGGACCTTAAGAGCACTTCTATAGGCACTCTGCCCACAATCGCCAAAGAAGGCGCCCTCGCTGTCCACAACATTCTCGGTAAGGTCAAAGTGACGAGCAGTCACCATCTTGCTGATTCTCAAACATTCCTTAACATCAGCAAGCATGCTGGCCTGGCGACAACCACGGAACCCACTGGAGAGCTCAAACTTGTAGTTGCTGAGATCAGTTCTGGCATCGTCAAGCTTCTTCAAGCAGGCATCAAGCCTAGTTGAAATGGTGGAACGGTTCTCACCGCCCATGTAGTCCTCATTGATGCAATCGAGCTCCATGAACAGCGCCCGAGCTTCGGCATGAATAGAAGAGATACGAGTAGTCAAGTCCATCATCTTTTGTCCCCCAACAAAGAAGTTCGACTTGACCTTCTCGACCATCTCCTTACCGAGAACCCTGTAGAGGATTTTGAGTCTGTGCACCAACTCATCCGCCGACAAGGTTGTGTCAGTCTCGATAGCATCGAAGGTCTTAAGGGCCACTTTCTCAAAGAAAGGGAAGTTGACAGTGTGCCATTCTGGCTTCGCAGGTTCACTAAACACAGTGGACTGCTTGAGCACCCCGCCATGGGATGTAGAAGCTTCTTTAGAGAATGGCTCCACGGTGTTAGCCGGGAAGATTGTCAAGTACTCAGACACCACAGGAGTGCCCTGAATGCTGACCTTGGGTTTCGAGTGGCCAGCAGACTCGTTGTTGTCAAGAGTGTGTAAGTATCTTGCAACACGATGGTTAGGGCGAGCAAAGAAGTGCTTGGCGGTAGCCAAAAGCTCGCTGTCCAGCATATCAACGCCCTTAATGCGCTGGATTTGCTGTCCATCATAGTTAGTAAAGTCGATTTCCTGGCCGACTTCGTCAGCCTTGTCGTGAACCGAGGCAATGAGACTCTCGTGGTCCTCAATTTGCATCACCTCGGGAACGAAGTTAGGGAAATCTCCCATGAATACTCTCGCAAAGAAGAGAACATTCTTGGAAATGTCATGAAGTGCGTCAAGAACTACAGGCATGCTAGTGTCCAACAGATAAGCTGGTTTACGAGCCGGCTTGGGTGGAACGAAGGCCTCGTTCTTGACAAGAGGTGTGATGGTTGCAGCCGCTGCAGAGTTAACAACGGCATAGGTAGGCTTCGCTTTTGGTAAGATGGTAAACGGAGCTGAAGGTTTAATGTAGAAGCCTTTAGAGGCTGCGCTGGTAGCGTGAACGGCGCTAGGAGTGCTAGTCGAAGACAGGGCTTTTTTGAAGAATGAAAGCATGACTGGCAGTTATTTGGGAAGAAGAAAGGTTAAGGAAAAAAACGATATTCAGGCGAAGTGGGTCAGCTTTTATGTTGCGAGAAGTGGATTCTGTCTTGCTTGTACTTTCTGTTTTCGCAGCCATTCTCAAGGTAAGTATAATATTCGGATGAATGACGCTGGACTAAGGCAGGGCAAGTCCAATTAGGGTATACGTGGAGATTTCGGAGCTTCTAGAAGGATAATTCGCCTTTGTTAAAACTCTTCACGGTAGGTTTAATTTCAGTTAGCTAATTATTGTGAGTTGCTTTGATAATTTGGGAACTTTAGTGATGCTGACGTAAGTGATTATGTAATCAGATGAATTCTTCCTTCCTAACGGGAACGTTGTAGAACGTTGATGAATGCTATGGAAGATTGAAGTGGATAATATGTTCTACGGTGTCATTCACTGCTCTGAATGACGGTTAAAACTTTCCTTTTACTCCTTTTGGGGCCTCGTAAGGCATTCATACTCACTTGTGGTCTTACAACACGCCGTATACTAGACAATGACAAGTGGCCATAGAGAGAGGAGCATCAAAGGGGTATTCAAGTGAATGATTACAGCAAACCAATTCCCATATTAGATATTAAATGAGGGTGGACTGGATTGATGGGTTTGCAGCCATCAACAGAATTACCTACACACCAAGTTTAGCAAACACACCTTCGAAGCAGGCCCAAAGCCTAAATATAAACCTATATAGCTAAATCTAGGCTAGAATTTCATAAACTCTATCTCTCATGTTTCCAGAATAGGCTTCTAAAATGACTAATAGTGATGGAAGTCACGTGATTTCATCACCTTTAACTAGGCTGATTCGCCTTCCACCTCTGATAGACCCTTATCTTCAAATCTTCATATTCTACGTATCATAATGGAAGGTCTGTCTCTGACAGCAGAGCCGAAGCCTAAAAAGGCACCCAGAAGGCGCCAAAGGAAGTCCAACAAGGAAAGCGAAGAGAAGCAAGGTAGAAGAGGCAAGCAGGCAAAATCATCTAACCCAGAGACACCTGAACAAGACTTTAGATACTTGGAGATCGTGAAACTCACGAAAAGATATATTCCAATTACGATAAATGGTCTTGCTGTGGACAAGATTGTTCTGGTTCAAACAGAGAACCAGGAGAATGTGCCCAAGAAGGCTAAGGCAGAGATCGTGAACAGCCATGTTCTTCGTCTAATAAAGAGAGATGCCCTGCAGCCTTTATACTTGAGTTTTATGATTCCACCTGCCGATCCTGATTTCCCATTTGAGCTTGATACGCTTAAATTCAATTTGACAGTGCCTCCAAACTATCCCAAGGATACGAAGGAGCTTCCGTCCATCATTGTCCTTAACAGCGATATCCCTCGAGGTTTCAGTGTCAACATTGAAAGAGGTTTTAAGGAGATTGCTACCGTTGCTAGGCTGAAAAAGAATACTGGTTCTGACATCAAGCTAGTCGATGGAAGAGGTCTTTTATCGCAAGTCCAAACGCTCAATAAGTACCTAGAAGACTTCTTGAAGCAAGAGAAGAGACAGACTATGAAGTTTGTAAGCTTCAAACCTACAGAAGTTACTTCATCAAACCAGATATCCAAGGAGACCACTCCTGTTGTGGTTCCTCCCACTCCTCCTCCAGAACCTCCAGCACCACATGTAAGCAGCGAGACTGCTCTGCTCAGGAATCAATACATTGATGAAATGTGCACCAAGCTAGTTCGTCATGTTAAGTTGTTCCACAAGTCAGCCAAGGAAATTCGTTACAAGATCATTGTGCCAGTTGCTGGTAAGAAGGTGCCCTGGCTTTGGAACTTTCAAAACAGCACAGCGGATATCTTCCTTTCTATACCCATTGAGTACCCAGATGTCAGTCCTAGCTTGTACTTCCCCACCAATTTCAGTACGAACTTGCTCGTGGCGAAGAAAGTGGGACTCGACAAGACAGACAAATCGTTGGTGGAAATCACCCAAGAAGCCAAGGGGTTCGAAAAGAACTTCAAGGTTAATGCCGAAGCATGGATCAAGGAGAACGAAAACAAATCTCTAGTTGATATTGCCAATTTTGTGAGCAACAACTTGGAAACTTTCGGTCTTCCTCCTTCAGAATACGCCCGCATCGTCGAGTTGATGTCGGCGGTCAAGGACGAATCAAAGATCAGCTCTTAAATTGACTGCATTGATAGCCCGAACTCAGGTTGAGTCTGTAAGATGTGATTCTACGGCTAAACCAGTCTTTGGGGCTATCTCATTATCTTCAATTCGCATACATAGCATACATACTAATGGTATTGGCATAATAGGGGAAACTGGTGACATGTAGATGGCTGGCTTGATCTTTTCAGGACGATGACTTGATAGAAAGGTCTGTAGTTGTAATATTGTTTACTATTAGCTAACATTACCCTAAGAGCCATAGAACGGATTCATAGGGTTCTTCGTGACTTCGGAGCCTCACTATGGGAGCTTCTCTACGACTTTCCTTGTTTGTACATATTCACCGTCTTACAGTATCCTGCTTAAACATAACTGAACGTTGTATTTTCTCATCCCTTTAGATGTCAAACATCGCCTCGTGCTCATCACTGTCTTACATGTTGAAAGAGCGCCATCGTCCAATTTTCACCCAACAAACATATAAACGTCTTCCAAACGGACCTAAAGTGGGATTGAAACCGTTACAAAATAATATCAACCCTTTTCTGCCCGAAATGTTTAGTCTTACATTAGCTCTTCTCAGTCACATTAGGTAGTTCAGGGCATTTTTCACGCAAAGACGTCGAGAAGACTCAATTTCTTCTAGCTTATATAAATAGGGGCTGGAGAATTCATTTCAAGGTTCGGTCTCTTTGGATTGCCAACTTTTTGTGGATTTTTTGGTGTCTCACATTAACACATCTAGCATACTACCGCGTACAGCTTTGCTTCTCTGTGGCCGTCACTTCACAATGAAGTTATATGCGAAAAAAGCATGTCAATATGCTACTTTATGCTTGGAATCCATTATCCGGACATGTACCACCGAGTTCCCCGCCTTTGGTGCGTCCTTATCGGCCCGAAACAGTGTCTTTGTGACTGAGGGTCCTCAGAAGTTGATTTTTTTGCAGCCATTAAGTCTACACCAAGAACAGTAAACACTGAAGATATTGGTATCTAAATGTAGATAAAATAAAGTTTAGAAGCTCATGACAAAAATTCGAATCTCCAGCTTCTATGTGTGCAACGTAATTGGAGTCCAAAGATTTGCTCTTTCGCAGGGATATAACCAGGTCACAGCTCATTACCCGGCCTTATACTTTCCCCAAATTATTCCCTGGACCAAAAATTGGGGTATTTAAGGGCGCCCACCCCCAGTTTTTCTCATCTTTTTTCTCTACCACTTTCTTTTCCTCCTGAGAGTTTGAAACTAGCCTGGCATTAACTTTCGAACACAAACTCAGCAACGCCATCTACAATGGCACAACTCTTCACCATTCAGCTCCCCATTAACCAAATGGGTAGCTTTTTTAACAACAGTATCGACACTTCGAAGACGACCTTGGATATCCAGTTGGATAACGAGGAACTCCAGAAGTTCTTTCTTCATTATTCTCAACTGACCTCTAGCCCTCAAGCTAGAACCCTCTTCCAGTCGAAGATTGACGCCCAATTGGCCGAGCTTGTCACAAAGCCCGTTTCTTCGACTGAAATCATCCCCGCTAAAACCACTGGGACGGTTGTGAGCGACGAATCTAATGTCTCAGGCTCGAGCTCGGGAAACGGCGCTTCTGAAACCTTGGTGGGCGATATTCTCGTCCCCAAGAAGCCAGTTTCCGACCTCTTTGCTTTAAAGAAGGCAAACCATGTTCCATTTTTGGCCCTGACCAATTTAAGTCTTTTGTGGTTCCACAGGAGGCCTTGGAGTTTCCAGGATCCAACTTCTGGTTTGATATCTTCTCTAAAAAGCAGGTTGAGCGTCCTTTGACCTTCAAGCCTACTCGGACAGCCCCCAAGATCACCCTCTTGGTCGAGCAGTTCTCGAGAGAGTACGTTCGTACTCAGAAGGCTATCAGAGCTCCTGATGTTTCTCTGAAGTTGGCCATGTCAACAGTTCAGACGAAGACGGATGCCTCTGAGAAGGTTCAGATGGTCAACTTGCAGCCTGGTCTGTACTACCACTTCAAGAGACTTCTCAAGTTTCAAAAGTACTACGATCAGTACAAGGACTACTTGCCCCTGGTTGAAAGAGCAGAGAAAGCTTATGGTTTATCTGGTGAACCAGTAACTGCTCCAAAGCCAAAGACTGTTGCATTGGAAGAGGCTCCTATCGTTAAGGTTTCACCGGTTGAAACCAAGAAGCCTTCTCCCAAGACGTCGCCTGTTGATGTCGCCAAGCCATCAGTGACTAAACCTGTGTCTCCTAAGGCACCCAAGTCATTTGCAACCTCCATTCCAGTTGTTCCTAAGGACCAGTTCCTTCCAAAGTACCCAAGGTTTCTGCTTGGGGAAAGAAGGTCGATTACAAGCAATGGAGGTTGTCTTCTGATGATGAGGAGGAGGAGACTCAATCTGAGACTCCTAAACCCGAGACCACTTTGGTTTCTGAGGCCCCCAAGACTCCTCTGGCTTCTTCCACTGAGGAAGTGAAGCCTGTTGAGCCTGTCACCTCAAAGCAGTCTAGCAGCGAGGAACAGAAGCCCAACATCACTGGCGGAAAGTTTCAGCCAGGCCAGTACACTCATTTCAGGAACCTCCTTAAGTTCCAGAAGTACTATGACTGCTACAAGGGTTACATTCCTCTTGTTGAGCAGGCCGAGAAGGACTTTGGCTTGACTGACGTTGCTCCAATCGTCAACCCTTCTTCCAACAAGCCAGTTTCTGTCGCTGAGCCCCTCAAGGTTTCTGAAATCAAGGAGGAGCTCACTGAATTAGTTGAGGAGGCTGTCGTTGTTGATCTGCCAACCAACAACTTGCAAGTTAGCAGTTTCTCATACTATCACCACTTCATGAAGCTCCACAAGCTTTGTGAGTACTACCACACCTACCATAAGTGCATTCCTCAGGTGAGTCAGGCTGTCAAGGCTTGTTACTCGCCCATCGTTGAGATCTCTCCTGTCGAGATTAAAAATGCTTCTACTAGGTTGGTGTGTCCCGCCTCTGAAGGTACTAAGAACGCCTGCGCTTCTGGTCCTTCTAAGGCTCTCAGGCCTTCGGTTGAGCTTAATTCGCTTCCTCCTTTGGATGTTTCTCTGTTGGCATCCCTTTTGCATGCTTCTGGTCCAGCTTCAGCTGATTCTAAGGCACCTGAACCTTCTTTGGTTGCTTCTAAGTCTTTGGAAAAGCCCACGTCGTCTTTGAAGGTCCCCAAGCCTTCGGCTACTCCCAAGTCTTCGCCAAAGAAGCCTTCTCCACCAAAGAAGCTTTCTCCTTCGAAGGTGCCTAAGTCTTTCTCGACTTCCATTCCAGTCGTTCCCAAGGGACCTGTTCCCTCAGCTGTGCCCAAGCTTTCTGCCTGGGGCAAGAAGACGGACTTAAAGCAGTGGAGATCATCTTCTGATGGTGAAGAAGATGATAAGACCGTTCCTGAGACTGTTGTTGTCTCCAAGACTACTGAGGTTCCTGAGCCTCCCAAGACTTCTTTGGCTTCTGTCCCTCCTAAGGAAGAAGTCAAGCCAGTGGACCCTCCACTGAAGACTCTGTCCGGTAGAAGATTGCAGCCGGGCCAGTATACTCACTTCAGGAACCTTCTCAAGTTCCAGAAGTACTTTGACTGTTACAAGTCGTATGCTCCACTTGTTGAACAAGCCGAAAAGGACTACGGTTTGTCTGACGTCGCTCCAATTGTGGATCCTTCTTTGAGCAAGCCTGCTCAGCCTGACACTGAACTCCTCCTGCTTTCTGAACTTAAGGAAGAGGTTGAGGTTGTCGAGAAACCTCAAGTTGTTGATCTTCCTACCAACAACTTGCAAGTTAGTTGTTTCTCCCATTACCATCATTTGAAGAAGCTTTTCAAGCTTCTTGACTATTGTGGGACTTACCATCAGTATGTTCCTCAAGTGACTCTGGCTGTTAATGCTTGTCACACCCCTTTGATTGACATTCTTCCAATTACGCTTCAAGGAGCTTCCATCAGCTTCAATATTCCCAAGAATGTCATCTTTCCCATTCATAAAGAATTGGTACTTCTTGAATGGGCCAAGATTGATGCACCGGTTGCATCCCTGGATGAGTCCTCTTCAAACTCGTCCCCTGTTCTTTCAGACGACAATTTAATTCCTGTGGTTTCCCTGTCTCCCGATGCTGAATCCCCCAAAGCATCAAAAGACGAAGCCCATTGCATTGAGGCCCTGGTGGCCTCTCCAGTCTTGAAAGAACCTAACTCGTCATCAGCCTCAAATTACTCTTACCCTAGTCATATGTCTTCTAAAGACAAATTAAGAAGGGAAAGAAGATTGAGAGCTGCAGGAAACAAGAAGTTTCCTTGTTCTCCGTTGTCATCAGACCTTTCGATGACAGGAACAAGCACCAGACTGTTGAAGACTGGTTGTGTTAAGGCATGATATCATGCATAAGAGACGATGCCCCTAAGTTAGCATACGTCCAAGAAGATAATAATTAAGATAAAAAAATAATAAAATAAATAATTAAAAAACAACAGTGTAGTGGTAGTTGGTAGTTGATGATACTCACAGTGATGTACTGTCTAACGCTCTCAAAGTGGAAGTCACAGTATGGACTTTACAAACGCCAGTCACTACTCTAGAGAATACCACTCACGTAAGACAAGTTAAGACCAGTTCCTGCTTATCTTATAGTGTTGATGATGTACTTCAACTTAGGTGCTCCATACATATAGCCCAATGCGACTATGGATATGGGCCATGACACGAATACCAGAAGCAAGTGGTGAGACGTAGAGCAGGTAGAAGAACTTTAAGCTAACCACTTTTTTACTTTAAGCCTAACATGGATGAAAGTAGTTATGAAAAGTAGGAAAGTGGTGGACCTCTTCTGCCCAACTCCCTCACTGGCTTTTCGCAGCCAAAGCATCAGCCGTTCATCCAACCAGATCCACCTAAAACACGAAAGCCCAATTTACTTAAACCCAAAATCGTCTAATCCAAAATACCCCCATTCCATATTTCCTCCCTTTAAGGCCACCTACGGCAGAGGTGTTTCTAGAACATGGTGAAGACCTGCCTGCAAGACCCATTCTGTTGATACAACGCAGCGCTGCCAAAATCAACTACTTCTGATAATCGTCCATAAACGAACAGAAAAAAACACCTCCTTCGTCCAGCCAGCCCATCATGTCTGAAAAGGAGCTAGAGTACCAGTACGCCAATGAGTGTGATTTGGAAATCCACTGTTCGCCGTTTGGTCTTTCGGGTGTTTATATGAAAGTGAAGGGCACCAACATCATGGGCATTGGATCAACCATGGGGCTCATCACGGGAACATCTAAAGGTTTGATTCACTACAACGACAGTGCTGACTTGCAAGACCAGAGATATAAGTTATTTGTGGTTGTCAACGATGATAACACGCTACGAATCGACTTCACCAAGATTATTGGTCTTTCGGGCGATGAAGGAGATAAGATAAGCCAGGTTGAACTAGGCAAGGAAGAGTCCGAACCACTGCTAATATTTACTGGCCAGTGTCCCGAGGGAAGACCAGATAAGATCGATCCTTTCATTGGGATTTTCTCGTTCGAGAGAGAAGACAAGGCATAAGGGCAGATGTGAATGGCTCGTAACACGACTCTGACAATGGTTGAAAAACAGGAACACTTGAGATTAGCATGGTTAAAAGGTGGCTGGGACTTTTGATTTGGACCCGTATGCACCTCGAGGCTAGAGGTCAACAGAAGTAACAGTGCCCAGGCCAAGCCCTTTGAACAATAGGAGAAAAAAGCCGTCTCGAGGCACGCATCGAAGTACTGACTCGCTTATGGAAAAGCTACGGGATATTTCCAGTGAGTAAGTTTGAACCAAGTTGTATTCCGTGAATTTCCCGAACCTGGGGCTCCACCCCACTACTCCGAAGTTTGACGCCGCCGCTATGGTCTGATGGTCGGGCATTATCGGAGAGGGAGTTAAGGCGCTAAAGTATACGGGATATTCGTGGGGTTGAAGGTGTTGGGAAAGATGAATGCCGTGTTGGTGGTTTTAGGCTATTACGATAGTGTTACGAGGTGCATTGGAAGCTGTACGAACCCGTGGCAGAGCCTGAGGGGCTGAGAGCCCTGCGAGGCATAATAAGAACGGAAACAGTGACGGAAAGATAGTGCTTCTTGTGTTCGGAGACTGCTAGGCGACCCCATACTATCGTTTGTGTGTATTTTGCAGCCGCTCAATACGAGATAACATCAAGGTACGCAGGCATACAGTTTTCCGGATCCAAGACACTACCCACTAATAAGACATTAAACAGGAAAGAATAATCGAATGAACAATATGAAAATGACAGGAAGGGTCAGAAGGTCGGTGATTGGGCTGAAACACCCAGCGCCAAATGTTGATGTCTGCATCCCACAACAACATTCACCAACATCCAGGCTTCGTTTCAACTCCTTCCAGATATCACCCCGCCGACCCAACATTACACCCGTCAAACAAGTAAATCACTCTACGCATTGATTCTCTCGACCACAATTACCCCAGATCAGTGTTTCGCGAGGTCCATACAATGGCGGGCCTAATATGGTATATCCGCCTGCGAGGCTTCTCACAAAACCACCTCACCTCAACGTTTATCGTAATGTGCCATATTCTTTATCTGCCTACGCTTAGGCCTATCACTATTCGTATATCATCATAACCACTAAGGCGGGGGGCCACTTAGTAGGGCCTCGGTAAAATGGGAGGTCACGTGCGCTTCCGGCGGGGTTTCACATGGCCGGAATTTAACCAGCAACCTTAACGGTCCCACGCCGAGCGAAAAGTAAGCAAAAAAAGGCCGTCATTTTCCCTGGTGTACTGCTCTTTCATGTGCTGTCCCCAAGTGCGAAAAGAGCGCGAGAGGTTGATTTTTTCGTTTTTTTTCGCAGCCGGTGATAATTTCTGGGGTCACCATCCGTGGAACCAGCGTGGGGGAAATGGCCAATCTGCGGTGGCGGGAGGCGTAGAATGTAAGACAAACTCAGCGCTGAGAGGCCTAGTTGGTGTAGGAAAGGTGCACGGGTTTATGGTCATTTCCCCTACCCTTCCTTCTTTTCCCTTCTCTCACGTTCCCACGGTCCCACAAAAAACAGGCACTCCAGGAAGTCTGGGGACCCTCGGTACAAGTGTAGTGCATATGCAGACCCGACCCCAAATGCGGAGTGGCCCTGGGCCCAGTGAATGTGATTGGAAAAAGTATAAAGACCCCCCTTGTTGCCGATTTTTTTCAGACCTCTATCCTTACCTTTTTTTTTCACATATATACATAATGGACAGATTGAACCAGTTGGCTGGCCAGTTGAGCCCCTCTTCCAAACAAGCCGTTCTCGAGAAGAACCCAGATGACGTTGTCATTGTTGGTGCCTACAGAACCGCCATGACCAAGGGTGGCAGAGGTTCTTTCAGAGACGTTGGCTCTGACTACATTTTGAGCAAGTTCTTGGAAGCTTTCATCAAGAAGACCGGTGTTGACCCAAGCTTGATTGAGGATGTTGCCTGTGGTAACGTTTTGAACAGAGCTGCTGGTGCTTCTGAGCACAGAGGTGCTTGTCTTGCTGCTGGTATTCCAAACACCGCTGCCTTCATTGCCTTGAACAGACAATGTTCTTCCGGTTTGATGGCTGTTTCTGAGATTGCCAACAAGATCAAGTGTGGTGAGATCGATGTCGGTCTTGCTGCCGGTGTTGAGTCCATGACCAAGGGTTACGGTGCTGACGCCATTCCAAAGGTTGACCCAGCTTTGGCTGACAACGAGGAGATGGCCAAGTGTTTGATTCCTATGGGTATCACCAACGAGAACGTTGCTGACAAATACAAGATCCCAAGAGAGAAGCAGGATGCTTTCGCCGCTGAGTCCTACAGAAAGGCTGAGCAAGCTGTTTCCTCTGGTGCCTTCAAGTCTGAGATCTTGCCAATCGAGGCTATCCTCAGAGATGACGATGACGATGATGAGGATGAGAACGCTGAACCAGCTGAGAAGAAGATCACCGTTGACACTGACGAGGGTCCAAGAAAGGGTGTTACCGCCCAGTCTTTGGCCAAGTTGAAGCCAGCCTTCAAGTCTGATGGTACCACTCACGCCGGTAACGCCTCGCAGGTTTCCGATGGTGCTGCCGCTGTCTTGTTGATGAGAAGATCCGTCGCCGAGGCCAAGGGTTACCCAATCGAGGGTAAGTTCGTCCTTTGCTCTGCTGTTGGTGTCCCACCAGAGATCATGGGTATCGGTCCAGCCGTTGCCATCCCAACCGTCTTGAAGAAGGCTGGTTTGACCGTTAACGACGTTGACGTTTTCGAGATCAACGAGGCTTTCGCTGCTCAGTGCTTGTACTCTGCTGAGACCTGTAACGTTCCAGCTGACAAATTGAACATTAACGGTGGTGCCATCGCTTTGGGTCACCCATTGGGTTGTACTGGTGCCAGACAGTACGCTACCATCTTGCCTTTGTTGAAGAAGGGCCAGATTGGTTTGACTTCTATGTGTATCGGTACTGGTATGGGTGCCGCTTCCCTTCTTGTCAGAGAGTAAGTAAATATTTATTACGGAATCTACGCCATTTGATGAATAACTTGTTAAAATGTAGTTGACGCTTCCTTCCTCTTCGGGAAGCTACCGTTTGTTCGATGTCGGCGGAGATACACTCATCGCTTATCCCCACGGACCTGAACCTTAACCTTAACCTTGTTGGGCTTCACTGACCAAGGAGGGGTCCACATACCCACAGAGTCGGTTTGACGGAAGAAAAAGAACTGATCCCTCCGTAGCTTAGGGTTTAAGATGTTGTACATCCGTTTCGACTAAGATTGTGTAGTTAGGGCTAGTACCATTTGTCAGCTAGCACGGTAAGTCAGAACGGTAAGCCAGAACCTATAGAGACAGGCTTTAGAGAATACTTGAAGCTATTCAGTCCATGCAACCGTTTCATGATGAGAATTAACCATATTCTTCCCAGGACTTAGCATCACTTGTCAGTAGCTGAAGTACATGGTTGGGCAGGGCCAGAGAGTACACTTAAAGTAAGAAGATATAGATCTGTTGGAAGGCTGCTAGAATAACTTCGGTTCTGCTTCAACGGTGACATGAGTAAGCTTCACCGTTTGTGCTTCTACTATTCTACCTTGGTAGAGTCTACTTTGACTACACTCACCACACCTCAACAATTCTCTACCACCATCAGATGTGACAGTCGAAAGAGCCAAAAGTCTTCGTTGACACCTTCATTTAATTTTAAAGGGTAATCAGTTTGGTAAACAAGAGCTTGTTCAAGAAGGGCTTGAAAAACTCTTCTCATCTAAGGAGAGTGTAAGGAGAGGCAAACAAGAAACCTTCTCTTGACTGATTGTTTTAGTCAGCTTTAGTCAGGAAAGATTTAATTAGGGCCGTTAGCTAAAGCTGAAGTTGCCTTAAATCACAGTTAGTGTTTGATTACTGGATCTCGACACGCTTAGTTGTACCTTCCTAAAACAACAGCCTCTCCAACGGTGGAACCACGAAAGGCTGACAAAGCCCCTAGATTTGAATCAACGAATAACAGCTCATTATATAGAAAGCAACAGTTAAGATAGAAGACCCGTAGAGTAAAGCATATCCCTCGACGAAATAAACTTTCTATAAGACCATCACTTCTTAATCAACCTTTGGCGTCAAACGTCGACAAGTAGGACTTTATCCTTACATATAATTGAGTGAAGAGAACGGATATCATGAAATCTCGAGGGAAACCGAAAAACGGGATTCTTAAGCATATAAAACATTAAATACCTTTTCGTATCCCTTTTCCTACGACATTCGGCGGTTACTTCGACGACACACAGTCAACTGCTAGACTACTAATTTTTCAAAGCTTCTCAAAACAACATCCAACGTGGCCACAGCTTTCCAGAAGTTAAATTAGTGAATTGGGGCTCGATTTAGGGTCCGATATCTCCACCAGATTGTGCCCAGTTTTTCAGCCCAAGAGATGGCCAGAGATAATCCTTAAGTACATCTTTAAACGACCACTACTGCAACATCAACTTCCACAAAGCAACCTCAAACTGGTTTTTCCAAAACCATGCACCAAAACCCCAATAACTTTCCATACTGTCCAATATTATGTCTCCTTCTGATCTCTGACGTCAGTGATGGACCTCACATAACAATGAAGCCTTGGGTTTAGCCGTACAGGCCGAATCCATCAAGCACCGAATTAACCGAGAGGGGACCAAAAACGACCACCACCACTGCCAATAGAAAACGGAAAATGTCAAAAAAAATCCACAGTAAACCTTCTCTCCGTCCCCATCACGAGCCTCGACCCCCTGATTATCCCGAGCCAACGCTCACACGAGCAAGGCTCCCGACCACAAGTGCGAAGTGCTAAACATAGGCGCCTGGTCTTGGCTGATGCCAAGATGGAAGAAACAAGCAATGGAACAAGGAAGCGAGAGATCACGAAACGAAGCCACGAAAGTGACAAACCCGTGCTTTGTGAAACCAAAGCTAAAAAAAAAAAAAAGACTCAAAGAACGGGTTTATGAAACTCGTGGAAACCCTTACGGATGGGTGCAAATTACCCAGGGCGCGCATCTGCAACTGAACAATTGTTGGTTGCTGGAAGGCTCTTGCGAATAGGCTTTCGGTTGGACCATGTGAGATAGTTAAAATTTGCCCAGCTCACGTACGCAAACAACCAAACGTCCACATAAAGTGGAAGTGTATTCGGCAGCAGCAGCAGCACCGGTAGCGCAAGATCCACACTCGGTCCGAACGTCGCCAAGCCCGATTAGTAAGACCAAGGGAAGAAGTAGAAGGGAAGGGATGGGAAGAGGTGGGAGAGAAGGCAGGGAAGAGGCACCAGGGAAGCGAGAAAGCAGGGTCAAGCGAGACAGCGAGAAACACAAATAAGCTTTCACGTCCAAAGGGATTAATACATATATATACTTATATATATACGTAGTAGTTGGCACACTGCGGTTGAGGGTCCTGGTGGGCCAGTGACATTCCGCTGGTAGAAGCCTTGAGTTCTCACCAGAGCACAAAACCGGACCCACCGTTTTGACAGTACAATAGCAAAGATTCCATTGGCCCAGCGGCTCACAATGACATTTAAAATATAATAAGAATGATCAAATCTCTTTCTTTGGTTTGTAGGCCTGCACTGACTCTTCAGCCACTCCAGGGTAGGCTCACTTTTTACCCATTTCTTCCTCACCACTCACTGCCTCTCACCATCAGTCGGCACATTCAGAGCCACGGTTCCGTGCGCCGCCAGTGCACTCGAGGCTCAGCCGCGACGGCCAGCCGTAGGAAAAAAGGGGTAACCAAAAACTATATAAACGGGTGTTTCCCAGTACAAAATCACCATCTCTTTTATTCAAATCCCCCCAGTTTCGTGTCGCGTGGGCTCTTGCTGTTTGTGCTTCGTGCTTCTTCGCTCGAACAAAACACCCTCTGCCGAGCAATCCTGCTTTGTACCGCATACGCGCTCTGCTCCTCCGCAATGGGTGAGAGATCGTGCGTATGTTTACCGGCAGAGTAGCTTTTTTTCTTCTGAGGGTACCTTTTCTCTGTGTCGGACAGGCAGCTAAGCTGCGAGGGCTAAGGCATAAAACCCACCACATGCCCAGGGTGGGTATTTTTTTTTCTCTAAGCATTTTTTGCTATTTCGCCGTGGCCCTTCCTTTTACTTTCCCTGTTTTTGTATATCCAGTATGGTGGTGGTTACGCTAAAGAAGACGACTCGTGTCGCCGTGCTATGTTTGACTTTGGTGGTGGCATACTCCATGCTTCTAGCGTTGAACCCCATCAAGTCCCTTGCCCTGCGGTACCATAAACTGGTCTACTTGAACCTTCGAATCCTATATTTCAAGTACATGTCGGCAGATCTCCAGCTCGACACCAGCCATGGCTTCCAACAGACCCTCGAGGAGATCTCCGCCGAGAAACTCGGCGACAACGCCTCTCCTGACTTGTTCTTTATTAAACCTAACTACATTCCCAACACGGCTGTCCAAATACCGTCCTATTACGGTCTGGACGAGAAACCCATCGTTCAGCCGTTTGACCCGCGGTTCACCATCGCCGCGTATCTCCACTGGATCCGCTCAAATCCAGATAAGCCTGTCCCTTTCCACTGGTCTGACTGGGTCGATTTGAAGGATCTTAATAAATATATTCTTTTACCAGAGAATGTCAAGCCAAACTGCACGGAAATCTATGACATCTCTAGAAATAAGAAGGTTCTTAAGGGTTCCATAGCAAGACCCGTTGAACAGTACTGCCACGACGATACTCAGTATCCTTTGGGTTACAGAGTGAGTCGGTTTCCTCATGCTCAGACTAGAGAAAACATGAGGATGTTGGGCAAGTCTTTCCTTTACTCTGGGTTTGCCAGTCCAACGAAGTTGGTCTTTTTGACCAATGACGCGGGGTCCTACATTGTCGACGTCAACGACCATGAGAATAATAACTACAAAAATTCCCTTTTGTTTAATGGTATGGTTGAGGATGTTTTGCCTGATGTGCAAGCTAGATCTTTCGATGTACTCACGGCGTACAACCAGCTTCTCGAGGCAAGACCACCTTCAAATGCCGATGGTGTTATGAGAGACTCTGTCATTCATCTTGAGCAGGAAATGTTCGACGTGGATGCCAAGGAGGCCATCAACGAACTCCAGTTGATGGACCACAAATCTGTCATGGACAAAAAGTACCTTGATTGCCTTCTTTATTCGACTGGCACATCAGCACCAGTCAAGTATTTCGATGAGGCCAAGTTGGTTAATTCGGATACATCCAAGATCTTTGGCGAGCACCATGACTGGAGATTCTTTGATGGTCTTACCATCAACTCTGACAGACAGGTGCTTGTTTTGCATAGACTCATCAAGAACTACCTCCAGTTCTGTAAATCACATGGTCTTGTGACGTGGATCGCACACGGCTCTTTGCTTTCATGGTACTGGAACGGTATGGCTTTCCCTTGGGATGCTGATACTGATGCCCAGATGCCAATTAGAGATCTCCACAGACTAGGAAGAGAATTCAACCAAACTCTTGTGGTAGAGAATGTTGGTGTCGATGGAGTCGGTGACCAGACGGATTTCAATGGTTTGGGCCTGTTCTTCATCGATGTCGGCTCTAGTATCACTCATCGTGAACGTGGCAACGGTATGAATAACATTGACGCACGTTTCATTGATGTTACTACTGGATTGTATGTGGATATCACTGGTCTCGCAGTTAGTAACGAGACGGCTCCATCCAGATACGATTACAGACTCAATTTGGATAAGGACAAGAAGAAAATCAGCGCTAAGAGCGGTCTGACATTCGTTGACAATACTTTGAAGCAGGTCTATAACTGCAGAAACCGTCATTTCAGCTCATTGCAAGAATTATCGCCACTCATTATCCTGGGAGTTCAAAATCAACTTGGTTACGTTCCTCTGAACTTTGGATTGCTTCTTGACCAAGAGTATCACGTCAAGGGCTTCTTGCAAACAAACTTCCAGGACTACTTCTATTTGAGAAACCTTCGTATTTGGGTGAACAATAGAATCGTCACTGAATACCTCAAGAATAAGCCAAAATGGCTCGAGGATAACTCAAGCGGTATTGGTAAACGTGCTGTCAATGACGACGAAGCCAACAAGATCGAGAAATTCAATGAAGAAGATCACAAGAATCTCCTTAAGCATGAATGGATCTTTAGAGAATACATTCTGACTAAAGAGTTCACTGGATTCCACGAGGAGCAGATGAAGCATCTCTTACGGAATCGTATGGAGCAGTATGTGGAGGGTGTTAACCGTTTTTCCGAATCCAAGACCGTCAACCATCCTCTTTGGGCTGACACTTTTATGCATCACATTCACGTCAACAACATTCAATTCGAGGATGAAGTAAACAAGCTACTCGAGCTCAGCAAGGCTTACGAAGCTGAGGCTAAGCAGGAGGTTGTTGAGAAGGCAGAGTCCGAGCAGAATGACGGTAATGAGGATAAGGAGACCGCCGAGCTTGTAAACTTGTCTGGAGAAGGCTTCGAAGAGCTCCAAGACTCATCTGATGAGGGCGAAGCCAAGGATACATCTTCAGGTCAAGGTAGCCAAGACGGGTCGCAGAACGGTGACGGCGGCATTCAGGAAGTTGCCGAGGAAGCATCTAATGAATAAATCCAAGAAGCATCTCGTCTGACTAATGAACGAGAGTTTCAAGGAGGTGAAAGTTTCACCGGTGCAACTTTTGCATAACAACTAATGAGACATGAGCATGCAATACACATAATAAAAGAAGAGTGTTTGTAGATTTCTTGATACGAATAGTCTCGGCTAATTTTGGCTACTGGCGCCGCAAACGCATGGTCCAAAAACAGCTCTGAAACTCATCGTCTAAAAAAGTTTGTTTGTTTTGATGAGTAGCCAGCGACCGTTGGAACATCCAATTTTAGACCGTTTTAGACTCTTTAAATATAGACGGAACGGCGCCCTAAAACGGGAACTAACTTACCTAATTCTACCCAGAGTTAGACCTACCGTTTAAGACGAGTAAACCAGAAGTACCAAGGCTGTGCTTGATAATTGATACGAGAGATAATTCGAGCCAAGCCATGATGTCATGAGCTATTGCTTGGTTAATACGGTTGGAGAGGCGTAAAGAAGTCGCTTAAGCGATGAAATTAGGGTAAGTCCCCATCTTGTTAGTAAGTAACCTCAAGATAACATCTCGTTACTTTGTAGAGAGCTAGAGTTCGTTGAAAGCCAATCCAGTTTCCGATCCTCGGTAAATAGTATGGATCTTGGCTTACCTCAGAGGCCAAAACATATGGACAATAGAGTATTTGTTGATCGTTCACTGATAGTACTTGGCAATAGCTGGGTACTTAACGTAGAAGATGTCCAAGATTTGGGACACTTGGTAGAATAGAAGAGTGATAGGTAAAGCTCATACAGATTATCAAGATTGGAAAAATGCAAGATTCAGCGAGATGTTAGGCGATACCGTTGGAGCACACCAAGTGGTAACGGTAGATGGACCAAGCGAGCTCACCACACCACAAAAGCAGCAGCATAGCACATTGGCCGATGATAGGTTGCCTAACTGAAAGCTTATGCTCTTTGTCACCCAACACCAGTTCAATACCTAGAAGCTCATCCAGACTGCTCTCCAACCTTTGTGGTACTAGCGTCGGGCAATCTACAAGCCCTGGTGGAGTCCCTAGCCTCTGTCCTGTTCCCCTGAAGCTGAGCCATCTGCTTCTATTTAAATCCACAAGCCATCCAGGCACCTAGCCGCCGTTGAATGAGCCACAAAGAGCCCCAAGATCCACAAAACCTGTAAAGCATCTGGCTTAGCAGGGCAAAGCTTGGCTGTGTCAAAACCTCCACAACCAACGCCATGCCAGATACTCTCCAGAAGTCTGGTGGCTCTGCAGAAGCAGAGAAACGGCTGACAAGGAAGCAAGAGAAGAATGGGGGAACAGTGTGGGCAGATGATAATGGAAACTCTCTATCCAACACTTCCATGAAAGGCTGAGCCTTTTTTTTTTTTTCCTCGCCTGCCATCCACCCAATGCAGCACATTACTTACATCAAGCACCTCGCCTGGACCACCAACATCACCTGGGACCTGAACAAGCCTTACAGATATAACACGGCTTGCCGTAAACACATCTACTAAAGCTGGCGAAGAGGCTCAGCTAAAAGGCGCAGGGGGGCACAGGCCCCATAGTTTAGGGCGAAGATTGTAAAGGCGAACAAACAGAGGAATATGGCTCAGCCTGCGCACGGCCTCCCACAGCCACTATCCACTGTGATAAGATTAGAATACAGAGAAAAATGCAACAAGAGAGAAGAATCCCCAGGCGTGTCCAGCCGCGTTGCGTTTAGGGGAAGGTACTGGAATTCATCTGGTGCTGCTATTTTAGGATTCCAGTGGCTAATTTTGATGCTTCTAATTGTGTATTCTCCAGGTAGTTGGTGAGCCCTAAGTGACTGGAATAGGCGATTTCGCAGCCACCATCTCGCAGAGGCAGGTTAGGCGTTTGAGGAAAAAAGAGGGAAGGCTACATCTCAGTGAAACGCCAAACCAGGGAAGCGTCTTCCACCCATTGATGCTCCTTCAATGACTCTTCACGTTACAATTACTCTTCCCTTACATTGTCGTGTTGCTTCTGCTGCTCCAGGTGGATCTTTTTTTTACCTTTCTCTCCCGCCTTGTTCGTAATTGTTGCACCCAGAATCGCCAAGGTTCGCGCTGAGCAGCCCGCCTTACAGAAAAAAAATCGCCAAATTCACGGTCTATAGTCTGCCCACGCGACACGGCGTTCCACCTTGGACTGGAGAGATACCCAAAGAGAAGGTCGGATTTGATGGAAAAAAGTGCCCAATCAAAAAGGTACCTTCTACTTCCTGTCCTTGAAAACACCACAAAGCCGGTTTGACATGGTCACACAAGATCTACTTGCAACATTTTGTCTCTTCTGCCTCTGACTATTCTTTCCTTCGTGCGTTTTTCCTGTCTGAAAAGAAAACAGAGAGAATCTGGTGAGGCACTGCCTCGAGCGAAAAGGCACGAAATCCCAAAGAGGAACAATTGCAATGGAAAAAAAAAAAAGTGAAGAAAAAAGGACAAAAAAAGAAAATTAAGGAATTATGAACAGAGAACAAGACCAGGCGACGACTACGACATCACATCCTGCTCCACCATAGCAGAAGCATTGGAGGCGCAGAGCCGCCAGGCATATTTTAATGAGACATCTAAAAGTAAAGAAAAAGAAAATGCTTCAAAGTGCCAGGAAAAAATAAGCCTTCTTGGCTTGAAGCACTCATTACATTTCCAATCAGGGGGAGGGGGTGGGGGCGTTTTCTGCTGTGGTGTATTTTTTTTTTTGTTGGCAGCAAAGGCGTAAACATTAGGCTGGCTTTCTTTTTTTGTTGCATCGTTTCTTGCCCTTTTTTTTTTATTCTTCCTTCATGTGGGTGCCTGGAATACTGCATGTAAGCGCGTGGGCGCCGCGGCCTCCCCGATTGAGCTGCCGGAACGCCAAAAAAGAAAAGCCTTCTGTCTCCTAAAATAAAGGAATGAATAAAAAAAAAAAAAAAAAAAAACCTCGACAATCGAAAGGAGGCTTATAAGACAAAATCTCGTGGCTCGCTCCTATACACTCCCGCCATATCCTGTTGCCGCCCTTTCCAAAACTATATAAACCACCAACCCGCCTCTGACTTTTGTACTTTTTTTTTTCTCTTCTCTATCCTTACCACACTCACAAACATTACAATGCAATTCTCCACTGTTGTTATCGCTTTGACTGCCGCCTCTGCTGTTTCCGCCGCCAACGGTACCAACAACTCCGGTAACGGTTCTAACCAGTCTACCTCTGGTGACTCTGGTGCTGCCCAGGTTGTTGGCTACGGTGCTTTTGGTGCTGCCGCTGCTGCCGGTGTTGCCTTGTTGATCTAAGCGGAACTTGGATTTCCTCCCAGCCTTGACATGAAAGGCGGGCATTGGTTTTTACGGTTTCGGTAATAGATATAGCTCCCAGACCCCTAATTTTCTTTCTAAAGCTTTACTTCGCGTCTGGGCTGGCCACCAGCATACGCTAATTTATAAAATGTTCTAGTATGTATTACAATTACAAGTTGTACTATGATTTGAAGTGTAGAGATTGTAGACTTAGCCATTTGTCTGAGTGAAAAATCTGTGGGACCATTTTCTGTGCGCACGATGAGTTATCTCGAAATTTTTTAGCTCTCTGTGCAATGTGTAAAAAATTTTCTCTCAACTACGCCTGGTGCACGGGTGTGGGGTAACTTTTGGCACCATCCTTCCCGGAAAACTCTCCTAATGGGGGGCCCCCATCCCATCGCGTTTCGCCACGTTCCATAACAACGTGCTGGCTCGAGACCGAGACCTTCCCCCTTGTTTATGGGAAGCTCAATGGAAAACGTGGCCGTGCCTTCAACCTGCCCAAAACAACCAAAAGGCGTTTCTACTGTTGGGTTTCTGGAAACTCCCTAAGAGGTGTCACCCTGATGACCTTTGTCGTCACGTGGAGCTAAGCAATAGTTTCTTGTGGGAGAAGGCAAAGAAAAAGTAGAGAAAAAGGAAGGTGTAGGATGGACATATTTTCTTTCTGCATTGTAATGGCGAAAAAGGATTAACTTTGGCCGCCAGCAACCGTCTTTTATTGCTACGGCGATTTTCTTGAATGAAACCTTCACCACTGGTTTCTGCAAAGTAATCTGACTTCTAGCTTTTGACTCTGGTCGGGCGTTGCCCCATTAGCTTTAACTATGAGGCGGTCTAAGACATCCAACTAAATTTCGCAGCCAGGGGTACCGCAGTTGGAAAAGTAACACAAAGCACAGAGTGGTATACGCGAGGAAGAAAAGCAGAGGCGCGGGATTCAAAGCGTACTAGTAAAAGCCAAGGTCCATGGAGTTCGCCTTTCGAGGCGCTTTAGGGGCTTCGAAGGGTAACTTGGTTGTTTCCTACAAGCCATCCTGCAAATCATAAAGTTTCCGTATTTTACTTCTCCTCGACTAAGCCATATGAACGGACACCAGTCGGCCCCGAGGCTTCGCCAGCCCCTATGAACGAGCCACTTTTGGATCGCATGGAAATTGGGATTTGGTGGTTATTGTAGGATAATCTGGGTTTATTGGTGTTCAATGAAATTGGACCTGTAGCAGCATGGAATGTGGGTTGAGGACTGGTGGAGTGGTGGTGGATTTAAACTAGGAGCTTAAAGTCTAATCGTCTGATGGTTTCCATGCACTTACATGACCACCGTTGTGCCAAAGCAAAGGTCCTAGTTTACTTAGCAAGGACTTGGTTTCTGTCAGTTTCCACTTTCTTCAATTTCTCGCTCAATTGGGCAACACTCGTAAATGTACCCTGGCCTGGCAAACGTCCAATGACTTCACCACCAACACATGATTAGCTGTCTAATGCTTGCTTGAACATCTCTTAACTTTCCCTTTTCTTATCTTATCTTGGCATGTCGTTTCCTTCATTGATCTACACTGGCTTAACTGTCCCTTCTACCATTCTATCATATCTGTTGTGTCTGTAGTTTGACGTAATTACGCGACTTGCTGATAAGAGATTATCGGTGGATGGGACCAACAACCAATCGAAGAAAACGATAAGATTGCTATATCAACCTTGTATGAGTACGAGGTGCAAATCGGTTTTCTGGAGGTACAGCTTCTTATCTTTCTCTGGGGATGGCGCTTCCCATGCCTGAGTAATTTTGCACCCAACGCGAATTGCTTATCTGCCAATGGCTGAGCTACAATGCTGTTTGGCCGATATCGGGAACAACTATATCGAACATTCTCTGGGTGATTGTGATAAAAGAAGGTTTCGTCAATCAGCTTTGGCCTCTTTTGTTTGAGTGGCAGACCTGAATTGTCTATTCCCAGGACGAATGATAGTGACATCTCAGTTTTAGCAGAAAGAAAGACCTCAAAATCTTCAAAACTTTCAATCTACATATTCAAGACTTTCTTGTCAAATGAACCTCTTTTCACCCGTAGCTCCCGCAGATACGCTGATGTCGGTCTTTGTGGTATCTTCGGTGATTCGTAAGCACCTAAGGCAGGTGTACGGATGTGACACCATTAAACGGGCCCAGATCATATAAGTCACCTTCAGCTACAACCATCGAGATGTTTACTGGACTTGTGGAGAAAATCGGCAAGGTTCTAGAGTACAATGAGCTTGATACTTCGTCTTCTGGTGGAAATGGTGTTTCCATGGTAATTGGCGATTGTTCAGAGATCCTCACTGATGTCCATTTGGGTGATTCTATCAGCACCAACGGTGTCTGTCTTACAGTTACGGAGTTTGACGAGCAAAAGACTTATTTCAAGGTTGGGGTAGCTCCAGAAACACTTAGAAGGTCGAACTTGGGTGACCTCAAGGTTGGTTCTCCTGTTAACTTGGAGAGAGCTGTCACTTCTGAGGTCAGACTAGGAGGCCATGTCGTTCAAGGCCATGTTGATACTGTCGCTTTTATCACTAAGAGACAAACAGACGGGAATGCTATCAACTTTACTTTCAAGCTTCGTGAGCGTGAAAATATCAACTACATTGTTGAAAAGGGTTTCATCGCTGTGGACGGTACTTCTCTAACCGTCACCAGCGTTGACTACGATACTGCCGAGTTTTCTATCATGTTAGTGAGCTACTCGCAAGAGAAGGTCATTTTGGCCATAAAGGAACTCGGTCAAACCGTGAACATTGAAGTGGACTTCACTGGCAAGTTGATCGAGAAGCAGATCGAATTGACTTTAGAAGGACAACTTAAGAAGGAGAACTCTCCTCTTGTGAGATTGATCGAGGGGATTGTGGAGAAGAGGCTTGCTGGTAAGTAAGACAGTCAGTGGACCTTGGATCGTCATAGATGGATTAGCCACTGTGAGTGTTGCATAGGTATCCCGATCAAGCTCTTAAGCGAAAGACGGAGCTAGGGCTATTGTTCCCTTCATTTTCAATTTGGCAAACGAGACAAGTACCACTTGTAAGGACTTCAGCGGTCCTTCACAGCACTAAACCTGGATTAGTCATTTTCCATTAGAAAAACCGTACATAGTAACGACTTTTGCGATCCTTCCAGTGTGTTATTCTCGAGAAACAGTGACATATCAGGCTTAGACCAGATTGACAATCGAAACGGTCGAGAGAAAGGCCTGACTGCCAAGTAGTAAGCGAGAGTTAGTGATTGTATGGTCGAGTGGCTTGGGGATGTATGTCTACAAGATACTATTTTAATATTTTATAACATATATAATAGCAACATCGGACTTGTTGGTGGCCGCCTCCGACGCTCAGTGAAGAGTCATTCTAGTACCTGCTTCAGGCACCAAGGGCTCAAGAGGCTCCCCAACCTCTACCCAAGTGTACCCGTCACAGACACCAACACTTCTCACCACCAACCATCAGCAACGGCAACGTAAAGGTCGTCGACAGGACCAAGTCAGCAGCAACAACTTTGATGAAGCGAGAAAGAATCAAGAGGCTCCCCAACCTCTGAGTAGTACACTTCTCGTGGTTGTAACAGACTATCAACAACAAAGCCCAGCGACGACAACGTCAAAGGCCATCGAGGGTTCCCAGAAGCCAATTGGAGCAACGACATAGACGAATTAAAGAAGGCAGAAGCTCCCAACAACTACCCCTGTGCACTTATAGTAGCCGATACTCCTCATGGACACTGAAAACCAACGACGACATCGTTCGAAGATACCCAAATGCCAATAGGGGCGACAATAACCGACGAGTAGGAAGGGCTCAAAGGCTCCCCAACCTTTTCCCTAGTATACCCATCATGGCCGCCACCCTTTCTCAACAAGTAGATACCAGCAATGCTAAAGTATGCCGACGGTATCAAATAGCATAGAGACAACAACTGTCAGTAGGCAAGAACATAAGCTAGGGGCTCCCCAACCCCTTGCTAATACACCTCACAGCTGTTTCTCCCTCTGGATAGCAAATGAAAGCGTCAGTTGATACTCCATCACCAATCAGACCAACACCAGTCAGTAGGCACGAAGGATAAGAGGCTCCCCAACCTCTACCCCAACAAAGGTACCACTGGCGCTACCACTTCTCGGCAACAGAGACCAACGACGACAGCGTCAAACCCATCGACGATACCCAGTCCCCAGTGAAAGCTTCAACAGCCGACAGGCAAGCGGATTCAAGAGGCTCCCCAACCTCTGGCCAGCTATACCCATCTTCGTATCCACCCGTCCCGAAAACCGAAGACCAACGACGAGGACAATAACGTCAAGACCATCGACGGCCCCCAGCTATGAATAAAAGCAGCTGCGACGATAGGCAAAAAGAGTAAAAAGGCTCCCCAACCTCTCTTCCCAATGTACCCACCATCAGTGCCACTCCTCTCAACAACTGAACACCAACGACGATAACGTCAAGTTCTCTTAAGCTTCGAAAGCTTGAACATCTTGCTCTGGTCCCGCAAAGCAGGAAGAGCAGCCGCCAAGGCGGCCTTCTTAGCAAATCTCTTTTCACGGTTCTTCAGCGGCTTCACCCCAGACATCTTGCTGGTCCCCTTGCCACTGTCCAACGTCGAGCTCCCCAACTCAACGTATTCAGACTCAGACAAAGCGACGTCAATCTTGGCCGCCCTCGGCAGCTTCTCTGGTGTAGTCACGGCGGTGAAAGCCTCTAGTTGTGTGACCGTGTAGCTGTTTCCAGCCTCAAAAACAGAACCCTCCTGGTCGCCCGAAAGGACGACAGTAAACGTAGTAGGTTCATTTTTGACATCGACAAGGTCGTCGGCATCGATGTCGGCAAAGGTGGGCACCTCGGCGGCGTCGCCAGTGGTGTTGGTGCCCTCGTTGTTGTTGGCGTTGTCAATGACAACCTTCTCGCAAACCGTATGGTGGTCAGTCTTCGTCTTCTCTGTCTGAATCAATGAACGGAACCCTAGGGCCCCTTAAGAACTCTCGTGTACCGCCGCCCTCATGGTCTCCATCTGAACTAGTCATGACTTGTTCTCCCTGAAATTATCATAGAGCTTATGCCAGTATATCTGTTGAGCGAGATCTCTTGCCCTGGGATCAAAACGACCGTAGACAACAAGACGACAAAAGAACTCGAACTCGCCGGCGGCCCATGGGATGGCTAAGCACTTGCCATCGTGCGTAATGATCCATCCATGGTGTAGCCACAGTGATTTGAGAACATCGCTGGTAAAAACGCAGCCCTGGGAGTACCAGAATGGTTCCGGCTGGAAGCTCATCCTGGAGACTTGTAGTAGGTGAGGGGCGGCGGCTTCTTGGTGGTAGTGTTCGAGAAGAAGTGCCGAAGAAAGACTGGGGTTAATAGACCAAGTTGTTGTTGGTCAAGAAAGAAACGGTAAAGTGATGCTGATGGTGGTGGTTGTCTTCCCTATCTGAGGTAGATAGAGACTGGTGAAAGGCTTCTTGTTCTTGGGCGAATGTGATTTACTTTCTAGACTGTTGTAAACCTATTGCTGAACTTTAAGAAAAAGAAGAAGGTGAAGAAGAAAAAAGTGGGAATTGACCAGAAGGCCTCCTTTTATACCCGTTTGTACCAGCTGGACCGCGGGCTCCCAGCTCGCACACTTAACAGCAGAGCACCAGCGCTGGGAGGTACTTGAGGCGACTAAACGTTCAGAAGATGAAGGTTCAGCTGATTCTAAGAGTATTTGTAGAGCGTTTTGTGCTTTAACAGCCCTATGGAGGCCTATATGAATGGCTGCAAAATCTCTATGCCACTATACGTCTTCTATGCGCATCCCAGTAGTTGGTGGTCCAGGGTCGCCAATGGTCCCAAAAGCCGCAGTTCCGTAATATAATAAGCTTCTTAAAGGCTAGAATTACTCTAAAACAATTTATTTAGTTGATGAGGAAAGTCTTTTGTTAGCTGCTAATGGTAGCTTGAATGACGATGGTAAATGGTACTAATGAACGTACTTGGCGTGCGAGGTACCATATATCTCCCGATGACAATGTGGTAAGAATGATTAGCCGATTTTAAAACGATCAATGACCATGGAGCAACTGTGAAAGACAAGAAAGTTCAATAAATTCGAAGTAGCCAGAGCTCTTCATGTATAAGATGTTGCTATGATGATTTGGCTACAAAATCTGGCGGGGGGTATTATGCGCACCACACGACCCGTGGCAAACACCAGTGGTGAGTCTCAAGAATTGATAGACCAACTATCAACATCCAGCACCGATCACAATGGATATCATCTTAGGAGTTAGAGTCCAAGATGCTACTCTTATCGCCACATCGAAAGCATTCACCAGAGGAATTTCTGTTTTGAAGGACTCCGATGACAAAACCAGACCATTGAACGCCCACAACTTAATGGCCTTCACCGGTGAATCTGGTGACACTGTCCAGTTTGCCGAGTATATCCAAGCCAATATTCAGCTATACAGCATGAGAGAGAACGACATTGAGTTGCTGCCTCGTGCCACGGCGTCGTTTGTCAGAAACCAATTGGCGACGTCTATCAGATCCAGAAAGCCATACCAAGTGAATGTATTATTAGGAGGTTACGACAAGAAAACAAACACTCCTAGCTTGAACTGGGTCGACTACTTGGGTACGCAAACAGAGCTTCCATATGGTGCCCACGGATACGCTGCTTTCTACTGTCTGTCTGTCTTTGACCGTCACTATAGACCAGACATGAACGTGGAAGAAGGTAAGGAATTGTTGCGTATGAGTTTAGCTGAGTTGCAAAAGAGAATGCCTATTGAATTCAAGGGTGTTTACGTCAAACAGGTTGATGGCGAGGGCATCAAGGAGATTGAGCTTTAAGTGGCGAGGTGAGGCTATAATAAACATTGGCCAGAGAGGGCGAAAGCGTTTGGCGAGTCCGAAGCTACCTGCCCGTTGAGTTAGAAATAGCGAAACGAATGAATGATAAAAAGAAGGCTGTTGCTGTAGGCGGGATCTGAATTGACATGGTCACCGTTCACTCTACTTTTCATGTAATCTCCGAGCGTCTTGTGGCAATTCGCCATAATAACCTTATCTTAGTAAACTCCGTAATTTCACCCTCGTTCTCTGCATTGCATATGTAGTGGGATGCCACCTTACGGCCGTATCTTATACCCCGGGCCGCCCAGTCGTTCCTCCATTCGGGATGATAACAAAGGATTCGCCACCAAACCTAAAATTTCGTAAAATCAATGTCCAAGTACATTTACTCGTCATTTAATGCTTCTTACAGAAAAACACCTTTTTAATGGAGAACTCCAATACTTTGGTCTCCAGCACCCTCCCACTGTTTGGGTGCGAAATCATCCCCATCGGAAACCCATCGCATATCAAAACCACCAAACCATAACATCCACATCCAAATGAAACAGGAATCGCCTGAGCCTGAACTTTCCCTGCTTCTACCGAAACTTGGTGATATCGTTAAGAAGTTCCTTGAAATTGAGGATGAAGACTATACTATCTCGAAGTTCTTGGTCGGTTTATATGACCAAGCTGATGGAGCTGAGACTCTGAAGAGTGGGTTCCAAGGGTTTAAGAGTGTTGTGGCGCAAAATGGAGGTGACGACTTTCCTCAAGAATTCCTTCGATCGGTATTTCAGGCAATTCAAGCTCTGCGTCCCCAGATAAAACAAGAGCCTGAGGTAAAGCAGGAACCGAGCCAGGATGTTGCTCCCGTGAAACAAGAAGAGAAGACGGAAAATGTGAAGTCTACGAATAAAGACCAGTCAAGCTTTCCGGGATTGGCACTTCCAGACCGGGAAGTGAAAAGAGAACGCATAGACGGTCCAGCTCTGCGTGATTTGCAACCACAGCTGGATGAACCACTTAAAGTGGGAAACATATACAAAGGCCTTATCAGTAACATAACTGCTTTTGGTGCCTTTGTGAGATTGCATGGTACTCATTCTTCGGGCCTTTGTCATGTTTCAAAGCTTGCCTATGATGGAAGAAGAGTGCCCAAGGCTGAAAATGCCGTGAAGATGGGCCAAGAGGTCTTTGTTAAGGTTGAAAACATCCAAAAGGCTGGTCCTAAAGGTCGTGAGAAGATATCTTTGTCCATGGTTGGTATAGATCAACTAACGGGTATTGACAGGCTGAGCGAATTGGAGAACGAGAGAAGAGGACGCTCCCGTCAGAACCAACCACCGGCAAAGAAAAGAAGACTCACATCACCGGAACGTTGGGAAATCCGTCAACTTATAGCATCAGGAGCTGCGCTGGCTGCAGACTATCCTGAATTGAATGGTGCCAACGAGGACCAAGCTGACCAAGAACCTGAAGATGATGAGGCCGTTGATGTCGAACTTAATACGAACGAACCAACATTCTTGAAAGGTCAGACTGACGGCAAGGGAGGAATGGGCGTGAATCCGATGCTTATACTTAAAAATCCAGAGGGTTCTATGAGTAGAGCCGCCATGAATGGTTCCAAGCTAGCCAAGGACTTCAAAGAGGAGAAAGCAGAGAAGCAAAAAGAGCTTGAGAAGGAAATGAGACTTGCCCAAGATTCAAATGATCCATTAGCAGAGATGAGGAAGGAAGAGCTTGTGAAACAGAAAGTCATTTCAGAATGGCGTAAGAGCCAGCTGCAACAACGGTCCGATCTTAAGAAATTACCCAAACTTTCACTCCAACAGCAACGTGAGAGTTTGCCTGTTTTTGCAATGCGTACTCAGCTTATAGAAGCCATAGAACAGAATCAGTTCTTGGTTATTGTTGGTGAAACAGGTTCTGGTAAGACAACCCAGATTGTTCAATATGTCTATGAAGAAGCCCTCAACGTTGTCGGTAACACTGAAAAGATAATTGGATGTACTCAGCCTAGACGTGTCGCCGCTGTTTCGGTTGCTAAGCGTGTGGCCGAGGAAGTTGGATGCAAAGTAGGAGAAGAAGTTGGCTACTACATTCGTTTCGAGGATGTCACTTCTCCAGAAACTAAAATCAAGTATATGACTGATGGTATGCTCCAAAGAGAAGCTTTGCTCGATCCCACCATGTCTAAATACTCGGTAATCATGTTGGATGAAGCTCACGAGCGTACGATAGCCACGGATGTGTTGTTCGCCTTGTTGAAAAAAGCTGCTAAGCTGAACCCGAACCTCAAAGTGATTGTTACTTCAGCTACACTTGACCTGGCTAAGTTTGCTTCTTTCTTTAACGACTGCCCGGTTTTGAAGATCCCTGGTCGTACATATCCCGTGGAAACTCTCTTCTCTAGGGAAGCCGAGCCGGACTACTTGGCAGCTGCACTTGACTGTGTAATGCAAATTCATGTTGCCGAAGCTGAAGGTGATATATTGGTCTTCTTGACGGGTCAGGAAGAAATTGATACAAGCTGTGAAGTGCTTTATCAACGAATCAAGACTTTGGGATCTGCAGTTCCTGAGCTTCTTATCCTTCCAGTATATTCCGCTCTTTCCTCAGACATGCAACTGAAGATCTTCGAGCCTGCTCCTCCTGGTGCACGAAAAGTGGTATTGGCCACAAATATTGCCGAAACATCTATTACAATCGATGGTATTCGGTATGTTGTTGACCCTGGGTATGTCAAGGTCAATGCATATGACCCAAAGCTAGGCATGGATACTTTGGTGGTGTCACCAATCTCTCAAGCTCAGGCAAATCAAAGAGCTGGCCGTGCTGGTCGTACCGGTCCAGGTAAATGCTACAGACTATACACGGAACAAGCGTACAATACAGAGATGCTTCCAAACCTGATTCCGGAGATCCAAAGACAGAATCTTGCGCTTACCATTCTTATGCTCAAGGCTATGGGTATCAATGATCTCCTCAACTTTGAATTTATGGACCCACCTCCAGCACAAACATTAGTGAACGCTTTGCATGATTTGTATAATCTCGATGCACTCGACGAGGAGGGATACTTGACACCGTTTGGCAGGAAGATGTCAGAGTTCCCTATGGAACCTGCTCTTGCAAAGACATTGATTGAATCTACTGAACTAGGATGTGTTGATGAAATCCTTACTATTGTCGCTATGCTTTCTGTACAATCAGTCTTCAACAGGCCCAAAGACAAGCAAGCAGCAGCAGATCAGAAGAAACAACGTTTCCATTCTGTCTACGGAGACCATATCACATTGCTTAACGTCTACAGAGCGTGGGACCTCAATGGCCGTTCACCAGGCTGGTGCAAAGACAACTACATCCACGAGCGAAGCATGAGAAGAGCCTTGGATGTCCGAAAGCAGCTTGGGCAGATCATGAAGCGGTTTCGAATTCCGATAGACAGTTGTGGATCCGATACAATCGCTGTCCGCAAGGCCTTCTGCTCTGGGTTCTTCAGAAACTCGGCCAAGCGAGATCCTCATGAGGGAATTTACAACACCCTAGTCGACCAGACCCCCGTGAGCATGCACCCGCTGCTGGCTCTTTTCGGCAAGTCCTGTGAGTATGTCATTTATCACACGGTCCTTCTCACCACCAAGGAGTACATGCACTGCGTCAGTACCATAGATCCACGCTGGCTTTTGGAATTAGCGCCTCGCTTTTTCAAGAAAAGTGATCCTACTAGTGAATCCAAGAAAAAGGAGAAAATTACACCTCTCTACAACCGTTTTGCTGAAAACCAGGATGCCTGGAGACTCACGTCCCAGATTGAAGCGAAGAAGCGCGCCTTGGAACTGCTTAACCAGTAAATGAGTGTTTCACAGGTGATTTTTTAGCTCCCACGCATAGTGTCTTGTGCGAAATGGTTGCGAAAGTCCCCTCAAGAGAGCAACCAAGCTATGTGGAGAAGATAAGAAAGATGTGGAGAAATCAAGCTCGTGTGTTTCGAAGGAGGTGAAGCCACAGAGAATCAGGTCATCAACACTACCACGAGTCTTTTTTTAAACTTTGGAAAGCCCATGATGTACCACTTTTCGGATTTCCTTTACCAGACGTACGGTGCACGGGTGCCGAGACGCTCTGGCAGCCAGCAGGTTACCTCGCTAGGCTCATAACTCTGATCTTTCTGCCCGCCGCCAAAAACCAAAGAAAAAAAAAAATAACCACCTATCTTTAGAAAACAGACCTTCTGTTGTACAACCATTCCTTACTAATGAAGTCTGCTAGAACAGTCATTTCTGACCGCTTAAGCTTATACTCGGCCGGCCCGGGTTTTGCAGGCTCAGGAGTTAGGCCGCTTCGAAAGAAGTTCGACCCCAATGAACCGATAGCTGCTACCGAGAATGACTCCAACTGTATTCTACCTTGTGAGCCGTTACATGTCGAGGATGGCCATTTGATAGATGCCCTGGGCCGTAAGAGAGTGCTTAAGGGTATAAACGTGGATTCGGCTATGAAGCTCCCCACAAAACCTAACATGCCTTCGTATGAAGGCGACTCGCTGGATCCTGATAACGTTTTCTTTGATGGCGATAATGTCACTTTTGTTGGCAGACCATTTCCTTTAGAAGAAGCTGAGCTTCACTGGAACCGTATCAAAACCTGGGGCTATAACACCATCCGTTACTTGGTAACGTGGGAAGCTATCGAACACGCTGGTCCAGGCAAGTATGATAACGAGTTCGTCACTTACACCATCGAGATGCTTAAAATCATTCATAAGGTCGGTGGATTGTACGTTTTCATGGAATGCCACCAGGACGTCTGGTCACGTTATTCTGGAGGTTCCGGTGCTCCTCTTTGGACTTTCTATGCTGCTGGTCTCAATCCTGCTAACTTCCATGCTACGGAGGCTGCTATCTTGCAGAACCATCCTCGTTTCGACCGTGCCCACGACCAGGAATGCTACCCCAAGATGCTCTGGACGACCAACTATAAGAGGTTGGCTTCGCTTACTATGTTCACCTTGTTCTTTGCTGGTCAAACATATTTCCCCCATTTGAAGATTAACGGCGTGAACATCCAGCAATACCTTCAGAAACATCATTTAAGAGCCCTCGGCCATCTTTGGTATAATGTTATTCATGCTCTTCCCGACATGGTGAAAGACGGTACTCTTTTGGGTTTCGAATCATTGAACGAACCTAACTGTGGTCTTGTTGGCCATGCACATATGGGCTATCATCCCAGCAACCAACACTTACGTTTGGATACCACTCCCACCGTCTACCAATGTTTCCGTTTAGGTATGGGTCTTCCAGCTGAGATCGATGTCTACAAGATTACTGTGTCCGGTCCTCAGAAAGATGGTTCCAGGATGGTAGATCCAAAAGGTAAGCGTGCTTGGCTTTTGCCCGAAGAGGCTCAAAAACTCGATGCCCACTATGGATGGAGACGTTCCGGTTGGAAAGTTGGTGAGTGTATCTACGCTGGCTTGAAGATCTGGAAATGGAATAAGTTTGCTGATTGGGATAAGATCAACACTATGCCATTAGATAAGAGGATTGAATTTAGTTACCTGGAATGCCAGTTGCGCGTCCCTAACTATTTCAACCAAGTGTCGCCTCGTATTTCTTTTAACGTTGACGATGAGAGACTTCCTTCCCAGATCGATATGCATTTCTTCATCAACCACTTTTTTGTGGAATACTACAAGAGGCTTAAGAAGATGATCAGATCAATCAGTCCTGATGTTTTCATGCTCATCCAGCCTCCTGTGTTGGAGCCTCCTCCAAAGCTCATTAATGACGAACACAAACTTATCGATGAAAAGACTATCTACTGTCCTCATTACTATGATGGCTTATCGCTCCTCATGAAAACTTGGAATGACAAATATAATGTTGACACATTGGGAATCATGAGAGGCAGGTACTTGAATCCTGTCTTGGGACTTGTTGTTGGAGAAAGAGCTATTAGGAACTGTATTAAGAAACAATTCTGTGAGATCGCTAATGAGGCTCGTGAAAACTTGGGTAACATTCCCGTGCTCATGTCAGAGACAGGTATGCCTTTCGATATGGACGGCAAAAGAGCTTATGAAGACGGAAGGTACACTTCCCAGACTGCTGCTCTTGACGCATTGGCAAATGCTTTAGAGGGCCTGCGGATGCACCATACATACTGGTGCTACACTAGTGTCAATTGTCACAAATGGGGTGATCGCTGGAACAATGAAGATTTCTCCTTCTGGTCTCCGGAAGACAGAGATTTGGCATTCGATGATGAGGATGACGTTGACACATCGTCTCCATCGAGAAGGAACAGTGTTACGCCTTCTTTGAGAGCCATCAGGGCACTTAAGGAAACTGCCGGTAACCTGTCGGTCATCAAAACTAGGTTAAATTACCACAAAAAGCGTTTGATGCCCAACATGTTCAAGAAACAATTCTGTTCTGATGAAGATCTACTTGATGATGATTACGAACCAAGCATGGATAATTCAACTTTGATTTCCGTTTCCAGTGACAATCTTCGCTACAAACACATGAAGAACTGTTACCCATCTCCTGACGGCCTTCGTGCACCAAGTGCCATTCTTCGTCCATTTTTGATCTCCTCCATGGGTGTCGTCAAGGACACTGAATTTGATATCAAGTCATCCCGTTTCGCGCTCACGTTGACTATAAAAGAGCAATTAGAAGAAGACACTTTAGAAAAATGCCCTACGGTCATATTTGTCCCTAAGTGGCACTATCCGTTTTTGAACTACAATGATATTTATTTAACGTCTGGTCATGTGAAGTATAATGAAAAGCTCGAATACTTAGAGTGGTACCACTTCGACACAGACGATACTGCCAATGGCAGTTCCACTTCATCCTCCGCTGCCCGTGCTGCGTCTGATGATGAGACTATCATCATTAAGAATAATAGCGGTAAGTACGAGGATATCTCCCAGAAGGACGAAAACCTTTTTGGAGACGTATGCACCATTGTTTAAAGCACAATTATAGTATACATATACCCAAAACTAATAATAATAATAATATGAAAAGTTGATTAGAATTCTAGTGGATCCTCCTCTCTGTCTCTCTTAGAACTCTTCAACTCTTCCTTGAGAAGACCATTGACAAAGCTGGAGAAGTAGTCTATGTATGGCTTCAAGCTTGTCTTCTCGTAGTCAGACACTCTAGAGGACGACGTGAGTTGGTCGCCCTCAGAATCCGATAATGGTTGGCTAGAGTCTCTGTTCACTCTCTTTGCTTCCCATGTGTCTATCTCGTCTTGTAATTGTGATAAGTTAGGGGCAGTCATTGGATTGAAGCCGTAATCGTCATCATCCGAGTTGGCACTCAAGTTCCTTGTAGGATCAAAGGGAACACAGATATTTCCTGTTCCTGGGTGAATACAGAATGGAGACTTCAACAAATGGATCAACTGCTTGGACACTTCAATATCCAAACGTGGGTACATGAAGTAGATGATAATCTCTTTTTTAGCATCGTTTAATTGAGAAACTTGGGACTGGTGCTTGAGAATCTTTTGGGCCACCGCATTGATGTCATCCCACTTCGCCTTAGAACTGGAGTAGTTGGAAGACTCTTTCCATTTGGATTTGAGAGCGGTTCGAAGGGCGTTATCTGGAATGAAGCTCAAAAGTTCGTCCACCTTACCCCATGCTTTTTCATCTGAAGAAACTGAAGTCTCCCATGGGTTCTGGTCTTCCAACACAATCTCTTGGAAATGCATTTTGAGGATGTCGAAAGAACGCTCGACATGAGGATGAAATGGTTTCTTCAAAGACAACGAGGTCTTCCCCATCTTGGAGGATCTTGCACCCAACACGTCCAAATATTCAACAATTGACTTTCTTGTAATTTCATCCAACGAACGAGCTTTAGCATCACTTACCCAACAATGGGCACCTCTTCTACCCGAGAAGACCCAAACAAAGTGATCAAAACCAAAGTCCTCAGTCAATGCCTGGGAAAGGACTTGTGAAGCAACCTTGATAAACTTCCAACACTTTGTGCAGATATCGGTTCCCGAACAACAAGTACGAATCTCATCATAATCAGTCAAATCGATATCAAACACGAGTTCTTTGGAAAGAGGTTTCATGGCACTCTTGGGTAGGTTCTTTCTCTCCTTGGGGTTCACTGAGTACACTGCACCAACTTCGAATCTAGTTGGATTGGCTGACACGACCAGCTTCTTAAACTCTTCAGCAGAGGCATAGGAGTTGTATCTTTGGTAAGCACCCGAACGGTACTCGTAGGCGAATTCACGCATCGTGAAATCTTTTGTTGGTTTTGGCAGATGGTTCAACCACTGGAAAATATGACGGAACGGAAGAACGCGTTCATAGTAGAACAGCATATCAGCCGAAGAAGGCTTCGACAGCTTTGGGGCCTCATCGGCAGAAAAAGATGCCAACTTTGGTTCTGAAGAATCAACCATGACGCGACGCGTAAAGAATGAAAAGGTGTATCTGGAAGCAGTAAAGTGTCTGGGTATAAGAAATCAGTCCCTGGTTGGAGCTAAAATAAAATGACTCTTTCAAGACTTCACAGAATCAAAGTTCCCTTTATCGAATTGAGAAAAACGAATGTGGTGAGGAAGTATTGTTATGTTGATGTGAGATTCCCCTGTACTGAGGAAGGTGCGTATACACTTTGGAGATGCAGACGCACAGAGGTTCCACAGTGACATACCTAGTACAGTTATGTATCAGGTACTGAAATGGAATATATTATTCTAATTTGTTAGATAACTGGTAAAATTTTGGCAACTTATTTCTTACCTGGTTTCTCTATCTGGACCATTCATTGTCGACTTTGATGGCTGCATTTGTTGTTTCTGGCGGACCGTGTATTTTTCGCAACCATTCTAAGAAACCCCTTGATGGGGAGAAAACATGAAAAATTTGTAGCTAATTTACTACAGAGCTTGTTCGTCTCGTGATTGTACATTATGCTACACAGTCCATTAGGCCTCAGGACGGAAGATTAAAGAAACACCTTCGTCTCCAGCAGTAACAAAGGCCTTGCCGCCATCAGTGATGGCAAAGTCTAAGACACCCATGTTATGACCAACACCAACAAACAACTCTTCACCAGTACGAGCGTCCCACTTGTACAACTTACCGTTCATACTTGAACCGACAAGGATAGGCAGGTCGCCAACGAATTGAAGTTTCGTGATAGTATCGTCAACCTTAAGCGTTTTTCTCAATCTCCACAGGTTAGAATCGAATAAAAGAATGTCACCAGAGACGAGACCGATTGCTAGAAGTGGAACAGAGCTGTTCTGGCACCATGCAAGAGCTTCAATGGACAAGTCGGCCACATCTTCGACGTTTTCGATAGTCTTAACATGCTGAACAATCTTACCACTCTCTAAGTTAATGATAGCCAACTGACCGTCACGAGCGCCAGCAGCAACAACAACGCCATGCAGCTTCAAGGAAACCCATGGACTCTCAACACCCTTGAAGTCATCGTGTGGCTGCAACTTGTATTGAACAGCACCAGTGAAACCATTCCACATGACAATGGTTCCATCTTCAGATGCAGTGACCAAGAATAACTCGTCAGCCTTCTCGGTGCCCACGAAAACACCTGCATTACATTCTAGCGTGTGGGAGAAACCGGACATGATTTGAACGAGAGACTTAGACTCTTCATCAATTTGGTAGACCCAGACAGAACCGTCAGTAGAGCCAAAGGCAAAGTATGGCAAAGATGGGTGGACAGTGATCCACAAGACTTCCTCAACCTCTTCCAAGTCACCAAACTTGACCCATTTCTGGCCTCCCTTGGCTGCCTTGTGCACCTGGATGAGTCCATTCATGTCACCAGTGACAACGAACTTTCCGTCGCCCGTGAAGCCACCACAGACGACACTCTCTTTATGGCCCAGCAACTCGCCCACGAAACGTGGAGGCTGCGTATGCGTTGTCCATAAGTATGCTGTGTTGTCACCACCTCCAGTTACCACCATTGGCAAGGAAGGATGGGAGAAGACGGTAAAAACGGAATCTTTGTGTTGATCGAAGTAAGTCCACGAGTTGTTAGCAAGATCAATTTCTATAGACTCCTCGTTTTCACCTTCGTGGCCTTCCATGTCCATGTCATGGTCATCATTATCATCTTCTGGAGCAGGGCCATTGTCATCAGCAACCTCTTCAGCAATGTCGTTGAGGTCAACGAACTCTTCCTGATTCTCTTGGTTCTCCTGGAATCCTTGCTCTTCTTCGTGACTCATCGGAATAAATGTAATAAAATTAGTACTGAGGAAAAGTTCCAGAGTAGTTGATGGAGATTTGTAAGCTCATCTCACCCATCGAGATAGCGCTGCTATATGTAGGTGATACAGTATGGATGCAAATGGAAAATTACCAAGTGCATAGACTGATGGCAAAAACTATATAAAGACTTTCTAGGATAATGTTTTCATGATTATTATATGCTATTTATGCTAGAGAGGTTGTTTTTGGGTTATTTCGGTAAAGATATTCCTTGAATGGGGAAATAGTGTAAGCCGCCCATAACCACGCCACTCTCTCTGAGTCTATGTTGTAAGTCAAAATAAATAAAGCCTTTGAAGATAGTAAAACGAAGCGTATCATCCTTACTGTTCAAATTGGGAGCAATGGGTGACACGGGATGCTCTATGAAATGAAAATGACTGTCAACTTGGAAGTTAGTTGCCATATCAAACGTCCAAGCGAGTTCAAGTTCCAGCTAAGACCACTGTGCCCTCCAAAAGATCATTAATACCACGTAGGTGGTCCAGATTCACTGTACTTCTAATATTGAGGTGGAACCTTGGTTACATCCCTCATCGAAGGAATACCTCGACCAGGTCATCAAAACGAGAACTCTGTGGAACCCAGTCCCCCATTCCCTTTTTTAGCAAGCTTCTCTATTTGGTTCGGGCAGCTTGAATCTCAAATAGGGTTTACAAGGCCATACCCGTCATCAACTCTAACTGCTTCTTCAACTCCTGGTTGGCTTTCTTGGTCTGTTCATCTTTTTTCAAATCGTTCTTCAACCTTTCCACATCCAAAGCACCAACCTTCTTTGGGGCCTGCCCTTGCAGTGCTAAAGAACTATGGATCTCTTCGATGTGTTTTGCGTCCTTATTGAGCTTATCAATCTGTGCTTTTGAAATCTTTGATTTTTGCTTGCTCTTCGTTTTTGAAGCACTTTTTGCCACCTTATTGTTTCTGGGCTTCGATTTTAATGTTTTTCCAGCCATCTTATATTGAGTTAAGAAGAAAGGTTGTTGGATGGTGATGGATCGTTGGTGCCGTTCTTTGTAGTCGCATCACGTGCCGCGATGGGCATCAACTTCTCCAAAAATCTGTATCTCCAAATCCTCCAACAACACCAAATGCCTTCTACACACAACAAAGACAAGCCCTGGGATACTCCAGACATTGACAAGTGGAAGATCGATGAGTTCACCGAGGCAGACAATGCGCTGGGTTTGCCATTTGCCGAAGAATCCTCCTTCATGACCCTCTTCCCTAAATACAGAGAAAACTATCTTCGGTCGATCTGGCCAGACTTGACCCAGGCTTTGGAAAAGCATCAAATTGCTTGTCAACTTGATCTTGTTGATGGTGCTATGACTGTCAGCACGACAAGAAAAACTTTTGACCCAGCTATCATTTTGAAGGCCAGAGACCTTATAAAGCTTTTGGCCCGTTCTGTTCCATACCCACAAGCTGTGAAAATCTTGCAAGACGACATCGCATGCGATGTTATCAAGATCGGTAACTTTGTGCTGAATAAGGAAAGATTTGTTAAGAGAAGACAGCGTTTGGTTGGACCAAATGGTAACACACTTAAGGCATTGGAACTTTTAACGAAATGTTATATCTTGGTGCAGGGTAACACCGTCAGTGCTATGGGACCTTTCAAGGGCTTGAAGGACGTTCGTAGAGTCGTCGAAGATTGCATGAAGAATGTTCATCCTATTTATCACATCAAGGAGCTCATGATCAAGCAAGAGCTAGCTAAGAACCCTGAATTGGCCAACGAGGATTGGTCTCGTTTCTTGCCTATGTTCAAGAAGCGTAATGTTGCAAGAAAGAAGGCTGAGAACACCGACAAGAAGAAGAAGGTTTACACTCCATTCCCACCAGCACAGACTCCAAGAAAGGTTGATTTGCAGATCGAGAGTGGTGAGTACTTCTTGGGTAAGAAGGAGAAGTACTTGCGTGACCTTCAAGAGAAGCGTGCTAAGCAAGAGGAAGTTACTGAGCAAAGAAGAGTTGAGAGAAACCAGGTCTTCGAAGCTCCTGAAGAGGCTGAGTATGAGAACAAGTTGGTTGGCGAGAAGCGTAAGAGAAATGACGATGACGATTCAGAAGAGAAAAAGCTGAAGAAGGAAAAGAAAGACAAGAAAGAAAAGAAGGAAAAGAAGGAGAAGAAAGAAAAGAAGGAAAAAAAGGAGAAGAAAGATAAGAAAGAAAAGAAGGAGAAGAAGTCGAAACACGATGACGACGAGTAACTGCATTAACAGATCATTTAGTATAATATCAAACAAAAGTTAGAAGAGCACAGTAGAGCCCATGAAACGTCTCTACTAAAAGCTTTTTAGAGTCGCTACGCTCGCTCATACCGTTTTCGCAAGGGCATTCCAGTGCCTATGTTTTTCGCAGCCACGGCTATGAGCCACACATACCAGAGCTGCAGAGTTGGCGAATATAGGCACGAGCAACAATGGAACTTTTTATGTTCATAACATCTCAACTATTCGTCTTTTTTGAGTTTTAAGTATCAAAAACCCTCTCAATTTCATTTCCCTGATTTGTCCACAAATAAGTCGCCTTGGGTCGCATGCATAAGCACAGTACTGTTCGCTCGCCTGTTTTGTCTCATACTTCGCTTTTTTCGTTCCTTTCCTTCCCGTTTACAATCAACCTCTGCGGGCCATGCAGGCAATAGTAAACAAACAGTCTGAAGTGGTCCATCATTGATTCGATTTTTGATAAATATCCAATTTGGCGCTTTAGAACGAAATCCACAGTTTTTATTGACCATTGGGTACTTGGGAACTTTGAGGAATCTGTTTGTTCAATAGTATTGTTTGAATTCTTGCTACATACCGTGAGAACTTTCCTTACATTAGAGATATTATCTTCCACTACAGATCTCGAAACCACCCTCATTCGCCATTTCAAAAATAGGGTCCAACTTGAATTTCCTAGGAATCTCCCTGCTTGGTCATAATGTCTCGCCTTGATGATCTTTTACGAATGGCTGATGCCATTTCAACCCATTCAGACTCCATAGCCTTGTGCATGGATGAATCAAATACACTTATTCTGCGGATCATTCTGTTGAACTCCCAGATCACTTCTGCAGATTCCGAAATTGACTCCATGACGGAGCTTTTGAACAAGAACAATGTCTGCATCAACGAGTTTGAAAAGCTCCATGAACGGTCCTTCTTTTTGGACTCCAACTTGCATTTGAACGAGAGTTGCACGAATGAAACAAGCTTCCTTAACCTCACCAAGGAATACAATTACATGCTTGATACATTCAGACATCATAACCAACGTTACTTGAATATAGCAGAGGAACCCATGAAGCAGGAGCCAGCGCCCAAGAAAGAACTTAAGAACATGCTTTCAATATCCAATCTCAACTTGAGACCTCTTCGTTGCAGAAACCTGAAAGTAGAGAAGCAAAAGTCCCGCTATAGACTATCAGCAGCATACACGTTGAACCCCCTTCTGGAAAATGAGCATGAAACCCATAGAAACATTTCTAAGCTGTCAGCTGAAACATATGATAACACAGACTCTATCATGGACAGTCATAACGAGTCTACTGGGATTTCTTCATCTCCAGATCACCATGACTTCAACTACCATGATATGTCTACAGTATCTGAAAGTCCCACCTTCAAACGCTTGGACCCAATTGATATGAGTAATTTGGATCTTGATATGGACAGTTTATCACGTTGCTCGGGTCTTTCAGATCTGCCTAATTCGCCCAAATTCGACCTTGACAACTTCCAGGAGTTTTTGCGCCCTTCTAGAGTTGATCTCAGTACGGCGTTTCCTTCAGCTCCACTTAAGAAATCGAGCTCGCATGACCTGATATTCTCCGAGAGTAAGAGCTGCTCGAAGCCTTCCTTCAAGTTCCACAACCCGGCAGCTACGATCATCAACAAGGGCAATGTGAGTCAACCTACGGTAGAGACCATATTCAGTAGTACTGTTGAGGAAAAACCACAGCCTGCGCAGTCGAAATCATTCAAGGACCATTCTACAAACATTTTGCATCAGCTCAAACCCTCAAACGGCTCTCCTGTCAAGAAGAGTGCACCAGTTACGCCAAAGAAAAGTAACATCACAATCTTTAATCTTTTGAACCTGCCCTTGGGTTCCCCCAGAGGTTTTGCCCCACAAAAACATGAAGAGGCCCCGCCACAGAGAAGAGGTAGCATTGACCAATTTGGTAAATCATTAACTTCCAGTTTCCGTCACCTTATGTATAGTTCTTCCTCGCCGTCGCAGGCACCGCCGTCATCTGCGCCTTATCATGAATCACCGCCTGAGGGAATAAAGAAGCTAAGAAAAGGATTAAGAGACCCAATTACAATCCCCAATGAGATCAAATCTAGAAGGCTACCGCCCAGTAGCTCAGAAAAAGGTTTCAGAAGTGGAAGCCATTCTTCTTTAACTATTGGCAATAACAAGGCAAAAATAATACAGGGTGGTGGATTAACTAGAGGTCCTGTCAACAGGCCTGCTAACCAACAACAACTGTTTAAACAAGTTCTCAGTGAAAGTCTTCTATATTAAATTTAAGCTATTAATTTGTTGATTGGGTTAATCAAATGCAGAATTCGAGTTGAAGATCTTACTGGAAGAGTTCTTTTGCTTCACTTCCTTAATGCCTTGTTCGATCATCATCGCCTTGTTGCTTTTCATGGTTGATTTCGTCTTAGAATTAGTTTTGCTGGCTTTAGACATGTATGAGATGGATGCCTTTGCATCGCCGGCCATCTTGTACTGCTTGTTTACAGTCACTCCTGAGAAGTAGTTGCTGGAAACTTGCACTCCTCGTTTCTCGTTGAATGACCTGAACAGACTCACAACGGAGGGCTTTTTGAAAACCTGAGACATTTCGTCATCACTATCATTAGCTTCATTGCCATCTTCGTCTTCGTCTGTGGCGATCTCATCGATCAGTCTCTTTGGAGCCCGGCTCTCATCATCAACGAGTTCAGGAGTGGCCAGCTTGAACAAGTTCATCATACTTCTGTCTTTGAGTATGCGTATATCCTCGACCTCGTCGTCTGAATGGATACCATGCTGAAGACGAGACACTTCTTGAATACTGTTGTAATCATCTTCATCATTTCTTGTAAGAAAGGAGAGCTTCTTTTGGACGAAAGATTCTTCGAGATGTAGAATTCTTTTCCTAGGTTGTGACTCCTCTTCATCTTCCTCAGTAGCCTGACTGTTACCTTTCTCGGTATCAGCTTGGGTAGACGGCTGAGTTTCTTCCTCATCTGAATCTTCATCTAGAGCAACAGACAAAGCTTCGTCTTGAATAGATTCGAAAAAAGCTTTTGCTCGATCATTCTTCGCCAACTTCTGAAGCTTTTGGTTCTCCATAAGTCTCTGCTTTTGTTCGTCGAGCTTTTGACGTCTGTAAGCCATCAACAACTCGTCTTCCTCATCACTCAATTCAATATCAAAGCCATTTCCACGAGCCCGCTTCGTGAGTCTGTGGTTCTTTATATCATCCATTAATTTCTCCAAATCTTTTTTATCTTTGATGTGGTATTCTTCCATGAACTTCTTCCTGATCTCTTCATCATTCAAATCAAGATTGAGTGTATTATCGATCATTCTTTCATCCTCAGAATTTGCTTGGTCACTGTCCTCCTGATCAAGACCACCAATCCCCTTCCACTCATCTTCAGATTCCTCGGCTTCTCCCTCAACGATGCCTTTAATTCCTTTTCTTTCCATTTCTTTTCTCTTGCGACGTGCCTTAAGCTCTTTCCGGCAAATTTTGGCTTCATAAAAGGCTAGACGCTTTTTAAGTTCTTCTTCATTTTCCTTCGGGTCCTCTTCGTTTTCCTCCTCGCTTTCAGCAACTGGCTTGAGTTGACTTTGAACCTGATTGCGGCCTCTGGAAACAGCGGCAGGGTAATCCTCCTCTGTATCAGAGTACAAGTCATCGTTCTGAGTGGATGCGACCATCTGGGTAGGAGACACATCTGCTTGAGTAGGCAAATTGCTAACAGATTCTAACATCAGCTGGGTAGGAGGAATATCCTGAAACGATGGTACTTCTATGCTTTTATCAAGCGAATCATCTTGAAGGAAAGAAGCCTCTCCAGTGGCTTGCGAGTTGGTGTTACCGGGCGCAAGATTTTGGAAGAGCTTGTAAGGTCCCAGACCCTTCTCTGTATCATCCAAAATATCGTGAAACTGTTGACCTGGTTGAGAATGGGGAGTATTATCGCTCTTGACATGCATGATCTCTTCATCCTCTTCTTCGGACTCGGGATTAGAACCACTGCCTTGTCCACCAAACATATAACTGTCATCAAACCTTCTCTCGCGCTCTTCAGTTGCCTGTTTTGAGGTCATGGGAGCAGCACCACTGTCATCTTCGGCTTCGTCGTCCGAAAGAATGACTCTCTTTCTTCTGTTGATAACATCGTTGTGATCAGCAGGCTCCTCGTTATCCACATCCAGCCCATAGTCCGACTCGTCAAGATCCACATCGCTGTCAGGTACATCCTCTCCCTCTTCCAGTCCCTCTCTGTAGTCTCCGTCATCTTCATCCTCGCTTCCTTCGGGAGCTTTGCCTGTCAAAAGAGCTTTAGCAGCCCTCTCCTTTAGTTTTTCTTTCTTTCTGATACGGCGGACACGCTCTATTTCACGCTCTAATAAGGTACCCATCTCTTCTTCTTCCTTTTCAATCTCTTCAATCAACTCTGCGTCACCATTTTCACGCCTGAGTTCATTAAGTTGCTTAGCATTGGCTTTCTTGAGTTCTTGAAAGAGTTTGTTTGAGTTTTTAGTACCATGCAAATGCTGAAACTGAGAAAATATGGCTTTCTTCGTGCTTTCAAGCTTCTTCTTGGCAAACTTCTGCTTGATCGTGAGCTTTTGGGCTTTGGTGAGTTCGGGGATCGCTTTTGCCTTCTCCTCGGTAGTTTCATCAGCGGAATCATCGAGATCTATCGAAGGGTTTTCTTCATTTTGCCGCGTTGGAGAAGAAAGGATTTGGCGTTTGAGATTCATAGCATATGTTTCCATTGGGTTGGTGTTCTTGATTTTCATAACAGGCAGTCGTGGCGGAGGCGGATTCAGAATAAAATCAAGCACGTTAGTTGTTTCGACGTCAAAATCGTCATCAGAATCCGAAAGATCAACTTTCCCAGCCGTACTCACCTTCACTGGTGATGTAGTTGGACTCAGCTTAGGCATCTGATGATCGCTGAGGACCTTAGCAGTCTCGTCTTCAGACTCGGATTCAAAGGCTGCTACCAACCTCTGAACGGGGTCAATGGCACGCTTCACGAAGGATGGTTTGATAGATCTCAATCTCTTTTCTTCACTAAGGCCCTTTTGGATTTGTTCCATCTCAGCCTTGGTGGTTACAGTCTTCTGGATAGAAGAATCCTTAGTGGTATCAGCATCGTCAGCGGCTAGGTCATTTTCTTCGTCTGTGAGAGATGATTTTGTGATCTCTGCCTCGAGCTCCTCTGCTTGATTATCGTGTTCAATAGGCTTAGGAATGACCTGAGTCGATGCCAGTGGATTCAAGACCTCCACGTCCTCTATCCCCAACTGAGGGAGTTTAATAGCTTGAGTGACTGGTTGAATCTTCTGAGTCTTTTGGATCTTTTGGGTTGGCTGGGAGAAAAGCAATGACTGGCCGAAATCAGGTAATTCTCCAACTTCTTGGGTAGCAGAGTCCCCTTGGGATTGCGGTTCTCTTGGAATGACTTGAGTAGCATCGTCAACGGTAAATGGTTCAGGCTGGGGAAGCTCCTGAGTATCCCCTGGGCCTTGAAGACGTTTCTTGACCTTTTCAAGAATGCTTAAGTCGAGCTCAGTCATCTTGATGCTATAAAGAAGGTCGCAATTGGGGTTGAAATGCTCAAGATGTGCTAAGGAACTGAGACACGAAAAGCGCGTTGTAGTCGCGTAAACACACCATATACTAAGGAGCAGCCTCACATAGTGAGAAGAGCAACACGATGGGACCGAAAGGAAACTGGGCGTGAAAAGAAAAAAGGAAAAAGGAAATGGTAATAATTATATGTTCTTGAAGTCTGATGGAGTTTGTTTAGGCTTTAGGTATTATTGGTGAAGGTATTTTGTAGCTTGTGCCTTTCTCATTGCCATAGTTAAACGTATTTGGCTGCGAAAAACGCTTGGGAAGATGAACCAAGCTGAGGTAGAGCTATTAATATGACTTGAATTATGATCCAATTGATCTTTTTAGAACGAAATATCTGGACTGACCCTCTTCATTTTTATTGAATTTTATTAATTTGCTTTTTAAGAGGTAAAGTTCATAGATGTTGGTGACCTATACTCAGATTAACCAGTATGGTGCAAAATGTACGAACCGACAATCTGGATGAATTCTTATAAAACTTGTAGTTTATAATCTACGTTCAAAATCCAAGGGAATGTCGCCTGATACTAAGGGTTAACCAAATACCTTGCCAGTTTCACGGACCGAGCCCTCTCTCTTGCCTGGAATGATTTACTCGACATTCGACACTTATCAAAAGACGCTTCCTGATACCCGCCTACGTAATGCAAAGAGATTTGGAAGGAAAGAGCCATCTTAAGAAATAAAGGATATCGGTAATAACTAAGGCTTTCAGTGGCTACTTGTCGTGGGTCACCAGGTAGGTTCCGAATGTTCCAATTCTGCCACCTGCTTAGCGATATGATACCTCAAGTGATTAGAGGGAACCCCGGTACCAATCCTTTCCCGATCTATGGCTGGATAACAAAAATCCTTGTCTATCAAAATCAATGGCTGCAAATGAAGAGAACAGATGAATGAAGACGTTGTGCATACCATCCGACAAGCTGTCAATATACAATGGCTAGAAAAGTTGAGGCGCCAGAAAATGAGCCACTGCTGCACTCTCAATTTGCAATTTAGCAGTAGTGAGGTTGGTTTTTTTACGAGATGCCCGGGGCCTCCCGAGCGAACTCTAATAGAGCCCAGGGTGAGGCAAAAACAATGGGAAATAGAAAGCAAAGAAAAAGACAAAAAAGAAGACAGATAGCAAAAAGAAATACCACGAAAGATAACAGAATCCACGGTTGATCTTCGCCTTGAATTTTTCAAAAAGCACGTCTTACATTACTTTGGTGCCGCTCTTCCCTAAGGCGTGGCAGCCACATGGCAACATTCTTCCTCCCGAGCGATGCCGAGATTCTCAACGTGCTAAGAAGTTGGGAAATTCCAAATCAAGCAGAGTTCAATCGTACGCATGCAGGTCGTAAACAGCTCGTTTAGCATAGATACGTTCTTGGTCCAGCGATTCAAGAAGTAGTATGGTCAATCGTTCCAGGAGAGTAGTCTTTAAGCAGCGGGATGCCATTGGCTGGGCACAATTTGGGAAACAAAGACATTGGCTTGCAGAGTTTTCGGTAGATGCCAAGTCGTATAGACCGATGCTGACAGCACCCGTACATTCGATGACACCCGTACACCATTTCCAAAGTCAACGAATAATGACTCTAATGAAAATCTAAATCTAATTATGGGATTCTGGGGTGCTTCCATTTTTCATGGTACCTAAAGAATCTTCATTTTCTAAGCGAGTGGTGCTCTTCCTTGACATCTAGTTTTCGAGTATAGGTCACGTGCACTTGCGACCACGGGTTATTAGCCATATGAGAAAGAGTCTTCCTCTCTATATGCCGGCTGTGCGTGAAATATTGAGGACGTGAATTTTTTCAACGTTGCAGAAGCCATCGACTGTGGCTCCAGCATATAAATAGTGAGACAGACCCCCCAGGAAAAAAAAAAAAAAAGTAACCCTCCTTACAATCCCTCAATCGTAGCTATGCCCGAGAAGTTCCTTTTTACCTCCGAGTCCGTCGGCGAAGGCCACCCAGACAAGATCTGTGACCAGGTCTCCGACGCCATTTTGGACGCCTGTCTTGCCGTGGACCCTCTTTCTAAGGTTGCCTGTGAAACTGCTGCCAAAACCGGTTTGATCATGGTTTTCGGTGAAATCACCACCAAGGCTCAGTTGGACTACCAGAAGATTATCAGAGACACCATCAAGCACATTGGTTACGACAACTCTGAGAAGGGCTTCGACTACAAGACCTGTAACGTCCTTGTGGCTATTGAGCAGCAGTCTCCAGACATTGCTCAGGGTTTGCACTACGAAAAGGCTCTTGAGGAATTGGGCGCTGGTGACCAGGGTATTATGTTCGGTTACGCTTCCGACGAGACCCCTGAGAAGTTGCCTTTGACCGTTCTCTTGTCCCACAAGTTGAACAAGGCTCTTGCTGACGCCAGAAGATCTGGTGAGCTCGCTTGGTTGAGACCTGACACTAAGACCCAGGTCACTGTCGAGTACGAGAAGGATGGTGGTGCCGTCAAGCCTTTGAGAGTTGACACTGTCGTTATCTCCACTCAGCACGCTGATGAGGTTACCACTGAGGACTTGAGAAAGGAGATCTTGGAGAAGATTGTCAAGAGAACCATCCCATCTGAATTGTTGGACGACAAGACCGTTTACCACATTCAGCCATCTGGAAGATTCGTCATTGGTGGTCCACAGGGTGATGCCGGTTTGACCGGTCGTAAGATCATTGTTGACACTTACGGTGGTTGGGGTGCTCACGGTGGTGGTGCCTTCTCCGGTAAGGATTTCTCCAAGGTCGACCGTTCTGCTGCTTACGCTGCCCGTTGGGTTGCCAAGTCCTTGGTCAACGCTGGTTTGGCTAGAAGAGCTCTTGTCCAGTTCTCTTACGCCATTGGTGTCGCTGAGCCATTGTCCATTCACGTTGACACTTACGGTACCTCCAAGTACTCTTCTGAGCAGTTGGTTGAGATCATCGGCCAGAACTTCGACTTGAGACCTGGTGTGATTGTGAAGGAGTTGGACTTGGCTAGACCAATCTACTTCAACACTGCCTCTTACGGCCACTTCACTGACCAGTCCAACCCTTGGGAACAGCCAAAGGAGTTGAAGTACTGAGCAAGACAGAACTAGATCATATCCAAAAGACTACAAGTGGTTCGCATATGCATAATCACAGACTTAAAAGTTAATGCGACGACTCGCTTATGACCATTGCCCTTCGCTCAACACCGAGGGCTGATTCACATTTATTTCAACCAGATTATCCATCATTTGGTACACTTCACATACTTACTTTTTTTTATATTACATTTTGGGATAGAGTTTTTGCATTAATGGGTCCTCAACGGACAACTAAGTTAATAGAGGAATACAAACGTCTTAGTTTGCCAGTACATATGAACAATTATCGAATTTAAGCAGTTCTTGTTCCGTAGAGAGTAAGATCTTTGGCGTTTCCCACTTCCCCGATTTGGTACACCGAGTGAGGCGTGATCCAGAGATATTACGCATTCGGTCTGTGATCAAGAGTATTACTCTACCACTGCAAAGCCGTTTTTATTCATTTGACGAAACTGTCCAAGAGTCTGATCTTCGTCTTTCATATGATTGACCTTTAGTTTGTATGGGTCTGTGCTTCCGTTGGGTGGTGATACCGTGAACGATTAGTGGCTATAGTTATCATTTCCAAGAGAATTCAGAGTGGCTGTAACTAGATCATAACAAAGAAAATATCTTTAAAAAATATTAGTTTGGCGAGTAGAAAGCCGTGTCGCTTCTTGGTTCTTAAGCATGGAAACTCCAAGGACTGGTGAGGGCCTGACGAGGGCCTAATGGTGAGGTTTTACAAAGAGAAAGTATAGCACCAAGAACTACCATTTATTACGTTTTAATCAGGAACTTGCTTTATCTTCCTCGTTTCTATACCTATTCTAACATGTCTGACGAAAGAGACCATCTCAGCAAATGCTACAATAACGCAAACCATTATCTCATTATCGCCCCATCAGACGAGGCGTCTTATCCACCAGATAACCTTGAAGAGCCCATCCAAAGCTTTGTCACCGTGCCACAAGAGACGCTTCGAGGCATGTTTGAATCTCCTCTTGTCTGCCCTCCAGGGCGAGAAGGTCTCGAGCAGTACAGTGCTTTCTTAGATTATGTGTATGGTGCTTTCCGGACAAAAGTAAGGTCGTCGAGTGCATCATCGGTCGATACTGATGACAACGACGATAAGGAAGAGCTTCATACGATCGATCCTAGTTTAATCATGAGAGTGCCCGAACCTGTGAAGCCTACAGTCAAAATCAAATTGCTGGATACGATCAAAAAACCCGAGGAAAGGCAACCAAGAAAGCGGTCAATTAGTAAAGTGGGGGTTGATAAACCCAGAAAGACTACTCTCTTTAAAATGGAGAGGCCATCTGCATTGCATAAGAAATTGTGCACGCCAAAGACAAAGGTATAGGGCGATGATAGAGAAATGCTAACATCACATTTGATAAATACGTCCGACTGCCCTAGGGGTGTCATGAACAGCGTAAACGGCATTCTTTCAAATATAAATAAAGTCCTTATTGATACTTCAACCATGAAAGAGAAGCAGCAGCGATTCCTAGCGCCAGACCGAAAAACACGTCAAAGAAGTGGTGTCTATAGTCCTGGACCCTACTTAAGGCAATATAGGTAGCCAACATCGTAGGAGCAGCAACCAACAAAAATGACGCGTATTTGATCTCCTTCTTCTGAGCTCTGGCCCATTGCCAGGCCCATAGCAGCAAATAAAAGAGTCCTGAAAAGCCAATAGATGAATGGCCCAGCGGAGTCAGCTTCATTCCATCTATAATAGAAGATGGACCACGGGGAGCTGTACAGACATTAATCAACACATACAGATCGATTGGAGTTCCCTTCAGCGGCGTGCAGCGGTCTAAGAAATCAGGGCGTGGGTTCCCAATCCAGTTCTTGAGTAGATCTGTGATACAGCCATTGACAGCAAGCGACACCCAAAGTCCCAAGAGATGATATTTTGCTCCTTTAGTATCACTCGATGTTTTCAACAGAAAGAACGCTATTATTAGCGTGGGGACGATGGCTGAAAGGAAGTAGAGCTCGTTATCAGTTACTCTCTCATGCTCAGCAAAGGGATGTTGAAGCCGAGAGTCAGAAAGAAGGAATTGACGGTAAAAAGGCTGCGCTGGTTCAAGCCAAAGGAAGAAAACAGCAAGAAGGACACCCACGGTGATCCAGTCAGGGTGGACTCTAGGCATTGGAAGGAAGCTCGTATTGGGTTGATCTTGTTCAGACATATTTCGCAGCTACGGTGTACACCAAAACAGGCCCCGTAGGAAACAACCTAAATGGGATAAATAAACCGAGTATGAGTCACGGCGTGATAATTATTGAAAGATAAGTGCTGGTTTTTTGTCAGAGAATGGGACTTTTTCTTGGATGTATCGATGGTTTTTAAGACACCTGTTGGACTTTTGCAACCACTACGCGTGGTTGCGTGGGGGCTTTTTCTCTAACTATAGCTGTATGATGAATAAAAGTTTAGTGTGATAAGTCATGGCTTTCTGATACCTCTGTTTTGAATTCTGGCTTCAATTCATGGTTACGAAAGGAGCTCTTCGGTTACTTGTGAATGACCCTTGACTGTGGTGGCCCTCGTGGGCTAGAGGCGGGACACAACAATGGACACCCTGATGTAACCATGGCTTGACTTCATATTCGTCCAAAGGTCAGACAAGCAGGATTGGAAGGTAATATGACAAAAAATTGTCTAAGGTTTTCTTGAAGTGTAGATGAGTAACTTCTGTCCAACAGGTCATGGCCTCCCAAGGTGACCAGTATGTCTAGACGTAAACCCAACCAAAGAGCAACTTAAACAACAAAAGGAATGTTACATTAGTGGACATCATATTGGGAGAACGATTGTTTATTCTAAACCTTTGTTTCATTCAGATCAATGGAGCCAGCCCTTGTGCTCAAAGATCATGAGTTCTGAGACACTTGTCGGTTGTCTCCGATGGTTGGTTCAACTAGCAACATCAAGAATGAATTCTGATAATTCTAAATTGATCGACTTCCTAGAATTCATATTAGCTTCATACTTGCGCGAGACAGAACTCGGTCATTGCTTCTTCTTAGCTAGCTGTGCAGCTCCATCCCTAGACATATATGTCAATATGACTTGCATCAATACAATTTGCCGATGTGACATGAACAACACTTTGTACATTTATACCCCTTATTGCTTTGCGCTTCGGGAAAGCTTTCAGGACCCCGTGGCTACGTTCTGGAGATTAACTTGACTTTCTGTGTCATCTATTAAACATGCTATGAAATTTGTATCGTAAGAATTGAAAAGGGAGCCCGAAAAAACCTTGCAATTAGCGTTTCAAGTCAGAGTCGGAAGAATCGGCTTGCTCTGTAACGTATCTGTCGGCGCCCAACTTGGTGGTGTCAACTTCACCGTGGTACTTCTCACAGATCTCCTCCAAGGTCATTCTCTTGGTCTCTGGGATCAAGAGAGTGGTGAAGCAACCAAGCAACATGAAAAGAGCAAAGATCTCAATAACATGTGGAAGGAAACAGTTTCTGTCGTTGGCAGCACAGCCGTGGTTCACCAAAGTACCAAGACATGTCTGGGCAACAATGGCACCAACCTTACCAGCAGCAGCGGACAAACCGTGAGCAGAAGATCTGTATCTAGTTGGGAAACATTCACCTGGAACGATGAAAGTAGTTGTGTTAGGACCGAAGTTCTCGAAGAACTGACACAAGACGTACAAAGCCAACTTACCGTTCTGGCCAAGTTTGTCATCAGCGAAACCAAGAATACAGAAGAAGACAGTCAAAAGAATGAAACCCATGAGCTGGATTGGCTTTCTTCCGATAGTGTCGACCGTAGCAGCGGCAACCCAGTAACCTGGCAAAGAACCAGCACAGACCAAAATCAAGTTACCAACGGCGGTGTTCCAGTAGTTAGTGTAGATGTTCTTGTCAGAAGCATATCCAATAGCGTCCAAGATAACAGCAGTGTTAAGACCCAAACCGTAGTAAGCAATGTCCAACATGAACCAAGAACCAGCAGTACCGATCAAGTATTTACCGTGCTTCCACTGGCCAAAGTGTCTCCAAAAGTCCTTGAAAGAAGCCTTTGGTGGAGTAATTTCCTGAGCAGCAGCATCGAGAACAGCCTCAATGTCAGCCTGCTTGTCCAAGTGAGCAATGTCCTCAACATCAAGAGAGTAACGAGGAGACTCGGCGATGGTCAATCTGTAGTACAAAGCAATACAGCCAGGAACACAACCGAAACCAATCAAAACTCTCCACATCTGGTCACAAGCCTTGATACACACACCAGTACATTGGTGTTGTTCATATGGCTGCAAGTCGCTCTTGTAACCAGCGACAAGACAAAGGGCAACAATACCAGCGAGAATCTGACCCAAACCCTGGTTAGAGAAAACAGCAGCCATGATAGCACCTCTCCATTTTGTAGTAGAGAACTCAGAAGAGATGATGGACGACAATGGATAGTCACCACCAATACCAATACCCATGACAATTCTCAAAAAGGCGAAAATAGCAGGGAAACTGATAGCAGGAGAAGAGCCAATAACACACTGAATGATAGTAGCACAAATCATGACAATCAACTCCAAACCGTAAATCCTCTTTCTACCGACGAAATCGGCCATCATACCGAAACCAACCTGGCCAATAACGGTACCGACAGAAGTAGAAACCTTCAAAAGGGTGGTAGTAGAATCAGGCATTGTACCGCCCCAGTAGACATTCGTCAACATGGTGATACCCAAGTTGATAGCGAAAATATCATAAGAATCCGTCATGAAACCAACACCTGCAATCATGATCATCTTGACCTGAGTCCAACCGAAACCAGCATTGTCGATTTCCTCAAGAGCCAATCTTCTTCTTTCCAAAGGGTCCTCAACATGAGCAAACTTTTCCAAGTAGTCCTTGAAGGCGGTTTTACCACCGCTCTGCTTGGAGAGAGATTGTTGAGTAGCAATTTTCTCAGACATGAAGAAGTAAAGAGTCTAGCGTTTCAAGAGGAAAAAAAGTGAAACTACAAGAGGCAGCTTGCCATGCTTTATACCTTGGGGGAATCGCCATGCGTCGTTTGGCTGCGCACTCGACTGATTAATTACCTATGTTCTGCAGAATCAATGCATGATATGCATCCCAGCCCGCAGGTTTATACTTTTTCCATAGCACATGGCCTTGGGGCTTTGGAAAGAAGGATACGAGAGTTTTTGGAAAGAAATAATATAATCACCATAATCTACAAGTGTGGTTTGATATATCGACAAATTTTCACGGGTTCAAGTTGCCTGGGGCTGGTTTTAGCGTAAGGCTAACGCACGCGCTAGAGACGCCCCGATGGGCCCGCGTGGGCTATAAAGAAAGGAGAAAATGGATATCGCCAGACCAAAAGAGAAACAAAAAGTGCCGTCCCACTGCAAAGTTAGGTTCCCGTAGAAACCGTGGGCAACTTACTTTTCCCACTTAAGGGGTGCTTTTGTGGAGAAGTTGACAGAAGATGGTTATGTACGAATGTATACTGATTGTTTTGCAGCCATTAGGAACCGTTAACCGTCAAAGCTGTCAAGACCTGTAGAAAAGTGTCAAAAAGGCTTCGGTGGTTTTCTTGTCCTTGATGCTCCTTGTTTGATCCTTGAAAAGTTGCTTGGCATTCGATTTAGTCCCATTTTCCCAGATGTTTCTTGGGTAGTGTGAGTTCTTACCTGGTTTAGACTTGGCGCGAGTACTGGTCTTTAATTATCACTCCCACGTGGTGGGATTTGCTTCTGTGCGTCTTTGGTGCGGCGCAGAGCCACCACGTTTCCTGGTTTGCGCACGCCCACTCTAATAGACCCTGGCAGGAGGTCAAAAATATAATACCAAGACATTTTGCCATTTACAGTAGAATTTTTGGATGAATGAGAGATTGTACTTCTAGAAAATCGCAAAATTCCATTGATGTTTTCCATGGTTTTTGTATTGTTGTATAGAATTTTGCTGGCTGCGGATAAGGCCCACGTTGGGGTCTGTTGTCACCCCGTGCATTGAGCCTGGACATGTGTGCAGCTTAATTTTGCAGCCATACACCAGCAGGAGCACTGGTGCCAACTGAAAAACCGCCCGTTTGACGCCAAACCGCTAATGTCGGCATATTCACTCTCTCATGAGACGATCCTTTTCAAACATTAGAAGCCTCTCGCGTAAGTCGGCAACTTCTCTGGCCTGTGCCTTGATTTTAAGATCCTTGTCGCTGTTCTCCTGATGCAAGAACTCAACCTTGCTCTCGTACTGGTTGATCATGTTCTGGAAGTTGAAATTCTCGTCGTTGTAGCGCTTCATCTGGACCGTTTTGCTTTCATTGTCAAACTCGAGTGTCCGAATTTGCTTTTCCAATTTCTCTTCTCGTAATTCGCCCTCGGCAAGCTCGTGCTTCAAACGGTCCACTTGCGTGTTGAGTTTACCGACGTTTTGTTCCAAGTACTTGAGCTGCTCATTAGAATAAAGCTTATCTTCAAGTTCACCAATCTTCCGTTTGAGCTCTTCGTTGGCCTTCTTGACACTCTCATTCTCTTGTGTCATAACCAAGATCTCTGTCTTGGCCTCCTTGTACTGTCCATCACTGTTATCCCAGCGGTCCTTCACCGTTCGAAGCTCTTCCTTCAAATTGCTTTTTTCCTGCTCCACTTCACCAAGATGCTCTCTCACAAGCTCCAAGTTCCCACGTGTATCTCTAAGGGTATCTTCCAACGATGCGACTTCCTCTTCTAGCCGGGCCTTTGTCTCCTCGAGCAGGCCATTCAATCCATATAATTTCTCCATCTCCTTAGCATTGTCTTCGAGGAGTTGTTTAAACGTGCTCATCTGCTTTGTGTGGTTATCGATCTTCCTTTCGAAAGCCAATTTCTCGTTCTTGAAGTTTTCGTTTTCAACTTTTAAGTCTTCGTTTGCCCTCGAGATTTGATCATTTTCCTCAGAGACTTCTTCGTTTTCTGCCATCACTTCCTTCTTGATCCTGGCCAATTCGTCATTTTGAAGCTTTAGTCTTTGATTATCCTTGATCAACTCAGTTTCCTTCTCCACCTTGAACTTGATATCCTGACGCAAGATACGAATCTCCTCCTTGTGTTCCCCAATCTTGTGTTTCTTTTCACCATAGTTGTCGTTCAAATACTGCAACTGATCCTCCAATTGTTTGATAGAAGACTCCAATTGACGTTCACGATGAAGCTGTTTCTTCAGAGACTCTTCAAGCTCGTTTTTGGCTTGTCTCAACTGCTTGATCACTCGCTCGCTTGCTCGAACCTCTTCTCGTAAGAGCTTCAACTCTGTTGATTTTTGCTCGAGTTCCTTGCGGGCCTGTTCTTCGTGTCTCTTGCTGATACCAACAGCTGACTCAGCGAGCTCGAGCTTATCATAGTATTCTTCGCTTCGGCTTTTATATTTTAATAGAGATTGCTGAAGCTCCTCGTGGCGTTTGTTCAAAGAATTGTTTTGAACGTTAAGTTTGGCAATGTCCAGTTCGTAGTCCAGGATAGCAGTTCTCACACCACTTCTCTTCACTTCGTACAATTCATCCTCACTTTCCCGAAGCAAGGACTTGAGACGGAGAATCTCGCTCTTGGATTTGCTTAGTTCATCTCTAGTAGTCCTCAAAGTTCCAACAATATCCTTATAAATCTTAGCAAAGTCACCGCTATTTGTAAGACTGCTGATTGTTCCAATACTGCTGCTAGGAGTTAAAGAAGGGCTCGTCTCGGAATGCATCAGCGGGGAGGAATGTGAAGAATGGTTTGAGTTGTTGCTCATCAGCATTGCTTGTCCAACCTGCTTCTCTAATTCAACAATACGTCTCTGTGACTCCTTGTATTTCGTCTCCACGTCTGACGCATTATTGATACCCCTCGACATCTGAAGCTTGTTTAGCTTCTTCTGAAGTTCAATGGCATAATTTTCTGCCCTGGTAACATTGGCTTCTTCTTGTTGTAAACGCATCCTCAAATTCTTAATCTCGTCGATAGTCCTTGAGCTATTTGAGAATCCCAACTTCAAGTCTTCTCCCATTGCCATAGACCTTCGAAGCTCGCTACGCTTCAGAGGACTTTCGAAAGTATCGTTAACCTTCTCACGTAAAGCCTTAACTTCTTCATTGAGCTTTTGGTTCTCAAACTTCTCCTTTCGTATCATAGCATTTGACTCATTCAACTTGAGCTTCACTTGCGCAAACTCGTCTGCAAGGGACGGGTCGATTGATTTGCCATTAGAAGGCGGCAAATTCTCCTTGTCCTGAAGCTTCGAATTTAACAGTTTGATCTTCTCCTTAAGTCGAACAATTTCATCAGAGTAGTCAGCCTTAGCTCTTAACAAATACTGTGATTCGTGGCGCATACTTTCAAGCGAGTCAGCGTGCGTCCTAGCTTTTTGATGTTGCCTAGCTAGCTCATCCTTGGCATTTTCGAGTTCCGCTTGGATCTTGCTGTTCTTCTTCTTCTCTGCCTCCAAGTTCTGCCTCCAGGTATCAAGACCGTCGAGCTCGCTCTCCAAGTCACGGACCTTCTTGGATAATTCATTCTTCTCACTGATGTGGGATTTGATCTCGCTCCGCTGTTTGATGAGTTCCTCCTGTAAATCTCCTATCTTTCTTTGAGACTCGTCGTATTTGACCTGCAAATTGCTCAATTCTTCCGTATGCTTGCTAGTAAGAGTGCTCCGCTTCATATCGTAAGCGCTTTCAACCAGTGTGAGCTTCTTTTCAAGTGAGGTTTTCATTGCCTCTAAATCAGACACCTTCCTCTCATGGGTAGCACGGCTAGTTCTGAGCTCATCGAGTTCGGAAATCAGTCGCTCCTGACTCGATTGGAACTTCTCCTTTTCAGAAGTAAGCTTAAGGATATCAGCTTCAAGGGACTCTACCCTCTTTCTCAAACTATTAGACACTTCATCGTTTTCTCTCAACTTGGTCTTGGCTTCCTCTGATTCTTCCAACTTCTTCTTCAAGTCAATAGCTCTATCTTTCTCTTCGTCCAATTGTGACTTCAAACTGATGACTTTCTGCTCCAGATCCTCGAGTTTCTTTTTGATCGAATCCAACTCCAGTGTTATCTCTGCTCTTTCAGTTGCAAGCTTACTGCTCGTTGCCATCACTTCTTTAAGTTGTCTGCTTGTCTCGTTCAATTTGTCGTTTCTTGATGATTCTTCGGATTGAAGCTTCTTTAACAAGTCACCCTTCTCGGAAATAACAAGGTTGTTCTTGATTATCTCGTCCTCAAGGCCCGTGAGTTGCAGCTTAAGTCTTTCGTTCTCTGATTCAAGAGTAGTTCTCGCACTCTCCGTGTCTTTCAACTTAGCATTCATCTGCTTCAAGCTCTCGTTCATCTCCTTCGAATCAAGAACCTTGACAGAATCTTCGAGAAGGGGCTTTAAATTGATGAACAACTTGAGCCAAGGACTTTTGCTCTCGTTGACAAGTTCATCAAGCTTTTGGAAATTCCTTGCAACAACCTGGGAAGCTTGAATAGACGCAATTTGGCTCCTAAAGCTCTTTCTTGCCGTCTGCCCTCTAAAAGCACTTTGGAAGTTGGTGATGATCTTCTTAAGTCGTAAATCGCGTAGTTCCTCAAGTTTTCCTAAAATGCCATTCTTGAAAAATATCTTCGTAATACCAAGCTTGTAGACTTCTGGATCGAGCTTGATGTCTTTGAGGATGAGCTCACTGTTCGTCTTCATGTTCTTCGTGAAAACAATCTCATTGTCATTCAAGATAGAGTATCGTCCAAAGAATTCTTCGAACGTCATTTTGTTCGGGTATCCAGCTCTGGCAATTCTAATTCCCTCTAAAACACCATTGCATCTAAGCTGGTTGAGAACGAGTTCCTTGTCAAATTTGTTAGGACGCTTAGAATGATTGGGTAATATGCATCTGACGAAATGAGGCTCTGTGCTATTGAGCTGATCCATGAGCACGCCGAGCTGCTCTTTGTGTTTCTGGGAGACAGTTTTGAGCTTAGATCCTTTCTTCTTGGGTGACATACTTCCAGAGGGACTGCTCTCATTGAGGTTTTGAAATAAACGTTGAATAAACTCATTGGATGAATCTGGAAGAAGCTGGATAATGTTTTCACTAACTGGATCGGTATTCTTTTGAATCCAATTCTCCACGTTATAGTCCACTAGTCCCGCGTAATGATCTATCACAAATCCATTTCGGACCTTGTTTGCCTTAAAGCTCTTCGACTTGCCATCTGCCCACAGTTCCAAAAGCTTATTAATGAAGGTCTCATCACTTGCTTTAGGCATAATGCATTGATCGTCCAAGATTTCTAAAATACCCATAGGTTGCTTGGTTTCAATGAGGTCAATTGTTGGCTGCAAATCAAGCCCAAAATCAATGAATTCCCACTGGATATCTTCACGCAAATATTCGCTCTGTTCAAGAATGAACGAATGGTGATTGAAGAATTGTTGCAACTTTTCATTGGTGTAATTGATACACAATTGCTCAAAGGAGTTAGCCTCAAAAATCTCAAAACCAGCGATATCCAAAACTCCAATAAACCTGTCAGTATTATAATCGCCTAAGCTTTCATTGATACGAAGAATGATGAATTGGAAGACTTTCTCGTAAAGATGCTTCGCGAACGCATCGATGGTTTGCTTAACTTCGGCGGCTTTACGCAGTTTCTGGACGAATTCTCTGCCTGCCTTCACTTTAGGCCGAAGGAGATTGGATGATAAGTCGCTTGAATTAACTCCAAGCATCTTAGCAATAAGTTCGATATTTGAGTCCTTTGAGAAACTTGCCTGTTCTGATTTCCATGAGGAGAACTCTATGTTACCGAGATGCAAAATGATGGAAAGAGCCATAAAGATACTTTCAATTTCAGATTGTTCAAAACCCATTACATTGAAAGCCTCATTCAATAAACCATATTCGCGGGAATCATCCACATTGGGTATCGTTGCAACCGACAGGCTGATGTAGTTGTAGTTCTTGATCGATGGCTCCAAAGAGTACTTGGATTTGAGATTTTCAGGCGATTCGCCTCGAAGAAGTTGATAGAATGCATGATAGTTCCTTTCATCAAGGGACTGGTGCAGCACTCTCAGCTTCTCCAAGAGATAGTAGTCGATAGTAGCACCTGATATAATACCTGCTGTATCGAAAAAGATCTTGATGAATTTACCGAATCTGGAGGAGTTATTATTCTTGATCGTCTTTGCATTACCGAAGCTCTCTAGAATGGGATTGGCTCGTAGAATCTTGTTGTGAATATCATTGGCATGGTCGGACAGATCATCAGTCGATATCAGTGAAAGATACTGGATGACTTTCTTGGTGTTTTCAGTCTTACCAGCACCACTCTCACCAGTAACCAAGATCAGTTGATCTTTTCCATTTTCCAACAAGTTCCTGTAAGTGCTCTCTGCAATGGCAAAGATATGTGGGGGCAAACGATCATCCTGTTTTCCTGACTTCTCTTGCAGCTTGTGGAACTTGTTCAATACACTTTGTTCATAAATGGGAAGTTTCTTATAAGGGTTGATAGCGACCAAAAATAAACCAGAGTAGGTATAAATCAAGTCATCATTGTAGCGAAGAAAAAGATTGTAAATAACAGAGGGCTCATTCAAATGAGTCAACTCGGCCATGTCTTCACATTTGTTGAATTTAGGAGGATTGCAGTTCTCCAACACCTTCAGTGGAAGCTCCTTGACGGTCTCTGCACCGTTTCTCTTCACCGTCACTTTGCAAAGATCATTCTTTAGGTATTCTGTGATGTAGCCACGAACAAAAAGCTCGTCCTTATCCGGAACCCACACCCAATTTTTGGTGCTAAAGTCGTCAGACATGGTATGGGAAAGAGACTTGATGCGTTGTAGGTTGAGTTGGAGAAATGTCAATAGTAAACAAACGATGCACGGTCACGTGAGCTGTTTTCAAGTTTTTGGTCCACGAGGATGAATCATTCGAAATCAAAGAGTACTAAAGATCAGAAGGCTTTCTAAGGGTATATTTAATTTCAGAGAAGCTGAAAAGTATCTTCAAAGTCGTCGTTGGCATTGGGTTTAAGGGTTTCTCCATTCTCGTATGTTGCCAATGTCTGCAGGATACAACAGATTGGGTTTTGAGAAATGTTCCATTTTCGGACTATTAGAAGCGTCTAGTCAGGACAAGACCGTCAACAACCAGTTTACGACAAAGTGAGCCTTAGACGAGACAAATTTCTTATAAATATTATACAAAGACATTAGTGCACTTAAGAGTTTTATATGAAACTGGTTATTTTTTCAAGGAGGCTGTACAAGTAAAATTTGCGCCAAAGTGCAGCTATTTACAGTACGAGGCAGTAGATCACAGAACCTGGAGAAGAGCGAAAAGAAAGAATAATCGTCGATTAGAGTTTGAATATAGTTTAATTGGTTGAAGAAGGTTCGTATTATTCTTTCATTGGCTAGGTTGATAGATAGAAAGGGATGTTCAAATGGCTGCAAATTAATGGGTGTAGATAATATCAGATATTTAAAGACTAATGAAGCAAACTCAGGGCAGAGATAGTGCTGGTTAGGCTGTGGATGCGTATAACTCAGACATCCAATTAAACTCGTAGCTTGGGCGGCAGTCATGCTTAAGCTCATGCCCTGCTAAAGTTCATGAACACGGCCAAGCCAACCTTGGGGTTAAAACTGTATCAGAGGAAGTTTTATTTAGATACGCCAAAGTGTACTCCTTTGAGTTTAGCCTTAGTGACCGAACCGTGAATTTCCAGGGATGAGATATTATGTAGAAGGCCGTGGATGTTGTTATTTTGATGAGAAACTCCTTTGGCCAGGGACACATCACAAAACACGAAACTGATCCTGAACGGCCCAACATTGTGATATTGTGAAAAAGAGGTAAGATGTTTTTCGAGAGCAGGTAAAGATTTGGGGACTTTCTATTTCAAGTAGGATTAAGGCACCTCCTTTGGGGCGGTTTTAGGCGCTGAGTCTCACAAAAAGAAAATTCACTAAGACGGGTCTACAACTCCGGGGAGTCTTTACGCTTCTTGCTATCATTAGATGTATTATGACTTTTCTGTTACCAATTGGCAACATATAATGCATGGCTTTGGGCCTTTGGGTATTTGGGAATTTGTGCTGTGTTACATAAGCGCTGACAAAGTAACGCGCATTCAAAAAATAATGGCTGCGAAAATCAGATCGCGTCAGCCAAGAAAGCACTGACTCTTTTCTAATGGCCCTTGGGCACAAGCGGCGACGACCACGCAGGGTCAGACGACGGCATAGGCGAGTAGGCCAGGGTGAACTGGCCCAGTGTGCCATGCATGATTGGTGTAGAATAGGCGGATGAGGAGGCGTGGTGCGAGAAAACCAGTGACTGCGACGCAGAAGGTGGAGTCAACGGAAGAGGTGCCTGGTTTGAAGGAGCCACGAAAACTGATGGTGGCTTCAAGTCGTCCTGGCTGATCTGTAACAAAACGTCAGCCACACGAGCCACCTCAGAAGCAGCCAATGTGTTTGGCTCGTCGGCCAAAATGGCAGGCAGATGCTCAATCACAGCCTTAACGAGGAGCGCATGCTTGTTGGTGTAGTTGTGGAGCACAGGGATGACTCCAAGCGCGTCGTACTTACGCTGTAACACCTCCAGAAGGGAGGTGGTCTGTAGAATGAGCACCAAAGCAATCTTACGCAACTGGTTGAGCGAAGTAGCATCAAGACCCAGCAAAAACGCACCTTGCACCAGTGGAGCCTGATTCTCCTCCGAAAGACCCGCCAGCGAGTCCAGGGGAGGCGCCTGGGCGAGTAAAACTCGTAAGTTGGCGGCGGCAGCATCCACACCAAGCATGGAGCATGCGAGAAGGTTGGCAGCAATAGCCACAAGCGACACGGGAACGGTCAAAAAGTAACGGTCGTAAAGGGCCAACTCGCAAAAGAAGCGGCCTACGGCAGTCACGGCCGAAACCTTCAGCTGCAGTGGATCATTCAGCAGAACAGAAGGACGCTTGTACTTACAAGGGGTGGAATGAGCGTTGACACCGCTTTCCACAATGGCCAACTGAAGGCATTCTTCCAACAGCGGGTGAGAGATGGACCACTCCAAGGTGGCCAAGATGTGCATTTCCATCTGGACAAACATCTCCTCGTCGTAGGCATGGCGACACATGATGGCCAACTCACGGAGTGTAGGGACACGCAGTTTCTTGTCCTCGTACTTGCCGGCAATCCAAAGAGCCGTGCAGCCGACCAACTGGTAGTGACGCTTAAAGACGATTCTTTTGGCGCAGTAGCGGTCGATGATGTTGATACAGAGGAAAAGCGTTGCCGGTTGCAAGCGGAAGCTCTGGTGAAGCTCGACCAAGAAATCAAGAAGGTATGGTCTCATGTACCACTGGACTTCAGGCTGAAGGTCGATCATCTGGGGGTTTACCGCCAGTTGAGCCTCAAGAACAGAAAGCCATTGCTTGTTATCTGACTTGTACTCAGACATGAGCTTCTTATTGGCTTGAGTCTCGAGCACCTCGAGGGTGTAAGGGTACTGTCTGGGTTTCGCCAGGGGCGGGCCGTATTTCATTTGGAAGATAAAAGCAGGAGACGACGACGACGGATGGGTCTATGATAATGATGAAAAAGGTGGAATGCTAAGAATCTATGAGTGTCTCAGAGTCTTTGGGGAACAAAAAGGAAAAAAAAAAAATTTAATGTCTATCTGGGCAGGAAGCCAATATGGGTCAGTGTTTCAGATCTGGGCTAGACACAAATAATATTTTCAGGACAAGATGGGGAACTGGCCTGGCTGCTAATGGCAAAAACTGTTTAAGCGAATGAAAGTGAATGTATGGAGTGAGACAGCCAGAGCAGAAGAAACGAAGCTAAAGACTTGGGAACCAACTGCAAAGGAGAGGAAAAGCTGCCTGTTTTATCAAGCAGCCACACGGTGAAAGGAGTCCAGGCAGCGTACGCGAAATCCACGGTTGGCTTGACTTTTCGCAGCCATTCAGGCAGGTCTGTCCTTCCTCTCGGCGTCGTGAATCGCTACCGAAACACGACTAGCCCGCGACGCGAGGCTGCCAGGCACGAGAACCGCAAAAAGAAGAGGCCATGAAAAGAGAGAAAGACGGGGGGAAGCAAAGAAAAAAATTGGTGGAGAAAGCATTGAGACCGTCATAAAAAACAATTATAAATTTTTCTTCTTTAATATTTATGGTGTACCCCCAAATTGATGGACCCCTTTCCGGGGCTTTCTGCTTCACGCTAAACGCTAAATGTTCCTGTCCTGGTTTAGTCTGGCGCGACCGCACACCGTTTTGGGTTCCTCAGGCGACGTTTTCGGCCGGCGCGCTGTAGCGTTGAATGGCGCTTTTGTAGCGGGATCCACCTGAGCCTTGCCGAGGCTGGACCTTGTTAGACCGTGCTTCCGTGATTTGTGGAGGAACCTTGGAGGGACGGCGGTACGGCGGGATGAATGGAGGAAGGAAGTGGAGCAATGGTCCTGTGAAAGCACCCTGTTTTTGTATGTCTTTCGTGGTTGATTGTGTGTCTCAGGGATGGACTGTGTTTGGCCTCAGGTGCCTCTCCTAGTGCCTGCCCAGGCTACAGGTACTGGCCTGGCCTGGCCTGGCCTGGGCGAATAAGGTGTCACAAGGGTCTCGAGAGTTTGTTGTTTTATTTTTGTGGTTATTGTTTTATTGACTTTTTCTTAGCAATTGAGTTTCTCTTTGCTTCCCTCTTGCTGACCATCTGTTTATCATGGCGCATGGTCTTAACACTGCTTTGCAACCAGGGCTTAGGTCAAGCCTCCCATTGTATCTGCTTAGATTGTCCCTTTGGGGTTCGTGGCATCCTTCTTGGTACATTCTTGATTTTTAGTAAGACACCTCCAGATCTGGCTTTCTTCCTTCCACATCTGTCACCTCTACTTTGCATTTCCCACTACTCACCTACTTCATTCCCGCTGTTGATCTATTAGTATATACATTAGTACGCTCCACGTCCACGCCCGGCGGCTGCCTGCTCAGACTCCAGGTTTTTGATTGTTTCGTCCACAGAAAGCAACAATGTGGCCGCTTCCGTGGCCGATTGAAGGGCATTGATCTTCACAAGGGATGGCTCCCAGATGAAACTTTCCATGTTGTTACCCACGGACTCCTTGTGGAAGTCAATACCGTACCATTTCTCTCCTTTGGCATGCGAGCTTCTCAACACGTTCAAGAGCTCAATGGCGTCCAAACCGGCATTCTCGCATAACTGTCTTGGAATCACCTCCAAGGCGCGGGCAAATGCTCCAATGATCAACTGTTGCTTTCCTGCCACTGTCTTGGAATGTTCTCTCAAGTACTTCGAGATCTCCATCTCAATGGCTCCTCCACCTGCCACAACTGTACGATGCTTCACAGCACGCTTGACAATCATGATAGCGTCATGCAATGATCTCTCAACCTCAGCAATCACCTGCTCGGCTCCTCCTCTCAAAACTAATGTACATGTTCTAGCCTCTGGACATCCACGGAATAAGTTGTATCTGTCTCCACCAATTTGCACCTCCTCGAACTCGGCACACGTGCCGACGGCCTTTTCGTTGATGCCACTAACAGTAGATTGAACTGATCCACCAACAGCCTTGATGACACGGTCCATGTCTTCGCTGCTCACACGACCAGCGCAAAAGATGTCTCTGTCTGCAAAGTACTGTGTGGCCAAATCACCAATAGGCAACTTGGAAAGAACAATGTTGGCGCCAGAGTCCTTAATAGCCTCCAACTTGTCAAAAATAATTTGCCATTCAGCGTCAACAATGGCCTGGTAATCCTTCACTTGTCCAACTCTCACCTCAGCATTGTCCTTTTCGGCCTTCAACTCCAACTCGACATTAAGGTTGAGGATTTTTGGGTTGGTGAATCTCTTTGGCTGCTGTTCAAAACCAGCATAGGAGAAAGTCTTCTTGAAAGCCACACCATCAACGAAAAGCGAGTCTTCCATACCTCCACCAGGAACCTTCTTGATACCGATCATCTTCTCGTCCAAGTTATCGTCCAAGGTCAAGACAGCGTCGACGACCATTTTCGTGAAGAAGTCAGAGTTCTTCGAGATCAACTTAGATGACATCGCCGTCTTGGCACATCTCTCCAAGAGTTCTCTGAACTGTGTTGTGTCTTCCTTCTTAATCTCGACCTGGATCTCTTCGATCTTCTTCACGGCCAACTCACAGGCCTTTCTTAAGCCTTTGGTAATGAGATGCAGCGAAATGCCATCTTCGATGAAAGTTTTGGTCTCCTTCAAGAATTCACCCGCCAAGACAGTAACAGAAGTAGTACCATCACCGACTTCAGCATCCTGAGCTCTTGAAATATCCACAAGCATTTTAGCAGCTGGATGAACGATGTCCAATAACTTCAAAATAGTAGCACCGTCATTAGAAATAGTGGTCTTACCGTTGGAAGACTTGATCAAGATATCTGATCCAAATGGACCTAATGTAGGTTTGAGGGTCTCCTGGATAGCCAAACAAGCGTTGATGTTATTCAAAATCTGACCTTTGCCCTGCAGAGCATCGGTACCTTCTTTAAGCACGACAATTGTCGGGGTCTGGTTAGAGAAGGACATGGCTGGTTTGTCGACTATACGCTGTACTGTAACGTTTTTTCGATACTAGCGAAGCTTTTCAGGATCCGGTGCGCGCACTACAAGACGTGGTTAGACTGGACCAAATGGCTATAGAACAAGGGATTTTAAGGCACCAAGGTATAAATCTTATTCTTAAAGCAATGTTACTGAATGATGGTCTCAGAATTTGTTCGAGGCTCGGCTATCCCCGTGTTTAGTGATATGAACCATGGATTCACTGTGTCTAAGACGTGGCATCGTACCTCAAGACGGACATCACCCTTCGAAATCCAGACTGGGCGAGTTAATACTGGGCTTTTATAGTCATTTATGAAGTTAACTGACTGGTCTCTTGCATTGCTTCGAGTAGTATCAAAGATATCGAAATATGGTCACGTGATTGAATTTGCAAAATTGTCCCAAAGGACGTACTTCGAGGGAAGCCATCAAAACAACTGTTCATTTTCCAGAAAACTTTCCTGGCTTGGCTTATCCAAGCAAGCTTTACTTCAAATCACCCGCTAGAGTACAGTTGATAATATGGTATTGTGTTTGTAATATGCAGTATTATCCAACTTCTCACAGTAGTGAAAAAAAATCTAATGTACTCGATTGAAGAACTCAAAGAGCCTCTGGGAAAGATAACATAGAATGTTCTCAGCGTCCCTCAAAAGCGCAACTCGCGGATGTGTCCGTGTGAACGCACAGAGAACCGCTGCAGAAGCAGCCAAGCTTTCTAACAAAAGAGTTATGAAGACCATCAGAATGGGTAAGGCTAGACCTGCCATCTTCCACCAGTTCGAGACCTTTGTGGAACTCTCTGATGGTTCCGTCGTTAAGAGACGTTCTCAAGCTCCAAAGGATGAAGTTAGAATGATTACAGATCAAAGATCCAGTCCGATGTGGAATCCTACAAGAGACGACTTAGACGACTCTGATCCTAATGCTGTTGGTAAGATCGATAAATTTAAGAAGAGATTTGGTGGATTCGACGGAACTGAAGAGGCATCTGCTGAACTCAGTATCCATGAGAGACGTAAGCAGGCTGCCAAACAGAAAGATGATTTGTTCGAGCTCTTGGGTGAGGGTGCAAGCGAGGTTAACAAGGGTGGTAAGGTCCAGCCCAAATATCGTAAGAAATAGTCTACACTACTTGTATATAATTAACGGGGACAAGAAAACGATATACCTGTAGTACTTGTCATGAAATGCTTATTAGCTTCTATATTGGATGCGGGTGCTTGTCTAAGCTTTTTCGGGGATTAAATAGTGTGCAAAAATATCGCTAACTGATACACCCAAGGATCTGAGCTCCTTGAGGCACCAGCTGATATTTACCTGATCTTCCTCCTTGATGGCCTGTCTGTATATGACATTCAAACATGAGATCCGGTTGTAGTCATCAATAGATATGAGGTCATTAAACAGCTCGGGCAAACCTTGTCTTTTAAAGTTGAATTCAGCATCTTTCTTTGAGGAATCAGTGTAAGCTTTTGAAAGATAAAGTGTTCTGCTTATACTGTTCGAGACTTTGCTTGAAAGGTATCTCATAACAGCTTTTGTAAATACGTGCAAGGCTGGATCTGACTTCTTAAGTTTCCTCATTTGGCGACAAAAGAGCTTCAAAAAGTCCGCTCTTTGCTCCAGATCGCCATACTGTAGCACGTATTCCAAAACACGTATGAGCCCAAGTTTTGACACTGTAATGTTATTTGCAGCACACATGCTGATGCTTTTTTCGAACTTGTCATGCTTGAGGAGCTTCACAATAAGTGCTTCAAAATCCAGAGCACTCAATCCTGAAGAAGTCTTAAAAATGGCCTGAAGCAATTTGTCGGACGCAGCCTCATTATTATGGTACAAGAAAGAGACGAAGAGGGAAGAGAGTGCTTTTCTCGACAATGGAGCAGCAAGCTGTTTGGAAAGAGATGTGAACTCTTTTTCTTTACCTTCTGCTCTTCCCAATACGCTTAGCGTTATTTCGATAAGTCTCTTGTCGGTCTTCATCTCGAATGGAACACTTTCTAGGAAAATAGATGCTCTGTTGAGATCTTCTTCCATTAGTCTCTTAAGTAGCTTATCTAGCAAATCGATCTCCTTGAGTGCTGTTTCTTGAGAGATATTAAGAAGGTCATTCCATATGTCGGCAGCTCGAAGCAAATGGCCTTTGTTGATATTTGCTCCTATAAGCTTGACCATTACCGAGGGAAGATCCTTTTCGTGTTTCAAAGGGCCTTTGATGGTGTCGTAAAGATTGTTAGCATAAAAAGGAACGTGTGGCTCAGAGAGCATGCAAATGAGGGCGTTTAAAAGCACTTTTGGTGAGAGCTTCTCGTGCCCGTATACTATTAGAAGTTTCTTTATCGTGAAAGTGGTTAATGCGGGGTCTAGCGTTGAAACCCGTGAGACATTGAGAATTAGGCTGTCTATAGTAGTCATGTCCAAGGAAACCCCCATCTCTAGAAATTGAGCGGCAAATGAAGCAGCCATTAAGGGTTCGCCGGAGATGGAAACTTCTGACACAAATGCAGATGCTAGTAGACCATAGTTAGCGGGATTTAAGGATTCATCGAGGTTAATCTTAGACACCTTCTGGGCAGTATCTCTATGGAGAAGGTTCGCATCTTCCATTCGATTTATAGCATCACAAAAAACGTCGAGCTTCCTCTGAGCTAGAAGATCAAACAAGTCCTGGTATATCATCGCTTTCATTGACGTCGAATCCTTAAACTTGAGCAACAAGAGCTCGATAATGTCTCTGTTGACTCCGGGGTACAGTAGAAGGTCGGCGAGAAACAGTGTTTGTTTCTGCTGTTGGTAGAACTCGTAACACTTATTGCAGCTTTTCATGAACAGTCGATCACTTCTAAAGATGTCATAAGCCACAGAAAGCCGTTGGAATATAGATACAGCTTCTTGCGATGTATCCGATGGACTGATGCTACTCGCCGTTGAGATCGCGGAATGGCTAGAATAGCGTCTTATCAGGATATAATATGTGCTTCTTAGGCACGGAAGCCGTAGTCGGGCCGGCATTTTGATTGCGGTTCAGTTTTCGATGGTATGTTGAATAAGAGTAAGGCTTGATGGGGATGATGAGAATCTGAAAGATTCCTGCAGTCGATTGAAGATGGCCCACTAAGTAAGAGAATAGTCAAATGGAGATCTCAGTCACGGAAGAAGAAGAAGGAAAAAAAAATAAAAAGAAAGAGAAAGAAAGATTGAAAAAATGCAAGAGGCCAATTAGCTCCAGATGTTGCTTTTTGTTTTAGTTCTCTTGACTATTCCTCTTCTTTCAAGGTGCTGTGGTTGGCTGACTACAAGTTGGCTGCGAAAAAGGGTATAGTACATAAATCGAAAAATAAGAATATACATCAGTCAAGAAAGCGAAAGGTGACCCAAACAAAAGTGTATCAGACAAATGTCATGATGGAAATAGTGAATGTGGAAGCTCATTAGAGCAAAAGAAGACCGGCAATAAGTGCACCCAATGGGGCAACAGTAAGACCAGCGGCACCGGCAGTGTACTCAGAAACGCTTGGTGCTGGTTTACCTTGGTCAGAAGTCGAGGCACTTTGGGTAGGACCTGGGACATAAGTATCATGTTTGTCCTCTGGCTCCCCCTCTGGCTTGCCCTCTGGACCCTTGGGTGGCTTGCCTTCAGGACCCTTAGGTGGTTGGCCATTACCGGTTGGTTGAGGATGCTTGTACGTCTCGGTTGTGTAGAGCGTGGTAGTAGGCTGCTCTGGATTACCTGGTTGTCCTGGCTTACCTGGTTGTCCTGGCTTACCTGGCTGTTCTGGATTACCTGGCTGTTCTGGATTACCTGGCTGTTCTGGATTACCTGGCTGTTCTGGATTACCTGGCTGTCCTGGCTCTCCTGGCTGTCCTGGCTCTCCTGGTTGTCCTGGCTCTCCTGGTTGTCCTGGCTCTCCTGGTTGTCCTGGCTCTCCTGGTTGTCCTGGCTCTCCTGGTTGTCCTGGCTCTCCTGGTTGGCCTGGCTCTCCTGGTTGGCCTGGCTCTCCGGGCTGTCCTGGCTCTCCTGGTTTACCTGGTTCGTCAGTTGGTTTAGGCTTAGGTTCTTCATCGGTTGGCTCAGGGGTTGGCTTCGGCTTCTCATCAGTTGGCTTAGGGCTTGGCTCTGAGTTGTCATCAGTTGGCTTGGGGTTTGGCTCTGAATTGTCATCAGTTGGCTTGGGGTTTGGCTCTGAGTTATCATCGGTGGTGCTCTCGCTTGGTGGAATGGAGGACTCTGCTGGTGGCTCAGAAGATTCGGCTGGTGGCTCAGAAGATTCGGCTGGTGGCTCAGAAGATTCGGCTGGTGGCTCAGAAGTCTCACTAGTCTCACTAGTCTTAGAAGTCTCACTGGTGTTACTAGTCTCAGAAGTCTCAGAAGTAGTCTCACTAGTGTTGCTAGTCTCAGAAGTCTCAGAAGTCTCGGTAGTCTCAGAAGTCTTGGTAGTCTCAGAAGTCTCGGTAGTCTCAGAAGTCTCAGAAGTCTCGGTAGTCTCAGAAGTCTCGGTAGTCTCAGAAGTCTCGGTAGTCTCAGAAGTCTCAGAAGTCTCGGTAGTCTCAGAAGTCTCGGTAGTCTCGGTAGTCTCAGAAGTCTCAGAAGTCTCAGAAGTCTCAGAAGTCTCAGAAGTCTCAGAAGTCTCAGAAGTCTCACTAGTCAGTGTTTCGGAAGTGGTCTCGGGCGTAGTTTCGGGTCCTGGATTGGTCTCGGATGAAGAACTTGTGCTCTCAGTAGTGATATCATCACTAGATGTAGCCTCACTCGAACTCAGAGACGTGGTTGTAGTTTCAGTTTCACACTCACATACCCAACATTGATTGTGAATCAGGGGCTTCAAGTGTCTGACTCTGTTGAAAACACCCAGTCTCTTAGCAAACGAGGAAGGAATATTCCTTTTCAAAAGACCATTGATGTAAGTATCAGCATCACCAACCTCGGTTGCTCCTTCACCAAGACCTCTCTCAACAGCGTAGCTGTAAGAGTCTCTGGCAAATACAGAAGAATAAGCGTGAGCAGCCTTTCCCTTAGCGTCCAAGTGGACGTTAACCTTAAAGTTGCCTGGAAGACAGCAAACGACATCTTTGTCTGTGTGGCCATGCTTGTGGTCCCAGTGTCTCTTCTGTTGCATTCTCAGAGCTCTTACCTTCACTTTGGCAGCCCACTTGGTCCATGGAACACCTTCCATCTTGTTGTCTCTTCCAATCAACTCGATGTCCTCAACACCGGTGCCGGTGATGCCCAAACTGCGGACTTGTTCATTGCCAATAACCTTGGCTAATTCCTCGTCATCTGCTGTCTTAAAGTTGATGGTCAACTCGAACAAATCCTTTCCGACTTTCCTAACGTTGCTGACGGCAACACCAGCGCCAATAAACTCTGGTCCATCTTCCGAACGACGGTGAACTGGCTCGGCCATAACTATCAGAGTGTCAGCACATTCAGGGTCAGTCGAAGGCAACGTGGTGGTACCAACAACCTGAGTTTTCTTATGTCTGGCGAACAAATACTGGCCACCTTCTGCGGAGGCCACACTGGCAAGAAGAAGAAGACTGTATTTCATAGTGAGCTTCGGATGTTTCTTGATAAAAAAAAAGACTGAAGACTGGTAAACAGCCAGTCTTTATATACCCCGAAAAATAGTGGAATTCACCTGCTTCTCGCCCATAGCACCCTCCGGTAGCTCTTATTTTCTGGTTCTCGATTTCCAAATGGCTGCAATTCTCCTGTAGGTACTCGGTAGGAGCGCAATTGTATGAAGGTTGAATAAAGTCTCGAGGCCTATTTGATGCACTCCCACGTATGTCTTGCATCAAAATGCTAGACGAAACCTAGACGAGAGACAAAACTCTATAGACCCTGCAGCATGGCCTAAAGCTTATAATTGCAAAAGTGTAAACTGCTTACCTGAAACTCGGAGATAGACGGTTCTTGTTTGCTCCGTGGGCTGACTTCTTTACCCCTTGACTTGTTTCATAATGAAATTGAAAGGAATTGGCTTTGCTATACCTTCTTTGACATGGTGGTGATCCTGTACACGTTCAACAGATTTACGGCTTATTGCAGTAGCTCGCTTGCGTCAAGACTTTCCTCAGATTTCATTGTCAGCTACCACATCTTTAGGAAAAAATTATATATAGCTAAATCCGAAAAGTCTCGCCAATTGTTCAGATTATATCCGTTTACCCGTGCAACATACGATCTTTTGGATAGAGCTGCAAGAACCGTTATTTAATTTTAGCCAAACAATAAACCACCCCAGGGTCTTTTTCCGAAAGAAAGATACCCCCTCAAAAAGGAAATTCATTTTCCAGTAAAAAGTCTCACATGGATACTTCCACCAAAGAGTCCATTGATCTGGAAAGATGGCTTGGTTTCTCGTCTACCAAAGTAGGACTAACGTACGAAGTAGTTGACCGTGTCTCTTCACGAAATATGCAAATGAAACTGCAAAGCCAGAGAGAAAGAAAAAAAAAAAAAAAAAAAAAAAAAACACAAGCGCTGTTTCAGAATTAGAGAAACCCAATTACCCTTTTCGGTTTGACCAGAGATTTCCCGAGGCTAATGAAGTTGTTGCGCTGCGAATTCAAGGATCGCCCAGTTCGCTTGCTCAATGATCAGCGGCCAATTCACTTGGCAACAGTGGAAAACATAAGCTTGCCCTTGCAGAATCTTCTATTGACATTACCCCTAAGACAGGCGTCTCGTAAGCTGAGCCTAGCCTCCGAACCTTCTTTAAGCGTTTGCAGGCTTCGCGCCTTCAAAGCCATCTGAGAGAAGAATCTATTGCGCAGCGAAAAGTGTGCGCAGTCGGATCGTCAAACCGAGTTACAAAAAGCGCTACTTTCAGGTCCTCAAATGTCTCTTTCGAAAAATTACCGCTCTCGTCAAGAGATGGTTTCATAATGAAATCTTTGTTGGGGTCCTGTTTTATGGAAACTTGCTTTCCAAGACAGGATTTTTCTTAGCAAATTAGGCAAAGAACGTTGCACAAAGCTCCCGCAGAACTCGACATGCATAATCGAGGAAGGTGCGTTTAGCGAGGTTGGGATGATCACCAGAGGGGTGACTCGAACAAAACGGGGATTTTCCTAGATTTGAAAGGTTGACGAGCCACACAAAACGCTTTGCAGCAAAAAATTGTTTCGACTGGAAATGTTAGGCTCAAATTTTCAATTTACACTTACGGTGTGGCGATTGTATATTTTCTTCGCGTGGGGCTTCAACAATAGAATCATTAGTGTGTCAGAATCGAAGCATAATACAATTGCTTACTTAAGTAGTCACATGTGACCGGCCAATTTGCTTACGGCATTGCCAATGTCTTGGATAGAATTGAATATGCGCCTTCTTTTGGAGGGCTGGCTATCGACTTTAGACACGGGAGAGTAACGTAACCTTAAAGTTAACCGCTCCAAGTCTAATACAATAAGCCCGTTTTTATCAACTTAGATCTTGCCCGTATAAAGCCCTGTCTTTGCCGAACCATTCTTCTCCTTCCAGTTTAAAGTTGGTCTTGGCCCTATAATTCGCGAGAGATACATTATTGTTGCATCTCGACCTTAAATGGTAACTTGACCATGCATGGCTAGCGGGTGAAACGAGACTTAGCCGTTTACGAAGACTGGCCCCGCCTAAACTATAGTACAGTCAATCAAGCTTAGCCCGTACATTACTTTCTGGACATGTTTCTTGATCAAGGGCCAATCCTCTCTCCGCTGAACAAATTCGTAGATCTCTTCTTGGCTAAAGATGCCGTTAAACTTCGTCAAATCACTGATGAGTTGCCCAATTGCTTTTGCGTCCTCTCCGCCAATCAAATATATAGAGCCAACCTTTTTGAGGGCCTGGAACAACGGAAATATCATGCGCTTGTTACTCTTCACATGTGTTAAAATGAAGTCGTAATACAAGTTGAGGTCCGAAATAAGCGTCACCGCCCCGCCCACAGAGATGGTGCTCCGTTTCAAACATTTTACAATTACCTGGAAGAACCGTTCTGCAACTTCCTGTTGGAAGACCTCCACGATGGGCTTGTCAGCACAATCAACAAGGAGGTCAATGTTATCATCAAGTATTTGTACCGCGTGTTGTGCAGCTTTAGTGGGGCCCTCGATCATATGTGCTTTGCTTGGGGGAGGATTGTAATCAGAGTCTTTGAGTCCAGAAAGAAACACGGATTCAATCTCTTTAAAGAGCACATCTATGCCGATATGTAAGCCATCGGCCACGTACTTATCGACAAGGGCTTCAGCAGATTTCTTACTCTGAAGCGAAGGATTAAGAATCGAATTCTCGTGCTTTACCAACTTTCTTTGCATAATCTCTTCCTTGTAGAATATATCTATCATTTGGACAATCATGTCTGCCATGTTAATGGCTTCGAAGAAGATAACAAGTGGTTCGATAGCTGTCCTCTTCTTATTGTCTGCAAGTGATACATCTCTTGGGTTGTAGTCCTTTAGATACTTCAAGGCCCGCTCAAACCCTTCCCTAAGGTGTTCATTAGAGATGCTTTCAATCACGCTGATAAACTCTTCTTGCATGGCACCGTAGATATCAAAACGCAATGCCGCCACAGTGTAATTTTCAAACAGCAGAAGTCTAGCAAGAGAAACTTTTGTATCATTCAAGACAGTCAATGTTAGCTCGGGGCTAAAAACCCTCCTCAAAGATTTGATATTCTCGGCCAAGATTTTCGCCTGGGCCTGGATTTTTGAATAATTGAGCTTCTCGTCAGTGTCGCCCTCCTTTTGTTCTTCTTGATCTTTACCCGTTATTGTGAACACCTTTTTAAAACTCAGCAAGAAGTCGCTTTTTGACTCAGCCTTAACATGTTTGAGAATACTTTGGGTGGTTTCCTTCTCTCTTTGTGCGACGGTATCCCTCCATTCAGCAATTTTTTCGGAGCACCGTTGTTTAAACACGGCTTTTTCTTCGTTTAGATATTCCGCTGCTATTGACTCATAAGAAACGTCAATAAGCAGCCGGGTCAATCGTCTGTAGCTTTCGCCAACATTTTTGCTAGGATTAAGTTGTTCAAGAAATCCATCTGTAAGTCTAACATACAACAGAGTGACCATATCAAAGTATAGTCCACGGTCTTTTGAAGCAGAGACAAGGAGAAGAATAACATCCTGTAGCTGATTTGAAATTAGTTCTTCGCTCACCTTGTACATCATTGGAATTGTTTCCGGGAAAATGAGATCGATAATCCTCGATTCTTCATTAAAAACGGAAGCAAGTTCCTGGATAAAAGAGTCGAGTTTGTCCTCGTTAAGAGCCCACTTCGTTTCAGGCTTGGAATCCTCGTCGCTCTCATCATCTGAAGGTGCTTGAGTGACACCGTTGGTGGCCTCTGTGAAATATTCCTTTACATCAAAAGCTTCCAGGTTAAGGAACTTTGTAGTTTCATTATCGAAGCATACCTTCTGAAGAAAGAAGTCTATAAGTGTTTGTTCATTCTTGAGCTCGACGAGGATCTTCACAAAATCGCTTGTTCTCTCGAAGTCTTGAATATCGTAGTGAATTTCTAACTCTCGTAGTAATGCATTTTCAAAGATTTCCATGAGTTCAGTGATCTTTTCACCCACCATGCTACCCACGGTTTCATCTGGGTTTATCGCATTATACTTTAGAAGATTGCTCAACATTTTAGCTTGGTCTTGTGGAGTATTGAAACTCTTGAAGAGCTTGAGTCGCTCATATGGAAGGTTCAGTTGCAAATCGGCATAATACTTTTGTAGACTTCTTCGTATGCGTAGAACCTGAAACTTTGCTATCTTTGGGATCTTGTAGACTCGATCTAGACACGTCAACGGGTTATCGAGCCATTCAAACTTCGAGCCTGCCAATTCCTCTCTAGTGGCATCAGTAGCGTTTTGCCATACGCTCATCTTTTTTAGTTTCAGGATCCATAATTGTGGATCATTCACTGCTCTATATGTGTTCTTGGAAGTTCTGGAGAACTGAAGCAAATCGGGTACATCAAGGAACCACGTGATGGTTTTAGCTACTGGTAAGGGGATCACCAGCAGATTGTATACATCGATGTCAGCATTCCAGATGACTTGGGCCATTTCCCTTTAGCTGTTCGATGAAGTGTTGATAATGAAGCTTGTTGATAGACGTGCCATGCAGTCTTTCTGCATCCGGCATTACTTGTCCTTCCCGGGAAAGTTAAGAAAACGGGCTATACTGAATGCAAAGACCCTCGCTTCGCAAAATAAAATGTCTGTGACCACTTCTTGAAAATAATTAAGGTGGCTGAAACAAAAGTGGATGTGAGGTCTTGACTAACTCAATGCCTGTGTGAGCAATAGCGATCATCATCGGTGCATCCACTTCTTGAGGCCGATAACTTAAAAAAAAAAATAAATAAATAAATAAAAAAAATAGAAGAAAATAATTAGAACCCAGTAATAATCTCTTAAGTTTGTATTCACTGACATGTTATGGCGGTTGGATAGTCTCAGAAGGACATCAGAGGGAGTGTTATTTCGCAGCCATTGTCACAACTGTCCCATGAAGTCTGGAAGACCTGCTTCTTTTTACCAATCTGAACTGGTTTCAAAAGACGCTTTATAAAAAAATAACTTTATATTGTTATCTTCCACTCTTACCATTATTCTTCACACCTAGAGGCTAGCTCAACTACTACCAGTCTTTCTTCTCTTCCCCATACTGTCGCTATACAACATCGCGAAAAATGAAGCTCATCAAGACGCACCCTAAGTTTCCACCAAGACCGTTTTCGGACTAATTAACTAATCAATAACTGCATAACGCTGTTCGAGCATGCTACTGGCACTTCGGCTGGGTCGAAGGGCGCTATGGAGCTGTGGAAGCCGACATCACATCCCTCGTCTTCCGTATCCCAGCATATCAATCAATCTGCTACGACACCAGCACAAGAAAACCAGCCAGAATAATCCACCGACAAATCCAGCAGAAGATCCACAAACTTTGGGAGGAATGCTTCTACGGTTTATTCGCAAGGAAACGCAATTTCTATCCGACAGCATGAATATAGAAGAAGCTATAGATTCCCAGCACGAAGTGGCTACAGATAAAATAGATCCAGCCTTACGAAATGCCCTCATTGCGGAGCCCGATGTTCATCAACAGTTTGCTTCACTACTTCGACTGCTGAAGTTTTCCGTTCATCCTGATGTCCTTCTTCATTATTACCTGCTCTTATCAACTGTGGAAGAAAGTGAGAAAACTCAGCTTCTCAAATGGCTTGTATTTTACCGTCAATGGCACCTGTTCTGGCAAATTGCTATTACTGACGCTACTTCTTTGAGCGACGTGGAGGACCTTGTGGATCTAATACATGCTGAGCTTGAAATAAACCATAATTTGACCTTCGGCGTATGGGAAGTGGTTCGAGCTGCAATTCATGAAACAACTACAGCCAGTCTTTTGACGTCTGTTATAGAGACTGTTGAGTACAAATTTGGTCTCTCCAAGTCACAACTCATTAGCTTTATATCTTTTATAAGGGAGCTTGATAATGTGGAAACAGATGACGAGCTAAACCTTCTTGAGGAAAGTCAATTACAAACGATGTCAGACAGTTTCATCTGCAAAGCATTTTTTTACAGACTCGTCTAAGAGTTTCTGATCCCACAGATGCGATCGAAAGTATTAAGGATGAAAAAGCGGCCCTAAAATCGCCGGGATGGTATTCTTTTCTCACATCCCTGTTTGCAGATAATCTTCATTACTTGACGTCTATTCCACAAAAAAAGAATCCGTCACTGGAGCAGATTTCCAGAACGACACTTATGTCTCACTTTTTGCATTATCGTCTGGCGAAGATGAATGAGTCTGATTTCTTCTCTCTCATCCAAACAGCTACTTCGCAAGACGCCCATCGCATTTTTCTCATTGCATACAAAAACAGCCAGCGTGGATTGATCCAGAATAATCGACTAATTGATCATGTTGTTCAATTGGCAATAGGTAGCGGCAACAATAAGCTCATTCTGGAATGTGTTAGAAAGTTTTACATCTTTATGTCGCTAGACTCCTGGCAGCAGCTTTTCCAAACCGTTCTTAGAGACGATCCAGGTGTCATTGAATTGTTTGAGCATAAACGGCCGAGCGAATTTCAAGCAGTATCTAAGAGCGCTTTGTATAAGGGCTTTTCATCCCAGGATACAGTTGCCCTTGTTTCTCACTGCAACAACAATCGCTTTACTATTCGCTCTGCTTTAAAATCACTTCATCTTGATAAAAAGGAAGCTCAAGAAGTCTTAGATGGCCTTCGTGGAACGAAGTTGACGGCTTACAATCTTATAGAAACGCTCCGCTTCGCTTTCCGTCATCATATTGTCGATGAAACCTCCTGCCAGATTATTGATCGAATACTTCATAAAACTTGGAATGGTGATGTCCTCTTGAAACGAGGGCAACGAATCAATTATCAAGTAAGGGATGATTTTAGGTTTTTTTATGCTATGGCCACCCCGGATGAACGAGTTAAGCTCACGGAAACCCTCCAAACTTTAGGACATGCAATTTCGTTGCTCGAAACGGAGGAAATAGCATCTTTTATGAATAACTTGAACGACTACTTCTTTGCATCAAATCAGTTTACATTCATCAACTCCACTACTGGCAAGACTTACATATTGGACCGTCTTATCAAAAAGACTATGCAATTTGTTTTTAAACACCATGCCAAAATACAACCAAAAGACGGTGTGAAGCAAATCAGAGACATTTTGCGCTCTTTAAGATTCGATTCTTCCCCTGGGCAAGCGTCGCTTTTTGAATTCATTGTCCACGAGAATCCTGCAATGGCATTTGAGATTTTGAACAACTACAAGACAAAAAAATCTGTTCTTGTAAACCCAATCATGGAAGGTATAGCCCGTGGAGTGCTTCGAGCGAAGACGCTTACACCATACCAACGAGTAATGGCTTTTGAAAAATTCCGCCAAAGCGCGAAGGAGTTGGGGTTTAAGTACCAAATGAGCGCAAGGTTGACTGTACTACTAGGTAACCTGATCCTAAAACTTGAGAACATTTCAAGGAACCCTAAGTCGAATCTCTTGCAGCCTGTTATTCAATACGGAATAACCAAGGGAGTGCCACACGCGATCATAAAAAAGTGGAGCAAAGCTTTACCTTGAAGGCAGTACATAAAAGAACAAGTCTGACACTGCATAAAGTAGAAACTTCTCTCACTTCACCAAATATTTCACAACGTCAATTACTATCTACGGATGTCGAGTAAATCATACGGCGTGACGGGGCCGGTGTCATTAGCAAACCCTACACAGCGTGAAATAAGTCTAAATGATTCGCTCATTGGTGAACTCAAAGCTCGTGGCTCTTTCGAGAGCGAGCAGGCAACTAGAAAGAGGGTCGAAGTACTTGCTCTAATGCAATCTATGGTCCAAGACTTCGTTTTTAAAGTCTCAAAGAAGAGAAATATGAGTGATGGAATGGCTAAAGATGCGGGTGGGAAGATTTTTACGTTCGGTTCTTATCGACTTGGGGTCTATGGGCCTGGATCAGACATCGATACCCTAGTTGTGGTTCCGAAACACGTACTACGCGAGGATTTCTTTACTGTCTTCGAAGAAATTATAAGGGCAAGACCCGAGCTAGAAGAAATAACTTCTGTCCCGGATGCCTATGTTCCTATCATCAAACTTGAGTTTGATGGCATATCGATTGATTTGATTTTTGCTCGCCTTAATGTCTCTCGGGTTCCTTCAGATATGACCTTAGATGATAAAAATCTACTCAGAAATATAGAAGAAAGGGATTTGAGGTCCCTTAATGGTACCCGTGTAACAGATGAAATATTGACTCTTGTGCCCAAACCTACAGTGTTTAAACATGCCTTGAGATGCATTAAAATGTGGGCTCAGCAACGGGCTGTCTATGCAAATGTGTTCGGTTTTCCCGGTGGTGTTGCCTGGGCCATGCTAGTGGCGAGGATATGCCAACTATACCCCAACGCAGTAAGCGCTGTTATCATTCAAAAATTTTTTAGCATCTACACCAAGTGGAATTGGCCTCAGCCCGTATTACTCAAACCGATTGAAGATGGTCCCCTACAAGTCCGTGTGTGGAATCCTCGGATTTATCCACATGACAGGCAACATAGAATGCCTGTTATCACTCCAGCTTATCCGTCAATGTGTGCCACGCACAATATAACCAACTCCACCCAGAAGGTTATACTCAAAGAAATTGCAAGAGGAACTGAGATAATGGATCAAATTTTCTCGGGAGAAAAGAATTGGTCTGCTTTGCTCCAGAGGCATACATTCTTTCATGACTATAAATTTTATTTATGCGTTGTTGGGGCTACGATTGGCAATGATGAAGACCACCATAAATGGAGCGGCCTTATTGAAAGTAAATTACGTATCCTTGTTCAAAAACTCGAAGTTTCTGATGGCATTGCGCTTGCCCATCCGTACGTGAAATCGTTTACATCATCGTACTACATGGGAGACTCAAAGACTGAAGATATATTGGCTGCATTTGGGTGTCTTCTGGGAGATGCCGTTCTTAGTGGCCTTCAGAAACCTGTCGAAGATGCTAAAAATGTTGACAATGATTCTAGCATTTCAGAGCAAAAAGTAATTCACCTCACGAAATTATTCATTGGATTAGACATCAGTCTTGTTAGAGAAGTGGGCGGGGTGAAGAAGCTCGACATACAATATCCATGTTCTGAATTCTATAATCTTTGCAAGAGCTCTACGCTGTTTGAAGAGGGCAAGAACTTCATTCAGATCAAGAATGTCAAATTGCACGATTTACCAAATGATGTATATGAAGACGGAGAGGAACGGCCTGTTAAAACCGGTAAGAAGCGAAAAAAGGATGGCAAAGCGGAGCAATTGAAAAGGCCAAAGGGTATAACGCCCACAGCAGCGGCATAGCTAGCTAGCTTCAAGGCTCTGATCATGCGTCTTGGGTCATGTTAAGTACACATCTTCTATACCATTAATGAAAGCATTAGTCTGAGTCTTACATGTAGTTCTCGAACCTGTCTGTTGTTTCGTCTTGTTGAGTGTCTTTTCTAGCCAAGGTATGAACTCGTCAGTACCCCCTGTTTCGTTATAAACTGACGCGTATGTGCTCCAGATATGTTTATTGACATCTTCACTCCAAGCTTTCGCGAGTAATGAAGAAAGCTTCTTCTGGGACGCTGAATCTTTTGCAGCCCTGGAATAAAATATCCGAAAAGCAAGAAAGCCATTTAGCCTTCTTCCACAAGTCGTTTTACGACGTTTTGATCTGTTAGATGGCTTGAACAAGTCAATGTCGCTAATGTGCGCGTTGCATTCTGCTAAGCTTCGTCTGACGGACTCAGAGGCTTTGGGCAAAGGCGGTATCTGTATGATGATACTCGAGAGGCCAATGCAAGATACTTTTTTTCCCATCATCTAGTTGGTTTATGTATTTATTCATGTTCCTCAGGCAGCCTTAAGTATTTTCTTAACGGGCAAGAATATGCATATTTCCTTCGTTTTCGCGTTTCACCTTAACTCAAGTGTAGATGCCCTGCGTAATCAACTGAAATTGATCGTAGAGTCTTGTATACATGCTCCCTAAACTCTTTCCGATGAGCGAGATTTCGACAAATTCGTCCACTTCTTCGTCTTTCAATTGTAGTTGTAACCTATTCTTGAGAAGAACGCTTGTATTGTCTCCATTGTTGAAGCAAGGAAGATTGGAGTCTTTCTGCATAATTTCAACCATATTGATTATCCGGTCGCTTTCCTTTCTAAGTGCTTTGAAACACTCTTTGCACAATGCTTTGAATTCTCCAAAAAGATCGCTTTCAAGACCACCCAATAGTTCAATATACTCCATTGTGAGCTTAAATGGAGCAGCTTCGAAGCCAAGACTTCCCGGGGAGTTCGACAAGAGAAAGCCAAAGTCGATGTGGATAATATGCCCTTCATCATCAAGCATTATATTTCCGTTGTGCCTATCTTTTATTTGTAAGACATAACAAATGATTGAATAGGACGCTAAACTCTTTGCAAAATTCGCCTGTGCGCACCTGTAAGCCGCAGAAGCAGGATCTCCAAATAGCTTCTCAAAATAGTCTTTCAATGAGAATATTCTGCCTCTGGCATTACTGCCCGCAGCTATGGAGATCTCGGTCAACGATTTCTTTATAGAATGAATCGAAATAGCGTTTGTAATGGTTTCAACAAGACCGGTATTCGCACTGGTAATCAAAATTTTCATTCGCTTGGTCCACAGAGGAATTTGTTTGGAGGACCAAACGTTGGAAATCATGGTAATGAGTTGGCATGCGAAAGCCTCCTGAGGAAGATCCGACCCATTTTTCGCAATGACAGAGCATAAGTCCCAGTTTGGTAGCTTTCCATATATGCTGGACTTCCTAATTCTTTGCTTTTTGGCATGCCAGTCTTCCGCCAATTTGAAGTCGTTTTCGAGTTTTCTTTCTCCAGCATTCGGATCATTTCCCTTCAAATGGTTGAATTTCTCATAGTCAATCGACTCGAACTGATCTTGCAATGCGATCATTGATTCAATGATACGATTCTTTATTGCAGAAGATTGCTCAGATGTTGCTTGCCCCGATGCTTCTAATTGTTGTAACATCACAGCAGCGATACGCATCTGATCTGCTCTATTCTTTGAGGCGACATCAAGGGGGTTTGACGAGCTGGCTGATATTTTTTCAAGAACATCCATATGAGACACACCCGTTCTTAGTGTATCATCGTAATCAATTTGCCGCGAAGTCTTCAAATCAGACAAGTCCGCTTCAACACTTTGAGATGTATCTTTGATGGACTCGAACGCTTGACTAGTCACGACTGATTTTCTGGTGGAAGATCCGCTTCTTTGTGTGGATGAAGATCCTTTCAGAAGCAAGACTTTATTGGACGTAGACGATGGATTGAAGTCAATCTCATCACTTAAGAACTCCACGAACATCAAGAAAGGCACTCTTTCCGCTGAGTTTAGAACACAAGCCTCATTAACACTAAGCTTGAGAAGTTTGTGGTATTTCTTATTGCGAGTGCTTGTGTAGGGAAGAAGTTGGGGGATGTCAACCTCCGCTGGAAGTAGAGTATCATTGATGATCGAAAGCTCAGCACGAAGGGCTGACAATCTGGCTTCCTTGGGTAGTTGAGATAACCTTAAGGAGATGTTCTGTAATGCCAAGATGAATTCTGTCACGTTTTTTGAGTAATTCAGCTTCAATAACTTGACAGGGTCGATGTCAGTGCCTGATGAGAGCGGCGTCAGATTAAGCGGAGATGGTGCCTTTGTGCTTTCCTTGAACGGGAAGAAATCCACGCTTGGCAGGCTTAAATCTCCGTAATCTTTTGTTGATGAAGACGAACTCAAGTCAGGCATGGAGTGAGAAAATTGCTGACGCTTCTCCGATTGCATCGAGAGACGAGGTGATTTGATGACCGACTCCGCAGAAAGCTTTTCTTCCATGTACTTGAGAAGCGTAACGCTTTCTGAATCACGAGGAGCAGCTTTAGCATTGAAAGAGTGATGTCTCCTAAGCGGTTTGCTCGTTGGCAATTGGTCCACATCGTCATCACTAGTATTAAATTCAGAATCATCGGACGCAAAGCTGGAGCTTGAATACTTCTTCTGGCGAGCAGAAGATTCCGAATGACGCTCAGGCTTCGTATTTTGTCGAGCTCGTGGCTCCCTGCCTTCGTCATCCGATTGGGCCGATCTTTGTTCCCCTGAAAGTTTTTGGTTTTTAAGAGTCAAGTTCTTTGTGAGCACCTTTTGGAAATTTGCAAGCTTGAAAACGAATGACCTCTGCTGTTTGCCCTGGACTGAGAGAATGGGTTTGGTATAGTTATGGATTTTTGGAAGGCCAAAAGAAGCAGCTAAGGCCCCACAAAGCACGAGTGATGGATGTAAGTTCTCACGGAACTTTGGCACTATCAGAGCCTCGTATGGATTGAAAATCACGTCTTGAAGTTTGTTAATCAATCCTCTCACTACTTGAAAGGAATAGGAGTTGGGTTCGTCTTTCAATTCAAAAACGTAAGCCTGTAGATGCCAAAACACAATTAGGCTGAAATGTGTATACTTCATGCAATATTCCAAGAGGAAATCTTCAAGAGCCATCGAGTTCGTCTCGAAAGAAACAAAAAGCTGGAGAAGTTGGGGTATCAAAAACTCCAAATCGTCATATTTATAAAGACGGAGTTTCTTCGTGAGGTAGAAGTGCACGCCAATCTCTCCAGAGTAACGACGCAAGTAGTCAACACACTGGAATACGTCGAAGTCTGGCGAGTTAATCTCTTGGTATAGCTTTTCTGAGTCTTCCACCATGCTGGTGATCTTTGGCGGTACAAGGTTTCGCTTTTCTGGTTGTTCACTTTTATGTACGTATGCAGTACATTTGACGTACGTAGGTCGCAACAGTACCCATGCACCCAGGCACAGGATGCAGCGTAAGGGCAAAAGGACTTGCATTTATTAAAAATGAATATAATTCGAAATAAAACTTAACGAACACTCTATTCTACTCTGACTGCGTTATAGAATCAAGCTCTATCTTGCGGTACAATTCTGAACAACTCGTTCAATTTAAACTTCATTTCTTCAGGCGAGTCATTGCTGACATCAACCAGACAATTGACGATGAAGGGAATCTCACCATCCACCTTACGGAAAATCTTCGGTTCGAATTGTTCCCCAGTTTCAGCTCTCTCTCTTGCCTTGACTCTTTGTTCCTCCTCGATCTTGAACTTCTCATCCGTGGCCGTCCTGTGGTCATTCTCTCCGAGCGCCTTGATAGTACTGTCCCATAATTTACGAGACTCGTGAGGAAGTTGTTCGTCCATCGGCTTCACTTGGAGTGGGTAAGTCTGAGTCTGCTTGGTGTCGAGGAACAACTCCTTGGCACCCTTGCCTTCTTGGATCTCCATTGAGCCATTCCACTTTCCAGTAATTGTGTAAAGAGTCTTCAGGGATTTTAAGTCCTTTACAGTTCCTTCAATAACGTCATAGTCACCAGAGATGAAACCCTTCGTCTTGAACTCAATGTCAGCCTCTAAACCTAATTTCTCGCATCTAATCACCATATGGTCGCCAAGTTCCATTTTGAGCTTTCCAAAAAGGATGCCACGACAGTAGACGTTCGGCTGATTCATAGTATACACTTCATCATCATGCTCGCCGAGTGTTAAGCGAGCGACACCTTCCATCATTGCTGCCAGGGAATTACCCAAAAATTTGGATCTAGGGATAACTACACCATCAGCACGAATCTTCTTCTCGGGAACCATATAGAAATAAGACGACTCGGGTGGATGATGACACGTTTGCTCAGCAACGTAGTATCCGGTCGACTGGTCTGGAAGGTCATCCCAAAAACAAGAGAAAACCTCCCCCAAAACAGGGTTAAGGGGCTTCTTTACCGCTTTTGGGGCGATATGCCATCCTGACAAGTACCACTTAACGATAAGAAGGAACCGTTCAACATCATTCGATGTGGAATTTGCTTCAAAAAGGATTTGGGGTGTGTGAAACGCATTAGTGATGCGCTCCAACATGGATCTCCTCTCTAAGATGAAAGTAGGCAAGGTAATTCTAGTCAAGTCGCAACCAGGGCGCAATTGAGATATGATACCCATAAGAATCGATTGATTCTCAGATCCAATGTCATCTCCCTCCTCTGGAGCCGAAGAGCTATCAGAGCCCCCAATTTTATTCTTCAAGCGATGCAATACCATGGTGATGAAAGATATGTAGTAGGAGACTCGAGTTGCTCAGCAGGCAAACGATAAGACACATAACCGCACATCACATGCATGATTTTTTAGGCAAAGCACGAGCGCAAGAGAAGGCGGAGATTTAGAATGAGAAGCAGGGCCTGTTCCCAACTCGGTAAAAGAACGAATTTCCTTCATTTACCCCAAGAATAATCTTTTGGAACCCGTAGCGATCTCCTATGAGAACTTCTTGCCCGGCATGAGGCTCTACCCCTGTATCTACTATGTACCTTAATTATATATGCGAACCTGAAACACACGTCGCTCATATAAAGAGCCAGAATCCGGCTAAAAATATTGGCCAGTATGAGCGAAATTGATGAATCAGCCGCTGTGGTGGAGCTTACAAAAGTTCATGACGAACTCAAGGTGTTGGCCTTGACTTTGAGCTCAGTGAGAGTTATTGACCCTCACGAATTGAGCAAGGAGTTGAATGACCATATTTCCAAAATACGACCTTTCCTAGAACGTTCTCAAGAATTATTCGACAAGCAACCTGAATTGCTAGAAGATATAAACCATCTCGCGCATACATGTCTCAAGATGGCGGTTTTAAGAGAAGGCCTTGAAAAGAAGTAAAAGGAGGTCCGGATCTCTTCACGATACTTTCTTCGTGACATTCTACTTTGAAATGAAGCTCCAGCAGGATAAAAATTTGCTATGAAGCTACGAGAACCATTTCCTTATGGTTGACTTCTGGTTGCTGTAGTCGCGGGGTTGAGAAGGTGCTGGTGAATTCCAGGCTCCGAGACCGAAGTAACGCAAAACAAATTCAACGTCACCGATCTCTGCTCTGTCTCCTTGAATTGCGACTGACGGTGGACTTTGCTTGGAACCATTGCCGTTACCTGTAAAGACCTTCTGAGCGACCTTGCGCACGTCGTCTATTGTGAGCGCTTCGATTTTCTTTACCATCTCATCTACAGAGGTTATTTTATCCTGGCACTGAACTTGGCGGCCAATGTCTTCCAAAGCTGCCAATTTGCTCTCAACATTCATCAAAAGTGAAGATATGAGCTGGTTTTTAGCCCTGCGGAACTCTTGAGAGGTTATGCCGCCCTTACTAATGTCTGTCTCAAGCACCTTGGCAAACTCGTGGGCAGCAACCTGCGCCATATACTCCTCGTGGCCCAAGTAGCATGAAATAGTTATTCCAAAAAGACCCAGATCAGTGTAGGCATGATTGAAACTCAGGCAATTCTCGACAAATGGATGTTGATTCAACACCCGAAAAAGTCTCAGGAACATACCCTTTCCAGGACCACCAGCTGAGAAGGATGAACCACCCCCAAAAAGTTTCTGAAGAGTAGCTAATGCGTATAATTCATCGCTTAGCAATCCAGCGGTCTCAAATGCTATTTGCATGTGTACTAGTTTAGGTAAGTTGCTGTAAAGTGGCTCTTGATAGGGCAAGGAAACTTCACCACCTCTATAAACAGCAGGTTCATGAACAATTGGGATTCCCAGGTTTTTCCAATCTCCTAATCGCAGCTCAACCATGTTCAAAGCTTCTTGATGTGGTACGCCAACCATGGCAACAACAGTATTTTCGGGGGTATAGAACTGTTCGTGGAAGGAAGCGATACCCTCTGGACTTAGCCTACTTAAAGAGTCTGCCAGTCCGTGCAAAGGCCTTCCCAATGTACTCTCTTGATAAGCGGCTGCGTGTAGAACTTCCGGAAGGAATAAGTCATGTTTGTGGACAAGCTCACTTAATTCATAGGCGACCGTATCACCAGCCTCTGCTATCTCCAGTGTGGTAAGCTTTGGCTCACGAATTGTCTCAGCAATGCAGTCAAACATCTTATTGACGTCTTTGTTGAATACCAGGGACTGGTACATGATAGATTCTCTCTGGGCACCACACATAAAGTTGCCACCCAAGCGAGCCAAGTCATCCATCATCTGAATACCACTGCGATTCAGAGTACTCTTAAACGCTAAACGGTCCATGATATGAGAATGGCCCGAGGTTTCATCATTTTCGTACCTCAGTCCGGCGTCTATATATGCTCCAAGAGCAGAGAAGTGCCCCGGAGTAGAATCAGTGACCACCCTGAGACCATTAGCAAGTTTGGTGATCTCTATAGGGGATGATGAACTCAGTAATGTCCTTCTCGTGATTCTTGCGCATCTCGATAGCATTATAAGGAATATGGCAAATTGATGTTAATGTCGATTGAATGTTAAGTGATGGGGTCGTGCAAAGGCAAGAGGGACCTTCAAGAAAGGCAACGTAGAAGATTACGAAGTAAATATTTATTCACTGAAAAGACGTTGATAAAATGTCCCTATACAAATCCTCATTGGATAACTCTCTTTATTGGGATTGATTTGTCAGTGTCAGTGGTCTTCGGCCTGGCTGATTACGCGAAGTGGGTGCGAAAATCAACCGAATGAAAGTTGCGATGCCAACAAGAGCAAATCAATTACCTATCGGAGAAAAACATGATCCTTAGAACAAACTCTTTAGTAAAGCCAAATTCTCTCGGCTGGATGATCAGCTTTATTTAAACTTAGGTAAAGGGCATGATTTTTAATTTACCTTTGCAGAATCATAGTTTAGCTAGAAAACTCAAATTGTGCTAAAAAACTGCGCATACGCACCCAAATTGTGAAAGAACAGTTATCCTCATGTAATTCTACTTGCAATATTTCCCTCCTAAAGCAGTGTATCGTACTGACATTAAAGATCCAGAAGAGCATATTTAGATCAGAAAAGGTAATTGAAAAAAAAAAAAGTTAACTTTCTCTTAGAGTCAACGCACATCCGTAGAATTCCTTGCCCTCTTCTTGAAGTATAGTATATGTGCAACCACCTTATCGCTCCAAGACTCAAGGAAATTTGAAGGTATAGGTCGCATTAACATATGGCATGAGGGAAGCCCCATGGCTCCCGTCCACCCCGTCCATCCCCTCTGGAGGAGGAATCTGCTCGCGACTAGCATCGAAGCAGCGTCTTTTATCGAAGGTAAATCCTTAGCCATCTAAGATTCTAATGTACATTTACTTGCTTTGTCAATCTTTCCCTGTTTTAGGTGCCGCAGAATGCCTGTCTCTCGTAAAGTGTGGTGTTGCTGATCGACACGAGTCTAGGAATTTGCTACAACTATCTGATAATACTGATCAAAGAGGCTAATAAACTCATTTAAAGAAGTCAAAGACTTTCAATGTTGCGAGTACAGCCACAGAACAGCATGGGAAGCCTCGGAACCATTTCCCATTCGGAACTGTTCCTGAATGATCTCGTGTATGTAAGGTTCCTTATATTGCACAGGATATGCGTCAAGAATCTGTTGAGAGATTATAATAGCCGTTATAATCGTACAAAGTCGAGATATGGGTTGAAATGAACCATTCTAAAATTATACGGCGTTTAAAAAGCAAAGACAGATATTTTAAGATTAATTTCGAAGTTTGAGCAGCCAGGGAAGATGTTATTTGGATGTTATAACCTGCAGGTCTGGCTGCAAAATCTGGGGTATAAAAGAAGCGCATTTGTGATTTCCCCAGGTTTCTTCTTCCTACTACCTTCTTTTCGTTCAACAACCTCCCGGCCACGATGAGATTTGATCAGCAAGTTCCGACTTTTATTTGCCGACCCTTATCGTCGCCGAGCGACCACTCGGGGCCTCAGCCCCTCCAATTTAGAAACGGCGTTCCTTTGAAGCAGTTTCCACCCAACCATTTCCCACAGAAGTCTGCCAACTTCTCTCACAACCCCTCCACCTTGGAGATGACCACCTTCCCACCTGTCGCCCTCCCAGGCGCTGATGATACCCCTTCTTCCCCTAAGAAGAAGAGCTTTTGGCGTCGTCTCTTCTCCAGGAGACGCAGCCGCAAATATGATGATGCTACCAAACCAGATGATAACCACCACGAGAAAGCCTCTTTCACTTCCAAGAGACATACTCCGATCACCACAAGGCTGGCCCATGCCGCCGACAAGCACGTCGTCGTTCTCAAGGACGCCTTGGGTTTGAACACCCGCGTTGACGACGAAACACCAAAGCCATATGGCACCCCGGAAGGCACAACCTATGAAGCCTTCCAGCGCATGAATGGCAACCTTTTCCCTTCACTTGAACAACCTTCGTTCGTGATGAAGCCCATTGATTCGACGACTAACGCCTTGGAGTTTAAACAAGGTAACCTTAGCGCCACTTTCAGACTCAAGTCTTTCCGCTTGCAGAAGTCAAGCGATGGTTCTCTCTCTTGGAGGCCTTCTGCCGAGGTGCCCCGGGAGTCTCCCTCCTCTCGGATTGAGCTCGACAAGATTACCGCTGCTGCTTTTGAAGAGAGACCCGTCGCCCTTCCTGATCTTCGCTCGCTGGAGACTTATGCTCTGGTCGGCTGTAGCCCCGTTCCTAAGTGGGCTGCCGACATCGCCGAGCTTCGTAAGAACATCCCTGATGCAGAGAATCTTACCATCTTCCAGGCGCTTCGTTTTGCCCAAAAGGCAGAGAAGAATCCTGTTCTTGCCGAGCTCATCAAGGAAGTCGCCTACAATGAGTTCATCAACTACGACACTGAGAACGTTAAAGCCTTGAAGGCTGACGGCGCCTTTGCTCGCTCACCTCGTGAGTCTTTCGCCGGTCATTTTGAGGAATTGACTGCCAAGTACGTGTCGTCCTCGTCGCCTTCCAGCACCGGGGTCCCCTCCTTTAGACCCCGTGCCGCCCTGGTCCACACCTTCGTCCTGCCTTCCCACAGCGACAAGGCTGTTGATGGCCAAGCCCAGGCTAAACGTTCTAAGCGTCGTCGCCTTTCCTTAGCCCTTGGTCGTCTTTCTCGTCGTTGGTCCTCTCGTGCTAAGCTCTTTAGGGAGCACTGGCGTGAGGACCGAGTCCACAGGGACTCTGCGAAAGAGACTAAGAGAAGCATCAAGGTAGAGAAGCGCAACATTGCTTTGTTGGACAAGGAAAAGCAGTTGTTGCAGTTGCAGTCTCAAGTTCTGAAGGCCTCCCACCAGAAGGCACAAGAAGAGAAGGACCACCAGCAGGCTGAGTACCACAGACAACTCGCCGCTAAGCAGGCCGCTCAGAGAAGAAAGTTGGAGTTGTTGGAGAACAAGGCTGTCGCCACCGAGGCTGGTAGAAAAGTTGCTGCCGCCTTGAAGCGTAATAAGGTCTTGCTCGACAACGAGGTTAAGTACCAGTTCGAGAAGGTTTCTCCCCAAACCTCTTCAAAGACCTCCTCCTCCAAACGTTCTAAGAAGAGCACGTCGACGCTGATGACTACTCCTACAGTCAGTCCTTCTGTTTCCCGTCCAGGCAACTCCTCTTCTAAGGTATCACCAAAGCAAGGCCTTGCTGGTAAGGACCCCAATGGTTACCTCGATGACAGAGAAATGGAGGAGAACCCTTGGAACATTGGTGGAGACGTTGAGCTTCGCAGCGTTATTGCAAAGGAGAGACCGCTTCTTGGAATCAAGCCCAAGAAGACCGTCGTCGGGTCTCGAGTCGTCTCCGTTGCCTCTTCTGTTCATTCTGAGGAATCGGAATTGAAACCTTTTGTTCCTGTTCCTTACAGGCCTACCACTGATGCCTACTATCATGGCTTTGCCATTCCTCGTGTCGACGCCCCTCCTCCTCCAAGACCTACGGGTGCTCCCTTCTGGGAGAGGAACGAGTGGGTGAAGAACCGCATGGCCATGAAGGGTAAGATGACCAGATACATCGCTACACCTGAAGAGGTGTTGCAGGTCAAGGCCAAACTCAGGTCTATTCCATTTGCCATGGACTGGTAATACGTGCACTTTTCTTGTGATCATTTAGTCTCGTTTTGACTTTCTCGTTGGTTTATCATCATCATCATCATCATCATCATCATCATCATCATCATCATCATCATCATCATCATCATCATCATCATTATCATTATTATTGTTGAGCTACATCCGTTTGGGAGTATCTTTCTGGCAGGTTAGATAATCCGCTCCTTTGTATGCCAAGGTATTATTTAAAAAGCCCTATCACGTAGCACGTAGAACTGCAAGTGACATAGGTCACCGATGGAACATGGTGCAATAGTAGCTAAAGCAAGCACTAGTAATAGATCTACTTTTCTAGATATCGTGGAATCGTGCCTCAGGATGGTAGTATACTGGACACAGCCAATAGGGCCTTCTAATGTCATCCCAAACACTCCCATTTTCCTCATTTCCTTTAGCCATTGTCTCCTTGGGAACAGTAACTTCCTTGAATTGTAACTTCATACCGTAGTTACCGAGATCGATCTCGACCAACTTCTTGTACACTTCGTAAATGACCTGTCTGTCGGCTCCAAGCCCGTTAAAGAAAGAGAAGACACCACTTGGCTTGAGGAGGCCAACAACAAAGTCAAAAAGTTCGAGCATATCTTCGTAATGTTCAGAGAAAGTGTCATAATAGATTCCGTCGAAGTAAACTTGGCCGGAACTAAGAACGTTGTTTAGCAGATCTTGCCAGCGGCCTTCAAGAATTACCACATTGGGCTTAGAGTACCAACCATCTTCCTTCATCTTGGCGAGAACGTCGGGATGAGCCTCGCAGATGTAATGTTTTGTAGGGGTTTTGGCACTTATCATTGTATCAATAATACCCATCCCGAACCCTATATTGAGGATGTTCACATTTTCTGGATCATCAGCAGTGGCAAAGAGGGACTCGCTACCAATTTTCATTAAATCAGTTTCCCACGACATCATGACGCCATCTTTTCCATTCTCAGTGACCAAAGCATCGTTCTTGTATTCTAGTTTGGATTCGAGATACGCCTTTTGGTTGAAAGATGGATCTTGCGATTCTTCAATTACTTCATCTGTGGCGTTTTCTAGGACATCATTGTTTCCAGACTTGCCGTCATTCTTACCGGCCTCCTCTTCAACCGACACACTACTTTCCCCCTCGCCGACGAGGTCAGGAATCTCATCATCACTGAGGACCTCCATGTCGAACTCACTCACCTTTCTCAATAAAAGTTCCGCACGGACACCGGCATCAACAATTTGATCATACAACGGAGTGTCCTTCAATTCTCTCTTTATCAAGATACATCCAGGAGTGTCGTTGTTCACGTCAGTAAGACACCATCCGGCTCCATACTCAAAAAGCGTTCTTACCATATCGTTGACGATATCCATTTCAGCCTCTGAGAGGTCTTTTGGAACGTGAGTCGCTATAAGATGAAGCGGAGTAGTGGTCGAAGTAGCTCCACCTTCTTCGATGCCATTAGTGAAGTTATATGCTTCCTCAATTGTATAGGTGGCCGGGATTCCGGCCTTCAAATAGTACTTCAATTCATCCAAAGACTTTGAAGTGATTGGACGGAAAGGAAATTTGCACAAATCATGAAGATCAGACATTATGGTGAATATTAAAGCGATGAATCTGGGGCATCGAGTTGGTGATGAGATCACGTGCCATCTTTTCGAAAATGTACTACCATTGATCAAAGCTTCACGGGGCCATGAGGAGATGAAGGTGGAGCGAAAGATTTTTTAAATCTTTCAGTCTCTCCCTTCATTCTCCCTTTTTTTCTATATGACCAAGAAAGAAGACGTCAGTTGCTCAGAGAGTCGTGGGGGATTCTCATGAAAGCGTCTATACGACATCTTACATCAGTTCTTTGACATGGCTTGACATAAAACGATAATGAGGCAATTTACTTAATAAAGAAAAGAAGAGAAGCAAATAATAAAAGGAAATGAACGGAAAGAGTTTCCAAAGCAACCTTTTATCTTTTTATGCCATCATAGGCAGCAAAACTGTTGTCTTCCAGGTGAAAGAAGAGCCAATACAACGCAAGACCTCGCAGCAGAGCTACAAGTGTTGAATGCCCCTATAGGGCCAATTGGGCCGCGTTAACGACCTCTCAGACTTCATTGGCCCAAGTGTGTAACTACTGCCATGCACCCCGCCAATGCTGCATGACACGCCCGTAAACGCCTTTTTATCAAACGTTAAATCCTTCATTCAGTTACAGTTCTTTCAGGTTTCAGCCAATGCTGATTTGCCTCATTAGTGAATGTAATGCATGTTAGGAGCACAATAGCGAGACGCCCAGGCCGTATAGGCGTTCCACTGAATCCTGATCACCACACAAGCCTACACCACATAAGCCAATTTGATATGCCCGTGTTCATGTCTTACCAATCTTCATCCCCCCTTAATACAAAATTTTATAAAAATGACCATCCGAGCCACCATTAGCTGAAGTCTGTATTGCCTGAATTCATTTCTCAAATAATGCTTGCCAGTGCGTCGTATTTTACGAAGGATGGCATTCTACTCTTTTTTTTTTTTTTTTTTTTCCTTATTTTTCAACAATTTTCTACCTGTCAACTGCAGGCAGCTGTTCCCTGACATAATTTCTCTGGATTCAATAGAACACGAATTTTGCTTTGTCCCTAACCTGCCTGCGTTTCATCGGTTTTACAAGCTTTTGCAATGACAGGCTAAGAACGGTATGAAGATATGAAACTAAACAATGTGATTCTCAATTCATAAGAGGAGAATATAGAGAAGTAATGGACGAAAATACGCCTGGCTTTCTTCATGAGCTTGACCCCTTTCATTATCTGATTGGATCAGTGGTACGCCCCTAATAGCCGCATATCGGCCAAAGTGGGTGAAAATCAAATGCAAGTTGTAACAGGAAGCACAAGAATGAGACGAGTGCTGCAACTACCTCCTTTGCACAGTAAAACGCCCAGATTTTCAGAGCCTGCCTAGATTTCAATTTTTGGTCGCCTCACAATACTACATTTTGGCAGCTGTCAACGCGGCCAAGAAAATATGCCCCACCTGTCAAATTCAGGGCCCGGAAAATCGCAGCCAACACTATATCACAGATGGGAACGCAAAAAAAAACCTGGGTAAGCGATTCGTTGTAGCATGGATAACATGAAGTATGGTATGAAATCTCGTCAACACCTCTTGTGCCTGGCTGCGAGCGTACTTACGAAGCCTCGTTGACGCCCGCTTGGAACCGCACCCATTGGCTACTTTGCTAACAATAGCCGCTCCGACGCATTTATGCATAAAGATGGTCAGAGATAAACCGTACCTAATTGGGCGGATGGCACTTACTCGTGAAAACGCCTCGGCTTCAAACGCCATCATGGAGAAACTATGCTGATTTACGAGGTCTCTGTAAAGTACAAATATAAAAAGCCAGGCGTCTGTTCCAGACAAACCTCATCAACATGCTCTTGTTTTTCCTCCCGCTCCTTCTTGGAGTTTCAGCAAAAATTCTGAACATGGAGTTCTATGGCGAAGGAGGTATCTCATTTTTAGCTTGTGCTTATTTGAACTCTCATTACCTATTCTGTGAAGAGCCTTCCGACTACGCTTGCTATTGCACCAACGACAATGCCCAGGCATCAGTGATGGGCTGCTTAGCAACTTATGGGTCTTCTTCGGATGCTGAAAACTACTTCATCAAATATTGTGACAAATGGTATGACCTGGAACTCTCTTCAGATATGCTTGAAGAGTCGTATCAGCTTTATTTGGACAAAGCCGCTGACCCACTAGTTGCGAACCCAAAGTTCAACATGACGGCTGATAATATGACAACACCACTTCTAGTGAACACAAGTGCTGCTGAATTGTACCGCGAGTCTTACAAGGTTTTTTTGGGTAACTACGATCACTCAGTCTATTACGGCATAGGAGCTATCAGCTACTGGTTCTTCGTTTTCATTCTAGCTGCTATTGCCAACTGGGGTGTCGTCTTATTTCCGGGATTGAGGGACTTCTTCAACGGTAGAGTCTCTAAAGCATGGAGGAAAAATGTGACAGTGCCAGCCTTATGGTCTCGTAAGAGACTGACTCAACAGGACTTTTTGGGTGGAATTCTTAGTTTCCTCATTCCTTCTAGATTAGAGTCACTCCTCCTTGTGATATTCTTCTGGTTGGTATTTGCTTTGTTGGTTGTTGAGATTCGTTACATTCCCAATGATCCGCTTTTTCATACAAGGAAAGAGGCAATTACTCGGTTTGTTGCCGACAGAACAGGCATTATTGCTACTATTACTGTCCCGTTACTCATTCTCTTTGGAGGAAGGAACAATATATTGCAATGGTTTACCAGATGGGACTTCGCTACATTTATTGTTTATCATCGCTGGATTGCAAGACTAATGGTTGCAATGGCGTTTGTTCATTCCGTATGCTTCTCGGCTCTCTACGTTATGGACGGTATCTATTTTGAGGAGATGGCGGAAACATATGTCACTTGGGGTATTGTGGCTACAGCATGCGGAGCCATTATATGCTTTCAAGGCCTACTTTTCCTTAGAAGAGCATATTACGAGACTTTCTTGGTAATACATATCATCCTCGCCGTCATTTTTGTTGTTGGGCTTTGGCAACACATTTCTGTGTTAAACTACCCACAGCTTGTCTATCCAATTTTTGCCGTGTGGGGAGTGGATCGCTTAGTCAGAGTGATAAGAATCTTATGGTTTGGTTTTCCGCTTGCAAAAGTTGAGCTTATTGCGGAAGACGCCATAAAAGTAACAGTTCCAAAACCAAGAAATTGGAAGTCTATACCCGGTGGCCACGCATGGTTGCATTTTTTACTGGGTTGGTACTTTTGGCAATCTCACCCTTTTACTTTTGTTGAAATTACAAAGGACTATGGAACTGATATCGTGTTTTATTGCAAGGTAAAGAATGGGGTTACTAAAAAGATTGGAAGAAAATTGGCAAACGTCCCAGGAAGAGCAATCTATATGAAGGTTGCAGTCGAAGGCCCTTATGGTGAAACCAGCCCTGTCAATCGTCATTCTAATGTCACATATTTTGCCGGAGGTAATGGTATTCCTGGTATCTTTGCTGAAACTCTCACCTTGGGCAAGCAGGCTGCAACGAGATCAACGAACAATCAAAAGATAAAACTTGTTTGGATAATGAGGGAAATGAAGTCTTTAGCTTGGTTTGCCGAAGAGTTAGAGATGTTATGCCGTTTACCGGTCGAAGCTACCATCTATATAACAAGACCAGAGATGCGAGAAGGAATAGAAGATCTAGAATGCGTTTTTCAAAAAATGACTGAAGACAAGGTATTGGCAAACAATTCTTCGAATGACTCAGAACATTCAGCAGAGAAAGCAGACGAGAAAGAGTTGAAGGGGGAAGTTGACACAACATGTGTTGAGACTCTCGAGAGAGCTAGGAATATGCTCCCTCATGTAACAATTTTGGAAGGTAGACCGGATCTTTCCAGTTTGGTCAAGCTGGATATTGAGGAATCATCCGGTTCAGCAGCGTTTGTGACGTGTGGACATCCAGCAATGGTTGATGACTTGAGGTATTGCGTCTTGAAGGCAATGGACAATACAAACAAGAGAGTTGACTTTTACGACCAGCTACAGGTTTGGGCGTAAAATGTTCTTTACCCATGGACCGAACTAATATGCTCTGCCTGATAGCTATCTTTAATAAATAACATAGGGGCTATACACTATTGTTCCTAACCTTTTCTACTAATATTTTTGTTCTCCTGTAGCTCCAGCCCTTGAATCCTCAACCTTATCGGCGGAGTTGAGAGGAAAAAGGCACTGATCAGGAGAGGTATGATTCCATATGAGGATTGAAAGTGGAGCCAGATAGTTCATGACTACTTTAATGTCCGATTGAATTGATAAAATTGCTGTGGTATCCTCGGTCAGTCAAGACTGATACGTTGCCCGACCCCTGTAGTTCCATTTCGGGGAAATTTCGGCGAATTCAGCTTTCAAAATTGATTCGGAAAAGTGTCATTTTGATATTTTTGAAGTATTTTTTTCGCTGAAGCAGAGGCATACATGGAGCCAAATAGTCGATAAAAAACCAGCTTCTAGGACCATTTCAGAAGAAGACAAGCTCTACTAATAACAAGTTGAACAGACGCTTCATGAGTGTCAAGATTGAATGCTAAGAAGTGCCCTTAAGAAAAGTTGATGTCTCAGTCTTAAAAAGCAAGATGGAGTGGCGAGACAAGTAAGTGTCATTGCGTGGGCTCCTAGCTTCTAGAAAATAAGATCGAATAGAGGTTGCCGCAGATCTCACATTTCGTGATGTCAGACGTAGAAGGACACAGAAAGAAAGTAAAATGGGTCAATAACGGCGCGTCAAAAGCAACGATCATCACCATTGCAGAAGCGTAAATGGCATCCTTAACGGCGAGCCGAGGACCCTACATGCCTCATGCAGAGTAAAGAGTGGCGGATGTAGATTCTTGCTGCTTCACTGGCATTTACGGGGAAAGGAAGATGGTCTGTTTTTGATACATCTAGTTCAGAAATGCCAAATCTAATTTTCTGAGCCATATAGCCTTATATAGATATAAAAAGTCCAACTAAGTAGTATTACTTGCCTTTTGCAGATGCTTCAAGGCTTTTGTGACACTTTGTTTTTTTTTGTTTTCTTTCTTGTGCTGGTATTGTCGTTCCTGGAAAAATGTTTGCTCGCGGACTTAAATCGTATGATCCAGTGGAGTGATGCAGCTTGAGTTCAGGACGATGTAGGACAAAACCGCGCGGATAAGCGAGGTAAAGTTTGAATTGGTAGTAAGAGTCCAGAAGTATGGCCTAAAAAAATGAACAGGGAATGACAATGAAAAGATCTTAGTTACATTATATCTAACAAGGATAATCAGGATTTGAATGTTGGCGCCAAAGTCATCGAGGAACACAGTGATAACCATAATTGCTCGTTTTGCATCAGTTTCTGCCGCAGCACTGGCACTTCCTGACCCAAGCAGAATAAACGACCAGAAAAACCCTCGATATGACCTGCGACCGCCAAACCTGACAGTATAACTATGCACGTTTGTTTAGAAGAAGAGAAATATTTTGTAGACACTTTTCCTACTTGCTTCTTTTAAAGACATCTCCTGCCCTTGACCCATATTCCGCCTGCAGTACAGATAGCCTGAACCAAGCACCTCCAGGAAAGAAAAAGTAACATCTGAGAAAACCACCCCACCATTGATGATCCCCCAGAACGACCGTCGCAAGACGTCTCGCCTATATAATAACCAGCTACCGTCTCTATTTGATGGTCCTGCTGAACCCCCGCCACAACAAGACTTAGACCCTTCCGCTATATCGGCTCCTACCCAACCCGAATCTTTCAGTCCCATCTTTGAAGAAGCACCCTCCCAGAATCCGAACGACCCTAATTCTATGGACTTTTCGTACCCACGCATGCAAAATCCGCCCATATTGGACGAGCATCCTCTAGATTACGACCGGGACCGTCTTCCATATGAGCCGTTTGCTGTAAGCCCAGCAATGGGTAATGACTTCTCCTCGCTAAACCCCATGGGCTACGCTCACATTGACCCCAACTCGAACAACCATTCGGCAGGATCGACCTCTGGTTCAGCTCTGACTCTGGGCCCACCTTCGGCACCGGCCCTGACCGAGGGCCTGGTCAGACTACCTCCCCACCACCATCCACAGCAGCCGCATCTTAATGGCTCCATGGGCCGCGGGATCAACGGCATGGCATCGTTTAACAACCCTCAATTCCTCTCGGGTAATTACACGGGACTCAAGAAGTGGGATGATGAGGACTCACAGACCTCTCTCCAAAACACTTACAATGAGAACGCTCAAGCAGGAGGACACGCCAACACCAAGCCCCAGCAGCCTGTACGTGCAAAGTCTGCTCACAATTTGATTGAACAGCGATACAGAAATAAGATTAATGACCGCTTCACAGCTCTTCAGATGCTGGTACCTACCCTTCGTGTCATTGCAAAGAAATCACACAAGAATAGATCGGGCTCAGTTGGCTCGCGTGAAGAGGATGACGAAGAGGAGGATGACATTTGCACTCCACTGCTTGAGCATGCCGAAGACCTTGAAGGCTTGGAACCCGCCAGAAAGCTCAATAAGGGCACTATTCTAGCCAAGTCGATCGAGTACATCAAGTTTCTCGAGCGTAAGAACGAAAGAATAAAGATGGAGCACCGTGAATTGATCGAAAGAGCCAGAATGATGGGTATCCAAATCGATGAAAGTTTGTTGGATGGCCGTTAATATGCTTCCTGAGGTTGTGATAACATATGTATGTTTCCCTGTACAATGGCAGACGAGTTATAGGAAAGCTAACCGTTTATTGTACATCGAGCCAGCTATCTTAGAGCGATGCAGTATTTTCCCGTCGTTTGTTTCGTCATTACTTTACTTCTCTTCCACACTGTCTACGCAAATTTGCAACCATTCTTACGCGCATGCGATAAAGCATGCTTTCGAAGTACACTAGTAAGCTCACGGATAGGTAATTTATAAATATTTGATTATTGAATGTCATGTAAGATGACTCTAATTTGTCCGACCGTTGCCCCTCATGCTGCTTTGGCGAATAGCAGATGTGCAATTATAAGTTCAGACACATCTCCTGACCTGCCTATCGCGGGCTTCTTATGTCTGCTGACTACTATACGATAAGATATAAAACCGGCTACGACTGTATGGACTCGAAGTATTATGAGAAATTCACTCACTCAAGCATATTTTCCATCTTCTATCCATTTCTTTTCCTGGCCGTTGTTTACTATCATTGCTTTTATCAATTGCACATTCGCTGAACTGAAGACCCTAATAAAATGGTCTCATAAAACCCGCACCCTATTTTCATCTCATGCCATATTATTCGCGTCCCAGGCATCGCACCCGTACACCTTCGTATAGTCCCGTCTTAAGTCCTCATTATATAATGGCATCGTCTTGGCCAAGTACATTAGTTCCTCACTCATTCGCTTCCTAGTTCATCCTAAACATGGCCTTGAAAGACTATCTCGTTGATCTTTTTGATCATTTTCAGGCCTTGCCCACACCGGTGAAGCTTGTGGTGCTTCTTGCGGCCCCTATTGTTTATAATGTTCTTTGGCAGCTTCTTTACTCTCTCAGAAAGGATAGAGCGCCCCTTGTCTTCCACTGGATCCCATGGTTTGGCTCTGCTGTTGCATACGGTATGCAGCCTTATGAGTTCTTCGAAAACTGCCGTGAAAAGTACGGCGATGTTTTTGCTTTTATGTTATTGGGTAAGGTAATGACCGTCTACTTGGGCCCTAAAGGCCACGAATTTGTGCTCAACGCTAAGCTCGCTGACGTTTCTGCCGAGGCCGCTTACTCGCATTTGACTACTCCTGTGTTCGGAAAAGGTGTCATCTATGACTGTCCTAATTCACGTTTGATGGAGCAGAAGAAGTTCGCAAAAACTGCCTTAACCAAGGAGGCTTTCCAGAGATACGTGCCCAGAATTCAAGAGGAAGTCTTAGACTACTTCAAAGCTTGTTCTGAGTATAAGATGACTGAACGTAACAACGGTGTTGCTAATGTTATGAAGACCCAACCTGAGATGACCATTTTGACTGCTTCTAAATCCTTGATGGGAGATGATATGAGAGCTAGATTTGATGCTTCCTTCGCTCAATTATATTCTGATTTGGATAAAGGGTTCACACCCGTGAACTTTGTATTCCCACATTTGCCTTTGCCTGCTTACTGGAAGAGAGATGCTGCTCAACAAAAAATCTCTGCCACCTACATGTCTTTGATCAATGACAGGAGGAAAAATGGTGATATTATTCCTGACAGAGACTTGATCGATTCTTTATTAACCAATTCTACCTATAAAGATGGCGTTAAGATGACTGATCAGGAAGTTGCAAACTTGTTGATCGGTGTTTTGATGGGTGGCCAACATACCTCCGCCTCTACCTCTGCATGGTTTTTGTTGCATTTGGCAGAACAACCAAAGTTACAGGAAGAGCTTTATAATGAGGTTCTTTCAGTTTTGGCCTCCAAAGGTGGTAGCTTAAAGGACTTGGCTTACGACGATTTGCAGAAGATGCCTTTGATTAACCAAACTATCAAAGAAACGTTGCGTATGCACATGCCCTTGCACTCCATTTTCAGAAAGGTCATGAACTCTCTAGTGGTCCCAAACTCTACTTATGTCGTTCCAAAGGGTCACTACGTAATGGTTTCACCTGGTTATGCTCAAACATCGGAGAAGTGGTTCCCCAAGGCAAACGAATTTGACCCTCATAGATGGGACGAAGAATTGCTGGGTAACATTGACTCTGATGCTGTTGACTACGGTTTTGGAAAAGTTACAAAGGGTGTTTCATCTCCTTACTTGCCTTTCGGTGGTGGGAGACATCGTTGTATTGGCGAACAATTCGCATATGTCCAACTCGGAACTATCTTGGCCACCTACGTTTACAACATCAAATGGAAGTTCAAGAACAACGGAACTCTTCCTCCTGTGGACTATCAGTCTATGGTGACTTTACCAATGGAGCCCGCAGAAATCGAATGGGAGAAGAGGGAGACATGCGTGTACTAAATAGGACTAATCTTGACCTGGTAAGAACATACTGACGTAGAAAATGTATATTGGCCTCATGATGGAAGTGGTGCACGGGTCTTCTTGTGACTCAAGCTGAGACTCAGTATTTAGAATTTTTCACTTTAGAGAAGTCACATCACAACCATGTCAAAGTTTGCCTTAAAGGTCCCGGCGTCCAGTGCCAATATTGGCCCCGGTTTTGATGTCTTGGGAATAGGTCTTAACCTCTTTTTGGAGATCCAAGTCACAATTGATGCATCGGTAGATACATCGTCAGACAAGTATCAAGCGAAATTGAGTTACGAAGGGGACGCCGCTCATGATGTGCCTCTCCAAAGCGAGAAAAACTTGATTACCCAGACCGCTTTGTACATCTTACGTTGCAATAACATCGAAAGGTTTCCGCAAGGCACATGCATTCACGTTATTAATCCGATTCCGCTTGGTAGAGGTTTAGGCTCTTCTGGCGCGGCTATTGTTGGCGGTATTATGTTGGGAAACGCTATTGGAAACCTCGGTTTGTCCAAGGAAAGGATGCTTGATTACTGCTTGCTAATAGAAAGACACCCTGATAATATTGCAGCCGCCATGCTTGGTGGTTTCGTTGGTTCGTATTTAAACCAGCTATCTGACGCAGACACAGATGCAAAATCAGTTCCTCTTGAAAACATCTTGCCTAAGGCTAGCACTCCAGCTAGCTCTTATGAAAACAGACCACCACCAAATGATATTGGTCAATACATCAAGTACAACTGGAATAAGAAGATTCGTTGTGTTACCATCATACCTTTGTTTGAAGTTAAGACTGATGATGCTCGTGCGGTGCTTCCAGCTCTGTATACTAAAGAAGACATAGTGTTTAACTTGCAAAGACTAGCAGTTTTGACTACTGCTTTGACTCTTCCCGTGCCGGATCACAAGCTCATATACGAAGCCATGCGAGACAAAATCCATCAGCCTTATCGTGCACAGCTTATACCCGGGCTTGAACAGGTTTTGAATGAACTTACACCAGACTCAAGCCCAGGGCTTTGTGGAATCTGTCTTTCAGGAGCTGGGCCAACTATCTTGTGTTTGGCGACGGAAAATTTTGAAAACATCGCTAAACGAGTCATTGGTATTTTCGAAAATAATGGTGTTGAATGTAAATGGGAGTTACTTGATTTGGCGTATGAAGGTGCTGTCATAGACTACAATTAGGTCTCTTAGAAAAGAACCATGCCATAGATAAACAGCCTCAGGATATCGGCTGCGAACACTGATTGTCATATTGCTGGGCTCATAGGAGCCGATGCAACGAATAGAATCATGATATAGCAAAGGGAGTAAATATAAATATATTTCCGGTAACTTCCTGTTGATTCTTTAGGGGGAATTAAACAACCCGATTGCATCTTGTAACTGTCTTGAGTTACGCACTACTTCGTAGAAACCAATTGTGCAATAACATATTTCGAAAGACACCAGCAACTACTCAATTGCAAAATGACGTCCACCGCTGGTGACTTACTGTCTCAAATCCTCAAGCAAGATGCATTGCAATACTCTTCAACACGCCCCGTTTACTTGAGCAACGTTGAAGTGACTGGTGGTGATTATCTCCTGAGGCAGTTTTTTTCCAAGTTATTGTACCCGTTGGTCGACAAAAGTGACTACACCTTAGGTCAATTATTGCATTCTGTGGATAAAAGCCAGGACAACTTACTTAAGACCAATGTGTTCAGATCTGTGAAGCCATCATTGCATGTTGATTACTTGCATCCGGTTCCAGAAGCATCAACAAACTACAATAGAGAAAAACTGATTCCGACGAAAGTCATCTTCGACTTAGAAGGAGAACCTTCTGTTGGAGGTAATGCTGCGTTGGGATTCAACACAGAAGACAATTTAGAAGTGGATTTGGGGTACTTGAATAACAATTTTAACCGTAATGCTGAGTTGATTAATGTTGGCGTTAATTATAGACCATATAAGCCTTCAGAGCATCTTATCTCATCCTTGAAGTTTGCCTCAAACTTACGTGATCCAACATACAAATTTGTTCTTGATTTATATCACTCGCAATGCAATAACCAGTCATGGCAACTAAATTCAGTCAAGAAATCTGGGGGAACTATTGGAGTTTCATATGGAAATCGCAGTGATCTGCTCTCTGCTTTCTCTGGTTTGGCCTTGACAAAGAGAACCGCGTACGATATTGATGATGGAGCTGCAGATTCTGTCAAGTATTTCGCTGGTAACTTCATCAAGCTGTCCATTATAAACCGTTTGGCCTATAGAAATGTCTCGTATTACGATCAGTTACATCAGGTGTATCCCGAGAATGGCTTCGCTGCTCTTTTGTCGAACGAAATTAGCTCAGATCAAGAGCAAGAGGAAGGTGCACTGGGTCTGACATTTTTTGTCAAACTGGCTCTTTCGCTTAATTTGTACAAATCCTTCTTCAAGAACTCTGTCACTGCTCACGTTTTTAATGAGGCAGGAAATATTTACATTTCGGGTTCGGAAAGCTCGGATGTGCTTCACTTATCAGATAAGTTTTACTTGGGAGGATACAAATCATTCAAAGGCTTTGCAAGAAATAGTGTGAACACCGAAGGAGGCCTGCAATTCTACAGGACAGGCTTCACTGTTTACAGTAGACTTCCTGAGTTTGTTCAGCGCAAGAGGACGGAGGGCAGCCCTCTTCGTTTCTATGCAACAGGACTTGTTGGAAATGTTGGCGACGATGTCTTGAAGAGTAGCACAGGGGCGGCATTGAGCGGCGGTGTTGGTCTCAAATACTTCAACGAATGGGTGGATTTTGATATCGGGTATTTTACGTCTCGGAGATACCGTTCGTCAGATGCTGCTGGTGTGAGGGATGGATTCCAAATGGAAGTATCGATCGGTGGAACCAACAGGCGATAAGCTCCATTTAGTCTGAAGAGCTAGATAGCAAGGACTACTGGTCACTGGCGTGAGCTGACATTGTGGCCTTGCAAGATACGGGAATGAGTGGAACCGCGGCGCACCCTGTGTATTGACTGGTATGGCTCAAACATAAAACTGCAGTACAAGCATAATATACTGATTAGTTTCCTAGATATGATTAAAGAGAACGAAATAATTTCAAAAGTTCTCCTATCTATAGAACACTTCAAAGGTAACATAGACCTGTTTCGTACTGCCATCCTAAAAAATGAATACAATCCCACCAGGAAGTATTTCTCCCGGCTTTTACTTTGGAAAGCTTGTGTGATTACTGAATCATTAAAGTTCAGAGAATGGGAAAGCAAGTTGTCACTGTCTCGCATTATATATCACAGGCTTCGACAAGAGAAAGATATGGCTGTGCCATGGCACCTTCTAGAGGAGGACAATGAGTTTTACTTACTTCCGCAAAGAAGTATGAAAAATGTCCGCTCCCACCATGTCAGACCAACACCTACTCAACTTCACCGAATTGAAAATGTTACCAATGATCCTTTGGCAATGCCTGAAAATGACTTGGAATCTTTAGATCCCGCACCTTTATCGCATTCTCTGCTTGATCGAGATGCCGAACTTCTCGTATCCATCGTGATGGACGTCCAGAGACTTTTTCCAGGTGAAAAGTTCTTCCACGACATGTCGGATAATTCTATAACCCATAAGAGGCAGATAATTACGGTTCTTTTTGTTTGGTCAAAATGCAACCCTCACGTCGGATACAAGCAAGGCATTCATGAGGTTTTAGGGCTCATTTTCCTCAACTTCAAGAAGGAACTGGTTCAGCTTCCAAATACAAATACAATGTCACCAGACGAGCGTCAGATTCTACTGCTCTTTGATGAAAAATATCTTGAGCACGATTTATTTGCTACATTTAATAAGTTCACAGTGACCAGCGGTGTTGTTCTGCAATTTTACTCCAGTGAAACGGCGCTTATGTCCTCAATCAACGTTTTCAACGTATATCTCATGAAAGTTGACCAGCTCATACACTACAACTTAATCACGAAGCTTAGACTAGAGTCTCAGCTCTGGATTATCCGATACTTGAGGCTTCTTCTATTACGTGAGCTAGGGAATGACTTAGAGGTTCCTTCATTATTGTGGGATAAGTTAGCTGCAATCGATACACACGCTGGTCTGAGCCCCATTCCTGACACAATAACCTTCCTAGTTGTTGTTTTATTGGTGCACATAAAATCTGAATTGGTTTTATGTGATTTTTCAGAAGCGTTGTCCTTGCTTCTTCACTACCCTATCGAGGCAAAGCTAAGGCAAAATCCGGCGTTCATGGATCTGGTTCTTCAGGATGCCTTACGCTTGACTGAATACAAAAAGAATGATATGAAACTCTACGAGTACGGCCGCAAGATGAATAAGAAGTACAACAACAATATCAAGGTCACGTTAGGCTACACCCTGTCACCTAGTGGCTCTGTGAGCCCGTCAATACTCAGTCGGTCGAACTCCCCATCACCTACACCTTCATCTCCCACAAACAGTAAATGTCCGCCGGATCCTAAGGCGGAAAGAATGGCTTTTGAAAAATATAGACTAGAGATGAGGTTAAAAAAACGGGCCCAAGAGATGATGAAAGGTACACAATGAAAGTAAATGTGGTGCACGGGTCTAGTATAAGTGTTGATAATAGTTGAGTAGGGCTCACCAAACCATCTCTCTATAACATGGGCAAACGGAAGGCCGCGGCAAAGCCGCAAAAGAAGATCAAGGTGAAGCTTGACACAACATTTCGCTGTTTGTTCTGCAATCATGAGAAGTCTGTCATCTGCACTTTGGATAAGAAGAATGGGGTGGGCGACTTGGCTTGTAAAATCTGTGGTCAGAGCTTCCAAACTGCCATCAATTCATTGTCGCAACCCGTTGATATCTACTCCGACTGGATTGATGCTTGCGAAGACTTGGCCGAAGAGGCAGAAATTAAGGGCGCAAATTTGGAAAACGACGAGGATGCTTACAGCGACGACGAGGATGCTCCTGCTAGGTCAACCCGAGACCCTGTCCTTTCTGATGATGACTACTAAGGCAAGGTAACAAAGCAATTCGAGAAAGACGAAAGAAAACTCTGCTTAATTATTAGGTACAGGGAACGCCAAGTTGAATGGCTTATATAGGTTAAATTTACGGGTGGATCAATGGCATCAAAGTGAATGATGAACTTTGTCAATTTTGCGAAGGCCGAAACTTACTCAAAATACTGTCAAATGCTTCGCGTATCGTATTGCCGTCTTCTTTCGCCCTCACTTCTATTTCGTCATCGGTCGGTTCCACGTATTTCTTCAGATACTTCCAGTCATCACCGAGTCCGTTGTCTCTCTTCAAAGTCTCCAACCGCCTGTGAAACTCAGCAAGAAGATTTTTTGTATCATATCCTGGCGCCTGGTTGAAGACGCTTCTTAAGCTTACCCCCCTCGTCTTCATTTTATGGAGAAATTTGATTACTTGATCAAGTTCTGAAAGATCCACGTTGAGGATTTTTTCACGAAGTTCCTCGCCAGAAAGACAATCAAGATCATCCAATAGGTGTGTATCGTCATTAATCTTCAGTAATTTCAAAATAGAGCCCTCTTCCTTGTTCAACGTGTTTAAACTTGTTAAGGAATGAGAGCGCGAATAAGGCAACGGTGTAGTTGAATCCATCAAATCCCTTGTCTCCGGATCTTCGTTACCGTTATCTTGAATGCTAGTGACGTTGTGGGCTTTGCGGGCTTTTTTCTCGTCCTCAACGAGCTGGAATCCCATCATATTGGTTGAATTGAAATGTTCATCGGGTACTAAAGATTCGTCAATTAGCTTGAGTCCACGAACCAAGGAAGAGTCAATGAACAAAAGTCTGATTAACGTCTCTTTCCCATCTAAGTTAAGTTCATTGCGCCACTGCATTTGAAGCAACTCTCGAATGGTAGCTTGCAAGTTTCTTCTATCTGCCTGAGCTCTTTCCAGGAAAGCAATTACTTCGGCTGAATTGACATCAAGCTTCCCTTGCGCCTTCTTTGACAAGATCTGAGAGAGCTGCTCTGTTAACGACATCTCCGCAGGCTCCACAACCAGTTTATCAGCAATGTTTTCAGGTATTCCAAGGCACGCTCCATATTTCTCATTGTGTAAAGCCCGATACGTTCTTTGAACAAGTCCGGGAGAAGATGGTAATCGCATTCAAGTGTGATCAAGGTTTTAGAATTCTTTATTCCTTCCACTAAAGCAGTGCCGGCCACAACATCAAGTTCATTACCGAGGACGGATAGGTAACCGAGTCGTTTACAGAACGGAATCGTTTGTGAAAGGGTTACTAGGCATTGTGAAGAAAGGCCATTATTCTCCAAGTGAAGCCGTGCCAAGTTCTTGAAAAGTGGTATTTTCGAAGTAAAGTAGCTGAAGATCGACTCCTGGTGCTTGGAAGGTAGGCTGAAGTCTGTGTGCGTAGTTTCGACAGACAGCGTATTATCTCCCGAGCCTTCCTCTATATCAAGGTCATTATGAGCCACACTACCAAACAACTTTGGATTGTTTGATAAGTCCAAGTATTTTATTCCGGGGAGTTCAAGAACAAACTTTTCGAAAGTTTCTTTAAAAAGCTCGCTGAATCTGAGATTAGTAGCATTTAAACTAATGAAGGCCACATTGCTTTTGGGAATAAGGGCTGAAAGCCTCGGGTTCTTTGCTATCTCAATCAAAATACTCAAATAAGCTGGTGACAGAAGATCATTATACCCTAAATCAAGCCCGCGACTCTTGCCTGTGAGAACCCATTTCTCGGTGAGAATTCGTAGTTGCTGTGGTCTTATTTGATTATAGGCCATTCCAAGCCGGTATGTCTTAAGCGAAATCGCCTGGGAGATGAGCTTATCGAATACTTCAATATCGTTGATGCAACATCCAGTGAGGATGAGTTCATCAATTCCTCCTCTTGCAATAATAGTTGCCGTGAATAGTGACCAATCCATGTCTGAACGATTTTCCTTATTGCAAGTCATGCGAACCATTTCATCATCATCGGTAGCCTTTGTATTCTTTTTCTTTTTCTTCTTAAGAACGTTCACTGAAAGTGGAGGACACTGTGTTATATCAAGCTTGCTTAAAACCTTGTTCCTCGAGAGAAACCAACATAACAATGACCATCCATCGGAGTTAATGGGAGTATTTCTCAAACTTAATTTCTCAAGTTGAGTCTTTGATGCCATCGCACTTAGCAATATTTTAAACTGTTCCAAAGACAAACTTACCCCATCAAGAGAAATGCAGAAAATCGGAGCGATTCTTATGAAATCCGCAAAGGTTTGTATCTCAATCATTGAAGGTGCAGGGTTCCGGAGTTGAAGAATGGGCAATGGGGTCATGGAGCCTTTAGGAATTTGCTTAGCAATAGCCGGAATGGGTAATATTTCACGTAGATGGCAGCATCTAGTGTACATTAGATCGAGTGCCATTTTCTTGATTGGAACAGTGTAGCCTTGTCGGGCAGTGTGATGCAACATTGGTTTATCAATTGCGATCAGCCTCGCGTGCTGACTGATAGCAGAATCTTGTTCTGTCTCCTCAATGTCCTGCTCGGAACTTTCCTTCGAGTCATTCGAGTCCTGTGAGTCATCATCGTCGTCTTCTCGAATTGGCTCGGTTTGGTCATCCTTATCTTTCTTTAGGAGTCCAAGTGCGCCAGTTCCGCCAACCACCAACCCGCCTCCTAGACCTCTCTGTGAGCGATCAATTGCTTCCTTATCAGCCTCTGTGAGTGGATTGACCCTCACAACATTGCCTGGTAGAATCTCTACATTACCTTGTCGTGGGGTCCTGGAAGGTATTTGTTGCGGGGGATCAATGAGAAAGGTCAGCGAATGAAACGCTACTCGCTTCAATGGCTTCAACCCATGAAACTGAGGTAGAGCCTCTGTATTCGCATACAGCAGGCTTGTAGCCGAATCATGTGAATCAAGCGACTGAGAATCGCGTTCCAGCTCTTCTCTTGTACTGCCTGGAGTGGACGTGACACTTCTTCTGCGTAAAAGGGAAGTGAATTTAGAAGCGGTTGTCTCTTTGGGGAGCTCCAGAGTAGACGAATGTTTCTTTACTGGTAGAGGATTCAAAAGACACCCTTCAATACCGTTTTGTGATCTGCTAGAATTGCGTCGGCTGGTTGAGCTTCTTCTCAGGTCCGGCTGCTTATAAAAGCGAACGAATTCATCGAGCCTTGGATCATTGGCTTCCTTCAATGCTGTTTTTGATTCGATTCCTAACTGGGCGGGAGAACCTGACCTCTTGGGAGGAGATTGTTGTCGCGATAGACGCATCTGGTAATCTTTTTTGAACAAGTTGGTGTTGTCAGCAGCTACCGATTGGGGCGGTAGTGAAGGAGATCCATTGCTTCCCGGAATATCAGATTTATGAAATTTGTTCTTCAACTTCGAGAAGAACCCGCCTCCACTGCTGGTACTTCCATTACTACCAGCACTAGCTAAGCTAGCAGCACTGGATCGTCTCCTCGGGTGGAGGGGCAATGGCAGCCTCTGAGAATGCCATGCATCACCATTAGAGGATGATATGATGGGCTCTTCTGAAATGGGGGATATAGTAGGTTTCAGTTTACCGGAGATGTTCTCGTTAGTGTTAGAAACCGTGGTTGCCATCTGAGGAGAGGCTGGTGTTGTGAGTGTCTTTTCATCAGTTGATTGCGGAGGTAGGCTAGTTTCCAGGTCTCGCCTCCCGACAGTTGCTGACACGTTAGAATCTCGTAAGAACCAATCGATATCTTTCATTTTAATACCGTTGACACAGCTGTTGCCCTTCTCGACAACCATGTCGTGGATTTTGTCCCAGTTCAATCCATTTGGTACGTCATCATCCGTCATCGTTAATGGTGGGAGGAATATTGTAAGCAAATTGCAAGAATGAATAAGTTTATACCTTGCAATGTTTAGTGAAGGAAAAAGATTGGAAAGTCGATTTAGTGTAGTTGAACGGGTGGTCTGTATTATGGAGTGCAAGAATTTGGGGATCTACAGGTATAAGCAGAGAGGGCTACATTATCGTCCGTCACACAAGCCGGCTCATCCAAATGTCAGGTGACTTAATAGATCACTGGAAAACCATACCACACAGCCAATAATGGACCGAAGGCGAAAGGCAGCGAAGGCACAGGTGTCAGTCGCTATATGGGTTAATTATACCCGATAATTGTGTATTGTCTCTCACTCAAGAGGTACGTCGGCAAGCTGTCTCGAATGCGGGGAGAACAGATGACAATACTCGATTTACGACATAGAATGGTGAGGCGGTTCATTCAAAAACCAGTCAACGCTTCTTTGCAAAGAAAATACCGTTCTTTTCTAGAACTGTGATGAAATTATGCCAATTTATATAGCAATCTTCGCCTATTTGTTCTCCTTCCCCACCCAGCCAAACTAGTCACGCCATGGAGTTTTTTTTTTCCTTCGTTCTCTCTGTAGAGCGCTTAATCCGGATCGCACTGGTGGCCGCGGAGTACATCGCCCAGACAATTAAGCGGTGCGAACTGATTCATCTATTTCTTACTAGGAGAGAGTGCGGACACCCTAATTCTGGATTTTGCAGCCATATTTACATACCACCCATACCACCAAATTGCTGCATCATCTTCTGCATCATACCGGGATTTTGCATCATTTGCTGGGCCTGTTGCATCAAGTTAGGATTCAGCCTCATCATTTGTTGAGCTTGCTGCATCATTTGGGGGTTGTTCATCATGTTGGCCATATTACCCATGCCTCCACCCGGAGCGCCTCCAGCACCTCCACCACCGAACATATTCATTGCCTGCTGCATAAAATTAGGATTCAGTTGTGCTTGCTGCATCATCCTTTGCATGTTAGCTGGTCCACCGGCTCCCATTCCAGGAGATTGGCCACCTGCCCCTGTATTCATGTTCTTCGCAGCACCAGCCATCAGCGCCATCATCCTTTGCTGTTGCAATACCATCTCGACCTCAACAGCACTACAGCCAGCACCTCGAGCAACTCTTAATATCCTTTCCGGTTCTTGAGTAAAGATTCGTCCGTCACTATCGAGCTCTTTGGTTGTCATTGAATCCATGATGTACACCATGTTCTTAATTTTCTTAGAGGTCTCCTCTTCCCCAATCTGATTCATGATGCCCGACATGCCTGGTATCATGGAGGCGATATTTGTCAAGGGACCCATCTTCATGAAGTTATTCATTTGTGTTTGAAAATCCCGTAAGGTAAATTTGCCCTCTTTAAAATTCTCCATGGTCTGCTTGTGACCTTCATCATCTTGTAAGTTCAACAGCTGTACATGCTCTATCAACGACTGTATATCGCCAATCCCAAGTAACTTAGAAATAAATGTAGATGGCTTGAAGACTTCAAAATCACCAACATGCTCTCCCGTACCAATAAAAACTATTGGCGTCTGTGTAGCTGCAACAGCTGATATAGCACCACCTCCTTTCGCATGGCCATCCATCTTAGTCAAGATAATAGACCCAAAGTTTGCTGAATCTTTAAATGCTTTGGCTTGGCCCTCAGCGGCTTGACCAATAGATGCGTCCATGACCATAATAGTCTGGGTGGGCTGCACAGCATCTCCAATCTGAATCATTTCATCAAAAAGCGATTGCTCTTGCTTGTGCCTACCAGAAGTGTCGACTATGATGATATCAAACTTATCCTCCTTAAACTTCGTAACACCTTCATGTGCTACTTTCACTGGATCCGTTTCCAAATAAGATCCGTAAAAAGGGATTGAGGATTTGATTGCATTCTGTTTCAACTGATCAAAAGCTCCAGCTCTAAAGGTATCGGCACAAACTAAACCAACTTTGTAGCCTCTTTTCTTATAATAAACCGCCAACTTGGTACATGAAGTAGTTTTTCCAGCACCTTGTAAACCAACAAACATTATTACATGAGAGCTAGCCTGTTTTTTAGTTTTCTTAGCTCCTCTCGTTCTCGTCGTTGATCTACTGAGTTTTTGAGGTTTCGGCGGTTCTTCGTGCGAGTCGACCAATGCACACAATTCATCAAAGACGATTTTCTGTAGCTTCTTCCGTTTGTTGCCTGATGACTCATTCTCGTTGGAGATTTCTGTTGCACACTTTTTCTTTATATTGTCACGTAATCTGGCTACCAATTTGACATTAACATCGGATTCTAGTAACGCAGTACATATGTCCTTGATCAATGCTTGAACTTCAGACTCGGTTCCAGAGCTGACCGTGTTCAAAGCATTCCTTAAGCGTGAGCCCAAATCTGCAAGAACCATTACTGGAATTAGACTATGACGTGAATCAGTATCCGGTCAAAGAATTGAGGTATTGGGTACAAACACCCGTACCCCACAAGGCAAATTTGTTCACCAAATTGAAATCGTCAGTACCCTATGGTGTAAAGATGTTTGTCTAGTACAACCGCCGAAATTTAGGTTTGTCGAAGGACAGAGAAGGGTTGCCAAAAGGATTCTACTCTGGGAATAGGACTGCTTGCTTTGATAAATTGCAAGCCGTGTAAGAGAAGAGGATCTCAACCAGCGGAAGTGGTAGAAGGACCTGGCGATAGGAACACGACATTTTCCATGACGATATACACCCACAAGGCAGCCAGAGGATGAAGTGATAAGACTCCGAATTGTCGCGGCGCAAAAAGGCCTATTCGACGTTTGGCTATGTACACAGCCCGTTATCTCTTCAGAATGGGTGCCTAGATGAAGAATCTGCACTCCGCGATGGCATGCCATGGACATTTCGATGGCCAATCGGACTCATAAAACAAAGTTTCCGTGTCTTTTTGAAGGTAAGGACTAGCCCGCTATCCTACTCAACAGGTTCCTACATGAACAATGAATTTGCCGTGTCCCGTTAGTATTCATATTGTCCTATCTATTGCGAAAAACACTTCGTTGATCATTGCTACTCATTTCTCGCGATTCTTGGTGTGGCGTTGGTGCGCACAGATAACCCTTATCTGTGCCACGTTGGTGCGCCAAGTTACTTTTCCAAATTCTTGAAGACACTCGATAAGATTTTCATTCGTTGCGGGGCCTGTTCAAATGACTTCTCGTCCACACAGGTGCCATTAAACATGGTATGACTTTAAACTATAAGATTAGATTGTCATCTGAACCAAAACACACTAAGGAATGCGGAGTTACTATCTATTATAATTTGGATGCCGGATATCATCATGTTGAGAGATTTAGCAGAATAAGGACATGTCTTCTTAAGTGCTCCTAGCCGTCAAATCGTGTTGTTTGCTCCTTCTTGGATTTGCAAATCCGAAGCCACATAGTGCATAGCGCGTATTGCTGTTATTACTGGTTGTCTCACTTCCAGAGCACGCAATTAGACACCCAGAATTGAATGAAGGGAATTTGAAAACATCTGATCAATGATTTTCAAGTCTCTTTCCAAGTTGTTGTGATAGTGTAGCTTCATATCAGGCACCACAGCACCTGCAGCGTCCACAGCATCAAAAAAGTCATAATCGTCTCGCAAATCGAACGGAATGTGGCTCGGACTTGGTGCCGCCTGCGGTAGATGTCCGGGTATTAGGGTGGACGAGGGTAATACGGGTACTTGTAGGTTCTGAATCTTGGTGAGGTGCTGTTCGGGTTCCTCCGGTTCTTCAAGTTCCGGTTCTTCTGGTTCACTTTGGGAATCCATTAGCAGGAGGTTGACACAATCATACTCGAACCCCGTCTTTCTCAATATGCTTTCACTGAAGATATCCAGTCTGTTGTTATTTAACAGAGCTGATGCCAGAGTTGAAGTCTGTTTGTGGAAGCGTTCCTCATCCTCTCCAATAGGACAACTAAACATTTTCTCGATGTCCTTGATTGACTTAGAAAAGATTTCTCTCTCTAACTTGATTCTTTTGCTCGACTTTTGCATGTCATATACTTATTAAAAAACAAGAAAAAAAAAAGAGTAAGAAAGTGTGGAGATACAAAATCTTATATGGGTTGATAAGCAGAAAGTCCTTCAAATAGCGCCCCGCACAGTTGCGGCGAGAAAGCCCATCAAACCAACAGTTGGCAGCGATACCTTTATCGGTACAATATTGCGACATTGGATTCTAACTAACACAAAATATCATCAAGATATCCTTCTATTTTTTTTAGTAGAGTATTTTCCTGATCTCTCCCTTTGTACGTCCAATATGCTTATAACAGCAATTTCAAGGGATTTTACTGGGTCTCTTGGAAACAGCGCTCTCTCATGCCTCTTTCTGCCCCCGAGACTTCTACTCTGGTCGGGATTACCGATGGACAATCAACTAGTGACGGTATAGGTGTCACATGGTGTCGCATGTTCCCCGATATTTCCTCGAAAGTTTTTTTTTTTATTATTATTATTTATTTTTGGGAAAGTATGTTGTCAACAGCATCACTGATTAACAAATCCATACTTCGAAGTCTTCATTCTCCACTCTAAGCATAACATTTGTGGAGTGCGACATGCGCTATCTTCTCCACAACACACAAAAAAAAACAAAAAAAAGTGCGAGGCGCAAAATCATGATTGCCGCCGCTTGGGATTCCGTTCTAACAATTTTAACCACCGGCTGAAAATGTGCTAAGGTATGTCCAACACCTATAAAAGTTCAGACAAGGATTGAGGGAGTATAGGAGGGCGAATGACTACCCAGAAGAGCAGCAATTACGGATAATGTTAATCTACTCACCTCAAACGATCCGTCACTTTTTATTGAATGCTTATATCTTCATATGGTAACACTGGTCGATGGTGGTTGGAATTGCCTATGGCTGGCTGGCTTTTTTTTTTTCGATCACCATTGGTGTATTCATGTAAGGAAGGGACTTTAGCTGCAGCAAAAAGCACTGTGGTCCACTAATGACGCGGTGGTTTAATAAATGTGCATCTCCTGATAATGAGTCGAAACAAGTTCTAAAATTATCTGTCCATTCGCAACTGTTAAGACTGGACTAGATGTTCTATCGAGATAGCCTGAAAGTAACAAGAGGTTAAGTAGAACGATCAATTACCCCCTGCGACTCTCGAGATGTGAAAAATCCGAGATTGTTTGCCGTAGTTAACACACACTGATGCTACTGTGACCCCTATTCATCTCGGCAATCTGTCTTTTCATGAGCCATTGTTGTAGTGTAGAGACTTTTGTCTACGGACCGCCAGCCAGGTGAGGGCTACCTAGTCACCAGAATGAAAATCAGAAACCCCCCCCCCCGACAAGCAGACGGAACCATAAAAGACACTCTAGAGAGAGTTCATTCACCCTTCGTCGGGACAGAATGCTGTTAGCAGATTTAAAAGCACAAGCACTTACACTTTGATAATCGCGGGTTAGTTTTTAAAGTGAATGTTAGCTTATGACTGTGGGCCGAACGAATCTTTGGTTGTCGCAATAGTCACACAATAATCTCGCTGATAGTCAGTCGTTACTCGCATGCTGTTAACGAAATAAAAAAATAACGAGAAAAGAAGTTAATTATTGAGATCAGTTAAAGATAGATAAGAAATGGTTGACAAGCTGGAAGATTATATTACGAGGAAACAGCATCTGTTACATCCCTTGAGTAAAAGCTGTTATCAATGGTGGAAACATCTCGTTCTTAAACTGAAAGCTTTCCATGCGTCTTGCATGCTCGGGAACTGTATGGAAGCTGGCGTGCTCGTTCGATCGCCGCGAATAGCCCAACAGCTTACTGGTAAAAAAAAAAAAGGACTTGAGCCTCACATCCATAGAAGCTTTATATGCAATATGGTCACGCCTAGGTTGTCAGCACTCAAATTGATAAGTGTTAGTATCATTCGTTCAAAATGCATATAAGAGAGAGTTTTTCGGCCAGTTTCAATTCCTAAATAAATAGCATTAAAAAGTTTGTGAATTCCATCATTGCCGAAGTGTGAGCTGTGAGCCTTAAAAGATTCTTGCGATCAAGCATATTATATGAGAGCTTTAGCTTAGTTGCCACATTCAAGGAAACTATTGACTAATTCAAGTTGAGCAATTCAAGTTCCGTTAATGACAGACCCTTTAGATACTCGTGACATCAATGAGGCTACTATCGATGACCGACCTGATGAAGCAGATATTTCACTTCCATGGCCTCTGTTTACAAACGCTATAGCAACAAAAGCTTCTGCGAATTATAAGGAAAAAGACACAAGTCAGCGTGGCATCTTTGAGCGCAGCTTGAGCACCCTGTCATTTGGAACTTCTACAAGAAGAAATTCCAGAGTTTCTGCGCCAGCTTCCTTTAATGTTAGACTGGCATCTGTTATTTCGAATGAAACCCAGAAGCTGTTCGCTGTTCACCATAACACTGAAGACTTTATACCACCTGTTTTGGATCATACCACTGAAATCTTGACTGATCCACTGATAGATTTCAACGAAGTGAGTGTTGTGTGCTGCGAATGTGAAGGTGAGAATAATAAACCCAAGGATCGATGTAAAAGGTTGAATAGCCACAAAGGAAGGTTCACCGCTCAACAACCTCAAATCCGCTCACGTTCTAGATCACGGTCGTTTATCTGCAATTCATTAATGAGTGCTTTGGGTCTGAGTGACGATGAGGAAGACATAGATAATAAGCGCGAAGAAGGTGATCCCGAAAGCGATTTCTTGTTAGATGCAAAGACTATCAACTTCTACTCGTTTAATGATATTCTTAATCGCGAGAAAGACCTTGAGAGATTTAATACGTTTCGCATGAGTAATTTGCTATCATAGCCCTTGAACTGGTCTTCGAAAAGGCAGTTGAAAAAAAAAAAAAAATCACGAAAAATTGAAAAGAAAAGAAAAGAAAAAAAATGACCAGGTCATTTTTATGAATTAACGATCGCATGGTATTGACCAACTTGTATAAGTCTTTTGCAAGTCTCATCAGAGAAGTTGAATGACATTGATAACAGTCCTTCTTCGTATACGATCGCGCCGCAAGGCTGGACGGTACAACTTGTAAGTATTGCGAGGAGCGTCATGCGCTCGTTCGCGTAAAGTAGCCAACATACGCAAAAAGGGCATGTCATTGCCTTCTAAGAAGTTAACATGAGACCGTTTGGATGGTCAAGATTAAAATTATCTGGCCTCCAGATAATCCGTTAACACAATGAGTTTCGGGGACTGAAAGTTCCTTCATAAATCTAGGCGAGTAGAAAGCACCTACGTCCAGACTCCAGAGAACTTTCTTGTATCTGATATCACCAATAAATTTCAAGATTAAACCATCTTTCCAAAATTATACACAATGCTTGGCTTTCACAAAAGCCCCGATAGCTGACACGTCTATTACAACGTTGATGTTCTCTCAGCTGGTGAGGTAAGTGACAAGGGTCTCCCTAACCGCCCTGCATTTAATATGCAACTTTCAAGTCAGGATTATACTTCGTCCTCATTAGTATCTAGAGTTTGCCTGAGCAAACATAATTAGTTGCAAATATCTTCAGAATACTTTTTATAATATTTGGAGTCTTTATTAATCTTTTTTTCCGAAAATTCTGCTGGAAACTATAACAGGCATCTGAAGCTTTAGATTAGTCTTACGCCCGATCTACAAGGTTACTTGCTCCGTTCTAGCCATACTACTAGAGGAATAACTTGGACATTCCCAACCGTCTAAGGTGGCACCAAGTACAAATCTGTTCCCGTGATAACGATAGGAAGGTACTCCTCATAATACTTCCCATATATTGATAGGCTTCGTGCTTGCCGTCATCCCTATATCCTCGTGACCTTTATTACGCGATGGATGTGAGCCACGATAGTTCACCTCTGTTGCACAGCGGAAATAGCATTGAGACCAGAGTGGACAATGACTCTTCAAACCAAGTCTTACCATCACTTGCTGAGAGCTCTTCATCTGCGTTGATAAACTATAGGGTGCTAGTCTCTGCTAAGGAGGCGGGCTGTCTCATAGGACAGAATGGCGCAGTCATAGACTCTATAAGAGAAGAAACTGGAACTAGGGCTGGAATATCTCGGTTACAGCCAGGCTCATATGAGCGGATATTGACTGTCAGCGGCACTCTCGATGACGCTTCGAAAGCATTGAGCTATTTTGCTCAAGCTTTGGTTAATGCTTCTACAGAAATGCAATTTTCTTACGTATACTTTCCGCTAAAGCAATTGCTGCCGATACCTAACATAGAAGGAGAGACAACAGTCCTTCGTCTCTTGGTGCCAAATGCTCAGATGGGGTCTCTTATTGGCTCGAAGGGTGCAAGGATCCAGCAAATTCAACGAGAATGTAACATCCTGATGATAGCGTCAAAGGCACAATTACCTGATTCTAATGAGCGTTTGGTTGAATTGCAAGGGACAGTTGACAATCTCTATGATTCTTTACGTTTAATCCTGCGCTGTCTTATGGAGGACTTTTCATCTACGGTAGGAACAATCTACTACGTTCCAAGATGCGCGCAGAACCGTGGAGATGCCAGTAACGGCCCGAAGAGAAGTATCACAGCCACCGTTTCATTTCCCAACAGCATTGTTGGGGCCTTAATCGGTAAAAACGGTGCCCGTATCCAAGGGGTGCGTAAGGTTAGTGGTGCGACTATCGGTATCTCTGATGAAGAGGAAGGAGTTGAGGAACGAGTCTTCACTATTACTGGATCAACTAAAGCTGTTGAAAAAGCTAGAGCGTTATTGTATCATAATTTGGAGAGGGAAGAGAATCGCCGTCTCCAAGCAGAATCCGACCAAGCTTGAAATGGAGGTTGGGGACTTATCATCGTTCATTGTTTAAACTATGAGTTGGTGGCCTTTTCATTTTACTTCAGTTCTTATGTATGTCTTATTGTGTAATAAACGAAAAGTTGAGTGTAAACAATAATAATGCAAGCTACGCATGGTGCCACTTGTTCAGCAGGGATATTAAACGGGCCAATGATTCTAACATTTCTTCATCTTCTTTGTTAAATGCGTCCTTAGCCAAACAGTCGATGTCCAACACAGCTACCACGTCATTACCGCTAATGATGGGAACAACTATTTCACTCTGAGTTTCGCCATCACAGGCAATGTGTCCTGGAAATTTACTCACGTCAGGTACGCATTGGGTTGTCTTCGTAAGCGCTGCGACGCCACAGACACCCTTACCCAACGTAATTGATTGGCAGGCAACCTTTCCTTGAAATGGGCCCAACACCAAGTCGCCTTCAGTCTTCTGGTCCACGACATAGAAGCCTGCCCAATTGATGGGAACTTCTAACGAACGGTAAGCATACCAAAGTAACGACGCTGCGTTAGCCAAATTCAGTACCCAATGGCTAGTATCCATGGCGAGTGCTTCGTATGAAGCTTGGAGCGCCTCCAAAACCTCTCGCTTCAGCAATCGACCGAAGCTTGAGTAGTCAGCGTGATGAAGTTCGTTCCCCATTTGCAGACGAATTTGAACAGTCGATTAAAGTATGCCCATGTCGCATATTTCGTCCTCATTCCCAAACGCGCACTCCATCACAGGGAGATCGAGGATCAATCTTTTGAAAGCTGCTATGACTTCTACTTCACCAATCTCTTCAATCTCTTGGCTTTCGTCAAACCTGATGGCTACTCGCTTACGCTCAGGTATATGAATGTACTGAGGCTTGATGTACAATCTCGCATACTTCCCTGCCTTGACTTGACAGGAGTGAGTACCCTTGTATGTTATGCTCTCGGTCAAGGAAACATCGAAAAGCCCCAGCAATATTGTCCCTTTCACCTGCATTATTCCTTCAACTTTGCCTTGCTTCCCGAATAATTGCTCTGTTGAAAGCAGGATCTCGAATGCTTGATTTATTGCACCACCTGGTCCTTGGCTCATATCGTAACACCAGGTGAGTGGTACCCGAACGTCAGTTTGTAGTCCAAAAGGACTCTCGTGCCATTCCATATACCACAGTTCTCGAGATTTGTCGTAGTAAACAGTTCGATTGGCTTTCTGGAGATGGAATGAATTCTCGTGATCAGACAATAGTGATGCAACAGTCAGATTGTAGAAATCCTCCTTAGTATTAATGTTGTGCATCTTCTGCAGAGTAAGTCCCTCCAGCGATTGCTCTTCTGGGAAAGAGGAAATGACCGATAGGACACTTTCTCCATTTATTTCGACTCGATTTACCACATTTTGTAAAGCCCAGCAACATTGCAAGCACAGTGCGTATAGATAGAATGGTCTCATTGTGTTATGATTTGCACTCCAACCTTTTTGTTTTGTATTTCATCGTGGACGATACCTATTTAAATACTTGGTTTCGAACTAATTAATATTCTAGTAAGCCAGGACTTTCCAAACATCTCTTGGTGCGCACCCTCCATGGATGACCATTATTCCTTCTCAAAATGGAGGGACTTAACAAGGCACAGTTTACGGTCAATTTTGACGAATTTCTACGGTATAGAGGGGCGTAAGGAGAGTCAAGCTAACAGAGGATGAATTGAGGAAAAGTCTCCAACTCCGCAGGCATAACAATACCCCTTCAATGATTTCGAAAGAACCCTACGGACTATGGGAGGGACACAACAGATTGTATTATCTGAAAGCGATGTATTAAGCAATTTACGTCGAGTAGACTCATCCGAAACCCATGATGAGCTTGATTCAGCATTTGGTATTTTGGCTTCGGATATCAACGTGCAACTCTGTCCGAGGCTTGGAGGTCATGACCTAGATTATAATGATCTCAACCACGAACATATTCTCATGGGTATAAATCAGGCTGATTCGATCTTCGATGACTTATACCACAAGTACGAAGTTCATGCCGAGAATACTAGAGTAAAGCACTGTGGAACTACTTACTCAGGCAGAGACGCTCGTAGACGTGGCTTTAATGAAAACTATAAAGCGCTTGTCGAAAATAATTGTGTTTATAAAGCCGATGAGTCTTCTTTAAAAGGGGAAGGTTTAGGGTTTCTTCTTCGGGTTAATCCTGCCGATTTGTACACGGACCTGCTTGATGTCCGCTTCGATCATTTTCGGAAACTTGAAGGCCTCCTGGATTCTAGGCCTTTCAAGAACAACTTGGCATCATTCATATCTGATACTGAGCTATCTGGAAGCTACCTTGTTGTGGCATGCAATTCGAGTATCTTGTTCTTTCCATCCAATTTGATCACCCCTCAAGCTCGTCAGCCTGTATTCCGCTTCGATAGTAGGCCATTGCATACTTCCCCAAGTGACTCGCAGGTGGCGGTGTCTCCGTCAGATCCTTACTCCATTAATTTCTTGACATCTCGTTCGAGTTGGATGGGTGAGGGGATTCTAGCTGCATGTACTGACGATGGTCGTATACTAGTATGGAAGACAAAGGACCTCTGCAAAAAGATAGCGCAGAATGAGTCAGTGCAACGAGGTTACACCTCATATTATGGGTTGCGGGTTCGTGCTGATATTGAGTTGATTGTTGGCTGTTCTTGTTGGTCAGTTGACTTTGGCTCTGTTATGGATGACTTTGGGGAAGAGCATTTCATAGTAGCGGGATCTTCAAACTCTCACACAGTCACGTTGTTCTACTACAATTCAAACACTGGCTCTTTTAGACGTTTTGATAGCACGTCACTTGAACATAACATCCCCGAGGTGTCCATAATGAGCTATGACATTGTTGATTCCTTACATGAAGTCACCGTTTGTGCAGCTTGTATATCAGGTGAAGTAGCAAAGATAAGGTTCGAATTCACAACGAACAGCGATTCAAGGAATCTGATATCTAGTGTTACGGGCCTAACTAAGTTGTCAGAGGACTGTTGGACAGCAAAGCCGGTGCCGGGCCATTTTTTCAAACCAGTGAAGTCTATTCGCGCAATGACTGGACTCTACAGTCTAGATGAAGATCTGATGAGAAAAGATATAGATATCGAGTCTAGTATTTTAGGTCGCGGCTCAAATATCACCAACTCGGCCTCTACGATTCATTCCTTTTTCATACCTTCAGTGCGAAATACCAGCCATGACGGCTTGCCTATCAGTTACCGGCTCTTAACAGAAGCGGATGAAGAATATCGGAGAATCAGAAGTACACTTTTCTCGCAGCTTGTTGATGGGGATAGTAATAAATTGCTGACTTCTCGCATACTTATTACGACGCCTCACGAGAGTGCTTTGCTACGCGGTGATTCCTTACTATGCACAGCTTTGACAGACGTGCTTTTCGACTTTGATGAGGTCAAGAGCCAGCAGAATCTTTCCTGGAGCGATAGGATATCACTTACAATCATTATTCCCGAACTTCTGGCATTTATCATGGCAACTCAAGCAGGTTTGGTTACAATTATGCGTCTTTGTCAGTACAACAATCATCAAGCAATGAGACAGGAGTACATCATTCCTAATTATCCTTCGTTGAATAGTCGTGGCGCAACGATCATTGGAATGGCGTCTAAGGACATTTCTGTTCTGCTCAGTTATCCTCGCATTCTTCTTACTATCATATATGCCGATGGCGCCAGTGTGAACTATGAGATTCGCCCAAAACCCGATTCTTCTTCATTCGACATAGCTTCGCTCGACGTATAAATGACTTAGTATTAATTATAATTGTTTATCGTTAACTTATTCTTTTTTGTCTATTATGCAGTTGTCGCTATTCCTTCCACAGATCACTGTTTATCTGAAGTTGGTGCGCGACCTCGCGTTCTGCCTCTCAAAACACTGAGTCTTGAGTTCAATTTATATCTGTGCATAAATCTACTGTATCATGGATCTTATCAACATTGGGAAAAAAGCTCGAAAAACCGGCTTCCGGGCCCGAGAGGGTGTGTTGAGGGATGAGCATAATATGGAGGACATCGATGAATTCTTTGCGGAAGCCAATTCGACTCTGGGCAGCTCGAATGTCTCAGGGATACTCGCTCCCTGGACCTCCCTCTCGGGAGGATCAAAAATGAATCCGGGCTCAAGCGTTACTTTTACCGATATCAAACTGAAACACTCTAGCATGAAGAGCAATGTTCTGGGTAATGGTCTCGGTGCCAAAGCAAGTGATGTACCTACAGCATCAACATCAACGTCACCAATGACTCACATATACGAAAGTGCTCCAATCAATGACGGACTGAATCTGCCACTTGCCCACACTGATGATTTTCAGGATCTCACATTCGAAGATATTGAGAACAGCAAATTTTCTACCAGTGATCAAGATCTAGGAAACGTAACTTCCCATTTCTCAAAATCCATGTTAACTAAGGGAGTTGAGCCAAGCAAGCGTCTCAAAACACGTAATTCCGATAATTTTAAAGGGGATGGTTCACTGAAGTCAAGTGATAATAAGAGTCAGCTTGCGTATAGTACTGGGGGAAAGTTGGTAGTGCCCTCTCTGGATCAAAGCAAGAAAACATTTTCCACTTCTCCAATCAGGAAAGGACTTAATACCCACCACGACAGCCGTGACGCACTGGTGGTAGCATCCAAACATTCGCGTTTTGAATTTAAAGAGGATTCTCAAGGAGGGAAGGACGACGATTCCTCTGGAGACGAGGATTTTGAGTTCCCAAATGATGAATTTTTGGATGATGAACAAACTGGTGTTACTTCCCTGCTACCGTCCCCACCACCAGAGCTGAGAAAGCTCCGTAGATCCAAACGAACACGAGTGAAACCTCTTGACTACTGGAGAAATGAAAGGATAATTTACTCTCGCGCTGATGAGGATTACTCGCATGATAAGGAAACAACACTCATAAACGACTTGAAGAAAATTCCTCTTCAAGAGATCGATCAAATTATTCATGTGGAAGACCCGATAAAAAATCATAAGAAACGGAAGGCAAGTAGGAAGCATGTCAAAAGGAAGCAAACAGTGACTTCAGATGGTGAAGATTATAACCCAGAATGGTTTTCGGAAGGGGCCAAGATGATAGATGTCTTCATGAAAGACGAGTCGGTTGCGAGGCAAGAGGTCGCTTGGGCACCTGATGGAGTTCCTTTCGAAGAGACCAGGGAGCAAGAAGGTGGGATGGCTGAACTATTCCAAGCTGCACCCCTATATCGTTCGCCTACCGGTCTGATATCTACAGGGTTGATTGATATGCCTTTGAACGGTTTTAAAAGCCTTCGGAGTGCCAACGATATGATTTGTATATTTCATGTCTCGGAAGGACGTGTTGAAGTCGAACTAAATCAAGATCGGTTTGTTGTTCTACGTGGCTGCTCATTTGTGATACCAATTTCGAACATTTACAGTTTAAGAAACGTGGGGCAGGTTAATGCAAGGCTCTTTTTCGTCCAGTGCGTTGAAAATATAGATGGTTGAATATGTGGATTCTTAATACACCTTAACTAAAGATTTCGATCAATATTTCTTACATTGGCCAGTTTCTGAATCGAGGCTCCCGAGAATTTTAACAGTAAATTCCGTAGCAGCAACGCCGAACTGCTTGAGAATCAACGCTTTCGTAACGTCTAAATGGTCGCCTCTTCGGCAAACTTCGAATGGCTCGTCCAAGAAAATTTTTCCCGCTTTGATTTTCGTTGGCATCTTGTACTTCGTCCTCAATGTAACTTCTAGTGAGTGCGACATAGGGACATCTTCTTCCAACGGCACTTGACCTCCTCTTGAATAAACCACACCCTGTGGAACAATAAAATCTATCGGAGCATCGTTATTAGCTTTCGCATAATCGGTTTTACGAAACGCCGAGAAATAGGCATCAACTGTTTCCGGCAACTCATCCGTAAACAAGAGTGCTATGAGGCCATGTTCGCCTGAAAGCACCTTGCTAAGTTTGTTTGAATTATCTTTGTAAGCCTCTTGATCAGTTTCACCGAGAGCCTTCTGGAGTACTTTCCTTTTGCCCAGGATGATCTTTGATCCTGCCCAATCACCTCTAATATCTTGAAGAAAATTGTTTCTGAGGTCCCCCAACTGCAACGCGACTACAAAGCGAAATTCGTCCAAAGCAGTCCTCACCGCATCGAAAATTCTTTCTTTATTTTCCTTTCCCTTTTTATCGGTTTTAGATAATGTTACTAGTTTCGAACGCTTTGATCTAGGCATGCCGGTGTTCTTTCTAAGTAGTCGTCTGAGGAGATGAGCATCGCATGGATAGCCAAAGAAAAGTACATCTATGATCACGTGATCTTTATCTTTCACGTCCTGATATTATATCTCCGAAGTGATTCAGGGGCTATGGAACGTTTTCATTTTCATTCAAGTCTTGATATCTGTCGCATAATTTTTTGTTTCTAAGTATTTTCATGTTGAATTTTGGAAGTTTTTTTGAGGTACGTGTACTTTTTGGCCAGAAATACAGAAAGTGTGAGAAATGTCTAGAAGGATGATATTTGTTGAAACTTAATTCATAAACCAGCCGCAAAAATAGCAAAAACATACCATGGGATTCTAGTTGATATAAAGAAAAACAAAAAACTGAGTAATAGATGGGTCTTCTCTTTCAGATATATACATGTATAGAGCTTTCCATTTAATTGAATTCAACAGAAAAAAAAAAAAAAAAAAACCCCAAAAAAAAGAGGCATGTTCTAGGATTAACCAGGATTAAACTAGGTATTACAATCAGTTAATTTTTTTGCTTGCTTTAGAACAAGAGGAAAGGGCTTACTATTTCCTTTATCTATATGTCGAAGGTAGTGCAAATGAAGAGTGAGACACGAAATTATTTTCATCTGATGGGCGATGCCACCTAAGATTTCTCTCTATGGTTGTTGATCTAGCCGGATGCCTAACGATCACGTGAATTCGGATGAGATAGGTATCGGGACGCTTCAAGGAAAGCTAAGAACCCCAATCCATATGTTAACCGAAAAAGATGAAAAAGTTAGCAAAAGAAAAGAAGAAGCGGATATAAAGGTGTGTACGACAGAGGGATGAGAATGGTAGTATTGCAGGACCCACTTAAGTAAAAAGATGAATCGTACAGTCTAATGCACAGTTCGTTAGAAGAGTGTTGGGTAAGTTTGAATAAAAAACATTCTTGATTAATTTTATATAATCTTTGGGTACGAAAGACGTGATAGGCTGATTAGAAGCTAATGCTAGAAGCCATAATTCCGCGACAAGTAATTTGGTACCTCCATAGCCGGAGAAAAATCGACATCTTCCAATCATTTACATTACGATCTTTCATATCGTTCTCCATCCTGTATCATTGTCATAGCTATGAGAGCTACCAATCCCCGGGGATGACAGGCTCTTTCGGAGAAGGCAAATTTCTTTCGTACTTTGTTCCTCCTGGTCTGCAAGGAGGAATGTAAGGATCTGGATGCTTCCATTCTTGAAGCTTAAGCTCTGCCTTTTTAATAAGGTTATGTAATTCGTTTACATCGGCGACATGCCTCTCAGCTTCGAATTGCTGTCTGATTTTGATAGTTTCCCGTCTATATGCGTCAAACTTGAGGGACGAATTAAACGCAGTCCTTAAGGCCTGTCTGAATAATGAAGATACTCTTTTCGTGTTCGCCTCTGTAAATGGCAAGATATGCTTCGACATCTTAAATGTTGTTCAGACGTTATTCAAATACTTGGATGAATTCTCCATTGCAAATTTATCCTGTTTCATTGGATACTCGCGATTGGTGTACTGGTGTGTATTTTTATTGACTTAATTTGAATCCGTGACATTCATCAAGCTGCCAACGAAGGATAAAATTAAACGACTTCTTACCTCGTTTATATCCTCCGGAACTAGCCAAATAAGAGCACCAAGCTTCCTTGCTATCGATATAGCCAATCTAGCGTTGGCGTACTTCTCTTCATCGCTAATGGCATCACCTTGATAAACCAACTCGTAGTCGACATACCCGGGTTTGATTCCGTTAAGCACATCCAACAAGAAAACACCATTAGATAATGACGAATCTTTAAAGGACCGAATTTGAGAGCTCTTACCACCCTTAGAAACTTGCGCATTGGCCCATCTCAAGATGTCTGAATCACTAACATTTTTGCCGTTACCAAGACTAGACAACGTGTTAACAATGTTGCGTCTCATCAACTGCCAAACCAAGCCCAATGTCAACAACTTGTTACCGTCAACAATATCGGAGCCTTCAATTCCTACTAATGAGAAATTATTGGCCTTACCAATTTCAACTCCGTAGTTTGTGTTTTCTAAAGCTTTGAAACGAGAAAGTTCGGAGCCATTAGACGGTTTCTTGTTGATGTGCTTGAACGAGACACTTCCCGGTAAGACCTTATCAAACGCCTGCAAAAGTACCAAACCATCCTTCAAGTCCTCAAAAAGAGAAACGATCGGTGGGTCAACGTCTAATGAATTCAACCATAAGGTGAAAACTCTCGCTTCTCTTTCTCCCTCAGCGTCGAACTCTTCAATTTCGGGAGCTTCACTTTCTTCAATTGGATCTAAGCCGGGATAGGTGTTGAACAAGTGTGCGACAAAAGCTAAGTTCAACTTAGGATTTCCCTGAACAAGAGCCCTCGGAGTTAAATACTTTCTGACACCAATCCTGTCAGCGCTATCCAAGATTTTCTCCGCCCTTTCAGTCAAATCCGATTCATTCAAAGGTGATAAGTCACAATAGTCAGGTTGTAACTGATTCAAAAGGACAGTGTAGTTTTCACCATCGCTGATATCCTTAGAAAAGTTGGTGACCCGTCTTTGAGAGCCAGCGTTCTTCAAGTGAAAATTGAACCAACGTAATAAAATTTGCTCAGGAGGTAACCTCAAAAACTGCTCCAATGATTCATCATCTTCTAGCAATCTGTAAAGCTCTGGATGGAACTTGATATCCACTTTAGATAACAAACCGCGGCGAATGATCTGCCAAATCAAACCTAAAATGAGGTGCTCTTTACCATCGATAATATCCTCTGAATGGACATTTACCACCACGCATCCAATGGCTTTGGCCGAATTAATCACAATGTTTGCATTTTCTGACATTTGGAAATTGTTGAGCGCCTTTTTCTTCTGACCCGGTAAGTTAAGAACACGGGCGTCAATAGTGTCAGGAACGGAGTCGTTGATGAGTTTCGATAAAACCAACCCATCACGACATTCATCAAAGATCTGGAAGGTGTCTGTAGCGAACGGAAGTCTGTCGCCTACATTAGGGTCGTCGGCGAGCACAGAATTGATGTGCCTAGTGAATTCGGTCCGTTCCTCATCATTGATCGTATGTGTTGTACCCGATGTCTTTCCACTAATATACGTCTTATGGGATCCTGCTTTTCGGTTTGGTGATTGAGTTGTGTCGTTCACAGACGAGTCATTCAGTTTTCCACTTGTCAAAGGAGCCTGCTTTGGAGACGTATCCACTTCCTTCAACTTTGCAATTAACTCGACGTAATCATCCAACTCAACATGGCCAGATGCATCAACATCAACTGACTTGAGGGTTTCACGAACGTGGTCATAGGTAGATCCACCCTTCAGTGCAACTGCATTAATGATATCCTTCTTTTCGGCCCAACCCTTTTCCTCCAAATCAATATTCCGGAAATCCTCAATAATTGAGAAAATTTCGCTTTGATCCAATTGAGGAAACTTCTTTTGCAATTTCAAGACATTCATCTGAAGCAATACTGAGGGATAGAATCGCACTTGATAGTGAAAGCAATTGAGCACTTGATAACAGCACACTCTCAAACATCGGGGTGATATTGTGGTAAACACACGACCACAGTCGTTTTGCTCAAAATCGTTGATGTTCCTAGCCACAATGTATTTAGCAGTTTCACTGGTTTGAAATTCTACATATGTGGCTTAAAGTATCTCAATATGGTTAGTCTTGGTAGCCTTTTATAAGACCGAAAGATGTTCGACGTGTGCAGAACAGGCGAAACAAGAGTAAACCCTGCTACCTTTGAATGACGTTTACTGAGCTTTCGGTTGAAAAAGTAACATTGAGTCACCAGTATCAGGCTTACCATGTCTCCAAACACATAATCTTGTCTGTTTGTCGACAATCTATTGTAACTCTAGCGATTTCTGATAGAATAAATTTCATATGTTTCTTAGTCGCCGAAGAAATTGTAGTCCGCCATGATCTTCCCCAACTTTACAAGTAACCCACGTGATGAACGCTCCACAAATGAGCACACCGCTATGAGGAGGTCAGCATCAACAACAGATAAAAACTTGCAAATGGAGAAGCCTACTTTCCTCCTCAATGATGTTAGGCTTCTGTTTGCTGTTTCAAACAAAATTGAGGGGTTGTCACTTGCAAATGATGTCGCTTATATCATTTTGCCGGATCGAATCCACAAATTCTCCTTGGAGGAACCTTCCAAAGTCGTGACAGTCCTAATTCCAAAGCAGTTTACAGGCAGCAAGATCACCGGCTACTGGTCGCATCCCTGTGGCAAGCATCTTGTCGTTCAGTTGAGTAGCTATGTCCACCTATACCTCCATGACACTTATCAGAATTTCAAAGTACTTTCCAAATTCAATGGCTTGAAAACAAAAGATATCACCTTCAGGACTGGCATTAATGACAGTGAGAGAGTGGAACTCTTACTCATTACCACCGACAATTATGCATATGTCGCTTACCTTAAACCTCACTTCGCATCCAAAGGGGAAGGGAGACGAGACGACAAATACTTAAAGCAGGTGCTTAGATCAGACAAGGAGCTCATATGTGCTTGCATCAGTACTCGAGAGAATTGCGTTTACATGGTCACAGCAAGCGAAACAATATATTGGCATGTTACTCTCAAACAGGATCTGTTGTATAATATTTTACAGTCGAGCTCTCAACGAACACCACATCTCGAAATTACGAAAGAGTACAGACTCTACTCAGACACGAACGACTACTACATTATTTCAAGTTTGTCATCTATTTTGACTAATAACCCTGAAGCTTTGCTTAAGTCTTCAACGCGGTCTTTTGACCAGATCTTCGTTGATGTTTCTCAGTTTGCGGCCACCCCACATCATTATGTTATGATCAACATGTCCGGTAACGTCATCATTCAAGATAAACTTTTCACTCATGCGCCGTTTCAGGTGAACTGTTTACCAGGACTGCCAATACTTGGGATGAATATTGATCCTATAAACGGAACAATTTGGATGTACTCGTCGAATAATATTCACGAGCTTATCTCACCGAATGAAGCAATTTCTGTATGGCTTGGATACTACAGAATGGGCCGATTCGACGAAGCTTATCTGTTGCTAGAAAGCCTCCCACAACGACCGGAAATTAAACTCCACAAGAACGCGGTAACAATTAAGAAAGGCTATAGTTTGCTCCAGCAAGGTGGATTTGGCGTTGACTTGTCAAGTGAGACTAATATGCTTGACTTGTTTGACCTTCAATGCCGAGGAATTGTTGTCTTAGCACAGCTGATGGAGCCCTTTGAGAAGGTCTGCCTCATGCTCCTGGGTACGCGAAATCAGCCATCTGTAAACTCTCGGAACGAAGAGCTCTTGATAGCTTATTTACATGAAAAACTATTACATGCGATCGACCAGTCGAATGGAACGAAGACCACCGCCTTGACCTCATGGTTAGTATTTCTATACGCTAAGCGTATTAAAAGCTTGCTGGACTATCTGACCTCATCATCAACAAAAATAACTAAGCTGTTGGAGAACTATGATGATCCAACTAAAAGATTGGATCATTTCCTTGAATCCTATCATCGGTACATGAATTACGGTACTATTGCTGAAGTCCTCTCAAAATTACATCTTGATTCTGCAAGTTTACATCTTGCCACTCTTGAGGGGAAATTTGACTTTATCCTAGAGTACCATATAGAGAAGCAAAATTGGAACGAGGCAAACATAACTGTTCGGAATGCCTTAAAGGCAGATGAAAACGCAGGAAAGGAGCTTTTGTATTGCAATGCACCTACGTTGTTGAAGCATTGCCCAGAGCTTACTATCGATACGTGGCTACACTTCTCAACCCTTGACGTACGCAAACTTCTTCCAACGATCCTCGAATACAACAAGCAATATGAGAACTTGCCCTTGTCAGAAAATCATGCAATGTCTTTCCTATCAAAATTGATACACGGACTGGCAAATATTGATTGCCATGTTTTAAATTCATACATTGCTCTTCTTGTGCGGTACCCAGACGATGACCTGAAACAATCGACGAGGTCTTTGACGAACATGTTGAACCTTGCTCGAGATAACAAGAGACTCGCATGTTATGACGCCCAATTGATCCTCAGGCTTGCTTTAAAATACAAGAAGATATGGCCAGCAGCCATCATAATGATAAATGACATGAAATTATATGAATCTTCCTTGCAATTAGCACTCAGTCATGACGACGTTTTATTGGCGGAGTTTGTTTTGCGGAGATACGAACAAGACCTACCTGGTAAGACAAATGCTGCGACAGAAAACTATTCATCGCAGAATGTTGAGGGCCGTAAGATTCAATTCCTTACCGGCGAAGACGAGTATCAAACCATCAAAAAGCGCTTATGGAGTACCTACGCTGCTTTCTTAATGTCACATCCAGTTTCATCCTTGAAGTTGCAAGGATCAATTCTAGGGAATAGTATGCGAGACAAGCCAAAGCTACAACACATCCTTCGATATCTTCTTGATTTCGCTGAAGAGGTCTCCCCGACTAGAAGTCCATTGGATATCAAATGTCTCCTACCACTTCTACCCAAATCTGTGGAAATTGCTGAGCTAAGGGAGGAAATAGTGGAGTCCCTTGATCAATACAATGACTTCATAAGTCTACTTACCATAGAAATGAGAGAACTGGTACAAATCTGTTCTAAATTGAGATCGCAAATACAGTCATGTCACAACCTTCAGCATTCGGGTCAGACCGGAATTCTTATAGAAGCGGGGGAAGCATGTTCTCTTTGCTCCAAATTGCTCTTGGAGAAAAATATCGTTGTTTTCTCCAACTGTCAACACGGCTTCCACAAAGAGTGCATCGCGCGGTATCACTTGAATCAGCGGGGGGAATACCGCTTCAAAGAACTCTTCCATAGATTTCGTCAGCACGACGTGAAACTCGATAGGAGCGAATTAGACTCGATGTTTCACAGGCAGTGCGTTTTATGCCATGATGTGAATATTGGTCTGATCGATGAGGAGCTATTGAATGGGGAGAAGGATAGGCAACAGAAACTAGCCTGGGCTCTCTAGTACTGCATAATCATCACGTGATTCGAGTTTAAGACTATCGCTTCTTTTTTTTTTTTTTGAGCCATCTCTCTGTGATGAGCATCCACCTGAATACTACTCTCCATGGGAAAGACTCAGAAAAAGAATAGCAAGGGTCGTTTGGACCGTTACTACTACTTAGCGAAGGAAAAAGGGTATAGAGCTCGTTCATCTTTCAAGCTTGTCCAGATTAATGAAAAATATGGGCATTTCTTGGAGAAGTCCAAAGTTGTAGTGGATTTGTGTGCTGCTCCTGGATCATGGTGCCAAGTTGCAGCAAACCTTTGCCCCATGAATTCCCTCATTATTGGTGTCGATATCGTCTCGATGAAACCACTCCCTAGATGTATCCTTTTCCAGTCAGACATCACTACCGAAGATTGTCGTTCAAAATTACGTGGTCATCTCAAAACATGGAAGGCAGATACGTTCTTACACGATGGTGCACCCAATGTTGGTCTTGGTTGGGTCCAGGATGCATTTACTCAATCCCAGCTCGTGCTCAAAGCATTGAAGCTTGCAGTGGAACATTTGGTTCAGGGTGGTACCTTCGTGACAAAGGTCTTTCGTTCTAAGGATTATAATAACTTGATTTGGGTTTTTCAACAACTTTTTGACAAGGTTGAGGCAACCAAGCCACCCGCCTCTAGAAACGTGTCAGCTGAAATTTTTGTGGTCTGCAAGGGATTTAAGGCACCAAAGAAGATAGACAACCGTTTGCTCGATCTCACAGAGGTATTTGAGGAAATAGGGAAAGCCAAAGACAATAGTGAAGCTAAGGTCTTTAACCCAGAAAAGCGGACAAGGAAAAGGGAAGGCTATGAAGAAGGCGTCAATTTGCTTTACAAAGAAATGAGTCTACTTGATTTTGTTCGCGATGAAGAACCTATAAGTCGACTTGCTGAGTTGAATAAGTTGGTCGAGCCAGATGCAGGTGACTCTGAATGGAAGTTGTTACGAAAGATGAAATTATGGTCCCAAGAACTTGCTGAATGTGCGAAGGATCTTAAAGTGTTGGGAAGAAAAGAGTTCAAGCGTCTCCTCAAATTCAGGAAACAAGCGCGAAGTGCTCTAGATATCGAAATGCCAATCGAAGAAAACGAGGTTACTCAAGAGCCGCTAATTGTCGATGAAGAAGAGCAAATTAACCAAGAATTGACTAACTTATCAGAAAATCAAAGGAGAAAGAGAAAGAGAGAGAAGAGGAACGCAAATGAAATGAAACAAAAAGAGCTTAAACGTCTTCAGATGAATATGCTCACCGATATGTCCATCGGTATTGACGCTGCCAGTAACTCGTCTCAATCTCTTTTCAATTTGAAGCTGGCACAGAGGACAGGCGATTTACAGTCACTTGCGGAAGGTAAGAAACGAATGGTTCTTTCAGACAAAGGAAGAAACGTGGATGTTTGCCTGGACGAAGAAAGCTTAGCTTCTTCGGATTCAGAGAAAAATGGTCAGGATCTTGAAGATGAACTTGACAATTTACATCGCCAGTTCAAGCTGAGACAGGCAGAGAAGGACGCAAAATACCGAGCTAAACTTAGTCGAGGTGATTCAGAAGATACCAACTGGGACGGAATTCAGAGTGAGTCGGAGGCGAATGATTCAGAGCACTCCGACGCTGATTCCAACTCAAGCGAAGACTCCGATGATGAGGCAATTTTAGATATGATACAGCAGAGGAATCAGCGTGCGGGCGAGTTATCGAGAGATGCACAAACCTTTTTCGCAGTGAACCCGATTTTTCAAGGTATCGATGACAATACTCTTATTGAATCATTTGATATGCCGGTAAACTCTGACACAAATGAAGCCATCAATAATTCCGATAATGGTCAGACCTTCGAACTCGTCAAATCAAGGAAAGATGCCGAGGACAACGAGGACAACGAGGACAACGAAGACAACGTTCTACAGGACACCAGGGCAAAGGGGCTGAGAAACCTTCATAACGTGCAACTTGATACTGCTGAGGCGATGACCTTGGCCCATCAGGTCGCACTCGGCCAGAAGACGAAGTATGATCTTGTGAACGATGGGATTAATCGTTATTCCTTCAGGGATAAGGATTCTCTTCCCGACTGGTTTGTTGAGGACGAACAAAAACATTCTAAAATTTTGAAACCAGTTACAAAGGAAGCTGCTGCAGCAATCAAAGAGAAACAGAAGCAGCTCAATGCTCGGCCGATCAAAAAGGTTTTGGAAGCCCAAGGAAGAAAGAAGATGCGTGCGATTAAGAGGCTAGAAAAATTGAAAAAGAAAAGTGATCTCATCAACGATGATGCCGATAAGAGTGAAAGAGACAAGGCAGAAGAGATACAACAGATGATGAGAAAACTCTCCAAGAAACAAATTACAAGGCCCAAAGCAACATTAGTTGTCGCTAGAGGTCACAATCGTGGGCTCAGCGGAAGACCGAAGGGTGTGAAGGGCAAGTATAAGATGGTAGACGGTGTCATGAAGAATGAACAGAGAGCACTCAAAAGGATCTCTAAGAAGCATAAATAGCTTGGATTTAGATAAATGTTTCCCTAGTTGCCTCCAATATTGTAGAAGCAGTTGTTTTGAGGTTCAGTCTCCCTCCAATATCTATCTCGAGATACAGGATTGCGGTGCGTTGATCATCTTGGCCCAGACAGTATAATTTTCTTCCCCTGTTTACAACGCCAATATCACGGTCACTGAAGCTTCCAGACACCTTTCAAACTAAGTAGAACAGGTTCTGCCTTGCTTACGCACCATTATAGCATTCGAACATTTTACTGTACAATTCTTTGAATAAGCTACGCAGTAGCGTCCACTCCTTAAACTCCAGTGACAAAACTCAAGGGGCAGAAAAAATTGAGAGAGTTGCAATAATTGGTCCCATGATTCTCCTCTTAAAAGATTAACTTTTGCTTTGAAACCTACTGCGAAATATTTTTTTGCATATGAATCCAGATAGGCCCTGGCGACATCGTCATAGGAGGTCTGCCGCAATTTCAGGCTCCTTCGATACCATGGGAATGTTTCAGTCGCCCGGTCCTGTCACAGAGGAGACCCCTTCAGCTGCTTCAAATGATTTACAAGATAAGCAGCAATATGTGGCATCCACTTTGAACACACCTGAAATGGTTCCCGATGACCTTTTCTCATTTTCGAACGAAGATGATTTTTCTAACGAACCCACCAAGGTGGAATTCCATTTCCCACTTAATGTGAAACAAGGCACTACAAACAGTGACAATGGGAATTGTCAGACACCTTCAAACCCTAATAAGTCGAATCTCAACTCACCTATTCGCTTCCACAAGAATCATATTTCATCAGAACCAAACACCACACCAAGATTTTTCTTGACAGAGGAGACAATCTTGGGGAGCGATAATGTTCCTGACGCAGTCATTGATCTTGATAACATAATGAAAATGAGCTATCAAAATGATCAGGAAAAAGTATCGGACTCTCATGTTGTTGACCGCCATCATTTGGCGTCACCATTGCAGAATATGTCCACTAGGGTAGGGAGGAACTCCTCCTTTCCTTACCTGCTGTACCCTAGCCGTCTAGTACAAGACTGCAAGGATGATGCTATTGAAGAGGAATCTGATGATAAAGTTCAGCATTTGCGACACCGGGGGGTTGATGGTGCACTTATTGATGACATTGAGATACTTTCGGATGGAATGCCCACTGGATCCAATCCTGAAGCTAAAAATGTTGATGACAGCACTCCAACCAATGAAGGTTGTCTTAGCAACATTGAGAGCCCGGAATTATTTACCCAGAGCTCTACCCCTTCTTCCATTGATCACGACTACCGGTCAAAAGTGAGTATGCCAATAGGTGACAATAATTCGCCACGGGAAAATAGTTTGGCTTCTGAAGGAATCCATATCCCGTGCAGCGATAGGTGTCATGCCAATTACAAGTCACTGCAAAGGACCGTCAAGGGACACGCCTCAGGCCCCAATAGGGAAGTTCTGCCGCCTTTGACTCTATCGAATCATCTAAGATCTCCCATTGTCGAAGCCCCTTGCCAGATATCCAGCCAGCACCAGGAATATAAGAAGTCTTTTTTAGCAGTTTCTCCGTCTGCACCACTGGTTGGTAGAAGACACTTGGTCAAGAAGCCAGCCACAGGAGGCAGGATGCACTCGGAAAGATGTAACAAAACGAATCCTACAACGCAAAACAGGGGGTCGTCTACAAGACAGATTGAAACTAGGTGTGCGTCATCATCCGATGAAATAAAGGACGCTTCACATTCTGAGACATTTCCTCCGAACGACCATCTTGTTTTGGAGAAGATTAGCGACCTGGTTCATGGACAACTGGTGGGTATACCTAAAGATGGAACTTTCCCTGTCCGGGGATCAGAATTGGCACAACCGATACGACACACGCAGACAGAAAGATCTTCAGATAACAGCGCCGTTTCCAAACGGAGTCGACTTGCCTTTCTTTCCTTCAAAAGACGAAGGTAAGTTTCTGAAGCAGCTTATTCTACTCATCCTTTGTGATCCCATAATTTCAGACTAGGCTCTGTTGAGAGTTTGACCGCATCAAAGCTCCTATTCAGTTCAAAACCACGTCATAAGTGTTTGCTAATTCCTTCTCACGGGATTCAAGCACATACATACATACATACATACATACATACATACATACATATAAACATTTACAAAGAGTAGTATGTGGCATGGGACGCCATGATAAATGAAGCGTCAAAAAAAAAAAAAAAAAAAAGAGAGAACAATAGTATCGTTTAGCGTAGGATCATGATATTTCATTGGATATGTATGGGGGCTGGTTCTCACACACCAGTAGTCCTTTGCACTATTTCAAAAAGGTTGAGAGGCATAAAGATTTACAGGAATGGATTCAACAGACTTTGTGGGCACACTCAAGACTAAATTCAGGAACGCCACGAAGCATAAGCATGTTACCTTCCTTGGAGATGCTGCTCAATATGAGACTGTGATTGAGGAGTCCAATGATGCTGTATATCATTTTCATCTCACACTTTTGCCAAGTCTCGAACATAGGCCAGAGAAAGGTAACCAGAATCAGAACCCTTTCTCTCAACCGGAACCAGAACTTACAGTGTGTGAATCATATGGTGAACCGTCTGAGCTTCGCATTGTTCTTAATAAGTACCCGGTCGTTGAGAATCATTTCTTGATGGTTACGAAGGAATTCCAATCACAGAACACTCCACTCTCCGCCTCACAGCTCTTTGCTATCTATAATATGCTTGATGTTTTGAAACGAACTGATGAAGGACTGGATTGGTTTTCTTTTTACAACTGTGGCCCACATAGTGGTGCATCCCAACCCCACAAGCATGTCCAATTCATGACTTTGCCGAAGGGACACAAGAATTTTAGTTCGGAACTTGTGAAGCAGTCAGGGAACTTTTCCCCCGACCATTCCAATGACCCATTACAAGACCAGAACATACCATTTGCCCATTTTGTTGCTGCTGTTCCGAAATTAGCCGATATTACAAGTGACTCGTTGGCTATGATATTCAGCTCTCTTCTTCAAAGGACTTTAACAGTTCTCTCTCAAGAAGGAATACATGATGTAAGTTACAACGTGTGCTTTACTACTACCCACATGATGATGGTGCCTCGCTCAAATAGCAAGTTCGATGAACTTGTTGGTATAAATTCTTGCGGCTACATGGGCTTGATTCTATGCAAAAATTCCCAAATTTTAGATACAGTGAAGGATAATGGCATACTCAGCATCCTAACCAATGTTTCTTGCCCGACTCATTTTGGCAGAACATCTGACGAGTATGACTATTAGCGAAACTCTTCAAAGAACGCAACTTTAAAGCTGATGTAGAAGTAACCTTTCATCAAACACCTGATAGAAACCATAATGTGTGCAGGATCACCATATTTCCGCCAATGGTGTTTCTCGCTTTTCATCGCGAAATCTCATTCTGATAATTCTTCAGTTCAGGTACTACAAAAGCACCGCCCATGGCTTCTATAACATCGATCGTCAAGGCATCCGACTGGATTTTATCCAGACCAACTTTGGCTAAGGTTGTTACACCGCTCGCCAAAACTTTTGTTGCATACGCTGGCTATAGAGAAATGGGGTTGAAGTATGTAAATGACTTGTCTGCTTTCTTCAGTTGATACTAACAATACCAGATTTAACGACTTGATCGCTGAAGAGAATCCTATTGCTCAGAAAGCGATTTCAAGACTTCCTGAGGATGAAAGCTACGCTAGAAACTTTAGGATTATCACTGCTCATCAATGTGCTTTATCTAATCATTTGCTTCCTCCAAACAAGGTTGTCAAACCAGAGGAGGATAACCATTACTTGATTCCGTATCTCTTGGAAGCTGAAAAAGAAGCTTTTGAGAAGAAGGAGTTGGACAACATCCAAGTATGAGATACCCATGTTCGAGATATCTCACCACTGAAACTTGCGGATACATATTTTCTATATTAATCTATAAAATATCCATCAAAAGTATCTTTAATTACTCTTCATGCCAATTCTGTACTTCCTGAGCTGTTCTAAGACAAGAAATGTAGCAATAGTATGTGGCCCTAGACGGACAAAAGAAGGTAACCATCCTCTGAACATAAACCCAATACCCTCCTGCTTTACAGCGTCTCTCAATATACTCTGGGCTCCCTGGCTGGAACCGCGAGCATTCATAATTCGTGTCTTGACGACGTCCGCTGGAGAACAAACAGTTGTCGCTACTAAGCCTGCCATCAAAGAGGCACTAAAATGAGTTGATTTCTTCAGTGGATCCATTGAAAGTCCATCCACTAACAAATTCTTTGCAATGTCATACGTGACGACTTGTGACGCAGTCATGAGAATGCCTCGTGCCAAGTTTGGAGTCAAACCTCTGAAAAGTGATAACACACCTTCATGCTTGCAAATTCTAAAGAGACCGTCGAAAGCATTCCGGTAATTCCTCCTTTGATCTCTCGGCAATGTTGAATCATTTTGCATCCTGATATTGACAACATCAGACGGGTTCCCCACGAGTCCTCCTAATGCTCCAGAAATCATTGACATAGGTAGCAAGATAGAAGTAGTTGGCATTTGATTGTATTTGGCTTGATAAGATTCCTTCAAATACTCATAAACTCCAAACCTGACAGTTGAATATGTAGCTTGTCTGAGCAACGAAGCCGTCAAACCCGAATAAAGGTTGAGAAATCCTTCGTTCTTAACAATTGACAAAGCCATTGTTATAAGTGACTGGCCCCGTTTAGGGGCTGTTTGTAGTCTTACCTTTGCCAAATCCAATGGATGGGTGACTAAACATGCTGCCATGCTTGCGGCACCTCCATACCAAAACCTAATAATTAGTAACTTATCACCTGGGAGCCACATCTAATGGACACGTACGGATAAATGACTTTCTTCCTATTGTCAGTCATGGTGACCAATGTAATCTTCAATGTGAAAACGTAGGGAGGTCTTCTCTATAGTTCTCTCTCTTTTTTTTTTTTTTTTTTTTTTTTTTTTTTTTCAAATTTTTTTTTCCTATTAGGTCTGTTGGTGTCATATTGGCTTCGCACGGAATTTGGATGGTTACTTCAAGTAAGCGATATTTTACTGATACCTTCTGTTCTACAATTTAACGGTCAGTACTAATTGGCCGTTTCGTAAACCTTTTCCTTAGCCCATCTTTAATTCTGCTATGCCCATTGAGAATGAAACCCAACAAGGTTAACTGACCTCCAAACCTATACGGTACCTGCTTTTTCTTTAGCTCTCCAGAATTGGAGAGTATGAAGTAGGATTCAATTCGAAGACTTCTTTATTAGCCATTCAAGGTGATACCTTACACAATCTCTTCCAGCAACTAGACATTCCATGCAACTATTGAGCAAATGCGGTAGCTTGACAGCTTAAAGAGTATTACACGTTTAAGAGTACATGTAGTATCAGGTAGATGATAAGTGATATTGCTTTAGGGAATGAAAAAAGAAACAAATGATAAAAAAGCGTTGGAAAGTGCAATGGTTGAAAACAGCCGATTAGTGGCATCAGATGGTTCCGTGTTCTCGGTGTCAGCAAGGTATATTATACCGGATATCATTATATGCCGGGGATATACATTCGCAAACTGCCAACGAATCGCAAATAACTGTGCCTTTGTCTTCCAAAGAATCATGAGCAGGGCAGAAGTTGACTTGCAAATTAGTGTCAAGAAAGCGTGCAACTCCGAAGAGGTGCCTCCGAAAAGGAAGCATGTTCGAGCATGTATCGTCTATACATGGGATCACAAAAATTCCCGTGCCTTTTGGAATGCTGTCAAAATCCAACCATTGCAGAGCAGCGAAGTTCAGTTGTTCAAGGCTCTCATCATGATTCATAAAATTTTGCAAGAAGGCCATCCTAATACATTAAAAGATGCGTATAGGAACAAGGACTTTTTGTATTCTTTGTCCACGGTCTTCTCAAGTTCATCAAGCTATGGTCGCTTGATAAACCATTACGATCGCTTCTTGATGCGGAAGCTTGACTTCCACCGAAATAACCAGGGATTCAATGGTATATTTGAATATGAAGAATATATCTCGTTGAGGACGGTCAATGATCCAAACGAAGGATATGAATCTATCTTACAATTGATGGATCTTCAGGATCTCATTAATGATCTCCAAAAGCTAATCTTCTCGACCATCCAACAAACGCCAAATAATTTGTGTAAGACTTCGGCTCTTGTTCCCCTTATCTCGGAGTCTTACGGAATATATAAGTTCTTGACTTCCATGTTGCGTGCAATGTACCAACAATTAGGTGATGACGAACTTTTGACAGCGTTGTTTGATAGATTCAATTCGCAACATTTCTATCTTCGTGAGTTTTACGCTGACTGCCAAGCTATCAAGTTTCTTACAAGTTTGATAACGATCCCTAGAATACCAGCTTCGCCTCCAAATTTGAAGCACTCCGATGATAGTCAATCACGAACTTCAGCAATAGCCTCTCAGGAGTCATCTTCTGCCTTGTCTGCACAGCAAACCTCTGCTTTTGAACAGCCCCTAGTCCCTCCAGCGGCAGATGATATGAGCCAAGCGAAGTTGATGGAACAACAGCAGCAGCAACAACAATTTTTGCAGCAGCAGGAGCAAGAGCTTGAAATACAGCGCCAGCGTCAGTTACAAGAACAACTCCAAAGACGACGCGAGTTTGAACAACAGAAACTTGCGCAAGAAGAAAATAATCTTAGAGAGCAGGAAATGTTAAGGCTTCAGCAAACCAGTGCCCAAAACTCGAGGGTATCTGAATTAGAGAATGATCTTGTGATCTTCAAAAACCAGTTTGATAATGATCAAGCTTTGCTTCACCAATACGACTCTAGGGTTAAGTCTTTGGAAACCGAACTTCAAAGTATCAACCAGACGGCATCGGAGCAGTTAGCATCAAAGGATGAGCAAATCAACAATATCGAAGAGCAAGTCACTAATTGGGCTAAGAAATACGAGGCTTTGGCTAAGTTGTATTCTCAATTGAGGTCGGAGCACCTAAACTTACTTGCAAAATTTAAGAAAATTCAGCAGAAGATCAATAGCGCCCAGGAATCAATTGCGAAGAAGGAAAAGTTTGAAAAGGAGTTGAAGCAGAAGAATTTAGAACTTGCGGACTTAATTAGGGAACGGGACCGGGCAAGATTGGATCTTGATAGGCTAAGAGTGTCAAAGGACCAAGAGATCGACAAATTGCACACTCAACTGCGTGAAATGACCTCGAGATTTGCGGACACTGACGAAGTATCCTCCCAGAAATTACAAGCCATTAAAGACCAATACGAAGCGGACTTAAGTGCCATGAACGTACTCCTCAAGGAACGAGACACGCAGTTGGTCCAATTAGGGGAGGTATCGTCACTTAAAGAGAAACTTAAGGAAAAGGAAGTCGATCTTGAAATTGCTCAAGAATCACTCGATAGTGCATTAAAGGAACTTTCGCTTACGTCGAGCGACCCGAGACTGGAGCACTTATGGAACCTTTTGAACATTATTTTGGCCAACAATGTACGCAGGGTACAAGATACGAAGTATGAGCTAACTTCACCAATGCAAACAGGCAATGTGAACTCTACTCCTAACTTTGTCTTATCTGTCTTAGACCTTTGTTCAGACACTGCTACTGACTTTGCTCTGGTTTTTAACAATTTTCTCGCTGAGGGCCCACAGCTTAGTGAAAACGAACAACTGTCATTTACCGGAGTCATATTAGCGAGTTCAGAATTGGCCTCATCGCTTAATGATTTGATGTTAAACATTAAAGGTCTCTCCAAGACGATTCCACCTTCTGATGAACAGAGGATCATCGAACACTTAGAAGAGCTTCTTTCAAGGGCAGAAGACTACTATCTGAGCCTCACATCAGACTCCCTCGACGCCCTCGAGGATGACTATGAGAAGATTGACCTTGTAGTTGATTCGAACGTCCAATTCCAAAGTACTTTGAAGGATTTGTCTAATGCTATTGAAGAGATCCAGCCAAGGCATAATCTTTCCAATAAGCGAAAGAATCTTGAAGATGTTGTGGAAGAAGAAATGGAAGAGGCTGTGAAACAAATTGATGCAGCCATGCAGTTTCTTGACAAGCTTCAATCACAGAAGACTGAGGGGGCCGACATGCAAGTGCATCAGGCAATCGTCAACGCAGCGATGGGAGTAACCCAAGCAGTTACTATCCTAATCAAAGCATCGATTGATTCCCAGCGAGAAATTGTTGCCAAGAATAAAGGTACGCTGACAGTTCGTGAATTTTACAAGAAGAACAATCGGTGGACAGAAGGCCTTGTCAGTGCTGCTAAAGCTATTGCTGGAGCGACAAACATATTAATCGAGACAGCGGATGGTGTACTTCGGTCCAAACATTCCCATGAGGAGTTAATTGTTGCATGCAATGAGGTTGCAGCTTCGACAGCACAACTTGTCGCAGCTTCGCGAGTCAAAGCTAACACTTTTTCCTCGACTCAAGAGAGGTTAGAGACTTCTTCGACAAAGGTGAACCTGGCTTGTAAGTATCTCGTTGGTAAGGTCCAAGGACTTTTATCCAATTCCTCAAAATCCGAGCCGGATATTGACTTAAGTACCTTAACACCATATGAGGGCAAAACGCTTGAGATGGAGCAACAAGTTCAAATCCTCAAACTTGAGAATTCCTTACAGTCAGCTAGAAAGAGGCTTGCGGAAATAAGAAAGTTTGGATATAGAGATGACGAATCCGACTAAATATACACCTCTATAAGTTCTAACAAAATATACCGATGTTACATGTTAAACGAGTGCCTCATCCGTAGATAAGTATCCCTATCACACCGACACCTACACTCACAAGCGCAACCACAAACTATGTTAGTGGTTTTTACGGCCATAGCATGAACTCATATGGATCAGCAAGCACAAAACTACAAACTGAAAGAGACACAACTCAAGCAAACCGCTCGGCTTGCCATCAACGTACTTATCCCAATAAGATCTTCCCTATCGAAAAAACGCTACAGTAGATTAACACAAAACCTTCTGGCCAAAAACGACGACTAACTATAATTTGCGTTAGGCATGTATTAAGGTATCCACAACTGCTCACTCAACCAACAAATAGTGCAAATTGAGTATCCTTCTTTCAAGGCTGTGGTTAAATTTACTATTCATATCACCTTCCTAAATCAAGAACAATGCTATAAGTAACCGATTTTAAGGAGTTAGGGTTCAATAAAAAAGAACTAAACGTGACAACAAAGTAAGATTTCAATTGCCAGATCCGACGATCCACCAAATACGAATGAAGGATTCAAAAATATATTTCATTTTTGATGGACTTTTATAACTGTCGCGACTTCAACTTAGCCCCCCCTGGGTGAGTATTTTATTACCGTCGGACGATACAGAGCGCACATAACAATTTCCAATAATTCACTTGAAGCATCAGCTTCTTTATGTCAAACTCGTGTTACCTTTAAAATGATTCTCCACGGGGATACCTTACACTTCTCGAAGATACTCAGCCAATTTTCACTTTCTCGCGGATCGAACGGGTTTGCATTCTAAAGCAACCATATAAATCAGTGATCAGTAGAAACCAATCTCATTTAGTATTGAAATGACTGTAACAAAGGAACAAAAGGTTCATCTATATCTTGAGGTTGCAAGCTATTAGAAGAACATCCGGAAATCGAACGGATTCGCACGCAGCCAGGTCACATCGGCGACATGGGGTAAAATAGAAATATGCGCTGAAATTATGCCAGTCTCCCACTATCAAACGCGCCCTGGGTACTAGATAACTGCTTCTACACGATTGCAACCGGGTTGCTCACAGTTTGTCTTAGGTAACACGCTAGACTATAGTATTCGCAGAAGCCACTTATTGGATATCAATCTCAGCACTGTAATTGAATAGAATGTCACCATTGACGTTACATATTAAACTGCTTACAATCTTGTTACAATTTAAATACCTTTCCATCTTACTTCCAGATTTTGCTTTCAGTAGGCGACTAAACTACGGCGATAATTTAATATCATTTTCAACCTTCACACTTAGGATCTTTAAAACATCTTCAATCACTAATCTAAACAAACACACGAGAAAAAGCGCACAGGACTATTGAACTCTGTTGGCAATTCAGCTTCCCTCGTTCATTACCGGACCTATATCACTCAAAAGGACTAGGATATTTGTGCACTCTGGAGGTGAGCAGAGAGGCCGGCATGAAAATGTCATCTTCTCTATTTAAAAGGAATAGGAAAGATGACATGATTAAGTTTGAAACGTCGTCAGCCTAGGCATTATATTCATCATACTGTTTGATGTATGAGAAATGTTTTCAAGCCCTAAACGTTGTACTCAATGCCTCGCACGCGGCTTTCTCGTGTTAATCTCTAGACAGCTTGGATAATACAGCAAGTGTGTATCATTAGTCTTTTAATATTATTTATTTATCGCTGAAGTAGCTAGTTTAATTCCTGGAACTATTCCTCTTGTTCTCTAGTAATAGGGAATGGTGATTGCTAGTTAAAGCTCGCACTCAGTTACTAATCGAGTGGTCATCCATTGATCGCCTGCCCACTTTTGCAGGTTAGAGTCATCGATGCCGAAGGTTCTGCCGATTCCGTTAGTACGATACGCGCAGGTTAACAAAGCGAGGAAAGAACTATAGAGACTCAAGCTAAAGTTCAGACGGGGTGTTTTGCGCCGGGCGGCAATGAGGAAGTCCTCCTAAATCCGATGATTAAGGAGTTGTGTTTTCTATAGTGATATAGTTTTCGAGTCGTTAGGCGTCACTTATTACACAGTTAACAAAAAAAAAATTATAAGTTAAGTTTGTCTCTATATTCCTTTTTCTACTGATGGGGAATTTAAGTAGCTGCTGGTATAGGTGACATGCCCGCATCGTTTCTACAGCTGATTTCTCATGTTTTTATTGCTCTGTTTCCTTCGCTTTGATTGGTGGCTATATACGTCAATTCTATGAAGCCAGCAGGTGACAACAAAGCATTTCAATCGATTTAAAATACGATATGCATTATTGAGTTTGCCGTCTATATCTTGCTTTTCCAAAATCGAAAGGAAGATATTTGTACTTAATCATGTGTTGAATTTGCTTTCGCATTGTTAAGAGAAACAAAATAATAAAATACAACACAAGTATTGGCCAAAATACTGGGATATCGAGTATTGTGAAAAACGTGGCGATCAATGATGCCACAGTTGCTCTTGTTGCATTGAGCCAAAACCTGAATTCTGGAAGGCGTCTGATAAATGGTTTGAATTCGTCTTCTAAATCATCGGCACCCTCTTCAAGATTTGAGGATCTCAGCTCTTGCTCTAAAGAAGGATCAAATTTGGGAGTAAGGAATGCTAAAAATAAATTCAAAAGATAAATTCCTAAAGCGTAGCAAACGATATACCAACCTTGGCTGAATACAATTCGAAGCACAAATATCACTAAAGAGATCCGAATGAGATCCATCTCTCTCTGACGTATGGTACAACCCTGTCAAGAAGCTCTTGATGAGTTACCTGGATCTTCTTATAAGCCTGTGGTATCCTTATCAGCTCTGTGTCTATCATGATTCTTTGATGGGTTTCCAGGAGCCACGTAGTTTTCTTGAGTGAGCGAGATGTTCAGGGTGCAGGTTCTCAGCCTTCGCAGATGCCGCTAAGGTGTCGCTGGGGAATACAGAGGGAAAGCGAGCAATATGTTCAACAAAAGCTTTACCACAGCACACTCCATCTCATTTGCCGAAGAGACTGTTTGGACTTGGCATGACGGGCTTCACGCAAGCTCATAATTGCGCAAACTCGTGCCGTAAAGGAGTTGAGCGCTGTAATCCGATGTCTATACGCCGAACCTTTGTTTATTTTTGTCACCTACTTTCGCGTATTTCACGCAAACATTGACGAAGGGATGTCGCATCATCAGGCAAAACACGCTTCACCGCGATTGCTATATAATGCTTCTAATCCCAGAAATCTGACTTATCGAAACTTTCATCAACCATCTTGCGAATCCTAGTCGCGTCCATTCCTTTGCCATCAGTTTAAATGTTCATCCAATTCTTTAAGTTCTTATCACTCGCTGTTGCGGTCTCGGCTGTTCCCTTTAAGCGCTACGACAACAACACTGAGGCTGCAAGCGCTTTGCAGTATGCCGAGGTGGATACCACAGTGACAATTGATAAGTATGTCACCATTACCTTACCTTCGACTACGATGACAGTACCAGCCACTGCTTCTGAGGCTAAAGCGGCTAGTGCCTCTGAACTCGCTGAAGCGGTAACTGTAACGTCAACAATAGTTGAATATACTACTTTGGTAGACAACGGCTCGTCTGCTACGTCCCCTGTGGCTACGAAGACAAGCACCATCACTTCAACACCCACCACCACTTCCACTATCACCAGCTTCGTGACAATCACTGAAGCTGAGAAGTCCAGTTCTGAAGTATGTGTACCTTCTACCATAACAGTGACGGTCACGGAAAACGGAACTTCTTCAGGAACTATCTCTACAGGTACGACGACTCATGTTTCCTCCTATCCAGTTGAGGCCGAGTTCACTTGGAGTGGGACCACCACCACCATTACCTCTTTCGTTGACATTACCACCACTGAGCTTTTCACCGCAACAGCCTCCACTTTTAATTCAAGCTCGCCATTGCGTAGCACGAATGGAACTTACCAAGTCCCTTCTAACATCAAGAGAGCTGGGTCTTATGACTTCTGAGTATGAGTCGCCGTGCCGTGATGAGGGAATCTTATTGAATTTCTGTAACCTGGGCATTTGATATATTGAATGCTATTTCATAGTCTTCGTAATAAATTTACCACTTTTCATCCTACCAGTCGTTTATGTTTCTACTCCCAACCTAAAGTACCGGAGTATGTCCCATTAAGATGGTATTGTGATATATATATATCTATATATTTTCTTCTCAATTTTGAAGACAAGCTCACATCAAGATGAACATGAGGAGGGGGCTAATCGGGTCTAAGAACTCATTTCGGGGTAATGCTCATGAAGTTTGCATCTGTAAGACCAAAAAAACTAACATAATGGAGATAAATCTTGAGCAAAGGGTTAAACAACTTCTGCAATAAGGTCTCGTAGTTCTGCTAGGTGATTGTCGAATCAGTTCGTTTGGAATAATCGCAGAGAAACTAAACAAAATGTAGGACTCCTGGTCTTCAAATGAATACTGTGTGTTAGATGTCAGGCTCATTTTGACGAAGAGCAGGTTAGTAATGCTAAATGTTAACTTTCAGCCGCATCTATATTCTTCGAACGCACCATGTCATGAAGAGCAATAAGCTATGTAAAAACCATGATTCAGGATATGCATATCTAGGTAAAGGCATAGTGGCAGAATCAGGCCTTGACGATCCTAAGAAAGCACTATTTCGTCGCTATCTTCCGCAAGTCCTCAAGACAATCATCCTAACTACGTATTCATGGCCGCAAAATCGTGCAGAATTTACTGCTGATAAAAGCGTGATACAAGAAGTGATACTGGCGTTTGGTGTATCAACAGTAAAAATCAATTGTTGTGAAAGACATGAACATTGCCTCGAGTGTCATGAGATCATTCATGAAGTCAAAATCATTTTCCATCCTCAAGAAAACATGAACGCAAAGCAAATTCCACGAAGATCAAGTGAGAAAAAACAGATGAGGAGCATCGAAGACAAATTGAAGCGTCACCTGGGAGATAATGACAAATTAAATGCTTACTTAGAGAAATGGAGTTCGCATTATCAGCTATTAGAAGCAAATATCGACTGTAGGTACTGCGATGCTCAATACAGGATTTCCACCGAGAATTTACGCAATCCCTTAAATCCCTATATCGGAACCAACCATACAACTTACACATATAAATTTGTATTCAGCGGGTGCAATGTCAAACTTTGAAGCAGGTAAGCTTTACGAGGCAGTCATAGAAGAAGTCATAGCAGATTCTCGTCAAGACTTCGAGGACACTGGGATCGATGAGAGCACACTCCAAGATTTGAAAAAGCTTTGGTGCGAGAAACTAAGTCAATCTCGAGTCGGAAATTTCTCTTGGAACGACGTGGATGAGCTAGACAGCGGAATCCATTCCAGCTTGATTCCCAATGCGGTCAAAGATGAACCCCTTCTGTCCCATCAGGGCCTCGATATGCCTCATATTTCACAGTACGACCCGGCCCAAACCAATTCAACGAATGAGTTGGCTGGCCATACAGGCTCTAGCTATACTATGGGGATTGAATTGCCTACGGTAAAGCAAGAATATACTGAAGAAAACGGATTGATACTTCCCAAGGTCAACCAGTCTGATGGGCCGATAGAGTTCAGCATGGATGCCAACTCAACAACAATGAAGTGGATAAAAGAGGTATCAAAGCGGCAGTCCGATGGAGGGGCTCAAGACTTTGGTGGTTTAGGTGAGGAAGATGATGAAGATGATGAGAATGATAACGGCGATGCTGATGGTGCAGTTTTCAACGATTCGGATGATATAAATTCAGACCTAGACGACGAGCTTGATTCTGAAAAGTCGGATGATGACGATACAGAGCAGGAGGGACAAATAATGCTTTGCTTATATGATAAAGTGCAAAGGGTCAAGAACAAGTGGAAATGTAATTTAAAAGAGGGTGTTGCTAATATCGATGGCAAGGATTTTGTGTTTCAAAGAGCAACCGGGGAAAGTGAATGGTGAGTTGCATCCATATAACCATTTTCTAGTTTTGCTTATCACCTGCTTGATCACCAAATATGTGCATATGGCCATCATTCATTTATATGTATATATAATATAACAGTTTCATTGGTACACCTTAAAAAGACGGTATCTGTAAGTCCAAAGGCTCGCGTTTGTCATCATCCATTGGTCTCCCATTCATGAAAATACAATCAAAGTCTGTAATGCAAAGACTCAATATATCAAGTGAAACCCGTAGAGTAGGCACAAACACGATGCATATGTTTTTTAAGGTCATCAAATTAGTTGAAGATTGGTCAACGACGGCCTTCAAGAGCCTGAACACTGTAAAGCAAAAATCATAGTTCACTGGACTCTTTGAAACATCATGGTTGATAAAGTTTCGGATTTGAATGGCGAGTTGAGATTTTGACATGATGCCTTTGTCGTCAGATATAATTCGTTGCAAAAGGACGTATTCGTTCTCCCCAAATATGCTGCTCGGGAGCTCTCTAAGGTACGTTTTAAATAAGCCCGCAACAGTGTGTATGTCGGGTTTGAGATGATGGTCAAAGAGGTTAACATCAAGTTCCCGATTGAACTGGTCCTTTATGAGACGAATAGTTGATGCCGATCCACTTAAGCGAAAGATACCTTCCTCGTAAATTGCTCCTGTTCGAGACAAGTAGTCAATACATCGAAAACAGACGGTGGGGATCTGCTTACCATCCAACACTTTGGATGATAACGAAACTGCTTCAGTCAAATTGTTACCGAAAACGGGGGTGAATCGGTCATGAGTCAAGTCCATTGATGCCAAGTGGCTTTCGAGGGTCAATGAGCCTCCCAAATCAGCTTCGGGTGTGCATCCACTATCATCATCCGTGTCGTACAGTTGGCCCTTGTATCTGAAAGGAAAGAGACTCCTTTTTCGAAGTTTTTTTACATCTTTAGGGTCCTTTAGCTGCTCTTCCTCCTTGTTTAGCGCGTTTTGCTTTAGTAGGGAAGCCTCCTGGGGTTTAGGTGGCTTTCTTTGTTCGACAGCTTCAGGGTACAGCTTCAGTGCCTTTATCGGATCGTTTTCGGTATACTCAACCATAGCGTTGACCCATTCATCTCTTTCTTTATCGGATTCCGCGCAAAAGAAGTGTTTCTGGGTAGAGCTCGAAATCTTATTCTTTGGGGCTTCAAGGATTAAGAAAGCATGCCGATATCCCTTCTCTTCTGCAACATTGTCCGTCGATTGGCGCCCAATTTGCGACCCTTGAAGACGTACTTGTTCTATCATGGGTCCTCCAGGAAATTCATAGATCTCTAATGAGGGCCCATCTACCTGGCACCATCTTATTTTCCAAGTGGTTCCTAGACCTTTGTATCTCCTTATAAGATATCCTTCCAACTTCGCTCCACTCCTAAAATCATCAAGTGGATTGACAAAGTCTAGCGATATATAACGGCAAATGCGATATAAAATCATTTGTGGGATATGAGGGATTAAAAAAATTGAATTAAAGTAGTGCTGAAGAGCCGTTTTCCGAGCGTCCACCTTCGCTGGAACAGTGGAAGTGAAAAGACCTTTGTCTGGCAATGGCGGTAAGCCAAAAGCTTCTAGTATCAGTCTGATCTCATTATCGAACGATAAAATTTGGTTGAAGGATTTCCTCACTTTCCACATTCCTTTCCCACTCTCACGATCATTGATAGAAAGAGTACAACTGAAGTCTTCAGATTTTTTTGGGTTGAAGCTTAAAGTACTTATCACTTCGATTTTTATGGTCAGGAAATCCTCAGGCTTTAGGAAAAGAATTACATCATCTTGTGGTTCAGGTGAAGTCAAAACCTGAAAGCTGGATCCATGCGAAGCTGGTGACGTCCTCTGCATTGACTGAGCCTGAGAGACTGTGGCCGGACTTTGTGGGTATTTAGAGCTTCTTCTCCTCCTCTTAAGTCTGTTCTGTAAGAGAAGTCATTCAGTACAGGCGATAATTTGTTGGATGAATGAGAAGCACTGCTGCTCTCGCTTCTAGTACCGAAAGAAGTGTTCGTGGGGATAGAAAATGATGATCGCCGCTCTTCGTTGTTCCCAGGAGAAGGCCGATCTTCTATGTGGGCCAGATGCGAGTTTGTAATAATAGAATTTTCAGAACCTCTCATGGTATGGGGAAGTTTGATTCTCATATTGTAAGGGTTGACACTTGTTTGTGCCACTGTTCGGCTACTCTCGCCTTGGCTCATTGTTCGATTCTTCGCTTGAACGATGCTATCATCTTGAGATCCCCAGAATCTGTTGAAGGTGAAACAGCTCGTAACAGTGGGCTGTTTTCGATATTGTTCTTCTCTTCTTCGGCCACTTTCAGGTTATCGTCCTCTTTTTTCCCCAGACTATCAAAATCAGTTTCATTTTGTCCTAATGAATTTGGTGACGTGCTGCGTTTGACCACTAGAGAGAGACCTGACTTAATATTCTCCGAGATTGGAACACTGTTGGTTACCACATCAGGATGCGGTTCACTCTTGGGAATAGTATCTGCATCGGGCTGTTCAACAGAGCTCCTTTGGGGCACCTGCTCAACCTGCTTTCTTCGACGTGCTGATCTTTGAGGAATACCATCAGAGTTCTCATACGAAATAGTTGAGTCCTGGTAAGATTCTCCTGCTCGTTTTCCGATCAGTTCGTGAAGCTTCTTTTTCGTTGAATCGCATTCAGCTCGTAGCTCCTTTATTTCAAAAAGTAAGAGCTCTATATAGGCACTGTCACTAATATCTCGCCGATCAAAAAGAGGATGGGACGGTGGATAACTCATATTAATTTGCTATTGGTTTCTTGAAATGGATCGGTATAGCTTTTCGAGAATAGCTCTGTCAACGCCATGAATTGGTCTACAATTCTCAAGAATGGTGCGCGCGTGTTTACTACAAGGTCCCCACGAATGTTCTCAACTATTATTCACAAAGGAGTTCAAGCATTTAAAATTGCACAGGCACAATGAGTTCATTGACATAATACCAACTCAGCTATCATCAAGTTTAACGTGCTGCCTATTTTTTCGTAAAGCTCTCCTTCCATACGCCGCGGGTATATCAATGGGAGGTATACCACCGTTGTCATACAATTCACGTAACATCTTGCTGGTTGGTTCTTGTCGATCTTCTGAGGCTTGAATTGTCTGTGAGTAGCTGTGGTTCGCTGGTAGAATAGATTGGGGCATCAACAGTCTCCCTAACTTGATCACCTCATTTGCCCAGATTGTAACCTCGGTCTTGGGATTCTTGTATGGGACCCATTGTCGCTTGCAACCTTTCGTGAGTTCTTTCACAACATGTTCAGTGCCCCATGACCCGTTCCATAAAACCGGATCATCCGTGTTCTCCTTTTGGTTGTTTGTTAACCCAATTAAGTGGGAGAAAATCCCTGAAATCAACGCTCCATCAGAGTACCCCCCTTCCAAAAACGAGATGACTTTTCCATATGTGTGAAGCTGAGCCAATTTAACGACATCTTTTGTAAACTTGGCATAAAATGACGTCGGCACATTGACTCCATGCCTTTGCATCTGTGGATTTTCGTATTCCGAAGCATCAAGTCCAGCAGATATGATGATTAAAGGTTTAAAGGCTGGCGGTGGTGAGGGCTTAGTGACAGGCTGTTTATAAAGATGAGGCTTCAGGAGAAATTTTTTGTATTTCGTGAGCTCTGCTATGTAGCTCGAATGTTCTTGTTCGTGTTGCCTTTTAGCCTGGTTAAGGAATTGATTAGCTCGATTTAAAATTGCCACATACTTTGTTTGATAGTGTTTATAAAACTCTTCTTCTGATGCCCATTCTTGAAGGTGAACGTTCCAAATGTTAATGTCATGGTCCATCATACAGACTGAAGCGTTTTTTAAGTTTTCTTTAGATGCAAAGCCAAGCTCTGTAGGGTATGATTTGATGTCGTGTAAGGAGAAGTAGCCAACCTTCGGTGAAGACGGCTTTCGTTTACCATGTTCATTCCTGGGCGGCAGCTCTCCGTCAATTTCATCGTCCTTTCCATAATCACCGTAGAAGCCTCCCCGCTCCCAGCAAATGTCTTGAGTACCATCACCGTGGTGAAGATCGATATCCAATATTGCACAATGTGTAACACCGTAAGTTTGAAAGGCGTATTCAACTCCGATTTGAGCATTGTTGAGTACACAAAATCCGCTTGGGAGACAGGCATGGGAATGATGTCCTGGTGGTCGGAGAACAACGAATGCTAATTTATGTTTCTCGACATCTCTACCTGTTCCAAAAAGAGCATCCACTGCTGTTTCAATAGTTCCTATGACACCTTCTAAAGCCGTGATACTTTTTGGTGTTAAGTATATGTCCCCAGGGTTCCAGTCAGGAGGGACTTCGAGTTCTCCTTTGCTCAATTTTTCATGAGAGCCAAGACAAAGATTGAACAAAAGCTTGGGCCAGTTCTTCCCATGAACTTTGGTCACATGCTTAGAAAATATGGAACTTCTTCGATCCGAATTCTGTATCGAGTAAAAGAACGGATACATAGAAAGAGCAGCTGCAACTCCAATGCAAGAGGCAAGAAGTCGTTGAGGTCTTTCAAAAATGGTCGACAAATAAGATTTCAGGACCCATGAGCGCCCAAAGCTATGCTCCGTTGAGAATGGCGAAAGTAACACGAGTGTTTGATCACTGCTCTTGACGAACCGAGGGCTTTGCTGTTCAATCTGCGGATTGGCACTAATAAATTCTGCAAAAGTTCTTCGAAACTTTAATAACTGTAGATCTATAAGAGGAGACGGCTCAAGTATAGATTCCAATTCTGGGCAAGAGTTCAAAAGTTCCTTGCTGATAACACTATCGCTGGGAGCTACGAAAGAGCCATCAGTATTTAGAGTTCTCTCCGATTGTTTATGATTATGTTGCTTCGCATAGGGCTCTTTTTGTTGCTCTTTGATGGACCCCAATGCCTCAGAACTCGTTCTTGGGCTAGATTTGGAGCCATTAACAAAATAGCTTTGATCTATAGTGATGTCTTCCGCAAAAAGGTCGTTAGAAGGACGAATACTCAAAGTCGTCTCAAATTGAGTGATAAACGAATCTTCGAGATCCTCGGACTTATCATCTTGAGGCATTCTGCGAGGTTATTCTCAGATCAATTATGAAAATTCTGAGACAAAGTACGTCGGTGACCACCTATTTGTAGATATGGAAGCAGTTATCTAGATGATGGCATACACCCTTTAACGTCAGTATAGTTCGCCGTCGCTTTAGAAAGAAGACGTTTTCGATATTGCAGGATAAAAAGTTTGAGTATACCGGTCATGTTGACAATACAACTGAATCAAAAGTTATTATATGCACTCTATACATACTGGTAGGCATTGACCGCTATAAAACATAATTAGGCGTCTTAGGATGTGGCTCGGGGACTTTCGCCGACATTATGTTTACGATTGCGGAGAACGTTTTCAATGTACGCCTCGCCTGCTTTGTAAGACGACCTAACCAAGGGTCCACTAGCCACGTATAAGAAGCCCAATTCCAAGGCAGTTTTCTTCCAGTACTCAAACTTTTCTGGCCGTACGTAGTCCACCACTTTCATATGTCTCCTTGTAGGGCGCATGTATTGCCCGAATGTGACAACATCGCATCCCACAGCACGCAAATCTTTTAAGGTCTGCATTACCATTTCGTCAGTTTCACCGAACCCTAACATCAATGACGTTTTTGTGACTAAAGACGGTTTCAGTTCTTTCGCTCTTCTCAAAATCGAAAGGGACTGTCTGTAAGTAGCCCTCCGGTCTCTGACATGAGGAGTCAAAGCTTCGACCGTTTCTAGATTGTGAGCGTAAACATCTAAACCGGATGTTGCAAGTATGTCGCAGCTCTTGAGATCTCCTCGGAAATCACCACCCAAGACCTCCACCAAAATATGAGGTGCTTTCTCTTTAATTCTTCTCACTGTTTCTGCGAGATGATTTGCGCCTCCATCAACAAGATCATCCCTATCCACAGTTGTAAGGACGACGTAGCCCAATCCCCATCTGCTGATAGCCTCAGCAGTATTCTCGGGCTCGTTCGGATCGGGCTTTGAGGGGTTTCTGTCTGTTTTAACTGAGCAGAAACGACAACCTCTAGTACATGTGTCCCCCAAAAGCATAATTGTAGCCGTGGCCTCCGATTTTTTACCACCCCAACATTCCCCAATATTGGGACATTTTGCTTCCTCACATACAGTTGCTAGTTTGAGCTCTCTCACATCTTTCTTCACATTCAGAAAGGATTTTCCCTTGGGTATAGGTACCTTAAGCCATTTTGGTAACTTTTGTTCCGGATCCATTCTGGCCGCTTCTAGCGGATCAACCATCATTTGTGACGCCTTACCTGAAACAAAGTCATCGAACGAGGGGCCTTTGTTCAAGGTATCAGAGAAATGCGTCTTACGCCTCCTCGGTCTTGTCGCAATTTCTGAAGTTGCGTAAAGACGCCGAGATATGGCTGTGATGTGTCTGTTCATAACCTGGTGAAGAGTGGATAGCAAAATCCTCTTCTACATATATATATATATATATCTCGATGTTCCGTGTTGAGTTATATACAGGCATGACTCCACCTCTGACTCCGCTGACATAGTTGACTTCGAATACAATGGCGAGCTTCGTCACTATAATACATACTAAGACTCAAGCAAACGGTGGATTTTGTCATCCTTAAACGGGGAGAGATGCGAAAGATTATCCCACCATTTAAATAAAAATGTCTGGCAGATGAGCTTAAACCAGGGTGTGAAAACGAGGTTCTCATCCCTGAACATATCTTGAAGCGTTGCAGCGCTGACATATTTATAGTCTTTCACTTCGTTGTAGTTAGGCTCGACTGTGATACTCCCTTTTCCTTTTATTACGAGAATATAGTCTATCTCGTGTTCTCCCCATTTAGAACCCAACGCGCTTGCCGACTTGTAGTGAATCCTCGTTAAGTACTCAAAGTCTGAGAGCGGACAGTCTTCTGGAGGGATGCCAAGTTCGTGAAAAAGCTTTCTTTGGGCAGCAACCTTAGCCCCAGCGATGGCGGTGTCTAAGTTATCTTTGTCGGCTTCCACCCCCTCCAGGGTGATCCCCAATTCTGAGGGGATGCAAAGTGGATGTGAGCAACATGTGTTGGTCCACATGTTCGGAAAAGTAATCTTTTCGTCCGCTCTTTGCTGTAATAGAAGTTCGTTCTTCTCATTGAAAAAAAACACGGAGAACGCTCTATGTAACAAGCCCTCTTCGATATTTTCCATCAAGTGGCATAATTTTTTGGTGCCTGCGCCAACAGGCTTGTCGTGGAAATCAAGGACAATACAGAGTTCTTCCATTAATTTGACCTGTTCCTCATCATGACCTTCGAAAACAGCGTCTTCTCCAAGCTCATCCGACGAAGTTGGGACTCCTGAAATTTTGGACAAAGGGGTGATATCATCCCACTTTTGAAGGATTGTTTCTTTGTCAAGAGATTCCACTAGTTTCGAATATGACATGGGCAAAGTTTTGATTGAACGTTGTAGTAAATAAGACTGATGTTGAGAACAAAAAAAAAAAAAAAAAAAAAAAAAAAAAAAAAAAACCCAAAACAAAACTGGCGCGGCTTGAGTCGCTGACCATATACGAGCTCCCCAAGTACGATAGGTAAATATTCAGTGGACGGGATTCTTGTTTTTATTCTTCGGTTGATTTTAATTAATTAGATGGGGAGGCCTTTTGTAGCTTGCTCACGCGTAATGTGGTTATGATCTCGATTTTTCTTTCGTTTTTCTTTTTTTTTTTTTTTTTGCAGATTTCAATGGTTTGTTGGTTTTACAGGGAGAACCGAAAATTAGTGGGATTTTATGAATTACAAGTGAAGCGATATTCTGTTCCACTTTCAAATACACCATAATTTGCAATCGAATCCAAACTCTGGTTTTATTCTCTTGCTCTTCCACTAAAATTCGAAAAGGAAAAAGCTAACACGTTCATTTCGCTACTTTTTTTTATAGCCATCAGTAATTGTGAAACCTTCAAAGCTGGTCCTCACTCAACGCCTAGAGTGCATATAAGCAATTATCGCGTAATGTGCTGTTCAGACAGAAATTTTACTCGACGAAATCCCAATATCAAGCTTCACCAATGTCGAACGTTGCACGCCCCAAGAAGTTTATCAAGCGTCCTGATGACTCTTCTATGAAAAAGAGTATCGAGCAGTTGAGAGCTGATATAAAGAATTTGGATTTGGCTAGTGGAGAGATTAGTGCTCTGATTGATCGTATCAAGCTTGACAGCACAGATGTTGAGCGGAAGAAAGAATTGCAAGCAGAATTGAAGGATATTATCGCACAGCAAAGCTCTTTTAAGGCGGACCGTGCAGCCATTCAATCTCAGATCAAGAACATTGATACTCACTTAAAGAGAAAGATCACTGAGATCCAAAAAATAACTTCCAAGTCAAATTTCAAGTCGGCCGCAGAAATTGATACTAGGGTCAATTATTTGGATGACTTGATCGGTTCTGGAGATTTGAAGTTAGCAGAGGAACGTAAATTCATCAAAGAGATGACTTCCTTACGTAAATTGAGGAAAGATTTCGCCGAAGTAGATACTCAACAGGCTTCGATTGATAAGGATAAGGTTCGTATCTCTGAACTTAAAGTCCAATTGGGGAAGGTAGGGAACAAGGAAGTCCAGACGCGCTTTGAGTCTATTCAGAAAGAATTAGATGATATCAACGCTTCCAACAAGTCTACTTATGAACAGCGCTCAAACTTGATTAACAAGCGTAACGAATTAAGAAAAGCTAAGGATTCGAAATATAATGAAATCAGGAAGTTGAGAGCTGACTTTGATGCCGAATTTACCAAGTTCAAGGAACAGTTAGCTGAAGAACAAAAGAAGAGGGATGAAGAGTACAAGGCAAGGCAAGAAGAAGAGAAGCTGGCTAAGCGCAAAGATGAAGCCAAACGGAAGTTGGAAGAGGCTTCCGTTCCTGCCTTCACCGAGGAAATAAACGAGATTCATAGTTTGTTGGCGTATTTTGATCCTACTTACAAGAAGACGCAAAACAATACTGTCGCTGATGCCACCAAGCCATCTTTCAGCTCTGAAGCTAATGTTAGAAAGGTCGAAATGCCCGAGGATGTTGTCATCTTGAAAAAGGAACAGCAGCCATTCTTTCAGGGTTCATCGGCAAAGAAACTGAAAAAGAAGGTCGCCAAGCTGAAGAACTTTACTGTGGATCCAGATGTAATTGTCTCCTTGTCCAATCTCTCGATTCCCTTGCCTGTCAAGCTGGGAGAAGTTACTTCCACTATAGAGACTTTAAAAGACACATTACGTGCTTTAGAAGAGAGACAGGACGAACAGACTCAAAAAAACATAAAGAGGGCGGAAGAGGAAATTGCAAAATTAGAAGACGAAGAGAGTACGTGAATCTAGAAATAGTTATTGTTGCATCCCAGCGTAAGTACCCGTAAGTACAGTAAGTTAGCTTTTGTTTCTTTCTCTATCATATTTCAACTTTTAATATTGCAATGAGCGTACAGAAGACACCACATTTACTACTTCCCTTAGGCCGTTGCACTTTTCTTCATCGATGAGAAGTGTAAATCGTGACTTAAAGTTGTACTAAACCATACTGGAAGAGTAATTGAATACTTCGTTATCCTAGGGAGATTCTAAATAGTTCAATATCTTAACCGGGCACTGATAGACCTACGAATAAGCGTACTATAAAGGTGCTAAGTCGTTCTCATCAACCGCCGAGATGTTGAAACTGTTATTCCTACAGTGAAATGATGCCTCCTTCCTGTGGGACATACATAAACGCTGTTTGTCGTGCATATAAACCAAGGAGTTGAAGAAACTTGGAAGAAAAAAAAGTAAGCTAAGGAACTACATTGATTTGGATGCGAGGAGGATAATATGGCAGAAGGGTTCCTGAGAAAGTAGAAGGAGCGATACACTTTACGTCCAAAAGGGAAAGTCTGTGCAAGGATCTACCCTAGCTTTTTATAAAGTACAATATGCAGTCCTATAACAATGTGAGAGTGACAGTGATGAGCTCAAATGAATAAAAATGCTGGGTAGTGATATGACGGTATCAATTTGTATACCATCCTCGGCTATCAGATGTGAAAACTCGAAGAACTTGCTGCAAGCCACTTATATTGCCTACCAAATATCAAAACTAGCTACTGTTTACAAAGTGCTGGAGCTCATCGTTCTAGACGCCCCAGATCGTTCCTCATCAAAAATTCAAGAGACTGACAGTGTGGGTAATCATGGCAGCAAGAAAAGAGTCTTCGCTGAATTTTCTGCGGAGGACACGAAGACTGTGCCAGATTTCGAGAGTGATAAAAGCAATGAGGCTGTTCTTCTCGGCTCTTTGTTACAATACTTTATCACTCCTCCTTATCTAGTGAAAAGTCTTTTTAAACAGAGGGAAAGAGCTTCGTTCAAACATGCAGCCAAACTTCCCAAGTTAACTGCTCTTCCTTTCATGATAGAGAACGACAAGAAATATAAAGAGGGTTTGACTATACCCAAGCACACCCCGAAAATGTCCAGAAAGGGAAGACACTCGAAGCCCCACAAGAAACTTCAAGTTACTAGATTCGTCAATATTGGTGCTTCAAAGCCACTCATTTTGGAAGGACAAGACGTTCCTGTTAATGTTCGGGTAACCGTGGATTTATCACAGAAGAAGGTAGTTAGTCCTCAGGTAGCATACAAGTCGTCGAACAAAACGGCCTCTTTCGCTTATACTGTGCGTTACTCTAGTTCAATTAGCTCAATTTATACTGAACTGGGTGTGCAAGGTGGTTACACGGAGACAGCCTTCGTAGAAGCTGATCATTATCATCCCAAAGACAAATACCAGTCTTTACCACAGTACTACAAAAAAGATTCAGGCAATATTCTTCTTTTGGTTGGCAATTGGAGGGATTTTGAAGCCTGCGCTGCCGATGATAAAAATTTAGGAAGCATATCTGACGTGGTGGATTGTAAAATTGCCATGCCTCCAGGTGTAAGGATTGAGGATGCCGCTTTGATAGCATTGGCCAAACTATCGAACCCTTAAGTTGGAGCTCTTCCAACCTTGAATTCATGACAGTGTAAAAGGCGTAAGATGCAACACTAGAACTGTATTTAGAAACGTTTTTTAGTCTGGAAAGAAGAACAAGAATACTAAAACAAGAAAAGAAGAAATCACCCGACTGGCGTTAATCGCAAGTTGGATTTGCAGAAGCCAATAGTTTGCCGCTAATCTGTGCCTATCGTACAATTCATCGATGTTTGATCTTCCAGAAAAGTAAACCACCACTAAGCTGCTCCCCGCAATAATCGCCAGGCATCCCCTTTTAGCATTCCAGGCATAAGGTGATTCAAATTCAAAGGACGCCAGATTCAGTCGATACCATACAGCTATGCGACAGCTTTGGATGCTTCACAATGAGATACACTACCTTGACGATGTTGAGGCCAAGCCAATCCAAAACTGGAAATTGAATTATTCAGTTGCTGGAAATGCTTGGGCAACGCCTAGACCCGGTTCTCACGTGATGACATCTAAAAATAAATTTTCGCATTTGTTTTGCTTTAAGAATCACCTTTTTAGTTTGTCACTACTACTTTTCTTTTCCATAACATTCGTTTAAGTTAGGATGCAACTCAAGTTCTTCGTGGCAGCTTCGGCATTGGTATCAACTGTGGCAAGTCTTGGTGACGTATGTATCAAAAGACATCGATGATTGAATGACTACTAACCTGATATAGTTGGCCTTCAGTTTGGGCGTTAAGGACAACGCTGGCAACTGTAAATCGGCCGACGAATACAAGAGCGATTTCGAAGTGTTGTCTGGCCATTCGAAAATTGTGAGGACTTATGCTGTCTCCGATTGTAACACCTTAGAGATTTTGGGTCCTGCTGCTGAGGAAGCAGGATTCCAGGTGATGTTTGGAATTTGGCCGACCGACAAAGCCCATTTTGACGAAGAGAAGCAGGCATTGAAGCAGTTTTTACCTAAGATTTCTAAATCTACCGTAAAAGTGTTTACTGTCGGTTCTGAGGCCTTATACAGAGACGACTTGCCAGCTTCTGACTTGGCCAATGCTATTGACGAAATTAAGCAACTTATTTCCGAGATCGAGGACAAAAACGGTGAGTCTTACGCCGGTGTGCAAGTTGGAACTGCCGATTCCTGGAATGTGCTTGTTGATGGTGCTGCCATTCCAGCTATTAAGGCTGCCGATTTCGTGTTCGCTAATGCGTTCTCCTACTGGCAGGGTCAAACGATGGAGAATGCTTCCTACTCTTTCGTCGACGATATCATGCAAGCTTTGCAAACTATCCAGACCGCTAAAGGTTCTACCGACCTCTCTAACTTCTGGGTTGGAGAAACAGGATGGCCAACACAAGGCACCCACTTTGAAGCTAGTGAGCCAGGTGTGGATAATGCCAGACAGTTTTGGAAAGAGGCAATCTGTGCAATTAGAGCTTGGGGAGTCAACGTATGTGTCTTCGAGGCTTTTGATGAAGCATGGAAGCCTGACACTTCTGGCACTAGCGACGTCGAAAAGTACTGGGGAGTATGGGATGCAAACTATGCCCTTAAGTACCCTTTGTCATGTGATTTTTAAATCATGATACCCAAAATACGAATCGATTTTCCGTCTATTTCATCCCATATTTCTTCTTCGTTTTCCTCTTGCTCTAACCTCTGTTTACAACTATGTTCACTACTCAGTATATGCGCTTGTTCGAGTCGAAATGTAATAAATGCAATCACCTGCCTATCTCCAGATGTGCCGCAATATCATGGCTCTTACAAGAAACAGGATAGTAAGCACACGGTTCACCTTCACTGTCCTAAAAGCTTGAGCCTAGAGCTTGAGCCTAGAGCTTGAGCATTCATATAAGTTTCCAGGCCTTCCTATAGTCGCAAGCTAGATACAAAGCTAGAACTGTGTCATAATTATTACTACCTAACCGACTGATTATAAAAAGAAAAATAATTTCAAGCGCCTCAAAGCAATTCGAAACTTCTACTAGGCTTGCCCTTATCGGACTCTGGCTGCTTTGTGTACACACCATTAAGAGTGCATACTACCATATCCTCGTTAAAAGTCATGGGGGCAGTTCTACCCAACCTTATCTCCAGCAACAACATGAAAACAGGCTCAGTCGTACGGCTTGTTGGCTATCTCATCACATTTTCGAAGACAAAATCTTGGCCTCTTCCTCCAGATACCATCTCAAACGCTCGTCTCAATTCCACAACTTCATCAAATAATGAAGGGTCTACTCTCTTCGTCGTCAGCATAGTTATGCTCTCATTAGTCATCCTTTCGATTCTTTTGATAGCAGCATATTTTGTCATTCGACGTATAGGGACGTTGAATGAAGAAAGCTTGAATCGCGAAGAGGAGAATCAAGCTTACCTCGAATTAAACCTGGACGAACAGGAGCTTTATTTTCAATCAAGGGAATATCTTACCACTAATCCATACGTTCGTGGTGACCTACTATTCAGCCAAAACCTTAGCATCCAAGAGAAGGGTATACGTGCGTGGGAATTTGTTAAGGATTATATGTTGACAAACAATGATCTTCTTATTGTTAATCGCTTTGAACTTAACTTCTTCAAGAAGTTCGAGTGTTCAACACAGACGAATCTCCCTATTCCGATGACAAACGACGTCTACTACTTCGAAAGTAAAATATATTCTTTACCACATCCGGATGAGACCCTCATATCGATAGGAATAGGGATCAAACCATATCCTTGGTTTCGCTTACCGGGTAGACATGCACATTCCATAAGTTATGATAGCAATGGCTACAGAAGACACAATCAACCATTTACTCCACAAGGAGATCCACCTTTTCCCACGCTCATCGAGGGTGATGTTGTTGGGATTGGTTACCGTGTGAGGTCTGGTACAGTTTTTTTCACGAGGAATGGGAAAAAAGTGAGCGAGCTGAAAATCGGTGGTCATATCAAGAATTTCCGCATCCCACAAGATGGGCAACTCTTTCCTATTATAGGGGCTAATAACCTTTGTTCTGTCCATGTCAATGTCGGTCAACTAGGCTATGTTTTCATCGAGGGAAATGTGAAGAAATGGGGCTTTGCACCGTTAGAGGGCAATGGACCCTCTCCCCCAGCTTACAAAAAGTTTAATTCCGATATTCTATTAGAGCGTTCCGAGATTGACGATGAGAACGATTTGACGGAGAGGGAAAATGATTTCCCTCCAGACTTCTGGGATATCAATGAGAGCCTGGAAGGGGGTGCCGTCAACCAAGATAAGTTTAGCTACAATGCTTACAGAGATGATCACTCAGAAGATGAAAGAATAACCATGGACAGCTTAATCCCTTCCAAACCGCCCAGTTACAGCGCGGATAGTGGAGAGCCTAGTAATGAAAGTGACTCATCTCATCACATTCCTTCAGAACAGCTAAACAGTCATGATACCCAAAGTACTGATGTTAATGGAGATTTATTGCATAGTGGAGAGCAAATCGTAACCGTGGATGTTGAAAGCCCTGGTGGTTGAGTAAGGAAACAGTGGATTATATAGAGTGGGTACTGCTTTTAAATCGTCTATGAGCATCTAGACGCCCTTGTCCTCTATTTAAAGAAACTTTAATATACCGATTTTCAATGCTTACACGCTTTGAAATTGTTTTGTTTGTCGTCATCCGCTGGAGTTGTATGTACCCCACAAAACCGTTGTCTGTACTCTCCTATACAGCGCTCCAACGCGGCGAATTTGGGAGGACCAAAAATGTGAAATGCCGTGCAAGACAATGAATAAACAAGGTTGGTAAATGGTTATTCATCCCGTACCAATGCATACTGGCCCATTCTACGAATCAGAGTCTGAAATGATACAAAGACAGAAAGGTTCTCCTGTTGAAGACATCGATGATGATGATGATGATGATGATGATGATGTTGTTGTTGTTGTGTCAAATGGCTCAGTTGATCAAGTTGAAAATGCTTTGAAAGAGTTCTCTGTTTCCCATGGCAGGATAGCGATGGTATCTGAGATAGTGCACCTATATAGCTTCCCAGAATTAATCTGTTTTCTAGAGCGTACAGAAGAGAAAAAATCAGCACAAATTGCCTTCGAAGGTGAAGTGGTATTCATGTTTTTCAAGGGTTTGAACTTCATTCAAGATTTGACCTGCGATGTTATGGACTTTCAAAGGACATTGCCTGGTGACTGGGCAACCAGGACCTACCAAGCTTATAGGCTATGCAAAGTTTATTTCTACTTTGATGCGACTGTGGTCGATTTCCCCGGTGAAAGAAGTGGTAATAGCTTCGAAGATTCGCACCAGTTCAACAGCATCATGACAATAGCGACTGACGTCATCAGAAAGTTATGCTTTATGATGCAACGTATCGGAGGGGTTTTTCTAGATGACAGAAATCTCAGTGGTGGCAAGGCTATTGCTTTACGTCATTTCTTGAGGAATTTTCCAAACGTGGAGAAGTTGGATCTATGGAGCAGTGCCGTAGACTTAAAGACTCTGACGGAACATAAAAGTATTCGATCTTACTTGCCCAGTTGCAATATGATTACGGGTTATACTTCAAATTAGTACACAACTTCAAAGCAGCTTATGTATAATATGAAACCAGCATCTAGTTCAAATTAACATAATTAGCAGGAAACAAACCAACTTCTCCCGACTTTGAATTTCTACCAGACCACCAACTTTCGTCCACGAATTCTATATCAGTAATCAAATCACCTTCTGCAAAACTGATCTCGTTATCTTCGTCCTTCTCGTAGGAAAATTCAGCAACAGCCGACTTAGTGTTTTGGTCGGAAGCCACTTCTGGGCCAGTACCCGAGACAGCTGTCTGGACTCCATGGTCATCATCATCGTCAACATCATTATCATTTTCATCTTCAACCATAGTGACATATGAGGCAGGGAACAATCCCACTTCTCCAGTTCGCTCGTTTGTACCAGACCACCATTCTTCGTCCACAAAATCAATGTCAACGATGCGGTCATCTTCTCTAAATTCAAGCTCGTTATCTTCATCTTTGTCGTAATCATAAGCAGCAATAGCGGTAGGACGGGCCTGTGTTGCAGACTCGGATCTTCTAGCGGACAAATCTACCTGGGTCTCGGACAGCCCAGTATTCTCTTGGGGCTCATCTTCTTCTCTTCCATCATCATCATCCCTATCATCATCTTCTCTCTCATAATGTGTTTGAGCATCAGATGGCAGATTTGTATCGTCTGCTGAACTTTCCAAGTTTTCCTTAAGCTCGCTTTTAACGCCCTCATTTTCGGTATTAGGGGCATCCCCATGTGCTCCTGGCTCATGCACCTTCACGTCTTTATACATACCCTTCTTCTCTGCCCATAACTGCGCGGGAGTTTTCCCTCCAGTTGATCCAAAGTCTCTTGATAGACCTCCTGCGACCTTATCCTTCCCATCCTGTTTAGAATTAGTTACTGGCTTGGATCCGAACTTTGCACCTGCAGTAGCAGCGGTGTAACGAGAGGCAACGGAGCTTCCGACACGTGGCTTCGGCATTGAAGTGAGGCGGCCATCAGCTGGCAGCTCAGAAATATGAAGCTTATCATTCAAGGATTTTGTTATATTATCGTCTTTGGCCTTATCGTCCCCGGAAGAAAACGGCTTGGGCTTTGACGAAATGGTATCGGACTTCTGTTGTCTTAATTGGTTAATGTCCACTTTCGTTGGCTTGTAGGCCGAGGGAACCAGATCTAATGGCTGCTTCTCAAAGTCTCGCTCCTCAATTTCTTTCTCACCAGCCCACTCATCATCTTCGTCACCCACCGTGGCTTGATTTCTCAGGATTGTAGCAGAGCTTGAAGGCTTGGAAGATGCTGGAAGAATTGGTTTACCTTTGGCCTGCAGAGTTGAAGATTTAAAAGCTGAACTGGCATCAGGTTTTGAGCGAGGCATGTTTAACCCAGACTTCGACAGGGTCACGTTCGAGGTAGCAGAGTGGGCAGTGTATCTAGCACCAGCGGCAGCGGCAACCCTAGAGACGAATTCTTCAACATTCAAATCATCTTGATCACGGGCTGTGATCTGCACATGGTATCCACTCAAAACCTTCGAAACATCAGCGAAGTTAGCAGCGTATGACAACCTGGACTTAGCCGGAGCATTGTCTGGACACCAACCGAGTAACAAGTTTTTTGATACGTCAGAACCTGGAACGTTAACTTTTGCCAAGCCAAATTGAACGACTCCGTCAGAGAAATCGTCAACGAAATCGTCTAAATCACCAGTGCTAACCTTAGTTACTTCGAGGGTTCCAGATTTGTCAACAGAGAAAACACTATAGGTAGCTCCATTTCCACGAATAACTTTCTCGTACGCATCTTTGATAGACTTAGAGTTTGATGAAAGATCGATTTTCTCCATTGTAAAAGAATCGTTAGGAATTAATGTACTCCAATGATGAGGATACGTATATAATAAAATGGCGAGCGAGTTCGGCACAAGTGCACGCAGGCAAGTTGTATAGGAAATGACTGGGACTACATGCAAAGCGGGCGCGATTACCAAAGGACCATACTATTTGTAAAACACTCACAAAACCAAAAAACCGAAAAAAAAAAAAAAAAAACAAGCCGAAGTGAAGTGAATTGCTAAGTTGTCTAAACTTTATGCTTGCCATATGTGCTTCACACATAGATTGTTTGTAAATAACTTAAAATTAAACGGACTCCTGTCCATAATCAAGTTGTGCTTCACTTATCGACCCTGGAAAACTGAAACGTCAGATACGAGCGACGTACGATTGTAGCCATACCCCAAAGCCAATGCCACCTTGATTTGGCCGCCCAAGTTCCCAACGTACCATGTGACGATGATCTTCTTTGACTATTGAACCAAGGCGGAAGTTAGACACCACATCATAACGAACCCCGGTAGGTTTCCGAGAAAACTGTCTAAAAAGATTCGCTTAAATGGAGAGCCAAAAAAGCGGGAAGGACGACCATCGCAGCATATCAAATAGAATGTCGAATTAGACAAGGTGCTCGTGACAATATAAAAAACGAAGCCAGAAAGACTTTCCAAACAAAGTATTCCACATGCGACGCCCAACGCCAAAGCCATATAGTCTTGGTATCTCTGAAGTTTCTGCTTATTCAGGAATTCGTTGGGAGAAGAGAGTAATTGGAAATCCATGACGTTCAAAAATTCGACCTCTTTCTATATAGATATGGGATGGGTTGGTGGCAGTTTTGTCTTAGCGCTGGGATCTCAGATTATGACAAAGAGATCACGTGACCGATAGAGGTGCATGTACTAGAGACCCGTTTGAATCTGAAGTTTGGCCACCGTCAGCTTCTGTCTGACAGTGCAGTCACCTTCTGGATTAGAGTAACATATTCCTCAGCTTCAGAATTGCCGTACTTAGTGAGGTGAACAGAATGTGTGAAGTATCTCTAATTGGCCTCAAGCGGTTTTTATTCGATCTTCCTTCACAGCTGAACTTCTCTTTCACAGAAGATGTCAAATATCGATTAAGGAAAGAATTATTCCGTGCTTTCACAATTGATGCCAAATATCTCAACCTCATTTTCCCTCAGCTTTTTGAGCAGGGCAAGGACACTTACCGAGAACTTGATGAGGTAATCCAATGGCTGCTCTTCAAGTATGTTGCTCATATAGCTAGGATCCTGCCACCAAACGGAGAAGCAAATCATCATGCCTTTCACACAGATCTGCCATGTGCTCGCGTTTTTCGAAGGGGTGAACCCATCTACAAATGTCTCACTTGTGGCTTCAACGACACTTGTGCTTTGTGCGCAAACTGCTTTCGACCAGAGAGCCATGAAGGTCACAATGTCAACGTGTCTATATGCGTGCGAGAAAATGGTGGTGTGTGTGACTGCGGGGATCCTGAAGCTTGGGTAAAAGACTTTCTCTGTGTTTATCATGAAACGAATGATTCGTTTGAGAAATTGAAGCATATGACCCCCAGCACTGACTTGCAACAAACATTGCTTGATACGGTTGGTATTTTATTAGATTTCATTGTCGATGTCATGTGTCAAAGTGATCAACAATTTGCTTCCCCACATGAAGTAATTTCAAATTACGACCGACTAACTGCAAATTGTGAACTCAGTCCAGAAAGGTACGGATATCCACATACCAGTCATAGCGATCCACCATCCGAGAAGTTCGCGTTAATCGCGTATAACGATCAAATCAGGCATTTTCGTGATGCTGTTCAGCGGATCCACTTGGCAAGTAAAAAGGTACCGGAGTTTGCTGAAATGGTCGCCAAACGTATACAAGACCATGGGCGTGCCACAGTAATCCGATCAAAGGACCCGAATCTATTGTTTGAACGCCAACGGCTTTTGAGTGCGACCGGTTTATCCTCTTGCATAAGGAACTCTCGTGATGAATTCCGAGAAGAAATGTGTTTTGAAATCGTCTTGTGGTTGGAGAGTATTTCTTCTTGTGATCTTTTGAAAGCAAATGAACCTCTAAGAAATCTCTTTTGCAGAGCTTTCTGCATGAGATGGAACCGAGGTTTAGTTTCCAACACTTCCATAGCAACGCAGCAAGGTAACATTGCGCATCTCAATTCAAACTTTGATATCCCTTCTATAGAGGAGATGGGCGACCCTTGGAATACTGTCTTAAAACCATGGAAACATCTCGAAAGCCTTTACGATGAATGTAACTACTGCTCGGTCAGTATCTCACAGGGAAATCATTTCGGGTCACGGCTACAATATCTATCATACCTTGATATCCGCTATTGGAAAGCATTCAGATTAGCACTACACACCATGTATGCAACGACACTCATTACCAACTTGAAATGGAAAGGCATGGTCTGCTATCAATATTGCGATATATATCCGTTCCTTTCGGACATGTTTCTTAACCTCGATGGAGATCCTGAAATAAATGTGATGTGTACTTTATCATGCCAGCTTTTCGTTTCACCATCGAATTCAAATGCAATACTCATGCAAGGTGGTGCTGAAAGAATCTTTGGAACGGCAATCCTGTTTTTAAAGTATGGCCACACCCATTCCACAAGATTAGCGCCCGATAATGACTTATCATTAGCGAGTTTAAAGAATCGAAGATGGGGCCAGTTGTTTTTCGACATTGGCTATATCTTATCTCGTGGTCAAAACAGCGATGTCCTGCGAACAGACAGTATGATACCAATGACATGCCATATACTATCGTTGTTCCAAGGGAAACCTACTTTGAGAAGGGAAGTAGAGAGTCACGTCGAATATGAGAGTTCTGATTACGCTGCTTTCTTTCATGCTATACCTGTTATTTATCAATTGGCTGATTACGTATCTCAGTGTTTAAAGAATACTGATGATCTTAACCGTCGACAGCAAGTGTTCAGTGATTCGATATCGTACGTCGTGCAACACATAATCAAGCTTGAAGGGACGGTCTCGGGCAGTAAAGCTCATAATGAAGTTGATTACGGTCAATTAAATTTTGAGGAAAACGACCCGGGAAACTTAGGGTACTCTGGGCGTGCAGTAAGTTTCCTTCATCCCTTGCATCTGTTCTTATCTTGGCTTATTGAATATGCAGCTTATACGGATAAAGCGCTTTTGCTCGACATTTTCGCAAAAGCTTCGAAAGATGCTTGTAATGATTCAAGCAAAGAGTCATGGGAAACGAGTGTCAAGATTCTCTTCCATTACCCAATCCAATCCATTGTTTTAGCAGCTCAAGTTAAAACTGGGTTTTGGGTCCGTAATGGCTTCAGCGTAAAGAACCAACTTCAGCTTTACAAGAGTACGGGCTTAAGAGAGCAAGGGTATTTACGCGATATTTTTTTGGCACAGATATATCTCATATGTAACGACGTCGACAAGGCTGTTCGCAACATCCTAGGTATCTGGCTTTTGAATGATGAGTATTTACCGGATAAGAAATGCCCTTATGATATGTCAATGTTGCCATACATCCTCGATCAATGTCTCAGCTTTTTTCTTCATGTGCTAACCGAGGGCCTCTTCTCGAGACACTTAGGAGCTAATGAGATTACCAAGGCGAAGATAGAAGATGAGATCATTCATCAGCTATGTCTAGGATCCATGAATTATTCCAAATTATGCTCTCAGATTCCAGACCACATTGTTTCGGAGCGATCTTTTGATTCAATATTAGAGACCGTTGCTCAGTTCAAAGAACCTAGATCAGGGAATGAGACGGGAACTTTTGTCTTGAAGGAAGTATTTTACGAGAGAGTGAATCCATATTACCATAACTATACACTGAATAAGAAGGATGAAGCTATCAAGCTTATCAAGGAGAGAATAAGGAGAAGGACGAATCGCCCTATCGAAGAGGTCTTCATACAGCCTTCGGTTGAGCTAAGAAAGGGAGTCGGTATCTACCAAACTCTTGCAAACTTTACTGCTTCGTTCCACTTTGTCTCCTTCTTAGCAACGTGCCTACGTTATGTTCTATCAGAAGGACCTCAGAAGTTTGATAGCTTGTTGGATACCCTTCTACACGTAATCCACACTTCTGCCTTGGAAGTTAACGTGACCGTCGAACCAAGCGAATCATTCTGCAATAAGTCTACGAGACTATTGCCGAACGTGCACTATTCGTTGGCTGGTTTGTTATACAAGGCTTTACTCCATGATGAGATTAAAGAACACCACTCTAAAGTACGAGCTATAATACAATCCTTCAGCGAGCACGTGGAACAATTCTTTGCTGTCATGGAAGCTTCTGTTGAGCATTTTGATCCAAAGCTACTTTCTACACCGAACGAGAGTCACACAGAGAACGAGGCCGAACGAAGGAAAAGATTAGCTTTTCAAAGACAAAATAGGCTTATGGCTAAATTCAAGAAACAACAGTCTCTGTTTCTCCGCCAGAACGATATTGCATCAGATTTTAGTGACGATGAAATGGAAGATATCGAAGAGGAAGGCTGGAAGTTTCCCGACTCACATTGCATTCTTTGTCAAGATACAGCGAAGGATGCTGGACCACTAGGTGTGATTGTGCATATTTCAAGGTCTTCAGAATTCAGGGATGTACCGTTTGAGGACGACTACTGGTTCCTAAAAGCGTTCTCGGATAATCTGAATTTGAATGAAACAGATGATAATTCTTTCCCAGAAGCAAAGTCGGCGCGTTATCAGGAATATATGGAGAGAACTGAAGGTGAGTTTGTGGTCGGACCCGGCTTTGATAATCAGGCGCATGTTAGCAGCAGACTTGTATCACTGACTTGTGGCCATGGTATGCATTTCAATTGTTATGTGCAATTTCTCTCAAGTAATCGTTCAAGGTCAAACCATATAACGCGGAATACCCCAGATAACATTGAGCATCGTGAGTTTTTGTGTCCTCTTTGCAAAGCACTTAACAACATGTTCGTTCCGATCCTATGGGCAGCTAATAACAGGTCTATGAAAAAGTTGCTACTGCCAGGCTCGTCGGAATGTGATCATTTCGAATCATTACTGAAGAATAATTTACAGAATAAGTTTTGGCTAGAAAATTTCTGCAAGGCGGCATCTGACGACCTTCAGGAGTTCTCGATCTTGACAAATTCAGCGAAAGAAATAATTGGCCAGGACGCGGAATCGCTGGAATCCCCAGGTCAGCAGCAGTTCCGTATCCTTCTCTCCAACATGTTTCAAATTTTGTCACTTCTAACATTCCCCGAAATATTTAAGGCCGATTCCTCCAATATCCTTGTTAATACCATCAAGTCGTTAGAAATGAGCCTACGCGGAACATCCTCGAGCTCTGGTTTGTTAATTGAACAAATCTCCAACAGCGCATTAATTAATTTAAGAGCATTGAATGAATTTCGAATCACCAGTCTTATAATGAAGACATCGAACTGGATCAAAAACTCTGCAAAAAAACCTGATACTCACGTCAAAATTCTTGCTAATGTTTTAACGTTGTCTGCGGAGCGCTTCAACCAAACGATTATTTATCATGATTTTTTGGAGATACTCGTCAATGTCTTACCTGTACCGTCAGCAGGGTTTTCGTTTCATGAAATTTTAAAGTCATGCTTCATCGGACGTGTCATTCAAACCTTCCATATTCTTGTCACTGAATTTCGTGACAGAGACTTTTTCCGTCGTGAGAGTTACGATATTTTGGATGTTCCTTTTTCTGACTTGATAGCTTATGAGGATTCTGTGAGCACAATTCAAGTGCTCAATTCCATGTTTGCGACAGGTCTGTATGGCGAGAAGAACGATCAAATATTGTGTGAGCGAAGGCTCGGCCTTGTTGTCTTCTCAATGTTGCTCAAAAGTGTAACACCATTTTTACGTCAAGCTGCAATATTCGCTTTTGTGAATTGTCATTCAGATAGCGAAGTTTCTGGATTGTTTGAAAACTCTGTTTTTGAGGCGGATAGGTTATGCAACTTACTCAATCTACCGACCTTAAGTGTTTCCATCAAAAGAATGTGCGGAGAAAGCTTCATGTCTACTTTGGAAGCAAAGAGATTTACGTCTTTCTTGGCCTTCGTTCAGCAGAAATCTTCACTTTATATTGAAGACCCTGATAGTCGTGTTAAACTTGAGTATCCTGGTCGTATCCTGCTAATTCGTTTGCCCAAAAGATTGGATGACTTTTTCACGAGATATTATTATCTGGAGCGATACGATTTCCCCCATTTATCAATCGAGAACCCTGCAGTTTGCATGTTTTGTGGCAAAGTGTGTGATCTTCAAAGGGCTGCTATAGGAAGCAGGTACGGGCAATGTAGTACTCATTACACCAAGCAATGTCAAAGCAGTGTGGGTATTTTCCTTCTTCCAAAGGATAGGTCTATTTTACTCCTTAGCAAAAATGGAGGATCTTTCCATGCAATTCCCTACATCGACCTGCACTTCGAGGTGGCAGGCGATAACAAAAAGACGAAAGCTGTGTTTTTGCTGCAGAAGCGGTATGATGAATTCATTCGGCTATTTTGGCTACAACATGATATACCAAACTACATTGTACGAAATCTTGATAGTGTGATTGATGCTGGTGGATGGGAGACCTTATAAGCCTTTATTCTCCAGGAAATGTGAGACCATCCATGAGATCATCTTCGTCAACTTCAAAAAGGCCGTCATCCAAAATGGGAACATCTGTTCTGAAGACTTGGGGAAGACTTCCATCGAAGAAAAGCCTTGCGATAAAACTGTGGATTCCGCTGTTTAACCAAAGCTTGTTTATATGGCTGTACCTGAAATGACTTAAATAAGCCTTGCCAAGGACTCCTCGACGCTTCACTTCGCCATGAACAGTGAGATATGGTGCGGGAATACCGGCATTGAGATGTGTAGAATCTGCCTGGATAATCATCTTCAATATATTACCATTCGGCGAGAAATAAAGAGGCATCCAACAGCAGTCTCGATGGTGGGTCAAAGCCTTTCGAGAGTTGAGGTATGCCCCACATGATAAACAGATCGAATCGTAACGAGCGTCTTTCGTCTTATACACGGGGTCGACGACGCAGGAATTGTAATCATCGGGAATATCAATCAAGGATACTCGTCCTGGGAACTCTAGTAACGTCCTGTTCCTTTCTTTGTCTTCATAATAATTGTAGGGACTATAACTGTAGAAGAACGCTGCTGCCTCGGTCCAAGTTGGATTAGTAGAAGCCATATCTTCCAAGAAGCTCATTACCGAAGGGAGTTCAAAGAATGAAGAAAGTGCTTCGGTAGGCAGTTGCTTTTGAGACCGTAACACCGATGTCAAGTCTTTGATCGAATCTGACATCACGTAGCCATTCTCCGAGGGAACCCCAGTAACAAGATCCCAAAAGATAGCACACTGCCTCAAATAAGTCAAGACGACAGTTTCAAGTGACTCGATAAGGAAAGAAACCACCTTGATGATATCATCAGCATCTTTCTCAACCTCAATCCACATGTCCCTAAGAAATTTTCTCAAAAATTTGATAGGAGACTCAATCAGATTACAATCAAAGCAGCTTTGGTATGTTTGATTGATTAATGTTGAGTAATGCTTGTTTCTCACGTCGTTGACCAATTCAAATATCAGGAATATAACAAGTCTGCTGAATCCTCGTTGAATAAAATGCAAAGCAGGCCCTCTTCCTTTCAAATAGTTCATGATCATTCCAGTGAATACAGACTCTTCCGGGCATGATTGCCCTTGTACATGTGGTTCGGGGCCATTGTCAATAAATGTTGAAAGGAAAGAATGAACTTGAATTAACGAGACGATCGTAACCCTCAACTGCGCAGAGGTCTGATCAAGGAAATTGTAATAGCCGTCATTTCCGTCAATTCGGGTGGCAATTTCATTTGCACGCACAGTATTTGCAATTAAGCGAGACAAGAAAGGTAACTTGTCAGTAGGGCGATTAAGAGAATCGTTGTCAGCACATACTTTATCGAGGCTCCGAAGCACCGGCTTAACAAACCTCCTTAACAACCGACCGTTGTCCAGCCAGTACGCTTCATTCAAAAGTTGCTTAGTGATTTTAGCCGAATTTGATTCTGATTCACCATCTGTCTGAACTTCAGGGTTTTGAGTCAAGAGTAGTTTGTAGTCAGGGTTAGATGATGCCATGAAACTGGGCAAAAAGCTATGATGAATGTTGTGGCATAACAGACAAGGAAAAAACTTCATACGACCTTCCTGATTAGAAAAACAATTAAAATGGATACCATGTCCACAAGAGGATGCAACGGTTGCCGAAATCTTCAGATCCAAGCCTTTCTCTCTCATCCTTTTATATGGATAGCCCCTAGAATATATTTGACCTTCTCCTTGTGGTAATTGAGCATCGTAACGAGAAAAAGCCAAGTGACTAAAGTCATCATCAAAAGCAGGAACCTTCCAAAACGTAGAGTTCTTTGTGCAACAAAGAAGTATTCCAAAGAGCTCGCTGGGGGATTCTGGCTCTCCACATACAACGCAATGCCTTATATTCAGACCCTTAGGCTGAGAAGACAACTCTTTTATGTCATTTTGAGCTTCGAAGGACCGCTGCTGCTTAGCAAGTTTTCTGAGAGCCTTCGACTTTCTCTTTTCAGCACTGTCCTTTCTTCTAGTTGATTGAAGGGAGGCTGACTCCAATTTCCTCTTCTTGTAAAGCTGAATATGATTCTCGCCGAAACAATCAAGAAGACTTCTTGTGACGCGAGCATCCATTTCAATGAACTTCGTGAGCAAAAAATCAGCTTTTACAGTAACCGAGTTGGACATTGACGATTCAGCAATCGTGAGAAGTAGATCACAGACAGGGATGTCAATGTATTTCTCAAGATGGACCGCCCTCTGGTCAGATGCCTCAATTTCTAACAATATTGCATGCAATAGATGCAACAACTGCAGAATATAGATTTCTTCCGTTGAATTAATAGACTCTTGCATGAGCTTGTAAACGAGTTTTGCGAATTGTTTTGTGGTGAAAAAGTTAATCAAGTTTTCATCTATTGTAGAAGATTGTGCCTGAAGTATTTGAGGCCTGAGGACAACCTCGTCTTCTTTGACCTTCCTGGATTTTGCCAAATTTTTGACAAGAGACTCGGCGACGGAATCGTACCTGCTCAGTTCGACATAAGAACTTAACGGATCCAAAGACTCATAAAATATCGGCTTGAGCCTATAGACACCCGAATCTGTGAGCCCAGAAGGACTTTGAAGGGAAGCACACTTCAGCACGTTACTTTCAAAGTCGATTAGATCAAATGATTCTTCATCAAAGTCGGAAATCAAGTCTGAAAATGATTTGGGTTCGTCACAAAGGCAATATGAAATTTTCATAATAAGCTTCTGGGACTGTTCTTCTTTCAGGGAAGAGTGGAAAAGTGTCCGGTCTGTGAACATTTGATAAAGAATTCTTATAATCTGCTCACAGATGTAGGCAAAACGCTCCTCGTAGACACAGGATGCCGTGTCGATTTTACCGTGATACCAGTCTTTGATTTCCCACCTATCTATTAGCAAGTCAAATATCTTCACCAGATCCCCAAATATCAACCCCGTTTGAAGAAGATGAAGATCGCGCGCGTAAGCTATTTCGCCCAAGGGATATATCCCAGCGGACTGGATGTAATGCATTTGACGAATATAAGCCATCTCTCTCATGGTGCTTTCGCTATAATATGACGCTTGCCTGGAGACAGCGGCTCCATTCCTAATCCACAACCCAACTTTAACCTGCGAAACGAGAACAATGCTTCTTAGGGAAAAGTCGACCATATACAAAAGCGTGCTCGCTGACGAGCGAAGATTTCCATTCAATTGCGGATGTGGACAGAACTGGATCAAATGGGATAGAAAAGCATTGATAGGATTGATCAAGGAGACTTGATGGGTGCTTACCTTGAAGCCTCCAGAAAAAGCATCAGTGGGTTCATGCCTCTCTTGATGCATTGCACAAAGACGCAATGTTTCACTAAGTGCTGCAGCTATACCCTTCTGGGATTCATTAGAAACTTGCATGGCACTTTTCGAAATGTAGTATATCGGAACGGCCCTCTGGAGAAAGACAAGTACATCTTTTAGTAACTCTTGGCCGACATGGTCGCCAAGTTTTCTGGTTATTGATGATGAGCCCTGAAAGTACTTCATCAACAATAATAGATGATAATAATTGCCGTGCTCCATGACGTGCAGCGCTATGTTAGGGCTCATGTTCTTGCCAAGAACGTGTGTTAAATCATTGATCCCCGAGGTGATAGCTCTTTCAATTGCAGATTTTTCTCGCTTGCTTCTTAAGTCATAAATTATCTCTTTGATATTGGGAAATCCACTTGGAGATGTAGTCGTAGTCGCGAAATTTTCGATCAACCAACAGAGGGGACTCACGATGAGCGGTAGACTGTTACTTTCTGTAATCATTTGATTGGTTTTGGGGCATGTAAATAATTGGACTCTGATGTGATCCATACACGACAATGTTTCCTCTCGATCGGATAATGCTGATATAAGTAATAACTGAGGATAGCATTCGATGTACTGCTTGGCAAACATCGCTTTCGAATCTCTGTCACCCCCTATCAAGCTGAGAATTATCTTTCTCATCCGCTTCCTGGTACGAAGTGGAAATCGGATGTCAAAAAAAAGTAGAAACTGAAGTCTAGAATTAGATCTTCTTTTTGAAAGGTCTGGCTTCAATAGGTCGTCCAAGCGACTATCGAGGGAGAAATTATCTTGTTCAAGAACAACTGGACTCAAATCCTCGAGTGTTCCGTCCATTATAATACCGCTTCTAGAACACTCTTCTCTTAGGTGCAATTCGTTTCCATGGAATTGCACTGAAGACAATGATTTCGTAAACTGAAAACCAGGCTCGAGTAATACAGCACTGAGTTGTCTCTTACATTCTTCACGGAATGCACTGTTACCAGGAAATGAAATAATCTCGGACACCCAGTTAAATATTGTATCTACAATCATTTCGCGGACATAGTCTCGTCTGGACAAAATAGTCGAGACTAGCCCATCGGCTCCTGCCAGCCTTTGAGAATTCTTCAATTCAGAAGGATGGGACGCTTCTCTGAGTACCGCCCTACCAGAGGAGTTGATGAGCCTTGCCATCCGTTCCGCAACAGTGTTTGAAACACCTGTGGCAGCCCTGATTGCAGTCTGCGCCTCTTCAAAATTATGATTCTCGTCATTCCATAAAACAAGATACCAGGACTCATCACTGTTTAGGTCTATAGCACCGTATTCTTCAACCGATAAAGATCCATAATCAGATAACTTCTTTGTGTCAAACGCACACGATGCTGGATCTCCAAGATTCTGCTGAATGAATCGTAAGGGAGTAATGGAAAAATTGGTTACATCAAGTGAATAGCTGAATACAGTTCTTAGCAACTCGTGGATAACTTTTTGGAAACCAGGATTTAGACTCAAGGTCTCTTGGCAGCCGCAGTTCAACTGTCTGACAAAAGCAGAATCATCTCCACAATCACACATCCCTTCATTGCCAGAACTAGCATATGTGAACGAGACATTGTGGTCAAAATGGTCATCTTTATTAAAGCAATGAGCGCACAACACACAAGTCTCATCATAAGCACATTCTTCACATCTATAGATTGTATCTCCTTCTTTGAAACTGTAGCCACATATTTGGTCCCTGGGATGACTGTACTCTCCAACATCAAAGTTTGTGTAAAATTGTCTTTCTTTTCTGTCATGGGCAGAATTCGGGTCCCACTTGAAGTCTTTTAGATCGGCTTTTTGATCTTCAGTGATGGCAGGAAATATCTCCTTGATGAACTCGCCATTATTTGTGACAGCCCAATAAAGTGCTCTATAGATATTAACCTTGATAGCCCTAAGGTCCTTGAAGCAGAAATAATTCAGAAGTTCGACAAGATACCTTTTTAACTCATCCATTTTACGAGACCTTCTCGTGAGGTTTGTAGAGAAGCGAAATAGCGCGGCCACTTCAAATCATGATTACTTCAGTCGCGGACTTCTGGCTACAGGAACGCAGGTCCAGTGGATGGGTTCCCAAATCGAAGTGGGTATCCGGTAGGTGACAGAAAAAAAACAATAATAGCCCCATGATTCAGAAGACAAGAAGCTATATCTGCAGATATGTCGATACAAGATATTAAAGTAGTCAAAAGGGGGTGCTCTTTCACCTCATGGCTCATCAACATACTATTTCCCAATTATTTGACTATTCCATTTTTGTGTTTGGAAGATATTTCCCTACTATCCTACTAAAAGAGAATCGGTCAAAAAAAAAAAAAAATGTTCCAATGAATTTACTGCTTACTGTCTGTTCAAGGGCGTGATTGAAGGTAGTATCTGTTCCGTCTGAAGCGCTATTTGTTTTGTGTACACTTTCGTTCTTATTTTTTCACCGATATGACTTCACTCTTGAAAAAAAGCATCATGAAAGAGGCTTATCTTCTTTCGTTTGCCGCTTTCAGTAGGAATAATTCGGCCACCTAGAGCTCGGCAACTTGACATGTATGCAACTGTACCATATGAAGTGAGATGTACGGATGTAAAACTGTCCAGAAAAAATGGCACAGAGGTATGAAGAGTACCTGCTTGAGACTAGTTTTGTTACCATGAATCCTGACAAGCAATTCGAATTGATTACGAGAGGCTTACAAGAAGTCTTGAATCCTCAGATAATCAAAGATGTTCTAGAGAAAGAGAAGCGCCCTCTCAAGGTTTATTGGGGTACGGCTCCAACGGGCAAACCTCACTGTGGCTACTTCGTTCCAATGGTCAAATTGGGCCATTTCTTGAAAGCAGGCTGTGAAGTGACAGTTTTGATTGCCGACTTACATGCTTATTTGGATAATATGAAAGCTCCGTTAGAAGTCGTCCAGCATCGCGCCAAATACTACGAATATGTGATAAAAGCCATCTTAAAGTCGATCAATGTGCCTATTGAGAAGTTGAAGTTCGTTGTCGGTTCCTCTTACCAATTGAGCGGTGATTACACAATGGACATTTTCAAATTGTCAAATAAAGTTTCACAGAACGACGCTAAGAGGGCAGGAGCTGACGTGGTGAAGCAGGTGGCAAACCCGTTACTCTCTGGATTGATTTATCCTTTGATGCAAGCGCTAGATGAGCACTATTTAGACGTTGATGCACAATTTGGTGGTGTGGACCAACGCAAAATCTTCGTCCTCGCTGAAGAGAATTTGAATGGTATTGGCTACAAGAAAAGAGCGCATTTGATGAACCCGATGGTTCCAGGTCTAGGACAGGGGGGCAAAATGAGTGCTTCAGATCCAAATTCAAAGATTGACATCATCGAGGATCCAAAGGTTGTAAAGAAGAAAATAGGTGCAGCTTTCTGTGCTCCAGGTGACCCTGAAAATGGCTTGATTGCATTCGTTAAGAACGTCATACAGCCTATCCATGAGCTCAAGACGGATGTTCAAGGCTCCTTCAGTTTCCACATTGATAGACCTGAGAAGTATGGCGGCCCCATTCATTATGAAAGTTTGGAGGAGCTCACAACAGCTTTTGTAAATGGTGACCTCTCACCAGTGGATTTGAAGGCAGGTGTTAGCGATAAAATTAATGAGTTGTTAAAGCCAATTAGAGAAACTTACGACGCTAGTACAGAGTTTCAAAAGGCAGCCGCTGATGGTTACCCAGTTGAGGTCAAGGAGAAGAAGGTGAAAAAGGTTAAAAACAAAGGTACTAGATATCCTGGTAGCGGCACCGGTGTAAAGCAAGCTGCTGAGGCAGACTCCGTTCTGGACGCCACCGATAAATTGCAGGGTACCAAGATAGAATGAGTTACACACAGAGCCACTGATGGGCTTGCGCGACACTACAAGTAGATTGAAGAAGTAGATTGAATAGAGCTGTATACCAGACATAACAAGCGAAGATCCAATCATAGTGCGCATTATACAATACTTATAATTCAAAAATTTCATCATACTACCAAGGCCCCATAGGATAATAGCATGGTATGTTAAGCAACATAAAGAAATCGAGGCTCACAGGCTTCCCAAATTTTGCCCCTCCTTATGTTTATGTGATTATTTCGCTCTCTTTCTGATAGCTAGTCTTGGTATCGAATATATGGTGGTCATAAGAATACTAACGTTTTAGCTTTCTGCTTTGATCAAAAGAAACTCGCTTTACGTCGCAACCATCTTTGGAGGAGCGTTTGCTTTCCAAGCTTTTTTTGACTCTGCCGTTACTAGATGGTATGAAAACCACAACAAAGGTAAGTTGTGGAAGGATGTGAAACCAAAATTCCTCGAGGGTGGTGACGACGATGATGATGATGACGAGTAATCGGACGCTTGATTTGGGTAAACTACTCTCGGGTGATATCAAATCTTTACATACTGAATTGGCATAGCAATACTAGAATTTAACACGAGTTTTTATGTAAGCAAGTCGTCGCCTAAAACGACAGCGTGGGGGACACTGTGAGTTGACTCCATCTTTCCCTTCATTGCGTCAGTTTGTCTGCTATCATTCGAGTTGGCGGGATTGGGCGATTGTACTGGACGGGGTGTATGTCCATAGGCTTTTATACCGAAGACACCAGTTGGTCCCTCGTTGGCCATAAATTCGATATAAATATCTCTCACGGGAACGCAAAGCTGTGTGAAATTCTTAGGGAGTTTTATGAAGCTCATTTCATGATTTATGCTCACATCGATCTCCTCGATTTTAAAAAACTTGCGCAAGTATGGGTTGGCAGTTTTACTCGAAAACCCCGGTCTGGTGACTTTCTGCAACTCCCGAAGAGCTCTCGAATGAAATGGAACCTTTGGCTTCACATACACGGAAATCAGCTCAGGAGTTTTAACTGTCGCTGGTATTTGCTCAAATGGAGTATCTATCGATAAACCCGTCAAGATTATGGGGGCACTGAGACGTATCCCGATGGTGCATGAACTTGATCCACACTGCCAGAATGGACCCTTGTCTGACAAGACGGAGTTTGCGTTGTACTTCAAGTGGGAAGGATCCTTGAGCCCATTTGAAGTTAAGTAGTCGTACCACCCTAAAAAAACTTTCAGTAGACTTGTTCGCCTTTTTGGACGGTTGTCTGAGGTAAGGTAACCCAATACCCTTGCTCCAATATCATAGTCAGCGTAATTTAATGAAACCTGTTCGGTTGACAGCGCTAAATCATTTTTCTCTTTCGTCCCATTGAGACACCTCAGAGTGAGCATCAGATTGCTAGCATCAGACGCAAGAAATCCGTATAAGCTTGAACTAGAATTCATATCCTGGGCCCTTGCTAACTCTGTTAAAATCTGAGCATATACTTCTTTCTTCAAAAATTGACGAATTAGATCAAAATTGGGATGTTTCTCCGTTTCAAAATGAGCCAGAGCTTCATCTCTAGAGTGACCGTCAACCGACTTCGGTAGACTCCAAAACCTCAGGATTTCTTCAGTGGTAATGTTACGAATGAAATTTTCAAATTCTGGAACGTATTGGATTTTATGGTCTTTGATGAAAACCGGAACGTGATGGGAGAGCTGATGGATAGTGGACTTAAAGACGTTATCTTTGAGGTTCCGAAGTTCGGCATCGATCAATGAAACACGCGTTAGTTTGTCAGATATAGCACTTAGCTTAGAGTCAAAGCCTTCTGCGTCATGAGTTAGCGATTGAATGGTTTTAAACTTTTCATCTAGGGCACTAATCTCGTGTGATAGGGAAACGAACAGTTCTTCTCGAGTTAGTACATTACGTTCAAGCGAGTCTACCTTCGTCCATAACTCATCTAGGTTGGAGAAATAGTTTGCATTTGAACCGATGCCCAGGATTGAATCACGAGAGAGTCTCTCCAATCCAAGTGATAACTTCTCGATTTGTTCTAATTGACGTGCCGTGGTTTGGTCAAGCAGATGAATGAACCCTGGTACACAAAAATAAAGAATTGCGACAATGATACCAATGAGTACACCAATAAGTTGTGTAGTTGAGATAGAGCACCATTTTCCTGTTGAAGCTTGCGTTCTGTCGCTGATGGGAAACATTTTGTCATCATGCATAACGTTAGCCCCCGTAACATTGGTCCATTTATCAGCGTTATTCGAAACGGTGAGTTCTTGAATCGTAAACTCTTTGAATGCACTATTTAATCGGTTGGCTTCCTTTGTGCTGCCAGATACACTTTTCGAATGTAGGACACTCAAGATACGCTTATCGTAACTTCTGGTCTTCAGTGGCCGAGCAGGACCTATAGTGCTATAGAGATGGATAGATGCGTCATCATCACTATGGCCCACAATATGCGGAATTTTTTGAAATTCTGCCATGCCAGCGAGCCCAGGTCAACAAGTTGTCATTGAAACGCGTTTTAATTAGGCGATTGTTGATGCGCATTATGCGGGTGGTTGGGATGTGATGATGATACACACCACTACGTTTTTCTCTTTTTTTTTTTTTTTTTTTTTTTTTTTTTTTTTTTTTTTTCTTTCGGTTCTTAACTCTTCGTTATACTCAATGCTCTGATAACTGGAGACTTAACACCTATTACCTCTTACCTCGAAAAAGATTATCTATCTCTGCCGTTCGGTTATATCTGCCTCCCATACCCCGGACGAACCGAACGTACTTTTGAAGTTAGCTTTCGCACTAAAAGTGTGGGCGATAACAGCTATACTTCCCATTTCGGTTCTTATATTTACTGTTCGGTCACAAAAGTTTGAATTACATTGGTCTTTGCTAGTTACTCTTTCAAATCCCACTGGCTACTCAGGGAACAGCGATGTAACAACGACTTCCCCATAAAATCACATCTGATAACATTGTCTAGCTATAGAAAACCGATACCGAAGAAAAGAAAGAAAAGAGAAAGAACTGAGGTTGATAATGATTATTTCATTTTACCATTGCTAATGGCCACAGATGTGCAAGCTATTTTCATCCTTAAGACACAGACATGCTGCCTATGCAGTGCTTATCGAAGTTTGATTTAGATAGGCTACACTGAATCTTGTGAATTCGAATTATATTACCTTTATTAACAAACCCTAGGATGACTTCTATTGTCCTGTCTCGAGCTTGCTTGTCGCTGCGTATATTGAATGCAAATAGAATATTCGAGTATGTGATGGGAGAGATTGGAGATCCAAAACTTCATCCTAAATACGAAGAAGGAGTAACCAAACAACACATTGTACATTTTGCTACCAAACATAAAGCACACGGGAGCTAAAGCTGAACAAAATTGAGTCACAAAAGACACCAAAACTCCCACATTAGCCCTTGGAGGAGTTTACCAACAGAAAGGCAAGCTAAATAATCATCATCATTGCGGCTGAAAAGTGACAAGTGTTTCAGATGGGGAATTTCATGAAACGATACACTTCAAAGTTGGAAAAACCGGCCCAGTTTTGCGGAATCTATCCCTCACGGTTCTCCACATGAATGTAAAACGGAGATCATTTGTTTGAAAAGTGAACTGACATTATACTCAACAGCTGACAGTCATTGGCACCTAAAAAAGTAGCAGTCTAATTGTTGCAACGTTATGCCCAATAAAGCCGCCGATGTACGCCCCAGTCAAGATTGTACATGGCCATTGTTGCCAAGGTCTATCCCAGTCGAGTGGAATAGGTATGACACCGAGCCAAGCACCCAACAAGGCAAAAAAGGAGGAGCATAAGACTGTGTTCGAAAGAACTTCAGAATAGACTTTATCTGTTGTGAAGAACTTGCGCAACTGTCCATATTCAAGTCTAAAAAGTACTAGCACTGGCTGAATAGCTAACAAAGCGATATGGATGGAAAGGACATAAGTTTCAGTCACAAGTTTTGCAAGTGGGGCACCCATAAGAATCACCATTACAAAAACGATGTTAGCAAGTAGGAGCGAGGCAACTGTAGCTGTAATAACAACCAAAGGGGCGTTATCCTTTATAGTCCTTCCCTGATACGTATTCTTGCTCAGCGTGATCAAAACAAAACCGTAGAAGCATTGAGCAAGAACCAAAATTGGGATTCCAGCTAACATTAAGCCTAATGGGTCAAGGGTGAGACCCTTTGAGTACAATGCATTGATTATTAAAAGATAATGAATGGGGTTTGGCCACAAGGGACTGTTAGTCTTTGGGATGTCCACGTCTTGACTATTCACGGTATCACTACTGATATCTCCCACAGACAGTGAGAAAGAAACAGATTTTGCTTTCTTGGAGGGATTCTTTTCTTTGTTATGTTCAGAGTCCATCATACCCTATGGTGTAGTACAGATATTCGATTAATGCTAACACGCGAACTGATTTGACGACAAAGTCACGTGCAAAAAACCTAGAGTACGTTCAAAACATTCTCCATCTCCACAAGATCCTTCCACAACTCCACTTGAGCGTTTATGCCGATCTTTTGCATCAAAGTAGTTTTTCTATCATCATTTAACTTGGCATACCGCCTGATGAGCTCACAGTCTAGAATAGGGCGAGAGCTCCCATCAGTAGCCGTGGTGCTACCCATTCGGTTCAGTTTCGGGTTCAAACCACATGGATGGAATTCCTTTTCTATTAATTGCTGTTGAAGCACATAAAACTTTCTGTAAAGTGATTCATCAACAGGAAATATGACGTAAAAAGCACCTTCAGTACTGGAAGCGATAGTCTGGAAAGTTTGTCTGTCAGGCTCGATCGATTGATTGAACTGTTCGAACTTGGGAACGTTTTTCATGCAAGAGGTTTTGAAGTTGGTATTGAAAGCAGCCTTAGAAAGAAGTCTTTGTCCGTTAGATGAGGTGGGATCTTCAGGGTTGTACTGAAGCGCATGAAGGACACCTTTGCTATCTGCTAAAACGATGTGAAGATTTTCATCCTTCACAAGGAAGTCAGCACAGGAGACGTCATGACCATGGACGTCTTTACTAAGCATAAGCATTCTGAAAGGCTCAGCATCGAAACCTGCGAGCCACACACTTTTCAACGTATCCCCTAGAAGGACGAAATTGCCAAAGGATTTTGCCTCAGTGACGTACACCGCTGTATCTAAGAAAGCCACTGGGACGGCACTGTTGTCTTTGATGTCTCGGACAATGATCTTCTGGCCTTGGGCAATCAAGAAACGCCCGGTTACATCGCAAATGGCCGTGACAGCTCCTCGAACATCTTCATGAGTGAACACTTTGAGCTTGTGGTTGGTTTCTGGCTTTCCCGGCTCAGGTATAATGTCAATGATTTCTATGAGCTTGTACGCTCCATTTGCCACGAGATCTTCTGTAGCATACCTTCCGGTGCCAACGAGGACAAACTCTTTCCTGTTTTTGAACCGCTTGAGTGAACTCCCTACATCCAAAGGGACAGTCTTAAGATGTAATCCGACCTCATTGTCCTCGAGTTCCATTGTATCAATGACCCCCCAATTCATAGGAGACAAAAGCTTTATCAGCCCTTTATACGATGCCTCGCGCGGTTTATTAGGCTTCAAACCGAAAATAGGATTACCTTCAAGATCAACGCAGTCATAGGGTATTTCTTTGAAGGTAGACACTAGAAAAGTATTGGAGCCCTCATGGTACGCCAAAGATTTGACCGTTTCGCCTATGTTGACCCTCCTCATTGGTAATCTATTCTCATAATTGAATGATTGGGGAATTTCCACTATTCTGGCGTTCTTTTTCGTATCGAGATAGATGAGGGCATTCTTAAGATTGTCGTCACTAAATGGAACAAACGAGACTATTGGTATCTTCAGGAACTTGAAAACTCTAACAGTAGATTTCCTTTCTTTGACAATGAGAAATGGAATAATGCCAGTTACCAAAATGCAAGTGAAGCCACTGATATTGGAAAAGAAAACCATTCTTCGTTCAATAGATGTGCCCTCGGCAAAGGCATTAAAGGGAGCCCCTGTGATCGGGGTGTCAATGTCCTTTATGAATTTGAAATTCTCTCCGTCAAAGAAGAGTTTATAGCAGTAAATTTCACCTCCGACAGTCAAAATTGTAAGATATTCCTCTTTGCATGTTTCATCTCCAAGATCATTAAGAACAACTTGTTTGATAACAGGATCTGGTTCACCAGAAACGATATCAAAAAAGCCCAATGTGAGCAAGTCACTAAACTTTTCAGCTGAATTGAGTTGAAAGCATTTCTCGTTGTGAAATCTGTTAAAGACCACAATTCTGTTGTCACCAGTGACCACTATAAATATCTTAGATTTTGGATCTTGGAACAGTTCATCTGCTTTAACCGCGGCCACTTGATTACCGCCTCTAGATCTCTTTTGACCACGAGCAGTAAGTAAGGTAAGGTCTTTCGTAACAGCATTCAAGAGGCGCGAGTTTGTGATATAACCAGTAGTTATAAGTGCCTCATTCAAGAGCTTAGGTAACGGAATTTTCGTAAAAGTCTTGCTGTAGGTATTGATAGTATAGATCATAAGCTCTCCTGTAGAAAGAAACAACATGAGGAAGCCGTCGTCATAAACACTGGTTATAATATCAGCATCTGACACGTCACTTAATTCCAGATCTAAGGTCGACATTCGTTTAAAACGGTTGTTATATAGCACAACGTGCTTTGGGGTCACCTGTAAAATATACTTTCCATCACTTAACTCGTGCATTGCAACCGTCAATTCGTCATGAATAAACTGCTTCGCTGGTAAGCGTGCATAAGATTGAGTAATATCAAAAATTTCGGATTTGTTATTCGGGTCATCGGAAGTAATGAGGTACTTATTGCTGAGTGTCCATAGCCGATTGAGTTGAGAGAACGTAAGTGAAGTCTTGATTTCAGGCTGAATTGTAGGCGTAAAAATGTTAATATGGCCAGTATCAGCAAGTCCGCCTGATGCGAAGATGGATTTCAGTTCATAATCCGGATTTGGCAAATTAGTAACGAACTTCTCTCTGGAATAATGGCCCAATGTAAAGGAAGACACTGGGCCATTATTGGTAAGACTATCGTGTTCAATGACCTCTATGATACCTCCCTGAGAAATATTGCCCGATGAGGAGCCCATTTCATCGTAAAAGTCATCTTCTTCCTCTTCCGCTTTCGATTCGGTTAGAGTAGCAGAGGGTGCCAGCGCCGCGTGTTGTTTCCCTTTAATTGTCACAAGTGACGCATCGTCTGTACGGCTCGAAAAAAATAGCAAATCGTCGTCTAACGAAGCCACTTCACCTGGCATATGGACTTTCCACTGGTTGAACGACTCTGATACAAAACCCTCAACAAACATCTTCTTTATAGCTTTGCCATCCATCTCAAAGCTAATACAATAGCTCGTGCCATCGCGTAAAAGCATGAGTAATTTCGTCTCGTTCGATATTTTGGCAAAAGTGCAATTTTCGAGTTTCAAGTTGAGTGACAGTTGATCAGAGAAGCCACGAGCCATATCCGTTGTGTCTGCAAAGTACTCATTGAGAGCGATTCGGCGTGAAATGCCACCGCCATCAACATGAATTAACTCGTTCGACCCGACTAACAAGCTCCCGTTCATTGGACCCGGTACAGGATAGATTCGTTCAATATCATACGGTAAATTTTCAAGTTTTAATACAGTTGTCGCTGACCGAGCTCTTAAGTTTAAAGACAACACCGTAAACTGAACATTGTCCTTCGATGTAGGTAGGAGCCCTGTCCAAGTCCTTTTTTGCTGGGATAAGACAGCTATAGTTGGTCTTCTATAATTGTTTAGAAATCGAATATCAATCACCTCTCCGATGCTATTATTCAACGAGTTGATTTCTAAGACCAAGCTCTCTTCGAAAAGGGACATATTGCGTGGAACGGCTGCACTGAACTCCACTTTCAGCGCATCCGCATCTCTTGCATCATTCAGGTTCTGTTTGTCTTGATTGCTTTTATCAATACCTGACTCGTCATCATCACTTTCGCTATCATCTTCATCCTCGTCACCCAATTGATGGAAGGGGAGAAAGACTAACATATTAGCTTGACGTAGACATGCTAATGCTTTCGAGTTTGGATCAACCAAAAGTTGAGACTTTGGAATATCCTCATAACTTGTTTCCTCCAAAACGTGCTCGTAGAAGTGCAAGGAAACCGTTTGGATACCATGCTTGGTACTGTCCCACTTTATGCATGAGAACTTTGCCTTTTCGGTAGATATTAAAAGATAATCAAGATTATTCGACTCAATAGTACGAATTGGTTTGATGTCCGTAATTTTTCCCTGTACCTTATACTGCAGAACCAATTTAAGTTTATAGCCTTCTCTATGGGTAGCAGTCGGTTTCTTTTTCAATACTTCGAATATTTGTAGAATTGAAGTTTTAGCGACCACTAAATGCTTCTGTTGAGATGAAATAAAATTACATCCAACGCAATTATTGACTGTAGTTGGCTCGATGAACACATCGTAAGCATTCATAATGAAGTAGCGAGGGCAGTAATTGGAAGAACGACGTCTAGTCTATGACATCCAATGTAAGTTCTGTGCAAACCTGTACATTCCAGGTTTTTTTTTTTTTTTTTTTTTTTTTTTGTTTTTTCATTCTTCGTGAGAAAAAAAGTATCGCTTATAGCTACAAGTGCTCGCTCTGATGCTCATTAATTAAAATCCGTGACAGACTACTGTACATATTGTTGGTTTAACGAAAGGATAGGCCTTCTAGATGACCCAGGGTGAAAGAATAAAACGAAATCCAAGTTCTCACATGAGAGCAAGGAGAATAGGCACTGCTCCGATAATGGCTGGAACTGCTTGTGCTGCACCGCCTTCGTAAGTGGAGACGAGTGGAACCGAGCTAGTAGACACTGGAACGTCAGAAGAGGAAGTTGAGTACTGTGTAACAATGTTGTTCGTAATTACATTGACAGTACCTGAAGGAGCAGGGGGTTGGGACTTCTGAGTTTCGGAAGTAGTGACAGTGACATACTCCGTCTTGGAGAGAGTCTCTTCCTTTGGTGCAGGGGGAACATAGGTTGACTCAGGAGCAGGAGGAATTTCGCTGGAGGTAGGCTCGATTGGACAGTAGGTCGTGTAGATGCTCTCTACCCCATGGATTGTCGTGGTCAATTGGGTAACACCTGTAGTCACGGCAGAAGAATGACAGATATTTTCTGAACATGACGAGACCGTGACAACGGTAGTAGAATGGACAGTTTGGGGCTTCACAGAGGATGTTGGAGCCTCTTCAGAACTTATTGGGCAATAGGTAGTGTAAACAGTCTCCTCGCCCTTGATCGTGGATGTAACTATGGTCACACCTGTTGTAACAGCAGTTGGTGTACACTTATTGTCAGAACAAGAAGTGATAGTGACGACCGTTGTATCAACGTCTGTCTTCGTCACAGCTGAAGCCTCCGTCAAGCCGGAGCCCTCTGATGTCACCGAGTCAGCAGATGAAGAAACGGGGACGTGAGTCACAAAAGTTGTTAACACACCATCAACAGTGGCAGTGGTAGTTGTCCAAGTTTCAAGGCCTGTGGTTGTGTAACAGGAGCCACCATTACAAACAATTCTGTCAGTAGTGAAGACACTATCGTTAGTAATCACCTCAGTCTCGTAAATGACATCTTCAGAGCTTGGAGATGGCTCTTCCAGAGGAAGTGGTTCGGAGCTAGCAATGGTTGAACCTTCAGAAACGGCGGCGGCAGTTACTGGAGCGCTATCATTCGAAAATTTGAAAGTTGATGGACCCAATGAACAAGAGCTTGAGACTATAGTCGATGTGAAGGTTGGAAGATCGGCCAAAACAACGCTTGCAAGTGAAGCAATAGTAAAGAAGTTAGCACTTTTCATCGATTCTAGTCTGTGGGTAGAGTAAAGTAAAAAAAATAAAAAAAGAAATCGTTTTAGCGGCGCAAAAGCCTCAAATATATCCTTTTCAGCCACGCTGAACCATGCATTTAACTAAAAGCTGGCATAGTCACTTTAGGGATATCAGCAAGCAGCTATACCTTGATGGATCCACTTATCGATTGATTGAGTCAGGCAACCAGCAGGACAATCCATTTGCAGCAATCGTTTTCCGGTATATTATCGCGTTTTTGTAAACAAAACCGACTGTATACAGCACCATACTGGCTAGTGCGCCGAAATTGTCTTAACCAGCACCAAGTTCTGCACCAACAAATAGCGGCACACGGCGCCTATGCGAGTGAACTTCGCTAAGTCCTCAGTAAGAAAGTATTGATGAAATAACACTTTTAGGTTTTAGTTCCCGGAAAACTGACATTAGGCATCAACAAACTAGGGCGCATAAGCCTTTCTCCTTCCAATGAGCCCGACGGAAGGTTTTTTCTTTTAGAAGCTGTCGTCCTGTCATTTGTATGGACAAAAATGCCTTCATGGTCGGTCTACCGAATGAACTATACATTAGATACCTAACAACAAGTCCGTAATTGGTAACCCTTATATTAATTTACCGGCTACAGTTTCTGTTCCACGTTCTAGTAACAAAGGATTCCTGGTTCATGGGAGCCATTCGACGCCTTTGCTGGTCACGCAAATAGTAATGTGAGGTACTTGTTATTCCAGACGGATTAGGATTCTGCGAACCGATGGAAAGTGTACTTAATTGTGCACATCAGTCACTTTTCACGGCACGCAGTCTCATCAACCAGCCGTGCAGCATAAATTGCGACCTCCGCCCATTAAAGCAAGAATCTGGGCGGTAGTATATTTTAAATTTGTACTTTCCATGTCCAAATCGAGGCTTGGTTGCTGCATGATATAGTCTTAACAGCATTTGACCTCGGTGAGCACAGGGTCTTGGGATATCCTTTGGTGCGCACTCCTAAGTAGCAAAATCAGTTGATCCGAACACCACACTTTCTCACATCACCACCCATTGCCCATGCAAAGCGTTTTGCTGTGGTTCGCAGTTTTGGCATGTTGCTTCGCGAAGTTCATTGAGTTATCGTCAGTGGAAGAGATTTTGAACTCTCCATACACTTTGTTGTATTTCTACACTCCAGATTGCAAGTACTGTAACAATTTCAACCCAGACTTTGTTTACTTGCATGATCTATACCAGCATAATAATGAGCTCACATTTGCCAAGGTGGATGCACGAGATAACGGCCAGCTAACGGACTTATTTGGAGTGAACAGTTACCCTACAATCAAACTCTACGACACTTTTTCGAAAAAGGTTGCACATTTTCAAGAAAAGAGAACTTTAGAGAATTTGGAGAGATTCATAACAGAGTTTTCATCAGCGCTACCAGATAGATCCAATGTACAGCTACAATCACACACATTGACCTCCCTAGCTGAGCTTGATTCTCTAATCCTTCAAGAGGAAAGGATTGTTTTGGCCTTCGTTTCAAAGCTAAGCCCAGGCTGGCTGAAGTACTACTACCCTAGCCATTTTTCCAAGAGTTAGCTAATAATGACACTGAAACTGCATTTGCTTTGGTCTTTGCTGATGAAACTGGGAGTGACATCTTGCAGAGATACCAGGTGAGTAACTTTCCATCCTTGATGATGATATCAAGCGAGGGTATAAAGACGTTTAATACCTTTTCCACGAACTCCATGACAAACAACAATCTAAACGAAGAAGATTTGGCTTTATTCTTGAAGCTGTCTGACGACTTGCTGGGTTGTTTTCTATTTAAGGATACCGAGGAGCTCATAAATTATAGCACGTCTCGTGAGTATGAAGGCCATCGACATGTCAAACCAGGAATGAATGTCGGAGTTGGCAAATCTCTGGAACAGAGCGACATAGACAGCGAGTATGCTGAACTTGTGCGCCATTTAGAACTTTGAGGGTGTGTGATTTAAAATTATAGCCAATTAAAAAACTAAGAAAAAGAAGAGGAAGAGAAAAAAAAAAAATCATAAAACGAAAGGAAACGTTATTGCATTTGCTGTAGAGAAATTCGGTTTTTCTTTCCAGTTAAGAGTTGTCTGCCACCCAGAGCGTGAATTTCCTGCACGTCATTGGCAACAAGTAAGCGTTGAGAAACATGGACGGTATTCTCAAATAGATCCATCGTTGAATTCTACAGCAACATGAATATTTTCCGATTCGTCGCAGATCTTCTGCACTTGGCGAGTATTTTCATTTTGCTATACTCTATAGAGAAGAACAAGTCTGTCAATGGGTTGTCCTTGAAGACTCAGCTCTTGTACGTGTTGGTATTTGTCACACGTTACTTGGATTTGTTCACGTCATATATTTCGTTATACAATACTATAATGAAGTTGTTCTTTATTGGGTCATCCTGTTACGTTGTTTACCTCATGTCTGTGAAATATGCGAAGTCTATCAGAGAAAACATTGATACTTTTCCCTCGAGATTCATCATTGGAGGAGCAGCGATCTTATCCCTCATATTCACCCACAAATATACCTTCAAAGAGGTACTATGGTCGTTTTCTCTATGGTTGGAAGCAGGTGCTATTATTCCACAACTTTTTATGTTACAGAGAACCGGGTCAGCTGAAAACATCACCACCCATTACATCTTCGCCTTGGGACTTTATCGAGCATTGTACATCCCAAATTGGTTTTATCGCTTCTTCACTGAAGCCCATTTCGACTACATTGCTTTTCTTGCCGGCTTAGTACAAACAATTGTCTACTCGGATTTCTTTTACATTTACTACACCAAAGTCATGCAAGGAAAAAGCTTCGAATTGCCGGTATAGATATGACCCTCATAACTTTCTATAGATGAAGTGAAAATACTGTGTAGCACGATAGCAACTAGGCAGTGCCTAGTCCCTCTTCAATGGGAAATATTCCTTTCTCACGCCATCCTTCGTCACAATAAAGATTTCCAAGCCGTCACCAACGTAAATATGTCTTTCTGTAGCAGAGGTAAATGCGTCTTTCACCAACTTCAATACCTCATCCAAGCTCAAATACCGCAATGGCTTCTTCTCCTTCCCATCACTACCTGGAACGAACTGATTTTTAAAGTTGACTTGATTATCAAGGAACGGCATAATTAATGAGGCTGCTGCTCCACCTGCTCTGCACTGTTCTCTCTCGTAAGAGCCAACGGGATCATAAGAGTACACGGCGCCTTTACCTTCCTCGTCTAAACCTGCAATTAGCGTACTAACGTAATAAGGAAAGAATCTCTTTCCATATAACAAATGTTGGATAAATCTTGCGGCCGACTTGATTGTCAACTTCTTATTGTTGTTGTCGAACTTGTACCATTTATACTGGGTTTTGAATCTGTCAATCAACGCAGCACCATCTGCAGCAAATCCATTAGCTGTCATGACAATTTCGTCACCGACATCGAAGATCTTTGGTTCGTAACGGGAGTCAATGGAGTAGCCAGAGACAAGTCTTGTGTCGCCTGCTAGGACGGCAAAATCCTCTCCAGCTATTCCCAAGACAGTGCCTCCGTTATCGGAGTAGGGATTAAATCTGTGTTCAATCGGAACAGAGTTTTTCTCTGCGCTATACTCTGAAGCAACAGTGGACATCAAAGACTAGTTATCTTGACAATAGTGTGGAGAGCTACCAGTGCTGTGTCTGGTATAACCTGAATGCTCGCCACCACCCGTACACCCCGAAGATTTACTAACATCTTACTTTCATAACTGTTCGCGATAGAAGTGGTAGCAGTTTAACCCTAACAACTGCTTAATCCTAGCAATTTTTTCTTTCTCTTCACCAGGGGATTCATGAAGTTCTAATGCGCTGTTTTAACAGACATGTATCCTAAGAAAGGTATCTGGAACAAGAGTTATGGAAATCGCAGTGCGTATGGGTCTTAATGAAGACTTGAGGCTTCAATAAAAGTCTGATTCCCTAATGAACCATTCCTACGAAGTTTCTGAGGTCCAAATAGTTTAATGCCGTATCGAGGCTATTACTACTAAGTTTCTATTCGCTAGAGAATGCTTTTCTGGTTCCAGAACCAGGGTAACTTATTTACCTTATTTACCTTATTTTAATACCAGGTGGAGAAGATCTTAAAAAGGACATTTTTTAGATAGAATACGTTGATTCGTCATCCTAGCGATCTTTTAGGGAAATGTTGACGAAGTACAAAAACAATTTACTGTCTGACATGCGCTTTTAGATCAAAGCGAGCGATGACCATGTTTGGTGTTGCAAAATTGTCCGATTTTATAATCTTCATGACATATTGCAGTAAAGATATGTGTCACTGATTTAATGTATACATGTAGAGCTATCGAGACAATGTATGTCGATGATGCCATGTTTGATTTAAAGATTCCATCTTGTTCTAGCCAATTGCTTCGTTAAGATGAACATTACTATGAATTTAGAATATAGCGAAGTACCTACAAATATGCCGACAGTAAGTTTTTTCTCCGTCTTAGTTATTTGCTGAGGGCAAAGCTGGGGTTATAGATTGCGCATGTGAAATGTTGAATGCTCACATTCATTGAACCACTTCACACTTTAACAACAGGGTAGCGTATTCAAGAACAATATTGAACTAAGTAGTTGTTTGTAATAATTACTTCTTATGGCAAGTCATATCGATACATAAAGAACAGGATTTATCATTTCTTGTCGCTCAGCCAATTGTCCTTGGAGATAAGAAATAATCCACCTGCATTCGATTTGCGGCATGTAGGTACCAATTCCTATCGCGATAGTATAAAATCACATTAATCTGGCAGAATAATTTTGAAAGCACATTTTCTTAAGGGTGCATACATTTACTCAAAAGCATGGGAGAAGAAGATGAGGCACATTTGTTTGTTCTCGTTCACGGCCTTTGGGGCAGCCCTACCCATATGCTGACTGTGGAACAGGCGCTCAAGCACTCCCTTGCAGGCGTGTGTCATGAACGGATAGTTACGATGAAACCGCTGTCGTTTCGGTTTTGGAAAACATACGATGGCATCAACCGTTGTGCTGAGAAAGTGATTGCCGAGATTCTTTACGAGATCGAAACGTTAAAGCAAAAGGACAGCTGTAAAGTCACCAAGATTAGCATCATTGGATATTCCTTGGGCGGCCTAATATCGAGATACGTTGTTGGGAGCTTGTATGAAATGGAATTTTTCCAAGAAGTGGCACCTATGTTCTTTTGCACTTTTGCCACTCCTCATGTGGGTGTCCACTTCTTCAGGAACAACTTGTTCGACAAAACAGCTAACGTTGTTGGAAAATACATTTTAGGAGTCACTGGCTTCCAATTATTTGTGGCAGACAAAGGTCGTTTGTTGGTACAAATGAGCGATCCTGAATCGATATTTTACAAAGGTTTACAATGCTTCGAGAAGAGGCTCTTGTTGGCAAACATCAAGAATGATAGAAGTGTAGCATTTTACACGAGTTTCATTACGCCCCATTCGCCGTTTGATCGTTGGAATACGCTTAAAGTAAAATATTTTAAGGATCTTCCCTCCTCAAGAATTGCAGGAATCACGGTAAGGCCCAAATTCGTTGACCTACAGAGATCTCGTAGAGTCGAACCCGCAGAGGGACAACCAATCAACAGCCAAGAGGCAACGTCTATATTCCGCCGTAATAGGATATTACGGTATACTGTGATTCTTGTTGCAGCTTCAATTCTTGTACCATTTTATATCCCGATGATCCTTTGCATTTCTCTGTACGTTTCTTGGTACAGTATTGTCAAAGTTAAGTTGCTGAGCGATCCAAAGAACAAAAACCATTGGAAGGAAGTCCGCAGCGCTGTATACTTAGGGGGTGAGGTGAACAAAGAGCACGCCCAGCGAGGCGAGGAACGAAGAAAAGAGCGTATTAATTTGGCCCACAAGGATTCTTTTAAAGGGGAAACCTCATTCTTCACTGAGCATGGCATGGAAAATGTCTTATACGCGGAGAGCCGTCTTCATGATAAGCAACCAGAGTTTGTGAGTGATAGCCCAGACTGTAATAGCGATCGAGAGACAAAGACTGATGAATCACTCGAGATCCAACAGTTATCCAGGGACAATTGTGACCTGTCGGATTGTGAAAAGGCAAAAGAAAAAAAGAGATCGCTTTTGCCTTCATTTCTCAGAAAGCAAAAGTTGATTGACATTGATGCTTCGGTGAACGATTCCATAATGAAGACTCATTCGGCCAAGTTATCAGTGAGAGATTATTCACAGTATCCACTCTTTACAGAGGATACAAAATTAGACATTTCAAGCGATCAATCTACTATCATTGAAAACTTGAACAAGCTTTCATGGGAGAAAATCGCCGTTTACCATGACCTGTTTAATGCACACGACGGGATTGTTGCTAGACGAGGCGAACGGACTAATCCAAAAGGAACATCCACCGTTTACCTTTGGGTCTCGATACTTCGTAATCATTTTGCAAGTGCAAGTTCATAGAAGTCTAATGGCTCATAAAGTACAAGTACCTGTTTTATAGCTTCCTAGATTAAGCAAAACTCATTCATCTGTTCATTTAAGTATTAGTCGCTGCGCTGCCATGGCGGCCATTCTCGGGTAAGCAACCTTCGCACATATCAACAATAACTTACGCACTTAGTCCGATTAGGCACTACTGTTTAACAACACCGCGATGTCACTTGGTATTCTTCGAAGGGCAAATGTCCCTGGCTTGGGCTGTAGCCTTTTGAAGAATCAACGCCTTGCTCCTTCATGCGTACATAAGTCTTTTCATGGCCCGCTTTCAGTACAACTTAGACATAATTCATACAGCAAGTACGACGGTGGGTACCAGGGCCGTTCCAAGAATTGGGGCGAATGGAGCCCGTTACGGTGGGGCATCGTTGCTTCCGCGTCAATGGCAATGGCTCTATGGAAGTCACCCATCAGGAACGAAGTTTATCCCGTGGATACCACTATCCACCGCCTCAAGCCGGTAGAGACCGCTGATACCTTTGAAAATGGTCTTTATGCTGCATCTCAAAAGGAAGAGCAGGATCTCTTCGACGAGTACCGAAAGGGGAAAACAAGCAAAGGCCCTGTTCTATTAAGGGTTTTCTTTCGCATCCAATTTGTCGTCATTGACTATTTATTAGACCCTCTTAAGACAATCATTAGATTCGTTGAACTTACATCTATTTTTATGCCAGTGCTTCTTGTATCTCCCATCTGTTGGTTCGGAAAGAAGGATAGAAAGACCGGAGAGCATGTCAGGAGCGGTGCAAGGCTTTGGTTTAGGTACTTGAGATGGGCCTCAGAAGCTGCAGGGGCTTCCTTCATTAAATTGGGGCAATGGGCCGCTTCTAGAACAGACATTTTCCCTAAGGAAATGTGTGAAGAACTTTCTCATCTTCACTCTAATGCAAAGGCCCATTCATTGGCCGAGACGAAGAAGATTTTAAGTAAAAGCTTCGGCATGCCATTCGAGGAAATCTTCGAGGAATTTAGGGAAAAGCCACTAGGTGTGGGTGCGATAGCACAAGTTTATCTTGCCAAACTATCTGACAAAGCCATTAAACAAGCAAAACAGGAAAGTGACACAACCGTGCAGTTGTCTCTAGATCCTGCTGTTCATGAACATCATCAATTTTTGGACAAAGTCATTGTTACGGAACCAAGCAGTTTTATAACCAAAAAGCAAGAAGTCGCCATCAAAGTGTTGCATCCGAATGTTGAGGTTAAAATAAACAGAGACCTCAAAATTATGAGTTTTTTTGCATCCGTCATCAACGCTATTCCAACGATGGAATGGCTCTCATTGCCAGATGAGGTTGAACAATTCTCGATTTTAATGAGACTTCAACTTGATTTGAGAATTGAAGCTCTCAATCTAGCAAAGTTCCGCCATAACTTTAAAAACCGTCTTGACATACACTTCCCTAAGCCATTCTTGAATTTTAGCACTAGGGACGTTTTGGTGGAAGAGTATATTGATGCCATTCCTTTGAGCAAAATGCTCAACTTAAAGGAAAATTTTGGAAAGAATGTTTCCAAAGAGATCAGTGACAAAGGACTCGACGCCTTTTTGCAGATGCTCATTTTAGACAATTTCGTTCACGCTGATCTTCATCCAGGTAATATGCTTGTCCGGTTTTACAAGAATAAGCTTTATCGCCACGAAAAAGAATACAAGATAGTCAAAACAAGCAATGAAGAAGAGACCAACAAGATCACGGAAGAACTACTTGCTTTGGGTGATGATCATAAAGCATGGGTCAAAAGGCTAGAGGAACTTTACGACCTCGGTTACCATGCTGAGATCTGCTTTTTAGATGTTGGGCTAATTACTGAATTAAACCACACTGATCGTGTTAACTTCATTGACTTGTTCAAAGCTTTGTCCGAATTTGATGGTTACCTCGCCGGTGAGCTAATGGTGGAGCGTTCGAGAACTCCCGAAACCGCTATCAATAAAGAGATCTTTGCACTCAAAGTCGAGAAATTGGTAGATCGGATGAAGCAGCGTACATTCGCGTTGGGTAATATCAGCATTGGAGACCTTTTAGATCAGGTCTTGGGTATGGTGCGTTCGCACCATGTCCGAATGGAGGGTGACTTCATCACGGTCATCGTGGCTATCTTGCTCTTGGAGGGTATTGGAAGACAACTTGATCCTAAGCTAGATTTATTTGCAAGGTTCGTATACGCCTTCGTTCTAGGGTTCCCTACAGAGAACACTTTACCATTCTTGGTAGAATAAAAGTCACCAAGAAATTGCATCTTAACATTTACTAACCAAACAGTTCATTGCCTGTGCTCAGAAAACTTGGAGCGCTGAAAGAAGGAAGGGAAATGATGAGAGATGAAGATTCTTCGAGTATGGTGAAGGTATGGCTTGCCCTTGAGGTGAGACAATTCATCCATGCATCGATTCTGGACGTACGTATTATGAAATGATGGTTTCTACTCCATCTGACTATTGATTAGCGATTTAAGTGAACCCTTTACTAACCAACAGATTCATGCGCTTGTTAAAGCAGACATGCTTTCGCCTAACGCATAGACACCGCCGTCAAATGCTTCTATAAGCACTCCATCGCTTCGCGTGCAGGGCGGGGAGCACTAACTCGGTCTCCGATGTTCCACAGCACCGAGTTTCATGCACAATGTTCCGCACCGTAGTTATAAAACCCAAAATTCCCTTTTGAAATTTGTAGTTTTCCAAAAAGTTTTGGTCTTAAATCATCGACTTCAATTAAAAATGGCTTCTAATCCCCAGGTGCATGCTGTATTCAGTCCAATTTCCATGAGGGTCAGCCTCTAGGCAAGCATCAAGAGGTGTTTGGCTTGGACACTTATGTAACTGGTTCTGAAAACTCTGAGAAGAGGACCATCGTCATTTTGACTGATATTTATGGACACAAGTACAACAATACCCTTTTGATCGCTGATCAGTTGGCTAAAGTGGGCGGTTACAGGGTTTATGTTCCGACATCTTGGAGAATGACCCTGTGCCCTCGAACCACGGAGATCTTGCTCCATGGTTAGAGAAGCACGGTAATGAAATCACCAAGCCCATCGTGGATACATTCTTGAAATCTGTTCGTGCACAGGTCGGTGACAGCTCGTTCGTCGGTGTAATTGGTTATTGCTTTGGTGCAAAGTATGCTATCCAACAGATTGCCTCCGAAGGTTATGCTAGCGCTGCCGCGGTTGCACACCCTTCTTTTGTTTCGATTGATGAAGTTAGAGCTGTGAAGAAACCTATTCTTATTTCTGCTGCCGAAACTGACCCAATTTTCACTACCGAATTGAGGCATAAGACTGAGGGGCTTTGGCTAGCATCAGGGCTAGATACCAAATTGACTTGTTCTCGGGCGTTGTACATGGCTATGCTGTTAGAGGTGACATCAGGGACCCTGCTGTGAAATACGCCATGAACAAAACATTGGCGGATCAAATTCAATGGTTCAGCTTGTTCTAAGATGTCGCTTTAGAATACATCAATCACCTATAAATCCGTAGTGCGAAATATGAGTAGAACTGATAAGATAAACCCCACTCTTAATCTTAGGTTGCAATTGACATGGGCCACGAAAATATGCTTCCCGTACATCAGGAGAAGCGTAAAGCTTGCAATGGGCGAATTCGTCTCACACGATTTACTTTCGGCTTTATCACATTTGGTCTTTGCTGTTACATGATAAGCAGGATTCTCATAAGCGGAATTTCTCATGATGACCCAAGGAATTGGTTCAGGTCGAAAGGTGACGACGGCAACAATCCAGATTCACTATGTCCAATAGTTGAAAAGGTTAACTTCTCTAAATATGCTTATGAGAGTGAAACAGTACAACAAATCATTCATGACGAAGGATTTCGGAATAGATCAATCGAGAAGTTGCTAGGTGCTGTTAGATATCCTACTGAGGTTTTCGATGACATGATTCATCCTGAGGAAGCTGAATCGCTAGATGATTTGTTCAAGATTGAGCCTGGATGGAAGGAATTCAAGAAATTTCAAGGGTATTTGAAGAAGACTTTTCCAGCGGTACATGACCATTTAGAGCTCGAGAAGGTGAATGATTTTGGTTTGGTTTATACCTGGAAAGGGCTGAATCCTAACAAAAAACCATTGCTTTTGGCTGCCCATTATGATGTTGTCCCGGTACAGAGGGAAACAGTGGATCAATGGACATTTCCACCATTCGAAGGCGGCTATGATGGGAAGTATTTATATGGAAGAGGAGTCTCCGATTGTAAGGATTTGCTCATTGCTTTGTTAGAGACAGCCGAACTTTTGCTTTCTGAGAATAAATTCAGTCCTCAAAGGACGATAATTTTGGCATTTGGCTACGACGAGGAAGCTCTGGGTTCAGGTGCTAAGAAAATTTCAGAGCATTTGCTCAAGCAATACGGACCGGATTCCTTTCTTCAGATCATTGACGAAGGTACTTCAGGTTTTGAAGAAGTGGAAGGGCTCAACCTTATCTTACCAGCTACGGGTGAAAAGGGATATGTCGATTCTATCATCGAACTTTATACACCAGGTGGGCATTCCTCAGTTCCCCCAAAGCACACTGCGATCGGCATTTTGGCTAAACTTATTAGCGACATCGAGGATATTGAGTTTGAAAGTGTTATCACCAACGCAAACCCAGTTTTAGGTCAATTACAATGCCTAGCTGAACATTCTCCTTTGCTTGAGCGTGACTTAAGAAAGAACATCTTGAGGGCTCACTTTGATAAGCATGCTAACAAGGCGCTTCTTGAATATCTTAATAGGAAACCAGAGGATAAGTTCCTTGTGACAACATCTCAGGCCGTCGATATAATTTCAGGCGGGGTGAAGTCAAACGCTTTGCCTGAACATGTGTCAGCCTTGGTGAACCACAGAATCGCGGTTGAGGAGCTGGTGCAATCTACCTCCGACAAAATTGTCATGCAGATCACGGAAATTGCTGAAAAATATGACTTGGGTCTTATTTTGACGGAGAAACCATCTTGGAAAAGACAGATGGTGGTTACTTCAATTATACTCTTAGAGAAGCTTTGGAGCCGGCTCCCGTGACACCGATCCAGGATGAGATCTGGAATCTTTTTGGTGGGTCGGTTCGTTACCTTTACGAAGACTTGATCTTCCCAAATTCTTCAAAAGAGTTCGTGTTTGCCCCATCTCTTTCAACGGGAAACACGGATACGAAGTCCTACTGGGATTTGACTAGGAGCATCTACAGATATGTTCCTGGGCTTCCTACACCCAAGCTGAACATTCACTCGGTAGACGAAAGAGTTCTATTCGATGGCCATTTGCTGATTATTGCATTCTACTACAATTATTTGCAAGTTGTTGATCAGCTCGCTCAATAACTGGCCCATACTATATAGTGCGATGCTCATCGCTGAGGAAGCGCATTAGTGTATGAAAAATTAAATATCGAATCTGTAGCTTTATACTCCTTACTGGCCATGCCTAGTGAATTAGAAGAGCTAGTTGGTTTCTTACACTCGCCACAACCTGCTGTGGTCCAGATTGCCTTAGACAATTTGGTTGGATACTCATCTGGCGCCCAACAAAAAGTGTTTGCTTATGACAACTATAGGGCCATCACTGACCTCAAGAAGCTTTCACAGGACACGGGAAAAACTACTGTCAGTCAAGCGGTCACAATTTTGGCCAATTTGTGTGATGATGACACCATGCGAAAGCTTATTGTCGATGATGTCAAGTATTTAGAATACTTGGTGAGCTCGATCGTGAGACTTACTAATACTGTCACAGACTTAATGTGCATTTTACTTGCAAACTTGGCTAAGAATGACTCAATTACCAAAATTTTCGATATATCAATCAATCGTGACGAGGAAGCTAAAAAGATATTTGCATCTGCCAATGCAATGGACTGTTTGATGGATTGTTTTGTCAAGGGAGCGGACCGCAGCTTGAACAAGTACGCTGACTTCGATTACTTGGCCTATTTTTTTGCCGATATATCCCGCTTTAAGAAGGGCAGAGACTACTTTGTTACAGAACAGTCATACGATAGTGTCGTACCAATATCTAAGCTTCTTGTCTTCACAGAAAAGTACGATTCTAAAGTTAGACGTGAGGGTGTTGCCTCCACGATCAAGAATTCTCTTTTCGATGTGGATAAACATGATCTCTTGGTTAATGATGAGATTAACTTGTTGCCCTACTTGTTGTTACCAATAGCCGGCCCAGAAGAGATAAACGAGGATGAGTTATTTGACCTTCCTGAAGAGCTTCAACTATTACCCCTGATAAGAAGAGGGACCCTGAAGACTCAATCATATGCACCCATCTCGAGTCTTTGTTGCTCTTGTGTACCACTAGGCAATTGAGAGAGTTCCTTAGGGAGAAGTCTGTTTATCCTTTAATCAGGGAGCTTCATAAGGCTGTGAGCTCGGAAGAAATTACTGATTTATGTGACAGATTGGTTCAATTGTTAATGAGAGATGAGGCTGAAGCTAAGGCGGATGATGCGATGGACGTAAGCAGTGACGAAGATGATGACAAGATTGTGGAGATTGTTTAACATACAATCGACGGGAATATAAATAAATGCGATTAAATATATTTAGAAGGGTTTAACGTCACGATGATTTATTCGTCCTTCAAGCGAAGTTGACCCTCGACCAACTTGAGATTTGATTTAACAATGCTGATAATACGTAGCTTATTGTCCTTGTGCATACTAATTCTATGCTTCAATTTCAATAAAAGCTCTTTCGTTGCTAAAGGCTGGTTACGGACAATGTCCAATACCTCCTTAGTCGTGACTAGCTCTCCGTTAGGACCAGCGTCTTCCAAGCTCGTTCCACCGGGAGCCTCTGGAACTGGCAGGGCACTTGCACTTTTGGCATTAGGGGAGTCATCTCTTTTAGGTTTCTTAGACGAGGTTTGTGCCTCGATTGAGCGAGCACGTTTACGAATATGAGGATTCCATTCACCAGGTTGGAAACCTTGTAAGAACTGCTTGGAAGCACGAATCACGACAAATCCATCATTGACGCTTGTCACAAACATCGTTCTTGGTCTGTTGACGGTTTCCTCGGGTTGTAAACCATCTTGAGGTTCCGGTTTAACAGTAACCTCGGGCTCAGATTCGTCTTCACTCTCCAAATCTGACTGCGAAACATATGGATTTTGAACTTCGTTATCATCACTGTCGTAAACTCCACCCTCAGTTTTGTGCAAAACCTTCTTCAACTTCTTACCCTCTTTATCGACCTTTCTCGATTTCTCCACTTCAAATAGGTCATTGATTTCATCGTCACTATCATCGGGATCCAGTTGACCTCCCAAGTGAGCAGCCTTCAACATTTCTTTTTTCATCTTCTTTTCAGATAACTTATTGTCTTCTTCCGCACCATCCATAATTGGAGCCTCTTCATCATCGGCAAATTCTTCGTCAAAATCTAATTCGTCATGATCAGAATCACGCTCATTTAATGAAGAGCCTCCTTGAACAGTCCGCATACGTGAGTTTCCTGAAGCACTGCGTGCTGAAGGGTTCACAGGAGAACCGAACTGGTTCGTGGCGCCGTTGCGGCGAAACCTACGGTCTGAACTCTCACCTTCGTCCATGTGTTTCATGAGCCAACGAGGAGCTGATTGGTTCTTTTCCATTTTCGCCTCAGCTTCTTCCAAGGTCAAAGTTGCGTATTTATTTCTTGGAGTAAAACGGTACACTTTCTCTGCGGGAACCATTTTGAAGCCGTCTTTATCAAAGACGAATAGAACGTGAGTACTTTCTGTCAGGCCACCTTCATAGTTTCCGACAAAAACATTTTTGCCGTCGTAGTCTTCGATGACCCAGGGGTAATACTCTTCATACCGAAGCTTTCTCTTCTGTTCGTCCATCATATGGACTTGCTTAGTTTTACGTTTAAACATGTTCCTGCGGTGCTTACGCGCACCTCCATCAGGGGCAACTTGTGACATGTCCATCTTTGTAGGAGTCGGGTTACCATTTTCATCTAGCACAACTTCTTCAGGGCCAGGCAGTAGCTTGGTGCCTTGTTCTTTGCTTTCTCTCTTTCTGCGATCAATCTCCTCTCTTGTCAACTGAAACTGTATGTTATGGGGATCCTTCCTATGCAATCTAACAGGTTTGTTAAAGTTCTTCAATATATCCACATCTTGCTTCGTCTGAAACTTCATAATGTGGTTTCTGGTATCTTGCAACTCGTCTTGATTGCAGGCTTTTAAAGGTATCATATTCCAATCTCCACCCGCTGCAGGGCGAGGAGCAGGCAGCATCTGAGGCGAGGCATTCTCCTGCTTGATGCCTGGCTCCTTCTTGACAGGTGATTGACTCATATGGATAGTGAGAAGAGAAGGACTGGCTCTGAAGGAGTAGTTGATGTAGAGATATAATGCTCGCGCAGCTTTATACACTACAGTAGTGAAACACCTTGTCTTGACTGGATTCCGACAACTCTGGGAAGACGCCGTCAATTAATATTAAAAATAAAAGATTTAAAATCTTTTTTCTCGCTAGAGCTTTTTTGTCACTTCTTTTCTGTTTAATCTTTTTTTTTTTTTTTTTTTTTTACCTTTCCGTCCAATACATGCTATTTTGTTCTTAGTAATGGCTGCGAAATTCGTTCTCAAGAGGCTGCTCATCTGCTATAACTGACATGGGCAAGCTGAAACTACTGGTTAGAACCTAGAGATGAAATATTCCATAACAATGAAGTGACCAGAGTAGACATCATTTAAGAATCTTCTTGGGAAATCCGGCGACCATTTGAAGTCTCAAGAAGTACCACTCTCCACTTCTCACCTGGAAGCAAAAGATTGTACTTATAGGTTCAGGCTTTCACCTAGCAAAGATGATAGCTATTTAGACGACTCAGGGAGAGTTCGGTAAGAAATGAGTTCCTTTTGGTCTGCATAATTACCCATGAGAGGCGCTGGAAGAGTAATGTTAGATCCTCTGGGAATGGATTTCGTGAAACTGTAACATGGGAGAGGTAGCAGTCCTACCAGTTTCATTTCTTGTCTTCTCTTGTGGGCTACAAGGCTCTTTATTATTCATTTGTTTTATGGTGTTGGATCGAAGGCTAAGGCTTGCACCTGTCTTCCCCAGTACCGGCTGCGCGAGGCCGGTACCGGCGAGTTTTTCACCGAGTTACATCGAGTCAACAGAAGAGTCACATAAACATACTAACTTTCTCTTTCACATCAAAATGCCCGAGGTTGAAGAGAAGCCGCCTCCTCCAAAGTACCTTGGCTTCATAGCAGGGATGTTTTCTGGTGTGACCAAGAACGCAGTGGGCCATCCATTTGATACGGTTAAGGTGAGACTACAAACTTCAGAAGGAAGGTTCAAGGGACCTATGGATTGCGTTTGGCAGACATTCAGGAGTGAGGGAATCAAAGGATTCTATAAGGGATTTACTCCTCCCCTAGTGGGTTGGGTTCTTATGGATTCTGTTATGCTTGGATCGCTTCACTTATACAGAAGACTTGTGAAAGAGAACTTTTACCCTGATGAGAAAAAACTACCTCTCTCGGGACATATTATTGCCGGCTTAGGTAGTGGATGGACTGTATCATTTGTTGCTGCTCCTATTGAACAATTCAAGGCAAGGCTACAAGTGCAATACGATGCCAAAACTAGAATATACTCTGGCCCACTCGATGTGGCCAAGAAACTCTGGAGAATCTCTCCATTGACGTGGTACACTGGTCTTTTCAGTACCATGGTTTTCAGAACCAACTTCATCTTCTGGTGGGGGTCTTATGAGTTGATCACTAACTGGTTTAATGACAACACCAATATGTCACCAGCATCAGTCAACTTTTGGTCCGGTGGGCTCTCTGCAACCGTCTTTTGGATCTTTGCATACCCGGCCGATGTTGTCAAGCAGACAATCATGACAGATAGCCCTTTGAAAGAACATAAAAAGTACCCTCGTTACACGGATGCGGTAAAGCACATATACCGTGAGAAAGGCTTACGAGGGTTCACGCGAGGATTCGGCCCTTCCATCTTACGTTCATTCCCTGCAAATGCCGCTGCACTTGCTGCATTTGAAGCCGTGATGAGGTTTTTGCACTAGAAAGTCTTCATTTCTCATATATAGATCTTTTAAACACATGACATATTTATTTTTCAATGTTCTCCAGCAATTCCGTAGCATCCAGTGCTTCTTTATCTGTTTCCCAAGGTTTACGTCTGATCGGGGCTTCAGACTTGGAACTCTGCTCGGTGAGAACAGTATCAGGAATGTGCTTTATTCCAGGCACGGGCTTCCCTGAAACGATAAGGTCAACTACATGTTGGTAGTTATTGGAGTAGGGGACCTGGTCTGGGACGTCGCGTGGTGTAGCTTCGGCTTCAGTTTCGTCGACATACGTAATCTTACCCCCATTGTTTCTTTTCCATGCATAAAAATCATCAAGATTTAGAATGTTACCAGTGTGGGAGCAAAAGAAAAATGACTTGGCTTGGTCAATGAGCTGCTGTTTCTGAGGTGCTGGGATTCTGTCCACAGAAGGATCAGACTCCTTTAGTTGCTCTAAATGGCTCTCTAGGATCTCTGAAAGACCCTCTTGGAATTCTTTAAAGGAATCCCAATTGTAATTGTCGAATTCTATGTATACTTTCTCCTGTGGGTCCGCCATGATGGAGTAGTTCTAGTACTCATTGATCGCGGCGCGCTAAAAGAATCATACAATTCACTACTACAACATGGGCACCCAAATCAAGATCACTTCAGAACAGCTATTTTTTGTTGGAGCAATCCTTAGAGTTGTATTTTTCCTTTTTGGGCTTTGGCAAGACAAGTATATGCCCGTGAATTATACAGACATTGATTATGTTGTCTTCTCGGACGCTGCAAAGTATGTCGCTGACGACAAGTCGCCATATCTGAGGGAAACCTACCGCTACACGCCCATGCTTGCGTGGTTCCTCTTACCAGTCACATTCGGGGGAAACTGGGAGCACTATGGGAAAGCTTTATTCATGCTATGTGACATTGTTACTGGTGCACTCATCACAGATGTTCTCAAGAGAGAAGTCGCCGTTAAAAGCAAGCCATCTACAACCTTTGAAAGCAACAAAATCACCATTCTCTCTGCTATTTGGGTGCTTAACCCTATGGTTATTACTATCAGTACGAGAGGCTCTTCGGAGAGCGTTCTTACGTGCTTCATAATGTTGGCAGTTTCAAACCTTTTGAAATCCCAATATTTTTTATCAGCAGTATTCCTAGGCTTGTCAATTCACTTCAAGATTTATCCAATTATCTACTTACCAGCTATAATGTTTTACCTTACCCCCAAAAGGCTGCCATTGGTAAAGCAATTGCAAAATGTTCCTGTGCTTGGCTGGGTTAACAAGCTCAACTTAATCTACTTTTTCGTTGTGCTTATTTCTTTTGCACTTCCAACATACTTGATGTATGAGTTTTATGGGTATGAGTTCCTATACCATTCTTATCTTTACCACTTGACCAGGTTGGATCATAGACACAATTTCTCATTGTACAACTTGGCACTCTATCTTAAATCTGCCCAGAAGTACACACAAGAGTCTTTGACTAGTGGTAGTTTAACTGCCATAGTCCTTGATATGATCGAAAAGGCTGCACTCGTCCCACAACTAGTGCTTTCTGGTATCGTGATTCCTTTGGTTTTGGCGAGAAAGAGCATCACGAATTGCATGTTTATACAAACGCTCACGTTTGTCACCTTCAACAAGGTCATGACCTCCCAATATTTTATTTGGTTCCTTATCTTCTTGCCCAGTTATTTAGGAACTTCTCTGTTGCTTTCGAAGCTGAATGCTGCAAAGGCAACCGCGATGCTCGCCTCATGGGTCGTATCCCAAGGCATATGGTTATTTTATGCATATAAGCTAGAGTTTCTTGGTGAAAACACATTCAATGAGCTTTTCATGGCATCCATACTTTTTTTCCTCACCAATTGTTGGTTAATAGGTGAATTCATCGCCCATGCTTGAAATGGTTGCAAAATTGAAGAATTCGCACGTGCGCGAAATCACGCGATGAAAATGCGTCTTGATATCTACAAAGACCGAGATGAGTTGGTACGACACAAGATATATTGAAGCACCAAACTCCAGTTACAATGTCTCGTATGGAGCTATATTCGCCTGAGGGCCTTAGAATAGACGGAAGAAGGTGGAATGAATTGCGTCGATTCGAATGCCAGATCAACACCCATCCACATTCTTCAGATGGCTCTTCCTATGTCGAACATGGCAACACCAAAGTTATGTGCATCGTGAAAGGACCTATGGAGCCACATACAAGGTCTCAACAAGACCAGTCAAAGGCGACTCTCGAGATAAGCATAAATGTCGCCAGCTTTTCCACTTTGGAAAGAAAGAAGAGGAACAAGAATGAGAAACGTCTTGTCGAGCTCAAAGCTACACTTGAAAGAACCTTTGAACAAAGTATCCTCACGCATTTATATCCTAAGACTCTCATTGAAGTACATGTTCAAGTTTTAGCGCAAGATGGTGGCATGCTAGCCAGTATAACTAATGCTATCACTTTGGCTCTCATAGATGCTGGTATATCTATCTATGATTATGTGTCTGCTGTCACAGTGGGACTTCATGACCAAACACCTCTTCTTGACCTTAATACGTTGGAGGAGGGAGATGTCAGCAGTTTAACCATCGGAGTTGTGGGAAAGAGTGAGAAATTGGCAATGTTGCTCATGGAGGACAAAATGCCTTTAGATCATTTGGAATCTGTTCTCGGTATCGCCATAGCGGGAAGCCACAAGATCAGAGAGCTTCTTGACGATGAAGTAAGGAAGCACGGTAATAAAAGGCTGGCGAAACTTCAGGGCTAGTTCATTATCGAAGCATAATACATTCATGGAACTACAATGTAAGTCCGAGGTCGATTTGGAACCATGCCATATTTTCCTGGAAACTGGAGCGACCAATACGCGGACGTTCCACTGGGAGGGCAAGATAGTATCTAACTGCCAGAGTGAGCGATTCACTGTGATTGGTTTAATTCTCCGACTTCTATAGCATTATTTACGAACCCTACAAACACGCTCTCGTCTTAACGGTACCTTCAGCAGTCCGATCGCGAAGTGAACAGCCAATGCAAAAAATCGTATAGAGGATAGACGGCTTTGAAAGCTTTACGATCATTTCAAATACATATCTTTTTAAGTCTTATATCTAATAGTTCGTCGGGGACGAAAATGCTGACGTCAGTCAACATCCAACCGAAATTGGCTGCTGGGCGGCAACATGAAAAACTAGTTCAAAGCCATAGGCTGGTCTTTTACTGCTAGTTACCGTGTAGCCCCAGAAAGGTTTAAAAGGCCTTGATGGCTTCAAAGCGGGTAACGATGGTTTCTCCACTGGAGGGGGCACATCCCAACTGTCATAAAAGTCGCCAGGATAGAACTGCGTGTATTCCTTCTGAGACACGAGCTCCTTGTACTTGAAGAAATCTCCTGGCAAGTACGTCTTTTGGGGCTTGTAGGCCAACAACAGCATGTAGAATTCGAAGTCATCGGGCCAGTAGTCATAATTCCAATCGTAATCTATATCGGATTCGGACAGGCAAACACTCTTGTCGTCATCCTCTACCTCGTCGACAATCTCCTCGAACTTCATCGAGTACATGTAGGGGGTGTAATTTGGCAAAAAGACACCAGTAACTTCAGTCCTGTGGAACTGCCAAAAGCGGCGCTGGTACTTCTCAGGAGTTGGGGGCAACTCTATCTCTTCTGTAGAAGTAGATTCTTCTGATGCACTTGAGAAAACGGCTTGACCGGGCTTTGAAGCCGAAGGAGTGGGCAAGTCGTCTTCAGCTGTGTCAGTGAAAGTGTATGGTAAGGCCAAAGGCGGCTTGTAATCAAGCTGCGTACCTTTTGTGGGGACCAAAGTGGAGCTCTGAGAAGACCGGAACTTGATCTGAGGTATAATTCTAGTTTTCTTCTCGGGGTGTTTCAGCTCCAAGAGCTTCTCAATATCAAGCTCCACCTCCTCACGAGGAGTCACAAGCTTCGGAGTCTCGCCGTCCTCAAAAACAAGAACCTTACGAGGCAGTGAGTTTGGATGCAAGAGCTTCTTAACGTCAAGCTCGGTCTCCTCAAATGGAGTCACAAGTTTTGGAGTTTCGCCATCTTCGAAAACAAGGACTTTGCGGGCAGTGCAATGCTCTTTGGCGGCCAACTTGAAGAGATCATTGATGTCCACCTTAGTTCCAGCCAGGTGGGGAAGGCTGGAGTTAGGTGAGCGTTCTGGAGTCGTTACAGCGGTCCTGGACCCAAAAGTGACGGACTGGTTTGGGCTAATGGGAGTCACATTGTCTGAGTCAAAGACGAGAGGCAAAGAGGGGGTGGCCTTCTGTCTTTGTAAGCGGTTCTTCCTGAAAAGTTCCTTCAATTTGGCGTCTTCTGTAGCCGCCTTTTGTCTTTGCATGCGTTTCTCCTTGAAAAGTTCCTTTAACTTGGCGTCCTCGGCAGCCTTCTGTCTTTGCAAGCGCTTCTCTTTAAAAAGCTGCTTTAAAGCAGCGTCCTCGTCCTTCTGCAAAGAGAATAGCGCTTGACTCTTACATTGTTCATTGTAAGCTTCGATGTAGTCGAGAAGCTTCAAGTTGTAGAGGCTCTGGGCCCGGATTCTGGTGGGTTCTTCATGTTTCGCCAACTCAATGAGGCCCACGAAGTGACCAAACTCACCCTCATACCACTTAAGCTCGGTGTAAAGGGTTCCGTGGTTAGTTAAAACGTAACCATCACAAGTGAAAGTGGCTTTCATGACGTCCAATGGGAACAGTGTGCCCCCAACGGTATGGCAATCAAACGAACACATTTGATTGGAAATGGTAGTATTCTTTGTGAAGTTGCTTGATTAAATGTAATAAATCTGGCTTTTTGAACAGGTGAAAATATGAAAAAGCTGTTCAATTCTTGAAAACGGGAAAAGAATGGTAGAGAGGAAGAAAGCCAATGATTCGGGGCGAGCTTTGACACAAATAGGGTCTGCGAGCGACCATCTGGGGAAGGTCCTAGTGAGCTGCCCCTATACTGTTGCTTCGGCTCCCACCATCTCTCCAAGTCTTTGTCGGTATCAAGTCATCAAATTTATCATTTGAATTTTTCTTTGTTATGAAACGAGTCTTTAAGGTTACCACTGGACTCTCACCATTTGGCTGCAAAATACCTCCATGCGGGACGCTTATCTCGCAGCGAGCCTATTCGGGTAAGCCCCGAGGCTGCCTTTAAAAACCACACCACTGAATGTTTGGTGGCAATCTCAACTGGGCTATACCATCTTAAGGGCTATATGGACTAGGTTGAAAACTCCTTTCTATCGAAGTTCCTCTTCGCATTCGGCTGGGCTCATGTCGTGCAACATAGTAGTTAAGCACCCATATTATACCGTCAATCAGTAAATGAAGAAACACTTTGGACAGCTAAAGAAGCCAATCGCCCATTAAATTAATTGAGCTGTGATTTGGCTTGCTCTTATGTTCCACCAGGTGCATTTCCTTGGGGAAGGACACTCAAATGTAGAATATAATCTTGACTGAGCTCATGAGGCTTACATCCACGATGGGTATAATAGTGTATCATTGGTTTGCAAGAGCACAGTCTCTTATCTCTCGCGACATACTCTGTATGGGTGTTTGATCAACTAAGCTGTGAAACACTATTTGTTGTGAAGTCTTCTGAGAATCAGTGTGGGAAGGCCTACGTTATATATGGGCCATACATTAACATTATTTTCAAGCGGGTTACGTTGAAGTTACTGCAAGAGGAGATAATATAAGAGATTAATTGCACTTTCCCTTTAAGTGACTCGATAACACGCCTTTAACAGGATGTCAACCAGTGTCGTTGTTCTTCTTTTTTTTTTTTTTTTTTTTTTTTCGAAGACGAGACTTCCGTACTTTCATTTGCTCATTTCTCCTTCTTTAGCCCCCGTTTATCAACTAGAACAATAAATCTCAGCTTTTGAACTCTCTAGTGAAGGCTGTGTAGATTACACTTCTTGTGGATTGGAAGGCCCACATGAGGTCAGTAACGACTTGTTTCCCCATTTCTACAACGGCTGCGAAAAAGACGAACACTTACAAAACACACAAACTTGCATCCAAAATTCCAAAAACAAAGAATTCAGTGATACAATCGAAAAGTCTAGCTCATAGAAGCCCTAACTACAGCTTCCTTTTCTCCTCCACTTGCAGATCACTACTGGTATATCTTCCATGTTCGATTCGACAGCCTGAGGCAGCTCCTGTGGGGAGCCATGTGCAAGGCATGTGTCAAATTTGGTAGTCAACGGCATATCTGAAACGTTACGGAGAAAAAAAAAAAAAAGAAAAGCAATGCCGTACACACAAAAGACAAGCAACATTGCCTTAATGTATTTCCATATAATGTTCAGTCAATTTTTGCAACCAATTGCCTCGGGACCCCGCTTTTCATTATTTCCCAACCTGAGTACCAATTAAGGCTCGCAAATAAACATGACAACCGCTGCCAGTACCTGCTTTCGCACGACCTGCCAATATGAGTACACGGTAGTTTTTTTCAAAGCCGTACACCTGCACTGTAGGAGGATTTCGAATCATACCGGTTGTGAATTTATCTCCACACAACCTAGCGTCGTTCAAGGTCCACGAGTACAAGGCTTCTCTATAGTTTGCTGAAACCCGAGGAGCATAAAATATTGGTTTATTGATCCATTAAGCAATAGCCATTCTCCTTTGAACTAATAAATTGCATTTTATCTCGAATCAATAGGTGGCCTTTCTTCCAATTGCTCAAGACCCGCTACTACAATGTCGTACAGAGGGCCTAATCAGTTTAATAACCAGTTCAATGCTGGGCAGTTCAACCCAAATCAATTCAGCCAGGGGCAGTTCCAACCAAACCAATTCCAGCCAAACCAATTCCAATCACCTGTTGGCAGACAACCAGGTAACATTGGCCCAGTGCCTTCTCAACAGTCGGGCTTAGAGAGAGTCGAGGCTGCCAGAAAGCAATTCGAGAGTCTTATTGACACCTACTTGGGTCCTTTGAAGCCTTATGTTCCTGCTATTGGTCGTCTTTTCATTGTTGCCACGTTCTACGAGGATGCATTGAGAATCTTCTTCCAGTGGTCTGAACAAGTCTACTATTTGCATGTGTACAGAAAGTTCTGGAAATGGCTTACTGTCTTGTTCCTTTCTCTGAACGTCATCTTGATGTTGGCTGCCTCCACTCTCTTGGTGTTCAGAAGACACTCCTTGTATGCCACATGCGTGCTTTGCGGTATCGTGTTATTACAGGGTGTCTTCTACGGATTGATCTTGGATAGCCAGTTCTTGTTGAGAAACTTGTCTGTCGTTGGTGGTTTGATTTTGGCCTTCTCTGATTCTTTGGTCAGAGATAAGAGATCTTTAACCATGCCTGGATTGCCTATGCTCAACAACAAGGACGACAAGAAGTACTTCTTGTTAACAGGCAGATTGTTGTTGATCTTTTTGTTCTTGGGATTTGTCTTTTCCGCCACCTGGTCCTTCGCTAGAGTGTTGATCATCCTTGTTGGACTTGTGGCCTGTGGATCCATTGTTGTTGGCTACAAGACGAAATTTGCAGCCGCAGTGTTGACCATCATTCTTTTCACTTACAACGTATTCGTCAACCAGTTCTGGAAATACTCCTCATTCAACGCCAACCGTGATTTCTTGAAATACGAGTTTTTCCAAACCTTGTCTATTGTTGGAGGTCTTTTGATCATTGTCAATGGTGGCGCCGGTGAATTATCCATTGATGAAAAGAAGAAGATTTACTAGTAGGGGAGTCGATTAAAAAATAAGCTGATCACACATGCCGTTAAGGCGTGGTTCCGAACATACAATAGCGAAGCGGTGCCAGCCTATTCTGGTAGTGTTCAATGGCATATCACTGAATACCCTTAGTATCTATTGTCTTTAGACCCAAAAGTATTAGTATTGATTGCAGTAAGCGAGCCCATGTATGGCTCTCCAGTAACACACCCGTACACCTTGATGATGCATCACCAGTACTCTATCACTTACTTTAGAAGCTTGATATTCATACAAGCTTCAGGATGGCTGAAGAATCAAAATGTCCTGTTGACCATTCGCAAAGGGGTATATGGATGGAGAAAATGGGCAAAAGCCCACATGCTGAGGAAAAGAAACCACAGGAGTCTACAGATCCAGCTCTGGCTGCTTGTCCTGTGGATCATTCCGCTAGATCCAAATGGATGGAGAGTGTGACAGTGACTTCCAAAGGAGCACCAGAAGCTATAGAAGTGGACGGATGTTCATCTGATAAACTAAAGGAAGAGCCGAAGTTAGAAAGCTCGTCCAACCTTCCACTAGAAAGAGAAATCAGCTCCATCCCGAGAACAGACACCAGAACCAACTGGATATACCCATCACAGAAACAGTTCTTTGAAGCCATGAAAAGAAAGAAATGGAACCCAGAGGCCAACGATATGCTGACGGTCGTTCCAATCCATAACCATGTGAACGAGCTCGCTTGGAGACATATACTTAACTGGGAAAGGGGCTTCTTAGAGGAAAGCAATAAAAAATGTGGAGGCATTTCCTTGACCAGTTTCAAGGGAGACCTGAAGAAGTTGACCCCTCGTGCTTGGATAAAGGCGACTGTATTGGGTCATGAGAAGCCTTTTGACAGACACGATTGGACGGTCGATAGATGCGGAGTCGAGGTGCCATACGTACTCGACTTTTACAGTGAAGGTGAGAACGGTGGTGTATTCGTGGACGTTAGGCCCAAGATCAACTCTTGGGAGGGATTCAAGTTAAGAATCGGAAGAGCTCTTGGATGGGCATAACTTAGGGGTTTACCCGTCTTGTAAATAGGTTGCATAATTTTTTGGACTTTTCTATAAGGATCTACTCAAGCATTTCTTTAGATTCATCAATATTGGCGGTGAGCTATTTGGGTTCGTAACTGCTTTATTTAAATAATAATATGTACAGATGTCATCAAGCAAAGTCTATCTTCTTCCCATGAACAGACCGGACTGGCCCAATTTTTGCATGTTCTCACCAACCTGGACGTTGGTTTCAAAGTACTTCGAAACACATCTGTCCAAGCAGAGAGATTCTTGCTTGGTAAGGTCGCCATCACTGTAACCCTTGTTGATACACTTGGTGTGACACTGCTCAACAAGAGAGTTGAACATGCCAGTAACCATATCCAACTCGGCCTCAGCAGCCAGGATTTTCTGTTGGGAAGAAACTTGTGGGGCACCGCCGATTCCGAACATTCTTTGTTATATCGTTAACTAACGTATAGTTGCGCCTGCAAAATTTTCGAGTGTAGTCGCCAGTGAAAATTGGTGCACGGATGCATAGGTGCACACACCAGTACTAGTACTAGGTACTTGCGACAATTTGGGAAAGTATCACATACTGGGGTATGACAAATGACAATGGCAGCCTGTCATAAAAACGTTACTCTTTAGTTCTTCCTTATACTTGTCGAAATCTTCGGCTTTTTCTGAAACGAACTGAACCATTCCATGGCACATGGTTATTTGCTTACCTGTGATTGAGCACCCGCCTCCATATAGAGCCATTCTAGAATTACGGAAGTTGGGGTTGCCCATGAGTGTGTCCATGGCTCGACTTGTAATGCTTTCCCTTAGGTCGAAGAAGAATCTCATAAAGACCCATGTTTGGGTTCGAAGGTTCAATGCTGGAACCCGTAGTAAGTTTGGGTTAGTTGTAGTGATTGAGAATCGTGAGAGTCTTGAGACATCGTAACGGTCACTTACGTATGGCTCAGGATCATAATGCCGAAGGAAGTCATTGTTGAAACCACCAACAAAAAGAACATATTCCCTGCTGTCTTGCTCGTAGAGAAGAGCGTGATGATGACATGCACGTAGCTCAGCATCAACTAAAGGCGGATTACTTGAAGTATTCTCCAAAGTGAGTTTTTCACACTGCTCATCTTCGAAAGGCTGTTTGGGAAGATTGTAGTAATCGTAGGCATAGCTTTGCTGTTTATGCCATTTTGAAGTAGAGAAGTTAAAGATGTAAATGTCACTGCAAACGCCGTTGGCTTCGTTGACACCACCTTGAATCAATAAACCTCTTCTTTTCAAGAGAAGATCAGAGCCCCGTGTGCTAGACTCGGTGGAGTTCTCGCTCGCTGATACAATCTCTTGGGTGTTTTCCAGTGAAAAGATGTGAGACTTGGAAGGCTCGTCCGCAACGAGCTCAAAGTTCGTTGCTTGGAATGGGCAGAATTCGCTGCTAGAATCATTATTCACCAACACATATGCAAAAAAACCTCTTCTCGAAGGCCATACTGAGTGTTCATTGCGATCCGTAGCATCAAAGATGAGGGCCTCTTTGTGGAAATTACCCAATTGACCATCTTCAATGATGAGCTCCAATCTCAAAAGATCATTAGTTGCCTTGAAGCGCATTTTATCATCTTCACTAACGTCTTTGACAAATCCTCCGAACAAGAAGACCGTGACGGAAAGGACTCCAGATTCCATTGCCGAATCTTTAGCAGCAAATAGACCTTCGCCAGTCAGCCCAGAGCCAAGAGAATTCGTATCGTCCGGACTTAAAGTACGTTCTGTAGCTTTCGGAAGCCCTGTGCCGTGAATTCCCAGATTAAGCTTAAGCTTTTCAACGCCTTCTTGTGGCACACTTAAAGAAGATCCCTCTTCACTCACAGAATCAATAGATTCAGTAGGAGGAACTGATTGGGTATGAACGGGAGAGTGAGTCATATGCCTACCAGGCGAAGTAGAACCTGCCGAGGTACCTGACAGCAGAGGCTGGGATCTATGGTGTTTCACTTGATCCGCGTAATTCCCATGGGGGATAGGATTAGGGCTTGGACTATTGGCTCTAAGGCTAGCGAGGTTTTGAGATTGCGTCTGAGCTGAGCTTCCACTCAGGCTTTGAGGGCTTTGCCCATGGCCGAATGCATGGTTGTGATGGTTTCTGTGAAAAATACGTGCTGACTTCATGAGCATGGAAGTCATTTTCAGAGACCCCTCAGAAGCAGAATTTGTTGGCGATATAGCGCTTCCGGATGCTCGACTTTCACCTTGCTTCGCTGGTTTATTTAGCTGTCTTGAATAATCTGTATTCAGCCGTGAAACATTTCTTGACGATGTTGGAGTCGTAGCCCTCGCAGTACTTACACTGGATTGCGATGAAACTGCACGAGGTCTTGAGTCAGATGAAGCGGCACTTGAATGCACCTGCTTGGAAGGTTGTGGTTCCCTTAAAGGGGGCTTTTCAGGACTCCTTGTCAACGGAGTAGAAGCACCCGGCAGGTTAGTGGAAGAAAGTATCTCCTCCGCTGTGGGCGTTGCATTCTGTGAGGTATCACTATGATATGAAGCTGGAATATCTGGCAGGGCTAGCTGATTGCTTCGAAGTGAGGCTCGCTCTAACTTATTGGAAACCATCGCATTACCAATTGCACCTTCATAATGGACATCTGAATTGGACTTGATCTTGATCTGTGTAAATTGCTTGGTTCTCACATTGAGGATATAGCCATGTTCATTGAGACGAATCGATTTGTAAACAAGCCATCTGTTAATCTCTTCCTTATATTCTACCTTGTCCACTATTATTTGGAAGCCACCCGAAAAGAAAACATAAGAATCAGCAATTACCGTTCCCACCATGGAGCATAGATTGCCTGGGTGAATGTCAGAACATTTGCTTATGAGAGACGCTTGCACGGTACCCTTCATGGCATCAAATAAAATCAAATCTCTGTTTTGCATGACACAGGGGGACATAAGAACATGCTTGTTTATATGGGGAGGCAATTCACAAGGGAAATGAACGGAAATGCGTGATAAATCTGTCAGTCTGGGGATACCCAAGCTCTTCAAGCTCTGGCTGGCATCCACGAACAAGCCACCGAACATAACAGTAAGGTTATCCACATCGAAATGTGTCTGGTAACAAAACTGACCAATTCCTTCGGACATATCCTTCCCTGGTTGTTGCCTTGAGTAGGAGAAGTTTGGAAGTTGGAAATAGCCCGAAAATGACGAGGCATCCCAGTCACGCTTGAAGTTTTCAGCGTACTCCAGGCTACCTTCAGAACGCTTCAGCAGCTCGTCAAGAGAGCTGGACCGAGTATCAGGATGCGGTAGTGCCACCTTTTCCATCTGAACATGTGGATTCATGTAGACCTCAGAGTTCATTGCTCTGCCAAAGTGTGCCTTGTTGAACTGCTCAAAAGGAGTATACTTCACTAGCGAATACGGGGGCAGAATTCCATGGTACCAGTCCTCAGTATGTGAATTGAGAAACTCCTTATCACGGGCGGCTATTGCCTGAAGCCTAAGGAAGTCCAGGTACTCCAGCAGGCGGTCGCCCTGGGCTGTTGACTTAGGAATGAGCATAGTCTGGCTCGGCTGGGGAGCTCGAGGTGTTTATATGACAGGAGGAGTTTGGTGGTTATAGGACAATTGGCCGGAGCCTGACTTTTTGATTTGAAAAGAAACGAAGTGCGTATTACAGTCAGGTGCTGTTGGTAGAAAGCTGGGGTAGAGTGGAACGGTGTAAGTAAATGGTCTTGAGAATGCTGCAGGAACTAGCAAACAATGAGTTGGTTGCCCTTGTGGGACCGTGGAGTTTGGGCCTGAAAGAGGAGAAGGAAGGTAAAGGAAAACAAAGAATGGAATGAAAAGAGTGGTTAATTCGGGAAATCAGCTTTTTTTTTTGTCCTGCTTCATACGATGTGGCGTCTTTTGGTATGTTGCGTGATGATGTCAGAAAGGTCCCGAATGCGAAATCTACGTTGGAGGACCGTTGGGAGATAAGAATATGTCGGAAAAGGGTCTTGAAGGTCGTAAATTCATAAAAAAGGGTATGATGCATGATTAGTCAATTAGAATGGATTCTCCGTCATTCTTTTCGGGTTCCGTGTCCTTGGTGCCCGAAAGTGGGAGTTTGCTGTAGTAGGTGTTCACCGAACTGAGTAGGCCGTGGTTGTAGTTCCATACCAGCCAGCACTCAAAGGCGATTGTGACAAAAAGGAAGACGAGTGTGATCACAGCGAAGGTCACCATCGAGGTTCTGCCAGGGAAATACGAGCCTGGCTCAACTGCTATGTTGTAGGCAGAAGTGTACTTTGTGAATAGCCGAATAGTCTTGAAAAGGACGTAAACAACGCCGCCGATAAGACAGCAAAGCGTGAAAAGGCTGAGCCAAAGTAGTTCTCTCGTTGCAGCGTAGTCTGCAAGGAAGAGAATCAAAAGCGTTAATGGGAGCATGCAGCAAGTGAGTATGAACTCCAAGGAAGTCTTGTCGGAAACCATCACCACAATAAATTGGACAGTGAAACCTAAGAAGAAGAAAAGGTCGAATATTAAAAGACTTCTGTGGATCTGAAAAACCGTGTACATGCGCTTAATAGCGATTGAGGCGCCAATCTTCTTGAACTTGAACCACTGGACACTTCTGTTTAGCACAAAGTAGATCAAGACCAGCTGCAAGACAAATGTGACCCCCAAGACTGCAATAGCGGCGATATTTGTTCCTTTTGCAGCCGCTCTCCAAGCTGGAGACGATACCGACTCGAGATTTGTAGACAACTCCTTATATTGGATGCCCGTATAGATCACCATAGTAGCATAGAACAAGCACAAAAACGAAAATAATAACATGTTCTTCGTGTGCTGGGCAATTATAGTCACCACCACCTGGTATATTCCAGCAAAGATGAAAAGTGCAAGGAATATAGACATCTCCAAGTACCTTGCATTTGAACGGAACTTGTCTCTGTGAACGTTGATCACGCCATACATGAACCCTTCGAGGCCCACCACAAGCAATGCCGAAATAATGGAAATAGCCAAACACACCTTTGACCCACGAACATATCTCTTATCATCCTCCTTACCTGGCTTTGATCCAGAGAAAAGCGGGCGGTCAGAAGCCACAGGCCGGATTCCCAGAGCATCGTATTCAGTATTTGAAAGCGAGTCTGTAGAAATCTTCGATATTGACAGGTTTTGGTCCAATGTAAGGTACTGCTGGGACCCTACCCTTGCATAGTCATATAGATTAAGACGGTCTTGCGATAAGGCATCAGTCGAGCCGGGACGAGCCGAAGAGCCAGCATTTGGAAAATAGTGCTCATCATCATCTTCCATAGTGTCTTCTATGGAGAGGTCGGTGAACCGTTGCATTTTGAAGATTGATCCTGGGGAAGATGAGGGTTCAAGGCAGATCATATATATCTTACTTTTAGCACGCGGAGCATCTGCCGGCTCTGCGTCAAGGCTACCGAGGCTATGTCATATCACAGATGGGATGATACGAAAGTGTGGAGTCTTAATTAGGGCGGACAGCCCAATTTGGCGATCATATAATTTGTTCATGCATTCTATTTTCTTGAACAAGCTTTGGCTATGGCTGGTATGTGTTTGGTCGTGATGGTCTCAGTTCGCATGGACCATAAAGGCAGGCTAGACTTCATCGAGAGCAAAGATGATGCATAGAAAAAAAAAAAAAAAATGTAGTACGTTCTGGCTAGCCTGCGGCTTTGATGCTCATGGAAACCCATTTCAGGTCTGAATGTTCTAGTACATCGAGTGAAAGAAGTCATGATGCCCTTTAGTGAATGCATCATCGCATTATACTAATCCAATGTAGTTCCTAGGGTCCTCCTCAAGTACACCGGCAGCATCCTCCGAAAGATCGAGCCATGACACACGGTCAAAGTAGGCATCCTCGGATGCTGCCTTCTTGAAGGCTTCGAGTTCTTTCTCAAGCACAAGCACACTGATGGCATCATAGCCACCTGCTCCAGGAACCAAGCCGCCAACGCATCCAGGCAACAGGTTACATTTGTCGAGCAATTCCGTTTGCTCTGAAGGCTCGATCTCAGCACCTGAGCGCTTTGTGACCTCCTGGAATCCTCTTCTAATTTGGGCAATCGCTCTTCTAAGCAGCTCAAGAGTCGCAGGGTCCGCCAATAACGAGTCATAATCCCTGTTAGTCTCGCTGAGAGTGTGGAGCTGCTCCAATGCCTTGACAAATGCTTTGTTTCCTTGGTTAAGATGCTCGTACCAAATAGCACTCTGTGGGTCGCTTTCCTTCCAGGCGAGAACCTTGGACACGAGCTTTGGTGTTTCAGAACCTGCCTTGACATCACCCATAAGCAACTTGATGCCACGAGGAAGAGCACAATGGGTATGAGTGAAGCTCCAGGTTGCATCAACAACTTCCCGAAGCTCGTCACAGAGCTGCTGGGACAGTTCTCTTCCGAGTAAGTGGTTAAACACATCAGGCTTAAACCTTCTATAAATGATAGACCCATAAACAGCAGCGGCCACATCAAACCCAGAGCCTATCTTCTTCTGAGCTTCGCAATGAGCGACCTGGGCTAAGTTATGAACGAGATTTCTCGTATGGTTGAGTGGTTGTCTCAAGAACTGGCTAAGCAAAGCGGTAGTAACAACCGAGACCAAACCAGCGGACGAGCCCATACCTGTCTTTGGTACCTGGTCGATGGGCTTCTGGTGGAACAAGAACGTCTTTCTACCATTCTGCGAGCTCTTAGAAGCCGTGTCCTCTGTAGTGTGGTATCCTGGATCAGAAAAGAGCGTGATACTCACGTTAAACAGCTCCTTGGGTTGTAGATAGTTGAGCACAGTCTTTATAGTTGCCTCAAGGAAAGGGTTCTTTCTTCCTTGTACTTCCTTAAACGCTGGAGCGTCGCCTGAAAGGTCCAAAGCATACTCCCATTCGCCGTTGAACTGAGGCGAGGAAATGTAAATACGGGACCCAGAAGGATCCTTCAGTTCGACATAAGCATGCATTCTCGACGAAAGAGCCGTCACGTAGGCCTCATACTGGGGCTCAATGACCAAATAGCCACCAGCTAAAAGGGCCTTTCCTGGGGCGCTGAAGACGTGGGCCATTGTTTTGAAAGTGGTAGGGTAAGAGGTGAATTTGGGACCTGAGGAGAATTCGCGATGGTGGTAGACCCTTAGGCGTGTCTTAGAGGAAGAGAGTAGGGGAAGGTGAAAATTTGCAAAGATGACAATTTTGGAAAATGCTAGAGATCTGGATTATCTCGCTATTTCCCCTAAGCGAGAAATTTTTCGGTTTTAAGAAAGCTTCGCTGGCGATGGGATGCTTCTATGCTCTTAGTGGGGTGATTTGGCTGCGAAACGGTCGATGAAGATGGAATTGAGAGAATGGAACAAGCGAGGAGACAATAAGGGTAAAGAGAGAGTAAATGAGATACATCCAACCAGGGTAAGGAAAAACACCAGGATACTACTTTATGTATTGTGGCTGCTTCGGTAGGTTGTTTTAGCGCTATGGGCTGGACATAGTCCTTTGAGACGTCAGAGGTTCTTAATGGCGAAGATTAGAAAACGTCCGCAGATCCAGGGAGTTAAGAAGAAAATATGGAATCTATGTTTAGGAAACCAAAACCACTTTTTAAGCATAGGCGAGGGAACATCCATACGGTTTCTTCACCGTGGCATCAACTGACCATAGTAGACCGATTTTCGCAGCCATTCATCAGACCTTATTGCCTGCGCTAAACGACTAGTCTGGGAAGATTTCAAAGTTTTAGGGTCAGCGGATGTTCCCATTAGAAGTTTATTATTTCAAGAGTTAAAAGCTGTTGTGGTCTTATACATAAGAAGTAACAACTGGTAGTCATACTACAGCGCACCGAGTAGACAAGCAACGCCATTGAGAAGAAAGGAGGTTGAAAAAGTTCGGCAAAGTACGGTAAACTATCACACTTTATCTATTTCCTTCTCCAATAAATTTAAATATTTAAATTCGGGGCTGTTTTATTCCCCAGATTCTCTACTCCTGGATCTGTCCGGTACAATGCGATGAGTGAATAATCATATAGACCTACATCAATCTGGTCAATTGAATACCGTGCCAAATGTCAGAGGAACAACTCAAAGCCGAGAAAACCGTCGGTATTATCGGCCTAGGCGACATGGGCGCCATGTACGCCGAAAGATTCTCCAAGGCTGGTTGGAAGGTGGTTGGTGCTGACAGAGAAGACAAGTACGTTGAGACCAAGGCCAAGTTTGCAGGGCAGGCATTCCAGGTTCTTCGCTCGGGACACCATGTTTCTCGTGTTTCTGATTACATTATTTACAGTGTGGAGGCGAAGAATATTAAGGCAATCGTGCAAACATACGCTCCTTCTACTAAGGTGGGTGCAGTTGTTGGTGGCCAGACATCATGTAAAGCGCCCGAGATTGAGGCGTTCGAAGAAACAGTTCCCGAGGATGTGGATATTGTTTCTGTTCACTCGCTTCATGGACCAAAAGTTGATCCAACAGGACAGCCGTTGGTGATCATTAAGCAGAGAGCTTCCGAAGAGAATGCCAAATTCGTGGAAAGTCTTGTTTCATGTCTCAAATCCAAAGTGGTCCATCTTTCTGCTGCAGAACACGACAAGATCACTGCTGATACTCAAGCTGTCACACATGCTGCTTTTCTTTCTATGGGCTGTGCTTGGAAAGAAATCAACCAGTACCCTTGGGAAACACCTAGATGGGTTGGAGGTATGGAGAACGCAAAAATCAACATCTCCCTTCGTATCTATGCCAATAAATGGCACGTTTATGCGGGTTTGGCCATCACAAACCCATCGGCCCACGGCCAGGTTCAACAATACGCACAGTCTGCCACTGATCTATTTACATTGATGATCCAAGGCAAGAAGAAAGAGCTCCTGGAAAGATTACACGAGGCGAAGAACTTCGTGTTTAGACACAACCCTGACCACAAGAGCCTTTTGCTAGACGACGCCATCTTGAAGGAATTCTCGTTGCTGAAGACTCCTCCAGAAGGCAGACTGCAACCCAACTCGCATTTATCATTAGTTGCCATCGTGGATAGTTGGCACCGCTTGGGAATTGTGCCATACGATCACATTATCTGTTCCACTCCATTATTCCGTATCTTCTTGGGTGTTACTGAATACTTGTTCTGTACTCCTGGCCTTCTAGAAGATTGCATTGAAGTGGCAGTGAGTGACCCATCTTTCCGCCATGACGATCTCGAGTTTACCTTTGCCGCTCGTAACTGGGCCAACATCATTGCTAGAGGCGACTATGAGTTGTACAAGGAAACTTTTGAAGAGACCCAGCGTTTCTTCGAGCCCAAGATTGCACATGCCAATGCTATCGGTAACGAGATGATCAAGACCATCTTACAACGTGTGAAGGAGCGGGAGCAATAAAGATTATAATGCAATATATGAGGGAGAGAGAGAGCTCTTCGTGGTGTAGATTTTGGCAACGAAGGAGCAAAATTTATAAACCAGCTATTTTACATGCCATGTAGATTGCGCTATTCGGGCCGCCCGGGATTATAACTGTTCATCCTTGATGACATCCATTAACCAATCCAAACCTTCATTAAGGCCCTCGCCACGAACGGCACTAGAAGCAACAATACTCCAGCTTCTATCCTTTAAGTCTGTTAGGCTGAGCGCCTGTGAAACCTCGGCTGCCGTCATAGCGCCAGGTTGATCTTGTTTGTTGGCAAATACCAAAAGAGCACTATCTAGCAACTCCTCTTCTTTAAGCATGGTATGAAGCTCCTTGCAGGCAATGTCAATACGGTCCTTATCGGTGGAGTCAACCACGAATATAACTGCCGCAGTGTTGCTGTAGTAGCATCTCCAGTATGGACGGATAGATGTCTGTCCACCAAGGTCCCATATGTTCAATGTCAAGTTCTTGTATTTTAATGTCTCCACGTTGAATCCAATAGTTGGTTTGGTGGTGACCACTTCACCCATTTGAAGGCGGTATAGAATGGTGGTCTTGCCAGCACCATCCAAGCCCAAGATAAGAATTCTGATTTCCTTCTGAACACCCCAGAGCTTGCTGAAGATGTTCATGAAGCTGAAAGTCTGGCCCATAATGATTAATTTATTTGTTGGCGTCTGGGGAAGTTTTGGAGGGCCTCAGCGAGTTGATTATTCAGATATGGACACATTTATGATCCGTTACAACATTGGAATCGCGCACGACTCTGGAGGGTGATTTGGCTGCACAAGACACACCGAAGGGGAAATAATAAGGGGTTGCTTATAAGAGGAAGTATTTCGGATTAATTGTTTAATGTGGCTACTTTGGTGACGTTTACTTTGGTATAGGGTTGATTGGTGCTGGCATGTGAGGTTAGCCAAGACTGAGCAAGCCGGTGGAACTGAACCTTATAGATTCACGTGTGAGGGTCAAAATAAGTATAAGGAAACTCCAAATTCACTTAAAACAGAATACTGAAGCCATGGGCATATACTAGTCCTTGCCACTCCATAGTCCTAGTTTGTTACTGTTAACCACACAGAGAATGGTTGCAAAATAGCGCGAGCATGCGATATCCATAACATCACAGGCTTCCTACAACCCTACAAGCTCCCTTTTTTTTTTTTTTTATTATTATTTTTTTTTTTTTTTTTTTTTTTTTTTTTTAATACCAAATGATGAAGTCACCTCCCATCACCACCAGCCCGCTGGTCTGTAATAGGTGCAACCTCAAAGACTCAAGAGCCTAAGCAGCTCAAGATTAAAACGGCCGGCTTCTCTCAAGACACCAATGTTGGACCGAACGGTCTCCTCCCAATACTTAGCATCGGTGTCAGTCATGAAACAAAGCTCGGCGTACCGCATGAAGCCGATCCTCTCGTGGAATTGATATTCCTCGTCCACGTTAGACGCGTAATCCTTGCGGCAGTGATGCTCATAAAACCATTTATACCAGTCGTCTAATGGGTCCTCTAACTCGGTCATGAAGGTGACGAGACGGGAGAGATCGGCGGCATTACTGGAAAGGTCGGCATCCATCGCCTCGACGTGCTTAGCGGTAAGCTCGTCACAACGTCTGAGCGTCAGAATGATCCTCTGGTCCCTCTTACCATTGACAACAATACCTCTGACGGCTGCATTCGTTTCGGCGAAGTTCTTCCTAGACAGAGCAATAGCGTGGGTCTGGGAAGAGAGAAGGCCATGAAGGTCCGCAAGGGGACCATCACAGACACGCTGGAAAAGCTGCTTAAACTTGAGGCAACACCGGTCTCTCAGTCTGGCGTAGGCAGCAGACTGGGGATTGAGATTCTGGCATTGCTCGGCAAGGCTGGCGAACTCTTCTGCTATCAAACCAGGAACATTGACAGGATGGGGAATCTTGTCGGCCCTGTGGAGCGGAAAAGTCGAAGGCTTACGAAGACAGCTTCTGGGGGAGACAGAAACCGGCTCGTGGCCGAGAACAGCGGGGCAGTCCAGCGACGAAAAGAAGGTGACATCGTGGTCGTCACTGAAGGCGACCTTCCTGGTTTTTGCAGGCACTGGAGGCCTATAGAGTTCCAGGAGATGGAGCACCATCATGTCTGCCTTACGCATCGAGTGATCATCGGGCATACGAGTAGCAAGGTGGGCTTCCAAAGAAGAGGTGGGGAAACTCTTCTTCAGGTCGTCCACTGGTTGCTCCTCCAGTACCTGATCATCCTCAATGAGCTCGATCTTCCTAGACTCTGGGAGGTCTTCACACCTCCAAATGTGCCGCTTGGCCCTCACGGCCCATAAGGAGGGAATGAAAACTACAGAGACTTTGGAAGAGTGTAAGACAAACAGGAACAGAAGCTTGGCGGCTGTAGGGACACTGCCAGTAGTCCTGTTCCGGGCGTGCCAGGTCTCAAAGAGCCAGCACAAGCGCACGAAGAAATCGTGATAAGGGGCGTAGACAAGCGACGATCCAGGCTTGGCGGGCTTCAAAGGAAGCAAGACTGGATGCTTGAACTCGCTCGTAGAGAGGGCGGGCGAGGTCAGCGCTGTCCAAACGACGCTGGAAGCAAAAGAAGCACAGAGAGTGCTCTCCGAAACACCGGGAAGAACCTGCCATTTCAAGGGCTGGGAGGCGCCCAAGGAATGCTTGGTGACGGTAGAAGCAGGGCGGCGACTATAGGAGTAGACGACGAAAGGCCCTGGCTTCCTGGTGTTAGGATACCTGCCCAGAGATGGGCTGGCGACGAACGACGCCAAGTTTCTCAGCGACGACGAAGGGGTAGCGCCCACAGAGGAGGTTCTTCTGTGGCGCCTAAACACGCGCTTAAAGAAAGCCTTGACACGGGCTCTCTTAGACGCCTTGGTGGTGACTGGAGTGGTGGATGGTGTTTCAGCTTCCGAAGCGACGAGGCTGGTAGGATGGTACCTCTGCTTGAAAACAACCGGCAGCTGAAGAGGCTCAGAGATATCTGAGGCGGTGTGAGGACCCTTGGCCCTATGTCTTGACAATAAATGAAAAAGTGATCTCATAATTTGAAATCAGGTCAAAACGAAGTAGTTGGTAGAAGAAGAATACTTGGAACACAAACTACGGTGCGATTTATAGTCCAAGATTTTGGTGGAACGAAACAATCAAACCCTCCAAAGAGCCCATAAACACTCTAATAAGTAAACGGTAGATGTATAAATCTGTCGCTTTTTCCTCGAAGGTGTTCGTCCTCTTTGGAGCCGTCAATTGGAGCTTCTTAGCAGCCATAATCTTTTCGCAGCCATTTCTCCATAGTTAAGAGCCCAGGCAGGTGCCTGGGCCAGAGAAACCGAAACACTTTGGCTATTCTTCTATGAAATTGAAGGTAAATTGCATTCTAATAAGCTTCCATATCCTTCGTTTTCTACCTCTTCCAGTTTGGACGATTTCCCAGCCTCTACTGTTGAAATTATCACCGGTCCAGTTTCTCGATTACGTAAGCCCTGACCGATTGCTACTAATGCGCCAATAGTCAGAACCAACTACCAGCCACAAAAGCCACACCAGAAGAGTGATCCGAGAACCATGCAAACTAAGAACTAAACAAACCCAAAGAAATCTATTCAAATCAAAAAAATCACCATATTACGGAATCCCAACCAGAAGTCACCAGCCCCAAAGAAGTCCTGGTTGCGTGGTTGGTGCACGGGTTCTCGGCCGATGCGTGCCCCAGATTGATTGATTCCACTTGCCAGACTTCCACATTCTACCCATAAGACAATGTCTGAACCACGAGGAATTCTAAGAAATAAAGCTGAAGCCCGCCGCCTGTCGCTGAACGGTGAAGGGGACCTTGATAGGTCGGAAGTTATTAGGAACACTCGGTTAAATGCACAATTGAACGCCGAGTCTTCCAAAGGCGAGAGAATAAGAGCCAAGATCGCCGAGGCCAAGGGCTCTAATGGCGACGAGAAGACGCCAGAACACTTGAAGTGGGATGAAATCAACTTGTACAAGACAGAACAAGAGAAGGCTGCTACTATGAAGATTGACGAGCCTAAGACTCCTTATGAGGGAGGTTTCAACCCGGAAGGAGAGTACTACCAGAATGACGACGACGAGGAAGAGGAGATTCCCGACTTTTCTCTCGGAGAAGGACAATTTGATGGCGAAACCAAGCCAGAAGAAGATGACAGGATAATCAGGGATGAAGGGGCTATCGAAGACGACGAGGACGACGCCGAGGAGGAAGAGGAGCCCTTGACAGCAGAGGAAAGACACAAGAAGTTTGAAGAGATGCGTAAAGCCCACTACCATCTAGCTGCCAACCCGCTCAAACACAGAATTGATGTGTCGGACGACGATGACGACGAGTCTGGCAAAAACTAAGGGGCCCCCACGAGCCTGGCGCCTACATTCACGATTCATGATAAATAATGATTATATATCTATAGTCCCTCTATAACAGGAGCTTCATTATATTTGAAAGCACGCTGTAGGACCCACACCATTCATCCTTTAGACAAAGTACTTCAAGTGGCTAGCGTTGACAGAACCAGCACCGGTCAACTCACTAACAATGTCAGTGATACCAGCCTTAGCCTCAGCAGCGTCACCAGCAAGCTTGCCAGCAAGAGTAGACAACTGAGTGTCGTCCAACTTCTCAACCAACAATTCAAGATCAGCGTCAATGTCAGCAGCCTTGGCCTCCTCACCGAAGTAAGCCTTGTCCTTACCAGCAGATCTGACAGCTCTCTTGTTCTTCTTCTTGGCAGCCTTAGCAGCCTCCTTAGCCTTCTTGGAGTTAGCCTTCAAAGCAGCAGCCTCCTCGTCAGCCTTCTTCTTAGCAGCCTCTTCTTCAGCCTTCTTCTTAGCGGCTTCCTCAGCAGCCTGTCTAGAACCAGCATCCTTCTCCCACTTCTTTCTCTCCTTCTCCTTCTTAGCCTCTTCCTTGAACAACTTGATTCTTGGGTCCTCAGACTGGGCACGCTGGACGAAGTCGATGATTCTCTTGTTGTCCTCCTGCTTCAACTTCTTTCTGTTGGAGATGTTCTTACGCTCGATGTAACGCTTGTGGTCTCTGTTGGCAGTGTCATCTGGAACATCCTCGTCCTTAAACTCGAAGGTCTTCCAGGAGTCGAATGAGCCCCAGAACTTGTAGAAAGCATCAACCTCTTCCTTGGTAGAGTCGATGGATCCCAAAAGTGGAACTGGCTGCTTCTTGGAGAAGTGAGCCTCGGACTCGAAAACTGGGCCCCAAGCCTCGAAGAAGTCGTACTTGGTCTTTGGAGCTGGAGGAGCAACCACAGCAGCGTCATCGACGGAATCATACTGCAATCTCTTGTTGGAGTCCAACATCACCTCGAAAGCCTTCTGGATAATCTTGAAGAAACCATCCTGGTCCAAGCCGCCAGAAGCAGACTTCTTGTCTGGGTGATGCTTCAAGACCTGCTTTCTGTGGGCTCTTCTGATCTGGTCCTCGTTGGCCTTGTATCTCAAATGAGAGATACCCAAAACAGCATACAAGTCAGCGGTCTTCCACTCTCTTGGGTCGTGGGCCAACAACTCAGCGGACTGTTCCTCGTCACCCAAGTCATCGTCAGCGTTCTCTTCGATCTGCTTGACGTTCTTCTCAGCCTCCAACTTCTCGTACTCCGACCAAGTGTGGCCTCTCAAGGTACGGGTAGCATGGGCCAAGAAGTATCTTCCGACTGGCTCGATTGGACGACGAGTTGGGGCGGTGAAAGGCTTGACGGACTCAAAAGCAGGAGTCTTAGGGCCCTGAAGGGCTGGCAAAACAATGGTCATAATTGGTGTTTGTTAGGATAACTGTGGTTCTGAGATGAAGCTGGAAAATTTCTACTGAAGAGCGTAGTGTGGTTTGGGTGTGTGCAGGAAATTTGGACAGACGGGATGGATCAGGCTGATACGTTGAAGTATGGAACAGAGATTGGGGAAATTCTTAAAAAGCGTAAGAGTTATTGTGGTTAGAGGAATTTTGGGACATTTTCCAAGTTTTATTTCCGTGGACTTGTAGTTTGGTCAATGGAGGAGTTGGGAACCAGGTATGGGTTTCGCAGCCATCCAGTAGCAGATTGAGTGTTCCCTAACAGTTGAGGCAAAATTAATCGTGAAAGCTACATGAGATTGAGGAGGTAGAACTTAATGTGTATTTATTCTATCAATAAGAGGAGGAAGGCTTAAGTCCAGATCACTGCCCTTCAAGCGGGCGATTATGCTTTTTGGGTTTCAATTGTAGGTCTGGAAGCTAGACTATAGGCAAGAAAGCCAGAAGTCAAGTTGCCTTAGGAAACATTGACCCTCTTGGACTTGCAGACGGAGTGAGTTTGATCCCCTTTCGTAATTCATTCCCTCGTTCCCCCATCTTATTCCTTGATTGCAGCCATATCGAGAACTTCAACAGAACCTTCACCCTTCTTTATAACAGCACCTTCGCCTTGAAGTAAATCAACGATTGTCTTATAATTAGAAGGATCAATAATGGCGACCACCTCGAACAACTTCTCGCCAGCTTTTTCGTCCTCTACTGTGTCTAGCAAAGGCTTGAAATGCTCATCGTAAGCTTCTTGTACACGAGCAAGAAGCGTAATTTTCACCTTCATCTGTGCTCTGGCAATTGGCATAAGCTGCTCAGAAATCAAAAGCTTAATAGCTTCTAGCGCCTGGGTCTTAGCAGGCTTATTAGGATTCAAGTGAAACTTAAGCTGGTTAAGAGCTTTCTGGATCATGCTGGGAGGATACCTCTTTTTGGATCTTGGGTTGATGCATTTAGTAGAGATCAAGTTCAAGAACTCATTCTGTTTCTGTTGCAAGTTAGCGCTTCTCTCCTTCTCGTTCAACTGAATCTCTCCCTTATCCAAGATCTCAAGAATGATTTCATCGTGATTGGTCGAGCCAAATGCATTTAGCAAATCTTCATTGTTGGCAACTTGGCCCTTGGAGACATTCATAAACACTTGAGGAATCTGAAGCACCTCATCTAGGTCTTTCTCAACTCTCAGCCTCCAATCCTGGACTTTGTTCTGGTAGCATGCAATTTCAAATCTTTTCTTGCCTTTCCTCATTCGGACAAGCGACACATTGGTAAGCTTAATCTGATTGGACGGTTGGTTTATAACAGCCATGATGGAGTAGGTAGTAGTATTAGTGATGATAAGCGATGCTTCATAGTTAAGCGCGCAACTAAGAGGTGCTACTAGGAAGAATAGCGCCACCAAGAAATTAAGAAAAGTGTACTTTCTACATGAAGGAATTTTGGAAGTCAATTTGTTTGAAAGGTAAAGAGGCCTCTCTTTAGGCTTATTGGTATATGGCAGTTTTTATGGTATTTGGCCAATGTGGCTTGGGTAGTGATGGCTGCAAATGAACTTTGCTACTTCTACACTTCCATCTGGAAAAGCAAATTTATTGAACTTTATTTGTGGTCAGTGCCTCAATCACTTAAGCACAACCTTGTAAGTGGCAATCTCGAAACCTCTCAAGGAGATGTCCACAGAGTTGTCCTGCAACTCGAGCTCCTTTTCAACTTCCTCCAAGGCGTTGGTCCTGTAGACCTTGTCCACAGACAAACCAAACTCAAGCTTACCTTGAGACAGGCCACCCAACGACTCGTAGACACGCAAGATAATAGACTGCTGGCCCTTGTTCTGCTTAGGAATGTTCTCAGCAGTGCTGATATCCTCGTCATCTTCAGCTCTCTTGACGTTGGACAAGACCAAGGAAGGATCACCATTCAAAGTGAATGCCTTGGAGAACAATTCAATCTCTTCAGGGTCACCGTGGGTGTACAAAAGCTTGTAGTTGAAGTTCTGAGCCAACTTGACAACATCAGTGCCCAAGTAACCCTTGTGAGGATACAAGGCGTAAGAGAAGTCGTGTGTGCCCATGTCAGCCTTGTCATCTGGAGCCTTAGCAGAACGAAGGAGCGACAATCTCAACAAGTTACCGTGAATGGCAGCACCATACTTGGAATCGTTGAAGATCGAAACACCGTAGTTGTGCTCAGACAAGTCCATAAACTTGTGGTGGCACACCTCGAACTTGGCAGCGTCCCAAGTGGTGTTGTAGTGAGTTGGTCTTTGGGTAATACCGAACTGAGTCTCGTACAGAGCATGTTGGGCAGTCTGCAAAGTAGTTGGGAATTGCACCTTCAAGAACTTGTTAGACTCGTGCCACTCAACGTGAGAAGTGAACTTAAGGTAGTTGTTCTGCGAGATATCCTTGTTGTCAGTGATACCCAGGAGAGAGATGGTAGTCTCAATGTAAGACTCAGACGAAATCTTGTGCTTGACAACCAACTTGGACTCCAATGGGTGGCTGGAAGAAGAGACAACCTCACCGTTATCGATGAACTTGAACTTGTTAAGAGAATAGACCTCAGTATCCCAAGCAGGGAAGTTCAATGGCTCATCGTCAAAGAGAACCAACTGGTTACCGAAACCAGAAGAAGCCTTAGTCTTGGCGGTATCAATGATCTCACGTCCACTAGTCAAGTCCTTGACGGAGGTGATAGTACCATTAGGAGTAATCTTAGCCTCAAGCAATTTGTTACTCAACACAAAGTGGTCCTTCACCTTCTCGATAGAAGAAGGATACTTGAGATCACTTTCACGAATGAAGGTGTTATCAATAGTGCTGAGACCAAGCACAGTGGAGCTACCGTTCTTGCAACGAACGACATCAACAGCAAGGCTGGAAATCTCCTCGTTAGGGATCTCAACCAATTCAATTCTGTGCCATGGCAAAGTGTTGATGGCGACCACCTTTTCGGCATTCTCATGACCAGCATGCTGCAAAGCCTTCTTAAGCAAGTTGTCCAACTCCTTCAAACGCTTCTTGAGCATGGGCTTGACTTCTTCGTAGTAAACCATTCCAATACACGAACCTGGAATGACATCGTGGAATTGGGTCAAGGCAACATCTTCCCAGATTTCCTGAAGCTCCTTAGCTGGGTATTTGTAATCCTTAGTGCTGACAGATAAGTACGAAGCAAGATATTCCAAATCGTGGAGCTTAATTTCAGCATGTCTGACCCACTTCTTGATGTCAGCTTGGGTGGTGTAAGTACCTCTGTGGAACTCCAAGTAAAGCTCACCAGCCCAAGTTGGAAGGGTTCTTCCCTCGTCAGATTTCTTCAAGACGTCATCGTAGAAATCCTCAACAGTGTTACCAAGCTGGACGGAAGGAATGGCAGCGGTCGTGTTGGAGACACCTCTGCATCTTCTCAACTTCTCCAACATTTCTTCGGTTGGACCTCCACCACCGTCACCGAAGCCGTAAAGCAAAAGACCAGTTGGCACGTCTCTCAAGTTGTGGTGCTGGGTCTGCGATCTAACAACATCACCAAAGTGAGCGGCAGCGGTATAAGTGTTGGCTGGAGGCATGTGGACGAGAATCTGAGAACCATCAATAGCCTTCCAGTTGAAGGTGGACAATGGGAACTGGTTGATATTGTTCCAAGAAAGCTTCTGGGTCAAGAACTTCTCAATTCCAACAATCTGACAGATCTGAGGAATCTGGGAGGAGTAACCAAAAGTGTCTGGCAACCAGAAGACCTCTGACTTCTCGCCAAATTCTTCGAGCATAGCTCTCTGACCCAACAAGAATTGTCTAATCAAAGACTCACCACTGGGCAAGTTGGTATCGTTCTCGACCCAAGTACCACCAATTGGCAAGAACTGCTTTTTGGCAAACTTGTCCTTGATCTTCTTCAAAATCTCTGGATGGTCTTGCTTCAACCACTTGAACTGCTGCATTTGGGAAGCAACGAAAACGTACTCTGGGTACTCATCGGCGATCTTCAATTGAGTAGTCCAAGAACGAACGATCTTTCTTCTGGTTTCAGCAAATGGCCACAACCAAGCAGTGTCAATGTGACAGTTACCCACGCCAAACACGTCAATTTTCTTCAATGGGTTCTTCTTGAAGACAGAATGAGAGTCAATGTCAGAGCCCAAGAACTCAGCTGCAAGCTCTCTGCACTTCAAAATAGAGTCCCTGTTGTCTGGGTCAAAGGTGTCCATAATGTTGTTGGCAATCAGAGCAGCCTGGTACTTATCTCTTCCGCTAGGCAATTCTCTAGCAGCATCGCCCAAGATCCAGAAATCCCAGTACAACTTACGAGCATTCAAGTCTGGCCAAACCAAATCACAGTTTTTCAAAGTGTAGTACACGTTTGGATCAGGATGTCCCTGGTCACCAGTACCGAACATACCGTTACAGGCCATTTCTAAGTAGAAAACCTGCTTGCCAGACTTCTTATACTGCTTAGGAAGCTTAAAGAGGGTTCTGTCACCACCAGTGAAGGCCTGCAATGGGGTACCTTTCTTGTCATAGATAAGACCTTCATTGCCAGAATCCCAGTGGAAGTCAATTTCCTCCACATCCTTGTTCTTAAGCCAATGGTCAGGAATCTCCCACTCGATCTTGAACCAGAAGGTTCTCCAAGAAGGACCAAAGGAGTCACCCTTTTTGGCATCCTCCCACTCAACCTTATCGAAATTGATATCACGGAAAAGCGGTCTTTCAGTATTGCCAGGTCCACTATCGCCAGGAGTTCTCCAGACCTTCAAAGAGATAGCCTCGCTGTTGGAGTCCACTCTCTCGTGGTCATAGAACTTGGGTAAGTTAAGGTGCGGATACTGGCCGCCCTGGTCAGTGAATTGCCTTAACCTGCTCTCATAAAGATGGTCAATTGGCTTGAGCGTAGGCTGGTGGTTGTACCGGTCGTAGCCCATATTGATGAAAAAAGCAGTAAGGTTAAGGAAACGTTTCTGGGGTAACCCTGGCTATTTATATGGGGTATCCGAAAACGGCGCGGGCCGAGCCCGAGGGGCCAGGAGGGTTGCTTAGGATAAGCGCCTAGCCTGGGGCGAGTTTTGGATAAAAAGAAGGTCTGGGAGAGGAATTGGCCTGGTGCAGAGGTTTAGAAGATTCTACAGTGTCTGATTAAAATGGGTTTAATTCTCCCTTTAAAAAGGTGTCCTTTTTGCTACTTTGGTGGCCCTGAGGCAGGTGATTGGGTTCCCCAGGAAGCGCCTCCAGGAGGTCCCACGAGTCATTTCGCACTGCCTCCAAGAAAAGCGAAATTGGCCCCCAAAGGGGATGAATGAGGCAGAGGGACGTCGAAAAGGTTGATTTTTTACAATTGAGAGACGAATTGGTTTCTAAAGAGGTTGAAGATTTCGTTGGAAGTGGTTTTGGCGCTTTTGATTGGTTGGTTCTGGAAAAGGAGGGGATGCCTGGTGCCTGTCTGAGGCTTCAGGGTGAACGAGTGCAGCACAGGAAATCTGGGGTCGCAAAACTGAGGCTGGCTCTGGGAAGAGGGCATTAAAGGACGAAGAAACAACGGAATTTCAATGGAATTCGGATGCCTAGAAGATGTAATAAGATTGAGAATTTCTGATAATACAAATTTGAGTTCTTTCTTTGTTCTGGCATCGTTGAATCTGGAGGGTTATAGGTTTGTGTAATGGCTGGTTCCAGTTTCGGTTGCAGCCATTTCGCAGTGGGGGGACGAGAATCCGGTGAAATGATGAAAATATCTCCAGAAATGAGTGACCCCCAGTTACGGTTTGGAGGTTTTCAGGAGTATAGCTTTTATTTACTTTAGTTTGCCTTTCGGGATTAGTTTTGCTTTGGATTAGTAGGAATTGTGTGGAACGCTGAAATACACTTCCATCTGATAAGCGTTCCTGGAACCTCATACGTCATGGGGACATTGTTACCCATGCGAGGATGTTTCTACGACAATTGAATCTGCTCTCTGTTTAGATAAAGGGTAAACCAGCTGCTACTTGTTCCCTGTCTTGCTAGCCTGTTTAGACCGTATTTGGCTGCAAAATGGTGGTTCCTGAACCCGCTGGGGCCATTATGCATCCACGCCTTCTAGAAGCTTTCCCTCTACAAGCCACATCTTTCCTTTAATTCTCTACATTTCTATCTTCTTCAAACCTCCCTGAACTCACTTCACCCGGATTCAGGGATTGCTGTGTTGGCAGATGCAGATAGGGGTGCCTGGCGTGCCGATAAGCCCAAGACCGAGAAAAGGAACTGGCCAATGGGAGATACTGACACAGTTTGTGGGATTTAGTGTTTGAGGAATTGAGGTGAATTAGAGTGATTCTGTTTAAAAGGCTCGATCTTATTCCAGTTAAACAACCGTTTTCTAAGTTCCTTGAAGACTTCTACCTTGCCGTCTCGAGTGATCTGACTTCCTTTCAGGGTAACCGATCAAAGGAGTCACAAAGTTGCCATTTCTAGACGATAGGGTTTTGTGTTACATGTAACATGGACCGGTGTTAACACATGGCCCAACGGTTTTGGTTTCCTGCTTGACTCGGCTTAGAAGGGTCCGAGGACTTCTCAGGTTAACTGTGAATTTGACGAAGGAAAGTGGATTAGCGAAAGGAATACTTTGAAATTTGAAGTAAGGGCCACTTCGAGTAGCTCAATTGATTATCATCTGGTTCTACTGGTGCTCTGGAGACTTCGGCGTCAACTCAGCGCTCTCTGTGATTTTTTGGATCACCGCTTTCGTGCATCCCATTCCAGCACCAATTTACCACAGCTGAAGCAATCCCATCCAAATATATCCAAACCTCTAGAGCCCTCTTGCTTCTCTTAACTTACAACTTTTCTTCCCTTATCTATGGTGCGGCTCTTATCGTTGGCCTATCCGTGAGTGCGGCGCTATGATATGGATAAGGAGGAAGTAGTTTCATCCAAGGGAGTTCGAGTAAACCTGAGTCGTTTTAAGTTAAATTGTGATCAAGTCAAAACTTGTGTTTAAACTGCTGTACAATGAACGGTGTTTTTGAGGATTTTGCTCATGCAGCCATATGTAGTCGTCCTGTGCTGTTAGTGTAGAGAATCTGGAGCAGCATCATCAATATCGGTGAAAAAGAGAAGATAAGAGATTCCAAAGGCATTGCTTGTTCTCTTCAAGACGAAGAGCTAAGGGAGTAGATTATACTGCTTCAAATAGTATACTTACTTTTGGGGTGGCTCACACACATCTCTCTCTCGAGTAGTCGAAAGCATCACATCAACATTTACCAACCCTGGCCTGGTAGAGGTAGCATATTGTTCGTTGGAACTAATTTAGGTACTTGTTTTCCCATACCCTCCCAAAACCTCTCTTTTGTAGTTGAATTGCTATAAATCAGAAAGGTGAGCTGTGGCCCCTTACATGCAACTAGCACGGCCAGTATTCCACCATACTACCTATCCATTTTTGAATAGAAAACATCAATATTCGATTATCTAGGACCCATTTTTTCCCCTGCCTCATCTATTCAAGTAAGGCTCAATCACTCCCCAGATACCACCCTTGCCGAGCCTCGGTCAATGGCCAAAACAGCATTCCATGATCCAGCCACAGTTACCATCCAAACCCACTCAATTGATAAATAAACGTGCTCAAGTTTGTCCTATCCCCCTATGAAACCCTCCATCATCGCTCAATTGAAGTTTGAGGCGCAATTGAGAGGACCCCCTTTCGGTCCCCTATCTTGGCTATTGTCGCCACCCATCCTTATCAGCCCAACAGATAAGCCTACAATCCAATTGGCCTCGATTGAGTAGTCCATCAAGCTCAGAGGCCTCAAAATCAATCAACTCCTCCTTTCCTACCGCTTCTAAAGTCTTATAGATGTATTCGTACGTACGCTCGTAAAGTGCCATAGTCGAGCCATATCAGCAACCAGTGCTCTAAAGCCGGGACCTTCATTTGTTGTCCTGGATTCTAACCTCCTGGTCCTCCTCGACGTTGACCACACCCTCGTGGCCCTTCAAGGAGTCAATCTCCACAGGAGGCAACCTCGCGACGAAACCCTTGATCAAGGAGAAGTCGTCAAGGACCTTACCTCCAAAAGAGGCAACCTGACTCTTGACCTTGTTGACGATGTCGTCAGAGGAGTCTTCTTTCAATGTGACAATGTAGTTCTTAGTACCTTCAACCATGTTAGTTCCAGGAAAAGTAGTAGTAGTAGTTGGGCTGGAGTTTTTATAGGACTGAGGCTTCACGAAGTACTTGCTGCGCGGCGCCGCAACAGGCCAATTGCTGTAATCGCCACCAGGCTTCAATTTGCCACCAGGGGAGAATCTGGGCTTACAGAGGTTTCGAATGGATATAAGGAAGGCCCTTTTGGCGCCAGTTTTCATTCTCTAGTTGTTTTTCCTTGGAATAGCACGAATTGTAGTGATCTGTTTGGCTTTCTGGGGCACACTGATTCCGCGCCTACTAATGTCTAATGTCAGGTGCGAACTCCACAACCACAGTAACTGGCGCTTTTCAAGATATGGGACTTTTTGAAGCGGTCAATACGTTTTTCGGTAAAGTTCGTCGAGTGGGATTTTATTTGTATGTGGGACTTGTCGTGGGCTCGCTTGGATGGACGTTTTGGGAAATGAGCCGGTTGAACAGGCAGCTCGAGAGGAAGAGGGAGAGAGACGCTGAAAGAGAGAAGGACCAGAACGAGCCGGAAAGGAAACGCTCGCATCATTGAGAGGCAGAGGGACGTTTGTTGTTTTGGGGTTCGCTGTGGTGTGATCTGGTGCCATGGTGCTTCATATGGTGCTTCTACAGACGAAGTGGTAGGCGTGTCTATGGGAGTCCTTCAGCTGGAGAGAAAAAGAGAGTGCTGTTTATCAGATACATGATTCCAATGGGGTGGCTCCAACAGGCTTCTGTGGGTTTTGTTGAATAAGAGCTTGGGAGAATGCTCTTCATGAAGGCATTGGGCATGATGCCGAGACAGAGTACAGATAGACATATACTGGCTCTGGAAGCACGAAAATGATGCAAGACAGTATTTTACGGCCCGTTATATTACGGTATTGTTATTACCAAGCAGAAACCAAAGCTGGCCTCGAACATACCGAGCATTCGAGCAGATCAACCCTTAGCAAGACTGATCTACAAATACGGAACAATTCCAACAATCAAAATAATAGACATTTTAAAACCCGGTGTTCAGCAAATCAGGACCAGCTTTAGTGATGCCAGAACCATTTTTGACCATGACAAGACGATTTGAGCCACATTCAGTAATAGAAGCTCTGGCTCTTATCACACAATATTCGTTTAAGAAAACCGATTGCAGCCTACCCAATCAAAAGGATTAAATTGATGTTATCTCATAACAGAGATAAAATTCCACTAATCATAAACAATTGCAACGAATTCGTAGATCGATATGTCCCTTCGCAGCCACAGTGTGGATGTCCTTTAACAGCTACACATTCAACATTACAACCGTAGTAAGACATCAAAAAAGACAACAAATGTAAACCACCAGCCCTTTTAACTAACTACAATAATTATGTGGTACTCAATTATCCTGTAGCCCATGTGTTTCTTCATTTCCAGCCAAATACGTCCACCACTGGAAGCCAAACAGCCACACTACAAGTCGAGCTCTTACCCAATTCCAATTAAAAATCCAACCAACTCCTTCTTAGTAAACATACTCCTCTCGTCCCTGGCTACCAAACCCACGCCCAGCCAATCAGGCTAATTACCTTGCCCAGTTCGCAAGGTCCATTTTTGTACGACTCTTCCACTCCAACCTCCCCACCCTTAAACGGCCTCCTTAAACCTCCATAATAAACCCTAAGCCCCCAACCCCCATTTTTCCTCTCTCCTTCAGCCCATTGGTTCCTTCCCAGCATCTCTACACCGTCCTACCCACCCATAACCAGCGTGGTGCTTTTCCTCTTCCACATATATACCCTGGTGCGCATCCGGCAATATAAGCACCCAGGTTTTTCGACATGTTGCTTCCACCTACCACACTTTTTTCATGTTCGCCCTCTTGATAGCGACCGGTTTTTTTGTATGGAGAGCAGGGGTGGCAGCTAAAGAGCGTTTTTGTGGAAATCACGATAATGAAGTTCGTCAGTCGTCCAGAACTGACAGAGGGCCGTTTAGAGACAGACCTAGTCCTAGCAGTGCTGGCGTCGTGAAGAAGAGAAAGAGCTTGGATAGCGAGACTACGTTGACTCCAGAGACCAGATTAGCTGCTTAGGCCGCTTTGAAGGTCGAGGTTTCCGAGGTTTTCGAGGTTTTCGAAGAAAACCGAGAAGATCAATTCCCAGGCTGTCCATGCTGTCCATAAAAGGACTAGAAGTGGACTCTACTTCAAATTAAGAACCTTTTTAGGACTTCAGCTAGACGCAACTTTCCGGATTCCACCGTTTGACATCTTAGTTGATCGTTAACGGTGCTGGCGATGAGATGATCTGCTGTGATTGCTAAGCCAGTGGTACTGGAAAATTCGGAAAAAAAAAAAGATAGAAAACGATAGAAAGATAGAGAAAGAAAAGACGACCTAGGGTTACACTTTGCCTTGGTATTCTAAGCACCCTTACCGTCTGACGGTGCCAGATCAAAAGCCCACTGAATCAGCCATGACCTGCCCTGGCTGCGAATTGCTCCTGCCACTCCTGGCCTCCAGAAGGCTGCGAATCAGCCAATCAGAGTTACCACTGTCGCCAACGAAAACCCCCAAAACCTGAATTTCCCATTACCTCCCTTGGCCTCCCCATCACCTCCCCGTGTCTCGGTGCCTGGCTAACTTTAGACTTGCGCACAACTGAACATTGTTCATACGCTTTCTGAGTATTGTCATTGACTCCACTTTCGCAGCCAGCAAGCATCCACTTAGCCAGAAGAGGTGACGAATGGACCAATCAGACTGGGGAATCCCAAACCAGAGTGCCCGGAAAGAAAGATAATTCCCCGTTCCAGCATCCATTGCATTCCAAAATCCCAATTTATCCATCCACAACGCCAAATCCATCCTTCCGTTAGTCTTCCTCGGTGGCCTCCCTACCACTTTTCGTGCACATTTCAAGCCATTTCAGGCCAAAAGCACAGTCTCCACTGTACATTCGCTTTGTCACTGCGGAAGTTCTCGCCCAGAAATGCCGTGGCATGGGTGCGAAAAGGCTCCAGAGGCCGGTGAAAGCGACGAAGAAACCAGCCAAAACTGTCCAAAAGAGATGGTATCAAAGGCTTTCTCGTTTTTATGGCCTCCTTGAATTGCCATAGCGAAATCCCGGTCGTTTTCCGTTCTTTCCATCTCCAGAGCTCGGGTCCCACTTGCTCCGGTCACCAGCTTACATGCAATTCGACTGCACGGAAACGGGCCCGGCACACCCCTGGGCCACCCCAGCATCCATAAATTCTGCCTTGCCCCTGTCCTTTTTTCTATCTACATCTACATATTCACAGATAATGGTTAAAGCAGGTATGTTTTTTGGTTTTTTTGCAGCCAATTGACCCATGGAAGTTCGTTAGCGGTTTGATGCTGGGCTTTGCAGTAATTTGCTCATGGTCTGCTCACTTTGAGCATTTATTTCGACGAATCCATCTGCCCCGAGCAAATATCAAATCGGCTTATTGTGAAGCGTTGCGATAAGAATTGAGGTCAATTGGACAGGAATGGTGGACATGAATGGTGAGTAACTAACATCCAGTTGCTGTCGTCAGAGGAGACTCTAAGGTTTGCGGAGTTGTTAACTTCGAACAGGAAAAGGAATCCGACCCTACCACTATCTCTTGGGAGATTTCTGGTAACGATCCAAATGCCTTGAGAGGTATGCACGTTCACCAGTTTGGTGACAACACCAACGGTTGTACCTCTGCTGGTCCTCACTTCAACCCATTTGGCAAGACCCACGGTGCTCCAGAGGACGACACCAGACACGTTGGTGACTTGGGTAACATCACCACCGATGCCTCTGGTGTTGCCAAAGGCACCAAGAAGGACCTTTTGGTCAAGTTGCTTGGCCCCAACACTGTGATTGGCAGATCCATCGTTGTGCACAGCGGCACTGACGACTTGGGTAAGGGCGGTAACGAGGAGTCCTTGAAGACCGGTAACGCCGGCACCAGACCAGCTTGCGGTGTCATTGGTTTCACCAACTAAGAGTGATGATCCGCTTAGGTCAGTTTATGCTAGTGAATGAACATGCTATCAATTAACTCTAAATATCAACTCTATTCTCTAAATACTGGTTACTTTGGAAGGTACCACACGTCCTTTGGACAATGGGTCTCTCCAAGCGAGTCAATTGGCTTGTACTCTCCATCAAGAACATTACCTTTAACATGGTAGTAGTACCAGATCTCAGAGAGATTGCCGTCTCTGCAGCCGACATAGACCTTGCTTCCAGAATGGCCATGGGCCAAGGCGGCTTCAATGTCCTTCAAAGCGTATGGCTTGTCAGCAGAAGGAGTGATTCCAGCGTTTTCGAGGAAGAGATACGTTGGTAAAGTCTCCCAGACCTCAACGGTCTTTTGGAAATACGCAATGGCATTTTCGTGCTTTTTGTAGTCACCGCTGAAGCATTCAGGACGAAGAGTATTAAAACAAGTACCGTGTTTGTTGTACTCGTGCTCCCAAAGTGTTTCAGATCCACCGTTCTTGACATTGGAATCGTCAGTGTTGACCCAGTACTTCGACATGACATCATATAAGTCCTTGCGACCAAAATCATTGACAATGATATCTTCCAAACTGTCTGAGTCAGCAAATTCGAGCTCTGGACGACAGTATTGGTTGTAAGAACCGTCACATAGATCGTCCCAAAGACCGTGAATAGTAAAGACGTTGGCTGCTTCACTTCTTTTATTGTTCCTGGCATCCTTGTTGTAGTCCCAGAACTGTGTTTGCATGATAACACCAAAATTCTCGTAACAGCATGATTCTTGTGAAACGTTTCCTGGAGCAGTACAAGAAAAATATTCGCTTTCGTCAACGCCAGAGCACGAGTTTATCCGGTAATCTTCATGGCTGATACCAGAAAGAAGCATTGGCTTGCAGAGACAGCTGGAAGGAGCTGCAAGGGCAAAGTTAGCGAGCGACAAAAGAACAGCAAATCCAAGCATTAGAAAATTTGGTGATCAATTAAAACATCCCATCCAGATCGTCCCCTTATATAGTGCTTTGCAATGGGTGCAAATTAAAGCAGGTTGGCATATACGCACGCACGTGTACGTCAACAGAGCCGATGGATAAAGCATAAGCACGTGGAGATAACGTGTTTGTGGTATTTTGGATCTTTTAACCAATCGGCAGTTACTTGTTTGGGCCGGATGCTATTGTTTGGGTTGGGTTCGGGTCCAATGGGTGGTTTCGAGCATCCAGGCTTAGACGAGCCGTATAGTGGCCTGGCAGCCCACGGCTCAATGAAAGTGGTGCTTAGCAGTTAAGCTAATATAGTGGCCATGGCTTAGCACAAGTGGATGAGATGGCTTAATTTGAGGGGCACATGTGTCTTAAAGCAGGATCCTGACGTGCCCTGAGATTATGTTTCAACCAATGGCTGCAAATGTCTTGGCAGCAGTGAGCCCAAGGGGCCATAGGAAGTCAGGAGGCACTATTAATGACAATACCTTGAAGCTCTGCCAGTTCCAGGAGTTCATATTCCTAGTAGACTTGTAGTTCCCGGTTGACTGGCAATGCCTGTTCTTGATAACAGCAACGACATCCCTCTAGCTGTCCCTTTTGGCCATTCTAACAGTACCGTTGCATAGCTTCTTGGTTCCTTCCCAGACTGCAATTTCGTACTTCTTATTCTGTGGTTCAATCGTAAGCTGAAGGTCCCTATCAACATAGCATGGCTCACTCATACGATATGCAAACAGTTCAACTGCTGTGTCTGGATACTGCAGCGCAAAGGAGTGTAACATGATGTTCACAAGCATTGGGCCCAGAACAACAACATCTTCAAGACCCTCTGAGAGACAGTATGTGCGGTCGTAATGGATCTTATGGATGTTATACGAAAGAGCACTGAACCGTGAAACCTGAGAAGTCGAGACCAGGAACTGAATCGTGGAGGCAGTATTAGACGTTTCAGGTTGTATACTATTCAGGTTTTTGGCCAGGCTCTCTGGCGAGGTCTCATTAGTTTCCAGTCCATCTTGGGTCAACAGAGGGTCTGGTTTCCCATTGACAGCTCCTTCACCGCCGTCTTTCCTCCACTTATAAACCAACGACCTCAATTCATCCGTAACAACGTCTCCCACCGTCTCTTTCGTATCCACCACCGTACCTCCTCGAAGAACCTCTGTAAACTCCAACCTTCTCGTCTCTCTCAGTATACTCACAAACACCGAGGCACCAACGCGTCTGACCAGCAGAACTCTTTCAGTACACCTTATACTCTCCCCAACACGTGGAATGTCTCGAAATTTCAAGCTTCCAGAAACCCACATTCTTCGATCAAAGAGCTGTTTTCCATCTTCCTGAGGTGCCTGGTAGTTATCGTACCCGTCCGAGCCCAAAGATGCATTTGTTTGATTGTTGAACAAGAGACTCGTTCCATATAGAGTCCACGACTTTGAAGGGACAATCTCGTTGAGGATCACTCGAAGGTGTTTGAGTTGACCTAGCGAAATCGTATCGTCCCAAGTCCACCTAGCGTTTTTGATTAGCGACGTCCAGCGAGCCAATGGCATGGCAGATAAATGAGTGATGTCAGCTGGAAGTGCCTTGTTTTGATTGGATAGGATAGGATTTGTGGGTGTAGTGGGGAATTGGTTGGTCTTCTCTTGATGTATGGAGCGTTTAATGTGGAGCAGGAGGGTTGTATCGCGGAATGGGTGCAAATTTCCACCAAAGGAAGGGAAGCTCAAGGAAGGTCAGTCAAGGTAGAAGGAAGTTAAGGGTATTGGGTTGATTTCGCTTATTGAAGAAAGGTTTGTTTTATTTTTCAATTTTATTTATAACTTCTTTTCGTAGATTTGTTTAAGTGTTCTGGAGTTCACAATTGCTTAAGATTTGGCCTCAGTCGTAGCAAATAATGAAAAATCTATAAATAAAATTTGAAAAAGACCCTTTAAGGAATTTCAACGAAAAAACCTATTCCTCGACGAAGAAAGCCAACATGTTATTGCATTTCGACTGGAAAAAGACGGTTCCTTGGGTAAAGTATTTGCTGCCTTTCCATCGTCTATACTAGTTGCGAAAAAGCCCTACTAGTGAGAAAGAGGCACCGCCAAATACACATTCCACGAAGGAAACCACAAAAACAACCTTATTTATAAAATAAGTGTCTTACTAATAACTGGAAAACTTAGTTTAAATTTCTTTTTTCATCTTCCAATGCCTCTTTGTATGGACCTTCTGGATGCCCATACTATAAGGCCTTCGCAGCCAACCATCTCTTCATTTCCACCCAGAGCCCCTAATACATAAGCAACATTAAAAATACTATATTAAAGCCTCCTTAAATCCAAACAGCAAACAAAATACCCATTTATCTCTTTAGGGCACCCGAATCACTGGCCTTTCATCTCCCTCTGGATGCCTCCTCCATACAGTACATCGACATCAACCTCACTAAGGCTTCTTCCTACTCCAACTACTACCTCCACATCCATGGCTACCGTTTCAGGCGCCTGCGTCATCTCGAAGGTCTCTGGCCTTGTCCAGATCCGTGAAGATACTGCCCCTTCAAAACTCATGTGGAAGGCTATCGATCAGGATAAGTCTTTGGAGATTCCATTGAATGCCCTTTCGAAACTTCAGACTACGCCTGAATCGTCTCCCAAGATGATCTTGAAGCTCTTCTACTCGGAGCCTCCAAGTACTGATATTAAGGATATCAGACTTACGTTTAATAACCGTCAGACGATGACGTCTGTGAAGGATGCTCTTCAAACCATCATTGCTCGTCAGAAGACCATCATCAAAGATAGCCCTGCGCCTGCTGAGGGCAAAGAAACAGCAACAGCATCGCCTGCTCCGGGTGAAAAGGACGCCACGTCTACGCCTGAAGGCACACCGGCGCCAGGGAACCCATTGGACTTCTCCAGCCCCAAGTCTTTATCTGATGCTAGTCTTTTGAAGAACCATAAGCTCCAGCAGAAGCTTTTATTAGAGGATAAGAACTTGCGGAATGTGTTTACACAGTCGGTGATCAAGTTTAAGCTTTCGCCGATGATGTTCTGGTCCAGTAGAATCAGCCAGCTACGAACATGTGCGTTGCAGATTTCCCAGCATAGAGGTCCTTACAATGTGCTTTCCACGATCAAGCCAGTTGCCACGTCTGATAACCAGGTGAATGTTAATGTCACGCGTGTGACCATTAACGAGATTTTTGACACTTATCCCATCATCAAGCGGGCTTTTGATGAGTTGGTGCCTTCCAAGCTTAACGAGGGTGAGTTCTGGTCTCGTTTTTTTAACTCGAAGCTTTTTAGACGTCTTCGAGGCGATAGAGTGAACACTCAGAATACCAGAGGCGATGTGGTTATCGATAAGTACCTTTACGACGATGGGGAGACTCCTGAAGAACCAGCTAAGAAGCAAAAGACTGATAAAATCAACACCAAGGAGAACTTCCAAGTGAACAAGTTCCTTGATCTTTTTGGAAACGAAGAGGATAATCCACAGAAGTTGGGTCTTCTGCCTGATTTCACGATGAAGTTCTCGGACGAAGGAGACGGCAACGAACCAGGAATCTCAGTGCAAAAGTCGAAGAGAGAAAACGAAATGGTCATTTTGATGAAGAACATGAATAAGCTTTCTAGCAAGATGGTTGAGATGAATTCGCTGAAGGCCAAGGCTACCGAGGATGCTGACACAGAAGTAAAGGAGCACGAACAAGAGCTCGACTTGAATGATTTGAACGAATCCGAAGATGTCCAATTTATTCAGCTTCATATTGACACAGATAAAGCACGCGGAGTCCAAAATCAGAGAGAGGCGACACCCGAGGAAGAGAAAGTTGAGAGTGCCGAGCTAGGCCTGTTCTTGACCACCAACATCTTCACCACATCTGCATCAGGCAACGATTTAAGTGAAACGTACAAAACCAAAACCAACGACATTGCAAAAGCTGCTACTGATATCACTGCACTTGTCAAGTACAACTTCCGTTCATTTAAATCTCTTCACAACCTCAAGGACGCCACAATGCCGCTTGGAGAAAAGCTTCTTCCTGAAGACGTCGTTCTGGAGCTCCTCACATACAACGTTACGATTGTGGAGTTCTTGCTGCATTTCTGGAACCTCTTCCTCAACACAGGAAACCCCAGTCAGCTCAAAAAGCTTTTTACGAACTTGCGAAGCTGCCAAAGCGCCCTTGACGCTCTTGAGCTGAAGATTTCAGGCATCATCAAAGAAAACGCCCATGTCAAAGACAACGAGAAGCTCCAGCTGAAGTTGTTGAAAGACCTAGAGAACTGTGTACTGCCACTCAAGAACAGTCTCCAGAAAGCGTGCACCGACTACATTGCAGCCGTGAAAGCGTCTCAAAAAGAAGCATCTACCGAAAGCGAAACCCCCAACGAAAACGGAAAACGTCCTTTGGAGACATAAACCTTGCTATTTTTGATCCCTCCAGGTAATCTCCCTTCTCGTCCTTAACTAGTATGGCTGCGAAAAGCCAGTACACAGTATTTTTGGTGATGCGAAGGGCATCGCGAAAGATTCAGAAAGCCAACTACCCAAGGGAAACAGCATGAGTTCACAGGAAACCACAGCGGAAACGTTGAAAAAAATCAAGAATAAGCATCGCAGGCAGAAGGTGTTTGCAGCGATCCAGCATGAGCGTGCTAAGGAGAGACACAAGGCACGTGCGTCCAGAGCCAAGGAGGAAAGAGAGAACCCTCAGTTAAAGGAGGAGAGATTGGCAGCTAATGTGCCTGAGACGATCGAGTCGAAGCGTGTGTACGACGAGACGATCTCGGCTGAGGTGGAGGGAGAAGATGAGTTCACGGAGCTCTTCAACAGAACACAGAAAGACCCTAAGGTGTTGATCACCACCAACGTCAACGCCAGAAAGGCAGCATACGAGTTTGCGGATATCATGATGGATTTCATTCCCAACGCTACTTTCGTCAAGAGAAAGAGAGAGTACCTGATGAAGGAAATGTCCCAGTTTTGCATCAACAGAGAGTACACTGATCTTATTGTGATCAATGAGGATAAGAAGAAGGTGAACGGTCTTACGTTTATCCATCTACCTGAAGGCCCCACCTTCTACTTCTCTGTTTCGTCTATGGTCGAGTCCAAGGGCATCAGAGGCCATGGAAGAGCCACCACGCATATCCCAGAGCTCATTTTGAACAACTTCAACACCCGTTTGGGTAAAACCGTGGGCCGTCTTTTCCAGGCGATTTTCCCCAAGCAGCCGGAAATCCAGGGCAGACAGGTCATCACGTTGCATAACCAGAGAGACTACATTTTCTTCAGAAGACACCGTTACTTGTTTAAAGAGAACGAGCGTGTGGGTCTCCAAGAGCTAGGCCCTCAGTTCACCTTGAAGCTCAGGCGGTTGCAAAAGGGCATCAAGGACGAGATCGAGTGGGAGCACAAACCAGACATGGAGAAGGACAAGAGAAAGTTCTACCTTTAGACCACGTTTTCTCCACTCCTATTCTACTTGCCTTGCCTTGCTGATTCTCCACTGGGTCAGCAAGTTGCCATTGCCATTTTTCAGAAAAAAAAAGGAAATCTTCTCGAAAGGCGACACCTAACCGCCCCAGCCATTGTTCTTCTTTCTACACGACAAGGGGCTGCGGCGAGGCTTGTAAAGTTGTTTTGTCAATGGTACCCACCCACTAAGGAAAGTCCTCCATTGAGCGGTATTTTTTTTTTTTTTTTTTTTTCGTTATTTTGTTGCACGGTTTTTTTGTTTGCCCAGGACACACCCGTGCCTCCCTCACCATCCCGCGAGGCGTGTAAGTGACCTTGAGGCACTTGATTAAAAAAGAAGCCCTATATAAGTAAAGGAAAGAAGCATAAAACATTGCACTTTGATCTGCTGGTCTTGTTAGAATAGCACGTATAGTCATTAAAAGACACGCCAATCGGAACGTCCCATTGTTCTTTTTTTCAGACCGTTTTCTCTACATTGGCAGCAATAGGTCTCTAAAAGACCCTCCCATCAGATAAGACACATCAGAAGCATCAGCAGTACCTGAAACTCCAAACAGATTCCCGGAAAAAGCGACCGAAATATCATGACGATGGACTCTTCTGGCGTCAAGCAGATTGTCCAGGCGTTGGAGGCGATCCACGAGCCTCGGTCAACGAATGCACAACGAAGAGAAGCCCAGGAGTTTTTAGAGGACATAAAACGCAACGACGAGGCGCCGTTTTGGGGGTTCCAGCTAGCATTGCCTGGCGAATGCGATAAGAATAGCATTGTACGCCATTTTGGGCTTCTGCTTCTTCAACATGTGGTGAGTAACAAGTTCCAGACGCTAGACAGAACCAAGGTGCTTACATTGAGGGAATGGATCGTCACGCTATGTAGCAAGACGACAGAGAATGATCCGCATTACTTGAAGGAGAAGGTGGCGTTTTTATGGGCTTCATTGGCCAAGCGTGTGTGGGGCAGCTGGCTCGTCAAGGGCGAAGACGTCAGCGAACGTCAAGGCTCGGGCTTTCTGAACGAGTATGAAGAGAAGAAGAAGACTGAAACACCGCTGGGGAGCCAAAGGCTGGCGTCAGAGCAAGATTTGGCTGACGGCTGGAGCTCAATGGATGCTGACTTGTGGGCCCTTTGGAACGAGAACCCACAGTGCAGAGAATTGTCTCTCGTTATCACCAGAACGTTATTCGAGGACATTTTCCTTCTAGACGATATTGTGGCCAGCAAGCGGTCTCCTATTTTGAACCAGCTCAGTGTTCTCATAGTGCATCCTTCTTCGGTTCTAGATCAGATGTACGAGCCAAACCCGAGAATATCGCCTTGCAAATACGTCAGCGAAGGTTGGTTCAGCCAATGGAGCAATTTCTTGCTCGAAGTCCTCTCCAACAACGATATCTCCTCCCATTCGGCCCAAGCATTTGTTCCTAAGATCCTCAGCACATTCAAAACATGTCTCCACTGGGTGCAGCCTTCTGTGTTGCGTGGAGAAAACATTCTCAATACTTTGATCAACATACTTACAGTGTCTGACGTGAAGATCAAGACCCTCGCTGTTGATTGCTTGCACATTCTATTCACCAGAGCATATCCTACGCTGGAAGACTTTGAATTCTTCGTGGGCAGCATCTTTACTGCTGAAGGCATCAAGAAGCTTTCTCAGTTTTATCATTCGCTCAAAGTGGATCCTGATGACATTGATGAACAAACCTATGCATTGCTTAAAAAGACCGTGGAGATGATAGTCTCCCTAAGCGAGTACCTCAACGTGCTGTTGCCGGCCAAAAACAGAGTAGACTGGGAGAAGGCCGATGTCAGTGAATACCTCCGTCTTATTCTCACAACCACGAGTCATCCAAGTTTGATTATATCTGGTCTTTCTTTGCAAATGTGGGTCACCACTCTACGTTTCGACGAACTTAGTTCCAAGGAACCCGTTCTCAATGTCTTGATGGACTTAATGGAGCTTGCTGCTAATCGAGTCATCAATTACGAATGGCTTGGTGAGGATGAGCCTTCCAAGAAGTTTCTTGAATTCGACTTTGACCTGGCCCTGGATTCATCTTCCTTTCTTTCAAACTACAAAAAGTTCAACGAAGACATTGTGCGTATTACTGTCTGCAAGAAGCCCGAAGAGGGTCTCAAGTGGTTGGAGAATAGGTTAGAAGGATTCTTTTCTTCTCAACTCGGAAACACCTGCATTAACCAATCCAAATTGGAGGAAAAGTCTGATCCCTTTAACTGGGGCTCAGCTCAGTTCAACATCATAGAGAACAGTATCAGAGGTGTATCAAGGTGGAGGATCTGGTATATTGGCGACGATTTCGAAGCCAAAAACAATAGACTTAATGGCCTTGTCGAGGATTTGGGAGAACGTTTATTGGCCATGCAATTAGCTTCGCCTCTACTTATAAGAAAACAGGTACAGACCATGGTTCAATTTGCTCCTTTACTCAAGGACGTGAGTCCCCTTATGTTCAAGGTTTTGGAAAAGATCTTGACTACGGCCACTTTCGAGTATCCACCTAATATCGATGACGAGGAGAAGGAGCTTATTCGTGATTTAAGAACTAGTTGTGGTACGGAACTTAATAGACTTGCCTACATCATGCCAGAGTCGCTCAAGAAGATCTTTTCGGAACTTGAGAATGTCATCTCCAACATCTTGGCATCCAACAAAGTTAGCAACCATGAAAATGTCGCTTTCAAGTCATTCCTTTTAGTCATTGCATCACGTTCTTCTATTGAAGACAAGGATGCTCTTTTCGCCAAAATTGTGGATCCAGACTTGATGGCCTGGTCTGCTCCTGAGACAGAAAAGGGGCTTTCTGATTTGCATTGGTTCATGGAAAGGTTGGGCATTGTTGAAATAGCTCTGTACTTCCAAAGGAGGAATATTACAGCCACGACGAATTTGCTTGAAGCTGAAATGGATGACGAAGGAAAAGCTCTCAAGAACAAGCTCAAGGAGCACTGGTCTTCCATATTCCCTATCCGTGCTACGCGTATCTTCATCCAGTATAGTATTGAGAAGCTCAGTCATGATTCTCCTGAGTACCAGGCATTGCTCAGACTTTGGAAGCCTCGAGTTACGCCTATCATTCCGCATGTCTTGCAACTTCTTGCCCAGATTCAAGCATACCACAACCCAGACAATTGGAAGGATTTGCCTGAGGCAGTCCAAGCGTTCTTGCGCTACAGTAAAATGGAAAGGTTTTGGCAACAGGGTGTGTCTATCCAGAGTAAGGAGATGTTCATTGAAGAAAGTGTCAAGGCAGCATTGACTTTGAGAGATTTTGCTGATAGTGTTGGCCACTTAGTGAGGTACACTAGAGAGTATGCGTTTTTAACTATTGGCTCGCTCTCTCACCTCGAAGACACTCTTTATGAAATCCCCAACATTGCCACTCAAATGTGGAACTCGTTGGCTGGCGATACCGTTGGCGTGACATTGCACAGTTGGAAGCATATGATCAACAGTTGTCTCAGAAGCGTTGTAAAGAACTGTCCAGTCAAGTACGTGGATGTGTTCATGGCAGAACTTTTACCGAAGGCTCTCTACGACATTGACAAGCTAATTGGCGACAAATGGGAAAAGGTTTACAACACTGGTCTCCAATTACAGGGCAATGAAGATGATGCTACACTTAGTGAAGAAATGATGGAAGAACATATGCTTAGGCAATTGACTGCCACGGTTGTTCGTTTCTTGATGGATATTATTCCACAGTTCAACGCCAAATCCATGAGCGATACACAATTTGCTTGCAAGAGATTGGTCACCACCAACAAGGAAGTTATGGGAGCGTTTTTGCAGATTTGTTGTCGTATCATTAGTCTTAAGGATACCAAGTGTTCTTTCAATACGATCCTTGTGGCTCGTAACATTCTTCCTGGTATTGTGCTCAAGGACGATGATGTGGATAAGTACCTTTGTGATGTGTTTATGCATTCTTTATTGAAGGTGTTGCTTGATGACTACTTTGTGGAAACGCATACTGAAGCCGCTACAGCACTCACGACGCTTTATTGTGCTTTGAGATCCAAGAACGACTATCCTGCTAGGGTGTTGATGGATACGTTACCAAATATAAGCTCGCTGCATGTTTCGAATTTTGAGAACCTTCTCGTGGGATCAAGATCATTGCGCCACCAGAGATTGGCATTGCTTGAGTTGGTCCGTATTTCCAAGTCAGACGGTGAATCTTCAGAAGATGCTGAGTTGAAATCAAGAAAGAAGCAACTTGAAATGGCGTCAATTACAAAAAAGAAGAAAAGTGCTAATGATATTATGAATGATCCGTTTACCGAAAACGGTGCGCTTAATAACCTCTTTGGCGAGGAGTAAACTATGTGGTGATTTTGACAATGGCTCTTTTAAGCAGCGAGTTTGGGACATCGTTGGTCTCGAATGCTAATGGTGGAGCAAGACGCAGAGTGAACTCTTTAAGTGACCCTCCTACGCCAAAGTAATAGGATTTTGCTGCTATGAGTGCAACTGAGCTTCTCTTGGTCATCAAGTCAACCAATAAGGTTATAAAGGTGGGCAAAGTGTCCAATGAATAAATGGTTTCAGACGAAAGAATGAAGTCTGGGTTGAATGGCTGGACGAGATCAGCGAATGCCAGACTCCAGGATCCAGAGATGCATTGGATATCTAGGTTTTGTTGATGAAGGGAGTCTGTGAATGCTTCGATAAGTTGAGCAGTCACTTGAAGCTCATCGTTCTTCATTGGAATATCTGGATCTTGAAGCTTAGCGAGTTCTTGGGGCTCAAGCGTGGATGCCCAATGGACTATAAGGTTTGGAACGGTGACCAATCGAAGGACCTCGAGGTTGAAATCACTCAAAAGAAGCGTCTTGTTGGAGACTTTCTTCTCAAACCACTTCATAAGGATAAAGCATGATGGCAAGGCTGATCCACACCCCAATTCGAGAATGGAGCTCTTGTTGCTGAACAATTGATCGTTCTCCTGGTTGGCAATTTCATCTACAAGGTCATAAGAACACTCCCACAGCTTGAACCCACCCTCATAGACGTTCTTTTGAAGATCTAGCTCTTCATCTGATCCAAGCAAGATTTTGTGTATCTTATTGGCTTCGCTATCGTTATCTTCCTCCATCATGCACTGGTGTTTCATGTCGAAAAGCTCGCGTCTATAGACGATGTTGCCGCCGGGAGTTGTGTAATTGTCGAAGGTGATTCTAACGTTGATGAGGGTATCTAGGATTGATTTTATGGAATGGAGCTTTGGAGGAACCTCCGAAGGAGCTGCAGTTGATGCGGCGGCCGAAGGCTTGGAGTCGACTGGAAGTGGCTCTAGCTCGTCGTCGGACACATCAGCCTGAGAGAAACCGAATGAAAAGGACATTTCTGGTGGTAGGAACGAAGTGTAGAAGTAGGTGATGCGATGGAGGTGAAGTGGAAAATAGGGTTCTGAGGCACGTGATGTATCACGTGATGTATCACGTGCACCACTTTCCTAAAAGCCCCAACCAATACCCCCTAATCCCCTTCTTCTTCCTTAAAAAAATATATATGGGCAAGCCCATTCGTATTTTCAGAGATCTTGTGTGTCCTCGTACAGCGGTTTACCACTTTTTGGCGATGGTGCTCAGGAGGTGTACATATCGAGACTCTTTAACCCATGAAGAGCTATCAAGTATGGAACAAACGACATATATTTCCTTTGATAATGACGATCGTAATAAATTAGCCTTGAACTCTAGTCTTATAAGAAAAAAGCGTGGTTTTAAGTGGTAGCGTGGTTGAAAAGTTAATAGAGGACCTTGAACGGGTCTTCTCAAGATACCGTCCTGTTCCAATTGTGTCTACGTTGCCAATTGGAGGAAGGCCCAGCTCCCAGTAAAGAGGAAATAGAGAGTAATTATGCCAACCTTTGGGTTTTTAGGTTTTTGGCTCGTGAGGGAAGAGAAGTGGTGGATGACGGTGGAGCTTCTGAGAAGGAAGAAGTAGACAGAAGTCAGTTAGAGGAAGGAGCCTCGTTTCTGGTTGAAAGGGGAGAATTTGACTGCTGCTATTTGCCTGGATTATTTTATTCTTGGTGGCCAAGGAACCTGTGACAGGGCCAGATCGGTATATGACTTGAATGGCTGGATGTCACAAACAGTACTATCTCTGTATTGGACTTCCTGTCATCTCAAGCAGGGTCTTACAAGTTTAAGTGTTCTAGGATTAGAACAAAGTCTTTGTCTGTAATCCTTATTCCCACTGACTGACCAATGAACAGAGGGCAGTGACATCATAGCCCAATAAGCTTTGCCAGGAGAAATTAAGCTTTAGCCCCTGGTGCAACGCAGGGACGATAAGCGAAGCCACTGGGCGTGTTTGAATTTGGAGATGGTGGGGAGAGAGCTTTTGGATTGACTTAACTGTGGCTTTAAGTTGGCTTTCTGTACCAATAAGGTCTTTAGATATGTAAGTGTGACAGTCTAAGGAGCATGACGATGATAAGATAAGATTAATAAGCTTTATGGCAACGGCTAAACGGAGCTGATCATGGTCGAATGTCAAAAAAAAGAAAAATGAACTTTAAAATGGTTGAAAGTTGATAGTGGAAGGTGGATGATGGAAGGTGGGTGATGGAAACAACTGGCTTAACATAGTCATCCATTGGAACGATCCATACACCACTTTCATCTTTCAGGCGTATCTTACCAAAGGAAGTCGGTCTATTTATTCATAAAAAAAGACAAAATGGTTGTTGAAATATGTCTCAATCATTGGCTTGCTGTCTTAGTCGATTCCTGATACTCTCCTTGACTATACCTTCCCCCAGAACTTGTCATCCAAAGACCCCAAAATGATGTCAATTGGGTTACATAAGTCCAACCAAGAACCCCCTGGTCATCTCATTCGTAAATGTTCTTTCCACCAGGAATTCCCCACCTGAGTCCAGATCAGGGAACTTCATCAGCCTCCATCAGCCACAACCAGCCCTTCTTCACTCCTCGGTTTCATAACCGGGCAGGCAATACCTAAAACAGGGGGAAGGTTGGAGAAGAAGAAGAGAAATAAATGAGTTCTTTAACGGCATTTCTGAAACTTCTAAGGAAGTCGAATATAAGGAGTTGGGTGCAAAACCTGCCTTTTCATGGCTCATTTAGCCCTTCCAGGATACCCAAAAACACCTAAAAACCACCAATTTCCAACCACTCCCCTCCCTTATTCCTCCCCAAATCAACCCCATCTTCACCTTCCAATTGACGTCTGTTTACGTTTTCAACCCTTCTATTGTCTCTTTCTAAGCGATGCACTACGACAATCCAGCCAAGGGAACTCCACATGACGGCTGGCCACGTGCAAAGGAGACCCGATGACCGTCCACGTGCTGGTCACACGTTTTTGGGTTTAAAAATGGTGTTTCCCCTCGAAACACGTTTTTACTTGGTTTGAAGGAGTTGGGGGTTGGAGGAGACTTTTTGGCTGCAAATGGTAGTATGGGGTGGGTGTGTACTGCACACAGGTATGCGTTATCGGGCCGGTGTGGTCCGCTATTCCCTTGCCAAATCAGCTTCCAGCACAAGCATAGCCTCCTCTCAGCGTAATTTGAAACCTGTCATCTTCTCTTGTTCCACTAAGGAAAGTGTAGGTGTGGCGCCAGGGGACCATTTTTTGGGCAAGTCGTGCTTATATGCAGTACGCAATAAAGTTCGGAGAGAAGTCCGAGATCAACGAAATCCCTCATTCATTGGGTCTCCCAATGGATGGAATTAGATGAATTTTTGATGGCATAGTCTAGGAGCAGTTCTGGTTTTAATGGTACTATTTTCATGGCTTTACTCCCCAAACTGACTGATTTGTGTTCCCTATTGGATCAGAAAGCCAGGTTTCGTCACCCGTCTTACCTGCAGGACATCGACACAAGATACTCAAAAATTTAGTCACTATCTATCTGAACAGAGGTTACCACATACTTATTCCAAACAAGCACCTATAAAACGGACCAATCACGCCCTCCAGCTTGCTTTTCAATACAGGTCCTGCTAAACGCATATAAATATCAAAACGAACCCCCAGCATTTTCATATAAACATAAAAAAGAAAAAAAAAAAAGAAGAAAAAGCTCCTACATGTCCCAAGGTCACGATAACAGTGCACTTGCTGAATTGATCAAACGAGAACGGGCGAACCTGATTTCGAACGCTGTTCTCCAGCATCTGAGACTGAAGGGGAAGCGTGTGGCGTTCGACGAGAATGGCAATCTTGTGGTTCAGCCCATGCGGTTTGATGACGAGTTGCTGTCGAGTCACGGCGGCAGAGATGGCCATCTGAACAATAACTCGAACTCGCTGTCTGGCTCGCTGGGTCAGGATTCACGAGATTCGTCTTTGGAGAACTCAGACGAAGAGGATGCTGATGATGAGGGAGGTGATGAGGAGAATGAGAATTACGATAAAGACGGGCCCAAGTCTTCGCTGAAGTCTGGTGGCAAGGATAGGTTGGATGTGCCGGGAGGAAGGTCGCTGCGCCATTCTCAGCTGGCGCTTCTGGCTGCCAATTTGCTGGCGTTGAAGAGGTTTCGGTCATATCCGCATTCGTCCACATCCATGGGCGAGTCCCAGCTGCTTGAAGGGGCGTACTTTTCCCATCAGAACTCACAGTTTAATCTTCCTGAGTTCAACAAAAGACCTCTTACAGATACTCCAATCGTCTCGGGCGTGGCGTCGCCAGAAACCAGAGAACAGAGCGAAAGCGAAAGCGAAGACGTTCTGGCCAAAGAAGATAAAAAGCATCCCAAGAATATCTCCCACTTGAGCTTGGCTGATTTAAATGCTGTTTCTGCAGCTGTCGTTGATGCCCTGCGTCCGCTGAGTGGTTCCATATCGCCAAAGTCCACCGCTCGTGGTGTCAAAACACAGCATATTCCTCCGCTAGATTCCAAGGACACCGCCCAGGCGCCACCTGCTCCAGCAGACCCTCAAATCAAACCAGACTTCACTGTCGATCCTGTTGAGCAGGACAAACAGCATGCCCAAGCCGATAAACAACGCAAAGAAAAAAGCATAGAAAAGAAAAAGAAAAAGGCTGACGCCAAGATCCTCGCCGAAATCAAAGAAAACCTTCTTCAAGATATCCCTCCAGAACTCCAGCATCAATTCGAAAAGTCTCCATCCTTGGAACAACTAAAGAGCGTGCTTCTCCTGAGTCCATTCCATAAACTGAAAAAAGCATATACCCTTAATATCCCTGGTCAGACGTCGTCCAAGACTTCTCCTGACGGTCGCATTGCTTCTGTTGATGTTGGCTCCAAGTTGGTCATTGTCATGGTTGGTCTTCCCGCCAGAGGTAAATCCTACATCACCAATAAGCTTACACGGTACTTGAACTGGCTTCAACACGACTGCAGAGTTTTCAATGTGGGAAACACCAGAAGAATGGATAAAGAGAATGTTCTAGGTCCAGCGCAGAAGCCTTTGCCTGATACGAATACTCCACTGCCTCACACTGGTAGGTCGCCTGAAACCAAGCCTTCTGCATCTCATATGGCTGATTTCTTCAATCCAGAAAATAAAGCATCAAACGACCTTCGTGAAAAGTGGGCTATGGATACTCTAGATAACTTGCTTAATTGGGTCCTTGACGGTCCTGGCTCGGTGGGTATTTTAGATGCCACTAACTCCACCAAAAAGAGAAGAATCAAGGTCCTTAAGAGAATCCAGGAAAGGTCCAAGGGCGAGCTTAAGGTTCTTTTTATGGAGAGCATTTGTTCGGATCCAGCTATTCTTGACACAAACATCAGACTCAAGCTTTCTGGACCTGATTATAAGGATATGGATCCCGAAGTGGCCCTCAAGGACTTTGTGGGTAGATTGAAGAATTACGAAAGAGCATACGAAACGATTGACGAATCAGAGGAGGAAATTGAAGGGTTCCAGTACATTAAGATGATTGACGTGGGAAAGAAGGTTGTCAGTTTCAACGTCCAGGGCTTCTTGGCGTCCCAAACTGTGTACTTCTTGTTGAACTTCAACTTGTGTGAAAGACAAATCTGGCTTACACGTCATGGTGAGAGTACAGATAATCTTAGTGGTCGTATTGGTGGAGATGCGTCTCTTACCAAGCGTGGTCAGCACTTCTCCAAGACCCTTACTCGTTTCTTGAACTACCAGCGTAAGGAATTCAGAAAGAAGCAGCTCGAAAAGTTCTCTTCTCGTCTTGAGTTGCGTTTCAACGAGTTGGTTGACACCAAGAAGGGCACCAAGAACGGAAACGGTAAAGACAAGAAGACCAAGGTGGGCCATATCCCTACAGAACCAAGTTTCTGTGTTTGGACATCGATGTTGATCCGTGCCGTTGAAACAGGAAGCTACTTTGACGAACTGGCGTATCATATCAAGGCCATGAGAATGTTGAACGAGCTCGGTGGAGGTAAATTCGAAGGCATGACCTACGACGAGATCAAGAACAACTACCCTAAGGAGTTTGAAGGAAGAATCAAGAACAAGCTCACCTATAGGTACCCCGGCGTGGGCGGAGAGTCTTACCTTGATGTGCTTGTGCGTTTGCGTCCAGTGATCAACGAGATTGAAAGAACCACTGACCATCTTTTGATTCTTTCTCACCGTGTGGTGTTGCGTGTTCTTCTTGCGTACTTCCTCAACTTGGATAAGTCATCTATTGTTGATTTGGATGTGCCTTTGCATACTCTCTACTGTCTTGAGCTGAAGCCTTATGGTACTGAGTACGCCATGTACGAGTACGACGAGCAAGCTGACTGGTTTAAGAAGGTTGAGCCTGAACACCAGAAGAACGTCAGAGAAGTGGGTGTTAATTTCCGTGAAAGGAAGTACTCTGTCATTCCTACCGCTCCTCCAAGTTCCAGCAACCAAAGAAGAACAACTGTTGCGAGAACTCGAGATGGTAAAGAGATTGGTATTCCTCCTCCCAAGGCTCCAGGCGGTACTTCTCTTCGAAAGAGTATCAGTCTTGGCGGTGGAGAAGGTACAAATGAACCACAAGTGCCTACTCCATTTACAGAAGGTGTGAGGGTGAACTCGTCGAGCTCGAGGAAACTCGCTGATTTGAATAAGATGAGGAAACCCGGCGCCAGCAAGACCTAGACGATGGGTTGATGTTGATGTTGGTGGAAAATGTCATTTCACGGTGAATTTTCACTGTAACAGTCAACCAGTCCAAACCTGAAAATGGATACCTTTGAAAGCTAACCAACCAGGCATCGTCCAATCAGGAACCGCCATCATTCCACCAGCAGCCTACCCTCCATTTGTCCCTTCCTGCTGTCTCTTCACGTCTTCTACTTCTGTGGAGAATGGCTGCGAAACGCGATATACGTCTGAATCCATGAATTACGAAACCGCCTGGCCTCGAGCCTGGCTCCGTACGCCCGGTTACAAAAACCACCGTACCTCGACATTCTCTTGTGACTGCCTCTAAAATCTCTAAAAAAAAGACTGACTCCTTAAAGTTTCCTTGGAAAACGAAGCCTGTTACCGTTTGGTACCCAAAACACCCGTGCACCACAGCGCCCCACCCCCACCACATCAATCTAGAACCGCAAGACATAAAGCTTAAAACACCATCCAGACCAAAGCGATATAAAACGGAAAAAACCCACTTTATTCCGTCGCCAACAAGCGCAGTCTGTGTCCAACAAGTCATGTCTACGGAAAAACCGCTGTCTTCGAGAAATCCTAGGCGTCTTTCCATCACCATCCCTCAGAACCAGGGGCCTGGCGCTGCTGGAGAGACTGGTACCAGCAAAGCCGAGACGAAGGGCAAGGGGACCGTGGAGAGGGTGGATTCGGGTCCTACGCTGGCGTTTCCAGGCAATTCGGTGGTTTCCACGCCTCTGGGCCAGCAGGGACAAGCAGTTTCCAGCTTTCCCCAGCCTTCTACGGGCTCTGGGGCCCAAACTAGCACAGGGACGGGGTCTCTGGCGAATCAGAGCTCTGCTAGCGTTGCAGAGGGGCCTAGTGTTATAAATAAACAGCTTTTGTCGAAGTTGAACAAGTCTTTGAAGGAAAAGCAGAGGATTATCAATAATAAGACAGATTCTAGAAACCCTGCGTTGATACAAGATATCGTTACTACATCGCCGCTGCACGCGACGTTTCCGAATAATGTGAGCTCGGAGAAGGCCGAGAAGGGTGAAAAGAGTGAAGAAAAGGGTGCTGAGGCTGCTGGAGGTGCTGAACGGCTGGAGACTGGTCCTCTGGATGAACATCTACATCCACACGGGCATAGCCGAACAGAAACGCCGCTTTCTACGCTTCCACCGGTTAACAGTGGTGCTAAACCTGAAAACGAAGGCTCCAGCAAGGCGAAAAAGAGAATATCTAAACAAAACTCTACACGAACAGACTTCTTTGCTGCTAAACTAGCGTCTGCGGTAGACGACGTGGACACTTCAGATAGTGACGAAACGTTCGTTTACGAAAACAGCAATAACGACTTTGACGCCAATGCTAACGCCAATAATCAGACCAGTGGAGGTGTGGCAGGTCCTGCTATTCTACATCCAGACGACAATGCAGACATCAACAAGCCTCCTGGCGGGATTTCTCTTGTTCACGACAACATCAGCGCTGCAGCCAGCATGCGGAACCCTACGCCTCTTGATTCTGTCGCTCACAGTCCAGCAGTGGAACTCAGGAAAGAGCTAGGCGACGAAAGCCATCATAATCACCAACAACAGCCCCAGCATGGCCAGTTGCCTCCACATCCACATCCACGTGCTGAATCGATTCATTCCGTGCAATCGTCCAAATGGAACCTCAGAAGCACGGTGGGCACTTCTTCTAATACTACTCCTCCTTCAACAACTGCCCTTCGTGGACAGCCTCAACAACCTAATGTGATGGCCGTTTACGGGTCGGGATCGGGCTCTGGCTCCGGTTCTGGCTCTGACGCCCATCTGTTTGCTAATCCATACATCGATCAAAACAAGCCTACTACGTTTAAAGGGCCCAGGAAATCCAGTTCTCATTCGTTGATCAACCCTGACGCTCACAAAGTTAATAATCTCAATCCTTCGCCACGGTACGCTGCTTCCAACCAGAATTTTGGCCTGTCGTTGAACTCTCCAGTGGCTCCAAGCGTTAATGAAGGGTCACACGACGGAAGGTACTCTTTTGAGGATGATGGAATCACAGGCGACGAAGTTTCTTACCAAGGCGATGCTGTACTGGTTTGCACCGATTTCAACAACACAGCAACGCAGAGCTCTGAACAGCCCAAGCACGACGATCATTTGAACATACACAGCAGAAGCTCAGACCGAAACCAGAGATCGTCTACCACTTCACTGAAACTCAGATCTACAACGTCAAAGTTGTTCGACAAGAAAGGCGCCCAGCCCAGGCGTTATAGTATCATTCCTGACGACATTGACATTGAAGATTTTGACGATGACCTAATTTATTACGACAACAACAACATTCGTTTCCCTTACAATAGCCAGAACGGCAGCCAACTCAACGACACGGCGTCGTTGCTCAATAATAATCACCACAGAATGACGCACTACCGTTCCATGAACTTGGGCCAGCCCAGTGCTCGTCAGCAACAATTCAATAATAAGCGGTATTCGTCGATGGGGTTCCCTTCGCCGCAAGCTCAGAATGGCAGAGGTGCTCCTTCTCAGGGCAGCAACATTTATCCTTTCCCTTATCAGGACCAGAAATACTACTTTGATCCAGAGAACTACGACGAAGAAGCTAATATGGAGAGCCCTGATGAAGTCCATGCTAAATCGATCTTCGCTGGCCGCAACAACAAGCTTTCTCCAAGCAACACGTATTTCAGACTACCCAGAAAGGTTTCCAACGATAGCATGTCGGGAGGCCGTGTGAGATGCTTGAAGAGTTTCGTATACACCATGGTGAGTATCTTGTTGATTCTTGCCATTGGGTTCGTTCTGGGCTTCCTTCTTGCATCTACCAAGGACCTTTCCAACCTCTCGATTGTGGGCGTGGAGGATGCGCTTGTCAGCCAGGACGAGTTGCTTTTCCGTGTTGTTGTGGAGGCGCTCAACCCTGGATGGTTTACGATATCTATAGAAGACGTTGAGATTGACATTTTTGCTAAGAGTGGCTACGTCGAAGACCCCCAGCCGCCGGGCACCATGAAGGACAATACCGTCGAAACCGTTCTTCTCGGCAGCGTGACGAGCTTTGAGTCTGTTTTGGATTTCCAAGGCAGTTTCTTTCAGCGAGATTATCAACAACAATCTGGAGAAATCAAGTTGTTGGCGCCAGGACGGAATCTCACAGGAAGTATAGAGTCAGCTCTTTTAATGAAAGGCCTGGCCGGCGGGTTTGACGAGACGGATACGCCCGATAACTCTGAAAAATGGGAAGTGATACGAAAACACCCGTTTGATCTAATCCTACGAGGCGTGTTGAAGTATAAATTGCCCTTGTCGAACACGGAAAAGTCAGCCACGGTTAATAAGGTCAGCTACGTTGACCCGGACGGCTCGGAGGGTTTCTACTAATAATGGGAATATGCAAAGATAATACTACGAGCTACGTGCTTTACAGCTGTAGGTCACAAAAGATGAAGGCACCTTTCTACTTAGTTGAAGATCCTGGTGTGAAGTTCACCGAAACCAGGTGCAAATCTGGGTTTAAGCCAGACTTTGAACTCTCGAGGTTCAAACGAGGTTGCTGAGGGACACAGGTTGGCTTTGAAAGGGTCCATTTCCATCTCGTCGGCTGGGTTTAATGGTCGTTTCACGTGGAACACAAGAACGGTTCGACAGAGCAAGACATAGAACTCTTTGATTGCCAAAGCGATGCCTGAACACTTTCTGGACCCGGCGCCAAAGCCAAAATGACGTAATTTGGTTTCATCAACAATCTGGTACTTTTCGTCGATCCAGCGTTCTGGAATGAACTGGTACGGTTCTTTGAACACCTCTTCGTCGTGGTCTGCAGCAAATGCGTTCATGAGCAAAATCGTGCCCTTTGGGATAACCATGCCGTTGAAAAGCACCTTCCTGGTGGTTTCCCTGGGCAAAGATAACGGAAGAACGGTGAAAAACCGCATGGTTTCGTGAATAAGTGCTAGGGCGTAGACGGACCGGTTTTCACGAGCCACGCCCCTCCAGGCCGCCAGCGACGAGCCATAAATACCCATGAGGTCATGGAAAAGCCGGTTTTGCATTTTGTACCCTTCTGGCGTCGCCAAATGGCCCATGAGATGGTCATAACTCAATGCTATGTTGTCCAAACCAGCACTCACCATGGTAAGACAAATACTACGGATTTCGCTGACAGAAAGCTTGCTGGGCCCAGCAGCAACTCGTCCAAGAAGACAAGAAACGGCGTCCGGGTTGTTTTTCCGGAAATTCATCTCGAAAGCTCGGAAAAACAGGTCCATATACTTATCTCTGGATTTTGCAGCCACTTCAGCTTTTGTCGAAACCGCCAACCGCCGAACCAACGGGATATAGTCCTGGTAGTTGGCAAGCGGCAGCCGAAGCCGTATGATCTTGTTTTCGGTCTCTGCAACGGTATCTGCCAACTTAGCATGCTTTCCATAAGCATCCAAGCGGATTCCATAAGTATACTGAAGTGCACAGCCTAAGACGAAGTACTGGGCGTGGCGAAGAAGCGACCAGTCGTCCAACGGCGTTCTCGAACCAAACCTGGCCATACTCTTCCTTAGAAGGTGCCGAACAACCCGTTTCGAGTGGTTATCGATGATATCTGAAGCCCAAACCAGGCCTACTATTCCTGGAGAAAGCTGCTTTCCAATACACTTCTTTTTACGCTGGCAAGAAGCGCCAGCGGGTGTTGAGCCCACTGTGAAGCCCTGAGTTGCCGAAACGATATTGTGGAAAGTATGAAACACCGGTCTGGAGCTTGTTGCTTGAGAATGACGAAGCCAGAGTTCACTCACTTGTTGATGAGAGTTCACCACAAGCACCGGCGTGATTCCAAGCCTGATCACGAAACACGAACGGCGGTACTTTTCAGCCCACGCCATGAACTGTCTGGCTGGGTTGTTCTGGACGAGAAAGGCGTGGCCTACAAATGGGTAGGTTGGAAGGTGGAAAGCGCCTGGAACGCATTGGCGGGTGTTGAGGTACCAGGCGACGCCGAGGAGGCCAGCAAAGAGGAGGAGCGTTAGCAAAATGTATGTTAGCATGGAAGGGAGGGTGAAGGAGTGGTAGAAGTGGTGGAAGTGATGTTGGATCGAAAGTCGCTTTTGTGTTGGAGAGGTGTTTTGGAAGATGTGATGGGGAGAAGTGGTGGACGGGAAGAAATGGACATTCTGGTGAATTTGGAATGTTTTCTGCGTTTTCTGTTCATTCTCTGCTTCTCTTGACTCTGCTGGGTCGTTTGTTGATGGTGTTGGTGGAAATGGCTGCAAAAGTGGTATAAAGGTGGATTTCTGGTTTTGGCTGTGAAGGCTCCTGGAAATGAATGGAGGGGGGCAGTAAGGCTTCCCGAGTAGATGTATAATAGAAATTTCAAAAGGAAAATTTGGTTTTGTAGGTTGGCGTTGGTTGTTGGTGGTCTTTTAAGTGAGGATCGATTGACAGAAGTGTTTCACCTGGATGTCTATTTTGAAGGAAGTAGACAAGAAAAGTCGTCAAGATAATAAATATTTGTGTATTAGAGCACTTTGGGTGTTCCTTTTTCCATTCTGGTGACGTTGATTGGAAGGTTTTCTGGTTGTTGGTTGAACAGGAAGTGACTTCTGAAGGTGTCACCAAAATCCACTATTTTACCTAAAAGAGGTACATAAAGAGCATCAGATGAGTTAAAGGGCACTCTAGGAACGGTTGGGTAGTTTTCTGGATCATTTTGACTTCTTTGACCTTCAGTTACTGTACCTCTTCAACTCACTCTATGTCCATTTCCAGATGACACTGTAAACTTTCAAAGCCCAGTCAACTGGAAAACCTAAATTTTCCAGGAACTTCAAAGACCCAAAGTATCAATTATAGATCACTTAAACCACTCTTTTAAACCCTCCTGATGCCTTATCTCTACCACTTTCCTCCCCAACCGACCACTTCAACTACATCCTCCAAAGTCAGCCAACGTCGATCTCTGAACCCTCCAAAGCCCCAACCTCATTCTTCTAGACAAGTTTCAGACATTCTGATCTTTGTGATCTTCGGGCAGCGGCTGGGGCGTTGACGAGGAGGTACTTGGGTTCTGGCGGGAGCCGAAAACGGTGAACCGCTCGACGAGAAGGAAGTGGCTAATGGGGGAAGAAAAAAATAGGTTTGGTTGTTTTTGGGGGATCAGGGAAGTTGGAGGTGGCTTTTTGGACGTTGTAAGGTGAAGTTGGGCACTGGTGGTGGCTTCTTTTCGTGGAAAGTGGTTGTTCTGGAACACCCAAAGGTGGAAGGGACGATTTGAAGGAAAAGTGGTAGAAAACGGGCTCATTTTGGTCTCTTAAAATTCAAGATGCCTCCAGAACCAACTTCTTGTCTTTTCCTTCAATTCACCTGACGTTTTGCTGCTTCTTTGTTTATGCCTCTCAGAAGGTGATACTCTGCCAAAAGACAAGTAGTACGAAGAAACACCAACCAGAAACCACAAAATTCCCATCAAAATCTCTTCCCTGACGGTCCCCCAAGCCAAGCATTTCCTTTACTCCACCTTTCCAGCTTCCTCGGATGAGTTGTAGTTATGAAACATGAAACACCTCCAGCAACCACCAAACCTCCACCAAATCACCAAAAACGGCATTTCCAACCAACCAAAAGCCCTAAAGTCAATTGTCTACGTCCCCTAGAACCATAAAAATCCCTTCTTGACTTCACAACGACCCGCCTCCCCCTCCTACACTGCCTCTTCCTTCTACAACCATACTCTGTCTACACCTCCACCAACTTCCACCAAATCCACCCAACCCACCTCCAATTCCTCCAATTACCAACCCCACTCCCCCCACATCCCCCAATGGCCCCAATGTCCCCAATGTCCCCCAACATTCCCATTTCTCCACCATTTCTCCACCCTTTCCTTATCGCTGCACCTGGCAATCGTCACCTTCCCAACTTCCCCAAATGCTCCACAAACCCAGCCAAAAAAAACTGCAGGGTCCGCCAATTCCCCAACCTCTCCGTGCCCACTTCCTCGGGAATCCTTCGCTGGCGTAGCCGAAGGCTTGGTTCCACAGCCTCGTCAACTACTCCACCTTCAATTCTGACTCTTACTACCTCTGGGACCCTCGGAAACAGCACTGTTTTCGGCCACGGGGCACTGCTGTATTTTCTTTTTCTTGTATTTTATGCTTTTTAGAACCTGCAAGGCCAAACTTCACAAGCTGGTGCTTCTGACGTACGGCGGATGCAACGTTGCTCAAAATCGACTTCCCTCACTGAGTTACTCAAAAACTATGGCGCCAAGGGATCTGACGCTTTGCCCAAGGCCCAGTTGCTCAAAGACGAGGTGTCGTGGATGAATTGGCGGTGGGTTTGGATTCACAAAACCAAACATCAGTCGATATTTATGTCTGGTTTGTTTTTTCGTTGTTTCGTGAAGTTGATGGCCAAGGCTTGGCTGGTTGCTTGGTTAGAAGCTGCAGCCGGGTACGAAATGAGCGTTTCCCCGGAAGTAGTAGTGGTTAGCGGCTACTGGGTCGATTAGGTTGGAGATGCAAGGCTAAAATGCTGATAATGCAGAGGTTCAAGGGTAAACATCGTGGGAGGGCCAGGGCTTCGTGGAAGGGTAGGTTGGAGCGGTCGTCATGGGCCATGCGCCAGACCGCCGTGCGCCAAATACGGGCGGTTTTAGCGAATATCGAACATGCTTATGGTTAGAGGCCCCCGGATTAATTAGCCGGGGAGAGCTGGTCAGCCGCACCGAGAATACCCGTGGGCAGAGGGATGGGAAGGGATGGGAAGGGAGTGTTGATGAAGGGAGGAGCTTCAAGGGATGCCTAGGTAGCCCCTAGAGTTTTCTGGCTGTCAGCTCGTGCTAAATTGGAACCCCTGGAACGAGCCGGAGAAGTTGCCTATTTGGGAAAACGTGCGTCACGTCATAGTTTATCCATGGGAGGTTTATCCGCCAGCGTGCATGTGAGGGAAGGTTTTCACGAGATTGCCACGAAACCCGACCCAAGCCCGGGTTGCCTGGGAAAAGAGGACAAAACCAGCCCTCTCTTCCCGGCGGGGACTCTCATGCCAGGGATACGAAAGTTGCTCATCTGCGTGTTCGTTGAGAGCTCAAAAACGAATTTCCAGCACCCTGGGCTAAAGCAGAGCTAAATGTAAACCTAAACATAACCTATTCCAGTCTTATGCATCCCCCTCGAAGGATCCAATTGAAACTGGAGCCGGCGGCGGGTCCACAACTGTGGAAACTGCAATGCTGGAACAAGACCATCGAGATCATGCAGAGCACTTAATTCTTTTTCAAGGGAAACTTGGCCAGAAGCTCCAGGGGCTAAGCTAGAAGGCCCCCTTGGCCCCTTGGGTGACAATACCAACAGGGTAGGGCGGTTGATGGTGTTGTATGGATGGATAAGTGGATGGATAGGTTGATTGAGCCGCATGGGTCTAGAGCGGGTATTGTTCCCGGGTAAAAGAACCTTATTGTGTTTTTTCGGAGATCCTAGGATACGACGGGTATGCGTGGCGATGCTGGAACGGATAATGGAGAGATTAAGGGAGACAGGGAGGGGCCGGGAGGGTTCGGGATGTGGCTGGCTAGAGATTAGAGAGCTGTGTGTGGCGTCACGTGATACTTGACCGGAAGTCGACTTAACCTTCCAGACGCATGCGGCAGTCAAAAATGTCTCGCGGATTAACTACGCCAGATCGTTCCAGATAAGACTCGATAGTTTACTTAGTTATTTTAATTAGTACGATCAAACTAAATGTGTAGACTAGGGCCATGTTGATCGCTGGGCCCATCCAGATTTGCATTGGTTGGGGAAAAGCGCAAAATAATGTGTCAAACGTCATTTCACCGTCTCGGGCACCACAACCATCACTGAAACGAGGAGGGGCGGCAGCAACAAGGCCCGTGACAATAGCAGAAGCCTTGCCGACGTACCGGTTATAACGGTGTGGTTATGAAAACGAAGCCTCCACTTCGGCCCGTGGCTCCTCGTCCAACCTCCAGTGTGGCTGCAAATGGAGGAAAAAAACAACGCAAAGTGGATGTTTAAACAAGGCCAAAACGATGTTTCTTGGCTTTGATGTTTTCCGATGACTCTCTTGTTACGTCTAAGACAGTCACCCCCGTAAAACCAGAGCAGATCGGATCGTCCAAAGATCGATTAAAACCTCGACCAACGTCGATCTCCTGGACCATCGGGAATGCCCAGATCCGTAAACCGTGGCGTGAGCGGTTCTGGCGTCGCCAGGTGCTGGTTTGTTTATTTTTCGAAGTCGTAACGGTAAGCGAAGCCGTAAAGATACCTCTTGTTTGGAGCAAGTAGGGGAACAATGGGGGAAGGGTGAGTTTTCCGGCTCCAAACAACGAGAGAGTTGGTTTCAGGGAACAATAGACGGTGAACGTGGGAGGCGGTGCCTTAGAGAGTGTATTTTGATGTTTTGGAGCTGTTTGGAGTGGAATTGATGGATCTGGAGCCCTGAAAAGGCTTCATTGGTCAAATCCAGCTGGAGATTTGCATCAGCAGACGAAAAGCCTCGGATTTGAAGTGTTTCCAAGGTGGAACGAACGCAAGCGTTGCCTGGGCGGAACATTCCAACGGAAAATAATGTTCGGCATTGTTGTTCAATTGTCCGAAGGGCCAGAAAATGGCGGTTTTTAGACAATCGGCGCTGTTTTAAAACCTTAAACGTTTTAGGCAAGAAAGAGAAGCCTTTTGAGCAAAATAGATGAAGTATCTGGGAGTAAATGGACCGGAAAGTCCGTTCTTTGGTACCTTATTCACGCAGATTCTTCCATTCATTCAGGTCCATTGAGGTATATAATGGACATTCACCAATGCTTGTTTTTTTCCTACTTTTTTACATCTTTTTGCTTCCAAAACCGTCTATTGTCGGTCGGCCCGTAACCGGGGCCTTTCTGTTTGCCCAGATTCTTTTTTCCTCGAGCCCGGTTCCCCTTTGGATTTAGTGTAATTAAGCAACCCTCGTAAACCCCGATCGTTTTCCTCGAAACCACCACCAAATTGAACCGTTTTTGTACCATTCTACTCGCCAAGCGACGCTCTATCGAACCAACCAGGTTTTGTTTAATTTACGTTGTTTTTTTCAGGGGTTTGTGCTCCCTTCCTCCCCTCCTTTCGCCAATTCTTACACACTTCTTCCCAAAAGGAAACCCGCCTTCGCCAATTCCACATGTGTTCAGCCTCGCCTTTTCTTGACATCCCCCAAATCCATGTTTTTCTAGAAATCTGCCAGGTTTCTAATTCTTCTGATTCTGCTGGTGTTTAGTCTGATTTTCTTTTCTAGCCAAGCCGCTTGCGGTTGCAAAATGTCTAAAAAATAATTAATGGAAGCTTTGCATACTTCCCGAGGCAAGACCAGCCGGGGCTAGAGAATTCCCAGAAGGCATGTCTAGCCCCTGAAAAGAAGTGAAAAATTCGGAGGAACGGGAGGAATTGGGATTACTTAGAGAAACGTGGGGGTTCCACGGGAAGAATTGGGGGCAAATCGTGGGGGTTCCGCTCATCCAAGGTCGAGCTTTCTTCAATATTAAGGTTTTTCAAAAAGTCTTGCTTGGCTCTGCCAGGTTAATCTTACCATCTATCAAGGTGAAATAAAGTAAGCGAAAAGTATCTCAAGATACTGCAGGGCGATAATGCGAGGTTACCCTCGACCCTCGGATGTCCTCCAATAGTTAACTATGGCAATTCCGAGGGCACATTGTCAGGGGGGAACTTCAAGGAGAGTGAGAGAGTAAAACGCTCAACACCGCGGCTAAAACAGGACTTATTGCCTAATTGGGACGAAGCAGCAATTCTCCCACGCTTAAAACTTCAACCCCCTCGTCAGAAATTCATCTCGGATATTCTGGGTCTTCGCCTTGGCTTAAACCCGCCCGACGGAATTTCCTCTTAGCTTTAGGCTTTCACAGTAAACGCTTCACTTCTCGGAATTTCCGTTTTCTTCCCTCGGAAAATTCGTTGCTTTCCTTCTCTGGTATCCACAGTTTTTTGTTCTTCTTTTAAGGAAAGTGACTTTTGAGAAAAGACTAAATACTGCATATAGGCGCTGTCACCGTATCTGCATTCCCGTTTGTCGATCTCATGTCATGCATAAAATCCCGCACTGTCTACACTAATTCGCCCTTAACAATTGAAATAGACTTTAGGGAATCGAGACACCTGGCGAGGCTCGGCCGCAGAAGGTGGAGATGTAAAAAGAATGAAGAAAAAGTGGTGGTTTGGGGCCCACGTGGGTGTCACGTGACCGCACATGACGTCACATACATTCAACCCTCAGTAACATTTACCCGAGGCTTAGAGATAAACAAAAATTCTACGCCCGCCTCGGGCACATAGTATGTACGTGATGTACGTACCCACAGTAGTGGACCGGAGATGTAGCTGCACCGTGCTGCACAAGGGTGCGTGCGGCTCGGGTTATGGTTGCCCTAACGGTTTGATCTACGCATACAGGTGCATAACGACGTGCGTGTCTACTGCAGACAGGTGCATAGTGCATCTCACTTCAACCCTCGACCCGCTCCCGCACCGCCCCATGTGCATGTCACATTCGAGGCTTTCCCCAGCAATGATATTTACGCTCACACCGAGGCCCTTCTGGTAGATCATTCTATATTATTGCCAGTACTCTCCATGTCTAGGCACCATTATGCACCCTTAAAAAGGCGGCCTGCAGGCCGTGCATGATATGCACTTAAGGGAATCCTAGCGGGTACCTCCCACCTGCCTGCAGGAAACTTCAATCGAAGGGTTTATATATTGATTGGTTTTTTTTCGCTTACCTGCACACAATGCCAAACCCGTACATCCTCAAAATATCACAACCTCAAAGTGTGAGCCATATTAAATCTCTATATATTTCCCACGAATTCGTCTGTCCTTTTCCCTCCTTAAAAGGGAGAGACACCAATTTTTTTTTTATAAAATATATTCTCGGGAAATACCTATTACCCGCGAATAGCCGAGAATAAATTGCTTTTTCCTTCCAACAACCACTTCGGCTAATCAATCGCCTTTCCCGCCCCGCCTCCACGCCAAAACCCCCATTCGCTGCCCCCACACAATTTGAACGTCAAATCGACGCTACCAAAAGTTCAAATCGACTTTGCTGACGCCGCCAGCTGTGTGTTGTGGAAAAAGAAATTCCATTATCACCACTTTTTGACGCAAGTCTTGACGCTTTCTGACGCATACTTCACGTCAAGATCAGCCTTATCTTATCTTATCTGGACGTTCAGCCTTGCGTGGTTCAGCCGTTCACAAAGGTAACTCAAGGTTTCTGGAAACGAAAGGTCTTCAAAATAAGGCTTGCTTTGGATTCATATTCTGGCGCCCCCGTTGAAATCCACGGTCTCGTTTCAGGTTCTGCGAATCACGAAACTCCCAGAAACTAAGCTTTCTCGGCACATTTTCAATTCAAAAACACCACCATCGTTTTCGCCGCCCCCGGTTGCCCCTACACGCCAATTTGCAACCTCCCATCGTTTCTCGTTGTTGCTGCACATCGACTTATTTGAGATCTCATCAAACAATATCCTACTTTCACCATGTCAACGCCCAGAAGACAACGCAGCGAGTACCTGAAGAACGGGTGCAAGGAGTGCAAGCGTAGGAAGATCAAATGTGACGAGTTCATCAATCCGCCGCCCGAAGCGATCAGGAAAATCAACAAACAGGGCCGTGTCGCCTGCTGGCAGTGCACGAGGCTCCGCAAAGAGTGTGAGTATCCTTTGAAAGGTGAAAAAGTGGCCAGAGTCAGCCGCAAGGCCATGATGGAGCAGAAGCGCCAGGAGCTGGTCACGGAAGCTTCGAACGAAATGACCAATTACCCTTCAAACAACATTCTAAGCCCTCAAAACGGTCTGGCCAACCTCTCTGGATTAGCCTACCCTCAAGGACTCAGCTACCCGAACTACCAGAACAACCACGGTTACTCTTCAGCCAACTGCATCAACGGTTATGCCAATGGACAGCCTTATAACATGCCGTACGGCAATATGCCATATTCCAACGGCAACTGGGCGCCCATGAACGTCACCAACGGCTCGCTCTGGCCTCCTACGCATCCCCATATGGATATCAAGCCGCAGCTTCCTCGTCCAGACGTGCCTAGCCATCTTCCTACGCCGGTAAACCGTCCAGAAATCACTTCTCTGGCCACGGCGTCGTCTACAACGGAACCTCCAGAACACGACGACCGCGTAGACCCGCCATTTGATGGTCTTTCTTTTTACGACCAGCTGGATCTCACTTTGCTTGCTGCTGACCTTAATAACCTCGTTCTGGATATGATTTACGAGGTCAACTACGAGCCTAAAGTGTATACGGACCTGGAATCGCAGCCCACGCCGCCGACGCCAAACTCTGAGGATAGCGAAACCAACTACTACGACTATATTCCACGGAATTTGGGGTTAGGGTACATTGAGGTGAAGAAACAGACGGAAAAAACGTTTTTGCACGAGTTTTACCGGGAGTTTGCCAACATTATTTTACCATTCAATGCTTACGACTCCCCGGCCCGCCAGTTCTTCAACCCAGCAAGAGATATTCTTCTTAAATGTGCCCATAAAGAGCCGTTCTTGTTGGCTGCCGTGCTAGCTCAGGGCGCCAGATCGGTATTCACGAAACTGGCCGATCCAGAAGACGAACAAGCATACTATTCGTACCTTCTGAGATGTCTCAAGCTTCTAGGGCCTGCTTTGGGCGATGCTGGGAAGAACGGGTTGGCTTTGGTATCGAATATCGAAGCTGTGCTTTTAACAGTCCTTCTTCTTACGTCTTCCAATGCCGTTAACGCTAAGCAAAACTGGAGACCACACCTTCGAGGCGCCAAGGATCTTCTTTTAAAGCATAACAAGAACAGGCCGCTTACCAGGAAGCTGAAAGTGTTGATTTTCTGCAAATACTGGTTTGTTTCGTTTGAAATTTTGGCCGGTTTGGGCTCCAAACTCGGTGGAACCGTCCATGTGGACGAAGAACTTGATCTTCTTCTAAACTACGCTGATCCTTACGAAGTTCAAGTACTCACCGAACTAGGACTCATTTTGCCCAACGGATTCAACCTCATTGGCGGCTACCACAACGACTGTGTGCCCCATTTACGTGATTTAATCAAGCTTTTAAACCGAGGCCGTCGTGCCGTCAAAAAGAGCCTGGAAAACGGCATTTCCACTACGGATTCCAGTCCTGGCGCTGTTTCTGGCGCTGGGAAAGTGCCTCTGGTTGCTGTCCAGCCTACAGAATGCATCCGACTTCTTGGCGAGTTCGAAAAAGAACGCAACAAGGTGTTTTTCTCTGAACAGACGGTCATGGCGCCCGACGAGTTCCCCAACGGCGTCATTCCACAAAGCTACCTTCTAGATCTGGCAACTATCGATGGTTCTCGCAAGATCGTCAGCTGGCTGGACATTTCCCAGCAACTGTACTGTTATGCAGCGCTAATTACGCTTTTGACTGACTTTTTAGGCGTTTCTCATGCCCTGGCGCCGGTTCAAGACCTCACACATCGTCTTCTTTCGCTTGTTTCGTTTGTGGAGCCGCCAAACGGCGACCCTGTGCTTTTCAAGTATGCCATTTTGATGGTTCAGTGGCCAGCGTCGGTTGCTGGGCTCAATGCAGTTGATTCGGGTGATGTGGCGATGGTGGAAAAGTTCTTTAGCGTGGCTTCCCAAGTTGGATCTGGAAGTGCTGGTCATTCGCTTAAGATGATTAAAAGGCACTGGAAACGCCGTGAAATGGCTGCTCTGGATGATAGCGAGGAAGAGCAAGTTGATGTGGTGAACTATTAAAACGAAGAAAAAAAAAGAAGAAGAAGAAAAGGGGACTCTGGAAGTCCTCCGTTTCATTTCGTCACACATATAATAACTATTTATTTCGGCAAATACAAAAAAAAAAAGAGAGAGAGAGAGAGAGAGAGAGAGAGATTGGAGGTGTAGATTAGAGGAGATGTAAAGAAGGTGGTTTATTGAAATGGCATCTTATGGAAATGCTCTATTAGTGTTTTAGACTGTTTACCGTCAAATGCTTCATTTCATGGATATGCCTTCTTTTACTTAAATTCATACTTTCATGGAATTCAAGTATCTTAATGGAATGTCTGTTTCAAAGAGATATACCTGGAATCAAGTCTGCTTACTGAGAACACTATATTAACCAGAAAGTACAGTTATGCTCTAAACAAGCTTGAACTCTCAAAAGACACTTTATGTGCTTAATGGCTTTTTACTGTAAGTTCACTGTAAGTTCACTTTAAGAACGTGTTTTCTAGAACCTTTGAAGAACTCAAATACGCCAAATCCACTTACCATGAATATACTTCCACAGCTAACACTCTACTTGATGTCTTGTAATGAAAGCCACTGGAAGGTGCCTGAACACTACCTGTTATTGAAAGTCACTTAAATACAAGGAAAGCTAAAGTGACATCTAATTCTACTGAAGCTCTCATAAAGTCTTTTATCATGGTTTCTTCATGGTTTAGTTTGGCTACTTCAATACTCTTACTGTACCTCTTAAGAAGTACTTACATACTCTACTCCTCCACCACTACTTCCATTAAATTCACTGAACGTCCATACCTAAAACAACTCTTAATTCCACAAATCAGAACAAACCGGAAGTAATACTCAGCAGTGTGAAAACCTCCAGAAACACTCCTTTCACTCACTTACTTACTTACTTACTTACTTACTTACTTACTTACTTACTCACTTACTCACTTACTTACTCACTCACTTACTCACTTACTTACTTGACCATCTTCCATTTCGTAAAAGCCCAAATATTAACCTTCCTCCACTTTCCAACTCCCCCAGCCACCTTTAACGCCACTTCTAAAGCCCCTTCCTTCTTCAATTCTCTTCATTTCACTGCTTCCCTGGATAAGCCAGCCTTCGCGCTTCCCTGGAAATTCCATAACCGCCATGTGAAAAAACCCACCACCTGCCTTGTTTGTGGCTTTTCCGGAAGAATGCAATGGCACGGCTGACGTTGCACTTTTTTCAACGGGTAAACTCGTGCGTTTCGTAAGTCTTGACGTTTTGGGATGAGGGAGTTTTGGTTGGAAGGTGAAAGTGGATATTGAGGTTCCATGAAAAGTCCAGTGGTAATTGGATTTTCCTCGTTTAATGAAATTCCTTTTAAATCGACCTTTCTCTTCCTTTTCTTCTCCTTCCTTCTTCACCTGCCTTCCTCTTCTTCGGCTGTTCATAACCGTACCATTACGGTACTTGACGGTTATGAACCAGACTAATCACCAAAAAGCAAGAAGTAGCGAGATGTGGCGATCAAGGAATGTTGTAGAATTTTAGCAATCACTGGAATGTTCTCGGGGTTATCGTAGTTGGTTCGGGATCAGGCTGATTTTGTGGTTTTTGCTCGATGCTTGCATCGAGTTTACGTTGGTTTGGTTGCAAAGTGCTGGAAGTGTGGAAGAAGAGAAAACGTGGCGCTGGGTGGTCAAAAATTGGGATTAGGCTTGTTTTGAGTCGGTGGAAGGTTCTGAAGGTAGCGGGTTGAAGGCTTAGGTGGTTCTTTGGTGGACTTGAATGGTATTTGTTGGTTCGTTGAATTGGGGAATGGAAGGGAAGGTTCGGTGGGCTTTAAAGTGGCTCAGCTGGGAAAGAATGAAGCTTGTTTATTCCTCGTAAGTGTCGATATAAAGGCTTTCTTTGGATCTGGTGGACTTGTTCACTGGTTGGTTGATGTATATGAGTGGTTTAGTGTGGTAGACTTGACAGAGAACAAAGTGGACAAAACGCCTGGTAATGGAAGTAAATGAGGATAACTAGAGGCTTCTTGGAGCTGGTTTTTATATTCTGAGTAGATTTAGTGTTTGTTAAGTGGACTTCTGAGGTCATTGCTGGAGGGCTTATATCTTCCAGTAAGGCAGTACTAAGATGCCATAAGTGGAACTTTAAGAAGACGAAGGGCAAAGTATTTGGTCGTAAATGGGAATAAATACAGAAACAGAGCAGTATCTGTAACCTCTGGTGCCTTCCAGAACACAATTGTGGAGTACTGCCTTAGCATTCCATGAGGATACGTCTTTTTCATACACAGTGTCTATAAATTGTAGAAGTTTAATTGGCAAAGGTCAAACAAGCTCTGGAATATAATCTACTGTTATTTTCATGGACCGTGGATTCGTCAGTTGATAAGAAGTCACCAGAGAAAGGATGCACCATTCTACGGCAGATGATGAATAAATAGCATAAATTCAAAAGTTCAACAAACAAGAAGCTGTCATTATGAAAAGCTAAATTACTAAGTACAATTAAAGTACACTTAGCAGACAGTCTAAATTTAATTGCTTTATTTCATGACATACCACAGAATCACATACTTCCATCCATCTCCAGTTCCCACTATATACTTATTTCCAACTTTACCATTCAGTACCATTATAAAACAGAACATTCCATATATATCACTCGTTATTTAGTATTCTAAACTTCCTACTATACCATTAAGTACTAACATAAAACAGGGAATTCCATATATATCAATAAACCTACTATACCATTTAGTACCATTATAAAACAGGGAATTCCATTTACTTCACACGTTATTTAGTATTTTAAATATCCTACTATACTATTTAGTACCAACATAAAACAGAATATTAAATATATATACTCGTTACTTGGTACCTTAAGTAGTATAGTAAGTAAATCACAGTCTACTCTATAGGGCTTCTCCTCCCACCTACACTTCCACTGCTCATAAGGATATATTTCTATGTATACTTTTATTGTCATTTTCTTCTCTTCTTCACCTACGCCTCGCCGAGAAGCGTATACCAGTTCAAATTACCCCCCGCAAGCTGTAGTCTCGTATCGTCATCCGACTTCTTCTCTTCCTTGACCAAATCCTCCTGGATCTTCCAGCCAACCCTTTCAGCTCCCGTCCTGGCGCCGTCCAAATTGGCTGAAGTAGGCCCAATACGCAAACTGGCGTTCTTTCCAACCATATACAATGGAAGCTCTTCACACCACTGGAGGTTATCTGTAAGACAAGGGAAGCCTCCAACTATATCTATAGGGTAGTCTTCAATAATATTGTCAAGGAAGCCAAGGCCATGTAAATCAGGCAGAATGCCAGTAGCACAAATCACATAGTCAGCATCGACATTGGTAACTTTTGGTTCTTCGCCTTCTTGTCTGGTTACAAGGTCCATGTTCCACATATTGGTGGATTCGTCGAAATGGCCGTTTTCCATGGTCGTATACTTCATAAGCAGAAGCCTCTTGGCTGCCTGGTGCTTGTTGATCTTCATATGGTACTCTGGGTTGATCAGGCCGCCTCCTCTGGCGTCTAGAATAAGCTGGGCACGTTCTTCGTCGGTATCGAGCATGTAGAAAGCCGATTTCTTGACGTTTCTGTACTTTGTGACCCAGTCCAAGTGGAAATCAAAGTGTTTGATTTTGACGGGGCCTCGAAGAACAAGCGTCACTTTGATTCCTTTCGTGCAAGCGACGTGGGCGAGCTGGGCTGACGTTAAACCGCCTCCAACGATAACCAAGTGGGGTTTCCCAGAGGATTTGGAGGTCATGGAGGTCTTTTGGGCCATTGGCTGGTCCATTTGGACGGAGGAAACGTCTTTGGGGTCGATGTGTTCGGACATTTTACGGGAACTGTTTGGAGGAATAGAGGTGTCCTTGAAGTGGGACGAAGGAGGCTCCATTTGGTCTTCAGACCTCATTGGAGGTTCAGAAGACATTGAAGGTTCCATAGACATTGAAGACTTTTCCATCGTTTGAGGTTCCATAGACATCTCTGATTCTTTAGACATCATTGAAGGTTCTTTAGACATCATTTCAGACTCCTTGGACATTTCTGGCTCTTTAGACATCATCTCTGGTTCCTTAGACATTGAAGGTTCCTCCATCATCGAAGGCTTCTTCATCATTTCAGGTTCTTTGAACATCTCAGGTTCCATAGAAGTACCTTTCATTTCCTTCTTTTCACTCATTTCCTTCATTTCAGTCATTTCTGGAACTTCCTTCATTTCTGGAACTTCCTTCTTCTCCATCATTTCTGGTTCCTTAGACATTTCATTAATTTCCTTCTTCTCCTTCATTTCTGGAACTTCCATCATTTCCTTCTTTTCCATTTCAGAACCTTCATCTTCTTCTTCTTCCTCCTCACTTTCCATTTCCTCCTTCTTCTGCATCATCTCTTTCCTCTCCATTTCCTTCTCTTTCATCATGGCCATGTCCTTCTCCTTCTGCATTTCCTTCTCCTTCATCATCATCTTCTCCTTCATTTCCATAGCCCTGGCCTTCTTCTTCTTCATTCTCTTCAGCTCCAAGTCGTTGGCAATATCTTCCTGGGTCATTTCTTGGGCTTCTTCGTAGGAGGTCATCGACAGCAAAGAGCCTCTGAGAGAGGAGGGAACTGAATCAATGAGGGAGTCTGTGCTTGAACTTGGAGAAACAGAAACATGAGACATGGCTTTCATGGAGTTTTCGTTCATGGTCTTTTCCATTGAAGGCTCCTTTGAGTCCATTGAAGGCTCCATTTTCTCCATAGAGCCCATTTCCTTCTTTGAAGAGTCCATTTCCTTCTTAGAAGAGTCCATTTCATTCTTTGAAGAGTCCATTTCCTTCTTAGAAGAGTCCATTTCATTCTTTGAAGAGTCCATTTCCTTATTTTCCATAGAGTCCATCATTTCAGGCTTTTCAGATTCCATGGACTCCTTCTCCATTGGCTTCTCCATCATTTCCTTCTTCTCCATGGACTCTTCCATAACTGGTTCCATCTCCTTCTTCTCCATAACTGGCGCCATTTCCTTCTTCTCCATGGCCTCCTTCTCCATGGCCTCCTTCATTTCCCTGGGCATCTTTTTAGAAGTATCGTCTCTAGAAGCTCTGGATCCAGCCCGCTTCTTCTCTCTCTCTGGCTCGCTGCCTAGCTTTTCCAATAACCTGGGATGAGGGAACGGCACTCTCTCATTGAAAATATCCGTCGTATGGCACGAAGCGTCCAAACTGGGCTTCTTATCGCCCAATCCACAAATAGGATAATTAATCTTACCCCTATGGCCACTGGCAACAATGCACGTTTTGCACCCATACGTCTTTCCACTGTGAGTGGTCACCACAAACCCTTTTTCCACGTAGCTCTTATCGAAAATATGCAAATCGGTGTATTTCATGCTGGCGACTTCGTCTTTACGTACACAATCATGTAAACTGTACCTGTCAATCAAGTCATCACAGAAATCACGGAAAAAGGGCGTCAGCGGCCGGTAGTAGTCTCTCCAGTCACGCATGTTGATATCGACAATGCCCAGACGGTCGTGGTTTCTCTGGTTTCCACCCGCCTGGTCGCCAATCACTGCTGGCTGTTTCGCTTTGGACTTCTTCTTCATCGTACGCTTGATCTGGTGCTTCAGGTACTCTTTACCCACCACGTTCTGGATCTCCATGAGGTCTTTCTCTCGGTGGGTCGTGTGGGCGTACGTGATCATCCCGTCGATATTGACCGGATCTGGGTGGAAGAACATGGGCAGACGCAAATGGGGGATCTGGCACGATCTGAACTGGTTATCCCAGCCGCCCATGAACGAATCCAGAAGTGCATCGAGAACAAGGATGTTTTCGGCGGTGAGTTTCGTGGGAGCGACGTATTTGGACGTTTTGGTCATCCCTTTATGGATTGTACTCACTTTGGACCCCCGGTTCTTCAACCAGTGGAACCTCTGGTGCTCTTCTTCAGTGTAAATCAGCCCTGGAGCGTTTTCACAGAGTCTCAGCGCCACGGCAAGCCCACAGGTGCCGCCGCCGACTATGAGCACCTCGAAGAACAGGTCCAGGTGGATATCAGGACAGGAATCGAATTTGGACATGGTGGTGGACGGAAAGTGAGGATCTGGGGAAGGTTATATTTTGCAACCACTGGGGTTTAATGTATGGGTCCTGCATGTACAACCACGAGGGTAGGTTAAAGTCTGGCCAGGGTCCATTTGGCGGCGTTATTGGGTGGTTTTGGAGGGCCCAAAGGGGAAAATGCCGATGGCGGAGAGCGTTGGTGGTGCTGTTTGAGTTACAAGAGGTTTGGATGGGTTTGAAGTGGAAAGGATGGACCTTTCGCTTATGCGGGCTGATGCACCTGATAAGGGACGGTTTTGGGCTGTAGAGATGGTGGAGAGGCCGGGAAAGAAGGAAGAAGTGGAGGGAAAGTTGTAGAGGATGACGAAGTTGGAATTGGAGAGGTCTTACTGAAAAATTGGGTGATTTGGGGTGGTTTGGTGGACCTCTGGATCGTGTGACAGTGTGTTTGCTGCACGGTGTGTGGTATATGCAGGATACACATTCCCAGCTCTCAATAGACTGAACGAGATACTCTCAGTTATTTGAAGATTTGTTGAGATGTTGACATTTCCGACGGTGGATTCGTCTTTTTCTGATTTTTCTGGTCCTATAAGTACCCTTTGGTTTTCTTGTACCCCAACTTTTGTGGATTTGGCAGGGGTTTTCTCCTTTCCACGTTTAGCCGCAGAACAGGTACCGTAGTAGTTATGGCGAAAAATCGACGATTATTCCAGAAACGTGTCGTGTGGAGTTTTCAAAGGGGTGGGTTGGAAATTGGAGATGTGCTGGTTTTTTGGATTCTGGATTTCCTCTGGTTTGCTTGTTAAAGGTGATTGATATATGGGACGTATTTTTTGAAAGTTAAGTATGCAAAAGGCCCAAGAAGACCTGGAACGTAATAAAGACACTCCTAAAAAGAACATAGAAAGCTCTCTATGAGCTGTTATTGAAATTACTTTGTCACTTCTTTGGACTTTATGACTTCATTGGGTTGTGTAGAGATATGTCCACCAAATGAGCCCAACCTCCACAAATTTGTTACTTCGACCATTCCGTGCCATTCCCTGGTCTTTAAGTACCCCTCCACATTAATCCCCTTTTACAACCATTCCTTGGGGGTGTGGAGTTTTGGGATACTTGGTGGGTTTATCTTATCGTCCTGCATGTAGTTCCCCTCCTTTCAACCACCCCCATCCCAAAAAACCTCCACCACCTGCCAATTCCAAACTTAAAAAACCTTCTCTGTCAATTCCCAAGGCTCGGAAACCTAAAAAGCTTCTCTTCATGCGGCAACCTTCTACCTGGAAACAGAGACCGTTGCTGAAACTGGAACTGTGGTGTTTGACGCACGTCATGCCTTATATGCAGTACAATCGTCTCAAAATGCCATAACCATCAACCAAAACACTCCACAAATCCGTAAAAAATAAAAAAAAAGCATCATCAGATTGCTACAACCGCCAGGGTCCCCAAATATCCAAAAACCCTGGTAGTTCCACCACCCCTACGCATTCTACGTCGTTTCTTCGCAAATGGCTGCAAAACCACAACGGTACCGCAACCCTTCAGTATCCACCGCCAACCTCCAGTAAACCCTGAAAAACCTCTCTCCCTACTGTAATTACGTCCCTAGCACCACCTTACAACCACCCAACCACAGCAATCCGGCAACACTACCGAACCAGTTCAACCTTGGTGGATCAACCCTGGCAGACCAACCCTGGTGGTGAAACAGCAACGAAACGCTCTGAAAAACCACCCTAGTGGGCTCTCTACAACCCCAGCGGTGCTGTATTTTAGTCACCCTTGGGGTTCTGGCAACGTGGGTTCAGCCAATCAGATCATTTCTGGAATCCATCAGGGTACCTATATTGTGGTTATCTGACCAGAGTATAACCACAGCTCTCCAAAACCAACGTAACCTTGGTAGTTCCAGGGGTAAACAGGTGATGGCAGGTTGTGTAACCTGCGAGGTTGACGTGTGGAAAACGCAGGTAGATCGAGTTCGCTGCATAATCAGAATCTGGGGTAAAACCAACAATAACCATCCATAACCATCCATAACCTACAAGATGTAAGTTCAATCTCTCTTAACTATACCTCAACTTTTATTGTTTGCCGAGGAATCCCTGGATGATGGCCAAAAGACCAACAGCACCTGGATCTGGAACTCCTCCAGCAAACTCTTCCTCGTTCACATAAGAAGCACGTCCAAACTTGGCCTGCAACTTGGCAGTGTTGTCACAGGAAGCTTTGGCGGCGTCCACCAGCTTATCCACATCGCCAGTTTCCACCAAAGTATCCACAAATGGCTGCAAAGTGTCGACCAAAGTACGACCGCCCTTTCTGGCCTTAGTGTACTTGAACAAACCTTCGTAAAGTGCATCCGACATTGCCTTGGCCACCAGCTTCGTGTCCACAGACTTGGCCTGCTGCAAGTTCTTTGCAAAACTGGTTAAGTAGATGGCATAGATACCTCCAGAAGTGCCTCCCATCTTATCTTCCACAATCTCAGTAATGGCACTGACTGTGGCCACCACGTCGCTCAAATTGGCCTGGAACTCCTTGTTGGAGCTCAAAGCTTCCAAAATAGCGTCAGCGCCAGCCTTCAAAGTCTCGCCACAGTCACCATCACCGACCTGAGTATCGTATTTGGTGATTTCTGGCTCTTTCTTGATCAACAAGTGCAAAGCGTTCTTGAGGTTTTCAGAAAAGGCAGCAGCGTCGATCTTGGCGTCTGATTTGGGGTACTCGGCGTGGGCCACAGGCGATTCCTTGATTTCTGGTTCGGGTTTCTGCCACTGTTCTGGAGTGTAGATCTTGGGTTTCCAGCCTGGAGCGTTGGTAGGAGCGTCCAAGAACCTGAGCAAGTCAGATTTGCCGTACTTCTTGGTGCCGGCCTTATCCAAGTTGAATAAGGTAATGGAGAAGCCTGGGCTGCTCAAGGAAGTGACGAAATCGGAAATGTACACTCTGGAAGGACGTTTCTTCAAGGGAACTCTGGAAACGGCATAATTAGCCAAAGCGTACAATTCCAACGAAGAAGTACCGCCAATGTTATTAATAAGAAGCACGTAGTCATCCTCCTCGTCGAAATCAAGGTAATGACGCTCCTTATCGTTCTCATCCAACAAACGCTTATACATCAAATCCACCAATTCCTGAGCCTTTGGAATAGGATTCAATTTCTCGCCCGGCTCGTTATGAATACCAAGACCAAGTTCTGCCGTGTTTTCGCCAGTCACCTCGCCCTCGTCGCCGCCGTCTCTGCCTGGAACCGTAGTTCTATCCAAAGAAGCACCCATAGTGACCAAACCACCATTCACAGCTCTTCCCAACTCAGCCAACTCCTCAAGCTCAGCTCCACCTTCAGCACTAGCAGCGCCCAACGTCTTATGGACGATTGCAGTGCCCGCAATGCCTCTACGTCCAACCATCTCGTTCTGTGTTCTGCCCACAGCCACATCGTCCGAAACAGCCACAAGCTCAACCTTGTAGCCGTCTCTCTTTGCTCTCTCGGCGACCAAGCCAAAGTGCAAAACATCGCCAGTGTAGTTTTTAACCACAGCAATCAATCCTTTGTCCTTGCTAGCAGTTGCTTTCACTCCAGCCATGATCTGTTTCGTAGAAGGCGAAGCAAAGATCGTTCCTGCCACTGCAGCGTCAAGCAAATTGTCTCCCACAAATCCAGCATGAAGCGGTTCGTGGCCCAGACCGCCGCCACTGATGATGGCGACCTTTTCTTGGTGGTTCTTGTTGAAAACCACTTTTTCAGAGGGAATAAGCGAAAGCGCTGGGTTCAGCGCCACGAGCCCACGGAGGGCGCCCAACACGATATCGTCGTTGCCGTAGTTCCAGTGTTTGACCATTTGGAGAAAAGAAAATGTAGGTTTTGGGGGATTTGGGTGAAAAGGGATGGAGTTGGAAGTGGTATAGTGAGGTGACTTTATATAGTATATAGAGGAGGAGAAGGGAGGTTGAGGTTTTTGGACAGGGGGTGGATATAAATTGATGAAAATTGGAAGATGTGCTTTAGGAGACTGGGAGAAGCTTCAGTCCAAGAATTGAGTGAATCTGACCTGTTTCCGTGGATTTAGATGGGGGTTGGTTTGACTGGGGAAGTGGATGGGATGGACTATATGCACGCTGACGTCATGGGAGATGGAAAGGGTCCGTGGTAGAGGTGAAAAAGGATGGTTTTAAGCGGGAAATGGGGTCTTGACGGGTTGAGGGGGGCTGAATGAGTGGATTGGGCTTGTCAGGTTTGGTGAAATTAGCGGTTGGGCAGAGGAAGTACGTGGTTGACTGGAATCTGTAGGTAGAGATAGCCTTCTCTACATTTGGGCATTGGTTGGCTGTTTGAGGAGTATATAACGTTCATGGGGATTTCTAGGGGAGTGGAAGTTTCCTCTCTACGGGTTATTTTGGTGGTTTGGCTTCCAGGTGAATTGGAGGTTGAGGTTATTCATATACTACTGTGAAGGTTGCTACGGCTGGTGCTGGAACAAGTAAGGCACTTCTCGAGGTGAGGATGCAATCAAGCGTATTTGTGATGTTCCTGGCTTGAACTAAATTGCCTTTTTATGGTATACCTCGTGGGAACCTTGTCGACTATTGGGTGCAAATTGCTGTATGATTTGTGTATATGTGGGCACATATAATGAACCTGAGCCATAAGAAGCCCATAAATAATTATTCATCGCTCTTTTCAATACACTAAGATGTATTACGATATGTTCTTGTGGCGTCCTACGTAGTTATGGTTGGTCCTTGTATTATAAAGTTCTTTACCAGACATAGGTCAATGTTTCTCGACTGAAAAGCATCAGAATCAAAATTCAAGCATATATTTAGAAACCTGGAGTTTGAAATATTACAGGGATATCTTAATATATCCAAAATGCTTCAATCTTGTATGTTTTGACGAAGGTTAATGGAAGAATCTCTGGAGCTTATGATAAACCCGTGCCTCCTGAATTACATTCCAGAAATCGCTGGATTTTCCAAACCAGAAAAAGTGAATCCTCCTTTACCCAGCCATTTCTAGGCAGCCAGAAAAGGAAACTGCCTGAAACTTGGCTATTATTGTAACAATTACCTCCTTTCCATCGTGGCATTTTTACATTCCAAAAATTATGAGCCCAGCGATTGCAAACTTCTGATTGGCTGCGAAAATCAAAATTCTCTAAATGTCCATATAAAACAGCCTTCCAGTGGGAAATTCGAAATTCTGAAAACACCACCAGATTCCTCGTGTCCTCTTTACTCTACTTAAGTTCAAATCCTATTCATTTTTGTTCCTGTGAAGAACTCTGTTGACTTTTCGTCTCGGCGATTTTCGGTCCCTGGCACTCCCCTATGGATTTTCTCGATTTTTCGGTTTTTCGAGAATCTGGATAAATTGAGGTGCACGGGTTTATTTCCACTCCAGCCAGAGACCACCACCATTCTCCCCTTTTCAACCTTATGAATCATGAAAGTTTAATTTATCAATAGAGAAAGTCAAACTAAAGATTTTTGCAAATTTTCAATCTTTTTGGAAGACTTTGGTGGAACTTAATGGGGAAGTTTAAGGCATACCCTGCAGTACCCAACCACCAAGAAGCCAATAAACTTCAAAAGAGACCACCAAAATTAAAAATTTACTTTCATAACTTACCTTCTATCATTAAATTCACTCTCTTTGTAATCTTTAGTCTCAATCTATTCGAATTCGTGAAATGGAATTCGAATACCCGTGGCAAGACCATATAAAAAGGCCTTCGTTGACTACTTAGTAATATACTTAAGTTCAAAACCTCCCTGAACCTTTTGAAAGTTTTTCAAACACCACGAAAAATCCATTTAAAAAAATCGAAATACAATACAGCTTTTTAAGTGCCCTTTAAAATACCATCACCACGTAAAACATCACCTTACATTAACCTACATCAACATCTTCCACCACTCCCCTTTTCCTCCCTAAAAACCACCCAAACCCCCAAACCACCAAAACAAAACTTTTTCCCTTTCCTTCCCACTTCCTCTCCCTCTCCATACCTCCGGCTACCCCAATTCAGCCAATCATACTGCCCCACCACTTCAACTCTCCATAACTCACCCAAAACCAACCCAAATTCCACCTAAAAACCACCAAAAAAGCCCCCCTTTCTCCCTCTTCCTCCTCCAACCACCACCTTTCCAATCTCCAATTTTCCCAATTTTAAACACCCCCTCCTCCAATCCACAACTTCCCAATTCCATCCATTTCTCACTAAACCATCCATTTTTCGCACCCAAACGGCAATCCTAAAAGGCAAGTGTAAACCACAAAAAGCACCACCAAAAAAACCAAAACCCCCAAAAAACCTCCAAAAATTCGTCAACGTCACCAGTAAACCTCCCAATTTCCCAACCCACCCAAAAACATCTCTCCCTCCAAAGACTTTTCTCTCAAAACTCTCTCACCATCCAAAACACTACCTTGTCCCTCGGCCTTACCTGCCGTCCTGAACTTCCACCTTCTCCAGATCTCGAGGTCATCTCGCACTCACCTGCCGCCCATCGCCCCACACCACCAGCTCATCTTCAGGGTCCACCATCAACACGAGAGGTGACAGACTTTCACCTTAGAATCCTTTTCATTTATCTCGCTGTCTCCTTCCGTTTACGTTCTTTTCTTTGGCATGAAAAACTCAAGGGCCAACAAACTGAAAACATTCACTGGATGTTTCACTTGTAGGTCAAGGAAAATCCGTTGTGACCTCCAACGACCAACGTGTCAGAACTGCAAAAAGGCCCATTTGACTTGCTCGGGTTACGATATCAAGCTTCGCTGGTCGCTCCCGGTGGAGTTCACGCCGAAGGGCAGAAACCCAATTCAGCATCCGGTGAAATTTCCAGACACTGAGAACGATAACGCTGAACTGGGGTTCTTCCAGCGACGCCATGTGGGGTTTGTTACTTGGGACGCTAAGAAGAATTGCAGGCCGTACGAAACGTATGAGGAAATGGATAACCACTTGGCTGACCTCCAGGGCATGAAGAGACCTAGCGAAACCGTCTTGAAAGGGCCTTTTGGTGTTTTCAGTAAAGATAAACGCAGAAAGAAGGATCCTCAACCACTGGCTGCTCCTCAGGTTCCTGAATCTGATGCCCTTCTAGGCCACGACCAGCTCTGGCTTTCGAACGAGCTTAAAGACCACGCTTTGCTTACTGCCGCTGCGCTTAACGGTGATACTCAGTTTCTTGACCTTGTGGATTCGCTTCCGAACTTTTCTCCTTCCAACCTGGCGTACCCTGCCAACGCTGAATCTACAGACTTTCTCAATTTGGTGTTTCACAGACACCAGAATAACAACTCAGCGAACAGTGGGCTACTGCCGCAGGTTGGCAAAACTACTCCATCTTCAATGACCAGCATTTTGAACCTGGACGATCAAAGCTCCATTAATCCAGGCAACCAGCACTTGTTCTACTCGAACTATAACAACTTCTTCTATAATAACCCTTACCAGCTTAATAAGACCTTGGAGATTCAGCTCCATGCCTCGGCTCATCCGCTGAAACACGATGACGACAGTACAGATATGGTGGAGGGTGATAGTTCTGCTTCTACACACATGCCAGAAGACATTATGGCCATTGTTCAGAGACCATTACAACCCAAACTCGGGTTTGACATATCTTTACCGAAAAATGGTGTTGTACTTCCAACATCTGCGCTTCAAGTGCAACCACTTACAAGGTACTTGCTTAATTACTACGTCACGCAAGTTGCCGACCTCATGACGGTCATTCCGCTTACAGAAAACCCGTGGAAGACCATCTACTTTCCTAGAGCTTTAATGGCTATTGGCGAACTTAGTGCTTTGGGTAAAACATCTACAGCCAAAAACGCCTTACTTAATGCCCTTCTTGCCGTGGCAGCCTTCAACCTTCAGAGTAAATTCCCCAAGAACTCCGACCCCATGAAGTTTTACCTTAATTTGGGTATTCGTCTTCGAAACCAGGCATCAGTGTTTGTAAAGACACTTCTTGGATCTAAAAGCGGCACGCAAAGCAACATCGAACGTTGCGTGGCCAATGAAAAGTACAAAGACGTGCTTTGCGCTGTAATGTCGATGATCAGTGTGGACTTAGTCTGGGGAACAATGCAAGATACGAACTTCTACATCAAATGGTGTGAAAAGGTGATTTACACGAAAATGAGAAACAAGAAGAAACTCTCGCCCAAAGCCAGAATAATGCACCGTATTTTCCTGTCGTTGAAGTTGATCCAGGATTCGACATGTCTTGATTACGCCAACATCAAAGAAGATTATGAGTTGAACACCAGGTTTGGCTATGACGTGCGGTTGCTGTTTGAAAACAACACCTTCAACGAAAAAACCAGTTCTCTCCAAGACAAAACCAAAGGAAGAATCGACTATATCATGGACACGCGGCGGGTCTCGTCTCCAATGTTTGTGAACAAGAAATTAATCAACACCAACAAGAACGACGAGCATTTTGCAACCGATGCGCTTTATGGACTTCCCAATAATCTAATCGTATTGTTCAGCGAGACGGTTCTGCTTTTACGAGAAAAGATCCACGATAAAGAACTGAAAAAAGCAGTTGCGGCAGATTTCACCGAGAGAGTGGGTTCCCTCAAGAAGAAGCTCAGCATGTGGAAACTCGACTGGAAGCTCTACGATATCGAAGGCAGCGGCAAGTATAACTTTTACACGCCGATGCACGAAGTGACATACCACCATATCATGTCGTTCTACCATGCACTTTGTATTTATTTTGGACGCCTCATTGAAGAAACACCGCCCGAGCTGCTTCAGGACAAGGTGGGACAAACATTGGAGCATCTCAACCTGATTCAAAGGCTCATATCCAAAGATGAAGCCCACATCATTCCCCTTTTCTGGCAGGGCTTCATTGCTGGGTGTGAAGCGGTAACAGTAGATCTACAAATGGGGTTCAAGAAATGGGGAGCCGACATTGCACAGTACTTGGGCAGCTACTGGGGAGCCCGGCAAATCATGCTTGAAGTGTGGCGGAGAAAGAAGCTCCAAGAGGCAAGAGCTGATTGGGTAAGCGTGATTCAGGATTGGGAAATGAACCTTATGTTGAACTAGGCTGTGAAGTGTTGTTGTTTGCTAGAGAATGTTGGCTCAGCTGCACTCCACAAGTGGTATGGAGAGTCCAGAAGGAAAGGGGGAAAACGGCTGCAAAGAAGCAAGAGGCGAGAGAAGCAGGCAAGTGAAGCATATTCTGAGTCGTGAACGCGGTTTAGATTTCGGGTAAAGCCAAAACACAGCTAGGCTATGGGCCCGTTGGTATGTCAAAGACAAACGTCAAAAGCCTAATTCACGACCGAATTCACGTTTACCATTTGGCTAAAAGCGTGAACCCACTGGAAATGTCGTTCACGGTTACCACCTTCGGTTAGGCATCACATGAAGGATGTTTCAGATGAGGCTTTGAGGGTCCCGCCGCTACAGGGGATCTGTGTCGTCAGGGGCACGATTTCCGAATTTCACTAATTGCCATGAAGATCGGTAGCAGGGGGATTCCGTTACCGATGATGCCTATGCCTGGTAGCTACGCTGCCAGGCCCTAGACAAAGAGGGAGATGGTGGATCACGGAGATCGAAGTCATTAAATTACCGAATCACGAATTGAAATCACGGATTGAAATCACGATTTGCCAATCCGCCAAATCGCCAACCTGGCGATTTGTGAAGCACCGATTGTCCAAGCTTATTGTTGGCTTAAGCTTTTGGCACTTCTTCGTTGGCTGCGAAAAGAAGCTTCAACAGAAACAGAACCCAAGAAGCTTCAATGCCACTTCCCAAAACGCTCCATTGCTATCCATTTTAAGAAACGCCAAACCACAAATTTCACCAATCCAAACAAAAGAAAAAAAATGCCAATGCACTTTCAGCCATCGTTGCCTTTTTGTCACCGTCTGCCACTTTGCCCCAAGAGTCTGGAAGTGTCGATTTCCCACTTTCGCGCGCCAGGCACGGAAAAACATACGCATTTTGCACCGAGACGAGTTCCAAGACTCGCCTGGGCTCGCCTGGCTCTGCCCTCAGATCGCGCACTGGAATGAAAAAAAACGGCCCCAAATGGAAACCGTCGATTTCCATGGCTTACACTCCCACAGCCACCGAGACACTGTGAAACGGGGAAGCAAGAGGAGACGGAAAGTCCACGACATTTGGCCCTGAATGCAGAAAAAATGAGGAAGTTTGGAGCAGTATTGGTGGAATTGTGGTTGGACCCTCTTTGGCTAATTGGGTGCAAATTGACAATTAGTTGGGGCAATGCAAGGAATTTGGCGGGTTGGCGTTCTTCGCTGCCGCCCACGCCGATTGGGCGCGGCGGGTCTTCCCCAGCCATCGTGTTTGTTTGTTTTCGTCTCGCGAACACGACATTTTCCATTTTTCACACCTCCACTGGCCTACCCACTATGGCTGCAAAACACGTCAAAGCCATCAAGAAAGGGACGCTCCACCGCCTAGCAACGACGCGTGCCATGGCTTCTTTGCCGGGTGCTTGGGAGACCGGGGTGGTATAAATATGTGGGGATTTCCCTGCTCTGTTCAAGTTTATCATCATCCTTTGATACTCATATTTCTTATACCCCCAACCCCCAACTAATTGTCTATCGCTATGAAGTACTTCGTTTCTGCCGCTGCCCTCGCTGCCACTGTCGCTGCTGCCTCTTCTGCTGCTGCCTCTGCTCCAGCTGGCTCTGCCCCAGCTTCTGTTGAGGTTGAGACTGTCACCAACCAGCACACCACTGAGCTCACCATTACTTCTTGTTCTGGTGTCAAGTCTTGTGAGACCACTGTCCACGCTGCTACCGAGACTGTTGTCACCAAGACTGTTGAGGGTGTCGAGACTGAGTACACCACCATCTGCCCAGTTTCCGAGGAGGGCCCAGAGAAGACCCCAGCTCCAGCTCCAGCTCCAGAGGGCTCTGCTCCAGCCCCAGCTCCAGCTCCAGAGGGTTCCGCTCCACCAGCTCCTGCCCCTGAGGCTTCCGCCCCAGCTTCTGCTCCAGCTCCAGCTCCAGAGGGTTCTGCTCCAGCTCCAGCCCCAGCTCCAGAGGCTTCCGGCCCAGCTCCAGCTCCAGAAGGTTCTGCCCCAGCTCCAGCTCCAGGCCCAGAGGCCTCTGCTCCTCCAGCTGAGGGTACTACCCCAACCACTCTTGCTGGTGAGCCAACCACTGCTCCAGAGGGCTCTGCTCCTCCAGCTCCAGCTCCAGAGGGTTCTGCTCCTCCAGCTCCAGCCGCTGGCTCTGAGAGTGACGTGATTGTCGATGCTACCACCACCCCAACCTCTGTCGAGTCTACTGGTGTCGTTCACACTTCTTACGCCCAGCTGACCTTCACTTCTGTCCAGCAGTCGCAGTCTGCTCCTCCAGCTGAGGGCTCTGCTGGTGTTTCTACCTTCGAGGGTGGTGCCAACAAGCAGGCTTTCGCTGGTGCCGCTCTTATCGGTGCTGCCGCTATGTTGTTGTAAGTTTGAACAACTAATACAACTTAGACAAGCCGGTTCTTGGGATTTCATGCATTCATTCATAAAAATATAGGATTATTTCGTTAATAAAGATACATATAAAAAAGAGTTGTAGAAGCTACAAGAATTTCCAATTATTCTGTATTCTATTTGCCAGTTATTCTATAGTGGGCAAAGCCCTTTTAAAATTCATCCTTGATATTTGTCTTTCCTTGTGGTGGGACATACACGGCACGGCCCACGTAAACGTTCCACCAACCGTTGGCATAGTACAAACAGTATTCCCAAACGGTCTTTGGGAATTTCACGTAGACGTCCCAGATAAACCAAAGCGCAGCTTTGACGTCGTCCAACTCTTCCCAGAAGCCCTGAGTACGACCTTTGACATTTACGAGTTTTCCACCGTCAAGGTTGTCTTGGGCAAACACTGAAGCTGCTTCTTTCTTTTTCGTCACAGGCTGGAACGCCACGAACGGGAACTCGATACCCTTGTCGTGCAAAGGCTCGTAGTCGCCGTGCTTCACCTTACCTGCGGCCACATCTTCCAAGTGCTGGAGGTACATGGACTTGAAGTTGTTGATAGCTTCAACCGACTTGGAAAGACGATCAAAGGTGTTGAAAAGCGCCACCAACTCGATGCGGCGGAACTTCAACAAATGCTGGGTGTTGGGGTCCTCAGAATCGAAAAGCACCTTGAGAGCGGTACCGTAACCGATAGTCTGAAGCTTGCCCCACATTCTACACCTGTCGCAGCCAACGCAGTCCATGATGGCACTGACGTTTTTAAAACGGGATCTAAACTCGTTCTTGAGCTCTGGAGAGCTCTTGGCGGGGTCAAAAAGCGAATGGGTCTCGAAAAGCACCTCGGAGCTCAAAGTCTCGTTGATGTTCGAGAGCAAATCGGCGTAAGCAGCAGGATCAACGTCTTCATTGGATCTCAACTGGTTCTCGTCGCCGCTCAACGATTCGTGGTTTTCTTTAATGTACGAAGGAAGTGAAACCATATCAGACAACTTAACAATAGCCTGCGACACCAACGCATAGTTAAAGTAGATATTCGAAAGACGGTCATTAAATTTACCCACTCTCTCCATAAAAACCTTCAAGTTAGGATGGAACTCCTCGGTTTCAGGATCCAAATACTCGTTCGACAAGTGCACAGCAATAGACGCGTGCATACCCGAAATCAACCTATAGAACAAGTTCTTCTCCACACACAGCTCAGGTTCAGCCTCTGGAGTCATCGACATCGGGTTCGTATTTGGGAAACAGTTCTCAGAGTAAATAGCTTTCCACACGTCAAACGACTGCGCTCCGCCATACCCAGTAAACCTCTCTGGGTTCTCCTTCAAATCCACAAAAACACAGTTATGGTCGTCGTCAATATGGCAGTAGTCCAAGTCCTCACACGTGTCAGACTCGTCGTGAGCCGTAGAAGCTCTCAGAATCTCTCCAAGCTTCAGAGGCGACAAATCATCAGGCACGTCCAGCCAGTTGAACTGCTCAGGCAGTAAAACCTCCACGGCACAGTTTCTCGTGGCGCAAAAGTGCTGGGCGTTCCAGAACTTGCACTGTTTATCCAAATCAAGCTTGAAAAACCTGAAGAAAGGCTTCAGAATCAAATCAACAACCAGGTCTCTGATTTGGCTGTTCACCGCATCGATATATGAAAAAGTGGTATTACACGTGGGGGTGATGATCTGGGAACAGAAATCTGGCGAGTCGAAGGGCGACACGTGGGGCAGCGACGCAGCTAGCGTAGCTAGAAATAGAAGGAAGATGTTCATGTGGAGGTGAAGAAGGTTGTAGGAATGTTGCAAAATATCGCTGGCCTTATCTTATAAGTAAGCGTCAGACGATGTGGGGTCACGTGATGATATTACAAATTTCCCAGTAAACAACCTTCAGGTGGTAAAGGGAGGGTAGGGAAGGTATTAGGGGTTTCCGGGGGGCTCAAAGTCACTGGAATATTATCTTTTTCATGTTTTTTACCCCTGGTTGTTTGGTTAGGTGGTGGCAACTGGCTGCGAAAAGAAACTTGACGTGCAGCAATGGCAAATCAAAAAGGGAAGGACACGGTGGTTTGTAAATGGAGTGTTGTTTTTGGTGATTTTAAAAAAGCGGTTGAGTTTTGGACGGTTTGGCGTTTTTTGGGGAGTTTTTGGGCGGTTTTGGTGGAAATACATGGACCTTTTTGATGTCTCACCAGCTGCTGGTAGTTAAGCCAAAAGAGGCTCAGCAAGGGCTGGTCCCGGAATGGGTGTGACTGGTAGGTTGGTGGGAATGATAAGGTTGGGATAGTGGGATGTAAGGGATGGTGAATAGTGGCAGAAAAAGGGGGAATTAGAGTGTAGAGGTGGGTTTGTCGTGACTGGTGAGAGGGTAAGCTTAGTGAATGGACTGGGAGAAGGAGGAAAGCACCCTCTGGAGGTCTAGACTTAAAAAGGTTGTTTTCGTTTTTTACATTTTGATATCAGGCTTCGTTTGGCACGGCAGTTAAAGGAAAAACCTCGACGCTGGTCTAGTAAACTGGCGTATTCCCATTACAGTATAAGACGTCCATGTTGAATACCCTTCTGCTCAAGCTCAACAAAACACTAATATTAGAACAGTTTAAGATACTTACTATTAAAATGTCTTGTTTTCTATCTTTCCAGGATTTCCAGTTATCTTCCTGTCAAACAGGGACCATAACTGGCCTCCCTCCTAATACCCAACTCCAGCCCTTCTTTCCACCTAGACCATACTACTGCTACACCGACCAGGCTTCTCGAAGAGCGGGAATAAGCTTCTTCCGAAACCAAGCGTCCAGATTTCTTTTCTTCCATTCTACCCTCGGAATACAAACACCGCCCTAAAGAGTAATTTCTTCTTCTTCTTCTTCCACCATTATCATTAGTCTATGGTAAGCGTAACCACTTCCTCATCCAGAGCTTCTCAAGGAACTTCCATTCTTTCTTTTCCAGCATTGTTCTGTCTCTACAAACACCACCCTGCTACCCATGACAACAAGCTCCAACCCAAAGCATTTCCTCCTTCTTCTGGGCTCCCCACTTCCCACTCTCCACTCTCTATTCCTCCAAAACAAGTGTTTCGACGGTTTCAAACCTCCGCTGCTGGACCAACCAACCGTCCACCACCTGGCAACCGTAAATCCTCACCTATACCCATTCTTATCAGATCTCTGCGAATTAAACTTTCTTTAAATGGTCGGTTTTATTCATAATGGCGATCCTTGAGATCATCTGGCTTCCAGCAATAGTCGATCGCTGCCAGATTGTTACTCCTCATCTGGAGATCTACTCACAAGACTCGTGAGGAGACACAGTACAAGGCAAGAACAGCCGAACCAGGCTTGGAGCGGTATGTACCGGTAGTAAAAGCGAATTAGTATGCTTTTAAGCGTAAATACAATGTTTAGAAAAATGACATCACAGGTAATACCATAAAAAAAAAAAATTAGCCTTTCTAAGCCCGAGGCGCAACTCTTCTCGAACAAATGGACAGAACGGGAAGCCACCCCACGGGGTTGAGGCATTTTAAACATCCTCCTGAAGTGGGCTGGTTACGTAGATACAAGAAGAGTAGCTAATTGGACAAACAAAGTCTCCACAGTGGAACCACAACACAGATTCCGTTCTTCCCACGTTCTTCCACCACTGTTTCACCTCTCAGGGACCATCCCATGGAAAGTTAACCCATTCTGCGTCGAAAACGCTTGCAAATCTCGAATCTGGTCCAGCCCTAAACCTTATTTTGTGAGACGTAAAGATGGCTTAATGTAGGGTTTAAGCCAGGAAGGTGAAGGTTTTACCGACTGGAGTTCCATCAACGTGCCAAGGCAACACTTAGAAGAAGACCCACAAGAACAAGCGACCCAGTTCAGAAACCCCTCAGAAACCAGGCCAACGAATTTGGAAATCCCTCAGGGTTCAAAAACGAAAATGCCTCACTTTCCAATAGCCAGTGGCCAATTGCCAGAGGACATCCACAATAGGTGTCAATTCTCTCACTCCCTCTCTGTCCCCTCCTTACACTAAACCTGTAACCCTGTGGGAGACCCCTCACTATCCTATTAGCCATGCTTCCCACACATTTAGCGAACTCGCTTTTGTGTTTCTTCACATGGGTGCAAATTATTAACTACCATATGTCTCAGGGCTCGCTTCTGCATAACCTGCCGAGGACATGCACTGTCCCCAGTTAATATGTCAATTCCTCGCCTTCCATGCATACCCCTCCTTGGCTGCAAAAAAGTGGTATAACGAAGGGGATGAAATGAGGTAGTAAAAAGTGACAAATGTTACTTTGTGGTTTCCTATGGCTTACTCAAGCATAAGCTGACGCTTATGCTTTTCGTGCCTGTTTGAGCTATTTGCTTCTTCCGCTACTCCATACACGAAGCGCAATTCCACATGTGGCTTCCTCCCGCTACCACTTGTGTGGTTAATTTCATCATGGCTTGATCTTCTATATAACTTGGACGGTTTGCCTGGTTCCTGGTTCCTGGTTGTACTCCAGGCATGTTGGCGCACGCTGTGATATCGCTTATCAGTGTAGCTGCTGCTCACTCGAGGGCGCTCTTGGTGGTGTCTACACTAGTGTTTGTTGTTTGGAAGTTATACGTGTTTCCGTTTTACGTGTCGCCGTTGAAAGATGTGCCTGGTCCTTATTGGCATCGGGTGTCGACGCTTCCTGCGGTGCTTGCTCAGTACCTGAACTGCTGGGTTCGTACGATCCATAGACTCCATGAGATACATGGAGATGTGGTGGTTTTGGGACCAAACGAGGTTTCATGCAATGGAGACTTACGCTATATTAACGATATCTACGTGAAAAACATGCCGAAGCTGGCCTTCTATACGCATTTCCAGAACCACGGCCATGTGAATGTGTTCAGTACGCTTGAGAATGGTCCTCACTTGAAGTATAAGAAGATGATGCTGGGGCTTTATTCAAAGTCTTCTATTCTCTCCAGTCCTGCCACGCGTGACTTGCTTGTTCTGAAAGCTTCCCAGCTTGTCAACAGAGTCCATTTATCTTCTGTCACTGCTTTGGATCCAGATTGGCTTAATGCTCGGCTGGAACTTAACCATAACGGTAAAGGCCACGCTGAAGGGTCCAACGACTGGCTTGGCCAGAAGTCTGCTAGTCTTGGAATCGATGTTTACCTGCTTTTCGGCGCTTTGGCCATGGACGTGATCTCTGCTTTTGAGCTAGGCGTGAAAAACGGTACTGACTTGCTTAATGATACGTATAAACGCCAGATCTTGGTTGATTTCAGAACAAAAGAGCTCGAAACGCTTGGCTCCATGCTCCTTCCAAAGCTTCATTGGCTTCTTGCAGGTTCAAGAATCCTCCTGGCGCTGAAAACAGTCGAACACTGGCTCTTATCGACCTTACAAGGCGCCGAGTACGATCCAGAAGTTTCCAGACCAACAACACTCAGCACACTCAAAAAGAACGGTCTCCAAGGAAAGAAAGCCTACTCATTTCTCAGCGACAACCTCATTGCTGGCCATGAGACGTCTGCCATTGCACTCACTTACATTTGCTATGAGCTTTCAAGACCAGTGAACAAGTCCAGGCAAGAAAGGCTCCAGAACGAGCTCAGGGAGGTCTTTGGACACCCAGAAAACAGGCAGGTCCTCGACGCCATTGAACAAATCGACCAGCTTCCGTACCTCGAAGCTTTGCTCAAGGAAAACTTTAGAGTCCATACATCTGGCGCTGGCTCTATGCCTAGACTCACTCCGTCCACCTATGAAGTCCACACTTCCAATGGCCCAGTTGTTTTGCCCAAAGGAACAACCATATCTTGTCAAGCGTACTCGTACCATCGCCAGCCAGACATCTTTCCCCATCCAGATAAGTGGATTCCAGAAAGATGGCTTCCCCAGCCTGGAGAGCCTGAACAAGCCTTCAAGCTCAGAAAAACACACATGTCCAAGCACCTTTTGCACTTTGGCAAGGGCATTCGCATGTGTTTAGGTAAGGATTTGGCGCTTTTGGATATCAAGTTGGCGTTGGCAAACTTATACTGGAGGTACACTTCCCTGGTTTGTTCAGACTGGTGCAAAGTGACTCAGTACGATGGAGATGTCAAGGTAGGCAACGAAGTAAAGCTTGGAGCAGCCAAACCAGCGTCCAATTCAGACGAAGAGATGATGGGCATGGTCGATGGGTTACTGGCAAAACCACGCTGTGACGAATGCTGGCTCGAATGGAGCAGCTACTAAAAAATAAAGCATATGGATGCTCAAAATAAAGCACATGGATGCTCAAAATAATAGATTATTATACAAGGAATAAAAGTGGCTGATTAGTCGTCAAACTTGATCTTCTTGGCGGTCTTCGACATGTCGACGTCTTTGAAGAACGCTCCGTACACAGAATGAGCCTTCTTCTTGGTGTGGCCACCAAACTTAAGCAACTCATCTGGCACAGGCTGGTTGGCACCACGCAAAATGTTGATCAAAGCGCCACTCAAGTGTTTCTCGTGCTCGGTGAAAAGCGTATGGGCAGTTCCCGTCTGGCCAGCTCTGCCTGTTCTTCCGATTCTGTGCACGTAGTCTTCTGCTGTAAGAGGGAAGGTCAAGTTGATGACGACCTTGACGTTGGGGATATCAAGACCTCTGGCGGCGACGTCGGTGGCCAAAAGAAGATTGGACTCACCATTTTTGAATGCATTAAGTGCCTGGGTTCTCTGTTGCTGAGAGAGATCTCCATGAATAGCGGCAACATTGAAACCACCTCTTTGCAAAGAGTTCTCCACTCTCAGAGCTTCCTTCTTGTACAAGGCAAAGATAAGAATCTTGTCGTTCTTCTTTGGGCCAGACTGGTACTTTCTAATAAGCTGCACGAGCTTTCTCTCCTTATCTCTAGGCTCCATGACCTCGACGATCTGCGTAATTCTCTTATTGGCAGAAAGCTCGTCTCTTTCACCAATAGTGACCTTCACAGGCAGTCTCATGAACTCGGCAGCCAACTCTCTAACTTCCTTGGGCCAAGTAGCAGTAAACATCAACGTCTGACGGTTCTCCTTCACAGGACACTGGCCAATGATCTGTTTAATGTGCTGCTCGAAACCTTTATCAAGCATTCTATCGGCTTCATCAAGAACCAAGTAATCCACGCTCGACAAGTCCACCAGACCGTCTTCCAACAAATCCACCAATCTACCTGGTGTAGCCACAGCGATACTGGCATCGTACAACTTATCGATCTGGTCCTGTTTGCTGACACCACCATAAATGGCCACACAAGAAATACCAGCGTTTTTCGTCAAGTCCACCAAGTTATCGTAAATCTGGAGCGCCAACTCTCTCGTTGGCGAAAGACAGAGCACCTTAAGGCCCTTCTTCTTCTCCTTCAAAATGCTATTCACAGCAGGCACGCCAAACGCAAACGTCTTACCGGAACCGGTCTCGGCCACACCAATGACGTCCTTTCCACTGAGCAAGAATGGCCACGAAGCTGCCTGGATAGGTGTAGGTTTAGGGAACTTGGAGATGACCTTCTGTACGTCGTCAATGAAGTCCACATGGTCAAACGACAAAAGTGGACGGAGGTTCAAGGAATGGGGATCTTCAATAGCAACCTCGTTGGTTTCCAAGAACTCCTTGATTTCACTTTCGGGGACATTAGAAAGAGCCTTAGATTCATGGTAAGCAGAGGAAGCAGAAGAGGCAGAGGCAGAGGAAGAGGAAGAAACAGGTTTGCTTTCAACTGGAGCATCCTCCTTCTTCTCTTTCTTCTCCGTTTTATCTTTTTATCCTTCTTTTCCTTCTTTTCCTTCTTGTCCTTCTTCTCACTCTTTTCCTTCTTTTCACTCTTCTCCTTCTTCTCCTTCTTGTCCTTCTTTTCCTTTTTCTCCTTCTTTTCCTTCTTCTCCTTTCTGTCCTTCTTCAGCTTTCTATCAGGCTCGCCAGCCTCCTCGAGCTTTCTCTTCTTATCTTCCTTGCCCATAATAAAGTAGTATATGTGAAAAGTTACCTCATCGCGATGAGCATACACTCTATACAAACAACTAGCACATACTTCAAACTGGATAAAAATGTTTTATAATATCTAAATGTCACTAATAAAAATACATGCTGAGCAGATGCAATAGCTCAATCCAAGTCCTTTCTGCGGCCTTCGTCAAGATCAATCTCAGATAGCTTGACGAACTTGGTCTTCTGCCACCACTTCAAGACACCAAAGAGGATGAAGAAGAATGGAATCAAAATATATGCGTCAACGAAGTTGGCAGCATCAAATGGGTCGAAAGTGTTCCAACCCTGGATGAGCAACAAGAAAACGTCCAAAATAAGACCTCCAAGAGGCAACCATGGGTATAACCACCCTTTGTAAGGTAGACTCTCCACGGAACGGCCCTGGCTGACCCAGGCTTTTCTGAATCTCAAGTGGTAGAAGTTGATGGCACCCCAACAGATAAACACGGCCACACCGGAAATGTTAACAATGTAGTTGTAGGCCTTGGCAGCACCAGTACTGACGTTCATCAAGGAAATGAGGCCAAACGAGTTGAACAAAATCACAGAAAGGTATGGAACACTTTGTCTGTTCAATCTGGCCAAGATCTTTGGAGCAGAACCGTCGTTGGCCAAGTGGACAATGGTTCTGGAACCAATGTAGATGGAAGAGTTAATGGCAGAAATACAAGTCACCACAATGAAAGCATTGATCAAGTGTCTGCCACCTTCCCAACCGGCGTTCTGGACGGCAATGGTCATTGGGGATTGGAGGTAAGCGTCGTTGTCCAACTTTGGGTCGTTGTAAGGAACAGTCATACCGTAAAAAAGAGCAATACCCATGTAAATGACAATAATACGGACAAACGTCTGTCTGATGGCTCTTGGAATGGCTTTCGAAGGGTTCTTGGTTTCGGAAGCAGCAATAGCCACCGACTCGGTACCGGAGTAGAAAGTGGAGGCAAACACAAAACTTGAAACCACCGATTTAAACCCGTCCTTCAAAGGACCAGGGTCGTTCCAGTACTGGAAACCAAAGGCGTCTCTGCCCTTGACACCGCCAGAAACGTAAATAATGGAAAACAAGTAAAAGGCGAAAATACCAATAATCTTGGTCAAAGCAAGCCAAAACTCGGCCTCGCCAAAAGTACCCACACCAAGAAACTGGAACGCCATAAACGCAGCGTAAAAGATCAAGATGTAGCCGTACAAAGGCACCTGAGGACCCCAGTCGGTCAAGATATTTGCCACCATATTATACTCATTAGCAAGCACAGCGACCCAGATAATCACATAGTTCCAGCCCACCGTACCACCAATAGCACGGTCCACAAACTTAGCACCCAAGGTGGAAAAAACACAGCCCGAAGGATACAACGTAGCCAACTCACCCAAACTCTGCACCATGGCAAAAGCAATAAGACCAATGACACCAAAACCAATAATCAACGACGCAGGTCCTTCACTAGTAGGATTAGCAGCACCCACCAAAATACCGGGACCGATAATACCAGCCAACGCAATAAGCGAAATATGACGGTTTTTCAAGTCTCTCTTCAACGCCAACGGTCTATCCTCATGTTCAATAAAGTCAGAGTATTCAGCCGAGGCAATCTCTCCGTCCGGCAGCCCCCACTCCTCATGTTTCATAACAGAAGCATTTTCGAGCTTTTTCGTCACCAGGTCGGCCGGCAGCTCGTCGCCAGAAGCCTGATTCTTGGAGAACCACATATTGGAAGAAAAGCAAAGAAAGTAGTTGGATTTGGAAAAAAGCCAGACCGCATCGGCTGCAATATATAGGTCACAAGCGAGAAGGCAAGATATGCAGCCGATGCAGTGTGACAGGCGCGGGCGACATGAGGAAGTGGGAGGAGGATGGGAGGATGATTTTTTCTGGGCGGCCCATTATATGGGGATTTGGGAGGAATTTTGTGGGAAAAAACGGGATTTACGGGTTTTCCGGGCCCCAGACTTCATTTCTGGCCAAAAAAATGTAAATTTCAGCCTTTTTTGGCCCCAGTTCGTAGTCCCCCCGTCTCGGCCCCTGGTTGCGCAATGGTGCAGAGGATTAATTCTTTTTTCGCAGCCAATGCTTTTTCTCTGCCCTGGTTTTTTTCGGTCTCGCGCCAGGGCAAATATTGATCGCCATTGTCGCCATGTTCTTATCATTGCACGTGACCAGCCAATTAACAGAAAGCATACCCACCTAAAATGCCCCAATTTTGGTCCTTTTCTTTCGAAATTTCGCAAGTGTCTTGGTATCGCTTGCCTCTTTCGGCCTCCATCTTCTCCTATTCCATTTGGTCCATGCATTCCCAAAATAAACATCCCCTTCTGCTCCCGCCACACCCTGTGGCAGAAGCCTCTTGCATGGACTTTTTTCCAGTGCGAATTGGGTGCAAAATTACCTATGCCCCTCCAATAATCCACCCTAAAAGGGTAAACACAAGGCTGAGAAGGGCTGGAAGAGGAGACGGCTGAATGACTGGAAACGGGCTCAGCAAGGCATAAGGGGAAAAGCAAAAAGAAAAATTTTACCCCCTTAGGCGGAACGGGCGGTTCTGCCCGCCTCGTATTCCCTTGAAGATCTCTATACTTACTGGTCTTTATCGACCTACCATCAACAACCTTTCGTAATTGAATCATCCACAGTTTCGTTTGTGTCGATCTTTTGCATTCTGTGTCGCCGGCCGGGACGCCGGTGAGTGCCAACCAGAAACATGGCATTGGTTGGTGCTGCTGCCTCGGTGTGTTTAGGCGAGATGCTTATATGGATGTGCTGCTAGGGTGTCGTTTACCCTCTGGAGGCTCTGCAAGGCTTCAATAAGTCCTCGGTTAGCGACGGGAAGTGGCACGAAAAATAGGGTGATTATCGTTTTCCCCCTTGGCAATGTCGTTGGCCAATTTTTTATCAATTGCTGTTAGCCTTTGTTAAACTGTGGACCCATTCTACACAATGGCTCGCGTGCTATACTCTGTTCTTTGTCCCGATAAGACCTCGAGATAACACAAAAGACGGTTTGTTGGGGGTGGTGTAAGGATCGGCTTATCCGGCTTGCTAGGCAACAGTCCACAAAACGGTTTTAAACGCTTTGGACATGTACCCGCTAGTGGCCTCTTGTGCGGCGTTTATCAAATGTATGGCTGTGGATTGGGTCCTTTGCTTGAAGAAGTTGCCGTTTGTAAGGGTTAGCGGCTTTTGGTTAGGGGTGGGCCAAGGTGGGGCAAGAAGGGCTTTGGTTTGGTTGGTGGTTGCTGAATGTGATATCACAGGAATCGGAATGGAATGACGGCTGGGGAAGGTTTCCATGGATAATCACTACCCAGAGACATTCAGACAGGCTTGGATTGACTTCTGAGTAACGTCTTTTGCCCTTGTGATCGTCTTCTTCACAGTATTAAGCCTCTTCAAGCCATGCCTAAGCACCAGCACTAATCGCCAAAGGTAGAGTCTTGTTAGATGCCCTGGTGGGTTTGGTGCATCCGAGGGAAGTCCACACGGGAAGAAAGTTTAAGCTCCAGGGGCACGGCCAGGTTGGACGAGGAATGTGGGCAAGAGAAGATACTGGGTTGGTAGGTTAGTTAGAGTACGAGGTTAGAGGTCATTGGGGCCGTTTGGTGGTTTGGAGGGTTGGTTGGGGACTTGCAAAGGGCATGTGGAAAAGACCCACAAAAACAGATATGAGCAAGGATTAGCGGTATCAAGCATGTGTCCTGTAAGGTACTATATTGTGGTATCTTCAGATAGGAGTAAAGGATTGGTTTGTACTATTAGTGATTGGTTTGCACTATTAGTGATTGGTTTGCACTATTGGTGATTGGTTGCACTCTTGGTGATTGATTCAACCAAGTTGTCTGACCCCAAGCAAACTCAAGCGAACTCAAGCGAACCCAAGCCAAAAGCGAAGGTTTTAAAAAGTCTTTCTAGAAGAGAATGCCTGAAAATGGCAGAATCCAAATCTTCAGATCCCTAGGGCTTCTCCAAGTTGCAACCAGTCAATGAAACACCAACCAATTGGCTGAAAGCCAGAAAAGAACCCAAGGAGCTTAATATTCTCCTTGTCTACCCCTTTCATCATAATAACTTCATTACCAATTCTTCATCTCCCAATTCCCTGACTACATTGAGAAAGCCTTGGTCAACTCTGGAAACTTAAACCTCCAAAAGCTGCCAATTGCACTTTCTCCCAAAAACCTCAAAACAGTAGGAATGTAGTGGAGACCAGCCGACATGCACCATAGTAATGCCTTGTCTTCGACCACTGACCAGCCACACGATCCCGCAAATGAAACCGCCAGCAGGTTACAAACATTTGACAGATTGCTGACGGCCATTCACGAGCTTGATCTTCTCCATCACCAGAACCTATAATTCAATGAGGATGAATTTAGGGCAGAAACAGGAGTGTGTTGGGTTTCTACATAGCTCTTTTGGGGATAATACGTGTATTGGTGGGTTGAAATTTCAAGGTGAGGATTTTTTTGAGCATATATAGCTTGAGGTTACCCGGACACTGAATGGAAACAGGGCTCAACGAATGGGGTAGGGGAGATATTCTAAGGGTAAAGGATGTTTCTAATGGATTAAGAAAGGGTTTTGAGTGGTTTGCGAGAGTTTGGTGATGTGGATATGCGTCGTTGTGGTGCTAGGTGGGTTTCAGTTTGGGCTCTTGATATGTGAGATTTGGAAGTTGAAATAGTCCAGAAAGGCAAGTCCGGTGGAAGGAGCCGTTTCAGGTATACCTAGATCTGTGAGGAAACCACTGGTTCCTCGAGAAGAGCTTAGCTTCGGTGGTCGCCGATATCGGTGCCGACCAAAGTTTAACCGTAACCAAAGCCCTCTCCAAAGACATCCGTAGTAAAAGGAAGAGGAAGGAGAAGCTAATATATGAGAAGAGCTCTCATATCTGTTCTTCTTCTTATCCTCTCTCCTCGACGTCATTGTCATTCTCTCCAACACAACCAACTCACCACCAAAAAATTCAATCCACCAATTCACCGTCAAAATCACCCCACCTTCTTCTCTTCCCCTCCATCGCATTCTACACCTGTTCAAAGCCGAATGCTGTTTTCTAATATACACTTTCAGGGACATTTCATGCCCTGCTGGGCTCTTATCAACCATCCATATAGGCCTTACAGACCTACGCCTCTTTTCTAAGATCAGACCGTTTAGGAGCCTCCAAAGGATGCAATTGCGCCAAGTAAGTAATGGCCCACATCAAGTAACACATGGCCAAGCCCAAAATCAAAGACGACCGCCAGACAGTCCTATCTTGCTTAGGCGCAAAGTTCCATGACAAAATACACAAGGCCACCGTGATTGCCAAAACGAAAAGCACAGTGTAGCTGGAGTTAGTATGGGCTTAAAGGAAGCAGGTTATATGCAGTGGTTTCGACGTACCCAGACATGTTGGAGATGTAGATGTAGTTGATTCGTGGAGTAGTAGAGTTGGCGATAATCTGGGTGAACAGACCCGTACCTCCCGTACAGTAGACAAGGTGATTAAACCACCGTTTTCCCAAGAAGTACTTGGCAAAAAACGAATTCAAGAGATTTTTGTATTTTCCTGGTTAATTTGGTCTTATATCGGTCACTTTCAACGACATCCCAGGCGAAACATACCCAGCGACGCTTGACTACCGGTTGCTGCGAAACGTATAGATTCACCCAAACACTTTCCATAACCACACTTTCCTTGCCAGAATCGCCAGGCAGGTTGAATTCCCCATTTTTGCATATCCATTGGATTCCCTAAGCTAAAGAGTTTCCACTTTAAGCTTCATTGGCAACTCATTCAAACAAGAACCTCCACATATCTTCCTCCACCTCCAAGTCCACCTTCCATGGCTAAGATCCTGTCGAAGGTAGCCAACTGGCTCTACCTGGTTCTTCAACCTCAATACTTGCATAAGGAGATTGCCTACTCCCATTTGTACCACTTTTTATCAGCATACCTTCCTGAGGGCTTTAAGATCAGAACGGCAGTGTACACTTCAGTACTGGGCCATTCCCAGCTCTTGATCAACTTGTACGGGAATCTCGACTGTGGAACGTGCCTTGTGCCGCTTAATATATGGATTCCACTTAACTATCCGTTCCAGGATGAGAACATTCCATCACATGAACCAAATGGTGTTCCTGAAGTGTTTGTCGTGCCGGAACACGGCTTGGTGATTCGTCCAAACAACAATGTGGACTCCCAGGGACGCTTCTACCATCCATTCATTGCACTGTGGCATCAGAATTATACGCCGACTTCATCTACGAAGCAGTTTTCGCTTCTTCTGCTAATGGGCTGTTTAAAGGCTACTTTCGAGCAAACGCCTCCTCTTGATACGAGACCTTCGCCTTCTGCTGCTCCTTCTGGACCTCCAGCTCCTCCTAAGGTGCTTCCGAACCAAACAGGACCGCAATTGCCTCCAAAGAGAGCTTACAATGAGCCAGAACAGGCTAAACTGCCTACGCCAGTTGCCCAAACCCCAGAACCGCCTCGTAGAGAGACTACAGGACCTCCATTGCCCCAGAAACCTATACTGCGTCAAGCTACGCAAGACACTTCTATTCCAGAGAAGTACAGAATGCCATTACCTTTACCTGGCGAGAATGTTCCCACTCCACCTCCAGCTCAACAACCAGTTTCACCTCCTTCCTTTCAGCATCCAATCTCACCACCATCTTTTCAACGACCATTTGGTTCGCCTCAATATGAAAGACCCGTCCACGCTCCTGTTCAGGCAACAGGACCAGCATACATTGAAGATGATTCGGATATTTACGAGCCTCATAGACCACAGAGTGTAAAGCCTTCTGCAATCGCTGAAGTTGAAGATTTAATGGATAAGGTTACTGTGAACGAAACCAAGAACGACAAGCCGATTTTGCAGGAGCTTAGCGCAAAGGTTAATGCTTTCCTTGAATCTGAAGAGAGTGTGTTCCAAGCTATGCCATTTGTTGAAGAGCAAAAGGCTAAGGTTAACGCCCTTCACAGCCAGCTTCTGAACCATCTCAAGCAAGCACAAGCAAACGATGAAAATTTACAAAAGCACGTTTCGTATTTGCTGGGCCAGATTGAAGCAGTCAAAAGACTTAATGGTGAGCTTCAGCAGTTGGACCAAATCAACGCCCAATCAAAAGACGAAATCCTGACCGGAACAGCTCCTGGTCAAAGCATAAAACTTGATGACCTCATTACGCCAGATTCCATTCTTGTTAACCAGTTATATGAGACTGTAGCTGATATCAAGGCTCATAAAGATACCATAGATCTCGTGGGCGGAAACTTCAAGGGCGAAAAGGAAGTTATCAACGACGAGAACATGGATACGTGCATTAAATCGGTGAGAGGACTTGCAAGAGAGTTGTTCTGGTTGGAAGTGACCAAGAGCGAGATCGGTAAGTCCATGGGACTTCGAATGTAATAGTTGGGTGACTTTAGTTGTTGAAGAAGTTCCAGAGGGTAAAGATTGTCCTTGGTTTCTATAAGTCTCCTAATTTGAAGCATTTAGGAATTAAGAAAAATATTTAAATGAACTCTGCCCTCTCCTTCCCTTTGGTTTCTGATTAACGCAAAATATGTAGTTCTCAGGGCAAAACACATACTCAACCAATGCACAAACAAATCGAAAAAGCCTGTAAACCAAAAAATAAACAAACCTCTAAACCTTCTAACCATTCTAGACGTCTCCACCTTCCTGAAACCACCAAACCATTTCCTCTTCCTCTTCTTCCATACTTAAGCTTCGCATAGTGAGCAACCTCTACATACTAATTCACAAAGGGTCAGCCATTTCCACCACCACCCAACCAAACGCCACCAAACTCAATATTCCCACTAACCCAAACTCCCTGATTCCAACCATATAATTAATTTCCCCCTAACACCCCTAGAAACCAAAATGACTGCTGACCTTGTCCTTCCTATTTGGGAAAGATGAGCCGCACGATGCTCGCACTAACTTTTTTTTCATACTAAAAAAAAAAAATCATCATCTCCAACTACTAAAAGCCTTTCCCAAGTCATGTCTGAAGAATTCATGATCAAGCCAGAGACCGTGGCTCCCTCTACGAGCACGTCGGAATGGCCGCTTTTGTTGAAGAACTACGACAAATTGCTTGTGCGTTCTGGCCACTATACGCCTATCCCAGCTGGGTCTTCGCCTTTGAAGAGAGACTTGAAGTCGTATGTTTCTTCTGGTGTGATCAATTTGGACAAGCCATCGAACCCATCTTCGCACGAGGTTGTTGCTTGGATCAAGCGTATTTTGAGAGTGGAGAAAACCGGTCACTCGGGTACTTTGGACCCTAAGGTTACTGGATGTTTGATTGTGTGTGTGGACAGAGCCACTCGTTTGGTCAAGTCCCAGCAGGGTGCCGGTAAGGAGTATGTTTGTATTGTTCGTTTGCACGAGGAGCTCGATGATGCCAAGGAGATGGGCCGTGCTTTGGAGAACTTGACTGGTGCTTTGTTCCAGAGACCACCATTGATTTCTGCTGTCAAGAGACAGTTGAGAGTGAGAACCATCTACGACTCCAACTTGATTGAGTTTGACAACAAGAGAGGTCTTGGTGTGTTCTGGGCCTCTTGTGAAGCCGGTACTTATATGAGAACCTTGTGTGTTCACTTGGGTATGTTGTTGGGTGTTGGTGGACACATGCAAGAGTTGCGTCGTGTGAGATCTGGTGCCATGGACGAAAACGACAACTTGGTCACTTTGCATGATGTCATGGACGCCCAGTACGTCTACGACAACACCAGAGACGAGTCTTACTTGCGTAAGATCATCCAGCCTTTGGAGACTTTGCTTGTGGGCTACAAGAGAGTTGTGGTTAAGGATTCTGCCGTCAACTCTGTTTGTTACGGTGCCAAGTTGATGATTCCTGGTTTGTTGAGATACGAGGACGGTATTGAGTTGTACGACGAGGTTGTGCTCATGACCACCAAGGGTGAGGCTATTGCCATTGGTATTGCCCAGATGACCACTGTTGACTTGCAGTCTTGTGACCACGGTGTGGTTGCCAGAGTCAAGAGATGTATCATGGAGAGAGACACTTACCCAAGAAGATGGGGTCTTGGTCCAGTTGCCCAGAAGAAGAAGCAGTTGAAGGCTGACGGCAAGTTGGACAAGTACGGTAGAGTCAACGACAACACTCCAGAGTCCTGGAAGGACGGCTACAAGGACCATGCTGACGAGCCAGCTCCAGCTGTTCCAGAGTCCAAGAAGGTTGCTCCAGAGGTGCAGTTGCCAAAGAAGTCTGAGCCAGAGGATGTGAAGATGGAGTCTGAGGACGAGAAGAAGGACGAGAAGAAGGAAAAGAAGGAGAAGAAGGAGAAGAAAGAAAAGAAGGAGAAGAAGAAGGACAAGGAAGAGAAGAAGGAAAAGAAGGAGAAGAAAGAGAAGAAGGAGAAGAAGAGAAAGGCTGATGACGATGAGCCTGAAAAGAAGAAGAAGTCCAAGAAATAATTCCCTCGTCACGACCACCATTGGTTTTCCTTTTAGCATGTTATTTCATCAAGCAATTGATGCCGCCCACTTTGTATATCTATTAACTTTCACGATTAGAAGATGTTGACTTTTGTAGAACCGACTGCCTGGCAGTTTCTATTTTATGCTGGGTGCTTTCAACGATAGCGTCGATCTTGCGTTGGATCTTGTCTCCCATTTGGGGATCACTTGATTCTTGCTTCTGTGCTTCCAAGTAAACGAAGAAGCTGAGAAGTTTGCCGTTGTCTTCGTTCTTGGTGATTCTTCTGACACATTTCCCGTAGAATCTGTTTCTCTGGTCAAGATTGATTGCTTGACGAAGAAGAACATAAAGCGCAAGAAGTTCAACATTCTGGATGTTGACGTTTCCCAGGAAGACTAGCTTCTCTATTTCGGAAGTAAGCACAGTATCGAGCCGTTTCTCTGGATCTTCAAAGCCAGAGCTGTTGAAAACAGCCAATGCTGATTTATATGTTAACATGAATAGCTTAGATGTGGTAAGACCCTGTGAGGCTGGATCTTCCAATATATTCGTCATGTCTGCGTGTAAAGATGCAAGGAAGGAGCGAGACCTTTGAATGGCCTGCTCATGCTGTGTGGATGAGTCGTTTGCTTGAGACAAACTCTGGAATTCGTACTCTGAAATGTTGAGTAAATGCATGATGGAGTATATGTAAAGCTCGCTAGTGCTTGATGCTGGTAAGCCGTACCCGATGCCGAGCGATCTTTGTAAATGGAACGCTTCAATTGGTGTATCGACGGTTTGTGACGTGAGGTTTCGTACTTTCAAAAAGTTGAGTTTAGCTGCTTTGAGGTTACCCTGAGCCTGGTGGTACATGGCAGATAAGTAAAGAAAGTGTGGAATGAGGAATTTGTAGTACCATAACTCTTCTGCAGTGAAGTTGTCATTGTTGTAGCTCTCAAGAAATGCATGAATGGCTTTGATGCCATTGAAGTCACTAGATGACATGAAGCCGAGCCAGACTTGGTAGCTGATTGCCATGAACTTGATCACAGAAAGGCGAACCACCTTCGTCGTAAGCTGAGACACCATGAAGTTCTGCAGCTTTGGTGTGTAATTTGTGAGATTGGAAACACCTTGATCTGCCAGATTAACACAAGCTTCGAAGATTTTGCCTGTTTTCGCCAAATCTGTGCCTTCATTCATGTAGAAGAGACCGCTCAATAGGTAGAAAGTCGGCACAAATTCGTCAGGACCAATCCACTGCAACAGGAATGGTATCTCATTAGGCAAGCCTCTTGAAAGCGTGACAGGGATAGTACCATCGTTATTCCATGAAGACCACTTGAGTTTCTTTTGTTTGTTGATGAAATCGGTTATTTTCTTGACCCACATCTTGCCATACTTGTGATTATCGGTTTGGGTGCAAACTGTTAGGTTTTGGAGGTACAGCATTGCTTTGAGTTGAGGTGCCACGTCTTTCATTTGCGAGAAGAGGTCACGGCATTCATTTAAGAGCTCCTCTGCTCGCTTTGGCGATCCCTGAGACAAGTATATACTCGATTGCATCAACAAGCAAAGCGAGCGAAGCTGGTTATCCTTAATGGCCTCGCCTTTGGGAAGAACTATCTGGGCATCATTAAGTCCAGGCAATTCAGTTCTCTTCAAGGAAAAGAGCAAAGATATCTCTGAATGACCTTCGCGTTCATGGATCTCCTGGCGTTCATTGAGGAAAGGCTCCAACAAGGCAATATCAGATAATTCTAAAATCTTAGCACATAAGAGTTCGCCAGCGACCCTAGCTTGAAGTAAACCATGCTTTATAGCAATAGCCATTGATTTCTTCACGAACAGTTCTGCCGTACTATAGTTTTCAGTCTCCTCCAAGTATATCTTTGCAAGCTTATAGTACACCTGAGCGGCTGCCTTTGGCTGCAAATTCGCCATATACTGGCCAGCCACCATATGAAGAGCCTTTAAAGCTGCCTTGATAAGCGTATAGTACGCTTGAGCGCCCTCGACGTAATTGGCTGCTAGTACAATCTTATGAGCCTGTTCAAGCAAAGCATCAGCCGATTTAAGAAGCCATTGGCACACGAAGTCTGGATTTCCCGCTTGTTCTTGAACATATTCAGGACTAACAATGACTTCCTCCTGAATCTCATCAACATTTGAGGTCTCCTCTTTGGTTTCTTCACGAGAACTCACTGGTACTTCCTCACTCCTCTCTACCCTTCCAAACAGCGAAGGCGGAAGCGAGGAGCTCAATTTGACCTCCAGTTCAAGCGCCAGAAACTCACTCATCTCATCAGTAAGCAAAAACTTATGCAATTTCTCCTCATAACTCCTTTCAAACTGGCTTTTCGGTTTCTGCACCTTCACCACAGAATTCAGGTAAAACTCAGCATCCGAAATCGGAGGATCGCTGGGAGCAACGCTATCGCTCTTTTTCTCCCTAGAATTTGGTCTAGAGCTCTTTCTGGACGGCTGAGATGTAAGAATGGCGTTCAGATCGGAAGATTCCAGTGAAGATGGTCTGGATCGCTTAGTCCTACTCATTAAGATCTCTCTTTTTGACGGGTCCACGGCGCGTCTTACTGGGTTCAGCCTGGTACTTGATTTTCGTCGGTCCATGCTGATTTCATGATTTTAGGATCCGGTGTGGTAGAATATATGTAAAAGTATGTAAGGAAGCGAAGGTAATATATGGGTGTAAGTTGGTGATGCGCGTAGTTGATACTGCTGTGGCTTGGGTGCAGGAGCAACCACGGTAGAAGGGTATTAAGTAGTTTGCAGCCAACGGTAACGGAGGCATTTTGGGCAATTTCTGGAATAGTACAGCATGAGTGGGCGTAAAGAGAGGTTGCCTTAGGCGTCGGAAGAAAGTGGGCTCGAATTGAGCTTTTCTTCAAGCTGCTTTCTCTTAAGACGTTCCTTGCCGAGCTCCACTTCATACTGGTCCTGAATATCAGAAACAATCTTTTTGAACTCTTTTCTTAAAATGGCATTGCTCATGCTGGAGCCACCGCCCATGCCCAGGAACCCAGGGTAGCCTGGCGACGAAGGGAATGTGGAGTTGGCCTGGTCCTCGTCCACGCTGGTATTCGATAGAAGCGAAGGTGAAAGGAGCTCAGAGCTTCTAGGCAGCTTGTTGCCCATGTTATCGATTCTGAGCAGGTTGAGTTCCTTGCGAAGACGAGAGATTTCTTTGTCTTTGGCGTCGGAGGACTCACGAGATGCTAAACTGTCAAGGGAAACACTGCTGCCTCCAGAACGAAGTCTAGCTAAGTCCTTTTCAAGGGCAGTGTTCTTCTTGCGGTAATCAGAAATGGTCTTCAAGGAGTTGGCCTTCAAGTACTCGTATTCCTTCATGAAGTACTGGTGGGAGAAACGTAAATCGTTCAATGCTAGTCTGTACTCAGAAATGGTCTTCTTTTCCACGGCAGAATCCTTGACGCCCTTGTATGGCGAGGCAGAAAGGAAAGAGTGGTCTTGAAGCACGGAATCGTTCACAATCGAATTATCAACAGATCTTTCAGGGCCAGAAGGTGGAGGAGTAGGGTTCAGTGGTCTGGGCTTGGCAGATACAACAGCATCAATGCAAGCCTGGGCCCACTGGACCTTCTTCTCCATGGAAACCTCAGCTTCTTCTGGGTGTTCTGGCAAGGTCACGTTGTTCTGAACGGCCAAGGATGCAATATGGGAGAAAAGGGTATCAAACAGCTTATCTGAGGAAGGAGAAGCAACAGGTTTCGAGCTGGGGCTGCCACTAAGCTCAGCGTTCAACGACTGTGAGCTGTTGGAGTGCTTAATGTCCTCGACGTAGCCCAAGACAAGACATGCCAAATTATGGTTATTAAGCTTTGAGCGGAGCTCTTCAAGCTCGCTGGAAACAGTTCTAAGCAGCAGTTGCAAGTCCAGGTTCTGTTTCATGATCTTAAGCACGAGATTGATATCCAAATCAGGTTTAGGGTCAGAGTTGAACATCAAGGTCGAACAGAACTGGCTCGACACAGCAATCTTATCTTGCAAGTAGTCCCTGAGCTCCTGCTTATCCGCAATCAACTCCTTGACCTTCTTAGTACGCAGCAAAGACATAATGGCCTTGGGCGAGATCTTCGAAGTGTCAAACACCGAATTCTCAATCAACACCTTCAAGTTAAGGTAATCATTCGACGAACTAATAAAGTCCCGAGACTCCGACGTCTCTGTAGTCGGCGTCGACACCGCCAGAGCGCCAATATCGTTGCTGGTACGGTCATTATCGGAATCGTCAGAGTCATCGCCAATTGAGTTATCAGACAAGGTCTGTTGCAAGTAATTTGAAAACAGCAGCTGCACCGGCGCCGTGGGCGACGAGTTCCGGTCCTGTTCGTGCAACTGGAACTTCAACAAGTCAGGCGTGGTGTTCAGCAAGTTATACTGTTCGCCATGGGCCACGTAAAACGGGCTGTTTTTCATAAAAGTGTCAGGATCAACCATTGGAAACCCCTAAAAGAAATTGACCAAAAACGAGTGGTTTCTCTGAGAAAAGAAGTGAATGAAAACTTGGAGACTTTGGCCACACGTAAAAAGAAGGAAGAAGTGTCAAAATTGGCCTTTTGGTGATAAAGAAGAAAAAAAACAAGCAGGTGCAGAGAATGCTTTTTCTCAATTCGACGCGTTCGCGCGGCGCGAATATGTAGATCTAGATCGTGGTGGAACTGGGTGGGGACAGTGATAAACTGAACGGCTGGGTGGATTTGATTTTTAATAGTACCATGTTGTTCTTTGGTTGATTTCGAGTCGATTGGTGCTCTTTTGGTTAAATTTGACCCTCTGGTTGTTGAAATACCTGGCCACTTCTTCATCACTGGACTGCGTATTTTGCACCCATAAGACCAGGGTTCTTTGACCCGTAAACAACAATAGAAGAAAGCAGGGCATTTTTTTTCCAAAACACTTAGTAGCAGCGTGGCTGATTCGCCAAAGTTACCATTTGGCCCGTTTGGGAAACCAGCAGCCCCTGTGGTGGATCAACAGTGAAGATCTTTAAAGCTTAATAGGTGAAACTGGACAGTACAGTGATTAAAGAAGCCACGGTTTCTGCCTGGTTATGCTTTTATGGTTGACTTTTTTTTGGATTTTTTTGCCATTATGCTCTTCTATTATTCAAAGCTACTCCACTTGTTGTTGTTTTCTTCTTCGCTTGTTACTCTTCTGGCTGTGTGGTGGCTTAGAGAGCATTCCCGGAAACCTCGTCAGCCACTGATCCAACGTTCTTCTGTACTAATGTAAGCCATCATTCTATTGCTTCTAGAGCTGTGGCTGTGAGCTCTGGAGCCGAAGCGGCACGTAATTAGAAGTCCAGAATGGTCGGTTGACAAGGAATGGAGGGATGGGTTAATTTTGACAATTAACGTTTTGGGAAATGGAATGGAGGGATGTTTTAGGCTATGCTAGGGGTAAAGGTAGTCTTTAGAGTCAGGAAGTGTCTTCAAAAAGGCATTTCCAAGGATTGTTTTTGGGTACTGGATGGGCCAGAACTGGGTACTATACTTACTCTGGATGGTACTTCACGAGAAGATATACTTGAATGGAAGAAAGACCGTGTTGGGCCGTGTTTAGTGCATGTTCAGTATCCAGGCGCTTTCCAGACGCTCCAGGAGCTACTTTCGTGTTCTAAGAAAGCCCTAACCGTATACTTACTCTGACTTTGCCTATTCTTACCTTTATGGAAGGCCCAGTACTTGCCCTGTTTGCCCAAAATTCCCTTCTCTTTCTTATTCCCCTTTCCCCTGTAGATTCCTAAAATTACTCTGACCTTAATTTCTTTCTGTTTACGGACTTCCCGTTCCGGCAGTTCCGCCTTTCGTTGTCGGTCACCGTCTAAGCTTCCAGTGCCGTCTCTTCACCAGGAACAAGTACTCTTCAACAAAAGGCACCAAAATGATAAAAAGAGGACTTTTAAAGTCAGCTTAATTCTAACTTAGCTGACTTTCATGAATAAGTACGCTTTTTCAGGGGATCCACTTCTGGCATCACCACTTTCCACCACTCCATACAAAATGACTGGGACACCAAAAAATGCCCAAAAAAATCCACCCCATAACCAATCCCTCCCAATAAAACCCACCAACTCCCCCTTTCTTCCATTTCCAATCCCCCTACGTCCCTGCCTACGCCTTCACTATGGACCCCCACTTGCTCCTGCCTATACGCACATTTGCAACCATACATATACATTCAAGAGCTACACATTCTTCCCATATCCATGCTGTTGCTGGATCTTCTTGCCAAAGACCCGCTCAGCCGCATTCCCCGAACGTCCAACAACGAGGTTCGGTACTTGACGTTTAACGTTAACGGCATCAAGACGCTTTTTAACTACTATCCATGGAATCAGCTCCAGAACGACCATGACGCCTTGTTTGAGGCTTTAGGCGCTGATATTGTGCTGCTTCAGGAACTTAAGATCAACGGGGACGGCTTGGCGGCGACTGGGGTGTTGAAAAAGTATAAGGCGTTTATTCTGATCCCGAAATCGAGGAAAGGGTACTCTGGAGTGGGTCTTTTTGTTAGGATCCCGGTTCTGACTGATCCTCCTCACGTTCAGACGTGTCTTTCCGTGGTTAAAGCTGAGGAGGGTATAACAGGGACTTTGCAGAACCCTGAGGATAAGTCTCAGACGTATGAGGACGCTGAGGATGGAATTGGTGGGTATATGGATATTGAAGATATCGAAGAAATGAACATGACTATCGAGGATCTACGAGCTTTGGACTCGGAGGGCCGTGCTGCTGTAGTGGAGTTGGCTTCTGGGACGGTGGTGTTTTCTTTGTACTGTCCGGCAAACTCGCTGGGCACGGAACAGGGCCAGATCTTTAGATTGCGGTTCTTGAAGGTTCTTCTTCGACGGTGCCTTAAATTGAAGAGACTGGGGAAAGAGGTTATTGTTATGGGCGATATTAACGTATCTTTGGACCTTATAGACCAGGCTGAGGCCATCAACGAAGGTATCAAGGCGAAGTTGGTGACGAATAACTTAAAAGATGGCGGTGAGGAGTTTGAACGAGTGAATGAAGAACCTTGTCTTGCTTTCAAGCTTGGACCGCAAAGGGGGCTTCTCCAGAAATATGTGATCCCTACGAACCCATATACGAAGCCGCTAGATATCAGCTTTCTCCATGATACTACTAGAGTCGTACAGGGCCGCCGGTTGGCCATGTATACCGTCTGGAACACCATGACAAACGCTAGACAGTCCAATTACGGTTCAAGAATTGACCTTATTTTGGCCAGCTGCCAGAAAACCGTTGATAACATTGCCAGAGCTGATATTCTTCCTTATATCAAAGGCTCTGACCATTGTCCAGTCTTCACAGATATTGATGTTTCCTTTGTTACAAAACAGCCACCAGCTGAACAAAAGAAGCACAAGTTCGAAGCAAGAACCTTCTACAAGCTCGTCAAACACAGAGATATCTCTTCGATGTTTGGAGGATCAGGCACGAAACGGTCTGCCACTCCAGAAAGCGATAAAAAAGATTCAGAAAACAAAGACCCAAAGAAGCCTAAGCTTCAATATGTCAGTCGAAAGAAGTCCAACAACGCTCCGTCTTCACAGCATAGTATAAAGAATTTTTTCTTTCAAGACAAGCCAACCGTTTCTAGTGATAAAGAAGAGGAAATTCCAACCCAGGAAGATCCTCCATCAACAGAAAACACTGTCAAGTTGGACTCCATATCGAAATTGACATCCCTTATTTATTCAGATCCTCCCAAATGTCGTCATGGCGAGGAATGCATTCTCAAAACAAGTCTTACCAATGCTACCAAAGGCAAGAAGTTCTGGTGTTGTCCTAGAACATCCAAGGGCAGTTCAACAGAGCTTGGAGAGCATAGATGTGAGTACTTTGAATGGGCTAAGACCAAAGGCAAAGCATGAGCATCTACAGACGTCAATCTTATCATGAAGTGTCATCAATCATGAACTATAAACGGGAGAGGTACGGGGCAAACGAAGTGAAGATGAAGAGGAAAAAACAAAAACAGCAGACGAGAGCTGCTAACAACCAAACAAACAAACCCACAAATTATAATACAGCAAGACCCCATTCTTTCTTTTTTAATGTGACTTCTCCTCAGCTCATCTTTTGAACGACAAGTCTCATGATGATGTCACAACCTCATAAGGTTAGCTAATGTACACATCTGATGGAGCGAAAATCACGATTTACGGAATTCACTCAACACCGGATAGATGGCTTCGAATGCGGCATAGATTTCTTCTCTTTGCTTCGCACCAGTCAAGACAATCTTGCCGGAAACGAAAATCAAAAGCACAATCTTTGGCTTCACCATTCTATAAATCAAGCCCGGGAACAATTCAGGTTCGTACGACGAGAAAGTTCCGTGCGAGAAGGCAAGACCTTCAAGTCTAATAGGAAACTTCACGTCACACGAACCGACAATGTTCTGGATCTTGAAATCGGTGAATTTGGCATTGAATCCCAACTTTTGGATGATACGGGCATACTTTCTGGATGCCAACTTGGAGTCATCTTCAGACTTGGCACCAGTCACCACCATCTTACCAGAGGCAAAGATAAGTGCGGTTGTCTTTGGTTCTCTGATTCTCATGATCACAGCAGCGAAACGCTTTGGATTGTATTCGGCGTTACGTGCATGCAAGGCAATGGTTTTCAAGTCCAAACGACAATCCAAGTTCACCGTTGCGACGATATTCTGAAGCGTGGGCACGATACCCGACATGGCTCCATCAGCATCGTCTTCGTTGGGTTCTTTGACGCCAAGTTCTGCATTTTCATCCTTCTTTATGATACCATTGTTCGGGTCATTGATACCTTGAGGCATCGAAAGGGAGCCTGGGGCTGTAAAGGCCTGAGCGTTAGCTGCAGTGGTTGGAAGTTTCAATGAATCCATGATCTATAAAAGAAGAAAAAGATGATATACCGAGGGGATATATTATGAAAATATTAGTTTGGTGATTGGCGACAAAGATGAACAAATAAATGTCTCCCTGTCAGACAAGCTTTATTCTGGAACAAGTGTGTGTGTTGATACTAGGCTATATGCAACAAGATAACAACAACAACGCTTTAGGAATAAATGCTATGTTCAGTTGGTATGCAAAAAAGGTATATGCGTGTATATGTGTGGAGGGAGGGTATAAAAAGTCTGCAGTACCTGAGGAACCAAATGAACTGTGTACTGTATATAGACCCAGGTAACACAAAGGCAAATTCTGCGGGACGGACGATGAAAAGGTGGGCGGGCTCGCGGTATTTATAGTCGTGCTCTGAAATCCGGGTAACCGCCATCGCATTGCTCAAACGTACTGCACAAACACCTCCCTGCCAGCCATCTCTGCACCTCTTTGCATTGATAAGCAAACGGGTCAAGCTGGCTCCATAAACGATAAAGGAAAGATTTGGAGATTCCAGGATCATGATGTAAGCGTTTCTGTTCTGTAAATGTCGCTGGAATTCCGAGAAAAAGTGACGTTCACGTGATAATCTGAGACACAGTTAGACACCACCGTAGTGTCTGGAAAATCACCCAAAAACCACCCTCTAACGCTCTCTCAAGGCCTTGTTTCTCTTCTCCTTCTTTCTCATTCTCTCCACCTTCTTGGCGTGCATCTTTTCGGCCATCTTCTCGTACCTCTCCTTCTCTTCTCTGAGCTCTCTTCTTCTCTTGATTTCAGCAACCTTCTCGTTCTTCTCGTCCTCCTTCTCCTGCTTGAGTCCCTTTATACGAGCTTTGTATTGCTCCTCTTCAAGCTTCTTCTTCTCTCTGAGTTGCCACGTGTTGAGCTTTTTCACTCCAAGGGAACGCACTCTAAACGCATCTTTCTTGATCTTAAAGTTCTTTCCATTCACCCGAGGACCTTCTGTGTTGTCCTTCTCAGCTAGAGGGTTAATGTACTTTTTAGGAATATCCTCAAACTTTTTATCAGCTGTTGCACTCATGAAGAAGATGTATAAGTATGAGATGAGGAAGGAGTGAAAGTGCGGTGATGGATTTAGTATGAGGGAAGGGTCGTGCCGTGTACATAAATAGATTAGTTTTTGGTACATAAATACATAAATTTTTCAGTGGTCGTTGACGGTTTCCCGCTTGTCTATCAACAAAGTAGCTCTTCTGGTCCATTTTCTTGTACGAGTGTACTTGCTGGATTGGTCACGGTAGCCTGGATTGTCCCAATTGGAGTCGTAGTATACCCAGCCTGTTTTATACCTGGACTTGTTAAACTCCAAATCGAGTTCCCAACGGTCATCCATCCATTGCCACTGGTAATTGTATAGGTCGTGTTCGCAAACGGGGAATTCGAAATCGTCATCCTGAGGGTCTGGCGACGGCCTCATCAGCTGTTGGTAGCAGTAGCTGGCCCGTTCATTAGGCAATAAGAGCTTGGACCAGCCAAAGCCGAACCAGCGGCGTTCGTTCTCGAGAATATCGAACCGGACGGTTTGTCGAAGCTGTGTAGGCGATGCAATGACCTTTTTCACGATAGTGAAGTCGTTATCGGTGATTTTCGTTGAATCTGGAAGAATACTGGCTTGTTCATCTTCAACATCTGTAGCGCTGGGCGAGTGAACTCTAGAAATACCGCCGTGGGATTTTTCCTTGGCCTGGTCTCGTGAAAGCCTGATATCCAAGCCGGTCATGTAGTAAGCAATTAGTCTGATGTAAAGCGACCTCCAGAGAAGGTGTCTAATTGTATACGCCCACGGCGAATGGTAGGCCAAAAAGAACAACCCGAGAAGCCACGTAAGCACCGTAGGCAGCAAGAACGTCGTTGCAATGGCAGCGTGAATGGGAGTAACCAAAACTGCCGAAACCACGAATTTGGCATAGTTCTTCCTAGAGAACCGCAAATGCTTTGCTGGTCTAAAAAACAAGTCAAACCTGACCGTAATATTATGCAACGTCTGCAAGACCTCATCTATGGTTGGCTTTTCCCCATACTTCGAGTCCTGGATGATGGTGCTGGTTCTCCACACGATACTCAGAAACAGCGCCGCCATCAACAACGGAAGCACCAAAAGCTTCAACGACGACCAGTAAAGCACCAACACCGAATAAAGCACCATAAGTAGAAAGTTCTGGTACGGGTCGTCGTTCGTCCACGTCACAATCTCCAACAAGTTATCCATAAGAAGCAAATAAGGAAAGATGTTCAGTAAAGCCGAGGCCAAAATGGGGTTTTCCACGAGCAATTGACTCTGCAGCGTCGTCGTGAGGAGCTTTGCCTCTGAAGGCTCGAAAACGGCGTACACCACCTCGTCAGACATGGTTTTGGGGAGGAGGGAGGTGTTTTCTTTGGAAAAGAAGAAGGTGTTTTGTGGAGTAATAGGGCATATGAAAAAGCGCGGTTAAGGTGGGGTGGAAGGTGGAAGGTGATGGTTGGGAGAAGTGATGGAAGGAGATATGGGGTGGGAAATTTAAGGGTCGGGGTGGATTTAGGGAGGAGGTTTGGATTGGTTTGATGCTTTTTTGGGCGTTTTTTGATGGATTTTGGTGGAATTGGCGGACCCTTTTGGTGGTACAGAGAGTGCTCAGTATGGGAAGCAGAGGGAGGTAATGTTTTGGAGGGAAGAGAAAAGAAAGAGATCAAGAAGTGAATTGAATATGAATCTTTTGGGCCCTTAGAGGTGATTGAAGGCTTTTGAGGTGGTTTTTCTGAGTTTGGGTGGGCTTTGATGGAGGTTCTTTGGGAATGGAGGACCGAGGAAGATGGTACTCAGGCATTCTTCCTTATAATGAAGGTAAGGTGATAGCAGGAGAACCATTGGAAATCAAGGGACTCATACTTTTACTTGAAATGTCTCCTGGGCCATTTTTGTTTGAGTTACGTAGATTCGGTTATGTAAGGGTATGTCTCACTTATACTGTCAAGTGAATCCATTTTGCACCCATTTAAGGAACCCTTCAGCAACATTCAAGTGACGAATTAAGCATTGAGGTAGGTAATTTTTGTACCAAACTTGTAATTTTAGAGCTCCTTCACTTCATAAAGATACGCTTTCGGATATAGTCTACAGTTCACTGTCTGTATTACTGCTACTCGAAGAAACCGATGAAGGTAATGAACATATATCAATAGCAAACTGAGAGACAATTTTATAAGCTCAATTTTTATGCTACATCCAAATCTGAATATACTGAACTCACTTTTGAAGGTATTCCAAGGTTTCTGGTTGAAGTACGTGAATGTGAAGCACATTCCATAGACAGCCTATTACTGTAAGACATGGCTTGTCCAAAGAGCACTAATATTTATCAAAATAAGTCTATTCCTGGTTAAATAATTAAGAAAGCATGTCACTGACACATTTGACAGCTTCTCCAAAAACCACAAAGCTTCCTTTGAAGAAAAGCCCCTTCTGTCAGCCTCTTTCTATCATTCTCCAGTTGAGCCACTCCATCAACTCCATCAACCAATAGACAATCTACAAATCCAATCCCCATGCACTTTGAGTTGATAAAACGCATATCTAGAACTTCATTTCCCCAGACATCACCCATAACACAAAAAAAAACCAATCACCTAACTCCACCTCTACATCTACTTATATCACCATTTCCATCCCACTAGAACCCACCAAACCCTTTGTGGCCCAATAAGCGTCTCCATATGGCTCCATCAATTTACCACTCAATACGTCCAAAATCACCCTGCCTCTTCTTCCCACTAATCATCCCCTTTCAATCCAATACTTGCTGTGCAAAGCCACTCTTTGCTGGCTTTCTACAATAGATGTTACAAAAGCTTCTCTTCCTTTCTTCCTTTACCCCCTGCATTACGTCAGCGTGGGAGCAACTTTGATGCACAGCATCCTAAGCGATAGATGATCAGATAAGGCACAACCGTCCTTCTACAAGATCCAATGGCTGCTTGAATGCATTAAATAATTCACAGTGTAGTGCTGTCTATTCGTTCCGTCATAATACTCTCGGGCACCAGTGGGGACCGACCCCCCGGCCCGATTTCAACATACATGGTGGTTTACAAGCTCTCCTTGTTACCTTCCTGCTTGAGCAACTCCTTCTTCTCGTCCGACTTCTTTTCAAGGGTCTTTTGTTCGTTGCCCTTCTCCTCTGGCTTATCCTTGTGGGCAGCCTGCTCCTTCTGGTGGGCGGCCTGCTCCTTCTTGTGGCTCTCTTGCTCGTCCAAGAACTTCTTCCACTCAGGCACTGGAGGAGGTTGCTTCTTCTTCAATTCTTGCTCGTGCATCGACAAAAGCACAGTTCCCAAGAGCAAAGCCACAGTGATGGCCTGGGCGTACACTCTGGCCTGGACAGCCTTTTGCGTAGTAGACAAGTACTTGTCCTTGTTGACAAAGTGCCAGGAGCCCCAAAGGGAAAGAGCCCAGGCGGAAATGATGATCTTGTACTTGTTGTCGTTGACTCTGGTGAAAATCTGGTCGGAAAGCGACATTTTGTTCCACTCCTTCAACTTTTCAGCCTCTTGCTGGTTAAGGTAGTCAGAACGGTGCATTTCCTCGTCAAACTTGACGGAACCTTCATCGGCAAAGAAAGCACCAATGGTAATCGTAGGCATCACCCACATGGCGGTCTTCAAGGAAGCGTTAAACGACTGGTACCTCAAAGGCTGTTTTCTCTTCATAAAAGTGACAATTCCAGCGGAAACTCCAAGGCCCACCACGGTACCAATGGCACCCTGACGGAGCACGGCGTTCCAGTGAGCGTTTCTCTCTTCGTCGTCAAGAATCTTCATACTTTGTTATTTTTTTGATATCTCTTGTTTGGCTGCAATTGCTGGGTATTTAAATGCTGCACTTTAGGAAGCCGAGATCACCCGATGCGTGCAAGCAAACGAAAAAAAAAGTATGAATGCGTTTGTGAGCAAAAAAAAGAAAGTCGCTCGGGTATGCCTTGGAAAAACAGTAACCGCGCGAAAAACGGCACCAAAAACAGGCAGAAATGGCAGAAAAAGACACATTTTCTGCCGCAATGTGGGCCAGCCCGCGGGAGGTTAAAGCCCACGAATTGGCGCCAGATTTCTTGTGGGCCCCTCCAAAAAGCGAGTCTCTGCAAAGCTGAAGTCACGAAAGCAACCAATGAAAAGAAGGGATGGAGGCACTGAACTTTGCTCAACCTATTTTTAGAAACCCCTTAAAACTTTCTCTCCTTAAATCCTGTTTCTTCTTCTCCATTTCTCAGCTTACTAAGTCCAGTTGGGCTCGTATTTTGTCTGGTTCCTGGGTGGACCCGGGTGCTCACGCCATTTCTTGCATGCGCGGCGAAACATGAAAAGTAACGGCTGCCACGGCTCTGGACGGAGAGCGACCATGACCATGACCAGAGAACCGCCAAAGCCAAAACTGCAAAACGGTTATTTGTTTCTTTTTCTGTGATTGGTCTGTCTTAGACTGGCACCTCCTTGTTTTTTCTTCTCTCCAACATTCTCCGTCTTTTGTTGATAAACAAGAGCTCGTTGCGGTTCACCGCTCCATCAGGTGCTGGTTGCAAAATTGGCTTAAGCGAGCTGGTGGTACCTTTGTAGTATAAATCACTTTCAATCAACTTCCCTCCGCCTAGGTAGAGAATCTTGATTTTGCGTCCAAATGCAAGCGCCACGGCTTTGTAGCCGTACTTGGCAATAACGTTGGGCCTGACACATGCAAACTCGGTCTCGTCTTCTTCCTCTCCGAAGGGGATCTTGTACTCGAGGAACTGTCCATTCAGTACTGTCACCACGAACCCTTGCCAGACGTCGTTGATCGTAGGCTTTTCCGCTTTGGCGGGTACTCGGCTTCGCCTTTTACGTAACTGGGCAAATTCTTCTTCTCTTTGTCCCACAATCTCTTCTCTGGTTTCCATTTCGTCCGAGTTTTTGGCGTCCGCTCTTCTGATTCCCATCACAACGTTCATATCTGTGACTTCCCATTTTTCAATATCATGGTACCAGTATTGTTTTTCAACCACAGCGTCAAAACCAAGACAACGGATTTCTCTGGGGTCTCTTTCCACACGAAGACAGATATTGTTTCTGGACTTTTTGTTTTCCAATAAGAACGTGTGTACAATAAGTGTCGGGTCGTAAAAGTCTTCGTATACCAACGACATGGTTTCAACGGACGCACAGCCACAGAACTTACAATGGGTAGGTTCTGAATGGATCACTCTGAACGATCCAGGCTTGAAGTGGCCAATAAAGAACGTCTTGATGATGATCCCTGTTTGAATATCCAAAAGCTCTGCCTTCAAGTCTCTGACTCTGACAACCATACCCACGAAATCAATGGTGAAAATAGTGCAATGGTTAATGGCTGCAAACCTTCTCTTCGGCGTGGGGAGTTCGGTCGGGTAGGGGTTTGGCGACGACGTGAAGTTCTGCTTGAATATAGACAGAAACTCGGTATCCATTGAACTGGTTGTTCTAGACATTGGCATTCCTGGAGCCTTAATCACAGTATTGGCTCCTCCACTATTGAACTTGTTCTTGCTGGTCTTTAACTTTGAAAACTTCCAGATATTGCTGACGGCAGATGCAATGATTATATCTCCATTAACCAAGTCACAGACGATTCTGTCGCTGACTCTCGATGTGGTCAACTGCTTTGCTGTGGTGACTCTGAGGTTCTCGGAGACTAATCCTTTGCCATATACGTCTTCAAACATGTAATAGTGCTTGATCTTGCGGTCAGTACAGTTGATTGTAACCATATGGCCGCTCTCAAAGACCATCACGAATTCGTCTCTGTTAAGTGACTGCTCGTAGTCCCTTACCTTGTCTTCTACTGCCATGTCATCCTCACGCAATGGTGCTGGTGGTGGCGGGAAATTTCCTGTAATTGTAGATGACGAGGCGGTGGAGCTGACACTCGATCTTCTGCCGTCGGGCCCATTACGCTTTTTCATGAGAAGCTTTCTGGCCAAGAAACCGGCAATGGTCTTTTTACGGAAGAATGCAAGCATGGGCTTTAATTCCTTAGATGTAAGGCCAAGCTCGGCTGCTAGGTTGACTTCCCAGATGAAGGATAAAGACCCACGGTCGAAACACTTGACAGCAGAATGACGGTTGTTAACAAGAACAATATAATTGCCTTCATCAGAAATCTCCACCATGCTCAATGGCCAGAACTCTGGATGGATAGATCCACGAATTGTATCGATCGTGGTGGAAATGCTCATAGGCGTTTTCTTTTCAACAACGCCCAATGGCGACCATACCAAGACTTTCCTATCCAAATCAGCCGAAACCAAAAAGGAGGACTTGGAGTTGGTGGCAATCTTAATGACATCGATATTATGGCCATTGTCAAGTGTAATGCTCTCGAAATACTTGGCTTGCTCGTTCTTTGCGAGTTCTCCGTACCCCAACTGCGACGAAGCTTCCAATGTAGCAGTAGGATCAACTTCTTTTCGTTGTCTTTGGGAGTAAGTAAGAGTAAACGTCAACTCTGAAACTGCAATGATGAAAAGAATGGTGGCAGCAACTTCCAAGAAGAAGAGGGTGTTGTATGAGTGTTGACCCGAAGCCTGGCGCCCAAATATCATCACTGCCTTTTTATCTGTGAGCAATTGGTATGGAAGAACAAAAAGGGTCATGAAGATCTGGCAAAAAAAGTTCCAACAGAAGAAACTCAAGACGTCGCCTAGCCAGAATACTCTGGACGAAACTGGCGAAAGCTTCAAAAGATGCGTACCCACAATATGTCTGAGCGAGGATGGTTTAGGACGAGTCAATGGTCCTCTGAGACCCAAAAGGAAAGAAGAAATAGGGTCAATCTCGCCCATGGAATCGTTCAACTGGTCAAGGTCTGACTCGTATGGGTTCAGTGTTTTGTTAAGCAAGTCAGTGAACTCAACACGGTTAAGATCAATTAGAATAATGCCCACCAAGAAGGTTTGTTGGAGGAAATGGTCAATGGCCAATGCAAGAGCAATCGCTTGAAGAATCATGAAATACTTGTTCACCAAAATGTGCCAAACTAGTCCTCTGAAGAATATGTACAAGACAGCAAAGATCAAGCCGAACACGGACAAGAGGCCCAATAAGTTGAGGCAAAGCACGACAAACGTATTAGGAATAGGAGCAATGTTGGATGAAAACTTATCCACAAAGCACCACTTCCGAACATAGCGTGTGAGCTTAAAGATTAAGTCTGTGGAGTTGCTTGCGCTGTTGTTGATGCCGAGGTAGAAACGTATAAGGCGCTTGTGAAGGGTTTCATGGCCGTCCATGGTATTATCGCCAGCCAAGTCGTTGATGGTACGGAAGAGGGTTCTTGAGCTGAAAAGCATAACCGCTAGGATATAGGTACCAATGCCGTAAGAACTGACAGGTCCAAACATCGACAGCCATTCCTGGTAGCCCTTATATGTACATAGTATGCTGACGGAGGCTGCAGCAGCCAATGTGACTTCTGTGAGCCAGCCACATATAAGGCCAAAGTTTGACCGTATCTTATGCTGATTGCAGATGCTAAAGTAGACTCTGAAGACGAAAGTGATGCAAATAGCCACTTGAGTAAAACTAGCAGCTTTATTAAAGAACTTAAGCGGACAAGATTCCTCCTTCAAGTAGCGGAAGTACCTCAAAAACTCCTTCACAGCGTGTGGAGCCTCGGAGGTGCCCACGAACAGTACTTGTAGCGGTTCCAGGACATGCAAAGATGGAAGCAGCAGGTTATGTATAACGTAAAGATTAATCTGGCGTGCTGCAGTGACCAAATGGTTAGTTTTCAGGAGCTTATCGAAGAACATGTTGGCCAATTCCGGCTTGAACCGATGGTTGAGCGCTCGTAGAGCCGACGCCTCGATCTGCTGGGCCAGCCACCGCTCCTCTGGCCAAGTGCCCAATGGAGAAAGCACATACGCTGATTCCTGAGCCCGAATTGACGTTTCCAAAGCGTGGATCTGCTCCAAAGCGCCATATTCCACCACGCTTCCCGAGCTCACAAGCAGTATCCGAGAAAGCAGCCAGTTCCCCGTCTGAACCGCCAGGCTGACCTCCTCCGTGCCTCCAAAATCAAGCAACGGCCCCGTATCGGCTCCCAACGTAAGCACCCTGTTCACCGGCCTCACCGTGAGATCATGGACCACTCCATAAGACACAATATAGATGCATAGAATGGGAACTAGAATGAAAAGTTTTGGGTTTCTGAGGATCCACCCGGTGACGTGGATCAACCAAGGGTACACTAATTTCATTGTTTAATCTTGGCCCTTTGAGGGGTTTGGGTGGGTTTTGGGTGGTGGTTTTTGGAAATCCAAGGTTGGTTAATGGGTAGGTTTTGTGAGCCCTGCAGATTCTCGAAATCAGTCCACTTCTGCTGCCAAACGTCTTTCGGGTAGGGAAGAGGTTTGGATGGGTGAAATTTAGTGGAAAAAAGACGTTTTTAGGTTAAAGAGGGGGTGGAGATTATGATGGTGCCTTTTTTTCGGGACTTTTTGGTGGTTTTGGGTGGAATGGCGGTGGGTGGTGGAGGCCTATCTCAGGTACTGCGTTTGCAGCCATTGAGGAATTGTATGGGAGAGGGAGGATACACTATTATGGATGATGTACTGAACGAATTTAGCTGAAAATCGGAAGGAACGTTGCTGATCCTCCAACGTATGGGCATACCAATTTTGAAGACATTTCCTTTCTCCCTCATCGACTTAGGTGAACCCTGGGTGGGACCCTGATGAGGCTTCAAGGAACCTTAAATGGCTGTGGACACGAGCCCTGGGGAACTCATCTGGTATGGCTGGACAATACGCCGTGGGCTGACGAAGCTTCTTTGTTTTTAGAGGCTTGATGGATCGTTGGGGTTGGCGGTTTTGTGGTTTTTCGTCGTTTATGTATGGAAGTTTACTGGTGTTTGTGGCAGGTGGTGGGCCCATTTTGTGGAACCAGAGTGTCTCAGACACCGAGAAAGAGGTGATGGAGAGTGGTGGAGGGGGGAAGGTGCTGGAGAGGTGAAGGGGGGTTTTGGTGGTTATTTGATGAAGCTTGAATATGTATATTTGCGTTTGGGTGGTTCTGGGTTTACATTGTGCTGGTTTGGTGGACCTTTCTGGCTTCTCAGTTAGCCGTAGAAGTGCAACTTCTCTACAATTAGAATGCAAGAACTACCCTTCTACTTTGTTAAGCTGTTTAGTATGAGCCAGCGTATTTTAAGTCACCTTTTTACTTCTTCTTGCTTCACTAGGGGACCATTTGTACTAGTATCTATGCTCTCTCGTTGGCCTAAGTAGTAAGCCAACTCAAGGTGAAGTAATAGTTTCGCTTTCCCAGTCACTGCTCTCCTTGTAAGGATGAACTACTATTTAAGAAGATTTTTAATCTCCCTCTCGGTTTCTTCTGAATCAATAATACCACAAGCTTCCTCTTTGTTTAACTGTCTTAGCCAGATGTCCAACAGTGGCAGTAGAACTACAATACTCCACCAACAGTACTCATCTTTCAAGGATTTCAGTCTATCTTTAATTTCTAAAGTCATTCCAACTTGAAGCCTTCGCTTTACTATACTTTCTGAGCACTCCACTGTAAGTGAACACCTTTTGACTAGCCACATTACACTGCCTACTTACTACAGTAGTAGGAACAGTATATCCCCATCAATCCACCAATAGTGTCCCAAATTTCCCACTTTTTTCCTTCAAAACAATCCACACAGCCTCTAGAACCTCACTTAACCCACTTTATTCCTTCCCTTCAATCCCAAACTGCTCCTTCCCAAGCCCTTACTTCCAGTTTGCAGCCATTCTTCGCAGTACTATAAAACGCCTCTGAAACACCCACCAATCCCCACCAAAACGCCTTAAAAATACAAAAAAGCAACCATACTACCACCCCTCCACTACCTGGTCACACATCCTGCCTCTTTTAAATATTTTTCTAATCCACTGGGCCTTCCTTGGAGGTTCCACCTTCCTGTTACCATCACACCCGTGCACCATCACCAGCCATCCTGAAAACCTCACCTTCCAACTACTCCAACACTTCTTCATAACAACTCTCCAGAGAAGCGTACGTGCTACTGTTCCACCTCCATTTCATTCACGTCACCTTCCCCGCCCTCCAGAAAGACAACCCCACCCCTAGCTGTCTTTCTAAAAGAGTATGTCCAAAAGTGGCCGCGACCTGTCCAGAATCGTTACTCTTGATAGCGTTCGTTCTCTAGCGTCTCCAGTCAACCCGTCTAAAGCTGTGTGGAAGGACTTGGGCGTTTATTTGGACAAGAAGCTCGACTGGCATTTGGACACAAAGACAAACTCGTCCACGGCGGTTTCGTCAAACACTTTACTATACAACGCACTTTCGGATTCGTCCTACTTATCCCAGGTCTCCAAGTACCAGATCTGTAAAAGCTGTGGCAGGCCCATTGGCGAGGATTCTTTAACTACGCATTACGAGCGGTGTTTGGAAATGAAACAGAAGAAGGCTGATGCCGAAAATGGCTCTTCGGCTGCGGCTGCTACCAATAAGAGAAAGAGAGGCAGAACGGCCATTACTGATGCTTCCTCGGTGGATTCGTCCAGAATGGCTCTGCCGGCTCCTGCTACGCCTTCGGCTTCGCTGGCGCTGCAGCTGAAGGACCAGCCTAGACCAAAGAAGAAGTATAAGAAGTCTCAGATGCAGAAGGAGAAGGAAGCTGCCAACGCTGCGGCTGCCGCTGCTGCTGCTGCCGAGGCTGCTGCTCAAAGAGCTAATAATCAACAAAAGAAGAAGAAGCAGCAGAAAACCAAGGCTCCTACAAAGGCCAAGGGCCCTGTTGATGTGGAGAAACAGTGTGGTGTGCCTTTACCTATGGGTGGTTTCTGTGCTCGTTCGTTGACATGTAAAACGCATTCTATGGGTGCTAAAAGAGCAGTTCCTGGTCGTAGTGCTCCGTATGATGTGTTGCTACAGCAGTACCAGAAACGTAACCAGGCTAGAATGGCTCAAAACAACGCTTTGGCTGCCCAGAGACGTGAAAACGCTCAGCTCTCAGGCATGGCCGGTGTTGAAGGCGCTGAAGGCGGCTCTGGAAGCCTCCCTGTGGTGCTAGATCCCGATGAAGAAACACATTTGGTGTTGGAGGGTGTTTCCAAGAGTGCTCCTGTGCCTTTGGAGCGTAAGGTGATGATTCCAGCCAGAAACAGACACCGTTTCCTTAACATGCGTGAAGCCTATGCTAATGCTTTAATTACCAATGGTGCTTCGGCTGCCGATACACTGGCTTCTTCTGGAGATCTCACGCTAGCTAACCAGGCCATTTCGGGCTCAATTGGTGGTCTTCAAGGAAGGTGTGCACTTGTCAATGTTGATGCTAGTCCCAACTCTGAAGGTGCTACTTCTACGCAAAGCAGTGCTGCTATCCCAGGTGAGCTTTACCATGTCAGAACAGCGCTGAAAGCCATTGCCACGACTGCTCAATACAACTACCAGCAGCAAAAGCAGTTCCAGCAGCGTGTGTTTGAACTTCAACAGCAACAACTCAAGCAGAGACAAATGCAACAACAGCAGGCACAGCAAAGACAGCAATCGCAATCGCAGCCTGGAGCCAAACAGCCCCAACAGCAGCAACGCCCTGTGCCAGCTCAGTCCCTGTAATGTGGTACCGGTGGTGGTGTGTATTATATATGTATAATAGATGGCCCAGCGGGCCATTTTCTATTGATGCAATTCATTCGTAATATCGTTATTTGCTCCAGTGAGCTTTATGCTTTTCCATCCACGGATGGCTTGCCACGTCTGCCAACGAAAGACGTTGTCTGGGATTTTTCTGTAGAAGCTGAGTTATGAAATCAGCTGCTTCTTCGCTGAGGAAACTGGGGATCTTTAGGTCAACCCGGGCTATTCTTTTATATGTGGTTCCCTTATCGTCATCTTCAAATGGCGGCCTGCCAACCAAAAACTCGTATGTCAAAATGCCCAACAGCCAGATATCCACGGCAAAATCATGAGAACGGGATTCTACCATCTCTGGAGAAAGGTAATCTAGCGTACCACACACTGTAAGCCTTTTCTGGGACAATGGGTCCAGTTTCACGGACCAGCCGAAATCGCTAAGCTTCACCTCGCCCATATCCAGCAATAAGATGTTTTCTGGCTTGATATCCCTGTGAATGACGTTGTGGGAGTGCAAATACTGGAGACCTGACGAAACCTGGTAGATATACCTGGAAGCTGTTGTTTCGTCAAACCGGCGCCGTGTCTTAAGAATCTGGTACACCTCCCCGTACAAAGCGTACTCGAGAATCAAGTAAACATTCGTTTCATCGTAAAAATACCCATAGAGCCGTGATATGTTTGGATGCACCAAGTCTCTCTGGATCTCTATCTCCCTCCTGAGGTTCTTTTCAAGCTTCAAATTGACCAAATCCTTCTTGCTCATGGCCTTGATAGCACACACAAGGCCCGATTCACGATGTTTCACGCAATAAACCTTGCCTAGCTTGCCCTTTCCAAGCACCTTGCCAAACTCGAAATCAGCCAACAGAAGTGTCTTGCATTTTGGAGGCGTTGTCGGGAGCCGAGAATTTGTATCGACAAACGGCGACTTCCTCTTCTCACTAGGACGCTCTGTATTAACCAGAACCTTTGAAAGAGGACGTCTGGGCAGCATTGGCAGGATGTTGTGGAGCTTTAAAGAGCTCGTTAACTATGGGGGGCCAGATGCTTATGTAGTGTGGTGCACGGGTCTTTTGCCAGAAAGCGTAAACAAACAAAAAAACCGTTCCTCCCCATAGTCTGCGCTTAACTATGGCACTGTTGTTTCTAAGTATGGAACTCTCCCACAGAGGCTTAACTGCCATATTGAGGAGAAGAGCTGGCCATGGTCTATTCTTAGCCAGACAATGCTTGGCCTTTGGGAATTGAGTTTACCCAACTTTCTATTTTTTTGGTGGTTTGAGTGGGTTTCTGGATGTCTAGTGTTAGTATGTAAGGAAGGAGAATGGGGTAGTGGTAATCTAATTGAAGTGGAGAGGGGGGATTTTTAAAGGACGGGTATAAAAGGAGATGGTTTTCCTGGTGATTTTCTTCCAAAAACAGGTAAGTCCAAGAAGTCTGACTTCGTTTGGTCCCACCCTCTCCCTCTTTTCGCAGCCATTAAATAGGCCCCTCTGTGGACTATAAAAGGCACCACAACTGCCCCCAACTGATTCTTTTTCTGGCCAATTTTGTCTCCCTCCCTCTTCTAATTTTTCAACAACCTCTCTCTAATCCTCTGGATGCTTCTCTCAACCAACCAGTGCCTCCTCTGCTCCCTCCTCTTCACCTCAGTCCACCAACTCACCCCCCTGTCCACCAGTCCACCCCACCAAGGCCTTCTCCATCTTTTCTTTTGTTCCCCGCGGTCAAGGACTGTGTCCATAAGATCCAGTGCTCGGTGCCCGTTGAACGCTTTGTTCGCTGGCGGTTTCATGCATCACAACGCCTTGTAGGTTGCACTTTTGATGACCTCAGAACCCTAAATAGCCCTGAACGCAGCAACCCACCAGGTTGCCACTGGGAGCTTCGTGGTGAATTATTTGCCTTTGAATTCTCGTCCTTTAGGCTCTTTCCGAAGAAGGTACGACGGGATCACCTCATCGCATGAAAGACGTCATCTAGACTGATCTGGGGGCATTCCAGGCACATAATAAAGCTTATTGTGGAGCCCACCGATTGGGTCCAAATGGGACCCTGGCTGATTCTGTAGGTTTTGCTGAGCACGGAGAGTCTTTAGTTGCTCCGTCTTGGGAACTGGCCTTGGCCTGTTACTGTGGACTAGGCCCACTTGTGGTCCCCTCCTCTTGCAACAACAACAAACACCAAGGCCAGGCGCCAGCCTGGCCTTACCAAGTCACTCAACTGTACCCTTCTGCCTTCCGCTTCCTGTAGGTACTTACCCCAGAAAACGCTGTCTGTCCATATGGAGTCTGATTTTCATCCCATATCTACAAGAGGGATAGTGCTTGCAGCAAGAAAAGCTTCTGGGTCCAGCACACCCTTGCTACCGCAAAAGAGTATATGAAGCAGGAAATAGCTAGTAGTATTTTTATTTATACCATCCTGTCATCCTTCAATCGCTTGTTGGTGTAATTGTGGCCTAAATCGCCTCCCAGTCCACGTCCAGAAGCCCAAATTTGACCAAACGGCTCGCCGCTCTCGCCACTTCCCACGTCAACTCCAATTACACCACTTCCCTACAAAGAAAAACCGAAAAAAACACGCTTTCTTCCAACTTCCCTCAAAGTAGTAGGTGGAATGCATTGTCTTCTACGCCTCGTCACTCTGGATACGCGCACCCGTACACCAGACACACAGCCATTTATCAAACATTTCCCACAACCAGAACCCCTACTACACCATCACCAACCCTCCAGTTCCGGCGCCAAACCTCCATTTTCCACTGCTCGTCCTGCCAATTCGCTGCACGCTATGTCCCACTCGGCGTCTCCGACGAACCGAGGCCTGATTTTCGGCTGGGTCAAGAATTTGAAGAGAAACACGTTACTGAATGACTCTGTCAATGAGGTTTCTGATTCTGACGTGCCTCTGGCCGACTCCAAGTCTCCTACTCGTTCCGTGGCTTCTCATATGAACGCTCCACACGCGTCTTCATTGCCTGCTGCGGGCCAAACTGCTCTGCTGTCCCATCATCTGGCGCATAGTTTCAATCTTGGCTTCCACCATCTGCCACTGCATCACCAGCACCATCAACACCACCATGCGTTGCCTGCTTCGCCACAGGGGGCTATTCCGTTTCCTCATCATCACCTGCCACACCACCATCTGCCGACGCTGGACTTTTTGAGACCTTTGTTGCAGCATAAGCTGAGGTCTACCAATAATGTCAATAGGGTGCGTTCCAACTCCAACTCGACCAACCCGGCGCTGCTGTATGCCAATTCAGACTTGCGCCAGCATAGAGATAGTTTCTTGCAGAACAACCCGTTGGTGGATGAAAATAGTAAGTACTTTGGCGTGCCGTTGGCGGAGGCCATCTCCCAGGCCCTGGCCAAGATCTCCATCTTGGGAGCCACTGCCGTCTCCAAACTGGCTGCTGACGATGTACTTCACTATGGCCGCATCCCTGTTGTGGTGGCCAAATGCGGCGTGTACCTCAAAAAGAATGGTCTTTCTGTAGAAGGCATCTTCCGTGTTGGAGGGGCCTCCAAGCGGATCAAAGAGCTACAGATTATATTCAATTCGCCTCCTGAGTTTGGCAAAAAGCTTTCTTGGGACGGCTACACCGTTCACGATGCTGCCTCCGTGCTCAGGCGGTACCTTAATGCGCTTCCTGAACCACTCATCCCGCTACATCTTTACGATGAGTTTAGGGATCCGTTGAAAGCTCGTCCTAGAATCATCAAGTACATGCGCTACAAGGCCAATAATCCGCAGAAAGTCTTGCGCAGCGGCCAAAACACAGCGCCCCAAACTCCCAGCACCGAGTTCCCTCAACCACCTAAAATCGTCGCCAGCGACCCTAGCGCCACAACTAATCCTATTGAGTCGCTGACAGAAGCACTCCAGATTGATGAGGATGAAGAAAAGCCTAATTCCAAAGACAGAACCAAAAGCCCGTTGGATGAAGGCGGAGCGCCAACTAAGGCCCAACGAAAAGCTAGAAATTACAAGAAGCTCACTCGTGACGTGTACGAGGCGATAGATGAGTATAAGGAGCTTCTAGATGACCTACCGCAATTGCTGAAGCAGCTTCTCTTTTACATTTTGGACTTGCTTGCAATGGTACAGAGCAATGCCCATGAGAACCTTATGCTGCCGAGAAACTTGGCGGCCATCTTCCAGCCCTCCATTCTTTCACACCCAAACCATGATATGGATCCGGAGGAGTACGCCCTTTCACAGTCTGTTGTTGAGTTTCTCATACAGTATGCCTACAAGCTTTTGCCAAACCAAGAGCAGTCGTCACCAGAACCAACCATACCCCTAGACGCGCCACCGGCGAGTGCACCCAAGTCCCCTGAGGTGGCCAAGCCAGCAGCTTCTGCCTCGTGGGCTCATTTAAACGCACGCACATCTGGTAGACAACACAGCCAATCGCTACTGTCGCCAAACCCAGACGACTTAGACCTTATTGGCTTCCGCAACAGCACAGCTTCTGCCAAGGGAGTCACGCTTTCGGACACAGAGCACGATTTCGCTTCTGCAAGCAGTGAGGAGGACTATGTCTCTGACGCTGGACAACGGCTCCCGAGACGAACAGATGCGCCCAACTTACTTTATGTCGTGAATGCTGACGCTAACGACGATGCTGCCAGCGGCAGTGGGGGCTACGAATCACGCGGGTCGTCGAAAATGTCGCCACCCATCATCGTCTCTGAAGCACACAGTGGATAGAAGCGTGTGAGATTAACTGCCCGTGGTTGGTTTTAAGGGCATGTGTATGTGTATGTAGATTATAGTTATGTGGAGATACAGTATTTTTGCAACCAAGTACACGTGATCGTGCACGTGCATTTTTTCGATATGAGAAACGAAAAAACACCTTCAACAGATTGACTCTTAAATCTGGAAACCAACAAATAACAACCATGTCTGAGGAAGAAAGATCTAATTTAAGCGGGGAAGAAGAAGAGGTTGATGACTTGTTTGGAGATGACGATAACGAGGAAACAACAACCACCTCCCAAAGACCTATAGTGACTGGTTCAGATGATGAAGACCAGTCCAGCTCAGAAGAAGGTGAACCGAAATCATTGAAAACATCCAATTTGACTTTACCAAGACATCCAGTTTCACATAAACCAGAAGGAGACGTTTTCACTATAAAAATGCCAGTTTTCTTAAACGTTGAAGCCCATCCATTTGACCCTAATGAGTTCAAAGAGAGAGTCGCCAGAAACGCCGAAGAAAGAAGCAAAATGGAGTTGGACGCCAAGCAGCTACAGAACGACCTTGTTGCTGAAAAGCTTCTTAACGAAAATACCATCAGATGGAGATACCTGAACAGTGGAAATGATGAGATTATCAAGCAGTCGAATGCACACTTTGTGGAGTGGGACGACGGACTGGTTTCGTTGAAGGTGGGCAATGAGCTTTTTGATTTCAAGAGTCAGCCTATTCTTGATAACTTTTTGGCCAGATCTTACGTGGAGCACGAGGTTCTACAAAACGAAGCAGCCTTGACCAGATCTGCCAACCTTATACCGGCATCTACCTTCACAGAAACACACCGTCGTTTGACGCAAGCCGTCAAGACGATCCAGAAGAAGGATAAGATTTTGAACACGTTGACAGAAAGAGATCCTATGTTGAAACAGAGAATGGCAGACGAAAACGAGAGAAAGAACCTCAAGGCCAAGAGACAGTTGGAACAAAAGCGTCGTCTACAGGAAGAGAGATTGGGCAAGGCCGAGAGCCCTGTTCCAGGCAGGTTTGGCCAGGAATCGGCTTACGAGCGTTTTGAGAGAGCTTATGGTGCTGATGAGTATGATGATGAGGACGATTTCGTCGCCAACGACGATGAAGAGTTGGAAATTGACGATGAAGATGCCGAGGCCGAAGAGGAAGAGTTTGAGCGTGGTGCTGAGCGTTTGAAGAACGTCAAGGATACCGGTGCCGAGAAATACAGAGAAGAGTCTGAGGAGGTGCAGAGGAAGAGAAGAAGAATTATCGACTCTGACGATGACGAGGAGTAACAGTGTACTATAGAATAGATAATGGAATGACGTGGGGTTGTAGGTGGACATTAGTGGGGGGGTTGTTATGCGTTGATAGAAGGTTAGCATACCAGCCAATGAAGGTGGATTGCCTGAGCAGTAAAGACCTCTCAAAGCTCTCCAAGTATAATCAAAGAAGCACTGAGGTGCTTCTTTATCCCGTCTAAACCTTCCTAGCCCAAAACCTACAACTGCCTTGCCATCATTCACTTGCTACCACCGGAAGTCCATATCACATGTCTCCAAACCACCACCACCACCACCACCAACAGCCGAAATCCAAAAAAAGCAACTACCAAACCAAAAACCAGTGAATACCAGCTTCCCAAAGAACCTAATTTTTCACTTACATTCCCCCATCCCAAACTCCCCAATCGGCCTGTGACAAGTCCACATACTTAAACGCTTCGCACAGTGGATGCAAATTAACTTCCCCATACATACTAGTCTCTTTTCCACCCAGCAAGCCACACCCAATGGTTCTAGCCAAACAACTCAGACTCCTTCTCCTCGGAGCCCCCGGCGCAGGCAAAGGCACCCAGACGTCCAGGCTTCTTAAAGCGTTCCCCACGCTTAATGCTCTTTCCTCGGGCGATATCCTTAGAGCCGAGGTTGCCAGAGGAACTCCCTTGGGGTTGGAAGCGTCCAAGCTCATTGAAGAAGGGAAACTTGTTCGTGACGATACGATGGTGGGTGTGATCAAGAACCACTTGGTGGCCAACGACTGGCTCAATGGCGACAGTTCGTGGTTGTTGGATGGGTTCCCTAGAACAGGCAACCAGGCTAGAGACTTGGATAAGGTGTTGAAGGAACACCATGCTGATATCAATTTGGTGGTGGAGTTGGAGGTGGACCAGAAGTTGATTCTTGAGAGAGTGGAGGCCCGCTGGATCCATGCTGCTTCGGGAAGAGTGTACAACTTGGACTATAATCCGCCTAAGGAACCGTATAAGGATGATGTCACGGGAGAGAAGTTGGAGAAGAGGGCTGATGATACGGCCGAGGTGTTTGGAAAGCGGTTGGATAAGTACAACGATGAGATTCTGACGCTTCGGGAGTACTATAAGAAGAAGGGGATCTGGTTTCCTGTTGCGGGAGAGACGTCGGATATCATCTTTCCGAAGATCAAGGAGTTGATTGAGGGGAAGTTTGACAGGGCATAAATCAATTTTGGCCCGTCAGAACAATTTTGGCCCGTTAGGGACAAAATTGACCTTGCCCTGGGCCCCACTGTAGTAGTGGCCGTCTGATTTATCCAATTGCATCGTGCGGGTGAAGTACCCTATGAATTGATTCCCGCTGAACGTTATATTTTCCAGGGAAACGCCTGAACGTTTTCACTCACTTCAGATAAACCTTCCCATCATTATATCCATTTATTAGAGAAGAGCCCGAGGAAGATGAACTGGGCCCAGTCAGGCGTCATCGATGGGTAACTGCCACATCTATCTGACCCAAAAAGTATTCTAGAAAGTACAACGTTAATGAATTTAAGATTTTGAGAGTGAACCGTAGGGCATTGAGTTGATATCTGTGTGATGAAGGTAGGCTGGTAGTAGTAGCCATAGAGAGTATAAGCAGTCACAAGGAAGTATGTAAGTCGTCAATTGATACTCCAAATGCCCAAATAATGCCTCTGAAGACCAATAAATACCTTATTAATGTTTGTTCACCCTCCCAGTGGCTTATCTTCCTCCATCAACTCATGCCTTCTACAGCTCCATACATCAAGTACTCTCCATCTACGACTCCCAATTACACTTCCTGTTAGTAACCTAATCACATCCTGTAACCCCCATTCCACCCTCTCCAATCACACTGCATCTAAAGTACTCATCTTTCCACCCTCCACCTCTGGTTCCCCAGACATCAACACTTTTCGCAGCCAACCAGTACTACCATCCATAAGGCACCAACAGCCCCACCAATTCCCCTCCCCCGCCCTCCAAATCACCAGAAACCAATTAAACCTGCTCCTCTCCTTCCTCTAATACTAACACCATCCCTAAAACCACCCCTCCTTCACCACCTCTTGCCCTCCCTGTAGCCGTTTCTCCCACTAGCCAATACAGCACAATGCACCAGTGCTTATCTTAGCATCACGTCAATCAGGGGCACCAGCGAACCCCAGGAACTCAAAAATACCAAAAGAAAAACCCTAACCAAATAAACTTTATTTAAACTTATTTCCATATATAAACCATCAATATCACTGTTTCTGTTTATTCACCACCCACTCCATCCTCACTGGTTCCCTCCATATCACACACTTTAAACCCCCACACTAAACCTGCCAAACCACCCAGTGGCCCGTTTGAGCCAATAACAGGCCATTTGTAAATATCCCATCCGCTACCCCTCTTGTCATCCCCAGTGCCATTTTGGGAATGCCCCGTCTTCCTTCACAGAAGTCCCGCCAACTATAAGTAGCCAGGGGACCCCAAAGGCTTCGTCTTCTTTTTTCTATTTTTCACTTTCTTTATTGTAGTGATGCTGCTTACGAAAGCAATAAAGCTTGCTAAACCAGTCAGGCTTGTTCTCCTAGGAGCGCCTGGCGCTGGTAAAACCACCCAGTGTGCTCGCATCATTGATACTTTCCTGGGCTTCTCGTCACTTTCGCTGAAACATATCTTTAGGACTGAAATTGATAGGGGACTGCCTTTTAGTTCGTCTGTGAAGAAACTTATGGAAAACGGGTCGCTTATTCCTGACGATGTGACCATGTGCTTGGTCCAGAACTACTTGTATGAACACAATTGGTTCAATACGGCTGGCAATTGGGTGTTGCATGGGTTGCCAAGGACCAAGGCTCAGGCTGTTTCTTTGGACCGGATCCTTGACAGTAACAAGATGGGCGTTACTATTGCAATTGAGATGAAGGTGGACCAGAGCCTTATTCTTGATCGGGTTGCGAAAAGATGGGTTCATCCGCCTTCTGGCAAAGTCTACAATTTGGAGTATGATCCTCCAGAAGTGCCGTATAAAGATGATGCTACGGGCGAGCCATTGATCAGAAGGGACGACGATAACGCTGTGTTGATGCAGCTGCGCTTGGACCAGTATAACGAGGAGATTGAGGAGATTCGTCTGTACTACCAGAGAAGAAACGTCTGGCACGAGGTGGAGGGTAAGAGCTCTGATATCATCTTCCCGAAGATCAAGGATTTGCTTATCCGCAAGTTTGGCCAGGCCTAGAGACGTTGCAGTCATGTCCCACGAATCACGACGTTACGATAACGATATAAATGAACGACGTTTGAAGATAAAGAATTCGGAATCAGTCAGTAGAGGACGTTTGCTCTTTGGAATCTTGTTGTAGAACGGGGAGTTCTGGTGGCAGCATAGGCAGTGGAAGTGCAAGAGACAGTGTTGCCAATGGTCTATACCAGGCATTTAGGTGGATTCAAGACATCTTCATTCTATTCGGAGTCCCTGGGTCGTCTATTGAACCTGTTGTGCCTGGATACCTGGTGGATCCTGTTACTCAGTCCCACCAATGGAAGGCATTGGACTGCCTGCCACCAGAAACCTACCAGAACAGCCCATACCATAAAATACAGTAACAGCAAGGCACACTGGTATAAGGTTCCGCTCCCGATTGCCTTATCGCTGTGGGTGCCACTTCAAGCCCCCACCTTCCTTCACACAAATGGCCTGGTCTTATAAGACCCCAGGGCAATTGCTACAAGATGACTACCCATTGATCTATTATGAAGCTTGCAAAACTGATTCGAGTGCTTATTCTAGGAGCTCCTGGTACTGGAAAGGCCATTCAATGTAGGAAGATCAATAGTGCCTTCCCTGCTATAAGATGTCTTTGTGCTGGAGACATTATTCGTACAGAGATGCCAAGAGGGTCTCTGTCTAGCTTTCTAGTGACCAGACTCATGGAAGAAGGACGGGTTGTTCCTGATGATATGATGATTGCATTGACACAGAACCATTTATTGGAGAAGGACTTGCTCAGTACATACAAGTCGTGGGCGATACTGGGTATTCCAAGAACAGAAAACCAGGCCATAACTCTAGATAAAGAGTTGAAGCGTCACAATGCTGGGGTGAATATGGTTATTGAGTTGGATATTGATGATGAAACGCTTCTCAAGCGAGTCCAGACAAGATGGATCCATCCTCCTTCAGGCAGAGTATACAATCTCAATGATAACCCGCCAAAGGAGAAACTCAAAGATGACGTTACTGGCGAGCCGTTACAACAGCGTCCTGGCGACGTAGCTGACTTGTTCATGCTGCGTTTGAGGGAGTATAGAGAAGAGGCCGAGAAGATCAGGAATCACTACTCGAAAAGAGGCATTTACCATAAAATCCATGGCCAGACGACCGAAAACATGTTCCCTAAAATCAGAGATTTGCTAGCCCTCAAGTTTGGCAGAATGGACCCTGCAAACTTTGACCTGGAGAGTCTCCAAGGAAGGTGAGACAGGATAAGATGGAGGTCTGGTAAGTCCAGGAAAGCAGACTTTTTGAATTTCCAAACGCCATCTATATAAAGAAGAAAAGATAACTTTTTACCTTCACTACTTTTTTACCCACCTTCTTCTCTCCATCTTCTTCTTCTGCTGGTCCACCCATATAGCCCTTTCGCAGCCACTGGGAGAGCCTGCTTTAGTAAGAAACAACCCCTCCGCCAATCGACCACCAGGGCCAGGAAAAACTATAAATAAGACCGGATTCCCACTTTTCAAACCCCCCTGATCAAAATTTCAACCCCCGTTTTCCCCTAACCTCCTTCCTTTACCCCCATTCACCACCTCCCCTTCCCCAGCCGCTCCTACACATCGCACTATCGCAACCCAAATATCAACTACTACATCAACTCCAGATCCATCCCTCCCTGCCAGCCCTTCATCCATGAAGTTCTATATCGACGACTTGCCGGTGCTCTTCCCGTACCCGAGGATCTACCCTGAGCAGTATGCGTATATGAGCGACATTAAGAAAACGCTAGATGTTGGTGGCAACTGTATTCTAGAAATGCCTTCTGGAACAGGTAAGACTGTTTCGTTGCTTTCGCTTACGGTGGCGTACCAGATGCATTATCCTGAGCATAGGAAGATTGTTTATTGCTCTCGTACAATGTCAGAGATTGAAAAGGCGCTTATTGAGCTTCAGAAACTCATGGACTTCAGGTCTGCTCAGCTAGGGTACGTTGAGGACTTCCGTGGTTTGGGGCTTACGTCGAGAAAGAACTTGTGCTTGCACCCGGAGGTGTCTCAGGAACGTAAGGGTGCTGTTGTGGATGAAAAGTGTCGTCGTTTGACCAATGGCCAGCTTAAACTGAAGCTTGAGTCTGATGGTGTGTCTCAGGAACAGATGATCCAGAACCCAGACCAGCTAGGGTTGTGTTCGTACCATGAAAAGTTGAACGACTTTGATCAGCATGACTTGTTGCCTCAGGGTGTGTTTTCTTTTGAATCTTTGCTTGAATACTGTAAGAAGGAAGGTACATGTCCGTACTTCACTGTGAGAAGAATGATTTCGTTCTGTAATGTCATCATTTACTCGTATCATTATTTATTGGATCCAAAGATTGCTGAGCGTGTTTCGAAGGAGCTCTCTCGTGATAGTATTATTATCTTCGACGAAGCGCATAATATCGATAACGTCTGTATCGAATCGCTATCGCTTTACTTGACTGACGATACTATGAAGAGGGCGTCGCGAGGCGCCAATAAGCTTGCGGATGCCGTGGACGATATGAAAGCCCAGGATTCGGAAAAGCTACAAAACGAATATGAAAAGCTTGTGGAAGGTCTTCGACAGAATGAGATTGCTCGTGAGGAGGACCTATTCATGGCCAACCCAGTGCTTCCGAAGGATCTCTTGGATGAGGCTATTCCTGGAAATATCAGAAAAGCAGAGCATTTCATCTCCTTCTTGAAACGTTTCATTGAATACTTGAAAACAAGAATGAAGGTGCTTCATGTCATTAGTGAGACTCCGGTTTCTTTCCTACAGCATCTCAAGGAGCTTACGTTTATCGATAGAAAACCATTGCGTTTCTGTTCTGAACGTTTATCGCTTTTGGTCAGAACGCTAGAGCTTTCTGATGTTGAGGATCTTAACGCCTTGAAGGATATCGCTACATTCGCAACGTTAGTCTCCACCTACGAAACCGGATTCCAGCTTATCTTGGAACCATTCGAGACAGAGGGTGCTACCGTACCCAACCCCATTTTGCATTTTACCTGTTTGGACGCATCGATTGCCATTAAGCCTGTGTTTGATAGGTTCTCTTCTGTCATTATCACTTCGGGAACAATTTCTCCTTTGGATATGTACCCTAAGATGATGAACTTCCAAACCGTCATCCAAGAGTCCTACACTATGACCTTGGCCAGAAGATCTTTCTTGCCAATGATCGTCACCAAGGGTTCTGACCAGGTCTCTATCTCATCCAGGTTCGAGATCAGAAACGATCCATCGGTGGTTCGTAACTACGGTTCCTTGCTCATTGAGTTCTCCAAGATCACCCCAGATGGTATGGTTGTTTTCTTCCCGTCCTATCTCTATATGGAGTCGATTATCTCCATGTGGCAGAGCATGGGTGTGCTTGACGAAGTGTGGAAGTACAAGTTGATCTTGGTGGAGACGCCCGATGCCCAAGAAACATCTTTGGCTTTGGAAACATACCGTAAGGCTTGTTCTAACGGCCGTGGTGCAGTTCTTCTTTCCGTCGCTCGTGGTAAGGTGTCGGAAGGTATCGATTTTGATCATCATTACGGAAGAACTGTGCTTATGATTGGTATTCCTTTCCAGTACACCGAATCCAGAATTTTAAAGGCGCGTCTTGAGTTCATGAGAGACCACTTCCAAATCAAAGAAAACGATTTCCTTTCTTTCGATGCCATGCGACACGCCGCTCAGTGCTTGGGACGAGTCCTTCGTGGTAAAGACGACTACGGTATTATGGTTCTTGCGGATCGTAGATTCGCCAGGAAAAAGAGCCAGCTTCCTAAATGGATTGCCCAGGGTCTTTATGATTCTGATACAAACTTATCGACAGATATGGCGTTGGCCAATGCCAAGAAGTTCTTGAGGTCGTTGGCGCAGCCCACTAACCCTGAAGATGCCGAGGGAGTGTCGGTTTGGGACCTCAAGCAGTTGGAAGACCACCAAAAACAGCAACAAAAGAAGATTGATAAGAGAATCGAAGACGACGAAGCAGCCGACGACAAAGGAGAAGACGATTTCATGGATCTTGACGATGCTGATCTCGAGCTTCTCTAGAAAAGTTGTAAAATTCCTGCATATACAATACAACATATCAACATGGATCCCTCCTCGGTAGTAGTATCCCATTAATGGCTCTCCATGGCCAACGAGTACTATGCAATCATTCTAGAGTTATCTCCTCGAAAGATTAATGTTGGGTTTGCTGGAGAAGCCAGTCCTCTGGTTTCCATTCGCCCGGACACCCCATTATGGGAAAAGTTCCAACCTCCATATGAAAAAGACGTTTACCCCAGATTCTTTGATCTTTCTTCACATTCATTGACCAAAGAACAAAAGGAAGAGCTCTCTAGTGTTCTTAAAAACGACAAAGCGGATTCTTTGATTCTCGAGAAGTACCAGCATGACAGCCAAAACGGTTCCTTCACGTTCTGGGAACTGGACGGGTTCCGTGCCCTAGGACGTCTAATGAAGTACGTGGTTGTTCGAAACTTGATGGTTTCGCCATGTCATGTGAAGATTATGGTGCTTGATAGCGGTGCTTCTGCATTGGAGAAGTTCCAGCTATGTAGTGTGCTTTTGGGACCTTCTGGATGTGCATGTTCAGTGTACTTCATTCCACGAGCTTCGTGTATTTCTATGGCTGCCAGCGTGGAAGACTCTGTGGTAGTGGACTTTCAGTGGCTGGAGTGCCGGATAAGTGCATTGAGTGAGTTGAGAGTTGTCAAAGAGAAATGCGTGGAGACGTACTCTGAAGAGACGGCTTGTTATAAGATGTTGAGGACAGTAAGTGATGCAGAAGAGGCCAGGGAGAAGGTTAATGAAGGCCACTTTTTGTCGTTTAAGGGCTTACCTGAAGTTTTGGAGCTGTTGGTGGAGGAATTGGCGGTAGATGTACGTCCCAAGATGGTCCAGAACCTTGTTTTTACTGGTGATATCGCTCTGTCGGTGGAATTGCAGCGGTCGCTTGTAAAGGAAGTTCAACTGCTTCTTCCCAGACTCACAGTCTCAGGAAAGTACTGCCTTGGAGCGTGGGCAGGCGCCTCGATCTACTGTTCTACCTCGCTTTTGAAACACGACATGAACGATTTACGTAATAGGGAGGTGACGAGGGAGAAGCTCCGTAATGGGAAGTGGAAATCTATCTTTATTGGCTAGTTCTCCTCGTCATGAACATACTTTGCCCAGTAGTACCGTTTATGGTATTCTTTGGAAGATAAGCCCCAGGCTAACCCTTTTACCGTATGATGCCACGGTTCTTGCTCGATCATAATCTTGGGCCCGTACTCCGGCTCTAAAGCTATTCTATCGAAATCCTCTGCCAATACGTGCAACAAGACGTTCTCGTCAGTTTTGTTAGCCGGGTCAAAGTCCCAGCATCCAGCCATTGGCGCCGCTGCAGACGCCATCACAAGACCAGCTTGGGGCATCAAGCACGAGAAATCAAGCGGTGCTGAGTCTGGCAATAACGGCCCCGTCATGTGTGGCTCAATAGACGAGGTGACTTCAGCCTCTTCCGGAACATAACCCTCCTGGGGCAAGCCAGGCGAGAACACCTTCGAAGAAAACGGCGAAGAACCAGTAGGAGACGGCAGTGGCGAGTAGCCCTTCAAGCTCTGAAGCTCAGTGCCAAACATCTCCTCCTTCTGGCACTTCCACAGCTCAGTGACATCATACTCCTCCGGAGAAGCCTCCTCTGGTGGCTCTGGCGAATAGAACTTTGGATTCAAAGTTTTTGGCGGATCCGGCCATTCGCTCTTCGGCCTTCCAACGGTCCATGCGCCAGGAATATTTGGATGGGCAGGCGTGGGCATCTTGGGAGAAAACATGCTTTGTGGAACAGAGAAATGGTTGCAAAAAAGGCTTACCCAAAATGTAAGCCTCAGAGCAACGAGGGAAGTCACGTGCCGCGCGGGCTACAGTGTGAGCCGGCCCGCAGTAACCGTCACTCCTAAGTGCGAAGAAAAAACCGTAATCGCCTCCACCCGAACAACAAAACCCCCATTCAATTCCCCCTATCCATAACCAACAGATCTATATTACAATGTCGTGGGGCGGTTTCAAAAAAGCAATTAACAGAGCCGGTGGCGCTGTCATGGTGAAGGATGTTGATAAGACCATCGACAAGGACTTTGACATGGAGGAAAGGAGATATAAAGTGCTCAAGACGGCGGGACAGAACTTGCAAAAAGCTTCCAAGGGATACTTGGACTCGCTCAGAGCGGTGACAGCGTCGCAGGTGACCATTGCTGAGATTGTGCTGAACTTGTATGAGGAGGCCAGACAGGGAGGGTCAGTGTATGCTAACGTGGGACAGTATTACATGCAATGTGTACGGGAGCTAGACGAGGAGACGGTGAAGCAGGTGGACGGACCGTTCCGAGAAACGATTTTGGACCCCGTGACGAAGTTTGCCAGTTACTTTACTGAGATTGACGAGGCTGTCAAGAAGAGAGCTCACAAGAAAACCGATTACGACCAGTGTAAGGCCAAGGTGAGACGGTTGATCGATAAACCAGCCAAGGACGCTGCCAAATTGCCCCGTTCCGAGAAAGAATTGGCCATGGCTAAGGATATCTATGACGAATTGAATGAGCAATTAAAGAGAGAGTTGCCCCAGCTTATTGCGTTGAGAGTGCCATTCTACGATCCATCGTTCGAGAGTTTGGTCAAGATTCAGTTAAGATTTTGTACGGAGGGATACTCGAGGTTGGCCCAATTGCAGCAATACTTGGACCAGGCGTCCAGAGACGATTACGCCAACGGTGTGTTGGACGGCAAGATCGACGACATGTTGCTACAGATGAACTCCTTGAGTATCACCAGCTTGGGACAGAAGTAACATAGCTCTGCTTTCTTCCTCTTTTGCATATTCTTTGGCTGCTGACGACGAACGACTTACATGCGTGCCAGCTGGAGTATCTATGGGCTACCAAATTTTCATAATTAGATGTATACTTAATGACAGTATCCACTGCAAATGCTTTGACGTAGGTTTACTAAGCCTTCGCTGTCAAGCCGTATAGGGGCTTGAGCGTCATCGGTTCGGCAATCCCTCCTAGGAAAGCGCAACCCACGCACAAGGCTGACACTGGACGGTTAAAAGGGTTAAAGATCTATTTAAAGGAAGTTAGGGGCTGTGAAAGTAACATATTTCAAAAAGACACGTCTCTCGTTGACCCTTTTATTTTTATTTGCTCATGTTGGTTTTGAGTAATCTGGCATTTGAGACAATGTATGGCGGAATGGTTGCAAAGATGTGAATTACGGTAGATTATGAAAACAAAAAAGGCCAATTAAAAATATATGTTTGGCTAAAAAAGGTTGGTGTTTAGTAGGAAGGTAATTGGTATAAGAAGCTATTGATTGGCATCAGGAGATGTTTGGTTGACGTGGTTTGGACGGAACGAAGCGGATGTAAGCGGAGGGTCCAGTGACAAGGGATGAATGAAGGCCACCAACAATGGGCACTGATCAAGGTGGACATAAGGATTAAGAACTTCTGATTTTTGTATGATTTGGGGTTTATTGACAAACCAAGAAGCAACGTTCAATGTCTGGTTTTGTTTGGTAAGCTTTGAGTAGCCAATTAGAGGGTACTAGGGACTCACTTAAAGAAATCTCGATTCATGACCCAGTTATATAATTAGATGCCCTAAAGCCAATTGAGAGTAATACGGCAAGAGAGGAGCAAACTTTGGAGACACATCATTGATAATTCATGATGTAGCACAGCCAGAGAGAAGGTAATAGCATACTTAGCATGAGATGTCAGTGCAGAGTGGACATTTTGATATTTTCTTAATGCCCAGTATGGAGAGCTTTGAAATCCAGCTGACTCAAACGAGTTTAACTACCCCACTAAATACATTAAATTCCTTGTATCTATCCCTAGGTAGCATAAGTGGTACTCCCAGCCACAGTAATATGCCCTTTAGTATAGGGATGTACGGGTTCTACATTGCATTTGGGTGCAAAATATTTGGACCATTTCGACGACCAGAAAAGAACTATCATCATTTCTAACTGCCACAAACATAATAGAAGCTGAACAAATACCAAAACATACCACTAAGCTTCTAATTCACACTTCCAATAACCAAAAAGGTCAATTTTACGAATATTGACGCTTGTGAGGCGACTTTCACTTACAAAACTCCACCTATTATAATGACCGATTTGAACACCAATCCGGTATATTTATAAAGACTTAAGGACATCTTTAGGAAGCCCAATTTCCGCTTTTTCACATCCGGTGGCGGTGGGCGTGGGTTGTGGGGTGGCGGTGGTGGGCCGTAGGGGAGGGCCAGGGCGATTTGGCGCGAGGTGTGGGAAATGGGTGGGTTCGCGATAGTATGGGGTGTACGGGTTTTGGTGTAGATGGTTGGGGTGGTCAGGACGAGAAGGGCAGTAATGGAGGGGTTGGAGGGAGGTTTTGGTGGAGGTTGGTGGTTTGATGGGTAGATTGTAGTGGTGGTGGTGTTGTGTGTGAGTTTGGTGGTGGTAGGGTTGCGGGAAGGCGGTGAAAAGTGCGGTGGAAAAGTTCCACCGCCGACAGCAACGGCTACAGAGGTGGTACGTGGATGGGAGTTGTACGGTTGGAAAGAGGGCGGTTCGTAGAGTAGAAGATGTGGCGGGTGTATTTTTTGTAGGTCCGGAAGGGTGGTTTAGGTGGGGCCAAAGATCGGCCCCATAGTTAAGAAACTATGTCAATTTGGGGGGTAAATCGGGATTTCAAGGGGGGACCCTTGGAAAACGATTCATTTTCGAAAAAAGTGAAAAGTGGCTTCCCGCGGTCCGGAGCCGAGAGCCAGGTTCATGGATTGGAAACTCAAAAATTGGAAAATGTATGGTGAAAAATGGAAGTGGCTGGAAGTTTGGCGGTGGGTTTGTCGAGGTTGGATTTGCAGCCTGGCGAAGTCTGAGCTGCCCAGCAGCTCTGGTTGTGGAGATACGGCTGGGTGGAGGTTTTGAGTGGGAGTTTGGGGATGGAGTGGAATTGGTGGAGATAGTTTTGGGGATTAAAGGGTAGGGGGATGTAGATTGGGTTGTGGAGATGGTGGGAGAGGGTCGGCTTGAAGCGTAGCGACGTCTGGGGGACCAGGAAGACGAAGAGAAAGAAGCTGCTTACGTAAGCAACAATCGGATAGGAGAGTATTAGGAGGTCAATTTGAATGCTACGGTTGAGAGATGGGTACGGTTGGGTTCGTTAGGTTACGGGGAGTTGAGTGGTACGGTTTTTATGGCGATTGGAGGCGGTTTTGGAAAATCGGTATTTGGAAGGTCCGATTTGGGCGTTTTCAGGTGGCTGCTGTGGCAGCCACAGGCATCGTGGGAGGCTGGTAATTTGTCAGGTTGGGTAACGGCAGCCGAATATTACGGCGGTGGTGTTTATAGAAAAATAATTTTTTTTGGAGCTTCAAGCTGGGGAAAGTCATGAGGTTTTGGGATTTCGAGGAACGAAAATTTCAGAAATTGGAAAAAAACGGTGATTTCAAGGGGGACCCTTGGGGTGGATTTTTATTTTTGGAATTGCCTTCGAAGGCGGTTAGATTTAGGGGATTTGGGTGGCTCGCCGGGACGGCGAGTTCTTGAAGAATTGATGGACGTCTTTTGGGAGCCATTGGAGCTGGTGGTGGGGAGAACGGTGACGAAACGTCGATGACGAAAATTTAAAAAGCGATTACAACGAGATTGCAACACCAAAAACGAAAATTGGGCTTTGCCGAGTTCAGGGGGTGTTCTGCAGGGGCTAAAGTACCCGTTCCACTATAGCAATTGATATTGCCATGTTTCAGGTTGAATATCCAAGTTGGAGTACTTTCTCCAAAAATGGACTTCAACGGGGGCCGAGCCAGAGAAGCTTCAAATTCCAATTCTAAGACCACCGGTAGATAGTAGACAACTCTACAAGTCCAACGGCACCGGTCTGGGCACTTTTTTTTTGAAATTCGATTTTTGCTGGTGCTTTCTAATTCTTTCGAATTTGGTGATTTCTGGTCGTAATTACACACCAATTGTAATCTACCCAGGATTTCTCTAAAGAGTCCATTTATAAGGTAACATAGACCTCCGAAAGTACTACCAAAGCGTACTACAAAACCCGCCTCTACCGCTGCCGTTCCCATAAACGAAACGAAAGACTACAAACTTTTACAGAAACTCTGTAATTGCTTCCCCACCAACTACCTACTAAATGCCTTATTGGTACCAGTAGACAGCTCTTTTTGCGCACTTTCCAACGCAGGTCTGGCGCCGCTCCAGGACGGGTTCTACGGGGAGCTATTCCAGGGCAAAGGCAAGCAGTTTTGGTTGAAATTCTGGATGTTAGTGATTTGTTACATTTTAACACCAGTGCACCAAAACAACCAAAAGTGTCGATTTGGAGCTACTTATGGTTTTTCAAAAACCGCCCCTGGCGAAATGGCTGCAAAAAAAGGTGATAGAGAGGTGGTGCGGCGGTGTAAGTAGTACCAAAATGTAGGTCTTGGCTGGGGGAACATTTTGGAGTGGGTAGATTAGCCTTTGGGTCAGTGATGGTGGAGAAAACTGGGAAAACGTAGTGTTTGTTGTCCTTTTCTAGAAAGCGGCGGGACCGTCGTAGAAACGGTTGGATTGGGCAGTAGGGAGGTTCAGGAGGAGCCCGCGAAGCGTGGCTTTCTTTTGGCACCAAAATGGTGGTGCTGGTGGTACTTAGTGGTCATCAAAATGAAGTTGAAAATGTTTGTTGGAATCGTCCAAGGGGTAGCCTTGGGATTTGGAGGATTTTGGTGGATTCTGGTGGAGTAGTAGGTTTCTGTGGTGGACGGGTGTTTTGGTATGGCAAGGTCGCTTTTTTCTATACTGAAGCGGTTCCAGAGCAGTCTTTTCGGTGTAGAGGCGTGGGCATGAAGGATTTAGAGTGGTGATTGAGAGGGGGCATTACTTGGGTAGCTTTCTACAAGTATGGATAGTTTTGGAGGTGCATTTCTCGAACGTGATGGGTCTACGGGGGAAAAAGACATAAATAGAGAGGGTACTTTTACGGCGCTACGATGCAGGAAAAGACCACTTTAGCAGGTCAATTGGGAAGAGTAAGTGTTTTTCTTTTCACATCCGGTGGCGGTGGGCGTGGGTTGTGGGGTGGCGGGGGCACGGCAGGGAAGTGGTGGGCTGGCGGTGGTGGAGCGTAGGGGAGGGCCAGGGCGATTTGGCGCGAGGGAGCGGGAAATGGGTGGGTTGTCTACCAGTGTGTATTCAACCCTGACTGTCTCCGCGAGGTGAGACTCTCTTCTTTAGAAGGCTTGACCACTCTGGACATATGTGACGTTGGTGAGACTCTTAAGACGGTGCTTAGTAGTTTATTCTTGACGACCACCACCTAACTAAAACATTTGAAGGACATTGTAAATACATGGATACATATAGATCAGCTCCGTATATCTGATGTATAAAATCTTCACCACTGAAGGTTATGGCCATGTAGATTGACTTGGGATCATCTAGGAAGCGAGACATGCATATGCGCGTGATACCAGGCTATTGTTCTCTTGCAGCATAATCTCGCCCTGCGTCGCATACATTCATGCAAATGAAGCGACTCCATCATCAAATCTTCCGTACCCATGCATAAACATCTTTTGCATGGAATTAATCCGAGCCAAGCTCGGCTAAGTATACCTCATTTATTTCTATGTACTTTCTAAATAGTAAAAAGAAAAAAAAAAAAAAAAAAAAAAAAAAAACCAAGTCAACTAACTTGGGAAAAAAAAACCTAATGCAAGGTTTTTCTTTCATAATGCGGGGTTTTGTTGCAATGCCCCGCCATCTATCATGTAAGCTTACAACAAGCCGTGCATGATGGCACACAGACTCGAGGGTTCACCCGGGGAACTTGAAGACGAGATCCGAGGGTCGGTCTCAATGGGGAGCGTCCATAAACCGGTCTCTTTCCATGAGGCCTATCTTTTCACTCGCCACTAGTACCCCAGGGAACAAGTGCAAATGTGGAAAAGTTGGTCAAACTTATCCAAAGGCGTGCAAAACTCTCCCCAGAATGGTTGATCACTAAGTAACCAAACTCTGTCCTGAGGAGGCTACCACGCAAATGGGACGCATAAACAGGGGAGGAAGACGACGGGTGGAAAGTCGCCTTCAGGGTAAAGATACAGAGCTAGCTGTCAAACTCCAACCACCAATCTAATCATTTGCAACGTACTCATGCCAGCATGATAACTCCAAACATGAGGTTCTCCGAAGAGCAAGGGTCTGGCCGTGCAGACCCTTGTGGGTGTTTCAAAGACCTGCTTGTTAAAGCTCACTCGAAAGGCTCTGAAACCACGCCAGTCGAGGCATCCGCCCAAGGGCTGCGTTAAACTCTCAGGCGGGTCGGGTCCACCATGAATCGTGACAGCTCTAATCATTTACCGCACGAGACCACAGTAAAAGATGCAGAATCGGCGGTGGGATTCTCTTTTAAAAAACTGAATATCTGATGAATCCTACCAATACCAATCTTTTCCTGTCAGAACCACTAACCAGTTCACAGAGGGGGTCACTTTACGTCTCGAGAAGGTTGGACCCAGTGTCCCATCTTCGGCGGGTTCCAGTGGGTGGCACAGGAGATGTCTCTCCAGAAGGGGTTGCCAATCCGTTTCCTTCAAAACACCTCCATACCACTGTCCCGTATCCTCGTAATAAGGTGAAGCTTCTCAGCGTAAAATGAACACCTTCCCTGCTACCAGTCAATAAATCCCAATGAGATCAAAAGAGGCAAGCCAAGACCCACCAGAGGAACCACATAAACCATAAGAATAAATGACCACAAGAATAAATAACCACAAGAATAAATGACCACAAGAAAAATGCCCACGACAAAGATAAATAGAACTGGAGAGTTAGAAGTTTCTGAAAAATTCGCCAAAGTAAAGTTATGGTGTTACGACTTACAAAGAACGTCTTTTGTTAGAAAAAGGAAGTGGTCCCAGGGTTATAAAAAATGGAGTGCGAAATCGTCTCTACTTATACCTACCAGCTTTCAGGAAGGGGGGTCACGCCTTTTACTCAACTGCAGTCCCTGTACCCCTGTTGCCCGTCAATTAAAAGTATATAAACAGTTGTTTATCCTGGTAGAAGTATTTGGCTTTGTGACGCTTCTGTTATGGGAGTTGGCGATGGATGGAGTTGGAAGAAGCTGTTTGGCGGGTGAGGGACTTTGGAGAGCCCACAAAGGCCCAGGTCAGTCAATTGTCGAGGAGGTAGTCCAAAAACACACCTTTTGCTTTGTAACAGCTTAAAAGAGGAAGAAACCTCGATATGGGTGGATAGATGGACCAAAGGTTCCTTGTTTACATCCGTTTGGGCCTTTTCTGCAGCCGCGCAAGATAAGTATCACTGCAGGCCCTTCGGTTTGGATCTGTTGATGTTCCAGGAAGTGGTGGTAGCTCAGGGTGTTCCAGAAAGGTTGAAAGTTAGCCTTGTCTCCCTTTATCCTATCCCATACCATATTGTGGTTTCCTCGAATGGCCCGTCGAAGTGGTGTTAACGCTGGCTGGGTCCGTTTCATTGGGTGATTCAAACAACAGAAGCTACCTAAGGCTACCCAGCAGATAGGAGACGCGTCAAACACTCTCAAAGCATGACTTATGAATACCTTTACCTTGTGATTTACTTTGGTACGCTTGACGGAACGTTGAGTTCAGTCGGCTCACTGAATTAATGACAGATAGAGGTCTGGGGCTTCCGTCAATTTGGTTTCAATGGCATGTCTAAAGCTAGAGCCTTAAAAGACATGTCATGTTGTTTAGGTGTTCATTTCAGTTCCTGTTCTACTACTACCGGCTAGCTCTTTGGTGTTATCGAACCGGTGTTCTGAAAGCTTCGGGATCTTTTGATCACAGCAAGGTAAACCCATGCATGTCTTCAATTGTTGCCATTGATCCAAGTGCTCGGAATCATGAGACCTATCAATTCCGTCGAATGGTGGAGGCAGGTGGTTTGAGTCGAGATAAAAAAAAAAAAGTGTTGATTTCCTACGTCAGGGCTGGGAGTCAAGTGAGCTAGACTATCATTTTATCAAGAACTACGAGGCATAAACTTTCATGAAGTGAATCCTGGCTATCTTCTATAAGCTGAAATACGTATTAACATCTTCACTCGCATAATGTAATAAGGTTTGATTTACAATGGGTGCTGATCTGCCTGTCAACCGGCTACTAGGTGGCTGAAGAAACCAAAGCCTAGTTTTTACCAGCGACAGTCTAAACTCAAACTACAGCAGCTTAAATCTAAGCTGAAGATACTCACAAAGACTGTTGATGAAATATAAGTTTAGATCATGTTGAGTAGCCACGATTGAGCACATCAAAGATGGCTATATTCAGCTATCTCCATGCATGTTGGAGTTTCTAGAATCATTTAATAGATTACAATAGAATTTATAGATTAGGTTTCGAATTTTGGGCGTCCCAACGATACAATAATACAAGTATCACCCTTTCCTTATGATAAATTGTTCCCATTCTATGTTGATCCCCAGTGAACCCTAAGCTTTATTTTTTTTTTTTTTTTGTTGAATAAGCTTACCTTATAACTCTTGAGATAGAATAATAAAAGCAAAACTTCCATCTTCAAAGTTTAAGTCTTTCTGAATGATTAAGTTTATGGAAAAACTCAATTTATTTCAAAAAATCAGGTAAACTTTACATAATGCTAACATAATATTAATAATTTTCTTGAATACTGACAAAAATGGAAACACAAAAATTGTCCCCAAAAATCAGATTTTCACCCAAAGTGCATTTCCTTGAAGTTGTAGACCAAGTAGACTCCTCAAAATAGACTCAGATCATTATTTTCCCGAAAAACCCTTCTTTCGACACTTTTAGGGACCCAAGCTCCAAACGACTCTATCACCAATATACTTGTGGTGTACGGGTGTGTCTCGCTCTACAACAGCACTTTTTTTGATCCATCCACCCTCACTTTCCCATTTAGGCAAGTGCTTTAGAACCCATCCATCAATTCCATCACCTTAAAGGCATATTCGATGCATTTTTGAATGAAGATGAAGCTTCTGACTTCCAAAAGTGATCCCAATTTGTTTACCACCTCGTATCGGTCAAAATAAAGGACGTACACTGATGTTTAATACTGTATATAATTATTCGTAAGATAAAGATGCTTAGCCTTAATCTACAGCAAATCATTTGATAAAAATTTCCAATTTCTTCTAAAGTAGTTCTTAAGGAATTTATCGAGCAGTTTGAGAAGTTTTACATGTTTTTTGATCTTCTGGCTGGAAGTTAAGGGAATCACCTACGCTTATGTACTTGCCTAAAAGGGAAAGTTGAGGTGGATGGTACAAAAATGAGGGTGGATGGATTACTGGTTCGTAGGCACTTTCCTCAGAATTCTTAACTGTGTCTTTTAGATGATTTCAATGCAACGAGAGTCATGTGCGAAAAAGATTATAATTAGATGATTTTAGTAGGCATCGTTGAGGAGGGGGATGATTTTGGGAGAATATAGGATTCAATGGGGCGTAATGGTCTAGGTAGAAGGCTATCTTCCCTTCTTAATTAAGTGTTCGACATTTCTCAAGCTACCGACAGTGTGATTAGAGTCTTTTTGAATCCCTTTTATTAATGAATTAGCGAAAGCAATAAACGAGGGTTTATCTCTGGAGAGTATTAGGTAGGCACTTTTGGTATTGCTCTATTCAAATTCATTGACGTTTTGATGTTTGTGGTAATTTTGTCTTTCTTCAACTTTACCAGGAACCATATAGAAAATACCTGTGCCTCTTAAGGAGAGCTCAGGAACGCTTTATCTACGGTACATCTTACTCTCCTGGAGAACTATAACCATAACCAGGGATGAGTTTACGGAATATTCGAAAAGACTTTAACATTACGTACATTCTGTTGATTTGGTATGTCACAAAATCTCCACTTTAAATGCTTAAAACAGAAGGTAGATTGTAAACCGTGGAGCCAATTTAGGTATTAGCCACTTTCCAGTATGCGAAGCTGGAGTTTCCATATTTATATATCCACAGGTTAATACATTTCGAGCAAGTATTACAAAAGAAAGATAATGGCTAGCTCAGACCAAAAGAGACTGCCACTCTAATAAATCTATCACTGTTCGTTGCATTTTGTTTATCTCAACTGGCCCACGCTAAATCCCAAAAGCATCATGAATTTACAAGAAGTGTGGTCAGAAACCGTTAGCTCCATGGAAACCTTTCCAGGCTTTATTCACGACAATACTAGCGAAACAGAACTGGAGTATATAGAAATAGCGCAAACGATGGATGCAACGTTCCTTTCCAAAGAGTCCTTTGTTCCATTCAGTGAACGGTTCTCTGAACGCCAATTAATCCAAGAAGGACACTCAATTGGTGAAGCAAAAGTCTACCACCAAGAGGCGCTCAAGCTCGAAAAATACATCGACGAAGCCGTCTGTGGTTTACGTGCAATTGGTATGCCAGAACACCGGGTCAAGAAGATATTCAAAGAACTATCCATGTATCCTGCTAAAACAAAACACTTGCCAAAATATGCTGCTAATGCAAGAATCATCAAGAATACTATCTGTTCATCGCTGTATTATATTGACGGGTTGACAATGGATCCACTGTTCATCTTAAAAATGCCTAAGGTTATTCAAGAGTTCAAGGTTGGTGTGAATAAATGGGAACCTCTTCTTGATACAGCTAGCCTTAAAATTAAATTCACCGCCATCATTCTTACATTAATATGTGCATTGGTTCGCTTTGACAGCGCTAACAGCAAATTGTACTGGCTCAATCTCATTATGTACTACCATTTCTTCCAAAAGGCTTTTGAAGGGCCCTGTTTGGTGCTTGGAGATACGGTCTATTGGTTGTTTGTTGATTTAAAGAGGAGGATTACGGAGTGGGCAGGTACTGACTTTCTTTGGAGACGAATAAACGATGATGTCGATTTAGTATGGGAACACTCTGACACTGCTTCGTTGGCCTTTATTTGGTTTGTGATTATGGTCTTTGGAGCATCGTTGGTTCTGGTATTGTGTGGGGCAGTAAAGATGATGAATGAAAGAATGAAGAAAACACTAAGGAAAGTATCTGGCTATATGTTTCTTTAGGAATCTTATGGGGAGATAGAATGATGTTCATATAATTCATGGAGGTTACCAAATGGCCCTAGATGTAGAAAAACACTTAGATAATGGTTAATACAGAAAGTCTTCTTATAAGTTGTGCTTTTATTTTGACAAAAGGAATGAAGAAGGTCTGTTTGGGGCACAGGTGGTATTACCTGGTTGGTGGTATTCTCTTTGGGTTCCAAAGTGAGAAGCCCAGAATGTCCACCAAAAGCTCAACTTCTCTAATGAACAAATGCCAATTGAATGATCCTTTTTAAAAGAGATTATGATAGCTTTGACGCTTTTTCCTTTACTAGCTTCATTTCGAGACTTATCTGTGTAACATGAGTATTCTTCCACAAACCTTCCAATTCTCCTCAAAAAGACTCAAATCTTGAAAAGCAAGTAGTAAAAGCAGGATAATATAAAGATGTGAGATAAGAGTTGAGACAATCTTATCTTCCCTAGTTTCCATCCAGCCATGACATCTCTAGCTATCATATAGATCTTAGAACTACAACACTCACTGTACATCCTTCATACTTTAGCATACCAGAAGACTTGGAGCTTTCAAAAGCCAAAACAGCCGAATACACCATTATAGTAATCATTCTAACCCTCTCTAGCTATCATATAACCCTCTTTGAGTGTCTTGCTTACATAACAGTCTCAACCAGTGAGAACCTCCAACCATATACTTTTTGATGCCGCTTCCAAAATCAAACAACATCAAATAGACAAGAAAATTGCAAAATATACTCCCTTATATTCCCATCCTCCACCCTCCAATTACCATCTCCCTGTCTTTTCACTCCACCATGCCGTTGCTGTTTTTCGCAGCCATTCTTTCCACCACCTCCCAGTCCAACAACAAGGAAAGGTACCAAAACCAAAGAAAACAGACTTTCCAAAGCACACACAACCTAATCTCCCACCCCATTGCAAAAATCCCAATTTCCTTCTACCACTTCTGTTTACGGGTAGTTAGTGGTTGTCCCACACCCGTGCACCACGACAACCGATCGCCACTTAATCCACTCACATACTCACCACACCTCCACCATTCATCCTCCCACAATGCCACCAAAAGCCGACTGGGACAAATACGTGCCTAACGAAGACGACGATACCGCTCCTGAAAACATCGTGCCTCTCTCAGAGGGCGACATCCAGGTGCTTAAAACATACGGCGCAGCTCCATACGCCAGTCTGTTGAAACAGATAGAAAAGGACCTCAAGGACATTGAGGACAGAATTAAAGAAAATATCGGCATCAAGGAGAGTGACACAGGGCTCAGTGCCCCTCATTTATGGGATGTGATGGGCGACAAGCAGAGAATGTCCCAGGAACAGCCTTTACAGGTGGCTAGGTGTACGAAGATCATAGAAGCAACCAACCCTACGCCAGCGGTGGGAATGTTGGCCAACGCAGACAACAAGAGCAAGTACGTGATCAACATTAAGCAGATTGCCAAGTTTGTGGTTGGGCTTGGCGAGAGAGTGTCGCCTACAGATATTGAAGAAGGCATGAGAGTGGGTGTAGATAGACAAAAGTACGAGATCCAGTTGCCGCTTCCTCCTAGAATTGATCCGTCGGTGACGATGATGACGGTGGAGGAGAAGCCTGACGTTACGTATGGTGACGTTGGTGGCTGCAAAGAGCAGATTGAAAAGCTTAGAGAGGTTGTGGAGCTCCCACTCTTATCGCCAGAACGGTTTGTCAAGTTGGGTATTGATCCACCTAAAGGTATTCTTTTGTACGGACCTCCTGGTACCGGTAAGACGCTTTGTGCGCGTGCGGTGGCCAACAGAACAGATGCTACGTTTATTCGTGTGATTGGATCAGAGTTGGTGCAGAAGTACGTTGGTGAAGGTGCTCGTATGGTGCGTGAGCTCTTCGAGATGGCTAGAACGAAAAAAGCGTGTATTATTTTCTTTGACGAGGTGGATGCTATTGGAGGCGCCCGTTTCGACGACGGCGCTGGCGGTGACAATGAAGTGCAGAGAACCATGTTGGAGTTGATCACACAGTTGGACGGTTTCGACCCTCGAGGCAACATCAAGGTGATGTTCGCCACCAACAGACCAAACACATTGGACCCAGCGTTGTTGCGTCCTGGTCGTATCGACCGTAAGGTGGAGTTCAGCTTGCCAGACTTGGAAGGCAGAGCCAACATTTTCCGGATCCACGCCAAGACCATGAGTTGCGATAAGGAGATTAGGTGGGAGTTGATCTCTCGTTTGTGTCCTAACGCCACGGGTGCCGAGTTGCGCTCTGTGTGTACGGAAGCAGGCATGTTCGCCATCAGGGCCAGGCGGAAGGTGGCCACCGAGAAGGATTTCCTCAAGGCCGTCGATAAGGTGATCAAGGGTAACCTCAAGTTCTCATCCACGTCGCAGTATATGCAATATAATTAAGGCTAGTCCCACCAGGAGACGCAGCCCATGCCGTCGGTTTGGCACGAGGCCACCAAGGCGTAAGGAGGAGCCCTTGTGGCGTCAGTCTCGAGCCCTAGCGCTTCCGACGACGACTTGGGCTTGATGTTGGCGAAGATCTCCTCCTCCACACGGAACCGCACTTGTTCGTTGACATCGATGTACAAGTCAGTGTCGGCGTCTGGCTGCCACACCCACGCCAGCTCGGCCGGCCTGAACACACACCCTTCAAATAAATAGTCCTTTGGAATGAAAATATCATTGAAGAAGTCCATTCTCACCTTGATGCCCTCGGCTGTGCATTCTTGCACCCACCCAGTCAAGATCTCTCCCACAAACGGCTTCCACACTATCATGCGGAACTGTGTTTCCACGTATGCACCGCCATCTCCCGGCTTAAGAAGCCCATCCTTGATCTCCAGAATGTCCCACACCGACACTGCAAGCCCCACGTTGGAGATCACCTTGTTGGAGTACTTCTTATGAAGCTCATCTTTAAGTGCCACAGGGGTCGGGATATTGAACGACGGAGGCGGAACCCGTACTAGATCCGAAAGCTCCGATAGTATAAACATGGGAATTGACGGGAAACTGGCCAGTGCTAGGTTTTGGTGCACTTGTTGATGAAGATGTAGTTGCCTCGATGAGGTGGAAAATGTTGATACTTCGCGATGCGACTGGACCATGGGGAGTGGTTGGCAGAAGGTGGGGGAGAAGTTTTAAGGTGAAAAAGATAGAAGGTAGGGATTGGAGAAAACGAGAACAGTGTGATTTTGGGTTTGAAAGTTTTGGGTGAAGAAATTGGAGTGGGTGGTGGAACTGGTGGATACGGTCTAGTTAGCCAGTGAATGGGCTCTCCAGGAAGTACCATAAGAAGAGATCTAAGAGTATCTTTGGTATTTTTAGGGCTTTAGAGTTTTGGTGTTATTTTCTTCATTTTCTTCATTTTCTTAATTTTTCTTTAAAATATGCTTTCTCTTCGTTTGACTGCTTTTGCTGTTCCCTTGACTGGCTGGGCCTACTGGTGTCTTTCATGGAAGCATCAATGAAGGCTCCACAGATTCAGAAAGAAAGAAAAGAAAATACAATTAATTTATGATATTCGGGCTAATCAAGAAATACAGAACCTTTTTCACGTTCAGTTCACTCCAAAGCTCATCTTCTACTATACTTTACTGTCCTACTGTCCCCCACCACTTCTCTCTATACCCAGTCCAACTACAACCACCAACTATAAACACCAATTGACCAAAAACATACAATATTTAACTCAACTGCTCTCCTCCCAAATCCAAAAAAAACCACATCCAAGCCCCCTCCCCCAAAACTCCTCTCACTACCATCTCCACTGCCACACTTGCTCACCAGTAACACACATACTGAGCGTTCCATACAACCACTCAAACACCACCACCTTCCCCAAACCCCAAACCCCCAAACCCCCAAAACAACGAAAACCACCTTCTTCTTCACTCCAGCGACCCTTTCAGACCTCCCACCTCTTTACCTGCCCTTTCCTCCCAACTACCTCCCATCCACCACTTTCCTACTACCACTTTTCGCAGCCATTTCTCAGTCCTCATACTTCATCGCAACTACCTACCACCACTCCATGCCTCCTTCCAAGTACCCCACCAAACTGTCTGACCGACGGGCGGCCGTGGGGAAACGCCCAGATACGTACCTCCACAGTCGAAAGGGAAAACACGTGAAAATCACTGGCCAGGACGAAAAGTGGAACCCTAAACACTTTAGGCTCTTCGTGGGGAACCTAGGGCCTGACGCTACAGACGAATTGTTGATAGCTGCGTTTGCCAAGTACGCTAGTATGAGTAAGGCAAGGGTGGTGAAGGACCATAAGGGGGAGAACAGGGGGTATGGGTTTGTGGCGTTTGAAAAGGCGGACGATTACTTGCAAGCGTTCAAGGAGATGAACGGGAAGTATGTGGGGCAGAGACCTGTTCAGTTGAAGAGAGCTGAGCTGAAGGCGAGGTAGACCGAGCTGAATCCAGACCGAGCCGAAGGCGAGGTCTGGCGGCGAGGTCTGAGAGAGGGAGAGGGATATGGAGGATGGGTTGGATCAGACGGTGAAGAGGTCCAGGAAGGTCCAGGAAGGTCCAGGAAGGGAGCTAGGGCTCAGAAAGGGAGAATATGGCCTAGGAGGATGCCTGGGTTGACTTGTTTGCCAAGGAAACTCTGGAGTGTCTGGGACTGGTTGCCTTGGGCTTCTTGGAGGTCATAAAAAGCCAATGAACCGTTTGAATGGACTGTGGAGGTCCTATGGGCTTACGAGGCCTGCCAGGACGATTCCCAGAGAACCTATGTCCATTAAGAGCCTTTAAGCAAGCGTTTTGGAAGCAAAAGTACCGCTTCATATAAAGACGAAGTCACTTTTTCAGGATCCAGAGCGGTTGGAGACCAGCAGGGTATTCGTCTACTTTCCTTCCACAGACCATCTTGGACAGCCATGGTCTTTGAAATGCTATTCCATTGGATAAACAGTCTCAAGTCATTCTACAAGACAGCCTATACTGCCTATGACGCCTATGGCTACTCAATACTTCTCTTTATACGTCTTCATGTCCCTACCACCAAAGACCCATTCCAAGATATATCCAAAAAGGCCAACCCACCAAAACCCAAACACGCCACCAAAACCCTATCCCATCTCCAAAACCCCCATGAAATCCATTTTTTCACTCCTTTTTACCCCCAACAACTCCCGTTCCCTGCCTTCTCGTCCCCCATAGTTAACAAATTTCGCACCCAGCTTTTCACCCATCTCAAACTCCACAACTGCCCATCCAACTCCACATGCTTCTTAGAGCAGGCCTCAGATCGACGCTAGGGCCTTCGAGGTGGCTTTTCCAGGCCAGCGTGAATCCCATAAACCCTTTGCTGGTCGTGTGCCGCCGCTGGAACTCCAACTTGCCCCAGGACTTCAACCCCAAGAAGAACCTTCCTTCAGAGGGCGAATGGAAACACTTGAAACAACACATTCCTGGCGAGGGCGACCAAACCAACAAGCTCAAAGACCGTCTTCCGAAGTTCCCGTTGGAGAAAGAGAATGTGCCTACGCTTTTACCTAGACCTGGCGTGCCCAGAGTGGGGCCTAACATGTCGTTTAGACAGGTGATTCTGATTCTTAAGAATAAGACCAAGCCAGAGCTTTTATACGAGCTGGAGCCACATAGACTCTACTTTTTGGCGTGCTTTTGCTGTGCCATTGTGTTTACTGTGTATGGCTGTGTGTTGCTAGAATGGGCATGGTACCAGGCCAATAAGGACTACGAGGAGAACGAGAAGGAGCTTGCAGAAGCTATTAGAAAGAGAGAGTGGGTCACGTCGTTGGCGAAATACGGTATTATGGGTGTTATTATGCTTTTTATGGCGTACCAGACCGCTACGTTCCCTACAAGACTCATTAGAAGAATGTGGTACTTGCCAGGCCCCGTTGAGCACATCAAGTTCACGTCGTATCCTTTGCTTCCGGGAAGACCTTCTCCTGTGTTTACTGTGCCATTGAGAGACTTGAACAGAAAGCATAAAGCCAGAGTATGGACAGGAAGAGGTTTTTACGGTACGGCCGATAGCTCTTTGTTCTTTTTCGTGTTGAGGGAGGAAACCACAAAGAAGTCGTGGATTGTCGACAGAAAGGGTTTCTTCTGGTCGGACGGAAGAGTGTTTGATCTTCTCTTCGGTAAGGAAACTATTGCCGAAGCCGAGGCTGGTATTCCTTATGACGAGCAAATCGGCATTGTGAACCGTGAAGTGAAGAAGAAAAAGAAGAAGTTGAGAGAGCAGCACGGGCCTTTCTGGCAGTTGAAGCTAGGCGCCAAGGACTTTAAGGAGGATGTGGGCAAGGCCACGAAGTATGTTACTGGTGGAGCTGCGAAGAAGGACCCCAAGGCCTTGCCCAAAGCCAGCAAGCCAGACCTGAGATTCAAGGCTAAAAAGTAGCATCATGTAAATAGATTTTTAAAAAAAAAATTGCTAGATGAATCAAAAATAGAAAAAAAGAAGGAATGATTTCGCCCAGGATCGAACTGGGGACGTTCTGCGTGTTAAGCAGATGCCATAACCAACTAGACCACGAAACCATTTCTTGTTAGAGGAATGGAGCTGGGTAAATAGATAGTGTTGGCTAAAAGGCCAAAAATTGCTTTATGAAACTGAAAAATAATTTTCTATGTGACTTTGTACTTTAAATGCTCAAATTAGTAGTTTCAGGTCACCAAACCGTCTATAGCGTCCATAATCACGAAAACACGTGTTCTACCGAAACGTTAGACAGTTAGAACCATCAAAGTTCCACCGAAGGAAGCTATTTCTATTACTAGATACTCTTTGATAATCTCCTAAAGCCATGGTAAAGCTTCACAGACACATAGAGCCGAAGAAGACTTTAATTAACGAGTATAACAAAAATAAAATATATATACATACATATACAAGAAGTACATGATTTTGCTTCTTATTTTGCTTCCTGTCTTTCTGGATGCATCTTAACAGCAGTAAACCAAAAAGTTACCATATTCCCATGTTTTGCCAAAAGCCTACTGGCCTTTGTTTCAGAATAGACCTAATAAACAGCTTCAAGAAATAAACCTTGCCCAAATCATCAAGTTATGCAATTCAAGACGTCACAAGGTCTTGCTTCCGATCTTCAATATATATAGGTAAAGTGTCCTCTAAGAAATGAAGCTTTCTTTCGTTTTTGTCGAAATAAATTAGCGATACTAAGATGGCCTGGTTTCGGTTCAGCAGGGCTGTCAAGAGAGTTTGATTTGGACTAGGTAATTTCAAGCCTTTAAAAAGATTCGATAATGGAAAAGCCGAGTTTGGTCTGATTCTAATATCAGAGAATTCAGGCAAGTACTCTTCACCTTGTACTATCCACAAGTCTATTATCAGAGACGTTGAAGGACGAGTTTCATACTTCTCCCAGGCTGTAAGTAGAGCGACTTTGATTTTCATCACCTTCAAGTGAATGCATTGTTCCAGAAAAGGTTGATCAAGTCTAATGGGAAACTTGATCGAAAGACGAAGGAGGTTATCAAGAACCATACCTGGATAGGCCAATACTCGGTTTCCAACCCGCCTGTCAATGTTGCCATTCACCGATAAAGCTAGCTGCAAAGGAGTCAGAATGTAATAGTACGGCTGGTTGAAAGAATCATTGGCGGATTTCAAGCATATTTTTTTTGCAACGGAAAACTCTAAAAAAGAGCTAAGCTCAATGACATTTTCCTCGTTTGTTCTAACACCAACGGAAATTCTAATGCCATAACTTCTCCTCAATCTCTCTGAAAAAAAAGTGGGCCCTAATTCAGGTAACATACATGAGTATGAATCGTGAGATATTTTCCAAAAGCCATTTGTTTTGTCAAGCCAATTGAAATCTATCCCAGTTAGACCATGTCTGTCGAGAAGCACCATCGTTTTTAGCTCATTGCTTGCCGCCGAGTAGACCATTGAACCATTTACGCAAGCCATGCAGCTTGTAAGCTCTTGTAACTCTATTGTTAACCAAAGAATCAATGTATTGGAAGGCCCTTCAGTTGGTGTTTTGGAGAAAAGTGGAGATGATTTCCGGGAATACTCAATCTCAAGGTCAAGAAAATCTGGGATCGAAGCAGGCGTACTCAAAATATTGTCTTGCAGATCCTTCAAGTCAGTACTTTGTATAAATGTACTCTTGAGCTTTAAAAATAACTTCCCCACGCAATAGGAGCTTTTTGCTAAGTAATCCCTTCTACGGTAGATTAACTTAGTCATTGGAGACATAATTTGCGGATAACGTTTGTCGAATTGAAAGATTTTGCCTTCTGCCATCAATAAAGGCCCTCCTATGATAACAGGGTCATCTTGAAAAGGTGCTGGTGCGGGTGTGGGCTCGAAATATAGATAGCGTGGTTCTGGTCCATTTCTAAAAGAAGCATCTTTTGTATTAATGAACATAGAAGTTGGTGGAATGGGCTTTCCAATTTTCAGAAATCGTGGGATGCAAAAGTTATACATTTCTGGGTGGTAAATATGGTATATGACTTTGTAGGATGTAGAAGAGGGCAGTGGGCCTTCTCCAAGGGTTGAAACACCTTCGGCAAGACGAGCAGACTTCAAAAAGATATCTGACAGACTGTTTGGGGTTGGTAATGGCACATAGTGACCACAGCGAACTTGACATAAATAGGTAGTTATCACTAGTGAATAATCAGCGTACAATTTGTATGACTCTATTTGCGGACCTGAAGGGCGAGGATCGCCGGTACACATAGCCTTCCGGACTAAACGGTTCCTCCCTGAAACTTTCCCATTTTTGATTCTTATCTTTTCAAATACATAGAAGGAGTCCATATCGCTCGAAATGTTGATAAAATGGCTAGAAATCAAAACTTTCAAGTACATATACGTGGTTTTTCTCTGGCAGAAAGTCCACGAGTACTATATTAAAACAAACTTTCCTACCTTCTGGTGCTCCAAGGTGAGCGTAATTACTTGAAAAGCATGACAGAGGGAGTCTTTATAAATGCCGTTCATTGCTCTGGTTGTGACTTTGTCCCTGTCGAAAATAGAAAGAGAAGTCTCTCGCTACGCAAAAGACCGTACGAAGCAAGTACAATGATCATATCACCTGTTTGGGTTTTTGGGCACTGCCACACTTTAATATTGAATTCCGTGGCTGAATGTAGTGTGGAGCTGGCAGTGTGGAAAGTGATGTTACTGATGAAGCGAGGATTGATTTCTAAGTCTTGGTTTATGTTTTTTTTTGGCTTCCAATGATTCTCGATTTTAGTAGTATGGTAACTCGGGGCTGTCCAAAAACAAAAGGTCTGGTTGTTTCTTCATATCAGACAACTACACTCTGTGAATGTCATTAAACCTCGAATCTGATTGGTATACTTTCCAGGTCCCCAATTTTCTGGAACTAGCCACCGAAATAACATAAAACGCTTCCTAAACCAACACTTACTCCCAAATTGTTATATTATATTTTTTTTTTTTATTTTTTATATAGATAGATATGCTAGGGATCCACCGATCCACTTGTGCCTCACCAGGCACCATCACCGAGTTCAAGTTCCAACACACACACTTAAACTCAAAAAAAGAAGCTTACTTACCATTTTGAGGTGCAAAATATAAGGTAACTTCTTATACGGGAACCAAACAAGCTCCAGGCTCGGGTTCCATGTCTGTAACTGAGTCCTAGTAGTTAGAACTCACAGACCAGGCTAGGAGAAGAAAAGATGTCCTCTGATTCAGAAGCGGACGACTGGGTAAGGTCTTCAACGTCTAAAGCCTCGTAGGTATTATATTTCTTGGTATTAGATGGCCCAAGTGCCGAAAGAGCAGGTACAAAGGTCATGACAGATGTCTTTGTGCTCTTTGTCATGGTTTTGAGTGCACCTGGGATGGTGTGTCCAGCAAGAGCCTTAGGCTTGAATGTTTTGCTGGACTTGCCCTTTTGCACTGTTGTCCAGCCGTCATCGACGACTGGAGGTTCAGAAACGACAGTACTGGTAATACTGGTAGGCTCAGGACAGGCAGGTTTGGTGAACTGAGCCATGAAGAGTTCATGAGCACGCTGGTCTTCGGCGTCCTGTTTCCTCTTCATTTCAAATAAAATAGGTCTAAAGATACCCAAGAGGATATCTTCAGTAGTGAAAGACTCTGTTTTCTTGGGAAGTCCCAACTTAAACAGAAAATAACCCTTAGGTTGGTCAGTGACAGGTTTGGCCTCGTCAAAAGGCTTATACGTGTCGACCAAAATTTTACACTGTTGCAGAACACTCAAAGGTTCTGGGAAAACAGTTTCTGGTTCGGGTTCTACTCTTCCAGCAGTGGCTGGTCTGGAAATGTTCTCAGAAGCAGCTGGTCTGGAAGGCTCAGTCTGGGTTTGGCCCAAACAAGCATTAGTTTTTCTAGACATACCAAAATGTGATTTTTAAAAAGGGCTCCCAAGTCAGAGAGCTTGAGTGGAGCGGCGAAGGATGGTTCCTTCAAGTTAGCTGTGATGTAAGACGAAATGTAGCTGGAGCGTTGCATTGTAGAAGAAGAAGTTATGAAAAAGTGGTTGAAGAGGAAAAGGAGACTCAGGGGAAAACCACGTCTTTTTATATTCAATTTCTGGGGACAGCTGGCAGGACTAGTTTTTAGGAAAGTGTAATGCTGGGTTTGTGTTCTGGGGAAAGTGGAAGGTAAATGGCTGCGAAAAGGGTAAGCCCAGTAGATTCAACGATCGAGAAAGGAAACTAAAGGCAGGGCCTACGGCTTGCCTAACGGGACGAAAAGAAGAGCGGGAGAGCAGTTTCGGGGTCTATGGGATTTCCTGGGCGGTGTATAGAAAGGGGGTTTTTTGGGGTGGTAGGAAAAGTGTTGATAATGGGAGGTGAAGGGGAAAAAGTGGGTTTAAAGGCGGGATTTTGAGGTTGACGTTGGATTAGACGTGCTGGAAAAGACGGTAAAATATATTTAGTCGTACGGCAAAAGAAGGGTTTAGTACGGAAGCCGTGTGGCCGTTGAGTTAGGTAGTCACTCTGGGTTGTCCAGAGAAGCCAGAGAGGCAGCATGGTTTATGCTTTGTAGAGGGAGAGGGAAGATAAAGAAGGTAGAAAGAGGCCAAAAGAGGCCATTTCTAGGGTAGATGGTAAATAGAGGAATTGCTTGGAACGGCTACTTCGGCACTACACCAGATGTATAAATGGCAACCAACAACTTAAAACTAAGAACACGAACGACCCTAAAAACTCACAAAACTCAAATTCACCCCTAATAAGTGTACCCCTTCGGTTTAGGGATCTTCTTGGCCAAGTGGGGGCATCCTTTGGCGTCACAGCCCTTCTTGGCCACTTCTGTAGCCCACCATTTATAATTCTCAGATGCCCCAGTGTAAACCACACAGAAGTAGATCAAAATAGCAGCTATGGCCACTCCGGCGTCAAGAGCAATCGAACTCACGAAATTATACTTCCTCCACCAGTCTGTGTATTTACGGTGGATGAAGTAGTTGAACACAGCTGCTGTGACGAACCAACACGAAAAGTTATACCCAGTAACACCAGGAATCATAGCAGCACCGCCAAAGAACAAAATAGGATCAAACCGCTTGACCCATGTTTTGGGTCTGTATTTGCACCAGGCAAAGTGTGCAATAGGAACTAAAGCACCCACAAGGAAGAACCATAAGACCCAGGCGTATCTTCCACCAGGAGCAAAGATCTCGCTACCAAACAAACCCCACATTTGCTGGGTATTGAAGGCGGTTTTTTGTTTACGGCAAACCATGTTGTTCTTTGCTTTTGGAGTGCAAATGTCGTTGAAATTGTACAACAAGTACCCAGTGACTGCTGGGTTCACCATGGATGCCCAGATACCAGCAAACACAAGCACCACCATGATATGTTTAGGGGGAACACGCATGTAATGGGCCATTTTGGCGCCCTGGGCCATGTGCATCCCGTGCTGGATGATGGAGAACCCAAAACTGTAGAAGTAAAGCAAGTTATATGAGTTTCCCTTGTACCAGTTGGCAGAAACGATTTCAAAGAAGCTTTGCAAGGAAACAATGGTGTTAGCTCTGGCTTCAAGAAGAGAAAGAGGCACAAACATGACAGTACCGATAAGAACAGATACAAAGTACCCACCAGCATCTATAGGTGAATCTTCCCAGCCTTCAGAGAACGCAAATCCAAGTGCCAACGCAATAACCAATAATATGATATAGTACCATCTTGGGAACACTTTATACTGCTTGAGAGCCTTGTTGAAGATATCCTCGTGCTTGTCTCTGTTCACCCATGGATCCCAGATTTCTGAACGGAACTTCAAGGCGGTATGGACAACTAGAGCAGCAAAAACAGCTATTCCAAGAGCCAAACTGATCAAAAATGCCACAGGCATAAATGCTGGAGAATAAGCATCAAACTTGTCCTTGTCAAGCGTCCAGTCGTTGTCTACGACCCTGGAAAAGTTATACTGCTTGCCAGACATGTCAAACACACTATTACTCATAATAGGCATATGGGCCGTGTTCCAGTGGTTCTGGTAGTAAAGGCCAGGCATGACTATCCAGATCCAGAAGACAAACGAAGCAAACATCGATGCCACAGCAAAAAATGGAGTGGTTAGTGGGTTGTTGATGGATGTGATTTGCGTCCAGTCTAGGGTAAGTGGGAAGAGACCAAGGCCACTTTTGACGCCAAAGACCTGGGAAAGAGGAGCACTATCTGGTTTAATCCAGCTGATCCAGGCTCCAATATTGGAGAAAAACGGAAAGATAAGGTCTGGGAACCAATAGTAGACGAAGGAGCAAAGAAACACAATCACAAAGAACGCCCAGCGGTGCATTTTCCAGCCATGGACCACTGGATTGTCTGTAGAGTAGATCGCCTTAAATAAAGCAATATTGGAAAGAACGCCAGGCCATACTCTTTCGGCGGGAGTGATCATCAAGTCTCTGAACACACCCACAAGGCCCACTGAATGGATATAGCACGCCAAGTTAAAGAGAATCTGGCGACCAATGCCGATATCCTTTTTGAAGTACTTTACGTCTTCAATAACGACGTTGTTGACCAAACCAGCACTGATGACGACATTGCAGAAGACAAAAATACATGTATGTTCTTTGTAGTTGAACGGTCCAGGGTTCAAGTTGAAGGACCAGCCAAAGGGAAGTGGAACCGTCCATTGGGGAACCACCCAGTACCAGAACTGACCGATAGGCCATGAAATGACCTGGATGACAACAATCGAGATATGGATGGTTGGGAATCGCATGCTGAAGAAAGCGTCTACTCCAGCAATCACTGCTCCAAGGCAAATGGCCATAACCCACATCCGCAACGTCATCACAGGCATGTACTCATCGTCGTCAATCAAAATAGCTTTGACGTCGTCCTGGGTGAATTTGAATCCGTCATTAGTGTCTAGAGATGTAGTAGATTCGGTGGTTTCCAAGACATTGTCCTTATTGGGTTCACCTATATCTGAGCTGGTGTTCAGCGAGTGGTGGAGGTACTCGGAGGAGGAGTTCTTCTCGGCAATAGTTTCTTCTGGAGGAGGCATCGCTGAGATCTGGAGAAGAAAAAGAGAGATTGCATCAGATAAGTGAAATTACGAGGATTTATAGGGTTCTGCTGGCTCTGGGAGGCCGCCCTTTCGGCTATTCTGAAACCCCTTTGATTGGGTACTTTTGGCAATCTGTTTTCGCTTATGAGCGGTATTTTACCTTTGTTTCAGCATCCCTTGGCCAGATATCACAACCACGGCCGGTATGGCTTTGATGGACCGACACATGGCCCGGGCACATAACATGCGCATTAGATAGCGTTTTGACATATTCGTGCAGATGCCCTTTAGGGGATGGAAAAGGCGCCCAAAAGCCATGGAAGCGGATTCCCGAGTTATTAAAGTAGAATTTAATCATTTGCTTATGAAGTTGGCTTTCAGAGATTCAAAAAGAATGGAATCTCATCCCAAACGGGATGGTTGTCCACCTGCTACTATTGTATGCGCTTAGGGGTCCGAGATACCAACCATAGCGAAAAAAAGACCACAAAGTCGGGTCAGATAAACCGATATCACTAAAAAACGGTTTGGTTCGGGCTGCGCCTCGTCATAGATAATTGTCTCTGACGTCAGAAATACGAGAACGTTTGGAGGCTTCGCTTTCCCGGGAAATAGCCGAATGGCATGGGCTGGATACAGTGCAAGGGTTTCAGTATCCAACCTCACTGGCCCATTTTTTCCCTTCCTTGCACTTTAAAAGCTTATTATTTGTTAAATTGCGGGAATCGTGGGTTTGACGTGGATTGGGCCTCTCTGGTTGGCTGGTTCTGAGTTGCATTGCATCATATCATGAAAGGGAGGGGGTAGTTTTGTGTTTCGGTAGATAAGGCAGCTCTGAGGAATTAGTTGGCTGGGGGCGTGGTAGGAAGGAACTTTTGGTGGGTTTAAAGCCTTCAGGTACTTTCTTTTCATGGAGTAGGTGGAAGACGAAGACTCTACATTCAAGTATTGGCTAGATGTAAAAAAACACCTCGCTTTTGGCCCAAAGGGCATTTACCAAAAAAAGTAACGCTACTTAAATTTACTTTAGCTTTACATGTTTCTTTTTCTTTAGTTAGTTGTACTGATAGGATGTCATATACTCTTCCTCGAAATACCCAGTAACCTTACTGTTCAAGCCCTCCAAGGACCCCCGTTTCAGCAAAAAAGGTTTTTATAGAAAATAGTATCAGTAAGAAAAGAGTGGCATGTTTTTCTACTGATTTCCTACCTTCCTTTCGTTTTAAATTGTCGCTTTTAGCTTCATAAAAACCTAAAAACGCTCAAAACACCCTTAAACGACAAAATTTTTTTTTTTTTTTTGTTAACTGTGTATTAAGAGGACGCCTTACGGCACGAAAACTATATCACTATAGAAAACACAACCCCTTAATCATCGGGTTTACAAGGACTTCCTCATTGCCGTCCGGCTCGAAACACCCCCGTCTGAACTTCAGCTTGAGTGTCTCTATAACTCTGTCCTTGCGTTGTAGCCTGCTCGTATGGTATTATATTCCCATCGGCAGAACCTTCTGCATCGCTGATTTCATAGCTCTAACCAGCAAAGGAGGGTTTATAATTCCATCCTTAGCTGCTCTCCGTCGTCGCGAGAAATTTAACCGGACGACTTTAACGAACCAATTCAATCGTCTTAGGTTCCCAAAAGTCACATCCTCAGGAGCTAACATCTCCCGAAGATTCATGGGGCGTGGGAATCCCATTCGTTCCCACCAGAATTTTGAGACATGGCATTCATTGTAAATGTGACGGAGCATATTGTCCTGTCTGTGCTGTTGTTGGCATAAATGGCATAGCGTCATGCCATGAGCAGGTTTGTCATGGATAGGAACATAAGATCCAAAGTTGAAATGATGAATGGCCCCAAACTCGTTTCTCTTGAGCCATTCCTCGCGGTGTAAACTTTTCCAGAATTTGTCCCATCTCTTGATAGGTCGGGCCTCTGGGCAAATTTCTCTGAATCTTCCTGGCATAATTGGTGGTTTCTCTTCTTGTTTCTTTCGGCTTCTGGAGGTGAAGATCCCAGTATTGAGCTGCTGAGATTCATGTGGTCTTGGGTGGCCCGGAATCCCCAAGATCAGCAAATTTGCAGATTTTAACCAGTTTTTCTCAAACCTCAGCCCCAAAATACCCTATATTTAAAGTTTCAGTACAAATTTCCAACATTTAAAAGCCAATAACTGACTTAGCTTTACCGGTTCTTCCGCCAAATAATATCCATATTCTATGGGCGTGTGGCGCAGTTGGTAGCGCGCCTGCCTTGCAAGCAGAAGGTCACTGGTTCGAATCCTGTCTCGTCCATATTTTTTGCATTCTTACCCTTCTTCTTCATTAATCTTCTTTCTACACCTTTATAAGCAAAATCATTATTTTTTATACAGATACTAACGGGCCCGTTTGCTCTTCAGGTCGTCCTTAGTTGGTAGCTCGTCCTGCGGCACCTTGGCTTTCACCTCTTCGAGCTCCGCCAAAAGCTCGGTTATATACTTTGAGGCCAACTCTATTGTGGTTGCTTTTGACGGAATAGAAACCTGCTCGTGGTAGTCCTGTGGAATCAAGTTGGCGAGATCGTGCACCGCCTGGTTCATACGGTTTCGGCGGCCTTGCTCGGCGATTTTATGCGAGGCCTTCTTTCCAGGACCTTTTTCTCTTTTGCGGCCGCTTTCCTCGCCAGTCTGAGGATCTATGGCTGGCGAAGGCTCCAGCAGTGAAGTTTCGTTCTTTACCAGCACACGGTGGCCGCTTATAGAGGAGCGGTTGGAAGATATCGAGTCTTCGCGATGGCCGTTTCTAGGCTCTAACGACGGCGACAGGTTGTTGGTGTTGCTTTGCAGCTCGGCAAGACGGTTCATGGTGAAGCCCATAAGCGTGGCAGGGCCTACTCCACTTTGAGAGGGGGTCTTTCCAGAGTAACCTGGAGTGTTGGCGCCGCTCAGGGAACCATCTAAAGCTGCTCTTTTACCGTGGGGAGGTAACATTGGCGTTGCTTCGGTCGATTTGGCTGAATGTGACGAAGAAGGCCCATCCATACTGGCATCATACGAACTGTCCGGAAGCTGTTCAAACACAGCTGGCGCCTGAGGCGTTTTGCGTAAAGAAGGCGACCGTTTCGTCTTCTGATGTGGATGTGCACTGAGATTAGGCGTGGAATGGGGCGTTCTTCTTTTTGTAGAGCTGCTTCCGCTGTAGTCATCAGCGCCAAAAGTCGCCAGCAGCGGTCTACGTCTGTCTGACGACCTTTCGTGTCTTTGTTGAGCATTAAGCGCTGGCGACGTGAGTGGTTCGAATGTCGCTTGCATTGGAGCGCTCTGGTTTTTGTTGCTGTTGACTTGCAGCTCCATCGGCGTTACTGCTGGCGATACAAGCGGCGTGAAAACGGCATCAGGTCTGACGCCTGAAGAATTTTGGGAAAACGATTGACGGGAACTCAGAAAGTTACTTTGTTGTCTTTGCCTATGGTAGAAATGTTCCTCATTATAAGACTTTTCATTCTGGCCAGGCAACAACGGCAGCTGGAAATTTAATGCTTGGTTCTGGTACTGATTCTGGCCGTTTGGAAGAAGTGCTGGAGTGTTATCTGGGTACGCCAGTGGAGGGAAAGCTCTAGATGAGCTTCCCAAGTCGTCAGGCATGATAAAGTCAATCAGATCTAAATCAAACGGCGCCACGCCACCTTTATCGTAAAGATGAGCGTCATTATCGTTTTCGTTGATGATAAACTGTTCGTTTTCATACGTAGGGAGCTTTTTCATAGCCACCTGGCCTGGTGTGGCCGCGTTCGACGGCGTGCTATGGTTCGATGAAAGCCACTCGTCCATGGCAATGTGTGGGGGATGCTTAGGGGTTGAAGTTGATGTTTCTGGTGTTTTGACGCGTGGAAAGTGCCAAAAGTGACTTGATGGCTCTGTAGAAGTCCAGATGGAACGTAAATGGGGAAAGTAAACGTAAAGAACAAGCCCTGGGGATGCTCTGGATCACTGAGTAGCTCAAAGACGTTATATCCACAAGAAACCAGCAATGGAGCCTTTCAGGTATGTCTCTGGATATATTCCTGGAAGTGAAATCTGGGGAACCTGAAACCTTCCTAATCAACAAAAACCGTCTATACCAACAAAGGCCCAGTCTTGATCAAAAAAATCCAGCCTTTTCCAACAAAAGCCAGCGAAATCCACAAACTTCTTCCTCGTCAGATCTATCTGTCTCTTCCTAAGCTTTAAGCTTCGTTCACAGCTCTTCTCAAAAGCTGCTCGTCGTCTGTGATTGGCCGTGCTACACTGACAGCCCAAACGTCGTCTGATAAAGGAAAGTCTTTCTTCGTCTGCTTTCTTTAAACGGTGTTGTTCCTTCTGTCTTCTGACAAGAATGTATTAAAAAAAATCTCACGTGAGCCAAAACAGGACCAACCGAGGCAGATAAGGGAAAACGAAGGACAGGGTAGGGAGGAAGTTTTGGACAACCAAGAAGATTCAACAAATGAAAAATAAGCAGATTTATGGATTAACGCGTCCTGGGTTTTTTCATATACGATTTTTCACGTTTGGTTTGGGCTGGCGGGTGTTTTTGGGAGGCCCACGTGGGGGATAAACCGATAAGGCAGGAACCGAAAAAAAAAAAAAAAAGAGGTTCAAAAAGAGGCAGTGGCTGCAAACAAAGACGAAACTGGAAATATGGGATATTGGGAAATTTGGGGAAACGAAGGAAATGGACGGTTTTTATAGGCCAAGGGGATTGGCAGTAAAGGGTTGGAGATTTGGAGTTGGAGGATTTGGCAGTTTTCTGGTTTTCTGGTTTTTAGTGCTTCTCTATTTATCTACTTCACTTATTTAACTAATTCTACTTGTCTACTTTTCTTCATTTCCTGATTTTTCATTTTTCATTTCTTATTTCTCCATTCTTTACTTCTTCCTTCTATATGCACTGGAAATGACGTGCCTCCAAACCATCCAAGCCTGGGAAGAGTCAAACGACGTTTAATTACTGCTTCTCTAAATACTCCAATTCAAGTTATGGCACTTAACTTCCGACTCCAAGACCCAAACTCAAGACAAATGAGATTCCTTGGGGCTTCGATTTTACCTGTCACACAGAAATAAGAAAAAAAAAAAATTGACTAAAAAGCTGGGGGTTCCCTTGGCGGTTGGTCTCGTTGGGCGGTAAAACATCCACAAAACTGGATATTACTCGGAAAGAGCATCAATTTCACAGGCGCCGCTGCTTGACAGTCTACAACAAACGGGCGGCTAAATCTACCGCTGGGACCGCTACCATCGCTGGCTTTGCTCGTAGGGCTAGATGCAAAAAGACCGATGTACGTTAGGCTTAGGTGAGGTGGGCTATATTGGTCGGGAATTAGCTGGCTTTCTCCGGTGCGCTAGGAGGGAGAGTTGGGACAACTTGGACAGTATTAGGGTTGACTGGAGATGGCAGGAACGTAAATAGGGTTGACGTCTGTTGATGTATGTTTGCAGCCGTAGCTGTGAGGCTCAGGGTGATATGCGTCTGGCGAGAGATGGTGGCAGGGCAATTGGAGGGAGAAGAAGGTGTTTGGAAAGAGAAAGAGAAAGAGAGGTTGAGTTGCTAGTAGTTGTATGTTGTTTATGGTCTTGTGGGTGTAGTTAGTGTCTTGTGACTGGTGGTGTTACTGGGAGACGCTCAACGGGTTACTAATGGGTGTCTACAGCAAGGTAGGAGGTGGTCGGAGTAGGGGCTCCGCCTCGACAGGATCTGGAGCCGTTTACGGCGTTTTTATATAGACTTTAGTCGGTTAATTTGAAGAATAACGGTTCGTTAGAGTAGTTGGCCCTGTAAGCGAATATACCCTCGAAACTGGCTCGAGGCCCCCGCCCCCACCCCCAAAAAGAGACCGGTACTGGCCCTCGGTGGGAAATAAGGTCCCGGGGGTAGTACGACCCCGGCGTAGATCAATTTCACCCCCGGATATCGTTGCCTCGCGTCTCGAGCCCGGAAAAACTATGCGTTTACATGGGTTTGCAGCCACCAAAGAGTCAGAGTCAACCTGAAACGGGAAAAACGGTGGCAACGGTGGAGAGGAGGGTAGAGGGAAGTAGTGGGTATAAAAGAAGTGTATTTTGAGAGCAGATTGTATAGTGTAAGAAAAGGGCGTTGAGTTTACGGCTTCTGGAGCTTTAGATAGTCATTTCAGTAGTAGGCAGTCTAGGTGAGTAGAAGGAGGTCTAAGTTAATGTCAAAAACAAAAGCAAATGTTAAAGTCATAGTTAGAGTTCTCTCAAATTTTCACTTGAGCTCCAATTACATCAAAAGATGGCTTTTTCTGGATGTCCAAAGGCCTTTCCTTAAACAAGCGCCAATTGAGCACCAAGTAAGCCAAAGCATATATATCTACCAATCACTTTACCATCCATAAACTACTATCCTTCTAGTATTTGTCTCAGAAAACCCTTTAATATTCCTAGAAACATGGATGTCCCACAACTTACCATTACTACCATACTTAACACCCCCACCATATCTATCACCTTCTCCTACCAGAAGTACCATCCATTGAACACCCACAATTACCACTCAGCCAACACAAACAAATCCTAAACAAATCCTAAACAAATCCCCTCACCATTACCAGATACCTATATGACCTAAATCCCATTAAGATTTCCCTACTGAGACATCTCTTTGTTGTTACTCACCTCCCTCTCTCACTACCTCCAACTGTTCCCCCACAATTCACACACTTTCCATACTTTCCACACATTCTCCAAATACCACCAACCTTCCCATTTCAATTCCACTTTCCATCCACCAAATCAAAAAAATATACTTTTTCCACCCTCCTTCCACCTCCTCATCCCCATCCCCATCCCCATCTCATCTACATCGCGAACGTCAACTACTCATGTCCAAACGACCTGGCGAGAAACTCGTCACATACAAAAGCAAGAAAAGACGGCCGTTGTATATCCATAACTCGTTGACGAGGGAGCTGAAGGAGCCTAAGGAGACCAAGAAACCAGCTGGAGACGACGAAGAGGATGGACTTATAGACATATCGTTGGCCCAGCCACGAGCCACACAGAGCCTGGATAAACCTAACTTTGACGATATCGATAAGCTTATCAGCTCGGAAAGGGCGTCTGCTGCGTCTTCTGGACCGTCCAGTCCAGCCAAAACCACCTATTCGTCCCTTCCCACGAGTATTCTTGAGGGAAACCTCGATGCTGAAAAACCCGTGTTGGATAAGTATAAAGACGTGGATTTCCCGCTACCGAGGTCCCAGAAGAAGCTTCTGAAGCGGGTCGAGAAGCTCTTGCCGGTGATTCCAAGGATCTTGGCTGGAAACGAGGAATTGAGCTTCTACTATACGTTGGCGCTTCAGCAGAGGAAAGACCTGCCTCATAAGTTCATGCTGTCGTCAGAACAGGAGAATATTGAGTGGAAACGGTACATTGGAGGGTTCTACGGGCTCAAGAGGCAGCATTTCGTGTCTCGGTTGATTATGGCCAAGTATGGAGATGAGCTACGGAAACTGACCAATAAGACGATCGTGTACTGGACGCCAGAGTCGTTTAGCACGTACGTTTTGGCGAACGAGCTTCTTTTGAGGATGGTGGCGAAGGATAGGAAGTTGCTGTTTGCCCAGGCGGAGCGGTTCTTGAAGGATCTGATTGATTATGGGTGTTATGTGGCTGATGGAGTGGAGTTTGAGGATGATATCGAGTTGGGCGATGTCTTGGGCGTGAAGGAGAAGGAGCGGGATGTGAAGGGGGAGGAGAAGTGAAGTGGCTGCATTTATAGAGGCCAAAAGGAGGGAACTGAAGAGGTTGGATGAAGGGTTGTTGAATTGTGAAATGTTTGAATTGCTGGTTCAACAGCCATTAAAATAAGCTTCAAGACAACAAATATGATCCTTTGAATATCAGTGTTTACGATAAAGGGGATCGCTGGGTATTCATGGATAGGGGAGCTCAGAGAAGGTAACCTGGTCACTTCTTCCAATTCACTCAACTCCAGGAACCATTTCATGAAGGAGTTGATTTTAGAGGGCGAACTCTTGTTTAGGGTCAAATGGGTTTGTGAACAGAAATGAACCCGAACAACTTTACCTGATCCGAGTAACAGCATATTCAACATGACTCCATCTGGTAAATCGCTCCACAAGATAAGCAAGAGACAGAAGCCTAAAGATCTATCCATTTTGGTAAAGTTCATACAGAAGCCTCTTTCCCTCCTGAGCATCATTTCCTGGTATCTTGTCATGTCTTGTGACCATATCCATAGATCTACACAGACCTTTTTTAACACTCCTACCCAAATGCCTTCAAAACATCATTAATCTCGCCCAAATTAAAAGTCAGCATACATTTCACAGATTCCATTGTCTCTATATTTATTAAAACAGGAAATTAGCTAACCCATATTAAAAAAATCTCCAGTAGACAGGCATACTGAAGAGATGTCCAAGCTCTACCTAAGGTACTACCATTTTATTCACAATCAACGGCAACAGTTCTTTAGGAACATATACTTACCATCATTCCATTACCATTCCATTAGCCTCATCAATATTACCATAGTTAGTACTACCATCTACCATCTACATCTGCCATCATTAGTACCACCACAGTTAGTACCCACAATTTCCAGCACCAACACAATATTCCCACCAAAACCGTCCCCACCAAATACTCCAACGTCATCACTACCCTATCAATCCACCCACCAATTACCAAATAAACCACTTCTTAAACCACATCCACTCCCTCCATCTGCCCATTGACGTCCACCACTTTTTCGCAGCCAAACCAGCCCCACCAGTCTCCCCAGTCCCCACGAATTACACCCACGAGTTCCCCCAATTCCCCCAAACGTCCCCCAATCATCCCCCAAACTTCCTCCACTCTCCCCCAATCCCTCTCCAACTTCCCAACCCTCTCCCTCCACTTATCCCCCTCCATCGCCTTGGATCGCGAAAAACCACTCATATCAACCTCACCTCAACTTTTCACTTCCTACCACCAACTCCCCCACCCCCACCCTCCCACGGTTTCTTACAAACCGTCTTTCAAACTGTCATTATCGTTGCGTTCCACCATCAACGTTCGCCTGCTTCACCCGCTTCGCCCGCTCCGCCCGCCTCTGCCCCTCCGTCGCCTCTTCAAAAGACTCATGTCTGATAAGGTCTACGTTTCTGGGCTCCAGGGCCACGCCATCGTGGGATTGGACCACTGGCAGAAGCCTGTGCCGCATCCGGTGGCGGTGGATGCTGTGTTTAAAACTGACTTTACGCTGGCGCTGCGGCGGGACAACTTGAAGTATCTGTTGAACTATGCGGTGATCTCAGACCGGCTTCTGGCGTTTTTGGCTGATAATCGCCAGAAGAACTTTCACTCTTTGGGCGGCTTGGCTCTGGCGTTGTATGGGCTGTTGGAGCTGGAGAGGGAGAAATGCACGGGCATTGAGTTGGCGGTGCTGGCGCCCAAACTAGATATCAGGGCGCCGGTGCTGTTCTCTACAGATGGAATTGCTGGAAAGTATAAAATCCACGGGCTCAAGGCGCTTACGTTGATTGGCGTATTTACCTTTGAAAGGCTCAATAGGCAGTTTGTGGTGTTGGACATTGAGCTTTCGACTGCCAAGGGCGTTACCCATTTGCATGTGCCTGCTGTTTCTGCTTCTGTGTATGAGTACTTGGAACAGGCGAATTTTAAGACCGTGGAGGCGCTTGTGAAACGGACCCTGCAGTGGATTCTCCAGGAGTTTTTGGCCGTGGAATGTGTCAATGTTCGTGTGACCAAACCGAATGCCATTGTGTATACGGATGGCGTGGGCGTTTCGTGTAAATGCTATAGGGACGAGTTTGCTGGCGAGGAGCCTATAAAATTCAATTTGGCGCCTAAAAACGGTACGTCTTTTGACCTTCCAGTGGAAGAAACAAACCGTGTTCTGCCTGTGCAAACTGCCTATATTGCATTTGGCTCTAACGAAGGAAACCAGCTTCAGAACATCGATACCGCCTTGAAACACCTTGCGCTGCATCCAGCCATTCAGGTTCAGTCGACTTCGTCTTTGTATGTGCTGAAACCAATGTACCATACTGACCAGGCTGATTTTTATAATGGAGTGGTGAGAGTGACTTGTGAGAACATGACTCCTCATGATCTTCTAAAGGTGATTAAGGAAATCGAATACCAGCACCTTCAGCGCCATAAGGAGTTCGATAACGGGCCTAGAACGATCGATTTGGATATCGTTTTCTACGGAAACACCACCATCAACACTCCAGACCTTGTGGTTCCTCATAAACTGATGTTGGAACGGACGTTTGTGCTCCAGCCGCTTTGTGAGCTTGTGCCTCCTGATTTCATTCACCCAGTGACGGCTGAACCTGTTCACGACCATTTACGTAAGCTTTTGGCGACTGTTCCTGATCCATCTGTCCAGAAATCGTCTGAGCTTCTTCTGGTCGTTCCAGGCAACAAAAACCGTCACCTTACATTCAGCCATAATAGCAAGAAGGCTACGCTTATCATGGGCATATTCAATGCCACTCCAGACTCGTTTAGCGACGGTGGAAAGCATTATGAGCTCTCCAAAGACGATATTGTGAAAGCTGCTCTTAAACTTAAGCAAGAAGGAGCTACTATAATCGATGTTGGTGGCGTTTCGACCCGTCCTGGCTCCCTGGAGCCTTCTGTTGACGAAGAACTAGCACGTGTGGTTCCTGTAGTGGAAGCCATTCGGTCTACGCCTGAACTAGACGACATTTTCGTCTCTGTGGACACTTACCGAGCCCCAGTGGCCGATGCTGTGCTTCTCTCTGGCGCAGATATCATCAACGACATTTCCATGGGCACTCTAGACCCAGAATTGTTCTCTGTGGTTGCAAAACACGGCTGTGGATACATCATGAGCCATACCAGAGGCACTCCAGCCACCATGAGCAAGCTCACCGAATACGGACCAAGCGAAGACCTGCTCAACGAGTACCAGATCGATCTGTACCATGGTTTACAAGCCCCAGCGGCAGAACCAGTCGTTAACGGTGTTTGTCGAGAACTAGCATCCCAGCTTCAAATTGCCATGGAACATGGAGTCAGAAAATGGCAAGTCATTATCGATCCAGGCATCGGATTCGCCAAAAACATCTCCCAGAACTTAACGTTGTTAAGTCGTGCAAAGACATTAAAGCAGTATGCCCAGAACGACTTGAAGCTGGGCAACTACACTTCTTTCCATGGCATGGCTCTTCTTGTGGGAACCAGCCGTAAGAAGTTTTTGGGTACTATCACGGGAAGCCAGGAAGCCTCTGACCGTATGATTCCCACGGCATCTACAGTTGTTGCATGTATTCAGCAGAATACCGATATTGTGCGTGTTCACGATGTTGCCGAGGTGAAACAGGCCGTCCAGACCGCCGACGCCATCTATAAGGGTATTTATTAGGCATTTGGGGCGAGGGGTGACGTCAAAGGGTGACATTTAATGGTATTTGACGGAACATCCTTTTGAGCCCAGACAAGCCTTAACAAGAAGCTGATCAGCGTTTAGAGATCAGTGAAATGAACTATCATAATGAAGGATTGACCTCATAGAGATAATATTCGATATTCTTCGAGGAAAGTTGATTTTTCGATTTTTTTCCATTTTGTGTAGGTTAGTCCATCACTTGATGCTGTCAAAAAGCATCATCTACATTTCAACAAAGCAACTACAAACGACAAACAACAAAACAATTACAGGTAGTGGAAAGCTCCGTGCCTTCCTCTTATATTAAACTGTTTTTCTGTCCCTTTGGTTTCTTGCTTTTCCTGTTCTCGAAGACCGATGAGCATCGCTCGATGGATCTCGAGAAGAAACACAAAAGGAGAGATGCATAAAAAAAAAAAAAAAAAAAAAAGAAACGGTATCCATTCTGGATACTTCTTTTGCAGCAAGTGGTGCTTCTTTGTAGTAGAGATGCTGTCGGTAGACCGGTTCGTATTTGGTCTCATTTTGCACCCATTTGGGGTGAGTTTTGGGCAATTCAAAACAGCCTGATATGGCCATTTCAGGGCTTAGAATCCATTGAAACCATCAAAATCCACCCGTTTCTGCCACTTTTCCCACTTTTATCGCCCCAGACCTTCCCCTTCTTAAAGTGTAACGGTCCCGTGATTTTTGTGTAACTTTGGTCACATCGGGTGCGAATTTTCAAAAAAGAAAAATTTTCTATAAGAACCCAACTTTAGTTCAATCAAAAACTTCAAAAAACAAATAGTAAAAATGTTCCCAAGAGCTTGTTACAAATGCGGTGAGACCGGCCACATCGCCGACGACTGTCAGCAGCAGGAAAGATTGTGCTACAACTGTCGCCAGCCAGGTCACGAGTCTGGTGCTTGCCCTGAGCCAAAGACCACCGCCTCCAAGCAGTGTTACTCTTGCGGTGACGTTGGCCACGTTCAGGGTGACTGCCCTAACGCTGCCCAGGGATCCAAGTGTTACACTTGTTCCGAGTTTGGCCACATCTCCAGAGAGTGCCCAAAGGCTGACTCTTCTGCTGCTCCACCAAGAAGAAGTGGCGGCAGATTCTCTGGCAAGGGTACCACCTGTTACAAGTGCGGTGGTCCAAACCACTTTGCCAAGGACTGCCAGGCTGGCTCTGTCAAGTGTTACTCTTGCGGTAAGACTGGCCACATCTCCAAGGACTGCAACATGGCCACCGACAAGTTCGCCAAGGCCTGTTACCAGTGCGGCAAGACCGGCCACATTTCCAAGGACTGTGTTTCTGTCAACTAAGAAGACTGTTGAGATTGTTTGATAGTTTGGAGGAGGGTGAAGCCCGCGGGGAAAGAAAAGACGTGTTGTTTAATGCCTTTAATGACCACGAACTCCTATTTATCGTAATTTGTTTTTTGTAGACTGGGAGAAGTCCACGAGCACCTGGTGCCCGTCGATGGAGCAGTTGTCGTGGAGCTGAGTGTACGCTTCTTCGGCGGCTTCTTTCGTAGTGAACTCGACGAAAGCGTACTTGATTTTCTTGCCGGAAAGAATCTGTGCCTTTCTGACGGTGCCGAACCTCGAGAAGATCACCTCGAGCGAGTTTTCTGTGGTGATGGGGTTCAATCTGGCGACGAAAAGCGTTTCTGGCGACGGTTTCACTTTATAGTGGGAAAGATCGCCCAAAAGCTCCAAAGCCAACGCTTCCACGGACGCTTCATCGTCGTCGCCCGAAGAACCAGCTTTTAGAACCTTCTTGATCGTTTCTGGCGCCAAATCCTTCTCTGACTTGCGCAGACCCAAAGAATCCACGTTCATCAGAAACGGATCAAACACCACGTGGCTATGCAAAATCCTAAGCTTCCCGTCGCCTTTATTAACATCATCAAGCACATCCAACCCCTCAGCAACCCTTCCCACAACCCGTTTCGACGTTTTCGGTGCCAAGTTTACCTGAAACTGGAACCGTCCATCGGAGTTCAACACCTCCACGGATCCCGGCGGCGCCGTCTCCTCAACATCACCACTCCCATTCTTCAACTCCTTCCTCTCCAAAAGCCTCTGAACAGCCACAGGCACGCCCACTTCAGGACCCGTAAGCAGCACGTTCTTGTCGAAACCTTCAAACTCAGATAAGAGCCATTCGTTCAAATGGGCCAACGCCACAAACAAAAACGAATCTTTTTCAAAGCATGGGTTGGAATATTCAAGGTCCACGACCAAATTGCCTTTATTGGTTTCGAAAAAAACACTCATTCAACAAAAAAAACTGGGGGGGATTTTGGCCTCTTTATATACTCGTCAACTGTGGTGGTTATAACCACTCTGGTGCGAAGACACTGTGTGCAGGAGGGGATTGATATATTGAAAAATTGCAAAAAAAAGTGCGATTTCTGTGGATCGAACACAGGACCTCCAGATCTTCAGTCTGACGCTCTCCCAACTGAGCTAAAACCGCAATTGTGAAGGAAAGTGTGTTTAGGTGGTAGTAGTGGGGTGGATTGGATGGAGGCTTAATTTTACAATTCTAATGGTATATCTAGTTGGATAATTTGGTCTTAATTACTGTGTAGAAATTTGAGCAAATTTTGCCGATTTTTGAGCGAGTTATGGCGTTTTTTGTGATTTTTGGACGGAGAGAAGGTTAGAATGGATGGTGTTGGAAGCATAGAAGACGTATATGAGTTGAAAGATGTGTCTTCAACATCTAAATATTACCTTAATTAAACGCTGTTGCTTTGGGGTCTTCAGAGAATGTCAATGTAGGTAGAGCTACATTGTAAATGGAGTTTTATTGAAATGAACCTGGAATGATGGAAAGAGAATACAAAGAGGTCCTTCTTAAACGACCTTTGCTTTTCATTATATTATTTCTACTTTTAATGATGTCTTGAGGTAGTTTTGGTGGTATTTGGGCCTCCAAGGCGAACCCTGGGTGGATATTCTACATAGCTTTCCATCCCAAGTCAAGACATGGATCACTGAAGACATTTAAGGCGCTTTGAGTGGCATCTCTTACCTCTTTAAACAGTCAGGTCATCTCCTAATTTGTTTTCTTCCACATCTTATCCTACGAACCCCCAGGTTTCCTGGTAAATGATACATATATTAAATTAGTGATGCATTTGATGCAAAGTCTAGCTGCATAAGCAGTCTGTAATGGAAATTAAAAATTAACTTTGACGAATAGAAATTAGGTTAAATTTGCAGTCGGAGACGAATGGTGCTCTCTGGCGGTGACGGTGGTTTCAAGAGTGTAGTTGCCTTTCATGGGAATCCATAAGGTTGTTTGCTTTAAGAAGTCAGCACCAACAGAAGCATTAAAGTCGTTATCATTTGCTTTCTAGCTGTGAAGATCCACCTGGGATGATGTTCTTCGTCTGATAGTTCCTGATCGGTTTGGACGGTCTGAGCAAAGACAACCATCTGTTCTGGCATTTGTAATGTTCGGTAGGGTGTTTCCCATGTGACCAGAAATTGCTAAACAATAATAGTTCATTATTCTGACTCAAGGTAAGTTAGGAATATCAAACTCCTTTATAGCTGAGACATCCAACAGGCCAAGTTGGATCAAAGCGTTATGCCTTCGGTAGACCCTAAAAGGACGTTCCTTGAAACTGACTTCGAAAGTAAATCCTGTTCAGCACTTATTTTGTCTGAAAAGGGGCGACATTTAGTACAATTAACAGATCACGATCCTTTTGTCCATCTCAGTGCAGCTACTTTGCTGGAGTTACCTAAACTGAAAATGTCTCTCAACAGCAACCTAAAACTCAAAATATCCAGCCTTGTAACACCCTAACCCCGCTGAGAAGCAAAAATAAACCATTTTGAGCCTAAAATGGCCCTTCCAGGAGTCCTCTACTGGTACCTCATTAACAGACCCCAGTCATCAGCTGATCCACCTCCCTTTGCCATCAGTTGAAAACGTAAATGCATTTCATAGGAAAAGAAGATTCCATGGAGTCCTTTAGAATCAAAACTGACTTCCCCAGAACCTCTTCCCTTGATGAGCCACATTTGAGCCACATGCCCTGACGTTGGCTTAGACCAGCGAACCTCGTCCAAGCCATCCTTCAATGATCCTCAAGCAGCCACCAGAAGTGCAACCCACTTATTTTTCACCTTCAACATCGAGAGCAATAATTAAAGTTGTGCAGTTGTTGAAGGAAGTTCATAGTTGAACCTCTAGTTCATCCTTCTAGTTCATCCTTCTAGTTCATCCTTCTAGTTCATCCTCTTCTGTAACTGCTCGCTTCGCTCCCAGTGGATTGGAAAGCTCTAAGTAGCAACAACTGCTCGCTTTGCTCCCAGTTGAATAAAGCCTTGAGTGACGACAACTGTGAGCGAAGCGAGCAGTTGTCTAAACTGTCTCATATATCCTCGTATCATACTTCGAAGCCTTATACGTTGGAGGAGGAGCAGTGGGCAGCTCTGGCGGCAAATATGTCGGCGGCTCGGCATTCGGGTTCGCTGTCGCCGCCGTATTTGGTCTTCCCATCGCCGGTCTATTCTGTAATCTAAACTCTTCCTGAAGATTACTCTGTGCTCTGAAGTTCCTATCTCGAAACCGTTTCTGGGAATATAGCACGCCGAGGATGATGATGAATAGTAGGATTCCGGCAACAACACCAATGTATGTGCCAGCGGGAGACCTTTCAGACATGGAATAGCAAAGAAGGAAGGGGAAAAGAAGGAGTAGTTATAGTAAATCAGGGAGTAGTTGCCGAGAAGCCGGTACTGTAAATGCAGGGAGTGTGTTGAGGAAGAGGTAGGGGCAGGACAGTACGATAAGACATTTGCGGAAGAACGACATTTGGCCGATCTTTTCTATGCACTGGAAGAAGTGGTGGATAAACTGTGGAAGAACTGGTTACGGGGAGATGATCCGGGGAAGGTTGTTCCACTAGTATAAGGTTCAGCCGTGTTGGAGCCACTGTATTGTTTGTCTCGGGAGGCAAAAACGACACAAAGCCGGAACTCCAAGCTTTTTTTACAGTGGGGGAATCGGCTCCCACTCTCTTTTATTATTATTATCTGTGGATACAAAGATAAGCTTACATAGAAGTGCATTCCAAGAAAAGTAGAATTCGTGACCATCCGTGGAGGGTTGATTTTTGTGGGGTTGTTGAAATTGACCATATGGTTTCTCCGGCCACACCTTACACAATACCGTGGGCTAGGTCTTTTCCAATGCATGGTTAAATGAGTGATGAGCGAATGACCCAATCCAACAGCGTGCCTGATTGTGGCTGTTTGTGCAACCAAGTAGTCAATCAATGCTCCCACGTTGTCGGTATTCCTTAGTGTGACCATGTAGTTTAAATTGGTGGTTTTTATAGGCGCCTTGCTTCCCTCGTGGTTGGCAACCCTGTTTTGTCTATTCAGCCGTGGATCGCTGCATGTCGATGGTAAGCCTCCTTGGGCGGTGATTCGGTGACATCACGGGTACCGTGATGTTTACAGTAAATGGCTTTTGTGTAGATTTTGTTGGAAGTTGGATTTATGGTTCCAGGGCCACAGTTTGGCAAAAGATACACTGGCTGTGAGGGTTCTACTATTAGTGTTTAAATGAATTAGAGACTCTATTAGATACTTCATCAAAGGTTTGTTAGGTTTGTTGGGTTTATTGGAAGTCTGGAGAAAGGCATTTAAGTGTAAGGACATTGAAGGTCAACTCACTCAATGTGGCTCATAAGTAAAAGGGTATCCATCATTGTCGAGGAGGGACAGGAACATTGGATTTTCCTGCTGTTCATTGGAAGAAGGAGATTATAGAAGGCTTTGTCGTATTTGTAATGTGACAATTAGTAATAGGTTCGCTTGGGTAGTAGGAGGTCCACAGTCGATGAAGGACACAAAGGCGCCATAAATACCTAATGATATCCACATTATGAGCACTTCTGAGTCCATATACGCTTCTATAGAACAAAGATGTTCTTTAAAATACTTGTTGGGCGTATTTGTAACTCTCTTTGAAAAGCGTATAATGAGCATATCGCATCTCTATTGTAGGCTCTCCTTCCACACTCAAACATTCCAGACGCCTATAAATTGGACTGAAGGGACTTCAAATGTATTGGAAGAGCCTTAAACTGGAATCAATATCATATTGTCTCTTTTGAGTGAGCTAGACAACTTTTTGACCTTAAAATCACTATAACTCATTATTCCGGCGGTTTATGCAAATTTCAGCACCACAGCCATAATCCTCAAACTTCAATAAAACCACCAATGCATTAAAACTTGACATTTTTTGCCAGATCTCCAAAATACACAGCCAGTTCACCCCGTTATATGTACACTTCAATAATGGCTCTGTGGCCGAGCGGTCTAAGGCGGCAGACTCAAGTTCTGTTATCGTAAGATGCGCGTGTTCGAATCACGCCGGAGTCACTATTTTTTGAATTTGCTGGGTATAAAAGAAGCGTATTAGCTGATTTGTTCCCTAGGACTTGTTTTTTTCTTTTTATTTGGAGGTTTATGTGTGTTTATCCGGAAATTGTGTTGTTCCGGCGAGTTTATCCGGTTTTCGCAGCCAAAGCAGTATGAGAAGAGTTTTGCTATTTAAATTGAAAACGCTTCATGGCATGTCCCAGTAAAAAGAGTGTAAATAGGCTTTTGCCTAGATATGGTTGAGTAGCTCCAGATGATACCCTTGAAGTTGTTAACGGTAGGCTGAATGATATGAAGCGTACACCTCTATTGGTACTTCCAAAGCTACACCATGTCATTAACATTGTAGACAAAATGAAAGCATTACCTTTCGTCACTCCTTTATCTGAATAAGCGCATGGAAGAGCCATAGTGTTCTCCTGAACGTCTATAGTATAAGATCAACGAAGTCTATCAGCGTCCTTTACAGATATCCAGGTACTCACATCCACCAGACCTTCAGAACACTACCATCAGCTTCTGAATCTTCCTTGATTCCTCCTTGCTCTACTTCCTTTCGTATTCTTCCCCTTCCCCTTCCCCTTCATTCCACTACTTCACCTACATCGCATCTCCATCTCTCTATCTTTTTCTTATGCATTTCTATAATAACTATTTTACACGGAGGTGTAGCCACCGTCGACCCTAATATCAGCACCAGTAGTGAATGTCGACAAGTCACTGGCCAAGTACAAGTAAGCACCGACCAACTCCTCAGGCAAGGCTTCTCTGCCCTCAGGCGTCAAGCCCCACCACTTAGCTCTCTGCTTAGTAGGAACAAACGAAGACATTGGCGTATCCGTGTAGCCTGGCGAAACAGTGTTAACACGAGCGAAACCAGCAAACTCCACGGCCAAAGATTTACCCATATGGACCACAGCAGCCTTGGATGCGTTGTAGCCGGTTTGGTAGTTTGGAACATTGACAATGTGGCCAGACATCGACGCAGTCATGATAAACGAACCGTTACCCTTTTCCTTGAAAACCCTGCCCACGGTCTTGGCACAGTTGAAGACGCCATGGACGTTGACGTCGAACACACGCTTCCACAGGTCAAGCGTAGACTCGTCGTTCAAGATAGAGCCAGTTTGCCAGGCAACACCAGCATTGGCAATGAACGTATCGATGGTGCCGAAATCCTCCACAATCTGCTTCACCACCTCGTCCACGGCCTCGTAGTTGGTCACGTCGACCTGGTACGACTTGGCTTTGATGCCATAAGTGTCTCTCAAACGAGTATCAAGGCTTGGGTCGTGTTTGTAGTCCATGATGGCCACATGAGAGCCAGCCTGGGCAAAACCTTCAGCGATGGCTCCACCAATGGCACCAGCAGCACCTGTAATAACAGTAACCTTGCCGTTAAGAAGGAATCTGTCGACGACAGTGCCTTTCAAGGTAGGAGCCTTGGTAGGAACAGCGGCTTCCTCGTTGTCTGGCCTGATGATGGTATTGTAAATAGCGTCGGAAAGAGTCATGGTGATGAGAAGAAAGAAGAGGAAAAGCAGCAGGGATGGGCAGCAACTGGGCAGCCTTTTATAGTTTTTGTACCCCGGAGTTGCAGCCGATGAAGAAACCGAAAATAGTTCCTGTGGGGGTGCATGCGGGAAAAGAAACGAGCAGCCGTTGGGAGGCTTTTTCCGGCTTGACAGGAAAAAGAAACGCGGGGCGGCGCTTTTTTCGGGCACACTTTACTATGAGCGCCCAAGTTTTTCCGGCGCCCAATGCCAAAGTCTTCTCATCTTCCGGTCATCTATGCAAGGAAAGCAAGAGAAGACTTGGTGCTTTGGGAGGTTGGCTTATGTATAGATGACATGCCTAAAATAGATGATGTACGTTGGCAGCTGGAGGGGAGATGCGTAGATGACCTTGAGGGGCACGAAGGGGAATTTAGAGGGGACACAAGGAGAGTTTGGCTTTCTTGTTTTCCGTTTGGCTGAATAAAGGTGTTCCTGGTTTCTTTTGGTGCTCCAAGCCTCGGGGTTTGGGAATTGGGCGAACCGTGTTTTGGGTTCTGTGTCCCTAGAGGCTTTCGAGGATAGTGAGGGTAAAAGCCCCGAGAAAACTTCCTGATATGCTAGTTTCTTTTGGAGGTGAAGTCAGGGGTTTTCTTTTTCGGTTATGTGCGTTCAGGGTGGAAGTGTAAGAAGAAACGACCAGGGTGATTTAGATGACTGGTCTGGGGTAGTCAAGCTGGGAAGGACAGGAATGGTATTTTCAGGTGTTGGATTTTTGCAGTGTGCTTCGACATCTGTATTGGTCAGTCTAGGGTTCTCCAGAGGCAGACTTCTAGGGAAAGTGGTTCAGAGTATGTAGCTCAGTAAAGAAATCTTTGAAACAAACCTCTTATAAACCACAAAGTGAATAAAGTTTTCCATCTACATAAAGTTAAACCAAGTGCTTTAGACCCCTTGCTGTTCTTGGAAGTGTAGTACCGACCTACTTATACCATGTAGCACTTTCCACCACCCAGTCACCCAAACCATGAGATGTACCTAATACCTCAATATTCCCATTCCCATTAACCAACCACTATATTTCCCCAAACTACAATCCAAAAGCCAAACTGCAACCCATCTCCCCATTTTGTGCAACCCCTAACACTGTGGATGAGACATCCATCGCATCACCACGACGCCGCCTGATTCTTCAGCCTCACCCCATCTGGACCCTTGCTAAGGTTGCTGCTCTCCACAAGCGCATACCTTCGCCAGGCACAAACAGCCCCCTAACTTCCAAATCTACGACTTCTACTGCCCAGTTGCCAACACCAATGGGCCCTCCTTCGTTCGTACACCACCTGGGGTCTGATCTCGGGGTTTGCTGGACCGGTTTTGTGTAATCTCCCCTTTTCGGTTGTACCTACACCAAAAGGGACCTGATCAGGCTGAAACTTACCATGACGTTTCTTTCAAACCTAAACCAGAAACCACCCGCCAATTGCACTGAAACCACCCAAACTGGCCATTTCACACCCTCTTTCTCTTCCACTCCCAGACACCTCGTATTTCATCTAGCCGCCGCACATGGGGCGCCGCCAGCAAGGCCATAAACAGATACAAAGTAACAAATATACCAATCTGAACCGCCCGAAAACGTCAAACTACCTCTCCAAACCTTAAATACTTATCCCACTTAAGTCCCTACCTGTTCCACCACTTTGGCTGCAAATGGCGAGGGGCACGGGTGGGGGATCCCAGGGTGGGGGAGGGGCACCTTCCAACCCCCAAAACCACCCCCAACCTCCCCCAACCTCCCCCAATTCCCAATTCCACCATTTAAAACCCCCAAAACAACCACCTCCTCCATCCCAATCCCTCCCCCCAGCCCTCGACGTCCCCAGGTCCAAACCCTGGCTCTCTCCCTGCCGCAGCAACCCAGACACCTCTGCAGGACCTCTTGATCCTCACCCAAATCCATAAAGACAGCATTCACTTCTTCTTCACCTTCCACTACTTCTTCTTTTTCTCTTCTTCATAGCGCCATGGCTGACTTGCTCGATGCGCTCACTGCCGAAGAACGCAGGCTCTTTGAAGACAAAAAAAGATCCCAGTACTACAAACGCTGGGGCACTTACCTTAGTGAACGAGAATGGGCCACGGTGAGAGAAGACTACCTGGCTTCAGGGCTGGCGTGGGACGACTTTTCGTTTGACACGTCGAGATCGAGAACGTACCGTTGGGGCGAGGACGGGCTCTGTGGGTTCTGTGACACCCGGCAATTGGTGTGTTTGCTGTTGGGGCTCTGGAACGAGAAGGACGATATTCTCAAGGAGAAGTTGTTTGGCGTGACGAATTCCCAGGGTAACCATGGAGAAGATGTCAAGGAGTTGTACTGGTACTTGGACAATACGCCTACGCATTCGTACTCGAAGATGTTGTATAAGTATCCACAGGCGAAGTTTCCGTATGAGCAGTTGGTGGAGCAGAACGGGAAGCGGAGCCGCTTGGAGCAGGAGTACGAGATTACCGATACGGGTATTTTCGACGAAAGCAGGTACTTTGATGTGGTGTACGAGCTGGCCAAGGCCGACGAGGACCCTGAGGAGCTCTTGTTTAGGATTACCGCTTACAACAGAGGCCCAGACGCTGCTCCTTTGCACATTTTGCCTCATTTGGTGTTGAGAAACTACTGGGCTTGGGGTACCGAGGAGGGCAAGCACGGGAAGCCGTTGTTGAAGCAGATTGACGATTATACTATCGAGCTTGAGCACCCTAAGTTTGGCAAACGGTACTTGGTGTTTGCGCCAGCTCCTGGTTTGAATGAAAACCTGGCTGACGTGGAGCCAAAGTTGCTTTTTACCGAGAACGAGACCAACCATAAGCGTCTTTACGACCAGCCTAACGATGCCAAGTACGTCAAGGATGCTTTCCACGATTATGTGGTGCAGAAAGACGAAAGCGCTGTGAACCCGGCTCAGGAAGGTACCAAGGCGTGTGCTTTGTTCTCTTTTGACGAGGAAGGCGGTGTTCCAGCTGGCGATTACGTGACTATTCGTTATAAGCTTACTGATAAGCTTGGCGAGATCGATGAGGTAGAGTTCGATAATGTCTTTGAGAGAAGACAAGACGAAGCTGATGCTTTCTACTGGAAGGTTTCACCATTGCCTATTACCGACGACTTGCGTCAAGTCCAAAGACAGGCGTTTGCTGGATTGTTGTGGACCAAGCAGTTCTACCACTTTGTGCATAGCTACTGGTCCAGCGGTGATCCCAACACGCCTCCACCACCTGAAAACAGAGCCAACGGTAGAAACAAGGACTGGAAACACTTGTACATTGATGACGTGCTCTCTTTGCCGGACAAATGGGAGTACCCGTTCTTTGCTGCTTGGGATACTGCTTTCCACTGTATTCCTTTTGCCATGATTGACCCTGAGTTTGCCAAGAAGCAATTGGAGCTTTTGACCAGAGAATGGTACATGCATCCTAACGGTCAATTGCCAGCTTATGAATGGAACTTCAGTGACGTCAATCCTCCAGTCCATGCCTGGGCCACTTACAGAGTGTTCAAGATCGAGAGAAAGATGTATGGTACTGAAGATTTGGACTTCTTGGAAGGTGTGTTCCAGAAATTGTTGCTTAACTTCACCTGGTGGGTTAACCGTAAGGATTTCAACGGTAACAACCTTTTCGAGGGTGGTTTCTTGGGTCTTGACAACATTGGTGTGTTTAACAGATCTGAACCTTTGCCTACCGGTGGTACCTTGCAGCAGTCCGACTCCACAGGTTGGATGGCGTTCTACTGTTTGCAGATGTTGAACATTGCCTTGGAATTGGCCAAGACTAGACCAGTGTATGAGAACATTGCTTCTAAGTTCTTTGAGCACTTCTTGTTGATTGCCGATGCCATGTCGTACCGTGGTGCTACCAAGACAGACCAACAAGCTACCGAGCAGTCTTTGTGGGACGAGAACGATAAGTTCTACTATGACGCTATCCACTTTGACTCTCACACCCAGTCTTTGCCTGTACGTTCTTTGGTTGGTTTGATTCCTTTGTATGCCTCGTTGACCTTGGAGCCTGAATTATTAAACAAGTTCCCATCTTTCAAGAAGAGATTGGACTGGTTCATTGAAAACAGACGCTCTATTGCCGAAAGAAACATTGCTTCTATGACCCACCGTGGTGTTGGCGAACGTTTGTTATTGGCATTGGTCAACAAGGAAAGATTGGTTGCCATTTTGGAGAGAATGTTGGACGAGAAGGAATTTTTGTCTGAGTTTGGTATCCGTTCTTTGTCCAAGTACCACGAGGAGAACCCATTCGAGTTGGAAGTTCACGGCCAGAGATACGATGTCAAGTACTTGCCAGGTGAATCTGATTCGGGCATGTTTGGTGGTAACTCCAACTGGAGAGGACCTATCTGGTTCCCTGTCAACTTCCTTTTGGTTGAATCCTTACAAAGATTCTACTTGTACTACGGTTCTGACTTGAAGGTCGAGTGTCCAAAGGGTTCTGGGGAATACCTCAACTTGGCACAGTGTGCTCAGGAAATCCAGCATCGTTTGATGCACTTGTTCCTTCCTGACAACGACGGAAACCGTGCTTGTAACGGTGGTAACAACTTGATGAACCACGACCCTCATTTCAACGAGTACGTTCCATTCTACGAGTACTTCGACGGTGATACTGGACGTGGTTTGGGTGCTTCCCACCAGTGTGGTTGGACAGCTGTGGTTGCCAAGTGGATCCACGACAACGGTGTCACTTGCAGAGTTCCTAAGACGCCTAGAACTCCAAAGCCAGAGAGACGTAACTCCATCCATTCGTTCGACCAGGATGAGCCAACCAAGGAAAGCGACGAGGACGACTTGATCAAGACGTACACTCCAAAGGCCGGTCCATTCCCTTCGAGACTTGTGAGAAGAAAGTCCGGCAAGTCGTTGCTCAACTTGACCATCAACTCTTTGGACCTTGGCGGCGAGGAGCAGGTCGAAGAAACCGAGGATGTACCTACGTTAGAGAGCGGCATGAAGAACGTCACTGCCGACTTAGAAGAGTACGGCTTGACGCCTACCGTGTCCAGATCGTCTGTGGACTCCCGTTTCGACGATAACTTGGTGAACCAGATCAAGGCTGCTTTCCACAAGTACAAGAACCGTACCGACGAAGACGAGGGCGAGGAGTTTGAAACCAGACACTAAGCTGCTTCGCTCCTGCTGACGGCAGAGCCGCCAGACTTACATAGTAACATACCAAGAAGACACTGGAAATTGTAGAGTTTATGTGGTGGGTGTAAATTCACGTGATCATTCACGTGCTTCTCACGCGCCCTTTCCACATGCCCAAATAGGGGCCAGCAAGTAATCTACATCTCCATAGTCACCAACAACCAGTGCCATGTCAGACTTATTTGAAACATACGAATCGGATTTCCAGTTGGCTCTCCAAGAAGCCAAGGCCAAGATCGGCAGCGTCCAGCTGAGCAGCGCCGGCCTGCGCAAAGACGCCCTCCAGGCCATTGAACACGCCACAGACGAAGCCTTAGAGATCTTGGACCAAATGAACCTCGAGATCCAGAGCCTTCCAGCCAATCAGAGACTGAGCTACAACGCCAAAGTCAGACAATACAGAAGTGAAGTCGAAGGCAACAAGCAGAAGCTCAAGGAGCTTTTGGACGAAGAAGACAGACTGGAGCTTTTTGGCAGCAGGTACACAGACAACGAAGAAGAAAGCTCCCAAAGAAAACAACTACTTAGCAACAATGCCTCTTTGGACAGACTGACCCAGCGTCTCCAAGAATCGCAGCGTGTAGCACTTGAAACTGAGGGTATTGGTGGAAACATCTTGAATGACTTGAGAGCACAGAGAGAGCAGATTCTGAATGCTCGTAGCACGTTGCTGACTGCTGACAATTACGTGGATAGATCGGTGCAGACGTTGAAGCTGATGAGCCGGAGACTTGTGGCGAACAAGTTTATTTCGTATGCGATCATTGCGGTGTTGATTATTCTAATATTCTTGGTTCTTGCCAGTAAGTTTTGGTAAACGAGAACTACACCGGAACGGGGTAGTTCGGGTTGATTTTTGTGGATAATGCTGTGGTGGTTTCAGGACGTTGATGATGATGGTTGGAGCGTACCGATATGGCTGGCTGGGCAAGTGGAGGAGCCAAGCAGGGATTTGGCTTCCGAAATCTCAGCGGCGCCGCTAAATATATTCTAGATATTAATGTGTCAATGAACCGTGAAAACGAGCAGTTTTGGGTGGAGTGTAGGAGGGTTGATGGAGGGCCAGAGAGAATACAGACTATCCAATGTAGGGAAGCAAAACGAGAGAACAACCAATTAGCAGGTTTCTTCATACTGAGAGTTAAACCCCCAACTCCTTACTTTCTATCGGTATTTCATTTTCCTCTTTCTCTTGATATCTACATATATGGCTTTCCCAAACCTTAAATGCCATGCTAGTATCTGTCTTCCATCGCATACCGCTTTGTGTACTGTTCAATAAAGCTCCACCACCCTCCACCAACCTCCACCAAAACGTCAAAAACGCCAATAAAAGCCATCCAATACCTAAACCACACTCTTTACGTCCACTCAAAACCAACAAAACTAAACCACTTATCCAAATCCACCCTTTACCATAACCCTCCACTGCCCACATTCACAGAATTTCGCAGCCATTTCTGTCCCCACACATATGTAGCAGCACTTAAGCAAAAGTGTAAAAACACAAACTGTCCTTAAAAATCGGAAATCCTCCAAATCTAAAATTCCTTAAAACATGACGTTCCCAAACCCCAGTTCCACCCTCCCACACCTTCCCTGCCAAAAACCAACCACTCGTGGACGGCCCGAACCGTTCGGTCCGACTCCGTCCACCATTCCGTGACTCCGACCGCCATCTCCCCACCACCACCAAACCAAGAAAAAAATCCACCTTTTCTGTAAAACCAAGACAGCAAAACCAACTCCAACCACCTTCCATCCCATTTCCTTCAACATTTCCTCTTTGCCTTTGGAGGTTCCCCATACTTTGTTCATCCTCTCCTGCACACTTGGCTTACTATTCCTCAGCTCTCATAAGTGGAAAATTTCCTCATCTGAGTGACTCCCACATCTACATCCCACAAACCATGTTTAGACTTGTCAGGACGCCTCCAGCGGCCGTGGCGGCTTGGAGACACCGCCTTGCAACTGCTACCAGCTTCCCTCGTGTTGCTGCTCCATCTGTCCGTTCCTTCACCTCTTCGATGCCTGCTTTCCATGGGCATATCCATAAACCTAACCCTGGAGAAGAGCTTCATATTACGTTTATCACGAAGGACGGGGGGCAGCAGTCGTTTGAGGTTGCCGAGGGCGATAATATCTTGGATATAGCTCAGGCTCATGGGCTTGATATGGAGGGAGCTTGTGGCGGCTCGTGTGCTTGTTCTACATGCCATGTTATCGTTGATCCGGACTTTTACGATGAGATTCCTGAGCCTGACGATGATGAAAATGATATGTTGGATTTGGCTTTTGGCCTTACGGAAACGTCGAGGTTGGGCTGCCAGGTAAAGATGACTAAAGAGTTGGACGGCATCAGAGTGGCATTGCCTGCGATGACCAGAAACCTCCAGCTGAAGGACTTTAATTAGGGGAGAGATAGTGGTGGAATTGAGAAGGGGGGAGGGAAGAGACCGGGTGGTGGTGTTTTTGGCGTTTTTTGAGCTTGAATGGCCGGTTTTTGGCCGGGATGAGCCGTGTGTGGTACCCTGTGGAGCCGTCGAGTTGAAGACGCTGGCGGGATGATTCGGATGGTGCTTGGACACTGTTTTGGGTTGCTCTGGTGGCGGCAGTTTGCGAGGCGGCTTCGGTTTGCCTCGGTTGCCTCGGCCGGATAGACCCTTCGTTCCGTGGGCCGATCCAGGGACCATCAGATAAAGCGCTGGCCGCCACTCGAAGCTCATGTATTTGGTATCACAGAACACAGAAAAGAAAATAGGAGGGTGTTTTTCTTGGCCTTAAAGTATCCAGTGGCGAATTTGGATTTACGCTTCCCCAGATTTACATGGCTTCCGTCCCGGTATGGCTTAAGGCGAGGAAGATCACTACTCCTTTCCCTAATCCAAGAATCCGGAAACTTTAAATAAGTTTTCCCGAAAACGAAGATTGATACTGCCAGAGAACGAAATGGCTCGGAACACCCCAGTCCAAGAGACCTCATGTTCCCAAAGAGAGACACCTTCGAGTTCACATAAAAAGACAGCATATACATGCAACCACTCGTCTACAGACGCTCCATTGAAGCTGGCTTCATTGTCCAGCCCAGCACAGCATTAGCATTACGGACTACGTCCACTTGTACATACAGCTAACACATAAATGGATCATACAGCGGAGAGGCATGATTGCAATGAAATATCATGACAATGTATCCAGAGTAAGTGTAGAAGTAGCAGTCACCAGAAGGATAGAGAGTTTCGGTTGATATGCCCGAGTGCTCCATTGACTCAGCTTCCTATAGTAATGTATGAGAAGTACATATGCCAATGATCTGTAGTCCCCAACATGAAAAATAGGAAAAAACTTAATGAAAGACAGAGAAAGCGATCTTTCTAAACCGAAAATACGTTTTATTCTATCCTCCTATCAATGTTATGACTTTTGTGTGCCCATAGTTTTCTTACAGTGAGTACTTATATAGTGCGTATATAGTCACCGCCAAACCTTAAAAAAGCTCCAAAAATTCCCAAAGAAAGGCCACCAAACAAAACAAGAGCCAGAAATTAACTCCAAAACTACCCCTTTTTTTTTTTTTCATCTTCTTTCTCCCCCTGGTTCCCACTACCCTCCAAATCACCACTATCCATATTTTGCAACCGCCTCTGCAGGCCTGTCTTTCTGCAGTGCCCATGTTTATAAACACCATCACCAGCTTAACCTAGCCCAACAAGAACACCCAAATTGACTGAAACGTGGCAGACCAGACGAGCCAAACGCAGCATTTCGTCCTTGTTTCACATTTAAAGCTTGTTTCACATTTGTTTCAGCCGTGTTTCACATCCAAAACATGACCCCAGAAAAGAAACGCAAGGTGCTTTCAGACATAGGCAACGTCGAACTGCCCAAAAACAGACGCAAATCGCTTGGTTTTGATATGGCCAGTATAGGAGGCGAAGAAGAAATGCACTCGTCGTCAGAATCGAATATTCCAGACCCACCGCCTTCCAGACTGCTGGCAATCAACTCTTTGGCTGATATGCACATGAAGTCGTCTAACATCCCTGTTATCAATAAACACCGGAGCTTTCATTCGCTTGTGGCGGTTAAAGATAGTCTCAATGCCAAGTCAAAGCTACCGTCAGGGTTTGAAAAGTGGAAAGAGCCGCCTAAGCTGGAGCCTATGGTGGATGCAGAGTCCTTGCAGAACGACAAGAGAATGCTAGATCGGGAGCTTCGCTCTTCGCAGACGTTATTAGAGCAGCTAGAGGTGGAGTTTCAGGAGAAAAGGAGGTTGTATCGTGTTCTAGAGAAGCAGAGTTCAGATGCCAGGTTCAGGCTTCGGCACTTGGAATCGAGGTTTGAGCTGAAGGGTAATACTATAACCCAGCATATTCTGCACGAGGAGCTGGCTGCGGAGTTGCTGCTTCGGGAACTTGAAAATAGACTTGAAGATGAGTTTAACAAGCAGAAGTTCCAGTTGCGTAATGAGATCATGGATGCTGGTAACTTTGAAGATACACAGGCACTAGAAGAACTTGAAAGTTTGGCTAAACGGAAGGAAGAGTTGGAGAAGAAGCTAGAGGAGACTATAGCCGAGAAAGACGAGGCTATAAGGAAGGAAATTGAGACAAATAAAGAGAAGCTAGCTGCTCTTAGACTGGAGAACGACTTGCAGTTGGCTGACGTTAGACAAGAGAACGAGAAGAAGCAGGCACATTTGGACCAGCTAGAGTCGAAATTCCATGCATTGAATGAAGAAAAACTGAAGAAGGAGGCCGAACTAGAAGCCCTTGAGACTGATATCAAGAACTTTAGAGACTCTGCCAACAACGTCGAGGCAAGTACCGAACAGCTCGAGGAGACTCTCAGACAAAAAGAGGAACAGTTAGCGTCGCTTAGAAATGATACAGCTTCCTGGATTGAAAGTCTCAGGGTTGAGCGTGAAAAGTATGAAGCGATCAGAAAGAAATACGATAACTACTTATCGGTGCATAGAACGCTTGAAGACGCTATCATGAGCTTCGACCCTCACCCTCGAACCTACGTGAGAATACCGGCTGGTTTAAATGTTTCCATTGATGACGAAAAGATATTAACTGTGGATCGTCGTCTGTTCCAGTTCAGCAGGATCTTCCATCGTGACGACGACCTGTTCCCGCTACAATGGGAAGTCTTTGTGCAACGGGCACTAATACAACACAATGTGACCTTGTTGTTCATTGGATCAAGCCAACAGGATATGTTCCTGCGCTTGCTGGAGGTGTTCACGTTCTTGCGGAACGGAGAGGAGAGACTTGAGACCAAGGGTTGGACCTTTTCTTTCTCCTTGCAATGTTCCAGTATAAAAGAGTCCTCGCTTGATCTTCTTAACCCATCTGCCGAAAATAAGTTCCATTATGAGAATGGAAAATTGGTGGAAATGACAGCCGAAAGGGTCAACATATCTGGTCTGTCTGACCTCGAGCAGGTTCTGAAAAACTTCCAAGCACAGCCTGGCGCCGTGACGATTTATTTCATTCAGATACAAGCGGTCAACGAGAGAGCGAAGAAGGCTTTCACAAATCAGCTTTCGCTAGTTGACCTTACAAACAAAAGCTTTGCATCTCAGGTAGAGACAATCTCGCTCAAGTCATCCAAGGCCGCAGAAAACAACTTCTTCACCCACGTCAAGAAAAACACGAGAAGCTTATATGTTTGTGAGGTTGATGAAATCGTTCAAGACACTCTTCCACTCCTTTCCAGCATTTCCCACTCTTAGTATATACATTAATTCAAGATGATCACATGGCAGATATGAGATCATGCACGAGCCACTTGAGTTCATCTGTAGTACCCGTCTGAGATTCAGCGTTTGGATCCGCTTTCTGAGCCAGAGGGGTTTGTGGTTGAGGCAGGCCACTGGATGCCTTTGCATCCACGAAAGACTCCTTTTCTGGCTTCACTGCTCCATTTGAAATAATAGCAGTATCCACTTCCGCAGGACGTTCCTTCAACACATAGGCATTTTTATCAGCAGCCTGGTCATCGTTTTCTAACATAACATTGGAAAGTCTGACCTTAGCACCATTTGGCTCAACCAAATGAGGGAACATCTCCAACGTATTATACATGTCTTCCACATTCAACACCACCGTCTCCTTATTTTTAACATCATTGTCTTCGTGTGGCCTCTTCCGGCCTATGCCTGAAATGGACTCTGACCTCACATGTCCATTGCTCAAGCTACCATTCTCTGGCGTGTCTTCCTTGGGCAGTAGGAAGTCGTTGGAGTTATACTTCTGCTCTCTGTATCTCGCAACGTCTATAGCATTCTCCAAAATTGTCTTAAGATGGGACTCCAAACCAAGACTGATCATTTCAAGAACCAGAGTGTTTACTCCTCCAGTCAAGCCATGTTCTCTCATTGTCATCAACACTCGTCTTGATAAGTTATCCGCATCAGGTAATTCGTAGGTTTGGGCGGCCAATGGAGCATTGATACCGTTTACCACATCCTGTTGCCATTGTACCAAATTGTTCACCTGTAACTGTTGTTGTTCCTTGTCCTGGATCATAGGAATCTTTGGCAACAAGGCCTGTCTTGTAAGGGTAATAGAAGCATTGATTTTGTTTCTCTTTCCACTGTCTCTGGTGATGCTACGGATTCTTCGCCTTTCTTTCAAAGGCAAGCCCATGATATTACGCTTGAACTTCTCATACTGAGTCAGTCTGACGTTCTTTGCTTTCAGGTTTTTCTTGTTCCAGAACGACGCTAGCTCCGAGGAGAATTCCACCGGACTATCCTGAAGAGAATTAGCGAAATTGAGCAATAAGAACTTGTTATGCCATTTCATAAGGCCATTCTTAAGCATAGGCGAGATAATCTGCACCAATTCACCTCTGGAAAGCTTTCCAACAAGAAATAGGGTAAGCGACTCATGGTACTTTTCCCAGTCATTGCCTAGCTTGTTTTGAAAGTCCCTTATTAGCGCTTCAAGTTGGGATCTTTGGTTTCCCTTTACTTGTAGCTGAGTTGCCATTTGCTGGGTAGCGGTAGCCGACATTTTTGATGAAAAAGTTCAGCCTAGGGGTATATTTTGGCGCCAGAAACGATTTCTGATATTATTAAAGGCTGATTGACAGCGTTTTCGACGGATTCTTCGACCCTGTCTATGGATAATACAAAGTGGTGGGAATTTGGGCTCTAGCGCGTCAAATTTCTCCGAAAAAAATGGACTAGGTGAAAGTATGGCCTGTTTTCTATAGGAAATGAACAGTATAAGGGATTGATTGGGCCTCCAGTACCGTTATCACACGCCCAGTTGTTTGAAAGTTTCTGTGAGGCTCACCTACTACTACTTAGTGTATGTTGAGAATTGGAGCATAGATGGACTATATGCAGGACATTAAATGGAAAACCCTCCGGAGGGGTTCTCCAAATCTATGGATATCTATCAAGTCGACTCGTTACTGCTCGATTCTTTGACCTCGTCGCTGTGGTACTCAGGTAAAGAGTCGTTGCCGTGCTCTGTGAAAATAAATATAATGGAAATCACCACAGACAAGGCTGCTATGCCTGTACCAAAGTAGGCAGCAGCTCTGTAGCTTTGTAAGGTATCATTAGTTTTTTCGAAAACCTCAATTTCGACGGTACTTCCTATGGCCAAAAATAAGGAGACGGAGTAGTTGACCACGGTATTAACCAACGACCCGGCCATGCCTTGATGCTCCTTTGGCAAGAAGTCAGATAAAATTAAAGATGCAGCTGGGAACGAGAAATCCATTCCCCAGGTCAACAAGAACATCTGGCCAAACGAAAGACGCCAGAAGGTTTGGTCAATAGGAAGGATACTAAGGAAAATGAGACCACACATGAACCCAACCATGGCAAAAAAGATGATGTACGGGGCGTTTCTCTTTGAAATAAAGAACCCAACGATAAGTGCCGCAAAAACACCCAACACAAGAAGCGGTATATAAGTTAAAGCGGTATTAATAGGTGTATACTCTCTCAAGTTCAACATAAAGCTCCAGTAGTAGTACTGCCAGACACCAAACAGGCCCCAGCCGAGACCCATGCATGAAAGCACAAGACCCACACGGAAAGTAAAGATGCCTCGAGGTAAAAGGGGATGTTTGGCCATGTGAAGCTCGTAAAAGAAGAACAATGCTATAAGCAACACACTAACCACCAAAAGCACAATAATATATGCCGACAGCCAGCCATCCACGGGGCCCTGGTTCCAGACAAAATTAAATAAAATAAGAGCCACGATACCGAGAACAGAACCAATAAGGTCAAACTTCTCGTACGCTTCCTTCAACGTAGGCTGTTTATGTTCGAAGCCCTCGGGAATAGCATAAAGCGCAAGGCAGCCAAGAAGAAAGCATGTAATGCTAAGAAGCCAAAAAGCCCAGGGCCACCACCATGTCTGGGCCACCACACCAGCCATAAGACAGCCAATAGTAGCGCCAGCAGGAGCAGCAGCACCCACACAGCCAAATGCCAAGTTCTTACGTTTTCCATTGGGATAAACCGTACCCAAAATGCCCATTCCGCAAGGCAAGATCAACGCAAAGCCTATACCTTGGAAAGCACGGCATACTATAAAGAACTCCGAGGAATGCGAGTAGTAAGAGAGACCAGTAATAAGGCACCACAACGTGGCCCAGAACCAGCCGATAGTGAATATCTTCTTAAGGCCAAAGAGGTCGCCCAAACGGCCCGAAACCAAGATAAACGTGCCCAAAGTCAAGGCGTACGAGCCCATAAACCATACCTGTTGAGACTGGGGTATGTCTTCACCACGCAAGCGTGAAAACGACTCTGATATGACATTCATGGTACTTAAAGCCATGGCAATCGAGCCCTGGGACAAAAGCTGGCCAAGGCAGACGGTGGCGTTGAGCGCTAGTTCCTGGAGGCCCGAGGCGAGGATTGGGGGTCTTGGGTCGAACTTGATCATTGTAGCGAGGGAAGGATCAGTGAAAAGATGAATAAAGAAAGTAAAAAAAAATGCAAAAAAGGACAGAACGTGGCCTTATAAGCCTGGGAAACCGCTGGAACGCAAATCACCACCTATACGACAAAGCAAAACGTGTTGGTAGTAACAATAGGGAGGTAATTGGTTTAAGACATTGGAAAAGCCGTTAGGCATGAGACCCGTACCTCCGATGAGTTCGGGCCGAGAAGTGGTGTGGTCCCCCAATGGTGCAGTGGTGCACGGGTGTATTGGCTGCTACAACTGGTTATCTCTGGAAACCGGAACGAACGGTTATACGAGACATGGCGTAAACGAGGAGCGAGGGGGTTTTTGGGGAGCGAATTAGGGGTTAGGGTTTGTATATGGAAATGGAAAAATACTGTTTTATGTTTTTTTCTTTTGGGAATTCCGTCGTTATTCCGTCGTTCGGGCTGGTCATGAAAATGTGCTTATCTGCCGCGGTGCACCCGAAGAACAGTCAAGATAAGCATATGGAGTGGAACGCCAGGGCTGGTTGGATAAGGCAAGAAACTAAAAAAAAGATGCATATAGGGATTGTTGAAGGGCCTAAGCGACGGGATGTGAGCGATGTTAGTCATTGGGCTCTGGAGAGTTTGGAACTTTGGGGAAGTCAATTGGTGAGTGGTTGCAAATTGTGGACTGTGGAGTGTCCAGGTGAGACATACACTGGTATTGGTTGGAGAAGGGAAGAAGTGAAGGGATGAGAAAAGGGAGGTTTATAGGTTTGGTAATTTTCGTGTTGGCCAGCTTTTGCGTTTTATGGGCTTCTTTTATTTCGTTAAATTATTGGGGTGGTCTTTAGGGTGTGGCTGACTCGTTATCTATTCCATCACCTTGGGTAGGGCTCCATGGGGGGAGGACAGTTCTGGGCAGAAATGATTGAATTTACTGAAAAAAAGGATAATAGCTGATTAAGGGTATTAAAAGGAGTTCGCTTGTCGAGGTCTAACTGCTCAATCTATGGCTTGAGGGTGGAGGAGCAGTCCAAGTTGGCATACTTAGAAGCGACAAAATGACATTCTGTATCTCTCCTTTTGTGCCTTTTTCTTCCTTTCTCCCTTTCTAATAATCCATCTCTCTTGGCTGCTTGAAGTCTTCAGTCGTCTTCTGAACTACTTGAGCTTTCAATCCTCAGTTGAACCTCTCTGTCATTCTAAGAAGTAAAAATCACGAAGTCCAGCCAATTTCCCTTCACTTCTTTAGTATAGCTGCCATAAGTCATGAAAGAAACGTCAAATCAAAATGCAAAACCCTTAACAGCACAGAGAGACGCCAAACAGACCAAAACAAGTGGAGAGCCAAGAAGCGTTCCTCGTGCTTATAGCAAGCAGCTCAAGAAAACCATGTTTGAACCTCTGAACATTTTACTGCCACAAGCAAAGGAACTTGTTCTCGCAGATGTTCTAAAGAAGTTTGACAACCATCATGACTAGAAAGCAGCTTATGGTATCCGCTAAAAGGTATTGAGGCGAATTGTAGTATTAAGCACTGGTAGCAAGCCTCACACTCGTTTGCCGTCTAGGTGATACCACTAACCGGATTGAGGTTCACCAAATGCAAAACTAATACACCACAAACTTGATTCTAAGTGGCCAAGACAGACGGTAGAACCTTTTGACCAATAATCTCCCATAGTCACTGGAATACATCTATACTGGAAAAGCACTCGTACGAAGCGTACGAAATGTGCTTGTATCGTACCTCGTATGTGCCATTATAATCGACTATGACAACCTGCTAGCAAGCTTATTGCCTATACGACGAAAAAAAAAGGTCTCTCTGTTCACATCAACTGTTCTATGCCAAAGCAAGCCTCCACGCTTATCTTTTTCATCTATGAGACCCACAGTCAAGACACTGCAGATCCTCAGTTCCAGGTCAAACCAACCCTTCACTGATAGTGAGCCTCAGCCAGACAGTGGCACGTTCGCCACAGACGTCTCGCGTCCTAAACGATCGTTCCAGGGATAGCCCTCGAAGAATGCAGCTGCAAAGCGCTTCTAAGCAGCAAAAGAACGACAACTCATGCCTAAAGAAGCCATAGTTTCCAGATGTGGATGCGAAACGACTGTACGAGCCACATTTCTGGAACTTTGACACATTCCACCACACCCCAGAGAAGGAAGCCACGGTGAATCTCTGCAGCGCACGTGTGGCATCACCATAAGCTCTCTTGTTGATGTGGTGTCAGCAAAAGAACCATGGCTTTTGACTCACACGCGCATGGTCTCCACAAACAACGTAAACCATGGCTCTGAAACAGCCAAGTATCCACAAGTCAGTCTAAACCATGGCTTTATGCCACCACACTATATTCAGCTCTAGTGAAACACTGGAAGTGCCAGTAGGTAGTTGTCTGACTGTTGGATGAAGGAAGCATTGCTGATTCTGTTCTCGCCAAACTCCACCGGGCTCAATGCGTTATGGACAACCGTTTTAAGAAAAACCGTAGAATACAAGTCCCAAAGGGCGTTTTGAAGGTTTTCTGTGTCCAAGTCAGAAAGTAGCACGAACTTGTAGTTGGAAAGTGATTCTAGAAAGTGTACTCTATAAGCGCCCGTACTAAACGAACGTAGCAAGTTCTGTGAATCTGACGTGGCCAATTTCGAAGATAAGTTCTTGAGCGAGTAGATGAGACCAAATAGAAGCTTTGCAGTGTCTGAGTTGTTGTTCTTGTTCACGGAACCGAGGTTTGAGGAAGCTGACGTCGGAGGAAGCTGGGAAGACGACGTGTTTGTGCCTGGATTTTGTGAAGCATGGGCATACTCACGCGAGTAGATACAGCTACAATGCCTGTCGAAGATGTAGAAAGCGTAGATGGTCATTGGTGTTGGAAGGGAAGTTGGATTGGAAGTTGAAAAGGTGGAGTTTTGGCACGTGATAGGTCACGTGAGATACTTCAAAAATCACAATTCCATCCCGTACACCGTGTATTTCGTGGTGATGGCGGAGTTAGGGGACTGGAGTGACCAGAAGGGGTCCGATGTATCAATTACACTTACCCATTCCTTGTCTACTGGTCGTCTGGGGTACCACTCTTGTCCCACACCCGTGCACCAGCGAGGCGGTGATGATTCTGGACCAAAGGCACGGGAAGCGTCAGACAACAATACGTGCCAAAAATAAGCGAGGAAAGTTCGGAAGAAAGGGAGTCCAGAACGACAAGACCAAGTTCAAAAAATAGCTTACATAGGGGCAGCAACTCAGTGTTTTGCTTGAGAGGGGAATTGGACCCCAGAAATGGCTGCGAAAAAAAAAAAATTATGCGTTTACATGGCACTTCTCCAGTAGCAAGGCCAAGCCGTTGATTTAGTGGTACATTGGCAGCATTTCTGTTTGTATTTTTTTTTTGAATTTCTGTTTTGTCACTTTACGGGCACACGGAGCGAGAAGGTTGCCATTTGTGTCATTTTTTAGGAAAATTCTGGGGAAACAGCAAGGTCCATTGGTCAATGGCTGGTAGAGATAACGCATTGAGTGATTTAGGTCTGTATTGCTCAACAGAAATCAAAATAAAAAGATTAGAAATGGAAGTAGAAATAGAAACTAAACGGAAACCACGGGAACTTTTTGAGTCACTGTTTTGCCGATGTTTTTCTGTATTCTGTTTCCGCCCATAGACGACATCGGCTTGCCAGAACAGGTAACCTCGTCTAGACGGAAGCCTGCCAGATCGCAGATACCAGCAGCTACCAACAGCAAGAATCTGGCAGTAGCGGGTATAAGCAAGTGATTTGGGTAGATCAGCTGAAACAATAGCAGCAAGTGTAGATGTAGAGAACTAGGTGAAGGTATAGAGGCACAGAGGCACAGACAGAGACACAGACACAGACACAGGCAGAAGTGTTGATCTCGGGGTAAGTGACCGAGAAGCACTGGTTCTTGGCGAAGGCGGTCAGGAAGGTCCTGCCTTGGCCCTGCCTGGGTCTAAGATGGCTTGGTTGCCAGCCAGCGCTAGCGATTCTAGAATGCGCCGAGGCATTGTGTTGAGCTCTGGTCGGTGAGGTGAAGGAGATTGCATTGTCCAGCAGCGTTTGCTGCGTTTACTGAATGGGGCATGGAAAGCAACAAAATGGTGGTTATGGCGGCGAAAGACAGGTTAACGTAGGGAATGACCAGGATAGAGAATGGGCATGTAGAGGGTACGGTAATGAGCATTTTACAACACCACATTGAACAATTGCCAAGTAGGACCAAATACTGTGAAACGGGAAAAATCGTGGCTCCACAAACTGACCCTTGTCTCGGCACCATGATGTCTGGCGGTTTCAGGGTGTTGAGTTCTGGCCCTCACGACATCGCAGGTGTTTGCAGACATCGCCACAGAAGAACAGGAAACACAGGAAAGACAGGAGGGTGTAGAGGGTGTAGAAGATGTATAGAGAGAAGGGAGTTCCCCTGAGTCCTTTGCCTTGGAAGGTTCCAGAGCCACCACAACAAGTTGTACCAGAACCTTCCAGGGCTGCGCTGGCCAGCGCAGCCCACAATGGATGCAAAATCCACATTGCACGCCTTAGAAGCTTCTTTTTGCGTCCCTCCCAGGGCCTTCTATTTTTGTTCCCTCTTTGGGGACCCTACCCTTTCCCTCCTTGATTACTAAGAGGCATGTGTCAGCACAAGCGCAAACCCACCCATATTCTCTCCTCCCATATACTGAGCATGCAACTACATGTCTTGTCGTCTCAGGTGACACATTTTTTTTATCCAAACCGTTACCGGAGTCCAGTGATGCCTAGCCCAAGAAAGGTGCATTTGTGGCAGACCGAATGTCGCCCTGTAGGTTTGCAGTTTGCAGTTTGCAGCCGCCATGAGTCACAAACAAGTGTGGAGGGAATGAGACAGGAAAACCACCACAGCCAGGGCCACCAAAAAGGTCAAAAAACCACCTAAAAAATCCCCAAAAAAGCCCTCCCATTCACCTTCCCCGTAGATTCCAAATCCCCTAACAAAACACCAAAAAGTAAAAGTTTTATCCCCCCTCTGCCTTCCCCCTGCTATTTTCCTATGGTGGTTATGCCTCGCATTATTCACATTTTGCATCCATTTCCTCGCCTTTTTTCGCCCTCCTTTGCGCTGCCTCACCCATTTCCTGCCACTGATGAAGCTGTCCGAGCTCCGACCCACGGTGGGCTCTGGGGAGGCACTGTGCACGTGCGGTCTCGTAACACCCAACACTTTCCCAAAAAACCCTTACATTTTCCAGCGTTCACCACATCAAAAAGCATTGCCAATACTCCCAGCAACATTTCCCTGGTCCCAACTGTCTTCTTGGCTGGCCCTGCTGGTCCAGTGGTGGGCTGTGGTGGCACGAAGACACAGGCTTGGGGAACTGTGGACTGTGGTGGGTGCGAAAAAAAAGCGACAAGGTGCGGCGAGGGCATATTTTTTTTTTTTTTGGCATGCATTTTCGGTTTAAGTGTGGTTGCTTCAACTTGCTCATTGTTGCGTTTTTAGGTGTTTTTCCTTTGCGTGGGACATATATAAGGGAGACGACCCCGGATGATTTGGATACTGAAAATTTATTAATTTATTCAGTTTTGGCTAACCGAACTAAGGTTCATTACAGATAAGATACACTTTCACCGTGCGACACTTGGACTTTGCTGATACGTCTGAGTCACCTGCCTGCCTGCCATAACCACCACAGTTAGTCATTGACAGAGTCATTGACAGCCACGAATATTTGGATATTTAGGGTACGAAGTAAAGAAGGCTTCGTTTTGGATTTTGCTGGGTTTAACAACTGCAGCCGTAATATAACTTAAGCTCTGGTTTAAGTTTTTCAGATACACACTTTAGCTAAAGCTACAGCTTCACAGCTTCACAGCTTATATTTCAGCTTCACAGCTTCACAGCTTCGCTACGCTCAGCTGCTCAGCCGCTCAGCCGTGATGTATTCCGTCGACCAACCAAGAGACTTTGTCGACTACACAGACCTCGATATCGAGTCCGAATGGAACCCTCAGTACCAGGATTCTCCCGTACTCGAGGCTAACGAACCAGACTGGTTCGATGAATCCACTCCTGGCTCCCCAGCCGATGGTTTCATGTACGAATGTGCTTTCTGCCTCCATCAACATCTGCCCCTGCTGCCATGCAACGGATCCAACTACACATTTAAGCTCCCCCAACTGGCGCTGCATGCCTTTGGCTACGAGCCACCTGTGTATCGTCAGGAACCTGTTGAACGCAGCAACGGCATCATCCAGCTGAACTACAGAAAGTGGTTGGTGTCTGTGACACCCCGTTGAGCTGGCTTGATGGAGGTTGTTTATATTATAGAAGGTGCTTGCACTACATTGGGGTTTATTTGGAGAAGGTTTTTAGGTTTTTAGGTTTAGGATAATTTTGGATAATGAACACTATAGAAAGAATTTTTTTTTTTTGTAAGTGTGGCTCCGATCCATCGGACTAATGCAGAGAAGGTGTTTCTGCAAGGGTTCTACTGGGATCTGGTCCAAATAGGCTGGTTATGGTATTGCGATCACTCGGACATTCAAGTTATAAGCCCTGTTCTGGTTACAAACGTGAAGAGCAATTGTTGAATGAATGATGTAAACAGCAAACCGTGAATTACGTGAATGAAGGTTCTTTTTTATGGTTTTGACTGGGTTTGGCTGAGGTGAACCACACTTGAGTAGGTATTCTGAAAAGGGTAAATGACCATACATATCAAGCAAAGAAGATCAAAACACGGGTTTTGCCGGTATAAACGATATAGAGGGTTTTGTAAATTTTTATTGAATTCGTAGAAGGCATTTTTATGTAATTTCTTCGAAATATGGCCATCTTTGTTGAGATCGTGTTGTTCTGACACCACTGTGGCTCCCAGATGGCTCAAGACCAGTGAAAAATTTTTCTGCAAGCACAAAGTCGCTATACATTTTCGTGTTATTTTCCGAAATGACTGGTTTCTTGTCTAGGTAATATTCTGAAATGGCAAGACGTGGTATGTCTGTTATTTATGGTCAGTAGGTAAAGGATGGAGTAGCTGGTACATTCTATGAACTGGTAACGTTTAGGTTCTATGGAAGTATATTCTGATGTTTTGGAACCTTTGAAGCTTTTTTGGCTTACAGGAAGGGATTGGGCTCCGCTTGAATGTCAGTCATGGGGTCCTCTAAGAGTAGAATATCAATGTTCGTGGAACGCCATTACTCATGACATGAAGAGCGAAAGGAGAACAAGAGAAGACTTAGAATTACATAGGGAACCTTCTAATCAAATTGGAAGCATGGAAACTGTTCCAAATGCGTGGTTTACTAGTACATGTCATGTCCATACTTATGACAAACATGGAGACTGACACCACGAAGAACGTCTCCACTCAAGGAGATCCAACATCCATTGAACTCTCTCCATTCCCTCTTGCTATGGCCCTTACCACCATTCTATCTCCCAGATCTACGCCCACCTTTTTCGCTTAATGTGTATTCGTTATTTTGGCTTGTGCTAAACGTGTAATCTACTGGTCTCTCTTCTCCAAGTCGATGAACTTGCCACCGTTGGCAAATCTTGGGTGACGAGGGTCGTTGATGAACTCGTCAGTGTCTTGCATGGCACCAGCGGCCTTCCAGACCAATCCGTAGGTGATGGCAGCTGTTTGTTAGTAATTGAAATAAAATAAAGGGATAAACAGGGCATTCGAGTTTTCGGATGGACGTCTTCGAGCAATTGCAATATACGGAGATCGTGGATGGACATGATATTGGACTTCGTTGAACTTCCAGTTGAACTTCCTGTTGAACATGGTGAATAGACTGGCCATGGGGTACCCGGTCATCTCCACCATTTCCACTCAATTGGGCCAAATAGACCAAACAAAGCCAACCAGCCTCGTCCAGTCCACCCAGCCAACCAATTCCCACAAAAAACCAACTATTCATATCCATCCTTTGCACGTCCACGGATCCTCCAAACATTACTTGCCCCAGAGCTTCCACCTCATCCAATCAAAACCCGTGCCAGGCCGTTCCCGGCCCAGCCTTCGTCTTCACATACCTCCAGCGGCAAATGGCCAGTAGTTCTTCAAGATAGGAGTGTTGAATCTTGGAAGCATGGTGGTTTGTTTCGTTAAGGTAGTTAAACAGCTGGAAAGTTGGTTCGAAAAACCGCTTTCTCAGTGCGCACTGGTGGTTGGCCAATGAGGATGCTTGTCTGCAGAAAGGCAGAAACCCGACCTGGGCCAGGGCCCGTGGGAGTATAAATAGGGAGGGATTCCGGGAAAAGTGGGAGGAAGTTTTGCTTATTTGGGGTGATAGGGAATTGAGGTTGGTTTGTTTGTTTGGGTGGTTTTGGGATTTGGGGGATTTGGGGAGTTGGTGGTGGATGGTTTGTTCATGGGGGATTGAGAGCGCACGTATTTTGCAGCCATTTCGTGGGAAAGAGAGGGAGGGATGGAGGGAGGGAAGGAAGGGAAGGGGATTGGACAGTTTGGGAATGAAAGGACATTTGGATGGGTTTTAGTGAGGATTTGAGGATATCAAGCTTGAAGTATGAGTGGTTTTTGTGGTATGGAAAATGGACATATGTTGGTGGGTGTACTTTATGGCTGGCTAAGTGAATGTAGTGTTACTATAGTAGTATAGCTAGACACGTAAATCTTTCTTTTTGGGCGTTAAAAGAAATGGGTGGCTACGAAGACTTCTAAACGAGTCGATTAAGGAGATTATGGTAACTCAATTCGCTATATACAAATGGTCGGTGGTCCATATATCCATGTCCATTAGCCTTTCAATATCCCTTTCACAATGAAGGAATACGTTCTTCACTCCAAATTTCTTCGAACAGGCTAAAATAAATTCAATGCTTCCTTCGTTATTGTTCGTTTGTTCCAGCCCTTCCATGCAATTGCACGTAAGGCGATGCATCTTCACTTCATTATTTCATTCTTCGTTCATTATGCTGATCGACAGAAGCGAAGAAAAAATCTTCACTAACGCCTGCTTTCTGTCGCTTCATCATCCACTCAAACTCTCTTCTTCCTTACTATCTCAACGGTGATATCGTTTGCACCGCTGTGGAACCAGCATGGTAAAGTCGACACTGTGGGATCTTCCACTCTGATAACTTCCCTGTCAAACCTTTCATCACTCTTTCTCTCCCAATCTTTCGTCGTTTCAGGATTCCTATCGCTCCTGGCGATAACAGCGTACCTGGCTCCTTGGGCAAAGAAATCACCTAAAGTGTCAAGCAAAACATCCAAAACGCTAGGATCATAGATGATATCTGCTCCTAGTACTATATCGACGTTTTCTGGAGGGACTGTCTTGCCCCATAGGAACTGAGCGCATTCGATATTATGCTTTTCGATATCGTTTGTTTCCAATGTAAGAGGAAGCTTCTCCACAACTCCTTCGTCACCGTCAGTAATAATGATCTTTTTAAGGTTATGCTGTTGCCATTTTTTAGCCAAGGCAGCACCCACAAGACCCGTACCAGCTCCTAACTCAAGAACAGTACTACCGTCAAACTCTCCCTTAAAACGACCATCTGTGTTAAGCACAAACGCTAGAAGAAGCGCAGCGTTCCATGTACGAGCACCTGTAGTGCCCTGGCCTGATATGACCCGAGGAGTCTCTCGAATAGAGACCCAATTGGACGATTCGTCAATAGGGTACTGTAGAAGGTCTGGTGCAGTCGGTGGAAGCGGTCTGGACGATAGTAGGGAACAAAGGAGCTCATAGGGGTCAGTATCCAGCGTCGGAAGGGCCGATTGGAGGTTTGAAGAAGCCCTATCCCTCGATTCCAGGCCGTGACCACCCGTTTCAGGTTGATTTCCACTGGATTTTGCAGCCACCACTGGATCCTCCTCTGGGTCGATTCCCGCCACGGTTCCGTACTCTTCTGTCGACAAATCCTCCTCTTCTTCGTCTTCACCCCCTGGCAGTCTCTCCTTGCTCTCCTCTTTCTTCTCCTCCAGTTCCTCTCTCTTCTTTTCTTCCTCAATCAGCTTCCCTGGCCCCTCCAACCCTTCAGCAACCAAATCCACAGCGCCATCAACATCGCCACTAACAGCACCATCGGTATCTTCACCACCACCCTCCTCATCTTCACCCTCTGTCTCCCTCTCCAACCAGTCCACATACTCACTCAAGAAGGTCCTGGTATAGTATGGGTTCCTCTCGGCTATCTCGTCCACCACAGCCATCACCTGGCTCTGGGAAGCAGTCTTAAGCAATTCTGAATCAGCAAATATCTCTTTTATAAGCGCCCTCAGCCGCAATGCTGCTATTATTGAAGGCATTTTGGAAGAATGGTGTATTTGAGATGAGTGCGAAGAGGTCCAAGTGGACCAGGTAGAAGAGGGTCCCCACAGTCAGCCACGAGGATGAGAAGTCGAGGGGGAGGGATGTTTAAAGGTGTCGTGGTGTGGGAAGGGGATGTTAGTCTTGGTTGGGTGGACCTTTTGGAGAGGAAAAGGAGGAAGATTGGTGGTTATGGCTGGTGGGTTTGGCTGGTTCTACTGAGACTGGTAGAAGGAAGAAGGATGATTCTGTTAAGGTGGGTTGAGAGGTGACGGAAAAACAGGAATTCCGTTGCATGTAGAGATGGATCTTGAGAGAGGTGAGAGGAAACCCGGGGTGTTTATTGGTGGCGGTTGGTGGTTGGGGGTTGGTGGTGGCAGTGGCAGCCAATGTAGCAGTAGAGTGCTTAAGTATGGTGGGTGGAGGATGGAGAGAGTAGCTGCTAGGTTGTCCACGTTATTAAGGAAGGGTCGTGGAAATGGTACTGGGTGGTTCAATTTAAGTTTTAGGAGGTCAATTGATGTTTTATTTAATTGTATGGGCTTGTTTTTATGAAATGGGTGTGGCATGGTGGTCTTAGTTGGCTTACCATAGACAGTTGTATGGGTAGAACGTAAGTGGACCTAAACTACATACATACATATATAAATTAGGTTTCCGAAATAAAGCATTTTCGAAATAAAGGTCGGTAGATTACCCAATAATAATTCTTTTGCTTTATAGAATACGCTGTGTCTTCTTTGGTGGTAGCCTACTGCTCCTACAGTATAAATCATATATACCATCTGACTGGTATAAATCTTTAGGAATTTCCATGTAAAGAAACATCTTTTCGCTATTTTGCTATATTAAAGGATGCATAAAACATCCTTAGTTATAGAAACCAATTATAGCCCTAGTATACTCTGGTTGGTTACTGCTACCATCAGAGTCAAACTCAGTCTCTGAACAACCACCAACACAGACCAGTTTACCCTGAAACAACGACCTAGTGCTCTATTCTCCCATAGTAGCCTCTACTTGCCCCTCCAATCAACTTCCAGCCCACTTCTGTCCCATCTTAGTCCACCCGAGTCAGATCATTACTTGACCCAAAAGGGTAAAATGGCTGCAAAATCCTGCTCCTAGACATACCCTCTACAAAGTATACCTACACTATGCTTTTTTTTTTTTTTTTTAAATGCTATGGCGAGTGGCTAAATGCATTGGGACAAACCAGTGGCCCCAGCCCCGGTTCCTTCCTTATGTGTTCCTGGCTTAAGCAACGGTACCGAAGATTCTCAATCTCTTCACACCACCGTCTGGGATCATGGTCAACATGACATGCGTGTATGGGCCAGCCTTCTCGGCCTTGAACTTGAACTCCTCGTGTGGACCAGTCTTGCTGTCCTTGACAATGACCTCCCATTCGCTGGAGTCGAAAGCTGGCAAGCTCTCTGGCTTGGCCTCAGTGCCCTGTGGAGACTTGTAGCCCTTAACGTTCACCTTCTGTGGGAAGTTACCTCTGAAGTGGGCAGTGTCCACAAGAACCTCCTGGACGTTAGTCTGAGCACCCAACTTGATCATGGCCCAGTCAACATGGCCAGCACCACGAGAACGCTTGGTTTCCCAACCGTCTCCCATGTGCTCACCACGGCCTGGCAAAAGAAGGTTGTCGGCACTGGAGAAACACTGGTCCGAGACCTTGACGGCAACACCACCATTGCGAACCAGCGCCAGGTCGATCACGGTCTTTGGGTCCTTTGGCAAGATTGGAATCACTGTACCGTAAAGACGGAAACGAGCAATACCACCGTCTGGGTACATTCTCAAACGGAAGTGGGTGTAGTTCTCCTTGGTTGGACCACATGGACGAACGAAAAAGTGCTTGCGGCATGGGAAACACTCCACCTTGGAGATGATGTCCTCCCACTTGGAGTTAGGACCCACCTGGGAGTCGTCCTCGGCACGAACACCCTCCACCGAGATGAAAGGAGCAGCGTTACCGGTAAAGTTGGCAGTGTCAACTTCACAACCAACAATCTTGGCAGAAGAAACACCTCCCTTGAAGATAACCCAGTCAGCCTCCTCAGTGTTGTGTCTTCTGGTCTCCCAGCCGTCAAACCACTTACCAGTGTGAACAAACTTGGTTGGGTCAAACACAACAGGAGTCGACTTGATCATGTTGGCGGCAGGAGCAAAGTACTCGTCAGAGAAGCTCAACACCTTACCTCCAAGCTTGTCGCCAATGACATCGACGTAGTTGGAGACGATCTCTTTCTTGAACTGTTCTTCGGAATAATTCTCAGGCATGGTGGATGATGGAGTAGATGCTTGTAAATGGGAATTGCTAGCAGCGTGGAGAACGGAAAAAGAGGTGGGAAATGGTGGCCTTTTATGTTGATGGTGGAGGTGGTGAATTCCGTGGGCGGCATCTGCCGATAGGCAGAGAGTGGTAGGCGATATGCGACTCTGTCGCGGAACCTGGAGGATGGACGAGCAGTCAGACTAAGAGAAGTCAGGTTAGAGAAGTCAGAAAATTGGCAGAAAAACGTGGACAACTATACTGAAGAGCTGACTCTGATGCCGCTATGTTTTTGACTGCTCAGGGTGTTTGGGGGCCCTTGATGGTGGATATCTCTTGCTGAGCCCTCTGGACTTCCTCAATTCCGCGGAATGGTTGCCTGTTTGGGCACGGGTTCCGAGAAAACGGCGTCTTCTGGAAGCGGAACCATCTACGTGTTTCAGGTGAGGCAAGGGTGTTTTTTGGGAATATGGAAGAGGAAGAGAAAGAGGAGGAAATGACTTTACGTTGGTGTTTACTGGTTAAGGAAGGTGACCTGTGGAAGGTCAGTTTTAGTGGTTTTTTGACACAATGGCTGCGAAAACCAGAGAAGGGAAAAGAGGGGGAGGAGGAAGCTGGAGAGATGGAAAGGTAAATGAAGAAAGAAGTTTGGGTTGAAAGATATTTGGTCTCCCACTGTTTAAGTGTTGATATTCTCTTCCCATTCCTTTTCCCATTTTCAATTATCTTAACTGGACCTTTCAATGTCTGTCTCTTCCCTCTGTCTTCCGTATATGCTTCCTGTCAGTTCACTGCAGTATTGGCTGCGAAAAATGGTGGTGTGTTTTGGACTCTTCTTGGCTGGTGCAAGAATAGATGGGTTTCAGGCAGTTCCGCTTGATTCCGTCCCTGGGGTTGGAAGAGGTTTGGATGGAGACTTGGATGGTTTTTGGGTTGATGGAGGAGATGGAGGAGATGCAAGGAATTGGATTGAAGAGTCAGTAGAGAGAGAGGGAGGGGTAGAATGGGTGGAATGGTAGTGGTGGGTTTATTGAAGGGTGTTAAGGAGGGAAGGTAAGTTGCTGGGTGTGGTCAATTGAGTTGGGTGGGAAGAGTAGGTGGTGGAGGAGGTGGTGGTGATAGTAGTATGACTAGGTGAGTTATAATACAAGTGTTACAGTGTCAGTGGTATTTTTTACTGAGTTCAGTGAGAGAATCAGATTGAAGATATGTAGTGGGTAGCTTGTAATTGTGAAATGACTCTAGTTGCTAACGGTTAAAGACGAGGGCATTGTCTTGACTACTGGGTTATAGATATGGTTATTGGTAGGGGAAAGGAACAGTAATCAAGCTGATACGCAAATATAATAGTGTAGTAGCACTTAGAGGAGAAATTTAGTGTTGAAGTGTTCTTGTGGAACAACTTCTAGCTGAATTAAATTGACTATATTGCCTTTGTTCCTTCTCGGGACCCTCGGAAGCCTTGACGGTAGTTTCGGCTACTCAAGTACCCCATAAGGGAAGGAGGGGGAGAGAAACAAATGGCAGTTAAAATAACATAAGCCATTGAAGGGTATTGGACGTAAAATTAACCAACTTCATCTAACCTGAAAAAGTCAGCAGAATATATAACTAAATATTGAGGTCTAGCGGTAAGAATAGCAATTCCACAAGTTGTTATTTTTTAATTTGTAGGCTACTAGAAGTCAAGCCGTATGCTTCTCTATTTCGAAATTACCTTCACTTCTACGAATTCAATTGCCTTCATCCCCAGTTTAAATATACAACCCATCATTTCCTACCCATACATTCCACCTCCCCCTCCACCTCCCCTTCCACCCAATCCCTGCCATCAATTAACCTTTTTCGCCAACCATTCTCCCCCATTCCTTCGCCCCCTCCTTAACCATCAAGCCTCTTCCATTCATGGGTTCAAAACCGCCAAAGCGAAGAACACTCAGTACGTTGACTAGCAGATCCCATGAAGATCCCAGAACCACCTTCCACTATACCTCCAACGCCAAACTACCAAACTACCAAAAACTCTTAAAACACATCTCTTCTTCAAAACTGGCTTTTCCACTCTTCTTCATCATTCACGTCTAAATCTGCAAGACGCCATAAACACGAAAAGACTAATTAGGGCTCGTCTCGAAGAAGATCTCGCTTAGCGATGGGGACCGCCAGGTCCCCAACTCCCCAAAAACCAACCAAAAAAAAAAAAAAAACCACCGCTAACCAAGACCCTTCAATCCACCCCTATAAGTAATACCAGCCAATTCCCTCTTTCCCTCCTTCCACTCCCCTTCTTCAACCATTCCATCTTCTTCATGTCCAGTGGCTGCGAAAAACATGCATGTCTGAAACTCAGACCACTTGAAAAACACGTAAACAGAGGAACCTCTGGGGAATAAACAGAGCCTTGTTTTCCAATTGGCCGGTCATTTTGAACTCACAAATCAGCCAATAACTCAAAAAGACCAAAAAATCCATAAAACCAGTAAAAAGCACCATCCTTTTTATTCACCTTCTTCACCTAGCCCAATACCGAGGGTACGCCACTTCCGAGGGCCACCACCACCAATCAACCAATCAACCAATAACCAATCAACCAATAAACTAATTTCCCAAACTACATCCCAAACTCATTCCAAACTCATTCCAAGTGAAATTCCCATAATTAAGCCAATCCCTATAATCCTCTAAATCTGCTTTCCCTCTACAAGCTCCATTTACTGTACTTCCCAACGCTGCCTGCGACTTCCTGTTTGGATGAAAACAATAACATCCAAATAACAAGCAAAGGCCCAAACCACACTGACATATTTTTCCCTTCCCATATTGACCTTCTGCCAACGGTGAAAACACCTGCCTCCCCACGTTCCTTACCGCCTTTCCAGCCAATCCTTCAACTTTCCCTCCTTTATCCACTTTCCCTAACCTTCCTGCTCCATCGCCATGGACCATGACCTAGCGTCGCCTCGTCGCCACGAACTACTTTCTCCAAGGGCATCCAGATCACCGCTAAGACTGATGAACACTCCACAGAGGGGGGCGTCGAAATCGCCGTCGAAATCGCCTTCTAGGGCTCCGCCTATGGAACCGGCACTGCCGCTACAACAACGACAACACGAGTTGGTGGCTAAGCATAACTCGCTAGCAAGAGAATACGCTCTGCTTGAAGAAGAGCTTGTGAAGAAGACTACGCTCGTGGACGAGCTCTCTGTGAAAGTTGCAAACACTGAACGGGTCATGAAGGCGCTTCAGGAGGAACGCCGTAACGAGCTGGCTCTTTACGAGAAGGAAATCGCTTTTTATAAGGATACCATTGCCGATTTGCAGCGCAAGTCGCTGCGGTACCTCCAGCAGCTTGAGCACGGCCGGTCCCAGTCTCACCAGGTGTCTCAGGAACTGGACGATAAGTATGCCAAGCTACTTAAGTCGGTGAAGGCGCTCCAGCTGGACCTTGAGCTTGAACGGAACCTGAAGGCTTTGCTTATAGACCAGATTGAGTACTTGACGAAAGAACGGGACTTTTTGCTTGAACACGGTGCTGAAAACTCGGCGCCTGCTTCTAGAGTTGCCTCGGGTTCCAGTGTTTTGAGGCACGAAATCACCCCAGCCGACTTTGAAGACGAATCTGATGGAAGCGTCCACGGCAGCCACATGCTCAGCAGTCTAGCAGACGAATTGGTTGAGGATGACGATTATGCATTAGAGACTTCCTCGCCAATAAAGAGCCCAGTCTATAAAGAAGATAACTTCATGGACGTCGCTAAGAACTTCCAGTTCCCTCCTTCTCCTGAAAAACTTCCTCCTCCACAATCCTCCAGGCTCCCGCCTTCGCCTGACTCAAATGTCAATGAAAAACATAAATCCCTCCCTATCCAACTTAAAGACCAAGAAGACTTTGTGCTTTCGCCTATGAAATTAACCAGCAACGCCAATGGCTACTTCGACCACGATGTATCGCTACCTAGCCGGACAGCCAGCACATCCAAGAGACATCTGTTAATTAAACCAAACCACTCCAGATACAATTCCCATGACTTCATGCCCATCAAGGTGGAATTTGAACAGCAGGATCAACTGTACAGAAGTGCTTCTGCACCATCCAAGGAACTTTTAAACAATCTCAATGAAGCGGATGAAGACCAAGGAGGAGATCAAGCCGAAGCGTTCCGTAAGCTTCAGGGGCTCGAGCCTTCGAAACGTGACTCTTTACTTACGTCTTCTTCCAAGCGTTCTAGTTTGTATACGGATCTTAATATTCTGAGCGGTGACATCACGAAACAGGAGATTATGAAACTCAAGTTTGAGTTGCAATCTCTTAAATTGCATAACGAGAAGCTTCTTTCATACATTGGCTTTGAACTTCAAAAGCAAAAGAAGAATATCAAGAAGCTTTCCAGCAGAAGCAATCTTCGTGGCAACGTGGAATATTCAGATGCCAAATTGATAGAGAAACTGAGAGACATGCTTATCCAAAAGAAACGCGTGCTTCGGTCTGTATCCATCAACCCTATTCTTTCCACGAAATTGGGTATGGCCAATAAGCCTGGACTATTTGATTCGTCTTTAGGTCTTGGTCTTGCTCAAGCACCACTGGGTGAAGAAGAAGAAGATGATGACTTTGTCTTCAAGAGCCGATTCATCAATTCAGTTGCCGATGGAGATTGTGACAACTACGGGTTCCTAGCACACCACCGCAAACAAAGCCTGAGGCTCTTTTCGAATCATACCCAAGAGTATCTCAACGAGGTAGATGCCAAACAACCCAAGAAGGCCAAGTCACAAACATTTGCATCTCTGCTTGCTAACGAAGAAGTCAGCTTTTCTCAATTCGAAACTGACTGGGAGCATACAGTAGAGGATAGCATTGACGGGGATGAAGAAGAAGAAGACGATCTATGGGAAGACGATGCTGGCAGTGAAAAATCGTCCAGTGGAAGTGAAATCGACTACGATAAACTCAACACGCTAAACCAGCTCCGATATCTTATCATGGGCAAAGAACATTTCCGCAAGAAACGCCGAAGTCTGGAGGAACCCTTGGTGGATGAAAACTTGAAGTACAAGTTCCTCACGGTGGTTATTGGTATCACCGTCCTAGGGCTCCGATTCACGGCACATCCTCAGCAGCATAACTAATGATAATGAACTATAAGTACCCCAGAGGTTTCCAGAGCCTCTACCAGTCCATACTAATAATGATCATAGACTTTCTGGTGTAGCTCTTACATGTTTTAGACTTTATCTGCTGATGTTTATACGATAATTTCACAGCACTCGATGACCAAGATTGTCCAATCTAGCAATATTCGCCAAAACAGCCCGCAAGTTCCCCTTTGAATAGACTTTATGCTCTGCTGATCTGGCTGCAAAAATGTCGTATTATAAAAGCCCCACCACACGTGGCTCAAGGGCCTAAACAAACCAACTAAGCCTGTTGTATGATAAAGAGCAACCTTTTCTATACGACCAAACACCTTTCTTCCGTAATCTAGAGGTTTTGGGTGGTTTGACTCGAGGTCTGCTGAGGCAGCCACGACATTGTCGCAAGCTCAGGCAACCCACTATGGTAGTAATCAGAGTGGGCTGGTTTGAAAGCAACTAGAGGAAGATAATAGTGGTTTTCTGACAGCTCCTGATTGCTAAAAGGCGGTGTTTCATTGGTTTCGTGTTTGAGGTACGAGCGTCTTATCGTCTGCTGTCTGAGGCCATGGAGACATGAAGGCGTGGCCAAAGCAAGGCTTAAAGAGGTAGAAGGTTAAGGAGGCAGTTTTGAGTGGCTACAGTTTCAAGGGGTGGACATAAGGCGTGGACGTTTTGGGTAGATATTTGTGTCGTTTACTTGCAATGTGTAGTTGTGGTGTGTAGTTGTGGTGAGTAGTTGTAGAAGTCCTATAGTAAGAGCAAGCAGTACGCTTCCTTGAGTAATCCATGAAAACCTTATTCCTACCTTACCAGAAGAGCAGCTTGTATCTACAAAGACTCAATATCGGAAAACGAAGATCAGTTTCTGAAGTTTTACCAAATAGACTACACAGGCGACGTAGCTCCACCCAAGAGCATACCCTACAAAGCGTAGCAACCAACAACGAACCAAAAATCACCCTACCATCCCAGCAACCGTATAGTTACCTCGTCAACTAAAGAAAAAGAAAAAGACCAGAATCCAAAAGCATATATCCACCCATTGACATCTGAGAACATACGAGACTGAAGCGCCATAAGAGCCTATGCATGGGAGGAAGAGTAGATAAGAGAGGAAGAGGGAGAAGACGAAGAAACAGACAAAAACAACGATCTAGAACTGAAAGTAAAAGTAGAGAAAACCAGTAAGAACCAGAAAATCCAGTAAAAGAGGTGGTTCGTACTTTTCCTGAGTCAACCCACCTCTTCCTCTTCCACGTCTTCTGCTTCCTCTACTTCTATATCTGTCACCTGCTTCGTTTCCATTTTGCACCCAAATGAGCCTCACCAGAACCAACCAACCCTCCACCAACATCCCAAAAAAAAGCCAAAAACGACCATACATAAATTCCAAAATCACCCCAATCTCCCTTTTCTCCTTCTTTTCCCTTTCTCCTTTTCCAAACTCCCCTCCCCTCTCTGACACTTTCGTTTAGACTGGGCTGCAGAAATCAGGCAATTCTGCCAGGCGGGTTGTTCTTTTTTTTCGCATATATAACCGCAGTCTCGGACGCTTGTCTTTTTCTGGCTGCGATTGGCTGCAAAATAAACACAGTGAACCATGGCCCTTCGGAACTATCTTTATGCAAAACACTCAGATACTACTCAGGCAGTTTTGATCAACAAATCGCAAGCGTTGCCGCCGACTATGAGGTTTCCAAGAAGAGCGTCGGTGCCGAAACCGGTGAAGCAAGAGTGTCCTCCAGAGAGGCAGTTGGTGCTTGACGATGGGACTAAGAAGTGTGCCAATTGTGCTGATTGTCCGAGGAAAGTGGACCAGGTGAGTCCGCAGGTGGCCGTGGAGGTGGATGAGGTGGATGTGGAGAGGTTGAAGTTGGAGGTGGACTTCACGAATAAGCAGGGTCTCTGAAGAGTGGGCTCCGAAGGAGACCGCTCTGAGGAGCCGATAAAGCAGATCCGTAAGGAGCTGCTTTGAGGACTGCTTGGCAAAGATATGGAAAGCAGATCCGCTAGGAGCTGCTTTGAGGACTGCTTGGGTAGAGATTTGGACAAGCAGATCCGTAAGGAGCTGCTTTGAAGAATGCTTGGGTAAAGATATGGAAAGCAGATCCGTTAGGAGCTGCTTTGACAGATCTGAAGAGAAGATCCTCTAGGAGCTGCTTGAAGGACTGCTTGGACAAAGCATAGAAGAATCGATGAAGCAGATCCTCTAGGAGCTCCTTTGAATGGTGCTTGAATAACCGCTAAAGCAGAACCGTTAGGGGCTGTTTTGAGGACCGCCTTTGACAGACTTGATGAACCGGTAAAGCAGAACCGATAGGAGCTGCTTTAAGGGCTGTTCTTAACAGGCATGAAAAGAAACAGGGCTGCTTTGAAAACCTCTGACTGAGCTGAAGAAGATATCCTCTAGAAGCCGCTTTGAGGAGTGCTTGGGCAAAGTACTGATAAAGCAGAAACCAGATTTGCCGGGAGCTGCTTTGAGGAGAATTCTGAGTTAAGATCGAAGCCGTCGTCCAATATGATCTCTCCACGAATACTACCCATGGAAAGTCCCTGGTGGAGGTCTAATGAAAAAGGTACTGATACGGAAGGGCGCTACCTTCGGAACAGCTTATGGAATAGAAGAGTGCTGGAAGAACTGAATTTGGAGGACTGCTTTTGATACTTACTACTTGATAGTGCTGATCATGAATTCGCTGGTTTGAGTCGATTAAAGGAGGGCTCTGAGGAAATTAAAGGCTTTACACCCGCTATCTCCATTTCATTGAACCATCAGAGTACCCGATAAGGCCTTTTCCATGAAAATACTTTTGAGGTCCGCTCATTGAGGTTATCCCCTCCAGAAACCAAGGAATGATGGCGGGCACCCACGATAAAGTGGCCCCCTAGGAGGACCAAAAGAATAAAGTTCATGAAGACTTCAGCAAGACCTACTACCAATTGCCCTCTGACTCCAAGGAACTCCATAAGCGAATGCTGAGCGGCGTTGATCCTCTAATGCATAAACGATTACCAGGCACATCAGTGGAGTATCAGACAACCAGTCATCGACTGGAGAATGCAACACGACATGATAACTGATGTTGCAGGACTTTTGTCATACCTTGCCGACACTAACTGAAAGTCTTCAAGAACCTAGCACCCTTTCACCTTACCTGGCTATGAGAGCCTCCCACCAAATCTCCCAAACCCGTTTTCCCTGATGGCAAACAAACAAATGGCGTTCTGTACCTGAACGACCCCAACCTATTTAATACTGATGAATTGAACGAAATTGAAACTTATACCCAGAATCATCTGAGTTGCACAGACCCACACCATACCACAATCTGCACCTCTTTCTATTATCTCTCGTATTTAAATCGTATCATATCTCTTAAAGCATAATCTTGTTCCTTTCCCACATCTTTCGCTGGTTATTCCAGATCTCTTCGCTCAGACCATCCTGGTTACCCTTATGAGATTGGTTGTTCTGGTGAGATTCTAGCTGCTGAGGCTGACTTTGATGGTTCTGGTACCGAGCAAAGTCATCGCCGCCTTGTCTTCTCATGAACATGTTATCTAGAATCTCGCTGTTACCCAGTCTGCTGGAGCTCTGTTGGCTGAAGATATTAGGCTGAGGAAGCTGCTGGCCCAATTGCAGAGGGACTTGAGGAACCTGGGGCTCCAAACGTCTTCTTTTCTGGCGTGGTTTATGGGCAAACTGCTGTGTGCTCGATAGAAGCTTATGGTCCAGAAGAAGCTTCTCATTCTGGGAAGAACCGTCTGAGGCAGCCACAGCGTCTTCTTTTCCAGAAGAACGAAGATCAATTAGCCGTTCGCTAAGAAAAGACGATTTAAACTCATGGTACATCTTCACCGTCTGGGGTATTCGTATTGGTGTTCGTTAAAGAACTCATCTGCAACATTAAACAAGAACTTCTCGATATCAGCAGCCGTGGCCACCTTATTTGGACCCATCGGTAGGCTCATTGCCGTGGCTAGGGAATTGGAAGCATCGTTTTTCCTCTGCGGCAGCTTTCTCTCCGTATATGAGTACTGGGTCTGGAAACTAAGCGTATCTTGAGGTCTAAACTGAGAGCTCTTCTTATGCTGCTGTCTCCTCGAAAGATGCTTCTCCTGTTCTGGCAACTCGTTTTCCAGATCTGTAGACGCCAGCTCGTTATCAGAAAACCCTTCTGACGCGTCCGACGTGGCCAGAGGTTCAACTAGTAACCGTTCATTCGTAACCCTCGTCAAATCAGCATTCTTCAGGCCCTTCTTTCGTAGAAGCCCGTGTCTCTTCTTAAACTGGCTCAACCACCCGTGACTAAACGATACAAGCCGTTTAGGATTATCCACTCCAAACTGGTGGGCATACACTTGCCAGTAGTCTCTAAGCAAAGGCTCAGTAATAGCCTCGTTCTGCTCCATCCGCTGCTGCACCAAAAGATCCATGGCCCGGTTGATCTTATCGTACTTATAGCTCGACTTCCGTTTCAGGTTTTTCTCAAAACTGCTTTCCAGCAGCTTGTACCGTTCTCGGTACTCGTCTTCTCTCTTGACCCACTCGTTAAACGTCAGTGTGGAAATGGCAACCATATCCTTGAACTTTTCCACGGTATCCAGCTGGGGCCGGTCGGACGAGTGGAAGTAGTCGAGTATCTTTATCTTCTGTTCTAGCGTGGCCCGAGGAAGCCTGCCTCGGTTCTTCATGGTCACTGGTGGAGGTTTGGTAGTAGTTGGCTGGGACTGGATATGTCTGGGGTTGAGATGGCCGAGATGCAGGGACCACCCAAAGGAAGGTTATACTATTTGGTGGAAAATTGGTTGAAAAAGTTGTTTTTTGTTGGAGGGTTGGTTGGTTTAGGGTTACTGGAATTGGAGGTGTTTTTTGGGTGGTTTTTTTGGGGAAGTGGTGGGTTGGTGGTGAGTGTTGGTGGTGAGCGAAAGGGAAGGTATGCCATGGTCAGAGGGGGAAGAAAAGACGAAAGGAAGTGGAGAAAGAGATGGTTATTTGGGGATTTTAGGGGAGGAGGATTTCGGGGGATGTATTATTGGGATGTTAAAGGCACTTTTATGACCTTTGTGAATGGCTGCAAATGGACATATATCGTTGAGCAGATAGTACTGGAAAACCACCAAGGGCAAGTAAACACGAAATATAGACTGTACTAGCCAAATCGCCATTTTCGAAGATCCAAATGTTTCGATGGAAGGTGTATTTAGGTTCGTTTCTGGTGCATTTATCTGAGATGCCTGGTAAGACGCTTTCTATTGGACCAGTCCACCAGATCACCTCCAGCCCAATTCCATAACCCAATGATAACCCAAGTGTCCCCCAACTTCACTATTCAATCCGCTTAACCTCTTAAAATACCCCCTTGATACTCCTTCTTCGACCCTTTTGTGACTTCACTGGACCTTGTTTGCTCATCACCACCAATTGAGGTCTCTTGCACAGCTAATCGTCTCAAATTACCCAGAACCCTCTCTTCTACGGCCAACGGCATCTTTCCCATCCTACTTCGTTTCAGTAACCAACCCTTCTGGTCGGCTTAAAGTGTATTTCTTACTTAGTGGGAGCCAGCAGCTCTGGAGACCTTCTCCAAAACAGACTCGTAAGCAACCTCAGAGAAGTCAGTACCCTGGATGTCGGTGGAAACACCGTTCAAGGCTCTTCTCAAAGCATCCTTGGAAGAAGCGTAAACCATCTTGGATCTGATAGGAGCGGTGTCTGGAGACCAGGTGAAGAAAACAATCTTGTTTCTCTTACCCTCACCGTTACCAATCTCGTACTCAAAGTCGTAGATGGCGTACTTACAGTCGTTCTCTGGCAACTTCTCCAAGAAAGCATCGTAGTCGGCGTCAGTGGAAGTCTCCTCGACAACAATTTCGGTCTTGGACTCGTTCAACTTGTAGATGATAAACTTGTGCTTCTTGCCCAACTTCAAGTCGTTGAAGGCCTGCAAGGATTCGTCAGCAACGGCAACACTATTGTTAGTATAAGGAGGGTCACTTTTAAAATTTCCTCATTCAGTATTAGACGTACCCGGATCTGGACTGGTGGAGTTAGTAAATAAAAAAAACCGTTTCTTCAATTTGTACCCTGGTGGTTATACCAATTGGTACTGTTCTTCAAGCTTTGCTGTCACATACCATTGTGTATTCTGTGGAAAGTAATGTGTTTCTGGTGAGTGAGTATAGGTGTTTTTTAGCTTCGTCCAAGAACACGAGACCTTCCAAGTGTGTACTGCAGGTAGGCACGCTTCCAACACTATATAAACCGGCCGATTTCCCCCATAAAAAGCTGGTTTGGAGGGTTTTTTGGGGTTTCAGGTTCCCCAAGTTTCCATACTTACCACTTGTTTTTTTCTTTATGTTGGGGTGGCCTGGCTTTGCTGGGGTTCTATGTAATGTCCTGCAGAGGTCACAACCAGGGGACACTCGCCAGATGTAGTTATGGTTGCGAAATCTACTAATACTATTTGGTGGTGTTGGAAGGAGGCTTAAGGTGGGCGTAGAGGCGTTGGATTGGCGTTTTTAAGCTTTGAAAATGGGGGTCTTTGCCGTGGAGATGAGTGTTGGGGTTTTTTCCTGGTCAATTTTTGATGGTTTTTGGACTTTCTGGGGATGCACTTACTGAATGTTGTCATGAACTGTCTACAAAGGCTTCAATTGCGCTTGTATTAATCCAAATAAAGTCCATGGCTCGTTACTTAGGCTCTAGTGACGTGAATTTTATTTTGCTGGTGCCATCCAGTGTCTCTCGGCATAGCAGGAAGCCGATATTCCGAATAATCACCTAATTGGCCCATTCCAACCTGGAAAACATCCTTCGGCTTCCTCAAGTTTACTCAAATGATGTAGCCACGATCGCCAATGCCAGGATCTGAATTGCTTGTTTCTTACGGTCTTCTGCATCGTAAGAGCTCCATTCTCTGTTATCTCTGTCTTCGTCATATGGGGAGTCGACGATCCACCAACCAGAACGATAAACACGGCATTTACATCTTCTTTAACATAGTGACCCCTTTCTTGCCGTGGCTCTCTTCCAAATAATAACTGCGCTCATCTTTAGACCACCAAAGGTAGGAAAGTATTCCTGGACTTTCCTCCAGAGGAAACACACGTATATATATTTGTAACCTTCCGTTTCTCGCCATTATACTAGCCTTTCACACGATATGGACTCCTTCGTTGTATTTGAAAAGAAAAGGACCAAGCAGGACAGTCTACAACCCCTTCAGAGGTCACCAAGGCAGTCAAAGAAAACCGTTCCAACTATCATTCTCAAGAAAGCAAGTCGTTTAAATTGAACGCTGATTACTCTTTGGTGATAACTAAATTTTTATTTGCAGCAGAACCCAGTCATGAAAAACTGAAATCAAGCCCAAACAGCCTGTCAAATAGCTTTTTGAGGCTCGCTCGTCTTGCTGAAGGTGTTTCAGCCCTTGGAACGGGTCCACTGCCCTACTCTACATCCTACAAAGCCATGTATCACGTTTATCACAGAACATTAGAGATGTTTTTCCGTCCCCGACCTCAGAAGATAAACCCCATTGAACCAACTCCAATTTATGCAGATTATCCGAATCCGACCTATTTTAGAAGAAAACCAGGGCAACCACCTCCTCCGCCTCCTGGCTTAACAACCCAGGAAGAGCTTTGGCGAGTTCTTCAATGTAATTCACATAAACCTAAGCCGGATATTAGAGGGGGGCCGTTAGTGATGATAGAAGACAAATTCTTTGAATACAAGGTAGATGTATGCCCAATGACATCGACAATCTACCTTCGAGAGCAATATTCAGCTAAGAGCTCTCATTGTCTGGGGAATTTATGCTTAAAGCTCAAGAGTGAATTTATATTAAGCACCGACGTGGTGGACCATGGGGCCCATATTGTGAGTACACCTGCTTCAGTACCAGATTTTCTTGACCTTGAGGTTGAGTATTCCCGGAAATCATGTCTTCCTTTCTCCAAAGGATCAACTAAATGGCCTTCTGGTATTATGGTTCTCTGGCTTACAATAGAGTTACAAGAACTTACAAGTTGTATGGCTTGCGAAGAAGGCTCTTTTTCATTCAAGGAGCCCAACAAAGAATTGAGAACGATGATGCTACTCGACAGACATGATATAACTGGAGTGGATTTTAAATGGCTTAACAAAACAAAAGGCTCTTGGAAAATATCTCATGATTCATACACATGTATGTTACCTGAATTAGGACCAACATTTTTTTCAGAGAGATTGATGAGAAGCTATGGCATTAAGATTACCGTTGGTGTTAGAACGAAAGAGGAAACTGTCATCGAGCTTAGTTCCTTTATGGAGATTTCCGTTGGAAAGATAGCATGCATGGAAATCGCTAAAGATTCTTTCAAGCAGCGGTATTTTTACATTTTGACTCCTTTGCAGCTAGCTTTATCGGTAAATGCCAAAATTGACAGGTGGGTTGGAAACCGACCATGGACCTATCCACGTATGCTTCTTGATGACTTTCTTCGTCTTTCAATCAAGTTTCCCATTAGGCTTGATCAACCTTTTCTGGAACAATACATTCACTTGAAGGTGATGAGAATCAGAGTCGTTCTACTAGTATTGTGGGGGAGATATGAAGTATGCCCTGTAAAACAGCGTGTGTCACAAAACTTATGGATTGTTCAAGGTGAAGAGCATTTGTCCGAATACTCTGATATTAGAATACAGCCAAACTCGGCTTTTCCGATATCTTATCTTTTTGAAGACATGAGATTAACATATGCAAGGGGCAATTTCGCTTTTAGAAGTCCTCCTACGGGGTTCGCCCTCCTAGTATCCCTTGCATATTTGGACAAAACAGAAAGCAAGCTTCATTTCTTACAGGACACTTTACCGATACATGTTGAAGATCACACTCTATACCGTGGGATTTCTTGAATAACTTGTGACTTTATGTTAAGGTAACAGGATGCTAGGTTTATTTCTCGAGGGTATCTTTATTGGGTCTATTCAAGTCTAGAACCAACTTACTTTCGGCAAGATATGAGTCTGTACCAGTGTTACTACGATAAATTTCGGAAAGATAAGAAACATTGATAAGCTTTTTATAAAGAAATGGTGAATAACCTTTATGTTGAGTTGAGCTCCAAATTTATCCTATAAAGTAGGTCCATGGCCGCGAAAGATAATGGAAACTTAATACCGTTCTCCCATGGTGTACTGCAATAGATAGTGACATTTACTGCCTTGGTGGCGGTCTGAGTTGTGGCGGTTTCCGTCTGAGTTGTGGCGGTTTCCGTCTGAGTTGTGGCAGCTTTCACGGTACATTTTGTTGGAGATGGACAGATTTGAGCTACAACAAGACCGACACAGACAACGATAAGGAAGATGCCAGCCAGCAATAACTTGATCCAAGAGGCTTTCCTATTCGATTCTTTCCTGGCTTTAGTAACTTTTGCGAGATGCCTAGCTTTAGCTTCAAGAATAGCGCTACCACATTCTGACCTTATTTCAAGCTCTGCTTTTATCCGCTCTAATACAAGGTCTTGCTCTCTCAAGCTACGATGTTCACGGTGTGGATGGATAAATGGCCGGGTTTCACTATGAATAAGAATACTCTCTTCAATAGGGTTATCATTATTTCGACAGTCGGTGATGGTTACTTCATACTTAGAATCCCCCAAAGACTTGCATTTGATGGACAATTCCCTAGCTTCATCTTTATTGATAAGACCCATAGCACTGTTGTTTGGCTCAAGACTGAAAAGGCTAAGCATATCATCATCTCGACCTTGGGTATAATTGGTGTTGTTTCTGGCCATACTTGAAAAATGAAAAGGAAATAATAGCCACAAAACAGGTCAAAGAAAGAAATACTGTTGAACTTAATTAGTTCAAACTTCTAGATCTAAAGTTTTGCTTTCTTAATCAAAAGCCAATAATTTTGCTTCTTTTGCATAAAGACAGCCACAACTCTGTTTCACGGAAGAGAGCTGTATTAATAGACAATTGGCCAGGGATACGCTAGTCAAGTCTTACAGAAAGAGGGAATAAAAGGTTTGGGATAAATATAGACAGATTGATCTAGGCCAGAAGTAACGAGCTGACTTCGTGGGATATCCTAGCGTAAAACCGAGGAGACCTTATCGGGGTGGTTTTATGGTATCATTTCCTTTTTCTTTGCTGGATTCGTTGATTGGGGTCTTCTATGGCTCTGTGTGTCTGTCACACTTTCCCGGGGCTTTGAAAGACTATATATGAAAATCTAGTAAAAGCTTCGCTGGTGATACTCATACAGTTTCATCAGCATCAAATCACGCACCCAGTGAGCTTCATTCGTCTTTTACATGATCAGGTATTGTTTTTGTCGCTTTTCAGTCTTCCATGGGCTCACCCGGGACAGCCGAAGTACCAAAATCACAAAAGTCCAATTATCTCGCGATTCAGAGCCCTAGGGCGGTTGAAACCACCAGAAACAGATGAATACAACCTTTGAGACCATATTAAGCTACTTTACATGGTTTCAGCTGCTCATATGACACCTTTCATAATATCCACCTATTGCACTATAGCCACCTTTTTTCCATACTTAGGCATAACAGATGTGGTGGCCGAGTGGTTAAGGCGTGAGGTGCAGGTTTAATTCAGCACCTCCTCATGAGCTCTGCTCTCGCAGGTTCGAATCCTGTCCACGTCGTTATATTTTTTTCGTTTTCCCTTTTGCCACTTTCCAAAACCTTAGATTACATTTTTGGGCAATCCCATTCCCTTCTTTTTCTACCCCCCTCTTCATCCCACCCAAATTTACCTCCCCCACAGTACCCATCTTGTTCCATCGTCCCATCCGTACTGTGTGCGACAAAATCTCACTAGCACTTATCCTACCTACGCTAAATGGAGCCATCCCTCTAGGCCCAAGCATCTAACACACTAATAATAAGGCCAAAAGAATCCCGATGGATCTTTACAGTATACTAGAAGTGGACCTGTCGGCCACAGAACTTGAAATCAAAAAGTCATACAGGAAACTAGCCCTCAAGTACCATCCAGACAAGGTTGGCGAAGAGGACAGAGAAAGTGCCGAAATCAAATTCAAGGAGGTTTGCCATGCCTATGAAGTGCTTAGTGATGAGAAGAAAAGAGCAGATTACGACTTGTATGGAGACACTGACCCTATGGATCGTGGTGGCCATGCTCCTAACGGTAACCCATTTGGTCATCAGTATGGTGGACAGAGAGAATACAATCCCGAGGACTTCTTTGATTTTTTTAGGGATATGGGAGGCAATGGTCCTCGTGGTGGCAGGCAGCAGAATCGAAAGACTGACGATGCAGAGATCAATGTGGAGGTGACCTTGGAGGACCTTTTCAAGGGTAAGGTGGTGAAGTTCACCAGTACCAGGAACATCATTTGCAAGAGCTGTCTGGGTACAGGCGCAAGGAAAGCTGCTAAGTCAAAGACATGTTACTCTTGTGAAGGTAAGGGTCATCAGATAAGAATCAAGCGCCTTGGGCCTGGTATGGTGGCCCAGGAAGAGGTACGCTGTACGACCTGTGACGGTACTGGAAAAACAATTTCATCGAAATATGCTTGCAAAACGTGTAAAGGCAAGAAAACAGTGGAAGAAACCAAGATTTTGGAGTTTGAGATTGCTCCTGGCTCTCCTAATGTGGGTAGTATTGTTCTTGCAGGTGAAGCTGACCAGCACCCTGCCATGGAAGCTGGAGACGTTGTGCTTCAATATACGTGTAAGGAGCACGACGTTTTTACTCGTCGTGGGGACGATCTTTTTTCAAAGTTCAAGATTCCATTGGTGGATGCCCTTTCTGGGTTTTCCGCTGTGGTTTGCCAGCATTTGGATGGCAGAGCAATGCATGTAACTACGCCCAAGGGTAAGGTTATCAAACCAGGTCATCTCCTAAAAATTCCAGGCGAAGGTATGCGCCGTACTAAGCAAGGCGCTTTTAGCAAGTTAATGGGTGCTTCCTACGGAGACTTGTACATTGAAATCGAGATCGAGTTCCCTCAGGATAACTGGTACTTGGAAGTCAACGATATCACCAAGCTCAAAAATGTGCTTCCTAATGACTTACAGAACAAGAATGATATCAAGAAGCAACAGGTCCCAACCCTGTCGTTGCCAGAGGCCAATATAGAATATGTGGATAAGGTTACGTTGGCAACAGAAGATGCTCTTCCATCATACGAAGAGCCTCAACAGCAAAGTCATGCCAACGGCCACGCATACGCCGAGGAAAGTTTCTACGGTGGCTTCGGCGAGCAACCTCAGGCCGAATGTGCTACACAATAGTCCAGGAGACCATGGCATTTTAGTTTACGAAACCCGTCCGTGTATATATTTTAAAAATGATGTGGTGGTATGCTGTATATCAGAAATCGAGTAAGTCATCTAGCTCCTCTTTGTTAAGGCCCAATTGGCCGTGTTGTTGTTCGAGCTCGGCTTGAAGCTTTCTATTTTCCATGACAGACACCCTTGAGCCCGTCTTGAGAAAGTGTAAGTCATCTTCGTTGAGAGCATCTTCAGGCTCATCCTTGAGTGGCTTGACTTCAGGGACAGTTTCAATGCTTTCCTCGTCATCGGCCAACTGCTCGATTAACCGAGAATTGAGCTTGAGGCCTTTAATTGGGTCTACATCGGGATTCACAGTCTCCACGGGTAAATGGCTCGAATGAAGACGTCTAGTAGCATCTGAGAACGTATCACTCAACTTGACATTGAGTGGAGGCAATGCCTTAGGCTCAGACTTCCTTGGCGAGTCTGAGACCAACTGTGGCACCAACTCGGCTTCTCTGCGAGCCAAAGAGCCAGTAAAAAGGTCATTCTTTAAAGGATTGGCATTCTTAACCTGAGCCAGCGTAAGACCGCTATGGCCAAGGCCTCTAGATGGGGCATTTGTTGGGGTATTAGCATGGGAAAAGCCCAAAGTGGAATTTGATTTAGTCAAAAATGGTTGTTTCAACAAAGGAGCACTATTTGGCCGAAGCAGCGGTTTTTGCACTGACGTTGTTGATCTTTGTAACAGTGGTACAGCTCCATTGGGATCTTTCCCACCCAAAGGCACTCTCTGTTTCTTATTCAGCTTAGGCTGAAGAGCAGGTCTTTTCGATGGAAGCTGCAGGTTTTCATTCTTCCCGTGCAGCCTAAAAGCATTTTCCTGGTCTTTATTCTTTATTCGAAATTGGTTTGTCGACATATTCAGTAGTTGTGTAGAAGAAGGAAGGTGGTGATGAAGATAGTGATCTATGTTTGTGTTTGTACGGAAAGGGAAGGAGTGGGTAAACATGCAGGGCGCTATCAGAAGGGGTCCCCACCAGGAAACGTAAAACAGGCAGAATTTGTGATATAAAGAAGAAAATAAGAGTTTTGAATTCCTCTTGACTTGGGGGTTCAGGAAGGTCCTTTTTTTTACGTGTTTTGGGCTTTTGGTGGCTTTTGGTTGACATGGTGGGTTCTCTAAATGGCTGCGAAATGGACATACTATGGCGAAGACAGGGGGTGGTACCCAACAGGGTTTAGGAATATAAAATTAGAAAATATCGGTCATTTGGTATTCCTCTGGTTTGACATAATCCATTTTTAAGCGTCTTTTGGACTTCTTTTGGAGATGGTCAATGAATAGCCGTGCTAACTGCTCAGCTTATGGACTATGAGTGCTCAGCGCTCACCAAGTGTAGAAGGCCCTATGAATATTTCCACAAGATGTAGTAAAATGTCTTGATTGAGGTGAATATTTACCCTCGAGTCATTCATGTCCCCAGTTTCATATTTTCTTTACTTCTTCCACCAATATACCTATGCTTTGCTAACCATACTCCACTCCCATACTTCTCTGGTGGATTCGCATCCACCAGATCCAAGAACACCCACCTATTCACCCAAAAACCACCGTATACCGTGAATTACCCAGTGTTCCATAAACTTTACCGCCTCAGAAACCCAACTCAACCTTTACTTTTATCTGTTCATCAAAACCCGATTTTACGTGGCACTTTTTCACTTTCACTGTATTGCACCAACCTTACATATTCGCAGCAATCTCATAATTTGCACCCATTTCCCTCACCAAGCCATATATTGAAGATTCAGATCTGAAAAAAAAAAAAGAGAAAACACTCAGCAAAAAAAAAAAATAGAATAACTCAACAACAAAAACATCTTAAAGCTACCCAAAACACCAAAGTATTTCTTTCTTCCTCTGCTTACTCTGCCTCTTGCTGGGCCTGCCTTGCCCTGGACCCTCACAACATCACCATGTTCCATACACTCCACATCTACATCCTTACGCCTTAGTCCATCACCAAACCACAGAAACATCCCAGAAAAAGCATGGTTTCATACGGCTCGTCGCTTTCGTCATGGGTCTACCTTGCGGACTGGATCTTGGCGCTTATTTTGGGGCTTGCGTTCGTGTTCTGGTTCCCCAGGTTGGTGGGGTTTGTCATTACCCAGCTTCTACGACTCTTGGTTTGGCGCCGTTATAAGATCAGAATCTCGCTAGATGCGTTTCGAATCTCACCCTTGGGAGGCAGAGTGACGGCGAGGAACATTGTGATTATGAATCACGACTATACCGTGTCGATACTACGGCTTAACTTGACATGGAGGTACTGGTTGTTTAGACCTACAAGGGTCCTGGAGTTTTTCTTGCCTCGGGATCCTGATCTGGCCGAGGAGAATGAAGGCGTAACGTCGACGCAGAACGCTAAGCTTGCTAGCAGCTTGCAGCTTCTCTTGGAGGGCTTGGAGGTGTTCATGTATAACCGTTCCTTTGCGTATGACAATATCGTGGAAAAGTTGGAGAAGGAGGTGCCAGGGCCACAGAAGGAGGCTGTTAGGACTCACTTTGAGTCGACTTCGTCGTCGGCCACTTCTCCTAAGGAATCTTCAGAGGCGCCTTCGTCTGAAAGTGACGCTACTAGCAAAGCAGGCTCCAACTCGGTGGGCTTTTTGCTCCATATGCTACCTATATCCGTTAGAATCAAGAAAGGTGCTTATGTTATGGGTAATTCAACGACGCCGACTATCCTTGTGGCTTCGTTTAAATCTGCCATTGGCTTAATTGACTACCACAGCGCTGGTTCCATCTTCGACAGGTATAGGACTGTCTACGACCTTAATATGGAGAAGTTCCAGGTCTCCATGAAACCTAATATTTCCTATGACCCTCTGCGGTACTCTTCCGAAGCTTTTGCCAACCGTGGAGGTGTCAAAACTAGACCTATGCTTTCGCTCCTGAGATTCAAAAGCGTTTTTAGAAAGCTACTGCTTCGCAGGCTTCTTCGAAAGCAAAAACCAGACCTTAATGAGGAATGGCGGGGTCTTCGGCGGTACATTGACGATTTCCAGGACGAACGGTTGATGAATTTGGCTACCATCGAGGAGTACGCCAAATACAGTGTCCTCTTGGATTCTGTATCTACCCAGATGATCTATTACTATGATGTGCCCGGCCCTACCACCCCAGAATCACTTCAAAAGAACCCTCCTAAGTTTGGCGTGGATTTGATCTTATCCATGGCCACCCTTCACTATGGTCCCTGGGCCGAAAGGCAACGTGGACCTCTTCATGCATTATTTTTCCCACCATTATGCCGTGACAGTACACCTTCTCCTACAAGGGAGCCATGGGGCTGCTTGCGTACTTACGACGGTTTTGATTTCAGCATCACTGTGAAAGATGAGCTTATCATACGTACTCCAACTAGGGAGTTGAGTAAGGATAGAGAGGAATTGGCTCATTATACTTCTTCTAAAGGTAACCAAAAAATCACCAGGCCCTTCGGCTGGATTGAGCTTAAGGTTGGTGGCACCTCCAAGATCACTTCTTTCAATTCTTACAAAGCGTTTGAAGATGGCTGGCCCAACAGATTGAACTGCTTTTTCTCCCGACCAGAGATGCGCTCATCAGTTAATCACGATGTTTTCTTCATTGCTGACGAACATACTATAGACTGTGACTTTAGCTTCCCTCTCAAGTGGAATGGAAAGACCATGTGGACGTTCGACAACAAGAGTAAGAATGCTCAGTTATTCTTCTTGAGGGATCACGCTTTCTTGTTCACCGACTTGATATCCGACTTTGGTTCCGGTACACCTGCTCCATATGAACAGTTCAAGGCATTCGATTATATTTTCAACTGGGATATCGAGGAGTACCGGTTACATTTCAACGTGAACGATCACAACATTATCAACAATGCATTGGATCTCAACAACAACAAGTACATTTGCTTCCATGGTGGAAATCTTGGGATTCACTCAACTATCCCGCTTTTGGGAAACTTTTCTAAGAGCACCACTATCGACTTCAGATTATTTACAGATTCTTTAAATCTTTCTCTTGAAGTACCTCCTTGGCATACGGCTAGCTCGTTTCTCAAGGGCAACAACAAGATGGGTCAAACTGATAACTTCGAAGTGACCGGAAGCTATACCTTTTACCGCAACATCGAGATCAACTACAGCAGTTATGCGTCTATCAATGCAATTGGCGATAATATCACGCTTCTGTTCTTTGGATATTTCATAAGATACCTCTTTACGTTTCGTGAGAACTACATGGGTGACTTCAAGCACTTTAAGACTTTCGAAGAATACACTCACGGGGCGAACTTGGGCTATCAGGATGATTCTGCTGCATCGCTTAGGTCCATGGCAAGTAATGAAGGCTCAGTGAAGGAGAAGGAAGAAGAAGGTGACCCAGCATACTGGAATGAACTCAAGACTGAAAACGATCTTAACGTCGAATTCACTTTCAAGGCTAGAAATGGTCTCATTCTCTTGCCATGCAATACCTACGATCATGTTAGTAACGTTGGATTAACTTTCGATTATCTTGATGTCGACATTCATTTGTGCCATTTCTATATGGATCTTCAGGCGGACTTTAGTCCTGTTACAGGCTACCATCTCACAAATGAAACACCTGGAAACTATCATGGTTTAATCTACAACCTTGACGAGTATAAGAGGGTTGGTGAAGCGAAAGGATGCGACATAATCATTGACAACTTCCAAGTCCATACCCATAGAATGCTTGGTCTCGCTCCTAGTCTTCTTACTTATCACTGTAAGTGGGATTTCTCATGTGCTTCGTTCATTTTTGACACTCATCCATCATGCTTAGCTGGAATCAAGCTGTTCTTTGTTAATTTTATTTCTGGCTTCAAGGACTTGGAAAATACGTTCATTTATGAGATTCCGTTGGTGTTTGACATGGCTAATTTCACGTTTAGGTGTGACGAAATTATAGTGAAGCTTGATACTGGTGTTCCTGATACTATCTTCAAAGTTGGCCTTGATGACGTCCTCATTGCTTTCACCGATAGAGCGAACGAGCGGTATAGTTCTAAAATCTGTGTTTCGATGCCCAAGATCACGGCAGAAGTTTCGAGTCCAAAGACAGAATACCAATTTTACCTCGTGACTTCCTTGATGCTTACTGACATCTGCCTTAAAGCTTGGCCAAATGACTTTAGAAGGAACCAACAGGCCTGGGCCCGAAGGAATGATGCACCTACCCACAGAATACCTTATTTGATTAACGAGGAGACGAAAGATGCTGTTTACGACAACGCTTATGGATGTCTTCCTACAAGTGTTAGTCTTCCTCATGGGTCGATTCCACTTACCGACGATTTCTATCTTGTAAGAGAAACAAGGGGTTATGATGATGACTTGCCATCTGTCGATTCGCAGGGCTCCCTCTGTGGGTATGAATCAAATGACAGAATTGAGCCAACGACAGATTATCACGAAGAGGACTTTGCACCTCAAACAGAGCAGGAACCGGGACACAAGACTGATACTTTTGTTTTAGAGTTCGAAACCATCGACGGTTTCTTTAGTCCTCCAGCTCTTGCAGCATTCCAAGGGTTGGCTGAAGGCTTCGACATCCCGGATATCGAGCTTTTGCTAGACGTTTTGCAGGCCAAGACAGTGAAAGATATCAAGATGTTTATTACTCCCTTGAGTATGTGTGATAATGTTCGGTTTGTTGCGCCTGAGATCAACTTCAGAATTACCGAGCAGCCTGTCTTTTCTCCAAGTGATGTTTTATGTCACTCTCCAAAGATTCCTGTGATTACTCTCAATATCGAGGAGCCATCTATTGCATTCACCAAGCTTACCACTAGAATCAGGGAGACACATAAAATACGCACAGAGGAGCCTTTAGCCATGGCGGTTCACATGAAGAATATCTATTGTTTCGTTCGTGACCCTCAGTCATTCTCTCCTTCTGCAAGCTTCACAATCGAGGATGTCGAAGCATGGCTATCGAAGGATTTCATCGAGGGACTCACATCTTCAGTACTGTTCCAGGATATGAAGTTATCGCTTGTCCAAGCAGACATTCCATGGCTCTTTTCTTTCGCCACCAAAATGGCTGAAGGTTTCGAGGCAGCTAAGCATCCTTCTCTGAAAGACTCCACACCAATCAGTGTTCAAAAACTCATGTATTTGATCGCTAATGTTGCAAAAACTTCCGGCTTGGAGCACGATCCAACTGTTCTTACCAAACCTTCGAGTATTCTTCGTTCGTGTGATGAGCATGTCAGGTTTTATGAAGGCTGGAAGTTGGTGACAAAGTTTAGAAGTATTGTGGATAGGTTGCCCCATGAAGAGTACGTTCGTTTGAGTAACTCGTTGAAGGATCCCGAGTGGAAGGTTCCTGACAATGCCAGAGATGAGATTGCCACCGTTTTCAGTACATGGAGAAGTTGGGAGCAGCTTGAAGCTCGGAGGAATAACTTTCTCTCCCAATTCTTCCCAGATAAGCTGGAAGAACCTGAAAAGCCTCTGAAGGTTCACTTTGAGACCTCCAAGTTGGAGATTGAGATCATTGAACCACAAGGAGCACGCGATAACTTCCTTATACAATCTGCGAGGGTCATCTTTCATAAGTTTCCAACACCTGGTGGGGCTCCAAAGACAGTGGTTTTATTTGATATGGATGCCATTGATGGTTCCTTCTCAAAGATTTGTTTAGAGACGGTGAAGACGTTGAGTGTTGTCATTGGAGACAATCTCAAGTGCAAAGACCAAGAGCAGGAAAGTCACGATGCTGCAAGCAAATCTCCAGCGGAACAGACGACCATATCAACCGCTCGAGCTTCAGACGAGAATCCGCTTTTCTTCTTGTTTGTCTCTTTGAAGCTTGCTCACATAAAGTTCGCTTTACCTAATACCTTCTTCCAATTTAGTACTTATGAGAACTTCAATGGCTTCCAGAAAATGGGCACTAGTTTGTGTTTGGCTTCAAGTGCTAGGGAGTACAGTTTGGTCTTCGGACGGGATGAGATGCATCATCTTGATTTCACGTTTAACGACGCCAACCTACTGGTAGCTCACGCAGGAAGCTTGTCAAGTAAGATACATCAATTGGATTTCAAGTTAGAGAACTGCGATATTAAGGTTCTTGATTGTGAGGGCGAGTTGCTTGAAACGATACGATTATTCTTGGAGGAGGATTTGAAGTTGGTGAAGGAGCAGTTTAAGTCTGAAAGTGAACCTAAAACTGAGGTAGCGAAGCCATCTAAGCCATTTAGCCTTTCGCTGTTACCAGACTTCCACGCCAACTTTGAGTTTAACCATATTGCCTTTGACATCCAGGTATTATGTCCCTTGTTACTACAGATTACCATCTTGAAGGACAAGACTTCGTTAAGGCATCAAAATGGAACTGTGAGCTTTTTATCCAACTATCAGAAATTCTTGTTTGACCTTAAGATGAATGATTTCCCCCTTTTGAGAGTTGAGGATACCCATTTGCAGACTTCACAGAAGCTCACCCAGCTCGGTGATTTATGGGCAATTGATAGTAATTTGAATCTTGGCTACGTTAAGTTCACTAACTTGAACGTTACTAACTCGCTTCATGAGGTGTTGAAGAACTGGACGCCACTTAATGAGAGGATATCAAACATCAAGCTGCTTGTCCCGGCTGAGCCTAAAAAGCCGCCGTCAAAGCCTCTGCCTACTAAGTCGGATCCCTTCGATAAGCTTGCCCTCAGGTTGAACCTCAAACAAGAGAACTTGACCATATCTACTTTCAAAGAACAGTGCAGGTACACCTTGGACTTTGAGGGAGTGTCGTGGTCAGCTTCCAATGTCCATAAGAGCGCCAACGGACTCGTAAGTCGGTGTCTTCTCTTTGGCGACTTCTCGATACCTGTTATGCGAATTAGTGTCTTGGATCCAACTATTCCAGTTGGATTGTCCAACATGCTTGACTTGAATATCACGGCAAAGATCTTGAATGATAATCCTGAAGATGAAGCATCCGACCATACCCGGTCACTCCAAATTGAATCTGAGCATATCAGAATCTGTCTCAGTCCGTTGGTGCTTTTCAAGATTGTGGACTTGGCAGATCTGGCCACTAGGGTTTATGGAAGCTACGACCTCAGCCTGCCAACGGTTCCTCAAATTGAAGCTGAAGAATCGGATGGCAGTCCAGAGCCACAGCCTGAAGCGCCTGGAGAAAAGCAGTCTCGTCTTAAGTTCTCGTCAGTTCATGTTTTGTTTTATAACTTCTGTCTCGGTTGGCTTTTTGGGTCTACGCATAAGGATTACCCAGGTTTGATCTTGGGTGCCGAAAGAATCTTTGCTGTTACGAAGCATGAATTAGGAAAGCTAAGCTTGATGGAAGGATATCTCTCGGCTGCAAATGGCAACACTAGCTCGAGTTTCTACAGTATACTGTCGGAGCTTAATAGTTTGAACCGTGCGTTCATGCCTAAAATGCAATTCAACTATTGTATTACGGATGATAACGAGCTTTGGGTTGATCTTAAAGGTGATGAACTCGATGTACGTTTCATGTCGAATTCCTTGGTCATGGTGGAGAGAACGGTTAAGTCAGGATCAGAGGTCCAGGAATTCTTCCAAGGTCGTTCGAGATCTTTGCAACGCAGAAGATCTTATAAGGAGCAGATTCCTCAGAAGCCGAAGAAGAAGTCAACTACACCTTTCAAGTCGCCTTTCTCATCCGTGCAAACCAACATATCGTTTGCTGGATCAAGAGTTCTTTTCTATCGTTTACAGGAAGAGAACTTGCTGGATGTTCCTCCATCTCTTTCCTTGCAATCACCATCCGTCAACCTTGCTGTCTACTATAAGCACTTGAAGGAGAGAAAGACTAAGAGGCATAATGTCAGGTTTGAGATTCTCATGAAGCTGTCGGACAACACAGTATACTCTTCATGTGTACCTGTGATCATGGACTTTATTGAAGCGTCGAAACTGATGCTTAGAAATAGCAAGCAGGAAGAACCAGAGAATGAAGTTTCTGATGAAATGCCGGCACCGCAATGCAATGAAGCTGGCTCCAATATTGGAAATATCTTGCAAGATATTGACTTCCATGTGGGTATCATCATCGAAAAGCAACGTTTATCTCTCAGTTGTGAACCCACAGCAAAGGTCGCTGCAGTTGTTGAATTTGAAGGAGCGTCTGTACTGGCTGCCAACAACATTAATGATGCAGCTACCATCGATGCCATGGCACGTTTGGACTCCATTGGAGCTTCTTTGCAGCATATTTATTCTGACGAGAGAAGTGGTTTTATTGGTATCAAGAGTATCATGGTCTCTAATTCCATCACCTTTGACGAGACAGTGAACGTTGTTTCTTCAGGTTCGATTTCTGATGTCACAGCTTACGTCAAGATGAAACAATACCAGGATGTTGATTTGTTCAGGGACATCTGGTATCCTAAGAGATACCACAACACCAAGAGGCAACCACCTTCGAAGTTGACAACAAAGAGATCACAATCCAAGATGAGAGAAGTGTCTTCAACGTACGCGATTCCATTTTCACTTACGTATATCCTATCAAATGTTGATGTCGAAGTTGATTTTGGTGTTGCATTGGGTGTGGTGATGCTTAACGTGGACAAGGGATGGGTGGTGTCCAGAAAGACTTCAGATTGGTTTTACGATATGAACTTTGGCTTACACGAAATGCATGTTGGATCCCGTGGTCGTTTGGGCGGATACGTGAAGTTAGAGAAGGCCAACGTTCGTTCAAGCATTGAATGGAGAATGAAGGAGCTTCCATTCCTTGACGTTCCATTGGTCAAGTTCTCTGGTGGATTTGAAAACTTCACCTTCAAGCTCGCCTTTGACCAGCATCTCTTTGCAGTTGGAAACCTCGAGAAGTGGCGTATTGAAGTCTACAACAGGAAGAATGGTATCAACATTCTGAAGGACCATTTGTATGTGATGATCCAGTACAGGGCCACAGAAATCTTCCTCACGTCGCTTGCAGCATCTGATTTCCACGATATTTTCAGCACGATGTCTAGAATGATGGATGAGAAGAGAACTTCTTACAAGGAGATTTTGAATGATTCTAGTAAGGACCAGATGCATGACCAAGACCATGTTCCTATGAATAAACTCTTGGAGGTTGTGAAGAAGTTAGAGACCAATATTGAGGTGAGAACTGGAAGCACTGCTATTCAGGTTTATCCACAGTCGTTTGATGACAGCCGGGTCCTTTACATTCAACTCGACAAGTCTACTGCAAGTTTCTTCCAGAACGAGTATACCTTGGGTGTTTCCAATGAGATTGAGCTTAAGTTTAACAACTTGACAACCTCTCTTTCAACAGCAGCAGGTATCACGAAGGAAAGTATTGACGCTTTCTCGGTTCCCGAATTTGCAGCATATGCCAGGAAAGCAAAGGGAGGAACGATCTTCCTTTCGCCTAAGTTCATGATTTCCATGCGTACCTTCCAAAGATACAACAGCAATATCATTGAATACCTTTTCCAGTCGTCGTTTGGAGGTACAGTTGATGTCAGATGGAATCTTGGATCGGTCAACTGCGTTAGAGAAATGTATGCTGCCCACAGAAGAGCATTTGCTTCTCGTACAGAATACTCAACCAGTACAGTTGGTGCTTTGAGAGACAAGAAGGATATTGAAAATGCGGTTCTCGGTGCTGACGTGCCTGACGAGGGTCCCGAAGAAGTGTTTGACTCGGAGAATGCCCGCAAGGATATTGATAGAGATATTAACGAGACGTTTGAAAAAGTCGCTAAGGATTCCAAGTTTTCTTATGTGCCTTTAGCGCCTCCTATCATCGAAGCTCCTCGACTCAAAGAGCTCGGAAACGCTACACCACCGCTCGAATGGTTTGGTCTTCACCGAGATAAGTTCCCTGATGCCACACACCAGTTGGCGATTGTCACTCTACAGAAGCTTATTCACGAGATCGATGATCACTACTCGAAAGCGCTCGGAACGTCCTAAGAATATGCTGATATTGACTAATTACAAGGTTTGTTGAGGAAGGCGGCTCTAATGGGTCAAGTACCATCTGCCCTTGGCTCTTCTTCTTTGCAAGACCTTCCTGCCGTTCTTCGTTCTTAAACGGGCCAAGAAACCAAAAGTTCTCTTTCTTTTGAGCGTCGATGGCTGGTATGTGTTACCTCTGGACTTGAATCTCTTTTGTACAAGATTCAGGAGGAATGAAAGAACCGAGGTTTGTGGTAGCAGCTGGGCAACTGGAGATATTCTAGATGCTTGATTGGCAGGAGAAGCAAGACTCGAAGTCACAAGTGGCTTGTTCAACATGGAAAACTGACGAGTGGCGTTGATGCCGACTCTAAAAGTCCTTTGACAATGCTTCAAGCCAGCGAACATTGTATGGTGTGTGTGGTTGAGTTGTATTGGAAATTTTCCACTAGGCCATAGTGCAGGTTGGTCGAATTTGATGAAGTTGGAGGACAGGCCCAGAGAGCAGGCGCTTCCCTGCAGTACCGACATCCAAATTTCGCACCATGATTTTTTGAGATGAGTCCTGGGTGCAACTTTCAAGTTCACATTTACGTGAAGCCGGATTCTATTTACGATGTCGAGTTTCCGTCGAATGAACAAAAGTATCCCTAGTCAGGTGAGTAAGCCAGTTTTGGCTGAAATCCAGGGAGAAAAGCCCATAGATAAGTCCCGTGCTGAGGCCTTGTTGACCAAGTTCATCAGTACTAGTGAGGCCATCTCATCGGCCATTCCAGGAGCCAGCGATGGGGTTGAATTTTCCAACACTGGGTTTTCCAACGTTGCTGGTACGAATCCTAAGCTTGGACAGTTGAAGAGAATCCAAAGAGAGTTGAGAGGTCTTCCGCCGCTTCTGGCAGAGCTCGATACTGAGTACAAGAATGACGAACCAGCACAGAACAAGAAGATTACGTTTGATGAGTCTGGCGAGGCTGTTACACAGAACAAGAAGATCAAGTTCGATAGCGAAGAGCCTGAGGAGGCCGAGGCCGAGGCTGTAGCTGAAGGTGAAGAGGAAGCTGTGGAAGAGGCTGAAGAGGCTGAAGAAGCCGAAGAGGAGTCTGCTGAAGATGTTGAGATGGAAGAGGCGCCAGCGGCTGCCACTTCAAGCTTGAAGAGACTGCGTGAAGACGATGAAGAAAAAGAGGTTGAATCCAGCAAGAAGAAGCTGAAGACCGATAAGCTGGAGAAGAAGGACAAGAAGGAGAAGAAGGAAAAGAAGGAGAAGAAAGAAAAGAAGGAAAAGAAAGAAAAGAAAGAGAAGAAGGAGAAGAAGTCGAAAGATGAATAAGTTGCATAGTCGGTGTACCACACCATGTATAATAGCATTACTAGAGAAGAAGAGTTGTAGGAACAGGCAGAAAACAATGGTGTTTACGAAGAAGTTGAGGTGACTTGAAAAGGCAGTAGGAATAGTGACGAGGAATCAAATATGAAGAAATTCATTATATGCTTATGGGAGGTTCCAATCCATTAGGTATAGAGAGCATTGCACTAGCTATACACATAAGAAACAACCAAACCACCAATTTTCCACCATAATCAAAACCACTAGTAAAGCATAAGTCAACTTCAACCATATCATCCACTTCCCATGAATCCCACCGTGTATCCCCGTCAACCCTACCACCTTACGTCTTAACTATGGTGCGCCGTTTGCAGCCATTACAGCTTAGTACTATCCCTCCACAACCCACCGCCATTTCCACCACCAAAGCTTGAAACCGCTCAAAAACCAAAAAAACGTCAACTAACACATCCACTAAAACCAAAACACCCCTTCTTCTTCCCCAAAACAACTTTCCCTCTCGCCTCCACCACCCACCACTTCCTCTCCAACACGCTCACCAAATGCCTCTGCGCAGCGCGGTGGATCAACATACATAAACAAACCACATCCACGTCTTGCCATAGAAAAAATAACCACCCATCCATGAAAGCACACAAGCCACGTGATGGGCCTGTTCAGGAAGAACCACAACAGCTGGACCAGCCGGACGAGACGTTTATAAATAATTCAGATTATGACAATTCGACTATGAAGCAGGAAGCGTCAGATCACGTCCAGTCTGATGAATCCATGGATGAGGAAGATGGAGATGGAGATGGAGATGAAGATTTGAATAATTCAACGTTTGTGGATGCCAACGGGGGCGAGGAAGATAATACTAAGGTGGAAGAGGAGGATGAAAATGTCACTTTGGCTGAACTTGAGGACCTGAAGATCTTGCCTGAGGAGAACCAGAGGGAGAAGGAACCGGTGGCGCCGCTTCCACTGCACCCGCCGTCTTCACGGGAATCCACTACGAAACCTGCCTTGGAGTTGAAGAAGGCTGTCAAACAGAAGGACGAGATCAAGCCCAGGTTGGTGATCCGCAAGCTTATACTCACCAACTTTAAATCCTACGCTGGCGTTCAGGAGATTGGGCCTTTTAATGCATCTTTTTCCGCTGTGGTGGGGCCCAACGGTTCGGGAAAGTCTAATGTTATCGATTCGATGCTTTTCGTTTTCGGTTTCCGTGCCCTGAAAATGAGACAGGGTAAGCTTTCTGAGTTGATTCATTCTTCGGAGTCTGGCCAGAAACTTGATTTTTGTCAGGTTGATATCCATTTTTGCCATGTTATAGATGACCCCGTTGATCCGCTAGCCGCTTCTGACGTTTCTGGCTCCGAAATCGTTATCAGCAGAAAAGCTACAAGAGGCAATACCTCTCAGTACTACCTTAATGGCAGATCCAGCAATTACACAGATGTTACACAGTACTTGCGTGACCAGGGAATTGATCTAGATCATAAACGTTTCTTGATATTGCAGGGTGAAGTGGAATCCATCTCGCAGATGAAGGCCAAGGCCGAGAAGGAGAACGATGACGGTTTGTTGGAGTACCTAGAAGATATTATTGGTACCAGCAAGTATAAGTCATTGATAGACGAGAATCTAGGCAAGATGGATGAGCTTAATGAAGTTTGCCTAGAGAAAGAGCATAGATTTGAGTTGGTTGAGAACGATACGAATATTCTTGAGGAAAAGAAGAATGACGCGTTGCTCTTTCTAGAAAAAGAGAAGCAGCTCACCAATAAGAAGTCGGTCAAGTTTCAGGTAACCATACATGAGAATCTGCTGTCGCTTTCGAAGTACGAGAAGACAGCCAATGAAGTGGCCGAGCAGCTTAGCGAAGAGAAGAACAAGAACATGGAGCTCAATATTGAGGTTGACGAAGCCCACAAAAAGAAGCAAACTCTCCAGAAGCTGATATCAAAGGTTAACGAGAAACTTACCCTGGCCAATAAGAAGCATAAGACGTGCAATAATAAGAATGTGGCCCTCGAGGAGAGAGTTAAGAACTTAGAGACCAAGGCAAAGAAAATTGAAAAGACAAAGCAAACTTCTGAAAGAACTTTGTCCTCTTCTTCTCACCAATTGAAGACTCTCCGAGAGACTGAAGACCAAGCTGCTCAGGATTTGAGTTCCTTGAAAGAATCTTTGGAGAAGGAGAGCGCAAAGCTTTTTCAGCTTCGTGAAAAGCTTGCTGATAAGACATCTCATTTTTCGAAAGAAATTCAGGAGCTCGAAGCCCAACTTCTTCCGGTCAATGATAAAGTGAAAGAAAAAGAGAGTGCTATTCAACTTATCAAGTCGGAGCTTGAAATGCTTGAGGAACAATCCAAAAGAACAGACCGTCAGCTTCAGCAGGCTTCCCTGAGGCTCCAGGAAATAAAGAAAGAGGGTAAAGAGAAGGAAGCCGAACTAGACTCATTAGAAAAGAAGCTTGGCCACATCAAGGAGCAAATACTCTTGGGTGAGGAGCAATGTGAAAACTCGAGAAAGCTGCTTGAAAAGAAGAAGCATAGACTTAATTCTGCCCGTCAGCAAACGCAAGACGCTATTAATGCGGTTTCCAATACCCAAAACAAGAACAAGGTCTTAGTTAGCTTGACGAAGCTTGCAAAGTCGGGTAGAATTTCAGGTTTCTTTGGTCGTCTCGGTGACTTGGGTCAGATTGACGACAAGTATGATGTTGCCATCTCTACTGCATGCCCAGGTTTGGACTCTATGGTTGTTGATACCGTCGAAACAGCCCAAGCCTGTATTGATTACCTCAGGAAGAACAAGCTCGGATATGCTAATTTCATCTGTCTTAATAAGCTTCGAAACTTTGACCTCGGTCCTATCCAAACTCCTGGAAACCCCATGAGCGTGAAGAGACTTTTTGATTTGATCATTCCAAAAGATAAGCGTTTCTTGCCAGCATTTTACAGCAAGCTTTATAACACTTTGGTCGCCAACAACCTTCAAGAAGCTAAGAGCGTTGCTTATGGCGCAAAGAGGTATAAAGTGGTGACACTTGATGGTAAAGTTGTCGATACTTCTGGTGCCATGTCTGGTGGTGGATCACATTTCGCCAGAGGTGCTATGAAGTTAACTTCGAACTCAAAGATGAAAGATACAGAATACTCTGAGGAGGATCTAGAAAAGATGAGGTCCGAGTTAGCTTCCATGGAAGAAGATGTCACTGAGCTCCAACGTGAATGTGAGGAGATGGAGAGCAATCTTCAAAGCTTAAGGATTTAGCTCCAGAGACTGAGTTTTCCATCAAACGCGTCCAGCTTGATATCCAAGCTTTGATCTCGGAAAAGAAGGAGGTTCTGGCAAACTGCAAAAAGCTTCTTGCGCAAAAGGAAAATGAAGACGGATCCTCAGAATTGGAAGGACCCATCAAGGAGAAGACGAAAAGCCTTGAGTCTTTAACCGCCGAGAATGAAAAGCTACAACAGCTGATGGTGGAAACCGAAACGAGAATATCGGCCCTTCAGACCAAAATTATGGATGTCGGTGGTGTCGAATTGAAGATTCAAGATTCTAAGGTTGGTTCTTTGAAGGAAAAGATCGAATTGAATGAAGCCAAAAGCTCACAGAATGCAATGGCGCTTCGAAAGTTAGAGCATGATACCAAGAGACATACGAAGATTGTTGAGGAAAGCGAGAAAGAGCTTGAATCAGCACACGTTGAGGTTGAAAAAATCAAGGAGGACCTCTCCGTCAGTTTGAAAGCTATAAGAGAGATTGATGACGAAATTGCATCCCTTATGAATGAACGTACGGAGCACGAGTCTGAGCTTGAGAAGGTCGCCGAAGAGGTTGAGGATCTTAATGCTAAGATTAATGAATTCAAATCGGTGGAGATTGAGCTCGAGAACAAGCTTGAAAAACTCAACGGAATCGTCCGCAAATGCCAGTCTGCTGTTGAAGTGGCCAAGCGGGAGATCCAGAACCTTATTGTTCGTGATTGTGGTCCATATATTGATTGGATGCCAGAAGATGAGAGAACTAAATACGAAAGTTCTGACATTGAACAGCTTACTGAGGATGCCATCGAAGACGTGAACATTGCCAATGTCGAAGAGGAAATTGAGACGCTCGAACAGTATATGAATGATGTGAAGGTTGATATTGAGGTGCTCAAGGAATACGGTGAGAAGAAGAAGGAGCTTGAGATTCGTCGTGCTGATTTGAACGAAACGGTTGAACAACGTGATGGAGTAAAGAGCTACTGCGAGGAGCTCAAGAGAAAGCGTCTTGACGAGTTCATGGAAGGATTCAACACCATCTCATTGTCCTTAAAGGAAATGTACCAGATGATCACCATGGGCGGTAATGCTGAGCTTGATTTGGTTGACAGTTTGGACCCCTTCTCGGAAGGTATCATGTTCAGTGTCATGCCACCTAAAAAATCGTGGAGAAACATTTCTAACCTTTCTGGTGGTGAAAAGACTTTGAGTTCTCTTGCTCTTGTGTTTGCTTTGCACAAATACAAGCCTACACCGTTATACGTCATGGACGAGATTGATGCTGCTTTGGATTTCAGAAACGTCTCCATCGTTGCCAACTACATCAAGGACAGAACCAAGAACGCTCAGTTTATTGTTATCTCGTTGCGTAACAATATGTTCGAGTTGGCACAACAGCTTGTGGGTATCTACAAGGTTGATAACCGTACAAGAAGTATCTCCCTTCAGAACAAGGACTTCTTGAATGAAAAAGCGGTGAAAACTTTATAATGATGAATATGCTATCTAATGCTATGCTATGGGGGTTCTCCACTGTGGACTGGTTTCAGTACCAAACCCTTCCTCGTCTCTTCTTTTGAGGATAAAGTGTTGGTCCAACCAGTCAATTAAGTCTATAAGGTTGGGGATTTCATTCATTTCCTTCACGTACAGCCTTGGGATCATGGCGCTGAACATTTCAGAAAGATGATGCTGAGTTATGCGGTATGGCAAGCCGTAGCTGAGTGCTAGATCAAAGAAGATCTCCACTGCTGACCACGGTGCTGTTTTATGTTTGGCGAAAATGGCAGGATTAGCTAAGGCTCCACGAACAGCCATCACTCCATCAACGCCAGTATATTTCGCAATTCTTTCAAAGTCGTCGTGGGTGAAACAGTCACCGTTGGCAACTACAGGAACATTAACGGTTTCCTTGACAAGCTTAATGGCATCCAAGTTGGCTGGTTGAGAAGAACGGGTCGATTTGGTTCTTCCATGAACTGTGATGAAGTCCACGCCAGCGTTTTCAACCTTCTTCACAAATTTAACTGTTTCTTCCAAATCACTGTGGATTCTGATCTTGGTCTCGATGCAAACGGTATCGCCATACTTATCCTTGACTGCCTTGACCATATCTGCTACAAGATCAGGTTCTGACATCAAAGCGGCACCAATACCTTCACGAACTTGCTCTCTGATTGGACACCCACAATTTAGACCGATACCATCGACATATGGATGCATCATCTCCACAAACTTGAGAAGGTCTTTGACGTTGTTGCAGCCAACTTGAACAATAACAGGTCCATCATTTGGGTTTGTGGAATAATCGCTGATTCTTGCAATATCGTTTCGGACAAACTCCCTAGCCAAAATCATCGGCGTATAAACGATATCAGCATCATAGTGCCTGACGAGTTCTCTGAAGGGAAGCTTGGAATAACGGACCATGGGTCCTACGATGTGAGCTGGACGGCCATGAGTTTTTTTGATGGTTTGTAAGATCCGGAGCGGGTTATTCTTTGGATCCCTCGGCGTTAGCTTATGTGAACTTGCTTCAGCGTTTGTCATGAATCTGCTTTTGGGTTCTTCGATGGGCTACTGAAAAGTAGTAGGAACTTTTTGATGACAAGAACGTGACCATGCACGTGATATGGTTGCAAAATTTGATCCCACAAATATACCTTTAAACGACATAAGAGGGGTGCTGAAAGACGGTACACTCGGTCTCCTGAAGCTAAGGGCCCAGAATAGACTGTGAGGGGTCCTTGAAGAGCTTTTGGCAGCAGGGTACCACATCCTTTTCAGACACCCACTTCTTAGTGTATGCAGTACACACCCATATACCAGTACCAAGCCAGTCTTCATTTCTTAGGATACTACCATTAATTAAATAGAAACTGGATCCACTCATATTTTAGTTCATTTGGCTACTCATTCATATCTATCATATCGCCGTTAACCTCATTGAAAAGCTATATAGTACATATTTTTCTATAATACAAGATTCGTGCCAACCTCCCCGTTTTACTCCTCCTCAGAAGACTCTGAAGACGCATCGTCGTCAGAAGACTCCTGGGCAGGAATACTATTGAGGTCGAACGTGGAGGGTGGTAAGCGGGAACCTCCGTTTGATCTTTCAGCGTCATCAAACAACTGGAGTTGTGATTTCAATTGCTCAAGCTGATCAATGTTACCGGAGGAATAAGTGGACTTCTTGGACTTGGTCATGGCATTGGAGGCAGCCTTTTTGCCAAACAAGAAATCGTAAAGCTTCAAGACCGTACGGTCCTCAAGCTGGTCCATATCAAGTTCAACTTCCTCTTCATCACTGATAACCACATCATCCTTGATGATCTTAATTAATGCTTGCAACTTCTTGTCGTTCAACGTTGGAACGACCTCGCTGACTTGTTTCTTCATTTCGTAGGTCACCACTGGCTGATCATCATGGCGGCCCTCGGCAATAGAGTTGGACCTAGCCTTCTTAGTTCTCTTGGTCTTCTTCTTCTTTTTACGAGAAGACTTCAACTTTTCATATTCAGTTCTCTTCAATTCATCAAGTTCTTGCGTCATTCTCTTCAACTGGTTCTCCAAGAAAGCAATAGCTGGGATATTGGACAACATAGCTTCAGTCACTTCACCATCGTCATCTTCATACTCATCACTATCGTATTCTCCATCAGATTGTGCTGGAGATGGTGCTGGCACAGGCTTGGCAGCCCACTTCTTGTTGAAAAAGCTTTCAAGACGACGTCCCATAGCATTCACATCAGTGCCTTCTGGGTTGAACAAGTAGCAGTTGGAAAACACCAACCTCACATCCCTTTCAACGTCATCAGCGTTCTCATACTTGTTGTTTGCAAGATTAGACTGAATCGTGCCGAGATCCATTGGGGTCTTAACAACCTCAAAGTAGTTAGGGATGTTCAAAGCAACCGGGTCAACTGGCTGCAAGAAAGGAAAGTTGATGTTATAAAGCTTCTTGGATGTCATTTCCTTAACCACCTGGTTACTGAAACGCAATTCAGCAGCATACTTCTTCTTTCTGGGTCTCACATCGTATGGCAATTCCTTTGACTTTGGAGGGTGGATAGTTCTCTTTGGTCTGTGAGCAGCAACCGACTCGGTTTTAGGATCATCGCTCACAATAACGTTGCGCCTTCTGGAAGCGGCACCGGAATTATTGGAGTGACCATTCGCGGCAAGAACCTTTGGAGGGATATTAAGCATGTGTTTTTCAAACTGAGCCTGGATGTTCTTGGCCATTCTGGAAATACCCGAGGATTCTCCATTAAACTTAATACAGTTGTCAACCATGAGATTAAAGTCATCCACAATCTGCTGAGGATCATCGTATGCATTTACCGAGAGCTTCCGTTCAATCGTTGAAAGATCCATTGGTCTCTTGATGAAGTTATAGTAGAATGGGATATTCAATTTAATGATATCCACAGGGTGAACAAACGGACCGGCATCTTTCAAACGTTTGATGGCCTTGATGGTGTTATGTGCGAATTTGTTCTGATGCTTAGGAATAGGATTAGCTGGAAGTTTGGTCATATCTGGTTCTGGAGGAGGTTTTGGTGCTGGCTCCATCTTGGAGGTGTCAGCCTGGAAACTGGCAGTCTCTTTAGGCTGCTCTTCCGTCTTTGCCTTCTTGGAAGCTTCATCCTGGCCATCCTCTTCCAACTTGTGCTTTTCAGGAGATGGCGACGGGTTGGGAGGGGATAAGGGCTTTTCAGGTGCTGGGGTTTCCTCAAGATTGGATGATGCGGCATGCGAAGCCTCCTCTTTCTCGAAAACGTCAGCAGAAGGAGTCTGGACCGGCGTGGTGGTTTCAGGAGCACTCAGCTGTGGAGCCGGCGTCGTTGTAGCATCCACCGAATCCACTGCCGGTTGTTCTGTGCTGATTGGATCTGACATTATAATGGGGAAATCTCTTTACCTTTTTCAATACCCAAAGTCACGTGGTGATAACAAGTGGGGGAGGTAAAGGTGCGGGAAATTAAAATAAAAAAAAAAAAAGGAAAGGGGGAAAAAAAGGGAAAACCACAAAAATGGGATTCTTGCAAACTGGCCAATCACAGAACGCGAAAGTAGGGTTGAATGCAGAGCTTCGACTGTGTTCAGGAGCGAGAAAAAAAAAACTTTTCAAAAAAATGCGGATTTTTGGCCCTTGCGACCTGCTGGGAAATCACGTTTATTTATATATCTCCCGCTTTTTGCTGGCGCGACAATAGACAGCTGTGCGCTTCTCACTGGTTTTTGGTATTCACACGCACATTCCTGCACGAATGCTGGACGAAAGCACAAAAAAAAAAAAAAAACCTGGCGAATCTTTTTTGAGACATCCCCAATTCACCACATAGGAGGTGGTTCCAGAAATTGCCTTTGGCTGCTCGAAAGAGCACCACCTATGGAGGGTTTTCCAGTTTCCAAAAACTTATTCCTAGTTTTTTGCAGATCTCTAAGAGAGGGTCACGCTTTGCCAGGGGGATTTTTAGCTGGCCCGGTTGCCACCGAATGAAACTTGAGAAGGTGCACTTTGTTATCACGTGACACCTCACTTTTTTTTTTTTTCTCTTTTTTCCTCATCCTCCCTCATCCAACTCGTATAAAGGGGATACTTTAAAAAAAAAACCATGGGTTGCTTTTCAAGGAATTTCGGTACCTGCACGTCTAAACCTATCCCCATTAAACCCGTAAAAAAAGGGAGCAAGAGTATCGAAAGCATCAGTTTCATAAAGGTTGCCTGAATTCTTCGTCACCCGATAGGCCGAAGGTGGTGTCACCAACAGCCTCTTTCCCTTTTCAAACATTACCCGGGTAACCTGCACCATACATGCCGAAATATTCACGAATCCAACAAGTAAAAAGGGTCTAAAGGTGGATGGAAAGCAAGTCGTTGGATGAGAAGCCCTTGTTACATGTGGGGCACCTCCGTAGACGAGCAGCAAGCCTCTCTTGAACACAGCCGTCACAGAATACATGCCCACAGGCGGTGATGGCGGTATTTTTCCAATTTTTCAGACAAACAGAACACTTGGTAATGGACCTCAATGCCTCTAGCTGTTTCTCGTCTTCTTCAAGAATCGACGAGGTGTTGTTCTGCTTGTACTTCTGGAGCAAGCTTTCTGTGGCACGAAGCTTGGCGTCTAGCTTGCTGAATGCCACGGTCTTGCTGCTAATCTCGCTTGACAAGTCTCCATTCTGCTTCTTGAGCTGGGCAATATCCTGCTTTGCATCCGTAAGCTCCTTCATGATCGAGTCTCTCGTCTTGCTGAGCATTTTGAGGTTCTTTTGGAGGTTGGTGTTCTCCAGCGTAGACATTTCTTTGATCACCTTGTAGTCATTGACAGACTTGGATAAGATCTCAATCTTGCTCACGTAAGTCTTTTCTATCTCATTAAGCTTAACCACCATCTCTTGGGATTTGGCAATCTGGGACTTGAGCACCTTATTCTCCGCAGAAAGTGAATCCTTCACTCTCATACTGGCGAAATACTTTTGGTCGGCCTTGTTCTTTTCAATGGTAAGCTTCTTAACAAGACCTTCATTATCAACAGTCTCCTTCATCTTATCCAAAGTAAGACTTCTAGTTTGTTGGAACGCAACCTCGATTTCTTTAACCTCGGTACTCAAAATTTGCAACCGCTTGACAAGCTCGTCTTTCTCGAGACTTTGAAGGTTGGCGTCTTCCTCTCCTTTGTATTCATCTTGTCTTGTCTTCTCTAGCTTGGAAAGTCTCTCGTTGAGGACTCTATTCAATTCATTCACCTCAGCATTGGTCTTCTTATTATCCATTTCGGAGTTGGCGATGGTTTGTTTGGCCAATAACTCGTCTCTGATGGCTCTAATACGAGCAAGATCATTCTCGCTTCTCGATAAAGTCTCCTTAAGACGCGAGTTCTCCTCCTCTAGTTCATTATTAACCACCTTAAAGTAGTTTCCATCCTTCTCTTCTAGAAGCTTGACTTTACCGACAAGTTCTTGCTGGGATTGGGTAATATTGGAAAGGGATTCTTGAAGGGCCTTGTTCTGAGCGACAAGTTCGACAAATTTGGGAGACTTGGAAAGATCTTCTTCGGAGAGATTGCTCAAACGGTCTTTTAAGCTTTCTGTGGTGGTCTCAGCACCAGACAATCTTGTAGACATTTTATCTAGCGCTTCCTTGGAAGAAGCCACTGCTGCTTTCAACTCTTCTGCTTCGATGCGTAGCCTTTCAAGATCTTCTTTATCTGCTGATGAAATGGTGACGCTATCGCCAGAGGCCTCAACTTTACCGTTCGCCAAGGCACCATTCTTGTCGTGGCTACCATTAGATGTCTGCTCTTCCTCTTCAACCTTAGCAAGACTGTTGCTCTGGATACGTTGTAAGGTGGCCAGGTCTCCTCTATCTTTCACTTTCTGCAAAGCAGCTAGTTCGTTCTGTAATTCAAAGAGCTTCTCTTGGAGCTCCTTCTTGGTATCCTGAGCAGCAGCAAGGTCACCTTCAAGCTTCACGACATCGCGTAGCTCTCCAGCATCCGAAACAGCTGGTTTAAGAAGACCTGCGAGTTTAGATGCTCTGGCTTCCAAGACTTCCTGGATATCCGAAGCAGAAGCAGCCAAATCTAGCGCCTCAGCCTCGCCAGCACCGCAAGACTTGAGAATCTGAGAGAACCAAGTCTCCAATAGCTGATGAGCAGCTACAAAAGTCTGGTAGCGCCTCTCATACTTGGAAAGCTCTAGTTGAAGCTGTTCGGCTTGGAGCTTGTAAAAGCGCATCTGACGCCAAATAGCCTCTTTCTTGAAGTAAACAACATCCTGCTGAGTGAGCGGACCATCCTCGCTTAGCTCCTGAAGCGGTTTCTTGGATTTGGCAAACACATCGGACTCGACCAGACTGAAGGGTCTCTTCTTGTCTTCCGAGCTCATGACGACACGCAAAGAAACCACACTGAAATGAAAAGATTAATAGATTAGTAGACGACGTTACCTTTTGTATAAGTCGGGATGCAAGAGAAAAGTGGGTTTGGATGGGATGAAGCCGTGGTTGTAGAAGTTGATATTATTTTTTTCTCCTTGACTAGTGCGTATAAGAAGCTGGACACGACCGGTGTATAAGCATGGGATGGAAGCCAGCCAGGGTAAGGTTCTGGAAGGAAACAGCTCCCAATTTTGATATTTGTGGTTAATTTTGGCGAAGTTAGACTCGGCTGAGTCGGTTGTATGTTTCTGGTGGGTCTGAAATTGCATGGAATGTTCAGTATTGTCTGTGTTGAGAATGGCTGCGAAGAATCTGGACTCTGTGGGAGGAACCGTGTAATGGAGGCTTAAGGAAGGAGATTAAGGATAGGGTATTTGGAGGGTTAGGAGTTTAGAGTTGTATTGTTTGGGCTGTGTTTGAAATTCACGGGTTTCGTGGAGGAGATAAGGAACGTATGGGAGGTGTGGTAGGAGGGACATGGTCATCTGTGGACTCAGGAATGGCAATAGGACGTGGGGAGGTCGTTTTGTGGTTCATGTTTGGAAGTGTAGGATGTTTGGTAGTTCTTGTCAAGAAGTATGATGTAGTGTAGGGTAAATGGGGTGGAATATGGGACATGGAGGGTGGAACCAGGGCAATGAACGATGTATATGGATGAAATGGATGGAGCTGGATCATTGTACGCCAAAAGACGGCCGTAAAGGTCTTGGAAAATGAGTTTTGGACATCTTTAGGGTATAGGGGAACCTTGGGTTGCTGGTCCAGTGGATCAACGACAGCAGCGGAATTTTTCATCAAACACAACGAACATAGCTAGGAATAGAAGTAGCCCTCTAATTTTATTAGTAATTTTCCTTCAACAAACAAGCTGGGCCACTGCCCAGCTGGAACTCCCAGGAAAACGACTCACATGGTATTTAAGGGGCAAGAGTGGTCCATCACAGGTCCAAATAAGCTTCCCTGGAGCCTCCAAAAACGACAAAAACGTCATTTCCCCTTCAAAGCCATTACTTTCCAGTAAACCCCAAACCAAAGCAAAAAAAGCCAAAACCCAAGTATTTATCTCTGGCCTAGCCTTCCACTGACCAGTATACTTGCTAAGTCAGCAAGGCTCATAATACCCAAACCTGGCCATTTCCAGCCAGTTTCACGAAAAACACATAAATCCCAGAAACCACCGTTTTCTGCCACCCATTTCTCCAAGACACCCATGTCTGGCTTTTTCTTAATGTAGGCTGTTCTGTTCCTGAAACCTACACATCGCGAGAGACCAGTGCACTACTTAACCCACAGACTACTAGTCTTTTCCAGACACCCAAGAAACCCAATCCCAATTCCACCATGCAGGGGTTCAATTTGCTTATACTAAGCTGTCTTTGGCTCCAGGCGTGGGCTGCCAAAGATAACTTGTTCAAGAACTGTGACCAGCTGGGGTTCTGTTCGAGAAACAGACACTATAGGCGTCAAGTGGAGGCCCTGGGGCAACACGTTCCGTACTTTGTGGATCCACAGTCGCTTGAGGTTTTGGAGGATCAGAAGATCGAGGGAACGATTCTTAAGAAGCTTGAGCTGAACGAATTGGTGTGGCTTCCATTTGAATTGTCGTTGTTGAAGGGTGATAATGTACGGTTCAAGATTGATGAAGATAGACTGGGCGTCAATGTTAAGGGGGTGAACACGAAGAGGTATGACGAGACGGCACAGGCTATTTTTGATGCGCCAGAGACTGGAAAGTATGATTCGTTGAAGGATAAGGTTAAGATCACTAAGGAATCGGTTACGTTGACGTATGGTACTGATGGCCAGTATAAGGCTGTGCTTGACCTTAATCTGGTGATTTTGACGGTGTTTTATAAGGGTGAGGCACAGATTTCGTTTAATTCGAAACAGCTTCTTAACTTTGAACACTACAGAACGGAAAAGACCAATGGTCTTCATACTCATAGTGAGTTGGAGCTGACGTTCGATATGTTCCATGATTCGTTTGAGGATGCAAAGGAAGATACGCGTAAATTAGGCCCAGAGTCTGTGGCTGGCGATATCGTTTTCCATGAATTCCAACACGTCTATGGTATTCCAGAACACCCAGATAAGTTGAGTTTGAAGGAGACTACAGACACTCAATGGCCATACCGACTCTTCAATGTGGATATTTTCGAGTACTACTCGGACTCGAGAATGCCAATGTATGGTTCTATTCCTATTATGGTCGCTACTAAGCCAGAAGTTTCCGTTGGTGTCCTTTGGATGAACAGTGCTGATACGTATGTTGACGTGAAAAAGAACTCCAAGCCAAAGGATGTCAGTACGCACTGGATTTCCGAGGCTGGCGTGTTGGACTTGGTGATTCTGGTGGGCGAAAAACCTGATTCTATCAACCAGAACCTTGGTCGTCTAACAGGATACGTTGCTTTGCCCCAGCTCTTTGCTTTGGGCTACCATCAATGTCGCTGGAACTATAACGATGAGGACGATGTTTTGGATATCAGCAGCAAGTTTGATGAACATGGAATGCCTTACGATACTATTTGGCTTGATGTGGACTACACTGACCAGAGAAAATACTTCACTTGGCATCCAGATGCTTTCCCAGATCCTGCTGGTATGCTGCGCAAATTGGACCACACTGGTCGTAACTTGGTCATTCTTCTTGATCCTCATTTCAAGCTTGGCTACGAAGTTAGTGACGAGGTGGACAGGAGAGAGATCACCCAAAGAGATGCAAACAATGCCACGTATAAGCGCCACTGCTGGCCAGGTGAATCCTTATGGATCGACTCTCTCAACCCATCCGCTCAAGTTTACTGGGATAAGCTTCATGAGTATTCTAAAGACAATAAGGTTTTTGGAGAGGCTGAAAATATTCATATTTGGAACGATATGAGTGAACCATCTGTGTTCGATGGCCCAGAAACTAGTGCTCACAAAGATAACCTTCACTACGGTGGCTGGGAACACCGTTCTTTGCATAATCTTGTTGGAAAGAGCTTCCACGAACTCACTTACAAGTCTCTTGTCAAGAGATACCAAGACAAAACCAGACAACGTCCATTTATCTTGACCAGATCGTTCTTTGCTGGCTCTCAAAGAACTGCTGCTTTTTGGACAGGTGATAACATGGCCAAGTGGGAATATCTTCAAACTTCTATCCCCATGATGTTGACATCAAGCGTGGTTAACATGCCATTTTCTGGCTCAGACGTTGGAGGTTTCTTCGGTGATCCTTCTAGTGAATTGCTTACAAGATGGTATCAAACAGGTATGTGGTACCCATTCTTCCGTGCACATGCTCATCACGATAGCAAGAGAAGAGAGCCATGGGTTGCAGGTGAACCTTTCCTGGGCTACATGAGAGATGCCTTGAGGTTGAGATACGCCTTGCTTCCAGCCTTCTACACTGCATTCTACGAATCAAGCACTAATGGTGCGCCAGTCATCAGACCTTTGTTTTACTCCAACCCAGAGAACACAGAAGCTTATGGTATTGATGACCAATTCTTCCTTGGAAACACAGGTTTGATGGTTAAGCCTGTTACTGAGAAGAATACTCGTAACGTTCAGGTTTATATTCCAGACACGGGTATTTACTACGACTACACCAGCGGTGTTCCACATCCAAAAGCAGTCTCGGTATCTTCTCCAGGCTACATCAAAAGAGGTGTTGAGCTTGGTGATATTCCTATGTACCTTAAGGGCGGTTCGATTCTCCCAAGAAAGGATAGATACCGTCGTTCATCCAAGCTTATGCATAACGACCCATACCATTTGGTTGTTGCGTTGGATAAAAAGGGTGATGCCCAGGGCTTGTTTTACCTTGACGACGAGGAGTCCTTCAAATACAAGGACGGCGATTTCGCTGTCGCTGCATTTGAAGCTACCGATGGAACCATCAAGGGTAGTCTCTTCGTTGGAAACGCCAAGTTTACTGAAGACCTTGAAAGGATCTTTATTGAGAAGATTACTATTTTGGGAGCTGGAGATGTTTCTTCTGCCCAGGTTTCTCAAAACGGCAAGAAGTTCAAGGCTTCCATTGTGAAACACGAAGGGCACATTGAGATTGTCGGTATCAAAATCCAAATCGACAAGGACTGGTCTGTCAAGTTGCAGACCGCTGCTGCTCACGATGAGTTGTGATCCATCTGCTGTGACAACTGAGTATCGGGATTATAAGGCTTCAACGAAGCCAGATCAGATGCTGCTGCTCGTGTAAGTGACACTGTACGAGAAATCTTCGACCAAAGATGGTGCTCCATGCATTTAGGACACTTTCCCTCTCGAGGAATCAAATCACCCGAACCACGAAGAAATGCCCGAAGAATGCAATGTGGATGAAAATGCAGCTCACACGAGCACATAAACAACCCATCGACAGCGTCGATGGTACCTTCACATACGAAACAAGATTCATTTTCTCGTTCCACGAGCTCCACTGCTCCTTCATTCTCTACCGCTCTCAACTGATACAAAGAACCGTCCCCCTTTGATGTAAACGCTTCGTCATACGACATACGTACAACCTTGGCCAGACAGTCCACTTTAAACCTATTCTGCCGCCAAGTTTCATATACCAGGTCGTTAAAGATCCAAACTTCCAATGCCATACGTCTAAACGCTGTAGACTCCACCAAGAGCCTTATATTGCCCATACGGTGATGCACAACAGCAGCAGATTTAGCAGATTTCGATATCTTCACCAGAATGTGTCTAGACTTGAACGGATGTTGCAATGCCAGCTCAAACTGCAACGCAGCCACTTTAGATGGAAACCCACATACACATGCCACCATAACCCACGGTCTGAACCCCATTTTCTTCGTTCGAAACGCCCCTCCCTTATTTATATAGCCATTGTGTTGCCGTAGGCGTCTTACCGGGTCAGGAGTAGAGCCCACATAGAAGGAGCCAGGTTTGGGTAGGGACTGGAGAAGGTACACACAGTAGAACTGGTGCATCTAGAGGGTATGTAGAAAGGAGCGAGAATGAAAGGGATGGATGAGATTGGAAAGTGATGAAGAGCTGACTTTTTGTGGTTCTTGGATGCTGGGGTGGAGTCTATAGACTGCCAGAGAACATGTTGATGTAGGTAGTTACTGAGAAGCATCGCGATGGGTAGCAGAGATGGGGGTAGGGGAAGTGGTGAGTGGGTATTTATAGGGTGGAGGAAATGGATGGATTGTGGTTGTTTGGTGGCGAGGAAGACGTTGAAATGAAAATTAGGGCTTTTAAAAGGCTGGTTTGGTGGAATAGTGGAGACTGACTGGTGCTAGTAAGTGCTCGTTTGCAGCCATTATCTATGGTAGACATATGGTGGACAGCTAAACAGTACACAAAGTAGAAAATGGTCAGACATTGTGTGAAAGGAACCAATTTTAGCGTAGAAACCTTAAATGGCCATTACCTTCTTCAAAACTTCACTTGAAGCCTATTTGGATGGCCCACTGTGAGTTGCTGTGTAAGCTTTACCAGCAACCACTACCCATCCATATCCTTCCCAATACGTCCAAGTCGACTAAAAAGTACTATTTATTTTCCAATTGTATCCCCCACATGCCATTCCCTGGTGAAACAGCCAGGCAGGGCCATGCAAGGGTATGCCAGGTTGTCTATGCCATTTGCAACCATACAATGAACCATCCAAACCGCCAATAACAAGTGAAAAATAATACAATTGCTTTTTCCCAGCCCAAGCTACGGCGGACCAATTATTCTCCAGCACAATCGCCCACCTCGAACAAACACAATCCATAGAGAATGTAAAAGCCTATAGAACAAGTCTGGAGAAGCCTAAATGAGACATTCAGGAACACCAGCAACCAAGAGGGGCCAGGTCCAGTTGGGCCAATTTACATGAAAATGGGTAGGCCTATTTGTCTAATTTACCTAAGCACGTAAAGCTTCCATTTGATCAATTAAGCCATTCAAATGCCCCTCCCTGGTTTTCCATTGGCAACGGTTTCTTCGGTTATGCTTTCCGAAGAGGCGCAACAAGCCAAAAAAGAAGCCCTGGAAAAGTAAGAACCTACAATAACAAAGACAGAAGGAGGTTTGAAAGAAAAAAGAGAAAAGCCAAAGTCTTCAGACTTGAATCGAAAAATCAAAGACGTTTTCTTCTTTCAAAATATCTCCTTCATCTTCCCAGGACTTTCCCTTGCGATTCTTTGTTTCGTAAAAAGGTCAGTTTCGCAACCCTGGGCTCTTTTTTTCATTGAGCCTCGCCGGTTGATTGCGTATGGGAAGTCGCCCAAGACAGCAGAGACCCAACAAGATGGCCAATTTTGCAAAGAAGTTCATTCAAAATTGCCAAAACTTGAAATCCACTTGGTCAAACCTCCTGGAAAAGTTCTAAAAATAGATTTTCTCTCTTTGCCCTCTCCTTTTTCGTCCACCCTTCCAAAAAGCTTCACCTGACAGGGTCCTGCAGCATAGCTCTCGAGGTTTCCCTCATAGTGAAGGAACAAAAAGTTTCCAGCCTGAACCGAGAACAACTGTGTCTATACCTTTTTTACAATCGGGCCAGATCTTCCATAAGAGACGTCCTAATTTCTTCCTTTTGTTTGTTTGATTCTGTGGTTGCTTCGTTCAGAAACGCTGTTTGGTTCCGGTGACCCGAGCGTTATTATTATTATTTTTTTTTTTTTTTTTTTTCAATTTAAACATACCTATTTTGCTTTAACAACAAGTAATGTCCTCCAGAAAAGAAGAACCAGCTCAAGGCGGGCTGAATGACTTTGTCAAGAAACTATTTCAAATGCTACTGGAAGATAAGTACATGAGCGTGGTGCGCTGGACTGCTAGTGGTAACAGCTTTGTCGTATTGGACACCAACGAGTTCACCAAAGAGATACTACCGCGTCACTTCAAACACTCCAACTTTGCCTCGTTTGTTCGTCAGTTGAACAAGTACGATTTCCATAAGGTCAAGATCTCCAACGAGGAGAAACAGCACTACGAGTATGGCGACGATGCGTGGGAGTTCCAGCATCCAGAGTTCCGCAAGGACGATATCAACGCTTTGGAAAACATCCGGAGGAAAGCTCCAACCAAGAAAGAACCCGCTTACGACGCTAACCCACATTACGACCTGCAAATCGCCCAGATAAGGCTGGAGTTGGCCCAGTTGCGTGATGAGAACAAATCCATGGGCAACAAGTATAAGGGACTTCTAAACAACGTGGCCACGCTAAGAACGTTCAACGAGCGCCAGTACCACTCTATAGGGATCTTGCTTAACGCATTGAACGAAGCTGGCATCAAAATTCCTCCTTTGGATCTTCCCAACCCAAATGTCATGAATATGGCTCTGCCAGCAGGTGCTGGCCCGCAACCAACACAGGCTTCACCACAGCAACCGCCTTCGGAACGTGCTGTCAAGGTCAAACAAGAACCACAGCAGCTGGTATCCCACCTGCGATCTGGCCTGGGCTCTGTACCTGAATACGACTATAACTCGCTGGGCCGCCAAGGGCCTTCCAGCAACAGAGGCTCTCACTCCAGCCATCCAAGCATGAACCACGTTAATCACACGAGACACCCGTCTTCAACGCTGCCGTTGGGTGGTGACGTTGTGGGCCCCGTCTCTACAGTCAGTGTGCCAAACCCAAAGTTCCATGTTTTATTGGTTGAAGATGATAATGTGTGCATCCAGCTATGCCGCAAGTTCTTGATGAAATACGGTTGCCAGGTGACGGTGGTGACAGATGGTCTCAATGCTATTTCCACAGTCAAGCAGACGATTTTCGACCTTGTGCTTATGGATATTGTCATGCCCAACCTAGATGGTGCCTCGGCAACCAATATCATCCGTTCCTTCGACACTAGAACGCCAATTATTGCCATGACTGCCAACATCCAGGATGCTGATTTGGTGAATTATCTCCAGAACGGTATGTCGGACATTTTGGCCAAGCCCTTCTCCAAGGACGACCTATATGCTATTTTAACCAAACACTTGATGTCGGCGTCCAAGGCTGCTGAATACGAAAACGATAGCACTGAGATCCACACGATACCGATGGATTCGAATGCATCTGGCGTAGACCAGCAGTTGGGAATAGACCAACCTGTCAACATGGGCCAACACATGCCTCTGCAGAATTTATCAGAAGACCCAATGGGTCAACCCATAATGGACTCTATGGAAGCTGTTGATCAGCCGGCGAAAAAGCAAAGAACCCACTAGGTTCTTTATACGAAAAAAAAAAAAAAGAACGTTTTTCTATTCTTGTGAAATACCATTAATGCTTATTTTCTTATGCACTAGACCACCCTACTTCTCTATTCTTTTGAGGCAACACTTTAAAGGTTGAGAGGAAAGTCCTATCTTCTCTTTCAAAGCAACCATACTGGAACTGCTCCTTGTAGCAGCATCTTTGCTTCCTCTAGATACCAGCCATACTAAGTAGTGATAACTTCACCAATAGAAGGAATCCAATGATCTCAAGATAACGAAATCATCCAAATATTACCAAAAAAACATAGCTGTCGAAGCTAAACAGACCTTGGGATGGACTTGAATAAGACGCTTCAGGTCGAACATGCCTGCTTGATACTGCTTGTGGCAGCTCAATGTATGGTACCGTTGTTTCCCAAATTACAGCAGTCGTCTTATAAAACTGGGTTATGACTGTTCTTGACGCTCTTAAACTCCATCTTGGCCTGCTTTCATAGCTGGACAACCAACGCTTGGAACAAGCATACTTAGTCCTCTTTCTTCTCATCTTCCTTCTCTTCCTTCTCTTCCTCCTTCCCCTCCTCCTCCTCCTTCTTCCCATTCTTAGCGACAATGACATTAAGCGCCATATCACTAAAAGAGTCCTTCCAAGGCTGGTTCGAGTCGCTCTTTATCCTGGATATCTCCACCTTACTAAAGTACATCTCCCCAACAGGATACTCAAGCACCGGCTCTTTATACACCAACTTCGAGTTCTTCTTCTTCCTTCGACTGCTCACCACACTAAACCCATCATCCTTAGGTTTGACATCCTCTCCATCTCCAATCAAGTACTGAATGGTTGCCAAAGTCGGTAGTTGTTCTAGAAACTTAGCCTTTGTAAGCGTTCCAGCGGTAACATTAAGATCGTTTCCAAGAATCCATTTGGGCTGGATATCTTTGATAAACGTTTCAGTAAAGCTTCTTGGTGCATGAGGCATATAGTATAAGGTTTCAGCTACCAGTGAAGGGTCCAGTATTTCCTCCAGATCCACTGTAAATTCCAATTTTTCCAACAATTGAGTATCTTCAGGCAAAAAGGCTGGATCGTAGCATGAAATTGAACTTACTTTAAACTTCTTAGCTACCAGTTGAAGTAGTGCTAGCTGGTAGAGTGCCTGGAACTCAGTGGTGGGTGATCCAAGCGCCAAACATCGTATTTTTTTGAACGAAAGTGGTTCTAAAAGATTATATGTCTCATTGAGTATGGAGGAGTCTTTTATAGTGTTTATTCGGCCTTGTAGGCGGGAAAGGGTGGAGGTTATTGGATCAGCCATGGGTATATTTCAATGGTGGTTGCAGCCTTGATGGAGATGGACGAACGTGATCTGGGTCAGGTGGATGGCACGTGGAAAACTCGCCAGTGAAGAGTAGAGGTGGGTTATCTTTGCCAAAGCAATGTTAAATTTAAGATTTAAATTGATAGTTGTATTACATAGTACTTTAAGTAGGTATGTACTAGGTTTGAATATTTGAGCATTTGTGGTGGTAGAGATATGGTGCACATTATCTATAGGCAACGACAAAGGGCTAGACTAGCATCAATATAATTCCTTAATCTCCTAATAATGTTGAGGGGATTTTCTAATGGTCTATCAATGTCTAAGAGTGCTCCATTGGCTCTTGTTTGGGACCAAGTCGAGGTATCTGAGCGAATACTATACCTCATTTGCAACCAATTAGTGACACAACCAACCATATATTCTTTATTAAAACCAAACATACCAAAATCACGGAAACATCCACTGAAGCACTCTTTGGACCGCCCAGTAAGTGGCAGCCAGTAAAGCTGCTTCTAGCATAACCCTATACAACGATAGCCTACCAAACTCACTTCCCACAACATCTAGTGCAATCCCATTAGGCCTTCTACAACTGTTCTGGACCAACCTATACATCCTGGTCAAAAGCTGATTTGAAGTCTTATGTGCCTCTAATAACCCTTCTGAACATAAGGTTTGACTCTGGAAGAAGTCATTAAGGTCAGCAGTCAGCTGGCCAATCTGGCGTATCAAAATACTTTGAAGTTGACAAAGACCAGGAAGAATATTCCTCATTTCGTTACAAATAACTGCAACTTCATCAGCTTTTGCTTCCACACTAGCAATCAGTCTAAAGCATATCTGTGTGGCAGTATGAACATGATCGATCTTCAGTGACTGGAGACCAATTCTGTTTCTTAGATCTTTTAAGCGGTACGAGGTTCTGGATAAGTCCATTTCAATGCCTTTAATCCAGTTTATAGGCACCAGACCAAGCACTTTGTCGTTCTGGTTTGTGGTTGTTCGTGGTGGACCTGTTGGAGTAACAGGAGAAGCATATGCGTCATTCACAGAGGCTGTTTTGTTCAGTTCCATGATTAAGAGAATGTAAAAGTTAGGAAAGAAAATTAAGTCTTCCCTACTTGCATGCTGTTCGAGGATATTTGTATGGCTTCTGGCCGTACCAGTACTGTTCCAGAAGTGTATCAGAGTACCAACAGCTTCAGAAGCATGTTTCATGAAACAATAAATATAAATTGGTCATTTACTTCCTGACAAAACTTCCATCAATAAAATGATAAACCAGTAGCTTTCTACTGGTATTGCAATAGCTAACTGGTTGCTTCCAGTATACTACCTATTTTGCAGCCATTCCTGCGAACAAGAGACCACCGCCAAACCCACCGCCACTTTAAAAGCAAACATAAAAACCACATTAAACAAATCCCCTCTTTCCACAGAATCACCCCCACTGCTTAAAACCCCCATCATCGACCTCTTTCTTAAAATTGGATACCATATGGAATAAACCGGGAAGAGTCAGAATACACGTGACCTTAATCATGCCCACAGCACGTGTATGAGATGCCCTATCTCCCTACAGCCTCCTCCATCCCTCCAAACTCCTCCAGAACCCCCTTCCCATTCAAATCTACCACCAACGCCCTCCTACACCCCACCCCACTCCCTTTGGGCGCCAAAGAGAGTGCCCAATCTCCCTCCATAAACCACGTCCTGCACACAGCAACAAATTTTTATACCGTGCGATAGCTCTATCAGCATCTACCCCATCGCCAGAATCCACAGCAACCAGTCCCTGGACTATCCATCTATACCAGCTCTATCTGGGCCCAAAACCCCTCCATCCTAATACGAATAGCGACCTTCCAGTGTCCTTCCCCTCACATAGTTCACGTTGTCGTCGCCATTCCTTCCCCCCACTTTAGCTCTGTCCAATAGCATCATGCGGAAGTGTAAAGTGTTTGTCGGTCTGTCCCATCCAGAATTGGGTAAGCTTGTGTGTGACCGTTTGGGCGTCGAACCTGCTCCATGTACGCTTAAGAAGTTTTCCAATGGCGAGACTTCGGTGCAGATTGGTGTTTCTGTGAGAGACGAGGATGTGTATATCATCCAGAGTGGGTCTCCACAAATCAACGACCATATTATGGAGCTTTTGATTTTGATTTCGGCGTGCCGTGGCGGTTCGGCGCTGAAGATCACGGCGGTGATTCCTCAATTCCCGTACTCGAAGCAGCTGAAGATGAAGAAGCACCGTGGTGCTATCACTGCTAGGATGTTGGCTAACCTTATTATTATGGCTGGTGCTGACCATGTGGTGTCAATGGACTTGCACGCCTCGCAAATGCAAGGTTTCTTTACCAAGCCCGTGGATAACTTGTACGGAGCGCCTACTTTGGCTCGCTGGATCCGTCACAATATCCCTGACTGGGAGAATGCTGTGGTGGTTTCGAAGAACCCAGGTGGAACGAAAAGAGTCACTGCGTTGGCTGATTCTTTGAAAATTAACTTCGCCATGATCCATACGGATAGACGCAGAACCCAGGATAACTTCACCAAGACGAAAAGACACTTGGCTCACTCTCAGGATGATAATATTGTTAGTGAAATGCAGACTGCCAGAGTTGTCAAGGGCCATGTTGTGGATGACGACTATGAGCAGGAGAACGGGCCTTCTTCTTCTAATGATAAGCCTGTTGCTCTTCTGAATAGTGACGCTTTGGGCGGTACTTTCGATGCTACTAACTCTGACGATGAAGATGAACCTACAGCCATTGCTCAGGAGAAATTGATCACGCTAGTCGGTGACGTTAACAATAAGGTGGCTATTATTTTGGACGATATGATTGATAAGCCCAACTCGTTCATTGCCGCTGCTGAGCACTTGCGTTTGAACTGTGGCGCCAGAGCTGTCTACGTTGTGGGTACCCACGGTCTCTTCAGCGACAGATGTCTTGAAGAGTTGAACGACTCCAAATGTATCGACAAGATCGTGGTGACGAATACTTACCGTGTGAGCGAAGAGAGACAAAAAGCCCACGAGAAGTTGGTGGTGATTGACGTTTCGCCTATCTTTGCTGAGTGCATCAGAAGAGACCATTTCGGTGAGTCCATCTCTGTTTTGTTCGACTCGTTGGCTGCCATTGAGTAGATAATCAAGTATTGCATTTCATCGGGACTCCAAGCGTCGTGTGTAGAGACGCTTGCAATCCATCTCTTTTACGTTCCTTCAGAGACTCCCCATTTATATATATATTAAACCACGTTCATTCATATCCATCTGAAATGGCTGCAAACGGCCTGCGAGTTTGCCGAAACACCCGTACACCACAACTATCCGATAAGCAGTAGGGTGCCACGTTTCTGCCGCCGCCACAGGCTAGCGTCGCCCAGCCCATGTGGACGTGGTACCCAAAGTTGCAGCATCCCACTAGTGTTTTTAGATTCTCATAATTCACAAGGGAACATCGTTAAATATGTAGTTTGGTGTTGGCCTACCTGCAGGACAAACCGACCCCAGATAAGTCGATTTCTTCATCTCTCACTATACTTTCCTCTTTCATCAAACCCTCCCAGATCCCAACCAGATCCCCCAAAAATGGACACTTCCCAGCTGATCCCGATCCCCAAACACGGAGACGGGAAAAACCAGTCCATGCTGCCTCTTCTGCTCAGTTCTGGCGACGGTAAAGAGGTCACTGAAAAAGCCATGGCTCTGATAGCGCCCATGTTAGAAGGATTCACTCCCAAGACCAGTGCTGAAGAGTCCAAAGATGGCGTTGCTTCTCAAATGGCTACGGCGCTGACTTCTCCTAGAAGACTGTCCTTGGCAGCTATTGGTGAATCTGTGTCGCTTACTTCAGATAACTTATCGTTGAATAATGCTATAGCTCAGCTTCTGCCTGACCATAGTGATGCCAATGGGAACGGTGATGTTCCTACGAAACCTTATTCAAGAACAAACTCGGCGTCGTCGTGGGACTTGAATTTGCCTAAACTTAATAAGACCGTGCTGAACTCGCTGAATACACTGAAGAGGTCTGCGTCTAACAATAATACCAATACTAACACTACACCATCTAATGTGAACAAGATTGGTAAGATTGGTGTGTGTGCTATGGATTCGAAAGTCATGCTGAAACCATGCAGAAAGATTTTGAATAGACTTATTGAGAACGGTGAGTTTGAAACTATAGTGTTTGGTGATAAGGTCATTTTGGACGAAGCGGTGGAAAATTGGCCCACTTGCGATTTCCTCATTAGTTTCTTCTCCACGGGGTTTCCTCTTGATAAGGCAATCAGCTATGCTAACCTTAGAAAGCCTTACATCATCAACGACTTGACTTTGCAGAAGACATTGTGGGATAGACGTTTGGTGTTGAACATTTTAAACCACGCCAATGTTCCTACACCTGAAAGGCTTGAAATCAGTAGAGATGGCGGGCCTAGAATAGATAAAATCTTGGAGGATAAGCTTGCAGAGGTTGGCATTCCTCGTGACCATTTGGATAGGTTGACTCACCAGGACGAACCAGAATGGAGTATGGTCGATGACGATACTCTTTGCGTGAATGGCAAGAGCATGAAGAAGCCTTATGTGGAGAAACCTGTTGACGGCGAAGACCACAATGTTTACATCTACTACCCCAAATCCACCGGTGGAGGAGGACGTCGTCTTTTTAGAAAGATTGGTAACAAGTCGTCTGAGTTTGATCCTGAATTGAATGGCCCTCGTACTGAGGGTTCTTTTATTTATGAGAAGTTCATGGACACTGATAACTTTGAGGATGTGAAAGCTTACACTATTGGACAAGAGTTCTGCCATGCCGAAACTAGAAAGTCGCCTGTGGTTGATGGTATCGTCAGACGTAACACTCACGGTAAAGAGATTCGTTTTGTTACTGAATTGAGCGATGAGGAGAAGACCATGGCAAGAAATGTCAGTCGGATTTTTAAACAGACTATTTGTGGTTTTGATTTGTTGCGTGTAAACGGTGAATCTTATGTCATTGACGTTAATGGGTTCTCCTTTGTCAAGGATAACAACGACTACTACGATTCATGTGCCTCCATCTTGAGAAACATGTTCATCGAGGCTAAGAAGTCCAGAGACTTCATCAAGAACAGGATTCCAAAGACCAGTCAAGTCAACCAATCTGAGTTTGAAGAGAAGCTGCAGAAATGGGTCTTCAAAGGCATGGTTTCTGTCATTAGACACGCCGACAGAACGCCAAAGCAGAAGTTCAAGTACTCTTTCAGATCACCCCTTTTCATCTCCTTGCTTAAGGGCCACAAGGAAGAAGTTATCATCAGAGCAGTTCCAGATTTACAGGTTGTTTTGGAAACAGTAAAGATCGCCGAAGAAAAGGAGCTTGAAGACTTAAAGAAGCTTAAACAGTTAAGAATGGCCTTGGAGAAGAAGATGGAGTTCCCAGGCACTAAGATTCAATTGAAGCCCTCTTTGAACTCTGAAAACCCAGATATCGTTGAAAAGGTCCAGTTTATCTTGAAATGGGGTGGTGAGCCAACTCACTCGGCTAGATTCCAGGCTACTGATGTCGGTGAGCAATTGAGACAAAACATCAAATTGCTCAACAGGGAAGCTCTCAACGACGTCAAGGTCTACACTTCTTCCGAAAGAAGAGTCATTGCTAGTGCTCACCTCGCAACCAGCTCGATGTTGGGTTTGCCTACTTTGCCAGATGACTTTTTGATTATCAGAAAGGATCTTTTGGATGACTCCAACGCTGCCAAGGACTTGATGGATAAAGTTAAGAAGAAGTTGAAGCCTTTGTTGAGACAAGGCGCTGAGGCACCTCCACAGTTCACCTGGCCACCAAAGATGCCACAGCCTTTCGTTGTTATCAAGAGAGTCTGCGAGTTGATGAATTACCATAAAAACATCATGGAGTACAATTTCAAGAACTACGATGTCAGCAAGTTCCAGGAGAACTGGTGTTGTGGTGAAGATCCTTACTTGTTTAAGGAAAGATGGGATAAGCTTTTCCAGGAGTTTATCACCGTTGAGAAGACCCATCCTTCTAAGATTTCTGAATTGTACGATACCATGAAGTATGACGCTTTGCACAACCGTCAATTCTTGGAAAAGATCTTTGCATTTGATCCTAACGACCAGAACTTGCTCAAGGTCTTGGGCGAGACATGTGGAGATACCATCAAGTCTTCTGGTCTTGTTAGCGAGTACCCTATCAACATTTTGGCCATGAACAATTTCAAGATTCCTCACGAAGCTAGTTCCAATGTCAGCTCAGCTTCTGGATCCACTTCAAACCTTCAGAACATTACAAACTCCAGCACAGTATCCGCTGGTTCTCTTGGTTGGGTTTTAAAGGGTGCTACTCCATCCGTGAAGCATTCTAACGCAAACAATGACTCCAACACTCAAGGAAAGTCCAGTTGCAACAGCAGTATAAGCAGCAGCGGTAAGGCTCCAGAGAACCCATTTGACCATCCTACCTTCGCCAGACTCAGAGAATTATACAGATTATCTAAGGTGTTGTTCGATTTCATCTGTCCTCAGGAATACGGTATCAAGGATGAAGAGAAGTTGGATATTGGATTGTTGACTTCTTTACCATTGGCCAAGCAAATCTTGTCTGATATCAAGGACATGAAGAAGCATGATTCTGCTGCTATGGTCAACTACTTCACCAAGGAATCTCATATCTACACCTTGCTTAACGTCATTTACGGTGCCCAGCTTCCTATGAAGATCGCCAGAAACGCTTTGCCAGAACTCGATTACATGTCACAGATTGTCTTCGAAATCTATGAATCTGGCGACTCTAACAGTCCATCCGGTAAGAAGCATGCTATCAGAATGTCGTTATCTCCAGGTTGTCATACTCAGGATCCTTTGGATGTTCATTTGGATGATGATCACTACATTGGCTGTATTCCAAGAATCAGTTTAACTAGACATTTGGATATGGACTTGGTTATCCAGAGATTGAAGTCTAGATTCTCAAGAGTCTCGTTGCCTAAGCAGTTCACTCCAGTCAACATATCCAGTCCATTGGTTACTGGTCTTTGAGTCTACGATACAACAAGTCCTCTATACTATGTTTTATTTATCCTAAATGCTTTCGGGTTGGAGCAAACAGAAACAGCAGTACCACGTGCTGCCCCCAGCATCCAAAGAAACCCTGATAGCCCCTTTATATATATATTATCTCAAATCAAGCAAAGGTCATATACCTAATTAAGCCTTCTCGTAAGACTCCCAGTTGTCGATGATGTTCTTAAGCTTCTCAGACTTAGTCAACTGGTAAACCTCCTCGAAGTACTCCTTTGTAATTTCAAATGGCTTGGCAGTCAAGTTTGGAATGTACTTGTTGATCAAGTCGTTTGGCTTGACCGAAGACTTTGGAATCTTCTTGCACAAGAATCTCTGGAATGGCTTCACACCAGACATCAAGTAAGAAGAGTGGAAAGGCACAGAAATACCCTTCAATGGGATCACTGCAAAGCCTCTTTGCAAGTCAATAGGCTGAGGCTTTGCAAGAGACTGAGCAGAAACTTCATCAATGATCTCCTTCAAATGGCCCTTGACATCTTCCAAGGACATTTGTTCTTGCAACTTCACAATATCAATCTTGTTCAACTTGATTACGTTTAAGACGTTGGTCAAAGTGTCCAAGGCTCTCAAGTCACCGGCAGTAACGTACTGGGCGTTTTCGACGTTGTAGTTGACAATCTCCAATAACCAGCCAGTCTTGCTGGCAACCTCGTCAACAACAAATCTCAAAGCAGCATCGTTGAATGTAGGGTTAACTCTGGTTGGGTTAACAGCACACATACCGTAGTTGGATCTGCCCAACTCGTCTCTTGGAACAGCAACTTGCATGGTCATACCTCTGTAGAAAACGACATCCACAAGAGACTCAATTGGCATGACATTAGCCAAGGAAGAAAGAGCAGAGTACTCACCAAGAGAGTGACCAGCGAACATGACATCAGATGGAACCAAACCCTTAGACTTGATGTCCTCGTAAGAAGCCTTCTCCATCAAGGTCAAGGCTGGCTGGGTGAACTGAGTAGCAGACAACAAACCAGTTGGGGAAAGGAAAGTGTAAGAAGTGGTGGTGTGGTCGATCTCCTTGAAGATCTTCTCAGACTTGATCTCACCATCCTCGCCAATGGTCTCGAACATCATGGAAATGTAGTTGTCTCTAATCTTTCTACCCTTGGCACCACCAAAGTGAACAGTCAACTCGTTAGGGTTGTTCTTAACAATGTCAAGAATAGAGAAACCGTAGTTGTCAACGAAATGACGGTCAGCACGGTCCCAAACGTCACGAGCAACGTCAGAGCTGTTGTACAAGTCCATACCCATACCTTGTTCCTGGGAACCCTGACCAGTGAAAACGTAAGTGGTGACTGGCTGTTCAATCTCGGCCTCACCCATCAACACTGGAGTATCGTTTTCAACGTTTCTGGTTTCAACCTTGATGATCTTACGACCGTTGATCATACCAATGTGCTCCAAAGAGGTCTGGAGAATGTCGTTTGGCAAAACCATACCTACAAAGTCAGCCTTGAAAGCTCTGACTCTGGAAGCAACACTGTTAGCAGCCCACTGCTCAACCAAGGATCTGATAGAACCAGAAGAGTACATACCGTGGGTGATAGTACCAGGCAACTTGGCGTAAGAAGCAAACACACGAGAAACGTGAATAGGGTTGTAGTCACCAGAAACCTTAGCGTAAGGCTCGTTAGTGGATGGAGCCTTGGAGGTCAATTCCTCACCAGAAGAAAGTGGAATAGCATTCTCAAACTTCACAGCCTGCTCAATGGTGTTACCGTTTCTGGAGAAGTAGTCAATGACTGGGTTACCGTAAGAAACACCAGCCTCGTAGTCAATAGAACCAACCTGAATGATCTCCTTAGTTGGCAACTCCAAGTAGACTCTACCAACAGTCTTAATGGAAGAGTAAACACCAGCGGCCTTGAACTTGTAAGTAGACTCGCATCTGAAGGTCAAGATCTGGTTAAGCAACTCAACGTCCTCTTCCAAGTGGAACCATTCCTTGGACCTCAAAATAGCCAAATCCTTAGCGGTCTTGAAAGCAATCTGGAATGGGTCCTCAGTAACCTTCTGGAAAGTGTTCTCGAAGTCCTCGTACTCACCTCTGTACAAGAACTGGGAAGTAACCTCCATCACTGGACGACCTTCTCTGAAAATAGTGCCCACAACCTCGACCATCTTACCGGAAGGCTGGTTCAAAACAGCCTTGATGAGAGCATCTGAAGAGACAACATCATCCTTTTTCAATGGCTCAGCACCAGGAATCATACGGTAGCCGTTGGACATGTGCACCAACTTCAACAAGTCACCGTCAACAGTCTTTGGGAAGATAGCCTTCATGATAGCCTTCCAGCCAACAACAATGGCAAAATCCATTGGAGCCAAGGTTGGCTTGTTTGGTCTGGCAATGAAAGCGTCACATGTGTTACCAATGGCGTGAGTGAACTCAGAAATGTCCTTACCACTGATAGTAACCTTGTCACCTGGAATAACCTGGTCAACGTTGATATCCAAGTCAACTGGAACGTCAGAACCGAACCACAACTTCCAGTAGAAGCCCTTGATTCTGTCGTTTCTGCCTTCCATAACTTCCACAATAGGAGCAAAACCGTCTTCTGGAACGTACTTGTAAAGGAATGGCAACTCAACAGCCTTGTTGTCGGCAGTTCTGTGCTCAATCAAAGACATCTGGATAAGACCCTCAGAAGTCAACTTGATCTCGGCAACCTTCTTGGAGTCACCTTGGACGGCCTCGTAAAGGGAAAGGTTAGCCTTGTCAGTACCAGCGTTGGTGATAACAGCTTCCATGTTAGCAGCTGGACCCACAATGTCCTTGACAGAGTTGGCAACATGGTTAATACCCTGGACGACTCTCTCAGAAGAAATGAAAGCGTACAACCAGCTCAATTCAGAACCAGCCAACAACTTGAGCCACTCGGCCTGCTCAGGAACAGAAGAGCCAACCTTGAAAGTAGTCTTATCGCCAGACTTCTCAACAGTGACGCCAGAAACGTTCTCAACAGTGGCTGGAGTCTTACCGCCAAAGTATTCAACAACAGGATCTTGGAGAAGTCACCATCGTAAGCGTCAGCAACCAACTTGTTAATATGGCCCTCGTGAATACCGTCCAAGATATCCTTAATTGGCTCATCGACCTTGTTGGTGAATTGAGCAGCAACTGGACCGTGAAGAATACAGGTTCTCTGGACATCCTCGTCAACGACAGACTCCAAGTCTTCAGACTGCCACAAGGAGTCCTTCTTGAAGAAGAACTCGAATCTCTCATCCAAAACAGGAACGAATGGAGCAGGCTTCTGGGCAGCTCTAGCACACAACATCAAGAAGTTGTCACAGTCCTCCTCAGAGATCAACTGAGTCTTGGCAGTTGGGAAAGAGTCAAAGAACTTGTCAACGAAAGCCTGTGGGGTCTTTTCCAACTGGGCAAAGTTCTGGATCAAAGACTGCTTGCCAGAGCTAGAAGTGAATCTCTCTTCGACTCTTCTCAAGTAGTCACCCATGAAGTTTCTCAAAGAGACATCGATCCATCTCTCAGACTTCTTGACGAACATCAACTCAATCATACGGTTGGCAACTTCCTGGTAGGTCATATCTTCCAAGTCACAGACACCTTGAGCGTTGCGGCCGAACCATGGCTTCTGGAAATCCTTGTTCAACTTGTTGATGATGTAGTCCTTCTTCTTGGTCAAAGCCTCCAAGAGTTTGTTCTTTGGCAAGTTGAAAATAGTCTCATCCAACTCCTTCCAGAACATGACACCTCTGGTAGCGAGCTTGTGAATAGGCTCACCCATTTCAGATCTCACAGTGATGATACCACCAGTAGGCTTCTTGTAAGTGTTCTCCCACTTGCCGTCAGCAACACCAGAACATTCAGCAATGGCCTGCTTGGCAGCCAAAGAAGTGTGGGCCTCTTTAGCAGTCATAACTCTGGAACCGAACAAAACACCGTCAAATGGCATTGGTGGGTAGTTGAAGTCCTTAGACCAAGAACCAGTCAAGTATGGGTAAGTGTCAACATCAGAACCGAAACCGGAACCAGCGACCAACACAATGTTGGAGCACTTTCTGATCTTAGCGTACATCTGCAAGATTGGCTGGTGGAAGTCCTCGAAAGAGTGGTGACCACCACCTCTACCACCAGTCCACTGAAGAACAATTGGGAAGTTTGGATGAGCCTTGGCAATGGCAATAGACTGGTTGATGGAGTCAATGGAACCTGGCTTCAAGCCCAAGTGGGTCAAGCCCAACTCTTCAATGTACTCTGTGGCAACCTCCAAAGAAGGAACACCAGCACCAATGGTCAAAGACTGGATTGGGAAACCCTTGGCTCTCAATTCCTTGATCAATGGAATACCCCATTGCAACATTCTTGGGTTGACGTAAATCAAGTTGATACCAATACCAGAGCCTGGAGTGACTCTGCTGGCAACGTCTCTCAAAGCTCTCTCCATACCCTTTGGCTCAAAGTAACCACCACCGGCCAATTCAATGTGGTAGCCAGCGTTGATGGTAGCAGACACAATGTCGGTGTTGACGGTAGTTGGAGTCATACCAGGAACCATCAATGGAGCTCTACCAAGCAATCTGGAGAACTTGGTGTCAACGAAAACTTTACCAGCCTTGGTCTTTACCAACTTGGGTCTGTATTCGTCCAACCAGTTAGGAGCCCATTTGATGGAGCTCTGGGTTCTGTTGAAGATCTCCTGCTTGAAACCGTACTCGTCATCCTGGTTGGTGTCAATGGAACCAGAAATAATCACACGGGCACCGGTACCTTCCTTGTTTCTGTGGGTCAAGACACCCAAGCCGGAAACGCCACCAGGGCCGAAATCCAACAAGTGGGTGCTGTCGAAGTTGGTAGCGGTTTCCCAGTGGACAGGCAATTCGGTGATACACTTGGTGAGTCTGTCAATGACATCGCCTTCAGCGTTCTGGAAGTTCTCACCAGAGTAAGTGTCGTAAACTGGGATCTTGATGTCGGCAGCATCGAAAACCAAACCCTCGTTCTGGACATCAGTCAAGATCATGTCAGTGGCTGGTTCCAACAAGTGGGAGTGGAATGGAGCGAAAATAGGCAAGAAACGGTTGGAGAACTTCATCTTACGCTCGGAATATGGCACACGGGCCTGGTCCAAACCAGAAGGAGCCTTGTTGTTTCTCAAAGTCAAGTTCAAACCGTAAAGAGACTCTGGAGGACCAGAGACAACCATGTTTCTACCACCATTGACCAAAGAAATGGCAACATGCTTCTCAGCAGGCAAGTGAGCGTTGGTCTGGTGGATGAACTTTTCAACGTCAGAAAGAGACAAGTCTCTAACAGACAACATAGGAGAAGGTCTACCTTCACCATTCTCCAAAGAGTCCTGCAACATGGTTGGAGGCAAGGAAGTTCTTGGGTAAGCCATCAAACATCTGGCACCAATGAAGAACAACAAAGAAACAGCCTTGATGGAGTTTTCAATGAAAGAGTCCCAATCACCAGCGCTGGCAATAGCCACGGCGGTAACCAAACCTTGAGAGTGGCCAGTAGCACCAACCAACGCGTCTCTGAACTCACCTGGGGAAATGCCCAAAGTCTTGCAAGTAACAGCATAGTGGCACAACTGAATGACGCAAATCAAAGGACAAGAAACAGGCACACTCAACAAATACTCCTGGTCAGGGGTCTGGTCAGGCAGGTTCAACCAGGTCAAGATGTCAAAGCCTTGGGTATAGATCTTATCAACATTAGAGGTGGACTTGACCAACAGAGTCAACTTGGCGGCGATTTTCTGGAGCAAGTCGGAGAGAAGGCCGTGGTACATGAAGTTCAACTCTCTCAATTCCTCAAAGTAGTCGTCGGTATTACCCTGGCCACCAAAGATAGCCACAGTTCTGGCCAAACGGCGGGCGGAGTTCTGCACCAAGTCCGACAGTTGTTTAGGAATGCTGGTGTTGGAGCTGATGACCGCGTCAAAGTAGTGTTTGATCACTTCTTTCGTCTTGGCAGCGGTGGTTGGGTATGTTTCATCGGCAAGCAACTGGGCAGCGAAGCTATGGATGTCTGAGTTAGGGAAGAACCTCGACTGGAACTCTTGCAAGACAGCAGTCAAGATTTCGTCAAACAGGCCTTCGCCTCTAGCAGCAGGGTCAACAAGAGACGCGGTGAAACCCACGAATTTAGCAAACAATTCAGCTGGAGATGCTGGTTCCTCGTCCGAAGCAAAGCCCTCAGTAGGAACAGGCAAGGTCTTTGCAAACTGCTCCTTCAACTGGGAGTACTTGAAAAAAAGTGCCGTGGGCACCAAAATCGTATGTTCTATAGATCCATGGGAAAGAGCCAACTGGCGATGTGTGGTACTCATTGGGGAAGGTTGGAAACGATCAGTAGTATTCTTTCAAGCTTTGTCTGTGGAATAAAAACGTGCTTCTTGTTCTGTGGTACGCGAACAGAAGATAAATAGATTAAAAAAGGTCCAAAGTTGGAAAGGAAAACTGATTGGAAAGGGACACGAGCAGACTCTTTTGGTTAAGAATGGGTTTCTTTATAAAGAAAGATGGAACTAAATTTTGGGTCCATTGGTTTTTGCAACTCTCAACAATGTGCCTGCAGGACCCGCATATATTTGGTTAGTTTGTTGGGAGTCTTACCGAGAGGCCTTGCAGATCTCTGTAAGGGCGTTGGTGCAGTACCCTTGTAATTCACCAGGCCAGAATTTGCAGCCACCTGGAGAGAAGAGGGTGGATAAGGGGATGTATAGGGCCCGAGGAAAGGAGTGTAAAGGGGAAGAGGCCAGGGGAGAAGGGGAGGAATAGGGGATGGAAAGACCCGTACACCAGCAACGGTGGAAGCCAAACAAAGACAATTTAATGCAGCGAAGCTCCGAAGCCGAGGCGTAGGTGAGTGATAGGAGGGAGAGGAAGAGGTATAAAGGGGAGGGAAGTAGGGAGAGTTTAGGAGGTGAATTGGGGAGGAAAAGAAAGGTATATAAAGGTAAATGGAGGTAAGTAGGGGCATTCTTTCACCGGTAGAGCCTCTGGCGAGGCCCTACCTTGGCTCTCCCTGGTCGGCTGCAAACCGCGCTGCTCCGAGACCGAGGACTGGCGGTTAAACCAGCGACCTCAGCATAACGAAGCATTCAAAAAAACGGTTAACAAAACGCTGGTTTGTTGAAATTGGTGACTTCCACCAACGGTTTCCTTTTTTTTCTTACTTTTCTTTGGCTATTGTGGTGGGTTTCTTGGGGGTTGGCGCCAATTGATGGTTGGCTCTGCAGGAAACCATCCAACCAATTGTCCACCCACCTACCGGTTTTCTCCAGGCCCATCCAGGGCTTCCTCGGTAAACCTTAACCAGATGAAGAATCGCCTTACTTTTTGCTTTTGTGGGCGTTTCCAACGTTTTGCCCCGGGTGAGTGGATCCCTTAGTGGGAGAGAAAGAGAAAAGGATTTAATGGCTAATTCCAATTTAACTACTCTACTTTTCCAAATTCTATCTCTGTCTTTAGCCCTTTTCTTCCTGGCCTCTTTCTTTTTCTGGCTGCGTCGGTGGGTGCAACTTTTTGGCCCCAGAGAAAAATGGGAGGAAAAAAGAGAAAAAAAGAGACTAAAAGTGAAAAATACACAAAAAAAGGGTTCATAAAAAACAGCAAACAGAAGAAAAGTTGCGGCAAAAAATGGACCCTACGATTTTTTACGCTATCAGTTTCCAAGCGACTTCTCTAAAAATCTTCAATATCCCTGAAATCCCTCAAAATCTGTACCCTTTTGCTTCGCTCATTTGTTGGCTCAACAGAAGTGGCGGTGGTTTTTTTTGGCGCGTTTGGGGCGAGGGAAAAAAAAAAATGAACGGCCGTTTTTTGTCTTTCCTTTTGTTCTTTTTTGGCGGCTTTTTTTTTTTTTTTTTTTTTTTTTTCGCACCCAAAATCGAAGAAGCCCTGGTTGAACAAAGAAGGCTGGAGGCTGGAGGCAAGAAATGGCAAAGAAGTTTAATTTTGATAGGGGTAAATGTTGATCTGAGGGATTTATATGTTGGTGGGTTTAAAGAAGGTTTTTCGTAGATTATGGGCTGGTTTTGCCTGATTTGTTTTTTGTCTGCCTGTACTTGTCTATCTCTTTTGACTCTTTCTGACTGAGTCGGTTCGGGCCGTTGGCCCTCACAGTGCCCCTGAGCCACCATGGGTAAAACACGTGTTGGACACTTTTAGGCCTTTGTTGGTGGTTGTTGGCGGTTCGGCTGCTAGATCTCTTTGTTAGGGGTTGCTTGTTCCGGTAACCCGATCTAAGGGGTGTACTGGAAAGTGACATTGAGGAGGATAGGAGATAAGTCGTGGTGAGTGTAGGGAAGTAGGGTACTATGGGAGTTTTGGCTTAGTAGGGGTACAGTAACTGCTTGTGATAGGTGGATGAAAAGGGATTTAATTAGCTGTATGGGTTCTGGCTACGGCTGGGTTTATGGGACGTAGGAAAGGGACTGATAGAGATGCCTGGATAGAAATTGTAGTTGGTTTTATGCTTTATTATAGTATGCTCTTTCAAAGGTTGGAATTATTAGAATTATCAATGTTTTGAACTTAATTCTCTGGGTATTCAGATCGGTGTTACCGTTCTTCCTGGAGGAATAATCAACTGAATAATGGGTGCAAACTACATACTCCAGTGCCCAATATGACCTTTGATTATACTTTTATGAAATTAGAATCCTTGGATAAGATTTCCTTGAATTTACTTCCCTTGGATATGCTTCACTACTTTATACGGATACGTATAAAGTATATATTTCTGCCATGAAGAGGTACCTGACTTCAAAAGAACCGTTTGACCTGTCCCCACCTTACCATTACTACCACCCTACTCCCATTCAATGCTCTAATTTTATTCATATGCTATTTATTTTCCTGGCAAGGCCAAGGTATTGGAAACCTGTTTAGGGAACTCCCTCACGATGATCTCACACTTGACTTCCTTACACAAGTCCTTCTTGTTATAGTAAGGCACTCTCTGCAACAATTCAAGACCAGAGCTCCTTTCAAGAGCTTCCACTGGAACCTGGAAATTCGTCAATGGCTCTTCGTTAGGAATAACCTGGTTAGGCAACACAAATGCACCCACAGCCAACTTATCGCTACCTTTAACCTCACCAACCACAAGCTTAAAGAAATGCGTAGGAACGGCAATATTTGGAGGAGATCCAATCACCTCATACGTCACTCTATACTTATCGTCGCTGCATTTCTTAGGCAAGTACAATGGACCAGTCATAACACGAACATCATCATAACGGCCAGTAAGTCTACGCACGAAATCTTCAAAATGGGCCCAGTAGTCACGGTTAAAGCCGTCTCCAACCTGAGGACTCATGTTCGTAAGCAAGAACGTCTCGTCCATAGCCTGTTGCAGGAACTTAGCATCAGCAGCTGGAGCCTGGTGGCCTCTATCGTAGCCAGAACGGAAATAGTCTCGAAGACGAGCACGGAACTTGAGTGGAATACTTTCATCTTCCTTGAAAACCAGCTTCTTTCTGTCCACGCCCTGGCTACGGCTGATAGACTCTTTAGTAACATGCTCCAAGATCCAGTATGGATTCTTTGTAGCTCTATCGTAGCACGAAATGAACTCGCTATGTTTCAGAAGATCATGGATTGGACCAGGAAACCCGAATTTATAAAACGCCTCTGGCGACACGGAAACCTGGGAAACACCTCCTGGAGTGCTTCCTGGAACCGGTAAGTTAGGACTAGTACCAGAAGGACCCTTGTTATCAGTAGGAGTAGGATTAGGCTGGCTCAGGCGGCCCCAGAAGAAGGAAGCCACGCCAAAAGCACCCAAACCAAGCGAATGTGGAATGAACTTGGACATTGGACAGACGGTGGAGATGGAAGTTGGAGTATAGATCTAGCTGGATCTGATGAGCAGCGCGAAAAAATGGTCCAGTCACTGGAGGTGGATTATAATGAGACGTGTAAGGAGGGGGAGTTTGGAGAATTGGGTGGATTCTGTGTTTTCTAATGGGTTCATAGTAGACGTTAGAATTCGAATTTGGCTTTATTTTATAGAAATCAAAACAGGTGCCTTACTTGGTTGGACTGGTGGTGAAGAATGGCTGCGAAAAGTTGCAGCCAGAGGCTTCCATGGGCTGTAGAGGTATGGAGGGGAGATAAGCTATATAAGGTTGGAAGGAGGTTGAAAAGTGTTAGTTTCGGGCTAAATGAATGCTTGTGATAGTTTGGGATTAGCGAATTGTGGAGATGAAGAGATACGGTAAGTGCAGTTGGAGAGTGGTAGAGATGGTGTCTAGTAAGGCTCATACGTCAATTAGGTCCGTGGAAGTTACAGAAATTTAAATAAATAATATACTTTCGTGTTCTCTTGTGTGATTTAATGCCTTGCTTATGATTCTAGTTCACTTTTGGGCATAGTTGCAGAGACTGGATGGTGGGTTCCTATCTATACCCACTTCAGCCAGAGCCTACAAAACAACCTTCCAACGTAGAGAATTCGGGCAAGTTTAAGAAGAAAGAAGCTTAAGCTGATCTCTTCCTTACATACTAGTTTAAATGAATAAAACCTTTAGGGTTAACATGGAATGGTGACGCTTCCCGGCCAACCACTGCCCATTTGCAGCCATTAACCTCTGACCACCTAGCGTTACTATCTACCAAAATCCATCAGAATCGACTAAACTAAGATAAAAGCAGCCTCATTTTTTCAATTACAACCGTTGAGGTCCCACTTTCTCACCTTTAACCATACATCTCTCGTTGGGCAGCTCATCCCCACAAGCTCATCCCAACAAAGCCCATCGAAAATCCAATCTCGCCTTTATTCGCCCGTTTCTCGAACCACCCAAACCTCCTAACCAAAAACAACGTTTGCCGTAATTTCACGTCATTTTCCACGTTCCATCCAATCCCAGCCCATCCCTCTTCACGTAATCTCCCATCTGGACCACTTTTCGCAGCCATTTGTGGGGCTGCCAGCCAATTGAGTACATCCAATTCATCCAAACCGTCAATTTCCTCAACATATCGTTATTTTTTTAAGACCCTCCTAACCCATGTAATTCCGTTGTGGTGCTGTTTTTCCGTCAAGCCCCTTTACCAGCCCCCTATTATGCCTCTCCTTAGTCCTTACCTACCTCGTACATTCATGTTCCTGGCTAATCTCCCCACTGCAGCCCCACATACCATTAACCATGCCAATCCAGCAAATCACCGAAGAAACTCCGAAAAGTGGCAAATATAAGCGTGCAAACTAAAACTACCCTACTGGTCATCCTACTTTTACTACTTTCCACTTTGAACGAAACAACTGTCGTCCCTCTTATCTTGCCTTATCAGACCTGTCAGACGCAGAGGCTGCAGCTCATAAATGGCTGCAAAATACCATCAACCTACATCCTCTTCCTACCATTTTCCACCAAATCCTCCTCCTTCGTCCCCTAAATCTTCCCCCTGGCCCCCACAATCCCTGAAGTCTGCCTCTCGGGGCCCCTCCTTTATCACACAGTCCCGGCTCGGCCTGGCCTTGTAACCTCCTTGTAACTCATTGATCTCCACTCGAAGCCCCACAATAAGCTTTGGATACAACTTGCCCTTTGGACCTCTCTTGGCGGCGGCGGCTTATCGTGACCACACAAAGGGCTGCGGGCTGGACCAATGCCCTGCGATAACTGATAACAAAGTAGTAACTGCCGCCGTGCCTCGAGGTATATAAGGGTCCTGGATTCCCATGTAGAGTATTTCACCAACTATCACCATGACCTGGCAAGAATTGGCCCAAAGGGCTACAAGCATTTATGATAACTCACTTAAGAAGACCTTGGAAATGTTTCCTTTTGATAAGGAAACCCAGAAGGCCTTCGATACGCTTCCTTCTGCTCGAGGCAAGACCGTAGAGGACTACGGAGCGCCAGCAAAAGTGCCTTTGGAGGTATTTAAAGAGACAATGCCCAAGAAGTGTCTTGAAATCACTCTGAAGGATCCGTATGTTTTGCTTCAGGACCTTAAACTGGGCAAACTCACTTGTGTGGAAGTGTTGACTGCTTACTTCCATGCAGCCATGATAGCTTCGAAGCTTGTCAATTGCATTTACGAATTCATGCCTGAAGAGGCTTTGGCATTGGCGAAGAAGTTTGATCTGGGACCAAAAGACTTGCCTTTGTTAGGGCTCCCTCTTTCTTTGAAAGAGATGATTCCAGTGAAGGGCAGAGCTGTCACTCACGGCTCGCTTTGTTACTTGGACCGTGTGGTGGACTACGATGCTGATATTGTGAATATCTTGGTGGCCGCTGGAGCTATTCCTTTCGTTCGTACGACCAACCCCCAGTCTTTAATGATGCTTGAGTGTGAGTCTTGGACTCATGGAAGAACTGTCAACCCATACAATTCTCTGTTGACTTGTGGAGGCAGTTCTGGAGGTGAAGGTGCTATTCACGGTATTGGAGCTGCTGCATTTGGACTAGGTTCAGATATTGGAGGCAGTATTCGGTGCCCTAGTGCTTTCAATGGCGTCTATGGACTCAGAAGCACTGTGGGTAGACTTCCTGCTGGAGACTACTTCTCGTGCCAGCTTGGATCTGAATCTATTCTTTCTGTCACTGGCCCTATGACTCGTTCTTTGGAGCTTTTGGAGCTTGTCATGAAGACTATTGCAGACCTGAAGCCCTGGCTCGTGGACCCCTCGTTGGCTCCACTCCCATGGAAATCCCAAAAGAAGGAGAAGTTCACAATTGGTGTTTTGTACGATGACGGTGTTGTGGCTCCACAGCCTCCAATTGCCAGAGCATTGAAGATGGTAGCTGATCAGCTCTCCAAGCTTAGCAACGTTGAAGTCATCCCATTCAAGCCTTACAAGCATGACAAGGCATGGGAAATCATCACTTCGCTCTACTTTGAAGATGGCGGTAAAGACACCAGATCCACCATGGAGAGATCTGGAGAACCTGCTCTTCCTCAAACTGAGTGGATCCTTTCTGGTGAACATGTTGCTTCCTTGGAGCCCAAGGATATCTGGAAATGGAACATTGAAAAGGTCAAGTACCGTAAAGATTACCTTGCTCACTGGTTGAGCCAAGGTGCCCCAGATGCCGTGATAGCTCCAGTGTTCCCAGGTCCAGCCTGTAAGCCCAGAACGTCCAGGTACTGGGGCTATACTGCCCAGTGGAACCTTCTTGACTACCCTGGCATTGTCTTCCCTGTAACAACTGTCGATCCAAAGCTTGACACTCCCGTCAAGGATTACAAGCCAAGAAACGAAATGGACGAGTTTGTTTGGAAGCAGTATGACTCTCCAGAGAGCTTTGCCAATGCTCCAGTTGCACTTTGCGCTGTGGGACTTCGTAACACCGACGATACGCTCGTGGAGGTGGCAAAACTCCTCGAGAAAAAGTAACCCTAGTCAACTTTTAAGCTATTTAAGTATTTATTCGAATTATCATATGCCCCCTAGCCAGTATGTAATTCAAGGTTATTTCCTGTTTGGGCGTAGGATCTCGCACTGAAAAACGTAAATCTGGGGAAGCATCAACTGGACAACTCTTCTTCATACATTCCCTAAACAAAGCATGCCCCAAGAGTACATCGAGCTCCAGCAGCTCCCTGGCGACGACCATAAGCCTCAGTTTAGTACGGGACTTTCCCAGGACGAGGTTACCACGATTCTACTGCGCCTTGGTCTACCGACCATATATGATACATTGGATGAGTTACCCAAGCAGGCGCAGTTTATGATCGAGAAGATCGAGAGTTTGGAGGTGGAGAAGGCTGTAGTGATTCTACGAGACACTTTGGCAGAGCATCGTGGCGATGTGAACTTTCCTCTGGCTGATTTCCACTTGATAGAGAAGTTACTTGGACAATTACCTACTGAGGGCCAGCTGGACCTGGCGAAGAAGATTGATGAGAGTGATCAGGAGAGTGGGGCAGATATGTGGTCGCTAGAGGTGCGCCTTGAAGCTGCGTTGGTGGCTTTTCACTCTCCGTATCCAGAAGTGAGAGCAGTGGTGGACCCTTATGATGATCCGTCTATGCCAGCAGAGACTCTTCGAGTTTACGTTATCGGCTTGTCGTGGACGCTTGTGGGGTCGTTGATCAATAACTTCTTTGTGCATAGACTTCCTAGTATTGTGCTTTCTGCAAGTACGGTGCAACTTCTCCTTCTTCCCAGTGGAAGACTCTGGGAGAAATCGTTTGAACTAAACAGAAAGGTTTCGATCTTTGGAAGAGAGTATAACATTAACCCGGGGCCATGGAATTATAAGGAAATGATGCTTGCCACGATCATCTACTCGTGTTCTGCTGGCACGCCATATGCCATTTACAACTTCTTTGTCATGAAGCTTGACCGCTTCTATGGCCTCAGCTGGGTTTCCTGGGAGTACCAGGTCATGTTTGCCTTATCCACGCAGTTCTTGGGCTTTGCTTTTGCTTTCTTGATGCTTAAGGTTTGCGTATACCCCAAGAAAGCAATGTGGCCGACTCTCTTACCGACTATTGCACTTAACAGAGCCCTTATGAACGATGATCCTCAAACAAACATCAACGGATGGACTATATCAAGGTACTCTTTCTTTTTTGTGGTATTTGTGGCCAGTTTCTTCTATAACTGGGTTCCATCTTATTTATTCAAAGCCCTTTCTACATTCAATTGGCCCACATGGTTTCTGCCCAATCTGATCCACTTGATCAACGTCACAGGTACGAACCAGGGCTTAGGGCTTAATCCTCTTCCTACCTTAGACTGGAATATCATCGATATGGCAGGCTGTTTGACAATTCCTTTCTACACTTATGCTAACCAGTACATGGGTATGGTCTTGGGCTTTTTCACGATCCTTCTTGTTTACTATACCAACAATAAGTGGACATCATACTTTCCTATCAACTCAAATCGTCTTTTCAGCAATACAGGCGAGGTTTATGATGTCAAGAAAATCCTTGACGAGCACAAAGCATTCAACCATGATAAATACATGGAATATGGACCTCCATACTTTTCAGCCGCCAATTTGGTGCTTTACGGTGCCTACTTCTGCATGTACCCGTTCGCTATCTTATACCATACGGTAACAGAATGGTCTTCCATGAAACAGAGTTTCTCAAACATCTGGCTTACCCTTAAAGATGCATTCAAGAAAGACCATGACTCCAATTATAGCCGTTTTGCTGAAGACCCACATTGTGAGATGATGTCTCATTATAAAGAAGTTCCTAGCTGGTGGTTTTTGACAATTTTGGTTGTCAGTGTGACGTTTGCCCTCATTTGTGTGATCTTTTACCCTGTGGAGACACCTGTCTGGGGTATTTTCTTCACCATTGGCATCAACTTCCTCTTCCTTATTCCCATCACAGCCATCGCTTCTGTTACAGGGTTCACATTTGGCTTGAATGTCTTAGTCGAGCTCATCGTCGGTTATGCTATTCCTAACTCTGGTATAGCACTTATCACGCTTAAAGCATACGGTTACAACATCGACTCACAGGCATCAAATTATATTACAGACCAGAAGTTGGCACACTATACGAAAGTGCCGCCTCGTGCTATTTTCCGAGGCCAGATTATCCTGACGTTCCTTAGTGTCTTTGTTGCACTCTTCATTGCAAATTGGCAAATGGACAATATTCCAGATATTTGCGAGCTTCATCAGAAGAATAGACTTAGATGTCCCGGTGCTAACACTTACTTCTTCTCGAGTATTCAATACGGAGAGATTGGACCAGCCAAGGTCTTTGGCGGTATCTACCCAATCTTGAAGTGGTGTTTCTTGCTTGGAGCTGTTATGGTCATCCCCATGGCGCTTTTCAAGAAACATGGACCCAAAGGAATCACCAGATCGTTCCAGCCCACCATCATTTTGGGCGGCTTCTTGAGTTACGCTCCTTATAACATGCTGTACTTCACTGGAGGGCTTTACTTGTCGTACATCTTCATGTACCGCATCAAAAGACACTATACCATCTGGTGGGAGAAGTACAACTATATCTTGACTAGTGCCTTGTCTGCTGGTGTGGCTTTCAGTGCATTACTCATCTTCTTCACTGTCCAATACAACAGAGAGGAGCTCGACTGGTGGGGAAACAGAATCAGCAACATTGGCATTGAAGGCTCCAACAAGCACCATGCATGGCTCAAGGCCACCGACGCTCCAGGCGGGTACGTTGGCTTAAGAAAAGAGCAGTACCCCTAGAATATGATCTTGGACGCCGATATGATATACAAAATAGTTACAATCAACACAACCGTAACGATAATAAACGCAGACAATGTAGACATCGGGTAGTAGCCCTCTGCAAGCAAGTTTTCAGCATAGTAGAACCGCACAAACCCTGTTACTAGAGTGATGATCCCTAGCACAATACATATCACCGCAAACGGTTTCCCCAAGCTCAATGTGCTTTCCTTGCCGAACTCTATAATAATCGTATACGACCCAATGTCAACATAGCACTCCTTCTCGGTAAACCGTAGCAATTGAGCCATAGCTATACCAATGGAGACGCATACTATAGAAGTGCGTAGCCATGCCAAAAAGGTTCTTTCATTTGCAAGCTGGAGTTAGAAAAGAGCTTTTATCTATATTTAATCAACATACATTGTCTCTGGCAACGGTCTTGACGTTCTTGAGTCGTTTCAGCCGTAGCGAGTACTGGTTCATGAAGTATATATGGAGATCGGGATCAGATTAGATAAGGTGCGCATTAACTGTGGGAAAGTGTGGAACTGCCAGGGAGTTAGAGAAAGAGTAGATGTGACGAGGAAAACAATACTTTGATAAAAAGGCGTTTTATCAGATTAAGGGGTAGAAATTGGAACATCGGTATTTCTTTTGGGAAAGTCTTTTTGGCTCCTGGTATATATGGGGCACCACGAGGGCTGTTCCTGGCCATGGACCGTGAATAACAGAAGCACTTGAAAAAGTAAGAAAAGTGCTTTAAGCTATTTGATTTGGTTAAGCTCATCCCCTATAGCAGGAAGCACAAGGAGTTTTTGCTGTTTACGAGGTTGATGCTTCATGATGTGCATTGGTAATGCACTGGTAAGTACTCCATCACGCCTGTAATGATATTTTTTCCGTTTTCTACTACCCAAATAAAAAAGTAGCCTCTTCTACCTACATTAACCAACATCCATCACAATTCATGCATCTGGATGCAACTAGTCAATGGCTTTGGGTGGCTGCAAAATGAGCCAAAACGAGCCCATCTAAACCTACACTTTCATCGCCATAACTTATATTAACAGCAAACTTACAAAATCAAAGCGGCACCGGCAACCAAAGCGACAGCACCCATGGCCATAGGCTTGGCAGCGGCGTTCTCCTCAGGAATGGAAAACTCCTTGGTGATGTTGGCACAAGCAATTCTCGTAGTGTTATGCAAGTGCACCACCACCGACAAGTCAGCAAAGAAAGCCTCGTTATCTGGGTTCAACGAGAGGTATGGGTCAATGTACGAGGTTTCAAACGACTGGGTCTCAATCTCGCCGTGTCTTCCAGAAAGGTCACCCACCTCCAACTCAGCAGGCGTGGGAGCCTTCTCGTGGCCATTGTATGGGTTAAAGTGGGCCTTGGTGCCAGTACAGTTACCGTCAGAGGGCACAGGCAACTCGTGAATGTGGTACATGAACGGACCACCGTAATCAGGCAAACCAGAAAGGTTTACATCCACAAGGACAGAGCCATTCTTGGATGAAAAGTTGACATAACCTTCAACGCCCTTATCGAATTTAGCTCTATAAGAAGCGCCAACAGGCGAGTCGTGAGACTCTGGAGCCGGGTCAGCAGCAACAACAGAGAAGACAGCAGCAGCACAAGCGAGTGGTTTCCAAAACATCTTTAGTTTACAAAGAAAAAAAAGAGGAACCGTTGGCGTATTTATACGTCAGGGGTAAGTGCTTGACGAAAGCTTGGCTGCAGATTGACAGGCAAAAAAGAAGCACCCAATCCAGCGAGTGGATGCTTTTTGCATGCCTTTTTGCAAGTTATTGGACCGTCCCAGAGTGGCAGGCCTGGTGCATACATACGGGCTGGGAACAAGAATGTGCACTACAATAGGAAAAACACCCAAAAAAGACGGTAGGTTTTTGGACCATTTATAGTACACATATTAGACGTTTCTATACTTTTCCTGATGACATAAACAAAATTGTGTTGGTGGCAGCTTGACACATTTGAAGCCCAACTGTCTTGAGTAGCATAAATTGCTCGGGGCGCTGAGAATGGCAGGCACAGAGGATCTGTCGGTGGTGCGGCCCAAGCCTTGTTGGCAGTAGCCAATGGCCAGTTGGGGCAGGATAATGGGGGACATAATGGCTTTGATCGGTAGCAAGCAGCCAGGGAAGGGAGCCAGTGGAGACACACCAGCCAAGAAAGGCAGCGAAGGTTCCCAATGGGGCGCCTGGGGGCCCGTTGATAGACAGAGGATGTAGATTGTAGAGGAAGTAGAGGATGAAAGATAGATTGTAGAGAAGGTAGGTTGTAAAGGATGTTGTCTGTTGTTTGTTGGTAGGGGGCTTGGACTGATGCTTCTGATAAATCGGCGGCGTATGTATGTTTGACGAATTGCGCCAGGCGGCGGTTTTTATTTGTTGTTTGGGCCAAATGCCCGCATGGGCGTACCGAGTGTCGGCGCCAGGCAGTGGAAGTAGGCCATTGGTGGTGGTGGATGGTTTGTAGAGGCAGTATTGGCTTGTGATGGGAGCAAGTGGAAAGTACGGCTCCAGGAAAGGCAAGTACCAGAGCTTCGGAAATTTTGGAGTATTTCAATTTACGGCTTTTTATTGGTTTTCGGGTACTTAGGGACGTTGGTGGCTGCGGATGGACACTGGCTGCTTGTCCTCGCTCTGGCTACCACATGTACCCCAGACTGTCTACACTAGACCATCAAGGAAAAGATAACATTCCGAAAAATAAAAGAGAGGTATTATTGGCTTACTGTTTATTTCTTTATAGATTGTATTTGAACGTTCGGGAGTTTGACGAAGCTTTGGGCCATATTAATAGTGCTATTAGAGACTCGCATTGGCTGTAGTGCTCTTGAACACTCCTCTGACCAGCTTAACTAGTCAATTGGCATGTATCTCACCTTGAATGAAGCCTTAGTGTTCTAAAATGCTTTCTATCTTCTTCATCTCTACGGCTCTACAGAGTATATCATCAGCTATCATTCAGCATTGCTTATTCGTGATACCTCTGTCATAACTTTGGTGTTTAGTTTTAAGTGAGTACTCAACCAAGACTAACACATAGACCTCCATAGTTAACTGCCTCCAAACTCCACTACCTTTTAGACAGACTAAACTTTTTAATAAGATCCGATCCTGGACCCTGCAATCGTCCTACATTGCTCTTGCTGCCTTGTTTGAGGTCAGCATGCTGAGGGAACACTCCAGTACGTCACCGCAATCCACCCACCCTTAGGGAAAGGTGAACTAGAAGGTGAAGAAAGTGACGTCAGGCTGGGAAGCCAGCCTTTGGAGCTTCACCTTCTACAGCATCCCAGATACCACCTATATAGCGTCTCACGCATCCTCTAACTTTTACCCTTTCTGCATTTTCCATCTCCACGTTGGTAGTCCTCGGCTTGTGTTTTTCGCACCCATTCGGTCATACAACCAGCCGTACTATCACAGGCGTACTACTTAACATCACCAGTGACTGGAACATTCCTTTCCGTTTTTTTTTGTTATCTAAAAATGCATATCCCTTTGTTGGGCAGACTTTCCCTTGTGGAATGGCCCTTGGTGGCTATTTCCTTCTTCCTTACATGGCTTGAATACATTTCGACCTTGATCACCAGGTTGCTTCCTTCAACCGCTATCAATATGATGACTTACTCTCTCCAGGTCATCTATAGCTTTACTTCTACGCCGATAAGGTTTATTTCGTCTGGGGGTGATATCCTGAGCGAAGACGGAATGCCTGATATCAAATATAGGTACTTATCTGGCGGAGAAGGCGATGTGGATAAGGAGAAGTACGATAGAATGACCACGCTTCTTAACGCTAAGGATGTCCTGGAGATGTGTGCTGTTTTCGGGTACGAGGTTGAATCTAGAATGATTAGAACAAAGGATGACTACTTGCTTACGGTCCAGAGAATCTCCAGGCCAAACGCTGGTCCTAGAAACGGTAAGGTGGTATACATGCACCATGGTTTGCTCATGTGTTCTGAGATCTGGGTCACTATGCTTGATAAGAATGCAAACTTGCCATATGTGCTTTACGAGTTGGGCTATGATGTGTGGTTGGGTAACAACCGTGGTAACAAGTACTCCCACAAGCACTTGAGCCATAGACTTAACCTGGAGAAGTTCTGGGACTTTTCCTTAGACGAGTTTGCCTTCTATGATATCCCAGATACGATAAACTACATTTTGGAAGCCACCAAGAAGAAGTCTTTGGTCTACGTGGGCTTTTCTCAGGGTACAGCCCAGGCTTTCGCTAGTGTTTCAGTCAACCCAGACTTGAACGAGAAGATTGAACGTATCGTGGCTATCTCCCCTGCTACTACTCCACACGGTCTTTACCTGAGATTCTTGGATATTTTGCTCAAGTCTAGCCCGGTGTTTGTTTACTTGCTTTTCTCAAGAAGAGTGCTTATGCCTAGTGTCTTATTGTGGAACAGAATCATGTACCCGCCATTCTTTGACACCTCAATTGACCTTGCAAACTATACATTGTTCAACTGGAAGGCTCTTAACATTGACAAGTTACAAAAACTCAGCTCCTACGCTCACCTTTACTCCACCACTTCGGTCAAGACCGTTGTACACTGGTTCCAGATAATATCCGCCAAAAAGTTCCAGATGTACCACGACGAATCGAACTTCTCTTCGCTCAACCCTATCGAATACCCCTTGAAGAATATCGAGGTTCCAATTCATCTTATCTACGGTGATTCAGACCTGTTGGTTGACATTGAAGTGATGGAGAGACAATTGCCTAAGAAGTACACCACTTCTCATCCAGTGGCCACCCATGAGCATCTAGATAACTTGTGGGGTAGAAATGCTGCGACCGTTGTTTTCCCGTTAGTGTTGAAGTCGCTTGACGAGCCAATCTCTAACGGCAGTAAGTAGGTGTTGTTCCGAATAAGGTAACTCCAGCAATTCCCATTGTGCTGGGTATAGATTCGCATTTAATGTATAGTAATGGCTAAAAACGCACAATTGTGAAACATAAAAAGGGATTGCAAAAATCCAGTTTTTATAAAACCAAGAAGAAAACACAATTTCTCATCAGCTTATAGTCATCCATCCACCCCCCAAACACACATCATACGTTATTTGTTTTCTAGGCGTGGATTTTGCTTCCTTGGCCACTCAGGAAATGGCTGCAAAATGGTCGTGCGAGAGTAAAACACATACCCCCAGCCAAACCTACCACACCGCCTTTCCCGGGAAACCCAAAACCAAAGCCTAATTAATCAAAACCCTTAGATTCCAATATAATCTTCCTTTTTCCAGCCCCAGCTGGCACCATTCCGGAACAACACACACTAGAAAACGACCTTTCCTCCATATAAGCATCTCTTGCAACCTTAGGTACCCTGCAATTCTCAACTGGCAGCCAAACGTCTAAATTTGCACCTTTCATCACCAGTCCAAACCGGCTTTTGCCACATTCCCTGCTTTTTGACATTCACAACCAGATAGGTCCACCAGACTCTGTGACTCCTAATTACCCCAGCCGCTTATTAGGCGCCAATAAATTTGTCATAGAATGGCTGCGGCAGCACATCACTCACAAGTACGTTCACCAGAGAATACTGGCTATTCTGGAATTTATACTAACAATCCAAAGACGCCAGTGGAATCTCCGGAAAAAGTTAAACAAGAAAGTATGTATTTTGTTGCTGTTTGAATTCGTATAGTTAATACTAACTACTAGTGCTTTCGCAAAGGTCCAATGACACTGTCCCACGACTAATGCATGGTGAAGCTGGCGACCCGGAACTTGATAGAGCCACTCCTGATACATCCAAAACAGAGCCACTATATCCAGAAAATGATAATGCTGAGTATACAGATATCCTGAGGACGAAGGAGTTGACTATCGAACAGTGTTCGCAGAAACTATCGCATGTTCTAGGAAAGCTTCTCCGAGAGAACCCGGAAGACTCCATGAAAGAGAAATACGAAGAGCTCCTAGAAAAACTTACGAGTGCCGTTCCATTGCCCCTGAAAGCGTTTACTCAGTGCTACCCACAGAACTATCTTTCAGAGATACTTATAACGAACTACGCAGACCTCGTCAAGTTCTGTTCGCTGTACTTGAACTTGTCTCTTTCATCCCACGTCACCAAGTTTGTCGTTAACGTTTTTTACAGTTTAGAATGTTGGGAGATTTATCATCTACTACAAATGGTTCCTAACCTTGATTACTTTCTAAGGCTTGTTGATATAGAAGTCACCGATACGCCATTTGGACACATTGTTTCGCCACCGGATAACTTTATGGGCTTCAATTTGAGGCAAGGCTTCCAGTATCCATTCCCATTCCCATTCTACAACTTCTCATACCATACCATGAATCCAGACGTGACTTCTCAGAAATTCCAAAGGCTCCGCATTGATAATTACATAGACATACGCTTGAACAAGGCACAGCCCAAGAAAAAGAAGAAGTCAAGAGCATCAAAAAAGACAGAGGCATTGCCATCTCTTTCTCAAGATACATCGCAGCGCAATATCGATTTACCAAGACAGGATTCGTCTGTCTCTGAGCCTTCGCATGAATTAAGTTTCCAAATTATGACTCTTCGGGATATTGAACTGGATGTGGATGCGGTGGAGGGAGATTTTGACGATGATGAAGATGACGGATACAATACTGACGATGCCGAGAGGTTATTACAGGACGAGAACAAAAGCGTTCTGGAAGAAATACCACAAGACGCTCAGCAGGTCTTGTTTGTTCCTTCAATATTCCAGCAGATACTACTTAACCCGCAAGATCCAGCTTATCAGGCATACCTTAGTCTGCTCCCAGGTTCAAAATCCAGTGAAGTCCTTGAGGGCAAGCACGAGCCCATCAAACACCGGAACCTTGTCCCGCCTCAACAGAAAGCTCGTCGTGATCTGCTTACGAGACATCTGCGCAAGGCCCACAATGTGGTGGGTGAGCCTAACAAGATAGCCATAGAAAAAGCAAAGGATACCGCTGAAGTTGTGGGCAAACGCAAAACTCCATCAACCGGAGTTCCACCTGAACAAGACAAGAGAAGCCAACCCGCCAACATACCTACAATTTCTCATCAAAGATCGTCTCCACAAGAAGATGTCATGCCAGTTCCACAGGAAAGCAGCAAATTGCCACAGCCACCATCGTTCATAAGCGCTGCACCAATGCCAGCCTCGATGCAATATCCTCCACAGTATAAAGAAGCCTCTAGGCTGCCATACTACGGCCATGCTGCCCCTGTTGGCTCACATCCACTGCCTCAGTTCCCAGCATACGCATCAGCTCTACAGCCACCTACGTTAGTCTCACCACAACTCAATAAGAGAGGCGATGAGGGCCGTCAAGACCAAAGTCCGCAGCTACAACAATATGGATATGCTGGGTATCCAGCATTCCAGCCTTACGGTCAGCCGTTCTACGGAGCCGACGGCAGGCTCTTCATGCAAATGCCTCTTCCAGGCTACGTCCATCCCATGGGAGTGCCACCACAGAAAATGCAAGGACAGCCAATGCAAGGACCTCAGAACATACACAGCCCACAATTCCAGCATCAGCAGCAGTTCCTGCCAGTGGGCTCCATGCCTATGCCTCCCATGGGTTACCAATATGCCGTAAACGAAGCAGGCCAGCCACATGGGTCGCCTCAAATGCATCCAGGTCAATCTAATCCTACTCCCCCGCCTCCAATTGGCCACATAAGGCTGCCACATATCAGAGAAGACGACAAGTCTAGAAACATGTAAGTTAGGAGTGGGAGAGAAATGGTTGCAAAAAAAAAAGTCAAAAATAAAACGGTGTGTATACTGTCTGCAGTACAGGCACCAGACAGGTAGCGGTAACGCACCCTGGTTGTGTTGAGAATGGCTGCAAAAACGTCGTGTGTGTGCACAAAAGCGTCAGTGATAGCTCTAGGAGAGATGTCTCATCAGGGAAGTGCAACCCCATCCGCCCTAAAATCTCACAAAATACACGATACCACGAATTGCCTCAAATTAGGCAACACCAGTAACATCCTTCCCATTTTCTGTTTTTTTCTTACTCTTGTGTGCCACTCTTGATGGTCGTGCGCACCACACAAACCTATCTACCTCTACTCGCAAATCCTTATTTTGCAGTCACTCTATTCACCTACGTCGTTCCACAGTTCCCCTATAATTTTCCTATATCTGCTAGCATTCTCGGCATCCTGAAAGCAGTATATACATTCCCTGACCACTCCTTTGTTCCAGATATTCTGCTTTTTTCTACTAGCAGGTCTCAAATAGTGCTCACACACCACTGACTTACAGCCAGAGAGGACACAGCAAAGGTAAATTCCACGAGGAAAGGTACCTCCAAATAACCTATTCCATTTAAAATTGCTTTCATTTGCATAGGATAAGTCCCCAAAAAATAATGAGTGAAGTTTTGAGGAGCCCTTCTGACTTGCCCAGCTACGAGTCTTCGTTTACATACCCAACGTCAGAGGAAACTGCAACGGCACCTTCGGCTGTTTCCGGTAGTGTTGCTGAACTCCAGGAGGCTACTAAAGGACAGCAGATAGCTCATAATACTTCCATGGCTGCTCCTCAGCGAGTGCAGCCACTACTGCCTTATTCCCAGCATATGCCAGGTCATTCACCTACAGCGCCAATGGAGTCTCTGCCAACGAGTACTTCAATATCAGGGCCTATAGTGCCTTTGGGACAGTTAGCAATTGTTCCGTATATTCCTAGCGTTGCGGAGGCGCTTGCATCGAACGCTCCATCATATACTGCTGCGCTCACGCAGCTAAGTAGCACTGGCATGGCAGAAACTATGAGTGTCCTTTGTAATAGCGAGCCCCAAGTGGTTTCTGAATACGCAGAGCTTTTGTCCAAAGCTGGAACTTTATTGCATGAAGGTCAGCTTGAAGAGCCTTATGGCCTGGCGCTAGAAAATAGGTTCATTGCATTGACCGAGTCTTTGCCACACTACTTGGCACTGGAACACCCAGCTGCTTCTCAGTTATATGTCATTGCGGAACGTTGCTTTGACATTCTAATCAAGCTTTCGATGAACGATTCAAAGCCTTCGCTTTCTTCACATACAATCAAGTTTCTTACCAGCATCATGATCAATCTCAACTACTGGGAAATTTATAACCTCATTAGATGGAAACCTGCAATCTCCCTGTTTTTGGCACTTATAAAGTTCGATATGAATGATTGCTATAAGAATTTCATCAAGAACTATTCCAATTTCAAGCATAGACAGGTCCAATACCCTTCTGCCATGGTTGAAAAGTTTAGCATATTAAGAGCCAAACGGAGGAGGGAGCGTGATCGCCGCTTTTCTGAAGCATCGATGTATGATGGTGAAGACGATAGAGAATCGCATGAAGACCACGATAAAGCCGATCAAAAGGCCAAGGAGAAGAAGAAAAAGGTGGACGCAAAACTATCTGCGCATAGGGTCATCAAGAAACCGGAACTCAAGTCTGCCAGTGCTCGCTCTTCTAATTACGATCCCGACGTCATTCACGAGTGTCAGCTTCCTTCTGCTGAAGAGCCAGGCAAGTTGTGCCTCAGGAGGTTCTCCAGAAAGTATGAACTCATACGGCATCAGGATACCGTGCATCTGAAGAAGAAGAAGTTGTTCAAGTGTTTTGTTTGTGTGAAGCAAGACCCTGTAATGGGTCCAAGAATATTTACGAGGCATGATACGTTGGCAAAGCATATAAGGGTAAACCACCGCATTTCTGGAAAAGAAGCCAAAGCTGAGGTTGCATACTCAAAGAAGCACGCTGAAATTGTTGATGAAGGCGACATTACTGTTCATGTGGGTCGTAGAAAGACCAAGGTTGACTTTGAACTACGTGCCCACATGAGTAAAAGAGGTGCTCGGGAAGCACCAGATGGCAGTATTATCTTTGACGATGAAGATATGTTATCTGGCGAAGAAGGAGAGCCAATGATAGACGTTGTTTAACGAAGATTATGTATGTCCGAGTATAACTTTAATTCATGGAAAGTGGATTGGCAGGGCTTTCAGAAAGGAAGTTCTACCATATTTACTGTCACGAAGCATTAAAAAGGTATCTTCAAACGTTCAACTTGGCTAAAGCAAAATAGCTGCAAGCAAGCAATCATTGTCGTATGGCGGTAAGTCCATGTTTAAAGCTATTGTCGTCAAAGGCAACCATGAACGGTAAACGAGTCTGAGTAGAGCCAGAACATCAAAGGTACCATCATAAGTTTCTCTACAACTTGAAAGAACCTGAACGGAATATATACTTATAGATAGATAAATTTAGTATTCCAGCACGAGAAGGGTCACTTATGTTGTAGTTCTAACTCCAAAGCGAATCATTAGTCGTCCTTTTCTCTACTTCCAAAATATATAATACACCTCAGAAGGCTCTGTAAGTTCTCGCCTACCAGAGACTTGCCAGTATTCAACAAAGCTGGTCATTTCTTATTGGCACCGAATGGCATTAAATTGGCAATTTATACCGAAGAACACCTCACATATGTTTGTGATCATTTGAACCATCGACTGTTAATCATACAGCTCTGTTCCAGACCTATCCTTTTTAAAACCTGGCAGCCGCCTTCTCGTACGCCTGTTGTTCGAGAATCGCCTTCTTGATTTCTTCATCTTCGATGTCCTCAAAGATTTCTTTTGGAACGGATGCAAGACCCGTCACCTTACGGCGAATGTCTGGGTTGTAAAAAGCAAGAGAGCTCTTGAGAGTGTTGCTCTTGTCTCCACCAGAGATTTTGTAAACAGAAGCTCTTTTTGGCTGACTTCCCTCGGGGTAGAAATTAAAGCCACTGTAAGGGTCTTTAATACCCCTTATCCAGACCTGATTTCTCTGTTCTGTCAACGTGGAATTGAAATCTAGCGTTTGCTTGGAAACCTGATATAACCACGTAGGATCAACCTGGTAGTTGATCAAAGCAGAGCCTGTAATTTGGTTCTGGTAGTTCTCTGCACCATAACTGGCAGCTCTATTGGAAGTGGATGCTTCTTCTGGATCAGCATATTCACCAGAAACATCGCCTCTGTCAATTGCTTGTTGCTCCCAAAAATCATCAACAACCTTTTTTCCTCCGAGAACCATTCTGGCACCGAATTCTCTATATATAGAACGCGCCGTGACAAGGTTGACGGATCTACCTTTGTATGATGTTGGAATCAAGTGACGGTCAATCAAGTCCATCTTCTCCTCATGAGTACATACTTTCTTGAACAATGACAGATGGGTTTTGAACAATAAGTACGAGTCTCTGAAACCAACAAGACGAGCTGGCTCGGTAGACACCATATAGAGTCTATCACCCTTGCCTAATAGAGTAAAAGTCTTAACCCTGTATTTTCTGTCACCTTGCAAGCGGCCCAATTCATCCACCTTTTCTTGACCCTTCGGGTCCTCCTCGTCAAGCACAATCTCGTCGTTCTGGACATTGATTTCGTTTCCCTTATCATCGTACATAACATCGTCGGGTCTAGGAATCTTAGGCTTTCTACCTCTCTTCTTACCCTTCTTCTTAGGAGGCTCACCATCAGCGCCTTCTTCAGTCTTTTTTTCTTCATCATCATCATTCTCGTCCTTATCCTTGTCTCCTTCTTCATTATCCAATTCGTCGCTGGCAGACTTTCTCTTTCTACCTCTAGGACGACCCACTTTAACAACTTCATCATCGTCGTCGTCATCAACATCAGCGTCGTCATCGTCGTCGTCGTTGACTTCAGCATCTTCATCATCTTCTTTGACGCCAGATTCGTCATATTCTTCACCTTCCTTGTATTCTTCATCATCAGCCTCAGGGTCGAGGTCTAGACCCGCCAAACTAACACGTTGTGTTCTAGGCTGCCTGGGGGATCTAGCCGATCCATTTTCATCATCCAGAGGCAGTGCAGACATTCTGTGTGTGGTTATTTGTTGGATGGATTGGTCTATGAGAAGCGTGTTGTAGAGGATTTGTTTCGCTAATTTGGTCACGTGCAGAAACTGCATGTCTGGCGGTTGCAAAACTATACCAATCAGTTCTATACTGTATTTTTTTTTTTCGGTTTCTATGTTAATTGATTATATACAAGGGTTCGTGCAAAATTACTTTTCGTCATCCTTTTTCTCATCGGCTGGCTGCTCGTTCTGGTAGGCGGGCTTTCCGTCAAGGTACTTGTCAAAAGCATCATTGGTCTCAGGGAAAGGTCTCTTACCTAAAAGCCTTATCATGTCTTCTCTGGTAATAAACTCTTTCTTGAGCAATTCTTGAGCCACCAGCTCGACAGCATCCTTCTTTTCGGTCAACAACTGCTTACAGGTGTTGTAGCATTCTTGCACGATTCTTCTGATCTCTTGGTCGATCACGTCGTTTGTCTCATCACTAAATGGTTTGGTCAAGTTGTCCTGGCTCTGTGTATCAGCGTAGTTCACCATTCCAACCTTGTCCGACATACCAAATCTCAAGACCATAGACTGGGCGATTTGAGTGACCTTCTTGAAGTCATCATGGGCACCGCTGGTGACAGATGCAAAGTTGAGCTCTTCAGAGACACGTCCACCCAAGGTCATGATCATTCTGTCGTAAAGCTGAAGCGTAGACATAAGGTGTTGATCGGGTGGCAAGTATTGGGCGTAACCCAAAGCGCCTTGGCCTCTAGGGATAATAGAAACCTTAAGCAATGGGTGAGCGTACCTCAAAAACCAGCCACAGACAGCATGACCAGCTTCATGGTAGGCAACAACTCTCTTTTCTTGTGGGTCCAAGAGCTTGCTCTTCTTTTCAACACCACCAATCACTCTCTCAATAGCCAACTCAAAGTGTCTCAAAGTAACAGATTTGGCATTGTACCTGGCGGCAATCAAGGCTGCTTCGTTACAAACATTAGCAATATCAGCACCAGAGAAGCCAGGGGTCAAAGCTGCAAGACGACCTGCAAGATCTTTATCAATGTTGTCGACGACCTTGATTTTTTGCAAATGAACATTGAAGATTTCAATTCTGCCCTGCAACTCAGGGTTATCAATTGCAATGTGTCTGTCAAATCTACCAGGTCTCATTAAAGCCTTATCCAAGATATCAGGCCTGTTGGTACCGGCAAGCACAACCACATGACTGGAGCTGTCGAAACCGTCCATTTCAACCAATAACTGATTCAAAGTACTTTCACGTTCGTCGTTAGCACCACTAGCGTTACCCTTAGATCTGTTCTTACCAATGGCATCAATCTCATCGACAAACACAATGGAAGGAGCGTTCTCACGAGCTGTCTTAAACAAGTCACGAACACGAGAAGCACCCACACCGACGAACATTTCCACGAACTCAGAACCTGAGACAGAGTAGAATGGAACACCAGCCTCACCAGCTGTAGCACGAGCAATGAGAGTCTTACCGGTACCAGGAGGACCTGAAAGAATGGCACCTCTTGGAATCTTAGCACCCAACTTCTCATACTTTCCTGGGTTCTGCAAGAACTTCACGAACTCCATGACTTCCTGTTTGGCTTCACTCATTCCGGCGACATCCTTAAATCTGATTTTGATGTCCTTCTCTTGGTTGAACTTCTTGGCTTGAGACTTACCAAAGCTCAAGGGACCACCAGCACCAAGGTTTGCCTTCTTAGTCATGTAGTAAATGGCACCAAGGAATAAAAGGGTAGGAAGGAAGTTGACCAAAACCTTGGCAATGCTGCCCTCAGTGGAGTAGATAACAGGCACTCTCAATGATTCTGGAATCTTATATTCGTCCTGAACATTCTTTAATTGACGTTCGAAAGACTCAACCAGCCCAATATTGAAGTAGTAGTCAGCTTCTTGCATGTGTCCGCTCTCTCTAGCACGCATCTGTCTGCCATTGTCGTTAAGTTCAATAACAGCAGTCTTGTTGTTGACAACGTGGATCTTGGAGACGAGGTTCTTTCTCAAGAACTCACCGCAGAACTGCTGGAAGGAGATTTCATTGTTTGACAGTCTGTCGGAGAACCACATGTATCCGATAAAGAACAAGAGGGAAAACAAAACAGCCATTGGAGTCCTTGTGCGGTCGATCATACGCTGCATCTCCTCATTTGACTTTGGAGGCTCGTTCGGTTTCTTGCTATCCAGTTGAGTGTTCCATGATGGTGGCGTTTCACCAACTTGAGCAACATAATCGAATTTAGGTCCCACATATGGGAACAAGAACGGCTTATCATCACATGGAATAGAGCTCCACGTCGAAAAAATCAGAAACCAGTCAAACGCAGCCTTCGATGGCAAATCCCATTTCTTCAATGCAGCTTCGATCTTGTCTGGATCTTCATCGGAAAGGTCAAGCTCAAGGAAATCCTTGTAGATGCTGGCAAGCTTCGGATTGGAAAATGTCAATTCTTCCAAAAACACTCTCTTGTTCACAAGCCTGAGGTAGAATTTCATGGCAGCCTCCACCTCTTCCCTAGTAGGCGGTGGAAACACCCGTGACAAGGTCGATACCATGGCGTAATTGGCTTCATATCCTATCAAACCAGCTGGCTTCTCCTCACGGATTTGCGATGCCTGCCACACGTTCACTCGGAAAGCAGTCTCGAAAAGGGATCTATATCTTTCAGCCAGTTCTTCAGATAACGGGTCATTGCCAACCAAGATGTCCTTGGCCAAAGGGTCCTTCTTCTTCTCAGCATCAAGCTGATCAAGCCACTCGGTAGCTATTTCATCTTGCCTAAGATGCCTTGGCTTCTCCTCTTGCATTTCTCTCAAACGAACGAGTGCCTTGTCTAACGTATATGGAAGTTCGTAGAAGTTGAAGATGTTTAAACCTCTGCACGGCAACGACGACCCAAAGCAACGTATGCTGGGTTTCGTCGCTGCCTGCAACACTGACCCTCTAATCAGGGGCCACGCTGCTCGAGCTAGAAACATGGTTTGTGGGGAGGGTTTGGAGAAAAGGTCTAGTAGTGGAGGGAATTTGTAGGACCGGTATGATCTAGTTTTCGAAGGCGGTAGACTGCCGAAAATGGAAGGCAGTGCGAAAAAAGCTGTTCTGCGAAGCAATGTCTGGTGGAAGAGAGGATGAAGTGGTCGAGCAAGAAGAGGAAGGGAATAATGTTGAATTGGTTCATTTGGCTGATTGAGAGATGCTTCTTCCTTTGTTTGTTTCTTTATTAGAGTTCTTTCCTGTAAACGTTTATCGTATGATGTTGGTGGTGAGTATGGTATGGCTGCAAACTCTTCAAGAGAGGTTGCCATCAGACTGGTTTTCCATTCTTTTTTTGGGGAAGTTTGGTTTAGTAGTCAAATTCAGACGACCAGACGTCAAAATCTTTGATCGATCGGTAGTTGTCGTTTAAAACGTACTTCCTCCTGGTCACCACATAATGGTAGAGTCTCTCGTCAAACTCACACAACGGCCCGTACTTAGATCTGTACCACATAACGTGGTCACGCCAGACACTGCTTTCAAAGAGCCAGAATTTATAATGGACACAGAGACACGCATAGACGTATAAGAGCCGAAGCGCATAACGGTTCTTGGACCTTACGTATGTGACAAAGTCTGTGTCGATGATTAGAAGCCATCTGAACAACATCACCGGGTAGTTGAATTTGACAGCTAATGCACAGACTTTCTCTAGACTAACCAACGAGTCACGGAACACATTGATCATTCTGCTGGTATCCAGGTCGATGTCAAAGAAACCGAACCCTGCTCCTTGTAGGTAATCGTCAAGCTGTGCCTTCAAGTCCTCCACGATTTTGATTTTTCTTCTGGGTATGAGCATAAGTTCATCATTATGGTACAATTCAGCAATGTCGGAGGATAATAGTGAAGGTAGGTTCTGTACCACCACCATCCTCAAACCCACTGCAACGTTGAGCAAGTCTGTTTTCGGTGCCTCATTCTCCTCTGGGAAATGTACAAGAGGGGCCAATTTCCAGGGCTGAAGGCCCAAAAAGCCAAAAAGGAGCGAGTTGCCTATCGTGGCACTGACCAAATGGGGAAGCTTTTCCTGGGAAGTGAGATCTGGAGACTGAAGCAGGGCCATGGATGTATTAGTGGCATTAATAGATTCAGATAGTAGCGTAGAAGCTTTGGTGAATAAATTGATATCTTTGGAATCCTCATCAAATAAATAATCGTCTGCAAACATCTGTTGGATCTCATACAGCCCACAAGTCTCTTCTAGTCTCTGCAGCAACGCCTCCTCAGACATATTATCGTCTATAACTTTCTGGACACCCAAAAAAGGCATCATGCTTAGACATCCCGTGGCCAAAATAGCCAGCTTTATCAGGGGGCAGTCAATGAAGTACAGAGGAACCACATCCAGCCACACTCTGACCTGACGCTTATTCACATTATACGTGAAATGCGGTAGACAAATATCGTTAAAGAATCGTAGCACTCTCAATTCAAACCGCAGAATCTGTAGATGACTGGCGGCGGAGCCCAAAAGCACTTGAAAGGTGAATTGCCTTGAATCAGAGAACGCGTCGTCTTCAAACGGCGTCGACTCAGCAGATGCCATACTTTCAGGCAGCGAGTAGATCTCCCGAACCTCTTCAGCAACTGGTCCCTGGCCCTCCTTGAAAGCCTCAAACACGTCTGGGTAAAGACATCGTCTGCCCGTATGGCTGCAATATTCACATATAGGTCGGGCCTCATCACACTGACGTTAGCAATTGAAAAGTACATGTACACGTTTCTATACATACCTTGATCTTAAGCTTCTTACAGCTAAGACACCCTTTGCGTGAAAGGCCTCGTTTCACCACATTCTTCAGGGGCATGGCCTTGATGGCGTGGAAGAGTTGAAGCTGTAATGTGAAGTACTGAGGGTCCTGGAGGCTTATCGAGAAGAAACGGCGAGAGGCAAGCAGTACATGAAGGGAGGAAAGAGGAGGAATTTTGAAAGAAAGAAGGATTGGTTAAGAGGAGGTGTTTTTAGGTTTTCGTTTTATGATCTATCTTTGTTCGTTCACTTGCTGGGGTTGGTGAAGAATGGAGTGTTTGGTACAGCCGTGCGCTCTTGCTATATATAGCAAGATAAGAAGATAGCGATGGACAGAAGTGAAAAAATGATGTGCCATGGAAAATTAAAAAGAAAGAAGGGAGGGAGGGAAAGAAGAATTGAAGGATAATAATTCAAAACAGTTGAAGGCATTGGAGAGTTGGTAGAGTGGGGCTTGGCTGATCAAGAATATTGTAGAATACATGAATTGCCATTGGTCCAGGAGAGAAGATGTGAAGTAAAGTTACCAGAGTACTAAGGAAGTTTCTGTTTCTCCACTACTGCTATGGTAATTGCACTTTTCAGTGAAAAAGACATATATTTACATTTAATGCTGTGCGTTACCAAGTAGCCTTGGTCCCAGAGCTCACTGGAAAGACCAACCCAGTGACATCACTTTACATCGTCTTTCTCCTGGTTCCTCGACGAACCAAAACAAGTTACTCGTTATGTAAAGTTCCGACAGAATGCCAAGTCACAAAGACAGCCGAAATGCACCATCCATGAACCATAGGAAGCTTAAGCAGATACTCAGACACTGAACAGAGTCCAACCCCAGGAACCAAATAAAGCAACCAATATCGATCCAATACGTCCCAGAACACCTGCCAACCCTCTACCTATCCTTAGAGGTGAGACAAGCACGACAGATAAGAAGCGATACAGCAGGCGCCGTTACACGAAGCGGGAATCCGAAATTTTCCGAGTCCACAAAACCACAAAATCAGGACTTCTCCAGAAACAACCTGAACCCCTATAAACACTTGTTTCCAATTAAACTACAACTACACCTCCCAGAATGTGTCTAATTCTTATCGCTAACGGTGATCTGCCTCGCAGCCGCCTTGCAGTAGCCTAGTAGTTGATTTGCAGCCATTCATAGGGACCAGTACAAAGACCAACAAAGGTCAAGAAACACGTAAAACAACAAAAAAACACCATTACACACCTTCTACCGGTTGTTTCCCGTCCAATCCAGATCATTGTGTGGCCCGCCGCAATGAGGCGTAGAGTGGCTTCCCACAGCCCGATAAGCAGCGATGGCCAGGGCCAAAGTCCCAGCAAAGCGCAAATACCCACTTCCACGGGCCAATCAGAAGTAAGAGAAAACAACTATCCATAGGCTTAAGTGACCCCTCTCAAAACCCACCCCTTGCCCAGTGTTCTATACTTCTGCGGCATGGCAGAACAAACAATCGACTAAAGTGTCTAGCAAGAAACAATGCCCCAGTCATCCCAAGCCATGCGCCAGAAACCAGAAAACAAGAGAAGCAGACTAAGGTGAAAAGGTAGTAAGAAAAGTAAAAACGAACACAAACGTAAAATGACATCACAGGCCCAAGTTTGCATAAACCATTTTTCCATGGGAACCGTCGGAATAAAGTGGATCCGAGCAGCAGCAGCAGCAGCAGCAGCAGAGGAAGTAAGCGTAATCTGGCGTGCCGAACGTACCGAAAAAGTGAAAAATACATCCCTAGCAACCACCAGCTTAGACATCCCAAAACAAATAGAAACCGTAGAAAAACAGAAAACCATGTCCTGGGTCCTCCCCCTGCCCCCTGAGCAAACCATGGCCCCACATCCCACTCAGATCACTCCAACCTCCTCTACCTCATCTCTCTTGGCCTCTGTAGCTTCTTGCAGAGCAACTCGGCTGTGCGAAGCCGCTGCAAGACTACCACCAGCACCATCTGGTCATAAAGTGGGAAGATAAGATAAAGGGGGGCCGGTTGGCCTCTTATATCTTCGTTTCACCAGGTTCTGGAGAATTTTGTCTTTGTGACTTTTCCCCCTTTGTTTCCACGTTGGTGTTTGTTTCTGCTTGGCTTCCCCAGATGGCTGCGAAATGCTCCTCGGCTGTCGCACCGGCATATCTCTCTAGCAACGAAGAATCACGTAAATCAACTACTACTTTCTTTCGGATGCAAAGACCACATCGCCAGGTTTTGTCTTCGACGTCGTCGCCAGGCGGGTCGCCTACGAACGAACCGGATATCCTTTCTCAGGAAGATGATCTGGAGGTCGAAGAGTATGTGCCTGAGGCAGACCAGCAGCAGAGGCCTCCTCCCATCAGCAGACGGTACACACATGAGGACGCTGAGTCTTTGGTTGGTGGACAGAGCGTGGAGCAGCCAGAACAGGCTGATAAGGAGTATACGGGCGAGGCGAAGGTTTTCTCGTTCTCGTTGCCGTTTGGCGGTGGGCTTTCGCTGTTGACGTCTAGCATTAAGCTTCCGTTTGGTAACAATAACACCAAGGACCAGGATCCGGAATTGGAGCATATCAGGCTCAGATTGAAGAGACAGGAGTCTGTGCTGACGGCAGAAGAAGCAAAGTTCTTTTCCCATTTTAAGGGTACCGATGATGTGCGTTTTAGAGCTGTCAAGGCTTCCATCAAAGAGAACATCTCGGAGTTCTTGCCTGACTTTATCCACACGAAACAGAAGAAGGAGCCGTACGACGCTGTTTTCAGTAACATCGACGGACCCATTGTGGTGATGGGCGGCTACAGAGGCCTGATTTTGAGGGATACCAAAACTCGTAAACGTGTATGGATTCCATTGAAGGCTGGCTTCAACCTTCGAAAGATTGATCTTCTTCTTGGCTCGTCGCTTGACGATGAATTGAAGGCTACCGATTTGATTTATCCAGATGGTGTGCTTAAAAACGTTGGTCCAATTGATATTTGCAAGCGTTTGATCAAGCGTTTGGATAGTAACCCCAAGACCGTGGTGAAAGAGTTTGGCTACGACTGGCGTCTTGATCTCAACCAGACAAGTGACCAGCTTGTGGATTTCCTTGCCAAACTTAAAAAGGAAACGGGAAAACCTGTTATCGTCATTGCCCACTCCATGGGTGGTCTTGTTACTCACGGTGCATTGAACAAGAACCCTGAATTGTTCAGAGGTATCATTGATGTGGGCGTGCCGAGCGAATGTCTAAACATCCTTGGACCTATCCGTTACGGTGACTCGATTCTTCTTTCAGATAAGATCTTGACCTTCGAGACCAACTTCATGATGCGCTCCTCGTTTGTCTTCTTGCCATTGTCTGGTCGCGTGTTTGCCAATAAAGATACTGGAGAGTTTTATGACCTAGACTATTTTGATCCAGAAACTTGGGTCAAGTATAATTTGAACCCTCTTGTCTCGGAGTCCAGGCGTATCCAAGAACAAGAAGGCGGCAGCAGCCAGACCCTGGCTTCTATTGATACTCTTGTTCTGGATACACTCAGCCCGCCAAAGCAAAGCAACCCATTTAGGCAGCTGCTGGCGGAGTCCGACTCGTCCAATTCCACGTTAAGTGCTTTTGGAAAGATCAAACTCTCGAGACCCAAGAGTCTTAATAGAAAGAACAAGCCCCCTACGCTTACAAACGCTCAAATGCAGAGGAAACACAAATCATCCCCTGCCAGCCCTGCATCTCCTACACCTTCCAACGACGAACTATTTCATGACTTTACATTTTCATTCACATTCTCCGAGGCATACGAGTACTTAAAGAGAGTTCTCAAAAGCACCAAGGAGTATGTGTTAAGCCTCGACTATAAAGAGGAGTACAAAAGACGGTACCCACCTATGGCCGTTGTCTACGGCAACAAGATTCCTTCCTTGCGAGGCTCCCATGTCCGGAATCTCCAGGATATCAAGGACGGGAACTATTATGACTTTTTCTATGGCCGCGGAGACGGCGTGGTTCACCAGAAGTGGTTGATGCCTGAAGATAAGGGGTTCACGTTCTACAACCCCGAGACGAAGGAAGGTCAGATTGTGGGTAAATTCGAGTCAGATGCTGGCCATGTGAACTTGATGGCCGACCATAAAGCTATGGGACTCGCATTGGATTCGATTCTTCGAGCCGAAGAGTTTTGGCAGCGTGACTGGTCTGCTGAAAAAGGGGCCGTGCATGTTTAGACGTCTTCTTCCTCGGCCTCCTCGTATGCCACCGTGATCCATAAACTGCATGACATACAAGAAACCATGATCTGGAACCCACCCGAACCGTCAGGCGTACCGTTTTCCAAATCCTCCTCAGTAAGCCGCATTGCATGCTCCGATGTACACCGAGGACAAGCTCTGGCCCACCATAGACTCCCAGAAGCTTCATCTTCTTCCATGTCGAACAGCTCCAACGTATATACATCTAGCCCTGCACCATTTATAGAAAAGCCCTGCTTTTTGAAGCTCTCCTGTAGCTCCTCACAGTACGCCTTGGCCTTTTCAGGAACACTGAGCGTTTCATACGCCTCTTTTATTAGGTCAATGGAAATATCGTTCCTTGCCTGGCCCATGCTCTGCTTGTCTGGATGCGTAGATAGAAGCTTGACTCTGTACGCCAACTTGACTTCCTCAGGCGTGGCGTCGGGGCCCACGTCCAAGATTTCGTAGTACGTTTTGCCCATGCCCAGACGCCCTGTATTTTGTATTCTCACTGGGTGTGTCTATGTTCCTAGATCACTTTAAGTAGTTTGGTGTGCAGATATATAGATATGGAGGAGCGATGAGATGCGAAAAACTATCACCACTACCAGAAGCCAGTTTTAGACTACACCATGGGAAAGGCAGAAAAAACCACCGATTTGAAGGTGGGCTCCGTCAAAACTGACCCCAGTCTCGTTGTGGGTGCTTTCTTCAACGGTTTGGAGATCCCTGACGATACTTCCTTTGACTTATACCAGCATCCAGTGGAAGAGGATTACCTTCTTCATGGAGAGAACAGTACCTTGGAGTACAACGGTCTTACGCTGGAAAACCAAGACAACAACGACTATGTGGTTGCTCTTTACGACCCAAAGCTGAAGCTGGTGGATCTTTACAAGGCTCCTCTCGTGCAAACCAGAGTGACATCTATAGATAGCAGAGTGCACAAGGGCCCCAAGATCAAGAGCAGAGGGTCCAAGTATGTGGACCAGCGTTTGGCCTTGGGTCAGGAGTTCGGTACCAAAAAGGCCAAGGCCGCCATTGCATCGTTGGCCAGGAACAGAATCGACTTGGACAAGTTACAGGACCTGGAGATGGACATTGTGGACAATGTCAAGGAACTCACAGCCGACTTGCCCCTGGTTCAAGAGATCCAGACCGTGGCAGAGAGCACCGTGGTGCCTCCAGTGAACGTGGACGCCACCAACGTCGAGGACATTTACGCTTTGGACGGTATTGTCCCACCACACGAGTTGTCTTCCATCAGAGTCAATGCATTCTTGGAGGAGAGCGACCCCAAGGCTCGTTTGGAGCTCATGCCATACACGAAATCCGCCTTTGTGGCTAGACATTTGGATAAGCTTGTGCTTACGTCCAACGAGAAGAAGTTGCAGATGTTGTACTACGTTTCTTTGCTCATGGGTGTGTACCAGAACAGAAGAAAGAGAGACAAGGCATCTCTCATGGAAGCCTTGGGCAACAAGCCCTCTGAGCTTCTTATTGACGGCATTTTGAAGCGTTTCACAGCTCACAGACGCTCGGATTTGGGTAAGGCCAAGGACCGCTCGTTCCTCTTTGACACTCATCACGAAGACAAGTTGTTCTGCCACTTGCTTGCACTCATGTTCCACATCGAAGGCTTCTTCCTTGAGTTGACACCAATCTCGAAGGAACTCAACCTAAAACCTTCGAAACTCAACACTTTGTTCAAGGCATTGGGCGCCAGAATCCGTCCTGCTACCGTTGGCATGGCCGAGGCTCTTGGTATCCCTAAGAAGGAAGCTTCCACATATAAGATTGCCGAGTTGAAGGTGCCATTTACGCTTCCAGAGATGGTCAGCCACCGCAGAAGATAATCAGGAGTAGGTTTAATATGTTAAACACACATTTTTTTGGGCATACTTCACCTTGTAGACGCATCTCATTATCTGGATGTGAAGCTCTTCTTCAAGACAGCTATAAGATTCTGGTTGATTCAAAAAAGGGGAAATTAAACTATAGCTGTTTCATGAAGTGAAAGACATATTGAAAATTTCAAAAAGAAATCAAGCTTATGTTAGGTAGTCCTTTTGGTCACTACAGACTACTTAAAGACAGTTATGTAAGGCTCAGGAAGAAAAGGTGTTTTTTTTTTTTTTTTCTTCCGGGAACTTACATCTGAAGGTCCACAATTAATTCGACATGAAATAATCGAGAAAAAAGCCTAACCAAAAAAACCTGAATTATCGGTGGATGGAAGAGAACCTGGTAGTAGATAGTCCCCAGGTTGGAGAAGCCTCACTATATGTATTGAAAATTGTGGAAAATTACACGTGACTCGGCACGCGTTTTTGTTTTCGATAGGGCCCTTATCTGCCATCGCCAGCATCAACTACCTTACTTCTACTTAATATGGCTGAACTTGCAGATGCTTTGGCCAAATTGGCCGAGAATGAACAGGCTATGGGCGACGCCGAGAAAGATGTGGAGGTTTTCAGAATCAAGCGCATGCAAAGCATATACGAAAGTAGGGCAGCCATCACCAAGACGATTCCACAGTTCTGGTACATTGTGCTAGCCCAGAATGACGATTTTGGTGAATATATAAGACCTGAGGACTTGAAGTATCTCGAGTCGATTACTGACATATATGTGGATCATCCAATTGCCGATACAGAGCACCACAGAGACTTTACCATTACGTTTTCGTTTGGACCAGATGGAAACGTTCCACAACAAGATATTGTCAAGAAGTTTACTACAGTTGATGAAGATGGAGAAGCTAAACTATACTCTGAGTCTGTGGAAGTGCAATGGCCCGAGGAACTTAAGGATATTAGTCCTGCTCTTATCAGGAAGAATAAGCAAGGCAAGAACTATAGTCTGGATGAAAAGAAGAAATACAGACAAGGCATGAAGTCGCTTTTTGCATGGTTTGAATGGACAGGTAAGAAACCAAGCAAAGAGTTTAGAAGCGGCGAAGATTTGGCGAGATTGATCGTGGATGACTTGGTTCCAAACGCTGTTCACTACTATTCGGAAGCGATCAACAACGATGCTGAGTCTGAGGTGGAAGACAGTTCAGAAGGTGAAGAGTTGGACCTTAGTGAAGACGAACCAGAAAAGAAAAAACAAAAGACAGAAGAGTAAGAAGAGTGCATTGGTTGAGAGGTAATTGATGAAACTCTTTGAATATACGGTTACCGGTAAGAGGAAGTGTAGACGGTTGTAGGTACACCTAGGTAAGTTGAAACTAATGGGTATTTCGTGTTTGATGGTGGCACAGAAGCAGAAAAGCGGTTTGGTGATTTTGTAGTGAGCTTAAGTATGAGGCCTTTAATATCCATTTATCTCCGCACTCACCCATCCTAGAAACAAACTGAAAACAGATTCGGACTCAGAAACTAAGAGGCTATTCAAATATACTACTAATATTAATTTCATACCAAAGGAATTCGGTATTTTGGCGGAGGGTTGAATGGCCTGGGGTAAGCTGGTGTACGGGTGTCAAATACCCATTACCTGCTATAAGCTTATCAAAGAGACATTTGCAGCCATCGAAATTACTTGAAAAAGCCTAAAAATAAGTCTTTTCTAGATTTTTTTCCTTTTATTTAGGAGCAGTAGTCCAACAAAAACGTACAAATTTATCACATGCACTTACATTTCCCCCAAATTATCAGGCCTGGAAAGAGACCATAACCGTAAAGCCCATCCACAGATCACCGTACAATCACCCAATGATCCTCCAATGACCTCAAGAACCCAAACCCCACGCCTCCTTCCTTACATTCAAAAAACTGTCTTTCTAAAAAAACAGCAGGAATTCCTCCTCTATTTATACCTCTTCCCTCTCTCTTGTTCCCTATATCCGTCTGTCCTCTGCCGTTGTGGGGCCACCTTCGTTTCTTTAGGCCGCGCACGCCTCGTCTAAATATCACACAACACTTTAACGGACTCCACCAAGTGAAAAATATCCAAGAAGACGAAAAAGAACCCTGGTCCCAATCGCCTTCGACCCATTGCCAATTGAATATTGAGCAATATACCACCTAGCGTCCCCCACGCTCCCCCACACTTCTCCTTACCGCTTTTTCATCCATAAAGAACTCATGCTTCGGCTTGTTCGTGGCCTAGCCACCTCTGCTAAACCAAAACTACCAAAACTCCAGGATATTCTTATTGTGGGAGGTGGACCTGCGGGCCTTTCGCTTTTGCTGGCTCTTAAGAATACACCTAGCACCAGCCACCTCAAGTGTACATTGGTAGAAGGTCTGAGTCTTGATGGAGTCAGACAGTTCGCCCAGGACCCGCCAGAGAACTATACAAACCGTGTCGTTTCGTTGACGCCAAAGTCGGTGGAGTTTATGAGCACGAAACTGGGCAGCTGGGACTTTATTCAGCAGGATAGAGTCAGGTTTTATGATAACATGATTGCATATGATAGTCAGGATCCAGATGCTCGTATTGAGTTCGATACGTCTGTGGTGCCTGGCGCTGGGGCTATCGCTGCTATGGCAGAGGTGCTTAATATTCAAGGCTCGTTGTTGGAGAAGATCGAGTCTTTAAACGAGACTTTGGAGGATGAGTTCCAAGCTAACATTGTGGAGAAGGCCCGTGTGGTGGATATCAAGCAAGGCGAGGGAGACTTGGACTGGCCAGTTGTGGAGTTGGACAATGGTGAAAGCTACCAGGCAAGGCTTTTGGTCGGTGCTGATGGTCAGAATTCGCCAGTGAGGAAATATGCTGGTATTGAATCTCGTGGCTGGCCTTATAACCGTTTTGGTGTCGTGGGAACTTTGAAATTGCAGTATGAGGATTATAGATCCATTGCATGGCAGAGATTCTTGACCACCGGTCCATTGGCTATTCTTCCTTTGACTGACGATAACGCTACGTTTGTATGGTCCAGTACGCCTGAATTGGCAGACACTTTGTTGAAGGTCGACGATGCTATTTTCCCTCATTTGATCAATGCCGCTCTTGTTCTTGAAGAGGTCGATCTTAATTACATCTACAAGGCCTTGAGAGCTAACCCTAAGGATGAGCTGGTCATAGAAGAGATCCAATGGAGAATCTCCAGAGTTCCCGAAGAAGAGCTCGAGGAGAAGTACCCTGTACCTATTGCCGAACTTATTGCGGGCTCTAGAGCCAGATTTCCTTTGAAACTCCTTCATGCTGACACTTATACAACCGCTAGAGTGGCCTTGGTTGGTGACGCTGCTCATACAGTGCACCCATTGGCTGGTCAAGGTCTTAACATGGGCCAAACTGACGTGGCTGCTTTGATGGAGACGATCGAAACTGGTATTACTCGTGGCCAGGATATTGGTTCGAAGCTTACTTTGGACTACTACACCGCCAAGGCATGGCCTGCTAACCACATGTTGATGGGTATCTGCGATAAGCTCCACAAGATCTTCTCTACTGATTTCCTGCCTATCGTTTGCTTGAGAGGTTTTGGCTTGAAGTCTCTTAACATGTTTGGTTCTGTCAAGGATATGATGATTAAATCTATCAGCGGTAACCCATAATGCGTCAAACCTATCGACTACATGAAATTAACTAAAAAGTACTACCAAATGCTTCGTTTCCTAAATGAATAGACTTTGCATTGACGGCGCTAGGAGACTATCTACTTCTGTCATTATTGGGATCCTTGCAGATCTATGCATGTCTCGCCTTATCTGCGGCGCTACCTATGCTTAGATGATGATATAATCGACGCCTTGCAAAGCATGTACAAATACGGATTGTTTTAAGCGTTTTGCTATTTTCTGCACGGCGTCGTATTGTTGACTTGACGTAACGACTATCGCTTCTTATGCTGAGTTTACTGGAGGTACATTCTAAAACAAGCTCACCAAAGGCTTGGTTAAACAGCATCAAAAGGGTCTGGCTTGACCAAAGCATAGACTTTAGAACTACTTCAGACAGTGGTTTATGATACTTGTAAATATAACTATTCATACTTATGCTGATGGTATCGCGTCACTGTGGTGACATGACACATGTACGTAGATCAACACTTTGTAATTCCACAAAGTGTTGTTCATTAAAAATGAATGAAGACTCAAAAGGGACTCTCTTAGGTTTCTATGCTTTAGCAACTTACAAGGAACGCCTTAACCTCTTGATTTAAGCAATCCTCAGTGAAAAATCACCCATATAGGACCCCGGCAAGCCAATAACCAAATAAGCGAATCAAACACCAACTAATGAACCTCCTTAAAAACAATAGCGAAAGAAGGAACCGCCTCCTATTGACTATGTAGTATAGATCAACTCTTCCTATTGCTTCAGCCTTAATGTATTGGTGCACGGGTGCAGCTTATCACTTATACCGGTTTCTCCAGATTTAGCAACCACACATCAACATGTACAAGGCACCACTAAGGGCTAGTGCCGGCCTTTTTCTCATCCACCCACTCACATACGTGGGCAGTTTCAAAAACTTCTGGAATTTCAAGGCTGAAACTGAAAGTCATGTGAATGCTAAGGAACAATATGACATTCAGCTCATCAAAGACAAGTTCAGTAAGCTTCGAGACCATTATGGTGTACCAAAGTACCCAATGGTTCTATGCCATGGTCTTCTGGGATTTGATACTTTGACGCTTTTTGAAGTTCCTCAAGTTGCGGATGCCAATGCCGATTTGGAAGAGGTTGCTGAAAATGTCAAGAAGAGTGGTATCCTGGTGAACTATTGGCATGGTATCGAGGAAGCGCTAACCAAAGCTGGAGCACTGGTTATAATAGCTCGCGTTCCGCCTTTTGGCTCAATTGACCAGCGTGCTGAACGTTTGGATGCCTTGTTGAAGGAAAAGTGTTCTGGCCATGAAGGCAAAGAGCCAGGCGAAAGACTTAAGATTAATATAGTGGGCCATTCGATGGGTGGCCTTGATGCAAGGTATCTTATACTGAAGATCCAGAATGAGAAATCGCCTTATGAAGTGGTGAGTTTAACGACGATCGGTACTCCCCACCACGGATCTGAGTGTGCTGACTTTGTCATGGACCTTGTGAGCAAAGACGCAGCTCTTGAGGCTATTTGTCCCAAGGCGATTCCTCAATTAACGACACATTTTATGAAAGGCTTCAACAAGGATGTTATTAACGATAGTAAGGTGTCGTACTTCTCCTATGGAGCCCTGATGCCTCCACAAGGCGTTCGTGTGTTCCGTGCAACATATGAGATAATCAAGCACGAGATACAGAAACGAGGAGGAACGCATTTTGAAAACGATGGTATGGTTAGCGTCGAGCTGTCAAGATGGGGTGAGTACTTGGGTACCTTGTCAGATGTTGATCATCTTGACTTGATCAACTGGACAAACCGTATCAAGACCACTGTTGACCAGCTTGTCTTTGATAAGACCCCAACCTTTAATCCCATTGCATTGTACTTAGACATTGCAGAAAACCTCAGCAAGCGGGGCTTTTAGATTTACTGGTTCGCCGTGATCACTTTCGTGAAACTGAACTCATCAAGACCCCAGTGGCTGTTGAATCTGCCGAACCCACTTTGAGAAACACCGCCGTGGGGCACTGTGGCCTCGTCATGGACAGTAGATCCATTAATATGGATAGCTCCAGAGTCTATCCTCTTAGCCACAGATACAGCATTTAGAATATTTTTAGACCAAATAGACGTCTTTAGACCGAACCGCAAGTTATTCACCTCGTCGATAACGTTATCAAGGTTATCGTACTTCATTACAGAGAAGACAGGACCAAAGGTCTCTTCGTAGTATATGTTCATGGAGTTATCAACACCAGCCAATATCAAAGGCAGAACAAATGCATCTTGCAGTTGTTTAGGGTCTCCAAATACAACCTTTGCACCTTTGTCAATAGCCTGAGATACCAAACCACGAACTTTATCGGCACCATCGATATCTCTAAGTGGAGTGCCATCACTTGGCTGACTTTTAGCCTTCTCAACCAAGATCTTAAGGAACTCGTCCACGACAGAACTGTGAACGTAACAGTTGTCGAGACACATGCAAACCTGGCCATTATGGACCCAAGCACTGAAAAGCAGCAGCTCTGCTGCCTTCTCTAGATCGGCATCGGGAGTAACAATCTGAACATTCTTACCACCGAGCTCTAATAAAGTAGGCTTCAATGAGCGCCCCGCAATCTCAGCAAGCTTAGATCCAAGACCCGTGGAGCCTGTAAAAGTAAGTTTCTTAATATGCTGGTTCTCTATGAGTCTCTGGGTAGCTTGAGGTTGATCTTGAGGAGCAAAGTTAGCCACTTGCAACGCACCAAGGTCAACACCAGCCTCATGAAAGTCCTTAGCAAGGAGATAAGATGTTTCTGGATTCTTTTCCAGCGCCTTGGCAACCACAGAACAACCAGCAGCTAAAGGAGCTGCAATGGCTCTAGCCCAGAGCACCGTAGGTGCATTCCATGGAGCGATTGAAAGCACAGGTCCCACTGGAGTCCTAACTGAAAGTGCCAACTCACTTGCCTGACTCTTAAGCACTTCACCGTCTGGCCTAGAAATAGGCAAGGCATGCTCTAAGATGTTCTGCAGCGCCAAGTCGGTGATGAACTCGGCAAACGGCCTTCCAGCGCCAATTGCCATATGAGCGTCAACATACTGTTCCTTGTTCTTCTTCACTAAGCTCGAAGAAGCTCTCAATATTTCACTTCTCTCGTTGAACGGTCTTCTGGACCAACTCAAGAACCCACTATGTGAGTCCTTACAGATTCCGTCTATGGCGTCCAAGTCCTCTATGGTTTCATAATTGCACAAGACTTCTTTGGTCGGCGAGTATGAAGGCACTTTTCCAAACCGTATGCCTCTAGACTTGACCAAGCATGGGATCGTAGGAGGTTTGGGCATGTCTTAAGAAGAGTAATATAAATGCGATGATCTGCGATGGGTATGGAATTTAGGAGCTACTGTGGGGCAGATGAATGATATAAGGGTAAATGAAGGGACTAGCTTTTTGAGATTAAAAGGGTAAGAAAATGCCTTTAGGGTTTCTTTTTCACGTTTTTGATAAATGCAGCTGGTCTGGTGGTTGACATATTCAGATTTTGCAACCGCTACTCATGTCTCCATTGTTCTCAATGTGCAATCAGGTACCACCAATTTGAAATAGTCTTGGAAGGGATTTTTGGGGGTTATAAAGGAAGGAAAGTGTTGTTTTAGTGGTAAATATAAGGCTTTCATTTTATTAGAACGGGAGTTAAGGGCAGACGGTTGGGATGCCGGGTGGAGCCTCAGATGCAATGGGTGCAAAATGGAGCAGGTCCGAGAAGGTGATATAGTGGAGAAGACGAAGCGGTTCTATTTTTGCCGGTTGTATAAGTAGAAGAGTTAGATCAAAGGAAGACTGTCTTTATGGTGAATTTTTATGTTTTAGGTGGATATGGTCATGGGTATATGTCTGGACTGGTGGACTGGTAGTTAGAGTTGTACATGGTTGGATCAGAATACACCTATGTAAGTTGGCGAGGAAGTAGATATTTGAATTAAGGAAGGCAGTGATTTGGAAATTTGGAGGTGAATTCAAAAGTTTTGCCAACCTTTGTTGAAAACCTCATACGGTAGTTGATTTACCTCATATGGTAGTTGACTTATGTAGTATTCACAGTTGCCTTACGTCTGAAGAGACGATTCATAGTAGTAATACGACCAGAGGACAGAAGTCATGGTAGCTGCTGGACTTTACTTTGTGCACAGATTTACCAGCTGGAAGATTTAGTTAGTGTCGTTTAAATTCAACTTTGCCAAAGCTTGATTTAGTTAGAACCAACTTCAATACATCTATTGACTGTCGACATTGATTTGTCACCCAAGCGACTATGCTTGTCGTCTTCATGTATCAAGCCATTCAGCTTTCACTTATATCCCTGCCTGGCTCTACTAGACTACAATTAACTCAGATCTTCGTTATGATGTATTAGCGCTAATACATATAGAATCTATACATACAATAGCGAGATTTTAATCGTACAAACGACAAATAAATTCCCCTTTCGCAAGACCAGCACTTGTTAAAGTACGGATCTCACTGCAAAAACACTTAGTAGCCGAAAGAAGCCAACTTCTTAGCAACCTCAGTCTCAGAAGCCTGGGCCTGAGCAGAGGCCAACTTCTTGGAAGCAGCAACCTTTCTGGCGTGGTACTCAGCAGATCTGACCTTTCTCTTCTCCTCCAACTTGTCAACAACAGACTCGTACTTCCAGCCGACAGAAGAAGACAACTTACCGACAGTGGTGTACTTTCTGCCCTGCTTCAATCTGAGGACTCTCAAAGCCTGTGGCACAACAACTCTCTTCTTCTTGTCGTATGGTGGTGGAATACCTTCGAAGACCTTCAATCTCTCCAAAGCAGCCTTACCTCTGGCGGTCTTGTGAGGAATCATACCTCTGATGGCCTTGTACAAAACTCTGGATGGGGCTCTGAAGTGGAATGGACCCTTGGTCTTGTTGTATCTGGTGGCCTTTCTCAAGTAGTCGTGGAACTTCAACTTGTTTCTGAAGAACTCACCAGAGATGTTGAGAGCCTCACATCTGACAACAACAATCTTCTGGCCGTTCAACAACTGCTTGGCGATGATCGAGGCCAAACGACCCAACAAGTGACCCTTACCGTCAATGACAACAACTGGCTGGAAATCGGACATTGGTTTTATCTTTTCCTGGTTATGGGAGGATAGGGAAGAAGAGGTTTTTTTTCTGAGGGTACCAAATGAAAATTTTTGTGGTGCACGGGTACTGCACCTAGCGCCGGCGCTTCTCAGCACTTTTGACAATTGGGCTCTTATAGTGTACTGGGGAATAGGCCTTTGTGTACAGGTATCACGAGCATATCGTCTGTGAGAATTGGATCACGTGGATTAGGGTTCAGCCCTAGACACCACCAAAGGTCCACCACCAATGCCGGGAAACAACAGAAGAGAAGAATTAAGGATTTCGGAAAGGTTACTGGTGAAAAAATATGGGCTGAAAGTCAATCTTGTGTGAAAAGCTTTATGTATTTGAGTGCTGGTTGGTGGGTATTCTGAGATACTGCTACTCACTAATGGCTGCGAAATGTAGCACTACTGGATTACCCAATACTCTGGCTCTCCAAGTCATTGGTTAGTGAATAAAGGTGGTTGGTGATTCAAATGTGAGAAAGGGGTCTCTCAGTATAGCATTTTGGACCCTTTTTTCGTTTCTTTCTTGTTTCCATTGCCTTTTGTACCATTGGCAACCAGAACTACTATAGCAGAATCCTAAGAACCACCCATGATTTTCACTACATCAACTTGAAGCGCAATGGCAATTTTATTTTAGCTCAACTAAATACTATTTTACACCTTAAGCTCACCGGCTCTCACCAAGTGGTTAAGGATGGCGACGATAGCCTTCAAGGAAGACTCACTAACGTCAGAGTCAATACCGCAACCCCATCTGGTGGTCTGAGAACCAGCAGAGTTGATGAACGAAAGTTCAATGTAGGTGGCAGCCTTGACCTGGGAACCAGCACCCAAGGAGTGCTCGGTATAGTTCTTGACCTCGAAGAAGGTACCGAACTGCTTGGCAACAGCATCCACGAAAGCAGAAATAGGACCGTTACCGTTACCAGAAACAGTAACTGGCTTGCCGTTGACAACCAAGTCAGCCTTGATCTCACGAGTGTTGTTCTCGCCCTTACCTCTGGTGGTCTCATAGTCTTCAAGAGTGATGAAGGACTCACCAGTGTAGATGTAGTGTTTCTTGAAAAGTTCGTTGATCTCCTCGATCTTCAATTCTCTACCAGACTTGTCAGCCTCGTTTTGAACAACAGAGGAGAACTCAACCTGCAAGGTTCTTGGCAAGTCCAAGCCCATGGATCTCAAGATAACCCAGGCGGCACCACCCTTACCAGACTGAGAGTTGACTCTGATAACAGCCTCGTATGTTCTGCCAATATCCTTTGGATCCAATGGCAAGTATGGGATCTTCCACATTGGATCGTCTGGGTTCTTCTCGGATCTCTGGAAGCCCTTCTTGATAGCATCCTGGTGGGAACCAGAGAAAGCACAAACAACAAGAGAACCAGAGTATGGAGCTCTTGGGTGGATTGGAATCTTGTTGCACTTTTCAGACAAGGTGATCAATTCCTCAATGTCAGAGAAGTCCAATTCAGGAGAAACACCGTTGGTGTACAAGTTCAAGGCAAGAGTGACCAAGTCGACGTTACCGGTTCTTTCACCGTTACCGAACATACATCCTTCGATTCTGTCAGCGCCAGCGAGAACACCGAACTCAGCAGCAGCAACGCCGCATCCTCTGTCGTTGTGAGGATGAACGGAAACACAGACCTTCTCACGTTCACTGATGTTTCTGCAGAAGTATTCAATCTGGTCAGCATACACATTAGGGCTGGCAACTTCAACAGTAGCAGGCAAGTTGAAAATCAAGGGGTTGGCGTCAGAAGGTTCCCACACGGCTTTAACAGCCTCACAAATCTCCACTGCATATTCAGTAGGAGTGTCAGAGAAACACTCTGGGGAGAACTGAAGGGTCCATTCGGTCTCTTGTCTAGAAGGATCATCTTTCGTCAAGGATCTAATCAACTTGGTGGTCTCAACAGCCTTTTCAATAGCCTGTTCTTTGGACATGTTGAACACAACGTCTCTGAAAACGTCAGAAGTAGCCAAGTAGATGTGAACAATGGCCTTCTTAGCGCCAACAACGGACTCAACAGTCCTACGAACCAAGTGTTCTCTGGACTGAGTCAAAACTTGAATGGAAACATCGTCTGGAGCGTTTTCCACGGCATACCTCGTAAAGTCGAAATCAGTCTGAGAAGCAGAAGGGAAAGAAACCTCGATTTCCTTGAAACCAACCTCGATCAACTTATGGAAGTACTCCTTCTTCTCAGCAATCGACATAGGATCAGGAAGCGACTGGTTACCATCTCTCAAATCCGTAGAAAGCCAACGAGGCGCCTTGGTGATTTGCTTGTCTGGCCAGGTTCTGTCAGGAAGCTTGACGCCCTGAGCAAAGGTATATTTCAGAGAAGGATCTCTCAACATGTTTTTGTAAGGCATGATGTTATAAGACGGTTTTTGTAGTAACACCCTGGACTGTTTGAACATGGTGAAGAAAAAAACTGGATGATGATGATGTAGAAACGACTAAAGTTTCGTGGGTGCAAAGTGGATAATTTTTTGTCAGGCTTTTCGCGCAACCGGCCCGGTCTGGGGTAGAACAAGTATCAAAGAAGGACGGGAACCAAAGGGACACCAAAGGTGGTTTAGAAATAAATTATCTATATAAAAAAGGGCAGTGGGTTCTTCTCTACTTATATACTTTTTTATGACTCACGGGGGCTCTTCACGTGGTTTGGTAGGCCAGTGGGGAAGCTCTGACTCAGAGGTTCCTGGCTGCAAACAGGTACAGGAGCCAGTGGGGCAGGAGAGAAAGAACAGATGAGATGGGGAGGGGAAGGAGAAGTGAAGAAGTGGAAAGAAGTGGAAAGTAGTGGAATTAAATTGTCTTTGTAAGTGTATTATGTTTTTCGTATTTTATTATACCACCTTTTATTACCTGTTTTTGCCTTTGTTGGTGTGCTTTGTGGGGGTTGCTCATGGCCAGTGGGAGTGGGCCGATTTGGCATTTCGCAGCCTTCCCCATACTTACGGCCCGGTACCGCTCCGCTATTAGCCTTGGGTTTGAAGCAGCAGGGACAATTTGGGACGTAGGTTGGTTGTTCGGTTAATCGTGGGTGGACGGGTTTGGAAGGGTGGAAATTAGTATGGGAAGGCTTTAGAAGGTCGGTTTTTCGGTTTTGTGTGTTTCGAAGGAGTAGGAAGGCTTCCATGCGGCTTCGAGGGTGTATGAATTTTTCAGTAGTAGTAGAGGAAGGTTGGCAAAGTGGACTGGAGTGTTGGTTTGGATTGTAAGGAAATGGATTGATACTGCTTTTGGAAATTTATAGGAAAGGTTGATTTCTATTTCTGGTTTTGTAGTAGGTGGGTTTTTCACTGGTATGTTTGGTTGTTACTGGAAAAGGAGGGGCATTGTTAGTGTAGAGTTAGTCATAGATTTCACTACATCGGGATTTTCAAAGGCTTTGGAAGTTCAAGGAAACTGGGTCTTTGGATAATTTGAGAGCTATTCTTGAAGGTATTTGACTACAGATTATTCTCGTGGGTGCAATTGATATTATGTCAAGAGAACTGAAGAAGGTTAAGCGAGGTATATGCTATCAATTGAATGGCACAGCTACATCAAGCTTTCAGGTCTTGAATCGTGTAAAGATAAATCTGCAGCAGGTTCTTCCTGGCCTATGGAGCAGAAGAATGGATTGTTAGGAGCTTATGAAGCCTATTCTACTCCTTTTGGAATTGACGCAATAATGAATCAATGTGGATTAGTCACCTTTTGAAGCAGCAGTATGAGATTGATAAGACTTCTTGAGTAGCTCCACTGGAGTTAAGCTCAATGAAAAATTAGAGTTATTTGGTGTACATTGAGCTTTCATCCCCTGAAGATGAACTCTTCAATCCCAGTACTATCCTATATGAAAACGAAGCCTGAGACCTTATCCTACAGTAAACTTGGAGATTACTCTATTCATCAGAATACTTGGAGCTTTGAACTATGTTAGTACATTCATCACTCTACACCCACTGGATGTCCTAGCACGTACGAGAATCTTCTAATAATTCTAAAGGAATGTCTCTTTTTTCTTGTCTACTACCTTCGTGATACACATTTTTTGAGAGCTATAAATCACATATATCGCAAGAAAGACATTTCTGTTGATCATTGTCTAGTCCACCTTTTGGGACCCTTCTGTCGAGACATACGTCACACGAGCATGTCCCACCTCTCCCAGTACACATCTTACGCTAACATAAACAAAAGGATAAGTTTTCAATTAATTCGAATCCACTTCATCCCATAACTTTCCAAAACACTGGACCCCAAAAACTTCAACCACCTAGGTAAGCAATTGCTGGTCAAGTCCCCTGAGCATACCCATACTAAGTACGGTGTGGCTCCGCGACACAGCAAATGGTTGCAAAAATAAGCCCCATCCAACACATACTTAAGTGACGGTCACACAAAATTGTCAAAAGTTCTTGAAATATAGAGCTATTTAAAATCCACTATTTGCTCTATATCATTCAATTTTTTACCCCTTTCGGTTACCGTTCTACCCCAGTCCCCCTTGTCCTTGCAAGGTGATGAGCAGCCCCCACTGTGCAGCACCTCATCAGTGAAAAAACCACTACTTAAGATTTTCTTTTTCTCACATCTATACCACATCCATATTTCTTCCAACAATGGCTAAATCTTCTACCAAGACCTCTAAGGTCACTAAGGCCACTAAAAAGCAGGAGTCCTCTTCTAGCGAGTCTGACTCCTCGAGCTCCAGTTCCAGCTCTAGCTCTTCTAGCTCTGAGTCTGAGTCCAGCTCCGACTCCTCAGACTCTGAGTCTGAAGCTGAGGAGAAGCCAGTTGTCAAGGCCAAGGAGGCCAAGTCCAAGAAGACTGCTAAGGCTGATAAGTCTAAGAAAGCTGCTGAGGCTGCCAAGTCCAGCTCGAGCTCTTCTGAGTCCAGCTCCGAATCTGAGTCCTCTGATTCTTCTTCCGACTCAGACTCTTCTGATTCCGATTCTGATGATGAAGAGGAGGCTCCAGCTAAGGCTGAGCCAGAGGTGAAGGAGGAGCCAAAGAAGGAGTCTTCCAGCTCCTCGAGCTCTTCTAGCTCTTCCAGCTCTAGCTCCAGCTCCAGCTCCAGCTCTGAGTCCGATTCCGACTCTGACTCTTCCTCCTCATCTTCTTCGTCTTCGTCTGATTCTTCTGATTCCGACTCTTCTGACTCTGAGTCTGAGACCGAGGACCAGGAGGAATCCGTCAAGCGTAAGGCTTCTTCTGAGGAGTCTGAGGAGGCTCCAGTCAAGAAGCAGAAGACTGAGGCTACCCCAGATGTTGCCGCTGAGCCAGCTACTTTGTTCGTCGGTAGATTGTCTTGGAACGTCGATGACGAGTGGCTTAAGAGAGAATTCGAGCCAATTGGCGGTGTCACTAGCGCTAGAGTTATGTGGGAGAGAGCTACTGGTAAGTCTAGAGGTTACGGTTACGTTGACTTCGAGAGCAAGGCCGCTGCTGAGAAGGCTTTGGCTGAATACCAGGGTAGAGAAATCGACGGTAGACCAGTCAACTTGGACATGTCTTCCGGTAAGCCTCAGACCCCAAGAACCCAGGACAGAGCCAAGCAGTACGGTGATGTTCCATCTGCTCCATCTGACACTTTGTTCATTGGTAACTTGTCCTTCAATGCTTCCAGAGACAAGTTGTTCGAGGTTTTCGGTGAGCACGGTAGCGTCATCTCTTGTCGTGTTCCTACTCACCCAGACACTCAGCAGCCAAAGGGTTTCGGTTACGTCCAGTACTCCTCTGTTGAGGAGGCCCAGGGTGCTTTGAACGCTTTGAACGGTGAATACATCGAGGGTCGTCCATGTAGATTGGACTTCTCCACGCCAAAGGACCCATCTTCCAGACCAGGTTCTGCCAGAGGTGGCCGTGGTGGATTCGGTGGCCGTGGTGGTGGTAACGGTTTTGGTGGCCGTGGCGGTAACCGTGGTGGATTTGGCGGTCGTGAGAGATCAGCCACTCCAACCAGAACTGGTCCAAACAGTGCTCAGTTCCAGGGTACCAAGAAGACTTTCGACTAAGTTTCCCCATCTGACGACTGATGGATTGCATTGACTGGATGGACAGTCTGGTGAAATTCACCACCTTGTATATTAGCACTAATAAAAGCTGAAAGGAGGGGATAATGTAGAATTGGGCCACAGATGACCCCCACCATGGCGATAAGCTTTTGTGCTTGATACCTAAATTGACTATATTCATGTTTGCTCTTGGGCTGGGCCTATTAGACACAACATAGTCATGGGACCTGTGGCGCTGATTAAAAAAACCAAGCAAAGAGAAACATTTCTATTAATTGATGAAAGTGGCTGTATCAGAACCTCCCGATAAGCGATTGAAGGGTGAAATTGCAGCCACACAGATAGCACCTCAGGCACCCCCGGTAGAGCAAAAGAAGTACCCACATTCCATGGATAGACGTTGCCCCTAAGCCTCAGGGATGTGACAGCATGAGACATACTGGAAGCGCCATTGAGGTGAATACAATGAATATTACAGTTTTTCCACGTTTTGCTTTGTGGTGTGTTTTAGAAAGCAGTACTTCTCCAGACTTAGCAATCGGAGTCGGCATCATCACAAAACCAGCTGCGCCCGCAAACCCCAAGAGGTCATTGGCTGGAGAAGGTTTGTGAACAACTAGAAACTATATCTTTGTTGATTATCAAGATAGTGCCAGGTGGAAGTCCGTTAGCGGCTTCCTGGTACCAGTAACGTTGCATTTACAAGCTGCCGCTTACTCATTTCAAGGCGACATGACTAAAGATACGTCAAGCAGTGGGAGCCCTGGTACATGTGTGCAAAAAAAATGGCGTTTTTTTTTCCTTCTTGCCAGTACCAATTTTTTTTTTTTTTTTTTTCCCTGGTTGTGCGCCTCGATAATTATCTGCCATTCGCTGTCAAGCCGCATGTTCGCAGCATGGAATAAGTGGCGGTTGCTTTCCACCAACCCAAACAAAGAGATCCAAAAGGCAGCAAAACCCCCCGGTCCGGGAACCGGGATTCGGACGGGACGCTGCCGAGTGTGTTAATTATGATAAGGCGTTTGGCAGTGCAGAATCCGATTTTCTAGCAGCCGTTTTAGGTTTGTAATTTTCAGGCGCACGCCAGCATTTTTTGCGAATCCCCAGTCCCGAGAGGCATTGCTGGAAACCATGTAAATAAAAACTAAAAGTACAAAAAACCAAATCCCAAGTCTTAGGGACGTCGTAGCAGCGTTGCTGCAACGACGCCAACGCAACGTCAACATCCATCGATGGACCGGTCCAGGGCTCAGATCTATCTTCCGCTTGTGCTTTTTCCGTGGTGCCTCACCAATATCGGCAGTGCGTGCTTTTTTGGCGTGAGAGGGAAAAAAAAATGCCTCACTGGGAAAAAGCACCTCATCCTACAATGGGCAAAAAATGCGACCATGCTGGGCCATGCTTTTGGGGGGCCCTATGGCCCACTGGGGCTCATCAAAGGCACATTATCGGCCCACACAATGTAAGCCATTCTACGTTGCTACCGACCTCTCAGGGCCTTGTGACCGGTGAATTGTGAGGGCCTTGTGAGGGCCTTGTGGGGGACCTTTTCTGCCTGGCAGGTATTGTTGGTTAAATAAAAAGTATAGACTCGTACAATGGAAGGCGCTCCCATGCGCCTGTCATTGTGATTGGCTGTCATGGTCCCCAGTTCCAGTTCCAGTTCCTCTGTTGCTTTCCGAAAGCAAAGTGTCTTTCACCATCTGAATATTCAGAAGGTCTCAAATAATACACTTCAACTACCTATCCAGATCTCTTAATACCTGGAATCTGGATCTGGATCTGGAACCTCCATTTTCCTGGGGCCCCATCTATTTTTCGCTAACGCGGCCTGTCATTTGCCTGCCAGCTTGGCACCGCAACCTCGCTTACTGACAGCCCTTTTTTTTGCCCTGTCATAATGGCATACCTAAAAAAACTCCCTAACCCTTTCGCTTGTTCTCTTCGTTTCACTCCCTCTTTTAGTCCCTGGAGCATGGGGCGGCGCACGGTATTCTCTGTACACCCTGGGCCGGTCTGACGTCTGGCGTCTAGTGGCACTGTTCTGGCGTTTTTTCTGGCGCCTGGCGGCTGGCCTGCCCTCCTACCTGCCTGCCTGCTGCACAGTGGGTTGGTTTCACACATTCATTTCATTCATTCATTCTTTTTTTTTTTTTTTTTTTTTTTTTTTTTTTTTTTTCCTTTTCTTTTCTGTACCGTATGTGGCCCTGTCTCTAGCGACGTCTGTCTATTCCTGCCTCTTACCCTTGGGGCACCTCTCTCTCTCTCCGTTCACCTTTCAACATCCAATTTCCTCCTCCAACTCTTTTTACACCCTTTCCTCCCCCAACAACACTTACCCTTTTATACTTCGTTTTGAAGCGGACGTTTTGCTCATTTTTTTTTTGCCTCGTGTTTCCTCGGCTGCTTCTATTCTTCCCCTTAACACGTCCAAAAACCGCCAACGCCCACCTCCTATATCCACTGGGCTGCTCCTCCTTTTTTAATCCCTGACCATGAGAAGGGCAGTGTCAAAGTTTATCCCAGGGAAACTCGCCAGGCCGCCCGGCCCGGATCCTCAGCCTTCCTACAAAATCGATTCTTCTTCCGTTGACGACTTTTACATAGCCTTGGACTCGCCCCACAAGTCATGGCTTCCGGGCGAGGAGATCTCCGGCCAAGTGATACTCATTCTGAAGAAACATTTGGCTAACATCGCCATCGAGTTTTGTCTTTGTGGCTACATCAAGATTAATGCCCTGCCCCACCTGAAGCTCAAAACCGTCAAGCGTACCTTGTTCAACCATAACATCAGAATCTACGGCCCGGATCCCGACCAGCCTCGTAACAACGATAATGATGAGTTCATCAACGGCCTTTACAAAGGTGAGCATCGTTTCCCCTTTATTGTCAAGCTCCCGAAGAAGCGTATCTTTACAAGTATAGACTTTGGTAAGGGCGCCATCGAATACGTTCTCAAGACTTCCTTACGCTCCGCCGACGACCCCATCTCCTCCAATGGCCTGCCTCTGGGCGACAGCCCTGGCGCCATCTCCACAGACCTTTTGACGAAGGCCCGTCTGTTCACCCGTATGAACAACGCTGTCTACTCCTCGGAAAAGATCATTTCCCTTGTAAACCCTATAGATGTGGCTGAACTACCGCCGCCAAAACCTAAAAGACTCATCATCAACGATCCAAGGCGCAATAAACGCCTTCTGAGGGTCGAAAGTTCCACTTCCACCATAAACACTTACTCCACGCTATCGTCCAACAACTCAGATACAGAGTCAAACCTCAATATGAATTTCACCAACTCGCATAACCCGGCGCTCTCCCTGACGCCTGGAAACTCGGGAAACACGCCGACGTCTTTGCATAATCCTCATATGAGCCCAGGGAATTCCGCTCCTTCTAGTTTTTCGCCCTCCCTGAACGCTGACTTCTCCCGTCTGAATAACATCAGAGTATCAATGGAGTTGCCCCAGTCTGGTTTCCTTAAACTCATACCTATAAAGCTCAATATCCACCACCTTAAGAAAATTCAGGACACTAAAGGCATAATCGTCACTTTGGTCCGTGTTTGCAGGTTAGATTACGGCCCGGACGGTCTCTACGAATCTTTCAGAAAAGACCTTCTGCAGCTGATTATTCCGTTATTTGTCGACCCTGCTACGTTCCAATCGGAGATAAACACAAGTTTGCGTGTTCCTCCAGATGCTTTTCCTACCATCTCGGGCTGTCCAATGGTCAGCTTCCAGTATTTCATCGAGGTAATGCTCAACCTTTCTGGAAAGTCGTTGAGTGTGGATGGACCTAGCGAGCATCCCAAATCCAATCTAGCGCCTTCAGATGACATTTCGGCGGGTCCCGGCGTCTCCCCTGGCAATCAAGGCAATTACACGTACCACGCATACCAGAACCGTTCAGAGTTCATAAATACAGACAAGTTTAAGCGTCTGAAGAAGTTCCTTCAAATAACTTCTGAAGTCGTCATCGGTACTCATAGACTGGATAGGCTGCCTTTGATGGGCGCCTCTCCCGATGGACAGCACGCGCTCAATACGAATGGATCCAAGAGGTCCTCAATCAGTTCGACTTCTAACTCTGCCAGTCCTTCAACCCAGGCTCATGCCCACATTCAAGCTCCTTTGCTGCAAGCACATGCGGGTCATGGAAACTTCACTCATACTAGAGCTGGTATGTCGTCGCTGATTCGGGCTATTCCGGAGTCTTCTCCAATGAACAATTTCACTCCTCCATATCAGAGAGATTCTCAGGCAGTTACTCCTCTGCAACTGTCTCCATTGGCATCTGCTCCAACTTATGAGGACATTGTTACTGACGTAGCTATGCCTCAAGAGCCAAACCTTCTGGAAAAGGAGCGTATGAGACTTCATGAACAGAGTCTTTTACCATCGGAACCTCAATTTGATGGCTCCTCCGACGCAGAAGAACAGACAGTTAGTCCAATGGACCCAAGCCATGATATTTTGGAAGAGATGGTACAGGGTAGCAACGCTTCAAGCTCCAATTCTGCATTCCAACAGTATAGACCCAATGCGTTCGCTCCTCTTCAGACTGGAGGGCCTAGCAGTCCTCATCATCCATTGACGCATGCACCCCAGGATCCTATCAACATGTTGCCAAGCAGCTTTGATCAGGAGCCGTCATCATTGTGGGAGCAGAATGATTTGTATGAATCTCATGGTGATGGAGAGAACCACGACGGCATTGGCCCAGACGGACCTCTTGACTTTGTTCCAAATTACGACACTGCTGCTAACGATCGTTTGGTTGTTCAGCAGTCAGAGGGTCAAGAACAAGGACATTAAATATTCGTATAAGCAATCAATTACATAAACTAAAAAACTGTTGGGGTAATATCACAATTTGTCTTTACAAGCAGCTTTATAAGGAACGCCAGGTTCCACTGCTAAAGTCATTAGATTTTCATCAGATCCTTAGGAGGAATTCGTAGCCAAATACAACTCCTTCTTCAACGAGGCGACAGTGTCGTTCAATTGTTCCTTCTCTTGCCTCAAAATGTACAAGTCAGCTTCCAAATCCTTAAGCTTCATGTTGTAGTGTGCCTTGGTGAATCCACCTTCTTCCTCTTCATCACCTGTGGTATCAGCAGCAGCTTCATTCACAGCAGGAGAACCTGGGACAGGCGAATTGCCATTAGAATCCACAAGAGGTGACTTGGAAGAAATTCTCTTGTTTGCCTTCTTGAACAACTTCAACTCGTTGTTCTCCTTAACCAACTTCTCGATGGTCAACTTTTGGTTTCTCAACTCGTCATGAGACAGCTGAAGAGCTTTACTTGTGTTGTTGACAGATTGCAAGGCATCACGGTAGTTGTCTTCAAACGTACGCAAAGATTGCAACTTGTTGTTCAATTCCTCTTCCAAAGCCTTAACCTCTTCGGAAGAGCCCTGGTGTTGACTCTTAGAAGTAAGCATCAACTCGTCGATCTGCTTCTGTAACTTGGATATCGTGGCATTGTCCTCGGTAGTTATCAGACGAGCATCAGCGTCTTGACGCTTGGTAGCCAGCCATAAGGATGTCAAGTTAGCCAAGTGAGCACTGAGCTTAGCAGAAGATCTTGGAAGGGCACCGGTGGTTTCGCCTTCTCCGAGTTCACGGTCTTCAACGTCTTCACCACCAGCATCAATTTCAGAATGAACAGCCCTGTAGTTCTCGTGTTCAATCTTCAATTCCTCGAACTTGTGCTTCCAGTCAGCAATCTCCTTGTGCAAGACTTCTTCCAGGACGATTTGTGAGCTCAAAGTGGCAATCTTGTTCTCCTGGCCTTCAATGACCTTCTGCAACGAGCTCAACTCGCCAATCTGGTTCTCCATGAAGGGTTCGAAACGCTCAAACCTAGCACGGTATTCAGCATTCTCGTTTTCTAAGAAGACCAATCTGTTTCTCAACTCCAAACGGTCCAACTTGAATTTCGTCAATTCAGTGAAACCTCTTCTGGAAGTAGTCTGGCTCACCTCCTCAGCATCTGCACCTTCTGGAATCTCTAATTCAGCAGGATCGATGGAACGTCTGAGCTCATCAATCATGGCATCCTTCTCGTTTATCGACTTCTCAAATGTGCCTCTGAGTCTAGTGTTCTCCTGTTCCAAGGTGTTCATCTTTTCGGAGGCAGCAGCCAACTCTTGCTTGGTAGACTGTTTCAATTGAGCAATCTCATCATTAAGTTCTGCAATGACCTTCTTCACTCTCGAGTCATCTTGAGGGGCAACAGCAGCTGGTTGAGAGAGAACTGGAGAAGCAATGCCACGAGCTCCGTTAGAAGCAGGAGAGTCGGTGTTTCTTTGGTCACGGCCAGTAGAAAGAGGAGCGACACCCTCATCAGCAATACCAACTTCACGGGCGAAGTCCTTTGACAAGATTGGGGTCTCGTTGTGTTCATTTCTCAATTGGTCAAATGGAACGCTTTCGCTAACGACAGAATCATCGTTACCGTTCTTGTAGGGGCTCTCAGCTTCGGAGAGGTACTTGTCACGAACATCGTCCAAGTCCGAAGGATCTTGTTGAGAGATGGCAGAAGATGGGATATCGACATCCACAAAGTCGCCACCTGCGGCATTGGTTCTGCCGTAAGTCTGTCTCTGTGGTGTGAAAGTCTCTGGCTCAAAGGATTCATGGACACCCAGCTTTGGATCAAGAGAGCGAGGGATACGCTCAACTGAGGCAGTAGGAGTACGGAAGTCCTCAGGACCAGCACTGAAACTTCTGCGGTGACGTCCAAGGTCATCAGAAGGACCAGGAGAAGTAGCTCTTCTTCCGTAGCCGGAGCCAATGGCAGAAGCAGCTACCTTCTTAGGGGCAGAACCGCCACGCAAGTAGTGGTCAGCAACTGAGAGGTCCAATTCGTAAATCATGGTACCAATTTCATTGCCAAACTCCTCATGGGTCTCGAAGTTGTCTTCGTCAGGAGAGATGAAGTCATTCTTGTCACCACCCATGATAACAAGCTTATTGAGCTTAGGCAAGAAAGTCACGGAGTGACCACAACGAGGACCTGGACCGTTGGCAGAGACCTCTCTAGCTAATCTGGACCATTTGAAAGTGTGCAAATCCAATGCGTACAAGGAATCGTAGATGATACCAGCAAAGTCGTTACCACCGTAAATGTACATGTGGTCGTTGGCAATCACAGCCGAGTGTTCATTCACCGGCAATGGGGTAGAGCCTGTAGTGTCGACCTGCAGCCATTTGTTGATCAAAGTATCGTAGCACCACAAATCGTTGGACACCTTCTCGTTGTTGTAAACACCACCAAAGACGTAAATCTTGGTCTTGTGGATACACATGGAGTGGTTGGTCAAAGGAGGAGGGCTGAAAGAGTTGAGAGGCTCAACAAGCTCCCAACGAGCCTTGGGCAGCTTAAAGTCGGTCAATTCGAAGTAGTACATTTCATTGAACACTTCATTTTCCAACTGGCCACCAAACAAGTACAATCTTGAAGAAGAGGCTGAAATCAGCACAACGCCAATCAGGTGACCGTAACGGCCAGTTGGCTTGTTCAAGATGTGCAGAGGAATAGTGTACTTCTGGTTGTTGATGTTGAACATGTAGAAGTTGTCATCTGGAGAGCCGCTATAGTCAGTTTCGACAGTGTCACCACCGTAGATAATGTAAGCATTTCCACACAAGACAGAGGCGTGGCCCACACGAGCAGGAGGGTTGTTTTTGTTCACCACCTCAATGTGAGAAGCAGTGAAACGGTCAATGTTAGTGCCACCAATATGAGGCACAATCTTCCATGTGTCACCAAACACAGAGCCCTCTTTCAAACCACCCATAAGAAAAATTTCATTCTTTTCCGAAGCCACCTGGGACACCGAGTGTCTGTAGCGAGGGAAGGGCGAGTCATAGAGCTTGTGTCTTTTCCAAGGCGTGGAAGCATTGCCAGGAGCCGGGCCGGCAGGCGGAGAGTCGTAATCCGGTCTGTCGTAGTCGTCGTAGTCAGCAACGTGTTCAGGCATCAGGGACTGGGGAATTGAAATGTTTGGTTTCTGGGGAGACTTGGAGATATACGAATGGCGGTATTCAGAACCCGTGCCAGTGGTAGATTTGGAAGCGAAAGAAGAGTCCGGGTCGTCGACAGTCGAAGAGGCAGAGGTATCTTGAATCTTCAGTTTCCTCTTACTAAATGGAAAGCGGGCCATTCTCTATGTTTATATGGAAGAACGACGAGGGCGGGACGTTCAGATATACCGAGGGGGAAGGTGGACGAAAAAAAGGAAAAGAAAATAGAGCCCACAGCTTCTGTATAAGTGTCAGGTGCTCAGATAGGAAGTTAGACGGCAGGATATGCAACCGGTTGGAGCGGCGCAGGTTAACAAGTGGCTGTTTTAAGGAACTTGAGTGGATCGGTAGGGTGAAAAAGGTGGAGTAGTATTGTGCGAGGCGTCCAATCAGGTTACTCGTTGGTGGCCGCAGGACACCAGGAAAACATAAAAGCACTACAAACTTTATACCATTGTGACGGCTGAAGGCTGCTGATTCCAGTGGTGTTGTCGGTTTCTCTGTATCACTTCTGGTTCCCATTTTGACTGGGGGTTTGGAGGACAGGGCCCAGGGCACTGGGTGAGCGGCACTGCACAGGGTGCCCAAATGCTCAGATGCAATTGCCTGTTTAGGCAGAAAATAGGCATCACAGCGTCGAGACAGAATTCCCCAACTAGGCAAGAGGGGGAGGACATTCTGGAGCCACTTTGTCTATTACAAGACTAATTAGCCAAACAAGATACTGGACAGAATGGGAAGAATAACCTGCAATTCGATGTAGGGGAAGTCAAAGAAAAAAGAAAGAAAAAAATGAAAATTTTACATGTAATTAACGCTGCAAAGGGTAACCGACGCAAAAAGCGCCAACCGTTGTTGGTCAGGGGATGTGAAGGGTAATAACAAGAATGGCATTGTCGTGGGGGAACACTATGAGGTATTAATTTGATGTTGTGGATTTCGAAGGGATTGGGATTTGTTGGGGGTTTGTGGGTTGGAAAAGTATAATTTGAGTGGAGGTGGAGATGGAGTTAGTGAAAAGCGGTGCCTCGGCTAACTTTCTTTCGTAGTTTTACCTCTTTCTTTCTTTTGTGTTATCGAATAAAGCCGTAGCTGCAAACGGGCCTTCCAGCTGGCCTTAATTGGCGCCAGGAGCTTGCATTATTGTAGTTCCTTGACTCCTTACGATGAGGTCATAGCAGGTCTGTTTCATAGTACCTCTAGACAATTGGCTGGTGGAAGGGTAAGGAAAGGGAGTCTCCATTGTGGCCAAGGCTGTGGTGCTTCGAGTCTTTTATAATCCTTTGGGGATAGAAGGTGAAGGGATGAATGGCCTGGTTCCACCTTTGTGTGACTATCTAAATCTTGTGCTAGTGATTAGCGAATTCAGTATAGAGTTTGTGTCCAGCTGGGCCTTCCAATTGCCTCATGGCGCTTGTGAAAACACTGTCTTGGCTGGATTTCTACGTTCAGCGAAGTGGAGATCAGAGGCTTGTGGAACAATATTCTACCGAAAGCTTGAACAAAGACCAGTGTTTAGGCTTTGGTTGTGTGTAACCGCCTTTCTTGGTTTCCTTCCTTAACGGTCCCAAGCCATGGCTTGGAATTTTGGAGTTTTTATGTTCTTTTCTATACAAAGAGTATCTTACTATAGTGGAAGGGTCCGCTGGATCGACAGAATCTCGCTTGACCTTAACCACTCTTAGTAGTCTATTGTAGCCATTTCTCGGCGATCTCGGAGCCATATATACCAAGTGTGAGCGTTCGCGACAGGTATTATGTGCTTCGCACGACCCCCACCACTATCATCAAGGTCCATACTCAGGTAGTCAAGTAACTCGACACCATGGGATTCACCTACGATCCGCAGGTGCAACTAGCGAAACTCTTTCCTTCAGAGTCCTCCTTGGATAACATTGATGATGTTCTACTGTACATCCAAAAACATAAACAACAGCTGGCATTGGACATACAGAAAGAGACAGCCAACTATCAGCATCCTATAAACCCACAGGATGATATCCATACACTTACGCTGACTTTTGGGGAGATTAGAGACAAGTCTGCGGATACACAAGCTAAGATCTTGGCCATGACTTCCAGCATACAGCGATTGGACATTGTTAAGAAGAACTTGGTGCTTTCCATGAAGGTGCTTAAACGACTCCAAATGCTCGTGAATGCCTACAACAGTTTGAATGAGGTGGTTAATACTAGAGACTACAAGCAAATTGCTACGTATTTGGGCGTCGTTAGAGAATTGCTTGTTTTCTTCAAGCCATACCGCTCAATCGACCAGATCGGCCTCTTGAATCAACACATACACAAGACCCAGAACAAGTTGGTGGATGATGTGTTCATAGACTTTGAGGATTCGTTCACCAACAACTTTTCAAGTGAGAATCTCATTTATGGCTGTGAGATCTTGCAATTAATTGATGAAAAATATAAGGATAAGCTTCTTCAATGGTTCTATAACCTTCAGCTTAAAGAGATTCGCTCCATTTTCTCATCCACAGAAGAAGCCGGCAATCTCGATAACTTGAACAGGAGATACATTTTCTTCCGTAACGTGCTTTCAAATATCCAGACCAATTATCTTCTGGTTTTCCCAAAGCTGTGGAATGTTGATTATGAGCTTGCCAAGTTGTTCTGTGAAATGACCAATAGCGATCTCAAGGCACAGCTTACAAATGTGGCATCTTCTGAAGTCTTGCTAGACTCACTTACCAAAACTTTGGAGTTAGAAAAGTTCCTTAACGAAACGTTCAAGACGAACCACTTCGAGAAGATTATTCTGATTGTCTTCGAGCCTTACCTTACCACCTGGGTCAACGAACAAGATGGTGTTCTCAGTGCCAAGTTTATGGAGTTTTACTCTGCTCCAAAGATTCCTCAAGAACTCATATCGCCACAGACTGCTGAAGATATTCTTACCGTTCTTCGAGTTAATAACGTTCCAAACTTTGCAAACTCATCCTCCGAATTGTTTAAACTTTTCCAGAAACTACTCGTGCAAATCATCAAGTTATCAAACGGAAAGATTTTGCTTGATCTCGCTCGTCTTGATCTCAAATATCTTCGTGAGTACAATTATAAGGTGTTAGTTCCTGTTTTGCATCAGTCGGAATCAAACCCTAAAGGTCTTGAACCCGTCAAGTACTTGACTATGATCCTTAATACGGCTGACTATGTCAATAATAACATCAACGACTTGCAAGATAAGTTTGTCAAGCTCATTGATGAAAAGTACAAGGATCGCATCGATTTTGAACCTGCAAAGAACTTATTCTTCGATGTCATTGGTAAGTCCATCCAGGGACTTGTGCTGAAGGTTTCTCATGACTTGCAGTTTACCTGGAGACAATTTGAGAACAACGGTTGGGAGGCTATGGAGTCTGTCTCTGACACTTCAAATTACATGGAAGATTTCATTAATACCATGAAGGAGGATAACCGCGTCATCTTGACTTTGATCATCAGAGACAGTTATGTTAGATCTTATTGCGATAAACTCGTGGAAATGGTGGTTCATACCTTTGTTAACAAACTCAAAATTATCAAGCCGTTGAGTATCGTGAATGTCGAGCAGATCCTTGTTGATGTGGCTGTCCTCAAAAACTACATGGCTACATTGCCATTGTATTCCGACCCTAATTATGACGACACCAAGCAAGGGGAAGAGTCTAAGCAGGCTCCTAAGGCTTATATTCGGTACCTTGACTCTCAGTTTGGTAAGCTTACAACTTTACTCAAGCTTTTACTTACACCTGTGCTTCCTGTGGACAACATGATCGAGAACTACTTCAATCTTGTCGGTGATAAGTCTTTGCCCAGCTTCACCAAGTTCTTGAACTTGAAGAATATCAGTAAAGCAGACCAGCCAAAGTACATTGAGAACTTCAAGCTTCAGCTCACCATTCCTAATTCGTTAGCAGAAGATTCTCACATTCTTTCCATCCTTGAGGAAGACTCCGAAGAAGAACAGCAATCATCGAAACATCCATCATCCCAAGGGTCGCCCCAGCAGTTCGATATCAAGGAATTAATCTCGAGCCGGTCTCCTGAGCCTCATCTTCCTGATATTTTCAAGACTAATCCTACAAAACTTAAAATCAATAATCCGCTCAAAGATTTCTCCATCAATGGCGAGCAGCATGTCAGTAAATTCAACGAAAACTTCAGAAATATCGGAAAGTTTTTCAGAAAAGATAACAATAATGATTATCACTAATAAGGCTGTCTATCGTTCTGGTGTGCATGGAAAACTAGTATGTGCGAAGAGAGCTTCCCCATATCGGATATCAAGATCTATCAACTACTTATGACTGAAAAGCTTGTGAAGATTTGCGGGATACGAAGACCCCAGGATGCTACTGCTGCCATAAATTCTGGCGCTGATATACTCGGAGTTATTATGGTGCCTAATAGACAAAGAACTATCGCACATGAAGACGCCCTTGAGATCTCCAAAGCTGTTCATGCTGCGAGAGATGAAAAACATAGAAAGTTTAAAAATGCTAAAGAGCTCAATAGTCATATAGCTAGTCAATCATTTGCATCCCACGAAGAGTACCTTCTATCTTATCATGACTTAATCCTTCAAAATGGACCCTTCTTGACCGGTGTCTTCAGAAACCAAGACCCTAAGACAGTGTTCGAACTTGCAGAGCAACTCAACCTTGATATAATCCAATTACATGGCAGTGAAGACCCTGCTGAGTTTATGGCTCTTAACACTGACAACAAGTTTTGCATAGTTAAACGCTTTGTGTTGCCAGAACAAACAGAGTATATGACTAACTTCTTGAAGACTTTGCATACAACCGACAACAAAGGCTTTGCCTTGCCCCTTTTAGATTCAGAGCTTGGTGGTGAAGGAAAGACTATCGACTTGTCTCTTATCAATGATTTGCAGGGCTCTTTTATCTTAGCTGGTGGTCTCACACCAGACAACCTCAAAAACACGAAAGACTTTATTAATAATGTCGTTGGTTTTGACGTTAGCGGCGGTGTCGAAGATGACAGTGGTTTCAAAGACCATAACAAGATCAGCCAGTTTGTGGCAGAGGGTAAAAAATTAAGCATTTAGAGCAAAAAGTGGTATTAAAGTCTATACACATTACACGTTACACGTAAGCACTAGTCATCCTGATCCCAGTTACCAGGTCTGCGCTGCTGAGGAACCTGTGGGCCACCTGCTCTCTTAGCCATGATGATCTGGTCAATCGATAATATAGTATTGGCAGCCTCAGTAGCGAAGGTGATGGCAGATCTCTTCGTGGACAAAAGATCGTATATGTCGTGTTCCTTAATGTCCAACAAACCATCGTCGCTGTTGTTCTCGACGTCAATACCCTTACTCAAGTTACCTTCAGTAGAGTGAGCGGCATGCAATGCACTCAACACTTCTGTAGAATCAAAGCCGGAAGTCTCGGCCAAAACTCTTGGGACAACCTCGAAAGCCTTAGCGAAATGCTTGATCGCTAGCTGCATCAAACCTGGAGTCTTCTCACCGTATTGGGTGATCAACTTGACAAGCTCAATCTCAACAGCACCAGCTCCTGGTAAAAGAGCATTGTCCTGGACCAAACCCTTGATAGCGTTGACACCATCGTCAATAGCTCTCTCAATGTCGTCCAAGTTATTTTGCGTAGCACCTCTGAGGATGATTGTGGAAGTTCTGGAGATGGAGTCGTCGTTTTGTCTGAAGATGGTAACTCTGTCACCACCGATTTCTTTAGTTTCGATGATGTCAATAGATCCCATCTCCTCTGGCATAGGAGCACCAAGTCTTGGCAATGGAGTAGCACCACAGACCTGGGAAACACGACGGATGTCGAATTTAGATGGAACCTTCAACACCAAGATATCGTACTTGTTGAAGTAGTGAAGAGCCAACTCACCAATAGAAGAGCCGGCCACAACAACACGGACACCAGAGTCAGAAATCTCCTTACACATCTGGTCCAATTGCTGTTCTTCACCCTTGGAGAAGTCCAACATCTCCTGAGCATCATGAAGCAACACGGTACCCTTGGTCTCAGTGGTGGAAATGTCAATAGGACACGTGAAAACAACGACCTTTGACTTAGTGTTGACGTTCTTGACATGTCCCTCTGGCTCTCTTGGGAAAACCATACCCTTGACGACCTCAGAGTTGGACAAGGAAGAACCCATAATTTTCACGACTCTGACGTTGTCAATGTTGAAAGCCTGAGGCTTCTTAGGGTTGATGATCATCCTCACAGCCTCAACCACAAGGTTTGAAATGGATTCCTCGAGGCCAAACTGCTTAGCGGCGATGACTGGTTTGATGACCTTCAAAAGCTCCTTTGGCTCAGTGATGTTCTCCACATGGCCAACCACAAGCTTTTCCAAGGTCTCTTGCAAGAATTTGTTTGCCATGTTGTAACCTTGGATAATTTCTGGGACACTAAGACCAAGACTGATCAACTTTTCAGCGATATTAAGCAATTCTCCACCCAATACAATAACCAAGTTGGTGTTGTCACCCATCTCGAACTCCTGCTGCTTAGAAGCCTGGATCAAGAGTTTGACAGCAGGATGAACAATTTCCAATTCATTAATGATAGTAGCTGCGTCGTTTGTGATGAAAGTTTTGTCGTGTTTGTTAACAAGGATCTTATTTCTTCCAGAGGGACCCATCGAGGTAAGGACGATGGAGCTGATTTCTCTCACAGCCTCGATGTTTCTAATGATGGCACCATCAGAGGCGGAATACAGCGAGTAGCCCTGCTTGAAAAGCCCTGCGTTTGGGGCAGAAGGCAATTTAAGTGACATAATGTGTGTAGCTAAGTAAGGCTGATCTGAGGAAGGTTCTGGTGGTAACAAAATTTTGATGAACAACCTGTGAGATCACGTGACCGTGACCCGAATTTCCAAGGACCCGTTCTTGATATTCGATATGTTTAGTCCATATAAGTAAAGTAAGGTATATTAAGCTGAAAATGAAAATATTTCTTCCTTTTGCTGCCTAGACTTCTTGGTGTTGCGATGTTGAAGTGGTTTTGGTATAATCGCGTTAGGACTCTTGTACCTAGACTTGGGAGAGACTGAATTTTTCAAAAAATGCCCACTTGGCAAAGCCTTTCTTGTCATTTTTTACGTTCGTGATTACCTAATTATATTTCTCTCTCGTCTATTAATAAACGTCCGTAATACTTACCTGTAAGACTGTATCGTTGGCTGTGCTGGCTGCTGCTTTGGCGAATCTGCTTCTGCAGCTATTGTTCTGTTGCATGCTTCTAGAAAGCACGTTAAGGTAATAGCCAAATAAAAACTAAATACCTAAGATACATTGCATAATCCCCAACATTGTCAGTCGAGCCCGATTCGACAAGCAAACATTACGGGCAATAACCCAATTTTTTATGATTTACCAGATCGTATACGGCTCAACTGTCAAAGATCGAGATCTTCAATCGGCTTACCAACAAAACCACGCAAATTGTCTATAGACGTCGTCTTCTTGTTGAAGTATGCGCTCAAGGTTTTGTCGTAAATGGCGAACAATTTTTCATACTTTTGCAACTTCTTCTTTTGATCTCTCAGCTCTCTTTCATACTTGCTGATGTTATTCTGAAGCTGCTGCTGGGCTTGTTTTTTTCTTTGACGACACTTTGAAGCTGCTATTCTGTTCCTCTCCAATAAACGTTCCTTCTTCCACGCAGCAGTACCTGGGATAGGACCACCTTCGGCAGAGTAAATAACTTCGTTATTGTAAATAAGCTGATGGTTCGGAGGAGGAACGCCAGCAACATCATCAATAGCAGAATGAGGAGTTATCTCACCTGGCATTGGAGGCTCCGGTGGGGCAGATTGCTCCTGGCGCAACCCTTGCGGGTGTGGAGGCTGAGCCGAAGTAAACGACGACAGCGGATCCAGCGGAGGAATAGAAGGAGGACCAGGAATAGCAGATCCGGGAGGCTGTGGAGGAGGCTGAACATCATCGTTGTCCTCCATCTTAGGACCCAGAGGAGGCGGCCTAGGAACAAAGTCAGGCTGCAGCTGTAGAGGGTTTTGGTCATAAGGCAAACGAGCATCGTTAAATAAAGGGTTACCCAAGTTTGGGTTACCATGAGTAGGCTCAGGAGCATGGTGATGATGGTTGTGGTGAGAGTACCTAAAAGGCACATCGTTCATCTCATCGTAAGAGTCATCGTCGGCGAAGAACGCCTCGTGGTTGATAATCTGGCCGATCTGGCCGTTGGAAATCGAAATCCTTCTTCTTCTTTGAACACCCGCCTCGTTAGTGTAGGGTAGGAAGAACGTCGAGTCGATGATGGGCGGATTAGTAATCGGATACGAGTTGACGTCAAACGGGTTGTGGTTATTCCAACTGACGGATCCTTGGGTTTTAATATCCCCCATGGGCTGCACGTGGCCAGCAGGTTGTTGGGAAGGTGCCTGTGGAGGTAGCGGCTGTTGTTGCTGCTGGTTGGAAGGGTCCTGAAGAGGCTGGCCAGTAGGCTGTGATGTATTTGGTGCCATCATAATATAGCGACGTGGCAGGTGTGGCTATCTTAAACGTATCAGTCAGATGCTTAAACAAGACGAAACAGAATCTGGAAGTGCCAGTCTTATACGACTTCTTATGGGGTATTAGATGGGCTTCGCAGAAACCGAGTCTTTAGATGGTGGAGGCTGCGTACAGGCGGGGCGATTAGGTGGAGGGCACAGAGGGCGGGTAAAAAAGCGGCTTCCTCACACTTAATGTGGTAAGGATGTCCAATGGGAAAAGAGAGCTTTTGCATGAAACATGAAAGTTGAGTGAATTTCCCATACGGCCAAGGGTGATAAGTTTCCGAAACCGGGGTGGAGATTCCGTATTCTAGAAAAAGCTCGTTTTTTTGCTGCGTTTTACGGTGCCTGCTTACCGTTGTAGTGTACGTTTGTTGGGCACATGGCGGTAACTAAAGCAGCAATTCTACCGCCGAGCGTAGCCAGCGAGGCGAGTCTTCGTGGAAACCAACGGTTATGGAAAAAAAAAGTACCTAAAGAAGTACCCATCAACTTCAACTAATGGTCTCTGTTTCGCCTTAGATCTAGCGATCTTCAGTGTGGTGGCTGCGAAAAAGACGTTATCTTGATAGACGCTGCTCGCGAGGCTGGGTGCCTCGATGCAAATGCAAAGCAGTTTCAGTCAAAGCATCGTCAATGTTTCGGCATCAAGCAGCACCGCTGATGACATGTATTATTCCTTTCCGTTTCCATATTCGTCTATTCCATGCCGGGGCTGTTTTTTCATATCTGTGCTGGTGGTACCTTACACAGCCGGGGAGCACTCCGGCGTCACCGCGGGCTGAGACATCGACATCTGACGTAGTAGCGGTGATGGAGGTGTGAGTTACGAGATTGCACCGTGGAATTACAGATCCACTGTGGAGCTGTGCGTCTTGGGAACTCTACCCCTATTCAATTGATAATTGGTTGCGGGTGTTTTTTCCTGGGTTTTGTGTTGGTGGGTGGTTGTTTAATGGTGGACCTTGAGTTGCTTAAATATGTGAGGCTGGCAGAGGGTGCCTCTTTTTTTTCGCAGCCAAATTTGTCTGGCACTTGTCTCTCCTTCCAATCAATATATAACCTAATTTTAAGGTATCTTTCCTTTTTCCTTGCCCCATTCTTCGTGGTCTCCCCGTCTCCCCACCGGGTCCTTTTGCGCCACTTGCGATGCAGTTCAATGTCTTTTAGCCTTGGGCGCCTCCTCAAGTGACATCACCCGAGGCACCTATTTGAAGTAGGAGATCTGCTTTTGTTTTTTTTTTTAGTGCACCACTCACGTGCGTACACCTTAAATCTGGCCTGCTCTAACCAAAGAAGTTGCAACCTCTACATATGGGTACTTTTGACCTGTTGGCAGAGCTTCTACGGAAAAATGGGTTTGACCCGTCGGGGCTTGAAATGGCGCTCGAGGGCCACGATTTCCGTGACGAAAATGACCACGAGTACGCTTTCCAGTTCATTGTGGAGAACCAGCGAGGCATGAAGTTCTTTGGCATCCCTTGCTTTAACAGGAAATCCCTTATTCCCGTGATCGACCCGCCACAATATACCCGTGTGGATGGCTCCCGAGTGACGCTTTCCGATGATCATATTGAAAACTACCCGTTGCCAGACCTCGGCTGGCACTGGGGCTGGGACCAGTGGTATGTGTTGATGCTAAACGACGTTGACGAGCAAGGCTGGATGTACCTGAGCATTGTGTTCAGACGTGGGCTGCATTGGCATGGCAAGTATAACTTTGGCAATTTCGTTCGGAGACGCTTGTGGGTTCGTTTGAGGGTTCGTTCACTTGAATTGGCTGGAAAAGAACCTGAAACGGCTCGTAAGAAGCCCCAGCTCGTGCTTGAGCCTGGTGCTGAGTCTTTCCAGGCGCCACTGACCACTTCCTCGGAAGATTTGGATGTAGACCAGCAGGCAGAGCTTTCAGAGGCTCCTGCTCCTCCCAAACGGCTCCCCATAGCCCTGGTTACTACGTGGGCATAGTTGTTTTTTTATATTGCTGGACATGAAGCAGGCTTCATGACAGTGGATTTAAGGTTTGGAAGATGGGCTTTGTGACGAATGGTTGGGTCACTGGCAGTGCATATCACACACTGATAATAGAAAGTAGCATTCTAGCATAATGAGGAACAAAGAAAGCATAATTTAACATGTTCCGCAATTTACTAATACAGAAACAATCAATGTAGACTGGTTTAAAGTTTGAGATCTGCTGTTGCTGATTTTTAACACCATTGTTAACTTTGGTGGTATACCGTATCTCAGGCACTTTCCAAGGGTTTATGTTTTTGACGCGCTTTAACCAAAACTTATCAATATCTACAAACACCAATGTCTAATAGAGATCTTACACTTGCCGTATACGTAGCAAGATACAACTATCACACGAATTATTCTTCTCTTGACAGTATGACCGACCTTGCAATTTCTTTTGTTTCAACTAACACTAGCCTGTATTGCTAGACTAGGGCAGACCGTGTTACCCCAGAAGGTACACGCTAGAAACTACGCAACCAAAACAGCGTCAAAATTTGGCTTAGAAATACCAAAAGATGAAACTAAACCCTTTAGAGTTAACAAGAAAAGGCAGGATGTTGGAGTTTCAAAAGCCAATGGCAATGATGTGAGAGGTGTTCTATGCGTGATAAGGCAGTATTGCAGAGGTGAAGTCACCGACGTGTCTATCGAAATTGCCGCCGAGTGCCTGGCTTTGATAAGCAAGTGCAATCTTAGAGATACACATCTGATGTATGTTCCTTGGATTACTTTACTTGTTGAGTGCATTGTCTTTGCATTTGGTTCAGAGTTCGAGGCGTCTGAAAACACGCTTGTGCTTGTCGATACCCTTTTAGATACCCTCCACGCGTTATTCAAGAAGAGCAGTGGTGTATTCACTAGTCAATTGGTATCGATATTCATAGATTTGGCAGCATCTGTGTTTCCCAAGGAGAAAGCTACCGTTGTCTTGCTGCTTCTTCGATCTATGTCTTCGCTTGACTTATCGAAATCGTACATCAAACGAACCCTCTTATCGGAGCATTTCTGTGTATGCTTGGAAGAGATCCTTGAACGTCTTTTAGCATTGATACATATCTACGTCTCTACGTATGATGCTGATAATTTGAACTGCGTTCGGTCTACAGTGCTAGCAACCATGCTATACTTTGGACACAAAGGGATTCTAGACTACTTTAATTCTTTGTGTTGGTAATGGTATCTTGCCATGTGGTGATGTAATGCCTGTTGGGGATCTAATGTAATGCTATCATGCATGCTCTAATGGTGACATATACAAGACAGATGGTGATGTCTTGATGATCTAAGTTGTTCTATCTTATTTGCCTAGAAGTTTGGCGCCGTTCCTTCCAACAAGATAGCTCACTCCACTGCAGAATGTAGTGGCGGTTACTAGGTAACCAAAGTATTCAAATACCAAAGCCAGAGTATCATGCAAACCAGTTGCTTCATCGAACCAAGGAAGGAGCACCAAACCGCCAATGTAAAACATCTGCAATGCGGTATTCACCTTCCCCAAAAGATTAGGATGAACTGTATGTGTTGGGATCGATAAATCAGCGAATCTCTTGAATGTCTTGGGTGGCGGTAATGATCTCCACCTGACATAAAATCCAATGAAACTAAGCATGACGTCTCTACCAAGTATTAGCGTCGCAGCGTACCATGGCATTACATGTTGAGCAGAAAGTGCAACGGTACAAACTGTCATGAGGAACTTATCTGCTGCTGGATCCAAGATAGACCCCAACACAGACTTCAAGTTATATTTGCGTGCAATAAAGCCATCAACAAAGTCAGTGGCACATGAATAAATGAAGAGGGCAATGGCTGGTGTCGATTGACCGGTTGCAATGAAGTAACCAATGAAAGGTGTTGTGGCTATTCTTGTCATGGTAAGTATATTGGGCACCGTATAAATCTGGGATGAAATTTCTTGTGGAGTTGGAATCTTGAGTGGTTGCTTGATGTCTATGCTTTCATCTTTGGTGATATTCTCTTTAACTTTTATACGAGGGATCTTCTCTTGATGCTCCAACTTTTTTTGCAACTGAATCGTTGATGTGCTAAGGTTCTGGCGGAACACCCGGATAGGCGCCAAGGTTCTGGTGGGTAAACATAGTTTAGTAAGGCTCTTCCCTGGTAACGATTGGAGAGGTCGAAGAGACCTTAAAGGATGAACGAAAAGCATAAATGTGGGGTGGAGATCAACAAATGAAAATTTCAATTTTTGCTACTACTCGCACAAGATTATACAGTGCGTTCTACTAGAAGATGCGCTCAAAGGGTTATATGACCCCGCATTTTTAGTTCTATTAAGGTGAAAGCTTACTTTTCAGCTTATTTGGGGAGACCGCTGTCGTTGACCAAAGTTTGACTGGTTTCCTGTGGGCCTGGACCGACTTGGGTCAAGATGATTCTGCTAACTCCCTTGTAGGCTTCGTTATCAAATTCAATGTCAGAGTCAACGAAGTTGGACTTGGTGTTGGCAACCTTTTCCCAACCTGGAACCTGGTGGAAGTACTTGTGGATCAAACCAAGAACCTTGTTCTCGTTCTGCTCTTCGTAATAAACCACAGCATTTGGACCAGCATCGAAGGTGTAAGCAGCGATGATCTTGCCCTCCTGCTCATTCAACTTGTGAATCAACTTGATGATCTTCTTGGAAGTATCGTTCAAGTAGAAGATTGGTGGGACGGTGTCCAAGCACACGGCGTGGAAAGAGTTGGAGTCCTTCATGGTCAAGTCACCGAAAACTTCAAAGTTACGTTCCTGGATAGCCTGCTTCATTTCCTCGAATCTCTTTGGCACAACGTCCTTGATACGGTACTGGAACAAATCAGAAGTAGCGACAGTGCTCTGCATTCCTGTTGTCAGAGGTGTGTCCTTCTTGTCGTCAGAGACAACCAAGATGGCAGCCTTCATCAGAGGCCAGTGGTCAACTGGAGCAACCTCGACAGCCTTGGAGTCCAGACCATCAGCAGCATCACCCATTTCCCATGCAACGTAACCGCCAAACAACGATCTACAAGCAGAACCAGAACCCTTTCTGGCAATCTTGGAAATCTCAGACATCAGCTGCGGAAGTTTGTACAACTTAGCGATGGCCAGGACCAAGGCAGCGAAGCCAGCAGCAGAAGATGCCAAACCAGCAGCGGTTGGGAAGTTGTTCTCAGACACAATGTGGACACCCCATTCAGAGAACTTGGGCAAAGAAGAGTCTGAATCTTCCAATTCCTTTCTCAACTTCTTCAAGTCTTTCAAGCATGCAATGGTTCTCTCGCCCTTAATACCTTCTTCCTTGCCGTTCAACCACAAGTTGTCTTTCTTGAAATCAGCAGAAGTGGCAGCAGAGGTCAAGGTTCTCAAGTCTTGTTGGTCCAACGTAACCGAGATGGAAGAGTTCGTAGGAAGATTGAGAGTCTTGTCTCTTTTACCCCAATACTTTAAAGTCTAATGTTAGTAAAGGCAAGGATTCGAGCAGTCTTATTTACATACCGCAATGTTGACTGGCGCAGTGGCCGAAGCTGTGTAAACTGTCATTATGTGGTAGCGAAGGGCTGAAATTTGTTGAAGTTCGCGGTCTCGTATACGCGCAGAGACGAGGTGAAGGTGGAGATGATAATTCGACTTATATTCGACATACTAGTAGTTATACAAGATATTTGGTTAAAAAAAGATAAAAGTAATTGTGTTTTGTCACAAGAAAGGAGGGGGTGTCAATGAGTGGTGATTGTGGTCATTAAAAGGCGCTTACTGTTTTTTCTTCCATCTCCACAATCTAGCCTTGCAGTCACCACTTCCCGTAGCGAACACACCCTCGGAGCCCAGCGAGTTGAATGAAACGGCAACAGAAATGACAGAGTTACGGTGACCTTGCAACATCAACAATGGGTTACCGGAGAACTGATCCCAGAAGATCACACCACGGTCTTTTGAACCAGACAAGATGTACTCGCTGTCTGGAGTAGAGCATACACTCAAGACAAAGTCCTTGTGTCCAATGTAAGTGACCTCACAGCTGGACTTTTTACCGATCGATTGTCCGCTAACAGCGCCTTCGGCCTTGCCTTCAAGGTTCCACAACTTGACGGTTCTGTCCAAGGAACCAGAGGCGATCTGGTTACCATTAGTAGAGAAAGCAACGGAGTAGACAGAGTCCTGGTGGCCGTTACCGCTCTCGTTACCAGAGTCCAATCTCTCGACGAGGAAACCAGTAGAAGAGTCCCAAACTCTGACAGTCTTATCCAAAGAACCAGCAGCGATCAACTTACCGTTTGGAGAGACAGCCACAGTGGTGACGCCATCTTCGATAGACAAAGTCAAGGAGCATTGAGAAGATCTCAAGTCCCAGATTCTGACGGTGCGGTCACCAGAACCGGAAACCAAACGGTCACCATCAGGGAAGAAGTCCAACGAGTAGATATCTTGTTCGTGTCCTCTCAAGATTTTGATAATTCTTTTCGTTGACAAGTCCCAAATTCTGATCAACTTGTCCTCGGCACCGGTAGCCAAAAGCTTTCCATCTGGAGAGAAACAGACGGATCTGATGTACAAGTCACCGTTGGCGTTGGCAGAAGCAGCAGAGTTGGCACCGTCCTTGTTGTCGCCATCACCTTCGCCCTCGACGGCATTGCTGTTAGAGCTGTTGTCATCGATCAACTTGGCAATCAAAGCACCAGTCTTCACATCAAAGACCTGAGTGGTCTTGTTGCAACCAGTAGCGATGAATTCACCGTTCTTGGAGAACTTAACACAGCACACGACAGAAGAGTGATCCAAAGACTGGATCAAGTCAACGTCCAAGTCACGCTTGAAAGCTGGGTTATAAAGCACATAAAACTCTGGGGTCTGCTTCTTAAAGTCTGGGTTAGCCTTGGCCACATCCAAGTCCGAGAGGAAAGGAGGAATCTCCTTAACGTGCAAGTTCTTCTCCTGTGGGTTGACAATGTACTGAGACTTGTCGACAACGGTCAAAGCGGAAGAGAACTCCAGAGACTTAGGAGCATCCTTGACAGGCTCCGATCTGGACACGTTTGGCAGTTTCTTGGCCTCGGTCTTAGGGGGCTTGATGGAAGCAGGCTGCAGAGGAGGCTGCAGATGTGGAGGAGGAGGTTGCTGCTGTTGTTGCTGGTGAGGAGGCTGGGGTTGTTGAGGTTGTTGAGGAGGCTGAGGTTGTTGAGGCTGCTGCTGTTGTTGTTGTTGCTGGTAGGAGTAAGGATACTGAGGAGTTGGAGCACCGTTTGGTTTACCCAGATGAGCTTGTCTGTCTCTGTTTTCCAACTCAGTTTTCAAACGCAAGATCTCCTCCTCGTAGGCTTCCTTGATCTTTCTGTGAGCCATTTCCAATTCGTAGACAGTTTGACGGATCTGCTGCATTTCAGCAGTCTGCTGGTTACACTTGAGGTCATAGTCCTCCTTGACCTTGGAGTAGTTGGAGGCTTCGTTGAAAGCAAAATCGAACTCCTGCTTGACGGCGTCCAACAATTCATTGAGTCTTTGCTGGTGTCTTTTCTGCTGTTGCAGCTGGGACTGGGAAGGCTGCAGCTGCGAGTTAGCGTACACCGACATGGCGATAGTCAAGTCTGGGGATTAGGTATGTATAAGGATATAAAAAAAAAAACGGGATATGTGTGGCGCCGATGTAAAAAGGTGTTTTGGCAGGGAAAGGACGAAAGGACGTTGAGGGTGGAGTTTTTTTTTTTTTTTTTTTTTTTTTCCTAGTGGTGAGAAATTGACTTGAGAAAAAGCGAACCTTGAGAAAAATCATTTTTTTGTCCCTCGAGCCTGAACGGAAAGGGGACCCTCGAGAGAGGCAAAAAGCAACCGCCCAACACTCCAAAAACTATATAAAGCGAGGATTTCCCCCCGGATTGAATTTGTTCTACGCTTTTTTACGCCTTCATCCTCTCTCCAAAGTATTTCTAATATCCTCGCCAGGGTCCAGGCGCCTCTTGTGCGTTTGCTTCTTCTTTATCGATGCGAAAGAAACCAGCAGCTGGGCGACAAAGTGCTGGGCGGTTGAGGAAATATGGGGTGCACCCCCACCAGTTGGCCTTAGGAGGGGGCGTTTTTGACAGAGCGAAGGTTAAAAAAAATGAAGACAGCAAAGTGCGAAATGGAAAAAAAAAAAAAACAAATGCGAGGCAAACAAGAAAAATGAATGGAGAGTTAATGTGTGGGAGTGGATTTCCGCAGGACTTTGAATGGAGAGGGAATGGCAGAGGCAGTGGAAGGGGCAGAGGCAGTGGAAGGGGCAGTGGCAGTGGGAGAAGAAGACAAAATGGCAAAAATGAAGTAGAAAAGACAAAAAGTGGATTCGGTGTTTAGCCGTGGGATCGGAAGAGGTGAAATTGACTGGATGGTTTTGTGGGATATTTGGGGTTTCTTGGGAGTGGAAGTGGAGGAGGGAGTGGGTTTTAGTGGTGGTTGGTTTGTGTAGGTGTAGGCTTTTTGCACTGGCTGCTACTGGTTAACTCTGGAGGATTACTGGCAGGGATTGTAAAGTTAAAAATGTCGTAGGGAGTAGGTTTGATTTTTTGGGAAGAGGGAATATGGTGATTTTTCTATCTTCTTTATTATGTCTTTTACCTTTTCAATGGCTGCTTGTTCGTGGTGGTTGGTTCGTTGGTGGCTTCCAGTTGTTCAGCATTAACCTTCACTATCTGTGACTAGTCTGTGTTCTATAACTTTTCATGTCCACTGTAACACCACTGAGTCTCCTAAGTTGGTCCTCTAGTCCCTTTGTCATCTTTTCATTCTCTATGGTTGGCTTATACCAAGGGTAACGCTAACCGGCGTAGGAGTACACATGAAGTATCCTTGAACAATTGGCAACGTGGACCTTGATCAGTACCTAATCCTCATGAACCGAATAATGATTGGATTTCATCACTTTCCCGTGGTTACTGTTTCTATTGGCTGACGAGGAAATATGCCTTCAAAGTAAGCTGTTTCGTACATTGTTGCATCGTCTGGGTCATCTAGGACCACTTGGAAACAACAAGAAACCTAAATTTAAGATAAATTAAATCTCTTTATTCGGATTTGTGCTTTCATAAACAAAACCAAAGAGCATTCATTCATTATCTCTTGTAGTTGAGCTCGTCAATGGCTGCAAACGCTCACTATTAACGTTCCCAATAGACCTCTTCCTCTTCCCACACCTTTAAAAGAAAAAGAACAACTAATTAAAATAGCATTGAAGCCTAAGCATTCTCTTTTATCCTTCTTTAAACCAGTGAATTTCTTATCCTCCCTTGTTTGTCCTCCCCTTGGAGTCCCCTATTGGAAAACCTGTGCGACTCCAGGTTTCATCGCACTATAACCTCTGCCATCACTCGTCTTATCTTCAACAATGGTGTACTTGGGCAACAAGGTCTTTAGAGGCAAGAAGGAACAAGAAGCTTTCGATAAGAGTTTCGCCGGAAGGTACCAGAAACTTCTTAAGAAGAATCACTTCCTTTTCTTTGGCCTTCCTTTCATGTTGAGCATTTTCGCTGGATCGTTATACCTCCAGAAGTTCACTGCCGTCAAGTGGGAGAAGTACGATGAGAGACACAGACAGTTGAGTGAAGACGAAATGCTTGGTATGATTGACAACAAGCGGTCGTTTGATAAACGTGACGATTTCTATAGGCTCCAGGGTCTTTTGAGGGACCATACGGATGATGTGAAAGATGACTACGAGATTGTTCGTGTGCTGAGGAAGAAGGAAGATGAACCTGTCTGGTGGAAGCCATAAGAGACGAAAGAGGACGATTTTTGGCTCGTTTATTGCATGTCTATTGCGTTTATGTGGTTCACTGCCGTGGGGATAGCCCGGAAGCAAGATGGAAGGATGCGTCTGGAGCCCAAGATGTGTATCTGTAAGGCTCTAGCAGCTTTGCTGTCTCGGAGACACTCACACAAGCCATCTACTGGCGTTTTGGGCACGATGATGGCTTATTGAATGAGATTTTCAGACACATCGCCTTCTCTGCGCCCCGGCCAAATGGTGGTCTATCCATCATGAACAATTATCAATTCTTCATTTCACTGTTCATAGTTTGTCATGTCATTTTGGCTTCAAGCCGTATCGTTTAGTTCCCTGTCTGGGAAGGTCTATAGGTAAACGCGAAAAAGTATAATACAAAGATCATCGCATCTCATCTCCAACTACATAAGAAATGGTTTCATTCTCATGCGAGGTCTGCAACGACACGGTTATTAAGAAGAAGTTGGATCAGCATCGTTCCAGGTGTCCTGATGCCTATTATACTTGCATAGACTGTTCGACCACCTTTAATGGTGTTGAATACCGCTCGCATACTCAATGCATCTCGGAAGCTGAGAAGTACGAGAAGGGCTTGTACAAGGGAAAGAAGCATAACAACAACGCTAAGCCTGTTCAAAAACAAGAGCCAAAGCCCGTGGAACCTAAACCTTCCGCCAAGCCAGTCAAGGAAACTAAAACTAAATCCAAATCGGACAAGAAGAAGTCCAAGACTCTTGACTTGACCAAGTACGGAGACGGTTCCTTGTACAAGATCGTCAAGGCTATCAGCAGCGATACCAAGAAGGACAAGAAGGACGTCTTGAAGCTGCTTAATGTCAAAATCGTGGACGGTAAAATCGTCTTGACACCTAACTAAGCATTAGTGCTAACTTTTGGCGCTTTTATTGAGGGCACGGTTCATCTTCGCATAGAACTGACTAAGGGTATTGTATGGGAAAACAAGACTGTCTTGTAAATAGTCAGGAAGGTTTTTTCTTAATCTGTTCTTCACAGACGTAGGCACTTCCTTTAAGAAAGTAGGGATATAGTTAACTTCCGCAGACTGTTCGAACAGTTTCTTGATAACGAGTTTGTACTCCACTGTAATAGTACTAGGATCGTCCTCGCCATTGGTACTTGATTGTTTCACTTCAAAGTGGAATTTGTCCTTGTCCTCCTCGTAATTCGTTATTCTCACGCCAGTAAGAAGCTCAAGCATATCGAGAGTAACTCCGATAGTCTTCAATTCCAGCGCTAAGTCTTCCAGGCTGATCATCAGGGTAGAAGCAGAGCTGGTTCTGATAGGCAGCTGGTACATTTCACCAGCCAGTCTTTTCTGAGGAGTAGCATGGGCGTCACGAGAGGAAGCTGAGCCATTATCTTGTAGTCGCAGCACTTGTCTGGTAAGGGTATCTATCAGGTCTTGTTTCCTCTGGAGTTCTGTCTTCAATTGACGTATAAGGCTGGCATCGTTCTCAATCTGTAGTTCAGCGGTACGCTTATATTCTCTCAAATGAGCCTCAGCGTCGCTGCCAACAAGCGTATTGATATAACCCAAAAGATCATTGCTAGACGTAGCCAGCACTATATCCTGTTCTGTGATTTTGCCTCTTGGAGCAGGAGTAGCTGAAGCTGAAGATGGATGGTTCAATGAAGGGACCCTAGACAACAGCTTTGGGAACTCCACCGGCTCAGGAACCTTCCTTGACGGCAGAACCTGAGGCAACCCATACTCATCCTTTGTTTTCTTCTTTGTGGCACGTTTCTTTGGAGGTGCTTTCTTCGTTTCCTTCTTCACTGGTTTGGCAACTTTCTCAGTGGGGTTCTTCCGTCTAGGCGATTTACGTAAACCGCTTTCTTCAGAAATCATCTCTACCGATTCATCAGGGTCAGGTTGGCTTTTAGCTCTCGGCATACTGTAGCAATGGTTGTCTTTTAGCTAGACGTGTTTGTAGGTGATGATGTTTGATCTTGTTTGTTTATGGTAAATGCGCACCATAGTACCGCGGAGCCGCCCATACATAGAGTGAGCCAGAATACAAGAAGAGTAAGTGGAGGAAGTTAAATTTTTAGGATATTGTTAAGTGGCCAATTTTTGTTGCTATTAGTGGGTTTTTCTGGATCTGGATATTCAGCTGTCGGTTTGTCATTGAGGGTTGTGTCCTTGGGAGTAACCCACTACAGCAATGAGTATCCACAGATAAACATAAAGTGCCATTTTAAGGGCATATAACTTATGTAAATCGGTTTAAATCAAGTTAATGCTTCCCTTGTGAACATTTTAGATAGAAAAGTGATGGTGGTGTATGCTTTAACATAGGGTTCTGCTCCTTCTAGACACTATCTAATGAAACTTGAATAGAAGTACTAGCATGGCTTCTAAAAGAAGAAAATGCAAGGAAATTTGATTTAATGTTACTCAGTATTACCAATTTATTTGCTAAAATGGCATTTATTCCTACCCTTGTTCCATCGGTTGTCCTTGTAGCTCACATTTTGCACCCAATGTTACCATACTTAAATCGAAGCATATCTTGAAACAAAGCAATCAAAATCCCCATAATATATCAAAAGAAGCCAACTTTTATCTAAAAAGTCACAACTTACCCTTGTGGAGCATCCTATCTGGTGACTACCTCTGTCTCACTCCCACCCACCTACCTATGTAACCAACACTACATCAACTCTCCATGCAAACACCTCAACGAGCCCAATTTTTGTACTTTCCAAACCCTTTCCCCAGGAAATCAACCTATATAACTTCACCAGCAAAACCACTCTAATCAATCACCCCCTGGTGGTACCTGGATCTCCAGCCTAACCCAGTACTGTACCTCGTACATGAACGCTCTTCGCAGACATCTCCACCAGCATTTAGTATCGCCTCCATTCCATCAATAGCTCATGTCCTTTTCACCAGACGTCTTCAAGAAGAAGTTGGACTCACTTCAGGAAACCCAGGACCTGATTGTGTCGATTTCTCAATGGGTACTTTTTCACCATAGAAGAGTCAAGGACTTGTGTCAGTTGTGGAGCCAGTATACCTTGCTGGACGACCCCAAGTTGAACTCCAAGAAGAAGCTTTCTTTGCTTTACTTGTGTAACGATGTTGTTCAGCAGGCCCGCCATAAACGGAAACCCGAGTTTCTGGCTGAATTTGCTAAGGTGTTGCCACAAGTGCTTAATAAGGTGTTCCCTACTCTCGACGACCCAATCAAACCCAAGATCGAGCGTCTTGTGGGCGTTTGGGAGCAGAGAGGTATATTTGGTGGATCGGATATTCGGAATATGCGTAAGGCTATTGACTTGCTGAAGTCAGGAAAGCGTTATGGCGAAGATACGCCTACTGAATCTCCAGTTGCTCGAGTACAACAGGCTGGACCTAAGCTTAATAGCGAATTGGTCCATTTGAACAACCTATATAATCATATGGCTCAGCTTTCGGATGTCTGCAATTCAAACTTGACTCAGATTGGCCACCAGTCCAAGCAATACTTACCTAATGACCATGGCTCTCAAGATGCCCTTCCCCTGCCTAAGATATACATCTCAAAGCTTAATGTTCTCGAGAAGCTTTGCAATGTGACGTCCCAGAACTTAAACGATATTAAAACTGCCCGCAAGGATATATTATCCCTGTTAGTGGGTCTTCAGCGTCTTCTTGAAGATGGTTTGTCTACTGATGCGTCCAAAGAACAGATCATTTCACAGAGATTGGATAAGCTTCGCTCTACGCGGACATCCTTGCAAGAAATGGTTGATGAAGAAGGTGGTGAAGCCGAACCTTCAGCACCGGTCGAAGATGACGAAGAAGCTTCTCCTGCTTTCGAGACTGACTCGCCTCCTCCTACTTCTGTTCCAGCTCCACCTCCTCAAGACGATGATGCCTTGCCAACTTATGACAATTCTGACAGTGATGAAGATGATGACGAGCCTCCCGTTAAGAAGAGAAAGGCTTCTGACTCGTCTATTTCATCAACAGCTTCTGGAAAGAAGTCTGTGGCATTCTCAGAGGACATCCAGATTAATGAGTACGACAGAGAAGACCTGACGGACATCATAAAGGTGGTGAAGAGCGATACAGAATCTGACGACGATACGAATTTTGAGCCATCTCTCCCTGACGATCTACAGGAATACGAAGCTCATCATAAAGATGATTTGGAGCTTCACAAAGCTCACCACGGCGACAACGGCCATGGCACGAACAACGGAAACGGAGAGAGCAATAATAATGGTTCTAACGAAGGCTCCAATAATGATGATGGACAACAATCGGGCCTTCTTAGCTTGCTTTCGAAACTTTCCTAAAGCAAGCCCGAATGAAACTGTGATTAAAATGTGTATATTAATTCCCAAACATAAGTTGCAAGAAATAAATGATAAATAGAAAGGTCCCCTGGAATGTCAATTAAGAAGGCGATACACGTCGCTGCATCTTCTCTTTTCGTTCAATGGACCCCTTATGCTGGTGCCATTATGCTTGTCGATCCGACTCTTAAGGCCTTGTCTTTTCTTTGAGTTTTGAGTGGGATAAACGCATATTTCATCGCATGAAGCGCAATTGGCACATTCAGGAAGCTCTCGAGAGCACTTCTTTTTGAATTTACGACACCGTAGACAACTTCCAAGGACTTTGGTCTGGTTGCTGTAACCGCCGTTAGTGGCTGCAACATCATCATGGTAGATATTACCATTCAATAATGGAAGCAGCATGCATTGTATTTTCTTTTTCTTGAAGACCACAATATGATCCTTCAAGCTATGACGTCGTAGCGGGAGATGGCATAGTTGTATAGAGTGGAGCCTTATCTGAAAAGCCCCTAGGAATCGTTCCATATCTGGGTACTCATGGAGCGCCAACTGGAGATCAAAGTCTCGAGCAGCGTTCATCGTACCGATCAATTTCAACAATAGTAAGATGAATCAACAGCAGGAGACCGACAGAAAGAAGACATAGACATAATCACAACAAATTAATAGAACATTGGTCAAGTAATGCAAGTTCGGATAAATTACCGGGCTCGTAAAGGCGCATCCACGCGCATAAGTGTGGTATATCGAGTCAAAATTCCAGTCGGAGTCAAAGAATGTTTGGCTGCGAAAAACGCTCCTGTTGGACTGTATGGCACCTAGGAACCGATTGCAATATGTAACGTGCCATTTCAAAATGACGCTAAGGCTTGAGCTTACGCAATAGCGCCTTGGTATTTTGCAGAAGTGATTTTATTGCCAACTGCTGGTAGTTCGCAAAATGGTAGTTTCTTTGTTGTTGGAAAATTCGGTAGTATTCTTTGCCTCGGCTCAACTTGTCGTTGAGGGGAAGAGGCCGTCCGAGATCGCTCAGTAGGCGGGATAATAAGGCGCTCGACAGATTGCCAATGGAGGAGGCCGCTTGTATTTTTAGATTCTGGATTCCAGTAGCAATTGCTTGGTTTGTGTCAATTTCAAGGTCCGGAACCCTGGTGGCGAAACATCTCTTTACTTTTCCGTCTAAATCTTCCTGACTGATCGGACTGCTCAAGTAGAGTAGATCTTTAGCTCTCGTGCTAGCGACATAAAGAAGTCTTGCTTGACCGGATGATTCTTCCCCTTCCCCTCTGAGAAATGATTGCCAACTGTTACTGTATCCTCCAAGCACGAAAACAATGGGGAACTCCAAGCCTTTTGCAGAATGAATAGTCAGCACTTGAATCAGGTTTTCGTTTGTTGGGGGAATTTCTTGATCATAGTTTTGAAGAAAGTACTCGATGAATGTTCGATCCTGGACTTCTTTTTGAGCCAAGTACGTTTCAAAACAATAGTGTAAAGACTCGTTGAAAGAGACGAGTATTACACGGTGTGGCAAGCTGTCTGAACCGTTGATAAATTCCCGAATACCGTCAAGAGCTGATATTCTCTGTAAACATTCCACGACAGCCAAGGGCATGTAAGTCATTGAGCCAAGTGAATAGTAGTCGTGAAGAATCTGTCTTTCCTTTTGCACTTGGTTTAGAAATGCTGCAATGTTCTTCAACGAGCTGTAATGATTTTTGAACAAGGAGTCAAAGTCCTTGTCTTCTGAAAGATTAGAATATAAGTAATCTTCAAAGAAAGTGTGCTCGTGTGAATTCTCCATTGCCATGGCCCGACTGAATAGCTTAGACGCCCTTTGAGAGGCTCCTGAGGAAGTGTCTAAGATCCTAAGAAGGTTTAGGAGGCAGAAACTTGAGTCTGCGTCGCCTTCTATCACACTTAAAATATCCCTGAACAACCTAACCCTCGACAGAGTCCAAACATTACCCTGTGATATCTTTGTGCATTCAATTCCGTAATTTGTTCGGAGAACATGTTGCATTTTTACTGCTTCAGCGTTCGTCTTTGTGAGCACAGCGATGTCTCGAGGGTTAATGAGGCCTCCCAGGCAACAGATGAGCCTTACAATCTCGTCAGCAACCATACTATGTTCGTCTCCTCTGATCTCTGTGAATACCACTGGCTTTGTGATATTCGGAAGTGGTTTCATTGATTTGATAGTGTTTTCACCTGTGTTCTCTTTGTTGAAGGAAGCAACGATAGCGGCATCCAAGATCTCCTGGCTACACCGAAATGATTCATTCAAGGGCAATTCCGTCACCTTCATATCTGGAAGCTGCGCCTCGAGTTTCTCCATAGAGTCGGGACTAGAGCCGAGAAACTCGTAGATGCTTTGATTTTGGTCACCGGCTATAATCAAGTTCTTCTTCAGCGATGGTTCACACTCAAATGTAGGGTATCCAACCACAGCCTTAATGACCGACAAAAGCAAAGGATACATATCCTGAAACTCATCCACAACTACCATCTTGTAGGTAGCAATACGAGGTAGAAGGTAGTCATCGGTCCCTCGTTCAAGCGACTTATCCATCACGTTGAGTGCAAGGGTGACAAGATCGTTATACCGCATCATCCCGTGGGAAGTCATATATTGAAAGATGCCTTCAAGGTAATCAACCGGGATTTTGTTAGCTTCTGCAGCTTCTTGTGTGGTAGTAGTGCCATTGGCGATCTCAGTAAGTAGCTTATCGAACCTAGCAGGAGAAAGCGTTGCTCCAATTGAATGCCCATTGAGCACCACAGTCTTTTGCAGAAAGAATTCAGCAACACTTCTCCAGCCTGCTTGATCTAGAAGTCGTCTTCTTGGTAAATTAGGATCAATGACCTGAGCGTACTGGTCCACCACCGAGCCACAGAACGAGTGGAACGTAGATATCTCCACCTGAGAAGCAAGCTCGGCCCCCAATAGTTTCTCCAAGTGCTTTTTTAAAGCACTCACCGACCGATTGGCCATGGAAAGCACCAAGATCTCGCTCGGCTTGACAATCTCCTTCCCTATAAGACGCGCTATCCTAGCCATAAGGGTAAATGTCTTACCTGAACCAGGCCCTGCCTTCATGCTTATAATCTCGTCCATATTTAATGGATATTTAATCACCTCATACTGTGCATCTGAGACTTCCACCGACACATCTTCCAATTCCACAGGCTCCATCTCAGGTAGAGACTCTGCGGCTGCTGCCGCTGCTGCTGCCTCTTCCACCTCCTCAGTAGTCACATTCAAATTCAGCTCAGACCCTGAAATGTCCAAATTCTTTGTCTGCTCTATGAGCTCGGCGTATTCGAGCTCGACGCCCTCGACATCTGCTCGGTTTCTTCCTTCAGCCATATACTTGCGAAAATCCGGGGATGCTGTTTTGCATCTATATCTGTAAGTGGATGTTCGCGCATACTTAGTTCAACACCGTATACTTCACCAGCATAGACAACAAGCCGAATTGTACCAAAAGGGTGACAATACAATTACGAAAGCATGAGCATTGCATATTTGGAAAAGCTCTTGCCGCTTCGAGAAGGCGAGCCTAATGAACAGCCTGATGAGTCGTTGCTTCAAGATCTATCTGACCACGATATAGGTCTTCTTTCAGCACGGTACCAGGAGTTTCTAGATTCGATTGGTCCGTTTAAGGAGAAACTTAAGCCCATAGAGCAATTTCTTGACTACTTTAATACTGAGGTGTGCAAGCTTTCAGACTCTTTGTTGGCGCTTCAGCATCAGTCGTCCCAGCTTTCATCCAACTTGGGCCTGCAAAGACAAGTTGTTGATCAGCTCAATCCGGTCATCTTGGACTTGATTATCCCTCCATCTGTGTCTGAAAGTGTAATTAGTGAGCCAGTGGATGAGAAGTGGATGGAAAATATCAGGTTTATTGTTGAAAAGCAACAACTCATACAGAAGGTGAAGGATGTCAAGGAAACGGATAAGGAACTGCAGTTTTTAGCTCCGTATAAGGACTCCAAGGCATTTTCTGAGCTTGAAAATGGTATTAAGTCCTTGGAGGCCAAAGCTATTGAAAGGATCAGAGACCATGTTATCAACCAAATCAGACTTCTTAGAAGATCTCTAAAGACGTCATCACAGGTGGTTCAGGAAAGCCTTTTGCAAACAAAGGAAGCGTTCTACTTCTTAAAAGAAAGGCATCCAAAGCTTGCAAACCAACTTCAGCTTGCATATATTTTCACCATGAAATGGTACTACACAACAAGATTCGCCAAGTACCTTTACGCTATCCAGAAGCTCAAAGTTAAACAGGTTGACACTGGTTACGTATTAGGAGCCAATGAGCATGGAGAAGCCAAGTCTGGTTTATTTGGTGGTCTCTTGGAATCCACTTATTCATATGCCTCTTCGCAATCGTCGCCGAATCTCGGTGGTGGTCCAGCTGGAGCTAGTGCTCAAGGCAGCTCTCGTCCTACCCTTAACGAATACTTTCTGTCGGTCAGGAAGAGACTCGATATTCTTTCTGAATCTGACGGGGAAAGCCGTCGCTCCATTCCATCTCAAATTGCTGAGACGACGCCTTTTGCATACTGGTTAGAGTTCATGTATAACCAATGGGCCAATGCTTTATTAGACAACGTCATTGTTGAGTATCTTTTCTTCATTGACTTCTTCCACCAGGGTGATGAGAAAGCTGGACCTGTCAAAGAGCTAGATCTGGGAATGAATATTCCATGTGGTGCAGATCAAACCTGGTCTCAGGTCGTTTTCGGCGAGGTATACAAAATGGGTCAAGATTTTGTTCATTGGCTCTTGACAAGTACTCTTCAGAGACTGAGCTCAAGAATAGTCTCAGGAACAGGTGCTGCGGCAGCCTCTGTTGCTGGGTACGCTTATGGAGCAACTGGTGATGCGTATGCTGTTTTGCTTATTATTCGTTTGGTTCAAAATCATCAGTACAACCTTCATAACAGGTTCCATGTGCCTTCCATGGACGATTACCACAATCGTCTTTTGCTTCAACTCTGGCCACAATTCACAAGAGTGATTGATTTGAATTGCGATGCCCTCAAGAAGAATGTTTTGGGAACAGGTTCCTATTCTTCCAGAAATGCAGACAAGCATCAAGCACCACTTAATGTCACACAACAGTTCTCGCAGTTCCTTGCTGGACTTCTACGCCTCGCCTTCGTTCACGATTCGGACCAGGACAAACGCAGCTTCTTCCAGGGCGAACCAATTGCAATGTCCATCACCAGAATAAGAAATGACTTTGAAGGTGCACTTACCAAGGCCAGTAATCATATGTTCGGGTCAGGACGCAGCAAAACTACCCAGAAGGAGATCTTCCTTTTTAATAATTACTTCTTAATCATGACCATTCTTCGAAACGAGTTCGACGATTCAGAAAACGAATTCATCAAAGAGCAAGTGAAACATTTCGAGATGCTCTGTGAAGCTTACAAACAAGGACGGTAATAGTTTTATTAATTTACGTTCACGGTAATGCTGCTAGTTTAGCGTACATACCACACAATTGTAGATACGACAGCACACCTTCCAAGACACGCATATGCGTGAAACCAATCTCCTTGATAATATCCAAACGTTTCAGCTCATTAACGCCAGGTAAAGTTTTGGCGACCTTGAAGCTCAGGGTGACAATGTCAATGGCTGAGTATCCCTTTTTCCACAAGGAATCGAGAAGATCAATAGCCTCGTCAATAGAGTTGGACACAACGCACGCGTTCAAGATTTTCTTAATTACAAGTGGGTGTGGTTGATCAACGATCTTGAACACGTTCACATCATCCACAAACCCAAAGCCAGCCACTGTACTTTGCAAGTTGTTGATGGCTTGACGCATATCTCCCTCAGCAGTGAAAATAAGAGCCTTCAAACCCTCTGAGTTATACTTGACATCCTCCATCTTCGTAATCTCCAAAAGACGCGACAACACCTGGTCGTCGGCAAGCTTGTTGTACCTTAGAATGGCACATCTAGACTGTAAAGGCTCGATGATCTTCAGCGACTGGTTACATGCAAAGGCGAATCTTGTAGTATTCGAGTACAATTCCATTGTACGACGCAAAGCCTGTTGGGCACCTGGGGTCATAGAGTCAGCTTCATCCAAGATAATGATCTTGTGTCTTCCAGGTGGTAACAGGATCTTGGTTTGAGCAAACTGCTTGATCTTGTTTCTGACCACATCGATACCTCTATCATCAGAAGCATTGAGCTCCAATGTAGCTTGCAGAACCAAGTCAGGGCCCAAAAGCTCGTAGGCTAAACAATGAACCGACGTGGTTTTACCTATACCAGGAAGTCCTGAGATGATCATATGGGGCATGTTACCGTCCTCAGCAATGAGCTTCAATCTTTCTATGGTTTCTTCATTTCCAACAATATCGTCGAGTTTCTTGGGTCTGTATCTTTCCACCCACGGAAGCTCAAGTGAAAGAGCATGGTTTTTAGACATTGTGGTGTGCCACTAAAGAAGTAGGTGAAGATTGGTAGTACGTGAAAATCGCACGCGTCCCGCGACCCACTACAGATGTGCTACTATGGGAATATCTGATCGATACAACATGCAAGTTCTGTTGAGCTATAGTAATTACATTGGCTGATTTGAAGGAGGATGTGTGACTTCTGCAATGTATAACAAAAAGCTTCTTCACAAGTGCTCCTGCTGACTTCCACCATGGCTGTACCTCAATTCGCAGCCATTCTATGAGAGAGCTAGATTACACCCCATCACTGGCAAACACTCAAACCGACTATTTCCTGTCTCTATACTATTCCGTCTTTGCCTTCTTTGCAACGGTGGGTGTATCTTCTGCCTTGCGTTTACCGCTGACCGTATCCTTGTCCTGGTCTAGCTTCTCCCTGGCTTTCCTCTCAAGGCTCTCCTTCGTCTTCTGTCTTCTTTCCTTCTTCCCTGGCCTCTTCCCTAGAGGAGTCTTTGTCTTTAGGAACTTGATTGCCGGTTTCTCGAACAAGTCTAACTGACCATCAAAAAGACCCTGGAGCCATGGAACTTCCACATCCTTGACTTCCCGCTCAATCATTGCAAATAGCTCCTTTCCTTCTTTCCATTCCTCCAGCAATGCAATGATGCCAACATTGGGCGTATGAAGCACTTCCAGCAATTTGTTCATGGATCCCCTCGGTAGGTCGATGAGCTTTACTCTATTCTGTGGTGACTTTGATGCTGAAAATGCTAGAAGAGGGAACATGCTGGTAAGAAGTGGTGTCGATATATCGTTTCTTGCAACGAAAACATACTTGACGTAGCCATCTATGGATGATTTTTTGCTGGTCACTTTCTGCTTCTTGAATACCTTCTGTCTGTTGGTAGAAGCTTGTGCTTCTAATGCCTGGACTGTGGAATTGAATCCTAATGTGATCTTATTATTTAAAGCATGGGGTTCGACGCCCTTTTTGTTCTTTAAACTCAAGTAGTTTCCATAACTTGGCAAGAGCTGAAGTAGGTAGTCTAGTATAGCTCTTGCAGTTTCTTTAGGAAGAGCAGGATAATCGGGGCCCTGTGTGAATGGATTATCTAGAATAGGTTTAAATACCTCTCTGCTCTTTTTATCGAGGTCTTTGAGTGATCCTTTGCCAGCTTCTTGTTGGGACATGGAAGAGGAGTGATGATCTTCGTTAAAATACTGCATTCGCAGTTACATAGAGATAGTGAATAATTGTGCACTACAAAATATTTGATACAAATCTTTTAATATCCTGTCTATTCTTGAAACCTGTAACATTCTATGATGAAGGTTTTTTTGATAATACATGTGCCATGTTAAATACAAGTGATCTTTATCCTCTTCAGTCCTTCTTCTTCTCCTCTTCCTTACTTTCAGAGTACAGTGGAGATCCTGGGGAGTATGATGGGGATCCTGGGGAGTACTGTGGTGAAGTAGGGGAGTATTGAGGTGAAGTAGGTGAGTACTGTGGGGACGTTGGCGAATACTGAGGCGACGTAGGCGAGTATTGCGGCGAAGTTGGGGAGTACTGTGGAGATGTTGGCGAGTACTGAGGAGATGTTGGTGAGTACTGTGGCGAAGTTGGCGAGTAACTTGGTGAAGTTGGGGAATAACTTGGAGAAGTTGGCGAGTAACTTGGCGACGTTGGTGAGTAGGATGGGGAGGTAGGTGAGTAACTTGGCGAAGTTGGTGAATAACTTGGAGAAGTTGGGGAGTAACTTGGCGAAGTTGGGGAGTATGATGGTGACGTTGGCGAGTAGCTTGGTGACGTTGGCGAGTAACTTGGCGAAGTTGGCGAGTAACTTGGCGACGTAGGCGAGTACGATGGCGACGTAGGTGAGTACGAAGGCGACGTAGGCGAATACGATGGCGAAGTTGGAGAATAACTTGGCGAAGTTGGCGAATAAGATGGCGACGTTGGGGAGTAGCTTGGTGATGTTGGCGAGTATGATGGCGACGTTGGTGAGTAACTTGGAGACGTTGGAGAATAAGTTGGGGAAGTACCACCATAACCAGGAGAAGAAGCGCCATAACCAGGAGAAGTAGCACCATATGAGAAAGGAGATGTTGGAGACACCGATGGCTGCCCACCGTAAGATGTAAGGGAACCAATACCTTCCGAAGTGTTTGCAGTATGAATTGGCGAGAAACCTGCGCCTTCTTCAAACTGAATCTTATCATCCTCAACATCGTATTCTCTGTAAGGTGTAGCACCACCGTCCTCGGCATAAGCACCACTTTGAGCAGCCACTGGAATACCAGCGTTTGGACCAGCCTGTTGCAACATCTTATCATCAACCATACAGTCAAAGGCACCAGTACCCAATGGAGGCATCTGGCCCAAGATGACATTCTCGGAAATACCACGACAGTCGTCAAGTTCTGCGGCAGCACCAGCTTCCAACAAGATTTCAACTGTTTCTTCGAACGAACAACGCATCAAAGCACCCGTCTCGGCTCTGTTGATACCATGACGTGTAATAGCCATCAAGTGACCACGAGATGTCATGACATCCACCAACAAGGCCATATGACGGTAGTTAACATAAGAACCATCGAAGGCAATGACGTTAAGAATTTCCTTGTACAATGCGGAACGAGTAGCTTCGATACCCAACACCGAGAGAATCTCGATAAAGTTGTTCGAATAAGTACGGTGAGAATCAACACCAGGAACAGCCATGACTTCCGATAAGTTAACACCGTCAGTTTCCAACACCCATTCTTGCTTCTGAACATATTCACCAGTCTCATCTGGAACACTGAGTTTATGCTGCATCATAAACACTCTTGTGATGCCTGGAATACCACGCAAAGAGATAGTTTCCAACATGTGAGCCTCGACACGTTTCAAGATCTGGTCTTCTTCATGTTCACCCTCTTCCTCGAGCTTAGGATCACGGATCACACGACAACGAATAATCAACTTCTCAGCCGTGTCATCAGACCAAATGACGAACAAGTCTTCGCCGAAATTCTGAGAAATCTTTTCTGCCACTTGCGCCATAGTCAACTGTTTATCCAACATCTTAGCTCTGTCAAGTTCAAGACGAAGCAACCATGGAGATTGGTTGTCAATTGTTTCTTCAACCTTCTCGTCTGGAATAGCGAAGTATGCTTCAACAGTATCGTAATCCTCTTCAATGACAGTACTTCTTGGATCTGGGTCGTAGAAAATCTCAGTAGCAGAAGTGACGTTCTTCAAAGTGGTATGCTCAATGGCAGATTGCACAATCTTCGCCTTTTCGATGTCTGAAGCCACGTCTGGGTCCAAGTAAACAGTCAAAGCTGGCGTCTTAATATTCTTAGCGACGTTAAGAATTTCCTTAAGACGAGGAACACCCAAAGTGACGTTCTTGGAAGACACACCAGCGTAATGGAAAGTATTCAAAGTCATCTGGGTAGCTGGTTCACCAATAGATTGGGCGGCAATAACACCAACCATTTCACCTGGGTGAACAAGAGACTTCTGGAATTGCGTCTCGATCTCACCCATGACCCATTCGAAAGAAATACGACTCAACTTAAACTCCTCAATAACACGACGAGCTGCTAACCTGGAACGCAACAAACATTGGAAAAGTAAAGTAGCATTCTCTTGTGCTTCTTCTGCCAACTTTCCTTTACCACGAACCACGTGAACCTTGGTACACAAGTCACGTACGCCCTCAACGATTTCATTCAACTTCAAGTCGGAAGCCTTCTGGCGACCACTATGGAAGATTTGCTGAGCGTTCTGGATGATACGACGCAAGTTAACAGGCAATGGCCAGTTGTAGTCACCGTTAGGGAAGCAGACCTCTCTTAAGTACTGACGATCCTTAACAAGCTGTTCGTATTCCTCATCCAAGACCTTCTGCAACTTAACATCACCCTTGATGTCCTTTCCAGATTCCAACAATGACTCGGAAATAGACATCGATGGGTCAAGAAGATCAATTCTGTAACGTCTTTCGAAGGAGACATCAGAACCAGGGATCGTGTCAACAGTTTGCTTCTCAACAGAAGTACCGTCAAGACCATCCTCACCATACACGAACTGAATAACATCACCCAAAGAGTTTCTTGTAGTACCATCGTAATGAACCATGATATCTTCCAAGGCCTTAACCAAACGACGCTGGATATAACCTGTTTCTGCAGTCTTAACGGCAGTATCGATAAGACCTTCTCTACCAGCCATGGCGTGGAAAAAGAACTCTTGTGGCGTCAAGCCTCTCAAGTAAGAGTTCTCGACGAAACCCTTCGACTCTGGAGAGTAATCATCCTTTGAAAAATGAGGCAAGGTACGATCAGCGAAACCGAAAGGAATACGTTTACCTTCAACAATTTGTTGACCGACACAGGCAGACATCTGAGAAATGTTAATAAACGAACCCTTAGAACCAGAAGTCACCATCTGCTTAACATTATTCAAATCCCTTAAATTCATTTCGGCGGAACGACCGGCGCTATCACGAGCCTGGTTCAAAACACGAGAGACGTTGTGCTCAAAAGATTCTCTCAAGGTCATACCAGGTTCAGGCTCTAATCTGTTGAGTTGAGCATCAAGAATAATTTCTTGCACCTTAAGCTTAGCATCTTCGATAGTCGAAGTGACGTTCCTCATAGTATCCTTATCAGCAATGGTGTCACCGATACCAATGGAGAAACCATTATGCAACAACCAATAATTCACGATCTTCTGGATGGAACTGAAAAGCTGCGCACACACTTGCGATCCCTTCTCTCTGAAAACTGTGTGAATCAAGCCTCCTGCAGTAGCACCAACAGTCTTCTTATCGACAACACCGAAGATAATCTGACCATCGACGACCAAGATACCTTTATCAGCGGGACTCATCAAGTCTTTGCCATCATCGAATCTTTGCATGTGAATACCCTTAGGAATGGCCATAGACAACATCTGTTTACCAGTCCAAAGTGGCTTGGGTTTCATGACCGCTGGAGGAGGAATAACTCCGTCCCAGTCAGGAATCCAGTACAACATGTTCATCACTTGTTCATAGTCGATGAAATTGTCTCTCAAAGTCATTTTACGGATACCACAAAGAGTATCTTGCACGATACCCATGACTGGCTTATTCGATTGAGGCGAAACAATCTGCAATGGAACGGCACAAATCTCGGACATCTCAGCTCTCGTTTCAGGAGACTGTGGAACATGCAAGTTCATTTCATCACCATCGAAATCGGCGTTATATGGAGAAGTGACTGAAAGATTCAATCTAAAAGTGGAGTAAGGCATAACCTTAACTCTATGCGACATCATAGACATTTTGTGCAAAGATGGTTGACGGTTGAACAACACTGGGTCATCATCCATTAAGTGACGTTCGACCTTCCAGCCATATTGCAAGGCAATATCACCAGCCCTCTTGTTGTACCGTAAATCGATACGATCACCGGTGTCACGAATGACGTACTTGGCACCTGGATGCTCATTTGGACCATTACGTACGTATTCGGTCAAACGATGAATATTATAAGGAGTGACAATCTCAGGGTAAGTCAAAGTTCTGGCAATAGAAATTGGCACACCAACTTGATCAAGATCAAGGTTAGGATCACCAGAAATGACTGTACGAGCAGAGAAATCCACACGCTTACCCATCAAGTTACCTCTCAATCTTCCCTCTTTACCCTTCAATCTAGCTCTAATCGACTTAATTGGACGACCGGTCTTCTGAAGAGCCTGTGGTTGACCAGCAATATCGTTATCCATGTAAGTGGCAACGTGGAATTGCAAAAGAGCTTCGAATTCACTGATGACGTGCTGAGGTGAACCATCCATTTCAAGACGCTGGACATTTATATTAGCTTTAATGATGTCAGCCAACTTAAATGTCAAGTCATCTTCACCTCTGGCGGTATCATTGAAGGCGATAGAAGGTCTCACTGGTGGAGGAGGAACAGGTAGAACGGTGATCAACATCCACTCTGGTCTGGCGTAATCCTCGTTGAAGCCCAACTTTTGGCAGTCCTCTTCGCTAATGTGTCTGAAAACACTCAAAATCTCAGAGGGAGTCAACAAACGACGCTCGGGCTGTTCGTTTTCCTCAAACTGCTTGTTTTGCTTCCAAGTACCCCACAACTTTAATCCATCCCTACGGACAGTAGGTTGGGTGTGGCCACAGCCGCCTCTTCCAGAGGTGACCTGTCCTTCATCATTAACCACATCGGCTTCACATACCATCTTAGATTTACAAACATTCCACACGGCATTGAATCTCTTCTTTGGGTCTCTTATCCTGATGGCTTGAGCCATCAAAGGGTTCGCATCATCAATTAGAAGCTTTCCACAGTGCATACAGACACACTCGCAGACCTTCTTGATTTTTGAAATGAACCCAATATGGAATACAGGCTTTGCTAATTCAATGTGACCAAAATGGCCGGGACACTCTGCCATGTCTTCACCACAAGTCTGACACTTGAAGTTTCTATCGATAGAGCCCAACCTAGGATCATTAAGACCGCCATCTCTCGGTCTTTTAGTAGTCTGATCCATAGTCTCTGGGTACTCTATCTTTGCTACCGAGATAGCTCTCACTTCCTCTGGAGATAACAAACCAAATTGAACCTATAATGTTAGCATATGAATTATACATGAATGTTAAAAAATGAAAAAAGACTTACCTCTTTGACAGTACGAAGCGGGGCGCTCGAATAAGGAAACTGGCGACTCATAATGGGATTATGCTAATACAGTAGACAAGGGATGTCAATATGTTTTAAATATTTTTTTTGTGTTTTTTAAAAGGACCAGAACAGGGAGTCTAATGCTCTTTCGGAACTTTGATAGATTTGGACTATTAATGCAAATATGCCGCTGACTGGTGGATTTGAAATGAAAAGGAATAACGTGAAAAATAAATGTTCAAATAGTCGAATAAACTATTTTTATCGGGACAACTGGTGCGTAGGATATTAAGCACACGGAAAGCTGTTCTGAATGGAATGCCGGAGCGAGATGGATGGAGCAACCAGGTAGTAGGAGGATGGGCCCTTGATGTGAAGATGGGTGGAGCTTAACTCTGTTTTTTGACGATCAAGTATAAAATTTTGTTGGAGGTGGCGAGCGCGTGCTGAAAAATACCCAAGCAACTCCGAGTTATGTTAGGGTGCGATTGAGGGAATATAAGCCTACTGTGCGTAACACAGGGCACGCTCATAGCCAGCACCCCCCAATTGTGGCCATCTCTGTAAGATGATCTTGTTTGAGTGGTACTATGCTATGGAGAGGATTTATTATGAGGGCTGAGTCGGATAGATAATGATCTTTTTAGTACAAATGACGACTTAACCGCATTATCACCACTTTGACAGTTCGCACCTCCCATATAACAGAGCTGAGGCTCAGACGATGAGTCGGCTATGGCAGAAGTGGTTAATGAGTCCTTGAGAGAAATGTGAATGAGGTGGTATTTTGGGTGCTAAAGAAAATAAGCTTTTTGATATACCAACCATGGGAGATTGGTAGGATGAACATGTCTATTGGACTGTACTACCAGCACCATGAGAAGCCTTTAATTACGTTTCTTCCTTTCTTTCTCTCTTTCTCCTTCTTCCTCTTTTTAAAATCATGCATTTGAATTCGATGGTCCTTCCAAGTTGTATTTTCACCATAATTTCCACTCTTCAACATACCAATAACCGGTCTTCTCAGTACCTCCAGACCACTGAGCAGCCAGTAGTCAATACAGAAACACCACCACCATACAAATCCCTCCTCCATCTCCACCCAAAAAATGCACTGTTATCCCAAACCATTGCTTTCTTTCTCCTCCCTTATCCCTTACTCCTCCCTTACAATACTCTACTCCACTACTTTGTCGTCGTCTGATGTGGTTGCGAAAAACGCATTTCTGCGGCGTTCCAGCTTTTCATTTACGAAATCAAGGCGATCTTTGCACCCATCAAAAAAACCATAAACCAACAACCCTCCACCAAAAATCAGGTTTTCAATAAATCAACCTGAAATTTTTACATACCAAAGAACTCCATCCCTGGAAACCCTCCCCACCACCTGACGTCATTCAGACCATTGTACCTTTCCCAACCACCATGCTTCTCAAATCTATCTTTTCGCCGTGTTTGAGACAAAACAAGACAAGAAAGGAACCCCCACTTCCACCATGCATCGCATGAGGCGCTAAACTAAAGGAATGCTTTACTTTCGGAAAAACTTCTCAAAAATGTTTTAAGCCCTTCGGTTACTATCAGGCTTGGCTCCCCCGCCCGGAACAACGCAATATCTCGCAAAGATTTGTGGTTTCTTTGGGGGAACATCTCGCGAATTCTGGGGTATATTCTTGAGACCATAGCGGGACAGAAACAGCCCCGCCCCCACCCATGCAGAGTATATAAGTCGAGGAAATCGACGAGGTTTCTGTTCTTTATCGATTTTTTTCTGATTTCATAATGACTGTTGATTACACTTGGTGGAAAGAAGCTTCCATTTACCAGATCTGGCCTGCCTCATACAAGGACTCCAATGGAGATGGTGTGGGTGATATTCCAGGTATCATTTCTAAGTTGGACTATGTGAAGACTTTGGGCGTTGACATCATTTGGTTGTCGCCTATGTTTGACTCTCCCCAGGATGATATGGGATACGATATCTCTGACTACGAGAACGTGTATCCTAAGTATGGTACTTTGGAGGACATGGATAAGTTGATCTCGGAGGTCCACTCCCGTGGAATGAGATTGGTGCTTGACTTGGTTATCAACCACACTTCTGACCAGCACAAATGGTTCGAGGAATCCAGATCTTCAAAGACCAACCCTAAGCGTGACTGGTACATCTGGAAGCCTCCTAAGATCGATGAGAACGGTAAGAGACACCCACCAAACAACTGGGGTTCTTACTTCTCTGGATCTGCTTGGAAATATGATGAGTTGACTGACGAATACTACTTGCACCTTTTCGCTGAGTCTCAGCCAGACTTGAACTGGGAGAACGAGGAAACCAGAAACGCTATCTACGACTCTGCTCTTTCCTTCTGGTTCAAGAAGGGCATTGACGGTTTCAGAATTGACACTGCTGGTATGTACTCCAAGGTTCAGACCTTCCCAGATGCTCCTATTATCTTCCCAGACTCGGACTACCAGCCATGTAAGGTTCACCACCAGTCCGGTCCTAGAATTCACGAGTTCCACAAGGAGATGTTCTCCAAGGTTACCTCCAAATACGATGCCATGACTGTTGGTGAGGTCGGACACTCTACTCGTGAGGATGCTCTCAAATATGTCAGCGCCAAGGAAAAGGAAATGAACATGATGTTCTTGTTTGATGTTGTGGAGACTGGCTGCAAGCCTGAGGATAGATTCCGCTACGATGGCTTCACTCTTAGAGATTTCAAGCAGTCTGTTATCAACATGAGCTCCTTCCTCGAGGGCACTGACGCCTGGTCTACTGTCTTCACCGAGAACCACGACCAACCAAGATCCATCACTCGTTTTGGTGACGATTCTGCAAAATTCAGATTCAAGTCAGGTAAGATGTTGGCCGCTTTGCAAGCTACCTTGACTGGTACCCTTTTCATCTACCAGGGTCAAGAGATTGGTATGACTAACGTTCCAAGATCTTGGTCTATTGACGAATACTTGGACATCAACTCCATCAACTACTACAACCAGTTCAAAAAGGCTCACCCAGACGACAAGGAGGCCTTGGCAAAGCTTCTTGACAACATCAACTTGTTGGGTAGAGACAACGCTAGAACACCGGTCCAATGGGATGATTCCGAGTATGCTGGCTTTTCCACTGGTAAGCCATGGATGAGAGTGAACGACAACTACAAGGAGATCAATGTGGCTTCCCAAGTCAACGACGACTCCTCATTGTTCAACTTCTGGAAGAAGGCTTTGAAAGTGAGAAAGGAGCACAAGGATCTTTTGATCTACGGTAATCTCAATGTCTTGGATATTGAGAACGAAAAGACTTTCACTTATACAAAGACACAAAATAAGGACACCGCCTATGTGGTATTGAACTTCACTGCAGAAGAAGTGAAGTTTGAGAAGTTGGTCGATGGAGAGCTTTCGCTTATTCTCTCTAATGTTGATTCCGCCGACACTGACGTCTTGTCACCCTATGAAGCTAGAGTATACATCGTCGACGAGACATCCTAACCGGTTTAGATATATGTTTATACTGATGTGATAAATGAGCTTCTAAAAACCGAAGCCAAGCGCTCCAGGCGACGGGCTGCCTTTGTAGCCATCATCTAGCTCAGCAATCACGTCGTCAAGATAAAATGCAACAAGAACGACACCATAGATCAAGCACAAGATAACGCCCTTGAAATAGTTTGACTTACCCTCTGCGTAGACGTATGTGAATAGATAGATGGAAATGAGTGTTGCCATGATATCCCACCTGGGGAAAATCAAGGAAAAGATCATATCCACGCTTGTGAACTGTTTCATAATAGAGTAAATGACCAAACTTGGAATCTGAATCAACACGACCTGCAAAGCATAAGCACTACCAATCTCCATCGATAAAGCAACATTACCACCAACAGCGAACGATATGGCGTTCACGAATTCGGTGGTGTTTGGAACTAATGCAAACACTGTGAGACCCAAGAACTTTGGATTGATAGGATAACTCTCAAGCACCTCATCCACGGTATCCACCAAAATCTCAGCAATAATGGCGTAGAGCAATGTGGCTCCGAGCAAGATAATAGTAGATTTGTTTCTTGACCAATTTGGTGCATCGTGACCGCCACCGCCTTCATCATGGTGCTCTTCCTTGGTAGGTTGCGGATCTTTAGAAAATTTAACTCTTTGATTCAAATCAGGAGCGGCACCTTCGCCGGTTCTAGCAGTTGAAGGTGGTGCCTCGCCGGTAGGGCGTCCCTTGCTGGTATTCTCCAAGCTGATAACGCTAGGTGACCTGAAGTGATCTTCATCCTTTCTACCAGTGTGGGGTTCGTGGGAGTTCGTCGCCCAAATAAGGGAAGCGTGTGTTCTTAAAGTGAAGAACAAACCACAGATGTATGCAAGGAACAAGGCACAGGCAACCAAAACCGAAAATGGACGAAGAGCTTCGTAGTAAAGCCTGTCAAGGGTGAATGTAGGTTGAATAAAACGGCATTTAGTGCAGTCGTCTGGAAGATCCTCGAATTCTGGATAGTCACATTTCTTGCACTTGATCTCATAAGAGCCATACAACTGGTAGAAAAGCGACGGGGTAAACATGGTAAGCATCGCATAAAGAAGCATGGTAGACGACACACCTGCTGATCTGGGGTTATATCTTTGAGTCTTTCTTTTGATAGCACCACCACACATGGATAAACCAGGCAAGAGCAAAACACCGGCCAAAATCGATCCAATCATTGAACCTTCAACTAACTTACCCTTCAGTTGGTTCAACGCCACACAGTACAAGAAAATCTCAACCACCGTGGAGAAAAAGGCGTTAATGACAGCACCAACTCCCATAGAAGATTGTGCTGAAATGGAAGCGACGGCTTGTCCAATGAAGTATGCCAAGGGAACAATGGAGAACAAACACATTCCAAACAAGAAGGATGAATCCGTATACCACTTGTTCCAACCCAAAGTTTTATTAAGGATGTAGAAATCCAAAATGACGAACACGACAACGGCCAACAAGTTGATGAAGAAAATGTTAGTACCATCGATGGTGTACTTGTAATAATGCAAACCACAAGATCTGTATGTACAAAGAATAATGGACTGATGGCTGAAATGCTTCTTTGTCTTAGGATCATTGAGCTTTTTGTAGTACTCCTTTTCCTTTTCATAATGCAATGCCAAAGGTCTTCTTCTCAAGTGGTCACACATGATAAGGGTGAGGTTTGCAATTGGAATAGTGAAGACGAAAATCCACGATAAAAGGGAGATCAAATAAAGAATTGGCTGCATGATACAGTAGAAGAACACATAAAAGACGAATCTGCCAGAGGACCAAGCGCCTCTACCGAAAAGACGTTTCTTGATATCGGTTGGCTCCGAGTCTCCAGAGTCGGTCTCACAAACATCGTCATTGTAATCCTCATCATCAATAGCAGCTTCTTCAGCATTGTTATCAGCATTCTGGCTCAGGCCCTGGTTCTGAGCGTCACTGGAAGTTGCACCGTCACCCAACGATGAGTAAGCAGCGGTCCATGGTCTACCCTTGTGATCTTTAAGTAAAGGCTTGGCTTCTGTACCAGTACCAGTCATTCTTCTTGGAGGAGCAAAGAAAAGACGACCCTCTTCCTGAAGACGCCATTTGTGGAATTCGGAAATCGAGCGGCCGTCAAGTTCATCCTCTTCCAAGTAGTTCTTATCCTTGTTAAGCAACACGAACTTTCCAAAAGGAAAAAGCCAATACCTACCCAACTTGATGAAACATCTAACATAAGGACGAGATTTCTTATCCCAAGCAAAACCAGAAAGAACGAAAACCATAAGTGCTCCGAAAAGACAAAGCAAGAATAAGAATACACCGAAGGTGAGACTCCAAAGGAAATTGGAGACGTGGACGCCCCAATGGATCTTGCCTGTAGGTTTCTTTGGGTCGAAGTCGTGGATATCCTCGTCGGCACGAGCAGCCACAGAACGGTTCTTCTTATAAATGGAAGGTTTCCAGATCTTGATACCGAACGGGTGTGTAGAGTTGATAGCATCCTGTCTATCCTTTAAGTTTAACGATTCCATAGTTTGAGAAGAAGAAGAGGAATTCTGGGAAGCAGCATCATTATCATCCTCCTCCAAAAGCTCCTCAGGAGCGTCTTCCTCGTCGAGGGCTTCGGCCAGGGCAACTTCATGGCCATCATGCGAAGTAACCGTGGCTACCACTGGCGTAGCAGCCGCCAGCAGCGACGCACTACCGTGTCTTGGAATAGTAACAGCCATCTCAGGACTATCCTCGTCCAATGACTTCTTACGCGAGTACAACTTCTTGATAGCATCATGGTAACCCTCAAGGTACTTCTTATCCTGGGGCGAAATTTCCTCGTCATCATCATCAATCTCATCGTGAATATCATCGTCAACAGAAAACACCAACTTCTGGTGGTTTGGGTTCAGCTGTCCACGTCTAATGTGTGGTCTTGACTTGGTCTTCTTAAGCTTCCCTCTAGCCTTGAGCAGTGGAGAAGGCAACGAAAGCGTGCTTGTGGAAGCAGTTGCCACGGGCCGTTCCTGGCCATCGTGACTTCCTTGCCTTCTGGTTCTCAGCGGTGTTCTTGAGGTCCTTTCAGACATCAAAGGTGGAGGATTACAGAAGAATTGGAGTAGGCTGGAGAAATGACGTTATGGAGGGGCAGCTCTAGAAAGATGCAGTTTTAATTGGGTGCGAAAAGCTGGAAGCACCGGGTAGACTGGGAAGGCAATGGAGGGGACGGGAAGACTAATTGGAGGGAGAAAAAGGAGTGATCTGGATGAATTGTGACTTCTTGCTTTTTGGCGATTCACGTTTTTCGGCTCGTTAAGGTTTGGCGTTGGTGATCTTCGGTGTGGCTTCTATGCGCTTATCTTGCAGTGTATGGGTTGTAGAAGAGGAGAGGAAGAATAGGTGTAACAGAATATCCAAGAAAAGGTAAAAAAGCGATGAGGGGAGGTTTGAGGGATTGAGAACTCTAGAGGGTTTAAATTTTATCTATTTTTCTGGATATTGGAGGGTACCACGGGGAGTTAATAGATGATGCTGGATATTTTGCAACCGCTACTCCACATCTGTGACAGTTGCTCTGCGAATCCATGCAAAGACCCTTAAGCCACGAGGCTAGGTCACTTTGATGAGGAATGTAGTGCCTGGCCAATCCAATGGTTAAGATTTGGTATAGGTGCATACTTTGCAAAGCCTTGTCTTTGAAAGCGATCTATATATACATTCTCCACACTTATCTAACTTTATATATATCTACTCATGCACATTCTCTACATTTCGTCATTCGAACTTCTCATTTATAACATTATATCTTGTCTTTTTATCTATCGCAGAAACTATGATCCAAGGCGGTGCCCACGTCCCTGGAACGCATTAAACCCTGTGGTGGATGCGTAGCTCTCTTCTGTTCTACCTGGAACGGCTCCAACACGCCTCGTTTCCTTTTTGAAAGCTGTAAGACGCTGGCTGGTATCGTATGGATACCCAATTAATCTGTAGAGCCATTTAGGGGCTTTAAGATACCCCAAGTCAAAAATAGCATCGGGAAAGCTGCTTTCTTCGGCAGCCTTCTCAAAGCCGACTTTACGGCCCTTCTTGTAAGATGGATCAAATGGACCATAAATGCCAGGAACAAGGTTATAGAAAGGTAAGGTATCACTCTGGATGCTTTGGTACAAGTATCCGGCAATGATACCAATCATCTCACAGAGGAACGCTTCACGACCCGACACCATATGTGCCATCAACGACATCATAGGCACATAGTATGCTTTAAGCAAGAATAAGCCCTGATACTGGATTTGCAAATCCTTATATGATCTCAGCCAGAGATAAGTAATGCACCCATTAAGCATGGAGTGGTGGCAAGAAAACAGCACCAAGCCCATCTTCTGGAAGATCAAAGAAAGCACATTGATGAAAAAACCACACACTAAGATAAACCACACATAGTCAGGGAAATTGCCCCTAAACTTGCCCAGCTTTGCCTCCAAGTGCTGAGAGAAGTTGTACAAGAAGTACATCTCTGCAAGGCACATGAACCCGTTACGAAGCAAAAAGCCCAACGGAATGAAGAAGGAGGTGAATAAACGGTAACTCTGAAGTAAGACGAAACTCCATGCTCTCACTTTAGCCAAAGCGCCACCTTGAACGTTCCATGCCTCGCTTAAGAGATCATGCACTAGGGTATAAGAAATGGCAAAATCCTCCACTGCAAAAAGCTCCAACGAACATAACAAACACACAAGGAAGGTGCATATCGATAAGAACCGAGTGACAGGCGGAATTGCCGCTATACGATCACCCAAACCAGCCATGATACCTGATTCTCTGGAGATTATGACGTTTGCAACTTTACTGTTTCGCACCCAATATAGGTGGGTAATCTAGCTGGTGCACGGGTGCACAAACGCACACTTTCACATCACTTTAGCTTCATCTTGTAAAGAACATAGAGAAAGCACTACTATGAAGTTGGTTCGGTTTCTTATGAACTTGCCGCTGGCAACCAACCAACCGGTTACAGTGGAATTGAAAAACGGAAACTCCATAAATGGCCAGGTGCTTTCATGCTCGCCTACTATGAACTTATCCATGAAGAACATCAAACTTATACAACCTCACCAGGACCCACAGCTTATGCCATTCATTAATATCCGTGGAAACCAGATAAGGCAAGTTTTGCTACCTGACGATCTAAATATTGAGAGCTTGCTTTCGAAAAGTGCTGTCAAGACGAAAGGACCAGGTGCTGGTCCTGGCAAACAGGTTGCCAAGAAGCCCTTCAGAAGAGCAGGCGGCAAGCGTGCCTTCTAAATTGTAATATAAAATATAATAATGAAGAAAAGAAAATCTACAGGTTAAATTTCGAATAGCTCGTTCCTATGTACATGCCCCGATGGTCGCTTAGAACCATGTCTTCTTGTTCTCTTGTCTCTTTGCAATACGCTTTCTATACGTTGGTCTGGCTTCAAGAATAATCTTGTCCATGTCAGCGATAGCCTTCTTTCTAGCCTCAAGTTTCTCAGGCAAGTCTCTCTCCCATTTCTGGCCCTTCTGTTTCAAGATACCTCTCATCCAGTTCTTATTGTTGTACTTGTCTTCGTGGAATCTCTTGTGTGGGATAGGAGGTAAGAGGTCCTGGATGCCAAACTTCTTAGCCATCTTGATCAAGTCAGCCGACCTTCTCAATGAGTACTTGGCTCCGTGCCAGCGGCCAGTTTCAGGGTTCTTGTTAGGCAAGAACGGGTTCATCTGGGGATCTTTGATTGTGGAGGGCTTTTCAGCATACTGAGCAAATGGTCTAGGGGGGAACTTAATGAAGAAGTTATGGAGTTTCTGAGGAAGCTTGGAGAAGGCCTCCTTTGCCGTTATGTTATTCATTAATGTGTGCTGAAGAGATCAAACCAGTGCTTCATCCACGAAAAAATTTACTAGTGCGATCACGTGATTTTAGAAGTAGTGAAGGCCATAAACGGTTCCCATGAAAAATCGGCAAAAGCCGATAGTAAATTAAAATTTGATAGAAGGGGAGGATTCAAAACTATTGATAGATTCTGTTGAAGGAATTTGAAGAGTTTATTGTGTTTCGTGGCCTCGCAATTGACCAAACGCTATCGCGTTGGATAGTACAGCAAGACGCCAACGAAGTAAGCCATGCAGAGAAAAGCACTCGTAGAGGGCCATTGAACGTCTACCTGGAAGACAGTTCATTTCCTTATCAACCTTTGTTGCTTCCATTATGCATCAGGAAGCAACCTCAGAGAACCTCTCTGGCATACTACATCAGTAATCTTCATTTCTTTTTGTTTTAATATCTAAGTCATGACCCTAATTCCCATCATGCAACGCTAGTGCAACACTGACGTGCTTATTTGGCAACGTGCTGCAAAGCCTCGAGGACCTCCAACTCAATGTTGGCCTCAGCGACAACAACCTCGTCAGAAGAAGCGGCTCTCTTCTGAGCATCAGCAATCAAAGTCTTGATCTCGTTGGCATCGAACTGCTCTGGCTTGAAAGCCTCAATGGCAGAGATGGTCAACTTGTTGCCTGGCTGGACAAGGGCAATACCACCAGAAACGAAGTACTGCTCGGTCTCACCACCCTTGGAGATGATCTCCAACAAGCCTGGTCTCAACTGCTCAACAATTGGAATATGGTTGGCCAAGATACCCAAGTCACCGTTGACAGATGGCAAGTTCACCTGCTGGACCTCAGACTCGGAGTACAAGGTCTGATGTGGAAGAGCCAAGGACAACTTCAAGGCATCGGAGGCAGCAGCCTCAGTGGCGTAGGTTCTTCTGACGACGTTAGAAGATTGTCTGGCAACCTGGCGCAAGGATTGTCTGAACATGATTGGTTTGTGTAGTGTTAGACGTTGAACAGCTAAGTATGAGGTTTTGAGTTTGGAAAAAGCTAGGACCGAGAGTGGGTTTGGGTGGGTGCACGACGGCCGCGAACGTACTTCTCATTGGTCAATGGGGCTCACAGGGAAGAACCAGCATAGTGGAAGGGACAATTCCAGAGAATAAAAATTGAAAAAGAGATTGATGACGTGTGTTTTCATGTAAAGGTGAAATTTTGTTTTTCTGTACAGTTGGTTTTGTCCATTTGGATGGTTATTCATGGAGAGTTCCGCTTTCGCAGTATGCCATTTGGCTGCGAAAAGCCATTCTGCCAGGGCTGGAATGTCAGGCTGTATGCTGCTAGGGGATGCACGAAAACAGCTAAATTAGGTGGTCTGAGAATCTCTTGGAAGGAAAGTAATCGAAGGAGTGTGGTTGCTGAGGAATTGTTGAAGGGCTCGTTCCCAGACCGTATAGTACAATGGAGCATTAGCGAGGAATCCAAAATGAACAACAAGACGTAATGCAATATGGCAGCTGAAGCAATCAAGTAAGTTTAGTCGTTGCCGAACTGGTTCAAGAAGTTATCCACATCGAAATCCTCGTCCTGGTTCATCGCAGAACCGTCAAAGTCTTGTCCGAGAAGGTCCATGTTCAAATCATCAAAACCTTGGCCCTCTCCGAGAATACTATTCAAACCAAGATCAATTTCGTTCTTGTTATCAGCCTTGTCGCCACCAGGGCCCTTGTAGCTGATTGAAGAGAGAATGTCAGATGGGTTAGGAATACCAGGAGCATTCTTATCAAGATCCATATCGAAATCGAAACCTGGATCCATGACGCCCAAGTTATCTCTGCGTTCCTTTTCTTGTCTTTCTTGCTCCTCACGTTCTTGTCTTTCCCGTTCCTTTCGTTCGTTCTCCTGTCTCTCCTTCTCAAGACGTTCTTTCTCTTGCCTAGCCTTCTCTTCTTGTTCCTGGGCTTCCTTCTTCTTGCGTTCTTCTTCCTCCTTGCGCTTAGCTTCCTCTTCTTCCTTACGCCTAGCCTCTTCTTCCTCTCGTCTCTTCTGCTCCTCAAGACGCTTCTTTCTCTCTATCTCTTCCTGAAGCCGAAGCTCCTCCTGTTTCTGCTTATTCTCCACAATCTGCTCCACACACCATCGAGCATCGTTAAACTTGCTGACTGTATCGTCCAAAATCAGGTCAAACTGGGCAATGCTGGCTGCTAGCTGTGCCGTGATCGGAGGCGGTATTAGCTGGTTATTGGGACCTGTAATGAGATTACTCTGTCTCTTGTTGTTGTTGATGATTTCGAAAATGTAGCCAGACGTTCGAAGCACATCGTTAAGCGTGCCTGTCAATCTAGCCTCGAGGTTCATGACGCTTAGTTGAGGTGGAAAGCACAACTGAAGCTTCTTTTACTGAGAATGGCAGATCTGGCACATGGGTGCGAAAGTGGTGAAGGCAGTAGCCACAATGGCCGTTTGTGGAAGTTCCAAGCCAGAATGGGAAGAGTGACGGGGAGGCATTTGGGATTTCCTGAGACGATTAAAGAAGGGCGAATTTATAGAAATGTTAAATTTTTAGTGGTCTCGTGTCTTTGTGGTGGAGACTGGGTTGTGTTGTGTGGATGGCTTTTCGCAGCCATTGTGTTAACTATGGCAGAGCAGCAATGATGGAGGGGGAGAAGGAGGAGAAGGAGGTCGATGAATGATAGATTGCCTTGGGTGGATTGAGGTTAATTTGGCTTGAAATAGGGAAGAGGCATAGACTTTTGAGTAAAATTATTGTCAGTGGAGTTAGGTTGATGGGGTAGACTCTGGGTGTACTATAAGCCGGTAGCAATGAGAAAGGGTCAAGTATACTGTAAGAGAAGCGTGGAAAAACACAGTTTGTAGATATTAAGGATATATAGAAGGGCCAAAGACTACATTGGAAAGTTTGAAAAATTCATAACGGCTGTATTATGTCTCTTTATATTGGGTGCAAAAAGAAGCACGAGTGCGCTAAGTGTACCCATCGATCCTAGTCTTGAACGACTCTCAGTTGTCCTCGGTAAACTTCGATAGCCACTGAAGCATTGGAAGGTAAGGAACGTGCAACATATCTAGTTAGTATTAGTTATGGTTCGAAATAATAGTGTAGTGCTGCTGACTCTCTGAAGCGTTCACCTTATACAAGGCACTCACCGCATCTCATAAGAACCACCACCAAAACACGCCAGGACAAGAAAAATCGTGCTCTCGAAGAAATCTATACATATATGAATTCTTCTAATTCTCCTAAAAACCTAAGAATACTTCACTTTCTTTCAAAACATCTGCGTTTTATGAACCCTGCTGGGTCCCTTCTCTGCCTGACCTGCATGGTCTATTACCATATACGCGTATCCGCTCATCAAAACATACTTCTTCAACTCCTAGTTCTTCCTCCATGACTGACTTACTTACCCGCCAGGGCCCTTTGGCTCAAGTCTGGTTGGCGTCCAATTATGATAAAAAACTTTCAAAGCAGCAATTGCTTAAAACAAACCTTGTCAGTTCTTCGGAATACATCTCCAATCAACCCATACAATCATCTTCCAAAGACAATGCACAACCCATTACGTTGAGACTTTCAGGACATTTGCTTTTGGGAATTGTTAAAATCTACTCTAGAAAGACAAAGTATCTTCTAGATGACGTGAATGAGGTGTTGTACAAGTTGAAGAACTCGTTTAAGTTTGCTAGTGGAGCTACGTTAGGTACCAGTGCAGCCTTTGTCAACTTGCCTCCACAACAGACAACTCTTTCTAATATCAACAGAATCATGCTTCAAGATCAGGTCACTGATTTGAATCTTTTGTACCAGGACGACTTGGATTTGGACGATCACCCTACAGAGAGACTTCTTGACCAGATGAGCAGTGGAGATGGTGCAACAGATAACGTTGACCTTGACAGGTCCATTGAAGTTGGTCGTGGCGTCGAAGAAAACGAGGACTTTGACTTTGATTTTGATTTGAGTATGGATGTAGACACTTCGATCGAACAGGGCAGAGACGCTCAAGTTGCATTGCCAGATGCTGAACAATCGTTGCTTGACATAGGCTCTAAGACCGCAGAGGGCCAAGAGCAGCCATTGGGTTTTGACCTTGGTGAGCCTTTGGAAACCATTTCAGAGTTGCAAACTGAACAACAAAGTGCTGAACAAACAGAGAACAGACAGAGACGCAGGCTCGTTGGTGTCGGTGAGGATGGTCTTGTTAGAACCACCAAAAGAAAATTGGTTGTCGATTCTGCCGAGGACCTCGAGCGTGGACTTCCAGTTGAAGTCTTGAGAAGTATTCAACGTCTTCAGACATTTGGACGTTTTACGGACGAACATTTGACCATTAACTTGACACAGTCACAAAAGTTGCAACTCATCAAGGAACTTGCGGAACCAAGTGTTGCTAAGCGTAGAAAGATCTGGAATCTTGATGACGAATTGACACAGCATGCTAACCAGCTTTCCGCTGAGGAGCAGCGCCAAAGGGATGCCCAATATGAGGATGATTACGACTTAGACTTTGATTTATCTTTACCAAGTCTTGAATCTGACAATGAGGGCTCAAATGACCAAGCTGACGCTTTGGAAGATGGAAGTCTCAGCAATGTTAAGACGACAACACAAGTGGCCCAACATCTTAGGAACACTTTCTTAGACCAGCCAACAGCATCTCTTGACGATCTCATGAAGAAGGATCTAGAGTTTAAAGATGCTGAAGACCTTCCCCTCGGAATGGTCAGCAAAACAGACACTACAATTGAGATAAGCAAAAGAAGGGAAGCCACCAAATGCTTCTTCGAGACGCTTGTACTTGCTACACAAAATTGCATAACTCTTGAGCAAAAGAAGACCGAGCCAACAGACATTGGCGAAAAGATTACTATCAGGCCGCTTGACAATCTTGCTGCCAAATTCTTGTAACATTATGTACCTAAGTTAATAGAATCCAAATATTGCATAACTCCACAATCGACGTTTCGATTCGTATTTTGTTGAGCCACAACATCAAGTTGCAACTGATCTATGCTCCAAATGCTAACTTGGCCAGTCTTTGAACCAACTGTGAGTCTATCACCAGTACTATCGAAAGCAACCAGCAGGATATCGCCAAAGTCATCTGGTAAGGGCACAGAGCATATCGGAGACAGACGCTTGACAACAAGATCCCAAAAATCAAGAGAGCTGCTGCCTTTGGGAGGTGTAACAGAGTTGAGTGCAACCATTTGAAATTCATGACCAGGCCGAACGAGAAGCTTAGAGATTAGCTTCTCAGTGAATACCTCAAGAAGAGCCTTTGGAGAGGAATGGTGCCAAATGCGTAAAGACCAGTCCATATGCGAAGAAATGACGATAGTCGAAGTAGTCTGATTATGCTTCCATGACGATTCAACTATTGAGTGGACGGCTGTACATGGAGCCCCAGTCGAAAATGTTTTATCCACTAGCTTTTCGTCTTTGCTATTCTTAAGTTTGAAAATATCCCCGCTTATTGAACCTAAGTAGGTATTGTTGAGGAACTTAAATTCTGGAGCATGATATGACGATTCGTTAATAAGCATGTAGTGAGATGATAGAAGGACCGAAGTAACATCAACGGAAGTGTTAGACAGTTCGGTGGATGTATGGACAACCTTGGACGGTAATTTGGGAAATGCTAGTATGCTCAATGACCAGACGTTTATGATTCCTTCTGAACATATGGATACCACAGAAGGACTTGCAGAGTTAGCGTCAGGTTGTTCTATCAGAACAATGGGACTAGAATGAAATGTGAAGTTTTTCTTAGATCGATCGTGAAAAGAAGCAACTGTAGATGTTTGGAGCACAGGAAGTACAGAAAGCTGGTTTGGCTTAAAGTTTGTCAAGTCCCAAAGCGCTAAACGTCCATTTTCCATACCGGCGACGACTCTGAAAGCGTCCGTCTTATCGAACACAATTGTTGTTATAGTGCTAGTAGCGTGAAGAAAGAACTCAGGAAACACCGATTCCGTAGAAGTATTAAATATAATGGCAAGTCCCTTTGGGTTTGTCAAATCGGTCAGTTTCGTCTTGCTCAGACCATAAGCGACCAATATTAGGTCAGGAAACTGCGGTGTCGTCTTGATATCGACAATAGGTCTATCTAGGAATCCATGCAATGAGTGTGTTTGAATGAACGGAGAGTCTTCCAGGGACCTAATCTCGTTCTGGTCCTTGATTCCAAGCCGTAGTTTGGAGAATGGAAAGTTCAACTTTGACTCCAATTGCCCCAGCAAGGCTTCATTGACCAATTCAGATTTCAGAGGTTCTGGCGTTTCCGGTAGTACAACCTCTTTTTCTTTTTCAACCTCCTTCTCTTCTTCACTGTCCTCTTCTGGCTCTTCCATCAGCACTTGTATAGCCTTATCGAACCTAATAACCAGACTTTGTTTTGACGGAAAACCCACCGAAGATACTTCAGCAGATTCACCCACCTGAACAGCAAAATCCACCCTATTCACATTCTTTGGTTCCACAACTTCAGGCTTCACCTCAATCTCTTTAGCCTTAGCTTTCTCTGCATCCTCCTTCTCCTTCTGAAGTCGTCTTTGTTTAAGCTCTTGGAGCCTTTGGCGTTTTTGCTCCAACAATGCCTGCCGATCGACTTCCATGGAATTGTAGAGATTCTACTGTCGATGTGGTGGCTTGTTTACCTGTAGTAGATCGAATTTCCTGTAGGGCGCGTTGATATCAACTAACATCTTGAGAAGTAACTACTACCGGCTGAACTGAGAAAGTCTCATATTTATTGCACTATATGGAGATCGACGACATTTTGAAGGACTTTGAGTCTTCGGCTCATCCTCAGCCAAAGCTTCAGTCTAATACTATTGAACAGGAGCTTATCCAGGCCATGATAAATGAACGTATGGCTCCAGAGCTTCTTCCATATAAGCACGACGTGATGGAGATTGTGCTTCTGCGAATCCAAAGCCAGCAACAGCTACTTTTGGATTCCCATGAATATGGTGACTCCAACGCAGAAGCTGGCGTCGTCTCGTCTGACTTCAAGCTTCGTCTTATGATTGTGGAGACTGACATTGAGCGTATCAGTTACATTGTTCGCCTATACATCAGAACAAGACTCAGCAAGATAGAAAAGTTCACCATTTACTACATTAATGAGACGGCAGAGGAGTTAGACTCGTCAAGATCAAGATTATCCGCTCAGGAAAGGTCATACATGCAAAAGTTCTTCCAGATCTTGACCCAGCTCTACAATAACAGTTTCTTGAGGAAACTACCCAGTGAACTTGCTCTTTTAGATGGAGACCAAGATATCACACCCATGGTTACCGAGCCTGATTTAGATTTACCGGTTTTCGTGAAAGTGGAGACTTCGTCGCCTATTCTTATTAGCTTGGGCGATGATGATAGCTTGGAATTGGAAAAAGACGGTGTCTATGTTGTGAAGTACCGCTTGATTAGAAGGTACCTCCAGATCGGCGATGTTGTACTTATATGATGCTATTATTTCTATACATGTGCTTCGTCACATCCCGCTGGACATTCGGTATGTTCATCCACCACGAACCATTCTTGCAAACAGCCAAAATGGCCAGAATGGCCGCATCTGAGGCCTACAACAACCGTAAGACCTTTACAAGGCTCGTTGCAATAGACACAATTCAGCTGCTGTCTTGAACATTCATCGCAGTACCAGTAACCGAACTTGTCGAAGTTCTCCTCCACATACATTCTTTTGGTTCTCTCGTTGGTCAAGAGCTTCTTACACCAACAACAGAAGAACCTCATGTCGACTTCCCTGCTTGCATAGACACTGAGGTCTTCTTTCAAACCAAGAGGAGCGCTTTTGACAATATCGGTGGCCTCGGTGAATAGCTCTTTCAGCCTGAGGGAATCCACATAAAGCCCAAGACACTCCAAGCATGCTCTTTTGCTCATAATTTTATCCTCAAATGATTTGAGTTGTCCATAGAAAAGCAATATCATAGTAGAACACATAACAAGGTCGCCTTGGTCTCTGGCAAACGAGATGGCCTTCGCAAGAAGGTTGACTAAACTCCATGGTTTGTCACTCTCCTCGTCGTCAATAAGCGCTTTCGTAGCTACCTCGCTCTCATGAATTGCCTTGGTAAGTCCAGACTCCAACTTGTCAGAGCTTTTAACACTAGACTCTTCAACCTTGTCCAAAGTAGTTGAGGCAATCTGAGCGTTGATACCTCTAAAACCTTCAGAACTGCGTGGTTTGAAGCCGTAATGAGGATTAACAGGAGATGCTTTGGATGACGAAAACGACTGCCTGGCCCTTGAGTGGGAAGTATGTGCGCTGCTGCCATATCTGCTCTCTGATGCTTGATAACCTGACGAACTATACGAAGCTGCGCTGAAGACGTGAAGATTTTCTTCATCCACATCGGCACTAAGACCGCCAGGACGAGGCGAGTTACCCGAATTAAGGGCACCGTAACTGGACTTCTTTCCAAGATCCTTCGACCGGGATAACAGCAGGTTCAATGCATCAGAAGAGGCCAGTCTTCGAGGCTGCAATGCTTTGCCCTTTATGTCAATAGCAGGAATATTCAGTGTCGTCTTTGCTCTAGGAAGACTTTCGCTAGTTTCTTCTTTATCATCATTCTCACCTGGAGAGGTTTTCTCTTTGGTCGCCTTTGTCTTCTCGGTCTTACTTTGCTCGGTTGGCTTTGCTGGAGAAAGTCTAAGAGGGAGATTGGAACGTGGGAGCGTGGAGAGAATGCACCAAAATCTGATGTGCTTTCTTTCGACGAACTAAGAATTGCCATATTGTGAACTGACGCTCCACTCTCACTTCTTCTGTAGTTCGTAGTCAGCGTAGAATTCAGATCATAAGACCCACAAATGTTTCCCAAATCAGAATTGATGGAGGCTCCTTCCTCTGGGGACTTTTCAATTTCATCACTTTGTGGCTCTTCATCTGGAATGACACTAGGCTGCACATTCTTTGCAACTTGCAAATTAAGCGAAGCTGAACTTTGTTCAATAGCGGTCGCTAGCATTCGCCATACTTGACAGTCTCTATTTCTTTGGACTGAGGCGGCAGCTTGTGCGTTCATTTGACACACAAATGCCAACGAAGAACCGTCAGGGACAACGTGGTAGTATTCATATGCAAGGTACTCAAAGACGTACTCGTCATTAAGCGGAATAGGCAAACAAACGGCAACAAAGTATGGAGTCGCAGCTCCGTTAGATTGCCCAGCCTTCTTCGACTGTAATGCCGAGGCTCCAGAGGACAGGGGCTGAAGTAGTATAGACAGTGATCCTGACCCTTGCGTGGATTGAGAGGGGTTTCTCATGAGCGGTGGCCTAGACAAGTGATTGGAATGAGTAGCACCATGCCCAGGTGCCAGTACTCCGCCTGGTTCTGTGAGTGGCCCAAGCGGTCCAAACTGGGACAGTGGATTGGGCGATGGAGACTTGAAAATTTGACTTGAAGGATTGTACGTTGACAGGCGAACAAGCAGGGGCCGATCCTTTGGAGACTTTTGATAAATGAAGCTCGAGGCTGATGCAGAACCTGATACCATTTTGTATTTGGAGTCAAGTGATATCGATGATGACTGATGTTCAAGATCCCTGTCGGCCAAGACTTCATCACTAGGCATCATGTCATCCGTGTATGGAGCAGATACATCCAGGTTATCGAATTCGTGAATAGAAGATGAGTCCGTTTGATTCGTGTGGAATTCGTTCTTGTCTTGATTCGTGAATGAAATATTAGTGTAGCCTGGGCTCCAGGCGGTAGCCACACTAGTAAGTTCTTCCAATGGACGTGAAATATTGAGTCCATCTTCTTGGTTCCGAGAGAGGTTATATGAAACGAAAACGTTAGATTTTGTAATGGTCCATATCTTCCTTTCGTTTTGATTATTATGCGCCCAGACAAAGTTTTGAACAGGCTTGTTTGTAGAAGTGGTGATCACTTCTTTGGGAATATATTTTCTTCCCAAATTAAAGACTGTTATAGTTGGATCGTCGTTCAAATAAGAACATGCAAAGTCGTAATTGTACAATGACAGGGGGGATGAGTACTCATCCGTGAAATCAAGCAGGTTGTGCCGTGAGCTGATGGATGAGTTAGCATGACTGGATTCACTATTGGCGATTTCAGACCATCGAATTTTCATTACAGGTCCATATGCGTTCATGGTGACCTTTGGAGATACCGAGTGATGAGCTGTAGAGTCCTCATAGTCCCAAAGGCAAATTTTACGATCTCTTCCACCTGTTAAAACGTATTCACGCTCTGGATGAATATGTAGCGAGAGAGCTGGTCCAGTGTGAAAAGTCCATTTACGCTCAGGAAGTGCCGCCAGAGAGCTGTTGCCTGGGTAACGAAAGTCAAATTTACAGAGTGCACCCGAGTCATGTACTGATAGCACTGTCATTCGGCTTCGAGATCTTGAAAACGGAGAATACTGACATGCTCTGACGGGATCTGAATGCTGAGAAGCCCGAAGCTTGAGAACAGGCTTTTGGTTGAACGTTCTTAAATCCCATAATTTGACTGTACCATCCTGGGAACCAGAAAGCAAAATTTGGTCCAGCTCGACGAAGTCCATAGAATTGATAACACGTTTATGGTCACTAAACTTATGAGCCAACTTAGCCTTTCCAGCTGCTGAGACCTGGAAGATACTCACAGTACCGTCAGTCAACCCACACGCCACCATATCTCCATTACACTTGATTGTATTAACATTGAAAAGTCTAGGAGAAGTATGGAAACGTTTCAGTGGTGAGGAATCGACGATGTTCACGTCTGCTATGACCTGACTCTGGTCAGAGCTAAGTGCTAACAACTTAAGGTAGTTCTTTCCTCCAATGACCACATGGTGAGAAGGGACAGGTGATGAGGCATCATAGTATGATGTATTTATACGACCCAAGGGATGCCGAAGCTGGGAAACACAGGTGATCTCTTTTTCACACGAGTAGGTGAACTTCTTCAGCAGTCTCAGTTTCAGCAGTTCCGGAGTTTTCTGGCGGGGCAGTTCTGTCTGGTTCAAGGAACCATATATGTTGAAGGCAAACCTCGCCAAACTCAGCTGATTTGCCATCTGCGATGCTTCGTGGGAGGTAGACCTGGTGGGTTGGACGCCAGTCGCTTAGTTGGTGATAATCAGTATGTATGTGCGCACATAGATAACCCATACATAAGGATGTGGTGTTTCAGTCCTTGATGGGTTCCCAGGAAAATGAATATCAATCGATGGGTATTTAATCATGGGGAATTGGGCCGAAGTTAGGGTCTATTTGGAGGCCATATGATTGTCATTTGCCATGATATTATGGTATGTATCAGTATATCACGTAGAGGGCTTAGGCATACCAAGTAAGCTTAATATTAAGGTATGAAAAGCCTTCAAGAGTCGTCATCGAGGATCCAATTTATGTAAGGCTTTTTCAAAAAACAGCTTTACTGATTTCTCAGGCCTTCGGTTTCATTTCTTTACTAGTTGTCACTAGTTAGACTTTCGAAGCCACATTGAAGTGTGAGTCGATTAAAGATACTACCTCCCCAGATTCACATCCAATTGGCCCAATTCCAAAGATAAGAGCTAATACTTTCCTTAAATCTCTTTATCCTTGGCTATCACGCCACTTCTCCTGAACCACTTCATTCTCCTTCCCAGTCTATCTTCAATGAACAGCCCACCCCTTCCAAAATGCTACGCTATTCTTCGAAACCACGAAGTATCACCACTAAAATTCAAATCAAAGCTTATCTATTGGCTACGGTCAATACTCCAGTGGAGATCTTATGTCCCATGGTATCTTCCTAAATCCGGATTACACCCTTTACATCCGGCCACCATAGCCATGAAACAGGTTGCACAAAATGGACAACAACAAAAAAAAAAAGCGTTTTAACCGAACAAGCTAATAGTTGCCTCTCAAAACCTTATTCATTCTCTTCGTTGCTTCACCACAGCCCATTATATTCCCAAACCTTCTTTCCTTCTTGGACCCGCGAACTGGTTCCTACATCATCAACATCTACCTATTTCGGGACCTTTCCCTACGAGGCCTCTCCAACCACTACATATGGGCTCGTTTGCGTTCCTTTCGAAGCTTTTTTACCCTGTAAAGATGCTAGCCTTATTAGGCCTTTCCATCTCAGGCGCTGCGCTTGTGGGACTTTATACGTTCCAGAGCCTGCTCATTTACCCAGCTTCTATGAACGATGGCCATGGCTATTGTGCTAGACCTGAGGAGTTTGGTATGCCTGATTATGAAGACTTGTACTTGGATACTGAAGATGGAGAGCTGTTGCATTGCTATTGCTTGAAGCATGACAAGAAACTGCCTGACTATACCAATAAGACGGTGCTTATTCTTTCACCTAATGCTGGTAACATTGGCCATGCTTTGCCAATTGTGTCGATGTTCTACAAGAACTTTGGGTACAATGTCTTTATTTATTCATACAGAGGGTATGGTAAGTCTACGGGTAAACCATCGGAAACTGGTCTTCGTTTAGATGCTCAGGCAATCATGAGTTACATTGCTCAGGACGAACAACTTCTGCAATCTTCATTGATTCTATATGGAAGATCATTAGGAGGTGCCGTTGCCATTTACATTCTGTCACTTATGGGTGCTAGCGTTCAAGGACTCATTTTGGAGAACACGTTTCTTTCCATTCCTAAGACGGTTCCCCACATTTTCCCATTTCTCAAATACTTCACCATGTTCGTGCATCAGAAATGGGAACTGGAGCGTCTAGTGCCACTCATTCCATCCAACATTCCAGTTTTGTTCTTTAGTGCCAGAAAAGATGAGATCGTGCCTCCAAATCATATGGACAAGATTCACGAACTCTCGCAATCCACAGATAAGACGTTTTTCAAGTATCCAAACTCCCAACACAATGACACTGTGATACAGCTAGACTACTGGGAACGTGTGCATGAGTTCATCAAGAACAAAGTTAATCCAGCTGGATACTAGTGGCATAGCGTTGCTGACGGTGCCACCTGACACATAGTCGATAAAATGTTATATAGAATTCTTGTCCTTCCTTCTTCATTCTGAATTCGCCTGGCGATCTTTCTCCGCTGGGGCATTTACTAGATTCGCTTTCTAAAAAATATATGCATTTGCAAGAAAATATCTTCTACTATCTACAATTGTGGTCTCGGGACGAACGGGCCTTTAGATCATACCGATTAACCACTCATTGCCGTAATCTTTTTACATTTTCTTATTTCCCTGCCTCCTGACCTCATGCTTGTGCTCAATTAACTTAGATGGAGATTTGGGCATCGCCTTTAGCATTGAAGGTGTCGTGGGACATGAACTCCACCTTCTGGTCGTCAGGCAATCTCAAAACCTTCTTGAATCTCTCACCAATGGTAACCAACTTGGACTCGTCACAGTCCTTGGTCCAGATACCAACACGGAAAGCCTGTTTTCTAACATTCAACACAATACCGTTCACCTCGTTCTCGTCATCCTCAATGGTCTCACCAATGACAGCCAAAAGACCACGCAACCACAAGTCGTTGATAACTTGGATGACATCACGCTTATTATTAAAGGAATATTGCCATCTGCCACCCTTGGCGTTGGCCTCGTCTTCCCACTCAGGCTTGATACCTTCCTTGAACAAGTGGTAGTCGGACTTCAAAGGCAACTGAGAAGCCACTGGAATGGAATTGTGAATGCCCCAGAATTCTTCAACAGAAGAGAAAGTGATGACGGGCTTCAACAAATCCTGCCAAGTCTCGGACTTGTTGGTCATAGGCTTAGTGTACCACAAGGTCCACTTGGAGTTCAAAGGGTGCTTGGCCGTGAATTCCTCCTTGCTGCTCAAGACAGTCTTTTCGTTCTCGAGAGACAACTCTTCGGTCTTCTTGTTCAAATCCTCCGACATTGTGAACTGATTAGTAGGGATTATGGGGGAAGTTCTCTTATGGCGTTTTTTTTTTGCGTTGGTGAGAAAATGATGGATGGAGGAAAAAAAAGAGTGCGCGTATAAACCAGCATGGTCCAGTAGTGCGGGTCGGCCCGTCAAAGCGTATATTCTAGTCTAGCAACGGGATATCACCAGTAATGAAGATATTTTTGGTGAAAAGTCAAGCTTGACAAAGAAGTGGACTCTTAGAATGTATTGAAATGGTTCAGGCAGGTGTATGAGTAGATTTTTCCCTGAAGTGTGTGGCTCACGGAACTACGAAGGCCGAGAAGTTGAAGAGATCACAAAGAGGCAACATGGTAATGGCGTAATTCGATAGCTGGGGAAACCTCAGATTTTCAATTTTTGAGTATTTAGCTTCTTGAATGCTATTTTGTAACGTATTGTGGCATAATATTGAAGTGTTGGGGCATTCACGGATTTCGCAGCCACAACGGGATGGTGGTCTATCATGGCTGCACTTATCACTTATCAGTATGCCATAAACCGATATGGTCCAAGAAGGATTGAAGGTGCTCTCTCAGGATCAACGAAAGCCTTATTTCTTGTTTCATCGCCACCCACCAGGCAGAGCTAACCAGCACATCCACGCAATCTTCAGGTCTTTTAATACCAGCAAAAGACCATGGCGAGACCTGAAAATCACGTCCATAGAGCTGCCTAAGACTTTCACTCTCCCCATCCCACCACTTCATCACTACGCCAGCGAATAACGTAGACTGTATTTTTCATTATGTACCTAAAGCAAGCGATACCTTCATGGTAATTGTACTATTGTCCGTTGGTCCCATAAGGGTCCTAAGAATCCTCGAAAGCGCGTTACATTTGGTTTACGGCTTCACTTCGCCAGCTTTCCTCCAACCAGCATTTCATCTCTCTCAGCATACCTCCAATATCCAACCTAAAGAAGGTAGCCCACGGCTACAGCGACCCAGCCAACAACACCAGCATACATACCTGGATGACCGTTGTTACTTATCGTGGTTTGTTCGTAAGACCTGACACCGCCGACTTCACCAGTTTGCAGGCCCAAGCCAGCACTTCCTTCGGGTACAGAGGCGGTTGGATCGGAATAAGTAGTTTTGAACGATTGCGAGTAAGCTGATGACGTGGTGATGACTTTTCCACCAGTAGTCAACGTGACGTAAACGATAGTGGAAGACGTCTTACTTGTCGTGTCGGCACGTTTGAAGAAGAAGTCTGGCACGTCAAAAGCAGCGACGAAGGAAATCAACGAAAGAAGGAAAAGGAAGTTCATGGTATTTTGTCAACCTTTGGTGGTGTTTATTTAAAGAATAAGAACGTGAAGATCTGAGAAGGTAGTTTTTTTTTTTTGGTTAAAAAAGCGTTCTTTTTTTCCATTGTGCGTTGCTACAGGGGAGCTACATACGGTTCCCCAGGTTCCTGCAGAACAGCTGCCAGATGGCTGTGTCTAGTCCAGGCCAGGTACCACAAAAAACCCGAGGACAACTTCTGAAAAACCTCCAATTTGGTGAAAACACGAGTTGAAATGGTATTAATGGATCCTGTAAGTTTCATGATATTTGAAGGGAGTAGCAGTCAGAAATAGTGGAATGGTTGGTTTGGGTTATGCGCAACTGCAAGATCCTGTAAAAGAACCCTTTCCTGAGCCCCAGTGGTTCCCAGGTGGACAAATCAAAGTCAGAAAATGGATAGAGGACGTGGATTTTCTTTGCTCCTATAGAACATTGTAAAACTTCTTTTCTTATCGGCGCCAGGGGTCTTTTTCAACTGGTGCCTCGTATTTTGACACCATTGGGGTGCTGCGAGAATGCAGCGGCTAGAGTTTAAGCTGCATTGAGGCGGTGTGAGTGGGTACCCACTGGATATGGAAAGGGAAGAAGTGGAAGTAGATACGACGAAGGGAATGCTGTTTGGTGGAGAAATAGATTGAATCTTTTTCTTTTTATTTATATAGTCTGCTGTCTGATTTGAACTATTGGTGTGGTTTTGCCAATGGCTGCGAAAAGTGGACCTAGAACCAGCCGTACTATGTTACGCAGGGCATTTGGAAGGATTCTGAAAACATGAATTAGGCTACCAAAAATCGGGTTTGTGAAGGTGTGAAGGGAGATTGATCTGGAAGAAGGGAGTTACTAGAGGGGCCATTTTGGCGCTAAAAAGGTGTTGAATTGGGGTTCTGGTAGGAAATAGGGGCATGGGAATATAAGAATGGTTTGTATGTGAATGGTATACTGAATGGGTAGTATAAGATCACCGGGCAAAGCAGCCAAAAGGTAATTTCTAGGATTTTGAGCGGCCAAGAATAAAAATTCAAGATTTTGAGTATCCTCAGGAGAGTGCTTAGCCAGCTACACTTACCATGTTTTATCCTCGGTCCAACTATCAGATAGGGGTCACCACCCAACCAGTCATAACTACGTGAAATGGCTACTTCAGATAATGGAAATGCAACCATCAATAATCCCTATATTTAAGTCAACTTGATGATTCAATTGGTAGGAGGATAATACTCCTAGCCTCCTCCACCACTTCGTGTTTCCTCAACATCCAACCATACAATGCATATTTCCTCATCCAACGTACAATTAAAACACCCACGGACTCAAAATTCGGACTCAATACTCCCCAAAAAGAACTTCCTAAAACTTATCTAAACAATCAAATTTGTTTCTTCGCTGCATGGACTTTAGTACAATGACATATAACGCTCTTCTGGAACATGCGTACCCATGTTGGATAATGCACTCATAAGGAAAAACTACTTAAACGATTTAAATGTGCTTCTGTTTCTGAAAAAAATGCCTTCCCCAAAAATCACATTTCCTCGCTTGCTTCCCCAGTTGTTGCCTTTCACAGAAGGTCTATTGGTCCACTTCCTTATCTCGTTCCTGTACCAACTGTCTTATCAGCGCTGCCATCACTTCTCAATCAACATCAACTTCTCTACCATCCTTGATGAGCAAACCTCGCGAAATCACAGGACGGAGAGACTCTATTGCCAAACTAACACGTTCTCTGTTCAACTCCAGACAAAACTCCCCTCGTTCATACTCGGCATCCAACCTGTTCCAGAGAAATGCTCTTTTCTTAAACCCGAACGGAACTCCAATCTCACTGCTTTCGTCAGAAGATGTCATTGAGGATTCGAGCAACGGAGGACGTGGAAACAGTCCTACTGAGCCAGATAATGATGAACCAAACTTGGCTCTGGGTATGACTGATCCCAAAGTGCTTGAAAACGTTGCTAAACATCTTAAAACTTCAGAGCGTGATGGCCTTGCTGCTGAAGGTGGTGATATAACTAGAGCAATTTACAAATTGGGCAACGAGAATGCAAAACCAAACCTTAAGAGGTCGAAGTCTGATCCACTGATTGAAGCTCGTTCTAGGAGAGGCTCTTGTGCCTCTAGTTTGAACGTGCCTGGCGGATTCCGTAGACAGTTTGTTTTGAACAGGAACAAGAGGACACCCAGTTTGGTAACCAGGAACTTTGTGGAATTTTTGAGCATCTATGGTCATTTTGCTGGTGAAAATTTAGAAGATGATGACGACGTTGCATGTCACTACGAGCCTTATACCCCGTTTGGTGAAGATACCCCACTCTTACCAGCTGACATCAATCCAAACGGTACTGCTTCCGACAAGAAGGCTTACTTTTTGCTTTTAAAGGCCTTTGTGGGCACTGGAGTTTTATTTTTGCCTAAGGCTTTCTCCAGTGGAGGTCTCCTATTCTCAGCATTGACGTTGTTCTTCTTTGGTCTACTTTCGTTCTGGTGCTACTACATCTTGGTACAGTCGAAGGTTGCCACAAAGGTGACTGGGTTTGCAGAGATTGGTTTGAAGACGTATGGTGTCACACTTCAAAGGTTAATTCTTTTCCTGATAATCATATCTCAGGTTGGATTTGTCGCTGCTTACATTGTTTTCACAGCCGAAAACTTGAGAGCCTTTGTTGTAAACGTATCCTCCTATAAAACAGAAGATATTGATATCTTCTGGTTCGTTGTTTTTCAAGCTATTGTCTTAGCGCCGCTTTCTTTAATTAGAGACATCACTCGTCTCTCACTTTCGGCGCTTGTGGCTAACGTTTTCATCTTTGCTGGTTTGGTGACCATCTTGTACTACACCATAAGGCAATTTCAACAGAACAACTTTGTTCCAGGAGAGGGAATTTACTATTTCTTCAACAAGTCGGAATCATCGTTGTTCATTGGTGTTGCTATTTTTGCATTTGAAGGTATAGGTCTTATCATTCCTATCCAAGAGTCGATGATCTACCCCAAGAACTTTCCAAAAGTTTTGTTTTCTGTGATCATGACCATTTCGTCGATTTTTGTCTTTATCGGCTCAATTGGCTATCTCACGTACGGAAAGGATATCCACACCGTTATCCTCCTTAATCTTCCTCAAGGATCACCTACAGTTATCATGACACAAGTACTTTACGCATGTGCCATTCTTTTGTCGACACCAATTCAAATCTTCCCGGCAGTTCGTCTAATTGAGCTGAAATGTTTCCTGCCACATAAGTCAGGAAGAAACTCGTCAAGAGTGAAGTGGCAGAAAAACTTGCTTCGTTGTACCTTCGTTTTCACGACAGCCACTATTGCATTATACGGAGGTAAAAACTTAGATAAGTTTGTTTCATTTGTCGGTTGCTTCGCTTGCATCCCATTAGTGTACATGTACCCGCCAATGTTGCACCTTAAAACCTGTTGCCAACAGGAATGTGATGATTGTTTCTCTGTTAAACCAGATCCTCACGCTACAAAGAAGAAATGGTTAGCACGTCTCGATTATGCACTTATTGCCCTTGGATCGTTAGCCGTTGTTTACACAACCTACGATATCTTGGCTCATTAAAACCAAAGAAAAAAAAAAATACATCCATCTATATTCCTTAAACGTTTTTTTTTCATTACTTATTCCTCGTCTTTCCAAAGGTCTGTTAGGTAAACCCTAGCGTCATGCACATGCTGCTGTAAATCTAGCTTCGACTGCTCACGAACTCTGCGGAACTGCTCTGCCAATTCTCTTCCAGACTTAGCAAGGTCCAGCTGCAGCTGGTAAGCTTCTGGATATCTCTCCTTCTCCCAATCCAAGACTTTACCCTTGGTGGCCTCGTATGTCTTTGGCATAGCAATTCTAAAAGCAACAGCAGATACTGTGATAGGGAAGAAAATCCTCAATGGAGCAGCTCTGTTGTTCACCATAATAGCACTCACCAAGGTTGGAATGGTCACATCCAAAACCTTATCTGGCTCTTGGATCAATGCACCAGCCAGTTCAGTCAAAGATCTGATCTCATTACGAGCAGCAGACACTTGAGTACCAACCTCAGCACCAACAATCGAGAATTTGTCCTGAAGGAAAGTCTTACCCTGGTTCACCAAAGATTCCAAGTATGGTGTAGTTCTGACACCCATACCTTCGACGAAGGAGATGTTTCCATGAAGAGACTCCTTCTCCTTGAGAGCTTCTGAGATCTCACCCTTGTAACCAGGCTTGGTCTCGACGAACTCGGCGTCTCCATAAAACGATCTACCCATGGTTGGCTTTTATAGAAGGTTGGATGTTGATGTTAGTTACTGGTTGCGACTCAATTCTGGTGCAGTAGCGTTGATACTATTGGTTTATACAGAACTCTTACAGTGGCTGCGAAAAGGTCAAAATTTACTTAAATACAAAGGAGTCATTATAGTTTCTAATATACAGAAAGAAAAAAAGCAGAATCTTTCCTTACTTGCCAAAGATGCCCTTCTTCTTCTTTTTTTGTTTTTCAGCCACTTGTGCTGCTTGTTCCTTAGGAGCATCCATGACAGGAACTTCTATACGGATATCGTGTTGGATATCAGCGGTTGAAGTTTTGGGCAGATCGTTGGAGTTCGAAGACGTCATGGAGCCAGAGTTAGAAGCACCCTGGGGAGGACGAAGGTGCTGCTGCAATTGCTGCTGACTCCTTCCTGTTTGACTCAACTGTCCCAGCAGCTGTTGGTGCGCCAAAGGTGGAGCTTGCCCCAATTGAGGCCCCTGAGCTCCCTGAGCAAGAGGAGGCAGCTGTTGTGCTTGCATCATTTGCCCAGGCATCATCGAGCGATGCTTAGATTTGGTAGGTGGCGCATTGCTAGCTCCAGGCATTGGCATTCCACCTCTTCCACCGTAATCTATGTTGAAAGTGCTACCCTCCATTTGAGGGAAGGCAGAACGACGATTAGCCTTTCTCTGACCACCCATAGGAACATTACCGCCCATGCCCATACTCATACCCATTTGCAGGGGAGGCATCTGTTGGGGAGGCATCTGCTGGGGAGGCATTTGCTGTGGAGGCATTTGACCAGGCAACATTTGGCTTGATCCCATTGGCATTCCCATCTGGAGGTTTGGATGCGATCCCATGCGGTGTTTAGGTGGTTGCTGGGCAGCTCCTGGAGGACCGTTCTGGTACCGTTGAGGATTACGCAAAGTAGTTGGCAAAGTGCTTTGTGGAAATCCGTTTGGAGGCAATCCATGAGGCGGTCTCTGATCAATGTACCCCTCGTAAGAGCCGTTCTGTTGTTGTTGTGATTTGGAAAGCGAAGGAAATGATTGGGAAGTTCTTGCAGGAGGGGCATTTTGGTAGCCCATGTACTGGCCTGGAGGACCCTGAGGAGGAACTTGGCCCTGGTAAGGTTGAGCAGCCTGAGGAGGTTGCTGGCTTGAAGCATCATAGTAGCCATTGGTCTGTCCAGCTCCGTAACCATTAGACTGATTGGCACCTTCCTGGCCCCCTCTAGTAGCTTCAGGTTGAGCATAACCGTTGCCGTTGCCGTTGCTGTAGCCATTGTAGTTGTTATAATTAGTGTAATTCTGCAATTCATCCAAAGGTTGAGAAGCCGAGCGATTGTGAGTTGGAGGTTTCTGACCTTGGTTTTGGGCCTGAGGATTCTGGGTGAACTGATGTTCTCTTTCCTGGAGTGCCTGCTCTCTCTTTTGAAGTTCAAGCTCACGCTCACCCAAACGTCTTTGTGCTTCCCTTTGGGCTGGTGGAGTTTCACCATTCAAAGCAGCGCCGTACATGGCAACATCAGCGAAGTCAGACAAATCAGGAGTACCCTGGACACCTGTAGACCCTTCAACTTGTTGAGGTTGAGCAGACTTGTTATTTGGAACATCCAATTGTGCGGAGCGGGCCTGAGGAGCAGGGGAAGGGGCAGGAGCCGGTTGAGAGGCAGCTTCCTGACGAGCCAGTTCAACACGCTGAAGCAACTGTTGAAGCTCAGTTTCCTTTTCTTGCAATTGAGCATTAATGTCGGACAATTGTTGTTGGTGAGACTGGCTGGCTGACGAGAGCTCTCTAGTCTTTGATTCATGGTCAGACAGAAGCTTGGCCAACAACTGGTTCTTTTGGACGATTTGGCTTTCAACATTTTGCAACAGCTTTTGACGCTCTTCAAAATTGTTCTCAAATTGATACTTTTCAAGGCTGAGCTGCTTCAAGTTCTGTGTCATAGCCTCTAACTCGCTCTTCTTTGAATCATAGCCATCCAACTTGCGAGTGAAGAAAGAGGAACCTTCCTTCGAGTTCATTTTCAAAAGTTGGCACAAGATGGAGTACAAGTTCTCCAAGTAAGGAGTCTTGACGCCATAATCATCACCAAGCAAAATAGGCTGCAATAGAAGCAAGTCGACTTCAATATCGCGTTGGTGGAAGAAGTCGTAGAACAAGGTGTTAGATTCACAGAACTGCGGAAGATTCTTGTTAGACTTTTCAGGCAATGGGAAGTAGGCCAGCCAGTTCTTGATCAAGTTGGTTTCATTCTCAAAGCCCTTGACGAGCTTACATTCCATCTTCTTGATGATCTTGAAAACCTCGTTGACAAGACCAGTGATCAATGGCTTAGCCAAGATCTGGCGGGAAAGGTCTTGAGGGTAAGGCTCTTCAAAGATCACAGACAAAGGGTTCAAAACGAGTCTTGGCAAGGCTTGTTTCCATTGGTAAGTCATGAACTCACGCGGGTTGGTGGACTTGAGCAAACTAATGACACCCTTGGAATCCTCTTGAGCCAACTGCCACATCTTATAGAATCTAGCAAAAGTATTGGAATCCTTAGCAGGAACGAGCTGGTTTGACGCGGAAGAAGACACACCCAAGTAAACACGAAGATCCAGGCTCAAGGTGCGGTGGAAGCAGACGTGTGAGTTGAAGCCAGGAGCACGTTTAATGTCACTTTCGTTCATAATGGAACAAACAGAAAGATCCCTAGCCTTTGGCAAGCTTGACACAACAAAAGGTTCCAAATTGACGTAGCCCGTAGATTCAATGACAATCAAGGCGTCGCGGCGGAGCAACGGCTGGATCTGGGCACAGGCGTCCTGGAACTGTTGCAAATTAGGCACGGACAAGATCACATAGTCGTAGGTGGCCAGTTTAGGTAAATGGGACACGGAGGAGGCAAGCAGATCGGGAGTAAAGGTAGCATCTCCAAAAACAGAAGAACGCCAGGAGATTGGAGAGTTTGGATCAACAGACGGATCCACAACAGTGACCGAGCACAGCTTAGTCTGCTGAAGTCTCCAAGCGTAGAAGAGCAAATTCGGATTCAGACCGACTGGAAAACAGTTAGTAAATCTGGATTATAGCCTGATTCGGCCCTTGGGGGGACGGTTTTTCTAAAACATACCGGTTAATAGCTGGGACATGCCTGGGCAAAGAAAGACAGGACACTAGTTTAAGCAGGAAAAAGCTAAAATAAGCGAAGGACTGAAGCTATTTGATTTGGTTCTTTTGCAACTGAATAAGATAAAAAAAAAGAAAGGGTGGAGGTGTACTGATAAAAAGCGTGGTATGTTTCACGATTGCCAGACCGGTAGAGAGACACAGAAAAAAAAAAAAAAAAAAATGCGAGCGTGTAACCCATAAGCGTTTTGGCCAAGGTACTGGAAGAGGAAAACACGAGAGAAAAGACGCAAAGCAGGGTTGAAAAACGTAGAATGAGACAGTAAGAAGCGACACAAAACAACGTGGACGGTGAAGAAATTTCATGATTTAATACGACCAACATAAAAAAAAATACAAAGCATACGTGTTTAACCAGGAGAGACCAGTACAGGGTCTGTTACCGCTGCACCGCCTGGCTGTCTGAGGGACAAAAAGGAAGAAGAAAAAAAGCCCGCGAGGGCTGAGTTTTGGAGGTAGTGCTGTTTAAAGGCATAAAGCCAGATTTATAGTTTGCTAGCGAAACGGACGCAGGGGAAATTAAAAGCAAGCACTCACATGGGAATTAGCTTTTTTTTTTTTTCGAAGCTTGACTATGGGAGTTTTTTAAAGGGTTGGTGCATTTTTTTTTTGGGTGGTTGCGCAACACAGTGAAGGTACGATTTGGGGTAATTGGAGGTAGCAGGAGCAGTACAGAGAGTGCGGTGTAGCGGTTAAAGGGCCGGCGAATCCGGCGAACCACCCAACAATTCGGGTACGAGAAGCGGTGATCTGGAATGAGAAGGTTCTGTTTCGGCGTCATTTTTATCTTTAAAATGGGCCCAGATTGGTGGTTGCATAGATGGTTGGACCCCTTGGATGTGGATTATGTTCCTGGCAACCGCGTGGTTGCTGCCCAGCATTCGCGGTGGGACATTTTTCAGATCCCAAGGAAGGATGTACCGCTTGGGGGCTGAGGATCTGGATCTGGTTAAGGGAGTACAAAAGGGAAGAGGCTGTAGAGGCAAAGAGGTTAATTGGGAGAAGGGTTCCGGGGCTCAATTCAGAGTTTCAGGCGTGGCAGGTAGTAATGCTGGTGTCGTACCAGTAAGTCTCGTTTGTCTGTATCTGGCAGTCTGTCTCCTGGGGAACACACCCGTGCCTCCCTACCTTCCTCTCTGCCTCTGCCTGTGGTTGCGAAAAATTCTCTTCCTCTTTTGGTTTCTTCTCTCCACCATCGTCCTCGGCGGCGTCGTCTCGTGGTTACTGGTAACGTGGCTTGATGCTGCTGGCTGGCTGCCTGGTCGTGTTCTATCGGCTGGTGTAGTCTAGGCGTGGCGATGGCAGAGTGAAATCTGCCCCGGTGTATCTCCGAGAGGTGAGCTAAGCTCTGAACCTCCCGGTCATGTTCCGGGGAACATACTGAGGAATGGGGATATTAAGGTGGAGTGGAGGGCAATGGAGGGTCAAGGAGGATGCTGAAAGTTGAAGAGGGTCTGGCGTCCCAGCGTACAGCTGGGCCTATTGTTAGGGGATCTTCAACACCTGTGGATTGTAGGTCAATCAACAACCAATTGGAGATGTCGTTGATTGAAGACGTAGAAGTCTCTTCTGGAATTGGCATTTCATCGGCCAGTTGATTGTTGTGGTAGGAATGGACTCCTGGTTGGTATGAACAGTGTAAGGAGTGGATGTTCTCCATAAACTTAATATGAACATTCTGCCTAAACCTTCTTTAAAGTCAGATCCGAAATACTCTATTTCCTCGTTAGGAAGTCATTAGCTTCTGAACTTTGCCTTTTGGGGTACCCTAATGGTCTGTCAGGCTGGTCCATTCTCACCACTCTAACCTTCTCAACCAACAGTATATTCTGAACCTTTACAATACCTTTCTACAAATTCACTTGAACGATTAACCACTTTTAATTGTCTTTAAATTTCATGGGGTAACGCGTTTATATACTGTCCCCCATTCTAGTGTCTTACTATGCCCTGTCTACAGAGCGCGTATGATAATCTCCATAGTTGAGGTTTCTCGTACCTTGTACAACATTCCATGAGAGGCACTCTTATCCTTATTGAAGGTCTCGATAGATCTGGGAAATCCACTCAGGGTGAAATCCTTGCTGGAAAGCTCAATGCTGAGCTTGTCAAGTTTCCCGATAGACTGACTCCGATCGGTCAGATCATCAACCAGTACCTTACCGACAAGAGCTTCAGTCTTCCAGACCAAGCTGCCCATCTTCTATTTCTGGCCAACAGATGGGAATTAGCACTGAAGTTAACAGAATTGCTCCGTTCAGGGAAGAATGTTGTCATGGACAGGTATATCTACTCAGGCATCGCCTACTCCCTAGCGAAGAAAGGAGCTGAGATGGACAGTTATGACTGGCTCTATGGCCCTGATAGAGGCCTCCCGAAACCTGATTTGACTCTCTTTCTCACCATCAGCTTGGAGGAGCTCAGCAACAGAAAAGGGTACGGTGAAGAACGTTATGAGCAGATCGAGTTCCAAAAGAAAGTCAAAGCATGCTTTTTGAACATCCTAGACTCCTCTGACCCCAGCATTGCCATTGTGGATGTCGATGGACTCCCGATTGACCAGGTAACAACCAAGTTATGGGCCGAAATCGAGAAACGGGACCTCCACAACCCAATAGACCGTGAAGTGGAATACTTCGTGTAACATAAATAATCAAGACCTAATCACTGAGGCTGTCCAAGTAAGCGAGTCGCTGGAGCACCCTTCCCTTCAGAATCTCTTGTAATTCTCCACCCAAGTAGATCTCGTCTAGCACCACATAAAGCCTATGGAAATTGAAAACAAGGTCGAGCTCACACACATTATCGTAATACGTATCAAGGATCTCGACGAAGAAATGCACCGATTCCAAGTACGTCAATTCGTTATCCATATAGTCGATCAGCACCACAAAGTATAACCCAGCATACCTCCTATAAACAAGCTTGTTATTACGGTACTCGACAAAGTTCGACTGGTGTTTCAGGTCTCGGGACGATATAAGTCTATGGATTTCACTGATATGTTCATGTTTTCCTTCTCAGTATATGCGCTGTCGAACCACTTGGCAAGTCTGGTTTTGCCCTGGCGATTTAGAATGAGGAGGTAATGAATGGACATGGAAGGGGATGGAGTGTGTAATTGATAAGGGTTTTGTTAGGAAAGGAGAAGGAAAGTGTAGCTGTAGTGGAGTTGATTCGGATCAATAGTAATACTAGAGCTATTCTGAGGCTACACTGTGCAGAGCACCTTCACTATGGAGACAGGGAGAGTACTGAAAGAGAGTACATTCTGTGAAGAAGTGGAGGTTAAGTTTGATTAAGGTGATTTTTTTGGGTAAAGTTTTTCTGGATTTCAAGAAAACAGTAATTTTAAAAGTATTCTGGCGTTTGCTGAAGGGAACAGAAGGACTTATAAGGCCAGTTAAGAGGTCCATTAACATTCCATTCTGTTGAGAGTTTGGATGAAAAATACCTACCATAGCATGAATTGTCATAATTTACTCTTTAGGAGACCATTATTTTTCCTCCTTCACCTTTACCAACCTTCTTCACTGGAGGCGTTTCTTATGGTGGTTGTGTGGGCCTGTAGATATGTACGCACCTACCCCAGCTTAGAAAATACGAACTACACTTCTGGTTGACCTTCAGAAATGGCTGACGAAGACGAGAATTACAAGCAATATGAGATAAAAGAAGGCATTGTGTTCCTTGTGGAACTCTCGGACGCGATTTTCAAACCAATTAAGGATCTCGATGGCAAGTCCCAGATACTAGAGATCTTAACGTGTGTGAATGATCTCATGTCTGATATGGTGATGACATATCCCAAGAACGGTGTGGGAATTTACTTTTACAATTCCCAAGAGACAGGGAAGAAGTTTCCTAAGAATTCTGGCCTCAATAAGGTGTTTTCGTTGAACGACTTGAACAGTTCCAATATGAAGAGACTCACTGAAATTGTGAGAGACGATATGGACGGCTTCAAGAAACTTAAGGACAGGTTTCCATATAATGAAGAGCCCCATGACCGACTTCATACGGTGTTGAAGACTATTTTACGTGAATTCCAGACCAGGACGCAGTATAATGTCAAGAAGTTGTTCTGGCTCACCAACAACGATAAGCCTTACATCAATAAGGACCTCAAGGATAGTTTACGAACAATGATCAGTGATTTCGAGGATAACAGGGTTTGGGTCAACCCTATCTTTTTGGATACTTTTGAAGATAGCCAGCAGACTAAGCGAAAGAGCTTTGATATATCCTTGTATCAGAATATCTTCTTGAACACCAACTTTTTGAGCGAGGTGGGCAAAAGCCGAAAAGATACCGATGACGAACTGCCGTTGAAGGATATTAAGGTGGAGGAGCTGGATACTCCCGTTTGGCTGGATACTCTTGTTTCTTCCCATATACGAAAGTCGATTTCCAGAGTGAAAGAGATCAGAAGGATTCAGTTCGCTTGCGATTTGATTTTGAGCGATGGAGATGGAATTGGTGGTAAGTTTGGCTGTTCTATCAAAGGGTACACTTTGTATAACCACGAGTCTGTGAAACTGTTCAGGCAGGTCTATACTGGTGGAGATACCTTGAAGATTGTGCAACTTGAAAGCAAGCAACAACGGCAGGATTCTGCAGAAGAGGTTGATTTAAAACAAGAAGAAAAGCCCGAAGAACAAAAAGAGAAATTCACTGTTGTCAAGGGTATCCCAGTCAAGCGTACCAACGAGGAAGTTGAAGATACCAACGAGCAAATCATGTATTTGAACGAAGAAACGTTGGAGTATATGAGAAGCTATGCATTTGATAATGCTCCAGAGGGAGAGGAAAATGAAGTTGACGATAATGACGACGAGGACGACGGAGATGAAGAGAAGGATAAGGTATCATTCACGCGTGCTCCCTACTTAAAGTTGTTGTGTTTCAGACCTGCCAACACCTATAAGCCATACTTCAACTTGAAACCTCCACTTTTTGTTACTGCCGATTTCAGTGACGGCTTGGGCTCTGCAAGTAAAGAAGGTGGATATACACATTCGCTTGATACGCTCAAACAGCTTTACCAGGGTTGCGTCAAGCTCGATAGGTATGCTGTCGTATTCGGGTGTATCAGGAAAAACTCCACGCCCAATCTTTATGCAATGTACCCTACAAACATCAAGAATTCGACATCCAACTTGAAGGACAAGAGCTTACCCGAGGGTTTCTTATTGATTCAATTGCCCTGGCTCAGTGAGGTCAGAAGCTTACCTGACTACATGTTCCAAGAAGGCGAACGTTACTTCAACACAGACGAAGAAGCGCTAGTCCCAGAACCACTTCAGGAGTTGTATAAGGCTTTGATTGAGACGGTCGGTATTGAGGACAGCTACGATCCAGCTGAGCATCCAAACCCAGTACTCAACTACTTTTACAAGGTCATCAAACAGGAGGCCCTTCAGATCGACATCAAAAACGAACTGAGTGCGCTTGAAGATAACGACTGGACCGTTCAGAAACTCATCCAACTCCGGAAGAAGCTTGAAGGAGACAAAGATGCTACGGGCATTCTCAACCTTATCAATTCGAGTCTCAACAAGGTCGGCAACGAAGATGTCAAGAGAAAAGCTGCAGAGGACAATTTGCGTCCTGACAAGAAACCCAAGCTCGATAAGCTTTCCGAGCAAGCCATCATTATGATTTGGCGTAACAACTCATGGAAAGATGTCACGGTGGCTCAACTTAGAGACTTTATCAGTCGATACAGCGGCAACATCAAAAGCGCTTCCCGGAAAGCAGACATGATCGACAATATCTCCCAATTCCTCGAATCAAGGAAGTAATAGTTTCCCGCCGTTATCTAATTCTCGAACCGGCTAAGCGACGAGGTGTTGTTGATCCGTGCCGTGAGACCATTAAGTCTATGTGTGGGCTTCATTCGATGGGACACGGGCCGAAATGCAGCATGACGTTGCGATGCGCAAAACGACAACACGAAAAGCCCCCAAACTGTCATAACCATCTTATCGTCACAAACGAGGCGCTCCCAGCCCGGAAGTAACCCTTTAAACTCCAATTGAGCAATTTATGCTTCCAGGCCTTTCCGGCTTTTTCGCAGCCGAACTATGAGAATCTTCCGTCGCAGGTTTGGCAGCGTCCCGCAGCCTTGGCGCGGACAACCAAGAAAAATCCGGGACTTTCTGGCTGCAAATTCCCGCCAGGTTTTCGGAACCCGGAATGTCAAACCGAGAAATTCCCTTTCAAAAAAGTTTAAACTCAGCCAGACCTTAACGAGTCTGGCCTCTGCATCCTCCCTCCATTGTCTGTTTCTAGCTATCTTGCTTGCTCAGAGTGTATCAGGGCTCTGGCGCGGTATGTCCGTGAATGGACTTTTCGGTGTGATGGTCATTTTGCGCGACCATCCCGTCTGGCTGCAAACAACATGGAGGGAAGAGAATATGAACTTCAAGAAAGAACGAATAATAAAGTTGATAAAACTGAAACTTTAACCTTTAACTTAAAATCCCGACTTCATCTTGACAGCTTCCCAAGCTTTCTTTTCTTTTCTTTGCCTCCAATCAGTGGAGTTTGTGGCCTTGCTTGCTGAGTGACGTTGTGCTGCAGAGCACTTTTTTGCTTTCTCTGCGCACATCTCTTTTGGTTTCGTCCTGCCGCACCCCACCTATTCTCTGGGACACCCCCCTCTTGGCTTTCCATTTATAAGACGCCGCTATGCCCAGAAAGTAAACTTGTATAAAGTTTTTTTACCTTTTGATCCTTTTTTGCATTTTACTTCTTTATCGCTTTTGCTTTGTTTGTTTCCTTTTCCAGCATGGATCCCCCGCCATACTCCGAGTCTTACCAGCCTAAACCCGTCAACAAGGCTGGTCCTATACTACCCCCTTATCAACAAGACCAGATCCCGGGTTATTCTTCGTCTTTGGGGTTCTCAGGGGTCGCTCTTTTGAAGAAAGAGTTCGATACGCCATGGTCGAGCTCTTCTGCCTCGTTGAAGGCTGTTTGTCTCGAGCTCAACTCGAATCAGCTCAATATCTATGATTTTAAAGATAAGGCCTTGGCTGGTATGGTCGAGGTACTTTTCCAGTACCAGAACCATGACGATAAACCGGCAAAGGCTGCTACTGCTCCAGCTGCTGCTTTGGATAACTACCTCTTTGATGGGGACGCGTACGGCGAAGAGAGTTTCGATAACGGGCCAACGGTGTTTGGCAAACTTAAAAAGAAGTATCTGTCTCATAAGGCCGAGAAGAAGCTTGCCCAACTACTGGAGTTCTCGCAGTTCGGTAAGAACGGCGTGCTTCTTGAACCTACAGATGATTCACAGGCCGCAGCCAAGTTCTCCAAGAAACACAGGGGTAAGATCTTGCACAGCTTCACGTTACTGAATCTTCAGCTCGGCGAAGCCCCATCCACAAACTCTGTTAATTATAAGGAGGATTTGACATCTCCCACGAGTTCTGCAGCACTTTTGAAGTACAGAAACACACTCCGACTCCGCATTGAGTACAGTCAGATTCTTTTGCATTTCTGGTCTTTCTACGGCATGGTTCACTGGTATAGAAACTTGTGCATTGGCCGGGACCTCTCGTCGTCTCTCGACACACGCATTCTTTCACGACTCAAGAGTATCCCTCGTGACTACTCTCCCACCAATATTACATTACTCGGTGCAGCTGCTCGTGAAGCCTTCCGTCCGCTCAGCATGGAATCCAAACGCAATCTGCAATTGACCTATGCTAGCTCTTTACAGTCTACAGATTCTGACGGAGACAGTCTCATGAGTAGATGCTCGAATGACACGACGTGCACGAGCTTGGAGGGCTACGAGAGGAGTTTCGTGGAAGTCAGCGGCTCAAAAATTACCTGTTTCGAAGAAATGTATACGCCGGTGGAGAAGCAGTACATTTCAAATTGCATCCCCGTGCTTAATCTGTACGATAAATGGGCCGGCTCCAAGATGACGGTCCTGAACTACGAAAAAATGCTCCCCAAGAACGACTCAAAGAACGTGAACGAAAAGGGTAGAGTATACATCCTGCCCATGTCTTTCTGTTCATCCGTGAAGTCTTACCAGAAACAGTTCCCGAACCTCAGCATAACCAAGAAAGAGTGTAAGGAGTACTACGTTGACGATAATGGCTTGGTGAGCATAGACTGCGACATGAAATAATGATACAATTTTATATAATGAGTAACGAATAATACAAGGTCCGGAAAAGCCCGAAACGGTGTAAGTTCTCCCGGTAGACTTCTGGGGAGGCCGCACACGACCCAGCAACAGCAAAGAATACCCCATTCTTTCCCCTTTTGTTGACCTTTTAGTTGTCGTTTTCAAACGACCCGTAATGTTATTGCAAAGCATGAACCGGTTTCCAGGAAGGGTGTCTTCAGAAAACACAGGAGTGGTTACAGCCAGTGGAACCACGACGTATCTCCAAAAGACCTAATCATCACCGTCCTGGTCCATCATGCCAAAAAAATGTTCCTGTTCTCTTTCGAAACCACGCTGTTCGCCTCTGTAGCCTTCCACAACGTAACCTTCAGCCTCACACGATGGACTCACTTGCATCTCGCCAGGAGCCGGAGACGACCGATTGGACACGCTAAGTGACATTGGCGTGGTGGGCATTTCACCCTGGTTGACCATAGGGGGCTGTGGAGGAGGGATGTTGCTAAAGTCGTAGTCGTTGAAGGAAACGTCTTCAAACCTGGTAACCATCTCACCATTGACAGTATACTGACGAAGAGCACCCCAAGGCGTGATTTTGATGGTTCCACCTTCAGGATGGTTATACAAGGGCCATTCGTTAGACGAAGTCACAGCATAGAGGTCTCTCTCTGTGAGTTTAGCCATCTTCTTGGTATCCTCCTCACCATCTCTCTTTCTCTTGCTTGTAGGGCTGAAAAGATCCATTTTCAAAGTGGAGAAGTAAAGTTATTGGAATAAATAGGATGTGTTCCTGAATAGATTTCAGCTTTCAGCTTCCTGCCTTCAGCTATTTTTTTGTTGGTGAATTGTAGCACTCGACTACAGTGGTGCTAAAGAACGGCTGCAAAACCAGTGCAGTGGAAATTTCCGTAATTGGATGAATATGAAGGATAGTTATTTTCCCCAGTGGAGTGGTGAAAAATTATTTAGTCGGCCTGGCAGTTAACGGTTTCGTGGTGTCGATTTTTATCCAATTTTCCCTGGCTCTGTATATTTTTTGGTCTGGTTAAGTCTTCCTCCCCGCCAGCCTTATCACTTCCAATTCTCACTTTTTTGGTCGGCGATGGCTCGCACTATATAGTGTAACACTGGGGGGTTCACTGCAGGAGGACTTGTAGAGGCTCTGGCTGGAGTAGATTTTTTTTTTTCTCCATTTCTTTTGTCGGTGATGAGCCAGCCAGAACCGTGAACCGGCACGTAACCACAAAAAAAAGGGTACTTTGTGTGCAGGCACACGCGCTGGTTGGCCTGGACTCGCGAGAGTGTAAGAGGGTTTGCGCGTGCGGAGCAAAAAATGAAGTTTTGTACAGACAAGAATGGCTCTGCCCAGGATCGAACTGGGGACTTTCTGCGTGTAAAGCAGACGCCATAACCAACTAGACCACAGAACCTGTCTGTAGGAAATCTGCGGTGCGGGTTTTCTGTGTGCGGTGGGCGAATAGTTTGTATGGGTATAGTTTTGGCTGCGAAAAAGGTGGAAGTTTGGGAATAGGTGGAGGGGGTGAAGAGTAGGCTGAAGTTTTGATTGTCGGGTGATTTAGGGCCGTTGGAAGCCGTTTAACTGCCAATTTGGTTGTTGTTCCTTGTTCAGGGGTTGGAAAGGTGGAGATGGATGGGAGGAGCTTGGGAAGTGATAAGTTGGGGAAGTAATGCTGTAGAAGTATCAAGGTGCGGGAGGATGACTTTTTCCTCTTCTGTAGTCGCTGGATTTGGTCCTTAGTTCTGTCATTTGCCTTGTTTGTTGTCTTGGTGGCTGGGAAAGACTCACACTGGAGACAACGTCTGCTGTTAATCCACAGGAAGGAGTTGAAGCAGATCAGGTACCTCAGTTGATGAGTTCATAGAATCAATTGGATGTAATAGAGCCTTTAAACGACTCTTGAGCGTTGCTTTTAGTAGATATGGGTGTAATAGTGAGCTTGGAGGTTCGTCAACCCATCCGAAGTAGCCCTGGTAAGCAATCAGCTATTCCCAGCGCAAAGCTAATGCTGCTCTGTATCGCTTTAATTCTTCAAACTCCATTTGAAGCGTTATCTTCGTAATATGATTGACCCCCATTTTGTATTACCAATGTTTTCTCAGCATGTTGGTGTCGTAGCCACACTGGTCGAAACACCATTCCATTGTGCTAAAGCTGACCATTATTTCAAGCACCAATAAAAATAATGATCTGGTAGATGAAAGAGCATCTTTGGTAGTATTGTTTCCTCCTCCACAATGCATTCATTCAAATTTCTTCGACTTCCAGTTTCGACCTCATAATCTCTTGAAATCCCAGATATCTTCCCAGTTAAAGAATAAAACAAGGCAAAGTCAGTTTTCATTTACTGTCCCATCCTATGTCTCTGCTTTGGTTCTTCTCCTTATTCATCTCTGAAAAGGCCCCTAATTGTAAGTTTACTAATTCGCAATACTCTCAGTGGTCAAGGCAACTCCCCTCTGGGAAGAAACCCCAACAAATTCCAGCATTAAGTGAGTCTCACCCGATAAAAGTCTCTGATTTTGCTTTCACTCCAAAATGCTGTCTTTTGAAACGCTGTGGTTAGTTGTAAGCCTTGATGGTGGGTAACCAGTTCGCAAGAACAAGTCAAGCTAAACACGGTCGTCTGAACGCAAGTTCATGAGCCAACCAAGAAAGAAACTGTCGTTAGGATAAAATTTGGGGAATTAAATGAATCGATTTTCACTCTTTCGTTCTTCTTTCTCTTCTTTTTGTTCCATCTTTCCTCTTCTTCATTTTTTTTTTCCGAATTTTTTTTTTTTTTTTTTTTTTTTTTTGTTCGTAGTATGGACCTTTCGGGTATCCCGGGAGGTCAAACAAAAGCCCCAGCTACCGCAAAACTACATGCTCTTGATTCTACTTCCAGAAGTTTTGGTTATCCTCCCGATATTGTAACAGAGTGACCGGGATTCCGATAGACGTACGGAACAGTCGAGGGTCTCGGCAAGTCCAAAGCCAAGGCTGGAAGCATGGCCAAGTTAGACGAATTTGTGGCAGCAAAAGAAGACGCCCATTTCAATTAGAGTATTGTCATCTTTGACTTTACACTCCAAACACTTCCCTGAGTACGTCCCCAAAGTAGAACGGCTTTAAGTTTGACGAGTTACACAAACTTTGTTTGCGCCGTGCAATTTCACCAATGTAAAGCCGAGATACGTAGCAAAGTCATATTCTTTCCTCATGGGAAATTACACATTCTGAACACTTGTCTCTTGGATTGCAGTCGGGGCGTTTGGCTGGATACGAAGGTGAAGCACAAAACCGTCTTCCCATTTTCAGTAATTTGACGAAACGTCTCGCTTAAAAAAAAATCAGCATCTGGCCCAAAATCTTCACCAGCATATTCGGAACCACTAAACCGCTTTCAGCTGTTTCACCCTGCAGCAAAAGCATATGCTTGAAGTATAGAAGCGCTCGTTGGAATGCTAATTTGTCTCATATTGCAGTATACATCCACGATACTTGGCGATGTAGCACTCAAAAGCGTAGAACTTTACGAAACCAAATAATCCACTTTTTTTCCACCAGTAAAACTCTTCAGTGACCAGGTTAATCCCTAATTCTGCCACTCTATCCACTTTTCTTCCTGCTACTTGTGCATGTTGCACCAAGACATTTGCCTCTGGTACCGCAGGGCAAAATAACCGCCAGTGTTTGGGGGCTAATTTGCACACCACAAGTAATTCCGTTTCCAAAGAGAGCCAGATAAAATCCAGAAACGTAGCAAGTGGTCTGATTGGTATAGGGATGTGAAATTGCCTAGACTGTGCCAGGAAGAGCAGCTCTACCACCAGATTCTGGAAGCATCAACACTTAAAAAAAAAGACACCACGCTGGATGCCAGGAAAAATCAGCCCAAGGGCTCGTCTAAAGCTGCCCTTAACCTGAAACTGGCTGTTCTTTGGCCCAAGTTGTGTGATTATAACCTTCTACCCTAGAACCAGGCTTCAAACATGACCCTTTAAACGCAAACGCAGCCGTTCCAAACCACGCCAAATGCGATATCTCGATCATCATCGAAGTTCCAGAGTGTTCTAGCGAACGATGGTCTTTTTGTGTTCCCAAAAAAAAAAAAAGCGCCACAGTGGCCTTACGGCCTTTCGGACTTACGGTTCGTCGAGACAAGGTGTTTGACAGAAAACCGCTAATTATCCGACTGGTCATGGGTTCACCACGAAACAGTAAACACAGCATATATCGGTTGCAAATACGAGCCGGTGAACATGTAAGTCCGATGATGCAGGGTCGGCACCAAAAGCGACCCAGGGCCAAACAAGGGCCAGCCGTTGAGTTCTGACAAAGCACACCGTCTCCAACCACCGAAGCCTCTTTTTGGTTGAGTCACCGTTATGAAAATCTCCCAATTCTCCAGACCCCCCTCTGTACTTCCTGCCTTGTTCACCGGTTATGGAACCGCTGCAAGTGGTGAAAAAAATACCGCAAAGTAAGCACGAGCATGCATCTAGCAGATGATCGGATCGTGAGTTCTCGGGTGGAAAAAAAAAAGAGCAGCAGCCCTGGCAAACCCACAGGTTGTGGGCCCTATTGTGTCCCCGCCAATTTAAATCTCGCTTCTGACAAATACAGTCACGCTAGCTCGGCAGGGTTCGTTCTCCGAACAATACTCGTCATGAAGGTACCCAAGGGGGCAGCAAATTGGCCAACAACGGAATGTAGAGCAAAGTCGAGGAGTGTCTGTATCAGCCGCTTTACAGGGCCTCCAGATGGTACGATTTGAGGGAGTGCGGGAGGGTCTTGGCCAGTTTAGTCAACGGTTAGTGGGCAGTGGGCGGTGGGCGGCGAGAGGAATCGCACGGAAAAACTTTCTTCGTGGGGCCGAAGGTGCTCAGAGAAAGTCTGGCAAAAAGCAACCCATGTAATGTGAATGTGCTTAAAATTTAAAGGCTAAAAGCATGAAGGTGCTGCTCTACGGCGGTTACAAAGCACAAGAGGTAATTCAGAAGGGCAAAAGAAAATAAAAAAGTGGTAACAACACCTGAGCAACCCTCAGACAAAGTAACCGTCTGGGGAAATATGGCCGTGGATAAGTAAGTAAAAGGCATCTGCAAGCGGCAGGTGGAACGGACATTTCCAGGGCCACAGCCTGACCAATTTCTTTGTCTTTTTGTAGTCTTTTTTTCTGGTGCTCTCGTTTTTTTTTCTTAGCAGCCGAACTCATTTCCACGCACGGGAGCCGTTGGCAGCCGTCCCGAAACGACGCAGGGTTAAAACTTGAGCAAATGGATGGGGGAGGGGGACCGGTTAGAAGCAACGAAACGATGGACGGTCGGTCTGTCGGTCTGTCCCAGGCCATCAACCGAAGCGACGGAATCTGGAGAAAGTTAGGCAGAGAAGCATCTTCTTCGTCATGCTGGATCGTTCAGCCTGACGGAGTGCTGGATGTATTGCGGTTAAGTTGGTTCTACCTACCTCTGCACCGGGCAAATGGGCGGAAAAAAAGTGGCAGTAAGCAGCCATCTTGGGGCAGAATCCGAAAAGGCTCACGGCTAGAAAAACGGCTGGAACAATACCATTACACTTCTTGCTGCTAGGGTTTCTTTTGTCCTTTTCTTTTATTTTCTTTTTTCATGACCATAGGGCGATGTCGGCTACATTGACCGTTTATTGTGGCAGTGGGCGTCCACCGAGAAAACAAAAGAAGAGTTAGCCCCGGATGTGGGTGCACAGTGGAGTGGCTGGAGCGAGGGCTTTCGTTGTAGTGGGGCCTATAGAGGCCTGGGGGACTGGCGCTCGCAGGCCCGGAAACATCCTTCACCCGGCCGAATCACAGAGTGAGAGACCTGTCACTGCTTTGACGTGCTCGCGCAGGTTTGCAGCCATATAGGTGCTTGTGCTTCGGACTATTGCATGGTGCGCTTACAAAGCCCTTCGTGCCGATGCTAGGCCCCCCGAAGGTTTCAGCGGAGGGCCAAGAGAGTATATAAGCCGCTCAAATTTCCCACCTTGGGGTGGTTCCAAAAAAATAGAAGTCTCCGCTGGCTTATGTACTAGCCGAATCCTCCCCTAGGTCCAGTGTGTGTTTGGTTCATGTCATGTCCTCGCCAGAACACCACCATCGAAAAAAGAGAGCAGGCAAGGCCTGTGACTCTTGTCGTATAAAGAAAACAAAATGTGACGGCCGCAAACCGTGTCTGCGTTGTATCGCCGATAACAGAATATGTGCTTATAGTGATAAACGGAAAAGCAAGGAAAAAGCTCATCCTCCTGGCTACGTGGAGTTGCTCGAGACTCGGGTCGAGCTTCTCACTCGCCTGCTTGAAAAGATGGTCCACTTGCTGGAATCCCACTTGCCATGGCTCAGCTCGCTTATGGCTCGTGCCCGGGCCGACCACTCGAGGCTTCTGCCTGGGGAGCATCCTGACAATGATCTAAAAGACGACTATGTGCCGATTAACGAGGTGGTCCACCACCTTATTGCCGAACATGGCATTCTCGATAACATGCCCGTGGAATGGGACCACAACGCCATGGATTTACCTCCAGAGGTGTTTAGCGCCGAGGAAGACGACTGTGTTACGTCTCTCGACCACGACAACCCACATGCTCTGGGCCACAGACGTATGGGTCGCCATTCTCGCCTGGCGCTGGACCGTTCAGGCCGTTCCACGCTGAGTTCAAGACGAGGCTCGAGAAATACAATGAACCATACGCCTTCAATCACCGAGCAGCTCAATATGGACGGTATATCCTTGGCAGGATATAGCAATACCAGCATGCCTCCAAGCTTATTCAGACAAGACACGAGCCCGCTATTTGCTCGTGCAGAAATGCTTGACCGCCGCCCCAGTGGCCAGTTTCTTGCTTCCCACATGGAAATGGCAGCGTCCAGTCTGCTGCTGCTGTTGGCACTGTTGGCAGCTCGCCTCGAGAACCACGACATTGGCCCTAATTCTCCACCAGGTCTACTTCTGGCGCTGGCGCTGGCTCTGGCTTCTGGTATGACTCCAACCACTCTGCTCCTGGGCCAAAGCGAATCCACCCTTCCCTCCCTGGCAGTCCTGGCCACGCCCCAACCTACCTACCAGCCTGGCTCCCTCCGGCGCCATACCTCTTTGAACGACCATGCATTCCGTCTGCGTCCTACTGACCATATCCATAAACCAAAGACACATCCACATATACCTACACGCCAGGATCCTACGGGTGCTTCTACTGGTGCCGCTGCAGCGTCCAATCCTACAGCCACTTCGTTCCCCAATGCATCGCTCATGCTTTCACCAGCCCATTCATTCAGCGTCGGTTTCCAACTGCCTGAGGTTGATGATTTCGCAGCCTTCCCATTCTCTGACGATCCAACTTATCCTGACATAGACGACACATGGCGGGGGCTCTCCAGCTTCCGGCCTGACTCCACCGCCGGCACAGAGGGCCTGCTGGTGTAGTTCTCTTTCCTAACTTGCCTCGGCTGCGTGTTTCCCATTTGCCGCCTTGCAGTTTGTATTTATCCCCACGGCCTCCCATGGCCATATGCATCTACATTTAATGTATCCTTTGTAGCTTATAAATCGATGGCTTAGCTCTGCGAACGGCGCTATTACCACTAACGGCCTTAGCCTTTCTGATTGTTTAAGTTGGCCACAAAGTGGCTCGCCTGGCCCACTTGATGCAAGTACCCGCCTGGATCCTGCTGGATTCTGGTTGACTACTAAGTTAGTGTATGCGACTAATACCCGCTGTGTCTCTACCTCTTTCCCCAATGCCGAGGCACAAAACCTATCCCTGGCCCGAAAAACCAACACAATAAGAGAGGTAAAGGGCTCTTCACCAAGCATGTGTGGGATTGCTATCCCCAAAAAGTTGCATTTCTTATTTTGCTGCTCTTGGCTTACTTTAGTTTACGGTCGCTAAACCTGAGACATGAGAAAAGGGCGAATACAGTGTGTCTTGGTAGTAATCTGCCGCCAAGATATTCCCAGATCCGGCCAGCCTTTGGTTCGCTAGTGTAAGAACTAGACCAACCAGAACGATGGTAAAGAGCGGCTTTGCTTTGTGGTGTTCGTAAAGTCGATCAAGAAATTCGTATTCCCATGCTCTTTTGGCTACACATTCTAGATGGTATTGTATATTCCTAGACTACCGGCCAGCGGGCCTTCTTTTGGGTCAGCTAGATCTAAGTGATGATTTTGGTGAGCCCTTCCTCGCCTTTGCTCAACTTCGTTGCCTTGACGACCACGGGGATCATACCGCCAGTGCCAATGGCAAACGCACGGTGGCCCAATACCATTAATTGAGTTCTAATGGATCCGGAGTGCGACGTGATACTCACAAACTGATCCTTCTTCTTATCGGTGTTATCGAAGATGTAGTTGAACAGTCTGTTCATTCTCAACGCCTGCTCCCAAACCTTCTCTCTATAGTCGTTCTTAAAATAAATATCTTCCTCGACAAATCCTTCCTCTATTCTAAAGCCCTTGCCCAAGTACTTGTCTGCAATGACGCTTCTAGGAGAACGCTTGTCACAGATGTGGATACCTATCGTCTCTCTAAGATCCTCTTTGATCAATGGCGACACTTTGGCGATATCCACGTGGCCCTCCCATGTACCAATAAGCGTGTCGATAGAACGACGGAATGGCGACGAGTACCATTTAGTAGGCAATTTCATGTTATCCTTAAGCTCAATGCCCACCTGGCGTTCGTTATCTTTAGCCTGGGAAACACCCAATTCCGTGAGCTCTGGATCTGGAGCCCATGTCATCTCGTCGTCACCGCAAACACGCAGCCAGTATCTGTTCCATTCCTTCTCTCCATACTTCAAGTTGGCCAAATTGTGGTAACCCTGGCCATGGCGACCCAAGAAGAAGAGCTTATAGACTGTCTTGTCGTCTGACTGCTCATTGAGCTGCTCAATCTCCTGGAAAGTCTGATCCCACAGCTTCAAGCGGCCAAAATGCTCCTTAAAGTAATCAAACGTGGTTTCGTCAGTCTCAGGCAACAGCTGGGCGAAGAAACCGTCCACTACCTCAAAGGACCAGTTATTCCAATCGCCTTGTTCAGCCAAGGCATTCTTGTACGAGTTTCTATCGTCTTCTCTGATCGTCGAGTTGTAGACGTCAATTGCGTCTGGAATGGTAGACATGGTTCAAGTGGATCTCAAGCAAAAAAAGGCTGGTGAAATTACAAGGTTAAAAACATCAAAAGAGCATATGAGTTGCTGGGAATTGGGTGCGAAATAACGGCGCATGCCGGTAGTCCACATCTGTGAAAGAGGTTCCACTTGAGATGTGCAAACAAAAGTGGCACAACAAGAAAGAATCCCAAGGCAGAGCAATTTTGCCATTTTTTTGTATTTGTAAGCAAATTTCTACTTCCACTCGCCATGTTTACCTGACGCCCCAACCTCATGTTAACCACTCACTTTAACCGCCTGAGGATCCCTGTTGCAGCCACAAGCTGCACAAAACACCATCCACAGATTCAGCCGGTGTTAAATGACAGCAAACGCAAACGTGGTTACGTGGGAGCGGGGACGAAGAGATGTTTCGTGGTTTGGAGAATTTAGAGAAATTAGACCTGCAACGGAGGTGGCATCTTTGGGTACCGAACATAGTAGTACTACATGTGAAGTAGAAAGGAAACGACCATGTAAGGCAAGATGTGTAAACGCACAGCACCAAAGTTAAAAATATGGAAGAGGTTAGTTTTGGTAATTTTGGTTTGATTGGATGGGTTGGGTTTTTGGGGCAGTGCTTTGATGTTACGAGTTGGTTATGTTTTTTGTATATCTGGATGTTCACTGGTGGCTAAATTTGTAGTCTGGTTTGTAGCTTTTAACTCTGAGTGTATGCCTCCACCAAAAGTGCAAATGAGGAAAATCGAGAGCAAAAATAGCCAACACTGAAAAAGGAAAAAAGAGGGTTGTGAGAGTGATGGAAGTGTTTAGAAGAAGCCATCTTTTGAAAGTTTAGTGTTTTCGGGCCGTTTTCATGGTTTTGTTGGACCTTCCAGAGTGACGTCTTTGAAGAGCCTGGTTGCGAACCCTCCATAGTTAAGCAGCACTGCCAGAGATTGTCCACTGAGATCCAGAACTAATAAAAGAACAAGAATTTCATTTCAAGTTTGAATGGTAGAGCATTCAAGAAGAGAGATGATGAATAAATAATCTACTTTTTTTTGTTTATACACCCTTTCGTCGGGCCATCTCGTGGTGTTCCTTGCCGATGGTGTTCTATTGTGGGCTGCGAAAAAACGTCAATTGGTGCTTTTCTATGCTCACCACAGAGGCATCAGTAGAACACCAAAGTACCGGGAAATTTACCATTTTTAGTTTTCTGGGGTCCATTTCTCGAGAAACAGACAAATCCACTAACTCGCCATCTCTCTCCTCTCCCTGTTGCCTTCGTCAGCCTCGTCAGCCTTGGTCGTGCACTACCCGATATTCCGACGACAAACACCACACAGTCAATCACTATCATACTTTTCCATACTGAACAAAGTTTGGCTTGCAACCATAACCCGCCCTTCATTTCACCTACTGAACTGCAAGCCTTTCCTGCTGGACCGTTCTTGTACGCCACATATTTGCATTTGCTGAATTGTCATTTTATCAGTTCCGTTCAGCACCCTTCCCCCTTAAATCGAACTCGCTTGTCCCCAACTTGTTAGCCTTCTTCTTCCAAAATGGAGGAGTTCAACGATGATTTTTACCCATTGGCTTTGCTAATGGACGAGTTGAAGCATGACGACGTTTCAAACCGTGTGGAAGCCATGCAGAAGCTTGATTCTATTGCTATAGCCTTGGGCCCAGAGAGAACTTTGCACGAATTACTTCCTTTCTTAAATGATGTCGCTCAGGACGACGAAGAAGAGGTTTTTGCTGTTTTGGCTGGAAAGCTCGGTGATTTCGTTCCCCTTGTTGGCGGACACCAGAACGCTGAGCCATTGATTCATATCTTGGCCATCTTGGGTGCCATGGAAGAACCCATCGTGAGAGATACAGCCGTAGAGTCCTTGAACAAGATTGCTCCAGAGTTGACTGACGATGAACTCAACAGCCTTTTCCTCGAATTGATCCGTTCCTTGTCTCAAGGTGACTGGTTCTCCAAGAAGGTTGCTTCTTGCGGTCTTTACAAATCTGTTATTGTCAGAGTTGATGCTTCCTTGAGAAGAGAATTGTTGTTGCTTTACAACTCTTTGGTCAGCGACGACTCTCCAATGGTGAGACGTTCTGCCGCAAAACACTTGCCTGCTATCATTGATAAACTTACCGAGTACACCAAGCAAAACCCAGATTCGAGCAAGAAGGTCGACGATAATGACTTGGAGATCATCAGCAAAATGTTCCACCATTTAATTAACGACGCTCAAGACTCCGTGAAGTTGTTGAGTATCGATGTCTTGGTGGCCATCCTCGAGTACTTCTACTTTATCCAAGACAGCTCCCACAACTCCGACTGCTTGGTGAGCGCGTTGAAGTTGATCAAAGACGACAGCTGGAGAGTCCGTTACGCGGCTGCTGACAAGTTCTCTGAGATCGCTCACAACTTTAAGGATTCGGAGGCTGACTTGTTGCGCCTCATTGATCCATTCATCAGTTTGATGAAAGACAATGAAGGCGAGGTTAGAAAGGCTATCGCCAAACAGTTGCCGGACTTCTGTAAATTGTTGAAGGATCCTAGCACCATTGAAACAAAGATTATTCCTGTTGTTGACGAATTGTCGCAAGACCCACACGAAAACGTGAGAGCTTCTTTGGCCTCTACAATCACCGGTCTTTCTCCGATTTTGTCAAAACAATCCACTACAGACAAGTTATTGCCAATCTTTTGGCCATGTTGAAAGATGAGTTCCCAGACGTTAGACTTAACATCATCTCGAACTTGTCCGTTGTGAACGAGACTATCGGCATCCAGTTGTTATCTACTAATTTATTGCCTGCCATCACTGAATTGGCCCAGGATACGAAATGGAGAGTCCGTTTGGCAATCATCGAATATATTCCCAAGTTGGCTACCCAACTAGGTGTGGAATTCTTCAACAAGGAATTGTTAACTCTTTGCACATCTTGGTTGTGGGATCCAGTTTTCGCCGTCAGAGACGCTGCTGTCAACAACCTTAAAGACCTCACAACAATCTTTGGCTCTCAGTGGGCTGAGGAACTGATCATCACGCATCTACTTAACATCAGGGATGAGAAGATTGGCGATGAGGACGTAGACAACGAGCCAGTGAACTTCCTGAACTTCATCATCAGAATCACTTGTCTTTTTGCTATCTCCAAGTTGACACCAGAGCTCGAACCTGCTGTCATCACGAAGAAGATCTTGCCATTCCTTAACCTGTTGATTGCCGACCCTGTGCCTAATCTTCGTTTCAACGTTGCCAAGTCATACTTGGTTGCAGCAGAAACATTGGTGAAGAGCGGATCTAGCGAGGACATCAAAGCGATCGAGGCGGAAATCATCCCTAACGTTAACGTTCTCGTGAATGATTCCGATGTCGACGTCAGATATTACGGCCAAAAGAGCCTTGATAGCATCAAGGAATTGACAGCTTAATGTGTTTAGCACTCATAACTCAAGTAACGATGAAATATAACGAATGGTCACATTGTTTTTTCTTGTAGATATTAGCCTACGGTCTAGTCATCTATTCCTTATGTTTATTATAAATGCGAGAATATACACGGAAGGTTACTCGCCCTTCGCCGCATGCAATTTGTCAAAGTCGAAATCGAACGATGCACCACATCCACAGGAAGTAGATGTGTAAGGAGAGTCGGTCACCTTGAATGATGTGCCGATAAGCTCTGTAGTGAAGTCTATCCTTGAGTCTTGAAGAATCTCCAAGGATGATTCATCAAAGATCACCTTGGCCGACTTGGCATCGTCTCTTTCAAACACTAACAAGTCGCTTTCACTCTCAAGCTCCTTCGAGAGGTTCGTAAGCTCAAGATTATACTGAAATCCGTGGCATCCACCACTTTCAACCTTGATCCGCAATGCTGAGTCAGGGTTATTATCATCCTTTGCAATCTGGGTTAATTTATCCTTTGCACGGTCGGTAATAGCTATCCTAAGATTAGTCTTACCAGTCACAAGCTTCGTTAACTTGAAGTCTTCAAGTTCTGGCGGGACATCCTTCGGTAGGGAGAAGGTGGATGACTTCAAGGATTTGGCAGGTTCGGCCGAATAAAAGCGGACTGGACGGAATAATGCTGACGATGATCTTAAGGGGAGTCTGACGATTTGTCTTGCCAGCGGTAGGGTGCTGGTTCTAAGAAATCTTGATAACATGATGGATATTAAAAGAAGATTCCGTTGCTTATGTTCTTACTATTCTAAGCTTATAAATGGCTAGTGAGAAAGCTTTATTAATCTGCAGGACATTTTAAGTATGGGGAACCCAAATGCCTGACTATACGTGGATTGATTGTATACAAGGGAGACATAGTTCAATTGTCGTTATTGAATGCAAAGGTCAAAGGAGGGGATACTTAGACGTAGTTATCGTTAGCAACCTTCCAGGATGGGAAGAAATCTAAGTGCTTCCAGTCCTCCTTAGGACCCTCCATGCCAAATGCGATCCATCTGAAGTACCAGAAGGTTCCAATAACCAATGCGTACAAGGCAAAGTACACACCAAAGTAGGCAGCACGAGCGGCTGGAGCGGTGGAGCGCTTCAATGGAGCAGTGAAAGCGTCAACTTCGTAAGTGAACACCAACATGGCAAAGTACAACGCAGGCAAGTAGTGATGGACGTAGGTGACTCTTCCCATGATAACGAATGGCATGAAGTGCAAACCCCAGCCGAACATAGGATAGATACCACCCATCAAGAAGGTCTTGAGCTTGAGTGGGTCCTGGAAATCGTTAATCTGTCTTTGCCATCTAATCAAGTGGTATAATGTGATGAAGCAGAACAAGACGACACCGACGGAGGAAGTCAAGGTGGTGGCTGGAGAACCGATCAAGAAATACTTGACCCTGTCATGAGCCCAAGAGCACATTCTGATACCAGAGTGCAAGGTTGGCCATTGCCAGAACTTGGAAGCCAAGTCGTCTTGTTTGTCGCTGTCAGGAACCAAGGCATTGTTGGTAGCCATCATAGCCAAGTTAAGCTGAATGAAATCCTTGAAGAAGTTAGTCTTTGGCAACTTGAAGTCCTCAGGAGCATCTGGCAAGATCTCGTTTCTGTTATTCTCAATGTTCCACCAGGTTCTCTTGTCCTTACGGAATGGGTTCTTGAAACAGACAACTTCACCTTGTCTGAAACCCCACTGTGGTAAAGAGTTACCTGGAACACCCAAGTAGCACCCCAAAGCGGCACTCTTCAATCTAAAAGAAGTAGTCAATGGGTGCAACTTCAAGGAGTCTTCCTTTCCGTGCAGCTCCATTATTTCAACAACCCAGTTGTCCTTAAGATCACCAATGGTCAAGTTACCGTAACCAGCAACTTCATATTCGGACTTACTCAATGGAGCAGCGATCTCGTGGGTGTGCAAGTTTCTACCAGTCAGTGGATGCATAAGTCTCACGGTCATACCGTCGAGGACGTAGTCAGCAGTCTTGTCTTTGGCAGGCTCGAAGTATGGCTCACCACGGGCTTTCTGGAACATCCAGTTGTTGTTAGAGTCCTTGTGAGAGTAGGTAGTGACCTGCTGCTGCTTGGAACCTTCTGGGAAAGTCTGAACGTGAGAATGCAACAAACCACCGGTCAAACCTTGGTTCTTGAGGGTAACGTAAGAGTGGCCGAAAGTAACGTCTCTTGGACCACCACCAACATCACTATTCTCCAAGTTAGCCTGGAACAAAGAAGACATGTTAGCATCACCGGTACCAGACTTGTACAAAAGGTCAAAGTGGACCTTGAAAGAGACAAGGAAAACACAGAAAGGCACGATAATCAAAGCCAAGATTCTGGCCAACCAGTGGAAAAAGTACTTCTTCCAAGTGATGGTCTTGTCGCCGAACTTGTTCCACAAGTCAACGACTGTGTAAATACCAACAAGGGTAGTGACGAACAAACCAACCATCTTGGTGGACATGGTACAACCAATGGCAACACCAGTGATCAAAAGCCACTTCCACCACTTTCTGGAGAACTCCTGGCGGCGGGTATTAAAGTTGTTGAAGCGGGAGAAGGCCAAAACAGTAGCAGTGGTGAAGAACAAAAGAGGCGAGTCGAGCAAGACGAACTTACCCAAGGTAACGTAGGACAACTCGAAAGTGACCATGGTGGTGAAAAGCCAGGTAGACAAGATGGAGAAGCCAATCTCCTTACAAGTGAAGTAGGCGACTGGAGCACACAATCCAGAGAACAAAACCTGGAAAAGTCTCATCTTGGTGTAGTCGATGTAGTCTGGGTACTGTTCACCAGAAGGGAAGTCCCAAGAGCCATTGTAGCCGGCAAGGTAGCCAGAAAGACCCACAAGCATCTTACCCAAAGGAGGGTGAACATCGTGATAGAACTCGTGTCTCAAGTAGTAAGAGCCAAACTTACCAAAATGGGCCTCATCCCAGACAACGTGGTTGTTGACGGAGATTCTGTAGGCTCTCAAAAGGAAAGAAAGCACGGTGAACGTAAGAGGAGCCAACCATTTCTCCAAGCTAAGCAAAGCACTGGTGGTGGACTCTTCATACTTGGCTTCAGCCGAGTCGACATCATCCGAAGAAGCCTCATTTCTCAAAGGAGAATGCAGATTGGCTTGGTGTGATTTTCTCAAGCGTGCTGTGGAGTTCAGGTCCACGTTAACACCCGAGGCAGACATCTCGATAGAACGGTGAAGGTAGAGTGTTTAGACTGGGTGGAAAATTCATACGTGTTAAAACACGCGGAGCGTGGTTTTGAATGCAGGTGAGGCAGACCAGATACTGGGGACACGAAGGGGACAACCAGGGCAATGAGGGGAAGCCGGGAAGTATATAAGGAGCTGAATGTTCAGGAGTTGAGAGAGGGAAACAGGCTTTTTTGTCCTTTTTTCATTTCCTTTAACGGGCGTGGAAATGCTGGTGTATTGGGATGGCTACTGATGGCTGCGAAACTACGATATCGGCTTTCCCTAGGGAGGCAGAGACCCTGTGGGTGTGGTCGGAAGGGTGGACTTTGAGGAAGACAGAAGGCGGTTGGTAATGGTGGGGAGGTCTTATATAAGGTAGCAGAGAAGAGAAATCAATTGAATGGGGAGTTTGTTGAGAGTGGTTGTGGCCTGGTTGGGGTGGTTTTGGCGGATATATCGCCTGCTCGCTTAAGCCTAATGGCTGCGAAAAGTCTATTGGTGTCTGTAGAGGAAGAGACGTACAAGCGTATACAACAGGTATTAGGAGAAGAAGTTTTTGGGAATCTAGAAGTGTAGTCAGCTTATTTTGGGAAGTATTTCTTCTCCTTTTTAATACTGTGAATATTACATGTGCTTCACATCAGATCAGGCGATATGATTGCCCCATTGACAACTGTGGAAGGGCTCCCCTAACTGTCCCGAGTGGTAAAATGCGTTTAGATGAGCGATAATCGGATGATTTATGGGAGTAAGCTTGCTTCGCTGTGTCTTTAAAACACTTAATTAACTTTATAGGGGCAGTACCATGACATTAATCAGGGAACTCGTCGGGGAGTTAGGGCTTGTCACATCTTGATAGATAACGAATGGTAGTATCTTGAGATCAAAGGAAGATCATTGGATGTTCCTTCATTATATTGGGATATTCCGCTTAGATCAATGCTTGGTATTCTACGATAGTCAGTGCACCAAATCGGGAAAGATCAGTGATTTACTTTCTACTTGACTACCATTGAACCAATTTCAACCATTTTATGCACCTGTGGGGGTCAACACTGCAAGCAGGGCTCATGTTACGGTACATCATGATCCGAAACTCTTGCTTCCTCTTCATATGCTGAGAGAATGAACGGTAATCATATAGAGTCTCTCCTCCAGATACCTCAGTAGTAATCAAATAAAGACCCACCATTGCCACAGTACAATCCAGTAGTTACCACCAATTAAACCAACTCCCCAGCAGCCTCCAGATCACCAGTCTCTGTATAGAACTACGTCAACTTCCCATAACCAGCCGTTCCGAGGTACTCATACATTCACCCATTTCGCAGCCACTCCAGACCATTCCATTCCACTCCAGACCAATTCGCCTCCTAAAAGAGATCTCCCACGTCCATAGAACAATCCATACCGTTCCATTCCTCGATCGATTACCCACGGCCCAGTGCTCGTTTCCGTCTAAGCTCATACAGTAGGAGCCTAAAAACGCCATAGAAGCCGTAGAGAACTACACAGTAGGCGAATTTGTGGGGCTGAACGTACAAACCCTCCTTGGCCATACCCCAGCCAATTGAGCACTTTAAACGTCAAACACTTCCCAAACAGCCATGGAACCGCCCAGAAACACCCAATTCCCCAAAACACCGCTTAGACAGCAACTTTGTGTTGACTCGGTCTCACATGAGCCAGGGACCGCTTGCTAACTACCAATTCGCGGCGCGCTTAGGGCTGGGTAAGGCCCCTCGGTCCTTCCCGTGTCAGGCCGGGTTGCCATTCATCCGGGGATTTTTCATAAATCTGGGGTCGACGAGTTACAGTGATTCGTAGGAAGGAGCTATCAAGACAGGCCAAAAGAAAGTAAAAGAACCAAGGGTCATGGCCGTCGCCTCCGCTTATGTAAGCTCGGGGTCGGAGTTGCTACGGACGCCTGTCGCCCGTACCGAAAGAACCGGGAATCGTGATTTGATGGGAAAAAGACCCGTGCACCACCGTAGTTAAGGCTAACGGGGCTAGACAGGCCACTTATTTTTCAGTGTCCAGGTGGCCCCGGTCAACGGGTATTCTGCAGGACGGGCTCCCAAGTATGGAACAGATTGCCCCGGCGGTGCGGGATATATAAGAGCATACGTTTTCCCACCCTCCCTTGGAGTCTCCTGATTTTCAGTACCCTCTTATAGGAAAAATCAAAAAACACATCTAACACAATGGCTATCAACATCGGTATCAACGGTTTCGGCAGAATTGGTCGTCTCGTTTTGAGAGTTGCCCTCTCCAGAAAGGACATCAACGTCGTTGCTGTCAACGATCCTTTCATTGCCCCTGACTACGCTTCTTACATGTTCAAGTACGACTCCACCCACGGTCAATTCCCAGGTGAGGTCAAGACTGACGGTGACAGCTTGGTCATTGACGGCCACAAGATCGCTGTTTTCGGCGAGAAGGACCCAGCTTCTATCCCATGGGGTAAGTCTGGTGTTGACTTCGTCATTGAGTCCACCGGTGTCTTCACCACTGTTGACGGTGCCCAGAAGCACATTGACGGTGGTGCCAAGAAGGTTATCATCACTGCTCCATCCGCTGACGCCCCAATGTTCGTTGTTGGTGTCAACGAGAAGAAGTACAACGGTGAGAACATTGTTTCCAACGCTTCTTGTACCACTAACTGTTTGGCTCCATTGGCCAAGGTTGTTAACGACGCTTTCGGTATCGAGGAGGGTTTGATGACCACTGTCCACTCCATCACCGCCACCCAGAAGACCGTTGACGGTCCATCCCACAAGGACTGGAGAGGTGGTAGAACCGCTTCTGGTAACATTATCCCATCTTCCACCGGTGCCGCCAAGGCCGTCGGTAAGGTTATCCCAGAGTTGAACGGTAAGTTGACCGGTATGTCTTTGAGAGTCCCAACCGTCGACGTTTCCGTTGTTGACTTGACCGTCAGATTGAAGAAATCTGCCACCTACGAGGAGATCTCCGCTGCCATCAAGAAGGCCTCCGAGGGTGAGTTGAAGGGTGTCTTGGGTTACACCGAGGACGCTGTTGTCTCCACTGACTTCTTGGGTTCCAACTTGTCTTCCATCTTCGACCAGAAGGCCGGTATCTTGTTGTCCCCAACCTTCGTCAAGTTGATCTCTTGGTACGACAACGAGTTCGGTTACTCCACCAGAGTCGTCGACTTGTTGGAGCACGTTGCTAAGAATTAGCTATCCATGAAGTTGTGAGGGAGCTCGATGCACCCTTGTAACTGGCCTTATGATAGTAAATGAACATCATTTCTAGAAATACAAAGCAGTATTATAATATTATTCCCCCCCTTGTAAAATACTGTCATCTCTCAATTGCTTCTCAAGTTTCCCCTTTTCATTTTATGATCACCATATTATCCTGGCGTGTTATTCCTGCCTATGCGCCTGTATGGCACACTACAACCTTACCCATCCAAAGCAGCCCATGTTATATAAGTACTTGATCGTGGCCCCCTTTTCCAACTTTTTCCATTCCTTTTTTATCTGTCATTTATGAGGTTCCTTTTAGACCAGAACTTCCACGTCTACAAGGCCCAGCATTCTCCTGTGTTTACACAGTCCCACTTATCCACCATACAAACACACTCTGCAAACTATGTGTATAATAAGTATATTTCCACTTCAACAGACGTGATCCCAAAGTATGATAGTGTTGAAGACGTGGAGATTGACGTTAATGCAGATTCTGTAACCCAAGGAGATTTGGTCGTGACTTATGTTACGATAAAACACGGTTCTTCTTCGCAGATGGCGTGTTTTGTTAGAGATAAGGACTTTGTTTTGGCATTACTAAAATCTGGAGCACCAGAGTTTTTGGTGAATTTACTCGAGGCATTGGACTTTGAAAAGCCTCTACTGCTTCGACCCCAGCCGGTGGGTAGCGAAGGAATACAAACGTTGGTGGATGCAATGGCACCTGTTTTGGTTGCAGATCTGGGGATTATGGGGAACATCGATATAACGTTTACACCGAAGGTGAAACTAAAGAAGGATTCACTAAAAGAGATTTTGATTAATGTGCCGAGGAAAGATTCTTGCAGGTTGTTAGAAGGATCCAGCCAGCCAATGCATGCTATAGTGCTGTGGTTGACTAAAGCCACTAGTGTTAAGTTCAAGAATATGGAGACAAAGACATTTACCAGCGATTTAATATGCGTTTCGAAAAATGGCAGAATCAGGTTAATTGGCGATAATATTTTAGACGATGAGTCTGCTACTACGTTGGTAACTCAAGTATGTCGTGCATTGGCGTGAATTAAAAAGACCGTTGAGGTCTGCTCTATGTAAAGATCATGACAATAGTCCACATGACGGACGCTGTCACAACGATAAAACCAGTCCAAATAATACCCGAATGGGTCGCTGGCGAATGCTGGAGTCGCTGGAGATTAAGGTTAATACTAACCATGCTAAAAATTAGGGCAAAGATGAAGCCAAACACTAGCATAATAAAAACAAACACATTGTTGGCGTCACTAAGCTGGATATCCTCCTGTTGAAGCTTGAGGATTCCAAAGATAATGCCGAAGTTAATGCCGGAAATGAATAGGGATGTAAAACACAAGGTGAAATAAATGAAAGATAAGGTTGTATCGTAATCATGGACAAACCTCACTTGGAAATCGTTCTCGTCGTTAAAGTACAGTGGCTCCTCATCAAGAGAGTCGTATTTGGAGACGTAGCCATTTTCTGAATCCAAAAGTCCCTTCTCCCTGGAGGAGTATGAAAGCCTTCTAAGCACACGGAATGACTTGACAAGTTTCATCCTGGATCTGATAAATGACAAAATGACATTGTTCAAGAAAGAGTCATCGAGATCACCACTATTCTGAAGGTACCAGTAATAGTTCTCGTCGTCATCATCACCAAAGTTGTCAAGAGCATTCAAATCATTCATACGGTCGATGTAGTCAGGATCAAACAGCTGGAAAGACTTGACGTTATGAATGACCTCATTATCCGTGTCCTTCAATTTGGGCAGGCCTCCACTTGTTTTGGGGCTATAGATATTCTGCATCGAAGTGTAGGACTTTTGTCTGCTGAGAATAACCCTAGACTTATCTTGAATCAAGCTCTCGTCAAATGTGTTTTGATTGTTAACATACTCAACTGATTCATAATTCTTCAACAAGTTAAGGTCCAAGATCCTCAGATAATGATTGTTCTGCTCTGTTGGAATGTAGTTCAAGTAGCAAGATCTCATGTAATCGTAGATACTGAAATCTTTGAATGGGTGGACTAACGAATTGAGCAAGAAGTTCTGTACCTTGACAGGCAACTTCTTAAGCGTGATTGGCCTGTACTTATTCTGGAGTTGATTGCCTGTAATAGTCGTCGTAAGAGACTGCTGGAAATTGTACAAATTAGTGCCATTGCTGTGGATGCTAAACTTATTGAAAGGAAATGGGTCCATGCGGTCTGTGTCAAACAGAATGTGATGGTCGATATCTTGAGATGTGAAGATATTTTCGTCATGAAGCATGTAGAAACTGTCTTCGTAGTCTCTGGTCTCGACAGTAGACGTAGCATTCGAAGTATCAGGGTAGACATCGCTTCCATTGGTCAAAGGAGAGACGGACGCTGAATCAAACTCGTGAGCCGACAAGTCATTATGTTGACTAGCATTCTTATGCAAGAAATACCTTGATCTGTCACACACATACTTCAAAGAAGGCAGAAGATTGTTTGAAACCAAAGCATTTATGGTAAGCTTGGTCATTGGCGTCACTTCGTGAGAGACGAGATACTCAGTCAAGAGATTTTCAGCCTTGATTTGAGTTGGTTCATCTTCTGCAAGCATGTATTGAAGAAGGCCTTCGACAACGTGATTCGGAAGGCAGCAATACGAGTACTTTCTCAAACCACCGGTATGGGCAATGAGAACAGACGATGGTTGGTTCTCATGAGAAACGATGTAGGAAGGATTAGGCTCATCAGGACCCAGGGTCAAATAAAGGACAGATACCTTAGTTGAGCCCTTGAGTTTCTGGAGATTCAAAAACACATCGATGCAGAGAGCCAACTCATTCTTGGAGGTTGTATCTTTGGGAAGCAACGAGCACAATGCAAAGTTCTTCTTAAGAACGCTGACAAGATCAAACTTGGCAAGCTGGTCGACATTGTAATCAACATGAAGACTTTCGTAAAGCGAAGACTCTTCAGATGGAAGTGAGCCGCAATTGGAGTCGACAGTAGTATATGATGGAGACTTCTTGAGTTGGCCATGAGGTGTGGCGAACTTGCGGTGCAAGGACAAATGCATACTTTTAGACTCCCGCTCAATTTCATCTAGAAGCTGAGTAATCTGAGAAGTGAGCGGAGACAAGTCAAAATTGACGAAGGAACGTGGGTTGGAGTGGAGGTAATGCGAGAGCGATGCAATGAACTTCTTGGACTTGGCCTGATCAGGGTAATGCTTAGTGAGTTTTTTGAAAATCTTCTTCAAGGCAATCTTCTGGACCAAAATGTACTTGGTAAGCTTCTTGACGGTCACAGAAATGTCATTGATGATGTGGTAATGGAACGGGACGAGTTTATGGTACTTTGTCGCAACGTCATCGGTAGTTGACTGAAGGGCAAGTTCAAAGTCGGTTTTATAAATCTTAAGCTTCCGTTGAAGCTCACCGGTCTTGGTAACCAAAAACAAGTTGATGTAATCGAAATTTTCAATAAACTTATGGTGGAGGTCGGTTAGCGAGCCAGCACCCTGCTGGGCAGTGATATCTCTAATGGACGCCTTCAAGTCATTGTAATCTAGGTTGTATACCTTCCACTCCGGAATCGATAGACAGGCTAGGTTTTTGCCAAACTTCATGCAAATGGGATAGCTGAAGTGGCTATATTAAGTGTGGAGTGAGGACCTGGGGGAGGAGAATCTAATTAACAAGGAGCTGGTAGCAGTTAGTGAAAGGTCACGGCGGCTGTAATAAAATGAGCCAGGCCAGCGTACAGGATGCGCAGAAGCGATAGCTAATCGCCTGGGAAAAAAAAAAAGTTATACGAAAGGGAGGTTCAAGTGAAGAACCAGTAGGACCAAAAAGTAAATGAAAACCAGAAAAACCCAAGCAGACCTCACTCCTTATATATGAGGCGCCCCGCCGACGAACCGATGCAGCACTACGCACTGTTATCTTTTCGTGACACAATAGTCATAGACAGCTACAGCGAAGTACGTACATCTAGTGCCGCGCGCGATCAATAGAGTAAGTAGAAAGGGAGAGATTCTGCCGCACTGCACCACGTGGAGGGGCAGAGGCCAGGGAGAAGGAGGCTCAGTGGGGGGAGAAAAACTATATAAGGAGAGCTTTCCCTGGCCAACAAATCATACAAATAAATCAAAAAACTGGGTATCCATGGTGGTTTGCTGGGGCCATCGCCCCCCTGGCTCACACGACTGGATGCTTTTTCTGGGTGCCAAAGAAAAGAAAAGTAGCAGATTGCGCACTTGCAAATAAATGAGCAGGAACGCACTGCGTTTTTTTTTTTTTGCCTACCCCCCAGCCCAGTAACAATACAAGCCAAGAGCTTCTACCCTCGTAATGGGCACAGTGGATGGTTCGAACGCAGAAAGCCTCACCTGGGCAGAGGTGATTGGCTGAGTCCAGTGGTTAGATGAATTAGATCTGCTTGAGCTTCTTGGCCTGTGTTCTGGGGGAAAAGCAGGTTTCATGTGGTCGTTGCGAGGTGCGTTATATTGATAAATCTAGCTTTTTTTTTTGTATATGTCCATCGCTTTTCGAGCGCTCGTCGGTTACTCTGAGTTTAGCCTAGGCATCAGCCACAGGCAAGAAAAACACTGGAAACACTGAAAACAAGCTTTTTATGGGTAGCCAGTCTATCTTTGAATGACCAGCATTCCTTAGAAAGATATCTTTTCTTCCCATTTGGCCCTCCACCCCCACCTTTTTACCGTTTTCCCGTTGGTGGCCTTTCGCAGCCACTGCTTATCTGGGGCTGAGGACCCAGCTTATTCTTGCCTTGTGCGAGCCCAGTCTTGTGGACAGATCGTAGTTTGCGCTTTTCTCGCATATACTGCCGCCACACATCACCTCTGGTCTGCCTTAGCGGGCATAGCGGTTATATCAGAGTCAACTAATAGGCATGGTTTATTGGGGAAGGAGTCGTTGCTTCTAGTGGCCTAGCGTTTGTGGGCGTTACCTATTTTCTCCAGTTACCCTTCACCGCAGACGGGTACATTCTCGCTTCTCCCTTGCGTCATTGTTGGCGCTGATCGCTTGCTGCATCCTCCTGAAAATAGTCTTTCGGGTGGATTCCGGGTATCTCTAGCTGCCATGTGCAATTGGACGGTACTACTAATCTAGGGTTATCTAATGGGTACGGTCTATCAAAAGATAAGCAAGGGCCACTTTGGGAAGGCTTCCTGGTATCTGGTGCTCTTAACGGCCTGGCCGATACGTCTTAGTGTCACATTCCAGTATCTTCACAATGGCCCATTGACCATTGAACATACCACTGTTCCGTAATAAAGCGGAGTTTTATCGGTTAGGAAATGCGGCAAACGCCTGGCAGGAAAAGGAACAACTTTGCAAGGCTTGTACTTTCATAACCTTCTTTTTCTAGCTTAGACTTGGCCCTTCTTGCATTTCCTGGAAGGCCCCTGTCCATGGCTTAGATGGACTTTCTTCGGGTAACGTACGGAAACGTGCTTGAGGTTACAGTGTTCTAAGGATGTGTTGTAATGACACAAAACAATAGGGTGATGTCGAAGAAGATCCGTTGGGTTTGTTCAATTTTCAATGGGAAAACCCTATTTGGTGCTGGCGCTCGTGCGTATTGCCTGGGCTTGACCACTTTTGGTCTATAGCAAAGTTTATTTGGATTAACTTTTGGATGACGGCGATCGCCCTGGAGATTTTCTTAACGCCTTTATTTATTGCTGGCTGTATTCGGTTTATCTTTACGATTATCAGGCGATGTAAATCTTCAGATTAGGATATAAAGGTCTAGAGGGGTAGATTACAGGTGTTGGGAGTATCGGAGAGGAAGTTCCGTCTATGAGTTTTTAATTAACGGATGCCGCCGAGGTAAGAAAAGCAGCAGTAACTCAAGGCAGTTTAAGAATTTACAAGAAAAAAAAATGAATAAAGAATTGCCGAGGTTTCCACTACACTACGCCTGCTCATCGCATATTCAACCGGTCTGCTTACTCGTCTACAATCAGACTGCGTCCCTTCTTCACCCACCTTTCCACGGAAAAGTCACCTTTTAAGGCGGTCCAAGTACACATTCGCCTCCTACCAACGTCAACGTCATCGCAGCGTCACCGCCATCTTCATCTGATGCATAAGTAAGCATTTGTGCCTCCTAGTAGACCTTCTTCAATCACAATCAGGCAAATCACAATCTGGGCGGTCGGATTTCCTATTCCACAGGGACACAAAGACGAATGCCGCTTATTCTTTACATTTTTTTTTCTGCCACTTTAAAACCCGGATCATTTAAAAGGACCCTACATCGAACCCAGAAAGAGTGGTTTTTTTCAAATTCTTCATCAACAGTAAAGCAACTATAAACGTCAGCTCATTTCCTTACCCACCTCTTATCTATCAGCCGTTTAATGCACCACTGTGGCCTTTTTAGTCCACTTCTCTAAAGTCCAAAAACCTGCCCACTCTTGCCTCACCCAACTCTCTTTCCACTTATTTCTGACCAGTTAAAAACCAGATATTTCCCTATATAACATGATTCTGTGCCTGGACACTTCTCCATATTGCAGCCAGAAAAAAAGCATGCAAGCGAACCCAGGAACGGTGCTTTTGCACGTGACAAGACGAGCGAAGCGACGTGATTTCTGCACCCTTATGACACTTCGATAAGATACCCACCCAGCCAATCCCGTTCCAGGAATTACCCAGACCCAGAAAAACAAAAACAATGCCTTCTTCATAGTCTCTTTATTTTATGGTCTCTTTTTTACCACTTAAAAAACCTCCCACTCCCCCAATCATACCCCATACGTGGGGTAATGTCATCTTGAACCAATGGCCGCGGCTGCTAATGGGCTTACTGATTATTGGCGATCACGTGAGATTAGTCAATACACAATTTTTTTGCAACTGATGCACCATGTGCACCACCAGAGGCCTACTGCCTTATATCTCTCTGTGCATCCCATCCACTTTGTAGTTGTAACGATTCTTTCAGCGTTTCCTCATACCTTTGTTTTATCATGAGTACGCAGACTGAAGCCATCGCCCTGGTGATAGAGGTGACCAAGTCGGTTAACTTCCTGACCCAGCCGGCGAAAGCTATTCCTTCTCCATTTGCTGCTTTCGTGGAGACTCATCAGCTTCTTGCTAGCAATGAACCTTTTTTCCATGTGGCCGCTTACCTCCAGCAGATTGCTGACGAGGAGGCCCAGGAGGAGCACGAGGGTGAAGCTCCTGTGAAGAAGGCTGTTTCGGTGACTACGGATTCAGACACTCTTTTCCAGAACCTACCTTACTTGTCTGCATCTGCTTTCAAGACCAGCCCATCGGTTGTCCATGTGGAAGTCAAGAACACAGATTTCGCCATTGCTGCTGCTTTGACCGACTTGTCGTTCCCTGTGTTTGTTTCACATGGTGTTGCTCATGCCCATAATGTGTCCCAGGCTGCTTACGCTGCTGCGTTTGCTGAAAAGAAGTTGGTTTTCCACTTGTACCTGCCACTTGGTGCTGCTACAGAGAATGTCAAGGCCAAGACCGAGATCGCTACCAACTTGTCTTCGGTCGCTGAGGCTGCTTCGTTTTATGAAGTCTCTGCATTCACCGCTTTGAATAAGCTGTCTAAGGCTAAGGATGCTATTGTCGTCTTGGGTCTGCCATCTGACCAGTTTGTCTCTGCTGCTTCCCTGGAGCATGCTCTCATATACCGTGTTGATCTTTACCAACCGTTCGACTTGAAGGCTCTTCTTTCAGCTATCCCAGCTGGTGTTGAGACCCTTACGTTGGTTGAGCAGACTCAGAGATCCTCCTCTTTTTCTGCTTTGCTTTTAGACTTTTTCAAAAACTACTCAGCTTTGCAATACTTGAAAAACTTCACAAAGGTTGTTGGTGCCAAACTTGGAAGTTTCACAGCTAAGAATGCTGCTGAGGTTGTTGGTGATCTTTTGAAGAACACCAGATCTGACGCTCCAAAACAAAACTTGCTTTTTGGCAACGCCTCTACATCTACTGAAGAAGATGTCGTTGAACAACAACAAGAGGAAGGCGTCAAGAAGGTTTATGCCTTGGAACAGGCCTACCTTAAGGTCTTGTCTCAGGTCAACGACAAGTCCCACATCTGGAACGACTTCTCCGCTCCAACCGTTGGCGGCTCCACTAACCCAGAGTTTGGTTTCGGCTCTTTCTTGCATTATGAAGAACAACAATCTGCATTAATCAACATTGTCTCCACTGCCATTCAAAAGAACACTTTCGCTTCCTTGGACAACGAGAAGCTCATTGAGCTTTTAACTCTGTGGTTGGTTCTTGTCAAATCTAACAAGCCATTTGAACTGACCCAGGAAGTTCTTAAGCTTTTGCTGACTGACACTTCTGGCACTTCCCAGCAGATTCTTAATCTTAAAGACTTTTTCGAGATCAGACCAAACTGGTTGGTTGGTTCTGATGCTTGGTCTTACGATTTGGGCTCTTCTGGTGTCCACAGCGTCATTTCTTCTGGCAAGAACGTTAACATGTTGGTCATTGACTCTGAGCCTTACTCCAACAAGAAGTTGGACATTGTCCGTAAGAAGGATATTGGTTTGTACGCCATGAACTACGGTAACTGTTACGTTGCTTCTATCGCTATTTATTCTTCCTACACTCAGGTGTTGCAGGCTTTCCTCGAAGCTGAGAAGTTCGATGGTCCATCTATCGTTTTGGCTTACTTGCCTTATGAATCAGAGAACGCTGACATTTTGAGCATCTTGAAGGAAACTAAGCTCGCTGTCGATTCTGGTTACTGGCCATTGTACAGATACGATCCATCTATTGAGAAGGATGATGACAGATTCAAGCTTGACTCGTCTTCTTTGAGAAACCAGTTGAGAGACTTCTTGGACAGAGAGAACAAGTTGACTCTTTTGGCCAAGAAGAACCCACAGCTCCTGAGAAACTTGTCTGCCTCAGCTAACAGTGAAGCCAAGAAGCAGCAGCTTCGCGTTGAGGACGAGTCTTTCAAGCAGTTGTTGCAAGGTTTGTCTGGTCCTCCATTGACCGTGGCTTTTGCCTCCGATGGTGGTAACGCCGAGGCTATTTCCAAGAAGATTAACAGACAAGCTTTGGCTAGAGGGTTGAAGTCGACTGTCTTGTCCATGGACGATGTTTCCGTCGAAGACTTGCCTCTTGAAACCAATATTATTTTCGTTTCTTCCACTGCTGGTCAGGGTGAGTTCCCAAACAACGGTAAGGCATTCTGGGATGGTTTGAAGCTGGCTCAAGACTTGGACTTGACTTCCATTAGATTCTCTGTCTTTGGTTTGGGTGACTCCAAGTACTGGCCAAGAAAGGAGGACAAGCACTACTACAACAAGCCAGGTCAGGACTTGTACCTCAAGTTGAAGCACTATGGTGCTGTTGAGCTCGCCGAGTTGGGTCTTGGTGATGACCAGGATCCAGATGGATTCAACACTGGATACGAAGAATGGTTGCCAAAGATCTGGAAGGCCTTGGGTGTTGACGGTGTCGAGGGTGTTGAAGAACCAAAGCCTTTGACTAACGAAGACATGAAGATTGGTTCCGACTACTTGAGAGGTACCATCGCCGAGGGCCTCCGTGACGACAGTACTGGTGCTATTTGTGCTGTTGACCAGCAGTTGACCAAGTTCCATGGTATCTACATGCAAGATGACCGTGATATCAGAGACGAGAGAAAACTGCAAGGTATGGAGCCAGCCTACTCCTTCATGGTCCGTCTTAGATTGCCAGGTGGTGCTGCTGACCCAGGTCAGTACTTGAAGTTAGACGAGCTTGCTGATGAGAGAGGTAACGGTACTTTGAAGATCACCACCAGAGCTACCTTCCAGTTGCACGGTGTTGTCAAGCACGACTTGAAGCCAGCCATCAGAGGTATGAACTCTGCTCTCTTGGACACTTTGGCTGCCTGTGGTGATGTCAACAGAAACGTCATGGTTTCTGCTCTTCCAGGTAATGCCAAGGTTCACAGACAGGTTGCCCAAGCTGGTTCTGAGATCTCTGAGCACTTGTTGCCTTCTACCACTGCCTACCACGAGATTTGGTTGGAGGGTCCAGACGATGGTGACAAGGCTGGCTACAAGGAGGCCTGGGAGAACAAGAAGGGTGGTCCAAAGTTGAAGAAGACCATGGTTGCTGGTAACGCCTTGGTTGACCACGAACCACTTTACGGTCCAACTTACTTGCCTAGAAAGTTCAAGATTGTCATCACTGTCCCACCTTACAACGATGTTGATGTCTATGCTCACGATATTGGTTTGATTGCCATTGTTGAGAATGATGAGGTTATTGGTTTCAACCTTCTCGCTGGTGGTGGTATGGGTTCTACCCATAACAACGTCAAGACTTACCCAAGAACTGGTTCTATGTTCGGTTTCGTTCCAAGAGACAAGATCAACCAGGCTTGTGAGAATGTCATGTTGGTCCAGAGAGATTTCGGTGACAGAACTAACAGAAAGCACGCCAGATTGAAGTACACCATCGATGACATTGGAGTTGAAGAGTTCAAGGCTAAGGTCGAAGAGTACTGGGGTGACAAGTTCGAGGAGCCTAAACAGTTTGAGATCAAGAGTAACATTGACTACTTCGGTTGGGTCAAGGACGAAGAGGGATACAACCACTTCACTGCCTTCGTTGAGAACGGTAGAATTGAGGATACCCCTGAGTTGCCACAGAAGACCGGTTTGAAGACCATTGCCAAGTGGTTGCTTGACAACAAGAAGTCTGGTGAATTCAGATTGACCGGTAACCAGCATATTGTTCTTTCTAGAATTGCCGACGAGGACTTGCAAACCATCAAGGACTTGCTTGCCAAGTACAGCTTGGACAACACTGACTTCTCTGGTTTGAGATTGTCTTCCTCTTCTTGTGTTGCTTTGCCAACATGTGGTTTGGCCATGGCTGAGTCTGAACGTTACTTGCCTGAGCTTATTGGTAAGTTGGAGACTGCCCTTGAGGACTACGGTTTGAGACACGACTCTGTTGTCATGAGAATGACTGGTTGTCCTAACGGTTGTGCTAGACCATGGTTAGCTGAGGTTGCTCTTGTTGGTAAGGCTATGGGTGCCTACAACTTGATGTTGGGAGGTGGCCACCACGGTCAGAGATTGAACAAGATCTACAGATACTCGATCAAGGAGGACGAGATCATGGACATCTTGTTGCCATTGTTCAAGAAGTGGTCGTTGGAGAGACAAGACAACGAGCCATTTGGTGACTACTGTATTAGAACGGGAGTTATTGCGGAGACCACAGAAGGTAAATACTTCCACGAGAACATCCCCGAGGAAGCCTAGAGCTTCTTTTTTATTAAAGTTGGTGCTAGCACCATTTCATAGCAGCATATTTATTAATCTTACATATTCGTTTCTATCAGATGCCTGTAATAACTTTCCGTTCACTTTTTCTGACCATTGAGTTTGGGTATAGTTGGAGTCTCATGGCGTTCCATCTCAAGCACGTCAGCAATCCTTAACGGTTGTGCTGTCATGCTAACCTTTCGAAGTCTTCGTAGCACTGACTTCTCACAGCTCTTGCTGATCTTGTCTGCTTCTTTGCGTAGATATTCGATATGGGTGGCCTTTATGGTCTTCAAATTTCGTAGTAGTTCAGCCTTTTCGGCTTTGCTGAGTTCAAGTGGCATTGGTTGTTGTATAAGGAAAGGAGTATAGCACTGGTTATTCACCCTAAGATTGTACGCGGTGATATCAACAATGCACCACCACGCTAAAAGTACCATGTGGAGCAGAAGGTACCAGAATGGTGTAAATCATAGAGTTTTCATTTATCCTTGTATCAAATGACGAAGCTGTAATTACTTTTATGGCATTTTATGATTTTCATGTTTCATCCTTGGTTTGTGGATTTATGGTGGACTATTCATTGCAATAGCTTAACTTAGTCAGTTTCGCAGCCAAGTTAGAAATGATATCTGATGGTCGAAATTTCATAAAAGTAGGGAATACTATTTTTTCAATGAAAGTCCTGATTACTTAAAAAAATACAAGACACTTCAAATGCCACTATTTATCAATTGAAATCCCATAAAATTGGACCACTAAGTAGTCATGTAGTGTCACTTCTGTTGACTCTGTCAATGTGACCCTGCAACATCCAACAGTAGAAAAAAAAACCATGAAACCTCAAAACCAAGCTCAAATAACCCTTTATTACCTTTAAAAGGACATAGCAAAATAAATCAACCAGAGTTGTTGAATCATGGGGTGGTGTTCCATACGGGTGTATTGGCCCTCGCACGACTATTGCCATCCACGATACTCAAGATCTCAGTACGTTACAACGTAGTATCCACATTCACCTCCAGAAACCCACACTAAAAACATTTCATCATGGTTCTCGAGGCCACTATGATCGCAATCGATAACTCCGAGTACATGCGTAACGGAGATTACCTTACTACTCGTTACGATGCACAGCTTACAGCCACAGAGTTCATTTTCCAGAACAAGCTCAATTCCAACCCAGAGAACACCGTGGGTTTGCTTTCGTACGGTGGCTCTGGCCCTCAAGTCTTGTCTACGCTAACAACAGATTTTGGTAAAATCTTGTCGGGAGCCCATGGCACGAAGATTGATGGTGACAGCCATTTCTCCAGTGGTATCCAGGTGGCTGCCTTAGCATTGAAGCATAGACAGAACAAGGTACAGAGCCAACGTATCATTGTGTTTGTTGGAAGCCCTCTTAAGGAGACTGAGAAGGAATTGGAGAAGTTGGCAAAGAAAATGAAGAAAAACAACGTTGCTATTGACGTGATCAACTTTGGTGAAGAAGCTGTCAACACCACCAAGTTAGAAAGATTCCATGCTGCTGTGAATAACCACGATAACTCCCATTTGGTTACTGTTCCTGCTGGAAACCGTCTCTTGTATGAGGTTATCGCTTCCTCGCCAATCTTGGTGGAAGACGGTTTCGATATGGAGGGTGCTTCTGGCGGCGAGTTCTTCGGCGGCATGGACCCTAACATGGACCCAGACTTAGCATTGGCATTGCGTCTCTCCTTGGAGGAAGAAAAGCTGAGGCAAGAACGTGAGGCTGCTGAAAAGAATAAGCTGCTGGGCAACTTGGATAAAATAGATGAGGACGCCGAGGGTGAGAAGAAGGACGATAAGAAGGGCGAGGATAAGCCAAGTGAAAACTAATGCATCCGGCGATAGGCTTTTTCATCGTTTGCCGTGGGTGCTACGGTATAACGCCATGTCTCACATAGGTGCCAGGTGCCGTCAAGGACGAATGGCAATGAATGCTAAGGTTCCAGGAGAACTTAATTATGCCTTGTCATCGCCCTTGAAAACCTTTCCCTTCTCGGATGTTCCATAGTGTGCGCCAGTTTGACGTTGCGGAAACGATAACTTTCAAGGGAAGAGTAAAATGCAACGCCTATCCAATAGAAGAGCAATGCTGCTAATTTTTTGGAAAGTCTTATCGAGTAGTTTTTTACCAAATTCCAGGCGGTTCGTCTATGGGATATATAATCGCGACATGCAGCTTTTCTTCCTGATATCGCTTTTGTGAACAGGGTTATAGATTAACAAATACATAACGTACATTTACAGAAAAAAAAAAACATGTCCAACCTTAAACCCTCCAAGAGTAGAAGAAAGGAGCCCCGAGAAGAGCGGAAACCAATTCCCCATGACCAGCAGTTGTTGTTGGCTCCTTATGGAACTGCAACCACTCGTCCCATTGACATTACAGTTTCACAATTTTTTGACATGTATTCGAAGGTATGTGATTTTACAACACCAATATTCACCAATTGCTAACAATTAAGGGTAAATGGAACCTATCCAGAGTGCCGTATCCTCCTTGCCTTAAAACTAAGGGATTTATTTCAGCCCCAGAGTGTTACTCAGAGAGAAAAAGGACCGCAGAGGTGGAACCGCTTCTTCGCTTGAAGCATTGGGACGACAGCGACCTCTTTAAATGCATTTCTTCAAGGATTAGAAAGAAACAGAGAGTTGCGGGGCTTACAATCTCATTGATCCATGAGAACAAGGTACATGTCAAGTATGAGACAAGGTTGGACTTCCGTGAGGTCCCTAGAAGTGTGTCGCTAGACTCACACGCTTTATTGTCAAAAGACTGCCTCTATTTACTAGACGCTAGTAAAGATTGGAGGACGTCGAAAAACCCTCTTGTCGTTGGGCGGCCTAACATTCGCTTATATTGCGGGGTGAGAATCATGAGCCCCAAAGGCGAACCAGTGGGCGTCTTAGCGGTGTTCGATACATATGCAAGGCATACCCGTCAGGAGCTGTTGGTTAATGATCTCCACTCTGCCGCTCGTGAGATTATGGGCATTCTACAGACACCTTATGAAAAAATTCTTGAAGAAAGGAAGAATTCGCAAGATTCGATCAAACCTGGCAAGCCAACAAACGAAGTTGACGAGGAGTTAAAGCAGCTTTCTCTCAAGTTGGGTAGAGCGACAAGCAAAGCTTGTGCCATGACGGTGTTTGAGAAGGATGGTTCTGGTAATCCTTACTCGCAAAATCACCATTTTGCCCTGAATGCTGGGGATGACAATGAAGACATCAAAAACAATTGCCTTGATGAGAAGCAAAGAAAGAGTTTGATAAGGATGCTTCGTCGCATCGGCAGCTTGAGACCAGCTGCCGAGATGTTATGCGAGTCTTTAGCTGCCTCATTCAAAGCAGACTTTGTCTTCATTGTCGAGATTAGGTCAGCCGAATTGTATTCTGTGGCGGCGGAATACTTCCCCAAGGGCCACAATAAGGTTGATTCTGAGATGTTCAAGCATGCTAACAAGCTTGTGAAAAGTAAACGAGTTATGGAAGAAACAGACCGCGTTCTGACTCGTGTTTTAGGCACTTATGGATGCACTTATCTGACGATAAAGTCGGACCATGACTTCCTCATCAAGGCCTTTCTGAGCGACTTTGGTCTTCAATATAATAATCCAAAGCACTCAACGAGATTCAACAGTGGTTGCGTCATGCCCTTTTATCGGTACAACTCCAAGTTGGTCAAGAAGTCTAGCAGGAACCCAGATTCCAACAACATCGAGTTGTACTTGAGGGCCGGCGGATACTTGGTTGGTGTTATGAATGAGTCTTCAGACAAATCGCAATTTCCGCAAGCGACCTTGTCGAAGATATTCGATCATATGAGTGTTCTTCGCAAGCGGTATATCAGTTAATAGGCATTACATACCCATCTCGCGCATTGCTGCAAACTCCTCTTCATAGTCATCTTCAATATCGTCTTCCGGCGGGTATTCGTCATATTCTTGAGGTTTAGGCTGTGCATCATCGAAACGATCCACTGGTCTCTCAGACTCCAAGTCGTTATCGTCGTCACCTATGAAGAGCCCATTAGTGTTCGAGCCATTAACATTCATGAAGCCCCAATCACCATCGTCCTCTTCCAAGTCCAGGCCGTTATTAAGGTTAGCTTGTGGTACGCTACTAGTCTCCCCATCAGCGGTTCCCGGTGCCGCATACAAATCATCATTATCAAGCTCCGCCTGTAGACCCTGTTCCTCGTCACCTTCAGTGATAATGCCCTTTGCAACCTTAAGCTTATGAAGCTCATTATCTAGAAGACTTCTTCTATATTCTTTAAGCCTGGCAGACTTGTATGTCCTTAGCATACGAATGCAGTCGTTGAAGTTAGCTCTTGGAAAGAAGCCATGGCACCAAAACTGGTAGAATTGGATGACATTTCCGAGGTTTTCAAACTCTGCCTCTACCTTAGCTCTCTTCACGGCCATCTTAGACGTTTCTGTTTTGAGCTTATCGTGAAGCCTTTTATCGTTCTTCTTGATTGATCTGGAAAGTTTCTTGTAGTTCTTTGTTATTTGGGGAAGACCTCTAGTAGGGTTAAAAAGAAGTTCATCTGTGATTTTAGGGAACTTCGACACTCTACCCAATTTCATGGGCTTGTCGAGCCCCAAGGTGTCTTCTTGTGCTTCCATGGATGAAGAGTTGATGGTTGACCAGAACGCGTAAACAGTGGTAATGTGTCGCGATCGCGCATACTAGGTACTTCAGTATTACTACTACTAGAGATGGGATGAAGGACACTATTGGAAAAAACCTCAAAGTAAGTAATCTAATGTAATCACTTAGAATGTGATTGAAGAAGCATTTCAATTCTCAATTCGATGTAATCTTTATTGGCATCATATGGCGTGGCCCAGCGAGACATTGGCTGCGAAAACTAGAACCACTACAACGGCAACACTAGACAAGTGTAGTCTTATTTTATAAAAGCTCTTGTTTAATCTCCAGTTCACTTCTTCTTCATTCCTTCTTTTATTGCATCCACTTGAATCCATATCTACACACATGCCCACTGCCTTTAGACCACCTGGTTGCTGCCCAATCACAGGCCACAATCCACCATCAACCTTTCTGCCCATCCCGTCGTAAACCGCTAGAAAAGCCTCCGCAAGCCACCATCCATTAAAAAGTCTAGACACGTATTCTTCCGAGAAAATTTAGACCATCTGCATGATCCACGCCATACGTTTCCCATCCTGGGCTCGTTAGACTACCAGTCCGGAAAAATGCGGCATCGAATGCTGGCTTTTGCAACCAATTTAGCGAGACAGGAAACGCATTCGAACGGTCGCAAACTTAGATTTCCGAGAACCAGAGGGGGAGAAGAAATGAATTAGAAAAAACAGAAGAAGGGAATATGAAGAGACGAAGAAAAAAAAAAAAGCTAACTTGTATAAAATGTGAATTGCAGGGCGTAACGTTACAGCCTCGACTGTATACCTAATATGGACCCTCATAACGAATTCCACTGCGAAACCTGGTTCCCAATCGAGGTGCAATTATTCCTTTCCGGTGTTAAGCGGCGCTGTAGTTCTCGTTTAAACCCAGCGGAAAGCCGCCCAGCCGACAACCGAAATGTTAACCCAGTTTCCTGAAACACCCGAGAAACACAAACTCAAACTGTGCTCAAACAAGGCCATTGGCCAGTAGCCATTGCCTTTTCGCAGCCATGAAAGACCAACTACCAGGAAGGCCCCATTGATTCAACCAAAAAAAGAACAGGTAAATTTAATATAAAATCATTTATTTAAACCCCATTCTCCACCACCCACGCGTCATCACAAGGCCAACGGTTTACCTTGTATGGTCGCTTAAGCCTACCAGCCTCTGTTTACTGCCTTTGTGTTGCATTGCCTCGCGCATATTCTCTAACCTTATATACCCGGCAGACCTTGCTTTCCAAGAGTACCCCAGGCGGTTCCTTCATAGACCTTTTTCTTCGTCATCATCTGTCCAAGCAAACCACCACCACCATCTTTTTTTCCCTTGTTGCCATGCTTACGCAGTTGGCGTTGCCTTTGCTGGCGCTACATTTGTGGTTCCCTCTTCTACTATCGGCAAAGGCACTTAACCGGCCGCCGGGTGAGAATATCCAGTTCTTGCTTCACTACTGGCTCTGGTACTTGGGGCTTTCATATGTGCATTTCTACCTAGCGCTGATGGTGCCACTCCAGGGCGTGGTGGACCTTTTTTTGGCTGGAGTGAAGATATGGCTATTCTATGGCCATGGATGTATTGTGCTTTCACGGTTCTATCTCCCACGCGTTGCGTTTGCAACCACTGGATGGACTTCGGTGGTGGAGTTGGAGGCTACGGTGATAGATCCATTGGTGCTGGCGTTTGTGGTGAGAAATCCAATTTTACAGAACACCATGTCGGTGATAGAAAGAACAGGCATTGCTAGTTTTGCTCTGGCGCTTTTCGCTTTCAACCATGAGCTCTGTCGCCTGGTTCTGTGGCCTAAAAGACCCCTGTGTCTTCACCTAGGCGTAGACTTCCTTTGCTACATGGACCTGCCGAGGGAATTGGCTGCACGTTTACAAAAACTCGAACGGTTTATCTTTGGTATCCGTTCGGCGGTTTCCCCAGTGGTATCCCCCAAGTCACGCAAAGTGTCTTCTCGCAAGCTCAACACGTCCAAGGTCGACTACGACGACCTGTTTCTGCCTCGACTGACCGAGTTTTACACGCCAAATCGCTCAAATGCTCTCAGTCCAGCAGTTTTCAGCCCTGTGGCCGGTCCATTGGAGACAAACTCGCCGCTTGTCAAGAAAACTAGAAGGAGACCACCAGAAGAGACTAAGAGGACGCGTAGCGCCAGCGTGGGAAGTATCGATGATTCCCCGTTACCATACCCCCTTGAAGACCCCAACCCGACCGAACGAAGCGTTTCTGAAGTCATCTTCAAGAGTCGGCGAGACCTCTAAGTTCTACCGGTGGCATCCCAAATTTCGCAGCCATTTTTCGCAGCTCGCCTGTACCACTTGCTTATACCCCCACACCAACGCAAGACACCTTCTCTTGCTCTATTGCTAGTGTACCCACATCATCCATGGTACATCTGCATGAATTATTCATTTGGCTCTAGCCATAAGCCCAGGTTTGGTTTTTATAGATATAGACTTTACGCGTTACTACTTGCACCTAGACCTCTCCACACTTCGCAGCCATCGAAGACCTCTTAGATACTCCATACTTCCATGTCATGTCACTCTGTGAGTACCTTCCACGACTCGAGACTATTCTGGTAAAGATAGTTCTTGGAAAGGATGACACTGAGCCTACGATCTCGGGCGTTGCGTTCCTGAAACGTGTTTTTACAGTGGTAACTAGGGGTGCCAAATACTCGGTGGTTCTACCGGTGGAAAATGCCGAAAAGCTTCAGAACGCTAAGATCACACAAATTCTGGCCAACGGTAATATCCTATCGATAAGAATCAGTCTTAATAGTGCCGAGAAAACAGCAGCATCATTCACTTCGTTGTCACAGTCCAAAACACAGAAGTGGTCTGTGAGTGATCTAGTGAAGACCCCCAAGGACCAGAATAACATCAACACATTCCAGTTCCTTTGCACTTATTGTGACACGACGGTGGTGGATTCTAAGGAAACGAAATATGCAGACATGCCTTCAGAATATTGGCATGAACTTATGGACTTTTGGCACTGTCATAAACCGCATCAGAGCCATCACGACAATCACCAAAAAAGCTACGGGGCTATTGTTCCTAAGCCTGGACATGTATATATTGGTGCATCATATCTTTTCTTGCTTCGAGGCTCCAGCAAATGCTACGGTTGCAAGAGACAACTAGGCGAGATAACCAACGACAGTGCTAAGCTATACAAGTGGAACTTGAAGCTCAAGTATGGTGACACTATCGAGTCGTACCCACCATACGCCTTTGCATATTACGCTATTCTCGATAGAATCAACTCTGGAGCCTTAAGGAAGCTCCAGGTGAAGAGCACGAATGGTTCTATTCGCCTATGGATACTAAGCGTGGGACTCTCCATCAGCTACGACGATTACGTCTTGTCGAAAGCTCTTAAAATCTTATACACCGACGATGAGGATCCAGATCTAGAGGTACTTGATGTACCAGCTGAAGTGTTCGATAGCCTTACATATGTGCTCAAGGAGTCAACATCTTTGCTACCCGAAAGTGAACAAACCGCTATCATGAATAAAGATGATAAATCACAGTACCGGGTGGGATTCCTTGCGCCAGAAATGGAAAAGTCCAGTACATGATCACACCTTGCCTCCCTCAATAATGTCCTTGACAGCAGGCACCACCTGTTTCCTCGAAGCCTTGATGTTCACCTGGTTGAATGCCTCTAAGTGGCGCTTCTCGTTAACCTGGCCAACCACTTCTGTCACTGCAGAACCACCATAAATATCGTCATTTAATTCTAAAGAATCGGCAAACTTGGCCAACTTATGAAACTTGCTTTCTTGCGTACTGAAAACAAACTCTCTGGTATACTCATCGTTCTCTTTCTTGGTATATGAAGTGGTGATAATGACAATGTCAAGACCAAAGTTCTTTGAAATGTCTTCGAGTGTTTGGGTTATTTCAGCCGCTGTGTACTTGTTCGTGATCCATTTGATAGACTTGGATAACGAGCTGAAGCCCACATTCACCGTACCGCCAGGGTTGGTGAATGCAAATTGTTTATAGTCCTTTCTCAATATATCATAGAAAGAATAACCGTCTAAATCCTTCTTAGCTTTTTTAAGCAGCTTAAAGAGTTCATCAATTGGGGAGTTGCTAGCATCAAAAGCCTGAACTTCTCCCTCAAGTGTCTTCTTGTAGGCAGCGAATGCCTTCTCATCCTCCTCCTCCACCTTATGAGTCATGTTCGTAGTGTCAATAAGAAGAGGCCCAAGAAGTAGTCTAACAACCTCATTCAGAGCCAAATCAGCTTGTTTCTGTGTCCAATAGTTAAACACCATAGATGAGCAAGATCCATTAGAGTGAATGATCCTAGGATCAGCATTAAGGAAAACACCTTCGTCGGCGTGATGATCAATGATTCCCGTAACATTAACACGACTAGCCTTGTACAAGTCTAACAATTCTTGTCCTTGCAAGTTGCAGTGGTCCACCAAGATAAGCTCAAGCTTCTTGGAGTTACCATGCAGCAACGTCTTGATATCGTCCACGAAAAACAAATTGTTGTCTGTGATACCATGCGAGTTAAGAAGAAGCTCAATATCTCTTCTGAGTTTCAATTCGTCCCTGGGGATGTTAACCAATGGCAAATATGGTTGGTGATCTGGGTAATGCTTGTTGTAGAAGAAAGCATAGACAATTGCACTGACGACCGAATCCATGTCGGCCAGCTGGTTGCCGGTGACAAACCTGAGGATTTGGGATCTTCCTGCCAATGGTTTGACTTGCTCTAGGAATGCTTTAATGGACATGGTGGTTGTTGATAATGGTCAACGTGCTAATCTATTATGTACTGTATAACTACACATGCGAAGACCGAATAATGACTTGTGAATTTGCGTAAATACTACTGCAGGAAAACGGAGTGCTGTCGTGGAGTAGTGTCTACTTAGCGTAATGGAAGTTGATCTCGAGCCATTGTCTCTTCTTGACTTCCTCTGCTGCCATAGCAAAGTTACCGTAGGTCATGGCTCTCATGTACCAGAGGAACCAGGCAGTTCCCACAATGACTGTGACAGTGGCACCGATGAGTCTAATCTTGTCGATTGAGCCTGGAGCAAGACCCTTCTTGTTTTGGCTGGTCTTGTTGGTGCACAAGAATTCAACGATACCACCAGTGAATAAGGCAGCAATGAGATGGGCTGGCAAGTAGTGGTGCAAGAATTTCTGTCTTCCCATCAAGTAGAATGGGAAATAGTGAGCAGCCCAGCCGATGAAAAGGAAACCCAAGGTGTTGTAAAGTCTGGATCTGGCTGCGGGGGTGATGATGTCGTAGGCTCTTCTGCTAGTGACGAGATCAGCAAGGACAAATCCAACGTACACGGCGAGGAAACCAACCTCAATCCAGAAACCAATGACATTTCCAATGAAGAAGATTTGTCTTCTGGTATCGTTATCGTTCCAGAAAGAAACACCGGAGACGGCAAGAGGCCAGGCATCAGGCTGAGAGGCAAATGGATGCTCTGAGGACAACTTGTTGTTGTGAACAAACATCAATCCTTGGAGCTCCCACCATTTCTTCAAGAATGGGATCGACTTGACCTTCTTTGGAACGTACTTGTTTCTTGGATCGTCTTCCTTCAAGTTGACGATCGAATCAATGGACCAGCTATTGTCTTTGTCCTGGACTTTCTTGTTACCACTGACTTCCTGATGTTCAAGAGCCCAGTCAGGTAAAACCTCGTCGTCGTGAGTCCACATGGCGACCACTGTATCGACGTGCACAACTCTCAATGGGGTGGCCTTAGTCTTGATGAGAGTTCTCTTGTTCTTGTTACCTGCCTCAGCATAACGCAAACGGAACAAGGTCTCATTGTATCTCGTTTCGGCAACCTCATCATGAACCACAACAAACTCCTCGTTGGTAGAAAGCAAGGGAGATGCAACATCGTGGGTTAACAAGAAACCACCAGTACCAACGTGTTTGAATCTAACCACGTCGTTGGTGTAGACGCCTTGGTCGTTGGAAGTTTTCTTAGTTGGAACAATCTCCCACTGAGAGTTAGGGTCAGTGATCTCTTGGCCTTCTTGGTCATAGACACAGGTTACCTGCTGCTGGTTAGAGGAGATTCTGCCATTCTCGTATCTCAAAGGATACACGAGGTTGTGCGAATGCAAGAAAGCTTCCGTGTCCTTGTGCTGGATAGTGATGACGTCATTGTAATGGACAGCCTTGGAGTATTTGGCCAATGGAGACTCTTGTAAAGTTTCCTGGAAGTCGGAAGACATAAAAGCGTCACCTGGACCAGACTTGGTCAAAATGGCGAAATGCAAGTAGAACCAGAACAAGTAGATCACAAATGGGAACACAATCAAGGAGAAGAAACGAGCAAGAAAGTGCTGAGCGAATTGCTCGATAGTCAAACCTTTCCTGATGTCGAGCAAGATCCACAATTCATGAATCACAGCAATACCAATAGTGAAGTAAGTGAAAACACCAACATACTTTGTGGAAATGACACAGGACAAGGAAACACCAGTTGAAAGCAACCAAATCCACCACCATTTGGAAAATGGCTGACGGCGGTAGGTGGAGAACTTACAATAGGTAAACATGGTAAGAGCGACACTCAAAATCAAGGTAGCATCCAAGAGGATCAACCTCGAGTCAATGATCTGGGCATTGTCAAACAAAACAAGAGCCGATGACAAGACACAGGCAGAAACAGTGAAACCAAGAGTCTTCATAGTCAAAAACATCACGGGGACAACGGCTGTACCTTGAATAGCCAGGAGAGATCTGTACGCCAAGTAAGGAACATTGTTCTCGACATAGTTATCACCAATGTTCTCAAACTTAAATGCACCATCGTATCCCACGATCCAACCAGCGAATGCAATTAGAAGCTTAGCAAATGGTGGGTGCAAATCAAAGAAGTACGTTCTTTCCAAGTAGTAAGATGCAAACTTTCCAAAGTGCACCTCGTCAAACACGACCTTAGCAGGGTGACCAAGAATTCTGAATCTCACGAAAGCAGCAACAACAGTAACTGCCACCAAAGCAATCCAGTAAGTCAGTTCAGACTCCTTTCTGGTGGTGATCAATCCGGTCTTTTCGACGTCCGCAATGGGGTCAGTCGAAGGCTCTGCCTGCGTAGGCGTGACAGTGCCAGTCTTCTTTCCTCTCTTTTTCAAGTTCAGAGACATTGTCAATAGCAAAGTAAAGAAGTGTCAAAGCCTGTGCTATTGGAAATTTTTGGACAGGTGTGAGGTTCAAATAAAGCCGCGTCACGTGTTGGAAGTGCTTGTTGATGTTTCGCGAATATGCTTCTGGGACGAGTAGGAAGGGCGCCTCACCACTCATGCAGCTTGTTCATATGATAAGCGCATATAGTGGAAAGATGCACAAAACTCGTCTTTTCTGTTTCCAAAACTTTTTTCACATTCTTCTAGACCTCTTTTGGTAACCTCCACGACCCTTGATAATAGGAATTGACTGGGTCGTAGGCAGTCTGAACATGCCTTGGGAAGGCCTAGTAGGTTGGCCTGATTGACCTGAGGTGGAGGATCTGATCAGTGCACCCGAACTTGATCTTGTATCGAAATATTCATGCATTGCACGGTTACCTCTTTGGTCTGGTGTTCCAAATTCAAGATTTCTGCTTTGCCTTGCTGGGATTGGAATGTTCCTTGGCTTTACTGGGCTGGACTCAGCTTCTGCCATTTCACGTCCTCCAGGTATCTTGATCGGCTTGGAAGTAGTGAACTGCATTATGATATTGTTCTTTTCTTCGATAGAAGTAGCGTACTTCATGATCGTAGCATTGAGCTCCTGGATCTTTCTCTCGTAGTGGCTCACTTGTTCCCGGACGGATCCCCGAGATCAAGCTTCAGATTTGCAATCTTCTTCTCATACCCTCTGACTGTGAGATCCATCTTCTCTTCTAAGTCACGGAGCTCTCTCTCGAGATTACTGTTTCGTGAAATGGCGATCTCTAGTTCAGTCCGAAGGTTTTGCAATTCACCTTCATGATCAGATATATATGGCTCAGGCGTTCTTGGAGTATCCGGTACTTCATGCTTAGCAGGTGCAATTTCTTCAGCCTTGGAGCGCTCAGCAGTTTCCTTCAATTGAAGATTTTTGAGTTCGAGCTCCATGCCACTGACAGACACCTTATACGCCTCAAAATCTTCTTCTAAAGTTTCTTTTTCATGCTTCGTATCAGTCAATTGCTCGCTGAGCTCGTCAACTTTCTTCTGGAGCTCTAAGACCCTCTCAGAAAGCTTCTCTGTTCTGAGGTCACTCTCCTTTATCGCAGATTTGCTGGTCTTTTGCAATTCTTCAAAAGGAACCATCAATGCAGCGGGCGATTTTGAAGTCTCTTTTTCCTGAAGTACCTCCCTATTGGCTTTTGCAAGTTCCCTGGAGAGTTCATTCAACTGCATCTTTAGCTTTATGTAGTTGACTTTGTTCAAGTATTTCATGTAAATTGTAAACTCAAGCTCGTTTTTACAGAGCAATAACTCACGCTGGTAGAATTCCAAAGCGCCTCCCTTAGACGAAGCAACCTCCTCATCTTTCTTTCCTTTGAGTTGCTCATTAAGAAGAACTGAAGCACTCTTGGCGGTAGCCTGAAAGTTGCCTGTGGCAGTTTGTGGGTTTTGTAGTTCTTGTTGCACAGAATTTCTCCTCGTATTAGACATCTTGTAAAGCTTTTCATGTGCCAAAAAGAGGTCCAGAATACCGCCTTCGTTCTCGGAAGTCGTTAGACTGGTAGCATTGGAGGGTTTTGGAGAAGCACTCTCAGGAACAGTCTTGGGAAGGTTATAGTCCACATTCTTGAACTTGATACGGGGTTCATTGGGGGACTTTTCAGAAAGGAGGTTAGCAGGTACAAGCGAGGACCTTCTTGGTGTCGAATAATCGTCATGCTGGATATCAGTAGAGCCCCTTTGGAGGATTTGTTGGACCCAAGGTTTATACTCCAGTGGGAACTACTTCGCAATTCTCTCGTTGATGGTCCTTGGCCTTCATCTTGGGCCAACGATAACGGAAAGCCAAGTCTGTCCATCTCGTCGTGAAAATGTTTTGGCCAGGCTTGGTTGTCAGGTAACCATAGCATGAAGGCTGGATTAAGTCGAAGGCTCTGAAGCATTATATCACTTTCGGCCATATCGCGTCCTTCGTTACCTTGTAATATCCATTTAAGGGGAGATTCGAGTTCCTCTTCAGGAGTTATTTGCTCCAATAGGTTTGGATGAAGTCTCATTTGTTCACAGAGCTCTCTGGTACGCTTGTTTATCACTTGCTTGATGTCTTCGGAAAATAAAATGCCATGATCATGCAATATCTTGGGCTGATAGTCCTTATAGTATTCCACAGGCTTTCGGCTGAACTTGATGAGGTTGATGGGGAAAAAGGCATAAAGCAAAGTTGTAAAGTACAGAAGATTAAACTCATCGTTGTAGTAAAGATGCGAGCTCATTGCAATTGTCTCAGTATCAGCCTCAGCCGGGTCCCACAGATGTTTGGCGTTCTTTTCATCGTAGTTACCAGATATACTGTCCGACCTATTCAGGCCTATCTCGTGATCTGGATCCTGCCATAATAATAACCGACTATAGATGACGAGTAAGTCAGGCAAATAAGGACCAATACTGTCACAGACTCTGCTCATCAAGATAACCATGAGCGAAAGTGCACACGCAACAACCGTTTCACTGGAATCAAGAAGTAGACAGCGAAGGATGCTCCCAAATAGTGGAGTTCGTAGGATAGCTTTCAGATGCGAGCCATACTTCGAAACAAACATCGCTATAAGTGTAAGTGTCTTAAGTCTGTTGGCGAGAAGGCAAAAATAAGTGTTAAGAAGCTTGAAAAACTCCTCTGGGTCATAAAGGCCATAATCTCGTAGAATGAGACCACAATTCTTCTCCATCATTCTGACCTTCTCTATGTTTTCGTGAGTGTCCTGGTTCTTGGCAGCTACATCTTTATACTCCAAGCCAATGAGACCGTATGCTTCCTGGTCTGTTCCAAGATATATACGCAAAACGTATTCCACAACCATGCGTGCAATGGCCAGTCTCCTTTCTCGTAGAGGTGGATCATCTGTCGGGTACGGGCTTGCCAGAACCAGCTTAATGAATTCCTTGGCCTTTCTGACAAACGAAATGTCAAACCCAGTGCTTTCAATTGCAGGCAACAAGTATGTTGCAAGCCAGACCTTGACTTCGTCTGCACTAAGAACCGGCAGAAGTCTGGTCAAAAGGTCAAGGAACAATCTTTCCTTGGAAATCTCCAGCGAGTCTTTAATGTACTTGCTGTAAGTCGATCGTAGTTCATTGTTTAGTTGGGAATTGAGTGATGCAAGCAGGTTATGCCTTTCTTTGTATGCATAAATAGTATCATTGAGGTCCTTTATATCTTGTGATGGAGACTTTTCCCAGTTCTTGTTATTAGACCAGTTTTCAAATACAGACACAATATGCCGCAGAAGTGTCTTTGACGACCCTGACATTGGCAGAACGGGACACAAAGGAGGAAGTCAGATCAAACTTCTGACTTTAAGATAGCGGCCTGCTGATAGGTGTACGGGTGTGGAATGGACCCTTCACGGCTTGCAATATGGAATCACCGATATATAGTTGATTCAAAAAACGTGCTTGTGGTAAGAAGGAATTAAATAGTTTTGGATTAGCCTACCTCTTATACAACAATGAAAGTCATACGTAATGCTTACTGTTCTTATCAGTAAGTGTGCAACACCCGTGCACCATGTATATCAACATCTACCTAGCTCAATACTCTTCAGTATCCACCATTAAAGGCAATGGATATCTACACACCAGAATATGAATGTGGCGACCTAAATACGCTCATACTATCTATAAGACAGCATCTTAAAAGACATGTTGGTCCTGTATTGCCTTCTCCTACAAAATCTGACTTTATCGCTCTTTCGTCTGAGTTGCCTGATATTATATATGGAGTGGTATCGCCAATCGCAAGGAAACCAATCAAAGACCATAGAGTGTTATGGGTAATGACTTTGCAGTCGGTTGTACATCGGGCTAATATCTTGATGAAGCTTCACAAGGACGTTCAATTCCACTCACGGGCCGATTCGGATGTGGCTCATGTGGTGAAGGAATTGAGTGAAGTTTTAACAAACCTATACTCGTTCATCAAATCTTTTATGGCTCAGGTAGATGAGAATACCTTTTTGGAGGCTAATAATGCTTACCGTAATACTATAAGGACGTCGTTCATAAGCCTTTTATGCGAGGCTCTTGAGTTGGTGGACACGGGTAAAGATGTGGCCTACGACCCTGAATACTTTGAAGCGTTGGCTACTGTTACGTATAGCGCCGTGGTTCATGTTCAAAATAAGAAGTATGATCAGTGGGAACATAAGCTTACAGCACAAGCAGACGTGACGAAAGCAATTGTTGCATTGAACAAGACAGCATTCTTCATGGGAGCCCCAGAGAAAGTTGAGCCTCTTTTTGTTTCAAATGAAGGAAGACCACCGGTCACTGAAACCTTCCCGTTTAACTTCGTTTCCCATCTTGAAACTGATTTGCCGTTACTCATTGACTTTTACAGGTACTGCGGCTTCTGTCTAGTCACCTTGGCAACGACTAAAGATTCCACACCACACATAACGTCCAAGTATGCACAGTTGGCGAACTACTTCCTTGTGACGCTTCTATCACTTCCAAACTTGAGTCTTAGCAATTACCCTATATCTGGGGAAGTTCCAAGGACTATCCGTAGCGAACACTACCTTCTGCTGCAAGACAGAGAAGAGATATCCTTCTTTTACGTGTTGAGCTACCTTTTACGGTTGGAGAATTTGACTTCTTTGGTTGACCCATTGCCTAGATTCAAGGCAGAAGTGAAACACTTTGTTTTGTCTTTTGGTAAACGAATCTCCTCGGATTTGGATATCCTGGCATCGAGAAACCAATCCTATTCAAACTCCACAATTTCAATGTTGAGCTTGGAGCAACGAGCCACCGCTGCGGCACCTATCGGTAATGCTAATACCTTAAGTTCAATCCTATCAGAAGGAACGTACAAAGAAAAGCTTCATTTGGTCAAGTTGTTCTTCGATAACCTCGTCACCGCTAAAGTCACAGGTAATGTGGCGCTTGCCAAAATGATCGAAACTTTCAACTTCGAATCCGTTCCCGAAGGTTCCCTTTTGACCAGAACGATGAAAAACCAAGACTTCCACCATCTTTTAAGTAACGTGGATATCCAGGCATACCCAGGAAAGAGGCTTTACGTCGAGGCGATCGAAAAGATTGTCAGGCTCATCCAACTACTCACCCTCAAGTACCTACACACTACACTCGGACTCGAAAGCCACCCCGACCAACTTTTGGCCCAGCTCTACAACACCACCTACACTTTCGACAACGTATCCAAGGTCAAGCAATTATTACGCACCAACGACGACGGAACCCTTTGTCGAGCCGTGCCAAAGCACACCCCAGAGAATCTCGAAATCTCTTCCCAGCTCGACATGATCTCGACTACCAGAGAGCTCGAGCAAACCATGCGGTAAAGCACGACGCTTATAACAATACCAACGGGTCGGTTAAAATTCGCCGATGTGGAGATTCCATGTGGCGCCCAACTACCCTACCCCCCCAAGAACTGCAACGCCTTCCGGAATATCGGATCCCACCTTCCCCCAACTTAAACGTCTATGTCTGACTTCATGCTCCCGTTCCACGGCTACCCCAGCCATCAAAGTGTACCTGCAGTGTTTTTCGCAGCCATAGTGCCGACTGCCGACCTTGAGCGAGTAAATAGCGCACTCTCGGTCCGTATTTCAGCACTTTTGGTGCTTGTACTGCAGAAGCCCCCACACCTTGACTGCTGCGCTTGAGCGGTTAGAGCATTTTAAGTCGCACGGCTGTTGCAGTAGGGACCGAGTAGCAAGGGAGAGGCCAGGAAAGAGGAAGTTTGAATTTGACGGTTTTCTGGTTATTTCTTGGCTTAAACGGTTACGGCAAGTTCGGTAAGGTTTCTTTGGAAGTTCTGCTTTTTTTTTGTTATGGCTTGTGATGTACTGTCCAGGCCTGACACATCGGTGAGTGATTTGCTGCAAAAAAAGTTGATGAAGAACTCGCGCTTCGGTACCGTAAGGGCCGGGCATGCACATTCAATTAATAAGTGTATCATTTGAGATTTGAAATAATGGAGGTACTTAAGGATGGCGTATTTCTCATAATCGGTTGATTGATTTTTTTTATATTCAACAGAATCATGAGCCAACTGTCTGAAGAAACGTTATCAAAGCATGAAAGAGATGATAGTGACCCTAAGGGTTACATCCCTGACGAACAAAGCTCCAGCACAAGAGAAGAGGATTTCGTAAGACGATTTGAAAGCAATGCAGGTGTTCAACTGATTGTTGAATCTCTTGGAGGCCAGTATGTTGAAATGGGTCCTTTAGAAGAGGCTTACGATGTTAAGAGGGTCCACACTCGCCCAGACCCTCATACCACCTATAATGAAGAAGATGAATGGAAGTATCCTATCGATGCACTGACACAATTGAGAATTGTGGAGTGGGTTGAGGGCGATAAGGGAAACCCCAAAAACTTTGGCCAGGGTAGAAAGTGGCTCATCACAATGACCCTAGGATTAATTTGCTTTATTGTTGCATTTGGTTCTGCCGTTGTGACTGGTGATATGGAGGAACCTCTTGAGACCTTCAATGTGTCCGAAGAAGTTTACATTTTAGCCTCCATCACTGTCTTTGTCCTCGGCTTTGGATTTGGACCCCTTGCATTTGCTCCTTTCTCAGAAGAGATTGGAAGACAACCAATTTACATTGTGACCTTGTTTGTTGCACTTATATTTATTATTCCTTGCGCCCTTGCCGAGAACATCGCTACTATGCTTGTTTGTCGTTTAATCGATGGTATTGCTTTCTCAGCACCAATGTGTCTTATCGGCGGCTCGTTGGCTGATATTTGGGAAGGTCACGAAAGAGGAAAAGCCATGGCAGTCTTCTCAGCTGCTCCCTTTTTGGGTCCATCGCTTGGTCCTCTCTTTGGTGGTCTTTTGGGTGATTACACTTCTACATGGAGATGGATCTACTGGACCTTCTTGATTATTGCTGGTGTGGGTTATATTCTTCTCCTCTTGTTGGTACCAGAAACGCACCATCAAACCCTTCTCAAAAGAAGAGCCAAGAAGCTCCGTAAGTTAACTGGTGATGACAGATACAGAGCCATTAGTGAGCTTAAGGTGAGAACTTTTAAGGAAAAGGTCAACGAGTCATTACTTAGACCAATGATCTTGCTTGGCGAACTTATCGTCTTCCTTGTCACACTTTACATGTCCGTTGTCTACGGGTTGCTTTACATGTTCTTCTTCGCATACCCAGTGGTCTACATGGAGGGTAAAGGCTGGTCCGCTACAATGACTGGTGTTATGTTTCTTCCAATTGCTGGCGGTGTTGTCGTTGCAACCTTGCTTGCTCCACTCATCAACAAGGACTACAATAACAAAGCAAAGCCGTATGTTGACAGAGGTGAACTTCCTCCTCCCGAGCTTCGTTTGAGACCTATGCTTGTTGGCTGTTGGTTTATTCCCGCTGGTCTTTTCTCCTTCGCCTGGTCCTCGTATCCTCATCTTTCCTGGGCCGGTCCTTGTTTCAGTGGCTTTGGTTGTGGTATCGGTTTCCTTTCTTTGTACAACCCTGCAAACAACTACATTGTTGACTCGTACCAGCATTATGCTGCCAGTGGATTAGCCGCCAAGACATTTGTCAGATCGATCTGGGGTGCCTGCGTTCCTCTTTTCACCGTTCAGATGTACCACAAGTTAGGCTACCAATGGGCCACCTCGTTAATGGCCTTCATTTCATTAGCGTGCTGTCTTATTCCATACGCCTTTTACATTTGGGGTGCCAGAGTGAGAGAGTTCTCCAAATATGCCTACACTCCAGAGAAGGAGAAGCATTAAGGGCTATTTTGATGCTCCACCCATGGGAGTTTATCCCTCGCTCATTTATAGAGCGTTCACTAATCCAACCATTTTCATATAAGAAATATAATATCATCGCTAAAACATTCCTGGGGCTTTCCTGAGCTCTGAAACTACTGTAGAACGCATATTTAGCACGTGAATAACAGGAAGCTATAAAACTCGTAAATTGTGGATCATTTTGAGTACTTAAGCCAACTTGACTTATCTTAGACGCGCACTTTCTGATTCAACTAATGCTTCACTAGCTCAGTAGGCAGAGCGTCAGTCTCATAATCTGAAGGTCGAGAGTTCGAACCTCCCGTGGAGCATTATTTTTTATATTTTTGTAAGAATTAACCTTTTTATTGATTTCTGACGACTACGAGTTTTCTTTTTGTTCAATTTTAATGTGTATTATCGACGTTTAGAATGTCTAGCTCGTTCTTGATTCCAATTAATATGCTGCGAAAAGTCATTTCGCCTAGCTACAATGCATTTACATAGTCCACCATACCTCATTTATTTAACTGTTATACTCCTCTTTATTCATCTGTCTTTTGCTTTTTCGTGACTTGCTCTTCATCGTCTTCAAGTGACCGTTTTGCATCATTCTCACCTTCCTGGGTAGAATTATTGATATCCTTTTCATCTTCCTTTTCGGTCTCTGGTGGAACACTGCTCTCAGCTACACTTCCATCAGTCACTTCTCTGGTATCTGTTTCACTTGGAGCTGGTCCAGGAGTCCCATCAGCCAGAGCTTCTTTATCGCCATTTTCAGCAACCTCCTCTGTAGTCTCCAAAGCTTGAGCTTCAATATGATCTTGCTGCTTCTGGCCTTCGTTGTTAGCTTCCAGTCCATCCTGAACGGTTTGTGCTTGGAAGGATTTCTCAATCTCCGTATCCACCGAACTCTTCTTTATGATACCAGCACGAGGTCCAGTACGCCCAGGCAGTGGAGCAGTAATATTGGAAACCTGTGGCGTGCTTCTTTCATCAGCTGCCTCTCGTTTCACTTGATTCAGATCTGTACCATCAGGGGCAGGAGTAGTGTAGGCTGCTTTCATATCTGCTATTGTTTTAAGGGAGGAAGAACTCAATTCACTCGTCGAGGCCAAATCAGGAGGTGCCTGTGCGCCAACGGGAGCCGGTTGGGTTCCTGGCGCTGCGTCTGAAGGTTGAGTACTTTGAGCATCATTGATAGTCGGTGCCGGTAATAAACTTGGCGACTTGGCTTTCTCAGAGTCATTTTGGGCCCCAGAAGGTGACTGACCGTTCTCTTGGATGCGGTATGACTCTTTCCGTTCTTCAATGTAATCCTTGACAAAGTCATTGAAGATGTCGGGCTGATCCTTAAGCACAGACTCCACATCTCTCTTCATCGTTGTGACAAGGCCCGTTATATATGGGAAAAGATCACGTCTGGCAAGTCTCTTGACCTTTGTTGCTTCCTTTGGTGGCACGCTTGAGTCCTTGGACTTCTCCTCCTTCTCGCTTAATGCAAGCTTCTCGGTTTGATCTTTGAACACCTTCAAGTAAACAGAGCATAAAGTATCATCAATCAAAGATGTAGGTCCAAAACCGTTGTTGAGTTTTCTCATATCGTTAATAACATGCAAATAACAAAGATGTGGCTTCAACTCCTTCGGGATTCCCTTCCCCTTCATCGCTTCGTTCAATGCCTTAGCTTGATTAACAAAGCTTTGGTATGGTTTCATGAACAAAAACTTCTCAGTAGAACCATCCTCAACCTTAGCAACAACTCTAATGAGCTTGCAAATTGATGAGCAGATATTCTCCCATGCAAAATAGAGCTTGATCATGGTGGAATTAGCACGTCTAAGTTTTGGTAACATAAGCACCAACGAAGCAAGGTCAAGTTCTCTTCTCAACAACTTAATGTAAAACTCAGTGTACTGGTACATGTAGACAAAGTGCTTTCCGGGTCTTTCATGCTCTGGCTTCCACATTTGAAGGTAAGTTTTGTTGGTAGCTTTCAAAGTGAAGAATCTAGACATGATGCTCCGGGCCTGTCTAAAGTCATCAAACTCATCATAGTATATCACTGCCATCCGGTAGCATTGCTTATGGTACCAACCTCGCTTGTCTAAAGAATTGATCGTCTTGAAGCACCCGATTAAGAGCCTATAGAGATCCTCCGGCTTGTCAAGGCTCGTGGAAGCCTTCACCTTCAATGTATTGTCACGTTTCAAGTAGTCCAATGCCTGATCTAGGGTGATCTTGCCAGCCTTGAAATACTTGTAAATCCACAGGCACAATGAATATGACGGTTCCAAGAAGGGATCAGCAGTGGTGCTGTGAATGAAAGCTACCCTGCTGCTCTTCCACAATGTATCTAATACCTGAAGAGGTGGTTTGCCCAATTTATTTTGGAGCTTGGCCAAATAGTAGTGAGATGTCCATTCTTCAGGATTCGACTTGATTGCAAGGTGAAGACATCTTTGCATTAACTTAAAGCAGAACGAGTGAGTAAGAGTTGCCTGATCAGCCACCGGTTGCATCATGGTCATTTGACGCTTTCTAACGAATTTGGCGTTAGTCTGAGTCTTGAATGCAATCATGTCCAACGGCTCACGATTTGCATTGTATAATTCTTTGACAAATGAATTCATAGCAACACTGATGACAGGCTTATAATGTTCAGCCTCAGTAAGTCCCTTCTGGGTCAAGAGATTGATAGCCATAATGTAACTCAACAAAGACTGTCTCTGAAGATTGGCTGTGAGTACCTTCCTTTCAATAATATTGAGCTTATCAGAAGTCCAGATCAAGTCATCTTCGACAATGTATCCATAGGCTTGACCAAGAAGGATCCAAGACTCGACACGTCCACTCTGGGAAATTAAATCATCTTTCAATAACCTGATAATCTTTTCAAGCTCGACTGTCCTACTTTGGGCAGACTTCTTTCTGATCTTGTATGAGTTGAACATGAAGATGGCTTCAACAAAGTACAATCCCCTGCTAGCGACAGTATACTCCTTGAGAGGATTTTGGAAGTTGAGATCATGAAGACCATAAAAGGCTCGCTTGATGAATCTGGCGTCAATAGTAGTGTTCTGATAAAACATTTCGATCTTGGCATTGTTCTGAAGAAGCACTTTATCGGAATCAAGGTCGAGCTCTTTCAACACTTCAAAGATATCATCAATAACTTGCTTCATATCGTTTCTTGGAACCTTGAGAAGCGGATTGTGTCTGAAACATAAAGGCAATATAAATTTAGCAAGTTCAGTTGCACTTGCTTTATCCAACTCAGCAGACTTGACTGTGCCGTGGTCAGTTGGGAACTGATCATTGATCTTGACTTTGTAGTGGAAACGACATGAAAGGAGTTGCGATAACTCCCGATCAGGTCTATTATTGAGCACAACCAAAGTATCTTCCGCAAGCTTAAGGAACACTCCGTTTGATGAATCACATAGTCTCCTAATTCCCAATTGGTTATGTACTAGGAGAAGTAAATCAATTATGGGCTGCTCATCGGGACCGTTGCTCTTAATTTGATTAACAGCATAAACAAGGATAACTGTGATCGTCTCAATACAGAAATCTTTCAAGCGTTGGAAAGCCTTCTTAGATTTGACCTCAACAGAGAATTTGGCACCCGTTATAAGAGCTGCCTCCTCGTGTAAACTAAAGCAGTAAAATAATTCAAAGATCTGTGCCAAGTTTCCAACTGTTTCCAAGGAGTTGGCTGAATCATTAATCGGAAGCTTCCAACCGTTAGCTGCAAGATGCTTCAAAAAGATGCGAAGGTATCCACCAAAGTAATTAAGAGTATTAAGTAAAATCGTTGAACGATCGCTTTTGATCTCGCAATACTTGTCGCCTTTGAAGTAAGACAACATAAACTTGACATTCTGCTCAAAGCCTCTTTGGAAGCTCTCAAATGAGTTGGTATCCTCGTAGTACAGGAAAAGAATATTCCAAAGACTCAATTTGAGGTCGATAGGACAAACATCAAGGAATTCACTGACGCTTGAAAGTGACGACTTGTCAAGGTTGGCCCTACCATGTATAACAGAAGACACCAAGCTACTGTCGGTATCAGGAACAGTTGAAGCGGACTGCTCTCCCTTTTCGATGAGAATGTTTTCGAGTAGAATGATGGTTTCTTCTGTGCCACCCTTAGCTGACTTTTCGCTCCATAAGATCTTGGAGAAAATGGATAAGATAGACGATGTAGTCAAGCGCCTACCAAAACTCTCTGCGTTCAAATTCCCAATGTTTGTATAATTAGGGAACGACAATGATAGGTCGGGAAACTGTTTAAAAACATCACCAAGACGTTGGAGATGGATAACGACGAACTTCTTCTCTTTCCAGGTGAAACTTTGGGATGCTAAAAGATAGTTCAACAGCCAGATATAGCGACAATAATGGATGGCTTCTGACTGAGAGACTTCTTGAATATCAAACTCAGAGAAAATGTTTGCTTGAAGAAGCTCGCTTTGCTTTCGGAGACGTTCTTCATAATGAAGAAGGTCCACAGTTAAACTATTCAAGCTCAGTCTAGCAGCTTTTGTCAAACCATTCTTGTTCTCAGAACCTAAGATCTTGTCCACGTTACCTTTAAGTGAGATGTAAGCATCGACGAGGATTTCAAAAATGGCCAAGCAAACATTAATAGTAGAAATTCGCTCATGCGTGCCATTGTTGCGAGTTATTAACAGTTCAAAAATGTCACCTTCGAGCTGTAGAACCCATTCTTTGACATTGTCATAGAGACTTGAGCTCCAGAAATACTCTAGGATTGGAGGCGAGTCTTCACCAAGCAAGTGGTACAAAATATCGATTCGAGCTTGCCTGGGGTATTTGTGCTGTTGCGCCTTTTGCAAAGTACTCTTGATATAGTCATAATCTTGAACATCATCAAAAAGTTCCGCAATTGAGTCAGAGTCGGCGGAGTTCAGGTTACCGAAATGCGTCAACACATCCAAAAGCTTGAGCTTGTCGGCATCAGCTTCGCTACTATTGACTCCCGATTTTTTGGTCGACAAAAGAATCTCAGTATGGATGTGAGGCCTCCATTCATTAAGCGTTCTGACAAAGTCTGCAACATAAGTTGGAGAAGTGGATGCTACGTCTGAGTCCACGATATGGCAGACGACGTCATGCAAAATATCAACATCAGTATGGAAAGCAGATTTGAATGATTCGTCGAGATGCTTGAAGAAAGCAACCGTTTCGAAATAATGGTGTCTTGTTAGCTGAACATCGTCAAGCTCAAAAACAACGTTTTCTTCACGATTCAACCTTCTAGATGAACGTTGGGCCACTTTCTCGGCTACCTTTTCAGGTAGATTCTCAGCAGTTGCTGGTGGTGCAGACGGTACAGGGGTGGCAGAAGCCGTGTCTTCTATTAGAACAACATCATCATTCTCTGTGTTGTGCGTTTCGCTTTCTTCCTTTGGTTCCTCTTGCTTTGTCTCAGTTACTGGCTCTGGAAGAGGCGTCGAGTCTTTCTCTGGCATTGGGAATGAATAAACTGTAAAGTCCAACATAGACTCCGACGCAACGTATGGATCAATATACTTGAAGGAAGAGTATCGAAGGAAATCCTGTTGCTTCTCTTTGTCTTGTGCTTGCTTGATGGCCAGATTAAATGACAGAATCACATCCAGCCAAGACGCTTGCGGCTTAACAGTGACATGGAGGCCATTTTTCTGATACTTCTTGTTGATCTGGCCGTTGAACTCCTCGCGGATTGGAGCTAGGAAGGAAAGCTTCTTTTCTAGTCCTGGAGAGACAGACTCGACCGAAAGTCCCTTATTTTTGAACTCTTCCCAAACAGGTTTCACCCACTCATTCATAGGTAACACACTGATGACATCTTCGCTCTCCAGACTTAGCAGTAGCGTGTACTCCAACGTATACCTAGCGAGCTTCTTCAAGTCAAAGTAGGTGAAAAGGTCGTATAAAAGCCGTAGGAGACTTTCATCAACTTCCAGATATACAAAGCAATTGACAAAGTCGTCAATCATCAGGTAAAAAAGCTCATTGGTGAACTCATTCTCGGATATCTCTTGAGCATCAGGAAGCGACTGGTCTTTCTGGCGAACTTCCTCGACGAGATCGCTCCCACTCTGGAGAATATGGAAATATAGAAACCCCCTATTCCTAAAGTATAGGTATCGTATTGTCTTGACGTTCTGGGACAAGTAGCTTAGTTCATCAGGCCGAGTATTGAGCCCACCATTCTGTAGACCCTTGACAAACTCCGTCTCCTCGTAGTAATGATTATATATGACATCTTTTTTCTGAAGCTCCTTATACTTTGCATATGCTTCCACATACTGTTTTCGTTTCTGGAGAGTGATGGCTTCCTGGAAGGTCTTGAATGCCGTTTCTATCTCTATCTCTCTAGTATGGTTCTCCTCCAAGTCCTTCTTGGACGAGGGGTCGTCCACAACATTCAAAGGGGAGAAAGCAGACTATTGTTAGTTTCCAATTCCATCCATCATGCGTTCATTGTACGTACCATTGCAGCTAGGGCTGTATTCGCCTGTTGTATGTTCACTATGTTTGAAGTCGCGCTTAACAGTGGAGGTTTAGTAAGTTGGTGCGGGTACGATAGAGAGTAATGGGTGCAAAATAGATGTCTCACCCATTGCTACAAAAAAAGAAGCGGTTTCTGGATGGTCGTTTCTCATGAATAATAGTCTATAAAATGTCCTGGTGGGGGTTCTATACCAGAGTGTGTTTGTCTTCTCTGGTGGGTTCTGAGATGTCTTCTGATGCATCAGAAGCCATGGTGACTTCCTTCTCTAGGCGTCGATGTGCTTTTTCTTCCCGTATGATTTTTCGGCCGCCTGTAAGATACCAGCCTATCTGGCTGAGGAAAATGCCGATTTCCAATGCTATAACTATGGCGTATAAGACCATGGACATGATATCCATCGTGCCCACAACAATACTGACCAACGAGAATAAAGCACCAAAGGAGTCCATCGCCAAGAAAAAGAAGTTGATTCCAACAACTCGGCCTTTACGCTTAGCCAATTCAAAGTATGGGGGTATTAAGCCTAATGCTAGGAGGATAGATGCAATGATTCCAATCACCAACATGGGCCACTCTTTGCCGTCTCTGTAGAGCGGACGTAGCCAGAGAATGAGGCCTGCCTCAAGCCCAACAGAGATCACCACAAAAGAGCCCACAATTATTAGCACCTTACGCCATGGCATTGCCACTGGTGGATAAACCAATGCTTGCATCCATGTCACTGTACAACAAAACGTAAAAAGCTGTGGTTGGATTCTTAAAGGGATCAGGCCGTCAGTACCAAAGAAATAAATACTGAAGGGTACACCACTTGCGGCCCAAAGAAACATCATTAATGGCGGTAGACCAGTACAATCTTTGATCTTAAAGTTTCGTATGATTTGTGGAACAAGTTGAATACACCATAGGATTGTTCCTATAGTGCCTAGGACGTTGACTGCTACACCATCGCCCATAACTGAGTTATATGGTTCAACTGTGGAGTGCTTTAGTTCTCGGCTATTGTTCTTGGAAAAGGTTCTTTATGCAAATATTGCTTGTAAAGCTTTAAATCCACAGCGAGAACACCAAAGTAGCACAAAAAGTAAGCGAATAATTCTTCAGCAGCAGAATAAGATGGTGGGGCAAACTCGGTGATATATGTACCCGCTCGACCATAATTGATATCAGTCGTGAGTTGCGCTTTTATCGGCCTAGGTGCAGCACAAAAGTGTCAAAAGCGCAAATCTATAGTGGGGCACGCGATAATGACAGAAAATGTCACCTCCAAAAATATGTCATTTCTCATAATTTGGTGCATCTCAAAGCCGAAAAAGGTGGGGGCAGTGCCATTCAATTAACGTTTTCTTTTCTTTGAAAACCCCTTTTTTTCCATCATTCAGAGTCACTGTATTCAAATCCCAATTCGGCCTCCTCTCTTTGTATCTCATTCTGTAGCTCTTCATCATATTCCCCAGGTTCCTCAAACGACGAAGTCTTGTTCTCAGTACTGGAAGTCCTGCCAGCAGCCACTTCAGGTGCAACAAGATTGGCAGGCCCATTTTGACTCGTTCGCTTTGATTCGTCTAACTTTACTGGTTCCTTCTTTGGCAATGACGCTTCCCCTTGTTTTGCAGCCGTGTCGCCGATGACTTCTTTTTGCGCTTCCCTCGCTTCTGAAGACTCAGGTTCCTCGTGTTTCTGTGGGGAAATTTTGTCCTCCTGCGTTGGCTTGAAAGAGAAATCCATTCCATCGCCGTCACTCAAATCGTCGCTTTCGCTGTTATCAGATGGATTTTCAGCGTTATCATCTAAACCTTCACCAACACCGTTGGAGGGTTCGGGAGCAAAAAAGCCTCCATCTTCAGGGGAATGTAGATCCGGGCTAGCCGACTCAGCCTTAACCGATGGGCTTGGGGCCATAAATCCCCCTTCTTCAGCCAAGAAACCTCCATCGTCAGGATCTTCCTTTGGTACGGTGGTTTCCTTTGGCTCGATGGACTCCTCGGGCACCATGAATCCCCCTTCTTCAAAATCACTCCTTTCATCTTCCTCTTTGGGTGCTACTTCAGCAGGGCCGCTAATCGGGGGCGGCGTTGCGGGTACGGAAGCGTTTTCCTCGTTTGGTAAAAAGCCACCAAATTGCTCGTCATCTAATTCATCTAGAGCACGTTCATCTTCATGTCTCCTTTGGAATCTTTCCTCTCGAGATTCATGATTATTGTAGGTATCGTCACCGCCAGATTCATCTTCACTTCCCACACTAAAATAGCCTTCATCTTCAGCTTCCGAATCTTCTTCTTCTCCTTGTAATTTGCCGTGCTGTTTGTTAAGTCTATCCATAACCATCAACTTCTTGAGGAAGAAATTCCAGCCTCTCAATGCAGTGAGTTCGACCTGTCTTCTCTTTTCTTCTTCTTCAAGTTCAATCAATCCCTCCAACACGAGATCGATAGCTTCCTTGTATTGCATGTCCACCAAAACTCCACCGACACGGGCTGTAGGCGATCTTCTATTCTTTGAACTCTTTTCTGTAAAGTCGAATGCCACGATTGCTCGAGCATGGTCAATGTGAAGAATATCTTTTGCAGCTTTTTCGATCATTTTTATGGATGCAATTTCAGAAACCTGAACCAAATATCCATTTTCAGGCATCATTGACGGAACGAAGATCTCGACATTTCCATAAGCATTCTTAGGAATAACACCATCAACAATACGCGGAGCATGATAAAGTTGGGTCTGGAACTCAGCGTATAATCTCACAAGTCCATCTTCATCCTCTTCTTCCATTTGAGCAAGTTGCTTTTCTTTCGTTCTCAACGGTTGGGCTCCAACCTTAAGCACCCGACCCCTTAGGTACCACGCTTTAGCTGTTCGTAGCCTGTAAACGTGTGAACGCTTGTAGATTGGCACAACGCTATCCTTGTTCATGGGTCTAAAAGTTCCACATTTGCTAGTATCATCGTTTGGATGGATGACCTCGTCCTTTCGTAGTTGAGACTCCAAGGCGTAGAGTGGGTGATTCTTGAAATCAGCCATATTATTAGGAACGCCTTCGTATTGATCTCTTAAAATGAATTCCTGTGTCTCCTTAATGTCGGGTAAACCGTACTTCCTTTCTGAACGAGCTGCTTTTAGTAGCTGCTCAAACCAATGTTCATCCTTGTCGGAGAGGTAATCAATTCTCTTCTTCACTGTCTTCGCATTATAGTATTGGGTGTACCTTCTGGTGACGTCTCTAATCCCTCCTGCCTTGTCAAATGCAAGAACATATAAAGTCTGGTGTGTTGGATCCAGGGCTGGAGCTTCAAACTTTCCTTTCTTGCGCATTGGCATAACTTCCACAGATTGATTAACAATTGGATCTACGGTGATCCACTTTTTCAGGTACGGGTTCCAGACCTCTACCCAAAATACTGGAAATGGAGATATCGGGAAATTGAACTTCTTTTTCGATCTCTGTCTTGGGTTCGGTTTTGACTCACCTCTTCGAACACCCAGTAGTAGAGCACCACGGGAATCTGGTATGAAAATGGGATCGAATTCTGATCTTGGTTTTTCTTCATGTTTCGGCTTTTTCTCCTTTTCATCTTCCTTCTCCTTCTTAGCGGGCGTAATTGATCTGAAATCAGGCGGCTGCAAAGAGAAGACTAGCCTAGCATTTAGTCCGTATCCTCTTAGTAGACATACAAATCCTTGAGCTCCTAGATCCCGGGAACCTCTAAATGCACATAGCATCTGTCTAAACTTATCTTGATCCACATTACGGACCACCAGCTCTTGCTTCACCAGTAACTCTCCCCAGTCTTTGCGTACAAGTCCTTGGGCCATAACTCTAAAACGATAATATTTCACGAGCTTTTGTAGCCCCTCAACAAAATGACGTTGTTTGACGTAATCAATGAGCTTGGCTGGTGGGTCAAAGTGGTTCTTGAGGCCGGTTGCGAAATCCTCTACTAGTAGACGCTGTAGAGTCTTATCGTTACACCACTTATTTCTTATGACTCCGTGTGCAACCATCGCCATAATGTACAATTGGTGAACTATTTTACGGCGATGACGTTCAGCCTTAGGCACCACAGTGACCTTCTTGCGCTTCCCCTTTGCTTCCTCTTCCTTCTTTTCGTTAATCGTAAATGTAAGTGTTTCATGCTCTTTCTGAGGCTCTTCAAGCATTGCTTCGAGGTCCACATCCTCAAGGTCCTCAAAGTCATCTGAATCGTCACCATCATTTTCATCAATATGGATCCCATCACCATCTCCTTCAGCCGTGCTAGATGCATCAGGCTCTGTAGCAGCATGGTTGCTCGGACCTTCAGTATCAACATCTTCAAACTCCATCGAGTCTGAGGAATCAGAGCCAAAAAGGCTGTCGTCATTCACATCTTCACTCGGAGCCGGCGGTGGTGGAGGTGGCGTAGTATGTTTCCTCCTCTTCTTCCTCTCAGGGCCTGTAGAAGCAGCAGGGCCTAAACTCTTTCGTAGCAAAGCCCTATAATGTGGGTCTAGAGACATCTGAATATAGTGAACGTGTAGAGACCTAGTCTTGTAGCACCAGAAGTCTTTGTAATGTAAATTGTGCACTCACCAATTGTGGCGAGTTCTTGTGGGGTGAGTTTCGCAACCTTGGTAATGGGACTGTTGATATCACAGCTTTAGTGCGCATACATTTTTTCACTTAGACTTCACCTTAGAGAGATACAGAGTATAGCCATGGCCTGGACGGCAGCTTCCATATTAAGAATCCGCTGTCGACTACGACCATCTTTTGCAGGCATAAGGTTTGCTTCGAGCTACCTGCGCTTGGCAGATCGGGCTCATCGGCAGTTATACAACTCTTTACAGACCGAGATGAAGAGGTATAGGAATGGGAAGGCTCTTAAGGTCAAGCCTAGTTTACCACAATTCTTTGTGTGGCTTCAGAAGTACGGTAATAACGAGACAGTGACTTTGGGAGAGGCACATATTCCTGCTCCATTTTCCAAGGAATCAGTGCTAGAGGTGGGCCTATTCCACCTTCTTATTGGCCTTAAGGGCCTGCCAGATTTAGACTGGCAATGGGAAACCCAGATCGAGCATCTTGATCTTATTCAAAAGCGAATGGGTTCGAATAAAAAGTTTGCAAGTGTCCTGGACTCGTCTCTAGCTGATGCTAAGCATATCTTGTTGCAAGAGTCAAACATTCTGCATGTCTCAGGATCCCAATTAGCAGTCATCGAGAAATCACTAGCTATAGTTTGTGCTGCTTGTCCCCAAGTCTATAAAGACACATCCCTCACGCTCATTACATGGCTACGAAGCCTTTTTGCATCTTCTGTTACTGACGCTGAGCGTCACCTTCGTGAAGCAACCTATATTCCACCTTGTATTTATTCAGACATTCTTCTACGAACCTCAATGTCTCGGAAAGAGCTCCATGATCAACTAAGTCTTTGGCATGACTCAATCGCATTAATTGGACGCCACTACAACAAGAAGTCATCCCACATAACAACTATCATGACTAACCTCAGTTATTACTGCGTGCATTACGACCATTCATGTCTTTACGACTTCACCAAGCATAATCTCAAGTACTTCACATCGAAGAACTCTGGTTTTAATTTCAAGCTATTTGACCCAGCACAAATCAATAAGCTACTTTGGACCTTGTCTGTGATCCTCATACACACCCAGCAGCCATCTAACCAAACAGCAATGGCAGTAATAAGGTCTCAAGAACTTCTAGTGAAGTACCTTACACATGGAAAACTCTCACAAGTTGGGTTTATGGCGGTGATAATAGCTCTTCGCTACGTCTCTGATGAAAAAGCACAGAAACTATTTAAGTATGCTAAATCTCAGTTTCCCGATGTATCTGTTGAGGCATATATGGCGGAGGTTTATCTTTCCAACTCACCAGAACAACTATTGCATAGCTTTAATGTTGCCATGTCGGACTATGAGTCTTCTGCCACATTGTGGCTTGCATTCGTGACTAAGCTCACTGAACTCGGTCTTTTATCAGAGCAAAGGTCGCTTAAAGTGTTGGATCAGCTTCTCCCTAGATCCAAGGACCTTATCATTTCTAAGCAGATAATCCTCACACTCCTTCACCCAATAAGAACGATCCAAGCAATGGAAGAGTTCATTTCAAAGCTTGAAAGCGCTAACATGTTCCAGCCATTCAAAGGCATTGTTCACAATCGGTACCTTCAGATATTGTATCAAAACAGTGATACTATACCAGCGTCAAGACCGTACCTTGAGACAGTTTGCAATTCGCAATCAGCTGTGGAATGTGCTCGGCAGTTATACTCTTGCATTGACAGAAAAACAGTTAATAATATTGGAGTGATGCTTGCAGGTGAAAGCACTCAACGTGCTGAGGACCTATACAACTTGTACCAGCAAGAATTAGGTACAACACCGCCTGACGAGAACTGCCTCGTTGCACTTCTCAGAGCAGCGTCATGGAATTCTACTGAAGAGCATCGGCTTCGTTGGAATAACCTCCATGCGACCCAAGTGGCCGTTTACGAGTTTAAATTGAATGTAAGTGAAGCTTTCAATGATTCCAAAATCATGCCTTCCAACAAGACCTGGCAGCTCTATATCACTCTTCTCAAAGACTGTGACTACACATCCGAGCTCTCAGAGATCCTTCGTTGGTGGGAACAGTTGCATTTCGTGCCTTCCAGAGACACTTTATTGACGTTACTTCAAGCATTACCGCTTCCGTTTGCCCAGCGTCACATCAAGCACTGGAAGAGTGTGCCTGACTCAGCATCTAGTCTTCAAGACTGGCCCTGGCCAAACGAAGAAGAATTACAGAATTAGAATAGACATAGCAGGAACCTGCCCACCTGCACCTGGCATAGTATGTTTCAAAAAGTGTAGATAATCCGGTAGCTCGGTTGAACGGGATTTCTGGGCACGTAACATGGTTGCAAAACATTTCGCAGCCGTCCCAGCCAGCCCAAGTCCATCAACGAAGGGAAGCAGGCATTATAAAGTAGTCAATTGCGTCTTCAGCCAATATTCCCAAACAATTTGTACCCGAATTTCATATTTTTTTATCTACTTTTTACTTTACCTACCATTACCACCCAACTTGACACTTTCCCGTTGTTCGGCTAATTACCACAGATATTGAGAATAAGGCACAACAACATCCCACCCAAACTCACCAAAAACCAACCAAATAAATCCATTCCACCATCAATGTCTTCCTTTTATTTACCCCTTCCAATTCTCCAACAACCACCCACCAAAACCTCCCCCTACTTCCCAATCACAAGCACTTCTGGGCCATGTATGCGTCGAGCAGCGCGACCAATAGATTTCCGAGACTCTCCGGGTGGACCCGTTATATAAAAGCGGTTGACCCCACGAAAAAAAAAAAAAAAAAATTGGATCCGTGCGCTAACAATTTCCAAGGTTTAGTATCCAAAGGACACACTCCCCAACACAAAAAAAAGTTAGCAATAAAAAAAAAAAAAATGTTGAGACTTGCCAAATCAGCGAACCTCACACGTTCATTTGCAACTTCTGCTAACCTCATGAAGGCCTCTACCAGAATTGAAACCGACGCTTTCGGCGAGATCGAAGTCGACAGCTCCAAATATTATGGTGCTCAGACCGCCAGATCCAAGAAGAACTTTGACATTGGTGGCATTGCTGCTCGTATGCCTGAGCCAGTGGTCAGAGCTTTCGGTGTGTTGAAGAAATCCGCTGCCATTGTCAACGAGGGCTACGGTGCTTTGGACCCAAAGATCGCTGCTGCCATTCAGCAGGCTGCCACCGAGGTTGCCGAGGGTAAGTTGGACGACCACTTCCCATTGGTGGTGTTCCAGACTGGTTCCGGTACTCAGTCCAACATGAACGCCAACGAGGTTATTTCCAACCGTGCTATTGAGATCTTGGGCGGTGAGTTGGGTTCTAAGAAGCCTGTCCACCCTAACGACCACTGTAACATGTCCCAGTCTTCCAACGACACTTTCCCAACTGTGATGCACATTGCTGCCGTCACCGAGATCTCCAAGCAGTTGATCCCAGAATTGACCCACTTGCGTGACTCTTTGCAGAAGAAGTCCGAGGAGTTCAACGATATTATCAAGATTGGTAGAACTCACTTGCAGGATGCCACTCCATTGACCTTGGGTCAGGAGTTCTCCGGTTACGCCCAGCAGCTCTCCAACGGTATTGAGAGAGTCGAGGCTACCGTCCCAAGATTGTCTTACTTGGCTCAGGGTGGTACTGCTGTCGGTACTGGTTTGAACACCAAGAAGGGTTGGGACTCTAGAATCGCCGAGGAGGTCTCTAAGTTGACCGGCTTGACTTTCAAGACTGCTCCAAACAAGTTCGAGGCTTTGGCTGCTCACGATGCTGTCGTTGAGGCTTCTGGTGCTTTGAACACCGTCGCTGTGTCCTTGTACAAGATCGCCAACGACATTAGATACTTGGGTTCTGGTCCAAGATGTGGTTACGGGGAATTGTCCTTGCCAGAGAATGAGCCAGGCTCGTCTATCATGCCTGGTAAGGTTAACCCTACCCAGAACGAGGCCTTGACTATGGTCGCTGCTCAGGTTATGGGTAACAACACTGCTATCACTTTCGCTGGTGCTTCTGGTCAGTTCGAGTTGAACGTTTTCAAGCCTGTTATGATCTCTAACTTGTTGAGCTCTATCAGATTGATCGCTGATGGCTGCAGATCTTTCAGACTTAACTGTGTTGATGGTATCACCGCTAACACTGACAAGATTGAGAAGGTTTTGCACGAGTCTTTGATGTTGGTCACCGCTTTGAACCCAAAGATTGGTTACGACTCTGCTTCTAAGGTTGCCAAGAACGCTCACAAGAAGGGATTGACCTTGAAGGAGTCCTGTTTGGAGTTGGGTGTCTTGTCTTCCGAGGAGTTTGACCAGTGGGTCAGACCAGAGAAGATGATCGGTCCAAAGGACTAAGTGGCTTGTATAGATTTTGTCACTAATTCTAAACCATGTATAAAAGAACATCTATTCTATTGATTAATGGCCCGCGAGAAGCTTGCTCTAATGTCTGCTTCCACAGCGTTCATCACACTGACTTCCTTCTCGTCAACAGTAGTGGTTAAGTTTTCGTACTCTGGCAAGTATGAAAGGCAAATGTTGAGTCCCCCTTTAGCTGTCGAGACAGCATGGACAATGAAATGATAAACGAGGGAATTGTTCAGTGTGAAATAAGCATCAGTGATTTGCCATTCCTGATCTGGGACTTCCTTAAGCGAGCCCAAGTTGGTGATGAGCAAAGTCGTTCTCTTTTTCAGTCCAATCAAACTTTTGAGCATATTAACGGTATCCATGATCTTCAATGCCCAGACATGCTTAAAACCTTCTTTTGATTCGATTGACTCTTTGATTTTCTTATGGATCTCCTTGACTTCTCCTTCAAAGTTGTCTTGGTGTGGCATGATATATGTATCGCCACAGACGAATGCACCGTATTTGATATCTTCAGAAAGTTCAGGATAATATCTTCTACCCTCCACGGCCATAAAAAGCTTAGTGCTTACCTCCTCTGGATTCGAGTGGTATTGAGGAAAGACAAATCTTTCTAAACTGCGCTTGACAACTGCTGTGATGTATGGAGTAACAGTGTATGAGTTAGATCTGCAATGACCCACGAGTTTGCTGACCTCAGAAGGCGGTAAATTAATGATACGAATTTTGTTTTCAACGTTTGCGCTGATTGGTTCGGCTTCAAACAACTTGGGCGACTTGAATCCATTGAAAATCCAGTTTACCCATTCGTATAATTTAGGCGTTTTGATTTCAAAAAAGAACTTAAACTTCTGGAACCACAGCGGGTAGAATAAATTAGTTAAAGTTTCAACAGCAGGTAAAACTGATGTACCTTGGTTCTTGTAAAGTTCACCGTTGAACTCAGAGCCAGAGGTTTTGCCGAGGTAGCCCATAAGATCCTTATGGAATTGGGCGGTGCTACCACCATCGAAATGGGAATGGCATGCATAAAAAGTGAAGTATTGCTCTGTCTTTGTCTCCATCACCAATAGACGCCACAATGGAGCATCATCCCTGTTCACTGGGACCCGCATGGTAACAGTTCTTTCAAGAGCATACCTATCGAATTCTTCAATTTCGATATACTGAACGACCGAGTCGAAGTTAATGTGATCTACAGGCCTTGTAACATAGTCCTTGTAGACGTTACCCGTGTTGGCGACCCTAAAGGTATTATGGGTGAACCACAGGTTTTCATTGATCAAGAGCCTCAATGCTTCTGCCAAATGGGCCTTAGTAACATGTTTGTTGTATTTGGCAGTGGAACTTAAGTTTGTGTAAAGCCCGTTAGCATTTCTAAGAAGAAAGTGCTTTTCGTAGAATCCTGGAGACCGACTCATGCTATGCTGTGGAGAAGGGAGACTGCGAGATGGCTTACTTATATCATATACTTATGAGTCAAATAGGCCGATGCCGCTATTCCTGAACACAGACCCCATGCTACTTCCCCATTTCGGGGCCGTAAGTTGAAGTGTCTTTTTTCTTTTTAGAGTCGGGGAACCTTCAAGTTTTCATGTCTCTTGATGTTGGATGAAAACACCATAAAACCGTTATTTGACGTTTTGGTGTAGCCGAGCGATCCCCGAGCGCATATGCGCTTAGAGGGACAAAGCGCTCAGTGACGGAAAGTGGTATCGAGTCTTGATACAGTTCGACTGGAAAAACCACCACTATTAACTTCTCCTTGTATAGTATATCTAGTCAGAATGGTCGATTACTCTCTATACTTTGTCACAGATCCAGGCATGGTGCCTGAAAACTCCACTTTCTTGGATCAGGTGAAAAAAGCGGTGGATAACGGCGCAACCATAGTGCAGCTCCGAGAGAAAGATATCCTGACACTTGATTTTGTGGAGAGAGCTAAGAAGGTTTTGGAGATCACAAGGCCTAAGAACATTCCATTGATCATCAATGACAGAATTGATGTTGCTTTGGCAGTGGATGCTGACGGTGTTCACGTTGGACAGGACGATTTGCCAGCTATCCTTGCAAGGAAACTTATTGGACCTAATAAGATCTTGGGTGTTTCTTGCGGCAATGCCGAAGAGACTACTCAAGTATGTGAGCAAGGTGTGGCTGATTATGTTGGTTTGGGCACTTTGTATCCTACAAACACTAAGAACGTCAAGAACGTCTGTGGTCCTATTGGTATCCGCAAGTCATTGAAAGTACTTAGGGATCACAAGAACCAGAAAGTCAAGTGTGTTGCCATTGGGGGTATCAATTCCACCAATGCACGTAAAGTGATGTTCCAATGCTCCATTCCTGGCAAGAGAGTGGACGGTGTTGCTGTGGTGTCTTGCATCATGGCTGCTCCAGATGCCGCTGAAGCTACAAAACACCTTTCCGCTGAGCTTCAGTCACCAGTTCCTTGGCTAGACAAGGTTAGCTCTCAAGCTGCATCATTGGATGACGTTTCCAGTGCTTGGAAGCAAATGACTAAGTCCAAGCCATTGGTACACCATATCACCAATAACGTGGTAAAGAACTTCTGTGCTAATGTGAGTTTGGCAATTGGAGCATCTCCAATTATGTCGGAACTTTCCGATGAATTCCACGAGTTTGCTTCCTCTCCAGCACCAGTCGGGTTGGTGGTGAACTTAGGCACTCCATCTGCTCAACTCATGGAGGTTTTCCTTGAAGGTCTTCGCCAATATAACGCACACGGCAAACCAGTCCTTTTTGACCCTGTTGCTGGTGGTGCTACACAGGCCCGGTTGGACGCCTCTAGAGTCTTGCTCAATGCTGGTCACTTCACTGTCATCAAGGGCAATGTTGGTGAGATTTCAGCCATGGCTAAACTTACAAGTTCTTATAGCTCGACTTCTACCGAGAAGACCATGCAAGGTGTTGACTCTATTGCTCAGCTTGACGAAGATGCCATTGTTGATCTTGGTAAGCATGTTGCTAGAGAGTTCCAGACTGTTGTTGTTGTTACAGGTCCTGTCGACTATATTATCGATGGTACATTCCCACTGTCAGAAGACGCAGTTCCTCACGAGAAAGTTGAAGGTGGTCATGAACTCATGGGCTCCATTACAGGTACTGGATGCTCCTTAGGAAGCGTAATCTGTGCGTTCATTGCAGCTGGTGCTGATGGTGCCAACGGAGAAAAGTACAGTCCATTTTCTGCTGTGGTCAGTGCTGTCAAACTCTACAAGCATGCTGGTACAAAGGCCGGAGAAACCGCCAAGGGCCCTGGCAGTTTCGTGAGCGAGTTCTTGAACCAGTTGTACTCTACTGTGAATAACTAAGCGACTGTATTTCGCAGCCACCACACTCCAGACTGTTCCATACCAAGCAAGAAGGATAAAATGAACTTTGAATGAATAGAAGGTGATTTAGTATATTAGCGAAGCTGTAATGGCTTTGATTTGGATTTTTTTTTTTTTCTTATGTCTTCCGACTTCCTTCTTTGTATGTTATCACCAAACTGTAAGCACCTTATCAGGCGCGACCATGTGCCCCACAAAACGTTACGCCCACCCTCATCTCAACATAAACAGTAATCACGAAAAAAAGAAACGCCATACTCCAAAATTCCCCAAAACACTTCTGAAAAACACTTATACTAGCTATGGTTGTTGAAGGACGCGCTAAGGCCAAAACGCAGCCGAATAGAAAGTCACCGGTTGCAAATATCTCAAACATCAGTTCATTGAAACGGTTCCCTGATAAAGACTATGCCCTAGATCTTTTACACCAAATGGCCGTGGCCGTGGGGCCTATTATCAACCACTATAACTTTAAAGTGGGTATGCTTTGCGAGATGTCGCCGAAGAGCCCAAACCTTTTGGGACTAAATGTGAATAAGGGCCAGAAGATATTGATTAGACTACGAACCCCTTACAATGAGAAACTGTTCTTCCCAATGTCAGACCTAATAGGAACGTTTCTTCACGAGTTGACACATAATGTTCACGGTCCACATGATGCTAAATTTTATGCTCTACTAGATGAACTACGGAACAAGTATGAAACTGCGTTCTCTTCTGGATCATATGTTTGTGAAGAGAACAAGTTGGGTGGCGCCTACGTGCCTCCATGGCTGCTGAGCGTTACGGTTAGGCAAAAGAGACTTGATGCTGTTTCGAAGATGAAGTACAAGTCTGAGACGAGACGCCTTGGTGGTCCTTTGAAGACCCAGCGTCCTACGGACCTTAAAGCTGCGATGGCTGAAGCAGCAGAAAGACGTTTGAAAGATTCAAAATGGTGTGGAGGAGAGATAGATGAAGAGGCGTTGGGGCTTGCTGGTCAAGACTCAGATACTCCTTCTGAGAAGCTAAAAGAGTATAAGGATGTTATTGACTTGACCAATGATGAATCGGAAATCAAGCAGGATAAACAACCAGAAGTCATTGTGATTGATGCGTGTGAGTCTTCTACAGGTAAATCATCTACTCCTTCATCACCAAGGACCCTTGCACTGTCTGTTAGTGAAACGACTTTCGATGTGAAACTACCGTCAACCCAGAGCGCAATTTCATTCACCACGTTTGTTCCATTCAGAAGATCCCTGTCCATCTCGCTGAGTCCTCCGCTGTCTCTGTCTCCAGGTAAGCTCTTCATCGGAGAAGACGGACTTTATCCTCGGCTCAAGCTCGTTGCAGATATTGATTTTGACCATATTATTGAATGGTCCGAGATCACCGATACGAAGAGAAGCAAGACCAAGAGCAAGAAATCTACACTGAAAGTCAGCAAATCCACCAAGAAGAGTAAGAAAGCTTCACCTAGAAAAAAGAAGAAGGAAGTGAGACCAATAAGCTTCTCGGAACTTCTCGAATACCAAACCAAAGTCAAGCTAGGCAAATAAGAATGCCGTGTTGGATATTATCCAAACTTTCAATTTATACCCGGTTCTTCCCGAGCACCTTCATTATGCCGCCTGTTGTTCCTTTCGTTGAAGCCTGTGCTTCCATATAGTCGAATTGTTACTAATCCTTTCCACGACTTACCTTCTTCTCAGTCAAAGCTGGACTTGTTGAAGCGCCGCAAACGCTGCAGGTATCTCCAGCATCTCTTTGTGACACTCTACACTGCATTAACTTGACCGAGTCTGCATCGTATACTGAGCACTCATTTCGCAAGCACTATGTAGTTGCGCTTGCCCTTATCGCCTAAAGACAATCAAACCTTAAAAATACCTACAATCATTCCAGGCAGTGCAACCACAATAGAATCAAAAAAAGGAATCTCTAACGAACAATCACGTGGCGCCACTTTGTATCTCTCATTCTTTCTTGTCCTGGCGCCGAACGCTTTTTCCTCAGGTGGGTATACAAAAGGAGGGGGCCAGACACCGGTGACGATCGCACTCCAGAAAAAAACAGCCTCCAAATCATCTACTACTCATACCACTTCTACTCAATATTTCGACTATGGCCAGCCCTGTTCGTAAAGACTTGCAGAAGGTCTCCCCTAGCGTTTCGGGTGCTTCGACTCCCAAGATGGAAAAGACAGACTCGGTGCTCAATCTCACGAAACCCTCGCTATACGGCATCTACAACACCTCCTCGCTGAGCTTGAACAAGGACAACGAGGAAGTGGAAGAGTACATTGAGGGTAGCAAATTGCATATCACGGCTAAGGATGCTCACCCAGAGAGTGCTCAATTGCATCCTAAACACACTGTCAAGACTACGCCTGGGCAGTTTGTTCTCTGGCTGGTGACCCGTTTAGCCATCGTTGCATTTGCTGCATTCCTTTATAACCAGGTCACACAGAACATTCACCTTGCCCATGTTGACGGAACGGGCTTGTTGATTAACCAATACTTGGAGAATTTTGTTGAGGCTTGGAAACTGTACCAGGCTTGGGTCAAGCAGTATGACTTGGAGATTGTTGATCGCGCCGTGGCATGGTCTCTGGAAGGCTTTTTGTTGAGTATTGTTGTCCCTGTGCTTGACAAGGTTCTTCCTAGCTTCTCCAGAAGACTTCTTTCTTCTAACCCTAATCCTTACCACCGTGGAAACTTGGCTAATGACTTAATACGCTCCCTGATTACCTTTTTGGGTATCACTTACGCCATCAGACACATTGAATGGAATTCGCTGCTTCAAATGGCCATGACATGGTCCTTGGTGAACCCAGCCTTGTGGCTTTTGCTCGACGGCACCATCAATGGTTTCCTTGCGTCGACCACTGTCGCCTTCGTGGCATCCGCCATTATCTATTTCCAAAACCTGGGTGTCATTGTTTTGGATCAGAACAGTCTAATCACGATATTCTTGTACGTTGGCAGTTTCTTCTTCTGCGGCGTCATCATCTTTGGCAAACTTGGAAGATTTTTGTTTGGATCCAAGACCCAACTCAAGAACAATTAACTCTAGCATATTCAACATTGCCTTATGAGGCTTCTAGTAATCTACTTAACGCTACTGGAATGACATTTGACACATGGGCTTGACTATCTCAGTGGTTGCGACATGGTTGCAAAATCATGACGATCCCTAACTGCGCACACAACCTAGTCTTGTGTCAGGCATCATTAATATATAATGAAACTGAACTGTTGTAGAAATTAACTAACTATATTCTTTTCTTCCCTACCGACTTTCACCCCCCTCTATTGTGTGGTGTTTGGACATTGGCCATATTTTCCTAGATTTTCCTGTACACAGCGCGGAGCCAATGAAAACCTTGTGAATAAAATACTCATATAATCAAACCTTCACATCTATACATCATGGCTGGCGGTCCCGTTCCCGTGTGGAAAAAGTACACATCCAGACCTGCTGGTATTTGGGAGAAGATCAGACAGGTCTTGGTCCTTGTGCCCAACAGATCTTCTGGTAACCCATTGCCTTCCTTGTACAGAGCTGTTCCTCCAGGTGCCAGAATCCAGGAAGCCAGAGACTACAAAGAACCTATCACCATCCCTGCCGGTGACGTTGTTAACAACCCATACTTCAAGCGTGACTATAGAAGAAACTACCCACAGATTCATGGCTTTGACCAGACGAAGGTCTCGGGCTTGTTGACCTTGGGTTCCGCTGCGAAGCCCAGAATCTCCATCGGTGACAAGGGCTCCAAAGAGTTGGCAGCTTTTGGGCTGGACCAGATTGTCAGCTTGTCGACCACTTTGAGCACTGTCAAGCCTAATGTTGTCAAGGGTGAGCTTTTGGGTGAGGTTGGTGAGCCTATTGTCGCTCCTTCTTTGAACAAGTTCCACTGGACCATCATGAAGGAACCTGTTCACGGCATGTACAATGATGACACTGACGTCTACCCATGCCGTTTCTTCACCGACACCAAGACTGCTGAGAGAGCTTCTGCCGTCAACTAAACAACACTTTTGCATATATGTATTCTAGAAATCCATCAAGATAGTACTGAGGTGTAGGCCTGTTCAGGCACTCGTAGCGACAAGCCAGCATCGATATAACTGAGATAAATCCCAAACCATGAAACCAAGTATCTCACCGGCAGCTTTGGCTCCAAAGATTGCATTAGCTCCTTCGTCTCACACTGATGTAAGAACAAGAAGGTCCTCTGAAGAACCGGATGCACTTCAGGAAAACATTGCTCAATGTCTACTGTAATACCAGGATTGTGGTCTCGAAGGTGATGTAGCACGGGCTCCTGGTAAAACTCATTATATGACACCACAAACTCAAGGTTGGTTTGGTCCAAACGAAGGGATATGAAGCTGCACCATTTCCCACTGTAGCTCTTAACGTAATTGGATTCTACATGAAGATCAACATTTGATGTAAGGTGCTCCACTGCTAGCTTGTGGAAAGCAGGAAGAGCTTTGTTGAAGGTCTCCACATCCATAGCTCCATGAAGCATAGTAGTAGTTGTAGTGGTATATCGCGTGGCTGCGAAACCCATTGATGGGTGCTGGAATGGTGGGATAGTGGAAGGACAAGGATGAAAAAGGGAAAGTATGTACTTTTGATTTGTCATTTGACGTTAGACTACTGGTGATTTGGATATCAGTGTCAATCTAGAGGTTCGTCTATGGTTGTAATGTAGGTATAGTGGAACCCAATCCTTATTGCCATGTCTGTAGAACTACAAGTTACACGATGTTTTAATTTTGGCTAGGCTGTTAATATATTTAAGTATGTGGTATCTGTCCCTTCGTATAGTGACTGCCCAGTGTGTGAATGGTAGGCAACCACATCCTTTCCCTAGCAAGCATCCAGCTAGCTACATAGTTGTTGCAATAGTTCTTGACTATATACTGACCTATGCTGTCCTATGGTAACCACAATAACATGAAGTAACCGCAAAAACAATATCCCTATCCGTAGATAACCTTATGCTGTTCCGTTTAGGAACGAGAGCTGGCGTCTTTTCGCCAAAAACGTCTCATCCCGCTTATTTCTTAGTCTCCTCCGTCGTTTCACTAAGCAAGTTCAGCTTACCGTTGAACAAGAAGTTGGAATTCGAAGCACTGATCGAGTTACGGTTGTACATCTCCTTAACCTTCTCAGCGTTAGGGTGAGCCATTGGAACACTTCCAGCAACACCTGACTTGGAGCTACCCATCTGTTTCTGCATGGCATAGTCACCGCTATCGAAGTACTTCTTGTCCTGGAACTTGGAAGACAATATTTGCTGGGTTGTGGGGAGCTTTCCGTACATCTTGTAGATTCTCAATTCTTGTGGAGACAACTTGGACAAATCAAGTCCTTGCGTATTCTTTGGAGGATCCAAAGGTCCTTCGTCTGATGACATGTTCAGTAGTTTTGTTATCAAAATTATGATATGATCCTGAAGATGCCTTTAGTTCATGACTATGGCTCAGTGGCTGGGTGCCGGTGGCTAGCCCTCACCACCCGCTCTAGGGCGGGGCAGTGTGCAGGTAAAGGCACGTGCCTGACCCAGCAATTCCCCTTTCTCCATCGGCTACACGATTTGACTCTTTGTTATTCTGGTGGGGGTTTTTGTGGGATCTCTAGATTCAAGAAATCAGGTTTTGAGCTGCAATTTCTCATTTTGTGTGCTACCTTGTTGACCACTGCTTCCTCGGCTCGCGATAAACTCATTTCAGTTGAGCCTACTATTGCGCACTTTCTAGTTCCCTGGGGTAACCATAGCCTTGGAGCAATGCCAGCAGTCAAGGGATGTTAGATGCACGATCAAAGGCGTATTATGCTCGGGCTTAAGCAGATTAAACATGGCGCTCGTAAGACTTCCTGTAGGCGTAGGTGACTAGTAAAAGGTACTGGGGTCGGAGTGACTCAGTAGAACCCTAACGAAGTAAGTATAGAGATACGCTTGGAGACAGCCAAACATGCCAAGGATTACCTTGACTGACTGAATCCAACTTTTGTTAAAGCTTCCTCAATCTGAATGGAATTTTGTGCTGGAGGCGCTTGCGAACTGTTCAAAGGCTAGGGTAATGTATGGGAAGAATGCAACCAAAAGAACCAAAAGGTCCACCATGTACATGATAAACTCGTATAGTTCAATTGGGATGGGTATCACTCCAGGAAGCCTGGAAATCACCAATTGGAAGTCGATTCGATCGTCTTGAACCTCTCTAACAGCATAAAAGTCACCGTGCAAGTCGATCTTGACGTAGATATCAAAAGTATCCGTCTCCACCTCGCCAAACTCAGAGGCTTTAATGTATAATTGATCCAAGCTGAAGTCTAGAGGGGTTGTGGCGGGCCAGCAGAGCTTCACGTTGATGAGATCATCGGAATCGAACGTCGCGTCCTCGTAGTTGTTAAGCTTGACGAATAGCATCTGGTCAGGCTTATTAACGTAATCGTAAGGAATACTGACCAATGTCTCTTTAGTACTGTAGTTTCGTATGCTTTGGATTGGAAAGTCTTCGAGTAGAAGTGCTGACGCGTTGATCCTCCTCAAGGACGAACCTTGGAATGACCTTGGACAGCTTGGAACCTCATAATACTTTGGAACTGTGAATACTATAGTCTCTGTATTCGCCAATGCCAGGTTGATCCATAGTAGGATGCTTATGAAGATGAATCGAAGGTACATGGTGTTGTGAGAAGACATCAAATCCTGGATGTAGGCATCAGTAGCAGAGTACCCACCGTGTATCTATTTTCTATCTAGGTTGTCATGAACGAGTTTGAAAGTTAAATTTTCAACTCTTTGGATCTTAGCAACTTGCTCAGATATCGTGTTTTCGGGATCAAGGATGGTGGCTTCAAAATAGAACCGTAGTGGTTTGTAGAACTTACGCGACACCAATAGGTGCTTAATATGGAAGATATTAGCAGACCACCCAGTAAGAGTTAGATTCTCCAAATCACAAAAGGCGTCTAGAAGGTTTTGAAGTACATTCAGTAGAAGGATCCGTGGGTTGTCTGATGAGTTGGAGAATGCAATCTTGAGCGACCTTAATGAAGATGAGTGGCCCGTAAGTGGAGTCTGGAGAAAGTCTCTAAACCGTTCAGAGAAGACAAAAACGTTATCGTCAGAAAATGAAACACTAAGCTCCGTGAGCGTATCGTGAACATTAAACTTGGTAAGTGTGAAAGGCCATTTCCAAGTACAGTTATGTAGATGGAGACGATGCAACCTAGGCACCACTATCTCGTCTTCGCTTACCACGAAATGGTAATCATCTAGCGTAAGCAGCCGAAGAGAAGTAAAATGTTGAACATGGGCAAGATCAAAGATCTTTCTGCTTTTGAGCGGAGCGTCAGTATAAAGCTCTAGATCTCTTATCTGGTCACACTTGTTATATCGAAGCCAATAAGATGAGTTTGTGGAGTTCACCGCCACACGGGTTAAGTTAGGGAACCTTTTCGTCGATAGAAGCTCTCCAAACGTATTCTCCTTATACTCCTTCTGTGAGTCTGGCAGAATAACATTGATACTCCTGATGTAGTCTCTGTACATAGATATGACACATTCCTTAGAATCCTCGAGAAGCTGATGCCATGTCACTCCCACAAACAGAAATATATATGGGATAAGACTCTCTCTATAGTATGAGTTCATGAGCAGTAGGTTTTTGATATCTTGCGTGCTCACCAAACCCCAGATTTGATCAAGCACACTATCAGGAAGATCTATCAATGTGAAACTGGGACTGGCAGCTATATCTCCATAATGAGCTCTTTTGCAACTTTCAGAGTCATAAACAAGCGACCTCTTCATCGTGATATTTTCATTCTCTGGCCATATAAGGTTCTAGGGTTTAAAAAAAGACAGTAGTGGTTGCAAAGTAGATAGAGTCACCGAGTTCGCACACGCCTATGAATTACATCTCACTCAGTATACAATTACTCCAGAGACGTGTGACTTTGCCCCCAAAAATGATAGACCAGCGGTTCAGAAGCAAAATTAGAGTGTTGGCATTGATTCTAGCAGCTTTGGTACTGTTTGCTTATATTTCAATTTGGCGCCAGGAGAACCGTCAGAACGAGGATCTTCGCTTACATTTCGTGTTTGAGCCAGTGGAGAGGTTTGACTTGGGCAACGTGAAATATTCTTGGGTGTTGACTGGTGTGGTTGTTGTTGCATTGACAATTGCTATCAGCTGAGTGCTGTTTGGAGATTCGGATGGCGAATCCAGAGATACCAGCCAGGGCTCATCACTCATAGAGGCAGATGGATGGATAGGGCGCTGGCTAAGGACTTTGGGAGCTTAATTGGACATCATCCAGTGCCTGGAAGAGACTAGGTATCATGAAGAATCTTGGAATGGTCATTCTTGGTGTATTTAGATGTCTCGCTGGAGAGCATTGGAACATGCCAGCAGATGGCATTCATGCCTTTCCTTGCCCACTTGCTTTGTTTCTGTCTGTGACATTCCACCTGCTGCCAAAAATACCCAGTACCAAGACAATCCGTTAAGTTGCTACCACTGCCATTCACTACATTTCTCGAGCACGATGCACCCTCACTGTTTGGACCCTACCAGATGCCTTATTTCGAGGCAGTTGCTTTTCATCCAAAACAATAGGCACCTAAATACCCCTGAGTCCCATTCAACGCAACCAATTGTCGGATTTATTGGAGAAGGTAAAAATGCAACCAACGCACGGCACCTTCTCATGTTCCAAATCAAGCTCACCCTCGGAGGATTCGCCATAGCCCAGTCAAACCAGCACCGTGGCCCACAAATGCCTGAAATTGCCTAATTAGATCATCTACATGGCATAAAGTCACTTATTTAGTCGAGGAAAGCTTTAGAATTTCTTTATCAAAAGCCTTCCCACTAAGGTTTAAGGGTGGCTGGTCGAGGAGCACCCTTGCCTCACCGCACTATGTGTGCCTTTGCAACCAGCGTTGGACACACAAAATTGCTGAATTGGCGAACAAGAGTACTTGCATTAAACGTTTGAATTCCTACTATTTCTGGATCCCAGGGCTACTTTCTTCTGGGTTACATACTCCATATTCTTTCTGAGAAGTACATCTTTACTGCTATCTTTGGCACTAGGAACCCTTCTCGCGAATCCTCACCAGACCCTCATATACCGTTCCTTCATTCTACCTACGTGAATAATTCTCCTACATCAGACCTGACTGAAACCACCACCAACCTACTACACTACAACGTTTTTAAGTTAAAAGCTTTATTGTAAGACCAGTTCCAGCTCAATGCGCTCGCTTATCAAGGGCCATCGACGCTCCGACTCGTCGACTTCTGATTCCCAGAATGGGCACCCTGACTACCAGTCCAAGGCCTACTACCGTTATAACAAAACGCCCCAAGCGTCTCCCAAAGTTGGTTCAAGCGCTCTGAATGTACCACATATGACTCCTCCACAACATCATGGGTACCTGGGTTCTCAGCTGACCTTGTCCTCCCCTAAGAAGCTCCTCACGCCTATCAAGAAGATGTTCGGCCACCATTCCCACTCATCCAAGCATAATGCCCCAACTAGCGGTGATGTTCTTCATTCTGCTTTAGTTTCTGACGGTCCTCCTTCCAGTAAACATGTTCCTACTTTGCATTCTCCACGGTCCATGAGTAACCTCAATGAACTATCACCACGCCAGAATGTGGGCCATCCAGGCTCATCAAGGCCTGGGCTTCATGGCTCCCATGCTAGGCATCTGTCGACGTCGTATCTAGAAAGTCAGGCTCGAATAGGCGCTGTGAATCTTAACAACGGGCAGGTACCACATTACTCTGGCTTTGGGTTAGGGAAACCATTCGAGAGCTCGTCTTCTGTTGATCTGGCCCCTGGCCAAGAGAGAAACAAGATGCCTATTATTGCAGACACCTCTTTGGCACCAGTGAACGACTCCATCTCTGGAAATCATGGAGATAGTGACTCCAATATCTCGATTGCAAAGTCCATCAACTTCCTGGCGAAGCAGGCTTCATCCCAGGAGAATTTGGCAGACGGTTCGAGTAAGGTTGCAACTGACGACTTCTACGATGATGACGACGATGAACTGAGTGATGATGACTCGGATAATTCATCTCAATTCTCTTTTGTTAAGGACATTAGAGGTGGAAGAAACACATCGGTGAAGTACTACAAGACAAAGTCCTCTAGTTCAAGAAAATTGCCAGATGGAGTTCAGCTGAACACATTTGATGTTGATGACTTTGGGTACGAAGAAGAGGGCCTTTCCGACTACGACTTTGAGAATAATGGACTTGATGAAGAGGAAGATTGCGAAGAGTTCGAGAATAAGTATATTGACTTTGATGGCCCGTATCCTGAGGATGAAGGGCACCCAGAGAAGTACGAAGACATGTTGGATGAGAATGATATGCGTCGAGCCCTTCTGCCGCCTCCTGTTTTCCCGAGTCAGCCTTTAAGTGCCAACAGCACTAATTCCTTGACTGATGAACCTGAACTCGACGACAAAAGGGCCGATACCTCTGAGAATTTCATCACTGCCAATCTGTCACATAACTTTCTGACCCCTCAACCGGAAGATAACTCATATCGTGATGATTTCTTGGAATCTTATATGGACAGCACTAAGCTGCCTGGGTCTGATCTTCATATCACACCTCAGCAGCTCTCTCTACCACATCTACCTGGAGTAGTCGGTTCAGAGACGCTGTCGCCTTTGATCAATGGCGTGACATTTGGTAACTTGGACGCTTTCAAGGATCGCCAAGGTGTTTCTGAGTCTAGAAATGTTCCACTGATTGGTTTATCGCCGCCCAAGGAAAGCGTTGAGAGAAGCTTGGGTCTTGCAATTGGCTCTTCGGAACCAGATCATTTTGAAGAGCCAAGGCGTAACCTGATTATGGATTTACTAGGGTCATTAGAAGGTGGCGAAGCCGTGACGCAATCGAAGGAGCCAGCTGAAATGGAACAACCAGTTGAATTGGAGCAACCAGCCCAGGACATTAGGACTTCGATTCAAGATATTCATCAGCTTTTAGCTGACCTTGAGGCTCGCCCGGAAGCTCATTCTGAGACTCGTCCTGAAGCTCATTCTGAGGTTCTTTCTGAGGCTGTTCCACAAGAAGAAGCTCGTCCACATGAAGAGACTCGTCTGCAAGAAACGAGACGGGATCTGATAATCAACATGATGGACACACTCGCCCTGTTGGCAAACTCCACCGAGCCAGTGCCTGTGGAGCAGAAGAAGGATTATCGTAAGTCTGTTGCTGAAATGATGAATACACTCGCAGCTCTTGATCTCCAGAATGCTAGTGTTGAAAACGAAATTCCTCCTTCAACTAAACGTTCTTTGTCGGCTCGTACAGCGCATAATGATCATGATGTTTCTACGCAATCAAATACTTATAACGAGGAGAACTCCACGGAAAGTGCTCATGTTTATCATCTTGATGAGGATATGCTTTTTGAGTGCAATCAATTACCTGAAGACTACGACTTTGAGCAGTATCAAAATCAAGTTGCCCTGGAGGGCTTGTCGGATTTCTACCGTTCTAATTCTTATAGCAAGAAGCCCACGAAAGTTGTCCAAGACAATCTGTTCAGGAGCAACAAAATTGAAACGCCGCAAAGAACTGTTACTTTCTACAGAAGTAATAGCCTCGGCAACTCGGAGAACTCAAACTCTGGTAGTTTGAGCCGGAACGGTACGGTTTATTCTGCTACTTCCTTCACGTCAGGTGAAGAAGAACACCTCGGTGATACGGAGAAGTTCCGCCAAAAATCGCTACCTTATGCATTGAACCCAAATTTTCAATTGAATGAAAAAAGCTCTGATTGCCTTAGCCACAAATCATTCAATCTCGAACCTATCACTGAAAGTGATAGTCCGCATTTAAGGTGAAATTAGTTCGCCCAGCATTTCTACATTAGAATTATCTGATTCACCTTTTGAGATAATATTAAAAAAAGTAAATTAATATGCTAATCATAGCCTTTGCTTCATGAATGACTCAAAGTCGTATTTCTCAGTACCATTGTAATCAAAATAGTTGATACTGTTCCCTCTATTATAACTTCCATCCGAGTTGGGCAAATTGTGGTAACCAAGTTTTGGTGTCAGCTGTATTCTCTTTGAAGGCGACTTAGGAGTGTCTGTCTTGGTGAATGATTCGAGATTTGGCATGGTAGCCTTCCTCATATGCGTTTGAGGCTTGATTGGGCTGTGGGAACCTTTGGTCTTTACCTGAAAGCCTGTTTCCGAGTTCGCCCAACTTCCGCTCATACTACTTGCCTCTGAAGTTGACAGTTTCAGTGAGTTTTTGCGGGCAGGTATCTTCATCTTATCCCAGTCATTCATGTATCTGGAATAGATACTCAGCAAGTCATCCCTATCCTCACGAGCTGGTTTAGGCACGGGGAGGTGCTCCTCGTCCTCTTCAACCAAAACAACCTCGACTGGCTTACCGTTCCGCTTCTCGATAATAGAGCGATAGGATAAAGTCGAGTCGTTTCTCTTTATCATGCAAACATTATAGTCCTCCTTTGTCAAATCGATGGTGATGCTATCTGTATCAGACGGAGCTGTGGATATCGTCTCACGAGCGGTAACCAAAGAGTCTGAGAACCGGGATTGAGAGCTGCCACTCATTTGCTGAGATTGCACACTTGGAGGACGGGTACTGCGTCTCGATTGGCCTCTCTTCATGCTCTGGTGATAATAATCGGAATCGAAGTTATTGCCGAATGGAGCTGATTCAGGTTTCTTTGGTGAGGACGCATCCTTGAAATCAACAGCGTATTGGACCTTTTTGGGTGGTTCCGCAACAACAATGTTAAGCGACTGGTCTACCTCTTCAATTGGCTGTGTCTTTTCCACAGGCGGTGTGGACTTGGTGAGTTCTCTATCATGCAGAGATGCTTCTGATGCAGCCTCTTTCGATACCTCCAGAGGTACCGAGACAGACTTGGACATCTTGTGCTTGCGTGCCTGTTGGCCGCTGTTAATGCTGCTTTGAGGTGAAGGCTCTTGATAGAGTTCAGCAAAATCGAAGTTATACATCAGGCGGTGACGAGCATGACGGATTGGAGACTTCCTGCTGGCGATGGCCCCGAGAGAGAAGCTTGATGGCATCTGCTTGGCAGGTGAGCTGAGTGGCTTTCTTGGTTCTGACTTAGCATTCGATTCAAACGAAGAATCTGATTCGGAGCCCGACGAGTCCTTGGAACCATACATTGAACTGAAGTGCTTCTTGGCAGCCTGACTTGGTACCCCAATTGGCTCGATATCTGATGCATTGTCTTTGTCTTTCTCGACCCCATGAAGCTTGACATTTTGTAGGTCATTAAAGCTCACTCCGTTGTGCCTTGTTTCCAGAATCTTGTAACTCAGAAGACTGTCGAGGTCGTCAAGGTTGGGTATCTCTATCTGGCGAGATGACCTTCTAGAGCTCTTCCTTGACACCCTGGTATTCTGCAATCTCTGTTGCTCTAAACGCTTTCTGGCTTCCTCGCTATTCGTGATATTAGACATGTCATTAGGGAAGCTGAAACCTCTTCCAACGCCACTGTTACCATCATCGAGAGAGTTTGATGATTTGTCATTGTCTTCAGTAGCCGACTCTTCCAAATCAAGCTCTTGTTCAATTGGCCCTTCAACATTCTTCGACACTGGAACGGGTACCAGGGATGCAGCACTGCTCTTCTTGGAGATGTTGAGTTCCCGAGGGACCTCAAACTGGTCATTAAGACTGTCATCTTCGTATTCAAGTTCTTCGGGAGGTGGAGGAAGTTCTTTGCTAAAGTCTCTCTTTCCTTTGCTCGAGGTAGACCTAGTTGATAATGACGATCTTTCAGATGCTGAAGCGGAATCACGGATGCTGAAGTCAACGCTTTTTTGAATAGAGTCCCAGGACGACGTACTTGCGTCTGACCTAGAAGATGCAATGGAGGCTCCTCTCGTAGGATTGTCCCTAAGGTATTTGGCGACATTCACGGAAAGGGCAGTTTGGTCACGGTTGAAAGACCTCATAGCTGGGTCATGATTAAGATTGAGTGCGTCTCCAACTGAGCTAAACGAGCTGACAGAAGATACTTTAGATTCGTCTGAAAAGCTTCTCTTGTAGATCTTCAAATATGACTCTTCACCAAGGTTGAGGTTATGGTGGCATGCATGGCTGTGAGGAAGGGTCGACCTAGGGGTAGCAGCATCCTCGGATTCCTCGGACTCGACAGGAGTACGAGGAAACATCTCCAAAGGCTCCTCAGTGACCTTAGGTTGTGGCGGCGTGGTCTTCTCGAGAGTGGGTTCTGGTGTGGTAGGGAATACATTGATCTCACCCTGAGAAAGACGAGCGTCGGGACGTCTGCGAGGAGCTTCAGTAACAACACGAGTTTCAAGCTTCTTTGGTACATTAAAGCTCGAGTCGGCTGAAGATTCAAATGCTTTTTCAGAGAGTACAGGAGCCAGAGCAGATGTAGGAAGCTGGATTGGAGGTGGAGGCGGAGGAACCAAGTCCAACTCTGGTTTGGAAAGCGAGACAGGCATTGGCAGCCGTAACTCGGGAGGAGGTTTCCGCAGAACATTTCTGGTCCGTTGTGAAGTAGGTGATGGTGGAAGGTCCTGAGTTTGCAAAGACATCGCCAGGTTTGTCTTGGGGAGGGTAGGCAACTCTTTCTGGCGTAAACTCGAGGCACGAGAGTTGGCACTGCCAGCATTCGAAGCTTCCTCGATCATACTTAACTGGTCCAGAGGCATTGACTGGTGTTTCTGGGCGAACCGAGCAACCTTCCGTCTGTTAGACATGGTAGCAGGTGGTTTCTGGGGCAAAGAAGGCTTCAAGAAAGACAATTCCAGTTCAGACTCGGAAGAATCGGCTGCTTCGTATGCTGCTCCGTTAAACACGAGCTTCTTGGGGCTAAACCTCGAAGGCGAAGCAGGAAGCTCTTTCTCGGAAGGGTTCATGTTGTGAGCCGTTCTGCCTCTGGAAGGCTCTGGCGAAGGTGGAGCCGACCTGGTGCTAAGCTTAGGTGGCAATTGCAACTTAAATGGAATGGGAAGAGCGTACTGGGAACTGGAAATGTGAAGCTTCTTTGCTATGGGTGACCTCGATAAGCGTCTGATTTGCTCGGGTGATAACGAGCCGTTAGACACCTTAGAAGCAATCTCGTCATGAATATTGGGCAGACCTATCGACGGAAGAAGGCTCTGGAAATCAAAGTTATGTGAAAGTGGCCTTTGCTTCGTGGGAGAAGCCGATCTTGCCCTTCGCTCAGGTTTGTTTATTGCTGAACTGCCAGACAGCACGTCGTCTGCCGACCACTGCTTGTGGAGCGATGGCATGGTCGGTTAGAATGAAGCGAATGAACGAGGTATAAGAAAGTGAAAAAGGGCAAGCTTAGGGAGTGGTTGTCTGTGACTTTTTTTTTTTTTTTTCCTACCCTCTGGGCTATATTCATTGTGAATGTGCTTTCCGTATGCGGCGACAGCGACTGTGTTTACATGGCCGCCCAAACAGGTAATCTCATTGAACGTCAGAGTAAGGTGGATTTTCGATGAGGCGCACAGAACAAACCACACTCATTGGGGGAGCCACTAGCCTGCCTCAGCAAATAAGGGTCCCCTCTGCCGAGACCCACATGGCGAGGCGTAGGAACCCAATTACCGTAATGCGGTTTATTTAAGGTTTTGCTTCTTTGGGTTAATGTGTGGTGTATCTATGAACTACGGGTGTTTCACTTGAGTTGATGATGGACAAGTAGAACAAGGCCTTTCTAGGAACACTGCCATTGTTTGTCGCCAAGGACCCCACGATATGGAACTTTACGATACTTGTAGAAGCGTCGAACAACATGTGGGCTTGGCCTTCTTGGATGGGATAAGCGACGTTTGAAGAGGGAATGGGTGATGGTTGATGCGTAGACGAGAGGATGCAAGGCGGCTACGAACCATCTTGACGAGAGGGGTCTTCTTTGCTTTTTTTTGTGTGTTTTTGTGTGGTGATAGCGGCACGATACCTTTGGCTAGATGCCAAGTTGGATTGAATGCTGGTTCTGTGGTCTTTCTGATCTTGTTGTAGGCCTATTCGTGTTGATGTGTGTCGATGCACCCCTGCCTTGACGGCTTAGTTTCGATCAGCAAGCATTGAAGGTGCACCTGAGTGATGTCCCGGACTGGACACTTGCTTGATCTAGAGATTAGCGTGATGTCATCGATGGAAGGGCGGTTAGCTGGAATGGAACGGCTGAGTGACGGTTGACCAGTGGAAGCACTATGAGGGCAGTGGTGGTTGGCTTAGACTGATGGCTTTTGTTTTCGTGATATGGTAGAATGCTTCTTTGGCTTTCTTACGAGCGTATGTAGCCTTGGTATAGTGCACTGCCTGACTCTGTCCTTCACTACTCTAACCTAGTCCACTTACATAGGCTACACCAGTTCAAAGTCGCCTAGTACAGACCGACCTAACTAAACGAAAACAACTAAATTCTCACTACTTTCTTAATTTTTTATTCTCTTGGTATTTCCTGTCGTTATACCAGTGCCCACTATGCCCTTGAGTGCTCTGTCCTTGCTGCCTCTGGGCCTCTGGGTGTGTCTCACTCGCAATTTTTGCAACCATTTCTCTACATCCCCCTTTTCTTCTTCTTACCACATTTCTTCCAATTGACCTGAAATGCCTGTTTTATCTACCCCCTCTAAGGGTGACCACACTTCTCGGCCATTCAGCGATTCAAACAACCCCTTCATCTCTAGTAGCCAGGCTTCTACGCCCAGCAGACCAGTAAGTAAGAGGCTTATCCCTAGACCCCAAGAGGTCGTGAACTCTTCTAAGATTGGATTGGCCTGTTTACCTCTTGAACGGGAGAATATGTGCCGCCGTAAAGGCGCCAAGTTCACCATGATCTTGGCTGGTTGCAGCGGCACTGGAAAGTCTACCTTCCTCAATACCCTCTTTGGAGAGCCCTTGGACGAGTCTAAGGAGACCACTACGTCGATTTTCTTTGATATCAGAGAGAGAAAGTACCAGCTTATCGAAGGCAATTTTGAATTGGAGCTTACCACTGTTGATGTGCCTGGTTTCGGCGGCAAGATGGATAACCAGTATAGCTGGATGCCAATTGTGAAGTACATTGACCACTACTTCAGGCGGTACATGCTTCAGGAGGAGCAGCCTGATAGGCGCCTTCACGAGGATAACAGGGTTCACGTTTGCCTTTACTTCATCCAGCCTTCCAACACTACTCTCTCTGCGTTGGATATTGAGTCCATGAAGGAGATCGCCAAGAGGGTCAATTTGATCCCCATCGTTGCCAGGAGCGATACACTCAACAAGGATGAATTGACAGAGTTCAAGAAGATCATCAACAACACCTTGGCCGCCTACGACATTGGCGTTTGCAAGTTCGTTTCTGACCAAGAGGTCTTGGATAAGATCCACAGCGTTTCTCCTTATGCTGTTGTGGGCTCCAATGCCATGTTCAAGAACGACCAAGGGCAAATGGTCAGAGCTAGGAAGTACCACTGGGGTATGGTTGAAATCGAGAACCCAGACCATTGTGACTTCTTGCTGCTTCGTGAGGTTCTCATGAGCCACCACATGCTTGACTTGATCCAGTCAACCGAAGCCCACTACAACGTCTACAGGTCGTGGTGTTTAAAAGAGCGCTTGGAAAGAGCCGCCGAGAACACCTTGAATGGAGAGTTGGTTCTCTCTGAAGACTACGAGAACGGGTTGGCCTCGTATGTTCTCTACAAGAAAGCACTGCCTTGGAACACCATCATGTCGCAGGACGATATCGATGCTGAGGACGCCCAGTTAAACAACGAGGTGAGAAAGTCTTTGGACGACCTCGTCAGAAAGCTGGAACAGCACTTCAAAGAGTGGAAACAGACTCTTGTGAAAGACCAAGCCAAGTGCAACGAAGATTTACGGAATCACCACGAGCAGATCACCAAGTTAAAAGAGGAGATTCGCCAGTTGAACGCGGGTGAAACCGGAAGCCGTAACTTGGATGACCAAGATACACGGAGTCCTCTCTTGAAGAACGAGTTCTTGGGTGAGTGAGTAAGATATAGAAGCCCTAAATGAATGGTGGTACCCACTTTTTCGCAGCCAACCAGTCCAGTAGTGTACATTACATGTGATGGGCCTGTTGCTGCTCATAAAAAAAAAAAATCTGATTCTTCCAGTTCCTACTCTAGGCTTTTTTCCAAAACTTGGGTAAACCCCCATAGAATTACCGCCTCCAGAGCCCACACCCTCAAGGCTAACTGCTGGTTCAGTGGCCCGGGCTCGTTTGTCAATGAAGATCTACTAAGGTCGACCAGTTTCCACACAAGGTATGTTTCACCAGTCAGCCACATCCGGATGAATCCTTTTTAATCAATAGTATGTTTTTTCTGGCATCTCTAATGTTAGAGCTTCCGCTCGATGAATACAACCCTTGACAATTATCTGATATATGCTATAGCCTGGTGCTTTAGCAGTGGCTTTTACCCTAGTATTGAACCGTCACTAACCCTCAGGTAATTATACTTAGAACAATAGATTTTCGACAAAACAACAAAGCAATGTAGAACACGTAGATTCAGAATCTTACTCTACGGCCCCCTCAAGGTAGTGTATTCCATGGTGATTTGCCCTTTCTGGTACTGTGCGCATGTAAAACTGAGATCCTGAGTGCTAGTCTTCCTTATCCATGGACCCTGCAACTGTGCCCTTGGAAGAGGACCGACCTGAGGAGGACTTCAAAGACGTGAAACCCTCTCAGGCTCAGGAAGATGTCACGCCTGCATTGCCTCCTGTGAGAGTGGTGAATCTTGTGCTTGATCACTTTGCATTCGTGAGAGGCATTGGAAACGTTAAGAGATGGTTCAACAAAGAGTACATTGAAAGCATGTTGGCTGATAAGGCCGACGCCAGGGTTTTACTCAACATCTACATTCCAACTTATACGCTTCACGAGTTTGACTTTGCTAAGAAGGGTACTTCCATCACGGCTTCCAACGCCAGAGATGCTCTTAAGCTAATTGATGAGGTGCTTGATGAAGAGCAGGCTGTGCCTAGCTTTGGTCCAGATGGCGAAGAAACTGCTGTTCCAGAAAGACCTAAGCTCACCTATAACTTACTCATTGAGCAGAGGAACCCTAGCTATCCTAACTGGGAGAGGTGTCTCAAGTACCAGATCCAAGCTCCAAAGGTGAAGGATTTTCCTTACCATAAAACTAAGCTTGCAAACACGGTTTTGGGACGTCCGAAAGCTGCGGATGTTGAAGAGGAAAAGAAAGAAGCTGAAGAAACGGCTTCTGTTCCTCCTCGTTTGAAGCACTTGATTCGCTCGTGCGTTTATAAGAAGTACATCGACCCATTCCACCCAGAGTTTGAGTTGAACAACGGAGCACAATGGAAGTTGGTCACTGAAGATTCTGTTACAAAGGTTTGGTTGAACAGCTTTGGCATTGACTGCTTAAATGTCAATGAAGCAGAGCTTCTCATATTCCAGTCTGAAGATGTCACTGGCTTCAACCTCCAAGCGCCTGGCCAAGACTTCAACTCTCAGAAAGATAGATTTGATTCTGTGGATCGTGGCATTTTGCATCAATGGGTGGATACCACCAAGTACGGGTACCTGGGCGTTGGAGGAGACAAACGCAGGAAGCCTAAGAAGGGTAAGGCCAAAGAAACATCTCCCGACGATGAGAAGAAAGCTATTGGACCTGTGAATCCGGATACCGTGAAGGAGGAGAAGTTTGGTCAAATCAACTATGCCCCTCGTGTCAAGCCTGCTGGAAGACAGCTCTACGTTCCTAAGAAGTAATTCACCAAGGCACACTAGCTTATAGAAGCTACCAGCAAATTTAAAAGGCTGTCTAAGAGTTATTCGTTCTATAATAGGCAAAACGCCCAGCATCAAGCTTTGAACGTACCGTGAAAGCAACACGAGATATTCCTATATCACTCTACTCGATGTCCTGTAACTGAGATGTTACATTCTTAATAGGAATCTATTTATCCGTGCGTCGTTCACCTTTTACTCGTAGATAATTTATTAACGTCACTTTTACCGCCAAATTTTTTCGTTGGACCATATAGATTCCATGATTAGTGCTTGGGCGTCATTTAGACACGGTGCTTGGAAGGTTTCTAGAAACCTGATTTCGCAGCCAGCAGCAAACTAGACCCTGCCCCTTTATAGCCAAATGGGGCAGCTACAACTAAAACTTATGGTTCTTGGTATATGGAAAGTGTTTTATGTCAACCAGAAGCAGATTATGTATATTTTGACATTTTTTGAAATTTTTCATTACGGTAAAGTCAACTAATTACAAGTATTTCGTTACTTTTGACAGTATCACACAGATTGTATGAGATAGTTAACCCTTCAACTAAAATTGCACCCAACAAATTTTTTCAAAATTTTAAAAATCCAGCGGAAACTTCAAGCAAAGGTATCGACTCTGCATGCTCTAAAAATGCAATTTACGTTCAATTTATGTCCCGTTTATGTCCCAGTTGACTGGGGTGAATGCTGTGGACCTGCATATGTGGCATGTCAAAACCACTATCCAGCCTTGCCTCGCTTCACGGGTAGCGCACGACCAAAAACAGAAAAAGTGAGGGTTAGTACAATACTAGTACTTCGACCGAGCTCTTGCCGATTATACTTCATCCATTGTTCCCCACCTAGATATTTAGGGTTACGGTGAAAAAATTAGGCTGAAGTATCTTTGCCATGAACAGACAGCCCACGAAGGAAGAAATACAACGCTATGTGCTGCGTTGGCACCAGCTAAAACATCAATACGGGGACCAGGCCCAGAATATACCCGAGTTTAATCAATTATCAAAAGTGATAAGATACTTCCAGCTCCAGGCTGTTCAAAGGCACCAGCAACAACAGCAACAGCAGCAGCAACAACAACAGCAACAACAACAACCTCAACCACAGAATGGTATGAAGTCTAATCAAGCGCTGTTGCAACAGGGCCAACTGCCGCAGCAGAACCAGCTCAACTTCAACAACATGGGCAACGTGCAAGGCAACATGGGTAACAACAACAACCCTGGGAACATGAACCAGATGAACATGAACCAGATGAGAGGCATGACTAACGGTAACCCAATGTCTCAAAATATGCAGAATGTCAATAACCAGCCATACATGCAAATGCAAGGCATGGCTCCAGGATCTCGTGCTTCGAGTAGCAACATGAATACCCCCGCTGTGGGCCATGCTAGTGTTCATCCTGGTGCTCCGATGTCGATGATGAGCGGTCCTAACTCGCATTCGCCTGTTAACCAGTCGCCTCACACTGCGATGGCTAACACACCTTCGATGGGCCAGCCTTCTGGACAAGGAATGGCATCTGCCATGCAATCTGGCCTAGGTGGTGGTGGAGGTGCTGCTCCTGGAGTTTCTGGTGGACCCGGAGGCTCTGCTCCTGGCCAACTTCAGGGTGTTCCTGGTGCTGGTCTTCAACAGGGTCCCGGTGGCTCTATGGGACCTCAAATGAACAATAATGCTGGATTTGGTGGGAACGGTGTATCTTCTCCATCAGAAGGACCCTTTACGCCTCAGCAAATTCAATTGCTCAAGCTGCAGCATCAAATGGTCAAAATGTTGTTCCGTACTCCAAGCAATGGCTTCCCTCCCATTCCACAGAATTTGGCCGAAATGGCAAGTAATGAGAGACTAGCATTCAATGGTGATCCTAACCCTCAGCCACCGCAGCAGGTGCCCAACCAACAGCAACTTCATAATCAACTTCGTAACCAGCCTCCTATGGGACACCCCAACCCAGCTCAAGCTAGACCTCAGCAAGCATCAGCTCAGCAACTGCCTGCTGCTATCGGTGGCGCCGTGCCAGGCCTGGCACCATTCCAGAGTCCTCAAGCAGGTATCCAACAGCCCCCAACTCCTTCAAGTCGAAGAGGCACCCAGATTCCTGTGCAAACTCAGCATCCTACTCAAGTCCCTCTGCTGGCTGGTACGCCAAAGCCAGGAAGTACACCTCAAGAGAAGCCAGATTCAAAGAGAAAAGGTAAGAAGTCAGGCGGTAACACTCCTCAAGTTGCCCTGGCTGCTCACCCTTCTTCTGTCGTTCCCGTTCCACGCCCAGCAGAGCCTCCAGTTCCTTTCGAAGAGCTCAGTGAGAAGGAAGATCTTTCAAACAAGCTCATTGTGCCTATGAGTAAGCCTAACCTCCAGGTCGACGCTTATGAAGTCCCTCATGTTGGTGCCCTTGCTAAGGAAAACGTTCCATTCAGCTCGTTATATTCTTCACAGAACAAAGTCAAGTATCCTTACTTATTACCGAACGGTATCAACATGGACGAAGTGGCTTCTAACCGTGAATCTTTCATTTTGCTTCTGATCGATGCTCGCGTTACCTCGCTCCAGAAAGAGTTGGAAACAACTACTGATGAATTGAAGAAGCAAGATATTTTAGTTGAGTTAGGTGAACTTGAACTCATACCATACCAAAAGGAGGTGAGAGGGAAGATGCTTTCTCAACTCTGGTTTAGCAAGTCACTTTTACCCAACTCTCATCCCAACTTTCTTGCAAAGTTCGGTAGTTTGACACTCGAGAATGTTGTTGCCACGGAAGAGTTGTACAAACAACAACTCAACTCCTTGGTTCAAGCCCAAAACAGAAAGCACCAAACCCAGGTCTCCAGAATTCTCAATTTCCACGCGAAGAATACCGAAAGAATCTCCAATAGAAAGGAGAAACTTGAGCGTCTCAGTATCAGAATTAACAGTTTGCATACCCAAACTGCTAAGGAAGAGCAAAAGAAGGTGGAGAGAATGGCAAAACAACGTTTGCAGGCTTTGAAACTGAACGATGAGGAGGCTTACTTGAAGTTGTTAGACCACACGAAGGACACAAGAATTACCCATTTGTTGAGTCAAACCAACCAGTTCTTGGACAGTTTGGCCCAAGCCGTGCAAACGCAGCAGAAGGCTACTCAAGAGCGTATGAATCCAAGGGTTGCAGAAGAGGACGAAAACGAAGGCACAGAGGAGAAACGAGAGAAAGTCGATTATTACCATGTTGCTCATCGTATTAAGGAGGATGTCACTGTTCAGCCTAGTATCTTGATTGGTGGTACCTTGAAAGAATACCAGTTGAAGGGATTGCAATGGATGGTTTCTTTATACAATAATCATTTGAATGGTATCTTGGCTGACGAGATGGGATTGGGAAAAACTATTCAAACTATTTCTTTGTTGACCTACTTGGTTGAAATGAAGAACGTCCCTGGACCTTTTCTTGTTATCGTCCCTCTCTCAACATTGACCAACTGGAACTTGGAGTTTGAGAAGTGGGCACCAGCTTTGAGAAAGATCACTTACAAAGGTACTCCAGTGCAAAGAAAGGTATTGCAGCATGACGTGAGACAAGGCAACTTCCAGGTTCTCTTGACTACTTTCGAATATATCATCAAGGATAAGAGTCTTTTGTCAAAGACTAAATGGGTGCACATGATCATCGATGAAGGTCACAGAATGAAAAACACAAACTCGAAGTTGTCCGAAACGTTGACACAGAATTATCACAGTGATTACCGGTTGATTTTGACAGGAACACCTTTGCAGAACAACTTGCCTGAGCTTTGGGCTTTATTGAACTTTGTCCTTCCAAAGATTTTTAACTCTGTTAAGTCTTTCGATGATTGGTTTAACACTCCTTTCGCCAACACTGGTGGTCAAGATAAGATTGAATTGAGCGAAGAAGAGACGTTGTTGGTGATCAGAAGATTGCACAAGGTTTTGAGACCATTCTTGTTGAGACGTCTTAAGAAGGATGTCGAGAAAGATTTGCCAAATAAGGTCGAGAAGGTGGTGAAATGCAAGATGTCTTCTTTACAATCCAAGCTTTACAGAATGATGTTGAAGTACAATGCTCTTTTCGCCGGTGAATCAGTCACAGGTCAAAGACCCTCCACGATCAAGAATGCCAACAATCAGCTCATGCAATTGAGAAAGATTTGTAACCATCCTTTCGTTTATGAAGAAGTTGAGAATATCATCAATCCTAGATCTGAAACCAATGACATTATCTGGAGAGTGGCCGGAAAGTTCGAATTGCTTGATCGTATTTTGCCTAAGTTCAAGCAGACTGGTCACAGAGTGTTGATCTTCTTCCAGATGACACAAATCATGGATATCATGGAAGACTTTTTAAGATTGAGAGACATGAGGTATATGCGTTTGGATGGTGCAACAAAGTCAGATGACAGAACCGAATTGTTGAAATTGTTCAATGCTCCAAACTCGGAATACTTTTGCTTTTTGCTTTCTACTAGAGCTGGTGGTTTGGGTTTGAACTTGCAAAGTGCCGACACAGTCATCATTTTCGACTCTGATTGGAATCCTCACCAGGATTTACAAGCTCAAGACAGAGCCCATAGAATTGGTCAAAAGAATGAGGTCAGAATTTTAAGATTGGTGACAGAGGACTCCATTGAAGAAATGATCTTAGAAAGAGCCGTTGCCAAGTTGGAGATTGATGGTAAGGTTATTCAAGCTGGTAAGTTTGATAACAAGTCGACTTCTGAGGAACAGGAGGCCTTGTTACGTGCTCTTATGGAGAAGGAGGAAGAGAGAAGACAAAAGGGTGGCGAAGAAGATGACGAATTAGATGATGACGAGATGAACCAAGTTATTGCAAGAAATGAAGATGAGCTTGTTACTTTCCGTGAGATTGATGAACAAAGAGCGCTTGAATTGAAGAACTCAGGCTACCCTAGTCGACTCTATGCCGACCAAGAGCTTCCAGAAATTTATCAAAAGGACCCTGAGGTTTATTATAAGACGGACGAACAATTGATCGAAGAGTATGGAAGAGGTAACAGAGAAAGAAAGTCGATGAAGTATGATGACAATATGACCGAAGAGGAATGGCTTAAAAGATTGACGGATACGTTTCAGAAGAGTCTGACGATGACATTGCACCACGCAAGAAGGGTCGTCCAAGAAAAGACGATCGGAAGAGGGTGATGACTGATGGAGAATCAGCTGCCAAAAGACCTAGATCATCGACTCCTAGTGGCCGTTCTAAGAAGGGTAAGATCGGACGTCCTCGGTTGAAGGGTGCCTCCAACAGGACGACGCCTTCTATTGATCCTTTGTCGCCAGAGGAAAGAGACATCTTACAGGCACGCACCAGCGAGATCTATGCTGCTTTGATTGACCTTAAGCTTGATGACAGGAAATTGAGTGACATGTTTTTGGTCAAACCCTCAAAGAAACTCTATCCTGATTACTATGTCTTGATCAAGCATCCACTCGCTCTCGATGCTGTGAAGAAGCGCATGGGAAATAAGACTTACACAAAGGTGAGAGAGTTCTTGGAAGATATTCACTTGATTTTCAGCAATGCCCGTATCTACAACGAAGAAGGATCGATTGTTTATCAAGACTCTCTTGCTTTGGAGAACTTGGCTCTTGACAAATTTAAGGAGCTATACATCGACTTGCCATCCGAAGAAAAAGATAAGACGCTTGACTTCAGTGAGTTTGATGAGACCAACAATCTCAAGCCTCTCGCCATTAGCGGTTCTGCAGTGAAGCAACCTGTTAATGTGAAGCCAATTAAAGATATTGAGGATGTTGAACTGAAGCCTGAAACGAAAGAGCCACTGAAGGTGGGGCTGCCAGCGAACGTTTTTGAAGACGCATTAAAACCTGATGACCTTAATATTGGTGATATTGGTGACCTTCTTCCCGGTGAAGATAATGCCGATACCGACCAATACTTTGATATTCCAACTGACATGTAATATAATGGACCAACTTCATAGAAATTAATAATTGTCCTTAGCAAAGAGTGTAGCATTAGAGTTCCGAGTAGCGTGGCAATTCATCATCAATATGGGGGTTATTGACCACGTCATTAATAGCCTCGTTAATTGCAGCGCCAAAGTCAAACATGCCTCCATCTTTGAATGTGATCAGGCCCTGGAAGTACTCCTCTCGAGGAAACCCATCACAGATGCCTTCTGAAGGACTGTAGAACATGAATTCCCAGTAGTTTGCACCGAAAAGAGCCAGCTTGAGTGCATGTGTGAATTTCAACTTTGGAAGTTGATTGAAGTTTATGCAAAACGACTCAATGTCACCTCTTGAAGTGTTTGTCGATGTCAAATACACGAGTCTCTGATTCGTCACGAACACCTTACCTTCAGAGGCGTTTATATGAATCTTCAATGGGACGTTTTTAGACTGCAGATTTATCGCCAATGGTTGCCTGGTGCTTCTAGTGTTAAACCTAATGATTTCTCCTGGTTGGAGTGCTGGCGTGTCGCCATTATACTGGACCTTGTTAACTGACATGACCTTGGTTGTAGTATATACTTATACAGTAAGTGCGATAAGCAGTAGTATCTAGCCACCACATCAACTCCTCATACAAAACCTACAATAAAGAAGTATAAACAAAAAGGAATGGTATCAAAGCTTGAAAGATACGTTGAAGGTCTTTAAACTGAGCTTCTTCTTCGTTTGTCTCCAAAATCTCTCCTTTACCGATTTGTGGAGACGCCTGTTTCCTGCAAGTAAATCCACTACATAGTTAAGGTGCAGCGATGAGCATCTAGAGACGAGTATGTCGTTTCGTTCATTTAATCCGGCTCTAAAAAAGCACTTTGCAGAGCTTCCCCGACCCAAATTCAATTATGGATACCAGCATTTTGTAACTCCACAGGCATGTCAGCAAATCATTGACAAGCTCCGACTCAAAGAGAAGTACCCCAATTCGAAGGGTAACCTAGATGTGATAGATATTCATTCAGGTAGAGGCATGCTATCTACAATGATCAACTACGAATTGAAACCAAGAAAGCATCTTGTCATTGAGCATCGTCCCGACTTTGCTCGTGCCTGGCAAGAAAGGATGAAACTACTAGAAAGTGAAACCAAGAACGCAGAGAATTTCATTTTCGCTCCACTCGATGGCTACTCATGGGCGACATATGATGAGCTAGTTGGAGAGAATAAGGCTTTATCGCCATCGTTCCAACCTAGATCTAAAGTTCATGACGAGCTCCTCATAGTTGGTAATGTTGCAAGTACAAATGGTGAATCATTGTTCGCTCAATGGCTCATGTGCATAGCTTATAAGAATTGGCTTCACAAGTATGGTAGAGTGAGAACGATACTTACTTCATCCGACTATACGTTGAAGAAATTTCTTGCAGGGCCTCTGTATAAAAAGCGGAATAAGACTGCTGCAAAGAGGGCGATGTTTTCAGAAACAAGCTTGGTCGCCATGACTGAAGGTGCTCAAGGAACTTGCACAAGCGAAGGCTATGATCCTCGCCTAGTGATAGAAAACCAACCGGCTTTGCTTCCACGTAACTCAACTTTGCCTCAGGGATCGACTATCGGAGTGGCGGAGTTCGTCCCTCGTGAAATAACCGACGACTATAATGTGGACGAGATTGATTACATGACACAATCAATGCTGTTTAGACCAAACGACCCAGTCCTGGACAGTATTAAGCAACTAGCACCAGGGGCAGCCATTGATCTTCCACCTTTACTTCCTGATGAGATCTTAAAGAAGACATTCAAAGAGCTCACCGCTGAGGACCTCTGGACAATGTACAACGTCTACAAAACGTGGGCATTCAAACCAACGTATGAAGAGATGATTCATGTACATTTGGAGGAGTAAGGCTATGTATATATCGAGCTCAAGATTCTTCTTCCATAGACTCTTTAAACAAAGAACGAGATCTCTTGGGCGTGTCGCTCATTTCGAAGCTGCTCATCTCGGTAGGAATGCTTTTTGGATTGGAATTCTTCACTCTTTCTTCATGGTTGGACAGTTCGCCACTCGAGTTGTTTACATAAACCTTCGACCTCTGGCTCCCACGAGGCGATGGTTTAGGACCAAAATTGAAACTCAGCTCATCAGTTCCGCTGTTGGGTTGCTTCGGAGAGATACTGGGGCTTTTAGCAGGCTCTTTTTGTGGGCTCTTCAGATGAGTCAAGGACTTATATTTGAGCAATGGCAGGTTGTCATGCAACAGGACCTCGTCCGCCGTGGCACTGTACTTCAGCAGCGAAGCATCCTCTTCATCAATATTAACAAGGACGGCGGAGTTTTCTGACAGCAGCTTCTTGTTTTCGAACATTGAGTGAATCGAGCCTTGGCCCTGGCTTTGGTCGACAGAGATGGCGAATCTCCTTGCTCTTGGAACAAGAGGATGTTCTTCCATGTTTTTTTCCTCTGAGGAGGAAGAGTTGATCATCTTGATTTCTGGAACCTGCTTGGAGGAGCTTATAGATTCATTACCAACGGCACGGGGCGAGTCTCTCTTGATTTCGATACCAGAGATCTCAGAACTAGATGCGCTTCTCTGACCGGCGCCTTCAGTCTCAGTGGTTCCACCAGGTGCCTTCTCTGCAACATCTTCATCCCAATATAACAGGGCGATCACACCGACAATGTAGAAGACATGAACAAAATGAATAACAATGTATGGAAGAAGCGCCAGCTTTGCTGTAGCATGAATAACGCATTCAGAGACGATCAAAGCACAGAGAAGAACTGCTGTAGAAGAGAGAAAGCCACTCAATGCATACTTCGTTGCTGGTATCCCCATGTAGATATGGGTCAAGAGAGCTGCAAGAGCTAGGCAAGATGACAAGAGGTATCCGAACCGCAAGCCTTTATGAACAATCAACTTGGTTATTAAGGCTAATGGGGGCTTTTCGTAGTTGAATACATCGATTCCGTTCTCAATAAGCCAAGTGATGTTTGCATTGAAAGGCTGACCACGCTTGAATTCAATCAAGGGGTTTGAAATATCAGACAACACTCCTCTTGTAGTGGTGAATGTATTGCCTCCAATGCTCTTCAAAGTGTTGGCGTTCTGAGACACACCATGCTCATAGACAAGGGTAGCAGAGCTATATGACACCTTGAGACTGGGGACCAAGAAGATGAACCTCGAGTTATCCTCAAGGTATTGGTCAAGATGCTGATAGTAGATGTCAGAGATAAGGTTACTAAATTCAGTCAGGCTGGAATTGGTTCCGCTGGCATTGAGAAGGTAGCGGGGCACATCAATAGGGCCAAACTCACAGTTGATTAAAGGAAGACACATTTGAACAACAGATAACAAGGAGAGGGTAAGGAAGACAAAGAGGTATGGCAGAAGTAACCGAGAGGCCGAGTTCCAGCCGGACTTATCGAAATTGAATTTCATGTTATTGGAAGAAAAGTGGTATATACTTTTGAGTATTTGCAGCTAATCGCGCTCCTTTTATATGTGGGGTCTGGGGGACCTTCTTATATGGTCCCAAGACCGAATAGTAACCCAGAGTCTTTTATGAAATATATCTCCTTAGCTATCGCTAGGAAGGTCTGGTAAGTTATTAAAGAGCTCCACCAACTTTGAGCTGTTGAAGATGTGTTCTCCAGGAGGCCCGAAGTATCCAGCATTGGGCAACACTTGGAGAAGACTGTAGATGGTGTTTCCAACAAATCCATACTGGTTTTCTTGTTGTGTCACTTGAGAACCGCTTATTTGGCCATTGCCGACAATAGAGTTGTTTGCGGTGCTTCCCGAAGTGGACTCAGGGGAGTAGTTATCGCTAGGGGAAGACAACTTTTGACGCTTCTTGCTCTTTCTGCTCTTACGAACTGGCTCTTCCTCTTCATCTTCATCCTCAGAGTCAGACTTAGCTTCCGTACACAAGTCGTACTTGGCAATGGCATCAACGGCGCTACCTCTATAGCGGTCGATGAACAAGCTCAACTCGTCGTCGTCTGGGAAGAGCTGTAAGTAACGCTTCTCAAGGGCAAGCACAGTGTCTAGGTCTAGGTAACTGTAAGCGAACCTTATGTATCTCTTGATGATTCGTTTCATAGCACTTTGACTCTTTTTGAGTCTGACCGTTCTCTTCTTTTGATCTAGAATATTACCTCTCGTGAGCTGGATTGACTCTTGATCTTCTGAAATTTGTTGTTGAAGGTTTGTGACAGCCATCTCGAAGAAGACCTTGATACTTTCGACAGAGTTGGTAAGGATCAAGTAGTCCAAGTAGGCGTAGAGGAATGCACCATCTTGACTGTAAGTCTTCATTGCCAAATCAAACACCTTGTCCGCAATCTTTTTGTTATCGGAATAATACTCAGTCAAGGCGTTCTCAACGAAGAGCTCGTAGCCTAATGCTTTGTAGTTCTTTCTTTGCTTGAACACAGCACGGACCTCCTTTATACCTTGCGTTCTTTTACTCAAGGCCATCAAATTTATATACGCTAAAGTGACTGAACGGCTCAGTTCTTCAAGCTTCGCTTCAAGCCCAAGGATAGCGAGAGCTTCACTCTCGGATAGCTTAATCTCGGAGCTGTTATTGTCGATCATGTCGTCGTCACTGTCATCTCCCTTGGAATCTTTTGGTGCCTCATTACCGTTGGTTGCGCTCTCCTTGACTTTGGCGTTCAAGGCGTCGAGCTCTTCTTTGAGCTTATCATAGTCTTTGGAAAGGTGATTGATGAGGGTACGCAAAGTTTCAGAAGCTCTTTCGAACGAGTTGTCCTTCTCGAGCAACTCACTGAGCTGGAATGCAATAAGGAAACTTCCCGGATTCAATTTAGCACCTTCGGTCAACACATCAATACATCTGGGTCTGTTAGCCTCTTCGTTCTCTGAAAGCAAAAACCTATTAAAACGGAACCATACCTCAGGCACAAATGGGAGAGTATATGTGGCTTGTTTATAAACGTATTCGACTCTCTGACGTAGTTCGTGATCTCTCAAGTTGAGATGATTCTTCTTTTCTAGTGCTATCCATCTGAACCATACTTCTATCTGAGTGGTCAAGACGTTGTTGGTATCCTCCTGGAGAGACATGGGGATAGTTCTTCTTCTCAACAGACCCTTTGTGGCATTTTTGTATTCTGTGTTCCATGAACGGGCTTCCATATACGAAGTAGAGAGGTCAGCGATGAACTTACTAGCACTGTTCGGCGTGGATACGTCGTTTTCCCATTTTGTGTATTCGGCCCAGGTAGACTCAATTTTGGCAGCAGGAATTACAAGACATCTTCTGTACAAACGACGGATGAGGTCAGTTTTCTGTTGTTGTTCCCATGACGACGACGGCGTCCACGACTTGAAGAAGTCAAGGTAGTCCTTCCAGAGCTCGGCACTGTCCACGTCTATTCCCACCTTGTTGATGGCAAAATCAAAGGCCAGAAGAACAGTAGTTCTTGCCTTTTCACCACCAGTGATCACATCGTTCACTCGACGAACGTACGAGACATATGTTCGACAGAGATCCACATCATTAGTAATTGGAAGACACTTGGCGAAGATCTGCTCCACATTATTGAACTCTCCACGGTTCAACTCAAAGTTCACATAGTTGTTCCACTGACGAGCGTCAAACCTGAAGATGGTGAAGTATTTGTCAAAGGTCGCTCTAACCTGTTCTTCCTTGTCTTTGGCTACCACCTGCTCTATCAACTGACCCCACTTCTTAAAATCTAGCAGGTTCTGTTCAACAGCATCTTCAAGCGTGCCAATGACATCCAACAGCAACCGCTCCTTCTTATCAGACATAGTGTCTATGTGAGCGTGTACGATGGGTGAAATACCAGTAGATGAGGTATATGTTCAGTGTATATTTTTCGTGCGCATACAACATAGTACATAGTGGTAATCCATACTCACGATAGTACAACCACTTGTAATGATATTGGAATTACATGTTTGGGGTGACGACGAGTTGTCGATAATAGAACCCGAATGCATTGCTGCTGCATGGCTACTAAGTATACACTTGGTGCCGCAGAAGGTGAAGTTCAGGATTGTCAAGTCCAACAACACCAATCTTGCCGAGTCAGAGAGATTGCCGCTTCTAATAGCGCCATTTGCCGATGCTTACACGAAAGTTGAAGGATTCACTGAGATTGCTAATTACATTTCCACACAGTATCCGTTGGATTCTACCAAGTTTGTACCTGACGGAAAGCTTTCACCCAAGGACCAGTTGATCAACTCGTGCCTTCAGAGCTATGTCAGGAAGACATTACATAACGTTCATCAGTATAACTTGTACGTTAACACGAAGAACTACGAGAATTATACCAGAAAATTGTTTCTGCATTACCTTCCGTTCCCAATGATGTATAACCAGCCTTTGAAGTTCCACAAGAACGCTTGTGAGCAGGTGAAGCTTATTGGACTTGGGAATAACAAATCTGGATTCTTTAGTTTTGGAGGTGGCGGCGAAGATGAGGTTGGCGACACAGAGCTCGTCAATGACGACGAAGACGAAGAGTCCCAACCTGTCGCCATTAGTGCCTTGCATGAAAAGATGCTACTTGCTAAATCCAAAGACAAGACAATTATGAGAGAGGCGAGAAACTCATTTAGGTGTGTGGCTCTTTTCCATGGCTACATCCAGCATCTCATGAAACTCTTTGATGAATTGAACCCATCGCTGCCGGTTGAATATGCTTACCTTTTCAAGTCCAAGAAGATCTCTTCATCTGAGCTTCTTTTATACGCTTACATCTACACCCTTACTTTCAACGGACTCCCAGACCAAAACATTGCAGAACACTTGAAGACGGAGTTCCCAGCATTCTGGAAATTTGCAACCACCATCATCACTGCCCTTCAAGACAACTTGAAACCTGGAAACCTACGAACCGCGAAGGGCAAAGAAGTGCCTTCGTTATGGAACGAAATCGGGTCTCTTGTTGGTCTTATTCTGTATAAGGAGCCATACTAGCCCAGTCTTAGAGGGTTACCCGAAGCTGTTGCGAGTAACGCAAAAAAAAAAAAACGCTGAAAAAAAAAAAAAAAAAAAAGTCAGCTCTACTCCTAAACAGAGCCAAAGTTCGTGGTCTCCACGACTGTAAATACACATTTTCGACAATTACATCCCTTGTAGAGTCGGACAATCTCAGCATAGTTTCATCCCATTCAACAATCCATGATGAGGATGATGGAATTTCTTTGTCCCAGAGAAAACCTTATTCTGGCTATACTGGCAGGGCATCAACGGCTTCCCATAGCCAGCGAGCTTTCCTGTCCTCCCGGGAGCCAAACATTGTAAACGCCTAGTAATGTCATTTATTATATCTTCTTCAACCTTCCTTATCTGCTCTATAATTGACTGGTAAATACGGCTTCCTCGGAACTCTGTCCTACTAAATGGCGCGCTTCGGCATCTGGAGACAATAACACTACTGTTACAACTCATCGGGACCTGAACCGCCCAACTTCACCATGAGATTTGCTAGCTTTGCTGTGGCATTTTCAACTGCTTGTGTTGTCCACGCTGCTGCTGTTAAGCATGTGGATGCACAGATCACTGATGGACCAGTGCTTGAAAAGAGAGCCAAGGATGTGATCATCAACAAAGAGTACCAGAAGTTGGAGTCAATGAAAGGCCAAGGCAGTCTGTCGGAGGAGGCACCCAGACCATGGCATAGGACAATTTACGAGACCCAGGTGGAGATTGTGACGCCTACCATCGTTGGTGGTATTACATTCAGTGCAAAGCCTGCGGAAGAGACTAATGGCTTGGAGCCCTGGATCTCTTTGGATAAGAACGGACGTCCAAAGACCATCAAGCCAAAGATTAAAGGCGGTAACACCAAGGACGCTTCGCCAACTTACGGAACGTATTTCCAGACTCCTGTGACCAAAACTTACAATAAGGAAGAGTTGAAGGCTCATAATATGGCTGACGACGAGGTTTACGAGTACGTGGAATGGATAAAGGAGGACACTACCTACCAGGAATTGAATCCTGTGATTAGATGTACTCCTCAGCTTTACAAGAAGAAGGGCATGGCCAAGAACATCTCTCCTGAACCCTTCTGTTTCCCTAGAGACGATGCAACATGGCATGTTGACAAGACCTACTTTGTCACCTGGTACTACCCATTCTTTGAAACTGACGTGAAACAAGTTAAGGTACATTTGTCTCATGTCAAGGTTACTGCCCGTCAAAAGGGAATGAAGAGAAGTCTTGGAAGTATGGTTGAAGATGGTATTGACAAAGTCAAGCGTACCTTCTCCAAGAGATCGCAGGTGATTGAGAAGGGTGGAACTATCGCTCAGAGATCATTCTTCACTTCTGACTGGCTCGATAAGGAGACCGGTATCTTTGCCATCACCGTGGACAAGGAATGGTTAGGCAAGGAGTGGAACAGAAAAGCATTGCTCTCGATCCAGCCTGATGACGTTGGCGATGACGAGTTTGACCATTTGGAACACTCCGTTGTGGTTGAGCTTGCCTACGGAGCCAAGGTGGGCAAGGGCCACAACCTTGATTTGAAGAAGCAAGAGGAGAAGGCGAAGATGAAGGCTCTTTATGGTGACGACTACGAAGTCGAGGAAGGTATCGACTACGAGAAGTACATCATCATCATAACCATCCCCACATGCGTGGTCATTGCCGTGTTGGGTATGTACTGCTTCATCTGGATCAACCGGAAGCAGACCGACTTGTCTTTCCTCAAGAACGTCAAGTTCCCAAAGAAAAAGAGAAAGAACAGAATGCCATTCTCCAAGAAGAATGAAAACAAGTACACGGAGTTGCCCCAGTGGGACGGACCTAAGGTTGACTAGATCTACAGAGCATTCCCACACACGTCTGTGAGAAAGTCTTCTTGTCTTTTTCGCAGCCAACCATCATAGCAGCATTCATCCTTTTCCTAGCACTACCATGCAACCACGCATAATCTCCACACGTGAATATCCCCAGACACGAATATATCAAGGAGTCGTCTCCTCGCGTAGAATTTCTTTCACCCTTCTTTTTTCCCTTGTCTCTCTCTTGTCTTCATTGTGATCAGGTGGTGTCTTTCTCTCTGTCAGGCGCCGTCTTTCGAGTGCAGGCATACCGCAGTGGTTACTGCCGCCTCACTGGAAGCACTTCGACTAATTTATAAAACCATCTACATCCCTTTTTTTTTTCCTTCGGTGAACCCATACTTGTTCTTTTTCTCCCCGGATCCAAACACACTGCTTTTCGTTGATGCTTGACTTTATGAAAAGCTTCAACCAAGGGTGGTACCTCACCACCCTTTCATCCATTTTGTGTGCCCTGGGGACGTTTATCATTTTCCTCGATGACATTTATGAGATTTTGTTCCCACGTTGGTTCACAAGGAGGTTTCCTTTCCATTTGAAGGAGAACTACGCTTTTATGAACGGGTCTTTGGCATTCAGTTCCGGCTGTTTATTGTTTACGGCGTTATACAGACTTTTACCTGAGGCGATGGAGAATCTCATCCCCAGCGATGAATCAGCAGACGTATCACAACAAGAGATCAATATCGTGTTGATTACTTCTTTTATTGCGGGAATTGCTGCATGTTACATTTTCAACCAGCTTTTGCATTTGCTTACTGCTGAATCGGTGGTGCATTGTTCTCATGACGGTGAAGATAAAGTGGAGTCTCTTCCTTACTCTGAGCTTCGTGACGAACACCACTCTCACAGCCATGGACACGATGAACCTGAGCATCACGAACAAAGCCATAGCCATAGTCATGGCAACGACGCTGGTGCTCACCATGATCACGAAGAGTCTGCTGGCACGTCTTCTGGTGCCGCTCACAACGCTACTGCTCCTGCTACTGCCGAGGAATTAGAGAGCGCTCCTTTATTGGGCCACCGCAAGTCACAGGGGCTTCTTCACTACTTTGCTCAAAATGAGGAGGACGACCAGTTGTTAGGTGAATGTAAGGGCTACACCTCTGCTGAGCTTTGTTTACACGACCAGGTCCAGAGCAAGCCCCATTTCTGCGAGATCCCTGCTATCCGCAAAAATGAGAGCGAGGAGAGCCTGGCGCTGGCGCTGGGACATTCCGAAGACGATCACCGCCATGATCATCGCCAAAAGTCCGACGTGACGTTTACTAGATCTGTCCTGGAAGTCCATTCTCAACATGGAAGGTCAGAACACCATCACCACCATGTTAACTCCCCCCTTTCTAGACTTATGCTTATTGGCGTGCAAACAATCCTTGCCATTACGTTGCATAAATTTCCTGAAGGTTTTATCACATATATTACCTCCGAGACTGATCCCGAGCTCGGAGTTTCTATTTTCCTAAGCCTTTTGATTCATAACTTCACTGAGGGCTTTTCCATGTGTTTGCCACTTTACTACTCCTTTGCGTCTGGCAAAGCGCGTTGGGCTAAGTTCAAGGCGGTTAGTATTAGTGCAATTTTAGGTGGCTTCTCGCAACCTTTGGGAGCACTTGGTGGCTTTATCTTTTTAAAAGCAAACCATGCGGGTAATTCAAATATAGACATTGACAAGCTCAACTTCATTTTCGGCATCACCATGGCTGTGACCTCTGGGTTCCTTTGTGTGATTGCGTTATCGATGTACGGCTCTGCCGTGGCATTCAGCGGCTCGCCCAACTTTGTTATGATTTGGTGCATTGTGGGTATGTGCATAATTGGCCTCCTGTCGCTTATCTTGGCTGAAACCTAAGGAGGTGCAAAAAAACAAGATTCATTTATTAATATAACCATTATTATTTCACTCTTCTACTAGTCCACCTTGTAGTCAACGGCTGCGAAATCCTGTGCGATAAGCTTTTCTGACACAAACTTGCTGAAAACGAACATGGACATAATATGTGTCGCGCACGACTAATCGGAATTTCTTTTTCCCACTCTCACTCAGTCACCCCCTCAAAAAAAAAAAAAGTTGTCCAAGTCCACGTTCACTACAACTCAAGCTTCTTGAATATTTCACCTGCTATATTTCTACTCGGTTGGATGTCTGATTTACTATTGCTTTGATATTCATCTTTGAAATTTTAAACCTATAAGTTTGCTGAAAATATGATGGCACACGAAGTTCCTATAAACCTACACCCACCCAACGGCCATACTGGACCAAAGCCGTCCAAGGCTAAGCAACCACCTTCTTTGAGAAAGTTGCCAAACGGTGCCAAACCGGATTTTGGTCCCGGAAGTGAAAAGGGCGAAAAGAATGCGTCTGGTAACCAAAACGGTGGTTCCAAGAAGAAGACACCTTCTCTTCCAAATGGAGAAAAGCCCAACTTTCATGGCGATAAGCAAGAGCCTAAGAAGACCAACAAGGCCAAGAAGGAGTCTGCTAAGGAAGGTAACAAGCCTGGCGATGCTTCTGGAGCTGATCAAGGAAAGAAGTCAAGAAACAAGAAGAATGCTAACGCCAATAAGGGCGGAGAAGGTTACGCTGGGACGTCCTTCCATTCATCCCCTGAGGCCTTAGCTTTGCCAAAACCGTCTTTCAAGACCTCTCCAAAGTCTAGAGCAAACCAAGCTCCGGCTCCGCAGGCTCAGACCCCTCAGGCTCCTCAACAGGCTCCTCAACAGGCTCAACAACAACCTCCTTCACTTCCTCAGTCTCGTGACTCTCCTGTCCAACAGATTCCTCATGGACACTTGCCTATGGGCGCTGCAGGTCCCTTCATTTACCAGGGCATGCCTCCCCAAGGACCACCTCAGTTCCCTGTTGTCCAGCACCCTCATGCTGGTCCTCATGGTCCTGGCGCTTACCAGCCAGGCTTCAATTACTCTGTCAACCCGCAAGGCTACATCAACTACCATTACCCACCTGGAGCCGTTCCTCCTCCCCACCCTCTTGGCATGAGTCCCTTTGGATATCAACCCCAGCCACCTATGATGGCACCAGGCCAGCGCCAGGGTGCTGGTCCTGTTCAGGGACAACCACAAGGTCAGGGCGCTCAAGGTATGGGACACAAGATTACATTCAATGAGTTGATGGGCTCTTCGAAGTGATGGACATGTTAATGCATCTATCTGATTTACGTTTTTGCTTACCACAAATTACTTTTTTTTACATTGCTTGACCTTCATGACCTGTTTGATTCATTTTCATGCCGCCAAACCCTTTTTTTCCATGCCACCACCCACGTTACGTTGTATCATAGTCGGTGCATGGCCATCAACGGCGCGGTCTTTTTACGCTTACGAATTCATCAAGAGCATGTTTTTGTGGGGGTTTTTTTGAAGACATATCCCAATCACCATGGGCCGTGTCTTTTCACCATTATTTCCCTCCATTTTTAGCTCTTCCTTTTTTTTTTTTTTTTTTTTTACATTCTTTTTTTTTAGAACTTTTCAAATGCATACTTTCTGCTTTGGCTTAATGCAAGTGTAGAATGTCAGTTTTTTCCCGCCCCCCTCCCGCCTCCACAGCGCTAACCTCCTTCCAACTGCAGAAACACCCCATCACAACCAACCCAACCCCAGAATGACAATCTGATCCCCAATTTTCTAAATCCTCTCAACCTCCCCTCTCCCTCAACCAATCATATCACTCCCTCTTCCACTTTCCTCTTGGCCTTTATCGCTGGCACGGCTTGCTCTCTCCAGTGCGGCACTCTCTCGGTTAAGCGTCCTGTCAAATGCCTCCAAAGGCGAAGCGAAGCTAAGGCGGCAAATCCCCCCCTTGCCTGATCCATACACCCCCTTACTTAATTCAACCTTTACACTACCTTCCTTTGCCGAATTGGCCTCCTACTCTTTGTCTGGGCTTTCCATTACTCCTCATTCCGGCAAACCATAACAATGAGGATGTGCTGGGGCGGCATCTCGCCCTGCGGGTTGGTGGAAAGAAATGCGTAATCGCAAAATTAATTCTCATCCTACAACACTCTCTTTCTCTCTCCTCCAATGCAAGGCAAAGAAATCAGAATCACCTCGCTTTTGGTGTTGGATACCATCTTTCTTATCTTAGAGGCCGGTGTGGGCTACACGGTCCAGTCGTTGGCGCTTGTGGCTGATGCTTTCCATATGCTTAACGACATCATCTCTCTTGCTGTGGCCCTCTGGGCGGTGAGGGTGAAGAAGCTGAAGCCTGCTGACGGGACTTATACTTATGGCTGGCAGAGAGCTGAGATTTTGGGTGCTTTGATCAATGCTGTGTTCCTTTTGGCCTTGTGTTTTACTATTATCATTGAGGCCATCAACCGTTTCTTTAACCCTCCAGAGATCTCATCTCCAAGGCTTGTGTTGGCTGTGGGATGTGCTGGTTTGATCAGTAACTTTGTTGGTTTGGCTTTGTTCCACGAACACGGTCACTCTCATGGTGGTGGCGGTCACTCCCACGGTGGTGGTCACTCCCACGGCCATGGCGACGACGAGGAAAATGTTGGCGACGCTGGTAATGACACTCCAACTTCCAACCTTTCGGACTTCTTCCCTGATAATGTCGTGGAGAGATTCAATGAGCAGTCGCCATTGGTTAAGAAGGATAAGAAGACCGTTAAGAAGAAGTCTATGAACATGGAGGGTGTGTTCTTGCACGTCTTGGGTGATGCTTTGGGTAATGTCGGTGTTATTATCACCGCCTTGTTCATCTGGAAGACTGACTACTCCTGGAGATTCTACAGTGACCCTATCGTGTCGCTTGTTATTACTGCCATCATCTTCTCTACTGCATTGCCTCTTTGCAGAAAGTCTTGTAAGATTTTGTTGCAGGCCACTCCTCCAAGCTTGGACCCTAATGTGATTGCTGAGGAGATTACCTTGTTGCCAACCATCAAGTCTATCCACGATTTCCACATTTGGAACTTGAACGAGGACTTTATGATTGCTTCCTTGCACATTGAATTGAACGAAAATCCCGAGACTGGTGTCCAGGACCAAAAGGGTGAAGGTATCATCAATAAGAATGCTTTCGTTGAGACTGTTGCTCAGGTTAGAAGACTCTTGCAAAAGTATGGCATTGACTCTGTCACCATCCAGCCTGAGTTTCCTAAACAGATCCAGAGGCAGTCCAGCACCCTCTACGGTACCACTAAAACCAGCGCTCAGTGTATTTGAGCAACCTTCCCCAAAGAAGTAAAAAACCAAAAAAAAAAATGAGTGTTTAAAAATTAAGAGATCGTTGTTTGAATTGTTTTGGTGTGCCATAATGTATAATTTTTAGATAGGTATGTTACAAACCACTATAAACTCAATTAAATAAAACCTGAAAAACCTAACCAGCGAATGAAACTGGGCCGAAATAAAATATCAAGCAAACACTAAAGCATGCGGCGGACAATCTGTTGGGCTCGATGTGCCGTTAATAGTAATAGTGTTTTTTGCCAACAATGACGAAATACGATGATGCAAAAGAAGAATGGATGTCAATGTCTATTATGCTGGGGGAATGGTGTACTTATTAACGAACAAAGTCCTTTACGTAGACTGTCTTGTAAGGGACCTTCTTGACATTGTACTTGTTCTTCTTTTTCTTTTGATCATCAAAAGACTCGTATCTCAGTTTGGACTTGCTCTTAAAGAAAGAGAAACCAGAGACCGTCAGTTCATTCGAGTAAACAGACTCGTTGTCGTTAACCACTGGTCTAGAGTAGACAGAAGCGGCGTAACCGGCAGGAGGAGCCTGTTTGCTTTGTCTTCTGACATCAGATGCTGAAACACGGCTGGTTGTGTTGATAGTAGAAACATCGTAAGTCGATGAACACATAGAACCGCGTCTAGCCATGTCGAGACTTGGTTGTGCTGGAGTTGGAGCCTTAGCTGGACGTCTCACTGGAGCGTGGTGCTTGACTGGGATGGTGCCTTCCTTCTGAACACCCTTGGAGGAAGGAGGAATTGGCACACTGATTGGAGCAGAAATCTTGTTGTGAGCAAGCTTCAGAGGCTGCTTCTGTTCCTTGGAAGAACCAAAGATAGAGCCAAGCTTGGCACGGAAACCGTGCTTCTTCTTCTTGTCAGTAGAACCACGAGGAGCAGCTGGAGCAGCATTAACGGCTGGAGTACGAGCTGGTTGAGCCTTGGCTGGGGCAAAGGCTTCAGCAGATGGCTGCAAAGGCAAAGAAGAAACACTGCGAGAAGCTGTGAGTCTGGCCAAAGATGGAGGAGCAAGAGCCTCACGAGGAGCTTGTTCGGTAATGGAAACATTCAGCAAAGAGACATTCTCAGCGTGGTTGTAGCCCAATTCCTCCATCTCCTTCTTAAGCACAAACGAACTACGCATGAAGCCCAAAGAAGCTCTCTTTCCTGGGGTGTACATCGATCTGGTGGACAACGAAGGCGTGGAGCCAAAGTCACGATGCATCATAGGGAAAGCTGCCGTGGCAGAAGGAGCAGGCAACGATTGCATAAAGCTGATATCGCTCAGCTGGGACATCTTCGTGTTGTGGTTGCGGAAACCGTATCCGTTAGAGTTCTTAGCCACATCTGGAGAGTATCCCAGGCCCAGAGAAATCGAAGACTTGTAGTCCAGGTTGTGCAAAGACAAGGAAGAAGTTCTAGAAGAACCATCCTTCTGGCTGTTGTCGTAGTCAGAGGTCTCCTCGTCAACCTCAGTCTCAGCAATAGGAGCTAAGCCCTTGATACCAAAACTGTTGCTGTCGAAAACCTGGTTCTGACGCTTCTGGCGGTAGTCCTCCTCAGGTGGAGCCAAGTTGAACTCATCCTCAACATCCAGAATAGGGCTCTCGCAAGAGCTTCCAGACCAAGAGCGCAGAGCACTCTCAGGCAGTGGGTGCTCCATAGAAGAACCCAAGTCAGACGAAGTTCTGCGGTGGTGCAGCGAGCGACGAGGGTCAAATGGAGCAGTCTTGGACTTGACTTCAAAGTCGTCAGTGTCCAAGCCCAAACCAAGCTCTTGCAACTGAGCAGCCAGGTCTCTTCTAGAAGAGCGAGGAGTCAACTGAGGCTCAGTGCCCACAGCATCGTTAAAGCTGTAGCTGTGAGAAAGGTTGCTAGCACCGCTAGAACGCTTCTTAGAACGTGGGTCAAATGGACCTTCGCTCACTGGCAGACTCTGTCTTGGGCTCTGTGGCATAGATGGAGCCTTAGCAGCCGGCTGCTTGACAAAAGTGGCAGGAACCTTCACCAGGACGGGTTCCTTGGGGCTTTCAGTGACAGAGCGACGGAAACCCTTGTACTTTTCATTCTGAAGGTTAATCTGAATGGTGTTGTTTCCGGCGGATTCCTCCTGAAGACGAGGAAGTGGGCTGCTCTTGAAAGAAGGAGCTTGTGGCTCTGGCTGTGGCTGTGGTTGTTCAACTGGTGGAGAAGCAGCAGAAGCCCTAGAAGCAGATCTAGCTGGAACCTTCAAAGGAGCAGTCTCCTCCAACAGTTCAGTCTCAGATTCGGACGAGCGGCCACCAGTGGCAGAGAGCAACAGCTCCACGTCCAGCTCTTCATTCTGCAAAATGCAGTTGGCAATGTAAATGTACGTCTTGACCCACAAAGTCTCCAAACCAGCATGAAACTGTGGTCCAAGCGTACTACGCAAATACTGAATCATTACACCTCCCATAGGCTCCAAGTAACGTACACCACATCTCACCACATGGGGGTTTTCCTTAATGAATTCGTTGATACACTCATCCAAAACATCGAGATTGTGAAGGTACATCATGGTGAAACCCATAATTTCAGAAAAGAGCTTCTCCTGCTCGGCTCTCACCTTCTTGTTCTCAAACAAATCTCTAGCATCATCACTGCTGTGACAAAGCTCAGTAAACAACTCGTTGATAACTTGCTCAGTCTTGTAATCTTTCATCGCCATGGCTTCGCCCCACAGGGCTCTCACCTTGTTGCGTTCGGCGGTGCTGAGCTGTAAGGATGCCATAGTTATTTGGTAAAAAATGTCTTTGGCTGCAAAATGATGGGTATAAGACCAGCGACGGGAAGAAAAAGAGGTGTTTTGGAAATGCCCTGGAGCAGAAAGTGCCAATCTTTTATATATTGGCACAATAAATGCCATTTCTCCACAATGGATCCAGAGGCTCTTGCCATATCTGGGTAAAACGGTATGAGCTTTTTGCCAATCGTGGAACCCATACCTGTGCCATCAAGTGCGCTACCCTATTACTATTCCCGATTGGGAAGTTTTCCATACTTGTGTGCACTCCCAGGCCCTTCCGCGCAGCTCCATATTTCCTCTTGCGGTAACATTACTATTAGTGGACCCTTCACCCCCATGACTTAACTAGGTAATGGTAGAGGCCCCCTTTCACCTTCTGAAATAGCACCGCTAATTCGTGACTTCGTCTATTGCCTCTCCCTAGATCTACACTAAAAGCCTTATTCGTCGATGCCGAAACGCTGCCATATTAACTATATCCATAGAATTTACCCCATTATATAATACAAACCGTAGCCGAGACCGGGGAGCTTAACGCTTCATGCTAGTACCAGATGTTTCACCGCGCTATGGGCAGAGAGATTATGCTTTGCTTTTTTCTACTGCTGAACCACATCGCGTGTCTCTGTCTTGACAGGTCTTTCTTCGTGAGAAGTTGAGCTTTTCTCGTCATGCACCTGGTGCAGCAGCGGCTGGATCTCACCTTCGTCGTTCTCTTCTCCCGCAGTCTCCTCGCCATCTACCCAACTTTCAGCCTTTTCAAGCTGGTTGTTGAATACCGTCGTTAGTCTGCCAATCATGTTGAGTGATTCTTTGGCAAATGTAACTATCTTGTCGTTAGTCTGCGATGAGCTAGCCGCATTCGTCTGTACCTGGTTGGGCAAATTGAGAATGATTTCCCTGATGGTCGACTTGAGCCTGTAGTCCTCGCTCTCCAAACCTTCACCACCGGGGCCTTTATCGGCAACCAAGGATGAAGGACGGAAGTTGGAAATGACGTGAATGATCTTCTTGACCGTAGTGACAATCTCAGTCTGGGTTTCCTGCGGGTCTGCAGAGTACTCCAGACGAGACGAGTTCACCGCCGTCAAGTCCGTCTCCAGCCGGGCCTCTGGCCGCGTGAGAACATGGGTATCATCGTGTTTTTCCTCCAGTTGAGGAGTAGAGAGCTGTTCCTGATGGCGGTCACTGACAGGACTGTCGGGTTGAATGGCACGCTGGAGACAGTTGACCCTGTCGTTTATCTGTCTGTTAGCGAGCTTCAAGATATGTAAGCAGAACTTCAACCGCTTCTTAGTCTCTGTCTTTTCCGTAGGCAGCACCACACGACGTTTCTTCTGCCTGCGAGCTTCGTGGAGCTTCGCCTGGTGCATGCTGTTAAGGTTCACCTCAATCTTACTGAACACTGGCATGGCTGCCTTCTCGACAATACCCGCAGCATAGTTAAACGGCGCATAGTTACGCTTAGAGTCCTCATAGTATTTCACCGCATTTGTCACGATAGGAAGTTTACTCACAGCACTCACAGACAGCACGATAGGGTGTTGTTGGCGCTCCAAGTCGGTCAACGATGTGGTAGACATGGGTGAGGTTATGGAGGAGTCCGGGTTGGAATCCGCAGGCCCTGGCGAGTGGGCAAGGTTTGCAAGTACTTCGGCGGCGGAAACAGCACTTTCATCATTCTCCTGGCGAGGCAAGTCTGGTGTGGTTGGGCTGCCAGTGGCTTCTGCACTGATAGCGGACTCCGAGACCGTGGCAGCTCCGACTAGCGGCAGCTTGTTGGCTAGCTTAGCAGGGAGTTCGCCGTGCTCATATGGCGGTGGGTCCTCAGGGAGCGAATCTGACAACTTTCTCTTTCTGCCTTCGGTCATTATGAAGATGTTGTTGGGACCGGAAATGTGTTTGGTGAGGAGGAGGTTTTTTTTTTTTATTATTTTTTCGTGGGAAGCTCACAGCTGATATAGATGAAATGCTTGCGAGGGAGGAACATGTGAAAAGCGAACCCTAGGTTTCTTTCGCGCAGAGGGTGCATGCAAATTCAGACAGGCCAGTGGAAGGGCCTAAGTTGGCCTTACAAAGAGCCTTCAGGGGGGCATGTGATAAGCTTGGAGGGAACAAACGAAACAACAACAAAAAAAAAAAAATGCACAAAATTCCTTGCATTCTCAAGCGGCTGCAAATAATACAGACCAACTTTTTCCCCAGTCTTCCTCCAAAATTCCGTGCTCTTTCCCACCACCCTTTGTGTTTTCGCAGTATTCTTCTCTCGCGTAGGCTGCGGAAAGTCATATGCGTGAAAAACCTGGGCAAAGGCAAGATAGGCCATGGCAGAGATGCGAAAAAAACTCCTGGAGTGTCCCGCCACGCCGAGCTCCCAAAAGCAGATGCTTTGCCCTGAATCTGGCTAGACTAAATTTTGTTTGTCAAAATTACTGTCAGATCGTTAAACGGCTCTCCTGAAGAGAAGGCCCCCCACTTTGACTCCTCTGGGCCTTTTGGGGGCTAGGAGGGGTAACTTTTGGCTCTTCCCCACCTCACTCTTGTCAGGACTAGCCACAAAAATAAGCCTTGACTATGGACCAGTTTCTGGTGCTAGGGGCAGGACAAGACTTAGGAGGTTAAAGCATATACTTAGAAACCTGTGGTGTGTCTTAAATCGGTGACTCCTTTCCTTTTTCTTTTTTTCTTTTTCTGCTTCTATTACTTTTGGTGCCTTCTCCCATATGATAACTCTTCCTTAGTTGTTGGGTAACAGACCATGCTTTGTGGTACCAGCTTGGCTTGTTTCAGGTTACACAAGGAGGCTGAGATGCGGCAGAACACTATCCCTTCTTCATTTTTTCTGCCCTTTTGCCTTACACTTTTTTTTCGCAACCATTCTTGTCCACCCTGACTTCGGCTTCACCTGCTTTCACCAGCCTTTCGAAATGCACTGTTTGCAGATGATCTCTACCCTGGCCCATTCTTTGTCTCTCCAAGCATACGTTCCCATACAGCATCGATCTGACACCTATTGTTGTGATTGTTAGGTTTACGTACCAAGCCTAGCTTTCCCATCTCACATGCTGAGTGTGTGCTCTGCTATGCCCAAGGCTGATCGCTGTTAGGCAGTACCAACCTCCGCTTTGCTTCTGACCGTATTGCCGCTGCCGTAAACCTGTTCTTCTTGCTCAAACCGGTGCATCGATACCCATCCTCGGTTGGGAACGAAAACCCTTCTGTACTTCTTCTTTGTTACCGGGTCGTATTTACACACTTGTGCGTATGTGGGACGGGGCTCCAGACTCTCTGGCAGCATGGCAGGTTCAACCGCTAGGATCTCGCTTTTGGTTGGGATGGCTTCTTGACAGCTAGGGGCGCTTTCTCCTGTTTTGGTGCCGGTTTGGCCCTTTTTGGTCTCCATCTGCTTTTCTATGTAGCTTCTAAGAGCAGCTCTGCCTTCTGCTGACGAGATGTCGAACGATGGTCTAGTTGCAGCCAGACGAGCTGGTTGCACCAACAGTGCTGGTGTCGTCACCTTAGCTGCTTGGATTTTGGTTGGGGCCACATACGTGAGAGCTTTCTTGGGCACTTCTACCACTTTCTTGAACGCTGGCTTGAGCCACACGTTGGGTGGATGGTTTCCTGGCAGCAGCGAGTCAGAACAATGTTTTGCGTGTTCTGATGATCCCTTGGTGGATCCTTTGGGTGGAACAATGGCAGCGGGAAAGTTCTGGTAGTTGATAGACTTCACAGTTTGATACTGAACCGAAAGGGCCGTGATAGTGGCTACCGCCTGCTGGAGTTGCCTCTGTTGCTCTGGCGTAAGAGGACAAGAAGTGAGAAACCCAACAGTATCGATGGGACTGGTAACTGGACGGCTGAGGCCCAAAACGAACTGGTTCATTGCATCGTACCCCTTTCTGATCCCAGCAAGCTCCGCCTCCTGGGCCTGAATGACCCTGAGTCTATTGCCAGCCACCCGCCACCAATAAAAGAACAAGAAAAAGAGAGCTGCCCAGAAAAGCACATTCAAGGTTGTTGCAGAAGTGATGATCTTTTGCATGGAGGCGAAGGTAGGCCATTCACCAGTGGCAGAGACGAAAGGGAGAAACCGAGTAACCGAAGGATAAGGAAGAAAGGCTGAATTGCCACTTGTTTGGTTAACAAACTGAGGCATATCCAGCCCCAACCATCTAGTATTCCATCTATGGTAAGTTTCATTGAAAAACCCAGCCAATTGGAACGGATCATAGACAGATGATGGTTTGGCTGCAAAAACACCATGTGGCGAGTCCAGAGAAGTAACACTCATTGTCATAAGACAAGCGAGCCACGCCCACGAGAGATAACTGAAGATCATTACGAAAGATAAAACACGTCTTTTTTCTATGCCAGTGCTTTGTGTTTTCTGGGCTCCACTGGAAAGAAAAGTAGTAGTCTCACAAAGCTCAACTCCAGTTCCGCACCAGCGCACTAGATAGGGGACAGTGCATTAAAACACGGCTGTACCTAAACATCAAGACAGAGTATAAAAGAAGTTTCTTTTAGTTTTGGTGCTACTTTGACCGTTGAAGTACTTCTACTTGTTGTCCATTTTCTTCTAGTGCCTTCTGGCAACTGTATTATCATGCAGTTATACCAGTATACGTCATCGCACCAGTGCCCCACAATGTCGAGTACTCGTTTCCAGGCTTTGATCTGATAACTCTTCCAGAAGTTCCTTATCTTAACTGTTTACAGAAAACATGTCCCAGGACAAAAACAATGCTCCAAACGTCCCCAACGGCTGGACCGCTCGTTTCGACGATAACTATAAACATTGGTTTTTCGTGGACTTGAGCACCAAGAAGTCCCAATGGGACGCTCCTCTGGGAACAACCTGGGGAAAGAACGATGATGACGTGGCTCCACCTCCATATGATCCAAACGGAGGAGGTTCTGGTGGCGATCGTTCCCAGGGCCAGCCCCAGGCTCAGGCTGCTCCAGCTCAGAATCATCTGGGTGGTGGCGCAGGCGGTTACCAACAACAAGGCTACGGAAACGCCGGTGCTGGCCCTGGCCCAGGTCCCGGCCCAGGATATGGCCAAGGTCCTCCTCAACAGTTTGGCGGGTACCCTCCTCAACCGGGTTACGGTTACCCCCCTCAACCGGGCTATGGTTATCCTCCTCAGCCAGGTTATGGATACCCTCCATACCAGCAAATGCCTCCACAGCAGATGCAACAACAACCACAGCGTAGTAGAATGGGCGGTGCCGGTGGTATGGCCTTAGGTGCTGGTGCTGGTATGTTGGGTGGTATGATGATGGGTAATGCCATTGCTGGTGGACAGGCTGATGCCTATAGAGATGGATACATGGACGGTAACATGGACGATGGCGGTGGAGATTACGGTGGAGGTGACTTTGACGGTGGAGACTTTTAAAAACAGGGAAGAAGCATTGAGTGTTTTGCTGTCTAGAGCGAGTTGGTTTTTCCTACGGTTTGTCTTTGTAGCATTGTTCCTGCCTACCCTCGTTTGTCATATATAGAGCTTTCTGAAAGCCCCAAATGTATCATTGCATTCATAAGAAATAGATGTAGACGATGAATTGTGATAGAGACTGGTATGTCCAGGCTACGTTGTTGCTGGGGGAAAGCGGAAACATGGAATCCTATACCTTGCCTCGGTCGAAACTCTGAAACATTCAAAAAGCACTAGTACCTTCTCTATGTCCCTTCCAAGCATTTTCAGGTAACACCGAGTCATTGTATCGACTCCTGGAGCCGGTTACTTCCCGAAGCGGGTTTTTGCAACCAGTCAGAAAGAAGACCATATACATCTTCACAACGAGAGATGCATTTGAGAAACTAAAAAGACCGTTACGATCCTAATCCTCTTCCAATTCCAGCTTAAATATCTAATTTGCTTTTTCCTCTTCTTTAGTCAATTATATGGGATGGTGGGTTGGTCAGCTTTGGAGGCCCTCTTCTGTACACCCGTGCACCACGACTCAACCAACCAAAAGGCATTTTTTTCTATTACGCTTGAGCATCTTGAGCATATAACCTCCCTTTAGATCCACCAAATAACCAGCATAATGAGAGTCACCAGAGTGTTAAGACAGGCCGAGGAGGTCCTCGTCAAGGCTGCTTCCGGTTACCCAACCGGTTTGGCCGGTTTGTACCAGCACCCAAACCCAAGACCAGCATTGATTTCCCTTTATACTCATACCTTGTCTTTCCTTACGAAAAACTTCCCAGAGCATTCCGTCTACAGACAGTCTGTGGAGGCCATGACCAAGAACAGATTGAAGATTGTTGAAGAGAACGAAATCAACGAGGTTATTGAAAACAAGATTGGTGGTGGTTTGATTGAAGAGATTGTTGTGCAGGCCAACGACGAGTTGCACTTGGCTAGAGAGTTGTCCCAGTTGAAGGCATGGGAAGAATTGGAGGAGAAGCCATTGGAGGACCAGTGGACGTACTTTGGTAGAAAGATCAACCAGTAAACTGGAGAGACAGAAGAATAAGTATAGGGCTAATGTAAAATAAGTATCATTTATCCAACACGTAAAGAATAAACGCTATAAAGGCAGCTTAAAATTAGTAATTCCACTTAAGACAGAAAAGGCCTCAATAGGTCATGATAGGCCACAATTATATCTGAAGCGGATGGTCTTTGGGTCCGGGGCGGCTTTAACAGCAGTTGTTCTTAACGCTGTTAGTCGTCAGAGAAACATTGATGCCTGAGCTGCCCTGCTGGGGCTCCTCATCGACAGTCTTATCTTGAATGATACCAGCCAACTCGTAGAAGATAGCTTCAACGTTCTCGTTGGTCTTGGCACTAGCCTCCAAGAATGGAATCTTCAACTTGGATGCCAACTCCTCACCTTGCTCTCTGGACACCTGTCTGTTTTCCTGGTCGTCAGACTTGTTACCAACCAAGAAAATCTGGGCATTCTCGTTGGCATGTGGAGTGACGGTGTTGAACCAGTTTTCGACATTTTCAAAAGTTCTGGCGTCGGTCACGTCGTAAATCAACACGATACCCCTGGCGCCTCTGTAGTACGAAGTGGTGATGGTCCTGAATCTCTCCTGGCCAGCAGTGTCCCAGACTTGCAACTTGATCTTCTTGCCTTTGCTCTCAATGGTTCTGATCTTGAAGTCAATGCCAATGGTGGTGATGAAGGAAGGGTTGAACTTGTCCTCAACAAAACGTAACAACAAACACGACTTGCCCACACCGGAGTCTCCGATGAGCAACAACTTCATGATCATGTCGTACGATCTAGATGGCGCTTTATCACTCATGTTGTGCTGGTTTTCACTATGTGTAATCGATTAGGGGCTAAGCAACCGAACAGGTTATTAGAAAAGACGAGCACTTGGTAGTAGTAAAAAAAAAAAAAAACGTCGGCAACTGAATGAATGTGCGACGAATTGGCTCTTTGAATGTTATTGAAGGCACGGGGAAATCGACCTTGTTCTTTCTAAATAAAAAATTAGCACTATTTCTTGCCCTGAAGCTGTTCCGTGGTTCTTGGTTTGACTTCAATATGCGACAGGTGCACGGGAGCTGGTCGTGCCAGCACAGTATATGTACTGCACGAAAGCCCCGGTTCCTTGTAGTCACCAGCCTCCGAACGGGCCGTTCAGGGTGGTGGATTTGGGGGAAAATTGGGTGGCCAGAGATGGAAAGTATAAAATTGGTGATGAGTAAGTGGACTGATTTTGGAAAATTGGTTTTTTTGTTCTAGGGATTTTGGTGGGTTTATATACTTGTCCCTTTCTTGCTCCTCCCTCGTCTTCGTATAGACTGAGGGAGACTGAGGGATTGCGACCGTGTCTCAGGTACAGCCAGTGAGGGAGATGGAACACGGAAAATACACTTTTGTAGGGGGAGACATGAGGTTTGGGATTTGTTTGGTTTGGTTGCTTTCGGTGAGAATGACGTAAAAATTGGGTAAAATAGTTGGAGTAACTCCAACTCATATGGCCTTATAGTTCTGGCTCTATGTATATAGACGTTGTCTCTCTTCAGTCTACACATGCTTAACTGTTGACGTAGTATTCCAAATATCTATGACGGACCGAATATCATGGCCTTGTTTACAAGAAAACCTCAGCATTAATCTCCACCGACGAGGCAGCGTATGGGATTTCAAAGTGGCTCAACACCTCTGGGTGCAAAACACCAATGGCACCAACATGCTGGGGCTCGGCTCCTTCACTAACTCTGAAGAAGATCTTAGCACCTCTTCCTGGGAAGAAAGTAGGGTTGGCGTCATCCTGCTCTATCCAGTAACCTCTGGCCTTGTTCTCCTGAGGCTTTTCTATCCATGGGGTTCTGACAGTTTGCATAATCTTGCCCAACAAACCTTGGACGTATTCGAAACCAGAAGTCTTACCAGCGTAGATGGCACTCCAGTTTCTCTGGTTGAAGGCACCTCTCTCCAATTTGTCGTCCTTCAACACAATGTCACCACACTCGAAGACCTTAATTGGCAAAGAGTGTTTTCTGTTCTCCTTGATCGTTTTAAGGATACCTGGTAGTAACGTGGTTCTGACAACTTGGTACTCGAAGGTCTTAGGGTTCTCCAACTTGACAGCAGTAGAACCTTCGTCCTTTTGTCTTAAGAATCTGAAGTTCTCGTCGTGAGAACACAAGGTCAAAGGCAACACCTCCAAGTAGCCCGACTGAGAAGAGGCGAGTCTAAGAATGTCAGCAACCTTGTTGATTGGCAATGGAGCAGCGACCAAAGAATCACTTTGAGGTTTCGTCTTCTTCAAGTTGTTGAAACCGTATCCGATGGCAGCATCTTCCATGATATCACACTGGTGCAAGATATCCGTTCTGGTGATTGGAATCTCGACATCGAGAATATTCTCCTCGCTGGATGGCTTAGCTTGCAAGGACATCTTCTTCAACAATTTGGCGATCTCGTCAGCGCTGTACTTCAAGCCCAAGCACGAGTTGATGTATGGAACCTCGGCCTGGAACTTTCTTGGAGTGACGTTAGGGCTCACTCTGTCTTGCTTGTTGTGAGGAGAGTTGATCTGGACTGGTTCAATCACGAATGGCTTCTTGCAGTGAGTAGAGAACATGGCGACCATCTGCTCAATGACGATATCAGTCTTGGTCTTATCGGTACCGGTGACTTCAATGAACACATTCTTCGTATTGAGAGAAATCTTGGAGTGGTTGGAGTTGATAATTGGTGGCAAAGAGCACACAGTTTTCTTAGAGTCGTAGATGACTGGGTACACTGGGGAGTCTTTGATGATGTGCAAGTACTTACCCAAGTTCTTGTCCTTCTCGTAAAAGTCCATCAACTCAGCACCGTCCATAACCTTCTCCTGGTTCAATGGAGCGAACTTGATGTCCTTTGGTGGGAGAGCCTGGTACACGAATGGAGGAGTCAAGGTATCCAAGTCATGGGTACCGATAGCGACCAAGGTTCTGTTACGGCACAAGTTGGTGTGCAATTTGTCCTGCAAAGCAATGAAGGAAGCGTATTTCCTCTCGTCAAACTCCACATCTCTCAACACAGCAGCAGCAGCGTAAGGTCTAATCTGCTGGGTGGATTCCTCAATGGTCATGGTGATCTCAGGCTTAGATGGCTCCAAAACGTACTTTGGGGCTTCAGCTCTACCCAAGAACTCATTGAGAGCTTGAGCAATACCTTCGATACATAACATATCGTATCTGTTGGCAGGAATCTCGATCTTCAACTGAGGTCTTTCACCTTCAGCGCATTCATCGGTGGTGTCTTCGTCCAACTCAAGGCCGAAATCGAAACATAATTCGTCGAACTCTTCAGTGGTGTATTCTTTACCTAAAAGATCGTAAAGATCAGCCTTATCACAGGGAATAGTTGGCATTTTTCAGTGAATTTGGTTAAGATAGGTGCACCTCTAAATTTTTTTGGAAATTTAAAGTGAGTAGTACAGTACTGAAAATTACGCGCTCAAAAATGAGTCAAGTCTGTAAACTAGTGATCTCTATTAAATGCAATCATCTTATATGGTGTGTCATCGTTAAGCTTCCTCTTGCTTTTTCTCTTTGTTGAGGGGGTTTGGAATCTTGGTTTTGAGGTTCTGGAACACCGAAGTAGGCGGTTCTTTCTCAAGCTCAACATCCTCATTCATCTTCAATTCCTTATGGTTTGGGTCCACTTCCTGGCGGACCTTCTTGAGCTGTTCAGGATCTTGTTCACTGATCTTTTCAATGTCATTAATCTCTTCTGCTAATGCACTAACGTCAAAAATGGCCTCGGCACGTTGCTGTTCTTGCTCTTGTTCTTGACGTCTCTGGGTTCCTGTGGTTCCTCCGGTGCCCTCTTCATATTCTTCAAATTCACCGTTTCCGTTCTTATCTTCCTCCTGCTTGGCGGCTTCATCGTACACACCCCACCAGTTCTTCTGCTTGGGCTTGAACCAGCTCTTCCAAGATTTTTGTTCCTTCGAGGCCTCCTCAATCTTTTCCTTCTCCATCTTGGCTCTGGCTTCATCAAACTCAGAAATGAGCTGTCTTTGTCTTTCACCTTGCTCTGGATCAGGTTCTTCGATTTCAGCGAACTCATCACTCAAGACCTCCCAGTTCATCAATCTCAAAATCTTAGGAACAGCTTTTCTGTACGACATATGTCCCTCCACAAGCTCAGTACAGTCAAAGTTTTCCACGTCAGGAATGTTCTCAATTGGTGAAAGACCTGCGACAGTCAGCAATCCACCGCCTGTAGCTCTGAACAAGTACCCAAGAATCCAATCGTTCTTAGAGTAACCATTGACAAATTTACCACTGACAACGGAACGAGCCAACGTGATCTGTTCATACTTCACTGCAACTGGGTTACCCAACAAAATAACATTCTCAACAAGACCGTATCCACCACGTTGAGCGAGTTCAATGAGACAAGAGTAAATCAATCTGGAGCCTAGCGAGAAACCAACCAATGTAATAGGTCTAACACCCATGTTACCCGACATCAAGGTGTCAGCCAAGATCTTTCCGGCTTTCCAGGCACGGTCAAGAGAAACATTCCAAGGATTATCAAGCAAGTAAGAAAGCTTAGAAAGAGCCATTGGAAGTTGGATAGCCGACATCAAGGCAGAAAGGATAGTGGCACCAAGAATCTGCTGAATAGAGGTACTCAATGCTTCAGTTGCCAAGATACCAATAGTCTGACCCATAGATCTCAACATCTCTGGTTCCCAAAGCAACGAAAACATATCACCCATGACAGGGTCAACTGTGGAGAAAGGAAGACGAACATCATCTAGGTCACCATTCATCCATCCACTGACCGTGATAATAAGATTTGTTCTCTTATTATTGTGCAATGGTTTAAGTTCGAATGTTTGAACATCACCCGTTCTTCTTGCACCAGCTTTGGATCCCATTTTTGCACCAGCGGCCACACCACCAGTAGTAATAATGGCACTGCCACCAACACCGGCTAAGAAACCACCAGTTCCTCCGATACCAACAGTGGTTAAACCAGCAGCCAAACCGGCGCCGATCAAAGGAGCTAACAATCCCGCAGATAAACCAATGGCAAGGGAACCACCAATCGTTGCCATACCAATGTATGCCAATCTCTTTCTCTTATTCTTCTGGATATGCTTATCGATAAACAGTCTGTCGCTCAACTTATCATCTCTATTTTCAATACTCTTCTGGCCTGTATCCATTTCCAAGCTCTCAATGAGCCTTCTCTCGAACTGGTATACTTCAATGTTCAAAATGCCCAAGTAGTTTGCAAATATGATGAAAAGAGTTCTCGATCTGCTATCAAAATACCCATCGCTAAGCAAAAGCAAAAACAAGTCACAAACAAGGACCCATCTCAAATCAAAGTCTTTGGATAGCTTGTTCACAATAGGTTTCTGTGTCTCAAGCATCAACAAGCTCTGCGATAAGTCTTCAACTTGCACGCCATGCGTACTCAAGTTATCGATCATATTTTTCTCTTGCTTATTGATATCCAAGTGCTCTTCAAGCTTGTTCATAATGTACTTTGTCCAGTTGGCAAAGTTCTTCTGGGCGAGACCCATTGGTTTGGACATTCTAAAGGTAGTCCTTTGGTTGAGCTTAGCCAACGAAGCAGCCTGGTCAACCGTAATGAGTTTCACCATTCCGATGTATGCAAATTTCTGTGATTCGGTCAAGAGACCTCTTGTTCCAGCAAGCGTCTCCTTGGAATCGATCCCCTCATCACCATAGTCAAACGTCTCATCATCTTCATCCTCAGCAGTCTTGTCACGCAGACCCTGAAGCTCAAAAAGAAAGTTGGTCTTTTCATCAAGTCTGGCGTACTTGTTCAATTGCTCTTCGGTATCGATTTTAGTGTATCCTCTAGCGTCTCTGTGTTCAAGCAGTTCAAACTCATTATCACGAGTGAACTCAAGATTACCTCTATCGTCATAGTAATCCTGTTTAGCAACCTTCTTCATCGACTTCCACCCGTCAGTGTTAGAACTAAAGAAATCTTCCTCTGGCTTAGCCTGTGGCTCCTCCTCCTCTTCCTTGTCGCTTAACTCATCTGCAGCATCTGCCTCTTTATGTTCTGGATTTCTAGTAAGATCATCGCTGCTCACTATATGAGGCTCTGGCAGACCACTACTGAGGTTAAACTCCACAAATTGAGACTGTGGTGTTCTTGGAGGCCGCAAACTGCTTATCTCTGTAGGGTCATTCTTAGATTCAGCTTCCAAGGCCGGAAGAGCTGGAAGTTCGCCCACGCCGATTCTGGAGTTGAACTCGCGAGAGTTATTTTTGGAGAAGGTTCGAGGTAGTTGAAACCTTTCGGGCCCTGTCTCTTCACTCATTTGGAATTGGTAGCAAGTGTAGAAGAGTAGGGATAACCTTTGTCTTACGTATGTGTGTGATGTGCAGGGATTGCAACTACCGAGCCGACAAGAAAAGGGTGGTCAACGGAAAGAATATGCAAAATTTCTAGGCATACAAGGAAGGGTCTTAAACGCGGTTTTGTTCACATCAGATCACAGTGGGATTGCTTGAGGGAGGCGGTATCTACGAATGAGTACTTGATCTTACACTCAAATACTCTGCTTAAAGATGTATGCAACATGGTTTTACTCAGACGATCAGCAGCCAAATGGCCTTCGCAGAGTCCAGGAATATGTTGCCTGAAGCCATAGTGGCCGAGCTGCAACCACAAGCATCATGCTAGGCACAACACTCGTGGTGAGCTCAAGACCGGCCCCTTACTCTGCAACCTGTCGACGGAGCTACTCTGTTCAATGGCTCACAAGGAGCACTGAGCGGCTAGTACTGACACTCCCCTCCCACATCTAGCACCAAAACTGCCATCGCTCAACCCCTTTCGGAGGACCAATGGCAGCATGGCACGTTAAAACAACATGGAAGGCCAGGACCAGGTCCTGGTGAAGAAGTGCCCGAAGGGAACCACTCATAAAACTTGCTTCTCGAGCGCCGATCTGCTAGAGGCGTCGCCACAGCAGTGGAAGGGCAACCTCTTGCGAGATTTAGCCCCAACACGGCGCTGGGCTTCCCCCCTAACACAGGTTGGTGTTGAGATAAAGAAAAAAAGGAAAAATATTTAGGTGCGAGATGAGCGCCTTTTATACTCGCGAGACAGGAAATTTCCCATACATGGGTCCTCATCGCACATCTCGCGTATTCAGTACTGAGCCCTAACTGGTAACCCTGAACTCCCAATGAATAGAAGACAAGCTAGATATAATGCTAAGAAGCAGAATAGTCCTTTGCAGCCTAAAGAGCAGAGTCCAGTATCACATGACAGTGTGAGTTCGGATGCTGCTGCTCCTTCCAGTACTCAGCTACCGTTCAGTTCAGAGTATGCATTAGAGTCTAGGAAAGTGGTTGATCTCTTTCTTGAAAACTTCAAATACATTCTTGCTGCCGATGACCTTCAAGAAATGATCCAAAAGGTGAAGGGCGACCTCTACAATCGTGATTACCTCTCGGCGTTTGACAGTGATGATAAGAGATTTGCGTATGTAGCGAGATGGTCTCCTGCAAGGGCATTGGCTTACGCTTCCCTTTTCTCGTCTCTAGAGCCTCTCAGACAGCTCCTTGCTGACCCAAACAAGGAGACTTCTGCTTTGTGTATTGGAGGAGGCGCTGCATCTGAATTGGTCGCTTTGGGGTCTATGTTTGCATGTCTAAAGCAGCCCAATGGAGATACTCCTTCCAAATTGCATCTCAACGTCATTGACATTGCCGATTGGTCAACCATTGTCGGCAGCTTGTCAAGCTATATCAGTCAGAAGTGGTTCTATAACCCTGCAAAGTTCACCAGTGAGTTTGTCCTTGGAGATGTTCTCTCACAGAATGCTGAATCTCTTCGACTTGCACTGTTGGACTTCATCACGCTTCTATTCACCACAAACGAACTCTTCTGTGAAAAGAAAACCGAGACGATAAAGCTTTTGCAAATGTTGAGCTCGCATTGCCGTAAAGGAGCCTTGCTTCTCATCGCTGAAAGCGCTGGTTCATATTCTCATATTACGGTCGGATCGAAAAGATTCCCGGTTCAATTCCTCATCGACACCATCTTAGCTGGCAAGCCAGGAGCCAGTGATGGTGCATGGGAAATCGTCGATCAAAATGAAAGCTGCTGGTACAGAATCAACACAAAGGAGGTAGAATACCCGATCAAATTGGAAAATATGCGGTTCTTCTACCGTTTGTATAGAAAAAACTAACCAACGGGCCCTCAAAGGGACAATTTGCCCAACTTCTTCTCGACATCGTCTGTAGCATCGTCGTCTTTCTTGCTTTCCGCGGACTCTTCCTTCTTTTCTTTCTCGTCTTGTCCTGTCTCTTCCTCTTTAGCCTTGATATCCTCTGCAACTTCGTGAGCTTTCTCTTCTGCTGTCTCTGGCTTTTCACCGCTGAATTCTGCCTTTGCTTTTTCGTGAAGCTCGTCAAGCTCTTTTCTCCATCCAAGGAGATCGGCAATCAATTCAGCGGCTTCGTCACAATCGTGTTGCAAAATGATATCGGACTTTCTTTTGGAGTATTTGAAGTCTCCAACAACCTCCTTGTTGATCAAGGTACGCAAAGTCTTCTTGCCAACTTCACTAGGCAAGTTAGCAAATGGCATGACTGTCAAAGACGTACCAGCGACGATGGCAACGTCCACTTCGTCAGCGTCATCTCGCCACAGGTAGAAGAACTTCTCTGGAAGACCTTCTCCGAAGAAAGTAATATCAGGCTTAACGTACCCCTTACATTTAGCACATACGGGTATACCCTCGTTCTTGCTTTTGTCAAACATGTGCTTCTTCAATGTCTCACTCAGCATCTCTTCGTGACAGTCGATGCAATGATTGTTTGCAAAAGAACCATGGGCCTCCACCATGAACTCATCCTTCAAACCAGCAAGTCTCTCTAAAGTGTCGATGTTCTGTGTGTATACCCTCTTCAAGAGATCTTTATCTTGAAAGAGCCTGACTAGATAGTGGAACTTGGATGGAACAAACTTGCCTGGGTAAAGTTCATCACATAAAGTATAAAAAGCCTTGGGGCTATCTCTAAAGTAATCAATGTCAAAAACCGCTTCTGGGTATGGAAGATCAAGCTTTTTAAGGTTTGAATATAAGCCGGTCTTTGGGCTTCGAAAGTCCGGAATGCCACATGAGGTCGAGATACCGGCGCCCAAGAAGAACGTGACTTTTTTGTTCCCTTTCTGAATAGCCTCTATAAGAGGAGCTAGCTTTTTCTCGGGAGTTGGCGAAGAAAAGAACATGGGTGTAGCTGCAGCTGTAATCTTTGCTCTTGATAAGCCTATAATAGCACTGTCTATATATCTGCACAGGAAGAAAGGCATGAACGTATCAGCAGACTGTAAGGAATCCCAGAAGGGGACTCTCCAGGGAATAGAAAAAGCGGATTAAATTGGAGAAAAGCAATGGCTCATCTTTGTAAAATATAACTTTTTTCAAAATGCATCTATCCAAGAATCACAAATATATGTACTGATTCTGGTGGTAATTTCTTGCATACAATGGTATAACCTTCGAAAAGTGAGTCTTGCTTTCTGACCGTCTTACTTGCCACAGACGAAAACGTCCAACTATGAAAGTATGTACTTAAAGCTTTGCTTTTCCAGAGTTTTCAGTTATTAACAACATAGCAAAGAATCACATCTTTAGATCTCCAGATCCTTACCGGAGAATTGCGAGAATCCATATTGAACTATAGGTTGCAAAATATCTATAATGTGGCGAACTCAGCAAGACAGTATGTGTTGAAATTTGGTTTGCCTGACTCCAAGAAGAGTCTTGTGCTTGACTGTGGAAATAAGCTTCATTTGTCTGATTTTGAGAGACCAATTGCTCCTGCTCCATCCAACTTCGTGACTAAGTTGAGAAAGCACTTGAAGAGTAGGAGACTTTCGAACTTGAAGCAGCTTAGGAATGATAGAGTGCTTGTGTTTGAGTTTTCTGATGGGCAGTTCTACCTTGTTCTTGAGTTCTTCAGTGCTGGAAATATGTTATTGTTGGATGAAGAAATGAAGATTTTGTCGCTTCAGAGACTTGTCACGAATACTGAGGCTGGTAACGATAAGTATGCTGTCAATGAGACCTACAGGATGTTTGACAAATCACTCTTTGCTGAAGAGGCATCCTATCAAAAAACCATATTCACAAGCGACACAGTCAAGGACTGGGCTGCTACTCATAAGCAGAAGCTTGTCAATGATACCTCTGAAAAGAAAAAGAAGAAGGTTTTCTCCATTCATAAGCTTGCATTTGTCAATGCAAGTCATCTTTCAAGTGACCTTATTCTCAAGGCTCTTGCCGAAGTGGACGTTTCTCCTACTCAAAGCTGCCTAGAAGTGGTGGAAGATCAGGATAAACTAGACCAAGTCGTGGAGGCTCTTAACTTGACAGAGACAAGATATGAGGAACTCCTCAGCAATATCCAGAATGAGAAGGTTCGTGGTGTCATTGTGGAGAAGAAAAATAACTTGCATGATCCTAGTAACCCTGACTCCTTGGAGTTTGTCTATGAAGAATTCCACCCTTTTGTCCCATTCAAGAGTGACAAGAAGACATTCAGATTCCAAGAAGTTGATGGCTATAACAAAACACTCGATAAGTTTTTCACGACACTTGAGTCTACCAAATATGCATTAAGAATTGAACAGCAAAAACAGCATGCCCAAAAGAGATTGGACACTGCAAAGAATGAGAGAGATAGACAGATCCAACTGTTGCAAATTCAGCTGGAAAATAATGAAAAGAAGGGTAACACGATTATATATCATGCTGACTTGGTGGAGGATTGCAAACTGTCAATTCAAGAATTGCTCAACAAGCAAACGGACTGGGAAATCATTGAAAAGCTAACGAAAATGGAACAGTCCAAGGGTAATAAGGTGGCCAAGACCATAAGACTTCCGCTTAATCTCAAGGAAGGTAAAATTAAGCTAGCATTGCCTGATCCTGACAGCTTCCAGGAGGAAGAAGAGGTTGAATCTGATGCATCAAGCGCATCTTCTGATTCAGAATCCAGCAGTGAGGATGAGTCCAGTTCCGAGAGTGAAGACGAATCCAGTGAACTGGATTCGGACTCCAGCGACTCTGACTCTGACTCTGAGTTTGAAGAGTCCCAACCTAAGAAGAAGAAGAAGGCGCCAAAGTCTAAGGCGCAACCCTCAGCTCCAACTGTGAATGTCGACATCGACCTCACGCTCTCTGCATTTGCCAATGCCCGTCTCTACTTTGACTCGAAGAAGACAGCTGATTCTAAGCAAACCAAGGTGGAACAAAATACGCAGTTCGCCTTGAAGAATGCCGAAAGAAAGATTCAGAAGGACTTGGCCAAGAATCTTAAGAAGGAAACAGATGAGCTCAAGGCCATCAGGCCAAAATTCTGGTTTGAAAAGTTCTTCTGGTTTGTCACAAGCGATGGATATTTGTGTCTATCAGGAAGAGACGATTTGCAGACTGATATGATCTACTACAGACACTTCAGTGATAATGATTATTATGTTTCTTCAGACGTTGAGGGCTCGCTCAAGGTTTTCATCAAGAATCCTTTTAAGGGCAAGCCACTCTCTCCATCCACCTTATTCCAGGCTGGTATTTTTGCATTGTCGACTTCTGCTGCTTGGAACGGCAAATCCAGCTCTTCTTCATACTGGATGGCAGGTGATGGCATTTCCAAGAAAGATATTGATGGGACTTTGTTGGGTCCAGGTAGACTCAATTTGAAAGGGAAAAAGAATCTTATGCCTCCAGCCCAATTGGTAATGGGCTTCGGTCTCTATTGGCTTGTTGATGAGGAAACCAACAAGAAATATACAGAGGCAAGAGTTCTGAAGCAAGAAGAACACGGTTTGCAACCTGAGGTAAGCAATAAGAAGAAGGATCTCGAGAACTTGAATCTTGCTGCTATTTTCACTGATCGGGAGAAGGAAAGCAATGAACAAGAAGGAACTGAGAATGTGGAGTCTAAGGAAGAAGAAGAAGAAGAAGACGGTACCGCCCCTCAAGAAGATGAGTCGACGCCTTCGGGTCCCTCCAATGATAATGAAGTCGAAAACATTACATCTCCTCTTCTGAAGGCTAATGTCCGTGGTAAGAAAGGAAAGTTGAAGAAGATCAACGCCAAGTACGCTGATCAAGATGAAGAGGAAAAGCTTATCAGGATGGAAGCATTGGGAACTCTCAAGCAAATCCAAGAGCGTGAAAAACAACAAGAAGCCGAAGCTAAACGTAAGGCTGAGCAGGAGAAAGAAAGGTATGCTGATAAGGGTGCTGAACGCTCCAGAGCGAAGGAAGCCAGACAGCTCAAGAAATATTTGCAAGACGACGAAGATGGTGTTGATGTCGCCTTCTTGGAGCAGCTCGATTCCCTATTACCTAGAGCGGCTAAAGATGATGTTGTTGGCGCTTTCGTCCCTGTCTTTGCCCCATGGTCTGCCCTCAGCAAGTTCAAGTACAAGGTTAAAATCCAACCTGGTTTTGGAAAGAAAGGAAAGTCTGTTACTGAGGCAATCCTGTATTTCTCCAACCGTAAAGTGGATGCTTCAAAGGAAGATGCAGAGTTGGATTGGCCAGAAGAACATGAAATGCTAAAGGGAGCCAAGTCTAATGACATCCTGGGCGTGTTCACTGTCAGCAAAGTGAAGTTGGTTTTGCCAGGAAGCAATGGAGGTGATAAAGGTAAAGGTGGTAAGGGCAGCGGAAAAGGTGGTGGAAAAGGTGGTGCTAAGAAAGGAGGAAAGAAGAAATAGATTATTCAAGAAAGCTCTTATTACAACTACTTACCTATCTAAGCCAATGTAGATTATGGAATGAGAACCATTCTACCGCTTACGTCACCTTTCTTGAGCTTTTCGATACATTCAGGGAGCTCCCTCAATGGGAAGGAAGTCACCTTGGGTTGAATCTTACCCTGTTTGACCAATTCATAGCACTCAGTGATGTCGTTACTTGTGCCCCAGAAGGACCCCAAGACACGGACTTCCCTCAATGCTAAATCACCCAAGTCAAACGACAAATGAGTGGCACCTAATCCGACTGGAATAATTGTTCCGTGAGACTTGATATACTTTTGACAGATTTCGAACGTTTTCTGGATAGCAACAAAGTCGAGACAGACATCATAAGTACCAGCAGCAGTGTTTGATGGAAGCTCACTGTAAACCTCGTCAGCGCCAAACTGCTTGGCCAAGTCGAGAGCAGACTTCTTGCTATCAAGAACAGTAACGTGGGCACCGAACAACTTGGCAATTTGAACACCGGTTGAACCCAATCCACCAGCTCCAATAAAAAGAGCTTTCTTTGCAGGAGTCAAGTTAGCCATCTTGATAGCATGGTATGGTGTCAACATAGCATCAGTGATAACGGCAGCCACAGCAGGGTCTGAAACCTCTGAAGGAACTTTAATCAAGTTACGTGGGTTCTTAACGAGCAAGTACTGTTGGTATCCACCGTCGTTTCCCAAACCAAGCCATTCGGTTTTAAGACAGTCGTTATCGTATCCTTGGCGGCACATGGAGCATACACCACAAGAGTTAGGACCAAAAGCAGCGACTCTATCGCCAAGCTCAAGGTGAGTGACTTCGTCTCCCTTCAGAGCCACCAGACCAAAGATTTCATGGCCCATGATGTAATTGTCACCAGCATCAAAACCATCCAAAAGGTGGAGGTCAGTATGGCAGAGACCTGCTGCCTCGATCTTAAGCAACACCTGGTTGCTAGCAGGAGCTTGAACCGGCAAGTCCTCTATCAAACGAATGTTTCTGAGCGACTTTTCGAATTTGAAGCCGTACTGTGTCTTTGGAATTGTCGCCATGGTTCTTGCAAGAAACTTCTTAGCTGACTGTTTGCAGATGTTCATCCTTACCGAGCAAACATGGGGTCAAGGCTGAATATATAGGCAAGTTCTAAGATATCCCTGAACGGTCCAGCCTTCTTCTTTAGGGGTCTGTGGCATGATTAGAGTCGGCCCCGCCGATTTCAGACATCGAACGGTCAGCTTTTCGCAGCCATTACTCACGCCAGTGTGTGGGAGTACTATTAAATGCGAGGCTTGTTGATACGAGGATACTTAAGCTTTTTGTTCTATTGTTAACTGAATAAAATGGCACCATTTTGGCCGCTACAAGTGAATTGTCTCAAACGTACTAAATTCTTTTGTAATTCCTTATAAATATCTTTTGGTATGTCACCTCTGGTCGGTTCGTTCGGCCCATTTAAAGTTAGGAGACAAGCCGCACAGTCACCTTATGATGGTGTCATGCTACGTACGTCTCTTGGCCCATGGGGAAGGGTTCCCTGGCATGGTTTAGACATGCATAGCCTCCCAAAGGGGTATGCCCTGCCGTTCCGTCGAGAATTCCGAGACCTACATGCGCCAAACGTCATATCTAGAATATAAAATATTACCGTAGATTCGTACCGAAGTTGCCGCTTCCAGCTGTAATGGCTTGTCTCGAGACTCATGAGCGAAGCAAGTCATCTATCTGCTCCTTAATTTTCTAGTCTCCACGCAAAGCACGGATCACAGCTGGTCGCCTCATCATGTATTTGGTCCATTTGTAAACCTCAGGGAACTCAACCTTGAGGTTAATGCCAATACGGTCAACGACGTTATTCCAAGGAACAAAGGATAAATCGGCAACGGTAGCGCGGTCGCCTACGAGCCAAACTGGGTAGTCAAAGTATCTTGACAGACTTAATGGCGTGGTGCCGGCGGAGTATGCAGCTGCGTTTTCTCTGTCCAAGTCCATGATGAGAGCCTCTCTTCTTTCGGCCAATGCCATTTCAATGACACCGTAAACTCTTCTCACCTCATCAGTGTATCTTTCCACGGCAGATGGCACCGGGCATGAGTGGAAGTACCTGAAATGTAATGCCTGGCCAATCATGGGGGCATGGCCAGAGGTCTGGAAGAACAACCACAGCGCAATCTGAGACTGCTCAATGAGATTGTCAGACCAAAGCAGGCACTCACCATTGTCCTTCAAGTACTTGGACACCAAGTAGAGGATGATAGCACCTGACTCCCAGATGGAGGTGTTTTCGTTATTGTGGTCGATGAGGGCAGGTACTCGGGCGTTTGGATTTATGGAAACAAATTCAGGGGCTCTTTGTTCGCCAGAATTGAAGTCCAAGAAGATGGTGCTGAAGGGAGAATTAAGCTCCAGTAATATTATAGCAACTTTGAAGCCATTAGGGGCTGACCTGTGAGAGAATAGCGTATAGCCCTCAGAAGGCTGGTTGGCGAAGAACTGGCTGATTCTTGATTGAGTAGCATGGTTGTTGGCGGCTTCATTATGGAGCTGCTGTTGTAATAAATTGAGGTTGACGGCATTTTGCTGTTGGTCCGAGAGCGATACTGACTTCAAGCCAGCACTCAAGTGTGAAATGGTCCCACCATTGCCTGGGTTTCCTTGGTTTTGCTGCACGTTCTCGCCGTGCTGGTGATTTTGTCCTTCATCCATGGCTTTAGAAGGGATAACGAAGATAAATTGGATTAATTAGATAAAGCGGTATTTCTGTCCACGAGCTTTTGGTCTTGGATGACGAGGAGGGAAAAACGGCTCGAGGTCTCTTTGCTTGTCCGTAAAAAGTTGACGTATGCCGTTATTCGAGACGACTAGTTGGTGTGTGGGTTAATGGCGTCTTGGCGATAGTGTGGATTGGAGCCTTGGTATTTCTACGTTGGACTTGTGCACCACAAGTGAGAAAGGAAAACCGCGCTTAGAAATTTCGGACACCAGGACTCTTGATGATTCACTAATTGGGATGTGAAAAACTTCTTTTGGGTGGGGTTACCGAGAGAAACGTATATTTAAGGAATGTTTTTGCCTCAGAAAATCAGATATCTCCTTTTTGTCCTATTTTTTTTGTAGGGCACTCTCTCAGGGTGAGACAAATTGTCTCCTATTATAGACGGATTTGCACACACAGTACAGTCTGGGTCTGTGCCACAGAGCCTTGACTCTTGCCAAAGGAGGCAAGTTTTGGAATTTTTCATCAAGCCTTGCTTTGCTGGCATTGCCCGTAAAATTTTCCACCTTTCCATTGCATGCGGTTCGATGCAACAGAACTGTCACATATTAAGCCTCAAAGTGACCTCGCAGCAGCCAGATTAACCAATGACGTAGTCTCATTGTATGTTTGACATATTTGCATGTTTTACTTGAGTTTTGGGAGAAGTGAAGTAGCAATGCAATAAAATACAAGCTAGGGAGCTAAACATTCAAGTTTTTTAATTTCTCTTCATATTTACATTTATTTGATGCATTTGAGTGAAAAAGCATTTCGCAGCCATTTCTCCTTGACACAGAAATGACAGAAATGTCTCCTAGAATCTACCTTGACCATAAATAACAATTCCCTCTCAAAAATCCAAATACCACAAACTACACGATCCAAAGAAGTCCATGTCTCCTCTAAACATATCTCCTCGTTCTATACCCATAAATCGTTTTTCACGTTCACTATCCTTGTGGCTCCCATCGACCATATGCATATGGCTGGTTTCGCAGCCATCACTAAAACGGAAAGCATAATCGACGTGACCATACAATCGCTCGCCCACAGCATAAAAAGGGGAGGTAAGAAGCTGGAGTAGATTTGAAAAAATTCAGCTTCACGATCCCATCAATTTTTCAACCAATTTTCCTCCATACCCCATATTTTTCACGTTTGTTAGACACTATCAGTTTACGGTTTCGGAATCGTGGCCCTGCAGGACAAAAACATAACATTTGCACATTCGTATCATACCCCCAACGCACTGTCTCCTAGCACGGTTATCCATCCTCGACCCCTGTATTCTTGTCAACAAGCACTTTACTTCTAATGGAACCGCACATTGCTGTGCTTGTGTTGGATACTCCCTTTGGCTCTGTTGCGGAAGAGTTTGGGGATTTCGGCGATAACGCCAAGGATCTCCTTAAGGATTCCAAACTTCCGCTCGTGAAGTATTATATCGCTTATGACCTTGATAAGCCAGAGCAGCAGGATGTCACTGACCTGACTTTGGAAAATCTCAGAGAGTATGTTGACTCTGGGGTGGTCAAGGGTATCGTTTTGACAGGTTCGAGATCTGATGCCTTTGATAACGAGAATCCTTGGATCCAGCTGACCGACAAATTCCTCAAGTTCCTTATTGCCAACAAGCCAGGGTTCCCAATGGTGGGATTCTGCTTTGGCCATCAGATCTTGGCTAAGAACTTGGGTTCCAAGGTCAACAGAAACACAAATGAGAATGGCTGGGAGTGTGGCATCACTACTATTTCCTTGAACAAAAGCATTCTTTCAGTGGAGAAGTCTCCCTTTGTTGACACTTTGGATACCGAAGATGGTAATGTGCTCGAGCATATTAATTTGGTAGAGTTCCATAGGGACATTGTCTATGGCTTACCTCCAACCTCCAACGCTTCTTCGAATTCTTTGGCGTCCCAAACAACCTTTCAATCTATTGGAAGCACTAACAAATGTTCAATTCAGGGTCTCGTGACGGAGTCCGGTCCCGTTAAGGTCCTCACCTTCCAAGGCCACCCCGAATACTCCACTCGTTACGCCTTGAAACTTTTGGAGCTTACCCATAGTATTGGCATGATTGACAAGGCTACTTTCGATCGACTGAGTTATAAGACCAACAACTTGATCAATCATGGCCCTGTTATCGCCAACGTTGTTCTCAAATTTTTCGAAGCCCACAGCTGATTACGTTCCTTACTTATTTTATAGAAACCTACATGTGCAAGGCCCATTGTCCGCCTCTATTATTTTTTAAATAAAGACATATTACCGTTCCAGGTCGTCTATTCGTCAAAAAGATTGTGTTTCGGTGTAACGATCGACAATCCTTGTAGTTTCCCTCCCTGTCCGCTAGAAAACTTGGGGCCACTTTCTTGTGGCTGCGACAGACCGCTCTTTTCCCTGCGACTCAATTTATCATTAATGAGACTCATTTTCTCAAGCTTGAATTCTAATGTCTTGATTTTGTCATGTGCAATTTTGAGTTCAACGTTCTGTGATGAAGTGAGCTTAGTGATCATTTCGCGGAGCTCGTCTCTTTGAGTTCTCAACGACATTATTTCTGCTTTCTCCGAATCTCTATCCAAGAGGGATTCACGACGATCATTGAGATCCTCAGACGAGAACCAATGCGCCGAATGTGGTTCAGCCTTCACTTGGTTGCTGAGCTGAGATTGAAGCTCGTGATTCTTCCTCAAGAGCTCATTGTAATTCTCCAATAAGTTATCGTCCCCTCTTTCATTCTTAGTCGTCTGAAACTCTTCAAGCTTATCCTGCAATTGATTCACGAGATCATTCTTTGCCAATAGCTGTTTGTAAAGCTCATTCTTCTCATAATCCAACTTCAAAGCGCTCGGTGTTTGTCCATGCTCCGCGAGAATTGCATGTTCCTCGCTTATGAAACGAAGTCTTCTCTCATTATTCAATTTCTCTTGCAAAAGAGCAATCTGTCTGGACTTCTCCCGACACTCGTACTCCATATCTCTGTTTATCAAAGATTGTCTATCGTGATCTTCTTCTCCGCCCCTCGACCGTAACTGAGATTCAAGTGCAAGTTCTCGCTTAATCAGAACAGCAAGCTCGCTTGCCACCAATTGCAATTCATTCTGTAAGTCGTTGTTGCAAGTCATTATCGCCAACTCGTCCTTCGTGAAATGGAGTGGCTTCTTCACTGGTGCAACATCCTTCATGGAAGAGATTGAAGAGACGCTTCTATGCCTCAGAGCAGAATCTGCTTCCTTCTCCACGGACTTTGAGCCACTTCTAGACAATCTCTTGATAAAGTTCTTGGACTTGCTTGAGATGGAAGAATTCCTCGACTTCCTTCTTTCTTTCGTGTCTTGATCGGCCGAAGAAGGCACTCGGCGGTCATCACTAGCACCAGACAACTTGTATTTCTCCATGTTCATATCAGAACCTGACCTTGATAAGAAACCTGTTGGTGTGTCGCGAGCAAGCACATCTTCGCTTCTGGTGTCATTCGAGGAAACATACTCCGATGATGGAGCCCGGAAGCTATCGTTAGCGGAATGAGATTCGTAAGGTGTTTCACTACCCACTCTTGTTGGGGACGAAGGTGCGCCAGATACAGATTGCTTTGGTGGCAATTGCGGTCTTTCATCATTCAAAGATTGTTCATAAGTCGTCTCATCGTTCAAGTGCACATCTCTGGCATTTTCGTCCTCAGGAGTGAAGCCCTTCTGTTCAGCTCTTGAATAATCATGGGAATAAATAGAAATTTTGCTAGAATTTGGGTAATTCTTGTTATCATGATGATCAAAGTCAGAAGACTCTTTAGAATTCGACTCCAGACTGAATGTCGCTTGGGAGTTGCTCGAAGGCGAGCGGAAGTTATTGAAGGCAGTGTTAGCGACAAGACTCTTCATTTTAATCACCTTCCGTTTTTGTGTGTTATTCGAAGTAACAGAATCATTAGCAGCCTCCCTTTCCACATTCGAAGATGGTGATACCAAGTCTGGCGAGTGAGTCTCGGAATCCTTCTCCTCCGACGCTTCAGACTTCCCAGTATTCTTCGTAGGCGAAAATTCCGAAGCTGTCGTATAAATATCTGGCTCAGAGGCAGAAGAGCCCAATGCCTGGAACTTCTGGGCACTTTGACGATTCATGTCAGACACTTCAGCGTCTTCTAATTCGAAATTCAGCTTCTTGGAGGTTCTGTCACGAGCATTATCCATATTGAATGTGAGGGAATCTTGATCCTCAAAGACAGTTTCTGGTGATTCCTGGGCGTCTTTCTTATTAAATAGGTCGAGTTTCCTTACTCTCATTGAGTTAGATTTCTTAACGGTAGACTTTCTGGAGATTTGAGGGCTTGTGGCGTCGTTTTCAAACTTGTAAACGATATCTTCTTCATCTTCTTCTTCGTCGTCTTCGGGTAGCTCGTTAAGATCAACGGTATCAGATTGTGCTTGTGCTGCTTTAGGATCTAGCGATTGTGGAGTTTCTGCAGTCTCTTCCTTTTCATCTTCCTCCTTTACGACGTTCATAAAAGATTCATTGGACTGCGCAGCATGAGGGGACATGCCATTGAAGCGAGCGTTGGCGGCATGGCCGTTGGGACGTGGACCTTGTCCATACATGCCGTTAGGGGGACCTGCTGGATGACCTCCTGGATGACCACCAGGAGGGCCATAGGGCATTTGCATATGCTGGTTAGGGCCGTGGTTAGGGCCAAAGCGCTGTGGCTGTGGGAAAGGACCACCGCCTTGAGTTAGCGATTGTGACCTGATAGCCTGAGGAGACAAGCCTTGCATTGGTCCTTGGTTCAACATAACGTTGCTATTAAGCGAATTGGTACGTATGTTGGGAGGCATAGGCCCACGTTGGCCAGGGGGCACTCTTCCAGGTCCAGCAGGACGCATAGACATGGCACGAGGGCCGTAGCCGTTAGGAGCAGGACCCATTGGCCTACCAGGACCCATATGACCGCCTTGAGGAGCAGAACTCAAGGACATGGCGCGAGGATCGCTCATCATGCCCATAGACATGGCTCTGGAGTCTTGAGTCATCAGATTCGCAGCCATAGGGTTCCCGCCAGCCAAAGACATGGCTCTGGCGCCGGAAGCCAAGTCCATTTTCTTCTTATGGTTCATGTACTTACGGTACTGGATGTTGTTCAGGCTGTTTTGCTTGCCGCCGGCGTTGAGCACGGGGATGATTGGAGTCAGGTCTGTGGTACGGGAAGAAATGCTGTAGCGACTGTTATTATCTCGGAGGTGTTTAATATCGTTAAATGTGACGGTATTTCCAGAAACATCGCCAATATCGTAGCCAGCGTCGTCATCAAAGAAAGCTTCCTTCTTCTTAAAGAGTCGGCCCATCGACATGGTCAGAGCCATGGAGCCTTTACGCGAAGCGTTATCGAAATTCGCTCTTTGGTTTACTGGAGTGATAAGGTCATGGTTGGAAAGGCTCTGTTGAGGTTGGTATTGACCGTATGGGCCTTGTTGTTGTGGATGTTGACCCACGGGGAACCGTTGTGGGATATCGGGCATTTGCAGTCTTCCGGAGGCCGCAAACCCACTAAGCGTGTTGATATCATGTTCTCCCGCTAGGAGTTGCAGTCTTAGCTGGCCCTTCTTGGTGGATGCCTCCATAATGTCAAGTAAGTGAGTGTAAGTAGAAAGGTGAGGCGGAAGAAGCGGCTGGGGATTGCAATTTTTATTTTGGCTGGTTTCGCAGCGAGGGTGTAGGAGAAGGATGTGTAGGACTGCAAGGGCCCAGGTGAGGGTTTTAGATGGAGCAAAGACACTGGTAGAGGTGGAGGATACGAGCAGTCTTTAAAGCCTATTTACTGGAGCTTTCACAACCTTGGTCGTCTACGAGTCGAGAAAATTTCCCGTTTCTTGGTTCTTCCATTCACACCCTTCGATGCCTTTGTTTCTTGACGTGAGGCGTAAAAAGTCCCCCAAGTCGTATCGTGGGTCGCGCCCTGGGAAGACCCAGCTGGTTTGGGCCAAATTGGCCTGCGCGCGCTGGACGTTTTTTTTTTTTTTTTTACACTTTCTCACAAACCTCGCCAAGACGGGGGGCCTGGATTTGCTATTGTACTGTGACAGCAGGTCTCAGCGCGAGCAATATCCCACAAAAACAGGGCAAACAAGGTGAGAGGGAAAAAAAAAAAATAAAAGCAGAAGCTTCTCTGGGACCTGCGACACAAGGTTTTTTTTTTCTTAACCGCTCCTGTGTTTCAGCCAGCCACAACGCATCCAAAGTAGGTAAGGAATCTGCTTATTGGGATGCTTGGGATGCTGCTTTTTTTTTGACTTTTCCACGGCTCAGCGAAATGCATGGTTACGAGGGGGAGTTTCCTTCTGCCAGGCACCACCACTCTTAATTTGTTCTTTTTTCCCCTGTCTCCTGCTTCTGGCATCCTGCTTTTTCCTGTTTCTCGCCAACATTCCGTGGCTGCGAAAGACTCTGCTCCATCTCAAAGCCTCTATCATTGTCACAGCTTCCTTGCGGCGCCTGGCCGTTTCGTCTGGTGCCTAGGCGACTGGCGAAGCCAGCGTTTGGGCGTAGCAATTGGTGACAGGGGGTCATAGAACATGGCTTGTGCCGTTCGGAGACACTGCCACACGGAAACCGAGCCATGTGCCGCCTCAGAGAATATTCCTCTCCAAATGTTCACTACTTACTAGACCGTACTTAGTTTAGCCGGTGGGCGGCCCCACGGCTTAAAGTGGAAAATATTAATTCATCAAGATCGTCAGGAACAAAACACGTCTTACTTCTTCTTAGTTCCCCCGTCCTCACATCATGCAATGCTCCACGTCTTACTTTCGGCTACGCTCCTGGTCAACCACCATCCCGATGATCTTATACCGCTTTCTGAAAAACTCCCCCCACTTGTCCACGACGCCATTCTGCTTCTCCGTCAAGTCTCCCGTGTACCACGTGTTATCTGGCTCGTCTTCCAACTGCTCGTTTGGCCCCAACTGTAGCTTGTTGGTTCCAAGCTGTCTGCTGGCATCCCGCCCGACTAGACGATTGTACGCCTTTCCAGGGCCATAGCTCTTCAGGTTATGTGTCACGTCGTAAATCATTCCTCGGATCGCCACGTATAACTCTGGTTTATCCACTCCGTTGTACTGTTGCAACTGTGCTCTGGTGAAGAGTGGGAGCTTGGTGCGGTCCACCGAAGCATTGTACTTTTGGAACTCATTAAGCTCAGGCTCCTGAGCTGGTTGTTGCTCTTGGGACTCTGACATTGGGTTTATAATGTCTTATGGTGTCACCTTCAAGAAGTCTATCTGGCTTCTCCAGTGTTGGGTTTTGTGATCTATACAGGCTGATCTCGCTGGTCCACCCTTATGGTCCAGCATTACCATATCGGGTAGGTTCTTTAGACTACGTATTCTCTGGAGATGGCTATTTTAGCTTGTAGTTTAGTTTCTAGTGGTTGTATGTTTTGTAATTGTTGGTGCTTGAATCAATTGGTCGGCCTCAGAATCGGAAAGTAGTATCCTACCTTCCTCTAGCGGCCCTATCCCACTGAATACCCTTTGGATTGATCTCAAATGGATTGGGTAAAGTGCTTTGGCCTCAATTACTTATGAGCTGCATTTCCCTGGCATATCCCACTCTGTGTGCTTTCTTGGAATTACTAATGAACCCATGAAAGCTCACCAATTGCATTCTATGAAAGCTCCCAGAAAGCTCTATTTTAAACAGTCTCCCTGTCTTACTGATAATTTCTCAAAACACTTAGAGAGTCTTTCCAGACATCAAGGGAGCTCCAATAATCAATATTCCTACGGGTTTGACAGTCCTCGGGCATGTAATTATTGCTCTTTTAACGGCCCCAGCCAGCTACTTTCTACGTTCCATGTTCCATATTCACTTTGAATAGTCTTGTCATTCAACAGCAATCTCTTGATATCCCAGCCTCTCAGGTCCCTTGTATTGCTAACTTCTTTGGACTCTTTTGTTTTGCCTCGTGATTACTGTGTTCACTGGGCTTGCTCCCATTTTTTTTTTTTTTTTTCCTTTTGGCTTTCACCAGTCCTCTTCGACCAACTCGCCCATTTCCCTATTGCCAGCTCATCAATTCCCCGGTCGTCCTTTCCCTCTTCTTCCCTTCCTATCATTCTACCGCCACGGCTTTATTGTCTTTTACATCAACTCCCCGAAACTTTCCTCTTTCGAACTCTACAAACCCGGACCCTCCACTCAGGGCCCTCCAACGCCGTAGCCAGCCTTTCCAACGTCTTCTACCGTCTTCTACCGGTCTGCACAAGTTTTGTTTGCGTGACCATCTTCTCAAGCTACCCAGTGTACTTTCCCTCACCAATCCACAACCTTCCCTTTTCGTCAAATATCACCAGAGCTACACAAAAATATCTCCTCCCACGTTGAACTTACTTTAAATCAACTCCTTCTGGATCCTTCTCTGGATTCCCAAAAAGCATAAATAGTCGTGGTTTTTCCCTCTCTCTCTCTTCTTCTTCCAACCACTTTTTTCAACAACTCAAAAATGTCTAGTTTCACTATGTCTTTCCGTACTCTTGCTTCCGCTCCAGCTACTGCCTTAACCAACGCTAGAGCCGTTGCCCAACGTACGCATAACCGTTTTATTCAATCTATTTATAGGAGATTCAACGAAGTCTCCAGTAGTCTTGGATCCTGGTTCAGGCCAGATTCCTTATTATCCTTAGATGGATACATTGTTCCCCGGTTGCTGGATCCAGCCGGGTTACAGTTCATGAGACAGGCAGAAATGATGTTCCTCATGCCGGGTTTTAACATTGACGAAACCCTGTTTACATCTACTACTGATCTCGAAGAACATAGAGCACCTTCTGTTCCGGTTCAGGAAACATCCAAGAACGTCAAGGAACCTGCTCAGAGCCTTAAACTTCTTACCTGGGAAGAACCAGAAGTTCCAAAGGCTGACGTGGCTTCAGAATGGCAGACTGTCAAGCCCAGACGTCAAAAGAGGAAGGTCGAAGGTTCGCCTTTGCCCAGTCCTACAATTATTCCCAGCACTCTTCAGAATTTGACGAAGAAGCAGAACATGAAGCAGCAGAAGATGAAGCAGCAGGTTGACAAGTTGGAAGAGCCGGAGGATCCAATTGTCGATACCAGCAATCGCAAGATGGTGAACATCTATAATTGTCTTCTGAAGTTGACCATGGAGGAAGAGATGAAGGTGGAGGAGGAGGAGAAGTTGATGAAGGAGAAAGAGAAGAAGATGAAGGAGGAGGAAGTCAAGGTGGAGGTGAAGATGGAGGAGAAGGTGAAGCAGAAGAAGAAAAAGAAGAATGTTGAGAAGTTTGTTGAGTTGGAAGAGCCTATCTTCGATACTAGCAAGCAGAAGAAGTTGACGAAGCAGGAGAAGATGAAGCAACAGAAGGTGAAGCAGATGATGGAGAAGCTTAAGGAGTTGGAAGAGGAGGAAGAGGATCTGATTTTCGACACCAGTAACCGTAAGAAGGTGAACATCTACGAATGTCTTCGGGTTTGAGGAGGTAGATGAGAGAAGGTGATGATGATGGTGATGTAGGAGTAGGAGTAGGAGTAGGGGAAGAAGAAGAAGAAGAAGAAGAAGAAGAAGAAGAAGAAGAAGAAGAAGAAGAAGAAGAAGAAGAAGCCGTTAAACGATAAAAGAAGAAAACAACGTAAAAAATCATAAAAAAGTAAAAAAAAACTAGAAAATAAAAAATAAAAAAAATTACATTAGGAAAGTCGTAGAGTACAAGTGGTGGTAGATGTAGGAAAAGAAGGGATGGGAAGGGAAAGGAAGGACAGGATCGAAAGACATCTTTAGATATATTGATTAGCTTGGTGAAACCTTTCATTCCATTCATTGGATGCTTGATTGCCTTGGATTGACTTGTAGGCTTACTGTACAAGGTGTAGTGAGGATCTAGTGGATATGGAAGGTGGACGTAGTCAAAGCACCCAGAGAGCTTTCAATGAACTGACAAAATTAGAACGAACCATGTTAGTAAGGTAAAGTAGACACTAAGTGGTCACCTTGGAACCACTTCAACTTTCTTATTCTCCTCGGATTGTCTTCATTACTTGGTTCCGCCACATCTACTGGTATCTACTTTTTGCAGCCATCCTCTTAGACCTAGTAAGAACCAGAAAGACTCCAACAGACCAACTTCTATGCAATTGAAACAAGAAAAGGAGAGTTTCTCCGCGACGCTGGTAGCGTTACTAGTCATGGTGCATTTTGCAGCCACTCGTATCACACACACAATCCGTTTAACCATAAAAAAAAGTACCGATATCAGCAAACTTATAATAAAACCAACTATGTTTCATTATAACATCCTAAATGGCTCTTTACCAAGGCTGTTTGTCCTGGACCCTCTTGGTGCTTTCCTCGTCATTGACCTTCACGCATCCGCACCATAATCAAATCTGAAGCTACAACAAGTTGAAAAACTATTGACCTGCAATGCTGTTGAGCGACGACAGCCAAAGGTATCCTCGCAAGATCCAAAGATTATTTGCTCCTAGACTACCGTTTCCTTATAAAAAGCCCATTGACTATCCGCCTGAAGAGCGTCGAACAACAACTATCTCCCCCATCTCTCTGTGGAAGAGCGAGATAGAGAAGTATAAAACAGAGCATCCTCCAAAACCAGCTGATGAACAGCTTCAAAAATCAAAGAAACAAGTTCATGAAGAGTCTCAGAAGAGGCAACTAATTGCTTGGAACGACACAGAGCTGTTTTCTAAGAATGAGTTCCTCAAGGACCCTTACAGAACTGTCTTCATTGCACGTCTTCTATATACATTGACTGAACTAGAAATTTCCAAGCTATTTAACCAATTTGGCGGGATAGAGTCTGTTCGTGTGATAAGAGATTCCAGCACGGGCCAGTCCAGGGGATATGGCTTTATCGTGTTTGAGCGTGAACAAGACGCTAAGAATTGCATAAGAGATTTGGCACCCACGGGTTTGCCTGTCGAAAACTCATCACTGAGCCTTAAACCTCGTAAAATATTGGTTGATATGGAACGTGGACGTCTTGTGAGAAACTGGCGTCCCAGACGCATTGGTGGTGGTTTGGGTGGTCGTCATTATACACTGGTAACTGCTCTGCAAAATAGAGATGCTTCAGCAGCGGCTTCCGGTAGAAGAACAAACTTATCTTCAAACCCATATCAGCAACCCCAGAGTCTGAGTTATGGCAGGTTCAACAAAAGACCTGCTACAGATCGTCTCTCTGGTCCAGCGAAAAGGTATGCACCTTCTCCAGGTCGCCTGGGACCAGCATACGGCGGTACAACTGCAGCAGCATCACCAATGCCAGCAACTCTGTCAAATGATAGAACGCCTCAGTCAATTCGTGACAAATACGCTAAGTACCTGAGACCAAGCGATGGAGGCACAAGTCGAGACTCTGGGTCCTCAGACTCGAGATCCATCAGGTCCATACGGCGAAACTGAATAAATTAATAATGGATTATAGATGTATATAATGCTTTAATAAAGGCGAAAGTCCTTTGTCTATTTTCGTTAACGATGGTCATGATTGGATTTCTTAATCCATTGGTCTAACATCTGGAGCATCTCCACGACCTTATCCTTGAGGTCTGTTTTGTCCAGCTGAAGTCTAAGCTCAATGTCTCCAATGAGACCGCCCAAGGCATCCAAGCTCTGCTGCATCGAATCTGTCATTTCATGAAGCTTTGATGTGATACTGGCTTCCAGAGCCTTTATCTTCTTAATGAGTGACTTTTCAATGTAGCAACACTGTTTGAGGATATAAGGACTGAGTGTTATCTCGTCGATTGGGAAACGTTTGATTATCTCTTTGCACTCTTCGAAGTTATTGAGTGCGATTTCGTTACGAAGCTTCAAGTTGAGAAGTATCATTTCACGTTGATCTCCAACCTCATCCTTAGTGACGGAATTGAGAAGTCTCAAAGAGTCCTCAAAAGCGTACTTGTTCATCAAGCGTCTTGCAAGGAAGAACTTGTCGCTTGTGTTGAGGTCTTGCTCAACATCCCTCACAAACTTAATAAGCTTCTCTTTTGGAGGATCTGATAGCGTCTCGTGTAGAATGACGAGCCTGGGCTTGCACATATTCATACGCATCTGCCCCAAACTACCCAATATTCCGAGTCTGTATGAATGGTTCAGCTTTCTCATCGTATTCTCAAGCAAGTGATAGTCAGGCTTCACACCTTTCCGAAGAACGTCACGGAAGCCCTTGTTGACTCTGAAAATAACTTGCTGTTTACTTTTCACCTTTAACTTCTTCAAAAGACTATGCTTTATAGAAGACCATTCAGCCGAGTCATACTTTTTGTGATTACTCAAACTGTCTTTCAGGAGAGCATATGGAGTGAGGTTTGATTGGATCTTTGAAACACGGCATGACGCTAGTATTCTTTGTTTCGTACCCATATCCAACTTACTCTGGTTCATCTGAAGCCAATGTTCTAAGCAATGAGATATTTCAGCGCCCTCGTATGGGTATGCTCTAACGAAGCCATCAAAAAGTTGTTTAACATAGTAAGGTTCGAAATCCACCGATTGGGAGAGAGATTTCATTAGCGAAAGGAGTGGAATGAACTTTCTCTCAGAGATATAATGCCGTATGATGACGTCGTATGCAAATTTGGATAACTTAATGTCATCCGCTCTCATTTCTTCCATCATGAAATGAAGCATGCTTGTATTGGAGTGTCTTGCAAGGAAGGCAAGAGTTGATTCATAGTATGAGCGTAATGCTGATCTATTGTATGCAACAGAATTTCTGATCAGTAGCATTTGACTGACATCGCCCTGTGTCAATTGCTGTTTCTGATCATAACTCCGATTTTGGATATCAGAATGGAGTTTGGCCATAGAAATAAGATAATGGTTCTTGTATCCTAATGACTCAATTGTTTGTGACAAGGTCTTCACCTCATCTGCTCGGCCAAACTTGAGATAGTGTTTGAGAAGCAATGCAGTTGTCTTAGCATCAGGCAGCGAGCAGTTAGCTGACTTGAGCCAAGTATGGAGGATGCTGTCAATATTCTCGAAGACTGCTCCAACCTTCACAAGGTTGGCCATCGTGGTAGATAAAAGGTGGCTATCAAGCGCCTTGCCCATCTGTACTATGCTCTGGAAAAGCGTCTTGGCGAATTGAACATCGTAGTTGATGATGAAAGCATTCACTGCATAGCTCAATGTCTTGCTATCGTAATTTGGCTTCTGTAAGTATGCGTATAGAAGCAGCTGTAGATTGTTCGCATCGTCCATGTGGTAGCAAAGCCATATACCATTTTCAAGCGTCTTCGAACTAGCACTTCGTAGGTTATTGAGCTGCATGAGTTGGAATGCCTCGTAAAACCTAGGAATTCTGGGATAAATGCTGCCAAATTGCGCAGCAGCTTTGAGGTTATTCTTCCCGATGAACCATGGCGTCTCTATGTCAATTTTGTACAACGGATCTTGGTTTTCGTTGATTCCAGATGCATCTTTTCGTAGCTCCTCGACCATTTCATTAAGTACATCGGCTGGAAGCGTCAGGCCCTTACTTCTATACTCTTGCAAAAGTAGGTTCATCTCCTGAAATTTGCCGTTTTGGAACAAGCTGACCATTCTTTGCTTTATAGCGTCTTTATCTTCATCCTGCTGTTCCATCTCATGACGTTTTTGAACCCCATAGGGCGTATAGAGAGCAGCTGGATGTAGTTTCACTAGCCTTGTGCTTATCTGTTTCGTCTGATGAGGCTTGCAAGAAGTAGCAGGTTCCGCTAGAGCACTGACAAGTCTGGATCCAAAGTCCTTGGACGTTTCTTTAAGCCAGAAAGTACACGAAGCATTCTGAAGTTGAATATTGGTGCAAAATGGGTGCCGGCTTGCTTTGAAACTGGGTCTATGAGCGGGATGTCGGTAATGCCGCAAATTCCACAACAAGTTGTGGAACGAGCGAACCAAAGGAAATTCTCGTCTCATTCAAAAATCTTCAAGAACCCTTCGATGTCTATGTACAAATATATCGTGGAGTTCAGTGGATGCTCAGTACATAGAAATTTTATGATGTGATTTCTTCGCAGACAGGTGAGAAAAAGTCGCGAGCCATTGGATAAATTTTGGTTGATACTTTTTGCGATACCAATAGAGTAGTGGAGCATACTTGGTAGAGGGTAGAAATTTTTAAAAAGTAAAAAAATAGTGTTTTCAGTCTTAAGAAATGAAACTGTAGGATTCTTTTTTGCACCGAAAGAATCAACATTGAATGCTTGTCAGATTGGCTGCAAACCCTAGAGTGAACAAACGCCTGAGGGTTCGCATACATACTGAAGCACGGCTAGAGGTACTATAGAAACTGAAGTATTCTGAAAGTAGTTCTTAAAACAATGGTATTTCATGTGATTAAATACTGAGTATCTATACTGATACTTCGATGGTACTCTTTATTTCAATTTACTCATTTTCCCATATAGGGTTGCGATATTCACTAGAGTGTTCGCTAAGAGTCGCTTTACTATGTATACCCTTACGGCAGTAGTAGCACTACTTAAACCACTACATGGGGTTTTCAACATATAATGAATGGTCCCACTTTTCCAAATACTTACTCTTCAAATTTCATCTCAAATTCAAATTTCACAATTAATCCATCACTTTCCCTTGGTATATTCCCTTCTTTGTCTATCTACACATGTGCATTGGATGCGAAAAACTAGTCTGGTCCCGCTTATGAAATTTACGACCCCCACGCCAAAGCACAAAATAAAGGTCCAGCAAAATTTTGACCCCAAGCTCTTAACACTGTACTTCTCTTAAATAGACTCATCTTTCCTTTATTCACTTTTCCATTTGTTGGAACCAGTGACTGCTTGATGAGTCGTCCCCCCGCCTTTAGTCCTCTGTGCACCACATAAACCTCGGCCCCAGATCTCGTCTTACCCACCCAACTACTGCTTTTCTTCTTCCCACCAATGCCTCCAAAGACAAGCTACAAGCAGTACGTGGACTCTGGTCTCGTGTCCCTGACATACGACTCAGTGGGCCATGGACCTCTGGATTTGGACTACTTGATCCATACCTTGAGACATCCTACCCCAGACACTTCCGTCCAGAAGGTGCTAGGCTACATCTACCATTACTTGCCTTTTGTCAAGCATGAACACAACTTGAGGCTTGTGTTTTCCAGCTTTCTTAACAATCAAATCTGTTTTTCCAACCAACCACCTCTGTTTGAAGAGAACTACTTGATCATAGAGGTGTTTAAGTTGATCACCGACAAAAAGCTTAAGATTTCCAAGCCAACGCTTCCAATTAAGACTTTTTACGAGGTCATCAGCAAGGAGCTCCGAAGCTTTGTTGCATTTAACCCGCATCAGAACTCATGGAAGGTGTTGCCTATTATCTCCGGCTTGTTCTTGTCGAACGAGGTGAGAGATCATTTGTATACCTCGGTTAACATGCTTCAGTACAAATGGTTTTTTAACGAGTGGGACAACGAAATGGATTCTTTATTCAAGAGCGCATTCAGGTATGCTGTTTCGCCTGCCAATCCTTCCGACATTCTGAACTTGTCTCTTCTCAGTCTTGCCTTGAAGTACCGCAGATACGAGAAGCTTGAAGATTATGTCGGCCGCATAGACCCGGCTCTTCTTATCAACGGCTTGGTGAATCTCATATTTGCTCCTGTTGATCACTCAGCGTTTGTTTACACCAAGTTTAGCGCTATAGACCCTAACGACCCAGGTGCTGAACAACAAATAGCCTCCAGCGTGAGTCAAAAGCCCGTTGTGAAGCATCTCAACAGATTATCATTTATTTTGGAATCTCTTCTTAGCGAGCTTCCTCACTCAGCTGCTGCTTTTGCTGTGACCCTTTCGGTCGTAGAGAAGATCAAGCTCTTTACTCGTGATTTGAATCACTTCACTCAACGCAACCCTTTGCTCAACCGTGACCCAAGTGATAATGTCAACGAGAGCTATTATCAAGCATATTGGTTTTGATGAAAGGTATTTTGTTTGCCGAAGTGATCATTTTCCAGGGAATATTGACTAGATTCTTGTCAGCTAAGAACCACAACGTGGGATTCTTTGCTCAGCTTTTCAAATCATCGAAGATCTTGGGTGACATCGAACGTGAGTACCAGCAAATTTGCTTGCAGGTGGTTCACTCGTTATACTATGCCAATTTTATCTTGATGTCGATTGGCCAAGGAGGCTTCGATGGCTACAACTTCTGTTACTACTTGTCCATCGAAATTCTTCTCCACAACAGTAGGCGAGGTGAATTTGAAGGATTCACCAAGAGCTTGATCGGAAACTATCAGGAATTAAACTTGCATCCAGGCGCTCTTAACAAGGACTACGTTGGGAGGTGCAAAGCCCTTTTGGTGTGTGGTCTTTGGGAGAACTACCTCCAACAACTGAGCCACAAAGACCCAGCATTTGTCGAGTTCATCTTCGATGTGGCTTTCTCTATTGTGCAACTGCGTAACATTGAAGACCAGGGCTTTATTGAAGCTGTTCATTCGACACTTTTGGTTTACTTTTCAACTATGAAAAATACTGACCACAATCTTGGAAAGGTCTTGCAGTATTTTGAGCTTTTGATTGAGCAATTCCCTCGGGTGCTTTCTGCTAATCAGTTAAGTGTAGCAGTTGAAACATTGGGAAAGAAGATCATGTCTAATCCTGTGAAATATGAGCCAACTGCATTGTTCAAGAACTCGGCTGATGAATTTTTACAATTTGTCTACCATAAGTGTGCAAAGACTCCACCAGGACTTCCAGTGAGAAGAGCTAACAACCTGACTTTCTCTTCTGCCCAGCCCGTCACAGAAATTGACGCTTCTTCCACGTTGTCGCAACTCGAAGAAAACGATCAAGATAAGGAGGATATTGTGGAGAGAAACAAGAGAAAGAAGCCAAAGGATTTGCCTGATTTCAAGCTCGGCTTGACTGCTCAAGGCTCATCTGGTCAAGAACATTTCGAAACCAGAACTGAGCCCGAAACATCCAGAGAGGCTATCATTGTGGCTTTCTTGAACATCATTCCCTACCTTCCTATCAGTTTATTTGTTCCATGGCTAGATAGAATTTGGGACCTTATAAAAGCCAGTGGGCAGGATGAAAGGCCATTTTTGACTGAGAGACTCTGGAAGGTGCTCAGTGAGAATCTTGATCTCAATAGATGCGAGATTGCCTACGGATGGTGGTACGAGACCAGAGGAGCAGTGGAGCAAAACATTACTATGAAGCTCTCGCAAGTAAAGCTCTAGACTGGATCCATCTTTATAGAAAATAAAAATGTAACAATAGTAACTATGTGGTGATATTCTGGTATGAGTGCATACATGTATGCGACCTACTTCACTGAGATGAGATCTCATCGCTTCATCAAGTAACCATGGCTAGAAAGAAGTCCGCAGCTAAAAAGGCCAAGGAGGCTGCTGCACGTGCTGAAGCAGATGCTCCAACTAAGAACGATGTTCAGAAGGTTGAACAGCCACCCAAGAAGGCTGAGCCTGTCAATGAGAGTGGTGACGAGGAAGACTCATCATCATCTGAAGAGGAGGATGAGTATGGTGAATTGTTGACTGAAAATGTCGAAAGCTCCATTCAGAATGTCTTAAGTGCTTTGAAGAGTGATCCTAAGAAACTTCTAGACCCAGATGCTAAATTTTTCAACGAAAACGATGTGGAGGTGTTGAAGAAGGCCAAGGACAAGCCATTATACTTGAAAGACTACCACCGTCAGGCTTTGTTGCTGGGTGATTACAAGAAAGAAGATGGAGACAATGAGTACGATACTGTTGATGGCGAGAAACCATTTGTGATCACCGAAAGGGAAGAAAGAAACCAGCTTCTTGATGATATCAAGAATGCTTTCGATGGAGAAGAGGAAGACGACGAAGAAGATGACGGATTTTTGAAGAAGAAGGAGAAACTGAAAGCATCTAAGGAAGCTGTATCGCAGCTTCCTGATCCAAGCAGATCTGCAGAGGAGTTCTTGAGTGCTTTTCTTGATAGAAAGGCATGGGTTCCAACTGAAAAGGATAAGGTCATCAACTTGGACAGGATTGATAATGAAGACGAGCAGGACTTTGATGACGCTGTTGATGAGTTGGAAAGAGCTTACAACTTCCGTTATGAGGATCCAAACTCGGCAGAGATTGTGTCTTACGCTCGTAACCAAGCCACGGTAAGAAGAGCTAAGACGAATGCCAGAAAGAAGGAGAGAGAGAGAAAGCACCTCGAGAAGGAAAAGCAAAGTGCTGATGTTGAAAAAGCCTTGCAGAAGAAGAAGACTGAAAAGTTGAACAAGGTTGTTGACAGACTTAAGAAAATCAAAGAGGCTGTCGGTGAAGATATCAGCAATGACGTTATCGAGAACATTTTTGGCGACTCTTTGTTGAACGACGACTTCGATGATGCCGACTGGGATGACAAGATGGCCCAAGTGTTTGACTCGCAGTATTACGATGCTGAAATTGCCAAACCCGAATGGGATGAAGACGACGAAATAATGGGCGAGTTCCACGCTGCTAAGGCTGAAGAGGAGGAGAATGATGCCGAAGAAGCCGAGGATATTGAAGAAGCCGAGGTTGCTGAGGAGAAGCCCACGAAGAAATCATCTAAGAAGGAGAAATTGAAGGAGAAGAAAGAGGCCAAGAAGCTGAAGCACAACATTAGAGAAGAGGCCGAGAAGATCGTTGAAGCCAACAAGCTCAAAATCAGAGACGAGGTCGAAGAAGAGAGAGGTCGTTCAAAGGATGCCGACCCTAACAAGTTCAAGTACAGAGAAGTCTCTCCAGAAACTTTCGGTTTGTCAACTAGAGAAATTCTTTTGGCAGACGACCTGGCATTGAACCAATTCGTTAGCATCAAGAAATTTGCACCTTACAGGCCGAAGGAGCAGGCTCTTAAGGATAAGAGAAAGTTCGCAAAGAAGAAGCATCTACAGCAATGGAGAAGAGATATCTTCAAGAACAAGGAGGGCCCAGCAAGACAACCTGGCGAGGAAGATGGTGAGATTTGGATTCCAAATGAAGACGAGGAACAAGAGAGACCACGCAAGAAGAGCAAGAAGTCAAAGAAGTAAAGTATATCGTAAGAGTCATTAATTGCATCTATAATAAATTTATTTAACCAAGACAACCTAGTAGCCCCAACCGACTAGCTAACTTGAAAACTGTCCTAAAAAAAAATTGAAGTCTCAAAGATACGCTAGCAAAAACTTATAACTAACAAAATAAAAAAAAAAAAAATCAGGAAGAGGATACTCAATCGTAGCCCTTAGGGAAACTGATAATAGACTTAGCAGCATCTCTAGATCTGGACTTGATCTTCATACCCAAGCTTCTAATGGATCTCTTTTCGTCCTCCTGCTTGATGATCAGTCTCTCACGAGACTTCAAATAGAATCTGACGAAGCAAAGCATAGAAATCACGACAGCCAACAGAACACCAATGATAGCAAAGAACCAGTTGACACCTGTGGCGCCTTGTCCTGGAACTTCAACGTTCATACCAAATGCAGAGAACACCGAGTTCATTGGCAAGATCAAAGTACCAAGCAAAGTAACACCTCCCAAAATCTCTGTGACTCTCAAGTTAGCGTTGAAAGACTCCACCTGCAATTGAGCCAAGTAGTTAGAGTGCGATCTGCTAAAAATCTTCTCATAGGCTCCCAAGTTCTGATACATGGTAAGAACGTGATCTTGAATATCACCCAAGTACAAAGCAATGTCGGCTCTTGGCTGAGCGACCTTTCCTCTTTGCTGGTTGAAATCAGAGTGATGAGCGGACTCGTTGCCAGACTTTGGTGGTGGACTGAAATCTTCGTAGGTGCGTGGACCATAGTAGTTCTCATCTTGACATCTCTTAGCAAACATCTTGATAACATCAGCCTTGTTAGAAAGAAGACGCATCAAAGTCATGACCTTTCTTCTAGCTTCACCAATCTTACGCAACATGGAACTAAAGTTCATCTCACGAGCAGTCAAAACCGAGTCTTCGATTGCATCGGCCTCGTATTCAATACCCATGATGACTGGAGCGAAACCATCAGTGATGTCATCGATCATGGCGTAACAGAGCCAGTCAGCATTCACATCAACATATTCTCTCAATTGTCTAACTCTTCTTCTCACATTAGCAGGATGAGGAACGGGAGCAAAGTGGAAAGTCAACACACCCTCCTTGAATACAACGATATAGAAGTTGATTGGCTCCAAGTAGTCCTCAGATTCCTTATCTGGCTCAAAAGTGTGGAAACAAACAAAGTAGTAGCTGCGGAACAACTCGACCTTCTCACGAGTCTCTTGCATTCTAATATCCTCAGCGGTCAAAGGATGGATTCCAAAGGCTTTAGCCAAGGTCTTCACCTCGGCATCAGTTGGACAAGTAACATCCAACCACCAAGTACCATCACCGTTCTTAAACAACTCCTGGACGGTCTGGCCTGGAGCAACCAAAGAAGGAATATCTGGGGCATGCACAGTCTCCTCATTGTCCGAATGGAAGAAGGAGTAACGTTCGGGCAAGCCTACATCACCATCCTCGTTGATCTTTGCACCGCCAAACTTCACGACAAAAGACTCGTCATCTTCAGGAGCGTTCTTCTCGTAAAGAGCAGAGTCAGAAGACTCAGAGCCGTGTCTGCCCTTGTCGGTAGTGATACCTTGGACGGAAGCACCCTTGTCAGAGTTCTCTGGCAGCTCACCATTTCTCATCTTGTTAAGAATGTGCTTAGGTGTGTACTTTGTAGCATTCTTGCTCAAAGGTCTCTCGGAAAAAGAGTTTCCGGTAGATCTTCCGACTGATGCCTGGGGGTCCCAGCCAAAGTTCTGAGCAATCATTCTCTCCTGCTGTCTAAGTTGTTCAGCGTTTTCACGCTCTTCCTTGATGAATTCTTCAATCTCATCAAAGTCAATACCGTTGACACGCACATGCTCACGCAACATAGGGAAACAGACATCCTCTTCAGTCTCCTGAGAAGTTCTGGAAGCGTGAGAGTCAGCATCGCTATCGACAGAGCCCTTGGAAGGTCTTCTTTCACGCTTAGTGAACTGAGGAGGGTGGAGGTCCGAAGCAAACGTATCATTGGTACGTTGTCTACCCAAGGGGTTGAGAGCATCTTGTCTCTCCAAAGAGCTGCGTGAGTGTCTGCTTGATCTTCTCATCAAGTAAGCAGCATCTTCAGCCGAAACCGCCTCGCTCACCGACTGAGAACGAGTGTTGCGGCGGACTCTAGGAATCTCATAGTTCCGTCTAGGCCTCGCATTTGGAGGCTGGCCAGTGCTGGTTGAAGCAAAGCCAGCAGAAGGCATGGAGGGCTCCTCATCTGGAGGAGGCAAGTTCTCCCTTTGCTGTCTATGGTCGTTCAAGACATAGTCAGGGCGCTGGGGAGGAGCAGCCTGGTCAGCTGATGTTGAGTTGTAGCTTTCAGAGTCAGACATTGCAAGCAATAAAAAAGCAAGGACTTAGTAAAAGTTTAAATAAAGGGTAGCTGGATTGATATAGGCGGGGGAGTAGAATTCTTCTCTTGCTTTTAGGTGATAACGTATTTAGCGGAACCACGAGGTTGTGATCATCTCTATAAAAAAAGACGAACTAGAAAGAAAGAGGGAAGTTGGACAACAAAAAAAATAACTTTGAGTATCTTACATAGATGGAACGATATCCAGCAATGTAGGGTTCTTCTTTCTTCGGGATTGAGTTGTTGAAGGGAAGTAAGAAGAGAGGAAAAAAAAAGAAGAGGAACGAGAAATGTAACGAGAGCACGATGCCCTTTTATTTCGCGAAAGAAAAGAAAAAAAAAAATGAATGAGTGCACTTGCAATTAAAAAATTAAGACATGATTCATTTCCACTGCAGCAACAGCTTTGATTAATTAAAAGGCAACCCAAAGACAAAAGACAAAAGACAAACCAGAGAAATAGTTTATTCGAAAACGGCAAAACCTTAAACCAATTAATTGCCTTTGGATTTGCCTTGTTCCCTTTTCTTTCTTTTTTCCCTCTTTTGTGTCGTTACGGTCCATTTTTCATCCTCCTTGGGTATGGCTCTTTCTCGGGACACAAGGCCCCTTCATGAGGCACCAGGTCTTGTGGTCCTCTCTTTTTTGTTAATTTTTTTTTTTTTTTTCTTGCTCGCAGCCGCCCGCCTTACTCTTTTATCTGCCTGCCGCTGCCGTTGCCGCCCCACCTCGCTATCTCAAATCGTCACTGCCGCTGGACCTCTTTCTATCAATTGTGGTTGAATTAATACTGGTTTGTTTTGTGAACTTTTGGTGAAAAATTGGGGCGGCGGCTCTTCGGTCTTTGCCCTACTTCCACCAAGGGTTTACCTGTTTTGTGTGGATAATTGTTCTGCCACAATGCCACTGCTGTGAGCGATTTTCATGGCTTTTCGCACTACCTGCCACTGGCACGTTGCCTGCGCACCTCAAGATTTATCGTACTTTAACCCGTCCTGCCGTGGCCCTAGCGGTGCCGCCACCTCTTTATCAGAGCCAACGGTCGTTTTGTATTACAAGTGGGTTTCTTGGTGATTTGCTGTGATCATTCGTGTGACTCTTCTGCCATGGCACCCACAGGGTCTCTCCTTCGATGCGACAAGCCCATCGAGCGACCGTTTTCTTGACATTGTTGCACTTGCCTTGCATCTATCTTCTCTTGACCGTACAAGCGCTACCTCTTCCAGGCTGTGTATTTTCTTCTAATTATATTCTACAGCCGGCGCCTTTCCTTAAATGGCCTTTTACAGGCACCACTCAACAGGGTTCTGCAAGACCTTCACCAAACGGGCCTCCTCGCTGCCTTCTTCAGGGTGATGGTCATACACCCAGCTGGCCGTTGCAGGTAACGACATCAAAATACTTTCGACTCTCAGTCCTGGCGTCTGCAAGCCGAATTGCGTTCCACGGTCCAAGACCAAGTTGAACTCCACATAACGTCCTCTACGGATCTGCTGCCACTTCTTTTGCTCTTCCGTGAACTCCTGATGCATACGTTTCTCGACCAATGGAATGTAAGATGGTAAGAAAGCATCGAAACAAGACTCGATAATGTGCATTATCTCATCGGCTGGCTTGTCATCAAAATCGTCAAAGAAAATACCTCCCACACCTCTAGTTTCGTTTCTGTGCTTGATGTAGAAGTACTCATCACACCATTTCTTCCATTTAGGATACAATTCTGTGTCGTACTTGTCCAATGCATCCTTGTGACACTGGTGGAAGTGTTTGGCATCCTCGTCATACAAGTAAGATGGAGTCAAATCGCATCCACCGCCAAACCACCATGTCATTACCTCGCCGGTTTCTGGGTCGGTTGTTTCAAAGTAACGGTAATTGGCATGGGTGGTAGGAGCATGTGGGTTATGTGGGTGGATAACCATGGACAATCCACAAGCAAAGAAGTCCACCGATCCATCAGCAGCGCCCTTGAGGTTAGCATGGTCAGCTTTCATCCTCTGCACGGCCTGAGGAGGCAATTTGCCGTGAACGATCGAAATGTTCACTCCACCCTTCTCAAACGTCTTTCCATCTTGTAAAACCATCGATTCGCCTCCACCACCGTTGTTGCCTCTAACCCAAGTGTCGGTGTGAAAAGTTGTAGTGTCCAATGCAGCAAGACCCTCAGTGATCTCCCTCTGCTTCAAGCGCACAAGCGCTTCCATTCTGTCTCTCATAGGGAGACTTTTGTCGTGAATCTTTTCAGCCATGATTGTGTTTCTTGGTAAAAGTGTCTGGAGAAATGATCTAGGACTAGTGCACTTATATAAGCGCTATCTGAGCATGTTGGGCCTGCACGGTTCGTTTCGGTGGTGTGATAATGGTATACGAGAAAGACCACTGTGACACTAGTGCAATTAAGGGGTTGGGTCAATTTCGTTCTATTTCATCGTACTATGACTAAAAAGCTCCGTTTTAGTGGCCAGAACCGATTTGGTTCGTCTTGGTGCTTGTTAGTAGGTGCGCAACGGTTGCAAAATATGCCCTTACAAGGCTCGTACAGCTTGTACTAAGCTTTGGGAACTCCGACGAGGCACTATTTCTCCGATTCTCCGCCCAAACTCAACTCTACACTGCTACAATGGAAGTGCTTACTTTAGTGAAATTAAACCTGCTGCCCCTTTTTCAATGGCACCACTACAAGTGGATACGATGGCTGCGAAATATACTGATCCCACTACGATAAACGATCCCCCAATGCATTAACGAAACGTACTTTTGTCTATTTTTTCAAACAATACCTAATTATCCATCAGCACGGTGGCATTGGCCTCTCTGGTATGGCCCATCACATACAAAGCATTCTGCCAGTCGCTGCCATCTGCCCTCTCCGCGGCCTCCTCCAAGTTCTTCGCAATCCCTGCCTTCAAGTGCCTCTGCACAATCCTCTCCCTCACTATCTCTGGCGCCGTCTGAACCACCCAGAGCTCATCCACCACAGAAGCCAACTCCAGCCATGGCTCGTCCTTCAACCCCACGTAGTTGCCCTCCACAAACACAACCTTTGCCAGCGGCTCAATACAAATATCATTCTCTACAGGGTCTTTCTTAGCATGGTCAAACAGCGGCGCCCAGACGGTTTCGCCAGCCTTGACTCGCTTCACACTGGCAACAAACCTGGCGCCGTCAAAGGTGAAGGGCGCTCCGCGCCGCCTGAAGGCCTCGTCTGGGTTATCGAATCGCGCCAATTGCTCACGGTAAAAGTGGTACCCGTCCTGCGGAAGCACCCTAGTCTCCACTCCGCACGAAGTTAAAACTTCAACCATTCGCTCCACAAGCGTCGACTTGCCTGCTCCTGGGACTCCAGCCACTGCGACAATCACCCTGTCTTTGTTTTCGAGAAGCGCTTGGACTCGCTGCTGCAACTGAGCAAGCTGGCTGCTTTCGTAATGCGACATGGCAATCAATTGAAAGAACAAATGTATCTGGTGCCTTCAAGGTGGTTGGTGGATGCTCGCCGTTTTATGTACGCATTCCACCTCGACTGCCCCGCGAACGCTGCCTATTCTTGTTACCTCTCGGATTTGAGCACTGTGTGGGCCGAAACCTGTTCTAGTGAGGAGGTGGCGGAGAAGGCCCGTGGGCTTGGGATTCTGAGGGTCGATGGAGAAACTTTACGTTATTTGGGTAATGAGCTACACGAGGCTTTTTATGAGAATGGTAATGTGCTGATAAAATCATCAGGAGACCATTATGTAGTGTCTGTGGAACTCTCCAACCTCACTTGGGAAATGCGGTTGCAAAAATTGGATGCCAATGGCACCGCTGCGTTTCTTGCTACGTTCAATGTATCTCAATTTGCAAATCACAGTTATCTTGCCTATAAGGCGTCTCAGCTTGAAAAGGCTCTAAGGGCAAAGGATAAGTATATCTTGTACTTGGAAGAGAACTACAAGACTGTGAATGGAACGGCGCTAATGGATAAGTATAAGCGTCAGAATTCGGGTGATGCACCTTTATTGGAGCCTTATTCACGGAGAGCTTTTGAATCTCGTGTTCATGAACTGTACGGCTCCTTGGCACGTAAATTAGAGGCAGATCCGTCGTCCTGGCCCTCTCTACTATGGGATGTCATCAGTTCAGTGTTTCAAGATGTGCTGACCTGGACAGCAGGTCTGTGGATCCATGGTGAAGGCGCACAGGAAGATCCAAAGGTAAAGACCGAGCCAAAGATAAAGCGAGATCCTGATAAGAACACCGAGCAAAGAGTTTTAAACGAGCTTAAAATGAAGACTGACCCAAAAGTTAAAAGCGAACCGAAAGTGAAGGTCGAGTCCGGCACTGAAGGTAATGAAACTGATGAAAGTGATGCAACTAAAAAGGGCGACTCTTCAGGTAAGCGTCGCCGTGTTGGTATTGTGGGCCGCAAGCGGCCTTCTAATGATAGCGAAGAAAGTGATGCAAGCGAGAAACCAGCCTCTCAAAAGTCTCCAACAAAAAGAAGGCGAGTTGGTGTGATTGGAAGGAGATAAGCATCTACCTCAGCGCTCTATGTGCTACGGCCATATCTGACCAGCGCTGCATGATGGTGCTCATCTGAGTAACTTGCCGACGATCCAACTCTTGCTCAATTAGACCTTCTAGAAACCCACTCCAGAATGATATGAATTCTTTCAACGACTCTCTGTCATCGGGTGGTGATGAGAACTCGAGTGGAGGGTACCTCGAGTCAAAATGCGATTTGTAGGTTGAGCTGCCAAAGTATTGATTAAAGACTGTTCGCCAGAATCTTGAGATTATGTCAACGACATCATGAAGTGATTCTATCTTATTGATATCGTATCCCCTGACGAGGTCCAAGTCCTCGCCATAACACAGTTTCATGCAATGCTGAATCATGGATTTTGTTAACATCAATACCTCGTTGTAGACTACTTCTTCAATCCTTTTGTTCGTATAGTCAGGTACTTCAATGCGTCTCTCCTTCACAACGGTGTGCTCTTTTATTTCACCAAAGCGGTGATAGTTTTCATGGGAGATCATCAGAGCGATCCCATCAGCAGTCATCCCCTGTCTATAACTGACTGTCAAGATTTCGTTCAGAAGTGCCTTAGTGCAGAGGTTCTTATCGTTAGTCATTAAAACCTGAATTGTCTTTGGATTCTCTCTTTTGATATAAAGAGCGCAGTCGAGAATAGCATCGTCTTTCGCAGCCAAACGATTAATCTTTTGATCCAATGACTGGCCGATCACCGCAGGATCTTTGGATGCAAAGCAATTATATATCCAGTCATTGGCCCATCTAGCTAAATGGCTCATGGACGTAGAAGAGATTCCGTTCTCCCTCTGGGTTCGAGATGCAGAGTTCTTTAAACCATCTAGTTCCTGAACCACCGTGGTTGGAATTACAATACGAAGTTTATGTTCTTTTGCCAACTTTCTCAAGTCATCAAGGACTCTCAAATGTGATAAAATGAAGTTGGTGTCCACAATTAAGTATGACATATTACCGCTCACGACGAATGTTTCCCTATGCACTAGATGCAATGCGTCCATGTCCATATCGTCTGGATCGAAGGCACCTGCCAATCTAGATGTCGAAACATAATCAGATATGGCATTTGCTTCGTTCACGCTGTCCATAGGTACCATTTCGATATCCTCTCGGTTGGCACTCTCTTCTGCAGCATCGTTTACTTTGGCATTGATGCGTCTATAGATGTATTCCACGGGCTTTTTTGATTTCTTGGGACTACCACTCGGTAGTACCCGCCTGCTATCCTTACTCAGGAGCCCAGTAGATGAGTACTTGGAGGGTAGAGCCATTTGGAGCTGTCCTTGGAATGTTAGTATTCTCTGCCGGGTTTGATTTCGCAGGCAGTAAGTCTAATCAGAAAAGACCCGTACATACAAAACTACATTTTGCAGCCATTATCGCAAATCGTTTACTATGCTAAATATGTGGGGAAATCAATGGTGGCTAGTATAACCAGTATAGTAGCACGGTAATTAAATGAGCTGTAAGATAAACTCAAAAGCGCTCACTGAGACGCTGATGACAATAATGATGATGATCATAGTGGTGATCCTGCTTGTGTTGGATTCGTTGATGCTATCACTGATGATGTTCAGGAACTCCAAGAACACTTTACATCTATCGTTCAAAACCAGAACTCGTTGTTCGATTTCAAGGTACTCGCGTACAGCGTTGTAAAGCGGATGCAATGCAGGTTCCAACGACCAAAAGAAGTCAGGTGTATCTAAAATCGAGCTTGACAAATTAACATCCACTCGCAACTTGAACAATTTACCTGACTTTTTAAGTAACTGTTGACGCTTTAAGCCTAATTTGCCTGTCAAAGCTAGCTTCTTTGGAAGCTTCGAAATCAGTTGTAAACTGTAGACCATACGGCTTTCAAACAAACATAGCTTGGTCAGCTGAGCAAGAGCATATGACATGGTGAGCTTGATAAGATGGTCGGCCGAACGCAAAGTGATCATGTCATTGTAAATTCTTGGCCTTTGGACCAGCGAGTCATACTCAAAATGGAATTCTTCGGTCTCTATTTCATGGTCACTAATTGGATTGACCAAAATAGGAACTGGGGAGAAGGCAAGATCCGCTAAGATATTCTTTTCATGGATCTCGGTGAAGTTCCAGAAAACAATGATACCATACTCGAGAACGAACATTTCTGCGTGGTGTTTGCTGACCTCTGCTTGAGCCTCATCTTTGTCCATACGGCTCAAGCTCTCTCTTTTCAGTGTATCGCTATGTGCACTAGACTTCTTGGAAGAAGATTCATTCTCGCTGTTGCTATCACTGTCAGTATCTTGAGGAGGTGCAAAGAATTGTGGCTCGGATGGGTCAAAAGGCCCACTGTTATCCGCATTTCCATCCTCGGGATCCATTGAGTAGTTCATTACATCCTCCGGAGTTTCAACTCCCGAATAGTACTCATATAAGTGATCAGTTTCCTCTGACTTTCTGATCATCTTCTCCATATAACGTTTACTAGGCAATGATTTAGCAGTATCATTTGACTTAACCCTGAATCCATCGGTTCCCGGAAGCAAGGGTAATGCATAAGGAACGTATAAAGCTTCGTCGTACAAACGAGGCTTAACTTCGTGAGTGTTCTGAAGAAACTCAATTAAAGCTGTGGTGTTGAACTCTTCGCAAATGAAATAAGCAGTTACTCTGCTAAACTCCTGTGCCCTGGCCTCCTTAGGCATAAGTTCTGCCCTACTTCTCTGGATCTGAGGAGTATCAGGCCTATCCAATGGAGGAGGAGACCCCACCCTTTGAGGCAGCAGAGGTCCACTGACAATGCCATGTTCATCAGGAATAAGAACCAACTTTTGAGAAGTCTTAGATGTTCTTGCAGGAAGGTTCTGTGACAACTTCGGTATACTTCTCATATTCCTCCTTCGTTGCTCTTGCAGGGAAACATTCTCTACTGGAGGCAGCGAAGGGCGAGGTGAAGAAAACCGAGAGCTTTGGTTTAGATTAGGAAAACGACTCTGGCCCGATGGAATATCACTTGAATTGCTAAGCAATTTATCCACCGAAATGTCAGCATATTTATTTGACCGAGCATTGAATCGGCGATGCAACGAGGAGCCATGAGGCTGGCCCCCATGACTTGAAACATGTGATGGAGTCAGCAGAGACAGAGACTGTTGCTGCTGCTGTTTCTTGTAGTTGTGACCTGCAAACGGAGCTCTGGCTCCCTTGACACTGTTACTTCTAGCATCGGTCACTAAGATCGAAGGTGATCTTTTAGCTGTAGGTCGCAGACCCTGACGCAGATCTTGGGAATCCGTATTTCGGCCATTCGACATCACAGGTGTATTGTCTCTTGTGGCAAAGTGGCCCTTTTGGGGGGTTACTGTTCTTGGTTTATCAATGGAAGCTGTTAGTGGTATCGCATCGGCAATCGGGTCATGTGACGAGCCACACAAGAAATCTAGATAGGTCGGAAAGAAACTTGATTGGGTCTTTTTAGGGTTGATTTGGTGGCCATAGTGTTTTCTTGTGAAGGTTTGATAACTGGTGGTATTCGTTTTTTGTTTCCTCAATTGACTGATTTTTGGGGTAGATTGGTGTTTTTGTATGGATCAAGAGCCTTCCCCTGAAATCCATGAACTTCATGCACTACAGAGAAAGAATCACTAAAATGGTTGACAGTGAAAACTGAAATAATAAGGAAAAATTTAGAAGAAGACTAATTGGGACAAACGAAGGAGCCATTAAAGATAGTACGTAGAGAAAATGAAGAAAAACTGCTTTTACCGTTCATTTGGTCTGCCTTTGACCTGGCTACTTAAGAGCATCAAAACGTCATTGGAGGGACAGTAGTAAGTCGCATTTTGCACCCATTTCAGCCTGGCCGACACATCTATGAACTAAAATGACAAACTGCTTATCAAATACTTGTGATTCTATCGGATGGTAAGAAAGGCGAAATTTTCCTTTTCAAGATCAAAAAACAGCCACCGCCAGCCCTTACAGAATTGGGCGAGAGAAAGAAAAAAAGCCGCTAAGATAAAAAAATCATCACGTGATTTCCATCAGCTAAATTTTCAGTTCTAGGATATTCTCAATCAGTCACCATAGTTCCATATACCAATGGCTACCGTTACAGTTGCCGCAAAGGCTCCATTCATAGCTTATTCTGCTATTATCGCTGCAGAGATCGTGAACTCGGACTCTGACAAAGCCATCACCGTTGAATTCGTCGATGAGAAGACCGCCGAGTCTGGTAAAGATGTCACCGTGAAGTACGTTGAGAACGGGAACACTGTCACTGGCGACAAGGAGGTTCTCTCTCAATTGTCTGCTTTGGCTCCTTCTATCAAGACCTCTGACGAGTCTGCCAACACTTGGGTGCAATTCGCATTCGAAAAGTTGGCTAACAAGAACTTCAAGGCCTTGGCTACTGACTTGGAGAAATTGGACGCCCACTTGAACTTCAGATCTTTCATTGTCGGCCACTCGCTTTCCGTCGCTGATGTTGCTATCTGGGGTGTCTTGAGAGCCAATGCTGTCATGGGCTCTGTTCTCAAGAACGAGGTTTACGCCAACGTCTCTAGATGGTACAACTTCATCGGTTCTGACTCTAGATTCGACTCCGTCGCCGAGAAGACCACGAAATCCATCAACGACTTGAGAAAGTCTATCAAGGCTGCTTCTGGTGCCAAGAAGGAAACACACAAGGCTAACTTCGAAATTGACTTGCCAAACGCTAAGATCGGCGAGGTTGTCACCCGTTTCCCACCTGAGCCATCTGGATACTTGCACATCGGACACGCTAAGGCTGCTATCTTGAACGAGTACTTTGCTCACGCTTACAAGGGTAAATTGATCATCAGATTCGATGACACCAACCCTACTAAGGAGAGAGTTGAATTCCAAGACTCTATCATTGAGGATTTGGCTTTGCTTGGTATCAAGGGTGACCAGATTACCTACTCCTCTGACTACTTTGACAAGATGTACGAGCTCGCTCTCGACTTAATCAAGGCCGGTAAGGCCTACTGTGACGACACTCCTCAGGAAAAGATGAGAGAGGAGAGAATGGTTGGTGATGCCTCTGCCAGAAGAGAGAGAACTGTTGAAGAGAATTTGAAGATCTTCACCGAGGAGATGAAGAACGGTACTGAAGAGGGCTTGAAGAACTGTTTGAGAGCTAAGATTGATTACAAGGCCTTGAACAAGGCTTTGAGAGACCCTGTCATCTACAGATGTAACTTGACTCCTCACCACAGAACCGGTTCTGAGTGGAAGATGTACCCTACTTATGACTTCTGTGTTCCAGTCGTTGACTCTATTGAGGGTGTCACCCACGCTTTGAGAACTAACGAGTACAGAGACAGAAACCCACAATACGAATGGTTCTTGAAGTCTTTGAACTTGCGTCACGTCCATATTTGGGATTTCGGCAGAGTCAACTTCATTAGAACTCTTTTGTCCAAGAGAAAGTTGCAATGGTTTGTTGACAAGGGATATGTCGGCAACTGGGACGACCCAAGATTCCCAACCATCAGAGGTGTCAGAAGAAGAGGTATGACCGTTGAGGGTTTGAGAAACTTCATCCTCTCTCAGGGTCCTTCCAAGAACATCATCAACATGGAGTGGTCCACCATCTGGGCCATGAACAAGAAGATCATCGACCCTGTTGTCCCAAGACATACCGCTGTTGACGCGAAGAATGCGGTGAAGGTTCTCCTTTCGAACGGCCCTGCCGAGCCTCAGACTGAAGAAAAACCAAAGCACAAGAAGAATGCAGACGTTGGTTTGAAGAAGGTCATTTTTGCCAAGAATTTGTTGATTGATCAAGCAGATGCTGCAACCTTCGCAGAAGGCGAGGAGGTTACTTTCATGGACTGGGGTAATGTCATTGTCAAAAAAATTCACAAGGACGGTGACATCGTGTCTTCTATCGACGCCGAGTTGCATTTGGAGGGTGACTTCCGTAAAACTGAGAAGAAGGTTACTTGGCTCGCTGACACCGACGATAAGGTGGAGGTTGAAGTTCACGACTTTGACCATTTGATCACCAAGGACAAGTTGGAGGAGAACGACAACTTCGAAGATTTCATCACCGAGAAGACCGAATTTGTTTCGACTGTTCTTGCTGACGTGAACGTTAGATCTTTGAAGAAGGACGACATTATCCAGTTCGAGAGAAAGGGATTCTTCAAGGTTGACGAGGGTCTTGACCAGGGTAAGATTGTGATGTTCACTATCCCAGATGGTAAGAAGAAATAGATATTCATAGTTTTCTAATAATGCACACTGATCGAGGAAATACAACCATATCTAGACCAGATACAAGAATCATATTTAGAAATATCTGGAACATCCTTCATAGTAAGATTTGAAGTTTCAGAAAACGGTAACAGTTTATCCTCTTCCTCGAAACAATAGAGGACAAAAAGTCTCGAAGAAGAAACGCCAAAGTCGAGAAGGTATTCTTGAAATGGTTGAATATAAAAGAATAATGCCGTACAATATACTTTCCATTTTCTTATAGAAAAGAATTCAGGAAAGCTAATCAGTAACTCAGATGGCTAACTCCTGCTCAGCGGTCCGAATACCTCGTTGTTCGAAAACACGGAATTCAAAATTCCTCCTTCTTTCCCCCAATCCAGTGGATATTGTGGCCAACTGCAACATGGGATTGTTGTCTACATTGCTCCTCAACGCCCATACCAGTACCACCTTTAAGAGCAGGACCGCGTCAACCAAGCCACGCTCTAAACGAGAGGCGCCACGGCCAAAGGTCAAGGAAGAATAGCAATAGAAGAAATCCAAATAAACATAACGAGGCTTTTCATGTGTTGGTGCAATTTTATGACGGAAACAGCACTCATCGAGACAGACACTCCTGGTACATGGTACCGAGAATGATATCGCGGCGATCTTTGTGGGGTAATAATACACGGTTTACAGCTCGAAGATCGTAAAATATGGCTTGCGTGTTCCTCGAGCACAATGTCAATTACAATGACAGAGTATCGAGAAAGGGGGTTACACATAGGTCTAGGCGCTTGTCAGAGTAGGTGCCATAAGAGGCCAAGCGACGATGGGAACTTGCGGCTCAATTCCCTGTGAAAGTGGCCCTACAGCATTGGTAACCCTGAGCCGTGACCAAAAGAGGAAGTTCGGCTTGGAACGTTCGTACCCCACTGAATAGCCAACCGAGCCATAAAACAAAGGTGTGTAGATTAGAGTGAAAAGCGAACATATTGACGCAAGATGGGTGCGCCAAATGAATTATGGGAATGCAATCGGTGCATCGAGGTGCGTGGGAATACACACTCCATGCATAACAGGGTCCCTCGTTCACAATTTTTCAGCAAGAGGAAATTGACTTCGACGTCATTCTAAGCCCTAAAGATCGGCGATAGATCGCCAGGGAAAGATTAAACTTTACTGTTGGTTAATCTTGCTGAATTAATCACATATGGCCGGAGCTCTTGATGGAATTCCGGTACACTTCAATGCAACATCATTGACCCTGGTATCAGCAATTCATCCTTACTAGTTTGGGAAGGTTGGATTCTTCTTCAGGAAGATATACGTTTACAAATACCCTTAAAGGGCTCTTGAAGGGAAGGCAGTCAATGGGAATGCAAGCACGGCAACCTCATCAATAATTCAGATAATAAATCATAAATTACAATCTAACGATTCTTTGTAGACCAACAATTCAGATTCACGATCACGATATTAAAACTACTCTTATAGTCATTTTAGGCAATCCTCACTTTCAAATCATTGTCGAAATGTATTGAGGTCATATTGTCGTCGAAAAAAAGGTGTGGCACGCCTTACTTGACAGCTGCATTTTGCAAATTCATGTTGTCAAACGACAATAGGCCAAAGCCCGAGAAGGCAATAAAAAGCCCAAAACATCAGAATGGATAGAGAAACAGAAGGCTTCTGGTAATACGCGCCGCTTCGGTGTAAGGTCTTTCTTTGTTGCCTAAAGATATATCATCCAGTAATTTCAGATCCTGGTATATTGTTGGAGAACGTTCGGAAAATAAACAAGAATGTTCTACAACAGCCACGATCAATAAGCCACGTAATGTAATTATCTAGAGGCTTTGTTGATTGAACTCTTGTTCACATTGGTTTCTCAACATGGCCTAGCCGATTCCACAACTGGCTTTCCACATTGTTGAAGTGATTCAGAAGTCTAGAGTTTCGAAAGATATGTTGAGCTGTAGCTAAAGGCCCCGCTTTTAATTGTATGGTTGGCCGGTCCAGCATGGTCATTACTGTCTTCTTTGCTGGACAAGTTTAGCGATTACATAATCTGAACAACCCGCCTGAAATGCAAGCCCCTAAAGCAACGCAAAACATATAGCAGTTTATCAAACTTCCTTCAAACACACGGCTATAAATCGAAATTTAGTTTGGGTAAAATTTCGCCAATTGGAATTAAGCTTACCTTGTGCACTAATCTAAGGTTTTAACTTTCCTCAACATTTTTGAAAGGAATGAGAGTCCATGCTGCAAGTTCGTTTACTTCAACACCAGTGGCTCTATTTTGGGTAACCGGCGTTTACATTCATTGGTGCAGCCCATTGATTAACGCTTTCATCAGTTGGCTTCTCCTCTTCTGAGACGGCAACCTATCAATAAGTCGTTGTTCTTTGTTCAACTTACGAACTCGGCAATATGAAGACAAGCTTCAATTCGCTCACTTTCAAAATATTCTCTTTTGTGTAGCTTCAGGATAGACGAGCAAAGCCTAGGTAAGACTCAGGTTGTACATCATGGCTGGACCTAAAGCCCCATTATCAAACGCGGAATCTAATGGAGGCAAGTGGTATAGCACTTCAAATTCACACTTTAATTACCATTGCCCGAAGTCGCTTTAGGCTCCATAGACAAAGTCTTTTTTTGGGCAACCCGGTTTCACATTGACTCTACCTTGCGACCAGCGAACTATATTTTTGGTACAATACATCTTGATGAAAAATCAGGCCCCAATGGGAAAACAGCGAGATGCAAGAATTCTGCTTGTGCAGCTTGCAGCAGTGCATGCCAATAAGCTGCCGCCTGAAAGCTGCACTTAGTCGAGGGTCCTTGTCAGTAAGACACAGAGGTCTTAGCTTTTTACCGAAAAAGTACGTCTCACTCACATGATGCACATGTTCGTTAGATCTGTCAAGGTTGGAGCGACGCGAATAACTGTACCAGGCTCTAGGCATTTTCGTAGAAGCTACACATCGTGTGACTAAAAATCCTCTACCTAAACGACATTTCGGTTAAACTTAGAGCATTCCAGAGTAATCCCAATTCGTAAATTACATTCCCCACGCAGCTTTTCTGGTGAACATACCAAGGAAGCCAATGCATGCTACTCATAACCATGCATAGACCTGCGTCTGTTTTCTTTCAACCCGCAGTTGTTTTTTTACTCTAGCCATATGGCTGCAAAAGTAAACCAGGTGCTATGTTAGTGGAATCACTTTGTTCTAATCATCCCCATTCCCGGCCTCCCACATATTCCCTTGCAATATTTAAATTCATCATCCCCAGGGATTTCTAGTCCTTTTTTTTTTTTTTTCTTTACATCCTTAATACCCAATATGCTTCCTCTTAATGTCTTGATGGCGACTTTGGCCCTGGTGGCCACTGTCAGTGCCAGGACAATTACTGGTAACACTGAATACCTGCAAAGCTGGGACTTTTCCTTAGGCCCTCTTACTATTGAGGAAGGCGTGTACCTCAAAATCAATAACAACACCCTTACTACCATTGGTGGTAACCTTGACAACAAAGGTGGTTTCTATATCACCTCCAGCAGCACCTTCCAGTCTGCTGTTGATATCACTTCAGGATCTATCCTGAACACTGGTGATCTTGCTTTCAGAGCCTTGAATGCTAACTTTGCTTCCAGGTACATCCTTAACAGTGTGGCCAGCTTTGAAAACACTGGTAACATGTGGTTCCAGATTTCGCAAGCAGCTTCAACTTCTCCATTTGCTGTGACTTCTCTTGCTAGCTGGAAGAATTCAGGTTTGATTTACTTCAGCCAAGAGAATGGCTCTCCATCCTCTGTGAGAATGAACCAAGCGGCTGGTGACGGTGTTAATGTCATCGAGAACACTGGTAATGTTTGTCTTGAAGGTACCAGATGGACTCAGTCTTCTAGTGTGCAAGGTGATGGATGTATCAGTGCTCTTACTCGTGGTGAAATCCAGTTGCAGGCAGCCGTCCTCAACTCGATTTTGACTTTCGACGAAGACCAAGCTATTTGGATGGAAGACACTACATCCAAGTTGTCTGTGACCGGATTGTCCGCTTCCCTCACTCATGTTCCTGTCATTGATGTGTATGGATTCGGAAATGCCAACAAGATTGAGGTCAACTTGGCCTTCAGCGGCCATGATTATGACGAAGAGCTGGGTATTTTGACTTTGAGCTTGGGACCTGGTTTCAGTGTTTCTTTCAACATTGGTCAAGGTTACACTACTTTTAACACGAATTCTAACCTCGGACTTTCCACTGAGATCTGGGCTAACTACCCTCCACCAAACGGTAAGCCAGACAGATGTGTTTGCAGAGAAATGCCAGAATTCCCGGCGAGGGTCCTTCCAGCTCTGAGCCACCCTCGTCTTCGGAGCCCACTGACGAATCGTCCACTCCAGGACCTGAAGAGCTGTCTACAACACCTGAGCCACTGATGAACTGTCGACTGCTCCTGAGCCTACCGACGAACTGTCAAGTGAGCCTCAACCAACTGACGAAGACTCTACCAGTGCCGGTCCTACTGACGATTCTACTGCTTCTGAACCCACGGATGACTCCACTTCCCAGGCCCCACTGACGATCTGACTTCTCAGCCAGGTCCTACTGATGATTCTACTGCTTCTGAACCTACCGATGACACTACTACTGCTGGCCCAACTGATGACACTACTACTGCTGGCCCAACTGATGACACTACTACTGCTGGTCCAACTGATGACACCACTACTGCTGGTCCTACTGATTCCGATAAAACAAGACCAACCGATGGACCATCCCTGAGTACCGCCCCTGGTGGCGGTGACAACGGTGGTGGTGATAACGGCGGTGGTGACAACGGTGGTGGTGACAACGGTGGTGGTGACAACGGTGGTGGTGATAACGGTAATGGCGATAACGGTAATGGCGGTGGTGGTGATAATGGCAATGGCGGTGACAATGGAAATGGATCTGGACCAGGAGGAGACGGCGACAACGGTAATGGATCTGGACCAGGAGGAGACGGCGACAACGGTGATGGATCCGGACCAGGAGGAGATGGTGACAACGGTAATGGATCTGGACCAGGAGGAGACGGCGACAACGGTGATGGATCCGGACCAGGTGGAGATGGTGACAACGGTAATGGATCTGGACCAGGAGGAAACGGTGACGATGGATCCGGTGACAACGGTTCAGGTCCAGATGACAACGGTTCAGGTCCAGGTGGAGACGGATCTGGAAATGGTTCTGGAGACGGTTCAGGCCCAGGCGGTGACGGTGCTGGATCTGGTAACGGTGGCGGAGCTGATGATGGATCTGGAGCTGATGATGGATCTGGAGCTGATGATGGATCTGGAGCTGATGATGGTGCCGGTGCTGGAGATGGTGCTGGAGATGGTGCTGGAGATGGTGCTGGTGCTGGAGATGGTGCTGGAGATGGCTCTGGAGATGGCTCTGGAGATGGCGCTGGCGATGGTGCTGGCTCTGGCTCTGGCTCTGGCTCTGGCTCTGGCTCTGGCTCTGGCTCTGGCTCTGGCTCTGGCTCTGGCTCTGGAGCTGATGATGGTGCCGGTTCTGATGATGATTCTGGATCTGGTCACATCTCCACTTACGAGGGCCTGGGAGCTAAGGCATCTGCTGGTATCCCAACAATTCTCGCTGTTGTTGCTGGTTTGCTTGCCTTGTAAGCAGATATGGTACTCCAAAACACAGCATTTTCTTTCGCTTTTCACTTTTGTTGGTTTTCAAGCATTCTTCAACATTTCATTCTTTTCGATACCAATATTCAACACAGATTGATCTTGTCCATGACGACACCCATACTTTAATGCAAGCTTCACTTCATGATATAATCCTTAAGTATGCAGCCAATTAAAGATAATTTTGATGATAATAACGAATTGTCCATGGTTCAATTCAACTAGATATGTCTCTTCTGTACTCTTCTAGGCCTCAATTGAAAGGGACAATATTGCCGCACAAAGTAGGACAATAAGTTTCAGGAACATTCACCTGGTGACCTGGTGGATCAATAAGACAAGATCTGGGTTGCCCGCTACTGCTGCTTAGGCAGATCATACCCAACGAGGAGCTTTCCTCGAGAGCCAATAGCCACTGTAAAACTTCTTCCATGAGTACGAAAGGCTTAATAGACATCTGGAAGGGTGGCAAAGTCCCGTTCAACGTCTGGTTCAACACAATTGCTGCAAAATCACCCTGAATCCCACTTGTTAGACGTTTTCCGCGGGTTTTGCTCAAAATTAAGCATCCCAGGCAACAAATACGTAAATAGGGATCAATTTGAACTAGTTACTAAAAGAATAGACCAATTTTGAACATTTGAGCAAACCTGACTTGGCAAAGTGCGCGCGCAAAATCACGTTACAGAAAGGAGGGTTGGCCGAGTGGTCTAAGGCGGAAGACTTAAGATCTTTTGGACGGTTGTCCGCGCGAGTTCGAACCTCGCACCCTTCATTATTTTTTTTTTTTTTTGCTTAGTCCTCAATTGCTATATTGATTCCAGCCTGACCACCTGAGCCGCAGCCGCGCACCATTCCGTCATAGTCAGTCCAGTTGGTGGACACTCTTGAATGTTGCAGTCAGTCTTAAGCTTTGTACAGTATATGGACAAAAGTCCATTCACAATTGCTAGCATACGCCCACCCCTCGATTGCTATACTGGGAAGTATATAAAGGGGGCAGTTTGTCGCCCCATAAAAGAAATTCTACCACCAACTTAAAAAAAACATTTCATAAAACAATGTCTCCTCAACCACACAAGATCTTCTACAAGGGCGAAGAACACGACTTTGTCATCTTCACTGAGAACCCAGACTTGATCCAAAAGTACAAGAAGGGTGACACCACAATTCCATTGGTTGACCTTGTGTCGGTGTGGAAGGTTTTCATCAACAGACAAGGAGGTGCTGATGGTATTTTGGATGAGGCATCCAGAAACGAATTGGAGAACGAGTTCGGTCCTAAGACCAAGGTTGATGATGCCATCAAGAAGATCCTAGATGAGGGCCAGGACAAGAGTCAGGTTGGCACCTTCGACGAGCAAAAGCCTGTGTAAGCCGTCTAGATCACGAAGTCATGATTCTATAAACAATAAAAATTATATCATATAAATTGCGATGCTGTAGTTTGGAGTGGGAGTGTTAGAGAAGTGGCAGTGTGGTGGGGTACCGAAAATCCAACCAACGGCTTCAGTAGGGTCAATTGGACTACAAGGGCAATCAAGAGAACTAGCTGAGAGTATCTGGACCAACCATTGAGCGCCATTGGCGTTTGTGGTCATAGTTTGTATTATGTTGGAGTAAGGTGACTGGCTGCAAACGAGCCACACCAGTGAGAAGTAAGTAGTTGAGGAAGAAGTGATGAAGATGAAAGAAAGGTTGAAAGGCCGAAACGAAGGTTAATTTCTCCTATAGAAACACTAGATTGCCAATTGATTAATTTTACCAGCTATTTCATGCTGGTATGGAGAATGCCTGGGTGGACTCTCCTGTGTACATCCCCCTGGTTAAGTATGTGAGTAGAACCCTGGAAACTGCGTAACCACTATCATTTAAGTATGAGTTCTAGGGCACTTCGAAGATTGGAAAGACAAAGAGAATCGGCTACTCCCGAGGTCGAGGAGCTGGCGTCTGATAATGAAGTGCAAAGAAAACCAGCAGTGAATCAATTTGCCTTCTTGGGTGCTGAAGGCGAAGAAGAGGTTGACGATAATGAGGAAGAGGAGGAGACAAAGGCTGAGGAGCAAGAACCAGCCGTTCCTGAAAAAGCTTCGGCTTCGAGAAAGAAAAATAAAAAGAAGAATAAGAAGAATAAGAAGCAGCAGCAGAAGGAGTCTGAGGAAGACGATGACGACTTGGACTCTTTCTTGGAAGAAGTCAGGAAGAGAGATCAAGCAGCTTCAAAGAGTGTATCAGTTGAAGCAGAAGATGCAGCCGAAGTTGATGATGACTTTGAAGCTGCTTATGACGATGAAGATCCTCCAATTGCTTATACTGCTGCTAATTACCTATACTTCACCACATCCAGGCTTAAACAGTCCTTACCTTTGTTATCGGTCAAGAATGTGAAGAACTTGGATCCTGATAACGAGCTTAAGAACCTTTTCGGTAATTTGAGTCTCGAGACTATTGATGACGCCAATAGTACCACGGCATTGTCTATATCTCCCGAAGTCTTGGCCCAGTTCAGGAAGATGGCTAGGCTTACAAGAGGATGGTCCGGAAAAGACCGCAGGAGTGTTCCCGGTACAGCAAGGAAACTTTTACTCTCAACTATCAAAGATGATTATCTTCCTACCGCTCAAAAGCAGGTCAACATGGAAGAACTTACCAAAGAAGATGTGGTGAATGTCTTGAGATACAAGGAGGAGGACGAGGGCTACGCTTTTCTTAAACTGAGAGTCGAAGCTGAGTCAAAACTTGGTATTCGTTACTTCAAATTCCTGAAAGTTCCATCTTCTTCTGATAGAATTGCCGATGCCAAATTCTATGCTTCCGTTGTGTTGACGCCGGATCCAGATGCCTTGATTCTGTTGCTTCAACGTCACCCGTACCATATTGAGGCACTTTTGCAGGTTGCCATGGTGTTCCTCAGACAAGGCAACAACAAAGCAACTAGTAATGCATTGGTCGAGAAATGTCTCTTCGTATTTGACCGTTCTTTCAACAAAAGGTTCCACGAGTTATTGCAAGATGGAAGATCTGAGCTTATCAGGCTACCTTACGAAACATTCACGAACAGACAGTTCTACCTATGTCTCTTCCGTATTATCACTGGTATGGCTGAGCGTTCCACATTTTTGACTGCCTTGAACTACTGTAAGCTTTTGTGGGGATTGTCGCCAGACAGTGATCCTTTGGGCGTCCGCTACTTTGTTGATCATTATGCTATTCTTAGCGAAGAGTACGAATGGCTTGTTAATGTCGCAAACAGTCCGCTTATTACTACTTACAGTTACTGGTATACCCCAGGCATTGCATTTTCCGAAGTGTTGGCGTTGCTTCACTTGGACAGAAAGGAGGAGGCAAAGAAGAGCTTGCGTAAGGCGTTTAGTGCACATACATACTGTGCCTACAACTTGCTCGAGACGATCGGATTGGCTTCTAATCTTCCATCGCTGAGCGACATCTCGAAGGGAGACTACATTGCTCTTTCTAGTGAAACATACCTCGTGAGAGCACCATTGCTTTGGAAGGAGCAGCTGCATAGACAATTCTTACACGATGAGTTACAGGCATTGTTCCAAGAGCATAAACTGCTGGGTGCCGGTTCATGGTTAGGTAAACTCTTCCCGCTGAAGCCGGATGACTCCTATATCCCAATCAACCTCATAAGATTTGCCATTTTGTCCGGAGAGAACAAAGTGCTTGCAAAGGTTCCAGAGAAGATCTTTGATAGGGACGATGTATTGGAGTACGACGTTCTTCCGCCTCGTGACGAAACTGTCTCCTACAACGCCATGACCGGCGTCGAGAAGTACGACGGAGTGACGGATACATTGTCACATCATCTCGACCCTTCGGTGTTGGAGTCACTTATCCAAAACCAAAGTGGAGCTCAAATGCTACTTGATTTGTTGGACATGGAACCAACAGAGCCCCAAGAGGGAGAGTGATCTAGCGCGATTGGCTGCAACATTGTCCGAAAGAAACCCTACAACAATGCAGTTGCGGAAAGTCCGGTCAATAATCTGGGCTAGCAATTAAGTCACGTCAAGAAATGCAGATTGTGATATCCCGGGCAATTTCTTTTCCCTATCAATCTGCCATTTCCCATTTATATAGAGCCATGCCGTTAAGGGTTGTACGACTCGTATGCGCGTGCGCATTGATAAAAACTCACCAGACCATCAACAGTGTCTGACTGCCACCAACAACTCAGCAGTAGCTCCTCGCCATGATTGCCATAGATTTCAATTTTGCTGAGGGCCAATGGCTGTACCATATTTCAACCACCTTCTTTGTGGGTGTCATCTTACCGCTTCTATATTACGTCTATGAAAAATACGTCACCTCCAGACCAAATAAGTACAACAAGCTCGAAGCACCTAAAAGACTCGTGTACCCCATTGCTGACGAGGCGAAGCCTCATTGGAAGGGTAAGAGATTATATCCACCAACGATTGGCTTACGTGTCCCAGGTGAGCCTTCCAAGATCCAGAGTTACTGTCCTGCAACGGCTCAGTACTTGGGTACTTTTGAATGTACTACCAGGAAGGAGATGGATGAACAGATCAAAAAGGCTGAGGTGGCTCAGAAGGAATGGGCCAAGTCAAGTTTTGTGGTAAGAAAACAGCTTTTGCGGACTCTTAACCAGTTTATTTTAGACAACCAACAAGACATCGCCAGAGTGGCATGCAGAGATAGTGGTAAGACCAAGCTAGATGCATCTATGGGTGAAATTATGGTCACTTTAGAAAAGATCAATTGGATTATTGCGCATGGCCAAAGAGCTTTGAGCCCATCTGCCCGTGCTGGGCCTTCATCTTTACTCATGGGCCTTATGAAGCATGCCGAGGTTCGCTATGAACCCATGGGAGTTATCGCAGCTATCGTGTCATGGAACTATCCTTTGCATAATCTTATCGGCCCTGTGTTGGCTGCATTGTTCAGCGGAAACGCTATAATAGTTAAGTGCTCTGAACAGGTGGTTTGGTCATCAACGTGGTTCATTGGTATGATCCATGCTGCCCTTCGTCTGCTTAACTTAAGTGAAGACCTTGTTCAGTTATGTTACTGTTACCCTGAAGACGCTGAATATTTCACTTCCCACCCAGGCTTAAAGCATATTACTTTCATTGGCTCGAAGCCAGTCGCCCAGAAAGTTCTACAAAGCGCTTCTACCGAATTGACTCCTTGCGTCATTGAATTGGGTGGTAAAGACTCTGTTATTGTCTTGGATGACATCGCTGACTACAAGCCGCTTTCTTCAGTCTTATTGAGAGGTACTTTCCAGAGCGCAGGCCAAAATTGTATTGGTATAGAACGTGTCATCTGTCTTCCTAAGGCCTATGAGAAGTTGGTTCCAATTTTGGAAGAAAGACTAGGCTCATTCCGTCTTGGCTCTGATATTGATCAGCTAGATGAAATTGATATGGGCGCTATGATATCCGATAATCGGTTTTCTGCTATTGAAGAGCTTATTGAGGATGCAGTTTCTAAAGGTGCCCGCCTTCTTGCTGGTGGTAAGCCATATCTGCATCCAAACTACCCCCAAGGCCATTACTTCGAGCCTACTCTCTTGGTTGATGTCGACACATCTATGAAAATTGCCAACACTGAGGTTTTCGGCCCTGTGCTCACGATGATGAAAGCAACAGACGCTGATGATGCCGTTAAAATCTCTAACAATACTGAATACGGTCTTGGAAACTCTGTATTTGGCTCCTCCTTCAAACAGTGTGACGAGATTGCCCAGAGACTCGAGTCTGGTAATGTTGCCATTAATGACTTTGCTACATTCTACGTCTGCCAACTTCCGTTTGGTGGAATCAAGAAATCCGGTTACGGTAAGTTCGGCGGTGAAGAGGGTTTGACAGGTCTTTGCAATGCCAAGTCTGTCGTTATGGACAAGCCACTCTTGAGACTCCTTGGAGTCAAGACGGCCATTCCTCCACCAATTGACTACCCTATTGCTGACGATAAAAAGCATGGGGATTCGTCAGCGGGCTCAACACCGCAAGTTACGATTCAAGATTCTGGAAGATTGTGAACGGGTTTAAAAAATTAGCCAAGGGCGGTGCCTGAGGCAATCTACGATGCACATAGACTAAAAACGTTTAATAAAAGTAATCACCGGGATCGCAAGTAAGCACAAGCTCACCAACTAGCGAATGTATGAATGAGAAGTAAATCATCTATGTTGTTCAAGCATTGGTGTGCAACTCAGGAGTAGGGTTGGCAGCAGCGTCAATCAACACCTTAACAACATCCTTCTTCTTTTGCTGGTATTGCTTCTTGATGTCTTGCAACTCCTTCTCAACCTGAGCATCAGCATCCTTCTCAATGGAATCGTTCAAGCCAGCATGATCGTCCTCGTACTTCTTCAACTGTGCTTCCTTTTGTTCCTTGTACTGGTCAATTTCCTTCTGAGCATCCTGCTTGGCGGTCTTCAATCTGGCCGTTCTGTACTTTCTGGCCTCATTGACAATCTCAGCGGCCTCCTTTTCCGTCTTTAACAATGATTGAATGCTGGAAGACATTTTATTCTAATGAACACTTGATCGTGGTACTGATAGGTGCTATCTGCGGTGGCCTCAGATTAGTGAACATTCGAATTTTGGTCACATGACCAAACGGCCTCTACGAAGTAGTACATTTTTTTTGTTGTCTTTTCGCAGCCATTTTTTATATAATACAAGATTTCTATGTAGCTCAATACTCCAGATCGAGTATGAGCCAATATTATTTATGCAATTATTCGGCGTAGTAGCCTTCGGCAATGTAACGCAACATGTACTCATCGATGTGTCCCACACCTTCGTCATAGTCAGCGTCATCCAAATTGCCTCCTTTAACTCCACGAGGTCCCTTGGCCTTGGGGTCCTCTTTATTCTCTTCGTTAAAGTCTTCATCATCAACAGCGACTTCTTTCATGGCTTCCTTAGCAGCGTTACGATCTGCCTCGTCTTCGGCTTGTGCCAAGATGTCCACATTAGCACTGTCACCAATTGGGTTGTCGGGTAAGTCTGAAATAATGCTGGTGTCGCTAACCAAGTCTCTCACAGAGAACTTACCCAAGTAGTCTGTCGTGAACTCACCCTCTTGAATAACAACGTTATCCAATTGCCTCTTCTGGTTAGCCTTCTTCAAAATGTTGGATTCGATAGTGTATTCGGAGACGAAACGGTAGATGTGAACGTCTCTCAGTTGTCCAATTCTGTGACAACGGTCCTGACATTGTTTATCCATAGCGGGATTCCAATCTGAGTCATAGAAAATAACGGTATCGGCACCTGTAAGATTGATACCAAGACCACCGGATCTTGTGGATAAGATGAAAACAGGAATTCTAGGGTCTCTGTTAAACTTCTCTGTCAATAATTGACGATCTTCAATTTTCGTAGCACCGTCCAAACGCATGTACCTGTGTCCGTGAATGTTAAGGAATTGCTCCAAAATGTCCAACACTTTAGTCATCTGAGTGAAAATCAATGCTCTATGACCCTTTGGAATCAAATCTTGCAACAAAGCAGCAAGCTTTTGTAATTTACCACAGTCAAACTGAAGAAGTTGCTTATCTGGGAACGCGATCGAAAGTTTGACTTGAGCCTGATGGAATGGGTTGGTAATTGCCTTCTCTTGGACTCCTGAGCGAACAGCATATTGAGTTTCCACAGGGATAAGTTGATCCTTCATATCAAGAGCCACAACACTGGGCGTCACAACACCGTACTTCTCAATCGTATCCTTCATAATCTCAGCCCTCTTTGGTATGTCGTAGATCATGGATTCGAATAACTCGCAACGAGTCTCTGTGTAAGCACCCTTCAATCTATCGAGCACCGTCGCTCCATAAAGAGGGATTCGAGAACACCTCAAATTGTTGAGGTATAACCAATGCTTCAATCTGTCCCTGTGTTCAATCTGCTCTTGCAACTTCAAAAACTTGTTCAACTGAACGACGTCTGTGTAACTAGGATCTTGCGCTTCCTTACCCTTGGCAATTATGTCGTCGAGATATTGAATCTCCTTCTCTATCTCCTTGCTTGACTTCAAACGCTCACGTCCTTCTGCAGCAAACCAATTCAAGTCGTCACTTCTGGTGACATCCAAATTAAGGACAGAAAAGTTAGCGTTCTTACCAGGGGCATCGGCCAAAAGTCTTTTGACAGTCAGATCCTGGACCTTGAAAGTATTTGATACATTCCTAGGAACAGCGAAGGAGGTGACAATAGGACGAACTTCGAAAAGATCAGGATGATTGCAGACTTTTCTCAATTGCATCAAACAATTGATGATGGAAAGGAAGTTTCCTGAAACCAAAGTCTCCTTTGTTTTAGCTCGTGACATGAAATCGTCATATAAATATCTTTGACGTTTTGACAAACGGCAGTAGACAATATGCTCATATTTGCCAGGCATCTGCTTCTCAACATCTTTCTTAAGACGTCTTAAAAGGTATGGACGCAAAACCTGGTGCAATCTTGCTACCGTATTCTTTGTCTCTTCGTCCAAGCGACCAGTCACATTCTCATCCATGACATCTCCCGTACCAGTTTTCTCAAGAATTTTGTCCACTGGTTTACCGAACCACTGTTGAAAGTCTTCAAAATTAGCAAAGCCGTCAGGCATCATCTGATCCACCTTTGAAGATGGCATAAGGAAGTACAACAAAGACCATAACTCCATAAGATTATTTTGCAATGGTGTACCGGTAAGCAACAATCTATTCTCTGTGTTGAAATTGAGCAAAGCTTTCCATCTGTTGGAACGGAAATTCTTAATGTTGTGAGCTTCATCCAAAATCATGTATCTCCACTTACGACGCTTGAATGAAGAATGGTCGTGCACAACTAACTGGTAAGATGTGATACAGACATGGAAGGTATCTATCTTGTTCCAACCCTTCCTCTTCCTAGCTCTTTCTTGTGGAGAACCATAATATGTCAACACTTTAAAACCAGGAGCAAACCTTTTGAACTCCATTTCCCAATTAAGCATCACGGAAGTGGGTACAATGATTAAATGAGGTCCCCAAATATGATGTTCACATGCAAGGTATGAAAGTAATGCAATTGTTTGGATAGTCTTACCCAATCCCATCTCGTCAGCAAGAATACCATTAGTGTCATTGTTGTACAAACTGGCGAGCCAGTTGAGACCTTGCTTCTGATAAGGACGCAAAGTACCTCTGAGTAATGATGGAACAGGAACATCCTTGACCTTGAGACCATTGATTTCCTCGATTTTCTCCTCCGCAGTGGGGGTCTTGGGCTCCTCGTCTTCAACTGTTGAACCTTCACTTTCTCCTTCGTCGACAACCTTATCTTCGGAAGGTTGGTTGTAGAGCGAAGCAAGACCTCCGGAGTTTGCACCATCCTCACTCTCGGACATGCTCACATCTTCTTCCTCCGATTCAGATGAACTCTCCTCCGTCATCAGATCGTCTGATTGCTCAGACTCAACGAGTCTCTCGTCTTTTTCATTAGCCATATCGGCAATAAGCTTCTTCTGATCTTCAGTGTATTCAGCTGGAGTGGATGGCGTTAATTCCTTGACATCTTTACCATACAATGCAGCAAGACCGCCCGATTCCTCACTAGATTCGACCTCATCTTCATCAGCTTCTTCTTCGGTCTCCATCCGCGATGATGCTTCGACAGAGCTTTCCATGTCTGCATACTTCTTCTTCAACTCTTCTATGGTACACTCACTGTCTGGTTTGTCAAAAGCATTAGAGTCCAGGTCACCATCAGAATCTGATTCTGATGATGAGAAATTTTCGGAGTCCTGCTCCTGCTCATCGTCATCATCATCTGAATCAGCTTCACCGGCAGTAGTGTTCTCTTCGGACTTATTGAGCTGGGCTTCAAGAAGTTGTGTGGAGTGTTCGAGCATTTTACTCAAGTGCTCCCTGCCTTCTCTTTGTTTGAGCTCTTCTTCCTTTTCATGTTGAATATGACGGTAAACCTTATGCGCTTGAGACCAACGCTTCTTGACGGATTGAATGGCGAGACGACTGATCTTCTTAAGATTTTGCTCGCGTTCTTTAGCTAATCTCTCTTTCTCACCTCTCTTTTTTCTAAAGTGCTGGTCGACCATCTGGGCAACTTTTCTAGCTCTAGCTTGATGCAGCCTCCTCATTTGTTGATGAATCTTAGAAAACGAGGCTCCCTGTTCGACAAAATAGTCCTGGAAAGTCTGATCATTTGTAGCTCCCTGTATCTTTGGAGCAATGCAACCGGTGTCCCTAAAAGGATCGGAGTAAAGTTTCTGGTTTGAAACGTTTGGAAGCATTACCTTCCTTCTTTCAACTCTGTCACCATTAAGTTCGAAACGTTCCTCAACTGCAACCTTTTCATATAAACGTTTTAGGAGATGACGTTGATTGTCAAGTACAGTCTCATACTCTTCAGGAGTATTGCCATAGTCTGGATTGGTGTCATCGACAATAGGGGCCTTGAATTTTTCGGAAAGGAAAGTGGAGAGCTTGTTTTCGACTGTAGGAACATGGAAGTTGTCGTTGTTACTTGCAATGACCTGAAGAGGCTCAGGGTCGTAGGGAGTGATTTCTCTCTGACTGTCGCCACTTCGTATGTCATTCTCATTACCTTCCAGAGGACGCCACAGAGGGATATGGGATGGATGCGTAATTTTGATGGAAGGAACGGTGAAACTTATCTGTTTGAGCTTGTAGTTGGTGTTTACGTCCATATCATACTCTTCCTCGGACTCCTCCTCCTCTGCTTCTTCTGCAGGCGCTGAATCGGAGAGCTCCTCTTCAGACTCAATCTTGGGAGTAACTGGAGCCTTCTTTTTGCCTTGCTTTTTGGTCGCTTTAACAGGAGGGGCATGTTCAACTGGTTTACGTTTGGAAGTTGCACTGCTGAAATCAAGCAATGAAGTCTCTTTGCTAGTACTCTGTTCAATAACAGAATCCATAAAAGGATACTTTGTTCGAAGCATCTCTTCTCTTTCCATGATCTTCTTCTTCTGCAAACGTAGTGGTATATCATCCATGTTTTCGAGAGATGATTCATCCCATATAAGTTTATAGTCATTCTGATTGATGAAATATTCTAGAATTTCAGGAATCTGGTCGTTGAGTGCCTGAGAAAAGTCTCTTGGCTTCCATTCAACCAAGGACCCGTACTCTTTTAGCTGGAAGAGCTCGTTCAAACTAAGGTTGAAATCAGTGATTGTATCAACGAGATTCTGTTCCAAACCTAAATTTTCGGACTTAACTTCCTCTATCTTAGGTTTTTTATTTGGATTCGCCTTGCCATCGCCATTTATGCTTCGTTTTGAGGCGTTGAGTTGATTTGAGTAATCCACAGTGGCACCTCTTGTGCTCCTTTTGGGAGGACCCAGAGAAGACTTGTCCGGGCTGACCCTACTTCTGCCATGCCCATTCGATACCATATTGTTGATCGTACGGACGAGAAGGTACAAGTCTAGATAGGCGTTGAGGAGGTATGTTCAAAATGTTTATCATGAAAGAAGAGACGAGTAGGTGTTAAGTGCAGGAATATCTCAGGGTGGAGTCTTCCTACTGATCGGACCAAAGTGGCACCAGGGAAATAAAAGGTGAAGGTGGTAGATTTTTCTAAAACTTAACCTCTGCTTGAAAAGATGGTTATGCAAAAATGATTCTTATTTTTTTTTTAAACATTCTTCGTCTTCCATTCACTATATTCAGTTGGTTAGGGCTAATTGCTGCAAAACACGCGAAAATGGGTACTGTGAGGAGATGGTGCCGCAAACCTGGAAATGAGTAAATTTATTTATCTAACAAGAAAAGTGTGAAAAAATGAAGTTCATAATTGAAAAAGACAATTGGAGCTGGAAAGAAAAAAGGTGTAAAATGTGATATGGACTATCTTAATTTCTTAGCGACTAAGCTTCGAAATCCCATGGCTACATCCAGAGCTGGTTTGGCTCATTACAAACGTAATGTATCTCTGAAATATTATATGCTTTAATCTAGATGTGTTTTCTACATCTTACATCAATCCGTTTCTTTATCCGTTTTCGTGTTTATTATATGCTATGAGTCGTTATGATACAATCAGGCTTTGATAAAGTCAGCATTGGCCTTCTCATATGCAGCCTGCTGGGCCTTAACGTCAGCGTCATCGGGCAAAGTACCGGCCTTGGCGGCAGTCTCATCCGTCTTGACTTTGTAGAAGTAGTCGGTCTGTTCAGAACCAGAACCCAAGTCCTTGGCCAAACCGTTGTATGGGTAAGCTCTAGGCATGGCTGGCTTTTCTGGGTTAAGTTCAAAGAAATAAATACCAGCGGCAATGGCAAGAATGGTGGAGAAGAAAATGGCGTTGTGCTTCAAGGCAGTCTTGTCAGAGACGAACAGGAAGTGGTCTGGGGACCACATGTCGTACATGTCATCGTTGATATTCAACTTGTCACCGTAGTTTCTTCTCAACTGAGGGAAGTCGTACTTGGCGTATGGGTCCTTGTATTGGGCAAGCTCAGGCTTTGGGTTTGGGTAGTCTGCAATCTCTGGGTGAGCTGGGTCGGTCAATTTGATCACCTTGCCAGTAGCGTGGTCTGTGATTGTGGTTTCAGTGGTCAAACATCTGATGCTAGCAGGAGAGACACGTGGAAGCCTCGCAGCAGTTCTGAGACCCAATCTTGACAACATTTGGTGTGGAAAAGTGTCAGTTCTAGGTTGTGAAGGTGAATGTATGAAGGTGTTTTTCTGCCCAATTAGAAAAAGGTCAAAAACAATTCGGTTGCGCACGACCTGAAATATTCCATACTAGAGAAGTCAGGGACATGGAAGAAGAGGTCATTGGAGAGAAATTAAATTATAATTGGTTTTAGGTGAAATTTCAACCGCTTGGGTTGCTAAAGGTTCATATTGGCTCCCCTCTCTACTGGTAGGTCTAAGTGTCTTTATATTGACATGCTAAGTACTGTTTCCTAATCTTTGTATAAATATGCATTTTGTAAGGTTGTAATGGATCTCCACGTTCATCTCTCTACTTTCTCAATTGAGGCTCTCCGAATTTAAGCTCCTTCATTGGAGACTTTTCAGAGTCAGCAAACTCCAAAATACCTTCAAGGCCTGGCATGTTAGATCCAGTGTACTTACCCAAGTAACCGAAAGCAACAAAGATAGGAGCGAAAGCGAAAAGAATGAAAGAGTTCTTAGCGTTCCAGTACAGGTGGATTGGAGGAGGGTTGATGTTGAAGTTGTACTTGTTGTTGAAAGGAGCAGACTTGACAGTCTCAGTGGCATGGCTGGCATGCGACTGGAATCTCTTGGACATGCGAGAGGCGGCACGAAGACCGACTGATCTGGACAACATGGTGGGGGGAATGTGGATGTGTGTTGATGAGATCTAAAGGTAGATTGGGTAATACGATTTTTGAGTTTTTTATTGGTGCACCATTTGTTGGTAGTGCGTATGCAGGTAACTGGCTCTTCTTCATGGTAGTGGTATACCGAAGCCCACCAGAAGTCTGATTAATCTTTTATAATGAATAATTGTTTATCAAAATTTTGAAACGAGAAGGGTTGTATTTAGAGTAAAAGATGGTATCTGTTTAGCGGAGTCTATAGATAGGTATGTTCGAACATCAATCGCATTTTGCAGCCAGGCGGAATTGCATAGGCTGATGAACGAGATGCTTCAACTGGCAATTGCCCAGATTCATTGGTTTGTATTTTAATTTTTATGCCATTTTCTAATATTCTTTTTGTAATTAGTAAAAAACTACCCTTGACAAATTTCATCTCAGTGTACTCTTTTATGCCTTCAAGCATCAACACATTACGCTCGTTAATTCATTTCTAAGAAAGCTGATGACCATTCAGGATCTAGTCGTTCAACTGTTTTTTTTTTTTTTTTCACTTATGGTGAGTCTTTTTGAGTAAGCAATGGATGGATATTGGTGCCAGTAGAACTAGTGGGTGCAACTTTGGCTGCGAAAAGCTGTAGACAACCTCCAAAAAGCTCATCGAAGGCCATGAGAAAGAAAGAAAGAACCATGCTTATTTGCAAAATACCTAATATCCCTCCAGTGCTTCTTTTCAAGAACCTTGTTTTCCCATCATTTACTGTCAATTAGTACTTCTTATCCATAGCTACATCTTCATCGACCTGTGTGCGACTCGCTTAACATAGACGCACATCAGAAGCAGCTCCATCAGTAAAGCCCCAAACATGTCTTACTACCAAGGCAGTGGCCACAGACAAGGCGCTGATCAGTATAGACCTTCAGATTCACAGAACCATAACCAACATGGTGGCAGAAGCAACTCATCGCGTGGAAGGTTTCAGCAGTACGAAAGCCGTGGATCTCATTACAGACCTGGTCAAGGCAGAGGTAACTACCAAGGAGGACGCCCTGGACGTTTCCAGCAACAAAGACAAGGAGGGAGCCATCTGGTGTACTCTCAAGCACCACCTGATACTCAATTATGGATGGGTGATCTCGATCCCAATTGGACAGAGGAGACTATCAAGAGTCTATGGAATCAAGTTGGCGAAACACCTACGGGAGTGAAGATTATGAGGGATAAAATGGGAAACTCTCTGTACTGCTTCGTGAACTTTGCTAGTCCTCGAGAAGTTGCCAATGCTATTCAAAAGAACCAGATGCTGGTCCCTGGTCATAACCGTCACTTTAAGCTCAATTATGCTTCAGGTGGTAACCGCCCAGACCAGTATGGCTCTAATCCACGGGCTGGCCCAGGTCAGAAACATGGTGTTTATTCCCAGAATGAGTGGTCGGTCTTTGTGGGTGACCTTGCCACTGAAGTTACCGAACCAATGTTGTTCAACCATTTCAATAAAGACTACCCAGGCTCTGTGCGCCAAGTCAAGATCATGATGGACTTTACTAACAGGGTAAGTAAGGGGTTCGGGTTTGTCAGGTTTAACAACGAAGAAAGCCAACAGCATGCATTACAAAATATGAACGGGTCAGTGCTAGCAGGCAGAGCCTTGAGGTTGGGCCAAGCATCTAAGAGTGATCCGCCAGATTCTAAAAAAGCAGGTACTGAATCAGGTGTACCTTCAACTGTAACATTAAACCAATACCATCCACCATTGGGTCCATTTACCGATCCAAATAATACTGTCATTAAAGTCAAGGGCATCACTCCAGCCATAACACGAGATGAGCTACTTGGCCACTTCCTACCCTTTGGCCATATAGTATATTGCAAAGTCAACTACAGAGAAAACGTTGCTCACATCAAATACTTGTTAAGACGTGATGCTGAATCAGCCATGCTATATATGTATGGGTTTGTTATTAACAAATGCCGTGTTGCGCTTCGATGGGGCCGGGAAGAAAAGACCGACACCGGCAAAGTTGGTTTTAAGCCAGTTGACAAGTCCGAAAAGTACTCCGCTGCAAAGAAAGCCCCGATTATAGTGGGTAATCTTCCTTCAAACGTGGTTTTCGAGGACTTGAGCAAGGAGCAAATCGACGCCTTGGAGTTTCATAGTAACGAGGAATTCTCATCAGTTGCTGAATATGATGAAAGGGAGAAGCAGCGGAAAAAGGACCGTGATGATTACCTAGACCTGGCGTTTTAACTAAAGCTTATGATCATCTTCTGTTGGTCCAGGGCAATTCGCAGCCATGTCTTCTGCATCATCGTACTGAACCAGACAAAAAAGGCAATAGAAAAATTTCAGTCGAGAGAATGCTATGAGGTCTGAGAGCTGGGCCAGCAGCTTCTTTTCGTCAAACTCTGTCAAGCCAAAATCGGTCTTGTCCTCAGATTCCTCGTCTTGATCGATCAAGACCCTCTTTCTCTCCAACGGCGCATGGACAGACAGTATTGCCAATGAGCGCCAAAGGGGATTGACTTCGAGTGCTTGGTCTACATTGTCTATCTTATCATCGTCCCCAGACGCCGTGAAACAAAACTTCTGAAGCTTGTGAACTGCATTCGCTGCTTTACGTTCTTGCAATTCCTCCAGTCGTTTGCCGATAAACTGTTCAGCCCCAGTTTCCGTACTGATCTCAGGGGGTAGTTTGATTCTTGATGTGGCACCAATTCCCAACCTATCCTGTTTTGGCACAACCTTGATCGGTTCTTTATGAGCATTGTCAGAGCTACCCAAAGCCTCACCAACCTTAAATCCCATCTTTTGCATAATAGAGAGTCCTACCGAACCTTTGTCAAACAAAGACGTGTCTAATGAAGCCCGTGGCGATGGCTCTTCCTTGGGCATGCTTTCTTCACCAACCTCAAAGCTCATATAATCATCACTGGGAACCTTCTTCTCATCTCCGAGATTCAGCTTAACACCGATCTTCAATTTCTTGACTGGCGGTTTAGGAGCTTCATTGTCACTGCTGTCGTCATCGTCAGTCCAACCAAATGCATTTTTCATTTCAGAAGCTCATTGTTGGTATGGATGTATCGAACACTGCTTCTTTCACAGACTAAGGCCTTAAAGTGCGAACTGCACTCGCAGCGACAAAGGTAACCTTCACTACAACAACCGCTCGCTACTAAACAAGTAGTACACGCTCCTTTCATGCTACCTCATAAAAACAACCAATCAACCAACTCGGTTCCGATTTCCCGTGTTGGTCTGTCGGCGAAGCTCAATCATTTGAATGTACCGGGTCTGAACAGCCGACCAACGTCAAGACCCAATACACCTAGTTCATATGTGACTTCGTCGCTAAATCCAACGAGAAATATTCCAGTCACATCGAATTCCATCAATTCAAAGATAAAGAACCAAGAAGAGGCTGCTCTATTTGAGGCACTCCCGATTACTAGCAGCATTCGAGACTTTGAGAACGAGTTAGTGGAACTTTCGCTGAGCATATCATCATTCAAAGAGGAAAACATACCAAGTCATGTTGAAAGACTTATACAGATAGACAAGACTCTTTCATCGGAGCAACAGAACCTTCGGAAACATCAAGAGTTGGGCGTGGAAATCGAGACGCTTCTGAAAGAAAACGAAGATTTAAGCAAGGAAAGCAGCCGTTTCCTAAAAGAATTAATAGCGTGCCGTGCTGAGTTGAAGAAGCTTCCGAGACTACCGGCTGCCCAGACCTCATCAAGGTCTTCTAGACTAAAAGAGATTGGCGTACAAGAATTGCTCGACTATTCTATGACATTAGCCAAGTTCTCCAAAGCTCCCACAACAGCTAGCGGCCAAATGCCACATCCTAATAATTTCATTTGGCCAGCTGAGGACGCATTGAGAAGAGGACTTCTTGCCTTGACGTCCCTAAAATCGGATGAGGTGATCAGAGCAGAGCTCGGTGAACCAGAGGCAGAAGCCAAAGAAGAGAAGGAAAAAGAAGAAGACGATGATATAGAAATGGAAGACGTGCAAGACATGAGTGCTCCTACGACAAAGGTGCATAGGGAAGAGCATGCTCCAAGAAAAATTGAGGTCAACAAAGCGCCTCAAGCGCTCAATTTGGATCTCTTCGATGGTGATGATTCAGACGATTCAGATTAAATATATACATAATACAGCGGAGGCGTCTCTAGAATTTAGTGAACAACTCACTTGGATGCTTGAAAGTGTCTGTGGTGTACTTCTTAGACAACAACCAGTCCACCTCTAATTGTTTTGAGTAAGGGCGACCAGACTCGATATGTTCCTTGACCAAGTCAGCCAAACCGGAGATAAACTCTTCATCGTCGTTAAACGAAGAAGCACGCTTGATGATTTTAGGGTTTTTAGCATCCTCCATAAGCTCAATGTCCAACTCATGCAAAGTTTCGATGTGGTCCGAGGTAAATGCAATAGGAACCAAAATGAGGCCCTTGACTTCATCCTGGAGCTCCAACTTTTCCACTATACTCGTTGTCTGAGCGCCCAACCAAGGCTTAGGGCCCACTTTCGATTGCCAGACCAAGCGGTAAGGGTTCTTGAACTTCAATCTCTCCATCACAGCATAGACAGACGCAGCAACTTCGGCAGGGTATGAATCACCACGGTTAACAATCTCCATAGGTAACGAGTGAGCAGAAAACAAAATGATAACCTTGTCTCTATCTTCAGCAGGGAACTCCTGGAGCTTATCGTTGATGAATCTGGCGAACGGGCTGACCAAACACTCGGCCTTTGGCCATCTGTCCAAGAAAGTCCACTTGATAGTCTTCTCAGGATCGTAAACCTTCTGTTGACGGAACAATTCGTGCATTGACGAGGCAGACGTGGAGCTCGACCATTGTGGGTACTGAGAGAAGGCCACAGCCTTGGTGACACCATCTTCTTTCATCTTCACTAGCATATCTTCAGTCAATGGTTTGGCATATCTGAAGGCAACATACGGTTTATGTGGAGCCAGCTCGGGCAGAATCTCGTCTAATCTTTTGCAGACTCTCTCACACTGGTACTCTGACCAGTATCTGATAGGAGATCCGCCTCCGATCTCGTCGTACTTTTCTTCAATGCTCTTGGTTCTCATTTTGGCAATCACCTTACCCATGATGTTCTGGAATGGTCCAAGTGGAATAAGATCCTTGTCCGAGAACAAACGCTGGAGGAAGTCATTGGTTTCATTGGACTTATTTGGACCTCCCATATTCATGAATACCACGCCGGTGGCGTTGTTGGCTGGAGATCCAGCGGCTGTAGAGTTCCATCTGAGCCGACCAATGGACGCTCTGGCAATTGATCTGATCATATAGGGCTTATTTTCAAAATTAAACTGGTGGAAGTGTTAGAATCAGTAAAGGACTTGTTAATGTAAAGATGGGAACTTAAGAGTTCAAGCAGATATTAGCGTTTTTTAAGAGAGTACATCACAAGATGGGCCGTTTGCTCTTTATGCGCGAGGTTGCTGGCCTGCACGGCCCAGAATGTTGCGTATTACACATGAGAAAGGTTTACAACGGTTGGGTGCGAAAAGTAAGGTTAGTACGACACAGGCTGGGCTGAGCTGAGTGAGGTAAACGATCGCGATAGGTTGAACGAGGCAATGACGTCAGGCCTTGCTTATTCGTCCTTTTCTGCCTTCTTCTTTTTTTTCTCTAAGGTTTGCTTTTGCTCCTCGAAGATTCCTTCGATCTCGGTGGTGAAGTTGTTGTAGGCATCTTTCAAGTCCTTGATATCATGCTCGAGGCCCTTGCGATCTTTGAAAGATTCCCACGCTAGCTGGAGCTCATGCATATCTTCTTCGAGCTCTTCTTTAGAGAGGTCTTCTAGGTCGTCTATCGATGGAAGACCAAGCGTTGGCATAGTGTACGATCCCTCTCTCTTGAGCACTTTGCCAACGGTTTGGTGGATCTTCGAAGTTTCATCTGGCGAGAGCACAGCTGGTTTCGCCTCTTCCGCCTTCTTCTTGTCAGCAGGTTTATAACTGGCCAGATGTGACTGGCAGAATCCAATGACATTTTTACTGAATGGACCCTTGAAAAGGAATAACGTTCCAGCCACACCAGCTATGACGTAGAAGTAGACAGTGTTCCAGCAATAAAGCGACGTCTTGAAGTCCAAAATGACAAACGGCTGCACAATAAATCCAAACGCCAATTGGGTTACAATATACGACAAGACATCGTAGAACTTCTTAGAACTCTTGGGTGTTTTACCATCGGCCTCCAAGAACATTGGGCGGATGTTTCTGCGGTAAAGCTTACCCATAGTCTGCAAGAATGCACCCATGACGAAAGTGAGGTAATAGCCAGGTCTAGTACCGTGCCAGGCAGCACTAGTAGCGAAGGTGCAAAGCGTACTCTTGAAACCAGGCTTCTTTCCAGGTCTAGCCAACCTCACGTAAATGTAATGCTTCAACCATTTGTTGGTGTTCATATTCCAGGCTTCAAGACATGTGTGGACGTTCTGGCCAGTCTCAAAGGCAAGAGGGTCGATGTTTTGAACCCTGTCCCATCTGAACAGATCGGTCTCTGCATCATACCCATTGTAGCCAATTCCACACAAGATACAAGCACCTTCAGCAATCAGCCAAATAGTATAGTACTTGAGACGGTAAGTGAGTCCCAAAACCCACAAGTAGAAAATTCTGAAGAAAAACGACTTATCAGTGACAAAGCCCAGATCGAGTGCATAGTCCAATGAAACAATTTTTGGCATCACAATAAAGAGCACTGCCCAAAAAATACCTTCGAGCACTTTGGAGAGAGCTTGCTTACCTGATCTGGGAATTCTTCTCTTACGTTTGCCTGGACGCTTATCTTCAGGGACATCGTCAAACAAGGTAGAATGGATGAACTTGTCATAGTCAATGTAGTCAAACGCAGGTCCAGTCAACAAGGAAGGATAAAAGAAGACGTATCCAAGGTAAGGCAAGAGATTAGGGTGTTCCTTAATAACCCTGGCTCTCGTATACTCAGTCAATTGCTCCTTGGGCACTTTGGCATCGTGCACGTTCCATCCAAACGCAGAAAGCTTCATCACCATGACCATTTGAGCACCAGTAATGTCAATCACCGTAGCATCATAGTCGTTGAAGAATTGCAAAATAACGTGCGTGGAAAGCAAGTGGCCCATCAAGAATAGAAAGTTGATCCATGGCATCGAGTCTGACTTCAAGTACCTGGTAATGACATAAGTACCCATTGAGGAGATCAACAAGGACCTCAATCCCGAGCCCAATTCACAAATAACAAAGACATAGAACGAAGAGACGGCAATAATGTACCAGTTCTTAGCTGAATAGTTGTTGTCAGGAAGCCTCTTGAAGATGATACTGAAGGGAAGGACAAAGCAGTAGTAGTGAGGATCTTGATGTTGGCCTCGTCAAGTCCAGAAAGCTCCAGGAGAGCAGTTATGCCCTCGTGCACCTTGCCAAACACCATTGGTATTATGAATCAGGAATAATTACCGGTAGTATTGCGGTGTTGATTTCTCTTGATGACTACCAGGAGTGATGTGAGAGCGCATACAGAGCAAGAAGCGCGAGGGGTTAATCGTAATAAATTAATACACAATGTACATGCTTGTTTTTGAGATCGTGTTAAGCTTCTCTTGCGGAAGCCATTTTGTAACCAGCTTCGAGGGCTTGCGTGATGCTATCGTTTTTGTAAGGAATTGTGGTTAACACAAAGGCAACGTCGTTCCATTGCTTCTCCGTTTCGCTCTTCATCAAACGTACCAAAAGCTTCTCGGAGAGCTGCTTCTGGTGCTTCTCTTTGTCAATGTATAACACCAAGAATTTGATGATACGTTTCATAGCTTCCTTGGATAAACTGTCGTCGTTCGAAAGGCCACTGAAGATATCAATGAATGCATTGTAGATGGCATTATCCTTGGTAGCCAATTCTGTGAAGAACAACCGACACATGTCGCTGATGCCCTGGTCGGGGTTTTCAAGACACTTGGCCATTGACGAAAGCTGACCCTTGACCTTCACTTGGCCCGCCAAGATCAAGAAAGTAACGGTCATAAGACATGTACGTTGGACCATAAGGTGATCATCAGTAAGACGACGGTAGAGGAAATCGGTATTCTCGTCCACCAAGTTGTTGAAACAGACAGCCATATCACCAAGGCCTAACACACAGTTAGAACGAATAACAGGATCCTCAGATTTCTCCATTATGGTGATGAAAAGTGGTAAGTTCGCCTCACAGAACTTTGACGAAACACACATGAGCTTGGAAAGACAGAGAACCGCAGACCGTTGGAGGATACCATTGTCGTAGGCCTTCCTGTTCAGACAAATTTCTGTCACCAAGGATCCAAACTTCGCTAACAATGACTTTTCTCCGAAAAGAATCTCAGTTTCTCTGATATACACCACAACGTCTGCAAAGTCATCTTCGGAAGTACCTCCAATCATCTCAAGCTCGCTCTCAGCAGCATTTTCTTTTCTTTGGTTACTCTTTTCTGCTTCCAAATCGTGTTTCATTTTCTTGAATTGGGCTTCTAGTTTCTCCAAATGTTCAATGGTTTTGATTGCAACATGACCAACAATGAATAAGAGCTGGGCCAAAGAAGCAGTCCTCGATTCGTCATCCTTTTCGCTTATGAAGACATCCTTGGTCTTGGATTTGATAACTGCATCACAAAGCACAATAGGATTGGTGATGATCCGGAAGATGGCGTCAATTGCCTGTTCTGCCACCGGGAACCAATCTCTTTGCAGAGTGTAGCATAACAAAATAGCTTTCAATCTCTCAGCAGCTTCACTGTCTTCAGAAAACATGTTCTGAGTCTGTCTTTTTTTCAGAGGTTGAACAATTTTGAGTAAGGTGGCACACGAATGCTTGCAAAGAACCAAATCCAGGCGACCAACAGAGCCCAAACCAATCTCAAGGAGTGATTTTAAACCACATTGCACAATTGCTGGATTAGCTGATGATACCATACCAAGAACAATGATAGCACCATGTATCTGAGCCTGGGAGTAACGTGTATCATCAGAGCCAGCTTTGCTATAAATGAACCACAACAGCTCTATCATAGCCCAATCAATTAACTTGCCTTCATAAATCATACACATGAGTTTCTCCAATGAGGCCAAATCCGCAACAGTTGCATTGATGGTGATCTTGATTAAGTTTCGAGCTTTCATTTCGGCTGCCTGTTGAGCAGTAATGTCAGAAGGAGTGGTAAGGAACAAAAGTTTGTAACATTCGACGAGCTGACTTGCAATAGATTTACCTTCATCTGAGGAGCCTTTCATCCAAACAAGATGAAGCATTTTACGGATACCTTCGCTTGCGTTCTCAACACCATAAGCATCGGCGCAAACCAAGAAATCCATTGCTTCAAGTACCTCATTTCTGTTCTTCGAGAACAAAAGGGATGAAGTGATGGCAACTCCCCTTTCTAACTTCTTGATAAAAGCCAATGCACAGTTGTGGTATTCCCAAAGTTTCATCAAGCTCTTGACCTTATCAAAATCTTCGTCGTTTTCTGCTAAAGCTTGTTCACTCGCTAATATATCATCATTAGCAGCTGCGTTGTCGCCTTCATCACCTTCATCACCCTCGTTGCCTGCTTCGCCCTCAGCTCTGGCCTCTTCATTGTCAACGTCCATTGCATCTTCCTCTGAAGACTTAGAAGTGGGATCCTCTGTCTCAGAATTCTCGTTTTGATTCATGAACTTTTGAAAGTAACGCTCAGGTACGACATGTTGACTTGCAGCTTTAAGATCGTCCAACTTCCTTTCCCATCGACTATACAGCATTCGGAAACTTTCTTGAGAAGTAAAGGGATGTTCAATCAAGATTTTTGACAAGAGCTTGATAGCATTTCTACGCACCAAAGTGCTTCTATCATATAACCCTGTGATTGCCACATCCATTACCTCTTGATACCATTCGTTTGCTGGACCTATATCAAGATCTTTCGATTCGGGAGTTTCAAGAGCAGACACAACGTAGTCTTTCACTGGTGAATGATTGAAAACCTTGACCATAGCTTGCAAGGCTTTTGTTCTGGCGAACGGGTTCTGATCGAGTGTTCTTTGTTTAAGCAAGGAAAACAATTTGCCAATCAGCTTCATGCTGATTTCAGCACGTTCATCTTCAGATGAGCTATTACTGTTGTATAGCGTTTTGAATGCATCAACCACGATATTTCCACAGGTCTCAATAACTGAACATCTGAGTGACTGGTTGGTATTGTCAAGAATCTGACTGATAGACGCCATTTGTCTCATGATTAACCTTGGACTGAGTTCCGACACCCTCACCAAAAATTCTGATACAGCTTTTGGCCCGTTCGTATCATTAGCATTGAATTCGAGTTGACTGATCTCCAAAAGGATATCCTCTGATAATTTGATATGGTCGAAAGCCTTTTCCAATGTATGTAGCAATTCAGCCATATACTGAGGTAGATGTGGATAGTATGTTAATGATTGAATGACTGAGTTCTGGACGGTCTCTTCACTGCCATGGCGGGTTACAGCTAGTGATATTATACGGAACATTAGGATACGGATGGTATTGACTTTCATTCTCTCTGGGAGTTCCATGAGATGGAAAACTGGTCGAAGGAATAAATCTAGGAGCTGGTTCTTCTCGGGCGTAGTGACGAATATCTTGGAGAGGTCTAGTTGTAGGCATGGTACAACGGAGGCTAAGGAGTCATCTACTTGCTGACAATTATTCTTCCACAGTACAGATGTCTGCTTCTGTCTAGCAGACGTACTGGTCGGGAAATTTTCTCTTGATAGGAAATTGAGGAGTACAAACATTAAGTAACCATATTTCTCCAAACACAGCTTGAGCACGTCCAACATGTCCACATAATCTCCTTCTTCTATCATGATTTTACACTGACGCGATGCGTTAGCGAGCGAAGAAGATATTAGGTAGTTGACTTGCTTTTTGTGCTTAGCGTCGAGTTGTTGGAAGCCATGAGCCATCTCCATGAGTTCTTCAAGAAGCTCGTTGTTGTGGTGGATGGCCTCCCAGCTGTTTGCCAACGCATGGGTGGCATGCGAGAGCTTCTCATCAATATTGGAATTGTCCACCTCATAATCTTTTTGGACATCGAAGCCACTATACAAGGTTGATAGACTGAACTCCATGTTGCCTTTGTTATTGATTATGGGGTTGATGAGCGCTCTTCTGTTGATCTGGGAGCGCACCAGTGTTTTTGTCACGTGCGCGCCTTTCAAATCAACCTTGAAGCTTGCCTTATCCTTAGCGCGCCATGGCTGCAAAACACTCTTTAATCCTTCAACTTGGCATAACCCTTAATGACGGCCTTTGAAGTTCCCACTCTTTCATCTTCTAGAACACCAAGCAAATCCTTTGTAGTCACCATATTACCTGTGCGGATTTCTCTATACCTCAACCCATTATCACCACGCGACGAAATAATGGCACTCTGCTTAGGACCACCTTCTTTGCTTGCACCACCTTGCTTACCATCATCTCCAGCACCGCCACCACCTGATTTCATCCAAGAGTACTTCTTTCTTGCAGAGTTGCCTGTCATCATAGCAGCAGTAGCATTAGCGGCTCTATGGAGTGTCTCTTCGGCACCAGCTTTATTGGATGTTTCGGGCGCAACATCATCTTTATTTTCAACTCCCAATGCTAGACGCTTAGACACACGGGCTTCTTCTTGCTCTTTATGACGCAAGGCGAGATTACGCAACTCTTTGGAAACGTCGGACCTCTGGGCTGGCGGAAGCTTCAGTTTCTGGCTTCCACGAGCCTGTGTCAATGCAGGGATACCACGACGTCTGTGCCTTGCTAGTATGACAGTTTTCGTGACAATATTCGAGAGCCATTCTTTACAGGCAGCTGACATGAATTCAAGCATCTCTGGATCGGCCATGAAGTTCTGGTACACGCCATTTTCTCTTGCTGTTTTGTTCATGAAAAGCCCAACATGGTAAGGCTGAAGGAATGCATTCATCAGTCCGTAAAGTTGCCTTTGACGGTTAGCATACTGTTGTTGCTGTAAGTTAACAGGGTTTCTGTTATAATTGGCTGTAAGCAACTCTTCTTCTCGCAGAATGTCCACACCAGCTGCATGAATAGCATCCTTATACTGGTCAGGGTCCTCTTTACCCTGAGGGGCAGTTGAACCTGGTACCGCTCCAGCGCTGGAACCTACACCGTAAGCTCCTGGCACGCTACTAGTTGAATATGAGTTTCCCATTCCAGTGGGCGCTGGGTACGTTCTTCTAGGATCAAAACGGGTACCTTGCTTGTACGCCGTCAGGTTTGGAGACTGACGGTATTGATTAGGATATTGTGCAAGCGATCCCTTGTTGTAGTTCTGGTAAGGGTACTGAGACTGGGATTGATACATGGGAGTGGCGGTTGGAGGAAGTGAGGAGTTTGAACTCGTCTGTGAAAGACCAGCCAGCGAGCCCGGCTGACCCGGTGTGTTTCCGCCTTGAATATCACTTTGTGTTGTTACTTGTGGTGTTTGGATAGGGCTATGGCTTTGATTGAGTCGGCTTTGAGGTGTACCAACCTGTGGAACCAGCGTATCTGATGTTCTCATAGGGCCAGCGGAGCTTGGTCTCTGTGCCGCTAATGGAGTAGGCAGCTTCGAAGCTTGATTGCTGTGTGCTGCCGTGACAGGCGCCGTATATGGTTGCGTTCCAGGACTTGCTGCTGTGGGGCCCGTTGTCGTACCAGGTACACTAGGCTCTAAAGGCTCATTTGGTTTTGTATCTTGAAGGAAGTCCGGAAGTTCTATATCGCCCACACCCGTATTAGTATCGACTGGAGCCGAATCGTCCCCGTTCTGATCAAAGATAGGATCGTCGAAAAGGTCGTTGAATTGATCATCATTATCAGGAATTGCGTCTGTGGGTTCTTTTTTCACTCTCTTCTGGTCAGCTGCCTCAGCCGAAGCCTCTTCGAGCGGCCGTTTTGATGGGCTCCTGCCATTTTCGCTCGGTGTAGACATGGCCGGATTTGTTGTGTTCTTCTTGTTGTATGATTATTGTAGTTGACTTTGAGAATACACTGTAGTGCGAGGTTCATAAGGAGTCCCGCGCACTTTGCCCTCGAGCTCCGGGAGCGCTCAGTACTGGTCTCTTGGAGGTAGAATAACAGGTCCACCAAAACCCATCTACACGAAGAAAAATTAGATTCTGAAGTTGTAGTTCTCTTAAAGGTACCTATTTAAGCTCATTTCTTGAACTTTTTTTCAATTTTTCTCATTTGTTTATCAGAATGTATGTACCCTCCATCTCTCATAGTACTACTACTCGATGCTCATCGCACTCTGTTGAAAAATACCAACCTCACCTACACCTTATCAACATAACTACGTGACATGGCTGGTGTTGTCGTTTTTGAAGGAGCTAGACACTTCCGTCTTCGTCTAGTGCTCTCCGTGTTAGCTGGCCAGCAGATAAAAATCACCAAAATCCGTTCGGATGACATGAATCCTGGTTTGAGAGACCATGAGGTTTCGTTCCTTAGACTCCTCGAAGCTGTAACCAACGGCTCCCATATCGAAATCTCATACACCGGTACGGCCGTCCTGTTTAAGCCAGGAATGATCATCGGTGGTCAACTTACGCATAACTGTACTGGTAAGAAACCTATAGGGTACTTCTTGGAGCCTATGCTCTACCTTGCACCATTCTCCAAGAAGAAGTTCTCCATTATATTCAAAGGACTCACAAGTTCAGATAATACACAAGACGCCGGTTTGGAGGCTATAAAATGGGGCCTCATCCCCGTCATGGAAAAGTTCGGTGTCAGAGAAGTGGAGCTCCATATCTTAAAGCGAGGCTCACCTCCATTGGGCGGTGGTGAAGTGCATTTGCTATGCAACTCCTTGATTCTACAGCCCTTGACAATCCATGCTTTGGAAACCCCTAAGATGTCTGCCATTCGTGGTGTCGCTTACTGTACAAGAGTGTCACCTTCTGTTGTCAACAGAATAATCGAGGCTGCAAGGAAAGTCTTGAAACCAACAGGCGTGGAGGTGAACATCACAGCAGATGTCTGGAGAGGTGAAAACTCGGGTAAATCTCCAGGATTTGGTGTTACTTTGGTTGCTGAATCTAAGAGAGGCTGGAGAATATTTGCCGAAGGAACTGGTGTGGCTGGCTCTCTACCAGAAGATTTGGGTGAGCGTGTTGCCTATGAACTTCTTGATGAACTCACAAAGAGTGCAGTTTTGGGAAGAAGCCAGCTCAAGTTGGCTTTGGCATTCATGGTTATCGGTAAAGAAGATGTTGGTAGGTTGAAGGTTCACAAGGAGCAGGTCGATGAACTGTTCGTCTGGTTCTTGAGAGATATCAAGAATATCTTTGGCACTGAAGCCTACTTGAAGGATGGAGCTGAAGAGGGTGAAGACAACTTCATGACTCTTGCCATTAAAGGTAATGGGTTTACAAGCGCCTCTAAAAAGAGAGCATAAAACACTCGACTTTCTTTCAACTTTTTTTGCATTAATAATTCGTAGCATCTATATCGTTTTCAAACATCGATTACCAGAAAGAACACCAACCAATGTAGTGCTGGCACAAGTTTTCAACGCTTGTAGCTTGCTGGATCAACTTGTCAACCTGGGTAGGAATATCCAATCCCTTCAATCTCTTGATGTCGTTACCAGTCAACTTGTCGGTGATTCTCTTAAGAACAAGGGCAGCTCTGGCATTCCTGATTTCAAGAGCATTCTGTTTGTTTAACTTTGTAGCCTCCTGCTCATCAATCTCACCCTTCTTCATCATCTCAGCTGTATTGTACTGTTGCACCTTAATTCCAGTGGCCTCTGCAAGCGCCTTGGTAGGGAAGTCGAATCCCCAGTTAATCAAAGGATCATAAGCGAACGCTTCCAAAAGAGCCATAAGAGATTCTTTGTTATCACGCAAGACTCTCATGACATGCTCACACGTAATTCTGAAAGAACCTTCGATACCACTGACTTCCATAGCATAATTAAGCATTCTGGTAAGTCTGAATGGAACCTTCTCTGGGTACTTCTCACGCAAGATTGCCGCCTCGAAACAATCACCAAAATCGATATGGATGACCTTACCGGTTATTCTGTCAAGCATCAAGTTCGAAGGATGTCTGTCACCTAATCCCAAGATGTATCCGACCATCGACATCACCGCTAACGATCTGGTATATGTGGTACGCCTATCAAGCCAAGCTTCAGAAGACTTAGACTTAAGCCACAAGACCTTGTATAAATCTTGCCCTCTCGTGTTGTCCAAAGCGCCAGTGAAGACCTCCACCTTCTGTAACAATGTCAAACTATCAAAATCAGGAGCCATTTGCAACATAATACGGTGCTCAATATTCAACAAGATCTTGCGTGATTCACGGTATTCTCTAATAAGAACATGGAATGTATCACTGTTCGGCACCCATCCAAGTAAACCAACCTTAGGTGACAATGGGATGGCTGGGTATTGCTGAATGTCCAAATGTCTCTTGAAACATTCAGTATCGTTGGCCAAAAGAGTGTTGACCAATCCGAACAATTGCATTACCAAGTTGTCTTGTCTGATATCTTCATGACCCTTAAGAACATACTGATAATCCTTACCATCACTTCCTTTGCACACGAGTTTTCTTGGCCTCTGCTTCGAGGAGATAACAGTGAATGTGGAGTCGAACTTAACAATGCAGACGATAGGTTTACCTGCTTCATAAGTACCTGGGACGGCCAATTCAAGATTCTGGGCTTCTTCAAGCTTAGGTGAAACAAACAGCAATTCCAAACTCTGTAGTTGTGGCAATTGTCTGCTAATACGACGGAAAACGTTGTAGTAAACATCCCATGCCTGGTTCAAGTTGGTAATATCCTTGGTACGGCGGTAATTGAGCACCCACTCGTATGCATCCGCCAACTCTCTACCAAATGCATTATTGAACGAAGCTTCCCGCATAGTCTCTGGCCCTTTCTGGAGCATCTTATGCAAAGGCTCAAGAACTTCAAACATCTTCTCCGTGTTATGCTCACCAAAGAACAATCTGGATGCGTCCTCCAAACCTTCGTACCACTGTTCGAGCCACAAGACAGCAACTCTAATCAACTCATGACTGACCAATTCAGACTGTTCAACCAAAGTAGGCGAATGGATTCTCAACTTGTCAATAATGGACAAGGCGGCCTTCTTTCTGTTAACAGAGTCTGATGTCACAGCAACTGCCAATGGGTACACTAATGCCTGTGGATGGGCCTTTCCTAGATCTGTGAGAAGACCCAACAAAGACCGACTGACAATCTGGTTAGGCTGGTGAATACGAGAAATCAATTGCGGAATGACCTCCAACCAGTTGTCAATCTTGACCATGCTAAATCCGTCTGCCATGGCTCTAGCCGTCTCTGGTATACCACCGAACTTAAACCACAAAGTAAGCAAACGCAAAGTGTCTTGAAGAGAGCTGGAGTTGGACAACGAAATCGAGTGGAAGAAACCCTTGATAGAGGGGATAACATGTCTCTGCACAACCTCCATGGAAATCATTTGCAGCTGTTGAGCTTGTTTGTCCATCGTATCGTTCTGCTCCATGACATTTGTGGTTATACTGCCTCTATTATTCTGGGTATAGAGCGAAATGACTTCGAAGTTAGCAAGGGCCCAGTTGTGCCATGCCTTGTACCACTTGTCGTCAAAGTGGGTTGCCAAAAGATATGCACCAAGAATGATCTCAGAAGTTTCCGTCCTCCAGTTATTGTTGAGTACAATCTGCCACTCACCTTGCTTTAAGAAACACCTAGCAAGTAAGCGAGTGTATTCTTCCACGTGCTTGGGGATTCCAGGACCATCAGATGGAATTGGTTGGGTGATCAAGTCATTAGGGTTCAATCCAAGATCTTGGGACATACGAGTCGTGAAATCAACCAAATGACGCAATGCCTCTCTTCTCTGTCCTTTAGCCCACATATACTTCAATTGGGCATACACCACCTGCGGTGGAGCTCTGGATGGGTTTTCACTGGATCCCCCTTCCAAGAGATTATTCAAAGACTGTTCAGCAAGATTGAAACGGCCTGACTTCCTGCAAAGGTTTGCAAACTTAATCCACATGTCCATATCTTGTTTAGGCTTTATCACTAAAGCACGTACTTTGAGCATTCTCTGCCAAATATCAACGTTTCTTTGACATCCTAAAAGACGAGTATTCCATGTTTTCCGGATAAGAGCTCTCTTCTCAGAGCCCTGAGGCAAACACTTATATCTGATGATCTCCTCGAGCTCCGCTAACATTTGCACTCTGACAACAACACCGTATGCTCTGTTGTAACTCTCACTGACCAAGGCGGTGATTTCGGTGACTAACAAGTCACGGGCATTTAAGATATGGTTCGAAGCTTCCTCGAAGTTGTTCCGGTGAAGACTCAAAATGGCACTGAAGAAAGCCTTGTCAGGAGACTCGTACTTCATAACCTTGATGTAAGCATCCATTCTGTCCCATTGGCCCAAACCCCAAGCCGCGGCAGCTGCCAATGGAGCGACATTACGTTTGGTATCATTGGAAGACGTGTTCCACTTAGAGCGTGCCAACTCAGAAAGTTGGTCCCATTCTCCCAAAGCATGCAAACATCTCATCTTACCCATCACAATCTCCATGTTATCAGGCTCAAGTTTCTCTCTTTCATTATAAGCACGCAAGGCATCATCCCACCTTTGAAGCTTTTCATGCCAAGTCTCCTTCAATTGAAGGTCATGATGAATCTGGGCATGCTTCAAAATACCAACGGCAGCATCTGATTGTTGGAGTTGATTATTGATGGAAATCAACGCTTCAATTGTTGGAGTGGTTGGTTCCTCGTAAAACTCTAATTCCTTGTAATGCAAAGCCTTAGCATAAGCGTGGCATCTCTGCGCATACTGGCCAAGGGCGGTTATAGCGATAGGTAAAGACTTATCGTCATGCTCCATGAACTCTGCTAAATTAAGAAGAATTTGATGAATCTCAGGAGGGTTATTTGGCGACGACAATGCTATGCAAAATGATTCGATGAGCTCTTCCTGGTGCTGAGAGTAAAGTTCACTCCAACAAGAAGCAAAACTGGAGTTAAACAAATCTTTTGCCAATGGATGATAGTCAGATGCTAAACCAGCACATGCTCTAATGGCGTGTGAAGGACTCTGTTTGAGCAACTCTTTACTCAATCTTCCAATCCACTCTTGCCAGTCTTCTTTGGTATAGTTCCTCTGTGACGACTCCCAAGCAGCCTTTAAGGCAGCCTGATTGACTGGAAGTTTCTTAGATGGCATGTCAATGTCAGGGAGATCAAAGTGTGACATATGCAAGTCATGATCCTTATAAATGTTGAAGTTTGTGGGTAAAGGATCGCCATTTAACATCTTTGCAACAAGCTGTTCGAACATTACAGAGTTGATTTTTGATGGATCAAGACCTTCTCGATCACAGGGAAAAAGACAATGAACTCGTTGCCTAAACTCAAGATCAAACAACAAAGAGTATTCATACAAGCCAGTGAGAGCTCTTCGTTTCCTTCGCTCAAGACACGCAAAAGCGGATGCACAATTCTGGAGGCCATATCCGTGAGGGTAATGTTCCTTGACAACTTTCCAACGGTTTCAATAGCTGCTTTCCGCAAGTTTGTGGGGCCAACTTCAAACATCTTTACTATAGTAGGAACAACAATGTGAACATGTTCCTCGATGTTGCTTCCGAATACGACAAAGCTTCTAAGCACATGGATCGTTGGCTCACGTTCAGGAGACTTGTCCTCCTCAATCAAATCAAGCATTAATGGTAAGATGTCAGGCAAATGCATTTTGAATTCTCCTTCCAAAGCCTTTGAAATCGACTCAATCAAGTGAATTATGATGACACGAACATTCACATTGGTAATGCTGTTGAAGAACTCCTTGATGACGTCAAATATATCACCCAAGAATGGCCTAATGTGCTGCTTAACGATGAGAATAAGAGCACCCAACTGCTGAAAGTAAAACTTAAGCATGCTAGCCTGGCAAGTGTGCATAACTTTGATGACTCCAGGAATGATCTGTGGGAGGAAAGACACACATCTTAAGCCCAATGTCTGGAAGATGTACATGATAGCCTGGATAACCTTGTTATGATGAGAGCTCAAAGATGGATCTTTCAAGATTTTCATAAGATTATTGATGGCAACAGTAGGATAATACTCATCATGAGATGGAGACATGCCTTGCATAAGGAGAGCAATATCGACCGGTGGAGCGTTTTGTTCGACTGGAATTTTCTGAGACGTCTGCTCCACTTCTCTATGCTTATATGGGTCCAATGCTCCCAAAATACCCAAAAGACGGACAGTCTCTCTTCTAATACGAGGAGATGTTTCGGACTTCAAGATACCCACAAGAGTTCCTAATAATTGCGGGTAGTCCAATAAAGGTTGAATAACATATCCAGAAGAGCTTGCTAGTTGACCAAGTGCCTTAAGTGCGGCATCCCTTTTGTATGAGGAGCTTTGGTCCTGGAAAGTATCCAAAATGAGCGGCATGAGGTCCGAAAGGAATGGCTTTATATCTTCTCCAGCAACCACTGACGCCTCTCCAATACAGCTTATGGCAGCTGCAGCAACAGAAGAGCTAACGTCTTTAGTCCTCGGAAGCAATGCTTCAACGATTGGTTTGATATATGGCTTTGTTAGCTCCTTGGAGTGAACGATAAGGACGGACAAGAGCGTAGCAGTTTCCTCCTTCTTACGACTAGTATTTGCGTATTCTAGCCTGGACAATAATTGGATCAACGTCTTTCGAAGCGAAGGGACAATGTAAGCAGGGTTGATAGCTGAGAGTCTACCAAGAATCTTCACAGCAACTTTACGTACGCTGAAGACTTCATCGTTGAGAGCAACAAAGAGCTGTTTGACATTATAGGCCTGAGATAGCTGAGGATCAAAATTTCCAGCTCTATCAAGACAAGTCAAGCCCTCGATTCTGATTTCAGCGACGGGATCGGTGATGGAAACGCATAACAATTTTTCGACAATCTCATTCACGGCATCCAAAGCGTTCACACTCATTTGATGGCATATTGGATCTTTATTGAAAATTTTGCACGATGTTGCTGTCGCTGTTTGACGAATCTTAGAACTGTCACTATCGAGGTAGGTGATGATGCAATACCTTACGAACTCATTCAATTGGTAGTCCTGGAATTCAAAATGCGAAAGAATCTTCAAAGCATGAACCACAAGCTCACTATCATGAGCGCGGTAGGTCTCAGGGTTGTTGAGAATGCTGCTGACACTCATACCAGTATCTCTAGATATCATGATGAGTCTGAAGTCGCGAGCCAATGACTCGTTGATTTTTGTAGACCCATATGGTGAGCCAGGTGGCTGAAATGTCTTTCCGGAAAGTACCAAGCTTAGAAGGTTGAGAAGCTTTTTATCAACAGTGGGTCGAAGCGAAGGAATGTTCGTAATGAGAGTTTGAAGCACGTTCTCCATGTGCTCTGACAATGAGCAATTGCTGAACATCATGTCTAGGATGTCACGTTGTAAATGCTTTGTAAGTGCTGGACCGACTGCAATGGATAACTTTCCAATACAGTCAAATATGGCTGGTTCCGTGTCCTTACGTGTAGCTCTGTACTTCGCCGAGCCTGAAGTTGATGCAGAAATAGACGAGATAGCAGTACCTGAAGTCTCACCTTTACTGACAGCGTTCGCTAAAATCAGCTGAACGCCCGAGTTAGCAGGATATGAAAGACCGTCTCTGATGTTATCCAAGATAGCGTCCAAGTATGTGGCCATTTGGTTACCAACTTCCAAAGCAAGTAAACCGATGCTTTCTAAAATGGCAGACTTGTCAAGATTGCTGGCCTCGTTATGCAGATTCTTGTACTTTTTAAGCTGTGTGAGGTAGTAGTACAACGTACGATGCAAATATTTTTCCACGAACAATTCGGGGTTCACTCGGCACAAGATAGGATAGATTTTTGTTAACTCTTGTCTGATATAAGACACCTTATGTCCCTTGTAGAGTGAAACATTCTCATAGATGGTGCCGAACATAGACTTGATGTAAGGGTCACTATGGTACCTAAGCAATTCTCTGTAGACAAGCAATGCACCATGAATGGTTTCGTTAGAAGGAGACAGAGCCGTAGTAATCAAGCTGTAACCTGTAGCGAGCCCGTTGCTATCATGCGAGTTTGACTTCTCCATGGCATCGGCGCGGCCGAGGATAGAAGACGCCTGGTCGATTAAAAGATGGATCCAGCGTCTCCGTACCTCAACTTCTCTCGAGTATATTATAGAAATACATCTCTGAAGAGTAATTGCCGCGTCATTTCTAATGATAAGCTTATGGTCTCGAAGAGGAACCCAAATATGCTCCAAAACTTGGTTGATGTAGCCTTGAAGGAGCAATGGTGCATTTTCAGATAAGGCAGTAAGAATCAAGATAGCAGCATGGCGTCTGTTCTCGTGCTGACGGTTATCACTTTGAAGCCATTCAATGGCCCTCTTAGCCTCAAAATCAACAAAGTCTCCCGTTAAAGTACCACCTGGCGTAGCCAACTTACCCAAAGTCTTAGTAGCCTCCTTCATAATCTTCAAATCATTAGAAAGAATAAACGAGCTAAGATAGTTGGAGAATCTCGCTGTCTTGGTGGCATTTTCCTCGCCTACTCCGCTATCAAAGTCTATCAAGGCATTGAGCGCAGCGATACCTCCAAGTGTTTGTGCTGCATCCTTACTTTGTAGTAGGTCAAAGATTGTCTTGTTGATTTCATTGTTGTATCTGTTGAACTGTTCCCCTGTCAAGTCTCTAGCTATAGAAGCAAGAAAACTGCGTAGTTCCAAGGCGCTTCGGATGCGTTCTTCCTCTTTTACCAGCTTGAGCCCATTGAAAATCTGATTGAGTGCCACACCATCCACGACTTGAACTTGTGTGGACGTGGACATGTTCTAGGGATGTAATGTATTTCCTGGTTGGGGCTAGAGCAGGGTGCTTGTAGACTAAACCAGCATCAAATGTTAGGCGAGCTTATCAGAATATGGAAATAGTGATGGTGCACGGGTGTATATGGGGGAACAGAAGCGGTAAGTAACCAATACTGGGCTTACAATTTCCAGATATATCACTTGTCTATTTTTTTTATTGGTCATTTGGTACAATTTATTTATGGCACGGAGAACAAGGAGAAGTTCCTGACGATTCCTGGTCCATACTCATCGTAGTCCTGCTTGGTGTAACAGTAACTCTTGAACTCAGCGGTCTGGGCTAACAAAGAACCTCCGAACCACACGGCGTTACGTTGTCTCTTGTGTGAAATCACCTGGACATCAACACCCGTACTCTTGACGCCGCTCAACTTCTCACTCATTTCAATTCTCTCGTTAACCAAAGACTTGATGTCTCTTTGCAATCTTCTACCGAAATCCTTGAACATAGTAGAACCACCACTCAAGACGATGTTCTTGTAAAGCTTCTTACGCACATCAATAGGAGATGCCTGTACGACTTGATCCACGACAGTAGGCAATGGAGTCAAGTAATCGGAGGAGCAAATTTCTGGGTTAAAGAAGATCTCAGGAGCCAAGAATCTCTCGTAACCGACGTCAACGTTGGTCTTACGCTGAGCAGTCTCGACAATGTATTGAGCGAACTTCTCCTGTGGATATTGGTCAAACTTCTTGAACTCCTTGACAATGTCAGGACAGACGTAACAGAACTGCTGCTTGATCTTCTCGGCAGTCTGCAACGACGTGTCAGACTCACCTCTGTCTCTCAATAAGGACTGGATGAAGAGAGTGATATCTCTACCAGCCAAAGGAATGTTCTTGATGGCACCACCAATAACGTAACCCTCAGCGACTGGGATAACGTGTGTAACACCATCACCAGAATCAATAACCGTACCAGTCAAGGAACGGTCCTGGACCTTAGAAGATGTCCAAGAAGCAGCCAAAGCCAACACAGCCTGGACAGCGATATACAAACCAGCACAGTTGAAGGACTCGAACATAATCTCAGCAGTGCTCTCTCTGTTCTCTGGAGGATTCAAAGGAGGCTCAGTCAACAAGAAGTAGTGGTCCTCAGGCTCACACCGAAGGTACTTAAAGATAGAGTTCTCCCAGAATCTCTCCATGTGGTCCCAGTTCTCGATCTGTCCATGTCTGATTGGATATGACAAGCTATACTTTGGTCCAGTGGCAGCACTCAAGGCCTCGTCGCCAATGAAGAAGTCCAAATCTTCCAAACCTCTCTTGCCGCTCAAAGAGCTAGCAGAACCAGCACTTTTACCAGTTTTGGCAGCAGACGTGGCAGTGGAAATAGCAGTTGGAAAGACAAACGAGGGGGAGTCGTTACCAGCAAAACCCAACTTCGTCAAACCGGTACCGTTGTCCATGACAACAGCAGGTGTTCCCATAGACGCCATTGTGATTAGTTTATGTTAATTTCTGTTCAGTGAAGTGGCAATTGGTGGACACTGTTGGACACTGAAGTAGCTTACCTGTAAGGTTTTTTGGTGCTCTCACTGACCTGTAGCTAGGTGTCTTGAGGGCCGAGGCCGAACAAGCTGGAGGGCAGGTTCGCGGACACATTTATGAGTTTGGCACTACCTGATCTGGCTGCCATATTTTGCACCCATTCTACACAACTATATCAACTTGACTGATTCGTGATGTATGTATATGTGCTATATGGTTTGCTATTACATGAACTCGTCCAACTTCTTCTATCAACACGCAGACCTCATGGGCCCTTAGTATTCGTCTTTCCCGCTGATGATCACATCGTTGATCTTCAATATCATTCTCGTCAACTGAGTAGCCAACAACAACTGCTGCTTCTTCCCAATCAAGGGGTCTATAACAAAGAGGTCCTTCATGTCGTTGGTACCCTTACCCAAACAGTCAACACCTAACTGAGAAGACTTTTCGAGAATCTGCTTGGATTTAAGGTTGGATAACGTCTCGATTGGATCAAGACCAGAGTTTTCGGCAAGTGTCAGTGGGATCTGATCCAAGGCGCTAGAGAAAGCTCTGAAAGCGTACTGGTCAATACCCTTCTGTTGGTCTGCGGCCTCGCTGACAGCAATAGAACACGTCAACTCTGCAGCACCACCACCGTAGATGACTCTGCTGTCTCTGATCAAGTTTCTGACAACACAGATAGAGTCATGCAAAGCTCTGACACCTTCAGCGGCAATCATCTCGTTAGATCCTCTGATGAAACAAGTGACAGCCTTGGTGTTAGAACAGTCCTCGATAACCAACATACGGTCTCTGGTAGTACCGAACTCGAGCTCTCTGATAGTACCGGCGTGACCCAACTTTTCGGCAGCCAAGTGCTCGAATCTAGGGACAATACGACCGTTAGTAGCGATAGCAAGCAACTCTAATTCAGAGCCACCAATCCATCTGATAGCATTCAACTTGTTGGCCAACAACAAATGGTTAGCTTCATCGTCAAATCCCCATTGACAAGCAACAACGTTAGCACCAGACTCCTTAACTCTGTCAATCATTTCAGTGAACTTCTTCTGTTCGTATTCTTGCAACACCTTGAATTCCTCCACGGTGGAGATATCCAACTTGTGCTTGGTCTTTGGCTTTGGAGGTTCAAATGGACATGTCAAAATAGCGATCTTACAGTCCTTGATTTCCTTGGTCATCTGTGGGTGAGAGAATTCCTTGTCCAAAAGAACACCCTTGATAAGAGTAGAGTCCTCGATACCACCACCGACTTTGCTTTCCATCTTGATCAACTCAAAGTCCACGTCTCTTCTCTCCATGTCAGCCACAGACAAAACAGCGTCAACAGCCATTTGAGCGAACTGATCGTGAGCCTTCGAGACAATCTTGGAACCCAAAGAAGTCTTGGCAGCCTTCAACAAGTTGGAGTCGTGTTTTTCAGCGCTGATGCTGATATTGTCGGCAACCTCATCTAGATGTTGGCATGCAATCTTACATGCTTCGTCGAAACCATTGGCGATTTTGATAGGATGAATACCCTTTTCGATAAGTTCCAAAGCCTGGTCCAAGAGGGCACTAGCCAAGACAACAACACCGGTGGTACCGTCACCAATCTCGTCATCCTGAGACTTTGCCAATTCAACCAAAAGCTTAGCGATCTCGTTATCCAAGTCCATCTGAGACAAAATAGTAGCACCGTCGTTGGTAATAGTGATATCACCATCCTGACTGACCAAAATCTTGTCCAAACCACGAGGACCCAAGGAGGTCTTGACGATCGAGGCGACAGATCTTGCCGCTAAGATATGGGACTTGGTGGCCTCAATACCGTGCTTTCTTTGCTTTTTGCCTTGATCTCTCACGATGATGAAAGGTCTTCCCATTTCATCCTGAGCCACGATGGCATTGGAGAGGTCCGGGATGCCTGGTTGTGCCATGATTGATGGATTGTTAGTTCTGACACGAGAATCGACTTTTTTTTCTGAGAAGCTACATATGTGAAGGATTTTCGAGTAGTAGCTCCAGGCCAGTACCTCCGCACCCAGTACCACCAGCCAGGGACGTGACAACAACACAAAGCAACGGTCAGGCAGTCTTCAGACTGTTGAAACCTGTTGGTATGTTCAAGTAGGCATAGTGGAAAAGGCAGTGTAGTGATATGTTGTAAGCTATGCTCGGAACGTGGTCAAACGCGTTGAAAACTCGTCCATACCGAATCTTCACATCCAAAGAAAGCGAATTTGGACTTTCAGAGCATCAAATATATCAAATCAGGTCATTAAATTAATCCCTTAGTTCTTTCTTTGACCTCATATCACGTAAGGTTAGGGAACGTTGGTGGAGTACATTGGCTGCGAAAAAGCTACTCCCTCAGTGTAGCCTCTCTGCAATACAGCAAAGCTTGTTGTAAGCGAGAAGACCCAGCATTCAATGAAAAGACAAAAAGAACAAAAAGAAAACGTAGCGTCTCCATTTACGAGCCATCTTAGATAAACCTTAAAGTCATCTTTTTCCATCACTCCTGGTTCGCTCTTTTCCCCCTCGTCTACTTCCTACGACATGTCCTCAGCCGATGTACGGAAGCTCACTTTTCTTTTCTATGGGCCTTGTTGAACCCTTCTTAGCAGCTACAACGCACGGAGACGGGGAAATGAAGGAAGCAAGAAACGTACGTAAGTAATGGCACTTTCTTCAGAAGACGCTCATTAATTACCAACAATAACCATAAGGCAATATTTATCCTTTCCACTACCTCATAACCATCTTCACTGGGCGTATTATGCTATTTGACGGTCTAGAGTGCCGCGATCAGATAAGTGGTTAAGAAAAATGCAGCAGCCGCTGAGGCAGTGAAAAAAAAAAAAAAAAAAAAAAAAAAAAAAAAAAAAAAAAAATTGAAATTTATAAAACGAGCATCGGACATCGAAAAACTCCACTATCTGGAACATCAGCCCTGCAATAAAAAAATGGCCGATATCGATGTGGACAATGCTTCTTTGGAGCAGTTGAGAGACGTTTTATGTAACAAGTCTGGTGACGTTGCCCTTGCCAACAGATTCAGAGCCCTCTTCAACTTGAAGAACATCGGCGCTGACTCTGAGGATAAGGAAACCGTCCACAAGGCCATCGACTACATTGCTGAATGCTTCCACGATGAGTCGGAATTGCTCAAGCACGAGGTTGCCTATGTGTTGGGTCAGATTAGAGATATCTACGCCAACAAGCACTTGAAGGCCGTTTTGGCTGACGCCAACCAACAGGTCATGGTCAGACACGAGGCTGCTGAAGCCATGGGTGCTATTGGTAACGCCGAGGTCTTGGAGATGTTGGAAGACTACTACAAGAACGACCCATCCGTTGAGATTAGAGAGACCTGTGAGCTCGCCATTGAGAGAATCAACTGGGAGAACTCTGAGAAGGCTAAGGCTGAGAACTTGGAAAAGTCTGCCTTCACCTCTATTGACCCAGCCCCTCCATTGGCTATTGACCAGGAAGCTAAGGTTGAGAAGTTGCAAAAGCTTTTGAACGACCAGGACAAGTCTTTGTTCGAGAGATACAGAGCTATGTTCAGATTGAGAGACTTGGGTACTGACGAGGCTGCTCTTGCCTTGGCTACCGGTTTCGACGACCCTTCTGCTTTGTTCAGACACGAGATTGCTTACGTTTTCGGTCAGTTGTGTAACCCAGTCACTGTTCCATCTTTGATCAAGGTCTTGAAGAACCTGAGTGAAGCTGGTATGGTTAGACACGAGGCTGCTGAGGCCTTGGGCTCTATTGCCACTGACGAGTGCTTGCCAGTCCTCAAGTCTTTCTTGAACGACCTGGAGAAGGTTGTCAGAGACAGCGCTATCGTCGCTCTAGACATGTACGAGTACGAGAACTCCAACGAGTTGGAGTACACTACCGTCAAGACGTAACGGGATTACACAGGGGAAGTATAATATATGTATAACTATTGGACTAAATAATGGATTGTAATGAATATCTATTGTACAGAAATGAAAATATGACAGGATATGCTTAGTTGTTGGTTCTGAAACGGTAACCACAGTTGGTACATGTGTAGAAAACTGTTGCACCTTCATCGGCAGAACGTAATTGCAAGGTATGGTATTGCATTTCTTCGTTGCCACACTTGACACACTTCTCCTTGATAGTGGCACCTTCGTCTAATTCATCACTGTTCAAAGACGTCTTCACCACAGACTGCTTCATTCTGAGGGCTGAAGGGAAAGCATCGTCCGATGACTTGGTGATGACCTTAAGGTTGGCAAACTTCTTTGTGGGGTATGACTTCTTGCAAACGCCACAGTCCAAGGTAGGAGCTGCCGAGACAGAGTCTAGTAAATTACCGCAATCGACGCAAAATATGAGGGAACCAACAACGGACATTCTGTGGTGAAGGAGATGATTAAGTCTAATCTTGATATCTCATCTCAGTCCGGGTTTTTTTCAACCTCGGAAATCAGGACTGCGCACGTACCCCCGGTTGCGCCCCATAGTTAAGCGCACCAACTGCCCTCGGAAGTCCTCCATAGTCTTCTCATCTCATCGAAATCAATATCTTCGAAGCTGGAACTTACAAGACAATATGAGACAGAAAAGAGCTAAAAGTTACAAGAAGCAAATGAACGTGTATTTGCACACGTTCAAGTTCAGAGAGCCTTTCCAGACCATCGTTGATGATGAACTCGTCCTCACATGCGATAAGGCTTCTTTCAACTTACCCAAGGGTCTTACAAGAACCATCCAGGGCGAGTCCAAACCCATGATCACCCAATGTTGCATGCAAGCGTTATACTTGACGGATAACCAGCCTGCTATTGACTTGGCTAAGTCATTTGAAAGACGTCGGTGTAACCACTTTGGTAATCCTAAACCACCGGCTGAATGCATTGAATCGATTGTCAACATCGAAGGTGAAAACAAGCATAGATACGTTGTCGCTACACAGAACACAAAGCTTAGAAAGGTTCTTCGAGGAGTGCCCGGTGTGCCCCTTATTTTCATGAACAGATCTGTTATGGTCATGGAGCCTGCTTCAGACGCTACGATGCGTGCTGCCACTCTTAGTGAAAACGCCAAACTCACAGCTGGTCTTAATGATACCAAGATCGGATATGTCAAGAAAGACACTGAAGAAGATGAGGCCGAACAACCTCAAAAGAAGAAGAGAAAGGGTCCTAAGGAGCCAAACCCACTTAGCATGAAAAAGAAGAAGACAACTTCTAATGAATCCCAACCTCAAGATGCAGATAAGCCTAAGAAGAAGAGAGCAAGACGTCACAAGAAAAGCAACGAATCTACAGAGTCAAATGGCAACGGTGCCCAAGAGGCTGATGATTCCCAATAAAACCTTTGAGTATTAAAATAACCTATAAACTCACAAATGCATTAATAACGCCAGATATCAATGAGCTAATCTATTGCAACAAACTCGTTGTTGCTTACGAGTTTTGTAGGATCTCGTAGGAATTTTGCTCTGACCCTTCGACCTTTGGGGTAGAGCGTCCGGAACTGCCTGTGCTATTGGTCATGACATTGTTGTTATCAACTTTTAAAATTTCTGTAATGTCGTCATCAACCAAGCACATTTTGCAGTCGAATGCAATGAGCTTCTCACGAAGCATGCTTTTGAAAGTTTTCAGCAACATGTAAAGATTATCTTCCTTCTCCTTGTCCATCTCCTGGAGGGAAGGAGCATAGAAGACAAACGTAGACTCCTTCATACACTTGATATCAAATTCTTCGTAACCTTCATGTGTCAGCAAGATTTCACTGACAGCCTTTTTGACAGAGGCCTCATTAACCCCGAAGAAAGTATCTCTAATCATGAGAGAGTTGTAAAGCTTCTCATCAAGCTGAGTGAGTTTAAGCTCTTCAAGCTGAAGCTTCTTGAGCTCAATCTCACGCTCCTTTTCTATAGCTTGCAAGATAGTCATCTTAGGGACTTCAGTTCTCTCAGTCACCACGATGAAGACAGCTCTGGTTGGTTCCTTATCCTGAGATTCGGAATAGAGCTTATAAGAGGAAGCAACCTCTTTGATGAAATCACGCTGGGGCTTTGTCATTGGTGGAAAGTGGTATGAGTTCTTTGCTGGTGCGCCTGCGGCCTTCAAATCCTGATAGTCACTAACAAAGTCCCTCATGATCTTCTCCATTTTCAGACACCAATTCTTCTGTCTTTTGAAGACGTCAAGAGTCAGTTCGACATATGGGTTTTCAAAAGCCTTGGGTGAAACGTTAAAGATCTGACGTAACTCTTCTTCACGTTTGACACGGCCACAATCTTCGTTACACTCCAAAATTGTCCCGATTCTAGTTTCCTGTGCATTCGAAGCTCCACACAGCACTTCTCTTGTGATCCTTCCACACATGCAGCTAATTTCGATAGGTTGGTTGCATTTGAAGCTGTCACATGGTGACGAGAAGGCGTAGTGACACTTGCGAACGCAAATGTGAGGACATGTCTTCCTGATCTTACGACAGAGGGAATGACAGGTAGCAACATCTGCGTGTTTTCCTTCGGTACAATCCTTGGAACAAGCCCTGTTGCAAGGATGGCCACAATCCTTCTTGACGGTACAAATCTTACCACACGATACACTTTCGATCGAGCACATCACCTTTTTGATTTCCTTGTCACCACAGTTACATTTTTTGGTGACAAGAGTGGTACATCTTGGACAATTGGAGTCATCCTCGTGACACTCGTGTGGTTCCTGAGGATGGCCACAGGACTTCTCCCTGATACACTGCTCGTGACACTCAATCTTCGTACCGCATCTGACTGGAGCAGGAATAACAGTCTTCCCACAGTTGCAAACTAAATCATCATTGGAGGATTCGTAGCACACACCACATGGACCGCTGTGACACAATGCCTCACAACGATGTAACCCGCATGACTTCAATTGGTTACATGTCCGTGTACAAATATGCACAGGCTCCATAGTAAGAACCTGATCATCAAAGTTGGTTCTCGTCTTGTTCCTCAACTGCTTCTTAACTTCACGTTCTCTCTTGAGTGCAACTTGCTCGTATGGGCAACACCTCTCACGATGAGTGTGTTGACGACAACTAAGAGGAGCCGAGCACTTACGAAGACAACGTGGTTTGAAACCTTGTTGAAGAGCCTTGCAAGGAACAATGAATGAGTTTGACTGACATTCACACTTGGTCTCGATCATGCTGGTACAAACACAAGGACCATCGTGACATTGAGCACGGCAAAAGCATCCACACTTGAGTTTCTTGCCACAAACGTTTTCACAAGCTGGCATTGGATCGGTACACTTGGTACGCTTCAACGAGTCGAAAGGAGTCTTACCACAGTAACAGCTATTGACCACATCGGTAGCAAATTTACAATGGGGCTTATCCTTTGCCAATGGCTGACATTCAAGCTCTTCAAAGTGTTCACCGCAATCGTAGTACTGGATTGTAATGCTATCACACTTTGCACCTCCAATGAACTTCTCATCATTCTTGTAGCTTACCTCAGGATGAAACTCTTTGCACTGAATGTTCATCTCTTTTTGGCCACAGTAGCACAGCACATCAATCTTTGTCTTGCACGGACCGCAGAACCCCAGATGGCACTGTCCTTTGGAACAGTCATGGCCTAGCATACATACCTTGGTCTTACAAGGTTCTTCACACTGCCAGCCTGCTTTATAAGGAGTCACCATGCATGGGAGTTGTTGCTTATGCTTACCACATTTACAGTTCATGACTGGGCCCATAGCACCACACTCTGGGTGCTTTCCTGGATGACAAACCGAGGAACATGAATGGACGCAATGTGGATACTTTTTGTTGCATGGATTTCCACAACTAAAAGGGATCAAACTATCTGCTTTAGGGTTGGTGATCCGTCCACACCAGCAGGTAAATGAAGAAGGAAGCTTCTTCTGCTCGAAGCTGCAAGCCGGGCATCTCCATGTCTTCTGCTCTGTAGTAGAAGAACCCCTCTGGGCCCAGTCTCTGATACAATCCAAATCATAGACACGGTAACAGTTACGGCAGTTCCACACTTTCGAGTGTCTATCGATCTCGCAAGTGCATACCAAGCAGACGTAGGTTCCTTCATCGATCTCTTGAACGATAGTAGAAGCCAAAGATTCATCATTCTGTTCGACTTCCTCGTCTTCTGGATCTGATTCAGAGTCCTCTTCCGGAGCTTCGCCGGCGGAAAATCCGTCGCTATCACTCTGGTCATCGGATGCGTCCCCGGTCTCGTTATCTAAGGCATGAGAGGCCGAGGTGGCTGTCGATGAGGCTGGAAGAGAGGACTCAGAGTTGGTTTGGGTCGGATGTGGCAGTGAAGAGTCACTTTCCACGGGTTCCGACGGCGGTTTCCCTGGTTTCTCGGGTTTTTCTCGCTCTTTCACTGAACTCATCTTAAAGATGGCGAAGTAGGAACTGGTCTCTTTTTCACTTTAATGTGCGGAAACCCGATTCTATGACTGATAGCGCAGATGCATATATATATTGTGTGATGCATACGAAGAACGATGCACAGGATCCAGGGCCCAGTCTGGATGGATGTTATGGGTAGTGGAGGTTAAGGAACCTTGGAGATGAAGATTTCGAGGTCTATTGTTGTTGATTTTAAATTTTTTTTAATTATTGTTACGTTTTTCATTTTACGGTTTACGTTTTTTGGAAGAAGTACTCATTTTGTTAGGTTTTGACTGGCTCATCTAATGGCTGCGAATAATGCAAAATGGACTGTAAATCCAAAAACCCACGAAATGGCAACAGGAGATGATTGAACATGACGATTCAACCATCATTGCTCTTTTGGGGTAAAGCAAAGGCTTTGGAAAGCTTGTTTCGTTGATTGGTGGGCAAATAAACGATGACTCATAATAAGTGTTACTTCTGGTGGCAAGGCCGCTTTTACTACCCGATGGAGATAGCGAGCGGTTAAAAAAATTGTCTTTACTTGCCATAGATGAATGGCTGCGAATCATCTACTGAATTACGTTCGAGGGTAACATTATCATCAATTAAACATGCAAGTGTAGTAATAAAAAGGAGTGTATTTAGTTGGCACTTAGTTGGCACGGACGCTTCTTCTCTTGAAGAAGTTCATCACCTTACGGGCTGCGCTGGCTTCCTTGCCTCTAACATAGGTTCCAGGGCCCACTGAGGATCGTTTAGAATGGCTTGATTTGCCTGATGAACCGGATCCAATCCGCTTGTCTTTGTTACCGTTAGAATGATTGTTAACGTTTGAATCATTCAATGGTTCTAGAATTCGGCGACCGTTATTTGTAGGCGTGTCGGGCCTTTGATCAAGCTGTGCTGAAGAATCATTGAAGGAGCTGTAGAACGACATTAAACTGAATCTATTCTTTTTCTTGGCTTCCTTTGCTGCATTGGACTCTTGTACGTCTCTTCTTCTAGCGACATCAACCCGATCCCGAGCACGATCGTTATGCTCTTTTGTAGGAATTGCATTCTCGTCATTAACCACGTCTCTGCTGGTTCCATTTTGATCTTCACTGATTGTTTGTACTTCACCATTAATACGTCTTTCTTCAACCTTTGGAGAGTCGACGTCTCTAGTGACTGGCGAGTCTGTTTGAACATCAAATGTGGGCAGTTGGTTTATTTGAGGGGTTTCATGTGATGGCACAATATCAGTATCAAGCTTTGGAATCAGTGACGATGAAAATTTATGACCATTCTCGGAGAAGTTTGATTTCGTTGGCAGCTCACTGAGTTCGAGTTGCTCCATCTTGTCTTCAAGGTAACTAAGCACCGAGTTTCTCTTATTTTCATGAGAGTTTAGGTCCTTCGTGAGTACTCCATTAACATTGATTGGTGTGACAACAGAATCACGTCTCGAGCCCCGTGGTCTAATCGAATGGTTCAGTCCGGGGCTTCCTTGGAAAGTCTCGACTGTTTCAGAAGTTGTAGCCTTTGGAGGCGAGCTCGATAAGAACTGAGGCATACCCATCTTCACATAATCAAGTAGATTACCAGATATGTTGCTTCCAGACATGATCGAGGATGACATCAGACCGGGATGGTAAGAAGTAGGCCTTGGTTTCTTTTCCGAGTGTGGTAGTCTATGCATTGCCTTAACATCCGAAAGCTTGTCATTAGCATGAGGGAATTCGTTATTGGTGGGACTCTCTGCAATTGTAGGAATAGCTCCGCTGTAGGTGGTTCCTCTGGTTGGCGATGGAAATTCATTACTCATTATGCTTTGATCGGCATCGAAAACCAAGGACGCCCTCTTTGCTTCTCTATCATTGACCATAGCCTGTAGAGCAAGACTTGCGGTAGGGTAAGTACCCGAGACAGATGCAGATTTCGAGTGACCCTTTTGGAATGCAGCTTTAGTTGGGGATGTATCTTCTTTGGCACCAAGGCTACCGGCACGACTTCTGGTGGTAGGAGCACCGTTAGGAACAGAGGCACCGTCATTGGCGTTTGGTAATGCAACAATATTAGCTAATGATGAGGATGTAGTAGGAGGAGAATAAATGATGTTGGAGTTTGAAGTGTAAGATCTGCCTTGAGTTTGTCTCGAAGAGCCCAAGATCAATGCCGAGGAGTTGGTATTCTCTGCGTACATCGTGTAACGCTTATTTCTCTTTTGGGTGGTATCAATAGGAATCTCCATCTTCTTGTTGCTGAGCTCGTCCCATTCAGCCTGGCCAATGGATAACAAGTCGGCGTGACGAGCCAACCATGAATGCTTGCGCATCTGTTCCATGGTGATTCTCTTATGCGGGTTGGAAACGATGGTTCTTCTGATCAAGTCTCTAGCCAAGGGAGTGATGTACTCTGGGAAAGTGAGCGGAGTCCTCTCGATATATCTGTACAAGCGGGTAATGTCTGTGCCATCTTCGTTTTCAGCGTCATCATCATAAGGGAGGTAACCGGCAAGCATGGCGTACAAGATGATACCCATTGACCAAATGTCTACTTTGCGGCCTTCATAAGGTGACTGGGATAAGACTAATTCTGGGGCTGCGTAGCAAGGTGAACCACACGAGGTCTTCATGAAATCACCGCGTCTGTCACTGAAGGAATTGACGAAACCAAAGTCGGAGATGATGATGTTTCTGTGTTTGTCTAGCAATAAGTTCTCCAACTTAAGGTCACGATGGACGAAGCCCTTCGAATGCATGTAATCAACGCCGCTGACGAGCTGGGCGAAAAGTTTTCTGGCGAAATCTTCCTTGAGATGTTTATGTTGCAAGATGTAGTCAAACAATTCACCACCAGGGGCGTATTCAAGCGCAATACCGATATATCTAGAGCTTTTGACGACTTCCACAAGACTGACAATGTGGGGGTGGTGAAGTTGGCGCATGGAGTTGATTTCTCTGTAGACCTTGATTTCCGATTCCGTGCTCTTTCTAAGAGAGTCACGGCGAATAAGCTTAACAGCAACCTGAGAAGGATGCCTTCCGTCGGTACGCCAGCCCAACTTGACCTTGCCAAATTCACCTTCGCCAAGGGTAGAGCCCAAGACGTATCCTCCCATACGCATTTCTCTATAGACTCTTTTGGGAGATGTGGAGGAAGGGTAGGAGGACATTGGAACGGATGCAGTGGAGATGGGCCGAACGTGGGAACTGTCCACGGCCGCCATGATTAATTGAATTTCAGGTTAGGTAGTGTAAAAAAGTATAAAAGGTAAGGAAGAACTGAAATGGGTTTCGTGGTAGTATGGAGGCCTGAAACAAACGGTGAAACCGAAGGAGGAAGGAATGAAAAGGCACCGGTAAAAAAGAAGGGAGTTTTGGGGCAACAAGCAGAAAAAAAAAAATGGGGGATGGCAAACGGAGGAGTAGATAAGGGGAAACACGGCGCAGTTTTGAGACGAGCGGTTAAGAATCAGGATATTTTCAGCTTGTTGTTAGAAGCAAACCGCTATGTTGTTATGTTTAGCTTTAGCCCAAAACCGGAAGGAAGTAAACAAAAAGTGACGCTCTGGGGCAGCGAAAAAAATAGCTTCAGTACAGGGCGAGCGGTGGGCGAAACACTAGGGGGACGAAAAAAAAAAGCGTCCTGGCGCCTGGCAGGGGCTAAAAACGGCGTGGACAGGCAGCGAAGCAGCGAAGCAGCGCGAAAAAGGTGAACCAGATCGGGACAAGAAACAGGGCCTATACCACGTTGAAACCGTGCTAAAGGTATGGTAAAACACGATTTGAGTAGGGGGGTGGGGGTTGGATTGGCTTTGGTCAAATGGTGAGTTCACGTAATTTTTTTTTTCTGTTTTGGCAGGTATTTTCTGCAAGGGCAAGGGTTCTGGTGGTGCTGGAATGCAGCTGATCTCTGGAGGGGAGGCAGCTTGAATAAGTATATAAGGTAGCAGATTTGGCAGGTAGGTGAGAACCCGGGAAGAGAAAAAAAAAGAGAAGGGAAAAAAGAAGAGACCAAAAAAAAAAAGGAACAAAAAAAGTGGAAAGCGACCGGCGCCTTTTAACCTTATACTTTTTTCCTGGGGTTCCCAAATCGAAAGGATCAATTCGGGATCGGAATCTATTAGGATCAGTGGAAGGTTAGGCATTCATTCCTGGCGGTTGTCAAGACGACTCCGCAGAGGCAGAACGCAGAGGGCAGGCAGTGAATGCCTCTGCGCCTAAACCTTGAATCTTCCTCTCTTTTTTTCTGTCCCTTTTGTTCCTCTCTTTTTACTGCCTAGAGTAAATTGGCCTTTTTTGTGTCCTTTTTTTGTGGTTATCTCTCGTCATGGATGCGTCAAATACTCCTTTTGCAGCCACCTGTGGCCCTCTTCTTTTCCCGATTTCCCTAATAGTACTGGCATATTTCCTAATGCGAGTCTAATCACAACGCCAGGTGATCCCATGCTGACCAACCAGCCTTTGCAATCGTTATCTCTTTGTTCTCATTCCACCAGGTTCGCGCCGCAGTGTTTTCTGGGGTTTCCCCTAATGGGGCATGATCCTCGATCTCCCCACAAACCTAGTTGATCTGACAAGACAGTTTATGAACGTGTTTATGCCGAGGACAGCTGGGAAGGAGTTGCTTAAAACCGTTCCTTCGGTTCCCCACTTTTACTGGTAAATGACTTTGTAGTTGTACCTTAATTGTCTTCTTTGCAAGCCTCCTGGCCCCTGGGTGTTGTGGGATGTAACCAATCATAAGCCATAGTCAATTGGGTTAAGCCTTTGAAGCCACAAAGAATATGGCAATATAGGCAAGTATACGCTGACACTACGGAATTTTTTGGGTCAGTGGCACTTTAAACTCTTCGTTGAACGCCTCCTTCTTGAGTTGGATTGGCTTGTGCCAATTGTGTTGGTCTTCATCGCCAACAAACGTCATTTACCCCTTACTCTCTTATCGTCCAGTTAGGTTTGGGTATCTGCTCAAAGACTAAACGAAAGTTAGAATCCGCCTGACCACGGCCCAAGAGGGAAATGTAATTAGGGGTTGCGTAAGCGGAGAGTACGTGAACGTCATTCCGATGAGCAGAGGTCATCTCTTGCGGAGTTTCGGAGAGTTTTCAGTTGGGGTTGGTTTGGTGGAGTGGTAGGTGCTGTTTTTCGCAGCCATTCTGTCCCAGTGTAGGCCATACTGGTGATAAACAGACAGAGAGAAAGAAAGAAAGAAATTTACGTCCAATGGGTTTTCCAAAACACTAGGCAATTAAATAACGGCTTACGATATTTTATCTTGATAAATTTGAACTTCCATAGAGTCCCTTCATTAGGGTGTTGCTGCTACTGTTGGACCCGGTACCAGCCGTTCGCACGCAGGCCTACAAGTCTGTTTACGCGTCGCATCTATTTACTCAACATCATCTACCTTCACCAGTTTCCAGCAACTACCAGCCACAATGGTCACTCGAAACTCAAAAAGGTCAAAGACTGACATCTGGCAAAATGGCTTGATCCCCACGGTGGCTAAGCCTATTCAAACTAAGGAGCTCATTAATCGTCTACTGGCTTTGGCAGATCACCTTTCGGCTTTAGACCAATCCACGGTCACTCCAGATAAGTATGCCACAGTTGCTGCAGATTTGGCAAACCCCAAGCTCTTGAATCACAAGAATGAGGCCGTTCAAGCACACGCTTGTTGTGCCATTGCAGATATCTTACGTATCTACGCTCCAGACGCCCCATACTCTGAGGAAGAGCTCTCGCGTATCTTTAGAGCTTTCTTTACCCAGTTAGCCCAGGCATGGGACACAGGGAACTCCTTCTATCCACAGCAATCTTATATTTTGACCCGTTTGGTTGAGGTCAGGTCCATTATTTTGGTAGTCGATCTACCTGATGCAGCTGATTTAATTGTTCTCTTGTTTGATACCATGTACGATTTGGCTGCAAAAGGGTTCCCTCAGAAACTAGAGCAACTTGCTGCCGATATGCTTGCAGGTGTTATTGCTGAAGCTGATATTATTCCGAAAAAGGTCGTTTCGACCGTGTTCAAGAGCCTTACATTCACTGGCACCTCTCTCACAGCAAACACGTCTAATATTTCTCATCCGGGCTTCACTTTCTCCGTGGCTATCTGCGAGACGAATATAGACAAGATGTCAAGGCAGGTCGCTCAGCTTTTCTCTGAAATGCTAGATGAAAGTGCAAAGCCTTCAGGAAACCATACCTCATCAGCAGCTGCCTCATTCAAAACATTGGACAAGATTCATGAATGGTCAATTCAGATTTGGAAACATGTCCCAGAGATGCTAGGCTCCATCATCGGCCTCATAGGCGACGAACTCACATCTGACTCTGAAAAGATTCGTGTTTTGGCTACTAAAACTATCGGTGAGATCCTTGCTATCTCAGAAGAGAATACCTCGCATGCTAGCATTGATAGTAACCTGGTTCACTTTGTTACTGCTCACAAAAGTACGTGGTCCAGTTGGCTAAGGAAGTCTGCAGATGTCTCTCCAACTGTGCGTTCTACTTGGGTGGCACTGATTCCTGCCATCCTTAATTCATCTTCCGTTGCATCAGAAATGGTCATCGATATACGTTCCAACGTTAAGAAGTGTCTCCTAGACTCTAGCGAGAAGGTGAGATTGGCCTCTTGTACAGCTCTCGAGAGCCTTTCCTTTCCAACATTCACTAGTCGACTTGTGGACGAGGAGACTCTCCAGACTTTATTCTCTCTTTTGAGGGAACGTGATGAAGATACCAGAACGAAAGTCATAAGATGCTTATGCTATCTCTACGATAATTATATGAAGTCAATTATGGATAGCGAGGTGGTTGATTTCGGTAGCCTCAAAGCCACCGAAGTGAAAAGAGTGGAGAATATGATATCCAAGGAGTTCCCAAATCATTTTCTTCATCTTAATTACATTAATCTCACCTCTATAACGACCGCTGTGGATGTTGAACTCTTTGAGAACGTCATTCCCTTCCAAAATAATGCTGGCAAGCGTTGTGCCCGAATTTGCCATTTTTACACAGTCCTTGACCAGAAAAGCAAGGAAGCATTTAGTGCTTTACTTTCTCGGCAAAAGAAGTATGCACATGCGTTAACGAAGTTTTCGGACCTTGCTAACGACTATCGCTCGAGGGAACCTGGAAATGAGGAAGAAAAGGAGAATATTGGTCAAAATGGCGACAAAGGTTCCAAAGATGACATTTTAAACAAAGCAGACAAGATATTTGTCTGGTTATCAAATAATGTTCCTGAAAGCTTCAATGCCCATGCCTGCCTCGAGAAAATATTCTTGCTGAATAACGGCCGACATTTGACGTTATTGAAAAATTGCATTACGTCCTTCCTGGATTATAAAACGATAAAGAATTCCATCAAGGAATTAATTGTGAGTTTGAATAATCAAAAGGTTACGAAGTCCAGTGGAACAAGAATTACATCGGCCGAGATGGTGTCTACTATGAAATTGCTTCTTTACAGAGCAGCGCCAATCCTCTTTAACAAGTCAAACATTATTGAGTTGATGTCTGCATCCAAAGATTCTCTGAATGAGTTCTTCCAAATCTCGAACGAGTTACTCGAACTAGTGGCTTCTCTAAGCCCGGAATCTCTTCAGGATCAAGTACCAACAATGGCAGATATGCTTGTCACCGATGACATATACAATCCAAAAAATTCTGTTGATTCCCTCCTTCGATCAATGCACCATTCTTTGAAAGCATCTCCACAAAACTTCCCAGACAGTCTAATACTTACAGATCGATTACTTCGCTTGGCACAAGAAGGTTCCCCGGTACAAGCCAAATATAGTGCCAAAATCTTGGGTCACCATCAACACAAGGAGCATTTCCTATCAGAGATTGTTTCTTCATCGGTGCCCTTGGATACCCTGAGTTCACAATTTTCATCAAGACTTGCAGCAATTGCTGAGGTCTGTCTTATTGAGCCTCTTGTGGTTGAAGATCACGTCCAAAGTATAAATGACGTGATTACTGAACAGGTGTTGAAAAAGAATCGCCAGACAGAGAATTCATCTCTCAAGGCTGACTGGATATCTGATGAAGATTTGGCCGAAAACCACCAAAGCTTTCAAATTCTCAATGAGAAGTTGATTGCCATCAGGTATATCGTTAACAGAATCAGAGCCCTTTGTCTGTCTGACAATTTGACAAATGACCCAGGATTGGTTAAGCAGTTTGAAAAACCTATCAAGCTCCTTTCACTCATAGTTTCGACTGGGGGAGAGATTGTGAAACAAAATAGTCAACTGATTCCGACACCAGTATTATACCAGCAACGTTTGAGATTGGAAGCTGGGTATGGGATTCTAAAACTAGCAAGATATTCTGCTTTAGATCCTTTGATTGATCACAATGTCCTTAAGAAGATTGGTCGCTTAATGTATGACCTGTCTTTGCATGTCAGGGAAGGCTTCATGAAGAAATTGCACGGGAATTTATCAAGTTTTGCCATTCCAGAGAAGTTTTTGTATCTCGTTTTCCTAATGGGACATGAGCCTGATCAAAAGTTGCTGACCCTTGCAAGCACATGGATTAAATCTTCTTACCAGCGTTTTGAAAACAAGCAGGACATGGCTTTTGAACGTGCTCTTTCTAGGCTAATCCATGGAATAGCGCACGACGAAAGATATCTAAGTTACTCCACAAATGCGCCAGATGAACAAGGTCTGTCGTCTGGTGTTCTTCAAGCACTTGAGTATGCACTGAAGTTCATAACGATGTACCTCTCGAATATTTCGAAAGACACCAACATTTCAGTGTTGTATTATATTGCGAGCAGGGTGAAACAGTACCGAGATGCAACCGTACCCACATCGGCCTATGGAAATGGCGATGAGCTGATTCCTTCGCTGGCCGTCCACTTATACAGAGCAGCTGAATTGTGTCAGCTTTTGATAAAAGAATACGCAGACATCAAGAATTACACTTTGCAGACATGGCCAGGCAAGTTGAAGCTACCTACAGACATATTTTGCCCCATGGAGAACCTCGAAGAAGTCCTGGCTGTGATCGGAAGGCAATACATCGAAGATGACTTACAGATTGAGCTTAGAAGGAAAATCAAATCAATTTTTGGTAGATCAAGCACCAAGCGTTCATCAAACAAGATTTCCACACCGGTTAAGAAGCCTGCGAAGAAAGCTAAGACCTCTCGCAATGAATCTAAGACAAAATCCTCCAAGGCCAAGAAAAGAACTGAAGCGCAAGGTCGGAAGGAAAGAGAGCCTTTAAGAAGAAGCGCTAGGTCCACGAAGAAAGTAACTTATGAAGAGGGTTATGAAGAGGCCGGTTCTGAAGAAGAGGAATCACATCACTCCTCGAGCGATTATGAAAGTGACTACTGAAGTAGCATATGAATCGTCCACATAAATTATAGATTTATTTAATGCATTACCTTTCCATTTCCTTGATGGTGCTGAAATTTCCTTTCCAGCACGCCTCCACGAGTAGCTCAAGTCTTGTGGCTGCCGGGTAAGACTTCTTCCTACCCACTGGAGACCAAGCTTTCTCTATCAAGTTGAATAATTTCGTGGCTTGCCCTCTGTAGACCTGGAAGAAACTCTTTGCAGCAACCTCCCACCAATTGCCGACAACAACGTAATGAACATTTATGATGATGGCGGTATCAGTATTCAAAAGTCGAGCCAAAGATCGCCACTGAGCGGCTCTATTGAAAAGCCCATGTTCAGTGTTGGCATCTTCGTTTGATATAGCGGCCCATAATGTCATGATACCACCGATCCTTTCTTCATATTTGACTTCATCCTCCCATTTGTCGTCTGTACGCTTCCATCCCATACGTCTACGGCCCTCTTCGGTGTCAATAGCGCAGGAGTAGCCCAAGGTGAAGCAGCACTTCTTCACAAAACGAGCGGTGAGGTAGTAGTCGAATTCTGGATACAGCCGTAGAAGATTGTTGGTTACTAATGCCAAAGGAAGAGATGCAGTAGGTTTAACGATAACCTCAGCTTCTGCTTGTGATATAAGGGCTTTTGCAATAGAGTTGAGAAGCCAATGATAGGCTCCTGGATTAGAACGAGTAGGTTCCACTAACTGGTGGATGTCAGAACATGCGGAGTTGCACTGGCTTCTGGAGTTTGATAACTGACCAAATTTAACAGTGACTTTTCTTCGAAGAACGTTCATTTGCTTCTTTAAGTCTTTATTCTGGTTAATAGGTGCAACCACTTTTTCCTTGATGTTGGCAATCTCAGTTCTCCATTTTTCAACTTCCTTAGCAACCTCTTTCCAGTCAGTACCGCCTCTCTTGCGCTTCTCCTCGTCCTCCTTTAACTTCTTTTGCCGGAGCCTCTCTTTTTCCTCAGCTTCTTTCTTTTGCTTTGCTAGTTCTTCCTTCTTCTTTTCCTCCTCACGTTTTCTGAGTGCTTCTTTCCTTTCTTCTTCTAATCTTCTCTTTTCCTCCTCAGCTTTCCGTTTCTCCTCTTCAATTCTTTTCCGCTCCTCCTCTTTCCTCTTGATTTCTAGTTGTCTCTTCCTTTCTTCCTCTTCCTCCCGAAGCTTTTGTTCATAAAGAAATAGGTCCTTGATGGTAGACTCTTGAGAGGATTGTTCTACCTCAAAAGTTGCATCTAGGGCTCCTAGTAGCTGATTTGTATGGGAGTTTTGCGAATTGTAATAGCTTTTGAAACTCTTTAGCCTCTTATCTTGTTCTTCATTATACTTCTCGATATTCTGAAGCTCTAACTGACCCAAAGCGTCCGTAATTTGGTCTGCGAGATTGGTAGGGGCAAGGAAGCGGCCTGCCTTTACCTTCCTGGAGCGGGGTGCCGGGACATACACGACATCTCCATCACTGGGCAACCCAAAACGCATCTAATTGAGTGAATGGTGGGGTGAAGGGTTGTTTTGGTTAAAGATCTTTAAAATCAACCAGCCAAATAAAACAGCCATGGTGATATAGGGATGTACGGGTGTGTGGATATTACCGAATGTTTCAACGACACATTTCCTTCTTCTTTGGAGGAAAAAAGTTCCTGAAAAGAGTTTTTCAACTTTCTAGGTGTTCTCCAGAACTCTGCTATTTTCTATCGGCTTCATCAATCCTTCTTTGTGGTACTGGTGAAGGATGTTGCAACTTCTACCCAGTGCGTACTGTACTCGCACACTAGTAGACAAATTTTTCAACCCCAAGTAACGAAAAGCATCTGCTACAAACCTTCAAGAAAACATGAGCATCTCTTGGGTCCGTGCTTTCTCGACGTCGAGAAGCCTTGGGAGAGCAGGTTATTCCCTGGTGGAGCCCGTGCACCACCTTGTGAAAATCAACAAGGCTGCTTTGAGTCCAAGATACGAAGAAGTCTTGATGCCAAAGGACGACATCAGATCTCTTGGTTTCAAGCCAACAGAATTCGAGCAAGATAGAGTCAAGGAACACTTCAACCACACTCTTGAAAGTGACTTGATGCTTGCTCTCTACGAGCACGATGCCCAGACTATTGTGGGTGAGAAGAGAAGAAGATGGGAACCCGACTCGCCATATGCTCTCTACCGTCATCTCAGAAAAGCTAGACATGTCAACAGACCAACCAGAGATGTTCATCCTATTGGTCCTGACAATGTTCCTCGTCTTACGGGTATTTCTATTAACTTGTACGCCAAAGAAGCCGTCGTCGACCCAGTTCACAACATTGCAGCCAGATTGCAAATTGCACAGATCACCAACGTCAAACCCCAGCAAACAAAACTTAAGGTCAACTACCAGCCATGGAAGCTTAGGAAAGGTAAAAGATGTGGTGCCAAGGTTGAGCTTCTAGGTCAGGACATGTCCCAGTTCTTGACCACTTTGACCGAATTGGTTTTGCCTAGAATCAGAACCTTCAAAGGTATCAGTGAAACTTCCGGAGACAACAACGGTAACATTTCCTTCGGTTTGGATACCGATGATGTCAAGTTCTTCCCAGAGATTGAGAATTTCCAGGACTTGTACCCTAAGCTCTTTGGATTCCACATAACTTTCAAGACCACAGCCAGAACTGATGAAGCCGCCAAGGCCTTGTTGAGTTCTCTTGGTCTTCCTTTCTACAAAAAGTAGACATAGATGTAAATAGTACTTAAGGAACGGAACGTTTTAAACCAGGAATCTGTAATGTCGCGATGCGTACGCGGTGTAGATAGATCGCATTAGATCTGGGGAACCACCAACTAGCATTACCAAGCCCACAGCTAACTAGAAATGGCTCAACCAATTCTTTCAGTCGTTCATGACTATTCCATTCTATATTCGAACCGAATCATACAGAAAGATAAAAGATGGGCAGATGGAAGACTACGTTTCTATGAGCTTAACAATAAGCTAGAGGTGTACTCCGAGGAGCAGTTCCTAATAGCCACAGATTTCTATCCTTCTACGAAGAAACTGCCACTCCAAACGGGTGCTTTTGAAGAGGGAACCGAGTATAAACTTCCGAGCGGGAAGTTCTTGTTGTCTCTCCAGGAGTACTTGGGTTGTTCGATGCGTGATGTATCGAAGGTCTTCAAGAAGGCCTCAAGCAAGACACCTGAAGCCAATGGGAAGATTGTTCCCACAACATATATAAAGCAGGAGGGTTCAATGGGTGATTGCCCGGTACAAGCACAAGGCAACGTACTGGAGGTCCCAGAAGATCTCACCTTCCTTAAGGCTGAACCTACCGAACCCAAAGTTGCATCACCTTTAGCACCACCGAAGCCTAGAAGAATAGGTCTTACAAGAAAGAAGGGCTCTTTAAAAAAGCAGGGCGATCTTAGCCAGTTCACGCGTGGTCCTTCTGTCGAAACTAGGCTTCGACAGTATGTTCAGCGAGGGCAACCTAGAGTGAATAGGATTCCACCACGAAGTGCTAACTTATATACTCGGCTTTACAAAGAGTTGTCGATGGAGGATGAGGAGAATGAGTTGGACTCGTCAGTGAAGGTTCCACATACGGGTTTGACACAGTCGAAGAAGGAAGACACAGTGCCTGGAGCTCTGTGAAATGACATACTGTTTGGCATGGAAGGTTGATATGGATGGAGTTTTTGGCTGCCTCTAATGAGCTGCTTGAAGTCTTCTTTGGTAATTGGAAGCATTTAATGTTATTACCGGTGATTATCTCGGGCTGTTCTTCGCTGGGATCATTTTGCTCTGAAGGAATTATGCTTTCCTTCCGTGCTTCATGGTCCAGCGTATCGTGGCCGAAAAAGGGATGAATTTTCCTTACTTTCGAGAAGATTAAGACGACGTGCAATCGGCTACCCTTTGCTACAGCAATGCTTCTGAGTCAGTGAGTGGGGTCAACGTGATGGCGACAAGCATTATTAGAGTTTTACTTTCAGCCAATAACCGAGACACCCGGTTGCCTGTCAGAGTGAAATAGTGTTCTTACAAAAGCAAAACAAAGCGGAATAGCAACGTTGAAGCGAGCATTTTATCGAATCATCTTCATATTCATGTCTGGGCAAGTGATGTAATATCAATTTTGTGTGATGGTACGAGCATATCTGCCACAGTGATGTAACGATAACAAGAGCAAACTGTTTTGAATCTGTTTGATGTCTTCATTGCTAGTCCACATTGGGAAATCGATAGACGAAGATAAGGAATACTCCCACGTGGAGGAGGTTAAAGACAAAGAAGTGAAACAGAGGAAAGAGGAGACGAGGAACGCAAGCCATGCACTGTGGAGCGATACTCCAGAGAAACGTGCCTATTAGTTACAAACCCCCCAAATCGATAAGGTCAGGGCGGTGCAGGCTGATAAGGCCATAGAATGCCGTCAGGCAGTACTACTGGGATAATGGTGGTTATATCAAAGACGTGTGGCGTAGAACGGCACTCGATAGGGGAAGCGAGGAATTACGACAAAGGTATTTTGGCGCCAAAGCACTATCCGGCAGCGGAATTAGACCTTCACCAAGAAAACACCACCATTTTGAAGGCTGATGATAGCCGTACATGGCCTGTCTCGCTAACATCTCTGCACGAGGGACTAATTAGCGGGTACCAAGGTCTCAGAAAAAAAGTATTAAAAATTATCCACCAAGCAACAGACAAAGACAACCACCATCAGATGATCATTCCCTGTCATAGTCATTTCGCATAACACAATGGCCACATCTCAGCAACCAGCGACGATCAAAGAAGAAATTTAACAATTACACAGAACGTGGCCATCCATCACGCCCTGAATGGGTTGCCAATGCCTCACTGGGTTTATTATTGAGAGCGGTTTTTGTGCGACGCCTCGCTACAACGTGGGCCCTTAACTATTGCACACGTGCTGTGGGGCGGTGTGTGTTTGGCTGCACTGTCGCATTTTTTGCCTGGTTATCGCTGCAAAAAAGTGCCAAATGGGTCTCGTTCTCTGGCTGCCAGCTGAGGAATAATTAGGCCCAGTATGCAAAGACACCACGCATAGAAGCGCTTTTTGCGGAACCGGAGCACCCTGCTGGGAAAGGAATTCTCTTGATTGACGCCGAGCTCCGTATAAGTTGAACGCCTCCCCCACATTTTCTGAGAAAGAAACTTTGATTTTGGCCCTTTTGTTGTTTTTCGTTTCTTCTGGCTTTTACTTGTCCTGTTCCCATTGTTACACACCTATTGCTAAGAGATTCTCAAACTTCTTGGTTTTAGCTGGCTATCGTGCACCTTCTAGAATATCAGCACTTTGGCCGTTCAGATACTACCCATTTTTCCCCCTTTCAAAGCAAAAAGAAATCTTGCTGAGTGCCTATTTTGAATACGGCAGTTCCAAATTTGGGTGCTTTTAGTGCCAGTTAATTAAGCCTTGACAAGTCGCTTTACTATAAAATCGCACACTGCGTGCACAACAGGTACTACTTTATCCGCCTTTCTTTTTTTTTTCTTGGTCTCTGTGTGCATCATCACCAGTTTTTTCACTATTTCTACAACAAACAGTTTAAAAGCTCCTAGAATTGTTTCCAACTGCAAATCATTCCCCATCGACGAATCTACGTCCATCCAGCCATCCAATTCTACGCCATTTCGTTCCACTTGATGATTTTGATATAGCTTCGTGACTATACTCATTGACTACCACCAAATGTCCACTACAACTTCTACAAGGACGACGCCCTCCTTCGACCCGACCAGTGTGTCTCCTCGAATACGGCCATCGCCAATAGCCCATATCCCTCGAGACGGCTTCGGCTACGGTTCGAGGTATGGGTCCCGGACAAGCTCGATCTCCAACGGTTCCGATGGAACCAGGACCCCGAGAAAACGCAAAATCGCTCTGCCAAAGACTGCTTTCAGAGATATAGATCCATTCCTTGCTCAATACCTCAAGCCATCTGTAAACGACAGACATGTGCTGTATTTCAAATCGTTAGAGAAACATACCAAAGTGAGGGGTTATGACTTCTACAGTCAGTACTTCAACAAGTCAACCGTTCCAGAGAGCCCAGCTCAGATTCTGAACTTGCGAGGAGTTATCAAAGAGCGCCGTCGTGTTGTTTCTCCGCTCTGTAGGCAAGTTCCAACAGACATCTATGACCAGGACTCTATGAGCGAAGACGACGACGAAGACGACGATGAAGACGAAGTGATTATTTCTAAGGGCCAAAGGCGCAGGAAATCTACGGGAGAGCTGGTATCCCCTGGCCCTACAAGCAAGAAGCCACATTCACAAGTGTTCACCGCCAGACTTCCGTCGGACTTCATGAAGTGCTCTATCGATGACCTCATCAACCTTATTTATCGCATGCTTCAATCATTAATCAGTCTCAATGACAAAAGCGTTCCTGCGGTTGTATCCAATCCAGGCAGTGCTGACGAGAGTGACTTGACGGCGGAAGAAAAGAAGAAGCTTCTCACGAGATTCCATTCTAGAACACCTCCAGCCATCTCAATCGAAACATACCTTGCTAGATTGACCAAGTTCAATAACTTCACTCAGGCCACTTTGCTCACGACCATCTATTACATTGACCTTTTGTCACACAACTACCAGCCATACTTTACGCTAAACTCGTGGACCGTGCATCGTTTCTTGCTCGTGGCCACGATGTTGGCGCAGAAGTCGCTTGAGGATTTCTTCTACACCAATGACCACTATGCCAAAGTGGGCGGTGTAGCTCTCACCGAACTCAACTGTTTAGAGTTAGACTTCCTCACGCGGGTCAACTGGAAGTTGGTACCAGCAAAGCAAATGGCAGACAATACCACATCTATTCGGTACAGCAAGCAGGTGCTTGATCTATATTACGAGCAGCTCATCAGTTTGATGGGCAGCAACGTTTCTGAAAACAACAACATAGTTTACAAGCTAGCAGCAGCCGAGCATATATAACGGCAGCAACAACAACTGGGCACACTAAGGAGCCCCGGCATTAGGATTATATCTCATGATGGGTCATGAGCGGAAATAGGAAATCTACGAAATACAAAAAAAAAAATGTCCCAACAATAAGTAGAATCTCGTATTTGCCCGAACTAACCGGAACATGGCATTAGTCAAAAAAACATAAAGTGCCTCCCAAGACACTCCAATTAGCAGCACCGGCAGTATTGTTCATGACTAAAAGGTCGTGCCGCGAAGTATTGTGCTCACTCTTCCTCCCTTCTGGCCCTCTGAGTCGCATTTTAGTCAAATTGTCTGGCTGCCGCCCGCGCCAGCGGAAATTTCCCTGTGCATTCACAATTGCCATTTCTGCCCCAAGCGAGATCCGTCCTGTCAAAAAAAGGGCATGGGTCTCGTCTATTTTGTTCCCTCACAATTTCCAGTTACACAATCCACTTGACCCTCCCTAGCAATCAATTTATTTTCCGCCTGTTTTTTGCTCCCGACCTCCATGGTCAATTTTTAATTAACCGCCCCGCCACAGTCCTTCCCCAAAAAAAAATCAACCAATTTCTTGCCAGATTCTCTTTTAAAAACTTCTCGAACTGTTTATGTGTGAGCAAATTAATCCACATTGAGCTAATCTTCCGTCATCACCGAGGCTGCTTCCGTAAAAATCAATGCCTCACTCTGGCAGAAAAGGCAAAATAGCCGTTGGGTGCCCAGCCAAACGGGTTTTTTCTGCTTACTTTTTTCGGCCTGGGGAAAGCCAGCCCGCGAGGCCTTACCATGAGATTTTCAGGTGCAACCGACTCACAAACACTGAACGAGCTTGGTAGTTGTAAAATTGATTAGAGTGTAAGTGATAGAAGATCTTGGGTTTTTATTATAGTGGGGGACGTCTCCGAGCAAATTATCTATCCAAAAGGAGCGGTTTCTTTAGGGCTGCCTCTTCTATTTCATGCACTGTTGGCGCCGCATAATCTGCAAACAACTCGCATGCCACAGGTAGACCATCGTCTCATCTCGTATATAAGTAGACAGACAAGTCCACATTTTTTTTTTTTTGCTCCTCCAGATCCTTGTGTCCACTAACAAATGTCTTCTGACGAAGTAAAGCTTTACGGGCCTATCAAGGCTCGGGAGGCTTTCCTGAGCCACTCAGAGTCTCCGGGCTCTGGTACTAGTTCTCCGGATGGCATTGACGTTTATAACCCTGGTGAAGGAAGAGAGGTGCTTAATGATGATACTGCTTCCCATGAAGAAGTTGAAAGGATCAACACTTTGTCGAGAGAGGTTTCTCGTCTTTCATTCTACGAAGGCGACCTTCGTGTTGACCCAGACCAGTTCGACTTGCGCAAGCTTCTTTACACTCAGATGAAGCAAGCTGAGCTCTCTGGGGTCAAGCTTAGAGATATGGGTGTTTCTTTTGAAAACATGACGGTGACTGGTGTTGACCAGTCTTATGCATTCTTACCTACCCTTTCGGACATTTTGATGCTTCCCGTGACCATCTATAGAGGCATCCGTTCTGCTGGTCTGAATCCTCAGAGAGATATCTTGCACGAATTGAACGGTTATGCTAGAAGCGGTGAAATGGTTCTTGTCTTGGGAAGACCTGGTGCTGGTTGTTCTACCTTCCTTAAGGCTCTTTCAGGCACTGATACCAACATGTACACGGGCATCACCGGTGATGTGGAGTACGATGGATTGCCTCGTAAGAAGATGATCCGTCACTTTAAGCAAGACTTGATTTACTGTCCTGAATTGGATACTCATCTTCCACATCTTACCGTTGAGCAGACATTGGACTTTGCTATTCAATGTAAGATGCCAGATAAGCGTGCCAATGACATGTCCAAGAAGGAGTATGTTGTGTTCATGAGAGAGATGCTCGCTACTATCTTTGGTTTAAGACACACGTTTAAGACCAAGGTTGGTAACGATTTCGTTCGTGGTGTTTCTGGTGGTGAAAGAAAAAGAGTCTCTATTGCTGAGGCATTGGCCTGTCAAGGTACAGTGTACTGTTGGGATAACGCTACTCGTGGTTTGGATGCTTCTACTGCGCTTGAATACGCTCAGGCCATCCGTGTGTCTACTGATATCACCAGATCTACTGCATTTGTGACGTTGTACCAGGCTTCTGAGAACATTTATCACACTTTCGACAAGGTCACTGTGTTGTACAAGGGTCGCCAGGTTTACTTTGGTCCTGTTGATGAAGCCAAGGCCTACTTTGAAAACATGGGTTTCGAATGTCCTCCAAGACAGTCTACTGCTGAGTTTTTGACTGCTGTTACCGATCCTCAGGGTCGTACACCAAGAAAGGGGTACGAGAACAAGGTCCCACGTACGGCCGACGACTTCGAGGCTTACTGGATTGCTTCTGAGGACTTCAAGAGACTCAAGGCTGAAATCAAGGAATACAAGGCTACAAAGAACCCAGATGAAACAAAGCGTCAATTGATTGAGTCCATCAAGCAAGAGAAGCAAACTGGTCAGAGAGTCGGATCCCACTATACCGTGAACTTCTATGAACAATACCGTTTGAATATGAAGAGATCATTCCAGACCATCATGGGTGATAAAGCATATACCGTGACTCAAATTGTCGCCGCCATTCTGCAGAGTTTAATTGCAGGTTCGTTGTACTATAATACCCCTGACGATGTCACTGGTGCTTTCTCCAGAGGTGGTGTTGTTTTCTTTTCCGTTTTGTATTTATCTTTGATGGGTCTTGCCGAAGTCTCCAACTCCTTCGCCCAGAGACCAATTATGTTGAAGCAGAATAACTATTCGCTTTATCATCCCGCTGCATGTTCCGTGGCTGACGCCATTACCGCTATTCCTATTACTGTCATGATCAGTATTGTCTTCACTTTGATCCTTTACTTTTTGGCCAATTTGAAGACAGATGCTGGTGCCTACTTCACGTTCTTGTTGTTTTCCATTTTGGTCTCGCTATGCATGAATGGTCTTTTCAAAGCTGTGTCTGCTTGGAACAAGACCATCTCAGCCGCCAACTCCTTTGCCGGTGTCTTGATTTTAGCTGCATTGATGTATTCGTCTTTCATGATTCAAAGACCATCGATGAGAGTCTACTTTAAATGGATTTCCTATATTAACCCTGTTCTTTACGGTTTCGAGGCCATGATCACAACTGAATTTCATGGAAGGGAAATGCCATGTTCACAAATGTATTTGGTGCCTAGTGGACCTGAGTACAACCCATCCGAGGCTGCCTGTGCTTTCCAGGGTGCTCTCCCTGGTGAGAATATTATTAACGGTGATAGATATGTCCAACAAGCATTTGAGTACAGTTTCAACCATGTTTGGAGAAACTTTGGTATTTTGATTGGATTTTACGTCTTCTTCTTGGTTGTCGCTGCTATTGGTTTCGAAGTCATCCGTCCAGTCTCTGGTGGTATTGATAGACTTTTCTTCTTGCGTGGTAAGAAGCCAGATTATATCGTCACTCCAGAGGAAAAGGCCAGAAATGATGGTGAAGATGGACCTAGCCCTGATGCTGATTTGGAGAAAGTGAAGCAAACGAGCACTTCCACAAGTCAGAACTCAGCTTTGGCTGATTTGAAGTCGAAGGACATCTTCTGTTGGCAAAATGTGGACTATGTCATCCCTTACGATGGTGGTCAAAGAAAGCTTTTAGATTCTGTGTCTGGATTTTGCGTTCCTGGAAGATTAACTGCATTGATGGGTGAATCTGGTGCTGGTAAGACCACATTGTTGAACGTTTTGGCCCAAAGAATTAACATGGGTGTCATCACTGGTGATATTTTGGTTAATGGTAAACAACTCGATGGATCTTTCAGCCGTCGTACCGGTTACGTTCAGCAGCAAGATATTCACTTGGCTGAAACTACTGTCAGAGAAGCTCTTAGATTCTCTGCTCAGTTGAGAAGACCAAACGATGTCCCAGATAGCGAAAAGTTTGACTATGTGGAGAAGATTATCGATATCCTTGAGATGGCTGAATACTCTGATGCTATCGTCGGAGACCTTGGTTCTGGGCTTAATGTTGAACAACGTAAGAAATTGACGATCGGTGTTGAGTTGGTTGCCAAGCCTTCCTTGTTACTTTTCCTTGATGAGCCTACTTCTGGTTTGGATTCCCAGTCTGCCTGGGCTATTGTGAAGCTCTTGAGAGACTTGGCTTCTGCTGGTCAATCGATTCTTTGTACCATCCATCAGCCATCAGCTACCTTGTTCGAAGAGTTTGACCGTTTGTTGCTCTTAAGAAAAGGTGGTCAAACTGTCTACTTTGGTGATATTGGTGAACGTTCGAGGACTATCTTAGATTACTTTGAGAGAAACGGTGCAAGAAAGTGCAGTGAGCTGGAGAACCCAGCCGAGTACATTTTGGAAGCTATTGGTGCTGGTGCTACTGCCACTACTGCTTACGATTGGTTCGATATTTGGACAAATTCTCAAGAGAGAACCGATGCCGAGAACGAGATTTCACGCCTTATCGACGAGGGTAAGCAGAAGGCCGGCTTGTCTGAAAAGGAGCTCAAACAATTGCAAAATCCTTACGCTACTTCCATCTTTTACCAGTTTTTCATCCTCCTCAAGCGTAATTTCCTCGCTTTCTGGAGAAACCCACTGTACATCATGGCCAAAACGTCTTTGATGATCATGAGTGGATTATTTATCGGTTTTACTTTCTTTGGTTTGGATCATTCCCTTACAGGAATGCAGAATGGTATGTTCTGTGCTTTCTTGTCGGTGGTTGTGTCTGCTCCTGTTATCAACCAGATTCAAGAGCAGTGTATGGCTTTCCGTGACGTTTTTGAAGGTAGAGAGAAGCTTTCCAATACGTACCGTTGGTGGCTTCTTGTGTTGGCACAATACGTTTGCGAAGTGCCTTTCAACTTCGTCGCTGGTGCCATGATGTTCGTCTCCCTTTACTTCCCAACCGAAGCTGACTTCTCGGCTCCTCACTCAGGAGTGTTTTACTTGACACACGGAATCTTCTTGCAGTTGTTCAACATCTCGTTTGGTTTCATGATCCTTTACTTTGCTCCTGATGTTCAATCTGCTGCTGTTTTGGTGTCTTTCTTCTACACTTTTATTGTTTCTTTTGCAGGTGTTGTTCAGCCCAAGGACTTGATGCCAGGCTTCTGGGTTTTCATGAACAGAGTGAGTCCTTACACTTACATCATTCAGAACTTGGTGGCTTCGTTCCTTCATGACAGAGAGGTTGTCTGCAAAGATCAAGAGTTTGCCTACACCCCCTCTCCAAATGGAGAGGCATGTGGTGACTACATGAGCAGCTTCCTTGAGAGAGCTGGAGGGTATTTGCAAGATCCAACGAATACCACAGTATGTGCGTACTGTCAGTACAGCAATGCTGACCAGTACCTCGAAACTATTCAAACCAGTTACGACAATATCTGGCGTAACGTTGGCTTTTACTGTGCCTACATCATTTTCAACCTCTGCGTCTGTCTTATTTTGTATAAGGCTATCAGACTTACGAGGTGGAAGCTTCCTTCTTTCAAGCGTAAGAAGGATTAACCTACCAGATTTAAGAAACACTTAACATGTATATAGAAATAACCAAACTAGAATAAAGAAATAAAATCAACGTCATCAAGGATCATCAGTAAGAGGATATAAAAATCATAACCGCGCAAGCTTGGAACAATACAATTGTTCCGAAATCGTAACATCATTCGTAATAAAAAGAACGACTAAGATCAAAAGCCTTGCAAAATCCAAGATAAAGAAGATTCAAAACGCTTATTGAGGCTTGAGCAACTCAAACGAGCAACACAACTTTTTGTCAACACTCATTACCGCACCGTAATTGTTAAATTCACCACAGTAATTAGGAGCCAGGAACACAGTCACCAACTTTCTTCTGTTGAAGAATTCATAGCCGTCTTCTACCACCATGTGGCCTCTTACAATCAAGTCCATATTGAACTTGTTCAAGAAATGGTCGACGTGTTTCTTACCAAAACAGTAAGATACACCACGATCGTTCTTAGGCCAGTGGGTTTCATTAAACGATTTCAACTTTGGATCAGGATCAGACCACAACAAGTCTGCCAATAAACCTTTATCCGGAATATCCGTAGGTCTTTGAATCTGTTCAATTTGTTTAAGATCACGCAATTCAGGAGACAAACCACCATGAATAGTAAAAATCTTGTCATTGATAGAAGCAGCAATTGGCAAACTGTTGAAAACATCGATAAAGTTCTTCCACAACTTGTGACTGCCAGAAATTAAAGGCAATCTTCTCTTGCACTCGTCATAGAAACCATAGATCTTGGTGATGTTTGCAGACTCGTGGTTACCTCTCAACATGAAGAAGTTCTCAGGGTACTTGATCTTGTAACATAACAAAAGCAAAATAGTCTCCAAAGACTTGTAACCTCTGTCGACATAATCACCCAAGAATAAGTAATTAGTTTGAGGAGGGTGACCACAAGAATTGAAAATTCTAATAAGATCGTGGTACTGACCATGAATATCACCAACAATTTTGACAGGTGGAGACAACTTCAACATGGTAGGCTGATCCAAGAAGATAGATCTCGACTTGGCAGTGATGTGTTTGATTTCATCAGGAGTCAAAGGCAACTTGTCTCTGTTAGATCTTGATTTGAAAGCAGTACTGGATCTTCTCTGACCGACATTCAACAAACGTTCGATCACACCATCTATGTCAAAGTCAACTCTCTTAGCACTTGGTATTAATGGAGGAGATGAAGGAGCGGATGATACAGATGCTTTGGAAGCCAACTTGCGACCGAGTTCACTAAACTTTGGGATGGCCTGCGAGTCGTTAGACTTTGCAGACTTTCTTGCTTTCGAAGAGTCCGACGGACTAGAAGAAGTACTAGACGACAGACTAGACAGCTCTTGAATCGGGTCTAGGCTATCTGGAGATTGCAAGAAAGGAGCACCCTTGTAGTTTACGGGCAGATTTGAAGAGACTGATGAAATCAGGCTTTCATCTTTCGTCTCACCGCCGTTAGTGAAGACAGATAACCCGTTCAGGCTTTCCATAGAAGAAGACGAGTTGACGGACTGGTAAGAAGATGGCGCCAACCACTCCTTTGGAGAACGAACGGATGAAGAGTTCCCATTCATAGCGGTTGCCATAGAAGCATCGATTTCAAGGTCAAGGTCGCCACGAGGGACGGAGGAGGACTTTCTTGAGCCAGATCTAGCGGTACCATTTGACGAGCGAGGGATATTCTTGGGGCCAACAGAAGGAGTAACCTTGGAGTTGCGGTTGGAAGGATGGGAGGCGTTGGGTTGGGCGTTTTGGATCTGCTTATCTTGGAAAGAAAAGCTTTTCAAACTTTTGTCTAAAAGTTCGCTACCGTTTCCGGTAGGCCGAGATAGCGGGGGCACGGTATCATCCTGGTCCAAGTCCTGAGACTCGAACGAAGGGACACCGTTCAGTGTAGCTGAGCTATTCGGTAGAGGGTCATTTTTGGACGGGCTGTTTCCCATAACTTGAATGGTGGGGTACTTGAAATAAGTGTGCTTGGGCGCCTCGGGTGGGAGTTTCGGGTTTCTTGGAAATGAAATAAAAAGAAGTAATTTACAAAATTTAGACTAGTCCAAAAGTGTATCTTCGTAACGGTGAAAAAGAATAATTAAAAAAATGTAAGTTGTGTGTGTTGGAGATTTGTAAGACGGGAAAAAAAATTATGCGGATGAGCGAGGAAATATATGTTTAATTAGCGCCTCTCACCAAGGTCGTGCGCGAAAACGTTTTCTCAGCCAAGGCTAGCTCACACCGTGGGCACACAAAAAAGAAAAAAAGGAAAAGGCCTGGCTGTGGCAGTAATTAAGGATTCGATTCGTCTTTTTTTAGTGTGAAACTGCGGGACCGCGATAAGCCTGTCAATAGGGGGGAGGGAAGGAGATTCCACGGGAAGATGGGGAAGTAGAAAACTGTTTTCTTCTATAAACTTTTTATATATTTTCCCGGAATGTGCCTGGCTTTATATACTTTTTTGCTCCCTGGTGGCCCCCCAGAACCTCCATTTCTTTTTGTGTAGATTTCCTCTAATCAGGTCTCGTTTTCTGTCCATGTGACGCTTGGGGGTGTTTTGCGCTGGTCGGTCCCGATAACTATTGGGTGCAAAACGCGCAGCTTCCTTGTCTGGGCCAGGTGCCTCAGTTGAGCAATGAAGGGAGGGTTTGGGGTTGCCAGGGAGTACAGAGAGTAGGGGGCTAGGTGGTTTGCTTTATTTGTTGTGTGATTTTTGGGATTGTGTAATATTTTTAAAAATTTGTGGTTTTTCGGTTTTTAGCAACTATATCGTTTCTTGGTGTGGGGTTTCTGGACCAGATCTGGATCTGGAAATTCGCAACTCTTTACCGTTGTGGACCCACCCTGTCAATATGAACAGAGGATGTAAATGGGCTAACAAAAAATGAGTCATCTACGATAGATAGCAAAATAGTGGGTTCAAAACGGGCTCGTTTAATGTGGAGAGATATTGATTGGCCTCCTACGACTACCTGTTTCAGGTAAAAAAAAAAAATCAGGTACTAATTACTAGACGGTTCTTGGTCCTGGTGGCTTAAGAACATGCCACAATTAGCTATTGTTGGTACGTGAAATTCACTTCAATTCAAGCTCCCACCACGGCCCTTCTGATCCGTGTTCATTGTCAAATAGATAATTAAACTTTAGTAGCCACCTAGTAACGACAACACATCGTTTACCTGACCCATTGGGCTTCTCCACTTTGCTACCATATACTTCCTGGTTTCACTAAACGATGACCGGTTCGCCCACAAAACATTGGCCCCTATTCTGTGTTTTCTAGGCTCAATGTTGTTCCTTCCTCGATAGTAGCCTTCCCTACTACACATAATAGGGCGCCAAGCGACCAACAAACAGCATGAGTCGAAACGTCAACAAATAAGAAACCTTTCAATTGAACGTGTTTGCTGGTTACGGCAACCTGGACAAGGCAGAGGTACTATACAATGTGTCAGAGAACACTTGGTGAAAGAAGACAAGCCAGCGACCATGATGTAATTCTGAATCACTATGATTCATAGTACATATGTCGTGTGCACCGTAGGTTAAGCGAGCAGGCACTTGTTGTGCCAGTTATGAAGTTCGTTCAGGGTAAGCTAACGACATTTTGGTATCCCTCTTTCTCTAGACCATAAGCTGTCGTACACTAAGCAGCCCATAGTAGCACTACTGATGCATATTCGTACATACAAATCCTATACTGTGTCTGACCTTCTGGGTATCAAAAGCCTTGATGTTAACCACTTTATTCGACGCTTTTTACTACCTATGCTCGTCTAAAGCATCCATAACCCCCGTATAATGATTTAACAGCGCCGCATACACTTTCAGCAATCCTGGTGGTGGAATCCCCTACAACATTTGTATCGCGAAATATACATCTCCATGTTTCGCAACCTTACCAGAATGACCTCTTCAATCAAGTCAACCGGCTGCCTTATCATTGGCGACGAGGTCCTCAATGGTAAGATCCATGATGTCAACTCATTCGAGTTTGCCAAATACTGTTTCAGAGAGTTGTCGATTCCAGTTAAGAAGACCATTGTGTGTGGAGACGACAAGGACGATATCATACGTTCTCTCAAGACCCTTACGGACGAAAACTGTGACTTTATAGTTACTTCCGGTGGAATTGGGTCAACCCATGATGACATCACATATGAAGCCTTGGCTGATGCTTTCCGTGTGCCTTGTACGTTAGATGATGAGACGGTTCAGAGAATGCAGACTCTACGTAAACCGTTCTTATCTACTTTGCAGAAACCCGAATTGGATGCATTTTATCGTATGGCCACTTTACCACAACCTTCAGAACAAACAAAGGTGCTGAAGTTGTTCATTGACGAAACCCTCTGGGTGCCAATTGTTGGCCTTAATGAGAAGGTCTACGTTTTGCCTGGAGTTCCACAATTGTTCAAAAAGCTATTAGTGGGCTTGGGAGAATCGGTAAAACCAAGATGTTTGTCTCAAAAGTTCACCAGGTTCTTTGTTAAAACAAGGAAAGGTGAATCGAACATTGCCCCGTTCTTGACAGAATTACAGAATAGATGTGATGCTTCTTTCAATAAGCGTGTGAAAATCGGTTCATATCCTCATTTTGATTGGAAAATCGTCACAGTCAGCATCATTGGTGATAAATCTGTTCCTGAGCAGGACTTAAGGAAGGTGGTTGAAGACGTTGTGAAGAATGTGGATGGAGAAGAGATCACTGCAGCGGAGGAGGATCATCTCACAACTTGTGGCCCTCCAAATCTATAATTATCTAATCCTTAATAAGTAGATACTATTAGATACATACCCATCATGCTCTATACTAACACGATCCCATCTATGTCAATTTCTCCGTGAGAGCCTTCTTGACGGCCTCAAGAGCCTCGTTAACACCATCTGGCTTGTCTCCCATACCTTGAACGATGTTGCCCTTACCACCAGCCTTACCGCCGATGTGTGCAATAGCTGCCTTGGCAATCTCGTTAGCATCAACACCCTTGCTGATAGCCTCATCGGAAATGTAACATCCATGGGCAACCTTGTCGCTGGTACCGGTGATCAAATAAAGAGACTTCTCCTTAGCTTCCTTCTTTATGAGGTTGAAAGCCTCGGTGATAGCCTTGGCGTTGGCGCTGATTGGAACGTGAGCGACAAGGAATGGAGCCTTCAGCTTCTCCTCGTCCTTCAACCATTCGTTGACGACGTTCAAAGTCTTCTTAGACTCTTCCTTCTGTTTAGCCTTCAAGTTGTCCTTGATAGACTTGTCCAACTTGGTGAACTTCTCGTTAAGTTTCAGCTTGTCCACAACGGAGATAGACAACTTCTTCAAGGCAACACCAAGCTCCTTAGCCTTTTGTTCCTTGTCAGCACCAAATGGCAAGTTAGCGGCGGCATCTAAGTCAGCATCGAAGTCCTTAGCGACTTGCTGGACGCGGTGAGCATCGTGGCCGGTAACGGCAACAATTCTTCTAGTACCCTTGGCGATACCAGATTCCTCAATGATGACCAAATCCTTGATTTCAGCGGTCTTGGCGACATGAGTACCACCACAGAGCTCAATAGAGTATTTGTGCCATTCCTTGTTCTCAGGATCATTAAGCAACTTGGAGACAGGCACGCCGATGGAAACGACTCTAACTGGATCAGGGTAGACCTCACCGAACACAGCTCTAAGGCCGTTGATCAGCTTGGCGGTGGCCAAGCTAACATCCTCGGCGAAAACTTCCTGGTTAGCCTTGATGTTCTCGTTGGAGATCTTCTCAACTTGTTCAACTTCCTTGATAGTCAAAGCTTGCTTGTTGCTGAAGTCGAATCTCAACTTCTCAGCGGCAACCAAAGAACCCTTCTGGTCAACGTTGTCACCCAACACTTCTCTCAAAGCGAAGTTCAAGACGTGAGTACCAGTGTGGTTGTTTCTGATAGGCCATCTTCTCAACTCATCGTAAGTAGCAATGACTTCATCGCCAACCTTAAGGGTACCCTCTACCAAGTTACCAGTGTGCAAAACGTAACCGGCGTAAGACTGGACGTTGGTAACGTTGAATTCGGCACTGCCGTCAATGACCAAAGAACCAGTGTCGTATTCCTGGCCACCCTGCTCGGCGTAGAATGGAGTCTTGTTCAAGAGAATACCGTATTGCTGACCGGCATTGTCGATGGAGTCAGTGAAAGCAGAGCCATCGTAAAAAGCGACAATCTTGGACTTGGTGTTCTCCAAACCAAACTTGTAGTGGTCATCAGTCTTAGGAACAGCATCGTTGCCCTCCAATTCAGACAAGGCGTGGACATCCAACTTGATCAAGTCAGCGCCAGTCTTGGAGCCAGAAGCCTTAGAAGCTTCTCTGGATTCCTCCTTAGCTTTCTCGAAAGCAACCTCGTCAATCTTCAAGCCAGCTTCTTCAGCCATCAATCTAGTCAAATCGACAGGGAAACCGTAAGTGTCGTACAATCTCCAGACGTCTTTACCAGACAAGGTCTGCTCAGGAGTCTTGGAAGCAATGATGGCGTACTGTTCGAACAATTTCTCACCTCTGTCCAAAGTCTTAGCGAAGGACAATTCTTCCTCGACCAAGATCTCCTTCAACTCATCCTTGTGGGAGGCAATCTCTGGGAAGATCTGGGAGTTTTCTTGAATGACAACGTCAACAAGCTGCTGGAAGAAAGAGCCGATTGGGTAATTCATGTACTTTCTCACGTAACGAGAACCTCTTCTCAAGATTCTTCTCAACACGTAACCTCTACCTTCGTTGTTAGGAACACCACCATCAGTGATAGCGAAGGTTAGCGTTCTAACGTGATCAGCGATAACTCTGTAAGCAGTGTCAATACCGTCAACGTCGTCGGCACCGAACTTACCAGTGTAAGGTCTCACGCCAGTGATTTCACGGATCTTCTCAAAGAGTGGGGAGAAGACATCAGTGTCGTAGTTGGAGAACTTGTTCTGCAAGATAGAGACCAATCTCTCGAAACCCATACCGGTATCAATATGTTTGTTTGGCAAAGGCCTGAGGGAAGCGTCGGCCTCTCTGTTGTACTGAATGAACACGACGTTCCAAACCTCCAAAACGTTAGGGTCGTCCTGGTTCACCAAGGAAGAAGCATTTCTGCCACCGATTCTGTCGTAGTGGATTTCAGAACAAGGACCACATGGACCTTGGTCACCCATCTCCCAGAAGTTATCGGTAGCGTCACCTGGCAAGATGTGGTCTTCAGCAACACCAACATCCAACCAGAACTGCTTGGCCTCCAAATCTGGCTTCAAGCCGTTCTTCTCGTCACCTTCAAAGTAGGTCACGTACAAGCGGTCCTTCTCCAACTTGTAGACTTCGGTCAACAATTCCCAAGACCATTCAATGGCCTCCTTCTTGAAGTAGTCACCAAAAGACCAGTTACCCAACATCTCAAAGAAAGTGTGGTGATAAGAATCCTTTCCGACATCATCCAAGTCGTTGTGCTTACCACCAGCTCTGATACACTTCTGAGAGTTGGCAGCTCTCTTCAAACTACCGAAATCGGTGGTAGGGTCGACAGTACCAAGGAAGATTGGCTTATACTGGTTCATACCAGCGTTGGCAAACAACAAGGTTGGATCATTGTGAGGAACAACGGAAGAGGAAGGCACAAAAGAGTGCTGCTTACCTTTGAAGAAGTCCAAAAAGGTTTGTCTAACGGTGCTAGCTGGCCAGGATGTCATGGAGTGCTTGCGAGTTAGGGTCTTTAGCATGGAGATCTTGCGTAGTTGAAGAAATTTCTCATGTGTAGTATGGTGCACGGGTGTACAGGAAGAGGCCTGGGGAACCAACGACATGGAAATGCAGAGAGAGTTAGTTACAGGGAGGAAGGGGAAAGAGGGGTGGGTTAAAGAGATTTCAAATGGAATTATTTAGAAACTTGCAGAGGCTTAGTAGGATGTATCTTTGTTGAGATGAAGTTGTGTCTATAGCCAGCTATCGCTACCTTCACTGGCAGGTAGTAGAAGATATACAGAAAAAGAAACGAAAGCGAATGCAAAAGAAAGACGACAAGAGTAAGATGTACATATGGGCAGTTTACTTTGATAAACTGAAAATATCTAATTTATGGGGATTCACAGTGCTGTAGTCTCTGAGACAACTGACCCCTACAATCATCTACCACCAACACACTCAATAAGAGCTATCATAAACAAACCTTCCAAATCCAAAACCGAAAAAGTCTCAAATTCTCTAAACAAGCTCACACTAAACTCATATCTTCATTTTCCTTAGCTCATCCAACCTGGTGCTCCCTCACCTTCTCTCACCCTTCCCATTTTGCAGCCATTTCGCACCCACTGCCACCAACCTGTAACCGAAGAAAATATATCCAGTCCACAGCACCACCAGATAATATACCACGGGTCAACACAGTTCAAAATTTGAACCAGAAAAAAGGAACTAATACAAATAATCAGATCATATACTTCTTCCCTTTCTGTGTTTCACCTTTAGTAAAAGTGTCCCTGCCACAACTTCCTACAGCTTAGTACCACCCATTTCTTTATCTCTTTCCCCTGGCCTGCCAAAACAGATCCTATCCCTTCGCTCATCGACCTGCCAATTTCTCGTTAGCCCTTGTTAAAACTGCTCTAAGGCAGAACGGCTCCTGGGGTATGGCGCCTGCATGTGGTTCGAGCTCTTTACCCGTTTGGGCGATCGAATTTGCTCTCACTATGGCTACTGTCTAATCGCTCTCATCTTTCAGAAAACCTAGCCTTGTGAGATCTTGATGTCATGGCTCAACCTTCTTTTCACCTTCAAGCCACCTACTCATCGCTATGATTCTAATTAACGAGGTCAAGTACGCTTGTATGGAGTGTATTCGTGGCCACCGCTCGTCGATGTGCCGGCATCACCAGAGACCGCTACTACAGGTTCGACTGAAGGGCCGGCCCAATGTGGGCTACGGTAACAAAAACCATAGAATAGCGGTTTTCGCTGAGGAGATTGCTTCTTCGCCTGAACCAGAGGACGGTGACAGCTGCAGAGACTTTCCCGTGGTCATCTTGAAGGCATCGGATAAACAGGTGATAGACCTACTGAATGGTCAGATCTTGGGGCCTTACAGTGAGGCTGCTAACGAGATACACAACAAGAAGCCTGTGATTCGGTCAGATAGCTTTATTAACTCATCGTCGTGTTGCTCAAAGGGCGCTTCGAAGGTCAGCAAGCTGTGTTCGTGCAATAAGAGTAATGTCTCAAAGACCAAGATCCTTAAATCTTATCTTGATAAGCATAAGAATAAACTGGCATCGGTGAAGAGGGAACCCGAGTTGAAGCCAGCAAAACTGAGCTGTTGCAGTTCTAAGAAACAAAATAATGGGGTTCCTCAACAGAACGGCAATGGATACTCGACAAACGTCTTTGCCAACCCTTACTACGCCCAACAATGGAACCAAAATCCTCAAATACCGCCTCAGCCTTTCAACATACCGTTCCCACAACACCAGACAGTACCACAGAACGGCTACAACGTTCCTCTCCAACAAAACTCCCTCCCGCCTATGTCAACATTCCCAGAGGCTGGCTATACGAATCAGCCACAGCATGACATATTCCACAACCTAGCTGCAAGCAATACAGGAGAAGTCTTCGAGGTGGTGAATGTTCCGTCTTGTTCTATCCTGGGCACTTGTCGTTGTAGCAGCGACTGTAGGTGTCCAGGCTGTGTTGAACATAATAATGCACCTAAACCACCAGCACAGGTTCATTTAGATGCCCTTCGAAACGACGCACAGTACAGCTCTAACTTGATACTAACGCTGAAAGATCAAAAGCCTGCTACAGAGAAATCGCCAGAGAAACAACCACAGCCCTTACCAGCACTTCCGTTGTCGAAGGATTTCGATACCTACGCCAATTTCCTTCGTCTGATTATTGGAGAGCAAGAACCCAACAATAACGACGGAGAGGTGAACTGTAGTGACGGACAGTCGTGCGTCTGTCCAGACGACGACTGTTTCTGTACTAACTGTGAAACCCATGGCATCATAGACGGATACAGATTAGACGACATTTTCAATGGCCGGACCGCTGGTGATAATAACGTCAAAAGTGAGCCTTTGGAACGAGCATCGTTCGATTCTAACAAACGGTCTCCCATTGAACCTAGCACATCGCTACTGTCGCGAAGCTCAGATGCCTCTTTGCTAGGATTTGGGAAAAAAGACCAGAGCTAATTTTGCGGCAATGATCATTCGTTCACCTCATGTACATATTAACAGGAGCTCGTCAGAAGCTACGCCTTGAACGAGTCGCATTTTGCAACCAAACACCAACCAACCTTACGAAACAATACAGGGTACCACACAACAACATCTTCGAAATTCTTTGATTTCTACTGAACGTGAACAATCGCTTTCTCTTCCTCTACCGGCCTAGACCTCTTCCCCAAGTAAACCAATTCCATTGCTTTCCTGTCCTCCCACGATATTGACAGACATGCACACTGCGATTGTTGCAACGTCTGGATGCATGGCCTACTACTACCCAAAAGTCAAACAGACCTGCACACAGTGCGATGGGAGGAGCAATGCTCATGGAACCTTCTAGCAATTTCAACGTCTTCCATAGATAAATGTACCTCAAGCAGCCGTACGCAGGGACCTCCAGTGAAAAATAAATACACGTTCCTACACCAGTCCACCGAAGTTTCAGCCCAGCTACCCACCGACCCTGTAATTGATTGACTACTACAGTTCGCAATTGCTAGCCTACCATGGCATCCTTCCATGCTCAGGACCACAATCTGTCAAGGGACAACGACATACAGGTCATCAACAGAGAAGACGAGTACCCGGCTACCGGAGGTGAAGAGTATCCCCATCACGAGAATGTCGTGTCTCCCTCGTTTCCAGCTCTTGACATCCCTACTCCGAATGGGGCCCACTCTCAGCTATTCGATGAGTTTGAGCTGAACCAACATAATCAACCCACCACCAGAGACCAGCCCCATGGGGACCAGTTTGCTCCTTCATTGTCGCCATTGAGCGAGTTTGTAAATACCCACGGCGACCATATTATCAATGATCAGGATAATGATCAGGAGAGGAATGGTAACGCCGGTGTCTTGACGAGGTTGAACACCAGCAACAACTACTTACCTCCATTGCCTACACTCTCGGAGCCAGTGCTCCCATCTGTGCCACAGAACACTGGTCAGCTTCCTACCAACTACTTGCCCAACAACTTTGGTAACACTAATGCTCCTAATACTAATCGGAACCAATTGATGATTACGGGTAAGAAGAAGAAAGAGTCTCAGGGCCCTAAGGCCAGGCCTGCGTTCGTCATGAAGATCTGGTCTATGGTTAACGACCCAGCAAACCATGACTACATTAGGTGGAATGATGATGGCTTGACTTTTCAAGTTTTCCACCGTGAAGAGTTCATGAAGAGCATTCTCCCGAAGTACTTCAAGCATAACAATTTTGCATCTTTTGTACGTCAGCTTAACATGTACGGCTGGCATAAAGTGCAAGACATCAGCAGCGGATCGATGGCCAAGGAGGCAAAGAACGCTGAAGAGGTTTTGCAGTTCAAGAATCCATATTTCATTCGGGGCAGGGAAGACTTGCTTGACAATATTGTCCGTAACAAGTACGGCGGTCAGGAGGAATCAGCTGAACCTAATATCAACCTTCAGGTACTCATGACTGAACTCGATCAGATTAAGATGAACCAACTAGCCATTATTGAGGACATGAGGCGTATCAGAAAAGACAATCAGACTTTGTGGACCGAGAGCTTTGCTACAAGAGAAAGACATCTGAAACAGTCCCAAACTCTTGATAAGATCATGAAGTTCCTTGCTGCTGTCTATGGTAACTCAGCCGGAAAGATATTTGAAGTGGAGAATGGCTCTTACGATTCAAATTACGGTGTACCTGCTTTGTACCAGGGAAATCAGTCACCTCGACCAGCTTATCCACCTGCTGCACCTATACTGAAGTCAAGATTAATGTTAATGGACCAGGAGCATCTGAGAACATCTTCGTCCGATGCAAGTACGACGGCTGGACCTTCCAAAAGACCATCGGAGGCTGGAAGTAAAGACGGTTCTATCGAGGAGATTGTGAGAAACGATCACATCACTCCTCATGATCCATCAGCCAATGTGAACAGAATTTATCAACAAATTATGAACCAGGAGCCAGGCCTGAATTCTCCAAGGCAATACTTCCCTGAACTACAAAGTCCTAGCGCCGGACCCAGTACCCCTTCTCAGCTGTTTGCTAAGCTAAGCGGTGCTGGTGCTGGTGCTGGTGCGGGTGAACACAATGGTGACTTGTTGCTGGGGCTCGAGCAAAACATCTTTAAACAAGGCCAGGCATTGCTGCAAGTCCAGGACTGGATCCAGGCTTTGGCAAACAGACAACAGCAACAACAGCATCAATTGCAACAGCAAAAGAGTAATAATTCACTGCCGGCTCAAACTGATCTTGACGACTTTGACGTTAACGAGTTTTTGAACAACAGCTCCTCGAATCCTGTTCCCACATCACATGAACAGCAAGATTCAGGCATTGATTTCGAAAACGACTTCAAATCTGAAACTAATGAGGACGATAAAAAGCGTCACATTGAAGAAGTCGTTGACAATGAGCCACCAGCCAAACGTGGTCGGACAAGAAAGAGCAGTCGGCGGTAAATCTTAATCTGCGTATATAGCTATGGGTATCTCGGTTTTATATAGAGTATGATGCATCTAAGAATAGATGTTGCCTGTCAATGAATGCTTGTATGGTTATTTTCTAGAGAATGCAAAAGTGACCTCATCGTCATCACTATCACCATCAAGATAAGCGGTGGTGGGCTTTGAAGCTTTTGATCTTGTCAGGAAGGAAAATGAATTATCATCAGCTTCTTCATTCTCAGAATCTTCTCGGACAAATAACTGGGATTCTTGTGGCTGGAATCCCTTGACCCCACTCATTTCTCTATCGAAGTCACCTTTAAGGCGTTGATTAACTTCATTCTTCGGCGGTGGGTCCAACTCTTCAAAGTGAATGCTATTATCATGGTCTTCCAATTGAATGAAAGTTCTAGTAACGTTTTTAGGAACGCTTCCAGCTTTTTTAAACTTCTTAAAATTCTTTCTCCCTCTGTAGTCTGACGTGATTTCCGTGGTCGTTGCCTTTCTTCTGACCATCAAATCAACCTCTTCTACAATGACGAGGTTGTCAAGTTTGTCACTCACTCCATCAGCTGTCTCATCAAGCCCAAGTTCTTTCTTGACTGCATCATCTGCATTCTTCTTTGTAGAAAGAACAGCGTCAGCCAAGGAGACTTGGGGTATAATTTTACGGCGCTCCCGAGGAGGCTCTGGTTTGGGACGCTTTGCTTCGGATTCATCAACATCCTCGGGTGGCCTCTTCGTGGTATCTTCCTTAAATTCAATGCTTTGTGTTGTAGATTCAACCTCGGCTGGCGGCTGGGGCAGCGAAGGCAGTTGAGTTCTTGATGCTTCTTTTCTCTCTTCATCCACGACAGGGGGTTCGGTCGCTTGTACTTCCAAACTTGGACTAGCTGGCCTTGGAGTCTCTTCCACGACATCAGGGACATCTTCAACTGGCTCTGGAGCATTTTCGACTGGCTCTGGAACGGGAGTTGACAGAACCTGACTGAACAGGAAGAAATCCGTGTCACCAACCTTTTCAAGCTTTCTCCTCTTTTTGCGCTGTGTCAAGCGAAGATCATTAAACTGAGATTCACGCTTCACTCGAGGGGTGAAAACTTGGAGGTTAGAAGTGTCAACTTCAACCAAAGCTTTCCAAAGCACTTCTGTGGTGTTTGACCGATCCCGTAGGAAGTCAACCTTATTGTCTTCGTCCTGAACAAACACATACGGATTATCAGACTGACCAATTTGATTTTCAACTTCCAGTTCATCACCTACTTCAACCATTGTAGGCGTGCAACCCAAGCATTTGAGCCAGTCCTGGAGTCTTCTTGTATGCTTAATAAGGGTACCGTAACAGACAAACACATTAAAACCTGTTAGCAAAATCGACCTCTTTGAATTGGGAAACACGAAATTATTCTCAGACTTAGGATACAAGTACTTTTCATCCAAGTTCAAGAGCCAATGGTCAACCTCACTAGGTTCATCCTTGATGGCGTCTGTCCATGCATAAGAAACAACAGGTATGGCTCTCAGAAGAGCGATCTTCATGTTATAGTCATTCATATCAACAAGTGTTAAGTAATGCGTCGCAACCAACGGGTCCAGTGTACTTCGTATATCTATGCCCTTCTCATAGAGCTCATTAACTAGAGTAGGTAATGGTGATTCCATGACTTCATCATCATATGACATCTTCTTTGAAAAGGCCAATATCTTCACGTCAACCCATCGTAGCCGAAGTTGTATACGATCAGATTTGTTGGCATTAACCTTCAACAAAAGGTCATCATCTTCAAACCTCTCAGTGACCGGATCAGCTTCCTTACTAGGAAGTCTATGCACTTTTCCATTGACCAATGTCGTGCAAATGGATTCAAAAGTTATGTGAAGGGGCGTTTTATCTGTATCATGGAGCTCCAGAGGCCCAGTTTGGATGGTCAAGTACTTCTTGGGTACCTTCAAGTCGCCAATGTGGAGACAGTCTTCCAGAGACTTGTACTCATTGCTTCTGCCAATTTTCACCGTGGAATCTCTTCGAAGGGGCCTTGAGGATGCTGAATGTTAGTCAATTTTCACTTAAGCAATGGAATTTCACATACCTTCGCCATTATATATTAGGGTAAGAACCCACATAGTAGCTGCGAAGATAAGCCGAAAAGTTGCAACTAGTTGGTACATACTACAGCGCGAACAATGGTGATAAATGTATTTCTGCTCTATGATACACAATTTTTTTTTTTTTTCCTTTGCTTTCTTTAAGCGGAAGATCTCGCAAGCTTGCTCATTCTGTTAGACTTAAGAGCAGTGTTGACGGTCTCTTCGTCGGCCAACTCGAACAAGGCCTTAGCATAGGCGTCCTCGCTAACCTCAGTTTCAGCCTCCTCGGCATCCTTCTGGAGGATATCATCGTCGTTATAAATCTTGTCAGTGTAGAAAAGTGGCAACACAGGGGACCCGTCGGTCTTGATTCCTACCGTGACCAAATCGTCCTGGTCGAATTCTTTCAAAATGGCATGCAAATTGTCAAGCAACTCCTCCTGGGAGAAATGCTTGTTGAGGGCACCAATCTTGAAATGAGCAGTGGTGCCCATTGGTGGCAAGTATGGTGCAGAAGCCAAGACCTTCTCGACCTGAGCTTTAAGGTTCTCGATCGAGAGCTCCTTAGACTTGTCTGAAGTGTATGGTCTGATCTGGACTGGGAACTTGGTCTTCTCGTTGTTGTACAATGTCTTACCCAACACGTTAGGCAAAGAAGACAAAATGGCATCGTCAGTGACGAACAAGTCGTACTCCTTGTACAACTCACGACGCTTCTCATAAGGGTGGTAGATGGTCTTGAGCTGCTTCAACGTGAAGATCTTGCTCAAAGTAGGAATGTTGGCCTCCTCAATCTTCTCCAAATCCTCATTGCTTTCAATGAAGCCATCTCTCACGAAAAGACATGTCTTGAAACCGTCCTTGATGTTCATGTATGGCTTGGGGAGCGGGATGAGCTTAGCCTTGAAACCAGGCTTCTTACTGAAATACTTCTTCTTCTGCACTTCCAAGTACACATTGGTAGTAAGGTCATCTTCGTCCTCGTCATCAAACAACTTAGCCTTTTCGGTGTTTCCAGACTGACGTTCCAAGAACTTAGAAAGTTCATTAAGGGCATCGGTAGCCTGCTTCTTAGAGACATAGCCGAATTCCTTCAGGCCCAGAGAAGAAGTCTCCTCCTTCTTGGCAACCTTCTTCGGACTCTCCTTTGTGGTTTTCTGCTTCTTAGCAGCAGGTTCTCCCTGCTGAGCAGCCTTTCCCTTGGATCTAGTTTTGGCCATTATGTGTGTAGCTTGGGGATGAGATCGTGCTCTTCTCATCTCTAAAAAAATCAACTCCCAGGATGCGATGCGCTCTGCAGGACTTCATCAATGCACCCTGTTTTCCAGACACATGGTCCGCCTAAACAACACCAAAAACAATAAAAAACAAGAAAAAAAATTAAAAGCTTCTTAGTCGGTAGGCGGCATGGTTGTTTTGGGAAGAGGTGGAGTCTTTTTGGATTTTTGGTTCCGCACGGAATCTACCACAATGGCAGGCACTCCGTTATCGATATTCTCAAAAAGCACCTCTGGTTGTTGACGAATATCAAGCAAATTCTCTTCATTATCATCGCTTTCGTCATCGTCATCTTGGTACTTCTTTACATGGAAACTATCAAACCCTCCAAATCTATCCCATAGCAAGTGCGAAAGCTCCTCTGGAGAGTAGATAGCCTTCTCGTTAGGACCATCTTCGACCTTATGATAGTCGTCCCATTCGCTTTGAGGAGAAAGTGGAGGCAGGATAAGGAACCTTCTGCTGCCTTCCTCCGAGGGAAGCTCTAAGAACTGGGTGTCTTGTGCTCGAAGGGTCCAGTTCTCGTCTTCAAGGAGCCTCAGGTGGTTATCCTTAAGACTGAAACTGATACCAATAGATTTCCCAAGATTAGACAGTAGATAGTCTCTCACGTAGATTGCTAGGGCCAGCGTGCCACATATTATGATGTACCTTTCGAACTTGGGGAGCGAGATAAGCTCTACCTGGAGACCCTGTGCAGCAAGAAGATTGACAAGAACATTAGGGTCATCTTTCAATTCCTTGGAGAGTCTTGTCACAATGAGGGTGTTTGTTGGTGGACGAGCCATTAAGTAGATGTGGTTTGGTGGTGGTGAGTTGGATGTGAAAGTTGGTCTTAGGTTGGTTTGTTTAGTGTGGACTGCATGATTTCCAGGCGGTACCATAGCCCGGAGCACTCCTACTTCATAAGGGGTATATATTTATAGGAAAAGATGGGACCAAAATGGAGAGAGGTGAGTGATTGAAGGCTTGGATTTCAAATTATTGAATATGCTAATCAGTAGGGAAAGTTGTGGGTGTATGGGAGGATGTCTTATGCGTATAGGCTTTTCGCAGCCACTGACCAGGAACATGAGATACACCAACCTGGTAGTTTACAGGAATTCTCTGTAATGTTTAAATAAGAAGGAATGGCGCTTCTTTTCAATATTGACTCTTTTCTTCAAAGTCTGCCTATACGGCCCCGAAAACAGAGATATCTTTCCGTACACCTAGACCACAGAGACCTATGTTCCTGAAGTACGTATTATGGGCTTCGTAGTAGTTTCGGAAAATGATGCTTCCCATATGAGGTTTGCTGAAGTCAGCAGAAACACACCGTGGATTTGTGCCAGAGAAGCAGTCCACAACTTCATCAACAGATGGATTTGTTTCACCTCCAGTGACATTTACATAGATTTGGTTTTGAAACTGTGCAAACTGATCAAGAAAGTTTGAAGAGGTAGAAGGAACCTGAGTAACTAAGTCCCCCTTATGTATAACTCTCAAGAACTTCCGATCATAAGAACCATGCTTCATAGGCATATAGCTTCCAAGAACAAAATCAGCCCAGGAAGTAAACTCGCTATTTCCAACCATAGGCTGGCCCATTGTAACCAAGGTAAGCTTATCGAAACCAAGATCAAGGAAATGTAGTGCTAGTAGAAGAGCTACCGAGCCGCCCATTGAGTGACCCACAAACACCAACTCATAATCCTCAGAGTCTCCACCAGAAGAAAGCTCGGTGGTCAATTGGTTATGAATAGCCGCAAGGGTGTTCTTATAGTACCTAGCAAACCCCTGGTGTATCTTGCAGTTCTCTCCACAATACGGTAGGCGATGATGTAGATTATGATAAGGCACCATATCCACCCTGATATCAGCCAAAACGTCATTAAGCGACCTCGTCCCTCTCAAAGAAACAACAATAGTCTTGTGCTTCTTTGTTGTTTCCGTAGTCTCCTCATAATTGAAGATATCAGAGTACGTAGATGCAATGTATCCACACACAGCATCGTCAAAGTACCACTGGTGCACCAACGTCATATTAGGGAACCTCTTGGAGCAATCCAAGTTACATTCAAAAGGCTCCTTGATTCCATGGAACTTATCAATGCAATACGAAATGTCTATTAGATGTGCATAGGTGAACATATTGCGATGGATGACAGGGTCAAGTGGTTCTGGAGTGTTCACATCGTTTAGGAAATTCGGCGACTTCACAGGAATAAGAAACGCTGGAAGCCAGCTTAAAGGGAGTCTCATAGTGTTAGGTAGAACATTCAAAAGTGTAGGTTGCTTTGTGAACTTTTATGTTTGGAAGTCCGAAATGTGGGGTCCAACGGTGATGACCATCGCGAGTTTTTGGGTACGACATGGGCTTTTGGTCTCTTTTGTGCCCCACCTCAAAACAGATACTTCCATAACAAACGAACAAGAATGGTAACAAGAAGGCCAATCATGAATGACTCAAAGAATTCGTAAACTGCTTTGAATGGCTTGCGGGGGACATTTCGTGCAAATATGAGTATACATCCTAACACTGTAAGTACAGTTACTGGTGTACTGCTTAAGCTGAGCAATATACTGATTGGATTGAATAGGCTTCTTTTTTTGAGTTCGTTTGTGGTGATTTTGATTTGAGTGGTTAGGTTGGCAAAGACTTGATTTACAGAGTCTTTTTGTTCTGCTAGCATCTCGTTGAGGTCGTAGACGTTGTCTCTTAGTGATGCATGGCTCGTCTCCAACTGCTGCACCGAAGTGTTTAGCATTGACCCAAACTTTAACAATGTCGCTTCGATGAATGACTCTAGTTCTGTGCTTTGGGTATCGAAGTATTGTTGGAGATCGAACTCGATAGAACGAAGACGGTGCTGGAACTCAGTGGTGAGTTGAAGTTCGCCTTGGAGAGTGTCGTGGAGAGCTAGTTGGTTGGATTGGGAAAGGGAAGTTTGTGTTTGGATATCTTTCATGGCTTCAAGGATTTCAAGAATGTCTTCATGTAGTGTTCCCTTGAAGTCTGTCCATAACGATGAAGCTTCATTTAGCCTGGCTGTTTCTTCGTCTGCATGGATACCGACGAGGTCTGCCTGGTTATTAGCTACTTTACTCAAGGAATTTATGGATGACGCTAAATGGTCAAATTCGTGGTGTACCTGGCCCTGAACGTTGCTGAAGATGCTCTCCAATTCTTCATTGAAAGCCATGGCTTCCGCTTCCCAATCTTCACGATGTTTTCTACTGACTGACACCATCTCCATCACTTCTGCAAGCATTTTCTCAAATTGAAGCTGTACTTCTTTCTGGTATCGTTCCGTTTCTTTGGTGCTTTCAAAGGATGCTTCATGGAACGAAGTGTAAGTTCGAGTAACGTTATTAAATAGATCAACAAGATGCTCTTTGAAAAACGGCATGGCTTCTTCGTGACAGATACTTTTTATTCTTCGGTAATTTCCCGAATATGTGGTCCAGTACTGAGATGTCTGTCTAAGCTCTTGAATGCAATTATGGTAGGCAGAATCAGTATCCAAACGCTTACAACTTTCTGGATAGTCTATCGCTGCATCTTGAAATTCACAAACAGATAAATCAACAGCCAGTTTCTTTCTTAGTGCCAGACTAAGGCTTTCCACGCCGCCAGAAGCACACTCTTCAATCACGTCCTCTAATGCTCGATGAGCACACTGAGACTGGTATATCTCTGTGGATAGCTCATACAGCAGAATCCCAGAATCAAGGAACTGAAAAGCCAAAGCTTGAATTCCCAAATAAATGAAAAAGAGCATGTTGTATGTTCAGCAGTTTTGCTCCCGTTAGTTGGATGTCGTGTTTGGTCGATGTTTCAGGATTTTGCAGCCATGCCTCAACTAGGATGAGCATGATTAGGAGGGCAAGCATTGGTAATTTAGCTACTGGAAAGACAACAACAACTTATTTTCATCGTCCTCTGAGGAACATATTTACTTGACTGTTGTATGTTTCTACTAAGTCTTCTCAAGCCAGTGAGAGTACCCAGAGTACCAACCGCTAATCCAAGAAAAACAAAAGAAAGACTCGAAAACACCCAAAACTAGCATCTTTCCACTACTTCACGTCCCTTTCTATACATAAACCATCCACCTTCATCCTCTCATCTCTTCCTCTTGTAGTGTCCATTTTCTCCATCCTGCTTGTTCGGTCCCCATACTTAACCGAATGCGCACCAACTTATTCACGTATTCTCAAAGACTTCAACCACGCATCAGCACATGGCATCAAGACTCGCCCGCCGTGGCTTCAGCCAGGCTCTCAGGAGGATGGCAGCCGAGGAACCAGTTCCTTCTGCCACTCAAACAACACCAAACGAGGAGTTGGACCACTTGGTGCCCGACAGACCAGACTTTTCCAGTTACCCTCGTGAATTTTCACCGATGATCGATCCCAGAGAAGTACACGATGTGTTGCTTCGTCCGACGTTTAATGACTTGGCAGTTACCACGATCGCTTCAGATTCGCCATTTACGGGCGACGAGCTGTACAAGTTCACTACAAAGCCATCAGAGAGAGGCTCGAAGTTCCTCTTCGGCAGCATGACAGATAAATGGATCAAGGAATTCAACGCTCTTAATCCAAGACTTGATGAAATACCCGAATACGACACGCTATTCTCGTTCTTGGGTTCACGGTTGGATGATGTGAGTTTTGCTGAACTGATCTCTTCACTTGGTGACCTAGAGAAGTCTATCAAATACTCAGCTCCAGAAATGAAGCCAGGCGATGTGATTCATGCTCTTTTACTGGAGGAGCCATTCCAATTAGACATAACCAAGTACAATTTGGTGATAGAGTACTTGAAAAGACATTTGACGTCGAAGCTGTCTTGGGTATCAGGCACAAGTGATTTTCCAATGTTCTTGGATTTCCTCGCTCAGAATTCACAGACGTATTCCATGGCGGAGAAGGCTTCGGCCTTAGATTCATACTTCGGGGCAGTTTTCGCCGAAGAGCCGAGCCTATTTAGTAAGGTTTCACCAAGCACACTTGACATTTTAACCAAACTAGCATGTGAGAGCCACAACCTAAAAGGCGCTATGAAAACGTTAGAATCTCTCGTTAAACATCACACCATGGCACCATCTAAAGGAAACTTCCAGCACTTCATGCAATTATACTCTGAGAGTGCAAGACAGGAAAACAAGAATAAAGAGCAGATTCTAGAAGAGATTACATGGAGCAAACCAATCTTATTCCACCATGGACTAGATGTGAACTCCTTCGAGTTACTATTATCCCGATTAATCGACAATTCGTACGATTTGACGCAATTCGTGCGGTTAGCTAGAAATTCGGGACTCCTTCCCAATTACGCCGGGCATGTGCTCGTCCGCTTATATCTCATACAGAAACAAAGCCCGAAGTCTCCAATAGCCAAGGCCGTTGAGATAACACAGTTTGTGAGGCTTTTGTTGAGAGATGGAAACGTCAGAGTTGATCGCAACTTGAGGAGTACTTTGCGAATGATCTGCGAAGAGAACAAGATACCATATGACGAGCTGACTTTCCTTATCAAGTCGTCATAAACCGCACGAACCCTCCCAAAACACAAATGTGCATAATCTACATGTAATTACCTGCGTCTGATCTTTCTTCTAATTTTTCAACCCCCAGTGCTTTCTCCATAGTTGTGGTGTGGCTCGCGCGGTCAATTTGTCAGCCGTGTGTGGCTCCTTGAACAGGGATTTTGCAGCCAAATTGCGTTAGGTTAAGATTAATCGAGAGAAGTATGTGAACCACAGAAAAATGATGGATTATAAAATGTAGACAGATTCTCTTGTCTTTTTCATTCTCTGCACCACAAAAACAAAATGGTTAGCTACTGGAAAATCACCGGTTCTGAATTGAACGACCAGCTCTACTTGAAAGACCTTCAAGAACAGTACAGCACTGGTAAGATTAGCACCTCCAGCGAGGTTGACGAGGAGGTTTCCAAAATCAAGTACCCAGAATTTCTTGCTAAGACTAAGGTCGAGGAGGCTGGTATTTACAACAACCAGGCCAACCCAGACCACATCAAGAACGATAAGGGCCATTTGGGTGACCCAACTTTCAAGAACCTCTTTAAGGCTGGCCAAGATGTTCAAAAGTTCGACTTGTCTCCCAACTTGGGTACCGAAATTGATGGTGTTCAGCTCAGTGAGTTGGACGATGCTGGAAAGAACGACTTAGCTTTGTTCTTGGAAACCAGAGGTCTCGCTGTGTTCAGAAACCAGGACTTCAGAGACAAGGGCGCTGCTTTCGCTAAGGACTTTGGTAAGTACTTTGGACCATTGCACATCCATCCTGTTTCTTACTCGGCTGTTGATCATCCCGAGTTGCTCGTCACCTTCAGGAAGGCTGGCGGTGCTAACAGATGGGCTCTGCAGTTCCGTCACGAGGCTGGTGCTTTCAGATGGCACTCTGATATCAGTTTCGAGGAGTACCCTTCTTCTTTCTCGTTTTTCGTTGCTTTGGAGGCCCCTCCATCTGGTGGAGATACTGTTTTCGTTGACTTGAGAGAGGCCTACAAGAGATTGTCGCCAATTTTGCAGAAGTTCTTTGAAACCTTGACAGTTATCCACTCTAACGAGTTCCAGCAAAAGGGCGCTGCTCTTAGAAACCAATTAGCCAAGGTGAAGAAGGTCTCTTACTCTGAACATCCTTTGGTTAGAACTCACCCAGTGACTGGAGAGAAGAGTCTTTTCTTCTCCAGAGGATTCATCCAGAAGATCAAGGGTTTGAAAGATGTTGAGTCTGCCACCATCTTGAACTTCTTGGAGGACCACTGTCTTAACAATCCAGAGTTCCAAGTCAGAGCTACCCACAGAGGTACTGACGCCAGAACAGTGATTGCGTGGGACAACAGGTTCTTGGTCCACACTGCCACTTTGGATTTCCTCAACCAGGAGACCATCGCCCGTCACCATTACAGAATCACGGTTCTTGGTGAAAAGCCTTACTTCGAGGAGAAGAAGCTTGAGGCTGAGGACTCTGACGGTGAAGACAAGCACCCAAGAGCCTATTAAACAGTTTAGTGAGTTATTTCGTAATCTTTATGCAATTATTTAATCCATCCGCTGTAATTCTATCAGTTCGGCGATGTCATGTGAGTCTATTGAATGGTTTGTGTTTGTCGGGGCCAACGTGTCGACCGGGGCCACTTCATGGAGCGAACTTGATCTGCGTCTTCCTACTTCTTCCTCTGGTCCCTGCCCAGAGCTGTAGAATCCGTTTGTGAAAACGTAGAACCCGTCGTCGGAAGCAGAGTCGTCGATCCAGCGAGGCATGACTCCGTTGTTACGCATATCATCGTTCTTACCCCTGTACTCTTCATCTAGATGCCTTCTGGAAGAGATGGAACGCTTCATAAAACACAAAAGCGATGCAATAAGCGCCATAAGCGCAATCGGTAGAAGTTGGATCCACGCTAGAAAGCTCATTCGAGGAATGAACAAGATTAAATCGGCAAGGAACGCTAGAAGCGTCAGCAAGAAGGAAAGTGCACTCAATAAAAGCATCCACGAGAAATGACCAAGCAAGTTTCTCTTGGGTTTCTTTGGAGCATCCTTATTCGAAGAAGCAGCTTCCTCCGTTTCGGCCTTTTTCTTTTTCTTCTTCGCTCTTTGAAAGATAATCCACACAGGTGAGCCAGGATACTTTTTATCCACATGGGTTAAAATGACGACAAAGGCACATTCCAAAGTTAGAAGTCCAGTTAAAATAAATGCAACGACATGAACTACCAAAAGCTTCGAAATCAGGTGTGTGGCGCCAGACGGTAGTGATACAGTTGAAAAGAAGTCTTCATCAAACTCATCCTGCTTGATATCTTGAAATGCATATTCATAGCTTTTTGTAGGGTACCCAATAGCAACCTTCGAGCACTTATGTTTAACAAAGTCACAGATGCCAAATACACCAAAAGTTATGTTGTTATACAGTGAAAAGTGCAAGTTATAGCCAATATTTTCTCCTGTCAAGGGCACCGAGATGACCGGTAGTAGTTGTACCACGAAACAAACAAAACATAGGCATCCTATGAAAAGAACACCGGTATGCATTGTTCACTGGTTAGCATGAATAGCTTTGAGGTTTTAGTGACTTGAAGGGTAAGTAGGGTGAAGTATTAATCAAGGGTAGGTAAGCAGGTCGATATACCATGTTTGGTCATGTGAGTTTGCGCACGTGCATATATCAAGGGTCCACCAGGTATTTATTCAAGCACGAGAGGGCAAAACGGGAAGAATAGTTTAAAAAAAGAGTCTTGAAGGCTGGTGGTTTTTGAAAAGCTCTTTGGATGCCCTTTATATGCGTGGAAAGCTTCGTTTGATGGTATTAGCGTGTAGAGGAGGTGTGGGTCTGTCTACGCCTATCTTAAAGCTTACCGTAGTGACCCCACAACCATCATTGGAATATAAATCACTGACAACGTACTAGAACATCTCATACTCGACTACTGGCCATTTAAGCTAAAAATGACACAGAAACGTAGATAGATCTCGGTATGACGTTTATCCTGCACCCCTCTATACCACCATGCGTAATCTGACTACGATCTATTGTTCGAAATGCCAGTGAAGAAATATATTCCCATGTCAAGAAAGTGATAAGCAGGGTAGAAGAATTACTGAGGTATTTCTTTTTTCCTTCTGCTATTGCAAAGTGTGCATTTAAAGCGTGTTACTTAGATTCCACAGAAGTCGCTTATACTTTAGCGAGCGCCCAAGCAGCTGGGCAACTTCATGACGGTTTTTGCAGCCATCCACCTCTCCAGCACAACACTTTCAAATCAAATGACTGTAGTTAAAACAAATACTGTATCGTCAGCTGATACCGTCCAAATGAAATCCAGTCCAATTTATTGATGCCAATACTCAGTGGCTAGCTATTCCATCAGTACACTTAGATGTATCCTACTTGTGTCATATCCAAAGAGTACTTCAATTGAACTTGAATTGGTGCTTTGAAAATCACCTCGTTCAATCCTCTCACTGTAACGTTAGCTACGGGTTTGTCATAGCGTCTGTTTCTCTCTTCCTTCACTGCTCCCTCGTGAAGTACCTGGAACCAAGAAGCCAGTCCACCGTCCAGCTTCCCAGTATTTCTTCTCTTCACCTATTTTTCAGAAATCACGCCTCTTAAGTAAGTCATCGCCCACGAAGTCCTTTTCAAAGAACTTCTACTCCAACTCTTTCACTAACTACTATAAATAGTTCACCATGCACAGTTATGATCCGTCTACAACCCACCTCTAGCCAACCCAACTGGCTTCCCCAAACTTTATCCCATTCCAATTAACCACTTATCATAAAACAGGACCCACCCCGCCAATCACATACCCCATAGACACCTTCCTCTCCATATGTTCTCCACTTCTGCCCCACTCTCGGTACGGAAAATAGTCCAATTTGCACCCGCGCAGCACTGGACATCACCTTACTCTATGGCCAACCTGGTCTAACCTGCGATCTGAGACATTATTCACTCGTTACTTACTTTTTTCCAAAAAATGCAGACTATCTCCACAAACTACATTCTTTTCGATCTCGACGGTACTTTGGTTAATACTACAGATGCTGTGGAAACAGCATGGCAGGAAGTGCTCGATGAGCACAACTCAAAGCATGAAGATCAGATCGAGACTAGCGCGTTCTTGGCTACTTCTCATGGAAGAAGAACCATAGAAACATACCAGAGATGGTTCCCGTATAAGGATACTTCCGATGAGGCCATTGGCGCTTACGAGTTGTCGATTGCCACGAAATATGGCCATTTGGCTAAGGAGGTTCCTGGTTCTACTGTTGCATTGACTAAGCTCAACGAGCAGTCTCCACAACGCTGGGCTATATGTACTTCTGGAACCACTGACCTTGCTCATGGTTGGGTTGATAATGTTTTTGAGGGTCTTAAGAAACCTGAGGTGTTCGTGACTGCTAACGATGTTTCAGAGGGTAAGCCTCATCCAGAAGGCTACTTGAAGGCAGCACAGGCCTTGGCTGAAGTGCATGGTAAACCTGGTAAGTCAGTTGTTTTTGAAGATGCTCCAATGGGTGCTAGGGCAGGCGTTAACGCTGGTTATACCGTTATTGGTCTTGCTACTACGTTTTCTAAGGAAATCTTGGAAGAGGCTGGTGCAACCTACGTTGTGAAGGACTTCACGAAGGTGGGTTTTGAACTTAAAGAAGATGGTATCGACGTGAAGCTCGAGACCATTTAGGAGTGTGGAAGTTGTTGACGACCTGGCATGATATAATGAAGTATATACATTTTATATAAATACCTTCTCCATCCCTAATGATCTATAGAACGACAACAGATTCCTTATTGGATCAACCATCCATAGAACATTTACCTACGAGGCCAATTGATTAATGATTGCACTTAAATTGAAGACCCTATAAACCCATATTAGTCATCTTTGATTCCAAGATCCTCAAGCTCTTCTGAGAGCTTCGTCTGGCGGGCTTTCTTGAGATCATGAGCCCTCTTCTTCTCTGAGCGTGCGAACCGGTCCACATCGCTCATTGCATTCTGGCCATAGGTGTCGCCGCCCAAAATGAGCTCGTCACCTCCGCCGTACTTGTCAGAGTACTTCGTTGATGGTTCCTTCAACACACCTCTGATATCAGGGTTGTGGACAAGCTGATCATGGAGACCAAATCCGAAACACCATTTCAAATGAAGAAGTCTGAAGTACAAGAACCAGCTGTTAATGGGGAGAGTCTTGGAACGAGATAACTTGATGGTAGTTGTGCTGACACTCTCGTTCTGCAACTCTGCTGCCTTGAGCGATCTCTTATAGATTTCTTCCCTGAGATCTGGATTCGTGTACTGTTGTATCGTGTTAGACAATTGACTGAAGACAGTTGTTGTCTCCTTCTTCTCCTTCTTACCGACTTTCTTGGCAGTCATGCCTGAAAGTCTGTTGCAAATAGCAAGAAGAGCCTCTTGCTCGTAGTATGGTGCATTGTAATTGAATTCTTCGTCGACATCATCAGGGTCTTCGCTACCTTCTTCGTAGGTGTAAAGCTCGTAACAAAGAGCGAGGGCCCTTCCTCCCGCCTTGGCAATGTCTACATTGACGTCATTATCGACAATTTCGACAAATTCTGTGGCGAGGGTAGTAAGGAGTTCGTTCAAGTATTCGCCACGCGGAAGAAGAGTCAAAAGGCCAGCAACACCATGGATAGCTGCAATGGCGATGTTGGCCTCGGCATGAAGATGAGCCTCCTGCTCACTGACAAGACGCTTGTCCTCGCTCTCATCCATCAAGGTGGAGTATTCACGGTCACCTGTTTTAAGCTCATTGGAGAGGGTGACACTGCTTTGCACATACCCTTGCGCAAGCTCCATAAGCCACTTCACCTTATCGTCAACACCGAAAGCAGAATTGTCAGCGTATAACACGATGAGAAGGGCGCAATAGCCGCTAATCACGCCTGACTTGTTTTCTTCATTAATGTAGGCACTTGGAGGCTCAGAGATGAGAGTTTCTAACTTTGCATGGAAGTCAACACTGACAATCTCTCCAAAGTCCTCAAGGTCACTAGCAAGCAAACCGATGATGGAACGGAACAAAAGAATGAACTCGGATGATGATCTGTACTCCTTCAAATTAAGAAGCTTAACGAGTTGCAGAACCTTTTCCTCAGAAACGTAGTTAGGAGTACCAGCATTCTCTTCATTGTAGACAACCAATGGTCTAATAACCACGAGTTTATAGAGCTGAGCCAAGAGCATCTCTCTAGACAGAGACGACACTTCAGAACGAGCACGTCCGAGAGAGTCAATGATTTCATTGACGGTAGTGGACTCGGACTGAATTCTCATCTTGTTCATGGCATTGACATGCTTTTCTCTATAATCTTGGGCATTGGCGACCATAGAGTCTCTGTTTTCAGCATCCTCCTGCTCGCTTTGGAGTATAATTGCCTGCAAAGACTCCAACTTCTTGGAGAGTAATTCCTCGATGCCATGGAAGTTCACATCCAACGAGCCATTCTCCTCTCCATCTGGATTGGGTGTACGTACTCTGGAAGACGACCGGGAAGACGCATTGGACCCTCCATCTCTTTGCAGAAATCTAGCAGCTAAACTGGCTGGTCTTGACATTGCGGTTGTATTTGATAAGCAAGAGTGGGTATTGGAGGAAGTGTCTCACCATTGTGTGTGCAAGCCTAGTCATGCTCATGGTGCACGGGTGCAGCTCTGCTCCAGCACGCTTGCCAACCTTATTTCAACCAGCACCAGAATGAACGAATGTAAGATCTGGTAAACGATTGGCATAATGGAGGTCCTCCCTTGTTCAAAACCCCCCTAAATGTCCCTAATTGCTAAAAATCAGCCTAAAACACAACCTCATCTGGGAGCACATAGTGCTTTTCACCGTTCTCTCTAACAGTTTCCCTATTGACATCTCTCGGTAGAGCTTTTCTCATATCAAACCCATCCAATTCATCGTCCGTGTGGTTTTTGTCCTTAGGGTAGGTTGCCCCATAGTACCCTATAACTCTTCTGTAGACAGAGTAGCCCAACTTCTCATACAATTGCCTGGCGACGCTATTCGTTACCTTCACAAACAAATCAACAAATAGCGTTTCATAAGGCACCACGGCCGTGATCCTCTCCAAATGCAAACAAAGGTCTGACGCAAGACCTAGACGTCTATAATCTCTGCTTATAGTAACAGCAGTGATATGGGTATGCCATTCCTTTTTCGAAAGCTGTCCCTCAGTCTTCCCCATCATGTATCCACTGATCTTAGGGCTGAATTCAGGAGCCTCTTCAACTGATTTGAAGAAGAGGTCTGGCCATTGGGTAGCGTACTGGAAGTAGAACAGGAGATTGAAATTTTCTGTGAATGGATCTAAATTGACTGGGTTAAGGTCGAACAAATCGTTCATCTCAAAGGGCTTGATAGACGTCATCTTTTAGACCCTGTTTGATGACGATGGTGGTTGACAGGTTGATCTGGGAAGGTTTAGGGGAATCGTATTCACGTCTGTGAAGTCACGTGCATTTTCCGCTATCTGAGAATTTTTCGTCCTCTCGGTAATCTGCTATATACTATCTGCCGGGTCACAACGGCGAAAAACAGAAGTCACAGAAACATCTTTTCTTTCAAACCCCATATAACTGAAACTTAAAAAAAAAAAAAATGTACGGCGGTCCAGGTGCTGAAATCCCAGAAGAACAAAAGAAGGCGCAGGAGCAAATGTCCTATGCCACTTTGAAAACTGCCGGTGTTGTCGCTGGTGCTTTGTGGTTGACGCCCATCGTGTTCCACTTCATCAAGAAGCAATTCTAAGTTTCCCACCATTCCTTTGGTATCATAGCCCCAAATTGTACATACTTATCGAATACATCATTTCAAGCTATTTCCCCGGTTCACGCGGTTCAGATCAATCGTCATCTTCTAGTTCGTGCAAGTCTTCTCTGAGCTTGGTGATCTTCCCAGCAAGGTTCATAAACTCAAATCTCTCGGCAATCCTCGAGGCTGCAAGCAAGGCTTTATCGTTCTTCACTAGTTTGACAACGCTGAGTGCTTTGTTGAGTCTCAGATCTTGACATGCGTTCGCAAAGAGCTTAAGCAACGATTTGTCAAATGCCATACTGTAGCCATTCAATCTTTCAAGCAGCTCATCTTGATCCTCAAGATCTGGTAGAGACAGATTAAGAAGCTTGCCGAGTGTAGATGCTCTCAAGAACTCTTCTTCAGGGTCTTCCTCCTTCAACTTCTCCACCTTAGATGTATGGTCATTATCTTCTATATCAAGATCGTCCTTGTCCTTATTCTCCTCGCCCAGTAGATGCTTAAAGCTCTTGATTGGTAATTTAACCTCTAGTTCAAGGGGTAACGAAAGTGGGAAACCTGGGTATTTGTCGTTGTTCTTCAAGATCAAACAGATAAACTTGTCGTCTGTGAGACCCAAGGGCCATGATTTCCAGTTCTTTTTGGACCTTGTAAGACCATAATCGGTCACAACTTCACCGCAGCTGAGAAGAGGTACCCATCTTGCGTTTCCAGGTTCTCTCCAGTGGGACAAAACCATCAATGTATCATCGAAGCCGGCCACAACACATGGATCATGCAATTCATTAAAAAAGATACCCTTAATCAATGGTGCATTTTGAGTTGTTTCCAAAGTGATAGGAGCACCCTGTTGCAAAAATTTGTAATCTTCGCTGACGTCAATGATGGAGTAGTTGTAATTGTTATGTTCCACTCGATGAATGGCAAAGATGGTGGAAATCAGAGACGAGATCAAGGCCACAACTGGTGAGACCTTCATCAAGTTAATGCAAAGACCATAAAGATTAAAAAACCTCAAGTAGCCATGATTGGTACCAACAACAATTATCGAATCGTTAGAAGTTGCCAGGGCAGAACTTGTGAGACAAAGGGATGTAATGTACTCACCTCTCAATAATGGTATACGTCTCTCCCAGGAATCGTTGATTGATGCATGATGTCTGTAGTAGATGTGACCGCCATTCTTGATTCCATTTTCCATATAACCCGAGTTACCCAATAAGACGCCTCTCTCGTTAACGGAAGACAAATCGTAGTTGTAGTGATCAATAAAGTGGTAATCCTTATTACTTGTCCTGTCAAAGAATGAGATTGTGATGCTCTGGTGGCTATTTGGATCATTGAAAGTATCACTTCTGACCGCCCAGACGTAACCAATAGAATTCATGAATAAATAACGCCTTCTGGTTGTGGAATCCAATGAGGTGATCCATGGCGTCGATCCGGGTGTGTAAGGCTTGAAGTTGAATAGTTTTGGTTCGACAATCGGGCGTTCTTCCTCTTGTTCCGAGCCGTGCAGTGGCTTCTGTCTTTTACGTCTATGTTGAAGATAGTCACTCACCGGTACGTTATGGAACTTTTCGATATCGCCTTCTTCATCTTCTTCATCGTCTTCGTCAATAATTCTTGAGTCGTCTAGACCGTTGGCTCTTCTCTTCTCGGGAACATGGCCGTTTGCAACCTCCACGGGCTCCTCGGTCTCGGATTCGCTTGCCTCGTCAAGAAATAGAGAATTAACTTCTGAACGAACACGCAGAGGCACTTCTTCGGGTTCCTGGGGAGCAACTGGTATGGAACGAAGTTCTCCATTAGTCGTCCCGACGAAAGCAATTTGGCCATTCCAAGCAACATTTAATGGCAAATGCTCAAACTCACCTAATTTCAAGGTTGAAACAAGATCACCGATGTCTGTGTCAAAAACTAGGAGAGAGCCATTCTTGTGGAGCGTAAGAAGGAATTTGTGGCTGGGAGAAACGGTGTATGAAATGAGTTCATCCTGTGAATGTCTGAATTCTCTTTTTTGCAGCAAGTCGGATCTGTTGAAGCTCTTTATGGTACCTTGTTTCGTTGGCACAAAAAGGAACTCACCGTTACTGAGCCATTGTGCCTTTGTGGGAACGATTTCATGCTTATGCTGACCATTGAAGTTTACAATGTCAACTGACGAATGTTGCTTTTCGTGCATCACTTTAGTGAGCTTTTCCAAGAACTCTGGCTTTTCGTTAACCACAGATACCAATTGAATATCACCATTAGCAAGTCCCACACTGATCAACTCACCTGCTGGGTTATATGAGACACTCACCACCGAGTCTGGCATCTGAATTGAGCTCACACGGAAATCGTCAGCACAGTCAATAATAATAAGATCATCAGCATCTCCTCCAGTAGCAATTCTCTTACCCTCATTAATGTAAGTACTATCTCTCAAGGGAAAATCATTCTTGTAGATGACCTTGAAAGTCTCATCTCCAGTAGGTGAGTCAGATAACTCAAGCACAGCCAAGTCACCTTCAGTATTAGTGAAAAGAATATTAGCACCCAGTGACGAAATGGATGTCAAGTTTTCAAGGATATCCAAAGACAAGGGCTCCAGGTCAGCCAGTTCAGGATCGAAGACCTTGATCAACCCGTCACTATTACCTGCAATAAAACGGCCCGACAGTTCATGGTAATGGACATAAGAGTTCCCATCAAGAAATGCTGGAATTACAAGCAGCATTGTAGGAAGTAGCTGTCTTTGGTTGATCGATGCTGGAGTATTTTGGTATTCTTCAACCGCGTATTCTTCTGTATACTTACGCGTATTTTCGTCACGTGTAGTGGTTGCAAATAAACTGCCCAAGGACCATAAACCATGCAATTCTGCTAGGTAAAGAAAGATAATTTGCTGTCCTGATAAATGTATCAAGTTTTTTCGAAGGTAGGTTGGTAAGTGAAGAGGATGTGGAGTTGTAGCACCTAGGAGTCAAAGATGCAAGTCCAGTAACAAGAGAAGGCAGGTGTTTTTCATGAACTTAGTAACTCTTTGAAAGAAGGAGTTTAAAGAGTGGTTATCTCTAACTTTAGAGCAGAATTTGATAAAGTACAATTTGGGCTGAAAAGTACCATTTGGGCTGAAAAGTACCATTTGTTAACCCAAGAGGTCCTATAAGTGTTGAACTTTTCAGGCTGCGAAATACTTCATGAAGAGATATACTGGAGCAGGAAGCCTAATAAAGTGGATTCCGAAGCCATGAGCCTCCAAAGCTAATAAATTCTAATCGTAAGTTCTGTTAACAATATTTTTATTCGTCATCGCCTATTCCACCAATCAAAACTCGTCTTCTGGGGTCTTCCTCATCCGGTAGATCCTGTGTTTACCTCGCGGGTGGCGCGTTATTTTGATTCAAACTAATCACGTCTATTAGTCATATAACTCATCTCTATAATGTCAGACCACGTTGAAGACGACGAAGAAGGTTTCGGAGGCCCTTTGCTTATTGAGCAGCTTGAAGGAAGCGGTATCTCTCCTGGTGATATCAAGAAGCTTAAGCTGGAAGGATACCACACGGTGGAGAGTGTGGCATATGCTCCAAAGAAGGCGTTGCTTACCGTGAGAGGTATTTCTGAAGCCAAAGCTGATAAGATCAGTATTGAGGCGGCCAAGCTTGTTCCTATGGGCTTCACCACGGCCTCGGAATTTCACAGCAGAAGGTCTGAGTTGATTTGTCTTACCAGTGGTTCAAAGCAGTTGGATACTTTGCTTGGTGGAGGTGTGGAGACTGGCTCCATTACTGAAGTTTTTGGTGAGTTCCGTACTGGTAAGTCACAGTTGTGTCATACGTTGGCAGTTACTTGTCAGTTGCCTATTGATATGGGTGGTGGCGAAGGTAAATGTCTTTACATCGATACTGAGGGTACGTTTAGACCCGTAAGACTTGTACTGATTGCCCAAAGATACGGTTTGAACCCGGACGATTGTCTTGACAACGTAGCGTATGCCAGGGCTTACAATGCCGAACATCAGTTCCAGCTTTTGCACCAGGCAGCGCAGATGATGTCTGAATCCCGTTTCTCCTTGCTTGTGGTGGATTCCATAATGTCCTTGTATAGAACTGACTATTCAGGACGTGGAGAATTGTCTGCCAGACAGGGCCATGTTGCAAAGTTCATGAGAACGTTACAAAGATTGGCGGACGAGTTTGGTATTGCCGTTGTGATTACCAACCAGGTTGTTGCCCAAGTTGACGGTATGGCTGGAATGTTTAATCCTGATCCAAAGAAACCTATTGGAGGTAACATTATTGCCCACAGTTCTACCACTCGTTTATCGTTTAAGAAGGGTAGAGGCGAGCAGAGAATCTGTAAGATCTACGACAGTCCGTGCTTACCAGAAAGTGAATGTGTGTTTGCCATTTACGAAGATGGTATAGGCGATCCTAAGACTGAGGAGGACGATGCTTAGCGGTGAAAGAAGATAGACTGCGGGCTTTAACACGCTCTCTTGGCTTGTTGTTACACAATAGCAAATGATCGGTCGATTCAACTTGGCTAGCGCCTAACAGCCTAGAGACTTGCAAGAAAAAAAAAATAACAGGAGATGGTCCGCCCTATGCAACAAAACACCCTGATTGGTGACGTATTTAAGATTCAAAGCAGACGGCTGGCCTTGGTTTTGTGAACCAAAGTTGGACGGAATAATTGATTCAGCACTTTTTTTTTTTTTTTTCACGCGTGGGGGAGTGTTATGTGGGTGGTGCCGCAGGATAGCTCAAAAAGGGTTTCCGCAGCAGCAGCAGCTTTTTAGCGCGCATCAACCAGCCATGAATTTTCCATTCACCTGAATGAGACCCTTTGAAGGCTGGGCCCGCTGGAGATTGCCTAATTGCTCGGCCAACGGCTCAGGGTGTGACTCGTCCATCGTTTATGCCAAAAGTGCCAAAAAGTGCATTCATGCGCCGCACCCGCCTAATGCCGGTGCCGTCCTGGTGCCGGAAGCCAAGACTTGCGAAAAAGTCCATGACAGAGATGGCAGCACACTTTCAGATGGAATTCAGAGCTGGGGCAGACTTACAGAGGTTTAGATGAATACAGATATCTCGAGACTTGGCTGCCGCTAAATTGTTCGTAAAATATTCCTGTTTGTACTAATTTTTCTCGGGAGGTGGTCATTCTCCTTTCCATTGTCTTCTTTTCTTTTTTTTTTCCTCTATATTTTTTTTCCTTCTGGCGCCGTGATTATCTAAACGATCAACCAAAAAAACCGTGCGGCGCCTTCCTTGTTAGTACCTCAGTACGGCACACAAAAATTATCTTTTCCATCAGACGGCCGGGTAACCCTTCCTGGCACGCTCGTCAATGCCTTCCGGCCCCAGGAATACTTAGACCTCGAAAATTTTTCTGACTCAAGTCTTGCACGCTTACCTCGTGATCCACCATCAGAAACTCATCTTCCCGCCATATCGGCCCCCTCCTTCTACCCCTCCAACCTCCTAATAGGTTCCCCTTAGGTCTCCTGATCACCCCACGACCTCCCCTTTTCCCGTCTATCCGGTACCTCAAGCTTCTGTCCCTTGACTCCACACAAAGGCCTGATTGTGGAGCATGAAGTCTATACTACCCAAGCCTTCGTCCTCGGTACTGACGCCTTCGCCTTCCATGTCTAATAAGCGTAAGTCCGTTCCCACAGACTACTCCTCTTCCAAGAGGAGGTCTACTTCCAGTCCTCCACCATCTGGTTTATCCAAACCATCGTCTCTTGATAAGATGGCCCAGCTGCAAGCGTCCAAACAGTCTCGCCCGGTTACTTCATGTACTTTCTGTCGCCAGCACAAGATCAAGTGTAATGCTTCTGAAAACTACCCTAACCCATGTACTCGTTGTAGCAAGATGGGGTTGAAGTGTGAGATTGATCCTCAGTTCAAGCCTAAGAAGGGCTCTCAGATCCAGATGTTGATTGGCGACGTTGAGGAGTTGAAGTCTAAGATTGAAATGCTTTCTAAGAATGAACATTTGTTGACCCAGGCCTTGAATCAGCATAATCACTTTATGCTGCACAGTCTGACTTCTCCAACCTATCCAAGCTCTGCCAGGCCTCCACTTCTGGCTAGAACTCTTCTGGGACACAACACTCCAAACTCAGCTATTGATCAATTTGCTGGCGGACACTTCACTCCCCCTGCGCCACCTTCTGGTCCCAGCCTGGTTCCTGCTACCCATACTGGTTTCCATCAACCATCAAACTCTATAAACGATGCTACAGGTTCAGGCCAAGCTATTACTAACTTATCACTGGTCCTTCAGGCTAACTCGACAGACAACTCGCCTGCTACTTTTGCCAGCGACACTCAGGGCAACTACACACAGTCGCCAGAGGACCATCAAGCCACTCAAACAGAAACCTACTCGGAGTTTATCTTGGGAGATGTAAGACTCTCCTTGGAGAAAGCTGATGAGCTTCATGACCGTTTCATGACGAAATTCCTTCCTTTCCTTCCTATTCTCACTTCGTCGTCGGCCACTGAGCTCTACTCCAAGTCCCAGTTGTTATTCTGGACTGTGATGCTTACAGCGCTGCTCTCTGAGCCTGAGCCAGGTTTGTACATGTCGTTGGCTACACTTATTAAGCAGTTGGCTATTGAAACTTGTTGGATAAGAACTCCCCGTTCGACTCACGTTGTTCAAGCACTTATTATCCTTGCTGTTTGGCCACTTCCAAACGAAAAGGTCTTGGATGATGCTTCCTACCGTTTTGTCGGCTTGGCCAAGAACTTGTCTTTGCAGTTGGGTCTCCATAGAGGCGGTGAGTTCATCCTGGAATTCAGTCGTACCCAAGTAAACTTGGGTCCTAACTCCGATGTCTGGAGAACCAGATCATGGTTGGCCGTTTTTTTCTGTGACCAGTTCTGGTCGTCAGCTCTTGGCTTGCCTCCTTCGATCAACACCACAGATTACTTGCTTGAGAACGCAAGAGTCGATCAATCTTTGCCGGCAAATTTTAGGTGCTTGATTTCTTTATCCATCTTCCAATGCAAGCTCGTGAACGTTATGGGTATTTCCGTTACTAGATCTGACGGTTTGCTTGAGCCTTCTAATCGTGCTGCTTCCCTCAACATTCTTGACAGAGAACTTGAAAGACTCAAGTTCAAACTTAACATTATGGAGGGTTCAGCTATTGAGATGTACTATTTATATTTGCGCCTAATGATTTGTTGTTTCGCCTTCCTTCCAGGTACCCCAATTGAGGACCAAGTCAAGTACGTCAGCACAGCATACTTGTCTGCCACCAGGATTATCACCATTGCGTCTCAGCTTGTGAGCGTGAACTACATTTCCCTTATCGAACTTCCTATCTATGTGAGGCAAGCTATCACATACTCTGCTTTTATCCTCTTCAAGTTGCACTTGTCGAGATATCTCATAGAGAAGTACGTTGATAGCGCCCGTCAGTCTATCGTTACAGTCCACAGATTATTCAGAAACACCTTGTCGTCTTGGAAAGATCTTCAGAATGATCTTTCAAGAACGGCAAAGGTTTTGGAAAATTTGAACATTGTTCTTTACACTTATCCAGAGATTTTCTACGATGACGAAAGCACCAGCACAGAAGGCAGTATTATCAGCAGGATGCGTTCACACTTGACGGCATCTCTTTTCTACGATTTGGTGTGGTCAATCCATGAAGCTAGAAGAAGAACACTCCAGAACAAAGAAAATGGTGACAGCGACGAGCCCAAAATTAAGATTAAAGAGGAAGAAGGCGCCAAGAAGCCATTGGCACTTCCATTTTACAACCAGATTACTAAAGATGATTTTAAAGCAATGACCACCACCACACCGAACGGAACCACTATTACTACATTGGTTCCCACAGACCAGGCGCTTAATCAAGCAAAGCTCGAGAGTGACAATGGCTCGAAAAAGCCAATGGAAATCAACGGTATCCCACTTGCTATGCTCGAAGCTACAGGCAGTACCAAGGATGTGGATAGCATCCGCTTTTCTGGCTTTGACCAGGACAAGTCCATGAGACATGATGTGAGCAGTGAGCCAGTCGAAAGGGTTGGTTTTACAGCCGACTTGACTCATGGAACCGATTTCCTGCTTGAATCGCAAAACCAACACCAGCAACAGCATCAATCCCTGGCCATTCTGCTGGATCCCACACAGCAACAAATCGAGCTGCAAGAAGTTATTTCGCAACAGAACACTCCCGCGTATGATGGGTCCCTCAATTCAGGAGACGTTAGAGTCTCTGGAGCCGGCTACCCATATAACAATGGCATGGGATCTGCAGGAATGGCAGATCAGCTCGATAACTTTTTCCAGCAGCAATCACACGGGTGGCTTAATAATAACCACCAGGACGACGATTTCCTTGGTTGGATTGATGTGAATATGCTTCCCGAAAAATAAGTCTTGTACATACTTCTTTTGCTAACGATCATGAGGACACGAAATTTGAATTATATTTACTAAAATTGCTAACCCTAGTAGAGACTACGTCTAGGATATCCGCGTGATATCCACTCACGTGCGAGTGCAACATCGGAGTACCCACCTATATTTCGGACTCTTTCCATCGAATCTTTCCTCTCCTCAATTAACCCCAATATGCTTCAGAACATCGCCAGAGCTGCTCCAGTGTCTAAGCAATTCCTCAGACCAAGCTTGCAATTTGCCAGAGTGCAATTGTACTCTTCCTTCAACCCAGCAGACCAGCCAAGAATCAGAATTGGCTCCACTGCTCCTGATTTCACCGCTGAAACCACCAAGGGTAAGGTCAACTTCCACGATTTCATTGACAAGTCTAAGAAATGGGTCGTTTTCTTCTCTCACCCAGCTGACTTCACTCCAGTGTGTACCACTGAGTTGGGTGCCTTCTCTAAGCTTGCCCCAGAGTTCAAGGACAGAAACACCACCCTTTTCGGTTTGTCTACCGAAGGTGTCGACAGCCACAATGCTTGGATTAAGGACATTGAGGATGTCACCGGTGGTGATCCATTCAGCTTCCCAATCATTGCTGACCCATCTAAGGAGATTGCTTTCAAGTACGACATGGTGAGCCAGGATGACTTTGAGAAGCTCAAGGACAAGATGGTGCCTACTGTCAGATCCGTGTTCATCATTGACCCAGCCAAGAAGGTCAGATTGATCATGACCTACCCAGCCTCTACCGGTAGAAACTCTGCCGAGGTGTTGAGAGTGCTTGACGCTTTGCAGTTGACCGACTCCAAGGGTGTTGTCACTCCAATTGACTGGTCTAAGGGTGAGGATGTCATTATCCCACCAACTGTCTCTAACGAGGACGCCAAGGCCAAGTTTGGTGACTTCAAGACCATCAAGCCATACTTGAGAACCACCAAGGACCCTAAATAAACGGTTCCGGCGTTGTAAGTAGGAATGCCAAATATTAACCAGACAATTGTAGGAAATGAAGCTTCAACTTTCAGTATCAATAGGATTGACGTTTTGGTTTAAGCTTTTTAAACTTTTCGCAGCCAATTTACACTTTGAAAACGTATGAGGAAACGCCAGTCAAGCGAAGCACTTACGGTAATTGCCACAACATCACTTCGCCAAAAGTTGATTTTCCTTTCCGATTCCTCTCAATACCCATGACCAGAAATCTAGATACTTTAAAAACCATATCTTTCATTTCTGATGTTCCATATTACAGCTTTAGTGGTACATTAAATTGGGGTGCCTTTTTTGATTTCTAACGCGCGTATCTACTAAAATCAGAAACTTGGTAGTGAAAAAGTCCTCTGATAATTCGAAAACACCTTCTAGAAAACCGAATTCAACGAAGTTTACCATGAAATCTGAAAAACAAACTGATTTCCCACGTTTCCACAATTTATCTTCACAAACATTACCAGCTTTTATCAATCCCTTTCCATTGCCAATTTCTACCTTAAACGGTGAGCGTTGGTGATTCGCGCATTTACACCTTTTGGGACATTATTACACGCGTCCCGCCGCATCCTACTTCTTTTTCATCCCTCGCTTTTTTCTTACTTTCTACTACAACCCAGAATTAAACCCACCTTCTTTAAATGTCGAACTTCGTCTCGTCTCCCAGAAGTATCCCTTCGGATGCCGCGAGACTTCTAAATTCCTCCCATGTTTCGTCGTCGTTGGGCAGATCTGCCAATTCTCCACTGAGTGGCCAGCCTAACGTCCAGTATAGTGACATACTGACTTCTGCCAAAGAGAGGGAGTTGAGGATGCCAGCGCTGGTTCGTAGTGCTGTTGAAGTGCCTAAGGTTGTTGATTTCACTGGTGAAAAAGTCCGTGAATCCTTTGAACAGTTTATCGAGGAGTACGTGGACCAGGAAAGTGCCGATGACGAGTGGAATGGAAGAACTTACCTCGCTCAGATCGAGTCCATGCGTGTTTTCGAATATAACACGTTGTATGTCGACTACCAGCATTTGGTTGGTAGAGAGAATGGTGTTTTGGCCACGGCCATTTTGGAACAGTACTACCGTTTCAACCCATTCTTGTTGAAGGGCTTGAAGAGACTCTTGAAGAAATATGCTCCATCTTTGCTTTACATGAGTTTGTTGGGCAACAATGATGCCAATGGAGGTGCCGACACGGAGGCTGGCTCTTCGAGCTCCTCGGGCGCTACTTCCAACGAAAGAGTTTTCCAGATCTCTTTCTTCAACTTGCCTGTCACTCACAGAATCCGTGATATCAGAACGGAGAAGATCGGTTCTTTGATGGCCATCTCTGGTACTATTACACGTACTTCCGAAGTTAGACCTGAATTGCATAAGGGTTGCTTCACTTGTGATCTTTGTTCTGCTGTTATTGATGGCGTGGAGCAAGTCTTCCGTTACACTTTGCCAACAGCATGCCCAGGCTGTACCAATCAGACATTATTCACATTGAATGTTGCGAAGTCCCAGTTTATCGATTGGCAAAAGTGTCGTATCCAAGAGAACTCCAACGAAATCCCAACTGGTTCCATGCCTAGAACCTTGGACGTGATTTTGCGTGGTGATGCTGTCGAAAGGGCAAAGCCTGGCGACAAGTGTAAGTTTACAGGAACTGAGATTGTGATTCCAGATGTCTCCCAGTTAGGTTTGCCTGGTATCAAGGCTCAGTCGATTAAGGAAAACACATCAGCCAATCAAAACTTGAATTCCTCCATCTCGGGTTTAAGCAATCTTGGTGCCAGGGACCTTACCTATAAGCTTGCCTTCTACGCATGCCATGTGAGTTCCCTTGTGAATAAGGCATCGGACAGCGGTGCTGATGACAAAGAAGTTGAATATCAGGGTCCAAACGACCAAGAGGTTTTCTTGAACTCCTTGTCTGACTCTGAAGTATCACAGCTTAAGGATATGGTGAAGGATGAACATGTTTATGATAAGCTTGTCCGTTCCGTTGCTCCCGCTGTATTTGGCCACGAGACTATCAAGAAAGGTGTCTTGTTGCAAATGCTTGGTGGTGTACACAAAAAGACCGTTGATGGTATCAACTTGAGAGGTGATATTAATATCTGTGTTGTTGGTGATCCTTCTACCTCTAAATCGCAGTTTTTGAAGTACGTTTGTGGTTTCTCCCCAAGAGCTGTGTACACCTCTGGTAAGGCTTCCTCTGCTGCTGGTTTGACCGCTGCAGTGGTTAAGGATGAAGAGAGTGGTGAGTATACTATTGAAGCTGGTGCTTTGATGTTGGCTGACAACGGTATTTGTGCCATTGATGAGTTTGACAAAATGGATCTTGTTGACCAAGTCGCCATTCACGAAGCTATGGAACAACAAACAATTTCCATCGCTAAGGCCGGTATCCACGCTACCTTGAATGCTCGTACCTCTATCTTGGCTGCTGCAAACCCTATCGGTGGTAGATACAACAGAAAGTTGGGATTGCGTGCCAATTTGAATATGACTGCTCCTATCATGTCCAGATTCGATATGTTTTTCGTTGTGTTGGACGATTGCAATGAGAGAGTCGATACTCAATTGGCTGCTCACATTGTTGATTTGCACATGTTGAAGGACGATGCTATTGATCCACCTTATTCTGCTGAGCAGTTGTCCAGATACATCAAATACGCCAAAACCTTCAAGCCCCGTATGACAAAAGAAGCCAGGGACTTCTTGGTTGCCAAGTACAAGGAATTAAGAAGCGATGATGCTCAAGGTCTTGGAAGATCTTCCTATAGAATTACAGTGAGACAGCTAGAATCTATGGTTAGATTGTCTGAGGCTATTGCTCGTGCAAACTGTACCGAAGAGATTACTCCTACATTCGTTTCCGAGGCATATGACTTGTTGCGTCTGTCTATCATCAGAGTTGAAATGGATGACATTCAAATTGATGAAGATGATGGAGATGGAGAGACCATGGATGTTGAAGAAGAAGAGCCTAACGCAGAGGTTGAGGAGGTTCGTGAAGGCCTCGAATCTTCGTACCCTGCTCGTCAGGAAAGAAGTCAGCCAAAGGTGAGCATCACTTACGATAAATACGTTGCCATGATGAACCTAATAGTGAAGAAGGTTTCTGATGACGATGCTGCTGGCGGAGACGGCTTGACAAAGGAAGAGATTGTCGACTGGTACTTGCACCAAAAGGAAGATGAAATCAACACAGAACAGGAATTCCACAACGAAAGAACTTTGGCATACAAGGTGTTGAAGAGGTTGGACAAGGACCGTATCTTGATGAGCGTCACCCATAATCTTAATGAAGAGGCCCTTCCAGAAGATGAATATGAGAGAGAGCAACAAGCAAGCCGTACGGTGTATATCATACATCCAAATTGTGCTATCATGGATTTCTTTGACAACCAGACAAGGCCAGAGGAACAAGAAACAGGGGAGGAGTAATATCTTACGGTTAGACGGAATTTTTAATTTGTATACTATGTTCAATTGTATTTGTATCAGTTCTTTAATGAATGGTCGTAGTTTAAGGTTTTGCTTATGCTTTTGGTTGGTCGCCATTCTTTTGGGCGTCATTTTTATGGTTATCGATGTTCGACAATGGAAGGCTCGAATCTGAACCTTCTTGCTTAGCTGATTTGTCGAGTCTCCAATCAGCAACCGAGATTTGGTTGGCGCAATCAACACAGTGTTCAACGAAATGCTTCGATGTTTGGAACATTTTCTGACAACTGCGGCACCATCCTGGGTCGGCTCCTGGGTACATGTGATCCTTGTCTTTGACAAAGTGGACAAGACGTAAATGTCTTTTCAAGACGTCTAACCTATTGAATGCACCACCGTTCCTGTGACAAGTTGGATCAGTACGCCAGTAGGGACAGTGGAACATTGGCTCGCTGTGAGACTTTTCGTGTCTACGCAAATCGCTTTGTCTTGCAAAAGACCATTCACAATTCTGATGGGAGCAGGCAAAAGGCTTAGAAGCGTCCTTTGGATCCGCTTCTTTCCTACCCTTTCTTTGACCCTTTATTTGCTTTGAAGGCGTGATGGCTTTAGTGTTATACTTCTGCTTGGACTGGGACTTACTGCGGAAAACAGGGTCCTTGAAGTATACGAAAGAATCCTCAGACTGAGGTGCCATGTTAGGTTCTCCATGGTGCCCGTTAGTGGCAGATGCATTGGCTGGAGTAACCGGGGCGGGATGAGGCACGGCAGAGCTCAGTCTAGAGAGGGCTGGAGCAGCCGACGGCTGCTGCAAAGGTGGAGCTATCTGAGCAGGTAGCTGTTGATAGGTAGGCTGAGGTTGAGGCTGATGTTGCTGAAATTGGTACAGCTGAATCTGCTGAGGCATCTGTTGAGCATACTGTTGGTTCAACAGCACCGGGATGGAGAGCAGCAGAGGAATGGTCTGTTGCAAAGCGTGTTGCAGAGGTACAGGCTGTTGCAAAGTAGGCTGCTGTTGAATAGGTTGTTGTAAATGCTGTTGCAGCAGCAAAGGCTGCTGAAGGGGCTGCTGCAAGGAAATGGGCTGGGAAGTGGTCAGTGTATAAGGATAAGCAGCAAAGGGGTCCTGGGAAGAGTGGAAGTTAGGCATGGAATATTTGTTTCCTAACAGATACACATTGTTGAGCGACTGGCCATAGTAAGACGGCGCCGCGGAGTTGTAGTACGAAGCAGCCGAGGACATCTGAGGAGCAGGGGGATGGAGACCCATTGCTTTCTGGGAGTACGGTAGAGGCGAAGCGTAGGAAGATGACTTAACCAGATCGTCTCTTCGAGGATCGTTGGCACCAGGTGAGGACATGGAGGGGAAAAAAAAAAAAACGGATGGAGTAGTTTAAGTCAAACGGATGTAAATGGAACGGATATAAAAGAAGGACCTAGTGGAAAAGTTTGCCGTGATGAATTTGCAGTAATGCTGTAGAAAGCGAGAAAGCTTTGTGGGAGGGTTAAAAGTAGATCTAGCGAGATGGAGAAAAGCGATGAGCCGCTTGATGTGAGGTTCTGCGTAAGTGTCGGCTTTTTGAGAGCGGTTGTCCTGCAGGGAGCGTGGACGAGAAGATTTTCCCACGAAAAAGAAGAAGAGAAAAAAAAAAAAAATCTGAAAAAAGAAGAACGCCGCGACCGTTGACTCCAACAGACAAGACTAAAAAAGCAAAAGACATACACACTCTTAGGGCGTTGTATTTTTGGAAGGGCCCGTGGAGGAGAGGTGGTTGAAAGTAAAGAACAGTAAACAACTCACTTTTTGTTTTTGTAGTGGCATGGGCTGGCAGCTTCCGTCTTCTTCAGTTGCATCAGATCCACGCTTTTTTTTCGTGTTTCTGACTCTTCCTCAAGATGCAAGAAGCAGAATCCTATCTTCTTCTCTAGAGTCTCTGCCGCTGTGCCTCAAAAAAACCGTTGGGAGCGGCGACTTTGTGGGATAATTAGCTTTGGCTGTGGAATGTGTGACGATTCCGCTTTTGCTGCTTTTAGAGGCCTCTATATCGTAAATCGTCTTCGGCAATGGACACTAGTGTCGTATATTGTTCGCCAGTTAACCCAACACACCTGCTTTGACCAATGGCTGCGAAACATTTAACCTGGGAACACCAACTGTGGCTGGCCTGCCCTAAGCCTAAAAAATTACCTTTCTATGCTTTTTTAAACTTACCTTCATCCCCAAAGCCTATTCCGTAGTCTTATCTTCCTGTTCGGTCTTCACCAGTGGCCTTGGTGTGGACTAGGGCTGGCGCCCAATTGGCTGCGAAACAAGGCTAGTGAGGCGGTGACATGCATTGGAACCGTCATAATTACGTGTTTTGGGGGCTTCTTATGTGCTTGTCTTAGCTTGTCGCTCGTGCCTCATGCCTCGTCGTGCCTCGAGGCTCCATTGTTATACTGGACTCGTGTTCTTTTTCCTTCCCATTATCCTCTTGTTCTTGTTCACTTATGGGTTGCACTTGTTAACCAGTACTACTGTTCTGCACTGGCCAATGTTACATCACTCATAACCGAGGCCAAGCCGCTGGCCACACTTTCTATGCTTTTTCCATATACCAAACCATCCATTTCCTTAACTCCCTTCTAACCTCTTTCTGGTGTTCATTGGTAGTGCACTTCCTCTTTGGTACTGTCTGCCCACTTTACCCACTGTGGGGCCTCGTGTGAGCTGTACCACTAAGGTCAGCGCGAAATGGGTGCAAACTGGGTTGCCCATATTTCCACATTCAGTCAACCATGGGCAGACAAATTTCACTATTGTCATGTAAAAATTGGTCCACTGACGTATCCTTCTATTTCTTTTGTTACCCTAGTTTGATTACTCATCTCGTTCTTGACTCATTTATTACTTGCCTCTCTTCACACCCTTTAGTCATTACCTACTAATCCGGGATTGCTGACTATCTAAGCAACTGGTGTGAGTTCTCCTGCACTCGCGCCCTGTATAAACCTGCTAGCCCCAGCCCTGGGGTCTGGGGTGTCCTGTTATATCTTCCTTGTGTATTTGAAATGCCAGAAGTACGTATTTTTGGTTCTTCCAGCTGCTGAAGATGAACTTTTTACGGTTTGTTCGTGGTTTTGCTAACTCCCAGAAGAACTCAATTGAAATCCTTAAGTTTGCCGATAAAGACGGTGCTTATCGGCGCTTGCCCTCTCAGTTTCGTAGCTCCATCTCCAGGGAGCAAGGTGCTGAGTTTCCTCCTGATTTGAACCGTTATCATCTTTTCGTGTCTCTTGCTTGCCCATGGGCCCACAGAGTGCTTATCACCAGAAGACTCAAGGGTCTTACCCAGGCCTTACCTGTGTCTATCGTGCACTGGCACATGGACGACAACGGATGGAGATTCCCTACTAAGGATGAATTGTCGGGCCTCAAGAATGGCGATATTTCCGTCGGTACCGCCGAGCCATTGTACGGTTTTGAAAGATTGAAGGAATTGTACTTTAAGGCTAACCCAGAGTACAACGGCAGATTCACGGTTCCGGTTTTGTGGGATAAACAGAAAGAGACCATTGTGAGTAATGAAAGTGCAGAGATCATCCGTATGCTTAACACTGAGTTCAACGACTTATTGCCTGCTGATTTTGCTGAGGTCGACTTGTATCCGGAGAACTTGAGAGGCAAGATTGATGAAATCAACGACTTGGTCTATGATAACATCAACAACGGTGTCTATAAGACCGGTTTTGCCACATCTCAGGAAGTCTATGACAAGGAAGTCAGAAACGTTTTTGATCACTTGGATAAGGTTGAACAGATCTTCAAGTCCAACAGAGACAAGAATCACAACGACCGTTTCTTAACCGGTACCACACTCACCGAGGCCGATGTGCGTTTGTTCACCACAATTATTCGTTTCGACCCGGTATACGTGCAGCATTTCAAGTGTAACATTGGCATGATCAGGCATCAATATCCATACATTAACGACTGGTTGAAGTTGCTATATTGGAAGATCCCAGCCTTCAAGGAATCGACCGATTTCAACCATATCAAGAAGCACTATACCAAGTCACATAAGGCCATCAACCCAAATGGAATCACCCCAGTTGGTCCAATCCCTGACGTTGAGATTGACTAATCAGGTTAATGGATTGGCCCAGACAGTGAATAATTAGTTTACCATTACCTAACTCGAGATTGCATTTTGTTTAAAGCTGCCGAGTAGTCTTGTTTGGCTTCATCTGAATCTCTTTTGGTCCCAGTCTCATATACGTCTGACTAACGTACCATACGCCAAAACTAGCACACATTGGGAATGAGCCTCAGGCACAACGCACTAAACAGGTACGACTATTAACTAGCCGATTTAGCCAAACCCTGTAACGGAGCCTTGTATTTGGTTCGCTCTATTCGACTGATTTCCTAAATGAACCCCTAACACTTTCTATTCATTTCCACCTCTTACATCCTCTAAAGTATTCGTTTTAGTGGCTGCAACTATTTCGGTGCTAACCTTCAATACAGGCGAGGTGCTTTGTCTACGTTCCTTAGTTTCGTGCCGGTGCGCTTGAAAACACGCGAATTTACATTTCACGACAATTAGAAATCAGAAAAAACGGTAACCCACACAAATGAGAGGTATGAAATCAGTGAAGAGATTGCTATACAAATTGAGTACTAACAACAGATTATAAGATAGTCGTTTTGGGTGCTGGTGGTGTTGGTAAGTCCTCCGTCACGGTACAGTTCGTACAAGGTGTCTATGTCGAAAGTTATGATCCAACAATTGAAGACTCGTATAGAAAGCTGATCGAGGTTGACGGCAGGGCCTGTGACCTAGAGATCTTGGACACTGCAGGTGTTGCCCAGTTCACTGCAATGCGTGAATTATACATCAAATCTGGTAAAGGTTTCTTGTTGGTGTATTCCGTGACAGACGAGAACTCTTTGACAGAGTTATTGGCGTTGAGAGAACAGGTGCTCAGGATTAAAGACTCGGAAAATGTCCCCATGGTCCTTATTGGTAACAAGAGTGACTTGGACGAAGACAGAGTATTGTCCATTGATGATGGTATCAAGGTCTCCCAGCAGTGGGGACTGGTTCCTTTCTACGAGACCTCTGCCATGTACAAGACCAATGTTGATGAAGCTTTTATAGATGTTGTCAGGCAAATTATGCTCAAGGAAGCACAGGCTAGCGCCGAGAAGAAGCAGCAGAAGGAATTGCAAAAACAGCAGGCCTTGGATGGAGGTGTCGAGAACGGTGCAGTTGGAGGCGGAGCCGGTGGCATCGACAGTGATTCTGTGCTTAAAAGAAACAGACAATCCACGTCATCGAAAAAGTCAAAGAGCCACAGCAGATGTTGCACTATTGTTTAAAGGATCAGGGAACCGTGTCAAGTCTATCTTCAGAGAAGAAGGGATGGTTGGCATGATGGTGACGTTGACGTCACAATGTTACATTAATAACTGTGTCGAGCTCAGTCTTGAGTCCGGCCAGTAGAATCTTGGTTCGTGGAACCTTACACCGACATAGATGATGCTTTGGTGGAGACTTTCTTATTTCTTCGTTACTCGGAAGCTAAAGCCATAAGTGATACTGTCGATGGACATAATAAGTGATAATAAAACTAAATCAGGAGAAAATTGAACGTAGGTTTAGATGAAACCTGTTGTACCCTTGCTAGCTAGTAGAGACTATGAGAGTTGCTTGGCTCTACAATTCCTCCTACAGTGGACTTCCTCGGGCCAATAGAAAAGTCTCTATCCATCAAATCACGGCAAAAATGTACCTTCTACCTAAATTCCGTATTTTTCATGCCGTTGCCATGATAAGCCTACTTTCATATTCGCAGTAGTCCGTCAGACCGAAGTAGCGCCATAAGATTCCACTTACATGGATACCCTTCTGACCTGTCTCGAAACCAGAAATTTACGCTTTGTAAATAAGCTTCCATAAAAAAAATCCATTCTTTTCATTGTTCCCCGCCATTCCACTATTCCCACCCATTTCACCGAAAAGTAAGGGTTTGCAATGGCTGTGTACGGTATACATCTATATGCGATAACGCATAACCTGGGGTCCTTACTCAGACTTCCTTCAACTACATCTTACCCTAGAGCCATGTACGCCCTTGGACCGGTAGTCAACTTTGCTCCAGTTGACCTCCAGCGTAATCAGCGGCGACCCTATGGGTCAAAGGCACAGCAGGCAGAAAGGAGCAACAATAACCTAGAGAGTGTGGTACTGGCGGACACCACCGAACGTCATACCGCTGGAGAGCTCATCACATATATATTCCCTGACTTCAAGGCTGTCAGTTATTTTCAAAAGGAGTTTATTGCTCTTAACGAGTTTCATGTTGCTGAAGAGACTGAAGCTCAGGGTTTCGAGATCTACTTGGTGGACCAGTGGATACGGGGCAGAAAGATAGGAGGTGTTGTTTCTACGTATACGGGAAACATGGAAGCAAAGGTTAAGGTCATCAAGTTTACTGTGCTACGAAAGCCCTCTAAGCAATATCCTGGTCGATTCCAGGAGTATCTCAATGAGATGATGATGAACCATGCCACGTTCAAGAAGATGGAGCAAGAAGCCACTGATGGACCAAATAATCAAAGCACCTTGGATGTGGTGGAAGATGGTGCCGTAAATGAGTTCTTGCTTGTGACAAATCTTGAAGCACTTCCTTCTAATTTGAACTTGATTCCTATCCCAGAAGGTGATACTAGGCTTGTGGAAGAACGTTTTGTCCTTAACTCGAACCTCAAGAAACTTAACTGTGGTGGACGTTCTCTCTCGCTTGCTGCTCAAAAGGTCTCAGATGCCTCCGAAGATAAATTCAGACAGATGTACAAGCTACTAGACGAGACTGTTCCCATCAAGTTCGCAATCAGACAGCTAGTCAACCTCATTCAATCATGCCTATTCTACTTTGACTTTTTAGATGCCCGTTACTGTGACGGGCTTCTTTGTCAGAAGACAGAGGATGCTATCAACAACTGGTGGAATTTAATCGGCTTGCCGCACTTTAATGTCAAACCTAACCCAAAAAGTGGTATTCTTCCTTCTAAGACCGTTGCAGCTATTCTCAGTCTTACATTAAGTGTTAGGTTACGTTTGCATTTATATGGTGGTTGTGACGTGCCCAAAGATGTGTTTGATTTCGAAAACTTTATGCTTTCGATCGGCCATTTTCAAAAGCAAGCCAAAATTGAAAAGAAAAGAAAACTTGATTTACTCACTCTTCTGAGGCTTTTCAGCTTTACAAATCAGAAATTCCCATCTGACAGTACGAAACACACAGGAGATCTTTCTGGAGATGAGCATGAAGACTTCTACGATCCCTATGTGGGATCATACGGGCATGGTAAAAATCTGCGCCAAACCCAACCACTGAATAATAACTCCTTGTACAAGAGAAACAAACTCTATTATTCGAAGGAATTGAAGAAGTTGACTAATGTTGTTAAGAACACCGTTCAAGACCATATTATCGTTCGTGAAGATGACGACAACTTTTTCGATCCCCCTTCTGCTTCAGGAGGTAAAATTAGAAACAAGATTGCATCAAAGCTCGTTGATAATGTTGTCCCTGCCGATATCGAGACATTGGATTTAGAATTTCTTGTTCGCAAGCATTTGACGGGTAAGACGCTAAAGACCTTGTGGTACGGTACGTCACATCATTCTGACCAAACCCAACGAACCTTGCACGTTGGGCATAACGGACACAGAAGGAACTCAAGAGTAAGCTCGGATTCCAATGAAAATTCAAGGTACAAATTCATCAGTTTGAAAGAGGCCATCACGATGAATCAAGCCTCAGGCCTCGTGACAAATGACCGAGGCAAACGAGCAGGAAGAATGAGATTTGGCTTTCAAGGAAGAAGACCCAATGTTTTGGCAAAGATGGATATGTTATCGGATTTTTCGAATCCGGACCAGGTTTCTTCAAAACAGCTGAAACTTAATGAATCACTACTTGATGCCCAGCTCAATCAACTCTCTTGTGGAGATAACGATGCTTGTCAACATGCTGTTGAAGAGTGTTTTGCGCCACAGTTACGTGAGAAAGATACGAGAAGCCTTCTCAACAGGCGTAATTCTTTTCCCATTGCCCATCCGGGTGCCGACTTGAATCTAAACACTATTGAGTTTGTGAGAGAGGAACGTGCCGAGTTGTTAAATGAAATGCTTGAAAAAAGAGAGCGGCCATTACAAAGGTCGCGATCCTCGTCATGTCTTGATGAGTATCTTTTGCCATATGACAAGCCTGTTTCGGAAGAGCAGGTTTGCATGAAATTTCTTCAACGTTTGATGCATTTAGCAAAGATGGAGAGCTTGAGGGCTAATCTGGACAGATCTGGAAACGACAAAATAAGGCGAACGTATAAGCAGATGAACTTCGAATTGGTTAAGCTCCACAACATATATTCACAGATGCAATCAAAGCACGAGAATATCGAAGACAATTATTCAGCAGTGCTTTCTGGCCGTATGCGGGACATAACAGATAATATTGACAGAATGGCATTCAGATCAAGAGACTTGTTAAAGAAGATTAACGAATTGGATGAAAACACGAGGAAATTTGACTTCAATATGAAGAAGGGAAGTGTCCAAAAGCTCGAGGATATCTCAGAGCATCTAATTCGCAGTCCCAAGTTTCAGTTGGTCTTTAAAGATGACGAAGAAAGGCAGAAGATTATTTTCAGTTTGACTGGTCGTGATTACATTAAAAAGGAGGATAAGGAATATGAGAATACCTACTGGGGACTCCGGATTCTTGTCACTTATTTGTACGACTTAATGGTCTTCGTTCTTCAACTTTTCAACTTTGACAGATCGAAGATGGACTTGGACAGAATCAGGAAAATGTACCGCAAAATTGATCCCAACCGCCGCTTTATTGATAAAGCATATAGACTTGTGGGCCAGGAGCCCAGTGCACCCAGCACAGAACAGTAATTGCATGACCTAAGGTTTCACCAAACTCTCGAATGTAGTATTAAGCGTATCAATCATCTTGTCTAGTTGTGTTTTGTATTCCTTGGACAGTAGTTTGGCCTGGTTCGTTGATAGGCTCCTAAGCTCTCGTAGCGACTCAGACTGAATGTACTTCAATGCCGTGGCAGAATGCTGCAAATTATCATCTAGATCCTTCATGGTATATTCCTCAAGAGATGTTTTATAGGCATCACAGCGCTCTTCGAAGTTAGCTTCTTCAGACTCTGTCATCCTCTCTCTCGAGTTGCAATGATCTACAACAGTCGCAACAAGCAGATGTGAGTCAACGATCATTTCTTGTAGTTTAACTCCAATGAAGTCTTGCTGTTGTAGTGATGTTATTAGCTCGAGTCTAGACTTTTCCAATTCTTCAATAAGGGCTTTCTCGTCTAGTTTTGCATTGATTTGCGGTGGTTTGTCTTTGGATAGTTCTTCATAGACCTCTGGAGACACCAATTTCTTTGCCGACGAAGTGAGCGACGCTATTTTTTCATCTGTTTCAGAAACTTGCTCTGTGAGCAAAGTCACCAACGTCGACAAATTTCGTGGATCTTGTTCCATCAGTTCCTGCCCTGGTATGGCTCAGAAATGGTTGCAACTAGGCCTATGATATCGAGGATGTACGGGTGCACGCTGAGAACAACACGGTCGCTAACCAAGGCTTTATAGAACAGACTGAGGCAACAAAGTGTAAAGCCATACATAAACATAAAATGGTGGCCATTACAGACGCTCATGATGACTTGATTCACGACGCTGTTCTCGACTATTACGGCAAGAGATTGGCTACTGCCTCTTCTGACAAGACGATCAAGATCTTTGACATTGAGGGAACGGAAAGCCATAAGCTCGTGGAAACCTTGGTGGGCCACGACGGTCCTATTTGGCAAGTTGCCTGGGCACATCCTAAATTTGGCTCGATTTTGGCTTCTTGCTCTTACGATGGTAAGGCTATAATCTGGAAGGAGCAGCCTGAAACACAGCAATGGTCTATTATCGCCGAACACTCAGTTCACCTGGCCTCAGTTAACTCGGTATCATGGGCCCCTCACGAATTGGGAGCTGTTTTATTGTGTACTTCTTCTGATGGTAAGGTTTCCGTTGTGGATTTCAATGACGACGGTACCACCTCACATGTCGTATTCGACGCTCACGCAATTGGCGTCAACCTGGCTTCTTGGGCTCCATTGGGAGCCAGTGGATCCAAGGACGCTTCCAACCAACAACGCAGATTTGTCACTTGTGGCTCTGATAACTTAGCCAAGATCTGGAAGTTCGATAATGCTCTAGGATCTTACGTCGAAGAGGCCAAATTGGCTGGCCACACTGACTGGGTTAGAGACGTCGCCTGGTCTCCTTCTATATTGGTCCGTTCATACATAGCTACTGCTTCTCAGGACCGCACAGTCCTTATTTGGTCGCAGGACAACCAGGGCGTTTGGCAAAAACAGCCGTTGACTCCAGAACCTTTCCCAGACGTTTGCTGGAGAGCGTCTTGGTCTTTGCTGGGGAACATTTTAGCAGTTTCAGGTGGCGACAACAAGGTCACGCTATGGAAGGAGAACTTGAAGGGCCAATGGATGTCCGCTGGGGAAGTAGAGCAGTAGATCAGCAAAATAAAATACAGGTATAATACGAAGGCATCAAGTCATTTACTAAAAATTATTCGTCTGAACCGTGAGCTATATATTCTTTTAGCTGACCACTTATCTATGAAACATGGTCAAGCGATCCTCACAATTCATTGATGGTAGCAGTAAAGATCTTCTGAACATCCTTGGAAGCTTCGTTGGCGCTTTCCAAGACCTCATCATGAGAAGCCATACCGTCAGACAAAGACTTTGGTTTCTCCTCGAATGCGCTTGGTGGCTTCTCTCCCAAACCAGCATTGGTAATAAGAGACAAAGCCAAAACGTTCATGCCACTATGACGAGCAACGATAACCTCAGGAACAGTAGACATACCGACGGCATCACCACCTAAAGTACGGATCATACGAACCTCCGCTCTAGACTCGAATGTTGGTCCAGCAGCGAAGAAGTACGTACCCTGGTGAATGGCACGAGTAACACCTAACAGGCTAGCCTTCTTGAAGAACAAATGACGCAATTCGTGACTGTAAGCATCAGACAAAGGCTGGAAACGTGGGCCAAACTCCTCCAAGTTGGGGCCCTTCAATGGATGGAAACCTGCAAGACCAGGGAAGTTGATGTGGTCCTCAATGATCATCAAATCGCCTGGCTTGAACTTCTCGTTCACTCCACCAGCAGCATTAGTGACGACGACAGTCTCCACATTCAAAAGCTTACACAATCTGACAGGGAAAGTGGTTTCCTGGAAAGTGTAGCCTTCGTAGAAGTGCAACCTTCCTACCATGCAAATGACAGGCACCTTGTTCTCACCAATGGTACCAAAAATGAGCTTACCGGCGTGGCCTGGAACAGTAGAAGTTCTGAAACCTGGAATTTCACCGTATGGGACTTCCAACCGTGGTTCTGGAGCCAAAACATCAGCGATGCCTCCCAAACCAGAACCGCAGATAATGAGTACTGTAGGGTTCACAATAGGAGTGTCATTGAATGGAGCGAGCTTCTCTTTGAGGGAGGAAGCTGCTTTTTCAAGCAAGGCCATGTACTCTTCTGGAGCGAATGTGGACATTGTGGTGTGTTTTTCTGTAGTGTAGTTGAATCACTTCCGTGGTAGAGGTCGCAGAGATGGTGGTGTGAGATAAAGAGATAGGCATCCAAAAAATAAAGCCCGATGCGGGGCTCGAACCCGCAACCTTTTGATTGACCTTATGAAGATTAAGAGTCAAATGCTCTACCGATTGAGCTAACCAGGCTGTTATTATCTGAAACAAATACGGCACTTACTGATCATTTGTTTTAGTAAACCCAATATAATTGTCAGATTTTAGTAATTTAAACGCTGTATATTTTTCTCATCATTATGCATGAGAAATTTGAATAGTCAAAACCAAAAATTGACGGAGTTATGATGAAAAAACTAAAATATTTAACACTATACGCTCTTCCGATGTTACTTGCGAGACGAACCATAGATATGGAATTATTAGTTGGTCCATTCGTATCATTCCCCTGCTGTTAATACCATTCTTGATTTAGAATTTAAAAATTTGTAAGCTGCGTATGGTTTTCCACCTTGATGAGACGTAGTTAGGACGCTACAGAAAGACGAATTGGGTTTCTTTATGATATTATCTAAACCGTAGAATACCAATCTAAATATGCTTTATTATACACCCTGAAGACTAGGCTTTTCATCAATCGTGCCTATCTCACTGTGTGGACTCGATTTGGATCCTTGGACATATGACATGGTTGTATCATTTCTCATTGCAGTGGTACTAGGAGACGAATGCTTGTTTGATAGATCCCTATTTTTGCTAGTCAAGTCATCGTAGCTTGAAAGAAGGGGAGACGATGGCATGTTGACAACAGCGGCTTTCTGACCATCAAGCTTGGCAGGTGATCTTTTGGCAGTATTCATTCCTTTTGTCCCATCTGCTAATGGGGTACGCAGCTGAACAGCACCAGGCGTGTTGGCATCCTTTGGCGTGGGTTCACCGAAGAACTGGGACCAGTCTTGCTGGTCAGGACTAGAACGCAGACTAAAGGATTTCATAATCATTTGATCGAAGTCATGCAAGTCGTCCTCCACGTTAGGAGGCTGATTTTCTTTATCCTCTTCATCCTCATACAAATTGATCACACGAGTATTAGACTTTGTAGCCATGGCTGGTGGTGTGTTTTCTTTTCTGTTGGACTGGAAGTCCTGAGGGAGATCGATATCAGTAAGTGGGCCTCCGAAAGAATTTAATTGATTCATGAAATCATTGAGATCTTGGTAATCAGATACATCAGTTGGTGTGCGTCCACTAGCCTGTGGAGTGGGTTGCTTGCTTAAATTAACTCCGGCGTTGCTTTTAGTATTCTGGTTTCTGATGAACTCATTAACAGTGGAAGGAGCGTGAGTAGGAGTTGGAAACTTGTGAAGATCCATCATGGCACCAGTAAAAGGTGAAGACTTGTCGCGAGTTGCAAGGTCCTCTTTAAGCTTGAGTTCTTTCTTGTACTTTTGTTGCTGCAAGTATTTCTTCACCACCGCCTCAGGACGCATGAAACCCTTATTTCTTAAGAAGAGATAGCAAGCGTTACACAATGGACCAAACATACCATCATAAAGCGACTTGTCGAACTTTTCAGCACGCTGAATATTCAAATAGCTGGGGTGGAACTTCGTCTCAAAGTACCTCCAAGTGATGGAGTCATTGGCAGCGCAGTTCCTATTAATGCAAATGAGATCATGATCGTGTGGCAATTTCGTGCTTGGAATAGTATGCGTCTTCTTGCTATCTAGATCTTCAGTATCTGGTAATGACTGGAATTGTGAATGGTCGCTATGCGGTATTATCGAATTAGAATTATGCTTTTTATCCAGATGACCAGGCTTGTAAGGAGGTTGTTGTGGCGTGAACGGAGATGACGATGCATCGTTTTGGGAATTGTAGTCATCCTCGTCTTCTTCATCTTCATCGATAGGTCGGCTGTTGTCCTGGTATTCTGTGTCGTCTGAAGCCTCAGACATGAGTTCCTCGTGGATTGGTGAGGAGATCATAGAATGCGAAGGGAAAGTATTGCTAACCATTGAACGAGTCTTCATGGCTCTCATAGGCTGTAAGCCATTATCCACTGGTGTCTGAACAGTAGGAGTCAATGGTACGTTAGAACGCCGTCTTTTTCTGGCTGGCTTATCGATGATCTTGGCCAGCATGAAAGGAGCCAGGCTGAACCGTTCCAGAATGCTTTTACTATCGTAACGAGATGCCACATTAGACTTGTCTGCGTTGATAATGTTGGAAATATGCTGATTAGGGGGATGGTAAAAAATCGGAAGAGACTTGGTTCGCGTAGCCTTGATTGCAGAAGAAGAAGACGATGCCATTGCCTGCTTGACAGGTCTGCTTCTTCTCATAGGCGGTTGTGAAGGTTGTGCAAAGGACGATGAAGTTGGCGGAGACGCTTGTGAGCTCTGCTTTATCTTCTCGGTATTGTGAGGATGCTGTTGTTGTTGCTCTTCTGGATTTCTATCAATCAAGTTGAGCTTAAGGCGGATTTCCAAAGTCAACGACGAGGAATTGGCCTTATCACCAAACAAGAAAGACGCGGACAAGTTCTGGCACACTCTGCCAGGAACAAGATGCTGTTTGCCAGAAGAGAGCAATGAAGACATGACACCATTAGCCACGAACGGCTCGTCTGGCTGCTCAGTGATATCTTTATAGTAGACCGCGTAGTCCTGGTCCTGAAGGCGAAAGTGCTCCGGAGACGATTTAAGAATCTGCTGAACGCAATTCTTAAGGTCAAAGGCACCCAAGGTAACTAGACTCTCTTCGTCAGTGGCCAGCAGCATTGGAATTTGAGCAACCTTAACAGAATACTGGTTCTTCGACCGGGACAAGAACACCGTCGGACTGTTGTCGAAGGAATACAAGACCTTGACTTGCATCCGTCTGTAGAGCTGGTCCTCTGGAGTCATGAGCCAAAATATGAATTAAGAATAACGAACGAATGAATGTGGCAGCCTCCAGAAGAAGTTTGTAGTTGTAACTTGTAAAGAAAAGGGTATAGCGTAATGGAATGAGTAAACAACAGTAGTGAAGACGAACAAACGGGCACCCGTACACAGGGCGCAATGTTTTGGCTAGGGCAGAGATCTTTCACCACAGGATGATGAACATAGGTTGCATGGGTCGCACAACGTTCCCATGTAAACAACGCGACGCGAGAGAAGACGGGTACAGTTAGGGTGTAGATACGGGAAAAGAGGCAGATTGGGGAAAAGCCCTGTTTGAGAGAAAGTACTCTGTTTTGCATTGTTGTGAAATTGAGTTTGTTTGACCAAAGTTGTTGTGGGTTATTCTACATGTTCCATTGTGAGAAGGGTCCCTGGAGGCCTGTCTATGTTTTGTTTTCGCAGCCATTTCGTATTTCGCGGTTGTACCAGGTCTCGCGACCACAGTGTAAGCGCGTAGAGCAACCTAGCAGCCTCACCAGAGGGATTAGGGTTGGGCGAGAAAATTGTGGAGCGTGGTTTGAAAGGGGGTTTTTTAGAAAGGCGACTTGTGAGTGGAGGAAAGGAAATGCGGAATTTTGTCTGGCGTGGGACCGAAGGGAAGTAGGCTTTGTTGGGGACGTATATGCTGTATGTAATTTGTTCGATGCCTGTCAAGTGCATTAGGGCTACTATAATTGGGACACCTTTTGGGTTTACTAAGGGAAAGCTTATTCAATTATCTAGTTTTGGTTTCTTTTTCGTTTTTAAATTGGTCTCTAATTTTTATGTACATTTTGTTTTGTGGGCTGTGATGGCCAGGGTATGTCTGATTTTGCAGCCATCGCTTATAGAGCTTAAGCTAACCCCACAAGCTTCTTTACCTCCTGGAGGTTCTGGGTAGCCACCTCCCGTGCTTTCTTGGTACCCAAATCAGTCACTTCGGCCAAGTATGCCTTGTCGTTCACCAACTTTTCGTACTCCACCTTCTTGTCTTTGAACTCTTCAACGACCACTTCGGTGACGTAGTCTTTAAGCTGCTTGTGGTTCTCCACCCACAGCAATTCCTTCACAGTCTCCTCAATGCTCTTGTCCAACACTCCCGAGATAATATTAACCAAGTTGGAAACACCTGGTCTGTTGGCAGGGTCGAATGTGACTGGTCCTTGGACAGAGTCTGTGACAGCCTTCCTGAACTTCTTAGCAATAGTATCGGCATCATCGCTCATGTAGACCGACAGGTTCTGATCAGGATCACTCTTGGACATCTTCTTTTCTGGGTTTCTCAAGCTGGCGATCTTCTTCGCTGGCGTGAGTAATGTCTGAGGAATATTGAAAAAGTTCCCGTACGTATGGTTGAAAGTCGAAGCAATGCCTCTGCATAACTCCAAATGCTGACTCTGGTCGTCTCCAACAGGAACATGAGTAGAGTTGTAAAGCAAGACATCAGCTGCCTGAAGCACAGGGTATAACAAAAGTCCAGCCTTCGTCTGACCCATTACCTTCTCCGTGTAAATCGTCTGAGAGTCATTGATATTCGCCTTCAGTTTCCATTGCGTCATTCTATTAAGAGCACCCATACTCGTCAAGCATACCAATATCCAATTAAGTTCGGCATGTTCGGGGATGTTGGACTGGTGAAAAATCACGCATCTGTGAGGATCAAGACCCAGCGATAACAAGCTGGCGATGGCGTTGTTTCTATTTTCTCTAAGTTTATCTGGATTAGGCGTAGAAGTCAAAGAATGGAGATCTGCTGTGCCGTAGAAACAATCAACAGTAGCTGGTGCCCTCTTGGCGACATCTTTCCAGTTCTTGAGGGCGCCTAAGTAATTTCCAAGATGAATATTGCCTGTGGGCTGAATAAGGGAGAAGATCCTTCCATCGGCTGGGAACTCGCTGATCCTGTCTATACTGGCCACGCTTGCCTTGTTACGGATAGCTCTCACAGCAGAGGATCTAATCATCTTGGAGTATGGTAAGGTTTTGATATCGCGCACTGATGATAGACAATGGCGATGATAGCTTACACTGTGGAGCACGAAAATTTTCTATTCTTTCGTATGGATTATCTTCCTGAAACGAAAGCTGATGCTTTATACATAATTACTGCTTGCAACCCGTGTGCTTATCTCTCAGGTCAACATCAATCAACACGGCGTGAATGCAATTGGCTAGATGACATCCACCACTAATGTACACCTTCTGCCCCCGGCCCTGCTTCTTGCAAGCTGGAATAAAAACCGATCCAGCCTCAAGAAGGTCATCTACTCCCGTCTTCTGCACATAATTATTAGTTCTGGTACGCTTGGTCGCCCTTTGTATCCTCTGCGATGAACCCGCCACTGGTATTGTTAACCTCAATACCATAACCTTGTAGTCTCTTCTCAAGCTTTCGCCTCTGTAGTTTTCTCCATCTATCTAACTTGGAATACTCGTGAACTCTAAATCCAAATACCTTTGGTGTGTACGTCTCCCGACTGTGGACGGGGATGGCATGAGGGAAGTTTTGGAAGAACATGGCTGGGAACGACGTTCCAAAGTAAGCACCATCTACTATAGCATGTCTTCCAGACTTGGGGTTGTACAAGTCCTCGCATTTGGCGCAATATAGCTTCACAGAGTTGATTCTTGGCTGGTCGCTCAAACCAACTGGAAGTAAGGGGTGCAAGTGGCAGTGAACTCGAGGACAATAGCCGAAGTCACCGTTCTTATATTTCTCGAACATCTTGTTGAGCCCTCGCTGTGATAAGATGTATCTTGCGTGGATTAATCCGTATAATATTCTAGCATTATGCTCCAAAGCATCCCTATGCTCTTCTGGCTGATGCTCGATGTCAGCCATGTCAGTAATGATGTCGACCAACGTGGGGATCTTACTGACCTCCTGGTTGAGCCCCGTCAAGTTGAAACGGTCTCGAATGTAGTCATCATCTATATCACAAAAATATTCGTTGCCTTTTATCCCTAAGAACAAGTCAATCCAATATTCTGAGAAGTCCGAGCTCGAGTCGGTAAGCTGGTCGTTCCCATTCTCGTGAATGGCCGCATGAGACATTTTTGAACTTATAATGTATGCAAAGTGGGTTTGGGGTATGTGACGAGCTTCTGGGGAGTGTGGAATATGGGTCAAAGAAGTGTTTTTTGTACACTCGGACTTCAGCCCCTTGTATAACGGACCACTTTTCTGGCCAAGAAGAGATGGGATATATGGCCTTTGAAGGTCGAACAAGGAGGTTTGGGGAGACTGAATGGCCTACTTTAGTCTTTTTAAAATATTTGATGTTTTCAAATTTTGTTTTGTCAAGCATATTAAGCTTTATTGTCCTTTTCGTTTTGTAATCACGTGATGGTATTGGTGATAAGAGGAGGTGGTAAGTATCAACGAAGAACGCTGGAAAGGTAGCAAACCATCGAGGAATCGAAAGTTCAACTACAAATTACCCGAATTCATCATTTGCTGCCTTTTTCTTCTTTTTTTCTCTACCCATCTCCTTGACATTCTTTCTCTTAACACACATTCTCAAAAGCTGATGAGTCTTGGCGAGTGGTTGCGAAAATCACTTACTTTCTCCCTACTTCACAAAAACAGCTAACTTAAACTCGAATGCTAAAATCAAAGCCGTCAAAAATTCTCGAAAAAATTTTAATACAACCTTTATTTAAGTGTTCTGCTATATCCTCAAAAACAGACTATCCCCAAATTACGCCTCTTTCTGGTTCTAGTCTAAATGGTCTGGTCTGGCAGTGTTTTACTCAGGTGCAGGTCCCCAAGCCAGCTTCACTCAACGTCCTCATACATTACTACAGTTTAAGCAGAGAAACACACCAATCCCAATGAAACTTTTGGTGCTCCCACAATTGCTTCATGGCGGTGAAGTACACTCTGTAGACATTGATGTGTCTAGCAAATATGTGGCTACCGCTGGAAATGATTCGGATATCTGTATCTGGGATTTTGCTCTGCTATCCAACATCGAAACAGCGTCTGAAGAGGACGTGCTGAAGATAGAGCCAGTTCAAGTTGTCAAGGCACACGAGCACGCTGTGAGGGTGGCCAGATGGTCAAAAACAGAGCCTACTTACTTGGCTTCGGGTGATGTATCAGGCAACATATATCTCACGAATATGGCTGATATGTCTCATAAACTACTATATCCATGGCCGCTGGTGAAGAATGAAAACAATGAAGTCGCTGACATTGCATGGTCAGCAGATTCTAGACTCCTAGCCTGGAGCACAAGCGACGGCAGAGTTCATATCTACGATCTTTCAAAGGATACATACCAGCTACTCAATGAGGCCTCTGGTGGTAATAACAAAGGTAAGACCACGGCCCAGAAGAGTCTTGCTTTTAACCATTCCAACAGTAATCTTGTGACAATGGGAGTGGATACGTTCTTACACGTTTATCAATATCGCTACGATTCCGCAGATAATTACCAGTTCAAGCTCACCAACAAAATTTCAAAACTCATGAATAACAACCCAACAACAACGGTGACGATAAATTATGAAAGAATCTCGTGGTCAAGCGACGATGAATTTTTTTCCGTTCCTTCAGCCAGCAAACAGCACACTTCGCTAATAACACTCCTATCGAGGTCGCAAGATTGGGAAAACAAAGTAAGTCTCGTGGGCCACGACGTGGACTGTGACGTTGTAAAGTTTGGGCCTCATATTTTTCAAGCAAAGGAGGAATCAAGTGATCCTGACGCGATCAACATATATCATATAATTGCTTCCGCTGGCTCTGACAAAACGTTAGCCCTTTGGAACACAACCAAGGAGACCCCAATTGCTGTTCTTCGTGAAGTCTCAGAGAAGCCTATCGTTGATATCTGCTGGGATAACAGTGGTTCACATCTTGTATTAGGCTCTCTTGATGGTCACCTCACAATTGTCAAGTTCGAGCCTCTTGAGTTGGGGGAAACGATTTCTGGTGATACTCTTCAGAAGCTTAAGGATACGCAAACTGCTTATCTCAAATCATTTGCACCAAAAGAAGCGGAGTCAACCAAGCGTGGTCAAAAGTCGGGTGCTGATTTGATAGATCAGAAAGATTCAAAGAAATTAGCTGATGCCTTTGCTGGGCCTAAAGAGAAAAAGTCTGAAGATGTCAGCGATGGAACTGTGAACGCAAAGGATACTACTCAAGACTCGACAGATAACACCGAAGTGCACGGTGACATCCACCCTGAAGTTTTGCTGAGCAATACTCCGGGCCAGATAGATGACATAATGAGCACCGCTATGGGAGAAAGGACGAAGCCAAGCTCATCAGCTACAAGTAAGAGTAAACCTTCCAGTGGCAAAGTAACACCAAAGCCCGTTCCTGCAACATCAATTACGAATCAAAAGACTTCAACGAAGAATGGAAAGAAACGAATCCAACCCATGCTAATATCGAACGGAAATGGACCGACCTCAAAGTCTAGTACGCTCACAAAGACCTCCAATGGCGATGGAGAGGCCAGAGCCTCCTCATCCAAGTCTCTCATGGAGTTTGACAGACCCTCCTACAACGTTTCTGAGGAGGCTTTCAAGGACAGTAAGAGAAACCGAGCTCATGAAGATGGAGGGCCTACTAAAAAGATCAGAAGAGAACTTGAACCTGTAAAATTTGTTGGTACAGCCGTCCTTAACCCAAATACCGCATTTGCAAAAATAAGGCTCTCAATCCCAAAGGTAAGAATGTCATTTCAATTACCTTGTCGATCTGATGAAAAGATGCTCCTTGATATACGAAATGGTCAAGGCAACGAAAATGCACCATCAAGAATTACGTGCTATAAAAACGAGCAGCCTGTTTGGACGGATTTCATTCCTAGATTTCTACAGCTAGCTACAGAAGGCTCCAGCTTCTGGGCTGTTTGCACTGCAGATGGTCAAATAATCACCTATTCACATTTGTCTGGTAAGAGGTTTCTACCTCCAATCGTTCTTGGGTCCCCTATTGTATTTTTAGAGAGCCATGGAGACTATCTTATGACAGTTACAGCTGTTGGTGAGCTTTATGTGTGGGACATGAAATTGAAGAAATTGCATCTTCATTCACCGCTGTCTCTTGCATCCATTCTTGATCTGCATAGCAAGTTCCATGAGGACACACTAAGCAAGTCGGAAAATATAACTATGTGCTCGATTACGTCAAAAGGTATCCCTTTGGTGACTCTTTCAAATGGATCTGGCTTCTTGTTCAACTCAGATATGGGGGTCTGGCAAACTATCACGGAAGCCTGGTGGGCGTTTGGATCTCACTATTGGGATTCAATTGGTGATGAAAAGCATTCATCTGAAACACAAACTTCGAACTTGTCAGAATCAGGAAAGAACTCATCTATCTTAAGCCTTCTAGAGCACAAGACGAACGAAGAGATTATAAGGAAAAGTCGTGTGGGCAGAGGCAAGTACTTTAATAAGATCTCAAAGAACCTTATCATGAAAGAAGGATTCGAGAATCTTGAAAATACGATCTCTTTATCCCATTTGGAGAACAGAATCCTTTGCTGCGAATTACTTGGTGAATTCAAAGACTTCCATGACTTTTTGATAACTTACTGCAAAAGAATCTGCGAACTCGGACTCAAAGCCAAGCTCTTCGAATTTTGTGAAAAGCTTTTAGGAGACCAATCCGAATCTGGGCTGGATGAGGAATCGCAGATATGCGGCTATGATAGGAAAGAACTACTTAAAGAAGTCATCTTCGCATGTGCGCACAACAGGGACGCTCAAAGAGTTCTCCAGTACTTCAGCAAGCAGTTAGGCTTGATAGAAGATGATTACTGAAGTATGGGTATTGATGTACAATTAACGAAATAGAACATGCTTATGGCATTTGGTAGGCACAGGTGCAGGTCTCACGGTCTAACTAGAGTAGCGTAATCGATCTTGTTCAAACCAACTATGGTTACTCTAATCAAATCAATCCCTGCTCACACGGACAAGGCATGGAGTGTCCATTCTCACAGCACATTGCCTTTATTGGCCACAGCACTGAGTGATAAAACTAGTAAGATCTACAAGTTATCCAGAACAAAGAACTTTCCTCAAGTGGCTAAGCTTGAAGAGACCCACAAGAGATCTGTTCGTGCAGTGAACTTCAAACCACATCTATCATCTACTGACACCGAATTTATTGACCTTCCGGCTTTAGCTTGTGGATCATTCGACTCAACGATCTCAGTATGGGGAATTGATGAGCCTGAGGAGTTCTTGGATAACGAGAACGACATGGACGATGAGGATGAAGATGCCCTGGATGCAAGAAAGAAGAGAGAAACTGATATCCTTACAAGCCCTACAAACGAATGGAACCTTATGGCGTTGATAGAAGGACATGAGAATGAAATCAAGTCTGTCGCATGGAACAAGTCTGGCCGCTTCTTGGCCTCCTGTTCCAGGGATAAAACAGTTTGGATCTGGGAGACTGATCCTGAAACTTTGGAAGAGTTCGAATGTGTCTCCGTTTTAAGCGACCACGAGCATGACATCAAGCACATCACATGGCATTCAGTACAGAACATCCTTGCCAGCTCTTCCTACGATGACACGATCAGACTATATAAACAAGACGATGATGACGACGATTGGTCATGCGTGGGTCTCCTTAATGGTCATCAGGGAACCGTTTGGTGCTCTGCATTTGAAGACCCTCGGTCTCCATTGGCTTCTGCCGATACCATAAGACTTGTATCTTGTTCAGACGATTCTACAGTCCGTATATGGACCAGCGCATCTCCAGAAGAGCCTGAATCAGGCCCTGGATTACCCAGCTCTATAAAGCACCGCAGCTCAGAAATGCCATGGGAGCTTGAGTCTGTTCTTCCTCCTGTTCATAAATATGCTATTTATTCCGTCGCATGGTCAAAGAGCGGCAAGATCGCCAGTGCTGGCGCTGATGGGCAAATTGCTATTTACAAAGCAGATGGAAAAGAGTGGAAGGTTGATAGTGTTCAGAACGGTGCACACGGTGTCTACGAAATCAACTGTCTCACATGGTGCATTTTAGAAGACGGAAACGAAGTACTCGTCAGTGCTGGAGACGATGGTAATGTAAATATTTGGGAGGCATAGCTATACAACGCCAAACCTTAATAGATATTAAAATATAATAGCCAAGAGGATAATCGACCCTAGCACACCCAAGAGAATCAAAAGACAGCAGCACATTCTTCCGCTAGACCTCCTCTGATACCTTTCTGCTTTGCGAAGCTCTCTCGATGCACCCCTAGCATCAGTGCTATAGTTATTGACATTCTCCTCGATAGTGTCTATCTGGAACAGCTGCTCGTGGATGATATCTTGCAAGTTAGAGAAGATATCGTTTATCTCCTGAGTGTCTTGCGATATCTGGTGTATCTCTCGTTCTCTCTCTTCAATCAAAAGCGTTTGCTGCTCCAACTCTTCAGCATTAATTGGCTCATATGTGATTTGTATGCTTTGCTGCTGTTGAGGAGCCCCTTCTTCTTCCGCTGTGCGTTCTTCGTCTTGGTTTGCCGCTGGCACTTTACTCACATACAGCTTCTGCAACGTCGAGAACCTCAGCTGTAGCCTTCGATATTGTTGTAAACTAGACTTGATCAAGCTCACCGCAATACCTTCTTTCTGTCGAAGGTACCGCAAAGAATCCTGATCCTCATGGTTCTTCTCACACTCTGTCAAGTAGTTATTGAGCTCTTTGGCACTTTCATTCACTTTCTTATACGACTCAGTACAATTCTTCGAGATTTCCAGAATCTGCTGAGGTACTCTTGACTCGTTGGCTTCCGTGGCTGCATCTTCATTCAGTAGTATCTTTTCGTATTGCCCTAGTAAGTTCCTCATAGAAACGAGCTGGGTATTATTGATATTGTGCAAGTTATTGTCAATTGCCTTAGAGAGCGTTTCGAACTCAGGAAAGTCCTTATAGTGGTTGGACGAGGCGTCATTTTCTATATCATCTTGGAAGGGGTTACTGAACGACATGGTAGTTAAAGTTGGATGGTACTGAATCTCACTATTACCCTTATCGCTATGGCTGTGGTACTTTTTGCACGTGACAAAATAGCCCGTATCGATTCGATCTACATCATTTAGAAAGTCATATATGTAATTAGATAAATAATTAAGATAGTTGCCAGGTGTGGCAGAGGAATAGTCTTACTGTTTGTGTCATAGATAACGTTAAATATATCACATTAGATGAGCATCTATAAAATAGCCCACCTGTCCGGCTCAGCAGGACTCTATCGTAATTCTATAACTGAGGCCCCACAATTCATGCCTCCTCTTCTTCAAGCTTGGCAATACAGTCAAGAGCGGCCATACAACCAGTACCAGCAGAGGTAACAGCCTGTCTGTACTTCTTGTCCTGAACGTCACCAGCAGCGAACACGAATGGCTTGGAAGTGTTGGCGGTACCTGGCTCAGTCTTGATGTAACCAGTCTCGTCAGTTTCAAGCTGGTCAGCGAACACAGAGGTGGCTGGAATGTGACCAATGGCGTAGAACAAACCGTTGACAGGAAGTTCAGACTTTTCGTTGGTCTTGTTGTTAACAATGTCAAGGCTGGTCAACACCTTACCGTCACCCTTAGCCTCAGTGGCAGAAGTGTTCCACAAGATCTCGATCTTCTCGTGGTTCTTGGCTCTCTTTTGCATAATAGTAGAAGCTCTCAAAACGTCTCTTCTGACAAGCAAGTAAACCTTAGAAGCGTATTTGGTCAAGAACAAGGCCTCCTCACAAGCAGAGTCACCACCACCAATAACAGCCAAAGGCTTGTTTCTGAAAAGTGGCACAGCACCGTCACAGACAGCGCAGGCGGAGATACCCTGTTGCCAGTACTTGTCCTCACCTGGGATGTGCATTCTCTTGGCAGAGGCACCGGTGGCAATGATGACAGCGTCGGTGGTAATTGGTTCAGCGTCCTCGTTCCACTCGGTCCACAACTTGAAAGGTCTCTTGGACAAGTCCACCTTGGAGATGGTCTCGGTGATGATCTCAGTACCAAATCTCTCGGACTGCTCTCTCATCTGGTCCATCAAGCCAGTACCAGAGATACCCTTAGGGAAACCTGGGAAGTTCTCAATGTCAGTGGTGGTGGTCAACTGGCCACCTGCGGCGATACCGTTGGCCAACATACCCTCATACAAGGTAGGCTTGACCTCGGCACGAGACAAGTAGATGGCAGCGGTGTGAGCAGCAGGGCCAGAGCCAATAATAGTAACTTTGTGGTGGACCATTCTTGAAAAGATTCTTATGTTAGCGAATTTGTTGAAGAGGACCATATGGGTGGGAAATGGCGCACTTTATATACGTATGGGCACTAGTGTCTAGCCGCGGACGGTTTGACAAATCGCACAATGCCGGAGCGAGTCGGATTTTTTTTTTTCCTTTCTTTTCTGCCTGTGGTTACTAAACGCGAACAGGCCGGCCGCTTAGTAGAGCCTAAAGAAACGAGACCCTCCGGGGGGAAACGATACAGGGATAACTGTCGCGCTGAAAAAACGTTTCAACCGATTCGGCTTCTTCTGCATTTGTCAGGGGACAAGCGACAGAAATAACCCAGAACATGCGATAACGTCATCTTTTGTGACAGGTATTTCTTTCGCTTTCTTTCTGTTTCTGGATATAGTCCAATGGCGGTTACGCCTGACCTGGGTCACAACCACTGGAGAGCAACCTGGATGGGCCCTAGGTCTTGGGCACTTCGCATGCCCTGCAGAGCAGCTTAGTTAGCAACCATTGTGTGGGTAGGTAGGAATGTAGATGAGTAGGAGAAGTGCACGTTATGAGCGGCTGTGGCATATTGTGGTTACCAGCTGGCGCATGGTAGATTGGCTAGGTAGATGCTTGGTGATGAGATTTTTCATATTATGGATGGCCATTCTTTTTTTTTTTTGCCATCCCTGCGTCACGTCACCCCACAATTAAATGGAGCATTACATCACCGAGATGGTTCCGATAGGAGGCCGTTAGTGGCTTGTTGTGAGGCTTTATCCGGAGACATCAACGTTTTTGTTGGTTGGTTTCTGGGACCCTTTGTCCATTAATCCGGTACGGTTTTCATGAAACGGCCAGAACACTATCACCAAAGCTGTACAAGGAGATCTCCTTATTATCAAACCTTACAGATGGTCACTTACTGTAGCAATTCGTATCTTATAGGAGTTACGAAGAATTGTCTGTCTTGATATTCCATTCACAGGAAAAGTATATCCTTTGAAGACTTTTATAATGCAAATTGTGAGTCTATGTCTTCGAATAATAACGTTACCTGGATTCTCTACCTAGCGGTCTGCCGAAGAACAAACTGAGTTATCACTGGGCTATGCTGGTACCTTGGATTGAGAAGAACGTTGGTCATGAACCATTGAAGGCCTCTGCGGCGAGTTTCTAGCCACAGGTCAGAGAACCATAATCTAGATAGACTGAAGTTGTCCTTAGGTGGAAGCTGTGGAATCGATTCATCAGGAAATGCTGCCACTAGCTGGCCACGGAATTGCTCAATATCACTATATCTTTTATAGAGCACAATCAGCGAATGTGATGCCCCGTTGACCACTATACGTATGGACCACACCACATATTGCGGGGCCGAGTCGCCTGATATAATATGGTAATCTCCAACAAGAACATCTGTTATTCGTGAGGAGTCATCAAACTGGCTGGCGGAGACTGTGCCGTCAGTTAGCTCTATGGGCACGGGAGCCACTGTATTGAGGTGGGAGAGAGACTCCCTACGTTGTCGCGGCATAATTGGTCTTTAAATGTGAGATTTTGTTGGGTTTAAATGGTCGAGTTGGTTGGATTAGTTGATTGTCTTTGTGCTATCACTTGCTTGGCCTGGGGTCTCCTGTATCATTTACTACTAAAAGTGCGGGTCCCACCAATTTACTTCAGATGCTCATCTACAGGTACAGACATTAGCATAATGGATCCTATAGCAGGAAAATACCCATATTGGAAGAGAATCCTACATAAGTTCCAGGCCAGAAGGGATATTCCGTTTAGGAAGAAGTTCTTTGTGGGCTACGATCTCCATGGTAACACTTACTGGGAGTTCACCATAGATGGTAATATGGGCCGCTTACGTCGAAAGCTTGAGCCATTCCAGCAGTCTCTTTTTAAGGTGGACCATTTTGACACGGTTCCTCCTCAGTGGCATCAATGGCTACGCCGTACGAGAAACGAGCCTCCTTCTGTGAAAGAGCTTCTCGATGATCAGTTGAGACAGCAGAGGATGAAGCTTTTGGCTCAGCATGCCGACCAGAAATGGGAAAACGAGAAGGTCAGGCTCGAGAACGAGAACAGAAAGAAGCTTCAGGCTGAGTTGGATAGGGTTGAGGCTGAGAATAAGAAGTTCGAGGAAGAGGTCAAGCAGGCGACTCAGTCGAAACCAGCCCCAGAGGAGAAGACTGAGTCTGATAAGAAAGAGGCAGACCCATGGGCCGAGGCAGATGCTCAAGCCAAATCAGAGGATAGTCCTATTGATACTGCAACCATCAAACCAAGAAAGTAACCGTTGCATCTTGTACATATTTAGCATTGCTGATATAACATCTATTATATTATGCCTAAAGTTTAGTAGTCTACACGGCTGACACACGTCAAGCCAGTGAGCCCAGAACGATCATGCTTACAAAAGCTTGACCAACAACTGGGCTCCTTTGTTATCCTTATCCTTCTTCAAGTCTCCCTTCAACTTCTTCAATGCTTTCACGAGGCTCTTAGCTTCCTTCTCGTCCTTAAGCGACAAGGCTTCATAAACTGCAAGAACAACGAAGGCACCTTGTCCAGAAACCCAATTGCTCAACGCATTGTCCTTTAAGAACTCCTTTGCACATCTAGCGGCAAACTCAGAACCAAGGTTTGGAAGCTGTGGCTCCGATGCAACGACAAGCTTCTTGCTCTCATTGTCAAATTTGAATTCATCTCCATGAATCAAGGCCTTAAGTGATCTTGAGAAGAATGGAGTCTTATTAAGCAAGTGGTGGTCTTCCAAAATGTCAGTGTTGAAAGTGATATCGAAAATAGCGTCAATGAGTTCAGCTCTGGAGGCGTTCACACCCTCATCATCTGAAGGAGTAAGAAGAAGCTCGGTGATGAATTGAGCAGCCATGTTGTTAGACAAAAGCTTGCTGAATGTTGGCTCAAAGTCAGGCGACAAAGTGGAAGACAAGGCCTTGTAAATAACAGGCAAGGCCTTCAGCTGTAATTCTGCTCTTCTTTGGTCCTGAGGCTTCTTGGTGGTTTTAGCGTATGCAAGTTTTTCGTATTTCAAGAAAGCATCCTTAATCTTTGGAGCAAAGTACTTTCCATCCAAGCCTTTAAGCAAGTAAAGCAAAGGTCTTCTGGAGAATTTTTCTTGAATAAGCTCTGGCAAGATGTCGGCAGTGAAAAGCTCTGCACTGAAAGATTTGTGGAGCAAAACGGTATCATCAACAGTCATGAACAAAGCAATCAAGACCGAGTTTCCGTGTTCGTTCTTAATCAATTCTTTGCCGTGGTTCTTAAGCGACTTGATAATAACCTTTCTCTCCTTAGCATTGGCAAGTGCAAGAAGCAGACATGCAACCTCAGAACCTTCCTCAGTGTGGACCAACTCAGCGAACTGTTCAGCAAGCAGTTCGATGAACTCTCTGATCTGGGACTCGTTCTTCTCTGGGTCGGCAACCAAGATAGAAACGTACTCCTTCATGGCAGCATGCAAGATCTGGAAACCAGTGGAACCCTTCTCAATAGAGGCGACAATAGTACCACTCAAGTTGGTGGTGATCAACTGTCTCTTCTCAGAAGATTCGTTGACAACGTCCAACACAGTTTTACCCTTACCAGAATCCTTAAAGACAGCGTACTCAGCACCCCAGAACTCACGAATGATCTGCTTCTTTTGCTCAGCAGTAGAATAAAGGACGAACAAATCCTCCACCACATAAGCACCTTCCTTGTGTCTCATAAGCTTACGCAACTTACCGTGAAGCTCGTTGACAATAAGACCTCTGGACTCCTTCGAACCATAATGCAAAAGCTTGACCAAGAGGTACTTACCGTAGGAGGAAGTAGCCAACTGGTAGTACTGGCCCTGAAGAGCCTTGACGATCAAATCTCTTCTTTCCTTGGAAGAGTACTTAACCAAGGTCTGCACAACACGAGAAGCATCGTGCTTCAAGACCAAGTCATAGATGACATCGTGAGCCAATTCCCAGATCTCATCACACAACTTGTCTCTGACCTGCTTAGGTGGAGTAGGCTTCTTGACACGCAATTTCTCCCACAAAGCCTTGATTCTTTCAACCTCAGTACCAGACTTTCTCTTGAGTTTTCTTTCAGAAAGCAACTTTCTTTGCTCAGCATGCTGTTCAGCAGATGTCTTCTTGTTAGGGTCTGCAGCCTTCTCAGACTCCTCTTCGTCTGAATCATCTTCCTTAGCAGCCTTGACATCATCGTCATCGAGCTCATCGAGCTCGTCAAGTTCATCCAAATCGTCCTCTTCCTCCTTATCATCTTCATCCATGCTCAGTTCAATATCAGAGCTGGAATTGTCATCTGAATCGTCCTCACCCTCCTCTGCAGATTGGTAGAAGGTAGCCTCATTCTCAGAAGCACCCAGATCGCTTTCAGGAAGAGGTTGAGGCAGGAGCTTGACTTTCTTCGAGTCGCCGGATTTGACGGCCTTAGCAGAACGCTTAGTGCCTTTTCCCATAATATTCGATAAGGTGTAAGTTGGAGGCGATGAGACCAGGCCTGAAAAATCCCATACTATGCGATGAGATCACGTGCGCGAGTTGGGACCAGATTACTACTAGAGAGATACTAACTAGTTGGGGGAGATATTAAGGCCGGATCATTATTGAAGAGATTTGTCTTCATTTTGCCAAAAATTTCTTTGCCGTGTTGATTGCAGTTTGGTGTGTTTTGTACAGATCAGATGGGATATGAGCATATTGATGGTATGCAAAGACTAAATTCACTATTATTTCATGGCGTTTCCCTGATGAACAAATCATGATTCATTGGTTGTTTTATGGCTTAACCTGCTATGGTTTGGTTCACTTGTTTGGTATTGTGTTAGCTGTCTAGACTGTATTGAGGCGATCCAGATCGCATTTGCAGCCATTAGAAGGAACTCCGCTATTCAAGAATTGTATGATCTCTTCTATACTAAGAACTTATAGATAAATTACTGAACGAGTTCCACTCCCCTTTGGGGAAAAAATCAGGAGTAAAGCCCACCAGCCTAGGTTGGACAGCCGTTGAACGTCGCAGGCCACCCAATATGGCAAGTGAGACATCCTCTCAGTTTGATTCAAACAACAAATGTAAGACAGTTTCATCACTTTCATCTGGAGAGCTGAAGGACATATCATCTACTCAATTTATAACTATTTTTGACTAGTTGGAGGAAATTAGGATCTATAAGACTATCGTATGAAATCCGTGCACCCAATGGCGGCATACCTTAGTAATCCTATGTAGTACTTTACTTTCGATAGCAAACGACTCTTCTTTTTACCATCAAAACCACACAATGCTCAAATTTGCCTCCTCAATTTCATCTAGACCTTCTGCCCAATACCTTGCCAGAAGCAGAGTGCCTTCAAAGTTGGCCTCCCAAGGCCTCAGATCCAGCATTGCTCTCTACAGCACCAATAATGGCACCCCAGTGACCGAAATCAGAGACTTGGAGCTGTTTGCTGCTTTTACTGACTCCCAAAAGCCATCAATTGTCGATTTCTACGCTACCTGGTGTGGTCCTTGTAAGGCTATTGCTCCAGTTTTCGACAAGTTGGCTGGCGCTGTCCCAGAGGCCCAGTTTGCTAGAGTTGATGTGGATGAAGCACCAGACGTTGCTGGCCAGAACGGTGTTACTGCTATGCCAACCATTTTGTTCTTCAAGGATGGAAAGGAGACAGGAAAGATTGTTGGTGCTGACCTTCAGAAGTTGATTCAGTTGATCCAGACAAACACTGGCGTTGACGTCAAGACAAGAAAGCTTTAAGGATGATGCCTAACGAATTAGACAACTTTGAAGTAGAGTATGAATATAGTTGATAAACTCATTTACATTAACTTAGAATGGCTGCAAATGACTTGTAGGACGCGGCGTTCCCGAGTATGTTTCCAAAGAAACAGCGGTAAAGAATGGAAATTTATTTATCAGATTCATAATCCTTTTTGATATATATGCCATTGACTCTGGCCTCTTGTCTTTCTCTACACAAAATTCATTAAAGAAACATTGGTTAAGTTGCACTCGTTGCTGTTATGGCTGAGTGCGAGAGTATACTACCAACAAACCGACTTTGATTCAAATAAACCGAAATAAAAAGAACCTAAACATCTTTAAACCAATTCCAGAATAAAACATTACATACGATCATTATTCGACGTTGTAGGGCCCATATTATGTGGACCTTGCTTGTACTGGTTGCACGTGACCTCAGTTGAACTATCTAGGTCGAAAGTGGCGATCTCACTCACCAACACCAAACCTCCTCGTATCACATTAATTGCACATCATGGTATGTAAAGCCATTCAAATAAAACAATGCAAATGCAGCTACTAACATAACAGGGACAAGGAGCATCCATGCCTGGTGGGGGCGACCCCAGCAAGAAGAAGGATGACAAGAAGAAAGAGAAGCCAAAGTATGAGCCTCCTGTGGAATCCAAGTTCGGCAAAAAGAGAAGAAAGGGACCGGATACCGCTGTCAAATTGCCTAGTGTCCATCCAAGTACAAGGTGTAAATTGAAGTTGTTGAAATTGGAGAGAATTAAGGATCACTTGCTCTTGGAGGAGGAGTTCATTGCCAACCAAGAAGCATTCCAGCCAACTGAAGCTAAACAAGCAGAGGAAAGAGAGAAGGTTGATGAAGTTAGAGGCTACCCAATGTCTATCGGTACTTTAGAAGAAATCATAGACGATGATCACGGCATTGTGTCCACCACTGCCGGTTCTGAATACTATGTGGCTATCATGTCTTTTGTTGACAAAGGTCTCTTAGAGCCAGGTTGCTCTGTTCTTTTGCACCATAAGACTGTCTCTATTGTTGGTGTTTTGCAAGATGACGCTGACCCAATGGTTTCTGTCATGAAATTGGACAAGTCGCCCACCGAGTCGTACTCTGATATTGGTGGTTTGGAATCGCAGATTCAAGAAATCAAAGAGGCTGTCGAATTGCCATTGACGCATCCAGAATTATACGAAGAAATGGGCATTAAACCTCCAAAGGGTGTCATTCTATATGGTGCTCCAGGTACTGGTAAGACGCTTTTGGCCAAGGCCGTTGCTAACCAGACGAGTGCTACTTTCTTGAGAATTGTTGGTTCCGAGTTGATTCAAAAATACCTTGGTGACGGTCCAAGATTGTGTAGACAGATTTTCCAGATCGCTGGTGAGCTTGCGCCATCTATTGTCTTCATTGATGAAATCGACGCCATTGGATCCAAGAGATACGAGTCTACGTCAGGTGGTGAAAGAGAAATTCAAAGAACTATGTTGGAGTTGTTGAACCAGTTAGATGGTTTCGACGACAGAGGCGACATCAAGGTCATTATGGCCACTAACAAAATCGAATCATTGGACCCTGCATTGATCAGACCGGGAAGAATCGACCGTAAGATCTTATTCGAAAACCCAGACTCCAATACCAAGAAGAAGATCTTGACTATCCACACATCCAAGATGAACTTGTCCTCCGATGTCAATCTAGACGAATTGGTCACCTCGAAGGATGAGTTGTCTGGTGCCGACATCAAGGCTATGTGTACGGAAGCAGGTTTGTTGGCATTGAGAGAAAGAAGAATGCAAGTCAAGGCCGAAGATTTCAAGACTGCTAAGGAGAGAGTTCTCAAAAACAAGGTGGAAGAAAACCTCGAAGGCTTGTACTTGTAAGAGAAGGAAGCGGTACATAATAAACAAATTAACGACATTAAGTATTGTAGAAAGAACTATAGAAAGTATCGACGGTATTAAACCTAATCATCAGAGTTACGCATCATTCTGAGAATGAACAAGAAAAGGTTCAAGATGTCCAAGTAGAGCTTGATGGCAGCAGGAACTTCATCATCAAGGTGCATAGACTTCATAATAAGCTGAGTGTCCACCACAATGTAGGCACTGAAGAGCAAGGCACCGAGGCCAGAGTAGACCATGTTAACGGTTTCGGAACCAGGGAAGAACATCATAACCAAGCCCCATCCGATAAGGGCCCACAAACCCATTCCCAAAGCACCTTGCCAGCTTCTGAAGTCATACTTGGTCTGGAAAGCGAATGCTGTCAAGCCAATAAATATCACACCAGTAACAAGGGCTGCCTTTACAAGAATCTCGGACTTGTCTAAAGAACAACCAAGACCAACGATGTACGCCTCACACAATGTAAAGCCCGCAAGTAAAATCAAGTTAGTAGGATAAGAACGGGCCTTAACATGGGCACCAATCATGAATCCAAAAGCACCAATAAATGATACCCAAAAGAGCCATTGGTTGTTCAAACACCAGTTCTGAACACCCGAACTCAGCTTGATAAAAAAACCCACAGCAACAGTGGCAAGAATTTGCAACGACAAAATTGCATACACCTTCCTAATAAACATCTGACGAATGGGCAATTCACAAGCTGCCACGTTCAGGGAGTACTTAAAGTCGTCAGGGATGTTATCGCCCTCGGACCTGGCCCCCGAAGGGTCTCCATAGGGAGAAGAAGGCACCGAGTTGCTATAGGCTGGAGGCTGTGACAGAGGCTCCTGTGGAATTTGGGAGTATGACATTTTATGGGGAAGAAGATAATGGGGTGAGTGGTAGAAGTGGTAATTCTAGGTGGAGGCGAATATTGAGGTAGGCTCTGCGCGCAGTCACGAAAGTCTGGGGAAAGACGAAGAAGAGCGAAGAAGGTGCCTGGGAGATTGCCAATAGAATTGAAATTTGAAAGTAAAAGGTAGAGATGTTGGGTAAAAGAGGTTATTCGTTTATATTACAGATTTGTTGCGGTTTGGTTGTTGGTCATGAATGGTATGCTAGTATATAGTGAGTGGAACTATAAAATGAGCCTATAGAAGGCAGATGCCCGGAAAGGCAATAGGGTTTGGAGGGTCTTCCAAGCGCTTTATTTTCGGAATAGGCAAAGTATTATCGATATCCGATTTTCATTCGAGGTAGTTGAACATGATACACCCAAAGAGACCGATGGCTGCAAATGGACATGTTGTAGATCCGAGGACCATTTAGTGTCATAGAGTTGGAGGCCAACTAGCTCAAGGGTTGGTAGTCACATTGATTTGCCCCTTTAGTAAAAAACGGAGAATACATCGTAGTCGATGACATTGAAGACGTATTGCAACATGCAGCTATGCAAATGAGGAAGATAGGACACAGAAAAGCTCCTGGCGGATTGATTGTAGCCACTTTCTAGCAACACAATTCGAGGGATGATGAAATCTCGAGATCTAGATCAAGCCGCATTTGTTTCAGGATGAAAAGTGTTCAACGGGATCTTCTAAGGCCTTCGAACATTCGGCTCATCGACATTTCTATTGATACCTCGATCATAAAAAGGTCAGCGGTGTCTTAAGAACCACATCAACACCACGTCATCCTTCTTGTTCATGTCTTCTCTCCGAATAACTCATCGAGATCATCGCTCCCTTCGTGCACCTCATGGTCATCTGAATGTTTCCGCTTCAAACCTCGCGTGAGACTCGAGCTATCTATCACCACTTTTTCCTCATTATCATCCTCATTCTCTTCTTCATCGTCCTTAGGTGGTTCCACCTTACGGCCAGTTCTGAGTCGTAGCACCAAAGCATCTTTGAAAGTAGTCAGCTTTCGGCACATCGGACATAGACCAACGCCTCTCTTCCCCCGGGTTTGACCTTGTGCTGATGATGCAGATATACTTTGCTGAAGACATTCCAAGCAGTAAACATGGCCACAAAACGTTGTGGTTGCATTAGTGACCGTATCAAAGCATATAGGGCACTCAGCTTCGTTAAGCTTTTTCACCACTTTTGGAGGCGCCTCGTTGATGAGGTCTTGAGTGTGCTTTCTGAATTCTAGGACCTGGACTTCGTCATCTTCTTCCTCTTCAGACGAAATGTTGATGACAAAAGACATGGTAGGTGGAAGAGATGATTAGTTATGCGAGTAATGTAAGGCAGAGCGGTTCTGGTTCCGTGCACGTGAGGGCCCAACGGAAAAAAGTGTGTTTCTCGTGGCGCGGTGAAAAACAGCGACCCCAGATTTGGGCCTCACGACGAAGAGGTGGCCTGAGAATGAGAAAAATCGATTTAACTTTTGCACCACGCTTAGCTATAGAAAAGTAAGAAAAACGGTCTATGGAATTCAGCCGATCTTTCTATGACGGAGCGGCCACCGAGGAAATTACATGTTTCGAGAATTAAGGTTTCTTCGGAGAGACATCATCCGAGTGTCTCATTTTTAGTTGCGGCGCTTGGGTGAGATCTTCAAAACAAACACCCCCAAAAAAAAATAAACAGCAAAAGTGGATCAATTCAGGTGAAATTGGCTTCTTCGGTGTTTAGTAGGTAAACCGTGGTTCAAGTGTACCTTTGAGACCAGTGCAAATAACCCCAAGGGCGTAACCCTAGCAGAGCATGAACCCACCATTGGCCAGGACCTATTATGAGCCATGGAAGGAAGTATCGAAGAAAATTTACATGAATATTCATAACCATCTCTTAAGCGTCGAGTCAAGAAACGGTACAATGGAAAGCAACCTCGCTCTCCCAACCGTAACTGGCAACCACCAAAACACCCTCACTCCCTACTTCAATTCCTAAACACAAACCTCTATAGCAACCACTGGTATTGCCCCTTGGCGTGTTTTCTTTCATGGCAGCTTCGCCCCACGAGCACCAGCAATTTCGCAGCCATTCGCAGCCATCCTTGCGGCTGCAGCCAGTGTCTCAGAAAAGCCCATAGAGCAAGGAGACTATGTAAAAAGATCCACAAAACCTTAATTAAAGTTCCACTGCTCCCAAGCCTATAATCCTTTATCAGCGTTTCGGCGCTCCCAGGTCATCTCGTTCCTGGGCGTACGGCTGGCGGCGTTTTTGCGGTTTGTGTCAACTGTTGCTCAGCCAAGCCCGCGAAGCGGCAAGACAAAAACAGACATGCCAGCGGCCGGCCTGGCAGGCGCCAACATGACCTTAAAAGCTGAGTCAAAAGGACCCTCGAAAGTTCGTAAATAACGTCTACATAACATCATCCTTCTTTACTGGCTCGGGCCGACCAGCCACAGTGGCTGCAAATCCAGCGGATCCTCTGGCGCCATTCCCGAGGCTGATTATTGTTCGCCTGCCTCGCAGTGCCAATAGTTACTGGTGCTAGTTCCATGCAGCATGACCAGGCACCGGCTGCGAAAGGCAGAGTCCCGGGTAGAGGCCAGGAGATAACCACCAGACAGAATGTAGAATTAGAAAGAAGGGTAGTAGAAAATAGAGAATCCAAAACCATCTATATCTTCTGATTTCTGGACCTTTTTAACGAAGTTTGTATTTTATATGGCCCTTTTTCCCCTTCTCACGCGCCACGCCCTCCCATTCCGAAAGTACCAGAGCCCCATGCTGTCAGGCCATTTGGCTTAGACTCGGAACACAACCTTACGTATTTCCAGAAAATCGAAAATCCAGCACCACCTATACATAAATGGAAGAGAGTAAAAAAAAATAAATAAAATACTAGGTGGGCCCTTACGTCACTGGCTGTTCCCAGATTGGCCTTGTTCTTCGCCTCATGGGCGGTTTTGGCGGCATCCCGTGCCCAGCCAGTCAGTCACTGTTTTTTCCTAATTCTCTCTTGTATATCCTGCCGCAGTGGGCTTGTCGCTGCTATCATGTACTGTCTGTGGGCTTCCCTGCACCACCGTTTCTTTTCCCTCCATTTTCTCAGTCTCAAGTCTCAGTCTCACTTTTTTTCTTGCCGTACTTGTATAATACCTTTTCTCACTTTCCAGAAACCTCCATCCATCGCCACACTTTCTTCTTTTTCCCAGACCGTTCCTTTTATATTTGCAATTTTTTTATATTCCTTTTTTTATTTTATTTCTTGATCATGTCCAACTACCACGATCCGCTTTCCGTGGCGTTGCCCTTCCTGTTCCATAACCAGGACGATTACCCGACTGAAATCGTTGCCCACCGTTTCCAGGCATGGCGCTATATCCTTAAAGACCTCGTTGCCTACCTAAGGCTGTATGCTTCAGTCCAGGAGGAGATCTTGAGGCAGCAGGCTCGTCTCCAGCAGGCTGTGGGCGCCTCCGCTGCCGTGGCTTCGTCTAACGCTTCTTTGGGAGGGGGCCGTTCTCATGCTCATAAGGATAAGGAATGGCAAGATGACCTTCAGGCTATAAACGAGTTCTTCTTGCCAATTGGTAATGGCTCCATTCAAGATCTCCCCACGATACTCACGCGGTTCCACCAGCAGAATATTGAAAACGGTACCAAGACCTTGAAGGAAATCCAGCTGGTGGTGATCCCCCGTTTGGAAGATTTGCGCAAGGACCTTGTGCTTAAGATCAAGGAGATTCGTAAGTTGCAAAACGACTTCAAAAATACCTTGACCCGTGATCTCCAAGATTCCAGCTCCCTTTTGAGCAAGTTCAACCATGCAATTGACATTGCTAACCGCCACGAGTTGTTGACCACCTCCGGCGAGCCTGTCCCTCATTCGCATGACTCTGAACTCGATAGCACCAAAAGAGATCCTTATCTTGTTCGTTTGAAGCTTAAGGAACAGCTTAGCAGACAGCTCAAGGAAGAGCGTTATCTTTATGACGCCTACGAGAACTTACAGTCATCGTCCCAAAAGTTAGAGTCCATTGTTGTTTTGGAAGTCCAAAACTGTCTCCTGATTTTCCTTAACTTGGTGCAAAACGAGCATTCCACTATCCCAGAGTTCTTGGTGCCCAGACTCTCTGAGGGTTTCCTTGCCAAGGAGTCCCTGTTCGAGTGGAACTCCTTCATCGACCGTAACTTGCCCAAGACTTCCACCATTTCCAAGAATCTCATGTCCGGCAAATTCATCGACTTATCTTATCCTGCCAGAAAATTAGCCGACTTAAATATTCCTCATTTCGAATCTTTGGTCAACTTGCCTATCAGAGAAGGCATCTTAGAAAGAAGATCCAAGTTCTTGAACAAGTATTCCAGTGGCTGGTATGTTTTGACATGCAGCTACCTCCATGAGTTCAAAACAAACGACAGAAAGCGTGATCCTCAGCCTGTTATGTCCCTTGCCTTAGATACATGTTCTGTTGACAAGCACACGAAGAAGGATGACTCCAAGCAACTTGGCTCCTACAAGTTTATTTTGTACTCCAAGCAACAGAATGGTATTATCCACAGAGGTCACAATTGGTCATTCAAATGCAGCACCTACGAAGAAATGATTCTGTGGTATAACGATATCAAGCAATTGACCCAGTTAGCATCGCCCTCTGCAAGAGCCAAGGCTTTTAGCAAGGTCCTCCAAGCAAAGAAAAATGATATAACTGATAAGAAGTTATCAAGAGCATCAAGTGTGTTATCTGCGCAGACTGGTCCTGGCGTTCGATCTGTAAGGTCAAATTTCACCGGTGCTTCCAAGGTACGGAACCCATTGAGTCCTACCCAGTCGGTGAGATCCAAGGCACTTTCCCAGACAGCATCGGCCGCTTCAACCGGCCAGAACCAGCGTTTGTCGTCTACATTCTCGCAGAAAAACTACCATCAATCCCCAAAGCTTTCCAATTTGATCAATAGTGATGGAACTATCGTGACTCCCGTTGATACCCACCAGGCAGATACACACAAGGATCATGAACATGGTGACACTACCTTAACTGGTCAGTCGAGTCAATACGCTCCAGAGCACGAATTCCAGGATCAACATGAGAGCGAGTATGACCAGCAGTCACAGGCTGCTCCTAAGGCAGTACCAATGCCAAATGGAACTGCTTCTGCAAATCCACAAGGTACTCCTCAGCAATTTATTCCACAAAATTACCAGTACTACTTCAGTCAAGTGAACTCGCAGCCGCAACAGTTCTACGATCCGGTTCTGCAACAGTTCTTCACAATCAACGCAATTCCTGTTCCTGATGCATCGCAGGTCCCTTCGTCTTCATCGCAAGGACCCGCCTCGGTTCAACCTCTGCAAACTGGACGTACCCCTGTGCAAGGACAGCCGATGCCACAATACTTCCCACTGTCTCCACAGACGCAGCCACAAGCGCAGTATTTCCCAGCATCGCCAAACTTCCAGCCGCAGATCATTCAAACAGCTGCCACTCCTCAAAATGTACAGCAGCCTGAGAATGGTAGAGTAAAGGCTCCATATGTGCCACACTTCCCTCAGCATTTCAACGAACAAGGCCCTAGTGGATCTGGAGCCAACGTTCAAGGGAAACCTGGTAACTTGCCTTACCCAACCAACTTGGAGCATCCAGGCCAATCGAGACAGAATCTGACAACGTCCACTGGCTCACTCACGGTTACGAAAACTGTTCCAGGAACCTTCAAGACCGTGGAGGAAGGTCAGTTAGCCGATGACCAAATTTCCCAGGCCAACATCAGGTAAGCCGTATGATTGCACGAAACTTATTTATGTATGAATGTCATGTACTTTATAGCGCACAAAACATCACTACGAATCTACGATAAATGCTATGTCAAATGATTAATGTATGATATACAATGGGGTCGTGAGGAAGAATGAAGAAGCCAAAATGTGAAATCCTTAAACCACCACACCAGAGTTGGAGGCAATTCTTGGCCACAAGTCAGCACACTCCTTGGCGACTGGACCAGTGATAGCAGAACCCTTCATTTCACCCTTAGGGTTGACAATGACACCAGCGTTGTCCTCGAAGTACAAGTAGGTACCATCCTTTCTTCTCCATGGTCTAGCCTGTCTAACGACAATAGCTGGCATAACCTTCTTTCTCAATTCTGGCTTACCCTTCTTGACGGTGGCCATGACCATGTCACCAGCAGAAGCAGCTGGCAATCTGTTCAATCTAGCACCGAAACCCTTGACGGCAAGAATGTAAAGGTTTCTGGCACCAGAGTTGTCGCAACAGTTAACGACGGCGCCGACTGGCAAACCCAACTGTCTGTTAGTATATTGAAATCGTGAGCGATGAGCCGGAAGTTGAAGGATGTATCGTAGGGAGTTGGATCTTCTGAATCGAATGAAACAATTTGTATCTGGGAAAAATATCAGCATTTAACTCTGTGGGACAAAGAACATGGATGGATTTTTCAGTATCGATGTTTCGATGGACATATGGAATAGACTTCTTCGAACTTCACTGGCTGGTTTAAAACGGGGAATATGAATCAAAGGTACATACAGACATACGGAACTTGTTACCGGAAGCACCAGAACCAGACATGTTTGATTATGTATAGATGTAGTTGGAATGACTATGGATTTTTTTTTTCCTAAAGTCAGAGTGAGGCAGGGTAGTGCGAAAAATTTTTTGGTGAAGAGACTGCACACGAGCACAGGTTCCCATAGTTAAGCTTCTTCTGGCGCAGTGCGAATTTAGGGCACAAGCCCTAGATCTGAGAGTGGTCACATTAGGAAAGACTGAATTCAGTGGGAGAACAAGAGTGACTAGTTTATGTGACAGAGGAGGATGCCGTGAGTATCTGATCACAGGTTTGGAAAAAGAGTAAGACAAGCAAAGGCTCTATGTACTCTTGTTTACAATTGTCATTCTAAGGGTTAGTTGAGTTATACCAGGTTGAAGGCTATGTTGGAGGAAATGGCTGCGAAAAATGTAAGCTCTCTTGATGCCATGCGGTAAGGCTCCAATTATGTCAAGAATGTCCTTTGAACTGATTATGGATGACAGAAGCTGATTGATGTAGCTCGAGGACTGAAGAGACCTTTAATGATGCTAGTACTAGTGCTACTACCAGTTCTCCCAGTATCACCAGTACTACTGCTAGTAACATAGGCTATCAACTTGTCTTGCAACCATCATCACTAGCAGCCCCTTTAATACCTGATTCAAACCATCAGGTCAACTCCCTGCTCTTAGTTATCACCTAGGAAAGGCCACTTTGGACCCTCCTGGCCCCTATCACATCTCTCTACAAACTACGCGTCTCTTTCCTAATCTGTATATTGGTGGTATTCATACCAGGCCCATGGCAACTCTCGTAAATTCGTTAAATTCGTCACGGTGTATCAGTGTCTATCCTTACGTAGCACGATAGCCCGTGCCCACGTTATATGGACTTGGCTTGTGGTACAGGTCGTAACTATCCACTGGGTAGTACGCGGGTTGGGCCTGAGACATGGGCTGGCTTCTAGGGTACATGTTAGCGTTGTGGAATGGATCTTGTGTAACCTGGCGAGGTTCACTTCTTCTTCTGCTGCCGCCACCTCTGCTGCAACAACAGCAAAGAGCCTGAGCACAGCTAAGACCTAGACAACAGCAGCGGAAGAGCGTGGTGAGAATGCTGATCACCACAAGCACGGCAAGCACGATCCCCACAATGGCGACGATCTTACACGTTGTGTTGTCCATACACGTGTCCCATGATTTGAAGGACTCTGCTGTTGACTTTACGTCTCTTTGGACGAGGTTGGAAACAAGTGTTTGTGGAGTATTTGGAATGTGCATGGTAAATGTATGTTTTGAAAGTGTAGTAAGTAGTTTTTGGAAGTCGATCCCAAAGTGGTATAAAAGAAGTAGTAGTAAATAAAAGTTTATCTGATATGCAATGTTTTTGTGCTGGCTGGCTGTGATATATATATTTCTTGGTCCTACAGCCCCCTGTCTCATTGTGGCATGGCTGGATATCGCGATTTGAGGAACGGCGCGCAGTAAGGCACAGCCTGGAGTAGTTAGAGTGAGGGTTATTTATAGCCGCGCTGGGGGGTGTCAAAGTATTTTGGTCCAGAAGATGAGACAATTGGGGTTATGGGCTGTGCTTAAGTATGTGGGTTGAGGCATGACTGCGGCCACTTTTGGGAGTCTCGGCGAAATGTCGGGAAACGTTTATGAAGAACGGCTGTGCCTTTTCTCGGTAAGGATATGATTTGCAGCCGAATACAAGGCTGTGAACGTCATGGTGGGTAAATGATAAGAAGAAACCGTTGGAAAGTAAATATAGCATAGAGGCTAGATCATAATCGCTTGGCTTGAACTGGCGATGGAAACTACTCTTGTTTCTAAGTTTATATACTGGTAATTATAGGCATCACGGTGGATTAATTACACGCATCATGGTTTTGTGTCAAGGCACAGGCAGAGATACGGAAGGGAAGATCAAGGGGATGCCATGAGAGAGTTTAGTTGAGGTAGATGATCTTCGGACTCGGACATACCCAGATGTCCAGGGTTTGGTGATTGGTGCTCTGATCGGCTAGAGTAATGGCATTGAGCTTAACTATACCACATAATGTACCCTATTCAAGTGACAGATAAGCTCAAGAGACGACCTAAGTCACAAGGTAATACCCCCTGGAACTCGAAAATCTTTGTTATCTTCAATCTGTGGCTAAAGGACGCCAAATCGCTTGGTACCCCAGAATCAGACAAGTTAAGTCAAAAACACGCTACCACCGACAAAACACGTTTCAAATTTGAATTCACCAATCATAACCATAAACTAATACAAAGACAATTACCTGTTTCATTAGACGGATTGTTGAAGCGATCTCACCGTCAACCTTATAGGTACGACCACCATTGTATCTCCACCACATACAAACCACATCTAATCAAAGCAACCCAAGTTTCCGCCAGCTGCCAAGCTCCATAGTAAAGAAGAGCCGTTCATCACGCTTTTGCTGGCCAAGAGAGTGTTTGGGGGATACTCACATGAAAGTGTGGTGGACTACGTCATGGGTGTGTACGGCACCAGAGTCACAAAAGTACCTGAAACTTCAAACCCACACACTATAGAAGATCTAAAGATTAACCTTTGGCCAGATCAAGAGATACATTTCGTTGCATCTTATAAGCTTAGAGTTCTTCACATGCACTGAAAAGCCTACTCTAATACACCAATGTCAACTTTTGGCGCACTCTATAACTCTCTGTGCTTCCCCCACAACATTGGCATTTTGTGATGCAGATCTACGATATCTCAGATAATATTAAGGGGTGTGGTTTATTTGTCACATTTGGCCATTATTTTTTTTCTATTGAAGATTGTAGTGACCTTTTGAAATGCGAAAAATTTCCACCCCCTTTGAAGAGGCTTTGTCTGGTTTGTTCATTGACAATTCCTTCCATCTGGAGACAAAAGGCAATTTGTAAAGCTTAATTTTTCACCAACGTGTGCCGATCCTCGATCCATGCCAGCCAGTCCGGTACGTGGCTCTTCTTAATAAAGGGCCCTGATGACGTAGCGCCCATTGTTTTGCGAGGATTCCCCTATTAGTTCCGCTTCGCCAATCAGAAAGTGTGTATGAGAGGAATGCACTTACCTGATATTTGCAACCGACTAAGGAGGCATCTTGCAGTGCCGAGACGCGCAGAAGTTTCGAATCTGTACACAGCGCGGTTTCTAGAACACGTAGGTAGCGCGACTGGCTCCAGCAATTTACAGAGATCTCTATGATGCTTTTAATTCGTAGTATTAACCATGTAGAAACATGTCGAAGCATGTGTGAATAGAAGTAAATAAATGTGTGTGTTTATAAAGAAAACAATGTCAAACATTAGACTTTTCGTGGCAAGACGGGATCACCTCTGTTGCAGCAACAGAAGGTGCACAATGTGTAAAACGACACGAGCTAAAGTTGCCTCGTTTGAAACGTATGGGAAAAAGGGAAACAGCGCCGCAGAAATTATGTGTTGACGACCTTCAATGAGCCCGGGTTCCGTTGCACCATGTCAGGCAAGGACCCGTTTGAGAGCCGTCGGCGGCCGAATTCTTCAGGAGGCCTCAAGAAATCATTATTTTGAGCCTCATGGTCATTGTTATGACGTGCTTCATAGTAGAATGCATCCTCGTTATTGGACGAGTACGACTGGGTTGTGTTTGAGTTATTATGCGTATGACCTGCTTGAGCAGCAGGTGCTGCAGCGCCTGCCATAAATGGATTGGGGGCCATCAGGTTGAAGGACTTGTCGTTTGCGCCGCCCATGTCGAAAAATTGCTCATCGTCGTCATCGTCGTCGTCCCTCCTGCGTCTCCACCAGCAGAAGAACAAGAACAAGCCAGCAATTATGGCTACACCAGCCACACAGCCAATGACAATACCGGCAATGCTGCCTCCAGACAAGGAGTTAGAGCCGGAATCCGCCTGTCTATTTTGGGGCAGTGGGGGACCCGACAGCGAGGAGGACAGATCCGAAGCATTCGATCTGACTGTAGTTGTAACTTCAACCACCGAGCTGGCACTGCCGCTCGGATTTGCTGTAGCAGTAGATATGAATGTGCTTGTTCTTGCAGAGTTGCCTTGGTTGGAGGACAGAGACTCTGAAGTTTCGGAAGTTGGGGAATGCAGAGAAGTCGACGCTGGAGCTTCCGAGGTGGAAGTGGATGAGGGAGTCGACGAAGTCGAGGACGATGTAGATGTTGATGAACTCGAGGACGATGTGGATGTAGATGAAGATGAAGTTGACGTGGATGACGAGGATGAAGTCGTAGAAGACGAAGTCTTGCCGCCTACTGTGGAGGCGTCAGCATCGGCGTTGACGTAGACATCAAAGTAGCCGCTACCACCGCAGTTCTCCTTGTCGTAACCCTGACAAGGAGAGTCACAGTTGGAGCTGGAAACGCCGAGGCTCTCTTCCGGAATGGCCAGGCCACAGTAGCAGTTCTTACCATCGATCAAGGCAGCAACAGCTTTACCTGAGCAAGCTTGTTGGCAATGTCCCAGTGACTGATACATATACGAGTCTTCTTTGGACAAGTAAGACAGTAGATCCGACTGCTTGAAACATCCCAACTGGGAGAAGCTGTCAGCAGCAGCGAATGGAAGCACCACTAGTAGTAGGGCAGGCAAGTGAAGCATATGGGAAAACAACGAAGGCCAGGCACTAGGGTGGACGATTTGGAAAGGATTGGGAAAAAAAAAAGGGAAATCAATAATAAAAAAAAAGACGGAAAGAACCAGAAGATTTCAACCTCAGCGGTGAAAAACCAGAAGGAACGGAATGGAACACGAGTGATATGGAAAAGCAAAGAAAACCCTCAGCAGTGTGTTGTTGTAGTAGCAAGTTGTTGGAAAGAAAAGAAACGGTGGGAGTGAATTGTAAAGGGTCTGAATGGTGTCAAGGGCAGTGTGCACGAATAGCAGAGGCCCGCAAAACAAAACAAAAATAGATGAACCAGACGGTGCAGGCGGCCGCGATCGAGCCCAGGGAGCAGCAGGTGATTTGAGGCGGCCCTGGCTGCAAAGCAAAGGAGGCAAGGAGTAGAGAGAAGCAACGGTGAGTTGGAGAATGGAGAAAAGGGAAGTGCCTGATTAGAGAAAAAAGTAAATTTTTTTAACCAGCCTTTTTCAATTTTCTTACTTTGTTTATTTCATTTGTTGTGGTGAAATTGGCAATTGGCTGGGCACCTGGAAAATGATACAAAACGCCAGGGGAAAGAAAGATACCCACAGTGTTTTGGTTATGATCTCGCGGGATCGGGAGGAACGAAAGTCTAGAGGGGGGAAACAATCTGGCGATAGTCAACCTTAAAATTTTCAAAGTCGTGGACTACCCCGTCTTTTGGCGTGTCGACGTTTCAACCGTAGTCTGGATCGTTCATGGCTGGCCTAGGCTGGTGTTGGGCCTGGGGGAAAGGGCCCGCCTCACAGTGGCTTGTGGGTAGGCAAGAAGTTAAAATTGCCGCAGGCGACGAAGAGAAAAATAAAGGCCCAAGCCACGGCGAGCCAACGAAGGAGGACGAAAGTGGCTGTCTGGACATGCTCAGGTCATTTTTTTTTGGAACTTTTACGTATGGGTTTGAATTGGCTTCGCTCTGGCTTCGCTGAGCCTCTGTCCAGACGTTGTTCTATCATTGTTACTGTTTGTCCCACGCACAGCCCAATGGCTGCGAAACTGCCTAGCCGCGGCACCTGGGTATTGTGAAGCTGGGGTGGATTCCATGGCATGCCATGGCACTTTTCACGGCACACTATGTTTTCTGTATGTGTCTACGGCTGAAGGTGGAGGTTAGGTGGTGACGGAATTTCGTTGGTTGTGTGGTGATGAACGGGGATAACAATGGCTACGAAGCTCGGCACCGCTAGTGCCGGTGAGTAAGTGGGAACGGTGTGGTAATTGAGGGTACTGAAAAATTTAGGAAAAGGCCACCCGAAAACCAAAAATAGTTGGAAGAGAAGTGCACCGCTTTTTGGTCTATTCAAAGGTGAAACGGTTCATTCTCTTGGTTGACTCCTGGATCTCCCGTAGGTGCTGTTGACGACCATCGTGCCTGTTCACCTCCTGCTCATACTCTATTGTCATGTACAAATGGAGAGTAAACTTCTGTGCCGAAATCCACACGCCTCGGGCTGTAAATGCTTGGAAACGTTCGTTTTTGCCGTGACCAACCTAGAATTCCATGACCGGTAATACAACTTACAATCAACCCACATTTCGGCATCAACATGCTTCCTCGGTCCCAGGCTTCGAGATCGGCCTGCCTTGAAACGGTTGAAATTTCGCAGCCTAAAATGAAATAAACCCGTGCACCACGCCTCGATGCCAGTACTTTTTCACTCTGATTTTTCCCCCATTCCCTTCTCTCTTCTTCAGGCTCCTTACTCGTCCACATGTCATTGGGGCTTCTCCAATATTCTTATGGACTTATTGTAACCACTCTGTGGGTCAGGGGCCTCAGAGAGAATTAAAACCCTTTTTCGCTAACAGCGGCCGAATTCCTACGAGCCGTCGTTTGATAGTAGTGGGGCTTACATCTGTAAAAGAATGTTATACTTCTTTGACTGGAATGGCATGACACAGTGGAATGGAGTCTTAGTTTAGACTCATCAATGACCTGTGGTTTCCATACCAGCTTTTCCACCACTTCTCTAGTACTGCTTTTGAAATGGAGTGTGGCCTAGCACTCTGCACTGAGCTCCATGTTCTTCAAAAAGTGACCAAGCAACTGCTTACTTGTCAATACCGCTCTCTCTTAGGGATTTCCTACCGCCTTTTAACCATCACTTCAGGGTGATAACTTGTACCTTCTCTTGTACCCATACTCCACCTTAACTGTACATCGCGCACTGATTCATATCAAATAACACCTACTACCTCCATGTCCCTTACGCCATCTGGAGTTCAACTTATAGTCGAAAGACATAGGCAAGACCTACAGTCTTCGTCCTTTTCAAGTGCATCTGATCCTCATCTACAGGCAATTACCCTTCGAAGAATACAGAATGACCTCCCACATCTACTACGTGCATTGAATGCTAACAAAGGTAGCAAACAATACGAGTCTGCCTATGCCCAGCTTAATTCACTTACAGAAACCGTCGACGAGCAGTCTTATAAGGTCCAGAAAGCTGTTGAGCAGCGAAACGCTCAGAGGCAAGTGAAGGTTCCTCAACAATCGGAATCAGTAGGCCAATCCACCTCTGATCTAGGCAAGAATGATAACCCTGAGGAAGACTACATGTCGCTCAGAAAGAGACTTTTGGCGGATGGAACTTCCACGTCATTGGATGATCAGAACAAATCTGCTGACCAAATGAACGAATACCATGAAACTTTCCAGGAAGATATCATGAAGGATCTTTCAGGTCTTGCTTCTGCGCTCAAGTCTTCAGCATCTGCCTTCTCTTCCAAGGTTACGGAGGATACGAAGGTACTCAACGAGACAAGCGAGAACATGATGAAGAGTCTGTCATTGATGGCAACTGTTGGCTCGAATCTCAATGGCTACTTGAACGAAAAGAGCGGAGGAAAGATCAGTCTTTTCTTCCTTATAAAGATGATGGTTGCCATCATGATCATCTTCTTTATAGCGTTGATTCTTATCAACTTCTTACCTAAAATGTGAGTCTATTTGGATAGAATACCATTATATTATATGTACTGTGAAATGCTGTCCAAACACATAAATCGAAAGCAAAGTCCGTCGACTTGGCTTGAAAGCCGGGCCACGCGTATTAGTATTTACTGACTGGTTTCCTTGGTGTTGTCGTCCACAAATTCAGAATCAGAATTCGTGCTTTCATCACTTGGCTGAGTCATACTGCTGGCAAACTGTGGCAAGTTAATGTTCGAATTGACCTGCTGCTGGTTTTGGAACTGTCTTGGCAAGTTACCACATCTGTCCTTACCGAAGTTTATCTTCAACTTTTTGTAATCATCGAACGACTTGATGCCGTCAATGGCCTTGATGGCATTCGCAATATTGACGAAATTGATGAATGCACAGTTCTTCTCCTCAAGGTAGTTAATTTGTTCAATATCACCAAACTTAGTGAAATCCTTTCTCAATTTTTTGGCGTTGTAATATTCAAAGTCAGTGATGTTGCCGATGTAGATGTTTCTCAGTGCACCATTAGAGACAGCTAACGACAAGGCATTGGATAAAGGTCCAGAGTGCTTTCCCCAGCCGACCTTGATTCTTCTATTGTGAATGGTCAAGCCGTGCAATTGGCACATAGCAAAGAATTGAGCAGCAGCAATTGGGTCAATGAAGGTGATGAAACACACATGTCTTTCGCTCAAGAAACGGATACTTTGCAACAAACCACCTCTAACAACATTACAAATCTCCTCAACAGAAGATTCTTGGTGCAAATTACCCAAGTAAACGGTTCTGTTACCCAAGTTGTTAGCGCCACCAGCCTGAGTAGCAATCTGAGCGGCAGCAGCAGACTGCTGAACCAAAGCACTAGAGATGAACTCCCTGTCTGCTGCAGTCACAACGTGCTCCATTCCTGGAGCCAAACCCAAGTACTGAGCAGCGTTGTGTTGCTGCGTTTTTGTAATGAAAGCGCATCTGTCCTTACCATAGAAACACTTCTTGTCCAAGTATTTCTCCTTCAAAGGTAAGTTAGCCACACATCTGATGGCACTCAAGATAGATAAGAAATGAATAAAGGCGATACCCTTGTCTGGGATGACCTTAATGCAGTCAATGACACCAAAAGACGACAAGTCTTCTCTCAACTCTGCCTCGGTGATCATCTCACCCGTGACAGGGTTATTCAAGTTTCCGAGGTAAACATTACGCGTTGCACCATCTCTCTGGATCGCTTCCATCACAGCAGGCAAAATAGGAGCATTCTTACCCCATCCAATACGAATATCATTGCCCTTAATGTGAAGCTTCTTCAAAATGCAATCGGAATGGAACAACAAAGCCGACTGAGCGTCGATAAAAGAAATGAAGGCACAGTTCTTGGAGGGCAAAATCTTGACATTCTCCAAGATACCGCTTCTAACATAGTCCAATAATTCATTAGGCTCGATGTCACTTGGGATGTTTCCCAAGTAGACTGTCCTAGAAGGAGCCACCTGAGTAGGCATGTTGGATGCGCTAGTAGGCGAATGTGGAACGATGCCTGGTTGGTTTGAACCGCCCATGAGCATCTCTCCATTAGGAGTCTGAGGAATCAGGCCCTGGTTGGCACCACCAAAAGCTGATGGGCCAAAGTTAGAATCAGGAACGCCAGGGAATCCACCAAGGTTCAACTGCTCTTGCATCTGGCGACTCAAAGCAGCATCTGCTGACAAAGGCTGCTGGTTAGGGGTGTGAGCGTTGGGAAGATCGGAATCATCAAAGAAGCTGCTCTCCTCAACACCGTAAAGGTCACCATTGTTGAAATGACCAGCAGATGGCAGATGATCGTTTTCCTTTGGGAAGCCTCCAAGGTTGTCGGAGTGGGAGCCAAACTGGTCATACTGCGACGAGCCCTGGTGAAGAAACTGATGCTGTGGGTGTTGATCCTGGCCTTGCAAGTGGCCGTTGGACTCCTGGTGAGGATAGTATTGGTAGTATGGCTGGCCCATGTACTGCTGATGCATGCTTTGGTATGGATTGTAGTATGACATTATGCGATGCTAGGATATGACGGTGGACAAAAACAAGGAAAAGGAAACAACAAGATAAAAGTAGCCCAAAGTTAAGGAAGTTCGGAGAAATGAAAAGCCCCTGTGAAGCTGATTAGTTGGAGTAGTTGTTGTTGTAGGAAATTGTCCAGTGCAAACGAATGAGATCGTCGATTTTTGATCCAACGAATCCTTGACAAAGAAAAACAAAAGACAGGGTACTAAAAAAGTGCCTGAAGGACGTAAATGCAATGAAAAAGAAGGGGAGCCACCTGCTTTTGATTATATGGACGCGAACAATAAATAAAAAAAAAAAAAAGTGTGGTTCAAAATCACGGCAGTGTCCAAAGAACTGAAGGAGATGAGTGTAGTTACGTTGGAGAAAGGAAGTAGATCGTGAGGAAACTTTTTTTGGCCCTTGAGCCCTCGCGCTGGAAAAAAAAAAAAAAAAAAAAAAAAAAATGCGCACCCTCGGACGTCTTTTTTTCCCTATTCGTCCTCTCCCCTTGACAACCACTTTGCACGGCAATACGACCAAAAGATGGTTGCTGGACAAGGAAAAGTAAATAAAAGTGGGAGTTGGAATTTTGACCTCTTTTATATGACAATGGGTATTTTGAATTCCCTTTAGATTGGAATGTGTCCTTTCCCAGCACAGCCCCTGTCGCTTTGACAGCTGTAATGTGAGACATAAACGCTTGATGGCTTTTTTTCGCAACCTTGGCTCAAACGGTTTGGTTTTGCACGCTTTGGTGACGTTGTTACCTTAGAGGTCCCCATGTTTAAACACTGGAGTACGGAAAAATGTTGTATATGCAGCTTTCTCCATTCTTACCAGTGGCTTAACATTCCACTCCTTTTTTTTAATCACTGTAGTCGGTGTCATCGCCTTCGTCCTCTTCCTCTTCCTCCACAGGCTGCGTTTTCTCGTCCGATATGCCTTCAGGGCTTTCTTCACCTTCTGATTCGCCCTCTCGCTTCACCTGAGTATCGTCGTCTGAATAATCTGTTGCGCCATCCTCTGACTGTGTCTCTCCAGCTGCGCCATCGGCACTGGCTTCGGCTTCATCTTCAGCCACGGCCGTATCCTCCATAACTGTGTCGTCCATAGGCTCCTCTTTGACCTGGACGTTCAGATCATGCTGGTTTTGAGCTGACTTGTCTTCCTCTTCGACGCTTAGTTCGTCTTCTTCGTGTTTAGCAAGATCTCCTTCTTCCTCTACATCTGGCTCCTTTTTGACTTGCGGCTCCTTCTTCGTTCGTTTGGCACTTGCCCCTGTCTTGCCGGAGGAAGCCCGCTTTTTGGCCGCCCTGCTGTCTTTCTTTTCCCTTTCTTTTTCCTTCTCCTTCTCCTCAAATGTCTTGTAACCTTCACCCTTGATTATTTCCTCGATTCTTACTCGGTTAAGGTTTGTCCTGTTCTTCTCTTCAAACTTCTCGTTCAAATGCTTGAGTTCATCAGTGTCGCCATTCAGAAGTTCTAGGATCTTTCGGCGTTTGGCATTCAATACTTGGTAAAACCGATCTTCAAGGTCTCGAAGAATGAGGTTATAATCTTCGATCGTCTGTTTGATCTCAGCTTCCTTTGCCTCTGCATCCTCCCTGACTTCCTTGAGCTCCTTATTTGAAGTCCCGAGCTCTTCTGCTAGTTTCTTCATTTGAGAGGATTGTAACAGGACCCAATTGAGGATATCTAGTTCCTTCCTGCTCTCGTCATCGGCATCTTCAGGATCCTTGACACTGGTCTGGAATGAGCCGTATTCAACGCTTAACTTTCCTTTTGACCGTATTGAAATTGTAAGCTCAGGAGGCTCATCTGCCAAATCGCCTTCTGTTAGTTCGCCGGTCTTGGAATCATAACTCTCCAGTGAATCTAGTCTGGCTGCTATCTCTGCCAGTTCAAAGCCCTCTGGCCTCCTCTCTTCACTTAACCACTCTTCTCTGAATAGATATCCAAATAAGCTTATCCATGTCTTCTCGTCAACGTCTTGTTTGGACTTGCATCGCTTTACCTTAATCGTACTAAGGTTTGCCCCATATATTCCTTCCTGACATGCACAAAGCAACGAGTACGTAGTTCCCTTATCTACTTCCTGGTGTTCTATCTTTATCTGCAATTGAGAGGTTTTTATAAACTTTTCTGTTTCTCTTTGGTACACATCAAGGGGTACGGTGACAATACGTCCTTTCAAGCTCATGCGCCGTTTCTATTTCAATGTTAGTTGATATCAAATGCGCGTTAACCCCAGATTTCACTCCAATGGCCCACACCACTAGAAGAAGGGACACCATCCACAGTATATAAGCGCGAGGTTTTCCGCCGATGTAGCTTCTCTGATCAATTGTCTAACCGTTGCTTCAACACTCAAACCTCCAGCATTGAGCTTTTCTATCACCGTAAGCACAGCGGCATTGGCCTCTGAGCCATCCTCTTGTGGCTCTGGTACTAAGGTCTTGCTTTCATCTTGGAGTCTCTTCTTGCGTAGTGGCGATATAGACCACAGGTATAAGGGATCCCATCTTAAAGCATCAAGAATAGCAATAATATGCTCTTTATGTTCTCTCAACACTCTGAAGGTATGCTCACACAGTTTGTCAAAGACACCATGAACACCTGTGAAACCAAAGCCATCCACAATATCTCTTGTGAGTCTGAAGGGAACGGTTTCGGGTATTGGTAACCGCTTGCCTTGGTCGAAGGCTACCCCGAGATCTATATGCACTGGCTCACCTGTTGACTCCTCGAGTAAGATATTATTGCAATGTCTGTCTCCCAAACCTAAAATATGGCCGACCATCGATGACGATGCAATTCCTCTGGTGTAACGCTGCCTGCTGTTGTACCAGGTATCGGGTGATAAAAAGTGGTCGCTGAAGTATAAATGAAGCACTGGGTTGATCTTCTTGATAATTGTCTCATATGCTTGGAGCCGCTCTTTCATGGTCGAACTTTGACATTCCTTCATTGCCTCTTTTGCCTTCTCATACTTCATCAGATCCACTTTTTGATGGTACGGACGAACAACTTCAATAAGAGCTTTGGAGTTCGGTACAAACTCTATCAAGCCAGCCTTCGGTCCAAGAGGGATAGCTTTGTATGTCCTAATACGCAAATTCCGCTTCCTGGTATCACGATCTCTCTGAAGAATGGAATTGACTTTCTCAAAAACCTGCTCCATGGTAGCGTCTTGTCGCAAGTCATCTGTTCCGTACTTGAGTAACATCTTTCTCGAGGTTCCATCAGAGAGCGTGAATTGGGCAATCTTTGGTAAGCTTAGACCAGAAGTAGCAATGCTCACTTTAGGATCCATAGAAACCATCCTTGGAGCATTCTTGTAACCCTCTGGCAGCACCGGTAAGTCCACGGCTGGAGGGGGATATGTGGTAAATCATGAAGCCAATATGTTCCAATTTCTAGCTTGTCGAGATGAAGCGCCCTTCCTTTTGAGCTTTTGAGCTTAGCTAGGGCAATTGACGCGTCACATAGCTTTTCAATTGGAAGTAACGTCTCTTCGGCAAATTTCTGGCTCTTGCTTATCAAATTCTCCTTGACTTTCTCAGCAGCCGTCACACGAAGTAGCATGGTTGAATTAGAAGTCTCTTCGGCGACCTCTTTGTGGTACAACAAGGAGAATAACATGTAAAGCGAATGATACGGGTGGTCAAAACAGATTCTCATGATAAGCAGCTGGACAGACTCCTGGAAGTCATTTTTCTCGTTTGAAAGACGGGCCATCAATTGTGTTGACCACGATAAGGATTTGTAACTGGGAAGGGATTGAAGATCATGCTTTAGTGATTTTTGAAGCGGTTCATACCACGATAACTCGAGAAACAATGAAATAAATCTGTCAACGCTTTCCTCCAGAGCATCACCAGCAAGTAAGGCATTAAGATAGAAGGTAGCGCCTTTACATGCAAATGTCATCTTAGTATCCTCCAAAGACTCTAGTTCAATGGCGTCAGAGGCTACCTGGCTCTTAAGCCTATTGTAGTACTTCTGCACAGATCTTCTTTCGCTTGGGGTCACTGCAGTTTTGCCGTAATGTGACTTGATAACCTCAATTTCATCCTTCTTACTCTTCATCCTTTGCTTAAAGCCATCAATCTGGGATTCTAGACTCGTCGCCTTAAACTGCTGTTCGCAAAACTTAGCCAAAAGCAGGTATGATTTCGACCTTTGCGTAGAATTCTCCATCTCTGTCATACTATCTTCTATAGGGCTGACGTAATGCTCCAAGATACGCTTGCCAAGCTCCTCCCTAGATTCTGCGAGCCACTGTACTAATTGGGATGTTATCATCTTGGAATCAATATGAAGAAGACTTTCGGAGGAGCCAGGCGTACTGTGCCTTGCCAAGCTCTTCAACATGGCTATAGGTGCAGAAGTATTCCCCTGTGCCCATAAGGTTTGGGCTATCGAGAACGTCGCAAACTTTTTTATGGATTCCCAACTCTCCATCGCAGAAAGCTGAGATGACTTGACAAGATCGTCCATTAGAACAGCTGAATTAAGCATCTTTTGCGAATGCTTGTTCAGGCGAGCGACAGCATTATACGTCAGGACATCATAAATAAGACCTTGCCAGCAAGCGTCTTGTACTGGATTTGCCTGAAGCAAGCTTGTAGTTGTAGAGTTGGACTCGTCTATCTTCATCCGAAATGCCTCTCTTCGACAGAGTAAAATATTCTCCAGATTTACCATATCAGCTTCCACAAACCACGACGAAATTGTCTTGAAAGCACCGGGGGCATTAGTAACGAGCGAATTAGAAGCGTTCAAGATATCCTCGACTTCAGTCATGCAAGATAAGGAAACAAACCAACGTTGAAGAAGCTCACGAGAGGATTTGAAAGACATATTCCCGTGAAGGATATTCTGCTTCTGTGCAAATAACTCGCCAATTCCTGTTGCAAAAGCTTGCGGGACCAGCCACAGGGAATGAATACGCTTAAGATAGTTGTAAATGAGCTCGTGGTCTGATGATGGCTCGTCAGCAAAAGGTAAGTCCCACAGGTTCAATTTCCAGCTCCATTCAAAATTCCCTGACGTTTCTTTTGACGTGGAAGATACTAGTTTCGACATACCCATTAGGCCATCGTCAAGTAGAGCGTTCATAGTATTCCCGAACTGTTCTGTTCCTTTCGTAGATGCAGCGACATCAAGGTAAGCAAGGTTATTTCTTAATATATCAGAAGCGGAGCCAGTCCTTTCCAGCATTTGCATAGCATTGGAGAGACTAGAATCTTCGGGAACCCCATACAACATATCTAGATCGTCAATTGATTCATAAATCTTGATCAAAGAAGTACGCCATTTATCCCATTCCACGTTTTGAGGTTTCCCGTTTGTCGCATCTTCAAAAATCATGAGAGACGTTTTAGCATATGAGGATTCTTTCAAGACCAAGAAGACGTCAGTCTTGTCTAGAGCCGAATAGATTTGTTGAAACGGACTCCCCTCCTGTTTCGAACCAACTCTGATATTCAAAACAATCCGAGCAAATACATCTAGCCCTTCCTGCCCAAGATGAGCGACACTCTTACGCATAGCGGTTAGGATTTCTCCTATAACTTCAACCGTCCTGGAACCCATCAAGGTGATATAGTAACAAAGTAAATAAGGGAGAGTCTTGTGGGCCAAATGTGGGAACTTGATAATGCAAGTGGCGAATAATGGAGCGATACTAGTGTATTTGGCAATTTCTTGTAGTACCCCGAGAGATAATTGACTAGACCACTTCAGAAATGAAGCTTCGGCTATTCGGTATGGAAGCGATTCAACAAGCTGAACTAGACTTTCAGTACCTATAGTCAATTGATCACTACTTGAAACCGCAACGAGACATGAGTGCATGTCGAGAGGCATGACATACTCTCGGATATTCATATAGCTGTCTTGGAAGTCAATGAATTTGCTTGTGTCGTCCTTGCGAAGTTCAAATTTCCAAACTAGAGCACCCAAGATGCAATCAGCAAATGACTGAGACTCGTAATCTTCACTAGCCCGTAGCTCAAGTAGTTGCTCAACAAAGAAATTCATTGAAGAGGAGGAGTTCACAAAGTTATCCTTTGAAATGCTTTCAAATTCCAGAAAGTTAGATAGGTCTGTTATATCACCATTCTGTGAGTTGTTCAAGTAGAAGAAGCTCAAATACCTCGCTACCCAATTGCCAAAATTGTTCTCTCGATTTTGCAGGAAATCGATGTTGAGAAAGAGTTTCACAACACTAGTTGACGTGTTTTCTGGTGCCGGTATCGTAACATCGTGATAAAGCCTCATAAGCAATCCAATGATAATGTATATGTGATGCTGGGGGTATGGTTGAGTTGAGATGTTGTCTAGAATTGTGCTGAAATCACCCCCAGAAGCCTCGATACGGTTACCTAAGATTTTGTCTATCGACTTAGACAAAACAGTGGCATAGGCGCCAAAGATATCAGATCCTTCATTAAAGCATAACTTCTTTAGATCCAAAAGGTACGGTTTGAAAGAGGTGGCATTGGAGGGATTGTCAAAAAGCGCACTTAGAACACGAGAAAAGGTAATAGATGCTACCTCCTTGCCCATAGCTCTTACACTTTCTTGCGGGATGATTGCTAGTAATGTCGAAGCCTCATTTGCTGCGATTGTGGGTATCAATGGGAGAATAATATCCACAAGCAACGTCACCATTTCGGGGTCTTTCATCTGAAACCTGCTTTGACACATCATAAACTTGATTTTCCGTATTGCCAAAACTTTGGTTTCGGTATCCTCTTTGTGAACATCCCGTCCAAGTTGTCGAAGTATAAAATAACATACTCTTTTAGTCCAGAATTCTCCTCGGTCTGACGTCCAGAACTTCGAAATGAGTGCCCTAATTAGATCCACACTTGAAATTGGAGTGACTGTAGCTCTCATGGAATTATCAATAATCAAACCGGATTTAAAAATATTCTTCAATTCGAATTCACCACATACTTCCTTTAAGGATGCTTCGGAACCTGTGTCTGTCAACCTGAGCGTTTCAAGGACAATGAGAAGTACTTTCTCTCTCATATAGCTTTTGTATAAATTGTTGAGATGAGGCAGCAAGGCCTTAAAAACTTCATTTCGAACACCATCCGAAGTATAAGCCAAGGGTATAACAAGGGGCAAAGAATCATACAACAAGCTTTGAATATCGTCGCCTTTCAACTTCGCGACTTGAGTGAGTTGTGATAAAGCTTGTGCCTCCGTCCTCTCAGATTTAATAGCCATAGTAATTGACATGATCTGCTTGTAATTTTCAGTGGTGAAAACTTTGAAGTCGTTATAATCAAATAATCCGTAGGGAAAGGAATCCAAAGGGATACCGTAAAGCCACCATGACTTCAAAAGCTCTAGCCTAAGTGAAAGAAAGAGCTGTCTTGCAGCATCAATACGACCGTTTCCTGAAATGATCCTGATGCTTCGTTTCAAATAGGGCTCAAAATAACCGTACTTCGAACATTCAAGCAAATTAAATAGAGCAGGGATGGTTACCTGGGATGAATTTGCAGAAACTGTAGCAAAGAAGTAGCAGTAAGTTGCCGCTCTTTCGACTGATGCCTGAGGATGAAGGAAGGTTTCAAATAATAGGCGATAGAGATCCATCTGACCAATTGAATCTAGCGAAGATAGGTGAAATGCAACCGATGCCAGCAAACTAGCCTTTAAAGAGTTTGAGGCGGACAGGAGTGCTCTCGATAAAGCGTCGTTCCCCGAGACCGGCCACAAATTTGGAAGCGATAAAGTATCAAGAAATAAAGATACAACATTCCGTCTTATATCTTCCACCAAAAACAAAGATTTTTCTTCACATTGTAAGAGGAATCCTAGAAGGTCACTCACATCTTTGCACAAATCGACATGCTCGGATTCCTTAGTCAAAGGTACAACAGTACGCAAGAGCTTGCAGGTGACCGAAATTGTTTTGCTCGTCCGATCCAATAAATGTGAGGATAGCGGGCCCTCTCCAAGTATCCTGAGTATCCTGGAAGCGAATTTGGGGTCTATAACATTCACAAAATTGGATTCCAACAATACTGACAAGCATTCAACCACCGTGGAGGAATCGCTTTCATCGAGGATTCTCAATAAGGAGGAACTTTCTCCGTCATACATAACAAGAAAACGGAAGTACGATATTTTGGCTGCTGATTCCATTGATGGGCTTCGTGCAATTGGCAGCGCTTTCTTTGAGTCTGTATTCAGAAACTCTTCATCAAACTCAGTGTCGGAAGTACCATGGGACCCGGGTATCTGGGAAAAGGAACTCAGCCCGAAGAAGAACTGCTCAAGATGACGACATATTAAATGTAGGTCTACCGTTAACACCTCCTTAGCTGTATCGCTTGCAAGGGCTCTAACAATGGATATGAAATCCTCCTGGCCAGTGAGATTCATAAAAAGTGTCCTCCATAGCTTCTCCTTCATTTCATTAAGTTGAGGGAACATCGTCGAATTGACACTTTTGAGTCTGTGAGTGATGTTAGAGACAAGTTGTGCCCACAGAAACACTTCTGGCACGTTCTCACTCTTGTTCATAACGAACGTGCCTATTTCAAGGATTTTGGAAACAACGGAGGAGACTAACAAGTCATTTCCGTGACACGACATGATGTGCACCTTGTGCACTTTTGTTGCAAAGGAGGTTCTTCTAAAGCTAGAAACCTGTCAAAATCGGTGTCAGGTTTGTAGATAGTAGCTAATGGGCTTGCGTAAGATTTTCCTGAAGATTTCATGAAGTCACAAGAAGTGTCAGGAATGTCGTGGCCCTGTAGCCACAAGATAAAAGACGGGAGCAAATCAGACCTCGCATGGTATGAATTCAAATAACGAGCTCCTGTGCCATCTCTTTCTAGAAACTCATCATTTAATTTAGACAAAAGCCAACGACCAGCCCCTTTGCTAACATGGGTCGCCCTGACATTGGTCAGTTTTGTCATTGCCCAATGTAATGCCCACCAAAAGCACGCGGCATCGCCATGAATTGAGCTGGGACCACTTATTTCTGCCAAGTCGATGATGCTTTCAAGCTGAGTAACAATGCTAGAATCTATAATTCGATAAAGTCGATCTGGGTCACATGAAAAGACAATGAAACTAAAAAGTCGACAAGCAAGCTGGGAAAGCTCGTCTTGTTTGACTAATGGTGTAATGAGCTTGACAATTTGATGCAATCGACGACTGATGACCCGATCTTCATGGCTTCGAGCAAGGTTGAAGCGCCTAAGTAGGACGAAAGTGTTCAAGAGACACCAGTAGGTAAGAGCTTTATTATTGAAATTCTTGATGATACACGATAAGATGTTACAGTCTTTTCCGGTATCATTCTCTTCATCAAGGTTCAAATTAATCACCGTTGTTTCATCGTGGCTTATGGTGATGTCCTCCGCAACATTGCCAACAGAGCTTTCTTTCTTGTCGTGAGAAGAATGAGTAGCAGAAAAATCTTTAGTGAATGCGAGTAGCTGAAGCCCACAGATCTGAATTTTCACATCACTTGAGTAGTTTCCCATATGTTCAAGAAGCTGATCAATATGAGAAAAGGTTGTGATATCCAAAATGGAACTTTGAAGCTTCAATCTTTTAAAACTATGGTTGACATTTGATGAGCCACTTTTACTGCTCATTTCGTAGTACTTCGCTATCAATCTGCTTGTTCCAAGGTATAGTAGCCATAGAAGATCATTCTGTGTCTGTAGTTGTATCGTGTATAATTCAAACCAATTTTGAGTTTTTGTCCTTTCTATGAAGCCCACGTCTTCTTTAGATAGCTTGGAAGGCAGATTAATTATACGATTGAGCAAGGCCTGAGCTAGGACATTGACGTTGTAAATGGCAGACATGTCATTCATTGAGTCGTTGATGAATGGATCTCTTCGCTTACCGAATGAAGCACCCTCTTCTATGTTATCAGCACTGATAAGTCTCGGGAGATGTGTGACATCGAGGTAGCGATAAAAAGACTCGAGATTGATAAATATAACGAACTGCGTGAGCAACGAGTCCACAGTAGTATGAGCGAAATTAATTAATGGATGCAAAGCTGTATGAATAATTTTGTTGCAAAATATGGAATCCTCCGTAGAAATTGACATTAAGAGCTTGTTGGTAATCTTAAAAGCCTCTACGAGCACCGGACTCTCTCGCTTATTGTGGAGCTCAAACACGTCTCTAAGAATTTTTCGTAGCGGAACGTACGTCTTCAGATCTTTGATGGGCTCGTATATATCATTGGTGTTCCCACCAAGTAGTGAATGCAAGGAATTAAGTAAGTCGGTCAAGAGCGACTCGTGGGAGAACTGATAGTGTGAGGTATCAGGCATCTCCAAGGATGCGGTGAGCAGGCTGATTAAGAACTTGTAGCATTTGTTCCATAGTTCCAATGATAAATGAGTGATGAAGAACTGCTCCTGAAGGAGTATATTAAGGATTCTGGCAAAATCAATGGCGCAGGGCGCTAGGATGGACCGCGTATCTGGAAGAAAGAAGTAGGGCATTATGTTGCTTACAAGGGCAGTACAATGCTTGTAGCGTAGCTGGTTTCTTTTCAATGACTCCTCGAGAACATCTTTTAGTATCGTGGAAGCGGTCAAGAGACGCTGTTGAGTTGCTGGAGTTGAATTGCTGCCGTAGGCTTCTCTCTCGATCTCGATAAGCTTTAGTAGACCATCCAGCAACACCACAAAGTGACGGGGAGTGAGCCTTAATTTGGAAGGCGAAAAGGATCTTAGAAGCTGAATGGCATCATTTCGCTGTTTGACTTTCCTCAGTCGAAGAGACTCGACTATCTTAGGTAGATCAAAGGCAGACATTGGAGGAGGATGGTTCAAATAAATCGAGCATATGGGGAATGGTGAGGTGGCAGAAAGGATGAAATAGGTGATGCAATACCCAGCTGGCTATGGAACTTTGAATCAATGGAAATGGGGAATTATTAAAGCCTTGGTATTTGGTAATGGACCCTTTTACACAATATTGGTATCATCGCGTTTAATGCTGCGAAGAAGCAAGACTACGCGACATTTGCAGATATGTATCTCATAATAGGCGAGAAAGGGTATAGAGAAAGGTAAAAGTGCAACGTTAAAAAATCAAGAAATGAAGAAAATTGAAATTTGTCGAGAAGATGTAAAAAATGGAGGAGAATCTTCACTTGGGAGGTGTTTTTATAGTATTAACTTGGTATTCGGAGGAATAACGGCTATTAACTGTTTTTGGGTGCAACATCGTCTGAACCTGTCAGTGAAAAATATAAAAATCGGACCAATTTTGATGTAAAAATACCTGAAAAGTACAATTGTGTCAGAAAAGGCGATATTAAATCACTTACCATAAAAATACAGCTCCAAACCAAAATAGCCCGTTTGGCTAGCCTCTATTCACTTCTCGACCACCATCCACCTCCAATCAATGTTTCAGAACCTTCCACTTTTACTTTTCCTGAAACCTCTTATGCCAAGCGATCCAGTCTTTCCAAGACTCTTCTATGATTCAAGCTTTCCCTTCCAAAACACCCGCCTTGAAGAAACCTCATTGGAAGGACTATCTAGGTAATCTCTTGAGACATTTTTCGCAGCCATTTTGTCAGAGCCCATTTCGCCAGGGCAACACCTCCCCTATAAGATGCCCCAATTTACGTCCCTTTCCCTCCTACCAATACCCTAAACATGAACTTCCAGCAATTTAAACTTTCCAGTAAACCACAGTTTGTGGAAGCTTACGAGCTTATGGGCGAAGAGTTCGGCCCGCCGAGATGCGTGTGTGCCCAGTGCACCTACTATGGTAGCTGGAGAAGCATCTTGCACTTCAACTTCTTGGTGGGGGTGATTTCACCAAACCTTTGGATATTCAACGTTGTTATAGTTTGCAGCATACTAGCCAAATCTACCAAATGTGATCAGAACGCCGCTTTACTTACTGTCTTGGGACACTCTCTTTGTGGGCTTCTTTTGTATGGCATTGTCGCAACGGCAGGTATATTGTACTGGAGAAGCATCCGAGTCTGAAAACCCGTCCCCACAAGTGGACTGAGTCGCGCCAGAGTCAGAGAAAGAGTCAAAGGATACCACCGTATAAAACCACCCCGGAATCCATTTTCCATAGAGAAGCAAAACTTTTCCCGAAACTACCAAAAATGCTCCGTAGATTCTACTCCACCGGGTTGCGCAGGACTCCTCTTTACGAGTCTCATGTCAAGTACAATGCCAAGTTCGTTCCATACGCTGGCTTCGAGATGCCCATCTTATACAAGAATCAGACCCACATTGAGTCCCATAACTGGGTTCGTTCCAAGGTCGGTTTGTTTGATGTCAGTCATATGTTGCAGCACCACTTTGAAGGTCCAGACGCCGCTGCTCTTTTGCAGAAGATCACTCCAATTGACTTGGCCAGTCTTCAACCTTACACTTCCTCCTTGACAGTGTTACTTAACGAGGACGGTGGAATCATTGACGATACTATTGTCACCAAGCACCACGATGAAAAGTACTATGTGGTCACTAACGCTGGTTGCAGAGACAAGGATCTTGCTTTCATCCAGAATGAGGCCAAGAACTTCAACAACGTGGACCACTCTACTTTCGAGGGCACATTGTTGGCTATTCAAGGCCCACAAGCTCAGAGCTTGTTGCAGAAATACACCAATGAGAACTTGAAGGACCTTTACTTCGGTAACTCCAGAATCCTGAAGTTGAACAGCTTCGTCAATGACGGTGTTCACATTGCCAGAACCGGATACACTGGTGAGGACGGTTTCGAATTGAGCATCAATGTTAACAATGAAGCCGAGGCTGAACAGTCTAGACAGTTCTTTGAGGCTTTGATTGACGAGAACCCTGACTTAGTTGCTCCTATCGGTTTGGCTGCAAGAGATTCGTTGAGATTGGAGGCCGGAATGTGTCTTTACGGTAACGAGTTGACCGAGGACATTACCCCTGTTGAGGCATCTTTGGCGTGGTTGATCCCTAAGTCCAGAAGAGAGCCAGCTACTGCTACTTTCAACGGTTCCAGCAAGATCTTGGAGCAATTGAACAACAAGGGTTTGGTCACCAGAAGAAGAATTGGTATCACCTCCAAGGGACCGGCTCCTAGAGGAGGATCCAAGATCTTGTACGAAGGTAAGGAGGTCGGAGCAATCAGCTCAGGCTCCTTGTCGCCAACTTTAGGTCTGAACGTTGCACAAAGTTACCTTGACAAGGGCGTGAAGATTGGATCCACCGTGCAGCTTGACATTCGTGGTAAATTGAGAGATGGTGTCGTGACCAAGCTCCCATTCGTGCCTAACAACTTCTACAAGGGTTAAACGCCATTTTAGTACAGAAAGAATAAACGCCAGGAGATAGATCTCGTTAATGTAGCCTCACGCTTATTTAACCATGTATTCACGGTTGCAAAAAAAAAGTGCGGAAACACGGCTACGTGAAGTAGTACTCACCTATAAACCATTCTACTAAAGGCCATTGGAGAATGACTGATTCCCCCAATTGAAGTAATATTATTTCCATTTCCACCGTTAATTCTCGTGTTTCCCATATTTTTCCACATTAGCAGTTTTACACGATATGGTCGCTCCTTCATCTACCGCTTTTGGCTGCGAAATTCCCGGTCTTAGACCGTGGCTGACCGCGAAACGTTATGGCGTATATAGGCACCCCGATACACGGCGCCAAAAACACCTTTTCTTGATATAAAGCTTCAGTTTCCTCATATCCCCAGTTGAAACATTCGTCAACTTCTATCATGTCTTCTTCAAGAATGCCCTTGTCTCCAAGAAAGGAGAGTTTGCTCAACTCGAGAACACCTTCTCCTGAGAAGTCAAACTCGAACAGCCCCACAGTGAAGACCAACCCATTCATGGCCCTGCTGGTCAGGTTGCCTAAGATTGGCGTTGACTTGGCTCCCAAGAAACAGCCATCTGCTCTTGGGTTCACTATTTACGAAGATACGCCTGAAGATGTCATGAAGTACCAAACCCTGTCACCAGACCACACTAATGAAAACACAGATGACAAGGAAAACATCTTGCAGCCTAAGAAGATGCCTTCTAAGCAGTCCTCATACCAAAACAGAAGACCATTGGGTAATTTGAATGTTGACGATTTCCCAGGTTACATTTCTGCTGCCGGTTCCATCAGAAAGGGTCCAGTGAGACTCCGGGAGTTGTACCACTCTAGAACCTTCAACAACGAGTCCAAGACCTTGCACAAGTACAACAGATTGCCCAGCTATATCACTCCACCAAGAAACCTGTTGCATAAGATCTTGTATTGTGGAGGAACCGAAGAAGATGACATTGAGCGTAGACTCAATCTCAAGCTGAGGGAGTTGGCTCGCAGAAGACGTCTGATGTCTGTGGGCTTCAACAAGGGCAAGACCCATTTAATCACAAAGAATCAGTTTAAGATTTCGACGTGACGCCGTCATGATACTCCACATTCCTTTTAATATTCTCATTTTCTCATACCCCAACTTACCATTGATACCCATCAACCAATGCACAATCCATGCATTTTTTTACGTTTCAGGAATTTCATAATACCCATATAGATATACAATAGGAATCATATATCACGTTCTTATCATTTTCGTCTATCTTCTCTAAACACTAGTGTAATTGGGGTTGACCTGCAGAGACCTACTGAAAAAAACCAATGTTGGACGAATCCTCATTATCAGCTTTAACCTCGAAACCAGCCACACATAAAGAAACCAAAATGTCCGTGCTCGAGGCATTCAACAATCTCGATGTGTCCTCGGCTAGAGACACCTCTGACCATGAGGCGATCTTTGAAATCTCATACCAGTACTTATCAGGTGCAGCTGGGTTCAACCACTCTGTTTCATTCAAAAACTGTATTGTCGCCTTGATTAAGATGGATAAATACTACAAAGCCGTTGACTTGATTTCCAAGACTAATGCTGAAGTCACCAAGCAGTTTCCACTCGAAGTTGCCTATGTTTACTATAAAGTGGGTGATTTGGAGAACGTGAGGGCTGTCTACAACTCCGCTAGCAACGGAGACTCCGACGATACTCTCTCAAGAGCTCTCAAGCATGTTTTGGCTCAGACTTTGTATCAAACTGGGCTTGTTGCTGAAGCATTGAAGTTGTATCACGAGTTGATTGCAACCCATAAGATAGATAGCGAGTTGGATTTGGCCTGTAACGAGAGGGCTATCATTTTCCAGCTTTCTCTTCAGAAGAATGTTTTTAAGGAGCCACACTCAAACCTTCCAGAATCCAAACAGAGTTACGACTACTTATTCAATGATGCTCTTATCGAATTATCGCGTGGTAACAGCACCGAGAGCTTAGAGTTGTTAGACCAGGCATTGGAGACTTGCAACAAGCAGAATAGCGATTGGCCAGAGGAGGATTTGGTATTGGAAACTGCTCCTATTAAACTCACGATAGCCTACATCTACCAAACAACCGGCAAGGCTAGAGAGGCGCTTGAAGTGTTGAACTCGTTTGATGCCACTGCTATCTCGGATCTTTTGGTCAATGCTGTACTCAAGACTAATTACTACTCAGCGTTGCCACCTCAAGATAACCTCAACTTGAGCCAAAGATCTCTCAACTACAAAAACTTATTGCATAACTTAAGACTTAAGTTAACCCGTTCCCAATGGCAAATTTTGGTCAAGAACCATTTGCTATTGTCATACCAAACAAATACCCTTTCACGCTCATCGAATTACATTAAGAACTCTTTCGCAAAAGAATTCAACGAAGAATTTACGGGTGACTTCTCCCCGCTAGTCTACAAGGTTCTTTTGAGATTGAATATCTCTGCTGAAGAATTGAACAGCGAGGAGACCAACAAGGCAGTTGCCAAAAAATTGAGCAAGTTTGTCCATGCCGAGTTGCAAAGCAATGAAGTGAGCAACCTTGTTGTAGCAGGTGCCTTGCTCTTGACCCATGTTAACTCCAAGTTCGGTAATTTCGATCAATCCATTAGCATTCTAGAGCGCATCGTCGAGATTGAGCTTAAGTCTTCCCAGGAAGTCAGACTACATGCTGGTGTTTTGGGCCTTTTGATACTGCTTTACGAGCTTCGTAATCCAAGCAAATTGGATGCCTTGTATAACGAGTTGATCAAAAAGCTTGAGTCGATTCTGAAGGATCAACTTCAAAATGATGGCATCTTGTATGATCTTTACAGAGCGGTTGCATTGAAGCTTTTGAATGTCAACCAAAAGGAGCAGGCATACAACATCTTTGAACTTCTCGGGGCAGCAAATCCAAATGATGCGGTTGTCGCAAGCATACTCAATGGAACCACGGATAAGTTGACACCTGTTGAACAATTGGAGTCCAACACCGAAGTTTCAGACCTCCTAGAACTTAATGTCGATACCTTGATTGTGAAGCCAGAGACAAGATCAAGAAAGCCACATGGTTTCAAGAAGCCAGAAGATAAGGTGGTTAAGAAACGTAAGCCTAGACTTCCTACCACCAAGTCCGTGAAACCTGAGGGAGAGTTTGACCCAGAGAAGGATTTGGATAAAGAAAGATGGCTTCCAATGAAGCTCAGATCATACTACAAACCATCCAAGAAGGACAAGAAGAAGGCTGGTGGCCACCAAGGAGCCCTTGAATCCTCTCCAGCACCTCAAGGTGAGTCAAAGAAGCAAAAGAAGAAGAAGAAAGGTAAAAAATAGTTCTAGCTTGACGAATTGAATGTTTTATTTCTATTATTAATGGGCCGTAGCTAAGTAGAACTTACGGCTAGTAATTTAAGACGAGTCCTTGATAGCTTTTTCAGAAGTTTGCTGTGCATCTTTGACCTCAGTAACGGATGATTCTGTTCCAGATTCTGGAACAGGGAAAGGCTCTGAGTCAGTTTTAGAATTGTAAACGACAATACCATTCTGGCGAGCAAAACCTCTCTCTTGTTTCTTGTAAAGGTAGAGAACAAGGAATGTCCAGACAGACAAAGCGAATGCACTGGAGGCGGTGAATGAGTAACCCTTAAGGTAACGTGGGGCCTCAACAGTTCTCCAAACAATCACAGCCATCCAAGCAGTGGAGGCTTGTGCCAACATATTCATGATGACCATAGTAACGGCTCTTCTCTGTGCATCTCTCCTGCAAATATCGTTCATCCAAGAGTACAACACTGGGGCCATGGCCCAACCGAAATACTGAAGACACCAAGCAAACCATTTAGCATCTTCTGGAATTTCCCATACTGCAAGAAGAACGTTACCCAAAATATTGAAAACTTGGGAGAATATGATTGCCAGCCATCTCAGTCTGAAAAGATCAGCATACATACACGTAAGGAACAACCAAACTATACCGAGACCAGGGGTCAAGGCACTCTTGAACTGGATTTCTCCCTTGGTGTATCTTCCGAGAGACTTAATCCACAAAATGTAGGCACCAGAGGAACCGTTGTTGTTGTTCCAGCAGAAGATGTTCCAGATACTCAAAACATAAATCTCCCAGGAGAAAATGATTCTTCTCCAGACCGGCCAAGAGAAGAACGATCTCCACAAATTAACCTTTGGCCTTCCACCAGTATGGTTCTTCTTAAGACGGTAACGAAGCAAACGAATCTCGTCGTCACTAAAGAAGATGGAGTAACAGTCAGATGGAGTACCTGGAAGCATGTAAAATCCAAGAATTGCAACCACCACAGAGATGATTCCGTCAATGATAAAAATCCATCTCCATGCAGCAAGGCCACCGACACCTTCGAAGTTGTTCACAATAGCACCGGATATCAAACCCGATGTCATAACACCAATGTACTGGCCAAAGTAATAGACCATAGATCTTCTGGCAATCATACCCGGGTTATAAATGAAAGTGCCGAATAAGTATTGGAATGCAAGGTATGATGGGGCTTCAAGGGAACCAATAAAAAAACGAAGGACCTGAAGGTCAGTGACATTTTGGACTCTGTATGTCAAGATGGTAAGAATGGACCAAATGAGCTCGAGGCCTGGTAAGACAAAGTTCAAAGGAACACTGTTCAAGCAGAACATGAAAGGAATCTGAAAGACAATGTTACCAACAGTAAAAAGTACCTGAGTATTAACCAAATCGTTACCCACCATACCAATGTCTTCCTTAAGACCTGCCGTATAGGCATTGTTAAGGTTAGTCATATCCAAGTTCTTAATCCAGTAAGCAAGCATGGAGTAGAAGGTCAACAAGATATCAATCTTCCACATGAGCTTTCTTTCAGCTGGGGAATCGTTCTCATCGAACCACTTGTACCACTTGTGCAGCTGTCTAGCCTTCTTGTTCAATCTGTGTTCGTACTCATCAAAGAACTTCCACCAAGGTCTGTTGGCTTCATCACGGTACTCCAACTCATCTTCATCCTCTTCCTCCTCTTCGATCTCGTCGGCTGGCTTTTCGTAGTTTCCTTCTTGGATACCAACCACATCTCTTCTCTCAGCAGCGACTTCTTCTGGGATGTCTTCATCAACGATTCTTCTCGTAGGGATGAAACCCCATTTCAACCTACTAAAAGGAACCTTCACAGACTCAAGCATTGGAAGAACGCAGATACTGATCTACAAGAGGGAAACCCTTCCTCTTATATATTTCCCTCTGCTGCCCTACATCTCTCGTATGCCACATTAGTTTTCTGCACTGCGGTTATGAATTCAACTGGCAGCTAGCACGTCATTTGCAATTTCCACCACCTCGCTAGGCAAAAAAATACTAGAAAAGACCGGTTGCAGCAAGGCCACAGCTACAATTTCGGGACCATGTTTTGCCCCATTTGATATTCCAAGAAAACTGGTATGCTGGGCCGATAAAATTGGCCTAATCAAAAGTCCAACTGTGGCTCTTCGAGGACCCTTCTGTGGGATGAGTATTACTAGGGCGGTACCCGAAAAAAAAAAAAGGAAACCGAAAACGCCTTTTTAGTGTTCGCAGTCGGACCCAGCCGCTTGAGAAGGCTTGGACCGAGTCACATATATTAATTATCCAAGACAAATAGCAAAAAATATTATTTGAAACATATTATTCTCTAAACGAGGCGCTTCTTTTTTGTCTTATCGATAATCTGTGGCACATGGTATCCCCAAGCGTGGCTCAAACTGTTTTCTTATTAACCAGCTTCCATGAGCGAAGACTCGCCTAAAAACCGTTACACAAGGCCTTTTGTGGTACATCTTTTTTGTAAGACCAGCATATTCCGGTCTCTGATTCGCTTGATTGAGCAATCTCATCTGTTTCTTTTGCATCTTGCATGTTTTTGAAAAATTTTATGGAAAAATCCATCGGCCAATGTAGTTGGTTGGGTTCTTGGTTCACTGAGAACGGCTGAACGCCAGGCTTGTTTAGTGAGAGTGCGTGGTTTTTTGGTGTTCTTTTTTTTGGTTGTCTTTTCTCGGACTTGGTCTGCTGCCTCGTAACCCATTACTCTGGGAGAGCACCCACTTCGGTTTTGTGTGTTGAAGAGAAAAAGTGTGAAGTGTAAAGTGTAAGTGAATCAGATAAAACACGGTTAAAGGCGGGAAATATACGACGGGTATAAGTTGGTATGGTTCATAGTTTCGTATTTAACTAGCATTGTTACTCATTATTGTGAAATTTCATGGATCTCACAAACAACACTACTCTGTGGTTTCCATGATTCTATGGTTTCCAAGATTTTCAAGACTTTCCAACTTTTTTTCTTTTCCATACTTCCATTCAATTTCCAAGCATCATCAGTCCCCTATCAGTCTACATATCTGATCCATCTACGTCAGAGGACATCCTTCTATTCAGGCTTGTAAACCCTGAAGGTTTCCTTTTTCTTTTCGCAGCCATTGAGGTGGATGAATCTAGGCATTCAGTGCGGAATTGCCGCTAAGCAACGGAAAGCAAACCAAGAAGAGTTCCATGAAGCAAACAAATTAAAGAAGGAAACAGAAAGTAGGACAAAATAGAAAGCATGCCAGATTAGCGATAAGAGGAATTTTTTATATTGTGGGGGCGATAATTTTTCATCTAAAAGGGCATCAACCCACCCCTCCGTCTATCAGTTACCTTTTTCATTCGTTCGTTGGCGGCAGCAGATCCTCATCCTTCGCTCGCACCTCCCTATCTCTGTATAGCCGAAGGTTGGCGGGCTGTTTCTATGTAGTCTGGTGGTGCGCCAGAGACCGTATCCACCTGCCGTTCCTGGCTATGCATCAGACAAGGTGAAGTTGGACCAGATCTATATAAGCTCGAGGGCTTTTCCTTGTCCCAGAACCTCCCCCACACCATCTTCTCATCTTTATACACTTAGATTGGGTTATGCAAAGACTAAGTTATCAGTATAAATTTGTCTTATCCTTTTAATTGCACGAATTTAATTCCACATCATGAGCAAATTAGATAGAGTCAGACAATTGACCTTTGATGACGTGCCCAAGGCCGCCAGAACCCTTTCGGAAGCGTTCGCCCAGGACGCCTTGGCCCGTCTTATTACCTGTCATATTAAAGATCCAAAACAGAAGGATAAGGTTAACATCTTGTTGTATGAGGCCTACCTTAGACAGCACATCGCCAAGGGCATCTGCCTTGGTATCGGTGAAACCGATGACGCTTTTGAAACAGCTGCCATCTGGGCCACTCCTAGCTCTGTTTCTGATGGCCTAGAGAGCTTCCACACCATGATGACCGCTGGCTACGGCAAATTGTGGGACGCTGCTGGCGCTGAAGGCCAGGATAAGGTCTTCAATGGCATGTTGCCTCTTTTGCACGACACCTGTGCTAAGATCTTCGCTACCGATAGAAGATTCAAGGGTAAAGGTGTCTACACTTTGGTGTACTTGGGCTCCATTGCCGCCGCTAGAGGAAAGGGTAACGTTAGAACCATGTTCGACTACATGTACCAGAAGTACATTGACTTGCCCAACTCCGATAACCTTGCATACTTGGAGAGCTCTTCTCCAGATAACATTCCAATTTACAACAAATTCGGCTTCCACTTCTACCAGAACATTGCTTTGGGAGACAAAAACAAGCCCAGCGCCCAAGAAGGCGAAGATTACGCTGTTATGAACGTCATGATCAGGGGCCCTCATGGTAAGGACTGGACTGGGTCCGCCACCCCCGACTCTGTACACAAATTGTAGACCGGTTTTACCGTAATGATTACATTAAATATATACAAGTTATTCGTCTAAAGAAAGCACACTTCTCTGAGATGGAAGATTCTTATCAGCAAACTCAGCCTTGGCAGCTTCCTTCAATTTGGCTTCCTGAGTCTTTGTCAAGGGCTTGACCACCTGGTCTGGTGGAACGAAAGTGAAGTTACCGAAACCAAATTCACGGTCGGTCATCTTGTTGAGCACGTAGAGCTGAGATCTGACGTATCCCAAAAGTGCTTCAATGTGTCTCATGTCAGCATCTGGGTTACCAGAGAAGATGTTTCTCCAAAGAGCTGCTGCAAATGTGATGTCGTCAGTCATAAGGCCCTCGTCGTAAGACACATTAAGACCCAAAAGCTGTTTGTGGAAATCCTTCAAGTAACGCTCAATGATCTTGTTGGAAGCGATGTTCAACTCACCAGACATTCTGAGCTCCATATCTCTGAAAATTCTGTCAACCAACTTTTGCTGGTAGTTTCTGCCGTACTTAAAAGGCATAGCTCTCATTCTGACAGAAAGAATCCAGTAGTGCAAAGCAGTAATCTGGAAGTGCTGAGCAAAACTTTTAGGTAGACCCAAGGTCTCGTAAAAGAATCTGGCAGTGTCGGAAAGCGGCTCATTTGGGTAGTACATACCTTGACGTTTACATTCGCCAAAGTAAAAAGAGCCGGCGACTGGACCAGCTCTGGATCTGTCCATATCGATGTTGAACACTCTGACGATCCACTGACCTATGCTTTGTTTCCAACCCGACATTCTGTAAGTAGGGTCATTTTCGATTCTGTTATCGGACAAGAATGGCTGTTTGCTGGTTGGTTGACGGATCTTACCCTTGACTTCAGGAATAGCCTTAGGTAGATGAGAATCCTGGGCCAACTTGGCTGGAGACTCGATGTTCTCCTTGTTCATAAGGGAAGGCATCTGCTGGAACTGGGTTCTAGAGTTCGTGGCGAGAGCTCTGATCCCGACCCATCTTCCAGGAAGGGCCCTGGAGGCAACAGAGGAGTTGAGCATGATGTGATGGATGGAAGTTTTTCAAGTCTGGTTCTGATTTTCAGTGCCTGCTCAGGACTGCATGGCCTGAGCCCACAAGGCCCAGCTAGGAGTATTAAAGGGTAGAGAAAGAGAAGAGGAAGAGTGAAATGTCAGTTAAAAGGTTCTTTAGGGGAAAGTTGTGACTAGAATGATAAGTAAAAGGGTTTGTATAAGTCTAGATAGAGATGTTATATTAATAGGTGTGCCATGACTGGCTGTAGGACAGAGGTATGGAAAAGCCGGAACCAGACCAACTTAATAGTTCATTGCTGTTGTCTAACTTTCAGACACGAAGAGTTACCCCCTTTTAGCAACTTCTGTTCTTTCCTTTGAATCCTTATTGAAAGTTGTGAAGTTCATGGCAGGACTAACTGAGTGTTTCGCAGCCATTTCGCAGCCATTAATGGCACTGTCTAAGCGCCATACAACTGACCATATATAGAGAATATAAAGAAAAGAAGAAATAGAAGGACTTAAAGAGTGCAGAGGTTTCTTAAAGGACACAAGTCTCCATTTAAAGTTTCTGTTTCCTTCCATACGTGATGTTACAGCACTTCATCAAAGTTGGGGCCTCACCTTTATTCCACGTTGCTCTAGTCTCTACAAACTACTATAACAATGACAAAAAATCCTTTCCAAACCCCGAAATCCACTCACACTTCTAAACATACACTTCCTAAACTCTTCACAACTTGTACTTAATGCGTATACTAGAGCTCCCTTTTCCCGCTAACAGTGTGCGCTAAGTACCAAAACCTACTGGACAAAGCACTGAACAACCTACTGGTGCCAAACAAAGACATACCAGGACGCCTGTCAATCATACCAAACAAGTTGACTAAAAAGGCAAGCGTAACCTTCCCAACCTTAATTATATGCCCCCTCTATGGCGTTTTTGGTCAATGCTTGCGGGGGATGCATTACGGGTATTCCGCGCCTACCATTGTGGTTATAGCTTAGTTAGTTGTATATATTGCCCGGCATTCCTCCTGTAATCTAGTTACTCTACTTTGCTGTCTAATGCCTTTTGCCTATACTCTTAAGCGAAAGCTTTGGCATAGTCGGTGAAGACAAATCTATATCTCACGTCACCATTGTCACATCTGCTTAATGCTTCGTTGCAGCCATCTTCAGAAATTGGGATCTTTTCAATCATTGGCTTGACGCCCTGTTCGGCTGCCAACTTCAACATATCAAGAGCTTCGGTCTTTGAACCGAGGAGGGAAGAGCCAAAGGATCCACCGTTGGAAAGGAAAGAAAATGGAGAAACCTCAAACTTGTCCTTGGCTGGAGGCAAACCAACAGAGATGAAACGACCATCAACCTTCAAGGTGTTCAAGTATTGGTCCAAGACGAAACCTTCAACACGAGAGGCACAGTTCAAGACCAAGTCGAACTTGTCGTGGTACTTGTCAGACCAGTCGCTCTCTTCGGCAGTGGCAACGAAGCCGTCAACACCAAAAGTGGAAGCCTCCTTCTTCTTGGAAGAAGAACGAGAGAAGGCGTATACTTCAGCGCCCAAGGCCTTGGCGAATTGAAGAGCCAAGTGACCCAAACCACCAATACCGACAACGGCAACGGTAGGGTTCTTAAGGTGGCCAATGTTTCTGACCAATGGAGAGTAGACGGTCAAACCAGCACACATCAATGGAGCAGCGACCTCAGACTCCAAGGCGTCTGGAATTGGGAAGACGAACTTCTCGTTGGCAATGGAGTGGGAAGAGTAACCACCCTGGGTGACATAACCGTCAGCAAAGTTGTCAACACCATTGTATGTTGGAACACCTTTACCACAGTATTGTTCATTGTCGTTATCACAACGAGAACAAGCACAGCACGAGTTGCTAGCAGCACCAACACCAACACGCTGGCCAACCTTGATATCCTTGACATCGTCACCGACAGCAATTACCTTACCGATGATCTCATGGCCGACAACCAAGTCCTTTCTCTTGACATTACCCCAGTTCTCCTGAGTTGCGTGAATATCAGTACCACAAAGACCACAGCAGATGTTCTCGAGGACCACGTCGGTGGGCTTGATTTCTTTACGTGGGTAGGAGACCAACTTTGGCTTGTTCCAGTTAGCCTTACCGTCAACAGCGAAGCCTTTAAAGTTATCAGGGACAGATACAGTCATTATTGAATTGATAGATGATGAGAGCTGAAGTTACCAGAGATACTACGGTACTTATACGCCCGGCAAGAGCGCGATGGACTATGCTATCACGTTTCGACATGCTTGCGCTTCATGCTTGATTACAAATTCGCAGCATTCCTCGGCACTATATCGGGGATAAACTTACCAGGTCGTGGCTATCACATAACGGTTTTGCAGGGTTTGAGACCTTAATTTGGTGAAGAAATCCGGAGAGATTTCTTCGAGATTCTTCGGCTAGCATAGACCAGCATATACGCACATGTTTTACTATCTTTAAAGCGTGCTGGAAACCTAATACTAGGTTAGCGACAAGTTGGTGATTCCGCAGATACAACCTGTCAAAGCTGTCAAGTTTCTTTTGGCACAGAAACCCACGATAAGGAATTATGGCCGAAGGTCTCCTTTTCATCATCATATGATATAGGAAGGCTTTTCTGTATCGACACTGAATACTTACTGCAGAAGCTGGCTAGATGAAGTGAAAAATAGCATAGACTGCATGTTTTAAGTGCCTTCCAATGAGCATGGCTCTGGGCATAAAGATAGAGCCTCTTACGATCAGCGAGTCTATAGAGGAATGAAATGCATTGCCGAAATTCGTCCACATATAGCATGGTCATGGTATTGCCACTGCCACGTCTAGACGTCTTACAAGAAGCCATCAGTCTAAAATTTCGCAGCCATCGTAAGATGTATTGATACGGGTGTAACCGGGTTGCAAACCCACGATCAAGGGATTTCCAGGAAGGAATAGTAGACCAAGAAGAAGTCGAACATTTCTATTTAAGGTGAGTTTCCAGCCCCATCTCCATCAATCTCTGTGAATCCCCCAACTTCCCTATTCTATCTCGGTGAACAAAGAATTCCACTACTGTCAACTATGAAACATCATATTTGACGTCTCTGAGGCTGAAAAATACCCAGCATAAATCTCTACCTCCACTGGCCAACCCTCCTGTCTTACAATCTCAATCCCAACCCTAATCTCTCAGGACACTCCCATACCACAAATTCTACAACCCTCACTGCTTCCAGCCCACGCCCAACTTTTCTTGACCTATGGTTGCCAATCCTGTCTTTTGCCTCGATTCGCAACTCCTTTATACTACGTCAAGAGGCTGCAAATGCGTGACAACAGTTGGTCTCTTCCAGCCGTTGACACAAAAGGAGGAGATTTTATTGGCTCCTCTTAACTCCAAGTCCACATCCCAAGTAATCACCTTCAAAACGAAATTCTTCAATTCCACTTTCTACATTTTTGTCTCAAGGTGGACTCGCGCCTGCGAAGACAGTTTACGGAAGGTTCCTTTTTTTTTTTTTTTTTTTTTTTTTTTTTTTTTTTCGCGCCTCTTTAGACATGGCCAAATCCAGTTACGCACTTTCCCTTGCTTTTCTAAAAATCACAGCAACCCGAAAGACCGGATTGCCATTGATCCACCAACCCCAGTAAGACCATTTTTTTAAGTTTTCGTTGTATTTTACAATTTTCAGGTAGTTTAAGCAAACACCCGTGCACCACCTGTCGCCAGCTGCATACCAGCCACGCCAAAACCAAGCTGCGTTTTACCCTTACGCCCTTTTTAGAGGGACCCGAGTTGCAGCCAAATCTTCGGTGCCCCAGAGAATAATAGTGAGTGCATACACAAAAGTATATCGCCATTTGTGAATTTAGGCCCGGAAAAAATTAACGAAAAAAAAAAAAAAAGAGAGAGAAAGTAACATAACAGTGGTCATTCAGTTTATTTCCCTTAAGAACACTAATACCCTTCCCACATCCATTTGTTTCATTACGTTATCATCTACAAAACCGTTTCCATCCCATTGATCTTCGGCTGCAAACTCCATCAACGTTCCCTTATTTTTTTTTTTTTTGGCATCTTGTACCCGTTGTATGGACTTTCACCCCTGGCCACACACCACCAACACCACAACCATAAACACCCATTTAATTTCTAATAATGGTGTTGTACAAAAGGAAACAGGTCCATTTCGTTCGGCCCCCGCCTGTGCCGCTGGATTTGGACACCCAGATATATGTCATTCCGCAGACTAAGGAATGGTTCTTGGAGTATGATGATTATGTCAACAGACTCGATTACTACCACCGCCGGAAGTTTGTTTGTGAGATAACAGGCAATTCGTGCCTTACATTCTTCGAGGCGTATGATTCAGAGAACAAAGAGATCAAAGACGTGGAGAGTAACTTCCCTGAAGCCCTCAGAGAGCATATCCTTAGGTTCCTACAGTTCAACAGGATTTCCAGGTTGGACCAGCTTGTGGATAAGGTGTACCTGGTTTTTAAGAACGAATACTTTCCTGGCGAAGAGATCTTTGTCAAAGTGCTTACTGGCAAGGCTGAAAACACCGAGTCCGGTGACACGCCATCCGTGTCGTCCAGAAAGCAACGAGGAACAATCAGAGAAAAAGTCCAATATGCCAATCCATCCGATACCAAGTACCTTGTTTCATTAATGTCCGATGGCAGCCAGATCATCGCTACCAATAACCAGATATCTCGTGACAGAAACCACTTCACCAAGTGGTTGATCAAGACGTTTGTCAAGCTTTCTGTTACTAGATCCCACAAAGTCGGCGCCCCTTGGGTTGTTAAACAGAAATACGCTAAGAAGTACCGCATTCCTTCCGAATACCCTGAAGATTTGAAGCCTTTTGCATCCACAACTCCTAGCGGCGAGATCCTTTACGAGGAAGAGGCAAAGAAGCCCAAGTCGCCTGCGCCACAGCAAACTCCAGAGGCTTCAGCTACAAAGGTCAAGAAGCAGAAGGCGCCAAAGGCAAAGTCGTTGAAGAAGAAAGCTACCATTAATGCTGCCAAGGCAATGGACAATATCGAGATCATTACCGTTGATGATGTCAAAGAACCAAAGCAACTCATCAAAGATGGCCCAAGAAGACGCTTCGCCCCTTACCACCTTCCACCGTTGGTCAGAAAAGAACTTGACGATCATGAACAGCTTTCACTTTCTTCCATCCAACCATCTAAGAAGACTATGATCAATGACCTTCAACTTAATTTCGATATCCAGGCACCTAGACCTGTTCCTAACACACTCCACCTTTCTGAGCACGCTATCGAGCTTAAAGATTCAGCCGCAAAGCAATTGGAAGAGGATATCGAGGAGGATGAGAAGGAAGTCGCCGATCAGATGGACACCAAGAGCAAGACGCCTCAGCAGCTCTCCGTCGAGAAGAAGATAGATTCCATGAAGCATGAACTTTCTACCTTGTCAACAGGAACACTTCGCTGTGTCCAAGAGGCGCTTGAATGCTGGGCTTTCCTCAATATCTACCATCTGGTCTTCAATCTAGATACATTTACTTTCGACGATTTTCTCTGTGCCATGAGCTGGAACGCCCAGCAACTTGAGGATCAGGGACGTTGCGAGCTTTTGGACGAGATTTGGTGTGCTGTGCTCAGTGGATTTATTTCTAATCAAATACCAACTGGCAAGGATGCCAATAGGGATGACTCTGATTATGAGAATCTCTTCGGCCTTCAGGTTTCCCTTCCACCAAGGATATCCCTTCTTCATCCTAATGTTCAAAAAGGAGACGTCGATGAAGGAGACGATGATGCAAGAGGGTCCGACAGCGAAGACGAAGGAAAGACACTTAAGAGCGAAGATGATGCGTCCGACAATGAATCAGGCTCAGATTCACCAAAGCTGAAGGCGAAGGCAGGTAAACAGAATGGCTCTGCGGACGGTGCGGATGAAACAGCTGCCGATAATGAATCCGAAGAGGAGAAGGATGAAGCCGACAACGAAGAAAGTGACGATGAGGAGGAAGAAGATGACGAGCCTAAAGAGCACTTGGCACACCAGGTCAAAAACTACAGAGGGACGAAATGGCACGATAGACTTCGCAAACGTAACTTCAAGGACGGCAACTGGCAAGTTATCCTTCTCGGCGTCTTGTCCATGGTCGATTATGTTCCCGCCTACGAAGAGACAATTCAGTCTGTTTACAGAGCCCTTGCTCCTATCCTGGTTCTGCCGGCAAATGCTTCCACTGTTTTGACTCAGTTCTACAGTTCAATGAGTCTTGATTTACGAATCAAAGCATTGCACATTTTAACCTCGTTATTGATTAACGGTTCCCTAGTCAGAAGTTATATTGACGACTGTCTTGAATCGTCCACTTCATTGAGACGTACCAGGCTTGATGTGATTCGTGACTACAGGGATGCCTTGGGCACTGCTACTAGGGCTCACACCGCTATCTTCGAAAAGCTTTTTGAGGCATATGACAAAAACATAGACTCTGAAATGTGGTCAAACTTCAATAGGAAGAAGCCACGGTTCCACACAAAGGGTTATTCCTTGACGGAGTATGAGCAGTCTTTGTTCGATTCCGATGAAGAGTTTAAGAAGTTCTGGAATCAAAGAGACGAGTACATCGAAAAGATCAAAATTTTCAAGGAGGATTTGCGGAAAGTCGAAACTCGTCTCACAGAGATTGACTGTCAAAGAGTCCGTCTTCTCGGGAAAGACAGACATTTCAACAGGTATTGGTGGTTCGAGAACAATGGATTACCAAACCTTCATTTCTCGAGCGGTATGGATGAAGAAGAGGACGGCGATCCAGCTGAGGCTGACGATTATGATGTCGACGATAAAGAAGATGTTCAAGAGGAGACTTATCTCATGGGCAGGTTATGGATCCAAGGACCTAGCATCGCTGATGTGACACTCAACCTTTCACTGACTTCTGACGAAATGAAGTCGCTTTCAGGGGCCCAGAAGAGCGAAGACTCCCCTGTCAAGAAAGAAGACGATGAGAGTAAAGTCGAGGAATCAGAGATGCACGATTTCCAAGATGGAGGTTCGCCGGTCAAGGTAATGAATTTCGATAAACTTCCTCAATCTTACAAAGACACTGCTTCCAAGTTTGGCATTCACTTTGACCACAGCGAAATCAGTGTGAACGGCTCCTGTGTTATTGATCGCTTGGGTGCTATTCCAGAAACGCATGATGCAACTGATTTGACTCCAATGCACAGAAAATTGATAGAAGAAGCACCATGTCCTCTTACAGCAGGTGATGACTGGAGATACTACGATGACCAAGAGAGCATCGAAAAGTTGATCAGCTGGCTCAATCCTTGGGGTGTTCGTGAGTCGAGCTTGAAGAAGGAACTTGTCAGGGTCAAGGATGCTCTTATCACAAGCATTACGGCCCGCAGAAAGGCTCTTTGGTTAGATGATGTGCCAAAGACAGAGAACCAAGATCTCGACGCTCAAGTTGAGGCTGTTGAGAACAAGATTGAACAATTGAAGTCTGGTACTGTCAGCGACAAGTCTGAGGATGAAGGAGATGCAGTCAATGGATCAAGAAAGCGCCCTAACAGACTGTCATCTGGTCGACCAGCCAAACGTCAAAAGACCACGGAGGAAACCATCAAGACAGGTACCTTAGAAGAGCTTGGAGAGTTGCAGACCAAGTTAATTAACGATAAAGAAAGCAAGAGGAACGAAAACCAGGTTAACAGAGTTCTCGAATGGGTCAACTCAAAAGCTAACGATGCTTTTGATAAGACACTTTATGATGGTGGCGATAAGGCCAAACCAAGACCCAGAAAAGCCCGGAAGTAATGGCATTAACGGTATATACGAGGATCATGACTATTTAAATGTACAACTATTGCTAAGTGGCACGCTTCTTATTGGCGTTGTAGAATGCATCCAAGGCCTCTCCAGGACGCTTCAGACGTTCTCTATCATCTCTAGTACGGGACACAAGTTCCTTGAGCTTTTGCTCTCTTTCCTCTTGTTCTCGTTGAGCTATAAGTCTCTTCTCTTCATTTCTCACCTTGATATCTTCACGAGCTTGACGATCAGCATCTTCCAAAGCCAGCGCTAACAGACTGAATTTTTCAATATTGATACTGCTGTTTTCAGATACTTGACCACCACTGGCAGCTTCTTGTCTTTTTCTTAAGGATATCGAGAAACCCTTGTTATTATTCCAGTTAGACACAACCGAAGGAATAGCCCATTTATCTTTGACTTCCTTAGTAACCTTCTCGGTAGGAGCTTTCTTAAGAAGAGGTGGTGGAGGAGATGGGTCCTGGTGTCTATTCTTTCGAAGTTTATGCTTTGGAGGTAACATTGGGTCCTCTTGATGAGTAGTTATCTGGATAGTTCTGCCCCTGGCCTCTTCCGATTCATCAAGCGATGGAGGCGCATAAGTCACTATTTCATCTTCAGCAGGTTTCGTATCAGTTCCTTGCTGTTCAGCTAGGAGCTTCTGTATCACCTCCTTCGTTCCCTCAACACATTCTTGTAATGATGTATCAGGGCAGTCTTCAAGGCTATACCTTGGAAAGTGATGCTTTAATTTTGGGAACCTCTTTTTCAATGGTATTGTATCTTCATAAGTCACCTGGGCATTAGCTGGGCCACCTGTAGCTTGTATTATGGATTTGGTGTAGTCTTGAGGTTTCGAGAGTTGAAGCTCATCCAAGCTCTTTGGCTCCAAAGCAACACTTGACTCGAAGCTTTTGGATGGGACTAGTAGTGCTGATGGTTTTTCATCTGGCTTCGGTAGACTGACTTTTATACTCTCCTCGCTTGAGTGCTGTGGTTTCGGTAGACGTGCACTGAACATGGGTAAAGATGAGAAGTTGGAGAAGTGATGATTATCAGTGCGACATGAGTAGTAATGGCTGCAAACATACAATATGGGTAAAATACGCAAAATGGGGGTTGTAACAATTTATTTAAAAGTTAGAAATGCAAACTCAACGTAGAATTCTACGGAAATAGTCTAGAAAATACCATACTTCTGGCAGGTGGAGAAGACAGTCATCCACACCTTGCTCACAGGTACCTTGGTGATCTCATTGGCGTCAACGAGAGACGTGTAAGAGGTTTCGGCATGAGATGAGCCACCCTTCATAGCGAAGAATCTCACAATGAGCATAAAAAACCAGTTAGATACCCTGAGCTTCCATGGAATGTAGATTTCCTCGTCCTTCTCAGTGAGGAATGGGGACGCTTCAGAGTCTCTTGAAGACAATGAGGCTCTCTCCACATCCTCTACCAAGCCAACCATCTTATCTGGGTAGTCAGTGATTACACCGTACTCCCTGAGACGAGCTTTCAGACCAATGGTTGCGAAGTATTCTAGCTGCACCCGGTTGTTGATTGTCCATGAAAAGAACTTGAAATCTTCTGCTTTCAAAGTGGGCAAGAACTTCGTTAGGAAGTCTGAAGACCACGTACTGATGTAGATTAGCGAAACGGCAGTCGTCTTGAAGTAGAACCGGTCGTTACCCAATTCTTCCACATAATGATTGTATCCAATAAAAGGCAACGAAGCTTGCCAAGCAACAGAAATGTGGATAATATCAAAGTGCTTGAAGCCATTACGAGGACTGGTCTTAGAGAAAACACTATCAAACCAATCGTCCTGGTTCAAGTACTTCAAGAAACGCAAGTCCCACAAACCTAGCTGGATTCTAGGGAACCACCAACTCAAGTCTTCATGAACGTCTATCAAATCTTTAACAAGCAACTTAAGAAGCTTTGGAGGATTGAGTTTCTTGATATCAAGCATGATACGATGTTTTGGAACGGTCTCATCCTGGCTGTCGTACCGTTCACCGGCATCCTTGAACCACTGTAGTAAGTCCTTAAACGTTAACAACTTCTCGTTGCTGCCGATAGTACGCAAATCTTTGATATCGTCATAGTTCGACTCCAAGATGTTATAGTTTGTTTCGTTACCGTTTTCATCAACAAATACTCTTTTAGTATTCACGTCATGCGAGATCACCAAGACCTCATCTTTAGTGGTCCATACGTCGGTTTCAAACAAAGTAGCACCAGCCTTAAAGCACTTTTCAAAGCCATACAAGGTGTTCTCCGGGTACTTACCCTTGAAGCCACGATGGCCTGTCACTAGACAATCCGGGTGTGATAGCATATTTCGTATTATAGGTATGGATCTGGATTAGTGGGGCTGCGATATTAGAGTCATTCAGCCACTGGAGGAATAGGAAGAAGGCGAATTCTAGATGTAAAAGAAGAAAAAAAAAAAGCTGTTAGCAAATGTTTATATCCATAAGAATGATGCTCTGTGCCGCAGTTAATATGCTATAAATTTCTGGCCCCACATGTTCTCGAACGCTTAATGGCAGCCGGTTTTGTGCACCCTCTTTTTTTAACCGGTCCGTGGCTTGCTAGGGCCGACTGTGCCGGAATGGCAGGTTGGCACAATTCTTTGGGCATAGAGCGAGGGAATTGTGAGCGAAAAAGAAATTAGACGTTGGACAAATGGGGATATGAATTTGACTGTTCCCACTTCTGGCGAAAGGGGTTTTTTCCCAATCCAACGCTAATCGAAAGGGCAATATTGCTGGTCACGGGAAGTTTGTGGTTCCGGTATTTCTTATTCTTGGAAACCGTTGCATCTTGGCTGTGACGTAACCTGCCAAAATGTGTGGATGCTGCGTCTTTTTTCGCAGCCATAATTAGGCGGTCCACCACATACGTCCACACGACCCTTTCGCCTATCCTCTCACGGTTCCCGGCTCGTTAAGTATAATTTAAGGATCTCTGGCATAACAGCTGTCACGGGCGAATATAGTAGCCTAATGCACCTAGCCGACACAACGAACAAAGACGGGATCAGGAGTTACATACGCGCGTGGCTCTGATTGCGCCTCATAGTGGCGAAACCGGTAAAGATGTGCCTTGACAGAACTGGAAAAGGCATCTAAAGCTTCAGCCCATTGTTCTGAACGACCTCCTTGATCAAGTGGAACGCCACGGAAACGTCGGTGGGCAAAATGATACCCTCAGATAGCGTTTCCTCGTCTTCAATATTGTCAATAAGCTTTTTGACAAAAGCGACGTCAAACCATCTAGCGTCTGCCAACTCTTGATCGTGATCCAATTGAATTGTCTCGTTTTCACCGTTGAAGTCGACCGTAGCAATGCATCCGATCATCAAATTACCGGGGAATGGCCAAGGCTGTGTCATTTGGATCCGGATATCGCTACAAACGACGCCTGTTTCCTCCCAGATCTCTCTCTTGGCGGCAACCTCGACTGTCTCTGAAGGTTCCATGAATCCAGCGGTACATGAGTACATCTTTGAGTAAGCATACCTCTTGTTGAGAGACAAGAGAACCTTACTTCTCTCTCTGTTAGTGATTGCAGTGATCACCACAGCATCTGTTCTAGGGAAAGAAACATTGGAAACTCTAGTGTTTCTGACCGGGCACACAAACTTCTTGTTCTCTCCCTCACCAACAGTAGCTTCATTGGTACATCTGAGTTTGCCACCGGCATGGATTGGAATAACCCGAGATCCACAACCAGGGCAGAAACGGTTTCTTCCAAGCCAGTCGAAGAACATCTTGCCGTGACTGAAAAGGGAAGATTCAACGCCTGTAAAACCCATGGTATGCTTCCTGGAATAGGAGAAGATCAAGTCTTCCTTAGGCACAGACGACTCATTGTTAGCAACATGATCTTTAACCAATTCAGCAATTTCAGGAGCGTTAGTCAAATCAACACCGAAAAATGGAATACCCGAGTACCGACCTTGGTGATCAAGGTAGCAATCAGCATCTTCACACTTGAGCTGGTGCAATTCAAGCCCCACACTCTCATCTCTCATACCCAAAAGAAGAAACGTAGGTTTACCTGGAGAACGCAATGAAGGCAGCTGCTCCTTATTATCATCACTCCAGGCCTCTACAGCCTTCTTCCAACCCTCAGCAGCAAGAAGACCTTTTCTAGTACCGGCGATTTGCTCTTCGAGAAGCTGGTTATCGCCATTAGTTAGCACCACCAATTTCTCCTTTGGAGCCGACTTATTCACCAACGGATCACCCTTGAAGTAGAAAATAAACCGAGTAGAAGGATGCGTTACAGCATTGGAAACAAAATCCAGATCCTCCCTTAAGAAAGACACTCGATTCACCACCTCTTGGCCAAAGTAGACATCTCTTGCCTCAGCGTTAGGTATAGACGATTTTCGAGAAGCTGACATTTTATAGTAAGTTTGAGATTTGGAATTGGAGCTATTTGTTGTGGAGCAGAAACGACCAAAGTGTTTGAAAAATCCAATACTAGTCGGTCGACGAACAAATGTGCTTAGCATATCCTACGCCTATGAGATAAGCTACAATGATAATGTACACTGCGCGTTAAGCGTCAGATTCACGTGAAGCAATTGCTACTAAGCGATGGCAAGCGCCAGTGTGGGTCCACAGGTGGTAGGATGTGGGTTTTGGGGGAAGAAATAGTACATGTTAATGTGGGAGAGTTGGTTAATTGTATTGTAGAGAACGAATTAGGTTTGGGTCATTTTTCCAGAAAATGACATAAGCTGACGGTAAATTCCGCCCCGCGCTACTGTCCTCGGTTGCCAAAGTGGAGGTGGAATAATGGAAAAAAAAAAAAAAAAAAAAATCAAGGGTAAAGAGAATTGTCGGGGAGGTGGAAAACGATAAATGCATTGGCACTCATCAAGTTAGGGCGTTTTGCCTGAACCACCTCTCCTGTCGTTTTGCCCTGGTTGTATAGTCCATTTCGCTATGGTTGCAAAAAGCGAGTGGATAAAGTTGTCCAGGGAGTGTGATCGATTCTACAACCGTCGATTCCCCAAATGTAAGTTTTCCTTAATATGTACAAGTCCTTGAAGTTAGTAAAATGCCACTCGTTGATATCTTTGTTAATCAGATAATTCTATCTTAGATCCTTTCCTCAATGTTATTAGGAAGTCAAGCGTTCGAAAATCAAGTTTGATCATCATAAAACAAATGTGGTTGAAACATACCTTAACGTAAAGCGTGAAATAATAAATACAGATCGTGTTCGTATCTGATAGTTAGTACCCAAAAATTCCAATATTGTCTGCTGTCAGTAGAGCGTTTCCTCACAAAAAATTCGGAAGTCTAACGTCTAAAAAATGCTGATGTATCATCATAAGCAAATCTGCTTCACATACCTTTATGTGTCTATCCAATGGTCATGCCTTGCTTAATAGCTCTAGGCAAGCCCTTAATCCAAGACTTTTTAGTCTTCTTGTCAATAATGACAAATGCTCTTCCAGATTGCTTCATTCTGCCGGTTCTGCCAACACGGTGGATCAAATCAACAGAGTTTCTAGGAAGGTCCATCAAGATAACATTCTTGATTCCCGAAAAGTTCAAACCTCTAGCCAACAAATCCGTCGTTACGAGGACTTTTACCTCACTTTTATGAGGATCTTCTTCCAACGGAACTGCCGGCTTGACGAAAGGTTCGATCTTTTGCGACCGGGTATCAGCTGAATCCCTACCAGTGACACCGATAATATCTGTATCCCGATGACCATATTTGGAAATAAGCGTGTCTACCAAAGGTTCAACATCCTTCTTCTCGTTGACAAAAACAACGATTCTCTTGACATAACCCTGCTCGGTACCATCATTGTAAATCGCATACAATGCCTGGGCTAAACACCTGGTTTTGGAGCCATGGTACGGAGGCTGCTGAGCGTCAATAACCTTCACAACAATCTGCTTTGGGATTTTGTGAATCAGGGGAGTGACAATCCTGATAACAGAACTTTCATCCTTGAACATCTCAGTAATGGTTTTGTTGAAATCCTTTGGAATGGTTGCAGAACACATGATCAAGTCTTTAAGCTTAGGGAAACGCTGCAAAGCACCCCTGGTATCGTATAACCACAGCTTATCCATCAATGTGTCTGCCTCATCAATAACACAGTACTCAACACCTGAAAAGAAGCGAAAGGGACGAGGAATATTCTCCAACTTCGCAAGACTTTGGATCTTTGCTGGTGTGGTAATGAGCATATCGATTCTACCTTCTTTAGCAATGTTGAAAAGCTTCTGATGAGAATCACCGGTAGTCCACTTGACAACCTTGAGATCAAGATTCTTCTGGTTTTCTGGTTGTTCTAAGAAAGAGCCATACTCAGCAGAACGCCTAATCTTGTCACTGAGCTCGTTTTCATTATCGAGTCTTATTTTGGCACCTCTATAAGCTGTCTCATGAACCTGATCAACCAACTCATGTGTGGGAAGAAGAACAACGGAACGAATGATCTGTTGGGCTTTTGCCTCCTTCAAAAATTCAAGGCCCTGGCTAAACAAGGCCTTGTCGTCTTCCTTGAGTTTAGAAAACACAGATGCCAAGTATGCCCAAGTCTTTCCTGAACCAGTTTCTGCAGCGACGGTGAACACCTTTAGTCTTTTCTTTTCGTTCTCAGACATGAGCTCGGAAACAATCGACGGATCCTCTTTAGCTTTTGGCTTGGTCTTTCTCATCTGATTGATCTTCTTAATTGCTGCAATCTGAACAGGAGAAGGCTTGATTTCTAGCTGTTCCTTATCCTCAATGTACGTATTCTTGAGGTTATACTTCTCCTTAATTTCTTTAACCATCGCACTTCGAACAGTAGGGAAGATTCTAAGCGAATCGAACGATTCTATCTGTTCAATCGCCGACAGCGATCTCTCAAGATGTGTCTTTTCAGGCTTATGGAGTGCTGAAAAGTTACCAAACGCAAAAAGCTTTGGCTTCCTCTCTGTAGGTTTGGCATCAAGAGTCTTTGCCTTTTGCGATGGAATCAACTGCTTTGGCTTTTTCCTCGACAAGTGCCGAATTGCTGTTCTGGAGGATGCACCTCGTAGACCAACCTGGCATTTTGTGAACATTGGTATGTTAAATGTATGTGATTGAAAAGCGTGGGCAGTAACCCAAGGAGAAGAACCAGAAAATTTTCCACCTATTTTATGAGATGCGACGATTCAGTGAGTTCTGCAGAAAGCCGGATGGAGCCTGTTAGGGCTCAATATGGAAGGACAGAGACTGCCACTATAATGGAAATTAATTTATATGGCTTGGCAGAGTGGTAGACTAAAAAGATTGGTTTAATTGAGAACAAACTACCTCAGGTTCTATAAAAGTTTAGTGGCCTCTTTCACTGGTTCAATAGATATAGGTCGCAGTCGCATGAAGTGAAAGTTGCAGCCAATAGCGTTGGACCATAAACAGGCTGTGAACAAACATAATTTCTATGAGTACTAACTCTATAATTTCATGAACAATTTTGAATGTTTTGATTTACTTTGGGAACAATTGAACGACATCTGAGTATCCAAAGTGGAAGGCATTGTAGAGCTCTTGACGAGATACCTACTTCATGAGGTTGCCATTTTTCATACATGAATCCTTCCAAGGCACCGAAGTGCTTCTCAATCAATGCTGCCTATCGAATAGTTCCTTTTGGTAGAAGTATCATTGACTGGTGTTGTCTGGTTGCAAATTTGTATGGAGCGCACGTGACCAAAATCAAAATATGTTGAGGGAAGAAAAAAATTCAGCCCTAGCTCAGATTGAAAAGTTGACATTAACCATGTTGCCCGCCAGACAGACGTGGCTCCTCCAGACCCAAGTAAGGGCCTTCTCGAGTCATGGCCCAGCTTTTGCGAAGGCCTTGAATGTACTCAATAAGAAAGGCCGTCAAGAGTTGAGAGAGGCCAGACAGCTGGCGAAGAAGACCAAGACGGAGGGTAAGAAGAAAAGTAAGAAGGGTGGCTTGACCCATTACCGTTTCAAAGATGCAGTCAACGTGCTTCGATCTGAATCCAATACTGTCCCCTTGGAGTCATTGGGAGTCACCTCGCTAGATGCCTCTGACTTGCAACAGGGAAGTATAGTGTCCTATTCCCAGACTACTCTTCCAATATTGAAGGGTGGAAGAATCTTCAAGAAATACCAGCATCATGAGCTTTTGAGCAACCAATTTCCATCGTTTCTAGAAACACCAAGTTCGTGTTGGAGGACGTATTGAACAACTACGAGAAGAACACTAAAGATAACAGATTCTTCCTCAGTGGTGAGAGAGGAGTTGGTAAGTCTACCTTGCTCGCGCAGGCTCAAGCTCTTGCCCTTTCTAAATTCAACAACGATGTTGTTTTGTTGCATTTTGAGCTGCCAGAGAACGTCATCAATGGTACTTCAGACTACTTGTTCAACAAGGAGAAGGGCATTTACCAACAACCCATGTTCACAAAGAGATGGATCGGAAAGACCCGTTTCGTCAACGAGAAAATCTTCAGAAAGATGCCTTTGAGCAGGGATTTCGATGTGGCCACAGAGAAGAGTTCTTTCAAGTTGAAGAAGGATACCCACACAGTGTACGATTTCCTTGCCAGAAGTCGTGATTTCACTAAGGCTTCCTCTGCATTTGACTTCTTGATTGAACAACTTCAGTTCCACTCCAAGAACTTCCCAGTTATTTGTACCATTGATAACTTCAACGGACTTGTTTCCGAGACTTACACCAAATACCGTCACCCAGACTTCAAGCCAATTCATGTGACAGAGTTCGAGATGGGTAACTATCTTTTGGATTTATTTAACGGTGATGTTAGCTTCCAGAAGGGTGCTGTATTGGCATCTCTTAGCAAATCTCTTCCAAACTCCAAGTCTCTCAATGTTGGATTAGGCATTGAAGAGTACGACCCATACTCTAAGAAGTGGGAATGTGACAGAGTTATCGCAGAGCGTCTACTTAAGAACGGTGCCACTCCAATTGTGGAACTCCAGAACCTCACATCAGAAGAGGCCCGCACTTTGGTGCTGTTCTACAACGAGGCTGGCGTTTTGAAAGTCAGAGACTACCCATACAAGGAAGTTGTCACCATGCCAGAGGACAAGACTTCTGTTGAACTGATGAAGCTCGTTGGCGCTTTGCCTGAAGTTGCCGATGCCGAAGCCCAGCTCGAAAGACTCATCAACTCTTCCTTCAATGTTTCCCAGGGTAACCCTGGCCACCTTCTTAAAGCAACCGCTTTTGAAGGCTAATGTAAATAGAACCAAATACGAACCGAACTTTTCAAACGTCCTAGATTTTATCCTACAATAGTTGGATGCCAATGTCATCTCCTATAATCGTGATATTATGCTAAAATACAAGTTGTGATGCAGACCACACAGAAATGGACCCACTGATACCTGATAGTACCTATCCAAGCACACAAAACTATGTGAACAAAGTGTCCTCCTCTCTCAAATACTCACCAATATCGCCCTGTCTGAATGCAACAATGGCTGTAGGCTGGAGACTCTTAGCCTCAGTGGTAGACTTAGCAGAGACACCAAAACCAAGAGGTACGTCATGCATGGAGAACACGATAACACCAGCGTGCTCTGGAATATCGTCAGACATCTTACCAATGTGAGCCTTCAAAACGTGGTTACCGTACAAGAAAGGCATCTCACCATTAGGCTTGATCCAGACCTTGTACTTAGCGTACTGAGCCAAGTATGTCAATGATGTGATATGCAATCTGAATTTTCCAGTCTTTGTGAATTTACCAAGACAAGTTCCAAGGGAAATCAAACGGTCTCTGGACACGGATGTGGCGAACTTAGCAATGGCATCAGATACATAGTATACTCTATCTTTTTGTAGTCTGAACACATGGGGGTTGACCTTGTTGTCGATCAAAAACGATATGTTTCTGCCGATATAGTTGGCGAGTTTCTCAAAGACCACCTTGGTCTCTTCCTCCGTCAAAGGTCTCATTTATGAAGCAGAGTTTAGTGTGGTGAAGATTTCAGAGATGTAGATGCATCTCGTAGTAGTACTTTTTTTTCAGGCATCGCGTGCACGTGACCCAACCGCCCCAGATGAACATTGTCGAAACGGCCTATCCCACCATGTAGAGACAAATAGAAAAAGCGGAATGTGTTCGAATTGGCTTAGATGATCAATATATTTCCTTTGAAACACAACTTTTGACGGAGCAGGTCCATAGTTGGTGCAATAAAAGGACAGTCTTATCAACACACCCGTACACCCACTATGCGATGCTGTTATACATTTCTCTATGCATCGAAACTACTCCAAGTCCAATGTCGGTAGAGAACACTAAGGAACCCAAGAATGAGGCTGTTCGTGAACCTTCAGAACCTGTGGCCAAGAAGACTAAGCTCGAAGACGGTACTCCTGTCAAAAATAACAGAGTTTCGAAAAGAGATCAGAACAAGACGTAGGTAAGTTGATCACCGTTGCGTGTATTGAAACATATACTAACTTTCAGAGAATGGGGCCCAAGATTAGATGCTGAGGGCAACCCTTTGCCTAAATCAGAAAGAAAGCCAAAGAGAAAAGTGGCATGTATGCTTGGTTACTGTGGTACCGGTTACAATGGTATGCAAACCCAGCCAGACCCTAAGTTGAAAACCATTGAGGATGTGTTGTTCAAGGCATTCGCTGAGGCTGGAGCTGTTTCAGAGGAGAACTCTGACGATTTGAAGAAAAACTCTTTTATGAGAGCTGCTAGAACTGATAAGGGCGTGCACGCAGCTGGTAATGTTGTGTCATTGAAACTTATCATTGAAGATCCAGATATCATCGCCAAGATCAACGCGGCCCTTCCAGACCAGATCAGAGTTTGGGGAATTGAGCGTTGCAACCGTTCGTTTGATTGCAGAAAGATGTGCTCATCTAGAATCTATGAGTACCTTTTGCCTACGCACAGTTTGCTTCCTCCAAGACCTCATTCAAGTCTTTTGGATCTTATCGAGAAGAGTAGAAAGGAACACCCAGGAATATTGAGAGACGACCCAGACCAGGCTTGGTGGGAAACCACAAGACAACGTATGCTTGATGCTGGAATCACAGAGGAACAGCTTCGACTGGTTTTCGAGAAGACTGACTCCTCGCTGGAAGATAACATCAAGTTAGACTACCTCAATGAGGACGGTGAAGTTACCGAATATGGCGAGTTGGTGAAGCGTGTGCGTGCTATTGAGAACACTTGCCGTAGTGAGTTTAGAGTGAGTGAAGAGAAGCTTAACCTATTCAGAGAAGCTATGAACCAATACGTGGGATCCCATAACTTCCATAACTTTACCTTGGGCAAGAACTACAATGATCCAAGCTCTCGTCGTTTCATGAAGGGAACAAGCGTCTCAAAGCCATTCATTATAGAAGGAAGTGAGTGGATCTCCATCAAGATTCACGGACAGTCGTTCATGTTGCACCAAATCAGAAAGATGATTTGTATGGCCTCATTGGTTGTGAGGACAGGATGCCCAGTGACCAGGATCAGCGATTGCTTTGGTCCAGCGAAGATCAATATTCCTAAGGCACCTGCGTTGGGGTTGTTATTGGAATGTCCTGTTTACGAGGCCTACAATGGTAAGCTTGAGGAATTGGGCTACAACGCTATTGACTTCTCTCGTTACCAAGAAGAAATGGACGCATTCAAGATGAAGCACATTTATGATAAGATCTATGCAGAGGAAGATAAACAGAAGGTTTTCCAGGGCTTTTTTGAGTTCCTTGATAAGTTCAAGAACTCGGAAGCCAGATCGGGTGGTAAGCACATCTTTGACTTCTTGGGTGCTGCTTTCAACAATGGTGTTGACAACAAGGAGAGTTCGAAGGAGTCGAATGTCGCCAAAGCCACAGAGAATGTTGACTAATAGTGTATATACTTAGCGATGGTTATGTTCTAATTATAAACGATGCATGCAATTACTATAATTAAAAGAATGTGGACAGTAAGGCACTGTACAGAATTAGAATGCTGATGTTGAGGATAAATTCAAAACGAAACGAGAAGGTGTCGCTTAAATCCATGCGGGATTCGTGTTGGACCTTGATCCACCCTGCTCTTGATCATAAGCTTGACCATGCATTCCCTCCGATAAACGCCCGCTTTGCAAATGAGACAGAGAGCGCATGTGTTGCATCTTTCCTGCCTCATTAAGAGCCTTTTGTTGGCTGGCGGTCATTTGTGGAATGGACTGCTGTGGAAGTGAAGAAGATGGAACCTGCCTTTGGAGGGGCTGTGCTTGTGGCTGCTGCTGCAGACTTTGTTGTTGGGAATTACCTGATTGATGCTGCTGATGTTGTGTTTGTTGTTGCTGAGATTGCTGTTGCTGATGAGGTTGTTGTGGTTGGGATTGGGAGTTTTGGTTTTGATCATTCTGGCCATCGGCAATCTTAAACTGCTCTCTCTGCCTTTCTTGCTGGAACTTGTAAAGCGTCCAGTCAAACACGTAATCATATCTATAGTTTTCTCTCTTGAATAAATCTCTGAACAACTTCCTCAAGTATGGATAATCAGGCTTGTCGTCGAATCTTAAGTTCTTGATATACCTCATGTATTCCAAGAACTCTGCTGGGAGACCCTTAGTTAAAACATCGTTAGAAATAGTCATCTTCTTCTCCATGATTCTGTCGTACTTTTGTCTCTTCGTGGCAGCCTTTAAACCTTGCCATGGCAAGGTTCCTCTGCAGAAGTATATCAACACGTAACCCAAACTCTCCAAGTCATCTCTTCTGGACTGCTCGATACCCAAATGAGTGTTAACGGAGGCGTATCTGGCAGTACCCGTGAGGTTTTTATTCTCTCTGTAAGGGATGTGAAGATGGGTTCTTGGATCTCTGTACTTCTTGGCGAGACCGAAATCGATCACATTAACTTGAGAGCCACGACGACCGATACCCATCAAGAAGTTGTCAGGTTTTATATCTCTGTGTATAAAACATCTAGCGTGGATGTATTCTATTCTGCAAATAAGTTGATCGGCCAACAATAAAACGGTCTTGTAAGTAAACTTTCTATTGCAGTAGTTGAAAAGGTCCTCCAAAGAGGGACCTAACAAGTCGATAACCATGGCGTTGTAGTCACATTCAGTGCCGTACCATCTGACGAACGGAATGCCCACGCCGCCGGACAAGGCCTTGTAAACCTTAGCCTCGTACTCTAATTGAGGATGTTTGGCCTTGACGTTCTCTAATTTGATGGCTACTTCTTCGCCAGAGATGATGTTGGTGCCCAAATAGATATCACCGAAGGAACCCAGGCCTATCTTACGGCCGATGCGGTATTTCTTACCGACCCTCAAGTCCATCATTTTGCTTTCAAATTTGATCTGGTTTGATGATACTTGATTATTCATAATGCGGATAAAATTGGGGCGAATACCACAGCACGTAAGTGTCTTAAGTGGTCGCCGATGTTGGGAGGATGAAACGAAGAGTCAAAGACGGAAAACAACAACTTGGTGGTGGAAGTCGTTAGTTGCCAACTGGTATGGTACACACGGGTTGCTGGGGGCGAGAACAGTTGCTTAGAAGCCGCCCGGGCAGATTCAATAATATGGGATTCTCAGCTTCTTAGGTGCGTTGGGATGTCCTGACTGTGGTGGCGGTCGGACGACGGTGGAGGTGCTGGGAATATATAAGGGGGGTTAAGTAATCACAAACAAAAAAAAAAAAAAAAATTGAAGTTACTCGGGATCATTAAGGAGAAAAAGAAACTGTGTGGTGTGCCGCGCACGACCCACGCCTTGAGCACGCCATGGCTGCGGTCCATCAATGGAAAGAGAAAGGGCCACCAAATACACTGAAAAAAGGCAGAAAAAAATAGAAAAAATACGCCAAACTGACCAACACCCTGTCAATTGAGTCCCCTAAAAATTTGTCCTTTTTTTGCCTGCCTCCATCGTTTTCTACCATCCACTCGTGCCCCGCCCTGGACACCGGGAAACTCCTTCTACATGCTTCCGCAAGAAGAAAAGCAGCCAAACCTGAAACGCCGAAGCAGAATAACCATCATTCATTCTCGGTACCTCGCTACGCATCGCCAAAACCGCAGATAGTGTAATGACGAAATGGACGAAAAAGGGAACACGGACCTTCTTTGAGTTACGTTCCCAAAACCTGCTTAGTCTGGATTTCGCAGCCATCTGGGCAGAAGAAGCCGCGGCGGCTAAACTGGGCAGCATTATTTGTCAAGCAAGCAATATCGCACAGAACAGCGCAGCGCATTTGGCCCGCTACCTCCAGGGCAGTCCTGAAAGGCCTGGAGGGCTGAAAGGGTTGTTGATTGGGGGAGGTGGACGGTGGAAGGTGAACTTGAATTGGCTTGGGATCCAATTGGATTCATTTTATTTTTTTTTTACTTTTTGTTCATCACTTTTAAACTTTAACTGTATTGTGTTGTGTTTTTACGCTGTGCATTTCACAACTCCTCGAGGATGTAGCCCAATCTCCACATAACCCTAGCAGCGTAGCAATTTTGCATCCACCCTGAATAGAAAAACCACGAAACATCGGAATGTACAAGCAAACTAGCCACATCTCACCAGCCACATGAGATTTTTTGCTTTTCTTTTGTGAACTCTGCTTTCGTTGGTCTGCGTCGGAACCTCTTTCCGCCGATGGATATGAGCCAAAGCTAACTACGTAATCCATTGCTCCAACAGAAATCAAACAAAAGAAAAATTGGGAAACTTTTGCCAGTGATTGCCACAGGCGAACCAATTCCGGTTTGAGGCGTTCCGCCCTTTTGGACCACTTTGCCAGACCACTTGCCCAACGAGACCAGCAACCAGGGTCTGCCGCTGAGCGTCGGTCGACTACAGAGTACAGAACACAAGTGCTATGAGATAATCAGTTTTTTCTCGCCAATGCAATGCGATTGAGCAGGATGACAGAGTTGCTGCGGCAGTTTCGGCTATCGCTTGAAGTGGTCCTATATTTTGGACCTTGTGGGTCGTTTCAAGTGGTCCAGCAGATGCATACTACCAAGAGGGGGGTCACCAATGGCTTAGAAACCCGTTGCACATCACTTCTAGGTTTGGACGATCATTGATCACACCGATGAGTTAACCCCTCATACCGTTGTAAAGGACCGATACTGGCCGAATCCCAACTCCTTGTAGTTCCAACATCTACACTTCCTGACAATTAAAACATTACAATTACGTCTCGCGACTATATAAACTAATACCATATTCCCATATAACTTGTCAACGAGTGCTAGTGGCCGCAGCCATTACTTGGCCTCAATGGCCTCTTTGGTGGCGGCAACCTTCTGGTCCACCAGGTCGCCAATGGCCTTGGCGGCAGCCTGAACCTCGTCAGACACCTTCTCAACCTCTGGCAACTTGGCCTCCTTAACCTCGGAGGCAGCAGTAGCGGCGGCAGTGGCATCATTGTTGGCGGTGTCAACAACCACATCAGTGACAGGCACGGTGGTGGCAGCCTTAGCAGCATCGGTGCTCAATGGCACCTCCTTGGTTGGCTCGACAGCAACAACAGCAGTGTCTGCCTCAGCTGGGGTAGGAGTGTCAGAGGCGACTGGAGCAGCAGCTGGTTTGTCGTGCTTATTCTTCTTGGATCTGGTGAACAAACGCTTCAAGAAGTCCTTCTTCTCGTTCTTGTAGCCCGAGTCCTTCACATCCTTCTTAGCCTTCTCACCCTCGGCAGCCAACTTCTCAGCCTGGGCCGCCTTTTCCTTGGTGGTGGTTGGAACGCCAGCAGAAGTACTGACAGTCTCCTTGGCCTCAGGTTCTATCTGCTCAGTAGTCTGTCCAGCGGCGTCAGCCTGCACGGGTGCAGCCTCCTCAGCGGTATCCTTAGCTTCAGCAGAAACACCACTCTTAGCCTCAGTCTTGGCCTCAGCTTCCTGAGTAGCCTTCTCGATCTTCTTATTGGCCTCCTCCTGAGCCTTGGCCTGGATTCCCGAAGGGTCGGACTCCTCCACTGCGTTGACAGCGGTGTCCTCGGCCTCCTCGGCTGCACCGGCAATCTCAGGGTTGTCGCTCTTGGAGGCGGAGCCATTGGCGGCATTGCCATTGGGGTCGTTGATGAAAAGCCTGGAAGTTCTCTTGATTCTGTCCTTGAAACCCATGATAATTGAAGTTGGTTCTTTTAGAAAAAAATTTATACAAAAAACCAGGGCGAGTGGGTCACAGGGAATGACTGGGTATTTATAAAAGGGTGTCTAGGGCTGCGGCCAGTGCAGGAGCCACAAACATGTCCAGCCCTCAGAACGCGGCGGCTGCGCACACTTGGTGTCTCAGCCGTACTACCACTCCAAGGAGGAAGAATGTCATTTGCAGGGCACGTGAAGGAACACCCTACCAATTACCTACCCAGGTCTCTCTAAACCTTTTTATTCTTCTTCTTCACTCTTTCTCTCTCTGGGTACCTCATGGGCGCCCGCGATCGCTGCAGGGCGCCATTAGTGCTAGACTACTGAGCCAGCGCGCCAGGTATAGAAAAACAAGGAAACAGTGAGAAACAGGAAGGAGGCAGAAGGTGACCAAAACAATGAGGAGAAGTCATTACACAGTGGGAGGTATTTTGTTGTTTGAGATGTGGTTTGTATGGAACGTTCGCCATGGATGATTATTCGTTCCTGAAACGCTTTGTTCTCTTTTTCCAGCTGGCAACGGCCTGTAGCTGGTTGACTTGCCAAAACCGAAATGTGTCTCAAAGCGAAGCGCCTTGAGCGAGACGGTTTGACGCCACAAAAAAGGGTTTTCCGAGGATTCGTTTTTTACTTGTGTTTTGGATGAAATCTCGGAACACCGTTTGGCTGTGATTGGTTGTTTTTGAGGTGACGTTCTTTTTTTTTTTTCTTGTTTTAGAGTTTAGCTTCTGCTTCGTTTTTTGTTGTTTGGAGGCGCCTCACCAACCGCACATTCTTTGTATGCTGCCGCGACCGTTGACGAAGGAGCATTCCTGCCTTGCAAGCCCTTCACGTCTATTTTCTGCCATTGCCGTGATTTCACCTATGCGTTTTTATGCTGGGATAACTCGGCTGGCGTCGTTACTAACCATCTCAGCTGACTTTTACGCCGCACAATAAATCATCCCATTTTTGTCACGTCCTTGTCACGGGAGTAGGGTACTTCAATTTGCCGGTCACACATACATTGTCTGATTTTGGAGACAAAGATAGACAAGGCTTAAGAGTTTAGGTACTGGGCATTGGCGTTTTTACTGCACGTGCTCCTTCACGTGGTGTGGCTTCGACATGACTAATGGAATGGGTACCAGTGGCACTGGCACGGCTTGGGTTCGTGGCCGGTATGAAACTGTGAATGTCTGAGCCTCTACTATGTACGTTGATGTGTGTGGTCTGCGAGTATCAATAGGCTTTGCGAGTACTCACCAGAGCAGCTCACACAGCCTAATACCACAGGCGACAGTGATACTTAAAAGGTTCTTGAAACCATCAGAATGCCCGTTTTCTTTATCTCTGACAATTGGGCTTCCTTGTGTTGCCGGGAATTTGGTGTTGATGTCACGTGTTTTCCAACACATTTTTCACTCTGGTCCTTCTCACTATTAGACGCTTCTCACAAACGCTGTCATGGGCACGGACGATTTAAGCCCTAAAATCGAGGACCTCAGCATCCAGCTGCCTCTTCTGATCTCCAATGCTTTTTTGCCCGCCGGTTACGAGCTTTCATTGGCCATAGACCACCAGAAACCTAACTTCAAGGGATCTGCCACCATCAAGCTTTCCAAGAACCCATCATGCACGTCAGTTCCACAAACTTTCGAGTTCCGTTTGCATAGCAAGAACTTGGTTGTGCTTTCGGCAAAGCTTGTTATTGAGGGAGAGTCTCCTATAAAATTGAGCATTGCCAACCGCAGGGAATTGCAAATGGTGGTACTTACATGTGAGACTCCGACCGAAGAGATACTCTCCAAGTCTCCCAAACTTGAAATCTCCTACATGGGAACAGTGAACCACATTCAAACTTATAGAGATCAAACTTATGGTATCTTCAGAACGAATTACTCTGATTCTGTTGAAGGTAGATCGGATAATTACATCATTGCAACCCATTCGCAGCCATATGGTGCCAGAACTATATTTCCATGCATTGACGAGGTCAACGTTAGGGCACCCATTTCCCTTACCATTACTGCTCTTGCGAAGTTTAAAGTGATTTCTAACTCGCCCTTGGCTTCTCAGTCGTACATTGACATGACTGACATGGCTACATTCAGTTTCAACGAAACACCTTCAATGCCTACTTCCACCTTCGGCTTTGTCATTGGTGACCTTGAGTTTTTGGAAAGCAAGGCTGGTGATATTCCTGTCCGCTTTGCAACCACAAAAGGTGACGGCTATTTGGCAACTTACGCTCTTGATTGCACCACTGCTCTTCTCACTGAGTTGGAGAAGATCTTCGGTGTACCATACCCATTACCAAAGCTTGACATAGTCACATTGCCATTCTTTAGTGAAGGCGCAATGGAGAATTGGGGCATGATCAATGTCATTAAAGAAAGTATCTTTATTGGAGAAGACCCCTACACTGGGGTTGAAACGCGACAGCTTCTAGCTCACCAATTGACTCACCAGTGGTTAGGTAATCTTATATCTTTTGATGATTACAAATACATGTGGTTGACTGAGGCATTGGCAACCTTTGTGGGTGATTACGCTCTCTCGGTAGTCGGTATTGAACCTGAAGATAGCTCCAGATACGATATTGGCAAATCAGAGCACTTGGAAGCCGTCATGGATGTCGACTGCTTCTACGGTCAGCCTATTCCAAGCTTAAATGAGCACATGAACCAAGTTGACACTGGTAAGAATGCTAAGACAGACACGATGTTTGAGAAGACCTCATACGATAAAGGTATGGTTTTGCTCAACATGATAGCTACCATGTTTCAGCTTGAATCAAAGGCGGATACGATACGACCATTCTTTGAGCATTTCAAACAAGTGCTCACGAAATTTAAGTACCAGGCCATAAAACCTTTTGATATTTGGACGTCACTCAATGAGCACGTATCTTTTGACCTCCCTACGTTTGTCCATTCGTGGATTCAGTACTCAGGGTTCCCTTGCTTGAGAGTTTCAGCGGATGGTGCGGGCTTGAAGGTCACCCAAAGCCGCTTTCTTTACGACGGGGATGCTGTTGCATTAGGTCTTGAAAACGCACCATACAACGTTCCTCTTGCGATTAGAGCCAAGAAAGAAACTGGTGAGGTGATAAACATCAATGTTCTTCTTTCCGATAGGTCTACGAAGTTGGAGATCAAACCTGATCAATTGATCAGTTTCAACTTCCATAAGCAATTCTACTACAAGGTTGTTTATGATCCAGAGGTAACAAGCCACCTTCTTGCCAAGATGAAAGCGAATGAAATGGACCCACTCGAAATAATTGGTCTTCTTAATGATTATGGCAGAATTCTTGGGCAGCCATTCCATAAGGATGAAGAATCGCTCTTCGGAAAGAACCAATTGATCACCCTCGTATCTATTATCAATGTTTTGGCCTCGGAATCCTGGGAGATAAATTACGAGGTTCTCAAAGTCGCCCTCAATTTCTTGGAAACAATCAACAATATCATGCTCCATTTTAGCGACTACAAGCAGTTTAAAGTCTGGGTAGATGCAGTGAGCTTGAAACTCTTTGAGAAGATCGGGTCTTGGGATAAAGTTTTGGAACAGGAAGACATTGATTACGACAGGGTTGAGTATGAATGCAGAAATGTTGTTTTGCAACTTGCCTGTGAAAGCTCAGCAGCTCAGAATGTGGCCAAGAAGCTTTTCAAGAGTTTGATTCATTCCGGCGTGGCGAAGAAGTTTGTACCCAGAGAGTTGTTTTCGAGTATGTTTAATGTGACGATGCACCAGGCAAACATGAGTGACTACAAGCAGATCTTAGCACTTGTCAAGAACTCCAACGTTTCGTACTTGAAACATACAAATGGTGGTTCCCAACAACTTCAGACGGCGGCAGTCTCATCCCTTGCATTTTCCCGCCTGAGGGATCTTTTGAACAAGACTCTCCACTTTGTTGACTCCAACATTGATTCCAAGATGATTGAGCTTGCATTGATTGGGTTCAAATTCCAGCATGATACCGCCCACAAGGAGTTACTTTGGGCATGGTACAAGGTTAATTACGACCAGTGGGTCAAGAGATCACTTAGAAAAGGGTCCGACTGGGCCAAGCAGATTCACAAAGCGTTGACTAACATCACCAAAATGGTCTTGGGTGAAATCATGCAATACAAGGGCGAGGAGCTCCAGGCCTTCGTCAACGTCAAAGCCAAGCTGCTCCCGCCACACGGCCTTATAGAGACGTGGGAAGAGGTCCAGGCAGACAATGAAGAAAGAAGAGCTGTGGCCATGTTTTACAATGATATGGTTGCAAATTTGTAAATAGTTTATTGAAACATTTCGTACACACATTCAATTTTTCGTCTACAGCCTGCTGTAGTTTTTTATCGTTAATCATAATAAGAAACCTTGTCTCGTCATATCGTCCACACAATTGGACGGTCGCCTTTCTCAACTGCCCTTAGTATAGAGTTCGCAATATGGTCAAACTGGTCTCTATCAAGCGAGGTAAGCTTGGGAGGAGGAGCCAACTCTCTAATTGTCTGTTTTCTTGCTAGTCTAGTCTGGTACATGTTTGTTAAAGTAAAAACCAAAACTCAACCCCAGCAGGCCCCATCCCATTTATATATTTCAATAATGCCATCCAACAGTGGTCTGGACCAGAGGTAGATTTTTCACTGCGACATAACGACAAGAAGCGGCTGGCCCCGATCTAGCCCACTGTAGATAATAGGCTAACGCGAGTAATTTATGCCAGGTTTTTCGCATCTGGTCGATCTGTCTCGGCAAGTACCATAATTTGGGCCCGGTATTTGGGCTTTGCCAGGGTCTCCTTACGGCAGCGGCCGCAGAAGAAGGCACGTCGCTTACCGGAGAAGAAAGCTTAAACAGTTTTGGGAATAATTCATATCTTTGATGGTGACGTTGGCGACTGGGCAGATGGGTGGTTGCGGAAAAATCACGTTGCGTATATTTTGCAGCCAATGGACCAGGCGACCTTCACCAGTCGATTTCCCCAAACGTCGGAATACGGCGAGTGCCGCTTGAACCATCCAGTTAACTTAGCCCATTCTCCCTGGGGTAACCCCGAATTCGCCTGTCGCCTGTCTCCTGAGATTCATTGTACAATTCCAACATATGACAATGGCACCTACCGGGCATTCAGCCATGACTCGGCGGGCCTAACCGAGATTCACGCATTGTTGCAAAAAGGCATGCCCATCTCCATATGTCTTGACATGGACTTGAAGGGGAAGGGCCTTTGATTACGAAGCGTCTGGGGTTTAAGGTTTTACAGTATCTATTACGGAAAGAGACTATCTCGATTCATTCCTCCTGTTGCCAACTGCATAAAGTCGTCGCCATATAGGGTTAGAATGATCCTGATAGTCTGCGTTTCTCTATTTACTTAAGCCTGGAATTTCTTCATCTAGACCATCGCCACCTTATGCGTTTTTAGGCGACTTTGTCTCGGAGATCCCGCGTTGCTTCTTCTGTCTTTCTTCCTCTTCTTCTTCATCTCTTCTCTTCAACTCTTCCTCCAAGTCGAGGTTCTCTTGAATGTTCCAGAGTTCTCCGTAGAGCGAGTCTGACTGGTTAAGCAAGCTCTGGTGTGTTCCTTCTTCTTGAACAGCACCCTTGTTCAACACAATAATCTTGTCACTGTCTGCAATGGTACGAAGACGGTGTGCAATGGAGACATTTGTTGAGCGCCCCTCAATAAACACGCTTCTCAAAGTCCTAAGCAATGCCTGCTCGGTATGAGTATCAAGAGCACTTGTAGCCTCGTCGAAGAATGTAATTGGAGCGCGCTTCAAAAGAAGCCTGGCAATGGCAAGTCTTTGCTTTTCACCGCCAGAAATCATCAATCCTCGCTCTCCGACAATTGTATCCATTCCATCTGGAAGCTCCTTAATAAGTGCATCAAGCCTCACCTTGGATACAGCCGACATGATCTCATCGTTATGAGCGTCAAGTCGACCATATCGAATATTCTCCATTATTGTATCATTGAATAATGGCGTTTCTTGCGGGACAACACCAACAGAACGTCTTAAAGATTCAAGATCGACTTTAGAAATGTCTTGGCCATCGATAAGAATTCTTCCAGAATCCACGTCATAGAATCTAAATACAAGCTTGAGAACAGTGGATTTTCCCGATCCAGATGGACCGACGATAGCGACTTTTTGACCGGGTGGAATGACAAAGGAAGCATTTTTCAAAATCGGTCTGTCAGGATGGTATCCGAAGGTAACATTCTCAAAGCGTATTTCACCCGGACGGATTGGGTTTAATGTGAGGTTGTCTGCACCAGGCTTATTCTGTACCTTAATATCGTAATTCTGCAATTGGAAAAGGTTTTCCATGTCCAATAACGATTGCTTGAGTTCTCTGTAAACTGAACCCAAGAAATTAAGTGGTACAGATAACTGGAAGACAAGCTGGTTAATCAAGACCAAATCACCAACACTAAGAGCACCTGTGGCCACACCTTGACAACCCATATACATCATAGCAGTGAGCGCCAGTGTGAAAATCAAATTCTGTCCAGCGTTCAAGAATGCCAAAGAAGTGGCGACCTTGATGGATGCATTTTGGTAGCTTGTCAAGGACTTGTCGTACTTGGCACATTGGTGCGCCTCGTTGTTAAAGTACTTGACTGACTCATAGTTGATCAATGAGTCCAATGCAACGGATGCAGCTTGGTTATCGGCGTTGTTAGCTTGACGCCTAAAACCAGTTCTCCAAGCAGTGGTTCTGATGGTGAAAACAGAGTATCCAATCATTGTCATCAATGTCACAGCGGCAAAGGAAAGACCATAGTTATAAGTTAAAATACCACAAACAACACTGATTTCAAAACCGATTGGAATAATGTGGAACACCATTGCACTGAGCACATAACTGATACCTTTGGTCCCTCGATCAATGGCTCGTGTGAGACCACCCGTCTGCCTAGAAAGGTGGAACTGCAAGTCCATATCAAGCAAGTGCTTAAAAGTATTGTTAGCCACTCTTTTAATAGCCAGCTGCGCCACTGAAGCAAAGATAGCGTTTCTGAGCTCACCAAATAACACAGCACCGAACCTAGCACCACCGTAAGCAATAATCATGGTACCCATCACCGTGCCTAGCGTACCCAATTGCTCTGACCAATCGACGTTCATCTCGTCAATAATCGACTTGAAAAGGAATGGAACCTGGACATTCAAAAGCTTAGAACCAACCAATAGCAGAAGAGCAATAACCACTCTCACCTTGAAGCTAGGTTTGTTCTTCGGCCAAATTGTCACCAATAGCGATCTAAGCATTTTAAATTGCGAAGTAGAGATTTGGCGGCCGAACAAGTATGTCGAAGAGTCCTTCTTACCATTCTCAGATAATCTTTTCGATGTGTGGAACCCTCTGGAGCAAATGTGGCCCAACCTGGATTTCACTGCCACTGTGGATCCTCGAGATAACGGTCTGGTAAACGAAACCTGCGGGCGCAGATTAGCCAATGACGTCCTGGCCAATTGCCTGGACGCCTGGACAACTCCTGGCAGCCTAAACCTGAGCAAAGAAAGAAGCATAAGTGTAAGTATTGAAACAGGTCTGCTCTTCGGGCCTAGTATGTACCGACAGCCGGCAGCCGGATTCGCGATTGCAGATGGGTGCGAAACCTCACTAGCCTTGGGGTACCTGAAGGGTGATAAATTGGGTATTGCGGAAGATGCAAATTTTTGGAACCACAATTATCTCGATGGGGAAGGTGGTTTACTATAGGAGAAAAAAAATGACAAGAAAGGTGAAGAAATCTTCATTTTTAACTAGACAGAACAATATTTCATACTTTCGTATACAGTCTGCGAGTTCGGCCTCCGAATAGAAATCTGCAGTAAAGTAAACTAGTGTGGCAAATACGGAAAATCTTTTAAAAATATACAGATTTGTTTAAATTGGTAAAGTGCGTTTTAGGAGAGCAAGATGTCATAAAAGGCTCAACCCAAACCCATAAAAAGACAGCAGTTGGGATGGGCATTGTAATGGCTGCAAATGGCCTGTAGACCCTACAATGACATGTCTTATTTAAAATTCATATTCCATTAAATCTATAACCGATTCCATTAAACAACTAGTTCATTAAGTCTTTTTTTAGTTCTCAGAGTTGGTCTTCGAAGAGTACTCAGCCTGCTTCACCAAGTTCTGAGGAGCGTCCATTCTTGGCAACATAACCTCGATCATTCTGATCTTGGAGTTCTCGTTGAAAGCAGCGTCAGTGAACAAACCTTCAATCTCACCAACAGTGCTGACACGGTTGGTCTCGTAGTTACGAGCCTTGAACAATGGCAAGAGACCCAAGTTGTCCCATGGCTGGATGTCGTTGTAAGTGGCAGTCTCACCGTGGATCAATCTCTCAATGGTGTAACCCTCGTTGTTCAAGACGAACAAGTATGGAGTGGTCTCCCACTTGACCATGGTGGAGATTTCCTGGACGGTCAACTGCAAAGAACCGTCACCGACAAACAAGATGACTCTCTTCTTAGGGTCAATCTCCTGGGCAGCCATAACAGCACCCAAGGTGGCACCAACGGTGAAACCAATGGAACCCCACAAGACCTGGGAGATACCAATACACTTGTCTGGGAAGTAAGACTGGACAATACCAAAGGCAGAAGTACCTGTCTCAGTGATGACAATGTCACCTTCTCTGAACCAGGAAGACAATCTGGACCACAACCATTCTTGAGAAATGGCATCCTTGGCACCTGGACTCTCCACAGCTCTTCTGTGAGGAACTGGAGCAGCCTTGTAGCCAGAAACGTGAGATGGAATCTGGGCCAACAACTCGTTAAGAGCCTCCTTCATCTGGACACCAGGGAAGGTGGCCTGTCTGATCTTAGTGTAGTCAGAGTGGAACTCAACAATGTTCTTGGTCTTGTAGGAGTAGGAGAAGTGACCGGTGTTGAAGTCAGACAACAAGGCACCGATGGAAAGAACCAAGTCAGCAGACTCGACAGCCTCCTTTACCTCAGGCTCAGAAAGAGAACCAACGTAGACACCACCGAATCTTGGGTGAGACTCGTTCACAGCAGACTTACCCATTGGAGTGACAAACACAGGGAAGTTGGTGGAGTCAACCAAACGAGACACTTCCTCTCTGCAGCTGTGTCTAGAGGCACAAGCGTCAACCAAGATGACTGGGTTCTTGGCCTTGTCGACCAAGTCCAAAACGGTCTCAATGACCTCGCCCTGAGCATCTGGGTCGTTCTTCTTCAAGGACAAGTCAATTGGAGTGTCCAACAAAGAAGCTGGGACAGTCAAGTCAACCAAGTTGGCTGGCAAACCAACGTAAACAGGTCTCTGGTGGACCCAAGCCTCTCTGATACATCTGTCAATCTCGCCAGGAGCGGAATTGATGTCAGAAAGGAAAGCAGTGGTCTGAGAGATGTTGTTGGACATTCTGTGGAACACAGTGAAGTCACCGTTACCCAAAGTGTGGTGCAACAACAATTGCTTGGCCTGGGAAGAGATCGAAGGCACACCAACAACGTGCAATAAACCAACGTGTTCGGCGTAAGCACCACCGACACCGTTCAAAGCAGACAATTCACCGACACCGAAGGTGGTGACAAGACAGGCAAGACCCTTGACTCTGGAGTAACCGTCGGCAGCATAGGCGGCGTTCAACTCGTTGGCGTTACCGGCCCATCTCATTCCGTCGACTTCATAAATCTTATCCAAGAGATTCAAGTTAAAGTCGCCAGGGAGACCAAAGATGGTCTGGACAGAAAGCTGGTTCAATCTTTCGAAAAGATATCTACCCAAAGTGATTTCAGACATGATTAATTGATGATTTGTGATTAAGTGATGATGAGAAAAGAAGATTTCCTACGAAAACACCCGTCTACTTATACTTTTCCCCTTCGGAGGGGTTCGGGGTGTAGGTGAATGTGGTGGTGTGACGATGGCTTGCCTAGGCGCATAAGGTGTGTGGGTTGCAACGTTCGAGGTCGGCGTAGGCGCATGCTCACATTGAGTGTTCCCAGCCTATGCGCTTATACCGTTCGGTCATACAATACCGACAGGACCAGTAACTGTGTTCCACAATTGCCGACAACGCAGACAAGATAGTGGCAAGGCAAGTAGCAGAGTAACAGGGCATCATGTAATTTTGAAAAACGAGGGGACACACTGAAAGGTGAAATCGGGAACCTAATTTCACTAGTCAGGCCATGTTGCAGCCATTCTGCAGTTGAACAAAGAAAGACGCCAGACCCTTGAAATATTATTACTATGGGCGTGGAGGTTTTTTGTCAATGTGCGAGAGAAAACAGAAATTCTGCAAGGTGCCTCAGATGATGCCCATAGGCTGGAAAGGCGCCAAAAAAAGAAATAGAAGGAGAAGGGGGCATAGAAGAATGGGAAAGCCAAGGGAGAAGAGCAAACGAGGGTCAGAAGCCGATTTGGCTAATTAAGGGAGAAATTAAGGTTGTGCTGTGGTTGTGTTGAATGGTGGTTTGGGTGATTCAGTTAGGCAACCGTCTTTCTTTTTTTTATCTAAAGAATCTATCGTTTGACAAAAGTATTTGTCAGCATTAAATCGGTCTTCCGTGAGGTATTCGCTTAAACGTGGGTTTGTAGGTGCTGTAATTGCATGTTTCAGAGACGATAGGGCTGCCTGATTTCTGTGGTCATGATGCTACATGGTGTAAGCGCATATCATGGGTGTTTACGGTGCGCCGGTTGTCTAAACACGGTGAGATTTACAATTAGGAGATTTGGGTTTATGAAGATGACAAATTGAGTTGCTAGAGAGAAATTAAGTTAGACGATGGCTTTGACCAGTCCACTGCCTCCTCAGAAGGTAGGGAGAGGGATGGATGGCTGCGAAAACCAATGGGGGCATTTCGCGACGGGCGGGTAACACCCATCACCTGAAATCCATGTGAAGCAAAACTCGTGACAACAACTGTTTTTTTGTTTCTCAGTCTTTAATCACGTTGTGATAATCACGTTCCGATAAACACCCTCCGGTCTGTCAAACAGTTTCGAAAACTTGCAGCCATTCTTCCAAAAGTCTCCAGCAGTCTAATTCCTCTATTAGTCTGTTACTTGAATTCATTGAGTTCAACCCCCTTGCCTAGCGCTTTTTCGCCACTTCTGCCGCTCAGGGGTAATCACAACAAACCCTTCCACTAGGTGCTTGTCCACGTGAACATCATGGTAAACAAACGGGAAGGTTCCAATTCTTACGTTGACGGCAACAAAAAGGTCAAGCTTGACAACGGTAAAAAGGAGGATATCGCCATTGACTCCGAGTTGTTGGGCGACCAGTCCTCCTACACGAGTTCGGGCAACCAGGACCAGAATGATGTTAAGGATGAGGAAGCTGCAGTTGCAGCAGCAGCCTCTTTGGTTTCTGAAGCTGACCCTGCCAATGCTGCCGCTGCTGCTTTGAGCCATCAGCAGCAATCTCACCAGCACAGCCATCATCACCAACAACAACAACAGCAGCAACAGCAGCAACAACAGCAGCTGCATGCCTTGCATCATAGGATGTACGATAATGCCTACGGCTCCCTGGTTCACGCTGCCGCTGTCCAGCAACACCATAGACCTGACCTGACGATGTTGCAGCCAACGACATTGCCTCCTCCAAACAACAGTAAGCCTCCTCATGGTTCTGACGAATGGCACCGTGTTAGACGCGAGAACCATAAGGAAGTTGAAAGAAGAAGAAGAGATCTGATCAACGCGGGTATTAAAGACTTGGCTGCTTTGATTCCTACTCCTGATACAAACAAGGCTCAAATCTTGCAAAGAGCCGTGGAGTTCATTAAGCGTTTGAAGGAGAATGAGAACAACAACATCGAGAAGTGGACTTTGGAGAAGTTGTTGACCGAGCAAGCTGTTAGCGAGTTGAATGCTTCGAATGAGAAGTTGAAGGCTGAGTTGGAGAGAGCTTACCGTGAGATTGACTCTTTGAGAAGACAACTCGATGAAAAACAGTAAACAAATCACTGTAATGTCTGTATATGTACCATAGGTTGCTTCCTATCTGTTTTATTATTTCCATTTTATACTATTTTAATTTCAGAGTATGATTAAATTAATTTTGATACTATGTGATCTTAAAAACTATCATGCAAACAGGAGAAAAGTGTCTTCTCATGCAAAGATGAAGCGCGTAATGTGCTTCAAATGTAATATTAGTCAGTTGCAGAAATCTCCAGGATTTCAATGTGCTAGCTTCTCAAGCTATGTCAGAACCTCTTCTTTAGGTTCATCTTTTGGAGTCTCCTTAGGCTTTTCGTTTGCCTTTTCCTGCTCAGCGTTCTTCTGTGCTTCGGCGTCAGATTTCTTTGAATCATCTTCAGACTTCACCTCTGCTTTGGTTTCTGCTTTGGTTTCTGCCTTCTCCTCAGGCTTCGACGGGTTATTTTCCTTTGATTCCCCACTGGTGTCTTTAGGTTTAGAGTCCGGCTCGCTATTCTTGTCACCTGTAGTGATTTTTTTCAACTTCTCTTCAGTTCCATCCGGACTCCTCTCCTTATGGTCCTTGGCATTCACGACGTGTTTCTCATTTAACTTGATGTATCTGTCAACTTCGCCTTCGTATGTTATGTATTCCAGAAGCTCACGATGCAAGAAAGGTTCATACTTCAAAGGTGGAAACTCCTTAGCCTTTATAACAAGAGGTTGCGTGCTCTTGCCAAAAAGGAGCCTCATGATTTCACTTTCATGGAAAGCTGTCATATCTCTCAGCACGGCGTAGCTCATGAGAATCTCGTCATTGAGTAAAAGATCCATGAGATCTTTTTCGCCCAACTCAAGTAAAGTAGTTACTTCCTTGGTACTAAGATCTCCTTGAATGTTAGGCTTCGTGAGTCCGACCAGTGCTTCAGAAGACTTGGCACCATAGTACCTGTTCCATTGTTCCCTAGCTCTCAAGAAGAAGCGCAAGTCATCTTGATGAAGCCAAAGTCTTAGTTGAGGCATGAAAAGTCGACGACTGAAAAACTTGTCAAGAAGTCCCTTCTTGTTATACTCTGCCGTAAGGATGTCAGAGTAACGTTTTGGGATGTAGGCAACCTTACCTTCAACAAATGATTTGATCAAAGGCGAGATCTCAGCGAGACTCAGGAAATGCTTGTTTCTGCAGTTGTAAGTTTGAAGTTGGTCGTTGACATTGTACTTGTTGGATTCCTTCTTGACCTCTCCAGGCATACCTTCGAGGTATCTTTCAGGTGTGGCATCACCACTCACAGCCAAAGCCGTAATATCAATGTAAAGACCAGAATCAACATCAATGAATCTAGCGTCAATGTTATTCTTACCGTTGCTGTGATCTCTAACGGTAATGGAAGATGTACAGTCAATGAAGTAACGACCGAATCCATCCTTACCATCTTCCACCACGAGCGATTGGTTGAAATAACGGCCAAGCTTATGTAAATCCAGAAGTGGCATTTGCACATCAATGTCGTTATCCCAAGGAAATCCGATACCATTCCAGTACCAGGAAAGAAGCGAACCATGCGCCATCCAGGTAGTGATACCCTGTTTACGACAGAAGGACAACCAGGTCCTCACCATTCTGTGCAAGGTAAGTTCTTGTTCCTCGGTATTGATCTTGACACCACCAAAAAATCTCCAATCATAGTGGTCACCGATAACAGTATTGAAAATACGGGCTTCCTGAAAGTACTTTGGAGGGCTATTTTGGTTGGCGACGGAAGTTTTCACCGAAGAAAGGTAGTTCATTTCCATTCTTGTGAGTGGTCTGGAAACACTTAAATCTTGGAAATCTTTAATAATCTGGAGCGGCGCCAGGACAAAGTCTTTGTGCTCTAAGTTGACCTGGTAGTCACTTATCACTCTATCAGTGAAACTAGGCACCTTTTTATTCAAAAGTTTGAACTGTTCCACAGTGTTAATTGTAGTCTTGCCATGTCTGAGGTAGTCTTCGACAATACCGTTATGAAGAAGCTTCTGCTTTACTCCCGTTGTCATATTGTACGAGCCATTATCGGTCATGAAGATGATACTGGCAGGAGGAGGAGCATGAGTATACATGTAAGATCTTCCGGCAATCATGGCCATCTCCGGGGTCATTCTGCCGGGGTAGTTCTTCACGTTGAAGCCCATTCTTAGCCTGTTACCATCATTGTGTTGGAAAGGGAGCTCAGCGTCAATGACACAGAATTCAGCGGGATCTAGAGCCTCTTTCTTGCTTGGTTTATTATGTTTCTTTGCCTCGACCTCTTCGGTTTCACGCTGGTCCAAAAAGTCACACGACGTCTTATTCTCGGCAAAGATAAACTCGTCAAGAACCGTCATATCCATCCAGTCAGCCCAATGGAAAGGGGCCTGAACGCCATTGGGCGAGTTGGGAGCGTGGACACGCATGTAGTAGTAATAAAAGGCCAAGGTAAAGCGAGGGTCGAACGGCTGGACATCTAGACGGCCAATGTCACTCTCAAAGAAGTACAGCGGGATTTCAAGATCTGTCTGGTCCTTGGAAAGCGTGGTTTGGATCTTCCAGAAGGCATGCTCAAGATCGTTCTTTTGCCGCTGATGCACGAGATCCGTAACCTTCTTGTTGAACGCCAGGTTGGTATCTGTATCGAACGTGGAGCTCTTCCAGAGCGAAAGCAGGAGCAGGTCCAAGTAATTGGTATGCTGGAGCTTCGGTATGGAACTCAGCGTAAGCCAAAGCGATACCATCACCAACATGCTCACCACGACGGTAGCGTGGATAGATCTCTTCCTGATACTAACGAACATGCCAGGGCGGTGTAGGAAATGCTAAGGGGTTAAAAAAACAGGCAAATGGCTTGCAAACGATAAAAAAAAAAGCACTTGTGTCAATGTAAAATCAGGAGAGGAAGAAGTTGTGGTATGGGCAGGTTCAGATAAGAATCGGCAAAGGAGTGGAAAAAAAAAGAAGAGAGAGAGGCTAAAAAAAAAATATGAAGAGTACAAAACAAGCAAAACAATGAGACCCAGTAAAACATATACAATTCTGCAAAGCCCAGGAACTGAAAAACAAAAAAACAAAAAAAAAAAAAAACATATGTTGCGGGGATCTAGCGAAGCCAAAACACTTTAGACTTACGAGGCTTTGGGGGCAGAAATCCTTTGAGGGTTCTTGTCGAATGTGGATTAAAGTGCTTGCTTTCTCTTTTTTTTTTAGTCCTTCCACAGTTCACCTCCCTCAATTGGCAAAAGGTCTAGTGACTTTTTCTCCCCCAAAAACCTCAAACGCGCGAGACATTGTGGGATGGCTGCGAAACTTCAAAGCTTGGCCAGATCTGCCAGTACGGCGTACATCCACATACTGGATGGATAGACTTTGCTGGGGGGATATAAATAGATGGGGGCAGAAGAGGTGGGGGATGTTTAATAACAAGTAGATTTGGGAAGGCTCCAGTGGACCCCCCTTCCTTGGCCTGCCCCTCGTTCCCCTGTCGTGTTGCTGATTAGCCGCTGTGAACAATCTGGCACAGCGCCGTAGCCAGGGCCCATACTGGCGCAGCCTTCGTGGGGGAACACCTGTTTCATACTTTGTTCTGCTTCGTTCTATTCAGTATGTTTCAAGATCTGTGCCAGCGGTGAATGTATATCACTTTGACGTATTTCTTGTCGTGCGAATGTACATTCCAGAAGGCCTTGCGTGAAGATGGGTTTTGTGTTAGCCACCTGTAACGTATTGTGAAACCTTTTGTTTGGCGGCCACAAAGGCCGTGTCTTTGTGTTTTTCCTTTGGCCGTGATGATCGGGATCAGCCATGGTTTGTTCCGTTTACTCCTTTAGTATAATAACTGGATTGGTGGTGGTTGGGAACCGTGCGGCCGTGGCGGTGCGAAGGCAGGCGAGGTACGTCATATCTTCTAGAAATAGAAGATCCCTGGACTCTGACATGCCGCCTGATAGTACCTGAAGATAAGGAAAGGTGGACGAGTTAAAGTTAGGATTGAAGGTTAAGGTAGGAAGAAAGCTTAACTATGGGTGTTTGGGTTGCGCTTTAGGCGTGTTGGTGGGCGTCGCCAGGGCTCAGTTCAACTGCATCGTCGCCGTAGTTGGTGTCAAGCTGACTTTCCTGGGCATACACGGCTGACCAGTAAATTGACACCAATTGATTTCAAACTGAACGAAGAAACTGGATAAATTTGGTTTGCACTGATTTTCACCTCCTCATGAAACTATGTATCAGTAGATTTCAAAGCCTCACTGACTCGACAAGCGGCTTCACGATTTAGACCCGTTGGCATTAACCATCGCCAGCCTCACACCCCACAACCACTTCCTCTCCAGGTCTCACCACGCCGAACCTGTTTCTTGAAACTTATGTATGGCCATTCCAAGTGCTGAAGAGTGTGCTACTATAGCTGCCACACGGTTGCCCACGTTCACCCAGCTTGTGCCTGAAGGGTACCAGGTATTCACCACATCCAACCACGATATGACCACAAGAAAGAGTCCCTCTAACCTCATACGCTTGCGGTGGTTATTATCAACCTCAACATTCCCAGAGTAAACGGTGAAGATAAGAAAAAATAGTGAATACCACGGGGTACATTTATGGTACCGTTTGGCATGATCAGTCACCATCACATCGAGCGTCTTCACCACCGACAAAGTCAACGCCAACGACATCAACATGTACACAGACAAGGGCCAGTAGCGTTTTCGTGGTTCCATTTTGACGGGTTGATGAGTAGGAAAATTTTTCATTAAAGGTCAATGGGGTCAGAGTTATGGGTGAAAAGTTGGCTGCGAAAGCCCCATTGTTAAGAGGGGTTTCTACGGCTGGACCACTTGAAGCATGACAGAACAGACTCCTACAGATTTAGATGACTGGGTGGGTTATAATTGGCTCTTAAGGGGGTAGACTTAAGTAGGGGTTAGGGGTGTGGTTTATATGTAGATGGTCATTTGTGGGTGGTGGGCGAAGCTGGATGGCTGTGTGGGAGATGTAAGGAAGTGAGAAAGGTGATGCATGTCTCTGATCTGAGGTTATGAAAGGAGTTGGAACGTGGGTGGTTGAGCTATTTATGGTGTTTGATTAGCTTTGATGGGTTGTATTGGCCGTTAAAGTTTAACTATATTTAGCGAAAGTTTATTGGTGGTCATTGTAAGCATACGGTTTGGATGGTGGTTGTTCGAGCAAGAACAGGTTCTTTGGGCACAGAGATGCTTGATGAATTGTGTGGGTTGATTTGAAGATTGGTGGCCAGGTGGAGTACTGAATTGGCGGTACCTTTGTTGAAGCATTGCTGTTACCAGTTGTGGTTTGAGATATGGTGGTTCCCTTTTTTTTTTGATAGATAACCATAAAGTGCCTGGCGATTGATCTAAAGAGAAGTTTAAATGAGCATTTAACTACCACTAGAAAGAGCTTTTTGCTTTCAATCCTCGCCTAATTGGTGGTACCACCAGAGCTGGAAGTCTACCTGGAAAGTCCACATCCAAGGTCCCCAACAGAGATATCCAGCCCAAAACCGCCAATTGGCACTACAATCCATCCGATGTTCCACCACGAATCCCCTGGATCAACTTCCCTTCATCCACAACTGCCCACAATCCATCAACCAAGGGAGGTGCTGCTCGCTTAAACACATCTACCTGATAAGCACTACAAGCACATGAAAACACCACAACTGCTCGATTTCCGCTCCAAATCCCAGATCCGAACCATTTCTCCCTTTCTGACCATCCCTTCAAAACCCCAGGGTCTTATCAGCACGGAGATCACCGAGCAGTTGCAAATTCATTCATTCACAGCGCTTATCTTATCGGTTTTCGCAGCCAATGAACGTGCACTCGAGGCATCACCAAAGTAACGAAGACCCACAGTTAAAGCATCAAAAACTATGAAGATTGATATTCAGAGAGCTCTCATTAACCTACTTTTTAACCCTCCCTCCGTGGCTTATTCCATTATTTCTTGCTTGCTCCCTTGTCAGGTGTCAGGCCCAATACGGCAATCGGGGAGTCGCTGGGAAAGCTTTGATAACGAAAAGTGCGCCGAGCAAGCTTTTACTCATTCTGCTGGACCATCGCCGTCAGACTGCACTCACTTTTTTTTGCACTAACACTTGTAGAAACCGCCCTGATGCTTATCTTATACTAGAGGGGCATTTAAGGGTTTGGAAATAACCTTTTGCATTTCCTTCTAACTTTTCCAAAAAAATCACTCCTCTCTTAACTATGGACGGTATCAAGCGCTTGGGGAAGAAGGTGTACCGTAAGGTCACTACCAGAGATGGCTTCTTTGGCGACTATGATTATGCTTATTTGTTTGTTCCTGATTTACCATTTACGAATAAGACGCCCAAGACGCAGCCGTTTTTTGGGCTTCACCTGGAGATGCCTTTATTTCTAGGGTTTCTTCTTGGTCTCCAGCATTCGTTAGCTATGCTTGCAGGTGTGGTGACTCCTCCACTTATCATTGCAACAACAGCCAATCTTTCACCTGCGTATTCTGAGTATTTGGTATCGGCGTCGTTGATCACTTCTGGGCTTCTATCGATCATCCAGATCACTCGTTTTCGTTTGTGGAAGACAAACTACTACTTGGGCACCGGTTTGCTTTCGGTTGTGGGTACTTCTTTCTCAACCATTACTATCGTGACGAAATCGTTTCCTATGATGTACGATAGTGGGATTTGTGAAACTATTGATGGTGTCAAACAGCCATGTATCACTGGGTATGGGTATTTATTGGCAACGGGCTCGATCTGTGGCCTTATCAGTGTTCTTTTATCTTTCACACCGTCTAAGATTTTGAATAAGATTTTTCCTCCAATTGTGACTGGCCCTGTGGTTCTCTTAATTGGTGTTCATTTGATTGAATCTGGATTCAAGGACTGGGCTGGTGGATCTGATTGCGTTGGTGATACTTGTGGTACAGCTAAACCATTACCTTGGGGTTCAGCAGAATTCATCGGTTTGGGTTTCTTGGTTTATGTTACTATCGTTGCAGCTGAAAAGTTTGGTTCGCCAATTATGAAATCGTGTGCTGTGATTGTGGGCTTGTTGGTTGGATGTATTGTCGCTGCTGCTTGTGGCTACTTTTCTAACGAAAACATCAATGCAGCTCCAGCCGCCACTTTCATATGGGTGCATACCTTCCCATTGAAGCTTTACGGGCCTATAGTGTTGCCCTTCTTGGCGGTATACATTGTATGCGTTATGGAAGCCATTGGTGACATTACAGCTACTTGCGATGTCTCCAGATTGGAAGTTGAAGGTGAGCTTTTCGATTCCAGAATTCAAGGCGGTGTGCTTGCCGATGGTATTAATGGTATCCTTGCTGGACTCATGACAGTCACGCCAATGTCAGTGTTTGCCCAAAATAACGGTGTAATTTCAATCACAAAATGTGCTAACAAAACCGTCGGATACTGGGCAGTTTTTTTCCTTCTATTAATGGGAATTTTCAGCAAATTCGCTGCAGCCATTGTATCGATTCCCAAGGCAGTTTTGGGCGGCATGACTTCATTCCTCTTTACATCCGTGGCTGTTAGCGGAATGAAGATTATCTGCTCGACCGAATTCACAAGAAGAGACAGGTTTTTGCTCACTGCGTCTTTGCTCCCTGGCTTTGGAGCAACCCTCGTTCCTGACTGGTTCAGCTACGTGTTTACCTACCTGGGCGACAACAGTGCCTTACAGGGTTTCCTTGATGCCATAGTGTTACTTATGGAAACCGGATTTGCCTTGACTGGCGTTCTTGGCGTGATTCTCAACTTAATTCTCCCACAAATGCCCGACGAAGTCGAAGAACTCAACGAAGTTGTTCTTGAAACCGTCGGTTCAGCAGACGACGATGCCTTGGAAACCTACAGATCCAAGGAAATCCACACTTACGAGCACCGCGGCATTGACGAATCAACCTCCAGCAAAGAAGCAAATTAGAATGTTTGCATCCAAACAGCACACGGGCAAAGCTTGGAAAAAAAGCCAAAGAATAAGCAACACGCTTAGGTTCTCGTAATGAGCATCCAATCAAACCTACTTCATTGGGCTGATATCACATTCATGTTCCCCGGATTCTCGCGGCCATGCAGGCGCTCTGTCAAGATACGTATTTTGCGTCATTGCAATGAACCGCAAGAAAGTCCGAGGTATTAACTGTGGGGGTGGTCAAGAAAAAGCTAAGAAGAGAAAAGTAAAGACGTTCAGCTTCGTCTTCGTTGACTCCTACCTGACTCTTTCCTGGAACTGGGAACAATGTGACTCCGGCCCGAGCGAGGAACATCCCATCCAGGTACACTGGAATGGAAAAAAAAAGGGAAGTCGTCACCTAAACTGTGTGTGCGCACAGACCTCGGTTATCTATTCTTCATATAACCCTCAATGCGCTAACGAAATACTAAGAGGCATCGACCGCCAAGTTCGCTGTTTTTTTTTTTTTTTTTTTTTTCTTCTCCTTCTTCCTCTTCTTCTATTTATTTCCCTTCTTTTCCGTTTTGTCTTTTTTTAAACCCATAGCTTAAAAGATGGAGATGCATGTGGCACACGGAATCACTAAGGCCAAGAGCCCACTTCCGCTTTCGTTGTTGTTGCGACTCAACGGGTTGCTCAAGAAGTCCATCTTCTCCAGGAAGTTCTACCAGGAAATCAATGATAAGGTGTTGAGCACTTCGTCGTCTGTGAATGCCAACTTGTACTTTATTTGCTACTTCACGTTGTTGTTGAGTTCCATTTTGAACAACAAGCCCCGGATCGTGAAATTTCTCAAACAGCAGAAGATCAATGTGCTTAAATTGGTCAACAGGGGGTTTAATACCAAGTTTAGTACTGAGCAGGCGGTCAAGGAGAAGGAGGCTGCTGCTGCCCTGGCTGACACTTACAAATCCAACTTGGCTGTTCACTTGAAGGCCGTTTCGTCATATATCGCAGATGTGAGAATTTTCAACCGTCTTACCGAGTCCATTAAATACATGCCATGGATTATTGACGAGTTTGCATCCATGGTGAACCCTGCATCTCCAGTTCCAAAGTTTGACCGTATCGTCAACTTCTTACAGTCTATCAACTGTCTTGTGCTTGAGTTGTTCGAGCACGCTGGTTGGTTGACTGACCATAACTGGGTTGGAACTGGTGATAACGCCTACTGGTCGATGCTTACATACGTGTGGTGTTCTAGAGTGTGGGGTGCTTACTTGGTGATTGAGGTTTTGGAACTTTTCAGAAGAACTCCATTCTCCAAGTGGGACAAAAACTGGCGCTTGGCTGTGTTCAAGCAGGCCATCCAGCTTCCATTGGTTGTTCATTGGTCGCTTTACGAAGGTTGTTTGACTCCATTCTGGGTCGGTGTTTGCGGCAGTGGAGCCTCCTGGTGGGGCTTCAGAGACATGTGGAGCTCTATAGACTTGAGCTAGACTTAAGCCATCGGGCTTTTTATACATATACAGCACTTATTTATTGATATTAAAGCAAACGATTATGATACAATTACTTAGCAGCTCCCACGGTCTTGACATCGTTTCTCTCCAACTGTCTCGACCTGTCAAAGTACAAGTTAGGATGGTTGATGTGAAGATTCTCATTACGGCCTTGAAGCTGCTGCTTGTGTGTGATTTCGAAAACACGCGTGCAAGCAACTGTGTAATCGTTCTTGTTCACGTCTTCGACAATGCCATTGATGTCATGCTGGTCCAGAATACCCATCTGACCTAACGTGTCTACCAACAGTTCTAGAGGCAAGTCACGGTATGGACAACCATGGTATTCACCCTTTTGTGGCTTCGGCTTCAGTAGAATCGTAGCACAGTCCCAGGGCTTGTAGTTGATACGACCACCTTCCAAACCGTAAGAATGTCTGACGTTATATCTGTATTCTTTGTTAAAGGTATCCATGTTCATCTTGGAGGACTTTGTGAATTGGAAAGACCAGAACTTCATTGCCTCATCGACATTAAGACCAATACCTTTAAGGAACAATCCAAGCTGTTGTCTGGCATTGTATTTCAAATGGGAGTTGGCCACCAACGACTTTTGAAGGTGAGAAGCACAGAGAGGATAGTGTTTGGATATCTGAGGCGTGGTAACAGACGTAGCATTGATATCTGAAGCCTTCTCTGGGTCACCAAAACTGTCATATTGAATGCTGGCGAAATTACGCGATAAGTTATTGAGAAGAGGCAACAAACGGTCATCCTCTTCAAGTCTTGGGATCGCCTGGAAGGTCTTGAGAAGCGACTGGCTCAACAGTTCAGAAAAGACAACAGAGAGCAAGCTCACTTGCAATGTAGATGGAATGTATGCATAACCACGGCGGAGGTAAACCTGTCTCAGCGAGACCAAGTTAGGAACCTTCTCAAACGGTAACTTGATGAAACTCTCCTTGTTGCGAATGTGATGCCTTAGTTGTTCGGCAGTTATAGAGAAGTTGGAATCTCCAGAATTGTCAATAGTCAAAATGGTACGAATGACAGGTCCAGAAGCGGCCACCAACGCGTCCAAGTTCTCAATCTTCTCCTCGTTGGAAATATACTCCCACATCAACTTATCACTGTACAACTTGGCAAACTCCAACTGCTCCTTTGGCTGAAGCATGTTGTATCTGATCTTAAACAAAGTAGTCTCGTTCTTTAAAAACTTCTTTCTGAGCTCCTCGGTACGACAAAACACAAGACGCAACGTGTAATGGGAGTAGTAGTCCTTCTTTCTTTCAGCAATAACCTGCGCATCTGAACCCGATGTAGGGGATGGAGTCAAAGGCAAGAACTTAAGCAAAAGCGGTTTCACCACGGTCTCAATATCCTTCAAAGGCTTAGATCTAGCCAAACACGATTCAATCTCAATCAAAATCTTCAACCTATCAATAGCCCAACTTTCAAACTCCTCCAAGGTGATCTCTTCCAAAGGAGGTAAGTCATAGAACGATAATCTCGATGGGTACACTGCCCTAGAAGACTCAGCGTACGACGAGACTTCCTCGAAGTTTCTTCTTCCCGCTGTTCTTCTCTTTGTCTGTCTAAACATGGGGATGTAAAGAAGTTATGTGGTTGCTTCACGTAAAGAGATTGCAGTAGATACGGTTTGTTTGGATACGCGGGTGCGAAAAGATGGGCGCGTGGGTGCAAAATGCACAAGGGAGTGGAACAGACCAGCAAGGCTGGGAAGAGTGTGGGTTGGGAAGAAAATTGGGAAAGTCGGTTTAAAAGGGCTGTTTTGGTGGTTTAAGATTGTAGAACGTACTTTTAGGGAGCTTGAAGTGTTCAGTGAATGTGGTAGTGGTGGAAGGTAGAAAGCGCGTTTGGAAGTCACTAGATGTGTGCTCCATCTGTTAGGTGCCATATACTAGAATACCATTAGAAGAAGAAGTTTATTGTGAAAGTTAAAGAGATGAAAACTTATGCGTATATTAACCAGTTTTTTGAAGCGGACGTGTTGCTGTAGGTGTTCTCTGCTTATTGGGTTAATGATATGAGTTACTTGTGTGTGAAAGGTTCAGCAGAACGGCTGATATTACCTTCTGTATTGGATTAACCATGTTCAGTCAATATCACAAAAAAACGACCCAAGGTGTATAACTGAGCAATGTATAACTGTTCATACCTCTATCACATCTTCCACATGTAGCGGTCTGTAGAGCCTTCTCTTTGTAGGGTAATGCGTTTTTCGCAGCCATTATTTCAACTCCACTTAAGTATAGACGAAGCTATAATTATGAGCTAAAAGGACCGAGAACTAAATTGTGAACATATAAAGAAGTGAAATAATGCGGACCGTTAATGATTCCCAGTTAGATATCTCTATTTAACCAAAGGTTACTGTTGGGAAACGAGGACCTTGTCTCAGACATGTTAGTCCCATGTCTCGCAGGCCACAGGCCATAAACTTCGAATTAACGAATCCATAGATTTTGGATAGTAGTTAATTTAACAGCTTTCTTTATTTTACTTATTCACCAAAACTTCTTCTGTTGTTCAGGGTCCATACACTGTAATCCATATGGGCCCTAGCACACCCGTGCACCTGGCAAGACGTGTCGGTGCAACTAGAAAAAAACTACTTTGATAGAGACCACCTTCAACTCACCTTAACCATGTCCGAAGTGTCAATCGACGGTACTGCCTTCCATAAGAGGTTGTCGATTCTCCAGACAAAGTTGGCTTCCGAAGAATTCAATACCATTTCTTCGTTGCTCTTTCTTGTGGGTGCCAGAGACGATGAGTCTACTTACAAGAAATCGACTATCCTTCAGCTTTGGCTTTGGGCTACGAGTTTGCTCACACTGCTATCTTCGTTACGCAAGACAAGTGTGTGATTCTTACTTCTGAGGGTAAAGCTAAACACTTGGGTCACTTGAAGACCAAACCTACTGCCAACTCCAGTGATGTGGAGGTTTGGACGAGAACAAAGGACCAAGACCATAACCGCAAGTTGTTCACTGACTTGGTGGCAAATCTCAAGGAATCATCCACCGATGGCAAGAAGGTTGGTACTATTGTCAAGGATCAATTCAAGGGCAAATTCATCGATGAATGGAAGGAAGTTCTGAAACTGGAAAACCTCGAGTTCACTGATGCTGCTCTTTTGGTGTCTAAGAGTGTCGAAGTTAAGGACTCAGATGAGCTCAACTCCACTAAGTTGGCCTCCAAGGCTTCAGTGGTGATGATGGACTCTTTCACTAACGACATGATGGTCATCGTGGACGAGGAAGTCAAGACTACGAACGTTGACATCTCAGACAAGCTTGATAGAAAAATTGACAGCTCCAAATGGTACACGAAACTGGCCTTGGGCAAGAAGTTGTTGCACAACGATAAGGATTTCGACGCTGAGCAGATTGATTGGTGTTATTCTCCAATTGTTCAGAGCGGTGGCGACTACGACTTGAAGCCAAGTGCCTTGTCTTCTGAGAAGAGATTTGTTGGTGACGGTGTCATCATTGCTTCTGTCGGTTTGAGGTACAAGAATTACTGCTCCAACATTGGCAGAACTTACTTGATTGACCCATCTCCTGAAGTGTCTGACAACTACGATCTTTTATTGGAATTGCAAGAACATGTGGTCAGCAAGTTGTTGAGGAGTGGTGTTTTGGCCAAGGATGTTTTTGCCGGTGTCGTGAAATTTGTTGAGTCCAAGAAACCCGAATTGGCATCTCATCTTACCAAGAACGCTGGTTGGTTGACTGGTCTTGAATTCAGAGATTCTACTTTGGTGTTGAACGCCAAGAATGAAAGAAAATTGGTTGATGGTCAAGTCTTCTCTTTGACTGTTGGTTTCTCTGGCTTGACTGATTCTAAGGCAAGCAACCCCAAGTTGAAGAACTACTCATTGCTTCTTACAGACACTGTGAGAGTTGGTGATGGTCAATCTTTTGTTTTGACCAACTACCAAAAAGCTAAGAAAGAAATTACTTTCAACTTGAAGGATGAGGAAGAAAAGCCAGTTGCGCCAAAGAAGGAAAACGGTAAGAAGATCAAGTCCGAAAAAGACCAGAATATCGAGAAGAACCTTGCTGTCAATGAAAACCAGTCAAGAATTTTGAAGAACAAATTGCGTCACGAATCTGCAGCAGCAGACGATGTTAATGCTGAAAAAATCCGTCAAGAAGCACAAAGAAAGTTGCACGAAAAGAGACAGCAAGAAGGTCTTGCAAGATTCTCTCAGGCAGATGCCAATGACAATGCTGACTTGAAGCCTGTCTTTAAGAAGTACGAATCTTATGTCAGAGAGTCCCAGATTCCTAGCAATGTGAGAGACTTGAAAATCCACATCGACTACAAGAACCATACCATTATTCTCCCTATCAATGGTAGACCAGTTCCATTCCATATCAACTCGTTCAAGAACGGTTCGCAAAATGAGGAAGGTGACCACACCTACTTGAGATTGAACTTCAACTCTCCAGGTGCTGGTGGTAATATCGGTAAGAGAGCTGAATTGCCATACGAGGATGCTCCTGAAAACCAATTCGTCAGATCTATCACTTTCAGATCTCGTGATCGTCAAAGAATTGTCGATGTATACAAGGCCATTCAGGACTTGAAAAAGGATAGTGTCAAGAGGGAGGCTGAAAAGAAGCAGCTTGCCGATGTTGTTACCCAGGGCAACTTGATCGAACTCAAGGGCTCCAGAATGAAGAAGTTGGAGCAGGTCTTTGTGAGACCAACGCCTGACACTAAGAAGGTTGGTGGTGTGTTGCAGATTCACGAGAACGGTTTGAGATATCAGTCTGTACTCAGGGCAGACCAAAAGATTGACGTTTTGTTCTCAAACGTCAAGCACTTGTTTTTCCAGCCTTGCAAAGATGAGTTAATTGTCATTATCCACTGCCACTTGAAGAGCCCTATCATGGTTGGTAAGAGAAAGACCCTTGATATTCAATTCTACCGTGAAGCTAGTGATATGGCATTTGACGAAACCGGAGGCCGTAAGAGAAAGTATAGATACGGTGATGAGGATGAATTGCAACAAGAACAAGAGGAGAGAAGAAGAAAGGCTCTTTTGGATAAAGAGTTCAAGAACTTCGCCGAGATGATCAGTGATGCTTCCAATGGTATGCTTGATTTGGATATTCCATTCAGAGAATTGGGTTTCACCGGTGTTCCTTTTAGATCTGCTGTCTTCTGTATGCCAACCAGAGACTGTTTGGTTTCTTTGATTGACCCACCATACCTTGTGGTGACTCTAGAAGAGATTGAAATCGCTCATTTGGAGCGTGTTCAGTTCGGATTGAAGAACTTCGATTTGGTTTTCGTCTTCAAGGACTTCAACAAGCCAGTCGTTCACATAAATACCATCCCAATGGAAGTATTGGAGGATGTCAAGCATTGGTTAACAGATGTTGATATTCCTTACAGTGAGGGACAAATGAACTTGAACTGGGGTGCCATCATGAAGCAGGTCTTATCGGACCCATACAGTTTCTTCTCTGATGGAGGCTGGCGTATCTTGACCGGTGACGGTGAAAGTGAAGAAGAGGACTCTGAGGAAGAGGAATCTGAATTCGAGGCCAGTGACGATGATCCATCGGACGAAGAGGTTGACAGTGACGAAGGAAGCGAGGATGCCTACTCTTCCGACGGATCTGGAAGCGGCAGTGGTGAAGAAGAAGACGAAGAAAGTGAAGGTGAAGACTGGGATGAATTAGAAAGAAAAGCTGCCAGAGACGACAACAGACGTGGCAGAGAGTAATCAGATGTTGTAATGTACCATAATAAAAGACCATAAGCTGGATACGTGTAAAGTTAATATCAAATGCTTATTTTGTTATTGTGACACCATGTGTGTGATGAGGCTGAAACCAGCTCGGCATTTCCCAAAGTCTCTGGTTGGCTGGACAAAGAGGGTGCTTTTAGGAAAGTTGAAATCTTAGTATTCTTCAACATTAAAGATAAAATGAGATTACCATCACATCAAAGCTTTACCCTGTAAATACGTCCCTTTTGATGGCCTTTTTGTTGATGTTTCGTTATGCACCGTGCTGAGACAGCGTGTTTCGCAGCCAATAACCACCATCCATTCAACTCCCAGAAACACCATATTTACCTCTTTTTAAGCAGAAAAAATGCCCTTTTCACATCCACAATGCCTAAATACCCTTCTTTCTCCCCAAATTATGCTTCTTCCTTGCAAAATGGCTTCATTGCTGACTGACGTTGCCGGAGGTACGGGTGCAGCTTTGGCCAGAGCTGGAGATTCTCGTCGTTCGTTATGTAGGTGTCGTTTTCTGTGAGAAACCAAAAAACAGTTACCTCGTGAGCCCTTTTCCCCTACTCATTAGTACCACGGTCACCCCCTTTGGTTCACATTTAAATCAAGAACAGTCTATTCTTCTCAGCTGCTCTTCATACATTTACCCAGATAAACAGCCTGCCTTCCATATATTATGAGTGATAACACAGACGACTACTCCTACGACTACGAGTACCTATACAAGATTGTCTTGATCGGAGACTCTGGTGTTGGTAAGAGTAACTTGTTATCGCGTTTCACCAGAGATGAATTCAACTTAGAATCCCGTTCTACTATTGGTGTGGAATTCGCCACGAGAACGTTGGAGATTGATGGTAAGAGAGTCAAGGCCCAGATTTGGGACACCGCTGGCCAGGAGAGATACCGTGCCATTACATCCGCATACTACAGAGGCGCTGTGGGTGCTTTGATTGTGTATGACATTTCCAAGACGGAGTCGTACGAGTCTGTGTCCAGATGGTTGAAGGAGTTGAAGGAGCATGCCGATGCCAACATTGTGATTGAGTTGGTGGGTAACAAACTGGACTTGGACCACTTGCGTGCTATTCCAACCGACGAGGCCAAGAGCTTTGCTACTGAGAACAGTCTTTTGTTCACTGAGGCCTCTGCTCTTTCTTCCGACAATGTCGACTTATCCTTCCACCAGTTGTTGAAGAACATTTACGAGATGATCAGCAAACACCAGTTGGACACCGACGAAAAGATGTCATCTGTTAAGCCTTCCGGTGGCCCAACCATCAGCTTGACCCCTGCACCTCAGGAGAAGAAGAGCAAGAACAACTCCAACTGTTGTTAAACAAGGGAGTTTCATTTTTTTGGGAGAGTTTTGGAGCTCATGTGTTGAGCAATATATATTGTGCAAGCGATACAACAGCAGCATTCAACAGAACTACTTGTAATGCAGCCTAATGTGATCATATGCTGCTACGCTGTTTAGATCTTGAGCTCTTTTTTTCATTATATTAATGTACACGCAGAATATAGAGTTTCCGCTTGCCTGAAAACATCGTAGATGTCTTTTCTATTATACATTGGCTTCTTGTCAGCTCTGAATGAACAAACCTGCCATGGTACCATCAAGTTATGCTGTTGTGTGAAAATCATCTCGAAGTACCGAGGGTAACCACGACCACCTTGCCTTCAGCTTACTTCTTTGCTGGACCTTGAAGCTTAGGTTTCTGACTGACTGGAACTTTCAAGGGCCTAGACACACCCTTGCCCTGTTTGAGCTGGTTGAACCTTTTCTTCATGTCTGCTGTAGGTCCCGTCTGGATAGTAAAACCCACAACCTGCTCACCTCTCAAAACTATAAGTCCTAGGAACCTCTTCTCTTCATTCACCTTTACCTGGCCATCGACCTTATTCTTGGCTAGCTCCTGGTACAGCTTCTTGGTGACTCTGGCTTCTTCAGTGTCCCCCAAAACGAGGTTCATGTGTTTGTCAAACGCTAGAAGCTGGCCCACAAACGACCTACCGTCGATTGTGGTGACCTTAAGACGATAATGTATAAGGTCAGCTAACTTTGTATTCTTGTTGACGGTGAAGGACATGCAGAGCTAGTTAAGTGTTGAAGATGATGTAGAAGAGTTATGTGAAGCGATAGTGCGAAACTCACACAGAGACCAGGTCTCCTTTGGAGGCACCACAGTATCAATGAAGTGCCCTTACCCTTGATAAATTGAATCTTTGAACTCTTGTAAGTAGAAGCAGCTGTCGCTATTGGATGCAAATGTATCACTGTTGAGTCCAGGGCATCTTGTTCCTCGTAGCAGTAAATGGCTGTCAAGTACTAGACATGGCACATAGACGGCACTATCTTTCCTCTCTGACGTGTCATAAACTTAGGGAAGTATTCAAGAAGTTTATTCAAAGCTTTACATTTGATATCCTTCCGTATTTCTCGTCATATGTGTTAGTGTTGTGGCTTTCTTCGCCTAATCGTACAAAATTCACCGAACTTTCCCCATAAATTTGCCCAAATCCTAGCAATTCTATTCCCTCATCATCCACCAATTCAGCCATCCAAAATACTACAAAACTAGAGCCCCTTCCCTTGGAATGTCATTGTTTACAAGGGCGTTTCCTGGACGTGTGGTTGCTGGGGTATATAATGGAGCGGATTCGCAACATGAAAAAAAGCAGATTGTAACACTTGAATCTCCATAAATACACCCAATTGCCATGGCTGAAGAAGAGAAACAAGCCGTTGTGGATACCACCGAGAAGGTCGCTGAGCCTGTTGAACAGGTTGCTGCTCCAGAAGTGCCAGAGTCCACAGAAACCACCGAAGTGGAAAAAACTGAGGCTACCACTGAGCCTACTGAGACCACTGAGGCTGGTGAGTCCACCGAGAAGAAGAGAGAGCACGAAGGTGGTGACAAAAAGAAGAAGAAGAGAAGAAGAAACTATGATGATGAGCCACCAAAGGAGGAAGCCAAGTCTGAAGACGAGGAAGATAAGGAGGTAGAAGGCGAAGTTGAAGGTGAGGAGGAAAACGCCGAGGACGAGGAAGAGGACTTGTTGGAGATCGACGAGTCCAACATCATCACCGGTGGTCGTAGAACCAGAGGTAAGGTGATTGACTTCCAGAAGGCTGCCGAGGAGAACGACATTCCTGAGGACGACGAGGACGACGGAGAGTTTGAAGCCAAGGACGAGGAGGAAGTTAAGGAAGAAGCCTAACTACATAACAATGAAATCATAGATGATGAAGCAGCGTGTATGAAGCTATATCAAAAAAAAAGCAAAAGCTAAAAAAAAAAAAAAAATTAAAAAAATTTCGTAACGTATTGAGACCCGAACTAACTTGGAAATGCCTACACGGCGAAACCTTGTAGTCTATAATTTTTGATGAAACCATAGCATCACTGCGGACGATACGTCCAATAAATAACCAAATAAAAGCTGGCTGTGATGCAAATAAATGTAAAAGGATGAAAAAAAGGAAGCAAAAACTGAATTGTAACTCACATAATAATTTTTTTTTTTTGTTTTTCTTTAAGGGAATGCTAGTGAAAGACACTTAGCATGAAGCCATGTTGCAGGCGTAATAAGGATTGTTGTAACCGAAGTAGTTGGCGCCAGACATAGCGGGATCATGCTGGGGAACATACTGGTACTGAGTCGGCGTGTAAGCCCAGATCGACGGTTGCGATGGGTACAGCGGACGAAAGTTGTAGTTCAGGGCCCATGAAGGCTCCTGAGCATACTTCGCTGGAGACATATCAGATGGAGAAATATTGTAACCGGACGAAATCGAGGACTGGTACAGAGGCGACGATGGAATAGGTGATGAGCTGTAGTAGCCTCTGTCAGAAGACAGCACAGGAGAGGAGACATTGTTGGACTGGTTCTGTGGAGAGTACTTGTCCAACCAGGTCTTCCAACATTCCTCCAAAGTGCGAATGTTGTCTCTGAACTTCACCACATTCAACTGCCATTGAACCTCGCGGAGCCAGGTGGCTTCCTCTTCGTTAATCACTTCAATCTGGAGACCAGTAGCACCACACCAGGATCTGTTGGTGAAGGTGTTGTCATCGTTGAACTTGTTAGCCAAAACCAAGGCGACAACCAACTTAACAAACACTTCGTGCTCAGACATGTAGCCAAGGGGAGCCGAGGAGAAACGCTGGTTCATATATTCCAACGCAATGATAATGGAAGACTTTGGCAAGCGGGTGGCATACAAAATAGAGACGGCCATCTTTTCAAAGTCCTTGGTTGGATTCCTATTCTGGTTAAGCATGCCAAAGGCACACCAGCAAAGGAAAGCAGCCATATCATTAGGCTCATACTCCAAAACAGCATTAATGCCACCGGCAGAAGCTGCAGGGGCTGGAGCCGGAGCTGGCGCTGGAGCAGCCACAGGTGGAAGTGCTGGAGCATTCATAGGAGCAACAGGAGCCTGTACAGGCATGTAGGCAGGCGGACCTTGAACCATCGAGTTCGAGTAGTAGCCTGGGCCCATGCCCATAGACATCTGATGCTGATGCTGATGGTGCTGGTGGTGCTGAAAAGGCACCTGGTGCTGGAACAGGCCAGCTGGCATAGGCTTGTACTGAGAGTACGGATAGCCCGAGTACAGAGCGGAAGCTCTGTGGCCAGAAGTGCCGATGTTAGAAGAGAACATGGTCTTTCTTTCTTGGAAAAAAGCTTTAGTTGTTAATTCCGGAGCACAAGGGAACGAGGACGGGAAAACGAAGACTTAGTGAAAAGCTCGATTTCCAGGAATGCTTTGCCTGTTCGATTTCTTGTGGGCTTCTGATTATTTAACCCTTTGGGGAGGGAATAAATAAGGAGAAAGGGGGGTTTTGGGGGGTTTGTAAAAAACAGAAAACGGAGAGAGAGATGCTTATCTTTTCAAGTAACTCAGGTGTCTCCGTGTGTGTTTTTTAATTAATTTTTTTTGATGGGGGGATGGGAAAGAAAAAGAAGTGTGTTGGTCATATATAGAGCATTTGTGTGAGTTTTATTTCGAGGCCGTACGGGAAGGCATACAAGGTGCAAAAAAAAAGTAATAAAACGTAATACAAAAAAAAAAAAAAAAAAAAAAAGTAAAAACATGAAGCTGAGCAGCACCCATATACACTCCCGTCCAGTCTAATTGGAGCCTTCCCGAGCCGCCCTTGGCAAATAGGGGCACGGGCCTGGCCCAGGCCCAGTTGGCCCAGCTGCCCTAGTTAGACTTCCTAGGTAGATTCCAGAAGGCAGAGGGAGAAGATAAAGAGTGGAAATACAAAGCAGAAAACATAGTAACCAACAACGTGTGTAAGCAACTGCCTGCCCCCTTTCCGTAAATTGGCATGGCATGGCCTGGCCTGGCCTGGAACCGCCAGGGCGGTGGTGGATATTCGGTCAGCTGGCGCCAAAATTGCCAGCACAAGGCACAAAACTGTGCGCCTCAGCGGTTGTTGACGACGCAGAGGGAGAGAAACAGGGATGGACAGGAAGAGGTAGTGGAGTGGGAAAGGAAGGAAAAAGCAAGGAAAAGGAAATACAACTTAAAGTCTTTGAAATCAAAGATTAATCTACTTCTTTTTAAGAGTATTTTCCTGAAATCCCTTGGTTACTTCACCTTTACTTCCTCTGTCCATCTGTGTATACTGCCTCTGTTTCCTGCCTGTTTCCTGCTTAGTGGTACTTTTTTTTTTTTTTTTACTCATTCTTTTAGTTATTTTTTTTTCTTTGACTTCCTCTTGGGCTGATTCTTTTTTGCTTGTCCATTTCTTTTTTTCACCTAATTTTCACCTTTTCACCTTTTTACCTTTTTTCAGGCTGTATACTGTCTGCGTACCGCTTGTCTACTGCTGATTTCACTTGCTTGCGATTACCACAAATCAGCCAGAGCAAGGCGGATCCGAACAATCCGAGGACTGAAACTTTTGATTTTGCTTTCTAGTGGCCTTGGATTTGCTGACTTTTGCTGCCTTCGATTTTCTTTTTTTCCTTTTTTTTCCTTTTTCTTCTTCCTCTTCCTCTTCCTTCTTGTCCTTGGGCTTTTCTTGCCTGGGATGGGGCCTGCAGGATGAGCAGCACCTGGTACCGTCTTTGCCAGAGCCACTCGCTCGCAGTGTGATACCACCAATGTCTAGCTGGAACGAGGTTGATGGCATATCAGCCGCATAGTGGGATGCTGGGTCAGTTTTTTGCTTTTCTTTTCGTCATTCGGCTGCTTCGGGTGTTTGATCGCTGCCACGTGATATCTCCACGTTATTCATCCACCCCCTGAGGTTTGTATGTTATTTGGTAGTATGCATTTCGCAGCCATTCTTCCGATCCACCCGAATTGTCCAAACCGAGGATGGGAGGTTGGATACGAAATGTTGATCGGTGGCCATCAAGATGGCCACTAGATGCTCTTTGATGCTCTAGAAGAGCTTTTGAAGTATACCTCCCCTGTTATGTCCGTGGCGCTACTTGGCGCCAAAGTCTATTCAGTCTAAACTCTATTTCTTCCCAATCATTTCACGAATTAGGTTACCTGTCATTTACTCTACACTTTCTTAAACCTATTTTATCCATTACCCAAATATCTATATTATTCCATCCCTGCTCATTCCTTCTTGATATGGATCGGTTGCAAGCCTTCTTGCTTTGAAAAATTGAATACCGACCTGATGGGTGGGAGCGTAGTGCCATTATCCGCTATGCTCTCAGTCTTATGCTCTGCTTGTGCCTGCGATGCCTGCTTCTGTTTCTCCAACTTACTAAACAAGTATGTCGAGTTGATACCCTTATCAGACAAGTTCTGTGCTTGAAGTGGTGGAGAATGCGATGGTGTCTGTAGCGGCGTTTCGTTAGGCGAAATGATGAAGGCAGGGTTGCCAGTACGCGTTGTGTTGGCTGAATGTGGACGTGGTGGGGAGTTGGTCAAGTTTCTCTCAACGCTAGGCGTCATGTACAAATTCACAGCTGATCCCGTAGGAGAGTTGGGTCTGGACTTCTTGATGGGCTGGCAGAATTCAAGATTGAGCTGTGTCAGCGATGCTGGTTTTTGGATCTGTGATAAGCCCAGAGAGTACTGGGCGTTAGGTGATGTAACTTTTAGTGGAGTCATTCTTTGGAATGACAGAAGCGAGCTTGATAAATTGCCCAAATTGCCCAGAGAGCTGCTGGTCTTGAGCTTATTGAGCGAGCTGTTCGAGCCGAATGTCCTCAGTCTATGGAAATAGTCGTTGAGGTTTGAGAACGATGGTGTTTGCAGATTCTGGAACTGTCCCTGGTTTTTATGTGGTGGTTGGGCCATTTTGGCAGTTTCTGGGGAGTTTGCAAGTGAAGTAGCGGATGAATTTGGCGTAGAGCCAGTGTTTGAATTGCTGAAGACATAGGATGAGTTTGCAGCCGCTGAACTTATGGAAACCAGGCTGTTGGTCTTACCCAAGTGACCGTTGTTAACTGGAGGAGGTGAAAGAGCCTGGCCGTGTCCAAAGCGAGAGTTGAGCGGTTTGGAAATCTGTGATAAGCTCTTCTGGCCGTATTGTGGTGGAGATTGAGGCTGTGAGTCCGCTGGCGCTGGCGTAGCACCGCTTGGAGATGTCAGGTACTGACCCACAGGAGGAACGCTCTGGATAGGAACACCCTGAGGCATGCCATGAGGTACCCCCTGAGGCATGCCATGGTACTGTCCGTCCTCGTAGGAAACTGGCACAGCGATTGTCTGACCTGGTGGAACAGCATAGTGACCCTGAAGTTGCTGGACCTGCTGGAATTGCTGGACTCCCTGGACAGGCTGCATGCCTGGCTGGACAAAATAAACCGGGTAGGCCAGTGGATGGTAGTATTGAGCCGGCTGGCCCTCGTAACCCACGGGAATCGATGCCACTGGCACATTCATTCCAGGTTGCTCAACCTTGGAGTCCATCAGACGATACTTGCTGGGTCTCTTTCGGCTGGCCGGATTGTTATGGATACGCAAATGTCTTGTCAACTCGTCTGAACGAGAAAACCTCTTTGTACAACCAGGGAACGTACAAGGATGGGGCTTTTCACCGGTATGGGTTCGAATGTGCCTGGTTTGGTGCTCTAGCCTGTGAAAGGCCTTGTCGCACATGGTGCACTTGTAAGGTCTGTCTTCCTTCTTCTTGTCCATGGCTGGCTAGACTGAGGAGATGTTGAGCGTAATGTTTTCGAAAGCAATGAGTAGTTGGTAGTGTTTAGATGTGACTTTTTTTTTCTCTTGACGTTAGGTTGAGTAGAACAAGCGAGGCGGGAAAAAGTCAGGGCTTCAAAAAAAGAAATATTGTTGGCTGGGGCATTGTGGAGCGCTTCTATACAGAGAGGGTGCGCAGCTGTAAGGTTACTATGGGCCAGGCTGCAGGAAGATGCCTGGGGCAGAGGCGCTGAAGAAAAGTTTTTCCGAAACCATTGCCGGCTCGGGGGCCCCCACGGGCACATGGGGTGGGGTTATAGTGGGGGTATACTTATAATATTTGTGTTGCGTGATAGCGGAAAAGGAGAGGGAAGTTTGGGAACCCCTAAAGAGAAGGTAGTTGGTATTCTTTGAGCATTTACCTCCATTGTGGTCCACTTTATTACCTTGTTACGACCTCGGAGTCGGTGAGTACTGCAGGAAAGCGCAAGAAGTAATCGCCCTTGATAATGCTTTGCACATCACTTCAGTCGCAGAGGCCGTGGGGCGTCACGCGTGTATCTGCCGAGGAATCGTGCAAAGCGACAAGAAACGCCAGTCTTGAATTGCGAGGTATGGCCCACCGGCGACGCGCGACTGCACGTAGGCCCGTCATCGCACGTTATGGAGGGGGAGTTTTTCCGGCGCTCCTGCTCCCCCACTCTCCCTCCACGGTGTCACTTTTGTGAAAGTTTTGGGTTTGGCGAAGTCTACGAAGAGTATTAAGCTGTGCCTTGTCTATTGAATTCTAAATGTAACGGTTATTGTGTATTGCTTGGGGTTGCTTTGCGCAAAATCTGTTTCTGCGTCAGATGATGAAATGCAACGTTGCATGCGACTCATGATATCTCCCTATTATGCCCTCCAGGTTTCGTCCCCAGGTCCGTAAACATGTCTTAGATCGGATTTTTCTTTTCTTTCCTGCAATACCTCATGTGACGTTGCAATCAGAATAATTAAAGGTTGCACGATAAGTTTCCCCAGGTTTTCTTGTCTGGTGTCTCCATATCTGACTCGGACCTATATCTCCTGGTTGAAGTCGAGCCATTGGTCGAACCACTGAAGGTTGCCTAAGAAATTATCGTTACCAAAGGCATCTGAAGCTGGTTGTGAAGGAACCGTTCCCGGGGATGGATCGTCAGAAACAACACTTCTTGTATGGTCGTAGTACTCTCTCTTGCTCTGGTCCTCCATGAGTTTCTCCAAGTCGTCTTTTTTCTTTTGCTTCATGAGTCCAAACTGAGTAAAGTATTGCTGGTTGACCTCTGCTGATCCTGGATCCGTGCCATACTCTTCGATATCGGCAAGGGACTTTTGGAAACTAAGTGACATGATCTTATTGGTCATCTTGAACACCCAAATACACTCTTTCACCATTTTGAACCTTTCGTGAAAGATGAGCTTACCTTTATCATTCTTAACCGGCGAGTCTTGGTAATAATTAAGCAAGTTCATAGAATCCTTCATTAGTCTTCGTGATTCAACAAGGAAAACACCCGCATTGATGAAAACAAGACAGTTGATACCAACATTAAACAACAAGAGAAGGTTAATATACCAAGGAGCGTATAGACACTTTGCGTTTTTGAGTTTGTTGAGCAAATAAATGACTCCTTCGTTGGCTTCGACCACTTTCTCGATTTGCATACCTTCCGATGCAAGACGTTTCCCGAAGTAGCTGAATAGAAGCTTTCCATGGATTGCCAACAATAAGTCATAGAAGTGGAGCTTGACAGTAGCTTTCATCATATGTGAAACAGGACCTCCGCAGCCTTCGTAAGGGAAAATATCATGCACATCGTCAAACCCATTCTCAGAAAGCCAACCTTGAAGCAAGTAGATTTCCTTATTGATTTGCTGAGACTTAAGCAAGTCATAGTTGTCTGAACTATTAGTGTGAATGAAGTTGGACACACGAGCGATATGTATCATTGCAAAGGCAGGTAAAGTGATCCAATCGTCACCTGCTGATTCCTTAACGAAATCGAAACTGGGGAAGGGCCGTATTATATCAAACTCGTTGAGCGCTCTGTAACGGCCAGCTTGAAGAAACATGATTCTATCAAAGCAGTAAACTGAAAAGAAAATACGCTTGGCCTTCAAAAGATCGTATGTGGAAACGTCAGCAGTAACTTTTCTGTCTCTAAACAATCCCATAGAACGACACATACCGATTGCATGGCCAAAGGCAGAGTTGGCGGCTGTTTGTCTGTGGGTAATACGCAAGTAAAGCGTCACGAGCAACCAGCACTGGATCAACTCAAAGGATTCCCATTCAAAACTGAAAATTTGCAAGACCTTATGGGAATATTTGAAAAGTCTTTCTTCCAAACGAAGCATATCCATACTAGGTCCCTCTGGTTTCATAAATTGCACGAAACGATTACTTAAAGCATAGACGAGACATAACATTGCCAGGAAAAGGGCTGTGACGTTGGTAGGAGCACCAGAACTTGACTGTTTGTTGAAAGCCACTATCTGCTCTCTGAAGACGGTTTCGTGGAGAATTGCGTAAAGAGGGTTGATTTCACGGAAGAAGAAATCGACATAATGCGTCTTAGTAGCTTCGTTGAGCAATTTGATATCTGGCAACGAAGGCAAAGGCTCAGGCTTAAGATAATTACAGCCAGATAAGTTCCATCCGAAATACTGAGTACGAGGAACAGTAACCTTCAGCTTGGCTTCTGGGTCAAGACCTTCGTACAAAGCCTTACACAACTCAATCACCAAAGCGTTTTGGTGTCGCCTACTTGAACGCCATTTGGAAGCTGTGTGACGCATTAAGTCTGCAACATCCAGAGTATCTGGATTGATCCTTCCCACGTTCTTAACGTGCCCATTCAGGTGATCAGAGAGCAAGTTCTCTAGGTAGTGAACTCTATTTTCCAAGTATGCCGTATATGATGGATCAGCATAATTTTTTTGAATAACTGGTAAAGCGTGAGAATGGTAGTTAGGAGTTGCTGGTACGTTAGGTGGGTGATCATTTTGAGTTTGAACGGGATGAGTAGGGAATGGATCTGGCGAGAAAGCCGACCGTTGTTTCTTTCTCTGTGGACCATCTGGTGCTGACATTTCGCTCAGTGGAGCAAGGCCATCATTGCTTGTGGCAGAAGATGTAGAAACACCAAGGATGTTTCCTTGAGTAGTTACAGTGGCAGTAGCCTGACCGGCAGTTCTAAACACACATTCAACACTGTGCTTGACGCAATTCGTACAAGGCTGGCTTCCGCTGCACTTGACTTTATGATTACGACAACGTTCACAAGCTTTGTTCACACGCATACGAGCCTTTTCTTGACCAGCAGCCACTGACTGAGCAGCAGAGGCACCATCCATAATACCATTTGGATTACTGGTATTATTGTCGTGTGATTGTGGAATGCCTTGGTTGGCAAGACCAGAGTTCATTGAATTGTAAGCAGCGTAAGGAACCGCATGGCCTGGACCGGACACTGGTGCTCCATTAGAACCCATATACATAACATGGCCTGGATGTCCTCCAGGAGTTGGCGCCTGGACAGGCTGGACACCAAATCCATGGCTTTGTGGAATTGGAGTAGCTGCTGACAGCCATACCGAAGGCTTCCGGTGTTCAAGTGGTTGGAACGGCTTCAGCGGCTGGCCTGAGGAGTACTGGTTAAGTGGAGGATAAGCCGTATCGTAAGCCTTCATTGATGGAAGCGTATCGTAAGACTGAGTGGCATCATTAGCCAGAGATGGCCTATTTTCAGGCACAAGGTTTGGGTCCTTTCTTAGATTGTCTTGGATGGACTGTTTATCTTCAGCGTCAGACATTGTTGATAAGATGAGATAAACAATAGCTTATTCATGAAAAGGGTAGGAAACGAATATTTCAAGACGTCTGATGATGGAATCAATACGTTGGACCGTTTACGGTTAGGTGAATTCGGGTATCTTTCCAGATGAAGCGATGACAGGATGAAAAAGATAGAGTGCGTTGAAGATGAAAGACCGACTGCGGATTTCCCATCAGTAGGCCATAGAAAAGATAGAAAAGGTAGTCTAGGTGCCAATATTTATCCCAAAGCTTCCTCCAATAGTGTCCAAAATCAACCCAGATCTCTACAAAAGACGACCTTGCCTCTCCCCAGTGGTTGCAAATTTGTGCTTCTTGGAGTCTCGGGATAGACGTCAAACTGGCTGGTCCGACGGGCCGTGATTCGGATCAGATAAGCTGGTGCAGGAGAGCGAGTTAGACTCGCGGGAGGTGGTAAGCCAGGGAAGTTATGAGGAAGGTTTAAAGAAAGGTTTCCTGGGAATGAATTGTAGGGTATGGAATGAGGAAGGTGGTTTTAAGAATGTTCTGGTGGTATCATGGTGGCACGAAGTGTCTTGTGTTTCAAAGGTTAAGTAGTTCGCATTTGCAGGTTTTGGGTTGTAGTGAGGAAAGAAACCAGAGATATGGACCTTCAATCCAGGAACTGTTCCCAGGCAAATTTCCAGAAGAAACTGGACTTCATCCAGGACAGGACCAAAAGTGGCTACTTGCCAAATCCATTCAAGGTCGAGATCTGCAAATGTGGAACATGCTGGTGTTACCCTCCGTGTGGAGTGGCTGCGAAAAAGAAAAACCCACCAGAAAGCGTTGAAAATCTAATAATGGCCCAAGCCATTCACAAGTAGCTATATGGGAAGGGCAGCACATACCTTCTTTGGCTGAAGGTCACCCAATAATGAAATACGCATATACAGTTTAACTTTAGTCTTCTAGGCTTAGCGACCAGCAACACATCCAACCACTGCATGTTGCCCAAACTAAGAAGTCTGGTTTGGAGACATGGAGACATAGCATACAGCAAGACTAGACGAGACGAAGCAACGGTTGGAAGTACAATGATAGGGGTGTCCTGTGAAATTTGGAAAAGAGTAGCCGAGAAAAAAAGACAAGAAGGAAAATAATAAAGGAAGGTTTCTTGGTAGTGGAGAGAGCCATTCTGGTGGAAGTACGAGGAGAACTTGAAGACTTTGTTTCTTTTTTAGCCTTTTTCACTTTAATTATTTTTACGTTTGTTGGCACTGCAGTAGACGACGGCCACGTCAGACCGTTGGAGTAGATTAAATGTGAAACGTGAAACATGCCGTGTATACCGATCGACCCATTCAATTGTCAGGCACGAGAAGAGAAAAGCTTGATTGGCCCACCACTCAGAATAAGCCATGTATGACGAATGTGGACACGAGCCACGGCACCAGCCAGCCAGAAATCGATAAGCTTTTCAAGTGGATCATCGAACAAAAAGATATACGGAGAGAATAAGGGTCCCTCTATTGTACCCATATGGGAATGGCAGCGATCTGAGGAATGGTTGCAAAAGGGCGCGTTGGTGAGGGTTAATCGTTTACAATGGAGACAAGCAGCCAGAGCCAGAACGGTTACCATAGAATAGACATTGTAGAGAACAGGGCCCAGTGCCGATCCAGATTTGCTCTGGCACGAGCCAGAAAGGCCGCCACTTGGCCGTACATACGAGAAAGAAGTGAAATTAAAAATAAACATCAAAGAAAAAGGAGGTGGATAAGGGAAATTGAAGGAAAAAGAAAGGTGGAGGCCGTGGAGGCCCTTTGGGGGAGGGTACGGAAAGTACGGGCGCAAGAAGGTTTGAGCCCCCGGGTCCAGGAAGAGGCGGGGGGAGGAAAAAAAAAAAAAAGAGCCATGAAGTGGGAGTGTCAACAATGAAACGAAAGCACAATTAGACCGATTTGGAAACCGCGAGACGAGCCCGTACAGTGACCAAAAGGGATAAAGGACAATTTGCCTGTGGGTAGAAGAAGAAGGAAAAAAAGGTGGGAAATGAGCGACAAAGAGACATTGTAAGTGGCAGTGGGCGACGAACTAAGGTTTCGGGGGAGGGTTAGGGTTAGGGCGAGGGTAGGCCAGGCGGCAAACGGGAGGCAAGGGCAAGAATTGTAGGGTTAAACGTAGGCAGACAGATGTAGGGCAGAGACATGGTGAGGTCATAGGGCTTAGGGCGTGAGAGGGAGAGCCAGCTTGGCGCCGAGGTGGAAGCATCTAGCATGGGTAAATGAGAACCAACCAAAAAACAAGCCAGGGAGATAAGATGAGCGGCATGGTTAGAAGAAACAGAGGATATACATGAAATAGGGGTGGATGTTTACTTGTTATGTTCGTAAATGGATAGGGATGCCCAAGTGGTGATCACAAAAGCGGGAGTAAACCAAGAAGCTTACTTAGCTGAAGAAAGTAGGGGACACAAAAACAGAGCAGTTAAACCCGTAGGCAGTAAGGCAGTAGGCGTTGGTGCGCGGGCGTTGGTCCCAAAAAGCCAAAAAAAGATACACAGAGACATGTATAGAAAGAGAGAGAAAGAGGGGGAGGGACTGGGGTTGTGAGAAAAAAAATCTGGGTTTGCTAGCGCCAAAAGGGTTACATCATCATTTTATCGCTTTTGCATTCTTGCTCGCGGCATTAGACCCGATCCGCCCGGCAGCAGGCAGCAGGCAGTAACAGGCAGTAACAGTTGGGCTCATGATGGGTGTGCAGTAGAATTCACAAAGTAGTAGTTGACTGGGGTGGAGGAGGGAAAGAGGGAGAATTCACAAAGAAGACAAAGAAGTGGCATGCCTGTTGGGTTGTGGTTGCCTTGGGATGAGTAGACAACGGTGGGTACGGTGGGAGGTACGGTAGGAGGTAGAAGGTGGAGGGCCAGAATGCGTGGGTAGACAAGTACGGAATTTGGAGCCGATCAGGCTACGTCTGGGCTACGTCTGGGCCACTTCTGGGCTCTGGTGGCCACCTCGTAATGGTACAGCCGAGAAGTACAGTTGAAACGAAGCCAAACGGGATTGTCGGTTATGGAATTCGAAATAGGATTTTCTGGAACACGAGAGATGGAATTTGAGCCCGATCCAATTGGCGGCAGCAGGAGCCGCGAGCCGCGAGCCGCTCAGCATTACCAGCGGCAGCAGCAAAAAAAAAAAAAAAGGAGCACTGAGAACAAGGGAGAGTTTCAGGTCACGCGGTGAGAAAGAGACGCATTCGCATTCGCATCCGCATTCGCATCAGCATTTGGTTTGAAAGAACACGAACAAAGACCCCAGGCAGCATGGAGGCTGCCAGCGGCAGCACAGGAGGAGCAGCAGAAAAATAGCAAGAAATGGGAAAAAGGCCAGAAAAAGGGGAAGGCAATGGAGGGAGGCTGTTTTAGCATTAGAGGCAGAAACGGAGCAGCAGCAGGTGGTGGTAATGTAGAAGAAAAATGAAAGTTGCCGCCGGTGCCGCTGAAGCTGCTGAAGCTGGTGAGGTTCGCAGGACAAAAAAAAAAAAAAAAAAAAAACAGGACGAGAAGAATGAAGAAGAGTTGCACCATGTAATTGCCGCCCTTGGTTAGGTGGGGGATCCTGAAAACACAAAATAAAGAAGAGGTAGGGTGAATGCATTTCACAGAGTTACGTTAATCCAAGGATCATTCGGGAGAATAATTTTCCGAAGCAGAAAGCAAGAAAAAGAAAAAGAAAAGAAAAATAAAAATATAGGCTGTTCAGAGTTTCAGGAGGTCAAAGTATGAGCCATGGGCAGAGAAAAAGCCACCCACCCACCCTTCGTGGAAGGCAGTCTGGAACGAGTGTGGACCCACTTGTTCATGCGATGGGCCCAGGGCATTGGGCATATTGGGCATTGGGGAGTCGAGATACTGGCTGCGAAATTCAGAAGCCAAGGGGCAAACAAAGGCTTACGCTCTTTTTTTTTTTTTTTTGCTTGTCTGGCGTGGCATGTGCTTAGCCAAATGACAGGCGTAAAACAACCAAAATAGAATGTGCCGCGGCCAATGATGTTGCAGTGTTGGGTGGCCACTGGCCCACTGGCCCACCGGGAGTGCGTGGAAGCAGCAGCCAAGGCCAGCAGAAAGGAGACAAATGAGAAAAAGAGGTGAGAAGCAGCAGGCAGCAGGCAGTAGGCAGTAGGCAGCAGGGCGGTTGTGTAGAGTAAAACAAGCGACGACTTTTTGTACTGAGAAACGGAGCACGGAAATCGGCACCGTCACAACCGGTTGTAAATTAGGAAGGAATTGGGTGCAAAGCAGATGACAGCTGGTGATATCCAAGGACGGGGAGAAGGATAATAAACAAGAAAACAAAAAGGAGGATAGGTTGGGGATACACGAGAGAGCTAGGGGGCTCCACGAGGACTATTTCCAATGTGGGTGGTGGTTGCCAGTAGTGGCAGCAGTGGCTGTTCATCGTTTGGGTAAAGGCTGATACTTTTTCTTTTTTTTCTTTTATTTTTCGTCACCAGTATCTCCCGTGTAGGAGGCTTTTACCTTTGCCTTTTTTTTATTTTGTGCCCTTCGGGAACCACAAATGGGAAACGGGAGGTGCGAGTATTCTTCACTCGCTTTGGCCATTCTGCTGCTGCAGCCGCCCCGTTCAGGCAGGCGCCAGGCAGGTCCCCCCATAGACACAGGCCTGTTGCAGGTCAGCAGCCCAGGCCGGCCGCCTTCTTCCAGACAGGCCCAGCAGGGCAACAGGCAGGCAGGCAGACAGGCAGACAGGCAGACAGGCGTTAGGCAGCCACTGGGGCGATATGGGTTTTAGTGCCTCAGTGCATTTGAGGAAATATGGTATTGCATTGGTTTTTTTTTTTTTTTTTTTTTTTTTTTCTTACCTGCTGCAGCGATGATCGTTTGTTTCCCGTAACTGGGGCCTCTCTGATATAAGGACCCCGATGCCCCAGGTCCTTGGCCTTGAGGAAACCAATATCTTTTGAACATTTCGTCCTTCCTTTGACCTTATTCCATTATACGTCCTTTCCCATCTGCATCAGCATGTCCACGCTAGCGAAAACCTACGTGGCCTGCTGCCTACTACTCCTACAAGATCCGGGCTCTCCCTTGGTTCCTCATGATGTGAGTGACTTTGTGCTGGTGCTTGATACTTTAGACCTTTCACTGGCCAACTTGGCTCTTCTGATTGTGCTTCTTGCCCGCTACAAACGGAATGATGTTAATACGCTTGTGCTAGGCGACACTTCGGCTTTGAATACAGCTTACTATGCCATGATCGGTTCTCTTGTCTTGGCTAACAAGTATATGAACGATCAGAGTTATACGCTCAAAACATGGCATTCCATCTTGGCCAAGTGCTCCCATCTTGCTCCTACGCTCCCGCTTTTGAACCAGCTTGAAGCTCATTTCTTGAGTGCCATTAACTACTCGGTTGGTACTGCCCATGAACCTTCCTTGTGGGATAAGTTTTCCCATTTGGATCCATACTGGCTTTCCCAATTACGTGCTCAGGTTGAGGATGGTCCCGTTGCTGCTCCACTTCCTCAGTCTGTTCCTCAGGTACCTGCCCAGGTCGCTCCCCCAGTCGCTGCTGCTGCTGCTGCTCCTCAGGTTGGCCCCATGCCTACTCCACCATCGGTTCCTACATTCCAGCCTTTTGCTCCTTTGGTGGCCATGGCCCCTGTGGTTCTGCCAGCATACTGTTTAGGTCAACTGTTACAGCCTCATTTGCATTGCACGCCAGTGCCCACGCCTCCTACTGTTCCTCCACCATTGCCTCGCCAGATGTACAACCAGTGCCAGTTCCAGGCGCTCGATGACTACGTGCCAATGACACCTATGCTGGTGGGCCGCAAGCGTCGGAAGGTAGACGACTACAGCATTAGCATTAACGTGGGCCAGCCATGGTACCCTGCTCCTATGGGCGCCCAGGCTCTCCACAAGCATTACTGACGAAATGACGAAAGAAAATATAAACATTTAAAACTTTGCATAAAAGAGCTCCCTTGCTCTTGTCCCGAAAAAATATACATACAAACCTGGGCTTCCACTTGCCCAGACTACGAATCCATTAACGATGATGTAGCTCAGCCCGCTGTTAGTAGGTTTCGCATTTTGCAGCCATTCCTGCTTGCTGCGCAACACCCACCGACCAAACCTACTGGATCTGTGTTTACCAAAAACCCACATCACTCCTCCATTTGCTGTTCCCCTATCCACCACTTCTCCTCTTTGTGATACGCCTCAGACCTTCCCGGTTATACTTACACGCACCCCCGGTGTGTTAAACACCGAGCAAGCAGGATGTGCGGTGACATGGCTGTTTTTGTGTAAGCTCTCAATAGTATCCACGATTCTCAGCGGCTATTTATCTACAGCGTAAATGTGAAAAAAAAAAATTGTTGGTAATCTTCTGATTCCTTTCCCAAGGCCAAGAACTCGGACTTATACCAGTCCACAAACATCCATCGTTATCCCAAGGACAGTGATCTCCCAAGGGACCACACTACGTTGCTTTCATCTCTCATCTTTTTTCCCTTTTACCTCTTTCCTTTTACTTTTTACTTTTCCCACTTTACAGAACTGGCATCGCCTGCCCACAGCTTCTTCCATGACCTTTGCCGTACATCTCAAGTCCAGACTGCCAAACGTCCAGAAAGCAAAAATACGCAGCCTACGAAAACCCACGCCAGCTGCCAGCTGCCAGCCTTGTGACCTGGCTTTGACTTTTCTCGTTCGGGCTTTTCCGATACGCTTGCCTCGACCTTTTGGTTTGCGCCTGTAGAGGCTCTTTACTGGACAAGGCTTGGTCGCACTGGAGGGCCTCTGGCGCGTGAATGGGCATTTGCTGGAGCGTCCTGCAAGCTTTCTTGATTTGAGGAAGTTTGAATGTTTGAAGGTTTGAAGTTTGAAGTTTGGAAGTTTGTTGATTGGTGTGGTACGATGGACTTCGGGTGGAATGTGGTTTTAGGCTTTGGTTTCTGGTTTCTGTTTGGTATTCTTACTGTGCCTCTTGTCATTTCTTCTAGTCTCTGCTTCAGTTTGCACCCAGTGCGACTCATCTCTGCCCATCTCATCAGTAACTACCTGCCCCACATAAGACGTCTACACGCCTGGACCGTTCTTTCCTTGAATATTCTCCGCACATGTCCCTAGGAGAATGTACTGTGTGCCTTAAGGAGCAAGCCAAGTACAGATGTCCCAAGTGTCCGGTGACGTACTGTTCGTTGACGTGCTTCAAGAGTCCATCTCACTCTCACGAGAGCCAAGCTGAGGAGACAAGAAGTGAAAAGCCTGTGGTAGCTTCGGCACCTGCTGAATCGCCTTCTACGGTTTCTATAAACCAGAAGATCGCTGAGGATCCTGTCATCAACCAGCTCTTAAAGTATAAGTCGCTTCAGGTGCACTTGGCTGTGATAGTCAAGCTACTTAATGATTCCTCCATCACCAACGAACCGTTGGCTGAAAACCGTCGGGAAATTGCAAACATGAGATTATGTGATCTACGAATGGGTGGAGCCGAAGAGAATGAGCTCGTGGAAGAGTTTGTTACAAGGATCATCGAGTTGACCGGTTGATCATGCATTCGGGAAGCTACTGTCCTTCCACTCTTACTCATACTTGCCTTGCCAGATATCCTGGTACCGTGGCTTCACATTTGGCGCCTTGTATCTGAAAAGATGTCCGCCAAAGTCCTTCTCAGTCTCGTCTGCAACCTTGACCACTGCATCAAGATCCTCGTGCTCAAGGTGAGCAGTGTTGATAAAGATATCGTCATTATCTTTGCCTGCCACTAGAACGCAAGTGACTTGCTCAGCAGGTAATTTGATAACCTGCTCCACGCCTCCTTTAAGGTTGAATTTAACAACGGTGGAGGTACCAAACCCAGCTTGGTAGATGTATTCGTCATCTGTGAAATCCAAGCCGTCTGGAATGAAATTTTCCTTCGATGTAGAAATTTCAGATAATTCCTTATTATCCTTAAATGCAGCTTTGAAATCTATAAGTGTAGCCTTGTTGCTGAGCGTGGTGGTCTCGTGGTCGTAGTCGAACGAGTACACCGTCTTTCTGGGAGAGTCAGTCCAGTATAACTTCTTTCCATCCTTGGTGAAGGCCAATCCGTTGGAGATGATTGTCTTCTCTTGCATCACCTTGATCTCTCCAGTTTTGTGGTCGATTCTGTACAAGAAACCTTCTTCCTTCAAACCATCTTCCTTGGTACGTGGGAAATCCGTCATCACGCCAACCCACAAGTTTCCCCAAGGGTCAATGTTGGCATCGTTTGAACGCAAACGGTGCTTCTGTTCTTCATTAAATGGATAGGAAACATAAGGCTTGATGGAACCGGATGTGAAGTTTCCGAAAGACACTCCGGTCTTAGTGCAGAGAAGGACAGTATCCACATCGTTAGTCTTGCAAATGGCGCCAATTGACTCGCCGGCTTTGTTGATCTTCAAGACCTGGTGTCTTTTTTCCAAGTCCTTGTCGTCCAAATAAACCCTGTGAGCCTCAGCGTTAATGATATCAACCCAGAGTAGAGTATTATTCCTGACATCATAGGTGAAGCCCTCAGTAAGGCGACCACGATAAGCCGGTAAGATAATCTGAGACGTTAGTACCGATCAACCAACCAAATCAATTTGCAACATACGTTTTCTTTTGTAAGCTCTATAACTTCAACCATGGTTCGATAATGAGAAATGGCAGCAACAGCACCGTAGATATATATCCACACAATAGGTATTCGCGCTGGGTAAGCTTCCGCGCAGGGCAATGGTACTAACCGTACCACCGCAACAAATCCGAGCGAGTGCCAAAGCAATAGTCTGGTATAAGAAAAGGGCCAAAATGACGCAGTGTTTGTTAAGCTGGATTTTTGGTTTTTTGGTGTGGCTTGCGATTGGTAGAGGTATAATTGTGCCAGCCTAAGATAATTCAACAAGTCAACCTTCCTTGGTAAATTGGGCGGTTCTCGTAGGAAGGTGTAGAGTGGAGTTGGCTTATCCACTTGTTCCTTATATGCGTAGAATTTCAAGCTTGAGACCAAAAGTGGGACCAAATCGTTGGGAGCCTGAAAACTCGATTTGGATAGACAACAACATATATCTTTGTTTCTATTACGTCTCAGCGTCTTCGGCTTGTCTGGTCAAGGCAGACCACTCTCTGGCGAGCTCTACCATGGCTTGACTGTCGTTGGCAGCACCAACAACTTCAATTGGCACCTGACTCTCACTGTTGTCTTTCCGAGACAAATGTCCCATGTTGGTCTCCGTAATAACCCTTAATTCAAATTTGCCATCATTGTCCTTCTCGAGAAGTTCATGCCATGTAAACAAAAGCAGGTCCCATTTTCTCACAAACGGATTAACGTCAATGACATAAACCTTCTTATATGGCCTTGGAACGTAGACATCGAGGATGTAATCACGAAGTGGGAATGCTGATCCGGAAATCACCTCAGCGTGGAAATCGTGGATCACGTCCTTCAACTGAGGGATCAAGTCTTCCAAGTAGATATAATGGCCAGGGTCTCTTTGAGAAACCCCGAGAATCTTCTTATCCTTAATGAAGATTCTGAATTCCAATGCTGGGTTAAAGTCGTTGATCCATTTCTTGACAACCAATTCAGGTTCAATATAGGGACCTTCGTCTTTGTCTTCACAGTCGTCATAGATATGGCGGTCAAGATCGTGTGCAATATGATCTGAAGCATTAAGAAGCAAATATACATCATTCACAGATGTGCACTGCAATGAGTTGTTGATCAATATCCATTTAGCATCCTTTCCAGCTGTCCAATTCGTCTTAACAAGCACTCTGCCATAGCCATCAACTGTTTCTTTTAGTTTTTCATGGAATTCTTGGAAATGTTCAACAGGGTTTCCATTATAGCTTGATTCATCATCTTCCCAATCACTGTACTCGTTTTCATCATTTCGCTGGACGCTGGCAGACGTTGGAAGCCTAATGCTGTCTGCGCTTAGGTAATCTAGGAACGCTTGGGGAAGGGGTTTGAGCACTTTAGCTTCAGTGGCGTGTTGCTTAAAGTATGGGTACCAGTTCAGGTACGAACACTGGTTTACCTGGGCACAAGAGACCTGAAGTCTATTGAAGACGTGAGTTTCCTTAGTCATATGTGGTTTAGGTGGAGTTGGAGGATCAATGCTTGGTGATGTAGGTGATGGACCTCCGTGCACCCTCCAACGGTCCAACAGTGGGACACAACGTGGAAGTAAGTAATTGGCAAGAGAAAGAAAGGCAATTCAATTTAGAGTTATTGATTCATTGCAGGGTTGCTGAAAGTGTTGAAGGACGTGAGTAGATTGGGGTATTGAAGAATGACAATGGAAGTATCACGGTTGTAAGCTGTTACAATGTCAGAATGGTCCAAAAGGTACCACTCTCTAGTAATCTCGTCTTTACTGACAATTAAATTACTTGGTTCAAGTCATTTAAGTCTATTTTCATGATTTTTATTTTCTTACCCAACTTCCAATTTCTATTCACAAATCTTGGAAAACACATCCTTTTGTACTCATTTTGCAACCATTTCCAGATCCTACGAATGCGCGTCAGAGTAAACAAGTGTCCCCAAAACTCATATCAACCCAGAATTTCTAAAAAAGGAAGACGAAGAATCTACAAATTTCAACAGCCTCTTTTTCACCTTAAAACAATCACCACCTCCCAACCCTCTACTTTCGAACCTTCGTCGACGTTCTTCAGAACACCTAAGTAGGGATTTTTCATGGCCTGCACATTCCACTGGATCGAGAAAAAATCTCAGCCTTATAGCTTCCGAACTACATACCTCCAACAGCCTAATCAACAACCATGGCTGCTGCTCAAGCTAAGAATCCTTCCAATGCCACATTTAAGGATAAGGAGAAGCCACAGGAGGTGAGAAAGTCGAACATTCTCGCCGCCAGAGCTGTCTCGGATGCTATCAGAACTTCCTTGGGTCCTAAAGGTATGGACAAGATGATCAAGACCAAAGAGGGCAAAATCATCATTTCCAACGATGGTGCCACTATTCTTAAACACATGGCTATTCTCCATCCAGCTGCTCGTATGTTGGTCGATTTGTCGGCTGCTCAGGATATCGAGGCTGGTGATGGTACCACCTCTGTGGCCATCTTGGCAGGTTCTCTTTTGGGAGCTGCTGAAAAGTTGTTGAATAAGGGAATCCATCCTACTATCGTCGGTGAGAGCTTCCAAAGAGCAGCTGCACGTGTCTGTGAGGTTTACTTGGAAATGTCACACAAGATCAGCTTGAAAGACCGTGAAATCTTGATCAAGGCTGCTTCCACGTCCTTGTCCTCCAAGATTGTCTCTCAGCACTCTGCCTTGTTGTCTCCACTCTCTGTGGACTCTGTACTTAAGGTGATGAACGAGGCTCAAGATAACGTTGATTTGAACGACATCAGACTTATAAAGAAGGTTGGCGGAACTATCGACGATACCGCGTTGGTCGATGGTGTTGTTCTCACGCAAAATGTGTTGAAGTCTGCTGGAGGTCCTTCCAGAATTGAGAAGGCTCGTATTGGTTTGATCCAGTTCCAGTTGTCTCCACCAAAGCCAGATATGGAAAACAACGTCGTTGTTAACGATTACAGACAGATGGACAAGATCCTTAAAGAAGAAAGAGCATACTTGTTGAATATTTGCAAAAAGATCAAGAAGGCCAAGTGTAACGTTTTGTTGATCCAGAAATCCATCTTGAGAGATGCTGTCAATGACTTGGCTTTGCACTTCCTTGCCAAGCTTAACATCATGGTCGTCAAGGACATTGAGAGAGACGAGGTCGAATTCTTGACCAAGGCTACTGGATGTAAGCCTATTGCTGACGTCGACAACTTTACCGAAGACAGATTGGGCTCCGCCGAGCTCGTTGAAGAAACTGAATCTTCTGGTTCTAAGATTGTCCAGATCACTGGAGTTAACCCAAAGAATACCCGTCCTACCGTGTCCGTTGTCGTCCGTGGTGCCAACCAGTTGGTCTTGGACGAAGCTGAGAGATCTATTCACGATGCCCTTTGTGTCGTTAGATGTTTGGTGAAGGAGAAGGCTTTGATTGCCGGTGGTGGTGCCCCAGAAATCGAAGCCTCTAGAGTCTTGTTTAAGGAATCCAGCAAATTGAGTGGTGTGGAACACTTCGTGTACCAGGTCTTCGCACAGGCTTTAGAAGTCATCCCAACGACGTTAGCCGAGAACGCCGGCTTGAACCCTATCAATGTCGTTACCGATTTGAGGAACAAGCACGAGTTGGGAGAGAAGAACGCTGGTATCTCTGTCAGAAGATACGGTGCATCTAACACATTCACAGAGAACGTGTTGCAGCCGGTTCTTGTCTCTACAAGTGCTATCACTTTGGCTTCTGAGACGGTGAAATCCATTTTACGTATAGACGATATCACCTTCAGCCGTTAAGCTTACCATGCCTGCGATGAATTCTTAATGTACATATACAATTTGCGAACTTTGATGCAAACGTAATCTATTAAACCAACTTGACAGAACGGGACATACCCTTCTTGATACCTGTCTTCTCTCCCCCGTATGGACCACGGTTGTTCTGGTCGTAAACTTGTCTGACCGACTTGAGCTTCTTCTTGGCGGCGTCGTACTTCTTTCTCTTCTTGACTCTGGCGTTTCTGTTGTCGTTCTTTCTGTTCGGCGTAAGACCCTTGTTTTTGAGAATCTGGAAATTAAGTGCTCTTTTACCATTCTCATCAGTGGTCTCTGCAAAGTCAGCCAACTTACCGTCTCTAGCGGCCTTCTTAGCTTCGTTATGGGCAGAACGTCTAGCTTGTTTCTTATTGTCCCTAGCGTTCTTCATGCTTTCGTAGTAATCTTCGCCATCAATGTCATTAATACCAGCCACCTCTCTTTCATCACCGCTATCGAGGTCATTACCATCCAAGTCATCTCCCATACTGTTCTCACCACCCAAGCCTCTCTTACGGGCTTCCTCCATGAGTCTTTGTTGTCTCTCAAAGAGTCTTTCTTTGTATGGTAAGTCGGCATCACCAGCATACTGGTCGTCAGGGTTGCCCTTATTGGAAGCCTTGTTAATCTTAGCAGTGTAGAAACGCAAGGACTTCTTACGACGGTTCTTTTCAAGAAGATCACCAGCATCGATAGCGCTTTGTTCGGAGTAGTCTCCAACTGGTTCCAAGGATGACGCAGAACGGATAGCCTTCTTCGAGGGTTTAGGTTCCTCAACGGCCTCCTCTTCTTCGCTTTCCAGTTCTTCCTCTTCCTCTTCAGAATCAGTCAAAACATGCTGTTGTGGTACCTCCACCTCGTCCTCGGAGACGTCGCTAGCGACCTGTCCATTCGTCTCGGCTTCCACTGCAGTTTCTTCCGAGCTCAACTCGTTGGCTTGTCTCCAAACTTCTCGACTCAGGAGAATCAGCTCCATGACTGGTTCATCTTTCATGCTAGAATGCTTTTGGCTTCCCGTCAATCTCTCTGTGAGTAAAGCGAAGTATGATGAGATCGATGCTAAGTACGCACGTAAAGCGACCAACTTGGCTTCAATCAGTGCAGAAGGCTTCGTTTCAGCCTGGAACTTCTCGAGGTCCGGCGTTAGACTGTGGAACTCCTTCAAAAGTGGAACAAACTCTGGGTACGATCCAGTCAAGAATTTCATCTTTTCTTCCTCATCCAACAGATCCAAGTCCATGTTTTCGTCAGCCACAACCACATGTTTCGTGTCTTGGGTATCGTGCTCTTCTGCCTTCTTCGTCCAGTCCTCCATCATATCTTCATCGACAAAATCGTCCATTGCAAGGTCCTGTAAATGCTTCTTCTGTTGTCTAAGGGCCTCTTCAGCCATTTCATTGTCATCACTATCATCATCACCACCGTAGTAATTCTTCTTAGAACCCCAACCTTCAGGATCAGACTCATCACCAGACCCTTCTTGCTGGTCTTCCATGTCTTCATCATCATTGTCGTCCTCGTCTTCGCTTTCTGAAACTTCTTCATTTCTAAGACCAAGAACCTCCTCCTCAGAGTCCTCATCGTCAGAGCTCTTTTGGCGAAGATAATCTCCAGCTTGGTCTAGCAAGACTTTCTCTCTTCCAGCATCAAACTCGTCGAGCTCATTGTCGGAAATATCGTGGGACATGACTGTTGATTATGGACTTTAATGTCTCATACATTTCTAGTGATGGGGCCTCATCGCTACTTTTTTAGATAGTACTGCATGCGAAACCATGGGCTTCTAGCACAACCACCATCAAACAAGGCAATCAGCGAGTAATGACGCTAGAAAAAAGATGTGTATCAGATTGGAAGTGTCTAATTATTCTCTAACTCTTATTAAATTTGCTGAATTGTTGGGAATATTGGATTTTTCCATTATGTATCTGTGGTGTACGGATGTTGCTCCCTTCTACCTCCTGCCTTACATCTCTCAAATCACAGTCTACTGTCTTCTGTTGATCTTGCCATGTCCAACAGACTTGACTCTCTCAACCCCAAGAAGTCTGGTTCGAAACCAGCACTTAAGTTTAAGCCCAAAGTTGTGGCCAGAAAATCCAAGGAGGATAGAGAAAAGAATGCCCCAGTGGTCAAGACAGAAGAAAGATCGAACCTACCTCCAACTAGAGGACGTGGTGGATCCAGGGGTCGTGGAAGAGGTCGTGGCGGTGCATATGTTGGTACACACTTGGTTTCTTCAGGTCCATTGGCATCTTCCGCTGTGGGTAATGGTCCTGTTGCTACCTCAAAGACTGGTTTGACCAGTGACAAGGTTTTCGGTGCTGAAGGAAGAGAACAGAGTGATCCCTTGCAGAATTTGAAGATGAAGAGTCGATCTCGTGAAGATACTCCAGTTGGCGAGGATTCAGATGACGAGGGTGGCTTGACCAAGATTAATATGAGCAAAGAGTATCAATTCGAAGACAGTGAAACGGTGTTGTTCCCTGTGCGCCCACAGAAGGACGAAGAGAAGAAGGCCACTAAAGTGGCTATACCATTATCATCCACAGTTTCAGCCACATCTTCTCGAGCTCCATCGCATACGCCTCGTCCTGAGGTAGTCAAGAGTGAATCGTCTGAAGACATTAAGATAGAAGATACTCCAGGCCCTGTTCCCGAAAGAGTTGGCGATGTCGTCGAGCACGATGAGCACAACAGGCTTATAGACGATCAGCGTGCTATTGTTGATTTGGTTACAGGCAAATTCGCTGGCCTTAAGGCAGAAGACTCACCATCAAATGTGCCAGACAACTACTTCATGGTTCATCTTCCACAGATTAGTCAGGCTCCAAGCGAGAGCGAAAACGATAAGATGGACACAGACGCTTCTAAATCAGAACTTGCCACATCATCGTTGGCTGATTTTCAGGGTCAAATTGGCCAGCTTAATTTCCATAGATCCGGCAAGATCACTATGTCTATTGGATCGGATACCTCTTTGAACGTCGCTCAAGGTGTTCCTTCAAACTTCCTTCAAGAATTGTACCTTATAGATTCCAATGCTGCTAGAAAAGCGGAAGGTGACCAAGACGAGGAAGTTCTAGACGAACAGGGCCACAAGGTCGTGGGCGATGTCCACAGGTTAGGTGAAGTGACGGCAAAGCTAGTCGCCACGCCTGAAATCAGATAGCATATACATACATAGGGCATTCATGGTAATTTTGTATTTTACAGTCTATAGTAGGTCCTATAATTAGTTTTGGATCAATCTGGAAGTCAAAGCTTCCAAATCCTCCAAGGATTGAGGTTCATCGATCTCGACAATACCGTCGTCTTGATCATTCCTCAGCATACCCTTATCATTCTCGAACCACTTAGGTTTCTTCAGCTTAGGCACCTCAGCCTCCTCATCCAGAGACTGTAGATCATTTTCAAGGTCAGGACCACCAAGAGTGACCTGAACACCTTCATCATCATCACTGAAGTCATCTTCAAGGGCTCTTCTCTCAGCTTCCTTCCTCTTTCTCTTCTTCTCTTGCCTTTTAGACTTGGCCAAAGCTTTATCAGCGACATCAGCCTCGTTCATCACATCAGTTTCCTTCGAGACAAACTCCTTCTTCTGGTCTTTGGCGTCACCCTTCTTTCTGAAATCTTCTTCATCTTCTAATTCGTAGATTGGATGCGCCTCGCCTTCATCATCGAACACCAACTTCGTAGGAGTGCCCTTGTCCTTAATGGACAATTTCTTGGAGAGAGCCTTCTTTGCTGCTCGTTTAGAAGCTGGGATAGACAAGTCAGGAATCTCAGTATCCTTGATGTCATGGTCTGTTCTCTTAACTTTCATAAAATCATCTTCACTGTCTTCATCCTCGTCGTCGGCCTTCCTTATTCCTGTACCAGTCATGTTAAGGTACTCCTTCGAAAGAACAGTCTGGTTTTGCCTCTCAAACATTCTGTCATATTTGGTTCTGGTCTTCTTCTTATCGTCAGCCTTGACATCACCTTCCATATCAGCACGTTCAAGCTCCATGAGCTGCCTAGACATGTTCTTCTTTTCTTTGTTTCCTTCACCACCCTTGATCTTGATCTTAGGTGCACCGGGAAGACCCAAGGACTCTGCAAATTTATCAGCCGGAAGTGTCTCGACATTGAAAACGTCCTTGTCCTTCTGGACGTAAATGGAACGATAGTATGAAATAAATGCACGTTGACCCAAGTTCTTCATCTGTGGGTCTTTAAAACAAAGGGATTGTAGTTGTGGACGAATGGTCTTTTTGCTATTCTTCTTGATGTTCATGTTCTTGATCTCGATATCATGGTTTGAAGTCTCTTGAGCATGGCTTCTTCTTCGGAAGGCAAAAGCATCAAGAGAGATTTACCAGAACGTCCGAAACGAGCACAACGTCCAACTCTATGAACGTATGTGGCAGCATCTTCTGGACAGTCAACCTGGATGACCCAGTCAATGGCAGGGAAATCCAAACCTCTTGCGACGATATCAGTAGCAAACAAACAAGCGTACTGTGCTTGAGAAAATTTCGTGGTTGTTTCCAATCTAGAAGTTTGCTTGTGGCGACCATACAATCTCATCAAGGAGATACCGGGCTGTAAGGTTCTGAAAGTCTCATAGGTAAACTGGACTTGTTTAGATGAGGAGAAGAACACAAGTATTTTGCTCTTGAGATGCGTTTTGATGAAAGACCAAAGAACGTCTAATTTGTCCTCTAGGTTAATGCGAATATAGTATTGATCCAAGGTGTCAGGGGTAGCAGACACAGTGTTATCTGATGAGACACCTATCTTGGTTGGGTTGGTGAGAGACAATCTTGCGAGATCCTTAACACTGTCCGACTGGGTAGCGGAAAATAAAAGTGTTTGTCTCTCTGGGGACAAATGGCCCAAAATGCTATCGATTTGTTTTCTGAATCCCATATCCAAGCATCTGTCAGCTTCATCAAGAACAAGAATTTGAAGATTTGTTGTCTCAATACCAACAGATTGGTTGAAATGCTGGGAGATTCTACCCGGCGTTCCGACGAGAATGTTCATTCTTCCGATTCTCTCTTTCTCAAACTGCACATCTTTACCACCAGTGACTAATCCAGCCGAGAAAGAATTGTATTTACCGATCTTTGTAAGGACCTCGAAAATCTGCACAGCTAATTCTCTGGTAGGCGATACAATAAGGGCGGCCAAACCGTCATATTCAGTAACATTGTTGTGGATCAAACATTCAATAACTGGAATCAAGAATGCTAATGTTTTGCCGGAACCTGTCTTAGCAGTACCAATGATATCTTCGCCTTTCAATGCTGGAATGATTGTCTTCTTCTGAATATCAGTCATAGAGACAAAGTTGGCTTCACGAAGACCTCGAAGAGTTGCATCGGTGATGGGGTAGTCCTGAAACTGGGAGGCATCAGAGGAATCCTCTTGTTGAAACTCATCGATTTTCTTTTTGAGCAGGGCGAGCTCCTCCTCTTCAGTTTGACGCCTTGACTTTCTATCAAGCTTTTTGTTCTTTTTCTGCGCTTTAACCATGATCTATGAGGCTGACGAGTTTAAGAACTCACTTGTGAGATGGGCATCTCCAGAAAATTCACGTAAACACCCGTGCACCACATACATAACAAGGTCTTAAAAGTTCAATATTTCAGCATACTGGAGGGCCAAGTCACCGTAGATATCGAGTTCGGCTGGATTCATGACTTTATAGCAGAGGTTTCCAGATGGAATATCGTACTTTGCAATGAGGTCCTCGATGATCTTCTTTGTGTCCGAGTCTTCAGACTTAGAATGGTCGTCTTCAATCTGAATTAAGAAACCACGGAAATTACCATGGAGAGAAACGTTAGCTGTTTTTATTGTAACATTTCCGTTTTCGAGCTCGTAGATTTGCCCTCCGTCGCCTCTGATGGTCTGTCTTTGGGTCCACATGCTCTGCATTCTATGGCCAACTAGAAAATCAAAAGCGTCATTGAGTCCAGACGTAGCGCCTTTATGTAAATGATCATTAGGAATTGCAAGTTCAGCGTTACCACTAGATCCAAGCTCTTCTTGCACCACATGGCTGAAGACTGTAGCTGTTTTCTTGTTTATGAGAGTCACACACGAGTCATTAAGATACGATGGCGACCAAGTATAAAGGAATTGGGATTCAGGTGCCGTTTCATGTGTTTCTGAAAGCTCTGGAGCCACAGAGTAGATGTTGTTTCTGAAGATCTTGAATGTAAAGCTCCATTTGCCTTTTAGTGTAGGAAGTCTGTTTGATAGGATATCATGGAATTGAGTAATCGTGCTTGGCGTTGCCTTGTGCACTAGAAGAACCCTTAAGGTGTTAGTAATGCTTTGGAATCAACCTTATTGAATGAACATACGCTGAAACCATGGGAACAAGTGTGGTTTATATCTGTTCTTGACGACAATACTGCATGAGTTCAACCTAGTAGTAGTGAGGAGCGTCTGGCTGCGAAAAAACAGACACTAGGAAGGGTCTACCCAGGTAAGGCAGATGAAGATAGATGGAGTGTAGAATTGGATAAATCAAGAAGGAGTTTCATGAATATTAGATAAAGAGGTTTCGGGGGTCATTTTGATTCCAAGAAATTGGAAATTCAGTGACATATTTCGTCTTCTACTACAAGTAAGTGCAGCTAGGTAACCAAACTAACCAATTACATACTTAGCGAGTCATACGAGAAGCTCTTGGTTTTTAGTTCCCATGAGAAGATCGGTTTCTTAGATATGAAAAAAAAAAAATGCACCTTTCGTGTTGAAATACTGTCTTGAAAGCATATACTGATGTATTCTGACCGCCTACTAATACCTATGTATTTCCATCACCATTACAGAAAAACCACCCGATAACTAAAAATTGAAATTTTCAAGACTCCCAGTACCATTTTAATCCCACTATTTAATTAAACCACCCATAAATCAGTAACCACCTCTGCCTGTTCTCCACATCTTATACTACCTCAGTGCACCATTTTTTGCACCCATCGCAATATTTTCGAGCATCGAGGTGCTCATCTCTAGCAGCCATAATGACAAGCGGAACAGCTGTAACTGAGGAAGGCATCTTCATTGGTGCTAACCGCCAAGCTTACGTTTCAGACTATAAAACGAACCTTGTTGCTTATGGTGCAGCCAGCACTGTGGCATTGTGGAATCCATTCAGTAAAGATAAGAAAGGTGTATTCCATACATTGAGGAAGCATACTGAAGAGGTTACTTGTGTGAAGTTTATTCCTGGATCTGAGTACCTTGTTTCAGCGGGTGAAGATGGTCAGATTGTGCTGTGGAAGGAGACTGAAGGTGAGTTTAAATACTTTGGTTCTGTTACTGAAGAGGGTGCATCCATTACATGTATGAGTGTCTATGATGATCAGTTCTTTGTTACTGGTAACTCTTTAGGCCAGGTTTCGGTCTATAAGTTGGAAGAGGGTGTTCCTAAATTGCATCAGGAGTTTAAGGTCAAGCACAACTTCTACCCTTTGACGCTTTGTTTGCATAAAATTGGCTCAGAGTATCTTCTTCTCGTGGGAGGAACCAGCTCCACTCTTTTCGTTTACACATTCGGTGATTCCAGTGAAATAGAACTTGTGGCTTCTATGGTTGGTCATGAGGACTGGATCAAAGCACTTGCAATTGTCAAGGAAGGACAAGACTACCTTCTTGCATCAGGTTCGCAAGACAGGTACATTCGTCTTTGGAGACTCAAGTTCAACAACAATATCGATGATTCCGATGAGGATGAATCCAAGCTTACTTTGCTCACGAATAAGCAGTATAAGTTTTATATTGGAGAAGACAGAGCTGCTTTCAGCTTTGATGCATTAATCATGGGTCACGACGATTGGGTCAGTGGCTTGCAATGGCATCCTACTTGTCGTAACAAGGATGCATCTACACATAAACTACAGCTCCTTTCCCTGAGTGCTGATACCGCATTAATGATCTGGGAGATGGACGAGGATTCTGGAATCTGGGTTTGTCTGAGCCGACTCGGTGAAATGTCCATTAAGGGTGCTTCTACCGCAACGGGAGCTTCTGGTGGTTTCTGGTCTTGTCTCTGGATTACCAATGAAGAGGCTACAGAGCAACTTATTCTTGCAAACGGTAAGACTGGAGCCATTAGAGCATACAGACTGACTGATGAGGACAATAAAATCTGGGACTCTGTATTGGGTGTTTCGGGAGCTATTAGAGAGGTGAATGATGCTGTATGGTCCAAGGATGGATCCTACTGCTTTACCACTTCTCTTGATCAGACGACAAGGTTATTTGCGCCATGGACTAAACACAGACCAGCTACAAGCGAAAATACCACTACATGGCACGAGTTTGCCAGACCTCAAATTCACGGTTATGATATGATTTGTCTAGATAACATCAGTCTGACTAAGTTCGTCTCTGGAGGTGATGAAAAAGTGTTGAGAGTGTTTGAAATGACTCAGTCAATTGGTGATTTATTGCATAAGTACTGTGACGTAAACGTCAAGCAGACAGAGTTTGATTCCTTGCCAGAAGCAGCATCTCTTCCTGTCCTCGGTCTTTCCAATAAAGCCGCCAATGAACAGCTCGAATCAGGAGAAGCCCAGCAAAGAGAGGAAGACTTTGAAGAGAACCAGGAGAATGCAGCACAAGTGAAAGCAGACCCCCTTGCGGATACTAATGGTCCACCATTGGAAGACCATTTGCAGAGACACACTTTGTTCCCAGAGATCGAGAAGCTTTACGGTCATGGTTACGAAACAACGTGTTGTGCCACATCGCCTTCTGGTAATATTATAGCATCTGCATGTCGTTCGAACAACGCAAAACATTCTGTTGTTAGAATTTTCAACGTTAAGGCAGACTACCAGCTTCGTGAAGAATCATTGAAGGGTCACAACTTGACCATTACTAGTTTGGAATTCTCGCAAGACGGTCAATATTTGGTCGCTGTTTCTCGTGATAGACAATTGTCCCTTTGGAGGCTTCTTGACGAAGAAAAGGCCGACTTTGAATTGGTGCAGTTGAACGAAAAAGCTCATTCCCGTATCGTGTGGGATTGCTCTTGGGCTCCTCAAAGCACCTATGGAGCCTTCTTCGTCACTGGATCAAGAGATAAAAGCATCAAGGTTTGGAAGGTGACAGATTCTGGTGCTGAAATGGTTACATCCTTAAAGACCGGTGAACCAGTCACCTCTGTTGCCTGTTTCCAACAGAAGCTCATTGGCGACCGTATTGTCATTGTTGTTGGTCAAGAAAGCGGCAACATCGGTATCTACTCTGTCAACTTGGCAGACGAGTCCCCAAAAATTCTGCACAGCATAGCATTCGAAAGCGATATCTTACCAGCTTCTAAGGTCTGCAAGCTCAGCTTCAGCAGTCAGATGTCGAGCAACAAGCTTCTATTAACCGCTGCAAGCAGTGACTCCTCAGCCAGAATCTACAGCATAACCACCGAAGCATTGACATAAGGTCTGATTAATTCCATTCCCTTCATGCCATAGATGTCTTCTCGCTTCCTCACCGGTCCGGGATTTTTTGCACCCGGTTGTGCACCTGGTTGCTGGTGTTCGCTCGGTTCTTGCACGCTGGCCCCAGTGAGGAACAACATATTGAACAGATAAGTATATCGACCGATCAATTGTAAACTAGTCAAATACACACAACAGAATGGCTGAGAAATATCCTGAAATAGACGTCGACGCCAATGATCAGGAGCTTGGAGGCGACTTTTTGGCCAGAGAGAGCGAGCTTTTGGGTGACGAATTCAAGACAGATCAGGATAAGGACGTTCTTGAAGAAAGCGACGGCGACGCCGAGATCAACGACTTTAAGGAACAATTCCCAGAGGTTGAAGGTTCAGCCAATGTGGTGGCTCAGCAAGAAGCCGAGCAGCAAGAGGACGAGGAGGATGAGTTTGAAGGTTTCGACTCTGCTCCAAGTGCTACCAGAGACTTGAGTGAGTCTGAGCCTTTGAAGGAGTGGAAACAACGCAGAGATCTTGAAATTGAAGAAAGAGAGAGCTCGAACTCCAAGAAGAAGGAGGATATTATTAGCAAAGCTCAGCAAGGCATTGACGATTTCTACGACAACTACAACAACAAGAGAGAGCTGCACGCAAAGGACATTTTGAAGGAGCAGGAAGAGTTCTTGGAAAAGAGAGACAAGTTTTTGTCCAGAGGTACTTTGTGGGACCGTGTCAACGAGTTGGTTGGCGAGGTGGGCGAATTGCCTGAAGATAACCGTGACAAGACCAGATTTAAGGGCTTGTTGAACAAGTTGAAGGGTAAGGAGAACGTCCCAGGTGCTGGTGGCTACACGGCCGAGTAAATGGTCTGGACCATGGTGACCTGAAAAAGTATCTGTCTAGATTTAATACAATATCAATTACGAGATGAAGATTATATTAGGTGATCCATAAGAAGTATTCTATTAGTTCATAATTCTGTTGACAGCACGAATGAGCGAGTTCTTTTCGAGTCGCTGGCATTCCTTCTGAAGCGGGTGTTTGAGGATGTAGTCGTTGAGGTTCATGAGATTCCACACTCCGTAGCATAGGATGAAAGACTCGATACGATCCCAATTAGCAATATTAATGATCGAGAACCATTTGTGGTTCTCTTTGACGATACGCCACTTCGACAAGATTATCAAGCGTAGCAAATACGAATTGAGACCGTTGTAGAAGTCGGTGCTTATTTGACGGATGTTCTTTGGATCGCCTGGAAGACGCTTGTAGCCAAAGCTCTGAACGAGTTGCAAGGACCCAAGACTCATTGTTGCAAAGGCAGAAACAAAGCCTATTCCTTTGATGTAGTTTTTGACGAAAGTCTTCATATTTCCAAAGTAGATTTCTCTCAAGAAGCCAACCCTAGTAAGCATTGGCGAGGTCAATGCCAAGAGGAACATGGCCGTCAAATTAGGCCCATAAATAAAGTTTGCCATTGCATTTGCTTTGTGGCCCACAAAGATAAGGTATTGACGAAGGAGTTTCCCAATAGATGTAAAGTTCATGCTACCATTGGCAACTTCGTAGTAACGATCTAACAAACGGTCTTTAAATGAAAGCAACGCGTAGACGCCAAACAAGACAACATTATGTTTGACGTAGCTCTGCAAAAGGCCAGCCCAATGCACCAGCTGGGAATTAACGCCCAAACGGAAGTTGATCCAAATAGGATTGAAAATGTAGTTCTTAATCGAAGCTGACAAGTACTTATGGTTAAGCTTATACTTTGTGGGAGTCAAGTAGTTCGATAAAAGCTGGCCAAAGATGATTGGGTAGATAATGTGATGCTTCCTGTTATACAAGTAACGAACCCACGACTTCTTCTTGAGTTTATCAATTCCTGTAGCTTTAGATAACGTAGGATACACGGTAATACGTGAACTAGGAGGGTTCAACTCGCCAAAGTAAGCCGTATAGAAGTAGATCAGCCAGTAGTCTTTCGGGATCTGGGGATTATTAGCAACCGCCAGAAACAAGAACCCCACCGTGGCCAAATTAGCCAATTTCCTGGATCTTCTATCCACAGTTTCAGGGTCCTTGAGTCTGGTGTGGTCCCTGAGCCAGTCATTGATAAGGTTTCTGATCGTAGGGTTGAGCGAAAGGAACGCCGTAAGCCTTAGAGGATTCTTAGCCCTCAACAAAAGCAACACAATAATCCATTTGACCAGCTTCCCGACCGACGGGTTGGGCGGTGTGTAGAGGTACGAGTCATCCATGGTGGTAGTAGATAAGCAGCCGTGTTTGGATCGCGAAGTGTGTTTTTATGGCGTGAGGTTGCAAAATAGGACAATATGGGCGGTGGTTGAAGCAATATATGAATATATAAAAAGAGGAAGCGATAATATAAAAAGCATCAAAAGCATAGAATTATTGACCTTTTGTTAACACAAAGCATGGCTGGGATGTGCACGCGATGGTGGTTGATAAGGGTCCATCCCAGAGGCTTGAGAAGCTAATAAGAGAGCAATGATTAGTCAAAGAAGGGGAAGGGACATTTTGGGATGGAAAGCTCCTTTTATTTTTAAAGAAAAGAGGGGAAGAAGTATATAAAGAGAACAAATTTCCTTCTAAATTTTTCCCATTTGTTTTGAAAATACCTGGGCCTTTGGAGTAGCCCTCTGTCTGTGGCTCCTAATGAAGCGCACCAGTCGCCAATGGTTATTGCCAAAGAAGCGCGTTTTGCACCCATTTACGTAGACCCAGTCAGGGCCATAGAAACTAGGGAAACGAAAGAAGATAAAAAGAACAAAAGATCATATATTTTTTTTTCCACTTCACTCCTCCCCAACTCAACCTTCAATTCCCTCGTTTTCCTTTGTTGTCTTTTATTGTCTTCTGTGTTTACTATTCTTGATTAGACCTGTGCGCATCTTTAAGTTACCGATTCACCTCACAACCCAGATCTACCCCAGTCTTTCCTTCCTACCATGGACCATCCTGTAAAGTTGGAAACACCTCCTTCGAGGCCTTTACTGATCACCCAAAAGAGTGTAACACGCTCGTCTTCGGTCAGATCAAAGGGTATAAACTTCAATACCGTGTCACCTACGCCTGGTGCCAGCAGATCAAGAAACCAGGACCACAGTCGGTCGCTTCCGAGAGATCACACTGCCACCACTCCAAGACTATCTTTTCGTGATACGGGATCGCCACGTCCTGATCCTGCTACGTTGATAGACCGTCCGTTGCCGCTGCATCAAGAACTTCGTACATTGAACATCGACGACCAGCTACGGCTCTTGGCCCTGAAGGAAATGGCTGTGGTGGCCATAAACGATAGCATAAACACTTTAAAGCTGAAACTTGATACTACGCAGAAGGATTTGCAGCAGCTTAGAAATGTCATTCAGAAGTCCTTGTATAAAGAGGTCCATTTACAGAAACACGCTCCGAATCGCCAGCAGGGCCTGTCGGGGCTGTCGAAGAACCTACAGAGACAATCTGTACCTCCTCCAGAAGCTGGTGATCACAATTCGACCATCTGGTCCAATCTTTCAAAACCTATAAACTTCCTACAACAATTAGATACCATGATCCAGTCAGAGATGGAAAAGTCTTTGGGTGGTCCGACTGAACCCCAACGAGAGCATAAAAGGAGATTACCTCAAGAACCGCATAAACCTTCGAATCTACTGAAGCCGTCAAACGACACGCATGAAAAGCTTCCTGTCAATCTTGACAAATACTTCCCTACCCAAGATCCAAAGTATAGGGACACAGATGACATGTTTCAGGCAGTATCATCTTCTTTGTGGTCATTTGTAAGTGAAGTCAAGACGAACATGATGTCCACACTATCAGATAACCAAGAATCTCCACAAAATCTGGTGGATAAAGGAGGGACTGACGAAGATGAAGAATCCATCATGAACCTTACAGAGGTGACCGAACCAAGCTTTTCAAAAGAGGGAAGCGACGATGAACAAGACGCCCTAGATTTATCGATGTACTCGTCAATGCGGCAGCTGAGAAAACATTAACCACACATTCATTAGAAATGATTTACGACAAAGCATATTACATTATCATTATTCTTTTATTATAAACCACTCTATTCTCTATTGGCGAACACATGTGTTACCTGCCCTCCAAGCCTTTGACAACCTCCGATTGTCTAGCATTTTCCAATTGCTTTTCAGAAACGTCACCAAGCGATCTCAAGTCCTTCAACAAGATATTCTTCAACTTGTCGAAGTAGACCTCCTGAAGCAAATTACGAATGTTGTACTCGGACTTTTCAATTTGCTGGCCCAAGTTGACCAAGTGAGCCCATTCAAGAGTACCACCCTCAGTGCTAAGAGACTGGGATGATTCCAATTGTCTTGTCATGGTTCCAGCCAACGAAAGACCACTCTTGCCGGACTTGATGGTCAGCAAATCCAAAATGACAGAGGAAGTAATCTTGTAAGTGGCCAGGGTCGAGCTTTCTGGGATGATTTCGAAAACATGGATAGAATCCCACTTGGCCAAACCATCCTCGGCATCCTTCTTGAACAACACAACACCTGCAAAGCCCTCCTTCAAGCTATCAGCATCCTCATCTTCAGCGGTGTCCCACAAGTAAACCGAAGAGTATCCGCCATTTTCATAGTACAAGTCTCTGTAAATGTCAAAGCTCTCGTTGGCCTTGATCTCCAACTGTCTCAACACTGGAGAAGGGAATGGAGACTCGTCGTCACCAGTAGGTGGGTAATATTTGTTGGAAAATGGAGATCTATACAGATCACCGTCTCTGTTATAGTCGCAACACAAGAAGCTCTTGCCGGATTCTTCACACTTGGACAACTTCAACGGCGTGTCCACTGAGGACAACAAGTCCTGGGCCAACTCCTGGCCAGACTCGGAGTTGTCATGCTGGAGCAAAGTGCAAATGGAATTGAGATTCTTCTCTACATGTCTTGGGTCAAGACGGCGCAAGAGGTCAAGCGCAGCATCATATTTATCCTCCAGAGACATCTTTCAAGTGGGTTTTATATGGACTTGGAACTCGGTGGTTTAGCCATGTATAGGTGTTCCTAATAGTAGGATAAGTGTGGTGTACGGGTGCGCGCACCCACATTTTCTACACTTTTGGAGGAATGGCTGCGAAACGGAGAGAGATCCGGTTGGACTAAAAGAACCAAGAATAATAAATTACACAAAGGCAACAAGAGATGAGATAATTGCATTGGCTTTGGAATTGCGCTCCTTATTACTTGCTTACATCTGCAGAAATATCGAAAAACGTTTATATTAAACCCAATTACCTAATTTAACATCTAGAACTGAAACCTTGTAATCTGAATGCGAACATCGCCTATTGAGGGACGTATTCAACACCCAAACGAGGAGCGTTGATAATGATACCCATGATGATACCGGACATGATACCAGCAACGGGCAAGGTGATGAACCAACCCAAGTAACACCAGGTAACCATTCTCCAGTTGACACTCTTGAGGTCCTTGTTACACAAACCAACAAAGACAGTAGCACCAACGGTACACTGGGTGGTAGAAACTGGAATAGCCAACTGAGTAGCCATGGCGACAGTAATAGCAGCACCCAACTCAATGGCGAAACCTCTGGATGGAGACTGCAAGATCATCTTGTTACCCAAGACACTCATGATTCTGTAACCGAAAGTCCAGACACCAATAACCAAAGAAGCAGCTGTGAAACAGAGAATCCAGATTGGTGGGGTTTCCTTGATGCCCTGCTCGTTCCAGACAAGGTAGACAGTAGAAAGAGGACCGGAAGCGTTGGCAATATCGTTAGCACCGTGGGCGAAAGACATGGTACAGGCAGTGATGGCTTGAAGCAAGGAGAAAAGGTACTCAACCTTGTTGTTGTAGAACTTGGACTTAGAGTGCATGTTCTTAACGTTGGCAGCCAAAACACCCTTAGAGTTGGTTTGCATGGAAATGACATCCTTGGTGAAACCGTGGGAAACGACAAGCCACAAGAGGTATGGCCACTGCTTTGGACCAGACTTGAGGAGTCTCCACCACTTCTGTCTGGTAGTCTCCTCTGGCTTAGCCTCAACAGAAGAAGAAGTCTCAAGAGAGTTGACAGACTCCTTGGCGTTACCCTCCTTGAGGTCCTGCTCAGAAATGTCACCGTCAGCGATACGCTCAACAATTCTACGACCTTCGTAGTAGTCGATAGTGATCTGGTGTCCCTCAGGCATTGGAGGAATCTGGTCAACAGGCTTGAACCAGTAGATTGGGCCTCTGAAGACATCGTACCATCTGAGGGTCCAGTCGTTGTGCTGAATCTTTCTGCTGACAACTGGGAAGACGAAAAGCAAGTAAAGAACGAAAGCAACAGCACCGACACCGAAAATGGCACCAACGGTGGTACGAGTTCCCAAGTCGTCCAAGTTCAAGTTTGGAGAACCCTTCCAGACAATCAACATGGTCAAGACACAGAAGGTGATGAAAACCAAGATTGGAATCAAGCACAAGGCGTTTCTGATAGAAGTCTTCTCGTCCTTAATTTCCAAGACACCAAACTTAACGATAAGGAAAGTGATGGAACTGAAACCACCAGCGATAGCTGGGGCAATAAACCAGGAGGCAACAATCTGAGCGAAACCTTCCCAACCCCAAATAACGTGGTCAGCACCTCTGGAAGCAATACCCACACCGAGCACAGCACCGATAATGGAGTGAGTGGTGGAAACAGGCATACCGATGGTGGTGGCAATAGTCAACCAAATGGAAGAACCAACTAAAGCAATGGCCATTCCCAACATAAGAACAGTAGGATCATCTTCGAAAGCATCGACAGAAAGAATCTTTTTTCTAACAGTGTCAGAGACTCTGTTACCGACCAAGACCGCACCTAAGAACTCACAAATGGCTGCCAAAATCATGGCCTGCCAGTACTTCAAAGATCTCGAAGAGACCGAAGAAGAGAAGGAATTGGCAACATCATTGGCACCAATGTTGAAGGCATCCAAGAAGGCGAAGATAATGGCAATCGCAAGGATGTAATCGAACTGGTGATAAGCCATGAGGAATTGAAGTGTTGATGAACAAAAAAAAAAGCAGATCCAAAAGTGCCTACGTCCAAATACTTATAAGGAAAGAAACCTTTAATTAGGCAGCACCACGAGGCACGCCTAATACAAGCACAGCAGAGCTAACAAGGGCATATTTTTTTCTTAGCAGAGGAATGGGTGCAAAAAAAGGAATAGGCCCTGGCGCGCACCGACTACATAGTAGCTGCCAGACGGTGCCAGGAACTCTTGGCAAACGCTAATAAAGAAGAAAAAACAAGCCCATCACCACGCCTTGGCGGGCCCACGTTGCCTCCCCTAGGCTTTGTTCTTGACACATTAATACTTTTGTGGTAGGTGTGGGAGGTAACATAACAGAAAAGAAGTGCAACTTTGCTTCGCTCGTTGCCTCTATCGAGTGTTGATAATCACCCCTGGTTTCAGCCACGTAAAATGGCTACTCTTCAGCCTTGCGCTCCCTCAGTCTGGTCTGTCTGTCTTGTGAGCTGCTGCCGCAACGGTAGGCTGTGGGCACCACGTGGGAGTGCGAAGGGAAGAAATGGCTGCGAAAAAAAGAGACTCTGCCAGACTTGGCTGCGAAAACACCTAAATCTGCGTGAACCAAATGCCCATTGCGTCTTGTGCCTGGTAAGTGTCTGTTGGACCAGATCGGCGTTTTGGATGGTTTGGTGGAGGGTTAGACGGAGAAGAGTAGAGGAGGGTTGGTTAGTGGAGAACGTGTTAACTGGTGGGTAGAAGTGGTTGGTGGTTGGGCACGTGGGGCGGTGAGGTGACGCCATAGAGTGCGGTGGGCCTGAGATCAGAAGGTGAGGCCCTAAAAGGTTAAGGGTGGGTGGAAAGCACAAGGTACGTTGGGCGCAATTCCAGGGAAGCCACTGGCCATGGCCAGGGGCTGACCAGGGGGTGACCAGGAGCTGACTATTGTGCTTCAGCCTTCTTGTCTGCCTCTTCCTCTTCCTTTCCTCTCTCTTCTATTGTCTGTCTCGTATTTACTCTGGTAGCGAATGTTCATGCCTTGGAGCAGCCCCCGTGGGTATTCCATCTAACGCACATGTTAGAAATGTCAATCTGAGGAGCATCACTTGGCGGGAAAAGCGCAAAGATAAGATCGCTTTTTCCTCACTTCTCCTTGGAAAAAGACTGCCGCTACCAGCTAGCCGCTTGTAACTCGCCAATGCGCCTTAAACATGAAGACGCCTTATGCCTAGCGCCGTGTGAGGCGATCAACCTTCTGTCACCATAACCACTGATCCCATGTGGGGTACAATTCATGCATTGGGTGAAAAGTGTACTTACAACGTGGTAGGCGAGGAAAGGTTAATTGTTCTTGGGTCTATGACGTTTATCACGGCATGGTTCTTCTGGAGAGGTTGTGACCGTATGGTAACGTGTTAGACGATGCAAGAGAAATGTATGGTGGTAGAATATTTGTTGTTTCTTTTTCATGCCTTTGCCTTTGCTGGAAACCTAATTAACGACTCCGTTTCTTCTACAGATTCTGCCGAAGTACATCTTCTTGATTATTGGCGCCTGCCGGTCATCGCTTGACTCTGTAGGATGTATTGAAATGTTGGCAGTCACCAAGCGTCTTGGAAATTAGCTGTTCATTCCTTGGAATCATGAGTTTTCGGGAGCCAAGGACATGAACTTGGGCCCCAGTGTATGTGGCTAATTTCCGTTCATCCAGAAAACAAGAAAAGGAAAGAAAAATAAAATATTTCAAGAAAAACAATACCGGGAGAAATTAAGCGAAGGTTTCGTACTTCCATGATTTCTGCAAAGCCTCCCATCTCGCTTACTGTTCTTTGCATCTTCAAGGTGAAACGAACATGTCTAGTGAATCTGTGTTATTCGTTTTTTGGGGGCTTTGTCCGATGCTAATTATGCTGTTAAATTAATTGCATCAAACAAAACAACAACAAAAAAAAAAAAAAAAAAAATCTCTCACTAAACACATTAATCTTTGCAGCTTTTTGCAAATCCTCCAGAATTAAACAATAGTATTTTTTTTTGACAGAGCTACAAGGTCTTTTCGTTTGAAGTTGTTGTTTGCGTTGGTCTTCGTTGATGTGTTTCTTCCATGGTTGGTTGTGGTTCCCAAAACCGTGCTCATAATATATTCCCCAGAATCCTCCCATATACCCTTGCATTTTTTGAAGTCCATTTAAGAAGAAAGGTTGAATGTTTTAAACCTTTATTCTATTGATAATTCTTTGCCAGTTTATGAATACCAACGAAGCTGTCGATTTAGTTAACGATTTATTGCGCCCAAATTGCAGCTAATTTTACCGATTTTTTGATACTACAATGTTTTGATTTGAAGATCACTAAAACAAATTCAATTGCTACTCTTTTCCAGTTGTTGTTATCAACTTACTTCCGAATTTCCATATTTCTTCTTCAAGCTGTCAGAGAAGTCAAGCCAACATGCCCACATGGGCCCTCACTAGGTGTTTGTTTATACCACCAACTCCAACTTTTACACGTTTTTATTTCACGGGGAGTCTGTTTTGCTCTTTTATCTTTCTTTCCAACCATCCATTTTTAACGCTTCGTCTACCTTCTTCGGAAAGTAGATTACCTCCTTTGGTTACATTAACTCACCTGTCACCTCCCCTTCCACTTATCTACAACTAGTAGATAAGCCAGTTTGACAATCTGACACTGGAAGAAGAGGCCTACCAACCCTATGAAAAACTCCACTTCTACGTAAATCAAACATTTACACATTCGGAATCTTCGGTATAGAAACTCTATTCTTTAGCATGACCGATCTGATTCTTGACCCTTCCATTGACTACACGGGGACTACGGCTGCGAAAAGTCCGGAAGCTCTTGCTCTCTAGACAATGACCGAGAATGGTCACGTACGTTGGCGCACGTGATGTCCCAGACCATACCAAAAAACAACGTCCAGCGGCCCATTTGAGTGCTGGAAGCAAAAGAAGAGCCATTTAACTATACGTACAATTAGTACCCAGTACCTTCTTTTCACTTCCAAAAATCTACTCCCCTAGCCAGTCTGAACCAATCTAAAGCTACCATTAGTAAGCTCGCGCGTCACGTGATCTGGGGTACTGTATGTCATCTAGTCACAGCAAGGAAATCTCGGAGGCGAGGATCGGAGAAGGTTCTTTTCTACATATTACTTAAACTCTCAGCTCTCCGCTTTCACTGAGTACTAGTACCACACTACTTACTTACACCATGTTTCACAAAACAGCATTATCCAGAATAAGCAAGAGATTACTTTCATTTAAAACATACCCTACCCCCAATCAGAATGCATTAAAGTTTGTTTCCCCTGAGCGTGCCATCTCTCCACTAGAGAACAAAACATTCGAGTTTGGCTCTTCTCTTCAAGCAGTCCATTCTCCATTGGCACTTAAGCTATTCAAACTTTCTGGTATCAAGTCTATTATGATTGGCCATGATTTTCTTACGGTCAACAAACAAGACCATATCAATTGGGCCAACTTGCGTCCTGAGGTGACTGAGTTGTTGGATGAGTTCCTCACGGCTGACAGAGAACCTACTATCACCAAGGAACTTTTGGATTCCGAGGAAGACTCTTTGGCTGCAAACGAGAACGATACTGAAGTTGTTGCCATGATCAAGGAGTTGATCGACACAAGAATCAGACCTGCTATTCAAGACGATGGTGGAGACATCGAATACAAGGCTTTCGATGAGGAAACCGGAACAGTGTTCCTTAAGCTTCAGGGTGCATGCAAATCTTGTTCAGCTTCTGAAGATACCCTTAAGGGTGGTATTGAGTCCATGTTGATGCATTACATTGAAGAGGTGAAGGAGGTTGTCCAGATCCTTGATCCAGAGGAGGAAATCGCCAACAAGGAATTCGAAAGACTAGAGCAGAAACTCAAGGACAGAAAAGAAACTTCTCCTCCCCCTCCACCACCATCTTTGTGAGCCGCCCAACTGGACACACCATCTTAGCATTATTTATTCACAATCTGCATTCACTACAAATAAACATACCAGAAAGAATATTACCCTTGTAGTACTTTTATTATTATTTCTCCTTGTACTTCTGAAGTGCCTCGAGCACCTGCTGCTTGATCAAAGCCAACATTCTACTCTCCTCAAATCTCGAGTCCAACTCTTTCAAAAGACCATCATCGACGCAGCCTTTGCTAATTGTAAGGCGAACTTCTTCGAAAAGGTCTTTTCGCCACTCCTTGGTGAATTTATCCCATTCTCTCGAGACATGATTAAAGCCTAGAACCCAGCCTAGGAGACCAATTGCAAAGGCGGTGTTCGCTTGAAGTCCAACAAATAGATAACCCAAGACAGAAAGCGCTGTCAAGGGAAGCTGGTAGTAGACAAATCCAAGAGCAAGACAACTGTATACCACTGGTTGGATCTCGTTGGCTATCCTCTCATTGACAAGCTTCCGCTTGAAGCCCTTCAATGGATTGATCACACCAATCTTATCTGAGTATGCAGCAAATTTCTGTTCTTGAAGTCTCGCTGTGAGTTGACCTCTGACATAGTTGTAGCTCTCAATGCTTTTGGGCATAAAGTTACCTTGGAAAAAGTCTTTGAGCCAGTATTCAACATTATCGTTCTTCCAGTATAACATGTACCATCTGAGTTTCCTGTCAAAAAAGTTGTTTGTCCGAGGGATTAAATCCTTCTGCAATTCAGTGTGCATTGATGCGCTGCATTCTACCAAGCTGTTTAACTTAAGGTCATCATAGATCTGTCTGATTCTTGTTTCCGAAAGACTGTTACGAGCAATTTCCGTGCAAATGACGTGGAACATCCATGACGTCAAGTTCTCCGTTCTCAAATACCACAGCATGAACTTTCCAATCTCTATTATATTGCTCCTTTGCAAGGAGTCGAAGTACTCTGTGGCAGCCTTTGTATCTTCTTTAAGGAACAACTGAATACCTTCGTAAGCCTGTTTTGAGTTTATCTTAATGGAATGATGTGTAACATTGTTTGATCTCTCGAAAGTAACCGGAGTCAGCTCTGCTGACAGTGGAGAAAACTCCTTATTATCAATGATTGTGAGCATAATTTTCTTTTGAACATGGCGAGGGAGATTATCCATGAGAGTAGAAAACTCACTCGTAACATAGATGAAAAATTGACAATTGTCTGTAAGTTTATGGACATCACTCTCTCTATTAATTTCAAGAATGGATAAGCCATTAGGTGCACTGGTCAGTGCTTCGAAGATTTCAGGATAAGTTCTCCTTAACTCTGGACTTAGGATGGGAGATGGAACATCATATTTCGCCACTGTCCGTTCAAAAGCTCCAGGAAGGGTGAATTGATTTGGGTCGGGTGACTTGAAAGACAATAGGTTATTCTTTTCTCTAGATCTCTGAGTCAATGGGATGTACCATTCTTGATTATTAGAAGATAAAGGATCAGCTAGAAGTGATTCTATAACACGAGATGTTTTGCGGACCTCATCTGATTCGTATAGAAGACCAACAAGGATGGTTTCTGAGCGACTTGTGTTTCTTCTTAGGCCCAAGTATGTTTGTATTGTTGAGTAAGTCACGGTATCGTATGGGTACCACCTGACGTACTTTTTGAGTCCATCCGAGATGGAAGTAATAGGGGAAAGCTCAAGGCTGCTTTTCCCTGGCTTGGGCTCTTGGTTCTGGGAGCTATTGTAGCGTATAAGCGTTCTTGTAGTGAGCGTACATGGTCTCAACGGAAGCCTGGCATGACGTCCTAGTCTAGTTATCAAGGCCATTGACCGGGTGGGAATAAATGCAACCAAAGAAGGGATTCAATTATGAAGTAAAGAAGTGAAAGAGTGTCGGTCTTCAGGACGTAAGTATCTCGATAAGTAGCTGATCTCTCTATTGGTGGTTGTCGCGAGAGAAGATCTGTCGCACCCGAAGTGCGGTTTACAGGAACAGACATTGGTGGTCAGTAAGGGAAGAGAGGTGGACTAGAGGCTTCTAAAAAGGGGATTTAATAATAGAGAATACTTCTTTTAAAGAATCATGTGTCGAATTGTGATTTCAAAGTGGACTTTTGCTTGAAAGAGAAAGGAATTGTTTGGTGGTTTTATGGTTTCCAGATTATGAGAATGGCCCATTTTGGCAAGATGGTTGCGAAAAACGAACCTAAGAACAGAAAGAATGTATTATTGTAAAATAGTCCAGTTTCTCTATTTTTTTTTTTTTTTTTTTTTTTACCAAAAAGAAAAGACTCAAATATTTGTAGTATTTTGAAACAAGGTAGAATTATCATTAAAAAGAAGGGTGCTCGGAAGATTAAAGCTGGCCTTGGACTGCCAGTCTACTAAGCAGCACTCACAGTTAGCCTATGTTGCTAGTGTAGCCAGCAACACCAAACATGAATAGCAAAAAGCACAAGTAAGACACTCTACAACACCGAAAGTTTCCAAAAAGGTACAAACATTGATCTATACTTGCAAAAAAGCCAGCCACCAATAAAATTGCTCTCACTCGTCTATACCCCATTGCCAGACATAAGATCATGGAATGTCTCAGAACACAAGCCACATGCCAATGTGGTCCCACGTTACATTTGTCTAAACAAAAATTCGAATCCCTTAGTTAGCCCTTATTTATCCATACAAAACCCCCAGGGTGCCCCATCACAATGTAGTGTGTATTCAAGCCAACGTCTAGGCTTTATGCTGGGTGCAAATCTGGGGTATAATGTGCTATCTTTTTGTCACATTCATGGAGCGGCTCACAGTGTGGTTCCATGGTATAGGGCAATAGAAGAACCAAAAATTGTCCATTCCCCAAAAATATATAACAAATATTCACCTTTTTTCTACATTTCTTGTTCCTCCTTCACCACCTTCCTATTTGATCCGTTTTGTGATTGGGTTTCGGATAACCACTTTTCGCATGTTGATAAGAGCGCGATCGTTTGACATATCCGAGAAAAATCCTGAACCGACCTTCGCAATCCTCACATCTTTAGCTCCACACTCTTTATGTCTCAGCTGATTGGAATCCCCACGGGCGGCCTGGCTTTCCAGCTGGGCTTGGGTATCTTGAAGAAATACGCCTCCTTCATAGGGCCGGGCATCATGGTGTCGGTTGCTTATATGGACCCTGGTAACTACTCCACTGCAGTTTCCTCTGGTGCCGATTACGAGTATAGTCTTTTGATTATCATTTTCCTTAGTAATTTGTTTGCTGTGGTGTTGCAGTGCCTTTGTGTGAAACTAGGCACGGTTACTGGCCTTGACTTGGCTGAAATGTGCCGTTTGAACTTACCCTGGTGGCTTAACTTGTTTTTGTACGTTTGTGCTGAGATCGCCATTATAGCTACAGACTTGGCTGAAGTGGTGGGCACTGCTATTGCTTTGGAAATCTTGTTTGGCATTCCTTTGGTTTTTGGCGTGCTTATTACTGTTCTTGATGTGCTCATCATCTTGTTCGCATATCATAAGGATGGAAACTTGCGTCAAACTAGGACTTTTGAGATCATGGTTTCGATCTTGGTCGCCGCTACCTGTGTCTGTTTCGTCGTTGAACTTTTCAAATGTGACTTCGAACCAGGCTCTTTTGGTAAGATTGTTGAAGGTTTCTTGCCAGTCAACATGGAGGTTTTCACAGAGTCTAGAGCTTTGTTCTTGAGTTGTGGCATTGTCGGAAGTACCGTTATGCCTCACTCTTTATATCTTGGATCATCTTTGGTCCAATCACGTTTGAAGGATTACGATATTAGGAACGGAAACGTTTCCATCAATCTGGACGGAGAAGTGGAAAATTCTGGTGATGAACAAAGCGATGCCCTTGCTTTGAGCCAGAACAAGTTTCTCGCTATTTCCGACGGCTCAAGCCTTGCTCGGAAGTATCGTCCTTCTTATTCTGCAATCAAGTATTGCTTGAACTACTCATACATCGAGTTGATACTCTCTTTATTTATCATTGCAGTGTTTGTTAACGCGTCCATTTTAATTGTTGCTGGTTCTACATTATACGGGAAGCCTGATGCTGATGATGCCGACTTGTTGTCGATTTATGAAATGTTGTCTCATTACATATCGCCAGCTGCCGGTTTGATCTTTGCATTGTCAATGCTCTTCTCGGGTCAAAGTGCTGGCATTGTCTGCACTATGGCCGGACAGATTATCTCAGAAGGCTTCATTAATTGGTCGTTTAAACCTTGGATTCGTCGTATCATAACTCGAGTCCTAGCAATCATCCCTGTGTTGATTGTGATTATAATTTTGGGACGCGAAGGTGTCGCTACCATTATGAACTCATCTCAAGTGGTTTTGAGTTTTATTCTTCCTGTTGTCAGTGCTCCTTTGATTTGGTTCACCGCCAACCGCAAGTACATGGCGGTTAATGATATCAATTCAGAGGCTCCTGATGAACAGACGGCGTTATTATCGGATGAGGGGGATGGAGCCAATGGCTCCACCCAAAAATTAGTGTTCTTTGAGAACGGGAGGTGGTTGAATGTGGCTGCTTTTAGCACATGGCTTATCATTACCTTTTTAAACATTTACTTGGTTTACCTTTTCTCCATTGGAATTGAGGTTTAATTAAAAGTACATAGGTGTGGCATTAGAATATGATAGACATTTACATAAAGCTCTTCTTCTTTTTGTATGGTCCTCTGATACTTGCAAGTCTGCCGGTCTTGTTGATCGCGGAAGTAGATGAAGGCATGTGTCCTGGCAAAACACCAGGTGTCTCATTGAGAAGAACAGGAATATGTTTGCTGACCTCATGAGCAAACGACTGGTCCTGGCCAGCTTTGGATTGGAGAAGGATTGTGAGAAGCTTAGTTACTTTTTTGTAAAGAATAACCTCTGCCACCGTTGGAACATTCTTTCTGGTATGGTTTTGGTTCGCGAATCTTTCTTGACGCAATTTGTTGAGCCTTAGAAGACTCTGAGATATGAGCTTTTGCACTTTAGCAGGTGAGCCCTTTATTTCGTCTTTAACCTGCTTTAATTCCTCCAACGCTGCCACATCTTCTGGTCTATAATACACGAGATTATCGAGCTTTATAACATCCAGCTTGGGAGCTGGGTTCAGTTTTTCGATTGGACTGTCCTTTACATCAGCTGGGTGATCATCGACAAGCGAATCTTCATCCATTGATTCGTCCACTTTTGTGCTCTTTGAAGTTGGCTCTTGAGGCTCAGTTTCAGGAACATGACCGTTGTACTTATTTTTGATATCCTCTATCAACTTGGCACCAAAATGGTTGTACCACACAGCGTTCCGAAGATCAGAACTAAGCACAGAATTCCTCAGATCTGTTGCAGGGCCAAATGACCTAATGGTATTTGAGTTTTTCTCAAAAGTACGCAACTCATTGTCGAAAGTTTCCTTGACCAACGTGGATTCCACTGGAGGTTTCAAAGCTCTCTGCTTATACACCAACCATTTTGGAGCTTCCACAGTGTACCAGTTTGGATGGAAGAAACTATCCAAAACTTGGCCGCCGAGCTGACCTGGACCTGGCGGTTTAGTAAGTGGGTTTCCAAAGCTTCTCAAAGTTTCCGAGTTGCTTGGAATTGTTTTGGTCGAACCAACCACCTTTGCTAACAGATAAGGATCAGGGACAATAGTATTTCTGGTGTCGAGAGCCGACTTGCCAGTCAAACTGGAAAACAATGGCTGAGTTTTAATCTTAGGCTCAGCTGGTGGCTGCGCTGAGTACAAGCTGTGGTAGGAAGGAAGTGGAGGCTCTTCGACCTTATTCATGAAAACAACGGTCTCACCGTTGGCAACATCGTAGTTCTGAGAGATCTTGTCAAAGTCTTCACGTAGAACATTGAGAACATCCTCTGGGTCATCTTTAATAGCTTCTTCGTCATCGTTGAAGACTCGGAGGCCCAAACGACCAGTCTCTCTAATCAAAAGCTCAGTGGTGAACTTGAAAAAGTAATCGACAATCTTGTAGTTTCCAGAACCAACATCATACTTGACAATTTCTTCGCTGGATGCAATCTTGATATCATGATAAATTTGGTATGGGGACGTGTATTTGTTCAGCCCAAGCTTCTGCTGGATAGTCACCTTCTTTCCATCAGGATTCTCTTCTGTATGTCTTTGAAAAGATTCAAGAATGAATTCCGGCGTTGCCTCATAAAAGCCCTCTGGGATCAGCTCTTGCGTGGTAATCCCAAGAGTGTCGGCTTGTTCGAGAACCACCAGGAAGTCTAATAGTAGCTTTTTGACGACTGTTTGTTAGTAACAATCCAAAATAACATAATTTCAATTGCTGCACCCTTCATCAATCCCAGTATTATTTCATGAAGCATAATACGCGACATAATATTTAGGTTCAGCGTCATTTTATCCTATACATACTCTGTTTCTCGTTTTTCATGGTGCGGTAAACAAATGTAGGCAAGTACTTGTAGTCGCTATTTTTTTTTCTACTCGCTTTCAATGTTGATAATGTACATGCAGGAAACTGGCTTACTACCCACTTCTTTTTCTATATACAAGCCGGGGTATTTCATGACAGTATGGGAAAATTATTCTTCGAACAAGAGTTTGATTTCCTCTATTCTTTGTTTTCTGCGCTCTTCTTCTTCGACTTCGACGGCTTCTCCCATCATTCTTTTCCTTTCCTGGATGCGCAACATCTTGGTTTCGATACTGTTCTTAACAATAAACCTCACCACTTTCACGTTTTGGGCTTGACCAATACGATGGATTCTATCGATAGCTTGGTCTTCAACACTTGGTGACCACCAAGGATCCATCATGAATGCACGGTTAGCGCAGGTCAAATTAAGACCAACGCCTCCTGCTTTCAATGACAAAAGGAGCACCACAACTTTACCATTCATCTTTCGTTCAGCTGTAAAGCTCTGCAAAATCTTCTCTCGATCATTAAGGTTTAAACGACCATCAAATTTGTAAACCTCAAACTCTGTGCCGTTGTTACTCATGATTTTTAGCTCATTCTCGATCAAATCCAAGTAACTGGAAAACTGCGAAAACACAACAACCTGCTCTCCAGGAGCTTGGTCTTTGAGTGCAATTAAATGCTCGATGAGAGCCTCAATCTTTGATGATGTCTTGTTTGGATCGTAATGGTAAAGCTGAAAATCGTATTTTGAACTTGGATCATCCACGTCTTCATTCGTGTGGAACCTCACCTCCTTCTTGTCAGTCTCCTTGTTTCTGACCTTAAATAACCTGTAGATGGAGATTGGACCACGACAATCTGGACATAAAGGATCATTACCATTATTGGATTGAAAGTCGATATGCTCTTTCAAGCAATGGAAGCAAAAATTGTGACCACATTCAGTCACCACCATTTCACCCACATTAATAGGAGACTGGGTGCAAATGGAACATTCACTATTAGGCAAATCAATCCTTTTATAAAGAGAATACATCACTTGCTTCAACTTGGTATCATTCTCAAAACGCTCAGTCAAAAATGGTTTCTCAAACTCAGCCAATTCTTGAGCCCATGTTTCATCAAGTTCGTCACTTCCAGAAACAAGATCAGCGTGGCAACAGATTTGGCGCAAACGTAAAATATGAGTCAAGATCTGAGTGTATTTCTTTAATAAGTCTCCACTCTTCATTCCCTCCTTGAAAGATTGGAATGCTCTTGTTTTGAAAAAGTCGTAGTACAACTGCTCTCGTTTACTAAACTCCAACTCTTGGACAATCACTTCCTTGTCAGGAAGACTTATAAGGGGTTGACCATCTTTCAGCTTCATGTTCTTGGTACGACGCAAGAAGATCGGTTGTAGAATGGACTTTACCACATCCAAAGTCTGATTAAACTTCTTCTGTTCGAATGGCAACGTAACGAAAGTCTTCCAGTAGGAAAAGTTACTCCATGGCTCTAGTTTCAAAAACTTGACAATAGAAAAGATATCATCGAGCCTGTTGATCACAGGAGTACCAGTAAGAACCCACTTTCGCCTCAGCTCCAATTCGTGTGCAGACTTGGCGGTTTTAGTTGTCCTGTTTCTTATAGTATGACCCTCATCCAACACTATCCGGAAATACTCAACAGAGAATAGACCCATCTTGGGAAGTTTTCCGTTTTCATCTCGCATTTTATTAAAACGAGTCCATTCGTTCTGAACAGTACCATAGGTCGTTAAAACAACAACGGGAATATTCTTGGTACGCCCACACAAGGTCTGTGAGAAGTCAGCCTGAACACTATCGCCGTAGTAAACAAAACAACGATGGTTCTTATTGTTATTCGAACGATCGAATTCAGATTTCCACTGTGACAACAAAGACATTGGCACCACAACCAAGGTGGTCTTAGACGCGTAGCGTGGTGGTTCAAAGTTCAATGCCAGGGAGTCGTAAGGAACCGAATGAACAAGAGACAATATAGAGATGGTTTTACCCAAACCCATTTCGTCCGCAAGTATACCACCCTTCATAAAACTTTTCATCATCGGCTTATCTCTAGACATTTCACCATTGTACAAGTTTGCGTAAAAGTACTCCTCTGTTTCACCCGAGTCACTGGTATTTGGATCAGAAGGCCACTTAAACTTGCTCCAAAGGGGATTCACCACACCATCTTCCTGACGGATAGCTTGACGCTTCTGTGTTGAAAGAACTTCTCCATCTGTCGTTGATAAGCGTTCAAGTGTATCAATCTCTTTCTCCCTTGCCAACATCCACGAGAGCCCATGCTTCTGGTATGGTCGAAGTTCCAACTTGAAGTTTTCTTCTGGAGGCGATGTTGTCTCAGGCAAATCATTCAAATACTCTGAATGCTGGTTGGCTGTGTAGAAATCCTTCAATTGATCAAGACTGAGCTCGTCCACAGACGAATTTTCCTGTTGGGTATCTATTTCGTTGGACGGTTCATCATCAAGAACAACAAGTTCGTCCACCGCGGGTGCATTCTCGTCAAAAGGCGTGATTTGTAATTTTTCGAAAAGTCTCGAGATCGATTTTTGTTTGAGCCTCAAAGCTGCTTCAGCATCAGTCTCTTGTGAATAATTGAATCCCACACCCTGGTTTACCTTCCTCTTCTTTGCTGGCGAGGAGTCTTCAACATCCTCGCTTCCAACATACTTATCATGATTAACAAAAGTGTTATTGTTTAGAAAGCAACGAATCAGAATGTAGAAAGGATCACCGATAGATATCCGTTTGTTGGTCTCCATCATTACGGTCGCTTCAAAATGGGCAAGATCAAGATCTATCAAGGGTGATAGAATACGTGTGACATCTTCAGGTAAACGCCCAATTTCCCTATTATCAGTACCGTCAGTGTATAGTCTAATGACTGCTGAATCACCAAACTTTGCCTGGACCTTGGAAGATTTCTTGATCTTGCTCGGTATGAGTCTTTTCACTACCAAACGCTGCTTGTATGTTAAAGCCCGAAGATAAGGTCTTGTAGCCCACGCTTCTAGATGGAGCGTACCAATATATCTCTGCCACAGAGTTGCTTTGGCTATCTCCTGGTCTTGCTTTGCCTGAGATCTCATCCGTTCATAAAGCTGCTTTATTTCTTCTTTCCTTTCTTCCGACTCCTCTTTTACTTCAGCTGTCTTTGGGTCCGCGTCATCAGCACCAATATCTAGTCCATTGAAGTACTCGTTTGTTGCAAGTTGAATATAGTTCGGCCTATTGAAGTATTTCTTATAAAGATACTGCAAAGCCTTTGAGGAAGCATCTCCAATAATCGATATTAGCTGGCTCCGGAAAAGATCGAAACCGATCTGTGATAGCCTTGCGTCTGAGCCATTGGAGTCTTGCAGTGATATTAGAGTACTGTTCTCTTCGGCTGGATGTTGACTTGTGCCGAAAGATTGCTGAGGCAGCAGAGACATTTGCGATGTCCTTACTGGCTCTTGAGATTTGCCATTGGAATGAACCTCTTCAACGACCTCTATCACGTCTTCGTCTTCATCCTCTTGAACGAACAATGAATCAGGCGCGTCCTCTGTATGGTCGGTGGCTGGAGGCGCTGTGTCTTGGGAAATGCTCTTAGGTTCAAGCTTCGGTTTTGGTTGAAAGAATCTCGGTTTTTCCATACTCATCTTCCATATCGACTCTATATATGATATGGTGGTGAGGGCAAATGGAGGTGATGTCTTCTAAAGCCAGGCATTCGCGTACCTCATTGATATAGTCCATATGCATGCCCGATGGCCCCAAACACTTGCAAATTATAGAAGAAGACAATGTGGATTTAATGTTTGCTGATGAATAGAACCATCAAAACGGTTCTTTTGACACCATTCTTCAACCTTGGATGTGCTGACATAGACTGTTTCGTCCTGGTCTTCTTCTAGTATGCCCATATACTCTAGTGCGAGTAGAGTGTCTTCCTTACGGAACCCCGTTGCGTTTCCTAGCTCTCGAAGAGTGACGGTGTCTTTATGAGCCAAATCGGTGGTAATTAAAGAAGCTAGTTTCTTTGACCAGAAGCGTAGGTAGGACACCTTTCCGTATGGGGAAAGTGGAAACTCTGGACCCAGTCGAGCCATGTTTGGAGTCACTTGGGCCAAAGCATACAGAAACTCTATAAGGAGCTGGCCCAAATGAAGACGCTGGTAAGGCGGGAATACGCAAATGCACGCTAAGTTGTTATCGGCTTCCCATGAATTCACTTCTCGTGAGAAGAACCCCATCGGCTTGAAGTACTTTCGTAGAACCGAGCCAGTGATATCTTCATCCAGAGGATCAAAACCGTAAAGAATGTAAAAGTCGAAACAGTCTACATTATAGTAAACCGACTTGTCGTCAAGGAAAAGTTTTCCAAAAAGCGAAAGGTTCTGGCAGAAGAGTTCATGAGTATACCCTCTGACATGCTTTATAAGGTATGGTGCCTTGGTATCTGAATAAACGAGTCTCCCCAAAGGTGGAAATGGCTTTTTGAGCGGACACAACGTTCGGTGAAGCGTCATCTTATGTCCATCAGTAGAGTACTTGAAGCAGTGCTCACAGACGAAGAGCTGGTCAAGCCATATCAGAGAGTCCAGCGGTGCTTGCGGCGTCTTCTTTCTCAGCGAGCTTCCGCCTTTCATTGAGTCAATCCCCAACTCCAGGTCTCCGCTTGAGTTGAAATACGCGCCGTTACCGTACCAAGTCTCGAACTCGTACTCTCCAAGCACTACCAGTCCGATGTTTGGAGCACTAAGCACACCGTACTCGTCTGATTTTTTCAGGTTTGAAGTTCGAGATGGCTTGGGAGGAGGATTTGGGTTCGGGAGCGAACCGTCTAGAGAAGCCATTGCTTGGGAGGCAGCCATCTATCAGGATTGGTGTGTTGATGGTGTTGATGGAAGGTGCGAATGTATGGGGCCGCGACAAGCGATGGATGGGAAGAGTAGGTACCACTATGGTACGAAGAAGTGAAGAGGGGATGGTGGTAGGTGGGACTGGCAAGGCGTGGAAAGGTATGGTTTTTGTGATTTGAATGGGGTATGGGATGGCTGGTTGACGTAGTGGTGTGTTAGCTGGGGAGTATGGTAGGTTGATGGCTGCGAAAGTCCATCTAGAGGCATGAAGAAGAGAGATTAGGGATAAGGCTGGGTTAGAGAGGAGCTGGGGTTAGGAGGATTGATGAGAGGAAGAGAAGGATAAACTTTTTGAAATAATAGTGGTTGACCTTTTCATGGGTAATCCAACGATTGTACATTCACGAAAGGAAGAATTCAACTTCAGAGTTGGCCATGAACATTGAGAAACGCTTGAAGACTTCCAGTGTTCAGCTATAGAAAGTGTTTTTTTTTTTCCGGAAAGTGGAAATGGCCGAAATGCTAACTTCATATATACCATGGGGAGCGTATTAAACCAGATCAAGGGAGAAAGTATAGACTAGAGCTATCTCCAACTAGTCGACCTTAAAATCCCAAATCGACCACCTTTCAGAACTTCAGCTAAAGTGTCCATAAAATTTGCCACCGAGAGACTTTTGCCTTGGTATGACCCTACAACGCATGTATCGAGCGGTTATTGCCCCAGTCGTCACACCGCCAACGGGTACCGGAACCTTCTTGCCACTTCTACATCCGTACCCGGAACCTTCTTGCTACTTCTTCATCCGTACCCGGACCCTCTATAAGCGTTTGCGGTCACACTTTAGCACAGCGGGCATTCTGCTATGAAGGTCGTCGCTGACTAACCTACTGGAGGCACAAATGACGCATTATGCAAGGGCCATTTGCAGCCATCCAGCCTACGCAAAAACCTCTCACCAAGGAATATAAATATGCAGCAAACATCTCTATTTTTTTTTTTGTTTTCATTACAAACATCAAAGAATAATATCAAAAATGGCCCCAACTTCTGCTTGCAAATGTACCAACTGTACCTGTGCCAATTGCACTTGCTCCCAAGACTCGCTGTGCAAGTGTGAGAACTAAGCATGGTGTTTTTTGTTTCCACTGCTGAATTAACCTGATTTTTTTTTTCTGGCTGAATTAACCTGATCAGCCAGAAACATCATTTAAAAGTATATAAAATCAATTTTATTTGTTACTTATTCAATATCTTGTAGACCTTCTCTGCTGGAGAATACACGTGACTCCACTGCCAGTAGATTTCCAGACCCTCTTGATATCGCGAAACGCGTTCTTTCCAAGTACCATCAAACACTAGCATGCCACCAAAAGGTTGGAGAAAGAACGCTGAGGGCAAGTTCCCACAAAACCATAAGGATGCCGAATTCGTGTCTATTGATGATATTCTTTTTCCAAAGTCGGTGATCCAGAAACTCGCCAAGAACATCATCCAGTCTGACGATGGAAACATGATCATCTCCAAGGACTCGTTAACTGCCTTGCAAAGGTCAGCCACGGTGTTCGTTTCTCATTTGATGTTTTTTGCAAGACAGTTGGCTAAAAATGCTGGTCGTAAGAGTGTTAACTCGCTGGATATTTTGCAGGCATTGGAGAAGGCTGAACTCACGGGCTTTGTGGGTGAAGTCCAGCTGAAGCTAGCTACTTTTGAACACAATGCAGAGGTCAAGAAGAAGCAGAAGGCCGAAGCAAAGGCTGCTGGTCAGGATGTGGATGGCCCAGCGGCAAAGAAGTTGAAGGATAACTCACAGAATGGAGTGGAGCCAGGTAACCCAGAGGCAGATGCCGATGATGAAGAACATGAAAATGATGACGAAGATGAGGACGAGACCGAAGTTAATACTGTCAACGAGGAGGACGACGACGATGATAATGCTGAAGAGGATGAAACCAGCCAGGACCACCATACCCAAAACCCGATTGCTTTGCTTGGTAAAGAGGAGCACGAATTAGAAGGAAGCAACAGCGAGGCTGAAAACGCAGACACGACAGAAGTTCCAGACGAGGAGGATGAATAAAAGGTCTGGTCAGATCAGACTTTCAAGAAAAGCTACACCGAGATCAGATAAGATTATCTTTAATGCCTTATGCAATGGCCGAATAGCGGAAACCCACATTCGAAGCCGATGAAGAAGTATAGCAAGAGAATGAAGACGGAAACACACACGATCCAGAACTTCGCATTGCTGAACCACATTTTGCGCTTGATAGCTTGAGCTTTTCGTTGAAACACCAGCGATGAAGATGTGAGACGGTCAGTCTGGTCCACAAGGGAGTTAATTTTATCTCCTCGGTTCATGAGCTTGTTTATGTTATCAAGCATCAACAGGCGGACTTCACCCACCTCTTCGTTTGCCAAGAGAAGTTGGTTTGGCGTGATCACATCTCCTCTGGACGGCCCGGAACCATCACTATCGTCGTCACCACGATTGATGCTGCCATAGTTATACATACGCTGATTTGACTCGTATTGCATCTCTTCGAACTTGATAATTTGAGTCATATACATTTTGAATTCGCCGGGTTTATTCCGAGACTGATCAGCTGTCGACAGCGAATCGGCATTGTCCGTAGTGGAACTCATCTCCTTACGGAACTCGAAATACTTGTCCATAATCTTCTTGAGAATCGACAAGATAAGTGTCTTGTTCACATCATGATGTGCCAACGTGACGACTGTGACGAGATCATTGCTACCATCAGGGTTATGGAGCGTCTTCTTCATGAAGTACAATAAAAGAAACGTCTTCGTGACAGCGCCACTGGTATAAACAGGGAACAGCCCTATAAGGGTTTTGGATGAATTGATGAGCCCAAGCTCCAGCAGAACAAGTTCAGAACAGTTCAAATTATTTATGGAGTGCGCTAGCTTAACATTTTCTGTGGAGTATAAAGTGGAAGAATTGAGCGTGAGCGTCGTGAATATAACTGTCGGTTAGTAAAGCAGGCTTTCACATGGAAGAAAAGTCGATACGTACGTTGCTTGTGGATATCCTTGTATGTCATTGGTGGTAATACAAAGCTTAATCATTCTGTGGAGCTAATGGTTTTGTTGATGTATACTGCACGAAAGCGCACCCAGCCTTAGGTAGATGCGCTTTGGAGGACCGAGATGGATCCGACTTGCAACTGGCCAATGTAAGTGAACACTATTTTTTATTGAGGAAGTTGTTGAGTTTCTGGATCAGAGAATTGAAGTACTTCTGGGGAACATTCTAAAGAAATTTTTCGAGAAGTTGACTGACCGGTCCTGGGCATGGAGGTGTATTTTAAGTGAAGTGACTGAAACGAAGAGCTAAGAAGGGAAAGTCTATTACATCGTGATTCTTAGACGAGATGGATGACGCTTATTGCTTTCTAGTGCCATTTCAAGCGAACGTTGTACTATAGAATCGACACTATAGGTGCATTTTGCAGCCACTCCGCGCATACTCTACTGAACCCCTCCAACCCATATAGCTATTCCACCACTAATAAAGAAGAACGGCTTACGAAACAATCTCCTCAGGTCAACCACAGGCCTACTATACATAGATAATTCAGAGAACGGATGAAGTATTGAATAGTAGTCATTTCGTGGGTGCGCACGTGATCTCATCGGCTCTGAAAAAGGCCCCATCGCCTTGATCAACACTTGAAGCAGTATACTTCTCCAGAACCAGGATGGGAAAATATAGAAAAAGGTTCAACGAGAAGGCTCGTGCTGGTATGCTTGCCAAGCAAGCTGCCCTCAAGAAAGCCAGGCAGAAACAATTCACTCGCCATCTTGATGATGGTACTGACGACCAGCCTAAGGAAGATGCAACGGAGCTACTGACTACAGAAAGCAATCCCAATGCTGATATTCTCAAACCAATGACTGACGAAGAGAAAGCTGAAAGAAAGCGTAAACTTGCAGAAGCATTGTACACAGAAAACGAAAAGGAAGCCAAACTATCCAGAGCCAAGAGAAAGAGACTAGACAAGTACATTGAACATCAGCTCAAGAGAGAGGAAAAGAAGATTCTTCTTGAAAAGCTTTCTGGTACAAAGATCGATACAAAACAGCTCGCTCCTTCAAAGCTTCTAGGGCAAGGAAAACAGACCCGTAGGGAAGAGATGATCGAGGCACTAGAGCTCGAGAGACAAGGCAGAGGAGACGAGCATACCAAAGAAGTCTTGTACGAGGAGCATGAAGCTAAACCTTGGCCAGAGGATGAAGGTCTGGAAGGGCTGGAAGATGATGAAGAGCCCGAGGAGGAGTTTCCCTCTACTGAGACAAAGTCATCATTCGTCGACTTCAGACCTCAGAAATCAGGCGGGACAGGAATGGGCTTTGGTTTTGCCAATGTCACTAGAATTGAAACCGATAAACCTGCTAAAAAGAAATACACATGGAGACTTAAGGTTGAGCAGGAGGAGAAGAGAAGAGCCAAGATCGAGGATGATAACGATTTCGCTCTGAGCAGTGAAGACGAAGATGCGGAGGAAGAACAAGAAGGCGAACTTTCAAGTGAAGTTTCAGAAGCTCCTGGGTCTGAAGATGAGGCTGTGGATGCCCAAGCTGAATCTGAAAGTGCAGATGAGTCTGGTTCTGAAGAGAGCTCTGAAGCTGAATCAAGTGAAGATGAAGATGATGACAATGAAGAAGATGATGATGACGAAGAAGATGAAAGTGAAGACTTTGAGGAAGAAGATGATTCACATCTTCCGAGATTATTGCAGAACAAGCCTAAGCATTCTAAGGTGGCTGCGTCCTTTAAGGATTGGGCCGAAGAGCAGGTCAGGAAGCTCGAGGGCAGAACCGAAATGGTCCTTCCAGAACTCAAGAAGGAGACTCTTGACGAATATGGAAAAGGTCTTCATGAAGATAAAGCTTTCTCAGATGACGAGAATGCCATTCCAATCAACATGAATCTCAAAAGAGAAGCCTTTTATGTTAACGTGACCCGTCCGCTAGATATCCAGCAACAGCGTATGCAACTTCCTGTTTTTGGAGAAGAACACAGAATCATGGAAGCTATTCATCATCACGATTGCATTGTTCTCTGTGGTGAGACAGGTTCTGGTAAGACTACCCAGGTACCGCAGTTCCTCTATGAAGCTGGGTTTGGTAACTTGGACTCTGATCTTTATCCGGGCATGATCGGTGTTACTCAGCCAAGAAGAGTGGCCGCTGTGTCTATGGCTAACCGTGTTGGCTCAGAATTAGGGGAGACACACGGTAAGAGAGTGGGCTACCAGATTAGGTTCGATACTACGATCAAGAACGAAGGCCAGCCCAATGGTACTGCTCTTAAGTTTATGACAGATGGTGTTCTTTTAAGAGAGATGATGCAAGACTTCCTTCTTACCAAGTATTCTGCGTTGGTGATTGATGAAGCCCACGAAAGAAATATCAACACTGATATTCTCATTGGTATGTTGAGCAGAGTTGTCAAGCTTCGAAGATCACGCAACAAGCCCCTCAAGCTCATCATCATGTCTGCTACTTTAAGAGTATCTGATTTTTCTGAAAACAAGCAGCTTTTCCCATCGCCTCCACCAATTCTTCAAGTCGATGCACGTCAGTACCCAGTGTCTGTTCACTTCAATAAGAAGACACAGTTTGACTACTTGGAGGAAGCTTTCAGAAAAACCTGCAAGATTCATAAGAGGTTACCACCTGGTGGTATTTTGATCTTTTTGACTGGTCAGAATGAGATCAATGGCCTTGTGAAAAAGTTAAGAAAACAGTTCCCCTTCAAGGGTAAAAAGTCATTATACGCTGAGGATACTGGCGCCAAGTACAAAGTCAGTAACAATGTTGCAGCAGAAGCTGAAGATATTGACCTTGATATTGCATTAAGAGAAAAAAGGAGACAGGTGATGATGAAACCGATTCAGCAGAGGATAGTGACGAAGAAGAGGGCTTTGATGAAGTTGCCGAGCCAGGCCAATCAGAAAGTGATCCACTTTATGTTCTCCCGCTTTATTCTACTCTTCCTACCGCACAGCAAATGAAGGTATTCGACACCGTACCAGAAGGAAGTAGGATGTGTATTGTCGCCACAAATGTTGCCGAGACTTCGCTTACCATTCCAGGTATACGTTATGTGGTGGACTGTGGCCGTGCAAAGGAGAGGAAGTATGATGAAGAAAATGGCGTGCAGTCGTTCGAGGTGGACTGGATCTCCAAGGCGTCTGCTGACCAGAGAGCAGGAAGAGCAGGTAGAACTGGTCCCGGTCACTGTTACAGGATTTTCTCTTCTGCAATCTATGAAGAATACTTCCCTCAATTCAGCAAGCCAGAGATTCTCAGAATGCCAGTGGAAAGTACCGTGCTTACCATGAAGAGCATGGGCATAGACCAGATTGTTAATTTCCCATTCCCAACACCACCAGATAGAAGGGCCTTGAGCAAGGCTGAGAAACTTCTTGTCATTTTGGGAGCTTTGGACCGTGAGACCAAGACTGTCACAGAACTTGGAAAGACCATGTCCTTCTTCCCACTCAGTCCTCGTTTTGCAAAGATCCTTATCATTGGAAACCAGTTGCAGTGTTTGCCTTATGTGATTGCCATTGTTTCAGCATTGTCAGTGGGAGATCCATTTCTCGAAGAGCATGAACTTGGGTTGGCGAACGTGAAGAACAAGGATGAAGAGGATGACATTACGGAAGATATTGAGACACAGGCTGACCTCGAAAAGAAGAGAAGATTGAGAGGGAAGTTCTACAAATCCAGAGCATTGTTTTCTAGACTCGATTCTTTCTCGGATGCTTTGAAGCTTTTAAGCGCAGTTTGTGCTTTTGATCATGTTCCTTCCAACAAGAGAAACAATTTCTTCAAAGACCAGTTCCTCAGGCCTAAGGTGATGGAGGAGATCTCGAAGCTCCGTAAGCAAGTGAGTGCAATTGTTGCAAGTAACATTTCTTCAGACACCATTGCAGACAAGCTTGACCAACCAGCTCTGAAGTTGGGTGTGCCTTCGAAGGAACAGATTGCAGCCATCAAGCAATTTGTCGCCTCTGGTTTTGTCGACCAAGTCGCCATCAGAAGTGATACCATCGATGCTGATATTAAGCTTTCAAAGAAGGCAGCTGTGACGACTGTTCCTTACAGCACCATGGGACACGACTTTGGCCCTGAGATTGACCCATATGTATACGTACACCCAGGTTCTGTCATGGCCTCCGCAGGAAAAACCCCACCACAATACGTGGTCTACCAGCTGCTCAACTTGGGTAGCAACGTCACTGAAGGAAAGGTGTCTAAATTGAAGATGAAGTCGCTTGTTGATATCTCAGGCAAGCAGCTAGCTAATGTTGCCAAGGCTTCATCCCTCATAACATACTCAAAGCCTTTGGGCCATCCATACGGGCCAAAGAACATTTCGTCTACCAAGAGAGAGTGCTATGTTGTTCCCAGGTATGGTGCTTCTATTGGTGATGGTGGATTGGGCTGGGACTTGCCAGTTATCAAGGTGATCCAGACAAAAAAGCATGGTCTGTGGGTGACCGAATGAACACCCACCAGTTAAATAGAACATTCAAGCATACATTAATACCGAAGGAAGAGTGAATGTAGGTACTAGTTGAAGGTAGTAGGAAGAGCAACTCTGTTTACACATTTCAACGACAAACTAAGCAAAATATTCCAAAACACTTATGAACATAATAGTGAAAACAAGTTTTATGCCAAATTCATATGTTCAAGTTCCCATAGCAGGTAATTCATCACCTTAAGTATGGCCATGTTGATCGCACCCATACAAACGTCAATTCTGTGTGCATCACATTTTTGTTTACCTTTTTCGAGCACACAACCTCAACTACTTCAATAACATCCAGCACAACTAAAGAATGGCTGGAAGGCTAAAAGAAGACCGGCTTGAACGAAAGGTGGAGGATGAATTCGATGATGATTCGCTTCTAATTCCAGAAAACGTCGTTGATCAGGCATCGCAAAGACTCTTCTTGGTGTCTGTCTTCGTGCTCATCCAATGCTGGAAAATCTACGATATACTATTAATCAAAGCAGATTCGTTTTCTGCCCATATGGCGTTGGATAGTGGGAGTACGGTGCATCAGTCATTTACATCATTGAATAACTTTACATTCGTGTTGAAGTATGCCATCATTGATGGGTTCTTTCTATGGCTGCTACCGGTGCTCAATGTGCCATTGCTAAGGTTTCTGCCCTTGGTGACGCTACTACTTACAATTCTTGCTACGGCATTTACGTTCTTGCTAGCTAGCGACTCGGCGGTCCCGCTTCTTTCAGGTGCTTTCGTGCCGTTGTGGAACCTAGTGTTTCGCAACAAGGAACTCACAATTGTGGGTGATGCAGTGAACCCACAAGCGGTGAGTGATATGAATGCTCATTTTAAGGGTAGCTATACTATCAGGTACCTTCCAGAATCATCGGTTCATCTTAATCCTTTCCATTTCGATAGAGTCTGCTTGGAGGCTTCGCCTAACGAGTACTCCACTTTCCCTTCGACTGTCAAATTACCGATTGAATTCAACACCACTACGGATATTGGCTTTATGCAAATCCAGCATACTTCTCCCTCCAAGAAGGTCTCTTACCTTGAGTACTCTGCCAGAGACGTTAGTAAGCTACTACGCAGAGACTACTCCCATCTCGCATCATATCCATCCTACGTCACGACGGATGAGCGTGTCTTCTATTTGGAGATTAATATCAATAAGCCAGGTACTTATAAAATTTCTAGAGTGACCGATAAAGAGGGTGCCGTGATTCGCTCATACAAATCTGAGTTTTCAATTGCCCATTGTCCTTCTTCAAGATTTGTCTACCCAGGACTAGAACTGGCGTACTCCAAGTCCAAGTGTGTGGGTGAAAGCTTAAATGACTTTGACTGGACTTTACCGTTGGTTGAGTCATATGGTGTGCTTCCTTTGGAGATTCAGATGGCTGCTGAGGTCAATGGTAAGCAGATAAGCAAATTCAATACCACCATCACGGAAACAACTGCTGATCAAGGTACTAATGCCATCACAAATGCAGTTAAATTGACTAGAAATGCTTTAGAAAGGGAAGTGCTTAAACAACATCTGTCTTTCACCAAGAGCGCTCCTGGCTCTATAAAGTTTCACCTTCTTGGCATCACGGACTATTTGGGTAACTCGAGAAAGTACAATCCATCTTCTACTGATAAGGATGTTTTGTATTCTTTAGACCTCAAACGTTCCCCAATAGTGCTGCTTATTGATAGATACCCGCAGAAGCCACTACTAGTCAATTCATCGAAACGCATTTACTTCCAATCCAAGTATGAAGTATCGTTTCCTTTGACACTCACTTTGCAACATGAAGATGCCGAACCTGGGTCGACTCCACAGAATCTCACTTATACATTCAGAGATTCCACTGATCTCGCTAATGGTATTGAAATAAGGAGACCGGGTACTTACACTTTGCTCGAAGGTTCCGACAAATCTTGTCCTTGTGACATCGAGAAGCGGTCAGTTGTCATAACTACTCCAGAACCACCAGTGGTAAAGATTATTGGTAACCCTCTCACTGATAAGTGTGTTGGTGACATTGGTCTTCAATTTGACGTTGATTTCGAGGGAACTGGTCCGTTCAGGCTTCTGTACCAGGTATTCAAGAACCAAACTGGCAGACTCAAGCCAATCCTCAATGGAAGAGGAATGGCACTTCACACCAAATCTTCGACTAACGATAACCTTAGCTTCCAATACAAACCTGATCAGGAAGGCGGTTATGTAATTGTTTTCAAGGAGTTGAGAGACAAATACTATCAAGACACACCTGTTCCGATAGACGAACTGTCCAATACATTTTCGATCTATTCAAGGCAACGTTCTGTTCTTTCGGTATTGCCTGATTCAGCTAGGAAGGTGATAGAGCTTTGCAAAGGTGAACAAGCTGAGATTCCGCTCTCCTTTAGCGGCAACCCACCTTTCTCATTCAGTTACCAAATTGTTGATCAATCTTCAAAGAAAGTGGTGGCACATGAGAAGGTATCCAGTTTGGCTGAAGAGTCATATGACATCACAACTCCTAAGTTCGACAAAGGTGGCAACTTCGAAGTTCAGATCGTCGATGTGGTTGATTCGCTTGACTGTCCAGTTGAGATTCCTAGCAAGTCGTCTGTTGTCATTAATGCTAGGAAGCACATTCCTGAAGTGAGAATTTCTCGTAACGAAACTTTCAGGATTGTCGAAGGTGATTCTGTCGATATCCCATTTGCATACAAGCACACGTCACTGTCACCTACCAAAAAGCTTCAGTTGGGTGTCCAAAACTTATATGATTCGCGTGATGTGAAGAACATTTCGATCAGCGCAACTGATACGATTCGGGTTAGGGAAGAAGGAATCTACAAGCTCAACTCTTTCAAGGATGAGAAGTGTCCCGGTGCAGTTACCGACTTAAATTCATTCGTTAAAGTTGTCTATCATCCTAAGCCAAACCTTACGTTTACAACAGATGAGCGTAATGTTTTGAAGCAACATTCAAATGGCGAAAGATCACTTCACTTGAAACCAGTTTGTCAAAATTCAAAGTTACAAGTCAAGCCTTCGCTTGAAGGTTCCGGTCCATTCCAAGCTAACCACCGTGTCAGCTATCCCGATGGAACGAGTGTGAGTGATATTGTACCAATGCCTGATGACATTATTGATTTGCCCACAGAGAGGGAAGGCCAGTATGAGCATACTTTCTCTGAAGTTTACGATACGCTTTACACCCAGGGAATCTTATCCAGGCTCCAACATAAACAGGTGCCTTCTGTCATTCGCTACTCTGTCCTTCCTAATCCTGAATTGAAAATTGCTAAAGGCAAGCTGCATATCCAGATCTGTGAATCCAAGGTGAAGAACTCGGGCGATATTCATATTCCAATTCCCGTGGACTTCAAGGGACAAGCTCCGTTCTCTATAAGAGGTGCAATCAGACACACGAATACCGACAAGTTTGAAAAGTTCACAGTTCATGACGTCTCTGATCTGCATATCGATCTTGGAAAGGTTGAATTTGAGGGAAGAACCTTGGGAGATATTCTCACCATTGGGGATCATCTTGTGGTCTTTGAGGATGTTTCAGATGCCAACTCTTGTCAGAATGCTCAACTTCGTTCTCACAATACCGTTTCCATTTCGGTGACTAAGGTTCCAGAAATAAGGAAGGAAAGCCAAAAGGACTACTACTGTGTGGGAGACCATGTTTCATATCGCTTGCAAGGTATTTCACCATTCATTGTTTACTACAACTTCAATGGCCAAACCAGAAAGGCTGAGGTGGGCCATGATTTCCAGAGATTGGCAGCTAGGCCTGGAGAGCTCTCTATTATGGCATTACAAGATGCTTCTGTAAGCCGTTGTTTGGTGAACTATACTACGATTCCGGAAAAATTCGAGGAACTCAAGATCCAAATCCATCAAATTCCATCTGTGGAGATCAGTCATGGTGGTATTATTATTGAGAAGTTACACGAAGGTGACCAAGCTGAAATCTTCTTCAAGTTCAGCGGTGTCCCACCGTTTGAAATCACATACGTCAGAACAGTTGGCGATGAAGTCGGAAGCCTGAAGAGAAGAAAGGGCTCCAAGCAACCTGGAAGCAAGAGAAAGGTCGTGGACACCAAGACAATAACCGATATCTGGGACTACGAGCTCACCGAGGTCGTCAGTCTTGAAGGTACTTACGATGCCATCCGCGTGAAGGATGCGTACTGCCAGGCTGTTAGAGATGTCAATGAACTTCTCTAAGTGTATAATAGATTATAATGCTCATAACTTACGTTTCGTTAACTTGTCTATAACATCGGTCACCTTGGTACGGTCAGCCATGTTTCTTGCTTCGGTGAAAAAGTCGCTAGACGAAATCGGCGTCTTTTCCGTCTGGTCAACGTAGATATTTTGGATCTGCTGAGCTAGTCTCAAGTCTTTTCTCGTCACCTGGTTACCAGCATCGTGTGTAGTGAGACTAAAGTTCACCTTATTGTAAGTGGTAGTGATGGTAGGATGATGCTTACTCGTATGAGCAGCAGCAGCAACGTTATTAAGAAATATCCATGTTTTCGAAAAGTTCTTCAACTTATAGTCAGCTTCAAGCAGTGATTCTTCACCACCTGTTCCACTAGATACCACCTTCCATACACCAGCACCCGCCAGCAGCTCATTGATGGCCTTCAATTGGGACTCAATCTGCAGCCTAGCCAAAACCTCCTGTAGACATCTAAATGACACTCTCATGATATACTGGTGACGTTAAACACCAAACGCCAGTAGTGGTCCAAGATACGTTAGATGGATCGGCCCGGTCTTTGGACAAGCCAGCCCAATGCAGGTCTCACTCATAGTTAAGCCTCGAGACTCAAAACCTACTTACCTCAAGAAAACCTACCCTAGACATCCAAAACAAGTTTTCATAGATGGTCTCGGCAGTATTTATACTCCATTGGCCGGACTCCGAGATCAAGTACCTGCGATGTGAACTCCTATTGCATAGAATTTACTATAACGACATTTACGACCCTCATGCTGTGGTCCAACGGTTCCACCAATTGTATACTGAGCTAGATCCACACGAAAGAACGCCGTTTCTATTTGACCATGGGATGACTTATATGATGTTGTGGGGCGAAAACGATGTTATTCTTATGGCAGCCGCCAGGGCGAACGTCAATGCTCTACTGACGGTTACGTTTTTGCATGAAGTACATGATATCTTGGTTCGTTACTTTGAGCTACCGACGAAAAAGCAGGACCTGGAGGGTCAAGTTATTGATAGAGCTGAAGAAACGCCGGGTTTGACGCGTGAAAAGATCATAGATAACCATTCGTTGGTGTTTGAGCTTCTAGATGAGTGCATGGACTTTGGTATAGTCCAGCTAACAGACTACAATATTTTAAAGGAGTATATTAAGACGACAATCAATCGTCCTTCGCTATCTGCGTCTGGCCAGGATGACCAGTCTGAAACGGATTCTAGTGCAGATGAAGAGTTCAGGGTCAAGCGACGCCTGGCCAAGACAGAAAAGACCAGGAAAAAGAAAGATAAGAACGAGAAGAAATCCACACATAACCTTGCAAATAAAACGGATGTTCTTAATGATACTCAGGCCAACTTTATCAACAGTTCCATCGTTCGTACCCAAGCTCTGGCTATAAGTTGGCGACCAAAGGGTATTTTTTATGCCAAAAACGAGATCTATATTGATATCGTGGAGAAGTGCAATTTCCTTTACGACCTTGGAACGGAAACGATCAAAAATAATGATATATCTGGTGTTTGCGAAGTCAAATCTTATCTATCTGGAATGCCTCTTTGCAGACTTGGATTGAATGAAAGGTACATTTCACAACTTGAGTACGATAGTGAGTTGGAAGGCAGCGATTCGGAAAATGAAGAAGAAGAAGAACTCAAGCAAGAAACTCCAGAGATTGAAGGTAATCTTATTAAATCTGAAAGTGTCGACAATTTCGATGTCGAGTCTCAATCATCTGCCAAATCGAAATCTCCAGCTCCATCAGATACGAAGGAAGAAAAGCGACTCAAAGTGCCAATTTCCAATGTTTCCTTCCATCAATGTATTGAGCTCTCTTCTGTCTATAAGAAGAACTTAATCCATTTCACCCCGCCTGACGACAAATTCACTCTTTTTTCATATAATGTCGCTCAACTGAGGCGAAAGGAGAAAAAGCCTCTCATTATGATTGAGCCGCTTTTCAAGATACTAAAATCCGAAGGAAAGCTCCAGGTCTTGTGTTCCCTAAAAACAGCGTACAAGAAGAGATTGCGTTGTAAGCCACTCGTTGTGCGTATCCCTATATCGCCCAACCTTTTCCATCTCGATGGTAAGGGTGACGGCAACTTAAGGTACAAGGCAGAACTTGGTGAAGCCCTGTTTGAGGTGGACTCCTCGACGCTCACCTGGACCTTACCAGACCTTCCTGGATCCAAGCTGGTCGTACGGCTCATGGCCGAGTTTGCTATCACCAATGCCGAGAAAGTAAAAGAAGAAGACATCTCCGAGGCATTTTATCTGCTTCCGAAAACCACCGATCTAGATGCTAAGGAAGAGACTACAGCAGACGAACTCAACAAGTACTATGGAGTAGGAGGAAAGTCATCTTCAGTCTTTGATGATCTACAGAAGAACGCAAAGATCTCCACCCAGCATCGAGACATCATGATCGACTTCTCGTTGCCCCTTCTTACCTACTCTGGTCTCCGCATTACTTATCTCAGCGTCCAGGAAGACACCCTTAAGTACACCTGCTTCCCCTGGGTCCGGTATCTTACAGAAGTGCGCAGCTCCAGCTTATCAAAGCACAGAGGCTCCCAACAGGGAGAGTATCGTTTCAGACTTGCCCCTAAATGTTTCAACATTGTCCCTTAACGGAATCCAAAACTACCAAATAATTAACTTTCTTCTATTTGGTTTATTGTTCTTTTTATGCAAGGGCCCCCAAGTTGGCATATCCCAATGCCAGATAAGTTAGGCCTCGCGTCGGGATCTTCCTTATCGCGGATCTCATTTCCGCATCAGGATGCGGCCGCTTCTGTCGGTTATCTATGGGCTATCAGTTATGCTATCGCACAATATATTAGAAAAGAGATGTGAAATCCGGGGCTGCTTATTTGTGCGATTTACGCTCACTGCCCTACGTCACAAATATGGTAGCTAAGGTGGACCAACTTGCGGCAAGTGCCGACCCGACATTGAAGACGGACGCTTCGACTGGTCAGATTAAGAAGAAAACTACCAAGTCGAGGAATGGCTGTATTACTTGCAAACAAAGGAGAACGAAATGTGACGAGACCAAACCGACCTGCTTGAAGTGTGCTAAAAAGAATATCGAGTGCGGAGGGTACCCGTCGAGCTATAAATGGGTGAACCCCGAGTTTCCTCCATCGGTGCCTGTTAAAAGGCCAGGATTCTCTCATGTCAAGTCGCTAGCTCCTCTGGCGAGTAAAGATGTCCTGATAAAAGCAGCTTTAGAGGATGCGGCGCTTTCTGTTGTTGGTAGGCCTCTCAAAGAGCTCAGTAGCGAGAAAGCGCACAGACTTCCGGTGACAAAGAAGTTGCGCCGAAGCTGGAGTCTATCTGATGTGGATAATGGAGTAAGTCAATCGCCGCAGAGATCCAATAACAGTTTAGTTGAGTTCAGATCTCGAATCAAAAGTGACTGCTCTCCAAGTAATATGCTGGACGTCTCTATAGCTTCACAAAGTGTCTTAATGGCACCGAGCTCGTCTGACCAAATGTCCTCGGTCATTTCAGAAGGCTACCGCGAGAATGATTCGGCTTCTTCGATAAGTGATACGCCTTATAACAAGGATTCCATGGCTGACCTCAACCTAACGCCGTCTTTGTCTGCTCTTATGCATCAAATATTCACTCCTTCTGTTGGGAAGTCTGGATTCAATGCCATGGAACCTTACGCTGATCCCTCATTTAGCCCATTAGAGCTTAATGGCCCTTCAATGGAAGATCTACAATATGTCAAAAATGATGTAACAGCTAGGGAAGTTGCATCTTACTCCAAGCCGGATACATCTATTGCAATTAATATCGGACTAACATCTTCTGATCAGAGTTTGATACAATCCTCCGAGCAAGACCATATATTGGGATTATACACAACTCATACGTCTGGCATTTTGTCTATTAAATGTGGCGAAAAGGAGAATCCATGGAATATTTTATATGTACCTTTGGCCAGAGAATACAGTTTCGTATTCAATTCTATCGCATCAATGACGCTATTTCATCTCGCTGGTAACACGAAGATACCTTCTGAACGAGGAAACTTGAGATCTAAGGGTTGCTATTACATGAAGAAATGTATTTTGGAACTTGCGTCCGGACTTAAAAGTGTTGAAGAAGAAGCTGACGAATCTTCTTTACCTCCAGATGTCGCCCTAATGACTTGCTTGAACTTAGCCATAAGCGAATCTTGGGATACACATACTTCAAGTGGAATTGCGCATTTGAAAGGAGCAAGAAGTCTAATCCATAAAGTCTTGTCCCTCATTAAAGACTACATGGCCAAAAGAGATCTGACTTCCACCATTGTTGACTCTCTGATCAAGACAAAACTCAAACTTGTCGACGAGCATGAATGGAAACATATAGAGGAGGGATCATCTTCGACAAGGTCCAGCAATGCGCTGCAGCACGACTTTATTGTCCCTAAAAACCTTCAATTGGTCTTCAACAAGTGGATTTATCTACATGTACTTTCTCAAATGACAGTTCAGTCTGGCCAGGACGAACGCGGTATCGATCTTGTTGCGACTATTACTTCGATCATTCATTCTACTCATGAGAAGAAAATCAAAAAGGAACAAGATCTGTTGATGGAGAAGAAAGACTCGCCAACCTATTCTGAGACGGGACTGAGCTCGAGCAGTAATATGGGAGGATTCTTTGAAGACTTCAACTGTGCTTTCCTGAACAGCGACCTTATTGATCCGCTCTTAGGATGTGCCCAATCCCTTTTTCTGATCATGGGAAAAGTTGCAAGTTTGATATCTCAAGTCAGAAAGGAGAAAGAAAAGCTGCTGAAGTCTGCGAGAAACTCGCTCAACAATATCGCCAAGGCCTCTGAGCTTCGACAGAAGCTTTTGTCTTGGAAACCAGAAATCTCAATGGGTGGATTTGGAATGGATAGCTTGGGAACCGGTGGAGAATCGTGGGATGTCAATTCTTGTATCACCACAGCCGAGGCATACAGAACTGCTACACTCTTATATTTACATCAAGCTGTTCCAGAGATTCCGCTGGCGCCATCTCATCAATTGGCAGAGAAAATCTTCGTTCTTCTAGCAACCGTTCCTACCTCATCCAACCTTCATATCATCCATATCTTCCCATTATTGGTAAGTTCTTGTGAGGCCAGTCCGGGAGAAGAACGCCGCTGGTGCGAAACCCGCTGGGCATTCCTTTCTGAAAAGCTTTGGATTGGCAATGTAGACCGTGCTTTCGAAGTCGTCAAAGAGGTCTGGAGAAGAAAAGATGAAAGCTCGAGAAAGAAAAGAAGAGAGCTAGAAGAGTCCACCATAACGGTCCTGCGAGTATGTGATGATCTGCACAGACTAGCCACCGAAATCAACGGTCTCATGGCTACCCAGCCCGACGCAGACTCTGAGCAAGGCATCTGCAGCCGGAACCACTGGAACTCTGTCATGAAGGAATGGGAATGGGAAGTGTTCCTTGGATAAATGTGTCATACGCGAAATAGACTTTCGGTCTAACGGGCCTAATGGCTGCGAAAAACTATCTGTAGTAAGCACTCGCCTGCACAATATCTCTCTATCTACATCAGTATCTCCAAAAGTGACTCTTTCTTTCCCAGTTCCAACCACTATGCTTAGGACAATTTATAGGAGAATGAGCACTCGTGGGTCACTGCTTATCTCAGATCCATTGAGACCAGACAGAATCACCAAGTCTCAGGCAGACAGTCTGTTTCCCAAGCCTCGTTTTGTGTCGTTGGATCTCTGGGGCACACTCTACACGCCAAAGAGACCCATCCCTGAACTGTACCACGCTATCTCCAGCAAGGAGTTTAACATTGATAAATCATTGGAGAGTATCAAGGAAGAGTTCCCCAAGCTTCATGATCAGATGCTCGAGGAGTACCCGAACTATGGCAAGTATAGTGATGATATCCAGAACAGCAACGACTGGTGGCTGGAGCTCATTGTGAAGTTATATGGGCTTCCACACTTTCTGAAGGATGAGAAATCTGCACAATTTTGTGACCGTCTATTGGATTACTTCTCTTCGGCGGAGGCTTATAAATTGTATGATGATGTGAAGCCAGTGCTTGATACGCTCGTCAAGAACCATATCAGGTTGATTGCTTCGAGCAATTCGGATGATAGATGTTTCCCAATCATGAAGTCTCTTGGAATTGACAAATACTTCACCACTCCGCAAGTGTACATTTCATACGACTTGGGCACGGAAAAGCCCGAGAGAGCGTTCTTCCGTTCGATTGCAACGGAGCTCTACAAGGTCGATAAGTCCAAGGAGCCAAAGCTCAGCATGCAAGAGTTCTTGGAGAGTATGTGGCATGTAGGCGATAGCTACGAGAAGGACTTTGTGGGAGCAGTTAAAGCTGGCTGGAATGGTGTTCTTGTGGATAGGCCCAAGACCAGTGTGTTCTTCCGGAACGGTCCTCAAAACACACAAGTCAGTAATGACTGTTTCGAAGCACAAGCGACCGATACTTTGGACAGCGACGAGTTGGTGATGATTGCAAACAATCGTGTTGCCGTGAGCTCGTTACGAGAGCTTATCAGACTCTTCAACCTCAAGCAATAGGAGTCTATGGAGCCGTACAATCTGTCTAGATGAATAAAAGTTAAGCATTCCGAAAGGTTGTTTTTCTTTTCTGTTTTAGCTCTTTTTTGCTCTTTTTTTTCCATTCCATACCATTTGGTAGCATTTGGTATTTGGTAGCCTCCATTCCAAGGTATTTTTAGAGCTGCTGAGGCTCGAGTTTTTCAACCCCACGTTAGTTGCTCGTATCACCAACTCTCCACCAACCAGCAACTTCACCAAAAAATAACAACCACATAACATTGGCATCTCGTCCAACAACGCCCTCCCAAAACACAAATCCTCCTACTTTTCTTGTACATTGACCAACCGTCCCAGAAACTCGTCGCCTTGGCAATACTACCCAAGGCTGTGTTCTGGCTAAGACCTGCACCAATGGAGCTCCTGTAAAAAAAAGAATGTACGCGGGCTCATTTCGCAGTTCGCGCTATCAACTATTTTTACCTGATCCACCTTCTTACCTACCACCTACTTTCCACACTTAAAGGTACTACTTACTTCTTTTTTTAGACAATGAGATGGTGGCTATTCCCAGTGCTGCTTCTACTGATGGTTGCGGCCATGAAGCTTGAACCCGAATCGGAGGAATCGATTTGCGAGGTTTCCAAGAACATCGTGCAAGGTGCCATGAACTATTACTTGGGTAATGAGTATGGTGGAACTGTGGGTATGTTTTCTGCTCCTTACTACTGGTGGCAGGCCGGTGAGGTTTTTGGCGGCTGGATCGACTACTTCCACTTCTGCAAGCCAGACAACAAGACGTTTGAGAAGATCTTGTACGATGCTATGTTGCATCAGGCTGGCTCCAAGTTTGACTATATGCCTAGTAACCAGAGTATGACTGAAGGTAATGATGACCAGGGTGTGTGGGGATTGACGCTTCTTCAGGCTGTGGAGCGTAACTTTACCGATAACAAGGATAACTCGTGGTTGTCAATGGCCCAGTCTATCTATAACCAGATGCTGTCTCGTTGGGATACCACCACATGTCATGGTGGTTTGAGATGGCAGATTTTCACCTGGAACTCGGGTTACAACTATAAGAACTCTATTTCCAACGGTTGTTTCTTCCACATTGCTGCCCGTTTGTACAGATACACTGACGACGAGCGGTACCTTGAGCAAGCCGAGAAAATCTGGGACTGGATGTGGGGTGTTGGTTTCATGACCGACGAAGATGGTGAGTTTATCATCTACGATGGTGCTGACGACCAGACTAACTGTACCGACTTGACTATCCACAAATGGTCCTATATTTATGGTGTGTTCTTGGGTGGCTGTGCGTACCTTTACAACTCTACTGAGGATGAGATCTGGAAAACGAGAGTGGAAGAAATCTTGGAGGCTTCCGAATACTTCTACAAGGACGACGTGTTGCAAGAAACTACATGTGAGCCATGGAAGATGTGTAACAATGACCAGCGTTCTTTCATTGCGCTCTTGGTGAGAAATATGGGTTTGACCGCATCCTTGATTCCAAGCTTGCGTGATAACATCAGAAACAGAATGTTGAGATCTAGTGCAATCGCTGCAGCACAATCCTGTTCCGGTGGTGAGGATGGTATTACTTGTGGTCAGAACTGGCATGAAAACGGTTGGGATGGCTTGTACGGTTTGGGTGAGCAAATGAATGCTTTGGAAACCGTCATGACCATGATCACAGTGGACCACGAGCCATACACCGCCGATAACGGTGGTTCTTCCAAGTCCGTCCCGGACGCAGGTAATCACTCCACAACATCGGTTAACAATAACCTTTTTGATGTTGAGACCAAAGACAAGGCCGGTGCTGCTATCTTGACGGCAGTGGTGTTGGGTTTGACCTTGTCGGGAGGCGTTTGGATGTTGTTTTAAAACTATCACTGCAATCGCTTATAGCGTTTTATGTTATCATGACACAATAAAATTTTAAGGGTATCTCTGTGAAGAACCTTGTGTAGAAGCAATCCTATACTTTGTGGATCGTCAGTCAGGTCGCATCGCACCATCATATATATCGTACGCAACCATCAAGTGACGACTTCTGAAAAACTAACCACCCTCCTTCTACATATAAAAAGATGGTTTTGTCCCAGGTGATAAACCAGCTTGCTAACCCCAATACTTATAGCAACAGAAGACGACGTCTTTATATCCCCCGTCTACCAATTATCCGTTATTTTCATATGGTGGAGGCGATGACCAGAGATCATTTCTCTCTCTAGACGAATCCAGCTCTTTTTTCATGGGCCAGGACGATGGGAGTGATGTCGCCAGTATCAACTCCTCTCGTTCCTTACCGTCCACACTAAGTTCCTTGCCCACATCTGAGGATCAAGAGTCCTTCCATTCATGGCTTCAAGAAGAGCATGCCAGACGGTACTCTGCTATCAACGATAACGACTCGCTTGGCAGACGCTCTTACGGCTCACGTCTGACTCGACAGTCTGGCAAAACAGGACAGTCATTGGTTGGCGTTGAAGACTTTAGTAGGTTGCGAACTAACTACTCCAGAGAAGGTAAGATGCTTCTAAGATATTCGCTTCCTCTTATTGTGACCTTTGTGCTTGAGCATTTCTTTTCCATTGTGTGCTTGCTTGTAGTTGGCCATTTGGGTAAGAACGAGCTTGCTGCCGTTTCATTAGGCTCAATGACTTCGACTATATCGTTAGCCATCTTTGAAGGTATCGCAACTGCTCTAGATACTCTTTGTCCTCAGGCGTATGGTGCTGGAAACTTAGATATGGTGTCGACCCATGTCCAACGCTGCATGATGTTTTCCATGCTTATTTTCATTCCTGTTGCACTCTTCTGGTGGAATTCTCACTACTTGTTGAGGTATGTAATCCAGGAGCAACAGGTTTTGGAGCTCACTTCGCTTTTCCTCAGGATATTTATCCTTGGTGGTCCTCCTTATATTTTCTTTGAATGTTTTAAGCGCTTCTTGCAAGCGCAGGGCATTTTTGAGGCGGGAACTGGTGTTTTATTCGTCAGTGCCCCAATTAACATTGCACTTTCGTGGTTCCTCGTTTGGAACAAAACTTATGGCATTGGGTATGCTGGCGCCCCCATTGCCACCGTGATTAACTTTTGGGTCATGGATATTTTGCTTGTCTTATACACTGTCTTCATTGATGGTAAACAGTGCTGGAACGGCTTCTGCTCGTTCAGTGACCTTTTTAGAAAATGGGGTCAGTTGTCCCATTTGGCAGTACCTGGTATTGTCATGTTAGAATCTGAATATGTTGCATATGAGATTATGACGTTGTTTGCCTCGTACTTTGGAACAGTCGAGTTGGCTGCCCAGAGTGCTGTGGGTTCTATTGCATCTTTGACCTACATGGTTCCTTTTGCTGTGAGTATTGCTGCTTCTACTAGAATTGCTAATTTTATTGGCGGTCAGAATATCTTTTCCGCCCAAAAAGCGACGAATATGAGTCTTGTGTTGGGTCTCTGCGTCGCAACTCTTAATGGTCTTGTGCTCTGGAGCGCTAAGGGATTTATTGCAAGACTTTTTACAAAAGACGATGATGTTGTGGCACTTATTGAGAGCTTACTCAATCCCCTCGTTTCGGTCTTGCAAATTTTCGATGGTGCCGCCTCGGTTGCTAGCGGAGTGCTCAGAGCTCAAGGTCAGCAAAAGATCGGAGGTGTTATCAATTTCCTTTCTTACTATGCATTTGGTTTGCCTTTAGCTCTTGTTCTCAGTGAGATACTAGATCTCAAGCTTTTCGGTTTGTGGATAGGTATTGGCAGTGGTATGGTTCTTATCAGTCTTAGTGAGACGATCTTCATTCTTTCTTCCGACTGGGATGCCATAATGATGAAGGCTGGACTCATGAATGATTCCGATTCTGACGTTAGTGTCTAAGAAAATACTAGTCTATTTTTTTTTCGCAAATTATTCCTTATCAGAGTATGTTTGCAGCCATTACCTTTGTCGCAACTCCCAAATGGTCCAATCTACTACCGTTACCTGCACTACAGAGTAAATCTATCGAGGAGAAAGAAGCCTAATCCCGGAAAACCGCCAATAGACGACCGGCCTAATGTATGACCTTCTGTCAATCTCTCGTTCGTGCAATCACTTAAGCGGTCCGACTTCATTTGCCGCATTGGGTGCGCAGATCCTGTGCGCTCCATCGGTAACGCGGATATGTACCGTCTTAGCATTATCTTATCTAGATACCTATCTCGGTTGTCAGGAACCGCCCAAGATATGATGGTACTTTCTCATTTTACTTTTATAAGAAGACGAATGCCATGACTTCTACATGAACTCTCTTCATCTTTTGTTTCTCTTCTCGGAAACCTTCAAAGAAAATGTCATACTCTTCTGAAGATAAGAAGCCTCAAGTTGCAACAAAAGTACATAGACTGTCCTCAAGAAGTCTGTCTATTGGCGTTGGAGAAATTCATGAATTCAGATCTCCTATTCAAGCTCATGGTTTAAGTTACCAGGAAGCTCGGGCTAACCTTGCTCTTGTATCAGACACAGGCTATAAACCAGAACTAAGAAGAAACTTTTCTACATTGGCTTTGCTAGGATGTGGTTTTGGTCTTACGAATTCCTGGTGTGGTATTTCGGGGTCCTTGGTTACTGGTATTTCCAGTGGCGGACCAATGATGATCGTATATGGTATTCTTATTATCACAGTTATCTCGTTATGTGTTGCCGTGAGTCTATCTGAGCTTGCAAGTGCTATGCCTAATGCTGGTGGACAATATTACTGGACCATGAGACTAGCTCCCAGGAAATATGCTCCCATTGCTTCCTATATGTGTGGTGCTTATGCTTGGGCTGGTTCTGTTTTTACTAGTGCTTCGGTTACTATTACTCTTGCAACGGCAATAGTTGGTACATACTATCTTGGTGCTGGTAAAACCGAAGCTCCTCCAAGATGGACAGTTTTTATTACTTATGAGATTTTGAATGTTTTATTGGTCTTCTTCAACTTATATGAGAAGCCACTTCCGATGATCTCACAACTGGCTTTGTACGTTTCTTTGATTTCTTTCGTGGTTATTACAATTGTCGTACTTGCCAAAAGCTCTGGTCATTATCAATCTGCAAGTTTTGTATTTGCTGAGTTTAGTAACGGTACAGGCTGGTCCTCATCCGGTATTGCTTTCATCGTGGGCTTGATTAATCCAAACTGGTCATTTAGTTGTCTTGATGCAGCCACTCATTTGGCTGAGGAGACTTTATCTCCAGAAACTGATATTCCTAAGGCTATTATTGGAACTGTCTTTATTGGCTTCTTTACATCGTTTGTTTACGTTATCTCAATGTTCTTTTCCATCAGAAACCTACGTGACATTCTTGAATCTCAAACTGGTGTGCCAATTTTAGATATCTTCCACCAAGCCTTGGGTTCTCGTGGTGGAGCTATCGTGTTGGTTTGCTTCTTTTTGCTTACCCTAGTTGGATGTAATATTGCTTCCCACACTTGGCAAGCAAGACTAGGATGGTCTTTTGCTAGAGATAATGGCTTGCCTGGATCACGCTACTGGTCAAAGGTTGCAAAAACTGGTGTCCCTGTTAATGCCCACCTTATGTCTTGTGGTTGGTGTGCTGTTATTGGATGCATCTACATGGCCTCCACGACTGCTTATAATGCTGTGGTCATTGGATGTATTCTGTTCCTTTTGATATCATATTCTATTCCTATTTTGTTCATGTTGCGTCAAGGCAGAAGCAATATCAAGCACGGCCCATTCTGGCTTGGTAAGCTTGGTCTTGTTTGTAATGTTGTGGTCGTCTGCTGGACAGTGTTTGCCGTGGTCTTCTACAGTTTACCACCTGAGATGCCTGTTTCTGCTGACAACATGAACTACGTTTCTGCTGTTATCGTTGGATTTACGGCATACGCTTTTATTTATTGGTTCTGCCGTGGAAAAAAGCATTTCAAGACCATTGAACAAAGGGCAGAGCACATACCAGAGTTGACGCAAATAGTATCACAGGAAATGATGGAAGCTGAGTTCACAGATGGACACAAAGTATAGGAGATGGTTTTATAGAGTTTAATAGAGAAGAGTTGTTAGCATCAAAAATAATTTATTTTTTGTTTTTTATGTTAGATCGTTCTATGTATACTGTGATCCATCTATTTTGAAGCTCTTCTGGCCTTGATGGCTTCTGCTAACGTCTGCAAGACCGTCTCAGTGTCATCGAAGCCGATACAGGCATCCGTGATGGAACAGCCGTACTTCAAGGCATCCTTACCGCCCTGGTCGGCTGGGGGAACGTCTTGTCTTCCTTCAGCGATGTTTGATTCAATCATCAAACCGCAAATTTGGTTCTCGCCTTCAGAAATCTGCTTGGCAATTTCAGCAGCAACAAGAGGCTGGTTCTTGTGGTTCTTGTTAGAGTTACCGTGAGAACAGTCAACCATGATTCTTGGAGTTGGGTTCTCTGGGTCAACAACCTTAGCCTTGGCCAAGGCGTCTTTCGTCTCCTGGACGGATTTGGCATCGTAATTCGTGCCTTGTTTACCACCTCTTAAGATAACGAAGCAATCTTGGTTACCTTCGGTGCCCACGATCAGTACGATACCCGGTTTCGTAACGCTTAAGAAGTGGTGTGGGTGAGAAGCAGCTCTAACGGCGTCGAGAGCAACGCCAAGAGTACCGTCAGTACCGTTCTTGAAGCCCACAGGGAATGACAAACCAGAAGCCAATTCTCTGTGCAACTGAGACTCGGTGGTTCTAGCACCGATAGCACCAACACTGAACAAGTCAGACAAGAATTGAGGAGAGATCGTGTCCAACATCTCACCAGCAATAGGCAACTTCTCAGTCAACTCGACGAACAACTTTCTGGCGATTCTGAGACCCTTGTTGATTTGGAAAGAACCGTCAATCTCTGGGTCGTTAATCAAACCTTTCCAGCCCACAGTGGTTCTTGGCTTCTCGAGGTAAGCTCTCATGACAACATGAAGCTCACCCTTGTGTTGCTCAGCAAGCTTGTGCAATCTCGTGGCGTAATCAAGAGCAGCAGCTGGGTCATGGATAGAGCAAGGTCCAATGACAACGATAAGTCTATCGTCCTTACCATTCAAAATGTTGCATGCATCTTCCCTACCGTTCAAGATAATGTCTTTGCATTTATCAGAAAGTGGGAACTCATGCTGTAATAAGTCTGGTGGAGACAAAGGGTCGTAGCCACGAACTGGTGGTTAGTAAAATTCGTCCATGGTTATAATTTTTCACCTAATCGTGGGGTACACTAGTGACTCATTTTTCAAACATACTTCTCCAATCCTCCATGCGGGATCTGTCGCCGACGTGTTCGTTTTGGATGAACATAATGCTGAAATTCTTAGAATGAAAAGAAAAATTTGGTGTTTTTCGAAGTCTAACACAAAAAAAGAAAAAAATTTCAAATAAACCAGGACCCTTTCTGAATTTTGTAGTCGCACCAGCCGTAATCTCTCGACTGCCTAGGTGCAGTCCTCGGACTTCTTCTGCATATCGACTGGCATGGTGATATGTAGAAGCGGCAAAAAGGCGTAAAAAAAAGGGGCCTGGGTGTGCTTCTTTTCTACTGAAAACAGATTCTCCGTTATTTTCATTTTCCTCCAACTCCCCTGACCAATAGACTCTTTCTGATTCGCCGTTATCCAGGCGTCGAAGAGTCTCACCCTCTATGTGCACTACCTAATGAGTAACAGGTGATGCTTGTATGAATCATACCCATGCGCAGCGCGCCTCATGCCTTAGCGAAGAAATAGACATACCCGCAATTCACCATGTCCTTCAAGTTTGTGTTTTGGCACTTCACCACCTTTTCGTCGTTGAACAAAACCCAGTTTCCTTCGTGCTTGACGAATACAACATAATGACCCGTATGTGGCGAGTTACCCTTGTGGCAGATAACAGCCTTCAATTCGTAGCCTGCGGCTTGTGCAGCGTCCAGTTTCTTGAGTAGTTTTTCCTTCAATTCCTCTGCCTCTTTCTGCACATTTACGACCGGCTTCGTATCTTCAATAACTCCATCGTCGTCGGGGTTATTAAAGAGCCATTCGACTGCCACGTTTACATCGTTTCCATTCACGAAGAGCGCCTTCTTGGCAAGCTTGTCACTGAATCCCATGGCAACAAGGTTACCAATAGCCTCTGAATCTGGTTCGCCTGCTCCCGCAGTATTTGTCTGTGCTGTCTCTGCGGGATTGAATGGAGCATCAATGTCTGGATCGTCCATATGAGCAAAGATCCAGTTCATGGCATCCTCAGCGTTGCTGTTACCAGTATTGTAAAGGGCCTTTGTGCATCTAACATCGGGGAATCCCATACTCAAAAGTTGAGCAAAGGCCTCTTCGTTAGGTACAAACTCAGATCCAGTTCCCAGCTCTTCTACCTTCTCCACCTTTTTCTCGTTTTCCTCGAACTTAGGGGCTGCGAAGGGCGAAAGATCAATGCTTTCAGGCAAAGTAATAGGAACATCCACCTTCACTGGCACCCAGTTCTCGAGCTGAATTCTTTGGGCATTGACAATAAGATTCTCAGGGTATGTCTTGAATCCAGTCTTCTTGAAAGCAATGGTTTTCTTTCCGCATGCATCACACTGGTACCCATCGATCTGTTCAGTGCCCAACGTTCTTGCGAAGCAATCATCCATCTTCACTTCTTTATATTTTTTCTTACCATCTTCATCTTCTCCAATTACCTCAACATCTAATCCGACAGAGATGTTGTCCACAAGTTCTTCTGACGATGTGCCACTGTGACACTCCGAGCAGATTACCTTGTTACCAAGCAAGAACTTAAAGTGCTCATTCAAACCTAATCCAAACTCCTTATCAAGTTTATCCATGAGGAAAAGAAGGAATTCATTAGCGTCTTGCTGCTTATTTGTCTTGAACTCATGGTGATCAGCACCGATGTGACTCTTGAAAGCAGATGGTTTCAAACCAAGCTGATAATCATCACCTTTGAGTTCATTGGGCCTAGAATACCTCCCGGAAAGAAGACCATCGTAGAGTTTTATCATCTGAGAACGTAAATCAGTAGCAGGATCCTTCACCAGCTTGTCGAATTGCAACTGGGAAAAGAACGAACGGTAACTTGGAAAGCTAAAGAGCGCTTGAATAGAAGAATTGAGGTAGCATGAGTTACCCAAGTTCTGCAAACCAGTCAATCCAGGACCGTAGATTGGCGTGAGAAGTTCACCATCCTGTCCGTCCAAGTTAAATTGCCAGTTCATATTTCTGTCAAGGTTCAACTCCACCAAGTTTTTCTCCGTCTTCACTGCACTTCCTAAATCAATGCCGAATTTAAGAAGCTTCTCTCCAAGCTGTGGTACCTTCACTTCGTCATTGCATTTGTAGCAGTAACAATCGCAGTTATCCTCGTCGTCTGCGGAGAGCGAACCAAGCTTAACGGCTACCGAATGCCCTGACTCTTCATAATGCTTAAGAGCATGAGAGTTACCCTTGAGATCAGATCCAAACTGCTCACGACCACAGCCGACAGCTCCACAAGTGAAACAGAGCCATAAGTTCTCCTCTAGGTCGCACATGGAACATTTCTTAAGGTCCACTTTATTTTCAATCGATTCAATGTGACTAGAATGCTCGCAAGGGTAAACTTCATTCTCCCAAGCCTTGATTTCATCATTCTTCTCAGCAGAGTTAGCTGAAAGGATCAGCTTGGCAAGCAGACTAGCAGGCTCAGGAGACTCCTCGATAGACGCCGACTTGTCCAATGGAGCAACGTAAATGCTAGTATGAATATCGTAAAGATCCGTTTCCTTCTGTTCCTGAACCTCGAGCTTAGGTTGTTTAACCTTAGACCCATCAGTTTCCACTGAGGCCTCGTCCGAGTCCCGTTTAAGCCTCTCGCTCTCAGGCTTCAACGTCTTCACAATGTTCACATAGAGCGGATGACGCTGCTCAGAGTAATGTTCCGAAGTATAGTTCTTCTGAGGAGCCCGAGCAAACGCCTGGTAGCATGACATACACACATCTAGCCCCAACTTGTTATTCTCTGGAGTATCGAACGAGTACATGCAATCATCCTTATAAACCTTAGCCGAAGGTGGAACGGTGGATGGAAGCGATGACGCCGCTGTGGCAATATAATCAGCAACAGACATGGCAAATGCGGTAGGTTTAGGTGGAAAAAATACTCGATGCCAGGTGATTTGTAGGTGTGGTTTTGGAGGCAACAGCAGGTACTGATGCCGAGAGACTGCAGAGACTGCGATAGTGGTGAGGGCCGATTGTAGAGGGTTTTCAGGAAACGCCATTATGAGATATGGGATTTGGGAAAGTGGAAGGGGAATGATTTTGTCGATTTGTAGAATGTCGAAGCCTTTAAATGAGATCTGTTTTTGCTTGTTTTTTTATAGGTATGGTTTTTTGAATTTACATTTCAAGAATCATACTTTGCAGCCATTTACCTATATTTGCACAATGTTTCGCACCAAAGTGGCTGAAGCTGGTAAACAGCATAAAGTGCTAACTTGTCTTCTTAGTGTTTTGCTAGGTATACTCATTATATTTGCTATAGCGTCGGGAATTTACTTTGGAACAAAGCCAAACATGCCTGGAAACGTCGATAACCTTGTCTCTGGAATTTACTTCTCCAATTGGTCTGTCTATGGGGCGAAGCACTTTCCACAAGATTTGGATACTGCTAATCTTAGCCATGTCTTCTACGCTTTCATGAAGATTGACGGCAACTCGGGCGAAGTGAGTCTTCTGGATCCCTGGGCGGATGTGGATATGCCTGTTGGTAATGATAAGGGTGCTTTGGGTCTGTTTGCACGGATCAAGCAGAAGAACCGTAACTTGAAGTTGATCATGTCCATTGGGGGCTGGGGAACGGCCGCCCAGTTTGCTCAAGCTACAGGCGACGAAGCGAAACTTTCTAAGTTTGTTGATTCGACTATCGATCTCGTGAAGAACCATCGGTTTGACGGTATAGATATTGACTGGGAGTACCCCACAAGTCACCAGGAAGGTACACAATTGGTCACTTTGCTTGGTCGTTTGAGAGAAAGATTGGATCAATTGAAGGAGGGCTTGATCTTGACCATGGCTTCGCCAGCTAGCGAGGATCATTGCAGACACATTGACTTCCCTGCCACGGATAGGCTACTTACTTATTGGAATGTCATGGCGTATGATTTTGCGGGTTCTGGCTTCTCACAAAAGACTGGCTACCATTCCAATTTGTACGGTTCAAACGGTGACACCAGCTTGAACGTGGACGATATCATGAAGTTCTACGCTGCTCGGGTTGATCGTCGTAAGATTATCTTGGGAATGCCTTTGTATGGTAGGTCTTTCAACAAGCCAGCTGCACCTCAAATCGGCAGCGAATTCTCGAGAGAAGCATCTAATGGCGCAGATACCGTCAATTATGGAGAAATTGACAAGCATGCAGAAAGGTTTGACAGTGAGAAGGTGGCTGCTTACGCTTACAAAGATGCAGATGATGTTTTCATCACATACGATAGCCCCCAGTGCGCTTCAGTAAAGGCGTCGTACATTAAAGATAACGGGTTTGGGGGAGGGTTTTGGTGGGATTCTAAAGGTGAATCAAAGGAAAAGGATAGAAAAATGGTTGGTACGTTCGTTGAAGCTTTGGGTGGGTCCCGGAAGTTAAACGATACGAAAAACTGGGTATAGGTATACCTACAGCGTATTAGGTATGAATATTACATTTTGATAAAAACTGCTTCATGGTTTTTTGAGCATTCCAAAACCATGGCAGTGACAAATAAGTCTTGTATCATAAGTGTTTATAATTTCTAGATACAATCTTACTGAAAAGTAACCCCACGACGCGATGCTAATGGACGAGCTCATGACTCACAAAATAGAGTCCATCCTTGCAAATACACTCAAAACTGCAGCAACCAACTCCAATTGCAATTCTGAAGCTGTGCTCTGCTCAATCTCTTTGTTAACCTCCGATGGTAGGTTGGTGCTGATACCCAAGGGGCTTGGACCACCCTTGAGATTGAAAGGGTAGTCGCTGTAGTCGTTCAACAACTCATCAGCGCGAGAGAAGGCATGGTCTCTTTTGTCGTAGTTCAAGGACATCAAGACGTTTTCCAAGACGTTAGCAGCATATGCGCCACATACTAAAGCGATTGTCCTCAAGTAGCGTAAAGAAGTATCAGCAGGGAAGTGATCGTTGCTCAAGGAGTCTAAGTCCACCGTTTTTTGCGTCAAAATGTTCAACACTCTGTTTCTAATGTGCTCCTTTGACATTTTATCAGCGACAGGATGGGTAGCCATGTCGAATAGGAAGAAGTTCTTGCGTTCCGTTCTCAAAACACCTTTATCGACCAAACCCTTGGCTAGTCTTTCTCTGACTTGCTTCAATTGGTAAGAGATTTTCATTAAGTTCCAAGTTTCACCAGACAACAAGTCGATCCAGTTGGATACAGACAAGTGGCCCTCGTCATTCTTCATTATTTTAAGTGCCTCGTCCAACAAGACTTCACCGGTTGGATCCGTGTCAATAACCTCCACTAAACGATCGCTAAGTTCAAATCTACGTCTGGCAGGGTCATTGACTAACGTGATCTTCCCTCTAAAGGTCAATTCCAATAAGATGCATCCACGGAGGGCATAGGAGATGTTATCATTCCAGAATGACAAGTAACCCTCCTTGTCCTTGAGCCCCATCAACAACACTTCCTCCATAAGTGTCAAAAAAGGCACCTTCAAAGCACGACGATCCACAATGTCTCTGTCGTCCACACCAATCTTGTGGTCTGGGGTTCTGTCTCTGGACACATCGTCGTCGTCAAAGGAGTCTGACCTTCTCGCTGTCGTTGGCGTGGCCGACTTGGCACCACGACGCTTCTGCAAAACAGAGGACATACTCTATCGCTATGTTTCGATTGTAAAAGTGAATTGGCAAGGTGTGGTTGCCTTGGTGATAATATTCGTCCTCAAGTACCGCTAGACTTGGTTTTTCCCGGTCGGTTTTTTTCCTTCGTTTTGTGCGCTCTCTATTCACCTGACAATGTTTAGCCAAGCTGTCAGGCGGGAGCTTAGGGTAGGTGCAGTGGAAGAGTAGATATAAAGGAGCTTTAGAATAAGCCAGGCTATTCAATTGGAGAAAAAAGAGAGAATCCTCCGAAGATCTGCGTTCCCATGTTTTGGTAGCAACATGTCCTCGGTACAGCGCGACGGTGAACCAGCCGGGTGGACCGTATACCACACGTCCTACAATAAAACCTTGAAATACATAGTAGTTTTGAAACGTAAAGATCCAAAAAGGGAGAACTACAGTCTAAACCACGTTTAAGCTTCAGGCTATGTCGCTGGTTGTGGTTGCTGATTGTCCAAATGCTTGGCTCTCTGTTTGGCTGCGAACTCGGACACGGCTAAAACAGACACATGTGTAAGGGTCCTTTGATAAAGCGAGAGCACAATGAGTGATTTTAGGGAGTCAGGGAGGGTGGTAGAAACTGGAAGGGGTTTTTTGGGTTGGGATTTGCTTTGGTTTGTTAGCAAGTGTACTGTTTTTGTGGTACTACCGTGCCGAGGGTAAAGCGAGGGAGGCTTGTAGAGCTAGGTAGACAACTCTGGGCAGTAGGGAAGGAGAGGTTGGTCAATGTAAGGCAATTGGATGGAAAACACGGTTACTATGTGGAATGGAATTTAGGTATTGAGAGTCGGTTCGGTTTATGGTTTATGCATTAGAATGTACGCTGATAGTGGCCTTCCTTGGATGACTTCGAATGTCCATCATTTCTAAGTCCACAGTTGGCCTGGGGTCAACGCCAAATTTTCAGTCCATTTCTATCTTTATATTTTTCACTGCTCAGGCTGAGAATGGCCAGTTTGGCTGCAACCCATTCTACTGCCATCCCAGTCAGTTTACAAATGACAATAAACAATTCAAATCAACTCTTTTTACACCAAAAAGCCAAACTCAACAAATAAACTCGTTTTCCAATCCATTCCCCCTCCCTTGACAAATATACCTTACTTGTCTCGTCTAACAAGTTTGTCTCAAGCCAGCCATAGTACAGGTCTATCACGGTCTGCCCCATAGTATTCGCGCTGCATACTTGGTCCTGGTATAACTACCTGAAAAGAAACACTTTCCCCTGATACCACGCCTTTGGCTACAAACAATTCATCTTCCAAGAGATCATGGCGTCTCGTCATCTCTCCTACGATACACATTCACTACTGTTTACCAATGATAGCGATTCCCAGTCTGTGAATGATGACTTTGTGTCGTTCCCCACGCTACCGGATCCTGAGCAGGCTGCCAACCGGTCGTTTTCGAAGATCATCACCAAGACGTTGAGGAAAGTGACCAACAACGCTTCCAACTTGGTTCATACGTATGCTTCTCCACGTCATCACGCCGAGGCTCCCGATGTGCCCGCTGATCCATCTGATTCTCAGTCTATTTACCATGAACATTCAACCCCGAACACTCCAGTGCATAGGACGCCTGCTGAACATAGACTGAGGCAACATAGCACGGCTGCATCTTTTTCGTCGTCTCAGGAAGAATCGTCTTCGAATGGCTCATACTCATTGCTGGATCAAGATCAACATCATGAATCGACCCCTAGTGGCGAACCAAGCTCTCCTCATGTTAATGCTCCATGGCCAGGACTGGACTCTTCGGCCAGACAGCCAAGCACAGAGTCATGGCTAAAGCCTGTGTCGAGCAATCGTGGCTCGTTGATACCCTCTGCATCTCCAGCATCCATAAAAAGGGCCGAAAGCGTTAACGGTGTGTCCCCAGGACGTGTTTTGGCCCCTCTGTTGTTTCGTATGAACTCAGACCTACATCCTAGAGTGACTTCGGACAACAAATCATTGCGTCTATCGACCATGGGCGTTTCAAAACAGCATGCTCCAATAGTTTCTCAAACGGATGTCACCGTATCAAACACCGATGGGGAAGCAGCACCATCAAGGCCGCTACTGATTCGACTGGGCATTAAGGGCCAAGCCACTCCGCCAAAGCGTAGCTCTTCAATCAAAAGTGACACGAAAGCCCTTCAGAACAGAATCTCCTCGATCTTCAATAACCTACCGAACGATATTGAACTTTCTGATGATTCAGCTTCTGATATCGAGACTATCAACAATGATAGTATTTCTGCATCCCCAGTGGCGAATCGCTTGTCACCGCGACAGCCCACTAAAGCTAAGGTTGATATTGCCCCTGTCAAGCTAGACAAACAATCACAACAAGCTAGAACGCCCCTGTCGCCTCCATCATCTGCATCAGTGCTGGTTTACCGGACTCCCTCGGTGACCCGCAAAATATCGGCAAACCTATCCTCCTCTTTATTGGATAGCGCCAAAAGCATCATTAATAACAATATTACTGGTAAAGGCTCGTCATCCAGTTCCATTATCGGGTCAATGGGAGATATCAGAAAGAAGAGAAAGAAGAAGAGAATTGCTCGTAAACTCTCTGACAACCCACTAAAGAATGGTGGTATCCCGAAGAAGTATTGGATGAATGACTCGTTCGTGTCAGATTGTCTCAACTGCTTCAAACCATTTTCAGCATTCAGAAGAAAACACCACTGTCGCTTTTGCGGTCAAATCTTCTGTTCCAGTTGCACTTTATTTATTTCATACAGCCAGTATAAGCACGAGAAGATGAAGAAGAAGCTGTCAAAGGAACACAAAGTCTATAATGATAAGCTACGGGTCTGCAAGCCATGTTATAGTGATGTTATCGTCTACCTTAGTGATGATTCCCTGAGTTCTTCTGAAGAAGCTGAAAGCGACTTCTTCGCTAATGATGAATCCGAGTCACAAGATCAGAATCTCAAGGTTCCTCCAGCAGAACATCCATTAGTGCGTTACAGGTCAAGGTCCGTCAGCTCCAGACGTGACAGCGTTGCTACCGAGTCTCTTACACTGGCAGGTCAACAAAGCTCAAGAAAGGACAATTTTCCGCTGAGTGGTACTCCTACTGTGAATTCTACCAAGGAACCGAGCCAGAGAAGCTCTGAGGTAACGTCATACAAGCATGCTCCACAAATGGCTATCCCAACTACGAGAACAGGAGAGGCTATTGAAATCCCTGTCTCCAGAAGTCCTTTTACGAATAGTAATTTGCCAGTGAAGCAGAACTTGGCTGCTCTTGCTATGCGTAATGCTGTCAACAACACCAACTCCGTTCCATCTCTTGAGCCACAAGAAGAAGGTTTGACAGCATGGTACTCCCCGTTTCACGACGTACAGGATACCGTAACAGACGTCGTTCGTCCAAACAGTCTTGAAAATCTTGGAAAGCTTTACAATTCATTTTTGCATAGAAACCCTTATAGACTTACTCGATCTACCTCGGAAAGGATGACAAGACCGAATGTTCTCATAAAGCAGAGAGCAGCATTTGAGTCTGAACGAGACGATGACAACGAAAGTGAAAACGAAGACGAGAAAGTAATGTCTCTTTACACTTCGCTCAACAATGAATTACATGGTAAGGGCAAAAGGTCATCACTGTCTCCTAGAGCAAAGCCGTTGAGCCAGTCAATGTCGCTGGTTCCGACGTTACATGAGTTCCCAGCGATGAATGTTAACGACAAGTACATTCCTAGTCCAATGAACTTTGCTAAGCAGCCCGACGAAGAGATTACGCCTGGCTTTGGGATCAACGCCAACAAGAATCGTTCGGATCATAGGTCCTCGGAGAGAGCTAAGGCTTCCCTTAACAGGATGCGACAGAAACGTATGAACAAGTTGAGGAATAGGCACGATCATGCCAAGACGTCGCTTAAGTTACCACAACTTGATACAACCTCTGACAGCGGACGCCCTTCAATTCTAAGCCCTCAAACTACGCCGACGTCACCTATTCCACTAGGCCCCAGTATTCTTTCAGACCATAGAGACATTCCCAATAGCAGTCTACAGGGTGTACGCACCGAAAGCTCCTTCGACCTTTCAACTGGCTCTCCATTGGCCCACAAAGGATGGGATGAGAAGACTTCGGCAAGTGAACCGTATCTTCATGAGGATGTTGATTTCAATAACGCTCAGGACTCGCATGCTAACGACGGCGAATTAATTGCTTATTTCGGAGGCCTATTACCAACAATTGATAAGGTTTACGATGACTTCATGCACAAGCTTCTACTCCAGTCTTTGGCGGATTGTGACATTGCTGACCCAGATGATCAAAGACGTTGGGGATCAGTGTTGTTTGATGCCCTCCGTAAAGTTTACCAGCTTAAGATTTCAGATACACTTGATATAAAGCAGTATGTCAAGTTTAAAAAGATTTCAGGAGGAGCTATTGAAGATACCCATGTTGTCGATGGTCTTTTCATAACCAAGAACATTGACTCTAAGCGAATGCAACTGAGAATCGAGCAACCGCGTATTGCCCTTCTTATGTTTCCTTTGGAGTATTTGAAGCACAAGGAGCAGTTTATAAGCTTGAGGATTGTGGGTTCTCAACAGTCAGTTTACATTGGAAACCTTGTGTCGCGTTTGATCTCTCTTGAGCCTGATATTATTGTCGTTGGTGATAGTGTTTGTGGTCTTGCTTTGAAGCTCCTAGAGGAAGCAAACGTTACCGTGCTTTCGAATGTTAAACCCCAGGTTATTGAGAGGATTTCAAGGTATACGAGAGGAGATATTTTTTCTACCGTGAACGACTTGTTTTTCAAAAAAGGGTCTCTTGGCTCATGCAGCCTTTTTGAAGTACGAAAGTTTATTCACGAAGACACGGTAAAAACATACTCCTTCTTCACCGGATGTGATACTCAGTACGGCTTTACAATTTGCTTGCGTGGAAGTGACAGTGAGTCTTTGAGTGGAGCTAAGTACACCACAGAGACGCTTACTCCAGCACTTTGGAACGCCAAGTTCGAGAAGGGCTTCTTCATCACGTTAGCACTAGCCTTCCAGGAGCCTAAAACTCGTCCGGGAACTGAGACATTGAGTCTCTTGAATCAAAGCTTGATAGACGCAAAGAGCATTGAGAACGAACCTATCACGAACTGCCTCAATTCTATTGAGCACTATGGTATTGCCAATTATATCAAGCTCTTCACGGAAAGATTTTTGAGCGTGTCTCCTTCAGTTAACTTTGGCCTTCCAGGAGTTTTGCTCAATGTCGTGAATGCCTTCGTGAGATACATTGACTTTGCTTGCTTCAACCACAAGATACAACTGGTGTTGGATCCAGATTCGTTTGAAGTCGATTGGCTCACAAAGGCAAGAGTTGATATTGATCCGAATCGCTTCAATGGCTTTGATGATATCATCAGAATGCTCCGCTTCGTTTGCAAAGATCGCTCCATCAGCCTTTTGGAAGAATTCAACACGAGGATGCGTAACTGGTCGAATAGCATCAAGTACAACTGTTACCAATTATACCCTATTTTCCACAGGAGTATCCATGTTCTTTATTCTACTGTTTCCATCAAGCATGCTACTCCTTGTACTGGGCCAGTTGTCGTTGTCATTGATTATCACACAGATAACGATAAGTGTTTAGGAGTCTTTTTGGATCAAGCTCTCCAGGAATCTGGAAAGGTATGCGAGGACTGCAATGAATTACTTCTCGACCATTACAAGACCTATGTCCATGATAATGCGAAGGTTGATTTGATAATTGAGCGGGTTGATAGTTCTTCGCATAGTCACACTTTCAAAGGAAAGGATGAGCGTATTATGTGGAGCCACTGTCCGGAATGCAATTACTCGACGCCAATCTCTTACATGAATGACGAGATTTACTACTTGTCCTTAGGAAAGTTCTTTGAGCTTTCATTTTGGTCTGACGGAGTCAACCATGATGGTCCTTGTTCCCATGACTATTTCAAGAAACATGTCAAGTACTTTGGCTACAACGATGTTGTCATCCGCATGGAGTATTCGAAGATTGAAACGTACGAAGTGGTGGTTCCACGTAAGAGACTCGAATCTACCCTAGAGACAGATATCAGACTCAAGATTGAAAGTTTTGAACGAATTTCGAAGAAAATGGAAGGATTCTTCCTGAGTATTTCTGGGAGACTTAATAGGGTTAAACTTGATACTGCGGACAAGGCAGAAGCTGGCTATCAAAGGGTTGAGGAGTTGAAGGAACGAGTAACTCAACAACTTGAGACCTTATCCTCGAAACTTCTTAAAGTCTATGAACAAACGCTTCCTACGAATTATGTTCTGTTGAATGCTATTCAGCGTGATTTGCAAGATATTGTTGTCGAATGGGATACCGAGTTTAACGAGTTTGAATCCGACTTTTTGCCTACAGAGAATGAAATCACCAAGATAACTCAATCTCACCTTCGGAACTTCTTAATTGACAAGTTGGATAATGACGGATCTGAGAAGAGAAACGCAGAGAAAGCTAAGAAGGAAGATCAGTCGAAGGCAAAGAGTGCCAACAGCTCGGACAGCAACCTGAGAGCTTCGCCTGAGTCAATCAAAGGCTCTAGTCAGATACAACCTAAGAGGCCGGTGCCTCTGTTGAACAAGTTTAGAGTACCCTCGGCAGTCATTGAAGATAAGATTTCACAGATCCAGCAGTCATTTGAAAATGATAACAAGGGATCGTTCAAGTCTCCTGATAAGTCTTGTGCTAACTCTCTTCATGGCGATTCACCTGACAACTCTACTCAACAGAATCCAAAGAAAGTGCAAGATTTGACTAACTACTTCAACCAGATGACCCTTGAATTCCAGCGTCAAAGAGAGGAAGCCTTGGAAAAGAAGTCCTACAAGTACAAGACTTTACCCATTGTTAATTCTCTGCCAATCGTTGAGATTTATGGTAATATTGAAGACGTTGTGGATGTCAATCAGGATAACAAGCGGAACAAGTTATTGCGGAACGATTCTGCTTCCACAATGCCAAAGCTGCCTGAAGAAGGCTTCCGTGGAAATCCACTTCAAGAACAAATGCTAAGCCAGCCTACATCTGAGGGAGTTTATCTGGAAAAGAAGGTAATTGATAGGAAAGAGGAACAGAAGCATTTGGCTGATCAAAATAAGAAGTTGCTCGAGGAGATGAATAAGTCAGGAAAGGATAGTGGTGCAAAACAGAAGCTTGAGATCCCCAACCAGAGAGAAATTCGTTACTCAAGTCTCTTATGAACTATTGGGCCGACAGATCAGCTACCTTGTGGGATCCTCTTGATTATCCATTCGATGTTACTGAGCATACTTTTGCCGATTCTGATGTCATTGTTCGTGAAGATGAGCCAAGTTCCCTTGTCGCTTTCTGCCTTTCCTCCAGCGTATACAAACAGAAAATCCAAGATATGGCAGTGGCGACAGACGAAGAAGATTTGGAGGCAGTATACAACGATGCATACCAAAGAAGGCTGAACAATTCACCAAGATCGAAAGGAAGTTTAAGAAGAATTTTGGTTCGTCCAACAGACAGATGAGTGATTTGGAGAGCACAATGGTGAAAGCCAAGACGAACCACTTGAAGTATCAGTTTTCAGACGGAAACACGATGTTGTCGTGTAAGATTTTCTACAGTGAGCAGTTTGATGCATTTAGAAGAGCTTGTGGGTTGGACCAATCGTTTATTCAAAGTTTGTCAAGATGCATTAAGTGGAATTCGAAAGGTGGTAAGAGTGGATCGAATTTCTTGAAGACGTTGGACAATAGGTATATCGTGAAGGAGTTGCTGAAATCAGAGTTGGAATCCTTTGTGTCGATAGCGCCGTTCTATTTTAAGTACATTTCCCAGTCAACCTTCAACACCTTGACTACGGCCATTGCAAAGATTTTCGGATTCTACCAGATCGAAATCAAAAACTCTGTGTCAGGAAAGACGTTCAAGATGGATTTCTTAATCATGGAGAACCTCTTTTACAACCGCAAGTGCTCGAGAATATTCGATCTCAAGGGATCTATGAGAAATAGGCATGTGCAGCAGACAGGTAAGGAGAATGAGGTGTTGCTTGACGAGAATATGATTGAGTACATTTACGAAAGTCCAGTGTTTGTCAAGGAGCAGCTGAAGAAGTTATTAAGAGGATCTTTGTTCAACGACACATCGTTCCTTTCGGCAATGGACGTAATGGATTACTCTTTGGTTGTTGGTATAGATGATAGCACGCAGAAGCTTTGTGTGGGTATCATTGACTGGCTACGGACGTTTACGTGGGACAAAAAGGTTGAGAACTGGGTCAAGGGAAGTACGCTTGTCGGTAAGAAAGGCAAGGATCCAACCATTGTCACGCCAAAGCAGTACCGTATCCGGTTCCGAGAAGCAATGGATCGCTACATCCTCGAGGTTCCGGACATTTGGTATGAGGGAAAGTCTAATTAAAGAACAAAACAGCAAGCGACAAGTTCTCGGCATGGCAATTAATTAACCAAACTGAATAGGAGAGATCAGAAGGTGTCCCAAAGCAGAACCACAGTGTGGTGCAGGAAGCAGCAGCCGCTCACAGGCGGATAGAGAGATAGCCAGCGATAACACAACAGTGGGCGTTTCAGAAACAGGAAAGAGAAAAAAAAAAATAACCCCAAAAGCGTTAAGCGAGCAAAAATTAAACAACACGAAGTTTATTTTGGTACCTTCTTGCTCCCCACGGCACAACCCTCCCTCCAGTTCCAATTGACATGGTCATCCTGCTAAGCTTCCCAGATGGCAACATCGTATTGTGAGACAAACGACAAGCGAAAAATGTGAGGGACAAAAGGCAGTGTTGCTCTCAGGTATGGCGTAATCAGACCCCCCCTCGCGAAAATACAGTGAGGGCAGGATTTATCAATTCCCGGCGCAGCCATAGCTCGCTGCGGAACCTCCTAAACGCCCTTTTTGTCCCACAATTCCTGTCTCGAATATATGCCCCTAATGCTTTTGGCGCTGCTTCACTGGCGCCCTTTCGCACCACTTTATTACGCCCAAAGTGCCCAAAAACTGCCAATCTCACACTGCGCTTGCCTACTTGGACTTGGGGAGTGCAGACACTGGGGCCTGTCAAAAAAAAAAAAAAGTGCTCCCCAGGCGTTAGCCGTGGCAGTTGCCGCGCGGACTCAACCCCCTATGTCTGGAGGGCACTTTTTTTTTTTTTTTTTTTTCCTTTCTGCTTGGTATGCTCTTGGGGCGCGGCGTCGAATCTAACAAAAATAAAATCAATTGAGGATCCCTTTTTCATACCACTGCTTACCATTCTTTTCTTGTTCACCTGAAAATCTGAAATCTCCACGGTTTTCTTTTTATTTCCACTTACCTTATTCTACGTCCCATCAATATCTGCTTATTTCCCTCGAACTTGCACGGCTGGTACATATTCATTGTTTATTTGTTAGTCTAGAAACAAGAATTGATTGATCTCGACAGAATGATATTCTCATCTATCGCTACCACCCTCCTTATCATATCGTTGGTGTTTCTTATTTTGGCAAATGTGTCTGCTCCAGTTACTACCGCGTTGAAGGTTGCCTCTCACAATGACTACACCTATGGTATCTTTGGTTACTGCTGGAGAGGCTCTTGTCCAGGTGGAACGTACCCCATGAACTTTGGTGACTACGATACCAATTCAGACTGGTTGTTTGCTGCTGACACAAGAAATACCTTGTCCAAGTCATTTATTGTTGCTCCAATTGCTGCTGGTTTAGTGTTCTTGGCCATGGTGTCCACCGCGGCTCTGATCATCATTGATCCATCTTGGTTGGTCATTTCCGCCATTATACTCACGGTGCTTGCCTTCCTTGCTTCAGCTGTGACAGCTGTGATGGTGGTTCTCGTGTTCCACCCTCACGTTGACTGGACTGGTTGGCTCTTGGTGGCTGCTGCCGCCTTGACGCTTATTGCTATTCCATTCATGATTCTCGCTATCCGCGTGCATCCTCAGCGTGACGATGACGACGAGGACGAGACCGAGTCTAAGAGCAATTTTGTGGCATATAACAAGATCGATAGCAATGGCAACCTGGGTTTCTCGGGCCCCGCAATTGGCGGTGTTCGTCCACAGCCTGCCTACACGTTCAACAACCTTCAAAGAGACACCACCAACGACGACGAAAGCTCCTTCTTGAAAGATTCCACCTACAGAGGAACGACAAGGGGCTACGTTGCTAAGGATGACTCTCTGGCCAGCTTGTATGACTCTCAGCCCCGCACTGCCAATGATGTCACAAAGCCTGGTCTCACCAACTTCCCCAATGGCAGCAATGGCAGTTACTACGAAGATGCTAGTGTAAACATCAACAACGGTCCAAGCACGCCAGTGTCGGCGAAGCAGAAGATGGCTCCCACTTTTGTGCCGAACGTGGCTGTGAAGTCAGATGAGAATGGCAGAACCAACGACGCCAACTTGCCTTACCCAGCCTCTGAGCGTGGCTCGGTAGCCCTCAACAACTCCCAGAAATACGGAGTGTTTGACCACCACCCTAACGTTGAAGGCCACCAGCCTTTCACTGAAATGGGTGACGAGCTGCCAGAGCACCAGCAGGCTGATTTGGATAACGACGATGGTTCCGATTTCACCAGCATCTCCCAAAGACAACCCAATGTGGCGTACAATCCAAATGGTCCAAACCCTGGCGCGCCCAATTCTGCCCAGGCGGCTCCAGGCGGGCCAGGTGCCGGTTATCGCCCTGTCGCACCACAGGGATATCAGCCTCAGCAGCAGCAGCCTCAGCAGTATCCTAACGTTTCTCAGTACCAACCTCATTATCAGCAAAGCTACCAGCAAGGTTTCCAGCCTTCTTCTCAGCTGCTGTCTTATTATGGCGCGGAGGCTCAGCAACAAAGAGGAGCTGCTTACCAGGGACACTATGGTGCTCCTGGCAATGGAGGCGGTGGTTACGCGCAGGCCAGACCTCAAAAGCCTTCAGTATCGGATAATGTTTTGAACACCAATCCTGACTTTGCCTTGGGCGGAGTGGCAAGAAGAAAACAATTTGGCAACCCTGCTTACAACAGGTATGGGGGCCAGCAACCTGGCCAGCAGCCTCTTCATAGGCCTGGCGGAAGACCACCTAGAGATGGACCTTACGGTATGATCTAGGTGGGAACGTTCAAGTGGGCATTCCACAAAACAGTGACTACGGTCGGATTTAAAGCTTTGTACTATTAGTTAGTTTTGCATTCGCTGTGCTGGGCGCGGTGTTAAACCTGGGCTCCTCCTTCTTCCTGGAGGACCCCTCTTGCTGTAAGAGTATTTCTTTATAGATGAAACAAGATCGTGAATAAACGAAATCTTTCGAAAATTATTGAGCATCGCCTTCCACAGGCTTGTTATCAGGTACTGGTCGTTGTGGCGCCGGATCGTGAGGCGCAGGTTTTTCAACGACTTTGGTCTTGCCATGGGGCTTGACAACCACGATTATGAACAACGCCAATACCACCAAACTCAAGAGGAAGATGATCTTGCATTTTGTCGTACGCTTCTGGTAAACCTGTGCCTTCAACAACTCCTTATCTGAAGACTTGAGGTCCTCGGCTGTTCTGCCCAAGTTATAGTCAATTCTGTCCAACATGCTGCCTTGGTCAACTATTAGAGTTTCCATTTCCTTGAATATAGTGGAGATTTCAAGAATACCCATAGCCAATTTAGAGATCTCACGTTCTCTCTGAGCCAAGATCTGGGAATTCGGATTGTTCTGGATCTGGGTTTGTGCTTGCTGAAGAACCATCTTTGAGTAATCCTCAATGTTCTTTGAGTCCTCTTCATCTAGAGCCACCGTAGAAGAGTTTCCCGATGATAGAAGCCTATCAGTCTCCGCATCATCGTCGTCCTTCAAAAACTTGATATAGTTGTTCTGCAAGTTTCTGTATATGAGAGAACTGTCCTGGATCTTCAAAGCGTACGTCTTCTTATAGTTCTCGATAATGGAAAGCTCGTCCTGGGTGTAGTCTAGCTTGAGTCTCTGGAAATTCTTCTGTAGAAACTCAAACTTCTTTATAAGCACATAGCAGTTTTCAAAGAGCTTGGTTGTGTCGTAATTAAGATCCTCAATGCGTGTTTCCAACCTCTGTTTCTCATTGTCTCTGGTTATTAGGAGCTTCTTGTAGAGTGAGCTCAATTCGTTTGTTTTCGTCTTGATCGTGGCCAAGTTCTCGTCTAATCCGTTTGAAATGTCAAATATAGAAGGTGCAATGGGCTTCATCTCGATATCTTCCGTCCCTGAGTCCTTATACTGTTGTTTCCTCAGAGCGTTAGAGGACACCCGTCTTGATCCCATGAGGCCCTCTTCCTCCTCAGCCAATGCAACAAACCTTGCATCAGTGCTTTTCTGCCGCCTGGGAATCGTACGCCTGTAGGATAGGTATAAATTTGTTCTATCTCTAAACATGGTGGTGTTGGGGTTATGGTCAGTTTACGTATAACGATAGCATTGTTGCGGAGTGTACGTGAGCTGGCGAGCATAGGCGAGAGGCACTGGCCGAATGGCTGCAAATGGGAGAAGATGGAGAGGGTGGAGGGAGAGGGTGATAGGGGTGGATTTTGGGTGGATAGTTTAAGATTAGCCATATTGGTAGTATGTAAGGCTATTCATGTTTCACGATTTTTGGGGGTTTCAGTTTATTTGGGTGGATTTTGATGTGCTTCTCAGTAATGCGGAGCGGTAACTACTATCGTATACTCTTTCTACCTATACATACAACAACTGGCATTCTTCAATATTACTTTATCTGTATTTTTTCTAGATGCATCTATTTTTGGGGAGACATAAATCATCATCTAACTCACATGGGAGTCATCGTAAAGCTGGCCGTGCCTCGGCCTCGTTTCAGTGACTGCCGAGAAACGCTCTCATTCAGCATGTTAGCCAAGTTGGTGCTGGAAACGTTTCTGGATGACGACGGCGACAGCTTGTTGGAAGAGTTCCTGGACGACAAGTTGAACGAACTACCTGCTCTGCTCAAAAGTCCTCGGTTTCTGGAATTTGGTGCCAGTCCAACTGGTGTTCCAGACCTAGACATGTTCTCTTCGAATCTTCTGTTCACCTCGTCGGCGTTGATATTAGAACCAGGCTGGGGTGGCTGGTATGCTGGTGAAAGGGTGTCAGGCACTTCACCTCGTATAGCTTCATTGTAGCTGGGGACTCTGCCCATATCTTCAGCAGCGAGGTTGGTCTCCGAGCCTGCTCTGGAAAGATGTACTGGGGGAGTCATGATGCCTGGAGAATGCACCATACCATTGTACATACCACCAGGCGTACTCAAGTGAGAATTAGTGCCACTGTAGCTTCCGTGGCCATGCAGAAGTTGTGAATGTAGAGGTGGTCTTCTGGCGAAGTAGTCACCGCCTTCTTGTTCACCATCCATTGTGAAGACAGCTCTCTCACGAGAAGCTGGCGACAGGACCGTGTTGCCTTCTAAGCTTTCCTGTAATTGTCTTTGAACACTAAGCTGTCTCAAGTTCTCTGTCAACTGGGCGGTATCTATGCTGCTCATGCTGAACTGCAGCACGTCACCATTAGGTCTCGACCTAGGGGTAGATGCTCCTGAAGTCATAGGTGATTCCATAGGTGACACATCCGACCACAATTTGTCGTAAACATGCTGTTCATACATTGGTGGAGCGACAAGACCAGTGAATGACGAGTATGAATGAGGGTTCGACCGGATGGCCTCCTCGGCTTGGCCCTCACTGGCTTGACGAGCATCTGCTTCGTATTGCTGTAAGTTGGTCAACGATGTGTTGTGAGGGTCACTCGAGAATAGCACTTCCTCGTCGTCAGCATTACTTGTATACTCATGAGCATCCTGTAACTCGCCTTCCTCGTGTCTAGCTCTGACTGACACAAATGGAGAAATGAAAATTTGAACTGGCAAGGACGCTCTCAATTCAGAAGTGTGGCCATCTGGGTTGCACAAACCAATGTTGAACTTAAGCTTATGCCTCACTTTAACGTGTGTTTGTATATCACAGTCTTGAGTGCATGTTGATAAGCTAGGAGGGATACGGAGGAAGGTGTCAATCTCCCACTTATCCATTTGGTAGTCGGGGTCGTCTGGTGATGGCGTTGGGATAATCTTCTCGCAAACGACTCTCTCATCAGTGTGTGCTGGGGGAAGGTAACCCACATAAGAGTATAGCTCCACCAAAGAAACTCTGATTTCGCCCAAATGCAAACCCTTAAGAAGAGGTACCAACATTAATGATATCGGTGTTCCTGAACCCACAGCAATAGCTTTGCTGGGAACATTCAACGAATATTCCACTTTTTTGGGCCATGTATTGTCGACAGCCACAGTTTCAGAAAGTTCAACAGAATCGGTAGTCATTGTTCTGACAACTCTAACATGCTTCTTGGTCACCATTGGCAGGTGGAACTTTCCCCTATCAATAGTCGACTCAAGCTTATAGATAAGACTTGCACCTGGAAGACCCTCAATGGATTCTGGCATATCACCTGGCAAGATGGCGCTGAATGGGAATTCGTAATTGCCCTGAACAAGCACATGGTTACCTCTAGCGTTGACATTGGTAGATGATGACGAGGCCGATGACCCGTTGTTACCAGACTGGTTATGTGGGGTCAACGAAGATGACGACAATGACCTGAAAGTCATACCCAAACTCTTCAAAGATGTCGATGAAGCCTTAGACTTCACTGGACTTCTTGCCAAAGTGCTTGATGGACTAGAAGGCGACTGGCCTGTGAACCCAGAACTGCCATTGCCGTTGGAGTTCTCATACATGTTGTCCAAGTACTTGGTGATCTCCTTCGGATCCCAAACGTATTCAAAGACCTTCTTTTCAAATCTGGCAGGTTTAGGTACCGCACCACGAGTATCAGTATACCTCAAGCGAAGAGTACCATACAACCTGAGTGTTATCTTCTTCACAGAGATAGGCTCGTTAACTGATACCACAATCTTGCCGCTGATAAAAGTCGAAGCAGCATTGTGTTCTGTGCCCTTAAGCAAAAGAACATCGTGGTTACAGTTTTTCAACCTGATGTCGAATAATGCCGTCAGTCTCGAGGACTTTTGCTTTGGCATGGTGGAAAGGACGGTAGCGAGTGATCAAGGGAGATGTGCTGCACGATTGGAAGCGATGGGGGGGAAAGATGGTCTAGGGTCACGGGAGGAAAAGTAAGTAACGCAAAAAGGGATAATCACCAGTAAGACTGGAAAAGGGACAAAGTAATTGGAAATGAGCCAAGTGATGGTTTACCGCATCCACCCTTTTTTTTTTTTTTTTTTTTTCTCTACACATACAAATTACAGCGATAAATGCATCATTTCTTTTTGGCGCGGTAACGCAGATGAGCGCAATCGGAAAAAAGCAATGCTGTCAAAATGACGTTCGCCCGATCATCTGCCCGAGACAGAGTCCCTTTTTCTCGCTTACGGAAAAACCTTTCCACAAAAAGAACACCATCTACAGTAAAAACACTATATAAACTTTCAAAACCACCCGTTCCACGTAAAACCTTAACCCACACATCGCCCCATATCAGATCTCGGTCTTTGAGATCCGCGCAGATGTGATATCTCTTGAAAATGTCACCTTGACTCACCGTATGACTCGCGTCACGTGGCTCGACATGGTTGTATTTTTGCGTTCTGTCTGAGTCAGGGTCTCGCTCTCGAGAAGGTTTTCCCGGCTTGGCCCTTTGGGCCCTGATGCACCAGATATGATACCGCGTTCGCTTAAATGGCTCCAAGGCCCAATAACGTAACCAGCGCTCAGCAAGCCACCAATCCACAAACATAGAAATATAGAAAGACCCAAGAGCATAGATGGGTAGCAGTGCCTGGGGCAGTGTTGCGCAGCCAGTGGCTGTGAGCAAGTGTCGCTGACGAAGTGGAGTGTCGCTCCAGGGGTCAACGTCTGTATGTCTACGTAGTCCAGACTTGAAGTCCAAGTGGATTTTGTCTTTCTTTTTTTCTGCTTTTTTTTTAAGTGTCTTTCTTTCGTCCAACCATCCTCTGGGGCTGCTGGTTTCACGATTTTTCAGTATATCTGCAAGGTTTTCTATCCCAACTGGCTCCAGCCATCTTCGTCAACGCACACCGTGGCTTAGCCCTGGCACTTCTCCGACAATACCAACATTCCCTGACGAGAAAAAAACACCTTAAATAATATATTACCGTTCTAGCGTTTGTTCGGTGCTAGAAACAGGTGCAGCTTGCTTAACTAGTGGGAAAAGCCAGCCATTCGCACCCACTGTGATTTTCGCAGCCATTGGCTTCCTCCTACCGATCAGCCTCACCATCCATTGTAGACTCCACAACCGCACATGTCACCGGGTACCAAGGTTATCTAACTTAGACTAAATAACTTGGAGAGCCCACCACTTCCACCACAACCTAGGTACCTCCCCTTCCATGTCTCAAAACCAAGGGACATCTCTTTCTATGGCTGGTGGTGAGGGCCTGGTTGGGTTCGCGAGGCTCACCTTTTTTTTTTTTTTCTGCCTCTTCGTCTACCTTCCCTTGCTAGCAGGCGGCTGGCTCGCACGCTACAACTGGCAAACGGTCCTCCCAAATTCGCCAGGCACCCCCTGCCATTAACCTTCTTGCGCAGCATGAAAAGACTTGACTGCTTGTCATTACCAGCTTTTTCTTTCCTTTTTGGCGTCTGGCCCCCTGACGAGCTTTTCTGCGTTTGCTTGTGTCCTGTCAATATAAAGCTTTGCTCTGCCGTGGTACCTTGGCTGAGACTTCTTTTTTCCTCGCTGTCTGCGCTTTGGGGTTCCTTCACTAACCTAACCCTACCCAATTATAGACGCCTTTCCCGTCACTAATATCCTCCCTTGGGAGCTCCATTCCTTTGATACTTTACTTCTCCTGGCATTATTTAACTTCAGCATCTTCATTTTTATTTTGCCGTTATTCATAGGCCCAAGCCCAACTCACTACATTCCTTTCTTTTGATTATGGCCTATGCTTCTCCAAGTCCTACCCCAGCTTTTCGCGATGATGATGATGCCTCTACTACTCCCACCAGATCTTCATCAAAAACGCTAGCGGACCCCAGACCGTCGCCTTCAGACCGTTTGCTTAAGCGTGCTAGGCTGACTAAAATGTGCCCCACGCCGCCGCCCACTCCAGTGTTTCGCCTGGTCTCGCTGGGCTCGATGGCTAGAAGAAGGAACGCTCGTCTTACACGTATGGCTTCTCCAGAAATTGAAGGCCCAGACTCGCCAGTTCCTGAACTTACAGACCTGGAGTTCCAGTTTAGTACGCCTTTCTGTTCAGACGCGTCCGACTCGGAATCGCTTCCTGAGCTTGTGGATGACTCGTCCTCACCTAGCTCCATCCAGAGCCCCGCCACGCCCTTCAGACCAAGAATTACCTACTTTGACAGTTTCGAACTGCCTTTGAAGAGGCTCTCTCTGGCTCCAGCAATCACACCTCCAAAGTTCAGTCGGTTTGTCGATACACCTTTGGAACTGCCATTTTCGCAGCCAATTCTGGCTCCCACCTACCAGCCAGCATTTTCGCAGCCAACTCCAGTTTCGCAGCCATCCATCTTTGAGATCCCAGAGTTGGTTCATAAAATTATCGTCTATGCTGATGCTCAGAATACTGTGGTGCCTAGAGAAAAGACTCCTGTTTGCCGGAAACCACTTTCTTACCGCCATGCTATGCTCGTGCACGGAAACGAGAAGGCTGCTAAGATGGCTATGGAGGGAGCCTTCACTATGGAAGAAGAAGGCCAGCCACAAACCACACTGAGCGTGCTTCACACCTGCTTGCTTGTTAACAAACTTTTTCATCGCGTTACAAAAGAGGTTCTTGGGGAGAAACTCTTTTTCACCGACGAGAGAACGTTTAACCAGTTTGCAGCCACCAAACCCCAGCATTTCTACGATGGCATGTCTCCCAAGACGTTGGTGCTCAGCAAAATGTTCCACCTTCGTCAAAGCCACTTTAATCAAATCGAGTCCAAGATTGATTTGAGCAGGCTCGAGTGGCTTGAGATGTACATGTGCCCCAAGATCACACCTACCCTTAATTTCTTGCAGCCAAGCTTGAAGACGTTTATTGTTACGGGATCCAAAGCGCTTGACGACTCTGTTTTGGTTGAAGTCGCCAAAAGGTGTCCTAACCTTCAAGTCTTGGATGTCAGAGCCTGTGAAAACGTCACAGACCATGGAATCTACAGCATAGGGCAAACATGCAAAAAGCTCACCACACTTAATTTAGGCCGCAAAAGAAGAGGCCACTTAATCACCGACCACAGCGTCTGCGCTGTTGCCGTTAATAATCCAAACTTGACCACCGTTGGTGTTGCCGGGTGCTACATCACGGACCGTTCTATTTGGCAATTAACCTTGACTTGTGGAAAGCGCCTTGAAAGGCTTTCCTTGAACAACTGCCCTTACGTCAGCGACCAGTCCATCCCCGTCGTGCTCCACCACAATTTATTGAAATGCCTTACGGTTCTCGAAATAAGGTTTGTTAACAGAATCACTAACTTTGAGCCAATCATCGCATACAAGAGACGCCAGGCTGCCCGTGGATTGATCGTCCTTGTGGAAACCTGTGAAGAACTCTTCATGCGTATGAGAGATCAGGCCAAAACCATGGATCGTATGATTCTGGAAAGAGTCGTCAGGGATATCAGCGAATGGGCTAACGGAAAGGATGAAGATATGGCAGTAGCAGACCTTCTCAGAACGAGAAGCGTCCGTTCTGCCCGCGTATAATCAGCATTAAGCATAATAATATGGCATTACCAGGAGAACAATCACTGTAGAGAAAGATCCCCATCGGTTGTCACTTCGTCTACGTTGTGTTCATTGTCCATACAATACACTCTGATCATATTCCAGGCTTCGGAAACTTACGATCCTGCTACACTGTATATGCTGTGCCGAAGATTCCATCGGAATCCCAACTCTTTAGGCACCGCCTTCATTCTCCGATCACAGGCCCTCTGGAGATCCATCCATAAAAAAAAAAAAAAAGCCAACCACTTCTTCATTTCGTGTAACAATATTTACCCAACCTAGGCCTCGTCTAAGTGGCTGCGAAATGTCTCACAAACCGGCCCCAGCCCAGTCCAGCCCAAACATTCACCAAACCACATAAACAACTGCAACGTAAAACAAACACATCCTAAATCTCAAATCTACAATTACCACTTACCACCTCCTTTTTTCATGGAATGTCTACCACCTTCGTCCCCTTCGTACCTTTGTTCTCCTCTTCGTCACTCTCCAGGGCTAGACGCTCAGGGCACCGCGCACTGGCCCATTGTATGTTTTTTGTCCTTCTACTTCGAGACAGGTTTGATGGTCGCACCAGGGCTCAGGATCCTCACCGTTTTCAAACAACCAGACTTTCTTCTAAGCTTAGGCCAGTCGTGTTCCTTTACTTTCGTCAGCAAATACCCACTTTCGCTTGCTTTTTTTGCTGCGCCTATACTTTCGTTAGTATACTTTCGTTTTTCAGGTTCTGCCTGCCTTCAACGGCCAGTCCATAATACCCTGCCTTAGTGTTAGCTTCTGGCGTTTCCGAGTCTTCCGCTGTCATGTCTTTGAAACTACTAGGGAAAACACCACTGGAGCCTTCTGCTTTGCCAATCACTGCAAGTACAGATTCTGTCTCGGTGGGTTCTCTTTTAGAGCCTAGAGATCTGTTCAAGTCGAGCTCCTCTCATACATCTTCATATGTTGCGGAGAACCTGCCGATTCCTGAAGAGCTGGATCTGGTAGAGCTGTTGCAAAGCAGAACGTTACTCCCGCATCCTTCCAAACTTGACCTTATTGACCATACGACGCTAACGTCGCTACCGCTCCCTCCTCCTCCAGCCAGATCTCGCCTTAAACGAGGTCACCTGGCCCCGCTATGCCAAACAACGTCAAAGAACCTTAATAATGAGCATTTCAATGGCCTAGGAAAGTCCAACGATATTGATGAAACGGGATTCGAGGATGAGCCTGATTTGGGTGACATTACCATCACTTCTGAGTATGTTGACGAGACGTTTGACGAGTCTGAGGAGCTCATAGTCTTAGTAGAAGACTATATGGCCAACCATGATTCAGCTAAACTGTTGGATCGGAAAAAATCTTTGCATTCGTTCAAAAAACGTCTACATGCTGACCATCGTTCAATCGACTCGTACGAGGCATACCCCAAGAAACGAACTGTTGATTGGAACGATGGAGTCTCAAATCCTGAAGATCTAGAAGCCATTTTCGGTAGGATCCCGGGCACAGATCGTCTCAAGCACTGCTGTCTTTGTGAGAGACCACTATATGAAATCAGCTCTATTCTTGGCAACAGTGATTCTGTTCGTAAGGGCAACAGTAAAGCCAGCCAGCTTTGTAAAGAGTTTGTGTGTTGGGACTGTGTTGACGTTTATGAGCACTTCCTCACTGAACTCGATGAAAGCGAAGCCCACACCGAACAAGCCAAGAAGCAATCTACCGAACGTCTACTAGACATTTTCACCGGCATCAGAGATACCTATAATGCATCAACTCCAGTATGTCCACGGGAAGACTTTTCTGTGGGCTTGATAGAGAAGTTACACCATTTGAGTGATGTTGCGACATCTGAATCTGAGCCTGAGTGGCTCAGCACTCTCAAATATAAGTTGAGATGGAGATGGCGCCTTAATGGGCTCTTGCCAAATCCTTTTTCAACAAATGGCCTGGTTAAACAAGCCTAGAAACGGGTATGCTCTGTGTCCCACCCGTACACCACTTGCATATATTTATAATGAATTACGATCTTACTCCATCATCTCACGCATCATGATATTCTCTTCTATAAGATGTGTTAGCAGACTGTCCCGCCAGACATTCATGAGCTTAGAAGAGTTTCTTCTACGTCAGAAGATCCTCCATACATACAGAGGCCTTATGCGACTCATATATAAGCATCACGAAAAGCAAGAACTTGCAAAGTTCGCCAGAGAGGAATTCCACTTGAATAAGCATGAGACTGATTTGGCTCATAGAAAATACCTCCTTCTGACTGGAACGGTCCGCATCAATGAGATGAGCAAACTTTTAGGGCTCAATGCCAATTTCTAAACTATCAGAGTCTCAAAGTTGAGAGCTTGAGTGCATCTTTGATGGATTCGAATTGGTCGCTCACGAACTCTTCATCTAGACCTACGCCCAGTTTGATCTCGGACAGCAATTGAGGCCTTTCACTTACGATCTTGACCATTTGGATTTGCATCTCGCCGGCCGCTTTAGTGATGGCTTTGTCTCTGACCAAAGTTTGTGTGATCTTGATGAGCTCGAAAGTATCCAAGATTATGCGGTGACGTTCGGCTGAGACCCCTGGGGCCTTCTGGATAAAGCCAGTATTGATTTTGTTCATGTCGAGGTTTTTCAAAAGGAACTTTGTAAGCAGGTCCCTGTCTTTGACATCGCTAAGTTTTGAGATCTTGAATATGGCAATGTAAAGCTTAACAAGATGCTTCTCGAACTCATCGAGCTGTGACGTATATGCTGGATTGCTGATCCATTTGTTATAAAGCTTGATGAGCCTATCGCATTCGGTCTCGTCTCTTTCGGCAATGATGATCTCCTTGAGGTAATTCAACTTGACGTACTCTGTCCCCTTCCTTTGTTCATAGTTGAGAAGGTCGAGTTGTGGAATTTCGAGTCCGAGATTATATTCAGACTTAAAATCTCTGTTATCATTCAAGACGAAGCTGTCACTGAGGATTGTCGCCTTAGAATCCCTCATTCTCCTGTAGAAATAGTTATAATAGTCATTCCCAAGCATACGTGAAGATTTAAGGATTCTGAGGATAATGAGGTGCCTCAGCAAGGAATTTGTAAGACGTTCACCAAACTTAAAAAAGTCCTCGACTTTAGTGTATAAGTTTTTCTGGAAGCTTTGTTCAACATATGGTCCAACTTCGGTATCTGCGGTCATGTAGAACCTGTAAATGGAGATAAGCTCGTTAAGGTTACCCACAGATGGTGCAAGATCGAGTTTATATGAAAGGGTATCTTGTTGAATCATCTTAATCTTAAGGCTTTTGTACACCTTGACAGCCAGCGATGTTGCATTAATGTAGGTGTAAAGATTGAGAAGCCATACCTTCACTTTGTAGTTTTCGGGATCCCTGATGGTGTAGTCTTCAAGGACAATGATGTGCTTGACGATATTGCTAGTAGAATTATCTGAGCGCAAGCTTTCTATCATTTTGACCAACTGCAAATCGAATAATTCTATGTTATCAAACTTGGAGAATTTTTCCTCAGATAATGTCAATTTCTTTTGCTGAATCAAGATCTTGGAAGTATTCACAAGAGTCCAAGCCTCAGACGAAGTGAGTGATTCTTTCTCTGTAAGATTGGTATAGTCGGCTTGAATCTTCTCGAGAAGCTTTTCAGAGAGATCGAAGTTGAGGAGGTCAGACGCACCCGAAGGCTTGTCGTGGAACTTATTATAGTACTTTTCGAGAGCCGCAAACTGGTCAAGTCCATAGGTAACAGCAAAGTGAATGTTAGCGAAGTACGAGTTTCTTGTATCGAACTTGATGAAACTAGAAACCTCTTCTTGAGGCTTCTGAAGATGCGAAGAAGCATTGATGAAGTGCTTCCATGTATCCACATCATTAAACTCTTGATTAAACAAAAGATCCTTTGACACGGTGTGAAGCAATTCCCAGTTTTCCGATCTATTAAGCGAATCGAGATACAAAAGGGTAAGCTCGAGCTCTCTGTGCTTCATTGGCTCTAGAAGCTTTACCACCTCAGTGAACTTTTCCTGGGCATGCAAAATTTTAGCTTGAACGAACACCTCCTGGTTGTTCTCATGTGGAGCCGTTTTGTCAGCAATTCCAGCAGCCAAACCAAGATAGAGTGCCTTCTCTTTCTCGGAACCTTTCCTGCTCAAAAGGTAACATGAGAAAGCTGCCCTATAAGCATACTCTCTGTTAGACTTGAAGTTCTTTTGCAACTGCAAAGAAGCTTTTTGCACGCCAGCCATATCGTAGTTTTCCAATGCCTTATCGAAGTATGCTTCGATCAACTCTTTAGTAGGGTACTTCTTGATGGCATTATCATACAATTGGTTCGCTTCTTTAGCCAAGCCCAACTTTAAATACGAATCATAAAGCACAGATAAGGCTTGTCTATCGCTGGGAGTCTTCAGAGCGAGTTCTTTGCATTGAGTTATGGATTGGGCGATTTTGCCCTGGGCGAAGAGAAGGTAACAATTCAAAGCCCAGTAGTAGGACTTATTAGGGAACCGTTTAAGGCATCTTTCCAATTCGAGTCGTGCCAGAGAAAGACGACCTTCCTGGATTGCCGCAAGGATATCAGACTCGCCCATGGTTGGTATTGAAGAAGACTTGAAAAATGAGCGCACCTGTACCGCCGGATAAAGTAAGTAGGTGGAACATCACCAGAGACTACGAAACGGTGCACATTGATACGAATAGATAAGTGCCTTCCCAGGTCTACTTTTGTGATTTTTAATTTTTTTGTTTGTTTGTTTATTTTTTTTTTTTTTCATTTTACGAATGTACCTTTCTGGGGCAAGTATCTACACATACTTAGAGAAACCACAAAAGCACTAGTTTTGCGAAACAAAGGCTAATATACAAAAATGTCCCAAAAACACCTGTAACCACCCACACTGACCCAAAACTGGAGATCCCCGTCTGACTCCGAATCCCGTTGTCCCCTTAACCCCAAACAGAGTCATTTCAGGGGTACCCCAACTACATCAAGAAATATCATGGCTTACAACCCACCTCGAGGCCTCTTCCCCCACCTAGTCCAGACTTTCAGGCTTATCAAGCTTCTGGCCTAAGGATATACCCACGTTGACAATGCGATTGCATGAAACAGCATAATTCCACCCATCTACCCAAAAACACCCAAAACGGTTCTCGGAATTCAAATCCCGATAAGATAAAGACATTCCAAGACTTTTTCGATCTTCAGGCGGGATCCTCAAGCCTAACCTAAGACTGGTCCTGGGACTGGAGGAAGAAACTTCGCTGCGCAAAAAAACGGTAAATTGCAGCCACTGCCAGCCGATAAGCACCGAAGAACATCCATCCCAACCGGTTCTTCCCGGGACATCTCCAACCCTACTCCAACCCCCAACGTCTTAGTATTACCATCTAATTCGAATTCTCAACTTTCTCGTATTTCTTAGCCTGGTCCCGCCCCTATTCGTCAAGCTCTCGTCTCTTTTGGGCTGCCGCTTGGCTGGGCGGACTGCGAGGGGTTGGCTAAAAAAAGAGAAAAAGAACGAGAACGAGCACAAGACCCCGAGCCGTTTTTGGACTTCTTGGTAGATTAGCGCCACACAAAGGTAGAATGTGTAGTACGCTCGCGGGAAAAGTTACTTATGCCTTAAGCCATGGCGTAAGCCAGGGCGTAGGCCATGCCGTAGACCATGCTGTCGATCATTCAGTTGATTGGAATTGACGAATTGACTAATTTCATGATTGGTTGGAACGGGGAGACAGGGCATCAGGGTTTGACTATTCATGGTAGACTTCAGTGTAGTCCATTTCGCCCAGTACAAGTCCATCTCCAAGTCCCAACGTCTTCGCCAAGGACGGAGTAAACCGATACTACACCCAAGTTTCTTCTCCACTCCAAATCCAATTGCATCTCCACGGCAAACCAACTCTACAGCTACAACTCTTGGAAAATGAATATGCCCAGGACTGGTCCCAATGTCGACTGGATATTAGCCAGCACATGCCGAGGACCGTTTTTGTGGTTGCAACCGCGATAAGCGACTCACCCACAAAATTGTATAGCGTATATACAGAAAATGCAACCAGCGCTATTCGTCCATTGGCGATAAGAAACCTCCACAATGGCCGAGTGCTGATGCCTAGACATTCTTGGACTAAGTTTTCTTTTCTTTCCCACTTTGTGCCGGTCCCGGTTCGCTGGCTTCGCGATAGCACGGCTGGGGGAAGAGGATCTAAATTAAGGGAAAGGGCTGATAACCGGGACGGTTTTTCCATGGAAGCCACCAAACGCGCCCGTTCCAGGAACCTCAGGAACCAGGCATCAGGGCCTAGACATCAATTCCCTGCTTAATACCAGTTTATCTATGGCCCTCGGAGTGCTGGGCGGAAAGGTGCGATGAGGTAATTGTCAGGGCCTGACAGATACCAAGAAAGTGAGACAGGGAAAGAGACGACGAGGGTGGACTTATGTTTAAGCCCACGTGCACAGATACCCAAAGGGTCTTGGGCCTTGGGCCTTTGGTGATTCGGGCCAAGCCGGGCCGGGCCGGTTGGGGCTAATTTTTTTTTTTTGTAGGGGCGCCTTCTCGAAGTCAGCTGCTGGTCATGTGTCTGTGGGTCACGCCAAGACCAAGACCAGGAAAAACGCCCACTGACTAAGCCCAAATTGTGTGTTGTGGGTGGTTTATTTTTCTTAGGCTGTGGTAGGTTAATTCTCGGTCTTGTACTTTTTTTTTTTTTTTTTCTAATTGATCCGGCCGAGGGGGGAGGGGCATACCGAGGGGTTCCTGGCTAAGAATCAGAAGGTTTTGCGAGGGAAACTGGTGCCAAGCCAGACTGCCTGCAGTACCACGCCCATAGATTAAGGCGCGCGGGAGGTGCCGGTTTTTCTTTTGTTGGTTGTGTTTTGGATATTTCTTATGCAGAGACACCAAGCAGCTGTGGGATTACGACTGCGCCTGTAGACAAGCCAAGGAATACACACACTGCACTGGAACTATATTCAGATGGGGGTCCCGGTGTGGCCGGAAAAACGACAACATAACAAAAAAAAACCAAGACTTTTGATGGGTATATAAGGTTCCTGCAGAAAACGTCCCCCAAATACAGTGAAGAAAAAAACAACCTTCGCAATATCCAGTACCCCTGCTCCAAGACACACACGCTGCTGGGGATATATTCCTCTTCCCCAAAATTTACTCGGTTCTATCGCCGCGCAACCCTCCGCTTATCTGTATTCTAACCTGCACCAAGGCGCCGTGCTCGCCACGCCTGCAACCAGCACAGAATCTGGGGCAGCCGCAACCAAATCTTGATTGCTCGCTGGAAAAAATAAGGAACAATCGCACTAAAAAATTGAAAACTTTCCCACACCTTCCCCAGTCAACCCTACTTTCCTCTCTGCCTGGTCAGCCCTTCTCGGCAAAACTCAATTGCCCCGCCAATGCACCACCCCGTCATCTCGTCTCTCCGCCCCACGTTTCTCTGCAGTGCAGGCCCACAATCCGCTAGCCATAGTTCGCTGATTCTTGGCTCTATCTTGGCTGCAGCATTTTTTTTTTTTTTTTCTCACCCACCATTGCTGCACCAGACCTCACTCATTTCTTTTCCAGTCAGGCCCTGTGCCAGCCAGTATATATATTGCCTTGGTCCTGCCTCCCAGTGCACGGTTAATATTTTGTAGTTTCATCTTTTTTCTTTCCTTACCATCCCCACAACCTTATTCCCCCCAATTCCCACTCTGCATCACTTCTTATAATGTCCTCTTCGTCCGTGGACTACAATGAGAAGAATAACGCTCATAAGGAGCAACTGAGAAATGATACTGACGACTCCGGCTCCACCGCCGTTTCCGATTCTTCCCTTCTACCTTATAGACTTACTCATGCAAAGGTTGCCACTCAGTTTAACACAAACACTGATGATGGTTTATCCTCTGCTCAGCATGCCGACCTCGTGAAGAAGTTTGGCCTCAACAACTTGGGTGAAGGTGACAAGGTTTCTTATACTAAAGTTTTCGCTCACCAGGTTTTCAATGCCATGATCATGGTTTTGATCATTTCCATGGTCATTGCTTTGGCCATTAGGGACTGGATTTCCGGTGGTGTGATCGGTGCTGTCGTGTTCATTAACATTTCCATCGGTTTTGTTCAGGAAGTTAAGGCCGAGAAGACAATGGGCTCCTTGAGATCCTTGTCTTCTCCATCCGCTAGAGTTACTCGTGATGGTGACGAGCAGGACATCGCCGCCGAAGATGTTGTCCCTGGTGACATTGTTCACATTAAGGTCGGTGACACTGTTCCAGCCGATTTGAGATTATTTGACACTATGAATTTGGAAACCGACGAGGCCCTTTTGACTGGTGAGTCCTTGCCAGTCGCCAAGAACGAGGATGAAGTGTACTCTGACCCTAAGCAGTACGTTCCAGTTGGTGACAGACTTAACATGGCTTTCTCCTCTTCTGTTGTTGCCAAGGGTAGAGGTATCGGTATTGCCGTGGCCACTGGTTTGCAGACCGAAATTGGTCAGATTGCCCAATCTTTGAAGGGTGACAGCGGTATTATTAGAAAGGTTGACAAGTCCGGCGACAAGCAGCCAGGTGCCAAGGAGTACTCTCACGCTTTCTTTGGTACTATTTGGGACATTATTGGTAACTTTTTGGGTGTCACCGTTGGTACTCCTTTGCAAAGAAAGTTGTCTTGGTTGGCTATCTTCTTGTTCTGGGTCGCTGTTGTTTTCGCCATTGTCGTTATGGCCACCCAGGAGATGGATGTCAACAGAGAAGTTGCCATTTACGCTATTTGTGTTGCCTTGTCTATGATTCCTTCCGCTTTGATTGTTGTTTTGACTATTACTATGGCCTTCGGTGCCCAAGTCATGGTTTCCAAGAATGTTATTGTTAGAAAGCTTGACTCCTTGGAAGCCTTGGGTGGTATTAACGATATTTGTTCCGATAAGACTGGTACCTTGACCCAGGGTAGAATGGTTGTCAAGAGAGTCTGGGTTCCATCCGTGGGTACCTTTAGTATGGAAAACTCCAACGAGGCTTTCCACCCAGATGAGGGTGACTTGGCTTTCACTCAGTACTCTCCAAAGTACGTTAAGGAGACCGACGAAGAAATTGACTTTTTGCCTTTAGACAGAAACCAGCCTGACTCTTTTGCTGAGAACTTCAAGAAGTGGTTGAACGTCGCTACTTTGGCTAACATTGCTTCCGTCCATCAATCTAAGGATGAAGGTTCCGGTGAAATGGTCTGGAAGGCCCACGGTGACGCTACTGAAATTGCTATCCAGGTTTTCTGCTGCAGAGTTGGCTACGGTAGAGAGGAATACTCAAAGAGCTTCAAGCACATTGAGGAATACCCATTCGACTCTTCTATCAAGAGAATGTCTTCTATCTGGCAAATGGGCAATGACACTAAGATTTTCACTAAGGGTGCCGTCGAGAGAGTCATCCGTAAGTGTACTAAATGGACTGGTAACCCTGAGGAGAAGACTGACACTGACAAGCTTGTTGACTTGACTGAAGATGATATTGCTCTGATTGAAGCCAACATGGACGCTTTGTCTTCCCAGGGTTTGCGTGTTTTGGCTTTCGCTTCTAGAGACTTTGACTCCAACAAGGACAAGCTTGACGACAGAGACGGTATCGAAGATAACTTGGTTTTCCACGGTTTGGTTGGTATTTACGATCCTCCAAGATTGGAAACTGCTCCTTCTGTTAAATTGTGTCACAAGGCCGGTATCAATGTTCACATGGTTACTGGTGACCACCCAAGTACTGCCAAGGCTATTGCTCAGGAAGTTGGTATCTTGCCTCACAACTTGTACCACTACTCCGATGAAGTTGTCAAGGCTATGTGTATGGCTGCCAGTGAGTTCGATGAATTGACTGATGACCAAATCGATGAGTTGCCTGTTTTGCCATTAGTTATTGCCCGTTGTGCTCCTCAGACCAAGGTTAGAATGATCAATGCTTTGCACCGTCGTGAAAAATTCTGTGCCATGACTGGTGACGGTGTTAACGATTCTCCTTCTTTGAAAAAGGCTGATGTTGGTATTGCCATGGGTCAAAATGGTTCCGATGTTGCTAAGGACGCTTCCGATATTGTGTTGACTGACGATAACTTCGCTTCCATTTTACATGCCATTGAAGAAGGTCGTAGAATGGCTGCTAACATTCAGAAGTTTATTTTGCAGCTTTTGGCTGAGAACGTTGCTCAGGCTATCTACTTGATGGTCGGTTTGGCTTTCCAGGATGAAGATGGTTTGTCTGTTTTCCCATTGTCCCCAGTTGAAGTGTTGTGGATTTTGGTCGTTACTTCTTGTTTCCCAGCTATGGGTTTGGGTCAGGAGAAGGCTGCTGATGACATTTTAGAACAACCTCCAAACCGTCACATTTTCACCAAGGAAATTATCATTGATATGCTTGCCCTCGGTCTTTTCATGGCTATCAGTTGTATGCTTTCTTTCGTTGTTGTCGTTTTCGGTGATGGTGACGGAAACTTGGGCCGTAACTGTAACAACAGTGACGGTGATAGCTGTAACTTGGTCTTCAGAGGCAGATCTGCTTCTTTCGCTACCATGACATGGTGTGCCCTTGTCCTTGCTTGGGAGTGTATTCACCCAACCAACTCCTTGTTCTACATGAGACAGGACACTGACAACCCTTGGTGGAAGCAGACCGCCATCGACCTTTGGGACAACCAGTTCTTGTTCTGGTCCGTTATTGGTGGTTTCGTTACTGTTTTCCCAGTCGTCTACATTCCTGTTATCAATGACAAGGTCTTCCTCCACGACCCAATCGGATGGGAGTGGGGTTTGTCTGTGGCTTGTGTTCTTTTCTTCTTGGTTGCTGCCGAGGCTTGGAAATGGGGCAAGAGAGTCTACAAGAGAAAGTGGAGCACCAAGGTCAAGAATCCAGAATACGAGTTGGAGAGAAACGATCCATTCCAGAGATACGCCTCTTTCTCCAGACAAAACACCATGGACCCAGATATGCTTACTTAAGCTTTTACTTCCATTAGACATGTCTTTTACGTTTTAAGTTATTTGGGTTGACATGCGCTGGTTTATCGCGTGTGATATTTTAGGTTTATTCATTATACAGCCGTCATAGTAATTCATCATTCATTTTTTATTGTGAGCATTACATCATTACCAGCTTAGATAACGAATTTTAGCAATTTGCTATAAATAACATATATATTAACTAGTCTTTCTTAAATTATCTGCCACAACGGCAATATGTAAATTGAAACTAAACCCACATGGCAAAGGACCTCAGCGTAAATCCTGGTTCTTCACCTCGAAATGGCCTCCAAGATGTTCTGTTACACCAAACTTCTGGATCACGCCTTCGCCTGTGGCTTTGTCCACATCTATAACGGTAATTGATGTATTAAAGGGGACACGCAAATTCTGAGCTTCTAGACCCTCGCCCAAGCCATATTTCTTGATCAGGTGTAAGTAATTAGTGAATGAGGTGATTACACCGCCGTGCGTACAGAAGAGTGTGTTGAGATGGTCCTCTGTTGCTGCTTTCTTCAAAACCAAGTCCCATTCCCCCTCTACTCGTTCTATTAATGCTTCTTCCTGCTCGCCCATCGACTTAAACTTGTCGCCGTACTTGGCCAAGGCGTCACCAATAAACATGCCCTGAGCTGGACCCATCATACGTTCTCTCAAGTTGGGAGTGATCCTTATCTTATCTTCAGAGAGATGAGAGTTGTTTAACAAGATATCCTTGATGGTGCTTCGGCAACGGCACAAGTCTGACGTTACACAGGCGTCGAACTTGAACTCTTCCAAGTACTTGGCCAACTTGGAGGCCTGGTCGTGGCCTGTTTCATCCAAGTCGATATCTAAATGGCCCTGGATGACCTTTTTCAAATTAAACTCCGTCCGTCCGTGGCGAACCACAAAAACACGAATGACGTTGGGGTCCACGTTTGGCTTAATTTCACGAGTCATGTTACGGAAGAGCAAGAAAGCTGGTCCTACAAGAATTTCTTCAATTTCCAAGAACGTTGGAGTCCATATAATAGCGTAGTGCATACAGATAGATAAGCTTCCATCGGCCCAGCGAGACCCTCAACCCCATCTGAGGCATAGCGGCTCGGATCATGGTCTCCGATAAAGAAGGAATCCAGACTTGACCCCGACTTTGGTGTACAAAAGTTGGGCCCTGTGGTTCTCGAATTGGGTACTCCAGTAACACTTTGGACAGTTGAAACGATCGGCTTCCTTGTATACGAACTCGATCAATTCACGACCCACTCCCTTGAGTCTGGAGGCAGAACTCACATACAAGTCGTTCAAGTACAAGGCGTTCTCGATGGTCCAAGTGTTACGGTGAGTCAAGTAATTGGCGAACCCAATGATTTTTCCCGTGTCGTCAACTGCAACGGCGGAGTATACGGGCTCATTCTCATCGAGGAATCTCTTGAAGGTTGTCTCTGTAGCCTCATCGGTGACCCTGTCTAAAGCTTTGTAGAACTTCAAGTACGAGTCCTCTGGGGCGTTCCACAATTTCTTCCACTGGTCCTTGTCGCTAGCTTGAATAGGTCTAATTGAAAAAGACATTCTTGGTTAGCTATTTGACATGGAGAGGTAGCACAGGTTTTATAGTATCAGCCTTGCGCGGTGAAGCCGCTAAGAACTTCTTGATCGGTATCAGTACAGGGGCACCGGTGCGCCGATTATCCAGAATGACTCAAATCATGAGTCGTCTTTTTTAAGTACCAAAAGGGACCTTTTCCCAGTATATGTGAATAGAGTTAATGTCTGGCGCAAATGTTATCTTTGCGGCCAAGACTTTCGAAGTGAATATGATTAAAACGCAGCCACGGTCCAGCCCATCTTTTCGCAAGTCTCTCCCCAATCAATAGTAAAGAGGCCATCAGGATTGGCAAGCCATATCTGCTCCACAATGTGCCTGACATTGTGGACGTTGAATACCTTGTAGTACGTTTGCAATCTAGTGAACTTGTGTCTGAGTTCAATGCGGTCGATCTCCTTGTAACATGCCAAACCGCAAAGAAGCATAACCTTCGTGACAGCTGCCCGTAGATCACACTCGATAAGAACGTCTAAAAGCTTAAAGGTATCCAAGAGCACGCCTTGGACCTCTGGAGTACGAGGCGGAAGATCTCTGATATACATGAGCACATAAAGCTTGCAGGTGTTTCTGAAGGCCTCAAAAAGAGTGTGGTGATGGTGAAGCTCGCTTGGGTCGATGAAGCATTCCTGATTTTTCCGTGGCTTGCAAGCTTCTACCTTAGCCATAAGGCGCTTAGCTTGTTTTTGGGTTTCCGTGTAGTGCTGAGCACGACGGGAATTGAGAAGATTAATGTCCATGGTGGGATCACGAGCAACTTTCTTGATGTCTTCATTGAGACTCCTTCTGACCGAAGACAAAACAGAATAAGCATGAAGAATCTCACAAAGCACCAAAAAGATCGAGTGCATGCATCCCTGAAGGGGGTCAATACCGTAGGAGAAATCGTTTTCATCCTTGAATGGGGAACCGTATTCTTCCGCGGTGAGCAAGGTTCCATTTTTGAGGGATTCTGATGACATGACATCGTTGTAGTGAAGATTAGAAATAACCCATTTGGCGCTATTCAGATAGTTCATTTTCGTTAAAAAGTTTTTGATGGAGCCAAATCCACGAATGAGCTCACCGCACTTGCGGTGGTGGTAAACCCAGTCCTTGGTGTCACCAGAGCAAACGCCGATACCGGCAGCGTTAAGGTGGAAACATATTAGGTTGAATTTGTCCTGATCATCGAGCACTTTATCTGAGTAGAATCTCCGAAGAGAGAGATCAGCTTCGTGCATCCTTGATTTAAGACTGGCCGAGTTAGGGCCATCCACAAATAATGCACCCCAAGCTGCCAAAAGACGTAAAACGCTCTCGTCTCGGTAAGAAACGCCTGTGAATGTGGATGCAAAATGGTTTTGGACTGATTTCGGGGAAATACAGATGCGGTGGATGATTTCGTTATGGAAAAAGTAAACAAGCTGGTAGCCTCTCTCGTCTAGCACTAGGCGGAAGGGGTCCATAGGCTCAACAAGAATGTTTGCTTGGCTTTGTTTTGTAAGCGGTAGCTTACCATCCATAGAAACAAGGCTATAGTCGTTGTTCTGATTGGAAATATCGATTTCAGCAGGCTGGTCTTTGCTGTTGGGAGAAAGGAAGAGGAACTCATCGAACTCGCCGGTACCGGGTTCCAGCTCTAGTTTCAAAGAAACCTTATCTTCATCGAGCACCGATTCCAACTGGCCATCTAGGACATGAGGAGCAGGCATGGTAGCCAGTTCAGGCAGTATTTCAGCAGAACCAGAGGAGGAGCCTGGAGGTACCACAGGCTCTTCGGTGATCTCTTTGATCATCTCTTTCGCCAGCTTCACAGGAGGCAGTCCCAGGTAAACACACTGGATACCTCTGGCCGTACAAAGACCACAAGAAGGCCGTTGTTCGTCACACTTTTTCTTTCTCACACGGCAACACAAGCATCCAGTCTTTGAACGGGTTCGCTTTGGTTTCCCCGTGACGGTGGATATATTAGCATGGTTGATCTCGTCGGCCGACCGGACCACGATCTGTTTCAAGGAGTCTGCCTGAAGGGTCGTATACATGGCGGAAAAGAAAGTCAGGCCGTTAAGGGTCCTTTTGGAGCAGAGGAGAGATGGTTTAGATATAATATACTTGAGGAGAACCGTTGTGCAAGAGTATACCTGTATGTGGGCCGAGCCTTCACGCAGCAGGGAAGAAGCCCTGGCGTGCAGTGCTGCGCAACCATACAGAAAGCTAACTTTGGCTTTAATAGAGGCTGAGGGCTGGCAGTTGGTGGAAAAGAAGCGGGGAAGCGACATTTGGAAGGAGATTTTTTCCCCCAGTTCTCTACGTGTTTTTTCACCTCCTAAAAGTGGCCATTTACTCTTCCGTGGAACCAAAATCATCCGGGCTTGGCAGGGCTGAGGGCGTAGCGCAAGTCGGGCTCTGGCCAGGAATCACCGCACAAGAGAGGGCTGGGGAATCTTCGGTGCGCACCAGCGGCAGAATAAGCGAAACACTGGTTGAAGGTTAAAGTTTGGTAAAGAGGGGCTGCCCTGATTAATAGGTCTCTTTGTGTTTGAGTACCTCTCTTAATATATATATATATATATTTATGTATATTTGTTGGGGTGGCTACTTTTAATGAGATGCCTGGTGATGAGCTCTGACAGGATCAGTGGAAAATAATACACATACGCATCTCGCACTAGGAACCGGAAAAACCATGGGTATCGAAACTGTCTCGACAGCCTCGAGGGCTCAGCAGCTCGTGGCTGCGTAACCGTGAATCCTCAGCAAGGATCCACCAATAAGGAAAGGCTGGCGAGCCCACACTTATGGTTTAGTGAGCAAATTTTTCCTCTTGACTAAAAAATACACCCGCCGTGCTTCTGCTGCTTAGAAAGACTCTCTGGCTGACTCAGCGTGTGTTGGGGCGACTTTCCAGGGTGTATTTTGCAGCCAAAAGTAGTTTGATGTAGATGCAAGTCTAGCACGGCTGATCTCCAAAGAGGCGTTCGTCTCGTCAACCATTATATTATTTATCATTAATTGCACCTGCCAGCCTTCTATATTATTCATCCTCGTTTAACTACCATGGTTTTGTGTTTCTTGCGGAGCGAACACGGCCCGAGTGGCTGCCTGTAGATACCACCTAGCAACATCGCTGTCAGACAAAACGTCAAGCAATGGGTCGTGTAGTAAACGAAAGGCTTCTGCTTTTGTGTCACGTCAACCTTACGTTTACGCTCTGGCGACATATCTGGGGAACCGGTGTATGTCTAAAGCAGGTCCCTAGCCAGGCGGAGCGGTTTTTGACGTTGACGTGACGTGAGGTTGCCGGTAAGGCTGTGCCCAAGCAAGTGCATTAGAGTTTATCCGTTTAGCTTTAGGATTTTATTTTGTTGGGTAGGCTTTCGGTTCTTTGGCTGCCTCAGCCTCTGGACACTGTTTAGCGTTTTTTCTGTAGATGTAACAGCAAACTGCAGTAATGTAACAATAGACCCTCAAACCTTGTTTTTTGCACCCAAACTTCCGTAACTCCCCGGATCGCCTGGGTTTCGTATTCCGGTTATTATACGGGTATTCAAGTAGTGGGTTTAGTATTACGACTGGTTTTTGGGTTGGCTGGCTGGGTGGTGGAGGATTTGCCGAGGTGGGTTTCCAGACCTGCTACAATGCAGCAATCACACAAAAGCCATGACTATCATCTTTCACTGCTTTACTTAAGCCTAGGCTTATGTCTGTTTCTCGTCTACTCAAACCATGTAGCGTGGTTTCTCCACCCAAGACATACTCTATTTAGGCGCGGGTACATGTAATCGTAGAATCAAGCCTTCCCCACCAAACGAACCAAGTAAACTGGCTTTACCGTGTCGAAAAGGAAGGCCTGGTTTTGTCTTGTCCTGAGATATAGCCTGATGAGCGACCAAATTAAAAGACGTGGTAAATACGGCAGGCCCTGTGATCTATGTTCCTCAAGAAGGGTCCGTTGTGTGTTCGAGGACGGGTCCGAGAGATGCCAGGGCTGTATCAACCACAATACTGAATGTACACATAACCGAATCCGAAAGAAGTCTGGACCAAAGTCTAAGAAGTCGTTTGCTGAAGTGACAGGGGAGAATAATGGTTTGCCTTACTGTCTTGTTTCGGGGGAACCGGTCCTCATGACTCCGATGCTGGAGAAAGGCAGTTCAACAGGGAATGGACCGGCAAAGGAACATTCAGCAGACCCTTATGCTGCTCGAATTTCCCTTGATAAGCTTATTTCTTACCTCCAGATATACCAGACATGGTTTTATGGGTACTGGCCGGTACTCTCAGTGGCAGAGATCATACTGAAAATAACCAACTCAAACCTGATGAGTCAGTCTATTGATTCTATAACCTTGACAGAGAAGAACGCGTTTCATTATAGTTTGGCTTGTTCTGTTTGTGCTGCTATAGCAACCCAGATGACGTTTGTTTCTGTTAAAGACAGACTTATAAATGACGCTGCTAGTTGTCTGGACTCGGAGTATGCAAACGAAGCCAAAAGAGCAAGAAACTTATTTGATTACACAAGCGAACCGTCTGTGGAAACTCTTCTACTGTCGTTCTTCCTCTACGCTCACTATACAAATTGTCAAGGTAAGACTAACCAAGCTATTATCTTCCTTCGTGAAGCCATTTCCATGTCACAACTCCTAGGATTCCATGATCCTTCTACGTACGAAGGGAAGTCTGCCGCTGAAAAGCACCGCTGGCAGAAGATTTACTATACCCTTCTCGTCACAGAAAGATTTATGTGTTTTGAGGATGCCATGCCGGTTATTCTTGATCCTTGTATTGCACTTCCGCTGCTTCAAAACGAGGAATATCCAAGCTTGTTGGTGGGATTCATTGAACTAGTCAAGGTTTTCTCTGTACCTGATAAACATTTCTTTGAAGAAGTCCATCTCAAAGGTAATCAGCGAGACATCGAAGCCTTTAGAAACTATATCCTGAACCAGGACAATATCAGCAAAATGAAATTAATCCTCGATGTTCAGTCCAGACTTAACCAGCCTTTTGATCAATCCATGAAAGCATCTGACCAGCAAAAGCTCAACATTATTCTTTCTCGTTCATGGATCCAGGCGATAGCATGGCACATCACTTTCGAGAACGGTCTCCTAACCAGCACATCGGATTATTCAGTGGACTGCCTCGCTAGGGAATTCCCCGTAAAAATTGCCCGAGACTTCCTTACAGCAACCAAAGATCTTCCGGCGGTAGCGTTCGAGGCAAACGGTCCTGGAGTGTGCGTCAAGCTACTTGAAATTGCAAACTCTCTCGTATTTGCTATGCCGTGTTCCTACAATAATTCCCTATTGGCGGATAGCCTTACGGCGGTTTTCTCCCTAGTAAACCAATTCAAAAACAATATTTCGCTACCCATGGATGTCTACAATAAGGTAGCTGGGAAGATTTCGTCATTATACACCCATGTTGAACGGCCATTGTCGGCGGAACCCATTCCCACTGCTACAATCCACGAACTTTTTGATGACGAAGAAGGAAGCTCGCAGCAAAGGGATACACCTGCCTGTCTAGGAACGCCTTCCCTTCTTTCTCCTCTGGACAGAAACGCCTCCTTCACACAATTCTTTAGACAAGCGTCGGGACCTGGCAGTGGCGCTTATCCTCAGGCGATGGTGAATGCCTTGTCTGGCATTACGAATGTTCAAGAAGAAATGAACGCCTTGGCTAAGAATGGAGCCTGGAGTGCAAATTCGCCTTTATTGTCTAACTTCATGCATCCCCCATGATGTGGGCTATTTACGGCCCCTTTGCTATAGCCGTGTTAAAGAAATTCTCGAGTTTCACCTGTCGTGAGGCGCTACAATCGACGAGGACGAGGGATTTCTGTTTTCCCCCAAAAAAATAATAGTTAACCCGGTTTGTGCCCAAGATCGCCCAAATCTCGGTCTCCACTACACTCCGTATCGGATCATTCTTCATGGAAGAAGAAAACAAAATGGCTGCGAAAATAGAACCTTGGACAAGGTGGGGTGATTGTCAGATTCGCAAAGTTTCTTGGAATATTTTCCGGGCCTCCACATGGAGAAAAGCCGTCTCGCACCAGGACATGGCCAATTTGGGCATTAGTTGATGGAGGGGTCGGCGGGGCTGAACTGCGTGCCAAGTTTCAGATTTCGGGGAAACGCAAGAATCTCGCAATGATTTGTCGTCTCCTGTTGCAAGCTACGTGTTTTGGTTCAAAATAAATCTTCAAAAATTACTTTTTTTTCGATTTTCCGGGGTGGGACTCTCGCGTGCTCTCGCCCTAAGAGTTTACGAAATCTTTACGAGCTGTCATGGTGCGCCGTGCTGCGTACAGTTCGTAAACCCAACCAAGACTAATCTCGGAGAATCTCTAGCTTCGCTATGGCCTACTCAGGTGCTCTACAATAGGATGAATGGGCCCAAAAAAAAATGAGTCAATGCTGGCTTTGTTGACTATCATAATGGATGGTTGTATCTTGGCCTGAACACGGCAAAAAGTTCCTTGCATTGTTCCGCCCTTTATGAAGGCGTATGGGAAGCCCATGCCAGGACTCGCGTATCGGAATTCTTCCGGTATTCTTGCGTCAATGGCCAAAATAACACCAATTCTTTTTTTTTGAATATTTTTTCAGGAATACCCCAGACCCCGTATAAGCCCTTCTGCCTTGGCGCCAGAGTTGGCTCGCGGGGCTGCGGTGAGCCCCACTTCGGCCTCTTGAATTGTGTCTTGGATTTTGCAGCAATTGGCCATGTATAAATACAAATCATGGCCCTGGTCTGTTTGCAATCTCTATCAATTATTGATCTAACCCTCAGCTTAGAACATTAAAGATACATTTCACCATGACTGACCACGTCGAGGATGTGAAGAAACCAGAGTTGACTACTTACATCTCTGATAAGGATGATAAGGATAGCACCAATGACTCCATGGATGTCTACGCCCAGGAGTACATGGCAAAGTTTTTGGACATTTCTAAGAACGCTAAGGAGAATGATAATATCGAGAAGGGCATGACTTTGAAGGAGGGTATCAAGACCTTCCCTAAGGCTGCTTTGTGGTCGATCCTTCTTTCTTCTGCCATCATCATGGAGGGCTATGATCTTAACCTTATCAACTCCTTCTATTCTTTCCCCGACTTCCGCAGAACTTTTGGTGAATATTATCCCGATAAAAACGATTGGGAAATTCCTGCTCAATGGCAGACTGGTCTCAGCATGGCTGTCAACTGTGGACAGGTTTGTGGTTTGTTCCTTGCAGGTATCATCTCTGAGAGATGGGGTTACAAAAAGACCTTGATTGGTTCTTTGATGTTGGTTACCGGTTTGATTTTCATTGTCTTCTTTGCTCAGAACATCGCCATGTTGCTAGTTGGTGAGCTTTTGCTTGGTTTCCCATGGGGCGCATTCCAGACAATAGTTTTGTCTTATGCATCTGAAGTTTGTCCGACCGTATTACGTTTGTATTTGACTACCTACGTCAATGTGTGTTGGGTTATTGGCCAGTTGATTTCCTCTTGTGTGTTGAGAGCTCTTGTTAATTCTTCGATCAAGGATTCTTGGAAAATTCCCTTCGGACTTCAATGGTTCTGGCCCGTCCCTATTGCTATCGGTGTCTACTTTGCTCCAGAATCTCCCTGGTGGTTGGTTAAGAAGGGCAGATACCAGGATGCTAAGCACTCTCTTTGCAGATTATTGAGTGAAAGTGAAAGCTTGCCAGACAAGCTGGTTATGGCTCAAGCTATGGTGGATAAGATGAAGTTGACTATCAAGGAAGAAGAAGCTATCAGTGCTGGTGTGTCTTTCAGAGACTGTTTCAAGAAGAAGAATATCAGAAGAACCAGAATCGCATGTGTCACTTGGTTGGTGCAGAATATTACCGGTTCGGCTTTCATGGGTTACTCGACTTACTTCTACTTGCAAGCTGGTTTGTCGACTTCAATGTCTTTCACTTTCTCGATTATCCAGTACGTCTTGGGAATTATTGGTACTTTGGTTGCTTGGTTCACTTCTCAGAAACTCGGTCGTTATGACCTTTTCTTCGGCGGTATGATTTTGCAGTTCCTTATTTTGCTCACCACTGGTATTCTTGGCTGCTTCCCAAGTGATGCCACTTCTTGGGGTGTTGGTTCTTTGCTTTTGGTGTTCACGTTCGTCTATGACTCTGGTGTCGGTCCAATCACTTATTGTTTGGTCACTGAGATGCCCTCGTCGACATTGAGAACGAAGACTGTTATTTTGGCCAGAAACTGTTACAACATTGCTGGTATCATTATTGCCGTCATTATGCCTTACATGTTGAACCCAACTGCTTGGAATTGGAGAGCAAAGACCGGTTTCTTCTGGGCTGGTTTTGCTTTCTTGGCCGCTGTCTGGTGTTACCTTGACTTACCAGAAACCAAAAACAGAACCTTTGCAGAGTTGGACTTGTTGTTCGAGAGAGGGGTTCCAGCCAGAAAGTTCAAGCATACTTCTGCAGAGGTCTTCGACATTGATGAGATGATGGGTAAGCTTGGTGAAGAAGGAGTTAGAGAGATGGTTGAGTCCAACAGAATTGAGACTAGCACCATCGATAAGGTCTAGGCGTTTGCCAGGACACATCAAGAGAGTTGGTAATCTTAACTGATACAACAGACAGGAAAGCAAAGATAAAACAAATGTAACAAAGAGCCTTTGCGAGCAAAGACTCAAACATTCAATTCTTCAATATATTTAGATTACAAACGCTCGAATAAAAGTTGTTTCTCGATAAATCTGCGTAAGAACTGTTTAGTAAGGAATGACCGGTGGCAACACCATTTGGAACCAAGGTGTAAAGCTTCCAGCAGAGATAAGCCACTATATGATAGTTGTGCAATGCAATGGTTGGTAAACAGTTGTTTATTCGTCCTCAATATCCGTTTCGAGGTCGCACATGGACCGACAATTAGGACAGTAAAATTGAGGATAACTCTTGATGATGATAGGTCGTATGCACTTATAATGCCATGAGTGGGAGCACGGGCTAATAAATAATGCCTGGCAAGGTTCGAGCTTCAAAAGACAAATAGCACACTCAGAGAACTCGGAGCTGCCTTCTTGTTTGTCTGAATCAAGGCCCAACTTCTTCATCTTCTTATGGATGTCCAAATTGAACTGGTTGACCTTCCGCTGCCAACTTCTGTTGAACTCACAACGCATTTTCACGCATCTGTAAACCTCCTCAGTTCCACCTCTATAGTCCAAACCCAACTGGACGATATCGCCATCAATGAGAGGCCAAAGAGTCAGCTCTTGTGACGCTTGCGATAAGCGCACATTGTTAAGAAAGGTTCCTGATGATGACTTACAGTCTTTGAGAAACCAGGAACCGTCTTCATTACACTGAAACATGGCATGAGTACGGGAAACGACCTTGGATTTGAAGACGATAGGCGCCGATGAGCCTTGAGGAGCATGAGCAGCGCTCTTGTTCTTCTCGGTGTATCTGCCAATCGAAATCAGGTCCTTGGGTTTGATGCGACGGATCATGGGAGAAAAGTAGAGACCCGTATTGGATGTCAGGTGGTCGATGATCGGAGTCAAGCGGACTGAGTAAAAACCATCCTTGTCTTTTCCAGTTGTATCTTCCTTCTCTAAAGCTTCAGCCTGAGACTCGGCGGTCTCCTCCGAGATGATAGGCTGACTTCTGACGATGGTGTCTTGTCTAGCCAAAAAGGGCGGTTGAGCAGAAGCACCTTGGTTTTCGCTCAGGGAGTTTGAAGAGCCTGCGGTCATATTTAAATCAGCAGAGGCGTCAGTGAAACCGTTAAGATTGGCAATAGTAGGACTATTAGACATGAAGTAGTGGTTTTGTGTTGGAGCGTGAGTGTGATTATGCGAATGCAAATGCGAGTGGGAATGCGAGTCAGTTTGGTTATGGGAATGCAGGGATCCAGCAGCAGCAGCAGGAGCGGCAGCGGTACCGGTGTTGAAGGAGGTCTCCTGGTGGCTCTGTTGAGACAGGCTTTGCAGGGAATGCGAGCCTCTGATGGTGTTTGACAAGGAGCTGAGGAAACTCAAGCCAAAGGAAGGACGTCTTGCCAAGCCAGAAGTCTGGGGCCTAGTAGGAGGAGTGCGTTGAGCAGACAGCGTGGGTTGCACGGATTGGGAAGTCTGTGGTGGTTGGGATGCCGGGGCTGCTGATGTGTTGCTGGCGGCACCTGATTGTACAGTATTAGTGGCAGAAGAGGCGGGTCTTTCGGAAACAGCGTCTCTCTCGGAAGAAGAAGAGCCCAAAATGGACGAAGGCACGGCAGGAGCAGCAGCGGAAGATGTTTGTGGAGCAGGCTGTTCAGGTTCTTGGATGTTGTTATTCTCAGTAAACTCGTGCAGCAAAGGAGGAGGGCTGGAAGAAGCAGCGTCTCTGGAGCCCGCACTGGACGAAGTGTTACCATTGATATCTGGAGAAGACGATAATCCAGGGTGGTTGGGAGAGCCAGGAGCCGAGTTTTCTGGGGAAGAAAGGGAGACCTAGCGCTGGACTTGGAGAGAGTCCTAACTGGGGTCAGGGCGACCGCAGCGACGCTTTCGGACATGGTGAATAAAAAAAGCAGTAAAACAGGTCAAGGGAAAACCAACAGGAGCGTGGAGGATATTAAAATGTCCTGGTACAAAGAAGAAATACCGAAAATAGGGTAGGGGGATGGAAAGAAGGTGTTGGTGGAAAGTGACGACAAGTGAGAAAGGTGAGGTAATAAAGGGGAGGGCACTAAAAAAATATATAGGAAAAAAAAAAAAAAAAAAAAAAAAAGTATACACAGAGAAAAAATGTGACACAGCAAATAGACAGGCCATTCCCAAGTCAGGCAAAACAAGCTCTAGTGAAAAAAAGGGGTGGGGTCCAGGCACGGTAATCTGAAACATTTTCGAGACAGAGTTCCCGGGGCAACGTGGAGGGTGTAGTTAACTTGGGGGTTTCCAAAACGCTTCCATACGTTCGTTCCCTGTTCCATCTGTTTTATCCCTTCATGGAATATTGGCATGGGGCGAGTGTGTTGGGTGCAAAGGAGGGGACAGGTGCGAGGGAAGAAAGTAGGCCAAGAATGAGCGGTGCGGTCTAGGGCGAAGACGGTCATAGCATGTCGAGGAATAAGGTTCTGGGGACAAGAATTACATTGTCGTGATGGGGGAGAGCGTGGGAGTACGGTGGTGTTGTTTGTTTTGTTGTGGGTGTATTATTAGGTGGGTTTATATGGGGGTTTACGTCGTTTAGGGTCCTGCTTACCAGCCTCCTGGCCGGGCTCGCGGGCTCGCGGGCGGCTGCCGCCAGTGCTGCTGCCTGTTGGTTTCGAATGCGCCCTTGTTCTTCCCCAGCGCAAGCCACCTGCCTTAATAGGCGAGCACCAGGGCTCCCCACATATGGGTGCAAAAAGGCTACAAAAAAAAACGGTTACCATAGGAAAAAAAAATATGGTTTGCTGGACCTGCCTTGGTTGCTTTATTTTTTTCGACTAAATCTTAGTAGTTTGATTTTTCGCTCACCAACCGTAAGAGCAACTGCTGCAACTGTTCTCTGCCCTTTGGGCTTTCCCAGATCTTGTGTCCACTGTTCTCAGCCACCACCCATTCCAACAGCTTGTCGCTGATCTTTACCATCGATCGTTGCCATTTACCCCAATTAAGGGAATTCTTTATCATGAAGTCCGAGGATATCACTGCAAGCGGCACCAGCTGCACTGCTGCGTTTTGCACCTCGTTGAACGATAAGATCGAGGCGGTTACTTGCTCTTGTAGTCTTGCCCGGAGATACTTGGGACTGTAGACCATGTCCCGGCCAAACACTCGGCTCTTGGATGAGTATCTCTGTGGATGGAAGAACCAGTGAATATTCTTGACAATTCCTAACGGAGACACTACGCCTCGGAGCCAGACCTTGAAACCCTGCCAAGAGTCCATGAGCTCAAAGATATCCTTGAACACCTTTCTGCTCTCGTTTTTCTTGTTGCTGCCGCTGAAGGGGAAATGCTTGAGAAGGTCTTCGTGCCAGCTATCAACGAGGAAAAGCGAATGGATCTGGCCACGGTTTCTCAGGGCAAACACTCTAGAGTAAAGACCTCCTTCGTCGAATCCCACAGCAGAGAAGGGTCCTTCGATCTTCTCCGCCCTGAGGGCTTCCAGGAGATACTCGACAATAATCGAGATCGACACTGGCAGCGGGGCGCTATCGGAGAAACCGTAGCCTGGTCTATCCCAGATACAGAATCTTTCGATTTTGTTCATTTGGTATAATTCTTGAATCCATTCTTGGAACACTTCAGACGACGTCTGCTGGCCGCCTTCAACGAGCAAAATAGGCTGTTTAGCCTTGGATGAATCGTCCTTGTCCAGCTCGGCCATAGGAGCGTGAACATCACCGTAGCATGCCAAGTGAACCTTAAATTGACCCTCGTTTACTGGGATCATCTTGCCCCATGGCTTCTCGTGAGAGTCGAAGCCCTCGAGCCAAATAGAAAGAGAAATACACCAAATAACCCATAACAAGAAGAGTTTGACGAAGATCTTAACAAGCATAACCAAAAGCTCATACACTGATCTTCTCTTTTCGACTCTACCAGTATACTTAATCTCCTGCTGGGCCTTGCCACGTTCCACTGACCAGTCAGCGAAACAGTTAAGGGCAATATTGAGAAGCGTCCATAACCAAAGAAGGTTTCCAAACGCACCCAGCTGGCCACGAAGGAATGGAATGCTAAGTATCACTATCAAGTCGATGAACACCAAGCCAAAGCTAACGTAGCCAAGAATCCTCTCATAATAAGCAGGCACAGCAAAGCACCAAAGGGTCACACCGCCAGTCAAAATGTTCAAAAGGGCCAAGTCAAAGTCAAGAAAAGACTTGCCTCTACGGTTGAAAAACGGCACCGAGATGAAGTCCGAGACAACCACAAGGAACAACACGAGGGCATTCACCCCAAGCACAGTAATAAGCACCAGGCGCAAAACAGCAATGCGCTTCAAGTTCAATGGAGACACTATAGGATCGTCTGGGTCCACATAACGTCTACTGGCAATCAAAGGCTCACGCTCAAGGTCTGCGCTTGAAGAACCCTGGCGCTCCTCATCTTCCTGAGGCCTAACAGAAGGCAGTTGGGTTTTGGGAGAGATGGGCTGGTCCTCTTGAGAGGCAGCACCTGACTCTGGCATTTTTTGTGATGACGAATTGAACGAATTAGCACCTAATTAGAAGCGTTCTTCCTGTCGTCTAAGGGGTAGATGTAGTCACTAGCAACCATGTTTTACAGGCCCAGGCGTCACGTGCCCTGGCTGCAACGAGATGTGGAGGCCTTTCTATGGTGAAGAATCACGCGCTGGCTATCAGTGGGAGTGTGCATTGACGAGGTGGGTCCTTATCGTATAACCACATTACTTTTGAAGCAGCATGTCACTAATAGGCATTGGTTCGACGTCTGAAACCGATGGAGTGACTTACTACGATATTGAAATCACCTTGCCGTTACGAGCGCTTTCGGTTTCTCGAAGATACTCCGATTTCGTCACTTTGGTCCACCAGTTATGCCTGGACTTGGGTATATCGAGTGGTGAGTTCCCATACCAGCTTCCGCCCAAGGGTTCGTTTTTCTCCAGCAAGGCAAAATTGGTCACAGAAAGGAAGTACCGTTTATCTGAGTTCTTGAACAGCGTTATCCGTGATCGGGATTTGCAGAATAGGACGGCAGTCCATACCTTCCTCCAATTGCCTTCAAACTTTAAGTTCACGCCCGCTATGTTTGAGGATGACGGTGCATCTAATGATAATAAGTTTCTTATAAACGAGGAGGCCGAGGAAATCGACAAGACACAGTGGCTTGCTTACTTGCGCCAAATACGTTCTACGCTTGGTGATATCCCCAGAGCTGACGATATCAAGTCTCGTTCTGTGGCTCGTGAGCAGGTGAATAAGTATATCCAGCCAAACATCCAAAAACTAGCATCTGCGCTTTCGCTTTATAATCAGAATGGGGAAATCGATTCATCTGAGTTTGGGAAACGTACTTCTTCGCTTCGTGAGCTTCTGAATGAGACCGAACGGTTGGTCTTCAAAAGAGATGTGGCCACCAAGAAGGAGGATTCGCCATACAAGGCTTTTAGCAAGCGCTCTCAGCATAAGGAGCAGCCCAAGGAAACTGAAACAACCGAGTCCTTGGATAACAAGGAGCTTCTTCAACAACAGCAGCAGGTTCACAAAGACCAGGACCAGGAAGTGGAGCAGCTACGGAAAATTATCGCAAGGCAAAGAGAGATTGGCGAAACGATCGGAAGAGAGGTTGAGGAGCAGAATGAAATGCTTGACCGGTTCAACGACGAGGTGGACGCCTCTTCCGATAAGATGAAAGACGCTCGTGCGAGAGCTAAACGCATAACATAAGGCATTATTTTTATAATGATCGATTCCTGAAATCTCGAATACTGACATATTCTTTCATTGAAGAACATGACTACCCCAGTATTCAAAAGTAATAAATAATGTTCTTAACAATTGTAAGGCTCCAGCCCTAGAAGGTGTCTATGTAGTGCGACTAGTATATAAAGCGCACCCTTCCGTCGATGAGTTGAAAAATTAACCACTTTTTTCTTTGTCACAAAAAGTATGTTAAAAGCTACAAATGCAGTTAGAAGATGATAAACAACTCGCCTATAATCGAGAATTCATGAGAATTAAAAGTTTAACACCAAGATCTACGCTGAATAACTGCTCCAAGTTTCTATTATGGTACTAACCAAAAAGTTATGTCTAATAAAGTTCAGGATGTTTCTTGTGCAACACTTGGCCCCATTTCTTGATTCCTTCTTCAATCTCTTCTTCGGTGAGTAGGGCAACGCATAGACGTGCTCCAAGCTTGGCCCAACCAAGGCTATCTCCCTCCACTTCGAAATTACCACCATCGGCAATGATCACATTGTGTTCCTTCTGAAGGGTAGAGATAACTTCGGAAAGGTTAAAGTTGGGAGCGTCTATCGTCACCCAAACGAAGTACCCTCCGTCACCACCGTAGTGTTTGGTGTATTTGGGAGGCAAGTGCTCGTCCAAAGCTTTCTTGAGTGTCTCAGCTCTGGCTTTGTATGTCTTTTTGTAGAACTCGACAATTTTATCTATGGTGCCGTCAGTAATCAAATGCTGGACCACGACCGAGTTCAATTGGCCAGGGGAGCCTCCAGATTTGTTTGCTCCGGTGCTTGAAAGCTGAAGTGCCAACGCTGGAGTGGCTGTCTCCTGCCAGCCAACACGAAGGCCAGGTGCAAGAATCTTAGAAAAAGACAGATTAGATACGGAGTTTCCAAACTTCCAGCCCTTAGGTAAAGTGTCCTCGTCAATCTGGTTGAACTTTCTGACTGGTGGTTTACCATCGTAGTTCAAGTGATCATATACATCATCAGAAAGAAGAAGCAAATCGTGCTTCCTCGCAAGCTTAAGAAGCCTAATTCTAGTGGCTTCCGTGTATGTGAGGCCACCCGGATTAGAAAACGATGGCACTAGGTACATAACGTACCTATACTGTTTTCTAGCGTCTCTCCCCGTAGGGTCTGTAAACACATTGATCTCCTTATCGCCTACCGGCTCAAGACCGTGCTTTTCGTCGAGTTCCTTCAATTTCTTCTCTAAGAAATCCAAGTCAATGTCGAACTCCTGACCTGGAGTCTCCTTGACCGCTGTCATCTTTCCCTCGAACCCAGCATCAATGAATGCATAATTGATCAAGAAGTAAGTTGGCAGCACCACAAACGCTTGGACAGTGGTTTCCACGTTGGTTGTCGCCAAAAGAATATTTTGAGAACCATAAGAAGAGCCTCCAGTCAAATTGATCTGGTCAGCATGTAAAGAATTCCTCCCAAACTGGCCGTTTACCCAACGAGCCACACTTTCTCGAGCAGTCAAATTACCGAGATCAGTACCATACTGAAGAGGATGACGGTTATGGGGATCCGATTCGTAGTCAGTATGAGCTGTTTCACTGATAACCTTAGTAAAAGTTTCAGAAAGTTCTTTCTTGGGCAAAAGATCGAGCGTTGGGTGCCCTTTGAAGAAATTGATCTGTTTAGGCATAAAGAAGGAACTGTCAAGGGAAGAACTTATCACCAACCGCGGAATTTGGTGCGGATGCTGTAGGCCAGCAAGGTACAGCAAGGCTTTACCAACTCATGCTTAGCGGGTGAATTAATGGTTTTTAGAGAAAGGTGATGAATTGTTTGAGGTTAGGATTTGGAAATTGGTATTTTGTTAGCTGGTAGACCTTCATTCGATTCCTGGTGGGTGCAGATTGAATGGCTGCAAAATGTCTGTTCATTGGCGGTATCAAATTCTAGTTCTATTCTTTTATTATTTGTATAATCTGTTGTTTGTTGTTAACGTATTCGGGATTGGACTGAAAGTATGGAATAAAATTTAGAAGTGTATTTTAATTTAAGTGTTTGTATCTTTTGACTTAATGTAGTATGGGTATCAGATTTGTGAATATATTGCGAACTGTTCAAGAAGGATACTACTGGCAGACTAGAATTTCCAAGAATAATATACATGAAGAAGTAAACGAAAGTTGGATTACCTCCTTTACATTTTAAAATTACAAGGAGAGAAATTGCCATCCTATTAATTGGAATATCTTGTCGTGGTTTGTGTTGCTAGCAGTTATCTGTTCTCTAACCAAGGCCTCAGATTTGTGATCCTCTGGACCTTCATAAACTCATTGAAAATATAAAGCTACCACACAAATGGCATAAAAGCCCATTATTTAATAAAAATAAAGTATTAAATAGAACACTTCCTTTCGTTTCTGACGCTTTCAGTCGCCTGGTTCAATTCCCCAGACTATGGTGGTGTACAGGTGTCAACTGCCCAATAACCTTCGCACAAAAACTTTTTATAATATAGCTTCACCGTTCTACTGTCGATCAATAAATACATAATATCATGGTGACTGCGGCCGGTGTGATCCTTAGTACCGTTCTTGGTGCTTCCGCAAGAAGGCTCCAAGTTCAGCTTGTGGGCAAGCAATTCGGCAGATCCTGGGACAGAGTGCCAGGCTACGCCTTGTCAATTGGTGCATTCTTTGGAGGTTACTTGATTTGTGACCATTTCGTTGAAAGAAACAGACATTTGTTGAACAGAAGATTGGCTCAGTTACGTGAACAGAGAGCCCAGGTTGACGCCTTCCACGAGTTCGACTTGGAGGGTGACCACAGAATCACCGCACAGAAGAGATCTCGTAAGTTCTTCGAGTTATTCGACAAGTATGGTCAGGACTACAAATAAGCTTAGATTCCTCGTCACATCTCGTCATCACACATTACCTTCACTTTTGTATTCGTATAGTTGCATAACCACTTTAAATATATCGTGGCCCTGAGCTTGTTATATTGTAGTTGTAAGTATAGTACAGTAGCTATTATGGCTTCTAGATTATCCTCAGTCTTCAGCAGCTTCTTCAACGCCGTCAAGCCCGTCATCCTCGTCATCATCTTCATCATCATCCTCGCTGACGTCAGAGTCGTCCCCATCACTGTCGGATGCGGCCATGTCACTGTCGTCTTCGTCGCCTTCTTCAACTCCACCAGTGTAGGTGCCGTCTTCTTCTTCGTCGTCACTATCACCCTCGGCAGCTTCCTGGGGCACTTCCTCAACAACACTGTTTTCTGTGTTTTCTTGCTTCTCACGTAATTTAGTATCAAATGAGTTATCTTGAATCTTCATCCTTCTCACGAAATCATCAATATCCTGGTAAGATTGTTGGTCAATCATACTGAACTCGATAACTTCGTCTTCACCGCCCTGTGGATCAGCAATAGTGACCAACATGTTGAATGTGAATCGAGTGATGTCTTTATATGAGATATCCTTGATCGAGGAGAAAGCTGTGAGAAGAATTGGCTTCTTGAAACCAAAGATCATGAAAGCCCTTTCTTCACTGGTATTGAGAAGCAAAAGACTGCCTTCTTTTGAGCCCTTATACGCGCTAGCAGCCACGAAATCGCAAATCGTGTTTCCCTTTGTCGAAATGGCAATAGCACTATCAGCATTGACTTTCAAAGTATTTTGCATAGGTCTGGCCAAAGGCATAAAGTTATGAAGTTCAATGCCACACAAGCCGAACTGCCTTTGCAAGAAGAAGATAATCTGCTCATTGATCGGCTTTATAGCATCACCTTCATCATCCTCATCACCAACCTGATGCTCAGCATGAGCAGGAATCTTCCCATCTTCAATAAGCTGTTTCTTTATCACATCTAGGTTAATCGTACAGATGATCGGATCATTTTTGTTGTCGAAAGCAGCATGCTCATTAAGCCAAAGACACAACATAGCCGTATCTTTCTTCGTCAGCACGGTAGAATTTCCCAAGATTGGTGCAAGCATACAAAGCTTAACCGCTGATTTGAGACCAGTAAGTGACATCTCAGGCACCTTGCTGGTGAGGTTGACTATGGAAAGCACTGGATGTGGGACATTGTCTGGTGAGATGAGCAAATGGAATAGAAGGTTGTACTTTCTTCTTATTGGGGAAGTGAATGATAAGTTCGATAATTCGAAAATAATCTCCTGAGGATTCACCGGCTGTGTGTATTTCACGTGGTGTGGATTTGGAGGTTTGTCGGCGCCGTTCCCAGCAGAAGGCAATACCTTAGGTTGTTGCTTCCTTGGAGCAGGCGTCTTTCTTTTCTTAGGGCTGGTTAAGTGGTCATGAAGCTCATCAAGTATCTGTTGGCTTGAAGGCTGAGCAGCTACCAAAGCATTAATTTTGGACTGCAAAGTGGCCGGCAAGTCGTTAACCCACGAAGTCATAGTGTGCTACAGCCTTGTTTTCAAGTTACGCGAAGCAAGTAGTAATATAGTGAAGTTCGCATGCTTCCCATAGGATAAGTATGGGACAGACAGACACGAAAAGAGTATCGCTCCAAGAGAAAAACTCTCGCATACTAACGTTGCTACCGAGCTTAGCGTCAGGTCTTCTTCGGCGCCAGAGATACGTAGATAAAATATATGGGTATATAGATGACTTGGTGGGCCAGAATGAGGACAAGAGTCTAGTGGAGCTACGAGAGGCAATTGAGAAGATGGATAAGGAAGGAAGCCTTTGGGATAAAGACGACGTCACGGTTGATCCCAATAAGACGATTCTTTTGACTTATGCTTTTGGCGACATGTACACAAAGGCATTGGCGATGGCTACTAGTGGAAACATACGAGCAGATGTATTGACGGCAAAGCCTGTGGAAGAGGAACAACTCAAAGAGATTGTTGCTGCTTATTTTAACGGAAAACTGGAAAAAGGAACACAGCCTGTGTTTCTTCGAGTCTACAGTGATGTTCAGTCACAAGAAGTGCCCGAGAAAGAAGCAAACCACTGGCTTGAGCTACGGCGTATGCTTGCGGAAGTGGGGCTTCTTCTAGTACTTGAAACAAAGAAGATAGAGGCTTTAACAGAGAAACCAGAGGAAAAGGAAAGAAAGTGGCCGCTGGGACACTCCACAAGCGTGGATCCATACAACTGGTACTGTTCAAGCGACGAGTTCTTGGATAGTTGTGACGGAACCTTCCCTGAAATCCCCATAACCGATATTCTCCAACACTACGAGAAAAACGAAGAAAACGAACTTCTTTTTGACTTTCTCCTCAAACGAAAACCCAAGGTCCATGCGAATGAACTTCCAATTTGCACCCAATTGTTAGCAGTACTTATCGCTGCCTACAACTACGAAAGCGTCCCCATACGAAAAGAACAAATCAGCGAGCCCTGGCAGATCCTCGAAGCCGTCAATATAAGCTAAACTAACTTTCACAAACCAACCAACATAAGTGCATGAGGCAGGGGTACACTTGAGTCAGTCGATGGGCATCCATCAAGCATGGTTATCGCGTGCGATCAGGTGGTGCCCGGAGTACCAGTTTGCCCAAAGATTAACCAAAAGAAAAGAACAAGTATTTTTTTTCCCAAATGATAAGCTTCCAGGAAAAGAACAACTCAACTTTATTCAATTTGCCGTTGCACAGGATTCACCCAAAAAAATGTGCTGAAGTTTCCTTTCCCTTCCCTTCCCTTCCTGCTCATTTGCCTGTCATGGACTAGTCCCGGTGGCCTCGGGCCCACTCGCGACCAACACTATTTTGATCGTGTGAAGACCAAAAAAGTTTGCTGCCAAAGCCCTGAGTCAGCCTGTGAAGTAGTGTAAGGGAATGGAAGATGGAGGGTGGATAAATCAGAAGTGTCTAAGTATGATGGCCATCTTTTTCTATATATTTTTCTAACTTTTGTGCCTGTTCCTGGCGTGGTTATTTTTCGTAAGTCCTGTCTATGTACTCATTCTTTCAGGTTTTTTTTTTTTCGATAATTTTTTTTTTTTTTTTCTGTTCGTTCAACCTATTCCGCTAAGCTTTCTCAACGAAATATCTTCTGCAACACCTTCCACCCCCTTCGACTTCCCTACTCCATCAAACCACACCACCTGTTTAGGCGTACCATAATTTATATTTTTTCTTTGTCCCGGTCCCAAACATCATCCATAGACCATTTTTTTGAAGTCGTTTGAATCACTAGTCCCCACCACTTGACACTTTTGCATTTTTACCCATTGGCGTTTAGCACACTTTCCATTGTCAGCTTAAAGTCCATTTTTCATCATCACCTTCCCACCGTCGTCGTCTCGGTCCTTTTAATGAAGCAATAACTGGACCCCAAGCATCTTAATTTTTTTTTTTGTCGAAAGCCTTGTTCTGTTAGTTTTCTGTTACCAGCATTTATAATCGTCCTCCTGAAAAATGTCCACATCCAAGGTCACCACGCCGTCAGCATCCAAATCGTCGAACTCAGGCAACACCAAAGAAGGTGGCTCCTCGGCCCCTCGCCAAAGCCGTTTCAGAGGTGATGTGCCCGCTTTTAATCCCACTGGCCAGTCTCCCTTCGTGTTGGCCCAACAGTTCCAGAATCCTCCATTCCCTCAACAGCCACAACCTTACCAACATCCACAAATGATGTATGGAGGCCAAGTGCCGGGAGGATACATGCAATACATGGGCTACCCTGAGTATATGATGGGATATCCTTACTTCACCATGCCTTCAGCGCCATTCCCACAGCCATATATGGCTCCGCATATGAATAACATGAACAACTACATGCCTCCAAACAGCAAACAGAAAAAGTTTTCCAAGGGCCACAATGCATACAACAACACTAATAGTCATAATAATCACCAAAGTCATTTCAATGAAGGCGCTCATGGAGAGCCTTACGGCCCACCTCCACATGCAAAGTTCAATCAGTCATACTCATCTCGCTCAGAGTCTCCTAGCACAGTTCCATATACCTCCCAACAGACGCCCGAGTCGAGCAATGCTACTACGCTACCCGAGGAAACGCCACCAACAACACAGCAGGATATTGATAGAGAGGCTAAGGATTCTCCCGAGCCTGTGGCCCCAGCATCCCAACCAGTAGCCGAAACTCCCGTGGCTGCTACCGAAGAAGATCAAGAAGTCCAGGTTGCTCCAGAGGAACCTAAAGCTGCACCAGAAGAACAGCCAAAACTCGGCTCCTTGCCGCTTCTATTCAGCACGTCTCTCGACGAATACTCTACTTCGAGATCACAAGATGCTAGCAACAAACAGAAACTTCTAGCATCGAAGCACAGCCGTGTCCAAAAATACGTCCAGCTGCAAAAGACGTCTTCTGGCGCCATCGCTAATCCAATCATCAACAAGAATGGCACCCGCAATGTTGTTGACCATTCAAGTGGAAAGACCGTTAACGAACTTATATACCCGGCTGAAAAGTCCACTTCTGATGCATCCAACGCTTCTAACGACCCCAATGCTCCTAATGATAACGACCTGAATGACAATACCTCGACAACAAGACCTTCAAACTGGGCTGCTATTCTACAGACTACTGCCACCAAGAAGGCTCCCAAGAAGACTACAGCAACATCAAAGAGTTCACAAGCTCCTATTGAAAGCAAGTCTGCTTCACCAGCTCCCGCATCTATTACTGACGGGCCACAATCCCTAGGCTTGTTGCTGTTGAAGATGTTGTTTGACCCAGAGTTCTCCTTCAGTTCATTGCCCTCATACTCCATTAATCCAAGAGGGTTGACAAACACAGGTAATATTTGTTACATGAATGCCGTGCTTCAGTGTCTTATGTTTTGTGAGCCTTTCAATAAACTTATTCGCCACGTTGATGAGAAGGCTGTTGGCACTCTCGACAAGAAATCGCTGCAGCCAATCGTTGATGCTACAATTCATTTCATCAAGGACTTTTTGAAGGTGGCTGCACCAAATGGAGCAAATGGAAGTAACGGCACTCTTAACAGCCAAGGTATTGTTGTTGGCCGCCCACTTTCTCCTGAGGTACTTTATCAAAGACTTGTTGAAAACACGAAGTTCAGACATCTTAAGTGGGGTCAGCAGGAAGACGCTGAAGAGTTCTTGACCTATTTCTTGGACGGTCTCCACGAAGATTTCGTCAAAGCTGAGGCTGACGTTGCATCTGCACAGATTGACGAGCTTGTTAGCTTGTGTCAGCTGAAGTTTAACGACAGCACGAGTAAGCAGAATGTCAAGAGCAAGATCAAGACAGCCTACCGTGTAACCAAGCAGTTGGTCAACCAAGGTGAAGAGGTTGAAGCACTGGATGAAGAGGAAGAAGCAAATGGATGGTCAGAGGTCGGCAGCGGGAAACGGGTTTCCAAAAAGAGGGTTGTCGATGTTGAACCATCACCGATCACCCTGATTTTTGGCGGCAGGTTCCGTAGTGTCTTGACTATCCCTAAGGGCAAAGAGTCACAGTCCATCACAGTTGATCCTTTCAGATGTATGCTGGTTGACATCTCGCAAAAGGATGTTTCTACCATTGAAGATGCCTTGTGGAGTCTGCACCAGATTGAGAAAATCCCATTCAAGATTGACGCTGAGCGGGAGGTGACGGCCAAAAAGCAAACATTTATTGACCAGCTCCCCGAAGTTTTACTCCTTCAACTTAAGAGATTTGCATATCAGCAAGAGCCCGAGAGCCAGAATTTTAGCAGAGAGGGGTCGACAGAACCTAACGGAAAGGATGCTGTCAGCTATGGTACGATAGAAAAAGTCATGAAGGATGTCAAGTTTGGCTTGGACTTGGAAATTCCCCCAGAATGTCTTTCTACCACGCTTCGGGCAGCTGACCCTAAACCAACCTATAAGCTCGTCGGTGTCATTTACCACCACGGCCGTAACGCTGAAGGCGGGCATTACACCTGTGATGTTTTCCGGAACGGCATGGCCGAATCCAGCAGCGTCGGCGACAAGAAATGGTTGCGTATTGACGACACCTCCGTGGAAGCAATCAGCTCCGATGCGGTCGTGGAAACGCCCGAGGCAAACGACAAGAGTGCTTACATTTTGATGTACCAAAGAATTTAGTCAAGAGCACACGGGGCGAAAGAATAATGCTGCCTGAGCAAAATAGAGTAAATAAACCAAACAGCACAAAGAGAAAACAGCAACAAGATAAAAATAAAGTAAAAAAAGAAATAGCCGGCGTAGCTATTAAAAGCAAAAAAGGAACACAATCCTCGAGCCCCTAGCAGAGAAAAAAAAAAAAAAAAGGTGGTAAACCACAGTTGAAATATTGATAACGCCAGGAGAGGTGCATTGCGAGTCAGCCACACCAAAATACGACTGGGTTGCGCATATTCCTCACAAAAAGATAAGAAAGGCTGGCAGGGTACCGAATTCGAACAAGCCAGGGCTCCAACATCCCATAGTAGAAGTTTAAATATTACCCTCCCAGCATGTTTACCTTTTCCCGGGTCCGTGCCTTCGAGCTGCAAACCCGTCTAAAAGTGTGAGACATTATGAGTAAAGTAGGACCACTGTGGCTGACAGGCTTCTGCACAGTTTGACAAGGTGATGCAGGGCGCCGTGGAATGGGTTAAATCAACAACCCAACCACTGGCCAGTCTAATTCCGGAAAGGGAATTCCCAAAAGGAAAACTGAGGCTAACTATTGTAGAATGACGAATTTTGGTAGGATGCGGGCCGTGGGGGTGGTGGATAATTTTGTATAAAAAGATGCATGGGAGGAGAGACTTTTTCTCTTCCTTTTTTTTGCAACCACTTTTTCAACCAGTCCATTCGCTATGCAACTTACTAACATCGCTGCCGCCGCTGCCATTGCTGGTGTCGCCGCCGCCCACAACATCACCGTCACCACCAACGTTGTTGTCACTGACTACACCACTTACTGCCCTGAGCCAACTCATGTGGTTGTTAACAACAAGACCATCACTGTCACCGAGGCCACCACCTTGACTGTCACTGGCCCTTGTACCATTCCAACCACTTTCATCCAGGAGAAGCCAACCACTACTCCAGGTGAGCCAGAGCAGCCAAGCAAGACCCACCCAGGTAAGCCAACCACTGTTGCCGGTGAGCCAACTCCAGGTCCAGGTAAGCCAACTGAGGGTCCAGGTAAGCCAACTGAAGGTCCAGGTAAGCCAACCACCGTCGCTGGTGAGTCAACCCCAGGTCCTTCTCACGGTGAGGAGGGCACCTCTACCACCGTCGTCAACGTTTCCACTTTCGTGAACGGCGCTGGTAAGGTTGCTGCCGGTGCTGCTGCCGGTTTCGCCGCTATCGCTGCTGCTCTTGTTTAAGAAGCCTCTGTTTCTTCTTCGGTTGCATAATTGTCTTTAGCTGTTTGTCAACGACACTCTCTACATTCTTTTTTGTGGCCACCGGCTGCTGTACTATTCTTTCGCTAATAACATTAATGGAATTTCTTTCACCTTCGTTACTTGTGTAGTGCAGCCATGGTTTACTTGGGGAAATCCTTCTGTGCTCTTACCACCGGGGTATATGGATGAATAACGATATTGTCAAAGTCCCAGACTCCTTCCTTAGCGTAGACATCTTGTTTCAAAAAATCAATAATGTCTGACTTCTTTTCAGCGGCAATTGTAAACGCTGACCCAGCAAACTGTGTTCTCTCGTCGTCTTTAAACACTGGTCCAGCACTGGTAACGGTTCCGTTCTCGAACAGTTTAGGAATTGCCTGGAAATGCGTAGGTCTAAACTTAAGCCTCTGGTTGATAGGCTTATCGTAGATGATCACAAGCCACTCGAGCTTCTTCAATGCCTTACTCATGGAAGCAAAAGTAGTATTTAGTGGGGGAGATTTCATTTTTCGTAGGTGCGACGAATTTGATCCTCTCCACACTTCATACTACTAGAGGAACAACTCCCCTATATGTCAAATCATTTTGAAGATCAATTTAGAGAAGAAGAGTAGGAGAATTGGAACAACAAGTTCTTTTTGGCTTCTGGAAACTCTATATTTCCTCTATAGCCACCTTCATTATCTTCCTCTAAGCCTTACACTGCATGCTATTACGAATTTTTCAAAAAATACCAAACCTGTCAAATAGGACGTCTAATAGTCGTCTTCTGCATAATCTAGCCCTCTTTTGTGACTTTGTGGTGTTTGGTGGTGGTGCCTTGATTGCTTATCCAACGCTCTATAAGTCTGTAGCTTTTCGCAGTATTTTCTTCTCACACTAACCAAGATGCTTGCTGGAAGACGTGCTATAGTCACTGGAGCCTCTAGAGGCATTGGATTGAGTATCTCCAAGTCGCTAGCTGAATTGGGTGCTTCGGTTACTTTGCTAGCCAGAGACTCGGACGCTTTGTATGATAACATCAGGAACTTGGCCAAACCTGAGAACCAGGAACATAAGTTCGTTTCTTATAACCTTTTGGACTTGGCTCGTGGCAAGGAACCTGAAAACCATGGATTTTTGATTGAAGCTTTGAATGAATCGTCTATTCTTGTCAATTGCGCTGGCACGACCACTAATACCCTTTTGGCTAGAGCCCCTGAGCTGACAATAGTTGATACCCTAGGCACTAACCTTGTTGCACCAGTTATACTTAGCAAGTTGGCCATCAAACCATTTACGAAGATCGCTAAACTGCAAGAACAGAAACCTGTCATTGTCAATGTCTCCTCGGTGCTTTCATTCACTGGACTTACCAGTCCAGGCACTACAGTGTACGCAGCCCTGAAAGCTGGTCTTTTAGGCTTCACCAAATCGCTTGCTGACGAGTTGAGAGGGACTATTCGTGTCAATTCAGTGTTGCCAGCGTTGGTCAAGGAGACTGATATGGGTAAGAAAGCTCCAGCAGGTAACAACTTTCCTGTTATTCAGATGGAGGATGCGGTCAATAATACCATAGAGCTCATTACGGACGAGTCCTTGAACGGACAATTACTAATTGCTGACGGAAAGGGCCACCGTTTCTTAGAACCTGCTTCGTAGAAGCCTATATATTTATTAGAGATCGTATAGCTCCCATGCAACATGATCAATATCCATGTCTCCCAACACCAGGTCTTCACTGAAGAAGTGCTTGAATAGTGACTTAGACATTCGGAATCCCTCAGGATCATCAAGATCACGTAACCAAACCAAGAAATCGACAACCTCCGTGTACTCACAGTTATGTCCCATGAGTTGTGCTAGTGGTCGACTCACATCGGAGACTTTGGCACCGCCAATATCGTAAAGCTCTGGTCTATCTAGGTAATAGGATTTCAACACCACAGTATTCGTATGTAGTTCTTGTGTACGATGTACAATGGACTCAAAGTCATTAAGGGCACCTCTAGCGGCGCTGCCATTCAGACGTTCCACCACACCATGCAAATACTGAATTACTCGAGCACAGTGGCGCATCATATAGCTCAACACATCCTCTAGAGCTTTAAATGCTTCCTCGTTTCCTCCATCGAAAGAGTTGAAAACACAATCACTGCTCAAAGAAAGCCAGACTCGAATGAGTTGAGAAAAGTCATTCAACGAAGCTTTTAAAACCAAAATTGAATCTGACGAAGTGGATGCCCCATCCAAGCTTTTCTTGAATAGACTTATTACTTGGGCCAAAATAGATGTCAAAATGAACGTATTATGAGGGTGTTCAGCGTTTCTCTGTAGTGTATGATAAATGTGCTGTAGGTCTATTCCATCAGTGAGAAAAAGACGGTCTGTTTTTGCAAGCACATCAAGGAAAATGCAATCATATGGCTGATATCGAGGAGAGCTGGAATGAATAGATGTAAGCTTGCAGAGTTCACATAGCTTCCTCCAGTAGCCTATATTGTGGAAGAGCCAAAATACCGGGAGACTAGGGTCATGTTGTACAACTTCCGTCGTCAATTCAGCCACTGCCCGTTGATCTGTATCAACAGACAGAAACACAAAGTATTCGTAAAGTAACGTCCTCAGAAGCGTATGAAGCTCGTTGCTTTCTTGCTCTTGGAGCCAATGTATAAGAACAGGCAAAAGACAGTAAAATACCGTTCGCAGGTTGAAAATCAATAAGTGTATAAGGTAACCATATAGCAAGTCTTTACGGTGAGCCTCGATCACGTACTCCGGTTCCATCGTGAGCCAGTCGTCAATGTCATCAGAGAGTTCATCGTGATACTTCTGTAAATACTTCGGTAGGGTGTCAGCATCAAACAAGGCAGTCTGACTTAACCTATAATGAGAGCTTTTTGTTCCCAAAGTGATACACTTGCCAACCTTTAGCGAAGACAAGGTCGAAAGTTTAGGAATCTTTCCGGTATCAGGAGAGTTTTGCAGCCAGGCAAGAATAATGTTCTTAAAGATAACGAAGATCTCTTTATAAGCCTGATGAAGCTCAGGACTAAGGTATGGTTTCAACGACTGTAGGCGGTCCGTAGAATTGGCAGGACTAATAAAGTGTAACGAGCGACCATGATTCTTTTGAACTATATCAAAGCTTTCAATGTCTAGGTCAAATTTTGTAGGATGTTTGATGTAAAGATCAGTAAGAGTAGCGATCTTAGATATCAACGGTCGAATGATCCGTTTGCATCTCAGGATGCTCAAAGATTCAGTAGAAGACGACTTCTTGGCCATGAGACATTAATGAATGAATCGTATACAGCTATGATAGCATGGAATGCATGGATATATGGGTCTGTTGATATCCAGCTTTACTGTTTGGTACCTGATCTATAGCGCGACTCATGTACACCTAGATACGTGAGACTGGCTGAGTCCAACCTACTACTTCTTCATGATTCATCAATTGACGTGGGCTACGTTGATAGCCATTGCTGCCACTAAAGGCATCATAGGAGTTTCTCCAGAAAACCAGCATTTGTATCAGCCAAACTCCAATGGGAAGTGGGCCTGTCTTCTGGATCCATCCATAGAGTTGAACCTTGAACAGATCAACGATGATATATGTGACTGTCCAGATGGTTCTGATGAGCCAGGAACTGCTGCATGCTCCTCAATTAGAAGCAAAGAAGGCTTTTATTGTTCAAATGAAGGTTACTTCCCTGGCTACATTCAGAATTTCAAAGTCAATGACGGGGTCTGCGACTATGAGGTCTGTTGCGACGGTTCTGACGAGTGGGCGACTGGAAAGTGTCCAAATAAGTGTGATGTTGTCAAGAAGCAGTTTGACGAGTACGTTGCTGAAACGAGGGCAGAGCTTGGTCGAGGATTACGTACCCGTGAGGAGTTTGTGAAGAAGGCTGAACGTGCCAAATCAGTTGTGGCCCAGAAATTGGAAAAGATCCAGGAAGAAATTGCAGCTATCGAGGCCCAAATCAAGAATGAAAACGATAAGCTTTCAAGGGCCAAGAATGTTGCCGAGCTGGACTCCAACGAAGAAAGCTACACCAAGGAACTCTCAGATTTGACTTCCCAGCTCCTGGATTATATCAAGAACTCAGTCACGTCTGAAGAAAAGAGCAAGTCGACCATCTCAAAGCTTGAGGGCCTTTTGAATGATTTGGTTGAAAAGTACAACTCAAATGACGATGGCTCAAGCGTGAAGCAGTGCATCAATCAATTCAAAGAATACCTCACCGGTAAGCAAGAAGAGGAAAAGAGATCCGAGTTTTCCATTGACCTGTTTGTCGAGAAAATAAAGGGGCTCAAGCCATCCAACTTGTTACCTAACCAGAACATCATTTCTGTTGAACCTACTTTTGACAACATGTTGCATCACTACTACCTGAAGTTTTTGAATACTTTCAAGCCTAAATCAGAGGAAGAAGAAGTCAAACAAGACAAACCGAAAGCAAATGTCTCGAACCGTCAGATTGTTGCTATCGAAAAGACTATCGCTAAGTTAGAGAAAGATCTCCACTCTAAAAAGTCCGAGGCATCAATTTACGAGGACAACGTGCAGAAACAATTCGGCAAGGATGACATCTTCAGAGCTGTGGAAGGAGATTGGGTCAGTCGCCAAATTGGCGAGTACAACTACAAGATTGGTTACCTAGACTCGATTTATCAAGACAATACTCTAGTTGGTCGTCTAACTGGAATAAAGGGTTCTACATTGCATTTCGAGCACGGCGTGAAATGCTGGAATGGTCCCCATAGATCAGCGTACGTGGACTTGGTTTGTTCAGCTGATACGAGGTTGGTTTCTGTCACTGAACCTGAAAAATGCCAGTACAGGTTCTTGTTGGAAACACCAATTGCTTGTGAGGCCAAGAGCGACGATGAGATCGCAAAGGAATTTAAGGTTGACCCTTCTAATCTTTAGGATTTTTTCAATCAAATGTGATCTTTTTACCTGTGAATTTAACTGCCTTCATCTTCTCATCAGCGACCTTCTTAGCTTCCCAAGAAGGATGCATCTTTTGTGCGGCAGCGCTAGGCTTCTTCTCTTCCTTACCCGCAACCTTGTTGGCTTCTTCAGCCTCCCTAGCGAGTCTAGCCTTCATGTCTCTCTTTCTTTGTCTCTCCTCGAATTCCTGTTGTCTCTGCTCTCTCTCATTGAGGAGACGCTCCTTCTCCTTCTGAACGTGGTTGGCCTTCTTACCATACTTCTGCTCCCAAATCTTTTGTCTGGCACGCTGACCTCTTCTGTTCTTTCTGGTTGTCGTGGCTTCCTTCACAACCTTATCATTATCCACTTCATCTTCGTCATCGGAACCACCAGAGAAATAGCCAGTAGCCAAAGAAGGTAGCTTATGTTTTTCCTTCTCTTTCTTCTCCATTTCTTTTCTCTCTTTCTTTTCCTGTTTCTCCTTCTTCTTCAACTCCTTCAACTTCTTCTTCTGTGCTTTCTCATCTAACTCTTCCGCGTCGGAGTCCTCGTCAGAGGGTTCTTCATCCGTGACCTCGTTGTAGTTCACGTTTGGATCGACCTGGAATTCAGCCTCATCATCTGAACCGGCCACCAAGTTATCGTATGCAGCGTATTTCTCAAATGCATCCTCAGCATCAATATCTTCATCTTCTGAACCGCTCACTCCAGCTTCCTCCAGTTCACTAGCAGCGTCACTAGCTGAGCTGTCCTCAGACTCGCTATCGCTGTCACTGTCGCTATCACTGTCACTATCACTGCTGTCACTTTCACTATCGCTTTCGTTGGCATCAGTCTTGTCACCAGTCTTCTTTCCTGTAACAGCAGACCTGATGTTCTTCTCGTCCACAGTCAAGTCTCCTCTGACCTTTCTGAAAGACCAGTCGATTTCGTCTATGAGTTTCTTCATATCCTTGGAATTCCACAATTTGGAAATGTAGCCATTCACGAGTTTATCATTTTGGCAGTGGTTAATGAAGAACCTGGAAGGGTTAGATGGATTAGCTTTATTAGTTACCTTCTCCCTAAGATCTTCAGGTAGATATGTTGGAGGAGAAGTCTTATGATCTTTAGACAAAAGAACAGCTGAAATGAAGATTTTGACTAGCTTGGCTTCCACCATCTGTTTCGTAGCTTCTTCAGAATCAAGAAGCTTCATGAGGGATCCATGAGTATCCTTCTTCCACGATCTCAGGTCAGTCTTCATCTTCTTCAAGACTTCACGATGCAATTTAACAAATGATCCATAGAACTTCTTCTCGAACAAGTCGTGTTTAAAGGCATGGATCTGGGAGTGGGCTTCCTCCCTTGTCTGGGGTAGCTTCTTCATGAGCTTAGCATTGTTTCTAGCGTTTAAAAGTTTCTTTGTTGTTTGCAACCGAGGCGTTATCTTGAAGAACTTTGCTTCTATAAGGTCAAGCTTCCAAAGCTCGTTCTTATTTTGTTTCATGGCGTGGTGCTGCTTTTACTGGCGATGAGTAGGAGATGAGCATCGAAGTATGTTTTTCGCACCCATCCAGGATGGACCTGGAGAAGCCGTACACTGATGGCAGTGGAGAAGAACGAAGGTTATACGAAGAGGTAATCGTTGAATTATATATATTTTCGGATTTACAGGAATGTAGTGTATTTTTCTTTTTCTTTTTATTTCACTTTCTGTATTATCCTCATTACCCAAACTCGACTCACAACCCAGTTCTGCTTCTTCCCACTATTTATCTCAAATGCTGCGAAATATTTCAACTACACTAACTATGAGTCCGACAGAGATCGCTGAAGGACAAACCCTTAAACGTCAGAAAAGGGTAAGAAAAGAAAAGAAGGTGTCTCCCAACAGATGTGAATTCTATATTGAACAAAAGAGGCGCCAGTGTGCCATGCAAAGGAAGAAGGGCCATAGGTTCTGTTCAGAGCATATGATCCATGATGAGTCTTCGGCAGCTCTGGAGGTCAAGGGAGAGAGAGTGCCGTGTCCGTTAGATCCAAAGCATACGGTGTGGCTTCAGGATTTGGACCAGCACCTTAAGAAGTGTAACGCTAAGCCAAAGGACCACCATGATTCATGGTACGTGAAGAACTTCAATACGAAGTATGGGGAGGACGATAAGGTGACGAAAGAAGAGACGAAACCACCTGGACCAGCTGACTTTGAGAAGCTTACTTCTATTATTAAGGCATACCAAGCTAACCGTGAGCCTCTTAAGCATAAAGAAAGTTCTCACTCTGGTCTTGATTCATGGCTAGAAGAGAAGGAGAACCAGAAACACATTCTACAACAACTGTCTTTGGTGGGAAATATGAAAGAGAATGGTCTTCTATCTACATCAGCAACTTATATCGAGTTTGGGTGTGGAAAAGCTGAATTATCGAGAGCTGTCAATGCCTGTAATCTTCATGATGATACTGATCTCAAAGAAACCTACGGGTTTGGTTTGATCGATCGAGGAACTAACAGAATGAAGATGGATAGTAAGATCATTAAGGATTGCCAGGATAAAGAGACCAAGCTTTTGCCCAAGATCAAGCGCTCCAGGATAGACATTGAGCATCTTCAACTAGACAATTTCCTTGAGAGCGAAAAGCCAGACCAAATTGTTTGCATATCTAAGCATCTTTGTGGTGTGGCAACAGATTTGACCCTAAAACTGCTTCTCCACTCATCGCTTCTCCTGGATGGGAAGTTTCACGGTCTTCTAGTGGCTATGTGCTGCCGCCATGTTTGTCATTACAGCCAATTGCTTCCAGAATCAAGGAACTACTTGACTCAGCATGGTGTCACTAACGAGCAGGACTTTGTGACGCTCAGAAGAATGGTAACTTGGGCAGTTTGTGGAAACAGAGGAGAGACCACCACTGCTCACGAAAGTGGATTATTATCTAGCGAAAGAGAAGAATTGGGGTTGGCAGCTAGAAGAATGATAGACGAGAGCAGAGTTCACGCTGCTCAGAAAGCCATGCCCCAATATAATGTCGAGCTCTTCAAGTACACCGATAAGTCGATTACCTTGGAGAACTCGTGCATCTGCATTACAAAAAAGCACTGAATTTTGCTTTTCCACCAATTATTATATTTGCTAATTAAACAGTCGAAGAAAACAAGTGTACTTAGATCTTGGTCTCCTTGACACCGTGCTTCCAGACAGCAACGAAAGGAGTGGTACCGTCCTCACGGTAGTTCAACAAGACGATCATGGCGTCTGGGTCCATGGACTCACCAGTGAAGAACTCCCAGTCCTTGAAAGAGCCAATGACCTTCTTGACGTAAGCCTGAGCACCCTTCTCGAAGACCTCAACCTGGTCTGGGCTGTTCTCGGACAAGTGAGCCTTGATCTGCTTCATGTAGCCCTTGATGTAAGTCAAGAAAGACTTCTTGTCAAAAGAGGTCTGCTGCAATCTGAAGGAGTGGACAATGTTGTTGACGGTCTCGACACCTTCCTCAACGTCGTCAGCACCACCCTCAGCGGAAGGGTTGGCACCAATGTCAACGTCACCACCGTTCTTGATCTGGACCAAGGCACACTCGGCCTCCAAAACGACACCATCAACTTCCTTGATGTCGTAGGCGTCGGACAACAACTCGTCGTTGGAGATAACGTCAGTGAAAATCTTCATTTTTGCAAACTTTGGGTTTCTGTAGGCTGAAATGCACTGGAAATGCGGTAGTTATATAGTCGTGGAAAATTTTCAGGCATAATCGCGGCCACGTGAGATGGTAGGGTTACCCGGCTACTGACTAAGGAGACGATTACCTTGGCTTAGCCCGAGGTTATGCCTCACGGAATTCTGAGATCAGCACGGAAGAGCATCAGACATAAAAATTAGATTTCAATTCTTCTTTGTTTTCTATTAATGGGCATCATGAATAGAAGCCGCCAGGGTGGCATCGTATCTTATACGCACGCAGAGATGCCCCATCTCTGTAAGACGCAGGCGGGGCGCACCTTTTTCGCAGCCAAAGAAGCCAGGCTATTCAGCATAACCTTATGCGAATTCGCCAGCAAAGGCCCTGCCTATCCAGCTTTTGATTCGGTCAAAGACAACGTTGTTTCCGTTATGGTATCTGATCGAATGGTCAGAGTCAGGGAACACCATGAAGTCAAAGTTCTCGACTCCGGCCAAGTTGAAGTCATCAATGAGACTAAGACTGTTTTGGAAATGCACATTATCGTCACCAGAACCGTGCATCACCAAGAATCTGTTCACATCCTTGAAATTGGAGACATTGAAAATGCTTGCACTTTCGTAGCCCGATGGGTTCTCTTGAGGCGTCCTCAAGTATCTCTCTGTGTAGATCGAATCGTAAAGTCTCCATTTAGTAACTGGAGCGACTGAAACACCATAGGAGAAAACATGGTCGGTGTGATCAGTTTCCAATGTCTTCAATGTCAAGAATCCTCCGTAAGACCAGCCCCAGATAGCGATTCTGTTTGCATCAACATAAGATTTCTTTGCCCAGATCGAGGCAGCAGCAATCTGGTCAATTGGTTCGTAGTGTCCCAAACGGTCACGAACGATGAACTTAAACTTTGAGCCCAATTTTTCATCGTTATTATTGAAGCCTGTACCTCTGCCGTCCACTGTGACAACGACGGCATCGAGCTCGGAAGCAATTGCCTCGCTAAAGCCAACCTCGAAAACCTTGGTAACAGTCTGAGAGCCTGGTCCACCGTAAACGAAGAACAAAACAGGATACTTTTTGTTTGGGTTGAAGTTACGAGGCTTGGTCTCCTTAGCGTTGGCCAAGATATCTCCACCGGTCGTTTCGTCCTTACCCAAGTTCACAATGAAGCGCTCGGTTTGTGGAATATCATACTCATCAAGAGTTTTGGCAAGTTCGTCGTTACTCTCAATTTCTTGCACAATCTCCTGAGTATGCAAGTCCACAAGATGCTGGTAAGGAACATAAGGACCCTGATAAGAAAGCAATGCAAATCTGGCGCCCGAAGAGAACGATGCACCATACCAACCTTCAGCACTAGTATCGGTGATGTTTTTGTACTGAACAGAGTCATCCAGTTTAATCGCATCCAAAAGGCTGAGGGAATAGTAATGTCTTTCAACTGACGACTTCTCAGTGGCTTGGAAGTAGATCTCATTTGTCAGGAAGTCAAACTTGTTCTCCAAAACTTCCCAGCGGCCCTTTGTAAGGAGCTTTCCTTTAGGGTTCTCCGGTGGGGAGAAGTAGGCCAAGTGGTTGTAACCTTCATGTACAACAAGATCGATGTAACCATCATGAGGAATGCCAGCAGACTCATTACGAGGAATGTAAATAGCGTTTGAGGTGACCTCGAACCAAGATTGTTCCGCATGGTGCTTTCTTACCAACTTGCCTTCGGCTCCATCATCAGTGGAAACCAAGAAGACTTCCATCTTATCACTGGCTCTGTTCGTAGTTCTCACTAAAAGATAATCATCGGAGACCCACAACACTTCAGTGATGAGCTTATCATCGAAAGAAGTATTAAGCTTAGCAATGTGAACATTCTGATTCTTCAGTTCGGTGTCATAGAGAACCAAGTCTACCTTTGGGTTAGAATAGCCAGGCTTTGGGTACTTGATGGACACCAACTCAGGATAATCCTCATGACCCTCTTGAACATAGTATGGGATAGGGAAGTCTGGTACTTCCGTATCGTTGAACTTTAAGAAGCCGATTTTATCACCTTGTGGAGACCACCACAAAACGATGTCAGAGGCAAAAACCTCCTCTTCGTAAACCCAATCAGGTTTACCGTAAAAAGTCTTCTCATCTCCATCATGGGTAATTTGTGAAATTTCACCAGAACTGAGGTCCTTGACATACACATTGTTCTCGAAGATGAATGCAATCTTGTCAGAAGTAGGAGCCCACGAAGTAACGGCCACCAAGTCGTTGGTGTTAAACAACGGGCTAATAGACTGAGTCTTGACATCCAAAACCCAGTAAATCGCAAAAGATGAGTGTCTCCAGTTCTTTTTAGTGTCTGTCTTTAAAATAGCCTTCGTAAGGTCAGGGGAGGCCACCAATGAGTCTATATCATAAGTCTCCTCTTCATATTCAAAAGAGCTGCCCTGGTGAAGCACATAATGATAATCCTTATCAAGAATGCTCTTGACAACGTACGTCGTCTGCTCATCTTCCTTATCCTCAAGCAAGTACGTGCCCTGGTCATGAGTAGCAGACTCTGGAGCCCTAATCCACTGCAAATTCTTGAATTGTGGACGGAACTTACCCTCACGAATAGCTTCTAGGCTAAGAGGAGTCTTACCATCGTCCTGTGGATAGCTATGGGAGTGCTCTTTAGTGAGAAGAGGCGGTGAGTCGTAAATGTTCGAACCCTTGTAAGTCTGCCCCAATGAAGCACTATTATGCGTTGTAAAGTTGTCCACGGCATTTATCAAGAACCCAGAACCCCAAACGATGGCGGCTATTAACGAAAGAATGAAAGCCAACGTTCTGGTGTTCCGCTCTCTTTTCTGCTTGACGTGCTCCTCGTGGTATGGAGATTTCTCCAGTATGAAGTATGCCTTCTCAGCTGTTTCCGAAGACATGTTCAGTGTGAATTAGTGAATGTAAATGTAGTATTAAAACAGGTGTCGTTGAAGTGAATGAGTAAATGCAATAAGGAAGAAATGACTATAGATGGGAACGCATTTAGAAGCCTCGCGGTATGGAATTGAATGAAAAGTGTATAAACCTGCATATAGACAGACCGCACGGCACCAAATTTAAATTTGACCTCGTAGGTCGCCTACATGCAACAGAAAAAAACCTACAGAGTGGCTTGCTCGTTGTTTACAAACGTGACGTCATCCTACAAGTGGCTGCGAATAAGTAATACCCAGGGATCTCTATTAAAAGTAGTCAAACTGTAACCGTACAAAGTTAATAATGCAAAAGGAAGAAATAATTGGAAAACGTTTTTTTCGAAAGGAAAATAAAAGGCTGGAAGTTTTGTGGGTCATAAAAATTATGTGAAAGAAGACTACGCTAGTCTTCTCTCGTCGTCATCAGTGTACGTCACAGGGGTAGTAACAATCTCGCTCAACACTTCGGTGCTAAATTCAGTGATGATTTGACGTAAGTTGGTTCTCTTGATCGGCTTGGATAAGAAGCCAGACATACCGGAGCTCAAACACTCCTTTACGTTACTCTCATCTGCAAAAGCTGTAAGTGCGATAATAGGTTTACGGAACTTGAGGTTGTTCCTGATAAGCTTGGTGGCGGTTAAACCATCCATCTTAGGCATTTGGACATCCATGAAAATGATGTTGAAAGACTCGCCGGTGTCGTACGAGTTTTTGATGCAGTCAACAGCTTCAAGACCATTACTGGCCATGGTAACATTATGGAATCCTTCAAGACGAAGCATTCTTCGGATAACTTCTTGATTAACAGAATTATCTTCGGCAACCAAGATTCTGAGATGTGACATGTCATCAAGGAAACTAATTCCACTCTTGCTGTGCTCAGCCGTACCGGTGGAGGAAAGATGGCTGTTATGTCTCTGAGGAAGCTTGATGTGTAAGCTGCGCTTCAGAGGAGAAGTAGGATTCGAAGGTGGTCCGTTTCCATTAGCTGAAGGTTTCTCTTCGACAGCAGGTGTCTCTTGTACTTTTGGAATGCTAACGGGTTCCTCCTTGGGTTCAACTTCCTCATCAAACTCGAATGCTACCTTCTTGTTCACCTTGGAATCTGGGTTGAACACATCATTGCTGAACTCTTCCATCTCGTAATCTGGAACAACAATCTCACCATTTTGGGGCAAGGGGACGGTGAAGGTAAAAGTAGAACCCTGGCCAAGAGTTGATTTCAAAGTCAAAGTACCCTTCATCATTCTCGCCAATTGACGACAGATAGACAAACCGAGACCAGTACCACCGTAGCTTCGTGAGAGTGTCTGGTCACCCTGAATGAATGGCTCAAACACCTTTTCTTGCAAAGCTGGTTCGATACCAGAACCAGTATCCTTGACTTCAATCTGAAGAACCCATGATCTTGGAATGTAAAGCTTTCTCATTCTGTAAATCTTGTCATTCTTCACCAACTCGCTATTCGAAATGAAACCATTAAGAGATGGCCGCTCCAGAGGCCTGCGGCTTGTATTGGGCCTCTTTTCATCAGTGGTAGGTTTGGCATCCTCATAATTATCATTAGATGGTAAACTAGAAGTCTCGTTATGGTCATCTCTGTTACCGGTACCCTCAGTAGATGTCAGCTTCTCGAGTTCAACTGTAGCGTTGGCATTTTCAGATTTCATGGATTTAAGAGAAGACAGCGAATGGTCACGTCCCAAAACGGGTGCGCTACCGTTCTGCAGAGCTGGTGTTTTCACTTCCCTGTTGTTCACGCTAGAGCTGCTGTTAACTGATGTTGCTGGTGAAACCAGGGCTCTCGACCGAGGGGTATCAGGTAAGGACTTGTTGTTGTTAAATTGAGAATTGAAGATGGCATTCTCATACTCAGCAGTCGAAAGTGTAACAATACTCTGAGCATCATCATCATCCCTAGCTCTGGTATGACTAGTCTTACTTCCAATTTCACTCTTCTTTGCAGCAAAGAAACCGTTTGCATTAACATCCAGCGCACGACGTTGGCTTGCAGTGCCCGATTGATGTTTGGAAAGTGGAGGCATTTCGTTCGGAGTCAGCAAAAACTCATCCTTCTTCACGAAGACTCTTTCATAGTCGACGGCCTTCGAGCGGTCATGGTCATACTCACCTAAAAGTTTGAAAGTGACGTCAACAGAACCATCAACTGGAGTAAACTTAAGACTGTTGGAGACAAGGTTCATGACAACTTGAATAATCCTGTTAGAATCTCCATAAAGAATGAGCTTTCTGAGAATATTAGGTCTAAGACTAATATTCAAATTGACACGCTGATCAAGGGCTAGCTTGCCAAAAATGGATTTGATCTGGTAGAGGATTTCCAAGACCTGGAAATTGGACTTCTCCAATTTTGAGCGGTTCAAAGTGTTTTTCGAATAGGTCAAAAGTTCAGTCAAGATATGCAACAAAAGTTCACCCGATCTATGGATTAATTTAAGGGAGTCATGGATCAGCAGGGGATCGTTGTCATCCATGGCAATGGAGGTCATACCCAAAATACCGTTAAGAGGAGTTCTGAGTTCGTGGGAAATGTTGGCAATGAAAACCGTTTTGGATTCATTAGCAGCTTCGGCTTCAATCTTAGAGGCTTCAAGCTCTTTGGTTCTCATCTTGACACGATCTTCGAGATGGGTATATTGCTTTTCAAGTTCAGCAGTCATGATGTTGAAGGCATCCAGTAGTTCTGTTAACTCATCCTTGAAAAGCTTCTTAGATGGTGGGATACGGTCCGGAAGGCGGATGCCTGTTGAAAATGCAGTGGAACCACTTGTGACCGAATGAACAGAATTCCTCTTTGAATGACTTGTTTTCTCAAGGGCCTTCTCAGGGTCATGATCTGGTGGCGTGTCCGGTAGTGAGTGGTCACCTTCAGCAGTTCCAACAGCTCCAATTGCTGCACCACCGCCACCACCGCTACCATCGTAGGGATTGGCCCCATACCCGTGGGAGCCTCTATTTTTCTTTCGAGATCGCGTAATGGCTTCTGTAGCATTTTTAAGGCGAGTGATTGGAGCCACGAACCAAACAGCCAAGGGGAAAGTGATGAGACACATGAAAACACCAATACCGATTACAACACCGATCATGATATTTTGTAGCTTCTTCATGGGGCTTTGGAAAGTAGAACGCTTCTGGTCAATCATCACTGTCCAATAGTTATGAGCATCAACATTCATGGTTGCGTATCCCGCAGCGACATTTCCTTTATTCATTGATTTTGCGTTTTGAACAACACCTTGCTGATTTACTAGTGCATGTTTAACGACTTCCGAGGAGTCTATAGGGTAGTAACGATTAGGTACCATGGAGTTTTCTCCCTCAACCGGAAATAGTAGCTCGAACCCGATCGCATAACGGCCGATACCTGCAACCGTTTCGTTCTGGTAGTACCCTTTTATTAGCGATACGGAGTATTTATTATCGCCAGACAGCGTGTAGTACAGTAGTGAGCTTTTGATCATTTCTGCGTTGGCCACTACCGTAAGGTAACCGGCGATAGCGGCCGATTCTAGAATGATGGATGTGTTGGAGTAAACCGGTATGGTGATACCCACAAAGTATGTGGCATTAGTGGAGGTATCATTCGGGAGAGGACCCGTGAAATATGCATTGGTGATGGGCTGGCTCGTGTCGGTCGCTTGGTTACGGTTATCAAGAACCGCCGAGGGGATGCTAGTGTTCTCAGCCAAGGCATAGAGAACGGAGTCAAGTGCCGACAGCACGTTTGTGTTATTATTTCTGGACTCTGCCACGACGTTGGAGTCCAAGTCGTATAATGCAGCCAGGGCAAACATCTCTGACGATGAAAGGAAGGAGTCCAAAGCGAGCTGGGCTTCGCTGAACACAGCACGGGAGTTGTTACCTGCCCTGTAGTTGGAAAGGGGTTCGCTGACGCCGTCTTTTGTGGAGAGCCAATATGTCTGGTAGAAAATGTATTGGATGGACTGCTGAACCTGGGTATTTTTAATCTGGGCAATGACCTCTAGCCTTTCGGCACGCAAGTTGGCCAAGTTACTGGAAAAGTACACACCGGCTACCAAGGCCAAGATAAGAAGCGAAAAGAGGGACGAAAAACCCACAAGGATAATAAGCTGAGGCCTAATACCTATCTTGAGTCTTCTCCTCTTTCCATTTCGTCTCATATTCATGGTGGAAAAGGAGCCGAAAGGAATGTTATGATCACAGCGCAGAAGGACAAAAAAAAAAAAGCTGGAACTGGAACTAAAAAAAAGCGGGACTCCTCAGACTGTGGCGGCTTCTAATGGCATATATTATGATAGGTTGGGGCGAAAGTGGTAGGATGAACAGATGGCGTGGTGAAGTTCCTTTCAGGAGACTAGAAAAACGGGTTGTAGATGAGCGTTCGGTATATGTCGAAAAAGAGCCTAGATGATGGGTGAAAATAGATCATGGGCTTAGAAAGGCATATACGGCGGCACACAGGACTCTTGCATGGAACACTTAGCGAGAGGCCCCACTGGGGATGGAGAGAACCAGTGTCGAGACAAAAGGGGAAGGGAAGGAGATATGTGGAAGGAGGGTGTTTAAGAGGTTTTTGAGGGTTGCTTGGATTTTGGAGGTTCAACTTTGGTAGATTGGTAGAGGGGTCTGCCTCTGTGTGCGGAAGACAGTCAAAAGCTTAATGGCTGCAAATGGAAAAACCCACTACCATTTAGAGTAACCAGCGTAAGGAAAGTCCAACAACAAGGCACACCCTGAGAAAAAGGGTCCACTAATTCAATCTAGTTTCGGTAACACCACTGGAGTTGCCGTTTGGGTATTTTTCAGCCTCCTCTCGAGCCTCCATGGCTTATCCCAAGGCTCATGGTCCTTTAAAAGCATATTCTCCAAGCCAGGGGAGAGACCCTCGCTTATCACCTTTGTGGATAGATATGCTGGCCCCAAAAATCACCACATTTGCAGGAAAAAACGAAAAGGCAGCCTCTCATAGGGAGGGCCACAAGACGCTGGGACGGTTAAAAAACACCCTTAACTTTGGTCCGCTTCGGCACTGCGCTCCGACCAGGGCTACATCCAGCGAATCACAAAGGGCGTGGAGAGAAAGGAAAAAAGACCATGATCTCTTTTACCATATATAATGTACTCGTTTTCCCCACCTTGACCTTCCCTAGTTAAACCACCTCACTGCTTTTCTTAACTCTATACCTTTTCTTTTCCAGCTATGCGAAGGTATCTATGCGACAAGCCAAGCACAGCGTCTATCGGTAACCCAGCTTACACAGCCAACGAGAGAGCGCCACATAGAAATACACTAAAAGCAGTAAATCTTAAAGTAGACTCCTTTTGACATCACCTGGCGTGGAATTCCCTTGTTTTCAAGACGCTTTGGGCTTGAGGCTCATCACCAGATAGGCTGTCTCCTTCGTGAAAAAATACCCGATCCTAGATCTTTTTTTAGCGAAAGCCTCTGACATGACATCATAGCTGGGAACACACCAAGGGGTCTTTTTTACAACTCTAACCGACCCTTTTTCATAAAAGGGTCTTTACCAAAAGAAACACGCCGACTGCCGGGCTATGTCTATTGTATCACAATGTAACCCAGTACCCTAAATTGTGCTCATTTCTCGCTTCTTTTCTTAGCAAGACCCTGTTGTGCTTACACAAGCTCGCGCTTTTTTTTTTTTTTTTTTTTTTTTTCCCGTCTTGTATGCCCTTTCGGACCGCTGTATATCTTCTCACCGTTTTCCTGCCAAAACACATTGTCATCCCACACATCAGTGTTTTCTTACAAGCCTTCCCTGTTATTTAACATCACGATGGTTCTCCCGTGGTGCTGTGCCGTTTTACTATGGTGTTCTGCGGTGGCAGGTGCAACAACAAGCACATCTGCTTCATCATCACTGCTGCGGTCAGCATCATCCAGCTCTGGCTCCATCCTGGCTTCTCTGTCTTCGTCTACGTCTGACCCGGTCGTGACTATTCCTTTGAAGGCTAGTAAGGGTGAAAGGTTTTTCAATGCATACGTGCTGGATGTTGCGGTGCGTCTTGATATTCTCCAGCCTGACTTGTGGATACCTGATCCAGACTATATGAGGTATTGTACGAGCTCGAACTCGTCTGCTCTGACAGTGCAGAATGATACTTCCGCTTCTAGAACGTGCCTTGGACAAATTACGTCCCGGTACGGTGCGTTGTATGCTGAAGAAACCGCTACTTATAGTGATTATTCTGACGGCGACACAACTACTACTATCCAGGTTGTTGATCGTCTGGAAAACCCCGTCTCCATTGCTTATCCGAATGGTATTGTGGCTGAAGGTGAGGTTGCTATGGCCGATTTCATTATCACTGATAATGAAGACTTCACTTACCTCTTGGAAAAGTTCCAATTCGTCTACGTCAACGACACCAACATGATGGCTGGTGGCTTAGGCTTGTCCAATAATCCACGGGGTACTGGTATCCTAGATTACTTCTTGAACAAGGAGCTTATTTCCAGCCGTGGCTATTCTGCTTTACTCGGCGCTGGATCTCTAGACGACGACACTTATGGTGAGCTATTATTAGGCGGCGTGAGCAAGGACCACTTTATTGGCGACTTGTATTCCTTCCCGGTATTGCCATACGAGGGATTGGACTCGGTCACTACACTCCCTACAATTCTTTTAACTGACGCACAGGTGGTGAATGCTAACACTTCCCAGTCAGTCTCGCTCATGTCTGGTGATCCAGAACCTGTGCTTATCGATTCAAGATTATCCTTCAACTACTTACCGCTAGAGGTTATTATTAGACTTGCACTTCAAACCAACGCATTTTACAACAAGGAAAACGATGAATGGATTGTCAAATGTTCCGATGTTGAGGATAGTAACGCTGAGTTCCACTACAAATTTGGCCCATTGACCATCAAGGCTCCGTTAGCATCGTTCTTGTACGGGTCGCTGAAAGACACTTCATTGACATTCTCAAGTGGAGCTAAGGCTTGTCTACTTAACGTTAGCCCATCCACTTACCTTGGTTACAGCTCGCTAGGCCTTCCCTTCTTGTCGCATGCATACTTCGTTATGGACAACGACGGAGGGAATGTCGGTCTTGCTAATGTCAATTCAGACTACGCGATTGGCACCAAGCTATACACGGATTGGGATACAGCCACGTCAGTTCCGTCGTCCTCCCTGCCAAGCGCATCCTACAATCCATCTGCATCATTTATCTCCTCGGGAAGTATTCCATTCGCTAAACTGCATAACTACACTCAGCTGGAGACATTGACCTTCCACTCAGCCAATTCCAGTGCTGCGGATGCCATCTTAACGAGATACTCTCTTGCATCCATTATTTCTGGTGAGGTTGTCGTATCTAAAGATTCGTCATCTACGGTAGGCCCTGCCACCCAGTATACTTCCAGATCTTCATCAGCTACGGGAGCTGCTGGCCCGGGTGTCAAGCATTGGGAAGCTGCAAGCACAGAAAAGACCGTCATTTACGCGTCGCTTCTACTTATAGGTTTCCTTGGCGGAGTTATAATATGATTGATGCGTTTATTTAACTTCAATGCTGCTTGAGCTCAATGGCGTCACTGCCAGACTCTAACCCAAGTTCGTCAGGGCTGATGCGGGAATAGTTGTGTATCCATTACTGTTCTGCTTCGTGGACGCTTCTGTCTCTTGGTATCTATAATAATTGTACCATAGTATGTCGAGAAAAGTAATCACCAAACCGACACAATTGAGCGGGCTAAGCCTGTCTCCGAATAAAATCAGACCGAGCATAATTGTAAGAAGCTCCTTAAATATACCGGCAATAGATAACGTTAAAACCTGAGCGACAGATAAAAGCTTAAATTCGCATAAGGTCATCATGAATGCTAGGAATCCAGGGACCACCATCAATCCTAGAACTCCAGCAACTCCATGGATTGCCCATATAGGCAGGGAAACGAATGCTGACCACTTCTCTACCACGAGAGCGGTTAAAAGTAATATAACAATCATTGAAGGCGAGATGTAAAAGATCGTCAGTATTGGATGCTTGGTGTAATCGTTTTTCTTGAGCAATAACTGGGTGAAAGACCAGCGCAAGCCAGAAATGGCAGATGCAGCCATCACTAGCACAATGCCAATGGGGTTGTGGTCGTCTTCACTGGTGTCTTCAGAAGGAGTGCTAGACTGTGGCTTCTGGGTCATCATCATTACTGACCCAGTCATGACTACCACAATAATTATTAAACGCCAGTTGAAACGCTCTAAGCGGAATATTAGACCAAAGATCAAAACAAATATGAGACTGGACGTTTTGAGCATGGTATAAAGCGATAATGAGATGTAGCTGAAGGAAACATTACTCAAACCGATATCTCCAGCCGATGTGAACCCACACGGTAAGATTTGACGGGCATAGTTGCCTGGTGATATAGCCAAGGAGGCCCAGAAGTTTGATATCGATCCGTTGATCGTGGGACGAAGCATAGGGCGGAAATATAGCACCAGTGCAGACATGCAAAATAGACATAACTGGTGAAATGCTGTAACAAACAAGGGAAACTTAAAATCAAGCCCACTTCCAAACATCCACTTGTTATAAACCGAGATTGACATGGAAAAGAAGTACCATCCTGCAATGTATAACGTAGGGCTCTGGTTAGGGTCTGAAGATTGGAACGGACGTCTTTCCGCCATTATATGAAGTAGTATGAATAGGCAATGTGATGGGAGCAGGCCCCTGGAAGGTTATAATATGGTGCTGGTGAAGGCAAGATGTGTCAGTTAACGATTGAACTGGACCGGATTAGGTAAATGTCGAGAAAGGCGGTTACTGGTGTGTTAGATGAAGGGTGCACGACTGTAGGTAAGAAAGACTATGTAACGGACATAGCTGGGTTTATAGTAAAGAGTGGTTCGTAGTGTATTGAGATAACTAGTTAAGGAAAGAAGGATGGGAGATGCCATCCTTATATAGTGAAGACATTGGATGGCAAGCAAGTAAGAGGGTCATCATCATAGCAACTATAGGAATCTGGGCAACAGGATATCATCATGCCTGCATATAGAGCATGTATTCCAACACCCGTTCTTAGCCTGTGGCCTAAGATTCATTTGAGTTCGGGTAGATATGGCCTGTATCAGTGGAGCGTCCTTATCAAAAGTAGTCTGTAAATGTTCGTATAGTTGTTGTTAAGGATTTGGGACATTCGAAGGACCACTTAAATGATTGTCCATGACACTGAATTTTGAGCCCAAAGCTTCGTGAAGGGCGTAACTGTCTGATGATGAATGACAGTTCTGATTCCTTTGATTCTTCGACGATTATTTAAGTCACATATTGATCGTTCGTTCGAAAATTGACTTCTTTCCTCTTGGAACCGTCTGTCCTCTTGGGACCGGTTGTCCTCTTACTTTCGCTTTTCCACTGGGATAGAGTTTGTTACTCTATATCCCACAGGCACATCAACGAGAACCTAGACATGTTTGTGAGTGTTGCAACCGTATGGTCGGGACGCTCATGGTGCTCAAGACATTACATCTGGGTAGAGACACCTCATGACAAACTGGTTGTTATCTCTCGTTGTAGTACCACAGCAGAGTATTTATTTTATCTTCTCTGCTTTGTCCAAGGTTGTCGCGGATTTATTGTAGCTCGGCGGTAGGGTGAATTCCCTTTATCTTTGTTGCGCAAGAGATGTAGCTAGGTTAACAAGTATCTGGCTTCTTCAGATAGTTCTTTGATGAAATCTTCCGTAGGACCCGTCCTTCTATATTTGCAATTGTCCCAGGTAACCTGCTGTTTTCTTCCTGACTTCTTGTCTCGCAACTTGCTCATGTTCCGTCATAGCCGCCTTTAACAAATAATCTCTGAGTACATTTCTATGTTGTGTCTTCAACGCGACTGGCCTTGTTCACTAGTAATCCACTCTTTAAGACAGGTCTCCTTCTTATGGGAGTAAAGCCTATTTGATCAGCCCAAGGTTGCATGCGTAGTCCATTTAGTGTGTCATTAGGGGAAGTCTCTGTTCAAGGTTTCGTGGTTTAGTTCCTTTGGGATTAGTGAAATCAGGTCCAGCTAACTTTATCAGTTCAAAGTTCGACATCGTTTTGTTTAAGCATCCATGTTAGTTGTTAAGGACCAACGTTTAATTTAGCTGTTTCGAACTGTATTGCTGGCTGTTGAGTTCCTTGGTTGAGAACCTGATTGACTGTTGTGCCTGCTCTCACTATCCCCTTTTTCTTTCTATGGCGAGTGTGCTTGTCCTGCTATCCGTTAGGTTTCATGCTCGAAGTATAACTGGGGGAACTTTGGTGACTCCCTAACTCTCCAGTTCAACCTATTAGATATTGCGGATGTGTTTGAAGTCTTTTGGTGAACTTAAACCCGTTCTTAACATGCTTTCCTTTCCTATGATCATCACTTCAAGTGTGCAATCCTTCTTTGGTTCTGATTAGTAGTGATATTCTTGTTATGTTGTTTTGGTTCCTCTTATTAGGGTTGACTTAAATAGCTGCATGGAAATCAATGGTAAATTGGCGACCTTCGGGGAGGTATCTCCCTCATATAGATCTGAAAGTGAGAACAACACATGAATTCCCCCTTTCGCCAATTTGGCACCATGCGCTTTGAATAGTAGTCTTCTTGTCTAAAACCGTTCTGAACTCACCGACGATGCATACGCTGTCCTGCTAGCCGGGACAGTACTCGGAGCTGTGTTGACTTCGTCTCTCGAGCCTGCCCTCTAGGCTTGTACTCTCCTAAACCGGCCAAGATTCATGGAGGTCCCCACTCTCACTACTTCAATGTCTTTTTGCATTGTGACTTCCCTGGTATCCATTCCACCCTGTCAGAGGAAGATTTAATACCAGCCGCCAGAGAAACATCCTCCTTAACTTTCCGGGGTAAGGAGGTCAAAAAAATTCTGGACGAAGTCAGTGGGATGGCTTGCTTAGGACTCTAAGAACGTCTTCCTAGAATTGTGCGTAGGCGTTGGTGATTCTGTCAACTGGAACTGGACTGTAAAGAGTCAAAATGTTGACTCCACTTGACGCAGTTTCTGCGTTCGCTGTTTCGCTGTTAGTAGCATTCTAACACATCTCCAAGATGTGGTTAGTGGTGGAACCTGGTATAATGTGCTTTGCTTAGCTTCATATACTTATTACTGACGGGCTTTAAGTGTCAATAATAATCCACCTATTATCTAAAGGGACGATCGACGGAGAGACCTGTTCTCCTTTGGTCATATTTTGCTTTCAAATCTTTCGCAAGTCAATTATTAAGATAACGAATAAATGGCTTACCTTTTAACGATAGTGGGTCTCTATTGTAGACTCTCTTCTATCGAGCGAGAATGATTGAGGAGTACCTGACCTGGTAGCCATATAGTCCAGCGGCGCTTATTAGAGTACGCTCTTTCTGGATAGGAAACACGAGCTTAAGCGGATTTTCTTTCTTCGCTTTTCTTATGATGTTGGCGAGTTAGAGCGAGGGTTGGTTTGTCAATAATGAGACATAATGGAGCGCCAATTATGGTCTGAGGTACCAAAGTAAGGTCACCTTACCATACATTCCTGGTTTCTAATGAGAATAACGAAGTGCCAGTCATTATCTACCTGTATCGTGGTACATTTGCCGGTCAATGATAATGTAATTTCTTTACCCTTGTCGCTTTAACCTTCAGTGAGCTCGTGTCTCATGGATGTCGAAAATGCAGCGATCCCCCTTTGGCATCAAGTGGGGTTTCTGTCCAAGCTGCTTGTGGAAACCTCAACTTCTAGCTCACATTTCAATGATGTTATTTCAATGATGTTCTTGCTCCAGAACTGGATGGCGCTTCAGAGCTGTTTAGTCTCGTTGCTTGGCATAAGTATACTCTTGTTCATTCATACGAGACGATGCGTCGATATATGATCAAATATTCCGGCCCTAAGTTTAGCCATGAACCCAGTTGGGGTTGTGAGGTGAAAAAAAAAAAAACAGCTTCACACTCATGACGCTTCGAAATGCCAGTATTGTGGTAGAATTGCAACGGTGACTCAGTAACATAGCTCTGTTCATTGATTGTTGAGTTTCCTGAGGAGAATGTAGCATCTGTGGCCCAATTAACGATTTGATGATCTCATTCTTGGACGCGTTGGGCCATGTGCGTTCCTCGTATCCCAGCAAGTGTATCTTGCTTCTCCAAGTCTTTCTAATAACAGTGTCCATGTTAGTGAGCTTTACTGGCGATAGTCGTCCAGAACAATGCACAGGTTACACAGGTAAAAGTTAATAAGCATGGCACTTTGAGTTGCATAAGACTGGGAGTATTATCTCTTAGGCTGGAAGAAATGCGGAAAGACGGGGAAATTGGAGATTTGTCATCTTGGAAATGATACCAGTCTTGTAGTACAGCGTAGATGGTATGGACCTCGAGTCTGCATTATTATTGTAGACTATTCGGAAATCGGCCAACTGCTTTGTAATTAAGATAGATGTAAAGCAGATTTCTTAGGATGTATTTAAACTCTTGGTACCCTTTGGCCTTGGACTTTCCCGGTAAATGTCATAGTAGTCCTTGTATGTGGAAGTGCTAGACACCGATAAAGACATTGGAAACATCTATACTCTACCTTCTGTAATGATGGCTGGAGTAGTTGCATTGACTCAGTAATAACCAATCGATGTGTAGGCTGAGTTTGTGCAAATGTGTAGAAAAATGAGTTTTGCTTCTTTAATTTTCTATCACAATTAGATTGTTCGTCAAATTTGTGTCCATGTCCTCGACTTCTTAGAAGGGCGTTGCTTTGTCAACGTCTCTCCTTCTTGACCTTTAGGTTTAGGGTTAATGATGCATAGTCGATGATGCATAGTCGAAGGACTCCAACCGCTGAATGGTATAGGGCTCTTCCACCTGCAATGCAGAGATGACAGTTATAAAAGTTCTCGCCTCACAAGAGCTCCGGGAAGTGAAAGATTCCTTACACAAAGACTGTTGTTCTATTGTGTTTTCCAAGATAGATGCCTTCCCTATTATCAGGGAACTTATCCCGTTTGCTCTTGTGTTTGTGGGTACCACTGAGTTATTGTGGTTCCTCTCTGTCTAATCTCTGTTATGTATGCATGGAGTTTGCCTTGAGCCTTACGTCTAGCGTGCTTTGTTTGAGACTTCCTGACTTTAAAAAAGATTTGTAGTCTCGTAGATTCATATGTTGTTCTTGATGTCAGGGCCCATTGTTGTTTATTCCCAGCTAAGCACGCTAGTCTGTTTGGAACGTATTATTTAGTTGTTCTGCTGTAGTCATAAGTTTCCAGTCCGTCACTGATGAACACCTGAATTTCGTAAGCCTGAACTCTTCTCTGTAGTAGACAAACCGTATAGTCAATAGTCAATAGCTTATGTTTGATATGTTGTTCAGTGTTCAAGTTCTCAGCCACTGTTTGCTGAGGGTCCAACTGTTGGTCAACGAGCATGTTAGTAGACCATTGCTTTCCCAATCTATTCTTATCCGAGTATGGTCAATTGGGTTCATTAGTTATGATAGTCTTGATCTTCTTCGTTCTTCGGTAGAATGGTTCAATAGTCTGAGGACTCTTGCTTCCTTACGACGATTGTACACAGAAGACGTCATGGTAGTCTGAAGACCCTTCAAAGTTGATCAACTCTTGATGGCGCCGAAGCTAACTACCATCTTTATAAAGATGTTAGATGAAGGGTGCACGACTGTAGGTAAGAAAGACTATGTAACGGACATAGCTGGGTTTATAGTAAAGAGTGGTTCGTAGTGTATTGAGATAACTAGTTAAGGAAAGAAGGATGGGAGATGCCATCCTTATATAGTGAAGACATTGGATGGCAAGCAAGTAAGAGGGTCATCATCATAGCAACTATAGGAATCTGGGCAACAGGATATCATCATGCCTGCATATAGAGCATGTATTCCAACATGGTGAGGTGGACACGTGATATCGATTGTAGAAAATCAACAGAACAATCAACCACAAGATAATGGGATTTTCAAAATAGGCAGTTTCTCCTTCTCTGGATCGAACGAATATTTTTTCTCCAGTCGTTTTTACCTCAAGTCTCTCGGTTAACGATGTATGTGTCAGAAAGCGAGCTTAGGAACTCTTGGCTTTTGTTTTGAGGTACTGTGCGATTGAACAGCGCTTAGTGTGACACGTATGAACACGTATGAACCAATGGGCACGAAATTCCGAAATTTGGAGGTGCTCAATGCAAAGGACTGCCTATATAGAGAATTGTGATTTTTTTTTTTCAAAACATTACAAAGCACGCTGTACGTATATTTTTGGTGAACGCGATACCCAGAAATGCTGCATGGCTGCAAAACCTAACGAGCCGTACTGGTTATGGGAAAATGGGGTAAACTTAGAAAAGAGAGTGGGATGGTCGTGGTGATAAAGACGTGACAGAGGGTCAATTCAGAAAGTGTTTAAAAACGAAAGATGATGTCGATATTTAGTGTCTCGATACACGGTGTCTTCACAACCTAGGTAGAATGGACTTTATCTTCCGTGGGGTAGTACTTTGTGGAAGCTTTGCTATTTTAAGGGGCCAATTAGAGTGGGGGTTACGGGAATAATTGGAAAATTTGATAGATGTAAAAGATGTTGAAACCATCCTTTGGTAGGTTTCTGGGCATGAAATACAATAGTTGATGCCAATGGAAGCAGTCTAATTGTTTCTGGATTGGGAAGTCACTGTTTTACAAAAAATGATGTGAATCTTCCAGAACGAGCCCCTTGCAACAACTAGCCTTAGGCTATTTTGCGCCATGTTTATGATCTGATTTGTGTAATGTTCCTTCCGGAAAGCTAATTAGCGGTATCTTTCTGTGAAAGACTAAACCTTATTTGCTTAGTGCTACATACCCGGAACGGATAAAATACCTCATGTCTGGGAAAACGTCCGTTCCAGAGGTTTCGAGTTTTAGGAAGGAGCAAACAGGTGCTCGTTGATTTCTTCAGGTTTTGTTCTGCTTTTACTTGTTGGTGTTTGAGAAGCGTCTATGGGGAGTTTCTTACTGTTTTCAGCAACTTATTCTACGCTTTGTAACTCAAAAAGGCGCCTGGTAAACCAGTAGAATTATGTTAATCTCAAACTCAGCAAACCCATTGAATTCGACCAGAGCGTGGTTGCAAACTATCCATGCTGCTACATTACGTCATTGGCTTACAGTCCAAGCGGGACCTTAAAAGACTAACTTAAACTTCTAATCGGCATTAGCGGAAAACTCTTGCACTTCTGGGTGTCTTCACGGCACCGGCAATTACCAGGTACGCACATAGTATATATTGTCTATGCTGTGCCCTTGCAATCCACTTCCCTACAATCAGTAATACAAGATCTTCTAGATAACAAGTCCCAACCACACGTCACTCTTCATACAGAAGAAAACTCTCTGAAAGCTTCCATAGAAAAAACAACCAATTTAAACTACATCCCTGTGCCTCCTCCACCAACCATTCACCTCTACCTCCACCGTAACCCTCCATTCCTACACTCCCACTTTCTCTCCACCACCTCCCAATCTGGCCCACCGGCCAATCCCAAAACCCATTCAACCCACTGCCATTTCTGCAAGAAGACCCTGTTCATCGCCAGTACACATTCTGTATTCCCCAATCGGAAAACAACCTCCCCCTCAACCTGCCTAATCTGTATAATGCGAAAAACTCCATAGATGCTATTGTTGGTGAGAAGCTTCACTTGCGGTAACACAGCTAAAAAAAGAACAGGGGCATCGTGGGGCCTTCTTCAAGCAGAAAAACAACCACTTTTTCGACTCAGAAACAACAAACTCTGCCTTGTCTGATTTCCATACATAGCCACCAAAAAGGCCCTTCGTCTCACTCACCATTAGCTGTTTGTTCTCTGCTCAGCCAGTATTGTCTGTTTTTCGCACCCAAGCCTTGTTGTGCCACGAGTGGACAACTGGTAGTTATGTTGATGTAGAACACCATAAAAGTAATAAAATTTAAATAGAAGGCCTTTTCTTGTACTGCCAAACACAATTCAAAAACAGCCGGTCCACATTTTGCCTTGGTGGTGGAGTTACTTACCCTTTTAGTCGAGCTTCTCTCGCTCCCTTATGGAAATCGCCCTGCAGGTGTCTCTTTTCCACCGAACAGTGGTAGCTACAACACTCCCCAGTCTCCAACTCACCATATCCATATCGTTGAATTTCTCGGCAGATCTTTTCCACTCATGAGCCTTGACGACCCGCTGTCTCTTCTCCACGCACAGAAGGTGTACTTCACCCAGAGACTCAAGGAGATCACTGCTATCGGTGGTCTTTTTGCTTTGGTGCTCGATAAGCAAACAGAGGCCTTGCTCCTTCGACTTTTCTCCAAGGACGCTTTGCTCCGCATTGTCACTACCATTGAGAATATTGATGCTCCCAGGAAGCTCCAGCAGTTTCTCCAGGCCATTTACCTTCTCGAGCCGCTGGTGTATAACCTCAATTGCATCTTGGCCGATGTAAAGGTCAATCGGTATAAGATGGGCCACGGCTTGTTTGTGCCTTTCTCCCAGTGGGAAACAGAGACTCTTCGTTATTTCCAGTCGACAAAGTTTATCGGAAGCCCTGAGGTTGCCAGCTACTTTGGCGGTGACGGTTCCACGGCTTGTTTCGTCCAGGCGTCTATGTTTCCGTTGGAATCGAGAGTTTTCCTTACAGGAAACGTTCCTTACAACTCCATGCCTGTTTACTTTAATGATAATTGCAGTGAGTTGGTTTTACCTCAAGTTCGGAAAGCTGCCAAAGCCATTGTCAATGCTATAATTGTGGCAGAAGAGTACCCACTTATACGTTTCTATGCCCTGCCGAAAGCCACCCACCAGGCTGCTCGTTTGCCTGAACTTATAGCCGACGAGGTCCAGCGCCAATTGGACGACTACCTTCGTGCTAACACAGATTACCCACCAAAATCGTCTTTGGAGAAGCCTAGAGCTATTCTCTTAGTCACAGATCGTTCCATGGACTTGTTTGCTCCACTTTTGCATGAGTTCTCGTACCAGGCCATGGCAATGGACATTGTCGAGAGCTTGGAGAGAGAATGTGTCTACAAGTATTCATCTGAGAACGAAAAAGGTGAACAACAGGAAATGACTTCTGACTTGGATGCTGAAGATGACGACCTCTGGATCTCTCTTCGCCATACGCATATCATCGAAGCGTCAGAATTAATCATCAGCAAGATCAATGATCTTATCAAGAACAACCCTATGATGGTGGACCGTTCGAGAGCCAAGACATCTTCTGATTTAATGTATGTTGTGGCTCACTTGCACGGTTTCGATGAAGAGCGTCGTCAAGTTACCTTGCACAAGACATTGATTGACGAAATCTTAGATATCAATGCATCGAGAAAGTTGGCTGAATTTGCTGCTGACTTTGAGCAGACCTGTTGCGCGGAAGGTACGTCTTTTGAAGGAATCCACAATAAGAAGTTGCATGAAGACTTGATTGTTTTGCTCGCTCGTGAAGATTTGCATGTCAATGACAAGATGAGACTCGTCCTCATCTATGGTCTTTATCGTGGAGGTCTCGCGGAGTCTGACTTTGTGAAGCTTGCCAAATTCATCGGAGTCAAGAACACCCAAATTGTTTCTCTCGTCCTGAGATGTTTTTACAACCTCCACAAACTCGACTTCCCAATTGTGAAGAAAACTGTCAAGGATAAAAAGGTCGAAAGGCAGTTTTTCCACACCATCAACAACGAAGGTACTTACAACACCTCAAGATTCGCACCAGGTCTAAAAAGAGTACTCTACAATGCTGCGAAGTACGAATTGGACGAAGACTGGTTCCCATACTTCCGTGATAAGCCAATGGCCGAGGATGTACCAAAGGGCAATGGCCTCAATCCAGGCATTGACAAGAACAATTCCATTCGTAATCCAAGAGTGAAGGCATCATGGGCGCCATCTGCTTCAAGACACGGCTCGGCACCAAGAAACAACAAAAACAAACAAAGGATCTTCTGCTATGTGGCTGGCGGTGTGACATACTCAGAAATGCGGCTGGTGTATGAGCTCTCTCAGGCTCTCGACAAGGACATTTACTTGGGCTCAGAGTCGGTGCTCAAGCCCCGTGACTTCTTAATTGGTCTTCAGAACATCGACGGAGTGAAGCAGCCGGACCTGCTCGAGATTCCTCTCTACGACGAGATAACAAGACCCCGGACGCGGGCGCCATCGTATTTATTCGAGGTACCGAAGCCACCCTCGCAGCCAGCAACTACTGCCGCCCCACGTCCATCCACCTCTGCAACCCCAAGCCAACAGAACGTCAAACAGCCACCACCACAGCAATGGGGCCAATCCGGGTTCGGCAGTGCCAGTCCAAACCCAGAATTGCCGCCCGACACGGTTGGTTCGAATACTCCGCTGCACTATCAGAAGCGGACTAACCAGTATACTACGGATCTAAGCGGAGAAAAAGAAAACCGCACCAAGGAGAAAAAGCCGTCCAGATTTAAGAGATTATTCAAGTAAGCCAAGACAATATGGTTGAACAAAGCTTGAACGGCGCCGCGATCGGTGAAGCGGCTGATAGAGGGTCCCAGGGCACCAACAGAACAAATGAACATAGGTTTCCAAACCACGGCATGAAGATATACGAAGGATACGGGGAGGCCACCCACTGGCCTCGTCTCCAAATAAGGTATGATGGACCACAAAATAAAACACTAACAAATCTAGGTTTTCTGCTCTACATTAATTCGATATCACTACTCTTGATTTTTCCATTTCTTGGTTCCACAGTGCATCTGTCACAAATTGACCTAAACACTCGTGATCACAAGATAGTAATTTACCGTCTGAAAAAATACCGTTCAGTTTCTGCCAGCCAAAACCGGTGGTGCAGGGCTGCAGTGCCGCGCTGCTGAGAAATATAGCGATATTACTAAGGCAAAAAAGGTTGCACAATTTTGAGAGGCCGCAACACCACTTATTCTTGTCAAGCAACACATCTTCGTTTCGTTTCTTCATTTTTCGTGTCGATAATGGAACAAGTTGAGATCTTCGACGCTGCTGTCTTGCCCAATGCTTTGGAGGGCCTAGCCAGGTTGCCGTCTCTTGCCCTTGGTGAAAAATCGCTGTCTCAATCGCTTTATCAGCTGGCATCTCATCATGGCAATGCGTCGGCGCCTTTCTACCCAGGCCCAACTTCCTGGCTTTCGTGCCAGTGTGCTGATGGCTGGGGGCCTCTTTCTGCAAAGTACAATGACTTGACACCTTGTTTCCTACAAGGAGTGTTGTACGTTGTTGCTGGTGTGCTTATGGTGACTATCAGTACCAAGCAGCTCTACACCTTGTACCAGAGGAAGATGACGTCTGGAAACAAGGCCAACTTGCCTTTCTACGTGAGACTTGCGCTTACGGTATTGCAATTTGCCTTTTCCATTTCGTTGTACCTTTCATATGCGGAGTCGTTTGACATTATCAAGTTTGGTTTGGTCTTGAACATTGCCTCGCTCGTGTTTGCCTTCGGTCTTCATTACCTTGAGCACTTTAAGGCTTCTATTTCGTCTGGTGTTTTGCTTTTCTACTGGCTCTTCCAGATCTTCTTTAATCTTGGACGTATCATTAACTTGAACTTGAGACATGATAAGAAGAACAACTTCTTTGCCGTCTCCATTTTGGCTGCTGTGAACGCTTTCTTTGTTCTCGTTCTTGAGATCAACTTCCCACCGCTTTCCAGCCAGCCATACTCGAAGCAGCTCAGTATCGCTCCATACGATAAGGCTAACATCTTTTCTCGTATTGCTTTCAACTGGATGGCTCCATTGATGAAGAAGGGTTTCTACCAGTTCTTGGCTGAAAAGGATATGCCTTTCTTGCCTTCTGAGCTCAAAGCAGGTGTCGCTGCTGATAAATTCTACCACTACTGGAATGCTAGTGCTACTCCATCCTTGTTCTTCACTTTGGCCAAGGCCTTTGGTGGTCCTTTCTTGATTGGTGGTGCGTTCAAGGGTCTTCAGGATATCTTAGCTTTCACCCAGCCTCAGTTACTTCGTCTTTTGATTAGTTTCGTCAATGACTATTCTGAATCCTTGAAGAAGGACGACCCAATTCCTCTCACTAAGGGTTTGATGATCGCTGCTGGTATGTTCCTTGTTTCTGTTGTCCAGACTGCTTTCTTGCATCAATACTTCCAGAGAGCATTCGACTTAGGTATGAAGATCAAGTCGTCAATGATTTCCGTTATCTATAACAAGTCGCTTGTTTTGTCCAACGAGATGAAGCAGCAGTCTAATACTGGTGACATTGTTAACTTGATGTCTGTTGACACCCAGAGACTTCAGGATTTGGTTCAGAACTTGCAGATCATCTGGTCTGGTCCTTTCCAAATCGTCCTTTGTTTGTACTCCTTGCATGGCTTGTTGGGTAACAGTATGTGGGCCGGTGTCGCCATTATGGTGATCATGATTCCTCTCAATGCTGTTATCGCAAGAACAATGAAGAACTTGCAGAAGACCCAGATGAAGTACAAGGATGCTAGATCTAGATTGATCAGTGAGATCTTGAACAACATCAAGTCTCTTAAGTTGTACGGCTGGGAGGATCCATACATGGAGAAGCTTAAGCATGTCAGAAATGAGCAAGAATTGCGTAACTTGAAACGTATGGGTATGTTTGGCGCACTCTCGACCTCTACTTGGAGTTTGACTCCAATCTTGGTCAGTTGTTCTACTTTTGCCCTCTTCGTCATCAACAATAAGGACAAGACTTTGTCAACTGACATTGTTTTCCCAGCTTTGTCTTTGTTTAACTTGTTGTCTTTCCCATTGGCCGTTGTTCCAATGGTTATCACCAATATTGTTGAGTCCCAGGTGGCCATCTCTAGATTGACCAAGTTCTTGAACGGTAGTGAATTGCAGTCAAATGCTGTCACTAAGCTTCCAAAAGCCTCGTCGGTTGGTGATGTCGCCGTTTCCATCAAGAACGGTACATTTTTGTGGTCCAAGCAGAAGGGTGAAGAGTCTTATAAGGTTGCTTTATCCAACATTAACTTGTCCGTCAAGAAGGGTGAATTAGATTGTATTGTTGGTAAGGTCGGCTCCGGTAAGTCGTCTGTTCTTCAGTCTCTCTTGGGTGACTTATACAAGCTTGACGGTGAGGTCAAGGTGCGTGGTAAAGTGGCTTATGTCTCGCAGGTGCCTTGGATTGTGAATGGGTCTGTTAAGGAGAATATTTTGTTCGGTCACAAGGACGAACCAGAGTTTTACCAGAAGGTTTTGAAAGCATGTGCTCTTACTGTTGACTTGAAGATTTTACCAAAGGGCGACAGAACCGAGGTTGGTGAGAAGGGTATCTCCTTGTCTGGTGGCCAAAAGGCAAGACTTGCTTTGGCTAGAGCTGTTTACGCTAGAGCTGATGTTTACTTGTTGGATGACCCATTGTCTGCTGTTGATGAACATGTTGGAAGACACTTGATTGACCATGTCTTGGGACCAAACGGTCTTTTGAAGTCCAAATGTAAGATCTTGGCTACAAACGCTATTCACGTCTTGTCCATTGCCGACAACATGCACATGGTAAAGGATGGTAGTCTTGTTGAGCAAGGCACTTACTTGGAGATCATGTCTCAGGAAAGAAGTCAGTTGCGCCAACTCATATTGTCGTTTGGTAAGAAGAGAGGTGATGACTCTACTGTTCCCTCCTCGTCTGCTACTTCTGTTAAGGGTGGTAACTCTGATTTGGATGACCTTAAGGGAAGCGGTACTCTTGAAAGTTCTGAGAACTCCTCTGATTTTGAAGTTCTGAGTTTGAGAAGAGCTTCTGACGCTACTTTGATTACTGATGAGGAACGTTTGCTCCGTCTGACTGATGAGGACGAGGAAGAGGAGGAAGATGAAGACGCTGAAGCAAGAAAGGAGAAATACCAACAGGGTAAGGTCAAATGGGATGTTTACAAACTGTACGCTCGTGCCTGTGGCCCTGTCAGTGTCCTCATTTTCTTATCTTCCACTATTGTATCGATGACGTTTAACGTCAGTTCAAATGTCTGGTTGAAGCATTGGTCTGAGGTGAACACTGAAATGGGATTCAATCCTTCCTTGGTCAAGTACTTGGGAATCTACTTCCTTTTGGGTTTCGGCTACTCTATCAGTATGATGTCTCAAATGATCGTCATGTGGATCTTGTGTACGATCAATGGTTCTAAAAAGATGCATAATGATATGGCCACAAGTGTTTTGAGAGCTCCTATGTCGTTCTTCGAAACAACACCGATCGGCAGAATTTTGAACAGATTTTCCAATGATATCTATAAGATTGATGAGGTTTTGGGACGTGTCTTTGCCATGTTCTTCACCAACAGTGCCAGAGTGTTGTTCACCATACTTGTCATTTGTTACTCTACGTGGCAGTTCATTTTCATTGCTTTGCCATTGAGTGTCTTGTACGTCTACTACCAGCAATATTACTTGAAGACCTCGAGAGAATTGCGTCGTTTAGATTCTGTTTCGAGATCTCCTATTTTCGCAAACTTCCAAGAATCGTTGAACGGTGTCTCTATCATTCGTGCTTACGGTCAGGAAGACAGATTCAAGTTCTTGAACCAAGCCAGAATCGATAAGAACATGCGTGCATACCATCCATCCGTGAACGCCAACAGATGGTTGGCTGTTAGATTGGAGTTCTTGGGATCTTTAATTATTTTGGCTTCTTCCGGTTTGGCTATCTTGACTTTGAAGTCTAGTGGTATTAGTGCTGGTTTGGTTGGTTTGTCCGTGTCTTATGCCTTGCAGATCACACAATCGTTGAACTGGATTGTCAGAATGACTGTGGAAGTGGAAACTAACATTGTCTCCGTGGAAAGAGTTCTTGAATACTCCGAGTTGACTCCAGAGGCACCTGAAATCATTGAAGACAATAGACCACCAGCTTCATGGCCTGCTAAAGGTGAGCTCATTTTCAAGAACTATTCTACAAGATACAGACCAGAGTTGGACTTGGTCTTGAAGAATGTCAACCTCAAGGTGAAGCCACATGAGAAGATTGGTATTGTGGGCAGAACAGGTGCTGGTAAGTCTTCCTTGACGCTTGCATTGTTTAGAATTATTGAAGCTGCCGAGGGTCACATTGAAATCGACAACCTCGATACTAGCAAACTTGGCTTGCAGGATGTGAGACATAACCTTTCCATCATCCCACAGGACGCACAGGTCTTCGAGGGAACTATCAGAGACAATTTGGATCCATCTGGTGCTTACACTGACGAAGCCATCTGGAAGGCATTAGAATTGTCGCACTTGAAGGATCATGTCCTTAAGATGTATGAAGAAAGAGATGCTGAAGAACAAGATCTGGATAACGCCTTGGACGTCAAGATGTCCGAAGGTGGTTCCAATTTGTCTGTCGGTCAAAGACAATTAATGTGTCTTGCGAGGGCCTTACTTATTCCATCCCATATTCTTGTGTTGGATGAGGCTACTGCTGCAGTTGATGTGGAGACCGACCGTGTGTTGCAAGATACCATCAGAACTGAATTCAAAGACAGAACCATTTTGACTATTGCTCATAGATTGAACACTATCATGGACTCTGACAGAATTGTTGTTCTTGAGCAAGGTGAGGTTGCGGAGTTCGATAGCCCTGAAAACTTGTTGAAGAATAAGGACTCCCTTTTCTACGCTTTATCTAAGCAGGGTGGTCTCGTGGAAGACGATGAGGGCGCTGAAAAAGCCGAATGATTAGATTTATATTAAAAAAATAATGCTATTGTATTTGTTCAATTAGTGATCACTTCTCTTTCTCAAAGAGCTTATATAGTACAACGGATAAAATTGATCACGAGTATCGACTTCACAAGTCGAGGCTTTTGAAATAGTATCCACCACGTCAGTGTTAACGTTGTGCAAAAGATTCTCCTCGTTGAACTGAAGAATGCTAAGTAATCCCAGGTCACTTTCGACATCAACTGAAGCAACAAGCTTATCTTTAGAAACCGCGAAGTCAATCAACAAGTTTTCTGTCGTAAATGTCTGCTTGTGATTGATAGTTAAATCTTCCTCAATTACGAATGTAATTATGCAATTTGTGTGCTCGCACAAAACGGCAAGAATGTTCTGTTGCCCAATCTTGAATGTCTCGACCTTAGCGATAGAAATTTCACGCTTCAGGTCTTCGTTTCTAAATCTCTCTGGAGGAAGATGGAAGTCGGAAAGATGAGGCTCGATGTGTGTACGAAGGTCCACTGTGGCAAGCCTCTCACCAGTATACCAATTCCACAAGGCAAGATAATCATCTCCTCCGCCACTAATGAGAAGATCAGTGTTGAAAGAAGGAATATGCAAACAGGAGACGAACTCTGAGTGGCCAAAGAGCCATTGCTTGGCCACATAAGACTTTGGATAGTTAGTCACTCTGATGTGTTCATCACGGTCACCAGTCAAGATGTATTGCTTGTTTTCATGTTTTGAGACAAGCACGTCACTCAACATCGAAACATGACCTAGAATTGGTTGCAAAGACTTCTCGTCAACTGGTGCCTCTTCATCAATGAGAATGCTGTAGACATCACCGAACTTGTCAGCCACAATCAACTGAGAGTCATCAAAGGTGGTCGAGATAGCACATGGTCTTTTTGGGAATACCTGCCTTTTCACCAATGATAAGCAATTGTCATTGGCGGTATCGATTTTGAAAATGACTGCAGCCTTGTCGCTGTCAGTAGTCCCAATGATATACTGTTCGTTCCTGGTCAAAACCAACGATCTTATGTAGTTGTAAATCGTGGGAGCGCCTGGACCTGGCACGGGAACCTTTGGTTCCTTTTTATTAGTCTTGGCCTTCTTGTTAGGCTGGTCTTCACTTTTGAACTTGTTCTCCTGGACGTCCTGCAACTTGACAGTGTCTGTCCAAGAACCTATAAGGGCGCCGTCAGCTAAACGGAAGGCGTAAAGACTATTCGTCACAGTTGCGAACAATATTTCGCCAGTACTATTCGTTATGAGTTTCTGAAATGGATGTTTCATTATGGCAAGAAAGGAGTGTGACAACTGTAGGAACTATATTCCATACTTTTTCAGTAGATGCCTCATCTGTCCGGCATATAGTTAGCGGCTTTGGATTTTGCAGCCAATTCCCGTCCTGATCAACTCTTAGGAGCTCCCCAGTTCCAAGGAAATTTCTTTGATGAACTGGTAGGTTCACTATCGCTAGGAGCGTCTTTATCCGGGATAAACTTCTGAGGCTTCCGAGAGTTAGAAAAGTATTGGTTAGCCTTTTCAGTTAGCGATGGAGGTTGCTGCTTGTTAAACCCAGAAAAGAAGCTACCGAAACTGGATTGGGATGAGTCCTTGGAGTTGATAGCAATGTGGAGTGGGTCATGGAAGTTGAAGATAAAGTCATCGCAAAGCGCATCCCAGATTTTGAAGTTTTTAGTGTTCAACCATGATTCGATAAATGCTTCGTTAAAGGTCTTTAAGCTTCCAAAATGCTTGTTCACTGTGATATCAAATCCAGGAGGAGTGGACCTAAATTTGTTGGAGTACTGGTGGAACCTCATTGTCGAGAGTAAGCTCCGGATGTAGTCTTCAAATTGGTATCTGATGAAGTCGTCACTTCCCACAAAGGCGTCTTCGTTACTATTGGAATGAAGGAGACCTTGGATAAACTTCTTATCGTAATGAGAGAGCAGAAGCTCCTCTTTCTTACCACAAGGGTAGGTGAGCTGACAATTATCCAAGTTAACAACCAAATCAATTTTATAATGAGGAGCCTGATTCAATATTAACATGTTGGAACAGCCAACCATGAAAGACGAGGAGTTAAGCTCGTCAAACTGTTGTAAAGGAAGGTAGGGGTTCCAGAATGACCCTTTCGTATTGAAGATTTGTAACGGAAGACCAAAGAATCTAGCCATTGACAGTCTGTCATTAGTCTTAAGGGAAGTTGGTCGTGACAAGGGCGAATGTTTCTCCGTGTAATCACTCAAGGGGCATCCGGAAAGGTCAAGATGATGGTGAAGGTCGGGTATCAAAGCGATTAAGTTGTTTTGAAACTGAGTCAAAAGCTCGAGATTGTTGTTCGAATACACGAGGACCCTCTTCTCAAGCAAGAGAGCCTTTAAAATTATGAGTACGCTGGACTTGTAAGTAGAAAGGATGCTGCGAAGATTAAGGTTAACGAAAAATTCATCCTCTTTCTCGTTCTTTTTGTTTTCCAAGAGGGCTACCTCTTCAGGGATCTGAGGTTTCAACGTTTGCTCGTCTTCCACGAGCTTAAAAGTTCCGTTCAAATTGTCGAAAAGGTGTTCTAAGATTTCGGTATTATTGAAGTTCGTTTGCTGGAAGTATGAGTGAGTGATGATGGATAGCTTCTCTTTGATCTTTGTGAAAATTGGCTGTTTCCTGGTGATCACCACTACTGCTTTCTGTACAATTGAACGAGTAATGTCTTTGTTTCTCTCCAACTCTTCGGTCGAGAGGTCTGTAGTCTTGACCTGACGTACACAAGAACAGCCAAAAAGCGTTTCAAGATGGTTTGGGTTGCCTCCAAACTGTTCAAAGTCTAACTGGTCATCCAAAGAAACCGAGTTCCCAAAGTCGTATATAAGGTTGAAATTGGAGAACGTTTCCTCAAACAAGTGGGAACCATCTGGAAGCGCCTGAAACGATAGGTTCTTAAACAACTTGCCATGCGAGTTATAATCAACGTGGTAGTTTGACTTCCACCATTGCACTTCAGGACCTCTTACATGGTGGAAGTCCACAAGGCATAATGCAAAAATCATATCATCTAGCTTGGAGAGGTCGCTATCGGCTCTTCTTTTTGGCGACTGAACAATCGGAAGGTTCCTAACATGAACTGACAGCCTTCGGGACGATTTCGAGTTCCTTCTCGGCGTAGAAGGTTGTGTATCGTGGGAAGATGCTGAATCCGCTGTCACAAACGAAAGGCCCTGATGAGCACCATGTTCGGCACTATCAGCAGCTGGACGAGCTGAACTCAGGCCCAAACGCATTGGTCGACATACGAAATCGTCTGTCAGTAGAGTTGCAGCGTTGGAAGACAGCGGGTGTGGATTTGACGTTGTGGGAATCAGGGAGTCCGATTGAGGTCTCGATCTAGACCCATCAGATTGGCCAGATTGCGATTGAGTTCTGGTGATAGACAGGTCAGAACGTTTCAGGATCCGAAGAGGCCTTAGCGAGAACTCGATGTCTTCGTTGTTGCTCATTGTCTGGTACTGGTTTCTAAATTAAATGGCAATCGTTGAGACCAACAGACATCAAGAAAAAGATGGGGTCTCTAGATCTACTATGTGGGGCGTGTACACAGGCTAGACTGGAGGATTGAAGATGGAAGTCAGGATAACAACTAAGGAGAAGGTGATTGGGTGATTGACGATTATGGTTAATTTGTTTGTGGCCCTTCTCTTCTGTTGGTGGTTGCGCTGGTTGTTTGGCGGCGTCAAGGCTACTGGTGAGGCTGTTACGTGGAATTATCTCGGTATTGTGTAAGACTTGGCAGAAGGTTAAGCTAAGGGTTTGTGTAAGGCTACGAACGTAAAGAAGCTGCGGATGAGATGACGAGGTGGTTTTGGGATTTTGATAAAAGTATGTTATTAAGGGCTGGTTCTTGGTTGATGAGAGGATAGTAGCACTGCGTTTCGGACTTGCAGTGGCTTTAGTGCGATTGGGTGCAACAGGGTGCTCCATGGTGATGATATGGAAGGTTAATTGGAGATATGGCCTGAAGATTACTTTTTAGTAAGTTAGAACGGGGAAGTGGCCTGGAGTTGTTAGCTGCCCATTGGAGGTATTTGCAAGAGCACTATTGATAGAGCACAATGTATATGGTAACCACTACACCATCAGTCGAAGTGGGCCCCATTCCGAATGGCAATTGAGTCTCCAGTGATAACTCAAATGGGTATTTTCAGTGCTTTGACAACCCCAGTGGCCTCAAAACTCGGGTATGTAAGCGATAGACTTCCCTACCTGGTGATATATGACCAATGACCATTGCACCACACAACTCACATATTACGACCAGATCCACTCATATCTAACTTCTTTCACTCTCAATTGCTCCCAATTCTTTTCAACTGCCTTTCTAGCCCTCCCTATCCGACTCTGACTGCTCAATGGCTTGCCAATACTGATACCTGCAAGGTCAATGAGTTCACCATCGAGTGACCTTCCACGTCCCTCTAATAAAACGTCTTTTCCTTCCATTTTATGTAAAACCGCTTATGCCTCATTACTTCACGGATTTGACATTCGCCTATTCATGCCAATCTAGATTGCCTTAGTGACAGAGCCAGGTGCACACAAAACACTCAGTGGATGACTGCCAGTTTGCAACCAAGGTGCGATTTTCCACTCAGCAAGCAAATCACCACAAGTCGAGAACTTGTAAAGAAATAGTAAAGAATACAAAAAAAAAAAAAAAAAACAGAAAACAAAAAAACAGGCAAACTCAAACAGCTACAAACAAACCACATTGCCTTCCCGTTTTGTTAAACTACCACCTTCTTTGGTGCCTTTCTGGCCCTGAGGCTCATGTCCCCACGCAATGTGGTTATTCCTCTATATCGGCAAACTCCGTGGTAGACCCCAGAAGAACCCAATGGAAGAAAACAGAAGATACATATATCCCAGCCAATAGGGGAATTGAAGAATTGTCGAATTGTGGATTGCTCCTCACGTGCTGGCTCGAGATCGTCTCCGTATGTTATTCTTTGTCACTGGGTTAGCGTTTGTATATGGGGTAAAAAAGAGGGCCCTAGGCTCCCGCACCTCCCCAAATTTCCTCTTGCATGGAGGCCTTCCCCAACTAAGTATATATAAGGACAATAGCCTACCCACATTTTCCAGTTACCAACTTTTTTATTTTAGTTTAAAACAAGTTTCAATTGATTAATTATGGTTCTCTCTCAAGGCGACAAATTCCCATCCGGAATCGAATTCAAGTACGTTCCAATTGAATTGGAGACCCTTAACCAGGATGACGGGCTCTCCTGTGGCAGACCCTTGTCTTTGCCATTGGACAATTTGTTCGACAACAACAAGGGCTCCAACATCTTGTTTGTGGCTGTGCCAGGTGCTTTCACCCCTACTTGTACTGAAAACCACATTCCTCCAATCTTGGAGCACTTGAAGGAGTTGAAGTCCAAGAAGAACATCTCCACAGTGGTGTTCTTGAGTGCCAACGACCCATTTGTCATCAATGCCTGGGGTAAGTTGTTGTTGAAGCAGCAGAAGATCTCTGCCACTGATGGCTTGCCAAAGATCATCTTTGCTTCGGACCCTAACGCCGAATTCTCCCTGAAGAACGGTATTTCTTTGGACTTGACCTCAGCTGGTCTCGGTGTCAGGACCAACAGATACGCTTTGGTGGTCAATGCCGACGCCCACACTCTTTCCTACGTTGGTGTGGAGTCTGAGCCAGGTGTGACCGTGTCAGGCTACGACGGCATCGCTTCTGCCAAATTGTAAGCGCACCGCATATAGTATGAATTGACAATGCAATTGCTCTTCTACAACAAGTAGTAAACGTTTCAGCCGTGGCTGGATCATCCCTTAATTACTTAAAGAAGAACTTACAACTGACCGGACTCGTCAATGACGATTCTGGCCAGGGTAGCACCAGAGTTGGAACCGTAGGTCTCAACCTTCTTGACAACATCGAAACCGTCGGTAACCTCACCGAAGACAACGTGCTTGCCGTCCAACCATGGGCATGGAACGGTGGTAACGAAGAACTGGGAACCGTTGGTGTTTGGACCAGCGTTGGCCATGGACAACAAACCTGGTCTGTCGTGCTTCTTGGAGAAGTTCTCGTCAGCAAACTTCTCACCGTAGATGGACTTACCACCGGTACCGTTACCTCTGGTGAAGTCACCACCCTGCAACATGAATTGAGGGATAACTCTGTGGAAACCAGACTGGGCGTAACCGAAACCGTGCTCACCAGTACACAAGGCTCTGAAGTTCTCAGCGGTCTTTGGCACAACGTCGTTGTACAACTTGAAGGTGACTCTGCCGAGCTTGTCGCCGTTGGCGGAAATATCAAAGTAGACCTGGGACATGTTTTTTTAAAGTAATTGGTAAGAAAAAAAGGTTGGTTGGTTTTTTCCTAGCAAGAGAAGAACCTGTACCATGTGCGGGACAGGTGGTATTTATACTGAAAACCTCCAGTGCCTCACACTCTCTCATTTTTTTTTTTTTTTGTTGGCTGTCCTTCTGTGCGCTTCCAGTGGGATGGATATGACGACAGTCCTGAGGCGATTCTGCAGGACCGGGCTAGGTTTAGGCTGGTACACCCGTACACCACCATACTTTAAAAAAGCTCATTTTCTCTGCTGAGGGGCCTGGCTCCCTAAGGGCCTGATTTGGTAACAAAATGTCTACCTTCTGTCTGGGCCATGATCTAGCAAGCAAAGGGGGAACCAGGAAAAAGAAAAGGGAGAATTGGGTTTATTGGCAGTACTGCAGGTAAGCAAGAATGTCTACCCATCCAAATTGACATTTTCTTCTTCTTCTTCTTACCAATTGATTTCATTTTGACCACGTTGGCTGGGCCCAGGAAAGCCCCGAGTTGTGGGATAGGGCCATTTCTGGCGATTATTGCGAACGAGAAAAAAAAAAAAAAAGACTGAAAAAGGCCGCTTAGAATTGATGAAATGGGGGCCTTATATGCAGTATACTATACTTCCAGTGGCCTTCTCCGCGCTTCTTCCTGGCCTAGCAAAATCTAGTTAGTAGGTGTTTGGTGGTTCTGGTGTGGACAGGTTTTTATGGTGAATTAAAGGTGGCAGGTAGATGGAGGGAGGATGCTGATTGGGTGGATGTTTGGTAGGTTTCACTGGGAATTTCACCAGGTAATTGCTTTTTGTGGGTTGCTGCGCCGTATGTGGTACCCATTGGGGAAGTGCCTGGGTAGTAGGCTGTACGAGTGGAAGGGCTCTAAATGGGTGAACTGGGTTCGGGAATTTGGTGAGGTCAGTTGAAAGGGTGTTATCATTGGATGAGGGTAGTTTTGGAGTAGGCAGTTTGGACATTTTCTGGTGATGGTCGAGATCTGGATGAGATCTGGATGAGATCTGGATAGTCTGAAGGAGATCTGGATCGATCCCGATGGGAACGAATGTAAGCACCAGATGGTGATGGCAGCAGGTTTGATTTGGCACCGATGCTCTTATAAAAATGTCTCTTTGGCAGTCCGATTTTGTAGTTAGAAGGGATTGGCCTAGCTTAGTGTTTTGCACCCATTATTAGAAATGGTACATCAACCTCCATCCACAGCCAACAATATCCAAAACGAACGGTATCATTGAATTCACCTTCCCAAACCAGCCCTATTTCCACTCCTTTTTCACCTTTCATCACTTTCCCCAGCCCATTCTCTCGACCCACGTTGTATGCGTGGAGAAGACCATATACTGAAATTCACTCAAGACTGCTATGGTCCTTGCGTCCCAGTGACAGCCACTCTCTGTTACAGCTATGGTGGACATTTCCATTTGACTAAGCTATCTTCTTCAGCCAGAGAAGTAGCAACTCATTGGTAATGTTTCGGAAAAGAATGATGGATCAAACCACCCCTTCGGAAAGCATCGACTACTTAGTCAAACACGCTAACCAAGAAGCACCATTCAAAAAACGCCAATCACAGCACATTGACTTCAAGCTTAGTCTTCTTATATAAAAAGCCAGCGACTTACCATCTGGAGCCAAAACACGAAGAAGTAACTATTCGGTTTATACTTAAGGTGTAGGTGATTGTCTTGAGAAAGTTGTTACTTTTAACTATCAACAATTTGACAAAAGAGCCAGAAGTAAACAGATCTACCGAACGTAAGGTTACACCTTCTTGCTCCCAATGATTCATAATCTACCCCTATTCCGATTCTGCTGTGCATCGGACATCTTATTCGACGAACGCTTCTAGAAGTCAAAAGTGAACTGGACATAAGGTTTTTTCCCCACGAACAACTCTGCAAGTCTATATGCTTCCAAGAAAAAACTCCATCTATTTAAAAGTCTAAACGTCTAGATTTATTCTTCCAGACTTTGTGAGGGGCAGAAAGTTCCGTGAAATTTCCGACTAACTGAGAACCCCCACAGATACCTCCAACGTCGGTGCATTGACATGGCGCTTGGCAATCGTAAGTTAACGCGTTGACGTCGAGAGTGGCAGTGTTGACGTCAGGATGTTTTTTTTTTTAGTATATACGGCGATGGGGTAGTTGCATGATGATAACTGCTCATGTTTTGACAGAACTTCTAGATCGTAATAATAACGCAAGGTACTAGATTTGAAGAAAGCTTAAACCCAGAAGTTTCTTCTTTCCACAACAGGGTCCAGCATCGGCGGAAGGCTAAAGCTAGTAATCGACAAAGGAAACAGGGTACGGCTATGCAAGCCACCCTAAGCCATCGAGGCTGGACAAGAGTAAGCCCTCGAGCGCCTCATTCTCAGCGAAGCCCATTCGATTTGCACTACAGAGGCGCCGCTTCCAAGGTGATTCGTCGATAATACAGAGAATGGATGGGCTAGAATGGACAAAGGACGCAGGCGGATGTCATTCTTCATGTTCTGAAGTGTTTGCAATGGAGGACAATGCCTCATTCCAAGCCAATCTAAACAACCCACGAAACTTAAACGTTTTTCAATTGCTACCACAAAAGCCAAACGGTAAAGACTACTGGACAAAAGCGGAGAGAAACCAACCCAAAAGACAAACACCTACCACGTAAACCTTCAGCCTAAAGCTAGCCGAGGCCGGACTTGTACTACAGATGCAAAATTTTTGGCGCGGCTTGGAATACACTGCAGAAGAGCGATGCCACAAAGGAACAGTGGTCCCGAAAACACCTCCAAAGAGGCATTTTTAGAACATCCCAAGTATTAAAAGATATCAGGAGACAAATGTAGCTCCAAACAAGACGTCACTCTCACCTGGAGCATTACGTGCTTTGCAATTGCGTGGGACGCAAGGCGCAGCCAAGTGATAGTCGCTTAAGATGCGGCCCGTAAAAAACAGTCAAGCACCTGCCAAAGCGCCTTTTCCTCCTCCCCAGGCGACCATCCACTGTACGACGAATAAACCACAAGCGACAACGCCACACAAGCAAGAGTAGGCTTTTAGTGTACTTTAAGGAAAGCAAAAAAAACCACTTTCCAAGTGGTTTCTTTCGTCCACCTCCACCTCCTTCGCTATAAATACACATCAGAACATGCCGTCTGCGCCATGTAACGTTGGATGAATCACCCCGAAATAACTTCTTTCGTATGCCTCCCGCGCCAATTATTTTGGCTCTCTGCAAGCCACTGCGCCTGCACTGGCACGGCGCCTCAACTTTAATCAAATGAGCGCTGGACTATTTAGACACTCGAGGCGCCAGACTTGGGGGGTCTGTTGGATCGTTTTTTTCGACACATTCAGTTGATCTGACAGGTTCTTTTCAAGGTTGCCTTTTTTTGCCTTGGTTAGTTGGTGAAGAGTATCCATAGTCTTCGTCTGTCATTGGGTACTTTGTTGCGATTTCACAATCAATAAACCTCGTGGTATTGTTCCACTAACTATAACACTCATCCAGTGTCTCAGTCTCAGTCTCGCTCGGTGTCCTTGCTAGTGTCAGCCTCGTGGGCCATTGTGGAACTGTCAAGGTACTTATCGCATCGCGCACTCGCATCTCCAGCCTTTCCACGTGGGGACTTATAGATACTCTACTGAGTATTTACAAAAGAAGCTTCACAGCACCATCATTTTTTTTTTTTCTTTGACGAGATCCACATTTACTCGAAGTTTCCTGAATGTCCTACTTTTTCGGCCACCTGAAGTCGCCAGTGCTTGCCGGCAACTCACTGGCTCTCTCCACAGTTGTCTGGGCTTTGGATAGGCTTTTTTGCACCTATTTACATAATCCTTTCGTGGGATGTTTGTTGGTGGTGGTGTCGCTTCTACGCTTACAGCATGACCAGTTGACGACGGCCTTCCAGATGAAGGAGCTTGCATACTTTGACGTGGACGACTATCTTCTTGATTTGTTCCACAATGTTGTGAACCTCGTGTTCATCGTCAGATTCGTCATGTCTCTGCGGTGCTTGACCCTCCGGAGCAATGTCTTACTTGAGATTATCCTTCTTATCTTTCAAGAGTTTGGCGTTATAGTGCTTCTCTTTTATCCAAAGTACTCCTTGTTGTACTCGGATATCAGTGTGGTGCTCCGTGTGTTCATCTGGTGGCAGATCCTCTGCCCATACTTGATCTTGTTGTTTAACACAATTGATATCGGCAAGGATAAAGAAGAAGTCACCGAGGAGAAGCGCCAATTGGCCTCCCGCCCAAGTTACAATATACTAAGCGTGGTTGTGGAAACGAACAATAACATGCTCCCGGTGTTCATGGCCCATTCGTTCGCCACAATCAACTTCGACTTCCCTTTCCACGAGGGAATTTCCCTTCCTTTGCTTTACCATATCGGAGTGATCAGTATCAAGTTTTATATCATCTGTCGCTTTATTCTTTACGAGATTGTGACGGTGGTGTTTAACATTTCTAACCTCAAGTCTTTTGCCGAACTTTACACTCCAGTTCAAATCGGTAACCCTAAGAAGTCATGGCTCTCTGGCCTTTCCCGCTTCACAACTTCAATTCTTCTTGCTACTACATTCATTTGCATCACATCCGATGTTGGTATAATCGTGCTTTCCAAGTACTATTCCTAAGGTTTCCCAAATAGATAGATTTATAAAACACTAATACATGGCTTAATGGCGGTTCCAAGCATCCTGTAAACCAGCCAGGTAGAATATCTCTTCTTCCTCACCATCGGTTTCGTCCTGAATTAATTCCGAACCATTGCTACCAGTCGAATCAAGTCTGTCACTCAACTGGGCTATGCTTCCCGAAAAACCCTCATAATCCCCCGCTTGTGCTTGATTCAATGCTTCATGTTTGGCTTCATCATGCTCTTCTAGCGCCTTTGTCTCCCTGTCGATAAGCACATCGTCAATAACGATATCCGTGGCGTTCTTATGCATATTGACAGCGCTTTGCTCGGTTATTCTCGGCTCAAGAGGGACCACTATCGCTTGCGGTGTGCCTAATTGTGGTTGCATTGTCGTGGGCGATGACAGCAAATTTTCGAATGACTCTTCCTCATTATCTGATTCTTCAGAATCCCGGTAGCTTTCTGTGACCTCTTCGCCATCCTCATCAAGAAGTTTACCGTAAGCACCTTCTTCAACCAATGCGTCAGGATAGGTATCCAAATTGCGCAGTTCAGAGGTTAGAAACACGCCATGGAGATCGCTGGGCGCCGTTTGAACCTCTGTTTTTGTTGCTGTCAAGACGGAAGGATTATCAGTAACAAGGCGCAACGACAATGGTAAGCCCTCCCAGTATCCTTCAAGTACACCGCCTTTCCAAATTCTCTCAACCGCCATTCCTGATTTCGGCGCTTCGCAAATCCTAGAATCCCGCACGGCATTCCAGATATCCGAAGGCATAACCTTGATTCCGATTTCATCAGCAGGATTGCTAAAACCCTTGTTCGACACGAGGGATGCAATAATTCGTTTTGTGACAAGATAAGTGATCTCCTCAAGGTAAACCAAGGATTGGAACAAGAGGCGGGGCGCTTGTTTCCGATCCTGAATCATCGTGATTTGGTTGCCTCGGTAGATTTTACCCACCTTGAATGCATTGTTGACGTCAATGAGCGGCGTTGACGAGTCCTCGGTTGGGGTTTCTTCCCCACGCTTCTTACCCACATACTCCTTCATTAATTTTGTCTCTTGTTTGCCCCTGTCAATATCGAGACGCCTTTCCCTGTCTGCTATGAGGATACTCTGGTCTTCCTCGAAATCAATCCATTCTTCACTCATCTCATATGCAATAGGTAGATCTGTGTGGCTGATCCCTCCTGGTACGGTAACGATATCATATTTGTGTCGTAGCACTTTAGAATCATGCAATGATTTGTCCTTGATCTGAACTGTATGACTTTGCTGTGATCGATACGATCGTAGTTCACGTTCAAGTAGTTCATAATATGCTATTATCTCTCCTATGCTTTTATGAGGGAGATATTGAAGAAACTCGTCCACTCTATGAATTGTGAATCGAGCCAAACATTTAAAGAACACCTCCTTTTCTTCACCTGTCCACAAAGTACCCACACTTAATTCATGAAATTCGGCTTCTTCTCGCTTCACTTGGTCGAGATAGTCTGGATCTTCCTCTTCGACCCTCAGAATTTTTTGAGGTCTATAATATGCCCTCTCAGTTGTGATCTTGCTATCTTGAAGGCTTCTTTTACAGCGCCGTTTCGGTATTTCCGCGTATTTCATACTGAAGAAGTCTTCAACATGTTCATTGTATAGTTCGACAAAGTTCCAGTCGCCTTTGAAGGCTCTTTCCGAAGACCCCAGCGCAGTTTTTTTCGTATCAGTGTTCGACTCAGTGTCTTCATTATGCTGAACGCCTCCGTTTTGGGCCCCTTCGTCAATATCCTCTGCGTCTGGGGCTTCCATGTTTATATCACCATCTCGAGTCTGACTTTCCAGCTCTTTGATGGCTTGTTCTCCATTATGAGACGCATCAAGAGATATGCTTTCACCTTGATCCGCTATATCTGGACCATTCAGAGTCTCAGAAGGTGCCTGCATCCGCTGGCGACCTTGATGTGGAAGAACAGTGGTTGGTGATGGATGAGATCTTCCTGTACAATGTAAGAGTAGTAGTAGCTACTGATCTAGAGGTTGGATACTCTTCAAGAATTTATTTTAAGCGAATGTGATAGTGAGAGTCGTGTTATGATCTCTCACAAGAAGAGTCTAGTTTGCTAGTGCAACGACAAATGTCTTGTCGTATCGTATCTTAAAAATATTGTCCATGCCCGTGCCTTCGAGATCCCCTCAAGCCAAATATCAAAACATCGTGTAGTTTGAAACTCGATGCTACTGAATCTTTGAAGATTTGACTTGGTCCCCTAGAGAAGTGAGCTCTTTGGAGTTTCTATCCCTTTCGGATTCATCTGCATTCGCGTCTTCGAAGTCCGTGTCTTCCCACTCACTATCTTCTTCAGGGTTCTTATACTCCTGTAGTATACGTGGAATAAATGGTTTTGGAACGTCTAGTTCTTGGGCGGCTTCGGCGTCGTCGTCAGAGGGATACAAATCCACATACCCCTCCGGGACAAGCCCATTTTCGCCCAGTTCTATATCTTCTGCAACCAACCAACCCTGGCCGTGTCTATAAGATATCCAAATGACCTGGCCCTCTTTTAGGGCGACCTCGTTATCGTTTTCAGGTTCAAAATCAAATAGAGCCACAGCTCTGCGGTTGATCTCTTCAGGACCTAGCGTGTCGTCGTCGTGATATGCATAATCGTCATCATTGAAATCTGGCAAATCCAGCGAATCACTGCTTGAAATCAGCGATCGCTGGCTGGAAGGATAATTATTCAAATGTAGTGGATGTGATTCTGGATAGGCATAGTCTTTGGTGGTTGTGTTTTCACGGGAAAGAATGTCTGGAGGCATCGTCAAACAATAAAAACCGGTGATTAAGGTATACACTTATTGGGACAAATAAAACTTTGAATGGTAATAGCACAAGAAGGATTTAAGGAGCGTGGGCTAAGGGAGCCTGGGAAAACTATATTTGCTTATGGAGGAGGAAACAGAAGAGAGTCGTACGCGCCAGTTATAGAAGCTATCCGCAGGAAGGCCCCAGGTAACGGGTATTTTAAGATATACTGATGAAGCCAAAAAGGTCAAAGTAAGCCAAAAAGGAAGATTTATAGATTCAAACTCTCCAGCATCCGTTTCATGTTTTTTCTGTTTCAAACCATCACTGTTTCCACCGTACATCCCTGCCTGGACACAGAATGCTGGTTCTACTGCGGTGATGCTTTTTTTGGATCTGTTGACTCGCGCCAACGGTTTTGGTGACCAGATCTCACGCGAGTACCAAAGTGACACAGAAACGTGTGGGATAGGTGAAATACGATGGAATGTTGCATTTTTGGAGAGTAGACGAAGGGCGGAGCTTTTTTGGGTGACGTCAAGATGATGTGTTTCGGTCTGCTTAGTGGGACTACCCGGTTTGCGTCAAATGCGCATGGACCCTGAGTTGCTGCAAAACGCCCAGGTCTGAGGACTGAAGAATGGGAAAGTGGTGGAGGATGTGAATGTTCTTTGGTAAAAAAAAAAAAAAAGAAAAAAAAAGAGAAAGGACAGAAGATGTGGTTTGGCCTGACTCACTTCCTCAAATGTCTACGACAACTGTCTCAGCGCCATGGCTTCCTTTCTCACTGAGGCGGTTTCCTACATCCATTCATGTACTACCCATTACCCACTTCTGTAGAAGCGAAGGCTCATGGATCGCCTAGATACTTTCTGCAACTTTATAAGACAATTGGCATGGATCGAATTTCTTTGACGACAGCTCGGATATTAGTCAAATATGCAAATGTAATGCCATGCCATGCCATGCGCTGGGACGCCAGTGAAGGTCACAAAGGGTCCAGGAGGAGTTTACGGGTATAAAGGACGAAGAGCTTGGCAAATCTTATGGAGATATACTTATTGGGATGAAGGAATTAGGTGATGGTGTGTGTTCTATATCTTCTGTGCAATGCAAGTGAACACCAAGGCAGCTTGCCCAGAACTTGGATTTCGGTAAAATGTACCCTATTCTACTATCTGTATTGAATTCTAATATTTTTATATCCAATTCCTTTGGGAAACCCAGTTTGTTGGGGCCTTGGTTCCTCTGGTTTGGAGTACTAGGTGAAAATTCCTGCACAGCTCCAACATCAATAGAGCTGCGATCTCACTTCTTCACTAAAACTCCATCTATATACCACAATGGACCCAGCAGAAGAGCAGCAACAGGAGCTAGAGGTTCTCCAATCGATCTACCCAGATGAGCTTGAAATCCTCTCTGACACAGCTTTCACAATCACATTGAGGTTGGAGACAAAGTCGGATAGAGGTCACTCTGTGGTGTTAGATGTCAAGTACACTCCAACCTACCCAGAAGAAGTACCAAAGTTGAATGTAACTGTGGACAGTGAAGAGCTTCCTGTGCCTTCTGATGATGAGGATGATGATGCTGACAAGTCCAAGTTGGTTCATCTTTCAGAGCAAATTGAGTTAGGCAAGTTAGATGCGACATCGCTCACGAAAAGATTAGAAGAAGAGGCAGAGCTTAATATTGGTATTCCTTCGGTTTTTGCATTGGCAGCTTTGCTTAAAGATGAGGCCGAGGCATTGTTCCAGGCCAAGCTAGATGCTGCTCAGAAGAAGTATGAGGATGAGCTACTAGCAAAAGAAGCCGAGGAACAGAAGAAGTTCTTCGGAACGCCCGTCAATAAAGACACATACTCAGACTGGCGTGCCAAGTTTAGAAAAGAGATGAGGATCGAGGAGTTGGATAGACTGAGATTTGAAAAGATGCATAACGGCAAGATGACCGGAAGAGAAATCTTCGAGAAGGGCTTGGCTGGTAATGAAGAGGATGAATTTGACGATGTGGCTGAATCCATGCAAAAGGTTACAGTGAACTAGACTATGATATGGTATTATTATTCTATTTACTCCTACGATTGACGTTTTTATGAAGTGGCATTCACTCTAGGTGTGAAATCCATTGCCAAACCTTCATCACATCCCCATGAATTTCAAGCAAAGTTGCTTTAACATTGGTGTTACGGTCCACCCGACGGCTTACCGACTCCCAAAGCCTCATTTTGCGAGCCAAGTTTTCCTCATTACTGAGAATCAAGTCTCGGAGTTGTATAGAACCCACATAAGGAGGAACATTGGAATCGCGAGCATCTTTAGCTTGTTTTTTAAGCTTCCTGAGCACTTCATTGTAGATAGTTTCCACGCGGTGTGCTTGAAGTCTTGACTGGCGATAATTGTTGTGAGCAACGAAACTGCCAATAACAATGACAGCTATACCCACCAAGTGAGGTATGTGAGCCACTAACCATTCAACCATATGGTTGGATAAGTGACACATCAAGGAGATGTGCGATAAGGACGTTGATCGAAAAATCGTGTCCTGCTCCGGCGTCTCGCCAACAGTGTCAGAATCGTCACTTGGGGGACGAATGTTATGAGCAGATCGTTTGACCTAGAATGTTAGTATAATTTTAGTAATACAGTACGAGACCACTCTGGGTCCGTAGAAAAATTAGCAACTTGCCTTACCGTTATTTCCGGTTCCTTCTCCAACTCCACAACCGAACGTTTCCACAAATCTTCAAACTCCTCCTCTGTAATGTAAGGTGCCTTGAGGGCGAGCAATAAGTCATGCAACTCGTTCACCTCAATTCCGGCTTCGAAATTGTCGACACCAGTCAGACCGCATTGAATGTTGGCGTTTCGAGCCCTCAACAAGTCAAGAGCCTCGTTGATCATGAGTTCAACTTTCTCGGCCTTTTTGGTATCAGGAATGCATTTCTTGGCTCTTGGATCGAACACTGGCCAATATTGGTAGTACCATGGTTTGTATTCCACAAAGTCTTCATAACATGCGAGCTTCAAGTTTGGGAAGCATCTAGCATGTTGCGGACATGGCACACATGTGGGCTTGAAATTGTCATCAAGATAATCGCCTAACTTCGAAAGCAAGACAGGTGTATCTGGCAGGGTAGGAATCGTTGGCTTGTCAATTTCATTTCCACAGTAGCCAATGAGGATAGTCTGTTCCCTGTACCAGTAACCGAACATAGCGAGACCAATGAGGACAACCCAAAGACCAATAAACAGCAAAGTAGTAGCCACCTTCTGAGGCCTTGGCTTCTTGCCCTTGGCCCTTGAAGCAAGGGTACGTTTGGGGGCCTCTTCTTCTTGTTCTTCCTGATCTTCAATATCTGTATCAGCTTCTTCATCACTGACAGAAGAGGGCCATTCGTCCTTTTTCGTAGACAAAGGCTCGATAGGGAGAACATCCTTTTCAAGATCCTCGAGTAGCGAGCCATTGTTAGAGGCCAAACGTCTTTCTGGAATGACAATTGGCCTGCGAGGCGTGATACTTCTTCTGCCCCTTGGCTTTGGCTTCACTCCATGTACATCCACACCTAGTAGTTTGGCGAGTTCTTCGTCTTTTCTACCCTTGGTTGTCAAAGAATTGTCTTCTTGGCCTTTCAATTTTGAAAGTGCTGCATCAAAGTTGTTGGCATCATCAACAAAGTCTTCCTTGATTGAGCTGCCCCATTTATCGTCCACCGACCCAGTAGTGTCATCACGAGACACATCCGTAGTACTATCAGGGATAGGGGCGAGAACAGGTGCAGACACTTCTTGCTTGACTGGAGGAGACTGCTTTTTTACCTTAGGGGAAGGTGGCTTTTCCTCTTTTGTTGGCGTAGACTTCGAGAGGTTATGCTTCACGTCCTCATACGCGGATCTAGCAATCTCGGCTGCTGGAGAGATCGATCCTCTAGAACTCTCTCTCTTGGCAGAAACTTTCCTGGCCTTTGGTTTCTTCTCTGGAGCAGGCAGCGATAATGTCTTTGCTTTCTTGGGCTTGGGGCTGAAGATAACAGTGTCTGAATCTGAGTCAACATCAACTTCGAAGATATTTCCCTTTGGCGGGGTATTCAGCTCAGAGTGGTCATCAAAAACAGACGATTTTCTCTTTTTCAGTTTCTTGGATGATGATGAGGTGACAAATGGGCTTTTCGTAGCTGAAGATTTAGGTGTCTCTTGGATGGTAGAGTCGTGTGCCAGACTATCAACAATGGAGTCCTTTGATTCTTCCACAGCCTTTTCATCCGTCTTCTCTGCATCAGAACTCTCGACCTTCAGCTTATCAGATTCAGGGGATTTTGGCTCCTTCTTCTTGGATGGCTTACGGACTTTCTCAGACTTCTTCTTCTCAGACTTCTTCTTTTTAGGCTTCTCTTCTGGGGAGTTCTGTTGATCTGTATCGACTTCAATGACCTCAATTTCAGAATCTGGGATCGGAGACAGAACATTTGGAGACTTTGGCGACTTTCCATTCTGCAAAGCAAGTGTGCTGTTGAAGATTCCAACAAGCTCCTTCTTCTTTGCGGTAGCTGGGAACTCTATGTCATTCTCGCGAAGGATGCTTCGCAATTGAGCTACCTTGATCTTTGACGGATCAAAGTCTGGGGTTAGTATATAGTGATGATTTAGAGACAAATGGGCCATTACTTACCGTCTTGAAGATATTCCTTGTCCATGGTCCGGAGGCAACTAGAGATTGATGATGTTTATTTTGATTTCGCAGTCGTTATGGCGGCACGTGATTTTGCAGCCACTGGAGGCGACTCCCAGAGGCAAAAAAGGCAAAGAGGCAAATAAAGAGGCAAAGATGGGAAGAAAAAAAAAGCTCTTGGCAGGGGAACAAAGAGTGAATCAATAGTAGCTTCGAAATAATAAATCACACATCAGGTGCATCTCATTCATAGATACCGTTATCTCTCACCATAAACCTTACATACTGGAGCTTCGCATTTTGCAACCATTCTGGAAGCCCAACAGCTCCTGATCTTCACCACATGGAACCACCCAGCCAGAACCCTCTAGACTGAAACCTCTGCTTTGCCTCTTCCTCTATTCCAGTTACTTTGTTGCTGTTTTGATTCAAAAAAGAAAATGATAGCAATTCTGAGTGACGAAGAGGCATAGACAAAGCCTGGCTTGCTTAAAGGTTCCCTGCTTCAACACCACGCATATCATCTGTGGTCCAAATAATCCCGATCTACAGGGCCCTACTGTTTAAAGCAACAGACGTTATAGTTTCCTGATTGCGTGTGCAATTGGAATGATGTAACCAGAAGATCATCACTGTCATTAGGGCGAATAATGAAGCGTGATTTCCACAAAGCAGACCAGGCAGACCAGACAGACCAGACGTGGACCACGAAGTGATCCCGATTTACATTCACCCCCTGGGACTTCCCTCCAAAGGGACGAGATCTATTCTCTTCAGATTAATTTAATTCATGAACCAGTAACTATTCTCCTTCTTCTTTCTCTTCTTCATTGGTCCCTCCGCCTCCACTTTAAGTCACCGTCATTGCATCACCTACCGTTTCTGTTTTGCTGTACTACTGTCCCCTCACCAGGACAGGACCCTGATCTGATCCTGATCTCCCAAAGCGCCACCCTGATCCAGGCCACCTTATACTTGCCTATTTCTACCAGCCGATCTGAAGAAACCAAAAACCAGAAACCAGAAACCTCAAATCACAACCCAGAAACAACCCAAACCTTACATAGAGGCCGTAAAGTGATAATAAAATTGCGTTTCATTTAAGTAGGCTGATCCTACTAAGATGCATTTTCGGCAACCTTCAGTACCCTACGATCTTCACTCCAGGTGCATACATACACGAAATCCATTGCATTGCTATGCAAAGCCGATGATTCGAGTGGGTGCATTTTATTGCTCGATTGTACTTCCCATTCACTTGCTTGATCTGATAATCTACCAGGACCAAACCAAAGGCGTAGAGAAAGAGAGACAAAATGGATCTCTACAGTCAACAAGTCCACTTATTTACAGGGTGTACCCCCAAGGGTTGGCACTACTTTACGACCAGTCGATCGCCGTGACCAACACAAAAAGTGAAGTTGGGTAAAAGCCTAGGATGACTTGCCCCGCGGGACAAAGTACGAGGTGCTAGGCCCAGAAGAGAAAAGGTAAACAGGTGGAGGTAGCCACGGAAAGTGGGCACGGAAAGTGGGCGTGTAAAGTTCCGAACGAGACGCTGGAGGTGGGTCTGAAACAGCCAAGCAAGGTAAGCCGAGGAGAGGAGAGAGATGCAAATGCAGAAAGTGAAAAGCAAAGCCTAAAGGCAAAAATAAGGCACTAAAAAAAAAAGGGAACATTTGTCGCGATTTCTCGAATGTCGGGCAGAACCGAGAGGAAATAAGGGACGAGGGAAAAGTGAAATTTGCCGATCCCTGGGGGGCACCAAGAAGGCATAAAAAATAAAAGCCCAAAGCCAAAAGCCAAAAGCCAAAACGGCACCGCAGGACAGGGCAAATCTCAACTAACACACTAATAAGCCGATCTGATCTCACATTGCTTCTATTAAGATCGCTTGTGGCGCCAGGATCTCTCTCGACTATCGATGATCGATGATCCTCTGAGCAAGGCAAAGCAAGGCAAAGCAAGGCAAATCTGCGGCCAGCTGGAATGCGCGACTAACTCCAAAGCCTCAGAGGGTCGAGAGGTGTAGACATGGAGAGAAAGAAGTGATGGTGGGAAGTAGTGATGGCCAGTGGATCGTAGGCGGCCAAATAAGGTTTAGAGGGAGAGGGAGAGCAGGGGCAGGGGCAGAGGGAGAGGGACAGGCAGTATATAGAGGGGACTGGAGCAGCAGGCAGTAGGCAGGGAAGTAGCTGGGGAGTACTGACAGCCAGGGAGGCAGCCAGGGTGGGCTGAGCCAGGCCTATTACAAAGCGTATAGTCATTTACTAACCGTTGCCTAAAAGCTGCTGGGCTGCTTAATTTGTCTATACGCTGCGTTACCTATTTTTCCCTCCTGGTTCTGTGTTCCCACCTTCTCTAACTGTCTGTCTGTCTGTTTGTCTGCCGTGCCGAAGCAGCGTCAGTCAGACACACCTGGATCTTTCACAGGCTCGCCGTAAGAAGATGCGCGAGGGCCAAGGTGCATGGAGGTGCCTAGGCGAAAAGTCGGCTGCCGGCGCCTCTCGCCGAACATTGAGCGATCCCCAGAACCCCGACCCAGCTTTCCAGGAAACGGGAGAACCACTATATAAGAAGGGGAGGCCTTCCCCTTCATCACTACTTTTTCCTGGCGCTCGGATTTGTCTCTGGTCGAGTTAGGCGCTGTCGCAGCGTTTGAATCCTTCGGTGCTTCGTACACTCCTGCGGTAGGCTGCAGCGCCTGTGACGACCAGGACAGGGCAATGAGCAGCAACGGATCACTTTTCCGTGGTACATTCCAGTTCCATGTACGGTGATTGTCTGGTAACAAGCAAAAAAAAAAAGAGGTCATTTTTACACTTTATAGACTGCCGCTTGTCTTTTAGCTTCCATACGCCTTTGTTCGGCGTTTGTTTGTGGAACTTTCGTCTTTGTCATTAACCTTTTGTCGTGGACCTTTGTCTTTTCTTTGTCGTCTTGTCTCATTCTTGCTTGTTACTTAGAGGAATAGGCTCCCTGTGGACGTATTAAAAGGTCGATCCGACTACCTCCTTCTAACCTCCTCTGCATCACCTTTTGTTTCCTACATCTCCCACGTCCTGCCAAACGTCTAATCCAATACTGCCTCCTTTGTCTTTTCCTTGTGTCACTTCCTGACCTGCCCTGGTAAAAGTGCCTAAAGTGCCTAAAGTGCCCCCCAAATCCCCCATCCTCGGCTGGTTGCCCGCTGCGTGTCGCAGAAATGCGCTCGTAAGTCAGATGAACGAAGCTTTTCACTGCTGGTTGCAGTGGAGGTGCAGACAGATTAACCCTCTGTGCGGCCCATTCATTTTTTTTTTTTTTTTTTTTTCGGTTTCTCCCACCGTTAAAAAGTCCCTGGCTGTGTCACCCCAGGGTCACTTTTGGGCGACCGTCCTACAATCCTCTCGCTACTGGAAATGGCACTGGCAACTTTTAGAGATAACAAAACACTTTGTTGATCCCTCCAGGTCTTTTTATTATATTTTTTTTGTGCAACATCACCTGCCCTCTTTTGTGAACCTGGTGTATGTGAGTCCGCCAGTGCTGCCAATCCAGTTTTGTGTTTCTTGGTTTTTTTCTTTCCCTGTTCAATTTATTCTCTGGTACATCTGTGAACTTTGTCTTTGCATTTACGCTCCCCGGCCGTTACTCGTTGGATGTTTCATGCCCCCACGTCACCAGACTCTTTTTCGCCCTCTGCCTTGCCCTCTGCCTTGCCTTTTTTCGACCTGGCTGAGGTCACCACTGGGAATTTACTCCTCGCGCACCGTCATACCGCCTTGGCCCCATTGACGGCCTGCCCATGCCTTAGCCTGAGGCTTTCCACGGTTACACTTACGCTGGTAGCCTGGCTGCCCAGCACTGGGCCAGAGGCATCAAACGCCAAATGCAAGAACGTTTGCAGCGCCCAGAGCTACAACGTTACCGTGGACTCCTGGCCACCTTTCGCCCTGGTATCCTCGGCTCCAAACCTCTTCCACACGTTTGTCACTGGGCATGGGCACAAAAGCACCACCTCACCTCCCGGCGCCATCCGACTTTGTACCTCGTGGGGGACCTTCTTATCTGGCACGTTGATGCCTACCTATTCATTTGGATCTATGTTAGTGGACTGCTTCCATTCCTTTGCTTGCCTTCGCTTGCTCTTCTCTACTCTCGTCTCCTGCCACCTTCCTGGGGGAAAGTGAAGAAGTCCGACGCAAGCGAGCCAAGCGAGCGAGCGAGATTGTTGGGCTAGGGGAACTTCTCGGCGCGGCGCCAGGATAATTTGTGCCCGCGCGAAAGAAAAAAAAAAAAAAAAAAAATTAACAGTTACGCCGCCGCTGGCCGCGACCGAAGGAAAATTAGTGGTTTTTTTTTTTTCTGGTTGACGCCGCAAAAAAAAAGGGTGAAAATAAAAATAAAAATATAATTTAAAAATGGTGCACCGCAATGAGAATAAGGCTTTGTGTATCTCGCCAGCGGGTATTGCACCTTCGGTGCCGCCAAACCACAAACCTGTTTCAGGAAACGGAGTGGGAAACTTCCCCCTCCTCCTTTTCCCCCTAAAGTAAAATTCACAAAATTGCGACACTCCTTATACTTAAGACAAGACTTGACGGCTTTGGCGAAAAGGACAATACTGAAACAGGAAGAAGAAAAAAGGTTTTTTTTTTGGTGATGTACTACGAGCGCAATGCTAGGGGGGGGAACGAAAAGCAGGGAAGGGCCTTTGTTTAACGTGGAATGCCAGCGCCCCTTGCTCGCTTGATGGGGTAAGAAAGAATGGGCGTTGTTTGTCCACTGCAGCAAATAAAAACCACCCTCTGCGCATCTCAGAGTCAAAACACTGCTGCCGCACACTCGATACTCAACGCATGCATGCTCAATGCGCCCTTGTATAGTGCATGCACATCCACTGCACCTCTGCTGCACTTCGTCTGCACCTCCATTCGACCGCATGCACGAGCTGCGTGCTGGTCTCTGAAATCTTCTCCCCTATGCAGGTCGCCTCGTCTTCCCAACCCTATCCCCTTCTTCCAGGGCCTCTCCTCTTCCTCCCTGACCCTTTCCTACTTCCGTATCTTCTTCTAAGTGTCTGATGTCGCTACCCTCCCACCCACCTTACGGTTACGGTGTTTCTCGCTTGGCCGACATGAAACCTAACGTGCGTCAGGCAATAGCACATCGTCGCCAAATCATGTAACCCACCTTGCAGCATGCAGGCCCTGCATTTCTCTTGCTATCACTATATATACCGCTCGTTTCCTATCACCATTCCGTAACCACCCACTTTTCCCCCCATCGCCCTTTCTTCCTGTGCTATATAACCCGGGCCAGCTTGTCTTAGACTCTATGTGTTTCGTCGCATCGCGCCTATAGCCTACTCCCCCATTCCTTCCCCCCTTATCATTATGCCCAAGCTTCCGTCGGTATCAGAGTTGATGGTGGGCGCCCTGCTCTCCTCAGTGCTAGACCGCTCCTCAAACCACAACTCTTCCAGGCACCTGGCCCTGAGCCCTCGCTCGGCTTTACCTGTGCTGCTGCCTCATGACAAATACCTCCAAAAAGATCCTCCTCCTCCTCTGGCTCCTATGCCAGTGGTACCGAACACTTTGCCTCACCCTCGATCCAGAGGCACCTCTTTTCTGGGACCTATATCCGCCCCTTCCCGCCCGGCAGACTATTTTTCTCCAAATCATCCGGTGCAACTCCCACCACCACAGGTGACTCCTCATCCACAACATCCGGGTATCAGTCAACACCTGCTGCACGAACAACAGCCCCATGTCGAGTCACCCTTACACGTGCTGCTGCCGAAACAGTCGAGAGCATCTCTGCTTTCACATCCTCCCCACTTCCAGCATCAACACCCACCACAACAGCAACAACAGCAGCAACCTCAACCTCAACCTCAACCTCAGCAACAACAACATCCCCCACAGCATCAGCAGCATCAGCATCAGCATCTACCCCCACAACACCCTCATGCACCTTATCAACAGAACTATCCTGGCGCACCCAGCAGCGTGCCGCCTCCACAGCCACAAATGATGGGCCCTGTGCCCGGCGTAGTGATGCAACCTCACGTTTACCAGCAGATGCCAAACAACGTGAACCCTTACTATAACGTCGGGCTTCCGCCACTCATGCCTACAGTGATGCCACCTCAGTATGGCAAGCCTGTTTATGGTCCACCGCCACCTGGCCAGGCCCCAAGGCACGCTGAGCTTGAACAGAACAATGCGTTGGTGAACAAGCGCCGGATCATCAAAAGAAGAACTCGCACCGGGTGCCTTACTTGTCGCAAACGCCGGATCAAGTGTGACGAGCGTAAACCACATTGCTACAACTGTGAAAGATCTAAGAAACTTTGTTTAGGCTACGAGATGGTGCCTCAGCAAGGCAAGCGCCGCAACCTGGAGAATCTGAACAAGTCAGACAAGGATAGACGATCATCAGTATATGACTTGATGTAAAGGTGCGGTAGCGAACGAGAAGGAAAACCCACGCTACGCTGATCATGATCATCGATCCCGAGGACCAAGATTTGATGATCAGAAGTAATGGATTGATTCTAATTTTTTTTTTTTCATTGGGTGGATAAGCTTCTTCCACAAACGCAGGCGTTTGTGACTAATATACATTGCATTTACTCAAAGTACGCTATTTCTTTCAATCTTTTATCTATTTCAAGCAGTCTTGCTATCAAGTCACGGCCCGCCGTGCCCGCTTATACATTCTTTATGCATTATGGGTCCCATGAAGCTGAGATCCTCTTCAAACAAGCCTTGTCCCCACTGAATGCACTTTCCAGAGTGCACACTATCCATCGGTGCCTGAGTTGCAACTGCAGGTGGCTGCAAAGCGCGAAGGCCCTACCAAGTGGGTAGACCCGAAGCGAGTCAAGTGTCACTCCACTGGTTATGATATAGTGGGTGGTTCATTTAGCATGTCATCAACATTCCACCACTCCCCCCATTGAAACTTAACCTATCCTTTTGTTCCCCTCGCTAGCTGATGATTATTTTTAAGCCCACAAACGTATCTGTCCAGTGCTTTATGTGGACATTTGCGCATACGGCACGGTATGCCGTACGTCGGATCGCTGCAGCGTTGTTACACTGCTCGCTCGCGCGCGTGCACGCCACGCAGCCCTGCTCGCAGCCCTAGCCACTGTCCATTGTTGGTGCTTGTCGAGACATTGTCCCATGGCAAAGGGCAATCGTCAGTGCAATGGCCCATAACCCGAGGCAACTATTACCAGGAAAGTGGTGGTTTGCGCTTGAAGAAAGTAGGCCCATATCTTTCTTAAATTTGGGCTCCAGGCCTGGTTCTTTTTTTGTTTCGGCAACATTTCCCGCTGCCGCCTGGCTTTCCCGCTATACCTTAGACTGAAGGGTGAAAAAAGTCTCCACCGCACCCGGGGCATTTGCACCCGCGCTAAGGCCAGGTCGTCGTGGACATGGCAAGCCTTTAGGCTTGGACACTTTTTAGGTTTGCGGATTGAAAAGTGTAGGGATATTTTGAGTTTGGCTTTTCTTTCTTTTTTCTCGCTCGGCTCGCCTGAGGCGCCAAGGGGCAGATTCTTCAAGGGCACGGCGTCTGTGGCAGATTTCGAGATTCAAAGGTTCAAGGCAGCATCTACGCGAGCCACTTACTGCCTTCCCAGGCCGAAAATTGTGCCGCAAGAAAAAGCCAAATGGGATTTAGCAAAAAGCTAAGACAGCCCAGGCAGAGCAGGTAGAGCATAAATTAGGTTTACCCAGAAAAGCTTCATTTTGTTGGCTACCCACAGGGTCATCTTTTCCTCTTCTTTTCTTCACTTTCCAACGGTGGATGTCCCGTGCTGGTCGACTTTGACCGGTTCATCGCCTGCGGTGGACCGCCTTAACCAAACCTCCACCCATATCTATTTCTCGCAAGGATATCCGTGGGCGGTGTAAAAAGAAAGAAATACGAACACGTCGGTTAACGACGGCTACTCTTTCCTTGCTGGGCCATCAGGTGAGTTTCTAGAAACTCTACTTCCATCTCATCCTTATTTTTTTTTTCCAACCTTTTTTTTTTGCCTATTTTCTTCTGCTTGGCCCTTTTGTGATTCTCCCCGGATTTGTCTAACCTCTTTTTTTGGGGAGGCCATTTTCTCATGGGGCTCCGCGTCAACTCGGGGTTCGGCGCCCAGCGCATATCATAAAGCGACTTACGCCGTGCTCAGACCACCAGAAAACAACTCCAACTGATAAAACGGAAAACTAAAAATGCAACATAGTGGTCGCCACATACACGGTTTTTGGACCTTCTTATGATAACACCACACAAACACGAGCGGCGTTGGTGTCACGAAACGCTCGCAACGGTTTCTGCCAAGGCACTGAAGATGGAAAAACAAAAAGTGAAAAAATGGAATAAACGAAAAATTAAGACCATCTCTGGACCTTCGCCCCTTCTCATGCCTTGGCTTAACCTTTTTAACTTCACTTGCTTCCTGTTCCACCATTCCCAGCAGGGTAAAAACTGCAACCGCTCGCCTGCCGTGGAACCTCCGCGGCGCACTACTGGTGATTGTTTAAGCGAGTTTGCGTTAGCCGACTTTAGCCTGACGCACCTGGGCCCTAGCCGAGACATCCCCCACGTCAAGGTGCTTCCAGCCAGCCAGCGGTGGGAGGAGGACCAGAATGGTACGATAATACCGTTAAATGGGATGTTTTTGGTCGTTGCTGGGTTTAAAGGTGGGTTGGGGCGCTCGGGTTTGTTGGTATTGCCTTGCTGCTATTTTCGTTGCTGTACCTACTTGTAAAAAAAAGTCGCTACGCTTCTCGGTTCCACGCACCTCGCTTGACCATTTTTGTGCTAGAGCTTATTGCTCACTGGCTAGCTCTTTTTCGTAATTAGGCTATGGCGTACTGTGGGAACGGTTGTAAGCGTAAACTCCGTCATTTCTACACGCTGGGGTTTACTGGCCAGCACGACAACTGGGTATTGTGCTTTCCCCTGTTTGCGGTTCTTAGCACCAGCATACTTCTGTTGTTTGTGTATTTATTTTTTCTTGTATTTTTTGCTTCTCGGTTGGCAAATTTAACCGCCGTTTCTGCAATACTCCTCCATTTACTGTAGCTGGAAATAATTTACAACGCCGGGCATCTCCTTAAAAAATTTGGGCGCCCAAAAAATAATCCCTCCATAAATTAGGCCTTCTCCATCTCTTGAACAACATAGTCAAGCACGTATGTTTGTTCCACCAACTCCTCAAGTCTCTGGTAATGTCTTTCGTTGTATGGAATAACCTGCTCCACCATCTTACGAATGTTGCCTCTTTCCATGTCTAGCTGGGCAACTATCACGGTCAAAACTTTCTGAGCGATTTCAAATTGCTTGAAGTTGATATTCCAGTCCCTGACTCGCTTTAAAAGTGCTTCCATCTGTTCGTCTTGCAAATTTTTCATCGTTTCCTCGAGCTGTTTAGAGCCAACCGCCAGCTCCGGGTCATCGTTGCTCCCTATGGCGGCTTTGACCACGTTGTATAATCTCATCAGGTGCTCCAACGTCAACGCAAGCAAAAAGGCATTACTCCAGTCGTTCTTATTAATGTAGTTGCTCAACTGCTGTTCCTGCTCCACTTTCTCTTTTTTCTTTTCTTCCTGCTCTAAAAGAAGCTCCTCAGTCCGGTCTCTCCAAAGACTCAAATGACCGTCTGCATCAGCGGTTACCATCTGCAACCCGTCTTCCTTCACGTCAGCAGCCCAGATTCTGTTGCTATGATTATCAAGCGTGGCCACACATTCTGATTCTTTGACATCCCACAACTTCACTAAACCGTCCGCTCCCGTGGTCATTATTTGTTTGTTTTTATTGATGAACCGACTTCTTTGCACGGCGTTTGTGTGTCCTTCGAGAGTCTTGGTACAAGTATAGTCCGTCAACAGCCAGATCTTGGCTGTCTTATCTCCAGATCCCGTGGCGATAAGCTTATCATACTGACAAAAGCTGATATCCCAAAGTCCTCTTTTGTGACCCTTGAGAACACCAACAGTCTCGCCTGACTCCAAGTCCCAAACTTTACCCAACTTATCGAAAGATGCTGTGGCAAAAAGCTCGTCGTTTGGAGCGATAGCAAGACAGTTGATATCCTTGTCGTGTGCTCTTCTAGTGTACTCACTGGTTTTAACCGTGGACCCAGCCTCCTTTGGTACCTTCCACTTCTTCACCGTCAAGTCAGCAGAAGCAGTGATGACGAATGCTGGAACGTTGTTGATATTCTTTGGTAAAGCACAGCCAGAAACAGCTCCAGCGTGGCCTGTGAATACAGCAAAAGAAGAAAAGCCCTCTTCCTCCTCGTTCCATCCCCAAAGTCTCGCCAGATTATCCTTGCTTCCTGTGAGAATCCATTTTCCATCTTCGGAAACGTCTATGCAATTAAGTAAGTCTGTATGGCCCTCGTAAAGCTGGACATCAAGTGGAGCATTCTGTAAGTCCACCACTCTCAAGGCTGGAGCGTTGGTGGCCATAGCCACAAGATTCATATCAGGACCAGCATATCGAAGGTCAGCAATAATACCATGGTTACCAGCTACTCTTCTCGTTATTGGAATAACAGCAGCTCCTTCCTCAACGAACATGTCTTCTAGAGACAACTCGACCATAGTTTGATCAGACACAATCATCCATAAACGGGTATCATCATTTGTGTGGATTACATCAATAGTCATGAGCTCTTCGGAAGTTTCCAACGGCTTGGGAGATCCACCGAGTGGTTTGCCAGATGTGATGTCCCAAAGTTTGACCTGGTTTTCAGAACCAGCAGTGTAGAACACCAGTTCTCCCAGAGGAATCTTTACAAAGCCACAGCACTCCACTTGGTGTCTGACTGTTATCGTGTTTACCACCTTTCGTAAGTTATCGGTGTTGTATAACACCACCACGGCATCTCTACCACCTGTGATGAACTGCTCTCCATCTGGCGAAAAGGCAAGACCTCTAACAGCACCTGAATGCTCTTGATGCGTAGAAATACACTTTCTCTTCACTAAATCCCACACCTTAGACGTACCCATAGTGTCTCCCAGCGCTACCATCCACTTAGACGAATGAAGCTGGCCATGGAAACACAAAGAACAGATGATTGTACCATGTCCTTTAAGCGAGTGGGTGATGTATCCACCCTCAACGTCCCACACAGTGACAACACCGTCAGTGGATCCAAATGCAAAAAGAGAAGACGTCTCATCAGCCGTGGCGATGTACACTGGTGCTGAAAGCTTTGTCTGTTTTGTGACCTCTCCAGTTTCAACGTTATAGACTCGAAGCTGCTGTGACTGGGAAATGACAGCAAGATGAGCTCCATCTGGAGTTAATGCAAGGGCAGTGACAAGCTCACCATCGCCTTCTAGCGTATGGAGAATAGTATTGGAAGCCAAGTCAGTCACCACGACATCTTCGTTTAACGGGGTAGCGACAATAGAACCATCTTCAGAAAAGGCAGCTGCAGTGGCACCAACATAGAACGGCTCTATATCTTTGACACCGTATGCTTGTCTAATTGGCTCTGCCATGGTACCTGTGATCTATTATGGAGCTGAGATGATTTTTCAATCTTGATGCGATGCCTTTGTGCGATGCCTATGTATGTGTACGTACAGTACCAACAGTATCAAGAGGGTGCCAGTGAATGCTACTACTTCTCAAAGGAATTAGTAAAGAAAGCTGTGTTGGTTTATTGGTTTAAAGATACTCGATCTCGAATGGTAGAAGTTAAAATTTCATCAAAAGAATGGGTTCTTTGGAAGGAGGTGGTTTCTCTGAATGGCTGCGAAAACCAGTATAAATTGAAGCTAACTAGCATGTCCTATATCGAAGCAGGAAGTGAAGAAAACGAAGATTAGTACTGCTTGGTGGTATCATAGATCTCCTATTTTTTCTAATATAAAATCACTTGCATGGGTGTGGCCTACTGCTGCCCTGCTGCCTTCTCTCTATTCTCATTGTGGGCTACTACACTATCTGCTTTGTAATAAAAATGTAAATTCAAGCTCGAAATGAGCTCGAAGACAGTTGAAACCTTGTCACAACGCATGCTAGCATGGCTGGGAATTACTGGAAGGTAAAAAATGCAAAAAGAAAGCCCGATGCGGGGCTCGAACCCGCAACCTTTTGATTGACCTTATGATGATTAAGAGTCAAATGCTCTACCGATTGAGCTAACCAGGCTTCGTTGAAAACTTAAAAATGTTGGTTTAACAGTAACGCTAATTTGGTAAAAGGTCAAAAAAGCTTTGGTTTTGTACTCCTTTGATGTTTATTTGAATGTTTCAAGCACTTCTGTGGTGCCCAATTGCGCGAAATCCTCCGGTTTTTTTTTTTAGCCAAATAGTTTGGTTCCAAATCGATGTTATCTACCAAGACAGAATCGGCGGTAACCATGAGGGATACACCTGTGAGGTTAAGCCAAAAGCGAAGCCCCCGGTGAAAAATGAAGTTACATCCAAGAAGCGTAAAAGCCTAGGGGCTAGTGACACTAAAGGAATAAAAAAGAGAAAAGATGCAGTGAAAGGCCACTGGAGAAGAAACTCAGGCTACTGGAGAAGAAGCGAAGGAGAAGGCGATAGAGTAACATCGGGACAAGATTCACCGAACCGCTAGCAAGACATCTTTATCACCAGGTTCTACAACCAAAGCACGATTTTTGAGATATTCATTGTGATTCAAGTAATCATAACGGGAAGTATACCGCTTTACTGTGCTATTAATGGTGATTGGCATCTCTAGCTTGATCTTCACAACAGCAGACATAAGCGAAACTTGCATGATACCACAAATAAGGACGAGTAATTAAACTGCCAATGAAGTAAATACTGTAAATTGTGTAAGGGCTTCAATAACCCAGTTTAAGCGATCTCGATGCCCATGTACTTTGCAGTTTCTTTCATATAGCTTTCAATGTAATCTTCAATTCCTTCACCTCTATCTCCATACTTGTCACCCGTAACAAGTTGTTTGAGCCTAAAGAACAAAAACACAAGATTACTGAGGAATAGAGAGAACTTCACCCGAAGCAACAGAACCCATGGTCCTGGATGAATCAAGGAAAACTTTCTTTCCTCTGTGAGTGTCTGAAGGGCACAGTTGGTGAACATATTGATCCGATTCACCGGGCTTCCCATGGTCTGGTTTAAATTCTGCATCATCCTCATGGATCGCAGAAGAAAAAGCATTTGTAGAGGAAACTTTGTTTCATCTCCTAGAAAGCTTTTGATAATGTCATAAGAGCTGCTGTTCTTCTTGATAAAGTCCTTTGGAGGTGGTCGTAACTGAACCATAGTTGTCAAGATCAGAGCGTCACCGATACCCCACGAATTGGCAATCTCCTCCATTCTCTGGGTATCATACAGAAACAAGCTCTCCCATATAGCACAATATTCTTTGCGGAACTTCTCGGGTAGTGTTACATACAATCCATGGTCCAAGATCACCAACTCCTGCTTGCCGTTGTGTATTCTTGCTAGGAGGTTACCTGGGTGTGGATCGGAATGGCAGAAGCCGTAGTTGAATACTTGACGGCCAAAGGCATTCACATACTGTGTCATCATTGTCGTGATATTAAGCTTGGCATCTATCAACTTCTGTTTGTCAGCAAGTGATACACCGTCAATCCATTCTGTGACAAGGATTGGTCTTCTGGTGTAATCATCGTAGTTTTTAGGGACGTAAATATTCAACTTGTCCATTTGTCTATCGTTGGAAAGGAGTTCTGAAAGCTTGGCAGCGTTTGCTGATTCGTGCCTAAAGTCAGACTCCTTCACAAGCTGGTCTGAGACGTAACTAGTAAAAAGGTCAACGGAAGATCAAACAACTTAGAGTAGACCCAAGACATACCCCTATAGATAGCCAAGTCAACGTTGATCTGCTTGGAAATGTAAGGATGCTGGACCTTGACAGCCACATCTTGTTGCTCCTTCTTCAACCGAGCTTTATGGACCTGGGCAATCGATGCCGAGGCCATTGGTTTATGATCGAAATGCTCAAAGATATCCTTTTCGTAGTTCTCGCCAAGCTGGCGTCTAAGTGTCCTATCTATCAGGCTCCACAGATCTTCTGGAGCTGCATCATATAAATTGATGAAACGTTTCTGGTAAGCCAAAGGGAACACAGTTCCGTTATTTGCAATGGCCTGGCCCAACTTAATATAAAGACCCTTATTAGCTGAAAGCATTTGAAGAAGTTTCTCCGAGGCTTCCTCGTGGAGGTCCTCAATCTTGTCGTAGCTCTTAACGTTAGCTCCGTATTGATAAGCGACCCACAAGAGCACATATACTGCACGAGCAGAACGCTGTAAAAGCGACAGGTAGTAATACTCGTCAATGCCGTATACAATGGCAGACACACCGGTGGCTGTTGCTATGAGTTTGACAAATCTCGGAGGGCCTTTCTTCAATGGCTTGCTGGTGCTGGTAGCCAAAGATCTATGAATTCCAAACGAACGACATCGTTGTACAGAACTGGATTTAGTTATGGAAAACGGCCTGTAAAGACCCCGTTGGCAATTTCGAAGACCAAGCATTGCTGAGTCAGAAGGAAGGAAGGTTTGAGAAATTGGTAGTGGTGGTTTGTCATTGCATATAGGTGAATTCTGGGGAATGATAAGCAAGTGTCCATGGCAACACAAAACCGTAGAAGAGAAAAATTAAGGGATGGATTGGAGGTGGGTCATAAGATACAATTGATGTTGGAAAAAAACGAAAACTGTATTGAATTGTATTGATGTTGGTGGTTTATTGGATCCAAGTGTTTTCCTTAAAGCGCAGACTTTTCGCACCCATTTGCACATTTACCAGTATATAACGTAATTCAAGCAAAACCATGAAAATGATATTCTTACGAAAAAGGTGATTTTTTAGGTAAACCTATTCATTAGCCACTTCTTGACATAATTGTCCCCACCACCTTGAAATTCCTTGAAACTACATCCTCCCTCCATTTTCCAGCCCATTTCGCTCACTGTTCATTTCCTGGGGTCCACCAACGATAAAGCTCAGTTCGCGACCATACTTCATGTTCAAAGAAAAAAAATAGACCGCACAACAAGCTAATACTTAATCCACATCAACATGTACAGATTGGCAAGCAACACACTCCGCTCGGCAGCTCGTCTTTATTCCACTGCTCCAGTTGCCCCAGTTGCGCCTACTAAGAAGATTGGCGCTTTCAGAGGCGGCTTTGTCGGCTTCTTCTTTGGTGTCTCTGTTGCTGGCGCTGCTTCATACTACTACTTGTTGGAGGAATACAACAAGAACACAAGGATCGTCATGATGGACGTTTTCAGTTTAAGAGAGTCCTTGGATGCCTTGGAGAAGCATATCAAGACATTGGAGGAGAAGAAATAGATGTGAATTTGATATTCGTTGAAAAAAAAGTCTATGGGTAAATATTTTTTCTATATACATCGTGTCGAAACTGTCATAATCTATGCAACTGTAGTCAATGGCTACAAGGTGTTGACGAATTCAAGCACCTGGTCGAGGAGCTCGTCGAAGTCCTTTCGGGTGGTGCCATGTTGGCTGCCGGCAAATCTGATCTCAGTGCGCTTTCCTCCGAGGCTGCCACCATCAACCACACAGACGTCAACCATCAGGTCGGATCCATCGGCTCGTGGTAAAAGAAACATGATTTCTCGGCGGTAGAAAAGGTTGAGGTAGTGGTAACGTACTTTCTCTCCATTGACCATAATGTCAATAGTTGGTGCAATGGAGATGGGTCTCTTTCCGCTAAAGTTCAAGTGGGACGATTGGAAAAACTCCATGACACCAGGCTGTTGTTCAAGCTGCTTGTACCTTCCACTAGTAGACAGAAGGGCTTCTGATGCCGATGACGAGTCCTCATTATCAAGGTCATGGTTAGCTAAAAGTTGGCCTGTGCTCTGGCAAGTGATCTTCAAGTCGCTCTTAGCTTGCGGTAAACAAACAAAACTGGAGTTTTCACCTTCCACAGAGACTAGATGGAGCGAGTCCAAGTCAGGCGTGACATTATTCTTTACCTTAGCCCAAATCTCAATTGGCGGGTAGTTCATCGCATCTGCGGTGTTGCTAAAGTCAGAGCTTTGCAGGAATGGCGACGGCGTGAACTTGAATTGTAATCTATAGTCGTGTGGGTCTTTGTAGGTACTGCTTTCGTGATCTGATTGCATGGCAAGTAACTTATCGTGAGCGAATGTGATATTTGAGTTGAAAAGAACCAGCTTGTGGTCTTCAACCAGGGCAACTTGTGGAATAACACCATGTGGCTCCTTTGGTTTTTCAAAAAGGACGTTACCAAGCGTCACGGTAAAACACTTGGGGTCCATATTTTCTTGGGAAACACCTGGAAGGCTGCTCTTATAATCGAAGTTGGTGAGTTCTTTGTAGATTTGGTCTCTCTGCTGTTCAGAAATCTCAACTTGAGATGTCTTTTGTTCAACAGGAGGAGCCAACTTCACCGATTCGTCTTCAACGCCCATTAAACCAAGGAGATCACTGATTTTATCAAGACTGCCGTCAGAGTCCTTCTGAGCGAATGAATTTTCTTCGTCAAATAAATCATCGTTTTCCAAGTCAATGCTGGCCAAAGACTCGTCCGAGAACTTTTCGAGCTCGTCAAGGAGAAGCTGGTTAGGTTTACCGCCCTGGTTCTCCAACACATAAAGCTCCTTGAATCTATCTTTCCATGCAAGTGACTCATCATGCTTGAAGGGAAGCATGCGTGTGGAAGAGTCTTTGGGTAAATGCAAAAATTCTTTATAATGAAGGTTATAGTTCAAAAGCCACAATACAAGACGCTTGGTTCTCTTTAACTGGTTTTTGTTCAACGCAAAGAGATCAAAGGTTTCGTCACGGAGATGCTCGAAGCAAACATCGGTATATTTGCCGACTTCTTCAACATCAAAACGACCATGAAGCTTCATAGCGAGCTCTCTCACTGCAGAAAGGTCAATTTCTTCTTTGTGGACATTCTCTAAGCTCTGAGATAAGTTTATCTTTGCGTTTTCCACCTGCTCAGCAGTTCCAGTAAGCATTAATTTATATGTTTCGATGTCGAATTCGATCTTTGACACTGCATTCTGGATGTGATTGAGAATTCTGCCGTTGGATAAAAGAAGAAGCGAGATCTCAAGCGCTGTCAAAGACACAGACTCAGTGATATGGAAGTCTTCCACGTCAGAGTTTTCCTTGATGTCAGTGCTCCATACTCTCTCAATGATGAATGTAGCCAATTTCTCTTTATTCAAGCCCTTGTATCCTGTGAGATCAGGATTCTTCCACTTTATGTATGTTTGCATTTGTGACTTTCTAAACGCTTTACTAAGTTTATGCAGAATAGCTGTCTTCTTCACTTGACTGACTTTCTTAGCAGACGGTCTGAACAGCTCAATAGCCACTGAAAGGGATTCTGGGGTGTTGGAAGGTGGACTGTCTTCACCACGGGAGTTTTCATCTATGAAGTCCATATCTGGCTTATGCAATTTTCTTCTTGGTTTATTGTTGAATTTCCGAAGAAGTTTATTGTACTTCTTGTCTTCAGTCTGTTCTGGACTGAGAATCAAGATTGGTTTTCGGATTGTCGGTAGACTCTTCCTGTCATCGGCCTTTGAGGTGTTATCCTTCAAGGCATGGTGGACAAAGGAGGGGTACCTTCTCTCGCTGCGTAGACAAGGAGCTCTAGAGAAGCAGCGGACTTGATTGCCTCTCGCTAGAACCCCAGGTAGTATAGCACGCAGCATGGCAAGATGGATGTGGATGGATTGAGCATGGAGTGAAAAATGGTAGGAGCATCTCGATACACGTGGAAGTCACGGAGACATACACGTGACGCACGTGCGACAGCATGTGCCCTATCACGTGACACAACTACCCATTTTTTTGCAACTTCCTTCAATGCTAAATGCCCCCCAAAAGGCAAAGAGCAACTCAGAATGTCCTTATAGCGAGTTTAAACCAGAAAGTCCAAAATCCGAAAAAAAAAATTATATGGCTGGTCATGGCGTGATGCGAACGGAACTTGACCCCTCCCGATGAAATAGGAAACTACCAAACGGACAATCACTACAGCAAAAGGCAGTTGCCAGCGGGCGCCAGCAGTTAGAGAAAAAGAAGTATGGGGAAGAGTCAGGCGAGTCAGGCGACCCCACCGCTCCAAACAAAAAAATACCTGAAAAGAGTTTTTGGGGAAGGTACACAGCGAAAGGCACAAAAAAAAAAAAAAAATTGTAACCACCAGTGCTATAAGGAAAAGTGAAGCGAGCACAGAACGGCGTTACCGTTCATAGTTAGAGGGGCACCCCATCTTTGTGGAACCGTCAAAATATGCCCACAAAACAGCGTAGTTCATAAATGTCCCCACAAAGAATGAAAAGTACCTTTTCTTAATTGAAAGCCCTTGCTTTGACACAAACATAAGGGTTCTTGTTGGTTCTTTTGGATTCTCTTGAAGTCTCAGTGCCGTGGAAAAAAAGAGGCCAAAAGTAGGGCGAGTTTTTTTGAGAGTGGGGGGCAGAAAAAAAGTGGAGGGGCAGCGAAAAAAAGTAAGGAAAAGCGAAGAAAGTGAGGGAACAGCGCTGAGGCAAGAAAAAAAAGAAGAAGAAGAGGGAAAAAAAAAGCGAAAACCCCCCGAACAAAGCAGAGATAAGGAAAAGCAAATGACAAACGGGAAGAAAAAAAACAACAATCAAGGAACCAACGGAATGTAGAAAATGTAGAAAAAGTGGTTATTTTATTGAGAGAGCTTTGTTTTTGATTGGAGTCACTTTTTTTATTGTTTCTTTGTGCTTGGGATGGTCACTTTCCTCTATAATTTGTTGTGGACTTACTTTTTTTTTTTTGCACCCACTGAGGTCAACCAGCACCCACCGATTGCCTTTTTTTCTCCGTTTCCCTCACTTTCCCTCACTTTCCATCCCAAGCAATCACCACCAAGGAAAGCCAAAGAAAGCAAGAAAAACCAGAAAACCAGAAAACCCATATCAAACCCAAACCTTCCGTTTTTCTTGTACATTCCTTAATGAAGAAAGTAGAGATAAGAAGAGTGCAAAGGCCGTAGATATATGCCGTGAGCCGTGGGTCATAACTGGTCGGTGCTGTTACTGCCGATGGTCACTGGGCTTCCTTCGGCCTTCAGTAGCCCACAGACACTGTCTCGCTGCCACTTCGCTCGTGGGGGTTATCAGAAAAAGAAAACACATTTTCATCCGCCCCCCGGTCTATTAGGCAGCCCCTTGCTTTAGTTAGGGACTTTTTTCCTTTTTTTTATTTGCCTTATCAAGCACGGCTCCTAAGTATGCGGTATCTATGAGGAAAAAAACAGCGAGCTAAATGTCCCTTGGGAACCAAGGGCGAGGGAAAAAGTCTGCACCGCACCGGTTCCGAGAACGGGCACCCACCCAAATGACAAAAAAGGTCAAAATATGGACTTTCTCTGTTTTTTCTAATTTTTAGAATTCCTCCCTCTTCTTTCCCTGTTCATTCATCTCCTCCTTATCTCTTGCTCTGGTGACGGACTCCCGGTAACTTTTGCTTTGCAGCCGACCTCTTTTCTTTTACTGCACGGCAACACAAAACCAAAAAAAAAGAAAAGAGGGCAAAAAGGCACCAGATAGCTGCACCGATAACCACCACAACACAAGCCATAGTAAACAAGCAAACCATACTTCCAATGGGTTTTTGGGGCCAATTAATTTGTTCCCCACAATTCCATGTTTTTTATTATTATTTTTATTATTTAGGGTTGGTGGTCTGTCCCGCCTTATGCCCTCCGCTGCCGCCTGCCGTTGGAGTGACCTGTAGGAATAAACGGCTTTTTTGCTTTGACATCTCGGCGGTCCCCCCACCTGCAGTTTTACAAAGCATGACCCACAGGCTGGTCAGTTCTAGCGATAAGCGACCTGGCCCAAGTGCAGGACGCGGGACCGCCCATCCCATAGTTAACGGCACTTTGGCCTCGCGGACTTTTTCCCTCATGCGCGCACCTCGCCATGCCATGCCTTATCGATTCCCTCGCTGTGTCTCACCTCATAGGTACCAAGGAAACTTTTGCAGCCGGTGCCCCCGCAGCCTTTGTCCTTATAAATACGCTTTCTCGCTGCTTACATTCACTTTTTTTTTTCTCTTTCTTTTCTCCTTGTACCTTATCAACACTTTTGGCATATATTCAACAATGATTAACCCACTTCGACAGACCCGCTTGCCTTCCTCCATCCTCGCCTTCAGAGCTGTTACCCTCCGGCGCCAGACACCTGCTCTTCTCAGAGCCTTCCACAGCTCTCCTGACAAGAAGAACCTTGCCCCGGTAGCTACCGAGTCCCAGTCCCACCAAAACAATAAGCTTCAGCAGCCACAGGTTCCTGCTCCAGAGTTGCAGGGCGGCCTCCCCGCCTTGGCCCCTCCTTCCTTTTCTTACTTGAAGGACTTTACCGTTGGCGAGTTGTTTTCCTTTATGACCATCGGCGCTGTGGCTTCTCACAAGTCTCTTTTGAACTTGGCCATCAAGGCTTTCCCTTTTGTGCCTATGCCTGTCATTAAGGCTCTTGTCTACAACATCTACTGTGGAGGTGCGAACATCGATGAGGTTAAGAAGACCGGCTCTAGATTGGCTCAAAGAGGCATCAACAACATGATGCTTTCCTTGACCATCGAGGCCTGTAACGGTAACGATAACATCGACCCTAACTTTATCGTCGAACAGACCCAGACTTCTGTTGACGAGATTTTGATTCCCCACACCATTTCCATGCTTGAGACTTCCGGTAAAGACGTTAACTCTGTTCCACCAGGTTACGTTGCCTTGAAGCCAACCGGCTTCGTTAAGGATGCCGCTACTGTCTTGAAGAACTTTGACCAGCCTGAATACAAGGAACTGTTCGAAGACTTGGTTTCTAAGATTTCCGCTATCTGCCAAACCATTTACGATGCCAACCAAAGATTGGCTCAGTTGTACCCTGCCAGAGTTGCTCCTTTTGCTGTTGGTGTTATTGATGCCGAGAAGCACGAGCTTCAGGAGGGTGTTTACGAACTCCAGAGAAGATTGTACCAGCAGTTCAACAAGACTAACGCTCCTGTCACTGTTGTCGGCACTTTGCAGATGTACTTGTCCGAATCCGCTGACTTGTTGGCCAAGGAAGAGAAGTTGGCTATCGAGAACAACTACAGATTGGGCTTGAAGTTGGTCAGAGGTGCTTACCTTCACTCTGAGAAGGACCGTGCCGTCATCCACCAGACTAAGGAGGACACTGACATGAACTACGACCAGGGTATCTCTTACTGCATTGACTCCATCATGGCCCACCAGGGCAACGAGTCTCCTATTGGTCACTTGGTCGTCGCCTCGCACAACGCCGAGTCTATGAGATTGGCTACTCAGAAGACTTACAAGAGCGAATTCTCCATTGGTAACAAGAACAAGGCCAACATCTGCTTGGGTCAGTTGTTGGGTATGGCTGACTCTGTTACCCACGATCTTATCAAGACCGACAAGGTCGACAATGTCATCAAGTACGTCCCATGGGGTCCACCATTGGAGACCAAGGAGTACTTGTTGAGAAGATTGGAGGAGAACGGTGACGCTGTCAAGAACGATAACGGTCTTCCTTTGGTGAAGGCTGCTATCCAGACCATGTTCAGAAAGATTTTTGCTTAGACGAAACTACTTTTATAACGACGTAATGCATTATAGACTATATTAATTTGAAACGAAACTGTAAGTTCTAGGTGGCCAGATGAAACTGCTAATGGTACACTGAACCACCCATTCCCAGTCGATGATACCGTATCTGACGGCGTTTTTTGCTTTCAGCTTACGTGTTCGCTCAATATCCCTCCCGTGGTTGTCGAACACAAAGAATTCCTTTTCGCTGTTTTCTTTAATATGCGATAGCAAACGTCCTTCAGAATTAAAGCTCCGTAGCGTTTGAGCCCCGAAAGCATGGAATATGAATTCACACATCTTTATTGTTTGGTTGTCTTGTTTTCTCAGGAGTATCAACACATTTAAAGAAGACATGAGATTAGCGTTATTGTTCAACTGGCCATTCAAATCAGCACCACTCTCAAGGTTAGCCCTGAAACGAAACACATCTTGACTCTTCAAGTTCTTCGTATAAAATGACTGTCCAGCAGGTAGAAGAAAGGCATGCCAGTTATCAAGCACGCTGTCACTCTCGATAGCGTACTCAACAAAGTTGTCAGCAAGGATAGGCCATCCTAAAGCCAAAGCCTGAAGGTATTTTGCACTTCTGGAATGTCCATCCGAAAGGAAAGCTCCGAAGTTGATCCCCGAAAACTTTTGCAGAACAAGCCTGAGGTGAGATGAACTGCTGGCCTCAAATGAAACGAGTTTGCTGATTTCTAGGTCGTAAACAAGACCACCGTGCCTTTCAATAGTCTTTGTAAGAGCCTCTTTACGTTCAGGAGCCATCGATGTGATGAAAAACACCTGCCCACTGAAGACTTGTGATACTTTAGTGAAAGTTGCTGTTTCAGGCTTCGCCTTTCGAGGACTCTTATACTTTGGCTCGGGAACAGGCAGACCTTGGTCGGTGGCCTGTGAACTCTCCAGTTGATTAAGTAGTGGTTGAATGAAACCATAGTCTCTTTGTAGAAGGTCAACACCATCGTAGATTAGCTGAAAACGCAGCTGATGCAGAGCCCAGTCATTGGGTTCCATGTAACATGTGGCTAAACTCACTTGAAGCTCTCCACCAACACCTATATTATGCTTACCCTTCTTTGAAAGATGAAGGGTATCGTATCCCCTAACACACTTGAAGGGAGTATCATCATTGGTGGACATTCTTGTGACAACAAACTCAGAAGGAGCTTTAAAAGTTCGTAGATTATCACCAATCCTAACGTCAAGAACAAAGAGGTCGGTGTTCTTCATTTCTATCTGACACCAATCGTAAAACTCAACAAGTGTATGGTTTAAATCGATCGAGCGAAGTACCCGGGCTGGATAGTATCTGAACTGAAAGAATGCCCAAACACTGCGGTCATTATCAAGCTGATCCATGGAGAGTGTTGTCAGCGGTTCTTCAGAAATAACATTCAAATCCATCGTTTGTGACTGTGACCCTGGAACGTGATTCATTCGGCGCTTCTTTGGTACATTAATACGTTCACGACTTTCGTCATATCCGTCAGGCAGCATAGGTACATCTTCTGACAGGCTTCGTTTGAGTATGTCGAGGTCGAGCCCACTAACGTCTTGAGAGATATCCTCGAGGTCAGACGAGGATTGACTCCATGTAGCTTTCTTCACTGTAAGATGGCTTCCACTTGGTGTTTGAGACGAAGACTGACTCCATGAGGTCTTTCTTTTGACACGTAAGTGTGGTTGAGAAGGCTCCTCATCGATTTCGTCGTCTAGTATATCAACATCCGTCTGAGTCTTCTTGAGCTTGTGCTTGAATAGACTGTCTTCATAGAAAATATCATTGAATTTCTCATCTTTATCGTCGTTGCTGATGATGCTTAATTCATGTCTGTCCCGTCCGGGCAGGTCATGAGAAGGGTCATCCTTTTGGCTACTCAGTAGCACAGGCTTGCAGCTTAGGTCGACCGAATGTCTTTCCTTTGTCAGAGGCAGAAAAACGTCATCTTCCTCTTGAGTGTTAAGCACCTGAGTGGTGGGTTCCTGCTCTCGATTAACAGGGGAAAGCATCACTGTAGTTGTGTTTTCTTCATTATACTCCGAGTCATTTGCTCGATTAGGAGAGCTGGTGACAGTGTGTGTACTTGAAAGGCCAGACACCACCTGGGTGATTGGTTGGGTGCTTTCCCAGACCGAGTTCCGTCTTCCTATGACCTGGGTAGCATCGTCTTCGGGTTGAAAAGCCACTATCTTTTGAGTCTCATCATTCTGAGGAGGCGGTAGCTGAACGTCGCCTTGGGTAGGGCTTCCACTATAAATAGCTTGATCGCTATGCTTTCCAATGACCTGAGTATCAGCACCCAAGCTCAAATGTTCATGCTCCTCTTGTTGGTGGCCTATCACTTGCGTATCAGCCCCAAGGTCCACCTCATTCAACTTCGGTAGAATGACCTGAGTATCCTTCGAATGGCTATCTGAAGCACTTCTTTGTAGTATGCTAGGAGTTCCATTGGAACGGTAAGTTGGCAGTTCAAGATTGGGCATGCTCTGCATCTCTCGAGTAAAGTGTATATGCTTGATGGACGACCGTGCCGAGTCCTGGGAATTCTTTGAAGGAGAAAACGACCTCAAGTTCCCAAACAAAGGACTAGTATGTATATCTCCAAGCATATCGCTGCTTCGATCAGCCTGGGTAGCAGTATCATTGGTTCCAGGTATAACCACACCGTTCCCGTCCGACTGGATCAGGTCAGCCTTGGTATCCTCGTCGCCAGATATAGACTTGTCTTCGGCGGTATCTCCATACTCAGAAGCAAACACGAGACTGTTGTTGTGTTGGGACTCGGGCACTGCAACTGCTTCCTCAGCCATAACATCAGCTAGTGAATATGATTCAGTCAGTGCGCGTATAGTAGGTAAGGATCACCACTGTGGAAGATAAGGATGGGAGGAAAAGAGATTAAAGAATAAAGGTAAGAAGAAAAAGAAATTGTCAGATTTACTATGTATGGTTTTAATGATTTGAGGTTAGGGAGCTGAGGTTGCTGACTATGTATGGTGGTCTAGTGGTTGGTGATTACTGCCTATATAACCTACATTGGCCCTGGGGAACAACAAATATTACTATTAAACATTGGGTGACGCGAGTTACAACACATTTACTCTTGTAACAATTGATTACAATACTGGGATACCGTAGCGGTTCCGTAAGTAGTCGTCACACATTAATTCTATATGATACAATGTAGCTTTTTTTCAAGCTAACGGTACGGCTGGCTTCCACCATGCTCTGCTTGCTGTAACAAGGATAAGAGCGCTTGGGGATCCTGCTGTACATGAGGATTTTGTTTTACCACATCTGAAAGATAGTGAATTTGATCTTGAGAGAGATCCTGGGGGTACTGTGGTTGTCCCTGATGCTGAGGTATTGGTGGTAAATGAGGGACAGGCTGATGTGCTCCAGTGTTGTTGCTCTGGCCACTAAGTTTCAGTAAGATTGAGTTAAGATCGGCCTGCGGTGGAGGAGGAGCGATAGATGGGGTTGATACCGACGGCGACTTCTTGAGTATACTTTTTCCAACAGGAATGTAGTCCTTCTTGACAACGAAAACAGCATATAAACCTTCCAATTCCTGTAACTTGGCAAAACTCAAGTAGTCAGGAACGTTGTTGGCATTTAAGGCAAACACATAGGCGTCCTTGACAAACGCAGCTCTGTTGGATAGCACACCAACCTTATTCTTGTGGAGCAAGTAGTCATACAACTTGTTGAATTCTGATTGCCTCTCGACAGGGTTGAGCTTAACGACATATAAATCTCTTGAAGTGGTGATTTTTGAGAGGTAAGGATCAGCCTTGGAACGGTCTAAACGTCCTTCAATATGATACTTGGACCGTTCGAATAACTCTTTGCTGACACGAATCACCCTATTATGGAAACTTGCGGTGACATTATCCTTTGGCTTCTCGTACTTTGTACAACTCACAAATTCTGCTTTTGCACCGAAAGCAGCAAAATCAGGAAACACGATTTCACCATTCCAGAAGCTGGTTGGCATTGTAGGAGGAAGCTTCACCTCTGGTTTCTTAGGAACAGGCGGCAGCTTAGGCTTTTCTTCGGCAGGAGGCGATGGGCCCTTCAAAATGAAGTCGAGCTCATCGTCGCTGAGATTTTCAGTTTCCTTCTTCTCCTCCTCCTCCTCTTCTGGTTGCTCATCATTCTCATTTTCTTCTTCATCATCATCAGCCAAATGGTACAGCTTAGGCGCCAGTGGGTCTGCCTTGACTGTTTCTCTTGGAGTAGGAGAATCTTCCTTAAAGTTCCGGTGATCAACAGTTCTTGCAACTATCGTAACCTCATCATTATCCAGAGGGTTGTTGCTGACTTCAACAATCTCCTCACCTTTATGCGTTCTCCGAATACGCTGGCTCAGTGGGTCTTCCACCGTAAGCACCGAGCGTCTTATAGACTCTTGACGAACCTTTTCAGCGTATTCCTTCAAGTCTCGGTCGATTTCTTCTGGTGGCTTGGACACGGCGTCCAGAAACGTTAACGAGCCATCTGCAAGCTTTGCAGCCACTGCTTCTTTTTTAACCAAGGCCATTACGCTTCTACTCTTGTCTATGTATTTCTTATTTGGCGTCAAGCCCGACCACTGGAAAACGGCCTCCTCAAGCTTTTGAGCAATAGAATCCGCATCGAACTTGCCATGTTTGACCACCACATTCTTCAAAGCCTTCTCCACGCTTTCTCTCGTCTTGGTAGCTGCGCTCTTGGGTTTCGAATAGGCCTTCTTTTCAGGAACAGACCTTCTTCTCACTGGAGCCTTGCGTTCTGGCGAGTCACATCGGTTGCACTGGTACTTCTCTGGAATCAGCGTTTCTGACCTGTAACCCATACATTTGGCATGTTGCCACGTATGACAGTCATCACATTCAATCATCGTTCCGCCTCTGTCTTTATCCTCATCGTAGTTATCTTGGGATGTTCCACAAGGATCACATCTCACGTCGCCTTCGTAGTCATTGCCATCGCTTTCAGCAGCCTTGTTGAATTCAGCTTCGTCTTCGCTTTCTTGACCAGAAGCATTCTCCTGGCTATACTCTGTATCTTGCTTTTGTCTTTTGGCTGGAGGCTCGTCTTCAGGCTGGTAGTACACGTCAAACAGGTCCCTGCCTGTATGCTGGCCCTTGTTGGTCCTTGATGAACGACGGGGCTCTTCTTCCATTACTGCTACAAGAGGTGACGTTTACTGATAGCGGGAAAAATGATCGTGGGGGAATATGTTTGGGGGCAAATAGATAGGGTAAGTTGGAATCTGTTACATGATCCTTTTAAATTTTTTTTTCTCTAGTGGGGACCAGTTGTGTGCCGGACAACCAGCCTTTTTCCAAACCCAGTTTTGCAGCCAAACAATGCCTTACTGTTTTACCCCCTTTTACAAGTCTTTTTGAAATCTAACAATTCATATAAAAATTCCCTATAAACCCTTGATTAATGCCATGAAATCTCTGTCCTCTCCCATAACCTCTTCTGCATCTGTGAGCGCATTTGCACTAAATAATCCAGATTTAGTGGGTCTGTAGCCCTCTGATGCTGCCTCAACCGCCAGTGCTCTTCTTCTCTTCAGTTTGGAAACACCACTGTCTGGCAGTGCTTGTGTTCCCGCTGAATCTTGTGCATCAGCGTCTCCAGTCTCGCCGCTCAGTCTTCTATCTTTCCTGCGATAGCTGTTGCGGCGACCAGAACCTAACCTCGAAACGCTGAAGTTCACAATAGGCTCATGGACAGAATGAGGTTCTTGTAGATGAGACTTGTTACGGAAAGCCCCAAGCGGGACTTTCTTCTTTCTGTTGTTGAAGTCTCTCCAGATACGGATGTCATTCTCGTCGTCATTGTCCAACTCGCTGATATTGAGTAACTCTTCGAGCTCGATGGCCGAGTCTTCATGCTCGTTCTTGTTTCCAAGACTGATGGACTTCCATCCCTTGGTTCTTGGGTTCTTCTGGGCATTCTGGTTGCTCTTCAATGTTCTTGTAGATAAACCGTCAATGATACCAAAAGGCTTGCTCTCAATAGCTACCCAAGTACCAAGAACAGGTGGTCTGTAATCGGCAGTCTTCGAAGACAAAACCTCTTTAGCCATCTTGCTACCAGCGTGGTTCTTGCCGGATGTTTGAGGAAGAGACAAATCAACATCCGTGGATTCACCACTGTCGTATTCCTGATCAGACAATGGCTCAAGGCTGAACTCACGTTCGTTGTTTCCCTCGCGGGCTTCCTTCTCTTGACGGAAGATCTCTTCGAGAATAAGCTGTTCTTCCACGTCAACGGGCTCGGCATCACCCTCACCCTCAGATTCACCATCAGAGCTCAAAAAGTAGTTCCACAAGTAGGAGTCATCGTCTTCTTCACTATCGAGAGGTCCACGAGGAGCCTTGCGTTTCTTGCGGTTGGACAGTTTTTGCTTTTGAGGAACTATCTGCTTGGAGTCGTTCTTAGCAAGGTCCTCAACGTTCTCATTTTCGTTCTTCAAATCCAGAAGACTACTTTCCGAATCCTTGCTTTCATCTTCGAAAAGTGGCGCATCAAACTCCATCAAATCCATGAACTCATCGACATCCTCTTCGTCTTCGTCATCTTCCATGTAACCATCAAGGTTATCGGATTTGTTGTGTTCGGTGCCATCGTGAGGGTACTCAGTGACCTTGTCTTGGAAGTTCTGTCTTCCGATTCCTTTAGCGAAATCAGACTTGCCAGCTTCATCTTGAAATTCATTTTCATCATCGAAACCGTTCATCTCGAACTCGTTCACCAAGTACTTCTCTTCCTCCTCTAGGAAAGGATCCATTGTCTCATCTTCATTGACAGAACTAACCAGGCGTTGCCTTGATCTTGGCGTAGCAATTTCATCATGCGGGTTAGCGTTTATGAATTCTTCAATATCATTATCGGCTTGTAAAGTTGCCAAAAGATCGTTGTCATCGAATTCGTAATCGTCATCAGATTGAAGTTCATCATCCTTAATCTTAGGAACATCTATGATAGGGTCATCAAATTGGAAATTGAGGTTGTAGGACTGTTTATCACCCTGGTCATCCAACACTTCTTCACCAAGGTCTTCTTCTTCAGGTTGGGTAGGCTTCACCACATTGAGGGCATCTTCTTGTTCACTTTCATCTTCAATGGCAGACTCGTTTGCAGCATCATCAAATTCAAACTTAAAGTTAATGTTATCCGGAAGGGGAAGTTCTGATTGACGTCTGTAGTCTGACTTTCTTCTCTTTTTGTCTTTTGTGTTGTTTTGTTTCTGTAAGGCTTTAATGGCCTTGAGAGATTTCTGAGACTTAGCGTTAGCTCTTCTTTCTGCCTGTAGTTGAACAAAGTCGACTTCGGAATCGTCTGACGATGAAACAGAAGAGTTTTCTTCTTCGTCATCATCAGACTCCGATTGATCCGAGCTAGAGTTAGAATTGCTATCCGACTGCCCCCTATTATCGATCATTGAGTATATGCCCGTTAGACCAACGGATTCATTATCATCTTCATCCATATCGTCGCTTACAAGTTCGTCATCCTTATCGGAATCAAACACTTGAGCGTACGATGCCTTGGGGCCTTTTTTAGGGGCTCTCTTCTTAGCAGCCTTCGAAGCCGTCTTGGCTCTAGCCTTGGGTAACTTTGCATTTTTGAAAAACACCGATCCATTTCTCAGAGCTGATTGTTCGTCCTTCTCGGACAAGGCAGTAAGGGAAGACTCTGAATCGGAATCACTATGTTTTCTTGCTTCTTCGCTGTAGTCAGAAGAAGAGGAGCTAACAATGCTAAATCTCCTATCTCTCTTATAAGGTAGATTCTTAATATTCTTGCCGCCATAGCTGGGCGACTTGTACATTTTTGGGTTCAGCTTCTGGGAAAACCCAGAAGACTTTTTCGTAGTTTTCGGCATTTCCTTCTCTTAGTGATTCTTGTTGAAAAATTTGTCTAAGAGCGTATGAGTGGTTTTTTGTTATATGTGAAGAAGCTAGTCAGCATTATATGTGAAAAAAGTGGAAAAACCGGAAAGTCTGTTGAAAACAAGATTAAAACACCCAGGGGAGAAGGAAATTTTCAATCCTGAGTAACGCTGTAAAAGCTATAACGAGCTGCAATGAAAAGATGAAGAAATTTGTCTTGACTGGTGCAGTTATTATAGTAGCAATTATAATACTATTTGTTTGGATTGCTGGAGATCAGGCAATCTATTTGAATTAAGATTTGGGTTGAAATGTGTGGTAAAAATAATACTAGATTGAGGCGATGAGGTAAATTTCACGATATGTGATGTTCGAGTGCAGGAGAATGGACCACAGTTTGGAGAAGGGGCTGAACGAAAAGTAGCAAAAGAAGTGGAAAAAAAAGCCAAAGTGGGGAAACTAAGGTCTTTTTAGCTACCCACTTCACATTCAAACACTAATTGATCCCGTTCCACTTCTTGTGGTTAGAAGTACCTCAACATGCGATAAGGGTTGTTTTCACTATGCATATGCGAGCAGCACTAGAAGGTCTCACGACCGTTGGAAGATAAGGCCAGGAAAGGGTTAAAGATGATTTACAGAGAGTTTTGATGGTTTTCGTATGTTCGTTAAAATTCATTATGTTAGCGATTTACTGTTTCCTTAGCCAAATTTACCCTCTTGCAACCGTATGTGCATCGGTATTGTGTGAGTAAGACAAATGTGCGAAATGGCTCAAAAGGAGTAGTGGTTATGTTGAGCAAATCCAGACGTTTTCATAGGCTAGAAATGTGGGGCCCTTGAATGATGCATTCACCTGGTCCTCGTGCTGCCACCTGCGTTAATTTTCGCTAGTGGTTACCGGAATATGCAAGTGCAGTTATCTGGCGAAGTCCACAGTGGTTGCAAAATGAGGATGGATAGGGGGGATGCAGTTATGCCCTGGGGGTTGAATGGTAACTATGGAATTTAGATGGGTGGGTTACAAGAGTTAGAGAAAGATTTAGACTGGGGTGGAAGGGAGACGTTGGGAGTGGTGATAGGGTATCAATTGGGTAGCAATGGAGTGAAGCATTAGGCAACGGAACCTATATTGCTAAAGTATTTTGATAAAGATAGTTTGTGGTACGTTTTAATAAGTGTTAGCAGTGGCTTTGAGATCTAGACTAAAGAGATGGCGTTATTGGCTATACAATTTGATATACATTGTGAGTGCAAGAGAAGGAGGTTGGAGATATCACTGATCGGAGTCTCCCCGAAAGGATAAAGAAAGTTACCCGAGAGAATATTTAGGCCAAACTTTTAGAAGAAATATGGACGAGTAACGTTTTCTATTCAAATGGTTACATAGTCCAAGGAGAACATGAATAAGTTGGATATGGTGTTTTTGTAGACCAAGCCAACAGTATGTACTAATTGCAAGCTGTTCATTATAGGGCTTAATAAATTCATTCAGTGATAAAAGGTTCCGTTTTGAGAAATATTACGGCAAACACTTAGTACTCTTATATAGCCCTAGGAAGTGTTTTGGCTGCGAAATGTCACAAAGAACGGTGTCCAGGCTCCACCAGTATCAACCATAGTCTCTTCTATCCTCTTCATGAAACACACGATCCAAGAATATCCACTACATAATTAATTTCCCAAAGTATCAGCAAACATTCCCCAACCCTTTATCTCATACCTTCCTACACTATGTGTTTCAGAGTAACCCTCCATTCAACATACCAGCACTCACCTCCACCTCCACGCAAATCCCCCCTCATCGGCCAACGAAAACTATTTAAATACCCCTAAATCCACTTCTTCAAAAACACCATTTCATAATTCATCCTCCCCAACTCCCTAACATTCCATCAGTCCACGGTTCTTCTTCTCCTAGTCCCTTCGCTGCCTGCAGCCGAATACGCGCCAAATTCGCTTGTTCCTGACGCCTGTCAAGTAGAAAAATAGGAAAACCTCCATCACCACAACAAGACCATAGAATGTCTGTTTTGAACACACGCAACCTTCGAGTGATCGTGGCGGCATTTTTGCTTTTCACTGTCGTGGGCTACTTTGCCGTTTCGGCTGGCCACTACTCCGAGTCGGCCACGAGGGTGAAGCCTGCTGCCAACTCTGATCTCCTTGAGTCAGCTAACACCTTGCAAGGTTCTGCTCATAAAGGGAACGAGGCGCCATATAAGGCTAGTTCTAATGTTCAGGGTAACAAGGCTGACAAGTTTGAGTCGCCTAAAGCGCCAGGTGAAGCTCCAGCTGCTGAGAAGCCAGTAGCTGAAAAGCCTGCCGTGGCTGAAAAGCCTGCTGAAAAAGTTCCAGAAAAGGGCTCCGCTATGGGAAGCACTGGCTCTACGAAACAGGGATCTTCTGGATCAAGTTCGGGTTCGGGTTCTTGTCAGCAAACCGACTATGTCATCATGATCGACGCGGGCTCTACTGGTTCCCGTGTTCACGTTTATTCTTTCGATACATGTGTCTCGCCTCCAAGATTACTTAACGAGGAGTTTAAGATGCTTAACCCTGGTCTTTCGTCTTTTGATACCGCTACAAAGGAAGCTGCTGCCTCTTTGGACCCCTTGTTGAAGGTGGCCTTGGATACCGTGCCAAAGGAGAAGCAGTCATGTACTCCAGTCGCCGTTAAGGCCACTGCTGGTCTTAGAATGTTGGGTGCCGAGAAATCTGACGCTATCTTGAAGGAGGTTAGAAACCACTTGACTAACGATTACCCATTTGCTGTGGTCGAGGGCGACGGTATCTCTATCATGGAAGGTAAAGACGAGGGTGTGTACGCTTGGATCACCACCAACTACCTTTTGGGTAACATTGGTACTTCTGAGAAGATTCCTACTTCTGCTGTTTTTGATCTTGGTGGAGGATCTACTCAGATTGTTTTCGAGCCTGACTTTGCAGACAAGAACGAGGCCTTGGCTGAAGGTGACCACCGCTACGAATTCACTTTCGGTGACAGAGATTTTACTCTTTACCAGTTCTCTCACTTGGGCTACGGTTTGATGGAAGGTAGAAACAAGGTCAATGGAGCTGTGGTGCAGAAATCCAAGGATTCTTCCTTGACCAAGCATGCTTCCAAGGCTGCTGCTGAATCTGCTACCGCTGGAACTACCCTTATGAACCCTTGTATTCCACCAGGTGCCACTGCCAAGGACGTTGTCGTTCGTGTTGCTGACGACGAATTCTACAAGGTCAATTTCGAAGGCTCCACTGACGGTTCTGCTGCTCAGTGTAGATTCTTGGCCGAGGAGGTCTTGAACATGGATGAGTGTAAGCAAGCCCCATGCTCTTTCAACGGTGTTTACCAGCCATCTCTCGTGAAGAACTTCCACAAGAACTCAGACATGTTTGTGTTCTCCTTCTTCTACGACAGAACCAACCCATTGGGATTCCCAGGCTCTTTCACCATGGAAGAATTGAGAGACTTAACCAGCGCTGTGTGCAAAGGTCTGACCTCATGGAAGACCGTTTTCTTGAGCGATGCTTTGCAGGAGCTCGACAAGGAGCCTCAGTGGTGTCTTGACTTATCCTTCATCACCGCCATGCTCCACACCGGTTACAACATCCCATTGAATAGAGAATTGAAGACCGCCAACAAGATTGCCGGAAACGAAATCGGCTGGTGTCTCGGTGCTTCTTTACCTTTGTTGAACCCAGAGAAAGGCGGATGGAAGTGCAGGGTCAAGGAAAACGGCATCTAAGGGAACCGAGGCAAACGGAAGGCAAACATTTAAAGCCGGGGTCCCCCGCATCGAGGAGATCACACTACATATAATTAGTTTTACAACGACAAAAAAAAAAGTCACCTTCTTTGCAGGCAGGAGAAAAGACGGTTCCCAGCTTCTCTCATTGTATGACTGTTTATGGAGTCCAGCTGGCTCGCACCCGTTGGGTGCACATGAGACATTGGAAACCGAAAGCGCACTTGCCTCATATATAATACATCCCCACGAGCTACAAAGCAAGATCTTTCTAAAAGAAGCCCCAGTGCACATCTCCAAACAATCCCTTTTTCGAACAGGGTCACATTAATAAGTCTTTGATGCCACTTTGCTTGATACGTCAAATCGACTTTGTGACACCATCGTAACCTTAAAGATCATCCCCCAGTCATGCCTAATAAACCAAGAAGAACATCTTCTCTTGGACAACAGATCCATAAGAGCCGGCTGTCGCTGGCGACGCTTGATAGAAGGAACTCTCAGCTTAGTGATGGAGCTAAGCAAACTTCACAGATGTTGAAGAAGTTTGGATCCGAGGAGCTTAAGGAAGTACGTTCCCATACGGATTTGGCAAGAACTGCCAATGGCGTTAGAATGCTTACGAAGAACATTGCCAAGGCCACAATTCAGCTTCATGTGAGAGCCATTATGATTGTCACCAAGGCTAGAGATAACTCTTTGATCTACTTGACGCGAGAGGTGGTGGAATGGCTTCTTACTAGACATGACGATATAACGGTGTATGTGGATGCCAATTTGAAGAAACTGGCTCGGTTCTGTGCTGCTTCGATCCTTAAAACGTACCCAAAGGCTCAGCATTTGTTGAAATACTGGAATAAGGACCTTGTCAAGCGGAAACCTGAGAGCTTTGACTTGGTGCTTACATTGGGCGGTGACGGTACTGTCTTGTACGTGCTGAACTTATTCCAGAGGATTGTTCCACCAGTGATGTCGTTTGCGTTGGGCTCTTTGGGTTTCTTGACCAATTTCAAGTTTGACCAGTTCCAACAGCGAATGACCACCGTTCTTGATACTGGCGTTCGTGCTTATATGAGAATGAGATTCACCTGTCGAATCCATAGAAGCGACGGAAGCTTAATTTGTGAACAACAAGTTCTCAATGAGCTTGTTGTGGACAGAGGCCCTTCTCCATATGTAACAAACTTAGAGCTTTATGGAGACGGATCTCTTCTTACTGTTGCACAAGCAGACGGATTGATTATTGCAACTCCTACTGGATCTACTGCCTATTCCCTTTCTGCTGGTGGTTCGCTTGTGCATCCAGGAGTGAGTGCCATTCTGGTTACTCCAATCTGTCCTCATACGCTTTCTTTTAGACCAATCCTTTTACCTGACGGCATGTTTCTCAAAGTCAAGGTGCCAGCCGAGAGTAGAGCTTCAGCCTGGGCATCTTTCGACGGTAAAGTTCGTACCGAACTCAATAAGGGAGATTATGTGACTGTCCAGGCAAGTGCATTCCCCTTCCCAACAGTTAGACTGTCAAAGACCGAATATTTCGACTCTGTGAGCCGAAACTTGAACTGGAACGTTCGTGAGCCACAAAGGCCATTCTCTCATTTCCTTACTGGTAATAACAAATCTGAGTTTGAACAACACCAGCGAAATGGAGGCCAGGAAGACCTTCAAGACCGCCTTGCTGGTTTAGGAGTTAACGATAGAGACGACTACGATATTGACTGGTCTGATGATGACAATAAAGACGAAAATGAGCTGTCTGAAGTGCAACTGCTGCTGCTGCAGTTGGCTATTGATTTCAAGAAGGACCAGGCACATGGCAGTGTTCCAGGAGAGATGGATGAAGAAATGCTCGACTATAATGTGGTAGAGCCTTTCCTTCCTCTGCCAAGCAACGAAATCCGTACTCCTACTGGCCATAACTATGGTGTGGATGATAGAGAGTGTTACACTCATCCTAATGCTACCATCCTGCTTTACGGTGATTCTTCGGGGAATTCCGATGAGACGGAACAGTCTTGAGGACAACACTAGGCTAGATTGTTCATGCATCACCATACTTAGCTCTCTGCATACCCCAGGACGACTCGAGTGACCACCTCAAGACATCACCAGGTTAGAACTGCCACATGCCAACGCTTTGTCTGTAATAATCAGCAACAGACCAGCAAACGTTTGCAATAATATTTGATGTATATAATTCTCCAACTTTTAATTTATCGCCACCTCTTTAAAAATCTACTATTCTTTGGCCATTATTATCATTCTTCCTACTATTGGGTGCAAAACAGCCAACTGGAGACAGCACAAAATCATTTCGCAACCGTTGTCTGGATGCTGTCAGAAAAAGAAAGAAAATTAGACCAAATCGTACACGCGCGAGAAAATACAAAGTCACGTGCGCGCAGCCTTATCAAAAAGAAATGACCAGGCCAATTCACAAGAAGAGGTCTAAAGATGTTGAAATTAAGTTTGAGAGGTGATCATGGAGACATTGTACTGCTATGCAAATTTCGGCTCTCGGCCGGGGTTCCAGCGGTAGTTATCACGCATTGAATTATCTTCACGTGACCAAGGAAAAAATTTATCAAAAAAGCAATACGCAGGGAATATAGAAAAAAAAAGTAGAAGATCATCCATTCATTTTTTTTTCTTCTAACACTCACATTTGAATAACATTAGAAGTTATATTCAACATGACTGATTTAGCACAGGAAATGAACAAGCTCTCTGTCAACGGTGAGGCCCGTAACGGTGCCCCAGCCGCCCAGAACGGTGCTCCAGCCTCAGGCGCCAGCAACGGTTCTTCTGACAAACCCCAAAAGCGCCAGTACGTGCCACCACACTTGAGAAACAGACCTCAAGGCCAGTCCAGAAACTTTGGTGGCAACGACTTTGGTGGCTCTGGAAACCGTGGTTTCGGCGGTGGAAGCCGTGGCGGTTCTGGCTTTGGCGGTTCTGGTTTTGGTGGCGGTCGCCGTGGTGGTTTCGGTGGCAGAGACAACAACTCGAGACCAAACCCACGTTCCGGTCAGGGCCGTTGGGTTGGTGGCAAGCACGAGCCTTCTCCACGTAACGAGAGAATAGAGGTTGACTTGTTTGGTTTGCCAGACGAGACAGTCCACTCCTCTGGTATCAACTTCGACAACTACGATGATATCCCAGTTGAAGCCTCGGGTGACGATGTCCCAGACGCTATTACTTCCTTCACTGCTCCTCCTTTGGATGAGCTTATGGTTGAGAACATCACCATGTCTAGATTCACCAAGCCTACTCCAGTCCAGAAATACTCTGTTCCTATTGTCGCTAACGGCAGAGACTTGATGGCTTGTGCCCAGACTGGTTCCGGTAAGACTGGTGGTTTCTTGTTCCCCGTTTTGTCCGAATGTTACAAGAACGGTCCTCTCCCTGTCCCAGAGACCGCCGGTGCCTTCTCTTTCAACAAGGTTTACCCAACTGTGTTGATTATGGCTCCAACTAGAGAATTGGTTTCCCAGATTTTCGACGAAGCCAAGAAGTTCTGTTACAGATCTTGGGTCCGTCCTGCCGTTGCCTACGGTGGTGTTGACATTGGCCAGCAGATGAGAACTTTGCAAAGAGGTTGCGACTTGTTGGTCGCCGCTCCAGGTCGTTTGACTGATATGTTGGAAAGAGGCCGTGTCTCTTTGGCCAACGTCAAGTACTTGATCTTGGATGAAGCCGACAGAATGTTGGATATGGGTTTCGAACCTCAGATTAGACACATTGTCCAGGAATGTGACATGCCAGACGTCCAAGACAGACAAACTTTGATGTTCTCTGCTACTTTCCCAAGAAACATCCAGATGTTGGCAAGAGACTTCTTGAAGGAGTACATTTTCTTGTCCGTTGGTAGAGTTGGTTCTACCTCCGCCAACATTACACAGAAGGTCTTGCTTGTCGAGGATGACGAGAAGAGATCTGTGATCTTGGACTTATTGTCAGCTGCAGACCTCGGTTTAACTATTGTCTTTACGGAAACCAAGAGAATGGCCGACTACTTGGCCGACTTCTTGTACGACCAAGGATTCCCAGCTACTGCCATTCACGGTAACAGAACTCAGTACGAGAGAGAGAAGGCTCTTGCTGCTTTCAAGAGCGGTTCCGCTCCTATCTTGGTCGCTACTGCCGTTGCCGCTAGAGGTTTGGATATCCCTAACGTTCAGCACGTTATTAACTACGACTTGCCAACTGACATTGACGATTATGTTCACAGAATCGGTCGTACCGGTCGTGCTGGTAACGTTGGTATTGCCACTTCTTTCTTTAACAGAAACAACAAGATCATCGTCAAGGACTTGCTCTCCCTTTTGACTGAGGCCAAGCAGGACATCCCAGACTTCTTGGTCAAGATCTCCAGAGAGTCCTCTTACGGTCGTGGCGGTGGCCGCGGTGGCCGTAGCGGTGGCTTCGGTGGCAGATCCAGTGGTGCTACCAGAGATTTCAGAAGACAAGGTGGCGGCGGTGGCTTCGGCGGCAGCAGTGGCTTCGGCGGCGGTTCCTACAACAATGACTTTGGCAGCTCCAGATCTCTGGGCTACTCCTCCAACTATGGTAACCAAAACCAGAGCACCTCTTGGTGGTAATCCATACTGGATTGGAGTGTGATCTTATCGCATAGTTTGCTTTTGTCGTTTTTACTGTTTTCATTTTTGCATTTTTTTTAAAATAATCGATCTTGCTGGTTTCGTCTCGCGCATCATGCTTAGGGCATGGTGATTCGAGGCATTTTATGGTGTGTCTGAATCTTAACACAGAAGAGATGGAAGGAAAGATGATTCATTTGGCTCAATATCTTAGGGGGTCCTGAAGATACTTTTTTTCTTTCTTCATATACACGAATAGCGAGTGCGTTGACACTCGTGGTTCGTTTCCAATTTTTTTATCTTGTTGTCTTTTGTTGTTCACTATCATGTTCTTTGGAGTTGCGCTTGCAGTTTGGTTTTAATTCGGTTGTGTTTGGCATTTTAACTTCAGAAGAATGTGTATTATTACTACTACTTTTACATGGGCAAGGCGAAAGAGGATGGGATAAAAAATTATATCTACAAAAATTCAAAAGAGGAAAATTCTTCTAAAAAAAATGGGGTTGTTCGTCGATGGCAGCGATCTCAAATTTCCTTCACTCGTTTTTCGCTTTACATGGAATTTTATTTATCGGATTTAGACATTTGTGGTTATTATATAGAGAGTATTATTTATATGAAAATGCAGCAATATTTGTGCAATCAATTATATCGTGTAGTTAACTCATCAAATCTTGTGTCTCTGCCAAGACCTTCCTCAGCATTGATATACTGCCCTCTGTAAACACCAAAGACAGTTCAAGTTCATTCTATTAACATTTCGTTGTCATCAACATTACAGAAAACTCCAGTAGACTCAATTTCGCTTCTTTATATCCATCTTATCTATCCACCTAGCCTTAATATCTATGATAGCTGTATACCCCTTTTCTTGGAGCCATGGCAGCTGCAAACGACAAGCACGTCAAAGTCATGTTACACAAAAAGGTGTATTCATTTAATTTCAAAAGGCCGACGATTCCAACCAAGTCCAATCAACTTGGGATCTCTAACCTTTCTATCAAAGCTGGTTAATAATAGCAGCCCTCTGATTCACAGCCTCCATGACAAATTTCGCAGCCACGACAGAAACAGCCGTATGCTAACAACCACGAATAAGTAAACCCCCACCAAACCCAGACCAAAGAAAACACCAAAAATCTAAATACCAAAACCTTCAAACCCAAATCAACGTACCCCTGATTTCCAGCACCTTCCTTGACTGGCATCTCCTGGAAAGATACCTTGCAGCCTACCGTGTCGACTGCACATCACTGCGAGAGACTCAGGCACCGTGAAAAACCCAAACCACGACCGTGCTTTTCTTCTTCCCAGTATGTCCACCCCGAAGAAGCTCAGGGCTGCCATGGCAGCAGTGGCGGCGATGTACTTCATCGTCACATTCTTCGGCTCGCTAACCCCAGGCGATCCTACAACTTACACAGAGCATAACTCGAAAAGCCTCGAGAAACAGCGGAAGCAAGAACAGCATGTCAACTGGAAGCAGCACGCCGTTGATATTCAAACAAACAACATTAACAGGCTCCCTGAGATGGCCACCGTTCGCCAGCAATTGAGCTTTCAGTTTCCTTACGAGCCTCGCAAGGGATTCCAGAAGAACATATGGCAGACATGGAAAGTGGGCGTGGAGGACGGCACTTTCCCTGATAAGTACAAGAAGTACCAGAACGAATGGGCTGAAAAGAACCCAGGGTACCATCACTACGTGATTACAGACGAACAGTGTGATTTGATGATCAACGACTTGTTTGGATCGGTCCCTGACGTGAAGGAAGCATGGAATCTGATGCCCAAGAGTATCCTCAAGGCTGACTTTTTCAGGTACCTCATTTTGTACGCTCGCGGAGGCGTCTACTCAGATATCGACACTACTGCGCTTAAACCAATCGATACTTGGCTTTCTGCCAACGCTACTGTTTTTGACCAAGAAAATACTGCCGGTTTGGTGGTGGGAATCGAGGCAGACCCAGATCGCCCTGACTGGGCTGAGTGGTATGCGCGGCGGATACAATTCTGTCAATGGACCATTCAGGCGAAAAAAGGGCACCCGCAGTTACGCGAGTTGATTGCAGCCATTACAGAAATCACGCTTAATAGAAAGAAGAAGGGCCAGCTTCGGAAGGTGTTAGGGAAGGACGAAGGTGGCGATATCATGAACTGGACCGGGCCAGGGATTTGGACGGACTCCGTTTTTGAGTACTTGAACAACTTGGCTCAGCCTCAGATGAATAGAGACGAAGGAAAGGTCGAGACGATTGTGGACTGGCAGCTTTTTACTGGGCTCACGAAGCCACGGATCGTGGAGGACGTGATGGTGCTACCGATTACGAGTTTCTCGCCCGACGTGGGCCAGATGGGTGCTAGGTCGAGTAACCACGAGTTGGCGTATGCGAAGCACATGTTCCTGGGTTCCTGGAAGAACGACTAAGGAATGGAGAAATTTGATGTGCTGGAGTTCTCGATGGTTTAGTATCTGGCTGTTTTCGAATGCTTTTGCATTCAATGGCATTTGGGAGTAGGGCTCCCAACGAAACGCATCTTGCCGTTTCATTTTGCATTTTAAAGCCCCACAAACACTACTTCTATTCCATGGAGAGTATTGTGGGCTTACACATATGGTATTTTCAGTCTACATATAGCCAGGGATATGACGTCTCGTGGTCCTGATCAAGAAACATGCTTGTTTGGTGAAGTGTCAGGAATGTCACGGTGTACCCAGCGACTCACGACAGCAAAGCGCCCTGGCACAATAAACAAACAAAGCATTGACAAGACGATATTTCATGGGTATGACTTGTGTGGATAGCCCCTGGGCGGCCCGTGCCGAGTCTCGAACCGAAAAACAAAGCCTTATCACACCACTATGGCTATCTCAGCGGAATTGCCCATCGGAATCCTGGAAATCACTAAAAAGCTTACCAACCCTACGTCGCCTGGTGATGCAACTACTCGTACCTTTTGCAACCATTCTCACGAGATTCCTGCAACAGCCTGCTGCGCCTTATACACAGCGCTAGGCCCAATGGTAATGCCCAAGAGTCCACATGGAACTCCAAAGAACCAACCCATTTCTCAACACTACCACCAAACCAAGCCTTATGCTGTTGCTGTCGTGACCATCCCACAAGTGACTTCATGGAAAGTGCGAACCAAACCGGGCAAGCCAGACCGATTGCTTTATATATGGGGAAAGGCCCTTTTTGAGGCCTCGCCAGAAACCTGCATCGCGCGACAAGGGACTATAATCTGGGATCATCTTAAGAAGTCCCAGGTGGAACTAGGTACCAGAGGAACGTTTTCATATACTTATCATGCTTAAAGCTGCGTTGGTGATAGTTGACCTTCAAAAAGACTTTCTCCCCGGTGGAGCATTGGGTGTCCCGAGGGTGACCAGGTTATCCCCAAGATCGAGTCGCTTCTTAATCTTGAGAAGTATCCATGGCTGGCCGTGGTGATCACTCAGGATTGGCATCCCAAAGACCATTGCCTGTTTGCCCAGAAACACAATGTTGAGCCATTTACAGATATTGAGTTTGAGCATCCGCTAGGCGAGAAGAATTGCAAGACTGGCGAGGTGAAGAAACACCTTCAGACGGTATGGCCCGAGCACTGCGTTCAGGGGACTCCAGGTGCCGAGACAAACCCACGGATTTTGGAGAAGCTCGAGAATTCTGTGGCTAAGGTGGTTCCTACAGCGATCGTGAAGAAGGGCTATATTTCAGATCGAGAGTATTACCTGTGCTTCACTGACTGCTGGAAGATTCATCATACAGAGATAGGCGACTTCTTGGTGGAGAATAGTATAACAGACGTTGTTTTCGTAGGCTTGGCCTACGACTTCTGTGTTCTACATTCTGCGTGTGACTCTCTGAATTCAGGATTCAAAACCTTTGTGGTGAGAGACTGCTGCAAGAGCGTCTTCTCTGGACTGAATGAGGAGACAGAGAAAGCCTACAAGGCATCCAATGTAAATATCGTTAATCTTAATGAACTCTTGAAGGCCGTCTCTGCATGATGGCTTTCAGAGATTGTCTATGCTCCAAGTTGTGCTCGTAGTAACGCCTTCTGTCTTTCAAGAAGCATCCGCTTCACGTCTTCATTCGTGGGCATATCCGGTTCTTCCTTGGCAATTGACGGAACAGGATATAACTCTTCTCCTAGAGCTTGGTTGATTTCTCCCTGGATGTACCGCTCGTCAGCCACGATCATATCCTTCTCATCTTGTCCAAAGGACCCATAGTAGCTTAACGGCACATGGTGCTCTTCACGAGCTTCTTCTGGCGTCTTTTCTTTCTTTTGTGCTTCTGGCAATTCACGAGCACGACCATAATATCTTACTCCATTCACAAATATGCCTTCTTGTTTACCGAACCGAATGTAGTCTGTACCACCAAGCTTCTTGATGTGATGCTCCCAAGCACGCTTTTCTCGTTGTAGTTTACTGATTTCGTCATTCAATCTGCGTATTTCGTCTAGGCTTCGGCTAGGATCACTGATATCTGTAAGTTTCACTGAAACTTCTGTCACCACTGTTCTTCTCCATTTCTCAGCTTGCGGTAGCGATTCCACCTTCTGGACATACTTTGGGCGTAGCGCAGGATTGGATTCAAGAACTCCAGCTTCCTGCTCTTGCTGGGCATAGTACCTATGTAGCGTTGACTGGTTCTTCTCTTTATTACGTGACATGTTTGGGTGATGCGATGAGTATGTAGTTTTCCATACTTCGCAGTGCACTGTGTTGATAAGTTAGTACCAGAATACACTAAAGCTACCAATGGATTTCCCTTTTCCCGTTTTGTTATATGCTAGTAATTTACATGCCCCTAAACTGGTTCTTACCGGCACTTCTACGGCCAGCAAAACGCTGCTTAGTTCTTCCTTTCTTGGACTCGTCAACCTCTTCGTCATCTCTGTCACCTCTGAAATGGGGCTTCTTTTCTTTCTTGGGCTGGAAGGTCAACTCCATTTCTCCCTTACCGTGACGACGAAGCCTAGAATCATCGCTCTTCTTGTTCTTGGCCACCTTGTCAAGCCTGTTGACTTGCTTGTCGAACGACTCGGAGTTTCTTGCTTCAGTCTCGTCTTGGGTGACGGCCTTCATGTCGTTCATGAATCTGTCGGTTTCCTTTTGACGTTCTCTGCGCTCTCTGAGCTTGTTGAGTTCCTTGGCGACCTTTTCGCTTCGGCGTTGAACAGCTTCTGGGTCCTCCTCTTCTTCACTTTCATCGCTTTCATCGGAAGACTCTTCCTTCTTATCACCGTTCATTCTCTCTTCATCAGATTCTTCAGCTGCCGTTAAGCCACGAGAACGTTCTGTAGTAGTAACATCCTTAGTAGACCGCACAGGGTTGAGCTGCTTGTACTCGTAAGACTCCTCGTTGACAGCAAACTCTGGGTTCTCGAACAACTCGGCGAAACGGTCGTCGGTGGCAACATCCTTGCCCTCCAACTTCTCGTGCAAGCCTCTGTTGACCTTGATCTTGCTCTTTGTAACGGCACCAGTAGATCTGATACGAGACTCTCTCTCCTTCTCGATCTTCTTTCTGATATCTCTTTCTCTTTGGTCTCTGTATGAGTTGGGGTTGGCAATCAAGTTCACCTTCTCGTACAACTCGGTATTGATAAAGTAACCATGCATGTAGGATCTCAAGACACCGGTACCAATCAAGTGGATCAAGTTCAACTTTGCAACATCGTCTCTCGTGATAAATCTGTAGTTGGAGTAAACAGCATCTGTTGGCTTCTCCTCGAGCTCCTCGGTAATATTGTCCAAGAAGGAACACCATTTTGGAGCTGGTCCAAGATGTGGAATGTAGAATGCATGCATTGGCATACCTTCGTTAGCCATGAAGAACATACCACTCTCCTTGACATATGCAACGTCATTAATATCAACACTTGGCTCCATAGAGGTGTATGGTTTGCCATCAAATCTGCTCCAGATCTTAGCGATTCTCTTGTCAGAAGTGAGAATCTTGTCAGAATCGTTGGAGTTCTCATCAATCCAGATGATCTTACTCACATCAAATCCGTAACCTTGGTCTTTGACAACAGCAGGAGTGGATGTTCTGAGATCATAGATTAATGCCTTACCAGAAGAAGTACCGCATGCAAAGTTCAAACCATCATTACGAGAAGCAGCGGCGGTGACTTGTAGAGACTCACCAAGGTGTTCGTTGACAAAAAGCTTTGCAGCACGTTGCCTACTTCTTGGGTCCCAGAATTCAACTGTTCCTTCTTCTAGAGCGGCTGCAACGAGTCCATGCACTGGATTAATGTCAACGGCGTTCACACCTTGTTCGGTGTCCAAGACGTATGGATTGAGGAAACGACCTTGCTCTAGGTTGAGTCTGTAGATTTCATTGTCTGAAGCACCCACAAGCAAATCACAGTTAGATTTGTTGAAGGCTAAACTACGACCAAACTTCGGTATTCTGGTCTTGTAATGAATGCCACCTTTGGTATGGAACTCAATAGATCTGTCATTTTGAAGATGTACAGACTTTGTCCAGTCATTTGAAAGAATTGTGAAATCCACATTTTCAGAATCTGTGTGTCTATCAAACTTCAAAGACAAATTCAGGAAGTCATACAAGTGAATTTGAGGCTTGTATGTTCCAGTAGCCATGACATATTGGCCATCAGGCGTAACATTAATTCTGTTGGATGCTTCACTAAACTCGAAATCCTGGATAAGCTCAACACGGTTCATGTAGTCGGCATCTCTCTTGAGATCTCTCTTTCTCTTTCTTGCAATCCAGTCGGGCAACGAACGGGACACGTTCGAGCCTGCAACCTGGTAAACCGAAACATTACCGGCTGATGTGGACTTAAGAACCATGGTACTCTTCTACGTTTTGTATGAGATGATCATCGCCTGAAAAAATATGTACTACGAGTGGAGTCACGTGCATACATCGCCAAATATGTAACCATACCGCGCTCATTTTTTGCAGCCATTTCCAGTCTGGCGAATCCGACCTTCATCAAGGGATTCACTTTTTTTTGTCGCATCTGATGCCTTCTTCGTACCGGAAGCTGGAGACTTCACAGAATTTTCTTTGTTAAGAAAATCATATTCAGAACGAGGGACTGAGACCTGCTGACAACCGCCCTTATCCCATACTGTAAGATTTCCAACATTAGGATATTTCTGGTATCCATCATCAAACGTAGAATAGAACTGGACAAGTGCAGACATCACCAATTCCTCGCTTCTTTGAAGCTCCAAGTTCTCAAGAAGTAAATCCATAGTCTTCAAGACCACGGGTGCCATAGCAATATCGCTGTAGCAAATATCATTCGCCATGTTGAATGCGGTAATCCAGAATATATCGCTTTCGGTGTCGACTTCGTCAGTTGATTGATCTCTGCAAGCTGTGTGTAATTTCTTTAGCACATCAACGCAATCTTTCTCCACGAACAGACATTGAGGCCAATCACCCAACGCTTTCAAAGCACTCATGGCCGCCAATGATGCTGCAATGATCTTCTCTACCCTGTGGATAGCAATTTTGTTTTGTAATGGAAGAGCAGCATCTGGCTGTTCTTCTTTTGTGAAGATCTCACCAGGGAGAGTATTACCGAGTACCCGCAAGAAGCAACCAAGAGAAGCGATCAATGGGGGTAACATATTGGCGGATTTGACCTGATCTACTTCCAGAGAAGTAGCAGTGGTATTATTAACCGACAAATAATAATTTTCCTTAGCAAGCGGTGGAAGCAGTGTAAATTTGAAAATGGTTTTGAAAGGGGTGACAAAGTCGAAACTCTCCCCTAAACTTATCATTATATTCCGACTTACCAAATAGGTAGCATCACCAACCGTAGCGAGCAACGAAAGATTCTTTGCTTTGGTATTTTGTTGCTGGTATAACTCAGAGCTTTTATAGTAAGCTGTCGCTTCTAATCTTTCAGAAGCCAACTCTAAGCACTTTGGAAGTACTGGAAATTCGGTGAGATCAAAATCGAGCCCGTGACACAAGAGCTCGCTGATAAAGATACTTGGCTCAGTCACGGCAGACTCGTATGCTATCTTTTCGTCCAAGAGACGGGTTTCGATTAAAATATTAGCGCCAGGAGCATGGCCTCTTTCAGCCATGTAAATTAAAGATGGCCTATTAGTGATGGTATCCAAAATACGCGATGCTGGGGAGACGGTCAGAAGACTCTTAGACTTCTCGGCAGCAGCAATTATTTGTAGCACTGCCTTCCCAGATTGCAAGATACACAATGTTGTGAGCTCGCCAACATCCTCGTGAACCACGAGCTTTGCCAAGAGGTTAAAATCGACTGCTCCCTCTGGATCGTTAGGCTTTGCCATGGGGGAATATTTAGACGTGATTGACGCGGACTGTAACCTATTGCCCAATTCGCTCACTTCCGCCAACGCCTTTCTTGGCTCGATATTGATTGCCAGCAAGACCTCAGGTAAGGTCTCGACAATGCAAGCAACCAATGCAAAGTTATCTTCTAAGGTGAGGGATGCGTTACCAGCGCTGTTTCGCCAGATTGCGAACATGGCACCAGCAGAGCCCTTTCTCTCGTAAGAGGTAAGTGGACTCCATTCTGAGGGTAAACCGCCAGCAAAGCGCTTGACCAAGTTGTTAAAAAGCTTATTCTCAGTCAAATGGGAAACAAGCAAGCGAACAAAGGCTGAGACAAATGAGGCTGGAGCTTTCCGAGGAATCAAACAAGCCATTGACTCCAAAAGCGAGTCAATAGCCACGAGCTGAGTATCAGGAAGCCCAAAAGGGACCCTGTCTACACCAGCAGTGGCCACGATATTGGCAATAGAATTAGCCTGGGAAGTTAAATTCTCACAATGGGAGTTTTCCTCAAATGGATCAAGCATTAAGTTTTCAGTTGGCATGGTTAATATAGAGGGGGAAAAAGGTATGAAAAGATGGATAATTTGTAAACACAGGGCAAATTTCACGCTTGTTATAGAGACCTAGGAAGGAGGTGTTTTCACTCCCTACCGCCCGTTGCCGGGGTAACTCTATAATAAATTAGCGAAATCTGAAACTGCCATATATAAGACGCTTGATCCGCATAGAAAAGAAATGTCATGGTAATATTTTCATTCACTTTTGTTCCCTCTTTAATTACATTTCTGGTACACTCTTGGTGTTTATAAACAACGTTGGGTGGTGGAAGCCAAGTGGTGAAGAATGTTTAGGTCCTAAGCAAAGCTTATCAGTGATAGGAGGAGATCAGCAAACAATCAACCTACAAACAATACAGACTTGACCGAGATCTGAGGATTGTGGTTAGCGATGAAGACCATTAAGACTAGGATATATTACGAAGCACAAGTGTCTACTTTAGATCATTATGTATTGAATGATGTCTTCTGGACCCATGTATGCAAGGGATCGAGTGTTCGAGGTCGGTCAGGGACGTGCGGCTGGTGGGAAAAGCAAGATTGGTGGAGAGGCATTTTTTAGTTTACGCAGTCCAGCTGAGGTTTCGCCAGAGCCAGATATCAAAAAAGAAAAGCAAATAAAAAGAAAAAAAGAAAGCCAGCATGGCCTGGAAACGCTTCCAAAAGTTTAAACTTACGAGTGCTTCGAGGCCGACACTTTCCTTTTTCTGCTTGCCAGTTGTTCCCTCTTTTTTTTTTTTTTTTTTTACTTGTTCTTGTGGATGTGCCATCCTCGAACAAACCTCGCCTCAGATATGGGGTAGTTCATGCATCGGGCTACATTTGCGGAGTGTGTGAGGACGTACGGTTACAAGATCATGTCAGGATAGCAAGGGTGGCACGACAAAGCACGGAAAACCGTTGGATGCTTAGCATGGCTATGTTTCTAACTTTCATGTTAAATCTTCCACGTTGTGACCCCACTCGGTGGCATACCCTAGTCACCCATTCAGATTGATCTCAGCCTGGTTGCAGCTTTGCTATCACTGTCAAGCGCTGCAGTGGGCTGCAAAATGGGCAAAAAAATACAGGAACCATAAACTTTATTTGCGCTGCTCATACACTCCGGACCCCACCCAATGCACAAAAGACCCGCCTCACTGGCTTACTCTTTTTTGCTCTCCAAAGCATTCTGGCTGCAAGACAGTTAAGGGCCCTTTGTTTTCTTCTGGCCAAAGTTTACCCGGCATTATAGTTCTGGACATCTCATTTATGGCTTTTGCCGCCAGCCTATGCATCTCCAGTGCCCCCAGGGTTCAGAATATATAAAGCCAAAGGTTTCTGTCTCCAGCCGCCTCAGGGATTAGGTCCTAAAAGCAGTCTTCCTTAAATGAACTACAGTTACTCTCTTGCAGCATCTTTCGAATCAGCAAGACGCTCTTCTTCATTCACGCCAAAAATCGAAAGCTCGGTATCTTCACCAGCCATGTCTGATAGCCACTTCAGCACTAGAAGTTCTCCTATCGACCTCGACGATATCACCAAAGAGTTTCAGCGTTACAAGAGCATGTTGTCTTCTGAAAGCATCTCCTCGGACAAGGAAGAGTGGCCTGGAAGACAGGTTGGGCTTCGGGAGATGCTCGACTCTGAACGCGCAGACACTGGCTTCAACCACAGCTCCACCCCAGTACTGTCTCATATACACTTACCAACCACGTCTGAGTCTACCATCAAGGACTACGAGCTGAAGATGGAAAGAAGACGCAGCGTATAGACACTTATACACCTCGATATACAGTTGACCTGTTACACTTGATATACCTTTCAGTTCATAGTTTACATAATTGTTGTTTAATTTACAAGATTCTTTTATTTATTTACCAGTAAGAGTCCTAATTAAGCTGGGAGCCCAAGTTGGCTAACTGTTTCAAAACGGCGCTTTTGGCGGTGCCGCCAATAGCGGTTCTTCTCTCCACACTAGCTTCAAAGTCAAATGTACTCAAAACATCCTCCCCAAACCTAGAGTCTATCTTCTGTAATTGGTCGAGACTTAACTTGTCAATACCGGACAATTTAAGGTCCTCGGCTGTTCTAACACATTCGCCAGAAATGTGATGGGTTTCTCTAAAAGGCACACCTTTTCTGACCAAGTAATCGGCCAAATCCGTCGCCAACATGTCCATGGTCAAAGCGCCTTCCATCTTCTCCTTGTTGATCTTCAAAGTGGAGATCACGCCAGTGGCAATGAGAATAGAGTGTTCAGTGGTTGTAAGGGCATCAAAGAGTGGTTCTTTGTCTTCTTGCATATCCTTGTTATACGTAGAAGGAATAGACTTCAAGGACATCATAAATCCAGACAAAGCACCGAATGTACGTCCGCATTTTCCTCTCAAAAGTTCAAGCGAGTCTGGATTCTTCTTCTGTGGCATTAAAGAAGATCCTGTGGAGTAGGCATCGGCCAACTGAACAAAGCCAAACTCAGCTGAGGAATAAATAATTAAATCCTCAGAAAAACGAGAGATATGGTTCATGAACAAAGAAGACCAGAAAAGAGTCTCAACGACGAAATCACGGTCTGAAACAGCTGCCAAAGAGTTACCAATAACGCCCTGGAAACCCAAGCCTTGCGCCAAGTACTCTCTGTCAATGCCGTATGGGTGACCAGCCAACGCACCAGCACCCAAAGGAGACTTGTTGGCTCTTTCAATAATCTGCTTCAATCTGTTATAGTCTTCAGTGAAGTAAGTGGCGTACATCGACAACCAGTGGGCCCATCTGATAGGCTGGGCACGCTGCAAATGCGTGTAACCAGGCATCAAGACGCCAATCTCAGTCTCTGCTCTCTTCAAAATGGCAGAAATGAAAGTTCCCAAGAACTCAAGAAGCTTGGTCAAGTTCTCCCTGACATAAATTCTCATGTCAGTAGCAACCTGGTCGTTTCTGGATCTACCAGTGTGAACCTTACCGGCAATGTGCTTACCGATAATCTCACCAAGTCTTCTTTCATTGGCCGTGTGAATATCCTCATCACCAGCCTTTTCTTCAAACTTGTCATTCTTCCATTCCTCTCTAATCACCTCCAAGCCTCTGTGGATCTCCTTCAACTCAGACTCGTTAATCAAGCCCAACTTATTCAATCCCTCAGTATACACCTTAGTACCGGTCAAATCAGCATCGTACATTCTCTTATCGTAAGGAAGAGAGGCATTGTAGAGATCCATCAATGGGTCCGTGGCGCCGGTGAAACGACCACCCCACAATTTGGCTTCAGCTGGTTTATCAGACATGTCTGGTTATCTGGATAGTTGAAGATTGGAGATAATCTGTGCGACTAATTAAGTACTGGAAGTAATGTGTCATACTTGCGCGCATAGTGTGAAAAAAATTTATAGGTGAAATGGTTGCAAAATTCTACATTATGTAGGGCTCAAACACAATGTACAGCCCTGACATGTCGCTTCATTATGGTATCTCGCGTAGTCCTGTTATTTATATTATATTCCCATTGGGCATGTTTATGGCTTGCATCTACCGGTGAATCTAGGGTACAAGGAGCAGTCTCTGACAGTGTATCTGTCACACAACCAAGCCAAGATTCTCTCGGTACCCAAACCGTAACCACCGTGGGGACAGGTACCGTATTTTCTAAGGTCTGTGAACCAGTAGTATGGCTCTGGATCGAGGTTCTCTCTCTTGAGAGCAGCCATCAACTCGTCGTAGTCGTCAATTCTCATAGAACCACCGGTGATCTCACCAACGTTAGGCATCAACACGTCAACAGACTCGGTGACTCTCTCGTCATCATCACACTTCTCCATGTAGAAGGACTTGATCTCGACTGGGAAACGGGTCAACAAGATTGGAACATTCAAAGTGTCGGTCATCTTACGTTCAGCAGCCTCGGCGATATCATCACCAAACTTGAACTTCTCGCCCTCCTCGTTTGGAATGCCGTGCTCGTTCAACCAGTCCAAGGCTTCAATGTACTCCATTCTCTTGAATGGTTGTGTTGGTGGCTTGAAGTTAGGGTTCAACTTCTTGATCAAAGGACCAGTGACTGGGTCCTCCAAAACCGTCTTGACAACAGCAACAAAGAGTCTCTCCAAGTGGTTCAACATGTCTTCAAAAGTGATGAAGCCCAACTCGGCCTCAATATGTGTGTACTCAGACAAGTGTCTTCTGGTGTGGGACTTCTCGGCACGGAAGGATTCTTGCACACAGAAAACGTCACCAAGAGCTGGCAAACAAGTCTCCAAGTACAATTGAGAAGATTGGGTCAAGTAAGCCTCCTCACCGTAGTAGTCCAACTTGAACAAGGTGGAACCACCTTCAACCTGGGTTTGGACCATGCATGGTGGGGTCACCTCCACAAGACCTTCATCAGCGTAGAACTTTCTGATGGCATCAAGAAGACCAGCTCTAACCTTCAAAACGTTAGACAAGGTCTCACCTCTCATGGTCAAGTGTCTTTGGTCCAACAACAATGATGGGTCAGCCTTCTCCTGGACCTTGTTGGTGAAAGCGTCTTCACCAGAAGGAGCCAAACCGACAACCTCGTAGTAGTCAGCCTTCAATTCAACACCACCTGGAGCAGTCTTGCCCTCTGGCAACTTCTCAACGACACCCTTGATGGTGACAGTAGACTCCAAGGTCAATTCTTGGGTAATTCTAGCCTTAGCCAAGTCACCAGTCAAGACAGTCTGCAAGTAGCCGGTACCGTCTCTCAATGTAATGAATGCAACGCCCTTCTGGGATCTGAAACGGTGAACCCAACCAGACACAACAACACGCTGGTCGATGTTATCTTGAATGGCTCTCAATTTGATCTTCTTAGCCTCAGGCAAGGACTTGTCTTCCTCGATCTTGATCAAGTCCAATTCAGCCAATTTCTTAGCATTCTCCTCATCTTTAAGTTTCTGGTCTTCAGCTTGCTTGGCCTGCTTTTCGGCCTTCTTCTTAAGACCTTCAGCACCCTTCTTGGCCTTCTTCAAGGCAGATGCAGAGATCTCAGCGTATTCGAACTCTTCTGAGTCATCCTTCTTCTTGTAAACGAAGATTGTAGCCTCTGGGGACTTGTAAGCAGCAAAAGCTGGAGTCTGGAATGGTTGTTCCTGAGAGCCGGCAGCTTCAGAATCAGCACCGCTCTTTTCGTTAACGTAGACTTTGGACATTGTACGTTTCACCGTTAACCTCTAGTGAAAATGTCTGTACATTGAATTTTTTTGAAGCGCGGTCGTGCACCAACAGATCGGTGGACTCGGTAGGTGGACCGAAGAAACAAGTCATGTAGTGAATAATGGGGATAGAAACATGAGTCATTGTTTATGTAGTGAAAAGACGATATCGAAGGGAAGTCTTTTGTTGTTAATGACATAAATTCAAAGAATTGGGCGGAATATAGGAAGATATACGAAGTATACTCTAGCCTGAGACCGAGTTCAGCTGAGAAAAGTGTTGATATCCAAAGAGCCTTGAAAATCCGGGTAAATACATGTCCAATTTACATTTCTTAGGTTCATTTACCCTGTTTATAGTGCCTCCACTGGCTTATTGGGATGCCCCTGAATTAGCTGCGAAAGGAAACGGTCAGAGATACACAAAACCAGACTATAACAACGGCGGTTAGAGATAAGGAGTTTAACATGTGAAGATGGTGGAAAACACGAAAAAGAAGAAACACAATAGAATTCGAAAGTACATGTGATAGCCTTTTTACGAGAAAAGTTGTTGTTGTGAATGCCCTATTGTCACACTAGTAGCCAGCAGCTTCCACTCCAGCTTCACCAACTAGCACCCTCTGCTTTGCCACACATTGGACCTTAAAGTCCACGAAATGCACCTGATAGGTCCTCTCACTTCCTTGTATTCCCCCTCGCCTTCCCCTATTCTCCTACGGTCCACCCACATCCACCTACCATCAGATGTTCACACTACGCACTTACAGTACCACCATTCAACCACTCACCAACCAATCCACATCCAATCCAACCGTTACCCACCGAAACCCGAGCAAGTCCGAACCCAAGCCATCTTCCTTCCTTCCTCTTCTCTACTTCTCCATTTCCATCGTAAACGCCTCCCCACCACAGCTGTACGTCCACTTCCATCACTCCCTCAGACATCCAGGCATCCAGGTATCCCCCACACCTCGCAATTCCGGCCTTGTGACTCAAGTGACTGCGAAATGACCCTTCCGACTTTCCCACCCAAATCACCCAAATCGCCAATCCAAGCATGTCACGTAAAACTACACCTTCCATTCTCCTACCATGCAAATTCCCACTTGCCAAAAACCACTGCTTCCCTCTTTCTCCTTGACCCAGTATCTCGCTACCGCCTGCCCCATGCGCGACCGGTTGCAAATTAGGAAAATGGGCCCGTGCAAACAAAAAAGCCCACAACAAGTCACCTCGTAAGTGGCATTATTCTGGAAAACAAAAAAGCGCAAATTTAAACTACGGCATTCCATTCACCTATAATGCCATTCCCCTGGCTTTCCTGCCACTTGTGGTACCTTGGGCTTGCTTTTTGTGGACGCCTGACGAAACCCCGAGACGTCATTCGGTGTTTATCAGGACACTATCGCCAGCGGTTTCCTCAAGCGCGAGTGTTATTTTATTATACATTTTTTTTTTCTTTCCGCACCGCTTTTTTTTTTTTTTTCCTCATCTCCAACGTCTGATTCACCCTTGGTTATCTTCGTTTTTTTCTTCCCCATAAAAGCGAGTTTACTTTTTTTTTTTTTTTATATTACATCTTTCCCCAACCTTTTTCATCAAATTATCCTCCAAAATTCTCTCCAACTCAGAAATCGCCCAACAGCCATCGCACAACTTCATGGCTCTCGAACAATCTTTGGCTGCGCTCTCCATCGCCGCCGTGGCTGCTGAGTCGGCCATCCCAACGAAAACCCTTGTGCTCAAGCCAAAGACTGCTAAGCTGGCTACTCCTGTTCCTGTGGTTGTGTTTGCTTTGCAGGCTACTCCAACTCCTAATGCTACTATCGCTAAAGCCGCTGGCGTCAAGGAACCTCGTATGGCCAATAACGACTTGATCGCTGAGTTCTTCAACACCACCGCCAAGGAGGTTTCCGTGGCTAACTTGTCTAAGGATTTGGCTGGTAAGGTGAAGTTGGTTTTGGATGCTGGTATCGCTCACGCGTCCGACCAGGTTAAGCTTGAGTTGAGCACTGAGTCCGCCAGAGTCTCTGTCTCGTCCAAGGACATCAATGCCTACTTGGAGTCTACCGGTATCGAGATTATTACCGTGGACTTCCTCTCTGAAGCTACTGCTCTGCCAGCTGCTGCTCCTGTGGCCACTGCCACGTCTAGAAAGGAGGTTTTGAAGAGAGAAAAGGAGGCTGCCAAGTTGGAGGATGCCAAGTTGATTGGTATCACCGTGGACAAGTCTAAGGACTTTTCTTCTTGGTACTCTCAGATTGTTACTAAAGGTGAGATGTTGGACTACTACGACGTCTCGGGTTGTTACATTTTGCGTCCAAACTCCTACTTCGTTTGGGAGGAGATTCAGAACTGGTTCAACGGTAACATCAAGAAGCTTGGTGTTAAGAACGCCTACTTCCCTATGTTCGTCTCTTCCAAGGTTCTTGAGAGAGAGAAGGACCATATTGAGGGCTTCGCTCCTGAAGTCGCTTGGGTCACTCGTGCTGGTTCCTCTGAATTGGAGGAGCACATTGCCATCAGACCTACCTCAGAGACTGTCATGTACCCATACTACGCTAAGTGGATCCGTTCCCACCGTGACTTGCCTTTGAGATTGAACCAGTGGAACTCTGTTGTCCGTTGGGAGTTCAAGCACCCTCAGCCATTCTTGAGAACCAGAGAGTTCTTGTGGCAGGAAGGTCACACCGCTCATTTGACCCAGGAGGGTGCTACTGAGGAAGTTGACCAGATCTTGGAGCTTTACAAGCGTATCTACGAGGAATTGTTGGCTGTTCCAGTCATCAAGGGTAAGAAGACTGAGAACGAAAAGTTTGCTGGTGCCAACTACACCACTACCGTTGAAGGTTTCATTGCTGCCACTGGTAGAGGTATCCAGGGTGCCACTTCTCACCACTTGGGTACCAACTTCTCCAAGATGTTCAACATTTCCGTGGAAAACCCAGAGGGCCCAGACAAGCCCCGTGTTAATGCATTCCAGAACTCTTGGGGTTTGTCCACTAGAGTCATTGGTGTCATGATTATGACTCACTCTGACAATAGAGGTTTGGTCTTGCCACCAAGAGTGGCCCAGACCCAGGTCGTTGTTGTTCCTGTTGGTTTGACCACCAAGTCCACCAAGGAGCAGCGTGAGACCATCAACAAGGGCGCCAAGGACATTGAGCAGAAATTGTTCGACGCCGACGTTCGTGTTACTGGTGACTACAGAGACAATTACTCACCAGGTTGGAAGTTTGCCGACTGGGAGTTGAAGGGTGTGCCATTGCGTATTGAGTTTGGTCCAAAGGACCAAGCAGCAGGTCAGGTTCTTGCTGTCAGACGTGATACTGGTGCCAAGTTCACCGTTAAGTTGGACGAATTGGAAACTAGAGTTCCAGAAATCTTGGAGATCATCCAAAAAGACTTGTTGGAGAAGGCTCGCAAGGACTTTGACGACCATCGTGTGGTTGTTGAGGACTGGAAAGACTTCGTTCCTACCTTGAACAACAAGAACGTCATTTTGTCTCCTTGGTGTGGTGTCCCTGAGTGTGAGGACGACATCAAGGATTCTTCTGCATCGACCGGGGAGGACGAGGAGCAAGACGAGAGAGCACCATCAATGGGTGCCAAGTCCTTGTGTATCCCTGGTCACCAGCCTCCTTTGAAGCCAGGACAAAAGTGTGTCAGATGCACACGTAAGGCTGTCACTTACTGCATGTTTGGTAGGTCTTACTAATTGTAATTAGGTCATGGATTATGGGGTGGAGTTATGTGTCATAGATTTTGTTTCTATTAATTTAATTGTATTATCGGTACTGGTCCCAAAAGGGGGACTCTGACAAACTAGCCACGTTCCCTTCCGCTACCACGGTTTTGCCGTGTGCATCGATATCCAAATAGTATACACTGTCTAGCTGAAGCGTAGACTTGACGTACTCCCAGACCTTATGATAGTTCAATCCAACCTGTGCATATGCATGTGAGTCATCAGAAAGACAGAACTTTCCACCTAGCTGCTTGATCAACAAGGCAATATCCTTCTTAGGATACGGCAGATCCCAACCTTTCCTTAAGGCAGCCGAATTAAACTCAAATAGCCCACCATATGAGATCACGAATTCTATGTTTCTTTTAATCAACTGCCAGACATCAGGCCAATCTGTCTCTATGTTTACCTCTGAAAGTAGTTTGCCAGTAGTTGGGTCAACATCGTTAACCCTAAACAATCTGATTAAATCGAAATGTCCCGCAATATCTGGTTCAACCATGGTCAAAACCTTATACTGTAGTTCATAGTACTCTTTGTACAATTGTCTTGTAGAACCATCACACGCTTCACGAGCTTTCCTCCAGTTAGCTTCATCAAAATCAATAGGAATCCCCTTGACAAAATGAACTGATCCCACACACATGTTTATAAGCGGTCTGTACTTCTCAACAGCCTCAATGTGGGGCACATCAATACCTTCCACCTCCAAGCCAATAAGAATCTTCAACTTGCCATTGGCATTCTCTCTTTTCTGAATTTCATGAGCGTGCTGGAGATATTTCTCAAACCTATCGTCCAAGCTATTTGTTGTCATGCCCTTATCTAGTTCCTCGGGATATAGAAACTTATGTTCCAACCTAGGCATATGTTCAGTAAGACAGAACTGCTCAAACTTCCTATCTTTAGCTGTTTGGATCATCTGCTCTAGCGTACCGGTCGCATGTTCAACATAGTCACCGCTATGGGAATGGTGGGAATGCATTGGATTCTCTGGTGGTCGGAATAAGTGTAGTAGTCTGCACCTTATATTACCACTTTCGCAGTGGTTATGGGTTTTGGTAGATACTGAAGATGAGTGAATAATAATGCCTACCATTGGTCCATAAATAAAGGTAAGGAAGTATGCTTTGAAAGGGCTGGAAGTTTTTGGAAAGGTTCTTGAATTTCATGTAAATCATCGATTTTTATTTTTTTATGTTATTTGAATAATTTTTCACTACCCACTGTTTATGTATGAAAACGAGTATTTACGCCAGATATTGCGTTTTGCAACCAGTAATGAATACAAACAGTGCAAACAAAAAGCAAAAAACTCGAAACCCAACGAACATCACTACCTTGGTGATGTCGAACGCTACTTACAAAGGTTACGATAATTCTTGATGAAAATATCGTAAGATTGATCCATCCGAAGAGGCTTCTATTCCATTTCGACTGCACATGGCCATATCTTCTACTACTAGCGCTTCACTACTTAGACAAGCTTCCTAGGTAGACAGAACAGATGAGGCTTCTACGGTCCACGTCTTTGGGCGTAAAGGCTCTTGGAAACAGCTTCAACCAAATATCCAGACTATCTACACTCGTTCCAACAATAAAAGAGGTTTTGAACAAACCACCTCCAACTGAATCAGTCATCACAGTGAATGGCCATATCAAATCGTTAAGAACATCTAAGAATGTTGGTTTCATAGACATTTCAGACGGCCTGAGCTCTGAAACGCTCAACATAGTGTTTCCGACCCCTGAACAGGTTCTTGAACTGGCCCATTATAAGGTAGGCCAAAGCTTGTCTGTGACTGGAAAATGGATCGAATCAAAGGGAAAGCAGAACTTTGAAGTACAATATGATATTCAAGATCCAGAGCATCTGATGAAACTCATTGGCAATGTCCCTGATACCTTTCCGATTCAAAAGAAAACACATTCATTACAATTCTTGAGAAGTCTACCGACCTTGCGCCATAGAACAGCTTCATTGGCTTCAATCTTACGTTTCCGTTCTTTACTCGAAGCAAAGTTAGTGGAGTTTTTCAGCAAAAATGATTTTATCAAAGTGACACCACCTTTAATTACATCCTCAGATTGTGAAGGTGCTGGTGAACAATTCAAGGTAGAGCTGTTACGTAAAACTGATGGCGATCAAGGATTCTTTGGAAAGCCTGCTTACTTGACAGTGTCGACCCAATTGCATCTTGAAATTCTTTCATCTTCGCTCAACCGAGTGTGGACCCTTACCCCATGCTTTCGAGCAGAGGATTCAAACACGAATAGACATCTTAGCGAGTTTTGGATGTTGGAGGCGGAATTGTGTTACGTCGATAATGTTCACCAAGTGACAGAATTAGTCGAAAGCATGATTCGTAGTGTTGTGGAGGCAATCAAAGAAGAAAAGACTGGTCTTGCTGACCTTATAAATGCAAGGTTCAGCAAAGACGAAGCTGCCCGCATCAACGAGCGCTGGAATTCTGTTCTTTCAAATGAAAAATGGCCAAGCATCACCTATAGCGAGGCTATAGATATTATCAACCAGGTGAAATGTAAAGGCAGGCTGAAGGGCCGTTTGAGTTGGGGCGATTCCATTCTGACAGAACATGAAAAATGGCTCGCAGGCACTCATTTCCAATCGCCAGTTTTCATCACGGATTACCCAGCTGAACAAAAACCATTCTACATGCCTAGATCAGACGAAAAGATCTATAATCCAGAGAAACCTACAGTGGCATGCTTTGACCTCATAATGCCAGACATTGGAGAGCTAGTAGGAGGCTCTATGAGAGAACTGAACCACGATAACCTTCTTGCCGAAATGCAAAAAAGAGGTATGAATGTTGCTGAAATGGACTGGTACCTCTCCAACACATTAAATGGATCCGTACCCCACGGTGGCTTTGGTATGGGATTCGAAAGACTTATTGCATACCTTAGCACCATGGAAAACATTAAAGATGTCACAGCCTTCCCCAGAGCACCCGAATTATGTGCCTGTTAAATTCCCCACATGCCATTTCCCAGAATATAGATTCTTGTATATACTATCAAAACTGTTTGCTAATTACTGTAGGTGCCTTGGCGTGCGCGTACCACCAAAGCATGAAAAGTTTTTGGCAGTGAGTACCTCTCTCTTGCTTAACTACCCATATATCAATACAAATTACACCAACATGGATCAGTTGAACGTCAAAGAACAGCAGGAGTTTCAGCAAGTTGTTGAGCAAAAGCAAATGAAGGATTTCATGAGACTTTACTCCAACTTGGTCTCTAGATGTTTCGATGACTGTGTCAACGACTTCACCTCCGCCAACTTGACCAGCAAAGAGTCTACTTGTATCTACAAGTGTTCTGAGAAGTTCTTGAAGCACTCCGAGAGAGTCGGCTTGAGATTCCAGGAGCAAAAGTATGTTAATCAATCAAAACTATAAAACCTGATCTGAGGGCAATCGAATCCATATACTAACCAACCAGCGCTATGTTGATGCAAAACATGCAGAAGAACTAGTTTCACTATGACCATTTAACAGAATGACGGAATGACGTTAGGCCTTTGTGCCATTTGTATATATTTCACGCAAGCACAATACAATCTATCGATAGAGAGGAGAAGTACTGTCCTGTTCATGAGGATGAATTACATTGTAGGTTCTTACAACAGGAGGCTATAATGTAGGATATAATCGTAGATCACTTTCCCAGTAGATCAACAATTTTCAGATCAATTAAATTGGTTCCAGGAAGTTCGCCTACTACCACCTCCAAGTACTATAGACTTGAGGTGCGCATTAAACTTCACCAGAAACAAGTACTTATGGACTCGGCGTCAACAAACCAGATGCACCACATTTTGGTGGCACATGTCGTCAACAGTATCGTCAGTACATCACAGATAAAGAACGATGTCGTGGACTGTGAATTGACAAAGTTCCTAGCTACTTTGAACAAGCTTTTGAAGGACTATCAGAAAACATTCGACCTAGAAGACAAACTGGAAATGATCGGAAGCAATAACCTACGAACAATAATACAAGACTCAGAATTTAAACAGATACTCAATATCCATGAAGATTCGGTTAGAATAGACGCCACGCCACGCAAGCTACAGACGGTGCTCTCTAACGTACTAGTCAACACTGCCATACGATATAGTGAAATCTTGACACTGGAAGTTAACGAGCTCACGGAGAAGTACCACAGCATTGATGAGAATGCTCTTACTGAAGAACCAGCAGAAGAAGGTGCTGAAGCCACAGAAGTCAAGCCTGAACAAGTGCAACCATCCGAACTTCCTGCGGAGGATAAGATGGAAGTTGACAACCCTCCACAGGTGGAAGAAAGTCTTCAAGAAGGTGCGACGAATTTGGAGACGCTCAGCGTTCCTACTGAAGAAGTCAAGGAAGAACAGGCTCCGGAACCTGCTAGTGAAGTGCCTCCAAGTGAACCGGTAGAAGTGGAGATGCCGAGCGTTGAGCAACAAGACACTGTGGAAGAAGAGCAAAAGGAAGAAGAGAAACCTGAAGCAACTGAACTAATACCAGAAGCAGTGGCTCCTGTGGATGAAGAGAAGGATGAAGATAATTTGGAGTCTGCCACTGGTCCTTCAGCAGAGGAAGTAGCGGATTCTTTCATACAAGAGCAAGCCGATGATGAAGTGGAGGACAAAGCAGAGACCAAGGAAGAGACTTTGGTGGAAGCCGATAGTGCTCTAACGCCTGTGGGTGAACTGGAAGATAAGTCTGTTACTGCTACACCCGAGCCCACTACCGCTCGGGAAGATATCGACACTGAAGAACCAGCATCTCCCGAATCAACTCCAAAGAAGCATGATCTCATCAAGGAAGACTCAAGAAAGCGTTCGCTGTCACCCCTGGCGGCTTCACAGAAACACAAGCGCTTCCAGAATATCGCAGTTAATCTTGTTAAGACTATCGAGGAACACAGGTTTCTGTCGCCCTTTTTAGTTCCTGTGAACGCTAAGGAGTACGAACAAGTTATCTATGAGCCCAAGGACCTCAAGAGCATACTCAAGGCTATCAGGCAGAAAGACGTCCAAGCATACGAGACAGTAAAAGAACTAGAAAGAGACATCATGCTTATGTTTGCTAATTGCGTGATGTATAACAAGTCAAGTACACATCTTGTTGAAATGGCCAAGCAGATGAAAGATGATGTTAGGAAAACATTCAAGATGTTCGAAGATGCCGAATCAGGTATTTAATATACTACAGCATAGATTTCGTCGTTTATCTGTATTAATTGATGACATAGATCGTAATGGCATTACGTGAGGTAACAAAGTTTATATGACAAGGTAGTTGTGCGAGAAAACTCGCTTATTAGGACCTCTTAAAGAAAGCTGGAACCTTGACCAAGAAGAATTTGACAATTGGATCGTCATCGTAGTTGTTGACAACGATAATGTCCTTGTTCTCTTCCTTCTCACCCTTCTCACCGATGTCACCAACTTCGGCTGGAGAGGCTTCGTCCAAGGACTGGACAGAAAGCAACTTGTGGTTTCTCAAGAGAAGAGAAGCCACAAGCAATGGAACACACAAAGCTATACCAGCGATACACATTTTTCTTTGAACGTCGGCGTAAGCAATGGCAACAGCTCTTCTTGGTGGGGTTCCCCAAGGGTATTCAGCAGACAATTTGAATGGGTTAGAGTAGGCGATAGTAGCCATGGTGGAGTTGTTGATACCGAAGTTGTCCAACTCGTCCACGATTTTGTCGTACATGAGCTGAGTCCAGATAGCACCAGAAATACTGTTACCAATGGCAGAACCAATGTTGTAGGTGGCCAAGTAAAGGGAAAGAAGAACAGCCATGTACTCGTGGTTAGTACAAGTTTGGATAGAAAGCTGGGTAGTGTAAGTGAAGAAACCGGCACCGAAACCCATAACACAGAGAGCACCAATGATACCGTCCTTGACGTGCTCAGCATTGAGACCATCGTTGGCACCTCTGAAGTGGAAAAGAAGACCAGTAGCAACGAACCAAGTAGCACAACCAAAGATAATGAATGGCTTAGTTCTTCTGACAAGAACAAGGACCAAACCAAGCATTGGACCAACAATGACGGAAACGAAGGAGTACAAGGATTGAATTCTGATAGTAGCCTTTTCAGAGGTGTTCATACCAATCCTCAAGACAGTGTACATGTAATCGTTTGGCAAGGTCCAAATAAGGTTGACCATCATAGCAATAACAAGGGATGCCCAAACACCACGGTCTTTGAGAAGCTTGAATGGAACGATAGGGAACTTGGCGAACTTCAATTCCCAGATGACAAAGAATGGGATGAGAACGAAACCAATAACCAATGGAACAATGGTGGAGGCTTCCTGCCACTTAGTGCTCACACCACCAGCAAGGGTGAATGGCACCAAAATGAAACCGAAGACACAAATGATGAAAAGGATACCAACGACATCAAGGAGCCAGAACAAGTCGGTGAGTTCCCAAGCACACCATTTGATAGTGTGCCAGACCTTGGCTGGCCACCTCTTCCAAATGCTCATGGTGGTAAGTCTTGGAATATCGTTGACGTAAGCCCGGTACAATCTGTTGTTCAGGATACGGTGTTCCTCCTCCTCCATCTGCACTTGCATGTACTCAGGAGTCCTACCAGCCAAGATTCTCATGTGGATCAAGATGCAAAGGAATGGGATACAAGACAATGGGAAGATAAAGGCCCACATACCAATACCAAAGTTCCAAGAGTAGTTCCGCTCGAGCAGGTCCAAAACATCACCACTAACCCAAGTGTTAATAATGAAAGGAGTAGCTGGAATGAAGGAAGCAAACAACCTCCAGTTCAAGTTGGACAAATCAGCCAAGAAGACTTCCAACATAAGCATGATACCAGAGTAACCAACTTGGTAGAGAACACTTCCACCGGCGAAACGCTCAACATCGAAGGCCTGGGAAGAAATCACAGTACCGACAGCGTAGAAGATGATGGAAACAACCATCAACTCGATACGACCGAGAATATCAGACATTCTGGCGTAAGTTGGCTGGGAAGCAGCAGCAACCACAGTTCTGATAACATTGACAGTGGAAAGAAGGGAGTGCTGGTCGTAAGAACTCTGAGCTTTTGTCTGTAATGCGGATCTGACGGTACCGTCCAAACCGTAGGTGTAAGCAATAAAGAAGACACAGAGGTAAGCCAAACCAATCATAGCTGGATGAGTGTACTGAGCACACATGAGCTCAGCCTTTCTAATACCGAAAGACTTAGCGGTGGAAGCCTGAACCTGAGACTTGACAGTGTCACGTCTGTCAAGGCCATCCGAAGAGTGTTCATCACTCAAGTGCTTGGATTCATCGCTGGCGGCAACAGCCCTAGAAGGCTCGTTAACAGCAGGGTCCATGATGAGATTGTAAAGAGGGGATAGAGACAAGAGAAAAAGAGAAAAGAAATTTGGTCTTGGGGTTCAATTGGCTTGGTTTTATACCAAGACGCCGATGTGATCGAAAAGATAAAAGAGGGATGAGAGCGGAGCAGAAAATGCAAAAATTCAAAAAAAGCTTAGAAGGTTACGTGCATGACAGATGCATGCACATGTGGGTAACGCAGTGCGATACTGTGTCTGGCGATGCATCTTTTGTCTGGCTCAGTAATAAGATGAGACTTTTGGGACTCTTGACATATGCTGTATACAGACTGACACCATTCATTGTCGGCCAGGAGCCATGCCAGTGAAAGTTCCCCAATTACTTCCAAATTTTCGTCAGGGTAATTGAAATCAGAGAGTGACACAGAACCAGGGCCGCCCATGGTTCCTGGGAAATTGCTTTTTCTGTCAGTTTTACGGTTCCACGCTTCCCGGCAAAACCCATCGTGTAGCCGCAGAGCTCATTTCTTTTTTGACGGTTCGCGCGCTCATAGCCACAACGAAGCATTGAGATACAAAATCACAGAAAGCGCCTATTATGCAACACCGCCTGGGAAGGCTAAACAGACAAGCGGGCGGGCTGTCGATCGGTTTAGGCGACCCATTGAGGCTAAAGATACCTTGTGTGATTGGAAGAATGGGTGCCAGGGTTTAGTAAATCTACATGGCAGTCGTAATTCGCCAGTTTATGCTGTCTTGGCTTAAAAAAAAAAAAAAAGCAGAAGATCTAACATGGCTTATAAGCAGGTCTGGCCAGAAGCAAGCGACGAAAGGGATGTATTGTTTTGAGTCTAAGTATGCACATAATAGTAGCAGCCAAAAATTCTTAGCAGCGACTTTGCGGAGCGGGAGAGAAAAACGAGAGCCGAACCGAAGTAGGTAACTTCTTGGCGCGACAGTTAAGAAAACGCAGGTGTAGAATATTATCAAGCTTCCTAGAAAATATTGTAAAAAGATTGACCTTACAAGTCGAAAAGAATGCCGAGTTACGGCCAGGTTACAGGAAAAATCCGTAAAAAGAGGGGCCCAGCAAAAAAAAAAAAAGTTCAAAAATCTTGGAAGCGCAGAGGAAAAAGCGGGCCGTGGTAAAACGGGGCTTTCGTCATCTTTCAGCAGGAATATACAACGCTTGGCTGCTAAAAAAACGCCGCACCTTCCAACGGTGAAGCCTGCTTTCTCACCTCCAATGCTTGCTGGATGGCCAACGTGAGGTAGCTTAGATCGCTTAGATAGCAATGGTAGGAGGAGAAGATGAAACAGATAGTGAAATTGGGGGGGATTGTGTTGCACAGGACAACCTATGGCTTGCTGAACAAGCCGTGCCTTGGTATATTATTTTGTAGTATTTTTTGACATGTACTACTTTTGGCATTGGCATATTATTGGCATCGAGAGAGACTGCAATTACGGCGGGGCGAGACACTCATCATCTTGGTTTTTTTCCGTAGACAGCGATGAGGCAAATAAACTTTACGGTAGGGTTTGGCAGCCGCTTTTTTTTTTTTTTTTTTTTTTTTTTTTGCTTTGGGTGGCTTGGACTTTTTTTTTTTCCTTTTTGCGCTAACATATTCGTCTGAATTCGTTTTGTGTCTTCTGCGTGGCAGGAAAAACGGTCACATTATGCGTATAATGATCAAGGTTTTCTCTCTACTGGGTATGTTCGATAGCGGTTGCAAAAAAGAAACACAGATATAGAAAATATGAGGTAATCCCCTGGCATACTACAAGAAGGACAAAAGAGGCTTTTTCTTATCACCAGAATAAACTGTACTGTTGGAGATTCTTTAGATTGTCAAGCGTCTCCGAAGGTCGGACTTCTTCTCTATGTCATCGCCATCGCATTCCTTCCATGAGCATGATACCAGGGCGGCCCAAACACCGGCAGGGTGCTTTTACGATCGCCAAGCTGTCTTTTGCAGCACAGGTGTTCCCTTGACGCCTGACTCAAACACCGCCCCAAGTGTCAATACGACAAGTAAAGGATTACCGTCTGACATTGGTTGTTCTCATGCATTCGTACTTGGGATGTATTTCTCTTACGCTTTCCTTTTACATTTAGCCGAGACGTGTGGACTCGCCCTGACTGAAACCAGCCAGTACCAGCAAAGACCGTAGCCACGGGTGGCATTGTGTCATTTTCTTTTTCTGTTCATGGAGTCTTTCCCCACTGACCTGGAGTAACACCGAAAGTCGTGCCGATGCCACCATCAACCATTGTTTCGTACCAAACCATAATCCCACCTTTGTTCGTTTTTCTTTCATTCATGCGCTTAGTAACCAACTTGTCCTTCTTTTCTGCATCTTTTGACTGCTCTTGTCAAGATTATGATCACCGGTCAAGTCAATGTGCGATACAGCGCCAGGGCATCCATCTGTTTCGCTTGGTTCGTCTTGGAAAGTCTGCTTGGTCTGTTTGGCCAGTAAGATCTTTTCATTGATCTTTTTGGATAAAAGCTTGTTCTTGGGCTTGACCAATGGGGAAACGACACTGGCTTCATGGACAATTCATTGTAGTCTATACCTTTCTAGGCGATACCTGGATCTAGAGCTCCAGGGTTCCGTGCCCAGAAATAAGTCTACGTTTTGTGAGTTACTCCTGGTAATCATGCTTTTTGGGCTTGTCACATCAAGTCACAACATATGCTTCTTGTGACTTCACCTGGTAGCACTAGCAATGACGACATCATCCAATTCAAACTCTAATTTGCTTTAGTGGGATCTAATGTGTCTGCTAAACAGAATCGCTACACCCAGTCAAGCTTTTCAACAGGGTCCTTTCGTCCGCCCGTTCTTGGCTTTACTGTAGAAGGAAATTCTCTAGTTGACGGTGGTTGTGGTGTCACTTCATAGTGTAGGAGCCCTGGAGTTTGTGAAGTGACATATGAAGCCACAAGTGGACTGGCTACTAACCAGAGCGAAGAACGGGGAGGTACGAAGGAGGTCATACTGTTTAACCTTTAATGTAAAAAAAGTGCCAGTGGTAGATGTAAGCTTAGAAACTGTTGGTCAATGGAGAATCTTTTGGCCAATGGAATGCCCGTCACTATTGGTATAGAGAAGTGGAGAGCGGAGAGCAGCTGAGACAATGTGGGTAAATTTATGGCTTATTTCTAACCACAATATCTCATGTTCCTAACGTGGTTGCATATGGAGGGAGTATCATGTAAGAGAGATTTTCCAAGCATGTCAAGACAAGATTGTAGTTATGATAAGACTTTTACAGCCGTCCTAACTGACTAACGATATGGAGGTTTGTGACTACTCGTTTGGTGTTGCTTATACAAGCTTACCAGAGGGCTTAGCGATTGCTGCCTTACTTAGAGCACACTTAACAAGCACTAGGTATTTGACCATAATACTTAAGACTACTTCACCCCAGTAGTTGGAACTATAAACGGTTTCACGAACGAAAACTTTGGTTCCAGACCTTCAAAAGCCTTGAAGGTCAATGGGGTCACATGTAGAAAAGCTAGTTGGTATTGAGTCTTCTACTTCGTTGATTTCTAGTGAAGACCTATATTTCGTTTGGCTGACTAACTCTATAAGAAATCGTAAACAAAAGCGAATTGCTTCAATCTGAAAAGTAATTGGAGTGGAAAACTAATCATCAACGACAACATTAGAGTTATTTAACATATCTTGAACCGAAAGCAAGCTCACAGAGGCTATTATTTTCAAATTAGTCCAATTTATAAATTTGTCTTCACATGAGTTTGGAATCCTTGAAACGGTCAAACATAGTAGCTAGCTATGAACATCAGCTGAGACACTATTATTGGAAGAGCAGAGAAATTTGAGAGATAGGATGGCCATCTTTTGGGTCTTCCCCTTTAGAAATTGGGAAAGAGACCAATCCTTACTTTCCCAACATTTGTCATAATGCTTGTTGTCGCAATTAGTAAGCATGACAACAACTAGAATTTCAAAACAAATAACTCAGAAGTCAGCGTTGATTTAGTTTTAGTAAACGCCACCGAAAGGTCCGAATATAGATGTTTGGTTCGTAAATGCACACGAATGCTATCAATAGCCTCTTTTTTGACGAGCAGCAAACTTGAAACGTAAGGGAGGAATACGGCTGAATTGTTCTTAATTTTGTTATAGCGTCCTTCCCCTTATAGCTTCAAATGATATTCAATGTGAAGTTCTGAAGCACTAGATCCATCTCGACTAAGAATTATTCTTCCTGTTTCAGCTCGCTTAGATAGTACACCCCCTCTCTGTAAATAATGATGAAATATATTAGAATAGCTTACAAATACTGTTGTGGCTAATTATGACCAACCGGGGTTGGGAAAACGCCGTGGAGACGTTATTTCGGACTCGGCGCAGGGTAGAGAACAATAGAGAAACAGCCTAACCAGTATCTCAACTGTTTTCTCGGTTAGTCACTTACTAAATCATACAATGGACGGTCCCCACAAAGCGTTAGGGTTACCAGCATCATCCAGCAGTGAGTGCAAAGTGATACTATTGGTTTACTTAGCCTGATGCCCAAAAAGCCTCAAACTAAACCACGTAAACCACCCAAACCCTGTAGATCGAGCACCGTTTACGGTGACCGTTATGTCCAGCACAGTTACGGTGATGTAGAATATGGGCGAAGCTTCGGACTTGCACCGTAGAGGTGATTCCGTTGAAAAAAAAAAATGCAACAAACAATAGGCAACAATTGCCTCAGGTTGCCAATTCCGGTTTCACAACCAGTCGCGAGAACTAAAAACCACAAAACACAGACCTAACCAAAGCCAGTACCAAGTGTACCCAGCTGGCCCATCACTACAGGACTTTTAGTCAAGATCTGGATAGCGCCAGTGATCTTCGATCTACAAAAACACTATGGTGGGGCGACGAGGCTTTGCACATCTAGAGAAAAAAGCATTGACTTATCGCTTATGTATATGCAACCACTAGCGAGAAATCAGGCAATCCGCCGCCCAGGAAAAGACGCTCGCGACCGTGTTCCACCACAACAAATAGTTCCGTAATCTGGTTACTAAAAGGTGGAAAAAAGGTAGAAAGAAAAGAAGGGTCCACCTTTAACCTTCAATATCAGTGGACCTAAAAGAATTAAACTTTCTTCTTCGTGGAATGCTAATTACCTTTGTGCTATGAAGCTTAGTCTAAAGCCTAGTTACCTCATAGAACACTGGGAGAATGAGCCAGCACCTTTGTCCAAGAAGTCGCAGCACTACTAAAAAAGTCCCAACGGCTGGGAAAAAGCTGCGAGTCCTAGCCTAGTCTGCACTACTTGACACTAGTTTAGTGCGATTTGCGATTTACCTGCAAGCAGACGTTACCAGATTCAGCGCGAACCAGCTGCTCCCGCATGGTTTTCGCAGCCAAAGTTCCATCCAACAAACGAAAGTAGTACCCAGCCGCCGAAGGGTCTGCCAGCCACCTGGATGACATAAATAAAGCTTGACTTGTCGCAAAAGTGTGGTGTTGGTTTTCGGTAAACTTACTACTTTCCTTTACTTTACGCTTTTCGGTTTCCAACCGCTGCCTTTCGCTTTTTTAACTTCCCTAACCCTAGTCTTTCTTTTTTAAACCTTGGGTCCCAATAATGCAATTGCGGAACCTAGTTTGGCTGTTGCCTCTCGTGCTAAAGGCTGTTTCGGCTTATGAAGAGCCCGAGGAAGAAGAGCAAGTTACTGTCACAGAGACTAACTATGTCACTCCATACTGTTTCCAACAGAAACTTAAAACCTTGACCAACGACGAAGCTCATACTACTGGTATCCCGTTGGTGATTGTTTATGCTAACCCTGAAGACCCAATTCCTTCTCAGAATGCTGGTCACGCTCCTGCTCCTGGTGCTGAAGGTACTTTCACTAGTACTACTCAGGCTCCACATATTACTGGCTCTGCTTCTCCACTGAAGTCAACCGGTTCCAAGAACACTGCTGGTGGTAACGACCACTCCTCGCTGCTGAAGATTTCTATCGGAAACAAGCCTTTGTCGCACACCTCTGGAAAGAAGCAATGTACTGTTTGTCAACAAGTTCTGTTGGTTGAATCTGCCCTGGTTACTTTTTCCACCATTGTCTACACTGCTAACACTACCCAACCTATTACTGTGCTGACGCTGTCTTCCAATGGTCTTCCATCTGCTACTGCCAAGGATCCTTTGGTCACTGCTCCAACTATCAGCGGCGGCTCTTCTATCTCCATTGAAACAAGCTGGGACATTTCGCTGGCCTTGAATGCTAGTGATTCTACTTACGGTCAAAGCCTTTCTTCTGACACTTACGCCAGAAACTCTAGCTCGACTTCCACTGAACCAAGCTTTGGCCTGGCTCTGTTGTTCTCAAGCTACTTCATCACTTCGACCGTCAGCTCCCAGCAAGCTTCTGCTTCTGCTAGTACCACAGCTAGTGCTAAGGCTCCTGCTCTTAGCTCGCAGAACTCCTCTGCTGCCAATGCTGATGCCAAGGTTCTTTCCGAGTCCACGCTTCCAAAGTACTACAACAGCTCTTCTGCTTTCCCAACTGCTAGCGCAGCTGTTTCGAGCTCCTTGTATTCCAGTGACGTTTACGAATCAAGCAGTGAGTATTCCAGCCTTATCCTGTCCACTTTGTCCTCAGCTGCGGCCTCTTCTCTCAGCTCTTCTTTGTCTGAGCTGAGCGAGTCTGAATCTGCTTCATCTTCGCTTTCCCTTGAGGCCGCTTCCAAGGAAGACGATATGCTTACTATTCGTTCCGTTCCAACATGCCACTCCGTTTCTGACTTGTTCCAGGAAATCGACACTGCTAACCCATCCAAGTACTACAAGGATGGTGAATTGCCTGTCAGTATTCCTAAGGGTATTGAGACTGACTCTCCTATTGGTACCAACTCTTTCTACGCTAACTTGTTCTTGGGTGACCAGAAGAGCATGGTTTGGACTTACCCTTACGGTTTCTACTGGGCTAAGGATTCCAAGTATGGTATTGCAGTTCAGCACACTGACCCAGACAAGCGTGTGTTTGGCGATAAGAACTCCAACGGTGCCGCTTCTTACTACTACAACCCTATCTTGCTTGGTGAAATTATCTTCTCGTCTACTAAGAACTCCGAGAAGAACAATTACTTGAGCGTTACCGATATGAAGTCAATGTCTGCCAATGTCAAACTTTCTCCTGATGGAGTGAACAGTGACAACTACATTGAAGTTCCTCTTGTGCATGGTATGGGTTTCGCTACTTCCATTTACCATGGTGACTTGACTGCTCGTTTGTCTACTGTCTTTGCTTTCCAGTCTATCGTAAAGGAAACCGTTCCTTCTTCGAACGATAAGTTGATTAAGTACAGAGTCTCCTTGAACCTGGGCGCTGAATGGTTGCTCTTTGTCACCTTGCCATCTAAGGACACTTCTTTCAAGCTTGAGATCAAGAACGGTGATTTGGTTGCTAACAAGGCTGTTGACGGTCTCGTTATCCAGGCTGTCTACGCTCCATCTGACTCTACTTTGGACAACTACTACTACGAGTCTGCTGGTCAATACGTTACTGGTGCTGAAATCAAGGGTTCTATCTCTTGTACTTCTGCTAGCTACAAGTTCGCTTACGAGTCCAAGGGCTCTTCCATCGCAAAGAAGCCTATTGTGTTCGCTCTTCCTCACCACTTGCAGACTTTGGACTCAAGTGTGACTTCCCAAAGTACTGGACTTCAGCTCGAGTCTACCGTGAAGGGCACTATGCTTGGTTTCCTTACTGACGAACTTTCTTTCAGTGAAACTATCAACAACCAGATCCAGTTCTTGCCTTGGGTTGATGGTATGGGAACCAGCGCCAAGTACACTTCTGACCAGATTAAGCTTATTCACGATACTGCTATCAAGGAAATCTCTGGTGTCGATATTCCACAGACCATCCTTTCAGTTAAGTCTACCTACTCTATGGGTAAATTGGCTGACAAGTATGCTTACATCTTGTACGTCCTTAACGACATTGTCAAGGATGAAAAGGCCGCCGAGTCGTTGTTGAAGGCTTTGAAGGAGTACTACTCTATCTGGTTCAAGAACACTAATGTTGGATTCCCATTGATGCACGACACCAAGTTCGGTGGTGTGACAAGTACTGCCAACAATGATGGTGATGTTGGTGCTGACTTCGGTTCTGGTTTCTACAATGATCACCACTTCCATTACGGTTACCACATCCACGCTGCTGCTCTCATTGGCCATGTTGACAAACAATTTGGCGGCTCTTGGGCTGACGACAACAAGGAACAAGTGAACATCTTGATCAGAGACGTTGCTAACCCTAGCGAGAACGATAAGTACTTTCCAGTTTTCAGACTGTTCGACTGGTTCCAGGGCCACTCTTGGGCTAAGGGTTTGTTCGCAAGTGGTGATGGTAAGGATGAAGAATCCTCTTCTGAGGACTACCACTTCTACTATGGTATGAAGTTGTGGGGTAATGTCATCGATGATAATGCTATGGAGGCTCGTGGTGATTTGATTTTGAAGATCATGAGCAGAGCCATGAACTTGTACATGCTTTATTCTGATGACAACACCGTTCAGCCATCTTCTATCATTAAAAACAAGGTTTCCGGTATCCTTTTCGACAACAAGATTGCCTACACTACCTACTTCGGTCAGAACACTGAGTACATTCACGGTATTCACATGTTGCCTATTACCCCAGCTTCTGGATTGATTAGAGGATCGAACTATGTCAAGCAAGAATGGGACTCAGTCCTCTCCGGCATTATTGGATCGGTTAAATCTGGCTGGACTGGTATCCTTCGCTTGAACCAGGCCCTCTATGATGGTAAGAAGTCTTACGATTTCTTCTCATCTAAGAGCTTCACAAAGTCCTACTTGGACGACGGTCAGAGTCGAACATGGAGTTTGGCTTTCTCTGCCGCTGTGGCCAATGGTCTCTAATCATGGTTTTTCTTCATTCATTCATTTCGTTCGTTCTTTCAGTATTCTAGTATATATGACTAAAAGTAAAGTCTCATTAAACTACATTTCGAATTTATTACCTGTTGTATATTGACCCTTTGTGACCCCCAAAAATTAACAAAAAAGCAAAAATAATAGAACGGCTCGACTATAACTAAGCATAAAAAAACAATAAGCATTAAAATCAAAGCAGACTCACGTTCTCCAAGTATCTGTAGTGTCGCCACATGAGATGTGTGTATGTGTGTGTGTGTGTGTTATTATTCTCCTGTGGCGATCCCATCAGATTACTTAGAGAGGACGAGTCTGTTCAGTGGTGGCATTCTTCTCACCTCCCTCTACTGCCTTGTGAGCAATAGACTCAGATGAATCCTCATCTTCACCTGCCATGTCCTGGTGTCTGACTCTTGCGAACAACTCCTCCTGTTCAGTCTTGGACAACTCGTGCTTCTTCTTACCCTTGATGTGGTACATTGGGTTCAAAGATCTCAAAGTCAAGTTCTTGGCGAATGGCAAGTGGCCAGTCTTCTCCTCGTACATCATTAACATAAGAACAACGATAACGACAATCCAGTAGATGTTGTAGGAGAGAACAGAACCATATGTGGCAGAGTTTTGCCAGCCCAAAAGCGAGTTGAAAACATCCCAACCGTTGTCGGTCTCTGGGTTGCAACAGTTGACGTGCCAAACAGACTTGCTGATATCGTAAGTACCAGGTCCACTTCCGTTCTCGGAAGCATCACCACCAGTCTTGTTGTTGTAGACATACGTCTCAAAGAACCATACACCTCTGGAGAAAAGACCAGCTGCAATAAGGTACAAGATACATGTGGAAATAATCAAGAAGATCTGCAAAGACATGGTAGAACCAGAGTAGTACAAAAGTACACCCACGAGAATACCAGCGAGGAGACCTGTAATGACTGGGATAGGGAAAGAAGTAGCTGGAGAGTTCAAACCAACACCACCGACAAAGACAATGGCTTCCAAACCTTCTCTCAAACAAGTGATGAATGGCAAGATGAACAAGGCATACTTCTTTGCCCATTGACCAAGACTGAAACGGCCTTTCTTCTCCTTCTTGACAAGAGCCTGAGCCAACTTGACTCTCCACTTCTCTTTCATCTTGTTGATACGCAACATGGCAATACCCATCAAAGAAATCAAAACGGTAGCAATGATACAGAAAATACCTTCCCACAAGTCTTCAGAGGAAGCCCAAATGTCTTTGCCCAACGAGTAGAAAGCACCAATGAAAGCACAACCAAGGATCAAACATATGACAACCCCTAGAATCGCCCCTAGCCACACTTGTCGCTTAAGCTTCTTGTAGACGACAGGATCATCAGTGGAGCCGCCAAGTCCCTGCTTCAAAAAAGCCAAAAGGACAGAGACAACCACAACGGCTTCCAAGGTCTCTCTGAAAACGACAAAGAAAATTTGTACGTTGAATACGTCAACCATCTCGTAGGTTCTTTAGATCGTTACCTACCTTGAGAGAGGTAAGTGGTAGGGGGGATATAAAAAAAGGAAATGGGGGTGAAGAGGAAAAAGACAAAGAGAGGCTGGGGAGTGTACGTCTATTTATACAATTAAGCCCACGAGATGCCCAATATTCATGGACTATACTTGAAAGCCGACAGAAGTCTGCTCCAGGGGAGAAAAGCCACGGCTGCAACACTCAAAGCTGCACCTGCACTAGTAGAGCTTTCAACCTGCATTGGGAATGATGCAGCACGGTGTCAATGTCTCGTATAATGGCTTCTGGCCAATGAAAGATGATTCTCTGAGATGCGCAGATTGATGTTCCTGACGCCGTAATTTTCGCTTTAACGAGGAAAATGTTAGAGGTGGCTAACGGTATAAATAGGGCAGGGCACCCTGGGTGGTCCCCAGTATGAGAAAAGTTGCTCTTCCTACAATTATAAGCTGATCTGCTTTCTGAGGCGATCAGAAACCGAAGTCGGGGGCATAGATAATGCTGATCGGCCTTCTCAACAATACATGTCGACTGCACAAAATTAACCTATAGGCATTTGGCATTTTCTTGGCACGTCAAAAAAGGCCGTATTTCAACTGTCAATGTGTCAATGACAGGTGAAAAACTCTTGGCTCAGGTTTTAGATTTTGAAGCAGAAAATTCAAGACCAGGACAACCGATAGTGTTCTATGCTTCGGCATTCCCCTTACCAGTCTTCTTTTGGAAATCTAATGGAAGCCCGACAAGGCTTTTCCGAGCAGGAGTATTGTGTTTTTCTGGCCGCCTCGTTCCACTTACGGTTACTTACCCGCGGCAGGTTAGCTGTGGGCGCCATTGGCTAAACTTGTTACCCTGTGTCTTGAAAGGCTCGCCCATGCGTCACCACGATCACTGAAGAATGGGTCCACCTATTTTTGACGAATCCCAGCGGGTTATGGCCAGGCGACGGCTTTGTCTGACAAAGTCGCCCCACCTCGTATTTGATCGGATAATGCACTCAGTAACGAACACCCCCTACCACGTTTGTTACCTACAGCTATTATTTTGTATTATTCTTTTAACTAACAAACTCTTTTCGTTGGACTCTTATTTTTGTCATTTTCACCGTCTCTGCGGCACACTGTGTAACCAGCTCTTCATGTGTAAAGATCCCTCCATAGGCGGAACGTGCATTTACAAAGCCTTAATCAGATACATCTCCTTACCATAAACAGGACATATGCATCTACTGGCTGCCTATTGGCGAGCTACCTTCCTTTGTGTAATTGTTGTCCGTTTCAGCCACCATTGGAACTGCAAACATCGACACCAATACCTGCGATGCATCCCGGCCTAGAGGTGAAAATTGCCGGTCTGAGTATCCAAATCAACCCTGAAAATCTCTTTAAATGGAAGACGGAAGCTCGTTCATTCACTTCGTCAGACCAAAGTGGAAAAATTAACCCAAGAACTTCTTGATAGATTCTTGCAGACTTCATGCATATGTCAGAAATTATTTGCTCGGGGGCACCAACTGAAAATTTTCTGACAACAGACGTATTACCGTTCTTCGTTTCTCAACGCTGCAGCTGGTCCCTTGATTCCGAAATCCGGCTTTTCTGAAGGAAAGCCTCTGTATCGCAGACGATCATAACCGTCGTATGGAAACAACAGCAGTTAGATGCAGCATAGTATGCTTTTGAAGATCCCAATAGGTTCTTATATAATTGGCCATAACTGACGGAACGGTACAGAGGGCAAAAGTCTTCCATGTCTAGAACCAGAAGCTCTCGGGTGACAGTAGAAATTGAGGGGAGAGGATATCGGGTTGATGCCACTTTCTCCAATTGGAGACCTCTGATTCCATCTTGGACGAATGTTCACTAGAAAATCGATGGAAATTGTCAACAATTTTTCACCCATTGTGTCTACTGTGGATTACGAGCCTCCACTTAGATGGCCCTAGTAGTGGACTTTTGCATGTGTAGCCAGACATTTGAAAATGTCCATTTTCTCCAACCCATTGAACACTTGTCGAGAACACCAAGGATGAGTCTGAATTGTTGGCTATAAATTGTGTCTTCATGGTGTCCTTATAGTGACTCTTCCCCAGATCAAGTTTTCGCAGTCAAATATAGGCTCTCCGGGTCACCACAAAACTGGCAAAGATACACATACTACTGACAAGGAATATAAATAATAGCTCAAGTAAGATGTCAATTCCATTTTAAGCACCCAGAGTGATATTTAATACCTGATATAGTTGTATCTCTTCAGCTGGGGTTCGGCTTCCCATAGTGATACCTGCAGAGGAAATGAGATGTGGGGTGGAGTTTGACTCTGGATGTTTTGGCTAAAACTAGAACGGAATGATAAAACCTATATATATTGAAAAAGCACCCACAGTGATAAAAGCTTCACGTATAATTAGTGCAAAGAAGAGCTTTTTCCAACTAGCCATTGTCCTACTGAACCCACCACACCAGTACCTCCATCAACCGCCGTGCCGAATATGTCCTTAGAGATTTCCTCGACTGAGCTGGGCTCAACTCAGCAAGACATGTCTCTCAAATACCTTGATTCAGCAAGAAAGATCCTATGCATAGGTAGAAACTATGCTGCTCATATTAAGGAGCTTAATAACATGGCTCCATTGCAGCCTTTCTTTTTCCTTAAGCCATCGTCTTCCATCTTACGCCCAAACAACGGGCCATTCCTAGTCCCAAAGGGAACCAAGGTTCACCATGAAGTGGAATTGGCATTCACATTGAACAAGACACTTAAAAACTTGCCTGCAACTTTTTCCAATGAAGAAGCCTTGGATGCAATTGAGGGGTATGCTTTGACTATCGATATGACTGCAAGAAACGTTCAGGATGAAGCCAAGAAGAAGGGATTGCCTTGGTCAATTGGAAAAGGCTTCGACACATTCCTCCCTGTTTCTGGCTTCATTCCAAAGCTGGAGATTCCTGACCCATACAAGGTCCGCTTGCAACTTTCCATCAATGGTGAAACCAAACAAGACGATAACACAGACTTGATGATCTTCCCAATCCACAAAATCTTGAGCCACATGTCTTCCATTATGACCCTTGAAAAGGGTGATCTTATCCTTACAGGCACTCCAAAGGGAGTAGGCCTTGTTAGCCCCGGTGATCATGTTCAAGCTAGCTTAAGTGTTGGAGACAAGGTCTTGCAAACTATAGACGTTCAGGCCGAACAGAAAGACGGTCCTTACGAATTCAAAGAAACCTAATCTTATACGAAGATGCCTTCCTTTGGAGGCACATACTGCCTCAATACGATTCGTGCCTCGCTGAACACCTTATGCGAATATTCATCCATGGAGTAACTCTGCGCATAGACAACTTGTTTTATCCCGCTTTGCACGATCTTGATTGAGCAGGTCAAGCATGGACATGTGTTGCAATATAGGATCGAGTTTTCGCCGGCTATACGGTCTCTTCCAGCTTCAAGTAATGCATTTTCTTCCGCGTGTAAACATAAGCATGTAGATAAGGCTGCTCCGCTGCCATGACCTTTATTACACCTTGGACATCCTCCTTCGTTACAGTTGGTCAAGTTACGTGGAGTACCGTTGTAACCTGTTGCCACCACTCTATTATCCTTCACTATGACGCAGCCAACACGACGTTTCATGCAATTTGATCTTAACGCAGCCAAGTCGGCTAAACGCATAAAGTAAGAATCCCACGTAGGCCGAAGTCGTTCTTGATTAAGTAGATCAAGTTCACTTAGTTTCACATAAAGATCCTTAAGCGAAGTTGACGTATTGATGATTTTGATGTGTGCTTGATTATTGATTTCGAGGAGTGGGTTTGCAGCGTTAAACAAGAGATCGTCGGACTGTTCGATGAACTCACTTCGGCTCAAAGCTTTCTCGCCGTTTTTCAACTGGTGTCTCTGGAAACGTAAGGTTAATGGGGCGTCTATCGAAAGGTGGAGGAAGAATGGCCTCTTCTGGAGCGCCTTAAGCGTTTCCAGATGATCTATATGGGAAAGGACATAGTTTGAACGCCAGTTCTCGGTAACATGATTCAAAAGAGCGTCGAATGAGGGAAATATCTGCTGGTCCAACGCACTGGGTCCCTTGTGATGTGTACCGTTCCCATTAAGAGCACCAGTACCATTCTCATTGGGTTTCGAGGCACCGTTCTGGTCGCCCTGGCTCTCTATAGAAACGAGTGTGAACCCTTGAAACGTCAAGTATCTGACAACCTCAGACTTACCCGAGGCAAGTGTTCCTGACACAGCGATGAACATAGTTGGACGCGTCAATGAGTATAGACGCTTGAAATTAATGCGCGATGGTACTAATTATATGTGGACCAAATGTGAGGATGAAGGGAGGCAGCGTACGACTTGTTACTAATGGCCCTTTTTTTAATTAAAAAAGTTATTTAGTAAAGTGGAACTGGGAAAGCAGGAATAGTATTATACTTCATCAAATGAAAAGTTTTTTAAGTTTTATTAGAGGGGGGACTGATATTTGCACTAACTTAGCCTTTTGGTTGCTTGGCTGCGAAATACTAAGTATTGCCATCCGTGGCAAAGTGGAAGAAACATATGAACTTGGATACCATAAAAAAAAAAAAAAAAAATACAAATCATCACATAAACCGACACGAAGTTACTTGGTAGGACTTTTAAAGAACAGAATTCCAAAAATAATGGAAATTAAAGCCAACCGAAATGAAGTAGCAGGCATATTCATGACTGTCTATCCTCTTTGGAGCCACCCACAGACAGTGGGGTACCTAATGTTAATTTTCAACCTTTAAACATTTTTAAATACATGATAAACTTACCAATGTAATTTCCAAGTCTTTTTTCAAGTCAGAACATACCTTTTTGTGTTCCCATACCCAGCCATTCTCTGGCCCATAGTTAACCACTTTGCAACCACTCTACCTGTTCCGCGCCGCGCACCTTTCTACTACTCGTATACTCCAGCTTATCTTATCAGAACACCCTAAACCTTCCCAATACACATTCAATCGCTGGCAAGCATTGCGATGTATATTCCATTTATTCTCCAGCTATGTATATTCCTCGTTTCGAGCTGTCTCGCAAGCGAGGCTCCTATACGGAAGGAGGGTTACTGTTCAATGTACGACAATTGCGGCAAGAAGTCGGTCTTTGGAGGCCCAATTCCATGTCCAGCAAATAAGAAGGCCGTGGCTCCATCTACGGAAGCAAAAGAGCTTTTGTTCCAGATTTGTGGTGCCGACTTCCCTATTGATAATGGTGTGTGCTGCTCGTATGACCAATTGGTTAACTTGGAGCTGAACCTTAAGAAGGCAGAGCCATTGATCAGCTCCTGCCCTGCTTGTCGAAAGAACTTCTTTGACTTCTTTTGCAAGTTCACTTGTTCATCAGACCAATCTACGTTTGTTGAGATCAGTGACACTACAGAAGCAATTGATACTAAAAAGGAGATTGTCTCGGAGTTGACTATCTATACCGACTCTGAATACGCCTCGGACTTCTTTGACTCATGTAAGAACATCAAGTTCTCAGCTTCTAATAGCTATGCTATGGATCTTATTGGAGGCGGAGCTAAGAACTACTCTCAGTTCTTGAAGTTCCTCGGTGACGAAAAACCACTCCTTGGTGGCTCTCCGTTCCAGATCAACTACGCTTATGAGTTACCTGGAAATGACGATACGGGACTTAAGCTAAACTCTGGTGATATGAAAGATTGTGATGATGAGGTTTATAAATGTGCCTGCTCGGACTGTCCAACATCTTGTCCGAAATTACCAAAGTTCAAGAGGTATGACAGACATTGCCACGTCGGGTTATTACCTTGTTTTTCATTTGCCGTTTTGATCGTATGGATCATCATTATCTTCATTATTGGTGTTTACCACATTCACATCGCTAGACAGAGAAGACATCAGATCGAGCAGTGGAATAGACTTATAGGTGGCGAGGAGCACCATTCCTGCGTTCATGATGACCGTCCAATGGTAGATACCCATATAAGTCCAAGAGTGAAGGAAGAGTCATACTTCGCTCACCAATGGCGATCATTCCGTAACTTTGTGGTTGAAGGATTGGAGAAAGTTTTCGCCTTCATCGGATATCATTGCGCCAAGTTTCCGGCTATCACACTTTCTGTCTGCTTGTTGTTGGTTATTCTTCTTAGCAGTGGTCTTACCCAATTGACATGGGAGACTGAACCAGTTAAGTTATGGGTCAGCCCCAATGAGCCAGCCTTGAAAAACCTACAGTATTTTGAGGAAACATTTGGCGAATGGTTCAGAATAGAGCAACTCTTTATCGCCAGTAAGGACGAATCTAACCCAGTCCTTACTTGGAAGAATGTTCAGTGGTGGTTTGAAAAGGAGCAAGAGCTCTATAACCTCAAAGGGTCAAATGACGATCTGCTCAGTATAGAAGATTTTTGCTTTAAGCCTTTGGAAGACTCTTGTGCAATCCAATCATTCTCTCAATATTTCGGAGGTGATATCAGATACTTAAACGAGAACAACTGGGCAAAACAGCTTTCTTCATGTGCCGAGAGTCCGGTAGAGTGCTTACCTCCATTCCAACAGCCATTGAACAAGAATCTCCTTTTCTCACTGAGCGATATTTTAGAATCAGAAGCTTTTGTTGTCACTCTTTTACTCGAAAGCAAGTCAGCTAGTGCCAGCTATACACAAAAGGTTACAGAATATGAACATGCATTGCAGGACTGGATTAAGGGTTTGCAGCTGGAGCGTCCAGACTTACACATCTCATTCAGTACAGAATCTTCTCTTGAAGAGGAGCTCAACCAGTCAACCAATACAGACGTCAAAATTGTCGTTATCTCATACTTGGTGATGTTCTTATACGCTTCGCTTGCACTTGGAGGTAAAATTCCGACCAAGTTTGACCGCAAGACTTTCGTTAAAACAAGGTTCTTGCTTGGCTTGAGTGGAATCATAATGATCCTCCTTTCTGTTACATCTGCTGCCGGTGTTTTTGCTGTTATTGGAATCAAATCGACCTTGATCATTGCTGAAGTCATTCCTTTCCTCGTTTTGGCTGTCGGTGTGGATAACATATTTTTGATTGTCCATGAATTACACAAGCTTACGGAAAAGATTCCAGAAGTGGACGTTGAAACGAGAATTTCCAAGGCATTAGAAAGGATTGGGCCATCATGCTTCATTAGTGCTGGCCTTCAAGTTCTGATGTTTTTACTTGCAACAAGTGTTCAAATGCCAGCTGTGAGGAACTTTGCTTTCTATTCCGCAGGTGCTGTTGGTATCAATTTCTTCTTACAAATGACAGCCTTCATTGCTGTACTCTCCCTAGACCAGCACAGGCTTGAAAATGGAAGGGTTGACTGTATTCCTTGGGTTCAACTTGATAATCAAATCGAGATTGACCAGGTCAGCCATCCAAGTGATCATATCGAATACGACTTCTCGCATGTTATCCTGACTCGTTATGCACCATGGCTATTGAAGCCTTCGAATAAGAGGAAGGTTCTTTCGGTTTTCTTGATATGGCTAGGCATTTCTCTAAGCTTATTGCCTGGAGTAGAGCTCGGCCTTGACCAGAAGATTGCACTTCCATCCAGCTCTTACCTTGTTGACTACTTCGAAAGCGTCTACAAATACTTGAATGTTGGACCTCCAGTCTTCTTCGTCGTGAAGGATCTTGACGTGTCACATAGAAAGGAACAACAGGCTGTGTGTGGTAAGTTTTCTACATGTGAGGAGTTCTCACTCGCTAACATCTTGGAACAAGAGTACAAGAGATCTGACATTTCTACAATTGCTGAGCCAGCTTCCAATTGGTTGGACGATTTCCTCAATTGGTTGAACCCAGCACTCGATCAGTGCTGTCGTTTTAAAAAATCGGCATTTGGCGAAGAGTTTTGCTCTCCAAAAGCACCAGAAAGGCAATGTGAGCCATGTTATCTGAATCACCAACCACCGTATAACAGTCTGATGGAAGGCTTGCCTCAAGGTGAAGAGTTCATGAAGTTCTTCAAGCAATGGATCACAGAACCAAGTGACCCATGCCCATTAGGAGGCAAGGCGCCATATTCGACATCGCTCAAGTACAATGCTACCAATATTGAAGCAAGTTACTTCCGCACCAGCCACACGCCCATGAGATCACAAAAAGACTTCATTGTTGGCTTCAAAAATTCGCTAAGAGTGGTGCATGAAATTGAAAAATACCTTGGAGAAACGATAAATGTTTTTGCATTTTCGCCATTCTACGTTTTCTTTGTTCAGTATAGAACAATCATTTCGCTTACTTTTGCCACGCTTGCAGCGGCTGGTGCAATTATCTGGTTCGTGAGCTTAATTCTTCTCGGGCTGGTTCGCACAGCGACTATATTGGTTTTGACGGCAGCAATAATGCTCGCCAATATTGGTGGTGTGATGGCATTGTGGTCTATTTCATTGAATGCTGTTAGCTTGGTAAATTTGATCATTTGCCTTGGGCTTGCCGTGGAATTTACAATTCACATTGCTCGTGCATACTTGAAAGTAGGCAAAGACAGTGATGATGAAGAGGACGAAGAGTTATTTGACAGCTTCATGAACAATGGAGCTGACTACTTGCAAGATGAAAGAACTTCACTGGCATATAAAGCATTAAGCCTGGTTGGAGGCTCTGTCCTCGGCGGCATTACTATCACTAAATTCATCGGTATTGCTGTGCTTGCTTTCACAAGATCCAAGATATTTGAGGTGTACTACTTCAGGATGTGGCTTTCATTGGTTGTTATTGCAGCCACACATTCCTTAGTGTTGTTGCCCATCTTACTTAGTATGTTCGGCGACGTTTAACCTACGGAGCCTCGATTCTGACTTAAATTGTTTGGTGGGGTCAATGCGATGCTCTAAAAAGACCTTACGTCAGATGGGCTTAGACGAAAACTTCTTTCTTTTACGTTTTGCAGAGCAAAGTTACACGGCGGAACCGAAGGATGAGCGCAGCCTTCTGCAGCATCTTGCTGGATTTGTGCGCACTATCGCTCGATTAGGCAAAAGATGCTAGCAATCTGCAATTCTCACTGCGTTGCTCTCTTCTTAACATAGGGAACGAAACGTGACCATCAAGGCCCCGTCAGCCGGTGTGCAGGACAAAATTCTCAGATTATGGGCAATGTTTTTCTTTCCTCTCTTCAAGGTGGGAGCGTTGAAAGTACTACAATAGTAGCAACAAGTGCTTGCGAACTTATTCACTACCACCATGTCTTCTTCCTACAACTTCAAATGGTATGTACTTTAAACGTTAAATAACAATGGCTACTGAACCAATGGATATTCCCATTTGCATTTCCATTAATTTGGTGATCGTGAGATGGGGGGCGATTGCTGATTTTCGCCAATTGACGAGGGAGGTATGGCTCATCTCCTGAAAGTTTAGCAATCCTTCAACTTTTTGTCTTTTGGAATGAAACAGCCCATGCTCCAATCGCCAATGGATATCCTTCAATGCTGTAATCATATCACCTGCAATTTACTAACATCCCAGGCCCAGCGGTCCCAATGAAGTCATTGTGACCGGTACCTTCGATAACTGGTCCAAATCCTTCCCATTAGTGAAATTAACTGACGGTTCCTTCGAATTGAATGTTCCGCTTGACACCAGCGAGGACGTTCTTTACAAGTATGTCGTTGACGGTGAATGGACTGTCAGCGAAGATCAGGACATCACTGACGATGCTTCTGGCAACAAGAACAATGTTTTAAAGTCTGGCGCTTCTTCCCAAAGCAACAAGAACGAGTCTAGAATTCCTGAGGCTGGCGGCATTGGTGCTGCTGTTGCTCAAGGTGCTCCAGCTGAGGGTTCTTCCTCTGGTGCTGGAAAGTCAGACGACCTCAAGACCACTGTCTTGCCATCAGCTGAGGGCAAGCAGACCACTTTGGGTGAGCCAGGTATCTTTGTACCTCAATCCAAGGATAAGGATGCATTGGCTGCTTTTGAGAACGTTAGAGACGTTGACCCTAAGTCATTGAACGAGCCAAATGCTTCTGAGGACTTCACCAAGGAATTGACCCCTGAGGAGAAGAAGAAACAGAAGAAGAAGTTGAAGAAGACCCAATACAAGCTCCGTAAGAAGCAGCAAAAGCAAGCTGAGAATGCCGCTGGTGGAGCTGCTGCTGGCGGCCTCGCTGGCGGTGCTGTTGGCAGCACCACTACTGGTGAAGACGACAATGACGACTCCTGTGACTCCGAAGAGGAGAAGACCCCTGAGCCTGAATCTGTCGATGCCACTATCACTGGTACTATCCTTGGTGCTGTCGGCGGTGCTGCTACTGCTGGTGCTGGAGGTGCCCTTGTTGGTGCTCTTGGAGGTGCTTCTGCTGGCCAGGCTGCTCAGAACTACTCCAACTCTGAGGGCTCTAGTACTAAGACTCTGCAGCAGGAGCAGGAAGTTCCACAGACCTTGGACCCCGGTAGACAAGCCCAGCTCAACATTCCAGGCAGCATTGCTGGTGTTGACAAGGTTAACACTCACGACGAGGACAACTCTGCTACCAAGACAAAGACTATTGACACTTTGACTTCCTCTGAATACGTCGACACTCAAGATGGTGAAAACCCAAGTACTGGTGCTGTTGGCGCTATCTACGAGGACAAGAAGGCTGAGGCTGCTCCAGAGGATAGTCTTGAGAACCAGAAGGAGAACACACATTCTTACCCTGTTAGAGGTGACCTCACCGATGCCGGCGCTGCTGCAGTTCCTGTCACTGCCGTTTACGAAGACAAGGAACCTCAATCTACTTCCCAAACTACTCCTCAGTCCACTCAACAAGATGGCCTTCAGAAGCAACAGGAGAACACTGCCGAGTACCCAGCTAGAGGTGACTTAGCCGGTGTTGGTGCTGCTGCTGTGCCAGTTGCTGCCGTTGGCGGTGCCAGTGCTGCCCAAGGAGCTCTGAGCTCCCAAGGCCTTCTGGGCTCCCAGGGCGGTAAAGCCGACTACCCTTACCCACCTGGTCCAGACCTGGTTGAGCCAATCCAGGCTGGCCATCTCCTGAAGAACATTGAACTGAACACCGAGTTCCCTGAACAGCCAAAAGATCAAGACTACCCTTACCCACCAGGCCCAGGTCAAGTCGAGCCAATCCCAGCTGGTCATCTTCAAAAGAACATTGAACTGAACACTGACTTCCCTGAACTGCCAAAGCCAGATGAAGATGTTGAGCAAGAACAGAACAGGTACGGTGCTACCACTGTTGGTGCTGCAGCTGCAGCTGGTGCCCTTGGCGGCGCTGGCGCATCTCGTGCAGCCGCACCAGCTACTCAGACTACAGAGCCTGGTATTCCAGTGCAATCTGAAGCTAAAAACGCTGCTGCTCCAGTTTCTAAGTCCGCCCAACCTAGAGGCGAGACTGCCCCAGCCCCAGGCGTTTTCGGCAGTGGTGCTGCTACTGCTGACGAGGGAGCTGCGGCTCCTGGTGTCTTTGGCAGCGGCCCAGCTGTCGCTCCATTGGTTGGATCGAGTGAGCTCGGCGCAAAAGAAGTCGACGCTGCTCCAGTTACCAAGGGTGAGGACCACCAATTCGATGGCGAGGATGAGATCATCATTGCCCAGGGTGGTGAAAGCGTCAAACAGGTCGAGAAGAGAATTCAGGAATGGGAAGGTGATGTTAGCGTTGAACAGATCCAACCATCTCCATCTGAGGCCAGAAGATTGGCCGAGGAAGCTCATCTCCTGAAGCAGGCTCAACTTGCCGCTGAGAGAGGTCAGGAAGTTGCTAGCCCATCCAACCCACCAACTGGTCCAGTCAAGCCAGAGAAGAAGGGCTCAAAGAAGGCCCAGAAGCCACCAAACGCAGCCCAACAAGAGGCTACCAAGACCAAGAAGGGCATCATGTCTAAGCTCAAGAAAATCTTCAAGTAAGCAGAATCCGTGCTGGCGCCATCTTTCTAGTTATTTTCTTTTTTCGCATTGGTACTTGATTTTTAACATTGTTGAATGATATTTTTTTTTATCCGCTCCATGTCAGCCACACATAACTTAATATTATATAGCTTAATTGTATTATTTTGCCGTAACATTCATAATAAAGAAAGTAGAAAAGAACAGGCACAAAAAAGGTGAAACTGAAAACACCTCTACAGCTTGCGATGTCGATTTGTCCGATTATTTATATGCTATGATACACTTGATTTCCCTGTATTTGTCGTCCACACAAAAGAGAAACGACTTTTTTGGCCCTTATTCCTTAACGAGCCTCAAACTGAACCATTCTTCTGGTTCTAGCCTTGTAGATAACTCTGTGTCCACACTCCTTACATCTGATGGCATCACTCTTACCTAATGAGAAAGAAGCACCGCACTGAGCACAGTTGTACTTCACACCCAAGGACTTGCTGGTGATGTGACCGTGAGCAGCAGCAGCGATCGACGATGGAGCACTGAAACCCTCTCTTTGCGGCGAGGACATGATGGATGAGATGTGTAGTCGATGGAAAGAAGTATTTGATTTTTTGCGAAGACTTTGTCAACTGGTAGGTGCAACCTGTATGCCGTACCATCGAGAGATTGCATTTATCAACATAGGGAAATCTCCAACCAATACAAGTTTCTTCCTACTTTTTTTGATAAATTTGGAAAGTTTTTCAATGCTATGCGACTCCACTCGCTACATTTGCTCGTGCCACTACGATTCTGCCAAATCGCTGGATAATAACGGAGACTTCTCAGCATCTAGCCATTTAGGTGCGCTATTCTTCTGCCCCAAATGCCAGGATCTCAGATGTGAAGAATGCAGCGAGGTCAGTGTCAAGAGCAAATACTGTACCAGGTGTATGACGGATTATACAGATAATGTTGGTCAAACTCGGTGCCTGCGTAATTGCTTTGAATGCCCATCTTGTTATAGTCCTGTTGATGTGAAGGGTAAAGATGAAGTTGGAGAGGAAGGGAAGGGAAAACGATTTTTCTTTAAATGCGTGTATTGTCCTTTTCAATATCAAACAAAGCTCATTACAAGGCCCTCCTCTTTGGTTCAGATTTTGAAGAGGGAGTCAACAGATCAACATGCTAAGGTGGTTGCAAAATATACTGCAATGTACAAGTTGAACAATAAACCTCAAGGACAGAAGCATACAATTAATAGGCCTGAAACTAAAAGGCTCGAGGCGATGAAAATCAAACAGGTAAATCTTGCTGATGACCAGGAGTTGGAGAAGACGATAGCTGAAAGCGGACCTCTTGATATCATGGGGCCCACGCCGGAACACCTTCTTCAACCAAGGGGGACTCCACTAGCGACTAAAGTTAAGATACGATGCTCTTCATGCCACGAGGAGCTCTTGTCGCCTGTGACAGACATAAAGCTGATAAAGGTCCTTTCGAAACAATATGCCAGTGATATCCTTCCCACATTGACGGCATCTTACACTAGCCAAAGTCCTACATCAGAATCAGATACTGATATTCCATGCTCCCTCAGCATCGTCAACAATCTTCCATCCAGCATAAACGTCGTTATATCTATTTACGGTCGAATACCTGCATCATTAACGAACGACCATGTCGCCATGTCCCTACCCATCTCGAGCGTGAGTATCGGCGGCAAACGAGAGAAGGCAGAAATAATCCAAACGATCCCCACGGTGCTTCTTGGGTCAAACACCAAAGCTTCGCAGGCAGAACAGGTGATGCGTTCTGGAAAGACAGCACAAGAAACAGGCGAAACAGTCGATCAAGGCTCCAATTGGGCCACGATTCCTTTCACACTATCGTTTGAAGAAGGACAAACGCCACCAAAAGCACCCATTCAAGTTCCTTTCCATGTTGAAGTCGAAACAAGACTTCCAGACGCCTGGAAACTGTTATCATCGAAACGTGGTTTACGATACAAGTTCTGGGCCGTTAGCCAGATCCAAAGCTAAAAGTCAAGGACAAGCACACCCGTAACAGCGCTAAGGTGTCGCGTATCTAAAGTTCCAGCATTGGATGGGGGAGGCTGGTCCTCCTCTGGTTGCAATTCTGGTTCGTCGTCTTCAAGAGAAGTATCACCAAACTGATCATAACTCTGCAGTGGTGCCTGTTCTGCTGGCACAACATTGTCAATTCCATCAACAACAGTGGGAGGTTCCTCCAGAAGGCGTACATCATTGGCCCTTATCACTGCTTCTCTGATAAAGAGACGCATGTATTCAGAAGAAAGAGCCACAGTTGAAGCTGTAATTCTGGTATTTGGTTTCTGGAACGAAACATCATGGAAAACACGTGCCACAAGCTCGGGCGGCACTGACATGGTACGGTTGCAAATTCGACTTAAAGGATGGCTGCGTTGTGATGGGTTGAACGCGACTCCGATTATGGAGCGAAAAACCCGGTTTGTGTCAGAAGCCGCCTTGCGTGCTGCCGCTGATCACACGTGACCTCACTAGTATGGCTTGACCCACACCTCCACCTCCACTTTTGATACTTTTACTACTAGCAAACAAGCATGGTGGAAGTAACTCAGGCGGCATCGCCGACCTCTTCGCTTATCAGTTTGATAAAGACCATTTCTGGTGCAGGTCTCTTATCAATACCCTTTGCGTTCTCCACGGACGGCTTAGTCTGTGGCGTCCTCATTATCCTCCTAGCAGGTATTACTTCAGGCTACGGTTTATTTTTGCAGGTCTATGTTTCCAAGTATGTGCCTGCTGGGCATGCTACATTCTTCAACTTGTGTTCTATCACTTATCCAACGCTTAGTGTTGTGTTTGATATTGCCATAGCAACACAGTGTTTTGGCTGTGCTATATCTTACTTGGTGTTGATTGGTGATTTGATGCCCACCATCATTACTTCGGTGCCATATGTTAACCTGGAATACTATAAGCAGTTCTGGATTATTATATCTGCATTCTTGTGCGTTCCACTTTCGCTCCTTAAGAACTTGGACTCGCTTAAATACACATCCGTGCTAGGTCTTGTTGCCATTGGCTACATGGCCCTTCTTGTTGTGGTACACTTTTTGGTTGGTGACGTACCGGATTCTTATAGAGGGGAAATCACTCTTTTCCCACTGTCGGCTACAAAGGTGTTCTCGACGTTTTCCATTGTCGTTTTTGCCTTTACTGGTCACCAGAATATGTTCTCCATCATTAACGAAGCCAGGAACAAGTCGCTTTCTTCACTTAGCACCTTGGTTAACCTTGCCATTACCATCCTGGCTGTGTTGTTCATCATTATTGGCGTGGCTGGTTACTTGACCTTTGGTGATCTCGTCAACGGTAACATCATTTTGCTGTACCCTAGTGCCTTTTCCACTACTGTTGGCAGATTCTCGATAGTCTTCATGGTCGTTTTCTCATTCCCATTGATGATTCATCCAGCAAGAATCTCCGTGAACAACATCTACTTCTGGATTTTGGTTCATGTGCTAGGCAAGACGCTCGAGGAAGAGGGTCACGACAGTGAACATCAAGAGTCTGAGAACCACGATGAGACTAGCCCTCTTATTCCAAGTTCAAAAGCTTACATTGTTCCCTTCCCAGATTCTACATTCTATGGTATCACTGCATTATTGCTCGTGGTAGGGTACACTGCCGCAGTGAGCATAAAATCGTTTGCACTCGTTTTGGCTGTTGTAGGTGCAACAGGTTCAACCGCCATTTCCTTTATCTTGCCCGGTCTCTTCGGATACAAATTAATCGGATCCGAATCTGATGATCCAAATAAGCTCGAACAAACGCTCAAAACCTTGGGATTAGTTCTTTCCGTGTGGGGATTCGCAGTGATGGTTGTTTGTCTCTACTCGAGTTTAGCATTGTGAATGAAGCGCGGTGATATTGATATAAATATATAGATTCATGTCAGTACCTCATGAATGCGGGTTGTGATATCCTGTGCAACTTTTTCAGAGACGTCTTCATCTGTAGTCTCTGGGGTTTCTGTTTCGATGCGCTCACCTTCGCTCTCAACCTCAACCTCTTCATCTGAATCTTCTGCGTCACTTCTGACATCATCGGCGCTATCGCCGTGAATCACCTTATTTAAAACCTTCAAAATAGCGAACATCCAGAGGCAAGTAATTATCTGTAAGCCACCAAGAAGCGCTAAAAACACATTAACGATAGTAGTTGTCCAGCATCTCTTCTGTACGATGCCTGGAATGCACTGACTGTCAAACATTAAGTCCCTGGATTTGACCCAGGCATGGTAGTATAAGTAGTTGTAAACACCATGGCGTAAGACGACCCATGACACGAGGAAAAGAACGAACATCATGTCGCATGAGCGTTGCCAGCCAGAATACTTCAAGACTTTCGCTGTGGACAAGAAAATATCGACCGAATCCATGAGCATTAAAATCATGTTGCCGATTCTATTGTAGTAGTAGTAATAGGAGCCCAAGACGAGAGCCACGGTGATGATGTGGTGGCTGAACATCTGGAAGTGGTCTTTCCGCTTTTTTTCAATATTAAGCACGACAATTTGTTGTAACCAGAAAGCAATCGAGACAAGATAGTACTTCTTGAACAACGAAGGCATCCGGTAATGGGGCCAGCCGATGTATATGTTGTCGAGACTGTGCCAATGGGGCGAATGGCGGTAGATGTAAAGACCAAATGCGAAGGAGAAGCAGTAGTAGGTGACAGCCCAGCTCTGCTCGGCGAACCTCATCTTTGCTTTCTTCGAATGTATGTCACAGACGTGTTTGGCGAATGGAGTGAATGCCCATTGCATAAGGAAGGATCTGAAAAAGGTGAGAAGCACCACCCACGTTACCACATAGTACGCATCGTCAAGACCAATGTCATATATGTTTTGGGAATCCTTTCTCTCGATAAAGTATTGTAGATGGAAGAATTTCTGTGTATAATGTGTGACATTTGGAGCAAACCGTGTGCTTAGGAAATGTGTCAAATGGAGCCCAACAAGAAAGTTCCTCGAGAGGGGGATCTGATTCTTGTCGATGACTTCCTGCCACGAGGAGGAGTATTGGGAAGCCATGGGGACAGGGATTAGGAGATTTTCGTTAAATTGTCAACCAAAATAATAAACCAAGGGTTAAAAAAGCAAGTAGTGCACGAGGATCGCTGATTTTTAGACAAAAGTTGGCGATGGAGGAGAATGAATCGATGGAGGACAAGTTTAGTGAAAACGCGAAGGGTAAATTCTATTCTGAGAAGGGAGCACACACATCCACTCGTGGGGAGCGGGCTATTGCAAATCGCAGACAAAAAAAAAAAAAAAAATCCAACAAGGCCCCCAAAAAAAAAGATGAATGAATATAATTAGAAAAAAAAAAAGTGTTAAACCGTGGGCATTGGCTAGCGTTCTTCCATTGTTCTCAGACTTTTTTTTCGTTTTTGGACGCCAATGTGAAAAGTTTTCAAGATTGTTATGTCAACCTTACGGGGCTTATTTTTTTTTTTTTTTTGTCCTCCACTGCCCCAAGTAGGTACAGCCTTGGGCGGTTTGTATTTGCCCTATAAGGCATTCGACTCACGCCAGGAATGTACAGAGACCAACTTTATCCATAGTTGGCTGTAGGAACATCGGAGCCCTGCGCAGCGATAGGCTCGCCTGGAGCTGTAAGGCTGGACAGTTAAATGATGTGATAATTAGAGTTCTCATGGGTGTTTAGCGACTAAGTAGCATTTGTTGGAGTGCTTTTCTGACCTGATTTTCGTTGTAGCGATCCCACGAGATGTATAGGTTGATCATCTCTTGCATTGCCTCTACCATCTCGTCTAGGTTGACGTGCGAGTAGTTGAAAAAGTTCATGAAGCGGTCTATCTTCACAGTATCTTCATCTAGCCTCAGATCTGGTAAGTTCCCGCCAGAAGTGCTTTGAATGTCCACTTCGCCCCCAGCATTGAGTGTCATGAGATCATCTAGATGCATGGCGGATGATTTTTCGTCATTCGACTGGCTGCCCACAGGCCCGCCGGCGCTTCTAATTGCATTAAGGTTTTTCTTTAGAACCACCGTGATGTAAATAGCCGCCATGGCAATCACATGGGGTGGGAATAGGAGGTGTAAGTCTGTAATGTAGCTATCGTTGATGAGAGACCACAGATGTTGTAGTTCATCGTCAGTAAGACTAAAACCGAAATGTCCACTGTTTTCCCGTAGAAAGTCTCGTATTTGTAGAAGCAGCTTATATGGATGATGAAGGAGAAGGTACAGTTCCATCTCTTCTATAAGGTAGAACTCGAATTCAGCCAATTTCGTCACATCATGGGGAATATACTCTGGCCAGAGGTTTCGAGCTTCCAGAACAATCAATCGTAGATGCTGTGGGCACTCTTCTATCTTGCAAGCCACGTATAAACACGTTGTAACAAGCAAGTAAGCGTTTACTTCCTTCAACAGCACCCTAGTAAGGAACCTGAAAAGGTACACTTCTGCAGATGCCAATGCAATTTGACGAACGTTAAGTCGTCTTCCAAGCTTCACAACCAACGTGTGAAGATATATCCTCATGTTCACGTCGTAGACAACTTGTGGGTTCTCTTTGATCAAGCCACCCTGGACCATCTTCTTCTCTAGTAGCACCAATTTCCTTCTGCTCTCCATGAGACCTTCACGAGTTAGCTGCCATTTGGTTCTTTGTGAGGACGACCAGTAATCAGCAGACATGACTGGGATTTATATGTGTTGATTGCGTTGATGGTTGATGATCTATGTTAACTAGGTGACCAATAGTGAGAAATATGTGCGCTCTCGGTATTGGTGCTGACCTACCGGGATCGCAACTCACGGCACGGAAAACGCCAATGACAGCGAAATGCGAGTGGAAGTAAGAGGAAAAGGGATTCTGGATTCTTTCTAGCATGAATTCTATGTAATTGTATAGTCTTACGATTAGTTTTACTTGGTGAGGATGTACACGGTGAAGATAACAGTACTATCTATGCTTTGAAAGACATAGAAAGCATCTAGTATCTTCCTTGACCAAAGCCCTCTATTGTAGTCTGACTGCTTCCCCATTATGTAGTAGAAGTCTCTTTACATCTCCCCACATTCCTCTATTATGACTTCTTCTGTAGGCAGATCATTCTTGGTTCTCGTCTGATTAAGCTCGTCAACTATCTTGAAACCCTCAATTACTCTCCCAAACACAACATGCTTACCATCTAAATGGGAAGCATCTTTTGTGCAAATGAAAAACTGACATCCGTTAGTGTTTGGGCCTGAGTTGGCCATAGATACACTGTACTTCTTATGATCATACGGGAAGCCTTCATCATCGAAAGTACTCAGACCATAAATAGTCAATGATCCAGTTCCATTTCCACGTTCAAAATCACCTCCTTGAATCATAAAATCCTTGATTATTCGGTGCATTTTGCACCCTTTATAACCCACTGGTCTGCCATTGCGACGGTACTCACCAGTACAAAACTGCCTGAAATTTTCAGTGGTTCTGCTTGTTAGAAGAAATCTTCAACACCAAATCAAAGCTTATACATACCTCGGAAGCTTATCTTGATAGAGCTCGATCTTTACTCTGCCAAGTGACGATCCTAAATGTTAGTCATGAAACTCAATGCACTGGAAAAGTCAAACATACCGCCTCGAGCAATCTGCAATTAGTAAAATGCCTACCTCATATTAAGCAATTGCAACACATACATCTAGGAATACAACTGGATTGGTCATGTTGTTGGTAACCTCTACTAATGGCTTAACAGTGTAGTGGTCATTGCACCAGTACATCTCTTCCCCATATCTTCAATTGGCCTGGCTACATTTCACCTACTACAGAGTAAGTAATCTCCTCATGGCTCCTCCACCTCCACAGAAAAACTACCATACCGCTGCTCCGGATACGGCTACAGCCATTGACCGTACTCACGGAGACTTCCCAGTTGCTGGAGATTCGGATGAGGAGAACTACTTCAAGACGCACAAAGAGCCTTCTTACTTGCCTGAGATTGAAGAACAAACTAGGAAGTTTGTGAAGTACCATGCCGAGACAACAGGTAAGAGAATTGCTCTTGTTACATCTGGTGGAACGACTGTGCCGTTGGAAAACAATACGGTTCGTTTTATAGACAACTTTAGTGCTGGTACTAGAGGTGCTACTTCTGCCGAGTACTTCTTAGAGAATGGATATGCGGTTATCTTTTTGCATAGAGAGTTTTCTTTGCTTCCATACTCCAGACATTACAGTCATACGACGAATTGTTTCTTGGACTATATGATCGAGAAGGACAACAGGGTTGAGATCAACCCGGAATTCGCAGACGAGATGCTCGTGGTGTTGAGGAAATACCAGGATGCCCAGAAGAGCAATTCCTTGTTCTTGGTTCCTTTCACTACTGTGAATCAGTATTTGCATACCTTGAAATCCATGTCTACGATCTTGCAGACTTTGCAGACCAAGGCATTGTTTTATCTCGCAGCTGCAGTGTCTGATTTCTTTTTACCTTCATCAAGAATGCCCCAGCACAAGATCCAAGCTCAGCCAAGTGGGAAGCTTGTAGTTGACTTGGAGCAAGTGCCAAAGTTCTTGAGAAGATTGGTGGACTCTTGGGCTCCACAGGCAATGATTGTGTCTTTCAAGTTGGAGACAGACAATTCTATTTTGCTCAAGAAAGCAAGTGATGCATTATCTCGTTACCAACACCAGCTTGTGATTGGAAACTTGTTGCAATCAAGAAAGAGCGAGGTGGTGATTGTGACTCCCGACGGTCAACAAGACTGGATCAAGTTGTCTGACGAGGATAAGAAGAAGAACGTGGAGATTGAGTCGCTAATTATACCTGCGGTGAAAGAGAAGCATGACGATTGGGTGAACGAATGGGAACATAAAAGCAAGAAAGCAAAGCATGAGTGATCGTATATACAATTTATTATTATAGATGCTCATTACAAGAAAGATACACCCACGCCGTATTGGATGCCCTTACGTATTTGGTCATTTGCGTGTGCAAGGATAGGCAAGCCAAAGTTCAACTCAAAGCGTGCCATAGGATGGTTGTATAGTATTCCAAACCCGGCACTAAGCGAATAGCCCTTTGAGAAGAGCGTAAGCAAATCTTTCGTACTGTTCTGGGAGTTGAGCGATGCCAACTTACCAAAGTTTAAATAGTTTATAATTTTAAAGTTGGTATCCTCTGGAGTCTTGGGTATGTGACTTAGCAAGGAGATACCACCGTTGAAGAAACAGTCTCCTCCGACAGAGGAGTTCTGGTCTTTAGGACCTAGTCCATTGAGCAGAAATGAGCGAACGTCATTTGGACCTCCAATATGGAAACGGTCAAGAATGTTTGTTTTCAGTTGGTTACCGTTGAGAAGCAAACCAGCCTTGTTTGTGAAGATGAGCGAGTGATTTTTTCCTAAACCAACAGCCAGCTGGCCCTCCCATTGAAATTTGGTGAAACGGACATTGTTGAAGCCGAACAACCCGCTATATTCGATACCGAGCTTTGCAAGATTTCCACAAGTTGGCCCAGTACGATTGTTTCTTGTATCATAAGTGGCACCCACGGTGACAGAAGATTTGAATGTGTCTTTCAGCTGTGTCAACACCTCCAACGACCTGGAGCCGTGATTACTGAGAGCACGCCATGAGTTCTCGAACGCCACGTCAAAATTGAGTTTCGAATCGTATCGAGTATTGATTCTTGTGATGAGACCTTTAGTTTGAACGCTACTCTGTATCCACTCGAGCTTTCTTGTGTTAATGAACGCCAGAGTATCCCATAAGTAGTCGGCACGGTTGAAAACTGGCTGCGAATAGTTCAAAAGGTACGACGATGGCGTCTTCGTACCGGTAATAGCATCAAATACAAGACTCTCGGCTCCTCCAAAAAGGTTCTTGAGCTGGAATTGGATATACCCATCACCTTCACCGTTACCAATGTTGGTTCCTGTCTTTGCAAAGAAACGTTTCTGAGGTACAACATTAAACACAGGTACCATATCCACTGTTAGTGGTGTTTTGTTACTCCATATCTGTTTTGGAAGCTGATGCAATCCTATCATGGAATCTTGTAGAACATCGTGTTTCATAAACAGTCTATGAACTTGCTCTAGGCCATCCAAGAAGTCAGCCAAACTCATGACGTTTCCTTTAAGAAGAGGACTTAGCTGAGTTTGCAAGAACGAGTCTCTAAAGTTCTGAGAGTTTGTGACTTGGACATTACGCAATTTCACTGGAATGGTAGAGTTCTCTTTGAAGAGGTCCTCGAGGTAGCTTCTGCTTTGGTCCATCATCATCTGCTGTTTGGACGCCATGAGCTTTTGGAGCGCTTTTTCTTCTGCTGTTAGATTAAGCTCCTTCTCTTCATCGGCACCAACCGATATTCTATCAATCATAGACTCCTCATGATCTAGAGACATGGTTGAGTGGTGGAGGTGAGTTCGAAAAAGTTGATAAAAGCGCTTGTGCGGCTATCCGCGTGTACACAGAAGTTCACAATAGACAACATGGAAGAGACAAAGAGGGAGTACGTTAGAGAGGCTTTTAGAGGATAAGTGTTACGGGTTGATAAGTTGACGGCGGAATGTTCATCGCATTTTTTTATACTCAATCTGGAGGAGATATGGCAACTTGTGGGACATTCTGGTACTGATGGGCCAAACTAGCCGGGCTGAGAAAGTCACCGCTCGGTAGTTGGATTCCCAGGGCGTTACCATTACCTGCCTGTCTTTCCTTTTCATCTTCTTCGACAAGTGACCTAATACACTCTTTACCTGATTCTGTTTGGAAGTGTCTCCTAAGCGCATCAGCTCTAGCAAATTTTCTACCACATCCGTATGGAGTTCCATCCTTTAATAAACCTTTGCACTGGAACTTTTTCTCACCGGAATGGAGGTCTTCGTGACGTTTCCTGTCATGTTGTCTGGCAAAAGCCTTACCACAAACACTGCAAGTGAATGGTCGCTCATCAGTATGCGTTCTTAAATGAGACTTTAAATTGTACGGTCTTGTAAATCTCTTGTCACATAAATGACACGCGTAAAGCGAAGGGTGTTTCTGTGTTCTTCTTGCAGATTGGGTGGTCAGGGCAAGCTCTAACATCTTCTCACGAGAGGACACTGCATTCTCTCCGGTATCGGCAGACTCATCATCATCAATCTCTTCACTTGAATAGCCCGAGTTATTTGGAGACCGCAGCCTGGAATGAGTCTTGATAGAATGAGCCTTCTGACGCCCACGCTTGACATTTTGGAATTCCTCGGGCTTCAAAAGACCGTTGGGGTCATTCTCCGACATTGGACTCGTCGGCGTCGCTTGAGGACTCGTGTATGATGGGCTGGAAAGATTGCCATGCAGATTTGGCTTTAGACTATTGCCAGTGGAGGCATTTTGGGCGGGTGAATTCTGAGCTGAGGAGTTGTGGGACGAGTTACTGAATAACGAAGGTGTCTTGGCTGCGACAACATCAGGAGCCTGGTGGATGGAAATCTTCACTTCCCTTTGTTCATATCCTTGCTGTGGTCCAGCACCAGGACGAATGTTCTCGTTGTAGTTCATGAGATTGTTTTCTGTGAGTCTATCATATTGGTTTTCGTAGGAGGTATCATTGCAGTTAATTTGAGGAACCGGCATGTACTGTGGATTGTTAACCGGCTGGTTGATTGACTGCTGAAGCTGCTGTAGATGGTGAGACAGCTGGGGTATCGATGGTTGCATGGACATGTTGTACAAGTTTGTGGAGGAGATGGACTCACCCAAAAAAATCTCTGAATCGAAGGAGTTTCCATTTCCATGGCCATTTCCGTTTGCAGCTGGGTCTAGATAGCCAGAGTTGGCAAGATTTTGAGGCTTCATATCAGAATAGGCGTCGCTAAAGTGGGACATGGCGTCTTGGTAAGGAGAACCTGGGTTCAGGGAATACTCTGAATATAAAGAATGGGAGGAGTAAGTATCCGGACTCCGAGGATTTAGGTACGACGACTGAGGTACGTTATTCGGAGAGAGTAAGTCCAGGGCAGCTTGTGCCGAGCTCAAGTTGACGTTTAGGGAAGGGGGAATATCAAGACCGGAAGGGCTAGGATGTAGGGAGCTGGTGACGCCATTATCCTGTGACAAGTTTATGTTAATATTCTGCACGAAGGAGTCTTGCTGATTATATTTTGACTGATGAGGATTGGCGTTAGTAACCATGACTGGAGAGTCAGCCAACATGTTAGCATTTGTAGAGCCGTTACCGGTGCCGAACATGTCTTTGGAAAGTACAGAGGTCGGGGAAGCGATATTCAAGGAGGAGTCGAAATGAGGGGGCGACAAGTTGAGCATGTCGTAGAGCTCCTCCTCTTCCCTTTTCACGACGTTCAGGGACATGATGGGGAAATATTAAGGAAAGTAGGTATTTGCGCTTGTATTCGATATTTCTTGAAAACGGGTAGGGGAGATTTGGTCACGTGATCTTGTAGAAAGGAAAGAACAGGGAATGCTGTTTTCTAAAAGGCAAGCTGAAGAAGACCTTTGGGGATGCGGGGTAGCTTAGGGTAAGTCGAGAGCAGCAGAAACCGATGAGCAAATGGTAGGTGTACTGACTTTGGAAAAAAGCGTTGGTTGTGTTTGGTTTTGGAAGGTGATGTCGATTAAAAAAAAAAAAAAAAAAAAAAAAAAAAGCCGAAAGTCTCACCAAGAAGTAACGCTGGGTCCCCGATTATATGGAGTACAACATGCGGGAGGGAGTGTGGATAAGTGAGGGAAGGCTTAGAGGGGGGGACCACAGACAAGGCGATTCATTCACCTGACGGCTGCGAGCGAAAACAAGTATAGCAATCAGTATACGGTACCTCACCACGGCAAATCACAAAAGCAGTGAGAAAAGTTCTTGGAGTGGTAGTGCAGCGGCTGAGACAGGGTGGGTGGGTACTCGAAATGGGTAGCTGGGGGGGCAGACAGTGCGGAGTGGAAACGGTTCTTTTTTTAGTGGTAGAGCTTGGCTGTCAAAAGACTGTGATAATCCCGGAAAAATGGAGGCACTCAGTAACTGCGGCGAAAATAAAAAAAAATGACAGGGGGTAGCCGTTCGTTGGTTCCTGATACCGAGAAAGGGTGAGCCCAATGAAGTCGAGTTACTACTCGGGGATCTCAGGACAGCCGCGGCACATTGTCGTTGTAAGCCGGCGAGCAGCGTCACCATTCTTGAAGATGGCTGTTGCAAGGTGAGTGTTGCTGCTGGTTTTATTTTTAGATAGATTTGTCCATCATATGCTTATGTCAAGCCTGGTATTGTCCTTTCTGCCGTGAAAAAAAAGATTAACAATATACTGGTTGTTTGGTCACTCTTCATCAGGCATCACTCAGACAGTTCAGGTTATCGCAAAAAGCCTCTCGTGCACCGAGGCAGTGCTGCGCGTGGTGGGCTAGTTTGGAAAACGGTGCTGGGGGACGCAGTGGGCAGCCGTTTACACTTCCATTTCTTTCAATTTTATGTCCACCACAACGTGCCACACGTCCGGTGCAAAAGTCTTGACTTTTTCCAAATGGACGGCCGTGCCGCCAAAGAAGGTTTCGAGTTCTTGCAGAAGTTGGGAAAAATCGTTTTTGTGGACATTTTCATGAACATGGATTAATCGGGCTATGCGCTTTTCCTCAGCGTTTTCGCACCCACTGTCGGTTCCTTCCTCGAGTTTTTTCACAACCTCCCAGCCTTGCTTCAGCAGGGGCAAAAGACCAAGGTTGTAGTGTGAAATACGTAAACCAAGACCAAAAAGTCGTTCTACTGAATGCTCGTTACTTTCGTGGAACACAAAAGCCTTGACGCCATTAGCCACGTTCTCCTGGTAAATGTTCACGTCAAATGGCTCCCCCACCCTGATAAGCGTATGTTTGCAGCCATTCTTTCTAAGCCCGCGTAGGAGGCCCTCGATGGACCATGGATTAAGCTCCCAGCAAAACACGGTCGCTCCATTGGTCAAGTATGAAAGGGTAAAGTAGCCAATACCGCCGTATAAATCCACCACATTATGCCCGTCTAGCTTCGTGTAACTATCGAGAAGCCGTTTCTTCTCAGTGATGTTACCTCGAGAGAACATAGTGTACCTCGGCGCCCATTCCTGACAAATGCCGTTCTGTGTCACCGTGCACCAAAAAGCCTCTTTGAAGTCTGCCGGCATGGGATCCTCGAATCGGGCTTCGTTGGGATCAGGGCCAAAGTCTCCATATAGCGGCACAAGATTAAAGGGTCTTCGCATGACATCGGTTTCGATGATGGGCTGGTTGACCGCATAGTGTGTGTAGCCAGTGAAGAATTTCTCCAGTAGATGCTTAAATAATTTGTCTCTGCCGTTCTCTTCAAAGTATTGTTTCCACCTTGGTGTACTGAACAGTCCTCCTTGGAAGAGTACCATAGGAGGGTACAAGGACCATTTCTTAGGCACCGTCTCTAGCAAGTCAGACTTGTCATAACCTATAACGTCTGCCACTATTCCTTGCAAGCCGACAAGCCTAGTCACAGCTTCCAGTTCATCCTCAACAACGTCTATCTTATTCGTATCGTACTCCTTGAGAAGCACCCTCATCTCAGATAAGGAGCCTGTGGAAAACAAGCATGAAACGCCATCATGAGACTGGATCCTTCGAGATTTATCAAACACTCCTCCATCTTCAAGCACCGTCTTTATCTCCTTGATCAACCGTGGCTCCCTGACTAGGATCTTGGTGCCCATACTATACTAGCACTACTTGACTATAAGCGCCATAGTGTAGGTTTGTTCGCGTCGCGGAACAGTGCCCAATACGTCCCAGGCACCCAAGGCAAAAAGAAGCCGAAGGAGAGGTCTTTCATAAGAAGTTGTTTACTGGAGAAATATAAAACTGACCTTTTTACATTCCCTAATTCCTTTTGTTTCTCCTATTCGTTGTTGCCTTGGCGGTGTGAGAATTGGTCTACGGTTGTCGATTAGCGAACGCACCAAGGAAAAAAAAAAAAAAAAAAAAAAAACTTTTAAAATCTGAGACTTACTTATTTTTCTCGAACACTTTTCAGCTCCTGAAACCCGAAACCTACCCCAATTTGCCATTGGACAATAGCCACTTATAGGCACTCTGAAATACGTCCAATTGAAGAAAAGCTCCCGATCCAGTGTCGCTTACCTCCCTTTCATTTCCTATCAGAGCCGATTCGGCATAAATCAATAATAGTTACCCCAAGAATTTCCACCCCAACCGAAAAGTACCAATAACCTACAACGCAACGATGGCAGAAGAACAGCAGCAACAAACGCCTCCAGCTTCGGCGCCAGAACCCGTTGTCGAGGATAAAGCTCTACCACAGCAGTCGCCTGAAGAACAACCGAAAGAACAGTCAGAATCGCCGAATGCGTCGACGCCCAATAGCCAAAAACAACAACCACAACGCCCTGAGTATAACGCTGCCAGCGCCACGAATGGTGGTAGAGAAATCTCCAAGAAGATTCTATATGTTGGGGGATTGAGTAAATCGGTGGAGGAGACCGAACTCAAGGACTTGTTTGACGCCAACGAGGTATTTTCCGTGAAGATCTTGAACGACAAGAACAAGCCCGACCTAAACTATGCTTTCATCGAATTTCACGACGAAAATGGCGCCGAGAAGGGCTTGACGTCCATGAACGGGAAAATCGTTCACGATAATGAACTTAAAATCAACTACGCGTTCCAGTCTGCTACCTTTTCCACAGCTCAGAACTCTGAGGAACCAGTCTACAACATCTTCGTCGGCGACTTGTCTCCTGAGGTTGATGACGAAGCCTTGCATAAATGTTTCTCCGTGTTCAACTCGCTAAAGCTGGCACACGTTATGTGGGACATGCAGACATCAAGATCTAGAGGCTACGGGTTCGTCACTTTCACTTCTTTGTCGGACGCAGAATTAGCATTGCTGACAATGAACGGTAGAATGCTCAGTGGGAGAAATATCAGATGTAACTGGGCCAGTCATAAACAGAATACCAGAGGCGGTCACCCACATGCCAATAACGGTATGCGTCATAACAACAACCCCAACAACTACAACAATTACAACAACCACAATAGAGGTCCACGTCCGTTCCCCAGAGGATACAGCAATCCTAATGGTATCATTGGTAACGGAAACGGCCACAGCAACGGCCACATGGGCGGCGGCTTCGAGCCAGCTCCATTCCCCATGGCTCTGCCCCAAGTCTCCGATGGTTCACCCATGTTTGCTGCCCCGGGCATCAACGGAGCTGTCATGTCACCCCAATCTTACGATATCGTATTGAGACAGACGCCCTCGTGGCAGACGACAGTATATTTGGGCAACATTGCTCACTTTACTCAACAAGACGATCTTATTCCTTTGCTACAAAACTTTGGATTCATTGTTGATTTCAAGTTCCATCCAGATAAAGGGTGTGCTTTCGTCAAATACGACACTCACGAAAGAGCTGCTCTAGCCATTGTACAGTTGACTGGATTTGCTGTGAATGGTAGAGCTTTAAAATGTGGATGGGGTAAAAGTCGAGGACCAGCGCAAGGTCAGTATCAAGGTTTCAATCGTAATGGCCCACCAATGTACCAAAGACGATAAATAAGTCAATCCAACATTCCCAGCAGGTCTTTATCTATTTTTTTAATTCTCTTTTCCCATTTATTTCTCCTTGTTCATTTAAGTTTGCAACTTCCGCCGTACAGAACTCTTTTCTGGTTCGCATACTATACCTTCCTACAAGTTCTTCCATATTGCCATAAGAGAAAAATTCTTTTTGGTCATAATCCAAGTGCGCTGCAAACATACTTCTTCCCATTGGTCAAATATCCCAGCTTCTTTAGCGTCGAGCTCCAGAACCATAAGTCTTACCACTCTCGGTGAATACAGCCTACTTTAAAGCTTCCGCTTGTCCCATATCTTGAACCCATCTGCGCCTGCGATAGAGACTTGCCATTCATCCTTGGTGTTGCCTCTTCTCGCACGTTCCATCAAGATATACAACTTCAGTCACCCAGCAGTGTTCCAATCTTCTGCTGTATGAGCAAAAGTATCAGACTTGTGTTTACCGTTACCATTTTACTTTGTCTAATCTCCCCGCTCTTCGCCATCGACAAGTTGTCTTACCAGCACTTTATCGAAACTTACGTTCCTGGGAAGATCTCCCTTTTATCGTCCTTTGCCAAAAGAAACAAAGGTGCCACCACTGCCATAGCCATAGTATTAGCCTCGGTTGCTATATTTTACCCACTGCTATTCAACGTCCCTCAGCTATTTAATAAAGTACTCGGCTCAATGAACTCCAACTACAGATTCCTTTCCTCCACTGGCTTTGGCAATCGCTTTGGTGGCTCCGGTACATCTTCCAACTCACGAGAATCCCGTTTCGCTATGAAGAACGGTGGTGAGTTGGGAGGCATAAGCAATGATGGAAACACTTGCTTCATGAACTCGGTTATTCAATCTTTGGCTTCCTCCAAGCAGTTGATGCAGTTTATAGATAGAAACATCAACAGCGAAACACAGCTTATGGTGGATGCTAACGTACCTGTTTCTAGGATGAGTCAGCTACGCACAAATTTGGTCTTCACGAGAGCCCTCAAGAAGATTTTGAATGACGTGAACGGCGCCTATGGCTCAAGAGGAAAGGAATTCAGCACAAGACCATTGCTCCACAAGATGCCCAATGGACCCAAGCAAAACTTCTTTACAGGATATAATCAGGAAGATGCTCAGGAGTTCTATCAGCTTGTGATGAGAATTGTGGAGAAAGAATATAAGAGTATTTCGACATCGAGAGAAGCCACACCAGAACCTGAATCTGAGGGTGAACAAAAAGATGATCTGAAGAAGTATGTCGATGCTAGATTACTTTCAAATTTGACATTTGGATGTGAGAAGCTCGGCAAACTCGGTAATGTATTTGTTCCTGCTCATCAGGTCGATCCTAATATTCCTGATAGCGAAGGTAAAGTTCTCCCTCTTGAACTTGTCACCCCTGTCGATGGTGTTTCAGCTGAACGTATTGGATGTCTCACCTGCGGAGAGGTTGGTGGTATTCGTTATTCAGTCTTGAGTGGATTGAGTTTGAACTTGCCTTATAATGCCTCCAACTATAGCAATTTCACCTTGCACCAACTCCTCAACGAATGGAGTAAGCCCGAGATGATTGATGAAGTTAATTGTAACAGATGCGGCTTAATACAAACGAAAGCATTCCTTTCAGACAGCATGAACAAAAACGCAAACGAACGGTTAGCTGCTGACTTCCAAAAACGTATTGGTGAGATTGATAATGAGCTCGCCAAAGATCACATTGCTGATGAAGTTTTTGAACGTCTCACGACAAAGAGCATGATTAGAAAAACTACCAAAACCAAGCAGGCCCTCTTGAGTAGGCCGCCACCTTTACTTTGCATTCACATCAACAGATCTGTTTTTGACCCAAGGACGTATATGATTGTCAAGAACTCCAAGACTGTCAGATTTCCTCTCAAGCTCGATCTTAATCCTTACATTGCTGAACCTAAAGATATCAATATGGATGCCAGACTTCCTTTCAGAAAACAAGATTCCTCAACAAGTAACGGAACAGTTGAATCTCCCGAATCCGATGAAGACTCGGAACTTGAAGAGCCAAACGCCGAGGGTCCTTTCTCTGGCAACCGTGATCTTCTTTACAATCTTAAAGCTGTTATATCCCATTATGGAACTCATAACTATGGTCATTACATTTGTTACAGAAAGTACCGTGGAACATGGTGGAGAATCAGTGATGAGTCCGTGTATGTTGTTAACGAGGGTGATGTTTTGAACTCTCAGGGCACATTCATGTTGTTCTATGAATGGGATGACGGTGAGGTCGAGAACTTGCAGCAGCTTGAGGAAGAGGAAAGTGAAAAGGAGTCTATAGTGTCAGCTGACGCAGAAAAGGCAAAGGCAAATGAATCCGATGATGACGACGTCCTGGTGTCTCTGTCCGACGAAGATGATGACAGCAATGTTATGGATGAAGTCAAGATCACCAAGTCCAACTCGAACGCATCAGCTACCAGCGAGGGTCCCGTCGAAGCTGTCAAGCCTACAGAGGAGGTGCATCCATTACAGGATGAATATCGTTTAGGGGAGGAAAGAGCCTTCCATGTTTGATAACATTAATATTATATAGATCCATAATAGTACACCCACGCATAATGTATGCGCGATGCTCATCGTAAAATCCAAGCATAACTACATCTCATACTTATGGCCAAGAAACCCAAGAATAAGCAAGTCGTTGGTAAAGGACTTAAAGGAGCACTTCTGAAGCATTTCATCAATGAGCAATTGAAGCAGAATCGCCAGCAGGCTGCCAAGGAAGCCATCACGAAGAAAGCAGACAAAGAGAAGTCTATCAAAAGTGGAAAAAGTAAAGGTTCAAAGAAACAGCAGCATAATATAAAAGCTCTAATACCTTTTGAGCGTCACGAAACTCTTCTTCTTATTGGAGAAGGTGATTTCTCTTTCGCGAGCTCGATCATCAAGGGTCAACAGATTGAACCAAAGAACTTGATAGCTACAAGCTTCGACTCCAAAGAAGAAGTCCTTACGAAGTATCCTGGGGCTGAAGAACATATACAGTTCCTTATAGATGAGGGAGTCAATGTGCTACATCAAGTTGATGCCACAAACATTCCGTTTACCATGAAGCTCGTTAATGCCAACCGTAAACGGACCTCTGTGAAGCTATTCAACCCATACAAGAAGCTTAACCATATCATGTTCAATTTTCCACACACGGGAAGAGGTATGAAGGACGTTGATAGAAACGTCAGAGACCATCAGAAGTTAGTGTTGGCTTACTTTAAGAGTGCCAATGATCTTCTTTCCATGGTAAACCAAGAAGCGACAAACGATCTTGGTGGCTACGGTGAGTCCCAAAATGAGACCAAAGCTGATGTTATTCTCTCCTTATTTGAGGGAGAACCATACATTTCATGGGGAGTTAAAGCTCTAGCTAGAAGTGAAGGGCTTCTGGTAAACCAGTCAGGAAAATTCGAGTGGGCAGCATTTGAAGGCTACCATCACAAAAGGACAAATGGTATACGAGACACGACGAAGCCTGCTGCTGAGCGTGATGCAAGAATTTATATTTTTGATACAACCAACCAGGCTCCTACTAAGAACAAGGGCAACAAGGGCAACAAGGGCAAAGCAAAGGCCAAGAATGAGAGCGATAGTGATGATGATTAAGCAGGGAAAACTCTCACACAGTCATCAATCAGGAATACTTCATGTGTGAGCGGATCCATCAACTGGTTGTTCCTGACTAACTCTAGTGCAAGTGTACCGGTCATCGCTACCATCTTCTTGGATGGACTGAGCAACTTTTCAAACGGATAGATATTACCATTAGGGAGCTTGAATGGGTTGTTCAAAATGCTTGTAAGTAACTGTGCATATGGAAGGTTCAGACTTAGATGGAATAGCTCAGGTGAACAAACCGGACATTGGTTGATCTTCTTTAAAAGCTTGTAGTAGTAGTTAGGTCCTCGAAGTGATAAGTCACGCCAGCTGCTTACTTCTAGTACCTCTTGTTTGTGCGTTTTGAAAATTGTGTTTTCGTCATTGCAATAACATGATTTGGTCTTGAGACTTGAGAGACCAGCCGATAAAAGAACCAACAAAGGATAAGTCTTAGGGATGCCGTAGATCTTCGTGAAGTCCTCTGTAAAACATTTCGATAAACCTCGCCAGCGCTCTTCAGACATTACTGCGTTGTACTTTGCGTATCTTGCTGACAACTCCCGGTCGGGTTCATACGAGGCGCCCAGGAAGGAGTCAAGGCACATCGAAACGTAGACGAGTGGAGCACCCACCTCTGTTAAACGTTTATGATTCTTTTCAAAGTTGATTAGGTCATCTTCCAGGTAGTTCTTGATGTTTCCATATGGCGCAAGGTATGCCTTACAGTAGGAGATTGCCTCAGGTGCTTGTCCGCTTTCGATCATTGACAAGTACTTGCAATAGTGGATTTCAAACTGAAGATTGGAGCTCAATTTCTTTAATGCATTCTTGTTGTCGTTGTACCAAGCAGCGATTAGGTCCAAATCATGATCTATATTGATTGACAAGAAGACCTTGTTAAAGCTCTCATAGACGTCATGGTCAACCAATTTCGTAATATCATATTCAAATGTCGGAGCCAAGCTTTTCATAAGCTCGCTGCCCAAATTCTTATCCTTTCTAGTATTGGACTTCAATAAGTAATCAATGATCAAGAGGTTTGTCTCTCCTCTGTACCAATTTATGAGCTTTTCGCTATGCAAGTCAAGTAGTTTATCATCTTCATCAATATGCTTATCCTCGTTTCCTGAAGAATGGTTATCAAGCGTAAAGTTCTTCAATTCGCTCAAATGCTTAGCTCGGGTGGTCAAGCGCTCTCTATAGTCCTCGTCCGTTTGGATAGCCAGTTTGAGTTTCTTCTGGTAGGTCTCAAAGTTCCTTATTAGTTTCCGAACCGTAGCAAGCTTTTGCTCTTTGGTCAAACCTGGATTCTTCTTGATGGCACTTATCTCTTCAGTCACCTGTTTCCTCAGCTTCTCCACAAGTTTCTGGATCGTCTTGAAATTCTTCTTGATCAACTCTGAAGGCACCGCAAACTGGACCTGCCGCGTTTGGACACTAAAGTTGACTGTTGGTTCACTCATTTTGGTGCTGATGAGGAACAATTACGTCGGCAATCCGTGGCTTTCTGGTGGTACGCCTTGAATAGTGTGGTTCCCGAGTCCGCTCCTTGTCACTTACACACAGTGCGAGCCAGGCCGTTATCAGCGCACCTTGGAGCAGGCCTATGTGCGAGGGTAGAGGAAGTAAATATGATACTGAAAAAAAAAAACCTACTTTAAGTTAACATGCTCGAATTTAAATGCAAGCTAGTCTGTATGGACTAGGTCTTCTAATAAGATAATGTGCACTAGACTTCTTCCTCGTCTTCCACAACAAATCTGCTTGAGCCCTCACCCAAAACGCTATCAGGAAGCGACTCGTCGAGCTCGTATGAATCAGATGCTTCGTACTCGGGAACGATTGAATATGCAAATTTGGTGAACCCTGCAAAAGCAAGAGACTTGCCCACAAATGATCTGCCATTGTTGACGACGTTCTTACGGCCCTTCCTGCCAAGCATGAGTATAAATATCACCATCACCATGGCCATGAATATAATGGCACCGTAGAGTCTATGCGTCTCTAGGTACCATTTCAGTTCTGACGGATGCGAGGCATACTCATACTCGTAATCGAAGATCGGGTATTTCGTGCCAGGAACCTCACGGGTATATAATGGTCTTGGGAAAGAGCCAGCCGGCTCGGCACCAAAGTGGAAAGCATTCTCTCTCGGCGTGTAGAAATATCCGGGTCTTTTAACCAAATGGTCTTTTTTGCCAGTCTTCTCGATGGTATAGTTGTTGAACGCCTGAATGTACTCGTCGTTAGCGTAGAGAAGAGCTCTTCCCAAAGTCCATGAAAACGACAGGCCACCCATTTTTTCAATGAGCTGAAGCGACTTGAATTTGTCATCTTTTTCTTTATCATCGATACCAATACGAGGGAAGCCTAGACCAACGTGCAAGAAATTAAGAATCCAGGAAGACTTAAAACAAAGCTGTGCAAGCTCATCTTCACGTATCCTTTCCTTCTTCTCACGAAGGTTGTTTCTCTCGATCATTTCCTTAAAAGAGCGAGAGCACCATTGAGATGTGGCAGTATACATCTTAACATAATCATACTTTTCAGACTCGCTTCGTGGTATTTTGCCATATGACGACAAGGCGTTTATGGCATCCCAATAACCACTGACACCGATAAAATGGTTCACGTCAAAATCAAATGCTGGAATGAGTTCGCTAAGCAAGCACGAACTTACTTTACCAGTTTCACCGAGCTTGAAGCAGCTCTTTGGGTTGCCAGCGTGATGAGTGGCGGTCTCTAGAACTGGGAAAATTGACGTCAAGCATTCATTGAAGTTAGAACCTCCAGTAAAGTCAATATAGTTATGGTTTATAAGTTCCTTCGTTGTATAGCCCTTGGGCAAGCATGGGTCCGAAAGAGGAGTTCCGAAATAATTAGTCTCCTCAGGAATATTGTTCTCTTTCTTGTAGTTTTCGACCAAAATCGAGCGGAACTTGTTTTGAGCTTGAAACATACCAAAGCCCAAAAAGGAGTCCGAAAAGACATTAAATTCTTTGATCTCAGGAGCGTGGAAGTCCCCTACAACCTCTTTATCTGAGTCCTTCTCCTTTTTCTTGAGTTTAGGTAGCATACCGAGCGACAAACGGTACAAGTTATTCTCGTGTTCTTTTGATTCAGTCGAGTTTGGCTGGAACACCACTTGGGTCGAAGCTCCACCCATATCTAGAAGTCCGTAGGTATTATGTTCTTTGCCGTGAGCGTGCTCTTCAGGCCAGTCGAAAGCACCGATTAAATAATTGATTGAAAGCCAACCATACAAGCCCTCTGTATCCCCGTCAATGATATTAACGTGAGACTTACACTGGGGCACGTAAAAGTCTGAATTCGTTTGAAAATAGTCACAAACATTGTCTAATATAGGCAGTTGTTCCTTCGGCGGAAGAAGCCTCATGCCAGCAGTAGCATGTAAAAAGATCGGTGTTCTATGATGTTCAGATTTCGGAACAATAGCACTAGCGTAAGCAAGGAGGTATCGAAGGTGACGTTTGCCGACCTTCTGTGGGCTCTGGTTGAATGAAGAAAGCCCAGGCAGTATCTTCTTATGCCACTGCTTATCCAGGTATATAGAAGGGAAGGTAACGTCCTTAAGACCACCCTCCAGATCTTCTCCCTCGCTATCAGAATCCTTTTCTCCCAAGGTTGACTCATGAACCAAGTTGACTTTCGGGCTGCTCTGCAAATCAACGCCAGCTTCAAGGGCGTGCTTCGGATTCAACCAGTTATACACATAAACCCTTGAACCTTTCGAACCAGCGTCTATCATGACCACGTAGTCATAAGGAATCTTATCCTTGGACAAAACCGGTCCCGGTTTCAACGTCTTCTTCTTTTTCCGCTTATCAAGCCCCATGGTGTCGCAATCGGATAGTCGATAGGGCGCATTTGAGCATGTCAAAGTACATACTATAGGAAGGCTGAAGCATCCGCGAGTGTGTGATACCCGATGCACCTGTGAAAAAGGGGGCCCCCAAGTCCAAGAAAAATGACAAATTCGAAAATGATCCAAATGGAAAAATTTATCCATTCTTTGGCTTCCCCAGATCAAGTGGAATTTGGACTATGTAGTGGCTTTTACTGTCTGTCCAGGCACATGGCCCGCCTTAAGTGAAGGACATAAAGCTTCCACCATTTAGTTGATTTTCTTGAAACTGAAGAAAGGAGGGCTTTCTTGGAAGTTTTCTTGGTGAAGGTAACGCAATAAAATAGAATTTTTCTTTGGATTTTAATGTTAGGGCAGGTTCTTGTTGGTTTCCTCTTTCCATAATACAGGGTAATTAGCGAAATGGCTGCGAAACTAACAAAGAGACCCAACAACCTCCAAATCTGACGAATATCCTGATTACAGAAATACAAAAAAAAAGACAACAATTGGGACATTTTACCAAATTCTGGAATCCAAATTGGATGGTCCAAAAACTCGACAAAATGATAAATTAGACTTACGAGTGATCATCGCTGGTAGATTAGCCAGGGCACAGAATGGGTCCATTTACCAGAGCCAAAAGTCTTCGTGCATCGAGATACGTGAAGCCAGATTCTTCTTCACCATCATCCGGCGTTTAGCGCTTCTTAAAAGCCACTACAGAACTACCTACAGTAGTACAGTGAGTGGTATGATTTTTCAGTCTCCCCACAAAATCTGTATACCGAATATGGCATGGACCGTGCACCCCAGAAGCTTGTAAGGAAGCTCAGACCACGGGTGATTTGCCAAAATAATAGTAGCTTTCTATGACGTTTGTCATTGCATCGACGTTTCTAGGATGCCGTTCCAGATGGAAAACTTATACCGTGGATCCGGGCCGTAGCCTTGACTAGCACTGTACATTCTGCCGTATATATAAAGGAACCGGTTTCCACTCTATAGTCTCTTCCCCAGAATGCCTCATTACGTTATTGTAGGGTACGTGAAGATTTGGATTGATATTTTTATGGTGTTTTACTAACCGTTAGTGCCGGTGTTATCGGCCATTACACAGCTTACAAGCTTCTCGAGAACAATGTTCATCCTCGGGATATCTTGATCATGGCAGAGTTCCTTCCAGGCGACGAGTCCATCAAGTACACTTCTCCATACGCTGGAGGCAACTTTTCATGTATCACAGGCGATGATCCCGAGACTTTGGCATTTGACGAAATGACATATAAAGAATTGGGCCGGTTGCAACTGTTCTTGGGTGGCCCCAAATGCGGTCTAGACAGAGTGAAGTCTACGGAGTACTGGGATACGCCTCCATCAGATGAAAAATTGGCTTCCTTGGAGTCTTACCTCTATGATATATCATTCATTCCCAGCAATGACTTGCCGGATGGCGTCCAGTACGGAATTGAATTCATAACCTGGAACTTCAACTGTCCAAAGTTCCTCGCCAGCTTCCAGACGTTCTTACAGAAACAAGGTGTGCAATTTGAACGTAAGAAGCTCAACAACATTCATGAAGCATACCAAGAAGATACGAGGGTCGTCTTTAATTGTACTGGACTCGGGTCGAGGACCCTTGGAGGTGTCAATGATGAAAAATGCGTCCCATTAAGAGGTCAAGTGGTGGTGGTAAAGGCTCCTCACATTCATGAAAACATGATGAGATGGGGTAACGACAAACCCACGTACATTATAAAAAGACCTTATTCTAATGACCAGTTGATTCTCGGTGGATACTTACAAAAAGGAGATTGGACGCCGGACACTTTCCGTGAACAGACACAAGATATCTTGGAGAGAACTACCAAACTCTTCCCCCAAATTGTGGAAAAGAACTACAGAGGCAAACGTATTGAAGACCTTGAAGTGCTCAGAGTCGTAGCAGGTTTACGTCCAGGAAGAGAAGGAGGCGCCCGTATTGAAAGAGAGTTCATCAATGCTGGAAAGACGCTTATTCACAACTACGGTGCTGCTGGTTACGGATACCAGGCAGGACTTGGAATGGCAGACAAGGCAGTCCTGCTTGCCCTCGGAAGACCAAAGCTTTAGTTCATAAACCGATTATCGATGTTGATAACTATAAATAAGACATGAAAAAATGGACATGAAAACGGGGACGCAGGGACATCATCACCCAGAAGAATATATCGTAAAACGTAGAAGGTAGCACCACCTCATCAATCATCAAACAATGACACACTTATCCTGCTTGGGGACCTCAGGATTCTGAATCTTCTCAATAGAATCAACCAATGCTTCGAAAGACTTGGAGATGTTAATGTTATCACGCACCGACGTCTCCAAGAAGGCACAGTTGTACTTCCGTGCAAGGGCCTCGCCCTCGCTGGTTTCCACTTGTCTTTGGAAATTTAAGTCACATTTGTTACCAATCAACACCATTGGCATAGACTCTGCACCAATAGAATTTAGGATCTTATCCCTTATGACATCGACCAACTCGAACGACTGTCTTGACGTCACCGAGTAGACGAGCAAGTAGCCGTGAATGCCCACCAAGTGCTTCTCATTCATAATGGAGAACTCATCCTGGCCAGCAGTATCCAAAATCTCTATGGCGTAGTCTTGGTTCTTGTAGCTGATGACTTTGGAGAACTGGTTTTCAATTGTGGGATAGTAGGACTCAACAAAGTGGTCTTCGACAAACCGAACCGTCATAGACAGTTTCCCGACCGAGCGAGAGCCCACCACCGCGATCTTTCTTGCCTTGACCATGATAGGAGATTTATATGTGTATAATAAAAGGAGGAACCCAAAGATGAGACTTTGACGAGTATTCTATGTTGTAGAATAAGACAAGTAGGATGGTGAGAAAGTCTGCCCAAAGCCTGCATGGCGTGCGTGTGAGCGATTAGTGACGAGCGACGTGATAGATAAAGCAGTGGTAAGCGCCCTGTGCACACTGGAGCAAATCCGAATAGGGTCTCCTTTTAAGTTCTGCCTAAAGGGTAATTTCCGTTGAAAATAAAAGTCTACAAGAAATAATTCCGTGGAAAATAAGGTTAATTGAAAAAGCAAGCTCTAACTAGAGCAACGAAAACCAATGGCATATCCATGCTGCTCACAACATGGTTGTGCCAGTCATCTGTATTTACAATGACCACTTGAGCACCTGCAAACTCGTAGCAACGATAAAAATCGTAGTCGGAAGGGTCAAGATAACGTAGCCCCAGAAAAGCACTCCGGCCATCTCCTTCTGGTAGAGATCATTGAGTTGAGTGATCTGCGATAGCTGGATTGCAGGAGGAGATACTGTGAGGATGAATGCAACAATCAAGAAGATAGGGTCGTCCAAGATGGAGGTGTTGATAAACTTGACGCAAAGAGCAATCAACGGGAGCATCACCAAAGACGGAAGAATCATTCTCGACATCAAAGACGCCACCACTATCCTCTTATAATGAGTTGAGGCAGGGGAATGTCAGCTGATGGATAGAGGTTGGAACCCAACACGATCAAAATGAGGGGGATGGACACCGAGCCAAGGTTTTCAATAGACTTGGTCAAGGTGTTTCTAACGAAGCTATCGTCCTGGAAGAAAAGCTTCTGAAGAGAGCTCACAGAGGCGATAAGCACCGATATGAGCATGGAATAAAGTGGTGGATTCATGAATGCAAAGAAGTTGGCAACAGGTCTCCAAGTAACAAAGCTGTGCCACTTCCGTTTGATGAAGTTATCTTGTTGCCCGTTGTAAGGCTTTTGGGTGTGGTCGACGCTGGAATCGTCGGACTCATGCTGGTGGGGAGGAGCCATGGTAGGGAAATCAGCGGCAAGAGTCGATGCGGGTGAAACATCCTCAATTTCACCTTCATCTCTATTAAAACTCGAGTTCTGACTCTCCACGTCAGGCAAGGCCAAAGGTCTGATTTCACCACTGGTTATGGCGCTATCAAGTTCGGCAGGCGAACGTCTTCTCAAGAGCTTGTTGTAACCCCAAGACCAACGCAAAATCTGGCCCATTTGCTGGAAAATAAGAAGGTACAACATACCTCTGGAGGCGACTTTATCTGGAGTATCGTCGTCCATCCTATCCCAAAGCAAGTCAGGTAAGCTGTAGGCCAAAGTCATGGTCAAAGACACAGGCAAAGAGTTGGAATTACCAAAAACGGCCATTGCAGTGACAAAATCGGACTCGGCCTCGTTAAGAACCAAGAAGCGAGACATGACACGCGAGAAGGAGTAGGAAGTGGCCGTGGTGATGGCATAGAACACTGGGATGATGAAAATGTCAAGGATTTTGTCCACAGACAAGGAAGGAGCAAGTTTGGTGAACACCAAGCACGGCGTGAACAAGTCAACATTCAATTGGGAAAGCATTCTCTGGCCAGTGGTTCCCAAAAGGTTGGAACGTGCTACAAAGAAGCCAGCAAGACAGACTATCACGACTTCTAAGACAGCCTGGAGGGTTAAGAAGGAAATGCCTGCAAAGGATAGTTCTTGAGGCGCCATCGGCGGCACTATACGGCGAATTAGACCATGTTCGTTAGATAGCCCCATTTGTTAGTGGAAGAGGCCAGTGGAAGGGAAAGTAGGAGGAAACGACTTTATAAGGAAGAAGCAAATATGAAAGAAAAAGGATGAATTAATCCAACCGCAAAAAAAAAAATTGCTGTGTGTGTGGCGCTGCGGCCCTTGATAAGGCATAAGGCGTGCATGGGATGATATGTGCACCGGATTTGGAGCTAGGACCCTAGGGATAATCTAGCGGCTAAAGAAGCATTAGCTTGCGTTTGTTGGGGAGGCAACAGAATGTTCTGCCAATGAGCAGGCTTGGTTCGAAGCGATGCCACGGGAAATAGGGTTTAAACGGTTATTTTTTTTTTGTTCGTCCTTCTTTGGTGTATTGCATGGTAACATTGTGGAATCAATGGAGGCGAAAAAAAAAAAAAACCGAAACGTGGGTGCAAAAAACTTAAAGACTCGGCTCTGTGTGCAGTGCTAAGCGGACTTGACAGCCATTATTCGTTCCGGTCATGGAGCGTCTGTGAATGGCTGGAATTCGCAGTGGGTAGGTGCCGTGCCGGAAGGCCAGAAAAGGTTATAAGAGCGATGGACCAGGTTGGTTAGAAGAAGTAGGAGCACTTTTTTTTGCAAATCTTGCTTGCTTCCCCCTTTGACCTCGTGGGTGCTTTTTTGACGTTTTCTGGGCCTTCCTCCTCTAAGCCACGTAATATCGGGAGAAGCCCCATACGTGGGAACCCCACCATGTATGGTGCACGGGTTTTGATGTCTTGGTCATGGTGTACGGGTGTTTTGTATTTATCTTCCAACCCCAAAAATCAAAAGCTTCAATCCTCTCAATTAATCGTTCCCTCCCATTTCTCCTATCTCCCGCCTCCTCGTTCCGTCTTTATTCTCCATCCCATGTCTCTAGACCCCTGAAGCGAGCAACACCGTTTTCGCGCTCCTTCTTTTTCTCTACAGTTCCTGCAGTACCTCCATATCACAACAAACAAACGCTAAACGTCATCTCTTGCCACTATCTAGCCCAAAAACATCCTATAAAAAATCGCAAAACCAATGCCTCCTCCGGGCCAGCTACCGCTGGACACAACTCTGTCGCCACCATGGTACAAAAGGCCCCATCCAGACTCAGATAACGATGATAACGCTGCAGACTCCTCTGTAAGCCATGAATTCCTAGCTGGTGCCTCTACACCACTACACGTGAATACAACCAAATCAGTGATGATGATCTCGCCAATGAAGAAGCTAGATAAGCTACATTTAAGCCAGACGGAGCTAAGGCCAATCGAAGCGTCGGATGATGACGAGGACGGGTCCAGTTTGGCTCACGCTGGTAACCAGACCATCTTGACTGACTATAGCAGTGATCTGAACTCGTCGCCAGCAGAAGAAAGACCTCCTCCATTCTTCGTTCGTAAGAGGAAACATGACACATCTCTGGACATGATCGTAACGCCGGCGTTCGATTTTGTCAGAATTCGGTCCTCTGATCTTCCTTCCTCAAGAAACCTGTCAATCGGCAACATGACGTGTGATTCGCTTCTGAAAATCAGCTTTTCTAGTTCCTATTCAACTCCATGTCCTACCCAGCCTCGGAAAAAGCTTAAGATTAAGGAAGATAATACTCCATCGCAACCGTCGCGTCTTAAGAAACCATTACTTAACTTATCTTGCTCCAAGAAGGTGTCTGCTGGGTCTGAGCCTCTTATTGATAAACTCAATAATGCAGGTGACGAGTTATCTAGTTCTTTTGCAGAGAATTCTGTTTCAGACGAACATGAAGCAGACCAAAACCAGCCCCAGTCAACACCCATTAGCCAATCTACTCCAGCCAACTCGCGTGCACCATCCCCATTCACCGAAGACACGTCCGATAGTATTAATGGTTTCTCTTTTGTCAAGCCTGCTGTTGCAATGCCATTCAAATATGATACCCCACAGGCTCGCCCTACAAGTGCATACCCTTCCTTCAAGCCATCTCAGCAGCTCAGAAATGCTTACAATAACAACGATTTCGTAGAAGCTGCTGGAGGAAAGTACGAGGTGGTTGGAAAGTTCCCTGTGTCCGCTGCTGGTTTGATGGACGAGGACGACGAAGATTTGCACGTTGGTGATAAGCGTATCAACGATCCTTACCTCCAAGCGCCTCTGCTGGAACTGTCAGAAGTTGATGACAGTGAAAGAGACCGAATCCGCCATCAATACTTGACTGGTGACGATAAATTACCGTTGCTATTGCATTTTGAGTGTGAGCTCTCTAAACCAGAGATGCTAGAACTCCTCCACGACTCATCCTCCGTTTCTGCATTTTACCATTACATCTCCAATCCTGACTCGTTAATGCCGCTACTCAAAAAGGAACGCCTTCGTTGGCATCCTGATAAATGGGTTTCCCGTTACAAAGACTCCTTGTTTGATGAGGATATTGTTCGGGGCCTAAGCCAAGTCATTAACACCATTATAGAAAAGTCATAGATAGACCTCCTTGTCATGAAATATACAAAGAATAATGAGAGCCGACTACCTTTACTGGGTTTTTCCTTATTTTTATCTATTACATAATTACTTCTTGCTTTAGCTGTCTGCTTTATCGTTGGGCGTGGCTGCACTACTTCCCTTGTCAGCGTCAGTGTCTCCGTTTTTGTCCTGATCAGCCTTTGACTGAGCCTCTTCATCGATATCAATATCCTCTTCGACATCCTCCTCGGCATCACCAACCTCAGCGTCCTCTTCATCAATTTCTTCCTCTTCCTCTTCCTCTTCTTCCTCTTCCTCCTCGTCTTCTTCTTCTTCGTCGACCTGTTGCTCAGGAGGATACTCGTCTGGGTTAGAATCTTCACTGTCCCACACGATGTTGAATCTCGTCACACGAGGCTTCTCTGCCAAAATATTTCTGACGACGTGTTCCACCTGGACCTTGGCAGGTGGGTTTTCACGTAACTCTTCTGAATCATATTCGTTATTAACATAGTATCCAACACGAACGAACTCTCTACCCGCGTATGAACAACTTAATAATATGACGGTGACACTAACCAATTCACTAGCAGGGATCAATTCTGGAGAAGGCGGGTCAGCTTGAAACAAAAACTTGTTTACTCCCACAGGAACTGGGCCCACTAGAATAGAGTCAAGCTCCTGGTCGTGATCTAGAGACCGTGAACTACCCACATATGTGAGTTTCCACTCCAAGTCTTCCTTCAAAGGCTCTAAGCACTCAAACGTGATTTCAAACTCATATGGATCAGAAAATCGAGCAGGATTGTTCAACACTTCAATTCCAAGCAACGAAACAATCGACATGTTTTGAGTGTGGACTGTGTGTGTTGACTTTCAGAATCGCTTTTTTCTGTCTGAGCTTCCCTATTATCACTCTTGACGCGTACTTGGTTGATGCAGGAATATGATAATTAGTGTTACCAGTACCCTATCGTTCAGATTGAATTCCAGGCCGTGGAAACTGGGGCTCTTATTAAAATTCATTATGTCTCGTTTATTACCTGTTATTTGCCGTTAATAGCCATTAATATAAGCTGAACTTGCCTTGAACAATGTCATATAAGACATACTTTGATGGAGGGCCCCTGTGTAACAAGAGCTGGATAGCTTTTGAAGTTATTGAGGTAGCTCTTCAATACATCTTAAACCAGTACTGAGCGTGTCAGTAAGTAATTTGGCAACATCGTTCGTCAGTGCTTGGTTGGCGAGTTTGCAGCCATGGTGAAAGACCCGTGCACCATCAAGTAATAGACTTCTTCCCGCTCAATTAACCGTTCGAACCTTCAGATATAATATGGCTTCTGGTGCAGACCCTAGCTCTGTTTCGCCAGGAAACAACGATAGCTCGAACAAAGATATTAGTTTAATCCCTCAGGAAATTGATGATACAGACTACGGAAAGGTCTATGAAGAGCTCCAGCTGCATTTTCACGAGGTCTATTCGCTATCACATAAACTCGCTGTGACCGAGAAAGCTCAAAGACAAACACTTTATAATTACAGACGTAAGATTGATGCGTTGCTAGATTACATGGCTGAATTTGAAGACCGGGATGAGGATCCCCTAGATGGTCCATTGGCCGTGGACAACAAGAAGATTGAGGACATTATAAGCAGAAGGCCAGAATTGAAGAACACGTTATCACCTCTACTTCAGATATCCCAGGACGATTCGCCCGCCGACATTAAACTTAAAAAGTCATACAACGTCAACTTGACCGTTGACGAACTGATACCTGATATACCACAAGACGAACTAGACGCTGTGGAAGTCAATCCTCAAGAGACAGAAATGTGGGTCCGTCGGAACTACCCACATCTAGTGGTATCGAAATTCAGACCTATAGAAGTACGTGGTAAGAATGTGAGGGAGTTCACCGACGCTTCCTCGCTGGCACCTAAAAAGAAGAGAAGAACAATTTCAAGGGAATAGTAATTCCGTCTATAATATGCTATGCACCTATTTGCGGCCGCCCGTACTCCTTCTGCTTCGCTTAACAAGGTTTTCCATGATTTTCACAACATCAAAAAGCCCAAAGATGAAGTTTCTGGTTTTATACTTAAACTTTCCCTTGTCCACCAAACGAATTGTTTTGAGGAACAAGTTTGGACTTTCGAAAATCTCACCGTTATTCAGCTTGATCAGGTTCAATTCCTTCATGGCTTTACGTTCGATTTTCCCTAACACTGAGCTTAGGTGATTTATCAAACTTAATGCCTTATCATCTAATTTCTGGTTGATTTGTAAACCGAGCCCATCATCCGCATCGAGATCAAGCTGTTGGTTAGCCCACAACTCGTCACCATGATTACCAAATAATGAAATATATGTCGAATCCTGGTATGGATTGAGTACCTCAAGGTTAAATAAATCGTCACCTTGCATTAATTCTGGGTATGCAAGATAGAGTGGGTCTTGAGGACTGTGGTTGTCAACCGATACCCAACTCATATCGTCCAACATCTCAATTCCCTCATTTGTAGCTGCCATTTTTCCTAGTTGATGGAAGGCAATGCCACGGATTTGCCAATCCTTGGAGTTACGGTATAGCTGAAGAATCAAATCGATGACGTGATCGTTCCTCATACTAGGGTTATAGAGCGGATCAAGAATCTGGATACCATACTTCGAGGAAGCAATCTCGCCGATAATCCATAAGTATTGCTTGAGTCTCATGAGCATATACTCTTCTTCATCTTCCGCTGTTTTGATGGACAAACCTGTGCTTTCAGGCAAAGACTCCTTTGTGTATGAAAAAGAGAGGTCGCCTCTAGCATTCAATTTTGTAGGCGACTCGAATTTGTACAGATCATCTGTTTCATCACTCTCAATGCTGTTTGTTTTACTGCTTGTTGATTCAACTGGAGGTGGTCTGGTCCTAGAATAAAGGAAATCAGGCGGCGCGACGGCCTCTGTCTTTGTTTCGATCAAATGCAATTTTTGGACAATGGCAAAAGTCTTGTTGATAATGTCATCGAGTACCGTTCTTTGGGAGTTGAAGAAAATGAACCCATCCTCGGTGCTGAGAAGGTAGTAGAAGAAATGATGGCAATCCTCATCCAGCTTATTGCGAACACTTTGTAGCACGCTTGAAAACGGATACATGTACTTTTTGAGTGTCCCTTCGATATTATTCAAATAGTCCAAAGTTTGTAATCCGCGTATGGTTGCAGTAAGATTGCGTTGAATCAAACCATTTTCGTGCAACAAGCGAAAGCCTTTTGTAGTAGTGCAAAAGGTTAAAAGTAACTCTTTACCCTTAGTATGCTTCGATAAAACCAACGTGGATGGTCTCATATCAATCAATAGATTGATTCGAGATATATTACCTTTAATCACGAAATACTCATGGAGGTATGTGATAGTAAGCGCAACCACGGCCTTACTCTCATCATACAATAGATTGGATAGAGTTCTGATAACATAATCATAGCACCCCTCTGTCTTAAGAAGCTTGGGTATGACATTCTCAAGTGTAAAAAGCTTGGTTTCTTCTCGTGACACCGTCAAGACCTTAGATAAAAGTATTCTTAACGGGCTATCCAGCACAAAATTGAGATTATTCAACAAGTTGAACAAAAGATGCACGTTCGAGCTCAGCTCCACATTCCCATCAATTATATCACCAATAAGCTGGTAGAACTGCCATTCCTCAAGAATTACAAGACCCTTATTGCTAGATGAAAGAACTCCAACAAACTTCACGTATCCTATACTTAAGGTAGTCTCTAATTTTCGAGTTGAAAGAATAGGGTCTTCAGCCGTGATACCACTACAGGGGCTCACCTGTGCGAATATCTCTGCCATTTGTGGCATGAGCTTGTTGGATGCCAAATAGTCGAAACCGGCTTCGTGATTAAGCAATGCCTCGATAAGCTGGCAGCCGACGAGGATGACTCGCTTCGGATGCTTAAGTTTGAAGCGCTCGTCAGGACGAAGTGGGGCTCGGCTAAAGCGATACTTAAAGGGTCTGTAGAAGGACATGAGATACTTAAGAACCTTAGGATATTTCTCTTGGATATCAAAAAATCTTTTCTGGTCTCGAAGCGGGCCTTGGCATAGGTGTGAAATCTGTGCCCAATCCCAATCCTCGTAGTCTTTCAGAGTAAGCAATTTTGTCCTGGAAATCAAAGTTTTTAGATTCGCATCATCCATCTTCATACGATTTTCGATTATCATATCTTTTACATGAGATTTAACCTCACTTCTTTTGCGTTCTCCCATGTGTGTTTTCATTTGAAGTTTTGCTGCAGTTTCGATTTTGTAGATTGATGTTAATGAAAGCGACTTTTTGTAGGCATTTGAAAGGTGATCTTGGAAAAGTTGTTTCGGAAGTAATTCCATTGAAAGCTTGAACACGTTCGTGAGAAGAAATGTTGCTTTCGAGGTAACTTCCTCATCGGTATTCTTATCAATGATATCAAAGATTAAAGGTACCATACCTGAGGATAGTAGCACTTTAAGAATCAAACCTTGGTAATGAGATATGACTGTCCTCTCAAAACTATTGGGAGGAAGCTCGATATATTTATTGTCGACTGTGTCTGTCAGTTGGCCGCCAGGGCTCAAAAAGACATTCAAGCTGGTAATCAAGTCATAAATCGAGGAGTCCTCGAGCCAAGGGAGTGCTTGTATGCGAAGAATATCAAGCAAAAGGTCCATGATGATATTGCGAACCTTGTTGCTATTACCCTTGAGCTTCGAAACAATAATGCGGAGAGCCTCAAAGTCATTGTGGGAAAAGCAGATAATACCAGTCCAACATTTAAGAAACACAGAAATAAGGAATGTGACTTTTAGGGCTCTGTTGTGAAACTTTCGCGTGTTGGACAGCTTACTATGATCATCGTCATCCACTAAGGAATAAACGGATGTGAGCGAGGTGAGATCGAGACCATTCCGTAGAAAGAGTCTTGCTTCGGGTTTATCAAGGATCGACATTAAAACAAGAAGACATGAAGTGGCGATATCGGAGGAGCCGTTGATGATAAGCGTTATCATTAGGCGGAAGCCACCGCCGTGAAATACAATATGTGGCTTGAGAACAGCAATTTCACATATTGTTTCGATGCAAAGTTTAGTGAATGACGAGGGAATAGCAAATTGGTCATTCTGTGGAGCCGTGGGAGGAGCATTGGGGTTGCCGGTCTCGTCAGTTTCGTGTTCAATAATGGATACCAATGCTTTAATCACACCGACGGAAATGAAAGCAGCACCATCGGGGACATTGAGGAATTCACGAACAAGCTTAAGAGCTTCTTGTTTCTCTAATAATGGACAAGGAACGGAAAGGGATACAATGATGGAAATGAGAATCTTCAGCTGCACCATGAACAAAATGGAATCCAGGGTAGCGACCGAGTAGCGTAGGACCCTATAAGCGGCACATCGTAGTTGGGGCGCTGGATGATAGAACATGAATTGGATTCTGTTGACGACCATATCAATGGCCATGTCGTGTTTCAATGAAGGTGTTTCTTGTAGGAGCTCAACTAGCTGGTTGCACTTGGTGATCACCAAGTAAACATCATCCTTTTCACGGACAGATAAGTTTTGAAGGATTTCCGTGAAGGTCCATGATGCTGCCTCCACGTTCTGCTCGGGCAGGTTGGAAGGACGGATATTCTCTGCCCTTTGATAGCCCTTGGAGTTCTCTATAGAGCTTATGTTTAAACTGTCAAGGGTATATGAGCGCAACCGCGTATCGCTGGAAGGCGAGAAGGAGGCCTTATCTAGGGGGTCCGGGGAGAAAGAAGCTAGAGGGGACCGCCCTGGCGCCAGGTCTTCAGCGGGCATTTTGTGTTAACGAAGGTGGAACGAAGCCTAGTGTGTACTATAGGGTACCTGCGTGTTGGAGTTTCCTGTTAACCTCTGTACAGTGCGTAGGGAAGCTGGAGAGGGATCTTGATAGAGAGAAAAGAGGATGCAAGGGCAAGGCAAGGGACAAAGCAGGGAAAATATTATTTACGACATTTACTTGAAGTGGTTTAATTGAAGATCTAGGGAAAGTATTGGAAGGTTGGAGTGTCACCTGAGGAGAAGATTACAGTTGTACTGTGCGAATGACAGCTGGTTGCAAAAAGGGTCCAAATGTAGAGAACTGATAATTGGGAAAGTGAAAAATGAAAAATACTGAAAAACTGAAAAATCCTAAAAAAATACGAAATACCTTAAGACCAAGCCACGAGAACCCATCAAAAGAAAATTCTCTGCCACAGCAAATACCAACCACAAAATGGCTTTTCAAAGATCTGTAGATCGTCCAACGGGTAACACTTGGCCATGGTATGGGAGTACCACCCACCCGCCCAAGGTGCGCGACGTTAATTAACGGTTGACAGGCAATGTCTGAGAGTAACGCAAGCGAAGCCAGGCAAATGCGAGTACGTGACCCACTGGAGGCTTACCAGAAGAATCAGGGATTCCTCTTTCTTCCTTCTACGGCGAAAAGTCGGCTTTAGCCGAGAGGGGAGACGGTGTCGAAGTCAAACCAAGTGGGTAAGTAGGGGTAAAAAAAAACGGTGGAGGCAGGACTGTGGGAGGGAGAAAGTATCAAGAGACAAGAGCAGAAGAGGCAGAAGGGCAAGTATTGCCAGGGCTGCGAGTGTAAAAGCATGGAAAGTTGAAGAATGCGTGACATGAGCAAGTAGACTTTTTGTCATTCCTTTCTTTTTGCCCAACGGTTAAGGCGTGGGACCATAGTGGGAGGACCAATTGAGGGAATTAAGCAAGGAAGGCTCAATGTGGTGGTGGAGGGGCAGGTAGAGCCAGGCAGCCACAAGGCGCGGCAGAAAAAGAGTGAGGGAGCGAGGGAGTGAGCGAGCGATAGCAAAAAAAAAAAAAAAAGGAAGCAAGAGGAAGCAGAAAGGGGTATTTTAGGTTGGTCACGGTCACGAGAGGGCGGTCAGACAAAACACAAGAAAAAAGTGGAACTTGGGAAAAAGGAAGATAAGGAATTCGTTTCGATTGAGAGGGGGGTGAGAAGGAGGAGGTGGAGGACGCAAAACCGTGTCCAATCAAAAGAAGAGGGATTACTGTAGAATTGGGAGTGGCTGCGAAAAAGGAAAAGAAAGGAAGAGTGGGTGGGCAAGAAACGAGGGAAAAAAGAGAAGGTTGCCATTTTTGTGACGGCTAGCGGCAGCAGCAGAAGCGGCAGCAGCAGTGGAACAGTCGGCGTGATCGAAGTGGAGACATGCGACCTGCAATCTGGCATTGGGGCGGCACTGGTAGTGGAAGTGCGACATTTTTTGTTCATATTTTTTTTTTTTAGTGGGAGTGCTCATTCATTTTCAACTTTAACCAAAGGGCACTTTGTTTAAACCAATCAATCAATGGTTGTGGAAATGGGCTTGTGCGCGACATTTTTCTATTTTTTTTCTCCCTCAATGGTCGTTCTCGCTGCCTCACTGGCCTTTGTGGTAGACCAATAAAAACGACATTTTCCTTTGTTACGCTCACCCTGAAACCATCAAAAGCCAGGACCCGATGTTTTTTTCACTTTTCTTCTGAAACACAGGAGTAGTCTAAACGGTCAATTGTTTACAGTGACTTGTAAATCCCCGGTTGAAACTCAACTTTTGAATTTGCCACAACTGCAATGTCGTGCTGCTACGGTCACCTCTACTCTGTCACTCTGTCGTCGGTTGTGGGCGCTGTACTGCAGAACTGTGCTGGGTATATTTCCCATAACGCTATTTTGCCGTGGTTAGTAAATCTAAAAAAAAAAAAAAAAAAAAATAATGTATGTGGGTAAGTGAGGATGCTTTTTTTTTTTTTTTCCTAGTGTTATCTCGGGTTTGTGATTATGTAAGCCCCGCATTCATTCACTCCAGAGGCTCGCTCTCACTGTATTCCTCGCTTTTTCCCCAAAATTGGTGTTTCATTTCCCTCTCTCTTTTATTAACCCCCTTCCCCCAATCTCCTTCTTATCAACTTCTTGCTTCCACTTGCAAACCTTTTTTTTTTTTTCTTTCGAAAGCAGCTGCGTCTTCACATCAACACAGCTTAGCTAAAAAGGACTTGTTACGTCTTGCTTTTTCAGTTCTTATTCATATTTCCTCAAGCTTCTTCCCGATTGCCCATTCGCTGGAACAAGCCTGAAGCTAACTCAGTTTCCATTTCGAAATAGACAGAAACTGACAACATCCACACCTCCATCCAACCAGTGAACATTTTCAGCAAATTCTGTTTCTGCTGATTCTATTTTTTTTTTCCTGGTCCAAAATCTAAGGGATTTCCACTGACCTGTGTCGCCGGCAACTCCTTACGTCATTTTTTATTTTTTTTTTGGAATTCCACTGTGACCCAGCTTCCAATACTAAATAAAGCCTTCCGGTTTTCTCTTTGAAACCAAAGGTATTCCAAACCCCCCATATACATTTAATTTGTTGCTACTAACGTGGTAACCCGCTTTGGTTAATGGCTCTTTTCCACAATAACACCGAGAATGCCCAGCCGCCTTCGGCGGGTAAGAGACGGTTGTCAATGTTTTCCTTTGGCAGCCTGACCTCTACTGCTCAAAACAAAGACCTGAACCTTTCGACTTCTCCTAATTCGGGTCAGCCAAAGAACGTTGCTGCCCCTAGCACCGCTTCTTCCGGTGATGCTGTCTCGCCAAAACCTCAACCACCACAGATCTCAACTACGAGCAGTACCACTAGTGCTCCTCAAAAGATCTCCGCTAGATCCCCGGGCCCTTACTCGCCGTCCGTGCTGGGCTCCAAAAACACTCAACTAGGGTCCCCTGTCTGCTCACCGTTGTTCGAGACGGATTCCTTACTGGAAGCCCCAAGTTGTAACATTTTTGAAAGATCTGTCCAGGATTTGACTGGTCAGGTTAAAAATGAAGACTGTATCCCCCCTGCTTTGGACGCCACTGCTCATATCTTGACCGACAAACAAACCAACTTGGACGAGGTCGAGATGGTCTACTCCAACAGAAGAAACTCTTCCGTCATCGGCTTGAACATGGCTTTGGGTAGACCTTACACTCCTTCCCGTAAGAACAGTGTCATCTCCATGTCTCACTGCAACCCATCAAGCAACGGCGGTAATGCACCAGGAAGCTTGAAGGATAATTATAACCCAAGTAACACCGGCTCCCAGTCATCGTTGACCAACGCTCCCCCACCTCAGTCGCCTGTTTCTCCTCCAAAGTTGAAGAGTTCCAGGTCGTCTGTTTCATTCTATTCTTACGCTGACATGATCAACAATGACGAGTTTGCTCGCAGACCTTCCATAAAACATTCCATGAGTCATGGAATGGCCCCAACTGTGAACCGCAAGATGAGTGTTGCTTCGAACCATTCTATTGCTTCCAACCCGTTGTCTTGCAACACTGGCGCTGCTTGTGGGCAGAACTCGGCAAACCCGGGTAGTGCTCACAACATGTCTTCTTTCTCATTAAACAAGTCTTCGAGAAAGTTGGCTGCAAACTCGACTCCTTCCCTTCCTCAATCCCAATTGACGAAACAGATTGCTCAGAGGGACGCCCGCCAACCAACTTCGGGAGTGCCATCTAGGAAGTCGTCGAAGAAAGGTCAAAGCAAGTTGAACAACTTCATGATCAGTCCGGAATCTAGTGAATCAGAAGATCATGATATCTACTATCCGGCTGCTTCCAATTCAAACTCGCCTGCAACTACACAGAGGAGGTCCTCTATAATTTCAGGCGGTTCGAACGCTAATGGGGATGATGAGAGTTTGGTGTCCTCGTCTATTGGCGATTGCATCAGGCAATGTACTACTGACATTGTAGGGATTAACTAACGTTGCCCTAAAATAAAGTTTGCTTCAACTTTGAGGTTATGAAATACTCAACAGAAAAAGTATGAAAGGAAAAAAGATTTTGAAAAGAAGTTACAAAGGAGGTTGCATAATGAATATCATTCACCCGCAAGACGCCCGTGAAAGTTATTTATGCAAAATTTTATTTCTTCAGAGATAGGTACCCAATCCTTTTTAAAGTGGTTTATAGTGCTTTTGGGATGGTATCAGGGGTTATGTTGACACTATGTTTATTCATGACTACTGGTACTGCTTGTCACTATCGGTGTGTGTATTCTAGTTCAATTGTTATTTGACGAGAACGTAGTTAAAAGACACCACTATGCACCAGAGCTCCGGCACTGTGAGGCTAATACAAGCACCTCCACAGTGAGCTCGTTTGACTAGACTCTTCACTGAAAGACCTGCTTAATCAGCCAAGTAGTTTTTCCTGTTAGCAGTTCTCACGAAGCGTCTAGTCTTCCATTCCACATCAGCGTCCTTGTTATCGAGCAAGCCAAGCCTAAGCTCGTGAAGTCTCATTTCAAATCTTGGTCCAACCTCACTGAGTTCGACGCCATCCTTGGTCTTCACGAACACATGGTGTCTCACACTAATAAAGTCTTCATTATTGATGAAAGTGATGACTCTCGAGCTATCTTTCTTAGCTCCGGGAGGGAATAAATGCTTAAGTATCTTGACAACACGTTGTCCCAATGCAGTTGAAAAGTTCTCGAAAATGAGATGAGGGTAAACTTCAGAGATGTTACCAATATTTGGCAAATCGTGTCTCAACTTAACATTGTGCAAAGTAAAGACAGCGGAAGGACCATGAGGGAAATGCGAGACGGTAAGGGAAGTAGGAACACCTCTATGTTCGTGAAGAACAATCAAGTCGTTGATAGCTGCTCTGGAACACAGCTTCACGAGATCAGGGATGACATAGGTACCTCTGTTCAACTTCATGGAGTTAGGGAACATCAACTTGATCTCTTTCGAGAACTGTAGTAATTTGGCAGATGGGTTTCTTGATGTCGTCACGATAATCTTTGGATCATTAATACCACTCAAGGCCAGATATTCGTCATCGATATCCACTTGTTCACTCTCATCGTATCTGAAGTTTTTGTGGAGGTCAGCGTCTTCACTTAACTCTTTGGAGAGAGGTTTACCAGAAGCAAGCGCAGCCTTCAACTTTTGTCTCTTTTCTAGTTGTGCAGTTTCTTGAAGCTCTAAAGACTTCTTGTACAAATATTCTCTTCTTTCTCTGGCTTGTCTTCTGATCATGTTGTTTGGTGTTGTAGGGTTTGTGAGAAGAAGCTCTTTTTCAAGCATCTCATCTCCTAACAACCTCTTGCATGGCTTTGTATACAGGAAACACACAGTACTAAAGGATCAACGAACAAGTTCAAATCCTTCAGTGACTTAATTTTTTTTTTTTTTTTTTTTTTTGATTTCTTCTTCTTGCTGTTCAAAAGCCAACTAGACTTTTCTTTGACTACAGGCTTTGATTCAAAGCTCCTGAGGCTTTGAAATACATACCCAACAGTACTCTCTATTTTCCACCTAGCACAACTCATTCTAGTTCCAATCCTGTAAATGCTTATAATACAAACCTATAAATGAATAATATAAATCAAGCGCGTCTATCGTTTGATGTTCCTTGCAACTCAAATTCCTCTGTCTCCAATCTCGTGGGAGCAGGGAATAAAGAGTTTCTACGGTATGAGGCTGCCTTTCTGGAAATGGCCCTGCTCAAACCGCGAACAGCACCTGAGACTCCCTCTTCACGATATGTGTCTCTGGTAGGCACTGACTCCAATGTTGTTGCACGCTGAATAGCGTGATGTTCTTGTACTTTATCTCTCCGACGCATGTTCTTGTCGGGTAACATAATAGCTCTATCAAGAGAATATGGCAATCCTCTATGACGCCCTCTGATCATCATTGCAATGATGACCAATTTTGAAATCGTAGTGAACTTGTATGTAAGCGACTGATTGACATTTGGATAACCCAAGGACAATCCAACTGTACCATATGCACTGATGACTTCAAACAAGATCGCAAAAACAGTGAAGCGGAGATCGTTAGCACGAAGATGTCCTCCCTCTGCGATGCAGATGATAAATAATCCCAAAAAGATAAACCACAAGTCAAAAGACAACTGGTTTCTCAAATGCGCTCCGATGAAATTTTTTGGGGTCGACTCGGGGTCATCGTTCTCTTCTTTAGCTTTTAGATAGATACCCAACGACTGTTCTTCATAAACGTTAGTCCTTCTGATGGAAATGGCCAATGGAAGAACGGAGATATACATCATGATCATGTAACTGACTTGAACTGCGGGATGCAACTGGGATAAATCGATACAGCTAAATCCAGCTGTACGGGTACTGAAAGCTTGAAATAAACCATCCAAGACTCTAAGCCCCTTAGGTGTTGAGCTGAGAAATGAGCTGTCCATATCAAGAATAACAAACAAGATCAAATCAACAGCATTCAACACCACCAAGATGATAAAAAGCCACCACGTGGGAATTGATGGGAAAAGAAGTGTAAAGCATCTTCTTGGATGATCAAGAAGGAAACCGAGCGATTCCTTAATCAACGACATGGGCCTTGCAATTTTGAACAAAACCCAGATAATGAATCGAAGCAAGATGGGGAAACCCGTGTTGCCAATCACAATGAAGAATGAACAGACGATGAGAACGTAAGGGGACTCATTGAAGCTGGACATGGAGTTAGGTGTAATAGTCAACCCCAAATCATTAAAAGTTGACTGGGCTGTAAAAAATGCCCACCAAATTGGTGAAAAGCCAAATGATCTCATTTCTGCAGCCTTTGCATCATCAACTTTGATGAACCCGATCAACATACAAAAAGCCATGACATGGAACCCGATGTAGTAAGCAGCTAAAATCTTGAGCAAAAGCTTAATAGCTCTGTATTCCACACCGCCAAGCTCATTCTTCTGTTCTTCAGTAAGATGAACGAAAGTGGAGTTTCTTCCGACAGTTGGCGTCCACGAAAGATAGTTGGTGCTCATTTGCTTCGTTAAACGGTTGTCATCATCCAGATCGTCCAGCTCTTCATCACTGTCATTGTCATTAGAATGATCAGCATTATGACCGGACCGCTGTGTGTTCGAATTAGTCAACTTTAAAAGCGGTGTTCTCCATCTTCTGATTGCCCTTCTGCGATGTGACTTTCGAGCACGAGGCACCCTTTCAGGTTCTGAAAACTTTGTCACCCTGTCTTTGGGAACTCCGGTTCCATTCACGGTGTCTGAGCCAGACGTCCCAGCCACAGGGCGTCTGGTATCCAATGGATCCTGGAACTCGTCATCTGAATCAGCGATTGCGTTACTATTAAGACTGAGGTCATCATTCAACACATCATCGTCATCATCGTCGTCGTCATCGTCGTCGTCGTCATCATCATCGTCATCGTCATCGTCATCGTCATCATCAACATCTCCATTATCATCGTCATCGTCATCGTCATGGTCATCATCGTCAAAGGAATCGTCGCCAGTTAATAAACCAGTATCATCATGGCCGACATCAGTTTCACCTTCGGCATCGTCAAAGTCCACCTTACTTCTGTTGTTCTCCATAGCGTCAACGAACTTTGCGGTATGCCGTTTTGACTGAGATTGATCATGCGTTTCACTATCGATAGATGCATTATCGTCTTCCTCGGACTTGGGTATCTTATCCTTCCCCTTTCTTTTCCTCCTGGCCGAAGAGGTATTGGAGATCGTCTTCTTGAGTTTGGCCCAATTTCCTCTGCTTCTCCGTTTTCTTAAACTCCATTTTCTAGCATTTGATGGAGAAAATGAGATCAGACGCTTTTTGGTAAAGATCGGTGTGCTGTTATCTCTTTCAATTTCCTTTGGAGATTTGATAACCAAAACGTCTTCATCGTTGAAACTGGACTTTCTCGTATGTTTGTTTTGTAACATGGCAATAGATTTGTACATATCAGATGGATCAACTTCTGCTCTTCTCTTCGAAGGATGCGGTAGATTACCGAAATGGATGGCATGGCCGTCAGTGGCCTTTGGATCATGGGGATCAGCTGGCGTCAATTCGGCAGCTTTCTCTATGTTTGATGATGCAGGTGACGAACTTGACGAGACCTCTTTTGTGGGCAGTCCACGGTGATCTAGGCCAAGCTCTTGGTTTGTTGCGGTGTTCATCCTAGTTGAATCTCGAGTGTTTGACCTTGCAGCCAAAGTAGCATTCTTTCTCATCTTATGGTCCAACTTGGAAGACTCGTTAATATTGTCAAACTGGCGCTCAAACCAGAAAAGTCTAATGAAAAGCAAGGAGCTGTGAATAAATATGGGCGTACACAAGGTAGTGAAAATGTAGACGAATATCTGCTGCAGAAGCCGTAGCTCGTTCAAGTTGACAGTATTAAGCCCCGCTTGTGTAGCAGCACCAGACATGAGGAATAGAATGTCAATGTATGCAAAATCAGCAATCGGATACACAATCACTGAACCCAAAAAGGTCATGAAGATGATATAGACGTAGTGGGCTGCCCTAAAATTCGGAACCACTTTCTTCAAGTAAGGATGCACGGCCAGCGAAACAGCCTGAATGGCATCACGGATCTTGTGGCCCACAGACTTGCCGTGTCTGTCTTCGAAGATTCTTCGGAGTCTACTCATTCCCCGTGCAATTGACTTTGCCATGAATAGGGCAAGCACCAGTTAATTAATCTTGCCGATAAGGAGACCCTCCAGGAGGCTTAGACAGTGACAGCTGGTTGGCGGGAGTGCTGTGTATCAAAATACGTAAAACGTGGGTAGCACGCTAGGAAAAGGAGCTTGTTGGAAAGAAGTAGTCTGAAGTCAGAATGGATGCTTCTCAGATGATGGTGTATAAAGCGGTTCTATTGTATCACAATTTTTTCTCTCTTCCTGTCTCGTTCGCAGTGACATGGGGCCCACGCAGGATTGACTTGTCTGAGATTTATCGCTTCGTATTGTACATAGTCCGAGCTGTTATAGTACATGGGGCGCGGGACTCTTCGAATTGCCTGTTTGATGTTTGCGCTAACTACTACTTTTAAATGCTTGCTTCTATCCTTCTATTGTTTGAAAATCATATGGGGAGAAAATATATATATATATGTGTAAGCGGGTGTGAGGAGGGGGACGGGAAACGCACTGAGTTTACCATTTTGGCTCGTCCTTCTGTAATTCAACCACCTTGTCGAGCTCTTCTTGGGTTCTGTGGCCGTACTTCACCAATGACTTCATTCTCATGGTCTCGCCATAGAAAATAAGAATAAAGTTACATCCCAGGGCAGCAAACAACACAAAGGCACTGATAGTACAGGTCCAGCCGACACCAATGTTCTCAATACTTCTCAAACATGTACCTGAGGCAACAGCGGCAGCCAAGTATCTGGAAAAGTAAGATGAGGCAACACCGTCACCGTGAAGTTCAGGAACAGAGTCAACACAGTAGGTGTTACTGGCTGGGAAAGCAATAGTTTGGGCGAGACCAGAGAGGAACATAAAGATGATAGGAACAGCCATACCTCCAACAGCCTTATCCACGGTCCAGCCGTAGATGAGAATACATCCTGGGTAGTAGAAGGTCAAGGACATCACCATCTGTCTAAGTCTGTCTTCAGGAACTCTTCTACCTCTCTTCTTGATCCACTTCTTGACGGTTCTGTCGGCGAGACGACCACCAAAGAAAGAACCAATCAAGTAACCAACACCAGGTGCCAAATAAAACAAACCAGAGTACAATGGCAGCTCCAAGTCAAATCTTGGGTTCAACACATAACGAATAGGGGTAAGCAACGAGTACATGTTATAAACCATAGCAATGACAATGAAACCATCAAGCGACAAGGTTGGGTACTTCAAGGCACCAATGATACGAAGAGGGTTGAACCAAACAAAGACAAACTTCTTGTTTGGTTCTACCTTGCGGGCTTCTTCCAAAAGAATCAGGTGCTTGGTGCGGTAGGAAGTTTCTGGCAAGCAGAAGACACCGAGGACTAGAATCACACCACCCAAACCGGCCATAACCCAGAAGATAACTCTCCATGAAGTCCAGTTCACAATGATACCACCAATAACACCACCAATAGAGGTACCGGTCTGTGCGCCAGTAACGATCCATGACATTTGACGGCCACGCTCACTTGGAATATAACAGTCGGCAATAATGTGAGCGCCAACACTAAAGAAAGCTGTAGCAAATAGCGCTGTTAAAGCACGGAAAATGTAAAACATTGCCAAGTTGACAGAAACAGCGACCAAAATAGTGCAGATACAATAAGCGATGCAACAGCTGACGAAACAGAATCTTCTACCATAAATATCTGAAATGGGCGAGAAGATACAAGGAGATAACGACATGAAAACACAGTAAACAGCAGCAGAAATATTAATCACTTCACCAGTGGTGTTGAAACGCTCGGCAATCTCAGGCACGGCTGGCAAGAAAGCGAGACCAGATAATGGCGACAAGAAACATGCAGCCGAGACAATGAAGACATAAAGACCCTTCTTTCTAGATGAGAACCTGTCAAACTTTGGGTCTTTAGAAATACTGTAGACCGACTGGGCGTCTGAATCTTTTTCATCAGTACCAGTACCGATGTCTTCTTCATTAGGACGACCTTGAGTTGCAGCCGAAGCATAAGACTTGATTCTTGACAATTCCCTAGACACAGCATCGTCTGCAAGGTGTGTGATAGGGACTTGTTCGTTATATGGAACAACGTCAGGAACAGACTCAGGCCCGGACTGCTCACCACTGGACAGCGACGACGACAGACTGAGTTGATGGACAGAGACGTTTCTTGAGTCCTTGAAGTCTTTCTCATCACTGTGAGAGTGATTGTCGTAATTAGGAGCGCTCATTGCTATCAAGATTTGATATTTGAGCGAAGGATAAGGTATTCAGAGAAGATTAATGAATAAAAAGTGATTCCATGGCCCACCTTTTATACCACTGATTACGCCATGGCGGCCCCGAACATCGCACCTCTAGTAACGCAGTTTGCAACCAGTGTTTGAAGCCCGCGGTTTGTGATCAGACGCACAATATTGCGCATCTGCCTTATGCACAAGAGGGCCCTCACAAGGGTCAGGACACACACACAAAACGATGAAACGGCTGGTGTACTTTGCGGCAATTATCCCCCAAACCTGCGCTAACAGCCACTTTTGGGTGCCTGGTCCCCTTGCGCGTGCCCCTTTTCAGCCCTTAGTAGATGAGATCTGTTTCACGAATTTCAGTCTCACATGAGGCCCTTGGCAAGACTGGTATTGTGGTCCGGAAGAATGTCTCGGCGAAACTACCACGGAGGATGAACAAAAACGTCAAACCGGCACCCAGCCCCCTTGTGGGCAGTGTTGACTTGCGTAGAGGTCTTGTACGCGAGCTAACTGATGGGCATAATCTAGCAGGGCCAAGAAAAAGTCCAACCGTTGAAACCTAAGATTTGGCAGATAAACTCTCCTGCGGTAGGTAACCACCTTTCCGCGCTGCATTGTAATGTGGGTATGTTTTTCCGTTTAGCTGCAAACCTGGGCCCCCCTCCCATGTGGCTGACTCGCTCGCATAATGAACGTTATTTGTGCCTTACTAGTTGCTCCGGGTTTATCCAAGAATACGGACTTTTCAGGATAGAAGACATTCTTCGGGCCTCAGGGGGTTCCTTCTTGGTCTCATAGGCAACTATACCCTATTCAGCCTGGAAGCCACATTGGCGCCAATGAATTTCACAGTATTGTAACTCAAATCCCATTTTTGGTGCAGTGGGATTCCGACTACTTCGCCATGGAGGTTTGCTGGGCTACACAAAGCTATCTCTACAATCCACTAAGTTATGAAACCCAACATGAGCAACAAAGAGATGTTGGTACCAAAATAAGTTGAAAAATTCAAATGCATATCCAGCCTTACTAGGGATGCGCAAATGCCAAAACTCCCTTACAGTTTGCATCTGCAAGGACCATGAGGTTACACCAGGTTGGTTGTTGAAATTGATTTTAGTATTCGGGTTAATTCGGATTCAAAACGGACAAACACTGCTGGTGCTCCAAACGCCCCTCTTTAGTTCGTATCAAGCCGTTCGTGGGTTCTTATCTCCAATAACGGCCCGTTGAAACTTGATTGCGAATGCTAACGCCTCAATACCTGTCTGGGCAGTATTCTGTCAGGGGTCAATTTTTCTTAAAATCTGGTCCCTTCGTTTATTATTTCCCTTTGATTTACTTGCTAAAATCACTGCCTCGACTCCGCCAGGGCGTCGCTTTTGCGGTTGTGTAATAAGGCTTGGCTGACGTACACCCTGGACGTCGTGCTCGTCTAGTGTGGCTTCGAGAATTACTCCTTCAAGAAGAAATCAATACTGCCCGATTGGCTGGGAATCATCATTAGTTCCCCGAGAGATCAAATAGATGGCAAAAGAACTAATTTCTTGCGCTTCATTGATAAACTCGTGGTGGTAATAGTTTAAGTACCACCTAAATCAACGATCTCAGTTAACTACTTCTATTAAGGTTTCGTTTTGTGACATAATTGTTCCGGTTGCATATTAACCACCACTGCGCAGTGGTTCACAATAGATAAATATTCTACAACCACGTTGGCCTTCATTTTTCAGCAAGCGCCCTTTTTTTTTCCAGATCAAAAAACAATTCTTCCATCGTAGAAGGGGATCTTCAGGCAAAACCTTCCATGTATGAAAATCGTTGGTATGCTCGATTTACTATCTGATCAACTTTGTCGCATAAGTTGTTCTAGACGCTACACCGCATGTGAGTTTACCCCAACATTTCGTAAAAGTTTAGTTACACATCCCCAGACCTCTCCACCCCTGTCCGACTTTGTGGAGCTGTTCTCTCTCTCAAAATGTGTGTTGTTCACACTAAATCGCTCAACTTGTGTAACAGTTCCAGACCAGGAAGTTGCGCTTATCACTACTGCACGAGAATTAATCCGCCGCAGGAATATACAACCACCGTTGATCATACTTATCCCGGTAAATCTTGACATATGAATAATAGAATAACTGAAAAAAATTGCTCGTATCCCTAATCCAGACAATTCCTGACAGATCATCCGTTTATTTGTGCCCATTTCATTACATGAATCCAGTTTCAGAACCAGAAGTCAAATGTTCTCAGAATGCAAGTGATTTGCGCGCGACGCACGTCACTATGCAATGTCTTCCGGACGTTATCGGAGGTGCCACCACCCTTGGAATTAGGAAAGAACACTTCAACGTTCAACTCCTAATGTGGATACTCATTTCCACAGTCAGAGATACTGAGACACATAAGTTAAGAAAAGTTACAGCAGGAAATATGGTGCCACGCCAGGCAACTTTGGAGATATGAATCTTGATAAGAAGCCTGTCAAGATAGCACTTTCTGATAAGCACCTATGCACCTCAGTTGCACATGGACTGTCTTGTCGAGCTGCACTTCTTTACTGGCTCCTTTTACGAATTTTTAAACTTCTGCTCGGCCAAAGTTTCATTGATCGATGGAGATAAGCTTCATGACTGGTTAAGAGCTCAAAAGTGGGTTTAGTTCTGGCCTATCAAAGAAGAGGCCCATAGGGCTGACTGCCCCTGAGTGGCTCTATTACGAGAGCAATAAGTGACTATTTTGCTGCAAGTGCTGCTAATCCTTCTACAATGTTTTTTCATTCTGTGAGAGATGCCAGTCCAGCCAATGGCTTCATTTCCCATTTCAGTCTTGTGAGTGTTCGCCACATTTCATTTTGTGTCAAATTACCTTAATTAAACATCCCGACCGCCTTAATTTGTGTTCATATTCGGCTCTTCATAACTGGATGAAGCGCCTTAGCGATCTTGCTCTTTTGGCCTACCGCTTACGACTATCCAAGCTGTTGATCCTTCTTGTACCCCTACTGTTGATAATATCTTTCTACTGAATTATTAATATCGGAGCCGTGCCACTTGGTGCTCGAAACCTTGCAGCGCTAGAGAGGTTATGTTTTTTGTCCACATGGCATGCCTTCTGTTTTGTTTTTATTTCTTTCCTGGATTAGTCTAACAAGCATTTGACACATCGGAAGTGGTTACACCTAGGGGGAAACATTATGCGGTTACATGCATAAACACTGGCTGTTTTTCCGCTCCGTTTCGAAACCAAAGAGAGTTGGGCGTGGGGGATCCACCCTGCAAGTGCTTACTGGCTCTATCCTTATGTTGTGGATTGGTTGTGACATGTGAAGATGCTGTTTGCAGCCAGTTCGCTCGTCTATGCGCGGAAAATCCTACTGAGTGATCAACCTCCGAATTCGGAACGGTTGTAGAAATGCCCACGAGTGGCCAAACGATCGTACAAAAAATGCATGGAATAAATTTCAAGAGAGATGAATCTTTCTCAGGTTAGTTGCATAATGGCATCGTTCCGGGGAAAAATCGGGGTCGGATTTACATGCGGTGACAGCAAAACGCAGCCAAAAAGGTACTCTTCGCTGATGTAGCATGGGGAGACTCGAAAGGACATTTGCTGTCACTTTTCTTCTTTCAAATTACTTGAGATATTTTTTTAGGGCTTATGTTATATCCGAATATATACTAAGTCTTTAGCAAAAGAGAATAATTTTGTCAGTGGTGATGACGATATTCCAGTAAGCTTTGAGATTAGCAGCTGTGTTTCTACTTGAGAAACAGTTTTCAATCTTATCTCCTCAATTAGATTTACGGCTTATATTTATCGCCGAAATAATAATTTCCACTAGTGGATGAATAATTATTGAAAGTTGTGGCTCAGCCGCGCGATAGATGCTAGGTTATCAGTTATAAGTTCTGTTTTATGAACTCAGTAATAGCTGAAAGTTATTCAGTGGAGCCTTCGGCGGAAAGAAGATGTCTGGATGAATGCCCGTCTGTTTATGTATTATTGTCGAAGGAGCTGGTTGGTATTCAGTTTGAATAGGTATAGTTACAAGTCGTGGTGAGACAGACCTGACTGGGGACTACTTATGTATTTCAATTTCCAAATTGCTTAATGGCGAGCCATTAAGAAAGACATAATAAGGATTCAGAGAATAGAACTTTTGTTCAGCTAAGCATTACTTGTCATACGGCCCTTGTTGGTATAAGATTTGTTTGTCCATTTCGTTCTCACAGATAGAGGCTACTATTGCTTTGACTAAAGAATTTTCAACATGAATCACCCGACAAGTTGATCGTATTCTAGTCCCCATTTAAAAATTAATCTCGCTTTTGGATTACAAAATTGAGTGATAAATATACTCACTCAGTAGATTTCGCAGCCGTGGTGTAAACTAACAAATCATGGACAAAATACAAAACCAAGAATTTTTGAATATTAAAATCACTAATTTCTACCAGAAAGAAGACACTAACTAATGTAAACCATCCTTTTTGTCAGTTCACTTAGATGGATATCCTTTTCGTAGAGGCGGCTCACTGCCATGGAAGAGTCACCTACATAACACTGCGTATCCACCAATGGACCACGGATGTGCCCCAACAGCATTATTCCAAAAATAGCCGGGATGACCAAACCAGCTCCACTAGTCCCCTCGACCAACCAATTTAAATCGACATATGTAGTTCCACCTCTGTGGTCCTTCCATCTGCCCACACCAACTGGCCCAAGCCTGCGAGTTTCAGCCAAGAGGCGGCTCAGCGACACGCCTTCACCGTTGCCTCCATTTCCCTGCTATCTGCAATGAGCTAACAAAAAGCCTGGCGCCAATACGTCACCTATCTGACCATCTTTTATCAGCCACAAAATGCCAATGGTCCTGGGCCGGACTCCCGCTGAGTCAGAGGCGTCCTCCAGGCACCATCGCATTCATGTATCTAAGAAGAGTCAGAGAAGAACCATCGCACAGCGTGAGTTGCAGCCATTCTTACAACGAATAGATGACAGCCTGAGAATCAGCAAGCCCTACACTAATTCATTGGGCTTTTTTATACCTACCTTTTGCCACTTTACGAATTTTTCACCAAACCCTAAGAGGCCGCCCAAGGTTCATCGCCCCCATATGTAGTAACTACGGCACAGAGGATGCAACAGCCATTACGCTTGCCCTCGGAAAGCAGCAGAACGTGATCCACCCCATAGTTAAGGCGCGCCAACCCGAGGGAATGAGCCCCCGGTACCGTCTGAAAAATTTTCCGGTAGCTCGCGTTATAAATACTCACCTTCATCGCACTTACCTCTTTTCTCTCTCTCTTCTCTCTTCTCCTCTCTCTTCTCCTTCTTCTCCTCTCCTCCTCTCAACGAAACTCAGTTCCCCAGACACATCGCTGTTCTTTGTCGTTTAATTGTTACTCCAGATTTTCCCCCAACTATAGTAACTTTTGAAGTATGTACAACTCCAGCGACCAGGGTTCTGACTTTGTTGAGAGAATTGGAGGAAGTTACGCTTCTTCTTGTAGCTCTTATCGAAGTCAACTCTCGTCACATTTTTATTATTAATTAATTGACCGATGAGGTTCCTTCATATCGCTTATCGATGGACACTTTTGCTTTTCCTTCACAGCGGATCGGATATCTCGTTGTTACCTCAATTTTACTCATCGCATCGCGCAGTTATTAACCTTCCAAGTTACAGGCTCTTGTTGGCTAATTTAACGTTCTTCACTTACAGCTCAATCAGTTTCTCTTTCCCCCCACAGGAAACCCTTTGGCTGTGTTAATTTCATTTACACATACTTCATTTCATTTGTTAAATTCCTACAGAGTCACTCCGCAAAGATGGCTAGATTGTCTGCTCCCATTTCTCCCCCAATGGAGTCGACCGGTGACCGTTTGATGACTTTGGAAACCAAGGATGGTGTTGCCTTGCAAGGTTACTCCTTTGGTGCTCCAGTCGCTGCTGCTGGTGAGGTCGTCTTCCAGACTGGTATGGTCGGTTACCCCGAGTCCATCACCGATCCTTCTTACGAGGGACAAATCTTGGTTATCACCTACCCTCTTGTTGGTAACTACGGTGTTCCTGACACCGACTTGAAGTGTGACATTGTCGATGCTTTGCCAAAGTACTTCGAGTCTAACCGTATCCACATTGCTGGTTTGGTTGTTGCTCACTACACCGAGGAATACTCCCACTTCTTGGCCAAGTCTTCTTTGGGCCAGTGGTTGCAAAAGGAGGGCATTCCTGCTATGTACGGTGTGGACACCAGAGCCTTGACTAAGAAGTTGAGAAACGAAGGTTCCACTTTGGGTAGATTGGCTATCCAGAAGACTTCTACCAAGCACGATGACGTGGTTGGCCAAGAGGACTGGGAAGGCTCCTTTGAAATTCCTGAGTGGGATGACCCTAACGTCAAGAACTTGGTCGCCAAGGTCTCTACCAAGGAGCCAAAGTTGTACAAGCCTAAGGACAACGTCAAGACTGACAAGAACGGCAAGCCTATTCGTATTGTCACCGTCGATGTTGGTATGAAATACAACCAGATCCGTTGTTTTGTTTCTAGAGGTGTTGAATTGTTGGTCGTCCCATGGGATTACGACTACACCCAGGAGGAATACGATGGTTTATTCATTTCTAACGGTCCTGGTGACCCTCAAGTCATGACCGAAACCGTTGCCAGATTGGAGAAGGTCATGAAGGAGGGTAAGACCCCAGTTTTCGGTATCTGTTTGGGTCACCAGTTGATGGCTCGTGCTACTGGCGCTGACACTGTCAAGTTGAAGTTCGGTAACCGTGGTCACAACATCCCATGTACTTCCACCATCTCTGGAAGATGTTACATTACTTCCCAGAACCACGGTTACGCTGTGGACGCTTCTACCTTGAATGAGGGCTGGAAGGAATTGTTCATTAACGCTAACGACGACTCTAACGAAGGTATCTACCACGTCGACAAGCCATTCTTTTCTGTCCAGTTCCACCCTGAGTCTACTCCAGGTCCAAGAGACACCGAGTTCTTGTTCGATGTCTTCATCAACTCTGTTATCGACTTCAAGAACACCGGTGTTTACAAGCAGGTTGCTTTCCCAGGCGGTAAGATCGAGGAGAACAGAGCTGCTCACCCAAGAGAGGACGTCAAGAAGGTTCTTGTTTTGGGTTCTGGTGGTTTGTCTATTGGTCAGGCTGGTGAGTTCGATTACTCTGGTTCTCAGGCTATCAAGGCTTTGAAGGAAGAGGGTATTTACACCATCTTGATTAACCCTAACATCGCCACTATCCAGACTTCTAAGGGTTTGGCCGACAAGGTTTACTTTTTGCCAGTTAACCCAGACTTCGTTAGAAAGGTCATTAAGCACGAACGCCCAGATGGTATCTACTGTACTTTCGGTGGTCAGACCGCTTTGAGTGTCGGTATTGCCTTGAAGGATGAATTCGAGAGCTTGGGTGTCAAGGTCTTGGGTACTCCAATCGACACTGTCATCACCACTGAGGACAGAGAGTTGTTCGCTTCTGCTATGGAAGAGATTGATGAGAAGTGTGCCAGATCCGAAGCTTGCTCTACTACCGAGGAAGCCGTGGATGCCGCTAACGCTATTGGCTACCCATTGATTATCAGAGCTGCCTACGCTTTGGGTGGTTTGGGTTCTGGTTTTGCTGATAACGAAACTGAATTGAGAGACTTGTGTGCTAAGGCCTTTGCCACCTCTCCTCAGGTCCTTGTTGAGAGATCCATGAAGGGTTGGAAGGAAGTTGAATACGAAGTTGTTCGTGATGCTTTCGACAACTGTATCACTGTCTGTAACATGGAGAACTTTGATCCTTTGGGTATTCACACTGGTGACTCTATTGTTGTTGCTCCATCCCAGACCTTGTCCGATGAGGACTACAACATGTTGAGAACCACCGCTGTCAACGTTATCAGACACTTGGGTGTTGTTGGTGAGTGTAACATTCAGTACGCTTTGAACCCATTCTCCAAGGAGTACTGTATTATTGAGGTCAACGCCAGATTGTCTCGTTCTTCTGCTTTGGCTTCTAAGGCCACCGGTTACCCATTGGCTTACACTGCTGCTAAGTTGGGTTTGAACATTCCATTGAACGAAATCAAGAACTCTGTTACCAAGTCCACCTGTGCTTGTTTCGAGCCATCTCTTGATTACGTTGTTGTCAAGATTCCAAGATGGGATTTGAAGAAGTTTACCAGAGTCTCTTCTTTGTTGTCTTCTTCGATGAAGTCCGTTGGTGAGGTCATGTCTATTGGTAGAACTTTCGAAGAAGCTATTCAAAAGGCTATTAGATCTACGGACTACCACAACTTGGGTTTCAACCAGACTGCTGCCTTGATGTCCATTGACATTGACACTGAATTGCAAACCCCATCTGACCAGCGTTTGTTCGCTGTTGCCAACGCTCTTTCTGACGGCTACTCCGTTGACAAGGTTTGGCAATTGACTAACATTGACAAGTGGTTCTTGAACAAGTTGGATGGCTTGATCAAGTTTGGTAACAAGATTGCTTCTTTCGGTACCAAGGAGAGCCTTCCACTTGGTGTCTTGAGACAGGCCAAGCAGTTGGGTTTCGAAGATAGACAAATTGCTAAGTTCTTGGACTCCAACGAGGTTGCTATCAGAAGATTGAGAAAGGAGGCTGGTATTGTTCCATTCGTCAAACAGATCGATACTGTTGCTGCTGAATTCCCTGCTTTCACCAACTACTTGTACATCACTTACAATGCTGACTCTTCCGATGTCTCCTTCGACGACCATGGTGTTATTGTTTTGGGTTCTGGTGTTTACAGAATTGGTTCTTCCGTCGAGTTCGATTGGTGTGCCGTCAGAGCTATCAGAACCTTGAGAGAGAACAAGTTGAAGACTATTATGATCAACTACAACCCTGAGACCGTCTCTACTGATTACGATGAGGCTGACAGATTGTATTTCGAGACTATCAACTTGGAGAGAGTCATGGATATTTACGACTTGGAGCAGTCTTCTGGTGTTATCATCTCTATGGGTGGTCAAACCTCTAACAACATTGCTTTGCCATTGCACCGTCAAAATGTTAAGATCTTGGGTACCTCTCCTGAGATGATTGACTCTGCTGAGAACAGATACAAGTTCTCCAGAATGTTGGACAAGATTGGCGTTGACCAGCCTGCTTGGAAGGAGTTGACTTCTATTGAAGAAGCTGAGGATTTCGCCGAGAAGGTCTCTTACCCAGTCTTGGTTCGTCCATCTTACGTCTTGTCTGGTGCTGCCATGAACACTGTCTACTCCAGAGCTGACTTGGCTTCCTACTTGTCTCAGGCTGTGGATGTTTCTCCAGACTACCCAGTCGTCATTACCAAGTACATTGAGAACGCTAAGGAGATTGAGATGGATGCCGTTGCCAAGGATGGTAAGATGATTATGCACGTTGTCTCTGAGCACGTTGAGAATGCTGGTGTTCACTCTGGTGATGCTACTCTCGTTGTTCCACCTCAAGATTTGGACCCACAAACCGTTTCGAGAATTGTTGAGGCCACCGCTAAGATTGGTAAGGCTTTGGACATCACTGGTCCTTACAACATTCAGTTCATTGCCAAGGACAAGGATATCAAGGTCATTGAGTGTAACGTTCGTGCTTCTCGTTCTTTCCCATTTGTCTCCAAGGTTGTTGGTACTGACTTGATTGAGATGGCTACTAAGGCTATCATGGACTTGCCAATCACTCCTTACCCAGGTGAGAAGTTGCCAGAGGACTACTGCGCCGTCAAGGTTCCTCAGTTCTCTTTCTCCAGATTGGCTGGTGCTGACCCTGTTTTGGGTGTTGAGATGGCTTCTACTGGTGAGGTTGCCACTTTCGGTAGAAACAAGTACGAGGCTTACTTGAAGTCCTTGATCTCTACTGGTTTCAAGTTGCCAAAGAAGAACTTCTTGTTCTCCATCGGTTCTTACAAGGAGAAGCAAGAGTTGTTGCCATCGATCAAGAAGTTGCACGAGTTGGACTACAAGTTGTTCGCTACTGCCGGTACCGCTGACTTTATCAAGGAACACGGTATTCCTGTTCACTACTTGGAGGTCATGGGTAAGGAGGAAGACCAGAAGTCTGAATTCTCCATGACTCAGCACTTGGCTAACAACATGATTGACGTCTACATCAACTTGCCATCTTCTAACAGATTCCGTCGTCCTGCTTCTTACATGTCCAAGGGTTACGAATCTCGTCGTATGGCCGTCGACTACTCTGTTCCATTGGTCACCAACGTCAAGTGTGCCAAGCTCTTGGTTGAGGCTATTGCTAGAGACATTGAATTGAACGTTAGCAACAACGACGCTCAAACCTCGCACTCCACCACTGAATTGCCAGGTTTGGTTAACATGACCAGCTTCGTTCCATCTTTCGATGACTTCGAGACCACTACCAAGGAGTCTTTGTCTGCTGGTTTCACCTTCAACGCTTTCTTGCCTCAAACCGTTTCTGGTTCCGTTGTTGTGGATGCTGACAGCTTGAATGACGCTATTTCTACTGCTTCAGACTCTGCTTTCACCAACTTCTCCATGAACCTTGCTGGATCTGCCACCAACTCTGAGGACTGTGCTGAGGCTGCCGAGAACGCTGGTGCTTTGTTCTTGCCATTCAACGACTTCGCCAACTCCAAGGTTTCGTCTATCACTGCTCACTTTGCTTCTTGGCCACAGTCTAAGCCAATTGTGACTGATGCTTGTGCCACTGACTTGGCCTCTGTCTTGTTGCTTGCTTCCTTGTACAACCGTTCCATCCACATCACTGCTGTTTCTTCTAAGGAGGACTTGGAGTTGATCAAGATGGCCAAGGCCAAGGGCTTGAGCGTGACTTGCGATGTCTCTATCTACGCTTTGTTCTTGTCCCAGGAGGACTACGCTAAGTTTACCTTCTTGCCTACTGCTGAAGACCAAGCCGCTTTGTGGGAGAACTTGGAGCACATTGACTGTTTCTCCATCGGTGTTTTGCCATACATGGTCGCTAAGGGCCTTGGCCACGACATCACTCCAGCTTTCGGTATTAAGGAAGCATTGCCATTGTTGCTCCTGGCTGTCAGCGAAGGTAAGCTCACCATTGCTGATATCGTGAAGCGTTTGCACGACAATCCTATCCAGATCTTGAACCTTCCAAAGCAGGACGCTTCTGTTGAGATTGACATTGAGAGAAAGGTGTCTGTTGCTGACACTGTCAAGTCAATCTTCAAGGACCGCAAGTTCCAGGGCTACATCGAGAGAGTCTCTGTCCACGGCGAGACTGTTTGCTTGGACAGCTCTATCTTGCCTGCTGACGCCTCTGGTAAGAACGAATTTGCTACCAGAGACAGATTCGGATCTGTCACCAGCATTCCTCAATCTCCAAACTTGTCGAAGAAGGTCAGAGCTTCTTTCAGCGAGGGCCGTCGTCCATCCTTGATGAAGGAGAGAGAACAGCCATCTCAGGGTACTTTGGAGAAGTTGGGCCACGAGTTGGTCTCTCAGCCACCATCTGGCAACTTGTCTGACTCTGATGCTTTGATCAACTACATCAGAAGAAACAACACCTTCCTCAGAAACTCTGTCTTGTCTGTTAAGGACTTTACTCGTTCTGACTTGCACTACTTGTTTGCTGTTGCCCAGGAGATGAGATTGGCTGTTGAGAGACAAGGTGTCTTGGACTTGTTGAAGGGAAGATTGTTGTGCACCATGTTCTATGAGCCATCTACCAGAACATCTTCTTCTTTCGACGCTGCTATGCAGAGATTGGGTGGTAGAGTTGTTGCTGTTGCTGCTGACTCTTCTTCTGTCAAGAAGGGTGAAACCTTGCAGGACACTATCCGCTCCTTGGCTTGTTACTCTGATGCCATTGTCTTGAGACATCCATCTGAGGAGTCTGCTGACATTGCTGCCAAGTACTCTCCAGTTCCAATTATTAACGGTGGTAACGGAAGCAAGGAACATCCAACGCAGGCCTTGTTGGACTTGTTCTCCATCAGAGAAGAATTGGGTACTGTGAACGGTATCACTGTTACTTTCATGGGTGACTTGAAGTACGGCAGACCAGTTCACTCTCTCTTGTACTTGTTGCGTCACTACCAGGTCAGAGTCCAGTTGGTTGCACCAAAGGAGTTGTCTTTGCCTGAGAGCATCAAGACTATGTTGAGGGAGCACAACATGTTGTCGGTTGAGACTGAGCAGTTGACTCCTGAACTCATTGCCAAGTCTGATGTCTTGTACTGTACCAGAGTCCAAGAAGAGAGATTCAAGGACAGAGACCAGTACATGAGATTGAAGGACACTTACATCGTTGACAACAAGATCTTGTCTCATGCTAAGCTGCACATGTGTGTCATGCACCCATTGCCTAGAACCACTGAGATCAAGGAGGAGGTTGACTTCGACCAGAGAGCTGCTTACTTCAGACAAATGAGATACGGCTTGTACGTTAGAATGGCTTTGTTGGCTATGGTCATCGGAGTTGACTTCTAACTCTAAGATCTTTTAGATCTAAATTAGACAGGTTTGCCTTTAAAGATCGTTTGGGGGAATGATCTTTGCTTTTTTGTTTGGCACCTTTTCTAAATGCATCAAAATAATTATGTTCAAAGATACATAAAATAAGTATATATAATATTATTAAGTTAAAATTAAGGATTGATTAATGGTTTTTGAAAAACATGTTTGCTTCGTTAGCTCTGTCCTGTTCACTGGTCTTCTCCAGACGGGATAAGTGTTGTTGGCTGCGCTCCGGAGAACCGTCATCAACATCATTAGATTGCATAAGTGCTCTTGCGATTTCGATCTCATCACCTTCAGGATTAACATTATGATCGAATTCAGAAACATCGGGATCAACGGGAACGTCATCGTTTCTATCGCGTTCTTTGGAAGAATTGTATTTCTCGTTGTAGTGGAATGAATAGTCGTTTTGGTATGCTCTGTGAGAGTCAGGCTCCACAGCAGAGGCAGCAACAGCTGCATAAGAAGGAGCGCTATGACCTCTATGATCTCTCGATACGGAATCATGATGAGTGGATCTCTGCTGATCCATAGAGTGCTGTGAGGATTGCTGACGCCTTTGAGCAGCTTCCACAACGGCTATTAGACCATCATCAAGTCCAGTAAGATCATGAGTCAACAAATTATCGGATTCACGATGCTGAAGACCATGTATAGCAGACATAGAGTCAACCTCATCATGACCATTGTCACGTCGTATAGCAGGACGCATATTCTGTGAACTTTTCTGGTTAGCAACATGGTTCAAGTCACGACGACTATCAGCGGGGCTCAGAAGCATTCTCTTTGGCACAACAGCACGCTTGATGGCAATTTCCTCTCTTGCAGACTCTCTGCAAGCAATACAGTTCTTAATCGCTGCCGCAACCGTATCTTTGATTCTTGTCCAGTGATACTTCTCGGTCACAGCAGACGTTGTCTTGTTGATACCTCCATGGTTTGACAAATGAACCTCCGTGCAAATTTGAAGCTGTCTTACGGGGTCACTGACAACCTCCTTGTCTCGAAGCATAAGCTTACCATTTTCTAGTCTATAATGAGATGCAGATGACCGTAGCCTAGACTTCTCTTGTCTGTCAGCCATTGCAGGATACTTGCCAGTCTCCAAGTAGAACTTAATCTTGTCAAACCTGTAAGCGCCAACCGTAGCGTCTGAAACGGTGACCAACTCTCGCCCATAAATGATAGCATCAACAGCAGTATCATGACCTTTAAGAATACCAGCAGACTTGACTCTTCCTATTCTCTTGAAATTAAGCGATTCCCAAATCCTTCTAGCAGAAACATTAGTTTCAAACACCAAATTGAAAACACAATAAGTGTATCCAAGTCTAGGTGCCCACTGGAGAAAACAATCAGCCAAGGTTCTACCAATACCTTTACCTCTGATACCAGCGTTGACCAAGAAGCCCGCAGTACAGATATGTGAAGCACGGCCAGGGTAATTGGGTTTCACGAAGAAAGTGCCTAAGCATTCCTTCTCCCATTGTTTAGGGCCCTCCAACTGTGCTGAATCACCGAGTACCATCACTCCAGCGAACGCGCCAAACCAATAGTTCTGAAAATTCAGAATGTGGAGAGTATCAAAGAAAGATATCGTGTCACCACGTTCAATCTCCATGTTGAACTCGTCACACAAGAAAGCCAACAACCCCGGCGGTAGCTCATCAGCATTCTGGATTGGATATATTGTGGCTGTTGTCTCTCCGTCCTTAAGCAAAACCGTGTACCTTTCAATAGAAGACATTGGGTTGTAGTCTAGTTGAGGTCGGTAATGCGGCGGGTTTATCACATCGTCTATTTCAGGCATGGCTGGCAAGAGATACGTGAAGATTGGTTTATTTTGCAACCGATCCTACCACCGTAGATTTTATCCTGTTGTGTATATCGTGGGCTAGGAAGCCGGTATGTTTTCTTGAAATTCTCATCAACTTCGCGCACGTGACTTTCCCGAATAATTTAAGGTCTAGCGATAGCCAAAACAATATGGCGATTATGTATTGTTTTCGCATCCATCTGGAATCCACCCTCTTATATCTATACTCTATGATCTAACTTTTGGTAATTTCCTCATAACACCTTTGGTCGTGGTGGACCACATTTAACCGTACCTGGAATGCTTTCTGTCCTCATAACCATAATGGCTTAAACAAGGTCCTTGCCATACATATAGGCACCAATTAGCTTTTCGTGCCCTTTAAGGACAGCCACATTCTTCACGTACCCGATCTGCTCAAACCCTAAGGCATCCCAGATCTTCGTACTGGCAATGTTCGTTTCAAAAACAAGGTTGAAGACACTGTAGACATATCCCAAGCGAGGAGCCCAGTCAAGGTACTTCCACCCCATTTCCTTCCCGAGCCCAAGCCCTCTTACCTTATGGTTCACGATGAACCCAGCATTGCAAACATGGGAGCATCTTCCGATATAGTTCGGTTTGATATAAAAATGGCCCAAATACTTCTCTTCCCAGAACAGTCTTGGCTTGTCGAAATCCTCCCGCAAGAGTTCTCCATTCACCAAGATGGCAGCCATTCCTTCGAAAAGATACGCAAGAAACTGTTCAAGTGTCATTGGCAAGTAATGCGGATACGTCTGTCCCTCGTCAATCACAAAATTAAACTCTTCGTGGATGATATCCAAAAGCGCTGGCGGAACGTCCTGAGGTCCATGAGCAGGGAATAGCGTAACTGGCCTGCCATCCTTGGCTAAATTGAACTTGCAGCTCTCTGTGATTTTAGGAGTCGTCTCATACTTCCTATCAGCAAAAGGAAGGGTCTGCAAAAATCCAAAGTCGTAGGTCATCGAAGTGGTTGGGACCAATTCTGAGTGTAGTTATCTGGAAGATTCTGTCGCCAATTCCGTAATTTTCGTAGGAATTTCGCTCCCTCAAAACTTCACAGATAAGACTACCAGGTCAACCAGAACCACTTTTGACTCCATAAAACGGAAGATTCATAACGACTTGGCTTCTCATAGGCTTAATTAGCCCACCCGAGTGGCTTGGCCTTGGGATGAGGATATGGTGGTGGTACTCAGACCAAGCTCATCTCATGTTTTCATAACGGAACGAGCTTCACCAAAACACACCCAAAGAAAAGGGAGTCATCTTTGATTAATTCTCCAAAATACCCTTGGAAATACCTTATTATGGTTTACCCATTGGGAAGGTTACTCTTTGCGGAACCATAGCAAAAAGTGATGTACGGCACACAAGGTGAATAAACGTCTGGCGTATCGCTGGAACGAAGAATACATTTAATCTCATCAACATCAACTATTCTCCACGAAACTTGACAGCTTCCCCCAATGGACGACTTCAGCAGAAATGGCGTCATCTCTGATGGTATGGATAATCGCACAGCTTTGGAGACTTCAGCTATACTAACATCAGTGAGCAAAAGAGATAGAAAACGGCATCAGATAGGCACCAGGCTCAGCAAACTAGAGGCAACCTTCAGCGAAGAAAGAAATGAGTACTACCGTATCATGGTTCACGATATCCAGACGGCTCTTACTGGAATCCAGCAAGGTACTGACGAGGAGTACTTGAACAAGAAACAAGTGCTTGAAGAAGGAAGAGACTATGAGCTCACTAGGTTACGTCTTTGGGAAGAGTACCAGGTGAAGCGAGTGGAGACAGAGTACAAGAAGGATATCGCGAAGGCCAAGGAGAACTATGATACGATGATCAAGCTTCTCAAGGAGAAGTTCTTCGATAAGCTTCAGAAACAAGTCAAGCAGCTCAAGGAAGATAAGCTCCTACTCAACCTAGTGAATGCCAGTCTGTGGAGCACACAGGGAGGTAACGACCAGAACATCTCTGCTCTAAGTGCAGCAGCTGCCTCGTCGTCTCTCAATATCAACGACCGTCGTTCGCTTCGAAAGCGTGAGTTCTCATCGCGTTTCACGTCGGGAGAGGCTGATGATTTATCCGATTCGGGATTTGGCACGTCCAACGGTAATGGCTTTCTTAGGAATTCTGGCTCTGGAGCAGGCTCTGCGGGCTACGCATCGTCTACCAACAAAAGAAGAAGGCATTATGCTACCAGATACTCTTCCAACGACGAGATGTCTTCAGGTATAACGAGTACAGGCAATGGCCCTCTGAGCAGCCACCTGATGAAGCATGCTAACAGTAACGGAGCCAGCAGTGGAAACGACAGCAATCTCAGCGACAAGGACTACGACGAGCTTAATAGTCTCATCATGAACAACGAAGAAGGAGGCGCCTCGAATATTTTAGCCCGCAGCACAAGCAAAAACAATGGCCGGGCTAACACTCGTGGCTCAAGCAAGCAATTTGTCGGCGTACAAGGCTTAAAGGTTGAGGAGCTCAACGACGACTTGAACCTTCTTCGGAACGCCATCAGTGTCAAGAGAGAAAACAAGTAAGGTGCAGCTGGCCCGCCCTGTAACATATTTCTATGCAAACAGCTTCTTTTTTAAAAAAATCTGCATTGACAGGTTTTTACTTGACAGCGAACATTAAATAACTTTGTACTATTACCTTATCGAATTAAATTGCTTCCATATAGAATTATTGCTCTTTTTGTGTTACCGGGCGCAGTGCAATGCAGGCCCACCATCGCGTTATCTAAGGAAGGTCCGGGAATTAGATGGCGCTTGTCTCATAATTAAACCAAAACAACCATCCCTAGAGCAATAAAGTTAACGCGCCACCACCAACCACCTCATGTCTGAAGAATACCAAGAGGACCATCCTTTCTCGGATGAGATGGGCTTCATGACACAGAAACCTTCTTTTTTCAATCGTCTTCGATTTCGCCTACGCTCTAGGCTACCACGACTCACGTTGCTCAAGAAGATTTGGATAGCGCTTTTCCTTCTGTTTGTTATTCTTCTAGTGGTATCGCTTAAGATTAGACTGAAGCGTGCTAGAAAGAACTTTGACGATGGCATTGATGTGCCAGACTATAATAACATCAAGGATAGACGCCTAGGCATGAAAGACCTAAGTTCTAGGATTGACTTTCCTTTCGAGGTTGGTTGTCGAGTGCCTGATGTTGATGCTCCTCGAGCGAACGCTTCGTTTGTGATGCTAGCTCGAAATTCAGAACTAGACGATGTGGTGAGCTCCATGGACTCGCTAGAGAGACACTTTAATCAGTGGTTCAACTATCCATGGATTTTTCTTAACGACGTCGAGTTCGACGATATATTTATTCAAACGGTTAAAAAGCATACTAAAGCCAAATGTGAATTTGGCACCGTTGCCCCAGAAAAGTGGAACTTCAGTCCTGATATAGATAAGGATTTACTTAAGGAAAGCATAGAGAGCCAGGGCGATCGGAAGATCCTCTACGGCAGCATGGAGTCTTACCATAAGATGTGCAGATTTTACTCTGGTGAGTTTTTCAGGCATCCGCTTGTTCGTAAGCATGAATGGTACTGGAGAGTGGAGCCTGATGTCAAGTTCTTTTGCGACTTGACATACGACCCGTTTATTGAAATGGAGAAGCATAAGAAGAAGTACGGATTTACCGTCGCAATCACAGAAATCTATTACAGTGTTCCTTCGCTATTTTCTGCCACGAAGACATTCATCAAGGAAAATGGCATCAAGGTGGGCACCGCATGGGAGGTTGCCGTCAAGCGCTTTAAAACTTTGAATGGCAAGAACGCGGATAAATATAAGAACTACGAGAGTTTGACAAAAGAAGAGTTTGAAGTGGCTGTCGAAAATGAGCTTAACTTGAGGACTCTTCTTGGAAAGAAGGGTAAGACAGACAAGGATTTGGCGGATGTCAAAGATTTCGAACATATACGCGATATTTTCGACGAAGCCAGGGAGAAGCCAAATCTTCATTTGGACAAGTTCGATGATGAAGAGTATAGTCTATGCCACTTCTGGTCAAACTTTGAGATTGCACGTACCGATCTCTTCCTTTCCGATGAGTACCAAGCATACTTTGATTATTTGGAAAGAGATGGCGGTTTCTATAAAGAAAGATGGGGAGATGCGCCAATTCACTCCCTTGCGGTCGCCATGCTTCTCAACAGAGAAGAATTGCATTATTTCCGTGACATCGGTTACAAGCATACGACCATGGGCCACTGTCCCAACAACGCACCTGGAAAACAACTTCCGTACGTACCAGCACAGAAACGGTTCACCCCTAGAAAGGATAGCACATGGACGAGCTTTTTCAAAAAGAACACACCGGATGCTACAGCTAGGAATGGAGTTGGGTGTCGATGTGAGTGTCCTATAGGCCATAAAGACGTGGAGGACTACTCTAGTACTTGCATAAAACGGTATTCATACGTGATGTCCGATTCATTCAAAGAAACCACAGCATTCGACCTTGACAAAACTGAGCATGAGGTCAGCAGGAAGATTGACCGATACTTAAAGCTTGGAGGCAAGTTTGCCAAGCACTCAGTGCAAAATGTATAAACTACAAATAAAAGCATATTTTTTTTTCGAGTCAATAATATTCTAATATACACTGAAGAATGGAAGCTAACAATACACAGCAGTTTAACCACCGAAACCGTACAAGGTTCTACCCTGTCTCTTCAAAGCGTAAACGACATCGAGAGAAGTAACGGTCTTTCTCTTGGCGTGCTCAGTGTAAGTGACAGCGTCTCTGATAACGTTCTCCAAAAAGGACTTCAAGACACCTCTGACTTCCTCATAGATCAAAGCAGAGATACGCTTGACACCACCTCTTCTGGCCAATCTTCTGATAGCTGGCTTGGTAATACCTTGAATGTTGTCTCTCAAGATCTTTCTGTGACGCTTAGCGCCACCCTTTCCGAGACCTTTTCCACCTTTTCCTCTACCGGACATTGTAATATAATATAGTTGATAAGGAAAGAAAAGAAAAAAAAAAGTCCTCACTTCAGAGCGACTACCTGACACTTTATACCATCCATCCATGTTTTGCAACCACGAGAATGGTGTCCTGCGGTGACGCCACCAGCTGCAGTACGTACACAAGAGTTTGTTTCGAGGTACGCTTCTCTCGCGCCAGCGAACGTTTGAGCGCCCACGAAAGTCAAGCCCTCGATATACACCCCCTCTGCGTAAAACCAGGCCCTGCAAAACGCTCACTTTCCCCTGCCACAGCAACTTTTCTCCCTCGCTGCGCGCGCCACTGAACCTGTTTTTTGTCTTTTCGCCTGGCCAAAAGTGCCCCATGCCTTCCTCCAAAGTCGCAAAAAGCACCTCCAAATGGGCCTTTTTCCAGCTTCCCTGAGCACTGCGAATTTCGTGTCACTGGCCCCCAGCGAAAAGTGAAGCTTCTTACCGCGCCATACTAAAAACAATAACAAAACATGGTGGGCTGCCATTCCGCACAAGATATAAAACTCGCAAGACACCTGCTGGAGTAGAGTCCCTTTTTTTTTTCTTTCTTACCAACACATTCACAATGGCTAGAACTAAACAGACAGCTAGAAAATCCACTGGTGGTAAGGCCCCAAGAAAGCAGTTGGCTTCTAAGGCCGCCAGAAAGTCCGCCCCATCTACCGGCGGTGTCAAGAAGCCTCACAGATATAAGCCAGGTACCGTTGCCTTGAGAGAAATCAGAAGATTCCAGAAGTCCACTGACCTTTTGATCAGAAAGTTGCCTTTCCAGAGATTGGTCAGAGAAATTGCTCAGGACTTCAAGACCGACTTGAGATTCCAGTCCTCTGCTATTGGTGCTTTGCAGGAATCCGTCGAAGCTTACTTGGTTTCCTTGTTTGAGGACACTAACTTGTGTGCTATCCACGCCAAGAGAGTCACCATCCAGAAGAAGGACATCCAGTTGGCCAGAAGATTGAGAGGCGAGAGATCGTAAGCGGTGCTGGAATTGCTTATCTTTCACTTCGTTGGTCTCTGGTTATATGTAAAATAGTGTAAAGTATCGAATACACCGTTTTTGAAGAAACAATTTCTGTAGCTTTTTTGCACCCATTTACCTTGCACAAGACGAATCCTGTCAATGGTGGTGTTTCCTGCAGGTCGATGCCGCTTACATCGATACCCGAAGCAAAGGTACCCCATACCACCATAGTGCTGCCTTGTTATCCCAATTAATCTAATTAAGGCCGCCACTTCGCAATGCCTGAGTCTTCTGATATATCTAAAACTGCCATCAAATACGCCAATGCCGCTTCCACATCGCCTGTTCCCGCTTGGGCTCTCTCCGCTGCTCTAGTTTACCGTGGCTTGTCTCTCCAAAAGCCTGTGGACCCCAAGCTTGGTTCCGGTGGTTCCTTTGACTTTAGCAAGTCGGTCGCTGCTTCAAAACCAAGTAGACTTTCCTGCTTCCTATTTGGCGGTGTTTCTGCATTGGGTGGCTATATCATTCATGATGGCGACGTCCCTAACGGTGCTGGCTTCACCTTTGCCTGGTCCACCTTATACTTGATTGTCAATGGACGTCCTGCTTTCAAAAGTCTAGTTCGTGGCCACGTTGCTCCCCTCTCCATAGCAGTTCTTGCATTAGGTAATGCTGGCATCTACGGCAAGGAGTTCATCTGGCCATCTGAGTAAATTTGTGAATAGTTTTAATCCCACTGCAACGGGAGCAACCCATTGTCTTGTGCGTAATGTAAAATCCTGTTCTCGTCATAGAGTTCAATAAACTGCTGGTCCATTGGACGTTCCTTTGGGGCAGCAAACTTACGGTACTCGTCAAAAATGATCGTTAACGACCACTTCTGTAATCGGCGTAATACGCCAACAAGACATCCTGTTCGGTGTTTTCCACGGTTGCAATGAATGAGTATTGGTTGGTTGGCAGGATTTATAACAATCTTTATAGCTTCTGTAATAAGTTCACTGCTGATAATCACGAACGGTTCCTTGTTACCTGCCATGCCAAGATGAAATAGCTGAATACCCTCTTCTTCAAAAAATTCCTCGTGTGATTTGGGGTACTCTTCAGGTATAAGACAAAGCACCGATTTCAACTTGAGTGTCTTGAGAAAGGAGAAGTTTGGCTGCTGTGGGAATGAAGAACGGTAAATGTTGTTTATAACCGGTGCAAAGTTCTCCGGTGGTGTCAAGGGTTGTGAGATCAACTCTGCTGCCTTGATATACTCCACTCTAGCCTTTTCTGCTGCTTCTTTGTCGAACTTGTCGTCCGCATCCTCCTCAAACGTCCACTCGTCTTCCTCTGTAGTGGTACCGACACCTTCTTCAATTTTGATCCTTTGAAGCCTCGATCGGAGCGCTTCAGTCCCGTTTCTTTGTGAATTATGAGCCGGCAACGTGTCAAGTGTCCTTGGCTGTCCTTGAGCAGCTTGCCCTTCAAGTTTCACAGGGGGTCCAGATGGAGAGGATTCGTTGATTCTCGAATGGGATAGATCAGTCTCAAGACTTCGATTCGGCAGACCCAAATCCTCATCCATCTGGAAAGGGCTATCATAGTCGGCCATTTGTTATAACGAAGGTGTTTAAAAGGTGTGGGTGAAATAAAGGTATGGTCTGAGTCCACTGATTGTGCGCGATAAATAGCTTAGGCAGATCGCACACCTTATTCAGTGCTGGAAACTACTACACGTCTTTTCTTTCGTAAATAATATTGACTAAACAAGCTTGTCTCTGATATTTAATTCTGTTGTCATGATGGCACCATCAATGTCGTCAAGCATTCTGTCGATGGAGTCTTGGTCACCATTGGAATCGCACATGGTCTGAACGTCTCCCTTCTCTGTAGTTGGGCTTACTAACTGTATCTTTTCAGCTTTTCCTGGGAGCAAAGGCACCTCGTGGGCCAAAGTTTCGGTATCAGAAAGCTTAGAATCCCATCTTGAAAAGACGGTGTTTGGTGAAGAGGTTGGGTGCGTACTGTTGTTTGCTGATGTAGCCCATAAGGAACTGAAGGGAAGGTTACACACAGCCAAAATGACACTGATGTTGGCTAATAACGTCAGGTACGATGTGGATTGTCTATAATTGACAATCATCAACACCGAAGGAACAATGAATGTCTGGGTTGAAGTGATGATAAGGATGTGCAAGCCATCAAACTGCTTCAATCCCAAGTACCTTCTGGTTCTGATAGCCAAGGCGAGCTTCGAAATCAAGATAATACAAACCACATTCAACGAGGCCGAAAAAAGAATAACCGGTACATTATTCACCCACGAGTTTGTTGGAGTGACATCCTGCTCCATAAGTTGGTTTCTTAATTGTATAGCAGTCACCACTGTACTGTGGATGTACAAGGACACTATAGTGACAGCCAACGAGCCAGCAGCAGCTGTCAAAACGTACCCCAAATGCTTAACCTCAGGAGATTTGAAAATGACATGAATTTGGAAAACCAAAGTGGCTTCCACGGTAGCAATCAACAAAGTGTGGATAACATTAGTTGCAATATAAATGTCAAATGCGTGCCATCTTTCTTCAGGCAAAAGTCCTGTGAACTTGTATGTGAGCGAGCTCAAAGGTCCAAAAAGGAAGCAAAGGTACAACGCCGACTTGATGATCATAAGCACCATTGTGAGTTGGTTCAAAATAAACATGGGGGTTCTCTTTTTAATAATTACCACCCACGAAAGAAGCATCAAAAGAATACCACATCCAATGGCCACACCATGAACCACACAGAGCTGGAGCGAGCGGTCCACTGTATTGTCCAAAATACCGAAGGTAAGCTGGTAGATTTCTGGGCCAACTGTATAGTTGAGCACAATGTCATTATCTGAGAATTCCATAGAGAGAGATGTGTGTTGGGTGGAAGAGTTTCAAGAGCATTTCCAGTGGGCTTTATAAGAAATGGTTGCAAAAAAAGTTCCCGCCCTAGGTGTTTCACGCGCCTACCCATTTTGGCTACTTCAATGAACATCTGAGTGATGATGATGGATATGAGTAAATCTGAGTTATGGGAAAAAAATAAACCAAAGCCAAGCCGTATATGTGTAGGCTTGAAACCTCTCGTATATGAGAGATGCAAGTAATTAGGTTGCTTTAGGAAGTGCCCGAGAATGGATATACGATGGTGGTAGTTCCAGAAGGGCTCTCCGGGCGATTTCTATCATTATTCGGGCAAATTTTCATTTAATAAAAGAGACTATAGAGTCTTTGGATTTTTAAGATTCTGGGTATGACCTTGTCCAGTTGAAGGGGTTGTCCTGGTTGATCTTTGATCACTTGTCAGGTGGTGTAGCAGTCAATGCTCTATGAAGCAGATGTCAAACCGGGCCTTTTGGCTACCGCAATTTGATATTTGACTTACTTGAATAGTGACTATTAGGGAACGGTTTAAATGACCGTAAGCTTCTTTGCAGTCAAGGTAGACTCTGATTCAGATTTTCTTCACCTTTCGTCAAACACCAAATTATGGCCACACTATAATGAAAAATGAAAGCATATTACGACGCATAACAAAGGCATGGCTCAAAGAACAACGTTTCAAATGCCTAAACAACGACCTTTGAGTGTTTTCAAAATCAATACGTTGACATGCTATAACCAACGTTGTATGTGCTTCCTCTACGATGTCTTACCAGTAATACTCACCAATCCAATATAGAAAGACACTTACATGTTCCTTATGACAACAAGCGACCAGATTCAACTCTCCCCCACCCCCAAATCCCAACCAACATACCCTACTATAACGAGCTCGTCTCAAGTTGCACAAGTTTGCAGCCATATACATGTATAAAGGCACACAGAGCAAAGCCATTAGCTGCGAACCACTCACCACTACTACCAATAACCATGTACCCATCTACAAATATCCACAAATTACCGTTCCTGTCAAACCGCCAGCCAATGTCTTTCCCCTGAAAAACCTCCCATTTTCCGGCCCTGCCGAGCCCTCAACGTAACCGTCAACCGATTAGCGCCTGGCGTCGGAAGCCAGGCGTCCTGGCTAACCGATACTCTTTGTTTGCTTTAGGGGCTTTCACAATGAAACGCATTGAGCAACAAAGACAATAGAAGTCTCGAAGGCCCAGTGTACGAGAGAGTTTATAGTAGAGGATATATTGCAGAGAAGCGAAGAATGGAAGGACGAAAAAAAAAAAAAAAAAAAAAAAAAAATTAGAACACAGAACCATGTCTGAACAAAATAGCCTCTTTGGCTGCGAACTTTTAGTCCGGGTACCCACACCAGCTTCCAGGCAAATTCCCCCAAACCTAACCCAATATACCCCCAAAATGGTACTTTTTCACTTTCTTATTGTCGAAAACATATCCTATTCCAGCCTTCTCCAGTGCCACTTTGTCTCACGTGAAAACTATTGCCGACCGTTGACGGCACATAGAAAAACCGTCTCCAGTAAGCGTGTAGGGCTGTGACCCCCAGCCATGACCATCCGGTGGGAAATCCCCACCCTCAATAGAGCCAACCAAGAAAAAAATAAACTAGAAAACCATAAAAGTAGAAACTTTAGCAGAAGGATAAATTCCATAATTTCCAGGTTTTGTCATCTTCCTGGCTTAGACACCTTTTTTGGTTTGCCCTTTCTTCTGCTTTCCGTTTTTCCCTTGTTCACGGTCGCTGCTTGTCCCGCCTCACCAGACTTTCGCGGTAGGCACTGTTCCTACTTTTCCGCCCTGTCATCAATAAACATCGCCAGTGGTCTCCCTCCTGAAAAACGCCTCTGCTAATAAATAATATCACCCATCCGTGGCTTGAATTCCCGGGATAACTTATTTTCCATTTATAATAATCTGCATTCGCCAAACGTATTCATAAGCTAACTGTTTGCCACTTGCAATGCCAGAAAACAACGACTTCTCCATGGTGGACGTCTCCAACGCCGTGGATAGCATTGCTTCTGACTCAGGCCAGTCTACTCAACCAGCTAGAAGAAAATCTAAACTAATCTTGGGCGACGAAAGCGAAGAGTCTGAAAATATGCATGTGGAAGAGTCTGACAACCAGCAACCACCTCCACCTCCCGCCGACGAGGTTTCCAAGAAGAAGAGCGAATCCAACGGGCCCCAGGCTGTTCCTGACCCTTCTGTCACCGTTCCAGTAGACATCAAATGGGTTCAAGGCGGTGAAAAGGTTTACGTCACCGGCTCGTTCACAGGCTGGAGAAAGATGATCGGCTTGCAAAAGCAAGAAGATGAAAAGTTATACTTGGTCACCTTGGGTTTGCCTGTTGGCACTCATAGATTTAGGTTTGTGGTTGATAATGAGTTGAGGTTCTCTGATTTCTTGCCAACAGCTACCGACCAGATGGGTAACTTTGTGAACTACATCGAAGTGACTCCAGAACACGTACAATTGCATCTCAAACAGCTAGAAGAAGAAGAACAGGAGATGGAGCGTGAAGAAGAAGAGACAAAGCTGCGTCCTAGCAGGAGGTCCTCTGTCAGCTCTAGAGGCCGCTCTAACTCCGTTTTCGCTTTCACCAACGACGAAGACGATATGGGCGACGGTTACCTGAGATACCACGAAGAAGAAGAGGTTGATGACGCACCAGCAAAGATATACAACTACGTTAGCGATATCCCACCCATCTTCGAAGACCCAAAGGTCATGGAACAATACTACCTAGCGTTGGAGCAGCGCTCAAGGAACAGAAACTCACAAGACCAAGCTTGGTTATACGCTCCACAATTACCTCCACACCTTGAGAATGTCATTTTGAATAACTTCAATTCCCAAGACAAGGATAATAATTCGGGTGCTTTACCCATCCCAAACCATGTTGTGCTCAATCACTTGGCCACTACAAGCGTGAAGCACAATACTTTGGCCGTTGCATCCGTTATTAGATACAAGAGAAAGTACGTGACGCAAGTGTTGTACGCACCATTACAACAATAAAGAATAGAATGAAACATGGACTCTGATTGGTGGTGGAGATGGACAGGAAAACGAGCCGAGTCATATGGCAAGTCGAACGACAACCCCTTTTAGAATACGACTTTGCCTTTCCTTTAAACATACAGTCATGGGTGTCTATCAGATGCTAGAACCATCAACATTAGCTTCATATGGCTCTCTACTTGGTGACAAGCCGAATTCGGTGCTTTTTTTGTTCGGCAAAAAAAAACTCCCCTCCAGGATCATTCGCATGCATTGGGCATCGTAACTATGTGCAATTTGAGCGCGAGATAATGCACTACCGAGGAAGCAACTTCGTGCAAGGCAGAAAAAAAGAAGACAAGAAGCAGCACTGTGGGTTGAATTTTGTGGCCACAGTAATTAAACTCATCGACTTGGCAAACATTTCTTTTCCTACCGCCCAGGTTTTATTGCCGCGGCCGTGGTCATCGCCTGGTAGGAAAAAGGTCGTATCACCCCAGACTTTCCTGCAGTCAAAGTGAAAAAAAAAAAAAAAAAAAAAAGTTAATTAGGTAACAATTGACTGAGACGAGGAAAAAAACCTGAAAAATAACCATCAGAAAAACCTTGCAGGAAGTTCTTCCCATCTACCACACTCTTTAGCAGAAACACAACATCTCATGAGCAGGTTCTTTCATTAATCACCATGGGTTTCTCTAATTTCTTGCACGACAACTTTGTTCCTTACGTTCCTAAATCTCTGGAACAGCTTCAAAGGACCCTGACATCAGCAGATGTGGATTCACAGACGCTGAACAAGGGAGAGAAGGCCGGTGATGTGAGCTCGGTCCATTCGACTCTCACCTTCACTTCCAGAGACAGTTCTAACCATCTCCACAGAAGTTTGAGAAGCAGACATGTCCAGTTGCTTGGTATTGGTGCCACAATCGGTTCTGCTATCTTCGTGGCCATTGGTAAAGACTTGGTTTACGGCCCTCTCAACTTGTTGCTTGGGTTTATTGTTTGGTCTATTCCTATCTTGTGTATCACTATCAGTACTGCTGAGATGGTGACATACTTGCCCATCACCTCTCCTTTTGTTAGATTGGCTGGTCGGTGCTGCGATAACGCTTTGGAGGTTATGACAGCCTGGAACTTCTGGTTTTTGTGCTGTGCTCAGATTCCTTTTGAAGTTGTCACTGTGAACTCTATTATTCACTACTGGAGAGATGACTTCTCCCCTGGTATTCCATTGGCGATTCAGGTAGTGTTGTACTTCTTAATCAATATCTTTGGTGTGGCTATTTACGGTGAAGTCGAGTTTTGGTTGAGTTTGGGTAAAGTTATCTTGGCTGTTGCTCTTATTCTTTTCACTTTCGTTACAATGGTTGGCGGTAATCCTCAGAACGATGCTTTTGGATTCCGTTACTGGCGTGACCCTGGTGCTATAAGTTCTTTCGAGTACACGGGAAGCACTGGTAACTTCAGAGGTTTCTTGTCCTGTTTGATTAGAGCTACGTTCACTTTTGCTGGACCTGAGTATGTTTCTCTCGTGGCCAGTGAGACCGTAAACCCAAGGAAGACATTGCCGTCAGCCTACAAGCAGGTCTTCATTAGGTTGACAGTTTTCTTTATCGGAGGTGCCCTTTGTGTGGGTATCTTGGTGCCTCACAATGACCCTCTTTTGTTGGAGAGCCGTGGTGTTACCAAACCAGGTGCTGGTGGCTCCCCATACGTCATTGCTATGCAAAACATGGGAATCAAGGTGTTCCCAGACATTGTGAATGGTTTGTTGATTACATCTGCTTTCTCGGCTGGTAACTCTTACACTTACTGTTCTTCTAGAACATTGTACGGTTTTGCATTAGACGGTTACGCTCCTAGATTCCTCACAGCTACAACTAAGTCGGGTATTCCAATGTATTGTATGTTGATTTCGTTGGCATGGGCCTTCATCTCATTCTTGCAAATGGATCAAGGCTCAGCTGTTGTGTTGGATTGGATTATCAATTTGATCACCTCTTGCCAGTTGATCAACTTTAGCATTTTGAGTTTTACCTACATCTTTTTCTACCGGGCAATGAAGGCTCAAGGCATTGATCGTCACTCTTTACCGTTCAGAGGATGGTACCAGCCATGGTTGGCTATCTTTGGCGGTTGTATGGCCTTTACAATGACATTTGTTGGTACTTACGAGATTTTCATGCCTGGTGGATGGGACTACCAAGCATTTTTGTTCTCCTACTTGATGATTTTCATCGACATTGGCATATTTGTGTTTTACAAGATTTTTAGACGCACCAAGTTTAAGAAGGCTTCCGAAGTGGATTTGGTGACCGGCCTTAAGGAGGTCGAAGAGCACGAGGCTTGGTACTACCAGCAACTTGAGGAGAAGAACCGTTTGAAGGAGAACGGCGAGATCAAGTATAGCTTGTGGCAGAGGTTTTGTACTGTTGTTTTTGGTAGTGAGCTTGATTAAGCCTGCCACCACAGCAACAACAAAGACGCTTCGTTTCGTACCAGTCTGGTTTGCAACCCGGTGTTTACTTAGATAACTTTTTCAGTTCATACAAAAATTAGATCAGCAATTTCAAAGATCTTCCCACTTCGGTACTAGAAGCGTGTGGAATGTAGACATTTCACAACTCCCAAGTGTGAGCTTCCCCGGCAGCCGGGCTTACAAGGAACCAGAGGCTTAGCACGGTCTTGCTATTCCAACCCCGGCAATTGTAGCCAGGCTGAGTGATTCTCTCATATGAAATATAGCAAAAAGCTTAAACCTTGGTTGTCCAACCAAGAAAGGTTCGTGTTCCCACCTCATTCAGGTATTCGCAGCCAAAGGGTCATCCTGGCAGCAAGTTGTAGATCTCGTATAACAACACTTCCAAACACCACACACGAAAAAAGCCCAAAAAAGGCCCAGAAACCTCCCAAAACAGTCTCCCCGTCTTCCATTCCACGCTTCGGTCGCATTGACAGATTTCGGGTGGTTTACCCCCCTGGGAATTTACCCCTACCTTCTTAAAGGCGGGCCCTAAAAGTTGCCTGGCTGCGAAATCCTTTGCCTGGCCCCTCAGGCCGCCATGACACTGAGCGGCTCCCTCTGCGCATAGAAGGCTTTCTGGAATCTCTCAATTCACCATAAACCCTTAAATGGAAGGTACGTAAATATGATATAAAGGGATGTAAAGGTACTGGAATTGACAAATATCTTCCTTTTTCCTTTTCTTTTGGCCCTGCCCTGCCTCCATTCACCAAAGCCTTCTCTCCCGTTTGACTCATTGACCGTATAGCTTTTTTGTGTTCTCTAAATGCCTAAATGCCTCTGCTGCCTAGCGCCGCGCCGCGTTATTTTAGGCCAGACCCATACCAGCTTAAAAAAATTGAGCCATTCACATCTTCTCGGTTTATCAATACATACCCCCAAAGGCCAACCCTACTTTTTTCCCCCTTTACTTACCAAGTCCTTTTTTTTTACATCACATCAATACCAACTAGCGTCGGCATCAAACCTTATCCTTTGCCTTCCAACCTGTCCCAAACCTAATCACCATCCTCCAGCCATCTACTTCATCCTGTTGTCCTGCTCTTGATGCTGCTTCTCTAGGAAGTACTATATTCACCAAGCTTCTCCCACAGAGCAGACCGTTGATGTCTTTTCCCGTCCCTACAGAGCCCCAGCAGTGGCTATCGTGGGTTGGTGACCTAGCAAGGCGGATGACCGACTACGGCCAGAACCAGGTGAACCTATTCAGTGATTACCAGGTGTTGGTCCAAAGAGCCTTGGCCATATCCAGTTCTTCGGTTGCCATCTTTGCTTGCTTACTAGCCATTTACTGCTTCTTGGCTATCGACCCAAAACGCCTTGTCTTTCGCCACCAACTCATTGCATTCCTCCTATTGTTTGACCTACTAAAAGCTTGTATCTTGTTGCTATATCCAGCCCGTGTGCTTACTCACCCAACCGCATACGCCAACAGACGTTTCTGCCAGGTGGTGGGCTTCTTTACTGCCACTGCCATCGAAGGTGCTGATTTGGCTATCTTATCCTTTGCATTGCACACCTTGTTGCTCATATTCAAGCCTGACCTTTCAGTGAAAGTTCCTGAAACTGGAAGAGTCGAGGGCGGCTTGTATAAGTACCGTTACTATGTTTACGGGCTTTCCTTCGTTATCCCGCTCGTCATGGCTTCTTTAGCATACATTGGTGTGGGCTACATCTCATTCGTTTGTTGGTGTTACCTTCCTCAACAACCAGTCTGGTACCGGTTAGTTTTGAGTTGGGTTCCCCGCTACCTCATCATTGTCACCATCATACTTGTCTACGGACTTATCTATTACTACGTGCTCAAAGAGTTTAAAGCATTGGGCGGTGTTTTCACCACCATGCAACATCAACACACGCGAGACTCCAACGTCAAACCATCCTTCTTTTCTGCCTTGCGGTTCTTCTTCTACAATATCAGGGACTTTTTTCATGAAAGATTTGTTGTGCCTAAGGCAGAACGTGATGGAAATACTTCGAGTTCCGAGACATCTGCTGTTGAAGCCGTAGGCTCCAGAACCAAAACTGTCCAAAGCCTGGACGAATCCCCTAATAATGAACAACATGATCATGTCAATCATACACATAATATTATTCACGACCCGGAGTTGGAAGCTGCTAACTTGGCCAGCTTCAGAAAACGCCAAAAGACCATCGAGAGACAGATGAAATCCATTTTCATCTATCCAGTCGCATATGTCTCCGTTTGGCTCTTCCCTTTCCTTTTACAATGCACTCAATTCAATCATGAGAGAACACATGGTCCCGTTTACTGGCTTAATTATTTGGGTGCATTCATGCAACCCTTCAACGGATTTGTTGATTCCTTGGTTTTCTTCTATCGTGAAGAGCCTTGGAAGTACACAATTATGAAAAACTACGAAAAAGATAACGCATACCGCCTTGATCACTATGTTCGCCATCATAGTGGCGATCTGGATACGCTTGACAGACGCCGGAGATACAGTTCTTACAGTGCTGACATGGCTATTGATATACAGCAGTACTCTTTGTGGAGAAGAGTGTTAGCAAAGCTTCGTCTTCCCTTATGGGCTTGCCAACAGAGGAGAATATTGCAAAGTTTCAAAACAACTATTTGACCACCCGCCTTGAAGAACAGCGTTCTTCAGCAGGTCAAGGACTGGGTAATATTCAACAAGTCGAAGGAAACCCCGACTTCACCTCACTTATGACTAAGCATGATTTCTCCAATCTTTTGACGGGTGATCTCGCTGAGGGAGATTTCAGACTGACGCTTGAAAACTACTCGCTTAACTTTTCCAAAGAAAGAAGATCCAGCTACTCGTCTCAAGGCCGCAACGAATTGAGAACAAGCATCACGTCGCCCTCCAATAAGTCATCCAGATCAAGAAGGTTCTCCACCATGGATCCTCACGAAGCAATTCCTGAATCGAAGGAGTATGTTCCGCAGGAGTCCAGTGCTGGTAACCGTAAGGGAACTGCCTCATATGCAAATAGCAAGAGGCCATCACAGCGTAGTGAACGTTCGGGCAGCGAAGAGGTCGAGCTAGATTTCCTACAGTTTCTACGTGATGGCCCGTAAATCACCTAATTTATTTTCGATCCACATAGAATTCTCAACAATCGGCGAACCGTGTTATTTCCCCATACTTACCCAAATACGAGTATGTGAAACCTTATGATACTGGGGAAAGACATTGTGCGCACCGAAAACTGCGATGAACTAACTTGCTTTGGGTCATACTAAAGCAGCAATTTCGCAGCCACACCGGTCAGCCGCTCGGCGTCACTAAATGCTAGGCATTTAACACTAAATCTCGAAGGTTCAGGGGCAAAACCGTATGTGGACCACTCCACCGTCACTCCAGGCACATTCTTTGTATATTCTATTGTGTATTAAAAAATCCAAGTAATACATTATCGGCATTCAGAAGCTTGTATAATTAAGCATCCGCATTATCTTGACGGGTAGTGAAGACGAAAAGAACCGACTTACGCACAGACCAGAAAAAAAAAAAAAGTCACCCACTCATAGCGCAGCAGGTGATATAACCCCCAAACTTTCAAGAACCATCTCGATGTTCCTTTCGTTTACTTGATTCCCATATATATATATCTAGCACATTGGGACCATCTTAAAAGCTAAATCGAGCTTACTTCTTATCTTGCATTGCATTCCACTACACTTGATTACAGATCTAGCATCTAGCATACGGTAACACGTACACACATAAATATCACTAAAAGAACACGATGGTGAAAGCTGAAATTCCTGATTTGGAAACAGCAAAGAAAATCAAAAAGAAGTTTATCCAGAGTGACGCTGGCGATGGCACAAAAGCCACAGAACAATACATCCATGGCTACAAGCTAGCATTTACCTTGCTAAGCATCGTGGCTAGTCTTTTCATTGCAGCACTTGACCAAACGATTGTTTCCACGATCTTGACCGAGATCAGTGAAGAGTTTGGTAATTTCGATAAGGTAGGCTGGCTTACCTCCGGATTTCTTCTACCCACGGCATGTTTCATGCCGCTGTATGGTAAGATCTCTATTGCCTTTGGCAGAAAATATACGCTCATAGCGGGCATTATTATATTCGAAATCGGCTCGCTCATTGCTGCTTTGGCCAATAGCATGGATATGCTTATTGGTGGTAGAGTCATACAAGGTGTGGGCGGAGGTGCCATCCAGTCCATGGTGGTGGTGGTGCTTTCTGAGTCCGTGCCTATTAACAAGAGACCATTGTCCATGGCCTTGATTGGTATCACCTTTTCTGTTGCTTCCGTTGCGGGGCCCTTCATTGGTGGTGCTTTTGCTTCCCATGTAACCTGGAGATGGTGTTTCTGGATTAATCTTCCGATCGGAGGCCTTGCTCTAGTGATGCTTGTATTGGCCTTCCACCCACCCAGACCAAGAGGCAGTTTGAGAGAAAAGCTTAAGAAGATTGACTACCTCGGTACCTTCCTTTTTGCTTCTGGTCTTGTGCTCGTGCTTCTTGCCTTGACCTTTGGCGGTAACGAATTCCCTTGGAAATCTGCTGCTGTCATTTGCTGCTTTGTCTTGGGTGGCTTAATCTTGATAATATTCATCTACTACAACTTCTGGGTTTCTAAGAATGCGCTTATTCCAAAAGAAGTTGTTGTTGTCCCAAAAATTTTGATGGCTACACTGACAGCTGTGTTCAACTTCTGCTTTTTCATGGGCATTGTGACCTATTTGGCTATTTATTTCCAGGTCATCTGGCAAGCCACTCCTTGGAGATCTGGTATTGACATGCTTCCATTTATCATCAGTGTTTCCCTCTCTTCTGTTTTCAACGGTGTTTTCATGCGTTTCACTCGTTACGTGAAGATCACTATGGTCGTGTCAGGTGTCTTGGGTCCTGTCGGTGTGGGCCTTTTCCTAATTCTCGATACAGATACCCCTTCTAGTCAGAGAATTGGCTTGCTTATTCCTGCCGGTGTATCTGTCGGTCTTATGTTCCAAAGTTCCATGATGAGTGCCCAGCTTGAGGCTCCGGGTGATGTTCCTGGCTCCATGATCTTGGTAACGATCTTCTTAAATGCCATGAAAACAGTTGGCGGTGTTATTGGTGTCGTCACCTCTCAGTTGATGCTCACTTCTCGTGGACAGAAGTACCTAGCCGATGTCGTGTCGTCGCATGAAGAGCTCTCTCACCTTTCGCCAAGACTTGTCATTCAGGCTCCTGCTATGATTTGGGATTTCCCGGTTCCTGCCAGGGATGATGCTCTTGATGCTTTCATGAGTGCTCTTACGGATGTCTATTATCTCAACTTGGCATTCGCAAGTATTGCTTTCATCAGCTCTCTCTTTACAACTAACAAGAAGATTCCAAGCAAGAACCAGATTGGACACAACGACGACCCAGAAGAATCAAAGGAAGATGCAGCTACAGACACTTCAAAGGAATTATCCCAAGGTCCGTCATCCGAAGAACCCTTGGAGGTAGATCAACCAACAGAAAAAAGAAATGAACAATTATAGATGCGATAGTTAATATTACAAATAATACATAGGTTGAAGGTAAAAGAACTCTCCAGCAAAAATTGTACAATCTATCATTGGAGGCTGTTCATGTCAGACAAGTAAGATCTTATGTGAGCGTTAAGGCTGGCCACGGCGGTTTCGATGTTTCGCTTCTCCCGATCGAATGATCCGACCATCTTATTAATGTCTTCCTCCAAGCTTTGAATAGTGGCCCTATTCTGGTCCATTTTCTTTTCACGTACTCCACGCTCGTCGGTGAGTCTAGCATATTCTTCTTCGAGACGTTGAAGCCTGTGTTCCGCCTCTTCCCTCTTTTCAGATGCTTGCGTATTAGTGTTGAGGATCTTTTCGTCGAGATTACTTAACTGCCTCTCTGTAAGACGAATCAGATTTTCAATATCTTCAATGTCAGCCTTTTCTCTATCTCTTTGTTCAGCTTGTTTCTCTAGCTCGTTTCCCTCTTCATCGAGATGGCCTAAATCATCCACAATATTCTGAACAATAGTGAGGATATTTTTGAGCTCATCTTCAGCCAGTTTAATTGCTCTAATTGTCTTTGAACGGTTTTGTAGCGTTGCCTCTCCGACACGAAGCTGTTGTTCTGCCTCCTCAAGGCTGGCTTTTAGATCATCAAGAATTGTTTGTAACTCAGTTGGGTTTACCATGGTAAACTTCTTGAACTTTTCGACCTTATGGCCCTCCTCTTGGAGAAGGTAAAGACGATCTTCGATTTGCTCGGCCAACCCGTATTTCTGCTCCCTATACCTGGCGTGCTCAAGTTGAAGCTGCTCTTGTGATCGTTGAAGTTTCTTGAGTTCCCCTTCAAGTCTGGAGTTGTAATTATTAAGCTGGACTAGGGTGGACTTCCTTTGGCCTTGGTTGTTTTCTTCCACTTGAGATGCGAGTTGGTCAATGTCATTCTGGACCTGGACTATTTCATTTTCGGACTTTCTGACATCCTCTGAATATTCCTCGCAGACTTGAGCAATTGGCTCGCAGTCTTTCATTCTCTCTTCACGGAAACGAGCAAAATTGATCACAGCACTTAGAATTCGTCGTATACGCTGTGATTCAGGCTTCTTAAGATCCATTATGTTAAAGTCATGCACGCCACATTTATCGAGAAATGCTAAAGAGCAACGGAACAAAATTAAAAGTGGAATCAGCTGGGATGTGTCGTCCTTCTTGGTGTCGAAATCATCGTTGTTATTCACGTCGTCCTGTTGCATATCGTTCAGGTTAAATTCATTATTTCGTTTTATTAAATCATGCGAAAGTTGGTCGGTCAGTTGCACCGATAGACCCATGAAGATGTCAACAAACTCTTCAAAAAGAGTCTTTATGTATTGGCTTGTGGGTCGTGAAATTAGCTCTTCACTGGCTGTGAACTCCATTGTTTGAAGACATATCGAGAGCTCTTTGAAATCTAGTAGAGGGAACGCATCCTTGTTCCTATTGAAAATGCGGGACCCACCAAAAGTCGAACCGTCTGAACGGTTTATCATGCTTAGTTTGGACATCCAGAACTCATACAGACTTTGGCCAGCACGCTGTAGATATAATAAAGAGGGTAGTGAGGAAGACTTTTGTTTACATCCATATCGAATGCGGCCCGCGCATCTGCAGGCCCTACACACTGTTGGTATAGTACTAGCTGTTTTGTTTCAATACAGTTTTTTAGATTTCGCGATTGATGCCGCTAAAAAAGTATTTTAGCACCTGGATGTCTCAGGCGACTTCAGGTCATCTCCATCTGGAATATTAAACTTGCTTGTATTCTTGCAGTCATCTTAAACTCTCTCGGCAGTCCAAATGGCGCCTCTGCATACCAATTTGATGGTTTCCGTAAGCAACATGTATGGAACAGCCTTGTCGGCGTCGTGTTCAACAGCCGTATCTAAGTGCTCTAACTCGTCGTCTCTGAAAGTACTGATAGTCTTCTTCAAGCTTGCAAGTTCTGGAGATGTCTCAATCTCTTTGTTGATCTCCTCTGGAGTGAGCCCTTTTCCTGTCTTCTTGTCATAGATTGGGATGTTGAATTGGTTCATGAGAACCCGTAGTTGCTGGTTGTAATGGCCTCCAATGACAGTCTCGACTGCAACAGTGCATGCCATGGCGGCCTCTTTGCTGATAAGTGCGGTACCGGCTCCAATACCAATGGCTCCTACTTTCCAGAGTGGAGTCAAAAGAGAGGGTCTCACACGACGCTGGTGTTGGAGTTTGTTGAATGTGTCGTGGTGGTGGATTTCCTGATCCCACATGTGCTGTAAGATGGGCTTCAAGTGGGGGTACTTGGTGGAAAGAATGGCGTATTGGCCCATATAGATGTAATTGGCACCAAGCTCACCAGCCTGGTCAACACGAATGACACGGTCCAAGAATGCCTTTTGTGCTTTGGATAAAGCTCCGTATTTGACATTCTCTGGGATGTAGTCTTCAGCCTTTGGCTTTGCCTTTTTCTTGCTGCCCTCCAAGGCGGCTCTGGATGAACAGAACAGACGCAGTGCACTCAAAGCTGCTCTTCTTGATAGCATAACGACAGTTTTTGAATTGTGAACGTTAAAATGTGATACCCTTGAAGGTTTGACGACTGGGTGGTAGATGAGCTGATTTCTCAATGTACGAGAGCCGAGCTCGCTTTGCGCATTTAACCTATGTTCAGACTTTCACGCTCCTGTGAATACTATTCTACGAATATTTCGAGCATTGAAAGCCCTACCTCGTAGGGCAACTCCTGTGTATCTCTGGAGTTTGTGACCGGCTTGTTTTCGTTTTTTGGGACTGTCAAGTGTTTCAATTTCCGGTTGGAAATATCCCTACTGATCAACCAATTGACTGGGAACACACTATTCCAACGAGAGTGTTCCTCCCAAACGTTGCTTTTGCCAGCAAAATCAACCTTATCTTCCATTCTTGCCACTCCACAGAACTTCATAGACGCGTTAACGCTGAAGAAGAGGAAGACTGAACCGTTATCAGTCTCGACGTAGGCCTTGTTCAATCTCTTATTTCCGAGATCAGTAGATGTCCAGATCTTGTTTTTCCAAGATGCTTCAATATCTTCAATGCTAAATGACTTGATAACGAAGAACCTTGAGCCTGGGCCAACATTAAAAGGCCCATCTGTTCCCATGAAGGTTCTGTTGAATGAGATTCTTGACTCCAGCGATTCTGGAGATGTAGGTAGCAGATCTTGGGAAGATGAATACAATGAGGACTCTTCTGAGATACTGCTGAGGGTTCTTTCAAAGAACATACTGCGTCCTCCACGTACGTCCGCCACGAAAGGTGTACCCTTATAACATGAGGACCAGATATTGGGTTGGCAAGTGATGGCCAAGTAGGTGGTGGAATCGGCAAGCACGGTTACCCTTTGGATCAAATTAATAGTCTGCTTGGTGCAATTGAAAGTACCACGCAAAGAGTTACCATCGTGAGTGGGGGCCTTGAAGCCAATGATGGTTGAATCGAAGAGAGGGCAGACCATTGTATGCTAGGGGTTGAAGGGTGAAGTAGTGGGCTGGTCAGGGGAGATATATTAGGATTTATGGGTATTATTAATGGAAATTAGAAATTTACTGGGGGTACAACACAGCAGGATTCCATCTTTATATATAATGATCGACCACTTTTTGCAGCCAAAGTCGCAGGAGGTGCTGAAGATGGGGAAGGCCAAATCCGCTTTAATGTCACAGTTCTCCTCAAATTGGCTAAAAGAACCACCTACAATGGTTTTTCTTTTGGAAGGCTAGAAGCATCGATTTTGTTTTTTGAAACGGATTTCTTAGCTTTTATGTTGCTCCAGTCCTTGCCATATAGTTTATAGTGTTTGGGTAGAATCTCATACCTGTCGCACAATATGAAATGTTACGAACTGGTTTGAAGATGCGAAACCAAACTACCATTTAGCATCTTCCAAGGATTTGTCCAATCATTAAAGAGACTATTTTGTTCGCCAATCGTCAAATAAAGTTAATTATTGTACGTTCCAGATCATACAACTGCTAATTGAAGTACCATGGGAGAAGAGGGACGCTCTAGCAAACGAGAGAGCAAAGCTCTGCAATTATATTCCAAAAAAGTCGACACTACCAAAGTCAATTTGCCAATAATAAAGCAATGGATCGATGATCAGATCAACGAGCAACTTCCAGACGACGACATTGCTGCTGGATTCATCTACGAGCTCGTTGCAGGTGAAGAGAACCCTGATATACATGCCATAGAGACACAGACCAATGAGTTCCTCGGTGAGAAGGAGAGTCGAGCCTTTTGTAAACAGTTATGGAAGCATCTCCTAAGCGCTCAGGAAGATAAAGAAGGAATACCTGAACAACTTCTTGAAGAACGAAAGAAGATGCTTGAGGAGCAGAAGAAGGCAGTGAAGGAGAGCCGACAGGAGTATAGAAGCGAAGAAAGAAATAGAGGCTGGTACCAGCGAGATAGAAGAGATGATAGAAGAGGCGGTTATAGAGGAGGTGACAGGGATCGGTATGGCAGTTACCGCCAACAACGGTCCAGAGATACGCTGAATGACGACCGAAAGAAGACCAACTACAACAGAAGTACCGATGGAGAATCCCAGAAAACGGATAAATACGAAGAAGACCACCATGACGCCCGGGAACGTGGTCCCAGGGATAGAACGTTATTATAGGGCATTAATAGTCGCTAAGCAGGTTCACTTTTTCCTCACCAGTATAGAACTAGTACTGGATAACCTATGCCCCGCAGAGTAGGTGCGAATGGTGCTTGGCGAATTTCCACAAAGACGTATTAATACTTTCTAAAATCAAAGGCTAGACACAGATAAATCAGAATATCTGGAGCCCAAACCGATTACGTTTCCTTTTAGAAAGAACTCTCAACCTTCCTTCTACGCCCTGCTGCTCTTGGGCGTGTCCTCTACAATATACCAGACCCCTCACCCACAACCAAGTAACACAGCTTCCTCCAACCAGCTACTCAAAACACCATGTCTGAAGAAGCGAAGCTGGACGGCCATCACCGCCACCATCACCATCATCATGGCCACCATAACCACGACCAGAAACATCAACAGCAACAACAGCAGGGTGGCTCTTCGGCGCCTAACCCGGCCAACAGGATTGGTAAATACCAAATCATCAAGACTCTTGGTGAAGGATCCTTCGGTAAGGTCAAATTAGCTGAGCATTTGACTACGGGCCAACGTGTTGCCCTTAAGATTATCAACAGAAAGACTTTGGCCAAGTCAGACATGCAAGGACGTGTCGAGAGAGAGATATCTTACTTGCGTTTGTTAAGACACCCTCATATCATCAAGCTTTACGATGTGATTAAGTCTAAGGATGAAATTATCATGGTGATTGAATACGCCGGTAAGGAGTTGTTTGATTACATTGTTCAGAGAGGAAGAATGCCTGAAGATGAGGCGAGAAGATTCTTCCAGCAGATTATTGCTGCCGTGGAGTATTGCCATAGACACAAGATTGTTCATCGTGATTTGAAGCCAGAGAACTTGTTGTTGGATGACCATCTCAATGTCAAGATTGCCGATTTCGGTTTGTCTAACATTATGACTGACGGTAACTTCTTGAAGACGAGTTGTGGTTCGCCAAACTACGCCGCACCAGAAGTCATTTCTGGTAAATTATACGCTGGTCCAGAGGTCGATGTCTGGTCTTCGGGTGTTATCTTGTACGTCATGTTGTGTGGTAGATTGCCATTCGACGACGAGTTCATCCCAGCATTATTCAAGAAGATCAGCAATGGTGTCTACACTTTACCCAACTACTTGTCTGATGGCGCTAAGAACATCTTAACCAGAATGTTGGTTGTGAACCCACTCAACCGTGTGACCATTCATGAGATCATGGAGGATGCTTGGTTCAAGCAAGGCATCGAAGATTACTTGTTGCCTCCAGACTTGTCCAAGACAATTCACAACAAGATTGATATTGATGAAGATGTAATTAATGCCTTGAATGTTACAATGGGATACGACAGAGACGAAATTTTGAATGTGATCAATTCGTGCAACAAGCAGCAATACCCACAGCAACAATCCAATGAGATTCTCGATGCTTACTTGTTGATGAAGGAGAACCATTCACTCGTGAAGGACTTAAAGAAGAACAACATTGAACACATGGATAACTTCTTGTCATCCAGTCCTCCACCATCGTGGTCATCTCCACAAGGAGAAGACGCCACTGCAACACATAGAGCTCCAGGTGTGCTGCAATCGCTCACATACCAAACTTTGGCTACTGTCCCCGACTTGTCAACGTTACCCAATTCTACTATCGCCATTCTCCCATCGTCATTACCTTCAATTCACAGAGCATCTATGATGAACCATTCCGAACAAGGGTCCAACAAGATTAACCCAGTGTCTTCCAAGAAACTGAAGACCAAATGGCATTTCGGTATACGGTCTAGACTGTACCCATTGGACGTTATGGGTGAGATTTATAGAGCATTAAAGAACTTGGGAGCCGAGTGGGCCAAACCTACAGAGGAAGAGTTGTGGACCATCAGAGTGCGCTGGAAGTACGGACCCTGTTTGGTGGACGAGACGGTGAAGGAGGGAGAGTCAGTTCCACCTGCTTTGATGAAAATGCAGATCCAGTTGTTCCAATTGGAGCCTAACAATTACCTTGTTGACTTTAAGTTTGACGGCTGGGAGAGCACGTCTAACCAAGAAGGTAAATCTTCGGCAAAACAGGACGTTGATGAAATGAGTTCATTCTCTGCTTATCCATTCTTGCATTTGGCTACAAGATTAATCATGGAGTTGGCGGTGAATTCTACTCAGGCCCAGTGAGGCATGCATGGGTTGTGTTTCCAGAGGATGTTAGAATATAATACAAATACTAGTGTAATGTTTAGTACAGCGAAACCAGGTGTAAAGTAACTACAGTGCCACAAATAGTTTCACAGTCACGAACCTATAGTTTCTGTAAAAGCACGATTCTCGTGAAGCACGTAATTTGGAAATTCGTGAATGCCTGTACACACAAGCACAGGCACCAACCAGCAAAGGCAACACGAGAACCCTCCAAAATTCAAAATCTCCATTTGTATACCAATAGATACCATCCCCAAACAACAAAACCAGTTCTGCCGCTTTCTCTAACCCCAAAAACCATACTCCATCTTCATTGGCTCAAAGCTTCTTTCGTTCGCAACCGGACGTATGTAGTTTAACGTTTTTGGCCTTTATGTAAACACCTGCGACCTTCGACACTTCATTACCATTCCTAAAAACTCGCAATGTAGGACAAGGCGGTGACGACTTTTTTTTTTGTCCTCTTACCGTTTTCTTTTCCAAAGACTCCCACTTTTCTTTCTGGACAACAACAGAACTTAATACCAACAACCCAAAAAACCTGCTAAAAGGGAAATTTTAATTATCGACCGGTCACCCGAATCTTGACTAACTCCTACCACCCCCTTACGATCATTAACACTATATTAAATCCGCACTGATGAAGTCTGTCAACCTTTTGGACGGGACTTCGGCGGATGACACAGTCAAGTTTCATGAAGTGGCTAGAACCATTTACAAATCAAGAAAAGCTGTACTTTTAACCGGTGCTGGAATCTCGTGCAATGCAGGCATTCCGGATTTCAGATCAGACGACGGCTTGTACAATATTGTGAAAGCAAAGTACCCACAGAGCTTCATCAAGGGCCAGGACTTGTTTGACATTTCATTATTTCGTAACCAAGAGACCCTCCTGATATTTTGTACGTTTATGGAGGGGCTTTACAAGCACTCTTTGGCGGCTAAAGCAACCGAAACTCATCGCTTCATTAAAACGTTGAAGGAGAAAAACAAACTCTTGCGATGCTACACACAGAATATAGATAGTCTAGAGAAGCGGATCGATCTTAATTGTGGGATTAACTCATCTGAATTCAATGAGATCGACAACGGCGCTGGAAAGCTGTTCAGGGATAACTGGAAGTCCTTAGACGTTGTCCAGCTTCATGGCAACCTTCACAAGCTTCTGTGTACTCAGTGCTTTAGCCACTACGAATGGACGCCGGAAGCCCAGAAGATGCTTGAGCAAGGTGAAAACCCCGAGTGTGAAAATTGCAATCTCAAATACCAAGAAAGACTTTACTCCGGAAAACGTCTCACAGGAAGCATAGGTTTCTTGAGACCCGACATTGTTTTATATGGCGAGAACCATCCACAATCAGAGATGCTTACTAGAGGTCTTAATATCGATCTTAGCATCAAAAGCGACTGTCTTCTTATCATGGGAACTTCCCTCAAAGTTGACGGTGTCAAGAAGTTGGTGAGAAGTTTAGCCAAGTCTATTCATGACAGAGGTGGAAAGGTCATCTTTATTAATAAGCTGCCTTTGCCAAAGCAATGGGCAAGCTTGGTAGACTATGAGATTATTAGTGACTGTGACGACTTTGTGAGGCTACTCAAGAGAGAGATTCCTGACTTGTTCTTGACTCAGGAACAACTCGATTCAAAGAGACTTAAGTGTGCTACTATGACACCCAAATCTATCAAGAAGGAAGTTCTACTTGATATCAAGAATGAAGCAATCGCTACCATTGAGAACATCAAGCAAGAGCTTGCCGATGAATCTAACGTTAAAAAGGAAGATGCCGACCTTCTTACTCCTCCAACGACGCCGAGCAAACAGCGCACCATTCTCCTACCGAAAGTTAGACCTTCCCTTAAGAGAAGCAACTCCAATGCCGTCAAGCGGTTGCCCACTCCGGCATCGAGTTTCTGCGAACCTATCAAGGTTGAGTCAGATAGTGAGGTTGGTACTGATTGTGATGAAGAGCCACCTTTACAAGACATAAGCAGGTCGAAACTCAACTGTGGAGTCAAAAGAAGCATTAAGCAAGAGAGTGAACCATCCACCAAGCGCTTAAAAGCCTAATCAAATGATTTAATGATATTAATAGATGAAGAGAAATGATAATTCAAGGTTCCGCCTTGAGTTTCTCTTACCAGCCCATATTTACTGTAGTGTGGTCGTACCCACATCCCTTGGTCATGAGGATCTTCACATGTACCGAACAAAATAAGCCAAATATTGACATATTCTATCATCTCAGCCCCAAGAATGTTTATTATCCGACCCGGTTTAGCGCAATTAATGACTTGTTGGGTCCAATCACCTGTTCGATTACCCCACTATTCGCTAATTATGTCTCGGACTTCTAGTTATAGTAGCTGCGCACCCGTGCACCTTATCAGCGATGCAACCGTTTTGGATCATCCGAGTGTGCTGGTTTGACTTGCACTGTGCCACTTCCAACCACCAACAGAAATTATATATAACAATAGAAGTCCTTTCGCATGGATCTGTTTTCCGCTGTCCACGAAAATATGCTAGTGGCGGAACAAGCTAAAGCTGCAGACGAAATGGTAGCCCAATCTGAGCTACATGGCGTTGAGAAAGAGCTAGACAATCAACCAAAGGAAGTGAAGGAGGCTGCAAAGGAAGCAGTTGAAACTCACAAGAAAGCATCCGATGCGGCAATTAGCCCCTATTGGTACTTAGATGACGAAACTCGTCGTGCCAACCAGTTCTCGGACCGCATCATGGAGAAGTTGCTATCAGTGATGATAGTCAATGAGCTTGATGGACCGCTGAAGCTACTGCCAATGAGGATGGCTATGCAAAAGCAACGACCACCCTTTTCCATGAGCGTCATGAACACTAACAGCACTCAATTGGCTCAAAAAGCTTCCCCCATGTTCGAGGGTTTCGATGCCATCTTTATGTGTCTCACCTGGTACAACCCCAACTTTACTGTTGGCATGCTTTTAATTATAACTCACGCAATACTCAAGCCGCAACTATTTGTGCTGTTTCTTCCGGCGCTAGTCTTGGTGAAGTATATGTTCCCGAGCTATCTTAAATTGTATCCCAGTGATGAAACTTTTGTGGATGGAGTGTATTTGGAAAGAAACCCAATCCCTCATCTGGGGAAACCACTCGGGAAGTACGAAGCTCCCAAACCAGCGCCAATGTACTCAAAAGAGTACCTAATGAACTTCACGGACATGCAAAATCAAATCATTCCTTACATCCGTCTCCATGACTCATTGCTCGAATGGGGCCAGCATTATTTCTTATTCGAGGACCAAAAATTAAGCACATTAGTCTTCCTTACGTTGACATTCATCATTGCATTCAACCTTTATATCCTACCGGTCGTCACGTCTCTTATACTAAGCATAATATCCATACAAGCCATTGCAATAATAGCGACATGGGCTATGTTCATCAGTTGCCATCCAGTTGTGCAAAATAAATTGCTCGATATGCTTGACACTGAAGAAGCCAGACTTGCGAGATTAGACAAGACGGATCGGGCCGAGAAATACTTAATGAGATACATTGACGATACTGCTGATGACGAAATCTTTTGTGAGACTGAAGTCTTCGAGTTGCAGCAATATAACCATAAGCTGAGGCAATGGAAACCTGTTGGTTATTCCAAAGAGTTCTTCTCGCTTAATCATCCTGACAGACTTTTGAAGGATGACACTAATGCAGATGATCTGTTTGACTCCACCATCGAGGAACATGGGATCACTTCTGGGTTACAAATAGTGGCGGCATTAACTGACATAAAGCTGCCTCTCGGATGGAAGTTCCTGAAACAAAGTGAATGGACTATCGACCTCGATCCGCATCTGTGGGTTGACGATAATTGCATTATGGACGTGGTTAGCGTAGATATTGATGAGAAGTGGGTTTATGATGCGGTCAACGAAGAAGCAGATGGCCAAGGGCCAGTCTTTAGGCGCCGTCGGTGGTACAGATATAGTCAAAGGCGGAAGGTCGCCAAGAAGACAGGCCAGACAGGACCGTCTGAGCAGCAGGATCTGCTTGAAGAATAGTCATCACATAAAATCGAACAATTGGAGAGAGTTGTTGCTCTGTTGCTTCTTCTGCTCTAGTAAGGAAGAAAGATTACTATTCTTCTTCTTCTTTTTCTTACTCTTTGATACGCCTGTATCGTTTTGTGGGGTGACAGCACGCTTTCTGTTTAGAAGACAGTCCTCCGATCTAACATATGAGCACACTAGACAAGTAATATCTAGTTTTCTGGAGCGACCAGACTTTCCTTTGGTGTATTTGATTCTCGTCGACGATGTGAGTCCTGGTATTAGGAAGGTACCACAGGCAGAGCAGTGTGATTGTGGTCTCAAGGTAACGATTCCAGCTTTAGAAACGGCAATATCCGAATCAACAGCATGTCTTGTCAGCAATGGATTTAGACATTTATAGTGCGCTAGGTTATAGAGGTGTACTAGCTTAGCGTCGTTCGGGTCCATCGTGGAGAAGTAGACTCTAGCGATGAGGTATTGACGTATGTAGGATGCGCCATACTATAGATAAAGAGGATCAACAACAGAGCAAGGGCAGAGAAGCAGGCCACTTTTCGAGAGTTTTAAGAATTTTGGAGATTCAAGAAGGATGAAATTGGCTGAATCCGCTCAATTTCAAATTGAACATCACCAGACCCTAGACCACGACCTACGGTTGACACACGGTGAAGATCACGGAAGTAGCTCCTACACGCCGTGTACTCTCCGACTCGCCGTGGTCTGACCCCAAAGAAGTCTAAAACACGGTAAGTCCGACCTTGCTTGACACATTGTTGGCGCCACAGTCCCACTCTTATGCTACCATGGTGGTACTTCCGTCCACGGCTGACACCACCAAACAGCCAAACCCAGCCAACCCCTCCCTGACTGCTTCGCTCCCAACCCACACCATCAACGAATAAGGAGTCTTGTCGCCAAATTAGACATCCCCTCCGTTCGGACAGCCCCCACGGCCCCTATCTAGCAATGTCTGCTGATAAGCGCCAGTTTTGCAGCCAATGGACTCACACAGGAGTAATAGCGCAGCACTCCGATCTCGCTGTTTGCAGGGTTCGCAGCCAGGGAAGAATCAGGAACATGCCTCGAGTGTCCGTGTCCGGAGACCATGACAGGAAAGTATTGGTCGCAGAGGAAGTTAGTTTTGCGAAACGGGAGCCAAACCGTCCCCAGGCAACAATTACCCATAGCAAGTGAACACAGAGCAACCAGAGAACGAAAAAAAAAAGGAAAACAAAATCAAAGAAAGAAAAAACAATTGAACAAATGAACAGAGAATAAATGAATTGTTCTTTTCAATGCCTCCTGGGATTTTGTTTGCTGGGGCCATGGTTGGCTGGTTTGGCTAAACGGTGGAGTGTAGTGGTAGTTTAAGGTTTCCTTCGTCGAGCAGCACAACCGGCTAATCGCACCACCAGCCACCAACCTGTCAAGGCGAGCGACAACAGGCAGAGACAGAGGGATAGATGTAGTCAAGGGTTAATGTTTTTTGACTTCTGTTTTTGTCATTCAGATTCCATAGTAGTCTTTTGGTTTGTTCGTCCTCTTCTTTCCTTTTCTTCTTATCTCTCCCTTACCACCACTCCCTCTCCCTTCCCCAGGTCGTTGCAGCCGTGGTCCAGTAGTGGCCGAAGTCCGGCGCGCGAATGGCCAATAGACGAGAAAGAATTATTCATCTCGCGACAGGCCGATAAGCGGGCTGGGGTTTGCACCCAGATCCAACGCTACAAGTGCAGGGTGGGCAGTGGCAGCACGAGTGAGGTGAGAGACATTGTAACTGGAGGTGCATTTCGCTTACTTTTTTTTTTTTCTTATCCAGTGGCAGAAGAGTTTAATAAGCCTTAGTTTGTTCTTTTTTTACATAAGAGAAGTTTCTTTCCAGGTTTTTTTTATTTTCGTTTTTGCTTCCTTTTTCCTTACAGACGCCTGCAATGGTCTCTATCGTGATGCAACGCAGACGCTCCCTAGCTATGCCCTCCAAATCGCTTCAAGGCAATAAGATCCTTAAACTGTGCCTGGTATGTCGGCAGAACAAAACCAAATGTGATGCTGCTGCCAGAAGACCTCACCCATGCACTTACTGCTCGAAGAAGAACCTCGTCTGCGTGTTTGACGTGACGAAACCCTCCAAACGCTCGTATGACCTTACCGAGAAATTGGTCGCCGAGGTCCTGGAACTTCACAACAAGCTTGACCATATCATCGAGAGCAAGGCTCGCCTTGTTCGTCAGTTTCTTAGGAAGACCCCTTCTACTCCAGCGACTCCGCTGGATATGATGGGTGCTCTCGCCTCCTCAGACTCCGACTCTGACGCTTCGGAATCCAATGTTCCCGCCTACATCGACCCTATCCCTACGCTTAGTCTATCTAACTCGTTTGCCATTCATTCCAACCTGGCTTACGAACCTTGGACCATTTCGTACGATAGAGCGTTGTTTCTTCTTCAGAACTTCAAGGAGAACTTCCTCCCGTACTTGCCAGTGTTGCCAGAACTGTTCTTTGAAAATCCAAATTTGCACGATATCCACAAACAGAGCGATCTCTTGTTCTGGTCTATCATCGTCACGTCGCTACTTAACCAAAATCTGCCTGAAGAGTACCGTATCTTGGCTCGTCATGTGCAAAACTTGGTCGTGGTGAGTTGCTGGTTCAACACACCTCGTTCCTTGTACAGTTTGGTCACTTTGTTGATTCTTACCACCTGGCCGTTACCTGACGACCGTTCTCCAAAAGTTCAGAGTAACATTTCTGTCAAGTATATCTCGTTGATGAAGAGCTTGTCTCTTCAGTTTGGCCTTCATAAGTTGGACTTTATTAGTGAGTTCAGCAAGAAGACAGATTTACAGGTGGCTCAAAAGCCTGATGTCAACGATATTATGCGTGAAAGAATCTACAAGTATGTCAACATCAACTCAAACTACTGGTTAGTTTACCTTGGGTTGTCTAACTCGAACTATAATGGGTTCCACCAAGACTACATCATCAACAAGTCTGCCAACATTGACATTTTCAACAAGGACTCTTTTGATGGTACCGACAATTTCATCAATTCGCTCCTTAAGATTTCCTTGATTCAACTGAAAATGAATGAAAGTATGAATGACGTTGTTGAGAGCTCCAACAAGATGAGTAAGCTCATCCACTTAAACATGTTCGAGCAAATTCTCTCCGACTTCAGCAAGAAGGAATCTACCCCATTGGTGAAGGACAACTTGATCGCGATGTCCTTGGAGTTTTCCAAATTGCAGTTATACATTTACTACTTTTCTAAGGTTGACATCGCTCTTGATGAGTACAGAGATGTGATCTACAGAGCCATCAATTGTTGCTCTGCCATTCTTGATTTGTTTGGTAAGTCCTTTGGTAATGTTGGCAACTTCAATCAAATACCAATGCACTACAGGTTCTGTATCGAATTGGCCTCGCTTGTGCTTTTGGATATTCACTCTAGTCCGCTTTTGCGCCTGATCAGTGACTACCAATTTGTCAAGCTGAAGTTCTCTGAGGCATACTCATACTTGTCGAGGTGCGTCGGTGATAGACTGTCTTCTACCAACAGACTCATGAAGATTATCACCAAGTTTGACTCATGTAACAAGGCCAAGCTTCTTGCCTTGAGAAGTAAAGAGCAGTCGTTTTTTCTCATCAACAAGATGAGCAATTACCTCATCTCCGGTTTGCACTACGAGTTAATCTGGCATGTCTACCAAACTGAGAGACATGAATCGGATGAGGAGCTCACTCAAATCGATTGGAGCTTATTCGGTTTGAACCCCAAAATACCCCAGCATCAGAGTATCATGAACTATGTTCTTGACTCATCTTCAATCTTTGCATAACATTCTATCTAATTTACATTTTCAGTTATATACACTTGCATCTAATATAATCGTTTACCATCAGTCAAGCCATTTGGCATTGAGCTTTTTGGATCTAACAAAATGCTTGGAGCCACCATAGACCGTGAATAGGATACCAATCGTCAAGAGCAACGTACGTTTATCAAATCCAGACTTCAAAATATCGTAGGATGAAGAAGGTTGAATGATGGTACAGAATTCGGTAGCATCGTCGACATAACATACCAAACTTGACGACTCCATGTTTGTAGCTTGTACCAAAATAGACTGATGAGCTCCAGTTGGTTTGATTGGTTGGTTTCCATTCAAGACCTGCAAATCTGGTTTACCAATCACCGGTTCGTAAGGCATCATCTTGAATTCTTCGGCATCAGTTTGAACCATAGCACGGTCGTCAATTCTTCTTGAATTAAACATGAATTTCGGGATTTCTACCAAACTTCCGCTTTCCGTGAGTGCTATAATAGATCTAACTGTAATGCCAAATCTGGTAGCGCTTGAACTAAGAAGCTCAATTCTCTCCGGGAAAATAAATGTCTTACTCAGAGCGTTGTGGATTTTGATGTCAAAATCATCAAAAGCAGATTTCTCTCCACCAGATGCATTTCCCCATCGCTGAACAAGTCAATGACAGAAACATGCTGCTCATACTTCTCACCCTTCTTCACATACGAGTAAATGACCCAGTTGTCGTTCTGTATAACGTTAATGGTAGATGGATCTATCGAAACATCTTGGTGTCTCTGGACGTGCAAGACTGAACCCGTAATTCCATCCAACAAATGCACTGCTATTTGGGACCTTTTATCCTCCGTAACAAGTGTGACAAGATTTGGATTGAGGTATTTGTACAAAACTTTCCTCTGCCCCTTAGCAATTCCCGAAGCTGGGGAGAGCTGATCGTGATTCTTGATGAATTTCAAGACTTTTTCACTTGGAGACTTATAGTTCCAAGTTGGTAAAAGTTTCTCATCCACGATTTTGTAGGCTTGGATAGAGTTCTGAACTTCCTCGATATAAAATTGGTCATCGAGTATTTTCTTGGAGGGATCAATGGTATAAAAGGAAGAGCCAGACTTAACACCAAAGGTAAAAGGTTCAAAGCCTTCTTCGGCAAGGTCATCAAGTAAGTCCACGGATAATTTAACGAGTTTTTCAGCCTTGCTCAAGTCTTTGGTGTTCTCAACTGTTCCTGTCCTGGCACTTATAGTGAATAACTGGCTAGGAGTTAAAAGATAAATCAAATCGTTTAATGATTCGAGTCCAATCAATCTGTCAACCTCAATTTTTGTCTTCCATTCGATCGCCGATGACCGGGTATTTCTCGCGATGAGTTCGTTTGATTGATCGTCAAAGGCAACAAGAAGTTTCAGGAAGCCGTAAACATCTTCATCAGAGACAACTTTAGACACTTCTGTTTTTAAAAGGTTTACGAAAGCGCGACCAAGCTGAGAAAGGTGATGCTTTAACTTGATAATCATTCTCAACACAGGGCTATCCCTATGAGACTCCTCGGCTAAGTAATGTGTCTTTGCAATCTGTGAAGCAGATCTAGGCTTATCAATAAGGATCGATCTTGATCTAGGTAAACTCTCAGAAAGAGAATAAGTCGATGACTCCACGTCCTCGGTTGACAACAGGGTAACCAAAACATTTACTTCGTTGGATGAGGAAGCAACAAATGAAATCAAACTACCTCCAGTAGACAAGAAGACTTCGTAGTCTGTGTCTTGAGTAGCTGCCAATCTTTCGTAGCTCACAATGTCGTCAAGCTTTTCAGATTTCACGAACTTAGTGAAGTCATGAATTTCGAAACCATTTCCCAGAATGGCAACCACATAGACTTTATCGTTTTCAGATACTACCTTGATACTAAGGGCATCTGGAGCCGCATGTTGCGTAAGTCGATCAAGCTGTTTCCCTTCTTCTACCTTGTATATGGTGAATCTTTCGGACTCGATCTCTGCAACCAAATTCTCAGCTAAGATGCTTGGGTTCTCGAAAGAAATTTCTTGACTCACAGGTGAGCTAGCACCCTTGAGACTAAGTATGTCAGTTTTGGAGATTGCCAAACCGTCTTTAAGGTCAAGTATATCTGATGAAGACCTCACATTCGTAATGATATTCTGAGCCTGGTCGTTCAAACAAATCAAACTTGAACCAAGAGAGACATAAATGAGGTCCTCATATACTGTCGTCATGAATGACTTGACATCATACTTTCCTACCACTTTCTTAATATCCTTGTTCCACGCAGTCAATGATCCTCTAGAATCGAGAATGAGAAGACCATTGTTGTAGAATTCGCCAAAGTGAACAGGTGGTGATTCCAAATTCACCTTTTCAACGAAGATCCCGGAATACTTTTCAAAGATATGAATTGTCGAGGACGTGGTTGAGTAGGTCACGAGAAGGGAATCTAACAATGCATATGTATCAGAATCAGTGAACTTCAAATCAATTGAGCTAATTTTCCTTTTCGTGGGTAAATCTAAAGTGATGAGTTCCGATTGTTCTGAAATACCTATTCCTGACGTGCCAGAGAGTGGCTGGAACTGTTTAAGCGAGCCGTAGTGGTTAATTTGCCATGTGTGTTCAGTCGGTTCACTGGTCAAGGCATTTCCAAATAGGAGAAGAATTCCCACTAAAACCAAATGGAGGGATATATTGAGCAGGAAGTTGCCCTTCATGGTCGGTCTAGTTGGTGATAATATCAACCGGTATGAGAATAGAGATATAAGTGTGGACAAGACTGTGCAGGTCTGGTTGTAGGAGTCGGTTAAGAAGAGTATTGAATCGTGGAGCAAAGCGTTATAGATATTAATTATGGAAAGTTCGTTGGGAATCAATTACTTATTCTAGCATTGGTAACTTTGAATTTGCTTCACAAGATAAAAATGACAAACTGTGGGCACGAGGATGGATTACATGGTCCAATTTAGTGTCTCTTCTATTCTCTAGAGAACACATTTTTAAATCCACCAAATCTCTGTATCGCGTGTATGAGAGCATCAAAATTGACCTAATCCAATTTTTTTCATTTTTATTTGTTTGTAGGTTTTAATAGAAGGCAGTGTATTCTTGGTAAGGCTGCAGTTGTGTCATTCGCAGCCAAATACTGCAAACCAGGACCCAAAAACCATGGACCACTCAAACCCAAAAGAACAAAAAAATATAAAAAATATCCATACATAGAACATTATCACATTCCTATCAGCTTACATGCAAATCAATACGTAGATTATTCCAATAAGGCCAGGTGGCCCTGAAGTGTGAATACAGCATAATATTGCCACCATATGCACATGTGCTTAGTTTGGGAGGCAAGAATGAGGCAGTATAAAATGGGTGACATGGAAGGGCTGAGATTGTTAGTATTATGTCTACTGGTAAGATGAACGCCACCGTCAGCTTTGGAAATGATCCTACGAATTCCACCAAGTTCGAAGTAGACATTGACAGCATTTCTAGATCAGGTATTGAATTATGCTTGAAAAATATATCCGAGAGGATGCAAGAATGGGGAAAGCATCATGAGCATACCGCTGATTTCGATGAAACTAAGACGAGGGCGAAAAGAAGATTCCAGGAAGCTGGGAAGGGCAGAAGTGAGAAAAACGATAAAGATAAGACTGCTTCAAATGGCGGCGGGCCCGCCAAGCGTATTCATCAACAGGAACCTCAAAAACCAACTACACCTTGGATTGAAGATGTTACAGAGCTGGAAGACGAGTACATTGAGGATCGTGTGACCGAGGTGCTGGACATTGAATCGATCACAAGTTGTGTTTCAGTCAGGTCTTCAGATGTAAACGACGATGGAAAATTATTACAAAGCTCTAACAAGGAAGAAGCTAGTGCTGATGCCTTTGATGTTGGTGCCGTGGCTGCAATGGTTGGAGGCTTGGTTTGTGCGGTGGCATTCGCTTGGAGTGGAAAGGGAAAAAAGGCTAAGGAATCCATGAAAATATTTACTCGTGGATTTGACGCTGCATGCGATAAATTGTGATTTTCCTTATTGTATTTTATTTCTGGCTTCTTTTTAGTTTCAGTTTACAGGGAATGGCTGCAACTTTTGCAGCCTATATACTGCAGATAAGTGACATATCACGTGAATTCCATCGTTTTGTTACTACTCAAACTGCGGACAAATTCTTTCTATTCATACAACTTTAATACATTATTCGATATTCCAAATTGTGTAGACTTGCACAACTTAAGTTGGCCGGCCGGTGTGTCTTTTCACGCCAAACTGCTCGTTACCGCGTCAATGTGTCTATGTGCAAAAATTGAGGGAATACCACTGATGTTGTAATGAGGGCGCTTGGAAGAGTCTGGTGAAGAGATGCTCACTATCGTTTTGATGGTGTGCGCTCTTCTGATGCTTTCTCCTTTGCCTTCCCCTTTACTCATGCGCCAGCTCATCAAAGCATGCTTTTTCAATCTGCTCAGAAGTCTCTGTCTCCGTTTTGGAGTCATGCCGATGAGTGGAGGAGCTAGCATCGCGGAGTTGGAGGTAAGGGTAAAGGTTGACAACCATACTTTAACCAGCCAGAAACAATGCTTTTTTGCAACATTGCTTCTCATCACTTTGGTATTTACATTTGCTGTAATTGTTCTGCGATCACTTCCTCTTCAGTCCGTCTGCTATCTTTTGGTTTTCCTCCACCTTGTTTCCAAAGCCAAAGCGCTTCAATGGCATAGTTCCTCACTGAAAGGTTTCTTGTCTTTTTCTCGTCTGCAGCTTCGGTGAGCGTTTCAGTAAGACGAAGCTGGTCTATCAAATCCCACATCATAAGTTCAAATTCGTTCATGAGGGTTGCAACCTCCTCTGCAACGGGGTTACCGTCCCCATCATCTTGTAGAGGCATGATATCATACTTGTGAAGCCCTAACTTGTGAAGAATACGACCAATTGTCTGTATAGCAATGCTTCTTTGCGTAGGTACCACAGACCGGGCCAAGTGAGCCAACTCCACAAGAGTATAGCCAGCCATATGAGGGTCAGCCGAGTGATGATGAAGTCCCAAATGAGTAGGAATGTCCGCTTTGCTATCATCTAGTTCGATCAAGTTGCCCTTGAAGTCAAAACGCATATCACTAATAGCTTCATATGTCGTGCTGCGTTTCTGAGGACCTTGATCTTTCATCCATGCAAGTTTGTTAGTTTCCTTAGGAAGTTCCGGGTAGTACTTTTCATGTAGCTTATCAAGGAATTCAGGATCGTTAATATCCATGTCAGGATCTTCGCTGGCGACCTTAGGCTTGGGGAAATGCATTTCGATGGGAGGATGCTCTTCCGGAGGTGCAATCTGGTAATCATCGGGCGCAATCTCATCATCTCCTTCCTCCTCAGGTCCATCATGCTCCTCGTCAGACTCAACACTTTCCATGATTTGATGTTCAACAGGCTTGTCGTCAAACTTAACAGACTTGATACCCAATGCCTTGTTCACTTCATCGGTGTCGAGATGTGGTAATTCAACGCCATTCTTGCCACCGCCAATCCAGCCATCATGACCTTCAGCATGCACATGTTTACTATCCTTCTTCTCTGCTCTTTTCTTTAAACCTTCAAGAAGCTTAGGATCGAGGCCCTGTAAGAGCTCATCTCTTTCACTGATGAATTGATCTGGAGATAACTGCATTATCTTCTTGAGGTTTTCCTCATGGATACGTTGAGCTTCACTCACTGGCTCTGACTGCGACGTCGAGGTGGATTCCTTAGCAGGTGCTTTTGGCTCTTCGGGTACCTCAGGTTGAGGTTTCTTAGCAGACCCTTTACTCTTAAACCGAGATGGTTGTTTTGGGATATCAAATTTCCTCAACTCAGGGAAACCTGTCTTTTGAGAGTGCTCAGACAACTCAGGCAACGTGGCCTCGGCGGTGCCGTGTTCGACAATGTCACCAAGAAGACTCATGATGGTGGTTTAATAAGCGGTATCTGAGTGATGAGATCTGCATGGTATGTGTAGTCGATAAGCCCAAGGCACCGTTAGGCCATATAACAAGAGACACCAAAAAATTTATGTGAATGTTTTTTTAAGTGTATATCAGGTGTGTATTAAATCTTTCAATTACTTTATTGGACAGATTGGATAACCAAAGGCATGTTTGCTGCCAAATCGAGACTATACTGTGTTCTTAGTACCACCCAAATGGCTGCGAAAAGCTGTTTGTGGCTGCGAATAGGTACTACTTCACCATGACAGATACAGATTATGAAGTCCATGAATTCATTGGAAGAGGGTCTTTTGGAGAGGTTTTCAAAGGAATCCGAAAGGATAACGGAAAACTTTTTGCCTTCAAGGTCATTCCGATGGATGAGACCGAAAACCTCGACGTTATCATCAAAGAGATCCAGTTCTTGTCCAAGCTCAGGTCTCCCTACATTACCAGACACCACGAAACGTTTTTAAGAGACACAGATATATGGATAGTATTGGAGTATTGCGGCGGCGGCTCTTGTGCTGATTTGCTTCGATACTACGGTAGTCTTGAAGAGCCAGTAACAGCATACATCATTCGAAGCGTTCTTCGAGGCCTTCAGTACCTCCACAGCGAAAAGAAAGTCCACAGAGATATCAAGCTGGGCAACATTCTTCTTACAGAAAACGGCCAGGTCAAGCTAGGTGACTTTGGAGTGAGTGGAGAGCTCACGTACACAAGAACCAAGCGGAACTCGGTAGTGGGTACGCCATACTGGATGGCTCCAGAAGTGATCCAGCGTTCAACCGGAGGCTACAATTCCAAAGCAGATATCTGGTCTACGGGAATCACTACAATTGAGCTTCTTTGTGGTAACCCACCACACTACCAGAAAGCGCCAATGAAGGCACTTTTTGAGATTCCCAAGCTCCAGGCTCCGTCGCTTAATGACGATTTTCATCATAGCACCAGGGACTTTGTGAGCCATTGTTTGGTGAAGTTCCCCGATTACAGGCCCAGTGCCGCCCGGCTTCTTCACCACCGGTTCATCACCTCGTGTCCATCTGAAGCACCGTTGGTAGCACTTTTGGAAGAGAAGAAGCGCAACTTGAAAGGCATACCCACGGTCAGAAGACGTCTCCCACGCAAACCAAAAGAAGACGCTCCTGCCATTGACTGGGTCCTCACGACCACATCCCGAGACTTAGGCGAAGGATGGCGAAACAAGTACAGCGAGATGATCTACGAGGCAATGACCAGAGTATGGGCTCGAGCGATCAACCCAGCCGCCAAAGAAGGTGTGTGTCGTCTTCGAGACGAGTTCGTCCGAGCCGAGACGGAGAACTGTGGTCTTTCATATGCAATCATCGAAGAGCTTTGGCATCTGATGACGGAAAGAGAGTGAGAAAGAATATAAATACGAATCAGTAAAGGCAGGTCAATGAAGCCCAAGAAGAGTAGACATTGTGGCCGAGCGCGGTTGCAAAACACACACACACACACACAAAAATAATAAAAAGCAAAATATATGCTAGCGCCGCGAGCTAACAATCGGTCTAACAATTAGCCCTACGACAATCACTGCAACAGCCAAGACAAGATCTCGAGAGATGGAGGCTGGAGGCATGGCTTTTTCAGAGGGAAGGAAAGAAAAGAGAAAATAGGGGTTCAAGTGGAGAATGCAAGAAAAAAAAACACCTCTTTGTTCTTTGTTCTCGGGTATCTCCCGCAAGAAGTGGCATTCCCTTGGAGTATGCTTCTCTCGAGGTGGTGTTTCTTGACTGCCACTTCTCGCGCCAGGAGGACAATATGAGTGGAAAAAAAGTGCGGGCCACGCTCAGAGGGGGTGCCTTGGTGTACGCGCTAAGCTACAGATTCGCGTCTGTTTATCTGTGGAGCTACGTTTTAGAGAAATCTCAGATGGAGAGTTTTTTATACTTCACTTACCATTGGAAATAAGGGATTCAGAAAAGAACCAGCACTGTTTCTTCCCGGCTATGCCACCGCAAACCCCCAGGTCAAACGCCAAATCTGGCGTCAGCATCACTCCTTCTTTTTCCTTTGGCTTGGGTCTACTGCCTTCGTTCCGCTTTGGCAGTCCTAGAAACATCAACCTTTTGAGCTCCTTGTCGCCACACCGGTTTTTCAACAGGTTTGCAAAGGGCAAGGATGAAGATTTGAAGAAAGAGGACGGCGAGGAAAATCCTTTCGACCATCCCAACCCGGCTGCTGCTGCTGCTGCTGGGCCTTCAACTGAAAAGGATAGCTTCGAGTTGGATAAACACTCCGATACCATGAACGATTCGGCAGATATCTGGTCCTTGACAAACGACTCGCAGTATCAGTCACTTTCGCTTAATCTCACGTCAATTAATGAAGATACGTCGCCAAAATCGTGTGAGCCGTTCTTGTCGCCTCACGATATGTTTCTCAAGAAACCAGCAGATATTAAGGATTCGGGCTTGAAGTCGTCTCCTGTCGACAAGGGAGATACTCCTTCGTCTACTTCGTCAAATCTCAAACGGAAACGTTCAATTGACGACTCGCCTTGTGCTACGGTCGTTGCTCAAATCAGCAACCTGGACTCCCCTCAAGCGAACGTGCCTTATGATGACCTTGAAAAATCGTCCAAGGAGCTTTGGTTCTCTGAATTAGACGATGTGTTGGTCCGCTGTCATAAAAAGTACAAGTCATTCAAGGCGTCCCAGTCTCCGGGCTCGACGTTGACAAAGTTAACGTCTCAAAATCAAGTTCTTTCGAAAATGTTATATAAGAAGACTGGAGTTCAGCGAACTTCAAAGCAAATTGCATCTCGCTTGTCTAGACTAAGAAAGGTGGAAACCACAAAACTTCGAAACGCTTTGGCCAAGGACAATGTTCCACTACTAAGTCTGGAACCTGATAGCCCCGAGTCTTCTCCGTTGGATTTCTCGCTTGACAAGTTGGAATTGTCATTTACATATAAACGCGCTGTTCAGGGCGTCCACCAGTTCCTTCAGCTAACGGAATGCCCTAGGGAATGTCCGGTTCTAACCGCTGATGATATCTCCAAGGAAGTTGCCTTTGAGAATAGACGCTTTAAAGAGGACTTTGATCGTATGCTTCCTCGCCTAGAGGATGTGCCCGTGTACTCTGTCACGGGAAGTATGAACTTGAAACCATCCCAGGGTCTGACATCTACACCAGTGTCTCCATTAACTGATCCAGCCCTGTTTTGCATAGACAATGGTGACTTCCTGTCATTCATGGAATTCAAAGTAATTGCGAGAAACACGAGCGAGCAGTTCTTGTCATGGAAATCATTGACGACTATCTACAAAGATGAGGACAAAGTGCTATTAAGCACGCGTGAACAGATTAATGGCTATAGATACGTGGAAGATGTTTTTGATTTGCATGTTCCATTCATGAACCACTTTTGGGCCGGGTACTTGACGTTTCTAAGCAATGGTTCCAACACGAGCAGTGACATCAAGAATCTCTACATTACCCAGGTGATCTATGAAGGCGAGAATGAAATGAATGGAACCATTCATGGATACTTGACATACAAGTTTGAAATTGGGTCTAACGGCTCCAGTGGAGGGTTTATCAGGGTTCTGAAGATGCAAAAGAATGAAAAGCTAATTGATGATGATCTGGACGAAAACGCCACTGTGCTTGTTCACTCATCTCCTCTTAAATCTTCGCCTCAAAAGGGTGATTTAACGGTGAACACTCATTTGGCGAATCAGGGCATTGTTGAACATCCTCTGACTGTACCAACTTATAATGCATCCTTGGTAAACCAATTCAACCCAAACTACGAAGCTGGTTTTTCACAGGAAGCACAAGGTAGGCCACCAATGGTCACATCTCAAAGTACGAGCCAGGTTCCACATTCTACCCAGGCAAGAACTCCACTTACGGCCGTGGAGCCGTCATCAGCACATCCACTTCTGCAACCATCTGCTGGTCAGATGCCTCAGAATTACCAAGGTGGTTTCATGCCATGGTCGTCGAATGCTCAATTCAACCCACAAGTACATCCGCAAATGGTTGCACAGGCAGCTGCAATGCAAGCAGCCGCTCAAAGCTTACCGCAAAATATGGTCCAAGGGGCCACTAATATTCCAGCTGATCAATACGGCTCCGAAAGATACGTTCCTGTTGGGGCTCCCAACCTGGGAATGGCTAACAACGCTCAAGCGATGATGATGCAAAGGAGAAGCGTTCAAAATAATGATGCAGAATTTGGAGCGAACGCTAATATGGTTCCTTCTGGTCACAATTGGCAGGGCCAGATGCCACAAAACGTTGCGGGACATTTCGTTAATCAAAACATTCAGCCTTGCATAAATTCTGCACCAGCATCACAATTGCATTTCTTCCCGCAGAACGAAGCAAGGTCTTCTGTGCCAAATGCCCGGAAGTCTCTGAAGGGCTCCGAGCAAACTGACCATGGCAGCAAGCCGAACAACAATAACATTACGTTTGGTCCAATCATGGGATATGATCCACTGAGGGATAATAAAACACAGCCGAAGAAGAACAAGGGCGGCATGAACATTCATAAGTTCTCATTGAACCCTCAGATCATGTACAAACCCAAGAAACAATAGCATATGGATAAGAAAAAATAGAGTTGAGGTATATACTCGTGATTAATGAACGGTGAAAAGGTAAAAAAATATACTGTAGAGACGGACAGTCATTGAAAAAAATACTTCTAAAGGTGTTGTATCATATTGATAATATGGTATACACCAACCGCCTGAAAACGCGAACCAGTGTACGCGTATACATTTGTTTACTACCTTCTCGCATATATTCACCACACTTTTTTTAACTTCAACAACTCATAATGGGTGTCACTGGGTTGCTACAGCAACTTAAAGATATCCAGGAGAAAACAACCTTGTCGAAGTACAAAGGTAAGACTTTGGCAGTAGACACCTATGGCTGGCTCCATCGCGGTCTCATCTCATGTGCCCAAGACTTATGTACTGATGCTCCAACAAGAAGTTATATTACCTCGGTTATGAAAAAGGTCGATATGCTTCGATACTTTGGGGTTGAACCTTACATGGTCTTTGACGGGTCGCTGTTGCCGACCAAAGAAGCAACGAATGCCGAGAGAGCCGCGAGAAGAGAAAAGGCTCGGGAGGCTGCCAATGCGTATACTAAAAAGGGAGATAGGAAACTGGCATGGAAAGAATATATGAAGGCTGCTGGAGTAACGCCTGAAATGGCGAAATCGGTCATGGTGGAGCTCGATAGGAAACATGTCAAGTACGTTGTGGCTCCGTACGAAGCCGATCCACAAATGGTTTACCTTGAAAAGATAGGCCTTGTGGACGGTATCTTGTCGGAAGATTCCGACTTGTTGATCTTCGGTTGCCAACGTCTCATCACTAAACTTAATGACTATGGAGAGTGTGTTGAGATTGATCGTACTAACTTTGATAAGATCAAGCGTCCTAATCTAGGTCAGTTTACTCAAGAACAGTTGCGCTGGGTAGCTATTCTTTCTGGCTGTGATTATACTAAGGGCCTTCCTGGCATTGGGCTCAAGACTGCCTTTAACCTCATTCAAAGATTGGGCTCTATCGAGAGAGTCGTCCTTTGGCTACAAGCAGAGAAGAAAGAGATTCCAGAAACTTTCCTCGATGAAGCGCTCAAAGCTACTTTAGCATTCCAATTTCAGAAAGTCTTTGATCCAATGAATCAGGCTTTGTCAACGTTACAAGAATACCCTGAAGACCATGACATGGATATGGAAGTCGTGGAACTTTGTTGTGGAAAGACTCTTGATACACACGTCCACTTCGGAATCTGTAATGGTAAATTGCATCCATCCACATTTGACACTTTGATGTCCCGAGAGCAGAACTTGGCGACAAAAAGCTCATCCATGGTTATGACAAAGACTAAGCATGATACTGGCATGAGGAAAGCAGAATCTTTCGGCGGAACTTTGACGAAGGGGATAGAAAGCTTCTTCCAGGTTGATAAGCAGGTCAAGACATCTAATCCAGAGAAGCGTTGCGATCCGGGAAGAGTCGGCGAGAAGAAACTTTCTCCTACTAGCAAAAAGCTCAAACGCATCACTCCAGAATCGCTGTCATCGAAGGGGGTCACTAGTTCATTCTTCAAATCAGCTCTCACCACTACGATGAGTATTGAGCCTACTACAGCTTTACAACCAAATGCAGATTCTAGCTTTCTTACGGGTGATTCCGATGTGCCTGAGAGTCTGTCTCCTTCCAAACCATGTACAAGAAGAGTATCCCAGCCACCTAAAGACGATCCTGAGAGTCAATACCTCACGGATGTGGATGACGACGACTTTGATGACAATCTTCAAAATGATCTTGCAACCAATTCCATCCTAAGGAGTAGTATGGTACGACCTCCACTGGTCGCTTCCAACAAATCTTTTGTTGAAGAGAAAGACCACGAGGGATATACCAACGAGATTGAAGACTCGCCAGTCAAATTACAAGAAGTGGGTTTGTCATGGAGAGCCAAGTTTCTGTTAAATTCAGATCCTGGTTTGAAGAAGAGCACCGCTCAGAAATTGAAGGTGTTTGAAAGCGATACCTCTCTGGATCCTGCAACACCTGATGAAGAAGATTTAAGATTAAGTGTCAGCCAACCTAGCCAGCCTAAGTCACTGCAAAAGGAAGAATACATCTTGAGTGAGAGTGACAAGGAAAACGAGGAGATCCTTCCTCCAAGAAGCACAGGGTTCAAATTACTGAGATTTGCCTTTACTGGTCATTGACCTCCATTCATTCATTATTAACATTTCAGCATCCCCTCAATAGACTCGATGCTACCGCATCACTAGCATAACGAACTTGAGCGTCCTCAACACTTTCGTCAGACTGTTGGATCTTGAAAAGCTTGAGAAACTTCTTAAGATCAACCTGTTGGGCCAAAGTAGAATCTGAAAGCTCTGCATCAGCCTTGCCCTTTAGAAGAGACTGTAAAGTCTCATTGATAGCCTGTAAGCTAGATTCCTCTGCATCTGATGTGCCTAGCACCTTAAGCACAATCACATCCAGACGACCCTCATCCACACCAAAACGCTTCAAAGCTTCGTTGATGTTATTCGTAGGCGAAAGGTTATACAAAATCTCAGTATTGATCGTCTTGGCCTTCATTCTGCTTAATTCACGGTTCTGAAGCGACCGGTGTAGACTGCAGCAGAGCTGGTCTATGGAAATGAGATGAGTAGTACTGACAAAACAGTAGTCATAGTCTTTGTTCCCACTGACAAGTTGTGACTTTACCTCCTTTAGCGTCTCCAGCGCTACATCTGTATAGTAGCCAGCAAATACCGTGTAAGCTGGGAATTGTGGGAAAGTGAAGGTTCGGTAAGTCATGGGTATGTATTAGGTATGTATTTTTCCACTTGAATAATGCGAAGTATCAATGGTCGGATAAACCATGATCGGGTCGAATAAGACAACCCCAACAGCTAAAATAATATTGAAAACGTTTTTACCCCAATTGAGGGACTTCTTTGTTTTCTTCAAAAATCACAATTCGACTTTCCTAAACTCGTCCATCTCGGCTCGTCTGGTCTTGGCCCGAGAAACCGCATACCTGTAGATATCTATAATCGCGATTACTTCCCATATATAACTACGTTTATTCATGCAATGAGTACGGAGAAGGAGGTCGAGGAGCTCATAGACGAGCTTTTCTCTGTTCCTGAGGACGACACTCCGTCAGCTCCCGTGGATCCTCATCTATATCCCGAGCAGCTTCTCCACATCGCTCCACAGGGCAACAAGTACTACCACTCACTCCAGCAGTATAAAAGGCAGTTCCTAGATGACCTGCTGGAAGGCAGTGTGATTAATTTTGCTCATTCGAGGTTGAACACTTTGCTGAGGAAGAAGGTTAGTCTGTGGGACGGCAATGGTACAGATGTGCCTGAGCTGCTGTCTGCATCCGAGTCGGCACCATCGGTGCTGAAAACTGCCAATGCCTTATTTTCATGGTCTTCGGGGGACCAGTATATTCGAGCTAGAAAGGAGGAACTACGAAGTAGATCGAAAAGCCCAGTGCCGGTCACGTCGCCTACTAAGCCTTCTTTCCAAGGCGTGAAGAAGCCTTCGTTTCCTGTCAGACTACACCAGGTGGTGGACAGCGAGAGTAACAAGTTCATACAAGATCGGATTGACATTATTAAGGCTCGTCGTTTGGAGCAGGCTTCCAAGCGGGTCAGTGAGCGGAAGCAACGGGATCATGATAGGTACATGGAGCGGATGAGACAGAAGGAGGAAGAGTACGATAAAGCATTGAATGCAGCTATCAAGCTGAAGAAGGAAAATAAAAACCAGAATTTCTTTGGAACGTTGTTCAGTTTCGGTAAGAGCTCGAAGCATCAAAACAGCACCGATGCTTCGGATAACAATCTGGATGTGAACACCATCTCGAGCTCTAAGAGCTCCATAGACAATCCAATGGCGGCCATAGATAGCCCTATGCAACCCAGAAGCTCGATGAAGAGTAATGAACTTCCGGTGACCCCAAAAAGAGATACAAATCAGGCAGAAGCTTCGTCGCCATTAAAGACGAATGTGCCAGCCTCTCCTGAACCGCAGATTGTTGGAATTGATGATGCATTCGCCAGCATGGCAGTCACTTCAAACGAATCTGACAAAAATACTGGAGGCATTGATGATCTTCTCGGTCTGCCGCCACCGCCGCAATCAAAGATTCCATCACCCCAAAAGCATAGATTCATACCGCTTGGAGCAGTACCCAAGAAACCATCTCGTAATGACCAAAACGCAGATCACAGTGAGGATCTCCTACAATTATAGACATTAATTCTATCATGCAATTTCTATTAAGCTGTAGACACTTCGTGCTGCTTTTCCTTTTCCACATAACAATGCAATCCCATGAACGCCTCGTCCAACGCTCTCTCCAACACCTGTTCTGGACGCCAGCCTCCACCCAAATACTCTTTGTTCTTTGAAAGCTTATTGACGAATGGATCATAGTAAGCGTCATGCGAGTCCTTCGATGCTTCTGCGGAAGCGCCCAAGAAAGAATAATGCTTTTGAAGGTCTCTGTCGCCCTGGAAAGGTGTAAATGGCGTCTTGTTGCCTGCCGTATCCTTGCCATTTTTGGATGAGCCGTTGGCTGAAGCAAACTGTTGCTCCAACTGGTTTGAAATTTGCTGTAGTTGTCTCTTCCTTTGGTTCGTTCTCTTGGCTTGCTGGCTTCTTTGCTCCTTCATAATCTCCTCGGCATTAGCATCGGACGAAGATAACCTCTCCATAAGTTCTTGTTTTTGATTCTGCTGGAACTCCATATCTTCCAACTCCATCTGTCTCTGGATCTTGAGCTTCTCTTGCTTGAGACGTTCGGTAGCCTCCTGGTATTTCGTGATATCGGCATCTTTTTCACTCTCCCTCATTGCTCTTTCAAGAATTTCGATCTTATGGTCAGCTTCATATTTGTTGACCTCCTCCTCAGTCTTCTCCACGTCAATACCATTAGATAGGTTGAATATGAGATTCTCGATGTACTCAAGATATGCATTGTATTCTTTTAAGTCTGGGAAGTCCTCCTCTGACTTGTTATAGATTGAGTGGATCCGTTTCCGCATGTCCACTTCTCTCTCGATCTTAATATCGTCAAAGACCTGCTTCTTGAATCTATTCTTTCTTAGCATCTTGTTGCATTTCGGGTACGGGCACTGGGCCGGTCCAAGGGAGAATATACGGTCAACGCATGATTCACAGATTTTATGGTAGCATTCAGGGTTTATTAGAAAAGTCATGTTGGGCGACAAGTACCGATCCGTCTTGCAGATCGGACACATGTCGTTTGACCTGTTGTCATCAACGAGAGCAGACATGGTGGTCGGGAGGGATGAAGTGTACCAGATGCTGACAATTCACTTCAATGGCCTTCAAGTAGATGCTTGATATGGCTAGTATGCCGGACACTTGGATTTAGCCTGACCAAGTATCCCAGATCCTGGAATCTCCCTTGATTTTTTGTACGGTCAAGTGAAAGAGAATCTGAGAGTGACTGAATTTTGTCTTCATGGATATCGTCATCTTGCCCTTTATGGAATTTGGGAGATGGTCTGGTAACATTGCTTCTCAGATGGGCATCCACAACTACACCCAAAATAAGAAGATCTATAAATATTCAACTACAAATGAACAAACCAAAGAGATTCCACATCAAAACATCAAAAGTTCACTTTCTCAAGCTAGCTTTTGTTTTTCACTGTTCATGGAGCAAGTCCGATGCCCAATAGCACGGCTGCGAAATAGTGTCCCACACTTAGCATATCGACCAGTATAGCCACTGATGAGATACCACTACAAACACATTTTTTTTCAACGAATTTTCCAAACCTCCACCAAAACCCCATATCTCCCAAACTTCCAATTCCCCCCTTTCATCGGTTTTGTAACCTCGAGGCGTCCCCTTCCTACTCGAAGTAGGCGTTGACGTGCCTGCTTGACTGCAGGAAATGCAGCCCAGGCGTAGTATTCTCTTGTCATGGTTCTGTAAATACACTTACATCCTTCTACTTTATGGTCACTATATTTCCTTTGGCGTTTCCCTACGCCATACTACTGCCTGACACAGCACGCCTATCACGACTCTCCATCACCAACGCGGATGACTCCGAAAGATACCAGGCGCAGATAACCGAGACCAACTGCAGCTCCATCTCCAAGATCAGTACCCAAACACGGGAGCGTCTACCGGGTCCATTGAAGTATGTTTCGAACGACCTGGCGGCATATCCACTTCTTCTTTCGGTACCAGGACAATTCAATAGGTGTAAACTACATTTGCAGTTTGCCAAGAAGACCCTACACAGTGAACATTCGTTGGTAATTCTCAAGACTCTCGGGGACGACACTAATACAGACCACCTTCGGGAGTACCTTCTTCAGGATGACTTGGAAAGCAAGTCTAGGGAAGTTTCTGAAATTGCTTTCTCGAAGTTTGAGCCTGATTCGTCATATGGAGACAATTACGATATCATAGTCAATGACATTTATGACCCTGCCAAGTTTTCCAACGGAAGGATAAACTACTACCTTTGGGAGTACGATTCAACCAGAAGACATCACTCATTGCTTCTTAATTTTTCGTTTTGGGTTGAGTCGGTGGAGGCCACAGAAGAGCTTCGATCCCCGCCACAGCCACTGCGAGACAAAGCCTTACCTTGCCCACCAGGGGAAGACGATTCGATATTTACGCTATCAGAATTTAAGCGGGCTTTCGTTTTTAGTACTGTTGATGGTCCCGAATTCAGAGGATGTCTCACAGGCTATGAGAAGAATATACCAAAGCTACGAAAGGCTATCCATGCTTTGCTTGAGGACGCAAGCTACATGGAGTCAACCTTTAGAAAGATTATCAGTTCAAAAAGAAGTGTTATAGACACTTTGGATATCTTGGTTGACTCACAATTTAACCCTTTGCTTCATAGGCTCGACCTTCCCAGACTGTTCCAAAAGAATCTCCTCACATTCTTTGAATCTATTGAAAAGCGAATGACGTTTATCCTACGTGATGTTTTGAACTCGACATTGTTATCCAAGATGTTGACATACCTTTCAGATGTCACTCCTCACGAAGGAGCAGAGACGTCTCCTGCTAAGAAGACCTTCGAGAAGAATTCAAAAGAATACTACGATTGGCTTAATAAGTATCTTTCGAACGAGAAAGACAGACCAGAGCTGAAGCTTCTCGTTAAGAGAAAGAACTTTGAGCTTTCCAAGTTTGATTATTTGAACGCCCTCAATCTTGCATCGAACAATCAATATTTCAATCAGTTTTTGGAGAATGTGCTAAAATTTTCAAGTGTGAATTTTAAGAACCAAAGGTTTGATATCAAGGAATTTAAGATGAATCAAAGTCTCTTGAATAATGATGCGAGCGTCTACTTAAACACCATGTCAAGGTTTAACAGTGAAAAACTTCAGTATCGTCAAATGATCGAAGCATGTGCTAATAATGAAGAGCTTTCGGAGGTGGTGAAGATGAATCCGCTCAACCCATCTAAAGAGATGTTGGAGTCCGAAGGAGCTGTGCATGGTATCATGTCTTCTGCTAAAGTGGATCTTGTCTTCTCTTCCGCTCCAGGACAACGTTCCGTACCCACTTTGGGATTCCACCAGAACACTACTCCTCTGATTTTGATTGATGATCAAAACTCAGAGATTTCAGGAATACTTTACGCACTTGGAGGTAAAGGTAAACCGGGATGGCACAAGGAGTGGGTCGTTCTACGGGACGGTCAATTGAAAGAATATTCGGATTGGAGGAAAGGAAAGTCTCTCATCAATAAACCCATCGACATTGCATTGGCTAGTGTTAAGCCTATCACTTACGACAAGCGCCAGTTCTGCTTCGAAATTATGACGTCGAAGGGTCAGAAACACGTTTTCCAAGCCATTAATGACGATGATAGAGATAAGTGGATTCGGGCATTGTACAATGCTGGTCAGATTACTCAGAAGCTTTTAGCGGATGACAAGAAGAGAAAATCCAGCAAGCCAAATCTTCACCTTGAAAAGCCTTCGTATCTCGGAGATGATAACGACGACGAGAAACAGGGGTCACCGGTTTCCATCATCTCAAATTCACTCGCATCAACAGATCCAAAAGAAATTGACTACCTACGGGCTGTGCATTCCCTTCCCCAAAGCTTGAACAACTACTGCGCTGATTGTAGCTCGACAAAGTCTGTGGAATGGATATCTCTTACGTTTTTGGTTACGCTTTGTGTGAAATGTTCCTCATGTCATCGCAGCTTGGGGTCGCATGTCACCAAAGTGAAGTCTTTGAAACTCGACAATTTTGAAAACGAGAACAGAGTGCTTCTTAACTACATTAATAATTCTCGTGTTAATTCATACCTACTGGATGAAAAGCGAAAAATACATCCAGAGGTTGATAACGATACACGGTTATCGTTCATCAAAGACAAATATGTCAACCGATCATTTGTCGACAGGTCGATCAACTTTGACGAGCTTTTAGTTACAGCAGTTCGGAAGATCGATATTGCCAATGTGATCAAGGCGCTTAATTGTGGAGGCAACCCTAATCTTCCATTACAGATGGGATCCCTGAATGCCAATTTCCCACCCATTACAATTAATATATTTGAGTATTCCCTCCGAAAGTTGGTGGAAGTCGACGAGGAAGGCACTGTCCGTGAATACTTTGTTATTTCGGAACTTCTATTACATCATGGCTGCAATATTGATAAGATCCACGAACTTAACGTTGCACTTAATCACACAGACGAGGCCAAAGGGTACTGGAACGAAAAGAAACTTCGGTTAAAATAGGTTTATATCAATGTTACATCGCCGGTTGGTCATAGCATGACTTAGTATCGAGTACTACGCTTGCAAAAAAATAACTCTAATCATAAAACAAAAAAATATGCGATTTCTGTGGATCGAACACAGGACCTCCAGATCTTCAGTCTGACGCTCTCCCAACTGAGCTAAAACCGCATAGAAAGAACCCACGCCGGGACTCGAACCCGGAATCTTTTGATTAGAAGTCAAATGCGCTAACCATTACGCCACGCAGGCGGTTTCTTCTATTGAAGATACCCCAGCTTCAACAGAACCTTTAAACTAGTAAAAACATAGAATTATCATGATTTGATGCCATTAAACAATTTTTCTAGCTTAACTAATTTTGGTTTCAAACCTCAAAATCTGTTTATTAGCCAGTTTTTGCCAGTTTTTCACGAAAACTCGCATTTTTTCGATACACACTGAAGCAAGAATTATTCAAATTACTGAAGAATGTAATTTGAGCCCCATTTTAACCGCTACACTATTTTCAGTATGGCCAATGCGGTACCCCACTCATAATGGCCGTCTCTTTCCCCCAGCCTAGTGGTAAGATGGAACGGTGCGGCATTACCTTTACCATCTCAAATCAGCGGCTCATCCATGAGAACCTGCCTTCTTCACCATACGAAAGCTTACATGTCCCAGAAGAAGCTCCTCGGCTGTATTCCACGATCATTGAAGTATCCCATCAGAAACCTACACATCAAGAACATGCATACAGTGAACACGAACATAACGCTAGATGAAAGAGAGGATACGATCAAGAAACTCTTGGTGGGCTTCTGCGATACATATAATGCTGGGATCCCTGAAAAGGACCAGCTTGAATTGAGAATCACCGGTGGCTGGGTCAGAGATAAGCTTCTTGGAGAACAAAGTCATGATCTAGATATTGCAGTGAATGTGCTTTCTGGTGAAGACTTTGCATCGAAGTTACTTGAATACACTGAACAGAATGGCATAGACTTGGGAGATAACTCCACTAGCCTACACACCATCAAGAAAAACCCAGAGAAGTCAAAACATTTGGAGACTTGTACTGCTAAGCTCTTTGGGTTGGACATAGACTTTGTCAACCTCAGAAGCGAACAGTACACTGAAGAAAGCAGAGTGCCGATTATAGACTGTGGTACTGCTGAGGAGGATGCCTTGAGACGTGATGCTACGCTCAATGCCTTGTTCTATAACCTTAATAAGAGCGAAGTCGAGGATTTTACTGGTAAAGGTGTTGAAGACCTCAAGAAAGGTATCCTTAGAACGCCATTGCAGCCATTGCAGACTTTTGTGGATGATCCACTTAGAGTTTTGAGACTCATTAGGTTTGCAGCTCGTTTTGACTTCACCATTGACCCGGAAACACTTCTGGCCATGAAGGACGGCCATATCACAAACGCTTTGGTGCATAAAATCAGTAGAGAGCGTGTTGGTGTCGAAACTGATAAGATCCTTACGGGATCTAACCCGGGCTATGGTCTTCGATTGATAAACCATGTTGGTTTCAGTAATAGCATCTTTAACCCTGGTGCTCTTCGAAGCACAATTGAAGAACTCAACCCAGACGTCATTGAACAGATCGATCACCTTGATCTGAAAGTCTCTTTGCGCATTGATGCTGCCACCCAATACCTTCAGTCGTTCGTTTATTCTATCGAGAATGCACTGGAAGCGCCGTTATTGAAAAGCATCTATGAATCCATCTTGGACGATGCCTCAGCCTACAAGGCATTATGGCTCTGTTTGATTTTAGAGCCATATAGTGGTATCTCCGTGAAGCTTAACGCAAGGAAGATGTCATTTACGCATTATCCAGAAGTCATCTTGAAGGAAGGTTTGAGACTTGGTAAGCAAGACTACGACGTTGTTAGCAATATCTTGAAAAATACCTGTGGTTTTACTACCTTCGATAGCTATTTCGAGAACCCATCAAAGATCACACGTTCAGAGCTTGGATTGTATATGCGTCAATACGGCGACCACTTCAAATTATCTGTTGCATTTGGTGCCTTCAGCGATTACCTTAACGGTTTGGAGATTGCCGATCTTACTGAGGAGGTTCCGGAACCAGAAGGAGTTCATAGTCCTTTGAACGAGGAACGCTTTAGAGAGACCATTTTCCAATATGAAAGTCTCTTGGAGACCATCAGAGACAAGGGCTTGGAAGATGTTGCCAATTTGAAGCCTATCATTGATGGTAAGAAAATCTCGAAGGCTCTCGACAAAAAGCCTGGTCCTTGGATGAGAGAGGTCACCGATGAAGTCATGAAGTGGCAGCTTGACCATCCTGAAGGAGGACCTGAAGATTGCATCGAGCACATCCGCAATGTGCTCAACCAGAGTTAGTACTCAGGAGCATGAAAAGAATAAAATAAAGTTCATTTTCTTTGACACAAGAATTCTTTACTCTCACCAACCCATCTACTCCTTCTTCATTCTTTTACTCTTCTTTTGTTTTTTTTTTTTTTTGGTACCTTTTTTGCCCTGAAGTGTAGATTTTGCAACCACTATTATGCGTCAAAGTACTGCACCAGTATCGAAACGTTGGTCGCGAAAATCAGTCATAATCTGGAAAAGTGAAAATCTACTGATACCCCAGAGCCCTCGTTGCACAGTTACTAGTCAATGGCTCAGGTAGAAAAGGTGAAAATCCTAGGATCCGACTCCATCCATGTGGGGTACGGAATCCAGGACCACATCGTCAAAGAAACCCTTTCCACGTTAGCCACTTCTACTTATGTGATAGTGACAGATGAGAATATGGAGAAGACTGCTCCATTCCAGAAGTTGAAGGCTTCCTTCGAGGCCCAGATCAAGGAACAGAGACCAGACTCGAGACTTCTTACTTATGCTGTGTCACCAGGTGAAAACAACAAGTCTCGTGAGACAAAGGCCAAGGTTGAGGACTTCCTCTTGTTGAGTGGATGCACTAGAGATACTGTCATTCTTGCAGTTGGTGGTGGTGTTGTTGGCGACATGATTGGATTTGTCGCTGCTACCTTCATGAGAGGTGTCCGTGTTGTTCAGGTTCCTACCACTTTGCTTGCAATGGTTGACTCTGCTGTGGGTGGTAAGACTGCCATTGACACTCCATTGGGCAAGAACTTTATCGGTTCGTTCCACCAGCCCAAGTATGTCTTTGTTGATGTTTCTTTCTTGGAGACTTTGCCTGCTAGACAGTTTATCAATGGTATGGCTGAGGTTGTCAAGACCGCTGCTATCTGGGATGAACCTGAATTCACCAGACTCGAGAGCTTCGCTCCTACTTTTTTGAAGGTGGTGTCTTCTGATTCGCTAGATCTTCAAGAAATCAAGGAGGATTTGGTCAAGACTGTTTTGGGCTCCATTAGAGTAAAGGCTGATGTTGTTTCGAAGGATGAGAAGGAATCTAGTTTGAGAAACTTGCTCAATTTTGGCCATACTATCGGCCACGCTATCGAGGCTATTGTCACCCCACAAGCCCTTCATGGTGAATGTGTGGCTATCGGTATGGTTCTCGAAGCAGAATTGGCCAGATACTGGGGAATCTTGAGCCCTACGGGTGTTGCTAGACTTGTCAAGTGTCTCAATGCTTACAATCTTCCTACTTCCATCAACGACAAGACTTTCCTTCTGAATGTTGGATTCAAGAGGCATTTCGTTGTCATTGACAGCTTGCTTAAAAAGATGGCTGTGGATAAGAAGAACGACGGATCAAAGATTAGAACCGTTATTCTCGAAGCTATTGGTAAATGCTACCAGTGGAAGGCTCATGAAGTTTCCCAACAGGATCTCAGATTTGTTCTCACTGACGAGACGCTTGTTAAGCCATTCAGCGAAGAGACCACTCCATCCACCAATACTGTGATACCACCCGGTTCAAAGTCCATCTCGAACAGAGCTTTAATTTTGGCTGCTTTGGGATCTGGAACAGTTAGAATCAAGAATCTTTTGCATTCCGATGACACGAAACATATGTTGGCTGCTGTGGCCGCTTTGAAGGGTGCCGAAATCTCAACAGAGGATAATGGCGAAACCATCGTTGTCACTGGTAATGGTGGAAGCCTAATCACTTGCGATGAGCAAATCTATTTGGGTAATGCTGGTACCGCCTCTCGTTTCCTTACAACTGTTGCATCTCTTGTCAATGTTAACAAACTGTCTAACGACTACACAGTGTTAACTGGTAATGCTAGAATGCAAGAAAGACCAATCGGACCTTTGGTTGATGCTTTGGCAAGTAACGGTTCTGAGATCGAGTACTTAAACAGTCAGGGCTCCTTGCCTTTGAAGATCAAGGCTGGTAAAGGTTTGAAGGGTGGTAGAATCGAACTTGGCGCTACCATTTCTTCCCAGTACGTTTCGTCTATCTTGATGTGTGCTCCTTATGCTCAAGAAGAGGTTACCTTGGCCCTTGTTGATGGTAAGCCAATCTCTCAGTTGTACATCGACATGACGATTTCAATGATGAAAGCCTTTGGTATCAATGTGACCAAGTCGACCACAGAAGAGTACACTTACCATATTCCAAAGGGCTCTTACAAGAACCCTGATGTCTACGAGATTGAATCGGATGCATCCTCAGCTACATACCCCTTGGCTTTCGCTGCCATGACTGGATCTTCGTGCACTGTGCCAAACGTTGGATCCTCATCATTGCAAGGTGATGCAAGATTTGCCGTTGATGTGTTGAAGCCAATGGGATGTACTGTGGAACAGACTGCCACCTCAACTACTGTGAAGGGTCCAGCAAGAGGAACACTCAAGCCCTTGAAGCATGTTGATATGGAACCAATGACTGATGCTTTCCTTACGGCATCTGTTGTCGCTGCTATTGCAAATGATTCTACACCTACCCAAATCACAGGTATTGCTAACCAAAGAGTGAAGGAATGTAACAGAATCAAAGCAATGGTTGATGAATTGAGCAAGTTTGGTGTGTCTGCTAATGAACTACCAGATGGTATTGAGATTCACGGTATCGACTATAAGATCTTGAAGACCCCAAGCATCGAGGATGGTGGAGTGAAGACATATGACGATCACAGAGTTGCCATGTCCTTCTCTTTGTTGGCTGGTATGTGCCCTGAACCTGTTCTTATCACTGAGAGATCTTGTACTGGTAAGACCTGGCCTGGTTGGTGGGATGTATTGCACACCAAGTTCGGTGCTGATCTTGATGGATACGAGCCTCCTAAGGACTTGAACGATGTGAGTCTTTTGGCAAACGCTAGAAAGAACGGCAACAAGTCGATTATTGTCATTGGCATGAGGGCCGCTGGAAAGTCTACTGTGAGTCGCTGGATGGCTGACTTGCTCGGCTTCACTCTTATCGATGCCGATACTGCTTTCGAAGAAAAACATGGTGATATCAGAGAATACATCAAAAAGGAGGGTTGGGAGAAGTTCCGTGAGGTTGAATCTGAAATTCTCAAAACGATCACTAGCGAGAAACCAACTGGTCATGTCATTTCTACTGGTGGAGGTATCGTTGAGAGTGAGGAATCTAGAACTCTTCTCAAGAACTACGCTAAATCCGGTATTGTTCTTCACTTGCATCGTGATTTGGATGAAACAATCATCTTCTTAAACTCTGATGCTACAAGACCTGCCTACGTGAGCGAAATTAAGGAAGTCTGGGAGAGAAGAGAGAAATGGTACCATGACTGTTCTAACTTCCTCTTCTACTCTGCTCACTGCTCAACTGATAACGAGTTCAAGAAGTTGAGACAATCGTTTGCCAACTTTATTAAGACTATCACTGGTCTTGAGGTCACAAGAACTCCACTGACCAGATCATTCGCTGTTAGTCTTACGCATGAGAACTTAAACGACATTGCTGAGGATTTGGAAGACATCACTGCTGCTTGCTCTGCTGTTGAGTTGAGAGTTGACCTTTTGAAAGAGTACACCTCGACATATGTCGCTGAGCAGATTGCCATTCTCAGAAAGTACGTCAACTTGCCTATTATTTTTACTGTTCGTACAAAGAGTCAAGGTGGTCGCTTCCCTGATGAAGACGTTGAAAAATATCACGAGTTAACAGACTTGGCTCTCAAACTTGGAGTTGAATACTTGGATCTACAATTGAGCATCCCAACAAAGATCACCAAGCGTATCTTTGGAAAGAAGGGTTTCACGAGAATCATTGCCACCTACGTTGATTTGAAGGGTGAGCATAAATGGAACGATCCTGCTTGGGACAATAGATACAATGCTGCATTCAGTTTGAACGCTGACTTGATCAAGTTGGTTGGCACTGCAAGTGATTTCCAGGAGAACATTGCAGTCGAGAACTTCAAGTCTAGCCATCAAAGCACGCCACTCATTGCATACAACCATGGTCAGGAAGGAAAGTTGTCGAAGGTGTTGAATACTCTCTTTACGCCAGTCACCAGCGAGCTCTTGCCTGGTATTCCATCTACTGATGAAGTCACCGTGGGAGAGATCAACAGCTCGTTAAGCCAAATTGGTATCCTCACCAAGAAGGAATTCACGGTGGTGGGCTCGCCAATTGAGCATTCTCGTTCTCCAGACCTCCATGGCTCAGCTTACCAGGACTTAAGCTTACCACACAAATTCGGCAGATTCGAAAGCAGCAACGCCGAAGAAGTTTACAGAGAGTTGATCAGCAAACCAGATTTTGGCGGTTTGGCAGTCACCATGCCATTGAAGCTCGATATCATGAAGTACACCGATGAACTCTCTGAGGCTGCCAAGCTTATTGGTGCTGTCAACACTGTGGTGCCGCTTAAGGGCCACCCAGGCAAGTTCCTTGGTGACAACACTGACTGGTACGGCATTACCAAATCGTTCACAAGAAACGGTGTTCCTTCTATTGAACATGCCAATGTCAATGGTTTGGTCATTGGTGGCGGTGGAACCGCCAGAGCAGCTGCCTACGCCTTGCATCAGATAGGATGCTCCAAGATCTACATGATTAACCGCACCGCATCCAAGCTACACGAAATCCAAGAACAATTGCCAGTGGAATTCAACATTGAAGTGTTGGAAAGCGACGAGCAAACGGAAAAAGCCGAGGCTGTGTCCTTGGCAGTGTCTTGTGTGGCAGCAGACAAACCTTTGGATGAGACCCTTCTCAACCGAGTGGAAAGCTTGTTGCACCGTGGAGCATTGGCCAAGAAAGGAGGCTTCAACCCAACGCTTCTTGACGCTGTCTACAAACCTCGAGTCACGCCAATGATGAAAATCGCCCAGGACAAGTACCTGTGGACGGTTGTGCCTGGCGTGGAGATGTTGGTGAACCAAGGCGAGAGGCAGTTTGAGATCCACACTGGTCTCACCCCTCCATACAAGGTTATCTACAACGCTGTTGTCAGGGAGTAAGAAGAGAAGAGTAGATGAAAGTATATTTATATACTTTCAGATATTAAATATATATATATATATATATATGTATATTGATAAATCAATCATATAGATAAAACTGGGTATGCTCATTGACTCCGAATAGCGCTAGTGGCTGCGAAATGGACTAAATATGGCTAGCCCGCTATAGTAAAGGGCCCAAAAAGAGTTTCTCAAAAAAAGCAATGCTCCCACCACCCCGCCAGGTGGGGGATGTACTGCAGCCAGTCCCCAGCCACGCTGGTTCGGAGTAGATGCGCCATCGGACTCATGCATAGAATCCTCTCGCAGGGCTTGTACTACTTAAGCAGGCTGATTCCCCTCGATACAGAGAAAACCTAGAAAAAAGAAGGTCCACAGTTTCTTTATAGATCCATATTATCATATACCATGTTCATCGCCAGAAGGTCGTTTACCTCTGCCACTCGGTGCCTACGAGAAGCTACTGCAGAGTCAGGTTCGCTGTCAAGCACGGGCTTCTTCGGTAGTGTCCGATCGATGTTTGGTAAGCTGCAAAGACAGCTAGAGTTGGAGAAGAGGGAGGAGAGGGAGAATGCCAATAATCCATATATTCAATATCCTGTGGTGACAAAGGAACAGATGACGTATATCTCAAATGATAGGTTTAAGTTCCAGTTGGGCCATGCGCTGTTTGCACATCACTCCACTGTGTCTGACCCTACGGTTCATTCGTTAAGTGACTTGACAGATCCAACTCAACTTAATAGTCTTTTGCCGAGAAGAAGGCCTCAGGGGTCTCCAGCAGATACGCTTTCGATTAAAGCTGGCGACGATGCCATGTTGGTGTCGCCTACGGTGATGGCTATCGCCGATGGAGTGTCTGGTTGGGAGTCCAAGGGAGAACAGTGTTCGCTGGGGATCTGGTCGAGATCCATGGTGGAGACTTTGAGTCGACTCATGACGGAATACAAGTTGAACACGACGCCACACCACCTTAATAAGCGTGACATTGATCAGATCTTGGACGATTCGTATTTGCATACTTCTCACTTGATGGACCTCCAGGACTTGCGGGGCTCTTCTACGCTTGTCTTGTGCATGTTGAGTGGAGAGTTCCTCAAGATGATCAGCATAGGCGACTCTAAGATCTTGATTGTTCGTAAAGGTGAAATCATCAAGACGAACGAAGAACAGCTCGTTTCTGAATTATGCCCACAGCAAATCGGCACGCAGACCCTTAATGTCATGCCTTCTGAAGTTGCATGGGTTGATTCGATCAAACTACAGCCGGACGATATCATTGTTATGTGCTCTGATGGCATTACCGATAATTTGCATGAATGGGAAATCGCCCATATGATAGACGAGTACGCACACTTTAAGAACAACGACATGAGGGCTGTGGCTAACAAAATCCTCAGAAAGGCAAAACTGACCGCCTATGATGATAATGCCTACACCCCTTATAACGAAATGGTCAACAAGCTTCCTGAAAACAGATTTGGTAAGAACATCAGTTTGGGTGGTAAGCTTGACGACATGTCCATCTGTCTTGCAAGAGTCGTACCTAATATCAAACCTCAAAAAAATTCAGCGCTGTCGAAGAAGGCTTCCGGTGCTCCTTCAAAACCACCTGGTCCTCTCAGGGCCCCTTCAACATACTACGATCTTTAACCATATCGTTTAATTACTAATTTGCATTTTCTATTTTAATATATTGCATGGTTCACTTCATCAGACATTGGCAATCTCTGTAAAGTACTGTCTCAAGATCAAAGCAAGCATCTCTGGCAACTCATTAATACTTCTCACCACAACGTAGAACTCAAATGGGAAAGTGTCCAAGTACTTGTTCACCTTCAAAGACATGGCACCAGTGTTGGCGTCAGGAACATAGCTCACCTGAGACATATCAAGAATAGACTCATTGGATGTAATTCCATCAATCACAACAAACACCAACATAACCTTCTCTTCTCTTGCTTGTCTAACCATTCTTTCCACGGTCTCGTGGTCTTCACAAACACCATCAGAAATGATGATTTGAAGCTGCCATAAGTCTGCATTAGAAGTAGCTCTGGCATTTTCGAATATCTTCAATGACTTTGAACACAACTGCTTGATATCGGTACGTTCCTGTTGGAAGTCAAGCCACTGGAACACACGAGCACCTGTTTCCTGGTTGAATGGCCTGTCAAATGGATGAAGGAGTTTGACGTCTTCACCGAATCTGACAATCGATAAACCACCACTCTCCAATTGGGTAAGAGCCTTGGAGACAAGAGCAATACTGTGCAACGTCAACTCGGTGACTTTACTCTCACTCATGGATTTGGAGTTGTCAACCGAAATCATAATCTGGTATTGTCTCTTGGAAGGTTTAGTCCTTCTGAGCCAAATCTTATCCTTTCTGAACTCCGAGGCAATGTAAGGAATGATTCTCTTCATATTGAGTCTCTTACCGGTCTTGTAGTCTCCTCTTAACTTGGTTGCCAAGGTAGGTTCCAAGATCAATCTCAACTGTTCACATAATCCTGAAGACAATTCTTGGGTAGCAAGTTCACTGCGGTTCCAGGCCTCTCTGGCTTCAAAAAGACCGAGAGCTGGGATTTCATCGCCTCCAAGTTCATAGTCGTCGTTAACTTGATGTTTCATGTCGACTTCAGCCTTGGTGTCTTCCAACTCGTCTCTGTCAAGATCGATGGTTTGGTCTTCTTCCTTAACAGTTCTTCTCTCTCCAACAAAAGCTCCCAAGTTCTCGGTTTCAGCTTCTTGGTCGCCTTGTTCTCCATCTTGAGCTTCTTCCTTATCGCCATCTTCAATATCCATATCATCAGCAGCATTCTTTTCTTCCTGCTTTTCTTCTTCTTGTTTTGGAAGCTGCTCTTCATCATCATCAATGGCCTTATCTTCATCAATACGTTGAATCTGGTCCTGGTTGTCAGCAGATCCAAGAGCCTGAGTATCTTGTTCAGTGTTTTCTCCCTCGACGTGTTGGAATTCGTCAGGTCTAACGTCTGCCTTGGCTTCAGGCTCTTCTTGTTCTTGTTGGCTGGCTTCCTTGATTTCTTGTCTGCGACGATGGAACTCCTTCAAAGAATCACCCAACTGTTTCAAAGATTCTTTGACTTCGCTGTTGGAGTTATCATTCGTATCTTGATCCTTCTCTTCATTCTGTTGCATTTCGGAAGACGCGGTTCCAGAAGCACCCACATCGTCTTGGTCTTCCATCACTTCATTATCAGCACCATCGCCCTTTTCACCCATGGCTGCTTTAGATGCTGCATCCATGTCGACATCCTCTTCTTCATTTTGTTCCTGATCGGCACCATCAAGACCATCTGCCTCTTGCTCGCCTTTTTCAGCTGAGTCTTGCTCTTCTTCTTTATTTTCTTCTTCATCTTCTTCAGGTGCATTGACAGTTTCTTCATCTGATTCCTCATTCTGTGGATCTTCATCAACTTCCTTATCGTCGCCAGCTGTGCCTTCTTCCTCTTCTTCGTTGGCATTTTCATCTTCGTCCATGGCATCATCCTCATCCTCATCACCGGATTCAGCATTTGCAGGTTCTTCCTCTTTATCTTCTGGAGCATTCTCTTCTGGTTTCTCTTCTTCATCAAGACCATCCTCAAACTTTTCATCGCCTTCATCTTCATCTTGGCCCTCTTCGTCATTCTCATCGTCCAAGTTAATGTCTTCAGGTAAATCAAGCGTCTCGGTCTCTGGTACATGGTCGTCGAGCTGCTCATTTTCTTCATTCTTCACTTCATCCTCTTGCTCGCCAACATCTTCTTCTTCGTCTCCAGATTCACCATCATTCTCCTTGTCATTTTCATCACCATCCTCATTCTCGCCCTCTTGATCTTTCTGTTCCTCATCTTCCATGGCTTCCAAATTGTCGTCGTCGGCGGAAGATTTCTGTGGCATCTTATCTGACTCTTTCTCCTTAGAATCATCCTTGGCTTCTTCATCCCACATCTTTTCATCAACAGCATTAGGATCAAGATCATCGAGATCATCAATTTCTTCATCAAGTTCTTCCTCTTCTTCACCGTCTTCATTATCGTCCTTCTCCTGATCGGATGCATTTTCGAGATCACCGGCCATATCGCCCTCAATATCAACCGCTTCATCATCTTCATCTTCACCTTCATCCTTATCTTTGTCGTTCTCCTCATTTGGCTTTTGAGCATGTTCATCCAAATCATCATCTTCATCAGCATCCTTGGAGTTGTTGGTAGCACCTTCGCCATCACCCAAGCCAGTACCTTCTTGCAAATTATCGTCCTTCTTCTGTTCCTGTGGAGGTTCAGGAGAGCAGAAACCAGAGCTCGACAACGTGTAAAGAGCAGTTGCCATGACGTATGTGGATCTAGACACCTGAACGTAATTCTCTCTGGCTCTATCGAAAACGCAAGCAGCAAGTTTGTGATAAAGTTGGGTTAATGGTAAAGTAAACGACATCAAAGCAGCAGAAATAGCAGAAGTCTCCTCATTATGCTCAATATTCAAAACAACATTTCTAGTATCCTCGAGAAGGGAAACAATACTCTCGTGGTGAAGAACCTTGATAGCCTGGGAAACTCTCTGCTGAGTGGTTTGCAACCAGGAATCATCGTCCATAGTGATTTCATCTGCGTGCAATTCAACTGCCTTTTGAACAGAAACAAGAATAGAGTTCGAAAGCTTTCTAAGCGATTTCTCCAACTGCTCAACGGTAGCAGCACCATCAGCCGAAGTAATAGAATCAACATTGGTATATGTCTTCCTGTCCTTGAGCCAGGTAAGCAAGGTGTCAGCAATGAAAGCATTGTTAGGATTGGAAGATCTCCAATAGATCAACTCATCAACAACACGGTCAATGAAAGTCTTGAATTCATTCAACATCAAGAGTTCATCTTCGGACGGAATGGTGAGTTCGTTGATGGACAACTTACTCTTCCATTGGCCAACTTCACGTCTCAACTCAGTGAAAATATCACTCTTCACTTCTTGGCCAAAGAAAGCAGCACTGTCAAGCACTTCAAAAACGTAGTCTAACAACTGATCGAAACTGGAAACAAATCTTCCAAGCTTCTTCAATGACGAAAAGAATACGTCAACTGAGGACGACTTACACATCACGGATGAACTTTGGTTAAAGGCAGAAAGCTTATCAGCGATTGCAGTGTTAAGGGCACCTAAACTTTCAAGTGACTGATTCAAGTTAGCGATCGGCTTCCTGGTAGTAACCAACGAGAAAAGCAAGTTTTCAGTGGCTGCCATTCCTCTTTCAAGATCCGCTTGTGGCACCTCTTCATTACCTTCAGCTACCGAAGCACGAAGACGAGGAAGCAAATCCAAAATTCTCATAAAGTAGCTATCCGATCCAGCTAAGTGTTTCGAGCCAAATGCAGCACTGTTGGTGAAGATCAAGTTGACTGTAGCCAAGAGCTTCTTGATATCCGGCTTGACGGTTGTCTTGATACCGATTCTTCTCAACTCTTTCAAAACCTCACTCAAAAGCTTGTGTTTTTGAGTCCTCAAAGCTGCAACAGTCTTCTTCGTCTCATCATTCATCACATTTGGTGTTTCCTTCTTGAGTCTATCCATTTCCTCAATAATCTCCTTGGCGTATTCATAAAGGGATGGAGCAGCTGCCCTGTTGACCTTCTCAATAAAGATACGCATATTGTTCTCAATCATAGACAGATTCTTGAGTCTGTTTGGTCTCTCGTCCCAGGTGGCAGCCTTGCCACAAAGCTTTTGAATAGCCAAACGCGTGCTGTGGTCCTGGGTAAGTTCGCCAACAGTAGCAATATGGATAGGTTGTTCAGTCAAAACCTTCGACTCTGAAGAAAAGCCTGCTTGAACGAGTGGAGAAATAGGCGTGGCCAAAAGTGAACGGTACTTCCTCACGATCTTGAAAAGACTGCTGTGGGAACGACGGGAGCTCTGTTTAAGAGCATCTATGTTGACGTCCTTCCAGCTAGCAAGGAGAATAACTTCATTGATATCTTTCTCAAGAGTCTTCTTACTTTGCTCAATAGCTTCACCAATGAGTGGGACGTACTGCTGGTAGAACTTTGTGAAGTTACCAAGAGCATTAGCTGTAGTTTCGCCACCTTCAAGAGTCAAAGCATGTTTTCTGAAAGCCTCAACCAACTCCAATCTTGGCACAAACTCACCATACGTAGTTTCACTCATAAACACATTCAAAGCACCCAAAAGTTGAATTGGAGACATCTTCTGTTCATCGTTCTCATCAGCCAGAACAATTGGCACAATAATGGTCTCAAAGAGATAAAACCACCATTTGCCGATTCTCTCCTTAAAGGTAGAGTCTTCATTGTCGAATAACTTCTTCCATGAGGAGAGCTCGAGCTTTCTCCAAGAAACAATGAGCTCCGTGAGCTCGTCATAACAAGCCTTCAAGGTAACCTTACTGCTAGCAAATTTCTCCCATTCGTTGATGTACGTGAAGATCACCTCCACCTTCTGAAGAAGTCTTGAAACAGGATAGTTAGATGGGAATTCAGTAAACTCTTGAGCAGTTCTAGAAATGTTCTGCAAAGTAGCATGTTCAGGCCATTGGTCCAAAAGCGAAGACACTGAACTATGCACATTGTTCACAACACGCATGGCTCTTCTAAACTGGAATGGAGACTCGCCATGATAGAAATCAACATCGTCACCCTTGTCAATGGAGTAGGTGGTATGAATCTTCAGCATGTTTGTAAGCACAGCCGCTAAGGAGCTCGAGCTGGTTGAGCCATGAGCGAACAAGTTATCAAACTTAGACAAATCTGAAGCCAATTTAGCACCCTGTTGAACAACACCAAACACATCAGAACGTTTTCCATGGAGATAGTAATCAACATAGAGCTGGCAAAGGGCAGGGTACAAATCCGAGAACGCAGTGGTGTTCTTGGAAAGGTTGCTGTCGACTTCCATCACTTCTTCATAGTCAGGGAAGAGCTCCTGGAAATCCTTCTCCACATTATCATCGTCTCCTTCATACTTGTAGAGAGAGGCTTCTTGTGCAGCTAATTCTTCCTCCTTTGCTCTTCTGTAGAACCATCTGTAATACAACGTTTGGAAAGCCAGGTTGGTGACATAGTCGAGTTCAGAGCCAGAAGACTTGTGATTCTGCAAAAAGCACAAACTAATGAAGAAGAGCATCAGCTTCTCGCTCGCGTTGGAACTGTTTCCGAAAGACTTGCTTGCAAGCTTGAACTCATCAAAAGTAGCCTTTACCTGAGAAGGATTAAGCAAGTTCGAGATCTCAACGGACCAAAGCTCTGATAATGGCAACTTCGCAAGGGAGTTTTCGTTTTCCATCGTCATCAAATTGAGGCCGAACTTCAAACCGTAGACGTAACCAGCCAAGATGTCATTGAGATCTGAGTAAACAAGCTTGCTGGCTCTCAAACGAGTAAGGAAGTTAGACGAGTTGTGCTGGAAGACATTAATGCTGTTGGCGCTAGCTTCGGTATATTCAGCATCAGCACGAGAAAGCAAACGTTTAACTGCCTCCTCATCAATAGACGAAGACATAAAGCTGGACCACTCTTCAAACAATTCGTCAATTCCATCGTTAGGTCTGAAGATCTTCGGCATCTCCCTGTCGGCATTCCTCAAGTGTGGAATAGTCAATTCGGTAGCCAAAGGCTCATCTCCTGCGATCGTTTGTCTAACAGCTTTCCAAGACTCAATAAGGACATCCAAAGATTCATTCTGTGCCTTGTAAATGTCGTACGCAACGTGGTCATCAATAGCGGGATCCAACGGAGAACTAGGCACGAAAAGCTGAATACAGCCACACGAGAAGAGCACCCAAGCTTTACCAAGGGATTTCAACGAAGCAGTAGAGAAGGCAAGCAGCAAAGCAGGGCCAATGTATACTTCGAATACCTTGAGTAAAGCATCCTCGCCAGCTTCTTTAACAGACTTCATGGTAGTACTGATAATTTCTTCGTTAAAAGAATCAGAAGCTTGGGGTAATTCAATACCATGTGCTGCCAAAATCTGGTGCATCCAATCAATAAGGAGCTTCAAGAAAACTTCTTTCTGGTCTTGAAGGACAGCGCTCGAGTTTTCAATAAGCGAGCTGGCAAGAAGCTTCATGTCCACCAATTGCTGATCCAAGAACTTACCCAGACACTTATCAAGTCCGTGAGATTTCTGGTTAGCAGTTTCAAAAAGCACTTCTCCGAAAAGGCCCTTAACGCCATCATCCTGATTCTTCAACCACAAGTCGTCGAAGATTCTTGGGTAAGGCTTGAAAATATCGGAACTCTGAGAAAACACCAAGCCTAAAGTCAGCTTATCAGATTTTTGGTGGAGCTTCAATTGGGTTGCCAAAGTGTCAGCACCAGATACCACACTGCTTGACTCAACAAGGTTGGAGAGCATGGTAAATTCTGGCTCAAAGTCATTATGTCTTTTGGCAGAACCTTTAGCAGCTTCCTTGAGAGATGCTATGCCACTCACCAATTGTTTAAACAATTCAGCAAGCTCATTGTCAGAAGCAGAAGCGTTAATAATCGTTCCGTGAAGGTCAATCATAAGCTGCCTAAGAACTGAGATCTCTTCAGCATTCATCTCATATTGTGCAACCAAGTCATCAAATTCCCTCAAGATATCCAAGTAACTTGAAAAGTACTCCCAGGCCTCGTTTGAAGATGGATAGTTCTGACGGAAGTGATTCCAAATAGTTCCCATAGAGAAACCCGTTGTCAACTCAAGTTCGAGTGAAAGACTAGTAATAGGTTTTTTCTGATCAATGAGCATGGAGATATCTTTATGCTTCTCAAACCAAGCATTGACCATATTGTGATAAACTCTCAACTTGGTGACATTCTGGACTTGAGCAGACGCAACCAAACAATGCCAGATTCCCTGAAGCTCGAGAATTGTCGAAAACACCAGCTCGTTGTAGTCTACCGAAGCAGTAGCATGAGTCAAAAAGACTTTCACGATCCAGTTGTGCAACTCCTTCACGAATCCGTAAACATTCACCTTTGGCATTCTTTTCATTTCTCTACCAAAGTTAACAGCAGCAGAAAGCTCAAGGAATGAGAGATGCTGAAGCTGACCTTCACTTCCCTTCTTCTCAATATTCAGCAACACATCGGTCATGTCGAAAATGTTGGAAGCCACCTGGAACAACAAGGTAGGTTCAAGCCAGTTGACCTCACCATTTTGGCTCAAATAGGGCACAATTACCTCATTAATGATTGGATTAAGCGTTTGAGTCTCCAGGAATCTAGCCGAAACTCTAGATTCATCAACGTTGTTGTAGGTCTTTTGACAGCTCGACAAGTAGTCAGCGCTAGACAACACCTTCAAAACTTCCACTGAGTTCTCAATCGTAGTCTTAAAGACAAATTCAAACTCTTTGCACGAAAACACAGTTTGAGCCCAGGTTTCCACGAATTGGATGTCCAGTTGAGCCAAAATACTCACAAGAGAACTTTTAGCCAAATTCTGTTTATAAAGATCGAAGGCATCAGTAGTGGTTGCAAATCTTCTGACTTTAGACTCGTTACACGGAATGAAGGAAGCCAAAGGCTTACCAGCACCGGTTTCGCCAAATTTGAGCTTATCCATCATGTCACAAATGTCACCGTCAGCCATAGTGTCCTGGACAGGTGGGACACCCAAAGTCAACTTATCAAAAGTAGTCGACCTATACTGAAGGTCATCGATATGAACTTCGATACATCTGTTTCTCATGGCACGAGATAACTCACCATACTTGGGGTTCACGGTCAAAAACAATCTGAAGTTGGGATGTGGAGTCAACACACGAGGTAATCCATCTTCTGTGCTGCATTCGTTGATGATCAACGATCCATTAACCTCAAGCAAAGAATTGAGTCTATCAAGAACAGAAGGGTTACACAAATTGGCGTTATCCAAGACCAACCAGTCACCATTAGAAACAGCCTTAACCAACAACCCATCGAACCATTCAAATCTGACCGCAGTTTTTTCGTTGGCCTTCTTCTCAACCTCTTCAAACATTTTGAGAAGATCATCCAAAGTCTCATTATGGTATTGGCTCACAAAGTTCCTAAAACATCTGGAAATCTCTGGGAACGAGTCGGCAATCAGTGTCGTCTTTTCAATCACATACAACAAATCCATTGCAAGAAGAGCAGCCTTAGCATTCTTCAGAACGGCGAGACTGTCTTGAATAACGAACTCCCTGAAGTAAGAATAAGTCTTTGCAGTAACTTCTGACATTGCTCTGGTCACATCGACTTGTTCATATCCACCCAAAATATCCATACTGTCGACATCGCTGTTCATGGCAAATTCAGAAAGCTTGACACCAGCAGCAAGAGCCATGAACCTGATCAATTCAGTCTTACCCGCATTGGAAGGACCTGTTATGATGAATGGAATATTCTCATTAACACTTCTAAACGCAGACTCGAGAACTGGGAAGTTACATTGGAGAGGTGCCAAATTGATTCTGTCCGACGAATCGTTGAACTGAGTAATGTCGTTCCTCTTGATGAGAGCACCTCCAGCCTGAACGTAATCCAAACCGATGGAGTAAAATGGCGTTCTGTCTGACTGAATACCGAAAACCGAAATGAAGAGTTCTCTAACCTTGAAACGGTCCTCAGGCGTCCTAAATCTTTGACAAACAATCATGTCCAAAAATTCACCTAGCTGCATGTCCTTTTCGTTGTTGATATTCTTAAGAGAATTGAACGAGCTCAACCAACGTAACACATCTCTCAAGTTAAATTCCCATGGACCACCAAAGTTTCCAAACGACTTTTCATGAACAACTTGCTCTTCCAATTTAGAGATAAATGTGATAAGCTTGCTGCAGTCGTCTCTGGAAATATTAGGATAAAGCTTGTGGGAAATCAAAGTCAAATCGTCGGCACTCAATGTATCCACAAACACCACAGTAAATCTGTTGACGAACGATTTGGGTAAACCTTTTCTTCCACCACCTTGGTACTGAGGGTTCTGAGCAGCGAACACCTTGAAATCAGGATGACGTGGGAACGACCGATCAAGCTCAGGAATATAAGCTTCTCCTCTGTGATCAAGACAAGCGTTCAAACCTTCCAATACCGATTGAGAAGCAAGGTTCATTTCATCCAACAAGACCCATTCACCGTTCTTCATTGCTCTCAAAAATGGTGCATCTCTCCATACAAACTCACCGGTCTGACCACCTTCAACAGGAGCATCAGATCCAAAAAGATCAATCAAATCAGTTTGCTCAGAAAGATTGATTCTGATCAATTCGTTTCCGGTTGCTTTGGCAATTGCAGACACCAAACTGGTCTTACCCACACCAGGGCTACCCTCCAATAAAACAGGCTTCTTGACTTGCATTGCTCTCACGACACGCAGGGCGTTAGCAGCTGTTGTTGGGGCATGTAAGTTGAATGGATCGTTGAAAGTAGTCTCGGGAACACGGGCAATCTCAAACAAACCAGCTTTAAGACTAGCTTCCTCGACAATAACCTCGTGATTGTTGATAAGAGAATACTGTGAAACATCCTTCTTGATAGCCAGGCTAAGTTTCTCAACACATTCAGTCTTATACCCAGTCAACTTCGTCTCGTTTTCAGCAAGGTAAGCGGTGTTGTTAGTGCCTAAAGCATCAATGAAAACCATAGAAGCACCATGGTAAAAAGCGGCATCGGAAGAAATGGATTCACTGCATGAGTTGATGAATTCTACCCACGCCAAAATGTCTCTGAGCGAGATGACACCGCTGTTGACATTACCGTTACCAAGCTTTCTTCCAAACCATTCGGAGAAATCAGTAAGAGGGTCCGCGAGCCACTCGTGCTGGGAGTTAAGACGAGCTTTGACAATGTGTCTGACATCATTGAAGTCGTCCATAGAAGGAACCCAGATCTCAGTGAATCTATTTCTCAAAGCAGGCGACAACTCCTTCTTACCGTAATCACCACCAGGATTCATGGTGGCAAGGAACAGGAAATCATCCTGAGCGACAAGGAAAGCATCTTCAGTACCCTTCTCCGCAAGCAACAAGCTTCTCTCAGGCTCAAGCACAGAGTTCAATCTTTCAAGAACGGAGTCGTCAGCTAAAGAAATCTCATCGAGCAAGAAAAAGTCACCAGTTTTCATGGCCTGGACCAAAGGACCATCCACCCATTCGAAAAGAACACCGGCAGCTTTGATGTTTGCTTCGATATCAGCAATAAGTGTTTCTCCAACCTTAGCCTTGTCCTCATCTGAAAGAGATGATACTGTCTTGCGGTACTTGGTGGTCAAGCCCTCAGCATTTGCCTCCTTGAGTTCGACATCAATGCCAAGGGTTTCAAAGAAAGCAACCAAATTCTTCACAAGCTCACCTCTCGTCTCAAACCTATTTCTGAGTGGTCTCTGGGCACCAAGAATATCTCCAGTTTCAGTGTTCTGGTGAGCATTCACAGTGATTAATTGCTTACCCATGAACAGCGCAAGGATTTGACACACAGTAGTCTTACCACATCCTGTTTCACCAACAAGAAGCAAAGGCTCCTTGTATTTGATGGAAGTCGAAACTAAAACAGCCAATCTTCTCATAGCCTTTGTCCAAACGATTGGCAGCTCAAGGTTGAAGATCTCCTTGTTTTCAAGCTTCTCATAGTAAGCGTCCATGTCAAGCTTGACTCTCATGACCTTCTCAATAGTCTGCTTCACAACTTGCTTTTCTTCTTCATTACGGACACGTTCGGCAAGAAGCATGTAACCGTTAGCAGCCAACTCCTCGTATCCAACAGCTTCTCTGAGAGCCCAACGGAACAAGTCACGCAAAGTTGCAAAAGAGTTCTTCTGTTCAAAAAGTCTAGAAGATTGACGCTGCAAGGATAATTCGTTGTAAACTTCGACAATCTTCTTACCGTAAGAAGGAGCGATACGACATCTGTCTCTCAAAATAATCTCAAGCTCATCTCTTGGAATATCGTCGAAATGCAACTCCAAAAATCTGTTCCTGAAAGCACGAGAGAGAACCTTTCTACCACCATACAAGCCAGGTGGGTTCTGAGTAGCAAAAAGCATGAAATCTGGATGTGGGTGTACGATTTCCTGTGTCTCTGGAATAAAGAGCTCTCTGTTGTCATCCAACAAACGATTCAAAGCCTCGAGAACGTCTGTAGGGGCAAGGTTAAGTTCATCCAAAACAATCCAATAACCGTTACGTAAGGCCTCAACCAAGATACCTTCTCTGAAGACCAATTTTCCACTTGAGTCGGAGATGTAAGTACCCAAGTATTCTTGCAAATCGGTATGCTCGTGGTTGTTGATACGGACAAACTTGTGGCCAGAAATAGCAGCAAGATAACTGATCATGGAAGTTTTACCGGCCGAAGTTGGACCTTGAACCAAGACTGGAAACCTTCTGCTGGCAGTAGCACGTACCAAATTAAGAAGGTTCTTTTCCACGAACGGGGTGATGATATAATTAGGCTGCTCATCAACATCAAATGCACCCTTTTGCAACCAATAATGTCTAAACTGAACATACTGATGGTTAGCATCTGAAGGTGCCTTGGGGATGTGCGAGAGAGCTCCCCTAGGGTTCTTGGACTTACCAACAGTATACTGCTCGATAATTGGTCTCAACAAAGCCTCAGATTTAACGTCGAGCAAGGTCAAGAAGGACATACAGAAACCTTCGTAAAGAGACCTTCTCAAGCCGTAAGTCATGACAATATCTCTGACGTAAGTTAACGTTCTCGTGAGAGTACGGATACTGAAATGAGGTTTTTGGTTGGCACCATCGACAATCTTGTTCTTCTCTGCTAACAGCTTGGCCTCAAGGTAAAGCTCAGCAATATCCTCAGAGATCCAGTCGTCGCCCACAGCATACTTGTCAATGTACTTATCGATAATCAGCAAAAGATCCTCTCTATCTCTATCAGGGGAATGCACGTAAATCTCGCTGAATCTTGATCGTATACTCACAGGCAAATCACGCTTACCAACATCAGTAGAAGGGTTCATACAACCAAAGATACGGAAGTCTGGGTGTGCCTTAATAGCCTCAACGTCGCCTCTTTCACTCAACAAAATAGATCTCTGTTCAGATGCCTCGGTCAAAAGATCAGCGATACTCTCCAAAGTATCTGAGGAAGCCAAGTTGATTTCATCAAGAAGAAGCCATTCGCCGTTGCGAACAGCTTTGACGAGCGAACCTTCAACGAAATTAAACACGAAAGAACTTTCAAGATTGGCTGCTTGAGCTTCAAACTTCTCGACGCCATTCAGGAAGTTAACCCATTTTTCAAGCATGGCCAGCTTCTCGGTTGAAGACAACTTCCTCTTCTTTTTAGGACCACCATCCTGAGTCTTCTCGTCTCCTGAGTCATCGCTCTTATCTAAAGTAACACGAGCCATTTTCACAGCTTCCTTCCAAAGCTTGATGACGTTCTTCCACTGTCTTTTGTTGAAGCATTTAGATAAGAGCTCTGAAAACTTTGCATTCTTCTTTTGGGAGAAGGTAGCTAAGAAAAGGTTCTCAAAAGACTCCTGCAATGGAACAGCAACGGTCATAGTGTTCACAGGTTTGAAGCCGCCTAGAAGATCACTGGCCTCGGTTTGTTGAGAAACATTAATGGCAGTCAACTTCTTGTTCATCATCTTAGCCACTTCTTGGACAACTGTGGTCTTACCAGTACCGGTTTCACCAACCAATAATACTGGTTCCACCATTTGAATTGCCAATGCAATTTGTTCCATAAGACGTTTCAGGTGCTTCGTACGAGCAAAACTAGACTCTCCACCTTTCTTGCGAGGATAAAGGGCTTTGTCAAAGGACGACTTGTGAAGAAGAGCACGTCCAATTTGTATGGAATCGTCGTCGATATGCATGGATGGAACGTAGTTCTCAATAAATAAGTTGACTCTGGTGGCTGGGATCTCCAATATCTCACCAATAGCGTTCATAAGTGGCACAGAAGCGGAGGGTTCCGTGATAGCACTACCAAAGCACTCGACAGCTTCAGCGAAAATGTCTTCATAAACCAGGGTTTCGAAAAGCGTATCATCATTTGTAACACCTTTATTCTGAAGTAACTTGTTACAACGAGAACAAAACTTCATGAGGTCTCTGGAGGAGTTGGATCTAGGATGGGATCCTTTATTCAATGAAATGAAAGCTGGCATGGAGAATATCTGGACAACCTTGTCATAAAGCATGATGAACTTGGCGATGAACTTTTCAAGTAATGGGAACTTGGCTGCAAGAATGAACTTCAAGTCTGTTTCGGGGAGTGGGGGGACTTCACAAAGTTCCCATAGACGCATACCAATAAGATCTGGTAGTCTTGAATGCTGTTCGGATGAGGTTGTGATGGTGGATATGAGCTGGAATCCGCTGTGGGCCTTAATCACTTCACCTCTTGAAGGAATATTGAGTTCACGCTTCTCCAATAAAACAAGAAGGATCGAAAGAACCTCAGTTGGAGCTTTGTCAATGTCTTCTACCAAGACCCACTTGCCTTCTCTAACGGCAGTAGTCAAGACACCTGATCTCCACTGGAAGGAACCTGGCTTCTCTCCTGAAGTATAAGTACCCAAAAGAAGCTTAGCATCTGTTTGTTCTCCCAAATGGATCTTGACAATAGAGTCAGAGCAGTTCATGTAGCTGGCCATCTGATTGATGAGGAACGTCTTACCAGATCCAGGAGGACCATGAAGCATGACAGGTCTATCTCTCAGGATGTGTGTAGCCAATTGCTTCAAGACAGTAACAGATCCTTCGACAGGAACGAACGTGCTGTCACTATTAGTGACCTTATCTGAAGATCTATTGAAAAGAAGCACTCCACACACACAAGTGATTAGAGGCGACAACTCGGCTTGGGAGATTTGAATTGGCTTACCGTCGGGATAGGAAACGGCAGGAGGCAACTTGGTATGGTTGGAAAGTCTCTTGGCCTCAACCAATGGAACAAACCTATAGTCTATTGAGTAACCTCCATCATAGGTTCCATGGAACGAACCTCTAACATGTGTCTCCAACATTGATTCATGGGCAGATTCGGAGGCGCTGATATAACTGGAAAGGATGCGGATGGACAAAATCTTAGCGGGATTATAGTCTTCGGATTCTAAATGGATGATTTTATGGAGATTTTTGGGATCGATGAAGCGCTTGAAAATATGCGGGTTGGAGTGGTAGATTCTGTAGTATGCCAAAAGGGATGCTTGTAATTCGGATGGAGTCAAGGATGGATCGAAAAGGCTGGAAAGGATATCATTGGAGGAATCGAAGTAGTATTCTATCAAGTTGGTGGATTCTGGAGCCAAATCAATGATGCGAGACAATGCTAGTAAGACAATGGAACCTGGAGCAGACGAAGCCGTTCCGTGGACTTCGGTGTAATTAGTCTCAAACCAGGCGGTATTTTGAACCCAGCGGGCCATCAAGTCAAGGAAAATAGGCTCGTAAGCATAGTAGATGGCAAGTGTCGAGTCTGGGTGTAATGCAATGAGTGCTAGCTTATCCAAGTCGAGTGCCACTTGCTCGGAGAACTCGAACGGTCTGGGCACTGTCTTTTGTGGAAACTGGTGCTTGTAAGTCTCAAGCTTGGCCAAGGCCTCATTCGGGCGCAAAGTGATGAAATGGCTCATGCTTGGAAGAGTATTTACCTTATCACCAGTAGTAGCTGTAGCTGTAGTGATATATTTCACTAGTGCAAAAAACAGAGTGCGATGAGCATCGGCTTGTACAGTTCTGGCGGCTGCGAACCCCAGCACCAGCCAAGGAGAGCCAACGACAAGAAGTACATAAAAGAACATATACGAGGTATTTTGGTGGCATTTAGTTTTTCAAAATGTACTGATTCGATTGGGGTATTCCTTCTTATATTTTAATGTTCTGGTGGTTCAAAGAGGGGGATGGTCCAGCCAGTCTGATGCTCACTGTTAGCGCTCACTATGAGAGGCTTCACTAGAGGCTTCACTATGGCCCCCACTAGCCCACCAAAAGTGCCTACATCTTCAATATAAAACTTAAAAGTCCATCTAAATACATTTTCTACTGCATAAATGCTCTATTACTAGAATTCACCTTTTCCTTAGATCCACACTCGTGCCTTTCTGGACTGTACCTCTTCCCTGGACCAACTATAAATTGACGCCGTTTTGGCTGCGAAAACACTCCTCACCAACTACTACTTCTTCTTTTGTGGTACCATGATTTTCTTCCACAACATTCTAATTTTCTATTTGTTTTCCACTGTTTGGTCCTACAGTATCTCCGGATACCGGGACATCGATGCTATCGCCAGCCCTGCCAGGGCCCGTCGTGACAGTATGACTTTACCTTTTTGCGAACCTCTGATATTGATGGGACGTAACTAACATTTAGTCCAAGTAGACAGCGTTGTTGACCTTCCTGAATTGGTTTCTTCTCCATCGCCCGAGCCTTCTTTGCCTGTTGTTGAAAAGCTGGAGAGCTTACGGAAATGTGCTCTGGAGAAGTACACTGTTCATAGTGTGGCCGACTTGAACCAGATCCTTGGTTGCGAGGATATCCTGGGAGATATTGTCATTACCAACTATAACGACGCCATTTTAAAGCTTGATGAGTTGAAGTATATTGAGGGTCTGTTGGAGATTAGGGATTCGCCTGACTTGGTTAGAATTGAGTTACCCAGGTTGGAGCTGATTTCAGGAGAGTTCAAGTTGCACGAATTGACGTCCTTGGGCTTCCTTCAGGTACCTAGCTTGTCGGCGGCGTCGAAGATCCATTGGAACGTGCTTCCTATCTTGAGTGCCGTTGATATCGTCTTTGAAAGGATTGACCAGTTGTCTAGTCTTCTCATTTCAGATACGTCTCTCAGCTATATCATGGGCATTACGTCGTCTAAGATGTCGCTGTTCAATATCAACAACAACCGTTATTTGGAATCGATTAGTGCCGATATTGAGTCTGTCTCTGACATGCTTCATATTGCCGCTAATGGCGACCATATCAATGTGGACTTGCCTCGGCTCCAGTCGACCAAGAATTTGAGCATTCACAATGTCGACCAACTCGACCTTAAGGAGCTTAAAGAGTGTAAAGGCTCAATGAGTCTTGATAAGAACCACTTGACTTCTGTGGAGCTTCCAAAGTTGACTAAGGTGGCAGGCACGTTGTCGTTGAACAACAATAAGAAGTTGACAAATGTTCTGTTTGACAAGCTTGAAGATGTCGATGGCGGCTTGGTGCTCGCCAACAACTCGCTCCTTCACACCATTGATTTCTTCCCAGAGCTTTCTGTTATCGGCGGCGCTTTGGAATTGGTTGGACCGATCAAGAGTGTCAAGATGCCTAATCTTAGACTTGTTAGGGGAAGCGCCAAGATCAAATCTACTGATGAATCGTTCGACTGTCTTGCTTGGTCCAAGAGCAGCATCAGCGCTGTCATTCGTGGAGGCAAGAACGAATGTACTAACTCACAGAACCAGAATTACATTGCCAATACGCCAACTGACCCTAACTCGACTGGAGGTCCGCTGGAGATGATTGCAAGCGAGTCAAAGGCACTGTCTGTGGTGAGCTACTTCTCCTTGATGGTTCTTTTATTCGTTAGTTTGTTCGTTACTATGTAATCACTGATACAAGTTGTTTTCAAAAATGTAGTCTTTGATCTGGGGATAAGCGGTAATGGCTGATTAGGGTCTTCATGTACAGCCTGGCGAACCGCCGAGGAGCTTACAGCACCCAAAGCATCAATATCTGCCTGGTTTTCAAAACTAAAAATGTGAACAGAATCCGACCAGGCCTGTGGGATATGGGCTATCTTGCCATGGCGAATCCGGCGCACATAGTCAACCTGGTTCTGGTACGTGTTGACGTTATCCTGTCTTGTCAAACAGAAAATGTCAGTTGTTTTCATGAATTCATTAAGAGAGTCCAGTAACTTGTCCGGCAAGTAGTACTTGGGGTCGAAAATACGAATCAAGGTGTCGAAGCCTACCGAAAAGGTAAGCTTGACATGCTGATCTGGAGGCAGATGGTCTCTTACGTAATTAAAAATCGAAACCGACTTATCCACAAACTTAGCATGGTTGGTAATGCCAATGCTCACGTCGACCCGAAGGTTCTCATGCAAGTAGTTAGCCAAGAGGTACATCATGGAGAGCCTATGTTCAAACGAGGCCGGCTCCGGGTCCACCTTATCGGCATTCTTCACCAGCAAAAGAAGAAGAAGCAGCAATTGGTTTTCCTCAAGGCATCTTTCGTCAAAACGGTAGTTCAAGGCCTCCCGGGCCAAGGCATAGTGGGCTAAATGGGGTGGGTTGAAGGAAGAGTCAAGCACACATATTCTGGATGTTTCTCGCAGCACTAGTGGGGTTCTGGAAGACAGATAGACCACAGCAAAGTCCTTGTTCAGAGACAAGAAATCCTCAATCGCCTTGGTGAATCTGCGCATAGCTACAAGGGAGTAATGACTTGCTAGGAGCAAAGGGGGCCTCATGGTTACTATGTAGTATATGATCGCAGCCATCATGGGGGCTCAGGTCAGATGTTCGCGGCTGCCTATGACACCACTTAGAGCTCCTGGTGAGGGCTATAGACATCGACCAATTCAACGTCAAAGACTGGGGTTAGTAATGGTTGGAAAAGCTGTGGAATAGTATACATACTTAGCACGCTGTTGGGTGGGATGGGGCCAATGCCAGACAGACCGTAGCCTAGTTCTGGAGGAATGGTCAAGGTACGTTTTTCACCAACGCACATCTTCAAAAGACCCTGTTCCCAGCCAGGAATGACCCTGCCAGCGCCGATCTCGAAGCCAATGGGCTGTCTTCCGTAGGAAGAGTCGAAAACAGTGCCGTCTTCCAAGGCACCTTTGTAGTGGACCTGGACGTGGTCACCGACAGTGGTTTTCTGGGAACAGACAGAAGGGACTTCAGTCACGTCTGGATGTTAGTAGAGGATGTAGAGAATTGGATTTGTTGACTTACCAATTTCGACTTTCACGGCCCAGACCTGGGCGATCAAGAATGATATGATCACCTGAAGAAGTAACATGTTGCTTGGAGGTGGTGATATGGCTGTGTGGTGTGCAGATGTGCACTCCTCGAGCTCCAGCTACTAGTCAAGTGATAAGAAATCTTTAATATCTTTTCTCGGTTTCTATGATACAAGTATATATACCCTGGGGCTGGATACCCAGCAAATCAATAATAACTCAACCCCCTAACTTACCCAAATTTCAACTAATAAAACAATGAAAAAGCAAATCACATATCTTCATCTCCGCGTCACCAATAACTATTGGTGGTAATAAAACTAGTTGGTGAAAAGACGACCGTCTTCCAAATCATCAATGGTAGACTCAATGATCTCGTCATCGTCGTCATCTTCAACCAACTCAATGGCAGCATACTTGATCATGTCCCAGCGCTTCCAGAAAGCAGAGGCATCTTGGTAATCATCAGATTCCAAAAGGTCCTGCAAGAAGTACTTGGCCTTGATCAAACGGTCCTTCAACGCTTGCAATTGGCACGATGAAGGGTCCTTCGAGGTGGACGAGGCACGACTGGTGCTGTCGTTGGACATAATGCCCACAGGCTTGGCCATCATAGAGGGTCTTTTCGAAACTGGCTTAGCAGTCAATTTATGTTCATGTTCGAAATCACTCTCGTAATCGGTCAAATCCGTGGTGTTGCCAAAGTAGTCGTCCTCCTCGTCCGTGGCAACAGAATTGGGTGTGTTGTACCCATAAGTTTCGTCCTCAACATAAGAGGCAGCATCACAATATCTTGCCCAGGCCTCATCAATAGCACCAACAAGGTAATCAAAACACTTGGACCTTGAACACTTGTCGCTCAGAGGCATGTGTTTTCTTGTGCTGGAGCCTGAAGAATTGTTATCAGAGATGGGCAAAAAGCTAGATGTGATTGAGTTCCGCTGGCCGTGGCACAGCTGAAGATTGGTTGTGCTGCCAAAGCTAGTAGAGGCACGAGGCGAGCTCATCAACTTACAGTCAAAGTTAGCATCGCCAGTGGCTTGAGGGGAGCCGCGCTCAGAAGCATCCAATTCTAGTTCGTCGTCATCGCTATACTGTGAAACGGCTTTGGAAAGCTCATTGTTGACAGAAAACGACATTCTAGAAGACGCTCTTCTTTTGGCGCGGGCTTGGTCGGCGCTATAGCACGACTGTTGGTCATCCGAGTCTTCATCAGATTCCGATGAAGAGTAGCACGCCAGAGGGTTATTAAGCTTACTAAAACAAACCTTGTTGAGAGGTTTGGCCACCGAAGTGTTCAAGTCAAGCTTTGATAGACAAACCTTCTTGTTTGGTGTGCATTGCAGGGAAGCGCCAAAGTCGCAGGAGCGCTTAGCTGAGGTAAAGGCCTGAGAACACAAGGCCATAATTAAAAAAAAATGTAAAGACTTAAAATTCGCGCTGCGCGAGAGAGCTTAGCACAAGTCTTTGGGGTGTGCGAACGTTTGGATGAGTTGTACCGTAAAAAGCGCGAACTCAGTAAAACAGTCTGAACCAGCCAATCAAGGAGTCAGACGAAGCTTGCACACAGGTCAAGGGTAGCTTTTTGAACAGGGTGGCAAAAACTGGTCAGCCAACACGGGTTCAAAGGGAGGGCCTTGACGAAAAGGTATAAAAAAAACTTTCAGCCAAATGAGTATCAGGATCTGGAAATCACTGATAGGATTCGTAGCTTCGATATAAAAAAAAATTAGCGGAAGATCTGCTAAGAAACAACCACAAGCACTAGAAGTCGACGCCTAAAGTATTTATCCCAAAGGTTGAGTGGGAAAAAATTTGTAGGTGAAGGGTGATGACACTAAGTGCGCGAGAAACAAAAGTGTTGGAGAAAAAAAAAAAAAAAATATGCTGGTTGAATATGAATGGCGCGAAAAGAAAGCTTAAGAAAAGAATCGATGGGAATCCTAGTCACTATTTTAATGATGGGAACTGGCCGCGAACTGGCGCGACATGCAGGCGGCTCGTTCCAGGGTCCTGGCTTGTGATTGGTCAGATCTCTCAAAGTAGAGCGGGTAACCCCTATTGTCTTCGCACAATGTGCACGCCATTCGCGCCTCTTACCCTCTTGTCCCCAACCTTGTATGGAAATAAATGGAAAAATGTCGCAGCAACTGTAGCGGTTGCACCACCCGTGCGCTGGCATTAAGCGTTCGCACCGCCTAAACCTCTGTACTCACAAGGTACTTTTTGTATGGTAAATTAACAGGGTGTCAGATGCAATATTACATCTCATAGCATGCGAAATACGACATTTCCAGACCTTCCATAGCGTCCATGGTACTTCCATGCATTGGGCCTTTTCCCCTATCTTTTTGGGGAGCCCAAGCTCGTTTCAGTTTAGTTTCACCAGCACTCACACACACCCTAAAAGAGATATATTAAATAAGCCCTCACGCCATTACCTCAACCAGCCAGCATAGTCTTGCTATTCAATATTAGCCATTCGACGCTGGAGCTTTAAAATGAAAGCTTGAGGTAATAGGGGTTGGGCGGTCTGGATGCTAGAATGGCTGTATCTGCGACCGTTATTTCATGTATCGCTTTTGTCCCTACTGCTTTCTTTTGAAATCTAGAGTATACCCTATCTTTCTTAGATTGCTCTCCTTTGTATGCAGGCTGCAAGTTAATATGTGGCTTGAGATCTAGTTCACATTCTTTTTTTGCACCCAAAAAAAGTTAATTATGAGATCTAGGGAAATGCATCACATGAGCCCGCCTAGTCCTTCTTCATTGCTTGAAACTTTGTGAGTAGTCTTTGGCAATGTTCATTTTAGCTGATCTGCGAATTGCTGGGCAATGTCGATAAAAGAAAGTTCCTGATCTGCGGGATTGAATTCGTCACCATCCCACTCACCGCCTAATGCTTCCTTCTTTGCTGAAAAGTACTGTGCATATCTTGGATCTTTTGCATAGTCCGCTTTGGAGTTTCTGGACTTTATCCAATAGTTGACTGCCATTCGTGTAAATGTATCAGTCCATGTCGTTCTGGGTGTTTCCACAGGTTGCGGTAGCTCACTGACTGGTGCAGTAGTTTCAATAGTGTCCAAGGGCCTTTCAAGTTGCCCTTCGATAGTTTGCGTAGCAGTCTCTGCCTTTTGCGACTCCTGGCCATATTGGTATGCATTAAGTGTCTCTGTCTTCAATCTCTTCTCCAATGATTCCATGAATTTGATAGTAAATGAAAGGAGTCTGTTAAAGTTCTTGTTGTTGAAAAATAATACATCATTGTTCTTGAACTTGAGATACATCAATGTCGCCATTGGTATCATGAACTTGAGGCAAATAAATGATAAACGAACAGAAATAATCATGAGTGTTTCAAATTTATCAATTAAAAGCGTTGGAGCGCCTGGATGTGTCTTTGAAAGCTCTTTAGAGAACTTAGATAAGTCGTCATGATCAGAAATGCATAGGTCAACCCTCAATTGTTTCAAAAGGTTCACCTTTGTCTGATAATCAAGCGAGTCCAAGAAGTTCTCAATGGTGGCATCATCGGCTCTGACAACAGCATCTGTTTGCTCATTAGTGTCTGCTTCTGTGACCGCAGCTCTCGAAACAGCTCTGCTGTTCCCTCTGCTAGATGACCTGCTAGATATGCTTCTCGGTATATGAGACTGGATCCAGTTCGAAGCCCTCCCCATTAAGGAGGTCATCTTCAAGCTGATTTCGTCTTTATCGCGAGACATGGCCATCTCCACCATGAGCTGCTGCCATGAGGACTCATCCTCATACATGCTCTGTTGCTGCAACACCACATTGAGGTTCTTATTTATCAAGCTATCGAACTTGGCATTCTGTTCATCCAAGTACTTCTGAACCATGCTTTGTCTTGTAGTGTCAGCATCATGAACAGTTTCAGCCTCAGTCAAGGCATCGCTGTGGTCTGCCACTGGGACACTCCCAGAGTTATCCAACAGGAACCCATCATTTGGCACCCCAGGTACCGAAACCGGAGATCCTCTCTTCTGAAGTATCCTGCTATGAATCTTCTGCTGGGGACTCATAGGAGCATCCGAGTCTGAAGACGTGGTCAAGGGAGAATCCAGCTTGGCCGACTCGTACGAAGAGGTATCTTCATAAATAACACTCTGAACAAACTGGGGCAAGTGGTCCGAAAACGGCACACGGTTCATCACCAGCCCTATAACAGCACGAACGACCATACTAGTTTAATGTAAAAGGGGGACCACAAACGTTGAAATATGGGAAAAAAGGGTGTGGTTGCAAAAAAATTCCAAACGGGTCATTTAGTACCCCATGTTCCTCGGCCATCGGGATGGCCTCAGGATGCTCGTGCTGCAGGTGCTTTCACCAAAAAAAGACGAGCCTTCAGTGCACATGATAAAGCATGAGGCGCATCACTTAAGCAACCTTAACTATGGTGAGCCTCATAGTCAAGTGAAGGGCTTCTCTGCAGAAATGGGAATATGGCAATCCTAGCAAGCTAGTGACGTTAGGTGAAAAAAATAAGTATAAACATCTGAGACATACTCGATTTTCTTGTTTCTTACAGATGTACACATATATCTTGAATTGGGTTGCTAATCGGTTTTTGAAGGAAAACCAGCTTAACAGACTTGGAGTGGAGGATCCTTACTATGAGAATGTTCCTATCAGTACGAACGAGAAGACGGGTAAGACAAAGTACAAGAAGGTGAAGAGAGAGGTGCCCAAGGGTCTTCTGCAGAATGACTTGAACGTTTTGCAGACTGTGAGAACGAAGGCTTATCGTTACGATATGTGGTTCAGTTTACTTGGTTTCAAGTTGGGGTGGGCTAACGTCATTGGTGTGGTTCCTATCTTTGGTGCCATCGTTGCCAACTACTGGTCATTGCTGATTTACTGGCACGCAAGGTCTTTAGACGACGGTTTGCCATTGGACATTACGCTTTTGTTCTTCTTTAATATCGCTATTGACTTTTGTTTATCGTTTATTCCAATTATCGGGCAATTGATCGAGATTGGTTACAAGGCCAACCTGAGAAACTTCTTGTTGCTTGAAAAGCATTTGGAGAGGGTCGGTGAGAAGAACTTGGGCTTGATTTCCGAATCTGAGGTTCGCCCAGGCTTTATCAACGATAAAGTGCAGCCATTTGTCGATGACACTATCAAGCCAGGCGCCGTTAAGGCCAGTGAATCTTTGAAGCATCTTGTTCAGAATAGCCTTGGCTCTTCTGGCACGTCATCTCCTAATTCCCAAAACACTGCAGAGCCTACAATTCAGGGCTCTGAAGCCACTGCTACGGCTACCATGGACAGTTTCACTGAAGACGACGCTAAGAGCGTCAGAAGTCTTGTGGCCAACAAGCGCCGCACCTCAGATCAGTGATGACCCTTGGTGTATTTATCGCTCATCCACAAAAGAATGTGAATAGAAATAGTACAAAAGGACATTGATATAAGCGACGCGCTTGAATATTGGTGAAAGAGGTTTTCATGGTAACAAGAAGCCCATGGATGTTCGGGTACGGTTTGTTCTATTGTTCATTGTCATGGAAGGTCTGAAGGTTTGAAAGTTGCAACCAATGTTGTATCTATAAGACGACTTACTGGCACCTGTCGAGTAGAGACCATAAAGCAACTACCATTCACCAAACATATTTTTTTTTTCGGTTCAGTCTACCTATCGATAACAGACATTTATATATTGATACAAATGGGTTTTTGCCTTATTTACCATCTAAGTTAATGTAGTGTGACACTAAATCAGTATGAGAATCTTCCAAAGCCGACTTTTCGCAGCCATTTTCTATTGTTTGTGTGAAGTTCCAACTAACTTGCAAAAATACAAGTGTACACTAAAAAACACCAATAAATGAAAATTACACCAAAAACAAATAGTCTTCCTACCTTCTTTACAACCCTTTACCACACTCCTCTCCTTCTCTTCTATAAAGCGCATGTTCCCCTTGGCGCTTCCTCTACTGATCTGGTCAGACCTCGAGGCTGTGGATAGTCGCGAAATGGATGGAAAACCAGATTTGTAAGTAACCCATACTTCAGATCATCTGTAATGTCCCAACCATCTGCCCCTGGCGACGACGATTTGGCCACGATTCCGTTGGTAGAAGATCAAGAAACAAACAAAGATGACACCGAATTGGCTGCACTCAATTCCCAAGGCGAGGAAACACGAGAAGCCCTGAATGAGGTTCCCCATGATCCAGAGTCATCCAAACCCCAGGAGCCAGAGCCAGTACCTGAGCAGCCAGCTGAGCCTCGTGAAGAGGACCTTAATCCTACTTTGGCTCAGTTTATGTCTGCTTGTCAAGTCGGTGATCTCGACACAGTGAAGGATCTTATTTCTTCTAAGAAGGTTAGCGCTTCAGATACTTTCAGTGAAGGCGTGACTGGTTTGCATTGGGCAGCCATCAACAACCGCTTGAGTGTGGTGAAATACCTTATGGAGAATGAATACTCCAAGGGTGATCCCAACGCAATTGGCGGGAACTTGCGTGCTACGCCTTTCCACTGGGCTTGTAGGACAGGCTTGGTGTATGTGGTTGACTACTTCCTTACCAAGACAGATGCTGATCCTACGTTGAAGGATTCACAGAACTATAATGCATTACACTTGGCGGTGCATAGCTCCAATATTACTTTATGTATCTATATTCTTTTGAGCTGCGTGGTCGGGGGCGATCCTATTAACAGGATATACATTGATGAACCAGATTCTATTCAGTGTACCCCATTGCATTGGGCTTCCTACCAGGGTGATATCCTCACGGTTAATGCCTTGCTAAAGTATGGTGCTGATGTGAATAAGACAGATCAGACCCAGATGACACCTTTGCATTGGGCGTTCATCAGAGGATACAAATCCGTTCTTGCTGCGCTCTTGGAAGCTGGATCCGACATATTTCATAAAAATGATAAGGGCAAAGACTCGTTTGGGGTTAGTGAAGATATGAACTGCCTGAAGACGTGGTTGCAAGTGTTGCGTGAGGCCAACAGAGATCCGAAAAACAACTGGCAGCCACGTAACCATATCTTACCTGCGAAGGCAGCCAAGGTGGTGACTTTTCTTACTCCCTACGTTTTGCTACCAATCGTGTTCAAGATTTGCAACTTCAGCAACGGCCTTGCCATCCCTGAAATATTCTTTTCAGGTATTCTTTTCGGCGCTGGTACTTTGGCCACAAAATTGTTTTTGCTTCCCATCTATCTGCCAAAAGACACTAGCGTGTTGAAGAGTCCCTTTTTGGCTGGTCTTTTCTCGGGAACAGCCTTTTGGTGTATTCTTGTCTGGTTCTTCGTCATACTACCGGCTGTCTTCTTCAAGCGTTTTATTGCAAGTTTGGTGGTGGCAGCATCAGCCACTATCTTCTCCTACACTTTCTTTAAGGCCATGTTTATCAACCCAGGATACGTTCCAGTCCCAACTGATACCGATCAGGTACTTCGTGACGTGAAAGACCTTATTGCGCTTGCCAGGTTTGACACTGAACACTTTTGCGTGAACACCTTCGCTAGAAGACCTTTAAGATCAAAGTTTTCGAGATTCAGTAATCGTTTGATTGCCAGATTTGACCATTTCTGTCCATGGGTCTACAATGACATTGGTGTGAGAAACCATAAGCTCTTTCTTACGTTCACTTACTCGCTTGCCGTCGCCATTATTCTGTTTTTCCTTCTGTCGTTGAAGTACTTTGACGATGTCAGCCATGGGCTGGGATATGATTCAGATGTTGAAGAGCGTTGCCACCTTTTAAGCGAGGATTTATGCAAAGGGTTCTATAACCACCCCTTTGTCTTCAACCTTAATATCTGGTGTTTGTTTAACTTTGTTTGGCTTGGCTTCTTATGCATAGTACAAACTTTCCAGGTCCTCAAGGGATTGACTACATGGGAGTTCAGCTCTCTCAACAACCGTGTCAGCAACCCGATGTATAATCATTCCACAGTTCCTACCGATTTCGATGGCCCTAGACCTGCTACTACATCAGCACAACCAATGGGTAGAGGCCATAATCATGGGTTTGGCACATGTGCAAAGCTTCTTGGATTGGACCAATTCAACATAACAGTGAAACTCGCAATTGCTTCGCTATTGAGAAAATCTCATCTGGAGACTCCAAGTCCTCTCGAGAACTTACACATTCCTACCGACTTTGGCTGGAAGCAGAACTGGTTGGACTTCTGGTTCATCGGTGAACCAACCTGGAGAAACGCCTTCTACTTGCCCATCGAAGGAGAAAACAATCTCAACGGGCAAATTGTGGACTACTACAAGTTGTATGAATATCCTAACGCAGGAGACGAACACGTCTAATCGCTCAGGGCCCTATAGAGGGCCACTCAAAACCTTTCATAGAAGAATAAATATCAAAAGTTAATCGATTTGATATTCTACAATGCGCCGACATCACAACATAAGTAGACTATAGTCACTGGTCTCAGACATAAAGTCCTAGACCAAGTAACTTGTCAGACTGCCACTCGCACCCACCCAAAGCCACGTCTCCCGAAGAAGCGTGTGGCAAAGGGTCAAGATCATCGCTCCTTTCAGCACTGTTGACTAGGTCGCTAGTGGCGAATGAAAGGCAAACAAAATGTAGATGACCAGACCGCAAAGGATCGTGGACAAGCTAAATGTGTTCTCACTTTGAGGGCGCGAGGGTATCTACCTCATCAACCAAGTTGGATTCAGTGGCTCTTTAGAAGAGTCATTGTGGGACGTGACCTATAGAAATGATCCTATGAAGTACGTCGACAGAGAAAAAAAAAAAAAAACTCCCAAAGGTGTGGGATGAGCTCTCCCTTTATACCCTGGCATCGCGAATCCATGCAGGAATGTCGATCCTCACCGGGTAACCTTGGAACAGTGCATATCGAGTAGGTTCCATTTGTGAAGGTGACTTGGGTACATAGAATCTCGCTAATAGTACACTTTTCATGTTCAAAGCTAAAAACAATGATTTTGCGTTAGTCGAATGTCCTGATTTAGCTAAATATGGCGCTTGTCCCGTTGTTAATTGCATTTTTAATCATGACACCAAGAGAAAAGAACTGCCTACTGAAGAGCCCGAGGCTAAAAGGCTTAAGACTGATGATAGCCTTCCAGATGACGAAACAAGCGAAGGAAAGGATGTCGACTTCATTATAACCAAGGGGTTGACTACTGGCGTCGCTCTACCGAGAGACAAACGTATGGATGCTGCTAAGAGAATAGCCTACTATATGAAGAAGAGGAAGCTTAGCAGTACTCCCAATCGTTCAGCGGTAGATAAGGAACACACGTTTGCCGCCGCCAGCAAAAGTTATACCGAATATAAAGATAAAGTCGACACTTACTTGGGGAAGGGGAAGGAAAACAAGACAGATCCAAGGTTCATCATGCCCAAAGAAGTGAACCCTGCTCCAGAGATGTTACCCCAAAGAAAGAAGTTTATTGAGTATCTCGTGGCAGCAATCAAGAAGACACAGCCAGGTAACAAGACTCCAATACTCGAAGGAACCGAAGAGGAGTACAAGATAGCATGCAAATGTTCCAGTAAAGCTTCCTACTCCCACGCGATCAAAAGACGGATTTACGAACTTAATCATCCAGAAAGGGTTAAAAGTGCAGCTAAACCCACATACAGCAAACAGGATATATTGGCCGAGTTGAGGCGAAATGTCATAGACCGTGAAAAGCTCATCAAATTCGGGTTCATCATGGACTTTCCTAACGACATACCCGAATTCAATCCTGAAAGGGTTTGCCAGCGCTGTAAAGTTGAGTTTAAACTTGAAGACGCCCTTAAGAAAGTCGAGTGCCGGTACCATTCAGGAAAGCCCATCAAGAACGACCACAATGTGAGGATTTACCTGTGCTGTGGAGGAGCCCTTGGTGCTACTGACACCGAGCCCTGTGCTCAATGGGATCGCCATGTATTCTACTGGCTGGGCCCCGAAGAAATGCATAAAGCCATCCCATTCGTTCAAACTGAACTGGTCTGGGGTTCGAAAAAAGGAAGTTTAGAAGCCGTCGGCATAGATTGTGAAATGGGCTACACGGATCGTGGATTCGAGCTTCTACGCATTACAGCTATCGATTTCTTCACCGGCGAAGAAGCATTCGATATTCTAGTCAAACCAAAGGGCACAGTAATTGATTTGAATACCCGCTGGTCGGGTGTTGCTGAGATAAAGCCAGAGGCCGTTACTTTCGAGGATGCTATCGCATTATTGGGCGAGGTGATCGATTCCAACACCATCCTTGTTGGTCATGGTCTTGAGAATGATATGAACGCCATGCGTCTTATTCACGACAAGATTGTTGACACCGCCGTGCTCTATCCTCGCAATAAAACGTCACCCACGTTCCGTTATGCGCTCAAAAACCTCGCCTTCAAATACTTGGGCCGCAACATTCAAGCAGGCCAGCACGATAGTGGTGAAGACTCCATCGCAGCGATTGACATCACCAAGTATTTCCTTCAACAGGATTTAGACAGAAAAGCAAGGGAAGTGCAAGAGGCCAACCAGGCCCAGCAATCGGCTGAATCAGGAGGAGCCGTATTTCGAAGTCGCCGTGTCGACAAGCCTAACGGTTCCCAAGCAGAACATACACCATCTAAAGAAACGCTGTCCAAAGGATGACAGTTTACAGCTAATACATTCTATAGATCATTCATAAGTAATTGAGCAGGACTCTTTTTGCAACCGTAGCTGCCCGAAAGCACGATATGCATGCAGCGAGCGCAGGTTTCTCCACATAGGCTGGAGAGAAAAGGCTACAATGCACATCTCCTGCGCAATGCTGAAGGGGTTGCAAAACCGTAAACCTTCCAAGTATAAATATCAGCTGATCCCCACGACTCAAACAGTAGCTAATACTTTTTCATCTTTTCAAAAAATATGGTTAAAGCAGTGATCCTTGTTGGTGGTGAAACCACCGGCACCCGTTTCAGACCATTGACCATGGACTATATCAAGTGTCTTTTCCCAGTCGCAGGCAAGCCTATCATTAGCCATATTCTTGACAAGCTTGTGGAGGACTTGGGTAAGGACTTGGAGGAAGTGTTCCTTATTAGTTTCTTCAAAGATCCATCCAAGTTTGATGACTACCTCAAGGCAAGCAAGTCCGAATTTCCTGGCGTCAAGCTCACTCTCTTGACCGAGCCAACTCCTATGGGAACGGGAGGAGGTATTTTCTCCTTCAAAGACAAGGTGTTAGCTGGAAACCCAGATTCTCCTATCTTGTTTATTCATGGAGATATTGTGTGTGATTATCCGTTCAAAGAAATGTTGAGTTTCCACCAGGAAAGCAAGTCAAACATCTCGATCATGGGCGTTGATCCGTTAGTGCTACTCAAGGACCAAGCGTTCCAGGGTTTGGATAAGGAGCAGGTTCTCCGTAAGTACGGTACCGTCTTTTCCAACCGTAAATCACACGATGTGGTGCATTACGTGGAGAAACCCGAGTCAGATAGCTTCGCTAAGTTTAGCGACACAAACTACCAAACCTCTATCAATGGTGGTATCTACGTGTTTGGTGCTTCAATTTTCAAGCAGCTAGAAGAGGCTAAGACCAGAAAAGAAAGTTCTCTGGACTTCGCTGCTGCTGAAAACGATTTGGAGGACCCCTACAACCCCAGCATCTTATCCCTAGAGTTAGATGTGTTCAAATTCTTGCCTGGTATTGAGGGTAGTAACTTTAGAGCATTTGGTATTGAAAAGCTGTGGTACCAATTATCCACCCCACATATTGCTTTGGCTGCAAATGAGTTCTTCCTCAAACAAGACCCAGGCAAGCCTTCCGCATGTTTGACTCCACCAATCAAGATCTTAAGTAAATTGGGTTGTCAGGAATGCAAGATTGGTCCAAACGTCGCAATTGGCTCTAACGTGAAGCTTGGTGAAGGTGTCAGGCTTAAGAACTGTATCATTTGCGATGATGTCACCATCGGTGCCCATACAATCGTGACCAACGCTATCATTTCTCTGGGAGTTAAGATAGGCAAATGGTGCCGCTTGGAGGGCACTTTGAACGCACCAGTCAGCCAGGCTAGTGCCGAGAATACCTCCTCGTTCTTGAGTAACTTGGTTGTGTTGTGTAAGGACACTCAGGTCAGTAACCAGGTGTTCGTCTACAACTCTGTGGTGCTTCCTCATAAGGAGTTGAAAACTGATACGAAATACGAAATTGTGATGTGATTAAAACGGCGGGCTTCTATATTTAGGAAGTGTGGTAACAGCGTTTCTCATGGAACAGTGTGGGGAACGGCCTTTACTGCAAACGAATGATCCATTCACAGGCAATTCAATGTCAACCAGCGATGTATAATCGTCCCCTAGACGGGAATCAAAATGAGAAAACGAACATTCTGAAGGTACGTTCACATGTAGCTTTAGGCTGGCGATGACACTCGTTTGCTCTAGCACTACCTGAGTCAACTCGTAGTGGTCGCCGTAGCACTGAAGGTCATAATCAAGGTCAGTGAAGTCTGAAAACACAATTTCTGACCTTACAGTCGAGAGATACAGCTTCAACTTCTCACTGAGCTCCTCTTCAACCTCAGTCTTACCTCCATTTAGTGAAGCATCAATCTGTGACAACGGCGTAACCACCGTCTGGTAGTAATCGTCTCTGTTAAGCCTACACTCTGAAGCTGGGTGTGTCAGCTCGACAACCCGAGCCGACTCCAAGACATACCTGAAACATGTCTTTTCAGCACAAACATCACTGTATGCCAATGCCTGAGCTTTAGAGAGAGACTGGCCCGACTGAGTCCCTACCTCTCTATACTTACTAAGTAAAAGAGACGAAACCAAGCTGGGTGGATGTGTTCTGGAGGAGATTTTGAAAAGCGTGTTAAGTGTCGGCGCCGTCGCCGCAAGAGTAAGCAAGTAGAAAAATAACAACATCAGAGTAAATTCAACAGAAGTAGTGGTAGTAGAACTGCTTGGGTGCAAATAGAAATGGCTGCGAAAAACCAAACCCCAATTGCCAGGGCTAACCCAGTAGTAACAGTCGCGGTGGTGAGGCGCGAAGCAAAATAAATACACTATGCCTGAGACGCGAACCCACTATATTACGCATGGCTCGTTCCTAGACACGATTTGTGTGGTTCCCTGTCATCTTTAGTACTTCTTCTTTTTATCGATAACCATGACAACCACTCCGGTGAAGAAACCACTAAAGAAATCCGGATCGGTCTCGGGGTCGCTGAAGATGAAGCAACTGTCGTTGATGTCATTCTTCAAGCCGGCGCCTGCCAAAACCCCATCCTCGCCGCTTAAGGCCAAGGGAGAGGCCTTGAATACTGATAGTGACAAGGAAAACGATACAAGCATGATGGAGGATGTTACAACCGACACGCCTTTGACGCTGGAGACGAATCATGTTCCTGTGAAGGCCCCTGAGCCAAATCTTCAATCTTCCCCAGTTAGGAAGCAGCCACAGGAGGACTCTTTGCCTGAGAAGGAGGAAGCCGAAACGCCAGTGGTGAATAATGGGGGAACTTCGAGAAGAAACAAGAACGTCAGCTATGCCGAGTCTGATGCTTCCGATGACGAGGATATTCCTAGTCGTAGGAAGAGAAGAAGAGTGGTGGAGAGCGATGACGAGGATGACTTCAAACCTACAGAAGCTGCAGATGATGATGACGAAGATGAACACATGAGTGATTTTGTTGTGAATGAAGACGAGAGTGACGTTGCGCTGATGGCGGAGGATCTGGACGATGAGGACGCTTATGCTTCCGCTAAACCAGCAAAGAAGAAGAGCTCGCCGAAATCATCGACTCAGTCTCCTTCGAGCAAACCAGTGAACCTTGCTTCTTCGAATTTAGGCAGCAAATTCACTGCTTCATCCAGTTATACTGCTCAGGTTTCTGACAAACCAGCTGCTAAGCCAAAGCCACAAAAGAAGTCTTTCGCCAAGGAGAACGAAGAGCGTTATCAATGGCTCGTGAACATCAAAGATGCAGAGAAAAGAACCGTTGATGATCCTGACTATGATTCTCGTACACTTTTCATTCCTTCATCAGCATGGGCCAAGTTCACTGCGTTTGAGAAACAATATTGGGAGATCAAGTCCAAGATGTGGGACACTGTGGTCTTCTTCAAGAAGGGTAAATTCTACGAATTGTATGAAAACGATGCAGTGATTGCTAACACTCAGTTTGATTTGAAAATCGCCGGCGGTGGCAGAGCAAACATGAAGTTGGCAGGTATCCCAGAGATGTCTTTTGAATATTGGGCTAAAGAGTTCATCAGCCATGGGTATAAGGTCGCAAAGGTCGATCAAAAAGAGTCTCTCCTTGCAAAAGAAATGAGAGGAGGTGGCACGAAAGAAGAAAAGATCATCAAGCGTGAACTAACTGGTATCTTGACGGGAGGCACGCTTACCGATCTCGATATGATTAGTGACGACATGGCAACATACTGCTTGGCTCTCAGAGAGTCAACCAGCGAGGATGGCGAGAAGGTTTTCGGTGCTTGTTTCGTTGACACTGCTACGTCCGAACTCAATTTTATTGAATTAAAAGATGACGAGGACTGCTCAAAATTAGATACTTTGATTACCCAAATCAAACCAAAGGAAATCTTGTGTGAGAAGAACAACTTGTGTTCAACTGCTGTTAAGATAATCAAATTCAACGCCCATAATTCCCATCAGATTTGGAATTATCTTAACCCACTCTCGGAATTCTTGGACTACGACACAACGGTTGAAACATTGGTTAAGGGGAAGTACTATGAAGCACAGGATCTTGACGATTTCTCAAACTATCCACAAGTACTCGTCGATTTCAAAGACAATCACCAAGTTGCCTTCCATGCATTTGGCGGGTTATTACATTACCTCAAGATGTTGAAGCTTGACGAAAGCATCATGTCTCTTGGGAACGTCAAAGAGTACGAAATTTCCAAGCGTGGTGCAAACCATTTGCTCCTTGATGGTATCACACTCAACAATCTCGAAATGTTGAACAATTCATTTGATGGCGGGGACAAGGGAACTCTTTTCAAACTCCTTAACAAGGCTATCACGCCATTTGGTAGACGTATGTTGAAAAGGTGGATTCTTCACCCTCTCATGAACGTGGAAGAGATCAACGCAAGATATGATGCCATTGACTTTTTTATTAATAACGAGCCAGAGCTTCGTGTGGAATTAGAGAGTGCTCTCGGCAATCTACCAGATTTGGAAAGACTCATTGCTCGAGTTCATGGGAAGACTTTACGTTTCAAGGACTTTTTGAAAGTTATAGAAGGTTTTGAATCAATCTCAAAGATATTCAAATCTATCAAGAAGTTCGATATTGAGAAATCTGGAGCATTGAGAAAGTTTGTGAACCGCTTCCCAGATGAGCTTCACGAGCTCATTGACTCATGGGAAGAAGCCTTCGACAGGCAAGAAGCCATTGCTAATGTGGTGGTACCTGCTAAAGGAGTAGACGAAGAATTTGACGAATCTACCTCAATCATGGATGGTTTGGAAGCTCAGCTTAATGACTACCTCAAGGGTTACAAGAAGCAGTACAAGTCCCACGAGATCTGTTTTAGAGACTCTGGTAAAGAAATTTTCCTTATCGAGATGCCTATCAAAATTAAGTCGATCCCTAAGGATTGGCAGCAAATGGGTGCCACTTCTAAGGTGAAGAGATATTGGTCTCCAGAAGTCAAAGCTACTGCAAGACAGCTTATGGAGCAACGTGAAACTCATAAGACAGTTTGTGAAAACTTGATCCTGAGAATGTATGACAGGTTTGACAAGAACTACGAATTATGGATGTCCGCCATCAAGATCACAAGTAATATTGACTGCTTGATCGCATTGACTAAAACATCAGAAACAATCAGTTACCCATCATGTCGACCAACTTTCGTCAATGACTCGGATGCTAAGATCGAATTTAATGAGTTAAGACACCCTTGCTTCTTGGGTACCAGCGACTTCATCCCCAACGATGTTCTTCTTGGAGGCAATAATGCAAACTTCAACCTTTTAACAGGTGCAAACGCCGCTGGTAAATCAACGCTTATGAGAACTACTGCCTTGGCTGTTGTCATGAGTCAAATCGGATGCTACCTACCAGCTTCAAGTGCAATCTTAACCCCTGTGGATAAGATCATGACCCGTTTGGGTGCTAACGATAATATCATGCAAGGAAAATCGACCTTCTTCGTTGAATTGTCAGAAACTAAGAAGATTTTGAGTAACTCCACGGCAAACTCGCTTGTCATTCTTGATGAATTGGGAAGAGGTGGTTCTTCCAGTGACGGTTATGCCATTGCTGAATCGGTCTTACATCATCTTGCAACCCATGCCCAACCTCTCGGTTTCTTTGCTACCCATTACGGAAGTATGGGTCTTTCTTTCGTTAACCACCCTCGCATCAAGGCCATGAGAATGGGTATCGTTGTTGACCAAAACTCCAGGAACATCACCTTCTTATACAAATTGGAAGAAGGAACCGCATCTGGATCATTTGGGATGAACGTCGCAGCCATGTGTGGTATCAGTGGAGACATTGTGGACAAGGCCGAGGTGGCTGCAAAAGACTACGAACAGACGTCCAAGCTTCGAGAGGAACATGAAAAGCAGCAGATCAGCAAGATGAGTATTGGTCTTCAAAGTGACTTCTCTTGGGCATACCTGCATTACAATGATCTAGAAAAGAGCGTCCTACGTTACGGAGAGCCAGAAAAGCTCAATGCTCTCGACTGTGTCTTCCGCATGATTGAGTCTCTCTAGAGAAGCTTCGCTTCGGATAATGGCGCCACGCGATATTCCCGAGACACCCGACTCTGCATACTTTAAATAGTCCTTTTTATCCCAGGAACCTCATCAACTAAAAAAAAAAACTAATACATTCAATATGGCTGTCAAATCTGCTGTGAACCTTTTACTTTACTCAGTCGCCTTTGGTGGCGGTGTGATGCACTCTTACATCGTCTCGCCAATTGCCTTCAAGTATTTGCGTAGGGAAGAATTCAGTAACTTGCAGAACAAGGTCTTCCCTATCTACTTCATTGGTCAGACTGCTGCTCCATTATTGCTTGGTGCCACTTCTCCAGTCCTCAGCAACGTTGCTTTGTCGTTGTTGGGGGTTTCGCTGGTTGCAGGTGCCTTGAATTACTTCTGGTGTTTGCCAACCTGCCAGAGAATCAAGGACGAGAGAAACAAATTGATTGCAGACAAGAAACACGAACACGTCGTTGACGGAGAGACAAAGCCGACCGATGAGGTCATTGCCTTGAACAAGCAGTTTGGCATGTACCACGGCTTTTCCTCCATCTTTAACCTCGTCTCCTTGCTTACGCTCGGTGCCTACGGAGTCTTATTGGCCAGCCATAAATAGCGATGTCCGAGAATTGAATTGATGCTTTATGGAAAAATAAGATATATGTATATGAAGTAACGGATTCCTTAACTGTCCCAGCGTTTACTCTTCCTTCTTCTCCTCCTCTTGCTTCTTGGTCTCGTCCTTCTGCCTCTTGAGCTCCTTGATATCGTCAGCGTACACCTTTCTGTAGACGAACTTGATGAAAAGCCAGATTGAGGTGACAATGGTTACACCCAACAAACCAAAGTGAACGCCTTTCATGGTGTAAGACATATCTGGGAAGAAGATGAGCTGCCTCATGACCCAAGCGTAGTGAGTGAGGATCGCCACAAGGACGAAGAAGCCTCCGATGGCAAACTTCAAATCCTTGACATTCTGCTCATCCTCTTTACGCTCTTCACGTTTAGCATTAATCTCCTCTTTAGTTCTGCGTCTTGGGGCGGACATCTTAATTGTTCTTCGATGGTCTGGGGAAATGAAATTATTAACGGACGTCGCACTACAAGAAAATTTAGTGTGGGGAGAACTAAAGAACATAACATCGTAACTAAAAAGTACTAAAAAGGCAGCCGAACCAACGGAGGTTCGAGCCAGGCGTCTGGCAATAAATAAACTGTGAATAAATAGATCTTTTTCTCTTTTTCTTTTCTTTTATGGGATTTTTCAATCTGCGTTTTATTTTTTGTTTGTATCGAGATCCACTTCTATCCCATTACCCTATATTTTGAAGATATCCTCAAGTAAGGATTCGGCTTTCATTGTCAATCAAGAATTTTCTCATTTGCAGAAGACTTCCGCTTAACTTTCTGAAAATGCAAACCTTTATGTTGGTATCATACAAGTATCGTAACATAAGCTCTCCGATTTTGAGCACATAAAGCGACTTTTCCAAGCTATAGGCAAAGTAGTTCTCGTGAGAATTAACAAGCTGCTCCATTGCCTCGTCGCTATGCATAAACTCGGTACTGTCCATGAGTAAGCTGTCGTTGTTGAAGGACGAAAACAAGTAAAGATTGGTGAGATCAGACTCATGCTTCGAGTTGCGGTATTTGGTTTTCAAGAACTGCTCAATTCTGGCGAGAACTCGGAGCACAACCATGAACCTTTGGTTAAGCTGGCTTGTGAAGTTATTCTTGTTATTTCTGGAAAACTCATTCAGCACATTGTTGCGCTTGGCAATAAAAATGGCAAACACTGAAAGTACCGTGAACACATGGAACAACATTTGGGAGTGTACTGAGTTCTTCGTAATGTCAATCTCGTCGTTGACTTTCCAACCTAACATCTTTTCGAAATCCGTAGCAGTGTTATATTGATGCAGTAAACTGTTGTCACCAAAACGGAACTCTTGGGAGAGACCGTCTGAATTGTCGCTTCCTCTGTCTTCAGTCTTGAACAAGATGAGCTTGATGATGAGTATACAGCTGTCAATCACCTTCAAGAATTCGCTGTCATCGATCATATCTGTTGAACTCAAAAACTTGTGATAGTTCTTGGTGAGTTCATCGTAGTTCTTTAACCAACTTTGTTCCTTAACAAGCCTGAAGTCGATCGTGGAGCTGAACTTTATGAAACTGACCAACAAGGCGTAATCCTGTTTTTCAAAATCCAAAGAGGCCTCTTTCACTATCCTCGTATCAGCATTATTCTTCGCATTATCGATGAACATCGTCAAGCTATCCAAGATCGAGAAGACATCAATGTACTTCATTTCCTCATACTGCTTCATCTCGTAGATTCCATGTGCGATCGACGTGAAACCATACTTACTAAGGTTGGACAACTGCGACACGAGCGATGGGTTCATATCATTCTTCAGAAGTTTGAACAAAAGGTCCTTGAAGACAATAGAATTGTGCTCATTTTTACTCAAGTAAAAGTCGAGCCCGTGTGGAGTATCTGTCGCCTTTTGATAGTTTGTAAACTCACTGTAGCTTCTGAAGCTCCATAAGTACTCATCGTATGTGTTAGGGCACATCAAGCTACCCAAGTCATTGATACTCAAAGTAAGAGGAACGTTGTATGTCATCAAGATGAAGTTCGTCAACTTGTAAATCATGAACACAATTCTGGCTTGTGACTGAAGACTAATGTTGTTCTTGAAAAGCACTTCACCCTTCTCGTCTTCGCCAGAAAACATGGAAAGATTCTTATCCGAGGTGCCACCTTCATGAATAATCTTGAAGTATTCTTCATCTTCACCACTGATACTGAAAAGTATTTTCCTGTTGCTCTTGATAGACGTCTTCACTAATGAGTTCAAAGCATTAAGCTGGCGAATGACAATATAGACATTGTTTTCATTGTCAGAGAACAAACCGTAAATGACAGATAATGTGAGCGATTGGATCAACCAAAGTGGATTAACTGTCTGTGTGGGACTTTGCGAGGCACCAATAATGTCACCTGCCGAGTTCTTACGATTCTCCAAGTAGATGTGGATGGTTCTGCGGGAAGCCTCGTAAAGATGTTCAGAGTCATTCTTGTTATTAGCCAACAAAGCACCGATAGTAGCCACCAAAAGCGGCATACATACACGAGCGCTCTCATTACTCATAGGTTCATTGGAAGTCATGCTCATAATCTCGTATTCGTTAAGCTTTGAGGGATGGATAAAAGGAAAGTGTGAGAGGAACATGTTCACAAAATTTTGTAAGTACTGTTCCAATTTCTCGTTGGAAGGAATGGACGGAGACATGATACCACTGATTGGGTACTTGCTCAAAGACTTATTGATCATGTACCTGATGTTCCTGGTGAACAAGTTTGTTCTGCTGTAGCCACCATCCGAAGGGCCTGTAGTTTCACCGACTGGATGACCATTATCATCATGGCCCGTCTGGCCGTACTGAGAATACTGATGGTTTCCAGTCATACCAGAAGGTGAAAGAAGTTGAGGTGGGGGAGTAGAATCAATCCCAGACGAGGAGACCGACTGAACATCGCCATAAAAGGAGTAACCGTTGGGCAAAAATTTCGAACCAACATCAAAATCTTGCGTGAGTTCATCAATGTCTTTCAAGAAGTTCATGTCGAAGTTTACACCATTTGTTATGGCCGCTGGAATGTTCATGCTATGCATGGGATCAAATGAGTTGCCATTATCCAAATCCATCAATTCGTCATCCAATTCTTGCTTAATGGGCGAAAGAGGCTGATTCATTTTAGGGACACCAGAAACCTTTGCCATCATGCTCTCAGGAATTCCATAAAAGGAGTAGCCCATATCTCCCGCTTCACTCTGTTGCCTCGAGGCGTTGTTGAGCGTTGGTTCGTTGCGAGAGGCTTTGCTGAAACTACCATTTTGAGCAGGATAAGGAGGATGAGTTGGTGTACCAGCGTCCATGTTATGGAAAGAACCAGCAGACGTGACACTGTCTGAGCGCATCATGCTTTGAAAAGTAGGATTCTGCAAGTCATGATTATCCAAAGACAAGGAAGTAATCGACTCGTCACGAGTAAGCCTATTGTGAGGATTCTTGTGAGAGTTTTCCATTCCGGGTATTGTTGACAAGTTGCTGAACCATGAATTGTCATCACCCATTGTAGATGGAAGCAATTGTGGAGTGGAAAACTCGACGTTATCAGCACCAGGGTAGGAGTCATTAAACTCGGGCATTGCCATAGCATAATTACCACCCGACTGAGCCGAGAACGAAGCACCTCTGTTTCTGTTTGTTGTTTTTCTGCGATCAAACATTTGCCTTTGCAAGTTGGAGTCTTTGTTGATGGAAGGGTTTCGAGATAACGCCGGCGTCTTCACGTCCTTCTTCAGCTTACGAGGGGCCAGTGTGGGATTGAACAAGTTCAAGTTAAACTGGATACTATCCAACGAGCCACGATGAGAGTTGCCCGGCGTTGGAATAGCAGCGGACGCCGAAACACCAGGATTACCCTTGGAGGCACCCAAACCGGTGGAGCCCGGAGTAGAGTCACTGTAGTCCTTTTGGTAAGGAGACTGGGATGACATTAGAGCCTCGTCGTACATTTCACCCGAAGCCGATGAGATAGAGTTGGATTTCATCAGCTTACGACGTAAGCGAGTAATGGCATCGGCGCAACCCGCATGTAACTTCTGGGCATGTCTTAAAAGCAAATCTCTTCGAGAAAACTTACGCTGACAGACGCCGCAAGTAAAAGGTTTTTCTTTGGTGTGGGAGCGCTCATGACGACGTAAATGTTCCAAACGAGCAAAAGCCCTAGTACATGTGTTGCAGACGAAAAGACGAGGTTTACCCGACGGAGTAGTACCGTGGGCGGTGAGTTCCCTTGGGATTTTTTTCTTCGAGTCCGAGGAGGCGATGGAGTCTGGGGAGGCGTCTTTTTCGAGGTTGTCAGGTAAGGAGGAAAAGTCCATTTGCGAGAGGTTGTGATTGGGTAGATTGACGTGGGAAGAAATCATCAAGGGCTGCTTGAGCAGATGGGAAGGTCAAAATAATGAATAACAAAAAGGGTTATTGTATATCACGACGGCAAGTTGTTTTTGCTTTGCGGGAGGTGCCGTTTCACCGTCGTATGGCTCTCTGTTGGCGAAGAGCAGGCGGGTCAGGCTGGGGTAGGAGCCGAAAAAAAAAACAAAAAAAGATTAAAATAAATAAATAGAACGCTGGAGGGCGAAATAAATAAAACGAGCGGCCGTGAGTGAGAACTGATTCTAAACAAACAGAACTGGTCGAAGGCCGTGTGTTGAATTATAGGGGGGAAAATAGATGAGTGGTGGGATGTGTTGGCTGGGTTGGTGAAAGTCTGGGGGAGAAAAAAAAATGTTGGTCAGACAATGCGGAAATTGCGGGGGACGAGCAGCACAAAAGCCCTGGTGCTTTTGGCCTCTTTGCACCCATACGTACGTAAAATATATGGTTCTCGCATGTAATAGGGTAAAAGAAGCATCTATGCTTTTAGAGGTTCTACTGGGTGGGCTAGGGGCATAAGGAGGTTCCCAAAGTTTACAAAAAACACTCATTCTCATATCCTTCCCTGCCTCACTGACTGGTCCATGTCTCATGGAAACAGCCTTTTTTGGCCACTCCACGGCGCGATACGACACCGTCAGTAATTGGACCTGAGCCAAGCTTGCGCAGGCAGACAGGCAGACAGGCAGACAGGCAGAGGCAGACTAGGCAGGTCCAGTCAGGAGGCTGCAAACTCTACTATAATTGTCATGGAGGGAAGGGCTACTTGTAGTGGCCCCTATCAATGGCATTGCCATTGGTAGGGACTCTTTTTTGGTGATGTTTTCCTTTTAACCTTTTCTCTCTATCTATACCACCTTCATTTCACCTTCATCTGTTTGTTACTAATGTCCATCCGCGGCTTCGTACAACTTGCGCTCCTACTACACTTTTGCATTGAAACAGGCTTTTTTGGGCCCTCTCACAAACCAGGGTGAACACTCCCAACACAGTACATCCCCTATTCAAGTGCACCAATCATGCTTTTTTTCTTTTGTAGTCTCCTGCCTTTCTCTCTTTCCTTTTGGCCTTTGGCCCATTTTGTAAAACCTGACCGCCGCTTGGCTCGGCTTCTCTGCCGGGGTTCCGACCTGGACCAGCCTTGTCTGGAGAGCGTCTATGTTTCCCCAGATGTGACAAAGAGGTGGGTTCGCACCACGGCACCAGAACAAAGACCACGGAACGAGGCCATAGCGAGCGCGAATAATGGGGCTGACGACCAATCCCGGATCGCCCCAGTTGGGCAATTGTTCTTATTGGCTGGTGGGGAGGCTTCGCCTGTGGATCTTGGGGCTCGGTTGGATCCACTGCTGGTCGCTTTTGCTGGTTACGTCGCTACACTGGGGTTCCGGTTCGGCTGCTATGGGTGCTCGCTTCTGGCTCCCGCTTGCCTATTCTGGATACCGATAAGCATTTTTGGGCTCGGCCCAGACGACTCGCCGATTCCGCGGGCATGATCACTCTAACGTGACCAAGGGCACGTGATACAAGTCACGAGAATCAAAGCGTGAATGTCACGATACCAAAATCACGTTTCTGCCCGCCACATCTTACACGTGACTTCATCAGTAATCGCTAAATCAAACCTCCAACCTCCAAAGAACCCCATTCCTCCAGCCGCCATAGTCATGTCGCTTATAGAGATCGAGTCTGAGGACCAGTTCACGCAGCTTACAAAGGATGACCCTACTAAGTTGATTGCCCTTTACTTCCACACCCCTTGGGCTGCCCCATGTCAAACGATGAACTCGGTGGTGAAGACTTTGGCTCAGGCCAACCCAAACGTCAGATTCCTCTCTATCAACGCTGACGACCATTCCGACATTTCTGAGTTGTTTGAAGTTTCGGCTGTTCCATATATAATATTGATTCGTAACGCTACGATCTTGCAGGAGTTGAGCGGTGCTGACCCTAAGGAATTCATTGCAGCCTTGAAGCAGTTCTCTGGAGACACGGCTCCTTCTTCTGTGGATGGTGCTGCTGCTACCCAAGCTAGTCTGGACGCAGCCCCAGCTCCTAAAGAGCCAACGGCAGAGGAGCTCGATGAGAGACTCAAGAAGCTCACGGCAGCTGCCCCAGTTATGCTCTTCATGAAGGGTTCTCCTTCCTCGCCCCAGTGTGGCTTCTCTCGTCAGATGGTGGCTATCTTGAGAGAACACCAGGTCCGTTTTGGTTTCTTCGACATCTTGAAGGATGACTCGGTCAGACAGGGCCTTAAGACGTTCTCCGACTGGCCAACCTTCCCACAGTTATACGTAAATGGCGAATTCCAAGGTGGCTTGGACATCATCAAGGAGTCTCTTGAGGAGGACTCTGACTTTTTCCAAACTGCATTGGCCGCATAGATATGGCCCCTACAGACGAGTTCTCATTACAATCTATTAATATACATAAGCGTGAATATGACCTTTTCTAAACCGCTCTCATAGCATACCCTGGGAGACAAGTAAATCAAGCTCCGGGTCATCCAGTATGTCTTCTAGTTCTTTGTTTTTGGTTTCTTTGGGTTTGGTCGTTGTCTGCGTCCGCATGCTGCTAAGTAAGTTATCGAAATTACCATCGTCAAATGTATCGTTCAAGTCATCATCTGTCTCACCTGTAGAATCATCAACTGCATCACTCATCACTTCATCGTCTGAACCCTCGTCACCTTCATTCTCTTCCTTTATTTTCTGCCTGATATCTGCTTTGAACTGATCTTCAGCTCCAGAAACAAACTCACTTTCGTCCTCCATGACCGGTAGCTCCTCGTCAGCAAATATCTGCGCAAAAGTACCACCAAGGCGATTATAGTTGTATCGTGTGCGGCCATTGAGGAGCCTGTAACGGAACAGGTTATAGATTCTGGGAAGAAGGCAACCATCGACAAGATTGGCTTCTTGAAACAGAAGTCGAAGTCGACTGACGTACCTGACATAATCAGAAACCTCTCGTCTCACTTTATTAGATTCCCTGATAGTCTTGAAGTGTCTGGAGAACTTCATAGGTTGCGTTCGACCTGACTTTACGGGTACTTGCCGTAGGCTGGCTCGAGTTGCCATGATTCCGTACTCCTGACTTTCTTCGACTCCCTCAAGCGTGTCATTTATACTCAATGAATCTACGACCTGAGCTGCTATATTCACATCGTAATCTGCACCATTCACGATTTGGTAATTCTCGAGTAGAGTCAAATGGAGAAGGCTGAAGTTACTGTAAGCATCGGCCACCATTTTAATCGATAATGCATCTGATTGCTGCTCATCTAGACCAGCAAATTTGGAACTTGAATGTATCACTTTGCCCACAGCATGGAAAAGGGAGATCTGATTCTCTCTATCGCTAGGGCTATGAAGGCCATACATGCTCCAGAACTGGAGATTGCATATCAGGGACCGAATGTCTCCCGTTTCTATAATTCCATTTAAAAACTCATCCAAATCTTTCTTTTTGGCACTACCAAACACCTGCAGCTCCTTTGAGATTATCTTGTTCAATGTCTTCTTCATGAATGTCTTAGCTATCGGTAGAAACTTAATTCGTTTGATGGTCCCTTGGGCAGCTCCTAAATTAAAGAAGTCTCTCCCTAGAAGGGTTTCAACAGTCAAATTGTTCTCGATATTGTAGTATGCTTTCTGGCCTGGTTCTCCACTTTGGTTTCTCTCAATCTCCAGAAGGCAGAGAACCACTGGGGGAAGATGCAAATTTGCATCAGAGAACACCCAATTCCTTAGACAGTCTCGAAACTCGTAAAGAGTCTCGTTGTAGAAGATATTGGGCAAATCTTCAATAAGTATCACTGAGAGATTGTTGCCCACCAAGAATTTGCACCCATCCATAAAGTCACGAAATTGGTCTTTCTGGTAAGTGTCCTCTATTTTCGAGTCAAAGTACTCGACTATGCTGTTGGCTGAAGTGCTCATAGAGCCACCCGTTCTAGCACTTCGTTCTTGGAGGTGTTTCTTCGCAAGTAGCTTGACACTCGTAGATTTGGAGCTCCCTGCTGGACCAGAAAGCACCAAAAGCCTGCAACCCAGCTTTCCTGCAATCATTGATTCAAGAACATCACTAACTTCACGAAGCTTTCTGGGATTGAGGCATAGATCTTCCACTCTGGTTGGTTCATACTTATCTATCCACTGCAATGATGTATCAGGCCTCGGTCGTTTCTGAGGGGCGCTTGTTGCAATGGCCTCCTCTGTATCGTCATCAACATCTTCACTTAGGCTGTCTTCTTCGTGCTTCTGAGGAGGTTTCTTGCTACGTTTTGGTGGCATGTAATGGCTTCATAGGATGGAAGAATGTTTGACTTCTGAGTATGCGCGATGTTACTGCTCTTGAAGTGTAGGCTACACTACAGTGAAGATAAGCAAGAAATGTAATAGATTCTCATATAATAGCTCTGATATATATATACAGCAGGTCATTAGTGGTCATTAAATGTCTCTTCGACGAACCTCAAGCCGCGAGGCTCAGGGAAGGGACTGTGTGTTCGTTGTGATGTCTGGTTGATAAACACCATTTGAGGGTTCTGTTGCAGCCTTGTTTCATACTGCGAGTTAAATAATGCGGGCTGGAACTTCCCGAACTTGAGTGGAAGGGTAAGTTCAGCTTCCGTGGGCGAGATAGGGCCGGCCAGCAGCTCATCTGTAACTTCTTGGTCCGACGACCTTTTTCTCTTTCGGTTGGCTGGCTCAGAGGCTCTTCTCCGTACTGTCGTAGCCTTTTTGCGCATAGCCATTAATTGTTGGTTATCGAATTTTGGTGACGAGCCAATAAGTATGTCATCATACTGTAATTCTACCTTATCCCGAAGGTTCGGGTAGACTAGGATCTCTATTGTTGATTCTTTGACGTTGTTTCTTTGCACAAGCCCAGCATAGACGTCTCCAGAATGTCTCCGGCGAGTTTGGTTGGTGAAGGTGAACTGTATGATAGAGTCCTCCTTGATCTGCTCCATCTTCTTTTGAAGATCCAGTGATCCTCGTTCATAATATGGAGAGGATGACTGTCTGTGCATCTTACAAAGAGCGGGATCCATCACGACTCCACCTGAAATTGCACAGGTAGCGTGGAATGCTCTGGTACACTTCTTATGAGAACACTGAAAGCATGCTCCCTTCAAGTCTCCACCCAGTGTCAGGTTAGGAACGTGACATACCTGGCATTTGAGCCCACGCTGAGCCTTGCTTATTGACAGAAGTCCATTAACCTTCTTGCCATGGATATTGAGTTGATCTTTAAACTGCTGAGCACATATGCGATGCGCATGCTTAGAATCAGCACCACCAGTATTGTCCGCCCCTAAGAGCTCGAATTCATGATACGTAAGAAGATCCTCGGGTAAGGTGTTAGGACAAAGAACACATTGAGACTTAGGTTCAACTTTCTTCTCGCGTTTGCGTGGCGACGGTTTCTTTGGCGTGTGATGCTCTTCGACTTCTCTGGTAACAACTTCCTGCTTCTCCACAGGCTCTGGCTGCTCGGAAGTATAGGGGATACCCTTGAACTTGCAATATATCTGCTTGTAATTGATGCCGACAGAATCGGAGATACATTCACATTTCTGAGTCTTCTCTGCAAAAGGGAACCAGTCGTCTAACGCGAAGTTAACAGACTCGGCGAGATTGTAGCCCAAGTTATATCCAGAGTGGTAGCCGTAGGGATACGTTATCATGAATTCACCTTGATGGTGGACAACACTGTTGCACGTTATGCCATGTTTCTGCAAGAATTGAGGAGATGCCATGAATGTCTTGTGTCTGAGGAACTCATGGCAGTTCTTGTAATCCTCGTTGAATATTTCTTTCATAAGATCGTAGAATTTTCCACTCTCTTCTTGTGGGATTGAGTACCATTGTTTGGGAGCTCCGAAATGAAGGTAATTGATCGAGTATAGGTCTTGGTCCTCCAAGTGCCATGAAAAGGTCGCTTTCCAAAGACCAGCATATAGGTAAGCATCATTGACACCAGGAATCTTTTCCTCCATCAAATCTAGAACGTTAGGAAGGTGAGCAACGTTCCAGCTTGTAGTTCTATCCAAGAAAAGTGATCCTAACATATCAGCACCATACATAGGCTCTGAATAGCCTACCGACTTCCAATACGCAGCTTCAAGCTCACTGCATCTCTCTGGAGTAAAATCGCTTGCATCAATATTGAAATCTGCATCGAGCAATTTGTCGGCAATCTCTCTCGTGGATCCACCTTTACTTGTTCTGGCCCTGTCTTCTTCCTTAGTTTCCACCTTTTCGTCAGGCGCCGGCAGCGAACTGCCTCTACCTCTGCTTTTACGGCGTGCAGGGGGACTATGGTTGTGCTTTTTCAGTAATTCCTTCCATTGAAAGATATTGTAGCTCCTCTGACGCTCCACATTCTGCAGTGAAAATACCCCCAGGTATCCAGCCGTCACATTGATATTTTGCACAATGGGGTTTCTAATCTTCACTTGCAGTAGATTCTCTTCGTTATATGTACCTTTGAGCAGGGATGTCCATTCTGGTGGTGGCACAACTTTAACAATCCCTGATTTCATACCATACGGGTTGATAGCCTTATTGTACAGGTAAAAGTCTCTAAATTGGTCCATGGTGGGTTCGAAGACAGGAACCCCATTGGAATAGTAGGCAGGTTCGACCACCAAGTTGGGGTCTGCTTTGTATATGCTTTCCATGATAAATTGGGAGGATAAGAGCTTCAGACAGCTTTGAAGCGTTTGTGCTGTGGGACCGGGAAAAGGTCAGACAACCTAACGTGCAGATAAAGACTCACGTGCGTCTTTTAGGATTCGAACACCGACACTCGGGCACTCAATTAATGATAGAAAGAAGGGTTAAATGAGCTGAATATGTATTTGAATTGGTTAGTTTTCTCATTGTGTTCTCTAGGCGAGAGCTACTTGTTGGTTATTCAATGGTAAAGGCTGTGTTCATGCGAAAAAAGACCTAAAAGTGGCATAAACTAAGTCTTTTAGGGAAGAATGAGGTGTTTAAAAAGATAAAATAAAGAAGCGAATTTATTAATTCAAAGAATGGAGAAATACATGTCGATAAATATGGAAGATTGGTTTGATTATAGTACATTTTGGAAATTCCACACGTGACCCATATGCACGTTATTAAACTTGGATCAAACTGCGGAAGAATCGTTGGTTCGATTCAGCTCCGACGCGTCATACTTAACCATGCCTTACGCTAAAAAGCCTGTTCCTCCAAAGCAAGAGAGAATCTCGAAGTCGAGAGCCGCTAAGGCCTCCTTCATGACTGGCTTTACCGTTGTGGTTTTCTTGGTTTGGCTCTACCACTTGTATTGGGTCATTATCGCCATCAATGACCGCAAGTTTGGCGGCCTTCTTTGGTCCCTTTTGGTGACCGTTGGATCTCTTGCCTTGAGTTCATTCATTATGATCAGAGTTTTGCTTTTCTTCGAGACCCGTCTTTTGAGTGACGATATCGATGCTGATCATAAAAAGTACCTTTAAAGGGGCGCATTCGTTGTCGTGACGCCCTTCGTATCGCAATACTTTTGAAGAAAGGGAAGATCCAAATTTATGGGGAAAACTTCTTCTTCTTTGAGGTGTTGATTTAAAGTTTCAACTTTTATCGGCTCGAACAATGCAATCTTGAGGTGCAAGCTCTCGCTCATCTTGATCAGATTAGTGATTTTGTCATAAGTCATTTCGATAAACCGCTTACCGAACATTCGTGACTCTTCTTCATTCATATTTTTAGCATCCGTCAAATCATCAATAGACGTGCCCGTAAGTTCTGCGGCATATTCTATCGCTTCTGCCATTGTAGCCTTTAGCTTAGTAGGCGCAAGCCCCAAATGAGAGTAAACTTGCCGCACGTCTTTCATCGACATTTGCGTGAGCTTTGTATAGCTATCAGATTGTGTAGTGAGTCTTGGGCTTGAAGGAACTTGCAAAACAGATGGCATCTTTCTGGGTTGGGGTGGCTCTATGGGATCGGAAGGCTTGCTTATCTCAATCAAACTCACCTCACAATCACTTTCTTCAGAATCAGGTATGTTATCCTCTGCTGATGTAGCCGTGATTTTTCTCATCTTGATGTCATTAGAAACTTCCACAGGAAGCTCTATATTACCACGGTACTCCAATGTTGTTGTCATATAACTTCGTTTCCTAGCAAGACGGTTTCGCTTAGGCAGCGGCATGGATGATTGAATTTCCGGCAATCCTGAAAACTGAGATTCATAATTGTCATCATCAAGAACACTTCTTGCAGTTGAAAAGTGCTCTTCGTCGTCGATTTTCTGACCAGGAGTCACACTTTCTTTACCTGATGAAACAGGTGACGATGTGATAACAAGATTACTTGGCCACCTCGTAGGGGTATGAGGCTTCTTAGATAGCTCAGGCTTCACTGGAGAGGAAAATATGACTCCTCCATTGCTTTTAACCGGCAGCTTTGGCTTCTCTTCTATCACCAAAGGTTGAGTTTGTGTCCCCACCATAGTCTCTTCTTTAGAATTTTTGGAATTGAACGCAATGCTTGTAAGAAGATCAACTGATTCAGGCGGACCAGCCTCCTGTCGAGAAGGAATGTCTTCTAGGGACCCAAGTTGTTTAGATAGAATGTAAGGCTCAGGCTCAGACTCGGAATCGGAAATTAAAATAGGTGACTGTGACCGTATCAGGTGGATGGTATGATTAAGATCATCGTCATCCTCTTGTGCTTCATCCTCCTTCCGTTCTTCATCGTTTTTCTGTTCTTCTTCATCCTCTTCATATGCATTTTGTTCAATCTCGTCCTCTTCATCACTCTCGGTCGATTTAGGATCGTTCATCGCCTGCGATAACGTCAAATAAAATGGCTTCTCCTCGTCTTCATCTTCTGTCAAATGTAAAGCACTAGTGTCGATTTCATTGACCTTCTCACTATCTAGATCATATAACCATTTGACATCCTCTGTTGTGAGATCATCGCTTGGCTGACGTGAAGCCTTTGACCATATACTTTGAGACTCGTCTGTAGAGCTAACACTAGGCTGTCGTAGGGACTTGAGTTGCTGTGATATCTTACTGAGGGTTCTTTGATTCTTCTTAGATAGATCTGGAAACCTGAGTCGAATACTCTTCAAAAGGCCCTCCCACTCCTTCTTCGAGTGAACGAAAGACAGAACATCTGATAGCTGTGTGCCATTAGTCACAAGACCTGAAGCAGTTTCGACTTTTTGTAGGAACTCATCAACTTTTCCAGCATCCCCCGCAAAGTAGTCCAATATACTCAGAGGATCCGGAGTCTTCTTATTTTTGAACATTTCTTTCACGAAAGAATTCAATGAGAGCGAGCTTGTTGGAGGCTTCTTTGTCTTTAGAGTGGGCTTCTTTGGTTTCGCTTTCTTACGCGGTTTATTCATGGTCATCTCGCTTGTCTTATGTTGTGTGGGGCTTTCATTTTTGAACTTTTGCAACTTGCTCAAAGAGCGTTCTTTCCTTTCAAGGTCTTCATGACGTGACTGTATTTGGGTAGAGGCAAAATATAGGGAGGGCAGGGTATCATCGTTGTCCAGTTCCATGCGTCTTTGTTGATGGTATCTTCGTAGTAGTTGCAAATTGATGCGCGTCTACAAGCATAAGTGGTAACCACCATCACCAAGTCCATCCGAGATTGATATTCAATATCCACCTATAAATGTATATATGCAAAATTACGCTTTCTCCTTCACACCATCCTTGATTTCCCATAAGCTTAGTTTTTTGTTGTAGACAGCGACATCTTGTATGGTATGCTTGAGAATGCTCTTGGTAAAGTTCTTGAACTCTTTCTTAGCCAACTCAGAGAGCGTGCCGATAGTGAAATCGGAATTTTTCTCAATGAATGCTATGAGGTCCTTGACAACAGCCTGGTCCTGAATGGTAGGCTTCTGCGGAGTCAAAATATTGGCACTCGCGGGACTCTTGCTCTTGACAGGCGTAGCCTTCAACTGGTTGACCGAAAATGGCGTATCTTGAGACTTCACAGGTGTGGCCACCTTGGATTTATCTGTGGCCCAATAGTCTTTAAATGGATCGATCGGGAAGCTTATTTGGGGTACTAACATTGAGTAGTGGTAAGTGTCGAACGCCGGGTTCTTTCCGTCGTTTACAATAGTCACCGGCTCCATTGGTCCCGCATTGATTCTCCGCTTATCATTATTGCTCTCCACGAAATCATCCATTTCATCATCATCATTAGGCTCGTCATCTTCGCCCTCGCCATCTTCCATGTCATCAATGTCTTCCCCTTCATCTTCATCGCCGTCTTGCCAATCTAGATCGGAGTCATAGTTATAGTCATAACCAGTGAGCGAAGTATCTAGCGGTTTTGTAGCGACGAACGGCATCGATGAATGTTTCTGAGAACTCCAGGTCCCGATATATGGAGGCTTTGCGTTCTCATAAAATTGCAAGTATTTGATGCGTGGAAGATTATGCAACAACGATATTATGGTCGACTCCTTGGTGGCAGTCGAATCCAAAGCTTCCACGAGCTGTTCGGAGGTTGTATGTGACTGATTGAAAGTCGATATCGTTGGCTCTTTAAACATGTCATTCAAAGTAGTATGACTTGAAGAAGCCAACTCATCATCGAATTTCTTTATCTGACTTTCTAGTTCCTCTGGAGAAAGAAGTTGAGTCTGGGCCATTGTAGCATTCTTCTTAATAAAGAAGGGTAGAAACAGCTTCTCGTAAAGATTGAATTCTTCTTTTGGCGAAGCCAGATCGAGAGTTGTAGGGACGGGCGTGGGTTCCTTCTTCTTCTTCGGAGCGGGCGCTCTCACGGAGAAGAAATTCGAGATTTTCATTTGACTGCGTTCTTTCTGCTCTTCCTGCTTCTTCTTTTCTTCTTCTAGTTGTTTACGCTCCTCCTCCTTGCGTTTCTTTTCCTCTTCCTTCTTTAGCCTTTCTTGTTCTTTCTTCTTCCGCTCTTCTTCGGCCTTCTGTCTTTTCTCCTCTCTACGCTGTCTTTCTTCTTCACGCTTTCGTTCCTTCTCTTCCTCGAGCTTCTGCTTCTTTATTAGTCTTTCCTGTTCCTTTCTCTCCCTCTCAAGCTTCTTTATGATGCGTTCTTCCTCCTTCTTTTTCTCGCGTTCAAGTCTCTCCTGCTCTCTAATCTTCTGTTTTTGCAATCTCTCTAGCTGCTTCTGCGTGAGGTTGCCTTCTCCATTCGAGACTGAGCCTTGCAGAATTTGCAGGGCTTGCTGAGTTTGAAACGCTTGCAGAGCTTGAAGAGCTTGCAGAGCGTTTAGATCTTGCAAGGATGGAACGCCATTGTCTTGGGGAAGATTCTCCTGGGTGGGTAGCGTTTGCTGTGAAGCAGCGACCTCTTGGGACGAGATACTAGGTGAAACAGGTGGAGATGTGGTTAAATCAATGGATTCATTTGCGGCTGTCTGTGAAGAAGGAGCTGGTACTGAACTGTTCAAACTTTCCAGAGCTAGTGGTTCCTTTTGGGTATCATTGTCTTTTTCGTCAACGTCGATAACCTCGGTAACCTGGCTTTCGGAGTGGTTGGTTTCCGTGTCTGCTACCTTTGGCTTCTTTCTGGCAAAGTCATCTAAATTAAATTGTCTCTTGCCAGCATTTTTCTCAAAAGTACCATATTCTGGAATTGCTCCCGAAGAGAGGGGCTCATCCATCAGGGTCATTGGGTGATATCTGAAATTCGAGTATTTGGTTCAAGAGCTTCAGCGGACGCGTACATCAACATTCGTTACGTGTAGGAAGAACGAAATTTGGAACATGGCGTGTCAGCCCAACCACTGTCACCAAAAATTTACTTAAAATACTGAAAATAGAAAAGAACTAGTTAATCGTTTTGAATTAAGCCATTTATTTGCTTAAAGCGATTGGAACCGTCACTGCTTATTCGTTTGTGCTATAACTAAACTGTTTCGCAGCCATTTTGCAGCCACTCGATGCTACCGAGACAACCTTCGAAGCGAAGAAATTAAGACCATATATGAATATCAAAAGGTTGGGTGAAACATGAAATTTTGGTCTTGAGTTTGTTATGTTCCCGTCTTAATATTGCAGCTGCCACTTCGCTAGCACCAAGCTTGATTACCTGAATACCAGTATGTATTTACACAAAATGTCTAAGCAGGTGCCGTTAAAAGGCAACCCAAGTACACTTCACTTCCCATCGCATAAATAGAGTAGTGTATTTCATCTATCTTATAAGCTTCTAAACCGCATCTATGCGCTGCGTTATAGTTGCACCTCTCCGTTTTACCATTTTGCAGCCATTTTATTTTAACATTCACTTCGATTATAAGTGCAAACATACTAATCTACTGATACTTAGGGATCATTAAAACTTGGTTATTATGACAGCTTGATGAATTATTATATTGTCTATCGTTTTGTGGTGGGTCCACACTCGCTAGTCAGCTGTATCTAAAGCTTCAAACACCAAACAATGTGATGCCAACAGCCGTCCAGTTCTTCCACCTCATCACAATATCCTTATTAAGGCAACCTTTGAGTTTCATCATTTTAAAATTAGATCTATAATTACCCAGGCTCTTTGTCCTTTACGTCATGGACCACTACCTAAGGCCGTCCCTCGGGCGCACAGGCCTGCACTGATAGTAGCTGCTCAGGCACTGGAACCGATAATGACTGTATTTGATCTATACCACTCTTCTCCATCATTACCACCACGCCTACTATAAAATGGGCTCTTTGATGCCCGGGGCATTTCCTATTGAGCTGCTGAGTCTAGCTCAGTCATCTGCAATCGAGTCACCCAGCAATAAGTGGAACTCGCTATCAACAGAGGATGACAAGCTTGCCTCCTTCAACAGATCAGAGTTCCTAGTCAACAAAGCAAAGGGCCAGCGACACTTGCTACGCCAGCTTGAAGGTTGTGTTTATATCTTGGTGGGCTACGAGTTGGTGAAGTATTGCCACCTTGCGTGCCTTTTGCCATTCATACTAGATCTCATGACGCAATCGATGATATCCGTCAGAGCCATCGTTGAACCAGACAACTGGTCTCTTCTAGAGACGATTAATGAAGTTACGAATAGGAAGGAACAGGAAAGTGGCGAGTCACAAGCAACACAGAGGTCGAACATGACGAAATTTATTTGTCTCAGCATTTACGGTAAGTTCCTACTTATCATCACCTATCATGCACTTTTTATCTTTTGGCTTAAGCTGATCGCAGATAGCGGACACCTAGATGAAATGGTAAACGGTTCCTGGTGGCTCGTCTCCTTTATCGGTGAGACCGTGGTGGCTGATTATGACACATCTTCTAGTATTTGGCTTCAGCTCTGGCAGCTTGGCCTTTACCAGCTCATTCTTATTGACTTTCTAATTCTACTACTTCAGCTCACCCTTTACCAAAGCATCCATAAGCAATCAAGCAAATCCCTTGAAGGGCTTCCACTTAACATAGACGAATTGGAGACGGTGAGGCCCTACAATGCAAGAGTCTCTGGCGATACACTCCGGCAACTACCACAGAAGGCTACCCAGAGGTTTTAAACATCAGACTTCATGATTGCTTCAATTCTCAGTCCTACCTTGGTTTCGTCTTTCAATAAAGTATGGCTCTAATTCGCGTCTTTCAGTGAGTCGCGCAGCTACGCGGTACACAGTTTTTCAATCTATCTCCATCAACTTCATCTTATTCCACCCCCTACGATGTCTGCTGAAAAAAAATTGAAAGTTTCCGAGGACCTCAAGGTTTTCTTGCGTTCCGATAGAGCTAAGGTTCCAACCAAGGGCTCGGCATTGGCTGCTGGGTATGATCTTTACTCTGCTGAAGAAGCAGTGATCCCAGCCCAGGGTCAGGGTCTCGTGGCCACTGACATTTCTATCATTGTCCCAGCCGGAACTTACGGTAGAGTTGCTCCAAGATCCGGTTTGGCTGTCAAGCATGGCATTTCCACTGGTGCAGGTGTCATTGACGCTGACTACAGAGGTGAGGTGAAGGTTGTCCTTTTCAACCATTCCAAGAAGGATTTCGAGATCAAGGCTGGTGACCGTATTGCCCAATTAGTTTTGGAGCGTATCGTCAACGCTGAGATCGCTGTTATCACTAAGGAAGAATTGGACAACACCGACAGAGGTGAAGGTGGCTTTGGCTCTACTGGCCACAACTAATGCTAAACTCTATATACAATAAACACATAGGCTCGATGCTCGTTGTATGAACTTATATAAATATTTCGTGAATTCGTTTTTTGTTTTTTAGTTATAAAAAAAAAAAGAAAAAAAAGAAAGATTTTATACATGAGTGTTAAGATCCTCTTCTCTATTTTTTGTCACTGCTCTCGTTCTTCTCAGCAGGCTTCTCCTTCTCTTCCTTCTCGTTCTCTTCAGTCTTCTTTTCACTGTCCTTCTTCTCTTGGTCTTCTTCAATCTTCATACCTTCACCGGCAGTGTCTTCATACTCATCCAATTGAATTTCGTCCTTGATATTGTTGACAGTATCCTTCTCTCTCAAGTTCTCTTCGTTGATCATCTCGTCCTGTTCCTTCAAGATGTCCAACTTCAACTTAGAGTCATCAGACATACTCAACTTGGCCACATTGTAGACCTCGTCAGGAATAGAGGACAAGACAGCCAACAATGCATCGTAGTAAGTGTCGATACCCTGAGTGTGTTCACCATAGGTGTAAGCAGAAGAAAGAATCAAAAGGGTGGAAGGAATCTTTTGTCTCAATCTCAAGTCCAACCAGGTTTCCAAGTCCTCTCTCAATCTACCAGGAGAAACGTCTTGAGTCTTGATACCTCTTTGGGAACAGGCGACTTGCAATTCAGGAACAGTCAAAGACTCCACACCTTCGTAGTCGATGGCCTTGTCGTCCTTAATGATGGTCAACAAACGGTGTCTAATCTGGTAACGCAAAATCGAGTCAGTGCCGAAAGGTCTAAGAGACATGTACTTGGCCATAGCCACCAATTGCGGACGAGACAAGTTATCCAAAACCTGGTCATTCTTGAACATTCTAGCCACCTGAATCAAGTGCTCTCTCTTAGGGCTCTTACCCATAGAGATGATATCGAAAAAGTTGACGAAAGCCTGCTTTTCTTCCTCAGAAATCTTCTTAGACAACTTGAGGCCACTCTCCTCCATGGTCTTCTTAATATAGTCAGAAGCACTGACTCTCTTCTTGGACAAGTCAGCACGCTTCTTCTTGAGGTCCAGCTTGGACTGGTAGGTGGAAGGCAACAAGTTAGGGAAGATCTTCAAAGCGACAGGCAACAATAATTCAGCGAAAGGAATAAGCACAAACATGGAGAAAGGAACCAAACGGATGACATCAACGATAGTTCTTTGCAACTGGTTGTTCTCTCTTCTCGACAAACCATAGCCGGAGACCATCTTGACCAACAACTTAGTGGACACCTTGATCTCATAGCCCAACAACTTTGTACCACTCCAGTAATGAGAGGCTTCGTGTTTGATTTTCTCCCAAAGAGTTGGTTTGGGCTTCTCTGCTGGCTTCTTTTCGGAAGTCTCGGTGATCTCAGTCGAGGGGCCTTCAGACACCTTTATCACCTGTTTTTCATGCTGCTGAGTCTTTTCCTGCTCGGGAGTGGCAGTTTTCGTCGACTGGTACCTCACCTGGCGAGCCGGAAGGTATCCATAGCTTGCTGGAAGAACCAAGGCAGCTCTGGAGAGTAACCGACGGGAAGGTGAAGAAAGCACGTGCCGAGCTAGTAAGCCTTTGGATAGCACGGAAGGGTTCATTAAGCAGATAGAGAGAGACCGAACGAACACCAGATTAATGCTGATCAAGGGATGTGAATAAAAAAAAAAAAGTTGGGGTGGTTGGAAATGGGGGAGCGAGGTTAACAAACCAGAAAGGTGTGGTCGAGAAAGGTTGAGAAACGGCTCCCTCTCTCAGAGTGGATGGCTCTGTTCTATATACAAGAAGATGTCTACTTGGACTCTCACAGTGGTGGTTTTTTTTTTTTTTTTTTTTTTTTTTTCCTTCCCGTGGGTGAAAAAAAAAGGCGGCATTCTTTGCCCCCCTCCGCCGCGCTATTTTCTTCAATGTTCTTTGGCTGCCAGATGTCTTGCACCTCGGATACCCTAATTGGATAGTTGGTAGCTGGCTGATGTAAACACGTAGGTGTGATATTGTTCTCGTCGGCAGGTGAAGATTTTTCGGTGGCATTGAAGCAATCTAAGAAAATGGGGCTTACAGTAGACAACAGGTTAATGCAAGTGAGCGTTGCGCCTTGCTGGTAATGGCAGCACTCTCAGTGGCTGGCCCAGGCGAGGCAGCTGGGAGAGGAAGACGGTGGCAACGGTGGCGTTTGGGTGAGTAGAGTGGTTTAGGAGTTGGTTGGTGAAGGTAGATTGGGTTCTTTTATTTTTAATTTGGATTTTTCGTATTTTGGATCGGTTGGTTGGACGAGTTTCATGGTATATTTCTAGAAATACATGCCGCAGCCATTTTGACACAAAATTGGAAGATCCACAAGACATGGAATTACACTTTCACATATGCCTCCCGCAAAAGTATGCTCATAGAAGCTCATGTATAATTTGGTATTTGCTTGTAGATTACGCCGGTACCCATTTGCACCTTTCTATTCATTATTCCTCCTCGAGCTGCTGTACTGAGCCCTGCTCTCTCGAGTCTCCACTGACACCAATAAAGATAACCTTGTCTACGACAGTGTGCTTGTCTTCATCGTCACCATCAATAAACACCGTAATGTTCTGAACGCTTTGGAAACGCACGAAACGCAATTTGGCCTCGTACCAACCGTCGCTCACCTTGGTAAGATCAAGAGTCTCGACGTGAGGAGCATTCTTATCGGCTGCAGCATCGTCAAACGACATAATGCCAGGTTTGTTGACCCAGAGTTTGAGCGTTTGTGGAGGTTGAGTCTCGTCACTCAATTCCTCTTCATCTAATTCAAGATCTCCCTTGTAGCTGCTGAGATCAGAGATCTTGAGTAGCACCGAGTACACTTTAGAAATGTTGTTCAATGGCACAAAGAACAAGGCTTGCGAATCAGCATCTGACAAAACAGCAGTATTCTTCTCTCCAACTTTAAACAATGTAGATGGTTTGGACTCCTCGCCCTTCTTCAATGGCAACGCATTCAAGGATACCAACTCACCAAAGTGAATCACATCATTGAGAACCTGATATCCTTTAGGAATGAGCGACGAGAATTCTTTAGAAGCCAGAGATGAAGCTGAAGTAGCAGCCCCTGAGCTGCGTCCAGCAGCATTAGGGTCAGCGAGGGCCTTTTCATTAAGCTGATCGAAGTTCTGAACCATCTTTTGCGAAGCACCTTGTAAGCGATTGACTTCCTTCCCGCTCTCGAAGAAAACAAATGTAGGTACGCTGGTGATCTTGTATTGCGATGCAACATCCTGACACGAGTCCAAGTCGACCCTGACAACTTCCAACTTCTGGTACTTCTCTGAGGCATAGAGATCATCCACCAAAGGCTTGATAGCCTGGCACGGTCCACACCATGAAGCAGTGAATTGAGCAACAAGGTACTTGTTCTTCAGGAGGTACTGATCAAAGTCAGCTTTATTTTTCACGAATTGGATCTGTGACATATTGACTTCCTCAGACGTGGGTGAGTTTATAGGCTTTTCTGATATATGCGCTTGCCCCAAAGCGAGTTTCCACCGTACTCGCACACGTGAGGCTACAGCAAGGCGAAGTTTCAAAACATGCAATAGTCTTTAAAGTTTATCAATCCTTTTCATGCATACCTCAAATCAAAGCATAATTTGATCTCCTTTGTATTTGTCATATTCCTGTTTTTTTCCCTCCTTCGGACGTAGGCGTTAACCCTTGCGGGTCCCCTCCAGCCCATACTATAAGCCTGCGCAAACACTGCAGGAGATACCACTAGGCTTTTTGCCATATTCTTCCAGCCCACCTGGAGTAACTGTCCCGGTATGGCTATCAACGAAGACTTCCTTCCTGTGCAAGATAAGCAGAAGGATACGTTGGCTGTCAGCAAATCGCCGCTAGCAGCTCTACGAATATCTCCCGTCCCTACAGCCCAAGATAGAGATAACCGCCTGGAAAGGCCCACAGTTACAGCAAGAACCAGAAGGGCAAGAAAAAGAAATACCCTTGCTGCTACAAAACGGCCTAATGGTCCAGGTTTTGACTTTGATGTTGATATAGACGAAAAAGCACTTGAAGCTCCCCCACAGCTTGCTCAGGACCACGTTGCATTTGATGATGGAGACGAAGAAGTGATACGAAGACCTTCAGTTTCCAACGAAGAAGACGGCTCGGCTGTCAAACGTTTGGCTACATTTCTAATAGAGTCTGGCAAGGCTATGAATGTTCGGTATAACGTGGTTGATCCACTAGACGATGAAAAAGAGTCGGGGACAGGCGCCTCAAACAAGAAACCATTGCAAATCTCAAGAACAACGAAAACTAGAAAAGAAACTGTCATGGCAGTACTTTCACTCAAATATCACTGGTTGATTAAGTGTCAGGAAGACTATGCCCATGACCAAATCAAGTACCCTGGCGTTGAGGGTGTCTACAATCCATTACAGATCATCCGTAACAGGGCAATCAGGGCCAAGTACCACGAACCAGCACCTCCTTTGCGGTATGCAAACCTCCCATTGGCTTGTAATGTGTTCAGCTCCCACAAGAAATCCGGGGGTAGACCCTGGAAGATGTTGTGGGGTATTGAGCTTAATGAACTTGTGAATGACGATGCATGGAGGTCTCAGCATTGGAAAGAATTAAAAAATCCCAAAGGAGAACTTTGGTTTCCTGATTCTCGTCCACCTCCTCGGTCAGTAATATCCTTTGATACTCCTACAAAGCCTCCCAAGGCTAACCGTTTGCATGACAAGCTTTGGAATGAGACAGCCGACCTGGACTCTCGTGTGAGTAGCCGCTCCAAATCTCCATCTGCCAAAAGTATCGGAAAAAACATCAAACAAAAAGCAAGGCGACTCTATGGCAGCACTAGCAGCGGAGCGAACTCTAATTCTGATCTTGACAACTCTAGCACCGATCCCCTGAAATCACACGAAAGTCTACTGAAGCAGAAGCAGAGCAGCGTTTCCAAATCTGAAAGCGATTCTAACGGTGTTCATGTGTTCCAAGTGCCTCGTAATTTGGGAAGCTCTGGATCTTCTGAAGCCCAAAGATCCCAAAATGATCTTCCTAAGATTACAGTAGATACCGCTTTAAACGACGATGTTGATACAAAGAACAGTGCGCAACATGTGGAAGACTCGAGCGTCAACAGGAGTCGGATGAACTTGGATGATGTTCAAATCACTCCTTTGCACGCAAGATCACAACTGGAAAACTTCAAGCCTAATGTTCTTGCCAGTGCTATCCCACATGTTGATGCAAAAGATCGCAAACTTTCGCAAGCCTATAACCACGGCCAGTATATGGAGCAGCAAGTGACACTTCATGAGTCATTTATGACTACCATATTCCCCCGTGTTGTTGATTCGACATCTACCAGATTAGAGAGCATTCTCAACAATAATATTAATGTTCTCCTTCATGACATTGTTCTGGTCAATGACAGCGAGCTTCCAGCACACGAAGCTTTTTACACGGGATTTTTGAGCGAGTGCAAATCCCTTATGCATCTCATGAACGACAAGTACGCCGTGAAGATTGATAACCTCCTCAGTGCCACTGATCGTTCCATGGGTGAAATAAACACTTCATTATCCCTCGACATGAAGAAGGTCAATGAACAGCTTGACAAAGTTAATCAGTCTCTCTTTGGCAGCCTTGTCACAACCTCGATAGGTGACCGTGAGAGAGATGTAACTTTTACGGATGGGGGAAATTATAAGATCTTATACTTTATCTTAGAAAACGCCATCGTGACCGTTTTGAGACTAACATGGCTCGTGGTGAACATCTACAAGTTCTTCTTGGCCATCCTCAAGATTATCTGGAAGTTGACCTCCATTTTGTTTGGCGTTTAACCCCACCTTCATCAAATTAAAAAATTTAAGATGCTACAGCATAAACCAGCTATTTAATGTTACTAATATTTATCATTCCTTTTCATTTAATAAATCAAGCATGCTTTCCAGATGATAGTGCGTACAAGTAGTATGGTAGATAAAGCGAGTGTTGATATTTCGCGGACTCCACTATATTGGTACAACCTTGAGTTTCATACAATGCAGCAAAAATCGGTTTCCCTTCTAAGTATGTCGACTTTCCTACTATCCAGCGGCTCTTACTAACATATAGAAAAGATTGACACCAATATTTACCAGGTTCTTGAGAATTTCCAAGAGGTTTTCGACAAGGCGATCATCCAAGACAAATCAAGGGAACTGTTGGCAGTCGAGAATTTGACCCTAGAATCAGATGCATTGAACATTATCCGTTTGTGCAAAGACCTACTTTCAATCACCAGAAGTCTACGGGAGAGTTGGTGTTTGGATACAATGAAGGTTAGACCTGAAGGAGGAGACTCCAGAGCGAGCGATGAAGACGTGCAACGAGTATTCGAGGAGTTCAACAGACTAACAGAAAAGATTTCAGCGCTCGAAAAAAGCTAACCCTAGTATTCGTTCATTCGTTATATATTTAATTAAAACCTGGGGCCCTTGAGTGGACTTCCAGGTCGGGAATTGTTTCTTGTGGAGGATTCGCTGCCGGGCATCTGTTCCTCAAACAAATTGACAAACTTCTGCACTTTGCCAACTTTGATGAACTTGAATTTCTTGTCACGCTTGATATATGTTGGAACAGTTGGCGACTTATCCCTGAATGCATATTCCAAACCATGATTTTCATCCGAACTAACCATGGTGAAGGAAGAGGTTGAACTCTTCTTCTTAAGTGACGGCTGAAGAGTGGACATAGATGTACGTTTCATCAATGATGGGGCCGATTCGGCTTGTCTAGGAGACAGCTCTGTAGGTACCGATACTGAACGCGGACTCAAGTAGTCACTTTCTATCCTGGAACCATGCGGCGAGCGGAGCACAGTCAGGCGCCTCGTGGGAGTTCTTGGTTGGGGCTCCACCAACGCTGTCTTTGGAGCGCTGTACTCGTGTAGATTGTCCTGAGATGAAGTATCATTCAAACAAAACGAACTTTCTTTGGACTCAGTGCTTTCTATCAACGCAGGAAGCCGGCCTCCTAATACCGGTGAAAGAACATTTGACTTGCTTTTATCAGAATACTGTATTTCATCCTCGTCATCCACCGTGCACCTGCCGCTATCATCAGAAAAGAGTACTTTGATGTCTTCATCCGAAGTGTTTAACTCGGCAAAGTCATCGTAAACGAGTTGTTTATCAAGGAATGGCATGCTTGTCTGTGAGTCTAGCGTAATATCAGCGAGAGAGTTATCCAACTCCTCGGTTTGATTATGCAAATCCTTCATCAGTGGCAATGAATCATTGACAGGCAGATCTTGGAGGATGGTATTCGTATCGGAAATATCCGAGGTGATAGTGGAGTTATTCTTGAGCTCTATTAGAAGCTTTTCGTGAATGTATGTTTTGATAGCCTTTAAAAGATCGATATCTCGTAGTATAGGGTCATATAGTTCCTCATGATGTAAGACAATGACTATGTGGTTTACATTCGCCAAATCAACCACCAAGCGTCGAAGAGAAACCTTCAAGGTAACAACAAATATCTCAGACGGGCTTGACATCTCAAAGATGCTTTTCCAGATGCCTTTGAACCCCATGAAAGGTTTTGGAGTGTGCTTATAGCTTTTCCTCTTCGCCACAAATATCAAGTTTCTTTTCACCAAATCCGTGGGCAACAAGTAACGATTTCTCAAAAGCAAAGTATTTAGCTCAAGAATAATATCTAGCTCCCCAATATCAGAAGCCAAGTCCACGAGCCTGCTCTTGGACCCGCCTATGAAAAGACGACGTTCGGAGACACAGTCCGCTATCTTCTGCGGAATGTTGGAGGAGAAGATCACCCTTGGCTTGACAGGATCAACGGAAGGAGCCTGCTGTGTGGGCTCACTGCCAAACGGAGGATCCAAGCCCATAGTGAAATGGTATAAACTAACTGTGCTTGCACTGAGTGTGTGATTGATTGATAAGTATTGAAGGCTCGCGAGAAACAAAACAGAGACATTTACTTTATGTAGGAGCCGCTTTTTGACAGGCCCAACCTCAGCCAAAATGGAAGTACTATAAGCAGTAAACGTTAAATTTAAGCAATGACAGACAGCCTAATTCCACAAATAAACAAACTTTTGTTATCGCTATGTATCGCAAGGCAAGACAGGTTTTTGTGTTTGTGGATTATGAGGAGCTGACTATGGCTGCAAAGTAAGCCGCGCTGGATGGATTAGGAAACATAAATACAGCGAAAATGGCCCATAATGGGCTCAGCCCAACACTAGTGCTCGACCCGACCTCACAACAATAACACCACGCACGTTACCCTGCTACGAATTGCTACATGTTGGGAAGTAGTGAAGAGAATGTAAGTTTGTCGGTGTAAAAAATACAAAATAAGGTGTACTTAAAATGTGAGTATGTGGTTGTGCCGAGTAGGAAAAGGGCAGCAGGTGGAAGTAGGGCAGTTTATGGTGGTTTGAGTTATAGGGGCATCACTTTTTTTGTGTGAAAAAGGTTGATTAGTTCACACTTGTACGAGATAAAACGAGCACTTGGTAATAAGAGTGGGTGGAAGCTAAGACTTTGTTCCATCACCAGACGAACCATAGTTGACTCGGAATGATCCTCGTGTAAATTAAATGACTTTTTTCCTTCTTTATTTTTCCAGTCAAATGAGCCAGAAAAACCACCCCAAGGCTTGCTAGCTCCATTATTTCAGTCCCTTTGCGGGTTGTATGTCGCAATTTGCAACCGTTGGTGGATGTCTCCTACGTACTATGGACTCGCACTATCAACACTTTCTCAGTCAACGTACAAAAAGCTACATACCACATCAGCACTGCCCAATTAACCTGCATGTCTTCATATTATTTCACGGTGATTGGCACCCGTGATAACCCGCTCTATGAGCTAGAGTTTTCTTCCTTCAAAACTTCTTCCTCGAATACTGGCTACCCTGGCCAATCGAACTTTTCCACCAGGATCAAGGAACTTCTTCCATTCATCACCAATGCATCCTTAGATCTCGTTGAAGATGCACAATGGTCTTCTGGGGCTTTCAATCTTGGTAAAGTCGACTCCTTTTATGGTGTTCGTGTCAATGCGTTCGTCACTCAGGGAAATATCAAATTCATATTGTGCTACGATGCCAGCAGTACGGCTTCTGGAGGCCTAGAATCTATGATGTCCTCGACGCTGAGCTCAAGCAAGCACGACGAAAATGTCATCAAGCAGTTTTTCACAGAGGCATACGATCTATACGTTCAAACGCTACTAAATCCATTCTACCTGGTCAACGACCCTATAGTGTCGCCAGACTTTGACTACAGATTGAAACTCTTGGCAAGAAAATACTTGTAACGCTTCATTCATTATTTACTCGGACTTTGGAGCATCTTTCAAAGCTTCCTCGGTCTTAACAGAATAGTCACCGTTCTCGTCCTGGACGATGATACCTTCCTTCTTCAAGGCGTCGAACATATCCTGTGGAACCCAACCACCAGTGGCAGCGAAAGGCGTAGAGACTACCTCAACCTGGTAGTTCTCCAAGTCAGTGGCATGCTTATCCAAGTACTCGGCGCTGTAATCAATAGGGAACTCGCTTTCCTTAGAGTTAGACAATTCGTTGGCCACATAAGTATCCCACATGGCTCTCAACTGAATAATAGCATTTTCGACGAACATGTAGTCCTTGTCATTCTTGCAGTCCAAAGCTTGCAAGTATGGAGCTTTCAAGAGCTTGAGGTGAGGAGATGCCACGGCAATCAAGTCGTGTCTTCTGTCGTTCAAAGCGTGTTCCCAGATTCTCTCGTTTCTGGTCTTGTGGTACATGAACTCGTACTGCAGCTTTTCGACATCATCCATTTCCTTGTAACGAGGAACATCCTCTTCCAAGTTAAAGATCTTGGCGCCCTGGTATGCAACAAACGATGGGTAGTTGGCAAAAATGAATGGCTTGATAGAAGTGTTCTCAAAGTCAAGGAAGTACAACTTACCAGTGTCCTTTTGCACAATAACGTTCAATGGATCCAAATCTGGAGCATAAAGTCTTGGCTTGAACAATTCAGCGCAGTTCATGATGGCTGGAGATGATGGGTTAACCAACTTGTCACTGATGGTCTTCAAGTTCTCAAATGTCTGGATTTGCTTCTTCAAGTCTTCAATGTTCTCCACCTTGCTACCAGCATCAGCCTGAGCCAATCCGAGTCTTGATTTCAAGCTCTCCAATTGGATGTTAGCAACAGACTTGACGACCTCAAGTGGCTGGTCCTTGTCGAATGGACCGGTCAATTCGGTAATCTTTTGGGCAGCCAAGTGCTTTTTGTTCTTAGAGTAAACACCCTCCACAATTGGGCCGATTCTCCATCTGTTCTTGAACTTTTCTTCAGTCTCACCTTCGTAAGGCTCGGTTCTCTGGTGCTCAGGCTTGACATCGTCAAAGAAGTAAAGAGAACCGATCTTATTGAAAGAAGTCTCCAAGAGCTTAGCCTCAAAGTCAGCAACTGGGTCGATCACCTTCTTCAAGTGAGAGTTGTCCTCGGTATCAGCAGACAATGGGTCCCACTGCTTCATCAAGAGGTCTCCCTCGATGTGCTCCATCAAAACGAAAGGAGACAGCAAGGAATTGTTCTTGGTGGCACCATAAGCCAACACTTTAGGAACAGCCAAGCCCAACTTTTCAGACAAAAAGTCCATTGTGGCGACCTCACTCTTGATCTTGTTCTCAATAGCAAAGTCTGATTCAAGCTTATATGGGATTCTCAAGACAAGAGCCTTGTCGTTTTTGAGCAACAACTGGTAAACTCTGTGGTGTCTTCCTTCGTGGATACTAGCAATAGACTTAACCTCAATGTCACCTTCGCCCAAGACATCCTTGGTGATGTTGTGGGGCAAGAGAGTTGCTCCTGTGGGCAGAACCTTGGGGATGGAGAGCTCTCCATTAGTGAGGTCCAACTTCTTGACGAACTCGGTAGCACCCTCAATGGAAAATCTGGTTTCTCTTCTGGCTCTTTCGACCTTATCGTTTTTCAACCAAGATCCCCAACTGTACTGGAAGAATTGGCTTCTTTGAGGATCCTTCGCATCATTGATCTTGGTGAAGACTTCCTTAGGTTCTTCCGAGAGGTATCTCTTGGCAATTGTGGTGATAGCAGACTTTCTGGTTGAAGGGATGAGCCTGGAGGATCTTCTTGATCCGATTCTGGCGGCACTTCTCAACATCTTTATAAAGGGGTATTAGTGGTTAGGGAAAAGTGGGTAGCACTGAATGCAAACTTTGCACCCAAAGTGCGCCGACCGTTAATACACAAGATTTGGTGGTATACAACACTGGTGGATCTACAAAAGATGGAGAGAATTAGGCTGGGGTAAATATAAAAAGAATTCTTTATATTTTTCGTTTCGTTTCTTGTTACTTAAAAAAAAATCGTATCATCATAAAATCAAGGCCTTGTCAGGTCTGGGTTGAGCAACATCATCTTCTCTTTCAATGTCACTGGAGGAAGGCCTAAGGAGTCGTAATCATTCACCCGCTGCTCGTTACCTTGCTCTCCATTCGCCTGTGAGATAACGCTCAGAAAGTCATCAACTGGCAGAGCTACAAGATCAGGAACAGCGGTCTGTTGCTTCCGTGGATGAGGGTTGGCAGTCTCATTCGGAGGCGGTTGGGGTGGGTTAAAGGTATGGTGGTTATCATTCGGGCGATCTTGTGGGTTTGATAGTTGTTGCTGTTGTTGTTGCTGCTGCTGTTGTTGATTCTGCTGCTGCTGGAGCATGTTAGCAATCACGCTGGAAAAGTATGGGGTAGGTCCATGGCGATGTAGCTTCTTGCCTTCAACGCCATCTTTGGTAGCGGTTGTGGAGAGGCAGGAAGTGGTTGAGTTTCTGGAGAGTGGTCTGGAAAAACTTTCACTAAGAAATGCCCCATTCTGGCTGTTGTTATCGCTATTGCACGTCGCAGTATCATTGGGTAGAGGTGCCTGATAGTCGCTCCCGCTAGAAGCCAATGATATATTCGTGGAGGAGTTATGTGGATCGTAAACTTCGCCCTTTTGCATCATCATAAGCTTCAAGTTTCTGGAACTCACGCTGTAATTGTCGTTATCACTAGCAGCGTTAGTGCTTATTAAAGGGGCAGGGTTCCTAAGCTGGTTGTTGGTGGGCAGTTCATGGTACGACAGCTCTGAATAAAGATCATCGTCTGAGTGGTAACTCTTCGTGCTGGTAATTTTCCTAGCCAAATCCCCAGTAAGCTCAGAAGTTTCGCTTTGGGTAGTATCTCTAAAAGAACCAGAACCATCATTACAGTCACTCACATCAGCCAACCCAGAGTCGGTCAAATTGACCTTCCCGCTGAAGATAGATTTGATGCTTGCAGCCGGATGTGACATAATATGGAAGTTATTAACTGGACTGCTGGCCAATAAACAAATGGAAAAAAAGGAATCAAATATGAAGAAAGACGTTGGGGTAAGTCATTTAATAAAAAACCCCAGGCCGACTTCATGGTGCCTGTACCAGACAAAGATAGTATGCATGACCTGGATGGTGTGAAACGAACCTGGGGTACGGAAGCAAGGCTGGTGCGAGAAAAATGGAGAGATCCAAGGGTAGCCTGATTCAGAAGAGGTGGCAAGTGTTAGTGGACGACATAAGGAAGATGTTCTGGAAGAATGGTTCTCCAAAGAAGAACTTGTCTTTTCTGTTTTGAGAGAAATCCCTTTTCTGATTTTTGTGGTCCATTTACAGTTTACTGGTTCTCTGGCAGATATGTGGAGAATGGCTGCGAAACGCACTACTCTGGGTAGTTGCTAATGCATTCCAGTAATCCATTTTTCTAGAAATCCGTAAGAAACGGTAGAATCCAATATGTGACCCCTTACGAACGAAATGTGGCCTCTATGAGCCAGCAACAGAGCCTAGAACTTAAACTTTAACTCTGCTTTGCATGTATCAGGAAGACATGAGGTAACCGTACAGCCAACTCCAGGCAAGTAAGAATGCAAATACAAGACGACTTCAAACGACGTGTTGTAGCATAGACCACTTCATATATTCCCCCTCCCCTCCATGTCTCCTTACTGTCCCTGGATCTTGTGAACAGTGTCAAGCAATGGAAGGCTTTTTCGCAGCCATTATTGTGGCGTATGGTCTACAAAGAAGCACCACCCATCACCATTCAGGATACAGCTTCCAGAGGCTTAAACGCAAAAGGTTCCGCTTTCGACCGTGCACCTTCTTTTATACTAGCAACACCATTTTGTGAAGTACTTTATTTGCTTTTGCATCCAGTTTTTTCTTGTTTCATGTCCATCTACCCTTTAACCGCCCTGAGGCCCTTATCACCTCATGCGCACTAGATTCAGGCCAACGCAATTTGCTGCAAACTTGACTACTTCCTGTTGGCCCCGTATGGCATTATACCAGAGAGTAGCGGTGATTGGCGGTGGCCCGGCTGGTCTTGCGGCTGCAAAGGCATTGGTGCTTGAACCGGCGAATTTCAGTATAGATTTGTTTGAACGGAGGGACAATATTGGTGGTCTCTGGTACTATGGAGGTGACAAGTCTAAGGTGTTACCTTCGGTGCCTTCGGTGGGACCAGACGCCCATGAAGTGTTGGACCCACATGGAGGGTTTGAAAACCGCTTCTTCTCGCCAATGTATGATCAGCTTGAGACTAATATCATCAGTCGCTTGATGAAGTATAACCGTGTTAGTGGAGAGCGATTCACCACTGATGTTAAGGAGTACCCAGGGAGAAGTGAGGTTCTTGATTACGTTCACAAGTATAAAGAGACGATTCCAGATGGCGTGAATTACCATTTCAATAGAAACATCACGCTGGTGTCAAAGAAGAACGGTGAATGGACACTTGTGGTGGAGGACTCCAAGTCGTTGGAGAAAGAATCGAAAAAGTACGACGCTGTTGTTCTTGCTAACGGACATTTTGAAATTCCGTTTATTCCTGATGTTCCAGGGTTGGCAGATTGGGCTAAACAGAGTCCCCATTCGGTCATTCACGCCAAGTACTTTGTGGATGGTGCTCCGTTCCGAGACCAGAACGTCATTGTTGTGGGTGGTCTTACTAGTGGCATTGATTTATCTACGCAAATTAGCACTGTGGCTAGAAATACCTATGTGAGCGTTAAAGACGATCCAAAAGACCATCAAAACAAGAACGAAGCGGTCACTGTGCTTCCTCTCATAACCCTGTACGATTACCCTAGCAGGACGGTGAAACTAGTTGATGGTCGAGTGATAACAGACATTGACAGTATCGTATTCTGTACGGGATACTTGTATTCATACCCGTTCTTGAAGGATTATTTGCCAAATGTTACAGACGGTTTCCAAGTTAAAGATATATATCTACAACTCTTTAACGTGGATGATCCATCGCTTGCTTTCGTTGCGTTGCCCAAAGATGTGGTTCCTATGCCCTTGTCTGAAGCCCAGATGGCCATTGTTGCTAGAGTTTTCAGTGGCAGATTAAAGCTTCCTAGCCGTGACAAACGAAGGGAAGCCTACGAACAGGAGTTGGAGGAAAAGGGTCCAGGAAAGCCGTTCCACTCTCTCAAAACACCAAGGGACGTTAAGTATTGCAAGCACTTGTACAACTGGATTGCTGACGAAGGGCTTGCAGAAGAGGGCTTGGTTCCATCTTCTTGGGGTGATCAAAGAGTGGCAGACCGTAAAAATACGAAAGCTGATAAAGAGGCAAGGTTAGAAGTTGTCTTAAAACACGCTGCAAAGCTTAGAAAAGACCATCTTGTGTTCAAGCTACCAGAGCGTGAAGATGAACGTTAGAGTAGTAGCTAAATCTCATGGGCTTCCACACTGGGTCGCGGGCTTAGTTGGGCAACCGAGGGTTTGACTCTGACACATGTCCTATTCTGATACACAAGACATTGAATTAGACAAGATAGGATTGCATAAATATTACTAGAAATATAGACAATAATTTAATTCTAAAAAAGCCACATATTACATTAACGTGTAAGGGAAGCACACGAGTAGGTAGGCCACACACCCGTGCACCATAAATCCGACACCTTTTACATTTCACTACCCTTATCGCATCAAACAACTAATTGTGTTATAGATCATGTGGAGTATATTTAACTGGGGTATGTAACTATATACTGATATTGAAGGTTCTGGAACGACTTATCAGCAGAGCAGACGTGTTGCTCTTTTGGCGTTTATGGCGTCTGTACTGCCAGTGGAAAAACAGCTCGCCACGCGGTCGTAAACGAAGCCTGGACGATATTGACAAGTTACTAACATCAACAGTTCAGGACGTTTTGTCCTCCTTGGGCTTATGGAACAAGCACGCTAAGTTGTTGTTCTTGGGTTTGGACAACGCTGGTAAGACCACCTTGTTGCACATGTTGAAGAACGACAGATTGGCGACCTTGCAGCCAACTTTACATCCAACTTCCGAAGAGTTGGCCATCGGTAACGTCAGATTCACCACCTTCGATTTGGGTGGTCACCAGCAGGCTCGTCGTTTGTGGAAGGACTACTTCCCTGAGGTGAACGGTATCGTTTTCTTGGTTGATGCCGCTGACCCAGAGAGATTGGCCGAGTCTAGAGCTGAATTGGAGTCTTTGTTCAAGATTGAAGAGTTGAACAATGTTCCATTCTTGATCTTGGGTAACAAGATTGACTCCAGCGAGGCTGTTAACGAGACCGAGTTGAAGACTGCCTTGGGCTTGTACGGTACCACCGGTAAGGACGTGGGCAAGTTGGCTGAGAACGTGAGACCTATCGAGGTCTTCATGGTCTCTGTGGTGATGAGAATGGGCTACGGTGAAGGTTTCAAGTGGTTGTCCCAATACATCTAATCCATGGGTCGACACATTATATCCTGTATAGCTTACCAAGACACTGATTGGATCACACTTTTCAATGTTATCGATATTGTGATACGCTGAAGGTCTTTTACCCTCTCAGCATCCCGTTGAATGCATTCAAATCAATATGATACAGTTGTAGTTTGCTAACCCTAGTAGCCTGATTTCGCACCCGTACATCCCTGCATCATAGGGAGCCATAGTGAGGAAGGCCTCATCGCCTTATTAAGCGATAACTACTTACCTATAAGAACGACACCGAAAATGGATGGAAACAAGGTGTCTTTGCATCCAGAGCCAAAGAAATGGAAGGTTCCAAAGGGCCCTAAGCCTATCCCACATAAGAACAAGAATCTTATCGGTTTAGGTAGAACCATTGCTAACCAGAGAAGACAAGAAAATGCCATCGAGTACTTACCGGATGGTGAAATGAGATTCACTACCGATAAAAAGCAAGCTGGTTGGGTTAAGATGAGATCTGTTACCCAAGAGAACTCTTTGGACGAGTTTTTGAACACGGCAGAGTTGGCTGATGCGGACTTCACCGCAGAGAAGAACTCCCAAGTGAAGATCATCAAGGTCGGAAACACTGCTTTAGTCAACCAGTCTGGTTTACTTTCCCAAGAAGAAACTGACGAAATCCGTAAGAAGCATCAGCTTTTCGAGAACAAGTTGATTATTCCAAGAAGACCTCAATGGAAGAAGGAACAGCTGAGACTTCAGATTGAAAGACAAGAGAACCTTGCCTTCTTGGAATGGAGACGTGAGTTGGCTGCTTTGTCTGAAAACCACGACTTGTTGTTGACTCCATTCGAAAGAAATATTGAAGTGTGGAGACAGTTATGGAGAGTGGTGGAGAGATGTGATTTGGTCGTGCAGATCGTGGATGCTAGAAGTCCTCTTTTCTTCAGATCCGTGGACCTTGAGAAGTACGTCGAATCCTTGAGTAAGCCTGAGGAGAACAGAGAAAAGAGAAACTTGCTTTTAGTCAACAAGGCTGATTTGCTTACGAGGCAGCAAAGAAGGGAGTGGGCTAACTATTTGAAGGAGAGAAACATCAAGTACGTTTTCTTCTCGGCTGCTAATGCAAATGCTCTTTTGGAGAAGGAGAAGGAAGAAGAGGAGCAGTTGAAGAACAATCCAAATTTTGTTTCTGAGGCATCCCTTGATGACGAAGACAGTGAGGAAACGGACACCGACATCAAGATCCTCAAGATCGAAGAATTGGAGGATCTCTTCCTTACCACTGCACCAAAGTTTGAGCAGACGGAGGACCATCCTGATCGTAAGTTGCAAATCGGTCTCGTTGGTTACCCTAACGTCGGTAAGTCCTCTACCATCAACGCATTGGTTGGTTCGAAGAAGGTGTCTGTCTCGGCAACGCCCGGTAAAACCAAGCATTTCCAAACAATCGTTTTATCCCCTGACGTCGTCTTGTGTGATTGTCCTGGTTTAGTGTTTCCAAATTTTGCATACTCTAACGGTGAATTGGTCTGCAATGGTGTTCTTCCTATTGATCAGTTGAGAGAGCATATCCCACCTGTCTCTTTGGTCTGTCAAAGAATCCCTAAATACTTTCTTGAAGCTGTCTACGGTATTCACATTCCAATCCAAAGCAAAGCTGATGGTGGTAATGGTGAGTATCCAACTGCTCGTGAGCTCTTGAACGCCTATGCAAGAGCTAGAGGATATATGACCCAGGGTTTTGGTAGTGCCGATGAGTCCAGGGCTTCCAGATATATTCTTAAGGATTATGTCAACGGTAAGTTACTTTTCATCAACCCTCCACCTAAGAAGATTGGAGATAATCTTTGGGAAAATCCGAACGTTCAAGAAGCTAGGGAGTTCAACAAGGGCATTTACACTGTGCACAGTCTACCTGAGACTAGACAACAGCAGATCAGAACCGCTTTGCTGCACAAGAATATGGACTTTGACGAATTCGATCTCGCCAACGACCTTAGCAAACTTAACTTCTCCATGCATGTTGGTAGCGAAGACAACCAAAAATCTACTGGTGATTCCAGTGCTGGAGCTACGACTCGTTTCTATGGTGGTAGACAAGCTGCCTTGGAGAGTGCCGCTGATGATTTGGACAGGGAGTTTTTTCAGATGAACAATGTTCAAGCAAAGTTAGACAGTCCATTCCACAAGAACAATGGTATTCCTTCGAGCAATAAGAAACATCATAAGAAGAATAAGAAGGCGGACAAGAAGAAGAGAGTTGTGGGATATTAGTTGGATGTTGCCAACACTTTTGCATTCTTACTGCACTAGTTGCTTAATGATCTTCATGATAGTGTAACATAGCCCCATTAAATTTATTACTAAAACATAAAATGGCTGTCGCCTAGTAGGAAGTGAATAATATAGAACATCATGACAAGCGGTTATTATCATAAAACCTGTCGTTGCGAGACTGAATATCACGTAATCTTTGCTCTTTCCAGTCTTCATTTACATCACTGATAACTGTAGAGTTGGCAAGACTGTGCGTGCTCAATCTATGATTGGTACTCTCCTTGTCATTTTCAGCACCATTGGGCAGCAAATTCTTTGGAGGAGCAGAGCCAGCATTTTCTTTGTCCTCCTGGTTGGCTTCTATCTCTCTTATCGGTGTGAAATCAGCTCTAACATTGGTATTTTTGTCTCTGAGAGGAGAGACTCTTGAACACATCGAATAAAGCGTACTTTCAGATGGACTGAAGTTCATCAAGGTCGAAGTCTCCGGATTCAATGGAGAGTGTAAGGGGGGCAATTGAGAACGAAGACTGACGTTAGTTGTCAGAGAAATACGCGAAGCTTTTGGAGGACTTTCAAAGGTAGATCCATTCATAGAACCGCCATTTTCCACTCTGAGCTCTTCGGGTGACCGGTTAAGCAGCAGCAGCTTCGTCAAAGATCTCCTTTCGGAGACTGCTGGAGACCTAGAAAGAGAGGCGGAATGTAAGGCAGGCGACACTCTCCGCTGAGTTACTTCCTTTCCAACCTTTATGGGCGACCTTAACCTAGGATTCTTCGTTGAGCCATTTTGGCTAGAGGATGGCTCTGGCTTTCTTGGAGATACAGATGGCCGTCTGGGAGATGTCCCACGGGTGAACCTTGACCGTTTCTGGTTCGAACATTGAGATTCTATCGAGAGAATCTTCTCATAGAGATCTTGACCTGCAACAGCGAACGGCTTCTTTTCCCTTGATATCATTTCCTTGTTGAAGTGGATGACCTCCTCCTTTATAGCCTTTATCACACGTGGAAGGTTCCTGTGAATCGTTTTACGGATCCGCTCCTCCTTCATCAATATCTTACAAGAGTCCTTCTGAAGGAGTCGAGAAGAATCTTTAGATGACTCCTCCAAGAATCTCTGATCCTCAAGATACTCGTTGAGCTCCTTATAAAGCTCTAGAATTGGCTTCTTCGACTCGTACTCCTCCTTGAGCCTATTAAGTTCAGCTTCATGAAGGTTAAGAATGTGCTCCTTATCGTCTGAGTCATCGTCTGCATTATAACCAAAAAAATCGAAAGACTGTCTTTGCGAATCAGAGTAGAGAAGCAAAGACTGGTACTCTGAGATCTCCTTCTGGGTATCGACGATAAAGCTACCGATGAATTCAGACCGCTTCATGTAAAGGCGGTTGAGCTCCATTTTGAGGTTTGCCAACGATTTCTCACTGAGCGTAGCATTCTCCTCCTGGAATTGGGAAACAAAGTGTGGAGACTCACAAAGCTTGTCCCAGAGACGCATACACGCGGACATGTAGTAATTCCATTTCTTTTGTTTGGAGTCTCGAAGATGAACCAAGGTATGGGTAAGCTTTTGGAGATAAAGCAACTTGGACGTTTCCAAACCAAATGCAAGAATATCTCCTTCTATCAATTTCAACGCCTCTGAATCAAAAGGCCCTTCTTTTGCGTACTCCTGGGTCTTACCTTGAATAGCACGTTGTTGTATCTTTATCAAGTCAGTATCACTGAGCAGCAAAATGACAATCATATCTAGGCATTTGTTCACGAAATCCTTCATTTCCACCGCCCTGCTTGCCACATCTGCCTTTGTATGTTCAACTTCCATGCTGAGATCCTGAATAACTTGTGAATTCAACTTAATGATCTTCAAGTTCCGTAAAGCTGTAATGAGCTTGCCATTGAGTTCACGGAGATGGCTCATGGTTTCGTCGGGAGAAGACTGAGATATAGTGGATAAATCAGCGACATCTTCACGGGATTTCGTGAGGTCTCGTATCTTAGCTTTCTTGGGACTCAGTATAACAAAGGCATTATCGTCATCATTGGCATTTGCTGGATTCGTGTATGGGGCTTTAGACATTTTATCAGTTAGGCGTAGTTGTTTCACTGTATTCTCAAAATCTTCTGAAAGCCTTAGGTATTCCTCAGCTTCAGACTTAGACGGTAGTTGAGAAATCAAGCTGTTTGACTTGGCTGATTCCACTCCAATGATCTCCACATTGTCCCAGTAACGGAAACTGAGGTCGGAGAACTTGCGGAAAACTTTAACAAATGCTTTGAGGACATCTAGGAAAATATTATTGAGTGACAGTTTCGTTTGTAGTAGTGTAAGTTGAGGAACATTTCTGGTCATATAGTCATACTGCTGTTGCATGGAGTAGCCATCGTTGGCAATGTCATCATCTTCAAATTGAGAATCTTCAAATGAGGGCTGATTGAAATGATGGAAGGAATGGACCTGTTCTTTGATATCTTCTCGATAACCAGTGGCATACATGACGTCGTCTTCAAACACAATTCCTCTGCTGCTCAACTTTAGCGTCTTCTCTCCATGGTTATCATTGAGGGTTGCAAGCATAAACCTGATCTGTTGTCGGAGCCATTCACACTCATTCTGAACCAGGTTCTTCTCTCGTAGAGCGCTGCTGCTGATAGATTTGATTGTGTCATCAATTGTCAAAAAGACATCAGCTTGACGTTGGTTGATCTCACGGCTGGAGTATCCGATTTCACTGTAAACCTCGCTCAATTCTTGAAGCGTTCTATTCACATGAGATACGATGGATTCAAACTTTTTCTTGGAATCAAGATGATCAAGCGTATCTGTTGGTGTCGTTATGTCTTGCTCTAGCACATCCTGACGCTGTCTTTGTGGAGGTGTCTGCAAGCGATACTCATTACTTTCATTTACACGTTCTGGTGATGATGGTATTGGTAGACTGTTATGGACGGAGCCGGGATCGTCCACCATAATGAAGATGATTAATTAAACGCTTTTATGTAATGTGATAGTTGCAAGCTTTTGATATACATCAGATAGGAAAACAGATGGCGGTTGTTTGCAATTTTCCCAATGCGGCACACATGTAAACACTGCGCACCCAGGAACCATAGTACTTTAGACACTTGACACTCATTTCGCACTAAGGATGGAGCCTAGTTCCTCTAAAAGACTGACCTTGCCTTGCTCATTGGTGGTTTTAACCCCAAGGGCTTCAAGATGGTCTCGATCAATATTTTCACGTTGCTCGCGGGACTTTTTGTTGCGCCAAGCTGTCAATCTCTTATACTTTGTACCTTTGACTTCCCATCCACAGTCTTTGCTGATCGTTATCAAACGTTCAAGATCTGTGGGTTTCACGTCAATACCTTCTTTGAGTAGCACCTTAAACCATGATTCTGCTTTCTCTTTCTCGCCTTGGACATAGTGGTAAAGAATGAAGGGGAATACCAGGTCACAAGAGAGCGGTACGTTAAGCTCTTGACCGTACTTCATCATAGCAGTTGCAAACTCGTAGTCACGATACCGAAGTAAGGCAGACCGGATAAGCATATCAAACATGTGTTTATTGCCCTTGTCCTTTAACCCGGCAACCTGGAAGTAGTCAACAGCCATTCCCTTAGCAGTCTCATATCTTGCACGATTGACCTTCAACAACCGCATGTTCAGCGCACCAGGCTGATGCTTAAGAAGACATTCTATAAGATAAGGCACCACTTTGTCATCGGCCTGTTCATGCTTGAATGCCATGTGCGTCTTCAGATTGACAATCTCCTTCTTGTATCTGTCATATAAGGCTTTGATAAGCTTCGGGGCCCTAGCCTTTCTCTGGAATCTTCTTAAAAATGATTCGTATACCACGAATAAGTGAAAATGACTAAGCTTGAATCCTGTAAGAGCTTGGTGTACATCAGCTCTTTCGATACGAGAAAAGTCAAGGTTCTTGAACTCATCCTTATAGATTAACTGAAGCAATCCTAATCGGTGGAGGAGGTGAAGAGCTCCATCACCAAATATAGCAGCATAGTATCCGATAATGACCTGCGGATATGACCGGAACTTCTTTGCAATAACATAGAGTATTTCATTCATGAAAATTTCCTTCTGATTAGGGGCAAGCTCGCACTCTTGTAGTTTATCAATCAAGAGGAAAGCTTCGTCATAATACTTATCTTTCCTCAATTGAGTCAAGATACGAAGCAATGCAGCTGGACGTACTTCTAGACCGATCTGTGGTATGAGACGTAAGAACTTAAGACATTCCTGCGGCCCTTTGAAAGTCATGGAATGTTCTAAAAGCAAGTTGATGAGAATCTGAACCCTCCTAGAATGTTGAGATGCGGTTATTGTAGAATGCTGAAGTTCAAGCTTGGAGACCAATAGCTCGAGGTAAAGGTTGGCGTCGAGCAAATTGTGTGATTTAAACGCCTTCGAAGCAAATCTTTCAAAATCATTGAACGAATAGAAGTTCAACATCTTCTGCTTATGTTCATCGGAGAACGTATAGTACTTGGTATCCTGCCATCTGGCATCGATAACACCAGTCTTAGCGACAAATCTGGCCATGCTCGAGCCATGTAATAAAAAGTCTTTCAAGACTTCAAATTTGCTCATATCAGCAAACTTCATATTTATATGCATAAAGTAAGAGAAAAGTTCTGGTTTTCTCGAATCAGGAAGGCTTTCTAGAACAACCTTGGTGATGGGTTCATTCAACAATATGGATGACGTATTAAGCGTTGAACAAAGTGCTAACTTCCTAAGATAGCTCAAGAAAAGTGCCATCTTCTCTTCTGGAGAAGAGGAAGGTTCTAGGACAATATTTTCGATATTGGCTAGGATGGAGCTCTTGGTACTGGCGTCCGTGGGGAGATGCATGAACCTTAGAAGGGAGTCACGAAGCTGATTCGACTTGTAGTAGTGATGTAGGCAACTTATGACAATGTCTCTCATTTCTGGATCTTTCATGTTCACTAAAAACATTCTTGCTAGTGAAGGATTTCGTATGAGGTTTTCATGGATAATATGGATGACATTGAGGCAGAACTGATCTATTTCTGTGACTGATTTGTAAGGAATGGATAGAAGGTGGCGATAGTCGTCTTCCTTGAGCTTAACTAGACTTTCTTTGCTTAATGAAAATAACGGATTTGGATATGTTTCACGTCCAAGTTGGGAGTATGGCGGCTCATTTTTCATTTCGGAGTACACTCTTGAGTTGAGCGTGGGATTTTGTAGAAGGGGCTTGTTCACAGCAGTAGAATTGTAACGACGGGGTACCTTCAGTAGCTGCCGTAGTAGGGAAAAGCCTTGGAGTCTATAAAACATGGTGAATGTGTTGTGTTCAAAGGATGGGTTTACGACAAAGTGTACTGTAGAAGTGAAAAACCGTTACGCCCAAGAAATTCACGTGACTACGAGTCCGATTTTCGTATATCTAGTGGGTTTGAATTAATAAATATCATCTATAAATACAAATGGGATGATCAGGCATTATTATGGCCTCCCTCTATATTATCCCAAGGTTCAAGTCCCACCACGGTGCTGTACTGGTGGGAGTTACGGTAGATGTGCCTTTGGTAGAAGTATGCGAAATCGAATACTATGGTGCCGGAACTGCCTATGAGATAAGGAAGCTGATGCCAAAAGTAGGTGGTTTTGTCTGACGACAACAAGAATTCACAGCTTGTAAGGACAGAAATGGTGTATGCCAAATTGCCGAAAAGTGCTGCGCCGAAAAGAAGTGGCGATACGCCCTCCACTGACTTCCTCTTGTAGTTCTTGTATAGTTGAGGACAACGAGAGCTGACATAAACTGCTGTACAGCTCCATGCTAGTATGAGTGCAAAAGTGCCATGGTGTGCTATTTTTTCCTCTGTTGTTGTTGCTGTGATTCCAACGGCAGTTGTCACCTGGTGACTTATAGACATCGCGTTTGAGGCACCAGCATTGAGAATACTGGCCACAGAAACAACCTTAGCAGTACTTTGCCTTTTCCCATTTATCGAATTATAGCTGCTTGGAATGGAGGAATCGGATGGAGGCGTAAGACTCAGCCATTCGTCGGCTTCCTCGGGCGCTGGGATGTGTGACCGAATGTGTATGGTGCCTGCTCCAGCATGAATATCAGCATCTCCAGCCAGCATTGGCCCTGTGACTACTTCCTCCTCTTGTGACTTTGAAACTATGACCAGCTTCGGGTATATGTGATTGTAGTAGTAAAACTGATAACATAAAACAATATCATTGCAAATGAAAAACAAACTCAAGTAGACTTGAAATGCAAGAACAGAATCGTTCAAAAGACAACTTGTAAAACTCAAGAAATCACCCATAAACCAAAGAAGGAGAAATGATGGTGAAATGCCCTCAGCTGACTTGTTAACATAGTTGGTGTATATTTGGGGAAGTTGAGCACACATCCAACTTATAAGGGAAAATGTGCTAAAGAAATGCGAGATGGCGGACGCCGTTTCACACTCTACCATCTTTATATGGGTATCTATGCTGAAGAGGATGGGAAGTGTGGTCGATAGGAAGAAAAGGGAGTTGTTCTGTTGGAGGGATGTTATATTCCGAGATAAGACAATGCAAAGATGAATCACCGCGCTTAGGGTCAAAGTTACCCTATCCGGTGACTAACTACGTAATGTGCACGTCATTTTCCTTGTTCATGCGCGGGGTCAAAAAGCCTGTTGGTTAAACGGCCCTGTTATAATTTGCAACCACCGTGACTACCTGTCATGAAGCATTTAAAGCTTGTACAAGGAATCGAGGAATGTCTCGATAAGGCGGTCTGCAACACCGGCAGTAGACACGTTTCCAGCAACACCATACATAGCAGCAGTGTCTCCTGGAGGAGCCTTGGTGTCTGATTCTGCGATCTCTTTAACAGTGTCAACTAAATCAGTGATCAAGTCGTCAGCGACAGGCACGGTGAGGCGAGTAAAAGCAAAGTGTAAAGCTGCGGGGTTTTGCAACGTGGCGAGGTGCCAACCTTTCTTACCCATCAGATCACCAATGGAATAGATGTCGACCTTGCTGGGGTCCCTGGCTTTGAAGGCGATGACAGAGGCGATTGGGTCACCAAGTAAATCAAGGTACTCTTTGAGAGTTTCATCCTGTAACAAAGCCTCCTTGAGTTTCTGTCCGGCTCCAACAATTTCCTTACATGATTCAGAGTAACCTGTCTCGCCAATGTATACCATGGTGGCCCAGCATCCTGCCATCAATGCACCCGGTCTTGAGCCAGCAAGCGTAGGGGAGCCGTACATACCACCAGTCCAGTCGCTTGCAACATAGTACTGGTGTCTTCGAAGCTCAGAGTCTCTGTACATGATAATCGAAGATCCCTTTGGAGCAAAGCCGTACTTGTGGGTGTCACAAGAGATGGAAGTAACTCCTGGCAATCTGAAATCAAACAATGGAAGCTTTCTATCGCCGTGAACACCAGATTTCTCCAAGAAGGTGACAATGAAAGAACCCAAGCATGCATCAACATGGAGGGGGATTTCATACTTCACCGCCAATTTAGATAAGGCCTCAATGTCGTCAATAATACCGTGGGGATAGTTTGGAGCGGATCCAACGAGCAAGACAGTGTTTTTGTTAATCAATCTCTTCACCTTGCCAATGTCCACTTGGTAAGTGACTGGGTCAACGTCAACTTTATGAAGTTTCATACCAAAGTAGTAGCAGGCTTTATCAATACCAGCATGGACAGTCACGGGAGCGATCACTTCAGGGGCAGTAATGCCCTTCTTGCGACGACCAAACTCACGAGCAGACAAACCAGCGAGCAAAAGGGACTCGGTACCACCGGAAGCAGAGCATCCACAGCCAGTCTCTGGAGCATTGAAAAGTTTAAGAATCATAGAAACAATCTCGGCTTCCATCTTACGGATACCAGGGAAAATATCAGGGTGAAGCTGGTTGGCAACACTGTAAATCTCATACGCCTTAGCCTGCAACTGAAGCAAGTCGTCGCCACCATGGTAGACACCACCGGTATACTTACCATCGTGCCAATCGTCCAGCGCAAGGGTCTTCTCGGTGAGCGATACTTCCTGGACGACCACATCTTGGTGTAAGCCAACTGTCGGCAACACCGGGAACTGGAGCAACGAGTCGTCGTTCTTCATGATCATTTCCTCCATCTTAACAGTGGTAGATGCCAACTCCTTCTCGACTTTAGCCCTAATTGGCGGAAAAGCCATGACAATTCCGAAGAACCATTTCGAGATGGCATGGTACACTTTCTTCAAGCAGCCCACAGGCCCGTGGCCATAGAGATTGGTGGCAAGCTTGACCAACGTCGAGTACACCCAGTACGCAACAAGAATGTCTCTAAGCAAGGCCAAGTAACCCCAAGGAGCATTGTATTCGGAGAAGTAGTGCTCGATGAACCTATCCTTTGCAACCAATACTAATCTTCTCGACTGGATATCAGCATAGTACACCAATTCCCTGAAATCCTTGGGCACATAGGGCTGGCCAAACATCTTTGCCTTCAAATATGACTGTTCTGTAGCGACCATATTTTAAAGGATCGTTTCTCTTAGTGACCAATTGAGTTCAATAAATAGTCACTCTCTTTGTTGGAGTTGCGGAGAAAGTAACTTGATGGTTATACCTTGCGGTGTACACCGCACCGAGGCCTGGGGTGCAGGTGCCAGAGTAACACTACATTGGGAGAACAAAGCCAATGAGGGATGAATAGGCAATTCTAGCCTGGGGAGAACAATACCGTGAATGGTTCAATATACGGTACGGGGCTCGAACGGCGATATGGAGAGGGGTGGTTTGGTTATAACGATTTTTGTGTTACATTATTTATGGTGGATGCTCAGCCGCCCTTTGTCCTCACGCTTTTTATTTTGCAACCAGTCATGGAAATCACCAATCTGCTAACTATTTATTTATTGTTCCATTTAGGTGAATGGCGTTGATCCACGACTTATTCTGTTGGTGGGGCGACTGCTCAGGCCGGCGCTGGTACTATCAACGACGGCACTCCGCTCCCTTACCATTTTATCCAAGTATGACAGGAAAAGCAGCTTGAGGAAAGCATTCTCTTTTTGAAGCCTGTTGAACTTGGTTTCGTAACTCATTTGCTCGTACTTCTTCTTGAGCGACGGGAGAATATGCATTCCGGGGCCATTTAGGGTCCCACTGAGAGTTTCATTTTTCTTCTGAGCAGAACTGAGGTTCATGCTGATGTTGACTGCTTCACTGGACTTGGTTTGGTAGCTGCCGCGTAGCGACTCTCCTTCCTCGGCGACTCCGCTCAATTCCTTGTCTAGTCTCTCTTTTTCTTCGGCCAATTGAGCAATGACCTTTGTTTGTTCTTCGACAAGTTGTTTAATCTCCTCGTCACTCTTTTCTTGAATCACTTCTTCTAGATGTTTAAGCATCTCTTTGTTTTCCTTGTGCGTCGACTCAACCTTTGAATGCTCAGCTTCGGCTCTATTGTATCTTCTGTCCATCGTGCTGGCCTCTTCATTGAGCTTTCTGAGTTTACGGTATCTTTCACCCATTTGGTCTTCGCAGGCATCGATATCCGTTTGTCTCTCGGTCTCGGCCTTTCTATACTCAGGGAGCACTTCGAAGAGCCCCCGACGTACAGTAGTTTCCACGAGCTCTGTTCTATAATTGAGTGCTTCAGCAAACTTCCGTTTAAATGTGTCAAAGTCTGTGATCACTTCTTCCACGCTCTCAGTAACGGGACTCTCAAACTTGAACTTGTGTTTTTCGAGACTAAAGGCGGCTTTGAGATAGTCCGAGAAGTTTTCCAGGAGTCTCTTGAGAAGCTTTTCTTCCGAAGGGTGAAGTTGAAGTGAGCTCTTACTTTCCTCTAGGAGGCTCGCCGAGGTTGGTGCTGGAACCTCCCACCACTTGAATAACCAGCTTCTCAAGTCTTCGAAGTTATCGCCAAACTTGTCGACATAAAAGTCGTTATCGTCATGCTCGTATAAACGATGTCTGTTGGCGACAAACGCACTTATCACTTTAAGCTTCCATTTCACTTGGCTCTCTGGGCCGCTTCTCAAGTCCAATTCGAGTTCAGGTCTCGGTAAAACAATGGAAAAATGTTCAACAGAATATATTGGAATAGGAATGATAATTGGAGTCTTGTATTGCCTTGCCTGTAAAGACGCAGACAGTGCTTCATTGTTTGAACGGATTAGTTGCATGCTGGCACTTTGAAGGTCTGGATGAGAATCAAAGGAAAAGATTAAATCGAACTGAACACTAGACGCATAACTTTCGTACATGTGCCTGGAAGTGGCTAGGTGAAGCGTCAAGCCCGTTGACTTCCCCTTGTCTGCGGCCCTTTGGCGTCGTTGCTTGTAATGACGTCTCTTATTTCTGTTGTCTGCTGCAAACAACTCATCTTCCGTAAACTCTTCTCTTGGTTCACGTTGTGTCTCGTCCGTATCATACAATTTCCTAGTATTCAAGTTTTTATAGTTGATCTCCTTTCCAATAATCGTACCCTCTATCCACTCTAGTTCCTTGACGGTCTCGGCCATTACAAGTACATTATAGTCACGCTGTGGTTTCTCGTCACCATTAAATTTCTCACACAAGATTTCCACAATACGATCAAAAAGCGCCAGCTTTCCCGATAAGTTTAAAAGACGCTCATTCACCTCCAGAAGCAACCAACGCTTAGGAATGAAATGGTCTACCAAAAGCGAAGGGTGCATAGACACCTTCCGTAGTTGTTCGTACATGAGGTTGATAAGCCTGGCACTAGATTCTCGAGCCTGGTCGGCGTTCATATTACCTTGTAAATCGTCAGCATCGTTGGAAAGATTGCTAATTGACGCTCGGTTCTTGCTTCTCTGGAGCTCCTCTTCAAACCCTTTACGGAAGATCTGGACAATAAGCTCACACACGTCTTTCTGAAGATTAGACATCATCGACGGTAAATAAATGACATTATCGCCACTAATATTAGAACCCCCAGTATTGGCCCTTTCTGGAACGTTTTGGTAACCAGGACCATGATCGTGTCTAAAACCACTGCCGGCGTTATCGAGGTAATGCTGCATATCCACCTGGCCAGCGCCAGCATCGGCGGGCCCGTCGTCCGAGAGAAGATCTAGTAAGTTCATTCTCTAGTAGCAGCAGCAAATGTATCTTCCAAACGTCTTATAAAGAAGAGGTAGTGGGCAGTGGGTTGTTCTCGGTGAGGAATCTATTTTTTTTGCAGCAGGAAAAATACCCTAGGCAGATTGTTTGCGACTGAGGCATGCGGCAGATTTTAGCTGCAGGTAATAACTTCTGTGAACATCGCGATCGGTGTTGGCCCTGCTCCCAAACAGGAAGTGACAAGGGGACGAGACATGGGGAAGTATAGTACACGTTCTATATCTATATAGTCTATTAGCGCCGCTTCTTGCGGATGACAACGTTGATGCCAATGTTGCCCAAACTGCTCCATACCAGCTCATCCACTTTCTTGGGAGCTTCCGCCCGTAGAGACACTGGTCCACTAGCCACATCCCCACCACAAATTCAATCTTGTTAAGGGTCCCGTCCTTGCGGAAATCCACTAGATCCCACACTGCGGCGAGCGTTTCTCGAGGGAGCCTGCTCCTTCTCCAGATTCGCTTCACGATTATTCCGTGGATGAGTTCGTGCGGGTCGGCCTGTTTGAGACCGTGTCTCTCTTGTATATGTTCCTCCATCGTCTCGGTATTGCATGCCTCGGCTGCCGATGAAAGCCGTGCTGCCAACTCCAGCGCATCCTGTTCTTGAAGAGCTTTTTGCTTTTTTCTTTCCTCCTCTTCGCTGTAGTTTTTATTATAATCGACACCTTCAAGCCTGGTGACGACTTTGTTGATGTAGAGTCCCTTGTTACTCACCCAAACACCTTCGTAACGTTTACGTTCGCTTTCCAGGACTTCATCAAGCTTGCTATGATTCTTCCAGGGTTTGTTCTCGTCGAAGGCCTTCTTTTCTTTCTTTCTGTTCATCTTTCTCATGGTCGTCTTCAACGCGACATGTGGGTTGGCGATAACAGGGGAAATTCCATTGGTAGGCTTGCCTTGAGGGACTGGCGGCTCTTCTGGCTCAACTTCATTCTGCAGATCCATGGATTGACGCTCCCTCGCAGCTTCAGCGCCAGGCTCTTTCTTCCTTCCAAAAATACGACGATGCTTACGTCTCTCTTTGATATCAGGGTACTGTGGAAACTTCGCATCTCCATTATCTTCCACGCCGCTCAGCGGATTACTTGTTGATTGTTCATAGGACTGTCTTGCTGAGCTTTCGTCCCCTTCTATCATATCTGGCGGAGGCTTCCGTCTCACCTTCTTGAGAGCCTCATCGAGCTTAGAGTCTGAAAAATTCCCTGGCAGGCCTGGTGAGTGTTGAGATAAAAGTTCTGATCCATTAGATTGTCCAGCGTTGCCTCTAGCAACGGCATTATGGGATGGGGGAACAGGGATCGGCTGGCTTGATTTGCCAAATGTCGATGGAGGTTTCTTTAGCGTCTCCTCTGCATCGCCATCGGCATCAATAACAGCAATGGAAGGTGTAACTGGGGTCTCTGCCTCGCTTCCGGAAGCGTATGAATCGACCGAAACCCGCGATGTGTTTAGATTCTGGAGGTCTTTGATGTTAAATATCTGATGCTCGAACGAAGGCAGAGATTCTTCTGTGTCGCTGGTCCTCAGTGGCAAGCTGTTGTTTGATTTCAGCAGGTCATCCAAACTTCCAATGAACGCCACTGGGTTGCCATGAGGGTCTTGCGAAATCTGAGATGAGTGGCGTTTCAGCTCAACCGTTTGTCTAAACTCGTTCAATGCCGCCTGGTTACGCTTGGCGCTTTCCTTGGCCGTGCCGCTCTTTGTCTTTGAATTAATAGAGTTCTTGATGCTGTCGACCATATCTTTTGGGTCAGTTGCAATGCTGAGACGCAGGCGCAGCGGACTTGGACCGTTGGTAGTTTCCGCCTGGTAAAACTTCGGAGTGTAAAAGTAATCGTGATGGGCCGAACTGAGCGACACATTATCGTCGTCAATAGATGTTCTCGGCAATGGTGTCTGTGAGAGCTTCTCAGACGAAGAAAGTGCAGCTGCTGCGACCGCTGGAGTCCTCACCAAAGGAGTATTATACACTGATCCTGAGCCAACGCTGGATTTCTGGTTCTTCGTGGAATGCTCTGCAGCCGCTGTAGCCAAAGACGCTTGCGATACGCTCTTCAGATAGCTGAGGTCTATTTGTAAGTTAGGCTTTCGTGATGATTGCTTCTGCTGTTGCTGAGCCTCAGTGGACTTTGTTGCAGCAGCCATTGACAAGTTAGGAGCATCTGCAAGTTTCTTTGTTGGCTGAGGGGACGATTGTGTAGGCAGAACATCTTTTTGTCGAGGTTTGGGCGACAGGGACGGCTGGGGTTTCTTGGGCTCTGGTTTAGGGACATTGCTAACTGGAGGCGGTTGAGGATTCTGGTTCTTCGCTCGGAACGCAGCCGAAGCGGCTAGCTGTGCCGAGCTCATTGTGGGATATAAGTTATTCTATGAGGATTTATAAAAATGTTCTCTAAAGAAGCATGTATCTATAACAAGAAGGAAAGTGTCAAATTTGGGAAGATATGCTATTTGTGTAAAAATAGTGTAGCGACTGCCTAAGGGACCTCCTATACACACACTGAGGGCTATGTTTGGAAGCGAGTCCTACACTTTCCGCACCGGTTTAGTCAGGTACCAGCAAGAGGTTGCGGAATAGCCCAGGGCAAGGTAAGTATGGCTAGTGTTTTTAGGTGGCATACTCGGAAAATTGCTGTGGAACAAGAAATCGTCCTCTTGTGTACGTTTTGTCCTCTTTTGGTTTTGTTATCTTTCTTGATGTACGAAGTCTCGCTTATGCATGATAGATAGAGGTGCTTGAGCTTTGCAGCCATTTCACCCGAACCCAAGTTTATATCTATTTCCGTCTGCCCTTGTTGGCGTTGGCGTTTCTGCCACGTCCAACCCTAACACCTGATGATTTGTATGTTGTACCGAATGGGGAGATGAAGTTGTCCGCACTTCCACCTCCTATCCATTCCTGAAGCATCTTCTCGCTCTTCTTTCTCAGCCAGGCGTCATCTTTCAATGCCTTAGCGTACTCCTTTTGATCCTCTCGGAGGATAATAGGGTCTTGTGAACTGTGTCTGAGCTCCTTGTTGTGCTGGTACCCTCTGTTACCTTGGTTCTTCTGCTGGTTCTTACTGAGAGGTGAAGGCATCGAGTAGACCTGGCCTCTGACAATCCACTGGAAGTTTTTCTTCAAATGGGGAGTGATCTTACCAGTCTCGTTATCAACTGACACGGCACATCTAAGTAACGTGTTACCGCCACACTTAGGACAGAAATGCTTAGGTTGGCCAGATTTGGACATGGGGGTCATCGTGAAGCATGCGTGACATCTGTACATGTAGTTTCTGACTCTCTTGATCTGCTTACCAGAATAAGGATTCATAAGCTTGAGTCCGAGCTGCAAACTTGTGTTCTGACATGCGAAATCTCCCGTGGAAAGGGCAACTGGGATGGAGGTGTTGCTGGACGATTTATCGTCTTGTACTGTCTCGTTGTTGTCTTTAAGAATCTCTTCTTGAAGGTTTTCAGGAGTAATCCAGTCTCCGTCGTCGTCATCTTCGTTGTATTCCTCCTCGAGTTCTTCCTTTCCGGTTTCTGTCTCCTTGGACTCCTCAGTTTGCTCTGGTTGTGGCTCAGCCTTGACTTCTGGAACCTCTACCACTGGCTCTTCCTTCTTCTCTTCGGGTTCTCTAGGCGTCCATTTCCTTCTAGGCTTTCTGGTCTTCTTCTTAGAAACAACCTGGAAGCCATCGTCATCTTCGAGCTGTGGCTCCTCTTCCTTCTCAGGCTCCTCTTCCCTAGGCTTGTACTCTCTCTTTGGTTGAGGCTTTGACTCCTCATCCCCTTCCAACTTCTGTCCTGGGAACTTTCTCAAACGATCAGCGCCAGCCTTTTCAACTTCTAGTTCATATGCTAATGCAATGATATGAAGATCGTTCATCGACAACACAGAGTAGTCACCAGTCAACTTGGCAAAGCTGTTCACTCTATCAATAGACAGCTGCTTAGGCTGACGAACCAAAAGACGGTCGGCCCATAGGAGTAGCTGGTTCCTGGAATGCTCATCCTTCAACTCTGCCTTCACACCTGGAGTAGTATAAAAGTTAGAAGCAAATTGCTGTAAAGCAGAAGCCGGTTGTGTTATAAGCGGAGTTGCATCGAGCACCAACGAGTCGACCAGTTTTTCAGTCATTTTGATGGTGTGCTAGGTAAGAAGTAGTTTCTATCGTTTCTATGCGATGATCTGCTTGGGATGGTAATATGTAGAATTTTTCGCACCCATCGCATTAGGTACTAGTAGTAGTTGGAGAGGAACAGTGCCAGGTAGTGAAGTGGTTGAGTAGGGCATGTTTACGAGAGAAAAACACGATAAACGTATATGACAATGTTTATTAAGAAGATCTTCGTTTTAAGTAAGCAGATGCTTGCATTCGGGTATTCTTCCTAATTAGGCGGTTGCATGGAACAACTGGAAGCCAAGATGCCACAAAAGGTCCACGAGCCATGGTTTGACGACAAATTGGCTCTTTTACTCAGCAAAAGCTGTCCTAGATTAGAAGAGTAGTCAAAAAGACCCGACTATTGATTTTTTTTATTTTCCTACTTTTGTTCCTAGTTTCACTACGAATCCTGTTTTGCGAAATGGGTGCAAAATTTCAGAACTACCCGAAAACTATGAACCACTACAACAAGTACCCCCATAAAATCCAAATCTCACCCAAAAGCCAACCAAAAAGGTCCCTCGAGGTCTCCAACCCCCCAGGTTCCATATCCCGTCCACTTACAAATAGACTTTCTTGGCTAGACCCACCCACCACCAGTAGCCTCTTTCTTGCGAATCTCCGTACTTTAGGCTCCGTAGATAACCCGTACTTCCTACGCCAGGGCTCCACTCCACATGCCAAACGATACCGAAAACATCTGGAAACTTCTACCGACGCTTACTAAGACACTTTTCATTGGATTCCCCTTCAATTTACCGTGGCACGTCCATCACACCATTTTATCTCCAGCACCGAGGCGTTAACACTTGCTGCCTCGCAATCCCTTAACCACTCGCAAACCTCGGTACCCTAAACCAACTAGCCTGCACCGCAACGGTCTACGCCTCAGGAACCGTCCACCGAAGAGGGGCCCCTTTGCCACTATAAACCAGGGCTGTGGGGTATGTAGTCGTGTAAGAGTTCGCCTTTTAAGGCCTGTTTTAGACTGAACGCTTACTGTCACATGTTTAAGCCTTTTGCCTTTTGTCACGCAGGGCGGTTATTGAGTCGTAGCCTCGGGGGTGGAGCTCATATATATACCCCACGTAGTGCCCGTTTTCTCACAACCACATCACAATCAATCATGGCTGGCGATAAATTTGTCCTTCACTAGTATGTATTTTATTTGGGTAATTGTTCAATTGCATGACTAACAAATAGCCTTACTGAATCCAGAGCTCTGAGAATCGTCTGGCTCTTGGAAGAGTTGGAACTCGACTTCCTGTTGAAGGTCTACCACAGAGTCAAGGGTGTTCTTGCACCAAAGGAATTGTTGGATGTCTTCCCTACTGGTATGTCTCCAGTGTTGCAGATCTTCAAGGAAGGTGCTTCGGAGCCACTTACTTTGGCTGAGAGTGGTCACATCGTTCAGTATGTGATTCAGCACTACGATACCAAGGGTAAGTTGACTCCAGAGTCCGATGCCGACAAGGAGAAGGTTGACTACTTCTTGCACTTTGCCGAAGGTAGTTTGCAACCACACCTTGTTTCTATGTTGGTCGGTCAGGTTGCTTCCCAGAGAGCACCATGGCCTACCAACTACCTTGTCAAGGGTATTATGGGTAAAATCAATTCTGAATACTACGTGAAGAGACTCAAGACGAACCTTAAGTTCTTGGACGACACTTTGCAGAAGAAGGGTGGTGGATTCTTTGTCGGTGACAAGTTGACCGGTGCTGACATCATCCTTGAGTTCCCTGTTGGCCAGAACATCTTTGGCGACGAACAGAGAGCCAAGCAATTGGGTTTGGATGTCTCTCCAAGAGAAGCTTTCCCTCACTTGTACGAGTGGAGCAAGCTCGTTGCTGGCGAACCTCTCAGAAAGAAGGCTGTTGCTACTGAAAAGGCCAATTTGTAGATACGTTTCGATGTATGATTTAGGAATACAATTGGACCATGAAATATTTGTAAAAATTTTCTGGAAAGTGTACTATCTTAACCTTGATCTCTTATCGCTCCCTTGGTAGTACCACTGGTCTGTCCGAAACACCCGTGCACCACATGAAGCGATGCCTGAGATGCGCATATTGGAATCAATGAAAAGTTCATATCGGTTGGTCTGCAATGCCTAAGCAAAGAGGAAGAAGAGAAAAGAAGACCGCTGCTAAGGAGCGTGAAGCCGCTCCAGACGGCATTGAAAACGATACAAAAATCCATTTCGAAGATGGTGATGAGGAGCTCCCGTCTTCTGAAACCAAACAGCCATCTGAGTTCTCTACAGTGTTCTTCGGTTTGGTGGATTCCAGTGAAGTAGACTACTTCAAACAAGCAGAGTCTACTCTCAATGTGAATGCTTTTGAGCACGACGAAGAGCGTGCTGGTTTCATCAGATCCGTTCTTGAGGAATCTAGAGGAAAGGAATTAAAGCTCGTTACCAACCAGATCTGCTCCAAGTTGATGGAGAGACTTGTTCTTTTCGCCACTGACCGTCAACTTAAACATATTTTCCACCAGTTCATCACTCACTTCCCTGCTTTGGCTCACCATAAGTACTCATCGCATGTCTTGGAGACTCTCTTGGTGAGAAGTGCTGCCTTGATTGAAAAAGAACTCGCTCATAATTATGAAGAAGAGGAGCTCGAGGCTGAACTTGACACTGATAACGAACAAGATAAGTTCATTGCATCTACCACCATGGAATCCATGTTCCTCAAAATGCTTCAGCAGCTCGAGCAGTACTGGCCATCCATGATTGAGCACCAGTATGCGTCCCATGTGATGAGAATCATCGTGCTTATACTCTCAGGAAAGGAGTTGCCTTCTACGACCATGGCTAACTCTGCCTTGAGATCTAAGAAATCTAAAATCGCCAGAAAAATGATTGAAATCAAGGATAACAGCGACTTTAACCGTGCATTTGAGGTGCCTCCATCGTTCAAGGATGAGCTTAGAAAGGTCGTCAAAGGCGCTACTGCTGGATGGGATACCAAGAAAGCCAGAGAGATGTCTATTCATAAAATTGCTTCTCCAGTTCTTCAGCTTATTATCAGAGTTGAAGGTATCGTTGATAGAGACCGTTCTCTTTGGCATTTAATCTTCCTTGGAGAAAAAGATCCAAAGGATTCAAAAGAGGAGGGTTTTGTCGAGTACCTTTTGTCTGATCCCGTGGGATCTCATTTCCTTGAGTCGGTGATCAAAAATGATGGTGCTAGAATGAAGTACATCGAAAGACTCTATCGTTTGTATATGAAAGACAGAGTGTTGAAGTTAGCAGGAAGAGCTACTACTGGTGTCTACATTATTCAAGCTTTGCTTCTTAAACTTAAACCTGGTGAGGTTGAGCACATCTTAGACTCTGTGATCCCAGAGCTCGCCAGTCTAATATCCATTTCTGAAAACAAGAATATCGACTTGGCCAAATCTGTTATTGACGCATCCATTTCAAGATACAATTATAGAAGAGACGAACTTATCAGACAATTCTTCCTTAAGTTCGCTCCTAACTACAATCCCGAAGAGCCTAACGATACGACAACAGAATTCTTTGAGAATACCTTGCAACTTACTGGTTCTACTTTGGGTAACACCAGAGATGACTGGCCCACCGCCGAGGAAAGAAGAAGATCTCTTTTCTTGGAGAAGCTCATGGAATATGATTACTCTTTCGTTGTCTGTGCCTGGTACAATTGCATGGCGCTTCCTACTGATCGTTTCTTGCAAATGTGCACCCACGGTGTCTTCTCGCATGTTGTTGAGAACTCGTTGGTAGTCAAGCCAGCATCTGATCCAGAGCCTAAAGATATCCTCATTTCTAGAAAGAAGTTCCTTAACATCTTCCTGGGTAACATCTATACGTTGGCCTGCAACTCATATGGCTCTCATATTGTGGATAAACTTTGGGACTTCACTATCCTATTACCAATGTATAAGGACCGTATTGGCTCTGAGCTCAATGCCAAGTCACACGAGGTTAAAGAGAGTTCCTATGGTCGTCTTGTTTGGAAGAACTGGTCCATGGAGTTGTTTACACGTAAGAAGTTTGACTGGAAGAGACTCGTCAAGGATCAGGAAGAGGCATATTACGCTGAAGCATCCGACGAGAAGAATGGTGAAGGTGTCAAGAAGAGACCAATCGACTTGAAGATGGAGGAGATCTTTAGAAAGCAGAATCCGGTTGAGAAGAGACCAGGTGCGCCACTTTCTGGATCAAACCTGAAAAAGCTTAAGGTTAGAGGTCGTAACCGTTAATTACATATCTTTCGTAACATTAAAAATGGGTATTTACAGGTCTAATTTATCGATGTAGTACTCGTTGAGTGTAGCACTATCAACACTTGTGGGACTGTCCACAACAGGGTCAGAGCCAGATTGGTTCTTAGGGAATGCAATGACATCTCTGATGCTATTACTGCCGATAAGCATGGCTGAGAGTCTATCGAAACCCAATGCTATACCAGCATGGGGAGGACAGCCCATGCTAAGCGCTTTGAGCAAATGTCCGAAACGTTCTTCGTAATTGTTGATCTTCAAAATTGACTCGAAGATGTATTGCTGTAGTTCAGCGTCATGGATTCTTCTTGAGCCACCGCCTACCTCAACGCCATTTATCACGAGGTCATAGTGTTCACCTCTTACTTTGGCAATATCGCTCTCCAAAAAGTCGTAGTCTTCGATTTTAGCCATGGTAAATGGGTGATGCGTAGCTTCCCATCTGTCCGTGCTATACTTTGGGAATGGATCTGAAGGGTTTTCTGTCACCTCCACAGGGCTGAAAAGAGGAAAGTCAATCACCCAGGTACCAACAAAAATATCCTTTGGGTCGTAGTCTGTTGTGATTTCCTCTCCCTGGCTTGGCTTCAATGGCCTGTTCCATCTACCAGGGAATTCTTCAATAGCAAGCTGACGGAACTTACCCAAAGGTGTAGGATTTTCGTAACTGAGCTCTGCCCTTGTTGAGAAGGCAAGAACATCACCAGGCTCCAAGTTAAGCGCTTTGAGTACCTTTAGTTGGGAGAAGTCGCCAGTTTGAGTCAAAACATCCTTTTCGACGAACTTCTTCCACCAAGTAAGAGCGTCATCCTCCGATTGAATAGGTAAAATGATTGGCTTTCGACGTGGGTACGCCTCTGGATCATTGAGTGCGTTACTCACCTTGTACTTCTTTGATGGATCAAAAACGCCCTTCAAAACGCAAGCTTCTACCACCCCGAAATCTTCAGCATTGTTGACAGGCCGAAGGAATTCAGAAAGATTAACGAACTCGAGCGCCGAACGAAGATCTGGCTTATCAATACCATACTTACGCAAAGCTTCTTGATACGTCAATTTGGTGAAAGCAGGGACAGTATCTCTATGGCGATTTGCCTTTACAGGCACGATACTTCCGTCTGCATCCAACTTGTAGATGGGTTTGTTGGCCACTTTCAGCCATACAGTCTCTATAATATCGTCGATCACGGCATGTACTTTCTTGCTATGATTTACGAAAGCCATTTCCAAATCGATCTGGGTGAATTCTGGCTGCCTATCAGCTCTAAGATCCTCATCTCTGAAGCATCTGGCAATCTGGAAGTACTTGGTAAAACCAGAACTCATGAGCATCTGCTTATATTGCTGAGGAGATTGAGGCAATGCGTAGAAACGGTCGGGAGATCTGGTAGGAACCAAGAACTCTCTTGCACCCTCCGGTGTGGACTTGAAAAGAGCAGGAGTTTCAATCTCTGTGAAACCATGGTTCTCCACCAAGACCTTTCTGGCCCAATGAGCAGCTTTTGATCTTGTCCTCAATGCGTTCTGGTAGAAAGGTGTACGCAATTGCAAGTACCTGAACTTTGGAGGGATAGTCGCTGGGCTTGTGTGCTTCAAGTTATCCAACTGAGCGGCATCAACACCGCCTTCGTTCAAAATTTGAAGTTCAGATACCGAGATCTCATATTCTGGAGGATCATCTGCGTTTTTAGTGACTTTTCTCCGCAAAAGACCATTCACAGCCAATGAATCTTCCGTACCAGATCTGCGGATCAACTCCATATATTCCAGATTCGTCCATTCAGGCGACAAGTGAAGCTGGATAATGTCACCCTGAGTGTCTCTAAGCTCAGCAAACGTACGTTTGCCCAATTTTCTAGGTTTTCGGTGAAGATGGCCATGAAGAGTCACTGGACAATGTGTCCAGCTGTCGCCGCTTGCTACCAAGTCACGAACATTGTGAGTGGCTGAAGGAAAGGAAAACTTGGCTAGCGTAGCATCCTTAGGCGGTAGTTTAGCAGAGGCCAAAGCACGGGTCCATTGACGCCGGGATACATTGAGCCTTTGGAACATTGCCTAGTATAGTAGAGTGTATTGGTGAATGCGAAGTGAGGTGAAGGGTTCAGTGCAGGTCAGTGAGTCTAGCCAGGCCCTAGAGACGCTACCAGTGTGAGCCCAAACGTTGTCATTCCCGAAAGCGGCTACTAAGAAAAAGGAATTCTCATCGATCACAATCTGATTTCCACGGCTTCCCTCGGAAACATAGTATCTGCAGCGCCTTGACGTTTACGACCAAGTAAGGTTAAACGGTCCAGGCAACCCGATACACCGCGAACCAATGAGACCTCCTCCCACCAGACCAAAGTTCGTAACGCTGGCATTGACATTGACAGGATTGGGCATTGACAGTGGTTCCTAGAATCGGTGCCAAGAAAGCTTATTTTTAATTGGTGAAATTTGCCGACAAAGAGGTAGTGCGCCCTACTGGCGCTTAAATTTTCAGCTTGACGGAAAGTTCGGCAAACTTTAACAGATGCCGATATGACACCCCAGAGGTGCTTTAAGAAAACAACACAAAGTGACGTGGTGGAAGCAACAGAATAAAGTGGGCCAATGGAAAAGCAGGCTTAGGCTGTTGCTGGTTCTGGAAGACGCCTGCTAAAGCAGCATTTCCTAGATCCATGCGTAGGCGAATTAAAAAGGAAGCTCATCTCGGGATGCCACCCAGACTATACCGATGCAACAAGCATGAGGCGTTCTGGCAGGTCGCATCTGGCATGCATTATTGGGTTGCGATACTAAAATAGAAAAGAGCCAGTTCCCTAAAAAAGAGAAGTGTGCTTCATTCCGACAAATCAAAAGTGACATGAATAAGTGGAGAAAATACCGTTTAGGTGTCTGCTTTTGGTGAGGCTGTTTCGTATCTCTCTGGCTATATCCTCTTAATTAACATGGGCTGTCGCTTAATTATGAGGCGTCCTGAAACATCACAAACCCATTTGTGCTACCTGCCTTTCTTTTTCTTTTAACCGACGCTTATGATTCGTTGCTAGTGGTTATTTCCCTGCACCTCGTCAATCGCAAGGGGATCGGCTGTCAAACTTCTGTCTTGATGCAGATGACATCCCATTTTTGCAACTCTATGTAGAGTACATCGCAAGGACGGTTGTTATGAAGCGCCCAGGCGTGCATGACTATTGGTCTCTTCCTGGACGAACACGGAATCTGAGAAAATAAATTTGGAGTTTGAAAGGCGGGACAGTACGACTTGCAGAGGAACAGAATACGAGCAAATAACGTCAACAGGACACTTCAGGGTCGCTCGTGCCTCGAGAAAGCCACAACCGGGCTTTGAGCGAAAAAAAAAAATTTTTTTTTGTTGCATAAGTAATCTGATCAGATCAATAGCGCTAAAGCTGCATTCACGACTTTGTGTTGCAAAAAAAGTAAAAGCTGTTTAGTCAAGGTTGGGTTTTCCGTGCCGTGTGCAGTCGTGACGTGCATTGGATGTGCCACTTTCGACGCACCTGTTCAGAGCCCTGCAAGGCCAATTAGCGTCAATGAGACCCTCACTCTCTTAAAACTACTCTCTTTCGTAGAATGGCGAATCACAAGTATTTGTGTCACGATGCACCATTTCTATATTTGCTGCATGGACAATGCAGCGTGTTCAATGTAAGTTTGTGATTAACCCTCCTGGCCATCTCGTTCTTGAATTTCATTTGTCCTTCTCGCAAAAAACATGCAGATATCAAAGTTCAAGTAGCTACCGAGAAACGGAACTCCCGATGAGGAAATGAAAGAATGAAAGAAAAAATGCCTCTCAAGTACTTATAAAAGAAGCGGCTTGTCCCCATTTTTCTGATCTTTTTGATTATCTGATTGATCACTTGCATCTAATCTCTAGCCATGTCCCAAAGGGTAGATGAAGAGAAGATCGAGGAGAGAGGCTCCGACAGATACCTCCAGGAGCTGAGTGAGGACTACTCAGACAAGCAGGAATCCGTTAAGGACCATGCTTTGGCTGCTGTTGAGTCCAAGAACTCTTTGGACACAGATGATGGTTTCAAATTCAACCAAGGTGATATCATGGCCATCTTGATGGACGATGATGGAGACTTGCCTTCTTTGACTTTGAGAATGTGGGTCATGGCCATTTGTCTTGGTGCCGTTGTTGCTGGTGTTGACTCTTTCTTCAACATGCGTTTCCCTACTATTGGTATCGGTGTGGTTGTTATCCAGGTCATTGCCTGGCCAATCGGTAGATTGTGGTACATGGTGGTGCCGCAGTGGGAAGTGCCACTTCCTTTCGGCATGGGATTTAACTTGAACCCTGGTCCTTTCAACTACAAGGAACACACCTGTATCTTTGTCTTCTGTAATGTCGTTATCAGTGCTGGTTTGGTGAACAACTTGGTTATTGAGGACACTAAGTTCTTCAAGAAGGATATTGGTATTCCACGTCAAATTCTTTTCAACATTTCATGTTACGTTCACTCGGTTGCCCTTGTTGGTCTTTTCAGAGACATCATGGTTACTCCAGCTGAGAGAGTCTGGCCTGGTGTGCTTTCCAACATTGCTTTGTTTAAGTCCATCTACTCCAAAGACAATCCAGTTGTTCACGGATGGAAAATGCCTCGTTGGATTTTCTTCGTCATTGTCTTCCTTTGCTCGTTCGTATACTACTGGTTCCCTGATCTTATCTTCCCATTCTTTTCCACCATTGGCGCATGGATCAGTTGGATCAAGCCAGACAGTGCTCCCCTTTCCCAGGTCTTTGGTGTGAAGACTGGTCTTGGTCTTTTCCCATTCACTTTGGACTGGACCCAAATCACCTCTATCAATAACCCATTGACTACACCATTCTTCGCTGTTGCTTCCATGTTCTTCTCTTTCGTGTTCTGGATCTGGGTTGTCATGCCAGGTCTTTACTACCAGAACCATTGGGAGACTGCCCACATGCCTATCATGAGTAACAGTGTCTTCGATGTCACCGGAAAGCAGTACAACTTCACCAGAATTGTTGACGAGAACTGGAACCTTGACCGTGCCAAGTTTGACGACTACTCTCAGGCCTTCATGCCAATTGCTTTCTTGATGAGTTTGGCTCTTGGTATTGCTGTTTTCGCTGCTCTTGTTGTCCACACCGCCTTGAAGTTCCGTTCTGAGATTTGGGGTCCATGGGCTAACAGAGGTAAGCAAGACGATATCTTTAACCAGGCTGTTAGACAGTACAAGGAATTCCCTAAGTGGGTTTACGCCGTCCTTTTGGTCATCAGTTTGGCTCTTGGATTTGCTTTCAGTGAAGGTTGGGATGACTCTCCAATCGATGCCGGTGGATACTTTGTCTCTGTGTTGATTGGAAGTGTCATGTTTGTCCCACTTTCTCTTCTTGAGGCCAGAGCCAACACCAACGTCTCGTTGGCCAGTTTCTTCGAGATTGTCAGTGCTAACTGGTACAAGGGTAACGCTTACACCCTTCTTTACTTCTACTCGTTCGGTTTCAGTATCATCCAGCACGGTATGCACATGGCCCAGGGTGCTAAGATGGCTCACTACATGAGAGTTCCTCCAAAGAACATCATGTTCATGCTTTTCGCTGCCGGTATCTGGGCTTCCCTTGTGTCTCCATCTGTCACTGGTTACTTGTTGCACCACATTGACGACATCTGTACTGACAACGCCGCGAACAATATGATTTGCAGAAAGCAAAAGACTTCTTTCAACAGTCACACTATGTGGGGCTTGTTCGGTAGCGAGATCTTCGTCCCTGGTGGAAGATACGGTTGGGTCTTGTGGTTCTTCCTCGTTGGTGCTCTTGTGCCAATTGCCCACTGGTTGTGGTGCAAGTACAGACCAAAGTCCTGGGTCAAGAGATTCGACCCCATTCTTTTCTTCGGTGGTGCTGCCATGATCCCAGGTGTTACTGGTTACAACTTCTCCACCTGGTTCGTCACCGCTGCCATCTTCAACTACTTCATCCATCGTAAGTACACCTCATGGTGGAGAAAGTACAACTTGGTCAGTTCCATTGCCCTTGATTCGGGTGTGGCCATTGCTGCCATTTTGATTTATTTCTGTGTGGTTTACACTGGAGGATCCAAGAACTACTCTTGGTGGGCTACTGATGTTGCCAAAAAGGGCTGTGACGCCAAGGGATGTCCACATCTTGACAAGAAGATTCCTGCTCAGCCAGGTTACGATTTTTAATTAAGGTTGTTTAAAAACTGCCGCTTAATTCTTTAATACATATATGATAGTGCTTTAACTTAAAGTAGTAGTAACTCTACGCGATTCTGTTACCCACCTTGCAAAGCCTACCAGTTTCCTGTAGACAAGGGCTAGGCAGTGCCCAACTTCTTCTTAATCCAACTCGAACCACTTCGTATATAGGCCATAGGGCAAATCCATAATGTTGTCCTTGTTGTCCTTCAAGCTACCGAGGCTAATAGTCCGAGTCTTGCTACCTTTGGTCTTTTTGATCGGGATCACCATCCTCATCTCCGTACAGTTCGAGGTTGACGTGAAGGAGAACTTCTCAGGTTTCCTCAGACAACTAGAAGCAACTAAGGCACTTGATTTTAGGAAGCCTTACATTCTAGAGAAGGGCAATGTTCAGTTTCATTTCCTTAATCTAAAAAAGAAGAAGGGAACACCCGAGCAGATCCTCCAGGCCAATAACGACAGGTACGACGAGATCTTAGCCCAAGAGATCAACGAACCAAAGGACTTCAACATTGAGTCAATTCGTCCACCCGAAAACCCTTTTGAATATCAACACGCCAATGCTACAATTGTATCGTTGGTGAGGAATAACGAGGTCGCTAAAATCGGCGTTGCTATCCGTTCATTCGAGAACAAGTTCAATGGTAAGTTCAAATATCCATATACATTCCTTAATGACCAGCCGTTTACGGATCGCTTCAAAGAGAAGATCAGAAAGTATACCGATGCTCCCATGGAGTTTGTGCAAATTCCTCCCGAGCTATGGAACAAGCCTGATTTCGTGGATTTGACTCGCGAGAGGGAAGCTATGGACAGACTCGAACAACTCAACGTTGCATATGCTAAGAAAGCTTCGTATCATAATATGTGCCGTTTCTATTCGGCTAAATTCTATAACTTGCCAGAATTGCAGAAGTACAAGTACTATTGGCGTCTTGAACCGAGCGTCAAGTTTTTCACGGACGTCAACTATGATGTGTTTAAGTATTTGGAAGGAACACGCAAGATATATGGCTTCACAATCAACCTTTACGACATTGACGAAAGCATTGAGACACTTTACCCCGAGACTTTGAACTTTTTGAACCTGGATGACAACTACAAGTATGTCAATGAGAACGGTTCATTCCAGTGGATAACCGAGGACCAGCAAAACCCAAAGAAAACAAAGGTAGCACACGGCTACTCCACGTGCCATTTCTGGTCTAACTTTGAAATTGCTGACATGGACTTTTATCGTGGAGAGGCATACACTAACTGGGTTAATTACCTAGACTCCACAGGGAAGTTTTATTACGAGAGATGGGGAGACGCCCCGGTGCATTCGCTCGGGTTGGCGCTTTTTGCCGACAAACGTCAAATCCATTGGTTCAGAGATATTGGTTATCATCATAGCCCGTATCGCAATTGTCCCAACACTCCAACTACTAGAGGCTGCGCTAAGGGCCAGTTTTCTGAGTATAACCGAGATTTCGACCAAAATTGTTTGGTTACATGGGTTGATTATGAAGCAGGAGACTTAAGCGCTGTCTATTGATTTCCCTGTGAACATGGAAGTGGAAATTGGTCTCTTGTGGCGGAAGGATGTATGGTTGCAAAAAATAGAGAAGCATCGAGCCACTTTGTGCTCATTTCACGATACGATAAATAATCGAGAAACGGCGATTAGATCGCATTTGGCTAAAAACGAAACTCTATTTACCACCCGCTTAATCCGATTCGTCGTTTGCATTCGGACAATGCCTTGCTTATTAATTCATTTTGGATATGTGCAAGGCAACACTTTACCCCTTAATGCCACAGTTTGATTAAGGTAGATAGAGAGTCCTACCTTTACTATGCAGCTGCCGCGCATACTTGTGTCAAAAGTGTGGTGCTTGCAAATTCGCACCCAATTGTGGTTCACGATAAGACCATTAATGGTCGGGGCGGGTAGACACTATTAGTGCATTATAAATATGATGATATCATCCGGGCCTTGAAACATTCTCTTTATCGAATCAATCAATTATTCAAGATGTCCCCAGCAGTTGATATCAAGGACAACCAGGCCGAAGTCGAGGAGACTATCCATAGATTGACTAGCCTCAGACCTATTGGCGGTAAAAATCATACCAAGGCCAAGTTTGGTGCTCAGGCTTCTTGGGTTGAAAAACTTCCCGAGCCAGCTCGTAAGAGATTTGATAAGTATGGTATTGACTTGTCGAAGGGGTACCCAAAGGTTCCTGAGAGTAAGGACATTCCAAAGTTTGTCGATGAAGCCTTTGAGATCAGAAACAAGGAGTACCCATACGTTGAGCGTGGTAAGAACGCCGACCCAGAAAAGAAAGCCTTGTTTGGTGCTGCTAAGAGAGTCCGGAACTTGACTAAGCACATCGGAACCGAGATTGAAGGTTTGCAATTGTCTGATTTGAACGATCAGCAGAAAGATGAATTGGCTCTTTTGATCGCTGAACGTGTGGTCGTTTTCTTCAAGAACCAAGACTTGTCTCCACAAAAGCAGTTGGAATTGGGCCACTACTGGGGTCAGGTTGAAGTCCACGCTCAGGTTCCAAGAGTCCCAGATACTGTCGAAGGCGAGTCTCTTCCAGGTATCACGGTGATCTGGCAGGACTACGCCAGAGAGTTCTTTGGTCTTCCATTGACTTTCAGAGACAACAGCAAGGGTAACTCTCAGTGGCACACTGACTTGGTCCACGAGTTCCAGCCAGCTGGTATCACCCACTTGCACAACGACACTATTCCAGAGGTCGGCGGTGACACTCTTTGGGCGTCTGGTTACGCTGCTTATGATAAATTGTCGCCAGCTTTCCAGAAGTTCTTGGATGGCAAGACCGCTATCTTCCGTTCTGCTCATGGTTACTTGGACAGAGAGAACCCATTGAAGGGTCCTAAGCACATCGAGAGAGAGCACCCTATTGTGAGAACTCACCCTGCCACCGGCTGGAAGTTTTTGTTCGTTAACCGTTCCATGACTGACCGTATTGTGGGCTTGGAGCCTGCTGAATCGAAGCTTATCTTGGAGTACTTGTTCTCTGTCTACGAGAAGAACTTGGATATCCAGGTGAGATTCAACTGGGCTTCTGAAGAAGGTAAAGGTACTTCTGCTATCTGGGATAACAGAATTTCTCAGCACAATGCTGTTTGGGACCACGAAGGCTTGGAGCCAAGACACGGTACCAGAGTGACATCTTTGGCTGAGGTTCCATACTTCGACCCTAACTCCAAGTCCCAGAGACAATCCTTGGGCTTGGACTAAATAATAACAGTACAGTGAATGCGAGTATGAGATATTATTATAATTCGTCGTTATTTATCATCTATCACCTTCTTCGTCTCTTCATTGCGTACATCTCGTCAACCTTGGCTCTCATCATATCAGTGATACGCAGATAAGCAGGGTTGTTCTTGATCTTGTCACACCATGCTGCGAGATTGGGGTATTTCTTATATAAGTCAGTCTCGTCAGCACATTCCTTGACTCCAGCTTCGTTATCAAACAAGTTCTCGTAGATGGGGAAACTCAAAATGATATCAGCGCCAGTCAATTTGCCGCCCACAAAGTAGCCAGTACCTTCTGCACGGAGCTGTTGCTCCAAGTAGCGCAAATTGAGATGGTATTCATGGATGTAGTAACCGTTGTTCACACCACGAGAATAGACCTTGGCAAGGGTCCTCATTCCAAGGGGAGCCACACGCTTTGCCGTCGAATTGATCAACATGGACATCAAAATCGCCTCAAGCGTTCCCTCAGCGTAGTGAAGGTAGTAGTCCATCTTGATCTGTTCTCTTTCACCTTTCGGCAGGAACCGACGCTGGGGGTCATAATTCTTCAAAAGGTACAGAATAATCAACCCCGACTCAGCCAACTGAAGGTTGGGTCTCCCATCAGCAAATTTGATTTCCAAGATGGGCGACTTGCCCAAGGGATGAACATGGAACAATTCAGGAGGTCCCCTCCAGGTCTCTTCGTGGCGTAGATAGACATCCACATCGTAATCAAGCTCAAGAAGCTCAAGAAGCCATAAGATTCTGTGTGCTCTGGACTCGTCGAGCCAATATAATATAAACTTATCCTGTGATGACATGACTTGACGGACAAATTCAGGAACCGTCTGCCCCCATCCTTATATGTCTTTTCAGCTTCCCCACAAAAGCCTTCCTAGTTAGGTCTGAGATGTGCGACACAAGATGAAATTTCCTCAATAGGAATCCTCAGTACACTATTTTATGCGCGAACTCCAGCGCCTATTGTATCCCATACTAATAGCTGCCCAACTGGGCTAAATGAGGGGCGCCTCACCTGCAAGCTGGTCCTTGTAATGGCCCTTTCTAAGTGGATCCAATTCAATGAGGCGGTTGAGTTGGGCACTTACTTTGTTGAGGAGAAGATCGGCGTTGTCCTCCAAGAGTGCCTGCAAAACGACGATGGTTTTAAGACACCATATGTTATCGTTTCCTTTGGGGCTATCTTCTTTTTCAAGTTCGTTAAGTTCCTCGACGTCTTGGAGAAGTTGCTGGATGGAGCCTTCAAACTCTTTCTTGGCTTTGAGATCTTTTACGAATATGTCTTCGCTTACGAGCCAGTGCATGTACAGCCACACGGACGTATCGTCTGCATCCATGTAAATACCTGTTTTGAGCAATTGGAGGTCATGCTTGAAAAGGGACGAAGGAGAGTCGAACACTTGAAGAAGCTTTTCATACTCTTTGAGTGGCGTCAAATCATCCACATTTTCAAGCTCCTTGAATATCTTCGGTATAAGGTTGGACCTGTTGTGCCACGCGCTGAAGTTCGAGAGGTTCTTGTTGATCTTCTCTGTGGTATACTGGAAATCCATCAAGTCGATTTTTAACTCAGCAAGAAGTTCAGCTTTCTTGTCTCCCTGTGCAGCTTGTTTGGCCAGTGTTTCCATATTTTCCACCACGTATCGCCTGTAGTGCCACCCATGGAAGTTCCTGCTATCCATCTCTAGGAGTTTCTGGACGATGGCAAGTTCAAATTTCCAATTGGCTTCGTTGTCTTCCAGGAGCTGGGCTAGGCACCAGTAACGATGGTTCCAGATCCAGTAGCACTTGGGGAACCGCTTGAGCATCTGCATAACCATACCTAGATCATCCTCCAAAGCCTTCTTCTTGTTGAACTCGCCACTGGCGAAAAGCAGGGTGAGAATGTTCCTTCTGTAGTTCCAGATGGCATTGAACTCGGGATTGAGGTCTAGAAGCGTGGTGGTTTCGCTGAATGTATCCTTGTTATAGACCTTGTTCTTTTTATCATTAAGGCACTTCGCTGTAAGTCTTCTGTAATGCTTAATTTTCACCCGGTCTTTCTCAAGCTTGGCCTTTTTGGCTGCTTCGGATAGCTTTTCTCTCTTTATGCCGTGTTGCTGATGTTAGTACTAGCTCAAACGCACTGATCTGATTTCGACATACCATTATGGTGTAGGTGATGTGAGATCGTTTAGTGCGCTGAGACATATACAGAATGTGGTGGTTGCAAAACACCCACACTTACCAAAACATGACGAGTGTATATACTTAAAGGGGCTATTTACATGGTATCTACACTACAGTGGCCTTCAATTCCACATTGGGCATTGGAATAGGCGCCAACTCGCCGTCCTGGTATGAGGCCTTGAAGAACGAGTAGTTCAACACAACATCGTCTATGTTTTTCATAGATGGGTCCTTGGTAAAGTCTGGGTCAATAAAGAAGAAAACGGGCATGTCGACTTCTTCGCCAGCTGCGAGCCTCTGCTCTTCAAAACAGAAACACTGGATCTTGTTAAAGTATGCTGCAACAGTGCCTGGGGTCACAGTGTACGTGGCCATACCAACAATGTCTTCCTTGGACATATTCTTTGCTCTGTAAAACACAAGAGCAGTTTCACCTGGCACAATGTACACCTCCTTCTGCAACGGCGTGAACTTCCATGGTAAGATACCCGACGCTTGACACGTGAAGGAAACTTTGATACGTTTGTTGGTATCCACTGGAATCACATGGTCAGCAGTAAACATTTTGGCATCGGTAATTGGGGTACCGTCCCATCCGGTTCTCCTACAAAGGTATCTGTAGAATGGAACAGCCACGCAAGCGAGACCCAAAAAGAGCATAACCACAGAAGCCGAATAGTAAGCAGCAGATCTGTTTCTCAACTTGAACTTATCTTCATTTTGCTGCTGATATCTCTCATAATTGTCACGGGCTCTCTTGATGTCCTCTTCCGAAGGCTGTCTGAAATCCTGGCTGTAGAGTCTTGTAGGAGCAAGAGCGCTACGCATAATACCATTTCTGGTCAAAAGCGAAGCGCCAGATCTTATAGAAGGCGTAAACCTTCCCACATGTCTTAATAACATAATCTTGGTGATTTAGGAAGTTGGTGATAATCTCAAATTCCATTGGGCGCATTCCGTCGGGATCGTAAGATTCATGCACATAGCCTGGAGAGGAAGAAACCTATTTTACGAAAAATATTTCTAGGATTAATGCTATTATTTCTAAATGCTAGGGATAGTTGATCATGCGAGTATTTGTTGTACTTTTTCTTGTGTGTACTGGTCGTTGAGCGATATTAAGGTGATGAAGTCGTTCTCGCTAAGCTCACTCCGGATCTGGAGAAGAGCGTCTTTCAAGTATTGGCGCATTTTGATCTTTAAAACAGGGTCTGTGCTTTCGAGAAGTCTTTGGTATCTGACTTTCTCACCGTGTGGAGCAATATCAGGATCGAGATATGCGTAGTTATCCACATCACTGTAGATATAGTCTCCCTCGTATACCTGGCAATTTCCAGATGTGTCCTCGTTGACTTCTTCTAGGAACAAGAAACAGTTTCTGAGAAGCTCTCCAAATTTTTCAGGCATTCCATGTAAGTTCTTTGAAACGCAATATGTTGCTACTGAAACCAAAGCAAGTAAGTTGACCTTCTTGTTTCTTGGATTTCCGTTGTTCTTATAATACTTCATCCAAATTTCAATGAAATGCGCCGAATTGATCTGGAGATGCTGCATGACGTTCAAGAACGCTTCTGCTGATTTGGTTGCAAGTCTTGAAAGGACCAACAAGATCTTATTTGCAAGTACAATACTATGGTCCTCGTCGAGGACGTATGCGACCATCGCATTGAACAAGCCACTGTTGATGAAAGCGTTCATGAGCTGGTCGTTCTTAGTATCTTGCAAAAAAAGTATATCTGCTAAGGTGATAAAAACATCAAAGGCATCATCACGCATCTTTGGCAAATAACCTGACATCACCCTGAAGGATTCGAGACCAGCTTCAGTTTCAAAAACCTTAGGGGCTAACAAACTGTAGCTTCTTGCTATGGACAAAATTGTAGGGAGAATTTCAGTTGCATCCATCAAGGCAGGGTGCAAAAGCGTGAAAAGATCGATCAAAGTATCAGTTGCTTCTGCGTTCGTAGGGAAATATTGAACGACCGCTAACCAAAGGTCGAATCCATCTTCAGAAAGAAGGGAGTAATGTTCGGATGATTGTGTGCAACATGCTTTAATCAATGGAAGCGTGATGAAATGAGTTTGCGATGAATTCTGGTTTAAGGCAATAACCAATTGCTTGAGAACTCTAAGTAAAGAAGATTGCAAAATAGCTTCGTCGTTCTTCTTTGAACTTTCCCAATATGATGGCACAATCTGAAGAATGGCCACCAATGTTTGCTCATCAATGAGTGGGTTACACCTTTCAATTAAAGCGCTTAAGGTGTCCAAGATATAAAGCTTCGATTCCGTAAATGACATATCGTCCAACATGCTAAGTGAGAGCGAGACGAAGTCTTTCAAAAAGGTTGGAAATCTTGCTTGTTGAAGTCCCAATCATTGATGATTGTTCTCAAAGTCTGAATAGACGTCAACTTCACGACCTTATCATTGATCTTGTTGTCAGATTGTAAAAAGGTAAGAAGAAGCTTGTAGATGTTCACCCTGCTTTCACGCGAACAATTGACAGGTACCCAAGTTGCAATGACCAAGCAGACTCTTCTCTTGATGATTTTATTCTCCACGAGATCATTCTTGAGACCCTCTGGGAGGAACACTTGCGTTAAAAGTTGATCAAAGTCAACACTATTAGCGATGGAGTCGGCCGAAAGCTGGAACGTGCACAACGTAGCATCCTTCGTGAGAATGTCGGACACAGACTCATTGCCAGAAAGGCCATTTGATATTTTGTTGAGGATAAAGTCACAGAGCTCGTTTTTGAAATACTTGATAAGGTCTTGGTAGAAGTTCTCAGCACAGGGCCTCACTTGGTATTCCCAGCTAGAACTCAACTCTTCATTGACCCATTCCTCTGGTTCAAGTAGCCAACTTTCGAGATCAGATGGCTTAAGTCTCAAATACCAATTGATGATGAGATCGCATAAGTTAAAAATGACCTCAGGTGTAAACAAGTTCTTCTTTAATTTGTTGATAGCGTTTCCAACATCCTCTTTATCGTTCCTCTGCTTAAGAGTGACGGCACCTTGCTTGAAAACATAGGCGACCAACTTCTTCAAAATTAAGAAACCCTTAAGTGCGAGAGTTTCCCAGAAGTCGTTATCTTCATTACTTTTGTAGACATCTTCAGCCCTTGTTTCAAGTAAGGATAAAAACGTAGTGACAATTTCTTGCGAACAAGGTACAAGAACAAAGCTTGTAGGGTTCAGATTGATGAGACTGACATAAAGCTTGCTGTAACTCTTTACATAACGTTCTAAGAGATCTGATGAATACTTTTCATGCTCAGACACCAAACCTTGTAAATGTGATACCGACAACTTGAGGAAATCAGTGATGTCTTGATTCGTATGAGGCTGTTCAAATCCCTCAGGAATAATTCGTCTTAAATTCTTTAAGCAAAGATAACAGACTTCCATGATAGTTAAGTCCAATGACGAAGTCCACATCAGGAAGAACTTGCAGTACAGTTTGATCAAAATGGGAACGATGATGGGCGCCTTACTTTGCATGGCATGTCTAGATCTTCCAATTCGAACCATTGACACCGCCTTGATTATCTGATTGAGTATTATGAGAAGATTGTTAGTCGCTATTAGGTTCCCTTGAACAAAGACATAATCCTCTAATGTCTTACTGAGGTCATCAAACAAGGTAGGCGATTCACTGGGGAAGTCAAAACGAACTATACGAGCGATGGAATGTGCATTTTGAATTGTCAACTGGCTGTTATTCTCTCCAATCAACTTAAACACCCGCTTCTTGATTTCAGCCTTTTCTTCTTTGCTGATAGCATTCTGGCGGGAGGGACGCCAATGCTTCTCCACGCCATTCTTGAAACAAATGATTGCTAACCATCTGACGTGCATAGGTAACTCTGTATTAAGGTAGATGTCCTGGAGAGCATAGTGGTAGCCAGGCTCGGACTCCCATTTCTTGAGTTGGGCTTCAGCCTCATGTTGGAGCAGGCTGCGTTCGGAACCGTCCACTATGTAAAGCACCTTTAGGAGCTCTTCGGTGGAAACAGCCATTTTTAAGGAGTTCTACTGGAATTGTAATCTCCAATGGTGAAGAGATGGGTTGGTGTTAGAGCGCCTGGGTGATGTCCCAGTGGTCGCATACAGGAAAGTCGTCATTATAGTCTATAGTCATTGTAGTTTAAAGCAGTAGAGTGTTATGGGAGCAAAAAAATCACCATCTGCGAGCTTCATCGCCTTCGGCCCATTCTGCTTCTTTGTATCCTAATTCGGTCTTGACCCTCTCAACGACTTCGGGCTTTCCCATGTTTTTGCCGATATTGTCGCTGATTTTGATGGAGGGCTCATGATCCGCTTCTGTGAGCTTGATCACGATATTAAGAGGGTGTGATTTCTCGTGGGTAACGTTGCTTTCGAAGTCATTAGTGAAGTAGGTACCAATGCCAAAGATCACTTTGAAACCCACAGACTCACCCTTGGCCTTGTACTGCTTGCACTTTTCGATGTTCAATGAATCAGAGAAGCAGATCGTCTTCGACTTCTCAGGGTAGCCCAACTTCTTGTAGTGTTCTGCAAGCTTTTCGGCGTACGCCTCAGGGTCGCCGGAGTCCTGTCTAACGCCAGCGTATAGGTCAGTGTAAGGTTTCTCGAAGACACGCAAGTAAGATTCAGTTCCGAAAGTATCAGTGAGTGCAAGACCTGGGGCTTTAGGGAAGGTCTCGATCCAGCGGTCCATGGCTATCTTGTTAGCACTAACATAGTCCTGGGTGATAGATGCCACACCCATAAACCATTCATGAGCAATTGTTCCAATTGGAGCAACATTATACTTCTTGGCTAGGTACACATTCGAAGTTCCAGAGAAAAATTTGCCATTTGGTGACAGTTTAGATACCTTTACGAGCGCATCCACCACAAGATCCTGGGTTTTGAACGATCTTCTTCTTCTGGTACCGAATTCACTGAACACACATTCTCCATCTAAGAGTTCCTGGCCCTTCTTGGTTGCAAGTTCCTCTTGTCCTTCGTAGTCCCATTCGGTGTCCACGAATCTGAAATATGCCTCTGACACGAGCGCCAAAATAGGAATCTCGTACAAAATGGTATCAAACCAAGCACCTTCCACGGTCAATTCGAAATCCTTAACATCCGATTTGTCGTTGGCGTAAATCACTTGCTTAGAAGGCTCCAATTTGAAGTCCTTCAATCCTGCAATATAGTCAGCTGGAAGCACTGGAATCTTTTCAGACATGTATTTCAACTCGTCCTCGGTGAAACGCAAGTCTCCTAAAAGACTAATTTGCTCTTTCAACCACTCAATGGCATCCTTGCTCAATACCATCTGTGGAGTTCTATTGGTGTACTTATACTTCACTGGAACATCTTTGTAGTGCTGGAAAACAGCTGCTTGCATGGACAACTTGTACAAATCAGTGTCCAAAAGGGACGTAATTACTGGTTGTACCATGATCTATGGGAAAGTATAAAAAGAAAAGGATAGTGGTGGTTGCAAGTAGGTGACTCAGTGGGTATGTACGATTTAGAGCGTTAGAAGGCAAGACCTGCCTCCGTGCACCAGCTACCACACAGCACCATACACCGAGAAAGGACCGAAGCAATGAATTACGAGGTCCATTACGAAGCGCGCCTAAAAAATATCGCTTAACTAGTAACAGGAAGTGAAATTCACAAAAAATAATGACTCCGGCGTGATTCGAACACGCGCATCTTACGATAACAGAACTTGAGTCTGCCGCCTTAGACCGCTCGGCCACAGAGCCATTAGATGTAAGGATGAAGCTGGTGGTTAGATAAATCATGTTGAACGAAGTGCTCAAAATGATGCTATTTCGATAGTAAAAAGTGAATTTGAGTCTATGAGCTTTTCTGAAGGCTATGGCATGCTAATTTTGGCCTCTAGCCGGTTGGAGCTCCAAATTTTGACGTTTTTGTCTCAAAAAGTTGCTTCATGGCCCCAGATTTTCAATTATCCGCCTTTGAATCTTTCCAAATGCATACTGCCATTTCAGTATATCCAGATACTTTAATGTGTCGGTGTTTCCTGGTACTTTCTTCGGATACATGTCCCTTACAGCGGTAACTGACCACGAACTGGTAGCGTCTGGAACCTCTAGGACGTCCTAGATGACCATAAATAATAGTCCTCCCTTCCTTTGGCAGATAAGCTTTTAGATGGCCATCCTTCAAACGCTAAACCCAATTGTCACCCAGAAACAGATCTGTAGAAGCTTGTCAAACCAAATCAAACCAGACATTTAATCTAAGTTATAGAAATATAAAGTCCTCTTAATACGCCACTTCATACCTTCGGGCGCCGTCGTCTTGTTCTGGTCTAACTATGCTATTGTCCATCAATGGCTGCGAAAAACCATACATTGTACTTACCGAGCCGCCAAGCTGGCACGCCAAACAATAGAATAAGCTTTTTGGAGTCCCTTCTAGAAGCCAACCCCTTGTTTATGTCCTTAGGGCGGCTCTGCCTAACAAGAAAAGGAATGGAATGGAAAGGAATGGAATTGACCTGCGGTTCAGCCATGGCAAAAAGGAACTAACCACAAGCACAATGATACCACCAATTCCACACCCTTACCACCCAAAGAATAGGTAAATCGAAACCAAATGCATTTTAAACGGCGTCCTTTATTACTTCTCCTTCCCTATCTCTACAGTATGGGCTGGTCCATTCCACTGGAGAATCCTCTACGCGAGCCATCCCCCAACTTACCTCCAGTCTCCAGTCTCCAGTCTCCAGTCCCCCACTCACCCCACCACATATGCCCATACAATTCATTGCATTGCTGGTTTTCTTTCATTTTTTTTTTTTTTTTCATCATTTTCGGTGGCTTTGCCGGTCCACTTCATTCCACGCTCTGGCAACGCTGCCACTCAAAACCATTCAATAAGTACTGGCTGGGATGAGTGCCGCTGCAGTAACACATTACACGCCGTGTTCGTGAAAAAGCGAGTAAAAAAAAAAAAAAGAGCCAGCCCCACGCGGGTTCCACAAAAAGTGGTAAAGTGGAACACGACGGTAAAAATCAGGGAAAGTTGGGAACCCAGAAAAAAGAAGGTGAAGAGAAGGTTCTAAAAAAGGGAATGTCAGAAGCACTTTTTCAGTTTGACCTGCCAGAAAACCCACCAAATAAATCCACTTCCTTGATTTCACCCAGAAACTCATACCTCTGTGGGCTGGGTTATTCACGAAACGCGGGCCATACAAATAAATAAAAACGTCCATGTTGCAGCAACATGAACGATCGAGACCGGGCGAATCAGGGCGAATTGAAGCGTAAGTATAAAGGAAAAGGCATGGAAAAGGCGTGGAAACGTCAGACGGATTTGGAGGAAAATTGATCCACCTGCCATCGACATTTCAGTGGCTGCAAAAATTTTTTTTTTTTTGCTTACCCAGTATTTTATTTTTTTAGGGGCCCTAAACCCAAAAGTTAGACACCACCCATGCAGTCAGGATCCCTGAAAGTGCCATTCAAATTCTTTGACGGTTCAAGTCAACGACCCTAACTAGGCCTTCTTAGTAACCTTTTCTTGCTTTTCTGGCTTTCTTCCTCACAGCAACTCCGTGGTGGGGCACTCGGCATGTAGGGTTCCAAAAAAAGCAGGGCGGGCCCATGAGCCTTCTGTGCGCATAAACTCTCTCCATTTATATACCTACCTGTTTCTCATACCACCACCAGCACCTCCACTCACTACCAACCATTGGCTTTTTTTGCACATCACCATGAAGAAACACACAAAGACGCAATCGACATATGTATGTAAACGAGGACTAGTTGGGCGTATGGACGTATACTAACAGAACCAGGCTTTTGACAATACTGCTACCACTGTGGCAGCTTCCCAGATGCGTAATGCCTTGAACAACTTGGCTGACACTGTGTCTGAGAAGGAGAACCAGCAAAGATTCGAGACCGAGATGGACTCCTTCTTTGCCTTGTTCAGAAGATACTTGGCTGATAAGGCTTCTGGTTCTACTTTGGAGTGGGACAAAATCAAGTCTCCTTCTCCAAGTGAGGTCGTTCAGTACAGCGACTTGAAGACCCCTGAAAAGGTCACCGAAGGTCTTTCCAAGTTGGCCGTCTTGAAGTTGAACGGTGGTTTGGGTACCTCCATGGGTTGCGTTGGCCCAAAGTCTGTCATTGAAGTGAGAGACGGTAACACCTTCTTGGACTTGTCTGTTAGACAGATTGAGCACTTGAACAGAAAATACGATACCGACGTGCCACTTCTTTTGATGAACTCTTTCAACACTGATGCTGACACCGCCAAGATCATCAAGAAGTACCAGGGCCACAGAATCAGAGTGAGAACCTTCAACCAGTCCAGATTCCCAAGAATCTTCAAGGACTCTCTTTTGCCTGTCCCTGACTCCTTCGATGACGACTTGAACAGCTGGTACCCTCCAGGACACGGTGACTTGTTCGAGAGTTTGGTGTCCTCTGGTGAATTGGACTCTCTTTTGGCCCAGGGCAGAGAAATCTTGTTCGTCTCCAACGGTGACAACTTGGGTGCCACCGTCGACACTGAAATCTTGAACCACATGATCGAGTCCGGTGCCGAATACATCATGGAATTGACCGACAAGACCAGAGCTGACGTCAAGGGTGGAACTTTGATCAACTACGATGGTCAGGTGAGATTGTTGGAAATCGCTCAGGTTCCAAAGGAACATGTCGAGGAGTTCAAGAGTATCAAGAAGTTCAAGTACTTCAACACTAACAACTTGTGGATCAACTTGAGAGCCGTCAAGAGATTGGTCGAGTCCAATGCCATTGAGTCCGAGATCATTCCTAACCAGAAGACCATCTCCAAGGGCTCTTCTGACATCAACGTCTTGCAATTGGAGACCGCCGTTGGTGCTGCCATCAGACACTTTGACAATGCTCACGGTGTGGTTGTTCCTAGATCCAGATTCTTGCCAGTCAAGACCTGTTCCGACTTGTTGTTGGTCAAGTCTGACTTGTTCTTCCTTGAACACGGTGCATTGAGATTGGACCCAACCAGAGATGGTTTCTCCAACCCATTGATCAAGTTGGGCTCTTACTTCAAGAAGGTCAATGACTTCCAGAAGAGAATCCCTCACATGCCCAAGATTTTGGAGTTGGACCACTTGACCATTACTGGTAACGTCAAGCTTGGTAGAAACGTCACTTTGAAGGGTACCGTTATCATTGTTGTCAATGACGCCGACTCTATTGACATTCCAAATGGCGCCGTCTTGGAGAACGTCGTCGTCACCGGTAACTTGCGCATTTTGGAGCACTGATTGTGTTATCTTTTAATTGAAAATCATCGTTATACTTTATATTAGCTGTAGAATCTTTACGTCGTGCCATTCGTTGCATTTAATACGTTTAATCATATCTCGATTCATCCTAGACTATTCCCGTTTTGTGTGGAATGTGGAACCATAAATAAACAAGATCAACCTCATCGACACTTCAGATGGTATTCCTCATGATGATCAGAGTATCCTCCAATCATATGGATGGGTGCTTTCTCTTTTTTGCAGCATTAGCTTCATGTTTTGGCCATTTCGAATTTTTCAACCCCATTCTATGTCTACAAATGAGCTCCTGGAGTCCTGGAAACCTATCGAGTTGAGGACTATAAACTGTTGGCACTAAATCCAACTTTTTTCAATAATTTAGGGTCATTTTGAGCGGATTCACTAATGCGACTTATCTAACCTGCAATTTCGTTACTGTATAAAATGGCTCTGTGGCCGAGCGGTCTAAGGCGGCAGACTCAAGTTCTGTTATCGTAAGATGCGCGTGTTCGAATCACGCCGGAGTCATTATTTTTTTGTTTTTATCATTCATTCTCTTCATATTCATTTGAATTGGGGTTCTAAGATTCTTAAATTGACCTGGAAGGTTGGGTTTGTACTGAAATTGACTTCCATAGTACTCAGTGCTCACTGTGCGCAGGCCGCCTGGGGTAACTCTGAAATACACTCCAATACCTATACTACTATATTAAAAATAGCTTATTTAGCGGTGCGGGTCGAATGCTTCTTTGACTGTAAAACTATTTAAATGTTTTCTGGCATCCTAGCTAGTCTGGACACTCTTTTAGCTCTAACTCGCTGAATTTTTGAGTTGGTGGATTCATATTGCTCAGATAGATTCTTCTTCTGTGAAGAAAGTGTTTCATTAGCTAAAATTATGACTTTATGACCGCTGTCCAAAACATTGCTAACGTCACAGCTAAATACCATCATTTTTATATGCAGTTACAGTGGCCGAGTGGTTAAGGCGACACCCTGCTATTTGCAGCCTAGGTGTTGGGCATTGCCTGCGCAGGTTCGAATCCTGTCTGTGACGTTATTTTTTTGCAGCCATTGGTAAATTCAAAGTCGGTTTTTTTTATTGCAACCGTTTACAAATTTTAACTTACATACCATTATATCTATTCATAAGAGCCCATGCTCGATGATTGCTGATGTGAAGACAGAAGCCAGATCTCTATCAAGGAGTTGTACCACACCTGTTGATCTTCGTTTATGTCTATCACCAATCCTCTCAACGGCAGCTCCGTACTACCCACAATATCGTAGGCACACCAATAATCATCCAGGGAGCCAAACAGACCTTTCCTGTTCCATGGGAGTTCAACAAATCCATCCCTGTTGAATTGTCTCTCGTCTACCGCAACAGGCCTAAGATAGCTCTCGAGCCTGAGTGGGTTCTTCTTGAGCTTGTTCGTATGTATAGAATCGTCAACGGTAGAATCTGTAGGATCTGATGGGTTTGTCTTTATCAGGAACTTTCGTTTAAGAGCGTTGTCGAACTCAGGAAGTACCCTATTTTCAATCTGATGCGTTGTAACATACAAGAGATTAATGTCGTCCTTATCAGAAAGCTGAGCCCAAGAACTCGAACACAACTCTTTGCTGGGTATGCCCACTTCAACATTCTCTGGAGGCGTAAGAATACCTGGACTAACAGCAAAATGGGAGTTAAAGGGAACGTATTCGAGTGTGCCTGCGAGTTCTTGTCCTAACCACAAAGCTTCGAAATTACCTGCCAGGAAATCATACTTCGAGTTGATAACCGGGTAGTAGTGAAGCGCGGCGGATATGAGTAGACCTGGAAGTGCCTTCAGTTTGTCAATTACAAACATTGAAGTATCTAGGAGTTTAGTATAGCTTTCATGTCTCACTCTCTTCGAGTACACATTTCTAGCACGGCGTAAACCAAAAAATTCAGTGTCATTGTTGTTGACATCAGCCATTCCATTGACTAGCTCATTAGTTTCAAAATAGCCTGGTGGATATTTAGTCAACTTCTGTTCGTAGATTGCCCTGGACTTGAAGAATTTGACGCCGAATTGTTCCACATCAGAGTCTTGAAGAACATGGGAAAGATCTTGAAAAAGCGGTATCGTTTGTGTAGATAACACAATGGCTCTTTCAAACGAGGAAAAGAGCGGGGCAAGAGACATCATCAAGGGGTCGGAGCTCTTGTAAAAGCGACTGTCGATCGAACGTTGTAAATAGACGAACCTGACGTTTTGCTCTGCAAGAGTAAGACTATCGCCATTATTCAGTGCCAAAAACTGTTGAAACGATTCAGGAAGTTTCATATCTGCTCTTCTAGCTGCCAGGTTTATATCCAATTTGAGGTCCTTCCTGACATCTTTATTGTCCATGAAGGTGATCTCAATTGGCAAGGTATTATTAGTGGCTCGAAGGACCTTGATGAGCCTAATAGCTCTCACAATTTGCTGACTTCTTGAAGGAGAGGGAAGGATAGGAATCACAATACCATCGCCATGTCCCTTACGCAAAAGCTGTTTGATGAAACACGCTCTATCTTCTGAGTTTGCAGACCCTGGATGTGGCTCTTTCCCGTTGTGATCAATTCTTGGAAGCGACCCCAGTAGGAAAGGAAAAAGAAATGGCGAAACTTGGTCACAAAGTCTTGTTTCTCTCGAAGCATAGTGCTTATCCTCCAAGAAACACTTTCCAAATGCTCTCATATGGGCCATATCTGCCACAAACCCTTCTTCAAGTCTGCTATGTGCTGCTGATTTTTCGAAAAACTTTTCCAAAAGCTTCAATTCATAGTGCTTATCAAACGGTTGGTGGTTTCGACGGGCCTCCTTCCTATATAGCTTACCTTCTTCTCGAAGCCATTTAGTCTTCTTGAAAAGAAGCCCATCGTGCTGAAAAGCCGCTTGCTCTTCTAGCGAAGGTCTGCCAATTCTATCAAAATAGCCAAAGTACGAAGCGCAATTGGCCTCAATGCTCTGCTGCTCCTTAGGTTTCCATGTGGAATACACTGGGTTCGTGTAACGGCTTCTGCGTTTCGTGACTTCTATGTGTTCCACATTCTGTAGTGCTCCAGGGCGTTCAAATCTCGTGAAAGCTATCACCGCTAGTAGTAGCAAAGTGATTAAAATAGGCTTTTTTCGTATTCTAAGCATTTCTTGGCCATGAAAAATGTAGGACAAACATCAAAACACGAAGATAAGTGTGGTGCGACCGGTAATATATAGACCGAGCACTGGGCGGCTATCAGTAATGAGACATGGATAAGGGAAGTGAAAAATGGGAAAAATGGGGCAGCCTTTTAAAAATTAAGGCTTACCACAATTTAAGCCACTGGAGAAAAAAATTAAGAATCAGGTTTAGTTTAAGAACCTTGTCTTTGTGGACTACCACTGTAGAACAATAGAGCATGGATGAGGTGAGTGAAATATCGTAGTAAAAATAACATTTGATCTCCACAAAGCTTTCAGTGTATTAGTCTGATTATTACATAGTTGCCTGGACCCCCTTATGAGTCCATTGAAAGGTTCCGTAGGTCCTCGTTGAGGCCAGAATGGTCTGGTTCGACCTTCTCTATAGGTTTCTGGTTTTCTTCAGCTGACAGCGCTTCTTTCGGCTCGTGTTTCTCTTCCCTCTGGCGTCCAGCACTAGTAGGGGTCATGATGTTGAAGCTGAACCCTGGAGCAACCTTTCTCTGAACTGCTTTTAGCCAGTCTTGGTACTCTTTCTGGGCCTGCTTCAGCGAATCTGTAAACAACTTGGTCTTTTTGAATTCTTCGAGATCGTTTTTCCATGCTTCTAAGTCTTCTTCGGTCAAGCTCATTTGCGGCGGTAGCACGCTGGCGGGAAGATTGGGGATCAACTTGGCATAGTTGGTGTTTAAAGTGACCGGTTTCGGCGGTTGGAAGGCAGGATTTTTGAGTAATGGCACTTGCTGGAGCAAGGGATCAGCTATTTGTTAGTAATTGGCCATCAAAATAGACTTAATTGGTTACATACGTGCATCTGTATCATCCATGATGGAGAAGAACAGTAGTTACTGGTTGCTAAAAATGTGTACTGATAGTGCGAATTTACACTTCCCATTATGGCTGAACATCTACTACAATACAACTTCCATTACTTTTCTGCGTTATTCGTATTATATAGTACACGGCTCGTCGAGCTCTAAATGCATGCTGGCTGATTGCTTGCCTGTTTTAATTGTCCTTGTAGTGACGGATCAAGATGTATGCGTTCTCCTGCTTCAAGTTCGACAACGAACGGTATCCACCCTCCAAACGCATCAACAAACCTCCAAACGAGATGTAAACAGCCATCTTATCGTTGTCCTGGCTCTCTTCGAACTTGTAGACGGTACCGAACATGACATAGTCGTAGTCGTCAGCCAAAGAACGGTCGCCTCTCTTTGGAGGTCTCCAGGAACCGTTAGAAGTGATCATGGAATCCTCGTTACCCAACGAAGAAGCCAATGTGATGGTCAAAGAGTCGCTTTCCTTGACTGGGAACAACTCGCTGTTGATGTCCAAGGTGATCTTGATGTCCTGGGCCGTAGACGACTGGCCCTCAATGCGGCTGACCTTGTTGTACCTAGCATTGTCGACAGAGTCGACGTTGAACATATCTTCAAACAAGATCCCGGACATGGCGACGATGTAGGTGGTTATTAGATGAAGATATGAGATTCGAAGATGGCTGGAGTAGTTTTTTTTCGATGGGGTGGGCCTGCGTCTGTTAGCTTTTTTCTGCACGTGATGGAGCACGTGACTTCTCGCAGTATTTCCCACCTTTTTTTTTGTTTCTAATTTAACCTGTAGGGGCATTTCCAGATCTGATCACTTCGCCTCGGCCTTCCAGGTACTACTACCATTCATTCCCCAAACACCAATTTCGTTATGGAAAAACCATATGAAGAGCCTGAAGTGCTCGTCTCTCGCTCCAACACTCAGCAAGTCGAATCCCGTTCCTCCACTGCCCGCAAACTCATTACACACATCACCCTACTTTTTGTGCTACTCGGAGTCCTCTACTACTTTGCTGACTACGAATACTATAGAGATGCTGCTTTGAACTTCTCTGAAAAGATCCATAGACACTGTGGCCACAGACTCTCGAAGAGAAAGGAGTTCACTGAGACCATTGGGTTCCGTGTTTTGGTTGGTATTGGTGTGTTTGCTGTGTTGAACGTCATTGTTATCGTCGTTCACCATATTGTTCAGAAAATCGCCAGGTCGACCAACTCCTATAAGTCTATTGACCATGTTGTGTCTCCATTTTAAGGTACGAATGTGGCCCAGTTGGGGGCTCAGTCTATGAAACATCTGAAAAGAAGCTGTGTAAGGCACAGAACAGTCTCCCGTTACCCAAAGCTTCACCTTTTACTTCTTCTAGGATCAGAAAGCTCCTTCGTTTTCATTTATCGGTAAGTACAAATCAAGATACTATTTCATGCAACTGGCTGCGGGTGAAGCAGTACCCTGACAGAAGTGACAAATACCCTTGAAGCCGACAAAGCTATAGGGCAGGCCCTCCACCTCAATAACTCTCAATAAACTCTCCCTGCTTCACCAACCACCTACTCCTCTTAAGCCCTTATCGTGGTACACTTCAATACCTGATAGTGCAGGTTGCTCACTATCTATAAGCCTTGGCTATACCACTCAGTTATCGCCCGCACAACCCTTCTTCTCCCTAGCATCCCCCTTTATCTATGTCTGCTACGAAACCGAAACGCTTGTTACAAGTGACTTGTGCTATACTATGGTGTCTTCTTGCCGCTGGGCCAGTGTTCGGTTTTGCTGCTCTCAAACCGGTGCTTATCGCCCAAGGCGTCTATCTGGATCGATGTGACATTTCCACCAGCGACAGCCAGGTTCCATGTACTGAGCAGGATTTGGCATTAAACTTGATGTTTACAGTCGCTTGTATGGTTACAAACATTTCTGCATTGCCTGTTGGTTACATTTTGGACATCTATGGCCCGAAGATCACGGGCATCATCGGATCCATCATCTTACTGCTTGGCGCAATTGCCATGATATTTGCTCCATCTGTGGACTTTGCAGACCTCTACTTGGCCTGTTATACGTTGTTGGCATTGGGAGGACCGTTTGTGTTTATTTCGTGCTTTCAGTTGGCCAACTCGTTCCCAAAGAACTCAGGTACCATTTTGGCCTTACTTACAGGTTCATTCGATACTTCATCTGCCCTTTTCTTGGGCTACAGGGTGATCTATACTAATTACTTTGAATTACCTGTGTCAAGCTTTTTCACTTACTACTTGGTTGTACCGTTATTTATCTTCATCTGCCAACTTACCATCATGCCTACCACCTCCTACAAAACTGTTGGGACCTTGGCAAAGATCGCTGAAACGGCCATTGATGAATCAGGACGGCCATTGGACAAAACAAAGCTTTTGCAACAGGATAGGAACATAGTACCTGAGCCGGTTGAACAAGCGTCCATGTCTGAAACTACCAGCTTGTTGATGAGAAGAGCTTCCTTTGGAGTCCACGAGACGGATAGAAGAAGAGGCCTGAACGTTCTGAGAGCCTCCAGATCTTCAAACAAATCTGTTTACGAGCAAGACGCTGAGGATAAGCTCTACGAGTCAACAGGAGGAGTGTTCGGAATATTGCATGGTTACAGCATCATCGACCAAATAAGATCACCGTGGTTCTATTTGATGGTTGTCTTCACCACCATTCAAATGCTTAGGATCAACTATTTTGTTGCTACCGTAAGGGCCCAGGAACTCTACTTGTACGATGGGGACCAAGAGCTTGCGGCGCAGATCAACCATTTCTTTGACATAGCGTTGCCCTTGGGAGGCATCTGCTCCATTCCATTTATTGGCATGATTCTTGATAATATGACCACTCTTTCTGTGTTGTGGATTCTTTCCATAGTGTCTGTTTCAGTGGGCATACTCGGTCTTGTCTCTTGGCTTCCAGGAACTTATGCTGGCATAGTTTTACTTGTGCTTTACAGACCATTCTACTACACTGCCGTTTCTGATTTCTGTGCAAAAGTGTTCGGTTTTGAAACTTTTGGCACCGTTTACGGTACGATTGTATGCATTTCAGGCATTTGTAATATCTTCCAGCAGCTCTTGGATAGGATCACACACGTTATGTTTAACACGAATCCTGGTCCAGTGAATTCGGTGTTGACTGCGTTGACTGTGGTTTTTGCTCTCGCTTTGATCTTCTTCGTAAGATCCCAAGAGATGGAGATGAAGAGAAGAAACCTTGAGTTGGAAGCAGAGAACTCTTCCCTGCAGTGGATACCCCATTGATATAATATTACCTATTCAAATAAACATTAAGTTACTTGCGTTTCCGTTTGATACCCCTTTGTTTCTTGGCTTCCTCAGCCACTGCATCGGGGTCTAGAGCCGGAAGCTGTTTAGTAAACTCTTGCAGACCAGTATTAACTTGCTTCTCTAGAGATTCGTGTGTCACGCTAACAATCCCGCTGGCAACTGGATCCATTTTTTCTGGTAACGCTCTATCTTGCACTTTGATATCAGCCTGTGGGATCTCACCCAAAACTTTAGCCTTAGACATCTTATTTCTTCTCCTTGTTCTTCTTTTCTTCCTTCTCGATCTCTCTTCTAGATCCCTTGATGATTTCCAAGTGACCCACTCTGCTGGCAATCAACTTTTCTGTACCAGCCAGACCACTAAGAGACTTCTGGAGCTTAAAAGCCTGTTTTGCGGAAGACTTCTTTGGCTTGATGATCTTTGGTGCTGAAGAGCGTGGGTTTTGCTGTTTCTTTGTAACTCTGGCTTTGGCCTTAGACTTGAGTTTGAGGTTACCTTGTGCCATGGAAGAAGAGGGTGTTGGTTGTAAGGGGATTTGTTAGATTAGCTTCTGCAGGAGTGATGAGGTGGGACCATGCTGGTTGCAAAATCACCAACAAAGACAGGAAGGGAGATGATTTAGAAAAAAAAAAAAGAAGAAGTAGATTTGCTAAATGAATCAAGTAAATGAATTTAGAAAATTCAACTCGTTTAGTTTCATCAGAATAAGCTGCGTGGTGGTGAGTCCACTTATACTGACCCACCACTACCCATAATCCACTAAACCACTGGAAACTCCATATTTTCAAATTTCAGACATATTATTCTCCCCTTCCCAATTCGGGCCCCCAACCATCCAAAAGTCCACCTCCAAGTGGACCCTTCCACTTCTACACCCATTTGCACCCATGTCTCATAGAACACACACGCACTGCCAGTTTAATTAGGCACAGGGTGCTAATTCAGCCAGAAGAGTCAGACCCAATGGCTATAAGTACCACCAAAAGTTCCCCAACCACCAACTCCCAAAACAAAAGTTACCTCTAAATAAACAAAAATCATTTACTACCCTCTCTTCAATTCTCTTGGCCTCTCCCTCTTTGGCCTGACTCATTGCAGCCGTTCCTCCTCTGACTCCGTTGTTTCGCGACCACTATCAAATTTCCATCTACCTCATCTCTGCGCTGCAAGCTGATCCACTCTTCCTGATCTCTTCAGGCTACATCCTGCCCACTGCACGTTCCATATTGCCTTTTGTTGACTCAAAGGGTCCCGAATTTAACTCAATGAGCGACTTTCTTATCTTGCCTGGGCCACAGGCCTTGTCGAAGTTTAGAGTCTCCAACTTGGTGCAAGAGTTGGAGAAGAACTTGAACCAGCAGGGCGTCATTGCTTCTGTTTCTTCTGCTTACACCCATTATGTGTCTTTGAAGGAATCTTTGACTCCTGCTCAGTTGAAGTTGACGGAGATTTTGTTGACCTACGATTCTCCTGCTGATTTGGCTATTGAGGCTAACCAGACTTTGCAGAACTTGGTTTCCATCTCTGGAGATGACAGCTCTGCTGAGAAGTTTCACGCCTTGAACCTGTCCAATGTTCTTGTCAGAGTGTTGCCTAGACCAGGCACTATCTCTCCATGGTCTTCTAAGGCTACGGATATCGCCAACATTGTCGGTTTGGGTGATAAGATTGAAAGAGTCGAAAGAGGTATTTCTCTTTTGATTTCTGCCACTGAAGGTTTTGACTTGTTGGCTGCTTTGAACAGCCGTGGCGGTGAGATCTTGACTTCTGTGTTCGACAGAATGACTCAGCAGCTCTACATCAACGAGAATGCTCCTAAGCACGATGACTTGTTCGCCCACCACGAGCCAAAGCCTTTGGTTCACGTTGATATTACTTCTTCGCCAGACAACTTGGTTAAGGCCAACACCGACCTCGGTTTGGCTCTTGATAAGGGTGAAATTGAGTACTTGATTAACGCTTTCACCAAGGTCATTGGTAGAGACCCTACTGATGTTGAGCTTTTCATGTTTGCCCAGGTCAACTCTGAACATTGCAGACATAAGATCTTCAACGCTGACTGGACCATTGACGGTGTCAAGAAGGACTTGTCCTTGTTCAAGATGATCAGAAACACCCACAACAAGAACCCTCAATACACTGTCTCTGCTTACTCTGACAATGCTGCTGTTTTCGAGGGTCCAAACGGTTACCTCTTCACTCCAGACTTCAAGACTAAGGAGTGGAAGTCTATTAAGGAGAACGTCTTCACCTTGGTCAAGGTTGAGACTCACAACCATCCAACTGCTGTTTCTCCCTTCCCTGGTGCTGCCACTGGTTCTGGTGGTGAAATCAGAGATGAGGGTGCTGTCGGTCGTGGTTCCAAGTCCAAGGCTGGTTTATCTGGTTTCTCTGTTTCCGATTTGAACATCCCAGCTTTGCCTCAGCCATGGGAACGTGACATTGGTAAGCCAAAGCACATTGCTTCTTCTTTGGACATCATGGTGGAAGCTCCTCTTGGATCTGCTGCTTTCAACAACGAGTTCGGTAGACCAGCTATCAATGGTTACTTCAGAACTTTGACTACTGAGGTGAAGAACCACAAGGGTGAAAACGAATTCAGAGGTTTCCACAAGCCTATCATGTTGGCTGGTGGTATGGGTGCTATCAGACCTGACTTGGCTTTGAAGGACACTAAGATTACTCCTGGAGCTAACCTTATCGTCTTGGGTGGCCAGTGTATGTTGATTGGTTTGGGTGGTGGTGCTGCCTCCTCTGTCTCTTCTGGTGAAGGATCTGCTGAGCTTGATTTCGCTTCTGTCCAGAGAGGTAACCCAGAAATCCAAAGAAGAGCCCAACAGGTCATTGATGCTTGTGTCTCTCTTGGTGCTAGTGGTAACCCAATCCAGTCCATCCACGATGTTGGTGCTGGTGGTTTGTCTAACGCTTTGCCAGAATTGGTTCATGACAACGACTTGGGTGCCAAGTTTGAATTGAGATCTATTCTTTCTCTTGAGCCTGGTATGTCTCCTATGGAAATCTGGTGTAACGAGTCCCAAGAAAGATACGTCATGGGTGTTGCTCCAGAGAACTTGGAGTTGTTCAAGAGCATTTGTGAAAGAGAGAGAGCTCCATATGCTGTGGTTGGTCAGGCTACCGAAGAGCAGAGATTGGTTTTGACTGACTCTTTGTTGAAGACTACCCCTATTGACCTTGAAATGTCTGTCTTGTTCGGTAAGCCACCAAAGATGTCCAGAGTTGCCGCTACTCAAGATTTGCAATTGACCCCATTCACTACTTCTGACTTGTCTGTGGAAGAGTCCGTCAAGAACGTTTTGCAGCTTCCAGCAGTTGGTTCCAAGAATTTCTTGATCACCATTGGTGACAGATTCGTTACCGGTTTGGTTGACCGTGACCAGATGGTTGGTCCATGGCAGGTTCCTGTCGCCGACGTTGGTGTCACTGCCACCTCTCTCGGTGACTCTGTTTTGGTTACTGGTGAAGCTATGGCCATGGGTGAGAAGCCAACCTTGGCTTTGATTTCTGCTTCTGCCTCTGCTAAGATGGCCGTTGCTGAATCCTTGCTTAACGTCTTTGCTGCTGACATTCCAGCTCTTGACAGAGTTAAGTTGTCTGCTAACTGGATGTCTGCTGCTTCTCACGATGGTGAAGGTGCCAAGTTGTACGAAGCTGTTCAGGCTATTGGTTTGGACTTGTGTCCAGACTTGGGTGTTTCTATTCCTGTCGGAAAGGACTCCATGTCCATGAAGATGAAGTGGGATGACAAGGAAATCACTGCTCCTTTGTCGTTGTGTATCACTGCATTTGCTCCAGTTACCAACACCTCCAAGACTTGGACTCCACAGCTTAAGGTCTCTGACGAGGATACCGTTTTGGTCTTGGTTGACTTGGCCAAGGACGTCAAGAAGTCTCTTGGTGGTTCTGCTTTGGCTCAGGTCTACAAGCAGGTTGGTGACAGTGCTCCTACTGTCCACTCTCATGAGCTTTTCAGAAACTTCTTGAACTCTTTGATCGCTTTGCATCAGGACGTTGATGTCTTGGCTTACCACGACAGATCTGAGGGTGGTTTGTTCACCACCGTCACTGAGATGGCTTTCGCTGGTAGATGTGGTGTTCAAGTCACTTTGCCAAGCGAAGAGGATGCTTTGACCGAGTTGTTCAACGAAGAGCTCGGTGCTGTCTTCCAAGTCAAGTCCACTGATCTTGAGAAGTTTGTCAAGGTCTTGAGTGACAACAAGGTTGACGAGAAGTACGTTTCCGTCATTGGTAAGCCAACTAAGGAGCAAACTCTTTCCTTCAAGCAGAACGGTGAAACCGTCTACGAGAACACCAGAGCTACTTTGCAGAAGTTGTGGAGCAACACCTCTTACCACATTCAGAAGCTCAGAGACAATCCAGAGACCAGTACTGAGGAGTACGAGGCTATCGGTGACGATGCTGACCCTGGTTTGTCTTACCAGTTGACCTTCGATCCAAAGGACTTCAAGATCACTGCTGGTGACAAGAAGCCTAAGGTGGCTATCTTGAGAGAGCAGGGTGTCAACTCCCAACAGGAGATGGCTTGGTCGTTCTCGCAGGCTGGTTTCGACGTCTACGATGTGCACATGTCTGACATCTTGAGCGGTAATGTGTCCTTGGACCAATTCACCGGTATTGCTGCCTGTGGTGGTTTCTCTTACGGTGATGTTCTCGGTGCTGGCGCTGGCTGGGCCAAGTCTGTCTTGTTCAACGAGAAGGCCAGAGAGGAGTTCAGAAAGTTTTTCAACGAAAGAGAAGACACTTTTGCCATTGGTGCTTGTAACGGTTGTCAGTTCTTGAGCAGAATTGCTGAATTGATTCCAGGTACTGAGCACTGGCCTACATTCGAGAGAAACTTGAGTGAACAGTACGAGGCTAGATATGTGATGGTCGAGGTTGACGAGACCGAAGACAACAAGTCCATTTTCTTGCAGAAGTTGAAGGGTTCTAAGTTCCCAATCGTTGTTGCCCACGGTGAAGGTAGAGCTTCTTTCGAGGACCAGGCTAGACAAGAGTCTTTCCTTACCCAGGACAAGCAGTCTGTCATCAGATACGTTGACAACTACGGTGAAGTTGCCAAGACTTACCCATTCAACCCTAACGGTTCGCCTGAAGGTATTGCTGGTATTTCTAACGCCAACGGTAGAGTGTTGGCTATGATGCCTCACCCAGAGAGAACCACCAGATTGGAGTCCAACTCTTACTACCCAACTGAGAAGTACGCCGAGTGGGAGGGTTACGGTCCATGGATCGCATTGTTCAAGTCTGCCAGAGAGTGGGTTGGTGAAAAGTTCTAATTTTGTACGATAGATAATAAGACATTGATGTATTGAAGGATGGGTAGGACCTAGACCAAGTAGATTTGCAGCCATTTTGGTGTTTGAAAGTCGCGTGATATATAGCACGTGACAAAATTCGCTGCGAAAAAAGTTTTCTGAAAAGTCGTGCGCATTTACAAAAGCTCGTCTAGTGCTAGACAAAAAATTTTTCAGTCTCATTCTGAGTTTTCCCCTTCTACAACTACATAGTCTTATAATGTCTGCCCAACAAATCTTGTCCAAGAAGAGAAAGCTCGTCGCCGACGGTGTCTTCTACGCTGAATTGAACGAATTCTTCACCAGAGAATTGGCCGAGCAGGGTTACGCTGGTGTTGAGGTCAGAAAGACCCCAACCAAGTTGGAGGTTATCGTCAAGGCCTCTAACACCCAGGGTGTCTTGGGTGAGCAGGGTAGAAGAATCCACGAGTTGACTTCTATGATCGTCAAGAGATTCAAGCTCTCCCCAGAGGGTATTGTTATCTACGCCGAGAGAGTCGAGGAGAGAGCTCTCTCTGCTGCTGTCCAGGCTGAGGCTTTGAAGGCTAAGTTGTTGGCCGGTTTGCCAATCAGAAGAGCCGCTTACGGTGTCTTGAGATTCTCCATGGGTGCCGGTGCCAAGGGTGTTGAGGTTGTTATCTCTGGTAAGTTGAGAGCTGCCAGAGCCAAGTCCCAGAAGTACGCTGACGGTTTCATGATCCACTCTGGTCAGCCAACCAAGGACTTCATTGACACTGCCATCAGACACGTCTTGATGAGACAGGGTGTCTTGGGTATCAAGGTTAAGATTATGAGAGACCCAGCTAAGAACAGATTCGGTCCAAAGTCTTTGCCAGATGCTGTCAAGATCGCTGAGTACAAGGATGAGGACGAGGTTGTCCCAGCCCCAACTGTCAAGGTCTACAAGCAGGATGCTGCTGCTGAGGCTGCTGCCCCAGAGGCTGCTGCTCCTCAGGCTGCTGCCTAAGCGTAATAGTAATTTAATAATACGTTACCTTGAACACAACACTATTTTCGTAGAACAAGGGCAGTAGAGGTACTAGTTGGAGATGTAATCCTCGAAAACAATGGAATCAGCCTTACTAGCTACTAGTTAGTCCTGGTAGAGGTCAGTGGTACTTATACCAGTGAACAGACATGGACTAGGTGCATTCGACTAACCGAAGGATGCTCCAAACCAAGAATTTGAACAAAAGCTCATTTTTAATCTCTTTCACCCGGTTTCTGATTTTTCAGGAACGATTGTCTGTTCACATATTTGTATTCTCCTCTAATTCGTAACTCAGTATCTGGAAATGGCTGCGAAAAGTTGCAAATATTCACACACTACCAATACATCACACGATGTTCAACAACAGCTGGTTAGAACGTACCAGTAAGGTCGACCAAGAGAAGGAAGTGCCCTCATCATACTTAGCTGATGAGGCAGGGACAAAGATGGAAAAAAAAAAAAAAATATAGAACACTCTCTGTGGTAGTTCACGACCTATCCAATGCCACTACAGTCAGAAACCTACATCAATACTGTCCCTGGATAGACTCCACTTAGCCACCTCTACTTCTTCCTCTACCTCGGCTCCCTCAACACCCCCCACACAAACAACTCCACTCTCAATCTATGCCCATAATTTAAACTTTTAGGTGTTAACTAATGGGACTGGCCAGGTAAGACACAGCGAAAAGAGGCAACCCGAGAACGAAGCGAAGCGAGCCTCACGAAAAAATTGAAGGAAGAACAAAAAGGCGAAATTTTGGTCACCTTTGATAAAACGCCTTAAATGACCCTAAACTTAAAGTTTCCATACTATTTGTTGTTTTTTCCACATTTGTGGCATGATAGATAAGCATTAACGAGAGGCGGTGGGCCGAGAAGATGTGCATGATAGAGAAGCAGTCATTGCAGGATTGACAGGCAAGTGCACTTCACTCCGAGGAAAAGTGGCATGCGACAATGTCGTCGCTACCTCAGAAGTCCCGAGTCAACGGGGTGGGTTTTGGTGGTTTTGGGGGTTTTGGGGGGTTGGGAGGTAGAGCGAGCTTTTGCGAGTATTTTGGTACCAATTTTGTGTCAAAAATGTAGAGATAAGAGGAAGGTGTTGACTTCTTGTGGCTTTTGTGCTGACAAAGGTGCGACATTTCCACTAACTATGGAGAACAAACGCCGAAACACCAAAGCTCCCCAACAACAGCTAAGACTGTCCCTTTGCATTAAATCCATACAATCTACCCAGAAACCCAGACTGACCAAGTACACCCTCGTTTATTGCTCTGTTGCGGCCCCTTTCTGTGGTATCTGGGGCCACAAGTTATGCATTGATACGAGGATAAGCGCGGAAGAGCATGAAAATGCTTCGGAGAAACCAATTTACCGAAGTAGCCACAGTGGGTGCAACTAGAGGTCCAGAGAAGGTATAGTTTCTGGAAGTGGCTAACCCAGATGATAGTAGTACTTTATGGATAATGGAGGCTGGCCGTGGAGTTTTCTGGGGTCAGTATGGGGAAAAATGATCCCTGACGTCACGTCGGATGAACGGACCTCGGTGCGAATATTTCGGACTTTCTTTTCCCCAGACGCATCATCCCTATGGCTCGCCGGATGTACACTTCCACTACATTATAAATACCCGCCTTTCGATCCCTACTTTTCATTCTTCCATCTTACTTTTTTATCATGTACACTGCTACCTACCTTTCCTTGTCGAACGACGTTTCTGAGCCATTTGTCATTCCTGGCGTCTCGCCAACCTCCCCAAAGGCTTCTGCCGTTACCACTAACGAGCCCATCAGCCCAATCACTGACGCTGTGGTGGGCAGAGAGAGATCAGTGTCTGTCATTGAACTCAGCTAGGTGGACGAATTGTCTGTGCTTTCACGATGATAATTGAATGATTTAGGAGTTGATCTCTTGGTAATGACTATTTATTATGTACTGGTAATGAACGATATCCATATAAGATGCTAGTAATAACCTCTTAGTAGCGAAGAGCTTGAATAGACCGATACGATGGCGATACGATGGCGATACGATGGCGATACGATGACAATGCAAAGAATGTCTTTGCAGATTACACCTCCTTTTGGTGGGCTTTACCTAGCTTTAGGATATACCTTTGTCGGCCCACTAGTCAATTCCTACAGCTCCCTAAACCTACCGTTAAACGTCCGTCATAAATGTCACTAACTATTTCCTATTCACTATTCACTATTCACTATTTACTATTTACTATTTAATATTTACTATTTACTATTTATTGTCTGAATAATTGCACATATCAATGTTTAGTTCCAGATTGGGTAGAACTCGTTGTACTTCTTGGCGTAGTAAGCAGTCAGCACAGCACCCAATCCCAAAAGCACCAATGGCACTGGCTTGCGGAACTTGGTTGGAATTGATCTTCCAATACCAGCGGCAAGCAAAGCAGTGGAGGCACCCAAGGCGATCTCCAAGCCCCAGTCACGGTTCTGCTTCAACAAGTAACCGGCGGAAGCATAAATGGCACCGAAGGTGATACCGGCAGCCAATGAGGGCACGGAACCTTTACGGGCGAAACCCATGGCGCCGCCGACGAGGCACAAACCAGAAAGTGTGAGAGCTGGGTGTTCCATTTTGTTTGATAATTAGTGAGTGGTAGAAGGTGCTGGGGAAACGGAGGAAGAAGGCGAAATTGGCTGATTCGGTGATCGGTCACGTGACTTCTCGAGGAATGAAGATCGTTCGAAGCCCGTTTCCCCATTCCAAAGCAAGTCTAAGCCACGGTGGTGGTGGAGATATACCAATAGAAGAATTCTGGTTCGATTGATGGTCTTTATGGACGTTTTGAAAGGACTGGGAGGGCCACCAGAGCAATGTTGAAAAAATTGCCAAGCCAATCACGTGACCCATCGCCGGAATTTTTCACCGGTTTTCCCGGTCTAGCCGGCCACCAAAAACCCATCAAAACCCACCCTAAACCGTACCAGCATCAAACATACCCATTGCCAATACCCACCTCTCACACCTCTACCCATCCACAAAACTTACCCGGATAACTACAGCGGGAAAGCTTATTTTTACCTATGTCACGTGCACCGCTCCCCATAGCTTCCAGTAGACTGCTACCACCACCACCATCCAGACATGAAAAATCCCCCAAATCCTAAAAAAAAAAAAATACCACCAATAACCTTCCCAAACTCTCCAACTCCCAATCACTAAAAGCCCCCAATTCCCTCATCACCCTCCCTCTCCCCTCCCCCTGCCCTCTCCTTCCTCTCCCGGTAGTCCTTTGTATTCCTCCATCTCTCACGCACTGATGAACACCAACGAATCATACGGTCAGGGAAGGTGCGAGACCGCCACGGGGCTCCACGTCACCTGGAGACCAACCAGTAGAAACGTGCAAATTGAAGAGCAACAAAATCCAGCTAATCTGGTATATTTGCCATCTTGTAAACCGTCCTCTTAACCTGTCCTCCCATGCTCCTCCTCCTTTACAACGTTCCGCGTAGACACCCCCAAGAGAGTGTCTATCGGCGCCGCAACAAGGCGGGAGGTTCACATTCACACACGACGACGAGAGCAGAAAAAAAAATTTTGCTGCCACAAAAAAAATAGCCCACCCTAAACACAACTTGGCCACTTGCCCCTAGAAAGCAATGAACCTCTCGTCGATTCTACTGGAGAACACTCCACCACCACTGGTGCTGCTGCTGTTGGCGCTGGCGCCAGCCCATGAGCAGACGGGCCTGCCATCGATGAATGTCACGATCCATACACGGAACGGGTCGCTGAAGAATGGGCGTCACGATATTGGATACGCTTCCACTGCTACAGATAAGGACTATTTGGCCCGGTTTGAGGCCAACATCAACGCTCTCAATACGCTAGACGAGGCGTTGGTGTACTCACTGAAGGAGCAAACAGTGGCGCAAGAACGTCGAAACCTCCAGACGATAATGAAACGGACGGGTGATTCTGCCAATAACTACGCTAATAGGCTTACTACTGAGGCTCTACTTGCTGATAAAGATACGCCCGAGGTGCCTGCTTCGCTGTGGGGGTCTACCCGGTTTACTGCGCCTAAAGAGGCCCAGGAGGCAAGAAGAGCTGCTCTACAAGAGAGTGCAGCCAAGTTTCTGTCTGTGGTCACTCCAGAGCCTGAATTGAAGGAGGCGGTGAAACCCAAGATCGTCAAGAAACGTCTGGGTGAAGATCAAACGCCTGAAAAACGCAGAAAGGTGGATGATTCCGCTGATAAAGGAATCCGTGCTAGGGACGCCAAGGAGAATGGACGTCTTAGAATCAAGCAATCGCTCAAGGATGACCCTGACGGGAAGGCCCAGTCCAACGGACCCGAGGATGACAGCAGGCTGCTGCCCCAGAAGTCCAAGGAACTCAAATCCGTCACGAAGCAATACGACAATACCTTTGTTGCCATCTGGAAAGACTTATCACGTAAAGATGGTCCCAAGGTGCTGCGTTTGATGCAACAGTCCAACCAAGCAAAACTCATCAACCTCAAGAAGACTGCCATCTTGGCGGCTCGTGAGGCTAAGCGCTGGCAGCTCAAGAACAACAAGAACCAAAAGGATTTGACATCCAAGGCTAGACGTGCCATGCGTGAAATGTTCAACTTCTGGAAGCGTAACGATCGTTTGGAGCGTGATCGCCGGAAGAAGGAAGAAAAGGAGTTGGTCGATAAGGCTAAGCGTGAGGAAGAAGAAAGAGAAGCAAAGAGACAGTCCCGTAAGTTGGATTTCTTGATCACACAGACAGAGTTATACTCCCATTTCATTGGTAAGAAGATCAAGACCGACGAAATCGAAGGCACTGATGCTGACCCTAGCTTGCATAAAGATGAAAACAAGAGAGACTGGGACAAGTATCACGGTGTTAAAGGTGAAGTATCCGACTTCCACCTGCTTGACTTTGACCAGGATGACGAAGATGCCTTGCACAGAGCTGCCGCTGCTAATGCCCAGAGCGCTTTGGATGTTGCCAAATCTCGTGCCCAGGCCTTCGATGACGATGAATTCCGTAACCCAGATACAAATGGTGAGGAGATGAACTTCCAGAATCCTACATTGATTGGTGATATGAGTATCACCCAGCCAGACATGTTGAAGTGTACCTTGAAGGAGTACCAGGTGAAGGGTCTTAATTGGTTGGCAAACTTGTACGAGCAAGGTATCAATGGTATTCTTGCCGATGAGATGGGTCTCGGTAAGACCGTACAGAGTATTTCTGTTCTCGCATATCTCGCAGAAACTCACAACATTTGGGGTCCTTACCTTGTGGTGACTCCAGCATCCACTTTGCATAACTGGCAACAGGAAATCACGAAATTCGTTCCAGGCTTTAAGGTCTTGCCCTACTGGGGTAGTGCCAAGGATCGTAAGGTCTTGAGAAAGTTCTGGGATAGAAAAAGTTTACGTTACGACAAAGACTCTCCTTTCCATGTTCTCGTCACGTCTTACCAGTTGGTTGTGGCTGATGCTCCATATTTCCAGAAGATGAAGTGGCAGTACATGATTTTGGATGAAGCCCAAGCTATCAAGTCTTCTTCATCATCTAGATGGAAGTCGTTGTTGAGTTTCTCCTGTCGTAACCGTTTGCTTTTAACGGGTACACCAATTCAGAATTCCATGCAAGAGCTTTGGGCCTTATTGCATTTCATCATGCCTTCGTTGTTTGACTCCCATGACGAGTTTAGTGACTGGTTTTCTAAGGATATCGAAAGTCATGCGCAGTCAAATACCCAGCTTAATGAGCAACAGCTTAAACGTTTGCATGTTATCCTTAAACCATTCATGTTGAGACGTGTCAAGAAGAACGTCCAGAGTGAATTGGGTGACAAGGTCGAAATTGATCTCTTCTGTGATTTAACCAACAGACAACAGAAGTACTACCAAATGTTGAAGTCACAGATATCTGTCATGGATTTGCTTGATGCATCTAATAGCAACGACGAAAGCACGCAGTCGTTGATGAACTTGGTGATGCAGTTCAGGAAAGTCTGTAATCACCCTGATCTTTTTGAGAGGGCCGACGTGAAGTCCAGTTTTTGCTTGGGCTCTTTCGCAGAGACTTCTTCATTTTTACGTGAGACTGACTTGGAGCTTTCTTATACGTCACGTAACTTGATTGGTTATGATCTTCCAAAACTCGTGTTTCAGGAACTACTTTCACCTACAGAGAACAATGATGTTGGTTCAAAACAGAAAATCTATGAGATGTTCAACATTTACAATCCAAACAATGTGAAGGATGATGATTTGGATACATTTGGCTTCTTGAAGTTTACAGATACTTCTCCACAAGAGTTGTATCAGTCTTCCAAAGAAAACGTCCTTGAGAGAGCTATTGCCAGGAAGAATTACAACACTCAAAACTATGAGAAGGTCAACAGATTTGCATATGCATATGATGAAGATGGAAGTTACATTCCAGAAAACAAGAAGTTGCTTATTAGAGAGCAGAAAGACAAGCTTTGTGACATCAGCAATTCTGTTCATCTCAAGGACCTCTATTCTGTCAGAAACAAGGTTTATGAGGACATGTACGTCAACGTTCTCCAACCTGCTGCTGATCCCATTGCTGCTGCTGTCCCAATTGAGTTGAATTGCAGCAACATGAATTTCAGCAACAGAAAGGCCGACGTCTTGTTCAATAAAGCTATTCGGTCTAGTCTTGTTCCGTTGACTCTTAATGAGGAACTTGATTTGATGAAGAAGAAGGTGCCTGTTCCTGAGTACCCTAAGTCTAACATGTTGCCTGAGCCAGTGAACAAACTCATTGATTACTCTAATATCCGCATGCCATCGATGAACAGGTTTATTACGGAATCAGGTAAGTTGTCTTTGCTTGATAAGTTGCTCGATAACCTCAAGAACAACGATCACAGAGTATTGATCTATTTCCAGATGACTAAAATGATGGACCTCATGGAGGAATATTTGACCTTTAGACAGCATAACTACATCAGATTAGATGGATCATCGAAATTGGAAGACAGAAGAGACTTGGTGCACGATTGGCAAACCAAACCTGAGATTTTCGTGTTTTTGCTTTCAACTAGAGCAGGTGGTTTAGGTATCAACTTGACTGCTGCCGACACTGTTGTTTTCTATGATTCTGATTGGAACCCAACTATCGATTCTCAGGCTATGGACAGAGCCCACAGACTTGGTCAAACGAAGCAGGTGACGGTTTATAGACTTTTGACCAAGAACACTATCGAGGAGAGAATGAGAGACCGTGCCAAGCAGAAGGAACAGGTCCAACAGGTCGTCATGGAAGGAAAGGCTTCCTTTGGCAAGAAGAAGGAGGATGCTGCCAATAAGAAGAAGGATGTCGCTTTCCTTCTCTTGGGTGGTGATGATAATGCAGATGAGCCTCCATCGAACACATCTACTACTGGAGGAACTACCTCGAATACTGGTGATTCAACTCCTTCAGTGGAACCCATGAGTAAAACTCTCGAGGCAATGTATCACGAGGGAGAAGGACAATTCTCTGGGACGATCACACCACTGTCGTGATGTATTCGGCACATTTAATATACTACAATAGCAGCTCTATCATCATGAATCAATTAATGTATTATGTCATAAATGTTACAAAGTCATGTAGTCTAAAAGAATGTGTAGTAGTTTGTAGTTGATGATGTGAAAGCTGGTATAGCACTATGCTAGCTTGCGGTGGCATTCTGGTTCAAGGTTTTCTCCAAATTAGCCATGAAAGATGGATCCACCGTTCGCTTAGACATGCTATCCAGTTCTAGAAAGTCATCTGTATCACTTCGCTCACCAGGAGCGTCGAGCAGACTTTTCTTTAGTTCGTTATTTTCGCTTTCCAAGCTGTATATTCGGGTAAAGCTCTCTTCTAGCTTCTTCTTTAGCTCCTCCTTGGATATTCCTGGCGGCATAGGTCCACTTAGTAGACTTGCTTTGGAAATTTCACCTTCATCTTCGTCCCCTGTCCCCTGGGTTGATGCAATTAAATCTGTGATTCCGGATATGTTTGAATTAAGAGAGTTCACAGAGAACCTCCCTACGGAATGTCGATTTGTCTTTCGTCGTGTAAGCGCATCTAGTGCTGCCTGGTTGAAATTGTCATAGTTCGAAGGGGGAGAAGTGTTAGCGTAGCTGCCCCTAGGAGAAACAAGATCATTACTCTTCACTTCGTCTTTATTAGAAGGCTCGGAAGCGATATCATCCTTCTTGGTGGGCTCCTCGAACACTGTAAGTAAGCCAAGCTGCAATCCGGTCGAGAGTCGTTTATACCTCTTATCCAGAGAGCCATTTTTTGTGGAACCCGATTTATATTCGGACCGAGGGCCTTCACCATTTGATGGCAAAGAATAGCGCTTCTTCATCGAGCCAGAAGAACCTGTTTGGAAAGATTTTGGATTGAATTGCTCGTTGCTGTTAAGCGAGTTACGCTGAGACGTTGAAGCACTTGATGTTTGCGACGGAGGTCTAAACTTGCGGGAATAATCACCCTCATAATCACTCTTACAAATGTTGTATAAGTCCAAGCAGCCCCTGAGCTCACTTTGGAACAGTGAAAATATGGACATTTTCTCTTCGTATTCCTCAGAATCATTGACGTCAGAAATCGACTGACTGTACTTCTTGAAGTACAGCAAACTTGTCGTGACACTGGACAATTTATTTATCAAGTTTCGAAGATTGAGTTCAGAATCCATTAAGAAGAGCTCATCATCTCTGCGTTCAACGGGCGCTTTAGCTCGAGAAAGGACATCATCATTTGCATAGTCAGTAGACGGGGCCGATTTCTTCAACAATTTGAATTTCTCGTTTAATGCGAGAAGTTGGTCGAGGGTTTTCGTATGGTTTTCGAATATGTGCTCCAACTTGGTAAGTCTATCAGTAATGTTTAGTTGGAAGACCTCTGCATCATCAATATGGAAAGCATCATAAAGCTTAAGCATAAAGAAGTTGCGTTGAGGAGAATCATGAATAGTTAAAAGCTGACAAATGAAAAAACGTCTGAGATTATTAAAAGCATTGAGCTTTTCCTTTAGACTCTCCAACGTATGCTGTTCCTCGGGGTGATCAACAATCTCTTCAAAAACATGGGTCATCTGAACATTGTTGATTTCACAGTACTGCTCCAAAAGCAGGCCATTGCACATTGGCAATAAGGTGCTCACTGAATGACGGATATTAAGGGAAAGACATGTCAAGAGCATATTGAGGTGGTTTTTCAACTCATCGGAGTATTTTGTAGCTGAATCGGTGTTTGAAGTCTTGTTCATAAAGGCAAACATCTCGAACTCTTTCAATGAGATCATGCTGGTGATCAAGGCTTTGTTAACCCTGCAATTGGAGATCATAAAATCATCCAAGCTACGCAAACTCCTCGACGCCGTAAGCGTAGTCTTTGCTCGTTTACACTTGACAATTCTGGTGGCCATAATGAGCAATATCTTGAACATGGTTATTCTTCCAGCATAAGGAACATGCGATCTGATGTGGAAGTTCTGCTTCAACAAAAAGATAATCAAAGATATGATATTGAGAAGGAGAAGCGGATTGCTGTATTCTGAGGGAAAGGAAAGCCTGTACTGCTTGTTGATGACCTCAAGGGTAGTTCCGTCAAAAGAGAACTCTTTGGCCAATTTAACATGCAACGTCGAGTCCACCTCGTTTCTAATCTGGACAAGGTTATTAAGGGCCTGTTCGTTCTTGGAAAGCACCATTGACGCATCGAGAAGATTCGAAACCACCAAGTTATACTTGAACCGCTCCACAATGGCTGTACCCTTATGTTCCAAGCTCAAGTACTTCTTGATGAACTTATGAAAGCTCTCCGTCGTCGAAGGAAGCGCCTTATGCGCCGCAGCGCTAGCACAGTACGATGATGTTGCAAATGATGGAGTTCTGACGGAATATTCTCTAAGTCGACGGGAATGACTATACTCGGATGTGGATGTGGAGTTAAACCGAGGTCTAGGAGGCACGATGGGCTCCTCGATGCCCCAGTCTGCCTCCGCAGGCAGGTAGTTGGATAGTAGATTAAACTTGCCGAAGCCGAATTTGTCGAAGTTCATGGCTGAATATTATGGTTTAGTGGGGCGGTGTGCCTGTAATCATGGGAATCCCGGTTAACTGAGGAAATAGGGTTTGAAGGAAAGAATGGGAGAAGGAATGTGGGGAAAGTATACAGCGACTTAAAGAAGATGAGTCGTGTCCTAATATAAATAAAATGGCGGTTCCCGGGTATGAAGTGGTCACTTAAGGATCGGTTATCCAGATAAACGAGCTAATATGTGATGGGGTACACTCGGATCGATTTAATGTTTTGATTATGCGATTTATGTACAAGCGAGGCACTTGAAAATGGAACCTTCGCTAAATATTTAGCCTTAGTGCGCCAAACGCTGGATCTAAGGGGGAAACACAAATCGAACCACTAGGGAGGGTTTTTTGTAAATAAAGAATTAATGTGGCGGGAAGGCGGGCCAATTGTCTCTACATAGGGCGTAGTTGTGTAAAAAAAAAAATGGTTCTTTTTTTTTTACTTGAGCATACTGGTCATGTCGAACCCGTTTAAGTCCATGTTAAGGTCGGCTCCCAAGAAGTTCATGCCAAAGTCATTGTCCATGTTGAGCCCGTCGGGCTGACCGTTGGAAAGATGTCCTGAATCGCCGTTGTTCATGCCTGTTGGAAGCATTGGCTGTGGTTGCAGGGCAAAGTTAGTCAGGTTGGGTTCTGAATTAGGCTTCAGGTTTGGATCTGAGTTGGGACCCGAACTGGTAGCTGAATGCGGCGCTGACGAAGGAACGTTCATCTGAGACATGGCAAAGTTCTGGTTCTGGCCAGGTGGCTCGTTGTGTTGGCCCATAGGCACATTACCCATGCTCATATGGTTTTGCTGATTATTCATGGGAGCAGCAGCAGCAGCAGCACTCTTCTGTTTTCTTTGGCCAGGACCCAGAGCACGGCGTCCCATTTGCTGCTGTGACACAGCAGCACGCTGCTGCGGTTGTAGTTGAGGCCGTTGCATCGATACATTAGCAGAATTTTGGCGTTTGGCTGGCGGCTGCCCCTTACCTACAGTAAGCGGTACCTGACCGGGAACCATGATGGCCAGACTCTCCAGACCAGCTTGAGAGCCAGCAGATGGGGCTGCAGGAGTAGTAGCGGAGGAAGCAGCTTTGGAAGTTGTTTTCGGCGTACGTTCGGCGGCTGCTGCTTTTTTCGTCTGTTTTTTCGTAGGTTGGCTTTGAGGAGGCGCCTGGACTGGTTGTGGTTGTTGTTGTTGTGGTGGTGGCGGCGGTTGCTGCTGCTGTTGTTGGGGCATCTGAGGCTGCCCAAACTGTTGTTGTTGTTGCTGGAGTTGTTGAGGCTGTTGTTGAGGAAGTTGCTGGTCCTGGAACTGTCTAGGGTCAAAGCGGTTGGGCGGCATTGGCGGCGGAGGCATCGTGGCAGCGTGTGGGTTCTTTGACGAGTTGTGAATGGTCCATAGTAGACACCACCATTCGTACAAGTATGCATCGTTGAAGGCTCCGTCACCGCTGTTCAACTGCACCTTTGCTTCCTCGACAAGCATGGAAGCACTCTGGCTGCAGCCCGACTGGAGCAAGTACTGGTGGAGCATGGCAAAAAACGATTCCTGGGGCGAGTCGTTGGCGCCTCTGGAGAAGTCGAACGAGTCCATCTATCCTTGGTAGACTAGGTATTATGCTGGGGCAGAAAAGGAACGACTAGGCGTGGAATGGAAGGTGAAAAAAATGTCCGTCTCTAGTGTTTATACTATTAGCGTTAAGAGCTGGAGGGCTTGGAAGGTCTGGGCTGTGGTGTTTTTTTAGGCTATTGGGGGAACTGCCTTGGGTGTATGGTGGACTTTCATTCACTCTCGGTAGGCAGGCACTTTTTTTTTTCTGTCTTCTTTGTCTCAGATAAAATGGGTCCAACCCGCACTTTCGACAGGAGAGGCAAGTGATTAGGCAAGCTAATAATTCGCTTGCGTATTTGGCTGCAAGCAGCTGCAACTGGCCAGGGGGAGCGCTGGCAAGGGATGGAAGGGGATGGGATTTGGAGGGAAAGGGGATTTTTTGGAATAGGGAGATTTCGGAGATTTGTAGGTTAATTTTTTTATTTTTTTTTGGCTGGACGGTGGTCAGGTTGTTTTGTGTCTTGTGGTTGTGATTCCTGGGGCCACAGGGTCGCCCAGGGCTTCTATCATGGATGGTGAAGACTTGACGGGAGCAAGAGGGCGAGGTGGGGGCATGGGAGAGAGGGAAGGGGTTGATGAAGTGGGGGAAGGTTGAGTAGGTGGGCTGATTTTTGCTGGGATTGGTTTATTTTGGTGGTGATACTGGTAGTAGGTGGTTAGTTGCAGCCATTGGACAGGAAGACAGAGATGGACTGAACGGGGGGAAACGGAGTAATTACGAGGTCTCGGTGTATTACGAGGGTTTCGAGACTCGGAGGGTCCGGGTAGGTTCTCTTCTTTTAATTCATAAAGGCTCGCTCTATATAAATATGGGTGTTTACTCGGAGAAGTAGTTCTCATTCTGGAAGACGCTTCTCATGCTGTCTTCCTTCTCAAAGTAAACTCCATGCAAGTTAAGACTGGTCATGTTCTCGAAGATCCCGCTAAAGTAGCTCTCCACTGACCGAAGTTGGTGCAACACATATGTCTTCAAGGCCAGCTCGGAAACAGTGCAGGTACCAAAGTTCTCTGTAAGCCAGTCACTGTTATCAGACTTCAAGAGCGCTTGACTATAGGTAGATTTGTCCTTGAGAGGAATGAGTTGCTCGTTCTGAAGCTTACGGAGAATGGCATACATCACAAGGTAAAACGCCTCGTTTTCGTCAACCTCTTCGGGGTCCTCCTTGATAATATCTGCAATAACACCTTCGGATAGCTGTTTAATGATACTCTCACAGCCATGACATGAACAAGTGTGTAACATAGACCCAAAAAAGTCTGGTTTGTAGTATGCAAACGATGCAAGAAAGTCTGGAAGCTCGAGCTTCTTAATTCTATGGCCAAAGTCTGGCGTCTTGAACATCGAAAGGAAAAATGCGTCCACAAGACGTCTATTGATTTTATTGGCGTCAGAAATAGAATTCTCACTGTCGCCAGTCATCTTAAGACTAGGTGTCTGAAGATCAAGTTTTAATGCTGTAAGGCCTGTGAGCTGTCTTAAGAAGTTGCTTACAGGCTCGAGGACCCGCTCGAGCATCTCCACTGGGCGGAGCCAGTCCTCCTGAGGGAAAGCTTCGATTTCAATGGCAGTCAAATTTGGCAAGCCGCCATTTTCTGCCACGAACGAAGCGAATCTATCGAAAAAGACACTGTAACATGAGCAGTTGAGCTCGTGACAGTCAACATTAAGCACAAGTTTCGAAAGATGGGGTATATCTATAGCGGCAGCGACGCTTGAAAAGTGAAGCGGATCGTTGCCGTCCTGATGCAAATGCGAGATGGAGAGCGTGTCTAACTGTAATCTATCTTCAGGCTCTCCAAGCAGATCAAGCACCTGGAGGCCTTGGGAACTCTCCAGGTTGCAGCGTAAATGACAGAGTGTGTGTGAAATAGGAAGCGTCACGGCCTTCTTAGCTTCAGCAGACTCTTCCAAGTCAACTGAAACATTGCAGCAACATTCCAGCATGGCTTTCTCAAGCAGGTCCATAGACCTGACCGTACGGTGGGTAAGGTCTCCACCAACAGTCTCTGGAAGCGCTGGTTCCATATGAAACGCTCTCAAACGAGTCAGACCAGTAAGAACATCTCTAAACCGTCTCTGAACATCTTCCATACCGTTATCACAAGAAACGAAACAGAAGTCTTCCACTAGATCAGCCTTGAGCCGCTCGTCAAGGGTCCTAAGCAAGCTTGCACAACCACTCAGACTGAAAACAAAAGAGCCATTACCGCCACTAGAAACGTCTCTCTTAATACCCTCATCTTCCTTTAGGAGTGGCCTTTGGGCACCCAAAACAACCAGCACCTTCTTATACAACGCTTCACTTGCTATTGGGTGCAAAAAACGGCTTGTAGCAGCCATACTGGCCAAGTCTTGCTGGGCCACGTACAGACATATCTGGGCTAATATGGGTAAAGGTAACGAGTCCATGTGGACAGCAAATAAGAAGAAATGAAGAAATGCATGATGGACGCTTTTTTCACCAAATCTCTACAGCCGTGCATTGGGCCCATAGTGGAATAGGGGTCAGCCTGTGGGAGTGTTAAGTATGGTGGTGTACGGGTCTTTCGCTACCGACATGTGGGATTACCTCTTTTCTTTCGACGCAGCAGAGAAAATCGTCCCCACTTACTATATACCTGGATGGCTTTTCGCAGCCATTGCAATTGGCTCTTTTTGTTTATATGAAGCTACTTACAATCTGGTGCCAATGTTCACGTGGACCGCCTTGGCTTGCGTGTACGTAGTAAGACCGTATTCGCCAAGTTCTCTGCCGTTACCACTCAACTTGACACCGCCGAATGGGATGTGGACGTCAGCGTCGTTGGAAGAGTTGATCCAGACCATACCTGACTGGATATCAGCAGCCATCTGGTGGGCCTTGACGATGTTGGTGGTGAAGACAGCGGCACCCAAACCGTATTCAGTAGAGTTGGCGATTTCAACAGCTTCTTCGTCGGTGGAGTACTTGATGACAGTTACGACTGGACCAAAGATCTCCTCACGAGCAACTCTATAGCTGTGCTGGACGTCAGTGAGGATAGTAGGCTTGATGAAGAAACCTTTACCGGCGTCTTTGTTGGCCTCACCTCCCAAGGCGACCTTGGCACCTTCCTTCTTACCAATATCAATGTAGCCCAAGACCTTATCGTACTGGACTTGAGATACCTGAGGGCCCACAACAACGCCCTTTTCAAAAACATCACCTTGCTTGTAAGCCTCCTTGACGTGGGAAACGAACTGCTTGACAAACTCGTCGTGGACAGACTCGTGGACCAAGATTCTCGACGTAGCACTACAGATCTGGCCCTGGTTGGACATGACACCAATAGCAGACCATTTCACAGCCTGGTCCAACTCAGCATCTTGTCTGATAATAAGAGGCGACTTACCACCCAATTCCAAGGTCACAGCCTTCATGTTGGAGGAAGCCAATTGGGTAATGATCTTACCAGTGGCAGTGGAACCGGTGAAGGCGATCTTGTCAACGTCATTGTGAGAGGCCAAGGCTGAACCAGCAGTAGCACCGTAACCGGAGATGATGTTCACCACACCTGGTGGGAAACCAGCCTCCTTGAAGTACTTACTGACGAACAAAAGCGACAAAGGCGTGATCTCAGAAGTCTTCAACACCACAACGTTACCAGCAGCAAGAGCAGGAGCCAACTTCCATGCAGCCATAAGCAATGGGAAGTTCCATGGAATGATCTGGCCACAAACGCCAAATGGCTCGTGCACAGTGTAGGCAAGTTTTCTAGGATCGTTCTGGATAACCTTACCAGTGATCTTGTCGGCCCAGCCGGCGTAGTACTTGAAAACGTTGATAAACTCTGCAACATCGAACCTAGCGTTCAGGTCCTTGTTCTTACCAGAGTCCCAGGCCTCAATGGCGTTGATCAATTCCACATCTCTCTCAATCAAACTGGCAAACTTATACAACAAGCCGCCTCTTTTGGCACCAGAAACGTACTTCCACTTGCCAAAAGCTGTTCTAGCAGCCTTTACGGCCACGTCCACATCCTCCTTTTCAGCAGCATACACGGAACCATTGATTTCGCCAGTAGATGGGTTGATGGAGTCGAGCACCTTACCCTTTTGAGGCTTAACAAACTCATTGTTAATGAACAATCCCGAAGGCTGGTCGAACTTGAGCCCATTGGGCAACGTCACTGGGTATTCCAAAGGAAGAGACATGTTTTTTTAGAAAAAGAAGCTGAGTTGCTGAACTATGGCTGGAGACCCCATGGCATTTATACTCGCTTAGATAGCGCCAAGTGCGCTCTTTTGGGCAAGTCCTTGCGAAATACCGCACCTTGGGGCTATTGCATGCCTTAATAGTATATGTCGATTCGACAATAGTACAGAAAAGAAGAAAGGGTGCATGGTTCTTGACTCCCTGAGCGGATTCCGTTTTTGGGTCCTTTGGTCGCTTAGATAGGGTGGTTGAGGTTATGCGATACTGGCTGCAAGGCATACCAGGCCAGTATGGTCCAGTCTATCGGTAAGAACTAGCACTGTGATTACTTAATTGAAGGAGCGTTACGAAAGTCATTAAATCGCTGGCCAGTCATTTGCCAGGCACTGGCCAGTCGCTGTGGAGTCAATTTGCGTTATGGTGTTGGCTTACAGTGTAGATCCATGGTGAGTGGGGGAGACTATGGGGTATTAGTAAGAAGGGACGAGTATTTTGCGCTTGGCGCCCCTGAAGGGCCCTGAAGGGGGAGTAACTGTGGAAGGTTGTTCTTCGGTCTGAAAAGACGTAAGTATAAGTCTTTTCATAAAAAGAAAGTACCTATTACATGGAATGGTGTATATATTTTTTAGCCGTTTCCTGTCATTCCAGGTAGATCTATTAATGGCTGCGAAAAATGTCTAAATGGACATGGCCATACAAGTCCCACTGAGTTGGCCAGTGCTAGCCTCGTATAGATACTGGGGTTCCAAAATAATCATTTGGTCTACGCTAGTAGCAGGGCAGGTATCACTTTTCAATGTCAGATCGTCGTTTTATCATAGTTCGTTGATACTTCCTGCCTTATCAGTGCTGAATTTCCGTTGTTGCGAATGACATACACAAATCAGACCTCCACTTTCCAAAACCACCACTTTCCAAACACAAACAAGGTCTCGTACTTATATCTAAACGACCTCACACTTGTTACCTTCCATTACTTATCCATATAAAGCTGTCAAGTAGTGGAAAATTCCGTTGCACTTGCATATAGAGCCGATAAGGATCCCCCACGATCTAAGCTTCTTTATCGTTTTCCACCTTCTTTTCCATCATCTACATGTCTGTTGACCTTTCCAACTTCAAAAAAAGCCCAGCCGAGAACGAATTCCGTTCGGACACTTTCACTACGCCCAGCGTGCTGATGGTGGCCGCTTTGGCTAACTCCTCCTTGGGTGACGCCGTGTATAACGAGGATGACTCAACCACCAGATTAGAAGAGAAGGTGGCCAAACTTGCTGGAAAAGAAGCTGGTCTTTATTGTGTTTCAGGAACGTTGCTGAACCAGATTGCTTTAAGAACGAACTTGTTCCAGCCTCCGCATGGCGTTCTCTGTGATCATAGATCTCATGTCTACATTCACGAAGCAGGAGGGTTACCTACGCTTTCCCAGGCAATGGTGCAAACAGTGGCACCAAAGAATGGTATACACTTGACTTTGAAGGATGACATTTTGCCTAATTTCGTGCCTGACGATGGTGAGATTCATGGTTGTCCCACAAAGGTCATTTCTTTGGAGAACACTTTGCATGGCATGTTGTTTCCTTTAGACGAGATCAAGCGTATCTCTGCATTTTGTAAAGAGAACAATGTTCGTTTGCATTTGGATGGCGCCAGATTGTGGAACGCCTCGGCCGCCACAGGTATTTCCATTGCCGAGTATGCTTCCTACTTCGATTCCGTCTCTCTCTGCTTGTCGAAATCATTGGGTGCACCAATCGGCTCTATTCTTGTGGGACTGAATCAATTCATTAGAAAAGCTAACCATTTCCGTAAACAAAACGGTGGTGGTATCAGACAAAGTGGTCTCCTAGCAGAAATGGCTCTGGTTGCCATAGATGAGAACCTTGGGAAGTTGGCTCAGGTCGACGAAAGAGCCAAGGCTATTGGAAAGTACTGTGAGGACCTTGGTATAGTTCTTGAGCACCCAGTTCATACCAACTTTGTTTTCATTGACCTTGCCGCCAGCAAGATCAATAACGATTTCTTCGTCCAGGCTGCAGAAAAACATAACATCAAGGCATATGGAAGCAGATTGGCATTCCATTACCAGATCAGTGACGAAGCCATCGAGAACTTGAAGAAGGTTCTTAAAGAGACGGCAGAAGAAGCCAAAAGGAACCCTTGCGAAACGAGCGAAGTACAGAAGTTGTACAATGTCTACGACTCCAAATAAAGTATAGAAAAATATATAGAACTAGGTTGTGTGGCTGAAGATGTTACAGGTTGGCTGTCTTGATTTCGTGGTAGTTTTAACTATTTTGTGGCTGCAAACGGCTGCAAAATAGGTCTCCATAAGGCCATTGGCCCAGTAGCTATTCACATAGAAGTCCTTGATGGGATGAAATAAGAAAGAGTAGGCTCCACCTAAGCTGGGTAAGAAGAAGGTGTGTATCGCTCAAAACATGTAGAGGCATCTACTTATGCGCTTAGTGCGTCTACTGATAAGTAACCAGACGATGATCCTTACCAATGACCATTTTGCACCAATGGGACCACAACGAGCATAGAAACGTCCTATTTACCTGCTCTCGGTCAGAAGAGAAGCTACTGGCCTTCTTGAACGACGACTATAACTTCGAGGGTTGTCTACGTCTCTTGAGCTTGACAGACCAAGTGAAAGTCAGAAACGTCAAACACAACAAGAAACATGCGCTACTATCCCGACTATTCATGAAGATTGTTTTGAATTCTGTACTTGCCAAGTTATCGGACGGCCTGAAACCTGGCATTTGGGACGATATCGACTTCGAGTTCAGTGAACATGGAAAGCCACAACTCCCAGGGCTGCCCTTTGCCTTCAACAATAGCAATTCCAATGACCTAGCATGTATTGCCATTCTGCTTGATTCAGAGGCAGTGGGTATTGATCTATCACACGAAGAGCAGGACTCTATATCGTCTACTGGCTTTATGGATGAGTTTGCAGGCATCTTCAGTGATTCTGAAGCAACACAACTTCAAGCCATTGAGGACCGTGATAAGGCGTATGTTGCCTTTAACCATTTGTGGACGCTAAAGGAGGCGTTCACGAAGTACTTGGGCACGGGCTTGAACATCGACCTTTCAAGCTTCTCGTTTGGGTTGGCCAGTCTACCTACAGAGCGACATCTTCCAAAAGAAATAGCAAACCCCTTCACCCTATATCCCATTAACTGGGTGGAAAGCAGTATAGATTATTCCAAAGTTGACCATGACCTTCTAAAGCTGAAGCTGCAGCTACACTGCTACTCAGCGACACTCAAGCTGTCTGGAAAGCTTCCAGTAATTGCATCGATCATCTCTGACCGTCCTGGCAACGCCATTGGCATTCATATTGATTTCTACGAAATTTTAAAAAAAGAAGTTGCATAGTATAATTTCATAGCATTCTAGTCCATTGCAAAATAGGTACAGTACTGTCAATTTGTAGCGTAATTTGCAACCATTGTAAAAGTCACAAATATTCAACATGATCCTAAAAATCGAAAACACATTAAAACCCACTAAAAAAGATATAAACGTCCTTTAACCGTTCCTTTCATCCCCCTCCATCGTTTTTACCACCCGTTTTCCACACTTTCCACCCACATACTCTCCATAACTCCATCTCGGCATGGTGCGAAATCTCATACCGCTATGTCCTTCTTACCAGAGAAACACGCCAACTACTTTCGGCTATGCCTGAAGTCAATGCCTGAGAAGGCCCAGTCTGAGGATTCCAATAAGCTAGCACTCATATATTTTGCTGTCCATGGGCTTGCGCTCTTGGGGAGACTAGAGACAGAGGTGGATAGAGAATCAGGTGTGGCAGATATCTATGCCCACTTGATCCCGAGCTTAGATGGAGAGATGGAGGGATTTAGAGCTAGTCAGACATTTGCTCTTGAAGAGAGGATGAATGAGTATGACTTGCCCAACTTGCTGGCCACGTTCTTTGCGTTGGCCACGTTGTTGGCGTTCGATGAAGATTACTCCAAGAAGCTTGATAGACATAAGACCATGAGGTTTGTCAGTCGAAGTCAGATCCTCGAGGGAGAGAACGCCGGCTCGTTTAGGCCTGTGCTTGATACTGAAGGTCATCCATGGGGCGAGTCTGATCTTCGGTTGTGTTACATTGCAGCTGGTATCAGGAAGATGCTTGGGTATGAAAAACTTCCAGAAAACGAAAGAACAAATGACATTGATGTCGCCAAATTAGAAGCTTTCATCCTAGATAAGGTTAACTTCAACGGAGGGCTTTCATCATCGTCCCACACAGAGTCCCACTCGGGGCTTACGTTCTGTGGCATAGCAGCACTAAGACTCCTTGGGTGTGATCTTTCAGCCCCACAATACACCGACTGGGTGGAACTTACTAAAAATTGGCTTGTACATAGACAAGTGGCCTACCCTCTGGAACTTTACAAGGGTGTGTCGTACGAATACTACGAGCCTAGTGACGTTGGAGGCTTCAACGGAAGAGAGAACAAGTTTGCCGATACATGCTACCTGTGGTGGGTGATGGGGCTGTTGAGACTCCTAAGTGAAGATGGCGTACAATTGATCAATGCTGAAGGAATCCTTGACTACTTGCTTGACAGGACTCAGCACAAGCTTATAGGAGGGTTTGGTAAAGATACCGAAGCGTTCCCCGACCCATTTCACTCGTTCCTAGCCATCTGCAGCATTTCACTTCTCAAGCACTCATTGCCTGATTTAAACATTGAAGGAACCGACCGTTTAGATGGCGTGGACGAAGAGTTGGTTATTAGCCAGAGGCTGCGAAACTTCCTAGACCACCTTTGGCGCTAATCCAGAAGACACCTGCAGAGCTCACAAAAACGCCGACGGAAAAGGGTGACGAATCAAAAGCCCAAAATCAGCAGCCCCCAAATTTAGACAATACTAAAAGAGAAAGAAAACAACCTTAAACAAAAATGCCCCACTCAGAGCCTTGGAATGCTTTGTCTTGTGATCCTTATCTGTTATAACCTGGATATAGAAGCCCTCGCTTGCCTCGATCTCAACAACCAACCATCGCCCTATGGCCTCTGGCTTGCATATAACCGCTTCTTAAAGGCCCACTTCTGCTCAAGCAAGGCACATCGGGGCTTGCTTTTCTTTCGGGACATACAAATACCCTATCGTCTTCCTGGGCTTCAAAAACACTTACATCGCCTTTTCATGGACCATGAGCAAACGCCTCCAGCACCGAAAGCTTCGCTTGAAGCCAAGGTGCCTACTACCACCATCCATCTTATTTCCGGGGGAACCGCTGGTCTAATTTCCGCCTTTACCCTTCAACCTTTGGACTTGTTGAAGACGAGACTACAGCAGCAGCGCCGTAGTAATACTGGGTTTAAGACTTCGATCAGTAAAGAGCTTAAGAAATTGGCCAACATTAAGGATTTGTGGAGAGGTGTGTTGCCGTCCACGTTGCGTACTTCGGTCGGGGCAGGGTTATACTTTACGATTCTTTCACAAACCAGAGCATACTTGGCAGGTTTGAAGTCTGTCAGTGAAAAGTCAACGTCTAGTGTGTTGCCTAAGCTTTCCCATGCTGAAAACTTGGCCACTGGCTTTGTCGTGAGAGCGGCCGTGGGAGTCATCACCATGCCGATCACTATCATCAAGACCCGTTTTGAGTCCAACTTGTACAATTACAATTCCATGTACGAAGGCTTTGAAGGCATCTACAATGAAGGCAGCGGTTCAAAGGGTTCGTTCAAAAACTTTTTCAAAGGTACCACGGCTACGTTAGCCAGGGATTGTCCCTATGCGGGCTTGTACGTTCTTTTCTACGAAAGTTTTAAAAACGATGTGATGCCTTCCGTTATTCTCCCATTCAAAGATAGCATTTCTGACAGGTACGTTGCCAGCGTGACGAACTCGCTGTCGGCCGTATTGGCCGCCTCCATGGCCACCACACTCACTGCGCCATTTGACGCAATCAAAACAAGATTACAACTTATTATTAGCGTCGGCACTCCACCGACTATATGGACAGCTACAAGACAAATCATCCTGGAGCCTGGTGGAGCCCGCAACCTTTTCAACGGACTTTCGCTTCGGCTCGGCCGCAAGGGCCTCAGCGCAGGCATCAGTTGGTGTATATACGAGGAGCTTCTCAAGTTCTTATGAGCTAGAAAAAGAGAAGTATTTTTTAAACAAAATAGCCATTTCATGTAAATTATAATAGACGTTGGGTGGAAATTTTGCACCCGTATATGTCACATGACTGTAGTAGGTTTGACAGATCCAACCAAAAAAAAAAAAAAAAAAGTGAAGTGGGTGGGGGAGGGGGACCAGTCATGGTGTACGGGTGTAAACCGCTCAGACCTCGGAATCATTCAGTAAACTGGGGTAAGCTAGAACACATCTTTTCTTCCATCATCCTTGGTACTTCCCTCAAACTCCCTCTCCAATCATGAATGAGGATTTGATTAACAGTGCCGTTAGTTTCCTCAAGGATCCTAACGTGGCACTGTCGCCACTCAATAAAAAGGTTGAGTTCTTGGAGACAAAAGGACTTAACGAACATGAGATCGAAGAAGCATTGAAAAGAGCCAACAACGACTCTTCCTCTTCTTCCTCGTCGACTCCATCATCTTCTCAAACGCTAACTCCTTCCAACTCCCAGCAACAGGGTCCTCCTCCAGTGCCATATGACTACTATGGAATGGCGCCCCAGCCACCGGAAAGAACATGGAAAGACTATTTCATCATGGCCACTGCCACGGCTGGTGTTACTTACGGATTGTATCAAGTGGTTTCACGTTACTTGATTCCTAGTATCATTCCACCTCTGCAGAGCAGAGTTGATGCTGATAAGGAGGCGATCGATGAGGAGTTCATCAAGATTGACAAGGTGCTCGAACAGATGGGCGCTGAACAAAAGGAGATCAAGGATGCTAACGAGAAGAAGCTCGACGAGATCGACGTTGTTATAGACAACATCAACGACTTCTTGTCCAAGTACAATAAGGATAAGTTGAAGTTTGACGATGACTTGAGGTTGATGAAGCTCGAAGTGGACAATTTGCAGAACAGTGTGGAGAAGAACATGAAGTTGACCAAGGACAACATTCAAGATGAGCTTAGTGAAATCACCGAGGAGCTTGGATCATTGAAGAATTTGATCAAGGCTCGTAGCGGTGCCAACGCGTCATCTGAAAACAGTGGGCCCCGCAAGGTGGCACCAGTCTCTTCGATCCCATCCGCATCTGAGATCTTGAAGAAGGCCAAGGCCAAGAGCACCAACAACGCACCAACCACAGGCTCCAACACCTCGTCGCAGCCTAACAGCGGCGAGCACAGCAATCAAAGCAGCAATATCACTTCTCCAGTCCAGAACTTCGCTACTACGCTGAAGGAGACGAGACCATCCACTCCAGGTAACATTTTCGCAGCCGGTATTCCAGAATGGCAACTCAAGCACAAGCAGGCCGAGGAACAGGCCGAGAAGAACAAGGAAGAGGATAAGAAGCAAGAGGGGCCAAACACGCAAGAAGGTGAAGACGACGAACAAAGCCTGATCCCAGCATGGCAGCAGCAGGCCTTGAAGGAAGGTAATGACGACGAAGTGGTAAAGAAGTCGATCGAAAACGTGGGTGTCCCTGCGTGGCAACTAAGCGCCGGAAGCTAGAGTAAACAGTATATTCAGCATTTTACAGAAAAAAAAAATTGTAGTATTGAGTCTTGAGTGTCTCAGATGGATGTCTCAGTAGCAACTCATTTCGCAGCCACGCTTGCACAGAGGTGCCCAAGCTGGAGCGCCTATTGGTGTTGAGGAAGCCAACCAGAGTCCTTTTTCTGGCAAACGGCTTTTCTTGAAGCCTTACCATCATGAAGAGATCATTACTACTGGAGCCCTTTGGCGAACAACTCACGTGTATTGAAAGACTACGAAGCCAGAACCTGGCCAGTGGGTACTCCAAGAGAAAGCATCAGGCGACTGGTAACCAAAAACAGTACGCCTTGGCAGCAGTGGCAGCAGCAGCAGCTGTGAAGCAAAACCAGGCAATGTATTCGTTTAACGAACTGCAAAGGTACGTGAATCCAGGTCAGAATGGTTATAGCGGACAGAATGGGCAGAATGGGCACCTTAGAAAGCTTCCGTTGATGTACCTGAACATGGACTATATGAGTGCCCTGATGGCTGGCCAGGAGCAGGCAAGTGGACAGGCTTATTATAAAACAGGTCAGGAGAAGACAGGGTATCCTCAGGGGATGAACCAGAGTTATGGTGGGTACCAGGGCAGTCTGGGCCAGAACTATAGGAACTACCAGAATGCCCCAACGAGTCAGGGCCAAGCCCAAAACAACCAGACGCAGGGTAATTATCTGGCTTTCGGTTCCCAAGGTAACGCTGGAGAGTACAACACTGGGTACTCTGGCAATGGACACGGCAATGGCATGAACAATACCAATAGCATCTACAACATCGACGAGAACACGGGAATGTTTTCGTCAAACATATTCAACATGGCGCCATCGCTGTCCCAAGACACTGCATCGGTACTCAGCTCTTCATCTCGAGGTTTCGATAACATGTCTACTCACTCGTTGCAGACCAACCAGTCTTCATCTACTCAGTCTGTGTTTACTACCAGAGCCCTGCCTCCAACTACTGGCAGAGAGTATGGCTACTCCGAGTCGCCTGGAAGCAGCAGCGAGTCAGAACTTCCTCTCAATGGCGGAAAACCCGCCTCTTCTGGCCTCGAGTCCAGCCTTTTACGCTCCATCTGGATGCCTCCTCAGCTGTCAGACTCTGGATGCGCTATTTCTTTATCAAACTCAACCAAATGGTGAGCCACTCAAACCAGCAAACCACCTTCGAAAAAAACCCCATTCCTTCTATTCTTTTTGTTTTCGGCGTTGTTATCGGTGTATATTCAGTAGGTTGCAAAATACATATTAAGTCTCCATGCGCTCTGTATGTGCGCTTTCGGCCCGCACTAACATTATTCAACGGTTACCACTTCAACACTATATGGTCTCTGACGTCAAAGCAGACAAGCTCGTGCAGACGTCCCTCGGCAAGAAGACCCAGCCGAAGGCGTTCGTGGCATTGTTGAATCAGCTTGATGAAAAAGCGCCAATTCCAGACAACGAGCTTGCCAGTTCTCTATTGACGTTGCTGAAACACCGCTTGCAATGGAAGCTTCAGCACCAGTATGCGTTTGCTTTTGCTAATGAAAGCGCTGAAAAACTTCGACGGATAATGTCTGGGTTGCATGGTCTTCCTACAGACGCCCAGCGTGAGTTTGTGTTGTATTTGAAGAGTCGATACAAGGCATTCAAGGAGCCTGTGCTACAGTTTTTCGTCAATCAGAGTCTTCCTGATTACACTGTTCAATTGCAAAGATCATTTCAGCTGCTGCTTGATGAAAACTCGAAGAATCTTTGGTTCCACTTGCTTTTCTTATGGGGTAACATCATTGATAACGCAAGCTCGGTGGTCCAGAAAGAGCCATTCCGTGCTTTGGCATTGGAAGTGATGGGACTGCTTCAAAGTTTGGGTGCTACTAGCCAGTTGGCTTATTTTCTGAAGAAGGCTAACAGTTTGTTGAACGCAGCAGAGTTGCATAAGGAGCTTCAGACTTCTGCCTTGGGGAACGTGAAGCGTGAAAAGGTTTCAGCCACTCCAGTGAGGAAAGCGTTTGCTTTGAATCAACACTCCAAGAAAGTTATGAAAATTGCAAAACTCAAAAAGCTCTTGTGGCTCAATGAGCGGTTCAGACAATGGAACATCGAGAAGCTCATGGAACAGTACATTGCATTCTTCCGCGTTGACATGTCTAAGTACGACGATACTGTCAAGGAGTTGGTCGAAATCCTTTTCACAGGTATCTCCACCGCTATCCAACAACAAGAAAGCCCGTATGTGCTCTTCAACTGGAAAAATTTCATCGTGAGTCGCTTTCCGCTCTTCCTCAAAGAATCGAGACCCAAGAACAATGATGGCTCTTCAAATCTTGAAAGTGTTATCCTCAAAACCGTCTCAGGCTTCACTGATGCATATCTTATCGAAATGGTCGTTGGTGGTAGGTCCTCCCATCCATACGACTTGCGTAAAATGTTCTTGAGAAGTTGTATGTACCAGGATCTCGTTACTGTTTCTTCATACACCAAGACGTTCCCTGAAGACTCTGAGTCGGTTACATGGTCGCACATAACTCACGAGAAGAATGTTCTCAATCACACAGACCACCTTAAGACTGAGTTCAATTCAAAGCTTCTCAACATAAACACTGAGTTCACTTCGTTGGGAGAGAGTAAGTTCATCAACTTTCTCGAGGATTTGCCATCCTCTGATATACAATACCTGGTTTCCAAACAAGAGCAGCTCCGCTCGCTTGTATCCAGCTCATTGGAGAAACTTATCGAGGAAAAGTCGAACGAAAAGCTCGTCCGTTTAGTATTAGGTCTCCTGATCTGCTTGCCTGTGACTAACTATGTCTATTTCGTCGATCCGCGGGGACCTTGGGGTATTATAGATCCGCTTATTGCTTACATCGACAATGACAGCTTTGGTGCTGATGCTGACGACAACAACTTCCAAGAAACATTTTCATATTTTGGTATATTGATGACTGGTTCCATCGCAATTACCAATTTCTTCGGTATTGACTTCATCTCAGTAACTTTGGGGCGCTCGTACACTATTGACTTTATGAACAAGTTCTACTACAGACTGTGTACCAATTTCAGCAACAAGGTGGAACCCGAAAAAGACAGTGACTCTGGCGTTATTAACACCTACAACGAGCACTTGAGTGAGTGGGCCAATGCCTTATTTGATGTTAACAATGACGGCTTATCTGATGATCTCATTAAGTCAGTGAATGTCAAACAGATCTATAAGTTGGTATTTGTTATATTCCAAAGCGCTATCACGGCTAATATTGCTGGCAGTTTGGCCTCACCGAATCTTAGCAATGGAATTGACTACTTGTCACAGGACTTTTTAGCACCCAGCTCTGCAGAACTCATTCACTGGATTGTTTCAAATATCGGTCCTTTACAACGGAACAGCGATATCTTCCTTCAGATTCTTTGGAAGATAGTCCAAAGTAATTTGGGAGAGAATAAGGAAGAGGGATCAGAGATTAACTACACATTCCGTCTTGTCTTGAACCTAGTTGGCAAGGAGCTCCTTGAGTCAGTCTATGCTTTCAGAAACTGGGAAACCAAAGAGATTATGCTTAAGCTAGTGAGAGTCGTCAAGCAAAATGCCGATGAAGAGTACAATAGAATTGACAGACCGCTACTCATCCAACATCAAAAGCATACCGAAGGTGACTCCCTAGCATCAACTATTCGTCAAGCTGCCCAGATTTTCCTTAATGAAGATGGCGAAGAATCTGGCAAAAGTATATGGAGAGCATTCCGTACAATGTGGAAGGTGACTGAGAGTGAAGAGATTCTTACACTTTTACTTAACGAGATAAGATCATGCCATGGAAGCAAGGCAAGCCACGGTGCCAGTGCAGAAGAAGGCAAAATAATTATAGACTTTATGGCTTTCCTTGTTGTTTTGACAAGTCAAAGTTCGACAGAAATGAGTGACGCAGAGTTGAAACTGAGATTCAACGAGGTAAAGCCCCGAGGTATCAGCCCCATGCTGTTTGGCAGCCAGTTCAAGTTGAGCATCGAGAACCATTACGCAAGTATCTTTAGTGGAGCAGCATCACTGGAAGGTGCAGAGAAGATAGCTGACCCAGTTGACGTTAAATTAGCTCCAAAAGATGATTTGATGATGGACTTTGAGATGGACGATCTTTTCAATGACAAGGGTGAGGACCTTTTTGGAGATTCTGGAGACGCGGCTATCTCAAGGCCTTCGTCGCCTCCAGTTAAAGTTGGCAGCATGTACAAAGACGTGGTTTCAGGAACATCAGTATTGAGAAGGGTGCTCAATCAGCTTCTGCAAGCTACTGAAACGGACCATCACGATGCTGAGATCTTAAAGATTGTGCTTCTGCAGCAGTTGGAGCAGTTTTTGCTGGCCACCAAGGCATCCGCCTAGGCTTTCCTGGATAGTTTCTCCTACTGAGAGTTACTGTGGTTCACGATATTTGTCAGCTACTGAATGTCCTACTAATTTATTGGATACACATGGAACCAAGTCTCTCATATTTCCAAATCCAAACCTTAATGTTTCCCCGTTTTCAGAGCCTTACTCCCTACTTTCCCTAATGAAGTCGTATTGCACCACTATGGTGTGGCAGGGGCACATTGTGGCAGTCGCGTGTATCACCACACTGAGACACCACTCCAACCCGCCAACGCCAAAAAATACAAACTCCTTATGTATACATTAGGAAACCAAACACATCCAAAGCAGCCTTTTTAAATAAAACACGCTATTCTCTTCAGTGGTATACTTCTTCCCCACCATCGTCCACCAGTGCATCCTAGGGTACCGCACACCGCGTACGCGTTTTTGATCGCATCATCTCTACTCCATACATCTAGATCGTACTCCAATAAGCATACTTACCACATCTACATCAGCATGTCTGAAGACCCCAATGCTCTTAAAAGAGCATGGTACCATAGCCAGGAAGGTGCCCATGCGTTACCTGTGGGATCGCAGAATATCGACTCGAAGCTTGAACTATCGGAGTCTCAGCAGCAGTTGCTTAAGCGTGTGAAGAGACCAAATGGGAATGAAGAACCGCTGGAGTTTGAAAAGGAGTTGGTTGAGATGACAGAGCTGGCGCTGGCGTTTCACGAAGAGCTGCAGAGCTGGAAGCGTCCGCCTTTGCCTAAAGATTACACAACTAGGGATATCTCGTTCCAGCAGCTAGATGCTGAAGAAGCCACACATGGTGACGAGTCCAGTGCCCGTTTTTTCGGTATCACTTCTGAAGGTCATTCTGTGCTTTGTAATGTGACGGGATTCTTGCATTATTTCTATGTCCCTGTGCCTAGGGGCTTCTTCCCTGATCAGCATTTGACACAGTTCACTGCGTACTTGAAAGCCAACTACTTTGGCGTCGAAACGGTTGAAATCGTGAAGAAGGAGTCGATTTGGGGCTTCAACAACAGTACCAAGTCTCCTTTCTTTAAAGTGATCGTGAACAATGCCAGGAATATCACCAAGATCAGAGGTGCTTTCGAACGTGGTGAAATCCGCTTCGAACAGTTATTCCCTCCTTCTTGCGTCAGTTACGATAATATCAACTACTTGCTTCGAATGATGATTGATTGTGGAATCACTGGTATGTCATGGATCACGCTTCCCGCTGGTTCTTACACTGTCACTGATAACGATCTTAAGGTATCTACATGTCAGATCGAATGTTCTGTTGACTATAGGAAATTAATCTCGCATCCATCAGAAGGCGAATGGTTGAAGATGGCTCCTCTTCGTATCATGTCGTTCGATATCGAGTGTGCTGGAAGAAAAGGTGTCTTCCCAGAAGCTAACCAGGACCCTGTCATTCAGATTGCCAACGTTATATCGAGATATGGTGAGTCCAGACCTTTTGTTCGTAATGTCTTCACAGTCAAGAGCTGTCTACCTATTATCGGTTCTGAAATCTTTTCAAACGAGAAAGAGGAGGACATGCTCATGGCATGGAGAGACTTCGTGGTCAAGTCAGATCCTGACGTTATCATTGGTTACAACACTGCCAACTTCGATCTTCCGTATCTTCTCGACAGAGCCAAGGCTCTTAATATCCCCAAGTTCCCATACTTCGGAAGAATGGTCAACATTAAGCAGGAAGCCAAGGACTCTGTTTTCAGTTCTCGTGCCTATGGTACGCGAGAGAACAAGGTCGTCAACATTGATGGTAGAATGCAGCTCGACTTGTTGCAGTTCATTCAGAGAGAGTACAAGTTAAGATCTTACACATTGAACTCTGTGTCAGCGCATTTCTTAGGTGAGCAAAAGGAAGACGTGCAGCATTCTATCATTACAGACCTTCAGAATGGTACAGCAGAAACGCGTCGAAGATTAGCTGTCTACTGTTTAAAGGATGCTTATCTTCCATTACGTTTACTTGAGAAATTGATGTGTTTGGTTAACTACACAGAGATGGCAAGAGTCACTGGTGTTCCATTTTCGTATCTTTTGGCCAGGGGCCAGCAGATCAAGGTCATTTCTCAGCTTTTCAGAAAGTGTTTACAGGAAGATATTGTTGTTCCGAACATGAAGAGTGAGGGCAGTAACGAAGAGTATGAGGGTGCCACAGTCATTGAGCCTATCAGAGGTTATTACGATGTTCCTATCGCAACGTTGGATTTCAGTTCTTTGTATCCATCTATCATGATGGCACACAATTTGTGCTACACAACGCTTTTAAATAAGCAGTCTATCAAAGCATTTAACTTGAGCGAAGATGACTATACTCATACCCCTAATGGTGACTACTTTGTTAAGGAAACAAAGAGAAAAGGTATTTTGCCAACCATTCTTAATGAATTGTTAACTGCCAGAAAGAAAGCCAAGGCCGATCTCAAGAAAGAAAGTGACCCGTTCAAGCGAGATGTTCTTAATGGTAGACAGTTGGCATTGAAAATCTCTGCCAACTCCGTCTATGGTTTCACTGGTGCTACCATCGGTAAGCTTCCTTGTCTTGCCATCTCTTCTTCGGTCACTGCCTTTGGTAGAGAAATGATTGAAAAGACCAAAAACGTCGTCCAAGAAAAATACAATACTGGTAATGGTTACACTTATGATGCTCAAGTCATCTATGGTGATACCGATTCTGTTATGGTTAAATTCGGCCACCAGGACTTGGAAACTTGCATGAAGTTAGGAGAAGAAGCCGCTGCATATGTCTCTACCAAGTTCATCAACCCAATCAAGTTGGAGTTCGAAAAAGTATACTTCCCATATCTTTTGATTAACAAGAAGAGATATGCTGGTTTGTACTGGACTAATCCTGACAAGTTTGACAAGATGGATACGAAGGGTATCGAGACTGTCAGAAGAGATAATTGCCGTTTGGTGCAGAATGTCATTACAAGGGTGTTGGAATACATTCTAGAAGAGAGAAATGTTCCGAAGGCCGAGAGATATGTCAAACAAACCATTGCTGACTTGTTGCAGAACAGAGTCGATTTATCGCAATTGGTCATCACGAAAGCTTTCTCCAAGCATGAATACGACAGTAAGCAAGCCCATGTTGAGCTTGCCAAAAGAATGAGAAAAAGAGATGCTGGTTCAGCTCCCACTTTGGGTGACAGAGTCGCCTACGTCATTATCAACTCATCCAGTTCCAAGAACTACGAGAAATCCGAAGATCCCTTATACGTTTTGGAGAATTCTCTTTCCATCGATGTCAAGTACTACTTGGAGAATCAGCTTTCAAACCCCTTGTTGAGAATTTTCGAACCAATTCTTGGAGAAAAGAGGGCCAAAGAATTGTTAGCTGGTGCTCATACAAGAACGATCAAGATGAGTGCTCCTAAGGGTGGAGGTTTGATGAAGTTTGCAAAGAAGGCAGAGCTTTGCAAGAACTGTAAATCGCCTTTGAAGGCCAACAACAAGGGAGCTTTGTGTGAGAACTGTATTTCCAAGGCACCTGAATTGTATTGCGATGCCTTGGCTCAAATGAACTATTTGGAGAACAAATTCTCTCGACTTTGGACTGAATGTCAAAGATGTCAAGGATCATTGCATCAAGAAGTTCTTTGCTCGAATAAGGATTGCCCAATCTTCTACATGAGAAAGAAAGCACAGAAGGATGCATCACAACAAGTGCAAGAGCTACAGAAGTGGGACGAAACTATATGGTAAAGTCGTCAATGTATTTATATTTATCAGCATCACTTGTAGCGTATTTCGTTTCAGCTATTCGTAGTTTTATCTGTAATACTGTTCTTACTCAGAGTCCTTTTTCGTTGGTACTGAGCTTTCAGTCATGCTCCGGTGCTCGATAGCCAAGGCACCCGGACGAATCACATCTAAGTTCCCATCGGATTTCCTAGAGAATGTCCTGAGATGCGGGCTATCTGGAGTACCGTTTCCATTGGTACTCGATCCTTTCGTTGGCGACAGGGAAAGGGTGATAAGCTTGGGTTCGTGTTCGGAGTTCTTTATGGATCCCTTCTTCAAGTTCTTTGCAAAGTTAGACGTGCGATTGTTGTTGTTCTGCTTAGACAATTCCTTCAACTGCTTGATATTGTGAATGCACTTTCCAATCGTCTGCATCAACAACTTGGGCTTCAAAGGCTTGGAAACGTAGTCATCCATACCCTTTGCAAGAGATTTCTCTCTATCACCCAACATAGCGTGAGCTGTCAAGGCGATGATAGGAGTACGGAAACTCAACGAATCGATAGGGTTCGACTTCTTTTCCCATTGTCTGATCTTTTCTGTGGCTTCGAAACCTCCCATCACAGGCATCTGGACATCCATGAGAACCACATCGTAATTGCTATTCTTCACAGCCTCGAATGCTTCAAGACCATTCTCCACAACTTCAACTTGATGGCCTTGCTTCTCAAGAATCTTAACAGCAAGTTTCTGATTGACTAAGTTATCCTCGGCAAGCAAAATCTTGTATGAGATAGAATCATCAGTGTTCTGTGCAATAGACCTCGACTCCAATGCCGGTATTATGGCACTGGCAAGGTCGGAAATGGTGCAAGGTGTGTTACCATAGGAGGAAATACCCAAATCAATGCACACTCTCATATTCAATTCAGGAATCGAATGATGCAACAAAACCAATGGGATGTACTTAACCTCGGATCGTAGTCTCAAACTCTTAGCAATTTCAATCGAGTCAATCATGATAATGTCATACTGGATAGGCTCTTCGAAGTTGACGTCAGTAATATCACGGACAATCACAGGACTCAAGCCCAATTCCATGATTCCATTCTTCAACTCCTGAAGTTCGTTTTCGGTATGCTCGCTAGAAACAAACAAAACGTAGTGGCCTCTGAAAGGTAAGAGTTGTTCCGAGTCCAGCGTGTATCTAATCTTTGAAGGAGACACACTCACTGTGAATGAGAAATTAGAACCATGACCGTAGTCAGAAGTGACCCGGATTTCACCACCCATCAATTGAATCAACTGTTTAGAAATAGACAAACCCAAACCGGTACCACCAAACTTTCTGGTAGTAGAACCATCAGCCTGACAGAAAGTGTCGAAAATCAATCCCAACTTGTCTTTCTCGATACCGATACCTGTATCACTAACGCAGAACTCCAAGAGAAGCTTATTGGCCTCTTCAGGGATTCTCTCAGCCTTCTTCACACTCACACTAACCTTACCCTTCTTGGTGAACTTGATGGCATTACCGGCAAGATTAAGAATAACCTGTCGAAGTCTGAAGGAATCACCAATCAAGTTATCAGGGAAGGATGAATCGCATCTGTACGTAAGATCCAAGTTCTTTTCGATCGCTTTCACAGCAAGAGTTTTGAGAGCTCCAAAAACGTTACCTCTCAAGGAGAAGTCGATTTGCTCGACAGTCATCCTGTTAGCTTCAATCTTGGAAATATCCAAAATATCATCAATAATCGTAAGCAAGGAGTTAGCCAAATTGTGCACAATACTCAACATTTCACGCTGGTATTGCGTAAGCTCAGTGTCTAAAGATAATTGTGTCATACCAATAATACCGTTCAAAGGCGTTCTGATCTCGTGAGACATGTTGGCCAAGAACTCGGACTTGGCGCTGTTTGCCAACTCGGCAGCTTCTCTAGCAGCAGTGTTTCTCTGAATCGATTCTCTCAAGTTAAACACCATCTGGTTAATCTTCGTCTTCAAGGCATCCATTTCACCAGAAGCCTCAACAGTAATAAATCTAGTAAAGTCACCATCGGTAGCAGCAGCAGTAATTTGAGCGAAAGCTCTCACTTGCGAGGTCAAGTTAGAAGCCATAGTATTGACATTGGATGTAATTTCCTTCCACAAACCATCGACATCGCTGACTTGAGCTTGGATACCCAACTTACCATTAATACCGACATCACGAGCAACCTTCGACACTTCAGAAGCGAAAAGTTGCAAAGAGTCCACCATTTTATTGATAGTATTCTTCAATTGTAAGATTTCACCTTGGGCGTGAACATCAATTTTCTGAGACAAGTCACCATGGGCGACAGCAGTAGTAACCGTAGCGATAGATCTAACCTGATTAGTCAAATTCGTGGCCATGAGGTTGACGTTTTCTGTGACAGCCTTCCAGGCGCCCTCAACGTCCTTGACGTTGGCTTGGCCACCCAAAATACCTAACGTACCGACCTCGCGGGACAATGTAGTAACTTCTAAAGCAAAATTCTGCAATCGATCCACCATCTGGTTGATGGTCAATTTCAAGTCTAAAATCTCACCTTTACAATCAGCAGTAACCTTCTTCGATAATTCACCTTTAGCCACAGCGGTGGTGACGTTGGCGATGTTTCTCACCTGAGTAGTCAAATTCAAAGCCATAGCGTTGACATTATCAGTTAATTCTTTCCAAATACCTTCGACATTTTCAATGAAAGCCTGTCCACCTAAAATACCCAAGACACCGACATCACGAGCCACTTTGGACACTTCGAAAGCAAACTTTCGAAGTTGATCCACCATGGTATTGATTGTCATTTGCAACTGCAAGATTTCACCTTGGGCATGGACATTAATCTTTCTACTCAAGTCACCCTGGGCGACAGCACGAGTCACGTCGGCGATTTCACGCACCTGGTTTGTCAAATTAAGAGCCATAATGTTCACGTTATCGGTCAAGGAACGCCAGATACCCACCAGGCCTTCGTTCTTGGCCTGGCCTCCTAGCTCACCGTTGGCAACCTCAGTGGCGACCTTAGTAACTTCGTTGGCAAAGGCCTGAAGCTGGTCCATCATAGTATTAATGGTAATTTTCACTTTAAGAATCTCTGGGTCCAGCTCAACAGGATGGATTTCAACCTTCTTGGACAAATCGCCCATGGCAACAGATATCACAACGGTACCAATCTCAGAAAGAGCCACCTTAAACGCCTTATTGGCTTCACAAGCCGTCTGGTGCTCCACAGACAAGTTGTGTATCTGCATCTCCTGGCTCTTCACCAACAGAAGCAAGTCCTGCTGTATCAGCGGGGCCTTTTCGGCAAACTGTGCCGGGTCTTCCAAGATCGACAACAACTGAGTTGCGTTCATGGGGTGATCTAACCGAGGCCTCTTTGGGGATTCAAAATCGGGGACAGCAAGGTGGCTAAACAAACGGCGTGGTCAAGGGGAGAATGTAGATGTTATAAATGGGAAAATACCAGCGGGATGCTCTCGTGAACCAACCTAGAGTGTTGTTTCTCTTCGGGAGACGGGTCAAAGGAAATAAAAAAGGAAAGGGAGAAAAAGGGAAAAATGGGGCTCAGACTTTGGGGTATGTTTTTTTCCTTCAGGAAAGGGAGCGTTCGTTTTTTTCTCTCTCTGTATGGCGTATGGCAAGGGACACTGAGGAATGTCAATACAGAAAATTACGATCTCTGGTATTATTCTTCGTCTTTTTTTTTTTATTGTCCCCTGGAGTGCGACGTCACAGTTACCCAAGCAGTGGCGGCTAAGTAAAAACAGACTATGTCTTTTTTTGGTGTCTCTTTTTGGTGCCCTTTCTGGCCGGGAAGAGTGATATTTATATGGGGAAGTTGTTTTTTCTGTTTGGCGTGCGTCTGATTGCAGGGTCTTGACAGAAAAAATAGAAATGGAAATTATTTATCTACTGGCCCAAGAGGCCCAGCCAGAGCATGCCAGGGAGAGACATAGTTTATGGGAAGTCATGCCTGGCGGGTTAACGTATTTTGTGGGAGGATCCGTAGGGGCGTAGGAAAGTTAGTTTGGTGCTTGGTATGGAGGGGAGGGGGTGATTGCTGCTGTGGTGCTCTGCATTATAGAGTATGGAGTCATGATGTTGTGAGGAAGGGTTGTAGGTCTCGGCTGTAGGAGGGGGTAAGCTGGGGGTGGAGAATTAGGAACCCCGAGGGTGAAAAAATAACGAAGGCCAGAGGGGTAGATGTACGGTGTGGCTGGTGCACTTGGGACAATCTGGATGGTGGTATACCGAGGTTGTATTGAGGCTGGCGCTGGTCTTGACTTGGCGGCAGCAATGGTATTAGCCTGGTCTTAGTGAAACTCGTTTCATGCTGTTCGATGATGTCATAGCTTTGTGTTTGTTTTCTCTGCGCTGCAGGTACCCTACTACTACTGGTGAAGTGAATTATAGTATCCCAATTTTTTTCCATACATACACTCTATAGAGAGTTTTCTATCCAGTGCCTTAGACCAAAGCAAAGATCCCAACGGCTCCCATGGCCACGGCCAAAGGCCAGCTGAAATGGAAGCTGGAAGCGTCACTGTTTCTGACGTTTCCTGAGTTGATGGCAGTGACAGAAGACGAGTCGTCGTCTGAAGAGCTGCCAAACGATGGCGAAGCGCTGGCTCTTGGGGCCGACTCAGAGTCTGGGATCAGCGACAGAACAACCTGGATATCCTCGTCGCTGGTGTACTTGGCTTGCGCCAAACTGATAGTGTAGTCATCTAAATCGTAAACGACATAGGCACTTCTAAGGAAGTTTCCGCCCAACACAGCGTAGTCCACAGAATTCTGGGAGCTGGATTGAGGCAAGATACCCAAGAAACATTGTCTACCGGAGTTGATGATCAACTCTGAAACAGGAACTCTGATACGAGCACCGCTAAAGTTGAACACAATGTGGGCGTTGTTGGTGTTGAAGTTACAACTCAACTGGTAGTAACCGTATGAACGCAGGTAGGATGCAGAGAGCAACGAAGCAACCCTCTCGAGAAGATTTTCTGGGAAGTAGGTAAGAGTAGTACCAGAATCCAACAAGGCTGGGTAGCTTGTGGATGAGATGGACTCGTTCTGGTTCGAACTCTCAAACGTAAGACCACTCATTGTAATATCCAAACGAATAGGGTTTCTTCTGGTGCTTGCATAAATGTTGACAATAGGCACAGTTTGCAACTGGCCCTCGTACTTAGCTCTATCGATAGCACCGAACAAAATAGAACCGGTACTTGCTTTTGGAGAGTCCAAATAAAGTGAGTAGACATTCTTGTTGATAAGACCCTGGCTGACCAATCTCATAGGCAAGTTTTCGTACTGGTATGGGTTAACAACGGTGAATCCCGAGTATGTGGACTCCAAGCCTGGAAGACCAATACCCAAAACACCGAAAGCCGAGTCCGAGTGGTTCACCAAGGCAAAACTCAAGTCGGTCACGTTGGTGTTGCCAAAGAGAACGTGATCCTGGCCCCAAACACCTGAAGCTGACGTGCCATCAGCATACAGAATGAAGAACTCAGGAGCAGTATCGTTTTGAGACCAAGTGTCTGAAGTACCAGTCTCGTAGGAACCATAGGAAGTACAAGTGTTTGTAGTTCTAGAACCGTCTGGGCCAGAAGGTCTGTTACCACCGCCACCGCTCAGGCCCGAAGGGACCGACGTGCCACTGAAAAAGATTGTACTGAAGCAGAAAAGACCGTTGCAGTCCTTATTTTGCAAGGAGGCAGTAGGAACATCGGTAACCTTCGAAGGCTCAACGAGTTCCTTATTCTGGTTACCTTCCAACTCATCGTGGGCCTTGATGGCCTCGTCCAACGCCTCAAGGTCAGCAAAGTTCTTTCTCTTTGTCTTTGCAGGCAGTTGGGGCAATTCTTCACGCTTATTCACGCCCGTAAGCTCATAGCCTCTCTTAGCCAGGCTACTTCTTGGAGTAACACCACAAGTAACGTCAGGAGGCATAACCCAAAGATCTGAAGAGCCCGTGTCGACCAAAACGCCAACCTTATCACCCAGACTGCCGATCTTCAAGTCAGCTCTATAAAAAGACCGTTCGTTATGGAGAACCATTTCCTCAGTATCATCTCTCTTAACAAAAGTAGGTCTCCTATCGCTGCCCATGTCGTTCTTATCGTTACCATGGAGAACCTCAAAATCTAGTTTAAACGCTCCAGCAGCCAAAGCTGGAATAGCATTCAAGGCCACAGCCGCCAATGCCAACTTCATTTTTTATAGTAAAGTCTAGTAAATAGATGGAATCAAGTAAAAACTCGCAGCGGCAGTGCTCTATTTAAGCGACATCCCAGAGTGCGCATTTTTCTGACGGCAACTGCGGCACAGCCTGAAGAGCCTACAGAAGGAGATTATTTCTTGTCCCCCAAAGCAACTTTTGTGCAGACAAGATGGGCATTTCCAGACCCTCCGTAGTATACAAGGCTGAAAAGAGAAAAAATAGAAGATATCCACATGGAAGAGGTGGAGGTGGTTGCTGGCGCGGTGGCTGCAAAAGTCGTTTTATGGCTTTCGAGGCACCGTTTGAGGCTTGTGTGAGCCATGAAGGAGCAACTGGAACGAAGTCAAGTACACAAAGAGTAGAGCAAACAGAGTAAACAGAGTAAACAGAGTAAAAACAACAAAAACAGAGCAAAAGCTAAATCAACAGAAAAGGAGTTGGATCGCTTTTTCTTAGCTCCCACCGGTTTGTGGACCCCGCCAGATCCATCCTCTGGTTTGTGTCTCCTTCTTGCTTTTCGCAGCCAGCAATAGAAGCCCACTGCAGCAACGTCTAAGAATAGCAGGAGAAATGAGAATGAATAGCATTCAAAGAGATTGTATTACTTGATTTGGATGTATTTCCGAATAAACCACCAAAACCATCAAATCATCTTCAAATCATCATTCTTTCCGTTTACGCTGCTCTACAGAACCCTCCTGGAACCGCGCCTCACCGCTGACCTTCAGATACTTCTTCTGTGTCTGCACAAACCATGGATTGGTCAGAGCGCTCCTTTGGAGGATGCCAAGAAACACAAAGCATGGTCGACTGGTGACCCCACGGACGTTTTTCTAGAAACCGTACGGATGTGTTTGTCTTACATTTGTCAGCGAAGGAGGTGGTTTGTTGGTGGTTGGAGGTGGTTGGGGGTGGTTGAATATTGGGAGTGGTTGCAAAACGGTCGCTTCCTGGATCAGGTAGCTTTGGTCGGCTATCAAAGGGGAAATAGCGTGGACGAAGGTTTGGCTTTGTGGATGAAGTTTTGATTTGGCAAGGAATCTCGAGTGGTAGTGGGAGCTGGTGGTACATTGATCGGTGGCACATTGGTCAGTAGACCAGGCTTAACACTTCATTATCGTTTGGGCTATACCACCGCCGCAGTGCCGAGACTTCTTGAACTTGGTCTAAATCTGTATCTCGGTGTCGGTGTCGGTGTCGGTCGGGGTTCGATACGGATTGGTGTGTGTGGGTATCCGAAACCCTGACCAGGCTTTTTCTTGGAACTGACTTTAAGCTTGGGGCGTCTGGCTACAGTCGGCAAGGCTCGGCAAGATAAGATGCTACCGATGTAAATGTGTTTCCTAAAACGTGCTTAATGACCTGGGGGCCTTTGTTCTTTTGTGCCCCTTGCATGGGTAATTTACGAAGGGAAGAGGCAGTGTAGAAGACGAGGGGAAGTCATGGACCGTTGCCTGTGTCTTTGATTTGGGAGTTGCTTCCGTTCTATTTGGAATTTTGCGTTGCTGATCAAACGGTGATCGGTCTGGTTTCTGGATTGGCTGTTTGGTTACCCAACAGCATTTTCTGCCTCCGCTGGGTCAGTTTCTCGTGAACCTGTAGTACTAGTCTGTAGTACCTCTACAAGTCTCTTATTAAGTCTACTAGAAGGCTTAACTAGATCTCTGGAAAGAGATAGGGAACTAAGAACTACTTGTTTCCCGTGGGCTTTGTCATGCTGAGGGATCAGTACTAACCCATGAAGACCAATTAGAGGTAAAATGCCTTCAGATTAGTCTTAAAATCATTTTCAAGCTAAAGAGGCTCTTTCACTTCCCTTGAGTTCCCTTTTTTAAGCTCAAGGTTGAAAAATCAGTCTATCAGTTTCGTTAAGGCACTTTTATCACCAGTTGGTAAGCCTATGCACAAAGAAATGGCTCTTGAAGACACTTTTAGCATTTTATCAGCATCTAGGGCACTTAAAAATATCGATTAAGCTCAAATCTATCCCCAAAGGCCTTTCTTCCACGTTATATGGCCACTTGTCCCTCCCATTAAAGGCAAGTCCAGGTAAACTAGTTTTGCTCATAAATCGCTCAAACATTGGATTTGAATGCTGAAACTTCTCATGCACACTCTTCAAAGCGAAATCTAAACTCTGGAATACTCAAAAATTGACATTTTTTCTGGTCACCCATTTCATCCCTTATATACCACTAAAAAACAGTATTTTTCAACTATGGGCGTGTGGTCTAGTGGTATGATTCTCGCTTTGGGCGACGATGCGGTACACTGCATTGATCAAAACTGTGAGAGGCCCTGGGTTCAATTCCCAGCATGCCCCTTTTTTTACTTTTCAAAAGTAACTTTTAAATTAATTTTTTGGCATGTTGTCTCGTTGCAAACAACCAGGCAAAGCCCAAAAAATTATTGTTCCCTCCCCTAAGCAGCAGACCAACTATATCGGTGGCCTTTCCTCGCTTAGTAGAGATTCCTGCACAGATGCCCTCTTTTCCTCTCAACACTCTGGGTTTGGTTATCCTGATAGAATCTTCTATACCGAATCGACAACCCACTGTGGCCCCAGCATTCATCCTTCCCACGCCACTAAGCATGTCACATTCCAAAGACCAGGAACAGATCGTTCTCAGGGTCTTATCTCATAAACCCCACCAGTTCTACGAGATTCTCTCGGTCACCAAAACCTCTTCCGATGGAGAAATCAAAAAGTCATACAGAAAGCTAGCCATCAAGCTTCATCCAGATAAAAACCCACATCCAAGAGCTGCTGAAGCTTTCAAGCATGTCAACAAAGCATGGGAAGTGCTTAGTGACCCTGGCAAGCGTAAGATGTTTGACCAGACGGGCGCTGACCCAGACCTGAGAGGAGCACCATCAGGATTCTCTTCAGCTTCGGCATACGGCGGTTCGCCATTTGGCGGTGCATCGAGCTTTTCTGGGTTCCAGCAGCAAGGGTTCAATACGGATTTCCAGGATGATATTTTCAACATGTTCTTTGGTGGAGGTATGCCTCAAGGTGGCGCTCAGACGTTTACATTTGGTAACAACGGCTTTTCATTTAACACGTTTGGTGGCGGACAAGATTTCTTCAGCAACACGCGTGCACAGCAAAGAAGACAACAAAGAAGAAGACACGAGGAGCAGCAAAGGAAGCAGGCCACCGGTTGGGATACCATTGTACAGATACTTCCCTTGGTGGTGATTCTTCTTGGAATGCTCTTATCTACGCTTTTTGCAGACGATGCGCCGGATTATTCATTTACAAAAACGGCTAAATTCAATGTCAAGAGAACCACACCGGCCCACAAAATTCCGTTCTTCGTGAAGCCAGGTTTCACCAAAGATATCAACGATAGACAGCTCAGAAACTTTGATAAGAAGGTGGAGGCGCTGTACGTGAGAGACACACAGAACAACTGTGCTAGGGAACAGATTAAGAGGAACGATCTCATGGAGGATGCCCAGGGCTGGTTTTTCACCGATCAGCGGAAGCTCGATCAGGCGCTGAAGATGCCTATGCCCAACTGTAAGCGGTTGAGAGATCTTGGGATTTTATAAGAATAACGATATAGGAGAGATGACACAAAAGGATATTTAACGCATGGCAAAGACAGAAGACGCCGTGGGAGGCGTTGCAAGTGATGTACTAGTACAGGATGGACCAAAAGGTGGTTTAGAGGCGTGAAGTGTGGCGCAACATGAAGGTTGCTGATTGAACCAGAAGGCTGCAAAGCAGTCCAGGGGTCCTGAAAATTATCTATCAAAGGGACCAAACCATCATACAATACACCATACGGGATATATCACACTGGAGATAATGGTGGCACACTTTGGAAATCAGACCCTATGAAAAATGGTGAATGAAAATTCACGTGGCTAGGGGCGCAAACAGCCTATGCTAGTGGTTACGAGAAGCCCAACGATAACTTAAGCTTAAACGGCCTTGTTAATCCCCTCCTCCTCACGATATGTCCGTATCACTAAATCCTCCCCAAGCAACCCTACAATGGCCTCGGTCTTCGGGCCTAGTGGTGTTTTGCAGCCGCGATCCATACTAGCTTTTCGGCTCTGGTTATGGCCCTCGGTACCCCGCAAAAAAACGGTCTCACCACACACAGAAAAAAAAAATGCTATATATGCGCGGACAGTCCCCTTGGAAAGAAATCTCGATCAACTATAATCCCTATTTATTTGCAATGAGCACTTTGGACCAATCTTTCGTCGACAACTCTTCCTGGAAACCAGACCTTTTCAAAGACAAGGTCGTTTTCGTCACCGGTGGTGCCGGCACCATCTGTAGGGTCCAGGTTGAGGCCCTTGTGCTTTTGGGAGCCAACGCTGCCATCATTGGTAGAAACCCAGAGAAGACCGCCAAGGCTGCTGCTGAGATCCAGGCCTTGAGACCAGGTGCTAAGGTTATTGGTATTGGTCTGATTGATGTGAGAGAGGTTGACCAGTTGGCTGGCGCTGCCAAGAAGACCGTTGCTGAGTTGGGTAAGATTGACTTTGTCATTGCCGGTGCCGCTGGTAACTTCCTTTCTGACTTCAACCACTTGTCTGCCAACGCTTTCAAGTCTGTTGTGCTGATTGACTTGTTGGGTTCTTACAACACCGTCAAGGCCACTTTCAGCGAGCTTAAGAAGAACAAGGGTGCTATCCTTTTCGTTTCTGCCACTTTGCACTACTACGGTGTGCCATTCCAGGCCCACGTCGGTGCTGCCAAGGCTGGTATTGACGCCTTGTCCAACGCTTTGGCTGTTGAGCTCGGTCCTTTGGGTATCAGATCCAACTGTATTGCCCCAGGTGCCATTGCTGGTACTGAGGGTTTCGAGAGATTGTCTCCTTCCGGTGCTGATGGCCAGGGTAAGGTTCCATTGGCCAGATGGGGTACTACCAGAGACATTGCTGAGTCTACTGTCTTTTTGTTCTCTCCAGCTGCTTCCTACGTCACCGGTACCATCCAGGTTGTTGACGGTGGTTACTGGCACCTCGGTAACTTTGCTGGTGAGTTCTACCCAGACGTTATCAAGAACCAGAACAGCATTGAGAACCCAAAGTTGTAAGTTCTCCAGCTACGCGATAAGCACATATTAACTATATAAACCACGGAATCACCAGTTTTTGCTATTTTGCTTTGTAGATGGAAACCGTTGAGGAATACCCGGCTACGTCAAGACCTGTGAAAATTACTTTTAACCCGTCGTACATGAATCTTGAAGCATATGCGTCTTTAGCATTTGAGAAGTGACACCAAAACGACCAAGCGTTTAAGATTGAAGAAGATAGACTTATACAAGTACTTTGTTTATTTAAGTTCGTTTTGACGAAAGTGTTAATTGGAGTGTTGCTTCAATTAGAATCATTTGAATTGGGGTATTCAGCTCACAGAGGCTTCTTCCGAAAGCCACCTTCCCGAGGGACCCCAGTGAAACACCAAAATCCATGAATTTGTAGAAATTAAGCTTATTTCACTGGAAATTCAAATTACACTCTTTTATTGTTGTACATTCACTTGTCTTCATTCTCCATTGGATATGTACTGTTACCTAAAGTCCCAATGATCTATAGTTACCACAAAGTGTAAAACTACAAGTAAACCAAAACGAACAAACCCGCCAAAACAAACAAAATTTCATCACTCTTTACCCTCCACTACCCCCAACTTCTCCCCCGGTTATCGTACGTTCCATCCCGAAAGCAACCCTCTTACCCCTATCCATAGATAAGCCCTTCTCCAGTACAAAACAGTACTGAAACCCCAACTATCCCCTAAAAAGCCCCAAACCACTTAACCAACCCAAATAATCCAAATCCTAAAACCAACATGGAAACCACGTTTTGACACTTTCATGTCGCTATGACGTAAGTGTATAACCGACATACCCATCCCCAACCTCCTCCAATTCCACCCACCCAACCACAAAACCACCAAAAAAAAAACCACCAAATAAACCTTCAAAAACTACTTATAATCTCTCATTTTTGACCATCTCTTCCTCTCCCCCACGCCTTCTTTGCACCCTCTGCTTCCTTCTCTGGCATTGTCCTTGACAGCTGTTCTGCAGGGAAAACGAGGCACAACCTTCTCTCCAACTTCCACTCCACCAACCTACTACTCCCCATGTTTCCAGGATCCAACCAGGGAAGAACTTACGGCAACCACCAGGGTGGCTATCCACCCCAACAGGGCGGCGGTTACAACAACTACAGACCTCCACAGGGTCCTCCTCCAGGCCAGTATGGTGCTCCTCCAGGGCCTCCTCCAGGTCAACAATGGGGACCACCACAAGGACCACCACAGGGCTACTCCCAGCAGCCACAGCAGCAGCAGATGAGATCTAACCAGCTCAATTCGCCTCAGTTCATGCAACAGCAGCAACAGTACCAGCAGGCTCAGCTGCAGAGACATGAACAAATGACCAACTTCACTAGACAGCATGGAGGGCAGTCGTTTGAAGGAAACAACGGAGCGGTGCTGGGTCCTACACCGATGAACCCACAGAGTTTCGGTAACAACTCGAATATGACTTTCCAGTACTCGAACTGTACGGGTAAGAGAAAGGCGGTGTTGGTGGGAGTCAACTACTTTGGCACTGCCAACGAGTTGAGAGGGTGTATCAATGATGTGAAGAACATGAGTCGTTTCTTGAACGAGTACTTTGGTTATTCGTATGACGATATGGTCATTTTGACCGATGACCAGCGTGAGTTGGCTAGAATTCCTACTAGAGAGAATATCCTTAGAGCCATGCAATGGCTTGTCAAGGACGCCAGACCGAACGATTCGTATTTTTTCCACTTTTCTGGCCACGGTGGTTTGGTTCCTGATGAGGATGGCGATGAAGAGGACGGGTTCGATTCGTGCGTTTACCCTCTTGACTTTGAAAGAGCTGGCCCTATTTTGGATGATACCATGCACGATTTGATGGTCAAGCCATTGCCTCAAGGTTGCCGTTTGACTGCTTTGTACGATGCTTGTCACTCGGGAACTGCCTTGGACTTGCCTTTTGTGTACTCAACAAAGGGTGTGGTGAAAGAACCAAACTTGTGGAAGGACGCTGGTTCGGGCGCCTTGAACGCGTTTATGAACTACGAGCGTGGTGACATCGGTGGAGCTATTTCTGCTGTTAGTGGCATTTTCAAGAAGGTTTCGAACTCCAAGAGCGTGGATCGTGACGCTATCATCAGAAGTAAGATGTCTGCTGCCGATGTTATTTCCATGTCGGGATGTAAAGACGACCAGACCTCTGCTGATGCCAAAGAGGCCGGCCAGAACACCGGTGCCATGAGTTGGGCGTTTATTTCTACATTAAAAGCCACCAACAACCACTCGTACCTTTCGCTTTTGAACCAGATGAGAGACTTGCTTTCTAGAAAGTACTCCCAGAAGCCTCAGTTGAGTTGCTCGCATCCTCAGGACATGAACTTGAAGTTCATCATGTAAGCAGGCCAAATCCATCTGGCTGCCAGATCTCAGCATCGCATTCACAGTCCAGACACTCATCTATACCATTATACGTTGTTCATGACGTCACACCTCCCAAAAAAAAAGTGTCAGTGACGATAAAACACTTCTCGTTCGGTCTAGCCCCACTAAACCATCTTCCCCAGATAGCTTTGAATTGTTTCACCCTTGTTTACATTTTGTGTTCCTTTTTTTCTCTTCTCCCCTCCTTCCTATTCTTAGTCTTGCGGCCTTTCCTCAATACTGCCTCGCTTGCACGCGAATCTGCAACAAAGCCAAATCTCAACAGTAGTAACTACTTCTCCCACAACCCTCCCAACATGGCCGACAACTTCGAGCGGCACAGGTCTACCAGGTGGGTCAAGGCGGACGTGCCTTCCTACGGCGACCAATGGGGCGACGAATACGATAACTACGACAATTATGACCAGGACGTTCCTGAAGATGAGATCGAAAGAAGGGGGACCGAGAAGAGGACATCAGCAACGCCTAATTTGGTGTTATCTATTGATAATGTGGACCATCGGTTTGACTACGATGACGATGACGACTCTGAACAGGCGTATAGCCAGCCGCCTCTGGCGATTTCTGAGCCTAAGGGTGGGTCGTTTAGAGATACTGAAAGCGGTAGACCAGAAGACAGCGAGAGCAGTGACGAGGATGTGTCTTATATTCCAGAGAGTCCGGATAGAGAGAGATTTGAGACTGAGGAGAGCAAGAGCCAGGCTGATTCAGGTTCCAGAAGACCTGAGGCTTTGGATACTTCTGCTACTTCTCTTAAAGATGACTTTGTTCCACCAACACCGACGTTTTCCCAGTCAAACTTTTCAAATAATATGCCTGAGACTCCAGTTTCCGACCGCAGTTTTGTTTCTGACGCTGATTCTATTCAGAGAGAGCCTGAAACGCTTAATGTGGCTGGTCGCTACGATGACAGTTTGAACGAGATCCAGGAAGACCCACAGCTCGAGGGCGCTGCCACGCGTGACTCGGAAAGTGAACCGCGTGGTCGTCCGCTGGAATTGGTTCTCTCGGTTGATAGGTTGAATTTGGAAGATAGCGACTCCTCTGACGACTCTGATTCGCTTCATTTCAACAACGAGGAGAAAGCTCCCACTGCAAGCACTCTTGCTTTGGGCAACCAGGAGCATGATAATTCACAGGCTGATGATAGTGTTGACTCGCCGTTGCACGTTAATCTGCCTGACCTTCCAGGTGAAAGACGTCCTGTCAAGACAGATGCTTTAGACTCCCTCATTGATGATCTTCAAAAAATGGAGAGACTGTCAACTTATGGTGCTAGCTCATCCTCGGTCAACAAGCAGCCTCAGAGTACTCAAGAAAAGGATATGCCTCCACCCCCTCCAGCGAAGGATTCTGAAGAACAAGGCGATGACAATTTGCCTTCTCTTGCTTCGATACATGATATGTCGCTTCCTAATTTTGAAGACCACTCTTTTAGCGACCTGGCTCCCGAGACATCTAATATCCTTGAAGAAATCACTCCGGAACTGCAAGAAGAAGTCCAGAAGGCCCATGAACTGTATGTTTCCCAGCTTCAAGCCCATAATCCTTCGGTGAAGAAGGCGCCTCCTCAGTCGCCTAATATCGACTTAAAACCTAGAGAGTCAGAGACTGAAGCTCCAGTGGAAGCTCCGTCTACGCCCAAGCAGCAACCTCAGGATACCGATCTGTTGAGGGCTTTTGATCCAAATAACCCTTTGCAAATTGGCGTTCCCGTGCTTTCGCCAGAATCAATCTCCACCAAACACCTTTCGGGAGACTTCACTAATATGCCTCTTCAGCCTCCACAACCGCCTAGAGGTCCCGCTGCCGACATGCTGCGCAGAGATTCTACTATGACCACATCCACTTTCAATATGGGTAACTGGAAACCAAACACAAGCATCTACCGTGACCAGTTTGTTAATGATAATGATAATGAATCGCAAATGAACTTCAGTGTCTATAATGGAAAAGACAACTATGACAAGTTTGTGGGAGCACGTTCTTCCCTGGGATATGCCGAGTCCTTCACAAACTCGAGCACATTATCCGTTCCAGAGACAGTTGCCTTGCCTAGTATACACGAAGATACCTCGGACGCCGATCTCACTAGAGATGATGATGATACTTCAGACGATCGCAGTTTCACTCGTTTGGAGAACAGCAGATCTGATGGCGATCTTTCTTTGCCTGGTAAAGACAAGCGTAGTTCAGACGGCTCAATTTTCAAAGAAGAAAAGCTTACTTTGCCAGGCTCTCTTGACCAGTTACCAAAGGACGGTGATATTGACAACAGTGAGAAGTACAAGTCTATCAGCTCTGTTGATTCGAAGAGTGACAACGAGTTACACCAAAAGCCAGAGAGGTCTGGAACGAAACGTCTTGCCAGCTCATCTTCATTTGGTATCAGCAAACCTCCCAAGCAAAAGTATCCTGTTAGTAAGTGGAAGGACTTGACGAGCCACTCACAGCCAGTCGACAGAATTGAAGCGTTCAAGAATGCCAAACAGCGTGAAATTGAGTACGAGTCCGGATTGCAGTATTGGCTTCAGGAAACCTTGCAAAAGACCGAGGTTTCTCCAAACATGCATATCGGAAAGCTTGCAGAACAGGCTTACCAGAACGCTACACACACAGACATTAGAAGACACACATCAATGGCCCTCAATGCAACTAGTCTTCGAAACAAAGTGTCTTTGGTCAAGGATAAAATGGATACTACAGCTGGATTTGGTCGTCGTTTCTTGAACAAAGGTAAGAAGCTCATGAAGTCGTGAGATGGGTCGCGATGATAGATATAGGGAAATTTAAAGTTATATGGACACAAATAGTATACGTAATCAAAAGAACACAACAAAGAGGAAAAAAATTAGGCAATGTAAACCTTGATAATAGTTAAAAAGAAACAGAAGCAAAAAAGAAGCTCCGAGACGGGGAATTGAACCCCGGTCTACCACGCGACAAGCGGTAATTCTAGCCACTAAACTATCTCGGACTTTAATTGATTTTATTGAAATTTGGTAAGCTATATAATTTGTTTTCATTAGAGCTAAATAATCTTAAGTTTTTACTTTTTTAGTAGTTTGATTATATTTACAAAATTATTTTGAAGGAATCTCAGCCACAAATACCGATTTTTGAGCGATTTATTCTATTTTTTCTATATTTCCGACGTCTTCACCAGTGAAGCGACCACAATATCTCTTTTTAATGAAGCAGAGTCAACACGAACGCTCTCTACTTCTACTCCCTTGTCCTGAGCACCTTTAAGCATATTGCTACCTTCTGGAGGCCAGATCCAGCAGACCAAAATGTACAAAACGAAAGGAATCACAAATGCAAATATAACGTTGCCGAAATAGAAGTTTTCAAGGCCCTGAAGTGTTCCATGTACAGCCTTAGACTCAACACTGATGAGTCCTGGTAAGCTAGGGACCACACTAACTATCCAAACAACAATAGCCCTGATATTGAAGCCCTTGGTATAGAAGAACGTGCCATCTTCTCGAGCAGTATAAAGATCGTCTATGGGCAATTCCATACGTCGGACGACAATGAAATCAGCAATCTGAAGGGCTATCAATGGCGTAGCCACGACCCCAAAAGAGCTCATTACGTCAAGGAATGTAGAAGAGCTCCAGAAAAACTTCCAAGGTTGGACAGCCCAGGAAAGCAAAGCTGTGAGGTAAGCACCACGGCGGATGTTAATGTATTTTGGGAGAAGGCCAGCCATCTCCATGCCTCCAGCAATGCCATTAGCGACAATGTTGAATGAAAGTTGTGATATCGAAAAAGCCAAGCCAAAGATCACTGCCATAGCTCTGTTTGCTGGTGAGTATTCGATATGAAGCCACCTAAGAACAATGGTTGTGGGTAGCCAGAACATCTTATTATATTTCAGCAACGTAGACGAAGCGCAAAGAAGACCAGCTAATGGCACAAAAGTTCCTGTTATCAAGATGGCCGAGGTGATTCCAAAACACATCTTCTTGGGCGAGGCTGCAAAGCGAGAGAAGTCATTATGGTTGAGCACTTCAGGCGAGATGGCACCGTACCAGATCAGCATGGCATAGAGCCAAGCCCAGCCGTAGCCGTCACCAGTAAGGCCCAGGTCCAGGTTTATCAAGCCCACAGAGCCACCGTTATCGGATATGCAAAGAGCCAAGATCGCTATGAAGCATATCAAAGTGAAACCACATGACGATATCAACAAGGCATTGAACAGCTCAGGCTTCATATACAAAAAGCATGCCTGGACCACCAGAAACACCACAAAGCCAATAAAGTCTCGTAGTTTCATTTGGGCGCTTTCTGGGAACGTAGGAGGCATATCCAAGAAGCTCTTGCTGAACCCAGATATGATAAGCGATACCAGAACACCGCCTAGCCATGACTGGGCACCGTAGAACACTATCGAAAGCACTATCCTGATAATGATACCAATAAACGACCCCCTAATCCCAAATAGCATTCTCTGGGAAAGTGGAAACCCAATATGGTATTTCGTCCCTGGCAACGAATTGAGGCATGTATAAGCAATAATCAAGACATTGGCGATAGTGATAGCACCCATAATCGCCGGCACCTTCAACCCCACAGCCACCAAAGCACCACCCGTGCTCCACGTCCATATCGTAGCGTTCGGCACACCCCAGTACCCAAAGTACGAAAAGAACCCCCAGCTTCGTTTCTCCACGGGTACTGGTTCTAGATCAGGGTTCACCAAGAACGAGATCTCCTCGTCTCCCTCACACGGCACCTCACACCATTTCGAGATTCTCTTCCAGGGTGGCATAAACAAGAGATATCAGTAAGTAGTACCAGAAAAGAGTGGTTTGTCCAGATCACCACCTTTCATTGACACATGGGTGTGGATGCACAGGCGTTGAAGGCAGTGCGGCTGAGGCAGGGTAATCGGTAACGAGTACAGATTTGTGAAGGACGGTAGGCTGGGCTGGGTGCAGTGCTGCATGGGTAGAGGCAGGCAGGCGTTTTGCGCCCATTTCGCCCATTGGGCTGGATTCTGGTTTGTGATAGGTTGCATTGGGTTAGGGAGATTACGGGCGGTTGAAGCAGGTCGTAACAGTGCATCTAGATTAGATATGTACTAACGTAAGGGGTATCAATGTGGAAAATAAGCTCTTTTATACAAAACCAGGTGGAAGATGCCTGGAGAAAGGTTGTTTTAAGCGAAAGTGGTAAAAAGTTCCAGGACCAAGACGGTGCAAAAAAGGAATTAACGAAAGACTAAGTCAGTGACTTAGAAGAATGGCAAGGCCATCAAGATAGCAGCCATACCCAAACCGGCAGTGTTCACAGCAGCAGCACCCTCAAATGTGCTGACAGCTGGAGCTGGAGGAGCAGAAGAGACTGGCTGGGTCTGGACTGGGGCAACAGTGGTTGGAGTCACCTTGACAGAGCTCTTTGGAGCGTCGGCAACTGGCTTGGTCTCCTTTGGCTGCTCCTGGGAAAGAGTCTTGGTGATGGTGACATCAACAGTCTTGGTGCCAGAAACGCTCTTGGAGGTGACAACGTCAATGGTCTCGGTGCAAGTAGAGACGTAGACGGTCTCGACCTTGTCAACGGTGGTGGTGATCTGGGTGGTGGAAAGTTCGTAGGTCTTGCACTTGTCCTCGATACACTCGGTGACGGTGATGCATTCTGGCTCGGCAGTGACGGTAGTGGTCTTAGGAGCCTTAGTCACGGTGGACAAGACTTCAGTGCACTTTTGGTCGTCGCAAGAGGTGATGGTCACGATCTCGGTGTGGTTGTTAGTCTTGGTGACAACTGGAACCACAGTGGACTCGGACTCAACACACTTGTTCTCGTCACAAGAAGTGATGGTGACAATCTCGCTGTGCTCGTTGGTGGCAGTGACGGTGGACTGGATCTCGGAGCACTTGTCGTCAGAGCAGGAGGTGATGGTGACAACCTCGCTGTGGGTGTTCGAGACGGTAACCTCAGCGGGGTCAGAGACAGCTGGAGCCTCGTCAGAGACAGCTGGAGCGTCAGCGGAAGCAGAAGCAGACTCAGACTCAATTGGCGCAGCATCAGAAGATGGCTCAGAAGATGGAGTAGCAATAATTGGAACGGAAATAATGACATCGCTAGAAGAAGCTGGAGCCTCACCGGATGGAGTAGCAATGACTGGGACAGAGATGATGACGTCGCTGGAAGAAGCTGGAGCCTCGCTGGCAGTAGCATCACGAGCAGCGTCCAAGGCCTCCATCAAAGCAGTGTTGATGTTCCATTCTGGGAAGGTGGTGATACCAGCATCCTTACAGACACCGAAAGCCAAGTCAGTAGCGACCTTGACGTCGTTACCCTGACAAGCTTCAGCGATACACTGAGCAACCTTGTAAGAGAAGGTTGGGATCACACAGAGACAACCAGCGTCCCAGTATGGGCATGGAGTGGAAGAAGTAGACTGGCTCACACAAGACTTGGCACACTCTGGCATTTCACCGTAGATTGGGTCAGCGAAACCGTTGATGGAAGCAGAACGAACGAAAACGGAAGAAGTGGAGGAGGAAGTAGCCTCTTCAGAGCTCACTGCTGGAGAACTGGTGATGGCTGGAGACGAAGACTCAGCAGAAGATGGAGCGTCAGAAGCGGTTGGCTCAGCTTGGGATGGCTGCTCCTCAGAAGGAGTAGGCTCAGCAACAGAAGAGGTGGTCTCGACCTCAGTCTCAGCAGCAGCAGACTGCAACATGGTGGTGTACTTGTCAGCGACAATGAAGTATGGCTCCCAGACACCCACAACGGAACACTGGGAGATAGCCAAGGAGGTGGCAAGGTCAACATCCTTACCCTTACAGTTGTTGGCAATACACTCAGCAACTGGCTCAGTCCATGGCTGCATGACACAGAGACAGCCAGTGTCCCAGTAAGGACAAGGAGTGTTGGAGGTGGATCTGGCGAAACATGGCTGGGCACACTCTGGCAACTGGTCGTTGATAGGGTCAGCGAGACCGTTAATGGAAGCGGTCTTTGGGACTGGTGGGTAAGTCTCGTATGGGTTGTCAGCTGCGAGAGCGACAGCCATAAGACTGGCAATGGTTGCAAACTTCAACATTATTAAAACGAGTGTAAAGAATCCGAAGATGGAGAGAAAAGAAGAGGGAAGAGAGAGGGAAAAAGGTCTTGGTTTTATAGCTGGCAGGCCTGGCAGCTACTCTTTTTTTTTTTTTTTTCAGTGACGCTAAATTGGACTTCCAGCACGGTTTTTTTTGCGGCCTAACAATACCTCGTATGTTTACATTTATGCATGGCCCATGCATAAGCGCGAGAACTAACCCAAGCACTGAGACCGATTCGGCTCGGGTTTACCTGAAAGCTTGATATTCCCAAACGAGCCGCACCCGATCCCATCTTGGGAACTTCGTTTGGTGTTTCACTGGCTACAGGTTCAAATCGGCTGGTCTGGCAGCGTTTGTGTGTCGTTTAACCTTTTTCCCAAACCATATTTCCACTGACCGGTATTATCGGTGGTTTCCTGCTTCGTCAACTGACTTTACACCCATGCACAGGGTTCCCTCTGAGGTAGTGATTGGACCCATTACGATGCGTGCTGCATGTACGGCGCGTGCTACAAACCGTGTACACTCATATCTATTTGATCAATTTGCGACTGTGCTGGGTGCTGGCTGGAACCCAAGCGGTGTTTCTGCAAAAGCGGTTAAAGCTGTTTCGCTTAGGGGGTTGTTAGGAGCCCCCCGTAGATAACCTGACCTCTCATTCCCTCCCTCTCCCTCTCCCTCCCTCCCATAATGTCATTCTCTCCCTGGGTCCAGTTTCACTGGCCGCAGAGTTTTCCACGCGGCCATGAATGCACTATTGTATAGATCGCCTTGCCAAGAAGTGCCAAACGCACTATGAAGAAGCGAGTCGCTAACTTCCGAGGCTTTGACCAACTTACATAGGGTTTTTTTTGCTAACCCTATTATACCTTGTACCGATAATGCCGTTGCTGCTGGAAAGAAGAGGTAAGGGGTGGGCGCTACGACCGTTGGGTAAGGAGTAACTCCCTCTTGCTTTAGTACTTGCTACGCTTTTTTCCGATGCACATCCGTTTCAGTATACCCTGTTTGTTTACACATTGGCAGCGTGATTTTTCGGGTCGGGGTTGGAGTTCTTTTAGATACCCCGATATGTCCCGCAGGATGCGAGGAAAAAAAAAAAAAATTTACGATGCCGAAAATCGGGCACATAAAGGGTTGTCTATGGCCCGTAGTGACATGGAATGGAGATATCGAAAAGATCTATGATTGCTTGGATGGGGGACGAGTTTGGGGGTATTTTGGGGATTGTTTTTGGGGAGAGAGTAGGTTTATTTAGGGGGTCTTCAGTGGATCTTCTTGGTTGTATGGTTGGGGGCTTTGTCGCTTGGTGCTTTTGTGATTTGGGGTATAAAGAAGAAGCTGCTGTGCTTCAGCTTACGATGCAAATAGATGGAAAAGATTAATGCTGGGGTTTGCCTCTTTTCGATCGGTTTTGACTGTTTTCGGTCGTATCATCGTGGCTGCATCGATCTCTAAAACAACTCCCCATTGTTTCTGTTTGCAGACGGCTCCGAACCATCTCATGTAGATTCTAGCCTATAGGAAGATAGAAGTAGTGCCTATAAGGGCTTCCTTTGCCATTTCGAAGGAAGTTGGAGTCAGGGCTTCCGTGCCCTGGTCTAAAAAAAAAAAATACGAATCCGTTCATGTGCTCTAGATGGAACTGATATGGAATAGCATATGGTTCTGTGGCAAGATCTGGCGTCACTTTTCCGCAAGTTTTAAAGGAATCTATGGGTAATTTGTGGGATACTAATTTCCCACGAGGATGAACAATCAGATCAGCTTCGGCTGTAAAGGGTGGTGCCAGGTTGGTCTGGAACGTGCCAACATCTTCTTTGTTTCCACCTAGGGGGCTAAACGATTTCTGGGTCGTACTTCTTAATGTTCATGATTGGTCATGGGAAGCTTTTGTGGAACTGTAGACATTGCTTTGTGTTCAACGGATTTTCTTTACTCCGATTAAGATTCCGATGAACTCATATCAGGAAGAGTGGAGCAATTAAAGTTGGCCAGCCGGAGAGAATGTTGGAATTCCACAAGAAAACATTTCTGGAAGAAATGGTCGGCTTTGTTTAGCGTAAACTGTGTGGCATGTTCAGTAAAACCATTAATCAACAACTACTCGTTCCGTAGCCCTCCAGTAAACCTAAACGAGAAGCCCCAGCCAAGAAAGCAAGTGTAATTGGCTTTATGTTTTGCTTTCTGTACATTGTTTACACTTTTCGATTTTTGTGACGATGTTTAGGTTTTTCCAATATATGTTGCACGCTCACAAAACTTGTGGATCACAGAACTTCCCCTTATTTATCTCCAGACCGCCATTCTTTCCGTACATCCAAAAAAAGCACAAAGAGAAAATGATGAAAATCTAACAAGAGCTCCAAACACAGTTCTACATGCCCAAGGCGTGGCCAGATCTAAGTGAGGGATACACTTAGGCCATACACACACAAGAGTCTACACCACATTGCCATCCCGTAAATCCTATGGGCAGCCCTTCCTGATCCCCAATAAGGTTCTCCAGGGCCAACATACTTCCGTTCTCGCCGGCTAGAAGCAACCAAAGTGCACCCACATTACTGGAAATGCCCTGGTTTACTCCAACTCCAATACAACCAAAGAAGGGTCCCAGAAGCGGAATCTCCAAGTACATTTCCGGCCTAAGCCATTCGTTTTACCCTCTCTTTAGGTGGAGACTCAAGGCATCTAAGGCACACAGTATAGTCTCTCTCATCTTTTTCCTTATCATTGTTCGTCCTAATGTGGACGCCCGCCCTTATAAATGGCTGATCCACTACCCATGTCCCCACACCCCTTTACCTTAAACACAGAAGATGGGCAAACTGTGGGGCCCACGGTCACTGCTAACGGAATTACCTCTGATCAAAGAGAACCTCCAGAAGTGAGAATTACAAAATATCTGAAGAAAACTGCTTTCAAAATACGTCAAATGCACCCATAACGTATGCGTTTACACATTTATGCGCTTATAAAGTGAAGCCCATAACAACCCTCACCAATTGGTCCGTCCTGGCAGGGTCCACTACCCTATATAGTGTATTCCGCGCGATAAGATAAGCATTCCGACAAATTGGGTAAGCTGCGGGTGCCGAGAGCAATGGTGGGCTCTGCGGCTCACTTTGGCAGAGTATAGATAGTCTGGGCCATTGGCACTTTGGAAAGTTCTTCCCCTAACTTTACAATGCCAGTTGAAGCTATCAAATACGTTACAAAGGTCGACTTGAGCAAGTCTGGCGACGAGCAACCCCAAGTCCATAACAGATGGCATCCCGATGTGCCATTCACAGAGACGATAAAGCCAGGGGAGGTGGTGAAGGCAGAGTGCCTTGACTGGACGGGGAATCAGATTGGAAATAACGATAGTGCTGACGATTTACGCCATGTGGACTTGACAAGGATCCATTACTTGTCTGGGCCATATAATGTGGAGGGAGCTGAGCCTGGCGATGCCTTGGTGGTTGAAATAAAGGACGTGCAGCCTTTGGAGAGACAGCCTTGGGGGTACAGTGGTGTGTTCCATAAGACTAATGGCGGTGGGTTCTTGGACAGGTTCTATGAACAATGCGCCAAAGCTATCTTTGACTTCAACGGTATCCATGCTACCTCGAGACATATTCCCCATGTGAAGTTTACTGGGTTGGTTCATCCAGGCATCATGGGAACAGCTCCATCAGCAGAGGTGTTGAAAGAGTGGAATACCAGAGAGAAGCTGTTGGTGGACGAGATCCAGTCCCAACACGATACTCCCGTTGCTCAATTGCCAAAAACAGACGGAGCCAATTGTGGTTCTGCAACAGGTAAACTCAAGGATCTCATTGCAAAAGAAGGTGCAAGAACGATCCCTGGCAGACCAGAGCATGGCGGTAATTGTGATATCAAGAACCTTTCTCGTGGCTCCAAATGCTACTTCCCAGTGTACGTCAAGGGCGCCAAGTTCTCCATTGGAGACTTGCACTTCTCCCAGGGAGACGGCGAGATTTCTTTCTGTGGTGCAATTGAAATGGCAGGCGTTGTCACTTTATCGTTTTCTATCATCAAAGATGGTATAAAGAAGATGGCATTGAAGTCTCCTTTATTTATGCCTGGTGATGTTCAGAACCATTATGGTCCTTCCAGGTTCCTAACCTTCGAAGGGTTCTCGGTCGACGAAAAGGGTAAGCAGCTCCATTTGTGTGCAACAACAGCATACCGTCAGGCATGTATCCGAGTCATCGAGTACTTGAGAAGGTTTGGATACAATGACTACCAAATCTATATCTTTTTGTCTTGTGCACCAATTGAAGGACACTTGGCAGGTGTTGTGGACGTCCCCAACGCCTGTACGACATTAGGGCTTCCAATGGACGTTTTTGACTTTGATGTCAGTCCAGAAGCAGAGATTCAAAAGAGAGACATGGGAAACTGTGCTTTCGTTCTGGGCTACGACCACCCAGTCCATTTCGACTTTGACTCTATCAGAGAGCAAAAATAGGTTAGTAAGAGTTTGTCGGTTTTCAAGACATTTGTAGAATAAGTAGAAGTAGAAGAAAAGGAGTAAAACTACCCAAGAAGTGCCATTGTTGGCTAGATCAAGCTTCGAGATCTGCGAGTGAAGGTCTATATGAAACCTTCTAGCCGCATAAGTCTAACTACCAATCAACGGTTTCACCTCTACGACTCATGTCAAATCCCATCAAAGTATCTACGGCAAATTGCACCCATGCATGTTCCGTACGGCAACCTTTGACAGCACGTCAAGTGTGCATGTATTAGAAGAGACAGATGCACGGCATTTGACAAATGAGATCTTTTACCGACCGTATACGCATAAAAAAAGCAGAGATGAGGTCTCTAAGCCATCAAGGATCGTTGAGAAAATTGGAGGCTTCAAGTGGATAGGCAGGAATAGTTGGTTCAAGAAATGGTTGGTTTCTCCAGAAGGGGATCCTTGGAATGCACTTCAAAGCATGTAGAAGCATAAAGGAAGTGGTCCAGCCAGGACCGTTATCGGCCCGACTATCCAATAACAAACCGTTGGAAACTGCAAAAAAAGGAAGTTATGCCAAGAAGACTCTTGGAGGCTGTCAATGCGAAAATGCTTGATTTGTTGGCCGCCTCAGCCTCATCGATTGTGGATGGGACTTCTAGAGTACACCGTTTAAGCCCTGGAAGACAATACAGTTGGGGAGGAGGAAGGTGGAATTTCGTAGATTTTTGGCTGCTCTTTTACAGTTCAAATATATAAACTTTGGTCTATTCCGTCTAGACGGACTTCGGCATTTGGTGGTTATGTTGATCTGATCAGGGCACTTGGCGGCATCGGTCCTTTTCGACACAAAAAGGTACCTTTTTGCATGAACAAAGAGGTACCGAAAGAGGGACCGAAAGAGGAGATGTGGGATGCATTGACGTATTGAATATTTTTTCTTTTCCCTTTCATATGCATCACAGAGGGCATCACCACTTATAAGATGTGGTACCCACTTCGTTATCTTTTCCATCGTTATCTTTTTCATCAATGAGCGACGGTCTGAAGAGAGACAGTCTTGAGGTCGACAAGAGGGTCACTGGCTCTGAGACGTTTACTAGGGAAGACACTTCTAAGGATCAGGACGTTGCAGTTAAATCGTTTGGTGTTAAGAAGTCTGAGCTTCTAGCTCAACAGTGCTCGAATGTTTGGTTCAGAGCGTTCTTTGCGTTTGCCATTTATTTATGTGCGTTTGCGTACTCCTTGGATGGTAATACCAGGTATGTCTTCCAGACCAGAGCTACGGCTTCCTATGACCAGCACTCGCTTCTTTCTACTATCAACGTGATTAGGAGTGTGGCTGCAGCAGCTTCACAGCCGGTTTATGCTAGACTTTCCGATGTGATTGGTCGTTTGGAGTTGACTATAGTGTCTATCATCTTCTATTCCATGGGAACAGTCATCGAGTCTCAGGCTTATGATATTCAGAGATTTGCTGCTGGATCTGTCTTCTACCAGGTCGGCTACTCGGGAATCATTCTCATGTTGGAGATTCTTGTGGCTGACCTTTCTACTATGAACTGGAGACTTTTGGCAATGCTTGTCCCTACTTTACCATTTCTAAAGATTACCTGGTTCAGTGGAAATGTTACAGAAGCTTTGAACAAGCACCACTCGTGGAATTACGCCATTGGTATTTGGGCTTTCATCTTTCCACTCTGTTCTTTGCCAATTTTGGGGTGTATGATCTACATGCGTTGGCAGGCTTCGAAGACTGATGAATGGAAACAAGTCAACCAAGAAGAGCACGATAGTCATGTCGCTGCAAATGCCCATGCTAAGCCTTACCAGGATAAGCTTCTTCATACCGAGGGCTTTGTTTCAAGAACCTTGCTCAAAACTCGTATCTTTTTCATCAAATCTCGCTATGTAACGGTGGACCTCTTCTGGAGACTCGATATCATCGGCGTCATATTTGTTATCTGTATCTTTGGGTTCATCTTGGTGCCTTTAACCATTTCTGGTGGTACACAGAGCTCATGGGCAAAGGCAAGTTCTATTGTTCCTCTTGTCATTGGAGTTGTGCTCATTCCACTTTTCGTGCTTTGGGAAGGTAAGTTTGCCAAAGAGCCTATCCTTCCCTACAAGCTTTTGAAAGAGCGTGGTGTTTGGGCTGCTCTTATCATCAGTACCTTGATTAACTTTGTTTCCACAATGCCTGACGAGTACTTATATTCTGTTCTTATGATAGGAATGGGTGCTTCAGATAAGGCAGCTACAAGAATCCTTTCCTTGTCTTCCTTTGTGGGTACCGTAGTGGCACCTATCGTCGCTATAGTCATTATCTTTGTGAAGCGCAATAAACCATTTATTATCTTTGGCTGCTGTGTCTGGTTTGCTTCTATGGGTATGTTCTACCATTACAGAGGTGATAATAATGGTCTTCAAAGACAATACTATATTGATGGAGTGATTGCAGCCAAATGTGTCATGGGTTTTGGAACTGGTTTCTTTACTTACAACGTCATGTTGTCTATTCAAACATGTACCAACCATGAGTACATGGCTGTTTTAATTGCACTCTCCTTAGCAGTTTACAACATTGGTCTTGGGTTAGGTGCTGCTGTAAGTGGTGCTATTTGGACACAGCAGTTGTATGGCGCCATTGAGTCTGAAATGAAGAAGCTAGGCTTGGATACTGAATTAGCAACTGCAGCTTACAGCGACCCCTTTTCCTTCATTAAAGAATACGGGTGGGGAACTCAGCCTAGAATAGCTGTTGTGCTTGCGTATGCTAAGATCCAGCGTAAATTGATTATTGCTGGACTCGTGCTTTGTGTTCCACTTGTGGCAGCTTCTTTGTGCTTGAGAAACCATAAGTTGTTGCCTGTTTACCATATGGGAGAGGTAACGAAGGAAGAGGCCGAAAGAGAAGGAAAGACCGTGGTTGTTGTGAACAAATACGACGATGACCCTATTGTTAACTTCTTCAAGAAGCTCATAGGCCGTGGGAAGAAGACGGATTCGGAAGTTTAAGATATAATACCTACCTTGACATTTGTAAATAATACACTTATAATCTCATAAAGTTGATTTCTTTGTCGTATAAAAACTATAAGCCCTTCAAATTCCTGAAACTAGTCAGCTAGTGTCTGATTTAGACTTCCAGTGAACTTCTTCGACTTCGTCAGCCTCGACGGAATTATCGGTATGATCAGATTGGTCAGAGTGTCCTGAGTGGACTTCTGCCTTTTCTTGCCGAAAGAGAAGCTTCCTCGTGATAGCCTTCATCGATGACCAACCTTGTACTAAGGGTAATATAGTGATGTAAAGAGCTGCTATCACTGCCCATATGAGAAGGATTATAATAAAAGCGGTAAATGAGCTCTTACTGAAATCACCAAGTCCATACAAAACACAAGGGACAAGCACATATGGAATAAGCAAGATGAACAAGTTCACGGCAACACAGGCCCATTCTTGTCTCTTCAAAACACGCCGAGCTTGTGCAGATATCTCCAAGCCATTGACAATCTCTTCATCAACATCATCACCAGCCTTAAAGCTGGCCTGAAATTTATCCATATCAAAAGGCTCCTTGTCTGGCTTCAAAAGTGAAATCACAGTGATGTAAATCGGTGCAGAGAAAATAGCTGCAATGTTTCCAATGAAAGTAGCTTTCAGGATCATAAGTGTCTCCTTATTGACAGAGCCTTCTCCAAGGCGATGAGCAGAAGCTATCCAGCTGACAACTCCTGTCACAGTGCCTAGTGGAGCTCCAATGACTAGACCTAGTCTTGTCATGCGTTTCCAGTAAAGCGTCAATATAATAGCACTGACTTCTGGAGTCAAAACTATACCCAAGAAGCTCAATATCCAGCTCACAGTGACACCCACATAATTCAAAACGGTTGCCAAAGATGCCATAAATATGCCAAATAGTATGACTGAAGTATGGGCTGCAAAGACAAGCTGCTTTCCAGAAGCGTCTGGTTTGAAGTATGTTCTGTAAATGTCGTAGGTTGTGACTGACGAAAAGGCAATAAGCTCAGCGGAAGTAGCTGATGTTACCGACATGAAAAGCATAGCCAATCCAGCAGCTGCACCCTTTTTCCCAAATATTGCAGCCATCCCATATATCACTGGTAAGCCAGCTCCCACTTCAAAGTCAGTGAGTGGATTTGGGTAAGTGACCGATACTGGGTTGGTAAGAAGAGCTCTGCAAGCCAAGCCAGCCGCCAGCCCTAATGCTACTGGAATGATCCACCAGCAAATGCCTCCCATAAGGTATCCCTCAAAGACTTCAGCAGGGTGTGCTGCTATAGCTCTCTGAGAGTATCCTGGGTCACCAAAAACAGAGCCAAATCCACCCAAGGTAACGGACCATGAAAGATAGAACATCTCTGGATCTTTGAATGAGAGGTAGCTCTCGCCTGTGGCAGAAGGAAACGCTTCTTGGGCCTCTTTCAACAAATCGTACATCCTTCCTGGTGACCCAATCAATGAAGAAGACCCATAGACTGTAAAGCAGGTTGCAAGTAAGATACCATAGATAATAACCGTATGGATCCAGTCAGATACAAAGGTAGCCTTTAAACCTCCAAGTGCAGTGTATACCATGACACCCAAAGGCAAAAGGAACGAAGCAGCAACGGTATGCATCCCAGTAGTTGTAGCAAAGCCCTGTGAACCACCCAAAAGAAGTAAAGAAGAAATGAGTATGTTGGTAGCCATACAATAGCACAAGAACACAACATGTCCAGGCATACCATACCTCAAATAAAAGCATTCTGAAAGCGTATGAGCAGCAGGAGCTTTCCTCTTAAGCTGGATAGCTAAGAACATAAATAAGGTAATCTGGATTGTCCCTCCAATACCATAGAAGTAACCTCCACTCACACCATGCGAGTAGCTCCAAGCACCTGAAGAAAGCAAAGTTGCAGGCCATGTCCAAGCAGACACTGTACTCGAGGAAATAAGACCAGCCTTGACATTTCTCGAGGCAGTAGAGAAACGTTCTGAGTTTTGTACCTGGCCTAGAAAGCGAGATAGTACCCTGGTGATCAGAGCCATAATCAACGCAAAAGCTGCGCCTAAGCCAATTGCAAATCCATAGCCGTATGACTGGCTAAGGATGGGATCCGACATCCTTGTTGGTAAAAGTAGTCATATCCTCCAATGGGGACCAATCTTTATATATTTCAAGACCATAATTACGGATGCTATGCGACAAGGCTTATCAGTCCACAGATAAGCCTTGCTCGATGCGGTATCCCGAGAGCCCGTAATTTGGGAACAATGCGTTCGGAACAGTTCTTCCATTGGTGTATCGTCGCTTGCTGGTAGAAAGCTGGCGAAGCATTGTGTGTTGTACCTCACATACCGATGGTCTTATCTTGGCTGTTTGGAAGGGGAATTGGTGATTGGAAGGTGGAGGGGGGTCTAAAAAGCTAGAGGTTTCGGATTACCTGTTATGTAGAGCTTTTAGATAGACTTTATTGGCGGTTAGGTGCATCTATGGAGGAGGCCAAGTCCCGTAGTTGATGATGATGGTGGTTGGCCTGTGAGTATTCAATGTTGAGGCTGTATTGGCCGATGGTAAGCGGGGAGACAGATAAAGAGGAGTAATTTGGCACGTTTTTTGTTACTTTTTTGATAAAAATGTGATATGGAAACCCGAGTAGTATCATGTTGTTGATGGTTCACAGTTAGATAGATCAGCACTCTCGCATATAATAAAACGATAACGGTTAGTTGGGCATTATTGTAAGAGGGGATGTTGGATTTAGTAATTCTAAGGTTTTATTGGAAAACAGCTTGTATAGGTAGTATCCAAAAGAGCTGTTTTGGCCTTTACGGTCCTCAGATACGAGCATCCAGCATAGAAATACACTAAAATATACAACAGCCACCCCGACATTCACTCTTTAACTCAATAAAAAGACCTTAAAATGTACTTGATCCCCTTGCTTTGTTCCTTGTTCTCGACCACAATCCAAATAATATCACACACAGAGGCCTCTTATTCGTGGATTGATGCACCACTCTCCCATTACAATCACCAGCCCTACTATGCGTTGTTCCATGATGCGACGCCAGATCGAGCGTTTGTCCCAAAGAAGCCATTATGTCATCTTTTGACACCATTCATCACCAATGCACATAAACTTGTCATTGAGTCTTTGTCTTCTGGATCTTTGAGACACCATCGAAGATCATTCATATGAACCCGTCTTCCAGCGGATGTTCGAATATCAGTGCCGGTCCAAACACCACAAAACGGATTTAGTTAGACCCGTAACAGAAATTAAACTTTTTTGTCAGCCATAGAGTATACACTTTTCGCCCCAAGGCTTATCGCCGTCCTGGCCCATTATGTCCGCACCGCTAAGCTACCAGTAATTAAGGCACATGCCGAGGCAAGTGAACACTTTGAATAGGTTGGAGTTCATGTGGGCTTCTTTGATGATTGTGTGGTAGTCAAAAATGCATATGAAACTTCCCGTTCACATGTGGCTCCATCGATGGAATATATGTACCAGCAGTTCCCCATAGATCATCAACTTCACCACTCATCATGCAATTAAACTTCTTTCTTGTTTCCCAGAACGATAAGCCTTTCCCAGGCTACGACTTCCAAAGCAACTCCTTCAGCGCCTCGAAGGTTTACAGACACGGATACGGAATCCTGTTGAATGTCGAGGGTAAGGTCTCGCTTATTCATGCTGCTGAGGAGGCTGCCGACTACTACCTGAGAAAGTTTTCGAACGAGAGAAGACTCCAGGTGTTGGGAGTTCGTACTAATAACTTCTTTGATCTTATTGACTTGGACTCCACATTGAACCACTACTTCTCAGATGGTGATACTGTGGTTGTGACTGTTGACCGCAGACCCAACTATAAGAGCCCTATTCCTGCTATTTTGAAGGCGTTGACCTGGCTCAGCTTCATTCACGTTGTTCATGTTGCTATTGTTAGTTTGGTTGTAATCTTTGGTGTGAGAAACCGTTTCTTTATTGGTAACCTCATCCAACAGATATATAACTTGTGAGATATTTGCAATAAACTTTGATTTCCCTACGACAATGTAAAATAATCCTTTTTTTGTCCTGATATATCCCTAATCAGCTTTTATAATTATAAAGCAACCTACCCTGGTTTGCCCTGCAACAGAGGTGAATTAGATAATTAACTATCCTGAGCCTCTAAAATAACACTCAGACTTGCGGGAAGTTATCAAGCTTCGCTTTTCCGCTTTCTATCCATTTTGGATCCACCAACTTGTCTCTGTCCTTGCATGCTACCTTGAAGGCTGTTTTGATAGTACCGTCGCTCACACCCGTCTTGCTACCAATCTTTGCTGGGGTGATTTGAGCATCGAAAAGCAAGCACGCAAAGTAAATCACGGTAGCCGCCACAGTAATAGGCAGTCGACCCGCTAAGATACCCTCGTCCGAACATTTTCTTGCAATAGCCTCAGCAGCATTGGTAACATCCATATTCAAACCAAGATGAGAGCAGAATCTTCTGATCAAAACATCCGAAGAAGACAGAATAGCCTGCTCGCTGTCCTTGATGAATGAATAAGCATTTGGGTCGGCATGACTCTTTTCCCTCAAAATTTGCATGACAATCTTAAACACCTTACCTGTAGTTTTAATGGGAACGTTTGTAAGAGCCCAAATCTCCTTCAAAGAACGAGAGAGCTTGGCCATCTTGCATCCTAAGTAAATAGCTGCAGCCATGATCGACTCCTGGGACTTACCCTTAAGACGCTTCTCCTCGTATACTATCTTGTAAACTTCTTTTGCACCATCAACCACAATCTTCGGTAGTTGAATGGCATCGCACATTTGAGAGATTTTGGTGAAGGCAGCCAACAAGGCGTTATCCTTCTTATCCACCAAAGACTTGGCCTGGGCTCTGTTTAAGTCTCTTCCGGTTCTCACATTCTCTGGGACATATGAAATCATCGTGGATAAATTCTCAGTATCCAAAAGAGGGTTTCCAGCATCTCCCACACGGCTAGGGTCGTCACCGTTCTGGTCATCGTTACTGAAGGTTCTCCACTCGGATCTCGTATCCACTACACGATCACTAAGCACAAAACCACAGTCACCGCAGACAATATCACCCTCACTAAACCTCTCTATTAGATTTGGTGGGTATGTCTTGCAGTCTGGGCACATGAGTGTAACATTCAAATTTGGGCCTTTGAAAGGCTCATCTTGTTTGACAGCCAGGGAATCCATCTTGGCTGTAACAGGTGAATGTATGGAGTCAGGAGAACGGGATATGTGCGATAAATGAAGACGAGGATGAAATAGAAGACGTATGTGTGATACTCTTCTTTTCCTTATGTTCCTGTTCTTGATTTCTTTTCCGAGTGTTATCCAATCCTTACTAATGCCTCTGGTACGCGCACTACCGGGGGCTGCCATAGTATAAGGAAAGTATAGAAGAACAACTGCCACGTAGTCTAAAGAGCAGCTTTTGGGTGGAATTTGGGTTACTTGTAGCTGACACCAAGTAATTTAAGAGTTGTTTTTGATATCATGTCTTGGTAGCCTTATCACACAACATGGCCTCTTGTAGAGCTCTAGCTACCTCTATGGCAGTTCATAGTGCCAGAGAAGCCTGAAAGTTAACATTGTGGGAGCAAAAGTACCATCCCTTAATTCAACCCCCAAAATGAGTTTCATCCAGCAGCGGATGGCGTTTCCAAAAGAAGAGTGAAATGGGACCACTTATCACCAAGTACGATGGTGCAGTACATTTTCACGAAATCACTCCTACTACTACTACTCATCGCTATAACGCCCCCACCCCACAAATGTATGCTGAATTGGTGGAGCCGGCATTCATTGAGACGGACTCTTACCTCATGTTCAGGCTAGCCCAGGAGAAGAAAGACATTGATGTCGCTTTCAGATATGTGGATTGGCTAGACAAGGAGTATGGCCTATTTGAAGCGAAGACCTCGGAGTTGGAACGGATTATGACCTTTGTCATGAAAAGGCAAAGCGTGCTTATTTCCATTGACGTTGAAGCTTCCGAGAGAAACGGAAAGGAGATCACAGAGATTGGCATTTCGCTATATAACCCTGAGAATCAGCAGGGGAGCTTGGTACCTTTCATACAGCTGGCTCACATCATCATCTTGGAAAACCAGCATATGAGGAATAAGAAGTTTATGCCTGACCATGTAGACTTCTTCAATGGCGGCGAGAGTTTGATCATGTCAAAGAAAGACGCCAAGGAGGCCATCAGTCTCGTTTTTAACGACTACCCAAACCCTTGCTTAGTGGGGCACGATGTCAGTGGAGATATCAAGTGGCTCAAAGATATGGGTGTATTTCTACCTTACTATACGATCGATACCCAGGTGTTGCTTGCAATTACCCACGGTAAGAGAGGTGCTAGTTTAAAGAACGGGTTGAGAATTCTACGCCAGCCATTTGCCTTCTTACATAATGCTGGAAACGATGCTTACTATACTATGTTACTTTGCTTATGCTTGTGTGATTCATTTTATCGTGTTGCATCACAGGTTGATTCTGAAGAAACTATGCACAACTTTGCAACCCAACCATCGACGAAGAATGAACCGCCAAATAAGAGCAAAAAATCCAGAAGCGACCCCTCGGGAATCTTTAAATTCTTGAAGCGCTGGGAATTGCCATAATTTCCTTCGTATTTTAGCACTTTCTTAGGTGTCTGGGTTTTCTTAGGTGTCTGGGTTTTCTTAGGTGTCTGGGTTTTTCTTAGGTGTCTGGGTTTTCTTAGGTGTCTGGGTTTTCTTAGGTGTCTGGGTTTTCTTAGGTGTCTGGGTTTTCTTAGGGTTTTCTTAGGTGTCTGGGTTTTCTTAGGTGTCTGGGTTTTCTTAGGTGTCTGGGTTTTCTTAGGTGTCTGGGTTTTCTTAGGTGTCTGGGTTTTCTTAGGTGTCTGGGTTTTTCTTAGGTGTCTGGGTTTTTCTTAGGTGTCTGGGTTTTCTTAGGTGTCTGGGTTTTCTTAGGTGTCTGGGTTTTCTTAGGTGTCTGGGTTTTCTTAGGTGTCTGGGTTTTCTTAGGTGTCTGGGTTTTCTTAGGTGTCTGGGTTTTCTTAGGTGTCTGGGTTTTCTTAGGTGTCTGGGTTTTCTTAGGTGTCTGGGTTTTCTTAGGTGTCTGGGTTTTCTTAGGTGTTGTTTCTGGGTTTTCTTAGGTGTCTGGGTTTTCTTA